CTCTTGGAATGGCCGGTCTACGACGTGACATGCGTGAGACCTGCATTCTCTGATCGGAAACTGTTAAGATACGATGCATTAGAGCCCTTAGGGAGGCTGGACTTTGGGATTCCGTTTACGCTTAGCCTGGCCTCTGTGGGCTCCAATCTCATTTGTGGTTTTATCACGAGGAGAAAATGTGTGTACAGAGACATGAGATCCTGTGATCCTTGCTCTCTTGCATCTTCCTCGTCCATGCTGTGACTACGCTCAGCAGCCATATCTGGAACGCGCCTTTGAGCCATGGCAGTCGCTTGAAAGATCTGGGTTGCCCCATTGCATAGAATCAGCTGGTATTCGGACACTGTCACAGATACTTAACCCCCAGCCGCGATCATAATTCAACTTATTGGCGGGAAATGGTCAAGAAGTACGTACGTGAATTCATTCAATCCTCTTTTGTCGTCTTATATCAGTGCTGTCAGGAGTGGGCCTGTCGGCTGGTACTATGTGGCTACAAAGAACAAGCCAGCTGACGAGTCGGAAATAGCGAGGCGGGCCTTGTCGAGCGCCAGGCTCTTACTTCGCGCCCTTCGCCGGACGCGCCGACCACCCGCAACAAACGCAAGGCCGACGCGATCTCAATCCACCCTTTTATCCACTCGTCTCTCTTTGCCATCCCCTAGAGGCGTACCAACGTCATCGTAGCACCCAAGCCCAAGAAGCCCTAAGAAGAAGTGGATTTTTGTATGCAGACAAAGCACTGGCGCGCAAACAGACGAGGCGAGACCGCAAATCGCATTCAACGACTGAAATGATCGGGCGTCTGATTCTCTAGCTACCCAAATGGACTTCTCGCGCGATGACCCGCGGGGAGTCCAGTACGGCGCCGGTGGCGACCGTTTATGGGAGGGCCGCCCGCGGTTATTGGGTCGGTCTGACTCTCACTGCTTTGTGATTTGCGATATATTCCGGCGTATTGACGGGCTGGAGAATCGATATAAGATGCGCACCAGACTGGCCGGGAGATTGACTCTCCCTCTTTTTGCTGGCCACGCCCACCTCCTTGATCTCCCACCACGAAAAGGAGCTAGAACATATACTACCGGCCTTGATCGTACAATGATCTGGACCCTTGGACGCCTTTTGCTTCTATTCTTTGCACTATCCACGGTCGGTGCCTTGCCAAACAATGGATCGCACCATGGTATGTTCCTTGATTGCTTATTGAAAAGGTGGATATTCAAACAGCTGTAGTGACGAGTAGCACGACCACGGCGGACCCTATATTCCCGTCGTGTCCGAGCGGATCCGTTCCATCGGTGATTAGCTCTGGTCCATTACCAGGCGCCACGGAAATTACAGTCGTCGTCGGCGTTTGCTCGTCTACCTCCACGCCGACGCCGACGTCTCGTTCATCCACGTACTCTAATAATACCGTACCTACGACAGTAACAGTCTTGGCCAGTCCAACTGGTTCTCCGGCTGGACAGACACTCATTGGAACAGCGACGCAGACTGTTCCAGCGTCTTCCAGCGCGGCCTTTCGTGTCGCCACCCTGTGGAGTACGTCGCTGGTCCTTGTCCTTGTTGGATGGGCTGCGCTGTATCTTTGAGTGCTCGAGCTCTTCGTTCTGAAACTTGGCTCCCCTTCGTTCGCCTATTATGGTTACGTCCGTCTAATGACCGCATGCATACCTTACGCCCATGTCTCTATACTTTGTTTCGTAGTTATACACGCCTATTTCTGTCATTGCTGGCATGGGATTTTTCCTTGTCTATCCCGGCGCTGCAGTAGGCTGCGCAGCACTGCCTAGAGCGAGCGGACACGACACATATAAAACTCCCACATTGCCAATCCAACCATATTATCCCTCATATCTCTAGTCTGAGAACCGACAGCCAGTTGCGCCGAGCGAAGAGCCGGGTAGAGTTGACGACCAACTTTGGACCTATACGACCACTTGGCTCGTAGAGTTGTTCTTGTTCCCCGGTGGAATAAATCAAAGGATAAACGAATCTAAAACTATACGACGACAAGAAGAGATTAACGGAGAGAATGTACGTCGTTGCTCCACGTCGTCAGACGTTCGCTCACTCTTTCCTTCCTCTCTCTGATCTCTGGCAACTCTGAACGTGGATGTGTGCAATGGACAACATACTGGTGGCGTAAATTTGATGGATGGGACGGACGGTGCTCGCAGGTCCGAGCCCTATGATCCATATCTCCCCCGCGGTGGGAGCAGCAACGGCGCTGGAGGAGCTGGAGGCGCAGGACGTGCTGGTGGATCATCGCAGACTGCACACATCCAGCAGCAGATTGACGAGACGGTCGGTGCGATGCGAGACAACATTGCCCGTGTAGCGGAGCGCGGTGAGCGATTGGATGCACTCCAAGACAAGACGGGTGAGTTCTCTGTCTATTATTCTCTTTTGTCTAGAGGGCGATGGACCAAGTTGAGCAGCGCGTCGGACGCTGCTCTGGTGCTAAGCTAGCGAGACGGAGCCCCTGGGTCTATTGGATTCCCATTATGAGCACCGGTTCAGTGATCACCTTGTTTGCGACATTCGGAGATGATTCATTACTTGGGATGCTGACGCCCGCTGCAGACGGCCTCGCTGTATCAGCCCAATCGTTCCGAAAGGGTGCCAACCGGGTTCGCAAGAAGATGTGGTGGCAAAACATGAAGGTTTGTGCCTTTGTCTTTGAATAAGCTCGACCAGTTCTGACTGTTTGACAGTGGACGCTCATTGTGGGATTGGGCATTGTCGTGCTGCTCATTATCATCATCGTGCCGATTGTCAACTCGCAGAAGAACGACGGCAAGTAATCGACTACCCCATGTCAAAAAACCCCTATGCTACCACGAATACCTAACCCAGCATGATTACGCCATGCCGAAATGAGCTCTATTCGCGCCTACTGTTCGAGATTGATAGTATGTATGGACGTTTCATTCTCCCTTCCTTAATGACCAGGCGGCGAAACTCGGTAATGGCGATCTGAGCCCTCGAGCGTGATTGGTGTGTGCTCCGAGCTTCTGCCCGGGGAACGACAAATAGGAGGGAGTAGGGATCGGGTATCCACTGAGAAATGAAGCGTGCATCGTGAATTTGAATCCGGATGCGCATTCTGCCGATGTCTGCATACTATAAGATGCCAGCGTTGCAGGTGGCTGCTCCTTCTGTCCTCTCCACTCCTTCATCCCAACCGAGTCTTGGTGAATACTGCGTGCTCTGTGCACAAAGCAACGCACCTATTGCGAACAGGTTAGCTAGCTGCGCGCGGGCTGTATCTGAGAGGGGTTAGTGTTCGCCGATGAACGAGTCGGCGTGGGAAGACCATATGGCACCAATTACTAAAATATTATCGTAGAACTTGTTTCGTCTTTCGAGTTCCTGATTCCGACTAGCGCCGCTTGCACCGGCCGGCCACTTTGGGTTGCTTATTTAGAGCACCGCAACAATCCCATCTCTCACCCCGACCGCATCCACGACTTTCCTTTTGTCCAGGTTAACTCCCTGCGTTTCTCGGGATTTCCCTCTCTCCTCTCGCTGTTTATACCAAGAGCGCCACTCGTGACGACGAGCAACTGGGTTTACCAACCCCCAGCCGTGGCCAAATTTCAAAGACTTTTTTATCGACAGGAAAAAACGAGTAGAGAAGGATGACAGTGAAGAAATACGGGACACTATTAGGGTTGATGGCAGTCGCATGGACCGCGACAGTGGCATATGGTGCCTCGCATCTTCTCAACCCACTCGCAGATGATCCCGTAACAAGTGACAGTAACGCACGCGTCGCTGGAGTCGCAACAGAGGACTCGCGCAGTGGGTCCTCGCCGGCCACCAGAGTCGACGCAATGCTCGCCAAGGGTTACTCGCTCCTCTCGTCCACAGACATTGCTGGTGCGACTGTCGAGGAGTGGGATATCAGCGCATCATTCCCTTCTTCTGCTGATACCAAACGGTCATTATTGGGTTCAGCAGAGCTGGAATTGGAGGAACGTGGCCTCCAGGAGAAACGCGCTACGATTGATATTCAAGGTGCCAAGTGCGCTACTGCGTGTTCTTGGCAGCAAAACGTCCCCAAGGCAAATGTAAATGATTGCCCGAGCGCGTATGGCGCGCTCTACGGGACCACTGGTATCTTTACGGTCAACCCGACCCGTGCGCTTAGCTCGACGGTCGCGAATTGCTCCGTATGGGTTGTGAATCGGAGTCAGAATGCGATCAGTACGTTTTCCTTTCTGCTCCTAACAAACGAGACCTCATGCGCGCGTAGTTTATGACTATTGGGACGCCGGAGGAACAGGGCAGTGGCTCACGTATTACTGCCTGCAGCAGCAGTCTGCAACCGTCGGTGTCTGTCTCTACAATGGCCAGGGAATTGGAACGGTACGTCGCCTCTGTCTTGTTAATAAAGCGCCTGACGCCTGTTTAGAATGTGACGAATGGCGTATGGACGGCCGTCAGCCACCCAAAGTTCATGTCCTTGTGATTATATTACCCTGGTCGTTTTCTCTTATTGCTATCTTGCAATGCCCTGTATACCGTCTACACATTTTGGTTGCAGCCTACGCCAATTGATTGAGTCGATAGCAAGGCCGTATAGTATTCCAGACAGATAAACAACGAGTGTGCTACTACCTACCGCCGCAGTGGTTCAATGCCAAACCACAAAAGTTGGCGATGAAAAGATAGAAAAGCAGCTACCCCATCGTTAGAATCCGGAAGGTGAAAGCAGAAAAGAGATGCGTACGATTCCGACGGCAATGCTAAGCAACATAATCTTTTGGTTCTTCCAAAATTGCTGCCTCCTAACGGTGCGCGCGCCTCGTCTAAATGCCCACGCCTGTCCTGCCATTGTATCCGTCTTGTCGACCAACAATTCGATTCGCTCGCCGCGTGATAGGATCTGTTCGACGTTATGGACCATAATGTCCTTGACCTGCGCGAGATTGTGCTGGGCATTTGAGAGCGCGTCTGGTGGTGGGTTTGTGTTGTATTCGTGCATGAGCGAGGAGAGTGTGGGTGTGAATCCACTGTAGCTTGATGCCGTAGGAGTAGAGGAGCTGGACGTCGGAGGAGAGTAGGCGTTGAATTTTGATTGGAGCTCATCTAGAAATGCGAATGGGATACGTCTGGTCATGTTAGAGTGAGTATGGAGTCGACTCGTGCCAAGCAAGGCGACATACCGTCCTAGAGCATCGTCTGCCATGACAAGAAAGGTATAGCCGCCTTCTGAGATGTAGTGGAAGAGGTACTGTTCCCATACATCTACACACATGGTCCAAATCAGCCAACTTGCCCTCCCAACGAATGCGCAGCGCAGATGTGGGGAGACGTACATGTCAGTTTCGAATTGTTTGGTGGAATCTTGGACAGAATTGTCTGGAAAGCTGTCTTATATATCAACGATTGCTCTCCTTTGACAATGAAGAATGACATACCTTGGGAGAAGTCGCGTTTGCCCGTCGCGGTCTCACACAGAATGGTTCCGTTGTACGCAACGCATGCATGTATCAAACTCATTTTTGCTGATAATTTTTTGTTCAATCTGTGCCGCAGTGGTTGATGGAGTGCAGTTCCAGTTGCTATTTGCTGTGCTCTTCAACTCTTCGTCTCCGCCAGCACACCTTTTCAGCAAACTCGTCCATTATGGTCAGTAGAGTTGATGTTATACCTCTTTTATGCTCTAGAAGCTGATATATGTCTATTTTCTGCTTGCTGTTGCTCGTTTACGCGTTCGACGTGGCTCGTGCAGTCCGACTCTGACCGCCCATCGTCGCCCACCGGCAAAACCACTTCATCTTCTGCAGTAGCACGTCCTCCGGGTGCTCAAGTTCGGTACGTTTGCCCTCTTCTGCAACCCACGTCGACAGCGCATCGACATCCCAACTTGTGTCCCGTGGATGGCAATCTCCCTTGCTTCCATCTTGTAAACGACAAAACACTGACGCTTTTATTTGCAGACGCAGAGCCACAGGCTCGACCGTCCAAAAGCCAAACTCGGCACGCGCTGCTGGCGCAGGCGGATCGTCCAATACCATGCTCAAGCTCTACACGGACGATTCTCCTGGACTGAGAGTGTACGCCTTCCGTCCATTCTCTCTTCATGCTAGAACTGACGAGCGACCCCAGTGATCCGTTTGTGGTCTTGATTCTCTCGCTGTCTTTCATCGGCTCGATATTCTTCCTCCACATTTCGGCAAAGATTATCCGTTCGTTCAGCAAATAAACGCGCGGTTCCATCCACTCGTGCTGCTCGGACAACGGCAGCATTCGCGGTGTCCACTTTTTCGATTCCCTCGTCATCAGGACCTTGATCACCGTTGCACTCGGTCAGACGATTGCTATGTATTGGAGTTTGGGACCATCTGCACCCCGAGAGGTTACCCACGTTCCACGACTGCTGTACAAAAAATACCTTGTGCATCATCGCGATGGTAATCTAATCTATTTGCTGGACTCTTCGGCGTCGCGCTAGTCAGAACCTGTTGCTCATCCGCCGAACCTTCGAAGAACTTGCGATACTGCTGGTCTGAGATCAAGCCCTGGGTTGGGTAATAGTATAACATGGAAGAACTAAGAACACAGAATAGTGAACATCTTCACGCCCCTCAGGTAGTGAGGCTACAACGTCGGTCTACAGCCAGTCGGAGAGGTACTGGCGATACAGAGATGGGATTACAGTCAATTTGATTGACCTTGACGCATCTCAAGGTCGAAGGACGGGGATGGAGATCGCATCAACCCCGTGAACACCCTGTTAGAAAGATAAACTTGGGTCAGCCAGTGAACTCGCAACTATGAAGGGAGCAAACTCCTCTGTGACACTCCATGTAGGTTTCACAACTGTAGGGATGGTGAGCGGTCAAGAAAAAGGACGCGCGAGGCGACCCACAGTCTGGTGTATTGTTTTGGGCGGCGGACGCAGATTCCGGCGAAGATGGCGACGACGCTGGAGTGCTTCCTTGGTCAGCGGCTGAAGCTTTTGTAGTCGTTGGGTGCGTCTTGAACGGTCCCGTTGTGGAGCCCGCCGTCGGGGTGGAGGCTGCTCGTGTCAGTATGGACGATTAGGCTAGATATGAGAATGAACGTACTGGCGATGGTACCGCTCATGGTGTTGCTAAGAGAAGTGAGCCCCACTCCAAGTGCATTATATACCTCAAAACAAATCTTTATGTTCGAATGAACGGACGGAAATGGTATGTTTCTGACAACTTCTTGGTATGGATTGCTGTCTCCGACGAGCTATGGGAATGAACAGCTGGTGATGCGATTGGTTGGGCAGTCATGGTTCTGACAGCTTCTGGGAATGGATTGGGTCTACAGATGAGGCTCGGGATGATATTTGTCGGGGCGTCACGTTTCTGACAGCTTCCGGGAATGGATCGGGTCTACCGATGAGGATGAATATTTTGTCGGGAAGTCATATTTCTGACAGCTTCTGGAAGAAGTTTGTCAGCGATGAGCCATGAGGGTCAATAGTTGATGATAATGCTTATGTGGATGAATGTGGCGCCAGACTTGGCTCATGAGCCATGATGGTCAGCCTTCCACTGACAATGTAAATAATGAGAAGGCCACGTCCTTCACTATGTGTAAATATTTCAAGCCGCTAAATGGTCTTTAGATGCCTAATCAGGTACCTTCGTCAGATCCTGACCGCGGCATAGTGCCTTGCACAACAAAGGAAGTGTCTTACAGTAACAAGGATAACCTCGATGTATCTCACCAATCACTGTATGCGCATTGCCAAAGTGTCTATTATATATCCCTTGACTGCGCAGCAACATTAAGAATCTACTGCAAAAGACTTTTACACTATGTAGACTCTGTATGATCGATCCTTTTAATCACCCTATTACACAGATTGCTGGGCAACTTAATCACCAAACCACCTATCTTCAATTGATGAGACCAAAGAAATGGGGTATTGGACTTCCAGTAATAAATTCTAAGTTCCTGAAAAGGCACACTCATAGGCTTCCGTCGGCAAAAGAGGCGGGCCGAGAACGTTGCAGGTTGGGACGTGACCTGAACCAGGACCTCTCCTGCATTGCGTACCAAGGAAACGTCAGCTACATAGTAATCTAGAGCGCAGCTATTAGGCTCCAGACTCAATTGCGGTAACGAAGTTGACATTCTCCTTGGCAAGAAATACGCGATGCGGTCTTCCCTCAAAGATGGCCTGGGATTCTGGGAATGACACACTATGCAGCTGGTAAGATTATACTACAAACATTTCTTGCGACGGACAGACAACTGGGATATGCTAGCGAGTGACTACGCGTGAAAAATCATTCTACCGTCAGCTTGTTTAAACTTAGTGCATATCAAAGGCTCAAGGACGGTGAGGGGGACCTCACAAAGCCCCTGAACATGCTGTCAAGACGGGAGGATTTGGGTCAGCCAGTGACCGTACGCGGATAGAGCAATGGCCATACTGTGAGGTGTCATCCCATGAAGGCAACACAACTGTAGGAAGGATGAGCGGCCTAATAAGGAAGGCGATGGACAGGCGACAATGGTACATACACTCAGTAGTGGGATTTTGTCCGGTGGACGCAGAGCTTGCAGCGGACGTTGAAGAGGTTGGATTATTGCTTCGATTTGCAGCGGTAGATCCTGTAGGTGTCGCCTCCTGCGTCAGGGTTGATCCCGTGTCGGAATTGGCTGTCGAGTTGGAGGCTGCTCAGCTCAGTCTGGGCAGGGAATGACTAGAGAGCAACTCACAAGCGTTTATGAAACTCATGGTTTGGTGAATGGGTTGGGACTTCTGCTCTGCACATTATATATCTTTGGGAGTCGCTGTCCTGAGCAACGTGGATCAATAGAGTTCGTCGACGTGAACCAGGCATATGTGCCTCTGAGAGCCACCGGGTTTCTCCATTACGGACGGCTGATGCATCTTGGCGACGAATGAAACTCATTACCGAAGCGGTCGGGCGGCGCACCAATCCATCGCGGCACACCTCATCATACCCTCGCATTTCCGTTCCGTCATCCCTGGAGCGGGTGAACAACGTCAGATATGTCCACCGTGTAGGTGGGTTGTTTGAATGGCTGGCTGTGCCCTGTTTCCTTCCGACCCGACGGGCCGCTAGTTCTTCCTATACCGCCTGACATACATGGGCAAGGAGAGACCTCTACGCGAAACGCGGTGTATTTCACTCCTCATTGTCCGCACATACATCGATGGGAGTTAGTTTTCGATCAGAGCCGCACAGGCCGCTTGACATGATCCCAAATCCGCAAACATTGAAAAAATCCAAGTAAATCATTGGAGATTGCCCGAAACGCAGGGGGTGTCCGAGTTCAAACCTCCTTGGAAAATATCGTATCATTGTCTCCACGCCAATACCAGGCAAGCCTTGAACCTGCGAGCCAGGACTCCCGTAGCCGATCGATGGGACAGCTAGCGAACCTCCCGGTCCCTCCATACCCTCTTTGGACATTTGGTGCCCAATGATCATCATACTCCATCTAAGTCCAACTGACGGTGATATGTCCTTCAGATATGCTGGTGGTGGCTCATCAGAGTTTAGCCGTACGATGCTCGACCCTAAACCCCAGAATGCTATATAGAGGCTCGTCGCTTCTCCACGATTCGGTACCAAGATTGCGGAGCGCTTCGGGTGTGCAGATGAAAGTCCGTAAGCTGTCATGTCAGATTTACTATTGCAATTACATCAGCCTCGGTGTCGCCAGGTTCCTCGAGAGGCAGTTCTCGAACATGTTTGTGCTCTATGTCATTAAGAGAATATACTGCTCATTAGAGCCTCTTGCGATGGAATAGCCTCTACGTGTGGGGGGATTTCACGTCATTCATGGCCTAGGGGCATCCAAATCACGACTTGCGAATGATTGGTGAAGAAAATGGACGATACGAGGCTCTCAGCCTTTAGTGTGATGGGATTATCCATGGCCACAGTATGTTCTTCTTTCCATCTGCCCTCTCTGTTCCTCCATCGCTCCGGCTGACCAAAGATGGTGATTCGTTGTATCTTTTGCTATGATTATCTGCAGTTAACATGCATGGAGCCCTCAGTTGGACACTGTTTTTGAGGGGCTCCCTCTCTGTCTTGCCTACGGAATCGATTATGTGTATGCTAAAGAGTTCCGATCGAAAATGTCATGAGGTCGGTCCAGATAACATACTCAGAGGTATATTTTGACCGCACAGTGAATGAAAGAGAAGCGAAAGACTTAGGTTGCGCGAGACTTGGGTAATAAGTTGTTGTATCGTCACAATATACAGACTTTAATGCCGATGGACCCACGCAATAGAGTTTTAGGGGGCACCGCAGATGGACCGTTGACCAATTAGATTGCCAGAGGCGATGATAGTCCACCATACTCTTCGTTCGCATAGTAATACTATAGTCAGAGTCTCTCGGAAACCGTATGTAACGTTGGTGATTCTCTCCCGCCAAAATAAGACGTCCGTTCATGCGTGGAGTCCAGTATAAGCTCCTCCTTCACACCAATCATTCCTCTAAATAATCTCTTGTATTTGATTCAAGGCAGAATCCACAGCAGCGGTCGGGAGTCAGTGTTTGGTCTTGTTTGTTGCGCCTACACGGCATCTCTTTCTGACCTATTTCCTTCGACCTCTCAAGGTACGACGCCCAATCTACTGGACTATATCGCATTATTTTCTGGGTGCACGATGGAAAGCACGAGACTGACGCCCGTTTGCCTTACCTACATGTGCTGAATTTCGTCAACGCATTGGTATCTTGGTTCTATTCAGATGGTACGTTCCATGAGACACAATTCGGCAATGTAGGTGCTGATTATACTGCTATTTCATGACGAGTAGAAGTTAGAAATCGACACGTTTAGCGGCTACAAGATCTACCCGTCCAAGGGACGTCTCTTCGTTCGAGGAGACTCCAAGGTGCTTACACCAATTATTTCGACACGTACCGATTACTTAACATTATCTCTCCTGCGTCAGATTTTCCGCTTCGCCACCTCGAAGAATGAATCGCTGTTCCTACAACGCAAGAACCCTCGCAAGATTGCCTGGACACAAGTGTTCCGAAGAATGCACAAGAAGGGTGTGACAGAAGAGGTTGCAAAGAAGCGTTCCCGAAAGACAGTCAAGCACCAGAGGGGAATCGTTGGTGTCGGCGCCGACTTGCAGAGCATCCTGGCAAAGCGTAACCAAACTGAGGCTGCGCGTGCAGCTGCGAGACAGCAGGCGATTGCAAAGGCAAAGCAGGACAAGAAGGAAGCCGAGGCCAAGAAGGCGAAATCCAAGGTGAGCACCCAAGACGTTATATTGTTATTTATCATCGTTTCTGACTATGTGGGATCCTACTAGGCTGCTGCGCGACCGGCTGGCTCGACAGCGCCCAAAATCTCCAAGCAGCAGGCAAAGGGTGGCGCCGACAAGCGATCTGGAGGACAGCGAGCAGCACGTTACTAGTCGAAGTAGTGGCTTATACTTCCTGTTTCTTCGACTACCGACACGTTGTACTTGCACTGCTCCTAACACGACGCCTGCACATATTTGCTACAGAGACGATTAGTTGCGTATAGACTTCTGATTCCGTTGACAAGCCGTGTTGTTTAATTCCGCCTAATGAGATGCGGTGTCTCAAACACTCCGGTCGATGGATGGCGCTGCTCTACACCTTGGACCCGGCCTCGACAGTGAATAAATCGTCGAATAATTCTAGACTTGACATTCACGATGCCTATGACTCCAGACTCGCAGCTTACCCTCCTGTTCTCGCCCGACCTTATTCCAAACTCGGTCAGAGACGCACTCCCGAGCGACCTCCATGTTGGTACACATTCAAGCTTTTTGGAATATTCGACTGATATACCTTTGTCATCTTCTCCGTCTTGGAAATCGTGCGCCGCACATGTTTAGGTCCGTCCGCTGGCCGTCGACGACTATCACCGCGGACATCTCGAGGTCCTAAAGGTCCTTTCCGTCGTTAATGACCCTGGTTTTGATGCCTACCGTGCACATTTCGAGTCAATGTTGCCCGCCAACACGTCTGCGTCAAAGGGTCAGACTTACTATGTCATCTCAATCGTATCGAAACAGACGGACAAGGTTGTTGCCACTGGATCCGTCTTCATTGAACGCAAGTTCCTCCGTGGACTTGGCAGCGTTGGCCATATTGAGGACATTGCGGTCAGCAAGGATATGCAGGGAAAGAAGCTTGGCCTCCGTGTTATTCAGACATTGGTCGCATTGAGTGAAAAGGCTGGATGCTACAAGACTATCCTCAACTGCTCAGACGAGAACATTCGTGCGTCCTTTCATTGTAATAGAGGATGGGTATTAATCATGCTGTAGCATTTTATGAAAAGTGCGGTTTCAAGAAGAAGGAGAATGAGATGGCCAAGTATGCGACCGACTCGACTACCCCTGGTCGTTTGTAGGCTCTTCATTAGGCTCTTCTGATGCCATGGACACTCTTATAGCATGTATATCTTGACCTACCGGTGGACTTTAACTGCTTCAATCTGAATTGAGTTTTACACTCCCTGTTCTGGTAGTAAACTGCAGTCGGCGCCTCTGCTGACCATCCAACCCGCTGTTGTCAGCCTCTAGTATCTTCTAGACGCCGTCTGTGTCGCTGCCGAGGTCAGCGTCTTGCTCGCCACCCTTGTTGTTTGGTCGCTGTTTGGGATCGAATCTTCCAGAACGGCCACATTAGGCAGGAATCAGAAAATTCTAGACGCTCGTTCCGCGTCTCTTTTTAAAGGGATGGGTGTGGCACATGTCGAGATCCAACTTGGACCTACTCTTCCAACTCGCCATCGCTTATCCATCCCTCTAAGCAACTCCATCTCATAGAAAATGGCATCTGAAAGCTTTGGATTCCAAGCTGAAATCTCTCAGCTCCTCGATCTTATCATCAGTCAGTCTCTTTGCTCCCCCAAGTCTCTACACACCCTCTGACCCCCACTTTACAGACACGTTCTACTCGAACAAGGAGATCTTCCTCCGTGAAATCATCTCCAACGCCTCGGATGCGCTCGACAAGATCCGTTACGCATCGCTTACCGACCCAGAGGCGCTCAAGACGGAGCCTGAGCTCTACATCCGCATCACGCCCGACAAGGAAAACAAGATGCTCACCATTCGTGATACGGGTATCGGCATGACAAAGGCTGACCTTGTCAACAACCTCGGCACGATCGCAAAGTCGGGCACCAAGGCCTTTATGGAGGTACGTCGTCTCTTCGTTGTATAACTTGTCGCGCGCAATGTCTTACACTTTTTAGGCTCTTAGCTCTGGTGCCGATATTTCGATGATTGGTCAATTCGGTGTCGGTTTCTACTCGGCATACCTCGTCGCCGAGCGTGTACAGGTCATTACCAAGCACAATGACGACGAGCAGTACATCTGGGAGTCTGCTGCTGGGGGTACCTTCACTATCACACCCGATACCGTCAACCAGCCACTCGGTCGCGGTTCTGAGATTCGTCTCTTCCTCAAGGAGGACCAGCTCGACTATCTCGAGGAGAAGAAGATCAAGGAGATTGTCAAGAAGCACTCTGAATTCATCTCATACCCCATCCAGCTCGTCGTGACCAAGGAGGTTGACGTCGAAGTCGAGGATGAGGAAGAGGCAAAGGAAGAAGAGGAGGGCGAAAAGACCAAGATTGAAGAGGTCGAGGATGAGGAGGAGACGAAAGAAAAGGGCAAGAAGACGAAGAAGGTCAAGGAGAAGAAGCAGGAAAACGAGGAACTCAACAAGACCAAGCCCATCTGGACTCGAAATCCTCAGGATATCACCGCCGAGGAGTACGGCAGCTTCTACAAGAGCCTTACCAACGACTGGGAGGAACATCTCGCTGTCAAGCACTTCTCCGTCGAAGGTCAGCTCGAGTTCAAGGCCATCCTGTTCGTTCCCAAGCGGTATGCATTTTGCTTTGCTAGCCTTGACAATTATCTGACCTATCCATCAGCGCTCCATTCGATCTCTTTGAGACCAAGAAGAAGAGGAACAACATCAAGCTCTACGTCCGCCGTGTCTTCATCATGGACGATTGCGAGGATCTCATCCCCGAATATCTCAACTTTGTCAAGGGTGCGTTTCAAAGACTTTCGGCTACATACCCCTCTGACCATAATTTCCAGGTATCGTCGATTCTGAGGATCTTCCTCTCAACATCTCTCGTGAGACGCTCCAGCAAAACAAGATTCTCAAGGTCATCCGCAAGAACATTGTCAAGAAGTGCATGGAGCTCTTCTCCGAGATTGCCGAGGACAAGGACAACTTTAACAAGTTCTACGAGGCATTTGGCAAGAACCTCAAGCTCGGTATTCACGAAGACTCGCAGAACCGCAGCAAGCTCGCCGAATTCCTCCGATTCTTTAGCACCAAGTCGCTCGAAGAACAAACCTCGCTCAAGGACTATATCACCCGTATGCCAGAGATCCAAAAGTCGATCTACTACCTCACAGGCGAATCGCTCACCTCGATCAAGAACTCGCCATTCCTAGAGGTCCTCAAGAAGAAGGGCTTCGAAGTTCTCCTGCTCGTTGACCCCATCGACGAGTACGCGGTCTCGCAGCTCAAAGAATTTGAGGGCAAGAAGCTCGTCTCCGTGTCCAAGGAGGGTCTCGAGCTCGAGGAGACTGAGGAAGAAAAGGCAGAGCGCGAGAAGGAGGCCAAGGAGTTTGAGGATCTCTGCAAGACCGTCAAGGATGCACTCGGCGACAAGGTAGAGAAGGTCGTCATCTCCAACCGTATCTCCGACTCGCCATGCGTTCTCGTCACTGGCCAGTTTGGCTGGAGCTCCAACATGGTGGGTTGTCATCTCTCTTCCGCGCTGCATCCAACATTTCTAACCGCTTCGTCTGTAGGAACGTATCATGAAAGCTCAGGCACTCCGTGACTCGTCCATGTCGTCGTACATGGCATCGAAGAAGACACTCGAGCTCAACCCACACAACCCCATCATCAAGGAGCTCAAGAAAAAGGTCGCAGAGGACAAGGCAGACAAGTCGGTCCGCGACTTGACCTACCTCTTGTTCGAGACCGCTCTCCTCGTCTCCGGCTTCGTTCTCGAGGAACCGACCGGATTCGCTAAGCGCATCCACCGCATGATCTCGCTTGGTCTCGACGTCGATGAGGACGCAGAGCCACAGCCGTCGAAGATGGATGAAGACATGCCACCACTCGAGAGCAATGCTGGTGCCTCTGCTCTTGAGGAGATTGACTAGACGGCTCCTCACGCTCTTTTCCTGTTGGCGACGACATCACACGCACTGTCTCCCCCCCTGCCTGTCCTTTCCCTTGTGTATACTCTATCTCTTGCGGTCTCGTTCTTGTGTTACACTTGTGTTTAATAGCAAAAGAGTTCAATACAGAACCAAAATGTCTCGTTTCATGTGACGGATACATAAGATACGCAGAGTAGTGATACACGAATCTACCAACTCTCCAAAACCTGACTGGTGTACGCCTATGAGAGTCAGAATAAGCTTCTTTTCTCAGACAGTGGTCGTACCTTGAGCATCGCAAGATTGTGCACGACGGCTACATTGACAATGGTACGCAATTTGCGACGGGCCTCTGCCTTTCCGACCGTCCAATGAACGTTGCCAGAGCACTGGCAGTGTAGATTGAGATTGTCGACCTTGATCCGTTTGCACTTGGTACACTTGAGGTCTTGGACTTGGAACGAGAGCTCCATGCGCCTCACGACATCAATCATACTCCGCTCAATGGCACGCCGGTCGTACTCGGTATCACACGACGCGCATGCCCACCTGTGGGAGACCTTTGCCACGCCACCGTCTTTGCCCGGCTGAGGAAGGAGGTCAACGTCCCGACAAAAGTCAAAGTCGCGCATTTGATTGCAGTAGTGGCAAATCACCATGCTCAATTTGAATGACTGGCATGGTTGGCGCCACGTCGCCTCCTCTGCAAACTCGCGCACACCCACAATGTCAAGAAGACTACGCCTCATCAAGCCGATCTCGATGCTGTACTCCTTTGCCAATCCAAATACTTCGCAGAGCGATTTGACAAACTCCAGTGCAGGATTGGTAAAGGTGAGATACGATCCTGGTAAAACAGGAAAATCGTAATCGAGATCCGGTTCTTCGCCCATCATCGCACTGCGGTGCTGCTGAACAATCTTATGGACCACAGCGAGAAGCCGACGAGTGAGCTTTCTGCTGATATAGCTCTTGATTTCGTCCTGCTCCTGAACAAAGCGCTCATCGGGTTGAACACCGGTGGTATAATTTGGGTTGAGGACTCTCATCGGTGTCTTGCCTGCGGCGGTATGTTTCGTGCGAATCCTATAATAGTCGAGAATGAACCGGCTGATCTCTTGGTGGAACGTGGACTGGATAGCGGGAGGGAGAAATGCTTGAATGTTCCAAGTGTTGGACATGCATGGCGTGGGTGAAGGCTCCTTTGCTCTCGGATCGACACACACGATACCACCTTGGTTCGCCGAGTCCAAATAGAGCAAGAAATCGTAATATCTATCCGTGTGAAGATATAGATGCTTGAATAGCTCGTTGGAAAGTACTGCAGTGGTGATATATGTCGCATACGCGGTGGCGTTGCCCGGCGGTTTGGACGTAAGGAGGAGGATCTGACCAAAGTCGGCGTATATGACGGTAGAGCCTAGTCGCTTGAACTCGGCTTGCAATTGGAAAAATGTCTTTGTCATAAGACCGTGGATGAATCGATGGATCCCCAAGTCATACATGTGAGAGGACGGTGAGCTAATCCAGCGCCAGAAGAAAGCGACGGCTATCTCTGCTGGGCTTTCTGCGCTTCCAGCCTTGTCAAGCATCCACCCCTTGACCAGGTTCTTCAAGATGAAGAAGACTTGCGGAGAGAGCACCGAATCTCCTAGTGTGACCGATGAATGTGGTTCACCGTTGGCGTAATCCTCCAATGTATGCGTTATTGCCTCAAAGGATGTGGTTCCACCGCTCCCTTCGAGCTCATTGACCAAAGATGACTGGAGTACGGCATCTACAGCGAGATTACGCATCTCGATGAGGAGACACACGTTTGTGTAGCAACCTGGTCTCGATGTTTCTGGACTTGTTACATCCTCTGAGAGTCCTCCGGCGCTGCCATCTGTTTCCCTCCCTCCAAGGTCCGGTTTCATGCCCGGTGACCACCACAAGACCATGTCTTGCTTCATGAGTTTGCGGGCAAAGGCTACGTCCATGAAGAAGAGACTTTGGTCTGTCGGAGTATTACCAATGGGAACGTCGTAGTAGACAGAGTTATCGATGGAATCTCGTAGCCACTCTCCGAACGCGAAGTAGTGACTAAGGAAACCCTGGATAGCGACCCTTTGCCAGTCGAGTCGATCAAGCGATGTGTTTCGGTTGCTGGCCATTCGGAGTACTGGAAGATTCGAGATTGCGGCGATTCCTGTCTCGTAGTAGCCGAGGTCCTTTCGCGATGCAAGGGTGAGGATCTTCGCCTTGTATTCTGCGAGTCCCAGTTCTCGATTGAGGGCTTTCATGGCAGTCGTATCATTTGAGTGATACGAAACTGTAAACTCCATAGTATCTGTATAGTCGATCACAGATGGTTGGCTACGTTGTCGGTGTTGCTCCAGCATGAACATATAAGCCTCAGAAAGGCGGGAAAATCCACCCCTCCTCGACGCCGGGTCCACGATATGAATGGATGCCACTGTTTTGTCACCGAACAGTGCAAAGACGTGCACGTCGTTGTCGCTCGAACAGCTATGGAATAGGAAGTTGTACTTGAAGCGCCTTCCACTATCGAGGTATGGACGCCGTTGAAGAGACGTGGATGCAGGCTCGAGTTGGTGAAGGTCGAACCCTGTATCTCGGGCACGACTCAGAGTAATCTCTTGGCCAGATGTGATGGAACAGGATGTCCCAAGCTGAAGAACTGCCCTCATTGGCAATGAGATCTGTATCAACGCATTAGAGGACCTCATAGCTGTACAAGCTAACCCGTTACCTGAGTCTCATAAACGCCATCTGTCTGAGGGTTGTGCATTAAATGGGCAAAATGACCGACGTTCGACTTGTAGACATCCTCGGTTACGGATATCTGGTAGAGATGCTGACTCGGGTGATTGCGTGGAAGAATTTTGTTGACCCTCTCCGTATCATAGTCTGGACTGAACGTTGCATGAGGACCGGTTGTCACAGGAGGAGACTTGAGGTTGATATAAAACTGACGCTTGATACGGAGAGCGACCTGTACAACATCCGTTTCGGTGCCGAGCCACATCATGAACCGACCTTGACGACGTGTCGGTCGGATTTGGATGACATCCCAGGCTGCAGATCGAACGATGGGCTGATGCGCCCCTTTGAATATAGATGGAAGATTCGAGACGCCCGCCGCCTGGAGTCGGGAGGTTCTTGCCTCTTTCCACACTGGGCGGATCGCCTTGAGCCATGCTGAATAGTTTACAGTCGGATTAGGTAGTGGTTTTGGTACAGGCTTTGTAGTAGTCTTGTCACCCGCCACCTTCCTATTGACCACTGCGACCTTCGGCTTTGGGGCCTTGGACGGTTGCGAGATATCCTCAATATCCATGGATCCATCACCCTCATCGCTATTTTCATCATTACCACTCTCCATGTCGCGGTTCTTTGGTTGTTTTATGCGAGCCGGGCCAGACTTGAAGAAGTTTGTCAACTTGTGCTGCTGAAAGCGATCCTGGGCAGTTGCTACCCTGCGTGAGAGCCAGTCGGGATGGCGAATACGAGGGACTGGATTCGATACGCCTTGCATCGCGGCGGGAATAGTGATAAGCTTTTGAATGACAGAACCAAGACGCTCGATATAATAGTCCCAGTCTAGGATGTTTCGAAGGTCGAAGTTGACAAGGCTGTTGTCCTTCAGCCATTTGCGGAGGTAAAGTCGTTTGATACTCTCGGCAGCTGAGAAGATTGCAACAGGAACTGCTCTTTCCGTGACTGGAGCACCAAAGGGTTTGGCGGAAATAATGAATTTGCACGCCAGGCCCTTGTCTTTGACCATCTGATCCCCCAGAAACTCGGCCAGTCGTTTCGCGGTGCTAATCGAGGTCGACTTTTGAGCGCCATACTCTTGCAATGTTTTTGACATGCTGCGGTTCTCGGCGATGAGCTCGACAAGCTCTTCATCGTCCAATGCGACGGCTTTGCTGAAGAGGACGTCCAACCATTGGTCGGCGACTTTGGCCACTGCGGCGTAGCATTCTTCAGTCGTCGTTCCGAGGAGGAATTTTTCGAAGATTTGGGATTGAAAGATTTTAATGAGCTGCAATTCCCCTCGCCGCTTGACTTCGAAGCCCTTGAGCTCAGCAAGGGATCCATCATCGTTGAAAACGGCATATCGTTTCTTGAGGAGTTTGTCTTCTTCCTTGGAAGACGGGAGGATCATCGCCTTGTAGGGTCCATCAAGCTCGAAGAAGATGGAGTTTTCGCTCTTGACTTCATACTTGCCGTTGACGAGAGTATGATATTGATGATTAGTGAAGCCAGCATGAACGAGATGGTTGAGCATGGTGCATGGATATGAAAATCCGAGTGACTTCCCGTTCACTAGCTTAAAGGAGAAGTTCTCCGGGAATATGCCGGGAAGCATACACCAGATACCGTCTGTATCTAGTTCCAATGGGCGCCCGATGTCATCCACCAACTTTCGAGCCATTTGAATGATCTTTGCTCCAGTGAGACATGTGATCCCCGCCATTTCCATGGAATGCCATCGAGCACCCTTTCGCATGACGTATCCGTAGAAGGAGTTGAGGATACATTTGTGCGCCAGTTGCAGAGAGTCATACAAGACGATCATCTTCTTCGCCTCTTCAATCTCTGCCAGCTCCCCGCCCCCTAGCGCCTTGTCAAGATTCTTCTTCCACATTTTGTGGAGACCCTTGTACTCGTATCGCCTGTCGCGGAAGCTGCGTACAGTGTCGATGTAGAAGGGGTTCTCGCGCTGGCAGACGATGGATTCGCGCGTAATGATGCGGGTGTCCTTGACTTTTTTGTACACTCTTCGTGAATAATCGCCAAGGCGCTTGTGGATAAGGGCAGTTTGCTCGGTGGAAGAAAGGTCGCTGAACTTGCGAGGAGGGCCACCCTTGAACTTTCCGGGAAAAGTTTCTTGGTAAAGAGCGTGCTTGATCATATTGAGCTCATCTCTCTGCGCTGGGAAGAATTCTCCTCTCCATGCCCATTCGAGCTTCCGCGCGCACTGCTTGTCCTCATGGTTGAAGTCGCAAACAGCACATGCGGACTCGTCAATCATGGAGTCAGGTTGTAATCGATTCGATAACATGATGTTGGGATACATGGCGGCAACATCGAGATGGTAAATGAGCGGCTTGTCGGTACGGTTGGGGTTGTCGCGCATCTCTTCTAGAATAGACTGGATCTTGCCTTTGATCTCCTCGAAGTTGGAGACTTGATCGAGTTCGAGTCCAGACTCTGTCTGAATGCAGAACTTGAGAGCGTGATCGAGGTCATCTATCAACTTTGGAGGGTTAGCCATGAAGCCCTCACGATCTATAGCAGCGCACCTTTTGGACAGTCGCAGGGACCAGCTTGAAGTGAGTGGGAATGTCGCTGCGGAACACACCAGCTTCTAACGCCTCTACATGGCCTCCAACATACGTCTCCGACGCGAGCAAGTGGCCCTCGAACATGTTTCCAAAGTGCTCCTCATGTCGATTGGGCATGATAATATGAGCTTTGTATGCTTCAACCTGTATAACACGATTGTGAGATATGGAACCAGATCAAATGAAAGATTTACCATGAGAAGTGTTTCACAGAGCGTTCCACTTCCCTTTCTCAATACCTCGTCGGGATTGAGAGGAATAATGTTGCACAGGGAGAAAATGAAGGGGTGAACGTATTTCATATATAGGTAATAGGTGGCGACTGCGTCGGAAACGGAGTATTGTGCGAGTTCTTGAGGATGTTCAAGAGCGTATCTGTAGAGAAATTAGAGGACGCGTAAGGCTAAATGAGAACCCGTACGGTGTCATGAGCTCTGGATCGAGTTCGACAGGATTGTAACCCAGCTTTGCCTTGGTGACGGCCTTGAGACCCTGACTTCCCTGGGGGAGATAGGAGTCGCGCTTGACCCAACGGAAGCAATCCATGTGTATACATTGTCGACTTTTGAATTCATCCTCCGAATCTTTGGCAAATCCAGTCTCCAAGTACATGTCGATGCCATGGACCCGTGCCCTTGCGGCAAGGAACGGAAAATCGAACGAATCACCGTTGAAAGTCGCCATAACCGTCGGCTTTGCGGATTGAATATGCTCGAAGAATCGACGAATGGTGGCCTCTTCGTCTGGTTCGTTGAAGGTGGTAAAGGGACCTTCGTAACCGTCTTTTGGAGTGTACTCGAAATCTTCGATATCCTCCGAGACTATATCCCGATTGACGATGAGATATCCCTGTGCGTCAATCATATAGGAGATCATCATGACCTGATCGACGGCTTGGTCCGGAAACTTGAGAGGTGCCTTTGTAGTTTCGATATCGTATGCCATGACTACGGGCTCTGCACGCTTCACACGGTCGACTAGGCGGGTCAGCGTAGGCTGCCCAGATTCCATGGCCACACTGTACCAGAGTCCAACACGGATATCTATGAGAGACTGTGAGTGAGATGGACAGAAGCAAAGCGACTAACCATTGTCGATTGCTACTCTCAAGTAGTATGGCACGTCGAATTCGCGAATATCAATAATTCCTTCGCGAGGATCTCGATCCCCAGAGCCCTTTTTAGTCGATTGCCCAGAATCCACGTCCATGCTCCATGCCGTTGTGTTGACATCGTCACCGTCGACGGCAATGCGAGCAGAGGCGGCAGCTTCAGCATTGACAACCTCGGCGTATGCATCAATGGCATTCATTTTAGCGCTATTTGCAAGAGCGAGTGGCATCAGGTCGCGCCTCACAGCGAGGAGGTCGGTAACGTTTCGAAAGACAAGTTGGAGGAAGAGTCTTGGGTGGGCGAGAAGATGATTTGGCTATGAAAGATGAGAAGGGCTGAAAAATTCTGTTTAATCATACCATTTTAAGGTCTTCTTTCCTCTCACGGACCACCTTGAGCAAGAGTCCTTCATATTTCTTCGTCAGCCACTCCTCGATGGTGTTCTCGAGGCCGACCTATATCCACTGAGTCACTAGACATGGCGAACCGTGATTCCTCACTTTGCATGCTATATAGAAATACGGATCGTAGGCATATGTGCACTTGAACATGCCGCCGTCATCCTGGATAAAGTAAAAGTCGACTGCCGCCCTTCCTGAAGCCCATTCGTCGGTTCTTATCGTAGTCTTTTGGAAGTGAGTGTGAGTATATGGGCGGAAATATCATTTCGCACAGGATGCATGTTTACGAGCCAGCCTTCTCGGGCGCTGCCTTCTTGAACGCGTCCGAATCCGAGTTTCTCGTCAATCTCATCGTACATTCGAATGCTCTCGAATCGATCCTCTAGTTGGGTGCCGTCGTCACCGCGTGCCGGGACATTTGTGTTCTGTCCATCGCTACGACCATGACCTCGCCCACGAAAGAAGCCACGAGATCGTCCATAGTGTGCATTTGATCCTCTTCCACGTCCACGTCCGCGATATGTGGGCACCAGACCAAAGACGGGCGGCATCGGTAGGGTTCAAACCGTGATTCAAACTTGGACCGCGCTACCACCGCCAACCTACGGATGGCCGAGCAATCTGAGGAGAAGCAAGCCCCATCCGAGTGGGTGAAGATTGTGTCCAGAAACGATGGACACACGTTTATTGTGCCTCGCGAAGTTGCCATGACCAGCGGTTTCCTTCGCCACACCTTTGATCCAGAAGGTGGCTTTATGGAAGGGACCCAAAACGTCTGCATTCTCGAAGAAAGGCATGTCGACTCCCGAGCCGTATCGGCGCCACCTCACCGTCGACAGAGCGATAATTGTGGAAAAAGTGATGGAGTATCTCTCACATAAACACCTTTATGGTAAAGCGGATGCAAGAGAAGAGATTCCCGACTTTCAGGAAAGAATTCCCCCGGACATTGCACTCGAACTGTCAGTCAAAGGTTTATTCTCCTATTCTCCCGTTAAACGACTGTTACTAGGCTTATGGCGGCAGATTTTCTCGAAAGTGGGTAAATCCCTTTGCCGATTTTCTTTCTGACGCTTGCTAGCATGACCGTCTCTCGGTGCGATGTGTAGTTATGTATTCAACTTGATTGATATTAAATACTGTGTTGGGCACCAGCTAAGTGGATGTTCAATTGGAGTGCTGGTTGACTACATCCATATCAAGAGAGAAAGCTTACGTTGAATGCCACGTGAGGAGGAATGCTCAATGGAAGTGGCGAATCACACTTGGCAGCCGGTGGGCCTATAAAATCCGTCTCTTGCCCAGCCTCCGTTAAACCTAACTTGGACCCCGCTTCTTCTCTCACATTCCCTCTCACCCGAGTAATATTTCTTAGCCCTCGAATGGAGGAGCTTGCTCATGAGAATGAGCACGGATGTGGCTTGAGCTGCCTCTGAACATGCAATCCGCACGTCAACGGTGGATTGAATTCTTCGCTTAGATGCGGATATCCTTTGGATAGTGGCATCCTAGATGCCTTACCTTTGCCTGCACGGCTTCTGGGACATGATCCTAAGCTCAACTCCTGACGCGACGAGTTGTTCTTGGCCCACGAGATTATCTATCTCTGCGAGTTGGCGAGGTGGGGTGTCCTTTGCCCAGAGTAGCACGTTTGTCTCCTCAGAGGGCATTTGCGCGACTGCAATGTCGATGTCCCCACTGCCATAGCAGACAATGACGTTCTCCTTTCGGAGATCGCCCTCTGACGCGAGCAAAGGTGCACGGCACCACTTTGGAATTCCCTCGAGGTCCCCCATCGTGCTCTCATGCCCATCATCATGAAAGTCTGCCGGCAAAGCCTCGTCTATCCGACGGAAGAGGCTCTTCTCAAAAGCACTCGCCGTCTCATCACCATAGGCAACGACGAGGAGGGGATGAACGATCTTCATTGACCGGGCAACAAAAGCGGCATTGTCGCCCCACCGCCTCTTGTCTAGGTTGTACGAGAAGATGTTTAGGTGGGGCCCAATGGTTTCGGCGAGGGCTTCCATTGGTACATCTTTGTACGCTGAATAGACTTGTAGGCTTTCATGGAAGAGGCATTGCTTGAGCGGCCTCTGCAGCCCCGATATGGCCGTTGACCTTGCCCTTGAAAACCTCCTTGGGTAGGTCGGGTTCGATGTTGACACGGACAACTGAGTCCCCTGTGACGCGGATGAGGCCGACCACGTCCTCAAGGATTGCCCTGGCGGCTCGCGTCTTGATGACGGGTTTGCCTTCTTCCTCGGCAGTGGCCTTCCAGAACTTTTGAGAATCCTGTTCTGACCCTAACACGGCCCTTTGAATCTCTTCTGCCCTATCTTCATTAAAAAATGTCTGGACGGCCGGCATAAACTCGTCGGCAACGGCGTATCGTTCCAGGAGCTCCGTCGGAGGGGTAAAAAGATCTTGAGGTGTCCTGAAGCCGCATTGAGACCAATTGGAATATGTGAAATAATCCATTCTTCCCGCGGTCCAACGCAAGGATCCGTGCGGACAGCACGTTTGTCGACATGGTTTATCACCAAAGCTGGAAATTCGAATACCTTGGTCTCGACGTTGTACTTGTCCAGCAGAGAGATGAACCTGATGGCTCTGGAACCACCTCGCGTCATCTTGTCATCCTCTGCGCGCTGGCCAGGCTCGTTGCCGCTGTTGAGCCGCCATATTTGATTGATATGCAGTCGAGTGTAGGGAAGGAAGGAAAGGAAATGTTTTTAAAGTGCAAGGGTGAATAATGCTATTCGCGCATCATCGGGATATCCAGGACCACCAAAACGCAGATTGCCCACGGCGCCTTCATGCAATTGATGAAGGACTCTGAGCAAGCGGGTCCGCCGCAAGATTGACCAGCATGGCCCGCAGCTGAGATATATCATCCGATGGGAGAAACCTCATGTCCTCATCCCATTGAGTTGTCGTCCATTCGTCTGTGGCCTGTTGGCAATGGCTGATTCGCAGGTGCCAGCTGAGTTGGTGGTGGAGGAAATGCGTCGCGAGGGAGCACATTTGTCTCTGTATTTTATTTTCCTGAATGTCTTCTTGAGAGAATCTGGACTCGTGGAACAAATACTGAATAATCAAAGTACACTAGCTCCGATAATAAATCTTTGTTAATGATATCAGAAGAGGGAAATTTGTGATAAATAGAGGAAATACAATATTGATTCAAACTTTGGAATGGAGAATGAGGTTTTGAGTGTTTGGTTGTGTTTGGAATGTAATGGGTGGGGAGGAGTGGTAAATATAAAAGGTTGGGCTCGTAAAAGGGATAAATGGATATGTTAATAGTATGTTTTAAATAGTGGTGTAGTGGAAAGATAGAATAGTATATATAGAAAGAATGAAGGGAATGGATATGTTACCACTCTTAGCTCAGTTGGTAGAGCGTGCGGCTGTAATTTCCTTAAACCGCAAGGTCGCTGGCTCGAATCCGGCAGAGTGGATTCTTTTTTTGGTGGCCTGGAAGGGGGAGGAGTGGAAAGGGCGAAATTGAGCCGGAAAGTATAGATAAGAAAGTTTTGCATAAAAAAGAGATGTGATTAATAAGAAAAAAAAGAGTATTAACAGAAGAGTATAGCTAAGCGAAGAGGCCGGAGAGTTGGCCTTGTGCGGTTTTACCTGTCAAAGCAAAGACATCTATGTTAGACATTTTACCCGCCTTCCATTTTTCAATCATAGTCTTTGCATTGACAGGAGGGATGCTAGGATTCTTTGTGCCGATGGTGATATGGAGCCTTGATCGCGTCTTGTCATCCATCGCTTGCAAGAAAGCTTCTGTAGCAGGTCCTTCTTGTCCAGGTGCGATAGCTATGTTATCGATTGCCAACGCCATAACCTCGTCGTTGCACACTAGGTGGCCAATAGTAAACTCGAACACTGGCTGAGCTTTTTCCACAGTCTCACATGCTGACCAAAGTTCTTGTTGATCCTGGCGTGATTTGGTGTGTACGATAGTGATGTGTGGATGCGGGGCGACACGTCCGCTCTTCTGCAGACCGTTCCAGAATTGACGTGCCGAGTCGGGGATGGTATCATTCTCCTTCATAATATCCTCAAGCAGCTCCTGGAGATCGATTTCTGGCATGATGGCATAGTAACGAGGCGCGTGGGCTTTGCTTTTTTCCTTCTTTCCAGAAGTCGAGGGACCAGCCGTGGCCGTTTGATCGTTACGATTTGCTTCCTGCTTTGTACCCTTCTTGACGATGGCCATGGAATTCGGTTGATACTCTCTGGCGATACGCAAAGCCTCGCCCATCTTCTCGTCTGATGGCTTTTCTAATCCGACTAGCTCAACGATGCCGCTGACGGCCCTCGCCAATGCGTCCTCCAGATCTTCATCAACCTCCATCTCAATCACATCATCGACTTCATCCTCAGCGAGCTCATTCGAGTCTTTGAGAAAGCGCCAAATGACATCTTTATAGTCGGTAACAGCACCAGGCGTGAGCTTCTGGTGATTGTCTCCACGGGAAAGAATCCTTTCCGTGACAATGTGATGCACCGTACCGGCACTGTCACCTGCTACCGACCAACTGAGAGCAATGAGCCGCGGTGGTGGGCTGAGTGAAGAGACGGCGTTTCGGATGCCCGCACGATGTTGGGTGAGATGATTGTTACGATCTGCAATCACAACGTCGTGCGTCTTAAGAAGCTCGACGATGCTGCGTTCGAATGCTGGAGCCGCCTTTTTGGCCTTGATGTTGTCGCTCTGAGTATGCCCAAAGCCAAATAGATGCGATAAAGCGACCGAAATTGTCGTCTTGCCTGGGATAAATGAGAGGCCGTTTCCAATCATTGAATCTGCTACTCACCACAACCGGGTACAGCGACTGGGACGATGACCACTTTGTTCGTTGCTCCCGCCTCTACCTTTTGAGGAATCTCCACATTGACTAAACCCTCGGATTTCTGGCCTTCGGGAGTGGCAAGCCATTCGAAGAACCTGTCTCGAACTGCAATGATTCCTCGACCCTTGGTATACAACGCAAAGGCTTTCGGATTGCGAACAATTTCCTTTTCCACCCATTGTTTGTACACCATCGTCTCCTTTCGCCTCAGCTTTGCTTTCGACAACTTGGCATCCGCAATGTTCCCTTTGGCTTTGGCAGCGAGGAGTGCCTTGGTAAGCTCTCGCCAATCACGATACATCATGTACGGCTCGTCAAACTTGACCTTGAAGAAGAAGGAGGATCCAGGAGCGTAAGGCGGTGTGTCGTTGCCAGCCTCAGCAGGCCTGGGTCCAATTGTCGTGCGTACGACAAACCCTTCGACAGGGACTCCGTTCCATTTCCCGGTCTTTCCGATTTCTTGAGTATACTCGCGAACCTCGCGCTCCGTATTAAGCACGAGGGACGCCGTCTTGATAAAGCCCCATTCCTCGGCAAACGCATCGACGACTGGCTGAGCTTGAGTGTTGAATTCGCCAACGTTGGCGTTGAGGCCATGGAGATGAAGACCGGTCATTTCAGACGGGATGCGCAGGACGTGCTCTTCAAACGAGTCGTCACACAATTCTGCAACCGCCGTCCAATTCTTTTCCCACAAAGTTGCAGCCAACTGCTCGCGTGTCTTTCCGGCCTGTTCGAGATGCGTATTGAGCCACCGTTCGCCCACTTGAGCATGACTCTCCTCTGCGCCTGCAACAGGACCGAGCGAATGTTTTGACGTAACAAGGAGTTTATCAGGAGAGAGTGCAGCGATGAAGATGATACAACCGTTGGACTTGAGAGTGAGGGTATATGGAGCAGTCGTATGGCGCTCGATGGCTCGCCACTATAACAACCGTCAGCTTCGTATCGATCAGACGAACGGGACATACGTTTGTCCACGGAACTTCGCCAATGTTGAAGAACTTGTCGTAGCCTCGCGCGACGATGCGATACTTGACGTCGGTCCCCTCGACGTCGTCTCCGTTTTCTGTAGTGAACAGTCCACGAGCCAGAGTCGGAAATGGACTGGGAACATCATAATACTTGAACTCGTTCATCTTCCAGCTGGTGATTTCGATGCGATCATCTGCAGGGGCAATATACTTGCTAGACTTGACGAGCTTGGGATTCTTCCTGGAAAGCGCGTAGAGCGCGTGGATGAGTTGTGATGATTCCGCCATGGATGAACGGAAACGAGTCTGAAGGATGCCTTTAAAGCCCGCGAGGAGCAAACTTGGCGATGACTTGACGAGGAACAGGTTGAAGTTCTGAAAGGCATTTGGTTAGACGCTGAACAGTCACAAGCTCGAGTCATACGCGACGGACAGGTTCTTGAACGGATTCGTGTATAGCGAGTTAGATGATGTAGTAGCTCAAGCGACCCAGCTTCCATGGTGGCAGCGCTCGTCTCGACCTTGACCCCTCTTGCAATGAAGTTTGGAATTTCGGCGGACCACGCCAGTTTTCCAGAAAGAGCAAAAGCACGACTCAGTAGTTCGACATACAAGGCTCCATCAGACTCGGAGGAATCTACAGACGAGTATGAGGCGGCTGTTATCGAACCGTCCGACTCAGAGGACTCGTTTTATTACGCGTCTGACGAGGAAATACCATCTAGAACAAAGTAAAATATTGTTTTATCTCACTTTGATTTATCCTGACGCGCGTCTAGAACCAAAGCCGGTCCTCCAAAGACGGCGACAGAGCAGCGAGAGTTGACAGAGGCAATGGCTTCTGTCAAGTTGCATACAGAATATCAGGATCCACTAGAGGCGTGGATAAAGCAGAATCAGCAAGAGGCATTCGTATGTTGTTGGGTTATTCTACAAATGTTTTCTGACATGACACAAGCAAATAGCGCAAAATCGTATGAAAAGGTCTCATATCACTATGAGGAATCTCTATATGACAGCAACTCAGATCACACAAACGAGCATGGACGTCAGTGCTCAGGAACAACAGCGAGACGTGGAGCGAGTGATCCGGGCTCGCCAGAGTGAAAGGGAGAGACAAGAGCGTCTTGAACAGGAGCGGTGGGAAGCTCGAAACAAGGCTCTCTGGGAGCACGTCGACAAAGCTGCAGCGATAGTCGAGGCTCGCCTCGAGGCTGAGCGACAAGCAGAAGAGGCCAAGAGACGACAGGCAGAGGCTGAAGCCAGGAGAATAGAAGAAGAAAAGCAAAAGCGACTACAAGCGGAACAACAGGCGCGGGAAAAGGCAGAGGCGGAGAAGAGGCGGATTGCGGAAGAAAAAGCTCGAGCTGCCGAGGAAGAGAAGAAGAGGGTCGCTGCAGAAAAAGCGGCAGAAGAAAAGGAGCGATTAGAGGCAGAGGCAAAGCAGCAGCGTGAAAAGGAGGCACTGTCCAAGTTCGAGGCGGAGCGTAAGCGAGCGGGACTCTCCACGCCAAGGGAGGACTGGGATAGGGCGCTGGAAATTATGCAGGTACGTCAAATCTTTGCTCGCGACCAGATTTGTGACACCCATGTTGGCAGAATGTGAAGCACGGTCATCTTAAGCGGGTCAAAGAGGATTCGGTAGCCCGACGACAATGGAACGGGATTCGCAGAAATGTCACGTTGCGTATAGGTCAGCTCACCGACAACGATAGCGAGGTTGCAAGGATTGTACGTACACCACGATGGTCGTGACCTAGCTCACCTTGTGCTAGTCCACACAAATCTTCGAGCTCGTTCGAGTGCTTGACCCATCGACGGACATATATCCTGCTGCGTTATCTGCACTGGCCAAGGCGATCGTACTGCAAGCAGAAACAGAAGTAACTGCCAAGCTGGATACCGCCGGTCCTCTGGCTGCGGTCGTGATCAACCTCTTCAACCTGCCTGGCTTTGACGAAGTCCTCTGGTCACGAATGGTCACTCGAACAGGAGGGTGGGTGATTGGCCATTTTGTGACCAAGCGACAGGGACAAAACGATGCCGAGTTTCGCAAGCTTGCAGGGTATCGAGAGGACGAGACACAAGTGGACCGACAGACTCGCATAGGCGGTGTCATATCGCTCTATTTTGCAATTTGCACGTCCCCTAAAGCCACAAGTATGCTGCCCACCCCGTTCTGGCCAACCAAAATCTGGTCCTTCCTTTCACGTATCATGGGCGATGCACGATTAACGCGGCAATCCATGGCCCCATACGTACGTGAATTTTATCCCATGCTATGCATCACTCACACCTCTGTGTAGCTGATGCACTCATGTCTTGAAATGGCTGCCGGCACGGGCCTGGCCATGTTTGGTCGTCAATGGCTCAAGCTACTGATTGCACTGGGCCAGAGTAGCATGGAGGAGGGCCGAATGGGTGCATCGGACGACGCGGGAAAGACTGCCCGTGTGCGACTCCAGCTCAGAGCCGAAAAGCTCCTAGGAGAGGCGGGAGTCATGGGTTCCGCGCGCTAAGCGTCCAATTTCCAATACGTGACTGACTTATCTTGCATAAGGCGGTGCCTTGTATTCTACCCAACTATCTGTATCGTGAGCGCAAGGACCAACCCCCTTTGTGAACCTGTGAGATGTGGAGAGCTATGTTCCGGACGAGTCGCACTTTGGAAATGCCACGGATAGTTCCGCGCATCCTGCCTTTTGCGTTGCCCCATTGTTCGCATTGTGAACCAAGCTTGCTCAATACACTAGTCCCGAGACCCAGAAAAGTCGAACACTACATAAAGTGTGACAATTTTTTGTTTTTGATGAGCGGGGTATCTGATCGCAACCATGTCCAGAGGCAGATACACTGCGTGCCCGCTGCTCGCTCTCAACGACGATGTGCTCCTCAGTATGCTCCCATACTTCAACGCCCTCGAACTCTTCCAATGGGGTCTTGTGAGGCGCTCGTTTCATACTGGGTCCTCCCGAGCCGCTAATATCCGAGCAGACTTGTAAACGGTTGTACCAAATGACCCAAACCCCCAATTTGTGGATTTCACTTGCACGCGAACTGCGCAACAATTCGGTTTTGCTCCCATTCTCGTTTGGAAAGACGATCGACAATGCAGACTTGAGCGGGCTCCGAATCGCAACGACAAAGGCCACCCGTCTGCGCGAAAATTTGCGACGAAAGCAGCCAGTGATTTACAGATTCAACCTCATTTCCCACGGCTGGTTCAAAGGTCTGTCTATAAACACACTTTGGCCCTTGCCTCATCGTCTTCACCCTATAGGACAAGTCCTCCGCGATGAGGCACACAAGTGTATTGCTCTCTTCGATGGACGGTGGATCGTCTATCGGCAATACGACTCTTTGAGAGTTCAGCATGTGCAGACCACAAAGTCAAAGTACATCTTTAGTATCGATATCCAGGAGTATGCAAGCTGGCGCATCCTGCTCTCTCCGGTTTCAGGAGATGTGGCTATGGTTGCGGTGCATCATGATGTCAACGAGTACGTGGTTCTATCCATGATTATTTGGCATGCTAAGAAGCAACAGAGAATGGGATGTGATTGAAATCACATTTGGTGCCACCCCGAAAACCAAGCCAAAATTTCGTTCGATGTACTACCCAAAGATCAAGCATCTGGAATTTCTCGGAGGCGGACTATCTGTTATCTATACCCAAGGTCTCGCAAAGCTCCTAAACCACTACACGGGGAAGACCGCCGACCTCGGCCCGGCAACGTCAACACCACACAAATATCTCTTACAGGATGATGTCTTATTCCAGTTGGTCGTCCGCACAAATGGCCTACTGTACGTCTACGCACGACGTGTAGAAAATAAAGACAATGGGTCACTCATCGTCAGCAAAGGGGAAATCCCGTTGGAGATTCCTCTGGCAGCCAACTGCGCTACATACCCTCCCGATCAGTTCTGGACAGAGACAGAACTTCGGCCTTCGTCCACCGACTCGCAGTTGACCATTTGGCATCGCGTGCATTTCAAGACGCGAGGGGAAGTCTACTATGCAAGTTACACCATCGACGTACCATATACCCCCATTTGGTCCGACGATGAAGAGACAGCGTTGTTCGGCAACTGGACCTATCGAGCTTCTGTCGTCGCAAACGGGACCATGACAGTCGGCCAAGGAGGCGACTCGCTACTCTTATCCCGATACAGGAACCAGATGGCTGCCTTGACTGTCTACCCGCGCCTGCATCTGCCCGTCAATCAGTCGCGGATGGCGGACCATGGCACGAGCTTGCCTGTCCCGCAGAAGAAAGTCGCCGGGAACGACATCCATTCGGTCAGAATGGCGTGGGACGATGTACGAGGGATTGCAGTCCTGTACTTTTCGGATGCTACCATCTGGGTACTGCACTATGCTTGATAATTCATTTGTTCAATAATTCGTTCGCTTTCGGAGTGGGATTTTATTTAAATAAGAAAATTTGTGTACATATTTAATCCGTTATCGTGACATTCTGGTGAGGAAAAGCCTAGCGCCGAGATTTCAAGTGTGCCTCATTCAGTGTCGCTCACTGACGATGAGGAGCCAAGCATTGTGAATGTCGATATCACCGACCAGGTCATTGATGGCCTTTGGGTCCTGCTTTAAGCCGATGAAAGCTGTCTTGCCGAGCAAATAATCGACCCTCCTAATCCCTCTAGTCTCGTCCCCTTTTCCTTGCGATTTCATCTGCTCCATCCTCGCCTGGAACCTAGCTGTCACCTTTTTCTGGGTACTGGGTCCCATGAGGCGCCATTCGCTGTGGATGATGCTTTCCTGGAGTTGCGTATAGATAGCATCAAAGACGTCGCCAATGGTGACAAAGGCGCCGTCCTTTTTCTTGATAGTAATCATCCACGGCATGTCTTTGCATACCAACCGCATGGAGGAAACAGGAGGATCAACGGCGCTGTTATTCGTGTAGATAGGGTATGACGCGTTGGCGGCGCGTACGCTGCTCGGATGGTTGTATACATCCCAGAGCGTCAATGGAGTGACGTTGGCAGCCAATGCGAAGTGGACTTGGGGTTGCAACTGCGGCTGGGCGTCTATGTTCCCCAATTAGTCAATCAGGGTCTAGGGGGGTTTTCAAACGATAAGCAGACATACAAGCAACTTGGGGGAGTGCATTCATCGGAATTATAGGTGTATTGTTGACAAAGTATTGTACCGGCTGGCCGACCTGATTCGTTTGTACGACGTAGCCACCAGGCGATGGCGGAAGGGCTTGGACCATGTGCTGGGGACTTCCGCCAGGGAGGGTAATAATGTTACCACCCGATGGGCTTGGATGGGCTGCGAGGTACACTGGCTGCCCTCCAGTGGGCTGTCCCATGACAGGGACCATGTATCTGCAATACTATGTTAGTTGTGTCAGACCATGGAGAGCAGACTCACTGTGCAGAGTGATACTGGCTCATTTTCTAGGGGACGAGAGATGCGCAAGGCGAGAGCGGCGCGCCCTTGGAGACTTTATAGCAATCGATTGGCGCGCGGCCAGTGCAGTCAGGCTGACAGCGAAAAATCACGATACCAGTACTGATACGTTGCCTCGGAATGAGGATCAATATACGATGATGAGGCCCGATCCGATCCAAGATATATAGCCAGTCGTGGCGATGTCCAAGTCTTGACAGGATTTAGAGAGGCGACCGTTGCGTCCTCGCCACAGAATTGACAATTTACAAGGGTTCATTAGGGCATAGGGCGCCCCCAGGAGCCTGTCAGTGCCACCAAAACAGCGGCGGGTGTTACACGGCGCTCCACTCAGGCAAATGGCCCAGACTGTCGACGAATAGCTCATCGTGACTGCGAGAATCAGTCAATTTTTAGGGATAATTACTTGGATTTTACAGTCAACAGTGGGAACTGACAGTGGTCGACGCACTTTACTCTTGCGCGCCTCGGGCTACCTGCAAACGCTGGGACAACCGATCAAGCGTGGGTGTGAGATTCCATCTTCTTAAGGGTTTGACAACCAACTGCTCCGAATACAAGTGTCCAGCCACCTTTTTGGAGCCAACAAACGCTGGCGGCTTCGACTTTTCACCCCGTTTTCACATCTAGTTGTCACCGTCACCGATACCGGGAGCAATAATGATCAGCGCAATCCGTGATGGAGCGCGTTCTCACGTCGGGAGTCGCACGATCGACTGGAAAGCTGTGTGAGTGCAGAAAACGTAAATTGGCGAAGCATTCCTGTCTTTTTATACCGACGCGACTCTCTCATAGAAAAAACTCATCTCCCCTTGGTTCTCGACCGCATCAAGCCCCTCCACTAGGAAATGCCTCTGACCGTGTTCCCGAATCAGAGTGGCCATGCCGGTCTAGCTCCTCAGGCTCCTAGGCCCTATGTTCGTGGAAGGCGGCAGGTCATGCGCTCAAACGCCTCCAGCAGCTCGTCAAAGCAGGCAATACCCGCAATACAACCACAAGCACCCCTACCCATGTATCAGCTTCGTCAACATACTACCGGCGATGCATACGCGATCTCCAATCCGTCTTCTACTCTACTTCGGTCGACGTTTGTGCCAACGCTCCCGCAGCGACCGATCTATGAACTCACGACGGATATTGCCAGTGGTACGTCCGCTACGACGATCCTTTGGAAAGTCGAGCTTGCGTCGAACAGTGTCAACGAGGTCGCACGAATCGCTTGGGCCAATACTGGGAGCAAGACCGTGATCGAAATGGAAGGCTTGCGTATCCCTGCAAACGAGTTTCTCACCAAACCCAAGTGGCGACTCGGTGTTGCCCAGTGCGTAGCTCCGTTGTAAATGTGATGAGATGTCGCGTGCTGATTGATGATCGTACAGTGCCACACATTCCTTCACGTCGCAGATGGAGGAATACAAATGGGTCCCACAGCCGACACTCTTTGACTCTGATTCGTGTGTTTGGCATTGCGTTCAACCCATCTCACGCGGGCCAGCCGCCGGCCCGTCGACCATCCTTGCTGTGTACCGTCCTTCGACGTCCTCGTCTGTCCAACAAACACAGCCTGGGTTGACATCTCTTCAGCATCACAAAAGCCACCACGCCCTTCTCCGGACCGGATGGCGGTCGAGCATGTCGCTCGAGTCTATCCACAGCACAAGTTCCGTTGGCCGGCAATCATTGTTCGGACACGCTGCCTCGTCGAGTGGACATGGTTCACAGAGGATACCGGCTTCATTGGAGGTTTATCCAGAGGTGGATGAAAAGCCGCATTTGCGCGATATTCTCGTGCTCACGGCAATCTTAGTCGCCACCGGAAAGGACGAGTGGAAGTCTCTCCCGCACAGTTGGGATCACCAGCTGACTACCCCGGAGCTTGTCCTTGCCAGACTCACCGAGACTTATGGTCCCAGTCATCCTTCCAGCTAATTCGTATTCGTCAATCTCTCTATTTAGACCATGGTCCTACTCAAGTCTCTATCTCCATGTCCGCTCCCTGTATAATTCTTATTGTTTATTAATAACAAACTATTTCGATTTCTGAAACTATAGAAGATCCGGTGAATGTGGTTCCTACTCGAGAGTTCTAGAGCCGACCCGTTCGCACGCATCGTGTCCGGATTGTGAGTCAGCTGCCAGCATGTCTTATTCCTCTTCATAAAGGGCTTTGGACGCTCGAAACTTAGGTCATCGCTCGAGCCCTCCTCCTCTATCCATCCCAACTGTGCTTGTGGCTTCTTCAATCAGCCTCCTTGATACTCTCTTCTTCCAATCATGACCGTGGAGATGGGAATCACAAAGGATGCGGACGCCCCGGTGCAGAAACTGTGGCAGAAGACACCTCTCATTCGTTCCTCCGCGCTTTCTGAACGTACAGGGCACGAAGTCTATCTCAAGATTGAGGTTTGTCCCTTCGACTTCGCCCGTGGTCCTCTCTCCACTTTTGATCTCCGAATTTCGATGATAAACCATCTGATGGAGAATGGTGATTTGTAGACATTTCAGACGAGTGGATCGTTCAAGGGACGCGGTATTTCGCACTTTGCGAACCAGGCCACACGCATGTTTCTCCAACAACGTTCACCCGGTGCTATATCTGCTCCAGTAAACCTTGACACGCGTCGACTTGCGCAGGATGCGGCCACACTCTCCCCTGAAGAGTGGATGACTCCCTTTCCCACCTCGCATGTTCCCGAAGACGACCTACCACACTTGATTATCGCGTCGGGAGGAAATGCAGGGTTGGCCGCTGCGAGTGCGGCAGGGATCTTGGGTGTCAAATGCACAGTGTTTGTTCCTGATGCGCAGAAGGGGATTGAGCATCTGTTTACACGCCATGGCAAAGAAGGGAGTGTCAATGTCGTCGTCGGTGGCGAAAATTATCGCGCGGCATTGATGAAGGCCGTAGAGTTTAAAGAGGAGATTGGTGACAAAGGGTACGTGGTCTTGTTGTCGCTGAAATGTCAAGAGCTTGCTAACGTGCAATACGATAGAGTTTTGGTGCCGGCGTATGGTAGGTTGAGAGGACATAAGCGAAACGGTTCTGACATGATCGTAGACGATCCACTGGTATGGCAAGGCAATTCGAGCTTGGCGCATGAGATTGCAGAGCAACTCCCCGACGGCGTCAAGCCCGATGCCATATTTTGCAGTGTTGGCGGGGGAGGAATGATTGCGGGTCTGATGCTTGGGTGCGAAGGCATACCTGGGTGGAATCAAGGTAAATCTCGCGTACCCCTGTCTTATTGGCTTCGGCAGTGCGCTAATACAAGGCGTCAGTCCCCATTGTCGCTATCGAACCCACTGGATCTGCTTGCTTCTACCATTCAGTACAACTGAATCGCACAGGTCGTACCTCGACCGAACTTCCAGCGGGTGCCTCCATCTCCAACGAACGCATTCCTCACCCCTTTGCCGGTACGCTCACACCTTATGCGTCAAATTCACCATACAATGGAGGAGACGATATGTGTGACGTTTCTATGGTTCATCTGCCCTCCATTAACTCGTACGCGACCTCATTAGGCGCATCTACCGCTTCGAATGGCTCGGTATGCATGGCGCTCAAGCGAGATGGACCAATAAGTGTGGTGAGAGTTAGTGACGAGAGATCAATGCAGTCTGCGCTCCTGTTTGCAGGTAGGTACCCATTCTCGCCATCCTCTAAGCAGGCCTTCACACTGCGTCAACGAAGAAGCTAATCGAATGAAATAGATGACCATTCCGTCATTACGGAATTGGCGTGTTCGATTACACTCACGCCTGCGTATGTTCCCCATCTTGCGCGCCGAGTCCTACGCCTTGACTCGGATTCGGGGAGCGGCGCCCTAACACAGCAGTCAAACGTCACTGGTCACGATAGATCACCCAAGGCTCGCAAAGTCCTCGTCTTCATCGTCTGCGGCGGGAGTAAGGGCTCGCTGCATGACCTCCAACGCTTCGAAGAACATTTATCAAGTTTTGATTTTGCTGGAGATGATATTTGGGTGGATGGAGAACGTTTAGCAGGCTCGCATTAAAGGCACGCACGACCGGACAGCACCGATTGATAGATCGCAAAACCGGCAGTTCGGATACCGGAGGCTATTATCTTTTGTATTATTCCACAGGCGTATAGCCACAATCTATTCGGATTTTGCTCCAGGTTTACGTGGCTCAGGGTCGCCTGACAAGTGGCGCTTTATATCTTGGACCCGACCGCCACTTTTTGGTGGATGACTAGTGCCCCCGCCACAGCGAGGCTCATTGCCCGATGCTCGTGCTGAGTGCTGAATCAACATGCGATATCTGTTTGGACTCGTACATGGCTGATGGTGCAAAGGCGCCAGCCAGTCTTTCCTGTGGTAAGCCCATCGACTAAGCCGCCGAGGCAAAGTTGAATGCTGATCTCGTCCTGGAAACAGGTCACGTCTTTTGCAAGTACGACTCGTTTTATTCTGCTGACTCTAAGCTCAACTTGCCTTGCGAAATCTAGGAGTTGTATTTATACTCTCCAGAACCGCGTGTGTCCCGTGTGTCGACAAGATTTCTCAATAATACACGACCTACGCAAGCTCCATGTCGATTTGGAATCCAACACCTCCCGTCTCGCTGTCGCCCTCGAACTCCGTGCTCTCGAAATATCTAGAACGTCGGTCATCTTTTCCTTGGCCGGATCAGTCTGTGCTGACAATTATGTACAGTGGCGATGTTTCCAAGCAACAAGAAGTTATTGCTGACATCGATGCTTACATGCTCACAAAGCCGCCAGGCTTTCGCTCGCCTCTCTCTACCATCGCGGAATTGCTTCGCCTATGGGTGGAGTCAACCGCCCAATTCCATGTCGTCCTAGAGCATGCCCAAGATGGTGAAAACACTCTGCGTCACAGCCAAGAAATGGAAAAAGCAAAGCTGACAGCGGATGGCAGACGGCTTGCACAGGAGAACGAGGCACTCAAGGATGGGCTTGCGAGACAGAAAGCCCGCATCGTAGACCTGGAAAACGAAGTAGTCAGTCTTCGCAAGCAGCCGCCCTTGGATGTGTCCGTACCGCCAGCTTTACGATACCCTCCACCCGCAAGTCCATTATCATCGCCTATGCAACTATCGCCAAGCCCCTTGATTGACAAACCAGTGGCCCCTGTTCGCCCCCCGCCCACACCTTTGATCACATCGCCGGGGAAACCGGCTCAACCCAATACAAGCAACTCTACATCGTTGTCACTATCGGCACCTTCATTGAGGCGGAAACGATCTAGTAATGGCCCGCTTGGACCGAGAGAGCGTAACGGTCCTGCAGTGTCTGCTGCGGCGCGTCCACCAGGAGCCGCACCGTCCGCGTTTCTCCCCAAGTTGGACCTATTCAATGCCACGGATTCACATTCTCATCTTTCCATGCCCACATCCACGTACGATGGACTTCGAAGAACGTCCTTGCCCGTCTTTGTCACGGCGCAACCAAGCGTCAGCCATTCCGACGTGACACACGACTCTCCGGCGGTATCTATGCCTCAACTACGGAAACAGCAACGATCATCACAGCCATCGTCTTGGTACCTAGTGGACTATCCGCAACAGCCACTAGTCGACTCGAATCAATCAATACATGAAGCCGATCCTTCGAGTCGACAACATACAAGTCGAAGATTACCAAAGCAGCCAACGACAGGAACAGTTGAGAATGTTGACATTCCGCCTCGTCCAGTACGCTCTCAACCTCCACCAGCGGCGGTGGACCCACCGACGCTATCACGGAAAAGGGCACTCAGACGGCAGAGTAATCGAGACATTATATTGAATACGGACCTCTAATTTATTCTACTTCGTTTATTGGCCATCCTGGCTGCCGAGCACGGCAAACATGCGAGATACTCTAGTAGTTATGTATTACTCTTGCACCATAGATCTTTCTGGGCCGTAACAGACCGATGCGCAGTCATGAGAGGGCCGCGGAGTTAGCCCTCCCCGCGCCTTAGTGCCGTGATTTGGTGTTGAACAATATCACAGTGAGAATTGGTTCTGGTGTCGGTTCGGCGTACTCCGCCTTGGTCCCAACCTCGACCTTGACAACTTACCAATTCGGCCAACAAGATGTTTGTCGAAACCATATACTTGGATTCTCGCCAAATTCAATCATGAGCTCCGATGAATTCGTTGACTATTCCCGATAAATCGCCAACGACGATGTTTAAATCCGCAGAGGATGGCTCTAAGTCTAGTGATGAAAATCATTAATAACCAGCGCGCGCATGAGGTCCATATCTCCGCCAGTCGCCGTATAAAACGACGTGGAACAGGCGGAGGCGTGCCATAGCGTGCAGCCATGGCTCCTCTTGCCACTTTCTTCGCTCTTTTACCGTTATTTAAACTTATACACGCGGCTACGGTGTCCTACGACGGGCGTCCTACTGACCTCACTTGGGGACCATGTGCAGATGGCAGAACTGAAGGCGTTGAATGCGCTACTGCTCAGTGAGTGCGATTCAGATGCCTTTATTCTGTCTGAGCATCTTTAGAGTTCCTCTTGATTGGCTTGATTTGAGCAAAGGTATTTAGCACGTCTTGACGCGCTTGCACGCCCAATCACGCTCATCCTTTGGCTTTTCATTCTTCAAGGCACAATCACGCTCTCTGTGATTCGTCTACCCGCCAAGACATCTCCTCGCGAAGGATACATGTTTTACAATTTTGGTGGACCTGCAGTTTCTGGTGTCACTACCGTCGAGATGACTGGTGCCAACCTCCAAGCTCAGTTAGGAGCTGGATATGATATCGTCAGCTGGGACGTTCGTAAGTCTTATCTCTACCGGGCTATGAAGTGGCTCCTAATGATATGTAGGTGGTGTCGGAGGCTCTGGACCCACTCTGAAGTTATTCACTGGCGACGATGACTACATTGCATTTTGGAACCGGCTTCAGGGACATGGGACCATAGCTGATCGCGGAAACCTTACTCAACGCGCAGATGTAGATTTCTTGTGAGTATTTTGAAGCTATAGACTGTCATTGATAATTGAAACCGGGAAGTATGTCGCAAGTGCCGGCTTTTGACAATCTGACATCGTCCTCGGAGATATGATGCTCGCTAAGAACGGAGATACACTGAAATAGTCAGTACTTCTCCTACTCCGTGACAGAGCTTAATGATGAAATAGCGTCGGTACCTGTGCAACCGTACGCGATCTCGTCTATCTTGTCGACACGATGTACGGCAAAGGAGCGGATGTAAATTACTTTGGGACCAGCTATGGAACAGTTTTGGGAACGTATCTTACCCAGATGTTTCCAAATCGTGTGGGCAAAGTCATCCTTGACGGTAAATCTTCTACTCCCCTTGAAAAGTGAAATACTTATTCGATTCAGGTGTCTTTGACCCTTATAAACACTCGAATCTGCCTCCAATCGCATGGATCGATACCGACTCTCAGACTCTCGATGTGGCAATGAAGATGTGGGCAGAGGCTTGTGCAGCATACCCCGAATCTTGCCCTACGGCCAGTTTGAAGGCGAACGCAACTTCGGCAGATATTCTCAACATTGTCAACAAGATGCTTGACACGGCATACAGAAACTATGATGGCTTTGCCTGGAATATTGTCTCAAGCATAACCATCCCAAATCCAGTTGTGGCGAGCCACTGGTCTTGGGAATATCTTGCGCAGCAGGTTACCTTTTTCGCGTATGGAGGGGAAGCTTGGGATTGGGTGGACATACCCCAATTCGTCAACGCACAAAACAATAATACCCATTCCACAATCATACCCAGATCTAATCCAGTCTTCCACCGTGCGATGCGGCCATCCTACACTAACTATGTCCCCACAGATTTTCTTGACCATGTCTCAATCGCGATTTACTGTGGCGATGCTGTTGACCCCAAGGGGGAGACGACAAAGGATCTCTTCAAAGGCCTCGTCAGAGCATCACAATCTCACTCTACGCTGGCTGCTGCCTTGATGGGGACGTACCAGCGCCTGCATTGTCATCGTTGGAAAGCCAGAGCAGTCGAGCGGCTACCCGGTCGCATGGAGAAAAAGCCTAAAAATGTGGTGCTCATTATGGGTAACACAGGCGATCCGATCACACCATTTAGTAGTTCGAAGCGCTTGGCTTCCGCAGAATTCTTTGGCAACAAGGCTCGGCTTGTGAAGTTCAAAGCACTAGGACATGGAACGTGTGAGTACCTTTTTGTACGCTACAAAAAGATGCTTATTTCCCTCACAGCTTCCTTTCGTGAGTCATTTAGACTAGCTTGCGTGCTTGGTGCTGATACTTCCCAGCTTCTCGGTGTATCGATAATGTCGTCCAAAAGTTTATTCGAGGGCAGCCGCCCAAGGATGCTAAGAACGACGAGGCGGACGTCGTGTGCACCGTTGATTCCACACCCTACGGCCCTCCTCCTGCGACTTGGAATAAGCCATAGAGAATGTCAGCTTGACCGTACTCTCGGATATTTCGGATGTCTCCGTTGAGGTTGGACTTACTTATTGCGTTCTCATCTGCGTAAGCCTGCTAGTTGGAATACGAGTTCTCTCCATGCTACATTATAAAACAGACTCCAGATTGTTTCATTCAGCATGGAGCAACATCTAGCATTCTCACTTAGCAAGTCTCGTTTCCTAGATGATGTTAGGAAAGCAATGAATTATATACTACTCGTGGTTACCTTACTTCCGTCAATCACTCTAGACGTCCGATGCGAAACTTTCTGCATCCGACTCGTCCGGGTCGTCATAATCAAGGTCGGGCTGATACTCGTACTCATATGCCGCGTCCTCGGAATCGTTGGAGATTGCGCTGCCTTCGTGAACAGACTCGGTCAGGTGCGATGGCTCATCCTCATCCACTTCATACCACACGACATCTTCATCCTCGCTCTGTTCCTCCTCGCTTTCTGAATCATGAGCGTCTTCTATGTTTCCTTCGTTATCTTCTCCAGACTCTTGCGAGGTCCCCTCGTGCCTCGCAGCCGGTATATCGTGCCGATCCGCCCACAATCCAATCTCTTCCCCCTTCTGCGACACGAATGCGACCCTTGCCTTCCTACAGACTGAGATCGCATGTCTCCAGTGCCGCTTGTACTTGGCCGAAAGGATGCGAAACGCATCGATACATCCTTCTGGATACTGGTTCGACACTAAGACAACCCTCTCCAATACCGGCAGCTGTCCCAGTTCAATCTTCTTGAACAACGGGACAAAGTCGGTGATGTTCTTGTGGCTATTCGAATATTCTAACCGCATTCGTACCTCTCGCAGTGAGGGGTGCGATGCTTTGAGTTTTGGTGTCGGATCGGGCATGTCTGGCCACGGCAAACAGTATGCTGACAGACTAAGTGTCTGAAGGCTCTGTAGTGAGGAGAGACAGAATTCGAAAAAGTCGACCATAAAGTACCGAAAAGCTCCTTGACCAATATGGAGGTAGGTCAACGAATTCAGTCCGACCAGGAAGAAGGTAACCTCCTCGAGGGTGACCGGCATCTTATCCCAGTCAACAAACAGAGTACGAAGGGAAGAGGAGAATTGATGGAGGGAACGGAGAGAACCGACTGGCTGCAGCCGTGGCATTGGATTGCTCCACCTTCCGTCGATGAGTGAGAGGGTGTGCAAGTTTGGGAATAATGGGCCTGAATCATCATCCAGGAGATTCTCTTTATCAAATATGTTTTCAATGCGCATGTACCGGTTAATGGTAGGGATATGTAATACTTGTATAGCTCTCTGCCGACGAAAGAGCCTGCGAATCATGCGCGTCAAGTTTTCTCTTGCGGGAATGTTTTCGACGTGGAGCATCTCAACGCCAAAGAGGGAGAGTTGGTCGTAGGGGAGTAAGCTGATGAGACTATGCATCAACTCGAGTAGTATGGGCTCGTTTGATGGGTCGATGGCTGAAACGAGTTCCAGTCCGATTATCCAAGACGCACGCCGGCTAGAGCGATGCTCTAAAAGTGTCTCGATGAGGCGCGTTATTTGTCTACTATCGACGAGAACAATCCGCTCAAAGAGGAGTTCGAGGCCGATAGAGTACCAATGTTTACAGACGAGTGGGATTGAACGTCGAGCAAGAGACGATATTCGCCATTCTCGTCCTGATCCTCCCCCGTTGGGAACCGAAAACGCAAGTCCGTCAATGTGTGTGACCATACAAAATATTTGACGCCAGAGCTCATATGGAAGGCTCGGAGGGCGTTGTCGAGGGCGTGTGCTGTAGAAACGTCAGAAGCGTTGCTGCACAAGCGTGGTGAGAGTAGAGATACCTCGGATAGCCGTGCCACTTTGCGACTCTGACCGTCTCTCGAAGTGCAGCGTTTTCCTTTTCTAGGTCAGATATATGGAGGTGTGCTTGTTCCAGCCGAAGACGAAGCCGTCGCAATTGTTTCTCGAAGAAGGTCTTGTCCGTTTCACAATTTGGACAGACAGTTTCTGGGGCTTCTCCAGTCATTATCGGATCCATAGTATCGATGCGAATGCTCAGATGCGAAGCAAGTCTAGAGCAGTGGGATCCTAATTCTGACACGGCTGGGGTCCAAAGATGACGTCCACCTGCCAGGAATTCAAGAAGCTGATCGACAGACATAAACGAGTCGAGATTTGGTCTCATAAACGCTCCGAGATCTAGTTTGCCTGGAGAACTTCGAAATTCAGCATGGCGATCACATGTGTCAGTTTATAGCGAGCCTGGGAAAGAGATAAGGTTGAATGTAAGGATATGATACATCGAGTTTATGGGTGAATAGTCTACGGAGCAAGCAACGTGAGAGGCTCCATTGTCAAACTCCTCAGCCCCAGGCAGCCGTCGAGCTGTAGTTGACTATCAGATGACCATCCGTTGCGAAGCACTGAAGACTGTCAGATGTTGCGAGGGACGTTTGGAGGAGAATACCTTGTACAGATTGGCGACAGAATCGTCAAGCGAAGGTGCGAATGACAGATTGATGTATGTAAACTGGATAAAGACTGTCAGAGGAAATTCAGACGAGTAAACGGACCACAATGCGTACAAGTGGATCTGACGGTTTCCAGCCGAGTTCTTTACGCAGAAACTGGACAACGGCCTGGAAACGATTTGAAGCAGTAATCTTGAAAAAGTTTTGCTTCATAATTGGTGCATTTCCGACGGCTTTGAAGCGCACGACGACTAGGCGGCTTGTGAGTGACCTGAATGGGCGCCTTTGGAGAAGTTTTCGCCACCTTTTGTGAGATCTCGTTGCTTGTACGTCTGTAAGGCCTCGAGCGCGGGATTTGGTGTACCCGCCGAGGTCACAAGTTGAGGGGCGGAGGCCATCTTGGAATTGACCACATTGGCAGCTCACTTGAACATAGTCATTATAGCCTTTGAAAGCATTTGAATATCAAGGTTTTGTTACAGGTAATGCAGGGGTTAACCCCCATTACAAACATTTGTGATGTCGCCGCCAAGCTCGGAGGTCAACTGAGAGCGTACTGTTCTGGAAAATGATCTACGGGAATTGTCTACGTTTTCGGCCAGACCTTTGACCGGCGCTGGTGAATGTTCCGGCCCAGCAAAACTGAAAAGCGCCGCCGCTTCCGGCTGGGATTCGAGGCAAACTGCGAGCAGACGGGTCAGGATTCCGAATTCAGTTCTCGATACCACTTACCGCTTTAGCCAGGGAGCGGCCTAGCGACCAACACGCGTTCGTCCCGCGCCTCGCTATTTAACGGTAACAGGCCTTGGCTGCCGTCTTACTCTTCCCCTTCTTTCACCATACGGTGCACACATTAACGCCTAGCCAGAAGAATCAACGCTGGCGTTCTCAAGCCGCCTCGGTATATAACGACACGCCGTTCACGACCCCCCTGCGCCTACAAACCAACCGGGATCCATTCCTTTATCCCGCCACTATCATCATCGCAGGGCAACGCTCGTCACGATCCACAACTCGAGGATAACGAGTCGCTCCTACCAGACACTCTTTTACGCATTCCCTTCACTCACACGCCACGATGTATCAACTCTTTCTTTCACTTTTCCTGTTCCAAGCTCTCCTTGCTCGCGCTTCAAACGACTGGAGGACGCCGTGCATTGGTTCATGTGCATACGAATCCGGCGACGGCACCAAAAGGGCTTGGAGCTCCATTCTTATTGTATGTAACCTTTCACGGCTTCTTTGCTGGCCAAGCCTAACACCGCATCCGCTAGGACGGCCCTTCGCAACTTGTCTCGGACATTTCGACCGCTGCAGGCTGGTCCATCATGGATTGTGACGCCAATTCTCAGGACGTCCAAACAATTCGTCTAGTCTGTCATGATCTAGATGGCGTCTGTGATGCGCTCTTCGACGGTGGCGCAGAGAATACAATTGTTCGACTACCTGAAGACGTATGTCTTCTGCTCTCTCTTCAGGCTTTTACTTACCATTCGGGTGTAGTGTGCTGATGCTCCCTTTGCACGCGTCGTCAGCGTCAGCAGCTCTACCAACCAGACGCTCACTTCCAAAGTCGCGAAGCGGGTCGCCGCAGCTAAACGTCGCCGCTCGGCACCACCAGAGGTGCTGACAGTCAAAATCGACTACCAGTTCAACCTCATTCCACTTTCACGCGGCACCGTGTCGCTAACCGCACTCGCTACAACCAACCCACTTCAACGTCCGCTAGCTACCACTCAGCGACTTCGACGCGCACTTGGGTACGACGAAAGTGACTCTCATCATCGCCGGAGGGGAGGACACAGGCAACTCGTCAATCGGGAGATTCGCAGACGGGACCTCTTTACCGATTTCGTCAATGGGAATACGATTCCAGCTGGTATCACTGCTGATGCAATCGCTGCAAAGACAATGACCACGGATGGCAAGCTGGGAAAGCTGGGAAAGTCAGCCAACGGGACAACGAGCAAGCTTGGTAACTGGTCCAAAGACTGGAACAAGCAGTTTGATGTTCTCGACATCAGTCAAGGGTTCAACGTTGCCAACGTCAAACTCTCATGTCCACAGAATGGCGACATTCCGGCCTTTGACGCAAAGGTTTTGATTGATGCCCAAGTCGATGTCAAGGCCACAGTCACCGTGGGCTTCATCGCTGCCGTAAGTTGGTTTCGTCAACTACATAACAAGTTTCTAATTTCGTCCAGGGGTCGATCATTCCGCCAAAGATTAGCAAATCTGCGTTCACGGCCGGTACGTAACCCGTATAATACATTGCTCACAAGGCTCTGACCATGACCCATAGCTCTGGACGGTGGTGCTCAAGCATCGTTCAAGATTTCCGCCGATGCCAAGGGCACTTTTAACACCGGCCTTCTCCCCCTCTACAGTTCCGGCCTTGCTGGCTTGTCAATTCCTGGCATTTTGGATGTCGGACCATCCTTCTCTATCAACGGGCAAGGTATCGGCAGCATTGGAGTTCGAACCGATGCGGTCGTCAAAGCAAATTACAATTTTCCTGGCCTTTCGATGGTCTTCCCCCAGGACCAAGGCTCGAGCAGTGGCTCTGCTTCCCAAGGCGACACGCAGTCTCGTAGGTTTCTTTCTTAAAGTATCGCGGCGTGTCTAACTATTGGCGTTGACAGCATTGACACTCTCGATTGGAGGAAGTGCACAGCTTACTGGATCCGTCGAGGCACATATTGTGCCCCGGGTTGACCTTGGTGTCAAAGTTCTTTCGGGGATGGCGTCGGCGTCGGTCTATCTCCAGCTCGATGGATACGGTGCCCTCAATATGGACCTCAAGCTTGAAGGCAGCGCTTCAACCGGTGTCGGTCCCACACAGAAGGGCATTGACCCATCGCCATCTGTCGATTCTACCTCCGCCGTCTCGGAGTCTTTGACAGCTTCGACGACATCTTCGACGGACTTCGCCGCCAGCACCACCGAATCAGCCTCTTCCGAGTCTTCGACGTCAAGCTCGACTGATATTGCCACATCAACGAGCTCTGATGACGCTAGCGATTCTTTAAGCAGCTCAGATGCAAAGGAAGTCCCGACGCAATCTTCGACGCAAGCCGAAATATCAACTACAGTCCTTGCTCAACCAACTTATGCAGCCCCTGCTCAGATCGACGACTTTGACCCTCCATCGAGTGTGTTTGATCATCCCCCGCTCGTTGACGTTGCACAAATCTCGTCTTCTTCCGGAGTGGCTCCATCCAGCTGCCCGAGCAGACGTATGCGCCGAAGGATCCGGAGGACAATGTCGCCTCGCGACGTGGTTGTCAACAATGCGCGCGATGCCTCTGGGTCATTTAGCGGATGTGTCGGTGTGGGGCTGGGCGTCAAGATTGTCGCGGGTGCTCAAGGAAAGCTGTTCGACATCTGGAAAGCTTCCACGTCATTTGACCTGTTCAGTCAGAAATGGGACATCTTTAGCGTACGTTTTTCCTCATTCTCCATCCTGCTCTCCAAAAATTTGCCTCGCCTTTCTAGTGTTGACACAAATGCTGACTATGGTTTAGAAATGCTTCAATCACAACTTGCGGCGAGATACTAGTCCCTTTACTCCCGAGCTCTTCACACTTTCGTCGCTGGAGAGCAGACAACTCGACGGCTCTGATTTGGTCTGCCCCGCCATCACCGACACAATCAATGCCATCAACCAGATTATCTGAACACTCGCCTCGTGGACATTGTTCTCACTGTCTTTTCGTTTGGTTTTACAGCCGCTGCGTCGTGCTACCGTTCATTGCATGAATACATACAATTACAAAAACAGATGGAGTAAAGTTGTACAGAGATATGTCAGGAGCGTCCGTCGCGTGAGACCAAGCTCTATAGATTCAGATGATCCCTGAAAATGTGATCGAGGAGTGCCTGTCGCGAGTTCAGTCCGTTTTCAACGACTTGGAAACATATTCACCTCTCGTGATTGATAGTGCCGTCTGCAACTACTATCTGATTGCCATAGACAAGCATAGACAAAAATCTCCGCCTCCAATGAACCTTCCAGACGCTGACTGGGCAAAGCGAGCTCTCGAGGGTCGATGGATTTCGATTGAGAAGCTTCGGCTTCTTCGAGTGCCATAGCAAAGTATCGACCGTGATCTTCCTCGGACATTGCACTACCGTCATCACCGGTGACCGGCCGTAGCCTTGCAAAAGAGGCTGTCGTGCCGGTGTTTGACCGTCGGTCTTCATCACCATCAGTCGAGTCCGTAATATAGTCATCCATGCGCACAGAGGATACGCTCTGGCTGACAATATCTTGAAGAATTTCCGGCAACTTGTGCAAATCGGCGGGGTTGGACAGCGCAAGAGTCGTCTGCTTGAGCTTTTCCTGCATATCGTGTAGTTTGAACAATGCGTCGTCTCGTTCGTTTTCCGCGATGTATATGTCTTCTAAAAGCTCATCCCTCTTCTTAACCAACTCATTGTATTTGCGGGCAAAATCTTCCGCCCTGGCCGCGCGGTTTCGGACCACGTCCCCTGTGAGTTTGCTTTGTGCTTCAAGTATCCCAACTTGTGCACGTAATTCGGCAATCTCGCGCTTTGCCTCGTCCAACTGAGATTGGTAAAGATCCTTGAAATGGGTCGGTGCGTTTCGCGCGACCTCTTTGTCGATACGCGATTGACGTGCAAGTTCCATCTTCGCCGCCTCGGCCCGGCGTGCAACGTCCCGCATCTGCTCCACCATGGCATCGGTACTCGCCTTTGCTCGCTGGCTTTCGACGAGAGAATCTTTCAGCCTCGTATTATCCGCCTGCAACTGAGCGATCAACGCTTCGTCCTCTTCGGAACGGACATGCGACATGGGATGCGTGGGTACCATGCCTTCGACCCCCACATCCGTGGAAGTTTCCTGGCTTGCCGCAAGCGTCTGTTGTATGATTGCGTCAACTCCTTCAGGAGACATGGTGCCAAATTGCTTCAGGGCAGTGGTGAGACTAGCAACTTGCTGCTCGAGTGCGCGTTGAGCCAGAACGTGTTCCTGAATGGTAGCTGAAAAACGCTTCTCGTACACAGCACGTTCGTCTTGCATCAGCTTTATGCTCGTTTCCAACGACTCTATGGTTGCATCTTTTGCTGTGAGTTTCAGCCTCCACTTCCTTTCGACATCTTCGATCGTTACTCGTTCCGAATTTTCAATGGTCCTTCCGGTGGCTGGGCTCTCCTTAGTTTCCTCCATCGTTGGATGAGATGGGTTCGACGTATCATTGGGTGGCTTTATGCTTGGGATTAGAATTGAATTCCGTTCCGGATGGTCTACTCACGTTTGACTCTGTACCTTCAAGATCTCTTTCGACAGAGACTCGCTCAAGTGCGTCCTAGATAGCGTCATTTAGGGGCGACAGTCTCGCATTAACCCGACTCACCACGTCGCATGACTCTTGTATTGGGTCCTCTTGGTCCATGCCAGGAGCTGGGGCCTTGATTTTAGGCTCCACATCTGACTCTGGTATTCCATCACTTTTCGCGACGGGAAATGCTTCTCTTGACGCTTTTATCTGGTTCATACGCGATACGAAGGAGCCAGTCATTCGTTTTTCCGGTGTCTTTGACGAACTTTGGTGTGGATATGACCGTCTTGGGATCGCGGAATCCGAGTCGGGAAAGTCTTCAATCTGGGATGGTGGCGGACCCAGGGAGTCATGGAAAAAGGAAGGACTAAGTGGTGGAACAGGTCGCAATGATTTCGGGTTCTTCCTCTCGAAAGATGTGCTGTTGGTGTCTTGACTCGGGTCATCTTCCCCCGGTTCGGAGTCCGGAACAATGGTTCGGTTGGAGGATCCTCGACCAGAGCCATGAGAGGCGTTGTGATTGTCAAGTTTGCTGGACTGGTTGGCAGGGGTCGGGATTTCGCGATCGAGCTCTTCTTGCTCGGAGTTCTGAATTATTCGGCGTCGCTTCCGAGACTGTATCGAAATCTCCGACTTAGGGCTGGAATGCTGCTCAACCTTTGAGGGTGATGCCTTTGGCACAGGCGACCGAGGGCGCTTTCGAGTGATCTCGGCATATGGAGATCTACTCATTGGTTTCATCCCTATCGCATCTTCTTCTTTCGCTGGCCCTTTCACCGGTGCTGCTGCTGCCGAATCGGTGGGCGTTCCAGAGGATACGGAGGAATGTTGACCTGTGGGTCTAGGTGAGATCCCATGTCTCCTATGACAAACAAACTTACGCCGCAATTTGACTTCCCGCTCTAGCTTCCGCTTTCTTTTTTCGTCCTCCCATTCGCGCACCAATGCGTCGGTGCAGTCACTTTTAGGAATCCAACTTGGGAGCCATCCTTTGCCAGTTTTTGGATCTATTCCATCCCATTGAACCTGGTATTTGGTCCCAGACTCCTTGAGGATGCGTATAACGTTCCAAAATTCTCCCTGGCTCTCAACCTGTCCCTTCGCGGAGATGCGCTTTGGTGAAACGCCTTTCGTAGTAGCAGCAGAACTGTTGGTTCTGCTCAATCCTTTCATTCCGGTGGGTTTTCCAAAACGGATAGGCGAGGGGGTGTCCAAGTTGTAAAGTGAATTAGTGACTTGTTGCCTCCTAATTGTCAGCAATGCCACCCAAGAAAGCGCCTCAATTGCCGACCAAGGACACGCCTCTTAGCTATCATCGTGAGGAAATAATTATATCGTGCACAGTTCTGGCTGACAGTGCTAGAAATGGTCATTGAGCTCCTCAAGTTTCGTGCGTTTGACATCGAGACAACGCGAAAAATGCTCATATTCTGCAGTTGAAGTATCCATACACACAATTCTCTTTGTGCGAAGGATCTATCCCACTGAATTGTTCGCTCGGAGAAAGAAATATGACGCCCCCGTCTACCAGTCTCGACATCCAGATCTCAACAGTTATATCTCTGGAGCCGTTAAAGCTGTTGGAGAAGAGCTCGTCCGGGTCCGCGTTTGCTTCTCCACGTAATGCATTCGAGCACTGACGAGCTCCCAGGGTACCGTACAGCGCGTTGTGGTCGTAATACGAGATAGGGACAACGTGGCCCTTGAACGATTCGTATTCAACTTTTCTGGTCTCCCAGCCATTCCTAAGGACGCCGAGTGGCAAAAATGGTCAAAGTACGTTGATGTTCCCAAGTTTGGCGTCACTCAAAGCATGACAGCGTCGAGGGTGTGATGAGTGCTGCAACTCTGGCACAGTATTTTAGATCCTTTCTCATCCGCCTAGCCCTCCTTGACCGCCAACTTGGAACCCTCCCGGAAAGCTGGGACTCTACTTTCGCTGTGGTAATGGAATTGAAAGACGGGGAGACTCCTAGTGAACCAGTCAGCAAGGTGAGACGACTGTGTAGTCCATATTAGTCGGATGACTGTGGTCTAGGCCAAGGCAAAAGATAAGCCTCCAGTGGCCTGGGTTCCAGCCCTCGTTCAGAACACTACAGCTGGAATGACTGAAGATGCAGAGAGTCATATTATCAGAACGGTAGACACTGGTCTTGTAAATGTAAGTGAAGACTCCGCCGTGGATCCTGCCTAATATAATCATAGCTCTCTTTGATTGTACAGGAATCAGAAGACAAGCTTTTGAGAATAAAAGCGTTGGAGGATGATTCCATGGAATTATGATGCCGTACCACACAATTCCTTGAGCCTCTGTAGTACAGTTTCGCTCGGAAGCTCGCCATTCTCGTCTAAAAAGTCTGTCCAGTGTCATCCTAAATACTTTCTCGTTACGCACCTGTTTGAATCTGAAGTAGTTCTGCTAGTTGAATTAAAAGTTCGTCATCCTCATCCAGAGCCGCTTGAAAGTTCGACTCGTCTAATCTTGCTTGCATGGATTCCAACTCGGAGAGTAGGACATCGCATTGAGCAAGCGCCTGTTCGATATGAGTGTGGAGCCTCAAAAGTCCGGTGTAGAGGAAGAATAAGGGCGGCATAAGATGCCTTCGCAGAAGCGCCTCGACCTGTGCACGATAAGCTCTGGGCAACACGATGTCCAGACTTACTTCGGTCAAGAGCTTATTCTCTCTTCTTAATGTTTCCGACTCGTCCTTCTTTCTTGCCGATTCTAACCGCTCCTGGACCATCTCCACAGCAGAAGGTACGATGTCTTGTGTATACGACTCTTCCGAGAGAATCTCAGGTCCCTTATTCATAGCCATTTCGAGGATGGAAGCTAGTTCTTGATGATAGACCTCGCTCTCCAATATAGCCACTGCCCGGAATATCCCCCACACTTCTTTGAGGCGTTCCTGGCGTGCTTCCATGGAATTAGGTTGCCCTTTATTAGATTCCCAGAACTTCTCGATGGTTTGGTATTTACGACTAACGGCTCGGGCGAGCTTCGCCGCGTACTCGCTCGTGGGATCCAAGTCTAGGAAATGATTAGGGATTTCTTTGTGGAAATTCCGACACCTACCGGTTCTGATTTCCTGAGTGGGTGCCAAAGTGGATGCAAGGGATTCGGCTAGTAATTTGTCAAACTTGATCACCGTAAGCATGCATTTTAGTCTCAGATACTATAATCATACCTCTCTACTACTCCTTGCTAGTGATTCTTCATATTGCGCAATTTTGGCCTTCAGCTTTGCCGCCTTGGCTGTCAACCCATTCACGACCTTGCGATCTCGAGCAATCGCAGTTCTTCCAAAGATTCAGGACACAGGAGAACAGGTTCTATGCAGCCACACCGTGCATTCTTTCTTCTCTCCTTCAGCTCTAGCTCCAGACGTTCCTCGTGATCTCTGTCGATATTCGATTCGTCAAACCGTTTACTGGTGGTCGTTAGAGCTGCATCAATCACACTTTTGGGATAGTGTACCGTTTCATAGAAGGCCGCTCGTAGTTGGACAATCGGAATCCTGGGACAGTGTAATCGTCCTCACCGATCAGTTGCATTGAGACGGCCTTTGTGTACCTAGATCTCCATCATTTGATGCATCATTTTCCTGAAGAACGTACGCTCTGAGTTCATCCTGCTCCAAAGTGATACTCCAAAACTCTTTCTCCGCTTTGACCCATGGCTCCAAGATTTCGTCGAGCCACGCAAAGCCATGAGGAACTCGTGATTCAGAATCAAGGCCAGAGGTCAAGTCTTTGTCCTGAATCTTGGCTACCAGCGCAGCCAAAGACTCCATAATCACGGTCAAAAGGAGGGCTGGGACAAACAAACGAGATATATCGCACTAGTCGGGAACAACAGCAGACAGATGACAACAGGTCCATGATTATCACAACCAATAAGATATAATGAAACCATCCTTGGAAGAGTATTCAAAAACTTGTATCAGCCTCAAGAAGCAGTGTCCAGGCCATGTTTAGAGCACTGAGTCGAGTATATCAAACATTCACGAGATTCGTTCCTTCATACGAACTGTACGCAGCCAAATCTCGCCGGGGCGACTGGTGGGATATGTCAGAGCGAAACTGGGGCAACCGATTTCGACACATACCTTCTTTCGCGCAAAAGTCTAAACACGCGACCTCCATCCCCTTGCTTTGGCTGTACTCCAGGCTGAGGCTTGAACCACTCCATACCGCATCGGAGCTGAAGATCGGCCAGGCCCTCGTTCGTACCTTCGGCTTCGATGACCAATGCGCCTTCCCACCCCGCATCGACCACAAGGTTGGTATCCGGAATAGGAGTACCACGCGTGACTTGGAAGCGTGTTCGGTGCGTCCACCGCATAACAGCGTGCCGTCCGCCTTGAGGTCTACAACGCTTTATCAATACCAAATCAAAGGCAATCTAGACACACGTACGTTTCGGCTGAGCCTCTGTCTTGAACGAGCTGAAGATTGGACGCAATGTCTTTCCCCCATGGACGAAGATCAAGCTGTACGATTGGGTTTCCGGAAGAGCGCAGCACCTTGTGGAAGTATGCAGGAGGAAACGACAGACTGTGAAGATATGGTGGGACGTCACCAGTCGTACTAAAGGTGTAATCCAGGTCAATAAGATAATTGCCATCCCAGATCAGGCGCCCAGCATTGCCGAAACCCGCTTCATCTGACACCGCGGTGTCCCAGATGACATCTCCAATCTTCAGCAAATGAACGACACCAGCACGCTTCAGCTCTTTTTCACAAGCGAGAACGCTAGCATCGCTGAGCCAAGGTCCCTCTGGACTTGGCACAAATACACGCAGCACGGGTGCATGACCAATGCGATAAAGAGGAGAGTGGAACGTCTTTTTCCACGTCCCACCCGTCGTCGGTGGGCTTTGCGCTCGGATGAGCGGAGAATTGGGCCGCGACCGCTCGAGAATCGCAGGGGCTCCATCAGGCGACGTTTGGTTGAGAAGCGCATCTGCCTCTGCTTGAGCTCTCAATCGGAGCACTACCTTGGTGTAGGCACGCGTGGATGATGCGAGGAGGCGCACAATCCTGCTTTTCCCCTCCTTTGCTGAGAATGTCTGACCTTCAGAGATTTCAGCATATCGATGAATGGGGATCGAGACCCCTCGAAGATAAGAGTTGAGGTCCTAGAGAAATGTCAGTACAATTCGCATACGAAACCGAACAACTTGCCCTGAGCGTAAGAACCATGGGCTCTTTCTTCTTGCCAAAGTCCCACCGCGTGTATCCAACAGTTCCAAGATACCGTTCCAAGATTTCCTCACGCAGCTCGCGGCGGTCCTCGAGCATATTTCGAATGACCTTTGATGAGCTTGAGAGCGAGAGAGTATCAGGGAACTGCAGATAGGGAAGCGTTGCCGCCAATAGGACAGGATAGCTCAAATGCATCTCGATGGGGTAAAACTTTTCCTCTTCTGGCTCCTGATCTTGCTCCTCGACATACTGAGACTGACGTTGTGGCGCGTATTGTGGCTCATAAGGCTGCATCGCTGGTGAACGAGCACGAAGCACGGGAGTAGAGTCGCCATTGTACTGGGGGCGTTGATACTCTGGTTGGACTTGGGCTTGATACGAGTCTCGCATCTCGCGGTGTCCATTCACACGATGATGCTCCGGAGAGCGCTCCTTTCGAGAGACTGGAGATGGGGGTACGGGTGAAGGCGGGACAGGGGGCTCTTCCGGAGCAGCATTATGGCTCTCGTGAGATGATCGCGATTCTTTCTCGCGACGACGATGTCCAGACCCAGAACGAGCTCGCTTGCCCTCGCCACTGCGTCTCCTCTCCTCCTGTGTAGGGAAAGTCAGTGGGGCTGGTGTCTCTTGCGGAGCCGTCTTTGATTTCCTGGGAGACGGGGCAGGTTGTTGCACGGCCTCTGGTTCTCGTGTATAGGTGACGTTGTTGATCTTGGACCCACTTTTTGTGAGAGTCACCTTGCTAACAATCTGCGCCTCTGGAAGGCGTCGTGTAGGCATGTCGTCTGGCGTGGCGATGCCACTTGGCGACGTTGCAGTGGAACGTGAGGTAGCGCTTGGCGTCGACGAACTCGCTGCAGATGCAATAGAACTTTGGCGAGACGGAATATTCGTCGAAGGGAAGCTGCGATTGCTGGCTGGCTCTGGAATCTTGGATGAACCATTAGAGCCGCTCTTAGCTGCTTGCTCCAAAGCGCGACGTGCTTCGGCAACCTTGGACATTTCCACAGGTGCTGGCGCCGGCTTTTCTTGTTCTGATTGTTGAATGCGACTCTGGCGGACAGTAGCTACCGAGGATGCCGCAGAGGTAGGAGCAGTAGCAGACATGGAGTCGCCTGAGAGTAAAGATGATGATGATGTAGTAGTCGATTTGGGTGCGGGACGCACAAGGGGAGTCTTCTCAGGGATTTTGTTGGGATAGTTGGGATCGATTGGGAGTGGAGAGGGTACCAAATGTTCCGAAGATTTAACAGGCTTCAAGACTGGCGATGCGGTCAGACCGCCATCCGCGAGAGCACTCGAGGGAGCCGCAGATGCCATGTTCGATGGCTGGGAAGTGCGAGCGGCCGTCCCGACACCCGAGAGGTTGGATGGCTTGAGACCTTGAGACGGTGGAATGGCAGATCTCCGTTTCGACTCGAGCGGCGTGCTGTTTTGATTCTCGACGCCTGTCACGATGGTGGCTTTTGTCGGACTAGGCGAGCGCGCTGAAGGAATTGGGGGGTTAACAGGCTCCGAGGCGACGTTCTTCGCCTGTTGTAATGATTCACGTCGACTTGGAGGTTTGACAAGAATGTCTCCGTCCAAATTGGACGTATGAGACGACGCGGCTTGGCTTTTGCAGCCGCGGCTTCCTTTTCGCGAGCAATCCGCGCAAGCAGCGCGATAGGGGGTCCCTCTTTCGGCCTGAATGGAGCCGATGGCGAGCTTGTGCTCGATGGTGGCTCCGTTGCGCGAATGGCGGAATTGTACAATTTTGAGACGTCAGTCGGATCGTCATCTTGAGCAAGAATGGACTTTTGAAGGACTGTCGGTTTCGTGTCGAAGATTGAGTTTGTCTCGTTTTGTGGAGTCGGGGCTAGTCTCCGCTGTCAATAGGCTAGAAGGCACTGATAGCTGATAACACGGACCTGTCGACCTTCGTGTCGCATGTGCGGTAGCAGTACCAGACCCTGTGATGTAATCAGCAATCTGCAACACAGAGACCGGAACGGCAGCTTTTTGCCGATAATGGCGTCTGGCATGCTCAGCCATGAAGCCTTCGCAACGCGATTGCGTACGAAACTCGAGGCTTTACAGCAAAATCATAAAGAAAATTGCACGAACCTGTATGGGCATGGTTTACAAGGCGAGAGGTTGCCCCGTCGTGCGAGGATCGCTCGTGGCTTGACGCCGGAGGAGGGGATGCTAATTCGAATGTTAAAAATGACTCTGTGGATAACAGGATTCCACGCACAGAAACGGTTTTGGGATGACATGACGCCGGCCTGTGGCTTGGACTGATTGGCATCTGAAGAAAGGGTTGTACTTGAGCAATCATCTCCCAAGAATGCATTTTCCCAAGACGTACTATTGATTGCGCTCCCGTTTGCGGCCGACAGCAATCCATTGGTCTCTGCACTCTCGCCGTTGACCACGCCGGAGCTCGTAGTCACCTTTGCTTTCTCCGTATACATGGAAACTGGTCTATTTGGTTCGTCTGTCGTTGTTCGAACGCGTCTAGGCTTGAGTTTGATGGGCTCTGGTTTGGCGGGTGCTGCTGGAGGATCGCTCGGGGTAGCTTTGCCAGCACTGAGGAGAGACGATCCAGCTGCTCGTCCGTGAGACCCAGCAGCAGCGGCATCCCCACCATGGCTGCTGAGACTGGGCGTGCCGTTGCCGAATCCGCTCGCAGTACTTGCGTTAAAGGCGGAAAAGCGGGAAGCGGAGGGGCTGTCGAGACCGTTGTTGAGAGATTCAAAACTCGGGCTTGATGTCATGCGCGCATAGCGAGCATATAACGGCGTCGGAGGGAGGTCCTTGGCCACTGGCGGGGGAGCGACGCTCGCTACAGGCTTCGGCTCAGCATATTGAGGGATATCATCGCGCTGAGATTTTCTCTTGATAAATTTCATAGATATTCAACAGAGAGTGCAGTCCCGTCCGCCAGAGGATTGTCGTCGTCGGGTCGAAAGTAAGTCAAGGCCAGGCACAAGTAACGCTGCTACCCTCCTGCCACGCACGGGTGGTGTGTCTATGGAGTAATCATTCTTACTTTCGTTCGGCATCTCTACAGTTTTGTCGGACATCTTTCATACTGTCAATGTCTCGCTTCTGCTCTATTGTCCATCGGACACACGGCGACAGGGTATATGCGGCTAGATTCAACCAATAAAGCATACATAGATGTAGTACATATTCCATTGTATCACCCGTGATAGGTCAAGACGTCTACGGCTTCTGCTGTTGGCGGCGGCGACTCTCAAAGAAATCTTGGACATCCTTTTCAGTCACGACGCGCCCCTCTTGCGCGAATGGAGCAAGAAACGCGTTCAGGTCGGCGCTACGAGCCATACGTCAGTCGAACCGTTCATCTTTGTGGTAGGGGACGCACCTCATTTCCTGGAATGCCCTAATGCCATCAATCGCTCGGTCACGCGGGAGAGTATTTAGGGCCTTCATTCCCAGCTCCTCGAGGGAGAGACCTGTCGAACGATAGGTTATCGCGTGAGCCCCACTTTCGCGTCCTGGATTCGACATATGTCGCACTCACCGGCGTCTGGGTCTTCAGGTGGCTCATACGTCTCTTCTTCCTCTTCTAAATATGGACGCGAGGCCAGGTAAAGGGAGCACTGCATCTTACGTTAGGTTTGTTTTCACCGAGTTGAGCGACTCTAACCTCTTTGCATTTACACCATCTGTCACGCCATCCCGCTGTCAGGAAAATATCCCCAGCGCCCTGAAGACCTTCTCCTTCGAGGTAAGGTCCCTTCTTTAATTTGATACACTCAAGAAGTTCCCGGATTGCCGCGTCAGGAGTAGGCGCGCCGCATGGAGCTGAATCCCTTCGAGGTTTCTTTGCTGGGGGTTCATGTGGGTGTCCTTCGCTCGAGCCCGTCATCTGGTCCAATGTGCGCTTCTCTCCAACTTTGGTATCCAGAGTCGAGGATGTTTCCTCTTCCTGTTTTGTTTCTAGAGTCCGTGGATAGACAAACCAATCTTCGGAGGCGCTAGAGCGCACAACCATCCGTGCGCCGTCCGAACCTGCCCACTTGAGGAGCATTGGGCTGGCAGTAACACATTCTCCGCATATGAATACGTCGTAATCTGCTGGTGGAATAAGTGCCTTGGGTATTGATGGGTCATCGTCATCGTCTTCATCCTCATAGTCCCAATATCGTCCAGTTGTCTCTTCTCCCTGCGTATCCTCTGCTGAATTTTCTGCCTTGGGTACCTCGCCAGGTTCTGACGGGTCGGATGGCGGTAGACTGGACGCTGGCGACTCGGCGCTCGTTTCTTCACGAGGCGGAATGCGTTCCCGAAGGTTCAAGCAACTCTCGTGAAACCAGTCTTCACATGCAAGACACTGTACCATAGTCTCCCTCTCCTTCTCGCCATCGTACAGACTTTCAGGACGGTTAGAGAACGGCGTAATGGGCGGTTCTAGATAGCGCACCTATGACAGCGACAAAAGCGCCCTCCATCTCGAAAGTTTTGATTATACTTGTTAAATTCGTTGATCTCAAATTTCTGGTTTCCGCGAGCGGTCGGATTGCCGTTCAAACTGCACGGGTGTTCAAAAGCGCGCGTAGGACAATCGCAACGAAAGTCGCGTTTGGGGAAGAGCTCTATCTGTGCATGCTCTCCGTGGCAGGCTACACTGCATCCTGCGCAGAGACCCCGTATTTGCTTGCAATCGAGACAAAGGTGGACGGCCTGGCGCAGGGAACCTAGCGCGTACGTGCATTTATCGAATGCATGCGGAATAGCTTCGGCGGCTGCTTGTAGTAATAAATTCTGCTTTTCGTAGTCGGCGGCGAGCGTAACGATGTTGGACATGGACGAAGGGGAAGGCAAGAAGTGGCCAGGCAACCCACTGACTGGCAGAGACACGCGCTAATTACCTTATTATAGCAAAACACTAGAGGATTATGTCTTGTTGTATATAAAAATGTACAAAGAGAAGGACGTTTCCAAAAAGGAGCAAAAACATTTCGACGACAGCAGGATTCGAACCTGCGAACCAAATGGAAACGGCTGACTAAGGGATAGCAGGCCGCCGCGGTAACCACTGCGCCATGCCGTCAATCTAGTGGTGCTTGCAAAAGGTGAAAATATAGTCTACTCTTTATCAATAAGAAATCGTCTTTGGCCAACAGACCATTCTCTAGTAAGCTTACTAGGCTAGATGCTTGACTTTCGTGAAGAGTGTTTCGTACGAGGTAATCCCTACTGAGTGCAGCGTCGCTTATTGCAACTTGGACCCGACTTCATGCACTGGTCTCTGGCAGCAACGGCGGTACTGGTTCTTGGGTCTCCTAGATCAATCGAATTCGTCTAAAAGATCATGACGCTCAGCGAAGGTGTGTCCCTTACCCCGCTCTCATTCTTGTCCTGACACAATGCGAACAGTGACCACGTACTCAATTCACAGAGGACTGTCCATACTACTCTATCAGTTCTTCTGCAACACCACAACGACCTTTTCGCCATGGGCCTTGCCCTTTCGCATATAATCAATCGCTTCTGGCAGTTCCTCGAAGCCATGGAACAGCTTGAGGGGCACGTCGTCCTTGGTCAACTTCTTGCTCTCGATGAGAGAAGGCATCATCCTGTTCCATTCCGCCAACGCCTTATGATCAACGTTCTTCGGATCCAATGCGGTATACAGCAAAATCTGCTCCACCTCGGCACCCTTGGCATCCAAATTTGGTGAAGGAGCTTTTTGAGACAGGTTAGCACGGGATACAATTGCGCCATGGTAAAACGTACTCATCGTGTCCAGCCTGATGACTTTGCCACCTTGACCGACGATGTCGCAGCACTTTTGCGTGCTATCGTGCTCGGAAATGCAGTCAAATGCGAGCTTGATAGCTCCGCAGCCGGCATTGTTTGCCCACTGCTTCACCTTCTGCACGGCTTCGGGGTCCTTGTAATCGATAACGGCTTCGGCACCCAGTTTCTGGAGGAGAGCTTTGTTCTGCTCAGCAGCAGTCGTAATGACGCGCATTCCCGCAAGGGAGGCGATCTTGATAGCGGCCATTCCGACGCCTGTAGCAAGCGTCAGTGCTTGAATATCGAGCATCCTCGGACGTACCACTCGCACCAGACCAGATTATAATCTGTTATTTGAGTCAGGACAAAGCGCTCATAGGACAATTAAACGCACAGGCTTACGGTCAGTGACCCCCTTCAAAGGAATACCGAGCTTGCAATGGATTGCCTGCATCGTTCAATACACCGTGGATACTCTAGAAGCCATGTACTCACAAAAGCCGCTGCTGAGAGGGAAACACCGCCCATATGGGCAGCACTCTCGTATGGGAGGATGTCGGGCTTCTTCCAGATCTGCAAGCAGGTGGGCTTTTTTATTAGATCAAGGCGGACGGCACTCACATTGTCCGTGTGCGCAGCGACGTACTCTGGGCATAATTAGGGTGAAGGCCCGCTGTCAAGCAAATAGACTGACCTTGGAATGCACCATTGTTTGGCTTGATTGCGGGGCCAGGCGTGATTCCCGCGACGGGATCACCGATGCTGAAGCCTTTATTCTTCGCATTCTTACCCATGGCACAGATGGTTCCCGAGAAATCGCATCCCACAGACTGTCCCGGCTGGAGTACCCAGTCGATGTGCTATACAAGGAGTATCAGGATACGTTGACAAAAGACACGAAGACAACCTTCCAGTCCGTTGGATTGATTGCGACGGCTTTTACTTTGACAAGGACCTCGTCATCGGCACACTCTGGCAAGGCTTGCTGCTTGATGGCAACCTTGCCGCGTTCGACGACGACGAGAGCTGTATGGTTCGATGGGAGAGACATTGTAGTTGTCCGGGGTCAATGAAGAAATGTGTGGGAGAGGTTGTGGATGGAGATATATAGTGAACGATAAGAACAATCTTGTGTCGTCTTGAGTGACGAGCTTCATCTTCTGGCAGGTGCTCTGGGGAGGGTGTCCCTCTCTCTACGAATCCTTCGGATTTTGCCGTATACACTCGTTCTCATTCATATCTGAGCGCATGGTGGCCCGGCGCTGAAGCTTACACCACACAATGTTGCCCCGCATGACATTCATCCTTTTGCCATACTATACAGAGGTTTTCCACTAAGCCTAGGTACTATATTGTAAGTAAACACAACTCTTTACAGCGGATTCGAAGGTGACCGGCCAAGGCCTTCGGTTGTCGAACCGGGAGTTCATCGAAAGTAAAGAGAAAAGGATCTTCAATCAAAGGAATTCAGCATAAGGGAGGGCTTTGCCTCCAAAGGCGTCAACTTCTCAGAACCGGGTCGGTTTTCCGTTGGACATTAGGTTAGAAGTCGACTCAGGATCTGGAAGCTCGTTGAGATTTCCAACCTTACAGGTAAAAAGCTTTGCAATGAGGTTTCCATGCTATATTCAATTAGAGGCTGTTTGTACTGTGATCGACGAATCTTGCAAAGCAGAGCTTACAAGTATCACAGTCCTAGACACGCGACCTGAAACTCGCAGACTATTGTACGCAACTTGTTCTTTGTACGAATTGCCCCGTTGAAGCGATCTTTCGGCATCTATCAAACATTGCAACCCTTTCAGCACAAGTAAGATGCCGTGACGGATCAACTCAAGCTGATACATTCCCATATTTAGTCTCATGCCCTCTAGAGGCTGCAACCCTGGAGTTGGTGCCTCTTACGGGGGGTGTTCATATCCAGCCTTTTGGTCCAAATTCTAAAGCTAAAACCCACCTGTACACCCGCAATCAATCCTCCAATATACTTACAGGCCTAGAACAGGAGCCCCAAGCGCTCAAGGCTTGTCCTTGGGCGAGTAACCAACGAGTCTAGACTGTGGGAGGCGAACCTGGACCTTGCTTGATCCATCTCTATGCTAGCCTGGTTTGGTATCACTTCAGAAGAATAGAAACGTGGGCCACTTTGTCCTCTATGCATCGATAGTCGGGTCGTAGATTGTAACAAATGTTATCCATGAAGCTCAAATTGCAATCGAATACATAGATCTATCTCGATGGGATGCATTGCGTCCCCGTTCCTCTTGCCAAAAATACCTCCGCCGATATAATATCACGGATCACCCCTTTGGGCACGTAGTTCCGATAAAATCTATAGTTGAATTGCAGATGAAGAAGAGGACGACAACCCAGCGGGCCCTCTGGCCACTCAGAACCGGCGCTATTCACTATACCTTCCAAAGTGGGTTTAGCACTTGCCAGCCCCTAGAATCTTGGGAGAAATTTGCAAGAATACGCTGGCATACCAAAGGAAACAATGTGGGAGCCATTTTCTGCTCGCCTCTGGACTGTTTCATCACACGCTTCGACCCGCCACTTTCTCATCAAATCTCCTCTTCCTCGACTTTTTACTTGTCCGACTTTGCCGTCGAGCAAAAGTCTAACGGCATTCTCCAGGGACTGTTAGAGGGACAATCCACATGCCTGCCTGAACATTGCCGAACCATCGGCAACGCTATGCCATCGACTGGGCTACTCCTCATTGGGATGTTCTATGGCTCGTACCTGCTCCTGAGAGGATTGTCGGCGGTGGCACGGCGGCGGAGATCCTCTGCGCTCTCTTAGACTCGTCTCCCTTACTGGGTCCAAACCGGCGACTAGAGTGATAACCCCATCTCGATCAGCAAATGCCTATTGGACAACGAAAAATCGATGGGACATCTATGACAACCATAGATCCCTCCTTGTGCGTCACTCCACGCCGTCGTCACATCTAGTCTTCGAGTTCAACCTCCAACATGCACCTCGGCGGCGCAAAGATGCGTGTCGGGAGGGGTACACTCTTCTTATCTTGGCGCATCAAACTTCCATGCGATTTCAGTAAGAGAATTCTCACCAGACCCTGTGGGGCTCAAGAGGACGACAGTAAATGTACCGCCAAGGTAAAACGTCAATTGCAAAGCACGATGTCAAGAACTACAGGGGCAAACTACCTACGCGGTAGCAAAAGGGACATGAGTGATGGGAAGGGGTCATTGCAATTGGATATGCAAGCGAGGTATCGTTACATGCGTAAAGGAAGAGTGACTAGACGAACAAAACCCGAGAGTTCTACCCAGGGCAAATGAAGGGTAGTCGAGGCAAAATCCCGAGAGAGAGAGGAAACAAATGTGGGAATCGGACACACATGAAACTTGCATGTGAGAGAGTCTATGGCGATGGCAATACTTACATGCTCCTACTGAATCAGAAGGAGAAGAATTGTTAGAGGAGCGAGAGTCGATGCTTGAGATGGCTTGAGAATCCGTCTTGGCCGAGTACGACGACGTTCATGCATTCGAGTGGAATCTCATCCACTTCACGGATTTGAGCTGCCATTTGACCACCAAGTCCGCTCGCCCACCATGTGCGAACGATCAGCTCGTGGAGACGAACGAGGTTCGGATCCAGCGCGTCGACGTCCCAGAGTTCACGCCTTGGAGGAGGAGCCGACGGCAAGGGGGATGGAGCACGATCGTCGTGGGTTTCCATCAGCGGCGGAAAGAAATGGAGTCCAGACTCTTGCCGTGGCTCAGTGTCCCGAACCGGATTCAGTAAAGCTCGGAGGGAATGCCTCTCGCCAGTCGAGGGGGTAACCGGGGTGTAGGAGCCTTGAAACGAGCCAGCCGAGTGGTGGGAGCTCCTTTCAAGTGGGCTTTCGGGATAGTCACCGGTACTGATGACACTAGCGACACTGTTCCGTCTTCTCGTATGGAAGAGCTGGTTCCATTTCGTTCGAGGGGGAGGAGGAGACATGGTCGCAGTCTCGTACTCGCTACCCCTGCGAGATGATGGAGGCGAGGTGATTGGCCCACCGTGGATGACGGGTGGAGGGTATGGCGCTCTTCTCACACGGTACGTCGCTGGTGGCGTGCGGTGCGAGGCATGTGCCGACCCACGGTGCACACTGTACGCGGGTGAGAGACGAGAGGCGACAGGGGTTGACATGTTATGGACAGCTGTTGGAGCGGCCATGGGCATGGTTGACTGAGGGCCAACGGAGCGGAGGGCCGGAAGTTGATAGTGAAACGGTGGCGAAGGAGGTGTTGGGATGGGTGTCGGCAACGGGTTATGGAATACGTGCGAAGCCGAGTGCGATGAGGCGTGATGAGGGACAGTCGGGATCGGATGGGGTGGAATTATCGTCGAGATTGGTGGGAGGTCATGCAGGGAAGAGTGTCGAGTATGTCGCTTGGTAGCCGGGCGCGAGAATTGTATAGAGGTCGCCCCAATATCGAGCCGAGCACCGTGAACTCGCTCAATCCCATTTCTAGTTTGTCTCGTAAACTCTGGGTCGTTTTCGAGTGTTGGGTCCATGCAATGAACGTAGAACTAGTGGTAGAAGAATGAGTGAACGGCAAGAAAGCACTGAGGACCAGAACTCACCTGGCCACCACTCTCGCGAAGGACAAAACGCCCTTCATCAAACCATCGCATCCACTTTTCGCTCATGAGAACGGCATTGCGTGAAGTTTGAAGAACGTTTGTCGATGTAGCGTAGTAATGTCCTCTTCGCTTCGATGGAGTCGTTGATGGTCCATGATAGGGCGCAAAGCCCATCTCAAACTCCTTGTCTACATCCAGGGGTTCTGAACTACTTGAAAGCTTCGAGTCTAGCAATGCGTCGTACTTTTTCTCAAAGTAGACGGACACTAGGTGCTTGAAGCGTTGAAACCGAGCTGTATCATGCGATTCTGGAATGATCTGTGTGCAGAAGACACGCTGTTCTGTAGCTCGAGCATAGCTATCCTGAGGCCGTTGGAGTTCAACTTTGGAAATGGCACAACCTGGACCGTCCCGCTGCGCAAGCTAATTCAAGTTGTTGGATGAGCAAGCAGAAACCAACAATGAAAGCTACATACGGCGTTTATCATTCTCCTTCGTGGCCCTCTAGCTCGTAATGAAAGAGCGTCGCCAAGTAGCGACTCGTCTTCGCCATCTCTGCTTTCCTCGTTGAATATCAAAGATGTCAAAGTCCATGATTCTGAAAACGTTTCGCTTGCATTACTTTGTCGTCGCTGGTAGTGATGATGCAGAGGATAATAGTAGCCATGGTCTTGCACAAGCCAGCTAACGTCGTGATGGTCATTCACAACCTTGCAGCCGTCTAATCCAGAATCCTCGTCGACATCTTCAGCCGCAACAGTCTCACTGGGACCATTGTCGGCCTCATCTTCTAATATGGGCTGTTCAGTGGCGTCGTCGACTGTCGACTGTGGCGAGCGACGTGGGAGTGGAAACCTTCTTGGGATCATCTTATCATTCTTGTGCTGCTCGACCACTACAGGAGGCGGAGGCGGGGGGAGAGCCGCAAGGGGCGAGAAGGGATATTTTCGCTTTCGGGTACGTTTGATGAGCTGATGGTAGCGTTTCCCTAATGCTGCAGGAGAATTGATTAATACTTTTGTCGCTGTCAGTGGAAACAAGATGGCGACGCACGATAGAGCACAAAGTCGGTGGCCCAAGTCTGCGCGACCGAATTGTAGGCAGTGGCGAGCATGTGAACGATGGGAGAAGACGGCTGGAGATTGTTTGCATATCGACGATCGGCTGCAGTAAACCAAGCGTCTTGAACTTGTTCGAGGGTGATGCGCTCCCGTGGACCTCCCTCTGCAGGCGGCAGGTCGAGCAATGACCGAAGCTGGGTTGTGATCATGGTGACCATGAATCTCGCTAGTCCATGGCGATTGTCAGCGTGTTCGAGAAGAGCGGGCAAGAGGTGACAGGAAAAGGGAGTGAGGAGTCGATTGCTGGCTGGGTTGGTGAGGAATGCGGTGAGGATCGTGTCGCACTCCATCTGACCAACGGGGTGTGTAAGGAATTTTGACGAATTTCGGCGGATCTGCAGGGGAATTTGTGGCCAAGGGAACAAGTGCCCAGCAGCGAGCTCTGGCGTGTCTACTGGCCCTCGGTTCTTATACGCGTCGCACCCGCGTCCATCTCCACCGATGGAGAAGAGAGAGCAAGCCTTTGGACGAAGCGAGACTTGCCTTCTTGGGCACGTCGCTCCTTTCCGTTTCCCGTCGGTCGGTGTCTTCCGGTCAAACCGCACGTCACTCAGGTTAGGCTCCATGTATCCCATCGAGATGCTCCCCCTGGCCATGATTACTCGGTCGGCGGAGTCACACTCGCCATTCACTCCCCATCTTCCGCCGGCTAGACCCAATCCGTACGCCCCATACAGTTCACGGCCAACGTCGCGTCCCATAGCTTTGTGCGGCGGCTCCCAAGCCAAGGCTATTGCGGGCAATTGGACAGCGGGTGGTCCGCTTGGGCTGGTTTGCGTCCTCTCGCTCGGGACCGGCCTCTGGAGCTCATCATCGTTTACTATCGTAAAGCTAAGTAATCCTCCTTCCCTAAACGCATCCTCCCCACGCGTCGGATCCAAAGGTGGAAGTCGCAACATTCTAAAACGAGTAGGGCGGGCCGACATATGTCCATCATCCTTGTCTCGAACAACGAAAACGACAAAAAAGGAAAACCGTCATGATGGGGCCAGGCGGACATGGCGTGGGTGTGAACCCCCCCTTCCCCCCGCGGACTCCGACATCACGCCATCCGCCCGCCCATCACAATAGACGCTTATCTCTTGCATTCGGATCCCTGTCAGAGGGGTCGATCCCGGCCTGGAATCGTCAAATACGGTTAGTCGATTCCGCGCTCACACAAAGCACAATCCCTTCAGAGCACAACCGCGTTTAGACAAATGCGTATAACGAGTTACAGTTTAATTTGAAAACGCCAATACCTGGGACACAACAGCCTCATCACGATGTCCGCGCGTATATCCTTCGCGGGCTTCCTTTGCCAATCCGACAAAGGTCTGGAGCTCTTTGGGCAAGTTCGTATATCCCTGGGTTTCCTCTTCCAGTTCGTCGGCATCCTTGCTCCAACCGTACACACCGACCTCGGCGTGGCCGGGAATCAAGATCCTGTCAATGGGATAGCTCGTGCGTGCGTGCTTGACGCGCCATTGACCACCGAATGAACCCGTAGAGGGAAGTTCCTTGATTTTGTCCACGAGCGTCTCGAACGCCTCGTAGTCGGACGAAGCGATATTGAGCACACGTCCAGAGGCGTCCACGACATGAGACGGCTTGAAGAGGGCCATGGTGAATCCCTCTGGTTCGACGGGCGAGTTGATAAGCACGCTGACGACGAGATCCTCCTTCTTGGGCACATATGCCGCATCAGTGGATGTCTTGGCGTGCTCGACAGCACGAGCATGCCATCCGGCAGCGTTGGTGGTCGTCGACTTGGGCAAAGTGCTCATGTCTGTTTCAGTGTGGCAGCTGAACCACGATTTGACGGTGGTGATGACGGTAGAGAACGGCGTGGCGATCGTTTCGGGTGGGCGGGCGAACAGGAGGAGTGCAAGCGCAAAGAATGCGAATACGATTATGAAACGACGGCGACGCTGAAGTCTCCGGTGCTTCACAGGTGTGGTATTCGTCGGATAGAGTTTCTCTTCCTCCTCGATGGGGTTGGGATTAGAAAGCGCTGGAGCCATCAGTTGGGATCGATGAAGCTTATATACGTGTGTGGCGGTCCTATTGATTGGCTGCGTTTGGTATTCACTGACGTCGACTTTGCTCTTCGAAGAGCGCGCGCTTTACGGCCGCCTAATAGAATATTCAGCAAAAAATTCCAAAGGATTGTAAATAAATTGGAGATGCGAGTTTGGACGGATTCGGCGAGCACAGAGAGTAGAACTGTGGCGAAAGCAAAGGGGCAGGCTGAAACGTCTGGAATAGGGTCACAGAAAGACTTGTACTGACAATTAGAGGTGACTTGTAGATGATATTCGACGATAAAGAGTGGCTCCTGCTTGCTGTCAATACTCTCGAGTTTTCGCAGTTGTCACAGTTGGCGCCAAGTTGCTGTGGCACTGGACGAGCGCCGCGACGGCCCATATGGACCCCTAAGCACGAACCAGGCTTACCATATGTCACAATCAAGCATAATTAACAATCTCAATCTTGTGATCCAAGAGAAATTCGCGAGCTGTCCTTATGTCCCGCTCTCAGAGGGTCACAGTATCCATTCAGTAAAGAATTATCCTCGAAAAACGCGTGTTTAGAAATATTTTCTCTAGTGCTGGCCGTGGGAACCCATCTTGATAGACGGAGAAAGAATTAGAAGACGCGGATAGTGGTGAGTACCCGGACGGTTGCTCGACTCTTTCCCGTCTCTCAGGTTGCACTCAGTCCCACCCGTGATGAGAAAGGAATATGCGGGTGGAGTGCGTCTGACGATTCTACACGCGCATCCGATAAAAAAGGTATGTTTTGACCACGCTATACACATTTCTAGAACGTTATCCCTCTGACATCGGGACTTGGAAACCTCATTGGTTTTACACTCTGTTCTTGACAAAGTTGGCCGCGACTCGAATGCTACAGACACGTCAGTCTCCTTCAAGCACTTAAAATGTTCAAACGAACCTGCCATCGGTAGGATAGGCGAGATGGGCCGGCAAACTGACACCAAGAGGGTAGCAGAAGAGGTCGCTAAAGTTGCAGAAGCTTGCGATATTCTGCGAGCTCGAGCTTCCGTCTTTGGGAGAGAGGTCGACGCTCGGGTTATTAATCGGCCACGGTTGGTTAATGTTGCGAGCTGGGTCACCGAACACGAGAATCGCCGCAATTTTGGACTTGAGCGAGCTTGAAAGCGTCATACCTGGTGGTCACTTCAGCACTCGACGAAAGGAGTCGTTATGTTAAACGTACTGTGCACAACCAGAGCACCCTTGGAATATCCACTGAGAACAAAGCGCTGATTAGGGCATCTTGCAGCTTGGGCGGAAAGGTAGGTCGTAGTGATGGCAGCTCCAGCAGCGACAGTAACCACGTATTCGGCGATTGTGTCGTACGTGATTGACTTTGTCGTCGTTCTATGGAACGCGTTTGTCAGTATGGACGATGGAATCCCGAGGAGAAGGCAAATGAACGAACCCAGGAACAGCAGATGCAAGAGCCACTGCCAACGGTGTTCCAACAATACCAAGACCAATTTCTGTGGTCCCAGCAATATGAACGAGTTGCAAAGACGAGCAGGATTGACGAGTCTCGAGCTCAGCAGCAGGAGCACCAAGGACTGCGCTGACGAACATCAAAGGGGCTAGAGGGTCTGTGAGTCTAAATAAATGAAATGGCAGGAAACTGACCGAGGATATACTGCATATAGAACATGACTGATAGATGATACTGCTTGTCGACGTCTGACTGCTGTTTAGGAGTTGGAAACTACCTTGTCATTCCGACGACGGACTTGAGCTACATTTTATACCAGAGGAGATCATCGCCCGGTTATGTCGACGACTCATCTCCCGGTATGTAGGAGATAGTGACTAACATGCTCCGTATCCTGTGACTACAGGTTGTCTATGGGACGGAGAAATCGTGAAGCTGATATGAACGAGACTTGGGTCCGGTTCAGGGTCAAGAAATCTACCGACAGACCTAAATCAACTACAAGTCGACGATTTGCATAGCGCCGCGGGAGCAGATGAGCGGCGGGAGCAGTCGGCGGGCTTGGCTTCGTGCGGGGAAGGCGTGCGGGAGCAATTGACCGCTGTGGGGAAACGACCCGGTTGTCGGGAGAAGACGTGTCGGGCCCAGCCACTGATACCAAGATTGGATCAAGTGACTTGCACAACAATCAGCCCGTGTTATGTAGTCGTGGGTTTATACTGGTACTACATCGTCGGTCAACCTATTGCGCGCTCGACGTCCTTGGTTCTTAGATCAAATGTGACCGCCCAGCATCACCGATAGTGCGCCGAGCAGGAACGAGAAGGCGTAGATAGCACCCGCGCCTAGTTATACCGGTCCAGAAGAGCCCTCTTACTTTGTGAAGAAGCCCGAATGGACAGCAGATACGCATAAGCGATCACCCACGGACCACTGTTCAGCGCTCGACGCCCACCCTTCATTACACAAATGCGATATTACACCAGTCAGCATATTTATACAGCACTAAAACAAAAGATTACGAGCCAATTCTATCAAGAAAGTCTACAGCTGGAGCACGGGATCTCGTCTACGGAAAAGCAAGGCAAGACGTTCAACAATCCAAAGAAGTCAATTTCAGAGGCGCTCGACTTCATAAATACTCTCCATCGCCCTCAGCTCGCAGCCGCCCAGGCGATGGCTATTGAGCATCATTAGCGTTCCCAGTGGCAAGGCGGGTCGTTGGACGATCACGCTATCGCCTATCGTGCGCTCCTCGACATCGCACGTACGATCATCGCGTCCTGATCGCGGGAGCGACGTCCCACCTCTCTCGTTGCGAGCGCCCAGGACTGGTTCCTGTGCAGCCGATGCCTCGTGGTAATGATGATCGAGTTTGGAAAGAAGGGGAAATGCCGACGGTGGCAACTCGAGGCTCCATTCGATTGCGCGGTTGAGGATGCTGCCAGAGAGAAGTTGGACACGCAAGGGTTCCCTCTTCGCCCCTGTGATACCACGGTCTCGACTCATTGACCTGGATTTGAATACCACGCCTCTCTGGTTTGCCGCGCCCAACGGTTGCGAGGTGCGGTTGGTGAACCCTGTTCTTTCAGTTTGGGATACGCCAGTGAGCACGACCTTGCCAGGAGGGCACCTCGAGTGCCCTGAATCCGGACGCATTTCAGATTTGCCTCTAATAAAAGGCATGTTGTTCAACAAGTGCCCTTTACGGAAGTCATTGGGAGTGTAGCCAAGCTCTTGCAGGAGGCTCTCTGCGTCTGAATGTCAGTACGAAATTGTAGGGTAAACCCGAGATACTTACCGTAAATGCTGACCCATAGGGACAAATTTATGTCGGGATCGTGTGGGATATTTCCAATCGTCACTCGACGATTACCCTTGTGAATGATGCGATAAATTCGATCATTCTCGCTGACTTCTAAGAAGGGTTAGTACAGATGCAGCATTGTTTCGTATTCGTACTGACCACTCTCAGAATTTTTCAGGGATGAGAACGAGAAGGAAGAATCCTCTACAGGTCTCTCGTCGGCAATCCAACTGTCGTCCTCGGCACCGGCCTGTGGCATCACGTTACTGGAGATCACGTCGGCAGTGGCTAATTGGGGAGAAGAGTGTAGAAGGGCCTCAAACTCTGCGTCGTCTATACATGGCACGTCTTCAACCCAAATTTCGCCGCTGGAAATAGACTCGTCATCGCTGTCGCTCAGTTGATCGGGAGGGATGAAGCATCTTGCGGGGACACCCCCGTCATCGTCGTCGTCAAACTCGTGTCCTCCAAATATGGGTGCTTTTGGACGGTCTATTGTCCGTGGATCGACTTCTATATCGTCGAAGGACTGTTCCGAAATAGTGCCCAGCCAGTAGACATTGTCCTGCATCTCTCTCCCCGCACCTTTTCTCAAAGAAGGTGCCCTAATCTTGTGGGAGACGGTATTATCCCGATGCATATAGAAGTACTTGTATCCTGTGCAATGCTTGTAGAGCAGCGAGCCGTCGTTTCCATCGTCATTTTCAGTTGAATCAATGTAGTCCATTATGTCCTCGATAGTCGCCAAACCTGTAGACAGCGCCATTGTTAGTTACGCTGTTGCGAGTACCAGCCAAAACACAAGGCATAGCCAACACCCGCCAGGTGAGTCGCGGCTGGGAAGATAAATTAACATCCTTAGACCACATCCTATCTGACTTTGGAGTGCCTTGGGCACTTAACACATAGATTTCTGTCGCCCCTCGGCTGGTACCCCTGATTAACAAGGAGGAAACGTACCAGTGAGACTTTGAAACATGCTTGATAGTTATATGTGGTGCAAAATAAAGAGAAAGGTGGCCTTTGGGTAGCTTTGCTCACCAAGGTGGAAGTGGTCGAGGTCCAAAACGCGATTTCAAACTGCGAGGCAACACCAAGATGACAAGATGTCACCACATCATTGTTGCGTTGGAAAAGATCATGACGTTGACTTAATGAAACCACGAGTCCCGCCTGATGATTTGATTGCTCAGTTTGCACGGCTTCCTGAACCCGACCATAACATGTCGAAACGTCCGGGTTCGCCCCTCGAATCTAGCGGACCTTCCAAAATCTATCACTTTTTCAAGTCAAAGTCTGTACACGACGCGAGAGCCGTTCCCAAGGACTCTTCAGTAGACGCAGAGACGGTTGAGGATGCAAATACGGACAGTGGAGGCACAAGCATGCAAGTGTTAGGGTCAAAGGAACTAGAAGACCTCTTGTGCTTCGACTCGGTGTCCTCCGAGGCCGAAGTTGATGCGCGGTTTGCGAGAATTGCCCAGCTGCTTTTCTCAGACTACAGGATACGAATCCAGAAGGCTAGCTCTTCTCGCGAGGAAACTCGAGATTATGTAGACCTACAACTGTTGGAGATGGAGTTCTACCTCATCTCGCCAAACGTGCACGAAGATCCATTCTGCCACGGCAGCCCAGAGCAAGCACGTTCTGGATGCTGGTTAGTAACACAATGAACCGATTATTGATTATTAAACGTTCTTGAGGTACTTTCATCGAGCTCCGAGGACACATTTGGGAGCACCAACGGACAGGCCTTCAGTAGGCGGTGGCTACCGAAGTGGAAGTCGCAAGGGAATGGATTTAACTATTGGATCGATTGCTACCTTTGATCCTCTGCACAAAACAGACCTCGCATCACCCTCCTCATTCGGTACCAAGGCTCGCGGAGGTATATTGTTCCGGTCAGCACGAGTGGTCAAGACAGGCGCGATCATTTCTGGCCCATCGCTCCTGGTAGATTTCATCCTCCGTACATATGGACTCGAAGAGGTTCAGGACCTGGTTGGAGGAAAGTGGTCTGAAGACATCAGCGCGTTCCCACCAGAGCCCGCAGATGAGGACGTCACTCGCACATGCACTATGACAGTTGTACGTGTGCCACAGTCTAGTGCGCTGGGTAGGCCACCTATATACAGAACCCCTCGGATTGGCCTCGACTTGAGCCATGCCTCGTCGCTCGCCACTGCAAGCAATCTCCGGGTCAAATTTGTGCAAAGAAGATATAGGTTCATTGTTGAACCACATTTGCTCAAAGTCAATGGCAGACCGCAGATGTTCATTGGCCTTTTGCAGCAAACCCTCGACCGGAAGCATAGCGGAGCCAAACTATCGAGTCTTTCGGAAGGAGAAAAGCAAAAAGTACTTCAAGAGGTTGAGAGGATTGGTTCCTTTACGACCAAGCTAGCCAGGACATATCTTGGTCACTTTGAGCACGGTGTAACGGACGGCGGAGACTCGGTAGGAGCCTACTGTGGCCAAAAGGGGAAGGGAGTGTGTCAGTCACCCGAGAGGCTATTGCGAATGTTTGGAGCCATCCAAGAATTGGGCAGTGGCGACGCGTGAGTGGATGAGGAGTTTATTGGGAATCCCAAGAAACATTGTAAATATACATTTCTGTATCATAAATCGTGTTCTCGCCCCTCCGATTCCTCGTGCGGAACGGCAGACCGGGAAGTAAATCGTCGACGATGATTGGCCAAATTCACGCGACATCTTGACCGCTGACCGCATCCACAAAGTAAAAAGGCGGCTCCTCTTTACACTTTCTATCGCGGAGCAATAGCAAGTCATGTCGTTTGCTACAGGCATCGTCGCTCGTCAATGCCGTCGCAGCGCCCTCGGTCTCCCGCGAGCGATTTCGAGCTCTGCAAAGGCCTCGCTCGCGCAGCCCGTGCCGCCAGAACAACCTCCAAGCCCACAAGCAAAACCACCGCTCATCAAAGAGTTTAAGATTTACCGCTGGGTGCGTCTTTCGCCACCGCCAACGTCGAACACGACCGGCTTTCTGGCAACCGAATATGTTGGGCTGACTTGTGCGCATGTTTGGGTACCGTAGAATCCAGATGAACCAGAGAAGAAACCGTCTCTGCAGTCATACAAGGTAGACTTGAACCAGTGCGGTCCCATGGTGAGCCTTCTATGACACCGAGGCAAATTTCTCGCCTCTTTTCTATATATAGCACCTCTTTCTGACATTATTTTGAAAGATTCTCGATGCTCTTATCAAGATTAAGAACGAGATGGACCCCACACTGACGTTCAGGAGGTCATGCAGAGAAGGCATTTGCGGGTCCTGCGCCATGAACATTGACGGTCAAAACACCCTGGCATGCTTATGTCGTATCGACCGTGCAGAGACCAAGGATACTAAAATCTACCCGCTCCCGCACAGTAAGTCACCGTCGTTTTGATTTGTTTTGCTGCTAATTGTTACTCGTATAGTGTATGTCGTCAAAGATTTGGTTCCAGACTTGACGTTGTTCTTCAAACAATACAAGTCGGTCGAGCCGTACCTGAAGAACGACAACCCGCCAGAGAAGGGAGAGTTTTTGCAGACACAAGAGGACCGTAAGAAGTTGGATGGCCTGTATGAGTGCATTCTGTGTGCATGCTGCTCCACTTCCTGCCCAAGCTACTGGTGGAACCAGGATGTTTACCTGGGCCCGGCTGCCCTTCTTCATTCCTATCGCTGGATCGCGGATTCGCGAGTATGTCTACTGCACTTCATTTTGAGACGTTCGCTCATCCTTTTCAGGACTCGTATGCTGCTCAACGAAAGGAAAAGCTGCAAAACACGTTCAGCTTGTACCGATGCCACACTATTCTCAACTGTACGTCGGTTCGTCTATCTGACGCTTCTTACACTATTTCTAGGTTCGAGAACGTGCCCCAAGGGGCTCGAGCCGGGAACTGCGATCGCAAAGATCAAGCTGGAGATGGCTGCCGAGTAACTTACCTCTACAGGCTCTCTATAATGTCCGGTGAAGTATGCACGGTATTAGAGCATGCTATACAATCATTTCGAGTTGACAGTGTGTCTTTTTAAGTGAGGCGTTTGTTAGCCGCGACTTGATCCCCATCTCATCCCGCGCATACCCAGTTCAACGTGTCATGGCTTACGTTTACGCTAAGATCGACTCTCCTTTACTTACTCATGACCACGACATTACGAATCAGCAACTTTCGTCTGGAACGAATGCGCTGCCCGTGCTCGCCACTCGCTTCAACGACGCGTGCTCGATGAATCGCCATGACACAGTGTTTAATGCTGACGACACCCTCTCATCTTCTTCTTTCTCTACTTCTTTCTCGTATGGCGATGCCGGCCTTCTCTCGGTCTCGTCCTCGATGACCTCGACGGCGTCGACAAACAGCAGCTACGACGAACTGCCTACGCGCCCTTCTTCCAGTCAGGGATGGACCTTTGAAGGTGCTTGGAGCGTCGGAGTTCCCGAGCCGGTTCAGGCCAGGCATGCAGACGCAGACGTAGACTTGACTGGTGACCCTGGTGAGGCAAAGCTCTGTAACAGTCCAGCACGTATTCAGTTTTCTTTATATTGCAACTAACTGTTTGTTAGTTTCTCATCGCTCAATACGTCGCCCTTCAGTTGAGAGCAGATTCGACCGACGACTTTAGCCCTCTTCCACAGACGCAAGGGACTCCGGGATTCCGTTTCACACCAAAGGTACATAAAAATCACATAAGCATGCATCAGATTCATCTAATTGGCCTATAGATCCAGAACAGGAGAGCAAGCGGCTCGTACACTGACCTGATCGACGCGCTCGGTCTGCGCACGCCCAGAATGCCATCTCGTCGGGCAACGTTTCCAGCATACACCAGTCCCAGATTCACGGCACCAGTTGTCCACCCGACGATTATGATCACTGCACCGAGCTCGGAGACGCAAACGAGTCCAGTAGTCGAGGACGACAAGTTGCTGACGACATACTATTCGCCTAGACTTCCGTTAGATGAAGAGGCAACCCCTCTTGTTCCACCTATGCACCAATTCCAAGAGGAGTACGACCCAGAGGACGACATTTGCTTGAGCCAAGTCCAGCGGAATCTCAAAGAGGCATCGCGGGCTGAACAATTGTCCAAGGGAAGTAAGAGGCGTTATATGGGATTGTTCTGGATATAGGCGACAGACCATTGATGTATACCTGGTAAAAAAAGGTATATATGCCTCCTATCTCAAAGTTACATCTGCAGTCTGTGCTGCTACTGGAAAGGAGTGTCTAGGTTTGAGTGCGAGCCGTGTCCGAGAAATGCGAGCGGAAATGAGAGTGAGTGGATGCTAATGTGCGCGTGTCTGCATGATACAATGGATGGTTTGGTATTTGTCGCTGTCCATTGACAGGGATACCTGGGAAGAAGGGAGACTAGAGAAATAAGATAAGGAGAGTGCACGATGTCGGACTACTGCAGAAAGGGGAGTCAATAGTAACCAGATTTTAGGTTGAATTAAAGGAAGCGGGTCCACCGTGTTCAAAGGCGGATGTCGGTGGCGTAGCGTCGTCGTATTCTTCGACGGTCGTAGGTGATTCGAGTTGAATATCAAACGCTTGCGACGCGCTTCGCGAGTACTTGTAACCCACAAAATTCATCACGCTATCACACCTGGATCAGCATCCCTCACTCTCGGCTTGAACCTGGTACTCACTATATCGTGCCATCCGCACATCCAACGACAACTTCTTCATGACTGAGCGCAAACGACATTGGATTCATCGCAGGCGTCGCCAATCCACGAAACTTTGCCGGCAAATCCCCCGAGACGCCCTCGACACTCTTGAGCGCAAGAACAGCATTCGGATCGAGGGGATCAAACGACGCAAGCTCGGCCCATACACCACCCAGCGCATCCACCGTCGTATCAAAGTCGACCATGGAGCTCCGGTGATGATAGTGGCCTCGCAAAGGTGGACTCGTCGTGCTCGTGTTGCTGATCGCACTGTGAACGGTGCTGACGCTACTCCGCCTGCTGTGCGAAAGCGAGGGCCGCGCAGGATCATCATTCGCCTTTTCTGCGCCCGACTCGCCAGCCAACTCTTCGATTTCCTCTAGTGGCGGCGGAGTCACTCTATCTCTATGAGTCGACAAAAAGATCTAAAAGGCGATCGTTAGAAAAATGCAACGTGAGAGGAAGAGTATGCTCACTCGACGATCCGCATCAGTCCTCTGTCCAAACCGAGTAGCCGTGACGACTCGTCTCTTTCGAGGATCCACCGCACCAGAAGCAATATCCGGCGTCTCTACAATGGCAATAATACGCGGAAGTGTATTCGATGTGAGCGAACTCTTGCGCGCCGCAGGGGACACGGGACCCTTTGAACCAGTCGACACAATCCTGGGCGACGGTCGAATGGGCGTCGAGTTGGACAAGTTGGGTGCACGAGGCGTCGTCGGAGCGGGGACGCTAAGTCGAGGAAGAGGACCACTGGATCGCCTGAGTTGGGTACCATTGCCGGCAGTGGGACCACTCGAGCTCCCTCCCGATCTCTTGAGTGTGTTGGGTCCTTGCGAGCGGAAAGCCGAGGGCGCCGTTGATGACGGTGTCTTTGGACCACTCGACGTCGTGGGTGACGAAAGGGTCGACGGTTGTCCAGCGGGCGAATTGTACAAATCAGATTCGTCCACCCATTGCAAATGCATAATCAACGACTTTGTCGAACACTGTCAAGATTGTCAGCACCGCAATTACGACATTAAGAATATACCGACCGTCATTTGATTCCCCTCTGCGGCGAACCATCTAGCACACAATTTAGCACAGGAAGTGACCCACGAGAGAATACTCACTGGAGCATATTATTGGCATTGGCACCGACTTGAGAGATTTTAGCCGCGAGAACCGGGTTTCCAGCACCCAACGACGCAAGGCTAAAGCTGGAAATCATCTCGCGACGCTCTAGGAACTCCGTCAACAACCACATAGAAGAAAAAGAACAAAAACACGCACTAATGGAAAACACACGGACGATGCCATCAATCGTCACGCTCACGAACCGTTCCCCAACTTCTTCCGCAAGCCGCGGCGTCGTGGCCCGCAGAATCTGCACGCCAATATTCTGATTCGTCTGTTGTCCAAACTTGACAATCTTTTCGCCATTTCTCCAATCCCACGCCACCAACGCCTTGTCTGCACCGGCAGAGATGAGGTGCTTGGGCGAGAGCGCGACAGATCGAATGCCGTACAAATGACCCTGAAGTTGCTGCAACGGGTTGAACGTGACCGACGAATAAAGATGAACACGCCTGAGAACGGGATCAGAATAAAACATGATGTGACACATGTTCGTCCCAAGCGGCGAAACGTACCCAACGTCGTGGAACCCGACGGCAAAGACTTCTTCCTCTGCCAAAAAATCGAGACAGCTGACAGCTTTTTGAACCTGGAGACATTTCTTCTCTTCGCCAGTCTCGATATCCCAAATACGGATCGTCTCGTCGTAGCTCCCACTGATGAGGCGCTTGCCTCTAAGCAACAGCCGGGTACAAAACTTGGTATGACCGTTGAGGAATCGGATATGTTGAGGGACTGCATTCTTCCAGTTGGATTCACGATGGTGTAGTGATTTATAAAGCGCTTCCCTGCACTTCCAAGTCAACGACAAAAGGGCAAACACTGGGAATTTACTGACCAATCTTCGACACGAGCCGGCGGTCGTAGTGGGATGGGATCTGTCGCTGTGAGCACGAGACAATTGTGTCTCCAGAGCACTGGATTGTGCACCAGCTCTTGCCACTTTTTGCAGACGGTTTCAATGCCGAGCAACTGTTGTACTGAGAGAAAGCGGAGAATGGTGAGTGCAATGTCGCTAAAGAGGGTGGGTTAGTATACATGAAATCACATCGTTATCACATACGTCGGTAGATTTGTGAGGACGTCAAACGTCGACTTTCGGTATTTCTCGAGCAAGCGAATCTGCTGGGAAATGTCTCCGGGTATGCAGCCTATGACCGTGTCAGATTATGTCACTCGCCACTTGTTGAATTCGTTCGTACAGTCAAGGATGATGCCGATCCTAAGCGAGCTGTTAGCATTCCATATGGATGATGCAAACATTACTCACAATCGCATGCGCTCTGGAATCTGCAGACTACGAATTGCACGCCGAACGTCAGATTCATTGAAACCGCCCTTTCCGTCGCCGCGGAGAATGCTAGCAAGATCAAATGGCAACTCTTCGACGGCAGTCTCCTTCTGTCCAAGTGTCAGATTTTGAACTAGAGGGAACAGGGAACGCATCCCCCTCCCCACCTTTTGTAGCGTCAATGCTAACCGATCACGGTCCCTGGCGAGTTCATTTTCGTGCGAAATGGCCCGTTCCTTGTCGAGCGTTCCCCGAAGCAGTTTCAGCTCTGCCTGGAGCGCATGAAGTTGCGAGGCAGCGCTGGATTGACCTTGTTCGAGTAGACGTTTGTAGTGGGTGATACGGCGCATATGCGCACTCTGGACCGCGTCCATGGCCGACAACAGGTCCTCGTCTACATCGTCGTTTTCCACAATCTCCGTCTCCATCCCAAACGAGGTAATGGTGTGGTTGTCGTTCCAGACTGAATTGGTGGCACTTGGGGGTAGATTAGGGTCCGCCATGAGTAGGAGAGCAGGACCATTTGGAGATCTGTCGAGTGGGCCGCTGTAGAGGGAGCCTCTGGAAGACCAGGGGATGCTGTCCGTGTACAGAGGCCTTGTCGGTCGGTTAGGGGTGGTTCGCTGTGGCGTGTCGGAGATGATGGCACTGTCAGCATTCGATGTGACATACATCGACTGTGGTCTCCCTGGTGTCACGGTCAGTCCCCGCGCACGGCCTGCTGCTCCTGCTGCTCCCTGAGGGTCGCTGCTGTCAGCTCTGCGCGCACTCTGAACAGAACTCGCGATTGAGCTGTCCTGGGATGGAGGTGTATTCACGGGGGCAGATGGTCTTGGGGGATTATTCCCTGGCTGGCGACTCGGAGCAGAAACGCGGCGAGTCACAGGCGGCGGGAGGAGAGAAATGGGCTGCTTTCGAGGATTAGCATGTTGATAGACATGCGCAGGAGACGCCGTGGGGGTGACTGGCTCTGGCGTGGGCCCATTGCGGCCATTGGGATTCGGATTGGAAGCAGACGGACGCGTATGGTTTGTCGTCGTTGCCTCTGAAGTTATCGTCGTAGAGCGGATTCGACGCGGTTCTCGTTCATCGCCAGAGACAGCAGGCATCAAGCTCAAGTGACTGGCCAAACATTGACCACGCTCTCCCAACTACTTTCATCAAAAATTATACAATTAGATTCCTAATGACAAGATGATGCCAAAATGCTGGCAATCACATTAACCATCTACACCTCGGGGATGCACCGACGCGCTCCGCTTTCAGTCTTGATTTGTTGGTATTTTCAGTTCTTAAACGACATTGGTTACATCATCCAAGCAGCCCGTCATGCCGAGCCTAGCCTGGACGAATTGCGGGGCGGCCGGCTGGAGAATACAAAGTACATGTGCTCCCCTCAAAAGTCTAGCAGGGATCGTACGACTACTTTTGAACCCTTCCACCCTCTCCCTTCATCTTTTAAGCGCGCCCAGTCATGGTAAATCAACACAATAAGCATCCCTGGATCACCTATTGGCTCGTCATTGCCACCGTGCTCGTCCTCTGGGACGCTGGCTTTTGTTTCATGAGGTAAGCCTGCTTGAGAGTCGTGCTGTCTCCTTGCTCACTCTCTTTTTCTCAATTCTCCTAGACCACATTCATTCCAAGGCGGCAAGTACCATTGGATCTGGAAGCCATATGCGCTCTATCAGAACATTGACCTAGTAACTATACCCCACCTCTCATCCCCACATTTACTCACTCGAATAGGTCTACGGCGTCGAGGCACACCGCAGAGGCGACGGGTTTACAAATGCCCAATGTACGCTCCCCCCCACCACTCACGCACCATACACCTGACACTTTCTTCCAGCATTCCTCAACGTAGTCGAGACCATAGGGAATCTTCTCTACCTCTACAAAGCCCAAGGCTCGGACCCTATCACACCCTTGATCGGCTTCACCGTCGCCACCATGTCCTTTTCAAAGACCGTCCTCTACTGGGCCCAAGAGTACTTTTGCAACTATTGCGCTGTGGGACACAATGATCCTTGGACCCTCTTCTTCCTTTGGATCATCCCCAATGGCACTTGGCTCATCTTCCCCTTGATGGTCATGGTCACCCTCGGCAAGGACATTCTCAACTCTCTCCGAGTGACAAACTCGCCACGAAGAACCGCCTATGCTAACGGAAAGCACGACTGATGTAGTCCACCTTGTACTTTATGTGCAATAATACCTCTTTAAAAACTGTATAAGGGTTACAAGGTGATACAGACTTTGTCGCAATAATTATTCTGAGTCGACTAGACCGGCTCGTCTGTATAAAACGAGTGACAACGTTTGGGGTAGACCAAAGCGACATCCTACGACGAGCCAGGTCAACGTCTACGCATTGTTCGTCTGATTCCAATGTCCTGCCCCTCGCCCAGCAAAGTTTTCCTCAGACGGTCCCAAGAATGGGTTACCCATCGCCTGCTGAGGCTGGAACGGTATTCCCTGAGGCATATTTTGAGCCGGAATCGATTGAGCCATCGGAGGGGCAGAGGGAGGGGGAGGAGCAACTGGAGCAGCGGGGGTAGTAGCAGGCATCGTCGGCACGGGAGTAGCCGTGGGCATGACACCGAGTGCAATCCCTCCATAGGGATTCATATCTCCAAACGCCGACGACGCCCGTGAACTCCTATCCGGCTCAGGAGTAAGCGTACGCGCAATGGGTCCTCCTATCCCCGAATCTTCACTTCGCATCGGTGCAGCGGTAGTAGCCATGATCGGGTCGCTACTAGCAGAGAATGGATTCGAGTTTGGTTGTTGCATCAGCGCCGACGGTGCAACGGCCGGGAGGGGCTTGTTGAATTGTCCGGGCATCATACCGTTGGGCCCTAACAGAAATCAGTCCAATGGTCGGCAAGGAACAGAGCCAAGTACGTACCGGTCGTCGACGGAGGTGCAGGCCAGGGCAACGATGCCATTGCACCGTCGTGATAGCCTCGAGTGGCGGGTATCGCTCCGTATCCATACTTTTCATCATCCCAATTACCAGTTCCATGTGCACCATGCGCTCCGAGCCCTGCAGCATTGGTCGAATACAACGTGTCCCTATCCGCGGGTGCACCCTTGAGATCCCTGATTCCACCACCGCCAGCACGCGAAGGTGCAAAGCCATAGACGGGTGGCTCGGTCGTGGTGGAGCGGTAGTTCATGTATGCCATGGATGGTGGGATACGGTCCTTTCGTAGTTTGCGTCTGTACCACATGACGAGGAACACGCAAAGCACGGCGAGTGCGAGGAGTCCCAAAACTACGCCGACAATCGTGCTTGTCCGCTTCGAGTCGGACGAATTGGTGTCACTGGCCGCGGCGATGCTCGACCCACCCGTCGGAGTGGCGGCTTGAGAAGGAAAGGATACGAGGGGATCATTGACGGTAATTGGTGATCCTGACGACGTGGTCACTACTACTGCAGCAACCGAGCTGGTCGTGGAAGTAGTTCTGTTCGTATCGGTAAGCCCAGTACGCTCCCGTTTTTTAAAAACTCACGTCGAAGTTGAACTGGTCGAACTCGTTGATGAGCTGCGGCTCGTACTTGATGATGTCGAAGAGGTTGATGTGAGGGCAGAAGTAGAGGTAGCATCGGGAACATTGGTTGTACCAGCGAAACCTTCAACCTTGTAAAGTATAAGCCCATTGGAGTCCGAGCCTGGTAAGACTCCCATGGTGACGATTGTTCTTGCGTCAAACTGGCTGGTGTATATCGTGGTTGTGCCTTGTGAGCCCGTTTCAGACGCAATCCCGTTGAAATAGATCTGGTATTCTCTTCCTGGATAAGGGGGAACTCCTATCCTCGCATAACCAGAACCGGTTATTACGACGTAGTCCCATTTCGGATTACGGGGAATAGTAAAGGTTGCAGTAGCAGTTTTCTCTATCGAGTAATCAAATCCGACTCCAGGAAGCCAGGCGCCCTCTCTGGTTACGGGTATGGTTTCTTGCGCTAGAACGGTCGTCCAGACAAAGGTCATTAACAACCAGAGCACAAATAGCCCTCCCCGCCATGTTTGTGAGTAGACCATCGTCCGCAATCGTCGGATAGACCTCTTCGCGACGAGTCCAATGTGTGAGTGGACGCGGAGATTGTGCTAATTATGGCCGCAGAAAGCCTCAATCGTCCTCTTGGGGTCTGAAGGAGTGGACTGGAGCTATACGTGCTCCAAAAACGAAATATCCAAGGTCGTGGTCGTGACCAAAGAGCACACGAACGAGGGATCGTGAAGCGCGCCGTGTTATGCGAAGAATCGTACTGGGAACGAGGCTCTGCAACCAACTTTATAATCTATTTCCTCATTCCGTAATTGAGCCACTTGATCGTGAGCAACCCCTTCCCACGCCATCGACTTCGCTGTCCAGTCGCTCTATGCCGATTCGCGTTACCGGCGTTGCTGTGCGCCGATATCGGAGACGGCTGTCACTATGACCCAATAATTCGCCATAAATATTTTGTTCGCAAGGGATCAGGTTTATTTCTTTGCAACTGCTGTGGGCACGATCAACAATCAGAAACAAATGCGGGGTTGAGACGTACTCCATGCAGTGAGAAAAGCAGGTCGGGTATGATGAATGCAAGTCCCGGGTGACATATATTCAGGGGGCGCGGTCTCTTCTTCGCGTAGCTCCGTAGTGTTCGTGTCTTCTCTCGTCGGTTCCACGACCTCGATTCGGTAAGGCGTGCTACGGTCGACTTTGTGGTTGAGATATAGAGTTGCGAGTCGGATATCTTGGAGAGCGGATACGGTTCGTGAAGTCCTTTAATCGACGGTGGTTTGGAAGGTGGCTGGCTAAAATGATGAGTGGGACAGCCGAGTTCACTGGAGTGGATGTTTGGGAGTCGTGTGTAATAGAAGGACTTTGCACAAATTGTCTGTATTGAACCGAGTACAGGCAACGGGTGAAGATGCGAAGACAGAAGGATGACTATGGGCGACATGAACCGAGGAAATAGAATAATAGAATGATACTGACCTTAGCGGAGGTTCTTGGCCCGCACTACCTTCAGTTCAATACCTCCCGTGGTCGACAAGCCAAATGTGCTCCGCGGTATGGTGTCCTCCCCAGGCACAACTGTGTGCCTCTCGCCGTTCAGTGTGACTTGATATTCGTGGGCTAAGTAACTGGACATGGCAACTGCACCCTCGTACCCTTCTGTTGAGACCAATCGTAGACCGCGAAATCGACACTGATCGATGCGCATGAGTCCCAGGTCTCGGAATATCTGTAACCATGATTGTACCACCACGTCCCGACATAGTGAGTCTTGTGCACTCGTATAGGACAGAAAAGAAGCAACCAAGTGACCAACAGCGCGCTCATAATGGTGTCATAGTGGTGTCAAACTTCCGAGTGAACGTTTCAGACCGCTCGACGAGACATAAGCAGTGCGCGTGCTATGCTTTGTTTTGGCGCGCGCTTGAGAGGGGTGAGGGTGCAGGAACACCTTGATTCGGTCGAATTTCTCAATTGATGCGACCATCAGCGTCGTTGATAGCTGTGCGTAGGCTCGCGATGAGAAGGACAAGTATTCCCACTCTCAACTCACCGACAACGGCTGTCCTGCGTTGGCCATCCTTTTGTTCGTGTCTGACTCGAATATGGCCTGGAATAGTAGAGATCAAGCCCTGTGCACTTTCCTATATATCATTGGTTTGTATCTACAGAAATTAGGCATCAACTAAATAATAGTCTTTCGTTACAAGCACCGAACGTCTCCACTGATTGTCAGTCTACATCTCCGACGGCATCAGAACGTTGCATGCCTAGTTAAATAAATTATGGAATAAAATATTCTGATGACGGAAATGCAATGGAGTTATGGATTTGGGTTGGAAGGATCATAGATGGGTGGCAAGTTTCGAAGACGTGATTGAGGAGACCAGTACGATGGAGGAGCGTCATCGTATTGTGCTACAGTTTCTGCATTTGCCACGGGCACGATCAAACCAGCTGACGATCCCGAAGGCTGAGTGTTTACGATGGGTAGTCTCGCTCTTTCGTTCATCTGCGTAGTTGGTTTGATTTGGTCATCTACTCTGGGGTAGGACGTTGCTCGTAGTGGCGAAGATGTCGGGTCGTTGATATATGCTGTTAGAAGTGGAGCCCGTCCTGCCTTGCGTCTTCTTCGGACCAGGAAGCAGCTTAGGCATAGACCAAGTAGAACTACTGTGGCAACGGTCGCACCAATGATCGTCCCATGTTTGATGCTTGAGCTACCCTCAGCTGAGACATTCGGCCCAGTAGAGCCTCGTGCGGCAGAGGAGGCCTGTACATTGTCTGGTGTAGCAGCCAGGGATCCCGTAAGGAACGCAGAGGAATCGGTGCTTATGAGAGTGTAGGATGATGCTCGATTGGGCGTAGGAGTCGATGAAGACTGCCCGAGAGATGGACTAGACGATCTGAAAGAAAGTGAGATTGAGTCAGGGTCACTTGAAAAGCGCACGTTGCATGATCTGCGGTACTCCCGGCAGAGTTTTGCGATGACTGAGCGTCTTGCGATTGCGCACCACCAATCACATGGACCGTATTCACTTGGGCAGTATTCGTGACAGAGCCGGTAGAGATGAAATCGACGCTCCAGACTACCAATCCTAGCTCATCGAATCCTGGTGCCAATTTGAGGTCCACAGAGGTTGAACCTCCAGCAAATGCGCTCCGCGGTAGAGTGGTTTGACCTGGAGCTACAGTAGCGAGGAGATTCGAGCCTGCCCATAGCGTGAAGGGCGCACCGCCAAAGTCTGACGAGACCTGGAGCCCAATTAGCTACAAGGCTAATCAAGGCAACGATGGACTTACTAGTTGCATTTGGCCGTTGTACCCAGCTGCATTAATCGCGACAGTATCCCAGCCCGCTCCCCCAGTATCACTCATAGAAACATATGCATCACTCGACTTCGAGTACCTGAAGTATCCACCTTGGAACCATACTCCATAGTATGATAGTCCCTGCGCTGCGACGGGGGTACATTCAAAGGCAATCAGCCAGACGAATGCTACTATAAGTATTTTGCACGTTTGTGACCAATTCATGCGCCCCTCTTGTGTATCTTGAACCCTCTTCCCGATTCCTCAATGCCTGGTAGAGATGTTGAAGCAAGAGGGCACGTTTAGGGCTCCATTTCCGGTCCACGGCGCACCCTATTTAGATAACGGTGACCCAAGACAAAATTTGAAACGCTCTTGTTCCTATCGAGCGTGGGTATCCATGTCCGGTGCCTCTTCAGAGGTATCGCCGATGTTCTCGACGAGGCAGGGAATAACTGTACCTCCGAGACCCACTCGCAACCTCCTTACATCTAGTGATCACTTTTTCATCTCGCCTACTAAGTTCAAGAAAGCTCTTTAGAGGCTCAACACATCGTCCTGATAGTGGCGTCGTACGGTAGGGTCAAAAAGGGTCCGCTACTAACCAAAGCGCGTCCCTTTAGATCAAATTGGGCTAAATTTTCAGGTTCGGCTCCAGATCATGGTCGAGATTCCCACAGAGAGGCAGGCATCAAGGGTAGAAGTATTGGCTTGTTACAGATACAATAATAGGTACGGCAAGCTATACATCATTCTTTTCGAATCAAGGGAGATTTAGATGAATGAGGTGTCAAGGTAGGGTGTATCGAGTCTGAATGATTTGCGATAGTCATGGGCGAGAAACCTGCAGTGATGTGCCCAGAAGGAGATGTGGGTGATGGTTGCGAAGGTAATATGGGAGATGCGGGAGATGCGACATACGCAGGCGGTGCATCGTCCCCTTCAGCATAGACGGTGGCATGCACTAGTTCAGGAGCGGGGGCTGGGCCGGTGCCGTTCTCTCGACCTTGTTCATTAGTCTGAGCTAGCTCCTGTGGAACCTTGGTAGCCCGTGGCGTCGATGCAGGGACCCTCGCTTTCTCCGCCGGGATCTCAAGATTGAGATATGGCTCTGGAAACGCGGGAGCAGATTGCACTTTTCTTCGGCGCCGGATTACGAAGAAGATACAGAGGCATAGAAATGTAAACACTGCCGCCGTCGCTCCAACAATTGCACCGACGTTTGGCTGTGACCGTTTCGAGTCAAGGGCCGTGGAGCCGACTGAGTTTTCCGTCACATATCTTGTGTCGGTGGTAGTCGATACCCGATTGGTAGTGCCATCCGTGGGTAGCGACGTAGATGGAGGTGATGTAGACCCTTGTGATAGTTGGGAAGAGCTCGACGACAATGTCGAGGTACTAGACCTAAGACCTGTGAATGAGTGCCCAAGAAAGGTCGAAAGGATGACTTACATAGTCCCTGTAATCAAAGTGCCAGGAGGCGAGAGGTACTAGACCTAAGACCTGTGAATGAGTGCCCAAGAAAGGTCGAAAGGATGACTTACATAGTCCCTGTAATCAAAGTGCCAGGAGGCGAATCTGTGCCCGCTATGCTAGCGGCAGAGGCCGTGGCAGCGACTGTCGAGGAAGAATGAGTGGAGGTGAAGCTGATGTCATAAATGACGAGTCCCGTCTGAACAATGCCATCTTGTACATGAACAGATATGGAGGTGACTTCCGACGTAAACTGCTTGACCGAAAGGGATATCGAACCCGGGGAGACGTCTTGTGGAAGCAACGGCCCGATCCAGACCTTGTACTTGCCTGTCGCCGAAAAATTGGCTGCCCCCATCTGACCGGTATAGGACGCGGCGTTGATGACGACCGTATCGTAGCTGACGGGCGTCCGCTGATCAACTAGGATCTCCACGTATACTCCAAATGTCGTCGAATAGCGAAAGTAGGTCCCGTTGTTCCATGCACCGTACCAGATCACTTGTTGGGCTGATACGAGTGCACAGTTGAAGACTAGGCAGAAAATCAAGACAATCTGGGCCGAGAGGACCATTGTGTGATTTTATCAGACGCCAAATGGTCGTATAAGTCGTTTCAAACGAGTGGAACGGAGCTGGGCGTGCTCCTTGTGCGGTTGGGGTCGTGTACAAGGGGCTATCTCGGCGCGCATCTTTTCATAAATTCGCGTGAGTAACAGATTACAATTTTCCCTTTTTCTTCGCCCCCTGGTGAATTGTCCGAAAATTCACACGTCGGAGAAAGGGCATAGGTAACGCGGTGCAATGGCCGAATCCAACCTTGGACGCAACCCTGGCCGTCGTTCAAACATAGCCAATGAGACGCTTCGCTGCACCTCTAAAAGTTTCCGCGTCTACAAAGTCGGATGCCAACCCAAATGCGACTTCCAAGGAGAATAGCAACGCGAGCGCTGGAACATCCGTAGCGTCGGCGTTGGGACCCTCCAAAGTCGAAGAAATCACGTCTCCTCACGAGTTGACTGCCTATGTACGTCGTTTAAAGGTCCCGTCACCTCTAATTCATCACCACCCGTCCAGGTCGAACAGCTCTTGAATCAAATCGAGGGTAAATTTGATGACATGTCCTCTCAGATTCTCGAAAGAAGTGCGTATAACATTTGTGTATGCTCTTCATTGCTTAATTTCTCTCAGTGAACGCCATGTCCACCCGGGTAGACGCATTGGAAGCTTCGATACAGGATCTTATCAATGCCAGCGATAATCAGCAACCTGGTACCCCAGGTACACCCAGCGTGCGATAGCCATACCAGTCCTGTAGTATTATAGTCCTATCGCAGGAGAAAAAGTACATTCAAGATGCCTACAACGAGCCTTATAGATACTCAGTGATAGCGTGTCAGTAGTCCTCACTAGGATCCTGATTAGTCTTGGAGCAGGAGACCAGAGCACAGACTTACTCCTCGTCAAACTCGTCATCTTGTATCCCATAATGGTGATGCTCATGATAATGGCGGTGATGGTGATGGTGGTTATACTGTTGTGGCTCATCGTCTGACAACTCTTCGGGTTCATCTTGATCGTACTGCAGTGCAATGTAACGCCCTTGACCGTAAGCCTTGAACATGTTTAGAAAAAGGTGAGAAGAGCAGAAAGAGACTCACCGGTCGTCGTTGATACTGCACGACTTGGTCATCGTCGCTGAGTCCGTCCTCCACATCCTGCTCCACTTCCTCATCGCTTAGAATGACCTGTGGATGTCGCTGAATGTGAAGGTGCCGTAAATTGTGATCATGAAGCCTAGGTGGCCTTTGAATCTCGATGGAGTCATCCGATGCATCGGATTCATCTGAGATGACAATGGGTTCTGGTTCAGGGTTTGCAAGTTGTTGTTGCAGAAACTCTGCATCTTCGACATCATCCTCCATGTCACCATCTTGCTCGTATATCGGTCCGTCGTCGATAAAGTCTTCATCATAAGAACCCTCGTCGTCGCTGGGTTCAAGGTCCATATGGCCAAGAAAGTCTGGAGGGGCACCAAAGATGTAAGGATTGTACATCATTTCTTCTTCTTCCTCTTCTTCCTCTGATGAGAACATAAACTCTTCGCCGCATTCCGCGCAGACTCCCTCGTATATCTCGCATAGGCAAGACGGACATCGTCGCACACCTCCATCTGCATGATCTATCAAAGCACCGTCGACGCCAATTCGAGCGCCATGACGCTCTTCGAAGAAAATGTCTTTCCAGGGGTCCTCTGGGTTTGCGACTTCCCTCTGTGGGCCGGGCTGGACATTCAGTGCTGGTTCGACGTTGGATATAATTTCTTTGAGGGTATAGATTTCGACAGGTCGTTGGTTGAGTCGTGCGCGACAGTGGGGGCATGTCTTTTTGCGGCGTGCGAGCGTAGCGGCTGGTGCACCTTCTTCGGGTGCTGGCGCACTAAACCACTGTTGGAGACAGCCTACACACGCTACATGTCCGCATGGTACAAGCCTAGAGGATCCAGATGGTAAACCGTCAGCGGATGGGCGCTGCACCGACTGATACATACGCAAATGGTCTCTGGAGTGTTTCTAGGCAAATCTGACATTGCAATTGTTGATGTACATGATTAAGAGCGTCCCTTTGTCTTTGCAGTTGCTAGAATTATCCGCGCTTGAGCGGGCATGAGGCTGGAAAAGGAGCGTTGTGCTTACTTGGTCCTTTTCTTGCAACTGCCTCCTTAGCTCAGCAAGCTCTTCTTCCACCATATTCCTCGTGCTTTGTATTTCGCGTGGCAGGGAGTCTGGCGTGGGTGGTCCCGAGGACAGCTCAGGCTCTGGCTTTGACTTTGTCAAGACCTGAGTGTTCATCCGCGCGTCTGCTTCCAGCTTTGCTCTGAGATTTCGTCGTGAAGACTGATTCTTGAGGCTTTGCGTGCCTTTGGTTGTCTCCAGCCGCCGTCTCTTCGAGTTGTGTTGGTCTGGCTTTGGCTCAGCCGTCGAAGTGCCTGCAACGCGTTGTTGAATCTCTGTATTCGCTCTTGAAATCTGATTTGGCCGTGGAGATGGAGAGTCGGCGCGTCTTTTGGGCATCGCCGTCGTGACAGAGATCAAGGGTGGACGCACTGTTTGGCCACTCAGCTTCTGGACCTGTTTGCGTTTCATTCGCCAGACGATCGACAAAACCAAAGCCAAAAACGCGTCTTGCAGCGTGAACGCTGTCACTGGGATACAACATGGACCATATAGAGTGCGTCAAACTCGAGATTCCTCATCATACACCGCGTTGACGAGCGCGTTCGCCTGGCAGAGAGATGGAAGAACGTCGTCCAAAGACAAAAATTGACAACAAAAGGAGTGCAGACTGCATCAGAATCATGCTAGCTACCGATTGCCACATCGGAGTTCATGGCCGCGATCCAACCCGAAGCCATGACTCTCTTGACACATTTAGAGAAGTCCTAGAGCTCGCCGTGAAGCATGATGTCGATATGATTCTCCTCGCCGGCGACCTTTTCCACGAAAACAGACCGAGCCGCGAATGCTTTTACGAGACGTGTGCTCTCTTGCGGCAGTACACGTTTGGAGATAAGCCAGTCTCCATCGAGCTTCTCAGTGACCCAGATGATGGGAAAGCTCCTGGCTTTGCCTTCCCCGCCATCAACTACGAGGATCCGAATCTTAATATTGCCATCCCGGTCTTTTCTATACATGGGAATCATGATGATCCACAAGGCGCTGGTGGTCATAGCGGGGCGCTGTGTGCGCTAGATCAGCTTTCGGTCAGCGGACTGGTCAATTACATTGGCAAAGTCGACATTCCAACGGATATGGACAACGCCGACCTGGCTTCAATCGTAACTCGACCAGTATTACTCCGAAAAGGTCAAACCAGGCTCGCTCTCTATGGTATAGGTAACGTCAAGGACCAACGAATGCACCACCAATTGCGAACGAACAAAATATCAATGTTTACCCCTCAAGACAAGGACGATTGGTTCAACATTATGCTTTTACATCAGAACAGGTTCCACATCTTTTTTGTTTACCCGAGTCGGATCAAACTGATAATACCTATAGAGTTCAGCGCGGTCCTCTCGAGAGCGTTCCGGAAGGCATGTTTGATGACTCTATCGACCTCATTGTCTGGGGACACGAGCATGATTGCCGAATCGAGCCAGAGCCAGTGGCCGGCAAACGCTACTTTATCTCGCAGCCTGGTTCAACAGTCGCCACATCGTTGTCAGAAGGAGAGGCAATCCCAAAGTCTGAGCAAATTCTCTCACCACTTACCCTACTAACAACTTTCTCAGGCACTGCGCCTTGCTCGAGATACAAGGGAAAGCATTCGAGCTCACGCCGATCATGCTAAGGACCGTCAGACCTTTCAAGATGGACACAATTCACTTGGCAGAGATTGCTGAGGAGGAAGATGTCAATTTGAATGACAAAATTGCAATCAACGAACTTCTGAAGCAACGGATACGCAAGCTGGTCAAAGAGGCTAATGACGAATTCGCCGAGAGGAACGAAAATTCAGAGACTCCTGTACCTCCTATGCTTCCTCTTGTGCGACTAAGAGTAAGATGAGCCAACTTCAAGGTCGTCGGAGACTAAACCTCTGCAGGTCGACGTTACCAATGTGCCGGAAATGAGCAACCCTCAGCGTCTTGGTCTCGAGTTTCAGCAAGAAATAGCAAATCCACGAGACGTCATCCACTTTATTCGCGCCAAACGAAAAGCGACCAAGAATGTGATCAACCAACCAGAGCTAGAAATCGACCAATTGGGTCTCGAAGGAAAAGCCAAGGTATGCAATAAGAAAACTCGATAGTTGGCGCAATAACGGCAGTCCAGGTTGAAAAAGTTCGTGTTGGAAAGTTGGTTCAGGAGTTTTTGAGCGTTCAAGATATGATGGTGCTCGGTGCCGATGGTATGAACGAAGCTATTGAATTATTTGTCATGAAGGATAGTACTCAGGCGATCCAATCGTAAGTGCCTCTCCTAACCCCGTAACGCCACTCACCATCTGTAGGTTTATCCAACGCTCTGAGCGTAACATGCAAAAGGAAGTTCCTGTTACCGAAGATATGGATGATAATGGTATTGAATCTGTGGTCTGTCCTTGCATATCTGGATGGAACATCACTGAGTGCATTCTAGTTCGCGGCTGCTCGTGAGGCGCAGGATGCTCAGATGAGACAGAAGAAACAAGCTCGGAAGGTGCGTCTAGATTGACCGAGGATAAGTGGGTTGACCCTCGTCTAGGAGGCAAGAGACACAAACGGAAATGACGCCGAGGCAGGATCGATGGGCTCAGTCGCAGGTGATAATCAGTCTATGCAAGATGAAGAAGAAGAAGAGGAGACGCCCATAGTTCCGCCGAAGCGCAAGCCAGCGGCGAGGTCGACACCTGCGCCACCCGCGCCAAAGGCCAAAGCTCGAGCGACTCGAGTGACTACCACCAAAGGAAAAGGAAAGGCCAAGGTTGTTGAATCTGACTCTGAAGAGGAGAATTTCGATGATATCATGGATATTGACGAAGTCGACGACGACGATGATGAACCAGAGGAAATGGCGCCTCCGCCCAAGAAGAGTCGAGCGAAGAAGACAACTCCGGCACCAGCACCAGCTAAAAAGTAAGGAAATCAGGATAATTCATTAGCTTGATGCTAACGACATGGTTAGAGCACCCGCGAAGAGGACCACAGCGAAGGCCAAAGCAACCCAGTCAACACTCTCATTTGCACCATCGCGTAGTAAATCTCAGCAGGCTGTAAGTGCCAACTTTCGCACTCACTTGTCTCCTAATCCATTATAGGTCATGCTTTCTGACTCTGACTAACATGTTATCTTTGTCCAATTTCTTGCAATTCTTGGTCACCATCCTTGTATCACCGTAGCCACCTGAGTCAAATCTTGCGTCGTACATGATTATATTGTACCAAACCCCATATAAAGCAAGCCGTTTCTAGCCGTATCACCGTTTGACTCTTTTGAACTTTCGTCCGATGAAATCTTCCTCAGAATCATCATCCACTGGCGGCGGAACGTCTGGTTCTTTCCTCTTCTTCTGTGAGAGTGGGGTGGTAACCACATCGCCCTCATGTACTCGCTTCTTGCTTGATACCTTTGAAGGAGAGGACTTTGGAGGACTTCGCGGAGGGGAGCCATTGAGAATGACTGGAAGATCTTCAGGCTCTTCGGCATCGTAGTTGTCTGGAGTGGCATCCCTTCGCGGTTTACGCCTACCGGATGGGGCAGGAGCCTCTGATTCGGCTTCACTCGAGGCAGCAGACTGGTCAGACGCCTTGCTTTTGGCAGCGCGACTACGCATCGGCCGCGTTCTTGTGTTCTGGCGTCTTGGTACGCCGGCGCCATCATCTTCTGATGTAAGTGCGTTCTCCACTTGCTCGTCTTCTGACATGGCACCCTTCTTCCCTTTGCCTCGCTTCCTACCCGTAGCGGCTAGACACGATAAGCTTGGATGAAAACGAGCGTAGTGTAGCGTACCTTTTTCCTTTGGAGCATTGACAAGTTTTCGTTCATACACCCGAAGGCCATCCCAGATCGTATCTGTACCGATGGCATTAACGCCAGCTTTGTCCAGGGCATTTTCGAGGTGCGATTTCCTTAGAGCATATAAGCACAGTAAGGTAGTATCCAAGCACGGATACTTACAGTTTCAGAGACTCTTGTGGGGGTGTGCCCGTGGGAACGAGATGGGCCAAGGCGCGGAACAACGAAGCGACCGATGCGAGCTGAGCGTCGTCATCTTGGGACTCTCCTGCTTTCTTGACAAGGAAATCGATAAGGTATGTATGCATATCCATGAGATGAGGATTCGGTAGTCGGCCTAGCACAGCTAGATGAGCTCCTCGAACGATGAAGTGGGAAGCGAGGAGACGCGAAAGGGAAAGAGCAGGGTCTTCCGATTCAACGCGATCGTTTATTCGCAACATGAACGCCTGGTCAAGAGTTTAACAAAATCCATAAGATATGAGACCATTACCTCGCGCATGGCCCGCTGAACCACGGAGGTTACTTCTTGTCCATCACCTTGTTGCCATCGAGTTCGGAGCATTTCAACCAGTACTCGAGCGAGTTGGTCATACATATCGCCGAAGCGTCCATAATGAGCGAGAATGATGGAAGAATGTTCGAATGAAATCGTTTCGGTTCGTATGGCTTGTATGAAAGGCGCGAGTAATGAGTGGAAAACATAGTCCTTTTCGAGCCTTGAGCTCGACAATTCTTCTAATGCAAAATGTCAGATTCAACGACTTGAGACGGCTTGCCTTACCTGGCTGACCATTGACCTCTTTGTTTTTCTTCACAGTCTTACGTCGCTTCTTCTTGTTTTCTTCATCCATCTCAACGTCACTGTCACCATCCGTGCTATCTTGGTCTCCGATTTCCTCTAACTCTTCTGCGTACTCGTCAATGACCGCTTGAACATACCCGGCGAGTCGATGCTGGGTTTGTTCTTCCATCTCGATATGAAGGTCTGGGTGAGAGCTGCTGGGTCCAAAGACCATGTGCAAACGAATGATGGTCAAGAATGCCTACGAACATGAGCAAGATTGTATAGCTCAAAGTTTCGACTTACAGCTTGCTTGACTTTTTTCGTGACTTGACTATTCTCCCCAACGAGATACTCAATCAACATTTCAATGATGGGATCACGTTGCTGTTTGATAGATTGTTGTAAAGCGTGACCTTCTGCACTTGAGAGATCCACAGCCGAAATCGAGTGTGACTTCCAGAGAATGAAAGAGAATAGAACATATATTGCTTGTTCTATGAGCTAAAGAATTGTGACTAAGAGTTCATAGGTCTAGAGAGTGAACATACCCTATCCTCACGCTGGTGGCCAAGCTTGGCACGTTCGACAAGCGCGCTAAATACGTCAAGTGGTCGAATTCCTTTGCCAGAGTCATTGTCCTCGAGCCATGGTACAAGGTCTTTGACAGAGAGTAGGGTTGAAATCCGGTAGACTGTGAGCCCCGCAGCGTGTAGCGAATCCTCGTCGAAAGTCTTGGTCGCGAGTTGCTTGAGGCTATTCTTGCCACTGCCAGCGAGTAGTTTTATCGCCATTGACATTTCCTCTTCTAATTCTCCCAGCTTCTTCCTATTGGTATTCTGCAGACTGGTTGCTAGGAACATGTGCTTCATCGCAAGCACAGAATGTCGAATGACATCGTGAGAAGAGTGCGTGAGAAATTGCTTGCTGATATCGTCCCAGAGAGCTTCATACGCCGTGATCATCCTCATTTCGAGGTACATCCCAATATTCATCAGCTGAGGGATGATGAGCACCTTGGAGATTTTTGTCACATCTGTCTGGTGTTTGACAAATAGGGTCGGCAAGGCTTTGATAAGGGCGAGAGTAACATCATCCAATGATGCTTCCTCGTCATCAGGGTCAGTCGATCTTTCTCCCTACAAGAATAAGTCACGACAATCCGAGCTTACAGGGCGACTCACTTTGGGTCTCGATTTCGCGTCCTCGGTCGCTCGCCGCAAGGCAGCAACGAGAACATGTAACAGGATATCTTCCTCCTGTTCTGTCAGCCTCCATACATGTTCGACAACGCTATCTTCTTTGCGAAGGCCTGGTCGTCGCTTCCTTGAGGGTGACTCGGATGCTTCCACTTCGTTTGTATGATCCATAAGAAGCAGGTCTAGTATCCCGTTCCAACGGCGAATGTACTCCATATCCTCCCAGAGGGCATCGACGGCGAGGCCAATTCGGTCGTAGCTTGACTTGTCTAGCGCGAATTCCCGTAGAACTGCGTCTTTTACTGTGGTCTCGCCTTCGGCGTCTGATTCGCTAGGCTCATCATCCTGAGACTTTCGTCGAGTCTTCTCCTTGTCGAGGGCTTGGGACCATTTGATGAATTGTTGGGAAAGGCACTTGGCACCTGCCCTTTGTCGTTCCTTTCCAGCCCTGTTGCCAGTCATGGGACGACCAACCAGATGCTGCTCGACTTCTTCCGCCCATGTTCTCTGAACAAAAGGAGCAACTGCCTTCCTCACTCGCACATCTTGGGCGAAGATAAGGAGGCAGAGCTTATCTCTCTCTTCGTCTTCCAAAAGCGCGAGCTGGTCAATGGATAAAAGAACCTGGATCACACCAAGACGGACGGAAAGGTCGATATCCGATGTCGCCATCTCGATGAACCGAGGCTTGAAGGTTTGTGTAAAGTGATTCACAGCAGCTGTATAATCTTTGGAATACAGGCAGTCGATAGACTTGACGGCTTCCAATCTGACCGCGGTGCTGTTGTCGGATAGTGTCTTGCCCAAGTAAGGAAGAAAGCCGGATTCGAGAAAATAGGTGGAGTGCTTAACAAACCACACTCCGAGTTCGTGGACGCAATCAGCCCGTATGGCGGCATCATGATCGCGGGAGCGATGGACAAACACTCTGTGACTCCTGATTAGTGGGCGCACAGAAAGCAAAAACTACATACGAGTTGAAGATGTCGTTCAGGTACTCCTTGAGCTGATTCCTTCGGGAGGTAACCTCGTTGATCCTTGTCTCCAAATCTTGCTCTCGAGCTTTGCTTCTCGCAGCCTTTTTGCCTCTCTCTCCCTCCTTCTGTCGACTGAGCGTCTGAATCTCCTTGTCAACGCCTGCCGCGATCTGACATAAAGCAGTCTCAAGATAGAGGGCCACTACGGTTGCTGTGTGGCGAAAGCTTCGAACTTGAGAAGAGGAAAGAGGCACGAGCCAGGCTTGTAGGGTAGGCATGAGGTCCGATGCATAGAGAGATCCAGCTTCCGCTGATGTCACCATTAGCCGCGTGAAAAACTCTGCCAATGACTTTCGAAACTTTCGAAAGGCCGGGGATTTGGAGACAATTGGGTATGCGGGCATAGTTTCCTGGTAAAGGCGTAAGAGCAGTGAATTCAACGCTGAGGCTCTGACACTCACTGTTTTAAAGCCCTCGGTAAATTCGTCTAGTGCGTCAACTACGCCGTCAGTATCCATCACCTGATCCGAATCGACAGATGAGTTACACCCGCATGATCTGAGTATACAATTTATCAAATCTGCAAGGGCCTTCTCCGGGGTATTGTCGAACAGTTCAAGGAAGTTGTCGACGCTATCTTGCAGAGCAGTTGCGGGGCTCAGAATTAAGTCTGATGAAGAGCCAATCAGCATATAATACTCGAAATAGGTGCTATCGTACTGAAAAGAGCGCTGTCGTCGGATATCTTTGCGTCTCTAGCGAGCTTTGCGCCGTCCACGGGCTCTTCATCCTTATCAACTCTCCTCTTACGAGATGTAGTGGTAGCAGCACGCCCTTTACCACGTCCTCTACGCGTTCCACGCGTCGGAGCCTTTGGCGCAACATAGTCGGGCTCGTCCATGTCTTCGTCGCCACTAGGCGCGTCTGAATCATCGTGATCCGCAGTATTTTGCCCACCATTTAGTTCTGATCCCGCATTATTATCGTTTGCTTTGTTCCCAGTGCCTGTATGTGTGGCAAACGTGAGCGGCTTGTCGCGTTGAGTAGGCCCTATAGTATGACTGACCTTTTGAGAATCGCTTTATGGGTTTTCTTTCTCGTCCGGACCGCCGAGGCGCGGTTGGAGTGCTTTCCCGGTCACTCATGGTTGATGCACGCTGCTAAGGTGTGAAGAGACTGTTTGAACTCCGCCGCATCAGATTTCCAGTCGGTCAACACTCAACATCCTTCATTTTTCTCAAGACAAGCAATCAAACCCGGCGTACCTATTACCAGTCGCCTTCACGGTCAAGCTTGATAGACTCGTCGGTTGCGATGGTCAAAAGAACAAAACGCAAACAGCATAGTTTACCAAATACATCAGCAGAGGGTCCCTCACGACTCCAAATTCTCCTTCGCTCTTCTGCTTTTGTTCTGTATGCTCTTGTCTCAATTGCTGCGTTGGGTGCGGCCGTTTGGTCGCAGTACTATCTCAGGACCACTTCATCATCACAAAATATCTCAACTAGTCCCCTCTGGGAGATCGTAGACATACCAGGCAAAGGGAAGGGAATGGTCGCGCGCAGGAATATCACAGTCAGTGTGCCTTGCAAGTCCACATTCGTTCTGACAGCAATTTAGCAAGGAACACTTCTCCTACGCGAAACTCCTTTATTTCTGGTCCCACCAACCGTCCGTCAATCGCCAGAGCAACTCATAATTGCACTGGTCTCCCAACTTCCCCTGGAAAAGCAACAGGTTTTTGACGCATTATCGCATCATGCGAGACCAGATGCCGTTGGAGACGCCCTGCCTTTGGCCAAGTTTGAAACCAACTCGATGAACGCTGGGGAGAGTGTTGGAATCTTCCCGACCATCGCCAGGATTAATCATGGCTGTTCATCTGCGTTCAACGCTGCTTATTCATGGAGAGAAGACACGAAAGAGACGGGTGAGTGTGGCCGTGCGACTTGCCGTATCTAAAGCCTACCAGTTGTATACGCTTTCAAGCCTATATTCCAAGGAGAAGAAATCCTCATCTCGTATACGGACACCAAGAAATCGCGTGACAACAGACGAGCGTACCTCAAACAATCTTATAATTTCGACTGTACATGCTCAGTCTGCTCACTATCACCAGAGCTCTCCAAGGCGTCGGACGCTCGACTTGAGAGAATGGCCGCATTACGCGAGAAACTTGCAACATGGGCAAACAAATCCATTGGAGGGCAAGAGGCGACAAGTGTCATCAATGAAATCTGGCGACTGGGAGATGAGGAACAATATCTAAGCGAGTGAGTGTCTCTGCAAGAACACGTTCACCTTAACATCCTTAGACGCGGTGCGTTGGCATATGATGCTGCCCAAGTGGCTGCTGCACACTGGGAGTAAGTGTATCAAATGTTTGAGACACCTTACCTGACGGATCAATAGTCGAGTTGCAGCTCAGGCTTGGGCCGAACTGGCCCACAAGTGGTTTGCAATCGAACTGGGTGTCAACAGTGTACAAGCAAAAGCGGCATTGAGAATAGCGCAGAATCCACGATCCCATCGGGATTGGGGATCCCGATACAAAATGGAGGTCGAACGACCCATAGCTGGATTATAACACAACCTCCATCAATATCAACCAATCGCTGTACATGTGAGCAAGGAATAATATTGGTTATAAGGAATCTAGATCTTGTTCTCTAGCCGTCTTTCGGCCTTGAGTAAGACAAGCTTCGCTACCACGTCATCCAGCGGCATGATTTCTGCACGCGCTTTGGTGTCTGCATCACGATTTCGGACATTGACGGCTCGCGCTTCCATCTCGTCTTGACCGACGACTGGTGGAGGATTTAGTTAGCACTGGTTCCAAATTGTTAGGCACCACTGACCGAATATAAAGTTGTATTGAGCTTGTTCTCCGAGCAGAATCTTCTTCTTCATGGTTTCTGGGCCGGTATCGACATCTGCATACAAGCCTGCATCCCAGAGTTTGTCCCTGACCTCGTTGGCGTAGTCATACTGTCTTTGATTAGCCATATATCATACGAAAGCAGATGGAAACATACGAAAGGCTTGGACACTGGAATGACTAGGACCTGTCGGGGCGAGAGCCAGAATGGCCTGAAGAACTAATCAGTCACGGCCTGAATTGTTCGAGGACTCTCACCATTTGCCACCAAAGTGTTCGGTGATAACAGCCGTGAATCGTTCGATACTACCAAGGACGGCTCGGTGGATCATGACGGGACGAAGAGGTTCAGCACCTTCCTCGACGACTTTCTCTCCTCGGTACTTGAGGTTGAATCTCTGGGGAAGTTGGAAGTCAAGTTGAATGGTAGCACACTGGTGCCATCGCTTCAATGCGTCTTGGATGCGAATGTCAATCTTGGGTCCATAGAAAGCACCATCGCCTGGATTCTCTGACCACCGCCCCGGGTAGTGCTCGTTAAGAACATCAGTGAGTGCCTGTGTTTTGTGAGCGATGTTTAAAGAAAGTAATCGAATGGTGCACACCCGCTCTGCTGCATCCCAAGTCTCCTTCTCTCCTAGGTAGGACTCTGGTCGAGTGGAAAGTTCGAGCTTGTACTCAAAACCAAATAGGCTGTAGACTTTATCCAGGAACTTGAAGAGTTCGTCCATTTCTCCCTTGATTTGCTCGGGCATGCAGACTATGAACGAGGTGAGGAAACGGATCACAATCAAAATCAGTCCCTACAGACTATAAAATGTCAGGATCGTCGTTTATTATCGGTGCCTAACTCACTATGCGAATCATCCTGCACAAAGCGTCGTACTCGGGTCAATCCGGATAGAGCACCGGATGCCTCGTTTCTGTGGATCACACCAAATTCGGCCATACGAAGAGGCAGTTCTCGGTAGCTACGATCCCTGCTGTCGAACATTACGCAGTGTCCTGGACTGTGGAAAGTTAACACTAGGTCCTCCCATCCAGTGGTCGCGCACCAATTCATAGCCTTTAGAGCGGACATACGCTTGTCAATCTCCATGATAAACATGTTCTCCTTGTAGTGATCCCAATGCCCAGACGTTTCCCAAAGCTTGCTGCTGTAGATGTTTGGGGAGATGACTGGGCAGGGTAAGAAGCTGTATACATCGTAATGAAAGAGAAATACCTTCTTGGTAGCCACGTTTTCGGTATTCTTGCTGTTAGGTGGTCAGCGATAAGAATCGACGTTGTCGAATTACGGACTCGGATCAATTCGAGGAGTGCATTGTAGATGCGGACACCATTTGGCAGGAAGAAACAGCTCCCTGGGCTGATTTCGTCAAAGAACCACAGGTCCTGATCCTTGCCGATTTTCCTGTGGTCTCTCTTGGCAGCTTGTTCCAAGAATTCCTTGTACTCTTTGAGCTGTTTAGTGTCGGGGAAGGAGATGCCGTAGATACGCTGTAAGCTGTCGTTTGCAGCGTCTCCGAGCCAATACGAGGAAGAATGCTTCGGGATATCTCAGAACGGCCATCAAACCTGAGTGAGTGGCGTACCTTCGTGACCATGAACGCCTTTATTCTTCCGGTATGCGGGACATGTGGGCCGACGCAAAGGTCAATCATTGGACCGCATCGATAGACGGTGGACGTGGTGCCGTCGGGCACTTTGGTTTCGATGAAGTGTTGTTTGTATTTGTTATACTAAAGAGATGTCAGATGGACTTAAAGTGAGACTAGTCGGGTCACCTTGAACATTTCAAGCAACGCCTCCTTTGGGAGCTCTAGTCGGACAAACTTCTGCTTCTCCTTGATGACAGCTTTCGATAGTGTCTCAAGGTTGGGATAATCTACGGGATGAACCTTTCTGTAGGACAGGTTATGCCAGCCACTTCTCAAAGTGACAGGCAACTCACTTGTCGTAGGTTGCCATATCGTAGAAGAAGCCGTCTTCGGTCGGTGGACCAAAGCACAGGTGACACCCGTAGTGCTTTTCCGCAGCTTCTCCGAGCACGTGGGCGCTGGAGTGCCAAAATACCTGCTTGCCTACACAAGGCCATCAGTACGTCTCCTTGGAGTGGTGGTGGTCCGTTCACCTTCCGGATGTTCAAAGTCCAGTAGCTCTAGATCCACAGATTTCTCCAATGGTCTCTCGAGATCCCATAGGACGCCATCGACCTTTGCGATCACGAGCTTCTCGGGGAGGGATTTTGAGATCTCCTTTGCAATGTCCATCGGCGTGGTCTCCCAGCTGATTCCGGTCTTTTTGTTGCCATCTCGGAGAGTGATAGAGATTTCCTGTCTCGGTTTGGCTGCGGCACGGTAGATATCGAGTCAGCGAGACGCGGGGAAACGCTGGGCACACTGCGAGTACCTTTGACCATATCGTCATATTCGGCCTTGTACTTGTCAAACATTTCGATTCTGGACTGGAAAAAGGCTGGCGGTGGGCTCAGCTGGCGTAGGTAGATGAGCGACCGAGTGGCGACAACGATAGACGGGGGAAACGCGTACCTCGAGATTAGAAGTAGCCGCCATCTCTGATTTTTGATTGTTTGAACAGCACCGATGAGCTAGTTTGACTCGCAATGGCAAGCCGTATCGAAGCGGTCGGAAGAAAGGTGTGTATGTTCGGAGGCTGGGTCTCAGCATCCGTGCTTGCAAATATACAAGAAAGAAGGAATAGAAAATTATCTGATAGTCGTTCCAAAAACTCGGTGTCGAGGTAGAAGTCAAGGTGTTTGAAACCCTGCCCAAATCCTTCGACCTACTCACAACCGTGTTTATCCACTTCAAAGCGCGTCAACCTGTAAAAACCAGCAAATAATCATGTCTGATCCAGAAGACGATGATTTTGAAGGATCAAGAGAACCTTCTGGCTCTGAAGTCGACGCAGAAGAGGACTCTGGAGACGCGTCCGAGACCAGAGAGAGGCCACAGCGCCTGAAGCTGACATTGAAACCACGCGCACCCGCATCTTCATCATCTACGCCACGTGGAAAGGGTACAGGGAGACCACGAGGGCGTCCAAAGGGCAGCGGAAGTGGCTTGACGCTCAAAGTGCGCAGAAGCAAGCCAGACATCGCAATGGACGACCAACCAGAGGTTCCACCGGCTGCCACTCCACAGCCAGCAGCAAATGACAACAGTAAGCATGAACCGCGAACGGTCATCTTTTGTACTAATGGCCTGAAGCTGTTATCACCTCTGTGGGAGGCAAGTCGTATGTCAAAGTAGGAGAACAACTGTTCCTACTCGAACGAGATAACCTTGTCACGAGGGAAGATCCAATCGGTAACACCAAGATCGACATGAATGGAAACTTGCTAGGAGGCCGTGAATTCAAAGCAGCGACCTTCCATGTCCCAACACGCAATCCAGATGTCAAGTACATGCTTGCTATTGACTGCGCACGATCATCTGGCTATCGAGACTCACTATACTACTTTCGACGTAATCCACTCATGTACAAGCTTCAGCTCACTGCTCAAGAGAAAGAATATCTGATAGCTGCGGGGAAGCTTCATACGAACCTTCGACATCGAAGTGTGACCATGGTCACTGCGAGGTCGGCATTCAAGCAGCATGGCGCAAAAGTGATAAAAAGTAAGCAAAGAGACCATAATATACATATTTAACCCTCGAGTAGATGGAAGATGGGTAGTAGACGACTATTTCGAAGACGCAGCAAAGATTGAAGCCGCCGAAAAGGGAGCCAAGCCCGGTGACATTGTCATTGAACCGCAACAAGACTTTAGTCACAACATCTCAGTGGATGCCTACAGCAAAGCCCAAAAGGAGTCTCGCACGGGCATCTACAAACCTGGTGGGCCAACGACCTTCTTTGGCAGTGACGGAGTTGGTCCCTTTCGCGGTGAAATGTCTTCAACCAAAAAGGCAATGCTCGCAAGAGAAAACCTAACAGAGGAGAATTGGATGCATGCGGCTGCTCTCTCGATACAAGAAGCCAACGAAGAACTACGACGAGGCCGAGCAGAGCGTATCATTCCAGGAGCGGGACTTGACGAAGTCCAAGCACCTGTACCGGGTACCAACTTGACAATGCTACAATACGTACCGTCCGCAACACCTGTCAACACACTCCAGCCCCCATCCACAGGAGATGCGATGATGGATCAATTCGAAGGGGGAGAGGTTGATATCAAAGCGCTAGAAGCAGCCAACGCGGCTTCACCCAAACCCTGCGGTGTCTACGAAGTGCATACGGGGACCCTTCACTGTATGTGGCCTCTTGCATTTAGCTTGCACGCTAATGATCAACTACATCAGATCCTCAGGCATTCCAACCTACCAAGGTTCGGTGGGTACCCGCCCGCAAGACAAGCCATAAACCCGTCATTGGCGGTCTGTCGTCTGTGGGCTCCGCAGCATGGGGCCTCGTTTGGATTGACTATGTGATGAAGGATGAGGGGGCGTATAATGCCGAACTCGAGCGGATAGCACGTATGGAAGCAGAGGTCATAGACGCAGAGAAGAATGGTCCACCGGCCATCCCTATGGACTGGGACACGTGATGTACGATACCCACACGTGAAAAGATTTACTTGTAAAACTCATTTTCATTCAGACGTTTTGCTTTGGAGCGCGGCTTCTTTCACATCACAATTGGATACAAGAAAGGAACTTTGCAATGTCGAATGGGGGAGAGGTCGAAGTAATCCCTTCCTTCTGTGCCGAGGTCGAGAGGATATCTTGGTGACTACTTTGAACGGGAAGTAGTCCAGTGTCGCCCACTTCCTTTGGGCATTTTCGATGGTTGTGGTACCGGTCAAATGACCGATAGCGGGGCAACACCGATCCAAGATGCGTTTACTCTGCAATCAAAGGTGTTGAGAACACGACGGTTACACGAGCCCGAGGTGAAGATACTGACTGGAACGGGCCCTCATCTTTCTTCTCTTTCTCCTGAGTCTGCGAGAGCGCTTCTTCCGCCACTTTTCTCTCATATTTGGGTTTAGAAGTTTGTTGAAAGTGCTCTGCCTTTTCTTGCGATTTTGGCGGAGAAGGCGAGAGGTAAGCTTTGGGCCGTGTTTGTTCCAAACTCTGCACCACCTTCACCACCTCGAAATGCCGCCAAAAAAGAAAGTGTCGGCAAAGTTGCGAAAAGAATTGTCGGAATACGCGAGTCTCGTCCGTGCGCTGCACGTGACGTCGACCCAAGACATCATTCCTCATTTGACTGGCTCTTTCCCTGCTCCAGGGGCAGCTGTACCGACAACAGAAGATACTGACGCCGTCATGCATGCTATTGATCTACGCCCTGATGACGAAAACATGCATTCACCAGGACAAGAAGGGCAGAGCGATATCAACGAGGAAGAGGAGCACACAAGCAAGCAAAAGAAACCGTCACAAAGACCTTCTCGTGCTCACAAATATCAGCGGGATCAATGGTCGCGGTGGCCTATGCTCCGAGACCACATCTTTGTGCCCGAATGGTCATTGCAAGATGAAGTTCAGGCCATTGCAGAACGAAAATTTGGGAAACGAACGCAACAAGAGCCTCTAATCAACAAGGAGGCACATCATCAGGCCCCAACGGTCAGTGACGAAGAGAGAGACAGTGTTGAAGAACAGCTCGATGAAATGTCAACCGACGATGAACTAGACCAGAATTTGGAGTCGTTAGGCGAAGAGAAGAGCTATCTACCGACAGGCGTTGCTCGAGGACTTGCGCTCGAGTCAGACTTTCTGCTTCAGCGTATATTTGCTACCCTTGGTGCTCATCGTTATTGCGTCGCACCTGCGGTGCAAACCCGCCTGTTTCCAATGGACTGGAAGGCGGTGTTCATGGCTCTCAACGCTACTGGGGTCGTCGACGAGCAGTAGGTGAAACAGATTTATCTTATCACTTCTAAACTCCAATAGAACTCTGCGAGTATGTTACGAAAAGATGGAGAGGTTACACGAATCAGAAGAGCAGGCCGATATATTCCACCATGAACGCCGCGAGCAGCGCATGCAGCACAGGCTCAAAGAGCTTGAGAAAAGCATTGGCCCAGGAATTGATGCCCTTCATTTATGTAAGAATCCCAACTAAGGTAAGATCTCTTCTCCTTTCTTTTGACTTTGTAACGCTCTTGAGTAGCCAAGGGAATAAGCAACCGTGGAGACGGTCCGACCAAACACCTGGAAGATCATGAAGAAAGCATTTGCACGAGTTCTTGTACATATTTGTATCCATGACCAGTTGTATATATACAAGTGTGAAAGCTATGAAAGCACACGTGAATCCTTCTTTCCTCCTTACCATCACCACTCGGACCTTCAGTATCGTCATTTACAATGTCCATTGAGCTCGATTGGTCTCGTCTATCGACATTATCCAACCGGATACTTGCTCTACTCAACCAGCATTTGGAAACGGCGGATCGACCCTCATTCCTGGGTCCAGTCACTATCGACTCATTCGAATTTGGTGAAGTAGCGCCAGACGTCACGCTCGTGGATATTCGGGACATCTACCGCGACTTTCTGGAGGAGGATGAAGGCAGCAACTCTGAAGACGGAAGCTCCAGCTCAGAAGGCGAGCGGGAAGGAATGAGATGGGATCAAAGAGGAGAAGAAGGAAGCTACTGGAAGTCGGGCAGACAGGCGCAAAAACCAGGCCATCCAACAAGAGAGGAAACCAGGGATGACGATGACTTCGAGTGGGTCAGTCGTCGTGGGGCAGGACAGGGTGTTGCCGAAACTGGACCTGGTTATCATCCATTTCCTCCTCATTTTCGATACGGAGGTACAGGATCCTCGGGCAGCTTGCTTGATCCGTCCCTCCCTTTGGAATTTGGTCGAAGCTGGAGTGGCCCAGGCATTCCAGGAGGAACCAGAGTAGATCATGGTACGACTCAGGTCATAGAAGTCTATTCGAACCGTCGAATAGCAGCCAACCCGAGGATATCAACATCAAGGACGAGAAGTCGTCCGGGCGACCTAAACCGACTAGTATCACTACCAATACTATACCCCAAACTATTCCTGTTCCAACCGCCGCCCCTCCGAGCGATGCCGACACAGAAAATGACCTACAGTTCCATCTCCGCGTCATTTATAATGCAGATATGCGCATCAGTATAAGCACATCCCTTTTGCTCAACTACCCGACTCCACTCTTTATGGCTCTTCCCATACAACTCACCATTGTCGGGTTCGAGTTCGAGGCAGAAGTTGTCGTAGCGTATCAGAACTCGCGCAAGCGAGTACACGTCTGTGTGCTTGATGACTTGAATCCATATCGGCCAGCTTCGGCGTCCAATCCTGGGGACCTAGCTGATGAACATCGTTCGCGATTCGAGGACGGGAGTACCCCCGGGATGCGAATACTTCCTCATATATTTATCGAATCGGAGATTGGACAAGCGGATAAGCAAGTTCTCCGTAATGTCTCGCGTCGAGAGATTCATCCAAGACATGATCAGAAGCACACTCGAGGATGAATTGGTATTTCCCAACTTTCAAACTATTGTGTATGACGTCCCCAAGTAACTGCATTCACTGCAATATTGTGGGTGGACCCTCTTGGCCCAGACCTTTGGTCGTTAATTAAGTGGAAGTCCATCGCGGTGCTGAAGACACTGTACCCTATTGACGGTGAACATCTGTGCGGACGGTGTTCCCATAGGTAGGATCGTCAATTGCGCCTTAGAGCTGGCTGTGATTCTGCATAAAGGTGGCCCGAACCACTCAATCTGCTGATTTTTCCTCAAACCGCCGTCCAATCGCTCCGCATCCCAACAGTTCGTATGTCACTTGTTTGAAGGATGGCAAATGCAACAACTTGTCCTTCGTAATTACCCGCACGCACCTAGGAGCTCTTGATTAATCAGTGATCAGTTGGCAATACAATTATGCATACCATTACCTATGCCAGATATGGGAGACTCAGCAAGACAACGTTTATCGAGTATTGTCCTTTATTGCAAGGTGATATCGTGACTTTCTGTGTAGCTTTCGCTACCCAGGATATCAACTTCAGGTTTGTACGCATGCTAACACGTCACTTCCCATTGAAGATGGGTTTAGTTCCCTAGGATATAAGCCGGTACGCGGTATTCATCCGCATGATATTACCCTCACGCAGGATAGATGGATAATCAATGTCAATGCAACATTATTGCATACAATCTTATGGCTGGATCCTTCTGGTATGTCTGTTTATGTCACTGTCCCCATACTCTAGGCGTTGGTCAAGGTATCAAGGCAGAAATGATTCGCATTACGGTTCCTGCTGATCGCAGTCAATAAACCTAATGCGTCGGCTTGGCCGTCAGTCATCGGTGCGCTCTCAAACATTGGGATTATACAAATCTGAGCAGATATATAGACCGAAAGAGTAGCTTTAAAGGCTCCTGCTTTGGTCGTATCGACATCTCCGCCATGTGTCGAGGAATCTCATATACTCTCTGGGCAATAGTTGTGCCCACGGGTCTCACCTGTTGAACTCGTCCTTGCTACTCCTTATCTGCCTCCGCTTATCGCGGTCGACAAGACAGCAAGCATTTGTCTCGCTGTGGTAACGCATCCCCAGTGGACCACCCTCCAACTTAATGGTATTCAGTTCAATTATGGCCCCGATTATACCTCTGATATATCTCAGGCCATACTTGGGTTTCAGAACAGCTAATTTAGATGTTGTTGTGTTGGAGGGGAATAATGTCGCCGTCATCTCTCACAGGGTTCATGATAGCCCGGTAAGCTCACCCCTTGGTCCAATATCGACTTTACCAAAAACGACTACAGCCTGGTGTAACGCCCTCGCGCCCGAGTGGCACGGGCCAGCCAGAGTCCCCCGGAGCTAGATAGCTAGTCTCTTAGACTCTAGTTAGTCTCTTAGAGTCTCTAAGCGGCGCAGCAGATCCGCTCTGTCTCATCTCCCTCACTTTCGTTTCGACTCCATCCTTTCCGCGTTTCGTCTCGCGCTCTCGCGCATATATAAAGCCTCTAATAATCGATAATCATGTACATAAGAAGAATTCTAGCTATTTTCCCGTCCATTGCTCGCCCTCATTCCCTTCTTCCAATCTCTCGTTACTCATACTCGCCTCAACAAGCGTTCACACTTTTCGCTAGGAAGATGTCAAAGGTAAAGGCAGGGCAACGGAAGGAGTGACTTGTGCGTTATAGTGATCCAAATCGGTATGATAAATCCTTCTCTGAACAAGAAATGATTTGACTTGGCCAAGCCTTTGTTTCTAATGATGATCAAAACAGAGGTTTGTGGGCTTGACCTCATTTATTGTGTAAACCATCTAGGATTTCCTGACTGTATGGAAGAAATTCGAGGCATTGGCACTTGTCCGCATCGTTTTTCCACCACTGGCTGTCAAGCGGTCGTTGATTTAGCAAATTTGAATTCGGCTGTGCGGCGTCTACAGTCGGCGAGAAGATCTACCACCGACCGACCGAGAGCCATTCATTCACTGCAGCATGCCCCAGGGTTGTGGCCGGACTCTTGAGCGGAACTCTATGGCGGTGCCGAAACTTGAGCGGAACATTTACGCGAGGCTCTTTGTGGTCGGGCTGTATGTGAATTTTCGTGCAGACGGCATTCCCACAATACATCTAGGGTCGTCAACCATGTTGTCCAGGGTCCGCATAAAAGTGCACCGAATCGCTGAATGCTACACTTGCCGGGCTATCTGTTCAAATACTTACTGCTTGCGTATCACCCATTTGAAGGATGGCAAATATGGTGACTTGCCCCTCGTAATGACCTGCATACGCTTATAAGCATCTGGATTGATCAATGGATAGTTGGGAATATAACCACGCATCCCAGTCTCCATGCCAGTTATGGGAGACCTTGGGACAACAATGCCTATCAAGTGCGTTCTTTCAAGATAATGAGGTTGTGCAATAACTTCGTTAACAGCTTTCGACACACAGAGCATCAATTTCAGGTGCGTACACATGTTATATATTGGTGCTGTCTGAATACCTGTCTAGTTCTACGGGGTATAGGCCGGTAAGCAGCATTGATCTGCGTTAAGTTACCTCACCCGGAATAGACGGATGATGATTGTCAATGCAACGTCATTGCGTATAATCTCATGGCCGGGTGCTTCTGGTATGTTTACTATTGTCCAAGTCGCAGTCTCCTAAATGTAATGAAGGTGTCAAGGTAAAACTGGTCCACATCAACGGGCCATTACTGATTGCATTAAGAACCCAATGCTTCGGTCTGGCCTTCAGTCATCGGTATGTTTTCAAGACATGATATAGAAAACTGAAAGAGTACATAGAGTGGAGGAGTAGCTGCCAAAACTCTACCTTTAGTCAGACTGGCATCTCTATGCTGCACCGGGGAATCTCATATCCTCTTTGGGCAATAGTTGCGCCAATAGGTTTGTTGACAGCTCAATACTCCTTTGCGCGCACTCAAGTCTCGCAGGAACGACATGGTCTCCGTCCGAGGCTTCCGAAAATGCTCGTCTCGCATCCATCTCCATGACTCGCTCGAAGCCCTTGGACGTGTATGCCACAGACTCCTCAGATTTCGAGGGCTCCTCGCTAAATGAAGGTTGGACCTTGTCAATCGTGTTATTCAGTCTCGCATATGCTGCTGGTGAGTGACCAGCAGTAGTAGACCCGTACCCCTGTGACTCTGGTACTAGGCTTTTTCTTGCTTTTCGTCGGATTAGCATGGTGTATTGTTCTGTGTATCATACGGAGCAGACAGCGTGACCGGAAGCGCTTGTATGATCAGATGGCATCAAGATATCCACTCGGCGGAGCCGTTGGGTCCCGTTCCCAAACATTCCCATTGATGCAGGATCAGCAAGCAAACCCACAGCTCACACCTGAAGCATCGCATCAGTCGGTCAATTACCTGGTCGAAGAAGATCAACATGATACTCAGTCAAAGGCTTCAGGATTTGCGGGATATTGGCCTGGATCCTTAAAGGGGATAAACAGATCTACTGCAGGCGGAGTACTCTCACCGGGTTCTCCTCTCCAGGAAGCGATTGAGATGAAAGAGGGTGTCAACAAGACAGGTCGAAGAAACCCAGATACGATGTATGACGAGTAGCAGTCTACCCAATGTAGCAGGTTAAATATTGTCATATCCCAGGTTTGGAGGAGGATTGTATGGCCCAGATTTCACGACTGTCAATGTTACTACGGTCCTTCAACCAGATGAAATTTAGCCTATACTCTTAGAATTCATATTGCCGTTCATCGGACCCTTAAATTGTCCTACGAACGAGCTACTAATCATCACCACTTGGACTTCTTGGTCCGAAAATGTCTTGTGCCTCGACCTCGCGGCCTAGTCGGATATCACCAACTTTGGTTCTATCATCCTTCTTAATTATCTCGGCAGAAATGCATCGAATTCCAGATTGGCGCTATGTATGAGTCTAGGCGACATTTATATTTGTTTCCAGCAAGTCAGATCAGAAATCCCGCGCAGACGGCAATCCCACGCCAAAAGCCATGTTTGATTCGCACACTGCTAACCCGTTCAGTGCAAGGGCGTTCAACTAGTAGGTTTATTTCTTGAACCCGCCCTTGGCAGCCGCTCCTTACCTACGCTCCTTATCGCCAACATGACAGCAACTACTTGTCCATCGTAATAATTTATGCTACTATGAGGCTACCCATTACTCACCTCTCGGTAGTTGGCAGTCCAATTTTCTCTCGCAGTCACCTTGCCAGGTGTGGCAAGCTATGGGCGAGAAATGCTCACCAAGTACGTTTTATGAAGACTAAAACACGTTTAAATTACAATTTGGATAGGTTTTACTATCAATACCATCGACTTTAGGTTTTTACATATGTTGGAATATGGCGCGTGTATCGCTGACAATTTCTTAGCTCTCCGAGCTATCGCCCGGTTCGCGAATCACCTTGTTTGTCTACGTGTTGCTCATCTCGGACAGACGGATGACATCTGCCAATGCAACCTCCCGGCCTATAATCTCATGGCGGGATGCTTTTGGTACGTTCTATTGAGAATTCGAGTCAAAGAAAGCTCACTCTTCGACAGGTGTCAAGGTACGCCACTCTTTCACACTTAGTTCCTCTAACTGTGATGCTACTGCAAAGACCCCGCGGCGTCAGCTTGGCCATCGTTGACAGGCAAGCCAATCTGCATTCGAATAAATTAATACTGAAGATACCTACAGAGTGGCAAAGCAGCTGTCGCAACACGACCTTTGTCTACGGGATCCCCTCTGAGTTGGAGACTATAACTTACCCCTACTGGGCCACCCTCCAACCAGATGGTTAGTCAGTTGAAATCTCACTCATAATTCTGACAAATAGTAGGAACTACTTGGGTTGCAAATGACGCGTTCGTCGTCGCTCAGATTGTTTCTTCTACCTCCAGCAGTCGACGTAGCTATTATACGAGCTCCGAACCCTATTATTACAGCGGCTATCGGGAAAATCTCTATGTGGTTCCCATTCTCCTGATCACTGCCAGTATGTGCTACCATTGATGCGGGCCATGCTCTTACCGATGCTCGCTTTCCTAGTCTCTCTTTTAATCGTCGTAGGACTGGCGTGGTGCGTGGTGCTATGTATCTTCTGGCACAGGCAGCGTGATAGGGCCAAATTCTATAACCAAGTGGCAACCTACCATCGCTTTGGTCCACCAGTTGGCTCCCAAACCGTTCCGCTCATGCGAAATCAAGAATACAACCCGATGAGCCCTCAATTTCCCTCCCAACAGAATACTGGGGCCGCTGCCTATCGTACCTCTATGTATCCTATCGCGGAGGCGGATCAATCACGGGCTATAAGCTTTGCAGCCCCTAACGGTGGTCTTCTGAGGACATTCGATGCACACCCTGGTGTGGCGGAGGAGGGAAATATCGCCAGCACCTCTCATAGAGCTCACGAAAGCCCCATACACTCTCCGCTGGTTCCGATTTCCCCTCTACCTGGCACTATCACAGTCCAGGAAGACGTCAAAGGTAAAGGAAGAGCGACAGAAGGAGGGGGTTATGCTCTATAGTAGTAAGAATTCGGTGCGAGAGTCCCCTTCCGAAGAACGGGTGATCTGACTCGGTCAAGCTATTGTTTAATTGTTATCAAACCGGGATTTGCGGACTTTATCATTCGTGACTGTATAAATCGATTGAAAGTCCCTTGACCGCATGGAAGGCGGACGAGGCGTCGGCTGTCATCCGCATCGCATTCTCTACCACTCGTCGTCAAGTTTTGTTGAGCTGGCAATTCTCAGTCGCCCTGTACGGCGTCTACAGTCGGCGAGAAGATCGACCACCGACCAGCGCAGACTCAAATGCCTGCTTCTCCTGCCGACCAATCGCCGCGTGCGCAACGACTGGTCCATTCGGCTCGGACTTTATATTGTCAATGCCCTTGCTGTGTATATTTCCCAGCCCGTAATAGTGGCTCAGCACCGTAGAGATTCACGGAACCGAGTGGTTTAAGAGCCAAGGGGTTTATCACCATCTGACTACCCATCTACTCTCACCCTCGTTTTACCACTACTCGACGTTCTTTATCTTTTCCCCGATGAGCATCTGCCCAAGGTTTGTCCCTTGCTTTCAAGGTGCAGGCAAGGGCGCTGACGAGTCCAAGATGGATTTACAATTCCAATATGCAAACACCTTGTGACCTGTGGTCCGCACTAGGTGCCAAATGCTCACCATGTAGGCACCAGTGTAGTTATGGATGTCAAACTGACACAGCTCATAGCGTTCACACCCCCAACATCGCCGTTTGAGTGAGTATTATCTCGATTCATGAACGATTTTGACACTATATACCCAGTTTTCAACACTTTAGACCTGTAAACCCCCCCTACCGTTGGTCATGCTCCGACGCTAATGTCCATATAGACAGACGACGCGTGCCAATGCAACATGGTGGCATACAATCTCATGGGAGGATGTGCCGTGTACGTGCTTATTTCCGCCTGAATGGACCCATGTCTCACACCCTTTTTCCTGACAGATGCGAGGGTGAGTCTCCGGATCCTTGAGTGGGAGGTTACTGATGTAGAGTGTCGAGTCGTCATTCCCGGAGAGTGGCCGACGATTGCGCAATGGAAAGAGAGCTGTAAAACCACGGTGTTTAACAACACCTTGTCCGAGTCGCTCTCCAACGGCCTCTTGTTACCCCCATGGGCTTTGCAAGCACCCAACGGTCAGAATGGTTTCGTCCCTGTTTGGGTTGCCACTGCTGATACTTTTTGTCTCAATAGGAACGACATGGCAACGGGCAGAGGCATCTGTCAACGCCGCCAGAGCGAGTAGCACGGCAACATCCAGTTGGACAGGGTTTGGGAGTATCGGTAGCAGCAGCAGTACCAATAGGCATTCCGATACATTGGGGATGAGCATAGCTATTGGATGGTTCACCTTTAGTGCGTATTCTCGTTTGGGCCAGTCAAGTTCTAACGATGGTGGATACAGTCATCCTTTTGATTGTTGCAAAGGTCATTTGCTGGTGTTCGGTGATTTGCTTCCTCGTTCGTCAGAAGAGAAGGGTACCTGCCTACCGAAAGATGGCCGCATATTATCGCGCGAATGGGGCTGGTACACAAGTTTACCTCCACTGAGTGTAGGTTTAGGGTTTAGCATGTTGTTGCGTGATACATAATTAGTTTTAGCGTTCGAGGGGATGTAACCATGGTGAGATGTCGAAAGTCTCGGGAGCAGCAGGCCGATGTACGGTGAGGATCAGAGACATAGGCTGTGTAATCTAGATCAACAGGGCCTACACATGAAACTAGCGTGTGCTGTCCAAGTGGGGCTCGAGACCGGGGGGTCGGAGCTAGCAAGTGTTTAGGTTTGAGAGTGGAAACATAACGCCACGGAGGATGAAACAGATTGCATGAGCGGGCCGCAGTGAATCGAGTTAGCCGAGGATAAGCTTATGGATTTGCGAGTTTGTCGCCCATTTAGTCATGTGGGGGGGTTTATTCATTTTAGGCTGCCTCTAGCCAAACAAACCTGAACACCTTGGACCTTGCAACGACTGGCTGCGCTGTTCTAGCCCGTTAACTACATTCATGTCTTATACAACTTACAGACCGCCTCCTCCAGCGCCCTCTGCCTTTTTCGCGCTCCAGCTCGCTGCCTCGTCGTCGTCTGCCGCGCCCTTGCAAGCCATTGTTGATGCTACCATACCCTCGAATACGTCCGTGTCGTCTACAGCCTCGATGGATGAGATGGCGTCGACTACAACTGGAGCCGCCCCTTCGACATTTCTACCTCGTATCCCGAGCAAGATTTCCATCAACGTGACGACGCAGGCCATTGCCCAGCAGGTCCATGCTGCTACATCGTCTGGCAATAACAAGGCCCCTTCACGCACCAACAGTGCATCGTCCATCACTGCACTCCCCTCACTGAGCTCGTCGCTCAACAACCTCCATGCAGCCACGAGCATTGATCACCTCGATGTCTGTGGCACCCGCACTGCAGAGGCCGATGAACTGGTGAGCCTAGCCTCGTTTGGATTTCCTCCCCCCGGCTCTCTCGCACTCTCGCATCCCGCATCCCGCCCCCGCCTGTATTCCCAAATTGTCTGCTGATATACTGATCTATTCTGTCATCAGCTCAGACGAGTAATCCAAGGAAACGTCAAGCGATTATCGAGTTCATCAATTCACCCGGCCGGCTCCCTTCCTCCCTCATATCCCGCTGGTGGGCCGGGCAGCAGCACGAACATTGCCTATCACGCCCAAACCGAACGCGTCTTCACTCGCTACGACGATGATTCGTCCGCTGACGAGTCAGATGATTCAAACGACGATGGCGACGCAGTTGACAATCTCCCCTCATCGTCTGCCACTTCTTCCCTTTCCAGACCGTCCCCTTTACGTTCTTCCCACTCGACCTCGCATTCCGACTACTTCTATCATCCCAATCCGGCCAGGCGCTCCTCCCTCGATGGCAACACCAGCCCGACCTCGCCCCCGAGTCCCAACCCTCTTCCACGCAGTAGTAGTACTACTGGTATCATGATGAACGTACGTGCTCCTTTGCCCTTCACTCCCCCTCCCAACTGCGGTCACGAGGCCTTTCCCACTGCCTTGCCCATTCGGCGTTTGCCTGGTGATCACGCGTTTCTCGGCCTATTGTCCTTGGGTTTTTTTTAAATTGTACAACTTCTGACCTCTTTTCAGTCGCGAAAGGACAGGCTCGCCGCCCGACCCCGCAAGACACCTGCCTTTGCCTTCTGAGCCCTCTTCCCCAGCAACTCGAGTCGACTAATTATAATGGGCCCTATATGCTTTCTTTATTCTTCAAGCACTTCATTTCTCATCCTTTTGCTTCCCTATTTGATTTGCTCTCCTCCCTAGTTCATGGCACTGTTAGCCCACCGTCACCTACTCGCTCATGGTCGGGGATGTCTGTGTGTGCGTACTCTATCACTCTTCCCCTTTACCTTTACGGTCCGTCGCCGAAGCACACAATCTCGACATTTGTCCCTGTGGATGCCGTGATTGCTACCGAGCAACAAAAAATTCGTCATAGCCCCGTTTCGTTTTGCGTATCAAGCAGTCGTGGCTATCGCTATTCAATGCGCAATCGTCCTTGCTACACAAGAGCCCCTTGGGTCAGGCGTAACCGCATCTTTCCGTCGGAGCAATAGCTGCTTTTGACGGGGGACTGTCGGTCTTGTTGCGACTGGACAAGCGAACAAGCGAATACGCGTTGCCGTTGCTGCATGGCGAGGCCCAAACAATCAAGGTCACGCCTGACCGGACGGTGTATCAGCGGGTGGCTGGCGACATCAATTTTTTAGCCAAGGCCGACGACAGCGGACGCGGAAGCAAAAGCTAGAGACGGAGAAGTTGCGCGTCAATGGATACGCCAAATTATCCAACGCTACGAATGACACGACCGTCCCATCTGGCCCCTCAATCTCTCCTTCTCCATTCGTTGGTTTGGTTCGCCCTCTCCCTGCGATCATGATCCGTTCCCCTGGACCCATGCGCATCGAGGGAAGACTCTCCCACATCTCATCTCCTCTATTCCTCAGGGTCTTAGAGGGCGACGAGGAGTGGGGCAAGGCACGACGAGGGAGGCCACGACGTGATCCCATCGTCACCAACACCAAATTACAACAACCTCAGAAGTAAAGCAGACATCGGGCTTGGGATAGGTGACAGACTTCAGAGTTTTTGATCCCCTTGCGTTGCCGGGACCCCGACTCCCGGATCGCCGGCATTGACGAACGTTGCCCTGCGCGGTCCTGTCGCACTCGATCTATCGGCTATTTGCGATATTCAAGACTCTCTCGTACCCTACGAGGCTCATGGACAACCCCCCAACTGCTTCTGTGGCGAACCGGTTCTCACTATTGCACCCCGCTTCTACGCGTGCATGGGATTTCATGCGCAACCACCTTTTCTCATTCTTTTCTATTCCCAAGGGTCCATTCTCCATTCTCCATATTCTCCTTCATCTATTCGCTGGAGAGTCTGTATGGCAGGCCCTCCAGACCTCTCTCCACTTTTGACTCGACATTATCATCCAACATACCTCACCGACCATTGATACCACGACCCATCACCTGTTCAATACCCGACAACGCCAGCGGCCCGGCCGCTGACGACTTTCGCATCCCACAAATCCGAGCGCGTGCACACACCACACCACCGTCTCGTCAAACCTCTACCTCGTCGTACAGTACATCCCTCTCGTCCAACCGCGTCCTCTAGTCTCTCTCTCTCACCATCGCGCTTGTGTTTGTGCTACCACCGCCACCACCGTGTACGCTACGTCAATCCTTTCGACATCCTGTCGATCCATAATTTGCCCAGAGCCCAGGATCCTGTCCCAACCCTCCCTCTCTCTCTCTTTTCTTGTGTCGTATCACGATCTGTGTGAGCTGTGTCTCCTCGGCGTGTCGACTTGAGGGAGTAGAACCGAGGTGTTACAGTGTACGAGGGCTCAGGTCTGTTTTCTATCATGTACCATCATCTCCTTGCGCGTCTCCATTTCTTTTCCCTTGTCTGTCCGTTTACTGCTTGCCGTGCAGGATGTTTGTTTGTTTTTTTTTCCTTTGGTTGTATATACGCGCAGCTTATCGATTTCCTTATCAAAACATGTGTATGTGGGGTGAGCGTGGTCCCGGACACTGTCTTCTTCTTGGCACTCTTCGTAGTAAAGGTATCATGAGCCTATTCGGACGCATTTTTCGCAGAGGGAAACAGTACAAATCTCATCTTTTACTGCTTATTCTAAACACAATTGATATTTTTCCTTGCAGGGTATCAGACTCGAAGCCAGACGAACGGCAGACGCCTCACAAAGCGGGTTCAAATGTGAAATCCAATTCAGAAATACATGAAACTCAGGGCCCTCACCCTGATTCGGATATGCAAACCGCAACTCGAGAGGTGACATTTTGGAGGACGGGGTTTACAGTCGAGGGTGGGCCGCTGTATCTGTATAGCAACGAACCCGAGCCCGGACATATATACAAAGCCATGCAAAATGTGTAAGTGCCCATCATCCTGCTTCTCTTGTCTCACAAGTTGCAGAACTACCAATCGAGATGCGTTGAACATTAGACCTGGCCAGGCCGTGGATATTATGATCGTAAACAAGATGACTGAAGACTACGTACCACGTCCATAGGCCAGTATTGATAATGATGATCATCAATTCTCAGACCGTGTCTCGTCGTACATTCGCATTCAACAGTGAGGAAATGCAGGGACCGCATGGCTCGCCTCCAAGTCTCTCACGAACCACTCCTATCAAAAAGGGTATCATGAGCCTCTTTGGACGCATTTTCCGCAAAGTGACAAAGTATAAATCTCATCCTTTATCACTTATCTAAAACGAAACTGAGATTACTTCTCGCAGAGTCTCAGACTCAAGTCCGGATGAACAGCAGGTAATTCACACGGTGGATTCAAATGCGAAATCCAGTCCAAAAGTGCAAGATCCACAGAGGGTTAACCCGTATTCTGCTACACAACTTGCCATTCGACATATCATATTTTGGAGGACCGGGTTTACAATTGAGAATGGGCCGCTGCATCTATACAGCGACGCTCAGAATGAACGCATACTCATGGGCATTCAAAACGGGTAAGCGCCATTGTTCCGTAGGTCTGGTCTAAGCGTTGCAGAGCTGACCATGCAGATCTATTAAATGTTGCACATGGCCAGCCAGTAGAACTCAGAGTCCCCAAAAAGCTCACCGAAGACTACGTACCACCACCGAGTCTTGATGCTGGTGACGGATTGCCTAATAAGACCCAATCAGAGTCTTCCATAGCGTTACGTCGTACATTCGCATTCAATAATGAGGAAAATGTAGGTGACAAGTGATGAAGATATACGCGATAGAGGCAAGAATACAAAGGAGGTCGTGAAAATGGATTGATGCTAAAGTTGATGGTGAATGCACGGATAAATGAGAGAGGATTTACAGCAAGCCACAGGGCCAACCCTGAGCTGTAAGATTCAAGGCGCGCTGGGCTCATTGCCCGACCACCCAGTCGCCGGTCGTCGAGTGGCTTGGGTGGACAAGGACGTTGATCCCGCTCCTGCTCCAGAGGTTCCAGTCACGGTCGAAGACGTTGAACCTGGTCGGATCGTCGCGTCTCGCCGAAGTACAGACGTGTATTTCGACGTCCTCTTGGTGGACTCTACGCCTCCGGGTGAAGTAGTGATCCCCAGACCACTTTGCTTGTCAGATCGATCGCTGTCTATGGATCTCCTCTCCGCAGATGTATTGGGAACATCAGTTCGAACAGCTTGTGACAGTGGCGGCCGAGCCACCGCGGCGGTTCGGAGTTCTGGAGACTCTAAATCGAGAGGACCGACGATTCCTGCGTAGCCAGAACCATCACTCGCAGTAGATTCTGCACCAGGTGTGAATAATGGAATCTGCTCGGGTGTCACGCCTTGCTGAGCTACACTGATTCTATCTCGCGAAGAGTTTTCGCTCGAGAGAGGGATAGAGCCACCTCGCATAGTGGCATCCACGTCCCTGCCACTTGTAAAAGTCTGTGTCTTTCAATATCTCATCAAATATGATGCCTAAGCCACATACCTGACCACTTTCTTGCCCCACGGTTCCCTTCATCGTACTACGCCTTCTTTCTTGCAAAGCACGAAGACTTTGAGAGAAATTGGTGTCCATGGTTTGCAACTGAGCGCCTATGTCTTGCTGTGGAGGGGACAATGGCATTCGATTACCGGTTCCGGAAACTGAGTTATGCCGTCCCTCTAGATCTGCTAAATTGAGCTCCTGAAGACGAGCCGGAGGCGATCGAGGAGATGGAGGAGGAAGCTCGATACGGCCGATTAAAGGACTCTGCCTCCGTTCCGCCAAAGAGATGCGCCGAGTGTGACCTGCCGACGGAGATGCAGATCCCGAGGAGTGAGAGTCATTCAAACCAGCCCTACGGAGCGGTTGTACAGTTTCGAATGCACGAAGGTATTCTGAGAGTTCATCCTCGTGTTTAGTAGGATCGAGAATAGTACTCTGCGGCGTATAATGAGCAATGATACAAAACAAATATGTATTGCACGTACCGACGGACGTGATCGTTCTGGTGGCAAATCGCCGGAATGCGCAGCCGGGGACCCCTCTGGACGGACAGACGCCCTGCGAGTAGCGCTCTCTGCTGGTGTTGAAGTTCCGGAAACACCAGCTGACGGCGCTCTCCGATGACTGAAGCTGCTCGAGTATCGCTTCGTACCAGGTAGCTTTGCGGGCGACCCAACGGCAGAGTCTCCAGAGTGCGGCGAACCGCTGTTAAGGTTGGCAAGAGGTGAACCCACACCTCTTGGTACAGACGATGATGCCGCAAACGGTGGTGGTTCGCTCAGAGGCCCGGCCAATCCGGCGGAAGGTGGGGAGGACGCCACGGTGGGCCACGGCCGTGAGCTCGCTCCCGCACCAGACGTTTCTGGAATCGCATAGGGAAGTGAAGAAGGGGGGCGCGACATGATAGGCGTCCCTGGTCCATGAGTGCGGAGCGAAGAGCTCGGCGAATTGAGGGCTGCTGGAGAGAACGTCGATGACTTGAACGCTGGGATGACTGGGACATTTGTAGGAGGGAGAGAGTTCAGACGAACTCCTTCGGGGCGGAGCCGAGAAAGATTCGAAGGTGGCGACGTCGAGGTACCTGGAGATGATCGTTCCGCACCGCCGACCTTGGGCATCTCAAGGCTCTCTCGCCCAGGCTTCAGTGGTGTACCACGTCCAAGGGAGCCTGGTGTGACGAAGGCAGGTGTGAACCCTCCATAGCGCGGACTGCTGCCTGCGCTCGTGTTCGGTACCAATGGTGCGTGTATCGACCGATCAGACGCCGAGCCTGATCTGGAGGAAGCCTGATCCTGAGTCGCTTTCGCGAGCGAGACAGCAGCACCAGATGCCGGGAAGGATATCGTTCGACTATGGCGAGGGCCAACGGTCACTGGCTGACGGGAACCACGCATGGCGATGCCTGTTGTACTGGGCGACGAAGCAGCAGAGTCACGGGCTCTATGCGCTTGTACGGTGGGCGTAAATGCTACTGATTCCTCGATTTGGCCTGCATCCTGATGGAATAGCCTTGAAGAGATGAGCGACTCTAAAGTGTCTATTCGGAACTTTGGCTGAGTAAGGTATCGGACAGATATCTTGAGGATACCCAATGGTGTGGAAAGGCCGGGAAACGCGTGCGAGCTCGTCTGTAGCCATGCAGGCCACGGGGATGAGGGCGATGGGTCAAAGGCAAGCACACCCTGGTCAAGTTGGAGCCTGAGATCGATCCCAAACGATGAAGAGGGCGAAGGGTGTGTGACGCCCGCACGCTGTCGGTATTGTTGATACAAACGTGCTGCTGGGAGTTGCCTGCAGAGCGTGTACAGGGACCGGAAGAGGGAAATGGCATGCTTGTAGACGGCAGCTAAAGAGAGCTCTCCTGGGTCTGAGGAAGACAAAGAGGAGCCGGCAGAGACGCCGGCCAGTTGGGTGGCAGAAAGCGTCCAAGTCTCGAGCAGGATCCCTCGGGGTGTCGGCTCAATCTTGACCCTTTGATCGGATGGCCCCAGTGCGACAAGAGCCTTGTTTGATCCCAGTTCCGGAATGGTCAAGACAATGTGAATGACCAATGTCGGCGGTGTGCTCATAGACGAAATTGCACGAAAGAGGCGCATATGGTCTCTGTGAATATCTGTATCTGGTGTTTCTAAATTGAACTAGGCGCGATTCATCGGTCAGCTGCTCGGAAAACGCGAGAACGGCAAAGGTTACGAACCCATTTATCGACTTTGGTGCTGCGAGGCCCGTGCTCGATGGCTGTTGATCGCGAAGAGACGAGGATTAGAAGAAACTTGATGAAGAAACGCGAAGCGATCTGATCTGCCTTCTGCGCGCTGGACGCGGCCGGTGGATGCGATTGGTGCGGAGTAGTTGGGCGCGAATCATCATTCAGCGACATTGACGCGTAAGATTGAAGAAAATAAAACTATTGATGATACCAGGAAAGAGCCAACGAGGTGGAAAGCAAAGGTGGCGGATCGGCAATGATGGATAAGCCGTGAAAGCGACAAAGAAGGATCCTGGACGATCCAAAGGTCCAATTGGGAATGTAGAGGCCAATGCACCAGCTGCTGCGTCCGCGCCCGCTGACTGTGGATGGAGCGCGCAGGACCAAGCTAGGATTACCACAAGCAAAGCGTCTATACTCTGCAGATGGCGCTACACGCTGTCATTATAATATTATATCTATATATTCGATCTTATATTAGAGAATAATTTTAGTCTCCGCGTGTTATTGCATCCAGATCCATCCCCCACTCTTTTGCCACCTCTTGCTGCTTTTGTTGACTGGGGTACTCATTCAGTTCTCCACGCACGTCGAACCATGATCCTCTCCACAACAAACTCTGAGGGCCCGTGAGTGAGCCCTGCTCCTCAACCCCCAGGAGTGAATCCAAGAATGGAGAGACATGCTCTAGCCTCATCGTACCATACCAGTCCCCGTATGGATAAACGAGGACATTCGCTGCAAATCTGCGTGGCTCTTCAGTAATAGGACTTTGTGCAATGAATGTTCACTTACGCATGTCCACCTACGTGAGAAACTTCACCTATGTTTATTCTTTCCTGTAGATTTCTTCGTTGGACTTCTTGACGGAATTCATGGATAACCTCGGCACCATGTTGTCCACACCGACAGTCGCGAGCAGCATGAGTGCAGACAAGAATCCACAACTTCTTCAGCAGGAAACTTCCACGTTGAGTTTCTTGACTCTTGAATGCGGAGCGCACGACGCTGCGAGCCTGTTCTGGACAATGCATCATGTTTTCGAGGATGACTCCATCTTGCACTCGCTCATGAAATAGCCGGGCCCATTTATCCATTTCATGAACTCTGAGCTTGTCAATGTTGAGCGGCTCCATGAATTTACTAAAAAACGTGGCCGAAAATGGTTGACGGTCGTCAGACCCATGTGCTGCCATCCAAGTTGTAGTTTCATGAAATCCAGTGCTCCCTAAATGTCATTACTAACAGGTGAGGGTACGTCCAAATGCGAAACATACAACGAACCAGGATGGCACATCAAAGTCTGCCCTTGGAACATAGACTGGTGTAATAATGCGGTCTGGTAGATTTGCGAAAGGTTTTTGATGTCTGATGGCCACTCTTTTGCGGGCATACGAGTATATAAAAGTAGCAAGGCCTGATGCTTTGGAACTTTGCCTCTCATCTTCTCCCGCAGCGTCTCTGGGGACTCATTATAGGAACTGGGGACTGGTGTCGTGGAATTATGTCTTGCTTTTATTACTCGAAAGGTTGAGGGCGACCTTCGGCGCATAAGCATGTCGTGGACAGGAACAATGTTGTGGTCAACCTTCGACTTCTCCACGTCCGCTTTCAAAAGTCAGATGGCTAAGGCAACCCTTCAAACTCTCCCTTACGAAGTTCTTGTGTCCATTTTTGACCCCCTCGACCTTCCATCGCTAGTCTCTCTCTGCCTAGTTTGTCGGGTTTGCAACGAAGCAGCTACACCTGTTCTATATAGATCAGTTTCGTGGGACCTTGTAAAGCAAGGAGCTTCATGGGATACAGAAGATGTGCGTATATCTCTTGTCATCTCCGAGTCAGATTGTGACTTTGATAGCCGCCCTGGTTAGCGCTCAAAAGGCTCCCTTGGCTCCGAAACCATCTCCAGTCACTCGCAATCTGCCTCGACGGCGATTCAACTACTCAAAAGCGCTACGATCCGAACGCTGCATCTAAGTGGAAGCAACTTTATAACAGACTTTTGTCTCGATTGACAGAAGAAATACAAGTGCTACCATCTGTCCAGAGTTTAGAGCTTGTCAAGCGACGTTGGGATCCTATGGACGTCTTCACCATCAAGGCTCGTTGGTTTGGCGAACTTGTACAGGGCCTCGGTGTACGGATTCAAGCAATCGGTCTACCAGAACTACCTTACTACGCGAGTGACTGCTTTCGATTCTCATTCTACCCTTGTTCCTTGACAGTTCGCGGATCTGTCGGAGATTACCTTCATTCTCCATACTTCAAATCTTGGGCACCACGCTTGAGGAGAGTCTCACTCCCTGTAAGAGCTTTCTCTGCAAGAGGTAAATTCTTCTGACCCTCATAGAACTATAGCGACTTCAGCGGATTGAGCGGTCTATTCACTTCCCTTGTCTGCGTACGAGTAGGAAGCTGCAGACAAGTTGGGGAATTTCTCGAATCAATTTCCCCGTCAAGAGGGCTAGAGAGCCTGGATATGGTAATCACCGAATATGTATGCCTCCTAAAGACGATAATCGCTTTGCTAATGAGTGCCCCCGCAGTCTCTTAGCAGTTGGGCGGGTGCGGAACATGAGGAAATGGACTTCCCAGCGCTGAAATATATCCGAGTACGCATCGAAGGGGGCTACACCGACATGGACCATGGAAAGAAACTTTTGCAATGTATAACCTCTACCTCGGTGACTCTATTATCGGTGTCTGTTGATGCCGATATACCTCGCCGCAAATGTTCAGCCTCCCAAAGTTTCGCCATCTGGGTTTCACGTCGTCACGGCCATACGTTACGGACTCTGCATCTTGGGTGCCTCCCACTTCATGATTCCATCCACCAAGTACTCTCCCACTGTCCCCAACTCAAATGTATTGGCTTCACACAGCTATGGGACCAAAGCGACCTGGTATGAAAACTATCACTCATTAACCTCACTACTTATTATTGATAGTCCCAATTGATTACCTTATTGTGTTTTTCTTTCTCGCTCAAAGCCATTTGTTTGACTGTCGGGAAACGGTATTCAGCTCATCAAGTTTACGCGGCTCTAAAACAGAGGTTCCCACATATTAGACATTTCCTCCTCAGGACTGCCCCTGGCTCTGCCATTGAATATCAATTGTGGGAGGTATGTGGTTTTCTCTATGCGATGCGCCACCAACTGATAGGTGTTAGGGTAAATGGAGAATCGATTCTTACTCGGGGGCTGTGTCACGCGTGATTCAACAAGTAGAATGTTCTGAGAAAGATTGGGAAGCGTTTATTTCGCGTGAGCAGCGCGAGTTTGTGGATTCGTTGGCGCTTTAAATAATGCATCTTGCTCTATGAAACGTGAAATGCCACGAGCATCGGAGTATACAGCAGTAATATAATTTGATGCTTTGAACCTTTGCCTCCATTGACCACCCCGGTGTCCTTGGTGAGTTACGATCGGGGGACCGAAATCGCGTAAGTATGGTTAATGGTGATAGTCGGAAGCTTGAAGGGTGCCGTGGACTGGAGCAAAGATGCGGGTCAACTTTGGACTTCTCCACGTCTGCTATCAATTTTGAGATGATCAAGGCAACCATTCAAACACTCCCTTACGAAGTTCTTACATCCATCTTCGGCCCCCTCGACCGCCCATCGTTGGTTTCTCTATGCTTTGTTTGTCGCTTTTGCAACGAAGCTGCTATGCCAATTCTGTACAAGGCAGCATCGTGGGATCTCTCAAGACAAGGAGTTTCGTGGAACACGGAAGATGTACGTAGAAATTGTGTGATGTCCGAAGTCGGATCATGATTTTAACAGCCACTCTGGCCGGCGTTCAAGAGGTTGCCTTGGCTGAGTAGCTGTGTCCAGTCACTCGCAATCTGTATCGATCTTAAACCACCAACTAGATCGCACAACGGTTCGAACACTGCACCTGACTGGGGGAAACGTTATAACCAAGTCTTGTCTCGAGTGACGGAGGAAGTACAGGGGCTACCATCCATTCGAAGTTTGGAGCTTTTCAAGCGTCGTTGGGACGATATGGACGCCTTCAGGATTAATACCCGCTGGTTTGGCCAACTCATGCAGAGTCTCAGCGCGCGGATTCAAGATATAACTCTACCTGAAATACCATACAATCTTACTAGATCCTTTCAATATCTATTTCACTCTCGATCATTGACAGTTCGAGGCTCTGTTGGAAGTGCTCTGCGCTCGCCAGACTTCAAGTTATGGGCACCACGCTTAAAGCGGGTTTCACTCCTTGTAAGATTTTTCTTTCAAATATTCACCCCTCTGATCTTCATAGTTTAATAGCGACCTTAGCGAATTGGGCGGTCTATTCACCGCCCTTCGATGTCTACGAGTAGAGAAATGTGAAGACGTTGAAAAACTTCTCGAGGCAATTGCCGCGTCAAGAGAGCTAGAGAGCCTGGAAGTGACGATCACTCAACCTGTACGCTTTCAGAGGGCACTTATCACTCTACTAATGACTTTCCAGCATTTCCAGAGTTGGCTAAATGCAAGGCAAAAAGAAATAGACCTCCCGGCATTGAAACATATCCGAGTCCGCATTGACGGGGCCCACACTGATCAAGATATCGTTCATCGAGGACGAAAGCTCTTCGAATATATTACCAGCGCCTCTAGGGCTCTATTATCCGCGTCCTTTGATGCCAAGTTATTTCTTCGTACCTGTACGACTTCCGAAGGGTTTGCCATATGGCTTTCACATCGTCATGGTCGCACGCTACAGACTCTATATCTTGGACACCTCACCCTTCGAGAAGAATACATTCATCAAGTACTATCATACTGCCCCCGACTTGAACGCATTGGGCTGGCCCAGCCATGGAACCAACTGGACCTGGTACGAAGATTGTCGTGCATAGAATTCTCTAATCCATATTAACAGTTTCGTCCATTTGCTTCTCTCCGTTCTACATCGTCACTCAAGGCCATCTGCCTGACAACCACGCAGCCTTATTCCGTCCATCAGGTTCATGCAGCACTAGTACAAAATTTTCCGTGTATCGGTCATCTTCTCCTCAGGAATACGAGTGCTTTTTACGACCAATACACATTGTGGAAGGTGCGTCCTTTGCTTGGCGTGATACGCTGTAAACTGATTGTGGTAGGGTAAATGGAGGTTTGATTCTGACTTGGGTACCGCCCTACGTGTGATTGAGAATGTGGAATGCTCCAAGAAAGATTGGGAAGACTTGGTTTCGCACGAGCAACGCGAGTTTGTGGACTCGCTAATCCTCTAACTAATCCATATTATTCTGCCAGAGCAAAAATTGATGTGCGGTGGAGCATATGAGTCTACAGAAATACTCACATCTGATGCGTAGGAGTTTTATTCCAGGGGCATCTCTGGTGGGTCATAATCGGGGGATACGGGCCATGAATTTTTGGCTGCCAACTATTATCCGAAAGGTTGAAATCGATCCTTGGCGTCCAAGCAAGTTGCGGTGCGGGCAATGGCGCCTGCCCACCTTGGAGCAGATCTTATTTGGCCGAGGGATAGCAAGTTCTACAACGGAACTAAGGCACCTGTAGTCTATCTGAATACTACTCTGCGCAGTTTCGTGACGGAATAAGCCAACAAAAACGCAAGTGCGGGGTAAATGAAGGGCGGAAAGGGGAAGGGGGCAATCAAGCGACTGTCTGCATTTCTAGGGTACGCTCTGAGGTCAGTTGGGAATTTTAATGAGAGTTTTGTGGCTCGTGGCATGTTGCTAGCGAGCGACCATGCAAAACGTGCAATGGCCCAAACGGTCGTATTGATGATTCACACTGGCTTCGCAGATCCATCTGCAACGGAGATTTTCTGAAGCGTCGGGCAAGTGATGGGAGGGTTTTTCCACGTCATTACTTGGTGCGCGGGGCAGCGGGGGAACATCTTAGTGAGCAGACTCTTGCCAACAACCGTCGAATTGTAGCGCCCCTGTTCTTCACCAGACACGCATCCTTGTGAGTTTCACAAGCCCACGCGGCCATCTGGCATCGATGTTGTCTGGAGTAGGCTTGGCCGAACGGCGAGGCCGGTGTGCCAGCCTTGGACTCCACCACTGTCAAACTCAACATGGCCAATACAAGCCTTCAAACACTCCCACATGAACTCCTTGTTTCTATCTTCAATCTTATTGACTCCCAATCGTTGGTCTGCCTGTGCTTACTTTGCCGCGTTTGCAACGAAGCTGCTACCCCAATTCTGTATAAATATGTTTCGTGGGACCTCTCAAAGCAAGGGGCTTCATGGAATATAAAAGATGTGTGTATAACTGTGCGGCGTCCGAGTCAGATCATGACTTCCATAGAACTTTTGGGCAGTCTTCAAGAGGTCATCATACGAAGGTGCTGCTACAATCCTGTTCAAGTCTGTTTCCTGGAATCTCATTAAACGAGAGGCGTCATCCAACACGAAAAATGTGCGCACTTTGCCCCCTCCGAGTCCTATTTGTGACCTTGGTCTTAGCCGCCCTGGTCGGCAGTTGAAAGGCTCCCTTGGCTTCGTAACCATATCCAATCACTCGCAATATGCCTAGATACTGACTCACCAACCAACAACATCAGCGACTTGGAAGTTGCACGTGACTGGACGAAACGCCATAGCAGAGTGTTGTCTGGACTTGCTCAGCAGATAGATAGACTACCATCTCTTCGGCGGCTAGAGCTCCTCAAGCGTCATTGGGGTGACACAGAAGTCTTCAAGATCCAAGTTGGCTGGTTCAGCCAGCTGGTACGGGACCTCGGTGCACGGATTCGAGAAATAAGCTTACCAGAGATATCTTATTACATCAAAGACTCTTTTCAATTCCCATCCTATCTTCGTTCCTTGACGATTAGCGGATCTGCCGTGAGAATTTTCTCTCTGGGCGTATAAATCCGTCTGATTTTCATAGTACCTTCGTGAATATCGTGGATTGAACAGCCTATTTGCCTCTCTTCGTTCCCTAAGACTCGGAGAATGTGAAGTCACCGCACTTTTGGACGCAATTTCCTTGTCACGACAGCTAGAGAGCCTGGAGGTAACAATCTCTGGATGTGAACGTGTAAGGGCTCCGAAGGAGGTTATCACTCTACTGATAAGTCCTTTCCAGTTCTCTCATTGGGCGAAGCAAAAGGGACTGAACCTTCCAGTGCTGAGGTATATCCGAGTTTGCATTATAGGGGGAGATTCCGACTCATACATCGTTCAACTCGTATACGAATTCTTAAAATGCATCACATCAACCTCTAGGAGACTGTTGTCGGTGTCTATTGACGCAGACGTGCATCACGACAGTTGGACCCCTTCAGGAATACTTGCCATCTGGATTGCGCTTCGTCATGGCCACTCGATAAAAACACTATATCTCGGACGTATTCCACTCCGAGAATATCGTATCCATGAAGTGCTATCCCGCTGCCCCCGACTCGAACATATTGGATTCACTCAGCCATGGAGAGATGACCATGCCATTCCGGTATGTCCAATCTCATCTAGTAATATCACTGCTTAACTTGAATAGTATGCCTCTTTGCGGTCTGCTTTGCGGCTCAGGGGCATTTGCCTGACTGTCGTAAAGCCATATTCCGTCCAGCAAGTTCATGCTGCGTTAGTACAGCATTTCCCGCATCAGCCACTTTCTTCTTAGGAATCGGGATGCTTCTGCACCCGAATATAAACTGTGGACGGTACGTAGTTTGCTCCATCGGATACGCCATGGTCCAACGGATAGCAGGGTGAATGGAGGATGGACCCTGACTCAGGTATCGTATCACGCGTAATTCAACACGTGGAATGCTCCGAGAAAGATTGGGAAGAGTTCATTTCGCGCGAGCAGCGTGAATTTGTGAATTCCTTGTTATAATAAATCTTTTATCGTACTTCAGTATTGCGAAACATAGAGCGTCGTAGGATTTCCAACCCAACTATGGTCAAAGTCAATGATCGCCACATTTCCAGTTGACCTTGTCCCCGTCCCTCTTGTGGCCTAGCCGCGATAGATCCCGCGCTGATCTATAGTAATCTAAGATGAATGTATGTTATGGATCGAGCACAGATCACGAGGAATAGCTGACTTTACATCTTTTTTACTCGCTTTCAGCAACAGCTCACCCAGCAAGTCTATCAACTCCTTCAAAAAACCACTGTACCAGATACTGCGACACTAAAAGAGGTGCGATCTCTCTCAATCGACGCGTGATTCTCCTTTTTTACTGATTACTGTGCTCCCTTTCTCGATGGGATCGCACCGACGATCAGGCCACAGCGCAGCTTCAACAAGTTTTAGTCAATCCGGAATGCATCCCAGTTCTTTTTGAACTCTCTGTTGCAGCTCCAGAGTCCACGGTATGGCCAGCCGCGAGCCCTCAAAAAATGATGTGCAGCTAATTGCCTGTGGCAAACCTCAGATCCGCCAGCTCGCTGCAGTCGAACTACGTAAACAAGTCAACAGCGAAGAGAATAGTCCATGGCTCCACGTTCCTCCTGAGTTTCGCAAGAACATCAAGACTGGGCTACTCGAGCGGCTCTTGAATGAATCCGAGTCAGTCACAAATCCGTTTTGTCGTTATTTTGGAGACTAATCAATGTCACTAGGTCTATTGTGAGGCACTCTCTTGCGCGAGTCATCTCCGCGGTCGCATCTATCGAGTTGCCACAAGGAGAGTGGCCTGATCTCCTGCCATTCGTCCAAAGGCTCTGTGAAGCCCCAGAAGCAGTGCATCGTGAATCCGGTGCCTTCATCCTCTTCACCATTTTGGAGGTGGTCGTCGAGGGCCTCCAAGACAAGGTCTCCGACTTTTTGCAGATATTCCAGAAGCTACTTGTCGATCCTCAGAGTGTTGAAGTTCGTCTAGTCACTCTTCGAGCTTTGGGAACTCTTGCTGGTTACATTGACGTGGATGACAAGAAGGATATTGTATGTAATTCTGAGTCATTCTGCGCTTGGAGCTCATATTTTGCAGAAACGCTTCCAAGAGTTTATCCCTCCTATGCTCGCCGTACTCAATGAGAGTTTGACATTGAGCAGCGACGAGGGTGCTCGCCATGGCTTCGACACCCTCTCCACTCTTCTCATCATGGTAAGTGACAAACGCGTTATTTTACCTGATGCTTATCTCTGGCAGGAAACCCCACTTCTCTCGAAGCACGTCAAGGAGGTCGTCAACTTCTGCGTGACCGCAGGTAGCAACCATGCTTTAGACGAAGATATTCGTGTCATGGCACTGAATGCCCTTGTGATGACTATCAAATAGTGAGCATTCTACTAGCGACACTTTATCCTTACCGACTACTTTGTAGCAAAAAGACCAAGATCCACAACTTGCAGCTTGCACCTCATCTTGTGGACGCTTTGATGCCTCTCCTTACCGAGAGAGATACTGACGATGACGACGAAGAGACCCCTGCTCGAGTGAGTGAGGACTCGTACCCCATCACACAGACTGACAAGGGATAACAGCTCGGAGTTCGCGCGATGGACGCCCTCGCGACTTGCCTTCCTCCCCAACAAGTGTTCCCACGCCTTCACGAGCTCGTGCTTCAGTACTCTCAGAATCCAGATCCAAATCAGCGCAAGGCTGCCCTCATGGCTTTGGGCGTCGTTATGGAGGGATGCTCCGAGTTCATTCGCCCTCACATCGATCAAGTGTGGCCATATATTGACAAGGGTTTGCAAGATCCCGACGCAACTGTGCGCAAAGCCGCATGTACCGCGATAGGCTGTATTACTGAGTGGCTCGACGAGGAATGCGTCGAACGGCATGCAGTTTTGATTCCAGTAAGTCTCCTTACATACTTACATCGCTTATTCACGACCTCTTAGGGATTATTGGCCTTGGTAAACGACCCAATCACACAATCTGCAGCTTGTACCGCACTTGATGGGTTGCTGGAGATGCTCGGTGATATCATCGATAATTATCTCGTCCAACTCATGAATACCTTTGCCGGTCTCCTGCAGACTGCTCCCAACAAGGTCAAGGCCGTCGTCATCGGTGCAATTGGCTCTACGGCCCACGCATCCAAGGAAAAATTCCTTCCATACTTTGAACCCATCATTAAGCAGCTCGTGCCCTTCCTCATGCTCGAGGGTGAGGGAGAGGAAGAGGAACTCAGGGGTATCGCGATGGATGCTTGCGGCACGTTCGCTGAAGCGGTTCCAAAGGAGGCTTTCCTTCCTTATTACGAAGATCTCATGAAGAATGCCTACCAGAGCGTTCAGTCGAAGAGCGCTCGCCTTCGCGAGTGCTCCTTCCTCTTCTTCGGTGTCATGGCGGGTATGTTCCCTGACAAATTTGTCCCATATCTCCCAAATATCATGCCGGCATTCCTCAGTAGCCTCAAGCTCGACGAACTCGGAGATAATTCTACATTTAGTGAGTCTCTAAGCGAGTCTAGATCTATGTCTCATCTTCCTTCCAGTCGAAGTCGGTGGCCAAGGAGAGTCCTCCGATACGCCGATCCAGATTATTGAAAGCAAGGTTGAAGAGATTGAAGATATGGATACCGAGGCGCTCCTCAAGGTTAATAGCGCCATTGCCATCGAGAAGGAGATTGCCGCAGACGTGATCGGCGGCATCTTTGCCAATACGCGAGAGCATTTCCTGCCATACATCGAAGAGACTGCTGTCGTTCTCCAAGGCCTCGTTTCTCACTACTACGAAGGCATTCGCAAGTCAGCCATTCAGTCAATCTTTACTTTCATTGTCACTCTCAATGAACTTTCGAACCCCCAACCTTGGACTGCTGGTGCAACCAATGTGAGTAGCGTCACGTTCATGCACGCTGGCCTCACGTTCGTATAGGTCGTTCCTCTCAACGACAATGTCAACAAGCTCATCTCGGTCACTATGCCTGAAATCCTCGAAGCATTTGACGTTGAAGATGATAAGTACGTTTCCAGTTCTCTTTCCTGCTTGCGGATGAGCAAAATCGTTTACTCAGCTCACTACGATGCCCTACGGGCGTGGGAATGCAAAGCGAAATTCTTTCTGACTTTAATAAACGTGTTGAACCAGGCTTATACTTGCCTTAGGGGTGTTGCGGCTGCTATCTGTCAAGCTCTTGCGGATGCCACTACCAAGGTCGGGCCAGCATTAGTTGCATCTTGTGCGTCCCTTTCTGGCCGTTTAAGTCACATTCTGATCATTCGTTAGCTTTCGACGCCGTCTGCAACATGTGCCAGAAGATTCTGAGCGGCAAGTCCCTTGCTCAGGTTGACCCCGACCAAGACGATGAGGAAGGAACCGCGGAAGATCTCGCCGAAATGGATTCGTTCCTCATCAGCGCATGCGAGGACTTGGTATCTGCTTTGGCTTCGGTACTCGGCGCCGACTTTGCTACCAAGTTTGGCGAGTTTTTGCCACTCATCGCTCAATATTACGTAAGTTATTCTTCATAGATTCAGATCCGCTTCTGACGTGTCGCACAGGGCCCTAAGCGCGCTCCCAGCGATAGGTCGAGCGCCATCGGTAGCTTTGGCGAGATCATCACCGGTTTGAAGGGTGGTGTGACCCCTTACACTCTCGTAAGCGTACCAGTCTGCGTGATGAGATGGAAATTAATGACTCATCAGCAAATCCGCGAAATCCTCATGCAAGCCATTACCGACCCCGAGTTTGAAGTGAAATCCAACGCGGCCTTCGCGTTGGGAGTGCTCGTGGAAAACTCAGACTTTGCATGGACAAAAGAAGACTTTGAGGGCATCCTGTTCCGCCTTCGACCCCTCTTCTCCGTTGGAGAGGCCGCGCCAAAGGCGGCATTCAACGCTCGCGACAATGCTGCTGGTGCCGTCTCTCGTCTGATCGCTACAAACATTGGGCTTGTCCCGCTCGACTCCGTCTTGCCAGTCCTTTATGCCGCCCTCCCTCTCGAGCATGACCCGCTTGAGAACCGACCTCTTTTCCGCGGTCTATTCGTCCTTTACCGAAGTAACGCGGCTTACTTTATTAACACGATGGACAGTCTCCTCCCGGTATTTGCTCGCGTACTCGACCCAAGCCAACCAGACGAAATCGGAGATGAGATTCGTGGCAATCTTATCCAGTTGCTCAAGGAAGTCAACGCCCAAGCTCCCGAGAAACTACAAGGGACCCCTCTTGTAGCTTTCCTTTAAGGAGCTTGCCGCGATAGAATCAAAAAGTACTCCGACACGATTGCAGCCAGTTAATGTCGAGAATCCCTCATCCCTCTACCAATCCGAGCCTCCTAGGTTGCTGCAGTGTTACAGGAGACGCCTATGTCCGCCATGATGCACAATTCCTTTATGAATATGAAAATTCATCTGTCCGGAGTCTTTCGTCACTACTGTGAAAAAGAGTGGATTACAGTCAGAGTACTGATGAGGGAGACAATTTGTCCATAGAAATGAGTGCGTATTGTAAATGAATGGAGTGTTCTCTGCAGATATAAATATGGGGTACGCGACATGTGCGTGTCAATATCCGAGGCCAACCGTCGAAGTCCGGACGCAGCTCGAAGATGGCGGCACCGGATGTGGTGCTGGCGTCGGTTTCACGCCTTGGTGCCACCTAGAAGTACCGTAAAGTCCGACTGGAAGGGAATCTTCACCCTGGCAAGATTCGAAAATGCCTTTATCATAGTTTGCAGGCATGTTGAAGGTGCAGCTATTATTGTGTTAGTAGAAGCGAGCATAGAAATATGCAACGCACCCCATTTCATCGTATTCGTTGAAACAGTGGTTCCCTTCGGATCATAAGTAGACGAATGTTGAACTAAAAGGGGACCTACGAGCGTTCGGGCCAATGCAGGCGCGGATACAGAACTCATTGTACGAAAGGAACTCGGTCCTACACGTCTTTAGTTACTCCAAGTCCAGTGAATGAGCACACTGACCATTCATGATACTGCAGATTCTGTCCAAAGCTGTTGCCATAGACCAAGCCACCAATCGGGTTTCCTTTGCCCTATCATAGATGTGAGTAACGAGATTGAGAGAATTAAGCACAGCTCACATCTGCACCGTGGTTATCAAGTTCGCCTCCTTCATCCTTATTCTTGACGTTAATCTTAGTGAAATCACCAACGCCGGTGATCTGGACATAGTCTTTCGTCTTGACAAAGTGGACGCCCTTGAGAGTACCTGCGGGCATAATACGACCGCCGTGACCGGGTTTGGTACAATAGGTGACCATGTCACGTTCTGCATCTCCAACATTGGCCTTGTTGGGAGGACCCCACAGGCAAAAGTCGTCCATCGAGTTGATCCCTATAACCGGTTATTCCAGCTCAGACCACGGTAGTAAATAGTAACGTACAGAGGGTCTGGCAGTTATCTTTGGCAGCGCCAGTGCCGCAGTTGTTCTGGCCACTCTGACCGTTTTGCGACTTTTGAGGGAGAGCAGATGCCATGTAACCGACGTGCCAAAGTTGATTCTGATTGTTTTGACTGCAAGACCACACTTGAATTCGATTTCCCGAGGCCAAACTCCAGTCCGTCAGATCCTGGAGCAAGAGGTGAGCAGTGCAGCAGTTAAGTTACCATCACACTTACCACGCATTTCCCTTTACCATTCCATGAGAGTCTGTAATGGTTGAGACTAACAACCTGCACCCCGAAAAGAGACCTACGTATAATCCCATGAGTTGTAATAGAAAGCCTGATTTGCCGATCCTCGATAACATTGCCAGATTTGGAGCTTTGTTCCGTCTGCGTTAACACCGTCTGTCACATCCTGTCATAAAGAATCAGCTCTGACCCCTCAGCCACTCCAACGCGAAACGCACGAGACACATCGAGCCACCATACATGGTAACTTGTCCATTCTGAAAGGTGAAGAGTTGGTCCATGGAGCCATTACAATCCGCAAGGATGATTGGTGAGCCGTTGTTTTTGCCGTTTTGGCTCTGGAGGCACTTGGAGTTGCTGGCAACGGGCTGTAGACAGGAATCAGTCAACTTTATACCGGCTCATTCACAGAGTGAGGACCTGGATGAGGAGTTGTCCCTGATAGGTGGGAGTTTGTGCAAAGGCTTGCCCAAGGAGGGCCGCAAAGCCTGCATATACGATGGCGCGCATTAAAGAGTGGAACGGTCGAAGACCCGGAGAGAAGACTCGGAGTAGGAGTGGAGAGGGGGAGGGAAGAATGGGAGCAGGCGGGACGACGTCGCCTCGTGACCTTATACTCCAACCAGTGTGAGACACACTAGATGCTCACCTAGGAGCCCGTTTAATTCATTTCTGTGCTGTGAGGAGTGCCCTATGTGCATCGTGAGCATGGAGGAGATTGCCGCTGTCAACTGCTGTCAGCCCGTTGGTAGACATTCGAGGAACTGGGAACATGGCCTTGTGCTATAATTAGTTATTCAGATCAATTGTCTGCTTTGGGCTGAGATTTCACGCCAATCATGCCGTCGGCGGTGGCCTTGGGAATTGTCGAGGCGCGCGGTAGCCGATGTCCTCGTCTGGTGATCGACAACTGGAGAACTCTCACCGTACCACAGGTAAAGTAGACTGAAACATAAACCTATGCTGATCCTTCTCTGGGTTTCCCACTCGCGTAAATTCCCAGTCTAAATCCACTAGTCAGATGACAAGCATTGAATACCATGGTTTCGCAGCTGGACGATAAAAGATACACGATACACGATACAGGCTCTATTGTAGACATCAGCGGGCGGACTTGAGAGGCTGCAAAGGGAGCGACATACATATTAATAATGACCACACTAGTTTTCCAACTTTGTCTCTTTCTTGAGTGCAATGAGAAGTCCGACCACTCCACCGCCCTGCCCATCCCACCCCTTCAACTCGGCGCGGCAGACCGGACATTTGGCTTTGCGTGCTTCCGCTGTGACGGTCGCATGAGCACGTATAATAGACTCTTTGGCGGCTTTGACAGCCGAGAAGAGACATGCTGCGCACATAACGTGTCCACAGAGCGTGATGCAAGCCCTGGTTGGGGGGCAGAAGCAAATCGGGCATGCATATTCCTGAATAGACTGTTCTTCCTTGGGTGAAGATGAACCCATCGCGCCTTCTCCGGAGGATTGGCCGTTCATGTCACTCGGTCCAGCCGCGGCCTCGGAGGATTCCGCGTCAGGAGGGGATGGTGGGTTCACAGTGGGAAGACCGAGTAATGCTCGTAATTCATTATCATTTGCTTGCGTGTCTTCTTCCTGACTTTGCACTGGAGGCGAGGCCTCTCGAGCTGCACGGCTGAGTGATGGATGAGCTCCTCGGTTTGCATTTCGCATCGTTGGGGTAATATTCCGCTCGTTTAAAAGATTGAGGAGATTACTAGAAGCGGCACTGTTTGCTACTAGTCCTTCGGGCTGACGAGGCGCGGGATGTAGATGATGTTACGGAAGTGTCCGCTGCTCGATTTCTAATGCGGCTCCTGCGAGAAGTTGCAGAGACGAGAATATTTTCTGAAGGGGAGCGACCTTCTGCAAATCGTGTCTGGAAGATGGACGGTCGCGAAGCTTGTGATGGATCAGGAGGAAGAATAAGAGGACTGGGTAATCGTGGTCGAATTGGAACATCTGCTGCTTCTTCACTCGGCGACGCTGACAATTCGCGGATAGGAGGCATCAAAGTCGGGACAAAAGCTTGGTTTGCCACCAACACCCTCGTTCATTCCTTCTGCTCGTCTTTGGCATCGCAAGAACATCTCTCAAATTAAATCACATCAAACAACTACACCAAACGCTGCCGTAGCTCTGACAAAACGCAGGGGTCACTGTGGAATGCAGTCGTACGTTGAGTCTCCTATCTGTCGCTGGGCACCATTGAGTGCTTCTGAAGGAGTGTCTGAGCTGCTAATCATACAATTTCTCGTTGTATAAACGGCAGAGAGCACAGCAAGAGCCCCAGGCTTTCGTCTCTCGAGATTGCCGATTCGTTGGCGGAGCTCCAACGACACCCACAATCGTTCAAAATCACAGAAACAGAGCAATTGATTCTATCTACAGAGCAGACTCGAGTCCGGAAGTCAACTTTCCCAAGACGCCGCCACTCTCTGGACCACAAGCAGCAACCTCCATTCCTTTGCATCTCTCATCTCTCATTATGAAGAAAGGTTCTCGTTTAGGCTCGTCACATCCTCCTGATTACAAGTATGACAACGTTCGGCAGTCAGTCTCCCCGCCGCCATACCATTTGCACGAACTCAAGTCGCACACTGGTGATATTACATTTATCGACCCATGGCACTCTGAAACGAAGCAAACACCCATCGACGACAGGATAGACCCTGCGACTTACATCCCGCATTCAACACCGCGCTATAGGAGAAGTATCGATCTGGATGGGAGTCTACCACTACCGTATACCCCTAGAAGGAGTACTTGGCGCCGCCTGTCTGTTGGATTTCAAAGTTTTGTTCGCTCCGAGCCTTTCTGGCTCGCCCTCTACTTTCTCTTCAATCTCGGATTGACGTTGTACAACAAGATTATACTGGTCACCTTCCCATTCCCCTACACCCTTACGTCTATTCACGCTCTATGTGGGTCCGTGGGGTGTTATATCCTCCAAGAGAACGGATTCTATGTATGCATCCCTTGGTGTGATTACTCGTTTGCTGACCCGCAGCCAGATTCCGGCAAGACTTACCGCAAGGCAAAACATTAGCTTGCTCAGCTTTAGCGTACTGTACACTGTCAATATCGCCGTCTCGAATCTATCTCTCCAGTTGGTCACCGTTCCAGTACGCAAGTTGACCATGGCATCTTTGGTGACCCTCACATGAATCTAGTTTCATCAAGTTGTACGAGCCGCCTCTCCGTTCTTTACCATCGTCCTCGCCTACTTCCTCACTGGCTCCGCCATCTCCCTCCGTAAACTCTTCTCGCTCATCCCAGTCGTTGCAGGTGTTGGGTTCACCACATATGGTGACTACTACTTTACGTGGTGGGGGCTAGTCCTCACTCTCTTCGGGACGCTGCTCGCATCACTCAAGACCACCGTCACCAATATGCTCCAATCAGGAACGCGAATCAAACGCCGCTCGACCGTTGAGCGTTTCTCATCACAGCCAGAGCTCCTGAGAGAACAAGGCCTCCAACTTCACCCACTCGACCTACTCGGAAGAATGTGCCCACTCGCATTCATTCAGTGTATCCTCTATGGCTGGATTACTGGTGAATTAGAGAATGTGACACAGTTTGGCGCGATCCAGATGGACTCGAGACGGATGATGGCACTCTGGGTGAATGGAGTGATTGCGTTTGGACTCAACGTCGTCAGCTTTACCGCGAACAAAAAGTCAGGACCGTTGGCCATCTCAGTCGCCGGTGAGTCGATTTGGACGAATGGGAACTATGAACGCTGACAATTGTGCCCAGCCAACGTAAAGCAAGTTCTGACCATGCTCCTCGCCGTCTCCATCTTTGACTTGATCATCACCCCAATGAATATGGTTGGAATTGTGCTCACGTTGGCTGGAGGTGCATGGTATGCCGTCGTAGAGTACCAGGAGAAACAGAAGCGTAGTTCTCTCGCCATTTTTACCTCACTGAGACCACACGGCAGAACAGAGTGATTAATGAATATCCTAGATATACTTATAGAGATGATGTTGCGATGTATCACGCGACACCGATGTATCTTGATCAGTTTCTTGAATAGATGTAGACGTGCTTTTTTGTAATGTAACTCCTATTTCAATGTGAGGACAACTAGGCTACTTCTTCACGCTCCCGGTCCTGGCGATATCGTAATTGTCGAGGAACCATTTGACCGTCTCGTGGAGAGCTTGTTCAAATGGCGTAAATTGGAAGTCGCCGACAAGACTGAGCAGTTTCTTGTTCGAGGCTGGCTTCCTGAACTGTCCATCTGCGCGGGTGGTGTCGAACTTTGTAAACTCAGCACAGAGCCAACAGAGGCCTAAAGAAAGAGGACTCACGACATAATTTCCTTCGAATCCAACTTCTTTGACAATTGCATCGGCGACTTGCTTGATGCTCACCTCCTCGTCCTCACCGACTGAACCAAATTCAGCAAAGTGGTGCTGATAGGTGATGAATGAAATACGCACCAGAGAGAATCAGTGGTTCGACGTCGTCGTAGTGGCGCAACTGCCAGATGAAGAGCTTGGCAAGGTCACGCGAGTAGATGAACTGTCGCAGAGGCTTTCCGGTACCGGAGACGACAAATGGTGTTCCGTTCTCTGTCCCCGCGGTTAGGATTGTACACTCAGGAGATAGTGTTGCGTACTTTTGGCGAGGACGCATTTATGAATGAGGCCCGGGATGACATGCGAGTCTTCGAGGTCGCTATCAATTCATAAGGGAAATGTCAAGTTTAGGATAGCATGCGCACAAGTTGTCATATGGCCCAAAGACGTTGGTGGGGATCGCGCTCGTGAAGTTGCATCCAAACTCTTCCTTGTAGGCACTAGATCCCCAATTAGAGTTTTATATAGGGAAACCAGTCCGGATTACCGGAACGAAGAACTCACTGGTTCATTACATCGACCATGCGCTTGGCATGCGCGTAGCCAAAGTTGCTCTCGTGTGGTGGACCGAGGTGGACTTTATTCTCGTCGAGAGGATACTCGACCTTGTCTGGGAAGACGCAGGTCGAGAGGCACGAGACGACTTTGGATGTCTGGTGTGTGTAGGCCGAACGCAGGACGTTGTCGTTGATGAGTGTATTGTCTCGTAGGAAGGTGAGCTACAAGATTATGACAGTCAATCCGTTAATTGGCTTGTTTGTAAGAGACGGTACCTTGTATTTCATATTCTTGAACAATCCGCCCACTTGATAGACGAGTGATGAGTAGATCTAGTCACTTTAAAGATCGATCCGTACCGAGAGCGGCCAGATGGATGACATGAGTCGGCTTATATTTCTCAAAGAGCGCATCAGTAGCCACTGGATCTCTAAACACATATAATTAGGGACTTTAAAATATCAAAGAATAAAGTCTCTCAGACTATTTCTTACCTGAGATCTCCTTCTGACGACGAAGCAAAGATCCATGTCTCGCCGGGCTGCTTTCCGAATTTCGAGCCCTCCGGTTCAGTCTCAATCACGTATTTTATGGCCTTTCCAACGAGACCAGAGCCTCCGGTGACGAGAATGCGAGACATTGCGAGCGAGATGGGTAATGGATTGGTTCAAGGCGTCTGCCAAGGGGGTATTCTCGCCATACTTTATCCATTTTCAATCAGAGCTTTCTCCGCTTAGTTGAAATATCTCTCTCCGATTAACCAATTCACTTTTCCACAAGACTTCCCAGCGATTATACTGTCTACTCGCAAGCTAGTTTTGGTCCTCGACGAGACCGCTAGAGGCCTTTACGTCGGCTTCTACCATCTCCTTGACAAGCTCATCAAATGTGACCTTTCTCTTCCACCCGAGCTTCTTTTCTGCCTTGGCGGGGTTGCCGAGGAGGAGGCTGAGGGCAAATAAGCTCATGGATCGGAATGACAAAAAATACGTACTCGACTTCAGCTGGACGGAAGTAGCGCCTGTCAACCTTTACGAGGACCTTGCCTGTCTGCGCGCATACGCCTTCCTCATCTTCACCTTCGCCACGCCACCTAACAATCATCAGCATTGAAGTGAGAAGCTAGATGTAGTACGGACTTGATGGTAGTTCCGACGTGGGAAAAGGCCTTTTCGACAAACTCACGCACAGGGTGGGTCTCACCCGTGGCGAGAACAAAGTCCTCTGGAGTCTCTTGCTGAAGCATGTGCCACATACCCTCGACGTAATCCCGAGCTGTAAGTGATTAAGCATCGTTGAAGATGGTATGTAACCACTCACCATGTCCCCAGTCACGCTGAGCATCAATGTTACCGAGATAGAGGCAACTTTGTTTGCCAAGGTGGATATCCGCCACAGCCCTGGAAATTTTGCGTGTGACGAACGTCCTTCCACGACGTGGGCTCTCGTGGTTGAACAGGATACCGTTGCACGCATACATGCCATATGCCTCACGATAGTTGACCGTGATCCAAAAGGCGTACATCTTTGCAACTCCGTACGGGGAGCGAGGGTAGAATGGTGTCGTCTCCGATTGAGGCGTTTCAACGACTTTGCCATAGAGCTCAGAGGTCGAAGCTTGGTAGAAACGAACAAATTTTTCCAATCCACACGTTCGGATAGCGTCGAGAAGTCGGAGGGTGCCTAGTGCGTCAACGTCACCCTGAAATCAAAGTGTGAGTATGGGGTGAAAAGGGAAGGACAGCTCATGTACCGTGTACTCTGCCATCTCAAACGAGACCTTGACGTGGCTCTGTGCTCCAAGATTGTAGACTTCAGAGGGCTGGACAGAGGCAATGATGTACACGAGGTTGGTGCTGTCTGTCAGATCTCCGTAGTGCAGATGGAACTTTGTCGGCCCTGCGGCGTATCAGTTTCCGTTGTTCGGGACGTCCGAGCAAATCATTTACTCACGCTCATGCTGGTCCTCGTAGAGGTGCTGAAGACGGCTGGTGTTGAAGCTGGACGATCGACGGATGATACCGTGAACCTCGTAGCCCTTTTCCAGCAAGAACTCGGTCCTGTAGACCGATTATCGGAGATCACAGACGTAACAGCATAGAGACGAACAGATAAGAACCATCCTGACCAGTGATACCTGAAAACGTGGTGAGATGGCAAAAAAAGACGAGAGGGAGTTTGCAGACGAACCGGTGATCAAGGCGACTTTACGTTTTCTATACTGCTCTGGGGTCATCTTGACCTCGACAGAGAGGAGAGGGCCGGCGTTTTGCATCTTGATTGCTCGTGTGTTGGCGTGGCGGGGTCGAAGCGTTTCTGGTGCTTGCTCCCCGCCTCACCAACCGACTTGCTACTCACAACCTCAACAAATATTCGCTGATAATTATTTTGTCTTCTATTCCATTGTTTATCATCTCTATCTCTCGTGGTCCATCAACGCATCATGTCCATGTCAAAGTTGCAGGCGGAGAGAGCACTCAGGATGCTCACAGACTTGATGCAAGTCCCGGGAAACGGTGAGTGTTTCTTTCAGAGCGTTAGCAGTGAACGGCCTCTGAAAACCGATGTTGGACAGACGTGTGTGCGGACTGCAAGTCCCCCGCCCCTCGATGGGCGTCATATAATCTCGGAATATTTATCTGCGTTCACTGCGCGAGCATTCATCGCAAGTTGGGCACACACATATCAAAGGTACAGACTTGACGGGCACGCAGCATGCCTTACTCAGTCCTTGCACTAGGTGAAGAGCATCAACATGGATGTGTGGACAAAGGAGCAGATAGACTCGATTAAGACGACCGGGAACAAAAACTCCAATGCGATCTATAACCCAACCAATGTGGACCCGCCAGTCAACCTGCACGACTCGGAGCGGGACAGCGAGCTAGAAAAGTTTATACGTAACAAGTACCAGTACAAGCGGTTCATGAACCTTGGAAATGATTCCATCTCACGAGGGTCGACGTCCAGAATCGAAGAAGGACGGACCAAGGCACGAGAAATGCTCAATGTGGCAGCGCCAGAGAGGACAAGTACCTCTCCTCAGCCCCGCAAAGCTTCGCCTGCACTCACAACAAAGTCTCCTGCAGTCTCACCCGCTCCTCCTACTCCATCCCCTTCACTACCAGCGCCCGTGGCGGCGGCTCAAGCACCTATCAAAATAGAACATGCGCCTTCGCCGCAGCCGCCTCTTCAAATGCTTGCCCAACCATCTCAACCACCCCTCCAAATCCTCACTCCTGAGGCCAACCTGGCACTTCAATCAATGCAAACCGGGATGCAAGCTGCATATCAACCATTAATGTATACAGGAGTCGGGATGGCACCCGTACCCATACAGTCCCTCCCAAATGGCAATCCAGTATGGCAAGACATGGCCGCATTACAGAGCGGGCCTGCGATGCCGGTATATCAAACACAGCCACTGGTACCAACGATGGCGTACAACATGACGGGAGCCGTCCCGACCCCAACGGGATATCCAGTGCAGGCTGCGGGGGTGCCGTGGACAAATACTGGCGCGATGCCGATGCAAGCACCCCTTGTACCTTCGTATACCGCCGGAATGCCTTTGCAATACGCCCAAACGGGATATACACCAATTCAGCCTCAATTTCAGCAGCAGCAGCCCCAAGTCCAACAACCTCAGCCGCAGACGTTGTACGTGCAGAATGGGGTGATTATGCAGCAGCCGTCGCCGCTGCAGAGCTCAAACACAATGTTATGGAACCAGATGCAGACAGGCATGTATGGTATGGGACCGTGAAACGTGTTTGGATTTATTTTTGGTTTCTTGTCGGATGTGAGAACTGCGTCATGGGACGAGCGTTTCAAGAACCAACCGCCCTCTAGGCTTCGCACTCTCGCCAGAGGGTCTCGATGCCGGAGGCTCTGCGCACGCTTCGGGTATTAGAATTGGTGGTCGATTATAATTACCCTCGCGGACGCGGGCTGTAAAGCTCGTGTCTTGGACCTGACCTCTCCCACTCTCTTTATTCTTTTCATATTTTGGCCCATGCTCACGAGGACACTTGTGTTGTTTGTCGCTGCGTCGATTGTTGCGGCTCAAGCCCCTACATACCAAGGGGCGCTGGTCATCCAGGTCGGTACTGCCATCGGCGCAGCGGTACTTTACCAACAATTCTCTAGCCTATCGCCAGCAATTCGAAATGCCTCGCATCGCAGAATGGCCAGACCAATGGCTCACCCATCGTCGTCGCAGACTGCACAGGTGGAGCAGATCAACTCTTCACCTTTCAGAACGGACAAGTCACCATGTATGGCGGCTCGATGTGTCTCGTGCGTTTCGCATCGGGTGGCTGAGCGGCCAAAGCTGACTACTCGCGACAGGATGTGACAGACGGCGTCAACGCAGACGGAACAAAGCTTCAAATCTGGCAATGCTACCAAGGTTCAGCAAACCAGGCTTGGTACTACAATTTCGTATGTTCTCTCAGCCGTGATTGTAGCGCCTCTAATACAAGTACAGTGGGATAACTCGTTCGTATTAGCACCCTCTGGGAGGTTTGAACCAGGGTACTGACACTGTTCAATTTCCAGGCTTCAATGGACCGGTAAGGGCAAGTGCATGGACCTAACGGATTGGAGCCTCGCAAATGGAAACCGCATACAAATATGGTCTTGTGGAACGCCCACAACGCAAAATCAGTTCTGGAACGTTGGTGGGTAGCATTCCCTATCAGCTGCTGACATATTCTGATCTGGACCACAGGTTACGTTCGTAGTCTCCCATATCAGCTACTTGCATATTCTAACATTGCCTTAGTTGGCATCTGCTCTCCCCAACCAGTCGCAAATTGGCCAGACAGGGACCAACAACTGTGGAACCGGATCCTCCGCCTCTTCAATGTGCCAAACGCTGTGTGAGTTTTCTGTCCCTGCTCTACCAGTCGCAGTTGGGACTGTGTGATATGATGGACTGATAAAGAATAGGGCTCAACGGCATTGATGATTTCTGCTTGTGGGGTCCACCAAACACCGCCGTTGTCGGTGATTCAGAGCGTGAGATGGTCGCATATTGCACGAAGCCTACACATGGTGCCCGGCCGATCCCTGCCGGTACCTTCTCCGGCGTCCATTGGGTCAAGACTCCAGACTATGTCCAGGTGAGCAATTAGGTTGCACCGTGGGAATCTTCTCAAGGTCGTTAGATTACTGGTGCTGGTGACTTTACGAAAATTCACATCCCTGCGGGCGACGACGGCGGAGAGCTCGACAACCACGGGGCTGATGGTAATGGAAACCCAATTGGTGGCCTGGTGTACGGAAACTCGTTTGGACCTTCACAACAATATCATGAATGGTCCGAGTTTATCTCTTACAACGAGTTCTGCATCCGCGCATGCGTTGGCCCGAGTGCTCGTAGGTCCTCCTTTCTTCCAATTAGCTCTGCTAATATTTCTTTAAATCGAAGCGAGCCTCTGTAACCACATATACGATGTAATGGGCTGTCGTTGGAATTTCCCAGCCAACTACGATCCGGGCGTGTTCGAATCGTGCCAGGGGGACGACTCGCTGCCCGCGGGTATCTATGGTACCTCTACATGGTACCAAGGCGTTTCCCCCACTCCCTCAGCGCATCCTATTCCAGCATCTTCAAACTGCGTGACCACCGCGACGGTCTAATGCCGCTACCCATCAATTCAACTTTGGCCCGTTTAACTCTGGGCCGGATTTCAGCATCCAGAATTCGTTTAGCTTTCGGACAATTATCAGCATCTTGCATTCTCATAAATTACGGACAATAAATCTCATTGCTAACCAATTTCTCGAGAAAGATGACTTTCGGTGGTTGATCGAATTCAACAACAGAACGTATAGCTCTGAGTAGGTGCAATTAAGAGTATCATTCTAAAGCAAAGGGACCTCCTGGTGGGTTGTTAGGTCGCCGAAGACGGCCGAGTGGCGATAGGCTTTCGTGAAATGCAGACTATTGGGATTATAGTTCTGATCATGCCTTCCTTAAGTCAGAGAAACTGGAGAAGTCCGTGACAGGAGTCTTTATGCGTCGAATTCGAGGTGCATCATATGCATATTTTGGTTCAGTAGAGCACATACAGACTCGAAAGTGATGAATGAAGCTCGTCCATTCAATGCTGCCGAAGAGGACAAGGATGCAAGCCAAATGGTCCCAAGAACATCGAGCATCTACTTCTTCGACTTCTTTGGCTTGTCGACCTCTTCTATTTGGAGACCTGTAATCGGAGCGTGAGCCGACAATATCTACCAAGCCACCGAGTGCTAACCTGGAGGAAGTGATGCTTTGAGCTTTTCTGCTTTCTCCGGATCGTCCAACGAGAGAGTGTACAGATATCGCGAGCAGCGAACCTTGAACTTGGTCTTTGGCTTGACGCCTGGGATGCGCGACAACGTCTTCTTTATGCGTGCGGCTGGATAATCAAAGTATCATCATCAGCAAATGATTATCGCTACGAGTGGGCGATGGTAGCCACTGACATTTAGCATCCTTCCGTCTTGTAATCTCGAGGAATTGCTTAATGTCCTTGATCTCCTTTGGCTGAACATAGTAACGACATTGTCAATACGCCATAACCACTTGCTTTGAGAATATCCTGACCATTTTTTTGCTGTCGAGGTCAAAGCCAAAGTTTGTTTACCTCGACCAAACAACAATCCCGAACCCGCCCTCTTCCCCTCCCAAAAATGCCAAAGAAAGGTCTGCCTCAATTATGAATGTATAATTGGACGAGATGGCTTACGAATCTGCATTCTATGTATCGTCCATCGTCCACAGTCTCGGCCGCGTCTGGTACCAAATTCCGATTGACGATGGGTTTGCCCGTCGGTGCAGTCATCAACTGTGCAGACAACTCGGGAGCAAAGTCGCTATACGTGATCGAGCCATACGGAACTGGCGCACGTCTGAATCGTCTACCTGATGCGTCGGTTGGCGACATGTTCGTCGCATCCGTCAAGAAGGGTAAACCAGAGCTTAGGAAAAAGAGTACGTTTACTCTTATTCGTTGTTTACATGTCCCTCGAACATCGCCACTGACGAGTAATACCTTAGCTATGCCTGCCGTGGTCGTCCGACAACGCAAGGCCTGGCGTCGTCGTGACGGTGTCTTCCTCTACTTTGAAGTGCGTAATCTCACATTGGGATGTCGTCTGTACTTATGGCTTGACAGGACAACGCCGGTGTCATCGTCAATGCAAAGGGTGAAATGAAGGGCTCTGCTATTACCGGTCCAGTAGCAAAGGAATGCGTATGTTAACCAGTTCATATGCCTTGATAAATTCTGACAGTTTACAGGCTGACCTATGGCCGCGTATCGCCTCGAATGCCGGTACCGTGGTATAAGGATACAAGTCTCCTTCTTGTCATTAGTATGCGACATGAATGAATTATATGATTCATTGGTCGACGCAACGCATTTCATCAGGGTTAGCGACCATTGTGCTCCACGCGCGCGTGATTGGTGATTCTGGTGGTCAAATTTAAAAAATTGTGCGATTGATAGCCACCCCTGACCCTCGACTTTGACCATGACCGACCGTGGGCTCTGGAATACTGGGCTCGTCTCAATTTATACCAAGGAATACTTTAAGCTCTCCTGAGCTCAGTGTGTATTCCAGAATACCATCCGCCGATGAGCCATCGGCTACCGTGACCGTCTGTGGTCCTCAAGTATGAGCACGAACACCCGTAATAGGCCATCTTCAAGCTTATTCTGCGACATAATCAGACAATGGGTTCAAACTGACTGTTCGCCCGACGGATGACCACCGGTCGCTTGGCTTCCTGCTGAAGTATGAGCTCGCCTTTCCTCTGGCCGTTTAAGATCAAAGCTCATCATTGCCAGCTCTATGTGTCTGGAGCCGCATGCATATTGGCAGATTATTTCTATACGTGCTGCAGGCATTAGTCCAAAGATCCCGGCTCTCCAAGAACTGTATCCGCTCTGGGAATGCTCAGACCACGTTGTCCATTGCCTCAATGATTGCAACAGTCAGATCTTCAGTCCCGTAACGGCTCCATTATCGAGTAGATATTCGATGCAACACAATACTAAGAGATATTAAGTTTACATTCGTTGATATCTGTACAGGTTGCCATTCATACACGAAGGGATCCCTGATCCCTTATAGATTGAAATTAGATGCTCCTTCTCCAAACGTCGCAACTCGTGGTTTCCCGGTCTATACCTCCCGTGCTGATGAACAGCTATCAGGGGTGCGCATCGTCAGACTATCGCGAAGATATCCTCCGAACCCGGTATGCACACGAAGTGCCCTTCTTGCCGAGTTTATATATTCTTCCCATTGCGCACGAGCACGGAGGGTGTCTGCAAGGCCATGCATTGCCGTAATAGTGTCGGCATGGTCTTGTCCAAAATGCTCAATGTACATGTCAAGTAAGTCCCGCTGCAGCTTCACAGCCTCTTCCCATTGTCTACGGGTTTGCAGGGTATTTGCAAGGTTTGCCATGGTTGCGATTGAACCAGGATGACGTTGTCTAAGGAGCTCAATACGCATAGCAAGCGCCTCCCGTTCCAGCCTCTGGGCATCCTCCAGCTGTCCGCAATGTCGTGTCGCTTCGGCGAGCCAGCCCATTGTACGTACTGAATCCTGATGTGCACGACCGTGCATGTCCTGAAGTTTGGAAAGAGCGACCTTGAGCAGTTTTCTGGTATCCTTCCAGAAGCCCAAGGACTTGTAGACCTGGTGAAAACCGATTGTATGCGCGAGGTCTGCCTCCTTGATCGTTTGAGGAAGAGCATCAATATGCGGTACTAGTTGCCAGTACCAGCTGTTGCTCTCTCTGGGTCGCTGTGCCACTCCGAGCAGGATTCGAGCGGCCATCCGTTTATACTGAATCCCCTGCTCACCGAACGAATCTTGAATGTATCGTTGGAGAAGTGGATGGATCGAGTAAAACACGCTCCCCGAGGTGTCGGTAATTGTGTCGATAAAAGACGCGCTCTGCGCCGCATCGATCAGAGCCTGGAACGATCTTTCATCCCAAGGGGAACAAAGAATGTCCGTGATATTGGAGACGATCGTCTCATCGCCCTCTGGCGGGGGACAGCTCCTTAGGCCGGTGCGGGGAGCAAAGCCTGAAGCAATCGCCTCCTCGAACAGGGCCATAGGAATTCTTGTATGGTGGAAACAGGCAAATATCTTCAGGAGCTTCTGCGCCTTGATCGGTAGCTGACGGAAGGACAGGTCGAATGCTGCATAGGCTGAATGAGAATCTTTGGTGCCCTTGAGCAGGCCTTCCCGCAGAAGTTGATATCGACGTTCTCGGAGGGTAGCGAGGTAGCTGTCGAAACGACGATTCTCGAAAATGTATGCCCCAGCTTGAGCGACCGCAAGTGGCAGCGTCCCTATCTCCCTTACAATCTTCAAGGAGGCACCAATGGACGCAGGCTTGATGTTGGCGGTAGTATGAAGGAGCTCAATCGCTTCGCTTTCCGTCAGACCCTCCACGGGAATGGCACCGTCTGGCTCATAATTCCGACAGTTATGGTTCCTAGTCGCAATCAAAACTGCTCCATGAGGGGAGCTAGGAAGATAGGGGTCGAGTTTGAAGTCTTGGAAGTCGGCATTATCAAGGAAAAGTAACCAGCCCCCCCGGTTGTTGAGGTATGCAATAGCATCTTCCCATGTTGATTTCGCGTATTCAGGGCCGACCATGCGGATTTCTCTTTGCAAGTCGACCTCAAGTTGCCGTCTGCTACTCGCATCAACGACGATTACCCTGTTAAAGCTCGAAGACCGTGAGTAAAATTTGAGAGATTAGGATACTCCTTTCTTACAGGGCTTTATGTTCTTTAATCCATGTCGTTGCAAGTTGAGTTTTGCCAGCACCTCCGGCGCCATACAGAATACAACGTGGTTGACGAGTTCTCCTGCCATTTGGAACGAGTAACCGATCCATGCGTGATTGGATTTTTGGACGCCTGATATAGACCCTTGAACCGGGCGGTACAGGTTTGGGGATGTTTATGAGCTTGGGCACCAATGGCGGCTCTTCTTGAGGTGCACCTGAGGAGGGTCAGTGATTTGCGGTGGCTTTGTATTGTACATACTTGGATAAGTATTGTCTACGACGTTGCCAGTAACCTCCTTCATCCATCGAACTAGATAGGATAAAACAGCTTGATAGTCGCTCCGACTGCTGTCCGAGAACTTGACCATTTCGCAGTGGTCACCGTGGAGCACCTCCCGAGTTACTTTACGATCACCAACAAGAGTAGCGGCGTGGCGCGGTACAATCTAGAGAAGCAATTAGAGATCTAGCAATCAAGATTCGAAAGACCTTGCCATTTCTCGCCGACCCCAAACGGTAGGAGTCGGATATTCCTCATAGAAGCAGACAGTTTCGAATCCCTCGCTGACTCTCTGATAATACATCTGTAAGTTCTCTAGCTCGTCCGAGTTTGGCTCCAGATGCCGAAGGAGATTGTTCGTCGTCTTCTTGAGGAGTGACCGCAATTTATTGAGGATCTGTAAATGCTTGACGCCGTTTGCACCAGAATGAGGAGTTCCGAAAAATAAAACGCCATGAGTAGAGGGTAGGATATCACAGAAATCGGCATAGCGGTCGCTGTTGACAAGTGCCTTCGGAGGATGAGTGCAGTCCTTTCTCTTTTTGACACGACTAACCTGTTTAAGAATGATCCCACCCAGGCTATGGGCCACGAACACGATCGGTCGCTGTAACGATGGAATTTAGTTGATTGGTCAAGGAAGGATTCAGGGCCTACTCGAGGAGCACTCTGTCGCTTCCTTGAGAGCTCTTGCAAGAATTTTTCCGCATGTGTGCGTATTGTCTGCGTTGAAACGCGCCTCCGATTACAAGTGTTCGCGTCATAGCCATACGTGAGCACTCGTGCATTGGGCAAGTCGGCCGGCAAAAAGTCTTGAAGCCACAGTTTGCCATTCTCGGCCATCCAGGTCGTCTTCCTGTGACCATCTAGACCATGAATAGCGACGATACTGGAAGTTGGTTAGAGCTGCAAGCGCGTGTAATACCAAAGACAGCTCACTCAAGGGTAGGGTCGGCCCCGGCCGCAAGTTCCAGGAATCCAAAGTCCTCCGGCTCTGGTTTGGGCACCGGGAACGAGATGGTTTCTTGCTTTACATAACCACTTTCCCCTGTAATTGGGGTGGTTTTGGGCGAGAATAGCTTGGGGATGTGGAAGGATTTCTTGGCCCGTAAGGGAGAATGTGTAGTAGACATTTTCTTCGATGATTGTTCAGGAGATCTGCTTGGTCATGAATGGGTTGGTTGAGGATCAAGAGGTGCGAGGTGTGTGTCCAATGCGGCAAATATGGGGAGACTGGATGCAGCACTGCCTCTTGATCGCCATTCACGCCTTGGAAGACCTTAATGAGTAGGAAACAGCTGCTCCACCGACGTCTTTGAGATAGTAGCTCGCTGTAATGGGTGGCCGTTCGAAGTGGAAGCTCCTCATTGGTGTACACGCTCAAAGCTGCATGTATGCTGGTTGGCAGACTCATCTTTATTCGCTATGTTATCGCTATGCCAGAACTCGGATTTTGATCAGATCGGTTATGTCCATTTCATTTGGCGGGTTTGACGTGAAGAGACAGAGGTTGGCTGACTGCGAGAATGCGGGGAATATTGTTTGCAATAACTCTGGGCCGGTCCCGCGGCCAGGACCGTTGCGTTGGTCGCAACGAGGTCTAAGAAGGTTAGAGTTATCGGCATACCCCTTGAGCTTAGCCGCCACCTAGGCTCAATCCTCGTGTTCTATTGCACAGGCATTCTATGAGTGTATTTACTGTTATGCACTCCCACCCACATGTGCTAGCCACATATTCATCAGGCTCATATTTTCTTTATATGGAGGGGCCTACCGTTGAGTAGTATTTCCACCCTCATTTTCAGCCAGATAACGTCTGAGTTAATCTCTGTTCATACTGGGATCAAATGACTTTGGCTGCAGGAATTTTGCAAGGGTCGAGTCAAGGCGCTGGGCAGACGCCGCATCTGACCACGCATCTGCCTTCAATTGATCCTCCTGTGGCATGATCGACCAGTTTGGGGAGGGTGCTGATCGGATCCACAGAAAATCCTGGACTTCCGCAAAGCGATTCTTCTAAGGGCTCATTAGACAGTGGCGTGCGGTATACATCTGACAAACCTCGCTATCCAAGTCTGCACCAGCAGGTAGATTGTAAGGAGCAAATCGCATTGCTGTGCACTTTTCCAGGATGGGGGTCGAGGTGACATGGAGATACACGTCCACTCTCGTCGATGTATGGATCCGAAACTGCATTGAACAGTCAGGAGTCTTCAAGGGTGAACATGAGGCATACCTGATGACACGCTATTGCAAGCACAGACTCCTGGCACTCGTGAAGCAGTGCACTCCCTTGGACGGGGGCAACGAGGACAACGCACTGTTTCAAGCCAGTGACATGGAGTGCTCCAATGGATCCGTTGAGGAGATGGGAGTCTGTCGCGAGATCAACGACGCACTCTGACAACGAGGTCAATGTGACCTCGGGACGTGAATCTGCCTCTATTGAATTGGGTAAATTTTGAGGAGTTCATGAACTGTGAGATATTCCTTTGTACGATTACTGAATCCGAGTCGAATCTGAGATGACTGCGCTGCCGAAGGCTCTGCTACTTGGGTAGCCAAACTCGGGCTAGTCGTAGTTGCCTCTAGTACTGGAGGAATAGGAGACGGCGTCGTACTGGGTGGAGGTTTCTTGAATGAGAATTTAGCACCAGCCCGCGCCTTGCCAGACGCCGACGAGCCGCCTTGAAGTTTCTCCTCGAGTTTTCTTTCTACCTCTTTAATCGCCTCGAGTCGAACAGACCATTAGGGTGGAACTTTGTCAGTGATGCCAGCACTCACCAATTCGCTTTGGCGCTGATCGTATGTGGGCAGGTATGGCGTAGCGTCTATGAGATCCTTGCGAAGCTTAGACACTCCGGAGATTAACTCTTCCTTGTGGGCTTGGGAATAGCTTGAAGCCGTATTGGTGATGCGATCCGAGACCGCTTATTGGATGGATTAGCGTACATTCTGTGAAAAAGGTGGGCGCAAACCTTGTACATCAGTTCGAAACTTTGTGGAAAATGACGCGGCTAATGTCGAGTTCACAGCCATTGTGGTAGATGGACAGGAAGCTTATCAGTGACCAGCGTCAATTGTCGAGTGGGGATAGATAATGCTACAAAAATGTCAATTTTACATACAACTATACTCTATGACGTAGAACTGGACTCTTCCTCGGCTTGAGCCTTTTGTAAGGCCTCTTCCAAACGACGAGCCAGACCTTCGGTCAATTTAGGAGGCCCATCCGTCGTGAACAGTCGGTATGTTGGCATCTTGGAGTACGTTTCCGCCATAACCTATGGTGACGGTTGGCAATCAACGGGAGCAAGAATGAATCACTTGCCTTTCCATCTTCGACCATGACCGACGCGATGATATCATCTGGATTTCCTATCCTCCCTAGTGCAGGAACATTCCGCATGTCTACACATATTAGTCACTTGTCGTGAATCTCCAGCATTGTCTCACCATGTATATGCATCCACCCAGACTTTCGGTTGACCGCCTCTGCATTGACAAACTCGTCGCCTCCATCTTGTAGAGTCTTTTTAATGGTATCGTGCATGAGTTCCAGGAATCCCACTACGAAATATCAATACTCGTCCTTCCATGAACGACGAAACAAAACGTACAATTCGTCTTGAAGTCATTCAACCCAGGCTCCTGTCCCTTTCCCTGGCCCTGATCTACAGCACTCTCTTGACCTTCACCGTTCTCAGTAGCCTCGATAGCAGGAATGACGCCCAAGATGGTTTTCGACCCGTCGACCGAACTCGGCGGTCGAGGCAAAAAAGACACGGCAAACACCTTTTTAGACCAATGTACCAAGTTTTCAGGCGCAGGTACGAGATGATAGTAGAGCTCTTCGAGTGGCGGTTGTGATGTTGGACGCGTCGAGTTTGCTCGACGGAGCGTAGACGAGAGAGGTACCCGTCTTGCTGTACGAGAAGTGGATAATAAAGACTGGAAGATAACAGTGCTTCGACTTCTGGGTATCATTCTGATCGGCTGACGGAACTGACGAGATGGTCGAGTTCAAGGCCTGCTTAGCGTTCTTTCGTGTGAACGTGCATAGGGGATGGAATTACACGAAAGACCATCGTATCAACGATACAACGGTCTTCTAGCTACAGGACGAGTAGGTAGCAGAAAGCTAAAAACAGAACTCGTCTCCACTGCAACTCGTCGGAAAACCTGATATAAGGGAGCCGAGTCCAAAGATTCGAAAGTATATTTGACTTTTGGAGTAAATCGTTAAAGGGTTCGTTAGGAGATATCTAGTAGGGTCATTATATGCGCGCAGGTAGTATCGTCGGTCGCGTTTGTCAAGAAAAGGGCTGATAATTGCGGAATATATACCGAGTCGATGATATGACGAGAGGTCATTTTCTTGCATGCGGCATAATCATAGCCATCTGCTATCGATCCAGTGGACTAGAGCGACGTATAACCAGATGCCAATTCCAGATAGAATCGGCAACGTTAGGTTGTCATCGAGGTCTCCCAAATCTAGAAACAGTAAGTAATGTGACCGACAGATACAAAGACGATGAACGCACCAAGAGCTTCCGAGACGGCAGTGGCAAAACCAGACCAAAAGGCCATTACAACAAGACCAGGCCATCCACCCCCAACACGTTGTGTCCAGTACCAACTAGACGGGAGCGACTTGACGGGTGTCGAAGTGAAATTGGTATATGATAGCGCGAGGTCACGCAGCTGCTCCCAGTTTGAGGACGAGATCATCGACCACGACAAGGCTGGTCGAGAAGCAACAATGGGTACTACTGGGGCCTGAGCACCATGGATGCTCAAAAATGCGCAAGTGATCAAGCCACCAGTGACCCAAGCTGCAGCATATCCCGCTGTCGACTTGCGGGGTGCAAAAGGCAGACCGATATAGGGAATACGACGAGGGAGAGGTGGCGTATATCTTCCCCAGAGACGACCGATCGTCGATGCAGCGGTATCGGCCCACGAAAGGATCAAGATGGAGACGACAGCGATATCCCTATGAAATGGTCAGAAGAGCCACGAGTGACAAATTAGGCTGGCTTACGCCGGGTAAAAGGTGAGGACAAAGATGACTCCAATGAGATACCAGACGGTGCCGTTAATCTTGTTCTTCTCGCTCTCTCGCATCAAAAAGCCCACAGTCTTTTCGTAGAGGGTTTCGATGGTGGGGTTGCGAAGTCGAATGAAATCGATAAAGGAGATGCCAAACAGTAGGACGGACAATACAGCGACAATTGGGGGTATAGTAAAGTCGAACGCGTACAGGCAGCACACCACGATGCCTGATAAGGAATTTAGCGGACTTGTATGCTAGTTAATATCCTCACGTACCAATGGACGAGTGGAGCGCCTTTCGTGGGATTTCCAAGTCGACTTTGGCGGGCGCAGGGCGGGATTGCTCGAGTCGTGAGACCTCCGCAGTTGTGGGCTCTGTCTGCAGAGGCTCCACAGCCGGTGCCGGAGGAGCGTCGATAGCGTCTATGTGCTGATAAGATGACTTGTGGTGCTCGAGATGGCCATTGCCGTTGGGAACGGCATGTGTCCGCGCGGCCTGGCGGTCTATTTTTGCCATAATATCGTCTACATCTTCCATGAGCTCGTTCATCGACGAGGCTTTGATGAGCGAGCTGATAGTGGTCGGCTCCTCGGCCAAGGTGGAACCGTTGGATGACGCCGCCAACGAAATGCGTGCGCTTCTCCTCCTGACTGGCTGGACTTGCTTTAATATTGCTGTCGAGTCAGCAGAGCGCATGGTGGATGATGGCATTTCGTTGTGGGACGTGTTGGGAGAAAACGGCGAGGGCGAGCGCGCGCTAGAATGAAGACGCGCCGACGAGGTGCGTTTTACTGGACTTTCTGGACGTTTACCTGACTGTCTCGACGCGCTGTGCTGCCTTGTGAGCGCAGTGGGCATTGTTTCTCGTGCGTGACGGAACGGCGCGTCTCAACAAATGGGAATTGCTGGACGAGTTGAAGAAATAGACGGGGGATAGCAGAGCGTCTATAGCCAGCCAAATGCTCAAAAGCTGGTCGAAAGTCGTGGCAACTGGTCAAAAAGCAACAACGGGCTTTGTTTGTTTGGCTGAGCTTCCCAAGCCCCCCTCCACGTGCCGGCCTCGAATTCCCGTATATTCTAGCTTTTGATATTTGATGTGGTCCTTTTATTCCCGTACAGCCCGCCTTCGACCGACATTCGCGCTCACAGCCCTTTTGCTGATCCCAACCGGGGATGCTGCTAACCGGTGTAGAAGCAACCTTGTAGCTGCCCACAATCCCACCAATGGCTGCTTCCTCCGCACAAGACCTCGTAGAACGCTATCTAGCTGCCTACAAGGCTTTGGATTTACCCGCCATGGAGGCTTGCATGGACCCTTCGTTCACCTTTAGTGACCCAGCGTTCCCATCCCTCGACGGTATGCACTCAGGCCAGTATACTCCCTAGCTGACCCTTTTGCAATAGCTGCTCATGCAAAGGGAATGTTTGCAATGTAATTAGTCCTGGCCAGAGCCTCTTCAGTCGCTAACCTCCTCAGGTTCGTCACCAACAAGGATACGAACAAGATGCAGGTCGAATACAAGGACGTCAAAAAAGGAGCAAATGACTTGACTGTAGGACCACTCCCTAACATAAGAACATCGTCTAATTTCTTGTAGTACACTGCGACCTATACCGTCCAATATCTCTTCGCCGGTCGACCAGTGCTCAACACCATCAAGACGACTCTCACAATCTCCCCAACCACAAATCTCTTGGCCTCGCAGGTAGACGAATTTCCATTCTGGGCCTGGAGTCGACAGGCCCTCGGACTTCCTGGTCTCTTCCTTGGATGGAGCGGCTACCTCCAAAACCAAGTTCAAACCAACGCAGGTGCAAAGCTCGAAAAGTTTTTGGCAAAGTCGCAGCAGTCCCAGTCATAGAGATTCAGAATAGACTTATTTATTCAACACCAACAAAACTTTTCGTTATGCTCCCACACAACCTTCTTGCTTCCATACCATGCTAAACCAGGTAAATGCTCGTCTCTTGGACCCGTCTTTCCTCCTAGCTTTTCTCCAATCTGAGCAAGGTGCGGCGGCAGGTTCCACACCTCGACATTCTCGAGTGACAACTCCCGAGCGATTTGGACCGCTGCATAAAGAAGTGCCGGGAAGCTCTCTTCAGTCGCACGTAAGCGTGTGATGATCAGTGTCGAGAGACCCGACGGCCCGGGATCCAGTGCCCATGTCGCAAATGAAAACGCTTCGGGGGTTTCAATCAGTGCTCCCCATCTGTCACCCTTCCATGAGCTAGGAACAAAGTTTTTGTTCCTCTCATAGAGAAACTGGGCCACTCCGTTATCTGGGAGGAAGGAAAATGTCGTCGAGGTAGATGGTTCGGTCGCGAGTTCGGTCCGCAGAAGCTCAGCATCTCGTTTCCAGACCCTCTCCTGTTCCTCATTAGAGATCCACCGGAATCCCTCTGGCCTAGAATCTGTAATGTCGATCGTGACTGGCCATATCGTCCCATTAGGATCATGGGTAATCCAAGCCTTGTCCAAATGCTCATCTCCGACTCCGGGTCCACATTTGTTATAGAACCCATCCCCGACGTCGCTGTACAGCACGGATGCGACCCCTTTGCCCAATCCCTCCGGAACAGACGGTGGCTCACCCCAGGCGGCAGCGGGAAACGGTGGAAGAAGTTCGGGTTTGATAAGGACAAAGTGAAGGAGACGCATGAGGTGCTTTGCGTATCCTTTGCCGCGGTGTCGCTCAGCAGTGAAGACCGATGCAATTCCGTACGCGACTGAATCTATTCACAAACGTCAGCAGATGACATAGTCGAACCGAATAGCAGTAAAATATGTATGTACATACTCGGTTCACCCGAGACAATTGCCTCTCGATGGTATCTGGAGGCTCGGTCGGTTGGTGATCCGAATAAGACCAAGTTGAAACTTACGTTTCACATGAACTGAAAAAGTCAGTGGTGGTAGGATCCGACCTGGGGGCGAGTACCCTAGAAAGGTTTGAGAACGGATCCCGGAACAGAGCCTCGGAACGCACCAGATGGTCATTTTTCCATGATCCGCATGAGGCTTTGTATCCAACATCTCCTCTCGACCAACATACTCCTCCTGAGTCATTCTATGGCCCCATTCCGGAAAGGTTCGTATTCTGGATTCCCGAATTTGTTCAGATGTCGCCGGGAAGATTGACAAAGAATTCATGGGAGCAGACGAGCAAGATCAAAGGGATTGAAGGTGAACTTTGAGTCAGCTTTGCCATCCGGCTTCTTATACGCGAGGGGCCAGGGCCGACAGTGTCAACGCATCTTCTGACAGACCACCAGGAATTACAACGGTACAGACGAGAACGGATAAAGTAGACGGAGCCATGGCGCACGGCTTGACGAGCGCTACTTTTTTGAGTGGCCTTTGGGCTTTTTCCCAAACGATTTGCCCTCGAAACCTGGTCGAGCCTTTCCGCCCTTTTTGCCCTTGTCCTTCTTCCTCTCGTTTCGCATAGCAATGTTGTCGCTCCGCTTTTTTTGCTTGGCTGCCATCGCCGCCTCGACATTTCGCTTTCGCTCGTCCCTGGATCACGATTAGTAGAGAGATCAAGTAGATTTGCATGTACTCACCACTCCTTTTTGCTTTTGACCTTTTCCTTTTCTGCCCGCTTTACTGCTTTCTTTAACCGTGTTGCATCGTCCTTGACTTTGATACCTTCCATCCGTGCTTCCGCCTTGCTCCACTTGTCCTTTTCCTCGATCATCTTCCGCTTTTCTTCGGGCATATTCTTCAGACGCTCTTCTCGTGCAGCTAATTGGGCCAACGCTTGTTTGGGATCCGACGACGTTTGGAGCTTCTTCGAGAGCTTGCTCTGCGTTTTATCGTTTGAAAGTGCAGAATACTTGACAGAGGTGACGTTTTCGCCATCTTTCTCGTCTCGTTTCTCCTCGACAAGTAATTGTGGCTAGAAGTTATCAGCCAAGCACTCGGTTGGCTACTGCGTCGCATACCTTGGTCGCGTTACCTTCTTTCTTCTTCTTCGACATTCTCGCCGCAGCTTCCAGCTTCTTCTTCTCTTTCGTCTCCTTTCTCCGCTTCTCTCTTAGCTGCGCTCGACGCTCCCGTCTGCTTTCCAGTAGCTCATCTTTCGATTCCATTGCATCCTCGTCGACACCACGACCCTTCCTAAACGATGCAATCTTATCGTGAAGCTTACTTCGCAGTTCGGAGATGCTCCCGCTCGGAGCCATTGGTTGAAGGGCTGGTCGCGAGATGTCGGTATCCTTTCCACCAAGATTTACGAATCCATTCTGGAGCGAGATGGCACCAGTATCTTCATCGTCGTCAGTGTCGTCAGACCGTTTTCGTTTCTTCGACGCTTTCAGTGGACTGTCAGCGGCTCGCTGCTTCGCCGCCTCTTCTTGCAGCTCTACTATCGTTTTTTGATTGTCTGGATCAAGCTTGAATATTGTGAGCACGCGTTCTTGCTCCTGTGCTTTGCTCTTCAACTCACCTTTGCCTTTCTAGCCTTTTTCGCGGCCTCTTTTGCCTCTTGCTTTGCGTTCTTCTTGTTCTTGTGCTTCTGATACTTTGATTCGTGCTTGATATGGAGTGAATACTTGAGCGACAGTCGATACCAAGAGCTTTTACCTCTGGCTCCTCGTTCACGATATAGTACTTCGCCGGAATGAGTCTTAGAAGCGTCTCAAACGCCGCATTATGTCTCTCGAGACTTTGTCGTATCTCTTCTGGTGATGCCAACTGCATTGCAGTGTGTTGGTACGGGCCAAAGTTCGCTTTGGTTTGGACCCGACTACGACATGGCTAAACGAAAGGCAATCACTCAAAACGACACAGGGACGTCTGCGCGTTCTTCACAACCTTCAAAGACTAGTGCAAGAAAAGATGACGACCCGCTGCCGCTGTCGAAATACATCTCGATAGCTGGAACACAAGCCGTGCTCCTGCTCTTCTCAATGCTCATGTTGCCTAGGACAACACTCACATTTGAGAAACTACCCCCTCAGGTGTCGTCCTTGGATAGACCACAACCAGCTTGGATGGCCCCAATTACGGCTTGGCCAGACCTCAGTGTTGCATGGATTTGCGTAGGAGCCGCTATTGTGCAGTCTTATTGGGCTTCGAAAGCGGTTACTTGGATTAAGCAAGATACTATCAAAGAAACGGGGAAGCAGGACGAGCTTGCGTTACGCCAAGGAGACCGTTCATTCAAAGTTCGTTATACATCTTTACTCTGCCAGGTGAGATCTCATAAATGATCTAGGATCTCACACGAGCTTGGGGTGCTACGCTGTTAGGAGGAGTAGCCTTTCACGCTCTAATTGTCCTCCTTGGTGCACCTATGACTACGTGAGTCCTTTTTCTTCGTCTCTGTGAATTAATCTGATATCCTGCCAGCCACGTTCGCCATACCTTTGCACTTGCACTCTTGATTTCCATTCTGGCCGTCTATGCTCCGGCTCGGAGTTTGACGATCCCGCTCTGGACGCAAGACGAGCAAGACATTGCTCTCCGTGCCAAGTGGACCCGAGTCATCAATAACCTCAAGTAAGTCGGCATCGTTCATCTGCAAAGACAATCTGATTTCTCGTTAAGGGTCAATACCAGAGCAGAACGAGCTATCTTATATCCATCGCTATTCACTGTTATCGGTGCTTGGTGCGGCGCGTATCCTCTTGCACTCGACTGGGATCGTCCGTGGCAAGCATGGCCTCTTACGCCTGCTGCAGGTGCCATAATTGGTCATGTAGTTGGACTTGGTGCATCTGTCTTTGTCAGCAGTGTTATTTACCTTGGTCGGACGCTACCAGACCCATTGAAGAAACGGTAGCCTAACCGTACCCCATCTTATTGGAAATACATTTCCTTAGACGTTTCGAGTTATGTTGTATCGGGTTGAGTTTCACTAGGCGTATCTTTTGGAACATTAAATGGGTGAGAGTGGTGGTGCCTCTCTTTCCTGAACTCCATGGTAAGTTCAGCAATGGTCATCAAACACGTTGTGTGTAACACATCAAAAGTCTAGTGAACTTCGTTACACTGCAAACACACAGCTTGAGCACCGTATGTTAGCATAGAATGTAGCCAGCTCTACTGACAAACTTTTCTAGTTCATGCTCGCTACACAGGAACGGGGCATGCGGATTTGACCAAATGGGAGTGGGCTACTCATCAGCATAGAGACACACTCAGCTCAATTGTTGGACATCCAACGCTCACTTCTTATCTCGCAGTTGCAGACGGAGAATCTATTGGAAGGGTCAAGTTTGAAATGGCAGAGGTTCGTTTGCTGCTGGGAAAGAGTTGATATACTGACCGTTGGTAGAAAATGCTGAATCCTTGCGGACCTCCGCCGCAGAAACAAGACTAGGCGGACAACAAATATGATGGTACCGTTGTATCATTAGCCTAAGTCTTAATAAATCTCGGTTACTTTTAAAAGAGTACCAAAATCATGCGGCCCGCAGTGCAGCCAGCTTTTCCACCAAGACGCTTGCCCCTTTTACGTCCTGATGCTCGATTTCGCCCACGACATTCCTAGGAAACCACTTTTTGAGCTTCCCCTTGTCTGCCGCGCTACCTTCCTTTTCTATCCGTTCGCAGAGCTCGGCAACGACAAACGCCCATCCCCTTTGGCCATTGCAACAAGCCTCGCGCCATTATCTTCGTCGCCTAGAATGCGAAGAAAAGTAGATGCAAATGCTACGGCGTCGAAGTATTTAGATCGGACGACCGTCTTGTTGGCATGTGACCAGTGCCCTCCCTGAAGAAGCTGCTTGAGCATTCTCGAGGTGTGGCTAAGCTGAACTGGATGTGTTTCTCCATTCTTGGCCGGATAATCTGCCTTGAATGGTAGCAAGATAGCCTCGGTTGCTGACGCAACGTCTGCACATACTCTTCAGCTTTACTCTTACGTCAACGAGATTAGTACATACCACCGTCGGCATGAAGGAGTACTTCAGCCACCAATAAGCTCCCTCCAGTGTCGGTGATCATTTTCGAGGCGTGTAGTTTCACCTGGTTCAGCATATCCTCGCTGTATGCCTTGCGAATCTCTGCTTTTCTGACATCATCATCCTTTTTGCTTGTTAATTCTCTTATAGAATCCGTAGTGGCAAGGACAGCGGCCATTGCAGGCGTAACATGCCGGGTTGAGCGATAGATCAGTGGATAAAGGAGTGCCCTCCGACCATTTGAATCAGCATACAACTTCGGAGTCAAGGCAGCTAAATCGCCAAGGACAGACTTGGAAATCATCTTGGTGTCGTCGGTGACTTCCAAAAGGGTGAATAACACGAGCTGCGCCTCCGAGTCCAGACAAATTCGCTCGAGATGCGGCTTTAGTAGTTTGACGATTTGCTTTCGGTTCTTGGCAGAACCGTATGCCAGGAAGTATCGAACGGATTGGCTCCCGTTGCGAGTATGGACCATCTCCGCCACAGAGTCCTCACATCTGCGTACTATGAGGACCTGACTGACAGGTGAAAAGGTAGACTTACATCTCATATATTTCCTGGCGACGTCGCTCGGACTCAGCCTTGTCATTCAGACGCTCAAGTTCCGACAGGTACTCCCATAGAGCCGAGTGAACGATTGCGTTTGAGACGGCGCCTTTGTCCGAGTTTTCAAATCTGCAGATGTGAGTTCGTGCGACGAGATAAATTGGTGACATACATAGACTGCAGGTTCTCCTTCACAGCCGACAGGATACGGAGGGCTCGTTCTTGCTCGAGGCCAGTGAGCACCCCACGGAGGCCGAGGTCGCCCTCCTTCTTGGGCTCGAAGAGTGCTACCTCTTTCCCGTAAAACTCACGAAGGAGTATCGCGCGTTCGGTCGAGTTGGAGTAGAGTTCGAAGGCTTCTGAGATGACCTGACCGGCTTCTCGGTGAAGGAGAAGGCGTAAAACGTGTCCTTGAAATTCTGAGAAGATGGATGGCCGGTGTTTCGGACAGTATCGAATGAGTTTCAATATCAGAAACTATTGGAGTCAACTACTGCTTGATCATCAAACGGCGGCCGTACCTTGGAGTACTTGTTCTGAGCGAGTGTCTTATACTGGCCTTTTAATTCAGAGGCGACCATGTCACGCTGTTCTTGCCTCCCATACTTGACAAGCTTTCAAGAGGGTAAGACTATTGACCACTGAACGGAGAGCAAAGCGTACCGTCTGAATGATGCGACTTGTGTCATGTCTACAGGCAACCTCAGACACCTTTCCTCGTACAGTATCAGCGAGCTTCTTGCAGAGGTCGTCGCGTTCTTGTTTTGAGAGATTTCGCTGCCTCGCCGCATTCCACAGTTGTTTGGCGTGCATGGTCATTTCAGCATTTGGTTTTGCAGCCTTTCGTTGTGCCAAGAGTTCTTTCTGTGCCTTGTGTGATTCAAAAGCTACACTCGGTGGCTCATGAGTTTGAGAAGACGAGATGTAAAAAAAAAAGCGTACCGCTCCCTTTCCCAGCAGGAGGTGCAGATGTCGGAGTGACTTCCACTGCATCTTCATCGTTTTCCTCTCCCTCGGAGTCCATGAGCGACTCGTCGTCGCTGCTTCCTGCGTCGGGGGTGGTGGCAGTCACTGGAACGCTCTTCTTTTTGATAGTGTCTGCATTTGTATTTCTTCTCTTTGGCGTTTTTCCTCCTTGTCGAGCTGCAGGCCGCTTCAGGCCCTTGTTCTGCGGCTGTATCCCAGACTTGGTGGGCATCAACTCTTGATACCGACGATTACATTCGCGCCGGGCTAGGAATCATCACTGGCCACAGCACTCGTTCAGTAAACCATCTATAAATCAATGCTCCTATGGCATCCACCTCAAAGGCTCGACAAACCTCGGACGCGCCAGTCGAGCTCCCTGGCGAGCAAGCTCCAGCCGTACCCGCTTTAAACTGCGAGAGTTGCGGCCAAATTGTCACCAGTCAATACGTGAGAGCATTGGGAGCCATCTACCACGTCGACTGCTTTCGCTGCAAGGTCGGTGTAGTACCCCACTAGACCAGGAGAACACTCCTGACCATCCGGAATCACGATATTAGGACTGCAACGAGATTGTTACAGCTAAATTCTTTCCCTACAGCCTCTCAGAGTCCAAGCAAGTACCCCTCTGTGAGGTCGGTCGTTTCGCTAGAGTATCGCACCCGACTCACACGATGCTATCGTGCAATGCAAACAGGTGGACTATTTTCGACGGCTCGATTTGTTGTGTGCGAAATGCGGTCAAGCTCTGCGAGGCAGCTACATCACCACATCCGGTAAGGCTTCATCGACAACCCGCATCCGAAACTCCCACCTGACGGCTTCTAACGCAGACAAGAAGTATCACGTGGAGCACTTTACTTGTTCCTGTTGCTCAACGTTATTCGGACCTCAAGATAGTTATTATGAGCACCGCGACGCAGATGGCCTGAATATCTACTGTCACTATCACTACAGCACTCGATGCGCCCAAAAGGTAAGTACAATTTAAATAGGTTACCGAGACGGGGCTAAGGCGAGTAAAAAGTGTGCTAGTTGTCAGGCTGCGATCCTTCGTCAGTTCGTCGAGGTTAACCGAAGCTCACGAGACGAAGCCTATCACCTGCCATGTCATTTGATTCAGAAGTTCTGGTAAGTATCGGACCATTTTTGCTACCTTGCGTGGGCTGATGTCCGAGTTTAGGAACGTCAAAATCAGCACACCGCTACCCGCAATAACAGACGGCAAGCCACATTGGGTGCACGAAGAGGCCGTATACACGCCTGCTACTCTCAAGGACGCTCAGAATGACATGAACGAGTTGGTCAATCGGATCTGGGCGGTCCTATCCGCATATGAAGAGTCCAGTGCCGCATGCATCTCGGATCTACTCAAAGCGGTCAGCAACGTCATCTATTTGGAGGCCATTCGAAGCGCAGAGCGATTTGTCTTCCATGTGGAAGTCTTGTTTGCTGCTTTGGACGATTTGGACTTCCATTTTGAAGCCCTTGGCTCAAGTAAAGGCATCGCACATGTCCGCGAGTCGAGGGTGCTATGCAGAAAGACGGTCGACCTATTCACCCAGCTTTCTCATGCACAACGCGACGTCTCCAGGCAAGGCCTTACCCAGGATCTTCTTGGGCTCATTACCGGAATCGCCCACTATTTGAAAATTCTCCTTCGAATAGCCCTCCTCGGAGCCCTACGCTTGATGCGGGAATATGGCGACAAGCAGGCTATCAAGGCGTTCCTTGATCAACTCCATCGGCTCATGGAGGAGAACGGAGACCCCCTTGCAACCCGGAACATTCAAGATGACACCCAAGGCAAGGAAGGAGACCAAAAGGTCGTACTATTTGATGTCCAACTGAATGGAAAGCGCCTGAAAGGCGCACGTAGTCGAGAGGGAGTCGCATTTGGGTTTAAAAGTCTTGACCCAGCCGTGACTGGGAGCTCGCCATATGCCCAAGAGTATTACGACGTACAGCATGGCACCAATTTGTCCGCCGATTTTGTTCCACCATCCGATCTCTGTGTCAAGTGCAACAATACCATCGAGAGCAACTGTGTCCGCCTAGGAACATTCACTAGGTGGCATGTTCATTGCTTGGAATGCAAGACTTGTGGGAGAGCGGCTGGTCCCCGACCACCTCCAAAGAGTGACTCGAAGCAGAGCGCAAAATCTTCCGTCACTACTGATGTGGAGAGAGACGAGGACAGCAACGACGAGACTGAAGTCACTCGACGAGAGACAAAGGCAAGACTCCAGGAGAGGATACAATCCGAGTCGGTGGCTGAAGCCTTCGCCTTTGAGCCCGAGTTTGAGCCAAGCTCTGACGGTCAAGTTTCTCAGTCAACCGGAATTCCACGAACGGTCTACTGCCCGAATCATCGAACTGGTGATAGCCACCTCGGCTTCCAGACGGTGTCACGGCTCGAGCAGTATTCGTACCTCTTAAATGTCGCACTCCTCCGCCTATACTCGATACTCAAGCGACGAGGGGCGATTCAACCTCCGACTGGTACGTTCTTTATTATGCCATTGAAGTGCATGAATTAACTTGGATTTAGGGCCTTTACGGCGCCGCATGAGCTCACCACGCGAATCCGTGGAACTAGCCCGTCTCAAGACTATCAGCCTAGACCGCAAGAGTACAAGCGTCAAGACGCCACGGCGGTTGACCATTGTTGAAAGTCCAATCGGCAAGGTTGCTCATACAGATGAGGTTACTAGTATTATCAAGGGATACCCAAGCTCTCCCAAGAAATCAGCCAAGCCTAGTACACCTCCTTCTCCTCAGCGACGGTCAAAGCCTTCAACGCCGCCGTCTCCTCAGCGCAGTACACCGCAGAATCAAGATGTAGAGAAGGAAACCCCACAATCACCGCAGCCCTTCGTTCCTCTTGCGTCCATTGCCGAAACTCCGACACCGTCTCGTCCAGAGTTTACGCGCATGAACTCTCAGGTCGTCGTGATGGAGGAAGTTCCTAATCAAGTGGAGTTCCCGGTGAGAAGTGCGAGTCCGATCGAGGAAGCCACCGATGAAGATCACGAAAGCCTGAGACTCACGGATATCGCGAGTCTTGTGGAGGCTGAGCAAGCTCGAGATCGAGCTTCCTCAGTTCTTAGTGGAAGTTCGGGAACAGGGGCTCCATATCTTTCAGATCTCGATCCATTAGACCTTGTCATTGTCAAACATGCGGCTCTCTGGCTCCTTAATCAGTCAGAACTCAAGGACAAGATCGACGCAGACGACATCTTGGAGGGAATTGAGATTAGTCGAAAGGGTAAAATATGGAAACAGTTCTTCCGCGGTGAGAAGAAACCCAAAAAGAAAGGTTCGTACCGTAATACATGCGAGCTAGGTTGACCTGGACTAGGTGTTTTTGGAGTTCCGCTTGAACTCCTCACTGAAAGAGATGGTGTGGAGACAATATTGGGCGTATCTCGTAGCGCAGTGCGAATTCCAAGCATTTTGGACGACCTTCTCAGCGCAATGAAGCAAATGGGTAAGGATTCCCGGACTGTTTCTTCTCAACTTATCCGTCACAGATGTGTCCGTTGAAGGATCTTCCGCAAAAACGGTAACTTCCGGAAAATGAGAGAGGTCATAGAAACTCTGGATCAGGGAACGGAAGCCGTCGACTTCTCGCAAGAAAGCCCTATTCAGCTCGCAGCCTTGCTGAAGAAGTTCTTTATTGACCTCCCTGATCCATTGCTCACTCATCGGCTACACTCTCTATTTCTGTCTACACTTAGTGCGTATTCCGTCGTATCGATCCAAGTAGCATTCTGACCTTGCCTAGCTGTGACAGATGCAGCGGAGAGAGCGAGACTGCTTCATCTCGCTGCGACTTTGCTACCGAAGAGTCATCGGAGCGTTATGGAAGTGCTCTTTGCATTCTTGCGATGGGTGGCTCTTTTCTCAAACATCGACTCGGCTGGGAGCAAGATGGATATCCCAAACCTCTCTACCGTCATCGCTCCCAGCATTCTCTGCTCCAAAACCCATGACCCTCAGTCAAGCTTCTCGGCAATCTCGGTTGTAACACAGATGCTTGAGGACCAAGACGCTTTCAACAGGGTCCCAGAGCAGTGTCTGTCGCTCCTTGCGGATCGCAAGGAGTTTACTAAGTGCGAGTCCTCTAAGGACCTTTTAAAGAAGTGTGCACAGCACTTCCGGAATCAAACTGGCAAGACGGGTGCACAGACGCCGATAAACTCTCCTGTCGCTGCGCACTTTACACCGGGCACTCTTCATTCGCACAAGTCGGAAGGATCGCTAGATGGTCGAGGGAGAGTGTCCCAAGATAAGAAGGCGAATCGAAACTCCAAATCTCTGGAACGCAAAGATCCTCGCGAGCGTCGCGAGAGGAGCAATACACTCCGAAAACCCAAACCCTCTCATCCGGGTCTTCCTCATGCGCCGTTCTCACTCCCCTCTCTCAACGCCTCGAGCTCACGTCTTGGAACAGAGACGTCGCTTCTCGGTTCTCTTGGTTCCCTCACACCTGGAATCAAAAGTGAGGCTCCTCCGACTTGGAAATCTTCTCATGTTCCAAGTACCATGGCCGATTCGCCTCCCGTCTCGAACGGGGTGTTATGATCGGACACTTGGTTGAGGTTTCCTAGAGTCTTTCGCGTCTGTCCCCGTCGGCTTTCCGAACTTTATCTCTTTCTTAGCTCGTTCTTCATGTACAACTTTACACGCTAAAACAGGCTTATCTATGTGCAGTTTCCTTCTGATCATTGCTATTTCGCAGCAGCGACCTCCCCACAACTAGGGCACTTTCGAAGTTCCTCGTTGCTCATCCAGTTGTCAATGAACGGTTTGAGCTGTGAGCCAAGATCAGTGACTGGGAAAACTTCTTCGCGTATCAGAGTGGGCTTGTCGTGAGCTGCTGAGCGGCAATACCACTGAAGTCGGTCTTTGCAATATTAGGGAAGGCGGACCCACATAAATGTATAGTCACTCACCAAGAGCTCCTTCAGGTCGCACACGTTCAATCACGAGTCCGATGGTGTCAGCAAACCGTACGGGATTGTGTGGCGTATTACCTAGCTTGGATATAAGTCGGAGTAAACACACATGAATCTACATACCAGGTAGTAGGAACATTTGACCCTCTTGAATATGAATGTCGCGAAATTCGTCATTATCAATCACTTTCAGCAGCATCGGTCCCTTGTACTGATAGAACCATTCCTACCAGAGCAAGATTGGGCCACTAGTAAAAATAACAAAACCCGACATACTTCAGTTTCGTTCACATGATAATCGTTTCGCTCATTTGGTCCACCGACAGCCATGACGATATGATCCTTGCCATTGTACAGGCAGAAATTGTTGACAGGAGGGCGAAGAAGATGTGAGTTTTCGGACAGCCATTTGGAAAAGTCGAGTGGTGGGAGTAGCGACATATACGTCGGTGGCGGAGATTTCCAAGATCGATAACCAAACAAGCGACCGCTTAGAAATCGCCTATGTCGTCTTCTTCGAGCCAAAATTTCGAATCACTTTCTGGTTCTGGTTCTGTTGTGCCAACATTCTTTCGTTCTGGCTCTTCTGCTGTTTCTGTAGACTCATCCTCCTCATCCTCCTCGAGCAACCGCCCCATTGAAGGCGAATTCCGGACCCATGGAATGGATGAAAATGACAAGTGATTAGGCGCATCTTGTAATGAATCTATTACTGAGATGAGTGGAGATCAGGTGAAAAGTCATTATCCGTACGCAGGCGGCTGGAATGCTTGAGGATGATCGGGAGGTGCAGGGCTGCGTTTGTCTGATTCCAAACCGATCCACGAGCAGCAAGCCAGCCTTCCATTGTAATTATGTCAAATTGAGCCTGCTGCTGCTGTTTGAAGTTGTCAAAGTATGCCGGCTTGAACATCTTCTGGTTCGCTCTAGGAACGGGTGATGGTAGAGACATAAGTGTCGACGTCGTGACTACGTGAAACTTCTCTGCAGCCACTTGGCCACGACTATCCCACTGTGTAGTGCTTAGCTGCGCATCTTGCGAGCGGCAAGGGGACTTGCCGCTTCCCCTAATGAATCAATCATGCTAAGTGCATCCATGATTCCATCACATTGATCTACATCTTCACAGAATTGTGAGTAGTTTTGGTGTATATAGAGGGAGAGCAGCGATGTATCAATTGCAGAATCGGTGTAAAGAACCTAAGCATGCAATTAGATAGCCTAGAAGATGAAATGTGGTCACTAACATCCACATCAACCTTGGAAGCTCTTCTGTCAAACTGAGAGAGATGAGCTGGTAGCGGGATGGGCGAGGGTAATAGCTTTTCGTATTCTTGCTCTAGGGCCTGATCCTTCTTACTGAGAGTGGTGGAAATAGGATCTCCGACGCCTAAAATATGTTAGACATAGACCATGACGTTGGCAATGAAGTAACGGCACACGTTTATTATATAAGATTTTCCCTAGAAGATGAAAAAGCGCCAGCGAATGTTCCCGGTTTGTTTCGATAACCAATCTAGTTTTTGAGAGGTAAGTTTTTTGCTGAATCTGATGGTTTGATGACATACGAGTTCTTGGAGTAGCGACTGTTCCCCTTTGAAGCTGCCTTGCATTGTCATGAATTGCAGAGACATTAACGCACTCCGAATGTCACCCCTCGATGTATCTACTACTGCATCGACGACATCCTTTGACGGTTTGAGTTTGGGGTTGTTGGCGAAGTGTGAATCGAGGACCCATTTGAGCCCTGTCTTCATCAATGTCGCTGCTATCGGATTGAACCTGCGGATAGTCAGAAAGGCCCTTGTTCCAATACGCTGCTTACTCGACTTGGGTTACGAATGGCCCACCTCGTAATGCAGGTGGGAGGATGTTGAATGCAGTCGGTACCGTCGATTGTCTACTGGACCATCCCTCCTCGTCTTTAGTTTGGCCTCGTATACCGGCATTACTGACAATTATGACCACCGGAATGTCGGAGGTTTCGATATGATTGATTAAAGCCGCATGGAACGCTTGCAGTGTTGGTGCATAGGACAGATTTGGAAGATCTTCTAAGAGAATGATGTGATTCTGAGAGCCTGGAATCTGCGGCTCCGACATTAATGGCGAAAAGTTGGCAGCCCGACTCATGAATGACCCAAACTTGACAGGAAATGATTCTTAAGTTCGTAAGTAGATCTGAAGACGATTCTCAATGGGATTTTTTTACCGTAATCATCGATATGTGCGTCGTCGACCTTGTTCTGCCACTCGACAACAGTAAACTTCATTTCTTTTGACAACACGTTTAGTGTGGCCGTTTTACCGCAGCCGGCAGGACCCGATAGTACTAGAATTTTCTAAACGAGGGTCAGTTCCTCTAGTCGATGGGAGACAATCAACTTGCTCGGTATCGCTTGAGATTGATGCCCTCAAATGCATCACGGAACCATATCCTCACGATGTCTACCTTTTTCTTATGAACGGCGAGCTCTTGCTAACAGAGAGTGAGGTCCAAACACCTTGTTCGACAGTTTCTTACCTCTGTTGACGGATGATAGGTGTCTGCCCAAAGAGAATCTGTTGAATGATGAATCAGTTTCAGGTCACAGAATGCCAGTTGGTGCGTTCAGACCGCTGCTTAACGCACCCTCAACTCTATTATCCTGTCGTGACGAAGACGTAGGGTGATTTGATCGTGGTGGTGGAGGTAACGGGATCAGGAACTAGAACGCAGCGTCTCATTAGAAGGGTTGAAACCTCCACAAAGATCGATTACCTTTCCTGTATTACGCGATCTGGTCCCTTGAGAAGATGGAACGACGTCTTTGACAAGTTTTTGTGCCACACTCTTGCCTTTCCGAGGGGGCATGAAGCTTGGTTGAAGCCACGAGGGGTGACCCACACGCAACCGGATCATAGCAAACCCAACTGCGCTAGGTGCAAAGAGTGTCTCAAATCGGAATCTCGATATGCTACAGGTGCTATAGAGACCAAAACGGACGAGCGGGAAGGTTCAGAGAGAAAAGTTGACTCCTTGCGCAAGCGGTGCCTCGTTCGAGGAATTGATGGTGCATGCACTCCATCGTACGTACTGCTTCCATGAGTCACCGCCTGACTCTCGTCCCCATCCTGTCCTCTTATTGCCACCAAATGCAGCACCGATTTCAGCCCCGCTGTTGCCAACGTTCACCTTTTCAATGGGTTAAATTGATCAAAAGAGCTTGTTGGTGGACTTACATTGACAATACCGCAATCACTGCCGCTTGGTCCGATGAACTTGCCTATATTCCGGATATCCTTCGTCCAGATACTGCTTGACAATCCCTGCGGTACGCTATTGTTCCACTCAATTGCTTGGTCAAGTTCATCGAAGATGGCGACATTGAGGATAGGCGCAAAGAGCTCCCTCTTCCATAGGTCGAGGTCTTGAGAAGGAGGAATGGCGATAGTAGCCTCGACGAAGTTTCCTTGGTCAAAGCCAGAAGGGTGTTTCACCTTTCCGCCGACCAGGATTTCTGCTCCCACCTCATGAAGATGCATGGCTGCCTTGTGATATGCCTTGACTGCATTCTGGTTGTGGAGCGGACCGAGTAATGTCGAAGAAACGAGAGGATCGCCGGTAGGGATCTGCGCATATGCCTTCTTCAAGGCATCCAGGAACCTTGGCGCAATTTCGCGGTGTAGGTAAAGTCTCCTTGTTGACGTACATCTTTGGCCTGCAAAGATGTGTCAGCGGAGTTGAGTAATCGTAAACGGACATACCAGCGGTACCTACCGCACCAAAGAAGACCGAAGGTACGGCGAGCGACAGGTCGGCATCAGGCATAACTATAGAAGCATTGTTTCCTCCCAACTCGAGTAGCACTTTGCCAAACCTTCCCTGAACCTTCCGGCCCACCTTTGCACCGATATGCTCACTTCCGGTGAAGGAGACTAGCGGTTGGTCAGTACAATCAAGGAATCTTTGGAAAACCTACCCATGGTGACATGTTCGCTTTCGCAGAGTGCTTCCCCAACCTCATGACCTCCAGTGATGAGAGCGGCTACCCCTCCGTCGACACCGTTTTTCTCGAGAACTTCTGCGACGATGCGCGTTACTGCGATGGAACAGAGAGGTGTACTCGGTGCTGGCTTCCATAGAGTAGCGTTACCCGCTACAAATGACAGGGCGAGATTCCTACCGGCTTTCAATAACGTTCGCGCAGGCGCAGAAATCCTACCATCCATAGACTGCGACCGGAAAGTTGAACGCAGAAATGACTGCGACTAATCCTAACGGGTTCGGTACTAAAAAAAGTATTAGCGGGCTTCTAAAGAAGGGATCTTTAAACCTTCTAGGATAGTGTGTCCAGGTCTTTCAGACGCAATCACTTGTCCATTCATCATGCGAGAGAGACCGACGGCATAGTCGCACTGGGGAATGGTCAGGATTTTATGATTAGTGCTTTAAATACTTACGATGTCAATAAACTCCTGAACCTCACCGATACCCTCGGAGAGAATCTTCCCCATCTCAAGGGAGACAAGAGCACCAAGGCTGTCTCGCTGGATGGAAAGTTGAGGACAATATCCGAGCTATTGTACGACGTACCTTTGCCGCCAAGGCTTCCCGTATCTGCCTAAGGATTTCTCCTCTCCTCGGAGCTGGCAGCATTCTAAAGGAATGAAACGCCTCTCTTGACCTCTCTATCACGCTGTGAAATTCTGCTGGGGTTGCCTGAGTTTGGTGTCAGTTATGAGTCCCGGTCGAATGCAATATGGCGTACAGTAGTCACATCTGCGAGATGTTCTCCAGTGGTAGGACACTTGCTAGCAACTACATTGCCAGTGCCTCCCCAGCCCCTGCCAGTGTAAACACCAGGAAGCACTCCACCTTGAGACTCTAGACCTAACGCGGAGAGTACATTTGAGGCTCTAGTTGATAATGCGCGTGAAAACGAGCGCGAAGAGCGTAGTGAACGGGCGAGTCTGTACATGGCGGGGATCAAGTGACAAGTCGAAAGTTGGCTTGACCCGGATCTTGTCTTGCTTTTCGCGTTCGACCATGGATTCGCTTGACTTGTTCCACATCCGTCAAAAGTATTATCTCGGTGTGTTACACAAATAGAATGCGCTAATTACTCGCGTTTATACTCGTACACAGGATCCTATCAGCCTTTGCAGGCGGCAGATTTGCCAGACAAACTATCACCAGATTACCGTCCGACGCTCCTCTTCAAAGCCCGAGCACTTGTCAAGTCAGATCCTGATGGAGCGATAGCATTGCTGCCCAAAGACGACGTGTCCTTGCCCGCGCGAAGTGTTCGCTCGCTCGCCTCGTATTTCAAAGCCTCGCAAGCAGAAGACGATGGAGCAAAAGATAAATCTCTCGATGAGCTTCGAGATCTATGCGTCGAGGTTGAAGGAGAGGAAGTTGAGGACGAAGAAAAAGGATTAGTGCGATCTATCGCTGCGGCTGCATTCGTTTACGAGGGAGAGAACGAAGAAGCATTAGAGACCCTGGAAGCGGGGACATCGACGCGCAATTTGGAAGGGTGAGTCTGATTTCCAAAGTGGCATGAAGACAATAGCTCAATTGATGGGTAGAATCGCATTGACAGTGCAGCTCTATCTATCCATGAACCGAATAGATCTCGCGCAAAAGGAATTTGAGAGGGCGAAATCGTGGGCGGAGGACGATATGCTGCTCCAATTGATCGAGGCTACTCTGAGCCTTGCATCGGGAGCAAACAGCTACGCAAACCCACATTCCTTCTACAACGAGCAAGCCCATAACCCCTCTCTCGCCTCGAGTCACCTTTTGGCCGCTAGTGGGCTCACGCACCTCCTCCGTGGAGAACACCCAGAGGCACACTCCAGCTTTGCAGAAGCACTGAGACTGAACCCAAAAGAAGGCACAGCCTTGGCTGGTAAGGCGATAGCGGAATGGCTGATGGGAGAGACCTCAAAGGCAGAAGCCTCATTTGCGTACGTGCCTCCCTTCCGTACCAGCATGACAAAATTAACGATTCTTTCAGTGAACTCGAGGAAAAGGATCCACAATATCCCATGGTGAAGGAGCTATCAGAAAAGAGCGACCTCTTCGATGCATTGGCGACTAATTATAAAGTCCCTACTCTTGCTACGGCATGAAAATTGTAAACATTTACTGGTCCCTCACGTTATCATCACTGTGACTATCGCATTTATATTTTGTCCCTGACCACTTCGACACTTGGCTTTTGACATGCCTCGTATCATACCATTTCGAATAATTGAGACTATATCACCTCCAGGAGCCAGATTTTATGGACGGCGTGCCAGGGTTCGTGTTTCTGGAAGTAATACGGAACCATTGGGAGTTCGAAAACGGGATCTCCTTCCGTCAGAGCAAGAGCAATTGAACGAAGAAGAGGCACATAAAAGATACGTCGCCGGTAGAAAGGCGGAATGGAAGCGACAACAGGATGTAAGTAAACTCTTTGCTAGGACCTCAAAGATTTACATGGAGAACAGGGAACACGATTCGTGGACCAATTGATCGTCAATATCAAAGCAGGTTAGTTTGGGTTTCGCTGATGTGTAAATGAATACTGAGTCATCGTCGTGGCTTTTACAGGCAAAGGAGGAGACGGATGTGTCGCGTTTAACCGAGAGAAATTCATGCCGTATGGCCCCCCATCAGGAGGAAATGGCGGTCGAGGCGGAGATGTTTACATTCAGGCCGTTCAGGGGCTTTCCAGCCTCGCCAATGTCCCAGCGCGAATCCGTGCAGAGAACGGCGAACACGGCAAAGGAACGTGGCAACACGGCACTGACGGGAAGCCAACCATCATTCGAGTGCCCGTTGGGACTGTCGTCAGTGAACTCCGCGGCCCTCAGTATCAAATGCCGACACCAGAAGAAATGGAGGCGCAGAGTTTACGAGATCTCGGCTTTGAAGACACAGAAGAAGGTAGAATAGAGAGAGAAAGAGCTCGGAAATGGGTCCATTATCCTACATGGGAGGACTCTAATGTGAAACGGGACGACTTTCGGGCTGCGGAAGCTGCTATTAAACGGGAGGAGATGACACAGAAACGGCTGAAAGCGATGGAGAAGAAGCGACTAGGCTCACTCTTCTTTGACCTTGATGAAGCTCATCCTCCAGGTGACAATGGACGACTCGTTGCTCGAGGCGGGCTCGGTGGCTTCGGTAACCCTTTTTTTCTCTCCGCGGAAACCCGTTCGCCAAAATGGGCAACGAGGGGCAGTCATGGAGACTGGATTACTCTCAAATTGGAACTGAAGATACTCGCGGACGTTGGTCTGGTCGGCCTGCCAAACGCTGGCAAGTCAACTCTACTACGCGCTCTCACCAATTCCAAGGCGGAAGTGGCATCTTATGCTTTCACTACGCTGAACCCACAGGTTGGGACTGTCCGAATGTGGAGCGATGGACGTGCAAGCGTCAAAGAAGGACGAGTTATCGAAGAATCTGCAGTTGAGAGGGAAAAAGAGGCACTGGCTCTTCAATCTGGAGCATATGCCTACGGAAGACCGTCAGAGGAGGCACACGCGAACATGGGAAACACAGCCCACCATAACAAAGCCCACGAAACGTTGAGGTTCAGGATTGCGGACAACCCAGGTCTTATCGAAGGCGCTGCGGAGAATCGTGGGCTAGGTCATTTTTTCCTCAAGAGTGTCGAACGAGCACCAGTGTTGGTGTATGTCGTCGACCTCTCGTCAGATGCGCCGTGGGACGACCTCAAGACTGTGAGAGACGAACTCGAGGCGTACAAGCCGGGTTTGAGTGCAAAGGCTCGAATGGTGTTGGCCAACAAGGCTGATGCGCTCGACGCCAAGACGGCAGAAGAGGTGGACGCGTCGCGAGCAAAGCTCTCGCGTTTGGAAAAGGCGGTCCACGATATGTGGGAAGCGGGTCCTAAGATTGAAGGGAGGACGCTTGATGTGGTTCCGGCCTCTGCAAAGTATACGCAGAATATGACGAAGGTCGTCCGGTTGTTGGGCACGTATGTCAAAGAAGCAAGAGAAATAGCGCGATACGATATATAGATTGCGCCCACTAGACTTGGCTCCTTGTCCTGTGCCGCTCCTTTGTAATTCTTTCGTGTGCCGGGAATAACACTATCCCTCGTCTAACCTGCGACGTGTTCAAAGACGAGCCAAGCAACGATTCCAGTGAGTCCTAGGACCATGCAGACGCTTGTAATCATAGCGAATAGCTCCGCTCTGGAAAATGCTTCAAATTCGTCGTGTGCATGCTGGCGATTTGAGCGAAGCGGTTGACGCTCTAGCAACTCGAATTCGGCACTGTGATTGTTAAAAATAAAGGGTGAGATTTGAATAATTCTGGCAGAAAATGGCTACAGACCTTGCTCTGGCCATTTGTCGGGACCTGAATGTTGGCGCGAGGTTCAAAGACGAGGATATTCACTCGCACCTTGGTTCCGGCCATGACCGCCAACGTCCTTGAACGTTTGCCGTATGATGTCCTCGATGTCGTATTCACCTTCGTGGATAATCCTACTCTGCTCAAGGTCTCCCTCGCCAACCACGAGCTGAATCGTCTATCGTCCAAGTACATCTTTGCCACCGTCGAGTTCAACTCAAGATCGGGCCGCGATCGTGGGTACGGATATTATGGAAGAAGGGACGAGAAGGATTCCGCTGTGTATGCTCTGGAACGCCGACCAGAGCTTCGAAGCGTGGTCAAGAGGGTCATAGTCAATCGTGCGTAAATTTATGCACGAGCGATCCTTCCACTGATTTATCTCTAGAGTCCAGATATTACGGTTACAAAGCTCGCGAATACATCGTGTCAGAGGAATATCTCGGCCTTTTACCTTCTCTTCCCAACCTACAGGAGATCAATTTAGCAGCTATATATGACAGGGATGAATGGAGCAGTATCCTGACCGTTATCGAAGAGCTCCCTCGACTAAAGAAATTGATCGTACCTAGTTATAATTCGCCCGCCGAACACAATCTGTCAAAAGTTCACGAGCTCGAGATCATCAACAGGTGGTCATCCGAAGAACAATGGGGTGGTTCTCAATTCGCAAAGAAAGTGCTTTCTATCCAAGATCTGCGTCTCTCGGTGTGCATTCTTGATCACTGCTATCACATTTCTCATCAGTAGTACAGAATACTCAACCAGAATTCATAAAATTACTTTCTAATCTTCAATATTTGACCTGGAGTCCGAGAAGGAGCTCATTAATCTCAATTTGTGGAGCTTTATCGTCTTTAATGCGGCTCAGAAAGCTCAAGCTGTGGGTTGGACGTGAGAATAAGGTCAGTATATATTAAGTTTGCTTGTGAATGAACTCATTTTTCTCGAAAGTCCTCATATTCTATGATCCCTTCGATAAATCTCCCTCGGCTTGTCGAGCTCGCCATAAAGTGGAGGCCACTATACGAGCAAGACGAAGGCCATGCAATGCTTAATCTCATTCAGGCCATTGCGGGGAAGTCGCAACTTCAGAAGCTAGAGGTCTCATGCACCAGACTAAATGGTCTCTGCTTCGACGGAGACAAAGTCGTAGGCCATATTATCAAGGTACACGGACCAACACTCATGAAGTTGAAAATCCCATCTTTCCATCTTTCTCTGGCTACCATGAAAATGGTTTGCATGAAGTTGCCGTCGCTTGAAGGACTTTGGATCGGAGTGAGTTCCCATATGAAGGTAGGAGTTCAAACTATAATTTTCTACCGAAGTTGACTAATAATCAGGCCGGCCTGATCTCTGCGCTTCAAAGCTCACTCTCCCTCCGATCAATCCGAATTCTCGGTGAGGGACCCTGGATATTCGCGTACGCAGACTCTTTACTCCGCCAAACATGTACTAGTCTATCCACCGTCAAAGTATATAGGGTCAGTGCACCGCAAATAGTTCACATCGATAATTGATCCATAATTAGCGAGGGCGATGGTCCAAGGAAAGCTATACGTGGGAGGTATGTGCGGGTTTGTCCGTGAGTTGAGGTGGCTGACATGGCTCAGGTTATCTGGGAATATGACTACGCTCTCGAGTGCGCTGTTCGACGTATTTACGGTCCTCTCAAAGTGCTCGTGCCAACAAAGAGAGTTCGAAACCCAGAAAATGAGGACTACGAAGATGAAGGAGACGACGCCGATATGGATGAAGAACCTCGTGACCTGACTGACGAAGCTCCTGAGAACGCCGATTGGACCACAGTAAGGCCATATGCAAGCTCAACAAATGGGGAGCAGCAAGATGGTAATCTCGACAATGATGACTGGGGTTCCACAAGAGACAGCTGGGCGGCTGAGGGTTCCACAAGGGAGAGCTGGGCGACTGAGGGTGCGCAATAAGTGCTGCAGTGGCTGAGAAAATGTTTCAGCAGCTCATGTACACATCATAGAACGGACATAATAAATCATATAGACATGGAAAATACGAGTTGAGCGCGCATGCTCATCGTTCCAAGGGCTGGAAAGGTTGCTGGTACTTTTGGGTCCCCTTCTCCCCCGAAATATGGAAACATGCAAAGTAAAATTTCCTCTACGACTCCTTCCTCGGTTTTAACCGAGAGCATCGTGCATGGAGGGGTACTTTGGTTCCGGCCATGACCGCCAACGTCCTTCAACGCTTGCCGTATGATGTCCTCGATGTCGTATTCACCTTCGTGGATAATCCTACTCTGCTCAAGATCTCCCTCGCTAGCCACGAACTGAATCGTCTATCGTCCAAGTACATCCACGCCGCTGTCGAGTTGAATCCGAGGCAGGGGAGTAAACGTGGATTCTATAAAGGTGATCAAGAGACAGATTCGGCGATCTATGCTTTGCAACGCCGACCAGAGCTTCGAAGTGCGGTCAAGAGTGCTAAGATTAACTGTACGCAACAACTTCCCAATGATCTACTTATTAAGCCATCCATATCATCCACGTACTATGACTACGAGGCCAATAAATACCTCACCCTTTTACCTCTGCTTCCTAACCTCCAGGAGATCATGTTAGCGACTATATATGATCAAAATGAAGGAGAAAACATCCTCGATGCGATTGAAAGGCTGCCTCGACTGAGGAGATTAATCCTGTCTCCCTATGTTTCGCTTGGCGAACACAATCTACCAAATGTCTACGAATTCAAAATCATTACCAATCGTTCACGTAACGCAGGATGGAATAGACCCCAGGTTTCAAAGCGAGTGTTTTCCATTCAACACCGTCGCTCGGTGTGCACTGTTGCTTGATCCCAATTATCACACTCTCATCAGTGGTCCAGAGTACTCGAGCAGAATCTATACCTTCATTTTCAAACCTACAAGAGTTAACCTGGAATCCGCACACCGACTCGCTCGTATCAATATGTAGCGGGTTATCAACTTTGGCGTAGCTCAAAAGGCTCAAAATTCGGGTTGGCCCTAAGAACAAAGTCGTTAACCACTTGATTTACCCGATGAACAAACTAATTCCTTTTAAAAGCGCCCAGATTCCATGATCCCTTCGACAGGTCTACCTCACCTTGTCGAGCTCGCCATCAAGTGGAGGCCACTTAACCACCAAGACGAAAGCCACCTAATGTTGAATTGACTCCAGGCTATTGCCGGAAATTCGCGGCTTGAGAAGCTTGAGGTCACATGCACGAGGCGAGATGGCCCCTACTTCAACGGAGACAGAATTGTAGGACATATCATCAAGGTCCATGGACCAACATTCGTGAAACTGAAAATTCCATCTTTTCATCTCTCACTGGTTTCAATGAAATTGGTATGCATGAAATTGCCGCGGCTTGCGGGACTTTGGATCAGAATGGCTTCCCATATGGAGGTCAGAGTTCACATATTGAGTGTCTTTACCGAGGGTGACTAGCAATCAGGCTGGACTGAGTTCTGCGCTCCAAACTCTCACTCTCTCCGATCGATTCGAATCCTTGGAGAGGACCCTAGGTATTTGCATATGCAGACTCTCTACTGCGTCAAACCTGGACCGGTTTATCAATTATCAAAGTCCACAAGATTGGTCCGCCCGCAATATGACAAACCAATCATTAAATCACAGCGAAATCGCGAGACGAAGGAAAACCATAAGTGGGAGGCATGTGAACCAAATTTCTCAAGGGACGATACTAACGGGAAATAGGTTGTCTCGGAGTACGACTACACTCTCAATTGTGCCGTTCGACGTGTCTCCGGGCCACTCAAAGTGCTCGTTCCAGTAAAGGAAGCATCTATTACCAGATATTACGACTAAAGGGTTCGATATACGAAGTTTTCGTATGCTAAATTCTGAGGATAGTGATCGGACTATGGTATCAGTTCAGTTGGGCCCTGGAAACCCGAATTCCAGGCGGTGGATTTGCACTGTGGCGAAAGGGTTCAACTAGATGTATTCACAGTTGGGACGACAGAAATCATTGATATAAGAAAAGGCAGTGATGGACGAGTAACTCACCGGGTTAAAATGAAGGGAAGGATCCAGTGCTTTGTCTCCTCTAACCTCCCAGGTAATAAAATTATAGAGTACCGTCTCGCTTCACACCCCAGTCCTCCGTCGATAAGTTCCACGTGGTGCAAAGACACGGACATCCAATCGCACACTGGACCCGGCCATGACGATTAACCTCTTTCAACGCCTGCCGTACGATGTTCTCGACGTTGTATTGTCATTTTGGACAGAGGCACCCTCCTTGAGGTTGCACTCGGCAACCATGAGCTGAATCGTCTGTCGTCAAAGTACATCTACGCCGCCGTCGAGTTCCACGCAAAGGAGACCCGTAAATATAGGCATCGTAGAATGGGCGACGGCAGAGATCCAATTCTATGTGCTCTGGATCGTCGTCCACAGCTTCGACGAGCGGTCAAGAGCGCTACGATCAACTGTAAGCAATGATGCCTGAACCATCTACTTACTGACCTATCTATAGTGGCAGGTACTCTCGATAATTGGACCGGCGAATACATCGTGAATGAGGAATGCATCGACATCTTACCTCTGCATCCCAACCTTGAAGAGATCAAGATAGGAATAATATACAATCCAGTTGGATGGGAGAAGATTCTCACCGCGATAGAAGGGCTCTCTCGGCTGAGGAGACTGATTGTGAACAGCTCTCTCTCGCCTGGCGAACATAGCCTATCAATAGTGAGGGAATTCGAAGTTCACAACGGCTATTCTTCCAATGATATGTGGCGAAAGCCTCGATTTGCAAGACGAATACACTCCTTTCAAGACCTTGGCCGCTCGGTACGCATCCTGGGCCGCAAGGTTTGCATGGCTCATTGGTGGCACAGCGCACTCAAGCGGATTCTATGCCTTTGTTTTCAAACCTTCAGGAACTGACCTGGAGCCCGGATTTAGATTCGCTACTATCAATCTGTGAAGGTTTATCGTCTTTGACACGCCTCAGAAGATTAAAACTTTGGACTGGGCGTCAAAACAAGGTTCGTGTATGTACGTGAATGACATATTAAAGGACTCAATTATTTCTCTCAAGACCTTAGGCTCCACATTCCCTTCGACAAATCTAACTCAGCTCGTTGAGCTCGCCATTAGGTGGAGCCCATTCAACGAGCAGGACGAAGACTGCACAATACTCAACTTAATACAGGCAATTGCCGGTAAATCACGACTCGAGAAGCTGGAATTCAGGTGCACGACGCGAAAGGGTACTCACTTCAACGGTGACAAAATCATGGGTCACATTAACAAAGTGCATGGGCCAACACTCGTTAAACTTAAAATTCCATCTTTTCATATTTCTCTTGCTACAATTAAGAGACTTTGCACAAAATCACCCCACCTTCAAGGTCTTTGGCTGGGACTCACCCCTTCTATGAAGGTAGGCTTTGAACATCAGGATTGATTAAGGTGACAAGTGGCTAGACGGGACTTACCTCTGCACTCCAAAACTCGTGCTCCCTTCGATCAATTCGCATCTTCGGCCAGGGTCCCTGGATGTTTTCGTATGCGGACGCCTTGATGCGTCAAACGTGTACCAGTCTATCTGCCGTCAAAGTTTTCAGGAAAAGCTTCGAGGTCGGTATGGTGCAATGTACCAAGACAATCATTAACTCATGTTAGCGAGGACGCTGGTCGAACGAAAAGTACAAATGGGAGGTAGGCACAACTACTTCCCTCAGAAGAGACACTGACGAGATTTAGGTTGTCTGGGAATATGATTATACTCTCGAGTGCGCGGTTCGGCGTGTCTGTGGGCCGCTCAAAGTGCTCGTGCCGGCGAGGAGAGTTCGGGTTCCAGCAGCAGCAGGGGACGAAGATCAAGACGACGACTATGATGACGGTGAATACGTAGATCAAGACGACGATATGGACGAAGACGATCTGGAGGAATAGCTCCGGGACTTGGACGCCGAGGCAAATGAGAATGCTGATTGAAACATGACATGCCTAGGGTCATCTCCACGAATAGGTCATATTGAGACGACAATCTCGAGGGTGATGACCGAGGATCCCAAGAGTTCTACATCGCTCAATCCTAGCGGTGAAATAACGTGTAGTACGTGTGACTGGCAGAGTGTTTCAACCGCTCGATGTACGACATGATTAAAAGGACAAGAATGATTGGTATAGACATGTGAAATACAAAACCTAGTGATGCATATCCAAGAGAAACTCGTCTTCATCATGCGGGGAAAGCCCCTGGCACTTGTTGCCTCCTTCTTTCCGGGTGATGGAAGTAAGTAGAGTGTCGTCTCGTTCGTGGCTCCGTTCCTTGGTCTTCCGCAGCAGCCTGGTCATTCGTAGATGCATTTCCACTTCGATCATCGGGTGTATCCGTCTCGCCAGAGACCTCTCCATAATCTGAGTCGCTTTCATTCTCATTGCCATTCTCCATTCGATCAAAGAAGACTTCGCCATCTGGGAGCGTGATGATACCCGTCGCGGGATCAAAGCTCAGCCGATGCGACGCTTGACGAGTAGTCGGTTGTAGATTTTCGCTTGATGCCGCGACCGTTTGTGCATTGGAATCACCACCTGTCCCCGTGCCATCGGCATGCGACTCGGAAGCTGGTTGATTCTTGCTGGAGAGGCCAAAGGCGGCCTGCCCTCGTTTGCGAACGGCGCTGTAGCGGCGTCGGAGCGTGAGCACGACAGTGTTTCCATCGCTGGCCTTAGCGGAGTCGCGATCGACATAGTTTGCAAGAGTTTGATCCTTTTTCAGTGGAAGCCATGGCGTCGGGAGCACTCCTGTCAGTGCCGGATGTCCATATCGACGCTTCCCTGTGCTGGAAAGGTGTGAGATCGACATATGTGACAAGACAAAAACTTACTTCAAAACGCCGTGATACCAGTTGGTCATTGGTGGTTGCGACTGTATGGTCGTTAGATGAATCACAAGAGGCGCATAGGGTTACATACATAGTCTGTACGCTCATCTTCTGGGGCGACGTAGAGCGTCTCATCGTTTTGCGCATATCTTCTGCGATTGAGGTTGCTGTACAGAGTGTTAGGGACGGTATTTGTGGGTATCACTAGAAACACGGACCTTTGAGAGAGAGATACCGTGCCTGCTCCAGCTCTCAAGCGCGCGACATCGTCTGAGTCTTCTCCTCGTTGCACCTCAAACACGGAACTCAAGCTCACGAATTTGCTCAAGCCCATGAAATGATGCCATGTTGTCCAACCCCACCAAATTGTAAAGGCGATAAGGGGTGCCATAATGGCAGAGAGTGTGAAGAACTGTTCCAGAGTGAAGATGCCAGTCATGAGAACTTGAAAGATGACGACACCCCAGATGAGCCGCACGAATGTGATCGGCCACGCTTGGCCATGCGACTCGTAGGGTTTATAGAATACTAAAAACCGTCAGAAGTAAGTCTGGATACTGGGAATAGGACAGACCAAAGAGGAGTTTGTACTTGTAGACCACGTATCCGATACCGAAATAAAGAGCGCCAAATACCATGATTTGCGGCTGAATGACGCTGTACACGATGGTGATGACAAAGACGAGGATCGCTTGTGGATAGACGGCTCCGTAATTGATCATAGGCGGCGCGTTCAGTTCCGCAAAGTCTAAAAGGCTTTAGAACTGTGCAGTGACAAGGGAAACGATAATACCTCGTGGCGTGCGCGTGAAGAAGGCGATGAAGATAAACCGCGGAATAACGATACCCAGGTTGAGCAGCTGCAGCGGCATAACACCCAAAGCTAATAAGGATGAGCATCCGATCTGATAGAGCAAGACAGCCGCTGTACACACCTTGAAGAATGACATAACTCATGAAGAAGCTGCGTGCGCGACCCATACTGAGCGCAGCCGCTAGCTTTGTTGGAATCTTGGCTGGAGAGTTTGCGAGATCGCGAACAAGTTGCCAATAGGTCGAGGCCAACAAAAAGATGAAAACAACGTTGATAAGCAGGAACAAGAAATATCTGTCTAACAGTCAGTAGTATAGCGTCAGAGAACGATATACAGACTTTTTCATCAACGAATACTCGATCCAACTGCGCGCTTGCAAGCCCTGAACGTAGGAAAGCCCTAATATCAAAGTGTAAGAAGGCAGGTGCAAATTCGAGAGGCGTACGCACCCTCCAATAAGAATGGCAACGCAGCGTTCAAGCCTGTCATGGCCACACTAGGAAGAGAGTTTTGAACCAGGGCTTGGACAGTTGCATTCTTGTCAATCAGTGCTGCCAACCACGGCAATGTCTTCTTGATTTCCTTGTAACTGAGGAATCCAGCAAGGGTGGTGACGGGAACGGCCCAGAAGAAGAACAAGAGAACCATGATTGCCATTACAATCAATTCTCTGACTTGGCGATTACGAGGTGAAAACGTCATGTTGGACCAAACGACGTCGCGTGGCTCTGGAGCCAGGACGGTTTTGGACTGAGCTTGATGAGGCGCATGTACGACTTGTGACGCGATTTGCTAATAGAAATCTTTCAGGGTCGCCTTTCGTCAATTGTAACTAGTGCTTACCGCGCTAGACATCTTCTCAAAGGTGACAAACGCCGTCGAGGTAGCCTTGAACCTACCAGCTTTGCGCTTCTTCTTGACTTGTTCGTTGAGATCTTCATATTCCTTTTGATAATACTCCAGTGCATCCACTTTGCGCTTGAACCAACCCGGTCGAACAAGTGGTCGTGAACGATGTGGCACAACGACGCGAGCTGGCTGGCTCTCCATTGCATTGGAGTCACTCAAATCAATGAGCGGTGCGTGATCTACCCGTACATTCTGCGAGGGGTCGTACGTCTCCACTGTACTCGGATTGCCAACGTATTTCGTCCATTCCCATTCCAAGTTGAGCAAGGCTTCTGTCCGTCTATCGATAAGCTTGTTCAGCGTCTCTGCGTGTCTGACCAAGTTGACGCTCTCGACGGCGAGACCCATGTTCTCAAAGTAGACGGCCAATGCGCGTTCGCCTTGAAGATGTGAGGGGAGATCAGTGACCATGACTGTTCTTGCGGCGATAGAATGCACGAGCTCGAGGGAGTAGAGCTGCCGAACTCGGACGAATTGTCGGTAATTGCGATAGAGGGACCGCAGCACGAGGCCAGTAAAGATGTAGGTGAACAAGAGTTGGGCTGCTCGGAACGAGTTGGAAGCATTGATAAGGTCGGACCAGTCTGGATCTTTATCTGGGTTATTAGGATTGGTGCCATTGAAAAACATTCGGAGTTGGTCGTCGCCTCCTGAAGGTGGTTCATCTCCTGGGTCTCCGTCGTCCGAGTGCATCTATGAGAGCGAATAAGCTGGACTCGGCTGTCTTCTGAACTTGCTTACGTAGATGTTCAACGGTAGGATTACGAGCAGAGCAAAAATAGACGTAAAGGAGAAGAGGAGAAAGGCCATTTTGAAAAAGGTAAGAAGCTAGTGTTTCGAGATTAGCCAAATGTAAGATTTCGTAAGCTGTAGGGCGTACGACAGCGGCGTCCAACCCGACAATCTGCAGAATGACGAGTTCGGGTGTTCTGATAGTGGGCAGAATCCATGAGAAGAATGTGTTATGCAAATGCGCGTCATGCGGCGAGAATCCTGTTCATATCCCTCGTCAGCGTTTTTATCGCGCATACTGCATGATGCAAGCACCCGACCTTTGAGCTTTGTCCGGGGTGCAAAGAGGACTGGCCAACGCGTCCGGCAGTATGAAAACAAGAGGAATGAGACAATTCCAATCGACGCTGAGAGTACGAGTTGCGTTCTGAGCCAGGGACCCGAGTATTTGATTGTTGGAGGTGAGCCAGGAGGAGCGGCGGGCGTGTCAATGTCGAACGAGGACAGCTCTCTCATGAGGACTGCATTTGTGTACAATGTCCAGTACGACTCCATCGCGCAGTAGCGACGTATCGAGTCTAAGTGCCGTGTCTGCAGAGTCCAAGCACCTTTACCACAGTCGGGTACTCTATGTCAATTCTTTATAAGCAGTCTCCAAAGAATACAACCAGTCGTGAGATTCATATCATATATCCCAAAGTTAAACCTCCTTTTCTGCCTCTTCTTCACTCTGCTCATCTCGCCTTCCTCTCGGTTTTCTATCCACAAAGTTTGCAATCCCAAGGATTGTACCAGTGCAGCAAATGGTCATCAACAGCACGGCGACGATAACTCCTGGACCCAGAACTGCCGTTCCAACTGCTCCAGCACGTGTCGCCGCCAGCACACCTATTACATGGTGACCGTACTTTCTTAAAAGAGCGCTTCCAATCGCTCCAGCTGCCGCTCCCCAGCCCACGATGAGTCCTAGCATCGCTATGAACGAGATGAGAATGTTGCACGGGTTCAGACCACATAGACCCTCTCTGATCTTGCCGTCTTTCATCGCAGAGTCGAGTCCGAATAGCCACGACGCGAGTTGCATGGTGAGAGTGATGGGGATGCCTACAAAGGCGCCGCCAACAGCTCCGATGGCGGCAGAGGAGCGTACGCTGTACTCGACATATTCTGGGATGTGTGCGGTGCGTAGGATTACATGCCCGGCGCAGAGAACCGTTAGATACGTGCCCGCTGATGATCCACTCGTGAATATAATCTTTGCCAGCAATGCACAGACTTTAGCAGCTACCACACACTCAGAGAAAGCTCGGAGAGACGCATTGAGACGGGAAGAACTCACCCATAATCGTATAAACGTCGAGGGCGGTCGGGAAGAGTTGTTGTTCGGGCAGGGGAGACTGAAGGTTGAGCTTTATGGTTTACAAATCGCAGATTAAGACGGCCGAGGCAATGCCTCGAACTGAATCTCGATTGCAACTGACAGTTTTGAGAGTCAGGCGGACAAAGCACAGATGGGCGTCCGAAGCGCTGGCCTATGGAAACCTTGGGCATTTCAATCTGAGATGGACCATGATACGACTAACCGAATATCGTTTTGGATGGTTTACTGGTCGCCAGGTCTGCAGAGAGTGTCCTTTTGCCCTTCTAGGGGCTGAGCTTGCATACCCACATCGTTCTTGACAATCCTAGGAGAATATCCGGCAATATTCGATTGTATACAGCCAAGCAAAGCTGCTGGTTGTGACTCTGCCTCGTTCATCCCAAGCCGGACCTGCGAACCATGCATTGTAGACTCAGAATGCACTAGAGCCCCAAAGTTTGTTGGTTTCCGACATTATTATGGCAAGCCTGCACCAAATGAGCTCGGTTCTCGGTAGGCACCCCTGGTACTCTCGTTTTGAGGGTATGACGGTCATTCGCATAGTCTTGAAGAGTCGACGCATCAAAATCCAGTCCAAAGTATCAATCATCTGCCTGGAATGGATATACGGCTTGCTGGGTTGCAGATAAGGTCACACCATCAGCCCGAACTTCCTCTGACGCAGAGAAGGCCTCCAGTAGTGTGTTGATCTCGTCAATGGTACCATGTTTTCTTTGTAATTTGACGTCTTGGGCTACGCGGCATCGCCTACTTAGATGTGGTAGAAAGACAACGGCAAGCCACAACGAGAGACAAAGCTAAACCCAGTCCTTCCTAGGCGATTCGATAAGGACGAGGTATGAGTCTTCAAATTTGTACCTGTATAGATTCCGACGAGAAGACGCTCGCATACATGCAAGCAGGAGCACCGAGGTTTTTGGGAAACCTCTGAGGTGACTATGACGACACTTCTAAGGCCAGTTCTATATGTTTCAGCTGCAGGAATCGACTCTTATTGTACCAAATGGATCACTCTTTACGCCGTCATCAATCCACCCTCTGGTCACTCGTATCATTGCACAAGTTAAGGAGTGTGTCCTATGATCACCATAGAACCCAGTTTTACAACAAATCGGTCTATTGTATTTCTCAAGCCATCAGCTGACACCCACCTCTTCTTGACCCTACATCTCTAGTATCGACAACGAAATGTATCTCCGCTTGGGAAAGGCGACCAATGACATATCTTCTGCTACAATTGGATCCACCAGAAGTCAATAAAGATCCTCTCCGGGGCCGAGCAGTGCAACTATCCGAAATCACTTACTGGTTCCGAACCAGGAGCGGTCTCCGCGGTTCAGGAAAGTTATCTATAGGATACTTTGTTCTCGCTATTACAAATTTCGAGTGCATAGAATTCAATCTATCTCGTTCCTCTTTGAAGCAGCGTTGGAGTTTCACTCAGACGTGATTACCACACTAGTCTACAGTTCCTATGGTTCTCCTAACCACTTGTACTCTTATGTCTGTAGAAAATACGGTGTACCGGTACTTTCTAGGCTTGGACCACTCCACAATTCAGCTCGGCTGACTTTGAACCGAAGAGATGTCCCGAGTCAAAACAAAAGTTCATAAAGGTGCATACTCTTCTCATATTCGTTCGCGAGGAGTAGTGAGTGACTTGACTGTCTGACTCTCGCCTCTAAACTGGACAGTCAAGCAGCAAAAAGCCGGACTCAATGACGAAAATGATCAATCCAGAATGCTTGCACACGATATGAGTGAAGAAGAAGCCACTCCATCGGATGAAGGTAAACACGCCCAAATTTTTGAGCGGCACTCAACCACCCGACTAGATATGCTTAGCGGCGAGGAAGAAGATGAAGATAGGGTAATGTCAGATGAAGAATTAGCCGAGAAAAAGCCCTCTCTTCATTCCGTTCGTGACCTGCCATCCGCTCAGGAGCTACGGGCGATATTTGAATCGAGTGAGCTCTTTCGAACAAACGCATTCAAGCTTCAGGAAAGTAATCAAACCATATTCGTGAACTTTACTAATATACTCACCATTAGATTGAGAACCTTCTTACCGCGGTGACCCCTAAACGATCAAAGTCTGCCAGAGAACATCTCGACGGGTTTCTGTTGCAACTGTACGAGCGCCTTCAGGACTCAAACTCACCATCATTTCTTTCGGACAAGCCACAAAGTCCTGTGGAGGTCGCGAAGCAGTTACAACCAAAAGGCGTAGAGGTCCCCTTTCCCTCACCGGCCCCGACGGTGGATACCAAATGGACCTTCCAATTCCAACCTCCTGAGTCCATCACACTGGTCGGCAGTTGGGCACTAAATACAAGTGTCAAAGAACGGGACGAGATACCTTATGGTGTAGATCTGGCGGTGGCATTGCCTCAGGTGAGAGCTTGTCTATGTCTTGTTACCTTACTAAGCGCAGTAGAACCTATTGCAAGAGAAGGACTATCTTAATGATCGGGTTTTCCACAAAAGGGCACTCTATTTGGCCTGCATAGTGGCAAAGGTAGTGCAGAACTTCGAAGTGGACGTGCACTACAGTTTCCCTTTGGGTGATGTGCGGCGTGCCGTGGCTGTCATCTCGTCGCGCAAAGGTGAGGGACCTTGCATTTCCCAGTCCACGCCTCATTCAATTACCAGATAGTTCTGTGGATTGGTCAAAGCTTAACGCCGATATTCGTATCATTCTGGTTCTGCCTTCCAACTGCCCTATACCTCCAGCTAGACTATCGCCGTCTAGTTCCAATCTACGGGTAGCCGACAGTAACGCATCGACATCAAACCTCCCGACTCCCCATTATAACAACCTACTCGCCCACTTGTTGTTGAGCACTCGGCATTTGGTTACGATGCATCAATTTGAACAGAGTATTCCGCAATTTGCGAGTGCCGTGCGACTTTTGAGAGTCTGGGCGAACCAGCGAGGGTTTGGAAAAGGAACGAAGAGCTGTGTACGCGGCTTCGAAGACCTGGGAGAGTGGTGGGGATGTATCATCGGATTGCTGGTGGAGGGCGAAGAAAGACCTCCATCGAGAGCAGGCTCAAAAATTTCGAGAAAAAAACGACGTACACTGGGAAGAGAGCTAAGCTCTTATCAACTCTTGCGAGGGACGCTCGACTTTCTTGGTGAGTACAATTCACAGCAGTTTGTTGTAATCTAAAACTTGGCTCTCAGCCCACCAGGACTTTGTGAATGAACCTGTTTTCATGAAGCGGGAAGACTCCGCGACCAAAATCGACATTGAACAGTGGCTTTCAACTGGGGGCCCTTTATTCATCGATTCCAGCGGTACATACAACTATCTTGAAGCCGTTCCGCCTGGTTCACTTGATCTGGTATGCTCCATTGTTTCAGTTCAAGCACTGGAGCCTGATGCATTCTGTAGCTACGAATAGAAGCTGCGCAGACACTCAAAGTATTGGAAAATAGTTCAGAGGATGCCTTCTCACCCTTATTTCTACGAGAATTACGGGACGCTCAGGCCAGATTCGATGTAGTTCTCAGGTGTGTCTGTTACTGTAATTTCTTGGGGTCATTGACAGTGCATACCAGAGTCAATATAGAAGGGGTGCAATCTCGAAGCGAATCAAAGATAAACATACTGGATAATGGTTCTTATTCCAGCTCAGCCTTCTCCCAGATCGATCGAATCCTTCGCAAGGCACTTGGAGATCGAATCCGAGCACTTGCAATCCTTCACCCAACCTCCAGCCGACAAAGCATTGCCACTTCGCATCCTTTCCCTGTACCGACGTTTGAGATTGGAATGATCCTGAACCCTCAACACGCATTTCGATTGATTGACCGAGGTCCCAAGATCGACGAGGACCAAGAAGCCATCGCAGACTTTCGTGCTCTTTGGGGTCAGAAGGCGGAATTGAGGAGGTTCGCCGACAGTGCCATCGTGGAGTGTGTTGCTTGGGAGGTGGAAATGCCTCATGAACGAGCGTACATCCCGGGTCGTATTGCGAAACATATCCTCGCAAGACACTTCAACCTTGAAAAGGTGCTGGATCTACAACCTTCATACGTCGAGAGAATTCTCCCCCACCCTGCCTCGCCGATGGTGCGGTATTCATCAGTCGAGAAAGGAGGAGGGTTCAAAGCCGCAATGCAGGCGTTTGAAGAGGTAGTGCGGCATATCAAGGCGATGGACCTTCCTCTCTCACTGGTAGCATGCTTGCCTAGCGCCGCGGGCTTGCGTTATGCCAGTGAGCTGTCACCGACCCCAATCCCCTTGACAAGAATACCGTTTTTACCGGAGTGCGCCTCCTATATCGAGGTGTATGATGCGATTTTACAATTCGAAAAGTCGGGGCGATGGCCAGACGACCTGGGCGCGATCCAGAAGGTGAAACTTGCATGGTTTGAAAATGTTGCAAGAGAGCTCCTGGGGCGAATGCCAGGGCTGCGTGGTGGGAGTAGCGATGGATTCAGCCGCATCCCCTTGGGAAGATGGTGCAGCTCTGGAGCTCGCACTCCCCTCTGGCTTTGCATTTCGCCTGAGGATATACCATGACCGTGAACGGACACTATCAGAGAAAGTTATCTCGGACGAGACCGCCCAACCCTTTGAAAGAGCGGATGCCGAGAGGGCGCTTCATACTCACTTGGAGAGGTTCATCCATCGGCCTTCTCATCATGCAGCAATCATGAATATGCACCATCGACATGTTGGGTTTTCCCCAACACTACGACTCTTCAAGCGATGGATATCATCTCATTATCTCTCCAATTTAATTCCTTCTGAACTCGTTGAACTGGTTTGTTCGTACGTGTTCCTTCGACCTGATCCACAGTTGGCACCACACACGGGAGCGACTGGATTCGCCCGAGCTCTAGGGTTCCTCAGTATATGGGACTGGAGAAGAGAAGCATTAATCATACCTCTGGATTCGATAGCCGGTGTCGAGGAATCGGGTACTGGATATTTTCCTGCCGCCCAGCTGCTTGTAGCAGAGACGGCCTTCAAAGAACGGAGGACCCAGGACCCTGGCCTTAGCACTGGTGCATGGCACGTTGCCACCGATAAGGATCCAAAAGGTGTATTCTGGTGTCTTAATGGACGGGGTGTCAGTGCAATGGTAGCCGACAGAATTACGATACTTGCAAAAGCATGCTGGAAACTTATACAAGAGGGGGGATGTCAGTCACCAGCTGCGGTCAAGGTAATTCGTTTATAATACTGTTATATGACCCTCTAATCCGCTTGCAGTCCTTGTTCACGCACCCGCTGACTGATTATGATTTCCTGATACGCTTGGATCCGAGTCGCCTTCCTCGATATGCGCACAATATTTTTGCGGACGCATCTCTTTGGCAACTAAACCACACAAACGTTCAATCTAGTGGTCTGAATGACGGCTTCATGATCGGATTTGACCCCGCCTGCGAGCTAGTGGACGATCTCCAGGTAGGGCCTTTGGATACTGCCGAATGTTGCTTATCACCTTCCTAGCGGGTGTATGGCGATACTATCGTCTTCTTCTATGACCGCCTTGGAGGAACAACTATCGCCGGATCATGGAACCCGTTGCTTCTGAAGGCCAGGACATTCAGGGCGTTACTAGGCTACTCAACGCGGGTCGAAGGTTCATCAAAAGTAGGTTTTATTTGATATAAATAGGGAAAGAGGCTCAATCCTTTAGAAAGCACAAGTGGTCCTCAACGTTGATGGAGTCCTCGCAGAAATTGCTCGTATGGGGCAGGGCTTGATCAAAGAGGTTATTAAACAAACCCGATAATGTGCTTGTATGGAAGTGGTGACATAGATCACATTATATGCGCTCGATAGTCTACAACACAGTGAACAATGGTTCTTATTGGCGACTATCCTTGACCGCGGGAATCGCCCCCGGAACCGCGGGTTCAGGACTGGTCTTGAAGCCAGAAAGTCGTGCTAGAGTGGAGGCGAGTGAGGAATAGATGGAACTATGCGGCGCCGGGTGGATTGATTCAACAACATGCCTATACACAAGCCCTGAGACTGGCGAGATGTAGTACGTTGAAGATCTGTGAAACGATCAGCTGAAGATAAATAAAAGACAATGCCGCCACTCACACGTCCCATTCGGCTGCAGAACCACCCATCCTACTCGTGCCTAGTACGCCGATTCCAAGCGTGAATCTACGGTCGCGGTGGCCGACCTTGGTCTCCTGTAGTCGTCGCAGTTCCACGGATAAATTTGTGTAAAACATGTTGAGAGTGTGCCGGACAAACATACTCGACGCGTGGTACATCGGCAGTCCTTCAATCTGAAGTGTTGGCGGAAACGGGGGTAGTCTTGTGGGTGGTGTGTATAACAACTGTATCCGAGGAGAATAGATAGACTCGCTGCCGTCATCTTCCGTCGTACGCTCAACCAGTCCGAGCTTGAAAAAGTCTGGCATCGTTTCTCGAATGACGGAAATGGCGCGACCTGGATCGTGAGTGTATAAATAGGCATATTTTAGATTGGCGAACCTGCTCTAAGTTCCCATTCGGTATCTGAGACCTCTTTCAGGTCGTGTTCTTTCGATAAATGCGGTTCTGGTGCGGAGCCAAGGCGGGAGCTCGGTCTGAACCCTCTGTTTGGTGCAATATGAATCCCTCTAACTCTTTTGAATGCCGCTCTAAAGTTCCCGTATGTACTTCGGTTCATCTTGTGGTCATTATGAGGTGATGGTGGGTGGCAGGAAGCTTAGCTTGATTGCTCCTCAAACTCGACAATGGTACTCCGTCGAAACCGTTCCAAGCGGTGCGATGAAACTAATAATGCTTACTATAGGAAGTTGAACCTCTTCAAGATGGTCTCCCGGACCGTTACGCGTTTGAATCTGACGACTCGGAGGATGATGTTGCGGCAAACACATATCCAGGCGTGACGAAGCGAACTGCGAGAGTTAAACCAGCTCCAGTCATTGAAATTACGTGGAAAACAGAGCAGAGACAGCTCGCAAGCGACCAGGCTTGCGTGGCCATAGGACAAGGAGGTCTCTTCTGGGTTGCAGGACTCGAGCTAGGAGACATTTTAGTGTGTTTGAATGTTGACGGAGATACAGTGAGTAGGTAACTATAGTGAACTGGTCTAATAAGCGGTCAGGTCGTCGACATCTACGAAACCCAAGGGGTTGTATTGGCCGTGGTTCGTTTCGAGCTTCCTATCGATGTCATGCATGGTGTCGCATCATGTCTTCTATCGTTTATTTGTCCCAAGAGGTATGTCCGACGCAATCTCGACGTGTACTCATCCTGTACCAGGATGAGCGTTATCGATGTGTACTCGGCTCCAGCGTACATATCAGCCAAATCTCGAGGTGATACCGATCTACCAATTCGGTTCCTGCAGACATCGACGTCTACGTTCAAGCACGCTGAGCTTCGACCATTCAACCCTCCGAATCTAATCCTTTCGACGTCAGCTGCGCTGATGAACCTTCTGGAGACACAAGGAGACACACCTGGAGTGCTTCTACTGTTGCCGGTGCCATACATCGAACGCTCACCACCGAAGCGGGCCGAACCCACCAATATTTCCGTCTCTTGGACAACAGATCAAATGAAGAGACTGTGTGAAGCAATCAACTCTCCACTGCGCTGGGATGGTCAGAGAGCACAAAAGACAGGAAGCAAGACGACAGTCAGGGCCGCAAGACGCAAGGATTCGGATGTCTACGACATGCAGATGTACATATAGCAAGTGACTGGCCGGCCGAAATCTCGCTAGTGATATCACCTTTTGACAGTGAAAATAAATGTCCCACGTCACTTACAAATGAACTCTAGCCTAAATGCCATTTAGAAAGTTTACCAGTCTTCAAGTCTGAATTTTTCCGTATGCTCGGTAATAGCACCCACGTATGTCATTAACTCAATAACTTAAGTGTTTTCAATCACAGGTAACATTCAATTTAATAGCACTGGGTTTACTGAATGTTTCGCTGATGAACATGCGCTGCGGACTCAGTATAGGATTGTCCAGCTGTCCCAGCAATTACGCTAGCAAGCCAGAACAATCAATTACTATTGGACTGTTTCCGTCAGCCCAGAGCAGTAGCTTCGTCTTACTGAAGGTCCAGTGATTCATCAAGGAGAGGTATGGCTGTAAATTATAGGGAACGGGTAGGACCTTTCCACGCGGGAAAGCAGAGCAGATCCAGCCCGATTGGTAGGTGAGGAATGAATGCGGGTAGTTGGAGAGAGAGAGAGGGACAGTATCTCCCACGTAAGGTTTGAGGGTAGACTCTTCTACTGTCCAGATCAAGGAACCGTAAACCATGAATCTCTTATCGAGAGAGAAGCCCAACCTCCATCTTCTTCCAGAGGATGGAATACTCTGATGGCGGACAGTATATAGGTGAATGATCTCGGAAGGGCGGAGTTGCCATACCTCGATTTCCGACATATTAATAGCCACAACTAAGTCTGACTGGGGGATGAAGGCTGTCGCAAGCGGGGTTATCTGCTCCTGAATAGTCATCTCGTGGCTATCTCTTAACCTGCAAATATATAGCCTCTCGAATTGTCCGTGCGAATGTCGACCAAATATATGTGTAGCGTCTGGTGACAAAGAGACTACAAACCAGCTGCCGCAATTGGACTCCCAGACAAGCTTCCCTGTACGATATTCCCATATTTGGATACAATCACCGCGCGTCAATCCAAGAAATTCCCCGCATTGCGAGAAGAAAATCCCACAGGAGCGACTCGGGAAATGCTCCTTTTCTAGTACTTTGGAAAGCTGTTGATATGTCTTGAGACTATAAAACGTAGTCGGTCCCTTATAGAAGTAGCACACGAGTTCTGTGTTGTCTGGGGATACGCTCATGTCCACCAAATCCTCTCTACATGGGCCGAGTCTGGCCATATTCCTCGCTGAACCGCTGTTTGTGTCCCACAGAGTTAGCCAATGCTCTTGGTCAGTCTGATACAGAGCAATGAAGACATTATCATCTGGAGCAAAGGTCCCTCGGCCAGAGAATGTCGACTTGATGCGAGGTGTTGACACTCCTCGAGCACCAGAGGTGACGTCGTAGACCCGCACTTCACCATATCCATATAAATAGAGCAATGTTCGCCAATCTGGCGATAAAGTTATGCTGCGATGGGCTGGAATATACCCCTGGAAGAAAGTGGCCTTTTCTTCGCCTGTAGATATGTCCCAAACTTTGATCTCATGCTCATCAGAGAGACCTGCGATTCGACGGGAGTCCCTAGAGAACCAAGCATCTTTCATGCGCTTTCCATGGCCAGTAATTGTTCGTAGCTTTTTTCCTTCTCTGAGATCCCATACAATAATTTCCGAGCGCGTCAAGACCAAGGAGGCAAACAAGGATCCCTCGGGTGCGAACCGTACAGTATGGCAAGGCGGATTATCGCCTCTGGTGAGTTGGATGGGGTCGCCCGTTTCACAATCCAATAGGAGACAGGGATATGTGCCACCTTCTCTACTAGTGGTCTCTTTCGATGACAATGCAACTATGGAGCCGTCGGATGAGAAATGGACCAGCGTGGCGTCACAGGCCAACTTGACCTCCAATTCTGTGATTTTCTTGAGCCCGTCCATGTCAAAGAGTTCGAGAAAAGTGGTCTTGTGGTTAGTCAATCGATGTCCAACGAATAGACCCTTGCGCCCGTCTGGAGATACAGCGACATTGTCCGCAATTAATGTTGCATACATTCTATATTCAAGCTTCTTCCCAGTGAGAAAATCAACAAAGACGATCAAAGTAAGGCTCTCGGTCTCATATGGCAATACCGCCGCAAGTTGACTTTTATAGGGGAGAAACTGAACTTTGAGCGCATATGATTCCGGCTGAAAGTCGGTTTTGATTTCGAGATCCCAAAGTGGGTCACCGGTTTGTGATTCCCATAGATGAAGGCTGCATGTCCCGCCCATCCGCTCGGCATAGATGAATGCTAGATGAGCACCATCTGGTGAGAATAATGCATGTGAAACGCCAAGATGTGTGCCTGACCAATCAGGTTTACGAGGCTCCAGTACTGGGGTCCCAACATGAGCGCCTGTCTTTGAGTCCCATAACCGCAAACTACCTTTCCCACCAACCGTAACTATGCGAGAACTCTCTTCGGAGATTCTGACCTGCGCAAAGCCGGCTCTCTCCCCTATGAGAGTGATAGTGGACCAATCGTCCTCATTGTCGATGGTCACGTAGTTAACAGGATGGTGCCGTGCAACATCCTTGGCAAGTGGAAGTACGGGTGAGTCCAAAGGTAGGATAGCAAGGGGAATCGTGTAGGTGTGGAGCGCGGAATCCGCTACGAGATCATGAAATCGTAGTATGAACTGGATAGCATGGCGACAAACGATTTCCTGAGTATCGTCAGCAGAGTATCGTGAGATAAAGCGCTAACTCACTGTCACAGTACCCGCCATTCTAGGACGTGTTCTAATCTGAGAGCCGAGCTGAGACAAAGCTCGAAGACTCTCGTTGAGCTCTCCACGCCAGCTCATCAGCTCAACCCAATGCAGAAAATGATGATTTAGAAACGTAGAGACTCTTTCCCAATCATCCCAAGCGTTTTCCGATGCAGCAATGTGGTACGCCCAGTAGGAGCTGGCATACCGTAGAGCGGCAGACGTCTTGCTTTGCACCATATCACTGACCTGACCCACGTCCACGTTGCGCGGAAGTACGCAATTCGGCTGTACAACTCCGAAAATATCTTGTCTAAGGGTCCTCTCGAGCACGTCCAAGCAGGCGAGTGCAACCACTGTATGCGAAGGCTCCATTTGGAGGAGAAATCCGTTAGCACGGTCCTCGTTCGACGCGATGAACTCGCGAAAGGTTGGATGTAAGACCTTTATTGGTCGGTCTGGATGACCATCCTTGAGAACTGCAGTCAAATCTTGAACAAAGTCATCAACTTGGTGAATTTTCGGGAGAAACGTGGTGACAGTATTCGACGAAATAGGTTGAAACGCGCAGACGATTACTTGCAAAACCTTTCGGAGCTCACCCTTAGCACTAGGATCTACGAGGGCCTGATTAAGAATGCTGAGGTAGAGCTTGTCAAGCGTGTCCGCAACGTCCGAGCGAGACATATTCTCTAGCAGCCTCGCTCGCATCCGAATGTTGCTGACGGCACGACAGAACGTAGCTGCCCATACGAAAAGGCCATTTGCCTGAGTAATGACTCGCTTGCGTTCCTCTTCACTGAAACCTCTGAGTTTTGAGTCGACGTACAAAGTGATGTCATGTAAAGGGGGGTTGCTCATATCGAGAAGCTGGACGTCGTGTCCACACACCAATGAAGAGTTTTGAAGATAGGAGCTGATGGACTGAAAGTCTCGACTAGTGAGGAGAACCTTTACGCGGGGCACTCGAGGGAGTTCTTCCAGCAATGTGGCTAGAAGGATGCGTTGATCCTTTGGCACGCAGTTATCGAGAGCGTCGAAAACGAGTAAAAGTGGGGCCGTTTCCTCGAGATTAGTGCCGAATGCCTCCCATTCCTGACCATCAGAGGCCTCAGCTTGCTTTAGAGGCTCTGTAATTAACCGTCGGAACTGTGTTGGGAATGCCAAGTTCTCTGGCGAGGAAAGTAAGATGGGTTCGATTATAGGCTCCAAGCGAGGAAGATTCGTGATGATATCGATTGCGACAATGCGACAAAAGTAGACCGTTCGTTGGTTAGTTGCCACGTTTGGACTAAAGAAGAACCGTCCAGCAAGGCGTCTGTTATTCTGCCATTCTCTCGCCATCGTAGCCGCAATCGTTGATTTTCCGGTTCCTGCAGAATCTTTGAGCCAGAAAACCTGGTTTGGAGAACTTGTATCCTCGGCCCAGCGTCGGATCCGAGCGAGTACATCGACTCGCGTTCCCGGCTCGCAAGTTTCGACATCTGTTCCGTATGCTGACAGCAAAGCTGCAGATGAAACTACATAGAGAGTATATGAGAATACTTTGATGCTAGCATTCCCAATTCCGACTTACAGCCGTCCGTTACATGAGCCCAGGCTTTGGTAGGAGCGCGCAGCATCTCGGTACGAGCCTGTGCTACTTCAGAGTCAACTGCTTCGACAACTTCTATGGCATGTTTCGCCTTGACCTGTGATATACTGTTCAAAGTATTCTGCCTGGGTCAGAGGACATAGCGATCTAGGATCGATACATACCTGAAAAGACTGATAGGAAATCCTCTCATAACGTCTAAGGCGTTCGATATTTTCCTTTTCTACGCATATTCTCTTCATGTCTGGGCCGAAGCTGCCTTCTGCGTATTGGGACAATACTTGATTCGTTTCTATGAGAATGGCTTTGATAGACCTGCCTATTTAAAAGAGTGTATGGCGCGATGGTGTAGCTTACTTGTTGTATTCTTCCATTGCAGCAACCAAATCTTCGTCACCCGCCATTTTGGGGTAATCTTTACTGTATCTTGTAATATCCTCCTCCATTCGACGTGCATGGGATGTTATATCCTCAATCATATCCCTCCAAGTGAGATCGCTGATCTGGGCCTCCTGAATTGTGGTCAGTCGCTGACATCGTACATCCGACGACGATTCACCTTTGCAATTTCAAGTCCAGTTAGAATACTGGAGCATGCCAACCCCAGCGATCCGGGGATGGGGCCAGCTTCAGAAACATCAGAAGTAATGTTCATTCCCTGATCCAGCCAGTCCCTAATCCGTTCAAGCGTGTTTAACACCACCTTCGTATCACCTTCGCCGGTTAGCGTCTCTAAACGAGCTGCGCTGACTTCTTCCACGGCAACAGGATGAACCGAAGTCTCTTCCAGGCTACTCGTGGAGCTTTGTGCTTCATTATGAGTAATGGACACATTTGACGGAACTTTAGGCTTCCTTTTTCGTCTAAAGAGATGTTTGACGGCGTCCATTGAGTGGAGGTGGAGTTTAAGATGCTGATACGTTATCCGCTGACTGCGAAGATGCACAGGTCCCTGCTTGAGGGCGTTTCTTCATTACCTTTTTCTTCACCTATCTGCCATCTCGTGAGTGGTTGCCCCAATGGTGCGTTGATTGCACGGTCTACACAAGGGGTACTAGATTGGTGATTTTTGGACCAGACCTCGATATACACAATGGAAAATGAAACTGCAACACGGACTTGGCCTTGTTCCCGTCCATGACCCACCTGCCACTCATCAGGCTCCTGGTTTTCTCATTTTTCGACTCCGTATAGGCACAACATCAACAGCGATGCCTTTTAAATCACTTGAAACAGTCGTATTTGGCGCACTCAACAAAATAGGCGAGCTTAAGATCCACCAAACAGTCCCAGAACTCCGCGTGGTCGACCTGTCGGATCAAAGTCGTCTCGTGTCAATTCTGCTCGATAACTCGGCGTTTGTGCTTCGAGAGATGGCACTTATGGAGTTTTTAGTCGCTTTTCCTTCGAAATTTCGTCACCCTTCACACCAACAACTCCGTCGACATCCCTCAACTTCGCTAAATATCGATCAGGACTCTAGTGCATGGGTTGAATCATCCATAAGTAAGGCCAGTGTGCGATATGCATCCACATGGACGTCGACAGGCGTGCTGGTCGGCTCGATGCCTATCACGTCTGTCCTTCCCGTGTCCGGTCGCACCATACAAGCAGGTCCCGACCAAGAGAAGGAAGGAGAGGAATACATACCACTCATCAGTCTCGCCCTCGGGCCATTTGACGGCGGCCCAGTCAAGGCAGCATTCAACGAGATTGCGTCGAGTCGAATGTACAGATCTAAAGCGCGTAGTACACTCTGCACGGCATTTCTGGACGGACTATTGGATCTTTGGGCGTGTATTCTGACGGTTTGTATCACACCCGAAGGTGCGAGAGTCAGTACGTTAATGGTGTTAGTGAAGGAGGTGTGGTATTGATGATCACAATAGGGTCAAGGGAATCTAATATGGACATAGATCCTCCGTTGGCAGTGCAGGAGCCCCCCTCCCCGCCTCGCCAGGTGCCCAGTAGAGTCACCAACGTAGGTTCGGTCGAGGGAGCACGTCCCGTTCCACCGAGCAACGCTCGCCCTAGACAAGAAGGCACCAGTAACAACTCTCGTGACACTTCCACCGCGAGTGACCAACCCGTGGACAGGAGCACGAACCGTATGCAGCTAGACGAGGAGATGGAAAGAGTCCTCCAGTTCAATGAAGTGGGGTGCGACGAGTGTATGATCCACGACACGGAGTGCATCCTCGTCAATCCATGCGCGAGCACACAACCACCAACGTTGTCCAAAGAATACGAAGCGCGTGTGCGATCTAAAATCAAATCGTGCGCCAATTGCCGTGTCCGACACTATCAGTGCCGCTGGGATGATAATCGTGTCCGGGAGCTTGCGGTCGACCTGTTGATACAAAGTAGACGACCGATGCGGCGTGCGGGATCAAGGGAGGCGCTGACCGCTGAAGAAGAGGCGAAAGTGAGGGAGCAGCTGGACGGGGAAAGATTGCGAAGGAAGGAGGGGCGACCTCAGTAGACCGAAGGCATCTGGACGAAGAATGTCAAAACCCATGGAGCTGTTGGTCAATCACCTGCGCCAAGGGAGAAGCAGCATGTTCAGGGCATCAAGATGGTAATCAGGAAGCGACGGCTACCCAAGTTTGAGGCACTCTACCCGACCTCGTCCTCTAGTCCATCATCCTCTTCGAGTTTTTACAAAGGCGAAGAAGAAGAAGTTCAGACTGATGGAATGCCGCGTGCAAGACTTGGGACCGATTCGAGTTTACCTCAGCCACAATCGATGCGGATGCGCGTCTTCTTTGCGGGACGAGACCGACTTGAATAGGCAAGTTGACGTCGACGAGGCGAAGTAGAGCGATGACAGAGGCCCTTGTTCTCAGATTAGTGATGTAATAACAGTACCTGAAGCAACGTCAGTGGGCCATCTCTGCGTCGTCAGACTGACGTACAACTTTAAGAAATCAGCAGAAGTCAATAGTTTACAGAGATCTTCAGAGGTCGGGTGACCCATGACATAGGATGACGCGCAGAGCCTGCCGCGTCACACGGGCCCCGCCCCCGTCGCTTAGTTGGCCGTCTCTGCTATATAACGGGCAGTCACCAACACGTCGAGAGAGAGCAAGAAAGTTTTCCTTTCATCGCATACAAACCAAACCAACATGTCTCAACCAGGCCGCCAAGTTTGTCTCGACCTCTGGAATTGGTTGTCATAACTCACCCACAACCTCTAGGACTTTTCGGACAAGGTCCACAACGCTGTCAAGCCAGACTCCCAGAAGACGTTCACCGAGCACATCGGCGATATGGCCCAGGGAAAGGCCGACTCTGGCCTCAGCACCCTCCAGCCACAACAAGACAAGTCCATGGGCCAGAAGGCTGGTGACGCCCTCAGCGGCCAACAGTACGCCACTAAATCTGTAAATTTCTGGCGCTGACCATTCTACAGCAACCACAACCCCGGCGAGCGCTCCTTGATGGACAAGGCGAAAGACGCAGTTGGTCTCGGAGACAAGACCTCGACCAACCACTAAGCGGATGCAGTTGTACGATTAATAATCGAATGAAGCAATCTAATTACGCATAACCAACTTGAAGCAAACTGAGTACACGAAAAAGCCAACTATAAAGAGTGTGTGAATCGACGAGCAAAAATGTCCGTCGTGATAGCCAAGAAAATCACCATGAATTACAGTCGGTGTCCTGGGACAGCCCAGAATATGAGCGTCAACACTGTCGCGATGACAGCCACCAGCACGCTGACCCAGATTGCGCGCCCTACCAACAATTTGCGTACATATGGCTCCCGTACAGCCAAAGTTCGGAATGGTGTCGTCTCTGATTGGTTGAACAAGAGCAGCAGTACCGGGTCGAGCTCGTACTGGTGCGACACCAGGAGCAGAACCGCAATCGTATAGGGTATAAACAACTGCCAAGCAATCAGAATCTACCCGTATACGAGTAAAAAAAAACTCACGAAGAATCGCTTTGACTTTGGCTTGACGTCGAGGAAGATGAGGGCAAACCCGGTGCTCAGGCCAATCCAGAGCACGATCAACCCGACTACCAATCTCACCAAGGCACTCACGGGCGTCAAGTTGCCGAATGCCTTTGCACGCAGGAAACGCGGGAATGCGTCTTGCTCCATCGCGCTGAACACGTACTCCTTTTGAGAATGGAACATGTCTGGCACTTGAGCCAGCTGCGCTTGCTCCATCTCATATTCTTCTTTACTCTGTCCGGGGACAGGTCCACCAGCCATTGTAGGCGGATGGTCCGAGGAGAGTGCAAACGAGTGGATACGCAAGGATGGTGGGAGGTAAATCTCCTTTTCTGCTCCAGGAACGAGATAGCGCGCAAAGATGTGTTCAGCGGACGCGATGAGTGCCGCATGCGTGACCGGTCCTTCCCGCGTAAACATGGTTGGGGCGCGCGAGAGTCGCTTGTTGATCGTCGAGTAGCGTCCCCAGCGACCGGTTCCAGAAAAGGGTGTAGATGAGCCGTGAATGGCGTTGCTCGGTGGAGGAGATGAGAAACCGTGTTGCATAAGATGCTCGGGCGGGTTGACGGGTGTCGGACCTTTCCAGTCGAATGGACTCCCCGGGACGGCGCTCGCTCGTGGAGAGACTGTCGAACGTCCTCCACGAGCACCTATTGCTCCTGCCGCTGTAGTGGTAGGACCGCGTTGGGATGACGGCCTGCGATCGTCGTCGCTCACGTCGGCGCTGCTCATCGTGCTCCGTTTTCCTGCGCCGGGTATCCCTACGACCGTACCATAAATACTCCCACGCCGCCTATATGATACTCAGACTCCTGTTCGTTATCAATGGTGGTCAACCATACCTTGCATAGTCGTAGTACTGCGGCCACTCGTCCTGAACGGCTTTGCCCGCCTTTTTCAAGTCTTTGAAATATGCACGGCACAAATTCTCGTGCTGTTGTACGTCTAGCCAAAAGTCTAGGACATCCTCCGCTCCTTCACGTTGCAGGAACAGGCTGCTCTGTGTTAGCGGAAATGACCATATAATACAAAATAAATAGTGAGAGAGTAGAAGATACCCACTAGAACATGAACAAGTCGACGGGCGGCTTGGTCTGTCGCGCGAGCACCTCTTGGAATGTCGGGAGACGGTTCCTCGGCTCATTTTTGGGTGCAACCTGCTGCTCCTTTTCAGTAGGCGCATTAAGATGCTCCTTTTCGTCGGACATGGCCAATGTCGTCGGTAGGTAACGTCGGGGCTTTGACGTGGATTCCGAAGTGCGGAGTGGATTAGAATATTGTGTAGATAGAATTGATTGCTCGATGTTGATAACGAGCGAACGGGAGGACAAGCCTCACTGCGACCTTGATGGACGGGTCCAAAAGGTGAAACGCACAAACTCACACCAGGCGGCGCATCAGAAACTCGTATCAAACTATGGATGCTATATATTAACATACCGGCTTACCATATTTTCCGCGACGACCACCTGCGTAACCTTGATCTCCTTCGCCTCACACGCGCCTCAACCATGATACGAAATCCAGCCGCCCAAACCACGCAAGGGCCTATAACAAACTTTGACCCTTCGAATCTGCCAGTTGCACATCTCATATCACTCCGAGCACGACTCTCGCAGATCATCGAGTCTCTCAATGTGCTCACATACACAATCGACGGTGAGGGTCGTCCAGGAATGTCTTCATGGCCAGAAATCCTCTCAAAGTACAACAATCTCCTCGCGCAGAGCCATAACCTCATCAACACGCTCTCTGGAGAGCATTTCCCCCAGCCACCGAGACGACCCGGAGAGCCAGAAAGAGAGAGGATTAACCCTTTTGAGACCATCGCATTGCATCCTCTTTCGGTCACGACGAACCCTTCTGTACCGAATCCGACTGCAGGTACTTTGAGTGCCGCTCAAACAACGACAGGGAGCAGTGGCAACTTTGATGACACGCATCACGGTATGCTGGAAAATCTGCTTCGAACAGATCCACATCCCGCCGTCATCAAACGGTGGGACGACACCGTACGCCGCTTCGCCGAACGGCGTAAAGGTGGTGGGAGTCAGATTGAGCCTCAGGACGTGATAAAAGAGATGCTAGAAATGAAAGAAGGTCATGATGCGCGTATCGAGCGTGCACTTCGTGTCATTGCGGACCTACGGGAGCGTTGGGAGTGGAAGATGCGGGTATCATTTGATGAGAGAGTCGGAGATGGAGAGGATTTATTTAGCGATGATGACAGTGGCGATGAAGTAGAGGAGGTCACTAAGACTGACCCACCAAGGATGGGTATGGGGCCCCAGGAGATGAAAACGGCCACACAGAGCTCTGATGAGACAATGCGGACGCAAACACAGTCTATGCATACCCAGACGCAGTCTATGGCGACCCAAACGCAGTCTATGGTCACCCAGACGCAAGACGAGAGCATGTTCTCGAATGATGAGGACGACGATGACGATGATGATGATGATGACGAAGATATGGAGAACGTTTTAGAGAGCTAGAATTTATCCAGGTAATCGTCCCCTGGAGCCAGGTCCGTTTGAAGATGCCTGTAGTGCTCCGCGATTGTAAAAGGGCCCTAGCAAGGGACTTTTTCAAATTCGAAATTATGTTTGCTGGCCTACACAGCGTTTCAAACAGACCAAGCGTTTGGGGTCTCACAAAGCTTGAACTCTTCAGTGGATCCAAGAAATTCCAATCTCAGAGTATTTCGAAGGCGGGTTAGCTTTGCTTCGACCATTCACACCCAGATAAGGGACCGGCGCCCTAATTTTATTCTCGCCACTCTCGATACGGCTGAATTACATTCATACTGATGCTGCTATGATACGCTTTAGCCTTTCTTCTTTCGACTCGCGGCACTTTCAAATCTCCGCAACTGCATGCCAGCAGCGTGCCCGGGCGGAGATCGATAAAACCCGAGGCAATAAATGAGACGTTCAAATGCGTCTATAGAACGATGGGTCCCTAATCTCATCCCACACTCAAGTAACGATGATGGGAGAAGTGTTTTCTAAGCCGCTTCCTAGCTCAACAGATGTATATCCCGCCCATATCGCCTTCAGATAATCTGCTCTTACAACCTTACCTCAGGGAACCAAAGAAGAGCAGCTCGCCTTCCTTCTCAAAGGGGTGTCAGCCAAACTCGATAAAGATGAAGCGGATCTCCACGAGTACGTTTTATTTCTATTAACTGAGTGTTGAGTAAGCTCAGAGCTCATAGAATACTCCGACAACCGGACACGGCCGAGAAGAAGACGGTTTCACACATAATTCGTGCTCTGCCCTGGCATCGAGGGTATCACATGGACGTGAGCCAAAACGCACATCCTCATGCCTCCAATGTGCAATTACTGGCTGATATCATTCTAGGACGAAGCCATCTCAAGTGCTGTAAACGACTTCTTTGGTGAGGATCCAAAGTCGCCGAGCAGCCCTCGATTGGGGTTCAGGATATGTATTATATGTTTTTACTCGAATATATTCATCGGCAAAGAAATTTGTCAGCACATCGCCGAGTACTCTCCCGGGAAACAATCAAGCCGGCGAGATTGAAGAGCAGAAATTATTCATGTATGTGGAGCATAACACTGTGATTCGGATTGACACGAGGGCTTGTGACGTTCTTGTCAAAGGCTTAATTAAAGCCAACGATGACACTTTACAGATGTGGAAATACAACTTCAGCCGCAAGGGCATCATTGCAGATGTGCAGAATGTATTCGGCTGTGAGGATGAACTGAATTGGCTTAACTGGTTCTCTGACAAACTCTTGGATGTTCTCTGTAGTTCGGTCGTTGACCCTTCGACGCTAGAGATTAATGAGCTAGTATACCTTCTGAGCGAATTCCAGGGAGACAAGAATGTAGGTGACTACATTAATCAGCTCATCTCGCCATCTGCTCCCAGCTCAGGTCAACAGATGGCTCCTGCCCCTAAGGTAAGACAGGCTGTTGAGCAGACTGCAGGTAAAAATATTTAAATTATTCGAGATAAACATGAAATATCATGTCCTAGACTCTTGTTTAGCTCACTACCCACAAGGACGTCGTCCGAAATTCTGCGGCGTCTTTCAGCTTAAGTCCCATCAATAGAACACGATCCTGAACTCCATAGAACCGGAATGCAAATTATTGAGCATTTACGTGATGATTAACGCCTGCTATGTACAGGAGTTGACCGCTCGACAAACCCTGATACCCAGGCTATCACCTCGTTCTACCGTAGGCATCGACAGGTTCTACTTGCTTTAAGTATTGCTGCATCTTTTTTACTCCATCCCATTGCCTGTCATGGGCCTTAAACTCTCCAAGCTCCGCCCAGAGATTGTCGTTCGCCTCCCCTAGTATGCCGACGATGAGCTCGAGCTGCTCTTGTTCCCAAAATAGTTTGGCATGAGTATGCTTGATGTCTTCTTGCTTGTAGGTCATAAACCTAGGCTCCTCAAAGCAGCCGCTCCAGCGAACCTTCGGACAGTCCTCCTCGATAGGAATCTCCAATACGATATGTGGATGTTGTATCAAATTGGCAATAGATTGGCAGGTGCCAAGTGGTAGCCATCCTCTGACCTCCTCTAGGGAGGAAACCCGTGTGCATCATGACGTAAAATGGTCGGTAAACTCGATGTTACGTTACTCATGCACATGCCACACACTTTCAGCGGATCAAGCGATTGCCTAACTTTGGATCTGGGGTGCGATCCAGGCGAGGTCGCGGCAACTTGAGCACTGAATGTAAAGATTCGGCTTTCACAGACTCTAAAGGCGGATTAGAGCTCCAATTTGGCCTTCTACACTCAAAGGGGATCCTTTTATTTCCAGTCGCCACATGTCATTCGCACCGGCACCATGACAAACCCCATAGTAGTGGACTTGAGTCGCGGCACTTTCAAATCTCCGCAACTGCATGCCAGCAGTGTGCCAGGACGGAGATTTATGAAATCCTAAGTGGTCAATCAGACGTATAAAAGCTTCTATAGAACGATGAGGCTCTTAGCTCATCCCACAGTCAAGTAATAGTGATGGGCCAAGTCATTGCCAAAATACTGTCTGGTTCAGAAACTTCAAAAAAGGTGTATAAACGTGTCACTATCGCATAAACCTCCCTGACAAACTTTTCTTAGGAAACTAAAGAGCAGCTTGCTTTTCTTGTCAAAGCGGTATCGGCCAAACTCGATAAATATGAATCAGATCTCCACGAGTACGTATTTTTTGGGCTTGAGCATATAGTCAGCTTAGAAATCGTAGAATGTTCGAAGAACCTGAAACAGTTGAGAAGAAGATGGTCCCAGGGATTCGTGCTCTGCGCTGGGAGAGAGAGTATCGTGTGGGCGTGAGTCATAACGTACGTGTTCATGACTCCACTTTAAAGCTACATGCATAACCCACTCTAGGAAGAAGGGATCTCAGAGGCTGTGAACGACTTCTTTGGTGAGGATACAAAGTCGCCGAGCAATCCTCGGGCCGGATTCAAGGTGAATACTTACTCTCTGATGAAACCCCCTTTTTTTGAACTTCTAAAGAAACTTATCAATATCGCTTTGAGTAGCATTCTTGGGAACAACCAAGCGGGCGAGATTGAGGAGCAGAAATTCTTCATATATGTGGAACATAATGCCGTGATCCGGATTGACATGAAGGTCTGTGACGTGTGTATCAGGTCTTAAACACGATGTTGACACTTTATAGATGTGGAAATACAACTTCAGCAGCTCGGATATTATCGCAGAGCAGCAGAATGTATTTGGCTGTAAAATTTCACCTCTAGCACCTATACCGGCATTCTGACGAACTTCTAGATATTCTGTGCACTTCGGTCGTAGACACCTCGACGCTAAAGATCGACGAGTTGGTCTATCTTCTGAGCGAATACAGAGGAGATGCAGACGTAGAGGCTTATATGGACAAGCTCATTGCAATATGGACCAAGATGGACAACGTTCAAGAGATGCTCATCTCCCGCAGTCCGCTCGCAATCAGTTACCGAAGCGCAAACTTCCAGAATGCCGCATTAAATCGTCACAAAGCCATCACGCCACCCGCTTCCAGTTCAAATCATCAGGTAGTTCCTGCGCCTAAGCCGACACAGGTAGTTGAACATCCCGCGGGCGAGCACAATTGAAGTACCCGAGCCAATATATGCTTCTTCATTACCGTCCACAATATCGTCATCCAAACATGAATCCCATCCATTGAACAAAGCTGGAAACTTGCAGCTTAAGCGATTCGCCTGGAAGATAAGTCCGAGTCAACCGAAGAAACTATCGCTAGTCGTAGTGGACCATGCATCTAGGCTCACCGAATATGACTTTGTCAGTACTATATTCGCCTCACTAGTCTTGCTCACAACCCAGGAGTGAGTTTGAAAGCAAGCTTTTACAGTAGTCCCGCAGGAACACGTCATTGCTCAAGTGAATATCATATAATCATTCTTTTCTTTTTCTTTATTATTCGAGACCACGCACGGCAAGCTCTAAATCTCTGAGCACCAGACAGTAATAGTTTCGTGTGGAGCACGAAGGAAACGTTGTCGTTGCTTTGGAAAATTGATGGAAGACTTTTATTCGGGGACGTCTCTCGGCTTGTGTCTCATCGACACGACAGAATACAAAATCTAAGCGGGGAGTATATAACCTTGAACGCCATAGAGACACGAGCATTGCGCGAGTACTTGATATTAACGCTTGCTATTTACAGGAATCGGTCGCTAGTCAACTTCGATACCCAGGCTATTGCCTCGTTCTACGGTAGGTACCGAGAGGTTTCCGCCTGCACTGAGCATAGCCGTATCCTCTTGTACTCCATCCCGCTGTCTGTCCTGGGTCTCAAGGTCTGCAACTTCCTGCCAGAGACCACCATCCTCCAGTATGCCAACGATGACCTCGAGCAGTTCTTGTTCCCGAACTAGTTCGGCATGAATGTGCCTAATGTCTTCTGCGCTGTAGGCCACGAACCCAGGCTCTCCAAAGTAACCGCTCCCACCGAACCTTTCGGACAGTTCCTCCTCAGTAGGAATCTCCAAAGCGACGTTTGGACGGCGTATCAAATCGGAGATAGACTGGGTGTCCAGCATAGTGGCCAAACCGCCGGTGTAAATGTCATGCAATGCCGAGTAGAGAGCAGTCGAGCGCAGACGATCCTCGACCTCTGTGTCCGAATATGAACGAGTGTCCCTAAGACTCTCCCAGTCGTCACATAAGTAGATTCTCCGCCAAAGAGTCTTTATCGCCGCTTCCCGGCGAGAGTCAGGTAAGAACTGTCGAGATATCAGTCAAGCCGCGGGTCCCAAACCAACGTACCCGTGACTCATAGATTAGGTGGAGACCGACAGCATGTCCTATAGACTCTGGACGCACATCTCCCAGCCCAATAAGATCCAATGTGTCGTCAAGCGATATTCTCCGTTCTCCGACGAGATTTCCCACCAATCTCTTGAAGAGTTCGATACTTTCCCTCCTTCCCCACTTGCTGAGGCGAGTCGTCACACGCTCGGTGATCGCTACGGCTTTCGACAGCACCTCCACATTCTTTGATCCTACTTCGGAGATAGGAATGTCCACGGTGGGATCAAAGTCGGAGATGGTGCGAAGAAGGTCATTTCGTAGCTTTTGTTGAACATCGACGAGGTCCAGCAGCTCGTCATACATTCGTATAGGTTCCTCGATGTCTTGTGAGGTTTCGGCATCTTGGAATTCGACAAGTTCGCATAGTTTCCCCAAAGAGAGAAGAAATTTGGATGGGCCGAGTCGAGGTTCCGATTGGGATATCGTCAACAACGTGGTCGACGCGGCCGTAAACTCTTGCTTCCCAAGAAGGTGAAGCCAGGAGAGGCCTGGATATTCATAGGTTGCGAAGAAAGCCTCTACATAGTCAGCGTTCTTTCCAGTTTCCTTGAATATCTCGCCGGCGTGACCTGTCAACGTCAGCAAATAAAATCAATATCGACAAGATACTCACCATGCTCGATCCACCAATGATAGAGTTCAAAGGCGAAGTCTTGCTTGAATCTGTCCAGATAGTATCCAAGTCGTCGACCCAGGGCGGCTTTGTCAATAGAGCCTATGCCATCGCTGCCAACTGGGCGGCGATCTTTGGAGGCGACCTGATAGCACAACTCTGTGATCGCTCTGAAGTCCATGAAATCTTCGGCTAGTTTGAACGCGTGCGCTTCCGCACGATGTTGTACTGCACACAGTGAGCGTGATCGTCTCCCTTGGCTAATCGCACGTACCCAGCTGACTCCAGAGTTTCCGCCTGACGGAAGTGAAGGCCTCTTGAAGAACTGCACCATTCCCGTCCTGCTTCTGGCTGGCTGCAAGGACTTGTTCTTTATAACCCTCGCATATCACTGTTGCCAACCCTTGCATGACATCCTTGGCCTCCGAGACCACGGAGCTATCAGTCGTTCGGCCGCATTGGTCAAAGAGGAACACGGTTGCTTCAAGAATCCGAGTCTCGGCTGTCCAGGGTATCGCCAACGGCTTCTCTGGATCCAAACCGTATAATCTGATTCTCGAACTGCGAAACTGCAGCGCAGACTCAAGCAAGACCTGGAGATGATGAGTCATTTACTTGGCGTTACAGAGGTATACCCACAAGGGCGAGTCGACTAGCTTGAATTGCTGCAGTTGGCCAGCTGTTGGACCTTTCAAAACTTCCAACGACACTCTTGACTACTTTGACGGCACAAGGAACAAGTTCGCCAATGTCTTCGACTCGGACTTTGAAGAAGAGCCGAACTTGATCAACATAGCTAGTCTCCACATCCTCCTTTGCGACATCCGGCTCAACAGTGGTGAGTTTTCTCCAATTGTTGATGTAGCCTTCACCCTCAGGGGGATCGTCTGCAACCTCCATCGTGGACTCAGGACTATGAAGTGCACCTTCCAGAAGCAAACCAGAGCGTGTACGCGCATGGGGCCAAGTTGTCCCTCGGTCGTCCTCCACTTCCTGGAACATTTCTACAGCCTGGACGAGCATATTGTGACTTCGCTCGACACCACGTGATCCCAGGCCAGCCGCAGTCGACGGTCCTTGATAACGAGTGCCGTCGTACCACGTCCATACCCCCTGAGCAGCAGCAATCTGCTCTGCATGAGTGGCGAGAGTATGACGAAGCGTTGCGTTTAGTAGGTAAAGAGCGCCATTTTCGTTTATGAACTGGATTAACCATTCGAGGCGAGCTGCTCGGTCTACCAGTTGAGTCGTCAAGCTCAGCTGGCGCTTGATGAGATTGGGATCTAGAGGGCTTGTAAGATTGACCGCCATGGCAGGTAGCTGACCTACTTGACCGGATGGCTTCGGTGCTGATTTGTGAGGCTGCCATCATCAAATGACCCGCATTGACATTGGATGAGAACCTGAAAGAAAACGGGTTCTATCAGGAGCAAATATCAGCAAATACTTGGCACTTCTGATCCGATATCTAACCTCTGGTACGGGTCCATAGAGGACTGCTTGCTCCATGACCGAGCGTATTTGGTTTGTGCCACCAGATCTTACGCAGTCAGTTGATGGAATTTTGTTGAAGTAAACTCACTGTTCATCTACTTTGACGATTTTCTCAAAGTCCAGATTGACAGTGACAACTCCCATGGAAGTTATATAGGCAATCTCTCCCATCAAAATGACTGGTTGCTCAACGATCGGTCGCATTTGGGATCTACTGTGTGAGCGACTGAAAGAGCCTGTGCTGCCGTGTGCGGAACCAGAATATGGATGATTCACTGGGAATGACCTCGAGTTGCTGACAATACCAAATCCGACGGAGCGAGGGAAGGGATTGGAGTTTTTCAGGAAAAGATGGTCCCTGAACGGGTAATCTGTATGGTTGTTGATACCCCAGCAGAATTTAGTCAATTGAATACTCACCGAGAGCTGAAAAGACCATGCCTCCTTTGAACAACACTGCAAGTAGGATCATGGGTTTGCTCTGTGTCACAAAGTGGGAATCGTCTTGGTCGTCAGCTTCTCGTTCGAGGCCGGTATGGAAAGCGAGCATCTTTGGAGCAAACCATCCTTGCTTTGAGCCATGAGCACCGGTAACCTCGACACCCAAGTTGACGCCGCGTCCTAGTCCGGAGACAGTCATGCCTTTAGGCCTTCCGACGTCGGAATATGGTAGTACCACGGGTTTCTCAAAACGTAAGATTGGCTCTTGCAGTTTGACGGAATCTGGCTGAGTACCGGAAATGCCTTGCGCTCCCACAAAGCGGCAAACCATTGTCGCATATGAACGCTCTTCCCGCCTCGGATTACTCCCGGACTCTGTATTTGGTCCTCGCCAACTGATGCTACTTGGTCCTTGCGCAGATGAAGGCGCATAAAAGGAAACGAGAATAACAGGAACGAGTTCCTCCCCGCCCAGACGATCGTCCGTCTGCATTTCCTCGTCGTCCCTCGAACCATCGTCTGATGGCTCACGTGGGTCAACAGGATTAACCTTCATCCTGACCAGGATAATATCCAGCAGCTCCACGCCCAGCGCAAGGATGCGTCGCTCCCTTCGCTCCATTTGCATTGGGAGACTCCCAGCCAGGTTGACATCGGTATCCGGTGCTTCAGAGTAGACATCTGCGCCAGTCTCTTCTGAAGTCTCCTCCATGCCGTAAAATTCCAAGAGCTTGTCCTGTACCGCTGTGAGCATGTCGGCCTTGCATATCAAGCGCTCTACAGTCGGCACACTGCTCGTCGAGGCATGCGCTAGGCTATCTGTGAGACGCCAAACGGCCAGATTCGTTGCCGAAAGTGCCCATACGTCGACACCATCGTCTTCGAGCCCTCCTAGAGCGAGGCTCATGATACCATCGCCGCTATCTGCGGGAATTGCGGCAGCGGGCGATGCTTTGGAGGCATTGCTTGAGGAAGCGTTGAAGAGAGGGACTGGTGGAGTCGAGCCGAAGCCAAATAGGTTGGATAGGATACTACTGGTCCTCTGTGGCTTGACAACAATCTCCTTGAACGAAATGGACCAGTCGCCATCACCCTTTCGAATAACTGAGATGCGAAAGAGTCGCCCGCTCGAGGTTCCGGCGACGACCTCTGGATTGGTAAGGCCTGTAGCTGTCCGTTAGTGTGTCTTTGCGACATTGAATGTTCAACCACCTTGTGTGTAACGATTCTTTGGGTGAGTAAGAGTAGGTAAGAGTCCCTCTGCAGCAGAAATGCTCTCCCGTTTGTAGATGGGCAATTTGGCTTCTATGAAGCGGTCTCCGCCGGCCAAACCGTGGAATATCGACGTCCAGAATCGAACATAGCCGGTAGGAGAAACGAGGATCAGTGCAGGCTCGTTTGCGGGGTTTGATGGCAATGTGACAAAGGTCACGTAGGGGGGAGAAACCTCTGGTTGATGGCTACCAGGAGATGCCAGGATGTGAACTGTGGGTGGAACAGGCGGATTTCGCTAGAGCTTCGGTCAATTAAAGTCAGAAAAGAGGCAAAAGACCAACGTTGTGCTTCCAGATCCAAGTATTGCGGCCAGAGGCCATCCAAGAGTACCCTGTAGCAGTATCATATCCTCCTATATACGTTTCCCTCCACGCATCTTGACAAGGACTTGAATACGGCTCTTTACAAACGCGAACGATACGCACTGTCCATACCCATAGCCTTGAGAATCTCCAGGGGTAGTCCCTCATGAAAAGATGCCGTAATCTCCTCCGACTTTGCAAATGTCCTTCCTCGTTCGCCAACAAGACGGCCCGCAGCGTGGTAGCCGCTCCTTTTCGACGAGGTAAAGCTCACATCGGCGTCACCATCAATGGCGGTGCCCTCACGCGAGATATCCATTGCAGCTTGGTTTCCTGAAGCGATAGGGCTCGTCGGAGTCTCGATGGCGTCGCGGAACCTGCCCTTGGCACGGCCCAACACGAGCGTGCCTTTTGCGACTGGGAGTCCACTGCCCATTCCACTTGCTGGTGTGCCAGATCGAGGTGTCCCGCGCGCGGAAATGCGCCCTCTGGGGCCCAGTCGCGGCGAGTTCATCGTTTTGTGACGGTCAAGACCAAGTCGTACTCGCGTTGCTTTTTGTTTGGTCAAGGCGTGCCTTCTTCAGTTTTTGGCCTTTACACGAATCGAAAAGTATTCTATTCTTTCGGGATATGGTTCTTGCCTATATACATTTGTGGTTCACATGGAAGCATACTCGGTCAATGGCCATTTTTTACAATGTTCAATAACGAAGCCTAAGATCCGATGTTTCTCTCAATGCTTGTGCAAGAGGACCCCGGATGAAGCGAGCAGACGTTTCAGTGGTCGTGGTGTGCGTGGCCATTGTCGGACCAGCGTGAAGGGCAAACGAAGGCTCGGGGGATGGTGGAGAGAATCCAGGCCATGGGTCATCATACTCTCCCAGAGTAGGGGCAGGTCGACTAATGCGACGAGGTGCACGATCGCGCCTACTTTGTCGAGCGAGATCTGCTCCTTGCTCTACGGAGATGTCCTCTGTCATACGGCGGCGAGCTGCAGAGCGACGAGGTGTAACGGTCGATGGACCCGGCTGTGCAGCTGTCGTCTCGTCCCAAATGCGCTGAATCACAGCATCACGGGCACGGGGCCGTGGCAGAAATGAAGGACGACGAGCAGGTGAACTCTCTGAACGTGGCGCTCCCTCGACGGTTTCTCGACAGACTGGGCACGTCTTTGCCGACTTGAGCCATTCCTATATGACCAGTAAGTCACACTATTGTAGATGTGAGGAAAGACAAATACCTTGACGCAATCCTTGTGATAAAAGTGTGAGCATCGAGGCAGCTTCATGCAAGCATCTTCGGGCTGATAATCTTCCAAGCAAATGGCGCAATTGCCATTGTCTCCCACAACTTTCTCAGTAGCCCCCTCGGAAAACTCCTTGTAAGTGCCAGACGGCAGCTCTTCCAAACTCTTTTGTGAACACCCTCGTTTGACCGGCCCAACGTGCTGCGTCAACGCCATGAGTGCCTCATAAGAGTCATCGAAATCATCGTCGAGCTAAGATGAGATCAGTTTTCTGAAACTGGACGCGGGTGTTGTCATTGTACTCACGACATAATCACCCATTACTCGCATGCGGTGAGTAACGTGGCTTAAGGTGACCGTTCTGAGAGGTCGACGACGAGTACGAGCTGCAGATCTCCTAGACACCGTAGAATGCGTTGGCTCCTCCTCCACACCGATACTCGGTACCACCAAAAACTCATCTTCCATGCCAAACCAAGCCTCTCCAAGCAATCTAGAGAGTCTTCCTTGGTCAGGACTTTCGTCCCTTCGGGGACGAGTCCAAGGGCGCGGGTCAGTCGACCAGTCGAATGGATCGTGGGGAGCAGCTGGTGGGGAATCTTGCACGGGCGGAGGTGTCGGGAATGGGTTCCCATAGTAGGAATTTGGTTCTGGACGCGTATATATATCGATAGGTGTCTGTGGTCGGAGTGCATTCCATGTAGGCCGAGGAGGAACAGGCCGCTGAGCGCGTGAACGAGCGGGCTGCGAATGCTCCACCGGAGAACTGAGATCTTCCTGAGACGGCAAGATAGGTGCGGGAATGATGGGGTGGTCATAGAACCCAGATCCACCTCGTTCCCTTCCTTGCCTCGGCCCACGGATCTCGCTATGGCTGGACACAATGTCCCTCATTGAAGGATGGTCGTAGAATGAACCGTTTGTCGTCGGGAATGGATCGAGTGTCTCGATGGTTTCAGGGCGGCCAGATGGCCGTGAGGTCTCTACCCAAGATTCGACCCTCTCTGCTCGCCTGTTTCTGAGGTCCCTATTGCCACTAGTTCCAGAACCGGAGCCATGCGCCACGTTGCGTGATCCTTCGCTGGCAGAGCGGGAGTGGGATAGTCCAGCCCGGCTTCCTTCCCCAACACCACTGGTGCGACGAGTATATCGGTCTAGCAATGACTGTATACCCGAAAGTCGAGAGCCGCTAGACGTTTGAGGAGGTGGCGGACTGTGGAGGCGGCGCGGTGCGTCCTCTTGAAAACGAACGCTGCGAGCTTGCACGTTGGATAGTGTCGGTCGTGGAGGTGGGACAGGCGGAAGAGCAGGTAGGTCCCAGTACTGAGGTCGAGAAGTCGGATTTTGATCCCATGACTCGCTGGTCGAGTATTCAGTAGGATGATGAGGGCGCTGCTTCCTTGCCCGAAGCGGGAGGACCTGGAGAGCGTCGAAGTGGCAGCTGGGGCTGGATCGTGGTATATCTGAGGCTCAGGAAATTCCCAAGGAGAAGGCGGAACCACCGACGGAGTTGTAGCCGGCTGGGAGGTGGAATGGACTTGGGAAAGTGACCAGTAGTTCGGTGACGGTAGGGACTCGTGGTAGTCGTTATCTACTGATCCGGCGAAAGGATCCCATTCCCCGTTCGATGAGTGCCTGGGGCGTGACAAGCGCGTCTGATCAAGAGACTCGCCCGCACTTGGTGCAGTTCGGTGGTATGTGGAGACCTCCGGTACTTCTTGCAAGCCCCTATGGGTCACGGCGGGGGCATTGGAGCTGACAGCGTCGGATTGCGGGATGCGGAATAGCTCCATTGAGTTGGCCACCAGGAACCAGCCGAGGTATCGGTATTGGTGTTAGCTTGGGCTGGCTGGGATCGAACTTCGTGAAGAGCCCATTCCATGGGAGACGGGATGGAACTATCAGAGTCTGATTGAGAATAGAACAGCCTGGATTCTTGAGCCTGGTTGTTTGCAAGGTTTGCGCCTGGATTGGTCATCCTCTCCATGGGCTGTGGCAGCTCGCTTGTTAAGAGGGATGAACTATACGATTGATTGGCTCCGTCGGTATCCAATCTCAAACTCCTGGAAGACCGAGGTCGAGTTGACGAGACGTCCGGCGCATACTCTTGCAGAGGCGCCGTCAGATTCCAGCCTGGCTCGGTGTTTGTGGTAATGGTATTATTTGCGGCAGCATCGTCCGGAAACCAGGACATGCGATTTGTCCTGTAATCGGCCATGGGCTCAAAGGAATCCTCGAAGTCAAGGAGAGAGTGTGATAAGATGCGTGACAAAGAGTCACGAGCGGTGCCCAGACTGGATTGCGCATTGGAAGCGCGAGCGGCATTGGTCGATTCGAGCTCAGGACGGTCAGTTTGACTCATCCAGAGGGCGTGGTCCTGGTCGACATGGGCCATGGAAGTACTCGTCGAGGTTGAAGTCAAAGGATTGGTGCGCACAGAGCCACCTGCCGGCATAGACGGACCAGCAGCTATCCGAGAGAGCAGGGAGACACGAGGCGAGACCCGGAGAGAGCGCCGAGTGTGTCCAAGAGAAGAACATGATGTTAGTCTAAATTGACGAGCCTGGAATATCACTCACACAAAGGGCCCAAGCCTAAGACCACCGAGGGCCTCTGGCGTTTTGGACGCGCAGGCGGCGCGTCGTCGTTCATCTCCAAATGATCTCCAACAGCACTGGGGATCGCTCGCGAATGATGATGACGATGAGGGTTTAACACGCTGCTGCTGGCCATAGACGAGCCACTCCTGGCTTGGTCTGACGTCTGTGCGGCGTACGAGCTCATTGAGGCCTGGGACATGTCATGATCAGCATAAGATCGCTTTGGAGCACTCCTTCCCGTCGCCATCGTCGTATAGGTAACCGCCTGTGCCATGGCATTCGGAGGCTGAGCGCGTCGTGCGGCGCTCGCGCTGGAGCCAGCGCCAAAGTCCATGATATCTGGGACTTTTCGCAAGTTTACAGCGCGTTATAGTGGTTACTGGCCGCGTACCAGCGAGAATCCTTGGACGACGCGGAATCCAACTTACGAAGCCAGCTCGGTGTTGACACTGAATCCGTCTGAGAGCCACTAAAGCTCGTTTTAGCTCAGTCTCAGTGTCTTGTCAGCGTTTCACTGCATCTACTGCGACTCTAACTCGATTCAGCGTGCTCTAGGGGATTACTAGACTTTGACAATCTAAGCCAACACCAAATGACAGACACTGTACCCGCTCGAACAGCCGTTTGTACCGCCCAACGGCAACACTAGAGCCGCGCGGTTTCGTCGAGGAGCGAGCTCTGTAGGCCGGAATGCACGCCTCGAGACCTGCCATACGCCGGAGAGATCTTTGTCCTTTAAGATGTTTATCCTTTCGTTTTATAATGTCGTTTACCACAGAATTTCCATTCTCCTGAGACGGTCAGCGCCAAGTTTGTAGTAGCTCAGCTTTGGCCCCTCTCCATATTGCTGCCCAATGCCCGTGTGGCTCATCACAGGGTGCAACCCACTCATTTCTTATCTATAAATTTCTATCTGACACATGCACTTGTCCCGTCGGCCTTTTCAAAAATCCCACCAGAGCTTCCCGTGGTATTGGCCTAGGTTTTGTACAAGCACTTGCACAAGATCCGGAAAATGCCGTCCTCGCAACGTGCAGATCTCCAGAAGAGGCAGTCGAGCTCCAGGACATAGCTTGTACGCACGTCTCAATACTTGCCGTACCCTAATTGTCTCAAACACCGATAGCGGCCTCTGAGGATCTGATTAATCTCGTTCAGCTCGACCATGAGAATGCAGACTCTTGTCGCGTCGCTGCAGAGCAAGCAGAGGAGCTTTTAGGGGAATTGCCGATCGACTACATTATCAACAATGCTGCATTCGCATGTCAACTTTTAAACTCTCACTGCCGCATTACTTATCTATGCCTTTCAGCACCCAGGTCACGCCCCTTTGCAATCCGTCTCCCTCCCGGCCTTTCAACGGACCCTTGTTTCCAATGTAGTCGGGCCCACGATGGTTTATCAGACGTTTTACAAGTTTCTGATGAAGTCGGAACGACCCGTTGTGGTCAATATCTCCAGCGGAGCTGCGAGCATTGCAATGGATCTCGGGCCCAGCGCGGGGGCATATTCCGTGAGCAAAGCGGCACTGAATATGCTGGTAGGGATCCTAGGTGTTATCAATTACTCCCCGCTTACGTTATCTACAGACATACAAACTCGCCAAAGAGAATCCAAAGGCGATCATTGTCTCGATCTCTCCAGGATGGGTCAAAACAGGTCAGTCCTCCGCTCACCGCCGTCTATGCAATTGGCATATTGACGGTCCTTTATGACGCACTAAAGCTGACGAACTGGATGTTGCAGATATGGGTGGCTCAGGGGCACAAATAGAAGTCGCGGATAGTGTAAGATCAATGATAAAGCTGATACAGGGCCTCAAACCCCAAGACTCGGGTCTCTTCCTCAACCGAGAGGGGAAGCCTCTGCCGTACTGATCGTCTATTCTTCCCTTTTGTTCGTTGATTACACTCTCTGTACCCTAGAGGCTGGGCGTTGGGTATTGATGACGATAGACATGGATCAGAACGTATGCCACTGAAGGTCTCTTGTTTGGTCCCGATCTTGTCAAGGTTATTCTTGGGCAGCATGGCGACACTATCACAGCCAGATCCAATCCTTCTAACTCTATTCGAAAATCGGTTTATGAGTGTTGCAGAGGCTATGGGCAAGTCATTGAGACAAGTAGGTGACCAGGCCCACCCCACTAGTCCAATTTCCTCGTCGAGAACTAACCGAATCCATTTATAACACTACTCATATCCATAATTCATCGTTATATAATCACCTTTGAAGACTGCCATATCTACAAATATCAAAGAACGGCTCGATTTTAGCTGTGCAATATTCGCGGCCTCTGGAGACCTCGTAGCCAACGCACCTTACATTCCAATCCATCTGGGATCGATGAGCTTTGCGGTGCGCTATCAACTCAAGTTGCATGCGAAGACTTTGCGGGAGGGTGATGTGTTGATGACCAATTCCCCTCGGGCAGGAGGTAGTCATTTGCCAGATATAACTATCATCACACCAGTCTTTTCACCAGAGGACAAGTCAAAGATCATCTTCTTTACCGCGTCGAGAGGCCACCATGCCGATATTGGTGGCATCCTTGCAGGTACGCTCTGCCTAATTATGGTGCCGTGTCTGATTGAAATACACTCTGCCTAATCATGGCGACATGTTTGACGACCAATAGGCTCAATGCCTCCGACGAGCGTCACAATCTTCGACGAGGGAGCTCAGATCGTCTCGTTCAAGATTGTGGACAATGGTACATACAAGCGTGAAGAGTTGGTAGATTACATGTGTGAACGTCCCGCCCAGTATCCCAACAGCTCTGGGTGCAGAAACTTCAAGGACGTTGAGAGTGATTTAAAGGCTGTATGTTTGGCCTAGTTTTGCGAGTCGATATCTGACAAAGACTCGAGCAAATTGCCGCAAACCACAAAGGTGTCGGGCTGATTCATGCTAGTAAGTTCCTTGTATTGCATCTTGCGCATTCTCAGTATCCGCAGTGATCGAAGAGTATGGGCTCCAGACGGTACAAGAATACATGATCCACATTAAGAACAACGCCGAGCAGTCTGTCCGTAGACTTCTCAAGGACGTCGTGAAGCGCCTTGGAACAAATAAGCTATCTGCAGTAGACTATCTTGACGACGGCACGCCAGTGAGTACCTCAGGAGCTGGAAGATCCCACACTCACGTCGATATAGATATGCTTAAAGGTGGCCATCAACGAAAGTGACGGCTCGGCAGTGTTCGACTTTGAGGGGACTGGTCCCGAAGTCCGTGGAAATCTCAATGCCCCAATATCTGTTGTCCATTCGGCCGTAATCTACTGCTTGCGATCGATGCTCAACTCGGATATTCCACTCAACTCTGGGTGCCTAGTTCCCGTCACGGTCAAGATTCCAGAAGACTCACTGCTCAGTCCATCCGATACTGCAGCTGTGTGCGCCGGTAATGTCTTGACGAGCCAACGAATCGTCGATGTGATCCTCAAAGCATTCGATGCCTGCGCTGCAAGTCAGGGATGCACAAAGTGAGACTTTGTTGGAGCCTTGATATTCGTCTGATTACGTATAAGCAACCTCACGTTCGGAGCCGGGGGAAAAGATAGCTCAGGCAAGGTCAAGCCTGGATGGGGCTACTACGAAACGATTGCGGGCGGCTCTGGTGCCGGACCAGACTGGCACGGCACGTCCGGTGTGCACACGCACATTACCAACACCAGAATAGGTGATGTCGAAATCTTGGAGAGGCGGTACCCAGTCTTGGTGAAACGCTTTGAGATTCGAGACGGCAGCGGCGGAAAGGGAGAATTCAACGGTGGCGATGGCGTCGTGAGAGAGTTTGAGTTTTTGCACAAGCTGCAGGTCTCGATTCTGAGCGAGGTGCGCCTCCATCTTTGCTCGGAACTGCCCAGGCAGCTCACCTGCTTCCCAGAGACGTTCTAGACAGCCCTATGGTCTCCACGGAGGTGAGCCGGGGATGAGTGGCCGAAATCTTTGGATCAAACGACTCCGAGAAGAGGACGGTGATCTTCCAGAACAAACACGCAATCCAGCAGAAGGGGACTTGCCGCCAAATAAACCACGCAAGATCAATATCGGTGGCAAGGCGACAATCTTAATGGGAAAGGGAGACTCGCTCATTATCGAGACACCAGGTGGCGGAGGATGGGGGTCACCACGATGAGTAATTTGGAGGTAAAGGGCTGTTATACGGTATAACAAAAGTATGAGAATAAAAAAGGGCATGCTCAATGATGCAAATGCAAGTGACTCGGTCCTTACATCTCGTCCTCGCTCGGCGTCTCCTCTTCATCGTCTTCTTCTTCCGTAGCTGGAGACTCGTCGCCGTTGTCTCCATCCGAGGAAGCCTGAAGCTTTTCGACAACGACATTTCCACCGCCTCTGAGAGCAGAGACGTCTCCCACTGTCGACTTTTCCCCCTTGGTCCACGCAATAATCGACTTGGGGAATGTGATGGCCAAGCGAAAATCCCAGTCCCAATCATGAGAGTCCACGTCTGAAATAGCCACACCTCCAGGTGGATGAATAGGATCGTCTTCGGGAGCTTCCGACCTTGGGATAAACTGCGACGCCACAAAGGCGTATACGCCCGTAATGGTATCCGTCGGTTCGAAACGACGAACAACCAATTGTCCAGATGGCATTCTGAACCGGATCGGAACAGAAGCTTTCGAGTTGAGTTCTGGAGGAACGACTGCTCGTCGTGCATATCGACGCCACGCAGTCTTTTCCGCTTTTTGCCTCAGCCGTTCTTCGGCTTGTTGTTTGAGCAGTCGTTCCCGCTCCGCTGCCTCTGCACGTTGCCGCTCTTCCTCTTCGCGCGCTTTCCTCTCCTCTTCGCGCCGCTTCATAATTTTCTCATAGTCTTTTCGTTGTGACTCTTCGTATGCTCGATCTTGCTCTTGTCGTAGTCGGCGTTCATACTCTCGAGCCTGCTGTTCTGCGCGTCTGCGGTTCAAGACTGGTGCGACGCGCGGAAGAACTGTCGACCGGAGATGATTGGTAAGAGATTCAGCAGAGGTAATCGTGGTAGAGGGACCTGAATGACGGCTGATGACCGTCATTGCATCTCCTCTGTTGGCACGAGCGTAGAGGGCAATAAAGGCAACAAATGGATACGTGGTCGCCCCGAGTTTGATCGCAGCTATTAAAAAAGAAAAAGAAAAGGGGGGTCAACGTCCATGAAACAAGGACTAGGGCATGAAATCACTTACTCTGATAACCATCCTTTTCCGAAACGTCGCCACCCCAGCACAAGATGCGATTATCCGTCAACGCATTGACAAACTCGGTATTAGTGAGCACGTCTCTACGAAACGCAGGAGAGTCGTCGTGTTCTTCGCTGGTGAGGATCACACACAAGACGCGCGCCTCTCGTTCTGCCGTCTTGAGTGCCAAATCAAATCCACCCGTAAAGAAATCTGGAATCGTCTTGGGCCGCTCATGTCGTCTGCGCACAAGAAGAGGGCGCGACGAAGGTCCGGGTTCATTCGATTCGTCCCCACCCTCACCGAGACCCGGCACATCCCTCTGTGCCTCGATAAGTGCCGCTTTGGAAACACAAAGCGCACCCGTCTCTTCTTCAAGCTCGAGCACCCACCGCTCCGCAACCGTCGATGGGTCTTCATCATTGGATCCTCTCCTCCTCCGCCCACCTCGAGACCCATACGCACCAGTACGACTTCCAAACGAAATCCCAAGTGTGCTCATACGCGGGAACGGGATGCGCAAGACCCGGAACACGAAATGCAACACCGACGCCAGCACGCTCAATGGGGCGACGAGCAACGAGAACAATCCGGTTCCAAATCCTCGTCGAGCAGGGATGCGGAGTGGTGAAAACATGTTGGGCCGCGTCTGCGCGTCAAACACAACGTGCGAGTCGTCGATTTCTAGCGAATGAACGGTTCGTGGTGGACTAGTCCTACGAGGTGGAATAGTAGGACCCCCATCTCCATAAATGGCTTGTAATGCGGCCTGGATGGTGTCAGCTCCGTCTGTGCACGGCGCCTGCAGGCCGTGACAAGAAGTTTGAGACTGACCTGGACGTCCCATTCTACAGACTGTAGCAATGAGATTTGTATATCTGGATTCTCACTATTCGTAACAGCTTGCAGCTGCGCCAGCTTTTCCCGTTCTTCGTCTGTCAGTGCATCCACGGTTGACATGGTCGGTGGTCAAGTTTGTGGGCTCGGCGCTCAAAGTCTCTGAAAGCTCAGGAACAAAAAAGAATTGGATGCAGCCGAAGGAAATCTTCTTGAATTGCACAAGTCCATGCGAATCTATCTGTAATAAGCAGACGTGGAAAGGAAAGGGAGGGGAGGGACGACGATAATAAAGTGGGATGGGGTGAGTTGGCGAGGAATGCAAAACGGGAACCAGTCGGAGTCGAGAGGGGCACAACCAGGTCGAAGACGGAGAACGTTCACGTGTATGCTGACGTTGGACTCTTGAAAACCCTGAGCCAGCGACCAAGCGAACGCGTCCAACTCCGAGGCAATAACCAATAAACGCCAGGACGTGCATGCCAACTCGCTGGCTCGTCATCTGCAGTCTTTTCCAGCCCACCCCGTTCAAAGGAGAGGACGGAACTTGAGCGCAGAGCGAGGGACGTGGGGACAGGGTGGAGCTGGAGAGGGAGCAAGCAAGGATAGATTACTGCGTTAATAGCCGCGGAGATGGGGGTGGGGAAAACCAAATCAGACCAAGTAGGAAGTGCATGCAAGACTGGCGTGGATGATGCTAATGCAATGGGCGAGGTTGTTATGACACATTGTCCAATAGACCGTATCCACCACAAGCAATGGACACGACGATTCATGCGATGGGAAGAGGGAGAAAAGGGAGAAGGGGATTCGTGCAGCGGCGTCACAAGAGGCGGGGAGGAGACTACAGGGTGGTTAACTGAGCGCAAAGCGCGAACAGGCCTTTTTTTCGTCGGATTGCAATAGGAGCTGGGGGCGCTAATGGGCTGGTGTTGGCACAAGGGGGGGAGGGCTGGTGGAAATTGTCTAGAGTTCCGAAAGGTCGGTCAGGTCGTGGGCGTCGAAGAGGGATTACCCGACCGCTCGGTGGCTTGTGGGGTAGAGCATTTTCTCGCACCACGGATCCACCCTCCATCGTCATGGCCACCATTAACACGCGCAGCAAAACGCAGTCCCAGTGAGCAGAAACGTCGCCGCAGTGAGGAAATGGATTAGGCGGAGGGATGGAGGGGGAAAAGAAAACGAGTGCAGAGCTCTGGCTTCGCCGGAAGTGAGCGTCGGAAGCAAAGGTGTAGGCGGTTGATATTATGAGTCTTGTATTGTTTGTTGCGGGGAAAAAAAGGAGTGGGAAGAGTGAGCGAGTGAGCGACGAGATTTAACATCCGTCTATCCAACTGTTCCTCGGTGTCGTGTAGCCAGCTTCTGCCCATGTCGTTAGCCCAGAGTCCGTATAAGCCCGCTGATGCCTGCTGATATAGTCCGAAGTAGGAAAGTCTACACATTTTGTGAGCAAAAAATCACGCCAAAACTCTAGAGGCACGCACCCGTTGGATCGCACGTAACCTTTGCGTCTTCTCCATCCGGTTGATACACACGCACATAGTCCACGAGCATCTTTGCAGGGAAATTGAGGCTTTCAGGTTGCACCGCAGCGATTGCTTGGGACAGGGCCAATGCCAGCGTAATGTACTGCAAAAACTGTCAGCATCCAGTCTCGGGCGGACAGCCATTAGCCACGCGCTTACCATGGGCTCATTTGATATCAACCTCTGACCCAGATCCCCGCCTTCTGCTGGCACGGCTGCACCGGTAACACGGTACACCTCAGTATTGGAGCCTCTGACAAAGTGGAGTGCAGCTGCCGATTGGTCGTTTGCATTGGGGACATGCTGATAACCATAGGCAGTGAATTGTGCACCTCCATTCACATACGAATCAGAGGGTGCGTTTACCAGTGCCGAAATGACTTGTTCCCTGGCAAAGTGTCAGCAGAATGATCGTTCATGGGATTGCAACCTACGTAGTACTGCCAGCGTACGTGTTGAGCTGAGCGTGGGTACCGTCTTGGATCGACTGCCCTTGGGCGACAGCCAGCTCAGGGTTCATAGGCGCGATACGGAGACCCTGGGTGATGACGCCCGTTTGCCCTGCATTTGTCGCATAGCCCAGGACATCAATCTGTGGCGCACCGCGACCTCGGAGCTGTGTATCTCCGTTGGGCCCTGGGTGGTTATGGTTTGTCTGCTCTGTTCTACATGTACAGGCGCTGCAAAAGGCAGTCAAAAATCCGCTTCTAATCAGCCATGAATTAAAACGTACGATAATCGCTGAGCTGGCAATGTGCTGAGTGTTCCGTCTCCACCTTGCATGGCCTGGAAAGCTGCATCGCACGAATCATAGCTGTACGGGAATACACCCTCTTCCGAGGCGGCAAAGCCGGAACGTGCGAGGTTGCCCATTGTATACACTTGTGGGTTCTAGTCCAAGGGGAGTGAGCGAAGAGTGGAGCCATTCCAATACAACTCACAAAGCCCGTTTGTGTGTTATCGCCGGGCAACGAGACGGCAACTTCAATGTATCCGCCCGTAAAGCAAAACTTGTTCCAACTTTGGAGCATTCCAGACGTATACGCGTGGCTGCCCGTCGTCTTGTGCTCGAGCGTAATGACGAGATGACCATTTTCGGTCGTGACTTGGTCTTAACGCCGAGATGAGTAACAAGGAAGAAAGAGATGAGGCGACGTACCGGGAATATAGGCGTTGAGATCCAGGTTCTTCCTATCGTAAGTTTCGACGGCTTCCCAAAATGGATCCGCATTAGGACCAAACGTCCGTCCCGACTCTTTGAATTCGTCTGAAAAGACGAGCTTGTACGTGGTCCCGAGTCCAGTCCATGTCTTTGCCTCTTCTGGTGTATCCGGGTCGATCAAGTCGTTTGGACCTCGATCCGTCGTCACGTTTGGCGTCGTGCCACCATTGGGGTTATTCGAATGATCGGTCCCAGTCAAGAGATTACTCCGTGCGTTGGTGTCATAGTACGAAATGACTGGGTACAACGCAAAGAGACCAATGAGGAAGATGAGGATGGCGATCATGACGAAAATGTTGCAAAAACCACGCAAATTAAAGGCACCAATTGGTTCTTTTGTCCCAGGTTCGTCTGGCTTGTGCAATTCATCTTCGGCATCGTCTGGTGCATCCAAGTCCCAGCTCGGGTCGTATTCGTATGCGAGAAAGGCGCCCGAGGGCGGAGGCGTAAGCGTCCCATCTTCTCCAGCTGGCATAGGATACTTGGAGTCTCCAAAGACGGAATACATGGAATTGGAAGAGGAGAGTGTCGAGAAGCGGGACGCTCTTCGCGAGTTTGTCGTCCCTGGAGGTGCGAGGGTGGACATTGGCGGATTGAAATCGTCACCGACACCGGCTAGACGGTAGAGGACCATTGAGGCAGGTCGAGAAGATGACGAACCGGGACGACGGGGAATAGAGAGGGCATTGGGGTTGAGGGGGGAAGGAGTGTTGATAAAGTTGGACGAACGAGAACGTGGTACTGTAGACAAACGAGGGTTTATGAGTATGAAAGAATTCTAAAGGAGGGCGAGTGAAGCGTACCTTCGCCCGAGGTCGAATGGAGCGAGGGCGGCCGAGTTGCCCAAGCATCCGCTGACGAGTGTGGCCTGTTGTGGACTGCATCATACTGGGATTGCGCACCGAGTCCGCTGGCTGTGCTCGAGTCGAGCGCGGATCGCGGACGCTGGCCCAAGCTGCCCGACGGAAGCGCTCTAGGACTGGAAAACTCGCGCGGGGTGGATGAGCCGTCTCCGAGAAGATTATTCGTCTCCTTTGGACTTGTAGGAGAGGCTGAATGCGAGTTTACATGGGCACCGACGGTGATTGCCTGGACGAGCTCAGCGCTCAAGTTTGCCAAGGCGGACCCAGTACTGCTGGTGGACGAGGGACCTTCTCCACTGCTCTCTGCAGTCCCAGATGAAGTGCTGTTTGGAGGTACAACGACAGGTTCTGGGATTGGGATGGGCGCTGGCTTGGGCACGTTGCTCGTCCTCCGCGGCTGCATCGACAGTCTGTTAGCATTACTACTCGTTTGTTGTCCAAGTGAAGATGAAGAAGACGAGGGCCGTGGCTCGCTCGTAGACGACGTCGGGGCTGGCCTGCTCGAACTGCTCACGGGCCTCGCAGACGGCGGCGACGGCAATGCTTTTGTGGGCAACGTCGGGGCTTTGTCCATTGCTCGCCGCGTCTCCAGAATTTATGGCCAATTTTCTGCCAGAGGCCCAACGGGTGGTCGTAAGCAAGGTAAGGACGTTTGAGACGCGACCTGCCATCCGCTTGTCTCTCTCTCTCATTTTCTGCGTCTCGACAGCTTAAGCGCGCAGTATTTATAACAGCCCTCGGTGTTTGCTTTTTTCCTTTTTATTTTCTACTCGTCGCCGCAAGTGCACTGCCTAGACGCGCTCATCGCATTGCCGTCTGCAACCAGCACAATCTCGGGCGGAGAGTTGCATCTGGGTGGGTGGTGCTCGCTCGTTATTGTAAAAAGCCAAGCAACATGGCCAAGCCCCCGTGGGACTGGTCACAATTCAACACCCGTAACAACTCGAATTCATATATCATTCTACTTGTTCAACTCCTCCGCTCGCTTCCTCAGTTCCTCACGAGACTGCCGAGCGTCATCCACTCGGCACCATAAAAAATATACTAAATTTACTTACCAATGGTTGCTCCAAATTACTCTTGACTCCATCATCCAGCACATGAGGTCCCTTGCCCAGTGCCGCTGCGCCAGACCCTGCATACGCAGATTCCCCCTGCTGGAGATCGGCCGGATTATTCGTCTTCTATAACCTCTTTCATGAGAATTCCATGATGAAATATGCGATATAAATAACGACAACAAACGTCGTCCACGGAAACACCGAAAATCCGCTGACGTCGCTCTAATCGCCCCATGTGACGACTTACCGCTGGGTGAGGGAGAATACTAAACGTAGGCTCTTGTTGCTGGTTATCACTCGAGTTGTTCTGGCTGGACATCGTTGAGTGCAAGTTGTGGGCGAGTTCAAGATTGATCCTCTCAGATGACGCACTCTCTCCAGTCAATCGATGGTGATATAGCGGTTACTATACACAAAACCTGCTATGCTGGTGGTGGTGTTGGTGCTTTCAGGTATCGATCTCCATCTTCCACCAAGTTGCCACCCAAATTGTCTGGCAGAGCCAGCGTTCGGTCGTCGATATCCTTGAGCATCTTGCCTCCAAACATCACCGGTCCATTCAACTTTCTAAACTCGGCAATCCGCGCCTCGACTTCTGGTCGGAAATGGCGCATCAGACCCTGGATTGGCCATGCAGCTGCGTCGCCTAGAGCGCAAATGGTACGTCCTTCGACTTGTTTGCTATACCAAACGTTAGAATAGTTCTGGCTGAAAGAAAAGTATGACATACGTAATCTCCAACAGCATGTCAATCTCCCGCTGGTGCGCTTGTCCCTCGACCAGTCGGTTCATCATGTTCATCATCCATGTCGTGCCCTCTCTGCACGGTGTACATTGTCCGCAAGACTCGTGTTTATAAAACTAGTCGAGGTGAGCAAATACTGAGGAAAAATTAAGAGAGAGCAGACCTTTGAGAAGCGCGCAATGGCTGCAACGACGTCTGTGCTCTTGTTCATCACAATAACAGCACCCGTTCCAAGTCCAGACTGAGCATCCTTGAGCGAGTCATAGTCCATCCTAACCCCCGGTCAGATACAATCACGGCCAAAGATTAGAGACAACTCACAAGACTTCGCTGCACTTGTTAATGGGCAGAATTGGTACCGAACTACCTCCTGGAACGATACCCAAGAGATTATCCCATCCACCAATGACGCCTCCACAATGCTTTTCAATCAAATCCTTGAGCGGGATACTCATCTCCTCTTCGACGACACACGGATTGTTCACGTGACCCGAGATGCAAAACAACTTGGTACCCTGGTTCCTCTCACGACCAAACGACGCAAACCAAGGCGCACCCCTTCGACAAATTGTCGGCGCGACCGCAACCGTCTCGACGTTTGCCACCGTCGACGGACACCCAAAGAGACCGACATCAGCCGGGAACGGCGGCTTGAGACGGGGTTTGCCTTGCTTGCCCTCGATACTCTCGATGAGCGCCGTCTCCTCGCCACAAATGTATGCGCCAGCCCCACGGTGAACATAGATATCAAAATCGTATCCGGAACCGCATGCGTTTTTGCCAATCAAGCCCTCTTTGTATGCCTCGTCAATCGCTTGTTGCACACGTTGGGCCTCGAGGTAGAATTCGCCACGGATGTAGATATAGGCTGCGTTGGCATTCATCGCACGTCCTGCGACGAGACATCCCTCGACGAGCTTGTGTGGGTCTCCTCGCATGATTTCGCGGTCCTTGCATGTCCCAGGTTCGCCCTCGTCTGCGTTCACAACCAGGTAGCGAGGTCTAAAAGAATATCAGAGATGCTGTTATAAAAAGTAAGAATGCATACCGTTTGTCCGCCTGCCAGTTTGGCTTATTCATGAAGCTCCATTTCAAGCCACTAGGAAACCCAGCCCCTCCACGGCCACGGAGACCAGAATCCTTGATAGTCTGAATAATCCAATTATCCCCCTTTAACAAAATGTCCTTTGTGCGGTGCCAATCTCCTCGGGACTGCAGAAAACAAAAACACATCATGAGCAATTCGACAAAACGGGTGCGCTGCACAAAAGGCGAACCTTTGCACCCTTGATACCATGGTCATGTCGACAATATGCGTTTGTGAATATTCGATCCTGGTCCCGGAGGCCTCCATAGCGTCGGACGGGCGTGTCTTGCACAGTCGCAAATCCGCGTTGGCGGACGGCGTTTGTCGAGGCTCCTGGTGAGAATGGTGAATAACAAAGTCTGTTATGTAGAATTAGACGGACTAGGTGCCGACGACGACGCTCTGCATGCTCTCAGCATGGCCGCTTCGACAGAGTTCAGCTCCAAGTTGGAATCAACCAATGACCTCGCGCCGATTCTCGACATGCTGCGTCGTCTTTGGAGGAGTATAAACATGCATAAACGGGCTATTTCTTTCACTTGATCGAATCTGTCGGAGGTTTGGACGGCGAGTCCCTGACATACGCTCGCAGTCGTGCCGAACGACGACGTATATTGGACAAAAAGTATCTGTAGAGAGTTGCACGTCTATTAATAGATCCACTAAGCACGCTTATCATTCCGCAGGACTCTCGCCGTTTGACACGGCGTGTCCGTCGCTGCGGCAAACCGCGTCTACAGTATAAAAGTGCAAAGGAATCGACGACAGTTGGTCAAACCATTACACCATGTTCTTCAACACATCACCAGCGCCCCCTTATCCTACCCAAATCACCATTGTCGGTGCTGGCATCGGCGGGCTCATGCTCGCTCGTCTCCTCCAACAAGCCTCCATCGACGTTGTTGTCTATGAGCGTGAAAGGGCCATTACTTCACGCTCCCAAGGTGGCTGTCTCGACATGCACGACGATGGTGGACAACTCGCGCTTCGCAAAGCAGGACTGTGGGAGCAGTTTCGAACGACATGTAGTTTTGAGCCCGACTTGATGATGTTACGCGCCAAGGACGGGTCTCTTGCATTTTCAGAAGATCAGGTTCAACCCAGTGCCGCCACAGCGCCAAACAACCGTCCAGAGATTGGGAGACGAGAGTTGAGACAAATCATGATCGACTCTTTGTTGCCTGGGACAATCAAATGGGGTCATATGCTCAAAGCGGCCGAGCGTGCGCCAGAAGGAGAAGAAGGGTACGCTTGCTCGCTCACGTTTGAACGCGACGAGTCGGATGGAACCAAGGAGACGGTGATTGTTCGACCGCAGTTTGTCGTCGGTGCAGATGGGACCTGGTCACGCATCCGACCTCTGCTCACGGCCGTCAAGCCAGAATACAGTGGCGTTTCCTTTGTGGAGATGGAGATTGTCAACGTCGAAAAGGCACACCCAACGGTGGCCGGGTTTGTCCGTGGGGGACATATGATGGGACTCGGGGACAGCAAGGCCATTATTACCCAACATAATGCCGGCGATATTGTCAAAGTGTATGCAGCCTATCGTGCGCCAGAAACGTGGCTGGGGGAACAGGATATCACTACAAGTGGCGATCCAGAGGCGGTCCGAGGGCGGATATTGAAGACGTTTGATGGATGGTCCGAGCAACTGTTGGAGATTATACGGGCCGTTGAACCAAACTTTGTCGTGAGGCCACTTATGACACTCGATCCCGATCTGACATGGGCAACGACGCGTGGGATCACGCTTTTGGGAGATGCAGCGCATGTCATGACGCCGTTTGCGGGCGAGGGGGCCAACCAGGCGCTTCTGGATGCGGTTGACCTGGGAGAAGTGCTGGTTTCTGTGCTCAAGGGACGCAAGGGAGCGCTCCTCGAGCGGGCTATAGCAGGGTATGAATGCAAGATGCAAGGACGGGCGCGCAAGGCGTCGATAGAGTCGATGTACAACATGGATCTATTTATCGCAGAGGATGCGCCCAAACGAGCGGTAGAACGGATGCGGCTGCTCTTCTCACTGTGGCCTCCTCGACCACTGATTTTCTTCCGGGCGCTGTACGGGCTGTATACGTCTTCGTAGAGAGAATATAGAAATAATGATATGACGTCTGAAATATTATCGGAAGATGGGTGGTGATCGATTGATGCGAACCAGCCGCGCTCCCTTACTCGCTACGCTCCTCGTCGTCGTCTCGACTTCCCAGCTGTCTGGCCCGGGGGGTCATGTGGCCTGTGCGCCCTTTTCCTGTCCTTTTTTCTTTTGAATGCCCTACGCGATGTCTCAATTCCGACTTCCATCACCAAACTTTTTTTTTTCAATTATCCCACCATCTGTCATCCTGCCATTTTTTCTTTCTTTTCTATTTATTTGGTTTGTCACCGAGTGGCCGCCCTGCGACATCTCGCCATCTCTCTTGCTCCCTCCCGCGTCTGGCTGCTTGCTCCCCTGCCCGCCGTGCTCGCTGTCTAGCACATTTCTCGCAGTTTTCTCTACGCTCAACTCTGCGTTTTGTACGCCTTTGTTATCCTCTCGACGCTCGTCCGAGTCGACCCATTACGCCAGAGCCTAGTTCCCAACTCGTTAGTGGCAGCGTCTATCCGTCTCTCCAGCTCATCCCCGTCATTTCTAGACTGTTATTGGCAGCTTCCCAGGCTCGTTTCTTCACCCATCCGCAGACGCGCAGCGCATCGCCCGCCTCGTCCAAATAAATTCAACAAGTGTCGATTGCTAACCAGCCGCTGCAGCCTCGCGTCTTGTCAGAGCCCATCTACGTAAAAAATTCCGTGTTGTGCATTTTATCCAGCGGCCGTCCTCGTTCTCGTTCATATCGTGAACTGGTCGCTCGCCAGTATTGGTGCTGCCCACCTGCCCTTTCCGGCCACCCTCGAAACGCCCTTACGTTTTCCCTCCCCAAAACCCGATCCAACAGAATATCATGTCACACAGCAGGACCCGTTCGGCCGGTTTTGCGTCCCAATCTGCACCCTCGTCCTCCTCGATCCGAGACGCTGCTGAGCGAAGAACGTCCCACAAGGGCAAGCGAGCAAAGGAATTGACGTGCGAAACTTGCGGAAAGGTCAGATCCCAATCTCCCTCGGCTGCCATCAATGTCGTAAATCACATCATACTCACATAATCCAATTTTTGACAGGTTTACAAGGCATGTCGTTGACTGTTTGACCCCTGGCCAACCCGTTTCACGCTTTTCCAATAGCACCCCGTTTGTCTTCAGAAACACCGATGGGAACATAATCCACTCTGGAGGGATACCGCCCAGTTGCTCTTGAGCAAACACCAACAAGTTCAGGTCATGGAAGCCGCCGCGATCCTCGTCCACGGTTCTTCTCTCCCTCAAGATAGAGCACTCTGGCCAAGCTACATGTCCGGCGGTGCCTTGGCCTCTCCTCGCTCGAGCACTGAAGAAAAGCCTTCCTCTGCCGACACTTACGGCGCCCGCTCGCCGGCATCGACCACGCGATTCGGCGCAAACTCATCTCAGTTTGATGACGAAGAGCTCGAAGATGTTTCAGAGCAAGAAGACGAAGAGGCGGACCAAGGCGAGAATACCGACGAGAGCGACGAACCCGCGATGAGCGTCGTCGATTCTACCTTGAGTCCTGGACGTACCCGCAGCCATTCGACGGGTGTTCAAACCCACATGCCCCATCTCCGTGCATCATATGGAGGACACCCAAACACATATGGATGGGGAGTCATTGCCGAATCCGGACAGCACAATGCCTTCTCGGGCAGCGTTGGCACAAAGTCTCCAACTTCTGAGTAGGTTTATTCCATTGTTTTACGCCAAATTTTTCCAATTGACAATATCCTATAGGATGGCTCGCAGCCCAATGGCCATCCCAAATGGAAATGTCGAGGGTGCATATCATCCTTCTTCCTTTAGTCGCCCAACGCATTACCAGCACCAATCCATGTCGTCCTTTGGCTCCTTTACGCATTCTTTCAGCTCTGCCTCTGCATCGTCCTATATTCCCAGCTCGTCCATGCGTAGCCGCGACGGATTGGCAGACGAAGAGGACCCCAAGCAGATGGAAGACATGGACGACGAGGATATCTACGACTATAGCCATTCCGCTCGCACATCAAGCCTTTACACCCGTCTCACGTCAGTGGCAAAGGGCCCTGCCTCCAGAATGGCTTACACGCGCGGAGGTGGACAGCACGTCGGGTTTGCCTCGAGTGGCAAATCTGTCTCGCCCGATCGGAGCAGGGATGAGGACATGTATACCATGGACATGGATTGATTTTCCATTCAACGGGACGAGGATACCCTACTCGAGTTCTTTCCCCCTTTTGACTTTTCACGTCTGTCGAGTTCAACACCGTCGATACCCTCCACCTCTCGACTTGCTTCTTCTTCAATGGGCTGTCCAACCAGCCCGCAATTCGACCTTGTGATCATCCCCTTCTTCCTCCACCCACCACATCACACACACACGACCAACGGACACACTCTTACGGGACATATTCCCACATCTTGCAGGCGCACACGCACGCACACCGAAGCCCACCACCACCACATTCGCCTTTCCCGAAATGAACCCCATGTCCACCAGACCAACCCGTCTAACTAGGTTAGTCCGGACGCCCTTCACCGCCAGCGAAGTCGAAACGACCAAATCTCGCTTGGAAACACGCCGTACGCACGCCCGTACGTGTAGGGCCGCACACGACGTTTGTCGCGGCACTTTTTTTGTATCACCAATTCTTTTCATGCAGCCTCGCCAGTCTCGTTCATTCCTCGTCGTTTTCTCTCTGGATCTCACACTTCTCGTCTCTCTGGAGCTCCGCTTTGGCATGTGGTCGAACCCCCCCTCCTTGGACTCGTCGGATGTTCTTTTGCAATTTGATTTGTGGCAAAGACCTAGGCGTCTCCGGGGTCGGGTGGCCAACTTGTCGATTCCAAATTTCCTTGGCGCCCATTCGTGATTTCCGTTACTTAACTCTGCTCTCTCTCTCTCTCTCTCTGACATGGACATGACACTCTTGTGTACCACCACGATCATTGCTGCCCTCTTCCCACTCTCGTCGCGATAGTGCCGCTTGTCGGGAAGATGACGCTGGGCGATGCTCAGTTTTCTTGCCTTCTCCCGGAAGTTGAATTGTATCCTGTATAGTAGCGAGTAGAAGTCAAAGAAGTCAAATCAAAAGACACTATCTACGAACATTATCAGATGAAATTTGACGCCTGACTACATAATTAGTTAATTCGTGTGCAAGGAAAAGGCAGGTTTCTAGACCGTTGAAGGCTGATTGCAATTGAGCGGGAACCCGGCGAGAAGTGTCTATAAACGGTGACCATCTGTCATCCATAACCTGGGGTCCTCCACAGATGAATGAGAATAGTTTGGCGTATGGCGTGCCATTGACAAAGGCTCAGCCCTTGACCCTGCTCTTCTAGCGGGGTGGGCGGATAAACATTAATCGCAGACACGCTCCAGCTGTCCAAAAACATGGTGTAAAGCGTCAGGACTTGGTATTGGAATTCCAAAGATACCGATCTGACCCTAGAGAAGAGAACCCATAGGACGATCAGCAAACGCACACAAATCCAGACCGCGTGCTCACCCTTATACAGCCATCATGATGACCTCTTACACCCCTCGTTTTCTATTGCTGCGCCCCCGTCAAGAAGGGCCCCCTTGATTGCCTGTGGAGACGTCAAACTGGTGTACCAGCACCCGGTGCACCTGATTTACGGTGATGCACAGTCCGCTTTAGACATTGATGCCGGCGTATCGTGCGTGTTCCTCGCGGCATATGGACGGAAAGTACGAGCTAGCGTGCGGATAAGACGCAACGGACGGACACGGCGAGGTAGAGGCACACCAATGGGCAGGTTCTCGAGCTCCGTCATTGAAATCGAGTAGAATTATTGTTCCTCTGTAATCGGTTGGATGGGCAGTGGGTTTGGGTAGGGCCACGGACACATCCCGCGCGCCCGAGTATAGATCAATATGAATTCACTACTGAAATCAACGTGGTGCATTTTGTTTCGATTCCATCAATAAATTGCTTGGGAAGTGCTTCGACCTGACATTTTCGGGGGTCTTGGGCAGTTTGCTCGCGCCTTTGCCTTGATAATGGACAGTTTAATGAAGTGATGAGACGCAGCGATTGAGTAGTGTGCCTTTTCGGCGAGGTGGCGACGAGGTAAATTGCGTCAGGCTTGCACCCGTCAATACAGTCAGTGCTTGAGGAAGGTGGTAAGAATTCAAGACGTCACAACCATACAAAGATTGCTATATTGCATATTTGAGAATTAAAGCGTCAACTAAGAACACGTACCTTGGCCGATAGTCCCGTGGGCGTCAGGATGATTTGAGAGCTCGCGATGCAACTCGTCTGCAATCAAATTTATATGTATGTCAATCACAGCGGATACACACATGGTGGGAAGCAGTTGAGCGCCATAGGCGGCAGGGTGTGACATTTGACTTGGGGTGACAATGCGAGCGCTGGTGATCTCTCCAAGATTCGGATCTTTCAAGAGAAACCCCAATCATAAAGAGTGAGGCTGGTGTTTTTTTTTCTTGCGTTTTCGAGTGGGCTACACTCGAACTTGGCGAAGCAAGCTCGACCCGATCTGGTCACTCGCTCCCACACGAATGCATGTCAGAATTTTAGAAGAGGCGAGGTTGGTAATACTGAAAGACCGGGTATTATAGCCACTACCACGGATTCCAGGGGAAAGGGTCGCCCGATAGAATAGGTGGAAGAGTCACACCATACCAGAGGAACGGTGGTCATATTCAACCTGCTTTTGTGGTGGTTTGACCTCGGCATCTCCGTACAAGATGCATAGAGCGCATTCTCGAACATTGGTTGCCGCGGCCGTCGGAAAGTCACCCAATTATTGACCCAGCATAGTACCTGAGATCAAGGGCGCTGGTAAGCTAGTCAACGCTTGCCTCTCGCGACCACACTCGTATCCACTCGACGGGCCAATCTCGCCGCTCGTGCGGAAGAGCGACTCGTGTCTTGTCGTAAGCGATGTATACGCCATAATCGATTCGCTCGAGCTTTGTTTGAACCGCAAGAGCTTGACGAACTCTATGCAGATTCACGAGGATCGCGTTCTTGCGTGCCGGATTTGCGGGAGCTTTGGAAGAGAGGAGGAGCCGTTTCAAAAACGGAATTCCTGGTTTCATTTGGGACCCTCCGGTGAGGTGGTGAGCTTGTCGTTGATGACATGTTCAGGTCTCGTTGATGTAATCTGTACCTCCTCCAGCCGTGATGACAGCTGCATCAAAATCTGCACCAACTGTGCTTCGGTACAGCTCCTGTCGATGTAGAGTATCTTGGGCGTTAGACCCTTTAAAATGAACGGTCTGCCATGTACCGTAGGCTGTAGCAAAAGCCCTTCGATGCTGAGATACTGAAGCCGAGGAGCATACAACCTTTCCACCTCTAGAGGATTCACGCACAGATACAGGTGCGTCAAGGAAGGAAATGGAGGAATCATTGCGTTAACCGCCAGCCACGAGCGAGTGTAGAGTGTCAAATGGGTGAGAGATTCGTACACTTGAGGATCAAAAGTGGCAAAGTTGAATGTGTTTGCTAGTGTAAGTTGTCGTAGGGCTATATCCGTCGGCAGAAGTACCTTGTTCCCTCCATGACTGACGGCAACCTCCAGCTGGTCTAGGAGACTGGCTTTCGAGAGGTCGAGATTGCCATCGGTCTCTACTTCCAAGCAGCGCAGCCGCTCCACGATGCCTGGATACGTAGGCAAACGCGACACGCTCCAATCCGAGGAGCCCCGTCCCATCACGAGAGACTCGAGCCGGAATGCAGTCTTTTCCAGCTGCTCGAAGAGCGCTTTCATCTCGAACGCAATCGGTCCTACAACGCCTTGTAGGACAAGCCGTTCCAATGCGACGAAATTTGCTGTATAGAAGAGTCTCAATAGCCGGTCTCCTCCGGAGAGTGCCGAAACACTCCTCATGGTCAGCGAGTGGCATCTGGACACCCAGTCTGACGTAACATCCTTGGTGAATCCATCGATATCCACCTTGGAGAAGCTCAATCGACTCATCGAAATGGTCAGGTCGAGAGATGCTCTCCCTGCTCGCCGAATGGCCAGAGCAAACGTTTTCAGGCTGCAACATTGGATTCTATCTGGACTCTTGAAGTCTTCGGTGGGACCAAGGGTGACCTTGGCCCAGAGAGACGATGTTGATATTGCTGTCGAGTACCAGACTTTGCAGACATAGAGCAGATCGAGTGGCGAGCACTTGTTGGACCACACATGGTAGAGGAAGACATCGCGGAGGACCTCGAGAGGTATCCGGTCGATGGATGAACAACCAAAATCCATCAATTGACGGCTATGCAACGCAAGGCAAGCTGGGCCAGGTAACAGAGGGATTCGAGATAGTTGTCACGTTTGACGAGCGTCGACTGATGGCGAAAAGTTGGAAGAATAATTTTGGAAAATGTCTCTCGTCAGAAGGCGGTCACAAAATCCCAACGCTCAAAAGGGTCGAGAAAGAGTTGAGTTTGCCACCGAGTTTAGCAAAATGCACAATTTCAGGCGAGAAACGACTGTGATTTGTGGATACACAGAATACATAACATCCGTGGTAAAAGGACTGGACACTCGCTTTGTGCAGCAATGATACAACACGCCGCAAGCAACGGAACCCAACCTGCTGACTGCTAGGAAACGTTAAATAAGGCACGTGATGGACTAAGAGTACTTTCCTCTTTTAGAGGTAAGGAAGAAGCGCCTCGGGGAGGATACGGGGGATGGCAGCACCCGACGGGGGCTCGATTGACTGGAAGTAATCCTGCGCAAAATTAACCAGAGTTCAAAAGTATAACACATAAAACTTACTCCCCACCATGGTCCTGTTCGCCGAAGAAAGGTCCAGTAAGTAAAAGATTCCCTGTGAACTGCTTTCCTACTCACCAGCAGCCCACCAGAGGGCGCCTTGAACAAATCTCAGCACCAATTAATATGAGACCGGGTAACAACTCACCAATCCAGGTTCCACCCTGCTGCTGCAAGTGGCAGAGAGCGCCCTTGACTGCGGCAATGCAAGCGTCGTTGCTTCCGGCGCCAATTTCTCCGAGGAAGCCCTTGAGATTGTTGGCCTTGAGCCAGTTCGTGGCTGCAGTAAGACGCTCGACACCAATGGTAGAAGAGACGCAAGTTGCGCTAGTACCCGAGCCGTCCGAGTCAAGATACTGATGCATCTCAATCGCAAAGTTGTTGACCGGATCGGTAATGGACTTGAAGGCGTCGCCGTTGCCAGAGGAGACCCAGGCTATGGTGATTATGAGAAAGGGCGGCACCGTTATTCACTAGTACTTACTCCATGCACCACTCCAAGATGTACCCTCGACAAGAATAAGCTGCTTAGCTCCAGAGGCTCGAACACCATTGATTCCTGCCTGCATGAGAGCGGCGGCATCAGAAGCAGACATGTCGTGTGGCTCGTTGTTCAAATCAAAGATGACGTTTGCGTTTGAGCTCTACTGAATATGAGTTAAGAAGACTCCCTAGTACGGAGACACTGACAAATTCCGAGGCCATGTTCTTCCACCAAGTTTGGAACTGGGATGGGGTGATGATGGCGTTGTTGTATCTTGCAAAGTTGTGTGGGTCAAGAATGGCATATCCTCCTTTGTTGGTGATGTAGTTGACGATGGTCTTGAGTCCGTTGAGATATGTCGAGTCGAAAGAGCCGGTAAGGCCAGTGGAGATTGGCGACATGCGCTCCATCAAGAATGCGATACGGAAGGTGTTCATACCCTTGCCTAGGACATGTCAGAAATTGCAGCCACTTGTCCACTAGAATCGCCCACGTACCCATGAAATAGTCCACAGAGGAGGGGCTTGGCCAAGTATAGTCCTTTAGACGTTAGTAAGTGTCGAGTCAGAGTTTTAGACCTACGGTACCCAGACTAAGGACGTCAGCAATAGAGTCGGCACAGCAGGTGGGGGACTTACACTCCCGGCCATTTCGTCTGTCCAAACTCGGCGGAGCTCTCGTTCACTAACGACGTCAATCCCGCTATTCGTTATGACTAAAAGCAAGGCTCACCTCCAAAGTACTTGAATTTGGTTCGGTTGCTGCAAGATCCACTACTGGAAGACGGCGTGCTTGAGGATGAAGACGAGGAACGAGAAGTGCTAGACGAGGAGCGGGAGGTGCTAGACGAAGAACGCGTGCTAGACGTGCTCGTGGCTCGAGTTGAGCTAGAGGTGGTAGCTCCCTTCTGGCACTGGTAATACCCTATAGCGAGTTAACCTAAGCATTTATGAAGAGTATGGCCTACAGTCGTTGATATAAACACAGACAAGCCCACTATCGCAGGTCTTGGAGCCAGTATAGTTGATGCCTGCTGCTCTTCAGCGTTCCCTTTAGGACGATCATCGCCAACAAACCTCCACCTAAGGAGCGTCAGCCCATGCTTGAGCGGATAAAACTATAACCAACATTGCCCCCATTCACCAACTCCGAGGACTGGTGTAATGAGCGTGGCAAGAGCAGCAATCGCAACCGAAAGCCTCATTTTGAAGGAGGGAGGGCGAAGTTTGAGGTGGAGCCGTCCCGCAGCGTCCTCTTTTAAAGCTGACCAGGCACAGTTGAGATAGTCCGTTTTTTTATAGCCATCTACCGGTTGCGGATAAAAGAAGGTTCCAACAATTCGTCGATCAATAACCGAGCATCCAGTCCGAATGACTGACGGGTAGATACCAGACGGAGTAGGAGTATTCTCAAGAGGTCTTCGTGACTGTTACAGAGACTTTCTACAGCCCGCATGCGAGAGCGCGGTCATAGTCCCATCGTGAAAACCAAGCGTAGTCGAGGAGCGTGACCGACAATTCAGCGCGAGAAGCAACGGTTGTCGCAGCCAGTCGGGTCATATGGCATCCTAGCATCGAGGACTTCGCACCGGAAAAGACACCAATTTGCCACGGCGGAATCCAAGGGTGAAGACGATTCCCGCGCGGACTTCACGGTCCGCCAATATATGCGATTTGCTGAATCAAAACCGCTTCTACTCTCCGAGGCCTGCAGAAAAGCTCACTTCTATGCAGTTCTGGCGAGTGTCCTATCGGACGTCATCCGTGGGCGGAAACAAGTGGTATATAGAGCCGTGTGCCACACATACATGTGAAAGGAATCGTCCTTGATATAACATCCTATTGGGTACTGGAATGAGTCTGATTTCTTGGGAGATTATGTCGGTCGTGACAGCAGATCCGTTGGGACAAATTAGATTTCTACACATAATCAATGGTGCCCAGTTCTAATCTGAAAGAACCTGATCTAATCATTGCGTAGTACCGAGTTGCAATGGAGAGCAGGAAAGTGGCACGTTGCATGTACTATAATGGCTGAGGTTTGCCTCAGTCCGGACATTCAAAGCGCACTCGATCGTATACCAGAGGATGAGCGTGCGTTGGTGAAGAGCGAGTCCTGCCCCCAAGATCACGCCACCATGTCGAGGGACATTTGTTGGACTCCAAGTTTTCTGTCTCATTTTTTGTGAGAAGTACCACTTTGATACAGATAACATAGCTCCTTTTAGGAAGAGAGCTTAATATGCTCTTTCTCCAATACGCGCTCGCGAGAGTTCGCGTCTGGGATTACTTGTCAAATGATTTTGTGGCGACCCACAGATGCAACTAGATATGTACGTGTGGCACAGAAAAAGTAATCTCGAGCTATGCTCAGGCCAAACTCGAGGCCGGCTCATGCACCCAAGGGCAGTATTGAGCAACGCAGACAGACTGGGGATACGGAGGTGCTTGCCCCGTTTATCCTAGGGTACCGAGTATCGAGCTGGGCCCACCCTTCCATGCACCAAGTGCCCTCGTAGAAGCAGCACACACCTGCATTCATACGGTACAACAGTAGTATCAACCATCTAGATCACTTGTCTATCAAGCGAATGAGCAAGGACATGCATTACTAAAAGATGGTCGAGATCGGGTCCAAGTTGCGTTTGACGGAGGGTGGACAAGAGGTGGGTTTATAGGCCAGCCGGCTGCCGTTGCTGATTCGCCACTTCCATTGAGTATTCCTCCTCACGTTGCATTCAATGTAAGCTTCCTTATTTAACCAGTTTCCCTCCCTTCAAAGGAAATCCTGATATGGATACATTCAACCAGTGACAATTGTTCCGCGTCTAATCAACCGAGGACGCTTTGATCCTAGAGCTCAATGAGGGCCAAGTGTCCAATACGGGATTTGATACGAAGAGGCCACCACTTGTCAATTCTTCGAGCCGACGGTTATGGCTACTTTCAAAGTACTCGATGTTCGTCGGCGAAACCCTATAGGCGTCTGTAGCTGCCCAATGGAGCGAAACCTGCGTCATGAGCTACGCAAATACCAGTAGACTGTCCTGATTAGGTAAGGGTGCAAGCACACGACGCTCTTGAAATGAAAAACACCCAAGAGCAGGGTTGCTCCGTCTTTGGTGTCGACCCTCATCTAGCGGGGGAAAAAGATATACTACCACGAAGCCAGGAGGGTTGAGCTTCACTTAGAGCCAAACAGGTTCACAGCATTGCAGGAAACGAGAGTCGTTGCTCGTCGCATTTTGTCTAAAGGAATGTGACAAAGAGAGCGGGAATACGAGATGACACTGATAAATCCTCCATCCAGATTGATAACGATTGGTCCTAGGAGAGTCGTTGAGTACATGCTTCCAAACAATCCACACCTGACACACCGTTTATGCGAAAGGAAGCAGTGCTTCGGGAAGGATACGGGCGATGGCAGGACCCGACGGCGGCTCGATGGATTGGTAGTAATTCTGCAATATGGTAAGCAAATGTCGAAGATGAGTGATTAGTAACACTTACTCCCCACCATGGTCCTGTGAACAGAAAGCAGTACTCGTGAGTGGAAGAACCTGAAATTTTGAAGAACACTCACCAGCAGCCCACCAAGCAAAGCCTGAAACCGAGAAATTGGGTCAGCAATAGTCTTATCAAGGCACGCAAGGTACACACCGATCCAGACCTGTCAATGTGATCAGTACGAGATTCGATAAATAGAGAAAAGCAAATACATCGGATGTTTGCATCAAGCAAAGCGCTCCGCGGATAGCAGAGATACAGTCGTTATTCGAACCGGCACCTGTTAGAATTTAATGAGCATCCCTCGACTAGACAATCGAAACACTAACCCAACTCTCCGATGAATCCCTTCTTGTTATTTGCCTTGAGCCAGTTGGTCGCAACTTGGAGACGTTCGGCACCGACGGTCGGGCTAACGCAAGTGGAGTTGGTTCCAGAACCATCAGTATCAAGATACTGGTGCATCTCGATGACAACGTTGTTCAATGGATCAGAAATAGTCTTGAAGGCGTCGCCGTTGCCCGAGGACTCCCAAGACCAAGCTCCAGTCCAGCTAGTTCCCTGGACGAAGACGGACTGGGTGGCACCAGCGGCGCGAACACCGTCGAGACCGGCTTGCATGAGTGCGGCGGCGTCCGTGGCAGGGATCCCCCATGGCTCGTTGTTCAAGTCAAAGATGACATGGTCATTGGTAAGGAATTCAGTGGCCATATTCTTCCACCACGTCTTGAATAGCGAGACATCCGTGATGACCGAGCCGTTGTAACGGGCATAGTTGTGAGTCAAGTGCGGCGTATCCACCCTTGCTGGTGATATAGTTGACAATAGTCTTCAATCCAGAGAGATATGCCGAGTCGAACGGGCCGGTGAGGCCAGTTGCGGGTGGCGACATGCGCTCCATCATAAAGGGGATACGGAAGAAGTTCATGCCCTTGCCTAGGGTACGTTAGCGTTCCAGACCACCAGAGCTGTAGACTGGATACTCACCCAAGAAGTAGTCTACAGACGATGGCGATGGCCAAGTATAATCCTTGTTCAACCTGAATGGCTTTCAGAGTCGCCCACCCACCAAACCGAGATTCACTCACGTTCCTGGAACTGCAGATCCAAACTCTGCGCTGCTTTCATTGACTATCGGGGATATTAGGGGGGAAGTTGATTATAAACGGCCACAAACCTCCGAAGTACTTGAACTTCTTGGCACCGGGGCAGACATATGTCGATGTTGCGGACGTCGAAGAACTTGTACTGGACGTAGTCGTCGTCGAGATGCTTGTAGAAGTTGATTGAGAAGTCGAGGTAGAGCTGCTCGAGCTCAGGGTGCTCGTAGACGACGACAACGTAGTGCTCGTTGTACGTGTCGATGTCGATGTCGATGTCGATGTCGACGTAGGAGAGTAGGGAGGAGCGAGCTAAGTAGCATCAGTTTCACAGTTCGCGCCAAGGGAAATGAGCTACCTTGAGGCATTGGTAGTAGTCTACCCGAGCGTCATTATAGAATCAAAAGAAAGGGCCCAGAGTACTCACATTCACTAAGCTCGACGCAGACAAGTCCGTCGTCGCACTTTCCAGTGGTCACACCTCCGCCACCGCAGGTATCCCAGCGACTGATACCGAGTGCCTGGGGAAGTAGAGCAGCGATTACTGCAAGAGAAAGGGAGAGCTTCATCGTTTACCAAACGGCCCGGGAGACTGAGGTTGTCGTCGTGTAGCGGCTTCATCGTCGATATTTATGCTTTCCATCCCTCCCAAGAGATTTCTCCACGCAAATACTCCGGTCGTTCACCGTCGATGCCGAGGTCGGAAAAAAGAAACTGTGTAGAAGACGCGCGTGTTTGCACGAAGAACCGTGCTGATAGCTGTCAGGGCCCTGCGTTTTATGCGAGATTTGTGGAGAAGCGTACCATGATGCAGTTTGTAATCACAATTCCCAGTATTCAGCCCTACCCGGCTTGGGACGACGGTCGACAGGTTAGTCCATGTCATTTGAAACACGGTGCGACAGATCCGCATGAATCTTGGCCGAATACATTGAGCCTTGATTCATCAAGTCGCATGAATACATTAACAATGGCCAATTGCTTCTCTTGAGGGTTACAGGATGGCTTCCGAACAACCACTCACCGACATTTGTGCGTCCGAGGAACCCACGCACATTCGGTAGCGAGAAACTAAGAGTGTGAGAGATACGGAAGTTTTGTGATGCCCATCGTACGTACCAGAACGATCGGCAAGGGATTCAAGCAAAACACAGATTATTCCGTACGCAAACCACGTGTTCATTTCGAGGATCATGCCGGGCGCAGCCGAACTCATGACTGCTGGTCAAGGTAGGATCTGGTGTGTTCGAATATTGTGGATTGAGGCTGGCTGGTATATGCTGATCTTTGAGCATAAGTAACTACCTTGTATTGTGAGGAGAGAGCCTTGCAGGGCCACCTGGTGGATTGTCAAGAGTCGTTTGCTCGAGCTATGGCCAGCATTAATTGTGCAAGGTCCAGGGAGACATAGTAATTAAGTCCACGAGGCTTTTAGGTCAACGTATCGGATTCTGGTATACACGCGCCAACGAGGCGGGGTAAAAGGTGTTGGTCCTTTTTGGCCGCGTTCCCTTCCAGGTCCATCTCAACTGGGCCCCCCAATTTTCAACAAACTATTCACGACAATTTTCAATTATTATTATCATGACCAACACGCACAAGAGCTTGCTGTTCTTGCCGCTTTTCCTTCTTGCACATGTCCTCGCTGTCACCGGCGCCGACGCAGAAGCACCAAATGCGCTTACAACGAATACAACATGCACTTATGATCACCTCGCACGCACTCACACCTCGCCCGACCGTCGACAACGCTGGTGGTCCAAGTTGAGCGAGTTTCTGCTGCTGCATCTCCCCGGGGACGCCTATTCAGATGAACAAGGCTTCTTTAACGACCTACAACTTGCGCTGAACACAGTCCCACCTAGCCGCGCTGACGACCTGGACCCGGATGAGCTCTGCAGTCCGCGCCACCAGCTATTTCCACGCGATCAGCAGGTGCTGAAGACGAAATGCCGCGTAAAACCTGTTCATTACCATCCGGGATGGAACGGAGATATTCCAAATTATACCCCCACCGACTCCAACGGCAATCCACTCCCCACACAAACAATAGGAGATGGCCACGGTGGCTTTGGTCAAGAAATTATTGGTGTAAACACGAGATGCCCTTACAATAACGTTGGGCCTGGTGCTACCGGTATGTAGCCCTGCGTTTGCAGAGTTTTTGGCTCGCTAATCTTGGCTTTCTCTTAGTTGCTACCAACACGAGCACAGGCCCGAACGGCCAATTTACATGGCTGACATGTGGCCTCGATCCCAAGAATAACAGCATTGGGTGGACACCGCCCTATGCTACCGCCGACCAGGTCATCACCTTCCAAGGTGGGCTGCGTGCGGCTATTAAAGCCGAAGGAAGTCCCTACAAATCTTGCGCCAAGTTTGTGGAGCTTTTCGAGACGGCCGGCGCCGAGTTCCAGGGTGTGCCACTTCCGAACCGCACTTTAGCGTCGCTAACTCCGCTCAGTTCCTCCACTGTTCATTGCCGCCTTTGCACTTCAAGAATCCGGTTGCAATCCTGATATTGATGGAGCCGGTGGAGAGCAAGGTATGATGCAAATCAGTCCGGTATGTATTTTCTTACTCGATGAGAATGTACCTGATATTCGAATAGGAAAAGTGCGATAAGGCGCCTGGAGGAAACTGCAAGGACGTTATTTACAATGTTCGAACCGCCGTCAAATACTTTAGCGACGTCTTGAAGTCTGTCAACGGCAACGTCTTCGAGGCAGTGGGACTTTACAACGGCTGGTCAGTCCCTTTCGATCAAGTCTTCGCTCTATCTGACACTTTCATTACAGGATACGTGGAATGTCATACAAGTACGTCTTGTCATCGCCTATAAAGGCTTTGTTGCTGACCAGAAACTCAGGGAGAGCACCACTTGGGGTATCAACGGCGATTGCTGTAGATGTCAGCGCAACCTGAGCTATCTTTCTCAATTCTTCAACGGCTGGCTCCAAAACATGGACGCCTGGGCGCTCATGCTGGGCTCGATCCACAACACGGCCGACTGTCCCGCTTGAAGAGGGACTAGTTGTTTCTCTTTCTATCTGGCTTATTATGCGTTACATCCTGTGTTTATATGATGCCGCCTTTCCTGATGGCAAGGGTTCACTTCTCTACCTACTGTTCTAATGGGCAAGTCCTCGTTCTAGACTTATTAAAGATGTGTTTCTATTCGCCAAATCTACTTGGTCCCGTTTGATGAATCCCCTGCCCGTAACGAAGTGGAGGGAAGGGTCTTACAGGCCTTCACCAGGCACAGTAATTGAAATGTCTGCACGATTTTCAACTAGTATTTGGCTCCTTGTCAAACTGTGGCGGCTACCTCAAAGCCCTGCTCGAGCCTTTGTCCTAAAGTCTTTGTTCTCCTGGCTGGAGCTCACTGGCCTCCCCTCCGACCTTGCGCTCCCAATGCATATCAGTGGTCTTTGTCAGCTAATTGTACAGGCGGACCGCAGCCTTTTGGCCTATCCTCCCCGGTTTCTTGACTTCAGCACCGATGCCGAAGGGCGAGTCAAGCTTGCCCACCCTTCGCTCAACAATTCTGGGTTCTATCAGTATCGTTCAATGCTTCTGCATACTAAGGGAGATGCAATGCTGCCATTAGCTTCCATGGCACCCGACACTCTGGCTCCGCCACATTCATCTGATTGGAAACATTGACGAACGTCTGGGCAACCTCACCCAATTCATTGAGTTTTGTTACACGCAACAGACTCTCACCAGTACGTTCTCCCTATCACTATGGATTGTACTGACACTCCCTAGACAACACCCTCCCGCTCGAACACGTTCAGTTTGGCTTCGAAGTCTACTCACCGCTGACCTTTTTTCCTGTAAAGCTATCTAATTTGCCACCTCAAGGTGCGCCGGGCCTTTTGATACCCCTGGACTTACTCTGACTGCCTGTAGGTGTTGCCGGCGCTGCCTGTATACCACGCGAGCATTCCAAAGGCATTTCACACGAGCCTCTGCGCTCGTTTCACCGATCAGAGACGTTTATGTCACTCGTTATCCGTTGAATTTGCATGCATCTGTTGTTTCCAGGAGAGACGTTTCTCCCTTGAGTATTGTGAGTGGATCACCAGCTGAAACTTTACGTTCTTTTGTCGAACAGCTTACTCCTATGCACCTGAGCACGAGCTCCAGCAGATCAAAGGAAAGAGGACTGAAGGCTCGGCCCCCTAGTCTTAGTGCTCCTCACAATCTCCGCCCGCGTGCTCTGTCTCCTCCTGGATCCAGATGGCGCGATTGCTTTTGTTTGTCATTTAGGTCTCTGATGAAATCTCCGATTTCGTTCACACCCCTCCTCCTTGTTCATTGCGAGCGTCTAATATATATAAGGGGGTCCCACGCGAGTTGTGTGTATAACGTATATTCCGCGATAAATCGTCGAGCCCAAAAGGACATAAAGGTCAGGTATCCGCCCGGAAGGCCCTTCAGTGATCTCATTCAGAGGGTTACCTGCGGCTTTAGTGTCGTCAATACCTCGTAGATTCCAGCTCTCCAACCCTGTAGCAAGCTCGAGAATGAACCCTTTGTCACAGAGAGTACCCTAACAGTCCTGCGAAGAAATCTATTCTAGAGACTTACTGCAATTTACTAAACATTGTCATGTGTGGGCGGCCGAGTACACTTGTGAGCTTTCTCGACCAGGTGCAAGTCTAACATGCTCCCAACAGGTCGGTAGCAGTGACATAAGTCGCGGATTCGTCAAATCAAGTATCATATTGACACGTGTGTCTGGCACGGTTTGGGTGGCATCGACAGACGCCGTCCACATCTTGGAGCCATCCACCTTTACGATGTCGACCCAAAAGTCAGCCAAGGACAAGAAATGGCACAGATTTATGAATTTATTTGGTTCCTCATCTTCACATTCCCCGACAAGCAAGAAACGCCAAGTATACGACACGGCCAACATCGGCCTCGACATAGTAGCCAATATTGCCGAGGGATCAGACATTCTCGCTCCTCTAAAGGCAGCTTGTCGAACAACAAAGTCGATTCTCGAAGTTGCGCAGGCACGTTGGCGAAGCCGGCAAGGCATTTATCTGACAATACGATAGGCGACAGAGAACAACCAAGAGGAATGGACCGAGCTAACAGGACGTATGAAAGGATACATGTCCACAATCGAGGAACAAATAGCGTTATTTGAGACATATCCTCCAGAAGACATGGCCGTTAACGAGGCGTTCAAACGGCCGCTCGCCCAATATGTCAAGTATGTGCACATTCCAAGTTTGCTTCGGTAGGCTGAGCGATGCAGATGCCTCGAAGACATGCACGATAAGGTTGTCAATCTAGAGGAGAAACGTCGCCTCGACAAGCATGCCTTTTCTAAAGCAATCATCAAAGTCAAAATTGATGCGGAGGAGATTCTTAAACTCAATCGGGATATCGAGGATCGGCATAGCCAATTCATGGTACGAGCCTTCATCCGTCGTATTCACGAGTTCACTGCATACACAGGGTGCATTGGGACTTTTTACCGCATTGGGTATTCAAAGCGTCGAGCGGAATACCAAGGTTATCAAGGCTGACGTTGAGGCCACCAAGGCAAACATGAAAACCGTCCTGACAGACGGTAAGACTAGAGCTTCGTATGGGACATGCTTACTTAGTATTTCAAGTTGAATCTGCCGCAATACTTCAGCTACCAACGGTAGCTTTTGTCGCATCCTCTGTCCATAGGGCCTGTCTGACAGGAACACGCGATGCTGTTCTTCAGACCATCTGGCGCTGGGCCGACGATGCCACGTCGGAGAAGCCAATATTCTGGCTCTGCGATATCGCTGGCTCTGGCAAATCCACAGTCGCCATGTCTGCAGCAGATGCTTGGAGGAACGAGGGAGTGTTAGGTGGCCAATTCTTCTTCTCTCTTACAAGCAGCGAAGGATCGTCCACCGACAAGTTCTGCTCCACGATAGCAAGAGACCTTGTCGACTACATACCCAAGCTTGCGCCGCACGTCGCCGGAGCCGTGAAGCGGCATCCTTCGTTCATGCGAAGCTCTCTCCAAGAGCAGTTCCGAATGCTCGTCATCGAGCCTCTTCATCATCTTCAAGGACGTGTCACTCTCGTCATCGACGCTCTTGACGAATGTCAATCTGGATCGCAGAGAAGAGAACTTGTCGAAATGCTTTCTACAGCTGTTCGAGAAGCAAAGAACCTCAAGATATTCATGACGAGTCGACCAGACCCTGTGATCCAAGCAGTCTTGGGGTCGCTTTCAATCAAGTCCAAGCTGGAAGACCGCCTGCACGATGTTCATCATCGCGATAACATCGATGATATTGCAACTTACATACACAAGGAGCTAAAGGAGGTGCTGCCGGAGGCCAAGAGGCTGAGACTGGCTGAGAAGGCCAACGGATTGTTTATTTGGGCAAGCACGGCATGTCGAATGCTCAGTAGCGAAACTACATTGGACTTGCCGGAAAGCATCTATGATCGGCTGATCTCAGTGGACCAGACTGGAGAGATAGACGACGTTTACAAGCTCGTTTTCGAGCGTATGGACCCCAAATCCCACACAATCATGTCCAGCATGCTCGCCTTGCTGCTTGCTGCATTCGAGCCACTCAGCACCGATGACTTGGACGACATCTTCAAGAACCTTGGGCTCAGGTGGAGTTCCAGGGCACTGGTACAGAACCTAGGAAGTGTGCTCAGTGTAAACCCAAGTACAAATTTGGTCCAATTCCGCCATCCTACCCTTGTCGAATACCTTGGACGGTGTTCCCTCGCCCCAGCTCCCGACAAACCCAATACACTCCATCTCGACGTGACCAAGGCGCATGGTCAGGCCGCATCATGGTGTCTCAAACGACTCATGTCGCGGACTGATGGTCTCAAGTTTAATATATGTCAACTCGAGTCATCTTTCTACCTCAATAGAGAGATTCTAAACCTCAAGACGAGGATATCGAGACTCATTCCAAAGGCACTTCGATATGCCAGCTCTCACTGGTTGTTCCATGTGGCGGAAACTGATGACACCTGGCGATCCATGGTAAAGAGGGAAATTCAACAGATTATTCAAGCTCCACACGTGCTATACTGGATGGAAGTCCTGAGCTTCACTGGGGGAGTGCCACGAGCAATAGCTGGCCTTCGAGCTATTAGACGCCACACAGGGGTAAGTCGCTGATCCAACGAATTCAACACTTACACAACAGACAGCCTGAAATGTGGGATAAAGCTAGCATGGACCAAACTCGACGGTTTATAATGACATTTTCGGTACCGATTCAAGAGAGCGCGCCACATATTTACATTTCTGCACTCCCATTTGCCCCTATAACGTCCATATTACATACCGAGGGTGCAAAAAGATACAGAAACCTTCTTCGCGTAGCAGAAGGCCTCGAGGAGATGTATTCCGGGCTCCCAAGTAGTCTTCGAGGTCATGAATCCGGGGTCAACGCCGTCGGATTCTCGCCAGACGGCTCACAGATTGTGTCTGGCTCATCCGACAAGACAATTCGATTGTGGGACGCGGCAACTGGTCAGGCTGTGGGAGAGCCACTGCGAGGTCATGAATATGAGGTCTTCGCCGTCGGATTCTCGCCAGACGGCTCACAGATTGTGTCTGGCTCGTACGACAACACAATTCGATTGTGGGACACGGCAACTGGTCAGGCTGTGGGAGAGCCACTCCGAGGTCATGAATCGGGGTCACGCCGTCGGATTCTCGCCAGACGGCTCACAGATTGTGTCTGGCTCATACGACAAGACAATTCGATTGTGGGACGCGGCAACTGGTCAGGCTGTGGGAGAGCCACTCCGAGGTCATGAATCCGGGGTCTGGCCGTCGGATTCTCGCCAGACGGCTCACAGATTGTGTCTGGCTCGTCCGACAAGACAATTCGATTGTGGGACGCGGCAACTGGTCAGGCTGTGGGAGAGCCACTCCGAGGTCATGAAGATTGGGTCACGCCGTCGGATTCTCGCCAGACGGCTCACAGATTGTGTCTGGCTCGGACGACAAGACAATTCGATTGTGGGACGCGGCAACTGGTCAGGCTGTGGGAGAGCCACTCCGAGGTCATGAATCTGGGGTCTTGGCCGTCGGATTCTCGCCAGACGGCTCACAGATTGTGTCTGGCTCGCCGACAAGACAATTCGATTGTGGGACGCGGCAACTGGTCAGGCTGTGGGAGAGCCACTCCGAGGTCATGAATCCGGGGTCAGGCCGTCGGATTCTCGCCAGACGGCTCACAGATTGTGTCTGGCTCGGACGACAAGACAATTCGATTGTGGGACGCGGCAACTGGTCAGGCTGTGGGAGAGCCACTCCGAGGTCATGAATCCGCGGTCATGGCCGTCGGATTCTCGCCAGACGGCTCACAGATTGTGTCTGGCTCGGACGACAAGACAATTCGATTGTGGGACGCGGCAACTGGTCAGGCTGTGGGAGAGCCACTCCGAGGTCATGAATCTGGGGTCTTCGCCGTCGGATTCTCGCCAGACGGCTCACAGATTGTGTCTGGCTCGTACGACAAGACAATTCGATTGTGGGACGCGGCAACTGGTCAGGCTGTGGGAGAGCCACCGAGGTCATGAATCCGCGGTTCTGGCCGTCGGATTCTCGCCAGACGGCTCACAGATTGTGTCTGGCTCAGATGACAACACAATTCGATTGTGGGACGCGGCAACTGGTCAGGCTGTGGGAGAGCCACTCCGAGGTCATGAATATGAGGTCTTCGCCGTCGGATTCTCGCCAGACGGCTCACAGATTGTGTCTGGCTCGTACGACAACACAATTCGATTGTGGGACACGGCAACTGGTCAGGCTGTGGGAGAGCCACTGCGAGGTCATGAATCCGGGGTCTGGCCGTCGGATTCTCGCCAGACGGCTCACAGATTGTGTCTGGCTCGGACGACAAGACAATTCGATTGTGGGACGCGGCAACTGGTCAGGCTGTGGGAGAGCCACTCCGAGGTCATGAAGATGGGTCTGGCCGTCGGATTCTCGCCAGACGGCTCACAGATTGTGTCTGGCTCGGACGACAAGACAATTCGATTGTGGGACGCGGCAACTGGTCAGGCTGTGGGAGAGCCACTCCAAGGTCATGAATCCACGGTCTTCGCCGTCGGATTCTCGCCAGACGGCTCACAGATTGTGTCTGGCTCGGACGACAACACGATCCGATTATGGAATACAGAAACTGGTAAGTTCAACTTGGCTCGTCTTCGAGATCGTGACGCGACCCGATAAATAGCATTAGGTGCAAAAGCGAATACCTCCAACCAGGGTGATAAAGAGTCCGTATATTCAGGTCTCAGCGAAGATCTACAGGACACTCCGCTCCGAATCGTTGTGCCTGGATTCGATCAGTGCTCACTTTCGCTCGATGGTTGGGTACATTCTTCCGGCAAACGTCTCTTCTGGGTCCCTCCAAACAATCGACCGGGACTAATGTATCCGTACCGCCTGACAATTCCGACCGGCGCTCCATTCCGTGTGACGAAACTTGATTTCACTAATTTCCAATGTGGCTCCTCTTGGACAAAGGTTCGAACAGACGCGTGCTCGTGATTTGCTATGACTGGTATCACTGTATCCCCTGACCGTAACGAAGTGGAGGGAAGAGTCTTGTTCTCGTTTGCCAGGAACGCGCTTGTGCTTGTCCGTACGAATTTTGTACCAATTGCGTTTGTTCCCCTGAGCCTCGGCTAATGGAATTTTTTGATTAGAAGCCGTATCATCGAGCTAAACTGCAGGGTGGCCAGGTGCCATTGTCTCAAGTCGTTTGTCCGAAACTTGGACTCTTTTTCTGCAGAGTCCCATGCCCGTCCCTGATCTTTCCGAGCTCTGTGCAACCCTTACGAGTGAGATTCTTCTGGTGAGTAAAATTGTACTGTTCTATGGACCTGTGCTCACCGTTTCGTATAGTCTGCTTCACAATAAACCAGTGCCTGTACTGACGCTCGATGCATCTTTGCGTGCCTCTGAACACTCTATGATAAGTGATATACCGATGAAGAATTCTATGCGTTGTGATGATACCGTTATACCTGCTACATCGTTTGCACGTCCAGATCGTCCCGTTTTACCCATTATATCGCGTCGAGGTAAACCTGTTGAAACCGGCGCGCCACCTATCCATCTCAACGAAACGAGTACATGGTTGCATCAACTAAATGTGCTCGACTCTCCGTCCGTGTCGACGTCTTCACATGCCCGTTTAGTGCCCAGCCCAGAGCCTCTTCGTTCATTTGTAGAGGACATGACCCCGACTGCCTTTAGATTTCTAACCTCTGAGTGCAAGCCGCACATGTGATGCTCTCGCGCGTCAAAACTATCGATGGAATTGCCATTCTTCGACCTTTTCGACGCGAAAGGATTGAGAATAGACTTCCTCAACAGCTTCGGACTGAGTTTGAACGACTCCAATAACTTGATAAACAGACGTCGCTTCGCTATGCCCGAATACTGAGAAGTGTGGAAGAAAATATGTTGGTCGGTGATGCTGGTGAGCACTCTTGAGGACTCCTTGACTGTGACACTTATAAATATATAGAATGGCTTACTATCTAGCGAGGTCCTCTCTCTCGCTTTGCATTGGACATTGAAATGTACATTAATAAACAGGTCATCTGGAATTCTCTGATCAAAAGTATTAGTTGCAGCTCATCGTTGATGTGGTCATGTGGTAACTAGATGTATTCGGTTCAAATACTCTCTGTAGAACTGCGGTGTACAATATGATCGGTCAGGGTCGCCCGGAGGGCCCTGCAATCGTCCATGTTCATTCATGTGGTTGTGAGAGCTGCGATTCCGATCTTCTCTCCCACACGGACAAGTACTTCGACCCCAAAGGACTGGTTTTGCTTCTCGGCGGCAATTCTCGCCTTTTCAGGTATCTTGCTCATGACTTCGGGAACTTCCTTACCCTTCCATTCGCCAGTGCTGGCCTTGATGAGGTCGTCGTCCCAAGTCACTTTGGCCTCTTCGGCAAACACGCAGACTACGGTGCTTCCTCCGTATTGGAACCACCCTAAGTAATGTCAATATTATAACAATTGCTCGATGCATTGAATCTCACCGAGGTCGTCTCCTCGTTGAATCGAATCCCCGACTTTGAACGACCATCCAACAGCGCCGACCAGCAACGCACCAATCGCCACAAATGCCACAGGAACCGTCTTGGGTGGTGTCGTGTTCGACACGACGGCATTCAAGATGCACACGTCACGTCTGTTGCCCGTAAAGACATCGAGGTTCTGATTGACGGCTTGAGGATTGACAGTATAGTATTCTCCTGGTAAAGTTTTGATCGATTCAATCGTGGCATTGACCGGAGAGTGGAAGCGGTGATAATCCTGCGGTGCAAGACGGAAAATGGCCAATGAGGGATTTGCGCCAAAGCGTTGTGCCAGCTCTGCTGAGCCTAAGAGCTCAGGCAAGGTAAACTTTTTGCCTTTGACCCTAATAAGATTGCTGAGCGAGGTCGAGGTGACTACAAAGTCGCTTACCAGAACTGCCTTGCTGCCTGGAAATTAGGGAACACGCTAAGGCGACAGTCTGCAGCCGAAACTATGACAGATGCGTCCTTTGGTGATGCGACTGGCCGTAGACCAGGCTTGAGCTTGCGACTAAAGAATTGGTTGAAGGTCTTGTATTCGCTAGGCTTTGAAAGAAGTGCCTCCTTCATGTTAATTTTGTACGTCTTGACAAAGTCTTCTACCCGCTTGACAACTTCTGGTCCTTCTTCATCATACACTTTGCCCTCTATAACTCGGTGGGTGAATGAGCGGGACAAGCATATAGGGAAGCGTACGCTTAACAGTTTGTGCCTTCAACAGGTTTCGAACGACACCTAATCCGAGGAGACGGAGCTGTAGGGGACGGTTAGGAGCCAGATTCCCGCTAGCGGCCAGCAAGATGGGGCGCCGTGGACGGAAGCTCACCTGGAGCGGCCCGTAGAATAGCAAATGCATCCCGACGCGTGCATAGATTGGCATATATTCAAAGTCCTTGACGCCGGTCGAACGAACGATTATGAAATTGCCTGATACCAAGCATGTGGTAAGTGTACTATGGAATCGTGCTACCAACTGGCGTACCCCAGTGTTCATCTGCAAATAGCTACAAGAGTATTAATATCCCGTCGTAAGATGCAAAAAAGGCTCACTTTCTCGTACGTATCCGGGTCGAATAGATCAGAGAGCCAGCCTTGCTGCTCAAGTATATCATGTTCGTTGACTGGTTGAACCGGTTAGGAGCATGGCGAGTAGAGAGAGCTCCTGCTCACCCTTGGGATCTCTGCTACCTTCCACAACCTGCTCCATCGCAAGCATCATGACCTTGCGCATGTTGACCGCCTCAGGTTGTAGCTTCCATTTAAGATCTCTCCATGCTTTAACGACGCCGCCTTCGATTGCCTCTTTCTTGGCGACTGGACGGCTCAAGTTGAATGACATTTTGGCTGTCGAGGGGAAGAAATGAGGATTAAGTGTGATATCAGTTATAGGAGTATGCCTTTCGAGGCTCAGACGGAGCCGTGAGTAATCTTGGACGAAGGAAGGTCTAAGAAAGGAACAAGTGTGGCAGTACGACTGAGCAAGACCGCCAAGGCTATAATCCGTCTTGTTTCGATAATAATGCGTCTAACATAAGCGTAGTGATCTCCAGCTGTTCTAACCATAGTCTTCTCGTCGAACGAAGATCAAATATCGGCGCTTCGTTCTCGTTGTCTTGTACATGGCCAAGGTGACTTTCTGCTTGAATCTTGTACACAGTACAAATTTCCCGTAGGGTACTCGCAGATCGTCGCGAATTGTCCACCGACACCCTCTCTGCGTATCCCGCGAGTACCTGCTGCCACTGCCGTAATTGTTCATTGTCCTTCAGATGAATTTGAAGGAGACTGAGAGTAGGGTTGAGACGATATGAAGGGGATACTGGAGGTGGGTCGAGGTGCAACGTCCAGTCCCTAGAATTGACGTTATTCAAGCGCTGTCAGAAACGTTGCTGCATACCCCCAGTATCCATGAGACTCCAGTAATTCGCGCTTTTCCTTGCCTTCATCATCCCTCTGAAATAAATCCTCGATAGCTTGGTCAATCTGGATTTCCTTTGGCGCATGTTCATCCGTGAATCCGTACTCGGTGAAGAGTGTAGGATTAGAGTGGAAGCCATACAGGAGAAACAATTGCTCTCCAGCCTGCAGACCTTTGGCCGGCGCGAGCATCGTCGGGATGGGATGGCCGTTCTTGCGGTAGTAAGAACTGTTAAAGTTGGTCGCACTGAATGAATGGTTTGCAAAGTCTAATAGTGGACATAGGGTGATGTTATCCTGGTGCGACTTTGCCCGCTTGCACGAATAGTAGAGGGACCGCGTGTTCACTGGGGGAAAGTCATTATTATTTTTGCGTATATGGCTTCTCCATACCGTTCAACCATCCCCACAGGTATGCCTCAATCGGCACAGAAGGCTGTTTAGATGGATGAGGGTAAATATCACACAATGATTCAGTCCACTCACGAAGATGTTTTGAATCTTTTCGACGTCAGACATAAATCTCACGTGTATCTTGTCCACTTTCTGCGCGACTTCTACGGGCAACTGGCCTTTGTATTGCCTATGTAGTACAACGACGGTAAGAGGATGATCCCGAAAAGTTTCTGGTAGTGAGTCGAGATACGGTGCATAGTCTTCCGCAACATCCAGCAAGTTGGATTTGAACAGAGCGAGGAAGAGGCAAAGCAGTTGAGTCGCGGTGAGTCCAGTGGCTTTATGGCGTTTCGCCCATTTGAAGAGCGTATCCACGTTGATCAAGCAGGATTCAGGGATTGAGAACAGGACCTCGTCTGGCTATCTGCATCAAGCACTTGTTTTCTAGCGTTGCTTCGTACAAAACTTACTCCAACGTCTCTAGTGACTGCGAGACCTCGTCCAGAGCCTATAATTGCAGGTTTTGAGCACATGACTTGATCATAATGGATATCTGCGAGTACCAACCTTCAAACTCGCGGTATTCGACAGCGAGGCCACCCGTTGGAATGCGCATGCCACGAGATTCCAGCCAATGAATCAAAATGTTCCACTTCTGGGTTTCTAGTTCCATTCCCGGATGCTGTCCTGTGCGTTCCAGCAGAATGTTCGCCGGGTCGAAGAAGCGTGCCGTGTGGACCTCTGCAAGAGGGCTGCTATGCTTCCTTGGACACGACGACTCTTGTCCTCTAACCATCTCCGACCCTTTTCTCGCGCATTTTCCATGTCAGTCTTCTCCTCCAAGCGACTCGAGAACAAGACGGTCCTCGTCACAGGGGCCAGTGCAGGCATTGGCGAGGCCACAGCTATTCTCTACGCAAAGGTACGCTCGCGAATGCAGTTTTACAAGTAGACTGACAAATCGGAATCAAACAGGCTGGTGCAAATGTCATCATTGCAGCACGCAGGCAGGACGCCCTCGCAACCGTTCTTGAATCTCTCAAGGCCGCGCACAAAGAGTCGGGTGTTCAAGCAGGCGGAAAGTTTGCTGCCGTGCAGCTCGACGTATCGAATCGCGAAGATGTCAACAGTCTCTGGACCAAGGTGCCACAGGAGCTCAGAGAGGTCGACATCTTGGGTATGCGATGCGGACTGACGAGCGATTCCCCGTGTTGATGACCACCAGTGAATAACGCGGGATTTGTCAAAGGGGTCGAGCGAATTGGAGAGATTGCAGACCAGGATATTGACGACATGTTCGCAACAAACGTAGGTGGCCTGCATAACATCGCTCCTTTCTGACCTATCTTTAGGTCATTGGTCTCATCAGTGTCACTCAGCTCCTTGTCAAGGGTAGTGTATCTATCCGAATAGAGAGTAATTCATTTCTGACGGCTCCGCAGACTTCAAAGCGCGCGGGACCGGTATGCAGGCCACATGTCAATACTCGATCATTGAGGCCCTTTAGGACATATCATAAACATTGGCTCCGTGGCAGGACGCGAACCGTATGCCGGAGGTGAGTTCTCTACCGATGCTGCCCCTTGCATAACGTGATTGAGTATGCAGGTGGCATTTATTGTGCGACTAAACATGCAGTCAAATCCTTCACTGGTTCCCTTTTGCGCGAACTCGGTAAGCCTAATGCTCCAGACTAGTGGCAGTCTCTGATAGATATAGTTGATACGCAGATTCGTGTCACAGAAATTCAACCCGGAATGGTCGAAACAGGCAAGTCCGGTATCAAGATCATGTACTGTCTCACAAGGAAGTAGAGTTTTCGAATGTGAGGTACCGGGGCGACAAGGAAGCTGCAAAAAACGTCTACAAAGGCCTGGAACCATGTACGTTCGGACTTCGTTGTTACCATTATATTCTAATGCCAAACCGACCAGTGACTGCCCAAGATATTGCCGAAGAAATCGTATGGGCATCCTCAAGGCCACCACGGGTCAATTTGGCAGAGGTCTATGTCCTACCGGTCAACCAAGCAAGCCCTGGAATTGTCTACCGCTCACAATCCTAAATTGTAAATCGAACGGTGGAATGGCAAACTTGAACCCGATCATGTCCCTCTTTGACGGCGATGATGAGATAGAATCAGTGCTGTTTGTTCAGCCCGAGATTTCAGGTCAATAAGACGAATTTGATGTGCTTCTGGTCCCCTTACCTTGCCACAAAAGTCTACAAGGTCCCGCCAATGGAATCGTTAGACGGCTACAAGGCACGGCAACCGTTCCCGAATACATCGTGCGTCTTTGTCACTGACTAATGATATGTAGGCAGCTGAATGGGGTCTTGAGAATCCTCTCTGGAAGGGCCGCCTTCGGATTCTGGAGAAAGCCTCCACTGGAGTCACCATCGTCCTGGAAGACGGTCAGACGGGAGCTCGTAAGCACACTATTCCGCCATTCAAAACAAACGCCTGACTTTAGATCCCATCAGCCTTCGCACGCGCACCGTACACCGACGATGGAGCCACAGTACACCCTGTTCTGGACTCGAGTCGATATTTCGTCTTGCGAGTTCAAGATCCGGCAACAGGAAATAAAGCATATATTGGAATCGGCTTCACAGATCGCTCGGGAAGCTTTGATTTCAGTGAGCTTCACCATGGCAAGAGAACCCCGCTCATTGCCTGATTTAGACGTCGCACTACAAGATTATACCAAGTGAGACACTTGGAATCCGATGTTTGAGGACTCATGATCCACGCAGACGTAAGAACGCACCGGCCAAGCTAGAAGAGGAAGCCAAAGTTCAGGCAAGCACCCCAAAGGTTGACTATTCACTCAAAGAGGGTCAAACGTTTAAGATCAGTATACCGGGCTCCAAAGGCGCGAGCTCTTCGAGCAGTGCTTCGGTGTTTGGATCAGGGGGTTCCTCAGGGGGCGGGGGTGCTGTTCCGCTTCTACCTCCCCCTCCACCAGGCGGTACCCGGAGACGTTGAGCGAGTGTAAATCCCTCCCCCCACGGACCAAACCTCGCCCTGCCGGTGCCGGAGGCGTGGAGTTGTCAGCTAGGGTCGGGACGGGGGATATCCCTGACGGTCGTCTTAGTTTGTTAGCCACATGCGAAAATCCAAATCAAATACATCAAATTCGTCGTCTCGTCCCGAATAAATCGCGTCTTGAGCCCGCTTGCAATAAACACACCGTCTCCTCGTGTTTTCAGGACACATCAAAACGTGAAAGCAACGGAATCTAGAACATTGAGTTGGATAGGTACATCTGATTTTGTTTTCGAAGAATCTATGTCTACGCGGAGGCCATGCTCGTGAAAGGAATGATCTAGGATGAAGCTACAACGTGCTGAAATGTACATGCTTTTTATAAAGGCGCTGTAGAGAAAGTTAGGGGGTCCGTAAAAGATTGTCGTGGAAAGCGAGAGTGGGAAGGTGTAAATGTGTGTCCTCGTCATGAGTAAAAGGATTCAAACGTGTTCGAGGTTGTCCGTTCCTTTGACCTTGCGTCTAAAGTCGCGCAAGAGACTTCGGACTAGCTTATTCCAAGCCTTGACCACATCGAGCGCCTGACATAATTCGTCGAGGCGACGTTCGAGGCCAAAGAGAAGCAGAGCGCGGAGTTTCTCGACCTGAATCTCGTCTTCGTATTCGTTTTCCTCGACTTGCGCGCAGCGAATCAGACAGTGCTCGATGAGCCGCTCCGCTTTGGCAATTTCTTGTTGGAATTCGGCAGCAATACCGTGAATCTACGGACAGTCAGATATTGAATAGATATGTAAAAAGGGAGACGTACACCGCGAGCGTACTCTTCCATACGCAACAGGTCCGTGTGGATGCGCGTCAACACGACAGGTGCCTTTCTGATCGTTCGCCTCGTCGAAACAGTCCTCGTCAAAGGCGTACGGAATGTGGAGCTTGCAGGTGAATGTGGCGTAGACTGACTGGACGGTGGTATCACAAGTGTCTGCTCCGTGTTCTCATCAGGAGTAGACGGCAGTGGCTTTTCCCCGGCAAGGCTGAGATTGTGCACGTCGCGAAAGTCGAGGGACGGAAGGCGCGGTGGGCGGGTTCGTACAGGGGACGGCTCCGGAGGCGTTGGAGAGTCAATCACCCCGTCCTTTCTCGGCCCTGGTGGTCGGGAAAGAGGGCGGAGTTTTTGCTTGATGAAGCTCGCCATACGACCGGGTCGTTTAGAGGCAAGGTCAGACGAGGACTGGTTATTGCTCTGGAGTGGGGTCGTCGACCCAGAGGCCTGGCCATCTCCGCGGGACGCCCCAAAACTTTTGCAAGGCATCGCTATCAGAGGGACTGCTCTCAGCTGGAGTCGCGATACGTGCAGGTGCGGTGAACGCGCGTCCACGCGCCTGCTCCTTTAGTCCAGTTAACTCTGCCACTTTTTGCTCCTCCCAGAAGAGAATTGCCTCTGTTAATTCCCGTTCGTCATCGCGTGACTTTTGCTCTACGTCGCGCTTCGTACGAGCGACGAGGAGGTGAGATTTGACGATAGACCTGTGCGTCGTGTCGAGCTCCTCGCGGATGGTGGCAAGACACGAGTACCAATAGCCAACCACACTTTTGGACGTGCGAGCGAGACATTCGTCGATGGGTTTGCATTGAGAGAGTGTGGATTGTCGAGCGTCTATTTCGAGACTTGAGCGGTAAAAGAGTGTGCGTTGTAGCAAAGAGAGATCAATTTCGTCGAGTAGAATCTGAGAGCCATTGAGAGCGTCTTGAAGCGACATGCTGGTGATTTCCACGTCGTCTAGTGTCAACGAGGCGAATCCAGTCGCGGGTGTGGCAGGGGTTGAGATAGTAGGGGAAGAAGTGAAGGAAGTGAACGAGGACACGGAGCCTAAAGAGCGCTGCGGGCGCAATGCCGGTCGAATGGTGCATATTGAGTCTGGGCGCTCGTCGAACACGTCTCGGAAGTGTGGTTTAGCAATATCAGCCGGTCTCAGCCTGTGCGGTTCAACGTCAGAAAGCGGACGTAAGAACATCAGACATGGGTCCGGTGGTGCGGAATTGAAAACGGCTCGTACGTACCCCCGCTTATTCTTCCACTCACGGACCGTGCCTTCAGTGTCACATTCGACAAGAGCTTCCAAAACCTCGCAACAGGCGCCGTGTTCGGCCGCGGTGTGTAGACAGGTTTCGAATTGGTCGTCCCTGTAACGGATGGAGGCTTGCAGGTCGTGAATAAGGTGCCGGACAAAGAGGCGCACAGCCTGTCCCTCGTGATGGTTCATCACAGTTGCGTATTGGACCAGTACCTGCAAGGGGCTCTGGCCTTTGGACGTCAAGAGGTTGACGTCCGCCCCCGCGACAAACAATGCGTCGAGGAGAGCAAAATTGGGCGGATGACACATCATAGCATAGTGAATCGGAGCGAATCCAAAGTCGTCAAGCCGGTTGACGATGGCGAAGCAATGGGCAGCGGCTGCAGAGTGTTTGTTGGAGCGGAGAGCCGGAGACGGGGCAGCGTGATGAATGATCATGTCGAGTGACGAACGGAGCAAATTAAGATCTTGCGTATTGATCGAGCAGATAAGGGAGCGAAAGAGAGCGTCGGCTGCGGCGGAAGGAGGCACAGGCGTACAATCACGCTGCCCAGACTGTCCCAGAGGGTTCTCCATAATGACTGACGGTCCCGAAGTATTAGAGGAGGACGTGGATGGCGAGGATGCGCGACTCGGAGGCTAAAGGGCTCATTAGCGTCGAAAAGGTGTCTATCGAGCGACAGGGTACCGACCGTGGATCGAACACCGCGGTCAATCCTCAACTGATTTTCCAGATGGAACCGAACCGCCGGGTCTGTCGAATAGTCGAGCACAGAGCGACTCTGTGGGTCGAGTAGGTTCGCATGTGCCCCAGCCCGAAGCTGTAATTATCGCGAATCGGTTAGCAATCCCCAATATGGGTGTCCCCGAAGAAAAAAGAAAGAAAAGAAAAGGAACCGGCGGTGGCGTCGCGGGAATTGTGATGAATAGAACGGCAGGTCGAAACCGTAATGGCTTTGTGCCACATAGTTCCTCAAACCTCGAGGCGAAAACGTTGTTTCGAAAATTTTTACTCACGAGAGCGACGACAATCTGGTGGTGTTGACCATGAGCGGCGTCTGAAAAATGTCATTAGCGAGCGAGATTCCCTCGTGAATACACACACACGTACGCATCAGAGGTGTGAGGCCCAGCGCATCCCGGGTATTGACAAGGACACTGGGACAGTCGAGGAGAGTATTGACTTGGTCGAGGTGGCCCACTCTACATGCCAATATCAGAGGTGTGGCGCCCTGAGCACAGTCCATGGCGGCATTCAGAGCGTATATACTGAGTTCTGGACGAGCGAGGATGGCTTTTAGAATGGCATTTCGCTCGGGACTGGCAGGAGCAGGATGTCGAAGACTGGATGCGATGAGTATGAGCAAGCATAACCATGGCCAAAAACACGCACCTAGATCCAGCAATAGCACAAAAGAGGACTGAACGATGAGCTTCGTCGAGCAAGTTGACATCGTTGGGATTTTGGACGATGGCGTCGGCGACTGCTCTGAGATTGCCAATAGCAGCTGCTTCGTGAAGAAGCATGAGAGCTGAAAAGAAGAGTTTTTACAGAAAGCTAGGGGGTAGAGCTAATGGTGGCGGGAAGGTGCGCGCGGATGTGAGAATGAGATTATAAGCTCGCCAACGAGCTGCCCCAATAAAGTGACAAATTAAGAGCCGCCCTTGGCTGTGGCCGCCTGCGGGATTGAACGCCCGTCCCTATTCTATTGATGCGAGCCCATAAGCCCCTAAGGACGGACACCCTCTGGCATTATACAAGGCTGCCCCAGGACGACTTGTACAGAGTTTTTCCAAACCTCTGGAGATCCCATGGATGAATAGACGACGAGTATCCTCCTCTTTGGACCGTCGTCGCGTACGTAAACGGGTGGTCAGAGTAGCCCTTGATCTCGTCCGTTTATTGGATCTTCGAGCCGATTTTCAGGCGAATTTCTGAAGCGGCACGTGCTAAGATATCAGCCAAATCCCATGAAAGCTCAGTGACCCTTTGAACCACCCCCGTGCCCTGAGAGGAGAATGAACTCACTAGACGCGAGACTACAGCCTGCATTAGACTCGAGAAAGTCTCGAGGCATCCTTCGCCGCGTTCCCCCTTCATCGGTGCTCCGTCAAGTCCCCCGGCAGATCGATTTTTCGTCCAATGATTATCTCTCCCTTGCGTCCTCTGCCGATCTCCGCCTGAATTTCATCGATCAGATCCAGGCTGCACCTCGAGTACTTGGTTCTGGGGGCAGCCGCCTTCTAGATGGTGGCACACTGGAGCATGCCCTTCTGGAAGAGAGACTGGCCGCATTCTTCGGAGCACCATCAGCACTCCTCTACACATCTGGATTCGATGCAAATGTCGGATTTTTCGGGTGCGTGCCTGCAGAGGGAGACGTGCTCGTCTACGACTCGCTTATCCATGCCTCTGTTCACGACGGCATGCGGAGCTCTCGAGCTGCTCGTATCCCTGGCTCCTTGATTCCATTCGAGCATAATTCCACGGCCTCATTGCGCGCGGTTATCCGAAGCGCGCTCCAGACCCGACCTCGGATTGCGGATGGGAGTTCAAGCTTATTCATCGCCATCGAATCATTGTATAGTATGGATGGTGATATTTCCCCGATGACGGAAATATGCGATATCGCAGACGAGTTGCTGCCAAAGGGGAATGGCCATGTCGTCGTCGACGAGGCACACGCTACAGGCGTCTATGGTCCCAACGGTCGGGGTCTCGTAGCACATTTTGGTCTAGAAAATAGAGTGACTGCCCGTCTCCACACCTTTGGAAAGGCATTGGCGTCTAGCGGTGGTGAGTGGTAGCGTGCAATCCCCCGCGTATCACTGACCCCTCCCCTAGCCGTGTTCCTGACAAGTGAGATTGTGCGAAGCTATCTCGTCAACTACTCCAGACCCCAGGTGTTCACCACTGCGATATCGTTCGGCACCGTTATCAGCCTTCACGTCGTCTTCGACGCGCTCGAGGCCGGATATTGCCTTTCTGTAGGGAGATCTCACCTCATAAATGGCTTAATGAACTTATCAGCTCTTATTTAGCGATCTGAACGCCTCCAGGCATTGGTACGTTTCTTCCTGGAAAGGTTCAGGGCATATAACTTCTCCACAAGCGTGATACGCTTACCATGGACGGAGACTGCCTTGTATACGCCTATAATACCGCTCTTATCGCCGTTCGCCAAACCTTTGGCACTTCATCTTCAGGAACGAGGTTTCCTCGTCCGTCCCATTACCCATCCCACGGTCCCCAAGGGTCAGGACCGGGTTCGAGTGTGTATACACACAGATAACACTGAGGAGGAGATCACTGGTGTCCTGGAGTGCCTCAAAGGCTGGATAGACAGCAACGCCAACCACTCGGTGGCGAGTAAGCTCTAGAATACGCGTAATTAGCCCATTTAGGGGTTTATATTGCTCGAAAATAGATCTAGAGGCTACACTCGCGTCAATGGCGCGTCGTGTAGGAATTCAGGTTGACCAACAATTCAGTCGCTTCTTGTCCGTGACAAACGATGAACTTGTTCCAACTACGCTCGACTACGAGAATTTCTTCCTTTATTCCGAGACGAGAGTACATTATTTTCTCAAGACCCGTCTTTTCAGTTCAAAGAACTGCGAGCACCAATGTGAACAAGTCGCTGCCATCCCAAGGCACAGGCAAAGCTCAGGACTCATCGTCTGAAGTGGCTCCGAAACCCAAATTGAATACAAATCTCCGCAAGACTGCCTCTGCCTCTCTTTCAATCCGCGAAAAGTCGACCCGAGGAGCCATCCGCCCAGTTGTCACGCTCAGTACTGCGGAAAGATATATCCTCAAGCCTCTTCTCAAGACACAAAAGGCGTCCAACGCGACCATGTTCGCAGAAGCTCTCTGGTTGCCGGTCGTGCACGCGTCGTCCAATCGACAAAAAGCAGAGGCATCAGAAAAGGAAAACGAGAGAGATGAACCAGGAGAGGCATTCATCTTTGAAAATGGATGTGCTGTGTTTTGGGGTATACAAGAAGACGACGCCCTTCGGTTTTTGAACAAGCTGGTGCGGAGGAATGGCGTCGAGTTGGGGAGGTATTCCGAAGAGGAAACAGAAGAAGTAGAATTTGTGACGGATCCGTCAGAGTAAGTCCTGTCTACTCCGCTAGATCCCGTCAATTTGACAGTTGCAAGGCGAACGCGATTACAAGGAGACTTGATTATTCTTGGCGAATCGCTCCCACTCTCAAATCCAGAGGAGATTCTTCCAGCTTCATTGCCAAAAGCATCATTGCCGGAGGATACTTTGGCTGCTCGATATGCCTTTTCGGAGGCACTCGCTCGCTCGACTGCCCTCTCCGCGATTGAAACTGGCGTTGAAGAGTTTCTTCAGTCTGTATCCAAGCTTCCACAGACGTTGTCCTCTACTGGTCGACCCGGTTTGACGCGAACGGAGATTATCAAGAAGATGGGCCTTCTTCTCAAGTTCCGCCAACGTATCTTCCTCAATCCTCAAAACTTTACCGACATGCCAGAGGTGTACTGGAGTGAACCACAACTAGAAAGTACGCTCGTGTTTTCTTTCACGTCAGACACGCTAACTCTTTTGCAGAGTACTTCAATCAGATGAGCGATGCTCTTGAAATCAAGTCGAGAACACAACTTGTCAATGCCAAAATTACATATGCCGTCGAGCTTCAGTCAGTAATGCGGGAGTTGCTAACAGAAGTAAGTGGTCAGGGCCTTGAGATGCTTTGACTCTGACCTAAGAAAAGGCTTCTGGACATAGAATGGAACTCATCATTATTGCTCTTATCGCATTCGAGGCCACGCTGGTCAGTCTGTTCGCAAAGTTTCCTGCTATTCTGACTTTGGACAGGCCTTTATCAGAGAAGGCCCAGAAATCTGGAAGATGATATCGGGACAGTCAAAGGAGAAGAGTTCTGCACGGCATTGACCAACCCACCACTTATGCTTATTCGTCGTGTACCACAACCTCACTACTCATATCTTTTGCATATTCAAGCACGCTTTTGTCCTTGAAAGTCTACCAAAGGCCATATGCATACTCTTGCATCCTTGCTACCCGACGCTAGCCATAATCCTCTAGAAATTTGGTCTTGCACATCGAGTTCGTCGTCTTCCACAATCTCTCCAGTAGAGACCCTCTGAGCAAAGGCCAGCGCGTAGCACCCTTCTCGATGGTGGGACAATGTACCGAGTGACTTGAAGGACTTGGTCGAGTATAGCCTGATTCTTGGATACATTTGAGTTATTGCACTAAAGAGAGCCTAAGATACATACTTTCCATCCCATCCACCAACAGCAAATACTTTGTCATCACCTCGAATCGCGACGGCGCCGTGCCCGGCACTTTTGCATAGATGTGGAGCAGATACCTTTTCTTGCGAGAAGTTCTGCTGAGAGTAAGTCAATGAATAGATCCGTCCACCGACTTGCCGAGAGGAAGTACTTGACAATCTTATAGTCCGCCGACACAGTGAGTGCAAACTGGTGGTTGGCTGCGAGTGACATTGCCATTACTGTAAGACAAGTCAGATAAACTCTGAGTAGGAAAGGCGGAAATCACCCGATTCAGAATGTTCCTTTACCCGCCACAATTGTGTCCAATCGAGCCCTTCAACCGTTTTCTTCCCGTCGTCGTCGTCCCGACAATATAAAGCTACTGAGCCGTCTTCATACCCAATAAGAGTGTGCAAGACTTCTTTATAGTCTCCAACTGGCTGGCAGAACAGGGCGACCGCCATAACAGCACCTACGACGGTGAACAAAGACCATATTTGCTCAGCAGACTCACCGAGCTTCAAGCGACGGTCTGAAGGGTCATCTCTACCGGAGTCTTGAACATGTTGTTTGCCTATGGCCGCGTGGAGGCGGTCCTTGCTTGGAAGTTGCCAGAGGTCGATCTAGGGCGGTGACAATGAGTTCATGATTAGATACGAGAGAGATACCAACATAATTCGAATCTACGAGGTTTGGCACCGCGAGTGTTGCGGTACCATCCTTTGAAGGAAGTAAGTGGAAGCGGCAAAAGTTCAAGGCGTTGACATCGAGGGAGTAGAGCAATGGCGGAGCGGAAACAATCTCTGAGATGTTGATTGTTTCCACTAGTTCTATTGGGGGCAATGTTCGAGACCAGATATGTAGTTTATGATCACGGCCATGACTTGAAAGGGACTAATGAGTCGTGATGATCTACCGTAGATGACAAGCTACAGACGTTAATATCGTCTCATTCCATTCGTCTACGCCGAGAACGCTGTCGGTGTGGGCCTGCCATCTTGCTAGCGGCCTCAGCGTTCTTGTCGAAGTCAGGGTCACCCAACCTTGAAGATCTGCACTATACAGCCGTTCATTATCATCTGAGAAGCAGACAGAGTTAATTTGAGCCTTGTGCGTCCGTAAAATGTGAGCTGGTGATGGTGGAGGTGTGGTCATTGGGACCAAAGTGGTTTTACACACTTGACCCCGACTGCGTCTTGGACCACCAACGAACATGGCCGACGCGGAAGGAATCTCACTCGAAGAGACGAACAAGATCCGTATCTCGCTAGGTCTGAAGCCTTTGACGGATGATAAGGCTCCTGTCGCTGACAAGGAGAAGGAGGCTGAGGACAACTACTCTAAAGCTCGAGACAAGGAGCGCAAAGCGCGAGATGACAAGTACGTCTCAACTCTTTGGTTATAGGTCCATATCGTTTGCTAACGTTTCCTGTCTATAACAGGGCGCTTCGAGATAAAATCGCAAAGTGAGTAATCACGCCTCCTCACCTGCTCGCTGAGTCATTTCAACTCTACTCTATCTAGATATGGAGACAACGAAACTCATGAGTTTCTCTATGTAGGGTCCGAAATCGTCATGAACTCAACGCAAAGTTGAAAGGCACCACTTTGGGCACTCTTGGTGAGGAGGAAGGAGATACCAGGTCATGGATCAAGCGAAACAAGAAAATGGTCAAGGAGCTCGCCAAACGAAAGCAGAAAGAGCTGGAGGAGATGGACAACCAATTCCAAGAGAGCTATGGCGAAGGTGTGAAACTTTGTTCTGGTTATCTCGCAATGTTCACGATTCCCTTCAGATGACTTGGCAGGTTTAAAGGTGGCACATGATCTTGAAGGGATGGAGGAAGGCCAGGAACAAATCCTGACTCTGAAGGATGCCCGAATTCTCGACGATGCTGGTACGCGCTATCCAACACCTCACATGATTTGTCTGAATATTTTTAGAGGACGAGTTGCAGAATGTCCTGCTGGCTGAGCACGAGCGCACGGATGAGAGGATAAAAAACAAGTCAAAGAACCGCACCTATACCGGCTACGATGACGAAGAGTTTGCAGAAGGAAGAGCGGGCATGAAACGCAAGATTTTATCCAAGTACGACGAGGATCTCGACGGACCTCAGGAGACTGTGAGTTGATGTAGTGCTTGTGAAGGTATGCTTACTTTCGCCAAGGGCTTCCGCCTTGGATCATCTGCCAAACCAGCCAAGGCGGCGCGTATTGTCGAGGACATGGACGCCCCTACCGTCAACAAGGAATTGTTGAGTATCGATTATTTGAGTATGTCCATCTGTCTAAATTTCGATGCTTCCTCTAACACTTTGACAGAAAACTTGGACACATCAGACTACCTGCAAGAGGGAGACGTTGGGTTCAAGAAACAAAAGAAGAAGAAGCGGGCAACACGTCGAGTGGTCGAGTCAGATATTGTTCCAGAAGAGCCAACAGAGCAACAAGATGGCATGCAAGTTGACGAGGAGCCTACAAGAAAGGCGGACGACAACTTTGTTGATGACGACGAGCTTCAAGCAGCGCTTGCGCGCTCTCGAAAGGCAAAAGTGCGCAAAATACCAAAATTGACAGCAGAGGAGATAGCAAAGCGAGGTTCGTCTATATCGAACTGGTCTGAAAAGATGCTGACCTCCAGTTCAGTCGCCGAAGAGCGTGAAGCAGAAGAAAAGGAGGCGATCAAGACGGAAGAGGAAGTCGGTTTGGTGATTGACGACACCACGGAGTTTATGGACAGTCTCAAACAGGCCATGGAGCGCCCAGCGGAACGGCGGGTTGTCGTTATCAACAATACTCGAACGAAGGAAGAATCTGATGAGGACGAAGATCAGATGGAGGTTGAGCTCGAAGCGGGTGAGGTCGACGCCAAACAGGAGCAAGAGATGCTGGCCCTCAAGATGGAGCTCGACAAACAATTCGGAAGTGATGAGGGAGTCAAGGTTGAGGAGCAAGAGATTGAAGTTGGCACAGCGGCCGAGAAAACTCATTCTGGCGGTCTGGCGGCACCCTCTCGATCCTCAAAGCGACCGGGGCGCTTCAAACATCTACGGGAGATCTCCGTGAGCGTGAACGAATACAACGCGAGCGTGATCTGTGGCTCGCGGAACAACGCACGAGGGCGGCTCTCCGCGAACTCGAGCGTGCAGCAGCGCGAGGCGCCAACCGTGACCAACAACAGCGCGAGTACGAGAATCGACTGCGAGAGCAAAACGAGATTCGGTCAGCGATCAAATCGTTTGAAAACTATAAGCCGGATATCAATATCGTGTACCACGACGAGTTTGGGCGCGAGATGACGCCCAAAGAGGCGTGGAAGGCGCTTTCACATCGATTCCATGGCAAAGGGAGCGGGAAAGCAAAGACGGAGAAGCGCCTGAAGAAGATTGCAGAAGAGCAAAAGATGCAGGCCATGGTCTCTGGTGAAACACCCCTAGGCATGACGAGCGCGTTCCAGGCGCGGCAGGAGAAGCTCGGGCAGGCACACATGGTTCTGTCTGTTGGAAATCGAGGGTATGTCATCATCGTATGAGTTCCGTCTGTCTTTTTGCCCTGACGTTTTTATCTCAGAGCTGCTCCGCAACTAGCCCAATACATTGAAACACCGAATCTTACAAAGACCAAGGCGGAGAAGAAGAAAAAGGGCAAAGATGTAGACAAGGGCATGGAGCAGCCGGCGTTGATGGACGTAACGCACTTTGTCGCGGCTGCAGCACCTGCATTGGCGACCGAGCAAGCGAGTAAGCCGGCAGCACCCAAAGCCAAGTTTGCGCCGGTCGGATCATTTGTTCCCACTCCCGTCGCCGCGACGAATGGAGATTCGACACCCATTTCGACTGGGAGGATTGCGCTGAACCTCAAGCGCAAAGCGGAAGATGAGGGAACTGGAACGCCACCACAAAAGAGGCGCTAAATCATATGCACCTGTACTATTCACATGCTTAATTCTGAGGCAGTTCCCGGTTGAAAGAGAGGAATAGGCTGAGATTAGGAGCCAAGTGCCATTATAAAACAGTTAGTCAAAGGGGTCCAGCTACTCGCTTAGAGGATGAAGGTAAAAAGGTGCAAGAGAGGAAATTTTAGAAGAGGAGGGGCAAAGGTTAGCCGGCGTGTGCAATGTTGAGCATGTTGACGAGGCGGCCAGCAGCAATACCGAGTCCAGCGAGCGCATCTCCAGTCGCTGGTGCGTTGTTTTGAGGGGTGTCAGTGTTGACCGATTCTGCAGTCACAGCAGCCTCGGTGCTGCTGGACGACGGTGTTGGCGTGTGCACGGGCGTCTCGCTCGATGGAGGAGGCGTATGAACCTCGGGAGGGGGAGTGTAGACGCTTGTGGGCTCTTGTGGTGGTGGAGGAGGTGGTGGTGGTGGCGGAGGTGCACCTCCTTCGCCCTCGAATTCCCATTCCATGTAAAAGACGCCTGCGCTAGTGGGTGCGAAGAATGTGAAGAGACCCTCGCTCAAATCGAGGTCACCGTAATTGCAGGCGCCATAGGGACACTAGGAATGCGGGTAGGCGCTTGTCAGGCATATGTGTCAAACGAAGCGCCGATAGGTGGTCGTACCTCGTCCATAACAACCGCGGAGGCTGTCTTTCCACCGTAGTGAATATTGATGCGTCGGAAGCATTGTGGGCTTGGGTAGCCACCTCCGACTTCGAATTGCTGGTAGAACCGGATGAGCTTAGAGTCTCGGTGTAGGTAAAGGCCAACTTACGGCAGCATTCAATGCTACAATCTGATTTTTTCACACAAGATATTTAGTGGTAAATTCGGATCGAGGCGAGCCGCAAAGAGAAAACTCACAAAATCACCAGGCTGGTTGTATTGACCACATGCACCCAAACCGACTTGGTAATACGTAGCACGACCAGAGGTGCGCTTGCTGAGGCTCACGGGGGATGCGAGGACAAGCAGAGGGGCGACGAGGGCGGCCAAAAGGAGACGGAACATGTCTACGATGGATAAACGAGTGTACTTGTTTTCTAACGAGTGTGATGACGAGCTACAAGGGCGTCGTCGAGCGCGGAAGAGGTCAGGACCAAGGTTGTGAACTTGGCTTGGCGCTCTTTGTTGATCCCCGACGGTGATAGCCGACGGCCACAAACAAAGCAAGAGCCTGTCTCAGAGCGAGTGGATTGGATATAAAAACAGTGGATTAGCAGAGCGTGGTGCAACAGGTGGGGTAAATAGATAGAAGGTATCTGGCAAGAAGAACGGGTTTGCCTAGACGCCCTTTGCAATCCGGAGGAGATTGATCATCTGGTTTGCGGCAAGATTGATCCCATCGAGGCCTTTGTGTCCAGAGGTCGTAGTCTCTGTCGCACCTTGCGCAGAAACGTCGCCAGTCGACGATGACGAGGAATGTTGAGTCGTTGACGAGCTCGGAGTCGGTGTTGAACTCGATGTAGACGTTGGCGTCGGCGTCCATGTGCTTGATGGCGGTGGTGCTGATGATGGTGGAGGCGTATAAGGCGGCTCAGAAGAAGATGGTGGAGGGGGTGGAGGAGTCCATCCCCCTCCGCCGCCGCCTTGTCCATCAGTGAACTCCCAGTCCATCCAGAAGATGCCTTGTTGATAAGGATCCGGGTACCACTGTTGGAAGAGGCCAAAGCTCAAGTCGAGGTAGCCTTCGTAGCAGCCATTACCATCAATATTCGGGCACTGTGACAGTTGAGTTCTACGCTCCAGGGAATTTATCTTGTACCCACCTCGTCCATGACGACTGCATTAACTGACTTGCCATTGTGTGTGATTCTGATTGGACGATTGCACTGGGAGCTTGGCCATTGCGACTCTCCATTTGGGTGGAATTGCTAAAGAGCATCCTTGGTACGAGTGAAAGAAAGAAAGAAAGGGCCTACCACCGAGTTCAAAGCGACGATAAAGTCTCCAGGGTTGTTCCATTGTCCGCAGGCACCACTAGAGGTGGGAAATCAGCTCATTCGTCATGCTTGACTACCAGAAGTCCGTACAGTCCGACATGATACCATGAAGCGCGTCCAGAGATGCGCTTTGCGAGCGGTTGAGTAGAGTTTGTGGGCGCGGCATAAGAAAGACTGGCGAGTGCGCCCAAGAGCGCGACTGAGAGGAGGATTTGCATGTTAGATAGCGTCAAGAGGACGTGTAAACGACAGTGAGTGACGAAAAGACTCGTCGTGGGGGGGTCCAACTGATGGGAAACGGCCGAGCCAGGCGCCGTTGCTTATTGCTTACAGTGATCAGGGGTGGCCACTTGGCGCGCCGATAAGCCGGCTGTTCCCATCTCGGCGAAAGACCTGAGTAAATTCCGAATATTCGTAAATGCCGAAATTTAGAATTATAGAATGATATAAGCAGCGTAGAATTGTCGCCGGTGAGTCTGCTTGGACCTCCAACCAGCTCATCCCATACTCTCTCCGACTCTGTAACCCTCACTTGACTGGAAGTTCTGCAGTCAGGGGGAGGTTTTAGTGGGTATATCTGCCATCGGAAACGGATACACAGTAACCGTGACACCGGTAATAAGAAGAGTCCCCACATATCCGCCCGAGTTGTCTCGGCCAGAATGCGTAACGCATGTCCTTGCTCTTCTCCAAACCAAAAAAAGTAGTTCTGGGGCCATAATTTGGTTCGAGGGAGGACGATTGGAGAATAGCAGGGCGAGAACAGCTATCTTTACCGGATGTCTTCAAGACAAATCAGCTAGATTCTGCCACTTCTACACACAACTACATCTCTACTGCTCACCAAAGAGACGACCATGTTTATCCTCAAAGCGAATCGACAACTCTTTCATCCTCTGGGCAAGTTTCACCAGGCCATCCGCAGCCTGGAATAGTCTGGCATCCTGGTAGGTAACGAGACTCCCCTCGACTACCTCCTTTGATCTCTCTCCACGAAAGCGATCAAACTCTGGCGCTTCCCAGTCATGCGACTCTCGAATAGTCGTCACGTTTGCCAAAATGGTACAAAACTCGATCAGCATGTCAATAGCATCCGTACCAGACCCAACGCCTACGTCGAGAAAGGCCAGAGTCTCGTCGTCGGTATTGACGAGGGTGGTCAATGGGTGGTTTGATGGAGGGCACCAAGGGACTATATTGACCAGAGGGGCCCCAAGGTACTTGATATTGGGACAATCAGTCAAGATGTCTGAGAGCCCTCAAGATTCTCCGGTCTGTGTCCTACACGGACGATCACGACCTCTAGTTGTTTCCCGAATGCAGAAACACCCTTCCAGAAACGGGCCACTTCTCTTGCATCCCCGAATCGGCTTAGATCGAGGTGGCGCAAGTTGGGTAACCTCCATTTTTCGTACGGAATCCCGCTGAGCGACCCTGCTGTGATGATCAGGGTGCGCAAATGCGGTAGCTCGAGCACATCGCTCGACATGAAAGTAAACCTGGTTCCCAGCTCGAGCCACAGGAACACCAAACGTCGAAAGTTTTTGGTGATTTTGTCCAGCATCTCCAAAGGTGGACCTGGCCAGAACAAGAAACCAAGATCCAGATGAAGAGTTTCTAGATTTGCAAAGGATTCTGGAGACTCTTTGATGACGAGGTGGCTTAGCCTGGCCGTGCAGGTGGACAGGATTCGAGCTCCAAGCAGCCTAGACTGCAATGTGAGTCCGAGTTCGACCATGATTCTCTGGTCGAGTGAAATCTGGTACCCATGGTCTTTGAGATGGGGCTTTCGCCGGTTGCGTTCTATGATTGTCGGGTAATGAGGTCCAGCGATTCGTCGTGCCCGCGAAAGCTGCACGATTGTAGCTTCGTCGTAGATGTGAATGTCCCAAAGTCGGGTATATCGATACTTGACGCCGTCAGAGTCGACGTAATCTCTCCATGAATGGCAGACGAGACGCAACGTCGCTCGCTGGCGATAAAATGCATCCTCGCTGTTTTCTGTGTGCCATTTTGAGAGTATACGTCTATCTGTAAGGAAATGGCGCAGGGGATCGGTCTCGAACAGAAGTAGATCGTCAAAGACGGCATCCAAGATGGTTTCCCAGAGTTCTCGAGGCAGTTGATTCCCTACGGCTGCCATGAGAAGGCCCCCGCCGTGGCAGATGATGACCCACCTCGGATCGTAGTCGACGTCAACGTTTTGCACTCCACCATGTCCACCGAAACCATTATTCGTCAGGTAGACACTTTACTCAAGCAGAGCTCATAGAATACAACTAACAAAACTACTAGCTTACACCCTCGGTCTGCATATTCTCCCGGTGAGAGAACTCTATCAGGGAGACACCAACTGATTCAGTTCAAGGCCTTTCAAGAGATTCGGCATCCTACCTGTCGGTGGGAGATCAACAGCAGTCAAACTCAGGAATGGAGACATCTGGGTCCTCGCTTCAACCACTCTAGACGAGCCCACAAAGGCAAAGATTGACGAAATGGGCAATGTCAAGTCAGTTTGCCCTTATGCGTGGTTACTCGCACTGAAACTCCTCGAAGATATATTGTCGCAGCAGATGCAGAACACGACTCATTCCTCTGTAAGGTGTATTCACTTGGGTGGTATGCAGGACTCACTTCGTTGTAGCCGAGTTCACAAAGGCATACCCTGCAGCCCATCTTATCGGAGTTGAACCTTTGGCCAAGAAGCGAACTGACCTTCATTTCCATGGTGGTAAGCGTCATCTCACTCACGAAATTGTGAGCTTACATGGGAAGCGTACGGCAAAGACCCAGAAGGAACAAAATATGGCTACGAGCCCGAGGTAAGAGAAAGTGAGTTCCCCGAGTGTATACCTGATCATCCTTTATAGATTGAGGCTTGGTAGGTCGCAACTATCTTGCTAGCTCTGCTCAACCCAAGGCCAGCTATTTTCCGGAAACTCCAAACAGCGATGTTGCATTCTTCCATGCCGAGTCCAAGAGTCTCATCGAAGCAGACCTTCTCTGGAACCTTAAAGGCAGTAGTCCAGTAAGGGTTCCAACAGTTTCGAAGAAAGCTACTGAGCAGATTCAAGTCACTATTCTCCCTCAATTTTGACCCAGACTCTACCCTCCACAAAAAGTTTGCCCAGTTCGCGACATCTGACAAGGCCGCTACCAAGATATTAGCGCAAAGAGTCGCCCAATGGGACTTTGACAGGATTATTCCTTGCCATGGAGTGAGTATCGGTCTTCGTTCTATCCGAGTCTCTCGCTGACATAGCACAGGAAGTAATTGAGACAGGAGGAAAGAACGCCTGGAAGGCAGCATATGAGGCATTCTTTAAGTAGATTACCGCTTGACCACTTGGGCTCGGGTGGTATCGCGATCCTGATTCTCGCCACTACTCGGCCCAATGGCTACATTTAGTCTCCCAGCCAAAGATGTAGACGAATGGAATTTGAACCCAACTGTCACCTATCGACATGTACTTTCTCAGTCAACCGGTGTTCAGTGAGACGAGTCTATTGTAAAAGCCCATTATTTCTCACCTCGTACGCAGTAACGCCTTGTCAGAAGACTTGCTCGACTTTGAAATTGCCTGATGACCCTCTAGGCGGACAATTGGTCTTTGCGATCTAGACTGCTTCTATGCACAGTGCGAGCAAAGGCGTCTCGGGATTGATCCAGGTAACGTGTCTACTTCCTTCGGAGCTTAAGCATCCATTAATTGCCAGAAGCCCTTCCCATCGTCGTTTTACAGTGGGACATGCTAGTACGCCCGATAACCGGAGGCTTACGCCCGTCTTAAGCATTTCAAAGATAGCAGTTAATTATCCAGCACGAGAATTTGGCATCAAAAGAATGACAAAGGTGAGTATAAACTTTGCTTTAAAACATAGGGTCTTATGCGCCTCTTTAGCTTCCGGACGCCAAGAAGATGTGCCCAAATCTGGTCGTAGTCCACGTTGCGACGTATAAAGACGGAGAAAGTGAACCGAAATATCATCCAGATCCCAATAACAAGACGCACAAAGTATCCTTGGACCTATACCGACGGGAAAGTAACAAGATTCTCAATGTGTTCAAGACTACTTTACCCACGGCGGAAATTGGTACCCAGAAACTTGCTTAATTAAACGGAATCTCACGCGTCATAGAAAAGGCGAGCATCGACGAGTCGTTCGTCGACTTCACGCGACCCATTCAGCAAATCCTGCTCGAGAGATATCCAGAGCTAGCGTCGCCTCCCCCAGACTCGCCACTGAACCTCGATACTCCTCTGCCTCCACCTCCAGCGCGACTTGAATGGCACAAGTCGTCAGTTTGGGTACCAGTCAATCCTGAAGCGGAAAAAGGAACGGAATCAAGTGAAGGACCACAACAGGAGCAGGATTCTACTCCAGCTACATGGCACGACGTCGCACTTTCGATAGCTGCTGAACTGCTAGACAATACCCGACGGGAGATTCGAGAGACTCTAGGATACACTACCAGCGCTGTAAGTACATTCTCATTAGGTTTCCTTTCTGAAGCTCCTTAGGGCATAGCACGAAACAAATTCCTAGCCAAGGTATGTTCTTACCCCTCTTTCGATCCTGTTCTCAGAGCATATAGCTCGTCGCCTCGTACAAGAAGCCGAACAGTCAGGTTTGAGAGGATCTTCGAGGCGAGAATGCAGCTCATTGGTTGATCCAGAGTGTTCTCAGAAACGCCGCCATTCCCAACTACTTGCGTCCTTTGCCATTCCAGAAGGTAGGCTGGCATGATTCAATTCCTTGTCAAGAAGATAACAATATCCAGATCCGCTTTCTTGGAGGGAAGTTGGGAACGATCCTCGCCGAGGAATACGAGGCGAAGACTGTCGGGGAACTTTTGTGAGCTATGATACAAGCATAGCTTCTTATTCTGACCCAGAATTTAGATACATCGATTTAGGTGAGCACATGCTGCCTCGAGGAGGTGGGATCTGAGGCAGGGTAGCCGAGATGCAAAGAAAATTTGGCCCAGAGTCACTTTGGGTATACCAGGTCTTTCGGTAAGCAATAAACTGTTTAATACAGTCATTAACAACAGGCAGAGGTATCGATATTGGAGAAGGTGAGCTTCTTCAAGGTTGTACTTCGCATTCTGACACTTCTTTAGTCAAGGAGAAACCCCCGTCAATAAGAGCATGTTAGCGTCGAAGAATTTGCCAAAACCGATCAGGCAAGATGGCGACGTCCTTCAATGGGTGCGGGTTCTCTGTTCTGAACTCGCGGTTCGGCTTCTTGAAGCACGAGAAACTGGAACAGTGTGGCCGAAGACGATTGCTTTACATACTAAACAAGGTGAGCATCTTGGTATCTTCTCCGCTTTCAGTCTCTCTAACCTTGACAGCGGGTGACAGTGCCTCAAAATCGAAGCAGACACCTTTCCCGTTTGTCCGGGATCTTACAGGAGATGTTATTGTCGCTGCTGTAATGAAGCTCTGGAAAGAACTGCACACCAGCGACGCCGAACGGGCAGCAAACCCGAACGTACCGAAAATGAAGATTATCAATATTGCCGTCTCGTTCAATGGCGTGGAGACACTCGAGCAAGGACAGCGCAACATAGCAGGATTCTTTGGGGGCCCTGCGAGCAAAGGTGCCTCCTCATCCAAGCTTATTGCACAGGAAAAAAAATCACATGAAGATGATTCAAACGCATCTCCGTTGACGTACAAATGTCCAACTTGCTCAAAGGTCCTCTCGGTGCTGAGTGTCGAAGGAGACGACGAAGATACTCGTGCAGCCAGGCTAGAAGCTGTCAAAGCAGAACACGAAGATTTCCACTTTGCCCAACGACTTTCACGGCAAGAAACGATTAAGTTGGGGGCCGGTAGTGGAAAGCGTCGCATAAGTCCTGCACGGCGAGGACCTCCCTCTAAAAAGAGGAAAGAACCAGGCATCGAGAGTTTCTTCAAAAAGAAGTAGCCAACGATTGGATATCCGTTGATTTATTGATAATGCTATACTGAGAAGAACTTATACAAATATCGATACAAATGTCGTAATATGCCTGAAGCTGGTGAAGGACCTGCTGCTCAAGCCGCGCCCTCTTGTGCGGTAAGCTTAGTCGTAGTTGCCCGTTTCGGTCGCTCCGAGGGTGGTAGATCGTCGATGTAGACGATTCTAGTGACGACGACTTGTTCATGAGGTAGATTGGGAATGGGAATATCCGCTTCGGTGACATTCCCAAGAGGATCAAGTAACACCTAAGGCCGTGGTCAACCAAAACTTCTTAGACGAAGGGCACAAATACCTGAGTAGTGAGTGATCTTTTCCCTAGGGCGACGCTCTTGGATAATTCTGCGCGTTTCCGAATGCCCTCAAAGTTGTTTGCGTCCATCTCGAAGCGTTGAAGAAGATTAGTGCTCCACTTGACGCGCTTTTTAATCCGGAGTTGATCATGGCCGTCGAGGTCCATGCCCTCCGATTCTTGTCGTGGCTTGGTGGGTGTTTTATACTCTTCGTCGTCTCCGGCTGCTCTGGGATGTTTCTTCGCTTCTCCCTCAGTGTCGCTTGGTTCTACTGGTTCCTGCTTTGCCGTCCGTCTCGCGGCTCGCTCACCTCTTTCCTTCTCCTGTTCCGTCTTCTTTTTATCGAGTAGAGTCTTGACTCTCGTTGTGGGGCTAGCGGGTCGTTTGCCTTCGCGCATTACAATTTGAGTTTCCACCGTCGAACAGATGTATTGCTGATTTCGAAGTGTATTGGCATTGGTGAGGTTTCGCAAAGAAGTAGGGTCCAAGGGCATCATCATTGGTCGGGTCATAGTGCGCCCTCGTCCCTTGACGCGGGATGTTACAGGGAAAATCCCCAATGATGGCGCCGTCGCAGCAAATTCGGGAATTGTAGTCCATTCCGTGCAGCTTCTGATGATAAATCTTTACTCGGCGGCTTCAAACGTTCCTTGGGAGGTGGCGGAGGTGTAATTACCGGCACAGAGGTCGGCGGAGACCGCGCGCGACTCTCAACTGTTGTGTCCATAGGATCCTCAATAAGGCTGTCCGGTCGTGTTCGTATACGGGGCTGTGGAGGGCGAAGTATGACAGCATCTGGAGGAAGTTCGTCGGTGGCGCGTTGCAAGGATGCTCCTTGTGCCTGCTGATTCGCAGCTGCTCGCCCTCTTCGAGTCTTGATCGGAGATATAGGAGGTGGCGGCGGTGGTTGAAGAACCTAGATGGATTGAGATCGTTGAGTACGAGGCGAGAACCGTCAATTTACCTTTGGTGCGGTTGGAGCAGGGAGGGGTGGAGGAGAAATTACTGCGTTTTTTGTAAGAGCCTTGGGCTTTGGTAGTCGTGATATGGGCCGTGCATACGGCTTCGACGATCCCGGTCTAGGGATTTTGCTCGCTACCCCGGTGGATGCGCCTCTTAGAGTCGATTGTGTGCGACCTTGAGATATAATAGGTGCAGTCGACAATGTAGAGACTGACGGATTGTCTGTCGAGGTGCAAGGTGATTTCTCGATGAAATATTGGTGCTTATTGGCGAATACTGGCACCGGTAGACGTGAGGGGGTAGTTGGATTCGGAACCAGTGTCCTTGACAAGTGAGCCGAGGCAGATGGTTGAGGAGTGATGGGAAATGGGAGTCGAGAGGGCGAGAGAGGAACAACAAGAGGAGCGAGCGAGTCTTGATTGTTAGGTGACCCCGTGGACTGAAAATTTAACCGTGGCCGTGTAGGCGTCCGGGCGGGTGAACGTATCGCCAGCATAGTCATAACGGCTGCGTTGCGATCTGCTCGTTGTGTTGGCGTCATGATACGCATTTCCATAGATCCTGCGTCCGAGTCGTTTTCCTCTTGTATATCGTCTCCACTACCCTCCGACGGCGTCTTTTCTCCCTTAGGAGTCTCAAACGTGAGCACTTTACTTTGAGGCTCTGTGTATGTCCCATTCGATAGCCTATCGAGAAGAAATGTCTGCGTCGGAGACAGTGATGTCAATCTCAGCAAGCTAGGCTGAGGTGTTTCTCCTGGAGCTGTGGGCGCCGAGAATGGCACGGTTTGGAGTCGTACTGGCGAGAGGATGGGTTGCGACAGAGCTGGGATAGGGCTCGCGAACAGAGAGGAAGATTCTGCGGTTGATAGTAGTGGTTGCGATTGCAATTGAATGTTTGTTGCAGAGGTGGACATGGTCGGCTCTTCGTCCAGTTCCATATCAACTCCCTCTTTGCTCGCTTCTGAGCTCTCCACCCTTGGCTCACTATTCAACGAGGTGTGAATTCCCGTTGGATTGGGTTCGGCCGCGAAAGTAGAGTGCGTTTCAATCGCCAAGTTGCTTGTCATCGCTTCCTCCGTTATATCCTTTGTTGCGGTGACTGGTTGGGTTCGAAAAGGCGATGATGACCGAGACAGGAATATTGAAGGAGAAGGAAGCGGTGTTGAGAAGATGTACGTCGACCCTGATTTCATTGGCGTAAACTGGAGTCGGGGAGGCACTGAGTTCACTGGCGCGGTCTCAGTTGGGGTGATGGACGTCCTGAGTAAAGTTTGCTTTGGAGTATTAAACTCTGGTTTGTTCTGAAATGGAGTAGATATTCGTGGTGATCTCCTGGGCGTGAATGCCAACGTTGGTTTAAGCGGCTCTGTGACAGATATGGGCGATTCTGTATACTTATGAGTGAGCAGAACGATGACACAGGCTGTCGAAAAATGTACCTTCTGTGTCTGTTCCCTTGCCAGGTAGTGTCATGATTTGTTGCGGAGTGCCTTGCTCCCAAGCTGGAGTTGCTGTTGTATAGCATAAGAATATAGTTAAACCCTTCTTAGAGGACGAAAATGCTCGTACAAGGTCTATTTGCCACATCTGTGACGAGACCACGACCAGGTGTCCGTCCAAGAGGTGTGCCGGGTGTTGGACTTGCGAGATCAAAGTCAGTATCGTGGTTCAAAATCATTTCAACATCGTTGATAGATGCAGAGATCGTGTCATCGCTCATAACACTGTCTCGTGTAGGGGAGTCTACATGAATCAATGAGCTACAAGAACGACGCCACAAGATTCGCGAACCAAAAGGGCAATTTAGCGTATATAGTCCTTTTTGACGCGCGCCACAGCGCGTCGACAGAATAGAGAGGACAACTCACTGGTCGGATCCGAGGAGCTCCAGGCCACAGGCGTTTGAGGCGTGCCTGCTTCATTTACTCCAAGCTCCTGTGAAGAACTAATGACGGGAGTAGATTCCATCAAAGCCAGTCGCGTCTGGGCGCGTCGTTTGCAAAGTCACGCTGGCCTGTTCACTCGAAAACCGGAATAAGACGGGCAATGTGTATCGTAGAAATCTCAACAGGACGTTCGTTATATGTTCGTGATGTTGAATTGTGGACGCGCTGTCTTTTTACGGAAATGCAAGAGCGAGAGGCAGTCCAAGCTTGGTTCGTATGTATCAGCGCCAACTGTATTACCCAGTCGACTGTACAAGAAACGCACTCCAAGAAATCTCCAACATTGCTAGGTTGTTCATTCGACAGGAGGAACACCGTTTGGTTCCGTGCCTTCGTCTTCCTGGCCACCTTCCATACTGTGTTCGTCAACAAGATTGGCAATAATCTTAGCCTGAACATCGAGCGTCGATCTCATCAAATTCATCTCTTCTTTCTGTGACTTAAGCTCTGCCTTCAACTAGGGGGATATGAGCCACAAGTCGAATCATAAAGCCGAGGGAGAAGATCACCTTCATCAATTCTTTCTCGGCAGCATGGAAACGCGACAGCTTCCTTTCAAGACTGCTGACTTTGTCTTCGAGTGTACGCAGGGTGTGCTTTTCTCGGTGACTCTTTCCCATTTCGTCCTCGAATTCGACCTTGCGCGACGACTTTCGGGTTTCCTTTTCTGTCGCGTGCTTTGTGCTCGACAATTTAGAACCCGAAGACCCCTCTGGTTGAGTCCCAGTTGCGGCAGCATCTGGCTCGCGTGTGCCCACACCGGGTTGACCATTCTCCTTGTCATGAGATGCAGATCCAAACTTGGTGTTGGACGCATTGATCTTTGTAGTCAACGTTCCAACCCAAATCTTTTGCAAAATGGAGGCCATTTCTTCAAAGTCGCCATGGATCCTCTTCTCCAACGCCAGCCTTCTCGTACGAATTGTGTGAAGAGTCTCTAATAGTGCGTGATGAGCGAGTTGCGGCCCATCGACGACGCCTTGGCCGTTTATATCCGTCGCTTCTGGCACTAACGTATCCTCAGAGGTTTCGCCCACTTGAGAAGCCGAACGCTGTGGTCGCTTCCTTGGATCTATAGATTTGGTCGGAGAGAGCTGGACGGTGGGATGTTCGAGGGGTGGAGCACCATGTGCGGGTTGACCCACAGAAGCGGCGAGGGCCCGTGGCAGGTCAAATCTTGCTGCAAGGGATTCAAAAGCTTCCAACTTGAGCGATTCGTCGTCATATGTCTTTTTAGCATCGATCAGTCGAACGTGCACCTTCGTCAATTCGCTGGGATCTAATGAGTACGGTCGAATTTGAGCAGTCAAAAATGTACCTTATAAGTGTCGTCACAGTCATTGAGCTTTCAGTATGGGGTAAGGCGTCTGCCTTGGACCAAGCGGCTCGAATTCGGTCCTGCACAGTCTCTTCCATTGGAAACGAGAGATCCTTACTCATACCGTCGGATTCAACAGGCTCAGGCGGCACAATTAAAGGTTCCTAGTTCGGTCTTAGAGAGTGAGCGTTAAGAGTGTAGTACATACCGTGGGTTTCTCTGCGTTTCCTCTATTCTTCGGTGGTGGAACGTCATGTCCGGTAGCCCCTTGGCACTAGTCAGTAAAGTGAGCAGCTCTCAACTTGGTGCGCCATACATAGCTTGCTGGGCCCAGGAGGAATACCGTTGGATCCGGTGACAGGAGGATCATCTCTCATGTCGCTGTGTCCTGGAGAGCGATCACGAGAATCTTCATATCCCCTCTCCTTCCTAGTGATCAAATATTCGTCCTTGAATCGCTTCGGTGGTGGAGAGCGGCCCCGAAACATTTCGTAAGGAGAACGAATCCTGGGGGGCGGGGAACGATCAGGTGAAGAGCGCATGCGTTTCCTCAAGAAAGAGGGCGAAGGATGTGACCATGATGAGTCTAGGGGTTTCGGATCTAAACCAGGCCAGTTTTTCTGACCACCGATTAGGAGCGGAAGTTGCTGTGACAGGTGGAAACATACATCATATGGATGAATAAACCTGTTCTTTATGAGTACAAAGAAAGAGTATATGAAAACGCATTACCTGCACGCGCCACCGTCTGCACAATACGGGTAGATGCTTCTTCCATCAGCGTCGTAATACTATATGTGATCAGTCGAACAGAGAGGTGTAAATTCAAGCTCACTCTGCAGCGCACAATCTTGTAGGGAACATTCTCTCGATGCCTGGACATTGCGGGAGGCTCCAACCGCTCCAAAGCGACACTTTATCGCAGATAAAGACATAAGAAAAGGGCAAGGAATGGACAGAGACCTGTCAGTGGCAGTGAGACAGCGGTTCTCGACCGTGGATCCTCAAAGCTACGCGTCTCGCGTGACTTGAGATGGATTGGAACGCAAAGCGGACGTTTGAAATATTTGTAGCATTATTCTGGATAGGCCGGTTATTCCTGGTCGACAGCGTCACACGTCAAGTTAGGTTGGGCCACAGAGTTGAAGCTTGACCATCTCCTTGATCGTCCTAATGGCTACAAACGACCTTCTTCGTCTCCCAGAACGCTCTGGAGGTATATTAAGCTTGATTTGGATATATATTTGCATGGCTAATGCTCATCTTCGCACACAGGCACCCATTATCTCCTCTCGTGAGTCTCTAGAAACGCACCCTCGCTCGTCGTTTGACAACTTTCCAGGCATATATGGGCCACCTCACTCATACGACAGCTCAGTGTCACCAAAGACTTCAACCCAGGTGCACAACCGACAAACTACATGAATCTTTCAGAGGAGAACCGCTCTGCAATCCAGTACCACATAAATCAACTCAATCGCAATTCGTTTGACCCTCGCCACGCTGTCTGGGCCGTAAACAATGTCTACCTTCTCCGTGGGGAGCTCCTATTTGTCGCGGAGAACTTGACGGCCGTCCCCCGCCCACGTTCACGCAGAGGTCAGTATGCTCGTCACTCTCTCCGGCGTTTTCGCAACGCCTTTCTCTTCAAGAACGTGGGTACCCGACAAAACGGCAAGTGCCAATTGTCGACGCCTGTAAATAGCCGAGCGCTAACGGCACTAACGCTCGCTTCGCAATCCTTGGCGAGCTGTCGATTGACTCTTTGTGCGTGGCAGATCCCGTGCTCTGCTCCATCTGGCATCTGCCCCCGGGGATCTATACGAGGTCAAATCACAACTGGTCGTGACAGACGGGTTTCAACCAACAGACTCGGTATACCCCTACTTTTCAGTCACCAAGTTTTGGCGGAAGGCGATCAAGACTGAGCTGCAACGCCTCAACAATCATTCAGAAGACCTCAGAGATCATGCCTGGGCACTCGAATCGATTCATTCCGTTACTCAAGGCAAGCCAGCAGATGTCGTGGGCGTGATCATGGTCCTACGATGGATGAGTACCGAACCCGCCGATGCCCCGATGGCAGGCAATTATTCCCCGATGGTCCACTCATCCAGACCGTCGCCGAGACAGTACGCACCTTATCAACTACTTCATCTACGCTTACTTATCAACCCTTTAGAGAGCCGGAGCGCGATACGTAAGTCGCTTGTTGACATCGCCTTCTTTTTTTACTTTTTGACATCGGCATGCTGATCGTCTCGCGTAGTAATCTCCTTACGCTTCCACCATACTCTCTCTCATGATCATTGTTTTGCATGTACGACGACAAGTCTACAGTCCGTCACAGTCACGAGTTCAGTGCCCTATTTATGTCACACTCACGCTCCTTATCGAGTGCCGACCAGCGCCTGGTCATCGCTACGATCGAGTTCCCTCATGGCTCCAAAAATTCGCAAGACCAGCCACGGCAGTTGTATTGCATGTGAGTTCTGCCTGCAGACCCAAAGTATCGCTGACTTTTTTCAGATTTGTAAACTATTCGTCATGTCGTTTACCTGAATGAATGGATAGCTACTTTACCCACGTAAAAGCCGCTGATTTATGGATCTCAGAACTAGGGATATCTATCCATCGGATACGGACCGCTCACTTCGAATCAGGACCAAAGAGTCAACCCCGCTATCCTGAAGGCCCCACGATGCGCGGGCTACTGATGTAGTTCGACGTGGTCATCTGTTCACTTCAATCTCCGGTGGGAGGCCCCAGTTTCACCCGCCCAATGAGACCATACGATGGAAGCATATCAGATGGCTACAAAGAGATTTTACGTCCACTTTTCACAGAAAGCTGACATCGTCGGTGCTAGAATTCGACGGTTAGCTTGGCTCTGGCCAGCAGTCGAATCTCTACTACATCACCGACCCCAGTGTTTATGGCGCCTACCCATACTACTCTTTCGACTAAGTTATTGCGCGAATTTTACCTTGGGCCCCTAAATGGACACGTTTGTGTCCCTTTCGGGCGAGGTTTGACACCCGGGACGGCGCTTCGCCTTTCACTCACAGTCTGAAGACCGAGCGCCTCGAAATATGCCAAGTGGCATAGTGGCTTCAGCTAATCTATAAAAGGTCGCTCGTCTCGATCATGTCCCTCAAACCGAGTTATCCTAACCCCCTTGGTCACCTATCTTCGCCATCAGCCTCACGACTGCTTCTTTCGATATGGCTCAAACCTCTGGTATCGTACCTGTTGAGAAGCTTCCCTTGGCCGCTAGGAAGAACATTCGCGACGAGTTCGACGCAAATATTGGCAATCTCATCAACGCCGTCAGCGATCTTCTTGGACAACCGTACAAACTTGAAGTTAACTTTCACCTCTTCTACGCATATGCTGTCGCTGCAGACAGCTCGTGGGTCAAGAGTAGCCCAGGAGTGGCTGCCTTCAACTATTTCGAGAGCTTTCACACCTATCTCAAGGATTTTACAGAGGAAGTAAGTAGACTTTGCTGCTGCGTGAAACGATCTGACATTCTCTAGGGCACCTATACGGATGCTGTGGAGGTACGACGCTTACTATATATCAGCCCTAGTCGGAAGCTGATTTGCTTCCCACTGAACAGGCATTCAATGAACTCGTGACTGAGCGTCGTATTTCTCTCCAGGCTGACCCGAGCGTAACCTACTCCGACTGCAGAGTCAGAGACGGTGCATTCGAACTTACTTTTTCCTCTACCTCACCTGGAGTCAATGTCAGCTATGCATGCCAGGAGATGCCCAAACGATTTGATGAAGGTTCGTGTTCCGCCTGATCTTTGACTATCGCGTTCAACGTTGCTAGGTCTGTTTGCCAAAGACCCAGACGCGCTTCCAATGATCGCCAAGCGGAATATCCGGGATGAATTTGAGCGTAAAAAGGAAGGGCTACTTGCCCGATTCAAAGAGGAGCTTCTTGGTGCCGATGTCGGGCTCATGGCCGACTATACAGCCATCTGGAAGACTCTTGTCGCCGGGAACAAGGCTAGTGAACCTCCTTTGCGACTGGAGTCGCCATGCTGATCCTTCTCAGATCAACTCTGATGTCAACTTGGAGTATTCCACACAAAACTTTGGCAGGGTCCTTTATAGCTACTTCGACGGTCTCGCGAGCCAGATGAAGTCTAAGCTTGTACGTGTGTTTCATATGCTCGACGATGGCTACTTAGGTTCCTTCATAGAACAAGGACGATATGATGGTTGAAGGGTTCATAGAGGCTGTTCCGACCTTACAGCTCTGTGTAGAAGTCGCACCTCAGGACTACAGTCTCAAGAACAGCTACCACGAGATCGAGATCAAGGATGGTAAATTTATCATCCGCACCACCCCAAGATATTTTGGCACAAACAGTGATTCCGCCGCCCAGGATATCGTAGACCTCCTTTAAATCTGTATCCACTAGTGCGATGCCATTCGTGCAAAATCTGGAGGAAATTGATGGACATTGACTAATTGTTCCCGACCATTACAGCTACTATGGTCTTCTCAGTGGATGCAGTAGAACAAAACAGCGTCAGCAACATCCATTCCACCTCGTTTGGCGTCTTAATCGAGTACATCACGGAAGGGTCGACAGGAAATGAAAGGAGCCGATGCTAGACGATATAAACAACTCTTTTCGTTCCTCTGAACCAAACTCTGGATGCTATTTGATGGGCTTCCAGAGTCAGATCGGGCCTGGATCGTGACCCAACAGTGCCCGTATGACAAACGGTCATAAGGTTGACTGAACAAGCGGAGAAGACAGTGCAGGAATATGCGGGTTGTTCGATATTCCTACGCGAGTGAGAGGACCGTGGCGGAACCGAGCGAGCGCGGGTGGCTTTAACCGCGTTCACTTCTTGATTTGCGCCACCACCACCATTTGGTCGTAGACGTATTTGTCCCATAAAAGTTTTGGATATGTGGGCCTCGACCGTGACACAATAGTGACATCGGCGGCGATGACCACGTACTGACACCCGGTCTCAAATATGGTTAATAAGTTCCGCTGTGCTATACTTAAAGTCTTGGCGTGCTCTAGACTATGCCCATTCTCCCAAATCCCAATCCCAATCCACACTGACCGAACACAAGATCATTGGTAAAATTGATCTTATACGATGGCATACGAGGCCTCCCATAACGTGTCAGTTGTCGAATCTCATCCTGGCCTTCTTCTACTGACAGGACCGCTAGTGTTATTGATAAGGACGTTAGGTCGAGAGCCGAACAAGATGCCCTCAACTTTACTCCATCTCAAGTAGCGACGACGGTTTACGCCGCCTCGGCAGTGGATACTTCTGTGGTCACAAGTGACTCACAGTATCGGTGCCGGGCGGATGCTTTGCAAGGGCACGAGACAACAGATGACGGCGGAACTACGACGTCGAAATATACATATCGCAGTGATATTGACGCCAAAAGGTTCATAAGGCGCATAGAAGGGCGGGTGAGTACACATTCTACCGTTGTATAAGGCTGTAATGCCGCATTGGCCATCTTTCTTCAAGAAACGATAGAGTGCTGCGCTGACCATCAATCTATAGGCCTACAACACTCTGAACGAAACATATTTTTTTCCATCAGGTGAGACGAGTTAGTCCTAACAGAGAATTTATTCTGAACTTATGCGAGCAGATGACGATGAATGGGTTAGACTGTGCGTGATTATCGTGACCTCAATAATGTCTAACCATAAACAGAAACAAGGAGCACGTCGCATTTGTGCTATCACTTGGAGGCCTTTACCCCGCCGCAGATGAAGTCTCTGCGCTCTTGGCGCCCGTACCAGGTCAGAGAAAGAGGATTTTGGACTTGGGTAAGCCGTTCTGCTCCAAAAAATCGAATTAGTGTTCCAATCTTTGCCAGGCTGTGGAACAGGCGTTTGGTGTGTTGCTTTCAGCTCGAAAAAGCAACTATATTGATTGATTCTAGGTCAATGGATATGGCTCACGACTTCCCCGAAGCTGAGGTCGTGGGTGTGGATCTCGCTCCGGTCCCAGTCGACCTTGAAACCCTCCCTCCCAATCTGCGATTTGAGATTGATGATATCAACCTTGGGCTGGCCCATTTCAAAGATTCATTTGACGTTGTGCATATGCGCTTAGTCGGAAGCGGATTGAAGAATTTTAGAAAGACCATGAGCGATGGCCAACGGTGTCTCAAACCTGGAGGAATCGCAATCTTTATTGATGCTGACTATGACATGTATGCGGAAGATCGGTATACATACGTGCCATTTGCACTGGAAGAGGACGAGCAGAATCCGGAACAGACCGAGCGCTCCTGGTGGCAGCGCATAGTCTACGGTAGGCTGGTTCACCTTCCTTTCACTCTTCTGACAATATCATGCAGAAATGAGACGAGGAGCTGTCAATGTGGTGAAAAGTGACATTTATGGAATGTCCAAAGCGATGGACGAGGGGCTCTGGGAAGACGAGATCATGGATCCAGAGACCTGTCGTACGGCCAGCCTTTACCTTCCCATTGGTATTTAAATCTACATGACCCTTCTTTTGACTGATTTGGGTTCTCCTAGGTCCATGGGCACAAGGAGAATCGCAAATGGAGACGCAGCAGATTGGCTACCTTGGAGCATTGATCCGCCAAGATGTCATGGTACGCATATCACGGAAACTATTTATCATATCTCAAAGCTCTGCACTAGAGCGCCCACCGTGCGGGTCACGCAGTGTTGAAGCGTCTTGGCTGGGAGCCCGACAGGCTAGATAGGTGGTCTGAGTTAACTGATAAGCGTATGTTCGATGATCTGCTTGCGAGGCTTTGACATATACTTTCCAGAGATGATGAGCCTGAAACCGAAGACATGGCTCAGGATGTGCGTCCGATCACCTTTCAACATTTTAACATTATTTTACTCCATATTGACGTCGAAAACGTAGGTGCTACGCTTGGGGCCGTCGTCGTGCGGCCGAAAACGAGCCAGCCCCTCCTCTTTCACCCATTGCACCCTCGACAATAGCAGGTGCAGACCCAACATTGCGGTACCCTCACTATTATATTTATCAAACACGAGAAGAATCGTTGTGCGAAGCCGCCCTTAGAAATCGTGGCAAAGACTGCGAGCCGCCCCCATTGCCGAAATGCTCGCCTCGTGCAACTGGATCACCACCATCTGTGACAAGCATTCAGCAAAGGGGTGTATGACTCTGACACGACTTTCAACTACCAATACAATCAAAGTAATCTCGCTATCACCTAAATAATAACATCAACCCAATGCTCTACAGCGCAGTTGATATCTCCATTTGTTCTGCGGTCTATTGGTAACACACTCGCTAATATATTCAAGAAAGTACCGAACTTTCAATCCCCGAGTTTCTCGACGTGTTTAGGATCCTATCGCTCTGCTGCACAACCTGAATTTCTTTGACTTGTACATCCCATCATTTAGATTGGCAGAGTTGATGCGGAGCTATCCTTTGAGTCAGGCTAAACTGCCGGCAGGGCATCAAGGTGCCAATGAGTTATAAGATTCCATGTTTATAGTCGTTACAGGAGTGCAATATAATCCGTCAACTGGTACATTTCAAACGGTTGGACGGACGTGAATAGTCTCAGCGTTCAAAGCCGTGGTGCAGATCATGCCAGGTTCTATAATGTGGTTCTAGAGTACGGGGATGTCTTCGTAACAAAGGACTGTGGGTTAACTCATTACAGAGCGTAGTCATGCTTGCGTAAACTCGTCAGCTTCTCAGAAATGAAGATTAAGAGTGGGAGCGACCCGACAGAAGCAAAGGTCGTTACCGTGATTTTGATTGCCTTGTGGTTCTCCTGCAGCCATACATAGAGTGCAAATTCGACGATGACACTCAGGACACCAATCAACATACAGAATAGCCCTATGAAGGAGTTGGAAAAGAAACAACGTTCAGCATTTCAACGTACAATAAAGTTTAAACGGACTCCAAAGCCTCCATGGGATTCGTTTCTTTAATACCGCGTAAACGTCGTATGTTGTTTCCTCTGAGTCTGTCGAATCAACAATCGATTGACTAAAAGCCAGTGGAGGTGTTGAGAGCCGATCTGATAAGAGAAAGGAAAGTATTGCGGCGTTGCAATTGCAGATGATTGCGAGGTAGGTAAGGGCCTGGAGCGCATCTATTTTGTGAGAGCCAAGTGAGGCGAGGCGAGTGGGTGTTGCCGAAATCTGAGATTGTATGTCGACGAAGAATACAGTCGAGACGAAGGCGAGGAGTGCGCTCTGAGGACGCGCTGTTAGAGAGGATCAAAAAAGCGTTCGGAACCACTGACCATGACCATGGCACTATGCAAGGTACTGAGGTAAGACGCAATATACTTGTCCACAGCGTCAGAAAAATCAGCTAGACATGTTCTCCGATCAACAGAGCAGGCGCGAACGTGAACGAAGGCTGACCATGTGTGGCTCTGAGTTCAGCACTATGATGAGGGGGCATGTCGATGATTATACCTGCGTATATGGGAAATTCTCTTCGACAAAAGTCGCCACTTTCGAACTTTTATACTGGTGTGTGTTATGCACGTGTCGGATCTTAACCGTCAGTCCCATTTAGTGCAAACGACCATAAATTGCCAATAGATTAAGCTGTTCCGTATTGTGGGTGGATCTCATTGGAAAAGAGCCACTTCCCCAAATATGGGGAGGCCGTTCGTCATTGCCGGTTACCCAAGCTCGAGGGATACATGCACCCAAGGGTTGCCTCTTCTGTGGTGTCCATCATAACCTTCCAAAGATCTTCAGAGAGGCACTCTGGGTGCCGTTATGATACGTGTGAGAAGCACGGCGCAGCGTCTGCCCAGTATACACTTGCAATGCTGCCTAGAGCATGGCCATATCATCGATTCCGGTCTACCTCGTGGGTACGGGGCATGACACTTTCCTGAGTGTGTCTCCTGAATCCTGACCGCGGATACGAGGATTACTTGCACCGGTCACGCTAAAAAGGCATAGTACGGGGATTCTCCTGTGAGCGTGAATCCGTTCTATAAAGGAGAGGTGTTATTGAGTCAGATGAGTTGCTGTTGGAGTTAGCAGGCTTAGGTGTGGCGTGACAATACCCACGAATGTAAGCGTGAAGGATAAACCAATTCCCCGAGTAGAACCAATTACAACTTGGGCGCCGTCGATGCGAGAGTGCATGGCCCCAGTCGAGGCCCGGCAGTCCGCGGTCCAAAAGTTGGAACACCTGACCACTTTGGATTTCCGACTTTATGTACAAGCACCATAACTTTATTGCCATCAGATCCTTCTGTGCAGTAATTCTCGATCAGTCTTCAGAACCCATCAATGGACGGTTGGTCAGACCCTGGATGGAGAGCAATCTAGGCGCTCTATACCCGCTGTAAGCGTTTGATTTCATCTCCAGATATCATTGAAGCGTTCCAGGACGTGCAGCACAACCAATTCTTAGGTCACACTACGGTGTAATCGAAAATGATTCGAGCCATTGAATGTTTGTATCGTACAGTACCCTCTCTAGTACACCACAGATTAAAAGGTTCTAAGCGAGGTTACTTTGTCACACAATTAGGCGAAATAAAGGCCTAAGTTGAACGCTTCGCGCGCGCCTCTGCAACACGCACGGCAGACGCGAGATCGACATGGAAGAAGGGCGTCAAAGTGCTCAAAAGTGGACCTTCTACCGAGCTAGAGGGACTGTTGGACTTGCGATACTCGCTATCACCAGATTCGACGTCTGCCTCGGTTTTGTCCGTCTTGGTCGTGCCCGTCTTTGAGATCCACTCCTCACGGTGGCGTAAATGAGGCGTCTGGTGGTCCGGATCAGCGTAGTCGCCCGATTGGTTGGGCACAACGGGGGCAACTTCGGCGGGGAAGTCGACGTCTTTGCCGGTACCAAAGCCACCAGCAACGAGACCACGGCGGACCCATGGCGAGAGGATGTTGGCAAAGTGGAATTCAACAGGTCCATCCGCCCAATTCTCGAGCTCCTTGCGCGTGTCGATCAAGTTTTGGACACCGGTCGTGTCGATATTACCACTAAAGCAACATGTTAGTGAGTCATTTGGATGAGAAGAAGAGGACATACACAGCAGCAAAGTCCAAGACGACGGCCTTTAGAAGTGGCTTCGAGGTATCTTGGGCTTTTGGATCAAAGGCAGCACCTCGACGTGGTCCGGGATCATTCCAAGGACGATCAATCAAGCGGATCAAGCTGACATCCTTTCCGCGGCGAGTATGCTCTTTGATGTGGTCGACGACAGTAGAGTTGATCAAAGACGAGTTGGGGAACGTAAAGCTTTCCTCCAGGCGGAAGATGAACACGCCAGGCGCAGCGGGCTCGACGATGATGTGTGGGTTGCGGAGACCACCCTTTGGCTCGAGCGGGACGAACACGTCGCGGGACGTCGAATTGTCGTCGCCATGAACCTTGACCTTTCCGAGGAACTGTCCGCCAGGACGGGCGACGCGGATGAGGAGGAGGACCAAAGATGCAGCTACCGAGGTGTAGATACCGTTTTCAATCGAGGAGAAAATGGAGACGAGGACGGCGGCGGCCCAGATCAAAAACTCGAGTGGTGAGATGAGCCAGAAGCGGTACACTTGCGAGGGAGGCGTCACCAAATCAGCGACGGCGTGGACAATGATCGCGCTGAGACCGGCAGTTGGAATGAAGAAGAAGGCGTCGGTGAGACCGTAGAGGGCGACGATGACGACGAGTCCAGTCACCCAACCGGCTGCTGGCGTACGAACACCGCACTTGGACTTGAGGGCCGAACGAGAGAAGGAACCCGTGGCAGGATAGGCGGCGAAGAGGGTGCCGATTGTGTTGGTGACACCAATGGCTATCCGGAGAGCGTAAGCGTCGACCACAAAGTTGAAGACATTGACATACCAATCAACTCTTGGTTGGGATTGATCTTGTATCCGTTGATACGACCAAACGACTTGGAGATGGCAATATGCTCGAGGAGAAGAATGAGCGTTGCAACAAAGAGGTGGCTGCCGAGTCCTTTCAAGAGCTCTGCGTCGATTGTTGGCTGTCCAATATGCTTGAAACCACGCGGAACCGTCTTCAAGATGCTGATCGAATAGTTGCCCTTCTTATCTGGCTTTTCGTAGCGGACAACTCCCCAGGCAGCGAGAGTGAGGATGATGAGGACAAACGCGTTACGCATCACACTCAAGTAGAAGAATGTGCGAGCCCGGTTGGGGTAGCGACGGCCGAGGTAGTCAAAGATCCAGCGGATGAAATAGAGCGCTAAGCGGAAGCGTGAGCTTACATCACCTTTGAAATGGGGGGGGGAATCTCACCAAAGAGGCCAGTTACACCAAACGCAGCGTCCTTTTTCGAGTGGCCGAGGTTCTTCAAGGTGTTGATGATGACCTTGTATGCACTCGTCCTCGTATCTAACAGGTTTTGGATACCAAAGAGACCGGGAACCTGGGAAGAGACGATAGTGATGGCGGAGCCGGTCATGAAGCCAGCGACTGCCGGGGTGGGAATGAATTCGACGATCCAACCGATGCGCAAAAGACCAATGCCGAGGACGATGAAGCCACAAATAAAGGAGAGCGTAACGGCAATCTGGACGTTGCCCCATCTATCTCCGTAGTGAGACTGGACATACTTGATAATGTTGGCGACTTCGAGGGACATGACGGCGACGGGACCAATGGAGACATCCTTGGAGGTGGCGAAGAACTGTTCGGTAGTGAGTTTGGATTGCACAAAGGATAGAGTAGAAATTTACTCACACAGTAGATGAAGACACCGACAAAGGACGCGTAGAGACCATATTCAGTTGGCAAAGTGGCGAGCTGAACAGGGTTTGTCAGCCAATTACGTAGAGCCCATGGTGACGGCAATTTACCCTTGCATAAGACATTGATTGCGGGATGAGGACAAGACCAACAGTCAAACCGGCCACAACATCACCATACAGCCATCCAATATTGTAGTTTGGAGCCCACTGGATGACGGGGAACAACGACTTGAGGTAATGGACGACCTGCGTGGACGATTAATGACTCATGAAGATTTTGCTTGAGAAATGCAAGCGTACAGCAGTCTTTGGCGTTTCACCCTCCAACTGGGACTTGATCCAATCTCCTGAAGAGACAGTGGGTGGCGCCTCCTCGGGGGCACTGACGATCTTTTTTGCCAAACGTTTTACAGTGGCTGCCATCGGTGAAGAGACGATCCGTTGGGGGGGGATGAACGTAGGCGACTTGCAAACCGACTGGTTTATATGCGAGAGCCACTTCTCCTAGCTTTCTCAGCCGCCCCGAGCCGAAAGTGGGACCCGCGCGAGTAAACGGCGATGGCGCAATACTGGCGATGGATGAGCAACCATTGCATTGCGCATGTCGTGCTGCTCAGTCTCAAATCCTCCTATTGGATCCTGAAATCATTAGATTCCAGATAACGGCCTTTTACCCCTCGTCCGACTTGCCTTTGCAAGGAGCCTTGGTAGCCAGTGGGCCAGTCAACTATTGCGACAACTCACAGACTGCGCTCGGCTTGGGTGTTCAACCTCCATCTATCAGATACGAGTTTCGGAATCATCCCATGATGGATGCGTGCTTGCCAGCCCCCTCTTGATACACGCGATACACGCCGCCTCTCCAGTCCCTTACGGCTTCTAGCTCCGAACACTTCTACACCGTTCTCAATATGATCAAGCTCATTCAGGGCCATTTGTTCACCTCTTATCCGTATCACTCAATTCCAGAGTGGCGATTGGTATAGAGCTTACATACCTCCGTCCCTCTCGCGTGATCTGTTCGGTTCCTTTGGACATGTCCACACTTATGGGATGCGAGTATACAAGATTGACGTGCCACAGAGGTACCGAGCGATTGAATGCAATTGCGCAACTTCACTAGCCAAGCACCTCAGACCGATTTCAATGCTCCAGGTACACCCGCCATGTCAAATTTCGTATCTAATCTCGTAAATTCACGCTATATCAACGGCATACCACGCCTTTGTTCCTTTGAATGGTGTAAGTCGTCTCGCGTTCGGGTTCATTGCCCCGATCCACAAGCGAATTTTGCCCAGTGCTCAACGCCATTATTATTTCTCTTGCGCATGAAAGGTGAGAGCGTGCTTCGCTTCGCTTCCCGTCGCCGTCACTGGTTCCCAACTCAGCTCGCTTCTAGTTGATTGAGGCACAGTTCATAAATATCCAATACAGTCCCTTACTTGGTCCCCAAAAGCAGATGCAACGATTGTCCCTCTTCAGTGGCGTACCAACACAGTGGGTAGGATTCCTAGTCTCGTACTTGTGTGTCACACAGGGACAAAAAAAAGGCTGATCCCAGCTTGTTCTTTGAAATGGAAAGGCACATCCACCAACTTGGAGCGCGTCGGCGTTGATCAAATGCCCTTACCCTGCTTAGAACTGCACTACAGGATCGCCCGGCTGTAGAATACTCAACGAGATGTATTCAATATTTTCAACAACTGATATTAGTATGAATGGCACCAAAACTAACGCGAATTTATAATCTGCCCATGGCCGAACCGATAATGAGCCAAAATTCTGTTCACTTTGTATCGATTCCAGGAGCCACCGCAGACGGCTTGCGAGCGGCTGGACTAGGAGGAGGCGTGATGTCTTTTCCCTCATTGCGCACTTGCATCTCTTTGATAGCTTCCTCGCGTGTGGTATACACAAAGTAATATGGCCACGCAGAGATGCTCCCCGCTTCACTTTCAGACCCTGGAGAGTGTTTGGGTGAAGGAGGAAGTGACGGAGCAGATCCATTGGCGGCCCGACGACGTCCCCATGCATAGCGTCTGGCCTCTTGTTAGGTACTGTGGTGGCGGTGAAAGAAAATGGAGCTCACATTCTGACCCACATCTTTGGGTCCATCGCCATTAATTCTGTCGCCAATACATCAGCCTCACCTATTATATTTTCATCTCAGTTTCAACACACCATCTTCAGCAAACTTGCACCATTTCTCCACTCTTTTAGGATCCCAACCGAGCTTCTTCATCACAGCTTGACTAGCTCTTTGTACGCCCTGTGGACAAGTTGGCGTGCAGGTAGTGGCCACATTCAAAGACGTACAACCATATCTTGACGTATGAGTGAGCCCACATATTTGAGCCGCTGTGTTTGTCCGTCGGTGGCTCCCTGCAACCAAGGTCCTGGACGACTCAGCAATAAAGACAAGTATCGTTTGGCGCTCACCAAGGGGGAGATATAAACTAGCCGTTCTACATCTAAAGAGAGTCAGCGTTGGATTGTTAAACGTTTTCTAACCCACGTGTCTGGGTCAAGGAGTGCATCGTCCCACAACCCTTCGTCTAGCGCGGTGGCCATGGTAAAGAGATCGCTCCTTCCTGTGCCTACCGCACCCCTCCTCATCTCTATTTATGCCTCATAAACACCCTTCTTCCAGTATTGGGAACCAAGTTATACGGACCGTAGATCACCCTTTGTGTCCAAGACCGTTGATTTTGGGTGGGATTCAACTCGTCTTCGTCAAGTGCGAACCTCGCGTACGTAGGCTCCTCGCCTGTGTACATATCGTAATCTACATCGACCCATATTATCATGCCACCAGGACGTAGACATGCGTGGACGTCTCGCAGCGTCTTGCGAAAGTCTTTGAGGCCGCTACCAATGAGTCGTGCATGAACGAGATCAAAAGAATCTTTGAAGTGTTCGAGACCGAGATTGATGTCGTCTATTTCAAAGCGACAGTTGGACGGAACGCTTTCGAGGTCGAGTGGAACAGGTGCAAGATCGATTCCAACTACATCCGCATCCGGAAAGTTGCGTGACATCGTTGTCGCCCTGTATACATGAGATAAAGTACGGAATGAAGATTGCATCCGTACCATACACCTGTTCCGGATCCTAGACGTATATAAGTCGAGATGCATGTCTTAGATACATAGACCTACCTAGGTCTAGAATACGCTTTCGTCCTCCACTAGGTGATGGTGCCAGTAGTGCGCGAACGACGCCGGGCTCCGGATATAGTTCACCCAGTGCAACCATAAAGGCGAGATGTTGCTTATTTCTAGCAGGAATAAGATGAATCACAAAAGGAAGTGGCCGACGCACAAGCGAGTCCATTCATCTTCATCTGAGCCCATCAGGTAGTGATAATGAGCCGACGCACGAGGGCAAACAAGTGGAGCGTACCAGCGGGGAGAAAGTAGGTCTCGTTGAGAGCGTTGTATGCCTAGGGAGGTTATAGTTTAGTATCGACGAGTTCGTGAGTATGACGAAGGCAGCTTGTAGATTGCAGAGTCACGCGCAGCCATGCATCATTAAAGTGAAACGAAGACAAACTAACCCTTCCTTCAATCTTTCTGATGAATTTCTCGGCGTCGAGGTCGCTGTAATACGTGTACTTTGAGATCCCGCTCTTGTTATCACCGTCATCTTCTTGTGCTACGCTAGGAGCAGATGGTTTTGTTGGATAGAAGGAACTACTAGAGTTTGCCATAGATGGAGCGTACGATGTCGTGGCTGACTGTGATGGGGTCAAGTTCCAAGCGTCTTGGTCGAGCCGAGCCCGCCCATCGATGATCCGATGATTGAAAGCGTCGTCGTTCCAGTCTCGTTTCTCTCTCCATATCCTATCACCTGTAGACGCATCTTCCTCGTCCCCGGACAGACTGTCCTCGATGAGTTGAAGGATGCTAGGTTTGCGCAGATAATGACGACCGCCTTCTGATGGATCAAGGTTGGAATCCATGAATTCCTATCGCGGCAGAGTTCAAGGTCCGTCTCTGATCACACGGGCTAGAGTCCCCGTTGGCGCATAGAGGAGAATGAATTCTATTCAACTCGGCGAATTGAGGATCATCTAGCCAAACCTCCAGTAATCAACAGAAGATTTAGCAGATACAAATATAATGCATTGGATTTTAGGATACATCGACATGCTGAGTCGGCGGTGGTGAAGGTCAAATAAATAGACCACTCGGAACTGGTTCAAATTAATCGTTCATGCAATCAAAAGTAGGTGATGAGGTAAGGCATAAATACATATGAGAATCATCCACTGTTAATATTCATTAGGTAGCTCGGTAGAGAATCCCTAGATCTGTGCAGAGCAACAGCTCCAGCGAGGCACAGGTGAGTACACCACTACATTTTAGTCGCCTACGTTCTACCAAGGCTTAAGGAGATGAATACGGGGCATTTACCTACAGCTAGCTTTGTCAAACGAATCAGTTCACGTTGATTGTGTGCTACTGTAGCTCAGACGGTCAAAACAGATTTATGTTTGGTTTACAAATAGATTCAATGGTTGCCTTTTTTGGGGCCTCGGCGTGCTTGTTAGGTGGCCTCACCCTACTCGGGATTCTACAAGCGAGATGTTGAGTTCATTATAAGAAATTCAATGAGGTGTATTCAACGGCTCCGATACATGATACTGATGTGAGTAGCGCCAAAATCCGACTTTACAACTGGCCTAATTCGGCGGTACAGTCAACAGGAGATGGTCCAAGTAGTAGGAAACGAATTGAAACTTTCATTTTTCTTCAGGTTCAGGAGCTCTCGCGCCCGCGTTGCGAATATCCGGGCCAGGAGGAGGCGTGATATCTTTGCCTTCATTGCGTCGTTGCATCTCCCTTAAAGCTTGCTCGCGTGTGGTGTATATAAAGTAGTATGGCCACGGAGAGATGTGCGCTGCCTCGCTACCCAACTCTGGAGAATATTTAGGAGATGGAGGAAGTGACGGAGCAGATCCATCGGCTCCCCGACGACGTCCCCACGCATATCGTCTGTCATCTGTCAGGTATACTGGTAGTGAGCAAGAATATAGCTTACATTCTGGCCCATAATTTTGTGTCCATAGTCATCAACTCTGCAGGGATCCACTAGTCACATCTACTATGCTCCGATGGCAGCGCGAACTCACCATTTTCCGCGAGTTGGCACCACTTCTCCACTCTCTGGGAATTCCAGCCTAGTTTCTTCATCACGGCTTGACTAGCCCTCTGAAAACTCTGTGGACAGTTGGTACGCAGGAAGCAATGGTTTTCATAGACATACGACTGTATCTTGACGCATAAGTGAGCCCACATATTTGAGTCGCTGTGTTTGTCCATCGGTGGTCCCCTGCACCCAGGGTCCTAAAGAAGTCAGAGTTGAAGACGGATATAGTGTGACACTTACCAAGTGGAAGGTACAGACTAGCCGTCCTACATCTATAGAGGGTCAGGGTCGATCGTTGAGCGCTCTTTAACCCACGTGTCTGGGTCAAGCATTGGGTCATCCCATAATCCTTCATCCAGCCTGGTAGCCATGGTAAAAAGATCGCTCCTTCCAGTGCCTACCGCACCCCTTCTCAGTTCTATTTAAATCACCATGAATGTCCTTCTGTGAAACCGAAACCAGACTCTACTGACCGTAAACCACCCTTTGTGTCCAAGACCGTTGATTTTGCGTCGGACGCAATTCATCTTCTTCAAGTGCGAATGGCGCATACGTAGGCTCATCACCCATGTACATGTCGTAGTCTACATCGACCCAGAGTATAAGGCCGCCAGGACGTAGACATGCGTGGACGTCTTGCAGCGTCTTTTGAAAGTCTTTGAGACCGCTACCAATGAGTCGTGCATGAATGAGATCGAAAGAATCTCTGAAGTGTTCGAGACCGAGATTGATGTCATCTATTTCGAAGCAACAGTTGGACGGAACGCTTTCGAGGTCGAGTGGAACAGGTGCAAGATCGATTCCAACTACATCCACTTCTGGAAAGTTGTGTGCCATCGTCGTTGCCCTGTAGACTGTCAGATGCATACACAGGATAGAGCTTGTATTCGTACCATACACCTGTTCCCGTTCCTAGACGCACGTAAGTTGAGACGTACATATGATTTGACAGACTTACCAAGGTCCAGAATGCGCTTTCTTTCTCCAGTTGGTGCTGGTGCCAGGACTGCACGAACGACTTGTGGTTCTGGGTACAGCTCGCCCAGGGCAACCATAAAGGCGAGGTGTTGCTTATTCCTAGCAGAGATGAGATGAATCGCGGAGGAAAGCGGTCCACGGACAAGCGGGTCCATTCATCTTCATCTAAGCCCATCATGTATTAGTAGTGAGTCTACACCGGGGGGGCTGATAAGTGGAGCTTACCAGTGGGAAGAAAATAGGTATCATTCAGCACGTTGTATGCCTAACAGGAGCTCGTGAGCATCGAAGAGACACGATAGGTCGCTAAGGCAGGCAGTCATGCGCAGATAGAGCCAAATAAGACGAACTAACCCTTCCTTCAATCTTTCTGATGAATTTTTCGGCGTCGAGGTCGCTGTAATATGTGTACTTTGAGATCCCGCTCTTGTTATCACTCTCGTCTTCGTTTACCACGCTAGGCGCAAACGGCTTTACTGGATACAGTGGATTACTGGAGTTCGCCATAGATGGAGCGTACGATGTCGTGGCTGACTGCGATGGGGTCAAGTTCCAAGCGTCTTGGTCGAGCCGGGGCCGCCCATCGTCGATGATCCGAGTATTGAGAGCGTCGTCTTCGTTCCAGCGTCGTCTTCCTCCCCATATAATATCCCTTTTAAGTGCCCCTTCCTCCTCTTCGGACAGACTGTCCTCGATGCGTGGAAGGATGCTAGGTCTGCGCAGATATTGACGACCGCCTTCTGATGGACCAAGGTTGGAATCCATGAATTCCTATCGTGGAAGAGTTCAAGGCCCGTCTCTGATCACACCGGCTAAGGACCACGTTTGCGCATAGAGGAGAATGAATTCTATTCAACTCGGCGAATTGAAGATCATCGAGCTAAACCTCGAGCAATCAACAGAAGCTCTACCAGCTCAAAGTAAATGAATTACGTCTTAGGATCCATCGACATACTGACCAGCTGTGGTAAAGGTTAAGATGAACGGAAGTGGTTCAAATTGTTGACGCAATGATAAGGCAACGGATAAGCATATATGAGATTCATACATTGCTAGCACTAGCTAGACAGCTCGGTAGAGAGTGCCTGGATCTGTTGAACGATGGCCCACATTCGTCTTCGGTTCCGCATGGATGCCGATTTTGTCTCGCATTCCCTGTAGTAGCACATCCATGGGAAGCACTCTCTCCAACCCGACTCGACAATTTCGGCATCCCAAATCCTCTGTTCCGTCTCACCATATGGCAGAAACCAAGGGCATTGCGTCCTCAAGCGAAGATTGGCGACCATGTCTTGAATGCTCGAGAAGAGAGTGTACAGACTGTAACAAGTTTCTTGGAGATGAAAGAAGGTGGCCAGATTGAAATGTTCGATGACAAGGAGCAAGAGCTCAGGTGGAAGTCGTAGAAATGAGTAGACAACTACGTTGTTGCTGTTGAAGTTCTATCAAGGCTCAGTAGAGATTGGTATACAGGATAATGCATACAGCGAGCTTTGCCGTAGTACCCAGATCACGCTGATTGATAGGGAATCTATGAAGAATTGTGATGAAATGAGATTTTGGTTACATGAAACTCACTTTTCTGGGTCTAATCTGGTCCAAAGTAGAGAGTCCATGAGAAATTTGTACAAGTCTCCGTCGTCTAGAGTCGTCTTAAAGAGGAGAGATTGCATCCACTCGTCGCGTAATGGTGGCGGATCCAGAATTGTCATGTATAGCCATTCTACATCTAGCTGTAGCTCATAGTAATCCACGCCTGAGATGTCTTGGCGTATCCCGGTCGGAATATAATCCTTGTTACATTGCCGCTCAACGGCCCACAATTCCTGTGGCGTCATGCCCGTCCAGTTTTGAAATAGACCAAGGCAGCGCTCGTGAAGCAATGGATATAGCGATACCGCACAGCTGAATGTTCGCCCATCAGATTCACGAAGAACTGTCCTCCATCTCCGACCAGCCTTTAAGCCTCTGATGAGTCGCGTCTGTCCAGGTGAAAATCGGCGAAGTTTGTCGACAATAGCTGCATCCCAGGTACGTTCAAGCAGTTCTTTGAATATCTGTTGATCGTCTTCTCCAAACGGTCCGACGCCGACAATCGCGACCTCCTCTGTATATCGCTGATCGTTTCTATCGAGATGTAGCGTCCGCTTTACCTCGGCGCTAGGTTCGTCCTGTCTACCGGCTATTCGACATTTTGTTCAACCAGGATTCAACTTCTCGCTGGTGAGCGTCACCGTTGGTCCCTCTGGCGTGGCGGACAGACCGACCCATAGTTAACCGTCGACGTAAGAGCAGCCTCCACAGATCTCGGTGAGGTGAGCATGAAGAATCAAAACGGAGCTGCTATTCTATCGCACAATGTAGCACTCCTCGGGATGCTGTAACGCACAGCCAGTGGTTGGGATCCAAGTCTCAATGGATGCTTGGGAAGCGTGCTTGACAAGACATCATAGGTATATTCTCCAAGTAGATCGACTACCTAATGCTCTTCCTGCCTGATAATGGTGTCATGCAGACCAATTCGTAGTTGAATTCTTTTGAGTCCTCGTTTTCTTTTGTCGTAGAAGATCACAAAATCCAATACTCTGTATGTGTAAGGAGGGGCCGCTGGTTTTTTCACCGGAAAGGTCAGAACGCAAGGATTGTGGGCGGTTTCCGTGTGGCCTTATTCAATCTACATCTGCCATCTGATCATTCTTGGAAAGAGAGTATGTCCAGGATCCCTCTTCCCGCAATAACCGGCCAGGGCCGTCGAATCATTCTACGCCCTCAAGGCATCCATCCCTGACTTAAATAGCTTCCACATCAGCCTTCGGGTATCGACTCACTCCTTCTGGATCACTTTTCCGTGCACGCATAGCATGTCATCGGATACGCAGTCGATTCAACTTGCCCCCTTCCGATCCCGTGGATCTGCATCTAATGAAGGCGCCAACCGGAAAAGTGTCAAAAGCAGGATGGAGGATGCATCCGATTGTACGCAGTCCTCTGTCGCTGTTGTCATGTAATGAATTTATATGGAGCAGACCCACATGCCAATGTCGTTCAGCAATTCTTAAACGGTTGGATTAGTGCGTTGAATAGTGGAACCATCGTGGTGCGTATGTGCACAAATCGTGCCACTTAAAGTAAGCAAAACCGAAGAATTAACATTTTCTAGAGCTCCCTGTTGTCAGCCGTTGCCACTGCCTTCTTCGTCCATATTCGAGAACTCGTCAAATCGCCTTTGCCTGGCCCCCCAGCAGCAACGAATGCCCTTCTCGTCTTCGCCTATGCGTCCATCTTAGCCAATTGCACTGCAGCCATCGTTTCGTTCTATCTCGCAAACTACCTTCTCTCCATTCCCTTGAAGATTGCTGAGAAGATTTACAACTATGAAGACGAGGAACGTAGTAACCCACGTGGTGCCCTCTTCGATTACGTCACAAGGCGTATAAACTGGTCCGAGTGGGGCATATCTCGAGCATACTGTAAGCTTACATTTGCGAAGTACTCATCCTGACGTTTTGCAGGGATATTCACCGCATTCCTTGGATTCTTTTCTGTGTTCATAGAGCTTGCTCTCTATGGATATATATTCGAAACCAATCCACACATAAGGGTCGCACTCGGATTTTTGACCACGATGGGGGTCATCCCGCTGGTGATATTCGCATTAAACGTTATAGGTATCACGGATCCATTTGTGAACGGACATTCGAATGGACAATCATCTAGTCCACTGTGTCCAGAGTGTGGCCGCCTACCCCAACCGGGCCTACCTTGTCCGCACTGTGGCTACTCTACCCACTCGGATCCATCAGGACCGGTGGGTAATGTGACGAGCACTGGCACTCCTTAGACATGATCTAACCGGCCACAACAACTGGTGCAAGGTCGAGCAGCACAATTAGTTTTTGGTTATGTCTCTGCCTGCGACGGACAGACGGAACTAGTTTGCATGTCATAAATGAACGTATTCAATGTGTGTATGAATTTGTATGAAAGTTGTAGAGGAGATTGATAGATGAGACACGTCATCCCAACATATATACATCGGGCGGGTAGAGTGTAGAAGTGGTGGAAAAATGGCCGGCTTACTTTGGATCACAAAACAATATCTGAATCTACTTAGATATCATCTGGATCACAGCGACAGCTGACAGCAGCGGTATCAACAAAGAGAGTGAGTCAATATGTCTCAGTCTGGAAGAGAATTTTGCATAGAATAATTATGCAGGAATCAGCCCTCTACTTATTTGGTCGAGTCGCTTGGCACGATCAGCTTGTCGGGACCATCCATAACAGCAAGGCAGCCTCAAGGCGGGACGTGCACCAGTTTGGACCTGTCTTAGACCCAATCTCTGTAGCAATATGAGCTTTAGTCACAGACTACCGACTCAACCAGGTGAGTAATGGGTCTCCTGGAGCATACTAAGATTCGTTCGCTCACAAGTCCTAGCTCGTGTTCTTCACCTTGTTAACGAATACGTATCAGGCTGATCCCGGATGTACAATATGGCAACTGTCTGGGTACGCTTCATCTTGGCACAGCATTAAACTTGTGCTCACGGCGATTGAAGAGTGCCACAATTACTGGTTTATCATGTATTTTGTTCGCTCATGTGCAGGAGAGGCTCCAAAGAGCCCGCGAGTCAAGTCTTGCCAATGGCCCTACCGGGCTCTCAGCCCTATCCATCATGAGCTATCTTACCATAATCCTCAATTGCTATGCAACAATTATGGCCTTAATTAACGCAGAAAGGTTATCCCAGATTTTGCTAGAGATTCCACAAACGACTGCAGACGAACCAAACGTCAGTGCAATTCGAGGCGACATCGTCACTATCATCATGCGCCATGTCAAAGTCAGATTTTTGTCACTATTAAGAGCCTACTGTACGTTTATATTTCGCTCGGACTGATGGCGTCGGCTGATCTTTGCACAAGGGTTCTTCTATTTCATCACCGGCTATCTTAGCATTTGGATCCAACTCATCTTGTATATTTGGGTGCTTCCAGGAAGTTTCCCACTGCAAATCTTTGCGTCGACGTCGACAGGAGTTGCTTTACTGCCTATGGGCCTCTTCTGGCTAGGGTGAATCACGGTCCTACGTATTCTGCAATGGCGGAATCATGCTCTGAAAGTAGCCAAATAGAATTTTACATGCTCTAGCATACATTATTTTCGAGTAAATATTTTATGCCACCATTTATCTGGCTCGCGGTACACAAAGCCTGTTTCTGCGGAGGGCTCCAGGCTCTCATTTGTCAGCTGGCCACCCGTTAGTCTTTGCGAGTGACTGGGAACTGAGTCGGTTACCTGTTCGGTCAGAGTTTGAGTTACACTTGTCGGGGTAGGTGCTCGGACTTCTGGCCCAAAATGTTGGGTCGGTCCTGGAGTGAGCGCCGGATTACTGTCCGTTACATTAGTGTCGTCGATGTCGGTATCTTCTCCCACTCTCGAGCTATTCGACCTTTCATGCTCATCCTGTTGAGTATGATCGCGCAAGTCCCAGCTGCCGTCTATTTCGGACCAAATGGCCTCGATTGCTTTTCGCAGGCTCACAAAGTTCCTTTGACTCTTTTGCTTGGGGTCGTCTCGCAAGATTGCTTGAACGGAAGGCGGCGACGGTATTGTGATCAGGTTCCCATTCAGATCTACCGTGTATCAGCGATATACGTGAAAATCGTGATGTAAGACCTTTCAGATAAACCAATATAGTATCTCTTCGATGAGGTTCAGTGATTTCTTTGCGAGTAAAGATGATTCGGCCGTTTACAGAGATGTTGTCCTGCTTATCTGGGCACTTCTGCCAGTGAACCTCAAAATGACCTCTACTCATGACTACGTAGATTCGGCTTTTGATCTGTTCGTTCCAGCGGCGAAGTTTTGTCATTGGACCCCCAATCTCTATATAGAAGTGCGGAAATGACCCTTTCGGACCCAGGGAATCCATCTTCCGAGAATAGAGAAAGATGGCAATAAACGCTTCTCGACTAGTAAACCCCGGGATAGCTTGAAATCGGTCAGATCCAAGCATATGTACAAGCAGTGCATACGGTAGTGATAAGGCACAGGCTCTGGTGCTGAACCGTAGATAACAGCATCAACAATTTTCGTGGCTGTCTATTCAGGTTGAGTACGACTTCCTGCATCCAGTTATACTAACAATAGCCTGGTGGGTTACCGATTTGAACTTCGCTAATCTTTTTGAGGCCTCCGCATCTTTTTGCTCGGCATTTTCTATTCGAGACTTCCAGTCAATCGAGGGTTGTTGTCCTATTTCGATTGCGCGCTCCTTGACGCCTTCCCATTTCGGTTCACATGGTTTTTTGATGAAGTCGAGGAAGAGATTTAGGTCGCTTGGGTTTGTCAGAAATCTGTATTCAATCGACCAGAACATACCTCGGGGAACATTGTCTTTTAGCAGGAGGAATCTCTTCGATACTAGCAGCAAGTTCCCAGATTGTAAACACCCTATCCATTAACCCTCGAGGAGAGGGGGATAGCTTGACACGATGGAAAGTGAGTATACCATTGGGACTTGCGTCCATCGTTTGTTGCTTGTTGCTCACAAGGTGCTAGTTACTGCTCCTGTTTGTTGGTAGTACTCGCCAAGTGCTTTAGACCACAATATAGGCCTCACCTGGACCATCGACAAGCCTCGTGTTGTGCTAGATTTCCGGGTGATAAAGGGTGGCCGGCCTGATGGGGCGCCAATAAACCTGCAATCGAAGCCCGATCACGACTTGATGAACTGCTGGTTATTTCCAGGTTCACAGGCCTACCCTCACCTGCCTCGCTGAATCCCGCAGATATCAATATAAGCTAGCATAAAATGATATGCGATCCCTTTTCCTGGGGAACTAGATGGCTTCAGGATCTCTGCAACCGGGGGCAGAACCACTCGCAAGAGGAAGATCCTACTCAGTTTTTGAAGCTCTCCTTGGGCGGGATCATCAGACAGCAAAGGAGCGAGACGGACCTTTCCGCCTTATCCGCTGGCTACTGGAAGTGACAACGAACGCTGCACTTAGAGCCCAAGTTAACATCATCACAACCTTTGCATTCATTCGAGCTGCACGACAGGAATGTGTCCGACTCGAAAACGCAATAAATGGCACCCTGGGGCAAGAAACACCCAGTGTCTCGTTTGAGGGATTCAAGAAAACTAAAGAGGGCATAAGCAAGCTAGAAGAGTGCGCAAGCGGTTTTCAAATCCTCTAAGACTGACCTTTCTGCCAGTATTTTGCTCGAAGAATGGGAGTATACCGTCGAGCCAAACATTTTCGAGTCCAAATCAGTCCTTGAGTGTCGCAAAAGTGTCGAATCATGGGAGCGAAACCGTGCGAAAGTCCTTGACAAATTTCTCAGAGTGTCTGTTTTGTCACCGGGTGGGGCAAGACCCAACCCCGAAGTTTGTCCTCTTATTCGTCCTGAAATTCCCTCACTGATCACGAGGCTCTCGTTCAGACTCTTTGGGAACCTCGTCGTGATGATGCACTTGTTCTGCGTACCATGGTAGAGCATATCGAACCAGAGCGTATAATTATCGAGTGAGTGTTGATGCTTAGGGCCTTTAATATATCTAACGGGCCAATTAGCGAGAGGCTGAACCAGTCTCGTACTATTTTGCGAAGTCTTATGGGCTTAGCAGAACGCGCACAACCAGTCCTAAATAGAGAGGTGAGGTATTGAAGGGTTAGCCTATCCCTTAATGACACGAAAATCCTATAGAGGACTACTTATGCCATCAAGACAGCTTGGTTCATCCGCGTCGCGATCGAAGAGTCCAAAAGTGTCAATACAAGATATCTTCGCCGAAGATACCTTCAAGGTTCAGACGTTTGGGCCACTGCATTAGAGTACGTTGGCAATTGACCTATCTTCGGTCCACCTCACAAACGTCAGCCTCGCATTATCCATAGCAGGAGATAATGTTGGGATGGGGGAAGTGGCGCGAAAGTATCAGACGTTCGTGGACAAATTACTTGTGAGTCAGTCTGAAAGGTATATGCATGATTATAACTGGTTAATAGCGTATTTATCGATTCAAATTGTTACGGACAGTCCTAATTTCTGGCAGACACGGACAGCACCCTTTCTCCTCAAGCTCTCCTTGATCTCTTCGCAGCCGGCGCTCATGTGTCTCGTCCATTCATGTCCCAGAATCACGCATTAGTCGAACTCTGCTATGAACTTGGACAGCAGTACAGCAGCACTGGTGTGGGAGACTTGGATAAACTTGAAGCAGTACAAGAGTGAGTAATACAGGTGGTGATTTGTGCTTCAATCTGATGTCATACAGTGCTATTTCGCGGTGTTTGGACGCAGCAAACGCTGCTCGACGAGAACAGGTGAACTTGGCGACGATGCAGCAGCCCAACAAAGGCGCCATTGAGCAAGCGTATCGGATTGCTTATGAATCGGTCAAAGCTGCACTTCGAAGTTTATCTAGTCCCGAAATCAATACCATCGACGCCACCATGACACAGGCCAGAGCAGAGGATGAAGAGCGTATGAGAGCGTACCAAGAAAGATTCGCAAAGGTGCGTTCTACCCGCCGCAAGAGATTTGATTGACAGTCTTCACAGGCCCAGTTGACGCAGCCGAGCACCAGAATGGTTCGAGTGAGGATGGGTAACCGAGACAGTGAGCCAGAAAAACGCACATTACCCGAGTATAACTAACGCGCTGGTATAGTCATCGTCCCAGATGATACACGGATTGCCGCGCTAATCTGGAGCGAGCAGCAGAATACACGGCAGAGAATTATTGGGATCAGGAGAGGTGGTGCCCTCGTTGAGCCTCATCGGACGATTGGCGAGATTGCTGGAGGTGCTGGTGCTCTGCAGCTCGACATGCAGTTTGCTACTTCTTGACCGAAACGTATTGAATTTGTTGCCGCGAATCTCAATGTATGCATCCCCGCAGCGTTTGGACAGCGGAATCCCGAGAGGACTGAGAATGATCGCCTATCGGAGGCGGAAGAAGGATTTGACGCGAGGCGATAGGACTGTGCCGCTTGGTAGGCTATGAGCTTCGCCGTAGTAACCAGATCACGCTGATTGCGCGCTGCTACAGCTCGTGAGATAGGGAATCTATGAAGAATTATGATGAAATGGGATTTTGGCTGCATGAAACTCACTTGTTTGGGGCTACTCTGGTCCAAAAGTAGAGAGTCCATGAGAAATTTGTACAAGTCTCCGTCGTCTAGAGTCGTTTTAAAGAGAAGAGATTGCATCCATTCGTCGCGTAGTCGTGGCGAATCCAGAATTGTCACGTATAGCCATTCTACATCTAGCCGTAGTTCATAGTAATCCACGCCTGAGATGCCTTGGCGTATCCCGGTCGGAATATAATCCTTGTTACATTGCCGCACAACGGCCCACAATTCCTGTGGCGTCATGCCCGTCCAGTTCTGAAGTAGACCAAGGCAGCGCTCGTGAAGCAGTGGATATAGCGATGCCGCACAGCTGAATGTTCGCCTATCAGATTCACGACGAACCGTCCTCCATCTCTGACCAGCCTTTAAGCCTCTGATGAGTCGCGTCTGCCCAGGTGAGAATCGGCGAAGGTTGTCGACAATAGGTGCATCCCCGGTGCGTTCGAGCAGTTCTTTGAATATCTGTTGATCGTCTTCTCCAAACGGTCCGACAATCGCGACCTCGTCTGTATATCGCTGATCGTCCTCATCGAGATGTAGCGTCCGCTTTGCCTCGGCACTAGGTTCGTCATGTCTCCCAGCTACTCGACTGTTGTTCAACCAGGATTCAATTTCTCGCTGGTGAGCGTCACCGTTGGTCCGTCTGGCGTGGCGGACAGACCGACCCATAGGTAAACGTCGACGTAGGAGCAGCCTCCACAGATCTTGGTGAGATGAGCATGAAGGCTCTGAACGGAGCTGATATTTTCCCTTACAATGCAGTACTCTTCGGAGATGCTGTATTGCTCAGCCATGTGGTTGGAGTCCAATGGGTGGTTAATTTTGTCGTGTCCAAAGCCAATTCATACTTTGACCCGATAGTCACCTCTGTTCCGCCGTAACGTGACGCAGGTGATTGCGACAGTCCGGTATCTGCCTCGGGGTCTGGTGATTATTGCACTTAGTCGAGGGCGAGCAAGGGTCGTGCGCGGTTTCCATGAGGCCTCCCCTAATCTTAACCAGCAATCTAATCCCTTCTTGGCAAGAGAGCATGACCAGGATATATTTGCGACTGTATTATACCTCTTCCTATAGTTAACCAGCCAGGACGCCGAACGATTCTCTGTCCTCGAGGCGGCGGTTTACTTATATATCTGCCGGCTGCCTCTGATCCAGTTCCCACTTGTCCCGGGTATCACCAATTCCAACATGGAATCACAAAACGGGCCTGTACCTCCCAGCCCCGCCCAGATCGAAAAGGCCGTGTACGAATGTATGTGACTCTACTTATGATCTCGCGTTCTGATTTTCCTGGATAGACCCATATGCCAAAATCGTCCAGCAATACTTGGATGGGTGGATTAAAACACTTAATAGTGGCACTGTCGTTGTGCGTATGACTATATTCACGCGGAGTGAACTAATCCGCTTCGCAAATCATTGTCTAGAGCACCCTATTGTCAGCCGTTGCTACTGCCTTCTTCATTCACATCCAAGAAAAGATTGGTTAGTATGACTCGTCTTCTAATACCTTGCTCTTACCACTTTCTTCTGCGTCACCTTCTTCCACTCAAACTGCAGCCAATAACTCGTCCCCCAGTACCATGCCCTCAACACCGTCCTCGACGGCTCCTTCCTCCCAAACTGCAACGACACGGGCACTCCTCGTCTTCGCCTACGCTTCCATATTCGCCAACTGCACAGCAGCAATCACGTCTTTCTATCTCGCGAACTATTTGCTGTATATTCCGATTCAAATCTCACAAAAGATGTTTCGTCAATCATCTGTGGACTTTAACATCAACAATCTTATAACGCATATTAATAGCCAAATTGGATACGCCGATTGGCGCATGGTTCGAATTTATTGTAAGCCTGTATCATCATAATAACACGTAACTGATGCATTACAGGGCAGTTTACATCCTTCTTCGGATTCATTTCCGTCTTTGTAGAGCTTGCGCTCTACGGATATCAATTCGAGACCAGTCGAGACGTCAAGATCGCCCTTGGATTCTTGACCGTAATGGGAGCTATTCCTCTGGTCGCTTCTGTCTACATTATCATTCAACGGATTCGTAGCCTATTGAACGAGAATCCTACTCTGTGAAACTCTGGTGCGAAAAGGGACTGAAATCAACTATTCCATGTGAGTAATTGACCTAATCTATAGAGACAAAGAGTGTCTAATTCCAGTACGACACTGGGCAAAAGGAGGTATTCATAGACTTAGACGTATAAAAGCGCTCAGTGCAACGGCCTATATCATATACAGTACTGTTTTACAAGCCATTGCATCAATTTTTAGTGCCCTTCGTACCTGTTCTGATTCGCCGCCTACTATTAGACATATTGAGCATTCTGTAAATAAATGAAGACTCCGTTTCGCGTTTATTAATTCAATCACGAGTCTCTTGTGCTTAGTGCATACCCGGTGCGCACCCCAAGTCTCTAACACTAGGATCGAACAGATGGCCCAAACGGCATGCTCGGGAGATATGTAGCCTCGGCTCTGTAGTCTTGCTGACGCCCCGATATTGCTCTTGGCTTCTTTATGAAGTAGAGTTATGCATATGCACAGGTAAAGTGGAAGGCGGTGAACCTAACCCTCGGGATTGTCCATAACAGCAAGATGGCCTTAAGGCATGACAGCCAGCCCAGGTCGCTTAAGCCCTCGAGGGAGATCCCCTACTATTTCCACACTATGACGTCCAATCGTGACCAATTGACCCAGCCAGGTGATTGAACAACTTATCGAGGCACATATTGATACTTACGCTCAGTTTGCAGCACGTGTTCTCAATCTTGTCAAAATTCATGTACTGGGTTGGTCCAGCATGTACAACAAGGCAACCGTCATGGTAGGCGCTCTCTCTCACAGTGCTGCGATGATGTTTACGGTGACAAAAGAGTGCTATTATGGTGCCTTTGTCGTGGAGTCTCTTCGCCCACGTGCAGGAGAAGATTCAACAAATCCAAGAGGCAGGTCTCCCCACAAACTCGATCACGCTGCTCGCTCTATCCATCATGAGTTATCTCACTATAATATGCAATTCATACGCGGCAATTATGGCTTTCATTAACGCAGAAAGGATGTCCCAGATACCGTTGAAGATTTCCCAAACGGCCGCAGACAAACCGGATGTCGGGGCAATTCGAGGAGATGTTGTCACTATCATCATGTACCATGTCAAGGTGCAATTTTGGTCTCTTCTAAGGGCTTACTGTACGTCTGGATGCCGCTCGGACGGCGTCGGCTGACCTTAGCACAAGGGTTCTTCTACTTCATTACTGGCTATCTTAGCATCTGGATCGAACTCAACTTGTATGTCTGGGTGATTACAGGAAGTTTTCCACTGCAATTATTCGCATCGACGTCGACAGGGGTGGCCTTGCTACCCATAGGGCTCTTCTGGCTAGGATGAATTACGTCCTACATAGTCTACAGTGGCAGAATGATTGAATAGTCTTGTACATGCTCTAGGATATATTAATCGAAATCAGCCCCAAAACTTCCATTTGCTTTTTTTTGATGGCCGGCGAGGTACAAAGTCTGTTTTTGCAGAACTCTCCGGTCCCTCTGTTGAGGCAGCCGAGGCACCACTCGGCACTGTATGAAGACTAGTCCGTGTGGTTGGTCCGATCGCCATTTCTACTTTTCTATTGGGTGTCTGCGGTTGATTTTGTGGGTTTGAAGCCCGGGACTTGACCTCGATAACTTCAGTAGGCCGAGTGGGATGGGCACCATCGCTACGCACATCTGGAGGAATGTGCGCTGATTTAGCCACAATTCCCGTTCGAATAGCCGGAGATCCGAGTCCAGTAGGAGTCGATGATGGAGCATCTGTGGTGGTACGTTGTGGATTTAATGGTGGAGAGGATGGATTGATACCTCCCCCGATCTGGATGCTTGTAATGGATGACGTAGAATTACGAGCTAGATGGAGAGTGGTTTCCCCTGGTGAAACCAGATTCCTAGCCCCACTGGTGGGCGTCTGCGATCGGCTGGCCGGTGCTGTGGGCGGTCTGGCAATCTGGGGGTCCACTTCTGTCCCAACCGATACTGGTGAGGAGGATGATGCTACTTGTTCCCCCAGTGAAGGAGGCAAGTGTTCGTATTGCCTGCAGATATCGAGGTGATTCCAATTCGATTTGTTGGACCAATCCTTTGGCCACTTCGGATCACCGGAATCGCCGAGACCTCGGAACATCCATTTACAGTCTATATCACCATCGGTTTTGGGGCTCCAAATGTTGTTTATGGCTTGAGTGAGATTCGTGAACCTGCCCTTCATTTCTTTATCGTCGTGTTTGAACAACGCAAACTCGGATGTAGGCGATCTCAGCTCTGTTAGATGACCTTTTTGACCTATAATATATGAGAGATCGCTTAACAATGCTATGGGATTACCTTTGAGATGATAAGTTTCACCCTGGTCATGAGAGAATATGAGTCGGCCTTCAGAAGAGTTGTTTTTGACTGCAATCCAGTCCTCAGGCACTTCAAAGTAACCTCTACTCATGACGACGTATAGTCGCTTTGTAATTTTGCCCTTCCACTCGCACAGCTGATTCTTCTTCGTGTCCAGCTCATAAAAATGTGGTGACGATCCTTGGGGTCCACCTTTATGCCCATTACCTTTATGCCGATTAAATAAGAACATGGAAATGAACCCTTCCCGACTGATGAGTCCTGGGACGGCTTCAGATGGTCAGAACTGAGGATGTACAGGCTTGCAAAGCTATTACGTACTGTAGGTGTGCTTTTCACAGGTTTTAATGAGACCGGAGGGATCAACAACGAAAATGGAGCCATAGGAATCAACATCAACTTCTTTCCGTGCTAGCTGTTTCTGTCGGGATTGAGCGACAATACGAGGAGCCGGCTCGGACCTACAAGTTTTGAAGCAGCTGCTGTTAGTATGTCTCCGGCTTTTTGATCTTTCTTCTCGGCCCCTTGCATTTTTTGTCTCCACTCTGGAAACTGGTCGTCAACGTATAGACTTGCCGCACTCCATGAGCCTTTATTTGGTGTGTGCATGAATTTGAATAAAGGATCCGGGCTCCTTGTAATCATTAGCATAAGATATTAGAAGCCTCAACTCGTACCGCGTTGGTACGACGCGCCTCTCGTCAATCTCGACGATGAGATCCCCAATGAAAACAATCCTGTCCGCATACAAGCGGTCATATCGAGCCAGCGGGGCAATTATTGGGTTGGTTATACCTGAGAAATTGTTGCTCATTGTCCTTCCTAGTCAACCGCGAGGGCAGAGTATAGGATTATGTGGTGTGGCCAATCCGTCTCCCACGACATATGCCTCACCTGGACCTCGTGGCGTTCCCGATTTCTTGGTGATAAAGAGTGATGGACCTGACCAGGGGGAAGCGTCCGATCACGGTTTGATAAGCTGCTGGTTATGTCCAACTGCACAGGCCTACCTCAGTATCCTCGTTGAATCTTGCAGATGTTGATATAAACCCGCAAAAGGATGCGGTTTACCTGTTCCCAGTACCGAAGGGACAATGGATAGACCTCCATATTCCGGGGCAAGACTGCAAGGGAGTAGAACGTCAGATGGACGTTTTGGTGCCAGCAGAGAGGGTGGGAGGGAAACAAAATACTCCATTTTTGACGATCTTCTTGGACAAGACCATCAGAGGGCAAAGGAGCAAGGGGGACTGTTTCCTCTTCTTCGGTGTTTACTAGAAGTGACGACGCACACTGCCCTTGGGGCGCATGTCAACATTCTCACTACCCTTGCATTCGTTCGAGCTGCAAGACAGGAATGCGCCCGACTCGAAAACTCGATGAATGGCCCACAGCAAGACACGCTCGGCGCCTCATTAGCTCTGTTTAGGGACAATATAGAGTGCATAAAACGCCTGGAAAAGTGAGTATTGGGTTTATTCGAGGGCTTTTCTGTATAATCTTAATTTGCGGCAGTATCCTGCTCGAGGATTGGGACCACACCAATGACTCCAGTATTTTCGACTCCAAATCGGTTCTCGAGTGTCGAACAAGTATCGATTTGTGGGAGCAAAATCGCACACAGGTTGTCAACAAGCTTCTCAGGGTCTCTGAGTTGTCGGGAGAATCAAGGCCCGACCCAGATGTTCGTTCTCTTCCTCCTCCGGAATTCGCCTCGTTAATCGTGCATATCCGCTGCAGAATCTCTGGGAGGCCCGTCGTGATGATGCACTCATTCTGCGTACCATGGTGGAGCATATCCCGACAGACAGCGGAGTTACTGAGTGAGTCAATAGACGTTTGAGTCTTCGAACATATCTAAGCCCCTATGAAGTGACAACTTCAAACAATCCCACAATGCTTTACAGAATCTTATGGCCTTGGCGGAAAGTGAAAAGCAAGGAGCAGGAGGTGTACAATACAGTCTTGAAAGAAAGGCAAGAGTAGTAAAGAACCGCGTCGAGCTCTACTGACGCATAGAATCTTGTAGAGGACTGCATACGCCATCAAAGCGGCTTGGCTCATCCGTGTTACAGTCGAAGAGTCCAAAAATAAATCTTTCACGAAACCTCTCCGCCGAAGGTACCTTCGACGCACAGATGTTTGGGCTACCGCATATGAGTACGTCCAGTATTGAGATCCCTGAGATTTACTAATGATGAACAGCTTTGTATCATCCATAGCTAATGGTAACGTCGCTCCCACAGAAGTGGAGCAGAAGTATCAGACCTTTGTGTACAAGTTACTCGTAAGTCAATATACAGGGAGAATTTCTGATTATAACACCTTTGTAGAGTGCGTTTGTATTAAGTCGCTACGGATGACCCTGATTTCTGGCAGACACGGACAGCACCCTTTCTCCTCAAGCTCTCCTAGATCTCTTCGCAGCCGGCGCTCATGTGTCTCGTCCATTCATGTCCCAGAATCACGCATTAGTCGAACTCTGCTATGAACTTGGACAGCAGTACAGCAGCACTGGTGTGGGAGACTTGGACAAACTTGAAGCAGTACAAGAGTGAGTAATACAGGTGGTGATTTGTGCTTCAATCTGATGTCATACAGTGCTATTTCACGGTGTTTGGACGCAGCAAACGCTGCTCGACGAGAACAGGTGAACTTGGCGACGATGCAGCAGCCCAACAAAGGCGCCATTGAGCAAGCGTATCGGATTGCTTATGAATCGGTCAAAGCTGCACTTCGAAGTTTATCTAGTCCCGAAATCAATACCATCGACGCCACCATGACACAGGCCAGAGCAGAGGATGAAGAGCGTATGAGAGCGTACCAAGAAAGATTCGCAAAAGTGCGTTCTACTCGCCGCAAGAGATTTGATTGACAGTCTTCACAGGCCCAGTTGACGCAGCCGAGCACCAGAATGGTTCGAGTGAGGATGGGTAACCGAGACAGTGAGCCAGAAAACGCACATTACCCGAGCATAACTAACGCGCTGGTATAGTCATCGTCCCAGATGATACACGGATTGCCGCGCTCATCTGGAGCGAGCAACAGAATACACGGCAGAGAATTATTGGGATCAGGAGAGGTGGTGTCCTCGTTGAGCCTCATCGGACGATTGGCGAGATTGCTGGAGGTGCTGGTGCTCTGCAGCTCGACATGCAGTTTGCTACTTCTTGACCGAAACGTATTGAATTTGTTCCCGCGAATCTCAATGTATGCATCCCCGCAGCGTTTGGACAGCGGAATCCCGAGAGGACTGAGAATGATCGCCTATCGGAGGCGGAAGAAGGATTTGACGCGAGGCGATAGGACTGTGCCGCTTGGTAGGCTATGACGCCCCACCAAAACGACACCTTATCGCACATCGAAATTGGCTTTAAGGCCTCGACCAGCCAGGCAGGTCCCGCCAAACTTGACCTCGACCACAACATACGGCTACTTTGTGGAAAGTTCTGACAAGTAAACGACGTTTAGGAATCTTCGAAGACCATGTCTGAGCCACAAGTCAACGTCACACTTTCCGCGAACCGCTATGGCAAGGACAAAGTCCGGGTTCTGCGCGTTATCCGCCCTTCGACGCCTGGAGGAAAGCAAATTGTACTCGAGTACACCGTGCGTCTAATGATCGAAGGCGATTTCGCCACCAGGTAAGCGTGCTCGAGCTGAATGCCGAGGGGGCGTAGGTACTGACTTCATGACGCTGTTCTATGCTTCATCTACACACATTGGTGTCGATTATTCCGGCTTTTGATGGGGCCATTCTGGATATCTGATCAACAATTTGATTTGGGTGGCGAATGCTGGATTAAAGCTATACACAAGCAGACAACTCTATGGTTGTACCTACGGATACAAGTAAGTCCAACGACCGTCAGACTGGGGAATGTACTGACGACGAGCAGTGAAGAACACTGTCTACGGTAAATAATCCCACACCCAACACAACTACACGCAGCATGCTGAAGAGGCGCCAGTGTTTGCCAAAACGTCTCCTCATGTCGCCACGCCGGAGCTATTCGGTTTACACCTGGCGAGCCATATGGTGACAAAGTATCCGCATGTCACCAAGGCGTTTGTGGACATTGACTCGCTCAAGTGGTCGAGAATCCCGGTTCAGGGCGTCGAACACAAGCACTCGTTTGTACGGGACGGAGAAGAGAGAAGGACAACGAGCGTCGAAGTGGATGGTACACAGGGCAAGGACAAGCTCGTGGGCAAAGTGACGAGCGGAATCCAGGATCTACTTGGTTCGTTGTACTCTAAAAGTGATTGGGGAGAAGCTAATGGCCGATCAGTCCTCAAGTCGTCTGGTTCGGCATTTGAAAACTTTCACCAGGACGAGTACACGACCCTTATCCCGGTGTCTGATCGCATCTTCTCGACTTCTGTGGATCTGAATTACACCTTTGAATTGCCAGCATTGGCTTTCGGATCAGTCGACAAATTAGAGGCTGTCGATATCGAAGCCCAATTCAACCGGGTCGCGGCAAGTGCAAAGGAGACGACACTCGAGGTGTTTGCAGTGGATGAGAGCGCAAGCGTGCAGGCGAGACCTTCTTCAATGCTGTCCAAGTGGGACTCTGGCTGAACAGTCCTCCTAGGCGACGCTATACAAGATGGCGACGGACATTATCCGCAAGAACCCCAGCGTGGGCACGGTGAGCTACAAGCTCCCGAATAAGCACTATATCCGTGAGTCGAGCTCGTCCGCGCGCTCCGTCCGATTGGCAAAGGAGAGGGCGACGTATCCCACGGGGACGGGGCGTGCGAGAAGCATGGACACAATAGACTGAAGTCCGTATTTCAGCTGTCGACCTGTCGTACATGAAGCTCGATAATCTCAAGCCGGCGGATGCAGAGGTGTTTTGCCCCGTCGCGGCGCCGAGGTACGTGCTGATTCTTTTGGTTTGGTTGCTACAGCCGGGAGGTACTGATTGTTTCGCTAGTGGGTATATCACGGCGACGGTTTCGCGCGCATGAGACACGGCTACTCTGGCGAGAAGAGAGAATTTCCAACGGAGTGCAAACGGGTCGAATGGAGTACAAACGGAGTGCAAAGAGTATTAACAAACTGTAGTTACAGAATAAACGAGAGCGCTGAGCGTGAGGCTGGTGTGACGTCAGGGTATATACGACTCGGCTTGAAGAGGCCTCGCTCGTCGCTTTCAAACTCTGACCCGTTCATCTCCACCGCTCCAGCGCCGACACTCTCCAAAGCCCCTCTGCGGCATCTGTAAACGCACGAGAAATCTCCTGGGAGAGCTAGAAGCAGCGCTGAATCACCACCGACTGCGCCACGGGAGAAAAGCCCCAGCGCGCAGAGAATCCACGATAAACTCACGGCTGTTACGCAATGGGAGGAGATCACAAATGCCCCGTTTGCGGCTCTACGTTTACTCGTAGCCAGCATGTCGCTCGCCACATGCGTTCCCGTACGTCGCTCTCCTCCACCGTCAAACGACTACTGATCCCGTCTACAGACACCGGCGACCGTCCGTACAAATGCGTCCATTGCGGCGATCAGTTTGCAAGAAGGTGCGCGATACGCTACGCGAATGGGCCACTTCGCTCACAACGCTCCTCGTCCGTCTAGTGATTTGCTCTCCAGACACGTCAACAAGTGCCATACAAACGAAAAGAAAAACCCAAATGCGCCTCAAGGTGCGGGAAATGCCCGCAGAAAGGGCCGCCAGCCCTCGATGAGCGGTCCTATCGACGCGCCTCCCATCATCCCACCAAACCCGCTCTTCAACGACGTTCTGAACCCATATCAGCACCATATCAACGCTGTAAACGACCCCTTTTCGTCATCCCGCCTCCCCTCGGCTCCGCTATACGCCCAGTCACCCGTCAATGCCTTGCACAACACTGCGAGGCGATATTCGCTAGCCCAGTCTGTCGAGGGACTCGATCCTCCATCGCTCTCGTCGTCCTCGCTCGCCTCGACGTCGTCTGCATCCGCTTCTCTGGACAGCCTTCCCCATGAGCCTGTCTTCCACGTCCCTCCAACTCACTCATATGCCTCGTCGCAGTCACTCTCCTCTGCCTTGCATGGTCTCACCGACGTCAACCGTCAGTGGAATCTCCCACCGCATCCCCACCAGCCACCCTCGCAGCATCCGGTGCACTACAATGGCTACACCTTTGACGATGGACAATCAGATGACCCCTCAAGAGGATTCAAGCAGGATCCAGTGTTCAACTCGATGCTCCCAAACCAGCCCTACAACGATCTCCCGACGCCGCTGGCATACCCAAGTATGTCGTACGGGCTCTCGCGATCGGCAGGCGTGGATCCGTTTATTCCGAGCAACCCCGCCGATGTTCCGAATGCACAACCGCAATTGAGCCACCAGCCACCGCCGTCGTTTGATGGGCAGCACGCTCAGCGATTTGTCGATGGACAACAGAGGGGAGAAGGAGGTTTTTCGTCGGCGTTTGGACTCATGTCTCTCGAAGACGCCGCTGTGCTGGCGGGCATGGCCCCAGATGGCGTCCCCTTTTTCGAAAATGCAATGGGAATGCCCTCGGGTGTAGTAAATGCTACCGACGTCCAGACACCCAATACACGCGAGAGAGAGATTAATGCACTACGCGAAATGTGGGCCTCGTTTCTCAAGGATCCGACGACAGGCCTTCGACCAGACGGAACGGAAATGCCACGTCCTGAGTTCCCCATCCCAGCGACTGCAGGTGGAAATAATGGAGCCACGTCGACTGCTGGGAATCACCCTTCTATGCACTTGCATAGACGGTCGAGCTCGTATGGCGGGACGACAAAGGGTATGGGCCTCTCGGTTTTGAAGAGTCCACCACTACCACACATGCCAACCGCTCAGCAAACGCTCCAAGGTGGTGCAAACGTGGTCCAGAAGCTCGAAGAAAAGGCGTCGGGCATCTCGTCGAATGCGCAAGAGACCAACATGAACCAGCAAACACACATTGCTCAAGTTGCTCAGGGAGAAAATCTAAAGAGCTACGAGGAGGCTGTATTAGCTCGAAAGGCACCAGTCCTCAAGTTGCCGGCAAAGTTGAAGACAAAGGATTCTTCATCATCGACGGGAAGCGGTAGCAGTCTATCAACAACAGGAGGATCACTTCTTCCGTCACTTACCTCGAGTTCCATCTTACCACCTCTCCCGTCAAGCTCTGGTACATCATCTATCCTACCCTCCATTGCCTCATCACGATCGGGAACGGCGACGCTTGGAGGTAGCGTTGGAAGTCTATTCCAAAATCAGCAAGCACTCCCGACTGCAGCAGGTGCGAGTGCGGTTCCCGTTGGATCGACGCCGCTCCAGGCGCATCTCTCTGGCCAGTATCATCCGCTCACCCAGCAAGCCCTGGCGCAGCAACAAGCATCGATGGCAGACAGACCTATGATTGCCATGCCCCGGCCACGTTCGAGATCACGGCCGTCTACGGCAAGTGGTGCTCCGACCCGTCCTACTAGTGCAGTCGCCTCGGCTGGACCAAACGGTGCACAACAGGGCGTTTCGACAAATAGCCAACCGCCTTCACGACCTGGTACGGCATCTTCGAATGGAGGTGCAGGGCTTGCTGGCACCCACGCCTCTCCACCACATCCACAAGCGCAATCGCAGCCCAACTCGCGTCCTTCAACCTCGCACGCGCATTACGTCGGCCACTCGGCTGTCTCCCCTTCACATACGTTTGCGTTCATGCCTCCACCTCCGAATCACGCACCCCCCATGCCAGGACAGGCCTTTCAGCCTGGTAGCCTTCCGAACGAATCCAGCATGGCCGCGGCAATGGCAGCTGCCGGTGGCTCTGCCACTGGACCGATTGTCGTACCAGAGAGTCCAGTGACGGGCAACCGACCCTCGTACAAACGTCTTGCCTCGCAGCATCTCGAACCAGCGTCGACAAAACGACCACACATTCGGCGCGGCGACACGAATTTCAACCCAACCGTCACGAGCCCCGGGAATGCAAGTAATGGGAATGCAAATAGTGCCATGGAGGAAGACGGATTCGAGTCTGAGGGTAGCGTGGGTGGGAGCGAGCGTAGTTTTGGACACTATCAGCGTCATCCACGACCATACCCGCTCGGGATGAAGTCTCCCACAATGGCGAATATGCCACCCGTCTCTGGGTCGGGATACCCTGGCCATGGATTCAATGGTTCCGGCCTGGGGATGATGTCGCCTGCTGGGATGAGGAGGATGAGCGAACCGGCCGTCGCGGCTCCCCGCATGGCCATGCGTCTCCCACCTGCAGCTGCACAAGTCTCTGTCGGACCTCCGAGTGGTGGGAGCAATAACACCTCGGTCTAGGAGAGGGACGTGAGACGACGTGCGCGCCGCTAGTCTAAGAAAAGTTATCTATCCTGAACTTTATTCCGAACTCTTAATATGTCCCTAAAAGTTCCTTTCACCCAAGTCGGTCTCATGACTCTATTCCCCCTTTGCCCTTTTCTATTCGCCTTTCTCAAAGTGTGGTCCCCCAATCTTGTGTATTATAGCGACGAAACGCGCGTCTGGTTTTGGATTCACTTCTTTGTGTATACTATCGGATGCGAAACGAAGCGGCTCTCTTCTCTGCAGACTTTCCCATCTTCGTTTGAGCATCAGGCCCTTGTCACCCAGGCAGTGGACTGGCTTTACTCGTCCGACGGGCCCGACATGATTACATCGTCTGTTCCAAGATTAAAGTCACGTCTGGAATTCTACGAGGAAAAGCGCACCAATTTTGAGCACGGCTCGGACAAGCTGAGTGGCGAGAAGGTACTGCTGGCGTTTCGAGATGAGAGGGTCATAGACATACTGCTCCTTCATATCTGCACATCGCCCATAAATCAGTTATCAATGTCGTCCTGTTACAACTGAGAGACGAACCATTGTGCCCTCGCCCAACGCAATCGACACCAAGTCGCGAACTCTTTTGCGTGACTTGTTGACTCTTGATATTCGCGAGCGTCTCGATGGGTGGTAAACCGCTGTTCTCCGCCAAGGCGAGTGGAACAGCGTCAAGAGCAGCAGAGAATGCACGCATGGCGTACTGTTCGATACTTGGTATCTATAGCCCCGTCAATGCCATGGCCGTTATACAAGAAGCATGGGGTAAGGGAAGGCATACCTCGTCGGCTGCTTTTGCCACCGCAAGGGAACAACTTATCTCTGCAGATCCACCACCGTATACGACACGATTATCCACAACCAAGTTTCGCACAACGCACAACGCATCATGAAGTGCGCGCTTTGCTTCATCGACAATCTAATCGCACATAAGATGAGACTTGTGAGCGGACAAGAAGAGAGACGAACCATCTTGTTGCTACCACGGACGAAAATGGTGACAGCGCGTGTGTTTGCACACTCTTCGATGACCATCATCTTGTCCCGTGTAGTTCCAAACGAGATTTCCCGCACGACACCGGCCCTGCCGAGCTTTTCTGATGACAAGTCTTCGAAGCGAGGCACAATACGACCATTGGTGGCGATGGCAATCAACTACCAAATTCCGTAAGACGAAAAGTAGGTTGAAGAAAATAAGGGTTAGTACCTCAATCTCTGGCCCACCGACCCATCGTACGGCAGGTAGGTCATTTTGCATCAACAAGTGATTTGCTTCGTCGTCGAATCCCCATTGGCAAATGACCAGATTTGCACCAGCGTCCTTGACCATCTTGATCATGTCTGCAAACTTTTCCTTTTCATACTCTTTGAGCTTGTTGTACTCTTCTACCGACGTAATGTCAAGCTTGTGCTTTGTCTTTGGCCGCGGTGGTTCAAATGGACAGGTGAGGATGGCAAGCTTGGCATCGTGGACGGTACGTGGCATTTGCGGATGTGACATGTCCTTGTCGAGGAGTACACCCTTGATGAGCGTCGTGTCTTCGAGTCCGCCACCCACTTTGCCGTCGACTTTGATTAGATCAAACGGCACATCCCGTCGTTCCATGTCTGCTACCGTTAGTACTGCGTCGACAGCAATCTCTGCAAACTTTTGATGTGCCTTGGACACGCTGCATGAGGTAAGGGAAAAGTTGGATCCGAGCAGTGGATGCACGTACATTTTGGATCCTAGACTCGTCATGGCTGCTTTGAGGAGGTTCCCACTGTTCTCCTTGGTGTATTCTATGCGGTCGGAGATGCTTTCCAAATGGTTGACAGCGACCGCGCAAGCTCGCTCGAATCCATCCGCTATCCGCATAGGATGCAGTCCACGATCTAATAGCTCTTCACTCTGCTCTAGCAGGGCACCAGCAAGTACTAGAACGAGGATTAAGATCGTCTTGAGGTAAGCCGATAAAAAAGACGCACCGACGACGCCAGTCGTTCCGTCTCCAATCTCGTCATCTTGACTCTTTGAGAGTTGTACGAGTAGCTTGGCAATCTGATGCTCGACCTCCATCTGGCCGAGGATGGTGGCGCCGTCGTTTGTGATGGTGATTTCACCATCAGGCGATATGAGGATCTTGTCGAGACCTAGTAAGGTAGAATGATACGGTGAACACTCTACTTTCTGCGCGATATCGACCGCGCACCTCTTGGTCCCAACGATGTCCGCACAATATTGGCGACGGTACGCGCAGCTAGGATATGTGACTGGAAAGACGCGCAAATGTTAGCAAGTCAGTTCTCCATGGCAAAGGTGTAGCCACCTTGATGGCCTCGATTCCATGGCTACGCGTTTTCTTTGCTTGCTCACGCAAGATGATAAAAGGGCGTCCATACTGCGCTCACGGTGTCTCAGTCAGTTCAAAACGACAGAATACGGTGATTGTACCTCGTCTGTCGCGTAGACAGCTTCGTGATTGGCTAGGTCAGCGGCCATGGTAAGGGTTCAAGTGTGGCTAAACGGTTGGACATTCGAAAACTCTAGCTAGATCGGTATTATTCCATGGAACGAAGTGTTTTGATATCTGGTACGACTCCCTTTTCCTTGACCAGCCATTCTACAATCTCGGTTGCACCCTCTTTGACGGCCACTCCCAACATGACATTATCAACAACAACGAGATCCGTCTTCTTCTGAACTCCCTTTCTAGCGTTTGAAGACCTGATCTGTCGTCTGGTTGTAGGCGTCCCTTCCACGAGAAGCTTGACAAGAGAAAGGTCTCGTTGCTGTATGGCGAGTAACACGGCCATTTTCTGGTTCCGTGAAGGGTCTGCTTTATGTGCAAGCAAGAGATTGATTAGACGCCTATTCTTCGCTTGAACGGCCTTGATGAGCGGATAGCCGTCGTGTGAGTTGGAGTCGGGGAGCAGTGCTTGGGTCTTTTCCGTCCCCGAATATGAGACGGGTGGTAGTTTGTATAGCGATTCTAGAAATGTAAACGTTGCGTCGTCCTTGATTGAATTCTTGTCCTTGTCAGGTTCCAGGCTGCGAAATAGTCGACGGGGCAGCCGGAATAGCCGTACTGGTGTCTCTACAACTGGAGGAGCATTGACTGTCTGCCGTGGATTTGGGTACAGATGACGGTACGGTCGGGGGACGATGATTAGGAATCGCTCAAAGACGTCGGGCGTGCAGAGTGGATACTTGAGGACATGGGAGATGAGACCGGCGAGATCCAATGTGGTGTTCTCGTGTCGATAGAACAGATAGCGAGCAGAGATGGACCGTGGTGCATTTTTCATGGTGGCGTAGAGCGACCGGTTCGTCAGAGGGAATGCAGGATTGAGTGCCCATAGATGTATTGAATACAGTAGCTGTTAGAAGGCGTCAGTAGACCAGCAGGAACGGGGGATCGAGCGTCACCTCGGCAGGCAATGCAGTTATTGACCATTTGGAGCCTGATACATGAGTCATCGCTGTAAGATGTAAGGAAATTCTAAGGAATCTGGCGGTAAGTGGATAGTGCCACCAGCGTGGCTGGAGCCAAGAGATTTGTACAAGTGGCCGAAACACCGGGTTAACATTTACAGTACATTTACAGTAATGCTGTTCCATAAATTCGTCATATCAGGATTCTATTCGCATCGGAGTTTCATGCTGGGCCGGTGCGGCTGTGCAGGAGCTGGCAAAGGTACCCATTTCATCTCGACTCTCGCCTCTTGGTCTCGTCCTCTACTCGGCGAGGCCGTCGAGTACGCCCTCTTGTATATTTATCGCCAGAAAAACAGTTCATGGACCACTTTCTCTTCAAAGTAAACGTTACTTGGACCTCGGTACGTCCCATCGCGCCTACGACATCTCCAACCCAGCTCCAGGCGTAGACCCAATTTGCTGACATTAAACCACTTATATGTAGCCCTTTTTCGTGTATACCCCTGCTGATCAATGGTACAATGGCATCACAAACAAGAACGATAGCGTCGCTTCATTCAACTTTCGAGGTAACGTCGTTCTTCCACCTGCTTCAGATTTACTGAGTACTCCCTTCACAGGAAACGGTGTGAAACTGTTTGGCTCGACAAATGCAACGTACACCACGCAGGTCGACGACATGGCCTCGCAACCGGCGAACCCACGGTCGTTCAACTACACATCGGGAGAAATCCCTTCCAACCTCGCGTGTGAAGACGGAAAACCCTGGGGATGTACCGTCATGGCCGAGTACCACGACTTGGATCCGTCAGTCAACCATACCTTTACACTCCAGTCCAAGTTCAACGAGAACACCTCTGGAGACGATATAAATATTCTGGGAATGCAGGTTCTGTATGATACAGGTCTCACGGCGTAAGCGCCCATTCATCGGGGTCACAGTGTCTGACACTTGGCAGCGACGCGAAGCAGCAGATCAACGAAGTCCCCATGGAAGACAACCGACTCGTTTACGCAGGAAGTTGGCAAAATATAACATATGATCCTTCGCAGTACCGCATCAGTAGGGTTCCTGGATCGACAATTACATTTCCGTTTAGTGGTGAGTTTATTTTCTATCACTCTCGCTTGTCGTCCGACACAATTTTCCAGGTTATGCAATTTATGTCTGGGGAACTACAGATATCTTCACGAGCAGGCTCTCCGTCTCTCTCGACGGACAAACCCATGATATGCCAGCACCCTCATCAAAATACCCAGATCCCTACTGTTTACTATGGTATTATGCCGGGCTCGACCAAACTGCTCGGCATACGGTCGTCGTCACCAACCCGGACACCGCTGGGCTCATCATCAGGGGCTTCACTGTCATCAGACTTGTGGACCCACAAAAGTATGTATCCTCGACGTAAACAGGCTTGATTCTCAATTCGATTTAGCCCTGGTGATTCTGTGCCACCGACTTCCCAACCGAATCGACTCTCCACAGGAGCAATCGCGGGGATTGTAGTGGGTGTCGTCTTTATTCTCTGTCTCGCAGTTGCAGCATTTTTCGTATACCGCCGGATACAACATAGACGCGTTCAATTCGAGAAGGACTCTTCGGCACCCTCTGCCCAACCTCTCACGGGCACAAGCGCATCAAGTAGTAGTAGGTTTGGACAGGTCACACCTTGGTCGGGGCCAACTACACCGAGCGGATTTATGCAAACCCCTCAATCGTCTGTAGCACCAACCCCCCACTACCCGCCATATCGCATCGACGAAACAAGGGTTCCTAACAGTGCGGCAACAACAAAAACTTGGATACCTTTTTGGACAGAGACCGCTGGACCGAGTCACGTCGGCAACTCTGCTCGACAGTATGCATCAACGAGTACTCAAAGCCCTCTGACTCCTGGGTTCAATTCACCAGGAGCTGGCGTTTACGGGCTGGAGCATCGCAAGCCACCATTGGATCTCGGTGGGCCATTAAACACACCGCAGACGGAAAGAGGCATCGCAGTCTTTGTCACTGCGCCAAGTTCATCGGGACATGGGCAAAGCGGGTCGGAGAGGCCTACAGGATCAGGATCGGGGTCAGGGTCTCGAGGAGCAATGCTCGATTCAGAGATGGCTCAGACGGATGTGATGAGTGCGCAGGAACATTTAGATCGCTCGGCTACGCCACCACCTGCCTATGAATACAGAGCGCAGCCGGGATCGAGCGCTAGTGCGCCGGATGAAGAAGAGCAAGAGCGAAGACGGAGAACAGACGAGGAAAGGCGAAGAAGGAGAGATGCAAAGACAGCATCTGGCTCTGGTCTCGGTCTGATGAACGATTGAATGATCCCTCACGGTTCTCAATTGGGTGCTAGATTATCTAGATATCGTTATCTGTTCGAAGAGTGTATAATATCCTCAATGATTAAGATACTTGGTAGGCTGCCGACCAGAGGATGTTACCTTCGGCTGGATCCATGATGCAGGCCATGAGCGTCGCGCTGTTTTTGACGGGTGTACGGGTTAACCAGGTGCTGAGCTCCTTGACGGTGACACCAGTGGGACCAGGCCTCTGAAATGTCCGTAGGATATACTGTTCTATCGCATTCACCCGTTTCTGGCTCTCTGCGCGTTCAGTAGCCAGGAATTTGTTGGCTTTGAACAGCATCTCTTCGAACTGAGTCACTGATATACCAGGTGGGAGTTGTGGTAGGTCGAAATGGTTTCCGACCACAATACTCTGATGTTCTTCTGACACGGTGAAGGCAGAGGGCAAGAGGCCGTCGTATTTGATACCAGTCGCAGTGTACCCATCACAGAAGACGGGAAAGATACTGGGAGGATGCCGCAATGCCATCTGCTTGACAGCGTCTGGTAGGCTTGGACATTCCCGTCCAAGGAGGAGCTTGCGAGTGACGATAGTCCACGGATCGTTGAAGAGCCACCGGCTCAACGAGTTCTTTTTGCCAGGGCTAATGGAGTAGACAAGGTTCGAGTTGAGGGATAACGAAAATCCTTTACGAACGCCCGTGGTGAAGCAGACATGGCCGAAGTGATGAATCGCTTTGGCGACTACTTCTCCCTTTCGGGTGTAGTGGGCCTCCATCAGGAGTTCTGGCAATCCAATTCCGCATTCAAGCGTCCGAAAGTGGAGTAGTCTACCAGTTTCGCTTGATGGGACGGTTCCACTTACACACGAGAAGAGCGAGTTGATGAAATGGTTGAACTCGAGGAGCTTGTCAAAAGGGGCCTCCACCAGGTTGGCTATCGCTTTCATCTCGTTATACTGGTCGTCGGAGAAGCAGCGCTGACGCTCGAATGTACGAAGAATGCTGCTATTGCCTCTGAAATAGTACGGAAAATCCCGCACCGTTGTGTATGTGGGACTCATGAGGACCCGTCGGAGCGTGTCTCTACCCCATTTCAAGACTTCATCCCATCTCTCCGTTTGTGGGCGGTCGAGGTCGATAGAGAATTTTGGAGGAGGCGTACCGCTGACCCATTTTGTAATGCGAGGACGCTCGTGGGGATTGGGTGTGGTATGAGTCGGTTGCCAATGAGGAATAGAGCGCATATTTGATGTTTTTTGTCCAGCTTTAAGGGATCTGGATGAGGAATTAGGCTTCTTGGGAAGTACTGTCACTTCCAAGCTCGGGGATTTCGATTTGGGGGATAATTGTGAATCATCATCCGCGCTTGACTTCTTCGGAGACGTTGAATACGTGCGAAACACAGCGAGCGGACCAACCCGGCCTCTCGACAGAATTCTGGATGAAAATTGATGAATAGCAGTTCGCCGAGCAATGTTGAATTTGATACCTGCGGTTGATAAATTCCAAATGGTTGATAAACAGCCTCCTTTCGCACAGGAGCTGCGGGCTGGACCCCTTTAGCATGGTCGGCAGAATCTGAACTTGTTTCGGTGGCAGGATGATGCCGGCCGACATCTTCACCCCCACCACCACCAGATTGCGGACATGCACTCGACCAGTGTAAATAACTCTATCGTTCTCAGACTTCCTCCATATTGAAGGTGATCTTGTCAATGCCCGTAAACTCCTCGGTAATAATTCTCATCATCAACAAGGCCCCAAAAGGCCGTCTTCCCCCATTTCAACTTGCATGTATCCACCTTTACTCTATGCACTGTCCCTGCGTAGTCCACCTCGGTCACAGTAGAGGCTGTTAAGCATTGCGTCAACAAAGCAAGTCTATGAGGAGAAGCATCAAACTCATATCTTGGCACGCATATAATACCCAAATGCCGTCGAGGGTGTTTTCTACAGACTATTATGGCTCCCTTTTTGCCCTTGCTCGCCCTTTTTGCGTCAGTCGCTCATGCCTCCTTCCTCGGGTTGGAACGACGAGCTCCTGCGAACATAACCTGGGAAAGATGCCCCAATACGAATAGCAGCTCTAGGTTGGAGTGCGCTACTGCTCAGTAAATCTGTGAACCATCTTGGATTGTCTTGTGCTAACACAGAGCAGAGTCCCGTTGGATTGGAATGATACAAGCAAAGGAGATATACCCCTCTCACTCATTCGTCTTCCCGCCCAGAACAACACGCGGGAAGGGTACATGTTCTTCAACCCAGGTGGTCCAGGCATTCCTGGAACACATGCGCTTATCGCATACGGGGAATTTTTTCAAGCTAAGCTCGGAGCTGGTTGGGATATTGTCAGCTGGGACACACGTTTGTTCTTGCTCCTCTGTCGAGACGTTTTCGCTCATCCCACGTAGGCGGCCTTTTGCAGTCTGGTCCCAATATTACCGTTTTCGCCAACGACACGGACTATGACGCCTACTGGACACAATATCAAGGGCTCGGAAAGCTCAGTGCACGTGGAAACCTGACTCAGTCCGCAGATGTCGACTTCTTGTATGTGTGCGTGACGCAGCAAAGACAAGTCTAACCGCCAATAGCATGTCTCAAGTGTCAGCCTTCGATAATTTGACAATGACTCTCAATCAGAAAATGGTAGAGAAGAACGGAGACAAGCTCAAATAGTAGGCCAACTTGACATCTACCATCGCAAGCTAAAGGGTTTCCAGCATTGGGACGTGCGCAAATGTGCGAGATCTCGTATACCTCGTCGACTCTATGTACGGAGAGGGCTCAGATGTCAATTTCTGGGGTCTCAGCTACGGTACAGTCATCGGGACATACCTCACCCAAATGTTCCCCGAACGTGTCGGGCGAGTTATTCTGGATGGTGAGTTGATTTCACTCGGCGATGAGTAGTACTAATGCTTCATAAGGCGTCTATGATCCCGAGAAATATGCGAATCTGCCGCCTCTGAAATGGTTCGACATCGATCCATTGACCCGGGACAAAGCTCTGTTGATGTGGGCTCAGGCTTGTGCTGCCGGTCAAAATTGTACGGCATCCCAGGCCATGCCAAATGCGACAGCAGAGGCACTGTTGGCACAGATTGAGGTTGTCCTCGATACGGCCCATAGGAATTACAACGGCTTTGCATGGACGGACGCATCACAGAAAAACGAGACCGCGTTGATGGATCCTAACAGTTACTCTTGGGAAATAATCGCCGCGAGTATTTTTAGTGCTCTTTATGACCCCGTCTCATGGGGAGCCATTGCGGACGGACTCCCCCAGATTGCAGCACTTCAGCAAAATCGGACGGCAAAGGCAAAGTTTACCGGCTTTCCGCTTCTATCCGCACCCCGGTATGGTGAGGTTAGCGAGGATAGATTGGATATGGTCACGATTGCGATCTACTGTAGTGATACCGTCGATCCAGCAGGCGAAACTACAGAGGATCTCTTCAAGGCGTATGTCCACGCCTCTCAAAACATCTCAACACTTGCTGGGGCAGTTATCAGCGCGAACATGCGGAGTCATTGCCATAGGTATACGTCCAGAGCTGTCGAAAGACTGCCGCAGAAGATGAACAAGAAACCGAAGAATGTCGTATTAGTCATTGGAAACTCTGGTGATCACATCACACCTTTCCAAAGCGCTCGTCGACTTGCTTCGTCAGAGTTCCTTGGTGCCCAAGCTCGGCTTTTGCAATTCAATGCACCCGGTCATGGATCTCGTGAGTCGATTACTCCATTCCTTGGTTGTGTACTGACGGATGATTGCAGACATCTTCGGTTGGTAATTCAGATTCGTGTACCCTTTTACTGACCGAGCTTAGCCTCGACTTGTGCTGACGACGTTGTTCGCAAATTTATTCGAGGGACACCGCCAGCGGACTCTGGAAACGACGAAGCCGACGTTATTTGCGACGTAGACATAACACCATACGGACCCGTTCCAGAGGCTTGGAAGGATCGAAGCGACGACACCCAAACTGACGATGCAATGCGGCTCTTGGCCCAACGCTTCTATTATTACCTTCTCCTACTCCCTCTCCTCATTTTTATTTGATAGTCCACTCTCACTGTTTAAGGACGTGGTTTGGGTGCTGAAGTAACTGTTTCGACTATTGGTTCGACGTCGAAGTCAAGTACTTTACAACAATTATCTTTGCAGACTCGTTCAGTCGATGAACTATGAAACCAAGAGAGCAGAAAGGGATCATTAAACGTTTCAAGCATCATCCACGATTGCCACGCCGCCAGAACTCTTGACGGCGATGGTCTCGAGATTCGTCGATGCGCGGACTGGGTAGGGCGCCTCGAAGACGGCCTCGAGCTCTTCGAGGGTACGACCAACAGTCTCGACGCAAAGGAAGTACCAAATAATGGACTCGATAACGTCCCATCCGACGAAGATCTTGGGGATAAAAGTAAGAAAGGAGACCGTAATAGCAATAACGAAGGACGTACGAAGACGTAGTTGTACTTGATGTTCTTGAGGGCAATGGGTCCAGCGTACAGGTTGATGAACGAGAAGACGCTGACGACGACACCGTACATGGCCATACCCTTTGCTCGGGTCTCCGTGGCAAGGCACTCGACAGGGTACAATGCCTGAAGAGGTGTGTAGGTAAACGAGTAGATGATGCTAAGGTTTCGTCAGAATTTGAGCGCTTCGGTATCAGGCAAACCTACTTGAAGAAGAAGTAGGCGGCCAAAGCTCCCTGGCCGACCTTGAGGTCTGTGATACCAGCAGAGGCATTCGAGTTCCACTTGGCGCTCAATCCACCGTTGATGGCCAACATGATGGCGCAGACAAAAGTACCGATCACGAGGACCTTGCGGCGAGGCATCCTGTCGGCGAGCGACACACCAGTGAGAGCGCCAATAGCCGACGTGATAGAGTTGACCAAGTTCAAGATGAACTGCATGTTGGAGTCATAACCAATCGACTCGTAGATGTTGAGGTTGAAGTAGCCGAGACCGTTTCCGGAGAATTGACCGAAGACACCCATCAAGACGACCATCCTAGATGTTGTTTCAGCATTTTATCAAAAGCAAGGAAGATAGGACTCACAAGAAACGCCAGCGAGCGGCATGGGTCTTGACAAGCTCGGAGTAGTCCCACCAGCGCTTGTCGGAGGCGTCCAGCTTGATCGAATCCTTGAATTCTTGCCACTCGAGCTCGACAACTGGGTTATTTTCGACACCATTTCCGTGATACTTGGTCAAGAACGCCTTGGCTTCAGCATCGCGTCCGTTGGCAAGGAGCCAACGAGGCGACTCTGGAAGGAGGAAGACGGTGAGGGCGACAGCACCAGCAGGAACGCATTGGAAGATGAGTGGAAGGCGCCACGACATGTCGCTCTTGATCTTTGCGGTTCCGAGGGTGATTGCGGCAGCGGGGATACTTCCACCGAACCAACCGCAGTTGTAAAAGGCAGCAAATCGACCACGCCACTGAGGAGGAGCCACTTCAATGGTATAGGATGGAGCAGCGCAAGTCTAGGACGATCGCAGGCGGGAAACTGTCAGTCGCGTTGAAGAAGAAAAGGGTCAGCGGCACATACCATGATCGAAACACCAAAACCGAGGATAAAGCGTCCAGCAATGAACTGGTTTGCGTGGTTGGCGCTGGCGATGACTGCAGAGCCACTACCGGAATTGTGAGCCGGGGACATATTGAGCGTCGGACCGGAGAACTTACAGGCAGATAACAAGACCTCCAGCGAACATACCACCACGACGACCGAATTTATCAGTAATGGGACCCGCAAACCATGGACCGATCTATTCTACGGTTCAGTGGGAGGACGAGTGGGGATTCCGCAGTACGTACGATACCACCGACAGTGTCTGGAAAAAGGTTCGATCAGATCTAAATGGATTGAAAAGGGTGTGGACCGACGTACAAATGGAGAAGATGATGGAAGTTCCTTCGCCGAGGCCGTTGCCATTGACGAAGCGGTTCTTATAGTAATCCATGCCGTTGATTGCCGTCCTGGACGTGTAGTTCAGCGTCCATGATCGCAAACCGTGGATTCTTTAGACTTACATCAAAGAGCCATCATAACCGTTTGCGCAAGAGCACAAAAAGGCGACAAAGCAGCAAACGTAAAGGATGATGGATTCCTTGGACCATGGGTTCAAAGCACCGGCAGCAGTGGCAGCGGCCAAGGTGGCATTGTGAACCTTTTTCGTCGACGCGTCGTGGAGCTCGTTGCCGCGGACGTGCTCTACATGGCGGGACTACAACTTGGACTCAGCCAAGGACGGGTGGACACAGAAACAAGGATACATACGCCTGGAGCAACCTTTTCAGACTCGTGCTTCTCGATGGAAGAATGGGACATCGTGTCGCTGCGGGGAGGAGGAGCGAAAGGACGTGCAGAAACCGATAAGCGGGTGAGTTGGACTTTTTATAACCGCTTCTGACGATTAGACAAGGCACGACGGATATCTGCAGAGAAGGGCGGCGAGGAATCGCCGTGACCAGCGGTGAAATCTGAACAGAAAGTGGTCAGGAGCCCTGTAGACTCTGGAAATGAGCGGCGAAATCAGAGGTCGAAGGAAGCTGTCCTTCCGAGGACGGGCCAGTCGGCTGCCGTGGCGGCTCTCGTCGTTTCCCCGAGAAACGACCTCGTGCCGGCACGAGCGGGTTCGAATCCAAATGGACAGCACAAATCACTGAACACAACCTCTTCATTTTCAGATCACGACTGAGCGAGGCCAAGCGGGCCAGCCCGACTACTTAAGTGTGGTTCCTCAACCATCTTGCACCCAGCAGCATCAGTGGCAATGGCAACTTCTGCAGAGGGCGAGAAATCAGCGATCGTACTCAATTTAGACAAAGGATGGTCATTTACACAGCTCACCGGTCATGACCGCAATCAACCCTCTAACAAGGGCACTGAACCTGGCGAATGGCTGCCAGTCGACGTTCCCACCGGCGTACATGATGAGCTCCTCAAGCTCTCCAGAATTCCGGATCCATTCGTTGGTATGTCGATATCGCTCTATCTGCGCCGATCGCTCTATCCATCATTCCTATATCTCTATTCGACACCCCTACGTCTCATATACGACTCATATCCGCTTCATTTCTCAGAGATCTCCGTGCTTACATCCTAATAGGCCTTAATGAACATCTTATTCAGTGGATTGGAGAGGAGTCTTGGGCGTTCCAGACCAAATTCTCCATTCCTACCTCAGCTCATAGACTTTCCCATATCGATATTGTATTCGAGGGACTAGATACGTATGCGACTGTATCGGTTGACGGAAGAACCATCCTCGAGTGCGTCGGCTGGCCGGCTTTGGATCCTCGGGGTAATACTGATCGGTTATCAGGTCGAACAATATGTTTGTTCCTTACAGAGTGCCCCTCAAGGAGGCGTTGGGTTCCTCCGACTGCGAGACTGAGCACTCGCTCCTGATAGAGTTCAGCTCAACTTTTGTAAAGGGACGTGCTCTTCAGCGGGAAAATGCCGACAAGACAGCCGTGGCCTTGCGCGGGGGAGGAGCCACAGGAGGAGCTGGTGTAATGCAAGGCGCATCAAACCAAATTCCTGGGCCTAATGGCGAACTTGCACTATGGAATGGTGATTCATCTCGACTGCATGTAAGCTCGGTGCCGCCTAGTAGGAAACATACCCCTTAAAATTTTGATCCTCCAACAGGTACGCAAGGCCCAGTATGCTTACGGTTGGGATTGGGGACCAGTAGTACTAGCCGTCGGTCCATGGAAGCCCATACGCGTGGAAGCGTACGACACGCGGATAGCAGAAATGAGGACCGAGGTCGATATTAGCGGCGATTTGTCAGCCGCGATCGTTGCAGTCCATGCATTAATCGAAGGAGGGGCTCCCAAAGAGCTCACTGCCACGCTGATATTAGCGGAAAGTGGATCCACGGAAGCCGGACGCACGACAGTACACATTCCGGCAGGTGTGACCCTTGTGGACGCCAAAGTTGCTATTCAGAGCCCAAAACTATGGTATCCAGTTGGACAGGGTCAACAACCACTTTATGAGGCATCACTCGTAATCTCGGACGGACAATGCGAGCTGGCCAAGGCGTCGAAACGAATTGGACTTCGCAAGGTCCGAGTCGTACAGAAACCCCTCGACGGAGAAAATGAGGGTGCATCTTTCTATTTCGAAGTCAATGGGAAAGGCATTTTTGCAGGAGGTGGGGGAGTCTAGTTGCTTTCGTGACCCACTCGTGACCCTTCGCTAGGCTCCAACTGGATCCCAGCAGACTCCTTCCTTACCACGTACGTTCTCCTTTCTCCTTTACAAGTTTATCCTGACATTTCACAGAATCTCTCCAGAGCGATATCGAGCATGGCTTCAGCTCCTCGTGGACGGCAACCAGAATATGGTCAGAATCTGGGGAGGTGGCATCTACGAGCATGATGCATTCTACGACATATGCGATGGCAAGCGTGTGCACCATCTGCCGAGGAGGGCGCTGACCTCGTTGTAGAACTCGGCATTTTGGTCTGGCAGGACTTTATGTTTGGTTGTGGACAGGTAGGTTTACATTGATCCATCTCCATATGCTAATACCTCGAAGTATCCCGCGTACGACGAGTTCCTGTCTCGTGTCTCAGCAGAGGTCGATGCAAATGTGAAGCGTCTCCGTCACCATCCATCCATCGTTATCTGGGGTGTGTGAGAGAAATATTCTAGTGGAATCACAGGCTCACTTTAATTTCTAGCTGGGAACAACGAGGACTATGCACTCGCCGAGTCCATACCTCTCGAATTGGACTACTCGGTCGAATACCCAGACGTAGACTTTCGAAAGACATCCTTTCCAGCACGATATATATACGAGGTTCTTCTACCAGACGCAATCTCAAGACTTGCACCAGATGTGTATTACCACCGGGGCTCGCCCTATAGTGGATCTGGCAAACGCAGCGACGATAAGAAGCACGGGGACATTCACCAGTGGAACGTTTGGCACGTAAGTACCCATTCTAAAGTCGGCAGGCTCGTGCTCGCAGCGACCAATCGCCGAGGTTCCGCATTCTCTCCCAGGCCAAGTAGTCTCTCCGAGACTATAACCGATTAGCATTGCGTACTGAAGTTCTCCCTAGGGCTCGCAAGAACCATGGCACAACTGGGATGTCCTCGCTGGACGCTTCATCTCCGAGTTTGGAATGTCAGTCGACCATTCACCGTTTGCTCGCTATGCGCTGAAACCTTTGTCCTTAGGCAAGGGTATCCAGACATTCGCACCGTCGACTACTGGATTGGAGACGACAAATCGGAGCGATACCCGCAATCGCGGTACGTTAAAACCATCGACTCTGACGAATCGGATTTCTAAGAGTCCTGCAGAACGATGAACAGCCACAACAAGGCAGACGGCTTCGAACGCCGACTCGAGGTATGCATCCCGATTGGTCCCACTTTCATGGCTAGAAAGTTTCATAGCTCTACCTGATGGAAAACTTCAAACATGCGTTTGACATCGAGTCCTATGTCTATTACACGCAAATTATGCAGGCAGAATGCTTGGCTGCTGCTTACAGATTATGGCGCCGCGAGTGGCGAGGACCTAACAAGGAATATGTCGGCGGTGCATTGGTTTGGCAGGCAAGTCTGAGGTTTCTATCAATTAGCTGACTCTCATGTTGTCCTTTAGCTCAACGATTGTTGGCCAGTCACGTCGTGGGCAATTGCAGACTACTTTTTGCGTCCCAAGCCGGCATACTTTACGATTGCACGCGAACTCGCGCCATATACGGTCGGCATGACGCGCAAAGCCGTAAAGACGTTTGCATCAAAGGACACGCTCGCATTCTTCACCATCTCATCCCACCTCGAGATATGGGGTACAAATTCTCAATCTCAGAGCAAGACCGTGTGTCTCGAAGTGCACGCGTATGATGTGGAAGCTGGAAGGGCTATCGATGTGACCGTAGAAGGTTTCACCGGTGGGAAAAAAGAGGTCGTGCTCGCCCCAAATGCGTCGACCCAACTCTGGAAAGGCCAGACGCCTGGTGTGGAAGACGTGCATGTCGAGGGTATGAGGAGCAAACCAATTGTGATTCAAGCGCGTCTCGTGGACGTGGACACTGGCGTCGTCTTGGCACGGTACTCGAATTGGTACGTCGGAGTAGACAATTACAACAAGCCAATACTGAATGGTATACAGGCCAGAACCATTCAAATACATCCACTTCCCAACAAAGGAACAAGTAAATCTCCAGATTGTGCCAAGCACGACTGGTGCAGTGGCCGACGGATCCCTGACTTCGACGTCCTTGACGATTACGGCTGACCGACCAGTCAAGGGGCTGGTACTTGATGTTGATGGAGAGTGGGCAAAGTTTTCCGACCAGGCCATCGACCTGTTCCCCGGAGATCCGCAGGTCGTTGGCGTCGTCGGACTGGATGGAAGAACAGTGAAAGTGAGATACCTCGGAGATGGTACCGCATGAGGTAGAGGGTGCAATAAATCACGTTGAAGCTACTGGCGGTACTTGATCTCCAAACCTCCAAGGACAATCTCTGGTGGCTCGTCTTCAGACGGGGGTCGCGGGAGAGCAATTGTAAAGGCAACACAAGCTATCCCTATGCTTGGTTTACGCGCATTCTCCTTGGGTGAATTTTGCTTTTGCTCCTCTACGCTCAACGGCTATAAATATGTGAGATGCGTAAGCAACTCAAAGCCGACTACGCACAAGGTAACGCTCCAAATTCTTCGAATCCAATCCCTTTTCCGTATGAGAAGTAAGATATGCCGTATCAAACGTCGGAGGACAATTGAGCGCCTTTTCGCGTTCTGCCCGTAGTCGCTCTCGTTCCCGCAGGGCTGCTTGATAGAGTGGATCACGAAGAAGGCGTGCCTGCCGTTGCATATGGCATAGGCAGACGGCACATAAAACGATTGCAGCGAATACGAAGAACGAGATTAGGGCCGCAATTACAGGAACGAGCCGTACATCGAGACCAAATAACAAGAGGGAACTGGAATCATTGGATGGAGAAGATGCGGATGTGGACATGACGAGGATACGCTAGAAATCGGGCGTGAGTACCGGTCGGTGGCGCTACAAGGATGGACCGTACGGCGTTATAAATCCGTATACCGGTCCGAGTGCATTCCCAAAAGGACTTTGGAACGCTGTACGGCTTGCCGCCGTTTGTCTAGAGCAGGTCGGTCGTGGGCGGGTCCAAGATCCAGATCTCCCTAGGTATCCTACGAGCACGGGCAATGATGACGACGGGCGATTCGGAGACGAGAAATGGAGACTATCGGAACCTTGTTACCCGGTCGGGTGATTCCTTCAGCAGCCATCGAATTGTCTCCCCGGATTTACTCCTCAGTGGCAGGCTCGCCGTCAAACAAGGGAAATTGGTAGCAAGATGAATGTATAATAGCGTCGGAAAGAAGAGAGTACACTCGTAGGAACTCTAATCGAACAAACCGAAGCCCTAGGAAACAGCGCATGAGGTTGGGGCAGCAGTGGAATGTAAATTTGACATACCATGTCGTCGTCCGACTCTTCCTTCTCCTCCTTCTTCTCCTCGGCCTTTTCTTCTGGTGCAGCAGCGGCCCCTCCACCAGCGGCAGCAGCCGGGGCAGCACCACCGCCAACAGCAGGTCCTCCACCACCCGATCCAACGTTTGAGAGCAATTCCTTGACGTCCTTGCCCTCCAATGCCTTTGCGAGGAGTGTGGCCCAGATTGGCTCGAGTTCAACGTCGGCAGCGTTTGTTAGTGCCAAAATCTTCTCAGACTGTAGGTTTGAAGAGTATAAAATGTCAACAAAGGATTGTAGATGGCTTTGATGAACGCGTACTGTGATTTCTACATTGTCATCGGCGAGGATGAGGGCGGCATATGTGGCAGCGAGCTCCGCGTTGGCCTGAAAGCGTATAACGAGTCAGATATACGAATTTTGGTGCATTTGAGGCTGAATTTGTACCATTTTTGAGTGGATGCGGGAGGAAATGTGTTTAAGGTTGGTTTACTCCAGCCTCAGCAGGCCTCCTCCCGCCTTCTCGCTAGGGATCGCATAGGGCCACGCTGGATTTGAAAAGAAATACAAGAAATGACTGAATAAGCGACAATCCCCAGCTTGGGCCCGTTTCTGGAAGCGGCTCCTGGTCGGCTGAAGAGTATATCCTGGTCACATTGGGCTGTTACGGAAGTTATTTAGACCACAAAAGTCAAATATAACTGCGATTGGCCGCCTCAAGTGGCTCAACCGAGGGGTCGCGGGTGTGTCCATAGGTTGGACCCGACTCCAGCCCATCCTTGCAAGTATCAGCGAGCTCTTCACGTTTACAGGCTCATCTTCTCGCTGGGGAACATCCAACTCTGCCGAATTCGTCTCCGGGAGTCGATTATCTCATTGCCCAGCGTATAACCCCACGTCCGTTGCAACGCGCGGTCTCCACAAGTTTTATAACGAAATCCACCGTCTTGCCCCTCTCTCACAATGTCTCAATCTGGATCCGGCGACCTTATGCGCAAGCGCAAGATTTGCGTCCTCGGGAGTAGAGCAGTTGGTCAGTGCATCGCGCTGGTTGACAGTCAGCAAACGAGATGCTTACTCTCTGGAATCTATCAGGTAAATCATCGCTCATTGTCAAGTTTGTCGAGGACCACTTTATCGAGCCCTACTATCCGACCATCGAGCAACCATATTTCAAGCAGGTGCCCTTCAAGGGTGTCGAATACGACGTGTCGATAATCGACACTGCCGGCCAGGATGAATACTCGCTCCTCTCACCCAAACATGCCGTCGGAGTCCATGGATACATCCTCGTATACTCGGTCACTAACCGCCAGAGTTTTGAGATGGTCCGCATCATCTACGAGAAGCTCAAGGCGTTCCAGGTCTGTCATCCCTACGGCAAATTTGCGCCATGCATCCCTGCTGAACTGCCCTGAAGGACATTTCGCATTTACCCGCCGTGGTCGTCGGGCAAAAGAGTGACCTTGTCGAGAAGGAGTGAGTGGCACCCAATCCAGATCCTGCCTGCTCACACTCACCCACCGAACCCACAGTGGACAACGGCGTGAGGTACCGGCCGAGGAGGCGGAGAAACTCGCCAAAGAGCGCAGTCTTCGGTGGATCGAGACCTCTGCAAAGTGCAACGCAAACGTGGCGCGTGTATTCGACATGTGCTTGGAGGAGATTGAGAAATCCATGCATCCAACCGACGGGACCGCTGCCGCCGCCGGCACGGACACCACAACAAAGAACAAGGACAACTGCGTCGCAATGTGAAGTGCTCACATTTCTTCGTCGCTAGTGTCCTCTGTCTCTCTTCTCGTTTCGTGTTGTTTTTTTTTGCCTGGAGAGCCACCATGGAAAGGCACCCGCCGGGTTGAAACACACCCCAGGTTTCTCCGTCGGCTTTCTCTCCACGCTTCTCTCATCCCTGCTCTGTTGAATGCATAATTACCGACAGCAAGCGCGAGCCAATTACAACAAACGTGTCGGGGTGTCCGCCCGATCTCTTCGTGCCATGATTTATTTCCATGGGTATTCTCTCTGGGATTGTGCTCCATTATCTGTGATTTTGCCAGGTCTCTCCATCCTACTCTGACCCATCCCGCGCCTATCTCGCTCGCGGACCATTGATCGATGTCCTTCTCTACCATCCTATCCCCTAGTTGAACAAGGACCCTAGACTCGCAATTGTCGCACGACCTTTTCCGTCTAGAGAGCCATACCTCTTTCTCCTATTTACTTTCTATAGAGCAAACACCGTGCGCAATTGTAAACCTCTTTCCGATATCGATTCCGACCATCTCAGTCCCAGTGGCACCCGGGTTCCCAGCCACCCGCCTCTATCTCGTGTACCCTCTACCCTTCAATTGCGGGTGAACGCCGACACGAATAGCGCAATTGAGACCGAATCACCAAACCAAATTGAGTTTCAGGTGGCGCTGTATTGTAAATTTCCTTGCCTCAAGGTCCGGACATGACCGCTCACATGTGTCCCAAAGGCTTACGTTTGTTTACGGAGGACGGGACGGATACACGGTGCAGATTCCGGCTACAAAGCGCGAGATCTGCGCACATGACGAGAGAAGTCTCTAATCGAACAGACCAAAGCCCTGCAACAAGGGTCAGCCATGTGTCGGTCAGACGAGAACCGGCGCGGGTACCGACCATGTCCTCATCTTCCGATTCTTCCTTCTCTGCTTCCTTTTCCTCTGCAGCAGCGGCAGGGGCGGCAGAAGTGGTCTCGGCAGCGGGCGCTGCGGCGGCGGCAAACGCCTCGGGATTGGCGAGGTATTCCTTGATCTGCAGTGAATGTTAGTAGCTATTCGTCAGAATAGGGTAAGGTAGATGGATCAGATAAACGAAAAGTTCGTCGCAGTCTCGTAAGACTTGGAATTTTCAGTGTATAAATGGTTGACATCTTGCGACGAGCTTGAAATGGGAGAATGTTTCTCGTTGGACGTACCTTGTCAGCAGCAGGGAACGAATAGTCGGTCTCAATTGCGATGGCCAACAGGTTCTTATATGCGTTGACGAGCGAGTGCGAGACGGAAACAATGGTCGGGTACGAGAGCGCGAGCGAGATGCACGCAATCGTCTTGATACCGGTCATGAACCTATCAATCAACTCGCTCTCCTCGATATCGAGCACGTGTGGCGGGAAGACGGTGCCGTTGTCGTAGATCATGGACACGGTCATACCGTACGTGAACGGCGAAATGTTGAGCATGTTGAGCAATGTCGCCTCAGACGGTCCGACCTTGTTTCCCTTTACGACGACCTTGATGTCCGACACGATTTCAATGGTACCACGAGCAATCTTGGTCGGGATCTGGAGAGCCTGGAAGAAGGACGTCTTGCCGGGTTCCATACCAGTGTTTCCGGCTGGAACGACGACATCTACAGGAGCAACGGCACCAGCACGAGCGGGGGCCTTGACCTTGTTGGCGACGATGATCTCGCGCACGTCCTTGAGGTCACCAGACGTGAACACGAAGCCAATGTTACCCTTGACGTTGGGGAGCAGACGCTCGAATTGAGGGCTCTCCGTAAGGATGTTACGGAGCGCACGGCGCACCATGGTGTTCTTGCCCATGAGCACGACACCCTTTCCGCGGAGAGCGGTACGGATCTGATGCATCTGGTTCGAACCGACGTTGTCTACATTGACGATGAAGATGGAAGCTGCGAGGGCGTCAAAACACTATGCGGTGGCACGTCTCGACGACTTACGATACTTGACGAGGAGCTCCTTGAGCTTGGTAAAGTAGAGCTCCTTTTGCGCACGAGTAGCACCCATTTTAGTTATCTACGTCTGATAAGCTTGAGTTCGGATTCATTCTAAATGTTACTGACATCAAGCTCTGTTGGTAAATGAGCGCAAGGTCAAAAAGGAATGAGATCAGACGTACAATAGCTACAGAGGTGATTTTATGTTGTTGGATATCAGTGAGAGCCTCCCAATTGACCTCTGCTCCAGCGGAGCCATATCAGCAAGGCGGCGTCTGCTTCAAAGCATTCAAGCATACCAGATGGAATCAAAAGGAGTTTAAAGGCGTCCCACGAGCTGCAAAGGTTGTCAAAATTTTTGTCTAGATCGACGAGTTGCTGCCTACTTGGAGATTGCAAGGCCCAAGAGTAGACTGAATTGGCCAAACGGTTGGACTCGACCAAACAGTACCAAGCGCGGTCGAGTTGCCCCCTAGGCGCCTCAATTAACACGATTTCTAAGCATTTCAATATTCTATAAGGTGTACTATGGCTATATGACTATATCTCTACAGTGCAAGAGAACGAATGATATTCGGAGCCAAGAAATACGCTCACATGGAGGATATACATCCTTACATGAATGCAGCAAAGAGCAAGGTAACCGTAAGGACAATGCAGCTTCCAAGTAACTTGCGCGACTCGGAGAACTCTGGTCCTCCATCGGAGGATGTGGTAGTAACCGTGACTGTCTCAGCAGTGGCAACATACGTCGTGCGAGGAATTTGCCTAACGAGTTCAGGAATCAGTTGACCTCTTATCTGGCGCAACTATGAAACAAAGGCCTGAGAGACTCACCCAGTCGAACCGCTCGTGCTTCCACCGAACGTTGCACCCATGTTTGCTACGGTCGTAGGAGATGAACCAGAGCCAGAGCCAGAGCCAGATCCAGATCCAGCGACGATGCGAAACTGGCTACTCTGCGCGTAGATTGTGTTCACGTCGTTGGCAGACTTGATCAAGTTTACGCGAAAGCCACTTCCCATGGGAAACTGGGTTCCAGAGGCTGGGAGTACAGCTATGGATCCGCTCGTGCCGTCGACGTCGGTGGCGAGAATGAGGTTGTTTGTGGGGAGAACTGCACGATCCTACAGATGCGTTAGGTCACATTTTTGCTTCTAATATGCTTGAAGATGAACAGGGGTACAGAGACCAGGTAGAAGTCTCTAAATAGCAAGTGACATACCTCGTTGACGAGAACAACAACAAATGTCTCAGGATCAGTAGAGACACGGTCCCAGGCAATCCTGTTAGGTCCCGTAGTCGTCCAGCTTGTGCCCGTGACTTGATCGCGGTCAGAAGGTGTCGTGACGAGGTAAGCGTGCGTCCCAAGGAGCGAGAATGCAAGGAAAAGATTGTAAACAGTGTATTTGAACATAATGGTGTGATTTGGCAGACGCGTATTAGGAAGGGATGAACAAGTTGGGTACGAAGAATGATCCATTGCGCCACAGCGACAAAAGTCTCACAAGACACGCAGGACAAGTTGCAGGAAAACGCGTCCATGGTACTGTTATACGCGTGATTATATATGACACAGAGTCTGGATCAATGTGCTACAGGGAACGTGGAAACGTATGAGAAACGAGACACGCTACTGATCAGACAAGCAGAAGAATGCATAGCTAGATCACCAGAGGAGACTAAAGACTAGTGAAAAGAAATAATGCCCAGACAGAGGAGTACGAATGGCGTTAATAGCGAATAGGATAGGAGTCAAAGGTGGAAGGGAACATATGGAAGAATAAAAGGCCACGACATAAAAATAGTCAAAGGCTCGGAGTGAAGTCGAATGGAGTGATACCACTGCAACGCTCGAACGGGGCGAGGCGAACGTGATGGGACCCATAATTGTACACAAACAGAGTCTCGAGGGGGTTTACAATAACAATTAGACGAGGACTCGCGTTCAGTGGGACCGATTAGCGGAGAAACGTATCAGAGGTCGGGGGGTATCGATTATAAACCGGGAATGCTGAAGTCGATGCAAGTTGCTTTTGGTCGTCCCAAGTACCGGCAAGGGAGCGAGGCAGCGAAGAGATTATATGTTGATTTCGATACTTTGGAAATTCTCGAGGTCGTCGGGACTAGGAAGAGGTCAGCAATGAGAAAAGGCTAGGTCGTCAAATCCACTCACGGGAAGGGTTTGATCGGGCGAGTTCCTTCCAACCACGGATGATCGACAAGATCACGGGCGTTGGCTCGTTTATAGGGTTCGAATGCGAGCATTGGTATCAGGAAGTCGGCGAGGCCTTTTGCCTCGGACGTTTCGAGATGATACCGCTCCTCCAACAGCGACTGCAGCGAGTAGTATCTTAATCTCCTATCCGCGTCACCTATTTCCATGTTACTATATTGCAAAGGTGCAGGAGAAAGAGCATACCGTTTGGTGTAAAGATTTTACCGCTCATCCGACCACCCATAGCCCAACGACGATCGTAAAACGGATTGGTAAGTTCCAGAATTTGATAAATGTGATCCTTGTCTCGATTTGCCGAATCCTCTGGAGGATCGAACAAGAAATCGCCGGTCACGAGCTCGAAAATGATGCAAGCAATGCTCCAGACGTCCACCTTGCGGTCCCAATCTCGTCTCCCAAGAATGACTTCGGGTGCACGATATTGACGCGTTTGTATGCGGCCCACATAAGACTCTGAAATGGGCTGCGCGTTACCAAAGTCGACAATCTTGATGTTGAGTTCTGGGAGAACTTTTCGAGGAGGCGGGGTAGGCTGCGCAGGGTCGGTGGCTTCGGCTGACTGCTCGTGTACGGCTGAATCGTTGACCGCGGCTTCCGGCAAAGCCGTCTGCGAGGGGATCGGGGGGAGTGGATCACGTGTCGGTGGTGAGCGAGCAAATGGCCATGATGGGAACGATAGCGAACTAAAGCTGCTGCTGAGTCGCCGTGAAAAGCTCGCAAACGTCGATGTGATCGGGCTCGAGGGTGACACGGCCGCTGTAGGGACAGCTATGGCCACACTCTTGGGAATCATCGTCGGCTGTGTGCCCGTCTGCTGATGACTATCTGCCGTATGGTTATCGATGGAGGAGCGTACGGCATCAGAGGATGACATGATGCTGCTACTTGCAACCGAGGCCGTGGCATGTTTTGCTACGCGCAGCTTTCTATCACCTCCATTAGAACTTCCACTGCTGTCACTACGACCGCTGCTCGATGGATCCGAGTCATTTTCGTCATAGGACGTGCGCGGTGTGGTGAGGCGATAGATGGGCGTGGGGATCGGTTGCGAGTCGTAAATCTCCACGACTTGAGTGTTGGAATCTGATGGGGATGTTCCGACGATCGATGGTTTATCGTTGGCGGCAGGAGCTCGCATGCTAGACTGGGTTGTTTCAACCAGGCTGGAGGATGGCGTGGTGATCTCCAAATCCCTATGAATGATTCGTTCAATGTCTGGGAGTGCAATGACGATGTTCTCGGGCTAAGGCTATTTCAGAGATTGGGCAGTCGAGAAGACGATCGGGCATACCTTGAGATCTGTATGTATGTAACGGCAGAAATCGTGCAGATACGCGGTACCGGCCAGCATCTGCTTGGCAAACTCTTTGACGAGTTGTAGTGGGAGGCCGTTTGATGGACCTGGAATTGCACCTGCGTTTGCCTCCCTGACGTTCTTGATGTGCGCCTCGAGGAAGGTGAGGAGATTCGGACCGAGAATCTCAAACACTAGGCAGGCGTGCTCCGCGCGACTGTTTCGTTGATGTGCAGGCACGCAAAAGGTGTCAACGAGTCGCACGATGTTGCTCTGACTGTGACCATGCCACATGACCTCTTTGAGAATCTTTATTTCGGCTTCCGCAGTCTCCCTTGTATCCCTGTCGGAGCGGCAGATTTTGAGCGCTACATGGACGTTTCGCCTAAGAAAACATGAGCCTGTCAGCGGATAATCGATGGGAATGACAGAATTGCGGGAATACGGCGCGGAATCGATTGGTCGGGGAATGGGAGGCGGTAAAGGGCAGTTACTCCGGATAGCAGAGAGATGACTTACAGCGTGTCTTCAGCAAGCCAGACGGTGGAGAATACACCCCATCTAGATAGCAGACAAACCAAGTGTCAGCAATCGACTGAGACGAGGAGGCTAACAAAAAGACGGGGCCATCTGGTTATGGCCGTCGCAAGCCATGATACCAACGACGGAGACGCACCCTAGCTTTCTTTTGACAAGATAACGACCTTGAGGGCCCAGCTTGTCGCCGAGTGCGACGCGGAGGTAGCCTCCTTTGACAATGTAGTCATTTGGACACTCCTCCTCCATAGCACCAGATGATTTGAGCGTTCTACAACGCTATTTGTGGTAGTGTTACAGGTATTATCGGCGTCGTCGCTGTCTACCGCGACGCCGCGGCCGTGGTTTCAAAGGGGGTTGGGTCCAACGTTGGAAGCGGCCGTTGCGCGCTTGAGCCCATTAAGCGTTTCTCGCGACGGCTGTCAGCTGAATTGCATCATTATCAATGCGGAGCCTAGTTTCCTTACAGTTTGGCTGCTTATCTCCAACTCTCCGCGTTGACGATTTCGCGTCGCAGAGTTGTGTTATGGAGTGTGAATGGGCCAAGTAAAGCGTCATCAATTTGCTAGTAATCGCTAGCAATCAGTTTCAAGCTCGGAGACGCGGCCGTGACACAACGCCTCAGTCGGCCTTATCTGCCTGTCCAGACGAGCCAGCAATATCCTGACAATCTCTACGATATTCCGCAAGCTTTCTATGCATCCTCAGCGTCTCCCATGCTCCGTGGAACGCCCCTACTTGATCTGGACGGAGCTGTCAGCTCCTAAACCCATTCGACTGGCTTTCGACAATTCTATCAGGAATTTGCCTTGAGGCCAGACACGCTGTGGCTAAGCGCTTGTGTCAGAAACCACTCCCCGTTAGGGGTTCCTCTCCCAGTCTCCTGCGGACCCACAGATTCATATCTAGATTTCACCCAGCCCATTCAAATCACCCCCGTTATGGCTTGGTATCAACCCTTCTCCCCGGTCGTGGTTCACCAAGAATAATTGGCCTGTCCTACGCCAACCCAACCGCCACCCAGCGTATGCTCTAGTATCCACTGCCTATCATATATTCATCAGAAGGCCGATCAGTCGATTATTAGGGCAGCAAGGCGCTGAGCCACTCGACAATTGGTTTCCATTCGGCGAGTTCCGTCTGCAGTGGGCGCATCCCTCTTCCACCTCTTCCTCATAAATCTCTCACCATTTCATCAGCTTTGACGACATTGATGGCCGTGAAAAATATCGCCTGAACCTATCAAGGGTCATCACAGACGTCCACCAGGTTTCCAGGATTTACGGCACCTTGCTCTCATGGGACCAGCTACACGCTAGCGTCACGCAACGGATCATACCGACCCTTCAGGTCTCCGCCCTGGGTACGCGGAGCACCGGCCGCTGCCCGCTACCCGGGGAGATGGCGCGTCGCTAGCGAGACCAAAGTCACCAATCTTGGGAAATGTAAACTGTTGAACTCTTCAGAGTGCGCATCAATGAAGCCACGATCGCCCCCCCCCTGGCTACATACACCCGTGACTGGCGCTTCGTAGCTGACCACGACCGGCAATGGTCCGTTCATCGGCTGTTTCCGTACCATTCAATACTGAAAGTTTGTCCATGTTTAGCCAAAGGTAAAATCGTTGCGCGCAAAAGCGGCAAAGCACCAACCAGCTGCAAAATCGTCCAAGGTAGCAGAAAATGAGGCAAATGTCGGATAAAAACCTGGATAGTCTGCATCATCTGACCATATCCGTAGGATGAAATTGTAGATGAAGGACCATCGTTTGCTCCCGGGGCTTTGAGCAAAAAGGAAAAGAGACTAATCAAGCGAGAAGCATTTCTTGAACGCAAGTTTTCTCTTCCTGGACATATCTCTTTATTCATACTTGTAGAGCAGATATCGCCGAGTCGCAGGAGCAATCCGTACACTCGAAATCTGCCCAACGCCGTGCAAAAAGGCGAGAAAAGGAACGTTTGGCAGCAGACATGTCCGAAATGGACAGTGTTTTGCGCACAGTCATATTGGATGCGACTTCCTCTCAAGACATAGAGCCTACCAGCAGTTTTACCACAGAACCGTCGAACTCGATTGCCAAGCGGAGAAAAGGGACCACCGAAGCGAATGGGCAGATTGGAGAGAGTACGCGAGCGAAACCACTCACAAAGGCGCAGAAAAAGCGAGCTTTGTGAGTGCAAACTATCATTCAATTGGAGAGTGGTATTGACGGTCTCAAATAGGCACACGGAGAAGCAGAGGTTACCCCTGATACTTTCGCACCCCGCATTCTTAAAGGATTCATTCGGTACGATCCGCACTCACACCTCCAACGTCCTTGCCAAGGCCACTTCAACCTAATGAATATCACGGAGAATAACCGATGAAACGAGAGTGGCCGTACATATGAAAATAACGTGATCAAACCGGAAGATGAACGAGTGTACACGAACAATAGCAGTCTATCGAAGTTTTGATGGCTGTCCTCTAGCAAACGAAAAGTCATTCCTATCCAAGCCTCCGATGACACTCGGACTCTCTGGTAGCACAGGACTCGTCATGAGTTGTGCGCCTTGAGGCAGGCTGAGGTGGCGTGTTGCATGCTCCTGATAAAATGATGCAGCCTGTTGTCGCTCGGACAACTGGTGTTCTGGGCTCTCCATCTCTGCTGCTCGTGGATGCGAAGAGGAAGAAGCCAGGGCTTCACCTGTGACGATGGGCATTAACGGATGCTTAGACACCTGAGGGTGAGAGTGCTGGCTCGTATTATCCTCGAAGGTAGTACTTGAAGAGAATGGATGCATAATCCGTGTCTGAGGAGAGCCATCCCCGACGACGGAAGTGGAGAGACTCGGCCTGGTGTCCGCGCCCAAATCCGGTCTTGCACTCACACTGTTTGATGAAAGTGTCCGTTGTCGAGTAAGGGGATAGGTGACATCGTACTTTGTCGACGCCCTCTTTGGTCGAATAGGATACTCCCGATACGACCCCGCGTCCTTTGCGGCAACCACAGGCTCTTGAACAGCACTCGCACCAGCAATTGGAATCTGGAATGGGGTTCGCGAGTCACTCGTATACGTAGACTGAGATTGGCGGCGTCCGGGATCGCGTGAGAGGGAGCTACCGCCTACGGAGCGCCGCTTCTCAGGGTCAAAGAGATTGGAATAGTCACCACCATTTTCTATACTTGCGCCACCATAGACGGTTGACATGTCCGACTCGGACGGTCTTCTCCCAAAGGCACTCTCGTTCACCATGAGCGGATGCTCCTTTCTGTGGGCACCCAACTTCCAGTGGTTGTCGGAAGACGATGGCAGCGAGTTGAACATGTTCATTGGTGGTTTGATACTGTGTCGTACAAAAGTGTGGGAGAGTGAACACGGGGAAATGGGCACCATTCTAGAGTTTGGATGGTCGACGGCATTGGGCTTTGACGTGACTGTTTGTTCATAAAGAGTGGACTCTGGTCGGATTTTGATAAAGGACGTGCGGTGAACTGGACTTTGTTGTGGCTTGCTTCGAGGGAAGCGAGTGATGAAAATAGTGAGGAGACAGCCAAGTAGAAAACTTCCAGCGTTGCTTCCGATCAGAATACTGATCGTTGTGACATCCTTGTTGGACCAAAGGCTGACCCCATGTTAGCTTCACCCCTAGATGCACTGGCACACCCACCACGAGAGAGAAAGTTCTTTGCACGACATGTGAAACGAGTGGACGAGCCCGTGGCTAGCGAATATCTCGACTACCCACTAGGAAAAGCTACGCGGAAGGGAACGAGTCCAAGGTGCGGGTAATGGCGTTAGAAAGACACTTTCACTGCAGCGCCTTGAATTATGAGTTGCCTGCGCCGATGGCCGTGCTCTCAAGTCGACATACAGGCCGCGGCTACTCACGGTCTGGGTGAGAACGAATCACACGCAAAGACTAGGCGCACCATGCATCTGTATGCTTCTTTGATATCCTTCATCAACGTCTGTTTCCCAGCTCAGCCAACGCCCGGGTGGCTGCTCGGGCCTTGGACAGCTCGTCTTACTGTTGGGCATGGACGAATTCAAGATTACCGGCCGCGATCGCGCATTTATGCTATCTAGTGACCAGATCACTTTTGATTCGCCAAACTACTTTAGCTCGTTCTTCTTTGGCGAGTCAGGAGGCAGCGACCGGGTTCAAAGAACTAAAGCTGCATCGGCACCCAGTCTTGTTCGAACTGATCTACGAATATCCCTCGGGCTATGATATATTCCAGAAGGACTTATCCCAGACACGGTCCCAATAACGGTACTCGAGAACCTCAGATGAGACGCTCTCTTTTACGGCCTAGATGGTCTAGTGAGACGAATAGAGGATCAAAAGGAGAATAAAAAATAAAATAAAAAGGTCCAAATATTATCTGATAGTACGCACCCGTTCATGAGTCACACGTCTGATTCCTTCAAGAGCAGAGGCACAAAGGGCGTGATCAGAAGCCCGATACCAGAGGATGCAATTGCCTATTACGAGGCATTCCAAGCAAGGTCGCCTTCTAGTCTTTTGGTGGCTACCCAAGACTCACCGCTGAAGTCCTATTAGTTGGACGACCCTGAAAGATGGCTATGTGATCTACTTCGCAGTCTCGCGAACTGAAGCAACATAAACTTTTCGTGAGAGAAACTACTTTCGAGTAAAGCTTTGGAATTCTTCGTATTATGTCCCCCATATTGCAAGTTAGACTTGTATAGGAAATTGATGGCGCACTGCCTTATGATTCTTCGACCAGTGGTCCCAGACGGCTGTGGCTCATCTTCCAGTGCCAACGACACTCTGCGGCCAGAGACTCTAGCCAGTTCACCAAGGGCCCCAGCTCAAAGCTTTCTTTCTACGGAATTGCTTACATGATGCAAGATAGTTTGTACCCAGACTGCAACTAGAACCTTGCTTCGGTCATTCTTGACGTCCAACTCATATCACAGCTCACGACGCGCATACGTCTCTAGTACATCTACTTGTTTATTTGGTGATCATGTTACTCATATATTGCAGTCATAGCGACTTAATCGGACACAGCTCGTGCCCGCCGCTCTGTGCTCTGCTGCGTCAACTGGACATAGGAAGACTGTCAATCAAATGTCTTGCAGCGACTAGAGCGCACACCCCCGCACCTTTCTTGTTATCCTCCCATGCGCTCTTTACCCTCTGCTTTGGTCTGAGAGGCTGCTGTCGGTGTCTGGGAGAAGTCAGGGCGTTCGTAGCAATTTGTACAGACATACGCTACAAACTGGTTATAATCATGCACACCTCGTTTAGGCTGACTCACGAGTAATTTGTCCACAAATGTCTGATACTTTCGCTCCACTTCTGCGATATTCCCGCGAGCTATGGACGATACGAGACTGTATTCTGTGAATGGTATAAAAAACGGGTCAATTCCGGACGTACTCTAATGTAGCGGCCCAAACGTCTGGGCCTTGGAGGTACGCTCGACGAACATTTCTTGTATTGACATTTCCTGACTCTTCAATCGCAGCACGGATGAAGGAAGCTGCTTTGATCGCATAGGTAGTCCTCTAGGTGGTTTTCGCGTTTGCAAGACATAGGCTGACCATTTAACATCTTACCTTTCTATCCAGGACTGGTGGTGCGCGTTCCACGAGGCCCATAAGACTTCGCAAAATAGTGCGAGATTGGTTCAATTTCTCGCTAATGGGTCTTTAGATATACTCAAAGCTCTAAATGTCCACACTCACTCGATAATTATTGCGTCCCATTGGATATCCTCTACCATGGTACGCAGAATAAGTGCATCATCGGTACGTGCTTCCCAGAGAGTCTGCAATGTATATCGCGAATAAAAGAGTGAATCCCGGAGGAGGGAAAGAACAAACATCTGGGTCAATGGGCCTCGGTCCTCCCGACAACTTCGAGATCCGGAGAAGCTTGTCGACGACCATTCGGCGATGTTGCTCCCACGAATTGATACTTTGTCGGCACTCGAGAACCGATTTGGATTCAAAAATGTTGGAGTCGATGGTGTGATCCCAATTCTCGAGCAAAATTCTGGCCAAAAATCAGATTTTAGAGGACTTGGGAATCCTTTACTTGCTCCTCTAGCTGAAGCATGCGGCTTATAGCCTGTTTGAACCGCTCGAATGAGACACTGGGTGTTTCTTGCCCGAGTGTGCTATTCATCGCGTTCTCAAGTCGGACGCATTCCTGTTGCGCAGCTCGAATGAATGCAAACGTCGTGAGAATGTTGACATGCGCCTCAAGGACAGTGTTTAGCGCCACCTCTAGTAAACACCGGATCAGGATAGATGCTCCTTCTCGCTCCTTTGCACTCTGGTGGCCTTGCCCAAGAATAGCGTCGAAAATGGAGCACGTTCTTTCGCTCCCACTCTCTTTGCCGATTCCATCGCGTATATCTGGCCTCCTACTCCCTTGCGTTCTTGCCCCAGGATATGGATGTCTACCCATCGACTCTTTTGTCTCCGGGAATAGGTACTTTGGATCGTTTTGCTGCTTTGTATCAACATCTGCAAGATTCAGCGAGGCTACGATGTAGGGCATAGTAAACTAGAACTGACCAAAAATCTCTCCAAAGAAGCCCTGTTTTGTGGGCCCTCTTTCCAATAGTGGAGTATGATCCGTAGCAGTGTATACGGATTCTACTTCTGCAGCAGCATTTGGTGACCAAGTTACATTAGGAACCGATGCTGGAGTATCCAGGGTAATGATTTGCAGGGTTTTAAGAGGTGAAGAGAGTGATTTGATATCTCCCTTGATCTGAATAATTGCAATAGATGGCGTAGCAGTATGAACTGAGTAGATATCAACCGTCCCAGATGGAACCAGCGTTTCCGCACTGGCAAAGGTCTGCGGTCGACTGAATTGACTTGTGGCAACCGATACTACTGAGGCACCAGAATGAGAACGATGAAAGGGAAAGAAGTTCCCATCCTCTCCATCCTTGTCCTCTTCGTCATCGTCGTTATTTTCATCATCCCCTTCAGGAGATGGTTTTGCGTATTCTCCGGGGAGCAAAGGCAAGACCCGACGATTCCAACCCAAGGGTTTGTCCGACCAACTTTCTGGCCAATTTAGAACACCGGAATGATGGCATTGTAACGTCCATTTACCATCTATATCGCCATCGGTCTCCCAAATTTTCTCCATGACTTCGGTGAGATTCTCGAAACTGCCCTCCATTTGCATTTCGGGGTATTTGAATAAGGAAACCCTGGATGGTGGCGGATTCAGCGCAAATATACGACCGCCACGATCTATAATCTATGAGTAACTACTCGAATATGCTGTGGATGTACCTTTGAGATGATGAACTCTGTTACGAGAGAATATAAGTCGACCTTCAATAGGGTCGTTTCCGGCTGTAGTCCAGTCCACTTGAAAATATCCCCTACTCATCACAACGTATAGCACATTTTCAACGCTGCCTTTCCACCCACGCAGCTCTTTCCTGTTGTTCTCGATATAGAAATGTGGTAATGATCCCAGAGGTGCATATTCGTTGTATCGACTAAATAAGAAGATGGCAATAAATGCCTCTCGACTGACAAGTCCCGGGACGGCTCCAAGGCGGTCAGGACAAGGTATTTGTCAAGGACGTTACGTACTGTATACGTAAGTCTTGGGTGTAATAGAAGAGCCATAGCATCTCGCAACAACTTCGCGCCGTGCTAGTCGTTTCTGTTGGGATTGAGGGACCATGCCAGCATCTATCTTGTTCTACCTACAAGCTTCGAACCAACTGTTGTTAGGATGCCTTGAGCTTGTCGATCTCTCTCCTCGGCCTCTTGCATTTTTGGTCTCCACGCTTGCAGCGGATATTTCGGGTCAAGTACATATTGCCTTGCTTCGTACCATGTGGCTTCATCTGGTCGGTGCATGAATTGAAATAAAGGATCCAGGTCACTTGTAATCATTAGCATGAATTATTTGCAAAGTTCCATTCGTACGCCATTGGTACAATGTACCCTTCGTCGATGGTGACAATGAGCTCCCAAGTGAAAACAACTCTGTACACATGATGCCGGGCATAACGAGAGAATGGGACGGTAAACGGGTCGCCTCCAATTAGACCCTGCGCTGTCATCTCGAGAGCAGCTTGTGGGATCAGACAGTGTGGGTCAAATCCCTCCAATTATAGGCCCCACCCAGAGTGTCAGTGAGCCTCCCGGTGTTCTAGATTTCCTGATGATAAGGGGTGGCGGAACTGATGAGGAAGAAGCACCTGATCACAATTTGATAAGCTGCTGGCTATGTCCAATTGCACAGGCCTAGACCATCTGCAATACTACGCAGTTATTCTGAGAGCAGGGCCTTGTTTTACCAGCCAGAACGGCCCTATGTATGGGTAGCAAGGCAGCTTTTGTCGCCATAGATGCAAAGGCTTGCAGCTGAAAACTCTCTGTGACAAGCTCGATCCGAAGGCTAAGATTCCCAGCAATGAACTTCGAAAGCAAGCAGGAAAGGAAATTGCGCAATTTGACCAACAGCCACTTGGCAAATTTGTCCAGCAAATACCACGGCCTTTCACGCACGGAAGCTAGTATCCTTACCCAACTCCGCATATACCTCTCAATGTATACCTCAGCTGTATCTGGACTGTGGACTTGCTCGTATGCACAAGATGTCAAATCCCAGAGACCGCAGTACATTCCCTTTTATGTGAGAAAGGTACACCGTGCAGTAAAAACAGCTCCGAGAGGCCGTAGGTCAATATATCGATTCAATCTTGCTTCGTTGCTTACCGCTCCCAAAGTCATCAAGAAGATCTTCGAGTATATCTACGCAACCAATCGTTTCCGGCATTACCAACCAAGGACGGAGTTGATTCGACTACCAGCAATGCATCATCCGATTCATCACCTCGATATCTCAACTCAAACTCTACCCTCTGAATCCTTCTAGGTCATCTGGGACCATATACTTTATTCAATTTCGCTATTCGACTACGTTATTTGTTCACACTATTCAACGCATCAAGACTTCTCAAGAATTCATCGACATGCACACCCCTGAAGACCACGCTTTCCATCTAACCTCAAACGCATCAAGCAGCATACCACTGGCATCATCACCGCAATTGACATGGCTCCTTCCCGTACTGTCCCCTCTGCTTTCCCTTCGGCCCAGAGTGGCTCATGTATGTAAATTTCGCATGGAATATGCACAAAAATGCAAGAATGTCATACTTTAATTAGTAATTGGGAACTTTGAAACGAAATCTTTATCTTTCCTTATTTACGGACAATCAGAACAGGCAACAAGAGAGCACCAGATGATTCATGGAATAATCTTGGATAGCATTAGTGTGTACGACGTATGATCCGTTGCGCTGATGGTTCCCACAAGTGAGGCAATCAAGTAGCGACGCCTGTTTCGTTCGGGTGGACTCTCAGGTAACGATAAAAGTACTTTCTGAGCACATGATATCCTGTATATCCTCTCACGAAAGCACAGGTGCTTTGCATCACCAGACCCATTGGCAATCGCAAAAGCCGTTACATTGAAGGCCGGAAGGAGAGTGCACAGAAGAATGAATAGTTCTAGTTTGCTTGGGATCTTTACAATAGTACGCCACAAATAATGACTAGGCAGCGTTGATCGCGGCACTCTTGAATGGATCAAACCATCCAAGCTGACCCTTCTCCAAATGGTTTATCCCACGAAACTCGCTCGGTAGGATTCGCTTCTTCGTCTACTGCTTTCCGCAAGTACTCGACCTCCTTGTCTGCTGTAGACTGAGTGAGCTCTGCAATCTTCTGTTCTAGAACAGGCAGTTTCAACGGCATCGATGCCCCCGTGGCTAACGCCATATTCAAGAGCTCGAGGACGTTTGCATTCAACGGTTCAATGCTCAGAGCCTTTAGTTATAATCAGCCAAACTTAACAGCGCAATACAAGCGCGGGTGCTTACTTCGTGGTAGCGCTGAATGGCCTGATGATAGTCCATCTGCATGTGATAAACCATCCCTAACGATGCCAGCGCGTTGGCGTGCCTCGGTTCGACGGTGAGAACCTTTTCGTACGCTTTCTCTGCCTCTGCAAAGTGTCTGTGCGAAAAATTAGATCCATATCAAAGTTGAAACTCGTACTTACCCCAGTTTGCGGTGAGCAGTTCCCAGGTTGCAATAGGTTGCTAGCCAATATTGCTCTGATGCTTGCGAGACTTTTGCTAACTCGAGCGCCTTCTCAAAGAACATTACTGCATCGAGATAGCTGGTCTAATCAGCATCATAGAGGAGGGATAGGGAATAGAGCTTACTTTCCCTCGAGGTACTCAACGACGCCTTGCTCGTTATAGACAAGAGGGTCCGAATCGCACATGGACTGTGCAGTTTTCAGCGCGTCTGCAGCTAGGTTTAGATGAGAAAGTGTGATTTGCTCCATCCCGATGAACAAATGCGGCAAATGTGACCTGCCAATATTCAACTTCGGGCCTCTGAGCCACACCTCGCCTACCCTTTGAAGAGCCGCGCACAAGTCGAGTACGCTGTAATGGCATGCTCATGTTCACCTTCCTTGGCAAACGTATGTGCAAATGCCACCCATCCGGGTGCATGTCGAGGGTCCATGATGGTGGATTTACTGAGATACTGCTTTGCTTCTCGCCATTTGGAGATGACAAGATAGTAGATGCCGACAGCGTACCAACTCATTGGCGATTCAGGCTCTTTATCGACGAGTTCGTGTGCCAGGATAAATAGTCGCGAGTGAAGATGTCGCAGATGATACATGCATGCAATGTGAATGGGAAGCGTCGGTAGATGTATAGTCGAGATATCCAAGATGCTGCATTCATCCCAGGTCAGCGGAAAACGGCGAGTTTGATGGACGTACCGAGAAGTAACAACGAATGCGTCGACGAACCGCAGTTGTGTATAAAGAGAATCCGCGAGTGTGTAAAGTATATCACAGTTCTGTCCGAGATCAAATTCGTCGGTAAGCTGCCTTCGAGCCTGTGATATTTCTTCGGAATGCTTGATCTGCAGCCATGATTGAGTACCACCTTCAAGAGCGCAGTAGAGTTTCACCTTTTTGAGACGGACTGTGTACATTAGCCGTATAAAGTCGGCGTCCTCTGGAGTTTGTTCCTTGTACTTCAGCCCTTGAATCAACTCCCACTCTGCATCTTGAATCAGTTGAAGAGAAAGAAAGAAACAAGAAAGGGACCTTCGTCTACTGTCAGCATCTGACATTGAACGAGCATGTTATAAGCCTCGAAACACTTTATGTCCAATGCCAGAGCCTCCAAGAAGTTTTGTTTGGCTCTTTCGCTCCGATTAAGGCGCATATAGAGAATACCGCGCAAATAGCACATCGAGGCTTCGAGCTTTTTGAATTTAGGCCGAGCGTTTGGCTGGGATCTTGTTCTTACCTTTAAACCCCCATCACGATTCGCGACATGTGCGCCCGATTCAGCTGTTCCTGTTATAAGGCTAGACTTAGCTACGAAGAGATAGCGACTTACAGGTATCTCGAAACGGGTTCTCCTCGCCTAGTACCTCGAGAGCTTCTGTCCATTTGCCCAGACGGACCTTAATGAATGGTTAAAATCCAAGCAGCTTGGTCTATCCCCGACTCACTTGACACTGCGCGGCTAGATACCGACACATGACGCTGACGTCGACTAACCGGGTCGGTTTGGCTCCCTGGGTGCCTTGTATCCCCGAAACATCTCCAGGTTCGTGCAGTGGCTCAAGCTCGCCCGTGAGTGCAAACCTCTCTGCTCTGGCTAGTGACACTTAGCTGAACAACCTCAAGACTAATGAGCCTCACCTTCTTCCAGTTTTCTTCCGTGGTCCATGTCGTCCATTGTATCCAAATCGATGACTTGCTTCATCGACTGCGGACCATCAAACGTAAAAGACGAGTCAAGATTGGGTTTGGGTAAGACATCTCCCTTGGACCTGTTCTCTCTTCCTGGAAGTTGTAGGCGTGGAACGGCTGTTGACATTGGGAGTTTGAACGTAAAGTTTGTCGGACGCGTCGAAGCCAGGAAAGGGTCGTCTTGGAGACCCCCTTTTGTCTTTCCCTTTTATTGCTGATGTATGATTGCCGCCATTACTCAAGGTGTGACGATGCTGGGCGTGGTATGGTGTGACAAACGGTTGAGAGCCCTGGCTCCCTAGCCCCAACCCGAGACCAAACGAAGCCGAAGCTAGTTTTTGTTCTCCTGGTTCTTCCTCTTCTTCTCCATCCTCATCCGATTCTGACGACTGTGTTATCGTAAAGGGTTTAGTTAGGAGACGCTCTGCTCGGGCGTATTCTCCAGTTTGAAAATGAACTTGGGCGAGCCAAAATGCGTCGCTAGGATCATCTGTGCATAATAAGCGCAACTCTCTCACTTTGGAATTGCATACTTGTCCATGTGAGCACCTTGTCGCCCCAGAAAGCCGCCGTTTCGTATAAATGCTGGGTCATCGCATCGTGCCGCCATAGTCTCATTCGATCAACGAGAGTCCATTCTTCTTCATCCTCTTCGTCACTAGCAGTGAATTCTGATTCCTCGATGGAGCCGATGGAAGTGAATCCTACAGGTTCCGACTTGACGGTTTCTAGGTAGACATCGCTCGCCGATTTGTCTGGACTGTGATTTATGGACGTATCAAGCAATGAATCCTCTTCTGTGTACAAGCCTTTGGGATTGCTGGGAGTTCGAAAGGCAGGACGACTTGTATCGCCACTAGTAGCGCCGTTCCTCAGTAGTGATTCTCGTCGAGTAGAACGACTTCTTCCTCGTCTTCCTACACTTTCCTGACCTCGCCTCGCCATTGGCGATGAACCTAATGGTGATGCGAGCAGCATAGACGAATTTGGCGTCAGTCCAAGGATTCCATTGGATTTTCGTCCCTTCTTTCCAAAGTCTAGTTGAAAGCTCATCGACGCGTCGGCCACGACGGGTGTTGGAGTGGCAAAGGGGACTGCACCGGCATCGGTGTGCCGTTCAGGAGCTTTTGGTGGTAGAATATTGGTTTCTGACTGTGCAGATGTCGAGGGAAGACTTTGCAATGTTCCAACAAGCGGCGCTGGACCCATCGAAAGTGCAGTTGTTATCCCACCGCGTCCTCGTCTGCCATTTCCTCTCGTGTTTGTAATTTTGCGCGTGTTTCCAGTGTTTGCTGCTCCTCTTCCGCGTGTTGCTTGAGGATTGCGAGGTATCATGGAAGAGGGTGGGTTCAAGTTTTGATCAACATTCCAACCAATGTCACCGACACTCTACAAGAGTGTGTATATAATTTAGTATTAGTTCTCTGATTGTTAGACTTTGTGGGCTGGTGCCAGTGGTGCACACCTCTTGGCCATGACCTTTACCGTGTTCGTCTCGGCGTTTGCGCCGTTTGGCAATTTTACACTTCAGACCGCGGAGGATGTCACTATAGAACAGCTATTTGACGAGATTGTGGAGAAGCGACCCCTATTGGAGCGGGTCAGCAGCCTCAGACTCTGCCCAACGTCGCAACCGCTCGCCGGAGCGTCCACAAGGCTCTCAGACCTATGTGAGGACGATGAATCCATGGTCTCATTCCGACTTTCGCCCAGTTTGCTTGGTGGAAAGGGAGGTTTTGGCTCGCAGCTCCGAGCTGCCGGTGGGAGGATGAGCAGTCAGAAGACGAGCAACAATGACTCGTGTCGTGATCTCTCTGGAAGACGGTTGAGCACACTCAAAGAGGCAAAGAAGTAAGTGGACAATGGAGCTGCTGTGAGATGTGATTGCTGACCAAAACAGACTTGCCGCGTATATAGAGAATGAACCAGCACGACGGAAAGCCGCTCAAGACCAACAAAAGGCCAAACTGGAAAAGCTGGAGAAGCAGCTGGGCATCACCCCCGGTGGCTCCAAGGACGGTCAGCCTGCCCATGCGGGTATGAAGCGAAGGTTAGATGATACCGAATTCCTCGAGGAAAGCCAGGAGTTGGTGGATAATGTCAAATCGGCCGTGGTCGAAGGTGAGATATGCTGGCTATTGGTCCGCCCTCAGGACTAATATCACATAGGTCTGCTCAAGAAGCGCAAAAAGACAAAGATGGAGCCTCCTGCAGTACCCGCATCGGCGACGAGTTCTGAGACGACGGCCGCTCTTGCAACGACCGCTGTGGCCTAGTAGCTGTTCGTACCGGTGAATGTCATGCATAATAGCTGTGTCTACATGTTTTTCCTGAAGTTGTTGCTATTTCCGTCACGGGCTGACCGGAGGGCGGAAGATGAGCGCGTTTAGGCCACAGGCGGTGCTGGCTGTTGACAGGCGTCCCCGAGCATATATCAAGGCGCTCACACTGGTTGGACTCTACCATTGCAGACACTAGAAATGAGCTCACCATCTCCTCAACTCAGAGATGCCCAAAACTATGCAAGAGATCGCCCGTCGTGGGGAGACCGTCCACCGTCCAGAGAGGATTTGGACAATTATTTTGACCACGAATTGCCCGCTCCTCACCGTCTTTCTGGATCCTATCTGAGTCCGTCTCACTCTCCGCGCGCATCGATGGAAAATCTGGCCAACAAGCCGCTCCCTTTGCCTGCCTTTGGCGGCACTGGCCCACGCTATCTGTCTCCGCTCGCCGCCGCAGAGGCCACGGCGACAGAAGGCGCAGGTATGCGCAATTCGAACTACTCGGAGATTAGCATGGTCGGCCTCAACAGCGGCCGGCCTCCTGTTCGACGGAGTACCTGGCTAGAAAAAGAGCAGACGCATCACCGGAAGAATCACAGACTCGTACGTAGCATATGTTATATGCCGGGATATCGTTGACACGCTTTTCTAGTTCATTATAGTCTGTTCCACCCTGACGATCCTCATCGTCCTCGGTGTTTCCCTCGGAGTCTTTTTCGGCACACGAAATAGCAAAAACAATACCGCAGCGGCAAGTGATCCTTCGACTACTGGTACCAGCGGTGGAGGTGGCTCTGGCTCATCTTCCGGTGCCAACGATACTGTGGCCGGAGACCCTAGCCAGTTCACCAAGGACCCCAATTTAAAGCAATCCTTCTACGGCATTGCTTATACGATGCAAGACGCTTTGTACCCCGACTGCAACGAGAACCTTGCCTCGGTTATTCTCGACGTCCAACTCATGTCACAATTGACCACGCGGATACGTCTCTAGTACGTCCGCTTGTTTCTAATGATACACAGTACTCATGTATTGCAGTGGCAGCGACTGTAATCAGACCCAGCTCGTGCTCGAGGCCATCAAGCAAACGAAAGTGGATATGAAGATCAATGCGGCTATCTATATTCCGGTGGACGATGATGTAGCATACGCTCGACAACGCGACGCTCTGCAAAATGCGCTTCAGACGTACGGGGTAGACAATATCGAAGGGATCACGGTCGGCAGTGAGTCCGGTTCTCTGGAGATTGACTGTACACTAATTTATTTGCAAAGACGAATTTATTTTAAATTACGTGACGAAGTACGGAGGTGATGGAGCGAGTGCAGATAGCGCTGTTGGTAGGAGGGCGGCGGCGCTCCTCAGCGAGAAGATTACCGAGACCCGGCAGTTCCTCAGTTCTCTGGGACACTCTGACGTACCAGTAGGAAGTGCTGATGCAGTGGGTCATTACATTCACCTATCATGTCGAGACTCACGCGGCCGAAACTAGGGTGCCTACTTCAACAACGACCTGCTCAGAGTAATCGACTACGGCCTATCAAACGTACATGCCTGGTTTGCTCCTACAACAGCAGCTGGAGCTGCTGCCTGGACGAATCAATTCTTCCAGGAGACCAACGTCGCTGCCGCAGCAGCAGTGAGCAACCACCCCAGGATGGTCATCGCCGAAACCGGATGGCCGACTCATTCGAGTGACGCTGCACATGAAAACTCGGGTGCTGGAGTAGGAGGCGAAGCATCGGTCGCAAATCTCCAGACCTTTTTGGATACGTTTGTGTGCCAAGCGAACAGCGCGGGAACACCGTATTACATGTTTGAATACTCCGATGTCGGATGGAAGGACCGTATTTATGGGGGTGTCGAGGGGTACTGGGGCCTGTTTGATCAACATCGCAAACTAAAGGACCTCACGATTCCAGACTGCGCACACCAATAGAGGCCACGACTCTTACGACCCAAGGACTCATGGACAAATGTTTGCAATCGTGTCTTTTAGTTTGTCAGATAATGATGTATATGCATAGCTTCATCGATGAGCGCCAGAAGCCGTGCGCCGCTTCTGCAGGGGTGGCGTCGTATAGGCGCCCACCAACCGTAGATTTGCACCGCGGGGAATTAGATAAACACCGTTTTCTACGGGATATCCCACTCTCGGGGACAGTGGTCCCTCCGAAGACGACGAATAATCGGATTGGGCAACTTGGGGCCGCAAATAGCCTTGGTAAGAGATCGGGAACTGAGTCGTGTTGGACCACCCAAATGCGCGAAATGCCAACGTCGCGACTTGGACCCGGCCACGACTGTTCATCGGGCCCCAGATGGCCACAGTTTCTCCCGTAAAGCCCCTAAACCCTCGAGCTCGCCTCTGGAGCCATTAGGAGTCTCCCTTAAGCGCTCGTCATCAAAGGCAGACCTCGCTGCAGAGCCAAAACCAAAGCGTCAACGCACAAAGGCTGGCTGTATCACCTGCAGAGTCCGTGGAAAGGTGCGTTGCGTCTTGGGTTTTTGCCGTCATTTTCCACAAGCCTTGCGCCGATGGTCAACACACGCGCTCGCGGGCGCTCCGAGCGTTTGGAGCGCTCAGTGCGCACAAATTTCGACAATATTGTAGATGTGTTCTCTCGAGTGCCTAATCGTATGCTCGACACTCTTTGCTTACATCGTGCTTGCAGAAATGCGACGAAACTCGCGTGAACAATGGAGAGACTTGCGAGACCTGTAGGCGCCTTCGTCTACACTGTCTTGGCTTTCAGGACCGCCGTCCAGAGTGGCTCAGGGTACGTCTGGTTTTTACTGTAAATTCAGGCGCTTATATCCCATTCCTCCAGTCCAAGGAGAACATCAAGGTCTGGCGAAAGAGAGTGACCGACTTTTTGCTCTCTCAAGGGCTCGTCAAGGGCCATGCTGGTTGTGGGCTTCGTCCTGGACCTATACCAGATGCATCCCTCACTCTCGAGGACATGCGGCGTGATCTGGACGCCGGAGTGGGCGACGTCGATTCTCCTATTGGTCCACTGCAAGAGCACGAACGTGACTTGGAGCCCGAGCAGCCCCTTGGGTTTGCTAGCGGGATGGATGGACCCATCATCCTCCCTCCTATACACAACATTGCCCGTCAGGACTCGCGTGACCAAGATGATCCTCAGTACATTCCCAAGCGATTCGAGAATGCCATTGGGGGCATTTCTCACGAGGACAATCGGCACCGCTGGGTGCCTCCACCCCCATATCCACCTCTCAAGCCCTATGACAATGAGGGGAATTTCCTCCCGCCTCACCCGCCCGGTACGCGGCCTCCCATGAATGGTTTCCCTCTCAGCGGCCCAATGGCTCCCAACCCGCCGGGACACCAAGTACTCCCTAGTCCTACTCAGCAGATTTTTGGGTATGAGCCTGTTCGCCCGCTCCCACCGCCGCACAAGTCTTCGGGAGGTTACTCTTCAACTTCGGATAGCACGTCTGGTTAGCGCGCCCCTTTCTCTTTCATACATGGCTTTGCTCACTGGTTGATCAGAACGCCCCTTTACGAGCCCAACGGGAAGCACGAACGAAAGCGCGTATGATAATGCCCCTCGCAACTCTTCCATGTACGGGTACACGACACCAGCTTTGTCTTCTTCTGCGACCCACTCCTCTTCGCTGCCCACTCCATCCTCTGGCAACAGCTTTCAAGGACCCTCCTCAGAGCCCGGACACTCGTCCGGTACGTCTTCTACTTAGCTAATGTCCCCCAATGACTTCCAAGCTCTCGGGCCCATGACCTCCCAATCAATCGTCACCCCACCGTATAATCCCGAATGCGCTACTTCCAACTACTCTTTCTTGTATCGTTAAATTCTCTGTTGAGCAAAATGTTGACATCTATTTCTCCGTCTTCTGGCTCCAGGCCCAGACCGCTACCTACCGCGAAACCCATACATACAGCAAGATCCGATGACGGGTGCACACAGACGCCATGAACAGTTCCATCCTTATCGTCGTGGTCCGATCTTATCGCGGTCACCCAGTGGCAATGGCGCTGAGCTTCTGGACCAGCTTCACATCCAAACGAATACCGCTCGCGGAGTGGCCCGCACCTCCCCAACGCAATACAATACGCAATCGGCGGATTCCCTCGCTTCATCATCACCCGAAGCCTATGTCCCTACCTATGGCTCGTTTTCGGCGCCTAATGCCGTCGGTACCTATGGAGGGTACGTAAGTTCCACAATGTCGATTCAGAGCCTGCTGCAGGCGTCCAATGCTGGCACGCCAGTGACTGTTCCTCCTTCCTCTGCCATCAGTACTGTCGCCCCGACGCCTACGACGGCCATCTTTCCTTACAGTGCAACAAACGCAAACAATTCCAGCGCAGACAATAACAATGGAGCACTCGTTACAGCAGGCTACTTCCCGACATATCCTGGCGGGTATCCGGAATACGTGCCTCTTCTCCAGTCCCCACCAACCATGTCCCTCAGCGAGTTTTACATCCATCGCTATTTCACGCACGTTATCGGTGTGCAATACCGCCTTGCAAACATACGGACACTCCAGCATCAGATGTTCGAGCTTTCCGAACGGTCGCCGGCGGTCAAGGCAAGCATCTCGTTGCTCTCCGTCCTGTATCTCGAGGCCCAGCAGCTTGCAGCGGCAGGCATAGGAGGGCCTCTTGGAGATGCGGGCAACAGACGCGGGCAGGGGATGATTCTGGGGGAGAATGACAGTTATAGCGCGTTTACTACCCCTTACCCACCGTTGGATCTTGGTGTCCCTGGTATTGGACTCATCAATGCATCGTCTATGCTCCCTTCAAACACGACGAATTCGCGCGCTCAATACGACCTCCTTTATGCTCGTATCAAAAAACTGCTCGACGAGGCGCGGCTCGCCAAGGGCGGCCGCTACGACGAGGGAGATGCAATGGCGTGTTTACACGTCATTAGTGCATTCTTGTTCAGCGGGGGACGTGGCAATTGGGATCAATTTCTTCAAATTGCGACGGAATGGGTGTGGGCCCACATTTCTGACAATAGTGGGAATGTAGTCGCCGCGATCAGTGGGATGGACTCTACTAGTCGCTTCATTTTCCGGTGAGAGATTTAGAGTGTGGCGCATACACGAGAGGCGAGCTGAGACATCTTCTCCGCTCACAGCACGACAATGTGGATGGACGTTTTTGGGAGCATCTCGCTCTGCAGAACGCCTCGCTTTATCAACATCTATCGTACACTGTTCCAACCTGGTGCTCTGGACTCGATGACCGCCATGTCAGTCTCAGTTGAGAGCAGGATGGAGAGTGTCATGGGATGCCCCAACGAGGTCATTCTTGCATTTGCAGAGATTGCAGACCTAGAGGCGAAGAAAGAGGCCCTCGTCAACAGTTTCAGAACGCTGTCCGCCTCGCAACCTAGAGAAGGCTGGTACGGGGTGTCAAGCCCGCTCGAGCGGTGGCAAAACGACATGGCGGCACTGGAGGCAGAAGGACGCCGAGCGATATATTCCAGAAGCCCTTGGGCCTGCCGCCCTACCGCTCACTCGTTTTCAAGAGATTCACGCTGCGCCGCCTCCTTCGTCTTCAACGCAACAACGGCCTCAAGCGAGTAGCTCTGGATCGCTGCAAGTGCCGAATCAAAATCTCGAGTTTAGTGGGGTTGATCTCAATCTATTTGGAGGTGGCCCCGACCCACTTGGGTGGTTTGACCCCAGCGGTGGCGTCAGCTCTGATATGATCAGCGGCGCTGCAGTCGAGGACGAGAATGGGGGATATATTGACCCAGACGAGGATATGCGAGGCAAGATTGCGGAAGTCTTTCGCAACGCCGCGCGGGTGTATTTGCATTCCGTCATTTCGGGATGCGACCCTCTGATCCCCACAACGCGAAGGGCTGTCCAGGCTACGATTCGAGCGTTGCAGGTGAGTAATATGTTTCATAACCATCGCCTTCTCCTCGGCCCTGCTTGCATATCACCCTCTGCCGGAGGAATAATGAACCACTGGATGCACTTTTGATCAGACTTATGAAGCACGGCCCATAGGGTATCGAACGAAGGGGCCATTCAGTCCACAAGAAGCCGACGGCTCGAAGGGATTAACCCCGCGAGAACGCATATAGTGTTAGGCGCCTCTTTAATTGCTTGGTCACTCTGTCGGAGCCTACAATTTACGGAGCCTACACTTCCTGTGAGATTTGCTACCTTTCTCGACCCCTTGTCGCTGCGGTGCAAGGGCTCGTCGGGTCCGATGGACGGTATTCTATACCGCGATTGATCTGCACACAATAATTGCTGGAAATGAGGGTTGCCTTTCTCGTTGTACAACGAGATTGATTCGCAGCCGTCGTCTGCATGGAGAGCAGACGGCGGAGAACCACCTTTGTCATCCGACACATCGGATATTCCTGTCTCCAGGATGCTTGATCACGGTGGTCTCGAAGAGGTCAAAAGGGATAAGTTTCTGTATTGCTTCTCTTACGTGTGACGCACGAGTTTTCCTGATTTTGTGACTGTTGACTGGCTCTCCGTCGTTACACTGGCACCGGGTGCTTCTTTCACACCACGGGCGCTTGCGGCGGATGAGGCCTCGCAGCAGTTTGAAAGGGCTGAACTAGGAATGATCCGCACTTACCACCTCCGGACTTGTCGTTGTGCGAAGCGGGAACTGACCAACCCTTTCTTCATGTACTCGACCCCACCAATGGCCCACTCTGAGCAGGTTCTCGGCGCGACACCACTGGACCGGTCTCTGATATTTCCGCTCACGATCACGGGCTGTCTTGCAGCGACGCAGCACGAGGTCGACTTTTGCATCGGCAGGCTGTCGTCTGTAGGTAAAGACGCAGAGTCACTTGGAAATTGTCTGGCTGCGCGGCAGCTGATCGGATGTGTATGGGAGAAGAGGCTCGCAAAGGGATTCGAATATGATGAACAGAAGGGGGTGGGAACGGGCGGGACGGTGGTTGGTTGGCGAGAGGTCATGCTCGAGCTGAACCGAAACCCTCTCCTGCTGGTCTAAAAATCGAGGAGGAGACGTCAATGACGAAAGAGATATATTATTGAAGAGATTAGGCATTATGGTATCCGTATAGATGGGGGGCGTTTGGCATATGGTCCTTGGTTGGTGATCCCTGACGCCGGACATCCGAGAGTACAATCCATAAATGGGGAGGCTGGAGAAGGCCCACGGTGCCAGACGAAAGCAGAATGCCGGGTTTGGGGGAAACAGGTGGAGACGGTGAGGGCCCTGACTGTACAAGCGAGGGTGAGTTGTTGGCACATGAAGAATTCAAGTGTTTTTTTTTTTGTTGGAAATTAGAATTGCTGGTTATTGTAGGCGCAATGGCCGTTAGGAACGAAATCAAGTAGGCTGCAGCTAAGCCCGACAACGCCTTATGGGTTTTCTGATGGACAGATCGGAGTTTGGAAGCCCCTGAGAGGGAACTGTGCGGCCGTAGAAAGCTGTGTCGCACTGCACATAAGATGGGGTCCCATGTGGATCCTAAACTATGTGAAAATGAGTACCAAAAGGAGGCAGCGCTCGTAGGCAGTGAATGGGCGGGAAATAACCCAAAATCAATCGAGAAGTGGGTGGACAGCTAGCCATTATTTTATATTATTTACCAATACCCAAAAGGCACTTTACCTTTGCCCCTCACAGCTCCTTACTCCTCGACTCCTCCAGCGTTAGCTCCTTGGACCCGTCCTCGTCTGCTGGTTTCTCGATCGGACCTTGTTCATACTTGACTTTCCTCGTCCTTGACTCGTCTTATCGATCACGCGCTCCAGACTCGTCGACGTTTCGACCTTGTCTTTCTTTCCAGCAGCCATGGCATCGTCACGAACAAAGTCCTCTGGCGTTATACGCTCTGCTCGACGCGCGCAGAGCTCGTCTCTTCACGAATCGTCCTCTCCGCTTGCCCGCGCACCTCCGACACGAGCCAAGAGCGGTTGTACGTGTCCATTCCCATTCTCTGATCCGCTTATCGCATCATTCTTTGCTCACAATATTCTCTTCACGCTAGGTTGGACCTGTCGTCTGCGGAGGTGAGTGTCCCACCGACCATCTCCCGGTCCCGTTTGGTGGCCTTTGAGAACGTGCGCACTCATCCGAATGCTCTCCGTAGGAAAAAATGCGATGAAAACAAACGAGAAGATGGCTCTTGTGATACGTGCCAACGTCTACGCCTCCAGTGCCTCGGTTGGGTAAGTTCTGTCTTTACCCCATACTTCAGGTCGAGTTACTCATGCGTCAATCTATCGGAACCAGGGTGCCAAGCGACCAGATTGGTGTCGTGTACGTCCCTATTTCACATCCCGGACATCCGCCCCCCGTATTAACCCTCGTACGATTTGTATACTATTAGGACAAGGAAAAGGTGGAACAATACAAACTAGACATCAAGCAAAACGGTACATTGCCTGGTAACCTACGTGCAACGACGGGTGGGCAGGATACCAACGGTCCGTTGACACCAAACGCGTCAACAAACGGCTTGTCGGCCTTTGCACGACACGCCGCGGACAGATTTGATTTTCAGCCAGTCTTCAGCACAGACGATCACCGCAATGGGGTTGGTGGCTCCGACTATTTTGGCCTTCCGTCGTCTTCTGGCCTCGCCCATTTTGCAGGCGATCACCAATTTGATGGCGACATATTCGGAGCCACGAACCCTGGGGAACTTGATTTGGGCGCGTTGCTCTCCTATGTCCCTTCGCAACACTTTGTTCCTCAGCACCAGACATGGTCCAACCAAACTACTCCCGAACTCCGCGAGTCGCCAAACCTCAACGTCGTCAATCCCATCACGTCTGCGATTGACCAATCGATGCTCAGCCTCCCCCCGCCACCACCCCCATCTGCCGCCAATCCCTCGAGTCCAGCAGTTCACATCCCCATCGTGCCCTCGTCGACCTCTTCAACCTCATGGGATGGTCTCAACTATCCACCCTTTGGAACCCTACCACCCCTCTATGGCTCTGGTTCGACGACGGCGGGCGCTTCATTCGAGGTGCCGGGATCAGCACCTGCCGACGCCACGGCGTTCCTTGCTCTCCCGTCTGCCGCCGCGGGCACTGCAGGCATCACCACGCTCGATATTCCAGGCTTTGACGCGTCACAGCTCGTCCAGCCGCCACCAGTTCACCCGCTCCCGCGGGTTACCCAGAAACAGGATAAACCGCCTGCCTCTGTCGATGCCGAGACGGTTCGCAAGCAAGTGTCTTACTACTTTAATCGGGTGCGCAAAATGCAATTTCTATTCGCCGGTGAGAGCACCAAGGATGTTTTGCGCGATATCGTGGTAAGTCTTTCATTCTTTCTCCACGCGACAATAGGGTCTCATGGCGACTCCCGAACGGAGCGCTGGAGATAACTCTCTTCAATCCGATCTGGTCGGAATTAGCATTTTATTAGTGCTTAGTCCATTCCGGGTGCTCTTGTTCCACCCATTTAGCCTCCTACTCTCGAAACCATCCCACCCTGCATCGCCCACGTTTCCGAGTCTATACTTTTTGTGTGTCAGACGATGGATTGACAATGGTCATTGCAGGTCGCAAATCCTTACGGCGTCGTCACGAATGCCATCTGCGCGCTCTCCGCCATTCACGACACGCTCGTCCGCAAGGCAGCAGGCAAAGAAGCGGAGGACCCCGAGTCGGCCACCTCGCTCCCTCGTCGTTTCTATGAAAAGGCGAACGAACAGCTAATGGCATCCAGGATCCAGGGTGGTGCCTACACGGCTCTGGACGCGACTGCCACGCTCCAGCTCGTGTCATTTTCACACTTCGTCGGCGGTATCCGCGGGTGGGAGAAGACACTGCAAATTGCAGGCGATTGGTATGAAAGCACAGGGATCACCCGTCACGAGGCTCCCCTCCGCGCAATGTGGGAACTCAATCTCACCTCCAAATTCGCCAGCCGCCTTGTGGTTTGGTACGATGTCTTTTCTTGTAAGTGTCCAGGAGTTCATTTCGATCATCCCCTTCCCGACGAGAGCGTCCACCTCGAGACCCTGGCAGAGCGGTGGCTTGAGCCCTTTTTTTGGCGCGACAGCCCTGTGTTTCTCCGCGCGCGTCTCTTCCAAGCTCAGATGCCATCGTCGTGTGTGAACACGAGGCGCATCGGCGGACACGCTTTGGATATACTTTGGACCATGCGTCTCAGTGTCCGCGCTTTCATTTCGTTTTCTTGCATTGTTTCATGAACCCGTTGCTGATCGTTTCATGCCCCCTTCTTCTGGACCTGTCGCTGGATTCTCATCTCCGTGCACCGCGGGAATTGCCATCATACATCCGTGCCACGGACACAGCCGTCACACTACAACGCCCCGCACGTTTCCTATCGACGTATCGGAAAATGCTCCGCCAAGATGAATCTGCAGGCACCGGTGCAGCGCAAAAGTTTTGGCGGAAAGACTTGAACATGCAAGCCACTATGGGTTGCTCGGACGCTGTTCTCTTGGCGATTGCGGAGACGGCCGAACTGGCTCACTGGAAGGATCAGGAGAAGAAGCAAGGTTCGTTGAGTTATCGTGAGCTCAACCTCCGTGCAGAGGCCATCGAACAAGAACTACGAGCAGCAAAAGAGGCCCTCGAGCTCGAAGAGGCTCGCGCTGTCCTGGCCAATAGCGCCATGGCTCCTGCGGCGAATAATGCCTACTTTGGATCGATGTATGGAAACACGACGACTGGGATGGGAATCTTGAATATTGCTCCCACTAGCGCTCCTGGCACGCCATCTTCGACCTCTGGCGAGAGCGTTCAATCTGCGCTACACCCAACTCCCAATGGATCGTCGTCGTTGTCGCTGCCGTACGATGCTTCTGCTGCCACCATTGTCGAGGCTACGTCCAATGGCCTCGTGAATGAGGTGCCATCGACATTGACCGCAGTCGCGACAGGCGAATTCGTCCTCTCTCTCCCTCCCTCTGCCACAACATCCCGTGGGGTGACGCCAGCCAAGAACCCCTCTGCTTCACCAAAGACCAATCAATACAGTGATGGCACATGCGATCCTGTATTCCCGATTGGGTTGTCGGACCACGACCTGCGAATACGCACGAGCCGAATCTTCCTTGAAGGTGCCCTGCTCTACCTCCATACCATTGTTGCGGACTCGAACCCGAATGTTCCGGAGGTTGTCGAAGCTGTCCGCGCGGTAAAAGACGCAGCATCCTTGTTGCAACCGTCGGACGTGGACCGCGCGCTTGTCTTCCCCTTTTTCATGGCGGGATGTATGGCAGAACAGGCGGAGCAACGCGAATTCTTCCGCTCGCGATTGACAAAGGCGCACAATGGGGTCGGAAACTCGCTCGAGGCGGTGAAGATTATGGACGGCGTGTGGGAGCGAAGAAAGGAGGTGAAGAAGTGTGTATCAAAGCAGCGCGTTCACTGGCGGGACGTAATGGAGGAATCTGGCGTCAAACTCTTGTTGGCATGAGCGGCTTCTATCGAGGTACTTGCATTTGTCAATACTGTGATTAGTGTGCTGATGATACGTCTAGGCCACCCTGTGGTTTTTTTCTCATCTGTTTCGGCGACTCGAGTGCGCGCGCCTAGGGATTTCTAGTGTAACGAAGCGAGTCGTCACAGTCTTGTGACCATAGAAGTGGGAGCGATGCTCCTGCAAGCTGTCCTATCATGTTCGGACTATTCACTTTCACCATCCCGCGTGACAAGGACTTACCGACAACCAATATCTTATCATCAACTTCGCTTCATCTACATATCCAAATCATGTCTTGTCTGCACTGTTTCTTATTGGTCATGTCTTATGTCTCCATCGTGCTCTCACCTGTACAAAGTATAAAGTCGAATCCCAAAGCTTTACATTATGCCTCGGGTCTCGTAGCACTGAATCCCTGGCCTAAGCACAGCTGCCGAGGTCAACGACTCTGGGAACTTGGGCTATGTAAAGGGTTATAGTTAAGGACTGTCCAGTGCCTAGGTCCCAAGATGGGCGGCGAAGTGGAGTGTGAAATGCACCATCTGGCTGGTTTGATCCATCATGACTCAACGATGGAGAGCAATCGGGCAACAGGAAAAGCGACCTTGGAGACGAGATCCAGTCGACTTATAAAGTGCCAAAAGGCTTCGCAATGTCGGGTATCTGCTCCCCGAGTCGCTAGCAAGCGCGGAAGCGCTATGATATGGTCAAGCGCCGACCAGCGTCACGAACTACAGAATCACACCCTTTGATAAATTTGGTTTCTCACATAGAATCGGACATTAGTCGAGTCGCCGTCAGAAACCACAGAAAGCAGAGGGTAATCCCTTACACACGGCAATATCACGTACGCGCGCTTATAGAGCAACATTGTGATCCGCATTAGGAGAATATAGCTTCAACAAATCAGCTAACAACGAAAACGAAGATGGAGAAAGGAACCGCAAGCGTTAAAACGAAATAGTGACGAGACGTGTCCGTGGCATAGTCATAGGTAACCTGTGGATCAAATGGCTTTGTCGGCCCGCCTCGGGTACATCGAGTCTATAGAGGTGGTGCTCCTCTAGCTGGAGCACTGGTACCGACACTCGTAGATGTTGTCGTCGTCGCCAGACTCGCATTATTTGATGAAGACGGTGGCTCGTTTGTTTTTGAACCATGTCGCTTTCGATCGTCGGTCGCGCTACCTTGCAAAGCACCGGCCTTGCTCGTGGCGGCCTCGCTTTCCTTCTCCTTCTCCTTGGAACCCTCCTTTGCGTGTCCGCCCGTCGTCACGCTCACTTCGGCCTCTTTCTCTTTTGCCCGTCTCGCAATCAACGCCCGAATGGCGGAGATCCATTTTACTTCTTCCTCCTCTGAGGGAGCGGATAGTGCCAGCGTTTTCTTTGGGGTCACCACTTTGAAAATGTAATTCATCCCATATTCTGATGAAAGCGCATTGTTCGTTGAATTACCCCCTCGGGATGTGGATGCGGCGTTGCTCGCAGACTCATGCGGAGCGGATGAAGGTTCGTTGCCCAGAGGTCCGTGCTTGTGTCCGTGCGTGGTGGTCTTGTACTCGAAAGCGTCAATGATCTGACTGAGCGGGATTTGTCGGTGCGGTTTTGCATCCTATGCCCCGTCAGCAAGAATCAGTCAGCACAATAACCATTGTCCTCACCATGTGACTGCTCATGTACACTAGCTTTGTTGGCGTCAAAACGAACCATCGTTTCCGCCATGTTTTCCGCAATTCGCCAGCCTTCATCAGATATCCACTGATGATTGGCTTTCCGAGCTCTCTGACATCCTTGACATCTTTGGAGCTTGAAGCTTGTCTAGCAGATGGCGACACGTCGTCCTCGGAATCACTCGATGTATTACCTGTTGGAGCGTTTCTTCGCGAGGTGGAGATGGGTGACACGGGCTCGGTAAACGTAACAGACGGAGGTGAGGCTCCTGGTACAACGACGGAGACTCTGGGTGGCGACTTTGATCTGATCTCCGCTGGCATAGTTTCCGCAGAATTTGGAATAGGAACTGCGTCGGAGGGAGGTGGAACAATAACGACAGGAGTGGGTGACGGTGGGTTTGTGCGTCGGAGTGCTTCCCGCGCTTCGTTGAGTTTCGTGACCCATTCTTCGATTTCTTTCGACGTCTGGGCTTGAAAGTAGAACGTCCGCGCTTGCGTGACAATTCCGCATGTGTTTGGGTGTCGCTTGAGCTGGACTGGAGTCACTGCGTGCATTTCGACAAGATCAAGTAACCGCAGTAGCTTGTACTCGGCAGAAGTCTTGTAGCAAGCAAGATGGGTTGGCCGAAGAACAAACCAGCGCTTCTTCCACGTCTATTTTTGACATCAGATATTATCAAATGTAACCGATGTAGGCTAGCGAAAGAAGCGAACCTTTCTGGGACCAGAGCCCTTCTTCCAGAGATAACCACTGTGCAGAACAGCCACACTCTTGTCGTTTCCCATCCCAGCACTCCCAGCAGCACCCGCAGGCCGCCACCCACCGGCAACATCCTCCTCTTCGTCACTTTCGTCTGGACCGGACAATGCGTGTTCTGCGATGGCACTGAGAGGTTGTGAATTGGAGTTTCCAGGGGCTGTATCGTTGCTATTCGGGCCCTGAATGGATAACTCGTCTTCGGTGTCTGTACCGCTGCCCTGGGGTATGGGAATACGGCCTTTGCCCTGTTCACCACGAGTTGTTAGCCCAATTTTCGCCTCCCATGTATACGTAAGTAAGAGATGGAGCGCAACGGCGTCGCAAGGCACTTTTGCCATTGCGGAAATGGCGCGCAGAGACTTTGGTTTCCAAAACGAGCGGCCGCAGTTGTTCGTTACGCTTGGAGCGCGGGGGGATGGAGCGTACAACGCAGATGAGGAGACAAGACTCGCCTTTCGCTGGGCCACACTGAGCTTGCGCTGAATCTCTTGTGCTGACGGTGCTTGACCTGGCACCGACTCCTGAGGCTGAAGCGAGGCCATTGCTATCGATGTGAATGTAGATTGTAAACGCTTTCAGGCTACGTAATGTCCGGGCTGTTGGGCGACGCTGGCCAACGTGCGGTGGAGAGATCCAAGGAGCTGTGACAAGTTTCGCCACTTGCCACGGACATCACCAGCCGCAAATGACGACCATACAGATTAGAAACCAATTATGTTCCCATACAATGAACTAGGTCTGCCAGAAGAGTGGTCCAGGCCCACAACAAAGTTGTAACACTCCACTACACCCCGCAATCCATACATCGAGCATGGCAGACAAATTTGATACCGCAGCTCAAATAGGTATGTAATTTGCGATGGAGAGTATCTCAGTCCCAAATATTCACAGTCCAGAGCCTGCCCAAGGATGGCCCCGTGCAGCCTACGGTAGAAGACAAGCTCTTAGTATGTTTATCAGCTATCAGAGCACCATTTTGATCAAATCCCAGTTCTATGGCTGGTACAAGTCGGGTATCGTCTTTCGTCATAATACCAGAGGGATCATGCTAAATGGGCGGTAGTGAAGGTAGGAGCCGTCGACCATACACGTCCCCGGTTAATGGACTTTGAAGGAAAGGCCAAATGGTGAGTCTTAAACCCGAAACTTAAAGGCCCTTGCAACTGTGCCCAGGGATGCATGGAATGCTGCTCAGACGACTCCTACAAATGAATGCAAGAGATTATACGTGCAGAAGCTCATTGCGGTAATGCTCCCTTCTCGCCCCAAAGACGAGGCTTGACGCTTAGTAGATTCTAGAGGCATCAGATTCAGAAGAGGCAAAGAAATATTTAGCACAGTTGAAGTGAATTGTACCTAGTTTCGGAAGAAGATTGGGTCGGTTGCAGGATCTGTGATGACTGCCTTTCGTGCCAGTCGACCATGCTCATTGAGCATGTAAAGATCATATCCACTACCAGGTTAATGACCCATCCTAACTTCCGAGAGGCTTGAATCAGCATGAACTACAAATTGAGCCTCAATCGCCGTGAGCACTTGCTGTAGCATCTCCTCGGGGGTCTCCGTTCCGAATTATTCGGGTTTCATGTCCGCTAAATGTGATTGGATCCACTTGTGCCGGTACAGCTGGTTGGTGACGTCGGGAAGAGAGAGATGTCGAAGACGGGGTAACTCCCAGTACGATGGGATTGCGCTCTGAGAATCTCTTGAGGTGCCTAATTCCATAAAATATGAGAAAAATACCGTTATGCGCCAATGCCCACAAGGACGATGCAGTTCGAGTGCTTCGAGTGCCGGAAGTGCGGCTGCAATAGCTAGGATAAGAAAGTTAGACAACTTAGGAAACAGAGATGAGTCCAAAATACCATCTAATATATAATCCTGCATCTTGCAATCAATCGCCAGCCGAATTATGTGAGGACTCAGACTCGCCACCTTTGAAAACTCCGCCAGCCATACGTCCTTGGGAACATGGTCCTCGAAGTACCACGCGTACAAAGACAGGTCACGAACGTTTGGACAGAATTCGAGCAAAGGTATCCACGCAAAGCCATTGATGCAAAGGCGGGAAAGGGTTGGGAATAGGAGACCCTCTGTTTTGTTCTGCATTGACTCGTACGTAGCAAAGAATCGATCTATATACTTTTCCGGAGCCTCAATACGGAGTACTTGTAAGTTCTTGAGAGCCGGAATGAGGGTAATAAAGCTGGGCGGGATGCCAGGTCGCCGCCTTGGACCTTTGTCTCGCACTGGTTTACGATGAGTCTCCAGATATGCTCAGAAATTACTGTATAATCAATACTATTATACTTTTTTGCTAGAATAAACAGTGATAGACAGGTTAGGCCTTGTCTAATACTTCATTGGCTGCAACCGGCCCCTTCTCCGAAACTGGCATCTTTTCGGTGCTGGGGTCCCGTTTCTTTCTCGCTCCCAAGACTCCAATTCCATGTAAGAATACGACAACAGTCATAAATCCTATGCATGACATCAGTGAAGCCCGTGTAATACAAATCCTGACTCACCAAGCATTCCGAGTCCAAAGCTCGTCCATTGTGCAATCCTATAACCCTTGAGCAGAACAAGTGGCGGAATCTCTAGCGCCGTCTCGCTCGGACTCAAGGTGATACCCAATCGACGAGCCTCGCTTCTCTGCCCAGCGGCCTCTGCAATCGTAGTGACGGAGAGCCCAAACGTCGTGCCAAGCATGGTGACAGTTTGGAAGAGAGCACCAGCTAGAGACTGTTCGGAAGGGTGGGCCACTTTGGCGACGAAAATCGTTCCGCATGCAAAGACAAAGTCGGCGCCAAAGACGCAGATAATGGCGTTTGGGAAACCATATGACCAGTATGGTGCGGACGTGTCGATGATGGCGAATAAAAGGGCGGCTAGCGAGGTAGCAACTGTTCCGAGGGCTGGGAATGAACGGTTAGTATGGTCATCGCTATACATAGAGAGACGCACCGAGGAGATAGGCTCCACTGATGTGGCCCACGGTGATCGCGACTACTATGTTGCAAATCACACCGGTGACAGCCATGGGGATAACGCGAACCATGGCAAGCATTGGCGAGAGGCGGAGATAATTTTGATAGTAGAGCATAACCCAGAATGTGAGAGACGTGAAACATGCCCATTCCAGGAAACCTGTGAGCTGCATAGCGGAGAACCGGCCGTGATCTCTTGTCCAAATGTCCAACGGCATCAGAGGTGGGAAAGAGCAGCGTGTGATGAGGTAATGTTCCCAGAGACAGAACACACCAATGAGCAAGATGGAGAGGACCAAAAATGAAATGACGAGGGGAGAGCTCCATCCTCGAGAAGGACCGTCGGTGAGACCGTAAGTCAGGAGCACCAGACCCGCAGTAACGAGGAATGCGCCAATCCAATCAACGCGTTTATCGATGCCGTGATGGTGATTGTCCTTGTCGATGGAGAACATTCCTGCAACAAGGACTACCAGGCCAATCCCAGCGGCAAAGTAATATATGCCTCTCCAACTAGAAGTCGTGAGACGTAAGCTAGATTCTGATTGTAGTACTTACGAGGCGTATTGGGCCATCACACCTCCAAACACCATACCGAGAGATGCCCCAAGTGGTGCTCCAGCTGAAAATGTTGCAAAGGCCACACTCCTCGCTCTAGATGGAGGAAAGGAATGAGCAAGGATCCCGATGGCTGCTGGTATCATGGCTGCCTGGCCGATGCCACTCATCGCCCGGAGAATGATTAATTGCACTCCTGTTTGAGCAAAACCACAGGCCAGCGTGAAGACTGTTGTCCATAATCCGCCTGCCATCCAAACAAGCTTCCGACCGTATAGGTCTGCGAGACGACCGAGGAGAACGAGGAGACAGCCAGAGGAGAGAGTGAATGCGGAAATGATCCAAGAGACTTCACTCGAGGACATGTGAAGAGACTCTGCGGTTTTAGGTATTGCTATGCTCACTCCTGATGCGAGGGCGACCTGGTAGAACGTTATTCCGTTTGGCCATCCGTGGCTGAGCAACTCACGTTGAGGATCATAGTACCCGTACATGCTGCGACGATGATGACGGATTGCCCGAAACTACGCTTTACGGGAATTGTGGGCTGAATATATTATAAGAGGACGTCATGAGGAGTGCCAATAAACTCACCGCAGTCATGTCAGCATCGTTATCTGTAACTGTCGTAGTATTCGAGTGCAGATCCACCTTCGTGGCTTTGACTTTGACAGAATTTCGAACAGGCTCCCCTTCGGTGCTCATGGCCTCTCGACGGATGACACGCCGGTGGGATTAAAAGACTACCGAATGATTTTTCACGTCGTCTCGCAAGGTGGAGGCCAAGTTTATATCGTATTTTAGAGACAAAGCAAGTGCCGTGTCAGCCTTAGTAATCGGCAGTGAGAAAGATGTGCCGTATTGACGACTAAAGTCTTTTGTTGCACGTCGCAGCCTGGCTACTGCGGAAGAAGAACGGACTTGGAGTATAGATTATTCTGACGGAGGCCGTCGATAACCAAGGAGGTGCAAGATGGCCAGACGCTCGACGTCATCCTAGACCAACATACTTATTTTGGTAGAATATAAATTTGTATATTTCCGAGAATAAGCTCGGTAACACTGGTGATTTGCTGGTGAAGAGCAGGATCCAAGCTGCACTCGAATGGCCAAGCCAACTTCTTGATCCCTTTCCACGTCTCTATATTTTCTAAGATATTCTGAATATCGACTATTTCTAGCCAGCATTCAACATCCAGCAGTCTTGTTTGGGTGGCGTCTGGCAGGCTGTTTACCCGGGACTTCAACATCTTGGCCGCAACTTGATCTTGACCTCGACCGCCACTAGCAGGAAATTTGATGCAAATACAACACTTGTAGACTCAGATTCGAATGCGCACGCTGTTGCACTCGTCTCGGATACTCGCTCTTGGCCTTGGTCTTTACGCCGCAACTGCCAATGGCCAGGCATCACTTCCAGCCGCCCGGTACGTCTGAACTCCTCTCAAAGAGCTGTAGATACGCTAACATGGCTTAGATGGGGCCAGGCGACCACGGTCATAGGTTCAACCATCCTTGTACACGGCGGCAAGCTGGACCAGAACAACTCTTTTTCATATTCGTCCGCTCCAAATACGGCACAGCTGCTTTCTCTCGATCTCTCTTCAGGATTCACCCTTGACAATCCCCCATGGGGCGATGTAGACGCCCCCAATGGACCAGCACTCGCCTTTCACTCCATTACAGCCTTTTCACAGCAAGAACTCTTGTTTTTCGGTGGAGACCCAGGTCCGGAGCTTCCACTCTCTACCCGAAACGACTCGGCTGGTACGCTCTGGTATGCAGGCCACCGAGGCACTTGGAAGACATACCCAGACGGCTGGGCTCAACAGCCAATGCGACGACAATATCATTCAGCAAACTCTTTTCACGGTCGTGTATTCATTACCGGCGGTGAAAAAGTCGACGGGAGTGACTTTGGCTTTCGGGATCCATACGTGTTTAACCCGTGGGTCTCGGGATCGCAGTTCTCTGCGCTCTCGAGCGACGCAAGTCCTCCAGATCTCGTCGGGCATTCGACCATCACCTTGCCCAATGGCACCCTTTTTGTTCTCGGTGGCTATTCACGGTCCACTCAGCAACTTCAACCACTGAACACGGTCTACACCTATAACATTTGGGACGGGTCTTGGTCGAGCTTCAACACGAATGGGGACGTGGTTCCCACTGGTCGAAGAAACTTTGCCGCGGTTCTCGTAGGAACCGACTCGGTCCTGATTCATGGTGGGGCCGATGGGAGCTTCTTGCAAGGCCGATCCGATGGTTTCCTGCTCAGCTTTAGCTCCAGGACCTGGACATCACTCCCAGCATTGGATCAAGCCCTCGGTGCCCGATGGGATCATGCTGCTTTTGGCATTGGCAATAGTGTCTTTTTTGCCTATGGTACGTATCCTCAGCCCTATTACCCCACCTTTTAATGCTACTTAGGATACACTTCCAATGGTCCCGCATCCAATGCGTTGCTACTTTATGACGTTCCAAGCGGATCATTCCAAGGCTCTTATACGCCACCAGGCGGGCTGCCAAATACAAATTCCCCTGCTATATATCCTGATAATGGTGGCGGTGGTGGGGGAGGTGGTAATTCTCCTCCCTCTGGCTCTGGCTCAGGAGACAGTAGCCCAGGTGGACAAGACACCACTGGCAACCCTGGAGGCTCGACTTCGCCTCCTCACAATGGCCAGAGTGGAAATGATTCAAAAGGAAACAGCACGCCAATCGTCCTAGGTTCCATTTTTGGAGGGCTCGCGGCGGCTGCCCTCGTGGTGGTCATCATCGTCGTTTATCGACGTCGCAGAAATGATAGAAACAATAGAAGAGGATGGAGTGGAACCTCTGATGATGCCGAAAAGCTCGTCGTGGTTGGTGGCTTCCAACGAGTTCCCCGCGGAAAAGGATATGGTCTCGTCACTCGCCTCCTCAACGTTCGACCTACAACAGTATACACGCAGGCACCCGCACGCGAGAGGTTTGATATTCTTGGAGACGAAGCCAATTCGCATTACCGCAGAGAGTCGCGCCCGCGAGGATACAGGACTGGAACGGGAGATACTGGAAGTAGCTATGGTGCAGGGAACCTTAGGCGCTGGGGAAGCTTGGGGAATGCGCCTTCGGCCATCGGCTCACTGGTCACCGCAAGTGTCAGTAGCTTCAAGACTACATTCGGGCTCAACAATCCGCCTCCTGCACCTGTTCAAGATCTCAAAGGCGACTCGAACAATGGGGGCTCTCGAAATCTCATGGCTCCTCCAAGTGCGTGGAGGCGTGGGTCGTCTTACACATCCAACTATCATACCGACCCCTTTGGAGATGAAAATGGTGTAGAAGAAGAATATCAACGCGCAATGGGTATGCAGCACGAGGCGCTCAAGAGGGCATCGTCCTCTGGCACCGACGAATACTCTGCCCTCATCCTCAATCGCAACCCATCAGAAGGAGTTGCGCAACCAATTCCAGACACTTCCAGACACAGCAACTTGGCATTCATTCCCCTTGCTCCAGTAGTATCCGGCTCCACCGACCCATCTCAGTCTCACGGATCAGACGAACATCATGAGCGACAGAAAACGTCGGCCACGACACATGGTACGACTATTATTACTCCATTTGCCGACGGTTCGCAGCGTAGCGGATCCCCTCGAGTACATAGTCCAACTCCATACCAACTTCAGCGAGCCACATCGGCTGGTAGTCGTATTGGAGCGTCGCTCACACGTGCTATCTCCGCTGTCTCGACCCTCTTCAGCGGTGGCCACGAGTACCAGAGCCCACGTCAACGAGGCAAGTCTCTCGGCGGCGGTGTGACTGCGACGCCATACCAATACGACTATGAAGACCTACGGGACCCGAATCCGCCACCTCCGATGCTAGGCATGGGCCTTCTCCCCATCGCCGAGTCGAGAGGCGAGGATGCTAGTCGCCATGCGAGCCGTTTCATGTCGTCCTCTGAAGGTGGCGTCGGGACAACGAGTACGGGTAGACCACCATTGGTGCTCAGGGCTTTGCACGGAAAGAGCTTGAGCTCCTTGAGAACGGCGAACAGCGAAGCATTAGAGCGGTTAGGTACTGGCAATTGGAACGTCATTCAACGCGACGAAACTGGAAGCACGCGACGGACAGACGGGTCCCTTTCGAGTGTGCCAGACAGCCAATACACTGACCTGGTGGGTGAAAATGCAATGGGCGACGCGGATTCTGCGAGCATGAAGTGGCAGGATGTTGTAGGACAAGGTGGAGAGACACGTACCGTAGTCGAATCGCCGGTCGATTTGGCGTCCCGCGACACCTTCTTCAATGACCATCCTCCATTGGCGAGTCTTTCTGGTCCCTCTAGTCCTGCTGGACCACGACCTATTCCCCCTTCCAAGCACGTGTCGTACAGTCTGGCCCAAAGGATGGAAACGCTCGGTAGAGGCGCGGACAATGCGCCTTCCTCACCCACAGCAAGACACCACGAGCCAACCTCTCCTCGACGACCAACCTATGTTCTCGCTCCCAAACCAACCCTCTTCATTGCCAATCCAGGAAGGCGCGGAGCTACAGATTCTTCATGATCCACCCACTAGCATGGCTGCTTTTGCCTATCGGCTATATTTACCCAGCATTGTTGTTCTGTATCAGCTCTTTCATCTTTATTCTCTTTGGCAAATTCACGAGTGATTTACGACTGTTCACGATCCATACAGGCCCTTTTAGACGGACATTTTTCCTGCCATGTACCCAGTTCTTTGTCTTGCAATTGTATCCCGTGCTTCGTGATTCGGCTTGTGAACTTCTCACTTGGACGCATGTCACGACTTGTTCGAGTTGGACATGTGTTGAAACCACCACAACTCCTCTCCCTTAGAGCAAACTCTACCATATCGAATGCTCTGAGGCAAATACAAACGCAGCAACCGTCGTTGGCCGTCGATTCATCCCAAGTCAAGATTCTCAACTTGCCGCAAGAGTTTTATTCGACATTACTCGTGCGTAAAATCATCAGAATAGAGTACGTATCACAAACAGATGTCGATCATATAGGAACGAATAAAAAATGCAAAGTCGCGAATCTTTCTTTCGTCTCTGTATGTTGGGCATGACGAGCACGAGTTGGTCAGTGACGATAATTATGAACTCTTGAACTAGTTTAACGTTCACAGCTTCATGCACTTGAGGACGCGTTGAAGACCAAGCCAAACCTCCAGGTTCATCTGCAATTGGATTACTTTCGCTCAACACGTCCTGGAGCGGATAGCACAGCACTCGCTCTATTACCACTAGTCAAAGCATATTCAGATCGGATACATGTCAACTTGTATCGCAGCCCAACGCTCAAGGGCCTTACCGCTCGCATCGTACCGAGGCGATTTGACGAAGGTTGGGGCACATGGCATGCGAAAGTATATGGAACCGATAATGATATTATAATTTCGGGGTGAGTTAACTTGGAAAAGCCCAAGAATTTCTGACATACGGAGGCAGAGCCAACCTCAATCGGAGCTATTTTGTCAATCGACAAGATCGTTATATAGCTTTCACCGAGCACAAAGGATTGGCGGATTATTGTGCAGAGTTTCTGGATATTTTTTCGCGCCACTCCTTCTCACTACAGCCATCCAGGAGCAAGCCATATGCTCTCGAGTGGCGGAGCAAAGATGGTGAATACCAGACTTTTGTCCCCCGCCTTCGACAAGAGCTAGAGTCGTTCCAACACCGGCATAGAGCTAGGGAACCCTCAAAGCAATCTGATGTGCAGCTCATTCCGATGATACAGTCTGGACCGCTTGATATACGCGAGGAAGAACGTGCACTCTCAAATCTACTCTATACTTTCTCCCGTTCACATCAGAGTCATGTAGACCTTACAAGCGGCTATTTCGCACTTTACGAGCCATATCGACTACTTGTCTACAACTCCCAGTGTCGATGGAAGATATTGGCGGCGAGTCCCAAGGCCAATGGTTTCTATGGCTCAAAGGGAATATCAGGTAGGATCCCGGATGGATATACCATACTAGAGCGCGAGTTTTGGAAAGGCGTCAAGCTGAGCCGGAAAGCCGACCAGGTCGACTTGCGGGAATGGGAAAAGGCAGGCTGGACGTATCATGCCAAAGGTGCAACCCAGAAGATTTAATTGATAACTGAGTGCTGATCTTGTAATGATAGGCATTTGGCTTCGACCCAAGAGTGACGAACACCCGACAACAACTGTCTTCGGATCAACAAACCTCAATTCAAGATCCGCAAACTTGGACACAGAGCTTTCTTTTATCATGCATACACAATCCGATTCATTACGTGCACGTCTACATGACGAGGCGAATCGCATCTGGGCAAACGCATCGACCGCTGGAGAAGGAAACCTGGTCGCAACCCAGCCGGAAACCAACCTTTACCACTGAGATGATTGTACGGTTGGTTCGAGATATGTTGTGATAGATATCGACAGAGTAATATTACGACTTTTCGCCACTCAAGCGGGCGACGCTCTGCAACCCTCATGCTGAAGCTGCCCTTCTGTGTTGCTCTATAAGATCAAGGACTTGTAAGAGTGTCTCTCGGTAGAGAAGGACATTGTATTCGATGGTCCCTCGCAGGTCCTTCCAGACTTGCGAGGAGAGTCCCATTATGAGACTCAGTTCCCTGTCATCCTCGTCAAATTCTATGACGAAATGAATCGGCCAATAGACCCACTTGTTGATCTGCCAGTATGCGATCGTGCTTTCGCTCAATATTAATTGGCACGAATAGGTCCCGTCTGATTCTCCTTCTCGCAATCTACATGCGGCATTAGTTTGCGCCATAGACGCGTGATCCTTACATACCCTGTACCGATGACCCCAGACATTGCGGTCAGAAGCTTGAGATACTCGACGCTTAAGCTAAATGTTGGCATTTCATGTGTCTCCTGGTTGGCCGAAACTCGAAGACAAGCCTTTGAGTCAAAGAGGAAAGCATATTGACTTCCACATGACTGCCGCTCTTGTGAGCAAAGTTTATGGATATAGCGATACCTACGATGTGAACAGAGTTGAGCAGGTTTTCGTATTGTCCCAGCGTGTCTGTGGGTATCATGCGGGTGATGACATTTGAAAAAGCTTCGTATATGGTATGGTCGTATATGGATGTCGCATGAAACATCATGGACCGTGCAAGAGGGCTGTCATGGAGGTTTTGACCTTCCAATTCGTCGGCTATTCTCCGTTGAACGTCGCTGAACTTGGCTTATACGCCTTTAATATTTAGAATGATCCACCTTAGAGTGCGTACCTTGCTTATTTTCGTTGGCGAGTGTCTCCATCTTGTGCACAAAGAGATGAAAGACGAGATGTACGGCATTGGCCTCAGTTGCAAAAGCAAGCATATCTGCAAACTGTGCAATAGCATTGAACCAGTGATCCTAAGGTCGAGTTATTAAGAGGAATGATCAAAGACGCTGTAAATGACTCGCATTGATGTCAAGAATGAACACGACAGCTTGAACATCCCGTAAATAGCCAGTGAGATCTGTTTCGGGTATATCTTCGCTTCCAGGAAGATCCCATATCTCTAGTGGAATGATTGACCTACAGAGCGTTAGAGTGTCGATACTAGCAGAGACAGTGGACACCATGTGAACCCGCAAAATATAAAATTGGACCTGCCTGAATCGTGTCTTTTTCATCTCCTGGGTCGTCTGCGCGAAGAATGTCTCCTTGGGAAGCGTTCCATCAAAAACAACGCGCTTGCACGACGTCTTTCCACTCCTAGATAATAAGAGCTTTAATATACATATCTATATCGAAAGTGCCATCACATCCAGCGCCGCCTGGACTAGTTGAGGCTGGAGATGAGACTGGCCCAATGCGCGCAGCATACCTTCGTAAACCAGTGATAAGAATCCGTTGGTAGTAGTTGTCTCCGACTTTGTCGTCTGCCTTTTTCGATGTTTCGACGACCATTGTTCAAATGTGGGTGGGGTCAAAGGTTGAACTCTACAACTACCAGCAATGGACGAGCCAATGAGAAATAGATAATCATACGATTGTACATGAGTATATACTCGAATCAAGATCGCTTGGCTTTCTCAACAAGTGCACTCCTTTGGCTCATACGGCTGCCTGCCTACTGTTGTCCACGACCAGGCCCTCCAAAGAAACCCTTTCTCGGCAGGGGTGGTCTCGCGAGTTGAGCTGATTGCACTTGACGAGAGACAGGAGCTTGGGAACTTGGTTGAGAGCTTGATTGGGCGTTTGGCCCTGGTTGATAGCTTGGTTGAGCATTTGGTTGGGGCCCTGGTTGAGAGCTTGATTGAGAGCCTGGTAATATGCGAGAGCTCGTGGATGGATTAAGCGTCGGTGGCGCGTTGACCATATCCCATGAAGGATTGCGTTGGTGTGGTGGTGGTGCAGGATAAGACACCTGAGGCGAGCTGCTCCTGGGCATCTGCACCAGTTGGGGTGGCGACATGCTGCGGGAATTGGAATTATCTAAAGATAAATTATGAGTACATATCTACTGAGCACAGCTGGGTTTGTTACCTGAAGCGTTCCCGCTCGAGTCCTTTCTGGGCATCTGCACCATTTGGAGTGACGACATGCTGGGGGATTTAGCATTATCTAAAGATAAACCGTGAGTGCAAATCTACTGAACACTGTTGGGTTTGGTACCTGAGGCGTCCTCGCTCGAGTCCTTTCTGGGCATCTGCACCATTTTGAAGGGCGACACGCTGTGAGATTTAGCGTTGCCTAAAGTCAAGCTGTAAGTAAAGGTCTACTTGGCACAATGGGATTTGTTACCTTTGTCGCCATCGTCGTTGTCGTCGTTGTCTTCGTCGTCGTCGTCGTCGCTCGAGCCCCCTCCAGAACTCTCGTCATCTGTCGGCTCCCTTACTGCATCTCGGCTCCTCCAGGGTTCTTGTCATCCCCTACTGCAATTAGTCCCTGTCTCGGCTCGCTGGTCCGGCATCTGCATACCTGTGAATACAAGTGTCAAATCGATATGAGACCCGGCATCTGCGATATCCCTGAGCTTTTTGGAGGTGCTCAGCCGTTTCTCTCTATGCTGGACGCCGGTGACGCGCTTGTTGCCCTTCTCGCTTTCTTCCCAAATGAACGCACCGATCTTGGTGTCCAGGGAATATTCATCTAGTCATTATAAGCTCCAAGTAATGAAAAAACAATTTGACCCAAGACATACGTGGTGAGCCAATCGTGGAGCCAACTTTGACTGAAACTTTGACCGTTTCCTTAGAAAGGGGTTCCCTCTGCGATTCGAGTTAGAGCAAGTCGATTGCAACCAAGGATATAAACTTGCCTTTCCGATTCTCCCATTGATTTCATCCATCCGTGTGTCGTCCCGATTCTTGGCTTCGTCCATTTCTTCCCGAATCCGGGCTGATTCTAGTGGCAAGTAAGCCTCAAGGGCTTTTGTCACTGCATCTGCGGCCTCTCGATAGGCACCCTGGATCTCTTCCTTCTTTGAAGTGCTGATCATATCTCCTAGCAGGCCGGAAGGGAGCTTTGATGCGGTATTGAGAGCCTCTAGAGACTTCGAAATGGCCCTATTCGTAGTAAGTATCGAACTATATGCAATGGCCTCACTCACCGCTCCACAACTCTGAGTGTGCTGAGTTCTTTAGCCTCGCTTTTATTGTAAAGTTCAGCCACTTTTTCGCAATATTGAACTAATCTTCGGTTCTGGAACATAAAAGGCCGTGGAGTGTCGCGAGATGCGAGAATGAGTTTCACTATGCGCTGGTCAGGCAGGTTACTGCTGTCTGTTGTAAACGGTGAGCACTGCACGGCAATATCAATGATTTCTCACCCTGTTTATATGTTAGCCTTTATCCAAGAAGTAAAGGAGGTACATACCTTGAGCTCTTTCAAGAACTCGTCGTATTTTGCCTTGAGGCTGGCTCCTTCTCCCGCTTGGATAGCAGTGACGAGGCTAGTTTCCTAAGCAGTAGACTCGATATACCCAAAGTGGTTGCTCACCTTGTACCAAATCCCCAGACCTTGTTTTGTGACAAATGATATTTTCTGGGCTCGGTTGTGTCAGAAGCTCTGGCCTCTTCGGCAGCAGCAGAGACAAGCCATGCAGCCTTGATCGCATACTCCATTGCCTATAAAACGTGCATCGTGAATTCTTAGCTCAGGACTCCTTGCCTGTTCCCTCACCTCAGACGTCAATCCTGATCCGGCCGCCTCTGCTTTGACCAGCAAATCCTTCAGTCCTTTGTGAACCGATCTCAGATTTTTGCTTGAAGTTGTGTGAATAGATGATAAATGACAGCTAAACAGACTGACCATGAAATTGCGCAAACCGACTCATCAGTGTTGATTCTATCGACCATTCCACGAAGGAGCAGAGTATCGTCCAGACCTGGCTCCCAGAACTATGGAAGGTAAACTACCATCAACCTAGTTCGCTACAGGTACACATACCCCAAGCGTCTCTGAAGACGACAACGCGAGAACCGACGCCAGATTATTCTTGCACTCTTCGCGCTCTTTCGTCCAGGCTTCAATGTGAATCGAACTGCTGGCAACATTCTTCGGTTCCGTTTCGAACTTCGTAGGGGCTTTTAATTTGAGGAGGAAGCTTATCCGAGATATAAGGAGTTATACCCTTCTGAGGATATGTAAACTCACCCTTCCAGTGTGTATATGTCGTTGATGTATGTAGTAAAGGTATCCCAGGCCTCTTTATCTGAAAACTCTTCCGTGATAGGCGCGATCAGGTCAATAATAGCCTGAATCTTCTTCTTGGCCAGTTCGTGAATGGATATGCTCGTTAGTATGTTGAAAGATGCATCCTTGAAATCTTCTCGGATGACCTCTAGAAGGCGCTCGAGGGGCTTTACTGAGGTGCTCATTGCAGTTTCAACTGCTAGGTAGCGGTCACACTGGGCGCCTTATACATGTCATACTGACCTGCCTGTGTCCTCGAGGCTCATGAGGAAGGCCGTATAGTGTCTATCTTGGACCATATCTCCCACATAAAAGGTATATGACACCCCTTGGGACACATCAGCTGATTGCCGGTTAAGAGCTAGTACAATTGAATTGAACCTGAGAGTTCCAAGAGGCGGGGGAAAAGCCCAAAGCTGTGTATCGCGATCTATCAAGCCATTCAACCCATCTCAGAGATCAGACGTCTTATCCTGGCCGGTTTACTAGTACCGCCTCGAAAGTTAGTATGCTACCCCAATTGGCTGGGCTAGGACAACCAGATTCAGATAGCCCCCAGTGGATCTAATAATCAGGAGATAACCTGTGCGAAGTAGTATCCAATTGTGAGTTCACACGGCCAATTCCGGCGAAGATGAACAGAGGTCTCATGTGGACAATACAAATCTGAGCTCCTTCGCACGATCAAGGGTCTGGATAGTTTGATGTGCTTCCAAATACTTTCCATCCTGCATGAGCCCCACAATGTGGTTTCCTGCTCTGAGCCTTGCTTCCCATATAAGCGCACCAATCTTAGTGTCGCCTGGATACTCTCCTAGGGCGCGTTCAATAAAAATGCAAGCAGTACAAAAACGCACGGCTTACTATCTGCTGGGGTTATTGGACTGTCCGTGATAGTGATCTTAATCGTTCCGGCTTTTGTCCGCGATGTCATCTAGATGATGGATGAGTGTGCTATTGTTCGTCCAATAGAGTAGTTCTACTCACAGATGTAGATGTGCACCGACCCTTGAGCTCTTCTATGCGATCATTGTCATCCTGGGTTGCGGCCCGCATTTTTTGCTCGAGCGCGGCAGCTTCGGTCGGTTTGTACTCGTTCAACGCCTCTATGACCTTCTGTTGTGCTACCCTATACGCTTCTACTGCTTCTTGGAAGACTCTCTGCTCGATTTCGAATGTGCCACTGGCCGGAAGGCACTTCACTGCGGCGTCTACGGCTTTCTGAGACTCTTCGATTGCACTGTAAGCATGATTAACATTTACCCGATTAAAAGGACGAAACTTACAGCTTGACCGAACCTTGATGATGGACCTTGTGTCCAATGTCACTGTCACTGTTGTACTCGCGCGTCAAGATCATGCAATGATCCAAGAGAGTCTCGTTGCGCGATAGGAAAGGCCGCGTGATCTTCCTAGAGGCCACGATGAGTTTTATAATGCCATATGTCGGGGGTTCTTGTTCGTTGTCTGCATGGCGTCAAGATGCGGCATTTAAGCAAGGCCAGACATACTCTGTAAACAAATTTAGTCAAAAAAGTCAACATAATGCGCAAGCTACTCACCAGCAGCTTGTTGAGGAATTCGCTGTATTTAGCCTCGAGCGCGGAATCTTCCAGGTCTGTGATACTCGATACGAAACTAAGAGAGTGAATGAAATAGTATAAGAGATCATGCCTGACTTACTCTCGACCGAGGTTCCATAAGGTTTCGTCGATCAACCCAAGCTTTCGCGTTCCTCTGGCATCCTTCGCTTCCACAATAGCGGAGTTGATAAGCCATGCAGCTTTCACTGCATACAGGACTCTCTAGAGATTATTCAGTCTCAATTTTAGGACAAGTATTAGGACACGCTCACCTGCCCTTCCAAACCTGACTTCTTGCTGGCCTCATCCAAATGAGCCTTCAGCGCTTTATGAGCGTCCACAAGACCCTGGCTACTCATGTGAGATCGAAGTCTCGATAAACTTAGAACCATACCAGTTGATCGCACTCTCTTGTCCGCTGATAATTCTGCCAACCAGGGTTTGGAGAAGTGAAGTGTCGTCTTGATGCTGTGCAGCTTTAACCTACGATCAATTTTGTCAGGTACTTTTATTGGTGGTGGGCTTCTCCCTGTACGCACGATCGTTTCGGGCTTAGCCAGGAACGTCACGATATGGTGATGACTTTCTCCAAGCTTTTCTCGTCGACCCTCCCATGTTTTCAGGTGTGTATGAGCCATTTGAACTGTCGTGGATTCAAGGTCAATGTTTGCCGGCTTTAGGACCCCAGCTTTCAGAACAAGTCTGGCGGAGCAGTGAGAAGGATATCATTATACAAGCGGCTAGAGAATACCTTTCAAGATTACGAATGTCCTGAATGGCCTGATGAAATGTCTTCCACGCCTTCTCCTCCGAGTCGATGTCTGTAAGTTCCCTAAGGGCCGTGTCGATCTCTTCACGTTTTTCTCGAGCCACCCTGACAATAGAATAGCATGTTTGTATGTTGATATCGCTCTCCGTTGCTTCATATGCCGCTACTTCCAATAGGCGGCTGATGAGGCTAGTCGCGCTGTGCTCAGGGGGAACGTTGGGAGTTCCGAGAAGCTCGTCGATGATGGAAAATGTGGCCATTGCGTATTCCACCTGTTGATTTACAGTCAGGGTTCTGGAGACTTATAGCCTAGAATGACCTGCAGGAGTACATGAGGCCTTGAGGTCGGCATCCTCTTGATCACTGAGTTTATCACTCACCATCTTAGCCAGCTAAAATTATAGCTTCCGCAAATGACGGTCCATTGACCTGCCAGGTTAGTTGGACAATTAGGACAAGATACGGCGGAAAAAAAATCCCTAATGGAGATGTCCGTGAACGAGTTCTTGGCCAGAATCGGGAAATACAGATTGAACTCAGAACACCCTAGAGCCAGAAGCCAGTATGGAGGTGGCTCTGTCAGAGAAATAGAATTTGAATCAAACTGCCAGGATAAACTGCGAGACGGACTGGACCGACAGGAGAAAATGTTGATATTTCGCATGTTCGCATGTCGGCATCTGATCATCGAAAGGCCCTATGCACGTGATACACAATGTATAGCGTTGTGCTACAGGAGTACCGTTATTGTCTCACCCTGAACAGGCAATTCAGCTGGATGAGCCGTGTATAGAGCTTGATATAGCAAAACACTCCCAGCCTAAAACGGTGAGCTATCAGATGTTCTCGACCACAGTGCAATTTGCCAGTGAGACGTTTCTAGGGACACTTTGGTCCTGTACCTATTTCTGTGGGGATGCACTTGATATCTTGTCAAGAGTCGGTACGTTGGAGGTCACAGTATTATCAGGGTAGTATGCGTTCTTGAGATGGCGGTACTTTCTCAAAGAGTAGAGCGCAATAGTCTCTAACCACGGAAAAATGACATAAGATTCAGGGGAAGGCGGCTCTTATCATACCTCGCTTGATGTATTCTCCCAAACCGAGTGCCCGTTCTGCCTCTTCGCCCCTTGCGTCTCTGTATTTCTCGAATGCTCTTCGAAGCTTGCCATGAAAGTCATAGCTATTCCGCTGGTTAGATTTGATGATGGGGTTCATATTATATCACCTAGGATTCGGATAATCTCTCCCAAGTCGAACCAGCTCTTTGTAGAGGGCAATTGCGCGCAGTCTTGTTGGATTGCTCATTGAGATATTCCTGTTGGTGAATTTATCTCGATTTTTTGGAGGCCAAGTCAAGTCTATGCTGCCTCCAAACTTGTGCCGCACGCAACTTCGAGCTGACCTCATTGTTGATTGAAAATGCGTGCCATGCGTGTCTGGGAAGTGCTGGCATTGCTCGCATTTGCTGCACTCGTATATGCACAACAAACAACTACAATGGTCATTGGGTAGAGTTCTATCTCCCACAGAGCATCCAAACCACAACTGGACATCGACTTTTCCACAGGGGCCAGACGGTCGTCGCCGACATCTTCTCAACGCAAAATGGGAATGGACAAGCAGTTACATCAACATCCATCATGTGCGCCGCTTTTCTCTATTTTGCCGATGCAACCTGCTCAACGCGTTGCCACCTACAGACGAACACTTGCCAATGATCCAATTGCTGGAGCACCCCCACCAACAGATGTGGTATGTAACCTTTTTCATACACTGATTCCTGCTCACCTGCGGGTATTCTCCCAGACTCAAGGACCGATAGTCTACTACGTTACGAAATGGGACGAGGATGGAAACACAATAGTAGAGACATATACATACACCCCTACGTTTGTTACCACCGGGCCCCCAGTAACCTATCCTCGTGGGACCATCGCCGATTACTCCCAGTGGACAGCAATCTACGCGACTAGGACGTCGTATCCACACAATGGTGCTTCAGGTCCCCCATTAAAAGCCGGTTTAACGGCTTATGCGGTGACTGCCTTCTTTGTCGTTGTCGGAATGTTCATTCTATAATTATACCCTTATATGTCGAGAGATTGAACCTGGATTGTTTCGAAACTACTATACATGGTGTGATTCCAGTCGAGATACACAATACATGAATAGTTTGAGCAGACTTGTCTCAGTACCAGGGATAGTACTGGTCTGGATTCTTCGCCTGACTCAAAGGATTGCTTGCGAGATTGATCAATGTTTGGATAGCTCCCACCACGGTTTGCGTCGGAAGTTGAGAAGAGCCTTCGGCGGCTTGAGCCTGCCAGATAATCAACAACCGAAGAAAGTTCTCAGGTGAATAAACCTACCCTCGTCCTTTCAGGGCCTGCAGAGAGTTGATACATGCGCTTGATAAATGCGGTAATGGCCTCAGCGACGTTAACCCGGAATACGAGTTTCTCATCCGCCTGGAGGTTTTTGCCCTGTTGCTTGTACCATGTTGTAAAGTCGTCACGGAGGAACAGCCAAAGTTGCTTCTCAATATCCAGCTGCAATCATCGTGTAAGTTTGTTGTCATCAACAGCTTGTGAGGTATACCTCCGGTTCTAGGAGACCTCGAGAAAGCGCCAACATTGACGACGTCATAAGGCCTTCGATGCCAAGAGGACTAACAAAGGTCTGGATGTTTGGCGTTAAGCGGAATGGTGTGCTATCGTTCCACTGAAGCGATGGCCTGTCTGGCCGTAAAACTGAAGGCGGGTCAGCAAACCATATCTTTCCATTCGTTAACCATACCCAAGCTACAATCAATAATTGAAACGGCTCCCGTTTGGCGGGATATCAGCATGCGCCGGGGCTGGACTTGCACGTGCATGCAATAGGACAAAAAATTGAGTGCAGATATTTGGCGTGTGAATTGTTTTCTCATTAACCAAAGCGACGTGCTGTCCTTGAAGGTTCGTTTCATGTACTATGTCAAGGGTAGTCAATGTCATCAGGCGTAGTTTTTCCCAGGACAAACTCACGTCACTAAGAATTGTCTTTGGTATCAGCTTTGACTCGACTTCGTTCTTGGCGTCCAATCGTGCCTGCCAATACTCGATCTTGAGTATGTCACTTCCACGAGCACCTTCATCCATCTTTGCGTAGTAGTAGGTCCTTAGTTTCTCTTGGAATAGCAAAGAGGGCTCCTCTCGACCGAAGCCGTTGTGTGCGCAGTGTTCGTCGTAGATGTCCATGAAGCCCACATATGACGAGTCCAGCTTGACAAGCCTCAAGAAGGCGTTGAGGAACACGGTTGGCACAACATTGAACTCCAGGTTTCGCTTCTTGGCCTCTTTCTTTTGCGAAAGTCGCCTAGCGAACAGTATTAGTCAATGTGCATCAGGACTGGTGAGGACATACTCGTTAAAGATGCGAGTGATTTGTGCCAGACGCTCCTCTCTACGCGAGCTGCGAGCTGACTGGGGTTGTATCATGAACATGTGGGCCGAGCCGTCATGACCCATGAAAGTGAGCCGTCTGAATGCGATAATTGGGGATCGACATCGTTCGAGACGCGTGGATATGCGCTTGATTTCGATGAACTGCGAGTTATTGTCTTTATGCTAGCAGGGTGATCCTCTTGGTGAGCTTCGCAAGCATTCTAAATGATAGCACGCACCTCCAAATATTGACCAGGAACAGAGACTTTTTCGCTTCTGTTGAGATGGAACTCTACAAGGAAATGACTCCAGACTTCCATCGATTGGAAGCGAGGACGGCGGTCCAAAGTCGATTCAATCTGATCCCGTACACTGACAATTGCCTGCACGATGTCTACCATTGTTGCATTGGGTTTGCTCAGCCGTACTTCGAAGGTGGTCTACCAATGGTCAGCAAGTATACAGCGTGTGGGAGTGCTCGGCCATACCCTCATCTCTCCGAGTGGAAGTGTACTGGCCACTTTTTGCGCAGTTAGAAGAATGGAAGGTGCAATGGCGTGCATTTCTCGTGAAGGGGGGGCCAAGTGCTGATGACGAATAAGCAGATCACAGCAGATATGTCATTGAAACAAACCGTTAGCGCGTCTGAGAGTAACGATGTAGTCATACGATATGCTTCTTCCTCCAAATTGGGCTTAAGCCGCTCTCGAATTTGCTCTGCGATTTGCTCTAAGCTGAGAGCAAGCAGAGGATGGCCAGTTTTGAGGAGAGCTACAAGCTCCTCGGCCATGTCCCAGGAATGTTTGGTACCGTCCTGTATGGTCGCTCCGGAGGCCACCGGATTTCCATCTACCCCGTTCATCACAGTATCGCTCGTAGGATCACTAGTCATAGCAACCGCCTGACGCTGCATATGTTCCTTCTTCAGAGTCTGAAACTCATCTTTTTGAGCCCGAAGCGGATAATAGAGCGCCTACAGGTGTTCAACAAAGATAATCTGAACTGAGCAAAAACTGACCTGAGGGAACGTCTTTGCGATTCCGTGTAAGATGAAATGGGCGCAGCGACCTTCTCGTTGGGAAAGTGACATCAAGAGCTGGGGGATGAATGTTATCCAGTACCAGTACACATGCTCGCCCTGATACTTGTCCCAGGACTGAGCTACCGTGCCTTCCTGGTCATCCATCGACAGTAGCCAGAGGACGCGGTTGAGCAGGGGTCGACACTTGGCGTTCTTGTGAAGCGATGCTGCCTGCAGGTAGCAACTGACTGCGCTGGCAGCAAGGGAGAAGTCGGTGGGGGTCAAATGGTGCATGTCATCTTGGAAGACTCCCCATTTTGCCCACGCCTTCGGCATGGATATATCCAGTTGAACTGCTTGACCGAATGCGGCATTTGCATCGTCGTGACGAGCCAGTTTGTGGAGGAAAACACCTTTCATGGCAAAGAATTCCGATTTTTGGGGCCCTGTGAAGTAAACGAGGTTGGTATTGTTGATGACTTCGAGACCTTGGTACAGCTCGTTGGGTCTCTCGAGATGACAGCGTGCCTGCTCTCGCAACTTGAGGAATGCCTCCGATATCTCGATATTGGGCAGTTTGTAGATGTCCGCAAGCGAGTTTTGACATACTTGAAGAAGCCCATGCCGCCTTGCTACATGAGCAAAACGGTTAATAATCCAGGCCGACTCATGGTGACCACGGTGAATATGTGTTCCGGATGCGGCCTGTCCAGGTCCGTCTGGGGAGAGAGGAAGGTAGAACTTGTTCACGGCGTGGAAAACATGTTGCCTCCAGGACACAACGTCATTCCATATGTCGATCTCGTCGTGCTGCAAAGGAAGTCGTTCTCGCCAGTGGTGGAAGATCCCTTTGGCCTCGGCCGCCTTCTCGTTAAGATTTTCTCGAGTGGTAGAGGTGAGATTGCTCATGAGCAGACTAGCCTCTCGTAGCTCTACCACCTGCTGGAATTGACCGAGAATCTTCACGTGTGCTTGGGTCAGACCTTCGGGAAGAGCTATCCACTTCCGCAAGCTCAGCTGGTTGGCTTCGTCAACGAATCGAGCGAAGTCGCTTTCCGGTCCGGTGGCCATCACCCCAACTCGAGACGCCGGGGATTGGTTTTGCGCGGCTGCTTGCGCCATAAGAGCCTGCTGTTCCTTCAACGTACATGCCATGGAATACAGAGTGTAGTATGCCTTGAAGAGCTGACGTCGGGGTGTAAGGACCCCTTGGTAAGAGTTGATAAATGTCTGCACAGCGACATTGTCGTGGTTCCATGTCTGCAGAGTTCGCCACGCGCACTCCAATGCGAGATCAGCGTTGGCTTCTCCCGATGCTACATCCTGCAGGATATCCCACTGCAGCAGCTTCTGCGAGCATAGCATCCAATGATCTTCCCAAACGTAGTACTCCGCCTCGCTCATCGGGTAGATATTCTGCCGGGCTTTGATCTGTGCTGTCTCGTAGAGCGGTTGGGCAAATTGGTAAAGACCATTCTGTTCAAATGAGAGCGCAGCATTGGTTTCCTCGTATAGACAGCGACGCCTCCAGAGCCCATAGTAGTAGTCGTCCTCACTCAGCTCGGCGTACAGCTCAGCGAGGGCATCTTGATTGGCTTCACGAACAGATGCATCGTCCTCGCGTCCTTGCTCGACTGCAGATTGAAGGAACTCGAGTCCTTCGTACCAGGAATGATACGTCTTCGAGAGGTACTTCACGACATGAGGAGGAAGGGCGATTGGGGGGTTACACCTCTGCACAGCAGCAAGTAGCGTTTGGAACACATTGTTCCGGGGAAGCTCTTGCGGTGCTTGCCTCGTCAGGGCAATGATGATGCTCGCGGTAATGTCTCCTTGCTCCTTACGGGGGAGTCCGTGCCATATCTCACCAAAGAGGGAGACGAAGACGCGGCTCATTGCGAGTGAGTCGTAGAAAAAGATATGTCGAAGGGGATGAAGGATATCCTTGACGCGCAGGACATGATCGGCGAGTGTTGACAGAGCAGGCTCTGCGGGCGACATTGCAGCTTCCTCATTTACCGCTGCGAGGATCATATCCAAAACAACGTATGCCCAATTGAACTCTATCATGACGTCCCAGCCTTGACCTCCCAGTAAATAAGCAAGTCGAGGGCCTATTTGCTTCGGAATATGGGCGTCGAAGAGGTCCAGAAAGTCGCGGCGGAGGGCTGGGTCCTCTGCTTTGCAACCAAGGATAAAGGAAGCCTCGAGTCGGACTGTCAGGTCAGTCCTGGCCATTGACGGTGTGCTGTAAATCTCATAGACAAGCTTGAGATAATCCTGGTAAACCTGGTCATTGTATTTACTCCAGGATTGCATCTTCTGCATTAGGCTGGCCTTCTCCTTCGTAGTTGGAACAGTGATGCCCGGAGTCATGACCCATTCACGTGCCATGGCAAGAAGTCGTCGTCGCAGTTCCCCATTTGGAGTAGTATTGACAAGCTGGACAAGACCTGACAGGAACTGCTTCCTATGATCCCCGAGGCAGCGGACGGAGAGCTTGGATATCTCTAGAACGGAGAAGATCCGCTGAACGTTCGCGTTGGCCTGGTCCGCCGGCAGAGAAGCTGCATGCTCTTTGATGAGGCGATGGAAGAGTTTCATGAGGCCATGGCCGAACGGCTCTATCCGGGACGGGGAGTGCTTGACTACAGAGAGTAGAGCTGCTAAGGTGCCGGGTATTCGGACGAGATTTCCAAGGCTCTCTCGAACGAACTCGCTGATCCATTGCCACAGATCCCCCGCAGGGCCGGTCAGCTCAGTTCCTTCTTCTCCTACAGGGAGCACGTCGAAGACGCGATCGAGTACCGAGGAGAATGAGTCGATAACCGGATCTTGCGGAACCACTAGAACTCGCTTTGTGAATGCAAAGAGATCACCGGCGCGTTGTAGGACCCAAGCATCCGAACGATCGGTGATGACGACGTTCAAAGCCTTTACACAGTTAATCAGGTTCCAAATCGCCCCACTGTCAGAGTTTTCGGGCTGCCTAGCATTAGACATAACCTCAGTTCCAGAAGAAAGATGGGACATACTGTTTCTAGAATCCGAGAGAAATAACTCATTCGGACGTTTAGATCCGACCAGTCTGGGAGACTACACAATGTCTTAAGCTGCGTGAGGGCCCTGGTGTTGAGGCCGGCTCTAAAGGTATCTGGAGTTGCTGCAGCTGCAAAACGTATGAGGTATCCAATGATGTTCTCCTTGAGATGAGTAGGAATCTCCCAACTGGCAGCAGGTGATGTGGAATCAACGACCATCGCTTCGCCCGCTTCTTCACTGGCTCGTCGGTGCCAATTGATGATGAGATCGACCAGATCGAGGGCGAGTGTCCGTGTCTCACCAGTGAAACCAGGGTTGAAGCCTAGTCGAGTGAGCCCTTGTGCGATGGGAGGAACAAATGACTCCTTAGATTGGTAACACTGATCCGAATGCCGGAGAAGAAGTCGGTAGATATGGACAGTGGTGACCAAGTTGTGCTGCTCCTCCACCAAGGTCCGACAAATGGCCTGATCCCATCTCAATGAGACATCCGGTGAGGCAAGCCGTGGCATGACGGGGGTCATGATGTCGAGTGCCTGTCGAGCCACTGGAGACAGTTCGCCATCGGGAGGTGCTTTGAGCAGGGTCAACCAGAGCGGTCGTTGGAATTTCTCGCTCGTCACCTCTTTCAACGAGAAGAGACGCGCAGCTGTCAAGCAAGCAGAGTTTCGTACGATGGGTTCTGGATGCTTGAGGAAGTCCCATACGTATTTTGCCACCACGGGCCGAGTATCACTGGCGAGCCGTGGCAACGCGTTCACGATCAATATCGAGGTCAGCTGCAGATACTCCGAGAGGAGAGCCGAGGACATGCTCGAAGGTGACGCCTTCCAGGCCTTTGCGGTGATCTTTGCAATCAATCCATCTGCGACCACGACGTCGCAATTTTGGGCTTGGCGGAACTCTGCGGTGAGTAATGGTATCACAATCACTCGAAGATATTGGACCACAAGGGCCTCTGGGGATCCCTCATCCAACATCGTAAACAAGTGCTGTACCGCTTGATGCTTGAAAGCGGCAGTTGTCTTGTTCGTGACATGAAAGTTGATGAAATCCAGAACTTCCGCATAACATATCTCCACTGGCCGAGTGAAAGCGAGCGGCAGAGATGCTAGGATGTCAACGCGTGGGTGACCTTGAAAACCTCGATCCACACCATATAGATTGCCCGTATGAGGACGAGCCGCGCAGGAGCGAAGCTGACTTCTTCGTCCACAGACGTGAACTGACTCGTCCAGACCACTTTAAGGGCCTCAAGAATCTCCTCTTGAGCGGCCATCCACTCTGGATCAGATTGCGCCAGATCCAGACAGATGAGGATAGCAGGGACACCTGCATGCCCGTTCTCCGCATTCTCCATGCTCTGCGCAAGCCGAGCTCCTTGACCTTTCAGGGCAGTGGTGAAGTTGGGAGCTTGACCTGCTTGGATAATATGCCGGTACGTCTGAACCCATCGAGCGTCCTTGACATGCTTGAAAAGTGTCTCGAGCGCATCAGAAGGGAAACGATCCAGGTATGCCGATATGGGGGACGTAAAGGGCGTTGGTGATGCAGCATGAATTTTTGTCTCTGTGGTCACAACGAGTTCCGTGACCTGCTCGAGGTACGCATTGGCCGCTGGAGGGAGTAGGTGGAATATATTGAGGAGACGAACGAGCTTAGAGATGGCGTCGTTGTCGGCCATGGGACCGTAGGCGGCATTGTTCAGGATCTCATCATCGGATAACGCCTTGAAGTGGTCGATGAGTTTGGTGGCAATCTCGACTTTGAAGTAATTTGTCAAGAGGCCGAGAAGTCGTGCTAATCCTTCTAAGCTCCCAACTGTCAACTTGGCAGGATCCGCAAGGTTCATAAGAACGGGACGAAGCCCTGCTTGTAAATGTTCTCTAGGAAGGCGACTCTGGTTCTTGAGAAAGACACTCAAACCATTGTGCGCAGCTGTTTTTATCTCTTCGTTGGGCGAATATAGCGCCTTGAAGAGCAGAGAAGTCGCCCTGTAGACGATGAGAGCGCATCCCAATGTGCAAATATTCACCTACTTTTGTCGAAGAATCGGGTGTTTGGACAGGAAATCCGTGATGACAAGGGAAGCCGTTACCAGCCTGATCGATGCAGCCTTGGTCTGTGCGCTCAGGACTATCGTACGCCGCGCAGGTCGCTGCAGCGGGTACATTGGGTTAGGAACCGGCTCCTCCATCTCTCCAAGAGCGATCACTTCTCCCATCAAGCGAAGGAGTTCGTCTGAGACTGTGATCACTGAAGGCTCGATATTCAACAGGTATGTGATCGCTTCCATGTAGCCCACTTGCACCTGTGGTAGGAACATTCGCAGCGGCTTGCTGTAGATATCAGCAGTAATTTTCTCAACAGCGGACCCTATGATCTCGGAGAGTGGACGGCCACAGAGATCTGCTAGAAGCTTGAAGCGGTCTTGAGTCGCGTCTCGCACTGCCTTTGTCGGGCTCTTGAGGTCAGTGGCGAATACTCCAATATAGTGATCGATCTTTTGTGCGACTGGACGGCGCAACCACTCGTAGTGCTGAATCTCATCCGGCGCCATATCCTTTCGAGCATCTTCATCCAAGGGCTTTTCGTCCAGCGCCATGGAATCAGGACGTGGCGCATTGCAAAATTTCACTAGGTCTGTGATTGTGGAGAGAACTTCAGCCTCTTCTGCAGGAGGATCCTGAGGCATATCCTTGAGTATCATCACCAGCGAGCGACAAATCTCCATTTCCTTCCAGTAGGGCCATGCAGTGCCGAGGTTGACTTGATCGGAGATGAGAACGGCGATGCCGGTGCAGCCTGCCATTTTGTACCGCCAATCCGGATTCCAGCACATCGATCCGAATTTCGATACGATGTGAACGATCATGTTCATTGTACCGCGCATTCGTTCCTTGCTGCCACCTTGACCCCGGTCGTGGAGTTCTTGGATAATGCTGGCAATGAGGCGACGACCACTCTCGTCGCTCCGGTTAGAATGCCGAACAAGAACAGTCATCATTGTCTCGTAGAAGAGAATGGTAATCGTGCTGATGGTAGCTCGCCGACCAACTTGGGAACCCAAGCCTTTGGCAAGCTCCTGTTCACTGAGAGCCTTGCTGACTTCTCGGAGAAGCTCGCTTGCCATGGGCTCCATATTGGAAAGGTGAATGGTCGCAATTGCTCCCTCAATGCATTTGCAGAACAGACCTTCCATAACGGCCCCTTCCACGCCCTGGTGAACATTGTCAGATATATACACTTGACGAGCAAGGTGACTTACTTGTTGCAGAAGAAGATAGAGCTGTGTCTTGATAAACTCAAAGGCCGGTTCATGGTACGAGCTTCCTTTCGAATCCTTTAGCGCATTGACCGCCACCTCGCACGCAGGTCCGATCTTGAGTGATGCAATATGAGTGGTGAACTCGATCGGAATCGAGTAAGGAACACCAGTTTCTTCGTACTCGAGATCCGGCGGCAGCGAAAGTATTCTTCGGTTTCGTCCTCCCAACTTTCCGAGAATACGAGTAGCCGCTTGTGCCGTTTCTGCGTGTTGATTGCCCGGTTTCAGAGTCTTATGCAGGGCAAGAACCAACTCTCGAGCGACAGGACGAGCCTTGGGGTCAAGGAGGTCGATGTTTGGAAGGTTCTCGACAGCAATCTCCAGCGTGCGTAGCCCCTGCTTGACAATCTCCTGATTACTACTCCGTAGCGCCAGTACCAATGGCCTCCAAAGTTGTGCAATAAATGGTGCAAGGTACTGAAGCCGAACCGGTATGGTCAGCGCAATCTCCACCAATTGATCCTGTTGAACCTCGTCATCGGTGAGCTCCAAAGCCCGATTCACGCTGTCCAGAAGCTCTGGAAGTAGCGGGTAGATTTCTTGATGAAGGAGTTCGAACTTTGCGGTTGCACCCTTGTTCCCGAAAGCTCGAAAGAGATAATAAGGGACCATGCGGAGATTGCGAGGGGAATGATGAGCTCGAGCCGCCATAGGAAAGACGTCGATCAAGAGTTTGGTCAGATGGGGGAGCAACATGCGTTCAAACCCATCTTGAAGATTGGCGAGTGACATGAACGTGATTCGGTACATGCGACTCATCACCGCGGTGGATTGGGCATTCCCCTCGTTGAGAGTTTCCATGTGGTCAACAAGGTGACGTAGAACAAGCGCTGTCAACGGGAACATCGTCTGGGGCGATTGGTAGAGTAGTTGGACGATGCTCATCAAGTTTGGTTGCATGACCAATGCGTCGAAATACATGCCCATGTGCTTCGTCCACACATCCTGGAAGACGTGGGGTTCCATCTCCGTGAACATCTCGGCCATCTGTTTGTACACGGTGGCCTCGAACTGTGCGTCCGCCTTGACCACCGTCATGGCGGAGCAAAGATACTTAAAGAGGCGACCCATGATATCAGAGTCGGGTACGCGACCATTGAGGGCTCGAATAATTTGCAGAGCCAGACGCACGGTGTTTGGCACGGCTCGCAGGAAGATGCGTTCCTCTGTTTCACGGTTAGCCCTGTTGTGCACACATTCGAAACTAGAATCACCATTGAGCGTAGTCTCGAGGGTTTCACTTGCTAGATATGGGAACACAGGAACAGTGCGAGACTGCTCGAGAGTGACGAGTTGCTTGAGTTCTTCGCTAGCTGTTCCATCTTTTAATGCGTAGAGCCGTTCTCCAATCGTGATAGACGCATGAAGTCTTGTACAAATTGTCTCGAGCAAAGCATGTAGCATGTTGCTGAGCTTTGCAGCGACCTCCGGAGGTACGCTGTTATCTTGTGCACGCAATTTGACACTTAGTGGGTCTAATGTATAGATAAGGATACGACCAGTATGGCTTGCGATGAGGTGTGGAGCGTTTGAGTCGGATAGTCGTTCGCATTGGTGCCTTAGGAGTGCAAGGGTCGCGTCCAAATCGATGAAAGGACGGAGTTGAAAGGTGATCTCGGCGAATTGGGCGTGAGTCGAGATGAAGAAGGCTGGTTCAGACTTCAAGTTTCCGAGCAGCATTCGATCATCGAGGAGCTCGGTAAAGTGAGTAGCGAGTTGCACTTTAACGTCGGTTGCTGCCAAATGTCGAAGACTGGTAATACCTTCCTGGAAATAGTTCAGTTTCATGGTTGAAGTTCACGACAGTGACCAACCTTGCGGAGCGAATAAGCATCGGGAGACATGACTCGTAGTGCTCTCAGCGCAGCAGCTGGTATCTGGTTAACAAGTTGGGGCCACGATTCTGAGCTGAGAACCGGCGAATCCTTTCGGAGAACAAGACTCAAGACGGGTCCCGCCTGTGTACGATGAGCACTACCGACGAGATAGGGAAACGATGTACCTTACCTTTACTTGAGCGACGATAAGATCGCTGAAAATACTCTGATTGGCGATTGAAGATGGAGGTCCGAAGTGCAACTCTCCTTCGTCCATTTTGTCAGTATCCTTCTCCTTCTCTTGAGGAGTCTCGTAGAGATACAACTGAATAAAATGTTCAGTAGATGCCCGCGAACAAGTAAAGTCATGAGTACCTTGAGAGCGGCGTCCGCCAGTCCTTGTGGGTTGAACGCCTGGGCTGTCTGGTTTGTTTGAAGGATAAACAAGCACACCAGTTGTAGCTCTGCAATGACTCTTAGAGAGGTGGAAGATTTGTTGAGTGTCGAACGGTCCGGTTCGGATGTAGCCGCTCCTCCAGGCCCAAAAACTTCGTCTAGGTGATCGCCCGTCGAGGTATAGAGGTCGATAATGAGCTGCATGAACGTGGGGATATGACTTTCCATAACTGCACGTAGTCCACGGAAGAGCTCGTGAAACATCTTCACGACATGGATTGCGATTTCTTCGTTGTCGGTCCGTACGAGGTCAAACAAAAGAGGTATGAACGTATTCAAGTGACTTCTCATCGCTTCTGTGGTGAGTAGTTTGTGCAAAAGCTCCAGGATTTGCACCCGCAAGACCTGTATAAGATGGGTGATGAGCGAATGACAGTCTAGCCTCGGTGCCAACAAACCTGTTCGACGTTCTCCTTGTCATTGACGTATTTTTTCCATACCGGAGAGCCCGTTTTGAGCGTGTCAATGAGGATTGGACAAACGGTTGTTGTAGCCTTTTGCCATTCTGGATCTCGTTGCGCGTCAGAAGTAAATGTTTTGCCAAAGTCTCTGATTATTCCGAGCTTGACGTTGATATCTTCACGAAATTAGCATCTTCGGTGCCGTGTCACGCCACTAACAAGGTGTACGCACCAGTAGAGGGGTCTACCAGCTTTGCTGCTTGTGCATCCAGGCCGCTATAGGCCATTTTCCGGTCTATTCACGCGTAATCTTGGATCACACGTCGAGAATAGATGCGTCAAGGAATGGACGAGGGCCAATGCAGGATGAAGGGGAGGTTCAAGTGGTAATAAGAAGGTTGAAAGCCAGACGGGGCCCGATGGACATACCATAACAATGATCAGAATAGGATGGGTAATACATAAAACAGTAAAATTCTATACGAGAAACCACGTCAAACTATCAGTGCTCCTCCCAGTGCGTCTCAAAGACCCCTCCAGAGCCCCTAGCAGGTGAAGCCATGCCGGAGAATATAATGTTCCCCTCCAGCAAGTCTCCCATAACGACTCGAGAACTGGATACATGACCTGCAGCTCGACGTCGACGACACGACTCCTTGGCGTTGTGGCGCTGCACATGGGGGAGTTTGTCCCAAAAGGAACGTTCGATTTCCCTCTCCATATATTGTTGAATCTGCGTGAGTATATCGCCAACGAGTACGCCGTGGCGGTTGATGATGGAGAGGGAACCCGCCGGCCCAAGTGAGAGCGTAACCGCGGTCAATCGAGGGACCGTTGCTGGATCATGAAGAAATTCTTCAATATCTTGCTCGTCATTCGTCAATTCTGGTGCTGCTCCAAAGACATTGCAGAACAGGAGCGTCCGACAGGTCTCCAGTGTCAGCAGAGGGCGAATAGAGATTTGGGAGAGTTTCCTATGGCTGAGAGTAGTGGAAGATTCTACTAGTGCCTGCTTCGAACCAAACTTGCCCCATGCTGGATTCAACTTGATCTCCTTTGACTCATTCTTCTTCTGTCCGGGTTGTCAGCAGGGTCAGGCAATTGATTGGAAAGCTCACCTTTTTCTTATTTTCGGGTTCCTTTTTCTCCAGAGGTTGCTCCATGGTAATCAAGGATGGTGCTGGCGTCGCCCACGGAATATCTGCTGCCGGCACATATGCATAGGAGGTGTCCGGTACAATGAGGGGAGGTATCCCAGTTGATTCGATTGGGGATACGTGTTCTGTTCGAGGAGGAAGCCACGCTTGATGGACTTTCCAAGGTGCCTCCTGTGGATGAAGGTACGGTGCATAGGGGTATTCTGGATGATACGGAGAATGCCACCACGGAGGAACCATGCGATGAGGGTAGTTTGAAGCATGGTAGTCGCTGGCTGTGCAAGGACATGATTGTTTGGTCTCCGTGTGCGCACATTTACACTCAGATTCTGAAGGGATTAGCCATGAACCAAGCTCGCACGTGAATAGCTTACCTTTTCCTTTGCAATCACATCCGACTGTCGATTTGGATCGTGAGCGAGACCTATGGCGCTTGGGTAAGGAGTCTCTTCCTCGTCGAGCGTTAATAACACGCGGTGGCTCGTCGTCCGAAGAAGAGTCAGAGTCGCCACTAAGGACTGCTGTGTTGAGGACTGGAGAGTGAGCTGATAAAGCAGGCGCATGGGGAATGACTGGTGATGGTATTGACATTGTGACCGGCGCCGCGGGTATTGGGATGAATTGAGGGTTGATGAACCCTCCTGGATAGTGAGGTGGCCAGCTCCTATATTGGTGGTTCATGGCTGAAGTTGGACGTCGTAAACAAGGTGAGCGGGCGTCGTGGCTTGAAGGCGGCAGTCGGCTGAAGAGACCAAGGCCGTAAGAATTGGATAGCTAGTATTACGTATAAGAAGAAAAGAAAGCGGAGCAACCGGCCTGAAGAGATCTTGACGGACGCGAGGTCCCTTTAATACGTATCGGAAAGTTGGGCTGTGAGCACGAGGCCAAGGCCCTTGTTGCAATGGATACCAATTCCTTATAGATGGTTGACACAAACCCCCAGCGGCGCCATTGACGTTGGTACAGGGCAGTGCCCGAGGTGAGCCCATAGGCTTAGAGACGCCTGTCAAAAGATTCAAAACCCGAATCGAGCCACGCATTCAGAGTATCACGCAGAGAAGGATGGCCGGAATGTGCTTGATTATTGCATAGTAGGTAGCATAGACCTTACATCATCACGAGCGCTGCTGTACTGATAATGGCACCAGCGATCACTGCATATCCTGACCGGGTTACAGCCGCATTGCTCAAGACTAGTACGTGAGTTAGCGGGGGGGTAACAAGAGTTGAAGTCATAACTGACGTTTAGTAGAGTCCCAAGTCAGATGGCGCACTCCATTCAGCGAGTGATAGGCAAATGGGAACGCAAAAACAGTCTTTCCAGCAACCTTGGCCCATTCGGGAAGACCGTGGACCAATTCAACGACGGCGCTCGAGTCGAAAGGAATGCCAGCGACTGGAGCAGCAAGATATGACAGGAAGAATGCATACATTCCTGGCACCATTGTCAACAGATTTTCCACCAGCGAAAGTCAAGGACACTCACCCACGCTGAGACCAACACCGGTTATTCTGTGCGCAATACTGCCGTACCAGGTGATTTGTGGCTCGTAAATGGTCATATGAGGACTCGAAGGTCTGTTCAAACGCTGTTTATCCAGGATTGAACGCTGGTCTGTCGTCGTGATCGACTCTGTTTTCACTCCACGGCTCGCTGCTGCTGCATGAGCCTCGCCATTGTCTCCGGAACGTTATACATCAACTTACTCGCCCTTAGAGCCATGACAGAGATCCCAGACGCCCTTATAGCGGGTCGTAGTCCAACTGCCCGAACAGCGAGCATCGTGGTCGAGGTCTAAGATTTGGTATTCACATGAAGCTGATTCGCTGCTCAAAGTTGATCGTCATCCTACACTTTCCCCATCCGGAATGCTAAAAAGTCTTTTGATTGATGTTTATTTATTGGCTGCCGACTCGTTCGACCGATGCCACCAACTTGGATTTCTGTTCCGCACTCGATTCCGCTCCGCTCGCGCTTGAACCTAGCCGTCAGATCTCGGAATCAACGTCCAAGGATGCTTTTCGCACTGTTACATACTCGGGCTAGTTCAGAACTTGCTACATTTCATTACCAACAATCCCTGCCACGGCTACCACTTCCGCCTCTCCGTAATACGTTGGACAAGTATCTGCAATCATTAGAGCCATACTTTATTCTCAATGAACGAAATGGACGAGGACGGCGGAGCGAAGCGCGTGCACGACGTCGGAAGCTCGCTGACGAATTTGAGCAAGGCCTTGGGGTAACTTGCCAACAAAGATTACAAGGTCTGCTGGCTTTTAATCGAAAGAATGACGAAGTACTAACACTTGTGCACAGAACTAGTGAAGAATGCTCCGTACAATTGGCTTGACGACGCTTTTTGGCTGAGAAAGGCCTATCTTGAAAGCCGGTCGTCGCTGCTCGTCCAGTCAAATTGGTGGCTCGCACTACAAGATGACGAGACTGTTCCGGCATCTGTTCGACTAGACCCGCAACCAGAACTGTTCAACGAATGGCAGCTCCGAAGAGCAAGCTGGCTGGTCAAACGTATGCTCTCGTTCAAGGATCGGCTCGACCAGTGAGAGCTCAGCCTCTGTTTCTACTCCTTACTCACGGCGATCTAGGGAGAGAATACCGCCCGACCTGGTCAGAACAGTACCCCTCTGTATGTCACATTACAAGCGGTATTGCCTTTTACTCTATCCTGCTGCATCTCATGCATGACAGAATGTTCAACATGACGCGGATACCAGCTGTTGGCTGCGATATTCTCCACAAAGCCTCGACTTCGAACCCATCTGCCCATCAGATAGTTGTTTTCGCCAATGGCAACATGTTCCTCGTAGACGCATACGAGTCAAATGGCACTTTCTCTGGCACCGACCTGATATACCGACGTCTCAAAGCGTGTGCACGGCTTGCTCGATCACGTCCAAATGTCGCTGTTGCTATACTCACGGTTGATGACCGAGACAAATGGGCAAAGGCAAGAACCACCTATTATTGAATCTCTCTAACTAAATTGGCATGCAGAATCGGGACTATCTTATGCAATTGTCACCACGCAATCGACTCAACCTTTGGAACATTGACTCGTCCCTCTTCTGCCTATCACTCGAATCCACTCGGTCCCGTCTTCAAAATGAGACTATTGCCGACTCTGTTACCAACCCTAGATGGGACGACCACTTGCATAATACAGCCTACGGCCGCGATGGACAAGACCGATGGCTCGACAAAACCATCACCATCTCTTTGGAGTCAAATACGAGATTCGGGATGATGGGGGAACACTCTCCCTGTGACGCGCTGGTACCGAGCATCCTCGGTGACTATTGTGTCGAGGAACCCATCAACCTCTCTGAGTTTAGCGTCGACAACTTAGCGATTCCAGAAGAAGGCGATGGCTGGAAACCGATTACGTGGGACATAGACTCGTATATCACAGACGAGTGTCGACGAGTTGCCGCCGACGCAAAGGCATTGGTAGATGATTCAGACGACAGTCAACTGTGGTTCGAAGATTATGGGGTGAATTGGATCAAACAAGTGGGTAAGTTGAATAGCACGCCCGGTGAAATACATACTGACTTCCAACAGCCAAGCTCTCGCCAGATGCGTATATCCAGATGGCGCTTCAAATGGCTTGGATCAAGGATCAAGGTCGACCTACTGCAGTATACGAAACGGCTTCAACTCGTCTGTTCCTGCATGGGCGCACCGAAGTCATTCGTTCCCTTAGCCAGGAGAGTCTTGCGTTTGTGCAATCGATGAATGATGAAATCTCCTCTGTGAGTCCTCATGATTTCATTTGGTCCTTCTCACATGGAGCAGCCTGCTGGAAGGCTCCGACTCCTCATGGTGGCGATCAAAGCGCATAATACATATACCCGCGACGCTTCGACTGGCCAAGGGATTGATCGACATCTCATGGCATTACGTCTTGTAATGGCACCAGGAGAGAGCTCAGAGCTCTTTCAAGACGAATTATTTGCCCAAAGTCAGGAGTGGAAACTAAGTACCAGCGGTCTAAGCTCTGGCGACCGGTTTATCGGCACAGGGTGCGTTTAGGGTCTTAAATACCCTTGAAGAAGCTAAAGGATCACAGCTTTGGTAGCCCATACCCAGATGGCTATGGAATCAATTGTGCGTCTACTGTATGGTCCCGAGTTTTACCTAACACAGGTTAGATCTTGCAGGGGGCGAGATTCTCAAGTTTGGTATTGAATCCAAACACAGCTGTCCAACGACTTCAACATTGGCCTTTAAACACGCACTCGTGGCCAGTCTCCGAGAGATGAGGACGACATGCGAAAAAGGCTACATTGAACTCGAACGGGGAAAAGAGATGACTGAGGGTGCGATTCAGGCCCGTCTCTGAGAAATGGATATATAGATTTGCGATGAATACATCACCATTTGTTCAGTCTGGGCCATGTATCAAGCGAATGTGTTAAAAGGAGAGGTTGGCACCTGCACCAGCGACAACGGTCGACTTGACGCTCGATGTCGCGGTGAGTGTATACTGGTATGGCACCGACGAGAGACTCCCGCTGAGAGCAGTGTTTCCCGACGAGCATGTGCCAAAGTCATTGCCCGATGCATATGCGAATCCTCCATCAGTGCTGTAGAGAGCCGAACTGCATGTTCCCTCCCAGACGTTGTTCTGCACAAGAAGCTGCGCTTCAACACGAGTGTTGATACCGTCGTTCATGTTCAGATAATAGTTGTTGAAGATGCTAAGATGCATGTAAGTAGTGTGTTCGAATGGCAGAGGGAGAATATCCGTACTGTCCAGTACCAAAGCGGAAGGATGGGCCACGAGAGTTGAGATTCGACCAATAGTTGTTGTGAACGGTGACCTATATGTATTTAGAGGAGCTCGAGCGCTGACGATGAGGAGACATACGGTAATCGCCTTGTCCTCAGAGCCGTTGCTGTCAGAGTGGCCGATGAGCATCGACTTCCAATGCTATAGAGAGTCAATATATGTAAAAGAGATGATGAAAATACCGAACATCATGCAATTTGCTCCAGGATACGGTGACATCTAGACTTTGGTCAGCGCTAGAAGCTTTGGGATATGTTCCCTTACAGGTACTGCCATGGGTGATATCGCAGAGGCCATCATAGTAATCCTTATCGTGATCGCGGTCGGACGAGAGGTCGACGTGGTTGATCCAAACTTTCGAAGCCTCTTGAATTCCGATAGCATCACCCGTATCGGCAAGGACCTTTTTTATAACGAGGTTGCGGACGATTACGTTGGAAACCTTGATGATGCGAATGCCAATACCGGTGAGAGCTGGCCAATGTCAGTCCCACTGTTGGAGCTTGCGACCAACTACCTACTGATGCCAGGAGTAGCTCCCAACTGTGCCATTGTTAGAAATCATAGCCAATATCACTAGAAATAAACTGACGATGGATGTGTTAGATCCTGGCTTGACAATGGCGGCTCCAGTGAGGGATGCTAGAGCCATGTTAATACAATTTTATCATGAAAAGGTTGCATACTTGTCAAAATGACAATCTTCTTGGCATCACCAGCAACGGCTGCCTGGAGAGCGGCCAAGGTCGACACACGAGTCGTCGTTCCTCCCTCACCACCAGTCGTTCTGTTGAAAACTCAGCCACTGGACTATAATTATTACTCTACGTACCCTCCGAGCGCTGCATAACCAACCATGCCGCTGCTCGTTCCCGTCGTTCCAGAGCCCGACGAGGAAGAAGTCGATGAAGGCTTGACGCTGCTAGACGATGTCTTTGTCGAAGATGTCTTGGTGGAGGACGAAGCCTTTGTCGACGAAGAGCTTTTGGTCGAAGCGGTGGACGCTGCGCCGGGCACACACTGGGAATACCAGTCGTTGGAATAGACACAAGTGTATCCTGAAGAAATGTGAGCAGCGACAATTTAGACAGTTACCAGCTTCATACCTGAAACACACGTAGTTTCACCCGTGTAGTTCAAGCCGCCACATTGACCGTAGGCTCCCACAGCAGCATTTACGAAAGAGACAGCAGAGAGAGCGACAGAAAGAGAGAGGATTGCAATCTTCATTGTTGCAAGGGTTGGGCCTGGCGTTCTAGTCGAGCGCAGCGAGGACACTTTATACACGCCAACTTGGCGGCGACCAGGAGGAAAAGAGGTCCGGCGGGCCGCGCGCAGCTCGCGAAACATTAGTTGGGTATCCTAGCGTTTCCCCGCCGGCGACTTCATAGCAACAGAACGGAGCATTGGCTGGAGGAAGACCCCACAACAGAAATATTTGTGCCGAGTGCTATGTCCACACTGTATGAATGTAGGGCGGCCCGCTTTCGAGGCAGATTGTCGTGAGTGCAAGGTCAGTTGGGCATTGGTGACGAGGCATCGCAATAGCAATGGGCGGGCCGCCAGTCCTGTGACAACGTAATTCCGAGAATAAGATGGATGAGAAGAGGCCGTCCCATAGTGTACCGCTCCCGCACGAAGTCGGGAAGCGCCTCTGGCTTGATCCGTGCGGGGAAAGCTTCGGTTGTATTGATATGGCATACAATGTTGAACGATCAATGGGGTTGATTGGCTTTTAATTTCAGGCTAATAATATCCCAACAGGGTCCACGGGAGGACGGCCATTGAGTTATGGTCAAGTCCAAGAAAGCTTGCCACCTGCCTACCCGAGCAATGTCGCTCCTAAAGCTGCTCGACTCTTCGATATTGATTTCTCAAGGGGCTGAGGCAGTTAGTAACCATCTTTGAGCGCCTTTTGTCTCACGTACCTTTGGTAGAAAGTCTTCAAGGCTCATCTGACATCGCCGTCATCGAATCCTGTATTGATCAAGTATCGCTTCCCAAAGAAATATCGACATCCTGTACTTTCAGCTCAGCTCACGCGAGCCCGCATCACATCAGAGGCAAGAGCCTTAGCACGTTGCGTCCGCAGTGGCGTTAGAGTTCCAGATGTTCGACTTGTGGATCTTGAGTCCGGGATCATTGCTATGGAGTGGATAGACGGCAAGAGCGTGCGATTCTTGCTCGGAGATGATGAGGACGAGACGGAAAGTGTGCTGATCGACAACCAAGGGCTGGAAACCTACGGCATCTCTCAAGGTAAGTATCCCTAGTATATAGAAGTCATTCTAATGATCAGTAGAGCAGTTAATGTCGATGATTGGCCAAACACTTGGACGAATGCACAAAGCCGATATTATCCATAGTGATCTCACGACGTCAAACATGATGCTCACTCGCAGTAGTGGCTCACCAGAGCTGGTAGGTTTACACCTCAATCTTGTCGGCTCGTTCTCAAAGCCTCAGGTCATGATTGATTTTGGCCTCTCGTTTCAGTCTGGGCTCGTAGAAGACAAAGCGGTCGACCTCTACGTACTAGAGCGAGCCTTTACATCTACGCATCCTGCTTCAGAACAGTTATTCGAAGCCGTCCTCAGCGCGTATGCGTCGGAACTTGGCACCAAGGCATGGGCCGCTGTGAAGAAGCGACTAGACGACGGTAATTCCATCTCTCAGCGACAAAATAAACCTCTAATGTCTCTGCAGTACGATTGCGTGGGAGAAAGCGAAGTATGGTCGGCTAATATCCCGGCTATCATAAGATTATACACATGTAATGATTGAAGTCACGAGTTAAAACAAATTGCGCTGACTGGCGCTTGGCTCTACTTTCTCAGACACCGCCATGTCGCTCGACTCTCAACATTTTTGGCTCCTGGGCTCCGCTGGTGCTGTCTCAGGAGCTTTTCTATATCTCTATGCTGGATATAGGAGAACTTTACGGGCATATCAAGGCACACCTGGCCTTAAGACGGTCCTCTCCGTTTCGGCGCCGATAATGAACGTGCTCCCACAGATAAAGGCCGGCCCTTTTGGCGACTGGTGGTTTAATATTGGAGCCCAATGGTGGTTCAGCGTCAAACATGACTGTAAAGGGTTTACTTTTAGCCGCGACCCTACTTGACAACCCGTAGGCTTCCAAAAAGCGGGTCAGGACATCATTTCGAATGTGAGATAACCATGGTATTTGTTTAAAATACTGATGAAATCATAATTCAGATCTCTCTTGACAACTTTGGCCCTGTATTTATTGTTGCCGACGCCGAGGCTACTCAGGTATCTCCTTCTGGCATTGAGAGAGGCCTCTCCCAACACTTTTTCAGGAAATACTTGGCAATCGGGTCCGCTTCCCCAAGCCAACCGAGGTCTACTTTATCCTCGAGTTGTACGGACGGAATGTGGTCACGACGGAGGGTGATATATGGCGTTCTCATCGTAGAATTGCAGCCCCCAGCTTCTCGGACGTGAGTTCATATCCTTGTGTGACGTGTGATCGCTGATTTTCCCAGAGCAATAACCGGCTCGTTTGTCAGGAAACTGGAGTTGTCGTGAGCTCCCTCTTTGAACAGTGGAAAGATAAAGAGAAAATACATTATGACAACGTCAACGACCTAACCATGTCGTTAACCCTCATGGTCATTTGCTCTGCTGGCTTTGGGGTTCACGTTCCCTGGGAAGATGAGGCTGCTCCTTCAGGACACAGACTGGTATTTTTTAAAGAATCTCACTAAGACATACTGATCCCTGTCTAGACATTCAAGTCGGCCGTCAGGGGAGTTTCCGATGGCCTTATGCTGAAGATTGGGGTTCCTGATAAGATTATGCCTTGGTTCAAGCGCACAGCCCACATTCAAGAGGCATTTGAAGAACTACATGTAAGTGTTCATCAGGACAGACGATCATCTTTTGACTTTCGCAGCAATATATGAAGGAAATGGTCAAAGAGCGTTCCAAGAGTTATCGCGACTACAGTGACCTATTCAGCAACCTCATCGAGGCCAACGAGGCTGAGGAAGGACAGAAGCTAACCAATGAGGAACTCATTGGAAACATCTTCATCTTCCTGATTGGTACGTGGTTGTAACAGCCCTCCATTTGCTGACGCATTCTTTAGCTGGTCACGAAACAACTGCACACACCCTTGCATTCTGCCTCGGGCTCCTGGCGCTCTACCCGGAGGTCCAAGAAAAGCTTTATAAACACACGGTAGAGCACGTCGCAGATGTCCACGGGATTCCAGTATGTTTCTATTCTGTGAATCCCGGATTTTCTGACCATTCGAAAAGACATATAGTGAACTACCTAACCTGACCTATCTGGAGGCCGTCTTCAATGAGTCTTTGCGATTGTTTCCTCCGGTCACTATTATCCCGAAACGCAGCGCATTCGATACTACTCTGCGGACGGTCAATACTAAAGGCGAGCCGGTGGTCGTACCTATTCCAAAGGGCGCCATATTCAATATCGCCACCGCTGGTATCCACTATAACCGTATGCCTCTCGCCTGTTCTAGAGCCGCTTGTTGACAATTTTTAGCGCGTTATTGGAAAAATCCACACGAGTTTAAACCAGAGCGGTTCCTAGGGGATTGGCCAAAGCACGCATTTGTTCCCTTCTCTATGGGTGCGAGGTCATGCATCGGTCGCAGGTAAACTTCCAATCTTCTTTCGCTCACACGCAGCTTATGGTAATCCAGGTTTGCGGAAATCGAAATGCTGGTTGCTCTCAGCCAGATTGTCCGGAATTATCGTCTTGAGATCAAGGTGGACCCGAAATTCGCAGACGAGAGCTTTGAGGACAGGCGGAAGCGTGTGCTCGCAGCGCACGACGCGATCACTTTGACTCCGGATGGCATCCCTGTCACCTTTATCAAGCGTCATTGATCGTCCTGTATAAATTTGTACGATTCTGAACCTATCCAATCCGTACTTTCTAGAACCTACCGGAGAGTCCCACAAAATTCTGAGCTTTGATCGTCCGACACACCCGGGATTTGAAGGAACTAGCCGCCTCGTTCGATAGTGCCCCAGGAACTTAACAGCTTGGACGTTCTCTCAATCAGTGCGTGCGCCAAATTGCGTGAGAAATGACCACAGAGAAGATTTTCGAGCCTCTTTTTCCTCCTCGAAACTCTGATGTGTCCAGAGGGCCAGTCAAACTCGAAACAGGGCAGGAAGAGAAGCGGCTTGCAGTATTGTCGCGTTTTGCCAACGACAGCTATACGTTACCTGACTCATCGACTCTAATGGACGTAGAAAAGTTCTGGTTGGTGAGTGTGAACCCACTCGGAGATGATTCAATTCACTGTGAGCAGACCAATGATTGCCTGCTACGTTACCTTCGGGCGACCAAATGGGATGTAAATGCGGCTATTGAGCGGATTGAATCTACCTTGAAATGGCGACGAGAATTCGGCCTGTACGACAAACTAGACGCAGAGCTGGTGGAGCCTGAGGTACGTGCACTTTCCTACATCGGAGTATAGTATCTCACTAACTGCTGGCTAGGGAAATACCGGACACGTCCTTCTGTATGGCTATGATAGAGACATGAACCCTTCCCTCTACGCGTTCCCCAGTCGTCAAGTCACCGAAGAAGGAATGCGACAGATACAGTACTATACGTACATGTTTGAGAAGGCACTCGATGCCACAGGTCCAGGGGTCGAGTGAGCTGCACACCTTCTCTTCGACCCTCGTTGATGATTTGATTAGAAAGGTGTCCCTCCTTGTCAATTATGCTGACAAGTCATCAAAAACTTCCCTCTGGAAAGCACAACAAGTGTGTTTTTATACTACTGAAGGATCATGGTTAACTCTTTTGTCCGCAGGTCTTGGACATTGTTCAAAATCACTACCCTGAACGGCTCGGTCATGCATTTGTGATCAACGTCCCATTTATCATCAACATGTTCTTTAAGATTGTCATGGCATTTGTTGATCCGGTCACCAAACAGAAGATTCACTTCAATGAGGACGTCGTCGAAAGGGGGTTTATCGACAAGGATGTGCTCATTAGTGCGTCTGGTTGGGGCGGGAATGTAGACTTCGAGTACAAGCATGACATTTATTGGCCGAAGCTCGTTCAGGAGTGCAACGCAAGGAAGGAGGAGCAATTCCGGCGGTGGCGAGCGCTGGGTGGCAAGATCGGAGAAGACGAATCCGTCCTCAAAGGCTCTGATCCCCTACCGGAGTCAACCAACCAATCTCGAGACGCGCCGGAGGTTGTAGTCACACCGCCCAGTGAGGTCCATTAGAGGACAGGTGTATCCTTTATATTACCCTCTCTATAATACCAATATACACTCCAGATTATTCCTGACAAGCCTCGGACGTATTATCTATAAACGTCAGACTACTTGTGGACATACATTTCAACAAGTGGTACCATGGATCTTTACTCCGTACATTTCGGGACTTCTGACCTATCACAACGCTTTCGATGAGAGCGCCGAGAATCGGCCCATCCTGGCACCAACAAATTTTGGACCCGCCTCTACTCAACGCCGCGATCCTAATCCACGATTTCAATGAGCTCTACGAAACTATATACCCCTATAATCCCTCCCATCCCACCAACGGATGAGACACGGCCAAAGCCGCTCGAAGGCGTGCATGAGGAGAAGCGGCTCCAGGTTTTGGCGCATTTCACGGCAGAAGACTACAAGCTTCCGAATGTAGAGAAGGACCCTAAACTTATGGAAATGGAAAAGTTTTGGCTTGTGCGTCCATTCAACACGTTTTCTAGACCAGAATTGCAGCCATCTCCAAACTCGTTGCCCGGCGCAGATGATATCGACAATGATCAAATATTGTCTTGGGTGTCACTCAGTCTCGGTATCAGGAGCCGACATGCGAGAAGGCTCGACTAAATGGATCCTCGTTTAATCCAGCCGCTCTCCGGCAACGAGTTTGGCAGACCCTCTGTAACGCCTCTAACTTTTTGATAGACTAACGACTGCATGCTCCGGTACCTAAGGGCGACCAAATGGGACGTTCCCGCTGCGATCAAACGATTAGAATCAACTTTGGCATGGCGTAGATCGTTCGGGTTCTATGACTCTCTGACCCCAGAGCACGTAGAAATAGAGGTGTGTGTCATTCTCTAATAGCCCAGCTGTACCTTACCATTATCCAGGGACAAACGGGAAAGGAAGTCATTTTTGGCTACGATCAAGGCAACCGACCTGGTCTTTATATGTTCCCTAGCCGTCAGAATACGGAAGAGAGTGAGCGCCAGATCCAATATGCAACCTTTATGATCGAGCGCACAATCGATCTCGCGCCTCCTGGCATCGAAAATATTGCACTCTTCGTCAACTATGTGAGTAGAACATATGCAGTGCTTGTCGGGCTAACAACAGGATAGGGAGACAAGTCGCCAAAGTCGCCCTCACTCTCTACGTCGCGGAATGTGAGTCCATTTACAAATCTCGGTCATGAAGCTGATTTGTCCTAGTTCCTCTCCATCCTCCAAAACCATTATCCTGAGCGTTTGGGCCGCGCTTATATTATCAACATACCCTTTCTCCTCAATGCATTCTTCAAGGTCATCATGCCACTGGTTGATCCCGTGACGCGCGATAAAGTTCGATTCAATCCAAAGGTCATTGACGAGGGCCTGATTGACAAGGAAATCTTGCTCAATGCCCAAGGATGGGGTGGCAATGCCGATTTCGAGTACGAGCATGACAAATACTGGCCAGCTCTGATAGAAATATGCAAGAAACGCCGCGAGGAACAAATGGCGAGGTGGCATGAGTTAGGAGGCAAGATTGGAGCGGATGAATGGATACTTAAAGGCGGACCTATAGTCGTTGCGCACCCCCAGACTGGAGACGCGTCGAACGAAGCCGTTACAAAGGATGAAACACATCAGACTGGCTCGATTGCAGCTTGATCTATGTTACCCTTAGGCATTGATAGAGATAACGTACACAAGAGGCACCGATAGACATATACAAGATGTTCACGCTTTGATGGGTTTCTAGAATGGCTGTCAGAAATTTGATATATGTGTAACAGAGTCGAATACGCACATAGCCAACCTTGTCCAGCGAGTACTTTATGCCCGCCGCCTTGATTTTTTCCGCCCTTTCCTTTTGTCGCTTCAAGAGACGTTCTTCGGCTCGAGCTTTTTCCTCCGCTGTTCGTTCCTGTCAGGCGGTCAGAGGTAAAAACGACAGGTTTGCGCTAGAACATACCTTGTTGAAGCCCAGTCGATTCATCTTGGCAGCAGGGAGCTTTCTCCATTTCCTGTTCGCACCCACCCAGAGCTCTGGATGAACTCGCTCTGGAGGGACGACCTTGCACTGTAGGAGATGCCCAGCAAGAAGGTAATTGTCCATTGTCTCGCTGACAATTCGTGCCACAGAAACCGAGTCAAACTCGATAAAGCCATAATGTTTCGACTTGCCGGTCTATCGGTGCGTGAGTGGCAAGCTTCCCGTGAACTGAGGCTTTGACCTTTTTGTTCCGTGAAATACGTAACCTAGTGACATTTCCAAATTGAGAAAAGTATTCCTTCATCTGGTCTTCGTAGAAGCCATGTGGGATACGGCCAAGGTATAATACGCCACGTTCCTCCGTCTATGATCAATCTCAGTAGCTGTCTATTTCTAGTCATCAAACGGACACACCTGTTTCTTCTTTGCACGATCTAGCCTACTCTTGACCGACTTGTCATCTCGCGCAGCGTTAGGAAGCTTGCTGACGTCCAGAGGGTCTACGTCGATACTCTCATCGTCAGACGAGTCCTCGTCGGTCGAGAATCCATGTAAGTAGACTTCATCTTCCGCTTCTTGGTCAGATTTGGCCTGCTCCTGGTCCTGGTCCCGAGAGTGTCCGGAAACACTTGGCGATCTCTCGTTTCGCTTTTTGGATGTCGCCTTTTTCGTCACGACATCTTCACCAGCCTTTCTACGCTTAGATGTGGGTACTTCTTCCTCGAGAGTTTGCTGTTCTTCTCTTGTTCGTTTCCGCTTTGGTCTGTTTGACACCTCTTCGGCAGCACCGCCAGCCTCCGGGCCCAGTTTCTCATCGTCTTTCTTCGTTTTTTTGGTGGTCTTGTCTCTGGAGGGTTCACCTACAGGACCCTTCATTTTAGCCCCCTTCACTGTTCGTGTTTTTTCTTCCACGATATCCGGCTCCACCGGCTTCTTTTTGCTTTTCTTGGATTCTGAAGTATCTTTTCTCTCCACATCCTTGCTTTTCTTTTCCTTGGAGGAGCCTTTGGTTGTCGGAGCCATGGTGGCGGAGAGAGAGTTGCAACTTCTGTTTTCCACCATCTCGAATCAAACAAGTTTACGAGAGCATGCATACGGAAATTCGGTTCCGACGGTATCTGAACCCTCATGATGCACATATAGAAACGAGAAGGCTCCAGTCATTGTCCGGGCAGGAAATGGCAGAGGAAGACACTCCACCCCACGATACGACAGAGTTTCGTGACTACTTCGAGAGTATATCTCCGTTACTCTGGGTGGATAATAATGAGCGAATTTTGTGCTCTCCCAGCGCAAATGCCTCGCGTACGTGCAAGCATCTCCCCCTTCATTATGGCTCAATCTCAGGCAGAGTTTAGACTTATATCTGAACCAGTAGAAGTGTTACTCTATCCAAGAGAAGCATTGAAACGGTATGTTCCTAAGCCCGGCAAGGAGCTCGCCTGACAATCGAAAGGGCGCCTTCACCTAATGTAGAAGACACTAGACACCAGAGACATCAGAGGCGAGAGCGAGCACAACAAGCTGCCGTAGACTTTCCGTCCTTGGGGGGGATGCTTTCTGCTCTACCAGTGCGTTTGTTGTCGTTGCATAGCTTCATTGAATTGATCCATTCTGGAGTCGGAAATAGAACAGGTTAAAGCGTCAAACTACTCATCATCCCCTGTTGTACTGCTCAGCCAGACGTCGATAGATACAGATCTGTACAAAGGCCCGCCAGTCATCCGCATACTAAAGCCACAGGGGAGGAAGAAGAGGAAACGCAACAAGCCAAAACCTCCACGGCCACCACCATCCTTTTGGCGACCGAGTACTTCGATGGGTCCGCGTGCTTCTGGGTACGCATATGGCTACCAAGGGAGCTGGATGGTGGACGATCCATCACAAGCGACGTACAAACGTGATAAGATGAAGACACTGCGCATTCATGCCGTTGTCAGTGATCTCAAGCCACGGAGGCGTAGCACTAAATGATTGTATTCGTGTGTAGTGAGCGACGTTTACTAAAAACAGGTGTCCTTTGAAGACGTAGATTATGGTCTCCTCGCAAATAGATGTGGATGATGTAAGAAGCAAGTATAATGAGCGTGACGGTTGGAAAGGTTGTGTTGAAATCTCAGTTCCAGATGCTCTTAATGACATCGGCAGCCTATAGAGTTTATGAGCAAAGTCTCCAGTAATCCATCAACAGACTGACCTTCTCGGCAATCGCATACGTCGTGCTTTGTGAGTGAGCAGAGACGTGCATGGGGAAAACACTAGCGTCCACGACGCGCAAGTTCTTCGTCCCGTAGACAAGCAAGCTTGTGTCAACCACACCGTTTAGCTGACGCGGCGCCATCGCCGCGGTACCGACTGGATGCTTGAGACTCTGCAAAGAGTTGCGAACGTAATTGGCAATATCATCGTCGCTGGTCACAGACGTGGGTGGGTCATTGAACGTCTTGATGAGATTTGAGAAAGGAGCCGTAGATGCAATCTTGCGAACGAACTTGACGCTCTCAACGAGAACGCTGCGGTCTAGGTATCATTGTTAGCATTACGCTGGCTTCTTCAACTTGATGGAGACATACCAAAGGAACTGGCGAGGTAGTTGGGATTAACCGCGGGCTTAACCAGGGGATCCGTGGTTGTAATGTGCTATAAAGGTGAGAATGCATCTCCAGGAGCAGGGGCCAACTTACAACGGAGCCACGGCTGAATGCATGCTGAAGGACTGGGGTAATCGTAATGTACGACGTATTGGCAGCGGGTGTGAGAGAGTTTGGTGTAGGCTGGAAGCCTGAATAATGGTTAGAGCAGAAACAGAAGAAAGAATTCAACGTACCGGGAACGAAGACAAACTCGACTTGAGGAACGTCCGTATTGTAGAGCCAGCCGAGTTGGAGGACGTATTGAGCCCATTGGAGAAGAGAGAAGGAGCTTGCACCACTGAGAAGCTCCCCAGTCAAGGATGCCAAGATATTAATGAACTTGGAAGTCGAGAGGAACGATTGGAGAGGAACAAATGACAGGACAGAGATGGTAGAGGTCAGGATACCGGTCTTTGACGAGGCGCTGTTCGACGCATGAGCAAAAAAGTAATAGATGGAAGGATTCTACGCACTATTGAGCAGCGGCAGCGGCAGCAAACGTGGAGTTAAGTCTTAGCTCATCTGCGGAGTGCGTCAAGAGTTGACAATTCTGAACCAGTGAAGCTTACCCCATGTGTGGTAACCATCCTTGATGATGAAGCTACAAGGAGTCATAGCGTGGTCCACCAGATTCTCACCAACGCCCGGGAGGTTGATCAAGGTCTGGATACCAAAGCTCGACAGCAAGCCCGAGTCACCAACGCCGGAGAGTTCAAGGAGCTGAGGCGTATTGAAGACACCGCCGGAAAGAATGATTTCCTTTGCCGCTTTAACAGTATAGACAGTGCCACCATAGGTGTAGGAAACCCCCGTCGCGGTGTAAGTGCCGTCCCTGTTCTTTGTAGAGCTGAACTGAATCTTTGTAGCTTGGGCACCCGTGAGAACGATAAAGTTGGACTTGCTAGCGTTGGGAGCGTAGTAGGCTGAGGCAGCGTATGACCTCGTTTGACTCGTAGAGTCAACTGCACGAGGAGAGTTGTAGATTCCAACATTATCTCCAGAATCCTTTCGTAGAGATCAATGACACAGACTCATAGAAAGGTTTGAATATTCTCACCGGTGAGTTGTTGATCGAAATGCCCAAGTTCTGTACCGCATGGATATAGGGGGAGGCGACGTCGGAGTACCATGTGTTGTGAGAAGCTTTGACCGGTCCCGATGACCCATGAACGGCGTCGTCTCGAGCGTTCAGGAACGATCGCTTCGTCACGGCGGTCGAATTTCCCGCGTTCAGTGTGTCGGCTACGCCGGCTGCGGCGAGCAATGCGTTCACATCGAGGGCGGTCGCATTCAGCGCGTCGATTGCACTAGCCAAAAAGTCGGTCGGAATATCCGTTCCGGCGACTTCTTCATCTCTGCGGCGGCGGGTTGGCGTCGGGTCTGGGAACTGGTCCTCTGGGAGGGGTGGCGTGTATGTTTCTGCTTTCTTGAAGTACGGGAGCAAGCCATTCCAAGTCCAACCCTGGCCAAAACCGAGATTGAGGACAGACCAAGCCGAATACTCAATGGCAGCTGGTCGATTGAAGATTTCAAAGTTGATGGCAGAGCTACCGCCGAGAACACGACCACTATTTGGCGTCGTCATCAGCAACCGCAAGAATCGCGAGAAGAGCACGTACCGATTCTGAGGGATCACTCGATTGTTTGCATTTGCCTGGGGAGCTTTCGGAGCAAGTAAGATGTTGTCCAGTTTGTGCTGAGAGATAACTCACTAGTCAAGTATACCCAGTCATAGTTAGCGTTGCCAAGGGTCGAACCGAAGTTCTCTAGAGTTGAAACTCAGCCTCAGATAACGTAAGCTGGGAGAATCCCACGCACTTGGGACATCAATGAGTGGGTCATTAGGTCGATATTGCCCGACTTCGATCACACCAATGGACCAAGTGCTCTTCTCGGCGAGACGGGCGGCGACGGCGAGTCCAGCCGTCCCCCCACCTTGTAGGGCATCAGCAAAGTCCTTTGGCGCTGTAGTGTACGCACCAACTACGACAAAGTCAAAATTGGTGGCAGCAAATGCCGCAGGGTCAGTGACAATGCCTAACAGAAGGCGAATGAGTGAGCGAGGTTGCCCCATCGGCGAAGGGTGAGGCGCAAGCGTACCTCTTGGAATGATGACTGCGGACGCTAGCTGCACGCTAGAGGCAAGGAGCAAACTAGAGAATGCAACGAGCGACGACTGTAAAGGCATGATGGTAGGAGGAAGAGAGAGAACGAACGGACGGCGGGATGAGGAGCCTGAAGGAACTTGGATCTGATCCGATCATGCGGGCTTTTATCGCTCCTGCATCCGATTGATTGAAAGAAACTTGATCCTCCTGGGTCGTTCAGAGAAGGGCTGGTCAGGTACAGGAATGGGACCTGACCATGTCATGGCCGCCAGCAGTCGTTTCAAACCAAGTAGCAACTAATGAAAGGGATGGTTCTGGTGCACTCTATGCATACACCTGCCAGATGGAACTGTCAGAAGCCACTAGAGCTATCGATTGTACTCACTCCGTTATCAAAGCCATCCTCCTCCTCCGGGTCAAAGCCAATCCGGCTGGAGATTGACACACTGGGGAAGGCTCGCTTTGCAAGATGCCTGTCAATGTCCGAATCCTTGTGGCCCATCAAGCGGAGGGTAGCTCTGCGCCCGTTGCAACCTCCGCGACACAATCTCGGCATCAAAATTTCGACAAGTCGACCTGCCATGATGGATCCAAGTGACATCCGCTAGCGTCTTCTCCGTGCGCGGCACGTTAGGCTAGGTACTGTGCTTACTGAGACCGGCCACTTCCGTGTTTGGGAATCATATACCATTAGTGGTGTAGGAACATCTTGCCCCAGATGATGTTAATTGCTTCCGTCTTGGTAATTGACGAACGGACGGCCCGGCAGTGGAGACGTCTAGCGTTGTGGGTGAAAGTTGAGCAGAAAAAGGAGACACAGTCGCATTATACATCTACAATGGTCTGGACTGATCTAGTATCTCGCCACGTCCGAGCCGCAGATGTCGGAGAGAGCAACCTTGGATAAAGCTCCCGCGATTCGTTGGAAGATCATAAACTCCTGAAACTTGAGCGTGATTTGCGAGGAAAATTATGTGCAACAAGCTCTTATTTATTCTAGGTGCTACAGCTGTAACGCAATTATCAAAAACCATAAATACGATGCGATCACTGTGATATGGCCTCTTATTGTTGGGAGCACCATGCGGTCTAGGACTCAATCCAGGCTTCCGGAGGGAGCTGCGGCTAGGCACAGACACGTTAGCTTGAGTCTAGATACTGCATAGGATCTACCGTACCGGGATAGAGTTGACGAGTTCGTCAAAGTTTGACTTGGCCTGAGCTATATCCCACCCGTTGGCTTCGAGACACATCATTGCGTACTGATAATTGAGGCCGGTCATTGCTTTCAGCTGGGTCATTGCCGCGCGTTGAGAATCAGCCTGAACAAGGTTGGTTAGACTGTGGTACAAGTACTAATAAAACCAGATACGTACCAAGTCAACAAGGAGCGGGTGTAGGACCTCACCAGGTCCAGACCCAGTGACATCCGACATCGCTGCGGAGGGGTTTTCTGACCTGGTCTGTGATGGACCTGCAGAGATAACAGCCTCCGCCTCCTCTTGCTGTGTCAAAAGAGGCCCAATTGTCCAGCTGTCATGCGAGGAGTATGCCCGGATATTGAGCTGGTCAGAGATGACTACCGCCTCCCAGCCATTTATCTTCGCCCTAGGAACATATGAAGTCTTTATACGGTAATAGTGAAAGTTTACTTACACCGAGTTGTCAGGCGCTGGGGCGAGTATCAATGTCCGGTCAAAAGACCGAATGCCGTCAATAGTGCCGGGTTCTGTCACGGCGTCAGACAGACATCAAATGAAATCGCATCCACATACCTTCCACAAATTCGCCATGAACGGTAACGAGGAGCTGAGGCCCTGCGCCAACATCTAGTTGCATTACGTCTAGAACAAATTTTTCTCCCTCGGTGACAATGTGTTTGGTGGTCGGCAACGTGCTCAGACCGACGACGATATCGTCTGCTCCCGTGTATAGTTTATCTCGAGCGTCTTGAAGCGAATTGTGCGTCTTCATCAGGTTGCGACTACCCGCGCCGTGCCATGCTTTCCAATCGAGCTTTCGCTGGTTCGGCATCTTGTACATGAACCCACGCTGCCTCGCTTGCGGAGGAATCGTCGAATCATAGGAAAACGAGAATGTTGATTGGGGGGTATAGACAGTATGAAGCGATGGCCGGCTATTGTCAAATTTGTCCAAGAAACTATGAAGAGGTTAGCAGTCGAAGAATGCTCACAAAGGTGGACAAACCTTTCCAGAAAGTTGGAAATAAACGCTCCAATCTCGGGTGCCACCGCGCTGGGACGCATAGGCGTGGGGAATGAGCGTGCAGGTTGGGGCACTAGAGGTACTCGTGGAGTGGTGGGTGCAACACCATACTTGATGTGAGGCAGAGGAATGTTATCCAATATCTCGAGAGACGGAAACTTTCTTGCAATTTCGCTATGTGTCGATTCACGTAAGTCGTCCGTTAGTGACGGTTCATCGAGGTTGATACTAACTTCCGATATAATTCAACTTTGCCATCTGTCACTGCGGTCTCGTGCAGTGGGTTCTCGAGGAGAATAATCTCTCTCAGCTTCTTCAAGATCCATTTGGGTCCACCAAAGATTTCCATATCTCTGTAACTCCTCACTTTATTTCCTATAAGCGAGAGGTTGACAACATTCGGAAGCCATCGATTGAGAGCCCCGAAGATGACAGAACCATCAAAGCCGTTGTTGGCAATGGAAATAGTGATTGGTGGTGGGTCAAGCTGGGAGGCAATCTTCATAATTACATGCACCTCCCTAGACTCCCTTGTCTTGGTAATTGTAATCTTGGCTTTGGCAAGATCCTCGTCCACAGCAAGGTTCTAGAGAGGAGTGAGAACTTGATATCGTTTCCTATGGGAGGAATCTTACATCTAGGTTCAGGAAAAGATTCTGTGCATTATATCGCTTGGATACAACCTTTTTCCACGTCTCGACCACGGATGCCTCCGAGGCAACAGGCCGCTTAGGAATACGTGATGTAACGGGTCCTCTGGTTGTGGGCGGAGTCTCACCGCGTGCAGCAGACTGAAATCAAATAATGAATTAACGCAAGGCAAAGATACATATACAGTAGAATTTACCGCGGATGAGCGCTGCATTGCCATCGAAGCGGCCTTTCCCTTGACAGCCTCCATCGCTTTGGCCTGCATCGTCGTTCGAGAGCGCATTGAGCGATGCTGAGGTTTCGAAGACGATGCCTCTTTCATCGATACATCCTCGCCGTTGCCTCGAATCAGGCCCGTCTTCTTCAACAGCTGTCCAGCGACATTGCGACGAGGTGCCGAGACGGTTGGGATTGTTCGTGGCCTTTGAGGGGTTACAGGAAGGGATGCAGACATTTGGAGAGCTGATATTGAGTAGGTCGTTGGCCAATGACCGACCTGGTGGAGTCCAAAAGGCAAAGGCGCTGTGTACGCCGCTTCCGTTCCGGTCTCGCCTCACTCATGACTCAACAGTTCTGGAGAAAAATCGCTCTGATTGGAAGGAAAAGAAAGGTAACTATTCCAACATTTGTATGGGATCACGGCTCGAGCGATGCAGGGAATGTTCCAGCTTCACGTTGCTCATCAAAGCGAGAAATCTAGCAAAATTAGAAATACTTATCAAATGTTGCAGTGATCAACTTACCCAGTCATCTGTTGAAGGAACAAGGCGCGGCCAATCATCATGAGCGTCCTTCGACAAGACACGGATGCAACTTACTGGGGCAGAGAGACTTGTATGCTCTGGAAAATTGCTTGCAGGGGGCAAAGTCCTCGCCTTTGGCATTGATGCATTTGTGGTAATCGATATACGATTGGAAACTGAGCCGACGGTAAGCCCTGGATACTCCAAACGATGTCACATAGACAATTACCAGTGTTTAGTCTGATTCTGGTTGGGGAACCGGGCTACACGTGATAGTCAGCAACGATAACGGCGGTCGACAAAACTGCGAGGACTGACCGTCAAAGCCAACGGTTTGGAGAACTCTGAGCGAGTCATAAACAGCGTTAAATAGATTATTCTAATTTTTCATGTATATGCTGTACCTCTTGACGGGCTGTTCTTGCGCTTTGGCGTCTGCAGACATGGTCGAAGTCCAAGTGATGTTGACCAGGATCCAGAACTTGTCTAGCCACCCCGACAGGCCATTTCAATGGACGCCCTCAAGGCAGAGCTCGCAAAGAAAAGAAAGGCAGCTGAAGAGGCAGCTGGATCACGTCCGACCAAATACATGAGGAGAGGTGACCTGGAACGCCTGAAACAGGAGGAAGAGGCTGCAAAGAAGGAAGCTGCACGAGCAAAGGCAGAAGAGGAGGAGAGAAAGAAGCAAAAGGCGGTGTGTAGCATGCTCTCAGTCATTCTGACCCTCAGCTGAGGACGATTACAGAAGGAACCAAAGGCCAGCTCCAGTACGGCCACTCCTGAAGCAAGTGGAACACCAGAGCCGACGAATCAGTTCAACATATCAAATGAAGAGGCAATCAGGCGTCTACGAGCCAAGGGCCAACCGATTCGTCTCTTTGGTGAATCAGACAAGGACAGACGATTACGTTTACGCGCCCTGGAACTGATAGAAGAACGTGTTGGCGACAAGACCATGGGTCAAAACGATTTTCGAAAGGCGCTTGAAGACGTCGAGGAGGAGGAGCGCAAGAAACTGGCTCGTGTCAACCAGGCGGAATCAAGCAAGGGGAAGGGAGAACGAAAGGATCTGGATATAGAAGTGGATCTAGCTTTGATTAAAACCGACCCAGACAAGCTTTATCCCGTCATTTACTATGCTCTCAAAAAGACGCTCGCAGACTGGGCTCAGTATATGGACGAAAGACCAGGTGGCTGGCTCCATACCCTTCAATACCTTAACTGACGGGTTTCGAAGAAAGCGTCAAACGGACCAACCAAGGCAAGATTGCGGCAGCGGCGCAAGTACAATCTGGCGAGTATCTAAAGCCGCTCTTCAAGCAGCTACGATCGCGAGTGAGCAATTCCCTCCATCTCTGGCTAGCTCTACTAAATTATTGCAGTCTCTCGCCCCGGATGTCCTCGCCAAGATTGCAGAAATCGTCCACTACATGCAAAAGCGACAATACCAAAAGGCAAACGATGCATACCTACGACTGAGTATAGGAAATGCTCCTTGGCCCATTGGTGTCACCATGGTTGGGTAAGTGGTTTGTTCAAAGGAAACCGGTATCCAAGGCTAAGTATATACAGTATTCACGAGCGCTCTGCACGAGAGAAGATCTCAACGGATCTTGTGGCTCATGTGTTAAACGATGAAGTCAGTCGGAAGTACATCCAGAGCTTGAAGAGGTGCGTATAGGCCGCAAAACCTGTCTGGGTACTCATACTCGGGCAATAGACTGCTCACATTCTCGCAAACCAAATATCCGCCCGATGACCCGTCGCAACTGATGGGTTGACCTCATTACCAAGCTCCTGTCGCTCTGGTCCTGGTCCCTTCCTCTTGTCCCCATGATGACTCTCTTTAGTATATTCTCGTGTAGTACTTCACCTCCAGCAACCCGGTGCTTGAACCCTTAATCCAGATTATTAAAGCTTATCGCTTGCATGGGCTGGCTCCCGATTCCCGGCGTCAACAAGTCTAGATCTTACTGCATCTTGGAGAAGACTGCATGACTTCTGGTATTTTCGTCGCCCTCTCTCTATATATTGACTCTCCACAGGACCCTGAGGACAAGAGCATTGTGATGTTGTGCGGATCTTTGTCTTCGGCACTGAATGCGTAAGGTTGCCGTTCACGATAGCTACTGGTCGCCGACCAACTCTCGTGTCCCCTCGTCCTTCAGTATTACAGGGCAACCGGCCATCAGACCACACGTCTCGCCAATCCCAGCATTCTTGACAATCATTATATGAACATCAACGGTAACAACATGCTCGTGACGACGCGCAAAGACATCTGGGAAGCAAGCTAGGCCTCGACGGAGGATGTACAAAGAGCTTGTCAAGTGTTCGGGTGAAAGCGCTAGCCGCACTTTAATCGACCCAGAAGTGGCCCCAACTATAGAGAGCTAATGCAGTGCTCATAATGATGGCCCTCATCTGGTCACGGTTATCAACAGTAGTCGTCCTGGATGCCTCGATTATTACTGTACAGGTTCTTGGATCATCTTAGACCCAACCTCAGCATGTGCCCATTCACGACTACTCACGCAATGGAGAGGCATCGCCGCGGAGAGCAACCGTACGCTCTTGTAACGGATTCCTCTCAAGGTTCGTTCCCTACCTTGCACGGTATGAATAAATCGAGCTTATTCAAGGAAGGGAGTTTGCTCTCGAACTTGCGCGGTTAGGGTTCAACGTGATCATCCACTCGTTTAGTGAAGAGGAACTCGCACCTGCTCGCAACGAATTTGCATTCAAATATCCTCAAATCACTGTCAAGATGCTTGTACAGGATTCATCCGTCGTCGTAGACTGGCTGAATCTTATCAAACATGTGGAGGGCTTGAATATCACGGTACTCATCAATAATGTAGGCGCATCCCCAACTCCTTTTAAACCATTCGACATCATCTCGGATGATGTGATTGAGAAATGCATCCGTGTCAACAGCATATTCCCAACACAATTCACACGAAATCTGCTACCAACGCTCATCGAACGTTCTCCTTCCCTCATACTCGATATCTGCTCAGCATCGAATTGCGCGCGAAGTGGATTCATTACAGTGTACTGCGGCTCAAGGCGTATAGCCTCGTCTGGTCACAGGCCCTTTATCACGAGCTCAAGCTCCTGAAGAGGGATGCAGAGTGCAAGGCAGTTATGACTGAGAATATTCAGACGTACGGTCATAATGTTCGAACGACCCTTGTCACTCCAACGGCTGAAGTCTCGCCCGTTCAGCTTTATCTCGTGCTGATAGTCGCGGGCCAGTGTATGTTGGCTGGTGGAGACATGCAGTGCATGTGAGTTTGCCTGTCATATCCTTCCTCACAATATCCCTGACCTGTCAGATTTTGCTGTTCAGGATTCTTGTCGTTATAATATCATTCTCTACGAACTCAGTAGCAGCTAGTATCGCGAGAGATATTTTGGTGCAACGAAAGGAAAAGAGCGATAAGACTGCAATGCGAATCAAAGATTTGCCAAAATGACGTCTCGACGTTTCATCGGTGGCACGTATAGAAACCCGCCATATTACATATCTATCAATAGGTGGCGTTATTCCGACGGCATACTGTAGAATTCCTTGACATATCTGACTACTTCCTTTTCACCAGTGTTCTAAAGCTTCGTTAGCACCCCAAATCACAGAGATTGAGGACAATACCTTGCCAATATCGTCGCTAATTTTGACGCAGGGTATTTGGTTGATGGACGAAAGCTTTATGACCATATTAAGAGCTTTACTTGTACCCGTACCATTGGCCTTCGTGAAGTCATTAGAAAGGAAAGTACCGATACCGAACGAGCCTAGAGTCATATTAGCTATGTTCTTGTTATGAGGTGAACAATACTCACACTTGAGGCCGGCGGCATCGCAGGCTGCTTTGATCGCATTCGCCTTATCCACGTTGAGCGAGTCGGAGAATACGATCGGCTTCTCGCTCGCATCGATTCCTAAGGAGTCGTAGAGTGCTTTGGCCTTGGCTACATACTCGACAGGGTCACCGGAATCCTGTCGAAGTCTCCACCTCTTCACCATCTCTGGTACGTGTATAAACTCTCGGAAGAAAGCATCCGAGGAGAATGTATCGGTGAGGCAGATGAGTAGACCGCTCATTTCACTGGGAGGATAAACTTGCTCCCAGAGGGAGAGAGCTCTTATGTTTGCTCCCTCGTATCCATAGACCGCACCGGTCTACGAAATGAAATCAACGAGTGGAATATCGATCGAATACTCGACATACCGCCATGAACCATTCATGAGCGATCGTCCCGATGGGTGTAAGCCCATACTTGTGCGCCAAATGTACCTAATGAAATGTGTTTTGTCATACTTTCGGTACAGTAGTGACATACGTTGCTAGTCCCAAGTAGCTTTCCACCCGTCTGAGCACCGTATCCATCTCTCTCAGCGTGGATAAGGCCTTGAACTACTTCGTCTTGAACTGCAAAGGAGCGCCTTCTCCTGGTGCCAAATTCGCTGAAAGTGGATCCTACCGAGAGCAGATCCTTGCCCTTTCGATACGCACGTTCTATTCACGTCGGAAGCTGGCGAGCAACAAGCAGATGAAGCTCACCAACTTGTTTCTCGTTGTTCCAGTCGGTGTCGACAACGCGGAAATACGTCTCACTGAGGAGAGCCATCAGAGGAATCTCCCACAATATCGTCTCTATCCAGGGGCCTTCGGCTGTCATCTCGACCTGTCCTCGATTTGCATCACCTTGCAATGGAGTGAATTTGATGACGACTTGCTCAGGCTTGTAGCGATATTGCTAAACGGCTCGTTATGTCAGATGCTGGATGGAAACCATCGGGTTGGCGCTTACTTCGAGATAGTCGAGATAATCACTTTTCAGATACGGACACTTGTTTGCAAGCCATATCCTCTCCTCCTTAGTCAAAGCGAGATCTTTCAGCTCTGTGTTTGGAATCGGACTAGTCAGTGATCTACAATTCCGGTGGAGGTGTGAACTGCGCACTAGCGACCGTATTTCGAAACTGTCCGACGCATTCCGCGGTGAAATACATGTTCTGGGATCTGTTTGTGAAGCGATATTTGGCTACCGCATCTGGAAACTGGCGTAGGACCGCTTGCTGCATCGTCAACTGGCAACTTGGCTCAATCAACGGCCAAGTAGGCGAAAACAAAGAACCTTGTATAGATCTGTATCTAGTATCGAGGTGATTTCTGCCATCTTTGATTCCAAGGGTGTGGTGGTCGGAGTAGTGGTGTGGTGACCTCGGCAATGATTGAATAAATGGAGCCCAAATGCCACTGGCATATAGGAGGTGAATCCTCAACCTACGCTATTGAACATGTCCAAATTTCGCCTGAAGAACCCAAAGGAATGCTCATGGAATTTCGTTTCACAACTTGAATTTGCCCGATGTAAGGGGGATAGACGGGGCGTCTAAAATTCTGAAGCTGGCTCCACATAACATGGTCCTACACGATCTAGGACGTAAGTGGTGAGACCTTATGTGGATAATAGATGACACTACCGCCCTCAATCGACGTTCCACCAAAGGGATAAACCAGTCGAGATATAATCTGTGAATTATCGTCACATATTATGCAAGAGTGAGGAAGTGTTGTAACCGTCAACAGTTCTCAGATGTCCGTCCGACGCGGCGCAGTACACGGGTAGTCGAGGTCCAGACTCGAGAAGTTTGGTTTAAAAAGAATCACTGATCATCGGTGCGCGCGCTACTTTATTTATATGTAATCAACGTAGAAGTACTTTGCAGTGGAGCGCGCGCATACGGATTTGACGCCTCTGAGACGATAAAGCCCAACCAATAAGACTGACCACTGGTAGCACATTTGGTTCTCCTATACTGTCAATATGTTTACCCCCGACGATGTCCCAGATCTTAGTGGTCGTGTGGCGATAGTCACTGGGTAAAGTGCCTCCTTGAATCGTCGCAGAATCGCACTGATGCCTGCAAACAGTGGGAACCGCTCTATTGGTCTCGAGACGGTTTATATGCTACTCAGGAAGAACTGTAATGTATGGATAGCAGGTCGCTCGCAATCGGGCTTCGATGAGGCGAAGAAAATCCTGGAAACACGACAAGATATCAACAAGGAAATGCTCGAGCGATTGCATTTCCAGAAACTCGACCTCAGCGGGATGAAGAATGCTCAGCTCTCTGCACAGGAATTTGCGAGGAACAACCCATCCAGACTTGACATCGTCATTGGAAATGCAGGAATATCCATGCAACGTTCAGACGAGCTCTCATCTGATGGCTACGAACTGACGATGCAAACTAACCACTTCGGACACTTCAGTTTCATCATCACCCTCTTGCCGCTGTTGACCAAGACAGCCAAAGAGCATGGGGATGTACGTGTGGTTATGACAACTAGCGACGCCTATGCATACGCCACCAACGGAATTGACTTTGAGTCTCTGACAAGACCTACTATGCAGACAGGCATGCGTGCGTTGACGGACCAGTTTGCCCGCTACGGAGCGTCGAAGTTAGCAAACATGCTCTTTGCTCGAGAGCTCGACAGAGGATGGGCAACTCCGTTGAGAAAGCAAGGAGCTATGGCATATGTTGATTGTGCTCACCCTGGTGAGTCCATTATTTGCTTGCCGTCTTGAACTCAAATGATCCCCAGGCGCCATCTTGAATACGGGACTCGGTAGCAGTGGATCGGGTGGGCAATTACCTGGCGTTATAAATCTCGCACTTCGTGTGTCAGGAAAATTTGCCGGATTCTCGGCTCTCGAGGGTGCAATGACTCAAGTTTGGGTGGCCACCACCCCAGACCTCAAGGATAAGGATCACGGAAAGTATTATGTTCCAGTGACCAATTGGCGTGGTCGATATGTTTCATCGGAAGAGAAGGCCCCTGACACGAAATGGGCTACCGACGATGAGCTTGCAGCCAAGTTATGGAAGTACAGCGAGGATGCGCTTGTCAAGGCCGGAGGGCAGAGCACTTGAATACTCGTTGATATTCTGATAGTCACCCTGTATGCGTACCGTATGAATGATTTCAAGTGCAATCCGTGATATCGAATTCTCCTTACCTCTTGGGCTATAACTAACCTATTTGCAACGAAATAGCACCTTTCATCGATGATGAAATCAATAAACGTGGATCTAAACTATTTTGTGACAATATACAAGCTCATGTGGTAGTACTCAGCTTCCTACTTCAATTCATAGGTTTAATGTGAAGGTGCACTTCGGCGCTTTCCTGCGCTCAGTGTCATCTATTATGTGGATACGTTTTTATCTATACCTGGGGGATTCCCAGGTGACGCTATGTATAGGCCTATCGCGTCCACGCCTCTGGTGTATCACGGCGAGATGACAGGGATGGACGTCCTCAGTCCCCCTAGGCATGCCGACCAGAGATCGTTTCTCTATATCTAATATAAATGGGATTATCATCTCCTTCCGGCGCGGTACTCGATAGGAATGAGTCAATATAAAATTGGAAGGAGTGAGCGCGTTCGAAATACAGTTCTGAGCAAAGATAAGACCCGATTAGGAATGATAGGGTGTCGATAGTGGCTGCTGGAGTAGTGATAACGGTGCGCGCGTCTCCGAGAGCTGACCGGTCATCGAAATACAAACGGGGTCTTCCCGGCCTTCCCGGTTGAAAAGCTCGCGACCCACACGGTTGCATCTTGGACTTCCCCAGCACTCGCAAATATGTTTACTCCTGATGATGTTCCAGATCTCAGTCACCGTGTAGCAATTGTGACTGGGTAGCGTCATGCGCGAATCATCTGACAGCCCGACTGACTGACGTCTCCACAGCGGAAACCGCTCTATTGGTCTCGAAACGACCTATATGCTACTGAGAAAGAACTGCAACGTGTGGATAGCAAGCCGCTCGCAATCGGGATTCGAGGAAGCGAAGCAGACACTGTCAAAGCGCAATGATATCGACGACGAAATGCTCCAACGTCTGCATTTCCACAGTCTTGACCTCGGCGAGATGAAGAAAGCCCAGCTTTCGGGGCAAAATTTTGTCAAGAATAACCCATCCAGACTCGATATTGTCATTGCCAACGCTGGGGTCTCCCTCCAACGCCCCGATGAGCTTGGGCCAGATGGCTACGAGCTGACGATGCAGACAAATCACCTGGGCCACTTTAGCTTCATCACGAGCCTCTTGCCCCTCTTGGAGAAGACGGCTAGAGAGCATGGGGAAGCACGCGTCGTAATCACGTCCAGCGACGCTCACGCATTTGCAAAGGAGGGAATTGACTTTGACTCTTTGACAAAGAGCAAGCCACATCTTGGTATCCGCGGTCTGTCGGATGCATTCGCCCGTTATGGAGCATCCAAGCTTGCGAATATGCTCTTCGCTCGAGAGCTCGATAAGAGATGGGCAGCGCCACTGAGAAAGCAAGGAGTTATGGTTTCTGCCGACTGTGTCCATCCGGGTACGTACAATGCCGTTTGGCGCTAGCCACCCTGTTGCTCAAGATGCGATAGGCACAATCCTCAATACTGGCCTGGGTGGAACTGGGTCGGAATGGGGAATACCAAGCTTCATCGGCACCATCACTCGTGCCTCGGCCATGTTTATAGGATTCTCGTCTCTTGAGGGTGCAATGACTCAAGTGTGGGTGGCCACCACTCCTGACCTCGAGAACGAAGATCATGGCAAGTACTTTGTCCCTGTGACCAACTGGCGTGGTCGGTACATGGCATCAAAAGAGAGCCCACCCGACTCCAAATGGGGCAGCGACGACGAACTCGCAGCCAAATTGTGGGAGTTCAGCGAGGATGCACTTGTCAAGGCCGGAGGACAACGTATCTAGGCCGCCATGGCTCACAAAGTTTCAGAGAAAGTCTCGTAATCTCGAGCATTTCATGTATATACGCCATCTGAACATACTGCTATCTGCGTTTACCCCCTTTGGCCCCTTGACGCGAACTCCCTGCTCCACCCGATGCGGATGCATGACCCGTGTCCTTGATATGATTGAATAGCTTTGTACGTGAATCGAACTCTTCGTCGCAGACGTTGCACTTCTGGCGGATAGAATTCAGAACAGCCTTTCAAATTGGACACTACGAACCTGTATTATAGCCTTCACAGACTGTTGTTGCGAGTTCTTCGCCGCCTCTTTTGCTCGCCGTTTCTCTCGTTTCGAGAGACTCGGTGCTGGTCCTTCTTCCTCATTCTCTCCCAATGGTGCTTGATTGGCACCATTTTCTAGCAAAGCTGTGTCGCCTTCCGGCATTGAATCAGCATTTGGGGCTGGAGTCGAGGCATGTCCGCCTGTCAAAGGTGTTGCTGCTCCACTGGCAATTGCCGAATCTCCTCTCCTCTTCTTCTTCCCCTGTTTCTTTGCTCTTGTTCCCGTCTCCTCATCGTCCGAGAGAGTGGTCATCCGTGCGTTTAGAGCGTCTTCTCGCTGCTTGGCACGTAATTCCGCTTTCGACATTCGGATCGGGGTTGCCGTCTTATTCGACTCTTTCTGCTGCTTCTTTTTCTTCTTTGGCTGTTTCTCCAATGCATCATCGTCGGACTGAGGTGGCGGTGTGGCGGAAGCCCTCTCTTCGTCTTGCGCTCCATCATCGTCGACGCTTGCGGGAATTTGCGCATCCATATTTATCTCCTCAACCCTTTCATCTCCCGAAACACTTCCAACGTCGTCCTCATTTGGATCGAGGGACAGCTCCCGATGCTCCTTGAGCATTTGTCGTTGCAGTCTGTCCACTATCAGAGATAGAAACGAAGATGGGGTGACACGTACCTTTCAACTTCCTTTAAATGTTTCTTGCTGCGCTCGTGGCTCGTCCATGCCGCCTCGCTGCGAAACGCCTTGCCGCAAGCAACGCACTCCCATTCCTCTCCTTCTTCATCTTCCAAATGTGCTGCGTTGAACCCATCGTCGGGTAGCGTAACCTTTTGCCAATCCTGCTCGACGAATGCCGCTATAGGCGTAGAGCTTCCCTTGGTTTGGGTCGGAGCGGATGTCGCTTTCATCGTAGATGCGGCGGCTTGGCTTGCGACAAAGTCTTTATACCTCTTGTCACGCTTTCGCACAAAGCGTACTAGATCCTGACACTTTGGTGAGTCTTCGGCACAGCAGCTATGGTTATACACATACTCGTACGGCATCATTATACTCCTTCTTTGCGTCTTCGCGCGCCTTTTTGTTATCTTTTTCCATAAGTCTATACAAATCAAGAGTAAGAATGTAGGAATTGGGAATAGAATTCATTCATACCGCCGAACTCTTCGCTCTGGTGCTTCACTGAGGTTCCACGAGTCCATCCATGAAAATTCCTTCTCAGTCGAGAAGGAGAGCCACGCATTGTAAAACCGACGGGCGGCTCGATGGTCATCCTTGTCCGCAGCGACCCAAGGCCATGTCGAGTCGCCAAACTCGGGCCAATCATCGACGCCATCAGAGTGTTGAGCCTCTTCCAGCGCCAACCTTCGGAATAAATTGCGATAGATGCCGTAGAAACCCTACTGACTCGTTCAGTCGCCCATCGCGTCAAGGTAGAAGTACATACGGTTTCTGAATCGTCCATAGACTTCCATAGGGACGGATTCATTAGCTTTTCAATGTTTCGTGCCGTCAGCCCTGGGTCATTCGGACGCCGTTTGGTTTTCAGCCCGGACCCTTTGACAATATCCTCGAATATCTGCGCTTCATCTGCTTCGGGTGCAAGAGAGTACCGATGATTATCGTACCAGGCTCGTTCCTAACGATGTATAAGCAGCCTTCACGGGAATGGATCAGGGCAGACCTGTTCGTCGATCAAGACCTAACAAGCAAAGATGAAATCGTCAATGTCCAATCATTCATCTCCAAAACCACCCACCTCATACGCCTGTTGCATGGTGGCGAATTTGGCAGTGGCCTCTTCAATGTTCCCCGGGTTTTTGTCCGGATGATGAACAAGTGCTAGCTTTCTGAACGCTCTCTACTATCTCCAGTCAGAATCGGCTCCTGCACTGCACTTGAAATCTTTAAACGCTCACTTTAATCTCATCCGAGGTGGCAGACTCTTCTACGCCCAATATCTCATAGTAATCTGGAACTTTTGCTTCTTGTTTTACTTGTTGAGCACCGGGCTTCGACCCTCCAGCACCCATTTTGAGGAATGGGTTTGATGGTAAGCGTCAAACTTCTTTGGCAGCAAACTATGTCGTCGCTTTTTGGCCGTGTAGCCCCGCAACCTCAACAGCAGCAGACAGGTACTTTGGGACGACTTGTTAAAGCTTGAACCTGATTGCTCACGCGCGTAAAGATGCTCAAAAGAAGGAGGCTGTCATGAACAGCGTCCGCCAGGAAGTTGCGGCAGCAAATGCAAAGGAACTGGTCGATAACATGACTGAAAAATGCTACGCAAAGTGTGTGACAAAGCCTGGGACGTCTTTGACGAGCTCTGAAGAGGTTTGTGGGTCACCGGATTTCGACAACGCTCACGACTCACACAACACGACCTATTTAGACCTGCGTTGGACGATGCATGGAGTTATATCTCCAAGCATGTGCGTATTTCCCTTGAGGACGTGGTTTTAACATGGCTAAACGTGCTTGACAGTTACTGCAGTCACGACGACCTACAGGACACGATTAGGAAAGGAAAGATTAGCAGAGCTACATGGCGAATCTTCTTCTTCCTGATTCTACCTTGCCAATGTTGGGAGCTGCACATTCGGCTTGATAAACTTAGCCTACGATATAACGAGCTAATGCATACTTTCACTTCTTCTACAAGATTACTTCAGGTCACTGTTAGTTTACTTACGCAAAAGCCTACGACTGCAAGGGAATTGAAATAGTGCTCATTTTTATAGTGGATCGCTGAGCGAATTCCCAGAGTTTCTATAGATGTTGGTATGCTAACAGTAGCTAGCGCTCTTTGACCCTGCCTCACCTCAGATGGCCGCAACGTTCGAAGCCAATGGCATCAAACTGCAGCAAGCATCCGGCGACGACGATCCAAGCGATGTTCTCCTCACCGGCTTTGTCTTTCCAGATCAACCACAACATACAATCCCAGCCCTCGTTCTCAAGTCGACAAAGGATCGCATCCAACAACTAAGCGCGACGGTATCTGCACCTCTCCACGACCTCGAAAATCCGTTCAAGATTACGACTTCAGACACAGCCGGACAAGGGCTCTTGGCCACGGTTGATATCCAGCCAGGACGCCTGATACTCTCCGAACGACCCTTATTCGTGACTCGTTCTGTACGTCTATCATAAATACTTGTCGTTCTCTAAACAAGCGGTAGGAACTCCCCGCTAGCAGCTCGCAAATCGAAACCTACCTCCAAGTCCTCTTTGCACGCCTGCCCCAGGTGCAGCAAGCAATCTTTTCCAAGCTCGAAAACTGCAAATCCCCACTCGAATGCGGTCCACTCCTCGGTCGACTGCGCACCAATGGGTTCACATTTAACCCATACCCGGGCGCACCCCCTCATGCAGGCGTATTCGCGACACTATCGCGTTGCAACCACAGCTGTGGACCCAACGCATTCGCTCACTTCAATCACCAGACCTGGGCGATTGAACTACGTGCGAGCCGTGCCATCAAGGCTGGGGAAGAGATTGTCATCTCTTACGTCGACGTCCTCGACCCTTGTTTGAAACGACGAGCGCAGTTGGCTGCAAACTATGAGTTTACCTGCAAGTGTAAATGGTGCACGTTCCCAAAGAGTAAAAAGGTGGAAAGCGACGCTCGGCGAACAGAGATTGCAAGTTGGCCAGAGACCAAGCTTGTACAGGTGCTACAGAGTGGCTCCACATCGGTACAGTCACTCTTTGGGGAAACAAGCTCACAGGCAGGCGCGGTCAACCCGTCCGCGCTGATCATGCCGACAATCTCGAAGATTGTGACCATTTCGCGAGAAGGGTTGGAGCCGTTCTCGTTACCTCATACACTTGCCTTGTCCAAGGTCTACGCTCAACTTGGAGATGAGAAGAATTATCAGAAATGGCGGATGTCGTCCAGAGACCTAAGTCTGGCGCTGTGTGGTGAGTCTGAAGAGACGGCAACGGCGAGCCAACAGCTAGACGATCCAGTCAACACGGTTTCAGGCTGGGGAAGTTACGTAGAGGCCCAGGGAATAAGCGGCGCTTGAGTTACTCTGTGTGAGGTGCGGGTTAGAAGTGAGTCCATTCAATTAGCAGGTTTTTTGAACAAAGAATATGGAAAATCTGAGCCATCTGCAGGCAGCAGTTGCGAGGAAAGCTCAGCGTCTAGAATAAAAGATCCAATATAACACCCAATTCCATATAGACCGCGTCTAGACCAAACGTCCTCGTGCTGGTCAGCTAGCTCGCCATTTGGCTCAGCGAACCTGAGGCTTCTTGTTCTTGAGAGGAAGCAGACGTGGTCACGTACGTCGGACCAGCAGCACCAGCGTTGGGTCCATCGTCCAGATAAAGACCATTTGCCTCGATATAGTCGACGACCGGGTTGGGGAGCAGGTATCGGACGCTCATCCCGCGCTTCAGGAACAAGCGTACTTTGGTCGAGGACACGTCGTTTTGGATCGTCTGGCGAACCAAAAAGATGTTATCTCGCCAAGGAGCGAGCGACTCCATGGCCTGGTCGACGTCAGAGCCCGCTCGCTCGATGATAAAGGTTCCGTATCGACCCAGGATGCGATCCAGCTGCGGAGCAGGAGTTAGAACAGATTGCGGGACGGAATGCGGGGTGGAGCCCCGCTAGCTAGCGACCAGCAACCAGCAAAGACTGAATGCAAAGGGCAGCCCATAGCCGAATGTATCGGTGCTGGATGGGAGGACGAGATAATCATGCAGGACGTACATCTGTCGGAGACCATACCCCAGGTTCGGACATGGTGTTGATGAGATCAGAGCCAGCGAGGAGCATGATTCTCGCTCGTTTGCGCTCGCCTGTAAATCACGAGTACGGGGTCAGTGGGGTCGTGTGGCAAGGGGCGGGAGGAATAGCGCTGACCTGATCTTGTTTCGATTCCTCCAAGAACCTCGTTTACTTCGTGGTCGAAATGATCTAGCACGACGGCTGTTGGCTGATACTTTGGTTGAAACCCTCCCAGGGATCGACCATGAGCCAGTTGCTCGTGAGCTCGGTTGCGAGCGTGCACATGTTGACTCTGTGAGCTACAGCAATGTCTCAGCGTCTGTGTTTCACTGGCTGGCGGACGTACTGGCGGAGAGCAGGCCTGGCTTCTTGTACTGGTCATTGACGGGGGAGAGATAGCCACCGACGACTTCAAACTGCGTCTGTTGCTTGATATAGTCGCGCGCCATTTCAAACATGCGCAAGTGGAGATAGGTCACGGGCGAGAAGGAGCCACAGGCGACGAGAACGACGGGCGTCTTGGACTCGTCACGCATTCTGTGCACTATCCTGTGCGCTGGGAATATGTATGCATTTTCGTGGCCGTTTGCCTGTAGTGTGCTCGCCATCGCCGATTGATGTGGTAGAGTCTGGGATTTGTAGCCGACCAGCTCCATTCGAATATTCGGAGCATTCCCATTTCAGTTGCCTCGCCATCTCAGAATCCAGTTTCAAGATTATTTCGAATATTACAAAGACACATTCGCTGTCGGGGATGACAGGCAAGCCCCCAGAGCAACTACGAGTCCTCCTGCAGAATGCCTATGAGCGTCTCAGGAAAAACGAGCTCATTGTATTCTGCTCTATTCGTCGTCTATCGACAGCTGGAACTCCCTCGCAGCTCGCCAGTCGTCTGGTAGAGCACGACGTCAACGCCTTTCAAGCAACGCCAGACACGCTGCAGGCCATTGCACACGAACTGCCCGTATTGCCTCTGGACAGATCTACAGAAACCTATCAGGTCAAAGAGTCTCTCAGCTCGTCCATTGCGCATCGCCTCCCCGGCGAACTCGTCACTGAAATCGTAGACAGCATAGACGATTGGGAACTTTCAAAAGCAGTAGGATTACCGACTTCTCTTCCAAAACCACGAACATGGTCTCGTGCCACCCAACTCGATCTCGCCATCCTCACCACCAAGCTTGCACTCGTCAAGGCGACGCCTGGCCCATTTTACAGCGTCTCTGCAAAGGTTGCCATTCGATTTCAATGCATAGACATTATCGAATACCTATACACCAGCAACAAGGCCTGCTACGACAGAACCTTTGGGCGGTTCTTGCCCCTCTACGCCTCCGAACAAGGTTCTGTCAAGGTGCTCAATTGGTGGAAGCAAACTGTCCCCATAAAGCAATACGACCATCACGCGATTGACAATGCCTGCATGTATGGACAGGTGGACGTCCTGCGCTGGTGGATGGCCTCGGGCCTGCGACTCGAGTATACTGAAGCCGCACTCGAACACGCAAGCGCACGAGGACACGTTGCGGTCCTCGACTGGTGGAAAGCATCCAATCTACCCTCAAAATTGGACGCGTCATGGAAATGGCGTCTGGAACGGGCCATGTCAACGTTCTCGAGTGGTGGCACCGTTCTGGACTCGAATTCAAATACGATCGCGTCCCGCTCTACCACGCGAGCTGCTATGGACGTGTTGAGGCGCTCGAATGGTGGTTGCAGAGTGGGTTGCAGATGATTTACGACTCGGACGCGCTCGTTGGCGCGACGAGGCATAATAAGCCCGAGACCCTCGAATGGTGGAACCGTTCGGGTTTGCCTATTCAGTATCGCTTGTGCGATATCGAAGAGGCTTTGGAGGACGCAATGGGTGGTGGCGAGCTGGTCCGAGCTTGGTGGGAGAAAAAGGGGGTCAATTTCAAAGCCAACTTTACCGAATGGACAAAGTATCAGTCTCTTCACTAGGTCGCATCGTCATTTTACCAGCTTTCAAATCCGTCCCCTCTCACGAACATCCATGCACATCACGTTTTTACAATGTACCACTGTTACTAGTAAAACACGCTTCTTATTATTGTACTTGTACTACACTTCTTCCATTACGAAATTAATACGTGGGTGGTTGATTAGGTGCTGCGTAGCCGGCTTGAGGGCCCGTATATGCCTGTTGGGCGGGCTGGCCTGTAGGGCCGTAGCCTTGCTGAGCGAAGCCAGGTTGGTTGTGTCCAACACCAGGGTGCGTCATAGGCTGATTATGCCCGACACCGGGCTGTGCCATAGGTTGGTTCTGTCCAAAATTGGTGCGGTGCTTTGGGTCACCGTATGTCTAGAGAACAAGTCAGAATATGAGAGCAAACCAAAAGTGTGAACGTACCTGGCGTTCCCAACCGGCCTGCTCACGAGCAGGATCATTGGTAGCACGTCCCATAGCGGCCTCCATCTTGCCTACAAACAGAATCGTCAGGCTTTACGTAAACCCATTCAGACCAAATTCCGTACCCATGACCTTGTCTCCAGCATGTGGTTTAGCCGTATTGGCCGTCTGAGGGCCGTGACCATGGAGTTCGTTAACCCTGTCGCTCATTGTGGCACCATGGGTGTGCGTGTGCTGTCCACCGCCTACAGTGGGTCCAGTACCGTAGGTACCTCCCATGTTCGTGGCGGGTTGAGCAGTGTTCATGCCCCCAGCGGTTGCGCCAGTGGTGGCGGGCTGAGTGTTGCCGTAGCGCATCGCGGCACCCTCTTCGTGCTCCATCAGTTTACGCTCGCGGTGAGCCTGAGTGCCAGGGATATGAGACTCGATGCGGGTGGAAATGGGAGCCTTGGCTGCACACAAAGGTCAATTATACGACCCGAATCCTTGGTGGGTGGACGTACCAGGAGCTCCAGTGTTATAGTTGTTGTGATTCATGATAGCAGTTCGTAGATACTTTCTGACTTGACGAGTTGCGTCCTCAGGCCGTATATATACTGAGAGCCCCCTGGAGCCAAGCGGAGTCTGGACCGGTACGGTGACGCAGCCACCGTCATTTCCTTGGTCACGAGAATATGACAAGACACTCTTGGAATAGCTCTCTCCTCCCGAAATAAGCCGTGAGTGTTTGTGACGAAATGTGGAGTTTGCTAAAGAAGCCGTCTGGTATCCACAAGATATTATGCCTTGTGAAATTGAAATAGAGTGTTCCCTCTCAGTACCACGCTGTGGTGCGTTGGAGCGGGTTGCGGGTGCAGAACCAGACGTATGCAAATGTCCCTCGATCTGTGTATCTATCAAACTTTCAGGCAGCAAGTGAGATCTAAAATTCTCAGAAATTTTGCTGGTCAAGGCTGGGTCGAAGGTTGTAATTTGACAACTTAGAGCCGTTGAATCTGAATGCCAGGACGTGGCTGGCGATAATACCGATCAAATTAGTTTTTGGGATACGTAATCATTGAGTCATCGCCTATTATTATGTCCACTGCAACGCGAAACACGTTGTCGCTCAGGCTCGTCAAGATTCTGGGCTCGACGTACGACGACAACACAACGAGAGAGGCACTAGAGATTCTTTCAACTCTCTATATCCCACCATCATCACGCAGCAAGGATGCTACGACCACGAAACGCAAGTCACGGCAGGCTCGGGTAGAAGAAACCGTGGATGGCGCTCTGAGTGATGAATCGGGAGACGAGGTAGCTCCAGCTGTCAACCCAGTCCCTAGCGTAGTCTCTGCGTTGGACGAAGAGCAGGCACTGATCGAGGGAGCAGCAAAAGCGCGCAAAAACCTCAAGAAGGATATGGAGAACAAGTTATCTCAGACGAGCAAAATGTTTCTGGCTGCATTTGCAGAAGTAAATCAAGTAGGTCTGTCCCTTTTGCCAACCCCCTGCTCTCATTGACAGTCCACAGAATCTTGACACACTTCAAGAGCAGGTTGCTATAATGCAGGTTCAGTGCGATACTGCACAGGCTCATCTACAAGCAACGAACACGGCTTGTCGCCACCTACTCGAACGAGCGGATGTGCTCCGACAACAGAGGTACACTCGTCACTGGATTCGTGTACTTGGCACTCACTCTATATAGGCAAACCACGACAGCGAAACAGGCAGCCATTGTGTCCTTTTTGTCGCGCTTCACTCTGACAGAGGAAGAGGAAGAAATAATCTCGTCGGCCGACTTCAAAGTGGGCCCAAAGCTATTCGCAGTCATTGATCGATGTGAGAAGATCAAGTCTGATTGCTTCACCCTCTCGACCATTGAAGATGGTGAGACGAGAGTAGGGTAATCAACCTCTCGACATGCTTGCGTTTGCTCATTTCTTGATAGGGCAGATATCAAACAGTTGATAGATCAAAAGCTGGAGACGGGATACGAAAAGATTTTTCTATGGACAAAAGAAGAGTTCCGGCAGCTCGCTCGGGATATCCACGCAGAACCCTCACCTGCTCTTCGCGAATCAGTGCGAAGACTACGAGAGCGACCGGCACTGTTCAGTGAAGCGTTGGGTGCACTCTCTCTCATTCGCCAAAACAGTCTACTAGCCTCCTTTTTGGCCGCCTTGACCAAAGGTGGTCCGGGTGGATACCCAAGACCAATAGAACTGCATGCACATGAACCGACGCGATATGTTGGTGATATGCTTGCATGGATTCACCAGGCAACCGCGGGTGAGCGCGAGTTTTTGGACGGTATATTCGAAGTCAGCAGCGATGGTCGAATGGTCGGAAGTGTGCGCGTATTCAATCAGGAGGAGATATCGGAGGAAGAAGGATACATTCGCGAGCTATTGGACTCAAACTTGGAAAAGCTCTCTCCACCGCTGAAAGTGAGCCTTCGCTTCATTGTATCATACGCGACTGACGATCACATAAAGACTCGAGTTCAACAGACGATCAAGTCTCAAGAAGGCAGTGTCACTTCATACAAAATTGCAAATTTACTGCAATTCTACCAAACAACCATGAAACGGACGATCGGGGAAGAGGCCTTGATATCCCAAACACTAAAGGAGTGCGTCCGCGTTGCCCCACTGTGTTTTATTTCTCATTTTTATTTAGAATCACTGAAACGTCGCTCAATGTCTTCTTTGACACCGTTAGGGCGCACGGCCGAAGCCTTTTACGGTTTCTTCATGTAGGTCACACCAATATTGCGACATATTCTCATCGGCTGCTAGCCACCAGAAGCAGACCTTGCACCTCCTATGGCGCTCCGCGAGTCTTGCATGATCCTCCGTGAAATTATGCAAGTATACGATTCATCATTGATCGAGGATGAGACTCCACAGCAGCGACAAGAGGGATTTAGAGACGTCCTGGATAGCATGGTCAAGCCGATGCTGGATATGTGCACCACGATGAGCAATCTCATGAAGAAGCCTGCCGCCAAGGGACCTGATATGTCAGCTTGGGACCGTGCAGTATTCATGATCAATTGCCTGGTTTACATAGAGGTTGGTTCTCCTTCGTATTGGCAAAGCTCGGCTGATGCGGTCTAGAGTGTTCTCCAACCCTTTGAATTCACAGAGAATAAGCGCAAAGAGCTCGAGACCTTGATGGACGACAATGTCCAAATAATTGTAGAAGCACACGTGGGTACCTTTTCGAGAGCCATGCACCCAGTTGACCAGTTCTAGGTTGATGCCCTATTAGAGGAAAGCGGAATCGGTACGCTAGTCGCAACGTTGGACGATACCGGCCGTGAAGTTTGTCTGCCTATCCAGTCGCTAACCTTTTACTTAACCTACTCTAGATGCCTCTATCCCGTGTTCCAAACTGCGCATCTCAGGATGTCTCGACTGCTCTGCACACATTCGATACATTCTTATCAAATCTGGATGTCTCGTCTTCCCCGCACCTATCTCTACTGACCTTGCCACGTCTTGGGACGCTGATACATAGGACAGCGCTCGAACGTGTCGCTCGAGCATATGGACGACTGTGCGTGGCTATTCGAGATCCGAAGAACAAATACGAATTCGCCGGGACATTGCTTGGAGGGCGGCGACCGTTTGGTCAGATGTCGACATTGTATCAAGTACTTGGATTGGATCAAGTCGACGAACAAGACGCGGAATAGGCCCCCGAAACCAGAGCGCGAGTACTATAAGTGTATTCTCTTTTACCTTCGTTATTGAATACTTCCGTGCTCCGCCCGTTTGGTTCAATCTTGGAGCCAACTAAACCGCTTTTTCTGACTTAATATAGCACTCAGATCATCCGACCAGGCAAGGAGGCGCCCATTCTCGATTCAGCAGGCTATCATTTGTAAAACTTTTGCTGGCAAAGCATAAGTCTCGATGAATGGGGCAACGGAATACTCACCTTTAGGACGCCGACATGTTCAATCTGTCGTGAACCTGAAATAGATTGCACTAGTGGCGGTTTGGTGGGTGGATTCGTGTTGGTAGATTTCTCCTGTTTCTTGTGTTCCTGCTCCCTACGAGAATATGGACAAGGTTCAAGTGTCTTGTGTGACTACTTACGAGGTCTGAGATGGGGCGAGCTCCACGACTCGAGAATCGTCGCGTTCAGGCGAGGAGGTAGACTCTTCTCCTCTAACCGAAGTCGTGGGCGTTGACATGTCTCTTGTCCTTCCCATTTCTCTGTCTCAGAGGTAAGTAGCGTCGAGTGCAAGGCAGTTGCAACTCACGAGGCTTCAGTAGCTGCCACTTTTTGCACACCCGAGCTCTTCGTATCCGAACTTTTCGCTGGAGGTGATTTCCGCCGTAACCGACTCCATATAGACTGAGGCGCCGTCAGCCGCCATTTGGACGCTGGACAGAAGACAAACGCCAGACGTACCTTGACCTTGTTAGTTGAATTCTGGGCTTTGGGAGGCATGTATTTAAGAGCGTTTACTGCTTAATTCGGTGGTTGGATGAACGGGTAGCCAGAAAGGAGGGTCCGGCCAAGGCCAACAATTGGTTAATGCAGTCCAACCTCCACACAATCAAATGAACATGGTAACAAGTCCCTGTAGTGACCACTCCGGTAATCATCAAACACTGGACAACTTGATGTGTGCAAGATTTTCGCCACCAAAATCCCCCCGCTCTCTTGCTTGTCGGCTGACGGATAGTCTTGCGTTTCAGAAATTCTCACCAGTCGTGGGCGTTGTCAAGTTTGTGGCTGCTGAGTGATACGGTATTTGTCCGAACTGCCGCCGGTGTATGGCTAGAGGTTGCGTATAAGCCCGAGAAAGGGCATTCTGGAGACGTATTACTGGATCTTGATTCCATCTTGAATATGATTTAAGCACCATAGCGTCGTTTCATGCTCAAGCCACAATGCACGGAAAATTCTCTGACCCGACCACTTCAACCATTTGGGAATAAACCTCTCTCTTTAAAACACAACTTGGCGAATAATATTCCTTATAATCTCTGAATAGCAGCTAGAGCACAAAATCTAGACTTTGGTAAGCGCTTTCTGGCTAGGAGAAAGGGCAGCGACTGACCAGGTCGCAACAGCCGACACGCGCTGCGAGGCCGTCACATCCTCGCAACTATTGGTTATCCTCGAGTTGTAGACAGAACAACCAGCAATGGCAAGCGGGTTTTACCATCGCCAGCAAGACTATAGCGACAGCGACGCTGATGCGTCCGGTTCGGATATAGACGTCGCAGAGACGCTCTATGATGGCAGGAATGGTACAATCATGTCTCTAAAGCCCACATTCGCGGACAAGGTCATGCATGCACCTCAGAGCCTGGCTGCCATCCCAGCACTGCAGCCGTCAAATTCGATTTCCTTACATCCATTAAACCTTCCATCCATTCTTCCGCCTGATACACCCACAACGGCAGCAACTACTCCCAGTCTTGTCTCACCGGCTGCATTGCTGCCAACCGAAGTCAGGGAGGACGATGATCCCGAGGCGGGCCGGCAGCGGATGAAAACGTACATTCAGGAAATTCTACATCACGCCGAGTGTATGCCACACGCGCAGACGACCCTTGACGGTATCCGAATTCCCGAGGCCAATAACTCTTCCCTCTCTTCCGTCCTGCGCAATGTGGTCGAAAAAGACGGTGAGTTACCGTCGGAAAACGGCCTCAATATTGCCTTGGACTCTACCCTCTGGCGCCTTGCCGCCAGTCGTACTTTCAAACACCCGCTCCCCCCCACACCGCCTAGTCCGGCCCCATCGGATAGTACGGACGTGAACAGTCGTCATCAGTACAGTCAACAAAGCCCCTCGTACTCACACAGACTATCGACCGCCGAAAACTCCCGAAAGCGGAAGCGGGACGCCCTTGATCAACCACGTACGGCAAAAGTCGGTCACAAGCATCCTCGCACGTCCGGTCCCGGTTCAAGTTCTCCTCTTTCACTCGTTCACGAGGGTATCCAACGTGTTCTTCAAGCGTTCCAAAACAATGTCATTGACAAGCACCTTATCGGCTCAGTACAGCTCCAGCTCCATCACGTGTTTTTATTCGCTGTGACGTCTGAAAGCGTCGCTTCGTCTCCTCAGAAGAGAAAGACGCTTGGAGATATTAGCAAGCTCATCCAGCTGCTCGGAGTGCTTTCAGGGGTTCAAATTTCGGTTGGCGATCCAACCACGACCCTCAACATTACCACTCTTGACGAAGGAAGACAAAGCAGCTACAATTCAAACGGACCTCTCATCTTCCCGTGTCCTCTTGCAGGATGCATCAAAACATTCACCAAACTCTACTCCCTTCGTTCTCACCAACAGACACATCTCTCAACACGGCCATACCATTGCAACGAGTGCCCTGCGTCCTTTAGCCGTGCGCATGACTTGACACGGCATATGCGCAGTCATACACTTCAAGTTTATCGATGCAAGACGTGTCAAAAGTCGTTTTCCCGACGTGACGCCTTTCGACGCCACTGTCAGAATACAAAACGCTCGGCGGCGCGTAGTAATCCCAATGCTAGCAAGAGTGGCGATGCGAATCCATGCAAGGATGCAGGATATGATATTGTCGACGCCCCGGCTGGGCAGAAGAAGACGGCGAGTTTCTGGGAAAGGTCAAAGAATGGACCAAGTCGTGCTGCTTCTTCCAGAGCGCTAGGCTCCAACGACGAAGCAGGAGTAGGAACGGCACAAAATGAATCCGCAGACGATGATGAAATGGCTATGAGGGGCACAGAGCTCGGTGCTAGCAATGGCAGCGCCAGTAGCACCAGCAACGGTGGTGGACAAGGTCACTGGGGTAATGGATCGGGAGGAGAGGAACTTGAGACGGACGAGGTACCGCTGCGTGAATTTGAGGGCACTCTAGAGGAGATGATGGGGCTGCACGAGCTTTTACGCTCGACGGTCGAGAATATGCTCGCCACTCAACCGGTGACCGATGGGCACGCGCAAACGCGTCCATCTCACGTCGGATCATCGCGCTCTTTGACGTCGTACCCTCCGTCACATCCGACTACTTCCCCAGTACGCGATGCAACGGACACGGCCATGTATTCATTCCTCGACCTCTTCCCCAGCCTTGATTTCAACTCGGTCGGTTTGACCGTGGATCATTTATCAGAGGTGGAACGATTGGTTCAAGAAGCAAAGTCGACTGCTCTTTCAGAGGCAGAGAGAGAAGCTGCGCAGATGGAGGTTGTCGACAACACTCCAACGTAGATTGCTTCTCGGTTTTTCTTTTAATTTTATGTATCAAGAGCTAGGCTAATTGTATAGTATTGTATACCATCGAGACAGGTCAATCTATGAGGACTTGATAGTCGACATCAGAACAGTCAAAGTCCGAAACTTTATGTTCATATTGTCCATTTTAAGAACATTTGGCAGCAAAGTGGCTACGGGTCTGCTGTGGTTGTCTAAACCAGTATGCTTGCTGCGGCAGCCACGGTAAGGAGGGTGCTAGCGACCAAGCATGGCATGGCTCCGAACGAGGAAAGCCGGACGCTACCTGCCGCGTTGCTCGTTGGGCGAGGCATGGAAGACGTTGCTTGGCCTTGCACAGAGATGCTCGTCGCCGTTGGGCTCGAAAATGCGGTTGCGGCATACAAAGAAGCCGATTCAAATGTCTTGCATGAGGATGTCGAAGGTGCAGGATGCTAAAGGAGTGGTGAGGAGGGCGGCAAGGGTCTCCAGTAGACTCACAGCTGGCGGTGTTACAGGTTGGCCTTGATGGAAGGTGCTCGTAGACCCATCAGGTTGAGGATAAAGACCCATAGGTCTATTCAGGTGTTAGAGCGAACTATGTGTGCCCCGGTGACGTACATTCCGCTGTGCAAAAGTTAGGAGAAGACTTTGACATCAAAATTGGATGCTTACCTATCTCCCTTGCACTCTGTAAAGCCATCTCCATAGTCACCTAAATCGAGTCAGCATATTGTGCTGAGTCCAGGACCACGGCTTGCCTGGCATGTTCCAACTGCACCCACCGAGTTAGAAACGCTCCATAGGACACGAAAACACTCACTGGCAGCCAGTTACATCAAATATGTGCTCGCACCTGCATTCTTCAGAAACGAGATAGTTGTAAATATCGAGCGTTTACTGACCATTGCACATCGCGCCCGCCTGGCTTGCAAACACGAATGCAGTATTCTTGGAGGAGGGAGTTCAGGGACGAGCAAGGCATCCGCGGGGGAGTTCGTACCTCTGAAACTCATAAAATTGGTCCATTCGTGGATTTGCTAACAAGATTCAGCAAGTTGGAGTAAGAGATCACCATGGATCTCACCTGGCCAAGGCCGTTGGTGCCACTCGTCCAAACATTGGAAAAGACGAGGCCTCCGTGTGGGTTTCCAGCTCCGTCTGCACCGTGTGGGTCCAACTCTCCTCCTAATGTCGATTGTCAGAGAATGACCGACGATGGGTGTTCACACTTGCCTGCATCCCCAGCAACAACGTTAATGTCCTCAAAGTGACCTGTTCCGGTTATCTGGATGTAGTCTGGCGTTTCGACACTGGGGATCTATGAGCGAGCTGACAGCATTTGCGGCGTGTGGCATTACAAATGGGCAGAGATAATCGTGCCGTTCCTGAAGAGCCGTGTTCCCCTTGTATGGAATAAGCGGCCGTACTAGTATGTTGCCTAGGCGTACCTGTTCGGACGCCTAGAGGACAATGTAAGTCAAGGTTGGGTCGAAGTGTGGCGGCGACCTACGTGCAATACGAGACGACGGTTTGCTCGACGGCGCCAATCTCGGCGGTGGTTTGTGGACCCCAGAGACAGAAATCTTGAACGCTGTTAACCCAGACGTTTTGGCAGAGGCTCGTTTGGTTGTTGCCTGGCGCAACTCAGAAGGCACATCCAAAGGAAGAGTGCCCATCGTACCAGTTCCACATTGATTCGTTCCTAAAGGGCTAATGAGAGGTGTAACTACTTGGGGTGCGCCTCGGGCTTACCAGCTTGATCGCCTTCAGTGGTCGGCGGGAGATTCGCAGGGTCCTGACGAGAGTTGAAAAGGTGTAGCTGAGTATAACAAATCATTTAACTCACGTATGTAGCAGTGTCTAAGGCAATGAAGGCATCAGGGGGCTTACTGCGATCGTAAACGTCGTCTACGTACAGCTTTGAGCGGCGACACTGATAACAGCGGCCATCAAGGTGACCATGTGAGATAAATTCAAGCTCATGTTGCTGATGGCACGGTTGATCCGAGAAAGTTGAACGAGCTGGAGAGAAGTGTCGGATGAGCACTTTATGACAAAAATAACCAGTAGTTGTGACTTACTGGAAGATTTGAGAGTTGTAGCAGTTGCTTAGCGAGCAGGGCACCGACGATCTAAGAGAGCGAGAGTTGTGGGGAGTTCCAAGCTGCACTCGGGGTGTTTGTGCCCTCTGCCTTTTCAGCGGTTCTTTATAGGGCTCCGCTTTTGGAGACATATTCTACCATCTCTGCCTGGCTATTGGCTACACAAATCCCTTGGCAGTGCCCTTCCAAATGGCGAGGTCGACCAGCTCTGGAGCTGAGCCCGACGAGTCCAGAACTGATGCTGGATAATGTCTGCGATATTCCTCAGCATCGTCTCCGCGCTGGCACTTCCCCCGGGACTCTATGTGCGCTTATGTCTCCGCTGCCAGCCATCTGGATCCCTGCCATGACAGGATCGATCAAAACAGGTCAAGAAGAAGCCAAGAATTCTATTTTTATCAGTCTTCGCCTATGCAATTGACAACATGTGGGTCAATTCTCGTAATCGCGGAGATGCTCTAACATAGAATTCACCACCGAGTGGAGAAGAGAATGACCTCCGCTACCCCCCTCCGTGCTCGTTTCACTTTGATGTTTGTATTCTAAAGTACAGTGTGATCCTACAACAGAACTATAAGGATACCCAACGCATTAGGTATAATATACTCGAACAGAATTGCATAAAGCTCCTGTGCAAGCGTCTCAATCATTCGAGGTGCGCTTGATAGCAACGCGCATGGGGCGTCCAGTGACTGGCTTGGGGCCCGTAAGATCAATGTTTTCGACTGGGGTCGAGACGGATGACTTGCGGTCAAGGTCGAGATTAAAATCATTAAGTGGAATTGTGCGAGCAAACATGGACGTCTGCACCCTCGTCAATAATGATTGCCCAAATGAGAACAGGGGTAACGCACGTGATTCAACATCTCACTCTCTACAGCATCATCTTTCGTGGGTCTCCAGACATCACCGCCGAGAGGACTTGTAAGCCGCCTCGATGGTTTGTCAAAGCTTTGCTGGGAAAGACGTTGCCGAAACTCTAGTGTCCATAGGAAAGAGAGAATAAAGAGTTGTCCCAACGCATAATTTGGGACATTGTGCCAGAGCAAGATCATCACCGAGGGTATGGCAACGCAAATAACGTTTACGAGAGCTCTGTGAAGGCAGTTAGTAAGCGAAGTAAATGATGGAGAAGAGAATACGCACGTGACGGCAGGAATGGCGGCACTCAGGGCCGTAATTCTTGCAAATTGGGCCAGCCGTGAACGCCTTCTGTTGAGTAATCAGCAAAATGCGGGATATCAGCAAGTATAGTCGCACTCTGCGGATTGATGGTTGCTCTTTGTGCTGAAAATGCATACTAGAGTGAGTACGGTTACGAAAATATCTCCGACACAGGCGGTGGAGATATGAGCAATGACTAGAGACGGTCAGAAAAGTACGCATGAGAAGCTGAGAGAAACGTACGATAGTAAGCAAAATAGTTCCACCCATCCAGGGCAATATATGTCTGTGAATGATGAACATGGATCACGATTAGCGCAAGAATAGCGTACGCAGTAGATGGCTAAACCGAGAGCTAGTCACGACGCATGAGCAGATTGAAGATGTAAGATGCCAAAGACGTACCTGAGAGGAATAGACATTCAATCAAGATGATGGCAAACCCTCGAAACCAGCGAGAGCCAAGAAAAGAGGATTGGACGCGTAAAAGGGACACGAGACGGTGAAGATAGAACGATTCGGTGAGGATGCCAATGGTGGCTGTCTACACCGTCTAAATTAGCATTTGACATTGCGCACGTGGAACGGACGCACTAAAACCGGGGGGATGTAAAATGGCTGTTGATATGCATTAGAAATAATATTCGCGTTTCGGGGCTATCTCACAAGTTTTGTCATGAGTTTTGGCCAAGCTGGAATCCCGACGGGCTTGCGTAAAAGGATGATGGTCGCGAGCGAACATCCTGCCTTGAAAGTAGCCAGAACAACCAGAATGAGCACCAGATAATCCCAAATTCTTCTCGAGCGTTGTAATTTGGTTCCTTTGCCGTCGGATGTGTCGAGAACGGCTGCGGGTCCTGACCTTCTCGCTCGCTCGCTCGTCGATGACGAAAGCTGAGGTAACTGTATGCCTTGTTCAGCATTGCTCCCATCGGTATACAAGTGTTCGCGTGCAGCGCAGAGGTAGCGGGCGGACTGGACGAGCACTAGCGTGTAAAGCGCAATGTCGACGGCGGCGCTGGTGATAAATGCGATGCGCCAGGTATTCTCCAGACGAGGCCCAGCGTCAATGAAGCCGTTGATAGACATATATAGCCCGCTCGACGCTCCTAGGAGCCTGCAGCCGTTGTGGTCGTGGGCAAGGAGCAGAAGGAGAGAGGCAAGGGGGGAGACAGGCGGGGAAATGAACTAGTTGAAAGTGTGATGCTAACGACTCCAGGAGTTTCTTCCTCGAGCCCTGCGAATTCTTTGATAGCTTCTAAATTGGTCGGCGGTATTTTCGCTGCATTGGCATGGAGTATCTGTACCTGGCTCCCGACCATCTCGGAGTTCACTAGGCGACTCGAGTCGGGCCGCAAAAGAGGTTGGCTGTTCGGGTTTATCCTTTATACACTACAATTTATATTACAAATTACAATCAGTTCTTAAACTCCGAGGAGATGTCATTGAGGGGTATTGTCCGTGCAAACATCGATGTGCGATTCATAAAGTTTGGACGACCCTCGCGCTTAGTCGACCACGTTGCCGTGCTCGTCAGCCGCGCGCTCTCGGTGCTTTGATGCGCAATTTGTTGGCGAACCTGTAACGTCCACAGCAGCGATAGAACAAACAATTGTCCCAACCTGCATCAATCGATCAGCTATTGACCAAACTCTATAGAGAAGAGATGGGCGCACGCGTAGTTTGGAAGATTGTGCCATAGTGTGTTTGACACAGCCGGAATGGCTACGCACAATACATTCGCAATCGCGCTGCTTGCTATCAGTCTCAGTTTCATTAATAATGAGGACGCACGTTATCGTGGGGACAGCTGCACTCAATGCAGTGATTCTTGCGATGTGCCGCAGTGGGGAACGTTTGCTACACAAGAAGATAAGTCCCCCTCGGATGAGTGGTCCAGGATACATACGTTTCAGTGATGTGTTTCTCCGTGTTCAATATACACGCGAGGGTCAACCCTGTTACGAGCATATCACCCACAGCAGCGCAGCTGAGCTGCGCGGTCGCTATCCATGGTCAGCAGATATTCTTCCGAACAAGGTGTAGCTCACCAAAGGGGACAAATTTGTCCCACCCGTCGGCGGCGAGGCGAGTCTAGTATGCTTTAGTACAATGCCCTGGGTTTCGGGCAGGGAGACGGACATAATAGATAGAAAGTCCAAGGGCTTTAAACTGTCAGCAATTAGGAAATAGATGAGAGGCCACTTACTGGTGAGAAAGAGAGCTTCGATAATGATCATGATGAAGGCGCGGAACCGACAATTTCCGAGAACTGATTCTTGTACTCGCAACAGCTTGACAAGTCGGTGCAGGTAGAATGTACCAGAGACTAGTCCAATCAATGCGGTCTACAAGCATGAGTCAAAATCCTTTTCGTTCGCAGGGACGTACTAGGAAAGGTGCTATATATACTGGCTACCCATGCCGTCAGCCAACTGGTCTCGGGATAGTGATAGAGACGTACAAAAGACACGAGGGCGTCACAAAATTCACGGCCGCTGAGAGGTTGCCGAAGGATCACAGTCGTCGCCAATGAACAGCCAGCCTTGAACGTCGCAATTGTTACGACTAAGAAAACGAGCCAGTCCCATGGTCTCTGATGAAATCGGCTGCTTCTGTCCTTTGACTGCGCCTCCAAACCCGAAACATCGACAATCCGCGCTACAGCTGCACTACTTTCATCATTTGAGCGGGTACAGAAGTACCGAACAGTCTGTGCGACGATGGCTACGTAGAGCACGACGTCGACTGCAGCACTAGTGATGAGGGCGGCCCGCCAGACTGCCATGTTCGCGGCGACGAGCGCAATAATGTCGTCGGGCGGGGTGCTTGGTGGCATGGCCGGGTGAGAAGTTTGACAAAGATGGTACCCAACGCCTGGCCCTTTAAGTTTGTCGCACTCGACGGATCAGACTAGGGTCTTCTGTGGGGGTTCCTTTAGTCATGTTGCAACGATATCTGACTGAATGGCCACATGTGCTCGGCTGACTGATCTTCCTCGAGGCTATACTTGTCATTTTCCTCTTCATTTACACCCCGCGCTTGTTGGCCTGTGGATCCGCCGGGTTTCATTTCCTGATCCGAGATAGCCCTTGCAAGGCGCAACGCACACACACATGCGCGCGCGCGAGTAGAATGTGTTTCATAAAAATACAGTCTGTACGCTCGAGTGAGTTATCCAGAGTCATGCCGTCGGTCAAGAGACACTTCTCCACCTCTTCCCGCGATTGGAGCGACCGCTTCGATTTTCGCTCAATGATACACCATGTGCGAGATGTGAACTTTGTCTCGACAGGCACCTTGTATGAGCGTCACTGAGGACCGGTACCGGCGTCGAGCTCCCCACGCAGCATCTCCACCTTTCGCTACAACATCCGGTTGGTCACATAGCAACACCACCACCACCGCCGAACGTACCCTGAATGTAAGATGACGACCCTTGAGGGCAGTCTCCAGCAACTTGATTTGCCAACGGAGCCGTCTTGTGCATTGTTTGAATATGGGGTCTCGATATTCATGGATTCGTGCCACAAATATTGTGTGGACCCGTTCGTCGCGGGCGAAACAATACGTCTGGCGAAGCTCGTTCATTCCAACCCTTCTCAGGATTAAAAACGCACCGGAATAGGGTCGCCTCCGACGGTTTGTGACGCAACGTCCCATGCGGCCATCATTAATAGATCCGCGGTAGCGTTCGCTATGCTAAAAACAGAAGTCAGTTTCGCACGGATCGAGCCGCGGTCGAGACTCACTAGTCTTCTATCGAAGCAATAGAAGCTGCTTTCCCCAGCTCGCGTGTTGTAAAGGCCCTCACCGCTTGTTCAGCTGTCGCAACAGGCTGACCTTCGGAAGGGATTGCTCGAAGCGCAAGTCCTACGGTGGAAATCTGGTTCCATACCCATTTGTCACCCTCGCTCATGATCAGGGTCTGCAAGAACGACGCGAGAAGATCGGACTGGGAGCTTTGAAGGCCATAATCAATGGCGAGCTTTAGGTTTGTGCCTAATAGGTGTAAAGACGAGACGGGAGATGAAAATAGGACGCACGAAGGGCCTTTAGGAGTACCTTTGTCTTTGGCTTCTCCACCTCCTCATCCTCCAGATGGTTGACCCAACGGCTGAGCGCACCTACGAGCACAATGGCTACCTGCAGGACCATGAGACTAGCTAAAGAAAAAGACAATGATTTACCTCTCTATGGGATTGACCGATCCTCATAGCGTGGAGTAACGGGGTGACCTCCCCTGTTTTGCGAAGTAGAAGCTGCACCTTGTCAGTATCCAGACGGAGTAGTTCTTATTGACGCACGTGGAATGCGCGATCCCTCACTTCCTGGAAGAGGTCAGAAGAACCGCGCTCCGTATATGAGACACTTGCCATCAGAAACATCAGGTCCTTGCGTTCAACGGCACGTAGTACCTCGTATGGTTGGGGATCCTTCCATGGTACATTCTCTCGCTGCTGATTTCCAAAGGGAAATGACAGCTTGCGACTCCGGATGGAATCTGCAAAAAAACTGAGGCGATTACTTGAGGTGGGCGTTTCTGGTGCCTTGGGTACTTCTATTGGTCCGGATTCATCTGAATCACTCCCTTCTTCCACCTCTTCTGGCGACTCGTCTCTTCGATAGCGTAGTTGTCGAAGTTCAGCGATTTCAAGAGCTGCATCAGCGTCTCGCAGTAATACAGCTATGTAATGTTCAGTTATCGACTATTAGATTAAATTCACTAATTACCTGTTGTCGGTAGACGTTCTAAAAGGCAAAAGTCTGAAGCTGCTCGTTCGCGAGGCTTTCCTTGACGCTGCGGGCCAGAAGTAGACGCGTCTAATGCCCTCAGAATGAGCTGATTGTTGAACATTTCACAAGTGGTTTCCGTGATGGCCCAACGCCTTCAAAACATCGTCGTGTGGTCCAAGAAATGCTGGGCGTCTAAGTGCACGGTCAGTGAGCCCGGAGATCCTAAATCCTCTGGTAATCAAAGCCACTCGTGGATCTGTAGGAGTAGGTCTGTAGATCCTCCGAGGGCCTTATGAGGATCCCGTCACTCAGGTTCTTCTCGGTCAAGTATAACAGAATACTAATAACTGGGAATGGCTTGTTTTTACGCCTGTACTCGTATTCCAAGCCAATCGCGCGAATGCCTGGCGAGGAGAAAGTCAAAGTACAAGCAAACAACTTGGCCCTTGCCTCGATGGCCGTAGCCGTGGCCAATGCAACTAAAGAGCTCCTAAACAGATGGAATAACGATGGGAGGTCTCAATGGTCAGTTTAATGGCGCGTTCAGGCTGCGAAAATGCTCATTCAGTGTGCATCACTCTTTAGTCTGCAACAGCTCAAGGAGCTATGTACGCAGCCGGAACGAATCGACGACTTACGCGTCGCATTTCAAATCCTCGTCAATTCTCTCGTCAATAAGGACGGTTTCCGACTCCTACCAGACGATTTCGGCCCATTCTATCGCGAGTTGGCACAGGCCCAGCCTACGTCGTCGCGTCCGGATGAGAATCCAGCTATTTCACAGATACTCGTAGATGCCATTAGTGTCGTTGATGACACATTGGACGACTTGGCGCAGGCACAAGAAACTGAAAAGGAGCGACAAGAGAATCGCAACAAGCACCGACAGATACCCGAACGTCAACCTCTTGTCAAGTTGCTTCGATATCTTCTTGTGGGTCCACCTCATATTCGCGCTTGGTCTAACTTACACAATATGGGTAGTCGACCGGCGCCATTTCACATCAGCTCCTAGCCCTGAACCTGGAATACAGTCTACTTCAAGATGTTGGTCTACTGGGCAACGCTTTGCAAACTGCCAAACAAGAAGTCCGAGCGAGGACGCGACTCATGTGCGAATGCCACCTTCATCAGCGCGACTTCGACTAAAGCATTTCGGTCACAGTTATAGACAAACTAAGGTCAATCTACTCCGAGAGCAGTCAGAGGGCTACTCCAAGTTCACGGTTGAGTTGTGTACTTCGCTGGGTCCACCTCACGATCCGCAACTTCGGCCAGACGAAGTAGCGCTGAAGGCACAGACAAAGTCGATTCTCGAGAGGCTCATGCGAGTCGCTGGGTATTTCGACTTGGATCCAACAAGAATGCTGGATCTAATCCTGGACGTGTTTTCGACCCATGTCATGACGCATTCCGACCTCTTCCTGTACATCATTAGGGAGTTTTCCGGCACGCGGACCAGGCTCCTGGGTTCGACGTCCGACATCGACTCCTCGATGGACACTTCAGAATCATCTGAGAGCGCATTGGAGCGTCGCCTCCAAGAAGCAGAGGGTCCACTCACCAACCCGCCCACCTTGCCCCAGCTGAAAAACCCGCTGGCGCAACTTCTTGGGTTCAAATTTTCACACTACGCGGTCGGTCGTATCCTGTCTCATTCATCAGAACGCTGACCATCTAACAGGCAGATGAACAAAGTGTACCTCGGGAGCTTATGTTTGTTACAGCTTTGCTCATCCGAGAAGGTCACCTTTCGATAGCAGACATCTACAACCATGTCAGACCCAGACTTCTCCTACAATACAGGCACTAACATCTGAATAGTTGTCGCCAGATGAGGCAGGGATGAAGGCACTCGCAGAAAAGCAAGATGCGGAAATGAAAAAGCGTATACGAATTGTCAAGACGACGGCCGCTGACAAGGATAATGCGCTGGCAAACGCTGGTGTCCTATCTAATCTAGACGATCGTGACTACCTCAGCAGACGCCAACCACAAGTAAGCAACCCCGCGCCAGTTTCAACTACCAAGGCCGTCAAGGAGGTCAAGGTCCCAGAAGAAATAACCCAACATCGAGACTTGGCGATTGCGCTTTTGTCTATTGGCGCATTGCGACCAGCTGTTGCCATCTTGACAAACCACCCTTGGTTGACAAGTCGGTACCCACAAATTGCAGATATTCTTCTCAAACACCTGGAATACTCCATCGACCCCATGTACCGCTCTTTTTCCCCCGCAACGACTCATCCAGAAGCGGCGGCAACTTACGCCCTCCCTCTAAACTCTATTAATGGTGGTCAAAACCGCAAGACAAAGTTGACTATGACTTTTCCTGATCCACCTCCAACTCCTGATACTCAACAAATTTTCTTTTACCCGCGGTGGACTGAGAGAGTACCACTGTCGACGGCACAGAGCGATCTAGAGGTCTTTGTGGAGCCTATGCTTCGCATCATTGGTGTTCATGCCTATCGTTCCATTCCGTTGTTCGTCAAATTATGCAGAATAGCTCGAGAACAGCTTAAAAACGAGGTTTGTCTCACAACGAATGGTGAATATTTCATCTGAAGAGCCCATAGGGAGGGCCCCCAACGGAAGACGACTTCTGGACCTATGTGCTGAGACGGCACTTTTTGCCTCTCGTTTCGATGGCCAAAGACAACCCGATGCTAGGCAACGAAATCTGGCCTATTCTACAACGTTTGGAGATCCAGCAGCGCTGGGCCATATATGCCGAATGGTTTCAAAGAACATATGATGGATCTTTGGAGATGCGCTTGAAGAAGGCTTATGTCACAAGAGAGACCAAGGGTGTTTTACGTCGGCTTAGCTCCAAGAATCAAGGACAAAGCGCCAGAGCTCTAGCAAAGATTGCTCATCACAATCCGTGTGTGCTCTTTCAAATTGCTATCGATCAAGTCATGTCCTACGATAATTTGGCCGATCCTCTGATTGAGGCATTCCGCACACTCTCTCCGATTGGCTACGATATCCTCACCTATAGCCTTTTGGACGCCTTCTCTCAGACAGAGCGACCGCGGATGAAGGACGATGGAACCAATGTTTCACATTGGCTGCAAAGTAGGTCCTGCATCTTGCATCTTCTATAGTTGACCCCTCGGGCTCACTAGGTCTTGCCTCTCTTACTGCACATTTGTGCAGACGATATAACGCTATGGATCCGACACCCATCCTGCAGTTTATCGTACATCGGCTTCAAGCAGAATCACCAATAGACTCCATCATACTACGGGAACTGATCTCAAAGATGGGCAATATCGAACCCCCGCAGCTTTTGGCGGAAAACCAGATTGCCGCAATGGGTGGTGGTCCTGTGTTACAGATCGCCACGGTTGCTCTAGAATCTCGGGGTATCGGCCAAACGAGAGCCATGCTAAAGTCTTCAGACAAGCTCCTTTCGGCAATGGCCAAGCGTGAGCTCATCCTGCCTATCCTCCTCCTTCTCGCGCAACAAAGTCAGTCATCCGTCTTCAAAATGGATTCTTCAGAAGCTGGTTTGAAGGGCATTGGTGCAATGTTTGACGATGTGAGTCTCGACCTCTTGACTTGCAAGAAAGATTGATCTCCCCATAGTTGAGAGGAGACTTTTTCCAGTTTGTTTCCTTTCTCTCGCCAGTATCGCTGTCTCAGAAATCGAGCGCCAACGAATCTCGAGACGCCTTTTTCAAGTCTCTCCCTTCGGTGGCGACCTTGGTTAATGATTACGGAATCGAAGCCACGACAGTAATGTTCATTTGCCGTGCTGCAATCCAACGTACTATTGTCGTGCGTACATGCCGAGGCATCCTGACGGTTCCTAATTATCCACAGGAGCAAGTTATGGCTTCATCCACAGAACGAAAGTCCAAACCTTCAGTCTCCAAAGAAGAGACGATACACGAGCCAGATCCCTTGTCTCAAACTGAAGCATCCATTAAAACCGAGACCGTAGAAGGAGATGTCGTAATGCAGGTTGATACGAAGGAGGTGAGAATTCTAGTGGTACCACAGATTAAATTTAATGAGGCCCGCAGACAGCAGACCTATGGCTTCCAGTTTTGCAGCCCTGGATCAGCTCGGTAGCTGAAATCCTCCCGCCTAGAGTCCACGAGGTTATGGGGTGTGTGAATCCTCCAGTTAATGACCAACGCTGATTCCAGACAGAGCTGCTTTCTTCGTAACCTTTTGGCAGCTCAGCCAATTTGAGATTACTCCGCTGGTGTCCCATTACAAGGAGCAACGGAACAAGCTCTCGAAGATGGTCGAAGAGCACGCTCGAAGAGATCCCGGCAAAGAAGGCTCAACGCGCGAGCGCATGAATTGGTTGGACAAAAAGGAACGAATTGAAGCCTTTAGAGACAATCTAGTCAGGGAGAGCAACGAACACTTGGAGGTGTACGCGGCCACCAAGAAGAGGCTCTCCCAAGAGCGCAAGCACTGGTTTGTCAACAGTTAGTATCACCAACAAGTTAAAGGCGATTCCTGACTGGTCTACAGATAAGCGTGGGAAACTGGAGCTCCTCGACTACATCGTTCAATACTGCATATTCCCTCGATCCCTTCTTTCCCCCATAGATGCGGAGTTTTCGGCAACTTTTATCAAGCTCTTACACAATCTTGGTACAGTAGGCTTTTGGACACTCGGCTGCTACCGAAAGTGTGTTGGAGAGCAACTCCGTGGAATCATTTTTTCCTGCACTCAGAACGAAGCGAGGAACTTTGGTATGCAAAGTCGTTCCTCTCGATACGCTTCCTCACATTCTGTAGGTCGCTTCCTGCGCGTCGTATTCTCCGACCTCGGGATGTGGTTCAAAGATGAAAAGGCTTTTGTTGCGGATAGTAAAAAGGGTGACGCGAACTCACCCGGTTTCAGCGCCAAGGCCTCGGCAGTGGAGGTTTTGTCGTGGGCCGAATTCAAGCGGTTCCTGAAGAAACTCCATATGCAACTTGGCTCAGTGAGTATCCGAGGAGGGGTTGAACAAATTCTCACACGGCTTAGGTTATCGTCGCTTGCATCACAATGACCAACCGAGAATTTATGCATGTCTCCAACGCAATTCTCGTTCTTAAGGAACTACTCCCAGTATTCCCAACGAATGCGGTTCACTCCAGCGTTGGTTCATTCGTGGATGGAGCTATAAAGGATTTGCTTGATTCTGAAAAGCGTGGCGACATCAAAGTACTGGCAAGCTCCTATCAGGACAGTTGCGTAGAATCAAGAGCAGGTGGGAGACCCCGGAAGCCTCATCAGCCACAGATGTGAGTCTAAGCTGTTCACACCGATCTCCAACTAACTTACCCACGAGTCCAAGTCCTCCCAACAAGTCAACACAAGTGCTTCTCAGACCAGTGAGGCCAAAAATCCGTCCTCTACATCTCAATCAGATGCCCGAGACTCGACGACACAGAACGCACCAATCACCCACCCTTTACCGGCAAATCCGATGGCACAAGCTTCCGACCAGCCATCTACAGAAATCAAGTAAACCGAAATATTCCCCTTTTATTAATATCTCATCCGTCCACAGGCTTCCCAAGCGACCAGATATCGTGAAGCGTATCAACCGTGAAGAAGGACACTCTACCGCCGATGAGTCACAATCAACTGCCGCAACTGATGCAGTCGACAAGCCGGCTTCTGCTATCAGGGTCTCTGAGAGCACCGATCCAATGCCTCGGGGAAGCCCTCGCCCACCAAATGGCCCTGTAGGACCAGGGCATAGAGACATACCGTCTGGTCCAAGAGGCACACGGGGCCATCGCTTAACAGAAGACCCGAGCTCGCGTCCGCCACCTGCAGCTTCAATGGCTCCTCCAAGGGTTCCTAGTCATACCCATTCATCTCAAGAAGCGCGAACGTCTGCATTGCAGCAAGCGGATCGAGGCCGCAATCAATCAGATGGAGACAAGGAATTGGGCCCAAGTGACCGTAGACCACCAGTTGACTCGCGAAGGCCCGATGCGCCATCTCGAGAAGGAACTCGTCGTCGCTCACCCTCACCTGGAAGGTCAGGTGCTGATGATGCACGCCGTCGCGAAGATGAACGTCGGAAGGACGAGAAGCGGTCGGATAGAGATAGACGGAGCGACAGGGAGCACCGCGAGCGCCGGGAGTCTGCTCGAATACCTAGGAGTGATGAAGCCAGTTCTCCTCATCGAGAAGAGAGTCGAAAACGGACGCGCGACGCTGGTGAAAAGGATGTGAGTGCTTTGTCGCTGCTGTGGCTTGGATGCTAAACAATTCAGCCTTCTGACCGTGACTCCAAACGGACAAATCGAGAGCGTGAAAGGAGGGAACGGCATCGAGATGAACGTGATGACCGCCGACACGACAAAGACAAGCACAGAGACAAGGATCGTGGTCGGGAGTCAAAGCATAAGCACGGCAGCAGCTCGACTGGGGCATCACCAAATGATCCCGAAAGGGAGGCAGCGCGATCATCTGCGCCATCTGCACCTCGTGCAGGTCTCATCTCCGAGGAAGCCAAGCGATCCATACTTAATGCCACGGCAGAACCACCACGGAGAGATCGTGATAGAGAAAAGACTGACTCGTATAACAGACCGCTAGGCGGTCTTTCGAGCATCGGAAGCTCTCGAGGGCCCGGTCACTCTCAACGACGTGAAGAACGTGGCCAAGATAATCTTCAACCGCCTTCACTCAGTCGGAGCCTCGTGTCTCGTATCGAGTCCCCTCGCGTTGACTCGTCAGCCCCGAACAGACCTAGTGGCGACTATTCCCGAGACGGTGGTCATATCTCTGACCGGGAAAATGGCAGAAAACGTGGACCTAGTGCGTAGATTAGTACCTCTATCTCATCCCGTTTGACCCTTTGACAGTCGAGGACAATTCCGGTGGTCCAGCAAAACGCCCACGAAGAGATGGGCCATGATCGCGTTTATTCACCAACCCTATCTTTTCTCCTCTTTGAAATCCGCTATATTCCTCGCTGTAATGCATATCGTGGATCAGAAAGATTTCTACCGGCCTCATCTCTTTAGATTCGGCTCGGAGAGCGAATGAGAGTCAAGAATTCCTCCCTTGTTTTCTGCCTTGTTCGGAATGCGCCCAACATTGTCGAGGTTACCGTCGTCGAGCCTGGTTTTTGCACACCGCGCATAGTCATGCACAGGTGACTGTTCAAACCCGTTCAGCATATCTCTTGATTACCTAAAGGCCTGACTTACGTCGCTTCCATTACCACGGCCACCCCTTGTGGTTTGATCGCTTCTTGTACGGCAATGGCAACCTGGCGGGTGAGACGCTCCTGAACCTGTAGTCTTCGACTAAAGGTCTCAGCTATTCGTGCAAGCTTTGAGAGCCCCAGCACTAGTTTGTTTGGAATATAGCCAATAGAGATCTAGAAGTGGTGAGTACAGCGATTATGAACAAGAAGGCTTGTACCTTGCCGGTAAATGGTACCAGATGATGCTCGCATAGGCTGAATACGTCTATGTCTCGCACTATTACCATCTCGTCGTGATCCTCTGCGAATATTGCATCGTTGATTACGTCTTGTCGCTGTCAATAGATGAAAGAGCTTGGTTGAAAGCACGAACCGGAGAGGCGCTCCTCGTATCCTCTTGTCATCCACATTAATGCCTGCGCATACCGCGCGGGGGTACGCTGCAATCCCTCACGATCCGGATCTTCGCCAATGCATTCGAGCAGCGTCCGGACCGCTGCTGCCAATTTTGCCTCTCGCTGGAGGCGTTCCTCTTGGGTGGAGTGTAGCCGTGAAAGTGTCGATTTTGCTAACAATCGATCAATACGTTCTCTATCGGCTGCAAAGGGTAAAGACCTGGCCAACCGAGTCCATATTGATCTGGAATCGGACTCGAATGCTCTTGCTTCTTCGTCCTGGATAATTTGTGGTGTGCTCAAGCCAGACTTGGGACGGAATCCCAGTCCCTCGCGGTACTGAGCGGGTAAAGCAGATGCCCCTGGTCCACTAGCAGCTTCAGACAGCTTTAGACTGAGTTCTTTGGTAACATTTTCCACCTCTGAGATGTCGGGGTTAGTGTTTTGCATCGTACAGCTGGGTGGCGGAAGAGGAAGCGACTGAAAAACTGACACCACCGGCGCTTCGGCCGGATTCACGGGAATGCAGGTAATCGAGAAAGGTAGGCTGCTATTGAGGGCAGAGTACATATGAAAGTCCCGAGTCTAATAAAATGCAACAGTATGTAAAAGTGAATGAGGGTGGGTGGCGAGCTGCCGCTGGACGATGCCGTCCATCTCCTCGTCAAGATCGTCAGCATTGGATATCTATGGGTGCAGTCAGTTTACTACCGACGTTAGGCGCGTCTACCTACTGCTGCTGCAAGGTCGAGCATAGCTTGACCGGCGATGAGAGCCTCTTCATGGTTATCCTTGATCTCCACGTTAATTATATGAACCGAGCGGTTCGATTCTCCTCCCTTTTGCAGCAGATCTGCGGACACGTAAGACCAAACTTCACCGATAAATGGAGGCCGTACCGTCACATACAGCATCAAAGCAACGTTCTTCGCACGTGATAACTACGTCGACCACTTTTCGAGTATCCGCCCATCGTTGAGGCGCCGTCTTGATATTCCGATTCCGATCCAGCATCTGGAGAAGTCCATTCTGCTCGTAACTAGACAACGTCAACTTGACATACAACGAAGATTTGATACGTACAGTGCAGGATCCTGACGATGTAAGTCTTCCCACATCTTCTGATACGGAGTTCCGAATTGGTACACATTTGGTGTGTCAACAGTTCTCCCTGGAAGGCGCACTAGGGATCCAGTTCCTGCTGAAATAACATCATAACCGGCTTTTCTGTATACATGTTAGAGTGTAGCCCATAGCCCAGATTCGGTCACGCACAACAACACGTTGTGTCCTTCCATGGAGCGATTCTACCAGTTATGAGAGGATATAACTCTGGTATCAAAGAATAAATACCTGGTTACTTGCACAAACGACGCAGAAAACAGGTCGTCTTTTCTGTGTCCGCTTTGAAAGCCCATTTACAATAGAGGCGCCGTCTTTGCCGGCATTTGATACACCCTGCGAGTGGTTCGTATCCGAGTTTTGTTGCTCTACAGGAGCTGCTGCGGCCGGGGGAGGCGCACGCCTGGGATCTCGACGTCGCGGATCCATAACGCCTACTTGAAACATTTTGAAGTTCTAGTCAGAGACCAGCCCACGAAGATTTACTGTTGGACCAATTCTCAGAAGTACCTGTATGTTCTTCGTGCCGACCCAGCCTATGCTTACTAGAAGCGCGCTGCCTTGGGCAGATGAATACATGCGGGTCGTTCGAGATACCACCTCTTCGTCTTCATAGGTTGCATAGAGATTAGAGACCACGAGGCTTACCTATAATGTACTGATACAAAGGCAGGAAGCGAAGAACCGCATCCACCTGTAACCTCATTCGGGACAAAAGAGAACCGAAGAAAGTGACGAGAGATGAAAATTCGAAATATACAATATGGTACATATTGCCTCCTAAGTACGCGAAGTGGCTATTGTCCTGCCTTCTCGTCTTCTTCAACCGAGGTCTTCCTATACTTGATGATGCGGATCACCAGACCGATGAGCGCAAATAGAACCACCACGCCCCAGATGCAGATGAAAAGCGCGAAGACGATGCGCTCCTTTCGCACCGCGGCCTCGTACGCGTCGACGACTTTCTGCAGAATCGACTTTGCACCACCAATCGCTGCATCACCCCCAGCTGTTGCAGCGCCTTCGACTGTGCGCGCGATATCCGCCACGTCTGACGCAGCCAGTTGAATCCTTGAGGCGTCAACGTGTGGGAGTCGGATATGGAGATTGTTCTTCATCCAAGTCACAGCATCACCGATCCTGTACACTTGATCTCCCAGGACCTTTTGGATGAGGGTGTTGCCGACCGACTCAAACATGGTGCCCTTGAACGCGTTGCGCACACCGCTTTCGATATCTCCATAGAGGCGCACTACTGTCTGATTCACGTTTCCTGCAGCGTCGACTGCGGACCCAAAGACTTTGTTATTAATGTCCCCAGAGACATTTTCCATCCAACTATTGACGGCGGATGCATACTTTTGGCTGTCGGTGCTGATCGCATCTTCAATCTCGCCAGTAATCTTTTGTGTCCAATTGCCTGCAGATCCAATTGCATGCGCAATTTCGTCATCTACATTATCCAATGCGTTGAAGGCGCGACGGAAAAGGGCATCTTGGATGGAGACGGCGATCAGTCCCAAGATTCCAATAAGGAGACAGAGAAGTGCCGGAGGGTACGTGATATAGGCAAAGAACCACGAAATGTTGCTCACTCCGGTGCGCGGAAGTCGCACGGAGCGACGGACTCGGGACAGGGCGTAGGTCATGTATCCGTGCTCCAGCTGATAACGGAGCAGCATGACGTTTCTTGGCGTCAGTTCGACGAGTGGTGCGTCAAGATCATCGTCGGTCGGTTGCACCGTCCCGTCTGTAACACGCTTCTCGTCGTTTGTAGAAGGTAATGCGGACCACTCGCTTTGGATGCCCTTGACAGCAGCCTGGAGCTTGCCCCACGCGTAGATTTCCCAGAGGATACTGCATAAGAGCAGTAAACCGAAGAGAATGGCAAAGCCGATGGTGACCCATTTCAGTGGGTCGAGCATATACCCTCCGAATTTGTCCACCCAGCTCAGATCGATATCGTCGCAAAAGTGGACTGAACGAGGATCGGGAAGAGGAAGAAGATCGGCCTTTAACACGTCATTTTCGACGTTTATGAGGTGTTGTTGACCTCTGTTCGCACATTGGCAAACGGCTGTGAGACGAGGCCAGAAAGCGACTTTTGCAGATCGTCGAGGGTGGGCAAGGAACTTTGAATGGCGGTAATTTGGGAGCTAATCGGATCCGGAATGTTGACATTCTGCAGCGAAGAGGTCGGTACGTTGAGCTGTGGGATGTTGATGCTGAGGACAGCGCTAGCTGCGCTGATGGCGCCGTTGATCCCATTCTGAGCTGCACTGACCGCTGAACCCACACCATTTGCGAGCGAGGTAAGAGCGCTGTTGATAGAAGTTGTGACCTGAGACCGATGAGGATTCAGGAACATGGTCGGAGGGACAATCGCACCGTCACAATGGCATTCAAGCTGCCGAGAACAAACACTTTGAACATTCCGACGTATATAGTCTTGAATTTATCTACGAAGAAGGCAATAATGTTGTCCAGGGTGGTCAGACTGATCTCTGGTCAGTCGTCTGGGCCGTAAGAAAGTGGAATAAAGCATACCAGAGGAGAGCACCCTTTCGTGCCGCTTCGACGGTGTTTGTAGCCACTTCGACCATGCCTTCATTGAGCTGGGTTGCTATCCATCGGACAGCACTGACGGCGACGCTTGCGGCGCGTTGAGCAGCTAGACAGCTCGCGAGGATGAATTCCTTTGCATCCCCGATAAGACGATGGGCTGAGAGCCACGTGAGATAGAGTCGGATCGTCACAAAAGCAGTTGCGATAACAGGTAATGCGAACGGTGCTAGCGTCAGGCGGTGGGGAAGAGTGAGATAGGGGCCCAAATGATCTGGACGAGGCTCTGGATTTCCAACGACGGGGCCCTTTCCTGGAGCCATGGACGTACTGCCTTGTTGAGTGTGAGTTGAGGAGCGTCAAACGAGACGATTTTCGCACTCTGTGTTGTTGACGTCGTGTTGAACAGCGTCGGACGAGATGATTTCGCGCTTTGGTGAACTGAAACTCGTCTAGACTCTTGCAAACACTGTCCAACTTTTTATATCTCGGGCGTAGGGGAGCAGTAAGGTGCCCCGGGGGAGGCACCAAACAAACCCGGTCCGTCCTCCTGAATTAACCTTTCGGGACTTTGGACAGTCCCGGTCAACGGTAGGCAATTTTAGGGTCACCTGACATAATCCGGGGTGGAAAGGCAGAGCGCTCAGGCAGCCACTTCAAAAGGCCCTTCGTCCTCTTGGACCCAACTCCCACTGTTATATCTGGATCTGTCGTCGGTCGGGCCCAGAATCCTCAACAACATCGACGAAAATGCCAAAGGTTATGCGCTGGGACGGTCCTCCACCCTACCTCGGTCCTTGGGAGCTCATCAGTCTCGCCTGGGTGCGCTCTTCGACCCTCAGGTACTATTTCTGACTCTATAGTATAGATTCGGGCATCTATAATTGCTCTACTAATCATCGGCTTTGCTTTGTGGATTGGCGCTACGACTGCTGTTGAAGGCATTCAAGACGCGAAAAATGCCCTCACAGAGGCATGCCAGGCGTCGGAAAAGGTGGCCACGGTTGCAGCGAATCTACCCAACTATGCGGCCGAGATCGTCAATGACCAAATCAACGCTGCAATCATCGATAGTATTCAGGCCGCCCACAAGGCACTAGAACTACTGTAAGCACCCTTTTCCGAAGCTTGTTGTCAGCCCATTGTATTGACGCGTCATAGACTAGAAGCGATGACGGCAATTGTTCGATACTTCCTACAGGTTGTCAACGGAATTATCACGTTTGTCGTACGTCCTTCAAAGCGTTGTGAATTTCTCTCACATTTTACAGTTTCAGTTCATTATTGGTGGAATTCTCTCGGTCATTGCAGACTTTACGGCAGCGGCAAGTCGCGCAATAAGACTTTCCAACGTTTATTAAAGTTTTATAGGCCCAGCGATACCTGAACACTGTGGTGGGCGGCATCGCAGATGGAATACAGTCTTCCATCAACAACACGGTTTCTGGAGTCAATAGCGCGATTGATGTGGCAAAGTTCGTATAATGGCTTCAACGCGAGTACCTAAGATCTAACCTCCCAAACAGCCGTGCCATTTCATCGTATAACAGCATCCCCTTTGTGCCCGACATTTCTCTCATCAGCCATGTCTCCATCAACTTTGATGTCTCGCAAATCCGCAATTTTCAAGTGCCAAACACCGTCTCGAGCTCCATCACGGCTCTGAGCAGTCGTCTGCCCAACCTTGATTCGCTTATCAACAGCATAGATACCACAATTGGTGGTCCTGTCCAAGCACTGGAACGGGACATGAATGCGACATTTGCCAATATCACTGTGCCAAACGTCAATATCACGCTGCCGCAAGTTGGTGCTGTGCAGTATTGCAACAAACTAAACGTTGGATTTCTTGACGAGCTGGGAAACGACATCCTCTGGGCAATGCATGTCGGACTAGGCATATTGGCTGGCCTAGCCCTCATCATTTTCCTCGCCCATGCGTTTTTCATTTGGATCATGTGGCGAATCCAGCTTCGAGGGGACGCTAGCGCCAGTGCGTTCTGGTCCCAGGCAGGGACGACGACAAAAACGACAACAGTAGCAGCAGCAGCTCCTCCTATGTCGGAGAAGAAGCCCGAGGGAGTCCACGAAGAGCCAGAAGCAAGCACTTCGAAAACTCCAGCCTCGACCTACCCAGTCATTCCCCTCACACGTCATAACATTCTCGCCTTGGACAACCCATTCTCGACATGGGCCGCTGCCAAAGTCTTGTCCTTTTTCTCCTTCCTGCACCCGTCTCAGGTTGCACACGACAGACTGGCATGGCTATTTGCCTATATCTTTTCCATTCATCCACTCATCTGCTTCGTCATTGGTCTTTTTGGAGTCGTCGCCCTCGCACTCCAATTGATTCTCATCAATATCGTTCGAGGACGCATTAATCGTGAGGTTGGAAAGATCATCGACGATGTTGTGGACGCAGTTGGAGGTGCTGTCAATGCGCTCATATCCAATGTGGGAGGAGAGGTCGCTTCGGGGCTCAATACTGCTCTCGGTGGAATCGATACGGCAATCAATCAGGATCTCAACGGATGGATTTCCACTGCCGTAGGAACATATGCCAATGCGATGCGCTCATTCTACACGACACTCACAAATGGTATCACAAACACCTTTTCGGGCTCGTTCCTCGAGACGCCGATGAGGGCTTTGGTGCAGACCATTGTCGGCGATCAGGCAACGGGACTTTCCGACGCACAGACCTATCTCCAACAGAATCTCCACATCTCCGTGCCACGTATCAACTCCAAAGTCTTTTTGATTTCCAACGGAACGCTGGACGAGATTTCCGACACACTCGCCAGAGCGGCAATCGGAGGCAACGGAAACCAAGGCGTGTTTGGACTCATCTTTGATCGGTACACCCAACTTCTCAAGAACCTAATGGTCCTTTTTGGAGGATTGCTTGCTATATGGGCCTTTATTGTCCTCATGGGCCTCGTGATTCTCCTGATGGACATCATTCGGCATCCGCATGCGGGAAAAGTGGCGACAAAAGAAGAAGAGGCGACTACGCAACCAGAGATAAGCGAGAAGGCTCCTGTGAAGAAGGAGACTGAGGAGCCCATAGCTGAGAGGGATGTAGGGGCAGCGGCTACTGGGGAGTCACCAGCGCCTATCAAACAGGAGAACGACGTAGAAACTGGCGGAGCTGGTCCTACCACCTCTGCACCAGCTGCGGATCCTCCGGTCACAAAGAGCTCTGGAAAGGGGTTACGACGATTCTTGCCATTCCTCTCTCATAACGCTCGAACTGAATGATCTAATCGCTTCAAGTGTATATAGGACTTTTGTACCATGGAATAAGTTTATACTTTGGAGAATCAGAATATTACTATGAGTCCAATTCTATAAGCTTTTGTAGGCTCTCTATTCTCCGTTGAAGGTCCATCACCTCTGCTTCTGGAATTCCCAACGACTTTCCTCGTTCAACCGTCATGCCGGCCCATTGGAGTGCTTCTCGATATGCAGATGCTGCGACCTTGTTCGCAGCTGGACTTTCTAATGTTTCGAGTATGCTACCTTGGAGTAAGCGCGCCTGGACGATCGCGCGACGTGCGTCACGAAGCATAGTGGCACTTGGCTTGGACAAAATCTTGATATTGGCGTAAAGAGGATGAACGGACAAAAGGGTGGATGGCTCCGAGGGGGGAATGGTGATTATAAGAGAACTGGCGTCCTCGTCTGACGTCGGTTCGTTAAAGGCAGGGTTGGTCGGTGTTTGGTAGTTTCCTGTGCAGAGCTCTTTGGCAACTTTGGTTTCATATCGGATTGCGTTGTCGAGGAACCGGAGAGCACTGGGAATGTCGGAGCTTGGCGCGAATTGAGCCATGGCAGAGTGGATTAGGAACATTGACCCTCTTTGACCAAGGTACAGCCTATGCAGCTCGTGGGCTGGGGAGACTTCGGCTTGCTTGTGTAGGAAGCGGTCGGCCAGGATCATACCCGAGATTTGGGGTTCCAAGGCCTTTTGGAATTCCTTTCGCACAGAGTAAAGGGCGGACAGCTGCAAATACACGTCTACGACATGTCGCTGCTCCGCAGGTGTGAGCTCTGCTGTAATGAGACTCTCCTCATCCATGTCGCGTATTTTGAGAGCCTCTTTCCAGAATTCCACGGCCTTGTCGGGGTTGTTATTTCGGGCCATGAGATTGCCCATCTTGAATATGAGCTTTGCTCTCTCGAGGGATCCTGGTGAAGAAGTAGAGTAAAGAAAAACCGTCTCTTTCCATGCGTCCATCATAGCGGACTCTGTTCCTATGCTTTCCAGCACATCTACGTGCCGTTGAAGCAAGGCGGGAGGAACGGTCTTTTTTGCAGCGACAAGATAGCCTATAGCCCATCGGATGTACTCCTCTGCCAGCTCTAGTCCCCTTTCTGGCCTTCCAAATAGCATCGTTAATGCAGAAGCGGATGGCGAGTTGCCTCCTTTTGCGTTGTTGTCCGCCCAGTGCTGGAAAAACCAAGCAGAGCGCAATGCTATCCGCACAGGCATACCAAGAGACGGATCTGTGCCGCCCTTTTCGATGCCACCGGTCCAATCCTCCTGTTCGAGCTCCCAACCATCAGGTGTCGCCTCGCTGCCGGCCATTGCAACATGTTCCAACCACAAATGGAACCCAACAAATCCCACTACTCCAAATGCTGAGATGTAGGAAATGACCAGGAGCGGTGGGAGTAATACGAGCGTCGAGACGCGTCGAAAATCTTGAGCCATGGCAAAACGCATGTATTTTTGGACTCCCGGGGCTTGATTAATGATGTTTCGTCGTTGTGGGACTACATGTTGACGCGTTGACACGACTCGGCGGAAAAGGAGAGAGCGAGAGCGAGAAAACATTGAGAAACCACTTGCAGTCGACGTCGTCGCCGTGAAATGTCGCGACAGACATCTTTGAAGCAAATCGTATCCACATCTTAATTTCGGGGCATAGGTCAAGGTTTGCTGGATTACGACGATGAATGTTCCTCTCCGGGCGAAAAGCAGCCGCCATGGCCCACATAGACCGAAATACATTCTAAAACGACTCTATTGTTCGCATTGTCAGTCTCTATTGGCCCTTGAATATCGCAAAAACTGGCGCCTCGAGCGGCACGAGCGGTCCGCTGCCTCCGACTATGGAGGAAAGAGCAAACGGAAGGACATTTGGTGAAAGGAACATGTGATTGGATGGAAGACACTCCGTGAGCTCCGAAACTTAGTCGTCGGCGTCACGCTTATGAGCCAGGAGGATCCGGTCTCCCGTTCCCGTGGTCTCTCAGGCTGCTCCGAACTTGAACTCGACCACAACCTCTGTAATCTCCACAACATTCTCTCTTGCTCGTTTCAGCTTGAACATGGCCGAAGAACATCTCCCAAGTACTGATCTCATCACTCTCACCAGGTAGTACTCTACAGTAGGCCATGGACGGACTAACGAGTTCTCGTAGACATATTCTGGCCGAGCAGAATCGCCTTGGGTCGCGTGCTACAGGCGATTTGACTATGCTCCTGAACGCCATCCAGCTGACCTCCAAGTTTATTGCCACCAACGTCCGCAAAGCGCGTCTCATCAATCTGTACGTCCTCTCTCGTTACTATGCGCCACGTGAGGATCTTATGTATTGCCTCTGTCCATGCTCGATGTCACCCGACGATATCACGTGCCCATGTGACCTCCAGCGTTGGTATGGCTGGCGAAACGAACGTACAAGGCGAAGAGCAAAAGAAGCTCGATGTTCTCTCCAATGATATCATGGTCAACGCGCTCCGTGCGTCTGGAAAGACGGCCGTATTGGTCTCGGAAGAACTCGAGGAGGCGGTTATCATCGAACCGCGCCACAAGGGCAAGTACTGCGTCGTTTTCGATCCTTTGGACGGAAGCAGTAATATCGACGCTGGTGTCAACATCGGGACCATTTTCGGAATCTATCAGATTGTAAGCTTCTTGTCCAACAGAGAGTCGGCCTAATACCCTGATAGGAGGAAGGATCTGAGGGCACAATCAAGGATGTCTTGCGCCCGGGAAGTCATATGGTTGCGGCAGGGTACACAATGTAGGCTCCATTTATAAAAGTCCCCGGGCGATTATTTACACATCTAGGTACGGCTCCTCTGCAAACTTGGTTCTCTCAACCGGAAATGGTGTCAATGGCTTTACACTCGACAATGGGCTTGGTGAATTCATCCTCACCCACCCTGACATCAAGATCCCAGAGCGTGGCAAAATATATTCGTTCAACGAGGGCAATTCGATGTACTTCCACCAACCTGTCATCGACTACCTTAACGGTATCAAATACCCGAGCCAAGAGCACGGCAAAAAGTCGCCCTACTCGGCCCGTTATATTGGTTCTATGGTCGCCGATGTTCACCGTACACTGCTGTATGGTGGTATCTTTGGTTATCCAGATGACAAGAAGAGCAAGAATGGTAAGCTGAGGATGCTGTACGAGGCATTCCCGATGGCCTATCTTACCGAGCAGGTGCGAGTCAGTCTTTATACTATGTTGGGCTCATTCTCCTGTAGGCTGGTGGTATGGCCACCACTGGTACCAAACGAATTCTCGATATTCACCCCACAGAGATTCATGCGCGCTGCCCGGTGTTCCTTGGGTCGAAAGAAGACGTCAAGGACCTGATAAAGTGTTATGAAGCCCATGCAAAGAAGACCGAGTCGACATAGATTTGCTGTTTTACTGTAGATTCTGCTATACAGAGCTGATTTTCTCATGAGCCCGTCGGCCGTGGCCCAGAGGCCCAGAACCCGTCGCCCTTTGATTCGAGAAATCAGCAAGGATTCCGCGTAGCCAAACGTGCGCTAATGAAAATTTCTAGACTTCCATTCCGGGTCGGATAGCGTTCTCGCTTGGCTACGTCGGGATTTAGATAAGTACCGCAGGGCGTAATCAGTCGCTAAAGCCACTCCAAGTTTGTTCCCTGCCGCCTACCAACGAACATCACAAACGGGAAACACGCAAAAATCAAGAATATATTTACGCTTCTATGTCTTTAAAACACGATCACGGGCGGGCCATGCGCATCGCAGTCCTTACCTCTGGTGGCGATAGTGCGGGAATGAACGCAGCTGTTCGAGCCGTCGTGAAACAAGCAATCGTCAGGTATGGTTCAGTAAAGATATTCGAATAATCTCAGGCTCATGAGACCTTCAGAGGATGTGAGACGTACATCGTTCGCGAAGGATATGAAGGACTCGTCCGCGGAAATCTTGAAGCGAATGACAATGGCACGGCTAACGGGGCCAACAATGATCAATCTGGTGTCTGTACTCCCCCAAGACCAGAAGATCAAGGTGTCGAAGCGAACCTCCGCTTCGGTTACGGTGGTCTGCTTCGAGATGGAGAAGGAGACTCGACGGATCCAACAAGTGGCAAGTCTCTCAAGGGGCGATACATTGTTCGCGTCGGATGGGACGATGTTCGTGGATGGATGGGAGAGGTCTGTTTCGTACCTTTTACTCTAGATGTCGCTTGACGCTTTCTCCAGGGAGGTACGATCATTGGTACCGCCCGTTGCGCTGCTTTTCGTACCATCGAAGGTCGCACGACGGCCGCTCACAATCTCATCAAAGAGGGAATCAACGCACTCGTTGTTTGTGGAGGGGACGGCAGTCTGACCGGTGCAGATAAACTACGCGCAGAATGGCCGCAACTGGTCGCAGATTTATTGAGCAAAGGTAGCAATAATACGTCAACCTCGTATCGTTTGCTGATCTTCGGTGACCATAGGATCCATCACTGCCGAGCAGGCGGAGATGTACAAGCATCTTATGATTGTGGGACTAGTCGGGTCCATCGATAATGACATGGCTATGACCGATTTGACGATTGGGGCACCCACAGCTCTCCACCGGATTTGCGAGTCTATGGACAATATCAGCTCCACTGCCAGCTCGCACTCTCGCGCGTTTGTGATCGAAGTCATGGGCAGGTACTGTGGTTGGCTCGCGTTGATGGCTGGTGTGAGGTGAGCCAAGCCTTCCGATGAATGATTTCTGAGAGAAAATAGTGGTGGCGCCGATTTTGTCTTTATTCCAGAGTGCCCACCCACAGCGGATAGCTGGGAGGATGAAATGTGTGCCGTCATCAAGAGGGTACGTCGCTTTGATCCTTGAGTGAATTTGTGCTGACAGTTCACAGCACCGTGAGATGGGCAAGCGCAAGACGATGGTCATTGTCGCCGAGGGTGCCCACGACAAGAACCTGAACCCTATCAAGCCAGACAAGGTCAAAGATATTCTCAGGGAGCGATTGAGCCTTGATACCCGAGTGACTACTCTTGGACATACCCAAAGAGGTGGCCGTCCGTGCGCATACGATCGCGTCCTGGTGAGGGTTTCGTATTTGCCGCTTATACACTCATCGCTCATGATCCTAGCCCACTCTTCAAGGCGTCGAAGCTGTAAATGCGCTGTTAGAGTCGACACCAGAAACCCCATCATATATGATTGGCATCCACGAGAACAAGATTTCTCGAGTTCCCCTTGTCGAAGCAGTTCAACAGGTAGACCATTAGCGGTTATATCAAGTCGAGGCTGACTCGTGTAGACACAAGCAGTGGCAACGGCAATCAGCAACAAAGATTTTGCAACAGCGACCAGGCTTCGAGATCCAGAGTTCAAAGAAGCCTTTGATGGGTTCCTCACTGTCTCATCTCTTGACCCTGTGTATATCCTCCCGAAGGAAAAGGTATAGTTGCGCTATTTCGGTTTGTTCTGATCTAATGGTTCCTAGCATTTGCGGATTGCCATTATGCAGTAAGTCTGGTGAAATCGAGATTGGTGACGCTCATTATGCCTAGTATCGGTGCGCCTGCTGGCGGAATGAATGCGGCTACGCGTGCGGCAGCTCGATACTGCCTCGCCCATGGTCATACCCCTCTCGCGGTCCAAAACGGCTTTACTGGCCTCATGGATGATGCAATATATCCCCTGACATGGCTCAAAGTTGACAGTTGGATGACCCGTGGTGGCTCTGAGCTTGGGACCAACAGAAATGTTCCGGGCGAGGATATTGGCAACATTGCCTCCCATCTGCAAAAGCACGACATTGACGGCCTATTCATGATTGGCGGTTTCGAGGCATTTGAAGCGCTATTAGAGCTAGAGGAAGGTCGAAAGTACTATCCACAACTCCATATTCCATTGGTCCACCTTCCGGCAACGCTGTCAAACAATGTCCCAGTCACCGAGTTTAGCTTGGGAAGCGACACCAGTTTGAACGCTCTAGTAGATGCGTGCGATGCCATCAGGCAGAGTGCCTCGGCGAGCCGAAACCGAGTCTTCGTTGTCGAAACACAGGGTGGCATGTGCGGATATCTCGCGACGATGGGTGCACTGGCGGTAAGAATATTTCTGTGGAGCAAAAATTCTGTAACTGACCTGCACAGACTGGCGCTGTGATTGTGTACACACCGGAAGTTGGCATGAATTTGCATATGTTGCGCAGCGACTCCAAATTCCTGCAGAGGCGTTACGAGCTTGACGAGAAGGGCAAAGCCGAAGGTCGTCTGGTCATCAAGTGCGTTTCTGGTGCAAGTATGCGTCCAGGTGGCTGACATTTACTGCTAGGAGCGAAAAGGCGTCCAATGTGTTCTCAGTCGACGTCATCACCAAGATACTCAGGGAAGAAGGTGGAAAACTGTTCGATGCTCGCTACGCCTCGCTCGGCCACACACTTCAGGGTGGTATCCCCTCGCCCATAGATCGCGCACGCGCAGTGAGACTCTCTCTCAAGTGCATGGCGTTCATAGAAGAGCATGCATGGGCTCTACGTGACCAACCGGCCAAGGGTCGCAAGCCAAACCCAAAGAGCGCTGCGGTGATCACAATTACGGGCTCGAGCGTCAACCTTACACCGGTCAAGGAGATGGTTGAACATGCTGATATGAAGAACAGACGCGGAGTCGACCCGTGGTGGGCAGACTACAAGCAGCTAGCAGAGATTTTGGGCAGTAAAAACTATTTCGCGGGAAAGCTTGGACAATAGGAGTAGAATGTATCAGTAAATGTCTGATGAATTTCATGTGATATCGTTGATCCACTGTGAGGAGCCTGGTAATAGAGGCAACCTTGCTTTCCTCCGGCCGAGTACTGTAAAATGATGATCGCTTTGGCCGTTAGACGGCCAGCGAGGCAGTTCTTCCCTAAAATTCGACATTATACGTCGAGAAGACACGTACCACATTCGCTGGAGCAAGTTCCAAACCCGATTCCAAACGTGGGCTTTTATCGCGGCGGCACATCGAAGGGAGTGTTTATCCACTCGAGATACCTTCCAGACGACAAGAGTCTCTGGCCTCGTATACTGGGAGGCATCATGGGCTCGCCAGACAAGTATGGAAGGCAGCTCAACGGCCTCGGCGGCGGCATCAGCAGTCTCAGTAAAGCCGTGGTCGTCTCACCGTCGACAAAGGAAGATATTGACTGTGAATATACATTTGTACAAGTTGGTATCGAAGACCAAGAGTTGGATTTGACCGGAAATTGCGGCAACCTGTCCTCAATGGGTAAGTGTCGCTCGGTCTGCGTAAAAAAATTGCTCGAATCTCACGCTCGTAGTCGGTGTCTTTGCCGTGGACACAGCAATCTGTGCAGCCCGCCCGGAATCGGATAACCGCGGACGAGTACGAAGTTTCAACACAAATACTAACAAGATCATCGACACAGTTTTCCCACTGGACGAACGACAGAGGGCGGATCTCGAGTTGGAAGAGGTGGAGATGGCTGGAGTGTCTGGACTAGGCTCTCGGATCGACCTACATTTCCTCAACCCTGCTGGCGCAAAGACGGGCAAACTGCTACCCACCGGAAAGCCAGTCGACGTCCTGGAACTCCCAGGGGACGACCTCGCCGAAGTGTCCCTTGTAGATGCCACAAATCCTACCGTCATCCTCCCATATCATGAACTGCGAATATTGCTTTCCTTACCTCCGGATGCTCAAGTTGATTTTGGGTCAGACGAAACTCTCCGTGTACTTGAGAGTGTCCGAACGATTGGAGCTCGGCAGATGGGTCTCGAACCTGCAGCCGCGCAGCCCAAGATCGTGGTCGTGCAACCATCTCATATGCATGACCATACTGGAGAGGACTTGGTCGCTCGAGCATTATCCATGGGCGTCCCTCACAAGGCCATTCCTATGACAGTCGGTCTCTGTCTGGGCGTGGCAGCAGGGATTCGAAACACGGTAGTAGAGCGGATGCTTCGAGGTGTCGAGAAGCACCATTCGTCCAATGGGGTAATACTCCGCCATCCTGGAGGCACGGTCGAAGTCGCCGCCGTCTGGAAGGGCGACCAGCTCGAATCAGCATCCGTAGTGCGAACTGGAAGAAGACTCATGCAAGGGAGTGTATTCTGGTAGGAACGATCATATGAAATTGTCAGTCTTGTGCCTCTCCCGTCGCTTCATTTCCCTTCATAGCAGAACCGAACATTCGCCTGTCCTCTCAAGAATAGCTGGTCGAAATAAGTTTCGGGCCGGGCGGACTGACGATCTCTCACGCGCGTCTGATGCTCGGTAGCCAAGACTTGCTGCCTGCCAGATATTCGTCCGACGTCCTCCCATTGCACACATAAGAGGTCACCTCGCAAAAAGTCCCTTGAGGTCATATTTTTCATGGTGCACCTGTTCACAGTCCTCACATCTGTTGGTCTGGGCATCCACGCCGCTTTGGCTGTGGTCGTCTATGGTGAGCTGCTGATGCTTTCATCGACTTTTTCCTGACAATCTCTAGGTGGTAAGTAACTTGCGGTTATGCGAACCCGCCCTCAAGAAATTAGGCATAAACTATGCTGGGAGCACCGTTTGCGATGCTGGAACCTACTGCATGGCATGGAACCCATATTATGTGAGACTTTACGCATGTGCTGAGTGCTTGCTGACTCGGTATAGTCCCAGTGTATCCCAGCGACTTCCACTTCCTCGTCCTCCATCCAAACATTCAGTTCATCTCGGGTCAGCTCCACATCGAGCTCTCGCATTGCAAGCACGAGCCTGTCTTCTCAAACGAACAGTTCGAATCGCTCAATAATCACGTCCGTTTCCACCGCGAGTAGTGGCACCGCAACTTCTAGTTATACAGGAACGCTTCCAATCGGTACATTGTCCCCTACTGGGTTGGCAGTGGCAGCGGCAAGGAAAGGTAAATACATTGGAAGCGCATACGACAATGGATATATTGCGAACACCACATACTCGCAACTCCTTCTTTCCCAGGTTAATGCCATGACTCCGGAGAACATTATGAAGGCAAGTGAAATGTATCAGGTCCTTTGCATCCTCTAAGCATCGCAGTGGGACAGCCTCGAGCAAACGCAGGTGAGCTAAATCCATGCATTTTATTCTTACTGACCGAGATTAGGGTGTTTTCACTACCTCACTGGGGGCTGATCGCGTTGTTAACATAACCCAATTAAATCACCTCTTGCTCCGAGGGTATGTTTTAGTGTTCTAGCTCTCTAATATACTGACATAAGTCAAAGACACACTCTCGTGTGGCACAGTCAACCTCCTTCGTACGTCTCTACAACATACTGCCTTCCCGTTTAACTTCATGCCAGCTGAATTACGAACGGTGGATTCAATAATGCTTCATTGATAAGTGTGATGACAAATCACATTGATAACGTCATGAAAAGTGGAAAGGCCAAGTGCATACCTGGGATGTTGTCAATGAAGCGCTTGCAGTGAGTCTTCCAGCAGCTCCTCTGCCAAGCTCACTTTATTCAGGATGACGGTTCCATGAGGCAATCCATCTTCTATAACACAATCGGAGAATACTATATCGATATTGCGTTCAAGACTGCCAAGGCAGCAGATTCTGCCGCCATCCTAGCAATAAACGACTACAATATCAATGGAACAGGCGCCAAATCGACAGGAATGATTAACCTTGTTACAAAAATGAAAGCGCGTGGCGTTCCTATTGAGCAGGTCGGTATCCAAGGTGAGCCGTGTTTCACCCCCGTAGAGGACAGCTGTTGACGCCGTGCCGTGACAGCTCACTTAATAGTTGGCTCGGTACCCACGACACTTTCAACCAACTGGAACGCATTTGTCAATCTTGGCGTTTCGATTGCGTACAACGGACTTTTGCGCAGGGCCACTTTTTGACTCTTTTGTTAGAATCACCGAACTGGATATCCGCATGCCGACACCGGCTACGACAGCAAATCTCGCACAGCAAGCCACAGATTACAGTATATGCTTGGTGCCTTCAGAGTGCATGGACTTACCAAGGACTCAGAGAATGTCGTTAACGCTTGCCTGGGAATCGCCAAATGCTTGGGTATCACATGTGAGTAAAGGGTATTGCCCGTGCCTTTTGATTTGCTAATTGGCATGCTTCGCAGTCTGGGGCCTCAGGTACGCACCAGCAAGGGGTATACTTGGCCCGGCTCACCCGCCATCAGCGATGCGTTCTCTTGGGTTCCAAACACGTTTTCTGGACAAGGTGCTGCGCTTCTTTACGATGCAACTTTTCAACCAAAGCCAGCGTACACCGCTGTACTCGATGCCCTCAACGCGTGAAGCTCCGGGCTTAGTGCTTGATATCCGACATGTTGACTTGCATATCAAAAGAAGCATCCATTTCTCCATTCCGTGAAGATATCAGACGTGAATGCAAGCCAAGTATGCGACATATTCCCGCGAGGATTTGCATTGTCCGACGCAACGCCTGGGCGTTCTCTATGGAGACGTTGGTTGTCTCGTCCTAGAACTCGGTAAATACGATCATGGGAACTCCGGGAATCCCTTACTCGGTGCGACCTGCAGCTTCGTCGACCAACCGAGGATCTTCCCGCCGTATTGGTAAACCTCATAAAAAGCAGGGCATAGAAGTATGCGCGCTTTCCAGGGCATTCTCATCCTCAGGATGTCTACTACTCGCTCTTTTCTAGCTCTTCTCCCGCTCGTTGTCCATTTTGTTCGCGCTTGCGACGAAGCCATTCCTTTGTGGCAGGTCAAGAACATCCTTGCAAAGTTTAATTTCTTAACTGATGTGATCTCAGCAATGTGGAGGAATCACGTATTCAGGCCCTAGCCACCCTCACTGTGTCGATGGAGCCATATGCCAGGAGTGGAATCCCTATTATGTAAGCATATAGTCTTTTTTTTTGTTTCTGCGCCTAAATACATCAGTTCCAATGCATTCCTGACCCCAACGCCTCGAGCTCTTCGTCTTCGAGTGCCTCGTCCTCAAGTTCTTCGTCCGTAACTCAAAGCTCATCCACAAGCCTTCCAACCGACACCCCGACGTCGACTAGTACAAGTACTTCAAGTACAAGCACCCAAACGCCTACATTTACTCCTCCCGTCGTCCCGTTGTCGCCAACGGGCCTGGCAGCCCTCGCAAAATCGAAAGACAGGTACATTGGATCTGCATTCGACAATGGATACCTTTCCGACACTGCCTATACTAATATTGTTCTCTCCAATGTGAACCAAATCACATGCGAGAACTCGATGAAGGTGCGACAAATTTTCATATCCCTGAACCGAGTTCTGATCTGTGCAGTGGGAGAGCATTGAGGCAACGAGAGGGGTGTTCTCCAGCCCTGATGCTGATCGAATGGTTCAGCTGGCCGAAGCCAACGGAATGACGATTCGTGGTCATACTCTCGTCTGGCACTCCCAGCTCCCATCATGGGTATCTAGCGGCAATTGGACTACTTCCACTCTTACAGAAGTCATCACGTCGCACATTACCGGTGTCATGACAAAGTACAAAGGAAAGATCCACACGTGGGACGTTGTGAACGAAGTCATCGGTGTAAGTGCGCCAAAAAGAGTCATATTTCATTCTTATATGCACCAGGATGATGCAAACATGCGTCCGTCTGTCTTCTACAACACACTCGGCGAAAGCTTTATCGATCTCGCATTCAATACGGCCAAAGCAGTCGATCCCAAGCCCATCTTGGCGATTAATGATTATAATATGGAGTATTCGCAGAAAGCCACAGCGATGTATAATCTCGTTAAGCGGCTCAAATCTCGCGGAGTTCCTGTTGAGCAGATTGGCGCTCAGGCGCACTTGGTTGTTGGTTCTCTCCCAAGCGGTATCAAGGATATCTACCAAAACTTTGCATCTCTTGGTGTTTCGGTCGCGTACGCCCGTCATAAAGCCATTGTCCGAGCTAACATATTGTAGGGTCACCGAACTGGATATCCGTATGCCTACACCACCTACCGCTGCAACTCTCGCCCAACAGGCTGCTGATTATGGTTCGTAAGGAGTCATATCTATTCTATGCTGACAGTATCTAGTCACGGTTGTCAAGGCCTGTCTCGACGTCCCTCAATGTCTTGGAGTTACTTGTGAGCCATTTATTTGCGGTTTCATCCACCTGTACTAATCCTTCGCTAGTCTGGGGTCTCACGTATGTACGATGGGCGAGCGTGGTCGGTTTTTTGATTACCTCCCAGTGACAAATACTCTTGGGTTCCTGATGTATTCTCGGGTGAAGGAGCGGCTTGCTTGTACGACGAGAGCTTGCAGCCCAAGCCCGATTACACTGCCGTCCAGTCGCTTCTCTCTGCCACGCCAACGTCGACAACGACGACAGCCAGCCCTACGGATACTCAAACGACCGTGACCAGCTCTCCGACATCGACATTTACTCCACCAGTCGTCCCGTTATCCCCTACAGGTCTGGCGGCTCTCGCCAAGTCGAAGGATAGGTATATGGGATCTGCGTTCGAGAACGGATATCTTTCCGACTCGGCCTATACCAGCATTGTCCTATCAAATGTGAACCAAATCACATGCGAAAACTCAATGAAGGTACGGTGATTTTACGACCATACCATTTTATCTGACACAGTACAGTGGGAGAGTATCGAAGCAACGCGAGGAGTATTCTCTAGCCCCGATGCTGATCGAATGGTTCAACTGGCCGAAGCTAACGGGATGACAATTCGTGGCCATACTCTCGTCTGGCACTCTCAGCTCCCCTCATGGGTAGCCAACGGAAACTGGACCACATCGACACTGACCGAGGTTATCACGTCGCATATCACCGGAGTTATGACCAAGTACAAGGGCAAAATCCACACATGGGATGTTGTGAACGAAGTCATTGGAGTGAGTACATTGATTTCTAGTCAATTTCGAGCTAATAATTATAGGACGACGCAAACATGCGTCCATCCGTCTTCTACAATACCCTCGGCGAAAGCTTCATTGACCTGGCATTCAATACGGCCAAAGCAGTTGATCCCAAGCCTATCCTGGCCATCAATGACTACAATATGGAGTATTCACAGAAGGCTACCGCCATGTATAACCTCGTCAAGCGCCTCAAATCGCGTGGTGTTCCAGTCGAGCAGATTGGCGCTCAAGCCCATCTGGTTGTCGGCTCTCTTCCAACCGGCATTAAGGATATTTACCAGAACTTCGCATCTCTCGGCGTCTCTGTTGCGTACGTGCGTGATAAGGCCATTATTCTACTCTAACGCATCATAGTGTCACCGAGTTGGATATCCGCATGCCTACTCCTCCCACCGCTGCAACTCTCGCTCAACAGGCTGTTGATTATGGTTTGTAAGGAAGACGTACTTATTCTATGCTGACACTGTTTAGTCACGGTTGTCAAGGCCTGTCTTGATGTTCCTCAATGCCTTGGTGTAACTTGTAAGCTGTCTATTGCCAAATTAAGACTCTAACTGACCTTGATCTAGTCTGGGGTCTCACGTATGTCCAAAGGATTAATGTTACTGACCGACTGACCGTCAATCTAGCGACAAATACTCTTGGGTTCCTGGCGTATTCTCAGGCGAAGGTGCGGCTTGCTTGTACGACGAGAGCTTGCAGCCCAAGCCCGATTACACCGCCGTCCAGTCGCTCCTCTCTGCCACGCCAACGTCGACAACGACGACAGCCAGCCCTACGGATACTCAAACGACCGTGACCAGCTCTCCGACGTCGACATTTACTCCACCAGTCGTCCCGTTATCCCCTACAGGTCTGGCGGCTCTCGCCAAGTCGAAGGATAGGTATATGGGATCTGCGTTCGAGAACGGATATCTTTCCGACTCGGCCTATACCAGCATTGTCCTATCAAATGTGAACCAAATCACATGCGAAAACTCAATGAAGGTACGGTGATTTTACGACCATACCATTTTATCTGACACAGTACAGTGGGAGAGTATCGAAGCAACGCGAGGAGTATTCTCTAGCCCCGATGCTGATCGAATGGTTCAACTGGCCGAAGCTAACGGGATGACAATTCGTGGCCATACTCTCGTCTGGCACTCTCAGCTCCCCTCATGGGTAGCCAACGGAAACTGGACCACATCGACACTGACCGAGGTTATCACGTCGCATATCACCGGAGTTATGACCAAGTACAAGGGCAAAATCCACACATGGGATGTTGTGAACGAAGTCATTGGAGTGAGTACATTGATTTCTAGTCAATTTCGAGCTAATAATTATAGGACGACGCAAACATGCGTCCATCCGTCTTCTACAATACCCTCGGCGAAAGCTTCATTGACCTGGCATTCAATACGGCCAAAGCAGTTGATCCCAAGCCTATCCTGGCCATCAATGACTACAATATGGAGTATTCACAGAAGGCTACCGCCATGTATAACCTCGTCAAGCGCCTCAAATCGCGTGGTGTTCCAGTCGAGCAGATTGGCGCTCAAGCCCATCTGGTTGTCGGCTCTCTTCCAAGCGGCATTAAGGATATTTACCAGAACTTCGCATCTCTCGGCGTCTCTGTTGCGTACGTGCGTGATAAGGCCATTATTCTACTCTAACGCATCATAGTGTCACCGAGTTGGATATCCGCATGCCTACTCCTCCCACCGCTGCAACTCTCGCTCAACAGGCTGTTGATTATGGTTTGTAAGGAAGACGTACTTATTCTATGCTGACACTGTTTAGTCACGGTTGTCAAGGCCTGTCTTGATGTTCCTCAATGCCTTGGTGTAACTTGTAAGCTGTCTATTGCCAAATTAAGACTCTAACTGACCTTGATCTAGTCTGGGGTCTCACGTATGTCCAAAGGATTAATGTTACTGACCGACTGACCGTCAATCTAGCGACAAATACTCTTGGGTTCCTGGCGTATTCTCAGGCGAAGGTGCGGCTTGCTTGTACGACGAGAGCTTGCAGCCCAAGCCCGATTACACTGCCGTCCAGTCGCTTCTCTCTGCCACGCCAACGTCGACAACGACGACAGCCAGCCCTACGGATACTCAAACGACCGTGACCAGCTCTCCGACGTCGACATTTACTCCACCAGTCGTCCCGTTATCCCCTACAGGTCTGGCGGCTCTCGCCAAGTCGAAGGATAGGTATATGGGATCTGCGTTCGAGAACGGATATCTTTCCGACTCGGCTTATACCAACATTGTCCTATCAAATGTGAACCAAATCACATGCGAGAACTCGATGAAGGTACGGTGGTCTTTATGTCTATGCGAATCGTTCTTATAGTTGGGTGTAGTGGGAGAGTATCGAGGCAACACGCGGAGTATTCTCTAGCCCTGACGCCGATCGAATGGTTCAAGTCGCTGAAGCTAATGGCATGACAATTCGTGGGCATACTCTTGTCTGGCACTCTCAGCTCCCGTCGTGGGTTGCGAACGGCAATTGGACGACTTCAACCCTGACGGACGTTATTACATCGCATATCACCGGCGTCATGACCAAATACAAAGGGAAGATCCACACATGGGACGTTGTAAACGAAGTGATTGGTGTACGTGTAAAACAGTCGATATTCAGGATTCTGACCTCTTTTAGGACGACGCAAACATGCGCCCATCCGTCTTCTACAACACACTCGGCGAAAGCTTCATCGATCTCGCGTTCAACATAGCCAAAGCAGTCGATCCCAAGCCCATCTTGGCGATTAATGATTATAACATGGAGTATTCGCAGAAAGCCACAGCGATGTATAACCTCGTCAAGCGCCTCAAATCGCGTGGTGTTCCAGTCGAGCAGATTGGTGCCCAAGCCCATTTGGTGGTCGGCTCCCTTCCGAGTGGCATCAAGGATATCTACCAAAACTTTGCATCTCTTGGCGTCTCTGTTGCGTACGTGCTTCATGAAACCACTATTCTAATCTAACGCATTGTAGGGTCACCGAACTGGACATCCGCATGCCCACGCCTCCTACGGCTGCAACTCTCGCCCAACAGGCTGCTGATTATGGTTTGTAAGGAAGACGTACCTATTCTATGTTGACGCTATTTAGTCACGGTTGTCAAGGCCTGTCTCGACGTTCCCCAGTGCCTCGGAGTAACTTGTAAGCCTATTTATTGCGCACTTTGAACCCTACTAACTCCTATTAGTCTGGGGTCTCACGTATGTTCAAGCGATGAACAAGATCGCACTGCTAATTGCTTCTTCAGCGACAAGTACTCTTGGGTCCCTGGTGTATTCTCGGGCGAAGGAGCAGCTTGCCTTTATGACGATAGTCTGCAACCCAAGCCTGATTATACGGCCGTTCAAGCCCTACTCTCCGCGACTCCAACGTCGACGCCAACGGACAGCTCTACCGGTAGTTCGACAACGCCTATTAGTACGAGCACCAGCGTCTCTCAAAGTAATTCAATGTCATCAAGCACTTCGAGTAGCCAGGTATCGACAACTCCAATTTCGACAAGTACCCCGATTTCGACGAGCACCCAAGTTTCGACAAGTGTAACCTCTACGAGCACGATCCCAGTCGTCACACTCTCGCCGACTGGCCTCGCTTCATTGGCCAAGCGCAAGAAGAGATATATCGGTACGGCGTACGATAACTGGCATGTGTCGGACCAGAATTACACGAACATTGTCCTTTCGAATGTCAACCAGCTCACTTGCGAAAACTCTATGAAGGTATGTCGGTCGTAGTGCGCATAATTGGTGTTGACCAGTTGGGCAGTGGGAAACCATTGAAGCAACGCGAGGTGTCTTCTCTAGCCCGGATGCCGACAACATTGTTGCGATTGCTCAACGCAACGGCTTGACCATGCGCGGGCACACTCTTGTGTGGCACTCGCAGCTTCCTGCTTGGGTAGCCAATGGCAACTGGACCACGACGACTCTGACAGATGTGATCAAATCTCACATCACTGGTGTGATGACCAAGTACAAGGGCAAAATCCACACCTGGGACGTTGTAAACGAGGTTGTTGGAGTATGTACACCATAACCAGTCTTTCCGATTCTAAATTTCGCCAGGATGACGCCAAAATGCGCCCATCTGTGTTCTACAATACGCTTGGTGAAAGCTTCATCGACCTCGCTTTCAAGACGGCCAAGTCGGTCGATCCCAAGCCCATTTTGGCCATCAACGACTACAACCTGGAATACTCGGACAAGGCCAATGCAATGTACGATCTCGTCAAGCGCCTCAAGGCTCGTCATGTTCCCGTCGAGCAGATTGGTGCCCAAGCGCATTTGGTTGTCGGCTCTCTCCCGACGGGTATCAAAGAGACTTACAAAAAGTTTGCGTCTCTTAAAGTCTCAGTCGCGTATGTGAATTGTATAGAGCCACTATTTCGAGCTAACGTGTCATAGGATCACCGAGTTGGATATCCGTATGCCGACCCCTCCGACGGCTGCAACTCTTGCCCAACAAGCCAAGGATTATGGTCTGTTGAACGACATGATTTGACAAATACTAACCTATTTCCAGTCACCATGGTCAAGGCCTGCCTCGAAATCCCTGAATGCCTCGGCATCACCTGTGAGTATTTCATTAGCCAGTGCACAGCAAAGATGCTGACTCTTTGCCAGTCTGGGGTCTTAGGTATGCGCAACGGAGGAGAGTCAGCACGTTGCTAATTCATTCTACAGCGACAAATACTCGTGGGTGCCGGGTGTCTTCTCTGGCGAGGGAGCAGCGTGCTTGTATGACGAAGACCTGCAGCCCAAGCCAGACTATACTGCTGTGCGAGCCGCATTGTCGGCGTAGGGTGACCAAGTGTGTCTGTCTCCCTGCTCACTGTTTCCCGGTATACCACGCCTGGGACACTCAAAATACGCCTGTACACTCTTTATTCATCCCAATACATGACATTCTTTTTGCCTCGATAATGGTTCTCGCCATCCATTAGTTGATTCGCTCTTTGACCACAGACCACGATCCGGTCTTAGCGGCTCGCTCTCGAAAACGGCGCGCGGATGACGCTCCATGTGCCGCTCGTCGTCAAAGATGAACAAGATTCGATGTCTGGATTGTCCTCGACACCATCAAAGCACGCTCGCTCAAAGCTGAGACAACCAAAGGATCATGCGCTCCAGCTCGAACGGGCTGCTCGCACCATCGCCAAAGCTCGTCGCGTCGTTGTTGTTTGTGGTAAGTCGTCTGTACTTGTCTCTTTTGTGTTCTCGTCTCAAACGATGCTCTCGCGGCGACGGGGCGTTGCTGGCGGGCAGACGAGGCGTGTGACGGCTCGCATCGATACCCCGATCTAACGCCCGCGCTCTCGCTCTAGTTTTGATGATTTTTGCTGACTGGCTGTCGGATAATCAGGTGCCGGCATCTCCGTACAGGCGGGCATTCCCGATTTCCGTTCGTCGACTGGGCTCTTTCAGCAGCTCAAGGAGGAGAACCCAAAGGCACTGTCGAGTGGACGTGAGCTATTCGACGCTCAACATGTCTTTCATTCCGAGTCGACAGCATCCGTGTTTTACAAAATGGTCGCTCGACTCGCGATCATGGCAGACGAAGCACACCCAACGCCCTTTCATCGGCTTCTCAAGGGTCTGGACGACCGCGGTCAATTACTAAGGTGCTACACACAAAATATCGATGGTATCGAGGAACGTGCAGGCTTGAGCTTTGGATTACCACCCCCACGGGTGAGAATGTCGCCCAAGAAACGAAGAAGTAAAAAGGACGACGAGGACGCGGGCGCGACATCTTCGGAACGAGCGAGCGTCCCGGTGCAGGGCGAGAATGACGAGACCAAACCTGAGAGCGCGACTTCATCGAAACCGCCATCCACCTCGTCGAAATCAGCATCCAAACCGGCATTCACTTCGTCTTCACGTACCCCACCACTTGTCGACATGACCCCTCGGTGTATCCCGCTTCATGGCACCCTCAAGACGCTGCATTGTGCCTCATGTGGCAATACGTCGCCTCTACGCGAACACGTGTCGCGCTTTTCGACCGGCACGGCGCCGTCGTGCTCGCAGTGTAGCGAGTTGGATCATACACGCCATTTGGTTGGTAAACGACTGCGAGGTGTAGGCGTGATGCGGCCTTCTATTGTACTCTACAATGAAGACCACCGGGAAGGGGAGAAAGTCGGGGATGTGGTGAAGATGGATTTGACAGGAGGACGACAGCGTCGGGCGCCGCCTGATCTGTTGATCGTAGCCGGTACAAGTCTCAAAGTACCCGGCACGAAACGCATCGTAAAAGAATTTGCAAAAGCGGCACAGTGCCGTTCGGAGCGCAGAGGAGTGAAGAAGAGTAGTGACTCGGACGAGGAAGAAGAAGAAGAGACCCCGTCGTCATCGTTGTCGTCGTCGGAAGAGGAGAGCGAGGACGAAGAAGAACGACCTATACGGACAATTTACCTAAACCTCGACTTTCCGCAGCCGACAAGAGAATGGGAGACGACGTTTGACATGTGGATTCAAGGAGACGTACAGACTTTTGCCGGCATGGCGCATGCAGCCATGGAGAGCGAAGATGGAGCACGTCGAGAACGTGCTGCGACGCGTATGCGTGTCAAGTCGACAAGAGGAGCGAAAGGATTGAACGATTCTCCAGAAATGTCCGGCGTCGGAACGAGGACTCGCAAGCGCAAGCGGGAGATGGAGGCCGCAGAGGCCGTAGAAGCAGGTAGACATATGCATGCGGATGGGAGTGGAAGCGGGGTAGCCATCAAACCGGGGGAGAAAGGGATTGGAACGACAGGACTCGTTGGGATTGGAAAAGCCAACCGCAAGTATGACCTTGGCGACAGTCACGACAGCAAGAAATACAAGTCGTCCAGACGACCGTCACTTGTCAATTCCATTGGATTGTTCACTTTCGATGAGCCACTCGCCGACAGAGAGTCGTTCTACAATGGCATCCTCATCACTCCACTCGATTTTGGCTCAGGGAGTAGGACACTCTAGCTCAATTAATGGAAACCTGACAATGAAGAAACGGCGGGTAGACGAGTCGTCGTTTGTGGTTGGGGTGGCGGAGGCGTACAATCGGCTACACACCTCGTCGAATGTCTCGACATCGAGCTTTTCATCTTTACGACACGTTTCGACTGGCAGACCGTCGAATGGGACATCCTCGGTTCATCTCTCGAGTCGGACGACATTGGCGGATGCATGGGTTCAGCGAGCGCCGATGATGGTTGATGGGCGGAAGACTGGGCATGGGCATGGACATGATCGAGATGACTGGCGAGGCGCGACTGGTTATGTAGATGATTGGCGGCCGTCGCATGGTCCCACGTCGACATCGTCGGCGGTGGTTCCGCTACCACGACTGCCGCCCATCTCTAGTCTGTTTGCGGTCGCGTCGCCGCAAAAGTATGGTCGAAGTAGCTTTACTATGTACTAATTGTGTATGGATCGAGTGCTTTACGACTAGGTGTATCTGGAAGTGTTCATGGTTGACTGAAAGGTGGCCTAAAGGTGAGAATGTTCACATCTAAGGCCACGTTACTTATAGGATCAATCAAGATTATATTCCGCTCCACATTGCAATCACTGCTTGAACAACAGACAATCCTCTGCGGAGTATCGAGAAACCTCTAGCAAGCCCCCAAAGCGTCCACAGTCGAATTTTCGGTGAGAAAGATCGTACCCGGGATTATATATATGCTCAACCTGCACGTAGCGTATATCCCACGTTCTGAGTATCTCGTCGACTCCCGAGGGATAATCGATGGTCGGCTCTGACCAGACAGGAGACGTATGAAGCACCTTCAGTTCGCAAGGATAAAGGTACCTGTGACACTCGACGCATCCGGGGCTAGAACAGGCTTCAGTATAGAGCCAAACCGTTTACTCCCACTCACATATCTGCATCTAGGAAGATACCCAGGTTACCCTGCATGGAAAGCTCGTAGTTTGACGGTCGAGAGACGACGTGTCCCGCGAGAAGCAAAGCAAGTGAATGCTTAATTCTCTTTGGAATCAGCCTATGAAATATCAAATTCTCGATAGGCTTGACCCCCTGTGTCTGCGTGAGTAGCCGCTTCTCCAGCAAAATAAAGAGGATATCCCATTCGGGACAGGTTTGCAAAATGAGCGTCTCGAGTAAAGGAAGCTCGTTGGGATGCATCGCTAGATAGTGAATCATGTCTGTAACGAGGGGTTGGCGCGACAGTGATAGTTGCCTCAATGCATCGAGACCATATACCATGACAGAATTCATGTGCAAACTCAGACTCCGTAAAGAAGGCCAATCACGTCCGGTGATTTCGATGATCGGCGAAGACTCCATCATTAGAGGTCCGTAATCCAGTTTACTTGTACTTGTACTTCCCAATGAATTAAGAGCATCGATAGATCCTGCAATCCAAACCATCTCCAATTTCGGGCAGGCCAATATATGCCTAGTAGTGTTTGGTTCAAAAGTAGACTCGCAACCGTCTAGTTGAAGTTTTCGCAAATCTTTGAGCTTATCGATCTCGGCAAAGTCGAGTTTGTTTGCACGACACCTGGTTAGCGATAGAGATTCTAGTCGTGGAGACATACGAAGGAGTAAAGGCAGGATATCGCCCGTGATTTCGACATTCGATATATCTGAAGTTAGACTCAAGTTTATTGTCCGGATCCTGGTTTTGTAGTTATCATGACCACTAGATATGGCCGACGTCTCCAGTGCCGTATGCCCGTATAAGTCTATGCTAAGGTCCTCAAGGAAAATAAGCCTCGATAGTATCTCGACCAGTTCTGGCGTTGCTGTCTTATCAATGTTCATAAGTGTCAACGAGACAAGCGCTGTACAACGACCAAGTATCCCTCGAACCCCCTTCCAGGGAAAGTTGCTAATGAAGAGCTTCTCCCAGCCCAAGAGGTGTCGTCTCTCTTCAATGATGATTGACGAATCCCCCGACGCTTCATACGGTCCGAAGATACCAACATCCTGGAGCGTCATAATGTCTTCGAGACGCTGAACAGCCGCCATAGATAGCATATTTGAATGAAAAGAGACTAGGGATTCCTCTCTGACCTTCAAATTGATATAGAAACAGTCGCCTTCTATCACATAATTGTAGGGGGACCATGCCTTGTGATGCAAAAACCATAGAAGGATGCTCTCGGGAGGTATATAGTGTGTGGTAATCTCCCGTAGAGATGGAAATACGGTATGGGGGAAGAATGGGTCCGTTGTAAGGTTGCGTGCAGGATTATGGTACTGCCATAGAAGTTGTAAATGCGCGACACGATGAATATGAGGCTGAATTAGATGAGCAACCTTACGGATAATATCAGATTCCGCACAATAAGTCAGATCCAGTGAGCAATCTCCCGAGAGCTCGAGTATAACGGCCGTCATTGCCTCGAGGTCTTCTGTATTCTCTTCCAAGGAGATACGAGACCAGAAGGATTGCGTCTGGAGAATCAATTGCGCCCATCTATGATTGACCAAGGTAAGGACCAGTAGCTCTCGATGGTATCCACGGTATCCGACCCAAGCTGCCTTCTGGATGATGGCGATCAAGATTTCGTTTGGAAGACGTTCTATGCTTCTTCTTGGATCTTTATCACGAACACGGGCCAATGACTCGACGCCTAGATTATAATCTCTAAGGATGTCCGTGTCGACGCTGCTTGTATCTCCAGAGTAGTTGTAGAAACGGGCGATATGGCTTCTCGTGAAAAGTATCTGATCTCCGGTGAACTGTTCAGGGTGCTGCATAATGAGGCTTGTGATGGTGGGGTCAAAGGTTTGATGAACTCAAGTTGGACACACATTCTGTAATATGAGAGGATTCCGTGGATTCATGTTGACCGCTCCTCAAATTCTGCATCCGCAAGGGCGTAGTAAGGCAATCTCATTGTTATATCGTAAATCCGGAACGGCCGAGTGCTCGTGCCATAAATGATAACGAATACTTCAGTCTAATGGTGGTAGGTAGCCACGAATTAGTACGCAGTTTGTTACTCCGGGTCATGATGCAGAGGTCTCGACATTGACTCGGGTTGAATCCACGAATCAATGATAGTACATTCTACATCACCCGCAGTCACATGTGCCACCAATGGTCTCCTTTGACGTGTTCACAAGAGGCCCAATAAGAGAGTTCACATCTTCCATGCTGCTTATAGCGATCAAACGGCATACCAAAGTAATTAATTTGGTAGAATTACACTATTGAATAACGGGAAACCTCTACGGAGCCGCGAAAGCGTTTACACTGTGCTTCTCGAGGAAGATCCATGGGAAAAAGAGGATGATGTATACTCCTCATTTGCCCATAGCGCATAGCTTGTGTTCTGAGTATCTCGTCGACACTCTCCGGGTATTCGTAAGAGGCTCTGGACAGATAGGATATGTACGAGGTACCGCCAAGTCGCAGGGATACAGGTAGAGGTGGCACTCGATACACCCTGGGCTAACGTAGTCTTTAGTACACTGTCGGTAATCTCTTGATGCCACTCACATATTGGTGTCCAAGAAGATATCCAGGTTTCCTTGCATTGAAAGCTCGTAGTTTGACGGTCGCGGGAGGATGTGTCCTGCGAGAAGTGATGCAAGCGAATTTTTATCGTCGCCGGGATTGCCCTATCAAATATTAAACTCTCAAGAGGCTTGATTCCATATTTTTGTGAGAATAGCCGCTTCTCCAGCATAATAAATAGGATATCCCATTCAGGACAGGCGCGCAGGCCGAGTGTATCCAGCAAAGGAAGCTCGCTGGGATGCATTGCTAGATAGAGAATCATGGTTGTGACTAAGGATTGGCTCCACAGTGATAGTTGTCTCAATGAATCGAGTCCACACAGCGTGGGAGTAGAATCCATAGACAACCTCAGACTCCGTAGAGAAGGCCAATCTCGTCCGGTGATTTCAATGATCGGTGAAGACTCCAGCGTTATATGTCCATAGTCCAGTTCACTTGCACTTGAACTTGCCAGTATATTCAGAGCGCCGATGGATCCTGAAATCCGCACCGTCTCCAATTTCGGGCAGGCCAGCATATGCCTGGTAGTGCTTGGTTCGAGAATAGACCCACAATTGAATAGGTACATTTTTCGCAACTCCTTGAGCTTGTCGATTTCAATGAAGTCGAGCTTGTTCACACGATACCCCGACAGCGACAGCGATTCTAGCCGTGGAGACATACGAAGGAGTAAAGGCAAGATATCGCTCGTGATTTCCATATTCGATATATCTGGACTCAGAGTCAAGTGTATTGACCGGATCCTTGTGTTGTAACCATCGTGATTACTAGATATGGCCGACGTCTCCAGTGCTGTATGCCCGTATAAGTGAATGCTAATGTGCTCGAGGGAAACAAGCCGTGGTATTATTCGGGCTAATTCCAGCGCTGCTGTCTCATCGATACCCATAAGTGACAACGAGACAAGCGACGTACAGCGATCAAGTATCCCTTGGATCCTCTTCCAGGGAAAGGCGCTAATGAACAGCCTCTTCCAGCCCAATATTTTTCGTCTCTCTTTGACGGCGGTTGACAAATCTTCCAATGATCCGAAGATACTAACACTTTCGAGCGTCGGAATGTCTTCAAGGCGCTGAATAGTCGCCAGAGATATCACAGTTGACTGAAAAGAGACCAAATCTTCCTCTCTGGCTTTCAATTCGACAGAGAAACTGTCGCCTTCTATCAGATGTTTGTAAGGGGCCAAAACCTCGTGATGTGAGAGACATGTGACAATGCTCTTGGGAGGTATATAGTGCGTGGAAATACTTCGCAAGGATGGAAATACAGTATGAGGGAAGAATGGGTCTGTACCGTGGTCGCCTTGGCCATAATGCTGTAGAACCTCCAAATGCGTGACACGGTGAATTTGAGGCCGAATTAGGTGAGCAACCTTACGGATAACATCAGATTCCGCATAGTAAGTCAGCTCAAGGGGAGAATCTCCCGAGAGCTCGAGTATAACGGCCGTCACTGCCTCAAGGTCCTCGCTATTCTCTGTCAAGTCGACCCGATTCCAGAGGTATTGTGTTTGAAGTATCAATCTCGTCCATCTACGATTGATCAAGGTAAGAACCAGCAGGTCATGATGGTATCTAGTGGATCCGACCCAAGCTACTTTCTCGATGATAGCTATCAAGAGTTCGTTTGGAAGACGCTCTATACTCCTTTTTGGGTCTTTATCACGAGCATCAGCCAATGACTCGACGCCTAGATTATAATCTCTGAGGATGTCCGCGTCGACGCTGCTTGTATCTCCAGAGTAGTTGTAGGAACGGGCGATATGGCTTCTCATGAGAAGAATCTGATCGCTAGAGCGCTCTTCAGGGTGCTGCATACTAAAAGGCATATGGTGGCGCGGGCCAAGTTTATCATGTTGACATTCCACTAGGCCGTGAGGCCGAAGTAGAGTTTCCCCTATCGAACCAGTAATTGAAGCGGTTCAAGAGTCGTGTTCATGTCTTTACATCTTTTCATCTGAAGTTCATATGGCCTGTACCGCAACCTAAGCTGGACCGTATTTTTTTAGTACAAAATATTCTCTAGCCACTTAGTCTGCTTCCTATCCAAAACGGGTATAATCACTGCACCGGTCGATCATATTATCCCATGGAATATCGAGAGACTTCAACCAGCCAGGGTGTCCCTCCGCATGCCGAATGTCTGTAGGACCTCCCCCGAAAGCGAGAGGGAAAATATATATCTTCCAGTTGGATATACCGCGCAGCTTGCGTTCTCAGTATCTCGTCGGCACTTGCTGGGTAAATGCTGGTCGGGCGTGACTTTATTGTGGGCATAGTGTTCACAGGGCGATTGCAAGGGCGAAGGTAAAGATGACACTGGGTACATCCAGGACTGTCACGGGTCTTTAGTATTTCATTGCAAACAATCAAAATTACTCACAGGTCTGCATCCAAAAAGGCGTCTAGATTCCCTAGCATGGATAGCTCGTAATTTGATGGTCGTGAGACGATATGTCCGGCTAGAAGCCGAGCAAGAGGCTGCTTGATTGTAGGTGGTGGATCTCGGTTAAATGTTATCCTTTCGATTGACTTGACGTTGCTCGTCTGTACAAGAAGCCTCTTCTCGAGCATGATAAAGAGAATGTCCCATTCGGGACAGGTATATAGCTCGAGTGTGTCGAGTAAAGGAAGCTCGGTGGGATGTATCGCCAGGTAGTGGATCGTTGCTGTGGCTATGGATCGGCTCGATAATGTCAGTCGCTCCAACGAATTTACCAAGCCGATATCATAAACTTTTGTGGTGGCACCGGTCCCCAGACTGAAAACGCTGAGCGAGGGCCACTCCTGTTCACTGACTTTAATAGCCTCCGGTATATTCTCGGTCGTAGAGGGCATAAGTTCGCAGTAAAGCTCACTTGCAGTCGTGCTTCCAAGTGATTCAAAGATGTCTATAGACCCACGGAGTTCCACAATCTCCAAATTAGGCGAGGCCAGTATATGCCTGGTCTCGTTTGATGCGAGTTCATATTCGCACCCATTGAAGACAAGTTTTTGCAACCTCTTGAGCTTGTCAATCTCTGTAAGGGTAAGCTTACTTAGACGAGTATTAGAGAGCCTCAGTGACTCCAGGTGTTGGGACATGCGAAGTAGGGGAAGTAGGATATCGGTAGTGATGTCCATTCTTGAGGTATGCGAGTCCAGAACGAGTCCTATTGTCCGAATCCTTGTTTCCTCCTTGGTATCCTCATTAGATATGACGAGCGTGTGTGGCGACGTGTCCCAGACTAATTCGATGACAATGTGCTCGAGGACGGCAAGCCGGGGGATCAGCTTGACCAATGCTGGTGTCTCTCTCCAATCAATCGTCAATGTCAACGAAACGAGACACGTACAGCGACTAAGGAGCTGACAGGTCACTCGCCACGGAACCTGACGAATCTCGAGCTCTTGCCAGCCCAAGGAGTGTCGCCTCGCCTCAAGCTCGGTCACCCAATCTCCCGACGCGCTATGAAATCGATGCATGAAAACATGCTTGAGAGGTGTGATATCCACAATCTGGTTAACAGTCACCATCGTCGACACGGGCAAACCAATCGAGAGAAGTTGGTTCCCTTTGACTGCCAAGTTGAATCGGAAACTGGTGTCAGGTACCAGATTCGTGAAAGCTGCGAAGGCTTCGTGCTGCGAAAGAAGTGCGATGACGCTCTCGGAAGGCACGCCCGCTGTACTGATTTCCGTAATGAGGGAAATATGGTTCGGGGGAAGAATGGGTCCGTATCAAGAGTGCTTTCGCTATAATACTGTATGAGACGCAAATGCGCGACTCGGTGGAGATGAGGTTGAAGTAGATAGGCAACCTTGTGGATGATATCAGATTTTACCTGGTAAGCCAATTCAAGCGAACAATCTCCCGAGAGCTCAAGGGCAACGGCTGTCATCGCCTCGAGATCCTCTAGATTGTCCCTCAAGGTGATCCGGGTCCAGAGAGATTGCGTTTTGAGAATCAGATTTGCCCATTTACGGTTTACCAGGGTAAGGTCAAGTAACTTTTGATAGAGTCTACTGGACTCCAACCAACCGACGACTACATGCTGGATGATTGCAATCAGGAGTTCGTTTGGAAGACACTCTAGACTCCTTCTTGGATCTTTATCACGAGCATCAGCCAATAACCCGATGCTTAAATTATAGTCTCTGAGTATCTCCGCGTCGACGTCGCTCGTATCTCCAGAGTAGTTATAGAAGGAGCGATATGACTTCATGAGAAACATCTGACCATCGGCGCTCTGTTCAGGACGCTGCATAGCGAGGTTTATGGTGGTCAGGTCAAAGGTTTTATGACTCAAAGTTGCCCATTCCGTGATATTAGAGGACTCCGTGAATTCACGTTGATCACTCTTCGAATTCTGCATCCGCAAGGGCGTAGGCGAGCCCGGCACTCTCACCGTCATGTCTTATACTCGGGACGGCCGAATGCTCATTGTCAATGAAAGCGAACACATTTTTTCAATGGTAATAGGTTGGCACGCAGTTTGCCTGCATTCCATATTACTAGACTCATATTTGCCACCAATGGTTTCTTTGACATGTCGAGGAGAAGATCAATGAGAGTTCACATCTCCCGTGCTGCTTACAAATAACGATCAAACTGCATACCAAAATAGTCACTTTGGTGGCATCACACTACTGAATAGCGAGAAACCTCTACGGAGCCGCGAAAGCGTTCACACTGTGCTTCTCGAGGGAGATCCATGGGAAAAAGAGGATAATGTATACTCCTCATTTGCCCATAGCGTATAGCTTGTGTTCTAAGTATCTCGTCGACACTCTCCGGGTATTCCGTAAGAGGCTCTGGACAGATAGGATATGTACGAGGTACCGCCAAGTCGCAGGGATACAGGTAGAGGTGGCACTCGATACACCCTGGGCTAACGTAGTCTTTAGTACACTGTCGGTAATCTCTTGATGCCACTTACATATTGGTGTCCAAGAAGATATCCAGGTTTCCTTGCATTGAAAGCTCGTAGTTTGACGGTCGCGGGAGGATGTGTCCTGCGAGAAGTGATGCAAGCGAATTTTTGATCGTCGCCAGGATCGCCCTATCAAATATTAAATTCTCAAGAGGCTTGATTCCATATGTTTGCGTGAGTAGCCGCTTCTCCAGCATAATGAATAGAATATCCCATTCAGGACAGGCGTACAGGCCGAGTGTATCCAGCAAAGGAAGCTCGCTGGGATGCATCGCTAGGTAGAGAATCATAGTTGAGACTAAGGATTGGCTCCACAGTGATAGTTGTCTCAATGAATCGAGTCCACACAGCGTGGGAGTAGAATCCATAGACAACCTCAGACTCCGTAGAGAAGGCCAATCTCGTCCGGTGATTTCAATGATCGGTGAAGACTCCAGCGTTATATGTCCATAGTCCAGTTCACTTGTACTTGAACTTGCCAGTATATTCAGACTGGCGATGGATCCTGAAATCCGCACCGTCTCCAATTTCGGGCAGACCAGCATATGCCTGGTAGTGTTTGGTTCGAAAATAGACCCACAATCGAATAGGTGCATTTTTCGCAACTCCTTGAGCTTGTCGATTTCAATGAAGTCGAGCTTGTTCACACGATACCTCGATAGCGACAGCGATTCTAGCCGTGGAGACATACGAAGGAGTAACGGCAGGATATCGCTCGTGATCGTCATATTCGGTATACCTGGACTCATACTCAAGTATATTATCCGGATCCTTGTGTTGTAGACATCGTGGTTACTAGATATGGCCGACGTCTCCAGTGCTGTATGTCCGTATAAGCCAATGATAATGTACTCGAGGGAAACAAGCCGTGGTATTATTCGGGCTAATTCCAGCGCTGCTGTCTCATCGATACCCATAAGTGAAAACGAGACAAGCGACGTACAGCGATAAAGTATCCCCTGGATCCTCTTCCAGGGAAACCCGCTAATGAATAGACTCTTCCAGGCCAAGTGGTGTCGTCTCTCTTTGATGGCGGTTGACGAATCTTCCAATAATCCGAAAATACTTACACTTTCGAGCGTCGGAATGTCTTCAAGCCGACGAATAGTCGCCAGAGATGTCACAGTTGACTGAAAAGAGACCAAATATTCCTCCCTGGCTTTCAATTCGACAGAGAAACTGCCGCCTTCTATCAGATGTTTGTAAGGGGCCAAAACCTCGTGATGTGAGAGACATGTGACAATGCTCTTGGGAGGTATATAGTCCGTGGAAATACTTCGCAAGGATGGAAATACAGTATGAGGGAAGAATGGATCAGTACCGTGGTCGCCTTGGCCATAATGCTGTAGAACCTCCAAATGCGTGACACGGTGAATTTGAGGCCGAATTAGATGAGCAACCTTACGGATAACATCAGATTCCGCATAGTAAGTCAGCTCAAGGGGAGAATCTCCCGAGAGCTCGAGTATAACGGCCGTCACTGCCTCAAGGTCCTCGCTATTCTCTGTCAAGTCGACCCGATTCCAGAGGTATTGTGTTTGAAGTATCAATCTCGTCCATCTACGATTGATCAAGGTAAGAACCAGCAGGTCATGATGGTATCTAGTGGATCCGACCCAAGCTACTTTCTCGATGATAGCTATCAAGAGTTCGTTTGGAAGACGCTCTATACTCCTTTTTGGGTCTTTATCACGAGCATCAGCCAATGACTCGACGCCTAGATTATAATCTCTGAGGATGCTCGCGTCGACGCTGCTTATATCTCCAGAGTAGTTGTAGGAACGGGCGATATGGCTTCTCATGAGAAACATCTGATCGCTAGAGCGCTCTTCAGGGTGCTGCATACTAAAAGGCATGTGGTGGCGCGGGCCAAGTTTATCATGTTGACATTCCACTAGGCCGTGAGGCCGAAGTAGAGTTTCCCCTATCGAACCAGTAATTGAAGCAGTTCAAGAGTCGTGTTCATGTCTTTACATCTTTTCATCTGAAGTTCATATGGCCTGTACCGCAACCTAAGCTGGACTGTATTTTTCTAGTACAAACTATTCTCTAGCCGCTTAGTCTGCTTCCTGTCCAAAACGGGTATAATCACTGCACCCGTCGATCATATTATCCCATGGAATATCGAGAGACTTCAGCCGGTCGTGAGACGATATGTCCCGCTAGAAGCCGAGCAAGAGGCTGCTTGATTTTAGGTGGTGGATCTCGGTTAAATGTTATCCTTTCGATTGACTTGACGTTGCTCGTCTGTACAAGAAGCCTCTTCTCGAGCATGATAAAGAGAATGTCCCATTCGGGGCAGTCTCGCAGCTCGAGTGTGTCAAGCAGAGGGAGTTCACCAGAATTTACCGCGAGATGATGGATCATCGTGACCACCAATGATCGGCCCATCAATTCCAAACAGCACAGCAACCTGGTCGAGATGACTTGGTCGATCTTTGTGGTCATAGGCATGGAGAGCGTCAACAAACTTGCAATCTGTAGGGATGGCCAATGTTCTTCGCACACCTCTATGGTCTCTGGTGGAGAGTCTGTCCCATGATAAGGACGTCCGTAGACCAGCGGCTTGCAAGTCAGACTACCAAGGGAGGTGAGAACATTGTGACAACCTTTAATGTCCACTACATCCAAACCCGGCGAGAGGAGTATATGCCTCTTGTCGTTTGGATTGAGTATGAAATCGCACGCACTCAATGTCAGTTCTCTCAAGTTTTCGAGTTTGTCAAAATCTGTAAAGTCACGCTGCGCGCCCTTGTATTCTTCCATTCGAAATGACTCGAGTCGATGAGCCATACGGAGGGGATATAGGACGGTGTCTGCCATTGAGCTAAAGGAGCTCAAGATGACATCTATTGACCTGACCCCAGTTCGGTCGCTCTTGCCAATCTTGGGGGCAGCCGGATGTACTCGTCGACTTTGCCAAGGCACAGCGCATTTGATGGAAATATGGTCAAGATATTCCAGACGTGGAATCATTTTTAGCAGTTCCGGCGTATCTTCCCACTTGGTTGCTACCGTCAGTGAAACGAGCAGCGTCTGTGGGTCGATGTGAGTTGTATCCCCAGAGTAGTCGTAGGAACGAGCAATCTGGCGTGTAAGAAGGAGAGAGCTTTGCATGACGATTGATGGTAACGGTTGAAGTTGTTCGGGTGGCTCAGATAGATTAATCAAGGCTTGATTTGATGCTAGTGTGGGTTGTTGAGTTCGGAGGTAATAGTCGCGGTCTGGAATCGCATTGAATGGGCGCGGGGGCCGTGGCATGTGAATGGGGTGGTGGCTTATGTAATCTGATATTTGCAAATCCAAAATGAATGGGAATAGAGTAGTTGAAATCCGTTTACGAGTCCCGAGCCCGACCTTGTCCGATTTTGCAATGCGGGTTCCGAGACAACATATAGGCAACTGGGGATCAGAAAGTCGATTGCAACTTTGCCATTATGCATCCCTCGTCGCCCTGCCTCCTTGTCCCCGCGACGTCCTCTCAACCCGTGGAGAGCTACCGTCCATCGACAGACACGGCATTTGGACGTCTTTTACTCTCAAAATTTAACAACAATCAAGGCGCCGCACTCGAATCGCCAGCAGCGCACCAGTTGCACTCGATTCCACCGCGGACAAAGACAACTTCAGGTCTGGTAGTCGACCACTTGTTATGGCTACATGCACAAGCCCGTGTTGCTTCTGCCCGCGCGGCCATTGAAAAGGATGGCCCCCGCAAACGCGCTCAGGCGGCGCGTGCGGGTGGGTTGCACAAGGTCATCCACGCCCTCACAAATACTTCGACCGAAAAGGGAGACAAGTTTAGACTCGCATTTGGTACTCTTGTCGAACATCTCTTTGAGCCTCCGTCGACTGTGACAAAGCCAAAACGACCCAGAACAAAAGTCAACAAACGGTCCATTGTTCCCGACGAAATCTGTGCACTCTCAGCTACAACTTCTCCCTCGTCCCAAAAGACTTTTGGACTCGGTCCATCGTGGGCACAACCATTGGGCATCGTCGGTACGTCTCTGCTTTCAACTCGAAAGGATAATACTCATAGCTTCCACAGGTGCACCATATCACAATACTCCCTCGTCTCCCTTTGACGCTGGATGCCCTCAGCAAGATCGCTGTATCCGCCACTTTACTACAGGATGCACCCTCTGTAGTCCCTTTTCACCCTCTTCGTCGACCATTGGTGCTGGTTTGGACACACTCGACACATCTGCACCCCTATATGCCCTCCGACGACGGTCAGAGGAGTATGGTGCAGACCAAGCGTCTTCTTCCCCCAGTCTCGAGGCCCTCGCCTACTTTCTCCGCCTTTCCGCGTATATCCTCCTCTCCATGGACGACGAATCTACCGATTTGAACATGGAGACTGTTTCTGCGTCGACATCAACAGACTCGCTGAACAGCACCCTCGAGAGTGGCACACCCCATGGCAGCAGTACCGATATCAGTATCAACGCCGACATGGATGTAGACGAGCAGGCAGAGAGGTCGTACCCTCTCCGCCCCGTTGATGTTCATCAGCGTCTCCGACGGTCGTTTGGGTTCCAATTTTCGTTTGCTAGGGACAAGCAAGAGTCTACACACTCGCAATCCACGACGGAATCGACCAGGTGCAAGCCCACACGCGAGTGGTACACCCTCCTCGCCGACCTCGTCACTCGCTCTGTGCTTGAAGGATACCTCGTCTGTCGGTGGAAGGGAATCGAACACGCTCGTGTCATCTTTGGACTTGGATCGCGAGTTCCCCCATCCCCCAACGCAGACAAGGACACCAAACGCCGTTCCATCTTTTCGCGCCGTTCAAAGGTCGATTCGGTCCCAGACGCTTCCCAACCCGAACACGACGAGGATGGTCTCCCCTCCCTCACAGAAGCTGCCGAGCTCTTCTTTGGCGTTGGTGCAGACACTGGTGCCCTTGCGACATATAGAGAGATGATGAATCGACGACTTGAAGAGGTACGTTCTGGCTATATATATATATATATACACAAGAAGTGTTTATTCACCTGCATACAGTTTACGACGCTGCCCTCCAAGTCTCCGCTTGTCAAGCACCTCGAATCTCTTGCGCGCAAGTATGGCTTTATGGAAAACGCGGAAAAGTGCGTCGACAAGGGAGTTGTCGAATTTTGCGAAGCCGTCGTTCAGTGGAAAGGTCTTCCCGAGCTCGAACAGGTGAGCCCTCCTCTTCATTTTTTCCATTTCATATCGATTCCTCCGAACTCGTCCCGTCCGATTTTTGATAATCGCTATCCCGCGCACCCGAACACTTGTTGCGTTCCCGGGCACCCGTTTGGCTCTCGGGTCAAACCGCCTCGGTCGGTTACGTGTCCCACCCGCTACCGGCTAGGTGGACCATATGCCAGTTTCGGAAGCAAAAGTCGAATTAGACTCGTGTTTCCCCGTTTGCGACGGCACCGGCTTCTGCTTCCGAACAGGTCTCTTGCTCTAAATTGCACTCCTTCCGTTCCCCTCCTAATCCTTCTCTTCCACGTGTTTGATGAATTGTTGTGCTGATTGGATGCCAAATAGTACAAGCAAGCACGTACTGCTCCCGCTTCTGGCCCCACCACGGCCGCAAACACGGCTGCAACCCGATCAAGTCCGCGCATGTCCATTGCAGCCCTCATCCACCACACCTCTCCTCTTCCTTGCCCTCAACCCGAACCCATCACTCGCTTCTTTTTCGTTCCCCAGGTTGACAAAAAGGGAACGAGACGACCCGCGGAACTGCACCCTATCACACCTTCTCTCTCGCCTGCGAGCGCGGTACGGGATATCCCCGTCGTCATCCGTGCGTCGACGTCGAGCCTTGATGGTCATGGCGTCGGTGGCGGTATCCGGTTCGAACGAGAGGAATTGTCTGCTGTGTATGGGGCCACTACCGCCTTTGGGGCAAAGGCCATGGATAATACATTTGTCCTCGGATCCAAGCGTCCGCGTGAGGACGAGGATGAGGACCAAGGCATGCCGCTCAAGAAGCTCCTTGTTGTTAGTACAGGTGGCTTTAGTTCGTGATTCTCATCGTCCGTTTCTTCTATGCATCATCTTTCTTCTTCGCATTTGCATCGCTTCTGCATTACATAACTTGTTGTACTTACCACCCGTGTGGGTCTATCCAAATACAAGCATACAGTGAATCGATCAAAAGTTCAGTTAAGAGGAAGCACCCATTCTTGTGAACATTGGCCAGCAGTCCAAAGCTTGGACTCGGCCGTCACCACGATTCAATGCAAGGTCTCATAGAGCGCTCTAACGAACAAAGTGTGCTTCTTACAAGCCGGATTGCTCGCTCCTATGACTACTCTGGAAATACAAGTCACATCGACCCAGAGATGCTGAGAGAATATAATGCATCTATACGTTCCAATGAACAAAAAAGAAAAGGGTATCTGGGAAATATCCCAAATGAACTCTTGATCGCCATCATCCAGGAAGCAGCCGTCGAGTGGGCCGGGACCATTGGACATCTCAAACGTCTACTCGTCTTTAGCCTGGTCAATCGTCGATGGGCAAACTTGATTCTCCAAACACAATCCCTCTGGACGCATATCATTTTGACAGAGAATATAGAGGACCTCGAGGCGACAACAGCCCTTCTTCTCGCGCTCTCAGGCGATTCACAATTGCACTTAGAGTATCAGCTGGGGTCTCATCTCGTGCACAAAGTTGCTCACCTCCTTCAGCCTCACCTTCACCGAGTTACGTATTTACACCTTATGCACGGCGAAATTAGGGATGGTCGGGATCCATTTCTTCCGCATACCATTTTCCCTTCGGTACGACAAATCAAGGCATTCCAGCTCGCCACCCCCGATAGGATCTCTTTTCTTTCACGGCAGGAAGCTTTTGCGCCTTACATAAATTTGGTGATCAATGCCGGTTTTGGATTTGATTTGAAGACTAGAGACAAAGGTCTTGTTTCGATAACTCTACCCTTTTCGTCAGCACCTATCATTGACAATCTCGTGGATATCCCAGCACTCCAGGAAGTCTGGCTGACCCGGGTCTATCTCCCACCCGGAGACTGGTCTCCTACTATCAAGTGCCCCTTGAACTGGAAGACCCTCCAGATTGGTCAGATGCCTTGGGGAATCATGCAGAAGCTGCTTAGTAGCTGCGTGTCTCTCGTTTCCCTGACTGTGACGATTGATTGGGAAGGAGCACAAGCTTTGATTAGTATGATCCCACGTATGATATACCTAGAGTATATTGCCATCCAAATCGGATTGTCGAGGTTTTCATCTCTAGAAACGATAGCCATATCTAGTGGTGAAAAGGATACCGAGACCAAGATCAGGTCGATAAAGCTCTATCTCTTTTCGCTCGTCTTTCGAGTGGAACCCCCGACTCGTTTCCTACACTCGCTATTTCGCATGTCTCCGAGGCTCGAGTCATTGGGGATCTATGAATATCATGGAAAGATTCTTGACTTTACCGAAATCGACAGACTCGAGGATTTGCGCAACCTCTCCTTGAAGAAGTGTCGATTTATTCTGGATTCGAACGTGGCTAGGCATATATTGGCCTCGCCATCGCTAGAGGTGGTTAATATTGAGGGCTCAATTGATATTCTCAATTCTCTGGGAAGTCGGACTGCAATTCGACTCCACTACGGACACGAAATTGACGAGCTTAAGCCTCGAATGGAGACGATTACGATCCGCCAACAAGATTGGCCTTCCCTACAGAAGTTAATGATGTGGACAAATGCCGGCCCAAAGATCCAGCATGTTATATCAATGACATCGTTGAGACAACTGGTATTGTCGGAGCGGGCAATGGTCACAACCGTAATCCACTATCTTGCCTTGCATCCCGTCGAACTCCCTTTACTTGATAATCTCGAACTGAGGGATTGCCCTGAGTGGGATATCCTATTTATCATGTTGGAAAAGCGACTTCTGGCACAAGAAAGTGGGGTCAAACCGATCCAAACACTACTATTCCAGAGAGTCATACCAATCAACCTCAAGCGCGCTCTCGCTCAGCTTCTGGCAGGCCACCTCGTCTCGCGACCGCCCAATCTCGAGTTGTCAATGCACGGAAACCTGCAGATCTTCTTGGACCCCGATATGTGAGTGATACAGAATCTTTGATGTAGGGTACTAAGGTCTTGTTCCAGCCGTGGATGCCTCGAATGTCATTTATATCTTTATCCATGCAACACACCGGCAGAGAAAGGGATGTCTACAAACTCGCTACAACCGGACGCGGGTTATCCAACAAGCGTTGACGAAATACTTGGAACACAAGCTATGAGATATAGCCAAATGGAAGGAATATATAATTCCAGAATCCAAGGTGGGTGGTGCCGTCGAATAGCAAAGTGCAATCAGTTCTGGGAGTTGACTGAGGTGTCCCGCTACTCCGTAGACGAATGGAGATAGCTATAAATATCTCTTAACACATGTGCATATCAGCTGTTAGACCATATGCGAGGATTTAGCAGATTAATGAAGTCGCGCGCAACTTGAACTCGTCCATCTCCAACTTTCCACGTCTACGCCGGGTTTGAGAAAACCTCACTTCTAGGATGCATCGGGGTTTATTTTATAAACCGGATTTCGCGCTGATCAATCGGATTCCTGGCTTGGACGACACTTGCGTTGATAAGATCGCCCAAAATATCCTTGAACAATGCAACCTGGCCGACCAACCCTGCCTCAATTCTTTTGATCGGCGAGGCATTGACCTCCCAGCCGAGCTCTGGGTCATGATATTCGAGCATATCGTCCATCCTCAGCATGTATCGGAAAGTCACCGGTTCCTTCTTGACCTCACACTGGTGTGTCAAAGTTGGGCACATCTCATACTTCATACTCCTTCCTTTTGGGTGGATATTCGGATCGAGGAAGGGATGGAAGATTTGGAGGCGACGGTTGAAATGCTTCTGATCTTATCACGAGACTGTCTGCTTTCGCTCTATCATGTATTCGGCAGTCAATGTGTCCATCAAGTCGCACATCTTCTTCGTCCCCATCTGCATCGAGTTGACAGCCTCACCCTCTTGCCACCCACCGGCCTGGCAACCACAGATGCTCTGATCCCACATCTCATATTTACACAACTTAGAGCACTACAATTTCCCCGTATAGCGACCCAGATCATGGCGAAGTTCTTGTCGAATCATTTTCCCTTCTCGCACTGGGCCGCCATGATTGACGATCCGAATTTGCCCACCAGGATTAACAATCCAGATTTGCCTACCTCCCTAATATCGGATGGGGAACAATTAACTGAAATTGATTTACCCGTAGTAACCGAATCAACGCTTCGTCAACTAGGGCGGATGAACTCACTAAGAAGGGTGTCGATAGGCGAGGGACCCATGTCACCAATTCACTGGAAGTTACATGGAGAAGACGTTACCTTGGGCTGGACAAGCTTGCACTCTTTCGATATCCCGTGGAGTGTCACCAGCCGTTTCGTCCGCGGGTGTACAGAGACGCTGGTCAGCCTTCTCGTTTCAATAGACTGTACAATTACACCAGCCCTCATTTCCACGCTCTCCGCAATCAGCAACCTTCTCTCCCTGGCAGTTGAGCTCAGATGGAACTGCGACACCAAGCAGATACTCAACGAGTACCCCAGTCTGCCGACTGCTCAGTTAAATCTCCGTGAGCTAGATATAGGTCGATCGGTATGCTGCCCGAAATCCGGACACTGGCACCTATGTTCGATCTCTCCTTCACCTTTCCGTCAAGCTCTCCTCGTACAAGGTAAAATGCCCGTGCTACAGAATACTTGAGTACTCCAAAACTGATCACCTGCCGGTTTTACGCAAACTCACGTTGCTACAAAGGGAGCTTCTACATTGGGTCAGTAAAGAACGCATTATATGCTCTCCATTCTTAGAAGAAATCGCTTTGGATGGGTGCATGGATACACTCCGCTCGCTTGGCAGTGAGAGAGCACTCACGCTGAGATTTGGTCTCGTTATGCACCGATCTGCATATGACGTGCCACCAATATTATCAATCGGTATTCTGGGCGAGCGCTGGCCCGCACTCGAAACACTAAGACTCACGATACCTGCAGAATACCGATCTGGAGGATCAAGGCTGAACATCACCGTGACTACGCTCAAGTGGTTATGCCTCACCGGACGACCTATAGTGACCGCGATGGTGGGCTATATGGCGCAGCATCCCGATGCCTTTCCATTCCTGCGGAGTCTCGAGCTTGAATCATGTCCAGAGTGGGACATTCTCATCATCATGCTCGAACAACGGCTACTCGCCAATGTCCAGCCACTCGAGAGGCTCATCTTCTCTCGAGCGATACCACCACTCCTAAAGAATGTACTGGCCCATAATCCATGGACACGTCAGAGAACGATCGTCCAACTACGAGCTATCAATGCAGGGCAATTCTGCTATCTTTTTGGATGCGACGATGTGAGTGAACTATTGCTCACCGTTTTCCACCCTAACTATATCCCAAGACCTGGTTGCGTGGAATGCCATCTATACTTGCATGAGTGTAGTGAACCATGCCCCGACCCGAGAGTCAAACCCCCAAAGATAGCAGAAGAAGAGCCTTATCCGGCATCCGTTCAGAGCATACTTGAAACGCGACAGGAGAGGTATAGCATTTATGACATCTTATACAAGCCCAGGAGCTCTACTGGAGAGTTTCGCATCGACGATTGTCAACGGCGCGGTGAACTCGTAGAAATTTCTCGTTATTCTATGATCTATTGAATAAAGTCGCGAAACCCTCGTCCACTTCCAAGTCGCGGGTGGCTTTGGTCACCTGGACTTTTCCAGCTTGGCTTTTGTCATCTCAGATCTTCAGGACAGCCAGGCCTGGTCGATGAGCACGGTATTCAACAAGAAAATTACACTGAGCTCCCTTGCTTGCATCAAGTCGTGCAGTGATATCCGAGAGGACTCGGACCCGACCTTCAAATGAGCTCATCTCAGCCTCCGAGCCCATCCCTTCAACTGCGCACAGAAATATCACGAAATCACACTCTTGAGCACTCAGAAACCCCCAAATTAGTCCCCTCCGACAATGAGAGCGTATACAGTACGTACAGCGTTTCCATAGATCGTCAAGTATTTGATCCAGTACCGAGATCTTTATGAACTAGATGCTCTCCAACGAGCAGCAGATGAAGATGACAAATCCTTCATCGTTACATATGCTCGTGGCGAGTGGAATCCGTCCGCGATACCCGAAATACCTCTCGGACTGCATACGATCCTGGGGTTAAGGTCCAGCAACACTGGCAGTCGAGACTCACCGACGGTTCCAGACGGAAGTCACGTCAGTCCTCCCGACCTTCTGGAATCTGTAGAGGCAGTCTACAGATCATACTTGGAGGGCTATATCCAGTCTACTTCGGAAACTGCGATCGAAGAGCTCTCACCATTGCCAAGCAACAACCCTGGTCTTATCGAGGATGGTCTGATCTTTCCGCGACGTCCGGCCGACCGGAGCTCGATAGCCAGTGCATCAAGCTCTGAGAACTTCTGCTCTCCGATTATGTCGCGTGAAGCCCTACGCAGATTCGAAAGAGTAAGTATGGATTTAACCCTGGCATTGTCTCACTAGGCCCCAGGTTGGGTATTTGGAATCCCCCATGCCACAAAATGAAATTGGGAGACGAGCTGCACTGAATCGGTGACTCAATTCGATTTCAGCCATGTTGTCCCAGCTGATTTCACCGAAGGTTTCGACCGTTCACTAAGGCTCTCGAAGACAATTTGAACCGAATCCTTCACCTCGCAAAGCTTGTGTTCTCCGTGTACGCCCTATCTTCTGGCAGGTAATGCGATTAATAAGCTGGTTAGAGACAATGCCGCCATATCATTGGTCGACTCGGATTATACTCACGTGACGGTCCCGGACGCGGATCCCATACTTGTTCCACGAGGAGAGTCTATGTGTAGTCACACTATACTTGTCAAAAAGTATATCCTTATGTGTTGTCGACTGGTCCGCTGATATTCGTCAGAGCACATGAACCAATGGTGATTAGAGATACGCTGGAAGATTGGAGATTCAAGAATAATGTAGGATTCGTCTTATTCTATGATCCTATTGCTCACCAGGCTAGCCCACCGTCACAGGGGCTTGGGCTATGCGTTTCTACGCCGGACAGCCACTACGAACAGAAGATGGGTATCATATTGGGACAATATGTCTAATTCACAGCAGCCCAAGACCCGATCTGAGCTCCACTGAGCGAGCTACTCTCTTGGAACTGGCTGGTATGGTTCTTCGAGAGTTGGAAACACGGCGGATAGAGGTACATTGTTTCTGATATGTTTAAGCCCTCTGATCACAAGGACTAGTGGAATGAACGAGTTCGAGAGAGAGTACAGGAATCGGTCTGTCACCAAGCTAAATGTTCGCTTCGGCTAACACTCCATAAGGTTGAAAATTTCTCGAGGGAACTTGATACACAGGTTCTTTCCTTTCATCATCTCATTGGTCGCCTCGCCCAGCAATTTGCGTCCACTCTATCCCTCGAGAAAGCGTTTTGGATAGACGTAAGAAGCGCTCCCAAGAACGAAACTCGTGAGGATTCTTCTGCCCGAGGTAGAGTCCCGCTAACATGAGACAGCGCATGGAGCGATCGCCTCAAGAGGGGCCGTAAACCGACTCAATACTCGATCAGTCGTCCAAGAAAGACAAACAGAAAATCCGGAGGATATCATTAATCAACTTCTTTCCGTCTCTAATGGGGCCGTGTTCAATCCCGGAGATCGTATTCCAGGATGTTTCTCAAGATTGCTTCGAAAGGAGGATAGCGCCTTAGCATGTGAGTTGATCGCTCTCGTCTCACCTAGTTGACAAAAAACTAGTCTTTTTATTATCTCGAAGCGCCAAAGAACCGTTGGCTATTGTTGTGGTTTCAACGTCGGACGAATCCTATCGTTTTACACTACCTCCACTCGTTCTTACTTACTTCCGATCCATGGGCGCTCTGGTTCTTCCTGCAATTGAGAGGTTATCTCTGTCCTTGGAAAACAAGGCAAAGATTGATTTCATTGCCAAGTGAGTTCTCGCAAGGTCTTATTTACCTTTCTGATATATCTACGCAGCATCTCACACGAGGTAAATATTATCCTTGATTGGGTATGGACGTATCTTATTCTTCAAGCTACGGACTCCATTGCACGGGGTGTTAGCATCTTGCGAACTGTTAAAGGAATCGTCTCTCTCTGCTGGACAACTTGCTCTCCTGAATACAGTTAAATCCTGCACTCTGGTCTGTCCCTTTCTTCTTCTAAAGTCCACGACTTAAACTCTCCAAGGGATTATCCGACACGCTAAATCATGTTCTTGACTTTACAAAGGTCAATGCCCAGGTCTCAGTGGAAATACGCGATACGTGAGACTCCTCAAGCTCGAGAATTCTGAGCTCAATCTTTCTTAGGGTTGATCTTGCGCAATTAGTTGAAGAGACGATGGTCACGTCGTGGCTGGGTGCGAGTGCCAAATTTCGATCTCAAAACGAGATAGGCGAAATCTACGCTCCATCTCATGCGCAAGACAAGGAAAAGGATGTGGAACCTTTGATCGAAATTGAAGCACTGAAGGTAGGTTGAGGCGAATACAGAGATAACAGAGCTGACGCCCTGCAAGAACTGGACGGTTTCTGTGGACAAAGCTGGACTACGGCGTATAATCCTAAATTTGGTGTGTATTGTGACAAGTCATTGGCTCTTCTTTGACTGTCAAACAGATCGGCAATAGCCTCAAGGTTTGTACGAAGAAGCGTTATGCACCGGCTGACAGTGATTTCTTCAGTTTACTGAGCAGGTCCGTAATTTTGGTATTCTATGCTCAATTTTAAAGTGTCGCAGGGAGGATATGTCAAGATTGCGCTTCGAAAGACAATGTCCGTCGATGCCAACACCATAATGGTGAATATAATAGTGGAAGACTCTGGCTGTGTGAGTCAATACCTTGTTCTTAATGGATTTATTCCTCATTGTGACATAGGGCATGTCGGAAACCTTCATTCGCGAAAAGCTGTTCCATCCATTCAGCCAGGAGCGTCCCTTAAGTCAAGGTACCGGCCTTGGGTTAGCGTTGGGTCAGTTAGTACTCCTAAGCTATATACATACTCAACTCTTATAGTTCGAACAATCTTGCGTTCGCCTGGAGTTGATGGCACAATCGATGTCCACTCTAAAGTGGGCATTGGAACTCGGATGACGATACGATTAAAGCTTCCAGTCATCAGTTCAACGGTCTCCAGCTGGAACCGTGTACCCAAGCCTGGTACATTACCTCCCCTAGCAATATGCGGGTTCGAAGCTGGTTCTCCTGGTGTCGTTATGGCTGCCAAAAACCTCCGCAATCACCTGGAGGAGTGGTATGGGACTATTCCAGAGGTTGATATCTCACAGGCAGAACTAGTCATCGTGGACCGTGATCATGTGGACAAGACGACCTTTTGCATGACAAACACTGGGAATCCCAAATGCCTTGTACTTTGCTCTGCACCCGTCGACCCAACTGTCTTCCAGAGTGTGCGAGAGTATAACGAGACGAGGAACTTTTGCCAGATACTCATCAAACCCTTTGGGCCACATGCCCTTGCAGTAGCAATGTCTGCCGCCCTTGACGCACCTTCACGCAAGCCGCAGGGGGAACTCAAACCCAGCCTCTTTCCGACAACAGCCGCCGTTGTTCCGGCGTCCGATACGATACAGAAAGCGCCGACGCCACACACAGGCGTAGAGACTGGATTGAAGAGTCTCAAGAATCTACGCATCCTTGTTGTGGAGGATAACCCGGTGAGTGCTAATTGGGTATTCAATTATTCTGACAATGCTCAAAGGTTAATCTCAACGTCATATCCACCTTTTTGCGAAGACGAGGGTGCTATTTCGTAACAGCACATGATGGAGTCGAGAGCATCGAGCAATTCGAACAACATCGCGACGACCCGTTCCAGTGGGCTTGTCTTCCAGTCCTGCTTTTGGATTACTGAATCCTGATAGTGTGGTTCTTATGGATATACAAATGCCGAGAATGGATGGAGTCGAGGCCACTTTCAAGATTCGAGCACTGGAAAACTTGGAACAGCAAACAAGCCGAAGGCTCAAGATATACGCATTGACAGGTCAAGCATCACCTCGGGATAAGCAAATGGCGACAGAGGCTGGTTTCGACGGATAGTACGCGTCACAGGATTGCATAACGTTGTATTGACCTCGAGTAGCCTCGTCAAGCCTTTCTCGTTCCAGAATCTGGAAGGAATACTGCAAGCCTGCCTAACGGAGCTGTCTCACTAATGGGGAATGTACTTTGGTACTCACATGTATTCATGCACAGTAACTCTCTTAAGAATGTGGCCCATAATACCCGGAATTATTTTACTTTTAGTCAGGTGTAATTATTTGATATCATATATAAGTTGAAGACTGGAACTGGGAGTTTCGGTGCCGTGGCGCAATGGTAGCGTGTGCGCCTCCTATACAAGATAGGACGCGAGCGTGAGGTTCTGGGTTCGAGTCCCAGCGGTATCGTTAATTTTTGGATGGACAGACGCTGATGTCGTTCGGTTCCGATTGTCAAATGACTCGGCGTTTGTTTTTGCTTTTATACCCCGCTGTTCTGGGAATTCCCCGCGTCGAAGGCGGGTAGCGAGTGGATCGCCACTTCTGTCCCGACCACGACTGTGCTTTGATGCCCGAACCCGCTAATTCGCCCTTTGGGCGGAATTGGGACATATCAGCGTCGATAGGAACGTCCAACGCGTCGACAGTCCTCAGCGATGACGACTTGGATTCACTCGCGCTGGCCAGCGAGCTCGAGGACGGAATGTGGGATGATAGCGACGGAGATAACGACTCTTCGTTGCCACATCCACTGGAGAGAAGCGTCGATGACTATCGCCAGAGCATAGCGGGAGCAGGAGCTATGGAACATGAACTAGAGGCGGCAAGCTCATCCCGCATCAGCGAGGGAGCAGCGCCAGATTTGACACTATCTGATGTCGCTGCTTCAGAGGATACAGCCTCCACTTCCACGTTCAGCTTTCATTTCCCTGATCCATTGCGAGCGCAACCAGAGGAGCATCCTCGATACAACGTCCCGCACGACGATGTCGACTCCCTCATAAGTCGTGACTCAGTGCGGGACTTCGGTACCGACTTTGCGGCTACCGTTGACGCCCTAGAACGCTCAGCGACGTTGAAACCTCCACCTTCAGACCCTCCGCTTGCCACACATTCTCATAGGCGCACATGGGTCGCAATGTACGCTAATGAGCTGCCTGTAAACAGGCTAAATGAAATGACGCTGACTCGTTTGCGTTTGTGTAGCTTCATCGCCGTCCTTGGTCTGCTTGCTGTAGCAGCTTTGAACCTGCACCCTTCATCCATATTGGTCCGTGATCATGGAGTATCAGAGTCATTTCTTTCCAAAGACTCGGTTCCGTACATGCCACCAGCAGCACCTGTCGACGTTTCTCAGGACGCTGATGAGCCAGCGAGGCCCGTAACCCTAGACACATCACCCAGATCGCATTTCCCAATCACAGCACTGCCTGTGGAGACGCGAGTGATCCTGCACACGAACCGTACAGTGATCATGTCGCTCTCCCTACGACCCATCTCTCGCGTCATGGGCACACTCACACACACGTATTCGACATTTACCAAGGCGTTTCTCAACGACCTTCGCAACGTTGCGCGGATCATTGAAGAGTTGCTGCTCTACCTCCGCGAGACGATGGTCATCGAGACTGCGCAAAGGCAATCGAAATCTATACTGGAGTATCTGGCTGAGAAGATGGGTGACCGTCACCAACGCGCGAAGCGCAATGCGAAAGCTCTGACGGCCAAAGGCGTCGACTTTGTCAAAGGGATCAGCGATGCAGTCAAAGCGATGGGCACATAGATTTCCTCACTCTCCTTTTCATTATCTATTGTCCGGACATGTTACGGATTTTCTGACTCTCGTGTATTCTGATCTCTTGCGCTATCACCCTTCCACAGTCTGCGAGTATCGTGCACTCATTGTACATCTATCGAGAATGAATGATACTTTTAATCACCTCCGAACAACTTACCGTTTGGTCAAAGGTGAAGAACCATACTTCATGTCGACCACTACATCCGACCCAGAAACGGTTTCGATCAAACACCTCTCATTCTCACATCAAAATGGAACAAAGGCGCTAGTAGATGTAAACCTATCTGTACAACGAGGCTCTCGAGTGTTGTTGATTGGTTCGAATGGTGCTGGAAAAGTGGGTGTAAAGTTCAAATACAGACCTGGACTAACATGGTATTCGTAGTCTACACTCCTTCAGATCCTCGGTATGTGCATCGGCGAATCCTTTAGCTGTTGATGACGTCGTCGCCACTCTGGTTTTCAAATCAAGCCGGCAAGCGTATGGTGCCCGCGGGGAGTGTCGAGCTACTCCAGCACGACGTCTTCCGACAGAGTCCACCAGGCGTAACGTTTCTAGGCACGGAATGGGCCATGAATGCGGTCGTACGAGGGGACATCAAGGTTTCCGTCTTTCTCGACAGCGTCGGCGGCTACCGACACAAAGCACGTCGGGATCTCTTGCTCGGAATCTTGGACGTTGATCTCGAGTGGCGGATGCATCAGATCTCGGATGGAGAACGACGGAGGGTGCAGCTCGTCATGGGCCTCATGGCGCCCTGGGATGTCCTGTTGTTGGATGAAGTCACGGTCGATTTGGATGTCCTGGTTAGACATGACTTGATCAGCTTTTTGATCAAGGAGACGGAGGAGCGGAATGCAACGATTCTTTGTGAGTACCTTTTGTGTTTCACCCAGATTGGATGACTGGGTATACCCAGATGCAACGCACATCTTTGACGGATTAGAGTCCTTTCCCACCCACGTCGTGCATATGAGGGACGGAACATTGGTGGATCAGCCAGTCCCATGGCCGATACGCAATGTGGAAGCAACACATACATCACTCTACAATCTCGCGCTCACTTGGCTCAAGGAAGATAGAGCCATCCGACTCTCAGCCGAAGCAGCGGGCCAACGAACAAAGAGAGGAGCAAGGGATTCGGACCAGGTTCCTACAGATTCGGAGACATTTTATAAAAAGTATGATTACGCACACTGAAAAGTTGTCGTAGCCATCTCGGGATATATAGACCATTCCATGCCACCCGGTACTCGCGACACTGCGACATGATTACTTGGCTAAACCAGCGCTCATGAGCGCCCTCTTTGTGACTTCATACACCCTCTTCTGGCCCGCGAATAGGATCGCAGCCGTCAAGACGCTCTGTACAAGCTTGGACCCAATACCCTTGTACAATCCCTCAATACCCTCCTTGCCGATAATGGCCTGAACACCAGCCCATGCAGAGGGGTACTGCGCCCTGCCGGCTTGGAGGCGGGACTTGACGACAATGTATGGATACGTCATGGTCGTCGCAATCAGTTTTGAAAGTGCACCGAGCACGAAATAGTCCCAATCGGACAAAGAGGCCGCACGGGTCGAGCCAGTTGCACGCAATTTTGCCGTCCGGCGTTGCATGATGAAATTCTTTAGCTGCTCAAAGGCAGTATACTACCAGAAATCAGTATCAGACTCTGTGAATACGAATGTGGTGGCATACTTGGATGATGGGGTTGATGACCAGGATCAACGCGGGTCCGATGCCTGCCCACAATGCGCCAACGCCATCCTTCTGAATGATATTCTTGGCAGTCTCAATGATGCCGAGTTTCTTCACGACGACCTCCTTTGCGGAAGGATCTGTAGAGGAAGGGGCGATGGTTCGTACCGTCTGTCTCGTATTCAAAACCCAGATTGGATTTGAGATGATGGACGTTGCAGAGCCTAAGTACTGTTGAGAGTTTGAAATTACGTGTAAGAGAGTGACAGACCTGCTATCAGGCCGTTGAGCATCGACTCGGCCACTGACAGACCCTTGGAGCCCGGCTTTGACCGTGCAGCCAATATCATACCCCTTCCTCGTTCATAAAAGTAGTAGTACACACTAATCGTCCAGCGTGAGGTTGTATTATGATACATGGCCAGGAAACTCACAAGTTTGTGACGGAGATGCCGAGCAGACTAGAACTCAAGCCACTATAAAGTGCACTGACACCCTCTGCGGAGCGAATGACGTCTACAACGGCCTCGTATGTCGACTTTCGCTCCTTCTCCGACGCGACTGCTGCTCTCGTAGAGACAAAGATGAGAGGGCTTGACTAACGGTGAGTGAATGCCTTTATACTCGCAGAGAATCGATTGCTCACTATGTGAGGGTCATGGCTATCGAGCCGCCTGCCGCGCCGGCGATTGCGTTGATGAAGCTGTCGCTGGCCATTTCTTAAGATGGATTGTAGCAATTAGGCAGAAGGGATTGTAAATGCTTGTCGAGGAGAGGTTCAAGTTTCGTCGTGCTTTCATGCACTCGCCGTCATGCCAATCGTCTCCGGGAACAAGAAAGCCGTAGCGGCTCGCCGTGTGGGATCTGGCCATTGCACGTGCTCCTTACTCTAACCTTGTTGGCAAAAAATCTGGCAAATATTCTTCATGGCGTCCAAGATAATCTTGGAACGAAGTCGCTGTTTTTATTTATATCGAGACCCTTGAGCGAACCGCATGGCAGCCCCAGGGTCCCACATGGACCAACGGCCAATCGTGTCTACAGATATATAAAGCGCCGTATTTGTGTCTAGTAACCCCCAGATTCCACCCAGAAATGCGACCAATCTCCCTTTCCTCCATTCTGTTTGCTACTGGACTCGCAGTCTCGGTGTCGGGCTTTCCTCAGATGGGTCCAGGCCCAGTCGTCACCTCTAGGTAGAGTCTCTTCGTGCATGTAGATGCTCCATCTGATCATTCTCTAGTTTGGACGAAGGCGTCCAGACCGTGGAATCGATGCCGCAAATTGCACCTTCGAGCACAGGAATTAGCATCATCATGGGACCAGGTCCAGTCATAACATCAGATTCCAGTATATCTGGATTAGACTCATCCTCTACAACGCTCGCAAATTCCACCACCACCTCTCGGTCGACAAATACCGGAACGTCCACCCGCTCGGCATCTACGACCCTATCTCCTAGCACTCCTGGAGCTGGTTTTTCAGCTGCACAATCCTCGAGGGTATTGGTTACCTCTCTTTTCGCGCTGTGCGCCGTCGCCTTGTTCTAAAGTTCAAGCTTGCTTCATTTTCGTGTAAGATGTGTACACAAATCATTAAATCGATCCTATGCTACGACTATGCTACCATCGTTCTATTGTCCCTCGTTTGCGAGATCTCGGAGAAGCGCCTTGAGTTCTGCAACGTCTTGTTGAAACGCCGCGCCAGCACTTCCACCATTGGTCGATAATCCACCATTATTGGCTCCTGATGTCGCATTTCCATCGTCCATCTTGAGCCACCGGTCGAGTTGTTCGGTGATCGCCTTTGCCTTTAGACGGAAATGGGTGCGGATCACATCTTCAAAGGGTTCCGGCGGATTCTTCAAGTTCCCAAGCATCTGTGGCAGGTGAGATACTTGATATAGAGTTAATATTGACCTACGGCTGTATTGACGACCATTCGTCGGACATTTGCAGAGTCTACACCACGGATCAGTACAGGTTTACACCGCTTCCGAGACACTCACAAGCCTTCGAAGCAGGTGTACCGGCTTGACTCGCCCATCCAGGCTCATTTAGATCTAACAGGCGTCAGGGCCAGCATAGAAAGTAGAACGAGCGCACAAGGTTCTTCGCACAGAATCATCGACTGAATAGAGATGAGAACTTGCAGTAACGTCGACTTGCCGCTTATCCACCCGGGTCCTTCCCATGTTCCAAGCAGCGACAGGCAGACTTTTCCTTCCTACGCAAAGTGAGTAAAGCTTTGCCACCATTAAGGTGACCTTACCGCGTAGAGATTAGGGTTGAATCGGTAGGTTCCGTTATTTGTCTAGATTCCTTAGCCTCGAGTGAGCTCAGCAGCAGCGGCACTCACCGTCAAGTACTTGACGAGCGGCGGCGTATGATTATAACTCGCACCGAGGAAGATATCAAACAAGTAACACCCGTTTTCATACCTAAACCACGGTCAGAAACATTAAAAACAACAAAAAAGTACTCACGGAGTTCCATCTGGGCCAGTAATCAAAGCCTTGATGATATCCACTCGACTCTCATCCACTCTCAGGAAAACGGAAGAGTTCCACGATACTGGTAAATTGGTCGTCAACACTGCCAACTCCCTCGCAATCGCAAGGGACCGCTTCGGCATGTCCGAATTGACGAGCATCCGCGCATCACTGTTGTAGCTAAACTTGTAGTTTGGTGGACTCGACGAGGCTCCATGCGCATTCTTCACCTCCAAGTCGCAGTACTCGAACCGGGCCTTGGTCGCCCATTGCTCGTAGACAGCACGCGCTTCCGCTTCAGACGCACCACTCTTCAAGACGGCCTTGTCGTCCAAGTCAAGCGACGTGCTTGTGTTGGCCTGCGATGCAGCACTGAGACGTGGGAGTGACTTGTACATTCGATCCATAAATGCATTGCCTTTGATTTCCGTCAACGAGCGGTCAATCGCCGCTGCAGTGTTGAGAATTCCAGAGCAAAATTTGAGGAGCTTGTCATTCTCTTCGTCGAACCCACTCAAAGGCTTCTTCCCCTTGTTCAAGTTGGTCATGCGCTTTTGCTCTTCGGTCATATTCTCCGGATCCCTCTTGGCTTCACGCGCTTTGATAATTCCTTCGAGACCCTTCAGCGCAGCCTCGGCTTGAATGACAATCGACTCTAAGAGCTCTCGTGGCCCAGAGGATCCCTCGTAGATGATCGTCCTTTCCTTGGTCGAACCAGCGTTGTTGGCACTCTTTCGAATGACAACGTCCTTGACAGACGCAACGACCATAATCGGCATGCCCATGATGGACGCTAGAGCCTCGTGGTTGGAAATTGTCTCAAGCCACGAGAAGAGCTCCGAGTATAGCGCAGAGCGGTCGCTCATGTCTGACAACGAGTCATTCCGCAGTAGTGTACTGCAGAGAACATTGAAGCGTCGGCGGATATGGGCGAGTGTAGTGGGGTGAACCAAGAAATCACTAGCGCGACCACCGCCTGCACGACGCACCGAGGGAAGGTACTCCCGTACGGCAGCAAGTAGCTCTGCCATGCTCGCATCTCGCGCCTTCTGAGAGGCGAGAGCTTCGAGTTGACCCGACATCTGGAAAGAAATGAGCCGACGAAAGGATGTACAGTGAGCAAACTCACGTCCTCTTTGACATTCCCCGCGTAGCCGATGCCACTCTTCTTCTTTGCAGCCTCATCGTCCTCTGATGGACCGCTCAGGAAACCAGGTACAACCGACTTGAGCGACGTTCCCAGCTTTCGCTTCTTCTTCTCGGGCTCATCTGGTGAACTCGGCGTTTGGAGATCCTTTGAAGAGGCATCTTGCGAGTCGTGTTGCATCTGGACGATCGCGAGACCCATGCCAATCATCAAGCCTTGGAGATTTCCACAATGGAACAATGGGTCGTCAGCGCCGATGCCTGGACGAGCCTTTTCTGTTTGCGAATAGGATTCGCCACATGCGAGACAATATGGCTTCGAACATCCAGTACAGACATGTCGGACCAACTTGCTCACGTGAGAGGTGTACTGTTTGAAATCTGGCTGCAAACAGAGTCGGAAATTGTAGACGAATCGAATCCATCACGTACGTAGAGGGTGAAGAAATCCTTTTTCTCCCGGATGCACACCTGCCCACACTGATATGGGCAGGGACACGGATCAGAGGACAGGTTTTGGTAGAGCGAGAACAAGAAACCTTGCTCCCCACCTTCGGGGCAGCCTCGCATCCACTCTCCCTGAGTCATCAACGGCACCCGCGTCTCGCCGTCTTCCAAGAGGACATACTCTGGTGTCTCCTCAATCTCGATGACTTCTTCTTTACGATCCTTGGAGAAGAAAATCCCGGCGTAAGGGTCGATATCTGTTGTCTTGCGTGCCGTCGCGGGTCCATCGCCAAAATCCGAGTCGTACTCTGCGTACTATTGAATCACACCAACGTCGTCAGACAGTCCAGAGCTGCCCATGGTAGCATGACATATGACACATACCTCGCCTGTTGGGGTAGTTGAGTCGGCGGTATAGCACCAAGGCGGAAATACGCACCATCGTCCTCGTCCTCATCATCCTGCATCTCCTCATCCTCATCATCGTCTTCACTCTCCTCTTTACGCGTCTAGAGCCGCGTCAGTCTACCACTGTTCCGACGGCACTTCGCCACAACTGGGGTTCAAAAAGGCGCCTAGGCCACACAAAACGCACCGTCTTACTGCCCGAAGCAACAGGCGCAGGTATCTCGTCGTCGTCTTCTACGACATGATCGTATTTCCCGTCAAAGATGTGTTCTGCCGCCGTCATCACGTCCTTGTGGTCCGCCAACGCCGCTTTGGCCTGAGCCACCGATGCGCCCTGCGATCAACAACCGTCGTGGTTAGCATTCGACATCTGGATACATACTCTCGACAAGAAATCACCATTTCGACTAGCTGTGAAATCTTGCCGTCCATCGCCAATCTCAAGTCTATAGTCGAGGAGCGGTCCAAGTGTTTAGAGGTCAGGTGCGACTCGCACCAGTTTCAAACAACGACACGCACATGCACAAATAAAACATTTTTTGTAAAGAGTGTAAGGGGAAAAATACAGTTGAGCATCCACCCAAGGGAGAGAGGGTAGAAGACGAACAGCAGAGGCCAAGGTCAAATAAAACATCGGTACACCAGAATAGAGCGAAAGGACTGCGCAAAAAGCGAGTACTGGTGAGGGCTGTAGGTTGGGGTTCGGGAGCGAAAGCATGCCAAATCAATGATAGGGGTCGCCAGGCCCTAGTGGTCATAGGTCTCGATTGCGAGACGAGTAAGCGCATTACGCAAAACAATGGGTCTAGAGTCTAAAATGGTATTTGGCGTCACACACTTAGCTGAAGGAGGAGGGTTGGGAATCTTGATGGAACTCTCCCGTCTAACCACGCTTCTGGTCTGGATGTGACGCAGTAGGAGTGTTGGGACCCGCAAAGGGTAGCGGGTATTCGGCCACGTCGCGACTCAACACAACCGTATCAAGGCTCGCCCGTGCATCACGATCCGACGAGCCGCTTACGCTAGCACGATCAATCTGGAACGGGAACTGTCCGAGCCCAGAGGAGACGGCGGACGCAGTCGACATTCCGAGGGTTGCCCTTCCGGGACGGTGATCAGAAGGGACGTGTGTCGGGCCCGCTTGTTGTTGCTGTTGGAAACTCCGTTGCATCGGGGTATTAGGCTGGCTGTGATGCATCGAGATGGGCGAGGGAGGGACAAAGGGAAAGGCTTCGAGAATCGAGTCTGTTGTCGAGGTGCGGTTGGTAAGTGCGACAGACGATAGCGACATTCGTTGATCTTCGTCAAACGAGCGCGGGATTGCTTGCGCAGGAGGCGAAAGCTGTCCAGCAGAACGGAAATCTGCAGCTCTAGGTGTAGCCGTGGACGGACTAGGTGGTGCCAGCAGCGCGCGTGTCTCTGCCACACCTCGTGCCATTGGTCGAACCAATTGCACTCGTTGGGCGCTTGCAATGTTGGCAATCGACTCGGCGTTGGACATTGCACTCATTGGTCGGTCTGAGCTCCAGTCTACGGGCGAGCGCATGTCACTAAAGGTCGACATGACGTCCGAGTCCCTTTGGTCCACAAACGGATCAACAGAGCCCTGATCCAGCGCACCATTTGCGTCGCCGGCATCAAATGCTTGTTGGCTCAACGGTGATCGTGTAGGTTTGCCCAACGTCGAGGTAGAAAGATGCGACTTGAGCGACGCGGTGGGGGATGACGGGCTTGAGGACAGTTTGACGACTTCGGCCTTTTGAACGCCGAGGACTTGTCGGAACGTGGCCTGTTTTGGTGTGACAATCTGCGGAGCCTCGTTGAGGAACGAGCTCGAGGTCGAGATTGTCGAGGCACGTGAGGAGACGCCAGAGACACCAGAAGCACCAGATCGTGAGCTGGGCGCATAAGGAATTTTGGGTGGCAGCAGCAGCTCGGAGGTAGGTCGTGATAAATCCAGGCGCATGTCAATTTCGGGGCCTCGCTGCGGACGGATGGGACCAGCAGGCCCTTGACGATAAGGGCTATCGGATGCTTGTTGAGCACTAAAGGTTGTAGTGGCGATGGAAGAAGGCGTGATGGCCGTCTGAGTGCTTTCGGCGTGTGAGAGTGCGACACTAGCAGAGCTTGGGGTGACGATGCCGATGGGTATAACGTTGGTTGCGCGGTCTGAAGCAGTCGCAATAGACGCGTGATCTGAGAATGGGTTCTCAGGCGGATATAGAGGGTCCATTGGCACTTCTTCAGTCTGGACGACCACCTGAACTGGCGGTTTCTCCAATGGGTCAGGCCTGTTCAACACGAGATCTGGATTGGCAACCACATCTGGTTTAACTTCGACTTTTGGCATTCGATATGCTGCTGCCTGTGCTGCTGCAGCCTGCCGCCTTCTGTACCACAGGTACAAGAAGCCAAGGCCGACGACGACAAGTGACGCAACGACTCCTCCAGCAATAGCTCCAGTATTTGGTCCCTTTGGGCCTGACGAGGGCGAGTCAGCGCAGTAGGCCCGCGGACATTCTGTACACGATCTGCCAAGGCGGGCGAACGCACCCTGGATCAGCACCGAGCGACTAGTAAAAAGCTGGAATAAATAACAAACGTACAGTACAGTGACCGCGCATCGTTGTGAAGCAGAACAACTATTACAGGCCGAGTAATCGACGGCGGTCGGGCAGGACACGCAGTCGCGGGCCACGAGGTGCATTTTGGAATGAAATAACGAGTGTAAGAGCGATCTAGAATATCGCAGATAATACTGAGAATTTATAAGGACGAGCAGAAGTGGCGGGCTCTGTCCTGGGCAAGTCGTGAGTGAAGTCCAAGGCGGTTGTACCACTGACCCAGCCTCTTCAATTGGGCACGATCGATGGCTGCTGTGCACAATTCTCAGACATATTCAGACATCTTTTTCATGATTTACTTTACATGTCTCAGATCTGGCCACTCACCGGAGCTTGTGGCGCTTCGGTCGGCTGAACAGCGCAGCTTTTCCGGATAGCCGTCTCCTTATTTTATTTTTTTTTGCTTTCGGAGTTGCTGTTGTCATGAATATATATCAGCAGCCAGCACACTGACATATGCATAATGGCCCACTTGACTGGTGGGCGCGGGGGCTAAAAAAAAAGGTTGGCTGGCACCATGTCGATTACCTGGAATACACCGCTGGTAGCCTCGACTGTTGGTGCCGTCGTCGTCGGTCTTGTCGTCAACCATTGGCTTCGACGTGACAACCTACGCCCAAATGAACCAGTGTTGCTTCCAGGAAGTTTACCCATATTCGGCCACGCGATCGAGTTCGGAAAAGATGCGAATAAACTATATCTACGCGTCAGGTGAGTCCCATGTACACACAGCAACCTCTGATTGACGCAATTATGTCTGCAGGGACTTTGCAGACGACCTGCAACCAGTCTCCGTGTCTCTAATGGGTCAAAGAGTCTACATAATTCTAAAACCACAAGATGTTGCTGCCATCTGGAAAGCCAAAGCTGTCAACTTTGATCCCATCGTAGAATGGGGCATGCACACCATTTTCGGCATGAGTTCCGACGGCATCGAACGTTCGCATCTTGACGATGCACAAGGTACTGGAGACATGTTCGAGCAAGCGCACGGATTTATGCGCGACGCACTCGCTCCAGGCGAGCCTCTCGATCTTATCACGAACAAATTCATCAGATACGTGACAAAAGACATAGAAATTACCAAGCAGGCTATCCGTAGCGCCCCGGTGGTCGTGTACACGTCAGTCTCCTAAGCTGGCTACGCGACCGCATCGGTATCCCCTCGACCAACGCCGTGGTTGGCGAAAATGTGCTACGGGCGGACCCAGGCATCTTGGAAGCGTTGATGAGGATGGATTCAGATATGCCTCGTCTTTCCAGTGGCCTCCCACACTGGCTCGTCAAAGACGCAGTGGACAACGTAAAGCGATTGAATGACACATTCGAGCGCGAATTGGACAAGGAAAACGTTCTATACTGGATGAAGCAGCGGATGGATTTGATGGCTGCGCGAGGTATCTCCCATAGAGACCAAACCACGGCTTCGATGGCTATTTGGCAGGCGTATGCAATCTCTGATTCGACGCTGAACATTTACTAACCAGCGAGTAGTTTACAGACAAACTCGGTACCAACAGTGTGCTGGATCATTTACCAACTACTCCTTCACCCCCAAATCACCGCCGACATTCTCGAAGAGGTCAAGCCTGCCTTTAATAGCCACGGCAATCTCATCGACTTGGAGTATCTCACCACCAAGACACCTAAACTCGCCGCATTCTACTGGGAAACCCTACGCTACGTCTCCGGCGTGGTCTCTGTGCGTAAAGTGATGGAAACATTCGAGCTAGGCGGGCGAGTATTGTACAAAGACGCGTTGATCATGATACCCACACGTCCGTATCACATGACACGCGAAATCTTTGGCGACGATTGCGAGCAATTCGTTCCAGACCGCTTCCTCCGAGACGGGACGCACCAACCCGGCAAATTGAACCCAGGTATTCGTGCCGTTCGTCCATTTGGCGGTGGGAGCACGCTCTGTCCTGGACGCCATTTCGCGACAAACGAAATCTTCTTTACCGTCGCCACGATCCTCCGCACGTTTGACATTGCCCTTGTGGACCCCTCTCAAACGGATTTGTTCCCTCAATCCGCAAGGGCGTCTGTCGCGACGTTGCCGCCAAACAAGGACGTTCAAGTGTACATCAAGCTTAAGGAGGGTGCATAGAGGTACCTTAGAATGTAGAAAAAATTAAAACATATATTTCCAATTCTTGCATATTGCTCAATGTAGGAGTGTGGATAGCCCGTGTAATGGTTCAGTATTGACAAGTCAACTCTTCGACCCAACCATTACAAGCCTTATTATGCCGTGCCCTGAACAGTGCTCCGCCGATCAGATGCATCTTATGAGAAGCCATATCGCTTCCTCATACAACTACTCTGGAGATCTCAACGGCGTTGACGCGGACATCCTCAGAGACTATAATCTAGGTGTCGAGTCATGGGCTCATGCTCGCGATAAAGACCCAAAAAGGAGTATAGAGCGCCTTCCAAACGAACTCTTGATCGTCATCATTCAGAAGGCAGCTTGGGTCGGATACCCTGGATACCATCGAGAGCTGCTCGTTCTTAGCTTGGTCAATCGAAGATGGGCGGGATTGATTCTTCGAACACAATACTTCTGGAATCGGGTCTACTTGAAAGACAATATCGAGGATCTCGAGCCAATGACGGCCGTTATACTCGAGCTCTCGGGAGATTCTCCCCTTGAGCTGACTTACTATGCGGAATCTGATGTTATCCGTAAGGTTGCGCACCTAATTCGGCCTCACCTCCACCGTATCACGCGTTTGGAGGTTCTACAGCATTATGGCCAAAGCGACCACGGTACTGATCCATTCTTTCCCCATACTGTATTTCCGTCCCTGCGGAATATTTTAACACAGCATATACCTCCCAAGAGCATTGTAGCATGTCTCTCACATCACGAGGTTTTGGCCCCTTACAAACATCTGATAGAAGGCGACGGTTTCTTTGTTGAATTGAAAGTTACGGAGAAGAATCGGGTCTCGTTTCGGTCAACTGTGACATCTGTGGCGAATATTCAGCGTCTTGAAGACATTCCAACTCTAGAATGTGTTAGTATCTACGGAGGTTATGAACTATCGAGGGATTTGTCGACCGCCGTCAAGGAGACACGACGTCACTTGGGCTGGAAGACGCTGTTCATTAGCAGATTTCCCTGGAAGAGGATCCGAGGAATACTTGGTCGCTGTACGTCGCTTATCTCGTTGGCACTTATGGATATCGATCAGATAGCAGCCCTGGAATTGACCCAAATGATACCGCGGCTTACCTTCCTCGAGGACATCAGCATCCAGTTCATCGAGGTCCCGATGTCGGAGACGCCAGTTATGCCTGTTGGTGAAGACGTTAGCCACGAAACAAAAATACAGACAATGCATTTGCGTCTGCGTCCAGGTATACCGAATATGACGATCACAGGCGATATCCTGCATTTACTCCTTCGTATGTCCCCCCGGCTAGAATCCCTGTCGCTATCGGGGTATCGTGTGAACAAGCTCGACTTCATTGAAATCGGCAAGCTCAAGGAGTTGCGAAAAATAGACCTATTCGATTGTGAGTTTATTTCCGAACCAAACACTACCAGGCATATGCTGGCCTGCCCGAAATTGGAGACGGTGCGGATTTCAGGATCCATCGACGCTCTTGATTCGCTGGCAAGTTCAAGTGCAAGTGAACTGGATTACAGACTTGAGATGAGGGCTTCACCGAGAATCGAAATCAACGGACGAGATTGGCCTTCTTTACGGAGTCTGAGGTTGTTTATGGATTCTACTCCCATAATGTGTGGTCTCAATTCATTGAGGCATCTATCATTATGGAGCCAGTCCCTAGTCACGACTACGATACCCTATCTAGCGATGCATCCCAGCGAGCTTCCTGTGCTGGAGACGCTCGACCTGCACGCCTGTCCTGAATGGGATATCCTCTTTATTATGCTGGAGAAGCGGTTACTCACGCAAACATATGGAATCAAGCCTATCGAGAATTTAATATTTGATAGGGCGATCTCGACGAGGATTAAACATTCCCTTGCGTCACTCCTCGCAGGACATATCTTCCCGCGACCATCAAACTACGAGCTTTCAATGCAAGGAAACCTGGAACTCTTCTTGGACACCAATATGTGAGTGATATCAAGAGATTGCCGACTGCATGCTAAGGATTTGATTAGCCCTGGATGTGTAGATTGTCACCTCTACCTATATCCCTGCGACTTGGTGGTACTTCATACATCTCCTATCGGGTCAGTGTCTACCATCGAATATCCAGAGAGTGTCGACGAGATACTGAGAACACAAGCTATGCGCTATGAGCAAATGAGGAGTATACATTATCCTCTTTTTCCCACAACTCGAGAGCCGCAGTGTAACCGCTTTCGCGGCTCCGTAGAGGTTTCTCGTTACTCATTGGCATGATGCCACATACTCAATGTGATTGCTTTGATATGCAGTTTGATCGTTATTTGTAAGCAGCGTGGAAAATGTGAACTCTCTTATTGGGCCTCTTGTGAACACATCAGAAGAGACCATTGATGGCACATGTGACTGTGGTTGATATAGAGTGTACTATTGTTGATTCGTGGATTCAACCCAAGTCCATATCAAAACCTCTGCATCATAACCCAGACTAGCAAACTGCTTGCTAATTCGTGGCTAAATACCACCACTGGATTGAAGTATTCGTTATCATTTGTGACCACGAGCACTGGGCCGTTCCGGATTTACGACATGATGAGGAGAGTGCGGGGCTTGCCTACGCCCCTGCAGATGCAGAATTTGAGGAATGATCAACGTGAACCCACGAAATTCTCTCGTATCACGGAATGTGTGTCTAACTTTGAGTCCATCAAACCTTTGTGAGAGAGAGAGATATCTCATTGGCCCTCGCTAGCAGGTACTACAAATAGAACCAAGGCGCGATCTAAGAAGACAAGGGGCACTACGTAGGTGATTCGGGTTGGTGGGACTAGGGTACGCTCTGTTGTGGAGGTGATGGATGTGTGCAGGGAGGTGTTGTTTGTGGTAGGTAGTAAAAGTATGTTCCTGAGCAATGAGAAATGATCGCAATCCTAGAAACCTATGATTTGGCTCCGTGTCCTTTGGTCCTTGTGAACATGTGGAGGCAAGGCGTGGGGTTATTGCACGTTTGGTGGGCGGGTTGGATGGGCAGACGACAAGTTATTGTTGAGCTGTTGAGTTGCTGTAGTCGTGTAGTTGAGTTTGGGTTTAGTGTTGGCAGCAGCAGGCGGACGGGTGGACGACAAGTTGGTGTGTAAGAGAGTAAGGTGGGCAGGCGCACGCTTTGCATAGTACCTGGGTTCGTCTGGATGATTCATGCTATCTACGCTGATTGATATGCGACGGACATCGTCTGTGTATCGCGACTGGTGTGAGCACCTACTCGCGCGGGATAGCGGAGGGATTCTTGGGACCACTTCCTAAATGTCTGCCCATTGGCTGACTACCTTTTCTAGGTTATTATCCCCCGGCGTAGGACATCTGGTTAGCGGACAAAGGTCTGGCCGCGGTGTTGTATGGTGCTGTGCTGTTAGTGCGGATGTGGTCGGGTCCAAGAGCCCTCCATCAAACCTTTGAGAGAGAGAGAGATATCTTATTTGCCCTCGCTAGCAGGTACTACGTGGAACCAAGGCGCGCATCAAACCTTTGACCCACCCATTACAAGCGTTATTATGCAGCGCCCCGAACAGTGCTTCGACGATCAGACGCTTCTCATGAGAAGCCATATTGCTCGCTCCTATAACTACTCTGGAGATACCAGCGGCGTCGACGCGGAGATGCTCAGAGGCTATAATGCAGCCATCGATTTATTGGCTCATGCTCGTGAAAAAGATCCAAAAAGCAGCATAGAACGTCTTCCGAACGAGCTCTTGATCGCCATCATCGAGAAAGTAGCTGACCGTTGGGGGGGATGTTACCCTATTAATTACCAGCGGGACCTGCTCGTTCTTAGCTTGGTCAATTGTAGATGGGCGACATTGATTCTTCAAACGCAATACCTCTGGACACGAATCTATTTGACAGAGAATATTGAGGACCTCGAGGCAATGACGGCCATAATACTCGAGCTCTCAGGAGATTCTCCCCTCGAACTGGCTTACTATGCAGAATCTGATATTATCCGTAAGGTTGCTCACCTAATTCAGCCTCATCTCCACCGTGTCACGCATTTGAAGCTTCTACAGTATCATGGCGAAAGCGACCACGGTACTGACCCATTCTTCCCTCATACTATATTTCCATCTCTGCAGGATATTTCGACACAGTATATATCACCCAAGGACATTGTAGCATGTCTCTCACATCACGAGGTTCTGGCCCCTTACAAACATCTGATAGAAGGCGACGTTTTCTCTGTCGAATTGAAAGTCAAGGAGAAAAAATTGGTCTCATTTCAGTCAACTGTGATATCTCTGGCGACTATTCAGCGCCTTGAAGACATTCCGACGCTCGAAAGTGTTAGTATCTTCGGATCATTGGAAGATTCGTCAACCACCGTCAAAGAGAGGCGACAACTATTGGGCTGGAAGAGGCTGTTCATTAGCGCCTTTCCCTGGAAGAGGATCCAAGGGATACTTGATCGCTGTACGTCGCTCGTCTCGCTATCACTTATGGGTATCAATAGGATAGCAGCGCTGGAATTAGCCCGAATAATACCACGACTTGTTTCCCTCGAGTACATTAGCATTGACTTATACGGGCATACAGCACTGGAGACGTCGGCCATATCTAGTAATCACGCTGGTTACAACACAAGGATCCAGACAATACACTTGAGTCTGAGTCCAAATATATCGAATATGGAAATTACGAGCGATATCTTGCCTTTACTCCTTCGTATGTCTCCACGGCTAGAATCGCTGTCGCTATCGGGTTTTCATGTAAATGAACTCGACTTCACCGAAATTGACAAGCTCACGGAGTTGCGATATTTGGACCTATTCAATTGTGAGTCTACTCTCGAGCCAAACACCACCATGCATATGCTGGCCTGCCCGAAATTGGAGACGGTGCGGATTTCAGGATCCATCGGCGGGCTGAATATACTGGCAAGTTCAAGTGCAAGTGAACTGGACTATGGACATATAACGCTGGAGTCTACACCGATCATCATCACCGGACGAGATTGGTCTTCTCTACGCACTCTGACATTCTTTGGGGATTGCACTCCCATGTTGTGTGGTCTCGATTCATTGAGACAACTATCACTGTGGAGCCAATCCTTAGTCGCAACCATGATTCTCTATCTAGCGATGCATCCCAGCGAGCTTCCTTTGCTGGATACACTCGGCCTCCACGCCTGTCCTGAATGGGATATCCTATTTATTATGCTGGAGAAGCGGCTATTCGCACAAACATATGGAATCAAGCCTATCGAAAATTTAATATTTGCTAGGGCGATCCCGATGAGGATTAAACATTCACTTGCGTCACTCCTCGCAGGACACATCTTCCCGCGACCGTCAAACTACGAGCTTTCAATACAAGGAAACCTGGAACTCTTCTTAGACACCAATATGTGAGTGATATTAAGAGATTGCTGATTGCACGCTAAGGATTTGATTAGCCCTGGATGTGTAGATTGTCATCTCTACCTATATCCCTGCGACGTGGTGGTACTTCATACATCTCCTGTCGGGTCAGTGTCTACCATCGAATATCCAGACAGTGTCGACGAGATACTGCGAACACAAGCTATGCGCTATGAGCAAATGAGGAGTATATATTATCCTCTTTTCCCTACAAGTATTCCTCGAAAAGCAGAGTGTAACCGCTTTCGCGGCCCCGTAGAGGTTTCCCGTTGTTCAATAGTGTAAATTTCACCAAATTAATTACTTTGGTATGCAGTTCGACCGTTATCTGCAAGCAGCAGGGAAGATGTGAACTCTCCTATTGCGCCTTTTGTGAACACGTCAAAAGAGACCATTGGTGGCACATGTGGATGTGGGTGATATAGAATGTACCATCATTGATTCATGGATTCAACCCAAGTCCATATCAAAACCTCTGCATCATAACCCAGACTAGCAAACTGCTTGCTAATTCGTGGCTAAATACCACCACTGGATTGAAGTATTCGTTATCATTTGTGACCACGAGCACTGGGCCGTTCCGGATTTGCGACATGATGAGGAGAGTGCGGGGCTTGCCTACGCCCCTGCAGATGCAGAATTTGAGGAATGATTAACGTGAATCCACGAAATCCTCTCGTATCACGGAATGTGCGTCTAACTTTGAGTCCATCAAACCTTTGTGAGATAGAGATATCTCATTGGCTCTCGCTAGCAGGTACTACAAATAGAACCAAGGCGCGATCTAAGAAGACAAGGGGCACTACGTAGGTGATTCGGGTTGGTGGGACTAGGGTACGCTCTGTTGTGGAGGTGATGGATGTGTGCAGGGAGGTGTTGTTTGTGGTAGGTAGTAAAAGTATGTTCCTGAGCAATGGGAAATGATCACAATCCTAAAAACCTATGATTTGGCTCCGTGTCCTTTGGTCCTTGTGAACATGTGGAGGCAAGGCGTGGGGTTATTGCACGTTTGGTGGGCGGGTTGGATGGGCAGACGACAAGTTATTGTAAGGTGGGCAGGCGCACGCTTCGCATAGTACCTGGGTTCGTCTGGATGATCCATGCTGTCTACGCTAATTGATATGCGACGGACATCGTCTGTGTATCGCGACTGGTGTGAGCACCTACTCGCGCGGGATAGCGGAGGGATTCTTGGGACCACTTCCTAAATGTCTGCCCATTGGCTGACTACCTTTTCTAGGTTATTATCCCCCGGCGTAGGACATCTGGTTAGCGGACAAAGGTCTGGCCGCGGTGTTGTATGGTGCTGTGCTGTTAGTGCGGATGTGGTCGGGTCCAAGAGCCCTCCATCAAACCTTTGAGAGAGAGAGAGATATCTTATTTGCCCTCGCTAGCAGGTACTACATGGAACCACGGCGTGCATCAAACCTTTGACCCACCCATTACAAGCGTTATTATGCAGCGCCCCGAACAGTGCTTCGACGATCAGACGCTTCTCATGAGAAGCCATATTGCTCGCTCCTATAACTACTCTGGAGATACCAGCGGCGTCGACGCGGAGATGCTCAGAGGCTATAATGCAGCCATCGATTTATTGGCTCATGCTCGTGAAAAAGATCCAAAAAGCAGCATAGAACGTCTTCCGAACGAGCTCTTGATCGCCATCATCGAGAAAGTAGCTGACCGTTGGGGGGGATATTACCCTATTAATTACCAGCGGGACCTGCTCGTTCTTAGCTTGGTCAATTGTAGATGGGCGACATTGATTCTTCAAACGCAATACCTCTGGACTCGAATCTATTTGACAGAGAATATTGAGGACCTCGAGGCAATGACGGCCATAATACTCGAGCTCTCAGGAGATTCTCCCCTCGAACTGGCTTACTATGCAGAATCTGATATTATCCGTAAGGTTGCTCACCTAATTCAGCCTCATCTCCACCGTGTCACGCATTTGAAGCTTCTACAGTATCATGGCGAAAGCGACCACGGTACTGACCCATTCTTCCCTCATACTATATTTCCATCTCTGCAGGATATTTCGACACAGTATATATCACCCAAGGACATTGTAGCATGTCTCTCACATCACGAGGTTTTGGCCCCTTACAAACATCTGATAGAAGGCGACGTTTTCTCTGTCGAATTGAAAATCAAGGAGAAAAATTGGTCTCATTTCAGTCAACTGTGATATCTATGGAGAATATTCAGCGTCTTGAAGACATTCCGACACTCGAGGGTGTTAGTATCTTCGGAGATTATGAACCATCGGGAGATCTATCACCCCCGGTCAAAGAGAGACAACACAAATTGGGCTGGAAGAGTCTTTTTATTAGCAGATTTCCCTGGAAGAGGATCCAAGGGATACTTGGCCGCTGTACGTCGCTCGTCTCGTTGTCACTTATGGGTATCGATGAGACAGCAGCGCTGGAATTAGCCCAAATGATACCGCAGTTGATTCTCCTCGAGGAAATTAGCGTTGAATTAGATGGGGACACGGCACTAGAGACGCCAGCCATATCGAGTGGCCATGGTAGCGACCAAACAAGGATACGGACAATAAGCTTGGATCTGAGTCGAGTTGTATCGAATACGGAAATCACGGGCGACATCCTGCGTTTACTCCTTCCCATATCTCCGCGACTAGAATGGCTGTCGCTAAGGGGGTGTCGTATGAACAAGCTTGACTTCACTGAAATCAATAAACTCAAGGAGTTGCGAACACTGGTCCTATCCATTTGGGGGTCTACTCTCGAACCAAAAACTACCAGGCTTATGCTAGCCTGCCCGAAATTAGAGATGGTGCAGATTTCAGGACCCACCAACGCTCTTAATTCACTGGGAAGTTCAAGTGCACGTGAACTGGACTATGAGTTTGCAGCGATGGAGTCTTCACCGATCATTAAAATCACCGGACAAGATTGGCCTTCTCTACGGAGTCTGACGTTGTCTATGGATTCTACTCCCACGTTGTGTGGTCTTGATTCATTGAGACAACTATCACTGTGGAGCCAATCCTTAGTCACAACCATGATTCTCTATCTAGCGATGCATCCCAGCGAGCTTCCTTTGCTGGAGACGCTCGACCTGCACGCCTGTCCTGAATGGGATATCCTCTTTATTATGCTGGAGAAGCGGTTACTCACGCAAACATATGGAATCAAGCCTATCGAGAATTTAATATTTGATAGGGCGATCTCGACGAGGATTAAACATTCCCTTGCGTCACTCCTCGCAGGACATATCCTCCCGCGACCATCAAACTACGAGCTTTCAATGCAAGGAAACCTGGAACTCTTCTTGGACACCAATATGTGAGTGATATCAAGAGATTGCCGACTGCATGCTAAGGATTTGATTAGCCCTGGATGTGTAGATTGTCACCTCTACCTATATCCCTGCGACTTGGTGGTACTTCATACATCTCCTATCGGGTCAGTGTCTACCATCGAATATCCAGAGAGTGTCGACGAGATACTGAGAACACAAGCTATGCGCTATGAGCAAATGAGGAGTATACATTATCCTCTTTTTCCCACAACTCGAGAACCGCAGTGTAACCGCTTTCGCGGCTCCGTAGAGGTTTCTCGTTACTCATTAGCGTGATGCTACCTATTCAGTGATGTTGCTTTGATATGCAATTTGATCGTTATTTGTAAGCAGCACGGAAAATGTGAAAGGCTATCATTAGTCCTCTGAAGACGCCAGAGACCATTAGTGTCAAATGTGAGTTCGGATGATAGAGAATGCATTTTTCATCCATTCATAGATCCATCATCGAAATTCCTGCATCATAATCTGGAGTAGCGAACTGCGTGCTAATCAATTGATTCTCGGGCTAGTTCGTGACTACCTACGCCCATTGGACTAAGGTATTCGTGTTCGACCACACGGTCGTCCTTACCTACTTCCTTTGCGGATGCAGGATTTTGACAAGGGACCGATGCAGACCAATTGATATTCTCTTGTAAGGCATATAAGTCTCTATCTCTAGGTTCCTTATTAACCAAGATTTTGACCCGACCGCGACCAACATTATGCAAGAGACCATGATGGGAATTTATAACTGTTCGTCAATATACGATACCAAATCGCTGAACAGATGCGTCCTCGATCAAGAGTAGGCGACCATTTAATTCTTACTATCGCACGCAAATATATCCCTTGGATTGGGTCTTCATTATTCATGAGCGGCTGGCTCGTACAATCATGGATTTACGACAATGCCTTGAGAATCGCCTCGCCAACGCCTTTTGCAGAGGCGGGATTTTGACCCGTGATTAGCTTTCCGTCCTGCTGGACACAAGCTCCCCACGCTTGGCTCGCCTTTTGATAGTTGCCTCCGAGTTCGACAATCTAAGCGTGTCAGTGGTGAACATATAAAGTGATGAGAAGATACGTACCCGATCTTCGAGCATGAATGGAATGGATTTAGGAGCCGTCTTGCCTGCTTGCTCTTCTTCTGCGTTGCTAAAGCCAGTCGCTTTGCGGCCTTTGAAGATGGGGTGACCTTGCTCGTCTGATGCTCCAACAAGAGCCCTGTCCTGGTTCAGTGATACGATGGAATACTTGATTGGTTACTTGCCCTGGTCCGTGGCAAACGCTGCGCGGTCATCAGTATGAGTCGTACAGTGAAAGGACAAACTCACGCTGCGACAACTTTGCCACTGCGCCAAAACTAAACGTGGTTAGATAGAAAGGAGTGCGTGCCTAGGTCTCACCTCGTTGATCAGTTTGATGTTGAGTGGGTCAGTGGCCAGGTCAAGCATGGGCCCGTGTCTGCCAAAGTCAGGTTCATTGGTGGATATATAGTGGCAGATACGAACCCTCCGACGTAGAAGATAGCGTCGTAACTAGCGTGGTGTTAGATTCGACACGGGGGGCGGTGGTATTACGCACTCAGCGGCAGAGACTTGGTTGAGGGACTTTGCAGTGTCCATCTTTGACTTGACTTCGGTGTCATTCAAAAACTTGGTACTATCCTCGTCCTCTTTGAATTGCTGTTGACCGTTAATTAGTGTGCCGGTGTGGAGGCTGGAGACCTACTTCTACGCTTTCCATGTCCAGCGGTGGGTTGGCACCCGCTGGGGAAGCAAAGTCGATGGTGACATGATCACGAAGGACATAGAATGGATGAGCGGCTGTAGCGAATCGTCAGATATACGTCGATGGCCTAGAGGCAGAGCAATAACCTTCGGGCAGGTACCATCCGGTGGGACGACCGTCGAGCAGCTTGTCTGCGGACGTAAAAACGAATAGAACGCGCATCTGAGACATGTTGGTTGGGTTTTGCTAGAGATGGAGGAGACCAAGTTATAAGCTCCCTCTCTGGTCGATGTGCGCATGGTCAAGACGTCATCGCTGACCAAGGCCCAGCGTTTGAAATCTGTGAAAGAAAGGTCAACTGATGCCAAAGAAGTATGGCGAAGCGTCGCTAAAGGGGATGCGTAGAGTCTGGGGCCCGGTGGGAACGATTTCGAGGCGTTGAGCGAATACGACGTCAGAGTGGCCTGGGAAAGTCTTACCAAACATGACATAGACCAATAATAGTGTTCTAATCTGGTTGAGCTCGCGAAATCGTTGATATTATTTAGCGACCGATAGCTAGTAGAATCATATAATTCAAGTCGCTAGATATCAATTATCACATTTTAAGGCTGATGGCTGGCTAATGGATTCATTTTCGAAATTCCGGTCGTTGGTGGCCACGGCGTCCTTGATTAACAAAACAATCAAGGTCCTAGTGCTCAAATACGCGTGAATAAATCCAGAAATGCGCGTTTGACGCGTGCCCAACGCCGTAGACGCGTCCAAGGTCTAGTCCTCGGGGCAGAGTCCCTGGGGTCCCTTCTCCTCTTGACCCCCTCCAGCCCGCCGTCGTTGCCAATATTCTCTCCAAAATTTACTCTGCGGGTTTCTTGTGCTGACTAGACATTGATGGCGCTCGTCTCAACTCCTAGCAATGCGTTTCAGCAGCGCTTGAACAAGGAGAATGGTCCCCACCAGCTCGAGACGCCTTCAACGGCGAGCTCAACGGCGTCAAGACAGCGTGTCGTGTTTTCAAATCGAAACCAGGAGCATTGGTTTGGCCCCGTGCTCTCTGTCTATCGCACGCCCTCGTCGTCACAAGAACCCTCAAAGTCCATCCTCAAAAAGCGCACCTATGAAGAGTTTCTTGCTGACGACCTTTTTCCTCCCGATCAACTCCAACGACCGAGCACGCCAGAGCCAGAAAATCCGCCGGAACAGCCAACCTATTTGCTGTCGCCCATCAAGACGATTGTCCAGTCTGTCGCTCCTGGCTCTTTTGACGACGTTCCAGAGCCCACTCTGCTCAATCTCATCGAGGCTTACTGCGTCCTCAACGCCCGTATCCGCGCAAAGCTCCTGCCGGTGCCCACCCTTGGCGAACCAAAGCCAGCATCGACTGAGACATTGGTCATACCGGCCATACAGCCGCTGCGCCAGTATATCAACCAGATCGCTATCGCAATGACTCGAGATATCTCTCGGGCTCTCGAGGACCCGCTCAAAGGTAGTGAAACCCCCCAAGAGGACCTCCCTAGTCTGCCCTCGCCACCGCCTTCCTCACCCATGGCCTTCGACTCGTCGCCAATGGCGCTTAGCACTGCGTCGGACACGCCTGCAAAAAAGTCTGGCATGAACGAGCAGCAGGTCAAACACGCACGAGACCTGTGTACGGTCGCACAGTCTGCCATGAAGTTCTTTTCGTGCCTACTCTCGTTTACGGGCTTGATACACAATGGCATCCTTTTCACAGGTGATTGTTTTGACTGCAATATAAACGACTACTTACAGTTTCTTTCAGAGCAGCAGTTATCTGTCCTCGTTGGCGCTGTCCTCTCTGTCCCACAGGGCTCACCGTTACCAACGCCAAACTCTCGCAAGACATGCGCACTTGCAGTTGGTATCCTCGCTAATTGCAGTCTGCCAGCAGCAGTCCTAGAGCCACACGCGACCGAGATTGCGACCGTGTTCAAGCGTGGCATTGACGGCGAGCTGGGTAGAGAAGGCAAGAAGGGATCAGCAAGTGATGCAACGCGAGGCGTACTCTTGCTCAGCCTGGAGCATCGGGCATTTTCCTCTTCCCGTTTAGCATTCTTGTCCCCTCCCTTCTCCGCATTATCTCTGGACCCACAAACAATATGCATTCGCATTCTGGGTTTGCGCTCGGTGGTTTGGCGTGGGCATCCATTGAAGCACCCTCGACCCCAACCGCTATTCGGGACGCCGTGACCGAATGCCTCTCTTTGAAGCCAGCAAAGAAAAAGGATGGCAACCAGAAGGATGTCCAACCTCCTCCAGTTCTTGTTTCCGTTACCAGATACTTTCACCATCTCTTGCAAACGACAACCGCAAAGGACTCTGGCGATGGCAAATCGGAGGTGGGATCCGCGGCAGCTAATGCGGCACATACTGTCGCCATGTGGGGGCTCATGGTTCTGAGTTCGCTCATTGTCCTTTCCCAGGGGGCATTCCATAATAGCAAGCTCCTCACTGGGACCATCACCCGAATTGCTCGTATCCTCCTCGCGAGCAAACGTGTGGCGATCCGTACCGCTGCATCCTGGTGCTGGCGATCCTATCTGTGGTCTGTCATGCGTCAATTTGACGAAATGGACGTCGAGCAGCATGATGACAAGGTCGAACTCATCCAACGAGTATTTGAGTTTCTGGACAAGGGAGTCGGAACCGGTCTTGTGTGTGCGTTGCTCGTTGGCAGTGCCGGTCGAGAGGATAGGGATTTGAGGATCGACTTGAGCTTGACCGCGCTCTCCGAGATGACCAATCGACGGGCAAATGTGGACGAAGTTCTCCATGTTCTTTCACGTCTACTCGAGACGGAAAAATATGCGAGCCCCGAAGGACCAGCGCTTGGATGGGACTTGAATAAGCTCCTACCAATGCCGCTCTTTGATGGACAACTGGCGGATGCCGATCCCAAACAAGTGCTTGTTCTCATCAAGCAGCAAGCGTCGCTGGACGAAAACTGGGCAGAAGAAATCACGCCCCTCAGAAAAGAGGAATGTGATAGTCGATTGAGCAAGCTCTATGAAATTTGGCATGGTGCTGTCAGATCTCAAGGAATTGACGAGCGTGGGCATCCATTTGTATGTATACCCGCTCTCTCTCTCGCTGCATTATTAACGCCTCCAAAGGAGAATATTCAAGAAGCTTGGAAGCTCCTGGTCAAGCTTCTTCCGACACCCCCATCGGAAACAGTCCTGTCGTTTATCACTGAGCCCACTCACACCTGGACAAATATTGCCGAGCCTACCAACTCTAGCTCCTTGATCCCACATCAGGTTGCCCAAATCCGTTTCCTCAAGTGTATCTGGAATGGTCTTGCCCAGCATTTCGGCCCCATTCCGGAAATGAAGCAGCTCGCGCTCGACATTTATGACCAAGGACTCCAAGTATTTCAACTCGAGGAGAAGAAGATTGAAGAAGTGTGTCTCGAGCTCTTCTTCCAACTCTCAGAGATTGAAAACTCGATCGTCTCCCTCATCACGGAACATGACGAGTGGTCTGCTTCGCTCAAGCACACATTCTGGACGCAGAGCATCAACCTTGCGACGGACGAGGACCTCTTGCGAACTCTGTGCCGTGTTCCATTTGGGTAAGCGTCGCGTATCTACGACACTGATGGCTGACATTACCTAGCGAGCCACAACCATTTGAACTGTCTGAAGACGACTGGATCTTCTGGGAGATGACATGGCAACAGTATGCTTCGATTCGAGGAGAGGACCACGCCGATATCTGGATGTTGCATCAGCAGTTTGCGGACGAACTCTCTAGTCACCTCTTGTGAGTTTTTTCATCATAAGCGGCCACTCTTCTAACTTTGTTTCCAGGCCAGCTGAAGCGTGCAAGATTGTCACAGCGATTCTTCGAACTCTTCCAACGACCCCGGCCCCTCAAGATGTCGACTGCCATAGCTTTTACACTCTTCTCAACCAGACGTTGCTTCTTGCCTATAGCTGCGGCTCCAAGGAGTGCATGCATCTCGCCATCTCCATCCTGCGCGTCTTGACGCAGACGATGCCACTGTTGCATGAGACTTGCTTGGATGCCCTCACTCCTTGCTTAATCCACTGGATCCACGACGAAGAGCACCATTTGTCCGACTCTGAATACGACCTAATCGTTGGTTCGACATTTGAAGCAGCCCTCAATGTCCTCAAGCGCAAGGCAGTGTCTGGTGAGACGCTTGCGGCTCACAGTGAGTTGTTGGCATCCATCGAAGCTCGCTCGACGGAGGGCGGCGCGACGCGAACTGTCTTCCAACGCTTCTGGGATGGACAATATGCGGGTGTTATCAGTATGGATGATGTCCCCGAAGCACTGTATCCACTTTTGCAGATCACGGAATCAGTGGCCGAGACAGAGGCCATGGAGGAAGAGGACGCGGCGGATAACTTGATGCAGAGCGACGATACTCCCTCGCAACCCTCTTCATCGCCCGGAATTCCGAATGTCCACGCCGCGTCCCCTCTTCGAGACCCACTTGCCCATGTCGCACCTGCGAGCGAGGCACCCGATGCCCTCGACGATTTACCACCAGAAGTCGCGGCCACGATCGGCCTAAGACGATGGACAGGCTCTTCCGATGATCTTAGCGCGTCCGTCTTTGGCAATGAATCTGTGCCTTCGCCCTTCTACCGCGTCTCGAGGCCTTCGCGATCCATCTTCTTCTCGCCCGGAACGCCAGGCAGGAGCACCATCCCCAACTTTAATTATGTTCCCAGCCCTGCTTATCTTGGACACAGTCCCCGAAAGCCAACTTCTCTTTCTTGCGAGCTTTCGGCTTCGTTGTTCGGCACTGAATCTCCTGCCTCTCCCAATAAGAAGAAGAGACGCATGGGCGATGACGATGATGGTATGTACATAAACTACTTGCTGGACGTGAAGCTGACAGGTCCTAGACATGACTCCGAGCAAGCGCAGACGGCACGCCGTGGACACCGACTCGGAATCAGACTCGGACGATGATAAAACGCCAAAGAGGCCGTGGCTCGACTTCGACCCAAGCTCAGACGATGAAGGGCCTCTGCGGTCAATGCCGTTCCGACCATTTTCGGCCCACAATCTTCCAATGAGTCCCTTCAAGTTTGGAGCACTCTCGTCTGCGCCACCTTCGCCAGCTAAACCGGTGCCGACTGTCAAGCAGCTCAACGAGTGTCTCGCCGAAACCACGCTTGAGAGCCAACCCCGCTATGTCGAGAGCGGACAAATGGAAAAGGGAAACCCTATTGCTAAACGCCGCCGCCTCGAGAGTGAAGACGATGTTTCGACTATCGAGCTTGTGCCCTTCTCTGATGATGCACTTCATAGTGGTGAGTTCAGACTGGGGTTTGGCTGGTCGGTACTTATAGGATTTCAGATGATGTTACGTCTGACTCACTTCCTCCATCCGACTCGCCTGTTCTAAATTCGGATGACCTTGATCCTCATGCCATCGTATCTCCTCCCATGGCGGAGGGTGAGGCCGGCAGTGGTGCGTTTTCCAAGTCGTTACATGCACAGAGACTTATGCCAGTATAGACGATAGCAACGACAGTCCTCTCAAAGCCCTCGCTGACCGCAAGAAGCGCCAAAACGTGTCAAAGGTCCGCTCGTCGCCCTATTCTCCTCGAAGACTCCAGCCACCGACTCCGGTCAAACACGCACAATCGGAGCCATTCTCGGGCCCTGAATTCCAAAAGGCCATCAAGCAAGCGTTTTCACTTTTCCCGTCCATGGACAACAAGAGTTTGCAGCACATGTCGTCGCTCTTGGATCAAATGCGGAGCAAGGTTGACACCGAGCTCGAGCGTCGGCGTTCGGAACCTTGTTGAAATCCCTTCTACTCGAGTAGTGTACAGTATACCTCGCGTCTCGTCATGTCTGCCAACCATGTAGAATAACAGTCATTGAAAACATCGCAACGTTGCACTTAGTATGACATGTATGATGGGAAGGACAATGACTGATGCTATATTTTGCAGCGTATAGGCATGCAATTGATTGAGATACAAGAGAGGGTGCACTAGATCACGAACGCGTCTGTGGCCAGCGAGCGAGCGGAGACATGTATGCTAGGGCGTGCAAGCGGTGTAGCGTGAGGTAACCAAGGAGGGCTAGGAGGTATGCAAAAGTAAGGGGGTTGCGCGTAGCGAATGCGAGTGACCGGAAGAGTAATGTTGCTGGTACATGAGTGTCGTATAAAAGCGAACGAAGGACCATAGGACAGCACGTGTCCTATATAATACGCAGGTATCATGATAAATCGAATCAACCATCGGGTGCTGGTTGATGTTCACCTTTTGGCCGTTCACCTTTTGGCGTGGGGTCGTCGGGAGTGGGAACACTAGCCGAGTTCCTAGCCGTCGAAGAAGAGGAACATCTGCATCTGCGTTTAGTAAAATTGGGGTTGGAAGATGGGAGAGACATACATCGAGGACGGGGCCCGCGTTTCCCGATCCGACGTTCGACTCGTTCTCACCACGGCAGAACCAAAGACATCGACAGGAGAGCCAGTGCTGCCAATGACACCAAAGCAGGACATGCTCGTCAGGGACTCATCAATAGATAATTTTGTCGAGCTAGACGAGTTTGATGAGCCGAGACTGGGCTCTCGACTGGTGCGCTTGACGGGCACAGTGGTAAACTGATCCCACGAGTCATCTTCAACGTATCTAGAATACGATTTGACGCGTTTTTTCTTGTTCCGGCTGGTCAATCTAGTCGACGGCGTAATCTCGCTCACAGGCGAGCTCGGTTCACCTGCTGAATCGTGTACTTGATCTTCACCCAATGAGGCAAGTGTAGACGTGTACGACAGGGTCCTACGCGCATAAGGTGGGCGGTCTGGTGGCGTCAAGGATTGACCTTCTGTAGCACTCGTTCGACCAGCGCGTGCTGCATTGACATAAAATTCGATACCGTGAGTTTGTAGCGATCGTTCGATAGGGTTGGATGAATCGGAAGAAAGGGACGATTGGAGCGGAATGTTCATCTGCGTGACGGTACTGGTTGAGCGACCCCGCGCTAATTGTTGAAACGGCGAGTCTTCAGAAATGGCGTGAACAGCACCCAGTGCATGCGCATGAATTTGCTGTGGAGTAAGCGTCGCTTTGGCCTCTGAGACAGGGGACGCCGGAGGCTGCTCGGGGGGAAGTGCTGGTGCGGTCGAGGGGTTGACTATTCCTATCAGACGCTCACCCCAACGGCGCGATGTTGACGTGTTGAAGTGAACACAAACGAGTAGGTCCGACTCGTGTCTGCTGAGCCCGCCGAGGGCGTCGTAGGGGCACTATTGGATGCCGAGATGATGCGCTGGGACGTTGCAGACAGCTCCAGCGACTCCTGTTTGCCTGGGACAGTTGTAGACTATATCCGACATTAGTAAGCCCCATCTGGGCACAATTTTTCCAAGATGCGCACCTGAGCAACGTCCAATGAGATGGGACCCTAGCAGGTGAATGATAAGGCCAAAACACGAAATAAAGCCGCTCATACGTACCGGAGAATTGCGCTCACCGGCTCCAGATGAGCGACCTTCAGAAGCCGATCTGGGTCTGCCGGGCAAGTGGGACTGCGAGCGCAAACGGTTTGGGATGAAAGCAAAGGAGAATAGAGACGACGACGAACCTTTGGAGAGGGTCTGTCATCCTTGTAAATTGATAAATGTCAGCAGATGGCTCGTTCACAAAATAACAGGGCTCGCACTGAGAGATGATCGCTCCCGCTCGAGCCGTTTGAGGCACCACTGGTCTTGTCCTGATTCAAGCAGTCGTCTTTTGACAATCGTGGACTTGGAAGAGTGTCGCGCAGGTCTGGTTTCGTCGTGCCATCGCCGCCGGGAGCTGCAGGGCGCTCGAGGGGCGTGGGCACGGATTCTGAAGCGTCCAAGCTAGCTGAATGTGCCTCATGCTGTGAACCGTGCATTGTTTTTGTCGCCGAGGGCGACCAGAGGCGTCGGAGCGGCCAAGTCGCAAAAGCGAGAACAGCGCACGCTGAAGAGCGCTGTAAACGCTGGGTATGAGCAGACGAAACGTGCTCTGGAATGGCAGAATGGCTGGCCAGACGTGGTTGCGGTTCAAGACGAGCCGTCGAGGCAAAATTGGCCAAGAAGGGCTACGATTCCCGTTGTTAATTCGAGACTGGATCGGACACGGCAGCATATGGCCCAGCGACGGCTAAACTGATTTACATTTCAAAGAGGCCAGTACGCACTCTCTCCGACATTCCACAACACAGACTTGACCGCCGTGTACTCAGCCAGCGCATACGACCCCAGTTCACGCCCAATCCCGCTCATCTTATACCCTCCAAACGGACTCTGGTTGCTCAGCAGTCCGTATTGGTTGATCCACACCTACCCGTGGCGTTAGACACATAACGGACACTCCGGCACAACCCCCACGCACCGTTCCAGCTTCTAGAGCAGACGAAACGCGAATGCATTGGCCCCCATCTTTGGAAAAGACTGCTGCAGCCAGTCCATATGCAGTGTCGTTGGCTAGCTCCACGGCTTCTTGCTCAGTGTCGAACCTTCCAATGCAAATGACAGGCCCAAATATCTGTCAAAATCCTATTCATGAACGACGTCGGAGCTTGCGTTTCAGAAACTACGGACCTCTTCTCGGACCTGGAACAAGTGCTTGGTCAATCATGGGCCCTGGGCCTCGGGTCTACTTACAATCTCCATTTCCCTCTTGACGTCGGTAAAGACTGATAGCCCAGTGGGTCAGAGACATGCCACTTCCATCCTGTTTCACGCACCCACGGGGTCCACAAAGTACCCTTTGGCCCTAGGCCGAGGGCTGTGAATAAAAGGAGTCGCACCGGCTGCAATTCCCTTGTCGATAAAGGTCAGGACTTTCTCGTGTTGCGCTTTCGAGATCTAACGAGATTAAGGCGCATCCCAGGACCTTGTGGGAGAAACCGACCAAGGGCCCCGCACTCGATTCGGGGTCAAAGCCCTCCCCAAGTTTGTACGCCGTAATCTTCTCCTTGATGATATCGATAAACTTTTCGTAGACGGAAGACTGTACGTAAACGCGGCTTCCGCACGTGCAGTCTTGTCCAGTATTATAAAGCCCCCCCATCAGCGCCCACGAAGCAGCTAAAGATAGTCAGCCAAAGATAACCGTGAGAGAGCTGCGTACTCTGCTCTAAATCTGCGCTCTCAAAGACGAGACTGGCCGACTTTCCTGTCATTTTTGGGTGAGATGGCGGCTCGATTCAGTCGCCTTACCTCCCAACTCTAGCGAGACCTAGGGGTGGGCCGCTTAGTCGTGCCGAATACTCAGAAAGCTCCACACGCGCACCTTTTTCAAATTACTCCTTGCGGCTGCCTCCATGATTTTGCGTCCCGTAACTGTGCTACCCGTAAACGCAATCTACCAAATTGGTGAATAACCGATGAATAGAAAACGGGTTAGATACCTTGTCGACCCCAGGATGAGCCGCTAGTGCGGCACCACCAACGGAGCCGAGGGCAGGTACGCAGTTGAATACCCCTGGGGAACCCCGCCTCTACGATGAGCTCACATAGTTTCTACCAATCCTCGGTTACTGGAATTTGATGAACTTAAGCAATGGCGTACCAAAGCCGTTAGCGGCGTTAGCTCTGATGGTTTCTGTCTGGCTGGTCAGATGTGCATTTTATCCAATCAACACGACGTGCCATAACAACGGTGCAGCCCACAGCGAGTGCCGGACCAGTCTTCCAGGCCCACATCATGATAGGATAGTTCCAAGGAATACTAAAGGGTAATGGATGAGGAATTGGGGCACCAAACGCGATTGGCTCACATCTGGCCGCAAACACCAATGGGTTCTTCCCGCGTATACGCAAACTTGGTTGGGGGGTTACTGCCAATCTGCTGTCCCACGACCTTGTCAGCAAATCCCGCGTAAAAGCGGAGACAGGCAACGGAATCTGCAATGTCACCATCCCTGTTTTTTTATATATTTGAGTGTGACCGTGATCATGGTAGAGAGTCCAAACCTGGCGATTCGTGCCGGCTTTCCGTTATCGAGAGACTCGAGTTCGGCGAGGACTTGCTGATCGCGTTCCATGAGATCGGCCAGCTTGTATAGCAATCTTCCACGTTCCGTTCCAGACACGTTCATTCCCCATGTCGTTTTGAATGCCTTTCTCGCAGACGCCACAGCTGCGTCGATATCTTCGCTCGTTGCTGGGGATGGCTCAGAATCTGCTTTTGTACGTTTCCAAATATACTTTACCTTCAGATACTGCACATATGACCTCTTCTGTAGCTGGATTGATTGTCCTTGAACTGGTATCAGTGGTCCCTGTTGACGAAGTTGGTGACGCCTCACTCAAATGTTCCACCATTCTTGGGTAGGACAAACTTGTTGTCGATAAAAAGTCCCGTATTGACATTGGCAGTCCCACTGGGCAACTGGATGGACACGGACGAAGCCATGATGATTGTACTCAAAGCACGAGTGCGGCAGAGTTCAAGACTGGCCCTATGATGAAAAGGAACTCTCAATCTGAGCCGAGCCAACATAATAGGGCACCGGTCCAGAATTTGAGCAAACAATCAGGGATTGGCGGAAATATCCGAGGCCAGAGTCATTACGCCCTTTTGGAAGCAACCACGATAATCCGACGAGCACGATGAGCGACGCTCAGGCCTCTGCATCTACTCAAGAACCGCTTGTAGAAGATCCAGCTGCACCATCAAAGAGTGCATTGAAGAAAAAGGCAAAAGAGGAGGAAAAGGCGCGCAAGGCAGAGGAACGAAAGCGCAAAGAGGAAGAAGCAAAAGCCGCAAAAGCTGCCGCTGATAGCGTGGTGAGTCCTTGATACGCTCCCTCTACTCCGATCACAACTGATTCGTCGCCACAGGACGTCGCCGCAGATAGCTATGGCAGGTTACCGCTTCATCAATCCCAGGACGATACACCAAAGGAACCCTTTAAGCGATTGGAAACGATCGGAAGTGAGGATGTTGGCAAAACTATCACCTTTCGGGCACGTTTGGCGAATAGCAGACAGCAGGGAAACAAAATGCTATTTTGCGAATTCAGGCAAAGTCTGGTCAGCATCCAAGGTCTCCTGGAGCTCAATGAGAATAAGGAAGGAAAGCCACTCGTGAGTGTCATTTCTAACCCCCTTCTCAAACCTGCGATTCGAACAGTAGTAGGTTTCCAAGCAAATGATGAAATTCTGCGCTGCTATCACATTGGAATCGCTTGTTCTCGTCGAAGGAAAGGTTACGGCAGTCGACAAGCCGGTGGAATCCACGACGATCAAGAACTTTGAGGTTCATATCGGCAAGGTCAGCCAATCAATCACAATTTTACTCTTTACTCAGTGACACTAGATGTGGACGGTTATCGCAGTCAACCCGTTGCCAATTCAGATCACCGCCGCCACTCAGCCTCCCCCAGCAGAGGATGCCTCGGTCAGTCGCCTAGACATTGTGAGGCACCCTTCTCATTAGATTACTAGGAAGAGGCCAAGCAAGCCACTATCGGTCTCGACACCCGTCTGAATTACCGCGTTATCGACTTGCGGACACGCACCAATCAAGCCATCTTCCGTATCCGTTCCGGCGTCAAACACCTCTTCCGCGAATACCTTGATGCGCGCGGCTTCATCGAGTTTGAAACGCCAAAACTGCAAGGTGCAATGACAGAGTCTGGCGCAAGTGTGTTCAACGTCAAGTACTTTGAGCGCCCAGCCTTTCTCGCGCAATCGCCCCAACTCGCCAAGCAGATGATCGTCTCGGGTGACTTTGATCGCATGTACGAGATTGGACCCGTTTTCCGTGCTGAAAACTCGTGGGGCCCACGGCACATGACAGAGTTCACCGGGATGGATATTGAAATGGCTATTGAACACCATTATCATGAAGTCGTCTCACTTCTGGAAGACATGCTCATCTTTATCTTCCACGGTCTCAATAAGCGCTTCGGCCAACCGGGAGGAGAGATTGAATGGGTCCGTAAGCAATGGCCGTCTGAGCCATTTGTCGTCCCCGAAAAGGCAGTACGACTACGTTTCTCTGAAGGCATTCAAATGTTGCGCGAGGCAGGCCGCGACCTCGAAGAGCTAGAAGATCTAGGGTAACTCTGGTTTTCAGCTAGCTTGCATGACGCTAATCATTTGGAAGCACGGAGGATGAAAAGATGCTCGGAAGACTTGTCAAGGAGCGTTACAATACCGATTTCTTCGTCTTGGACAAGTTCCCTGCAAAGATTCGTCCATTCTACACAATGCCTGATCCGCATGATCCAGTGAGTCTCACCCACTCCTTTTCTTCGGAACTCACACGAGTTTAGAGGTACTCCAACAGCTACGACTTCTTCATGAGAGGTCAAGAGATTCTCTCTGGCGCGCAACGAGTTCACGATGCGGAATTACTCAAACAGCAAATGGCAAAGGTTGTCCCTCCGATTGACCCCTCGATCATGAAGGATTATATCAATGCATTTGAGTATGGCGCGCCTCCTCATGCCGGAGCAGGTCTAGGTACACCTTAGTCTTATTTCTGGACACTTTCTAACTGAATCATCCTAGGTCTCGACCGTATTGTCCAGTTCTTCCTCAATCTGCCGAACATTAGGCTAGCCGTTGCATTCCCTCGCGACCCAGGCCGCATTGAACCATAAAGTTAGATCATGATCTCTGTATTGATCATCGGTTGTCCGTTGATATATAGAATACGACCTGGCTTGTGCTCTGTTTTGGTAGGCTGAGGTTTGAGCATTGGGTTTAGGTCGATCAACTCCTGTGGCCACTCGCGTTCGACGCGGACCATTGCCGTATACTGTAGTGACTCCTTTTCCTCCATTGAGATGTATTCAAGGACAAGGTTGGCCGCGCTCTGAGGAATGACAACCATTGCACCTCGATTCAGCGAGTCGCCAAACATCTCTACGTCCTCAGGCAGCATCATTGGGTTAACATGGTCGTCCGAGTCGTTCGCCACGACCACTCCCAGTGCACCGACATCGATGGCATGGTGGAGCTTTGCGGCAAAGAGACAGCCGCCTCTTTCCACGTAGATTACCGTGCCCTTTAGCTTCCCTTCCGGATCGCTATAAGGCGAGCATCCGGCAACGTTGTCTTTGACTTTGACCAGATGCGCCCCTGAGAAACCAAATGTCGAATTGGATGAGGAATGTCGAGCGTCGTCCAAATCGACCCCAAAGTCTGCCGTATCGGCCTCGACAACAAACTCCCTCACCGGGAGGTCTTCTCCCAGACCAGCGTCAGTATTGAGTATCCCCTGTGCCCCCCACACGTAGAATCTGAGCGGAACTGATCTCGCCCTTTGTGGAGTTTCGTCCGTCTTGTTCTGTGGTTCGCCAAAGAGTAAAGTGTCGTTGAAAAAGACTTTTTCGCCTTGGCGAACATTCATGTGTCCGACTGAGTAAATGTTAGATGCTGACGGTTCGTGACTGTTGTGCGCTTACTCTTGACAATATCATATCCTCGACCGTCAAATCGACTCCGGATACGCACACGCAAGCCCATGACCTCCGTGACAACGACACCATTCTGGTATGGACGCATCTTCCGACTGAGGGACATCACATCCTCGTCTTCTGGGGAGCTGTGGCCATACCGGGAAAGAAGAACGTCGTGGGACTATGACGCGCCATGAGAACGGAACTAGGACATCCGATCTACTCACGAAGATTTCAACAGTGGGCACCTCGCAGAGTCCATAAGGTTGTGACCAGAGCACGTCTGGATCAAATTCGGTGTCGGCTGGCACAAAATCAACGAGCGTCCGTGCATAATCATAATCTGGTCGGCTTCGGATGCCGTAGCTCAGAGGAGGCATCCGTACACCAGCGTTACCGACGTAGGGCTCCACGACCGGACACACTAGGTTCTCGTGCTAGAATTGTCAACTTATGAGGACCCTAATTTCCAAGATGACATACTTTGCGCGACTCCCTCCGGACCTCTGACATTGGCCGGAGGTGAGTGGTGTTCAAGGTCAAAACGTGACCCTCAGTTGTAAATACCATGTTCGAGTCGGACGATGCAAGGGGGTTGTTTTCGTCGAAGAGTAGGTATAGATATTTGAGCGTTTCAGAAAGCGCAAAGCTCTCCATGCGGTCATCTTGTCGGTTCTCGAGCACGTCTGCCAATGCTGCCAACCCGCACTCCGTCTTTGTTCGTGATTCTAGATCATGATAGACCTGTGCTCCGACATCTAGGTAGAATGGATCCTTTGTTGCCTATGCACATAAGCATAAAAGTACGTCGAATCAGGATGCTGCTCACCTGATATAAGAAGAATGTCGTCTCAATAAATTCTAAAAGAAAAGTTAGTGCTGCTCAAAGCTTTGCTCCTTAAATTACCTGGTCGTAGTGGATATGATGTAACTGTGAGTTTATGACTTGCAGTATTGAATAGTTCAGGTATAGCATGATATTTCCTCCATAAACTCCAATCTAGAATTGCTCAGAAAGATAATAATATGATTTGTTTACTCACAAAATAGATGTGATTTGATGGCATTCTGAACATCTCCCGCCAGAACTTGCAGGCCTCCCCAGAAAGCAGAGAGCGAGTCAACATTGGAGGAGGACGTTCCCCCTTGATGCATATTAATGATACGATACTGGGATTCGCTATCAGAGAGGGATACATCTGTATATCGGAGGACTTGCCGAGTATCCATCTTTTGTGCGCGCATAGCGCATGATAGAATCGTATGCTTCGTTCCAGACATCGAGAAACTCGGGTTCACCTATTTTAAATGAGAGGAGTCCAGTCTGTGCGGGGACGAGCTACTGACCACTGAGCACATACCTATCGGATATTAGATTGTGTTCATTTCCGGCTGAGAAAGAACCTACCACTTCAGCGCGTATTCGTAGAAGCTGTCTACGCCTGCTCCAATTGTTGTGGTCTCCATTCCACCCCATTTCTAGTTCGAGTTTAGCTCACATTACAGGTAAGAAATGTGATCCGCACCCCTGTGAAAACGTCGATGTTATTCCCCAGCAAGCCAATATCGGAGCGCCTGTTCCACAGAGAGAAGAAGGCTTTATAGGCTGCACGCTCAAAGCGGTCATCTCCAGTCAAGCGGCTGAGCGTTGCGAACTCCAGTATAAGTGACCCTGCACCGGCGACGCCTCCAAATAAAGTCAGAAGGTTTCCATGTGACCTCGAGGCCTTACATGTCTCGGTAGACTCGTTCGAAGCAACGCCTCTTCGAAGGTTGATCTGTGAAGAATGTCAAGTATGAATCTGAGGCAAATTATGCGCCATACTCGAGCGAAAGGAAGCCCAGTTGGGGTGTTAAAGGCTGGAAGCAATCGCTCGCCGAGGTCTTTCGCCAAGTCAAGGAGTTCTCCGCGATACCAGTCCAGTTTGTGGCCCAAGTTCTCCTCGGATGCAAGCTGGTATCATCAGCGACCTATTGACATATATTTAGGCCACTCACGATGTGACCCGACAATAAGCCTCCTAACATACGAATCGTGACCTCGAAGACTTGCGGCTTGGTGTCGACATCGAATTGTACCCACTCTATGACATTTTTGACGGCCCTGGAAAATTCTTCCTGTTCCCTATGATTGCCAAAGTGTCCAGAACGTCCACTAGTGTCAGTGAATAGTTTCCAGCGACATCGTTTGTCCCTATATTCGCACTGGACAGCTTCTATTAGCAGAATAATTTGGTTTAGATGATATAAATGCCTACGGGTCGTCCCAATCTGGTCCTCTGCCCGCACACGAGAGCGGCATCAATTCGTCCATTGGCCATGCTACGTGGCTGGTGAGCCTTCTGGCAGTCGTTAAAGCTGAATGAATAGTGTACCATAATCCATATACGCGTTATAACCATGCTTCCAGAGATCTCTCGTGGCCTCTCTGAGGTCAAGTAACCAGTCAGCTCATTCAGGTCTGCTCGTTCGGTGACTGACCTGTATTGTAACTTGCGTTCTGTAGTCCACAAGTGTCCCGGAGATCCAAAAACGCGCCCAAATTCACATTGCACGATGAAAAGAGTGACCAGAAACCATACAAACATTGGGGTCGAGTTGACAGGTGCTTGTCCCGAGCCACCACCCGTGAATCACCCATGAGCTTCGTCGCCGACGTCTCCAAGAGCCTGGGAGAATACTTGTTGAAAGGATGGGTATAGGTACTGCTTTACTGAAGAATCCTGGTTGCTCACTCCATCCAGACGCTCACAAATGATCCCTGTCCCAAATGCTTCGTACCGAGGATGAGGGCCCCAGCATACTCAAACGAGCCTAAAAACTTGATATGCGTCAATTGCGACTCTTCCCAACAGCGTACGCGTCTTCGCCACCTCTGTTACGAACTGACTTTGGCCCAAGCGAGTACATCCCAGGCGACAGTGAATGATAGCGTCTCAGCGTCAACAAATAGCGATGAAAGAAGTGGTATATCGACACCTCTCACCGATGTCTCTCCACCTCCATCACCGCCGTTTGTATTACCCCCTCCCAGCGAGGAGACGCTGAGAAGACGTGCTCAATCTGACAGAGCGTCACAAGAGATCGGAAATCTTATGCTGCGAGGGTATACTATGCTCGCGGACGAATGCCCGAATCCGACGTGCTATGGGATCCCATTGGTGAGAGCCCCAGGGGACAAAGAAACGACGCCAAAGGTTAAACTATGCCGCAATTTATATCTTTCATTCTGATTGGTTGCAGGAATGTGTCGTCTGCGGGAGTCGATACATGCCTAATGGCGAAGTGCAGATACCTGGGCAGCCCAAGCCTAATAACTCGAATACAAATGGACCCAAGATACCAGAAGGCGGAGTAAGTGAATCCAAAGTATTCGAGGTATGTCGTCGATCGCGTCCTCGAAACAGGCTGACCACTGCGAAGGCGCATGACAATTCGACTTCAGCCCCCAAGAGACCTTCCTCTCCAAGAGCTCAACCCGATGAGATCCCAAGATCGAAGTCCTCGTCACCTACAATCGCAAATCTTCACAAAGCCCTTGACAAGCTGGATGAACTACTAGTTGATGCGACAAACAGAGCCGATATCTCTCGAATACGGGATTGCGCAGAGGCGATATCAAAAGTAGCGACGGCCCTCAAGGATCTATCGTGATGGACCACAGCCATGTTGGATATATGATAAATACCCTCCATTCGTTCCAAATATTTCTAAGGAGAGTGTTTACTCTTCAGACTCTATCATGCAATATGCGGGTGCATCTAAGGTGTCCATCGCCTTCAAGAAAGTCAATCCAATGACGAAGAGGTACTCGAGAGTGTTTCCTCCCAACTGCTTTACGAGTTGACCTGCAGCTCTGGCAGAACCGCCTAAACAAGTCAATACGGGATGAGTAGAAAAGGGTGAGAGCTCACCAGTCGCAATGAGATCGTCAATGATAATGACATTCGCTCCCTCTGAAATGGAGTTGGCTTGCATCTCAAAGATATCCTAGATAATTTTAGCGAATGGAAATTTGGTTCCTTATCGTTTTACCGTTCCGTATTCTTTCATGTACTCGGCTTGTATGGTCTCTCCAGGCAATTTACCCTTCTTCCTGACGGGTACAAACGCAGCACCGAGCCGGGATGCAACTAGGGGGCCGAGGATAAAGCCTCTGGCATCCAGGCCGACGACGACATCGATTTTGCTTTGCTTAGACTTTGGAAGTGTGACAGTTCCGATGTGAGTTATGAAATGGCTGATCATGAGCTCCGTGAGGATGGGATCTCTGAGAACGGGAAAAATGTCCAGGAAGACGATTCCCTATTAGCTTATCAGCAATTAGCATTAGAAGCAGAGACCACAAACCTTCTTCGGAAAGTCTGGATGAACGCCCAGTTTTTCACGTATTATCTGCACGTCCGCCATATTGGTGTGGCAGCAAAAGTTGGAGCCGACCGCAATGTTCGAAATCTGGAAGCGAGCGTGGAACTTGTCCAAGAGCGGGGAAGATGCACAAAACGGGACTCCTGTATATTCTTCGCGAAAGCGCAGTCGTTCGACGGAGGAGGATGGAATGGAGCTGGACGTCTCTGCCAGCGAGGCTGGCCCGCAGAGTAAAAAGCGGAGATTCATGCCAAATCTCGCTGATCTACCAAAATACTGTAGTCTGCAAGACCTCGAGGTGTTTGAATCTGCCACACAGTGGGATAGTACGTTTTCTGTCATGGACCAGTCTTTGCGTCTGATCCGTTTCCTTTATTATAGCCATCGGTGTCTTTTACGACGGTCAAGGTTGGTTTTTAAAAATTTCTATCTGCATCGAGATGCGCAATCTGGCTATCGGCCTTCTTATTCTTGGTTCATAGCTCCTGAGAATATCTCGAGTGAATCATTGATGAGATTCTCATCTCTGCGAGACCTCGTGCCGAGAACTCAGAGTGGCTACGGTTGCTACTCTGACTTTCAGAGGGTGGTGTCTCGTCGAGTTTGAGGCCTCACGTTATCAGGATGTTCTTTCTAGTCTCACTGTCATGGCAGTGAAAAACTACGTGACTGGACTCCTTTGCGAATGGGCCCAAGGGCTCGAACCTGTGAGGATGAATGAAGGTCGTTGGAAGCGTATATGTGTGATTATCGCAGAGTGAGGACTGGATGCAGATCGATTTCTGCCAACTAACTACGAGTGATAGAGAAGACGACGTCGTTTTCAGCTACTCTCAAGACTTGCAAGGTTTGCGCCCGAGACTCAACATTGTTGCCGCTCCCACAACCGCCGACGGTACCGAAGACGAAACATGGATGGAGCTAATGGCCAATGATGCCATCGTAATGACACATCGGCAGTTTTTGGATTATCTCGACAACGGCGTGCTGTCATTCTCTCAACTTAACCTTCTTATCATCGACAATCCCGAGCTGGCTCTAGAATCAACACAGCCTCTAGCTGCGATTGTTTCAGCGCTTGGGCAGATTATTCAAGATGACCGCCCCCGTATCTTCGGTGTGGTTGAGCCATCGGGGTTCAACTTTGAGTTCACAGAACGACATCTCAAGCTCGAAGAGACGCTCGGGGCTCGATTCTTTGGAACTTCTCAAGCAACGAGAGACGAAATCGTTGCCCTGAGAGAGTATCCAAACGAGCTCGTTGTACGTTTCAGCCCTCCAAGCAAAGTAGTTGACACTGCATTATGCAAACATCTTCGGACGTTTGACACCAAGGAGCGAGTTTACCGTACCGAATTTCGAGCTGCCAAGGCGTTGTAAGTTTCCTCATCCTTGATCTCTTATTGCCCTGACTCCAAGTAGACTGCGAGAAGTTGGGCCGTTTGCCGCAGATTGGGTGTGGAGAAGGTCCCTCAAGAAAATGGAAGAGGCGAATACTGAGCGTGTTTACGATGGAGAAGACGACACTTCCGCCGAGGCAGCAAAAAAAGAGGCTGCCATCCGACAAAGTGTCCATCACAGTGTCAAGAATTGGACTTTTACAATGCCCAATCTGGATGCGGCATCCAGAGGCTTCAATGTCTCTCCAAAAGTCACCAAACTTGTTCAAATACTGCAATGCTTCCAGCAAGCTGGCGACACTTTTCGAGGCGTCGTCCTCGGTCCGTCCGTTATCTCCCTATCGACCTGTACTGACTCGCACTAGTGCGCCGGCGCATAACGGCTCTTGCGATCGTAGAAATTCTCAAAACTGCATCTGAGCAGATCCCGTTCATTCGTGTCGAAGCGCTGACTGGTCCATGGTCACACGAAAATCTGCCACAGGTTCGTCCTTTATCACTTCACTGCCACTACTGATACATGGTAGCTATCTCTACTTGAAGATTTCAAGAATGGCATCTACAACCTGTTGATTGCCACCAAAATTGCGGAGGATGGTTTAGACATGCCGCCGTGCACCTGCGTAATTCGGTAATGCCCATCCATTGCAAGATATTCATCCCTAACTCTGTACAGCTATGACATATCTCATAGCAGTGTCTCGTACGCACAAACAAGAGCGATGGCTAAAGGCAAGGACTGCCACCTCATTCTGATGCTCGACAAAAACTCTGATATGGGCCGTCAAACCATCCGAGGTGTTGCACGGATGCCAGATGAAGTCAAAGATTGGACCCAAAGAGTTGCGATTAACAAATCTGGCGCTTATCCACCAGCGACGATCTCGCAGAACACTGAAGGATACTACTCGGATAGTGATGGAGAAGCTCACGCGCAAGCAGAGTACATCAAGGATCCAACTATGAGTGGGCGTATCTATGCAGAAGATGCGGTCAGCGTTATCTATCGCTATCTAGCCACCTTGCGCAAAGGGAGCGTAGAAGATGTGAAGATGGAGAACGTCTTCTACTTTACAATGCGCGCGTCATCTGAACATGTTTGCACCGTCGTGTTTCCACCAAACGGGTTTATAGCCCACGTCGAGGGACCTCCTAGTGTGTCACCAGGAGCAGCGAAAAGAGCAGCGTGCTTCGAAGCTTGCAAACGCCTCCATGAGCTCGGTCTGCTCTCCTATCGGCTATTTCCTCGGCCAAGGGAAGTCATGCGAAGACTACGACCGGTCGCGGTCTCTATCGACCAGGAGGTTGAGCAGACGAAGGGCGACATTTTGCCATCCTTGCCTCCTGCCCCATCCAGCGAAGGAGCCGAACACGACCCAACCGCACCTATCACGACCCAGGCTCCGACCGCGACGCAGACGGCAGCAACGGGAACAAGATGCTATAAACGCAAGTTCCCCGAATTTTGGACCAATGCCGTGTCCGTCAGTCACCAGCGATACTACCCGACTATTGTCACCGTGGATCGCAACCACAATGCTGCAAAACCATACCGGCCGGTTCTTCTGATCACAAGAGCCCCACTTCCGCCTGTGGAGGACTTTAAGCTCTTCTTCGCCACACAGCCCTCTATCACTTACCTGAGGCCGGCACTACCAACCAGCTTCAATGGACGAGAAGTCGACCTACTCTACAGATACACGCTTCGAGTCATGCGCTCGTTGCTCAACAAGCCGCTTGCGTGCTCAAAGGAAACCATTCCATTTTTGATCGCACCCCTGAGCTTCGGGTGGAATATCGAATTAGGAAAAGCGGAGCCTGCCTGGCCATACCCCGACGCGACGGAATTCATACCATGGGATCTCATGACCTATGCCGCAGACCAACACCTCGTTCCACTTCGCACCGATACCATCGAAGCACTTGAACAAGACATCAAGGATGCGGTGGTTCAAGATTGGTGGACGGAATTCACTAAGAGATACGACTGCATGAGTGTTCGTCGAGATCTTAATCCGGTGACACCCCTGGAGGGAATGGTATGCGATTACATTTCCCCCCGATTCATCTGACGTTCTATAGCGCAAGCAAAAATTCTCCAATCTTGTTGAATATTGCAAGGCGAAGCGAAAAGGTTTCGAAGGCCTGGTCGACTATGACCAACCGCTGATCGAAGTATCCAACTTGCCAAGTGTTGTAAATCGTCTATCTCCAACCATATCATCGAGTAATACCGCACCCGGCGCACCTTTATACACAGCAAAGTGTATGTAATCCACTAACGTATCCAAAACCCATCCTCACCCCTCCTAGTCGTCATACCCGAACTTTGCTCCAAATTTACTATCCCGGCGAGGTGAGCTCTGTTCAGGTGGTAATTTCTAACGTGCTGATCTATCTAGTACGATGCGGACGTTGTCGTTGCTCCCGTCTATCATGAAACGGGTCGAAGATACTCTCTTAGTCCGCGAGCTCAACGCGATGTATTTCAACAACGAGATTGACGAGTCCGCTCTACAAGCTGCGATCACCGCGCCTTCAGCAAGCATGGAAGTTGACTACGAGCGTCTAGAGCTACTTGGTGGGTCGGGTTCACTTCCTCTAGGTATTCTCCTCATATGATATTGACAGGCGATGCGTATCTCAAATACCTGTCCTCCATCTATCTATTTGTCACTAACCCGAACAAGCACGAGGGAATTCTGCATCTCGCCCGTCAGAAGATTATCAGCAACCGAGCTCTATTAGTCAATGCAGACAAATCCGGTCTTCCTCAGTATATCCAGTCAAAACCATTCTTACCGAAGATGTGGCTTCCACGCGGGTACACTGTCGTCCGACCAGAACCCAAGAGTACGGCGACTCACAAAGAGAGTAGAGGAAATACAAATATGGAAATCAAGGAGGAGAGGTCGTCACCCGATCCTAATGGGTTGCCCACTTCCGCAAACGAAGACAAGTCGATGACCATCAAAGCGGACGAGCAGAAATTGAAATCGAAGAAGTCATTGTATGATGAGGATCATCAATGGCTGGGTGACAAGGTCAGGGGCATAGCCCGGTCGAAGATGGTTCTGACTCTCATTCCAATAGTGCGTTGCCGATGTAGCGGAAGCCATCATCGGGGCTGCATTCCAGACTGGTGGGCCATCTCTTGGTCTTAAAGTTGTGAAGTCACTTCACTTGCCGCTCCCGTTCATTGAGAGTTGGGATGATTTTTCGCTAAAGGCAAAAGCACCTCCTCCGGACTTGACCATCACTTTGGAAGATAACGTGTTGGAGACGGTTGAGGCTACAGTTGGAGCCAAATTCCACCGGCCTCACATCCTTGCTCAAGCATTGACGCACACATCAGCACGAGGTAACGATATGACATGCTACGAACGACTAGAATTCCTCGGGGACGCTGTCTTAGACTTTTGTGAGTAGGATCCACGCTCGTAATAGGCCACTGACGGCGTGGTCTTTTCTCAGTGGTTATCCAACACATCTTTGATCTTCACGGTCGCCTTACTCCTGGAGCATTGACAATGTTAAAGGTAATCAATGAATGATATGGCTTGCTAATCCTCACATGTTCTTGTAGGGAGCAATGGTTTCCAATTCTGCCTTGGCCGCCATTAGTGTCCACTATGGTCTCCATAAGTTTTTGGTCGTTGAGTCGAAGAACGTCAAAAAGGCCATCGATGAGTACGTTCCAGCAGTGGAAGAAAAGCAACGGTTGGAATATGCAGCGGCCGACGAGGAGGGTCGTCTAAAAGGTCAATACTGGCTCGAGGTCGAGCCGCCCAAGGTGAATTGGCTCCTTGTGTCTCCTTTCTAGTACTAAATCGGCCTCTAGTCCGTCGCAGATGTCGTCGAGTCCATATTAGGTGCTCTGTACGTGTCGGACGGTTTCAAGCTAACAGGTGCCCAAGCAATGTACGACACGCTACTGCGACCATTCTACGATCAGCACATCAGCCTGAAGACTTTATCGCATCATCCGACGAAGATCCTCTTTGAACTCTTCCAATCCCAAGGGTGTCAAGCCTTTGAGATCACAAAGCATATTGATGAGCATGATGGAGAGCTTATACGCTGTGAAGGTATACTCGCCTATCTTCACGTAACTGAAACTTAACATTTCTAGTTGTCGTTCACAATGTGATTCTCGCCGCTGGTGTTGACCAAAGCCAAAATTTTGCAGCGCGCCGGGCTTCATTTGAAGCGCTTGATGCGCTCGAAGGTGATCCCGATTTCATGTCAAGGCTCTGCGATTGTCGGTCCAAAGCAGAGCAACGCAAAGCGGCAAAGAGGGCCGCAAAGGCTCTACATGGAAAGGGTGAGAGACCACCAGTTCAGGATTCTGATGAGGACGACATGGAGATGTAACGCGCTTCCTGGTATATCTTGCGTTTGATTTCTTGGTTGACATGTTGGCTTCGCGATGCATATGGTCTATAAGAGTAACACGACTTCCATTACATTGTTACCCTGTGGGCACTTATGAACAAGCACGTGGCGTCTATCGGCGAGACTTTATAATTTGTACAGGTCGAGAATCCGAACAAGGATAACGCCCCTCGAGGGTAGTTATCCACAGCATGAGCAAGAGCAGAATAGAATGCAAGGCATACCAGTCCGTTCGAGTCGGTATCCTACGAAACTTCTTTGGTGATTCTGTCGAATAGCATGTCCATCCGGCTTTCGCGTATCGGAAGCGAGAAAGGGTCGGATGAAGGGGTTTGTACAGTCGGTGAGGGTGCCTGAGATTGTTGAGTTAAGAGTGTTTGGATCGTTGCTCGTTGGCCGATCCAGTTCCATACTGTTTCACTAATATACGTCGGTCGACCACCGGGAGCGAGAAGTGCTGTCAACGGCGAGACACCTCGGTCCGGTGCAGAGATGGCGTCTCGAACATTGAATACATCCATGAGCGCGTGCTCGAGTGTAGGTTGTGCACAACCATGGATGTAAGGGATCCCGATCCGTTCCAACCTCGGACAGAGGAAGACGGACCGATTGTTACCGTTGGTATCCATGGACACCTGTGGTACAGTGAAAAGTTTGAGAGTGTCCACCGGATGTGCGACCATGGGCAACTCGAGATTCTTGAGAGACTCAAACTTGGAGAGGAGACCATACACGTCGCCAGTGGTAGCGTGAGGGGTCCATAGGTAGAGCTCTTCAAGTGTCTCGCATTTTTGAATGTTTTGGAAGATGGAACGCGTCTGTGCCTCTAATGCCGTCGTCAATGGCGAAACCGGCAAAGTGGTGGAAGATGTCTGCAGAGGTGGTTTGGTCAATAAAATGCCGGACAGAGAACGAGCATACGACTTACAGCGGTGTTTGCAGTCAGGGTGGCGGGTGTATGGACCATGACTGGCAGCATGCGGCCAGTCTGCGAACAAGCGAGAGGATGAGGAGCGAGCATGATCTGAAGCGCTTCAAGCTTTGGCATGCGGACATTTTCAAAGAACCACACCGCCCCTCCTTCTCCTAGTGACACATTGGGCCCAGCAGCACCGGCCATTTGGCTGACCGTAGGCGTCAACCCAAGACCGCCGGGTACCGGAGCCAGTATTGGGCCGTTGGGGGTGTGGATGACGGTGGTAGGGTGATTTGGGGGAGTCATAGGTTGCAGCACGACATCCGTATCGCGAAAAGCTAACGCGCGCAAGTGGTTCAATTGGATGGGGCCTTCTTGGATCGTCGCCAGATCGTCGTCGCCATCAAAGTCCTCATCAGGGACAGGCCCTGCATCGAGAAGGGACAATGAAACGAGCTCGGGACATGCGCGAAGGACAGACGATAACTGCGAGGTGGTTGGCCGGTAGATGAAAGGCACGCGTTCGAGCCGAAGGATGGTAAGATTTCGAAGGAGGAGGGAATGGTGTCGCAGGGGAAAGGATCCTGTGATCTGGACATTGCGCAACTTGGGTGTTGCACTCACAATGTCCTGCTGAGATTGTCGAGGACGTGCCGAATAGGTCGAGTTGTTTCCGAAGAATGCGAGTTGAGCAACGTCACCAGGAAGCGTTGTATAGATGTGCATGGTTCGGAGATTTGGAGCGGGGTGCGAGAGGAATGGCAGAAGAGTAAGCCATGTACCGGGTACAGTGGCATGTATCTCAAATGAAGAGATACGCGAGACGTGCTTGTCAAGGATAGACACGATTTGTGGCGTAAGACACATGTCTGGATGATACATCTGGGTGTAGATTGGTGGCAAGGACAGCGGAAGTCCGTACGAGTTGACAAGTGGATGAAGCTGAGAAGAGTGAGCGTTATGCGCTGCTCTTCCACCCGCATCCTGTTGATATGTCGCATAATGGCGCATATCTGCGGGAAGCTTGAGGGGACCGACGCGCACAGGGCAGAAGCAGACATCGATCAAGCTTCCGTTGTTGCCATTCCCCATACTCCTCTTGAGCAAATTTTCGAGGTGCTTACCACCCTTGGACGGGTGAACATGGAGGGAGGACCACAAACGGGGGCAGGACAATGCGACCTGTCGCCAGTACCGACAGACCTGGGCAGCGACGACAGTGTTTTGGACATAGAGGAAAATGTAAATCAAGAGCTCGATTGGCAGCCTCGATATCGTCGGCGGTGTCGCAAGCGCGAGCGGCGTTGTCCCCGACCAGGAGCCGGACCCGCCGTTGTCCTCGCTGCCACTCCCAACAGGCGCGGGCTTTCCAAATTCAGCCATAGCGGCCTTGTAGCGCGCCACGGACCGTTGGGCGGCCTGATACGCTCTTTCGGCCTGATCCCGCTCCTGTTGCAAACTCGAGGCGCGTTGTTCGAGAACGTGTAACATGGAATGCACAGTAGCATATCCATCCACTTGGTCACTAGAGGCCTCTAGATGCTCCATAAACGCGGTATTGGACACTTGAGAGGAAGGAGGGGCGACTTGGAGAGTCGTGATGGGTGTACTGGCAATATGCGATGCCACGCTGAATGCGCATGTACAACCCTATGTGTGATGATATCAGATGTTGTGTTGTGTGTTGGCGTGTTGAAGACTGCCGACGTACCTCTGGGCAGACGCCATGGTGGGTGGCGACGGTCTCTGGTGTCGAAAGCATAGTCCGAACTGGAAAACTATGGTTTACGGGTTGCCGTTGAACGAAGAGGAGAGTGAGACAGCCGTGTTGAGATTGAATGAGACGAAAGCCAGTGGCGCGCACAACAGGTCTCGGATAGACTATGTCCGAAGAAGCGCTTTCACAAGGGAGCAGAGGAGAATACGAGGGAAGAAAAGGAGTACGAGGGAGAGAGAAAGGGACGAAGGAGAGGGGGGTTAAGAATGAAAAGCCTTGCAGCAAGCAGGAGGCATGGAACGGTGCTTGCGGGAAGTCTAGCATACGCTACGCGCTCGGACACGCTGCATTGTTTTGAGTGCAGATTACTCTATCCTGACCAGGGCAGGGGCGAACGGCGGCTGCTTAGCCTGGTCAGCCGGTGGCCGGGGATTCCAGAGAGCAGCTGCTTAACATTTGCCGGCAAATTAGAGCTGATCGAATGGGCGGAGATGTCGCGATGAATTCTCGCTCTACTGTTTTTTTTTCCCTCCCTTTGGGTTGTCGTTGCTCATCATCCCTGGCCCAACGCAGCGTGGAGACCGGGGCGAGCGTAAGAGGAGTGCAGGTTCCATAGGAATGGCCATCCTGGATGACGATAAAGCGGGAGTGCCTTGATCTGGTCCATTTACCGCAAGCCTCGCGGTCGCAGCGAGGACGAGAACGCTACGAGAAACGCGTGCAGAAGAGCCTTTCCACGGAATGAACGGCGGCTCGAGTGATCCGACGAGTGTACTGAGATTATTTCGTCCCTGTCGTAGCAAAGAAACTACATTTAGTGTTGCTCTTTTCGACGCCGACGAGCGTCCTTGATTTTGCCTTTGATTTGGGAGGGGCCAAACCGCGAGGCAAGCCTTGCCTTTGGAGGCTTGCACCAGCTCGTGGCCAGTGAGGATTCGAGAAATAGGGTAAGGAGTCCACTTTTGATTGGATTACAGAGGCAAGAGGATGTCATTGGGCCCAACGCGACGCTCAGCAGGAGATCCCCGAAGACACGCTGGATCTTGCCCTGCAACTGGCTCCAAGTCCCCAGGGTTCTTACACACTGCACAATTACAGCATATCCACCTTCTACTTGTCTCTTACACTTTGCTCCCTGGATTCCGGGGACTTTGACCCTTTTCCTCGTGCTCCAGGTTGTTTAAGGATTAGCATTTCTAGTGGGGAAATCATGCAGTGTGCACCCTCTGGACGCCTTCCTAATCAGTCTCAAAGGCCGGGAGACTCTTCCAAGAGAAGTTGGTGGATTTGTGCGAGATCCACCCTCACAACAATCTCGACAACGTGACCCCATCTAGAGGTGAGCTGACGGCTTCCTAACTCTCCGCCTTTCCCGGTACGGACTACCTTTTATCGTTAGTCCGGGCCGAGCTCGACAAGGCTCATGGCCCGACCCTTGTGGGCCCCCCCACCCCCCGGGTTTCGACAATGGGGGAGTTTGACCGCAGGCATCACCCTGTCACTTTTAACACATTTATTCGACATTTGGTGTGTTGCAAAGACCGCAATAGCATCTCAGTACAAACTAAACTCGACGGCCGACTTCATCTCACCTCTTACAACAACAAAGCACAGTCACACTCTCTATGCTACGAGGTGGCGTTGGTATCTTTGATCCTGTTATCAGATGGATTCACGGCCTGATGAACCCATTCGGAGCAGCCCTCCCAACTCGTCGACGGAACGGAGGCTCTGCGCAGGCTCTTCCATGAGAATGACGCACTCACATAGACACTTGAACAGATAAGATTTCATTTCAAACCATAACGGGGCTCTCCGGACCGGCCATGCTCGTGGTTTATCTAAGACGAGATGAGATGGCCGTCGCGCAGAGTACGGCCAGTCGGGTCAACACAAATCTTGTGACCATTGAGGTCACTTGTTTGATCTGACGAATCCTCTGGTCACAGAGGTTGTCTAGAGGTTCGCGACGCAGGACAGGCTCTGGAGAACATTGTCTCAAAAAGGCTCTTGGAATTGGAGGGTCCTCTGAGGTTATTTGGAATTGGAATTGGATAAGATTACACGTCGACTGGTGGTCAATTCTCTTGTACCGTCCTCAAAGTCGCTTGGCCGAATGCTGGCGGGTATGATAGAATACTGATTTTCGATTAGATTAGATTGACGTATTGCGTACTCGATGGCGCAATGGGTCTGGACGTAGTACTGAGCACGCAATCCCCGAGCTTATAGATTACCATTAGCGAGTGGCACATAAAGTCTCGTCACTTGGACTTCCTACGCCTCATCTCATTTGCACTCTTACAAAAAAATGCCAGCTCTTCGTCTTGGATCGATTGCACCAGACTTTAGCGCAGAGACCACTGCAGGTCCCATCAAGTTTCACGAGTGGCTAGGCGACTCGTGGGCAATCTTGTTCTCTCACCCAGCAGACTTTACGCCCGTTTGCACCACTGAGCTCGGTGAAGTCGCCCGCCGTGCACCCGAGTTTGCACAGAGGGGCGTCAAGCTCATTGGTCTCTCCGCCAATGGACTCGAGAGCCACCAGGACTGGATCAAGGATATCAACTCGTATGGTTCTCAGGCTGTTGGCCCCACCGACGTCCAGTTCCCCATCATCGCCGACGCAGATCGCAAGGTGACTGTTTTCCATTTTTGTTCTTGAATCTATACTTATACACACACACACACCTCTAGGTTGCCACCCTCTATGACATGCTTGATGCCCTCGATGCTACCAATGTAGATGCCAAGGGTATTCCGTTTACAGTTAGGACAGTCTTCATCATCGACCCCAAGAAGATTATCCGCCTTACCCTCTCGTACCCTGCTGCCGTTGGTCGCAACTTTGATGAAATCTTGCGAGTGGTCGATGCCCTCCAGCTCGGTGACAAGGCAAAGGTGGTGACTCCAGTCAACTGGAAGCAGGGTGGCGACGTTATCGTCCATGCCTCGCTCAACGACCAACAGGCCAAGGAGCTCTTCCCTGACCACACCAAGCCTCTCGTACGCATTGCCATCTCTTGCACAAACTGCCACTGACACCTTCTGATAGCCTTACCTCCGCTTCACCAAGCAGCCTAATTAGAGCACCCTCACCTTATGTTATCCGTGCTATGTAGAAATATCAAAAAGAAACACGAATAGTTTCCAAAGTCTTTGTTGTTGCCGGGTACATTACATGGCGAGATAGTCTCGGACCTCTTCCTCTGTGAGCTTTCTAAACGTCGGCTTTGGCCTACCCGTGCCAGCATTTGGCACGCTGAGACCCGCCTCGCCACCGAGTTCTCGTAGCTCCTCTTTGCTTGGGACGGTGATGATGCCGAGCTCAATCGTCTTTTCGGTCATTTGGCCCTCAAATCCTTCTTTGAGCGTCAACAGTGCAGTATGAATCGCGTCTTCGAGCGAAATGTCGTCGTTGTAGCGCTTCTCCAAAAACGTCTTTGCGTTGATCATGTTCTTGCCGATAGCACTCGCTTTCCATGCCCAAAAGGAACCAGAAGGATCGACTTGGTAGAGTGTCGCACCCCGGTTAGGATCCCAGCCTGCGACGAGGAGCGAGACACCGTATGGTCGAACACCACTGTCGAGGATATGAGACCGAGTACGAGAATGAAAGACGGGTATACCCAGATTGTGTTGCCTGTTGCATAACAGTCGCGAGCTCCTGTACTAGAACGCGAGTCGGTGGATACTCTCCGTAGATTTTCCAGTATGCTTGTGCGCTCTTTCGCGCTTTCGAGACCAGAACCTGGAGAAGCCAATGAGACAGTATAAAGACACGAAAGAGGATGAACATACGCGATAATCTGGGCCCATACCCGAGTAGACGATGCCAATGTTTGGGCAGATCATGCACACCTTTTCAATCATTGACATGTCCATCAATATTGACGACGCCTTTTTCTCGGTGGCGATTACGATTCCATTTGTCGCTGTTCGTGGTTCAAGGAGGGAGCGTACGCGTCAGTCCATCGTCGGCGTTTGGCCCACGGGAAGAAGAACAAACCTTTGATACCGAGACTTGTTGTACCCTGGGATACACGGGCGAGGGCGTGTTCGATCTGGACGAGCTTGCCGCTTGGAGAGAAGACGGTCAACGAATAGCTGTATGCTCCGCCGTCGCCAGTTGCCATTGTCGATTAGAAATGTTGATAAGACTCTGATTTATGTCTCTGTTTGGCGTCGACTTTGAAATTCGTTGGAGGCGTCGAGACAGAGTCGGTGGCAGACGCGTAAGGGGCCAAACAAAGCACATCTTGGTCCCGACGACTATTGTCAAAGCTCATTTGTAGCTACAAGGAATCATGTAAATCGACTTAGTTGCGTTCACTTCTGGGCCAAACTGCAAAACCGCATTCGACAAAAGCGGGGACATCATTGAACAAGTATATAATTGACGCTTTATTATGACTGGAACTGGCTGGATCCCGCGGCTTCGACAGTAATCCCGCTTCGCTTCGACGACGGGACCGCGAAGAGAGCGCTGACTCGTTTGTACAGAGCCAGTCACCTCGGAAACGCGTATAATAGCCACAGAACCTCGTGCATTGACCTCATTCATCTCTTTCTACCCGTTCATCCCACTTACTCGCGACTCATGGCGTCTTCCTCCTCGACGGGAAACTCTCAAGCGGCGTCGACTACGACAAACGCACCACGAACAAAACTTCCTGCGTTAGCCGCATACAACAACGCCCTCGTCCTTCTACCACCTCTCGAAGTTGCCCGCCGTCTTGCTCCTTTCCGCGCTGTCCACGACAAAGCAGGCACACGATGGACATCCCATGTCACATTTATTTTCCCCTTTGTCGAAGATCGTCATCTCGATACTACTCTTGCCACCCTGCGTCCCATCGTCAATGCATTTGAGCCATTTGACATCTCGCTCACCTCTGTGGGGAGGTTTGCCAAACCAAGTGGTGATACAGTTCACCTGTGTCCAGGAAAGGGGATAAAGAGTCAAGAGGAGAATATCCAGCGACTCTGGAAGGCCGTGGCGTCTGCTGTCGGATACAAAGGTCGTGCATTCGTGCCGCATATGACGATCGGCCAAGCTCCGAATTCAGGTGACCAACATGCCTTGGAATTTCTCAACACAAAGGCCGATGCCTTGCTGGAGAGCGTAAAGGATATCAAATGGACACTAGGTGAGCACATACCTAAGAAAAGGGCGCTTTGATTGAGACTGAATCAGGTAGTGTCGTGGCTATCAAAAAGGACGAAAAGGATGGTGGCATCATGAAGTTTTACGATGAGCTCTTCCTCCAAGGATGCTCAGAAATCTCCTATCAACCTGGCCCGTTGAGCCAGCACATCTACCTTTCACCTTCGGGAAATTGGCAATGGAGTACAGACATTATACCCGAATCTCTCGCCACGTTGCCAGAGGACCTGTCCATCGCGACCTATAACATCCTCCAAGACCCTTTGATTCCCATCGTTCCTCGCATCCCCCAGCTTATTGACACAATCCTCGAGGCAGACGCCGATATCATCACCTTACAAGAGGTGACTGATGAATCACTTCGGTTGCTTTTAACGCCTCGTATGGCGGTTTACCGGTTCAGCTCGCGCGATCCGTCGGTCGTCTGTGAGAATGGGCGAAATGTACTCATACTTTCAAAGTACCCATTCACTTCTCGTAGTCTCGATACGGGTAACAAGCACAAACCCGCCACCCTAGCCATCTTTGATCTACCATCGTCCTCGTACACTGGATCAAAGTTTGTGCTGGCTGCTGTACATCTCAGTGCTGGCCATGCCTCGGCTCTGCTCGAGCATAAAGCGCGAGAACTGACGAGCGTCATTCAGTATGTCCAGACGTACCACCCGAACGATGAAGTGGTTATCGCCGGGGATACAAATTGGCCGCATGGGATCAAATGCGCTCCAATCGAGGAGAATCAGGCGTTCACGGATGTGGCTACAGCCCTTGGCTTTGAGCAGCCGACGTACGATCCTAGTTCAAACGCTCTCGCTGCAAAGACGGTCAAGGAGAATAAAAACGCACACCGGTACGATAGGATATATATCCGAAAGAATTCATCCTGGAATATCAGCGATATCGGGCTCTTTGGAACCCAAGAGGATGCACCAAGTGACCATGCTGGTCTCAAGGTGCATCTTCAACGGGAAGATGTCACCAAAAACCCACATACCATCACAACTTCGACTTTGCCGAACCTCTCGACGTCTTTTGAACATGAAAGTCATGAAAAAAGCGATCCGGAGCAATCTCTTGGTTCATGTAGCATCACAGAAAAGGATTTGAACGACTCATTTACAACCTACGACTGGTTACCGACTACTGAGCAGGAGCAGAACATGGCAGCTGCGCTGGAGCTCGTTCGACAGGTCATTTGCGCTCCAGTTGAACGCTCATCTCAAGCACAGGAAGTCACACAGGGCGCACACGATCAAAATTCGTCCGAGACGGTGCCGGAACGTGCAACACCCCGTCCAGATGTGGTCCTCAAGCTGGAAGCGGTTGGAAGCTATGCACTCGGTGTGCATACGTGCGAGTCGGACATTGACTGTCTCGCCGTAGGCAATATCTCGCCGCAGACGTTTTGGCTGCTAGCACGTTCGAGACTGCTTGCACAGGCGAAACAGCAGACTGGGACTGGGACGACGGTCGTCAAGCTTAGGAGATTTGTCAAGGATGCTGCTGTACAGATGATGGAACTTGAGGCTCATGGGATCAAGATTGACTTGCAGTATTGTGTTGCGCCAAAGCTGGTCGAACGGTGTGCAAGACGATAATGTCTGTGGATAGTTTACTGACCGGTGATGTTTATAGGTGGTCGGAGATTCCGGAGATTCCCGTCGATTCGCCGCTTTTCGCGCTACCAGCCTCTAGCCTCGTAACTCTCAGCGCATACCGAGACGTTCTCATTCTGCGACGGGTCATTCCTTCGCTCTCTGCGTTCGTCAAAGCTCATCGAGCACTCAAGCTTTTCCTTTCCCGCCGAGGGCTCGTTGGCGCACGATTTGGATATCTGGGCGGATTTCATTTGACCCTCTTACTCACACGTGTGGCAATCACCCTTCCCCATTCGGCCGGCAGGAGCGCCCCCCATCTAGTCGAAGCGTTTCTTCGAGAGTATGCAGTGTGGGATTGGACCCAGGACACTGTACACCCTATCCCTGCAGCAGCTGCGGTGGGAACGGGTGCATATAAGCGTGTCGTGCAAAGGGAGCCCATGGCGGTCTTGTCCATCTCGAAGCCGCAGAAGAACATCGCGTCAAATGCAAGCTGGAACTCTGTCGCCTCTCTCTCGCATGGCCTTCAAACTGCGAATGCGACACTCCAGAGTGGGGGCACTTGGCTAGACGTCTGTGGAACGAACCCATTGAAAAGCTTTATCGACGAATATCGCTCCTTTGTGAAGATTGAAGTTCACTATTGGGGCGGCGATTGTATGCAAGGCCGCGCACTCATGGGATGGCTGGAATCAAAGATTGTCAGCGTAAGCATCGCCTCTTCCATCTAATCATGACTAAATTTTGATCTAGCTTCTTGTCCAGCTCCACATGACGGTTCCAGAGGTTACAGCAAGGCTTTGGCCACAGCGGCTTGTCGACGAGTCCGTCGTGGACCCAAATACTCGAGACCCCAATAGCTTCTATCTGCTTGGGTTGTCATTGTTCTCGCAAGGCGACGAACAAACGGCTCGACGGTCCAGTGGTGAACTCGAAGCTGCACTTCTGAACGCCCTGCGTACATTTGAACAAAACGTGCGCTCAAACGAGAAATATTACAATGCCGCCAGCACATTCATCTCTGTATCACACGCCAAGCGAACTCAACTGCCGTCATCAGTCTTGGTCGACCCCTTCAAGTGGGCCGATAACGGCATTGATCTTGCGGACGAGGGAGATTTGGAAGAGGAGCTCGAAGAGTATGCATTGGAAGCTGCTGCACCGGGTACAACACAGTTGCTGTCGATTGGATTGTCGGAAGAAGCGGGCGACGACTGGGAAGGTTACCATATCCCTTCGTCCTCCCAGCGTAAACGTGCGGCTGCTGCAAAAGCTAAAGCAAGAGTTACACCCCACGTTCCGGCCGGCAAGCTGCGAACCAGCACGGATGTTTACAATCGCTTGATGTGGGATGCAACGGGGAATGTGGCCAAAGACGCGTATGTCATTGGGTACGAGGATCGTTTCAAAGGTATCAAAGAGACACCTCTCACCGCCTGGAAACGCGAAGTCGAAGACGAGTCCTTCATTCCCTTCCATCGGGTGGTTTATTTCAAGCGGCTGACGGATAACGTACACGTCTGGGACCGCCGTACGAAGATAGATCTAGTCTTCGGAAGTGGTGCAGGGGCTTCGTAGCTATAATGCTCCAGACGAGCGTGTATTGGGCATCATAGGCTTGATATGGTCGACTAGGCGGAGAGAATATACAAATGTACGGTACATAAACAGTTTAATGCATCCGGACGAAGGGGTATAATGTGCTGTTAGTCCGAGAGTTGCTCGAGAATAGATTGCAGAACGTCCTGGAGGGTGATAAAAGAGAGCGGTTTTACAAGGCTGATAAATCTTAGCATACGTAATTTTGTCCAAGGAAGAACTCACTATCCATCAAATCCAGCATCTACTGCATTTTGCTTATCCTCCGGTGATGCAAGACCTGTCAGGGCGTATATCCGTAATCGACGTTCCGCTGGGATCTGTTGTTCACGCTCCAGTTGTCGTATATCTCTGGTCGCCTCGAATCCTTTGTTTGACATTTGTAGATCCATCAAACAGACGCTGACTTGGATGAACATCCACAAATTTGGAAAGGGGTTCTCTCACTGAAATGGATTGGCTTGATGCCGTCTAAAGCTTTCGATCCCTTCTGAGGCATCTCTCCCTCGTGCAAAATAACACCCCCTCTTTCGAAGGAAGGTAGAAATAACCCCAAGGCTGACCTGGCAAATAAGAGAAAGACTTCGCGCGCAAGGATGGGACCTACAGAATTATCCCCCACCACAAGCACACGTAGATCGCCGAACTCCTTCGATTTATTTGCATTTGGAGTTTGATGTTCTGGAATAGCATCGTTCCTTGTAGAAACAGCATCAGCTCTGCCTGTGGCTCTTTGGGGTGACGCATCCAATGCGATGCTTAATGCTCGAGAGAGCGCATGAGGACCATATGGCTTGATGAGAATATTGCAATAATTCCTTGTCTCGTAGTATTCACCGGAGTTTCTGAAAACCTCTGCATCAACTGGCGCAGAGCATAACAGCAATATTTTGGGGTCGCTAGTGAGGGTCCTGAGGAATGTCTTGTCGTTGAGGTTGTCGTAGTCCACAATCAGGAGCGTCGCTTCACGGTAGTCGACTTCCGTAACTTTTCCATACCAGTCCTTTAGACGCCTGCGAAGATTCTTTGCTGCCATCTCGAGACCTTTTGACGCTGCCTCAAACCCGCAGATGGCGATGGGGGGCAAGGGCACCGGTTTTGGGGTACGACTCCAAGTAGAAACATGCGCCTTGACGATGGGTGCCTTGATGCGTATCGTCATTCTGGTTCCAACACCCACTTTGGAGTGAACGTCGATTGTGCCGTCAACTCCAGGCGAACGCAAGATTGTTCGAACTATATGAATTGAGTAGGTATAGAACTTGGGAGCAGTAACATACCTAATGCAAGCCCAAGGCCGGTACCTGAGCTTAATGGACGCTCCTGGCTAAATGGATGGAACAGCTTTTCGCGAATGAAGGTTTCCGACATGCCCTATGTCACAATGAGGAATATCTCCGCCAGTAACAACCTATTGACTCACACAGCCAGAATCTTCCACTATTATATTCACCATTATGGTGTTGGTATCAATGGACATTGTCTTTCGAAGTGCAATCTTGATATATCCTCCCTGTAAGGCATCAGAATCGAGTATAGAATACCAAAATCACGGACCTGCTCGGTAAACTGAAGAAAACGCCGTCAGCTGGTGCATAACGCTTCTTCGTACAAACCTTGAGGCTGTTACCTATCTGTTTGACAGTCAGAGAAGAACCAAAGTCTTGCCATAATACACACCAAATTTAGGATTATACGTCGCAGTCCAGCTTTGTCCACAGAAACCACCCAGTTCTTGCAGGGCGTTAGCTTTCTTCTCTCTGTACTCGCTTCAACCTACCTCCAGCTCTTCAATTTCAATCAAAGGCTCCACATGCCGTTGATCCGTAATACGTGAGGAGGGTGGTGCGTAGATTTCTCCAATCTCGTTCTCCGAACGAAATTCAGCACTCCCGCCAAGCCAAGAAGTAATCATCGTCTCCTCCACTAGCTGCGCGAGGTCAACACTAAGAATACAGTCAGGGCGATATATTAGGTTCTCAGACCTCCTACGGTTCACGAATCTCAGCCAATTTTGCATCGGTCTTGTTAGCCTTTGTGAAATCCAGAACATGGTTGAAGGTGTCTGCCAACCCCTGAGGCATGTTCAGCCATCAAATTTGATATCTGCAGAGGAGACCTACCGAAGCGCATGACTTGGCAGTATCGAGGAGTGAAAGTTGTGCGTCTGAAAGAGCGGATTCCTTCAAGAGCTCGCAAGATGCCAAAACACCGTGCAGAGGCGTTCGTAGCTTTTCACAAATTTTCAGATCAAGTCAAGAGAGATGGATAGGCAAACCTCATGAGAGATACTTGAGCTTGTCAGTCCCATATACATTCAATACGAGGAGCACATACTTGGCGATGAAGTCGACCTTGGCCTTGTCAGCTTGTGAAAGGACTTGTCGCTCTGTGGCAGTGGTTACAAGGGCGGCCATTGCTTTGAAATAGGTGACCGTCGATGGTGCTACTATGAAGCGATAATCAGAAGCTATGGTGTAGCCCACTACGATGGCCAATGGTTCTTTGAGAGTACGAGTCAGAAGGAAGACTATAAGGTGTAAACGTCCCAACACACAGCGCGCAAAACCCCATACACGCAGAGGCAGAAGCATTTTCTGGCAGTAATTTCGAGAGAATCGGCGGGATTGAGTCTCCGGGATTGAATAGCAGGCCGGAAGAGCTGGATCTGAGCAACTGTACTATTTGCACTGTATCGACCGCATCTCGTTCCTGTGTCGCAAGTTGCTCCGTGGGTTGAGTCATGAGATGATCTTTAAAGGCATCCGGGGTTGCCGGAACTGCTGGGTGTTAGCGATCTTTAATTGCCTCAAAAATGGGCCGCACGTGGTCGTGAAGACTGGGTAGCTATCGCATTGATCCAAAATGCTTTTTCGAGTGAAAGTGTCGATGTCACTCGATATACCAATCGACTAATGAGGCTTTCGGGAGAGAGCGCACTGGCATCTAGCTCATTTGAGAAGTCGTCTATCTGGTTTGAATTAGCCTGGAAATTGAGACGGTTGGATTGGGCGTACCGACTGTTGCATAGCTTCCCGAAGCTGATCAGCGCGCTACCAATCTGGATGAGCCATGTACCTTCAAGTCACACCCACACTTGCCTGCTTTCGCCGAGAATCTAGTTCTCGCATGACCATGCCTGACAAGTCACGCAGCTTCGCCCGTTCACTTGGAGGGAATTCTGCTCGAGGTTTACTGTCTAGCACACATATGACCCCCAGATTATGACCATCCGGCGTCCTTAGCGGCTGTCCTGCATAGAAACGTATGGCCCATGTGTCCATGATGAGAGGCTTGGGACTATAAGTAAACGATAAAAGGGAGATAATCACACTTACATTACCCTTGAATCGCCAGTCTGCTGAAGTATCGTGGATGACCATTGGCTCATTGGGTCTAAAAAGTCAGACGTCTGTTTTAAGGCTAGCTAGGCTTACTTTCGAATCAATATGGCATGTCCACACATCGACTCTCGCCTAGGAACCCTGATCGGGTCCGAGCCGGGTGTTAATACATGTATATAGTCAGTATCAACGAAGGTGATGGCAGCATTGTCACTAATTACCATGAGTCGTGGATCACAGCTACAGTCCGGCCACTCACGCTGAGAATATGAGCTTGGCGAGGCGAAGAATGCGATCAAAGTTGGCTTCAAGTGTCTGTGCAAATGGGCGGTATTGACTAACGGCAGCTCGACGGGATTCTTCCTCCAAAGGCATCGGGGGTTCAAGAAATCCGGCCGACTCAAACCGCCGCACAACGTCCAAAGAGAATCCAGTCATGATACACGAGCTTGAGGATGTCGGAGAGCTCGGTATTGATACCTCACTTGCTTCTACTGGTCGCACAATGCCATATGTCCCAGTAGCAGATTGAAAATCGCGGCCAAACACGTTTAAATCCGCTTCTGAGCCTTCTATAAGGGTCGTAGAAGCATTAACGATGACCTGGGTTGCATTTGGTATCGAGGAGTCCAGATACGAACGATAAGACTCCTTTACCGACTGCAGAATCTCAGGAGGACCAGCTTCGTGCTCATGAGACAATAATTTTGGTTCGAGGGTCGAGCGAAACTCGTCCGGCAGTTCTGGAGTTGCTTGTGGATCCCATTCGCCGCGCGCATAGGAGGGCAAGAAGGAAGAAGAAGACTCTTCCTGGATTTTTGCGATATACCTCAGATCATAAAGGTATTGGAGGGAGTCAGCATTGTCGTCCGCGGTCAGCTCGGGGAATGTCACCATAAGACTCGTCGACTGCAACTCCTGAACTTCCTGAACTTGGACCGAGAATAGAATTGTCTGTAAGTGGTGGGCTTTTTTGGCTTGTTTGATCAGAATTATCTGGGAAAGTCATCCCGGATGGTGAGGTCCAAACTCCATGCCCGATTCGGAGCTCGCGATCGGATATTTTTCAGGGGTCGGACATTTTCCAGGGGTCGTAGGAATAAATAACTGGCATTTAGATAACCACTAGGATCCATCGGGTAGTTCTAGACGCACTTAAAGCTCACTAGGATCATGACCGTGCGAGCTTTCCTCGTACAAGTGGGCCGTGATTGGGTTCACAATGTTCTGTAGATCTACGAATCGTTAAAGGGACTTCTGTGGGGCTTGGTGAAACGTACCCAGGAGCTTTTCTTCAACCTCTTCCAGAGCGGCATCCTTACTATTGATGTCCAACCAGTCAGACGTGGCTCGGATTGCGTTCTTGATTGTCTCCTTGTCTCTGTCTCCCATCTTTTCTTTGGCGTTAGTCCCGACTGGCGTCGCATACAGGGGTCTCTCTCACCTTCTTCGACCATCCATCAGGATCCTCAAACTGACTCTTGACACTGAAGACATAGGATGTCAGATTGTTCACCGCCTCAATCTTCTTCTTGGCAGCCTGGTCTTCCATGGCGAATTCGTTTGCAGTCTTGACCATTTTCTCAATCTCCTCTCGAGACAAACGTCCATCTTGGGTGATGGTGATACTCTTGCTAGCTCCAGTGCCCTTGTCTAGTCCGACCACAGTCAGGATACCGTTTCTATCCACATTAAACGTGACTTCGATCTGAGGAACACCACGTGGTGCTGGAGCAATACCGGAGAGTTCGAAAGAACCGAGGAGATTATTGTCCTTTGTGAGTGCGCGCTCTCCTTCAAACACCTGTACAAGTCAGCATCACCGAAACAAGGGCAGATCTAGACGCACGCGTATGTTCACGACGGGCTGATTATCTGCTGCGGTCGAGAAGATTTGACTACGGCTCGTCGGGATATTGGTCTGCCTGTGGATCAGCTCCGTAAAGACGCCTCCTGTCGTCTCAATTCCGAGGGTGAGAGGAATGGCGTCGATGACAACAGTGGATCCGTCTGCCACGATGCCAGAGAGAATACCTCCTTGCACAGCAGCACCATATGCGACTGCCTCATCAGGATTGATTCCCTTGTGTGGCTCCTTGTTGAAATAGTTCTTGACCATCTCTTGAACCTTGGGTATTCTGGTAGAGCCTCCAACAAGAACAATCTAGAGCCTGTTTAAACGGGGGACGAGACTTTATGTGCATAGCCTTACCTCGTCGACATCCTCTTTCTTGACTTTGGAGTCATGAAGTACTTTTTCGATAGAATTGAATGTCCTCTTGAAAAGCTCCATATTGAGCTCCTCAAATTTGGCGCGGGTGAGGGTGTGCGTAAAGTCTTGGCCCTTGTCAAACCCTTCAATTTCAATCTTTGCGCTCATCTGTGAGCTCAAGACTCGTTTGGCTCGTTCTACTTCGCGCTTGAGTTTACTCATCGCCTTTTTGTCGCCAGTAACGTCGCTTCCAGTCGTCGTTTTCCATGTACGTGCGAGATAGTCCACGACACGGTGATCAAAGTCTTCGCCTCCGAGACGGGTGTCACCAGCGGTCGCCAGGACCTCAAAGACACCATCTTCAATAGAGAGGAGGGACACGTCGAACGTGCCACCGCCGAGATCGTATACCAAGACTTGCTTCTCTCCTCCAGTTTTGTCAATACCGTAAGCAATTGCAGCAGCAGTCGGCTCGTTTAGGATGCGAGCGACTTTCAAACCCGCGATAGTTCCCGCATCACGGGTGGCGGAGCGCTGAGCGTCGTTGAAGTCTGAGAGAGAATAAGTTTAGCTCAAGGGGGGACATGTAGGCTCACAGGCTGGTACGGTGATCACTGCGTGCGTGACAGGGTGGCCGAGATAGGCTTCCGCAGTCTCCTTCATCTTAGCGAGGACAGTGGCGCTGATTTCTTCAGGAGTCTGATGGATATGAGCTGGTGAGCAGTAGCAAGTAGACCCAAGCCCACAAATTCTTTGGGCTCGCCGCGGTGGCGAACAGAGATGGTGGGCTTTCCACCACGGTTGACGATATCATATGTACTTTGACAGAAAAATTAGCAGGAAAACCGGGGAAGGACATTACGCACAGGTGCTTCATGTCTTGTTTAATTGCTGGGTCGTCCATTCGACGTCCAATGAGCCGTTTTGCGTCGAAAACTGGAGACATTAAGCCAATTACAGATCAAACCATGAATAACGCACCCGTATTCTGAGGATTGGAAGCAAAGGCGTGCTTTGCAGAATCACCGACACTACGTTCATTCCATCAGGTGTCGCCTTGTCATGTCAAAATGATCGACCTACAGTCTTTCCGTATCCGTAAAGCTGACCCAAGATGGAGTGATTCTGTTTCCCTGGTCGTTGGCGATAATTTCAACGCGTCCATCTGGCCTTTGAACGCTGCATCCCATCAGCTATTGGAGCCAGTTCAAAATCATGTGCGCATACCCGACGGCACTATAGGTGGTACCGAGATCTAATGGATATGAGAGGTAGCTTACAGGAGGTACGAAGCCGCACCGATTCCAATCACCACCCCGTAATCCTCTTTTGCTTCGTGCGCCTTTGTTGCCGTTGGGAAGAACGCTAGGAAGCCCAAAATACAGAGCACCACCAGGAAGAATACTTTAACGTTTCCGTGTCGTGTAGCCATATAACTACGAGTAACTTGTCGCTTGTTGCGGCGAGGAGTCATTGTCAAGACAGGGGAGATGTTTACGAGTTGGAACTTGAGTGTCAAAGATACCTGTTATATATGCTCGAGAAGAGATGGCATGCGAAAAGCGACACGTAGTCGCCCTCATTGAGAAATGAGGACACCACGTCGCCTGGGCCAAGGCCCCCTTCTATTCCATTACACACATGGTGTCACGTATTTTGTTGAGTACCGTGTCAAACTAGTGCGTTCTGGGCTCTGATTGATTTCGGGGTTTGGCTGCCCATTTGGAATCGTGGTCGAAAGGTGTCAGGGCTCCTGAACAGACAGATAATCCATTCAGGACCGCTGTTGGTCTTCGTCCCGGCTCGTTTCTGCCGCCAACCTGGAGATTTCAGAAAACGCAGCTCTCAACTTTTCCAGATCTGCATCCAAACTATCTGCTTGAACTTTCATCTGGCATCTATATCAATAGGTATCCTTTGGCTGTCAGAAGTACTCACTGCGCCAATCGTATCGCTCGCTGCGATGAGTTCGTGGTGGTGATTGTATACCAGAGATTGCCTCTCCCCATCCAATTGTCTGATTTCTGCAGATTTCATAGTTAGACCGGGTTCGTGTGTACATGGAGAGGCGCACGGGCGGCAAGTTCGTTTTCCTTTTTCAAGAGTCCCGTCAAGTTGGTGGTAGTGATAAGTTGCTCATAATACGCTTTTGCATCAAAAACCTTTGAATCTAGCATCCTCGGTGAGTGAGACAAACTCACAGGAAATGTGGAACTCACCAAGGTCCATCGGATCGTCAGCGCGGCCGGATGAAGACGCCGGAGGAACGAGTCCCATTCCATAATGCTGCCTCAACAAATCTCGTGCGCGTGTCCCCGTTCTCGCTGCGCCCGGCCGGGAAGCTGGAGGTGTTGGTTCTGAAATCACCGGCGCTGGTGCATCATTCACACGTCGCGATGTATTCGCGTACGTTGCAGTTTCTGGTGTCACAGGTGTCGTAGCTGACATTGCGAGCGGGCTCGATTTGTGTACGGTAGGTCGTCGTTGCTGCTGCTGCTGCTGGCTCATCGACGCGAGCGTAGGTGTATCTGTAGGCGAAAGTTCCTCGTTCATATTTGCTTCCCTTTGGGGTGGTTGCCGAATGTCGGAGGATCCAAGATTGCGCTGCCACCCACCCACGGCTTTTTCGCTGGACCATGCCAACTCACTATCGCCGATACCTCGTTTTCCTATTCGTGGCCTTTTTAATCTATTTCTTATTATCGGATAATACAGAAGATGAACATGTTTTATCAAGTCGTCGAGCCGAAGAGGTTGTTTTCGACCCAGAACCCGTCGAACGACCCGTCAAGGAGCACCCGAGCTACCAAAAGACGATTGTAGCCATTGGCGACCTCCATGGAGACCTCAAGAATGCTCTCAAGGTGCTCAAGATGACTAATGTCATAGATGAGAGCAACAACTGGTCGGGCAAGATTGATATTCTCGTCCAAACCGGGGACATTATCGGTGAGTCACCTTTTAACGTTTATTTCCTGCTCCTTATCTCTAGTAGATCGGTAGAAAACTTGCAACTCTTGACGAACGCGTTTTCTTATGTTGTGTTAGCGGAGACGACACGATTCCAATTTTCCATTTGATGGACACGTTGCGAGCACAAGCCCGAGAAAGAGGCGGAATTGTGCTCTCAAACCTTGGGAATCACGAGTGGATGAATGCAATAGGTATGTGTGCGCAACCTACAATTGCCTCGCTCATCATTCTCTAGGCGACTGGAGGTGAGAAGAATAAAGGGGTACTCCTTCATGAGCACTTAAAATTCCCTACAGATACGTCTATCAGACCGAAATCAAGACATTTGGCGGGGTGGCTGAACGTCAAGCCGCGCTCTCCTCGACGGGTTGGCTAGGCCGTACCTGGGCGCATAACTACACCGTCACAACACGTCTCCCACTGCACCCACACCTCGGCCCGCCCAATACAGACTATGACCCAAAAACGCGACCGACGAGCGACCCTCTGGCACAGGCAGCCCTCTCGTTTGTGCACGGTGGTCTGGCTCCAGATTTCCCGTATCTAAGTCCATATCCGTCATCGATCAATAATCTTGGCTCATCGTTACTCCGAAAGCTCCAGACGCGCGTCCAGCCTCCACCGCATCCCCCAAACCCCTACCCAGGCCTGCCACAAGATGCGACAGTAGCAGAACAGTACCTGTACTCTGGTGACGGGCCTCTCTGGTATCGTGGGTGGGCGCTTGAAGACGAAGCGGCTGCCTGCAGCAAAGTGGACGACGTCTTGCAACGTACGGGGACGCGACGACTGATCATGGGACACACTCCAACGTTTACAGTGAGCATTGCAACCCTGGAATCAACGAATTCTCACGGTTTGATCAGAACATTGTTTCACGATGTGGCGGCAAGGTCATTATTATTGACACAGGTAAGCTCAAACAATTTCTTTATTTAATACGGGAGCAGAGGCTACGTACAATATATATGTGACACAGTAATGGGTAAGCTGATGGGTGATGATCTAGGAATCTCGCACGCGTACGGAGGGGTTCTCTCAGGCTTGAGCATCACGTATTCGCTGTATCCGTTGGATGGTGATGCGAAACGCAAGCAGGACCAGCGGTGGCTAGAGACGGAAAAGGTGGCAGCGGTTTATACTGACTTTAGCAAAATTCTGGTGGAGGAAACGCGGGAGATGGTTGGGGACTATGGGGCTAGTTGAAAAACGATGCGTGGTTGAATGACATTGAGGGGGGAGGAATGCAAACGAAATCAGAGTTGTGGGGGAGAGAATCAGGGCACGGCACGGGGCTGCAGCGTGTTCATGGAGGAAGAACCTGTGAGAGGTCCTCGGGCGTCAGAGTGATTCCAACGCAGTCAAATTCGATTCCGGGGGTGTCGCTGGATGGCGGCTCGGGTGGGTACGAGATGTCTATATGAGAGTGAGCGCCCATATAAATGAGATAGGATGGCAACGGGACGCACAACGATCCTTCATATAGTGCGGAACGAAGAGATCCTAGATGAAATGTGAATAAAGGTGCCAGAGGGCTGTAGAGGTCATACCTGGTTCCAAATCCAGCCGTGGGAGGACCGGATGGTAAGAATTGGCTGATATTTTGGGCTGCGACGCCTGGAGCGTGAGCTTGGACGGCTACGGGGAGTTTGTGGACTGGTCTGCTCGACGATAACTACAGGGCTTGCTGGGCGCGCTGCAGCTGGCTCCTCGAGAATGATTTCGCGGCCTTTGCCCTTGTCTAGACGTGGCTGGGTGCAGTCATTGCACGCGTCTTCAGCGCTCTGTTCAGTTTGATCACTCTGTTCAGTTTGTCCCAGGTCCGCGTCTGCGGCCGAGTCATTGCTCGTGGCGCCTTGCGTAGTGCTCGCTGGGAGACTGGGCTCGCTGTGGACGGGAGAAGGTGGCAAGGGAATGTTTGCTGGGTCGATGGCGTCTGCGATAATAATGGAGAGCGCGTCGTCGTCGTCCGAGTCGCTGTTGCTGCTGTTGCTGCTGTTGTCCGAGTCGCTGTCGTGAACATCGAGCTCATAGCAGCCCTGTGGCATAAACGATAAGCAGTCAGCGCTCCTCTATGCTAATCCCGCGTTACCCATATTGGCGGCGACGGACAGCGTCCAATCCGTCGCAACTTAAACGACGACGAAAGACTTGTAGATACTGCTGGATTAGTTGGTTTAATGTCCATGGCACAAAATGGTCGGCGGCGGTTCCGTCCAAGAAGGTCACAAAGCAACCCCTCCTTCGACCCTAACCACTGAGCTGGCACACATTGGCCAGATGGCGTCCCACGATGACACGTCGCTGCTCGACCAGCTCGACAAAATAGCTCCTATAAAGCAGTTTGATGCATTTCCAAAGCTCCCCGCGTCCTACAAGTCGCGCACAAAGTTTGGTGGCTTCATGACCCTCTTCGTCGTCACTCTCTCCTTTCTCCTCGTCCTCAACGACATTGGAGAGTTTATCTGGGGCTGGAGCGACTATGAATTTGCCATTGACACGGACCAGCACCGGCTCCTCGAAATCAACGTCGACCTCGTCGTTAATACGCCCTGCTCCAGTATGTGCACTACCATACCAAAACATCACTCACTATTCTACCAGTCTTGAGCGTCGATCTTCGTGACGCCGTTGGTGACCGTCTCCATTTGAGCGACACTATCGTGAGGGACGGCGTAAGTCCGGCCATATTGTCCCGCATTGCCAGCTATCACTCACTACTGTCATAGACACTCTTTGACATTAGCCAAGCACACGAATTTAAGTAGGCCAACCCTTCGCTTCGTCTGTCCTACGGTCTCACCTTGCCACAGGGAACACCAGCGCGTACTTTCCACCCGCGAGATTGTAGCTGCCTCGAGGCGCTCCCGTGGTTTCTTCTCCATGTTCAAGGCTTCTCGTCCTCAATTCCGTCCTACCTGGAATCACACTCCAGATGGTGGAGCGTGCCGTGTCTATGGAAGCTTTGCGGTACGAAAGCTCACAGGTGTGTCAAAAGGCATCCAATTGGTCTCTAATTTGACATCTGGATAGGCAATTTCCATATTACCACCCTCGGCCACGGATACGGAGGACACAATGCCCATGCTAGCCATGACAGTCAGTGAAGCCATCTACAGAGGCTATTTTCTGACATAAAGAACAGACATTAACATGTCCCACGTCATCACCGAGTTTTCGTTTGGGCCATACTATCCCGATATTGTCCAACCTTTGGACTATTCGTTTGAAACGACCCAAGAACATTTTGTCGCATTTCAATACTTTATCACGGTCGTTCCTACCACCTATGTCGCCCCTCGCTCCAAGCCACTGCACACCCACCAATACTCGGTTACCCACTACGTCAAGGAGCTCCCTCATAGTCAAGGAACACCAGGCATCTTCTTCAAGTATGACATTGATCCAGTCGCACTCGAGATTCACCAGCGAACCACGACACTGACCCAGTTCCTTGTCCGCATCGTCGGTGTCATTGGAGGAGTCTGGGTGTGCTTTGGCTGGGGTATCAAAGTTGCCTCCAAGGTGTCGCAAAAGGCCGGTCTCACGGACGATGATGACGAGCCCATCACCGCGGAAGTCACTGGAATGTCCGCCAAAAAGCGCTGGCGTGGTTCCAACCTCGGACTTCGTCGACGCAACAACGACGACACGGGCAGCAACTGGTCGACTCCAATGGGCACACCAGCCTACAGCACATTTTCCAACCAGCCCACCCCAGCGAGCCCCTACGCCACCTTTTCGAACCAAGGCAGTGCCTATGGAGCTCCCCCGAGCCCATACTATGCTCCACCATCTCGTTCGAGTTCTACTGGTCCTTATCCTCCGAGCCCATCGTCTGGTCAGCAATTGCTCGCGCCCACGTCGCCGTACACGCCTTCTCATTTCCCCGCATCGCCCTTACCGGGACAAGGTGGCTTCCCATCTGGTGGAGGGCTCGCGCCACCCAGCCCTCGTCCTGGTTCTGCGAGCCTTTACCCTCCTGCGAGTCCGATGAGCGGTGGAGCGGGTAGCTTTGCAATGCAGCAGAGTAATTCGAGACCGTCGAGTATCGTTGGTACCCCTCCTGCGCAGCGATACACAAGCAATTTGAGACATGAGAAGAAGGAAGACTAAAAAATTATTCGGGGGCACACTTTTCCGAGAAATGCGGTCAACGTTTGGTCGCATCTCGTTTCATTTATTCGCATGCTTTGTAGCATGTATATCCTGTCATTTCATACGAATGCTTTTTAACGAACCAATGTAAACTTGACCCTGCCCATAACCCCATCCATGTCGACACCGACAGAAGGGATCCAACGAGACTTGCTCTCTCTAGTCCTACGATCTCGCAAAGCGTTGGATCACACAAAGACGTTGTGCTCACGCGCAGATGTCCTCAGCAAGGACTCGACGGAGCTCGCACTCGATCTCGTGGCCGTCGATGCCAAAGTTCGATGGGCGAATGAAATGATTTCTGATCAACTCAAGGTTTGGTAGCCGTCTTGCAATGCTATTCAACTCATACCCGACGTTGCATAAAGCTCGTAGGCAGTATTGTAAAGACGCTGTCGCTCCAGCGACAGAAGCTCGAGCGGGATGCAAAGGTTTGGTCACAAATTAGACACTCGCGAGATAGTTCTAATTGCACGACTAGAACTGGGACCAGAAGCGCAAGGAAAGGACGGCGGCACTCGAGGCGCTCTTGGACGACTTGGGATCTCAGTCAGTCCCGCCATCTTTCTATGAAACGGCCTCTGGCTCGTCGTCAATATTTGGCAGCCAGCCTTCCGGTGACGAGGGCGATGGACCGTTTGCAGAGGAAGGTGGGCAGCAAAGGGAGCCGCATGTAAATAAGGTACAGGCTTCGAGGGCGAAGTGGAAGACACTACGCTCGTTTGTGGATGAAAAGGCTGTGGAAGAGGCGATTGAGCGGATGGACGAGGATAGGAATGCGTTGGAGGTGCGTACATTATTTTCCCGTCTGTATCGTGTATATTAAGCGCGACCTAGGATCTCATCGAGTCGACTAGCTCTCAGACCCAAGTGCTGAGCGACGAGATACTCGCCATTAGGAATGCCCTGCCCACTCGCTCTCCCAGTGTCGTATCGTCGGTGCATGACCTTTTGAAATCGCAGGAGAGTGACTTAGAACGAATGGCTCAGCTTTTGATGGATGTCACTCACCATTTTGACCAAATGGAGAGTGCGTTGGCAGACTTTGACGCCGGCGAGGTATTGGGCGAAGACGACATGGAAGGTAAGCTCAATCAGGTCCAATTGTACCATTACTCACTATCTTCAAGTTTTGGAGGGAGATACAGCAGAGCTACCTTCCATCATTGAAGAAACTGAAGCGGGTCTTCGCAGAATCGAAAACGTCAGGTAAGTAATGGCTCTTATATTATATGGATCATCTAAATTATTCGCAGCAAGCAGCTCAAGGCGACTAAGGATAGTCTCGAGGAAGAACTGTTTTTACATAGGGCCCGTCTAACCGCATTGGAGGCCTTGGAAGTCGAAATTAGCAATCTCAACGACAGTCAGCAAACAGTAGAGGTATAATTCACATTAAATACGGCTTCCGAGACTAATTTGACTGCAGGCGCAAGCGAGTGAACTACACGCGACCCTCGAGAGCCACTTGGCGGCACTCGGTACCGTAGAGGAGACATATACACACTATCGCTCTGCGTATGGCAATCTAGTCTTCGAAATGGACAGGAGGCAAAAATATCGCGAGACAGTGGACAGAATTATCCACGGTATGAACGAACAGCTCGCGGCTTTGCGGCAAGGTAGAAGTTCAGTCTCAGGATATCTACTTATCTGACACATTGCAGAGGAGCTCGCGCGCAGAGAGCAGTTCTTCAAAACAGAAGGAACATACATACCAGAAGACTTGTGTCCATTCGTAGGAGATGGCCCAACAATCTTCGAGGTCAATTCTGCTGCGGAAGAAGTCGCAGTCACCGTTAATTCGCAATACGTAGAAGAGGTACGATATCTTCGGCGAGATTGGGTCCAACTAAAAACACACAGGTGCAACATTTTCTGGCAGGAGATCATACGAAGAAAAAAATAAGACTGTGACCCTACAACGGTTTGGGTTGTAGAAACCTTTCCCTGCCTTTGAGATGGGCAGAGAACGCCTCTCGGCAGTGATAGTGAGTCACCTCCCCATGTGGCGAGTGAACTGCAATGGCAGCGCGATCAAGTCTCTTGTGACATTGTGGACACCTAGTGCTAGAATTAGTATCCACACGTCGAGCTTTGGAAACCCTTACAATCGTGTATCTGTAATCTTTACTCTTCGCGACTCGTACGCAACAAGATTCCTAGAAACTTGTTCCGTATGTGCCTTCCAAATCTCCCTTTCAATTCGCACGTGGACTCGAGGAGTTCTTAGGGCCTCACAAAGATACTCGGACACATCAGATGCTGTCACGAGCGGTGGCAGTAGCTGCAATGTTTCCACCGCGTCGAGTCGCGGGCTATGCCGGGATATCAAATCCAAGGCGGGTCGAAGATACGGAATTTTTGGCGATGTCGGGTCTGAGGTCCTGAGATTCTCTGGACGGAGATACAGTTTGAGCAGCATCATGAAGATGCCACGTTGATCAGGGTTTGCAAGGTGGACCATTTTACAATATCTGTCGGAATGTGAGCCCATAATCTCTGCTTTGAGGTGCCCTACTCCTCTGCCTTTGAGAAATTACTCATTTGATAGACGTAAATGGATAGGGCGGCTTTGTGTTCACCTAATCGACCGAGCAGAATGGCTCGAGCTTCAAGTAATTCTGGAAGGAAATGTCAGAGATGGTCTACCTAGAGGAGTTCTGGGCATACTGTCCCCTGGCAAGGAAGCCAGAATACGATCCGGGTGATAATGAGTGGACGTCTCGAGGAATGTGATCAACCTTTGCGCAGATTTATCCCTGTCATCTAAAAGAGTGTCAGAAGTGATGGACGAATCACCGGTGATTAGTATACCTGGTGAAAGCTTCGGGTCCAGGGCGCAATGTAGATACAGTTCTCCGAGCCTGTCGTGAAAATCTCCGCTTGATTCCTTGCGTTCATCGATTAAGTACTCGACGTAGCGAATGGACAATCTTGGATCAATGTCTTCCAGAAAGTTGGCGACGTCGTCTCTCGGCAGATCATGTTCCTCGGAAGTAAATATCTGTAGATGTTAGGATTGAGAATTTGCAATATCAGCTCATATACCTGAAATCCTTTGTCGTAGTCGTGACTTAGAACCCACTTCGCGCCGTCAAAAATGAGAGCGAGATACTCTGGTCCGAGTTTCTGGAGATACGTGACGGTTGGATCGAGCTTTTCGTCCTTGTCTGTCTCCTTCTCCCCTAGGCTAGTTGAGTCAGTAAGTGAGCGTTCTGTATCCGAGGTTCTCACTCCTTCAACAGCCTAAGAGCCTCGTCATGCATCTTCTTTCCTTGGTAAAGATACATTAGGTCTGTAAATTTCTTGGAAATGTTAGAAATTGTTCATGCCGAGCCGCACCCAACTCACCCCCCGCGCTCGCAATTCGTTCTCCACTTCGGACACTTCACACCAGTTGTCGATACGGCATAGAGATCCAATGAGGCCAGGTCTGACCACTAAGTAGGCCTTGAACAATGCTGTGTATACAATTTGCGCAAACCGGAAGAGCTGTTCGGGGGTTAAAGCGCCTGGGGCGGCGTCCGGTAGCGCCAGAATCTCGCCAACGGAGACTTCAGAAAGCCTCGATATCTTAACGTCTTGTGATGATGCAATATTGAGAGCTGCCAGAGCACCGGTGATCTTTCGTCGGTTATCGGATAAGTATTCCAGTAGTCCGTCAATAGAGTCGCGATAGTCCTCTGTATTTGGTAAGGAATAGACGCAATCAATCACAGGGCGCTTACTCGAGTTTGTGTCTGGCTTCTCTTGAGACGCTACTGCTTGGACTGACACTGATGGAGAGGCAGTTGATGAATCTTGGACCACAGAGACAACGTCAGCCGATCCCTCTGTTGCAGTTACGTCGTTAAGCAGTGATGTAGCGGCTGTTTCCTTGGGCGCCTCTTCACCGAACAGTCCAATCCAAGACGACTGAGGCTGAGCGAGTCTTCCAGAAACCTCAACCGGAAACATAGAGACTACTTTTGCAGGGTTGAGATCGAGTTTGAGGAATACATCTATCGCGGGCCGATACTGCTTTTGTGCGAGCAACGCAGCCCCATGAAGAGCACTGATGTGAGCGTGTCGCTTGGCCTGAACGAATCAACTACTTGAGCGAAAATGACGTAAAAATGTACCTTGTCGGTTAGAGCGCTGTCGTCAATAGACTCGAGAAGCATGAGAGCATCCGTATACTTGCAATCCTTAACGAGCTCATCGAGCTGGGTATTCCACGGCTTCATCGTGAGCATCCATAATACTGTTCCCTCTGCACCCAGAGTATAACGATCATTCGGTGCTGACGTCAAAAAAACGGCGTTCGGGCTGGAGGAAAGAACCCTAAAGTTGTATTGAACATTGTTCGCGGGTTTGCTGAGGTTCAACGGAGCAAAGGGATAATAGAGTTGTTGTGAGACGCTGAAAGATAGTGAAGACCGGACTTGGAGAATTGCACTTGTGGATACTTGTGAGGCATTGGTGGCTTGAGCGATCGCTGGAAGGATCGATACAAGGTACGGCTTTGTAAAGGCTTTGTCTATCAGTAATGTGAAGTGCATAACGGTTTACGCTTACCAATTTCCTCAGGTGTACCTGGCCATTCTATACCCAAATTCCGCGATGGTTTCCCGTCAACGCCTAGGAATAAGCTGGAATCTGTATAGAGGATGAGGCTAAGAACAATAGTGATGATTTCGCTCACTTTCTTTTGGAATAGTAAACTCCCCATCTGCCGTCTTGATGACTGAAGGCTTGCTCTTCGCCCCCAAGCCCAGAGTCATATAACCACCCAATCCTGAAATTGCGTTCATACCCATGCCCATCGCCCCAGTCAGACCAGAGGAGGTACTGGGATGAAGAGCTGTGGGTAAGACGATGTCTGCCACTGACATCGTATCCAAATAAAAAAGGGCGTGTTCCGTCGCGGTGTATGCCATGGCAATCACTTTAGGTGAGGGAAACGCCATCGCTCGAGGAGAGTGAGGAAGCGGAACTTCCTGTAGATAGTCGCTAGTGTCCACATTTCGACTACACGGGATGAGGAGAGAGTACCTTTGGTGGCGTTTGCAGTTGTCCATCCTTCCATACGTAAATAACAATCTTTCGTTTGCAACCGACTGCTAAAAGGGTCGTGACGGCTGGTACTTGTTTGATCGAGGGATCCTTCGTCATTGTAGTCGTCCCATCTGGATTGGTGTATGTGACTGAGGTATCCAGGGCAAAGCAAAGTGCTCCTCTCGTTTCTTGAAGCGTTACAGACGGCATTAAAGCCGGCAAAGGATGAAGATTGACCGCAGTATCTTCAACCAAGTTGATATACGGATGCAAACGACCAATGACAGCAAAACATACCCGAAAGTGAAACAAGATCCGATGTATCCTTGATAAATCCTAATTGATCTATGCTACGCCTTGTAAAGGACCTCTTAACATCTTCAAGCGTTGCGTGGAACGTCCCGTCTATGATACATCAACGCGTCTATACCAACTTTCTTTGGTATCTCGTACCAGGTAGCTTGTCTAAACTGTACACGTATAGGTTGCCAGTCAAAGTGCCTAGAAATAGGCGGTCACCTTTCGAGTACTGTGAGTTCTGCAAATCGACAGCAATTTTAACCCCAAACCATGAGATAGTATAGACTCTACACGCTCCTTGAAGCCCTCCACGAGCACTTGAGGAACGAAAGGCGGCATGTGCCGGGTCGAGGTTTTGGTCATTCATATGTAGCTTTTCGTTTTTTTAACAAGGTATCTGAGTTTTTGCGCTGTATATTTGACACATGAAAATGATTCAATTTCATTGAATATAGGGTAATACAGCATAGAATACAGGGAGCCAGCGTTTCTATTGCTCCGAGGTCTGAGAATCAGTATCGGAGTCGTCAGCATCGGTAGATTTTGAGACTATGGATATGTCTTTCATCGACGTTGGTTGGACGGGGGCTGGGGCGGCGACAGGTGGGCCATTCGCGACTGAAGGGGCGGAGGGTGGAGGGCCCATGGAAGCTGGAACAGCGTTCGAAGCTGCACCATAGTCCAAATTTCGCTTCACATAGAAGCACATGTATGGGATAGATTGGAGGCATTCTCGCAGCGTAGTATGCGTAACTCTGTAGAGCGTTAGGTTAAAAAAGGAATGGAGTTTGTACAAACTTTTCATCATCAAAGCGGTACCACTGGCGCAGGTGTTAAATTGAAGGAGAGCAACAGTATGGACTGACCTCATTCTGGCTGCGCGCAAAGTTGGTATAGTGACCGGTGTTCAGTTGGCCCTCATGGTTAACGACAGCAAATAGCTCATAGTCGTACGTTGTCGCTGGATCGAGCTTGGGGACCTTCCCTTCCCTACAGTTGATGAGCACACAGTTTCAGTAGTCACTGCTACTGACCGAACTTGCATCCCAATTGCCGCTGTTGTGTAAGGCGACATATTAATGATTCCAGGAAATTTTACCGGTGTATCGATCTTGGCAGCTGATGATTTGTGTTCGAATCTCTGCGGGCTAATGAGTGACGTCCAAAGATGTACCGTGAATCTGCCACCTTGAGCTGAATGCAAAGCACCGGTGGAAGCTTTCGGATGCTGAGTTGCTTTGTCGCTTCCTATAGTCCGAATAAGCACACGAGGTCAAAGACTCGAGGATTGCTGACACTTGTGGATGAGTTGCAATTGCTACAGACGTACGCGTTTGCTGGTAATGTCTCCTTTTCCGTAAACCTGGAAATGTTGAGAAAGTAGATGGAGAAGATATTCCTACATACCTTCTAAGGCACGAAGCCAGTGTGGGCATTTTCCCATTTGGAACACCCTTCAGTTCAAGACTAATATCAAGCATGGGGTCAATGGTTGGATTGATGTGACCACATTTGCCGCATTTGACGTCGCTCTGGAGTTGCCCAGCGAATATTTGGTGTACTACACACGTACACGAGGATCCGTGGGTAGCATCCGCAGATCCCGAATGCAATTGATTCAACACCGTTATAAAGAATTCGTGTGCGTCATGCTGAGCATATCCCGCCATATCGTTGCTATTCTGCCATGTTGTTCGTAAAAGTGAGAGTGGACCGACGGAGAGTCCAGCACCAGAATCGACATTTTGGGTACTGGACGGATTGAAGACGTCGGCGAACATCTGGTCGAGCTCACAGCACATGCAGTAGAGCTTTCCACATAGTTTCGAGTTGTGTTTGTCGCTAAGGAAGAAGTTTCGCAGTAGAGGGTTGTGAAGGAATGCTTGAAGGATGACGCTCATATAGCAAGTAGCCCCGAGATTGAGAAAACCTCTGCGCACTTCACAAGGTATTGTGTTCGCAGAGGATAAGGCAGTCTTTTCTATGACGTTTGGTTGCCAGCTTTTATATGTAAGGCGCTTGTGCTTGCGGGCTGCATCGAGGTGAGTTGCAATAGACGAATTATATGGCTCTCACAGTCTTCCTCTTTGTTGGCGAAAGTCGGGAGTGCCTTGGATTCAAGTGATAGAGGGGCGGGCTCAAATGCGTTGCAAGCGGCGCAATAAATGGATCCCGTAATCAAGTCGACAGCTAACCAAGTTAACCAGAGTTTGGGATTTAGTTTAATTGTGAAATACCTAGAGTGTGTCCGCTTTCTCTCATGTGGCTTTGGACATGTTCTCTAGTCCAGCAACCAATAAACCGACATTGGAGACAGACGGCAGGTCTTCTCAGCGGGATTTTACAGCTCGAACAAACCGGCGGCTGCATCTACGATCAATCATTAGTAAGTCATTTCTCTTCGACTCGAGAACAGCAACCCACCTTTTGGCGTTTCAAGCGCGGTCCTCGCAACGAATTAAAGCTAGAGTGCCATTTCAAGGTCTTCTGATACTTGGGAAGCATGTCTGTAGAGTGTTCCAACCCTTGTACGTGCTCGCAGGTCACAGCTACCATCGCCGGCGAGAGGTCATCGAGGTCCATGGCGTCGTCTGGACCAGAAACTACTCTCTTGCGAGGAGAATCGCTCTCGTGGGAACTGTCCGAGGTGTCACTAGAGGATTTAGGCATTTTCGCAAAGTGGTGGAAACGAAGCGCTGGGCAACCTTGACCTCTTACCACGTTCGGCAGATCTGAAACCTAGTTTGATGGATGCTTAGATGATATATATTCATCATAAAACAATTTACTACACAGAGACGATACAAGAGGACAGTGACCTGTGGAGTTGGAGAGGATGTTTGACCGTAGCAAAGACATCACTGGCCAGGAGGGCCTTGCCGCGTATTGAGACTGAAAGAAACGTTCCTGGTGAGTGACAACCTATGGATTGAATATGTGACTCACAAGAATAATCCAAATTCGTGTAGCCAAGCCTTGAAGTGACCAACCTCCGTCATCTCTTCCTCCGAGACCTGATCAACGACTATCTCTTCACCCTGAGGATCTTCATCAACCTCCGTGACGACGAGACGGTAGTTCGGGATGGCCTCGTCTGAGGACGGATGAGTATGTGAGGCCCTCTGAGCGCACTTCTGGCAGTTGCGGCCGCACCGATCGACTATGTCCGGGGCACAATCATCGAAAAAGGACTCGCGGAGAGTCGCGATGACCCGACAAGCCTCTCGAGCTTCCTCCTCGTTCCGGAAGCGGATACCTGGTTGTGGCTCAATAAACTTGAAACTGGTCTGGAGGGGATATGAATATCTCAGATGATCTGTCGAAGCGCTGTCTCTGTGCTTACGGGGGGTAGCGGGGTCATTGCTGCGACGTCGCCCGCATCTTGTGGTCCTGCGCACCCCCAGTATGACGAGGCCATCGACTTTCGGTTCACTGTTACATGAATTTCCTTGGATCGAGGAATGGGAGGTAAGGCTGTCGGCCAACAGTGATCAGCTGGCGCATCACAATACCAAAAAGGGCTCACGCTTGTCGACGTCGAGAGTCACAATCTCCATTTTTGTCTTCATGAAAGGTGCAGATCGCCATGACCAGTTGCGGCGGTGGTTGGCCCGACTTGGCTGGACGTCCGTGTTCGGCTTTGGCGACACACTTCGCTCTCCCTGCTGTTCTTGGGCACTTATAGCTTTCCTTTGCCGATTCTTCTCATCCGCTATATGCTTCGGAGCCAAGGCTCGCGGTAGGGATATCGTCTTCTTGAACGCCTCCGGGTCAAAGGCCGGAGGAGGTGTCTCCTTGGTTTTCCCCCGGCTTAGCGTTCGAAATAGTGAAGACATGGCACCTAGCGTGGAATCCGGTGGGCCACCGTGGGCTGGCGGGTTTAGATCGACGTGGTAGGGACGAGATAAGGTGAGCCAAGTGGTACCTATCGTCCTCTTATACTGCCTATGGCTTCCTTACTACAATGCACAAAAACATTACTAACGAGCCAGGCCTCTGTGCTCATGGATCACAACCCCGTTGAGCCACAGGCTTCAGGACGCCTACTTTCGATCGCGCCAGGCGATTCATTTACTATTTTGCTTGCTTTCCAACGTGATTTTCATTTTGCAGGTCATGTCAATGTCGGAAGATGATGTATGGCCGAGACGCGTCGAAGCTGGAACAAGATTCGTATCCATCATGCGTAGACTTCTGTAGAATACCCGAAGGATAGACTTACTGACCTTTTGACGGGGTCCTCATTCCGCGTTGGGAATTTAGGCCTGTATCCACTTGAACCTGACGTCAATACTTCGCGTCTTTGCTCGTTCAGCTGGACCATATTTCCTGAACCATTATCTGCTTGAGTCTCTGCCTACACTCAATTCTAATTTCCTTGATAAGATGACTGCTACGCTGAGCAAGGCGGCAAGCAAGCTGTTCAATTTCTTTCAGTCAAGCTACGAGTACCTCACGTGCGTCTATAAATAACTATTGGTCTGTTTATTGACATTGAAATAGGAGTCCCGAGGTCTCAATTAATGAAAATTATTCGATCCTACGGCACACGAGGCCATTTGTGATGTATCGGGCCACCAAGACCACCGTTCCCATCAGTATATTTGGTTCTAAGCCGCTACCCAAGAAGAGAAGGGTGTTTCTACAGAAAAGGGGCTTCAGAACTGGTCTATTGTGAGTCGACCGGCCCGGCAGTACAAGGCTCTTAACTATTGATAGTGGTTGGACGATCGGTTGTTGCCTTGGAGGCTCTAAGCTTCCTGGGTTAGAGGTCACGCCTGCCACCCACGAAGCCTACTCGTCGATGCCACCAAGTCTCCTCTCCTCCTTTGAACGAGACATTGAACGAATGTGGACGCCGTACAATTTGACGCATCATCATTTGCAGGAGTCAATGCAGGTCCATATTCCTGTTGCGTCTGGTGATGGATACTTCAGGTTGCGCATTACGCCACACGACAAGCCCAAAGAGACGGTGAGCTAGTGACCTAATTATGGAATTCCGCTGATACGTCGTGGTAGATTGCCGCGAGTCCTGTTTTTCGCATTGGAAGCATAGCATGGTCATCAGCATCCCCTCAGGGTGCGACCTTGATTGGCTTGGTCCCGGAGTTAGTGGCAAAGAGCGCCTTTGTAACGGCTAATACTGCCAGTATGTGCTACATCCTTTCTCTTCTGGCACTGAAATTGCATAGTGTGGGCTACCTTCTATGCCCTGTTTCCGATATTCAAGGTAACTTACTACTCCTGGGGGAAACCAATATCTGACATGAGCATATAGCTCACGCATTGGACCCCGGGTCCTGTCAAGACTTTTGTGGCGAAAAATTTGTATCAATACGTGGGTGGACCAGACCCAGGGACGCTCGACGAGCAATACAAGGTGACTGAGAGGATGAAGGCAGCCCAAGACAATTTCAACCGCAAAGTGCCATATGGTTCCGCATCTATTCGAACGATATATGATCTAGAGAAGGATGAGGAGCTTGGTAGACAGGGCATCGCATATGTTAAAGGCGCTTAATCGACTTGGTGATCTTTGTTCCATTTTAAGTACATGCTACGAACAGCTCCTTAGCAAAGCCGGGCACAATTGTGAGTTGGCCGAGCGCTTGTAACTTAAACCCCTCCGCCATCCTTCTCTCAGCTTCTGCACATTATGACGCTCCACCCCTCGTTGTCATCCCGCCCTAGCTCGAGTAGACGAGCTCACCTCAAGAATGCAGTTTTCCTACCAATAGCTGGACTACTACCCTGGGGGAAGCCTCGCTGCATTCACTCAATCTCGAAAACCACCTCAATCCGGACAGAACTTCCCATAGAGCTGTGGCTTCAAATCATCGAGCTGGTGTTGAAACCCTCGTTCGCGACCGACGAGACATTTCAACCTGAGAATCTCTACTTCTTCTGCCTTAGTCTCATCATTCACCAATTTTCAAACCCATCTCTTGCTCATTCCCGTCTGGCACGCTGTACACTGCGCCTTGTCTCGCGGTCGTTCAAGGCGATGGTAGACGAGGTCAGTCCAAGAGTACGGTCGCAATGGATTCTCTCGTACTCTCGAGATAACGCCACTACGTATCCACCATGTATTCGCTTGGACAAAAAGTTTAGGAATTACGAGGAGTTATCTGCTGGAAAGCCATACCCACACCCAGTCCAGACATTGGTGTTGCAGGACATGCCGATGAGGCTAGGGGACCAGGAGACGGGGCGTTTGATATCTGGCACCATTCAACGACCGTCGAGATTGACAACGCTGCATCTCTCTTTCATGCCCGCACCCTCTCAGACCGCAGAGTTTCCCATGTCGATGCTCAGCGCGTTGCCGTCTTTGCAGACGCTGAGCGTCGCCAGTCACAAAGATATCCTGCTCAATGGACCACTTCTGTTACCCAACCTCGTAAACCTATTCCTCATCTGCCAGATGGTGCCGACATCCGACCTCAGCGAATGGAGGTTCCCGAGTCTAGCCACCCTGTCGATAGATACGCGAGGATGGCCACAAAGTACGGGAACCTCGATCCTCCAACAACACTGTGATCTCATCGGCAGACACCGTGAAACGATACTCAGTTTGCGTATTTCCCCTGTAATGGAAAGAGAGATGAGAGTCAGGCTGCGCGCCCACCTTGAGGCCATGCCACGCCTAGAGTCTCTTGCGACTGATTTTGTCTACTACAATCCATTCCCTCATGGCAGTCCAGCGCCACCGGCCAGCTTGCGATCCTTGGTCCATATTTCCAGCAGCAGTTTGTGGACCTCACAGGCCATCGCCAGTGTCCTTGTCACAATAATAGAGCACACAAAATCTATCGACACTCTCACTCTTGCCGAGGAGCCTTTTCGCCAGACGCCTGGCGTGGATCCTAATCGTACAGAGAAGAATACCGCTGCATTGAAAAGGCTACATGCAATTTGCCTCTCCAGGAAAATTGCGGTATACGGAAACATGGGTGTAAAGTATTGCTGCGTGCTCAAGGCCATGGCCCAAATCGGGAACTTGCGGTTAGAGCAGATTCAAGCATGGTATCCTCGTGGTTATTAGCTATAGTTATCTAATATAATACAACGAAATCTTCTATACACTTGTGCTGGGACTGCAGCCGTGAATTTGGATGACCGGTACTCATTTACCGGCACAAGCAAAACCCATCTTGACCCCGTCCGTATTGATGTCGACGACGACGACGACAACGACGACAACGACAACAGCAGTAGCTCACACCAGAAGGTCTGCTTCTTCTTCCTCGAAGAGGGCCATTTCAGTCAAAACGACGCTTCGAACGCTGTACGACCAGGCTAAACATGCGTTTCTGCAACGAAATCTCGCGCTTGCAGACAAACTCGTCACACAAGCCTTTATGCAACTCGGTCCACCAGTCTCACATACTCATATTCTGGGGTCTAATGGCGTGAACACAGCAGGCGCGACGGGAGACGCCCTGGAGTCGCAGCGCAGAAAGTGGGATATACTACGAATCACGCTCCAAACTACAGTATACACGTCACAATCATCGAGATCAGATATTTCCCCTTACCAGTTTCTCGAACGCCTGCATTCGCAGTCGCTAAAGCTCTTTACTTCAATAGACGCCCCACCGTCGATTGCAAACGTACCTGATCAGGTCGTGCTGCTGCTCATCGTGAGCTCGTTGAAACTGGACGAAGTGCGGGTTGGAAAAGAATGGGTGGAAGAATGGCTTGTCTCGCGTCGCCCATCCAGCGACCCGGAGCCGACTGAGACACCGGATGGGATACTACCAATGACGAGCTATGAGCGGATTGTGGACGTATATCTCCTTCACATCCTCCCGCGGCTTGGATTGTGGGATGACGCCTTTGAATTTCTCAAGTATGAGGCCGAAATGAGGCCAGAAGTGAAAGAGGTGAGACTTTGCCAATAATTCCTGCAATTTTGATATGTCTAATGGTATCAGCGCATTGCCCAGGCCTTACACGCCCAGCAAAAGGCGCAAGGGGCAGGAAGCTCAAACAGCTCCCGTGCCTCCTCGCCCACCCCATCTCTCGCGTCGTCTACATCTACCGTATCCGCTACATCCAGAGTCAGCCCTCCGCGACCAGCATCAGCAGCCTCGATATCGAGCTCAGCCTCCACCGCGACTGTTCGTCCATCTTACCCGCAACCTCTACAACCGAATGGTGTGCCTGTCAGGATGACGGCTGTCTTGGATGCCAAGGGCAAAGGACGCGCCAATGGGCATGTAGCAGATACTAATGCTCATGGCCACGCTCTTTCTATGGCGCCCAATCAACAAAATGGGTCAAGGATTGCCCCCTTGCCCGAGCCGCATCTATCCTCTGATCGACCATCTTCCTCCACACGTTCATCATCTTCGGCTCATGGAGATGGAACGCTCGCATCCCATCCCGGTCGCACATTCATCCCGATAAATGTGCAGCAACTATTCACCTATTATTATTTGCACTTCGCCGAAATACTTAATCATCAGTTTGGATTGGCACTCCCGACAAATTTCACCTCCCAACAGTCGGCTGGGAAGCCGGGAAGCGTGAGCCTATGGCACGTCATAACGGTTATTGTCCCATTTGCGCTGGCTCTCCATCTATTTTCGCGGATATGGCGCGTACGATCCACAGACCGTATCTCTGGCGCCGGCGAGATCGCGAGGCGGCGTCTACGAGGTCAAAAATCCACTGTTGGGCCTAATCTTGGTCTTGACTTCTGGAAAGCGGCCATGCGTGCTATCACGGATGCGGTCAGTATGGGTTCTCGAGGTCTCGTCTAGACTAGAATTATGCATATTCGTTCTTCTGGTATAGAACCTTTCAGACGCCCTATTCTAGTGCACTAGTGAAATCAATCTGGCCGGAATATTGCCACGAAACTGATCGGATTGCAAGAAGCCTCTATTTGGTTGGAACTCACCCATCGATAGGTCGTCACACAAGTCCATTGGTCCACTAACAGAGTAGATTGGGCGGTTTGATGCACGGCTATCAAACTTCTCCGTTCATCACCCAGGAACTCTGCGCCGGCAGTCGGTTGTCGGACAACCGTAGCGGAGCGGCTCAACGTCGTGGCACGAGATTTTCATGCGCCAATATCAAGATAAATGGTTTGTAGCTGGAGAGTACTAAAAAAAATAGCGTTGGGTGATCAAAAGCCTGGTCATTTATCGTGTACAGATCTTAATTGACACGAGTTACAGGTCCGAATACTTTTCGGCTAGTGTGAGACTCCGCTGACCGGGCAGGGATATTCTCTCTGGTCCATTCGCTTCTGGTGTCAGCCCCATCTCACGGCCGGGCTCTTAACGCCGAATCCACATCAGCCATAAGACCATGAGGAATGCGTCTTGGAGGGGTCCCTCTTTGGACACTGCCCGCTGCAGCTGATCCCCCGTTCCCTCACAGCGGGGAACATGGGATCCCTCTCCCCCCTGGAGTTGGAGGCTCTTGGTGACCAAAATGTGTTCGTTGTAGTGGAAGATATCTACCTTACGCGATGGTTCACTGGTGAGTCGACCGTCGCCAGTAGAGTTCCTGTTCTGACAAAGCAGCTATCGCTCTCACAATCATTTGCTACGATAACCTTCTTACCCTGGATGATGAGGTTTGTGGCGTGTGGCCATCCAGTTTAAATTGCTGACAGACCCACCAGATCGCATTCATATGGCCAAAGCGATGGAACTCTGTGAAAATATTGACATACTCCGTATGGAAGTGCTCAATTTGTACCCTTAAGTCTAACAAGCCTCAACCAGAACCGTGCAGTCGCCCTCACATTCATCGCCCTAAATACGCATCATCTGGTTGGGGTAACCAATCCTCTCTCAAACCATTTGTCAGTCCATCAAATTTATGAGACCATCTTCTCACCAGCTATATGCAGCTGTAGCGTAGTTCTTGTCGCGACCGGTCAGTTCACAATAATAACCACGTCTGATCAGCATTAATGGATCTATGCTCAGGTTATGGTGCCCTCGTGTCGTTTGCCATGTGCAATTGGATTCTCCTTGCAAGGGCTCAGGCGCTCGTGGGCACGAGACCGTTTCTCAACAACCTTTTGACAACATTCTACATTGCATCGTATCTGATCACGACGGCGCTGGCTACGCATACTTCATGGATTCTTCGAGGTAAGCTTTCCGAGGTTATGTGATCTCGCTCAACTCCACAGACAAGATATTCTACTCAGACAGTTTCCATGTCTGTGGAATACCTATGCATCCTTCCTCCATGGGTACGTTACAAGTATGCTATTCGTTCTCGCTCACTGTTTCTCAGGGTTCATTTGGCTAGCTCCCCTTGTCTTCGAAACTGCTATCTTCCTTCTAACTATCGTCAAACTCTATGAGAATGCCGTTGAAGACTATTCACTGGGATCCACGCTACTTGTGACACTTTATCGAGACGGGGTTGCCTATTATTTGGTACGCATCGTGATTCATAGGGAATTTTGGTGGTTGATCCCCTAAATCCAGGTCATCTTTTCATTGCGAGTCTTCAATCTGCTTGCCTGGCAGATTATGCCAATCCAATTTGCACTTATTGGCATATTGTAAGTGTTTGACTTGCTTGGGTCAAAATACTCAACAATCTATAGTCTTCTATGGGCAATTATGTCTGTTTCCGTAACTCGACTACAGTTGAACCTTCTGAAGGCAGTAAATATGCCACCAGCTTCGCTGGAAATCACCTCTGTCGGGCCTAGTATCAGCATATTTGCTTCATTTCCGCGTCGGAATGGCAGCCGGTCTCAAACAGAACGCTCTCGAATACGTACTTCTCGCATGCAACTCCGTACCTTCAGCCACGGGATCGCACCAGAACCGTGAGCTCGTTTCCTGGTTAATTTTGAATCAAAAGATTCGACTTAGGCAAATCACCCGTGATACCCGTAGAGCCGAGACTTGCTGCCATGGACGCTCGCACCGGCTGGTAGTCGGTTTGTAGATTAGAAACACATAAAAAATCAACTATACTTGCACGTATCCTGAATAGTGCTTGATGCCAAGCCTTACCAACTCAGACTCCTCCACAAATCAGCAAATGGCTGAATGTCGTCTTCTATCCAGTATGTCCACACGCAACGACTGAGCTGTGACTCAGAAAGCTTTTTTCCAGATATGAGCTCCCCACAACAGAGCAAACGCTCCTCCTTGGCGCCTTCCTGTTTCTTCTCTCAGCTACTTACCAGGTAGCGCAAAGAATCCTCCATGCAGGACCACTCGGACAGATTCTACTTGGAGCACTCTATGGTGCTCCGTTGGGAATCTCCTCCCGAATCACTTCCAAACTGCATGTATTGACATCGGTTACGTTGGACTCATCCTGCTTGTGTTTGAGGGAGCACTGGCAACAGATCTCCGCCTCTTCATACAACACGTTGCGCTCTCCACCCTTGGAGCTATCACGGGTGTCGCAGTGCCTATAGGGTTCAGCTTTCTCTTCCTCAACACATGCTTGGGCTATTCCACCCTCCAAGTCTTTGCAGCTGGCGCATCCCTCTCTGCAACATCTCTCGGGACAACGATAGCCATCCTGAAGGCAGGAGATACAAAGGGCGAAAGCATTTTCAACACCGTCATTGCTACAGTACTGCTCTCCGTCGCTATTATCGACGACGTGATTGCACTTATACTGGCCTCGATCATCTCTGGTCTTGGTGGCGGATCTCATGGTCCGACTCAAACCCTCGGTTGGGCAATTGGCAGGCCTATCCTCGCTTCGACATTACTTGCCCTCGCTGTCTTTCTCCTGGCAGGGATTCTAGACCGAATTAATATCAGGAGATATTGGAGACTTCCCTTCGTCCAACGACACCAGGACAAGGTTAACTTGTGCATCCTCCTTGGTTGCCTTGCCGCGATCAGTGCGGCTGCGGCATATGCTGGAACATCAATCCTATTTGGAGCATTCCTCGCTGGACTCTTTCTCTCCCACATTGGAGGAGGAGGAGAGAGCAATGACACGGAGCCTGGCGGATATCCTCCCAACTTTCTCCTCATTCAACACTGTGCATTTGGGCAAGCACAGGATCTTATCTTCTCCGCCTTTTTCTTCGCCTCTATCGGGTTCGCCATTCCTATCCGCAAGTTATGGAAGGCAACCGTCGTATGGCAGGGAATTCTATACTCCCTTTTCATGATCCTGTCAAAGATCACCGTCGGAATCTGGATTCCCCTTTGGGCGCCTTCTCGCCGCAAGTGCCCGAATCCTAAAAGCCAAACAATGGAACGCAGGACTGATGCCATGCACGGGCAGGAAGAATCATCAACATCCGAGACCTACAGTCTTCTTGCTCGCGTAGTTTATCCGAGTCTGTTTATCGGGACAGGCATGGTCGCTCGAGGAGAGATTGGGTTACTGATCGCTCAAATCGCGTACAATGGAGGGCACGGACCTCTCCCTGACGATCTGTTCGCCATCACCATTTGGGCGTTGGTTTTGAGCACGGTTATCGGGCCGCTCTTGATATCTGCGGTGCTCGCTCATGGTCAAGATCAGCTGCTTTCCGGACCCTGGGGTCGGGTGGCTCGAATGGAGCAAGATGATCAAACAGCGGCAGATGACTGACATTGGACCAGCCGATTGATACCAGTCCTTTCCGGGCATCTAAACATAGTTGAATCTTCGGCGTAGGCGAGTCTGGCCTATGACATAGCCTGCCATCCATGGCGTTAAAGTTGTCCATCCTGATGTCCGCCAGCCTCCTGTGCTCCCGTTGCAATAATAGTTCTCTAAATTTATCCAGGTCGATCACGAACACCGATAAGCATCCGAAGTCTACACATAAGCCCGGACGTGCGGAAAGGGGGCTTGCAGCTTCCACCGTTATGTTATTTGTACAATCGCTTGTGGCCCTGACGCTAATTTTCTCTCTTGGTTTTGCAACGACACTGCATCCAAGCGTTGGTCATACCTCACTAAACATCACCAAAGGTAAATCCTCGTAATCATGGCGTTACTGAGGATGTTCCAGGTGATACGGTCGATGTATGGGTAGTGTTGGATCCCCAGAATTTCATCAGTTACTACGTGGTCGCTGAAAATCCCAACGGCACTTGCACAGTCGTCGGAGGGGTTTCAAACGCACCCATTCTCTCCTCCCCTGTCGGCCTTAACACATCAACAACAATGCCTGTTCATCTTGACGATCTTTCAGAAGACTCGCTGTGTATAGGGACAGGGGGTCCTACGTATTTCAATGTACAATTCAAGCCGGAGCAGGCGGGCTCTTACGTCCTTCATCATCAATTCCACTACATCTCGAATATTGGAATCTGAACCTCATCGATACCCCAATGCATCGACGGCTTATATCGACAAGCCATACTCAGGTTAGGTTGGAAGCATCTTTGAAGAAATACTAACAATCAGCTTCTCAGTGGAAGTCTTGTATGGCTCACCATCTCTCAACTTGACAGTTAACGAGCTCACTCCCGGAGCAACTCCGACGTCTACGCCTACACTTCATACTCCTGCCTGGGCGAACCAGCCCAGCACGGAAGTATCCTTTGCATCTGAGCCAATTGCGTCACCTTTCCATATCAACCAGTCCTCTGGGGTACGCCAAATAGCTCCACTGATGGGTCTCATCACTGCGTTTGGTTTTTTTTTTTGTCTTTCTTTTCTAAATGTTCGTCGGATAACGACAGAGCATATGTACTCGAAGCAAAATATGGCAATGATGTGGTCACTTGCTGACCTTCCATCGCTTCCTGGTGGTGCTGAAGCTGTCCTGCCAGTTCACCAGACTCGACTGCGTAAGCTTGAATTTTGGTTTGCCGTCTCCTTGCTTGCCGCCGTCCTCGTCTTGGAGATCTGCAGCATCCATTAGGTTCTTGAGGGCGGCACGCACTTTGGCTGTATTTTGCATCCTCTTGTCCAAATTCGCAGTAAGCGAGGATCGCTGTGGAGGCGAGGGCGGACTGCGGATGTATGTATGTTTGGGCGGATAGGACGGAAGATAAGGGACATTGTGAAAGCTGCGAAGCGTCGCGGGAACGTGGGGCATATCCTCGCTGGGTAGCAACTCTGGCTCGGGCGAAGATAGGTCGCGAGGGATCAAGTTTGCATGCCTTGGATCAACTAGGTAGTCAAATTTTAGTTATAAGAACTCTGTAGTGGTCAATGCGTACAGTTTGTTCGTCGCTTTCGCCTGCGCCTTTTCGGTTTCCCAGCGGAATGTTCAGCTTTCTTGTCCTTTTTTAGGTTGGAAGAGCCAGGTTTTCGTTTGGGCTTCAACATTTCTGGTGTGATACCCAGGTCGGCGCATGCAGCAACAAAATCTTGTGCGCTGGGTGCCGAACGACCAGCTGCAGAGCCATATTCCTGAGTTGCCTGATATAGCTTTTGCATGACTAGAACGCTTGTGAGATTGTCTGGCATCCAGCTCGTAAACTGACGTACACGCGACAGTTTCATGGAGCAGCCTGTTTACTGCAGACTCACGCCCGCCATCGAATCCCTCGAGAAATAATTGTGTGTATATCATGTGCTTCATCGCCTTCTCAGCACTTTGCTGATCCAGCGGCATCTCCTCGTCGACTTCCTCCTCGTCCTCCATCATGGCTGCCTCTTCATCCTCTTCATCTTGGGATCCATCATCTGCATCTCTATAATATCCCTGAGCTCCAGGCATCCCAAAGACCGGGTGCCCTCCTTGAGGCATATAACCTGGCGGGATCTGTCCATGGCCGTACATGTACGGATATGGTGGCTGCATTCCAGTAGGAGTGCCCGCATTCGGATATACTGGGTAATGTGCGTGATATGGGTGTGCGTAGGGCGCTGCCCCGCTCGGCGTTGAGGGGTACGACATGTTTGGTTGGCGGCCAAGTTGCGAATCACAACCTGGTTCCCGCTATGTCAACCCATGCAGCACATAGGCAGTTATTTCGTGAATTCCTGAGATCAGTGGGTTTACCTCTCCGTTGTAGTTGACTAACTCATTTTTTTTATTGAACCAGGGCAGAGCTCGTACAAGAGCCAGTAGGGCACCGCTTGTAGCGCATACTCGGCAGCTTATACTATCAAACTCTATATCCGTGAGAGGAGCAGAAGATATGGCTTTATTTCTTAAAAGTCAGCGAACTTACAAGGTAGTGACCTCACACCATCCCTTGCGCCTGTTCTGAAGTTCGACCACAGACACTGCTAGACCGATACAATCCTCTTCGAGATCTCACTGCTGAGGAGCATATCAAAGCGACTGCACGACGGGTCGGATTGGATATGCCCATTGAGCATGAGGGATCTAGTTCTGATTCGGACACCGAAAGCCAGTGATATATCCTATTCAGGTATCCTAGCTTACTATATAGTTCACTCGAGGGAGTGTACTGGTTAGGTACGCCTCTTGTTCCACTTGTTCGGATGACTTATTTCCGTTTGCAGCGAGGGCATATAGATTAAATACACCTCGATCATCACAAGAAGCAACCCCAATACGCTGTCAGATTTGAGCCTGTGGGAGCCTGACATCTGATGCTTCGTCATTTCCAGCATATAACCCAGTTTAGTTTCAGCCGCAGGGGGGAAAGCCCACTCTCACATGAATTCCAACTTTCCCGGTCATTACCCCAGCTCGCCGTCTGCCTGCGCTGCGAGCACAGTCCTCATCCACCTCAGCGAGGCAGCCTTCAGTGAAAAGGGCGCTGAGGGCGTGGACGCTCGTCTCCTCAAGACACTGTTCACTACTCCTAATTCTCCTATGAGTACTGCCAGTCGCTCGTCACGAGCATCTCTCCAAACTGAGTGCTCCATTGTTGTGGAGGAGCTTCCAGATTCCCCGCAGCTAACCCATCCGATTCTCGAATTCTCACCCCATCCGAGATACAACTACAACGACGGTACCCTGTTTATCACTGTGAGTACGATCACCGTGATGTACCTGGTTTAACACCGACCAAGGTGGATATGTACATTTTTCGAGTTCATTCGTATCTATTCCTCCCAGATGATGGCAACTACATCGCAGGGCGTCTGAGAGAGGGATTTGGTACCTTTCTGTCGCCGGCCCAGCTTCCAGAGATTGTCAAAATCGGGAGCTTTGAAACGCTGCTCGATCTTTTGTACCGCCAGTACGTCTTCATACCACGCTGAAACGATTCTCACTCTCCGTTGTACAGTCCACTCGACCAAAAGCCATTTTCAACTAGGAGTCTTAAGGATGCCTGTCTAACAGCTCATTCACTGAATATGGGCCGCCATTGTGATCTCATCGCGAAGTTTATTATTTCGAACGACTGTCCAGACGAGCCCTTGGACGAGGCAGTTCCCAAATACGCTCTCTCGGTGAAGCTTCCTACGTACTTCCCTGCAACTTTTAAAGAGGAACAGTTCGACAAAATTTGCTGCAGTATACAGCAAATGACGCATGCCCACTTCTATGAAATCGGTTTCTTCGAACTGTCAAAGATCTGGAAGTGCGCTCTCACAGCGCGAATTGGATATGACGGTGTCAAAGTGGAGACTTACGACCCACCACATGCACAGAGGACGTCATACCTGATCAAAGTCAAGAATATGCCGGCCTACCGAGCAATGAAAAGGGAGGTATTCGGATGAAGGTCAACAAAAGCATGTCTGTATGTCGGCCTGTACTGCGATATAATATGAATGAGCCAATGTACAATGATTATAACTATCGACCAGAGCATCTGAGCAAACGTTGACCGACAAGTGGTACATACCACTTGACAGCTGATCATCTTTGGGTTCAGAGCAAGATGTGAGTTGCGGCATAACAAACGGAAGAGAACACGCTCTAATAGTGTCTTTTGATTCTTCTTATCTATAGGCCGTTACCAGATGAGAGGCCTAGACAAAGCGTGGCAAATTTGATCGGCAAATTCGAGCAAGGAGCCAAAAGAAACTCTGGATCCGCAGGAACAAAAGGTCCTGGTCAAGGTCCTTCAGCTCAACCGCTCAAGCCGCAATACACAGGAGCCAGCACATCCGGTGTCAGCGTTCAAAGCGCCGTGCGATCGCCTATCATTAAATCATCTGATATTCCAACCACCTCTGGTGCGGATGTACCTGCATGGCGAGCAGCGATGATCCAGCAAAACGCAGAGCCACCCGCGGAAACGAAGGATGAACCCGTCGCTCAGGATACACAACCAGAGGCTCCTGAGAAGGCTCCTGAGGTTGATCAAGCGACAGAACCTGTAAAAGAGGAGAAACAGCCTGAGGTAGTTCCTCCTGAGTCTCCGAAGAAGGAAACTCGCGCTGCAAAGGCTGCAGAGAAGAAGGCAACCAAACCAGCAGCGACCACAAGTTCATCTGCCGCGACAAAATCGAGAACGGTCGTTGCAGCCTCGAAGACTACAGGTACGACGCAACCACCCGCGACAAAGGCCGCCAAGTCTCCATCTGTCTCGCGTCCGGCCACCCTTTCCAAAGCGGCATCCTCTTCTGCATCTAAAAGCACGCGACCCTCTGTTGTGCCCCCTGCAGCAAGTACTGCGGCCAAACCACAAGCGGGAAGTACTGCTACCAATCGACTATCCGCTCAGACAGCGTCCTCAAAAGCTCGCACGGCTGGAACATCTACAGCCGGTGGCCCCTCCTCCTCGGTTGCTAAATCCACATCCGCACCAACGACGGGCGCGGCGAGGTCATCATCGGCAATGGCAAAACGAACTGCAACGAGTGGCGTCGCCTCGACAGCTACTTCCCCTCGCAAACCAGTTACTAAAACTGCCCCAGCCACGTCGAGCTCGGCTCCTGTTAAAAAGGCTCCTGTTCCCCGTGCGACACCTAGCACCTCTTCCCAACCCTCTAGCTCTGCTGCGCCAGTGAAGAAGATTACATTAAAGAGTTCCTCTCTGACTCGACCGGCGGGATCAAAGACTGCCCCATCCAAACCGTCGACATCCACCAAAGTACCGCAAACTGCTGCTCCAACCGATGCGACGCTCATACCTGCAGGTGTAGGTGTAGCGGCTGGGGTTATTGCCGGTGCTGCAGCGGTGACATCGCTTGCTTCCGACCAAACCTCTGGAGAACGAGCACCCACAGAGGTTGAAACTGGTCCAGAAGAGGGTCTATCAAAACTGGAGCAGGACGTTACCGAACCAGAGGTAGAACATGCCCAAACCCACCCAGATACTGAAGAGACCGCGGAACAAATTATGCCAGCGGAGGATGTAGACAGCCACGAAGATGGACATGAATTACAAGAAGCTGAAGCGGGCTCGCACCACGAGGACGAGATTCACGAAGAGTATGGAGAGCATGACGCGGAGCACGAGTTGGATAATGAAGCCGAGGATGCCATCCACGACGAAGAGCATCCATACGATGAGACAGAGGCCCACGGTGAGGACTTGTCGGAACGCGGTGACGGAGCCGAAGAGGTTCAACACGTCGAAGACTCTGAGAGCCACGAGGAGAATCACGAGGTGCCTCCCGATTCGCCTGTGTCTCAGCAACACGAAGATACAAGCCAAGGAGATGAGTTGGAAGATGCCGTCGCCTTACTCGAAGGTGGCAAGGCTCCTAATGATTTATTCTCTCCGGGGTATACTGCGACTACTGAGGGCGAGGTGCATGACCCGGTGTCGCCAAAACTTGCAGAAATCAAAGTGGACAATATACCCGACGAGTGACGGAATTCTGTAACTTTAGTCTTACCTATGAATGAAGCTGGGTCTGCATGGTACACAACATGTTTTCAGTGGTGGGTTGGTTTACAATATGTGGACTATGGAGCAAATCAAATCGAGCAATCGAACAAATCAAACGCGCTAAGCAACAGACCAGAGGGTATCGCAGACAGCGGCGCAAGGACGATGGAAGTGAAATCCTGGCTCCTTGTCCGTATATAGAAGAAACGCAGCGATTATCGGCGTTTAGAATCTAGGTACGGGTAGGACAGGGGGAGCAGCGCCCTTGGGCACGCCGGCATTGGCCCTCTGAGGTGCCCCACTCATCATGGGTGGTGCTTCAGTCGCACTACGCGTATGGCGAGGAACAGATTTTGTTGGTGGGGCTTGCGAGGATGTCTTTGCTGCGTATTCTGGCTTGCAAAGTGGAGGCGGAGGTGGTCCAACCATTCGCTGGAGACCAAAAGGCAGCTCCATGCCTGCCTCACGCACGAGCTGAATATACTTGGCTATCTCGAGATGCAACGTTGGATAGTAGACAGTCGATGCCTTCCGAGACGTCTGTACACATGTTAGAACTATCTCTGGTTGGTGAACAAGACCCATACCGCGAGGATCTTTTCGATACCGGACATGAACATATCATGGTGGTATTTGGCGGATGAAAGCTCATTGTCTGCCGGCAAATGGAGATCGGCCGCGGCTCGTCCGATGGCATTGAGCAGTTTGAAGTGACAAGTCTGTCGAAGAATAAGAATACGTCACGATGATGCTTAACACACACCAAGTAATTCATTGCCTCAAACTCTACACCTCCAGTCATCCCTCCTGGTGCTCGAGGTGCCTCAACCTTGGCCAGATCTACCGCGTCCAGGTCCCAAATGGTGTTGGATGGATGGCAAAATACCCAAAAGTAGTCTCGGCAGCAGTCACTCACCTCCTGCAAGTATGATTTATAGATGCGAGGATGGTGGAGACTGTCGATAAAGGCGTGTGGAGAGATGGGCATCGAAGGACATTCAGAAGGAAGTGGCTTAGGAGTAAGTAAAACAGCCCTCATAAGTGAGAACAGGTTCGTATGGGGTGCAGGAAGGGGATATTGAGGATGGGGTAGAGGCGTCGATGCTCCCATTCGGGGCGTCGTAGTGAGGCCAAGAGCGGACGATGGCCGTTCTGGAGGAGGTGAAGATGGCGGATTTGGATATAACTCTGAAAGAATAATGAGCAACTCCACGATGAGGATCCGCGAGCATGCATCTCCTGGCTTCTTGTCGCTGTACAAGAGGCTGATAAGTTGGACAAATGGTCGTGGTGCAGATGATCTGAGCGCAAAGCACCCGATGGACGACGTGGAAAGTGCCTTGAAGCATCGCAGCAGCTCATGCAAGATTTGATCGTCCCTCTGTTCTTCTCGCCATTCAACCTCGAGCATTTCATTGAGCCTTGAAAGGAGAGCCGAGTATCCACCTTCGATGAGGAAACTCTCGGACCACCTGTTGCGACAGCTGAGTGTCTAAAACCGAACAATTGCATCCACTTACGCGGCCGCTTCATTCCTGAGCATGATCCTCAGCTTCTTCAGCCGTTCCACTTCTAGCTCTGTACTCTTTGTCTGGGAGAGCATGACGCTGAACCTTCCTGGCGTCCAGTCTCTCTCCTTTACTGTAGCATTCTTCAGATCCTTTTGACTTGTAGTTCGGTCCTTGACCAAAATAGCTTGTCCATGCGATCCGCTACCGACGCGGGGGCGAGACTGATTCCCAAGTCCCATACTGAGACCAGAGACAGTACCGCCACTGTTCCAATTTCCGGTACCGTTTCTTGATCCTCCACTTCCATTACTCGTTCCAATCCCGGACGACGAGCCGGTGCCGTGGAAATAGAGCGAGGTCCGAGAGGCCGACTTTGGATCGCCTTGGGCCGAAGATGGCCGTGGAATCCCCAGGCTCGAGTCAAAGGATGATCCACGAACATGACCCACATAGCCATCTTGGAGCTGGGCCAGCGTCGGAGGTGGCATGAGCGGGGGCGAATCCGCACGCGAGAATGGGTCATCTTCTAGCGAGGGGAACATGTACTTTAGGGCTTGCTCCTGACCTACACCCAACCCGAGCTGGTAAGAAGAGCCGTTGCCTCCAGGCGACATTTGAGAATAGGGTATACCGCGGGGAGAGTCGCCAAGGGAGCCACTACTCTGCGTGCGGCGTACCCCCTTCTTCGGCGTGTTTTTTCCACTCGCTCCTCCGTTGCGGTTGAACATGAATGGATTTGGTGCGTGTTGCTTTGATTCTGAGAAATTCTCCGTCTTAAACTTGTCCTTTTCTTTCCACGTCTTTTTGTCCTTTGTCTTCTCTTTATCTTTCCCAAACTTGGACTTTGTAGGAGAGACGGAACCTTCGGACGGCAACTGCGGGACACCCGATGGAGGAGGAATCGTGAGGACGTGGCTCGATTTGAGCATGGCCGCTTTCACCGGAGTGTCTAGGCCTTCAAGTTTTGGTCGGAGAGTCGATGGAATTTGTAGGTCATCCTATGAAAGTTCAGTGCCAGCGTTCGTGACGTAGAGCGGGAGACAGACCAGCATCTTATTAAATTCATTGTGCGTCGTTGCCTTGACTTCTTCTTCCTTTGAGAGCGGGGGAGGATGGTCGAGAAATTCGAAACCCCATCCTTGAGCGCTGCCGACCCCGATGGCAGAACCAGACTCGGTTCGTCGACGATTGGCTTCTGGCGGTCCTCCCTGAGGATCCACGGTAGCACTACGACCTCTCGTCACAGCTCTAGGTTCAGGAGTCGCTCGACCTGTTTCTTCGCCGCCGTTTATCTGCATCGCGAGGTTTGCGGATGGTGGCAGAATCACGCTGGATCGTTTCGTTGGACTGGACGGACTCGTCGTTGCGCGAACAGAGGATCGAGATGATGCAAGGTTGAGAAAAAGCTCTGCGCGCACAGTTGCCGGTCGATTCTCCTTGTTGGCTTCAGGAGCGTTGGTCTTGGCTATGGCGGAGCGGGATTGTCAGCTATTGTGATTACAGATTTGCAAGAAGATTTCATTACCACTTGAATCCACGTTGAGAGAATGAGCGGGTTCCATGCCCGCCGAGCCCAACGCATCAATGAACGCCGTGTTGTGCGGTACATCTTGCGTCGACGTCCGCTTTGGATCCTTGAGAATGCCTTTAAACATGGGTCGTTTGTCGAATTGAGCAGTATCGGCCCTTGCTTGCTGGTTCCTTGAAATCGACAAACGTGGAGCGGAAAGTCAAGTTGCGCAAGGTGGCAGGCGTCGTATACCGGCGCAACCAACAGGAACAATCGTTGTTATTGATCAAAGGACAAGGATAAAGCTTGCTTGGGAGCGTTGCACAAGATCTAACACGAAGCCCGAGAGAGATGGTGGAGGACAACAAGTTGAAACTCCGACAATTCAAGGAGTAGCCAAGCTTCAGCACGCAAAGCCTCATTTATTAGGAATTAATGTCTACACCAGATTGAATCATATCATAGCAAGATCGAAATGGAAAGAGCCAGCGCTCCCAAAAGCCAGATAGAAGGCCCAAGAACTGTGAGCATTCCCAAGGAAGGAGTCAAGTGAAATACGTCTCCCGTAGGCTCTGGTGTAAGTGATACTTCTGTTATCGGTTGATTTGCCCACACAGGGGTGTGGGAGGGAGTCGAGGTTTGGGTGGGTGTAGCTCCTGGTACTGCCTCTTTGACAAGCAACGAAAGTTTGGGCGCAGCTGCAACTTCCACTAATCAAAGACCTCAGTCACAGGAAGACATTTGATAAAGCCCAACGCTACCTTTGGGAGGTGTATCCACGCATACAGTCGAGGAGTTGGGATATCGATATTCATCGGATCCACTCTGAAAGTAGTAGAGAAAGTAGGGGATGAGTGAGTAGTTGCCAGCTCGAGGAGGCTTGAAGAATCCATCCAGGTATGCACCCCCGTTTGATTGCAAACACATTGTATCGCCCTCGGGATTGGTGGGAATAACCACAGGAACACCCGATTCATTGATAAACGTATTGTGTTGGATCAACGAGACTGCAGCAACGCTACTGGCGAGCTGATAGCTACCGTTGGGATGCTGGGCGACCAACGCATATTCTACAAACGTCTGTCCTGATACTGAGACCCAGACATGAGCCTCCTCCCCTATATAGCGCTCAGAATCTGGCCTGCGAAAGAGAACGAACGCGACTTGCCCAAGGTAATGTTTAGGGATGTGTGGCCAATACTGGGTCTTGGAATACTCGCATATGCGAGTACGAATAACTGTGAAGCAAAATAGAACAAGGAGATGGAGGGCATAGGTACCGATGACCAACTTCTGGTCCGTCAAGCGCCTTTTATGCCTGGGCTCGGCCCCACCTCAGCCTTAGAAGACTGGTAGAGGCGTTTAGACGGTAAGGCCGAGTGGATTTGTGGTAGGGCTAGGTCTTTACCCGACGGGAAACTTATTGCGAACCTCCTATAAAGTTTCGATCCCGCCTGCTCATCAAAGAAAACACGGGCTGATGGTCCATCTTCTAAAATGTGTGATCCTTGTCACACGCGCATGGTGTGCAGCGTCTAAACCGAGCACTAAACGTCTGATGGCGTGAACAGTGATCAGAGAATGCCGATACTCATATTTTGTTATAAAGAGGGACACGAGGCGACGACGGACGGCAAAGAGCTCGAGAAAAACCATGCACTCCTTCCGGCACCTCAATGGTCTAAGGGAGAGGTAGAAAAAGGGACAAAGTCGATTATGAGCCGCCAATCTCCTTTGCGAGTTGCTCAGCCTTGGCCTTGACATCCTCAATCGTGCCAGCCATGTAGAAGGCAGACTCGGGGAGTGAATCGTGCTGGCCGTTGAGAATCTCTTTGAAGGAGCGGATGGTGTCCTTCAGCGGGACGAGCTTGCCCTCATAACCAGTGAAGACCTGAGCGACCTGGAAGGGTTGTGACATGAAACGCTACAAGACAGTCAGTATCATCTAAGAGGAACAAAGAACTCATACCTGAATCTTGCGGGCACGCTCGACAGTAAGCTTGTCCTCTTCCGACAACTCGTCCATACCCAGAATGGCAATGATATCCTGCAGCGACTTGTAGCTCTGGAGGATTTTCTGGGTGGCAGTTGCAACCTCGTAGTGCTCCTTTCCGACCTGATACACGGTAAGTAAGTCTCCTGAGATTGGGCATTGGGGTACATACGATACGGGGGTCAAGCATACGCGACTTCGAGTCAAGAGGATCGACGGCAGGGTAGATACCGAGTTCGGCAATCGAACGAGACAACACGGTGGTGGCGTCCAAGTGGGCGAAGGTGGTGGCTGGAGCGGGATCTGTCAAGTCGTCTGCCGGGACGTAGACGGCCTGGACCGATGTGATAGAGCCCTTCTTGGTGGTGGTGATACGCTCTTGCCTGTTCAGACGATTAGAGAGATTCATCGCGAATGACAACAGCGACTCACATGCCACCCATGTCGGTCGAGAGAGTAGGCTGGTAACCGACGGCAGATGGGATACGACCGAGCAAAGCAGACACCTCGGAACCAGCTTGAGTGAAGCGGAAGATGTTGTCGATGAACAACAACACATCCTGGCCTTCCTCGTCACGGAAGTATTCGGCGATCGTCAGACCAGTGAGAGCGACACGAGCACGGGCACCAGGAGGCTCGTTCATCTGCCCGAAGACGAGTGCTACCTTGGAGTCACCCTTGAGGTTGATGACACCGGTTTCGATCATTTCGTGGTACAGATCGTTACCCTCGCGGGTTCGCTCGCCGACACCACAGAAAATCGAGAAACCACCATGGGCTTTGGCGACGTTGTTGATGAGCTCTTGGATGAGCACAGTCTTGCCGACACCAGCACCACCGAAGAGACCAATCTTTCCACCACGTGCATAGGGAGCGAGCAGATCGACGACCTTGATACCGGTTTCCAAGATTTCAGCAGTAGTAGACTGCTCGACGAACGGTGGGGGGTCCTGGTGAATCGGCAACATTTTTACTCCCTTGATAGGACCACGTTCGTCAATGGGCTCGCCAATGACGTTCATGATACGACCAAGAGTGGGTTTTCCGACGGGAATTTGGATGGGGGCACCAGTGTCGACGACCTTTTGGCCGCGGACGAGACCTTCTGTACCGTCCATGGCAATTGTTCGAACGCTGTTCTCACCCAAGTGCGAGGCAACCTCGAGGACCAAGCGACCACCATGGAAGTCTTGAACCTCCAGGGCGTTTAGAATAGGGGGGAGGTTCTCAGAGTCGAACTGGACATCGACAACAGCACCGATGACGGTCTTGACCGAGCCGACTTGTCCCTTGGCCTCAGAGGCGTAGGAGCGAGCTGAAATAGATTTAGCGACCTCTGAAAACTTTTTTAAGAGAGAAGACTGACCTGCTTTGGGTGCCGGAGCGCTGCGTGCTGGCCTCGGCAGCGACGAGCGGTGAGCGGGTGTCGGGACAGCGCGGGAAAGCGCAGAAGCTGAAGAGAAAAGTGCAGAGGGGGCTTGTCGACGGACAAGAGCCCGCGACGAAATACGAGCGACACCGCGCGTAGTCAACATTGGCGGCGGTGAGTTCCAAGGTCGAAAACTCGCTTTGCGCCCAAATTTTACCGCGGTCTAGTTGACCCCAGAGATTTTGTCGTAAACTCACAGAATATTTCTTAGGCATAAATGTGATTTATTCACATATTTCTCAAGGCAGAATGGCCGTCAATGGCTCCTAGGCGTGTGGATTCGATACTATCCACAGCGAAGGCGTATATCGCACTCCTCGCTTCGTAATCCCACTGTATGCCTCTATTGTAGCGTTAACGTGCCAACCTTCGACGACCGCGAGCTCCTCGACGATGGCGTGGGTGTAGGGATGAAGAATCACGAGCCCTTCGGTCTTGTCGTAGGTCCATGATTTGGTTCCTGGCTGACTTTTGTAGAGATGTGGAGGTGAGTGTTCTTGTAGGAAGAGCGAAGCACCTGTCTGTGCTGCGAGGTTACAAATGTGAAGGTTGGCTGGCGAATCTCAGCGACATCTCCACTGCACAATCAATATCTCACCATTTGACACATTGAGTCTGTTTGCAACAGACAGAGCCTCGCCACCCGGATAGTTGGTTGATGAAACGTAAGTGAAGCCGGCCATCGCCACCAGATTTGCACCGAGAATGCCTAGAGCCACCAAGCGAGTGAGCGTTCCTCGCGCCCACCTATCATCATCAAGATCAGCGGCAATGATAGTGGACGTACTCACAGGTCGGTGAGAGCGCACGCCGCTGCGATATTGAAAATCGGCACGGTGTACAGGACGAATCGCCATTCCTTGTGGGCCAGGACTGACATCACGCAAACAAAAGCAATGGCTGGGATAGCTAGTCTACGCGCTTTCCTATTGATGACAAGTCCGAGAAGGCTGAGAGGGAAGGCACCGAGCAGCAACTTGGGTAAATGTTGCGTCCAGTACACGTGGAATGGTGAGACCTGATATCATGAGTATTAATGTATCGCGACGATAGAGTACATACACCCCATTCGGCGCTCTTGCCTTGCACGACGTTGAAATAGGTCGCTCGCCATTCTGGCCACATTGGCCAGTCTTGCCAGAAGTAGGAATCAACTACGACGGTACAAGCTTGTTGAACAGATCAGCGCAACATCTGATCGACTCGACAACCACGCACTGAGAGAGAGGGCAGTACACACTGCCCCGATGAGCAGTAGTCGTACCAGCCAACTCCTATGCCTTATCAGAATAAATATACAGAATACGCCTAGATATGCAGCCAATTCGGCGCGGAAGACGACAGCCGAAAAGCAGAGCAGGCCAATGACCGGTGCAAGAGCCTGTGGTTGCCAAGTAGTGCGTGAGAGCGCTTCATTAACTGTTCTATGTTAGAATCTCGATATAGTGTCGATCGTCTGTTACTCACACAAGACGAGTGCAAATGAGTTTGGCAGTGTTCGTCCCATCCAGAATGGCATATGGAATTGAGAGCATGTAAGGAGGCCAAACATTATGCCTGTAATACGACCAAATCTTCCCGATACTGCTACCCGAACTCGTCGCAACGCAAGCGCATTTGCTGTCGTTAGGACTAGCCTGACTGTGGCATGGGTTCAGAATCACGATATAGCACCAGGAGGCGTACTCACGTGCAATCTGGACGTGAAACTTTGTCCTGATTAGGCCCAGTGGGACCAAGAGTGTTGCCAGAATGCGGGTCGTCCATCCAAGCCAAAGACTACCAAGAAAAGACCTTGGAACTGCTCCAGGAAAGATAAAATGATCATACTAGATAGAGCTCGTCAGATATTGATCTAAAACGTGGCGTCACCAACCTTCTTCAAACCGTCCTTGGTCACGCCATAGAAGAAGACATCATGCGTCGCGTGGAGATTGAAGCTTTCTTCGACTTTGGTATAAGGAGAGATGAAGACGTGAGCCCAGGCGATAAATAGGAGAACGAGGTCGAGGACAAACTCCATTGCTACATAACATCTGCCTCTAGTCTGTTGATAATGTGCTGATTATTTCTCAAAGATATATCACCACTAGCTATCCACAGCTGGAACTCGACGCGGAGGATCCTAACCGCTCGTCGGATCTTCGAGCGCTCCTCACGGCCACATGAACAGCTTTACATAACATTTCACAAACGAAGCTTGCTCCACGTAACCGCCCGTTGCGCGCCAAGTTTTCCCCCTATTTCTCTCTTCGACCCGCCCACGATCTACACTTTTCGCCCCTCCCGTCTCTTGTTCTCTATATCAACATGTCTCTACTCCGGGCATCACGAGGACTCTTGCGTTCGAGACTGACGACCACGACTTCCAATTTGATGCACCAAGCCGTCGCCCCGCGGTTCTACGCCTCATTTCCGGAACAATCAAGATTATTGGGACAGTATAGATTCGTAAAGGATCCAAAAACCGTCGCCGTCAGTGCTCCCGCTGTGACAAAAGAAATATGTCATTGACAGGCCATTCTCGAACTCAGATTGTAGGCTGTCCATTCAGGTAAGGTTAATAAAGTGGTCTCATGCACGCTTCTTATTCCTTCTATAGTGGTGGGCAGGCGAGTCGACGGACAGCAGCAGTGTCAAACATCTGACTTTTTTGGTGTAGCCCCGTGCAGGTGTCGACCAAGGTCCAATCCACCTCGTGGAAGCTGGAATCATTGACCAAATCTCCACACTTGGCTGGAAGGTTCACTTTGATGGTCACCACCAATTTGAAGACATTGCAGTCGAGCATGATCCTCCCCGTGGTATCGTCAAGCGCCCACGACTTGTCTCCAAGATTTGCGAGAGCGTATCTCAAGCTGTCGGAAAACACATACAGAATGGAGCTCTACCACTGACTCTGGGCGGCGATCACAGTTTGGTGCGTCTACTATGCCAGCTCTCGAACGTGGCCCTGATATAGTCAGGCAATGGGAACTATTGCTGGAACTCTGAGCAAGCATCCCAACGCTGTTGTGATCTGGGTCGATGCACATGCCGATATCAACTCTGTCAACACAACTCCCACAGGAAATGTTCATGGAATGCCTGCAGCATTCCTCCTTGGCCTCCCCTCAACAGAGACGGTTCCAGAGTTTTCATGGCTCACGGACAAGACTAACTCTTCAATACCCCGTCTACAAGCCAACAGCATCGTTTTCATTGGCTTGCGAGACGTCGACCCTGGAGAAAAGAAGATTCTCAAAGAGAATGGAATCACGGCATTTAGTATGCATGAAGTAGACAAGTATGGCATCGGGGAGGTGATGAACAGGGCCCTCGACGCTGTCAATCCCTATCGAGACAGACCTATTCATCTCACCTTTGACGTCGACGCACTCGATCCAAGTGTCGCACCTAGTACTGGAACACCTGTGAGTGGACGCGGCGTGCTAGACAATTGACTGATGCTCTTTGAAGGTTCGTGGAGGGCTGACATTCAGAGAGGGTCACTATATCTGTGAAGCTATTGCTGAGACTGGTCTTCTCGCTGCGTTTGACCTTGTGGTCCGTTCAACGCCTTTATGAATTTCTTCATCACTCACCAGGTGTTTGATTGCAGGAAGTGAACCCATCCCTTACCGATGACTTTGACGTCAAGCAGACAGTCTCGGTAGGATGCTCGTTGGTGCGCAGTGCTTTAGGTGAGTGTTTGGGGCTCACGCGACGTTCCAACTCACGTCGGCGCAGGAGAGACGTTACTTTGAGCGATTTAAGGATACTTCTATCTAAGCTTTATTGTATTTCCTCATGCCATATTCGTGGCCTAATCAACATATGTCAACTACGGCCGTTACGCCTGTTGAGGATAGTGGAAAGATGGAAACTAATACAACAACGTGATGTTTGATATTTTCAAGTGTTCTGGTTCTGGCAAGCGCGTTTGCTCTAGTAGCCAGAGATCGGCAAGACCGAGACAGCTGGCTGCAGAAGGTTGCACCTCACCGAACTCGACTTTGCGTCGTTACCGCCACGTAACGCGCTGTAAAACGCGTCAGACGCCTTTATTATTGCTCAAAGAACACATAACGATTCAAAACCTATTGTGCTTCCGCAGAGTTGTGTAGCAGGTGAGAGACGAGAATGGCTCCGTTCTTGCTGCCAGCCGCCAGGAGCTGACGACCCGGTCCTTGTGGATCGAAAATTAGATATTTGAAGAGGAAGGTCTGAACAAACTGAGCTTCCTGCTGAAGCCGGCCTTATATGAACCGCACCGCAACTGGAGACAGTAGTCCTGCCAAAAGACGAAGCCAACAGCCAACAACATCAACATCACGTGGGTACGAGTACGTATAATTCGCCACTTCCTTCTGTTCATCTCCAGCTCTTCCGCCCGTTTTTCGCTGTCATGTCCCTCCCAAGGAGCAATGTTGTTGGCAATGTACTGATCCCATTTCGCCGCCAACTAATAGCCAATCAAGCCAACAACATTACCAAGTATCATCTATAACGCAGCACACCGTGGAGAAGCCAAAGAGCAAGAGCAACCTCACCGGTGACAACCTCAGAGACACCTCAGTCAACGTCGCCTCTGCCTTTTCACAAGCCGTACAAGATTTCGCAATGTCCAACGGCGCTGTCACAACAAATGGTTATCCGCGCACAAACGGTGTCGCCGAGCGTGGTCTCGGTGCACCTCCTCCAAGCCGGGCACGCAAACCCGTCTCCCGCGGTAGCAACCGCGTCCTTGCCGTTCAAGAAGAATCTGATGACGACTTTGAGGTGAATCGACTGAGAGGCAAGAGCCCTCTCGTCGAAGCAGCCTCGAATTTCGTTCGTGCGCTCTCCCCAGGAGGCTCGCTTTACCTCCGCCAGAGGGCGGGGGGTGCTGGTGACGCCGATCCTTCGGGATACCAATCTCTTACCGGCGCATTTACGGGTATCAAGCCTCAGTCGTCCCAGGGGAGCTCCCGACTTGTCCCTACCCAAAGCCAAACCTCTCATGGAAATGTTTCCTCGGACTACAACTACTCGCGTGAAGAGTCTATGGTCAACCGGATGGAGCCCCCGCCACCGGGCAAGCCCATGAGTTCCGCCTCTGCCTCTGCCGCGGCGAAGAAGAAACTCGGGCCACGACACTCGAGCACTATTGCACTGGATAAGCAGGCATACAAGCCTCCGATTGACGAAGAAGAGGATGACGAGGATGATTGGTCGGAAGACGAAAAAGGGCAACGTCGCAAACGATCAAAGCATGGTCCCGCTCAGAAAAAGTTGGATCATCTTCCCACTGTCGGTGCGCAGGCCAAGCATCGTAGGGTGAGGAAGAGAAAAGGAAAGGATGGTGAAGAAGAATCGGAATCAGAGACTGTTGTGAGTGGCAGCACCAACTTCTTTCTTTATTGTGCTTATCAACGCCGCAGCCGAGGGACTCTGCCGTTCGCTCCTTACGAGGTTCAATGCCTCCTCCAGAACCTTATGACGACCAAATGGAGCAGAGCAACGAGCATTTCGCAGACGAGTATACAATTTCAGACGCCCAGGCGCATCCCAGCCAATCCGCATTTTCAATCGGTGGTCTCTTGGGGAAAATGGTCAATATGGCTTTTCATCTCTTCGGAGCCACCGTCGCACTCAGTGTCAACACTCTCACGAGTGCTTCCATCCTCCTCTTGCGCATCATTGCTTCTGTCTTTGACATTTGCCTCATCCAGCCTGCGAGCTTTGTAATGGATCGTGCCCAAAAGATATTTGGGTCTATCGACTGGTCGTCCATTGGCAAAGGAGTGCTAGGCTTAGTCATTGCCTGGCTCTTTTTCAATTCTCTCCTGGGCCCCAATGCCAATACCTCGACTGGCCGTGCTTGGATTCCTGGTTGGGGTCAGCCATCTCCCTTACCCTCATCTATCCCAACCGGTGACGCACCGGCTGCTCTCTTGGAAATCGCTCGTCGGTTGCAAGATATGGAGAACAAGGTGATCGATATGCAATACGCGCAGCGTCGTGCATTTGATCGGCTGGATTCTCAGGCTCGCATCACTGACGAGTCGGCGAGCAAGCTTGATTCGCTCGGTAGTGCCATCTCCAAGCAAAACCTGGCGAGAATCGAATCCGAGGAGAAACTGCGCTCATCTAGTGCTGCTGCTATTACCTCCCTTCGCACAGAACTCTCGGGTCTTATGAACCAATTGGGTCATATTGATACCAGTGGAGCAGACGAAAAGCTTCAGTTCTTTGAGAAGCGATTGGCTGTCGCAGAGGCCAACGTCAAGGATGCCGTCGAGGTCAGCAAGCAGGCCTTGAATACGGCCAACACCAAGGCTGTGTCGACTGGTGGTACTCGCAGCGGTGGCAGCATCTGGGAGCTCTTTGGAACAGGTGAAGGCAAGTCGAGCTTGACAATCAAGTCAACGGACGGACGCGATGTCACCAACCTCATCAGTGCACTCGTCGACAACGCAGTCAATATGCGGTCCAAGGATGACATTGCGAAGCCAGACTATGCAAGCTACTTTGCAGGTGGCCGAGTCATTCCCCAGCTTACAAGCCAGACTTTCCGCATTCCCGCCAAGTCGTACTGGGGCAGCTGGGGATTCGGCATGTTTGGTCAACAAACCGTCGAGGGTAGGCCACCAGTCACGGCCATTCACCCTGATATCCACGTTGGCAACTGCTGGCCCTTCAAGGGCCAACAGGGTCAACTTGGCGTTGTCCTTGCGCGCTCCATCATTGTCACTGATATCACTATTGACCATGCTCCGAAAGAGGTGGCCTTCGACGTCCGATCCGCTCCCAAAAACATGGAGGTATGGGGCCTCGTCGAAGGTGCCGAGAATATCAAAAAGGTCACAGAGTACCATCGCCGACGTGAACAACGATACCGTGATCTCGTTGCGGCGGCCAACCGCGAAGGTCGAAAACCCCCACCGCCAGAGGATCCATATCCGGCCAATTTGCCACCAGACGGCAATTATATTCGCCTTGCTCAGTTTAAGTACGACGTAAATGCCCCATCGCACATCCAGACGTTCTCGGTCCCTCAGGACATACAAGACTTGGGGGTCGATGTCGGCATCGTCGTGCTCATGGTCAGGAGCAACTGGGGAGAAAAGAACTGGACATGTTTGTACAGGTTCCGCGTGTCGGGACACGACTTGGACCGACGGCCATACCCGCTCGAAGAAATTGATGGCGAGTAGACGATGATCCTTCGTTCAAGAGCGACCCCCCTTTTACGACCCCGAGGCCACTCACGACACACCTGTACTTTCACCACACATTGTCGAGGCTGTCAAGCCTCGCTACCTTATCAACCAGCATCTTATGATTTATCTGACGGACGAGGACGGCATTGGCTGGTCTCCCACGTCTTAGCTTGGGTATGGTCTAGAGTCTACGATCTACGTGCTCCTTTTATTGTTCCGTTTTCTTCTGGTATCTGTCCCGGTAGGTCGCGGAGTCGGGACTTGATACGCTTTGTGATAAAATGTACGACCTAGTGATCTGCGTCCTCGTCGTCTGTCACGCTTGCTTGTGTCTGAATCAAATGAAAGCTATCGTCCCTCGCTCTCGGTTGCGTAGAACCAGTCAGCGCTTACTCGCATTATTTGCCACACAGCTTGTCCTCTGCTAGTCCCAGACGCCCCAGAACAAGGTTCAAACGAGATGACTCGATTCGGAAAAGGTTTCTAGGCATATGATGCCGACTATTTAGATCGGTGACCTCCAGCCTTTCTTGTTCTCAACCTCGACCAGCAAGCCCCAGGATGTCCGGCGAAGACTTGTGGGGAGACACGCTTCCATACTGTTCAGAATACTCGGATTCGCAAGTTTATGGACAGCTGGATTCTGCAGGAGGACAAGAATTATTTACCCGCTGTCCACAGGAACTCGTCGATATTATTGGTGCATATGTCCCACAACGAGACCTGCCATCGTTTTCACTCGTCAGCAAGTCGTGCTACGCTGCGGGTATTCGCAACCTGTATGCACATGCCACATTGCAAGCGCACCTCTTTCGCGTCACCTCCCCCAACGTGCTCAGAGAAGAACTTGTCCCCATCTCTCTCCTACTACCTCCTTCTACCACCCATACGCCTCTAGCAGATAAAGATGCAGACCAAACGTCATCCTCTGAAAAGATTGAGTGGACCGGTTGCCCAACTCTGCGACGTCTCGTCAGAAATAAAGTGCACCAAGCTGCCATACGGTCACTTACGATTCACTCGTACCCGTTTTCTGTCAACGCCCGGGCGTGTTTTCTCTCGCTCGTGCAGTACATTTGTAACAACGCGCCCAACGTGCGCCATATCAACCACGCATACTTTCCGACAAAACCCGTCAGACCACCGGATATCCCGAATAGCTGGAGAGAGTCGCTAACATCTATCACTACGCGACATGTGTGCTGGTGGATCCTACGGGCTGTCAAGGGCGCCCGTCTCCGCAAGCTCGTTTTGATACACTGCTCGACATCTCTTGCCACCAATATGATGAATTGGCATAGGAATGGGGCGTTTGACGGTGCGAGTTTGAAGGAGTTGCACTACTTGTGGCACGAGTGGGACGATAAGATGTCCGAGCTCAGATTCGATTGGATTGCAACGGTGTTTCCGAACCTCATGGCGCTAAATATCAGCATCTGTGGTTGCTGGGTGGACGCCGGCGCGTCAAACGAGGTGAGCTCTGCGCAACGCCAAAGAGAGTGATGACTCAACGTACAAAAGGAGTACCTCAAGGCATTTTGTGACCTTGTGTCCAATTTGCCACATCTCGAGTCGATTACAATTGGCGAACTAGAGGAGAACAGCGCCGAGGCCGAGCTGGAATTTATCCACCCCCTATATTCTGCTCAACCCACTCTACGGCAGATTACATTTTCGTGGAAGATATCTGCATCCGCTAAAGTCGCCGATTTTGTGGCATGGGAGGAGTCACCACGGTCTGAAGCCGTTTGGCGTCTAACAGTTCCCGTCCAGAGGACAGAGAAGGCCTCTTGGACGCCTGATCCTACAAACGCCGCCCGCTTCGAATGGTGGTTTTCGACCTTTGGTCTCCCACATATTGCACGGCGTCAGATGGAGCGGTTATGGAGGCCACATCTATTTTCCGAAGAGCACAAAAGCTTTATTCAGGCGCGAAATCGTACGTGGAAGGACATTCCGTCCGAAGAGATTTTATACGCATACATGTTCGAGCTGATCAAAGCGGACTTGATTGAGAACAAGATGTGGGACGATGCCTTTGCTAGAGGCGCAAGAGGGGGTTGGTAAATGATTGTGGTAGCTCTTGAATTTGTCGAGTTTGTATGCTTACTATCAGCGCTCATCTAGTTTGTGATTTAATCTAGCATTGCCTGGAGAATAGAACAAAATTGCACATACGAAGACTGCAAGATGAAGTACAGGGTTCCATATAAAAGCCGAGTCCAGTCCATATAAATTAGTCTCCAAGACAAGTGGAGCAAACCTTTGTTTATAACCAGACCGCGGCGTCGCTCTTGGACTGACCAAACTTGATCGACGAGATGGAATTGCGAGTCTGTGCCTGTCCAGGTAACGGACGTGCCAGAGGTTGTGCGGGGAGTGAACGCGCAGGAGGGCGGGAGAGAGGAGCAGCGAGCGAGGCACTCGGGGACGCTTGACCGTGAGATTTGTTATTCTTGAAGATGCTAAACTTGCGCGATGTTTTGGAGGGTGTACGTTGGGGGGATGCGGCCACAGAGGGAGCAACAACGTCTGGAGGGGGTTCCTCAAAGGGGGCAATCACGCTCGGCCGTCTACTTCCGTCTGGGTTGTATATGACACGAGTCATGGCGATGGAAGCATCCGAGTCCCATGCGAATGGGTTGAGGAACTGGATGGATTCCGGGGGAGAGGCTGGTCGTCTGGATGGCATGACAGAGGCACTTCCATCGTCATCATCTGACCCAGGAATGTCTCTGAGATGGAGAGGGAGTGATTCCTGGGAATAAGATGCTCTGGACTGGTGCCATTCACTCTGCATAGATCTCCGCCTAAACGAGTCGCTGGAGAGGGTGGCTGGACGAGAATGAGAGGCATTTGAAGCTGAATGTGAGCCCGTGTTAAAGGTGTATTCGGAGATGAACGAGGGAATGTCGCTGAGGACGGCAGAGCTTGCATTGGTGCTGTAGGATGAAATTGTTTGTAGATCACTCCGATCTGTAAAAATAGACGTGGGGCGCGTCAGCTCTGAGCCATGCGACGATAGCGTGGAGGGCATACCGGCATGGCCAACCTCGTGGGCGATATTCACAACAGACTGGAAATCACTCGAAGCAGAAGACCACCGTCTCTGGCGCGAATCCCGGTCGGCCGTGCGGGTCTGGGACGAGGACATGGAGAGGACACTGCTCCCGGCGACGCTCCCACTCGCTGCAGACAGTCTGTTGTAACCTCCTCGTCCAAAAAGACTGCCGAGCTGCACAATAAAACCAGTCAGAACGTCGTCCATGGCCAACAAACACAGACCTTGCGCGGGTTTGTGATGATTATCTCCCGCCCATAGATATTGTCGTGGAGTTGGAGCTCCTGAACAGACATCTCCGCGTTCCAGAGGGCTTATCGGACAGCTTTCCGACAGAAAGAAGGGCGCAGAGCGTCTTGGGAGAGGAGAAGAGAGAAACGAGCCATTCTACTCACAGAGGTGCCTGGGTCCGATAGAGTCTGTCTGGAAGCTACGTGCAGGGATCGTAGCAGCGTCCAAGTTTATATACGTATTCTTAGTCTTGATATGCCGAGAGCTTTGCTTGTCCCAGCTCTTGCACGTTTGTCACTCGTCCCCCGTTCCTTTTTCCCCGGTGCACGAGACCAGGGGCTCTGGAACACATTCCAGAGCTTGAATAGCATACTGAAACGAACAGTTGACATACTATTCACTACTCATCGGGGCAGAGGGCATTCGTGGCCGCGCAGTACAATTACGTGGAACATGGTTTTGGATAACTATACACTACATCTACGGCTATATGGATCGCTAAGGGACCTGGCGAGCTGCTCTCCCGCTGCGCAGCAACTCAGCCGTCAGAACTTGGCCAGAGACCAATTCCCGCAAATAATCTGGACGTGCCCCATTCTCGCTCTACGGGGTTCAAATCATGATTATTATTCCTCCAGACAACAAGAGTCAGGACACTGTCGTCCCAAGACGCGAAGAGGAGCCTCCAGAGTCGTTGCCTGGGCCACCACCTGCGGGCCCATCCAGAAAGCCCATAAATCATGTGAGAAAGAGAAGACTACGTCTAGTTGCTTGTGCCGCCATTCTCCTGTCTCTCGCATTTATCATCCACACGACTCGACGCGCCAATCGACCGCACCTGTTCCGTCCACGCAAAAAGCTCTTTGCTTTCGACAAACCGAGAGAGCCAGAGGCCTTGTTTAATCCCAAAAAGCTGCTCGAAGTCGAAAAAACGTTTCTGTGAGTGACGCCGTCATCCAATTTTGGTGACCCACTCCTGTCGGATTTAGCTAACAGCAAATATAGCGCCGTGCCGAACAATGATTCGGCCATTGAAGCTTCTCGGAAATTTGCAGGCAAACCTCATCTCGCAGGTAGCGAGCAGGATATCGAGACGGCTTACATGATGCTCGACGTCTTTCAGACCCAACTCGGAATCGCAAAGCCAGAGGATCCACCAGTGTTTGATGCAGGTTCACGGCAATCTCAACGAGCCATTAGAGGCACAACTACCGTCCCGCGGAGAATATCGCAGCCAATTGCATGGATTGACACCTATTACCCCGTTCTAAATACGGTGAGAAATAACTCTATCTCTATTGCTTTGCTCTGACACCAAACAGGGCGTGGAACAGCGGCTAGAGATACTGGACAAGGACGGCTCTGCTACATGGTCTGCAGACCTCTGGGAAGATGGAGACTCTGCAGACCCAGACGCTGCTGGGTATCGGAATGCAGTTCCCCCATGGCACGGTCTCTCCAAGGACGGGGAAGCCATAGGACCCGTCGTCTACGTCAAATACGGCAGAAAGGAAGACTTTGATTCGCTCGTCGCGTCCGGTGTCAACCTCCACGGAACGATTGCACTCGTACGGTACGGGGGTGTCTTTCGAGGCCTCAAGGTCAAGGCTGCCCAAGAAGCTGGGTGTATCGGCGTGCTCATCTACTCTGACCCACACGATGATGGATCTGTGACAGAGTCGAATGGATATCAGCACTGGCCGCATGGTCCGGCACGGAACCCGACTTCGGTCCAGCGAGGCTCCGTTCAGTTTCTTTCTTCGTACCCTGGTGACCCGACGACACCAGGGTATCCTGCTTACAAGAATGCGACGAGGATGGAGGCCACGTCGATTCCTTCTATCCCTTCTTTGCCCATCTCGTGGAACAATGCACAAAAGCTATTCGCCGAGATTGGAACTAGCACCACGAGTGTGAAGAAGATTCGTCTCTTGAACAAAGTCGACGACAGGGTTATCCCTATTTACAATACAATGGCCGTCATTCCGGGGATTGTACCGGAGCAGGCGGTCGTGGTTGGAAACCATCGCGATGGTGAGCGGCTGATTCTTAGCAGTTGAATCGGGGCTGACAATGTCTAGCATGGGTTATGGGTGCTGCGGACCCCACGTCTGGCACGGTTTCCCTTCATGAACTTGTTCGTGGACTTGGTGCCCTTCTCCGCACGGGATGGAGACCGTTCCGGACAATCATTCTCGCGAGTTGGGATGCAGAAGAGGTGCAATTTTTTTCTCTCTTATTGCAGGGTTGTTCTAACTCGTTCTAGTACGGCTTAGTTGGCTCCACAGAATGGGGAGAGGACTTTGCAGATTGGATCCAAGCTCATGTTGTTGCATATCTCAACCTTGGTTTGTCCTCGCTCTACTGTTTGCTGAATTTGCTCATTCGTCCTAGACGTGTCCGTTTCTGGCTCGAGATACAATCTCAAGGGCTCGCCCTCGCTGGCTCACCTCATCATGGACGCTGCCATGTCCGTTCCGCACCCCAAGAACCCGAATCTGACGCTCTGGGATGCTCGGCTGGAGAGAGGCCCGTTCACTGGACCGGCTTTCGCCAATGATCCGATCTCAGAGCTGGTTCAAGAGCGGATGGAGGCCGAAACCAGTGTCGAGCAGGATGATATCCCTGTCAATGCACTTGGAAGTGGAAGTGATTATACAGTCATGCTCCAGAGACTCGGCGTATGTGTTTCCAGAGTGGCAGGCATTCGTGGCTGATTGTTTGCAGATTGCGAGTACAGACATGGGATTCGGATCGACTCTTTCCGACGCGGTTTATCATTATCATTCAATCTACGATACGCAGACGTTCCAAGAAACGTATGTGGATGCGACATTTGACAAGCACGTGAGTGCCTTTATCCTTGATTGTAATGTGTTACTGAGTGATTTAGGTTGCTGTTGCACAACATCTCGGCCTCATGATGCTCCGGCTCTCAGAGTCGCCCATCCTTCCGATCAATACGACGCACTACTCTCTCGAGTTGTTCAAATACCTTCAAGAGTGTGTATTTTTGAATTGTGGTGACTATATCCTCACAATTACTAGCGTCAACAACTCGGCATCAAAGAACGGCATCAGCCTCGACACATCGCACCTCAAGTCTGCCCTCGACAAACTTCTCGAAAAAAGTCTCCGCTTGGACAATGTCAGAGACGGGCTCCTTGAGAATCTCAACCGTGCTCATGCGGATCGGGAGCAGTTTGTCAACGCCATGGTTCATGAAGTCAAGACTTGGGTCCACAGAAAGCTCGGATTCAAGAGAAAGCACCTGCACAAGGATGAGTTGAAACACCTCGAGCAGTTCTTTGAGATGCAAGCGTACGTATTAGCGCCTGAGCATGCTCCTGCCGTCACACTCTATGAGCCGCCGATGAATATCACGGGTATGTACCCTCGATTCGACAGAGAATACTGATCTAACAATTGTGCATAGACCTTGTTCCCCATCCTTTGCCGGACGGTCTGGCCAACGAGCTTGCCGAAAGCATGATGCGGATCCGCGAGACTAATATACGTCTCGGTCGATTCGAACAAGGATTCTTGTCTGAAAGTGGAATCAAGGACAGGGAATGGTACCGACACCTAGGGGTCGCCCCCGGTAAATGGAAAGGTTATGGCGCGACGAGGTTCCCGGCGCTCAGCGAGGCCATTGAGATTGACAAGAATGCCACCCTGGCCTCTCAAGAGGTAGTACGACTGGTAGAAGTAGTGGAGACGCTCATCGACACGCTTACTTTATCGTGATGCTCTGGGAGCGTCTCTTATTTCGCATCATCTGGTCACTTCCGCTCAGGAGTCTGTGTAAAATTTGTACGGTATTCTGGTATTATCTTGTATTTAGACGCGGTTTTGCAACAAGAAAAGGTTTCGCATTTGCATCCTGCTCGAAAGGGTGGGCAACAAGATGTTCAAGAAAGAGACGCCAGGATTGCGGTGAGGACGAGAGTTAGTAGTACATGACTTTCTTCTTCTTCTTTTCGGCGGCCCACAGATCCTGAACTGGCTCGGCTGGTTCTTGCAGCTCCAGAACTCTGTCGGCACTTGGTAGCAGGACGTTCATGGGATCCAGGCAAGCTTGGGTTTCGTAGTATCTATGGATATGTCAAGTTGAGAAGCGACGATATGCTTCTGGACCGCCTACTGGTATGAAGGGAGAATCTTCTGCGAGCTGGAGGTTTGTACGTGCTTCCTCCAGTTGATTTTAGATTTTTGGCTAGAGTTGGATGAGCTTTTTGGACCTGCTCTTTCCCACGTTTGGGTTCGTTTTGGCTGTTGTCGCCACTCGAGAATTGCGCCGCTTTGCTCATGCTTTGCTTGAAAGGTCGTAGTTGAAACAGCAGGTTTCTCAGGGACAGTTCTAGGTCCTGATTCAGGAGAGGTAGTTTCGGGGGTCCGTTCGTCCTGATAGGTATAGCGTCGGTCGTCGACTTTTGGGGAGAACTGGGGAACTTGGCGGGTAGCGCCTTCTTTATAAAACTTGTAGTCTACTCCCGCGAAATTCATGCTCGTTGATGAAACCCTATGGCACTTTGATGAGCAAGGCTGATAACGATATCGTTCAAGAAGGCTGACCAGGAGCCATCATTGATCACATTCTTCTCATTTGCCTGAGCGCCATTCGGGTCATTATAGAGCTCTTCCTCGACTTGGTCTGCCCAGTTTGAGGATCCACCTGAGAGGAGTAAGGATGACGCTTTAGGCCATAGAATACGTACTCAAAGTGAAACAAGCTTCATGAGAATCGATATTGGTACATTCTTTGACATTGCTACGATCGTCTTCGAAGCCAGTCAAGCTGCGGCTCCCTTCTAGCCCAAGCCTTTTACCCTTCATAATCGAGATTCCAAAGGTGAGATGCTTGTTAGTCTGAGTATAAGTATGGTGGAATGTGGCCTACCTTTACACGTCCGTGATGTTTCTCTTCGGGGCTAGATAAAGCGGATGAAAGCGGGTTGCAAGCTGTAGCCTGAATATGCATCTTCAATGACAAGAATACGTGGCAGGCTGAGATGGGAGACGCTGGAGAGTGTTGTGGTCGGGGGCAAAAGCCACTCTTTGGAATTGACATCAATGTCGAATTACACTGGGGGCGCTAGGTATGCTCTATCTAGGTATTATATGCATTCTTGATCGTAATCATTTCGCACAGAAACAACCATAGACGTCGTTTTGCTGCCAAAGAACCGTATTCTCGCAAAACGGCATTCAGTTCGCGAGGAATCGGTGCATCTTCGACGTCGAGGAGCTCGATGACTGGGTCAATATCTAGCTTTGACTTCAAACATGCTAAAACCTCCACGAATGAACCGCAAGGTCTCGCTTCGAATGGACGTATTGATTATGTTGAATCAGAATCCCTGCTTGAGAGCCATCGTCAGCCATTTCCGATGCCATCCTTTCTATCAGGATACTCTATTTCGCTACATGGTCCGAGTCCTTTCGTTCACTCGCGGTGCTGGTATAACTCTTCACAGACGATGTGGCAAAAGTTCGCAATCAAAGGCTGGCTCGTCAGAACCTCTGTGGAATAGCTGAGTACCAGGTAGGAGACTCCATTGAAGATAAAGGAGACACCTCCGACGAGGATGATGATGAGGATCAATGTGGACGTTCGGTAAGCCACAAACGTGATCAGTAACCTCATTGATCCCAACTTCTCCGAGCCGGAAGGAACTTTAAATCCCTGGGAAGAAGTGGGAAGTGTCGACTCCGAGGATAACAGAACGTCGCAGATGACCGATGAATATTTCCAGTACCCCGCTCTCAATAATGAGACGACTGGTGATTCTATCGATGCCGGAGACATTTATTCACTATACGTCCCTAGCTACAATACGTACATACCCAACGAGCGAGACGTGACCCAGGAAGAGGACCCAATCCTTGACTTTCCGTCAACTCCCGACAGAAGAGCGCAGACCGAATTGGAAGAAGAAGTAGCACTGCACCCCGATGCGAGATGGATAGGGCATTACAATTTTGACGATGCGCCCTCACCTCGATTTTCCACCGCTACTCTGACTACGCGAAGCGACATTGATTCTATCTTCACAAGTGATGACGGTGGATACAGCTCAATAGCCGGACATCCCGACGAAGCAGAGTCACCGGTCAAGCTTTTGAGACTAGATTTTGATAAATCTGGGGTGGGCATTCCTCTGAAGCGATGGGTGGGAGATGGGAAACAAGAAGATGACCTTCAACCATGCCCAAAATACTTCGAGGTTCAAAGTCAGGATGAAGAAGAAAACGTGTACACAACCGAATGGACCCTGCAACCTTACGGCTACGGAGATGCCACACAACCTGAGCGTTTCGAAGACGATGACCCCGAGGTTTTGCTGGATAGAGCGTTTGTGCCTCTGGAGAAAGGCTCGCTTCCCGAGGCGGTTGTTCCCAGCGGAGAAGGGGAGCCTCTCATAGAGGTTGCGAGTCTAGGTGCTTCCACTAAGAGTCAAGTAAACGAGGCACAGTCTTACATTGAGCAAGAGACCGCCAAAGTTCTTGTTGCATCGCAGCCGGTTTGCGAATCATCAAATAAACACGATAGGAAGGCTGTGCCAGAGGTGTTTGAATTCGCGCCTAGCATATTTTGATATCCCATAGATAGGTTCCTAATTGCAATTGCTTCTTGGAATCCACCACGACTCCTCATCCCTTTCTGTGTCTTAATACGTAAACGAAGAAGGCTCTAAAACCTATCGGGCCTTCAATTAATGCCGTCCACTCTCTCTCGTCTCGTCTGGTTTACGGCTTTGATTATCGCATTATTGTCCAGCTATTTTGGATACAATTATTATGAAAGGTTCGAGGCTCTACCTTGATAGATGCCGTGAAATGACACTTTTGTAGCTTAGGCAAAGCTCTGGAGACATCTCCGCTCTCGTTTTACGATAACCCGTTCACCCCAACTTCGGATCCGTCGAGGCGTGCGTATGCGACAACACTTTACGACGAGCACTATGTACCTGGAGCAATCTTGCTTGGGTACTCGTTAAAGAAGCACGGGATGCTGTGAGTGTGCTCTCGATATGATGCCTTAGATTGAAATCTCATTCGCAAATGGCGAGATAGAGATTCTCAGGTTGCACAAACTATGCTTCTACTACATACTCCAGGATCACTGGGTGAACTTTCGATGCAACTGTTGCAGGAAGTTGGTTGGACATTGAGAACGGTCAACCATATTCCTCCACCTATCGGGAGACCTCCAGCACATAACTTCATGGATCAGTATACAAAACTACGCCTGTTTGAGTGAGTACGAAAAGAGAGCAAGGATATGGATTGACACCTGAGACAGGTTAGACGACTACGATATGATATTTTATCTTGACGCCGACATGATGGTTGTCCGCCCCTTCTCAGAGATATGGTCATTCCCCGTCCCACTCGCGGCGACCAGAGATGTCCGAATGGGTAATTATCATTGAGAGACAAGTGTGAGCGAACTAACTAGATGACAGGGTACGGCTGGCTGCCGTCAATCAACGCTGGCTCCCTCCTTCTCAAACCCAATAGACGTCTACTTTCTCACATGCTCGAGATTGCACCCACCTATAAGTACAACTATGTATTTGCCGAGCAGGGACTCTTGAATGGCGAGGACCGTTTCTAAGCTTGTCCATGGTGACGCTGACGTTTGGCAGCATACTGGGCGAGAGACATTACTATCTTACCATATATCTATAACGGACAGGTGGGCTAACCTTCAACTGTCGCTATAGTCGAGCTGACAACCCAAACCAACAGCTTGGGATCAAGCGCGTCTTCCCAAAGATCTGGGAGCGCTTCAAGGACGACGTCAAGATCATTCATTATACAGGGCTGAAACCATGGCAGTGGTACGAGAAGCCAGATATGCCAGTCGAACGGGAACTGTGGTGGAGGGAATGGGAAGAGATGCTGGAGGAGCGAAAGGCGCAAGACCTGGTCGATATAAGCCGTATGGGTAGAAATCCTCGCGAGATGTAGATAGCGTTTGGGTTGAGCACATGTGGCGAATCTGACTTGGCTTCCGACTGTACCTGTTGTGATGTCTGGAAGCGAAACGGGCAGGTTTCCTTCGATAGCAGGCACGTTTTGGCGGCTGTAAAAATCCCTTTAGCTTATTTTGGGCCAGGCTTTCGACTAGTACAACGGCTGGGGGGCGGGGGGTTCGCAAGGTAGGCGTGTTATTCGGCTGAATCACATAATTTTAAAGAATATAACAGTGTATACAAGGCGATAGATAAATCAGGAGTCGTCACAGCATGCAAAGTCATTGCAATGAACCGAAATACACCGGACAAGGAGAAAAAGGTCATTCACAAGGAGATTCAAGTACACTCTACACTCGTTCACGAGAACATAATCCGTATGCGGGATGCTCTGCTTGTTCCAGATGACGGTTCGACGAAGTATGTCCCCGGTGCATATCTCCTTATGGAGATGGCGCATGGCGGGGACCTATTCGATAAGATTGGTGAGCGACATACACACGGTAAATAATCTCTGACAGTTACAAGCACCGGATGTCGGCGTCGAGGATGATCTCGCTCACTTCTACATGGAGCAACTAATGGCAGGCCTGGTAAGTCTGAGAAACTCCTCTGAGCCATCACTTATATAGTTTCTAGAGCTATATACATGAGCAAGGTGTATGTCATCGAGACCTGAAGCCAGAAAATTTGCTCTTGTCTATCAACGGTGTCCTCAAGCTCTGCGACTTTGGCTTATGTGCCGTCTTTCAATACAAAGGCACCACACGAAAGCTCAAAGACAGATGCGGCAGTCTTCCGTATATTGCGCCAGAAGTAGGCCTTCAGTCCTCTAGATTCCTTTGACTTACCTTCCCAAAGCTTGCCTATGACGGCGCATACGAGGCTGTCCCAATTGACATCTGGGGTGCTGGTATTATTCTTTACACGCTACTGCTTGGAACTACCCCATGGGATGAAGCTACAGTCAATTCACCGGAATTTATGGCGTATGTCAATGGGTCCATTTGGTCTCAGTACCCTTGGTCGAAAGTCAGCAAGAATGCGCGCTGTACGTCACTTTAATCTCAGTTTCCCATCATATTCAACTCGGAACAGCCCTGCTATGTGCATTACTCGCCCCCAATCCGGCGGAACGACCAGCCACACGAGACGTGCGCTCACATCCGTGGTTCCTGAGGTATTATCAGAATGCCGTATCAAAATTGATTCTAATGTCGACCAGACAAAGTCAATTCGCCACCCAAGGCGCAGGGGAAATGGCACATCACCTCACCAAGTCTCTACGAGACACTGGCGCCATGGATATCGCCCAGCCGGACCTTTTCCAGGAGTAGGACCTCATTTTCAGTTTCAATTACCTGCTAATATTTGTAGTGCCGATGGGGATTTAGTCATGGCTACTGCTCCTGGGACTGCATTTACTCAATCATTGCAATTCTTCGTGAGTAGCTGAAGTTTGGGGTTTACTGTGTCTCACATGTTTCAGACTCAACTACCTTCCGGTATACGGCATAGCCCGCATTTGACTCGGTTCTTTGCAGTCCTGCCAGATTCACAGCTGCGCGCCTTCTTATTCAAGCCTTGCAGTCACTCGAGTAAAGACTAGAGAAGATCCTCCATCATCTATTGTGCTTGGAGGATTTGATGCTCGCAAAGAGCGATTCAAAGGGCGCTTGAGCATCGAGAAATTCGTATGGCGGGAACGAGACTGCTGCTTCGTCGAAATGGCGCGTGAGGAGGTGAGTATCAAATCTAAACATCTGAATGATGTAATTACATTCTCTCAAGGGCAATCCGATATCTTGGCGGCAACTCTGGCGGCATCTCGTACAGTCACCCCTCATACAGCCGCACGTCCTCCGTCGAGGACATTAGACATACTACTTTTGTAGCATACTTGTAGCCTATTTTATTTGATCAATCGATATTAATGTGAGCCCTGACGAATGACGCCGCGTAAGCTGAGTCGAAGGATGAGTGAGCAGTTCTTTCCAGCTTGGCCACGACCATTCCCGGCTGCAGACCCCAAGCGGTCCAGGACAGTCCAACAAGACTTGCTGCGAATGAACGCTGCAAATTCGACTCGCATTGCGCGGAGAGCCGTGCCCGTAACCGGTCCAGAGCTCGAACGCTTGCACAAAGTCTCACTCAGCAGGCAGAATACGCGACAAACGCTACAAGACTGCCCCATAAACCAGTATATTCATCCACTGTTTCCGTCTCGACATCGAAACGCGCGTTTTCGTCGACACACGAGCATGGTTTCAAAGCACCCTCACCCCTCGCGTCTTATCCCCGATGGTTGAACAGGACGAAACAGCCGAAAGCAGATGCTGACGCTAGAGACACATCCCATGATAGATTAAAGGAGATTAACGACTCGTCTGCTGCCGGCAACAATCGAATCGCCATGAAAGATTCACAAGACGAGCCGCCTGCGGGCTCTTCCGCTGGTTCATCGTCTTCTGCACCCCCTTCCAGCAATTCAGATGATTCTGACCCTCCATCATCACCTCCTCCATCATCCAATGACGGAGGCGGCGCTGAGTCGTCAGCCATATCAAAACTTTCTGTACCGGAAGTGTACCCGCAAGTTCTCGCGCTGCCTATTGCGCGGCGCCCTCTCTTCCCAGGCTTCTACAAAGCGGTCGTCGTACGGGATCAGGCTGTCGTAGCGGCAATGAAGGATATGCTTGCCCGAGGGCAGCCATATATTGGCGCGTTTTTGCTCAAGTCGGGCGAGAGTGATAGCGACGTCATTACCGACATTGACTCTGTGCATAAAGTTGGGGTCTTTGCGCAAATAACGAGCGTCTTTCCCGCATCACCAACCAAGGACGACAAGGACGGCAGCCTCACTGTTGTTTTATATCCACATAGACGTATCAAGATCACAGATCTCATCAAGTCAAAGGGAAAGGATGGACCATCGACCGTCAAGGTAGAGGAGGCAGATGCTACTACGGCTCTGGAATCTCCTGAAGCAACCTCCGCGCCATGTGAGTTAAACTTGGTCAAGGTTAATGCTATCGTTGACACCCTTTAGTCTCCATGCAAACGCAGTTCTTACACGACCACGACGTCTCACTTGTCAATGTGGAAAATCTCACCGCACACCCATTCGACAAGAACAACCATTACATCAGAGCAGTAATGTCGGAGATTGTCTCCGTCTTCAAGGACATTGCGCAGATGAATCCCCTGTTCCGCGACCAAATCACGGCCTTTTCCGCAAGCCAGTTAGCGGCTAGCGTGTTTGAAGAGCCGGAGAAACTGGCAGACTTTGCTGCTGCGGTTTCTACCGGTGAGATTGGGGAGCTTCAGGATGTTTTGGAAAGTCTGGTCATCGAGGACCGGCTTCAGAAGGCGTTGGTCGTCCTCAAGAAGGAGCTCATCAATGCCCAACTGCAGAGCAAGATCTCGCGAGATGTCGATTCGAAAATTGCGAAGAGGCAGCGTGAATACTATCTGATGGAGCAAATGAAGATGATAAAAAAGGAGCTTGGAATGGAATCTGACGGCAAAGACAAACTGATCGAGAAGTTCAAGGAACGGGCTAATGCTCTTCGTATGCCGGAAGTGGCCAGAAAGGTCTTTGACGAAGAGCTCAACAAACTTGTGCATCTCGAGCCATCAGCCTCGGAGTTTAACGTCACTCGTAATTATCTCGACTGGCTAACTCAGGTTTGTTCGTTTACTTTGATTACCTTGACTTATCCAACACTCTATAGATACCGTGGGGCCAACATTCGCCAGAGAACTTTTCGATACAGCATGCTATCAAAGTGCTCAACGAAGATCACTATGGGCTCAAGGATATCAAGGATCGAATCCTTGAATTCCTTGCTGTCGGCAAATTACGCGGCACAGTCGAAGGCAAAATCATCTGCTTTGTCGGTCCACCAGGCGTCGGCAAGACGTCTATCGGTAAATCAATCGCCCGTGCTCTCAACCGACAATTCTTCCGCTTCTCGGTCGGTGGCTTGACGGATGTAGCGGAGATCAAAGGCCACCGACGGACATATGTTGGGTACATCAATGTTCTTCCACTTCCTCCAAGACGCTAACAATGTTCCAGGGCTTTGCCGAGTAAAATTATCCAAGCTCTGAAACGCGTCGGCACAGAGAATCCCCTCATCATGATCGATGAGGTCGACAAGATTGGCCGTGGCCACAACGGCGACCCAGCGAGTGCGCTCCTAGAGATGCTGGATCCGGAACAAAACACAGCCTTTTTGGATCACTAGTCAGTGCTTCAGCCTAGAGGGAACGCGCTTTCTGATTCATTCTTCAGCATGGACGTCCCAATCGACCTTTCCAGAGTCCTCTTCGTATGCACTGCGAACAATCTCGACACGATTCCAGCTCCGCTTCTAGACCGTATGGAGGTCATGGAAGTCAGTGGTTACGTGTCCGAGGAAAAGCAAGTCATCGCCGACAAGTATCTGGCACCTCAAGCGAAGCAATCATCTGGTCTTCAAAATGCCGATGTGACGCTTGACAATGAGGCCATCGATGTTCTGATCAAATATTATTGCCGCGAGAGTGGTGTCCGCAACCTGAAGAAGCACATTGAAAAGGTTGTTACATTGCTTTACCTTCTTTTACTGTGCTAAAATCTTTATAGATCTACAGAAAGGCGGCACTCAAAATTGTTCAAGACCTTGGCGAGGATGTATTTCCCGAAGACAAGGCCACGGATAAACAAGCAGTCGCAGCCGCGGGAAAGTCAGACAATATGGATGCTCCCGAGTCGACAGTCTCTTCAGTAACCCCAACCAACGACGGAGAAACCAGACCCGTAACGACGGTAGAGCGCAAGCCATTGAACGTTCCAGATACTGTCCACGTCAAGATTACAGCGGATAATCTCAAGGATTATGTTGGACCACCCGTCTATCACCGCGACCGCTTCTACACCGTTCCTCCACCACCAGGAGTGAGCACTGGACTGGGCTATTTGGGCAATGGCTCCGGCGCCGTCATGCCCATCGAAGCTACGGTGAGGTACTTTGGTGTTCTTACCATGGTGTCTGACATTCTTTTAGAGCATGCCAGGAAAGGGCGGCCTTCAGCTGACCGGAAAGCTCGGCGAGGTTATCAGAGAGAGCGCCCAGATTGCGCTGAGCTGGACAAAGTCACACGCTGTCGAACTTGGAATCACTACGTCGTCAACCGAACCAGTGCTGAATGAACGGGACATTCATGTCCACATGCCAGAAGGAAGTATCGGCAAGGAAGGTCCATCAGCGGGGACGGCTCTGCTCACAGCCTTTGTGTCTCTATTGACCAAGACGAAAGTCTCTCCAGACATCGGTGCGCATATTGGATGATTAGCTAGCCTTCTTCTAATGTTTCTTTTGCAGCTATGACGGGTGAAATTTCCTTGGTCGGCCAGGTACTTCCCGTCGGCGGTCTCAAGGAGAAGATTTTGGCTGCACATAGGGCGGGTATCAAGAAAATTCTCGCACCAGCGGCTAATCAAGCCGATATCGAGGAGAATGTTCCCGAGAGCGTCAAGACTGGTATTGAATTTATCTATGTGGACAATGTTCGCCAAGTACTGCACGAGGTCTTTGGTGGGACGGAGGTTCAGGAGAAATGGAAGACGTCATTTCCTCTCGAGCCGTGATTATTCGTTTATCTGACCAGCACATTCCTCTCACTCGTCGAGTATCGCAAGAATAGACTGCCTGTATTTCTAGCAGAATCCCCACTTTCACTTTGCTCATCTATATGCTTAAACAGCGTGTCATTAAAGGCGATTGCATATACGTGACTTGGGTTTCTGCTGCGTGAATGATGCTCGATGGAAGAATGCTGCGCGAATGCTATGTCTCTATATGTCCAAAGGTGGATGAAGAGAAACCAGAAAAGGAGGTATGGGAATAAACGATCATAAGGTGGTGAACGACTAAAAGGCGGGTGTCTCTCAGAGGGTATGGGCTTGTGGCTATGGGCCATAAGCACCGGGCGTACGGCGTCCATAGGGATCCACAAGAGGTGACTGGGGCCCATATCCAGCACCGGGTGGAGCTGGACTTGCCCGGCCATAACCCATTGCATACCCACCTTGGGGCGTTCCGGCTCGTGGGACATCCAGACCAGGAGGAATACCACCACCATAACCAACACCAACTGGAGTACCCACTCGGGGAGGAGCGCCCATTGGTGTCCCACCACGCATGCCCACTGGATCGGCAACCCCATATGCGAGCGACGGACCAGGACTTCGTCGACCAGCAGCATATGGATCGCCATAGGCTACTGCAGGTCCGGGACTCCCGCTTCGAGCATATGGATCTGCTCCAATCATATTTGGACCTGGACTTTGACGACCGCTGGTGCTATAGGTGCTCATCGGAATCGCTTCGCCTGCATACGTATTTGCGTGACCTTCTGTCGATGGAGGAGGCGATTGGAACGTATGTGGTACCGGTCCGCGATATGGGTCGTAATACGCGGCGCCTGCGGAAGGGTCATCATAGTACGGCATTGCTGCGGCTGGCAACGGTGGGACGGCATATGGATCCCGGGTAAGGTCAACGCTCGAGTTGGTCGCATTTGTTGCCGCATGGGTGCTTGGCGCTACAGGCGGCACGAGTTCTTCCTTTGGCATCGGCCAGTTGATGTCGGCTCCTGGAGACAAACAGAGTTGAGCCAACGGAATTTTTTTGCTCTGAAAGAAAGGGTAGCTTACCATCGTCATCAAACTGTGAAAATCGCTTTTGATTCATCTTCCAGACGATGAAACCGACCAATCCGAGAAGCGCAATGCCTCCTGCGACACCCAATCCGATGAATGTTCCCTTTCCGGGTCCCGAGTCACTGTTATCGGTACTTGCAGCCGCAGTGGTAGAGGGAGTCGATGAGCTCGGGGCATCTACGGTGGTGAAAATTGTGACTTGCTCGCCGTTGCCGTCCGTGGTGGAAATGACGGATGTAACCGGACGCGGAGTCGATGTCGAAGAAGGTGGAGGCGGAGTGGTAGTCGATGTGGATGTTGGCGTAGGCGTGCTCGTAGGCGTTGCTAGTCAGGTGAGTTGGCGGTGAGCCGATGTTCGCGCATGAATAGTAATACGTACAGACAGTGGTCGATGTTGAAGTCGATGTTGAAGTCGAAGAACTCGTGCTTGTTGTCCGCGAGCTAGTCGTTGTCTCGTCGCCGATGACAATCTGAGGAGCTCGTCGTTCTAAATCTCGCACTCTGACCTTGACGAGCTCGGTTGGGCCAGCTTCCCTGGGCAGCACGGTCGCAGCCGCCAACGGCAGTAGAAAAAGGGCTCCAACGACACCGCGGGCGTTGAGGAGCATGAGAGAAGACGATCAAGTTATGAAATAAGATATTCTGCGCCTTTGTGGTATTTATTGAGAGGAATTAGAGCAGCTTTTTGGTGAAACGCTGCGTGGTGGTTCGGGTTTAAAGGGAAAAGACGCGGAACAGCCTCTGCCCGTCGCTCCCCAACGACGCGAGATTGCATTCGGATACGGTGGAAACCAATTCTACAAGTTGATTATCCACGCCAGCACTTGTAAAGTTTGGCCACCCATCTCTTAGACTTCGACCACATCGCCTGGAGCGATCTTAATCCCCCGGTTAACAGCCAGTTTCGTGATACTTTCAACAAGCACTTGGCAACATGTTCACACTCGCTCGGTCTCCGCTCGCTTCTCCCGCGGCGATGGCTACCTTTCCGCGTCCAGGCTCGCCATCCCCAGCAGTCCCGCACTCGCGCCGAAGAGCTTCCTTGTCTTCAGTCTACACATCGAATAGTCCCGTCTTGGATGAACAGTTTAGCCCTACGCGTCTTGCGGGCCCGCTCTTTGCACCGTCCTCACCTACGTTTGTTCGTTATGGCACAAGTGCACCTTCGTCCTGCTTCCCGTCAAAGACTCCAAGACCTATTCAACGGCAATCCTACTACACGTTTGCGCACAAAGACGAGCTGCCTCACGATGACGACATGGTCCCTGTCGCTTCCCCAAAAACTGCCCTCAAGAGTTGTCTCAAGAGCCCACAATTCTCCAACGGCAACCCCTCGTGTGTGAAGAGCCCGCGATTCGCACCTCTCCCAATGGCCACTATCAAGTCGCGAAACGAGCCGTTATGGAACGACGAGGTTGAAACAGCGGAACCAATGTACAGCTTCGCAACAAGTAAAAATCCATATGGATTAGTGAATACAGGAGAAGCACCAGGCTGGACTTCGTGCAGGGAGCGTGTCCCAACGCCTTTTCAGAGGGCGAGAGGTTCCGAGATCTTGAACGGACAGCAGTCCGGAGAATCGACATTTTAGCTATGTACCTTTGCTAGTTTGTTCTCGTTCTGAATATGTTCCGTTCACTTTACTTGCTCGAGTTTAGCCCGTCACTTGGTCCCTCCTTTGTCTTGCCGGTCATGGCAGCTTCGGGGATAGCACAGGTAAGATTCGAATACTTATTTAATGGAACTCATGTGTGATAACAGCTACCCGTGGAACTTTGGAGTGAAATTTTCGAGATGGCCCTTGGCGATGTTCAAGCAAGTGATAAGCATCAAGACACAACCACGGAGAACGAAGCAACCTATTTCCCACAGGATCTAATGGATTTAAGCATTGAACGACTCCAGGCCCAAATACGCTTGAGTGCCAACTTTGCACTCGTGTCCTCCACATTCCGAGCAATATCAGAACGTTTCCTCTATCGCATCTTCATTTTCCGAGGACAATCGGACTCTTTGGCCCGACTCCGGGACCCATCACTCTCAGATCCTACCCGAGAAAAGGCAGCATTCGTCCACACCTTGATTATCCGACAATGGGGCTACAAGGACAAGGACCACATCATGATCGACACTCTGTACGCCGCATGCGTGAATCTGCAAACGACCATCGTTGACATGCCCGACTTGAATGGACCGTCGAGCCTTGTCCAAGCATTATCTCGGATTCAGCCCTCCATCTCAGCAGTTAAATGGTTACCTCCCTTATGTCCACACGTCGGCCCTGCCGGGTGGCACAATGTCCAAACACTAGAGCTTTTGATCAGCTATTCTGTGTTGAACTGGGGCATTTATCTCCCTTTGCTTGTCACACTCAAGACCGTCGTTCCTCCACTCTTTGTATGCCGCTGGGGGTTTCCAAACCTGCGGAATCTGTGGCTCATTCGTCGTGATATCAGTCCAGGCGGCGATAGGCTCGAGTGGACGCAATTCCTAGAGGACCACGCCGCTCAACTCGACCTGCTTGTAACGCAGGTCGACAATATGAGCATCACCGCCAACGCACTGCCCACCTCGATCCTATCTCGGACTACAAACCTGCGCACTATCTTTCTCCCTCTCTCCTTTAACCCGCAGGCTTACGATCTCGATACTTCACTCCCACATCTAATTCGTGTCGGTGTCCTGCTTCCCATGGACCCGAATCAACTCACACTCCGGAATACATCCCAATGGTGGAATGCGTTCCGCTTAAAGCCAGCCTTCAGTTGCGTAAAGGAGATTGCAATCCTACATTGGAATGCACCGGCCAGTTTCCTCAACGCATTCCAGAATGTCTATGGATACGACAAGCGCTTGAGGTTTCATCGTTTGTAAAGACCAGTAATATCGCAGTTGCATAATCGCGTCAACACCAATGTCCAATCGCCCTCGAGTTACCTCAGGTGGAATTTAGTTGCGTATCGCCGCTTGTCTCTTCTGAATATTGGCCTAAGTTTGCCACTCGGACTGTCCCTCGTCTGACCAGTAAACCACAATCATGGTAGGTTCGAGTATCGTCAGAGTAAAATTCAAGTACTTCTTCGCTGGAGCTCATCGCCTACAACAGCTACCTGCGGAACTGTGGCGAGAAAATTTTGAGCTCGCTTTTTGTGACATTCGACCAAGTGATGGGGCCCAAGAGCTCGTGAATGAGAGCGACCTTAGCTATCTCCCACAAGATTTCATCAAATCCTGCACTGAGCGACTTCGAGCCCAACTTCGCTTCGCTTACAATCTTGCGCTCGTTTCCTTCACGTTCCGCGCTATGTTAGAACATCTTCTCAACCAAACCTTTATTTTTCACTGACAGACGCATCTTTTATCTCAATTGTGTGGCCCGTCACTTTCAAATCCAGCAGGAAGACGAGCGACATTCGTCTACTCTATAATTTTGCGATACTGGGACTACACGAACGAGGAAGATCATATCATGGACACACTACGCACTCAATGCGTAAATCTACGAACAATCATCGTTGATATGTCCGGCTTGAGCCAAGGTCAATGCTCGAGGGAGCATTGTATAATCTCTGGCCATCCATTTCAATAATCAGGTGGCTAACTCCTATATACCCTTCGATTAATCGGACTCCATTGCATCGGACTCAATGGCACGGTGTTCGAATGCTGGAGCCCTCGGCAATCACTGATTTCGGAATGAGTATCCATCACTTGTCACACTCAAAATGAGCATGCCCGTACATTTTGATGGTCACTGGGACCTACCAAAGCTGCAGAACTTATGGCTGGTTGTCCATTTCGAGCACGGGCGCCAGTATTTCCCAGATTGAAAGACATTTCTAGAGACCCATGCCGTTCAGCTCGAACTTTTCGTGATGCAAGTGGATAATACGAGCATTAACGAGATTCCATTGCCCAACTCGCTTCTAGAACTCACTACGAACCTACAAGCCGTCTTTCTTCCTCTCAACTTCTATCATTGCTATGCAGACCTCGGTGTCCCGCTCCTTTATCTGACACGCGCTGGTATTATACTTCCTCGAGACCCAAAGCAGTTCATAGTCCTAAACACGTCCTCTTGGTGGTCAGTGCCGGCCTTCCGCTACATCGAGGAGATCGCTATTCTGCATCAGAGCGCCCCAAAAGGCTTCCTCGAGGCATTCAAGAGACGACACGGAGACGAAGTCCGCTTGAGGTTTCACCGGGTTGAGATTTGAGAATAACTTGGATAATCATCGTAGATTAGTTTAAATATCAGTGATAGGTATGAAATTTCCCGCCTGTAATCTTGGTGCTGATGCTTCAGGAAACTACCCGGACAATATCTTGAACCCCTTCAATTCGACCCTTTCTATGACTCTCGTCCAAAAGCTCGAAGGCTTATTCCATAGACGTAAGAAATCAAAAACGACACCAGCAGAAAGTGGCTCGAACACTCCTGACGACGGAAGTTCAACACTGGTGGGCGCTACACCGGTAGACGCAACCAAGAAGCCAAATAAACCGCAAAACGAAACTGAGAAGGACAGTCCTGCAGTCTCGGGGAGCGATGCGTGGATCGGTCGAGGAATTCTTTTCCTAAAACTGACCAAAGATGTTTCCGAAGCATCAGAGATTTTAGCACCGCTAAAGGCTGCCTGTGGTGCTACAGTGACTCTTTTGGAATCTATACAGGTCTCTCAGCTTTAATTGTTGCTGTGGTCGCTCATAGTCATCAGGCTGTCGGCGAGAACAAGGACGCTTGGCGTGAACTCGTGATATCCATCAAACGACATCTTTCCACCCTGAACCAGCAGTTAGACAGGATTGGTGATCCTCACTTGAGCCAGGGCATGGAGACGGCATTCACCGTCCCCGTTGTAGAATATCAAGAGTTTGTCGAGATCTACCGAGTTGGGCATCGCCCTGATCATTAACAGGACTCTGCAAACGATCCTCGCCAAAGTGTTTGAAGAAGCCAATATTACTGAAGCGGACCTTACGGAGAACAAGGGGAACATCAAGCGGCTAGCAACTCGGATCGGTACTACTAGGATAGAAGCAATCATCATCAACCGATTCTCTGCGCGTCTCAAGGAGTCGAATGATCTATTGGTGGTACGCCGTTCAGCCTCACATATCGTTATCTCAATCTGTCAGTAGACCAGTCTCCAACTATATGTAGCAAAGGAGACGGGAGAGATGAAGGAAACTCTTGGCCAGGTCTATTCACTTCTCGTCACGTCTTCCGGTCAGCAGTTCCCGTTGACGATGACAAAATCTGACCCTCTCCTAGTTGTAACAGAAAACTTTCGCCATGGTAATCAGCATGCGCGATGCCTTGAAGGCACACGTGATGGTATCATCCAAGAGCTAGATCAGTGGGCGAGAATGGTCGACCAGGACCGCCGCATCTGCTTCGTTGAGGATATCGCAGGTGTAGGCAAATCAACCTTGGCCAAGGAAATGGTCTCAAGATGGGAAGAAGATGGGCTAATCGCAGCCCGGTTCTTCTTTTGCAGAGGACAGTTTGGAGCCTCAAACGCTGGAGACGTCGTGCGTCATCTCGCGACGGATCTAGCAAGGACATTCCGCCCACTTCGGAAGCCTATTTACGCTGCTCTTCAAGATGCCACCCTTCTCACTAAACCTTTTGCAACGCGATGGAGACTACTCGTCGAACAGCCACTTCAGCTATTGGACGGTTCCTATGTGATTGTGCTGATGCACTCGACGAATGCAGCGAGGATGGCCCAACCGATAATCGGACGGACACGCGAGAGAACCTGCTCGAAGCCATTATACAAACCTTTTCGCACTCTTCCAACATTCGAGTACTCGTCACTGCGTCCAGCACGGATGACATTGTCTCGACTCTTGATGCCCCTTTCACACACTCTATCAAATTGTTGTCCACACCCCAACAAAGAGACGCAAACACTGCGGACCTACGACGCTTTATCGAGCATCAATTCAGCCGTATTCGCACATGGAGGTATACACCAGCCCAAGGATGCTCTCATCGAGCGGTCAGAAAACTCCTTTCTCTTCGCAAGCACGGCCTGTGCAATGCTTCGTCGATCACTCGCTCGTTCAGCTCTCCTCACGGAACTTATCACGTCGAGCCAAACCGTTGGCCTCGACGGTCTTTACCTCGAAGTGCTCAAGCGGAGTGCTCCAGACGCCCCCTCACGACAGGCCGTCGCACACGTCTTGGAAGCAATAATCACCGCACCACAGCCACCCACACTTGCGGACCTAATCAACCAGCTGTCAGATGTCGAAGACGTGAGTGGACTTTTACATGCGCTGTCGAGCGTTGTCCATAGTGATGGTATGGACGACCCGATATGGATCATGCATGCTACTTTCCGTGATTTCCTCCTTGACCCCACCCGTGCCTTGGACTTTGCTGTGCACATTCGACTGCTTCCGGAAGAGCCTATACTCACCTGAACAGTTTATCCTGCTCACTTATCTCAGAGTTATTGTGTTCATGTTCAATTGCAGGGCCCTCCGGGCGAACCCTGACCGATCATATTGTACACCACAATTCTACAGAGAGTATTTGAACCGAGTACATATCTAGTTACCACATGACCACACCAACGATGAGCTGCAACTAATACTTTTGATCAGAGACTTCCAGATGACCTGTTTATTGATGTACATTTCAATTTCCAATGCAAAGCGAGAGAGAGGACCTCGCTAGATAGCAAGCCATTCCATATATTTATAAGTGTCACAGTCAGGAAGTCCTCAAGAGTGCTCACTAGCATCATCGACCAACATATTTTCTTCCACACTTCTCAGTATTCGGGCATAGCGAAGCGACGTCTGTTTATCAAGTTGTTGGAGTCGTTCAAACTCAGTCCGAAGCTGTTGAGAAAGTCTATTCTCAATCCTTTCGCGTCGAAAAGGTCGAAGAATGGCAATTCCATCGATAGTTTTGACGCGCGAGAGCATCACATGTGCGCCTTGCACTCAGAGGTTAGAAATCTAAAGGCAGTCGGGGTCATGTCCTCTACAAATGAACGAAGAGGCTCTGGGCTGGGCACTAAGCGGGCATGTGAAGACGTCGACACGGGCGGAGAGTCGAGCACATTTAGTTGATACAACCATGTACTCGTTTCGTTGAGATGGATAGGTGGCGCGCCGGTTTCAACAGGTTTACCTCGACGCGATATAATGGGTAAAACGGGACGATCTGGACGTGCAAACGATGTAGCAGGTATAACGGTATCATCACAACGCATAGAGTTTTTCATCGGTATATCACTTATCATAGAGTGTTCAGAGGCACGCAAAGATGCATCGAGCGTCAGTACAGGCACTGGTTTATTGTGAAGCAGACTATACGAAACGGTGAGCACAGGTCCATAGAACAGTACAATTTTACTCACCAGAACAATCTCACTCGTAAGGATTGCACAGAGCTCGGAAAGATCAGGGACGGGCATGGGACTCTGCAGAAGAGTCCAAGTTTCGGACAAACGACTTGAGACAATGGCACCTGGCCACCCTGCGGCTTAGCTCGGCGATACGGCTTCTAATCAAAAACCTCCATTAGCCGAGGCTCAGGGGAACAAACGCAATTGGTAAAATTTGTACGAACAAGCACGGACACGTTCCTGGCAAACGAAAACAAGACCCTTCTCTCCCCTTCGTTACGGTCAGGGGATACAGTGATACCAGTCATAGCAAATCACGAGCACGCGTCTGTTCGAACCTTTGTCCAAGAGGAGCCACATTGGAAATTAGTGAAATCAAGCTTCGTCACACGGAATGGAGCGCTGGTCGGAATTGTCAGGCGGTACGGATACTTTAGTCCCCGTCGATTGTCTGGAGGGACCCAGAAGAGACGTTTGCCGGAAGAATGTACCCAACCATCGAGCGAAAGTGAGCACTGATCGAATCCAGGCACAACGATTCGGAGCGGAGTGTCCTGTAGATCTTCGCTGAGACCTGAATATACGGACACTTTATCACCCTGGTTGGAGGTATTCGCTTTTGCACCTAATGCTATTTATCGGGTCGCGTCACGATCTCGAAGACGAGCCAAGTTGAACTTACCAGTTTCTGTATTCCATACAGACACAATCTGTGAGCCATATGGCGAGGATCCGACGGCGAAGACCGTGGATTCATGACCTTGGAGTGGCTCCCCCACAGCCTGGCCAGTTGTCGCATCCCACAATCGGATTGTCTTGTCGTCCGAGCCAGACACAATCTGTGAGCCGTCTGGCGAGAATCCGACGGCGAAGACCATTCATGACCTTGGAGTGGCTCTCCCACAGCCTGACCAGTTGCCGCGTCCCACAATCGAATTGTCTTGTCGTCCGAGCCAGACACAATCTGTGAGCCGTCTGGCGAGAATCCGACGGCCCAGACCGTGGATTCATGACCTTGGAGTGGCTCTCCCACAGCCTGACCAGTTGCCGCGTCCCACAATCGAATTGTCTTGTCGTACGAGCCAGACACAATCTGTGAGCCGTCTGGCGAGAATCCGACGGCGAAGACCGTGGATTCATGACCTTGGAGTGGCTCTCCCACAGCCTGACCAGTTGCCGCGTCCCACAATCGAATTGTCTTGTCGGACGAGCCAGACACAATCTGTGAGCCGTCTGGCGAGAATCCGACGGCCAAGACCGTGGATTCATGACCTTGGAGTGGCTCTCCCACAGCCTGACCAGTTGCCGCGTCCCACAATCGAATTGTCTTGTCGGACGAGCCAGACACAATCTGTGAGCCGTCTGGCGAGAATCCGACGGCCAAGACCGTGGATTCATGACCTTGGAGTGGCTCTCCCACAGCCTGACCAGTTGCCGCGTCCCACAATCGAATTGTCTTGTCGTCCGAGCCAGACACAATCTGTGAGCCGTCTGGCGAGAATCCGACGGCCCAGACCGTGGATTCATGACCTTGGAGTGGCTCTCCCACAGCCTGACCAGTTGCCACGTCCCACAATCGAATTGTCTTGTCGTCCGAGCCAGACACAATCTGTGAGCCGTCTGGCGAGAATCCGACGGAAGACCGTGGATTCATGACCTTGGAGTGGCTCTCCCACAGCCTGACCAGTTGCCACGTCCCACAATCGAATTGTCTTGTCGACGAGCCAGACACAATCTGTGAGCCGTCTGGCGAGAATCCGACGGCCAGACCGTGGATTCATGACCTTGGAGTGGCTCTCCCACAGCCTGACCAGTTGCCGCGTCCCACAATCGAATTGTCTTGTCTTCCGAGCCAGACACAATCTGTGAGCCGTCTGGCGAGAATCCGACGGCAGACCGTGGATTCATGACCTTGGAGTGGCTCTCCCACAGCCTGACCAGTTGCCGCGTCCCACAATCGAATTGTCTTGTCTTCCGAGCCAGACACAATCTGTGAGCCGTCTGGCGAGAATCCGACGGCCTCGACCCAACCTTCATGACCTTGGAGTGGCTCTCCCACAGCCTGACCAGTTGCCGCGTCCCACAATCGAATTGTCTTGTCGGACGAGCCAGACACAATCTGTGAGCCGTCTGGCGAGAATCCGACGGCCAAGACCGTGGATTCATGACCTTGGAGTGGCTCTCCCACAGCCTGACCAGTTGCCGCGTCCCACAATCGAATTGTCTTGTCTTCCGAGCCAGACACAATCTGTGAGCCGTCTGGCGAGAATCCGACGGCAAAAACCCAACCTTCATGACCTTGGAGTGGCTCTCCCACAGCCTGACCAGTTGCCGCGTCCCACAATCGAATTGTCTTGTCGGACGAGCCAGACACAATCTGTGAGCCGTCTGGCGAGAATCCGACGGCCAAGACCCTGGATTCATGACCTCGGAGTGGCTCTCCCACAGCCTGACCAGTTGCCGCGTCCCACAATCGAATTGTCTTGTCGTCCGAGCCAGACACAATCTGTGAGCCGTCTGGCGAGAATCCGACGGCCAAGACCCCGGATTCATGACCTCGAAGACTACTTGGGAGCCCAGAATACATCTCCTCGAGGCCTTCTGCTACACGAAGAAGGTTTCTGTATCTTTTTGCACCCTCGATATGTAATATGGATTTTATAGGGGCAAATGGGAGTGCAGAAATGTAAATATGTGGCGCGCTCTCTGAATTGGTACCGAAAATGTCATTATAAACCGTCGAGTTTGGTCCATGCTAGCTTTATCCCACATTTCAGGCTGTCTGTTGTGTAAGTGTTGAATTCGTTGGATCAGCGACTTACCCCTGTGTGGCGTCTAATAGCTCGAAGGCCAGCTATTGCTCGTGGCACACCCCCAGTGAAGCTCAGGACTTCCATCCAGTATAGCACGTGTGGAGCTTGAATAATCTGTTGGAGTTCCTCTTGACCATGGATCGCCAGGTGTCATCAGTTTCCGCCACATGGAACAACCAGTGAGAGCTGGCATATCGAAGTGCCTTTGGAATGAGTCTCGATATCCTCGTCTTGAGGTCTAGAATCTCTCTATTGAGGTAGAAAGATGACTCGAGTTGACATATATTAAACTTAAGACCATCAGTCCGCGACATGAGTCGTTTGAGACACCATGATGCGGCTTGACCATGCGCTTTGGTCACGTCGAGATGGAGTGTATTGGCTTTGTCGGGAGCTGAGGCAAGGGAACACCGTCGAAGGTATTCGACGAGGGTAGGATGGCGGAATTGGACCAAGTGGGTACTTGGGTCTACACTGAGCACACTTCCTAGGTTCTGTACCAGTGCCCTAGAACTCCACTTGTGCCCAAGGTTCTTGAAGATGTCGTCCAAGTCATCTGTGCTGAGTGGCTCGAATGCAGCAAGCAGCAAAGCGAGCATGCTGGACATGATTGTGTGGGATTTGGGGTCCATACGCTCGAAAACGAGCTTGTAAACGTCGTCTATCTCTCCAGTCTGGTCCACTGAAATCAGACGATCATAGATGCTTTCCGGCAAGTCTAATGTAGTTTCGCTACTGAGCATTCGACATGCGGTGCTTGCCCAAATGAACAATCCATTGGCCTTCTCGACCAGTCTCAGCCTCTTGGCCTCCGGCAGCACGCCGTTTAGCTCCTTTTGTATGTAAGTTGCAATATCATCGATGTTATCACGATGATGAACATCGTGCAGGCGGTCTTCCAGCTTGGACTTGATTGAAAGCGACCCCAAGACTGCTTGGATCACAGGGTCTGGTCGACTCGTCATGAATATCTTCAGATTCTTTGCTTCTCGAACAGCTGTAGATAGCATTTCGACAAGCTCTCTTCTCTGCGATCCAGATTGACATTCGTCAAGAGCGTCGACGACGAGAATGACACGTCCTTGAAGATGATGAAGAGGATCGATGACGAGCATACGGAACTGCTCTTGGAGAGAGCTTCGTATGAGCGAGGGATGGCGCTTCACGGCTCCGGCGACGTGCGGCGCAAGCTTGGGTATGTAGTCGACAAGGTCTCTTGCTATCGTGGAGCAGAACTTGTCGGTGGTCGATCCCTCGCTGCTTGTAAGAGAGAAGAAGAATTGGCCACCTAACACTCCCTCCTTCTTCCAAGCATCCGCTGCAGACATGGCGACTGTGGATTTGCCAGAGCCAGCGATATCGCAGAGCCAGAATATTGGCTTATCCGACGTAATATCGCCGGCCCAGCGGTAGATGGTCTGAAGAACAGCCTCGCGCGTTCCTGTCAGACAGGTCCTATGGACAGAGGATGCCACAAAAGCTGCTGTTGGTAGCTGAAGTATTGCGGCGCAGTCAACTTTGAATACTAAGTAAGCATGTCCCATACGAAGCTCAAGTCTTACCGTCTGTCAGGACGGTTTTCATGTTTGCCTTGGTGGCCTTAACGTCAGCCTTGATAACCTTGGTATTCCGCTCGACGCTTTGAATACGCCATGCGGTAAAAAGTCCCAATGAATCCTGTGTCTGCAGTGAACTCGTGAATCAGACAGATAAAACTCGTACCATGAATTGGCTATGCCGATCCTCGATATCCCGATTGAGTTTAAGAATCTCCTCTGCATCAATTTTCACTTTGATGATTGCTTTAGAAAAGGCATGCTTGTCGAGGCTACGTTTCTCCTTTAGATTGACAACCTTATCGTGCATGTCTTCGAGGCATCTGCATCGCTCAGCCTACTGAAGCAAACTTGGAATGTGCACATACTTGACATAGTGGGCGAGCGGCCGTTTGAACGCCTCGTTAACGGCCATGTCTTCTGGAGGATATGTCTCAAATAACGCTATTTGTTCCTCGATTGTGGACATGTATCCTTTCACACGTCCTGTTAGCTCGGTCCATTCCTCTTGGTTGTTCTCTGTCGCCTATCGTATTGTCAGATAAATGCCTTGCCGGTTTCGCGAACGTACCTGCGCAACTTCGAGAATCGACTTTGTTGTTCGACAAGCTGCCTTTAGAGGAGCGAGAATTTCCGATCCCTCGGCGATATTGGCCGCTATGTCGAGGCCGATGTTGACCATGTCGTATACTTGACGTTTCTTGTTTGTTGACCTTGGTACAGGCGGGGATGTCGATGGATTGACAGTCCCGCGCTGTTTCTTGCGCTTGGTTGACTTTTGGGTCGACATCGTAAAGGTGGATAGCTCCAAGATTTGGACAGCGTCTTGTCGATGCCACCCTCCAACCACCTGCTATGTGCCAGACACATGTGTCAATATGATACTTGATTTGACGAATCCGCGACTTATGTCACTGCTACCGACTTGTTGGGAGCATGTTAGACTTGCGCCTGGTCGAGAAAGCTCACAAGTGTACTCGGCCGCCCACGCATGACAATGTTTAGTAAATTGCAGTAAGCCCCTAAAATACATTCCTTCGCAGGACTGTTAGGGTACTCTCTGTGACAAAGGGTTCATTCTCGAGCTCGCTACAGGGTTGGAGAGCTGGAATCTACGAGGTATTGACGACACTAAAGCCGCAAGCAACCCTCTGAATGAGATCACTGAAGGGCCCTCCGGGCGGACACCTGACCTTTATGTCCTTTTGGGCTCAACGATTTATCGCGGAATATACGTTATACACACAACTCGCGTGGGACCCTTAGACGCTCGCAATGAACAAGGAGGAGGGGGTGTGAACGAAATAGGAGATTTCATCAGAGACCTAAATGACAAACAAAAGCAATCGCGCCATCTGGATCCAGGAGGAGACAGAGCATGCGGGCGGAGATTGTGAGGAGCACTAAGACTAGGGGGCCGAGCCTTCAGTCCTCTTTCCTTTGATCTGCTGGAGCTCGTGCTCAGGTGCATAGGAGTAAGCTGTTCGACAAAAGAACGTAAAGTTTCAGCTGGTGATCCACTCACAATACTCAAGGGAGAAACGTCTCTTCTGGAAACAACAGATGCATGCAAATTCAACGGATAACGAGTGACATAAACGTCTCTGATCGGTGAAACGGGGCGCAGAGGCTCGTATGAAACGACATTGGAATGCTCGCGTGGTATACAGGCAGCGCCGGCAACACCTACAGGCAGTCAGAGTAAGTCCAGGGGTATCAAGAGGTCCGACGCACCTTGAGGTGGCAAATTAGATAGTTCTACAGGAAAAAAGGTCAGCGGTGAGTAGACTTCGAAGCCAAACTGGACGTGTTCGAGCGGGAGGGTGTTGTCTCGGGAGTGTCAGTACAATCTATAGTGATAGGGAGAACGTACTGGTGAGAGTCTGTTGCGTGTAGCAAAACTCAATGAATTGGGTGAGGTGCCCAGACGTTTGTCAATGTTTCCAATCAGATGAATGTGGCGAGCCAGAGTGTCGGGTGCCAGGGAAGCTAATGCATTGCAGCTTAGTATGCAAAAGCGTTGACTGATACTGATAGAATCCCGAATTATTGAGCGAAGGGTGGGTGGGCAAGCTTGACTCGCCCTTGGGCATCGGTGCTGGAGTCAAGAAACCGGGGAGGATAGGCCAAGAAGCTGCGGTCAATCTGTACAATTAGCTGACAAAGTTCACTGATATGCATTGGGAGCGCAAGGTCGGAGGGGAGGCCAGTGAGCTCGAGCCAGGAGAACAAAGACTGTAGGACAAAGGCTCGAGCGGGGCTTTGAGGTAGCCGCCGCAGTTTGACAAAGAGCCAAATATTAGTTGAAAATCGTGCAGACATTTCAATTACTGTGCCTGGTGAAGGCCTGTAAGACCTCTTCCCTCCACTTCGTTACGGTCAGGGGACTTATCTCAGCGTTATTGTGTTCATGTTCAATAAATGCACATTCGTCGTGATCAAAAGGGTATGGTTACACACATCAAATGGCACAAGATCAAATCGTCATGTGTTCGTGAGAGGGGAGCACAGGTCAGGTCATGAAGATGTCGTAAAGGAGGCGTAATATGAGCAAAACCAGATGGAGAAGGGACTGCTTTAGCTTACAAACTGTAAGCCATATCAAAAACAGGGCAATGAGCGCGTTGCACCACGGCGCCACTACCAACTGAAGCGTGGGCCCTAGGGTGTATATGCCCACGACAAGAAGCCAGACAAGAAGTGGATAATCACTGAGAAGATTTGCGAGGAGTGACAAAAGCTTAACCGCGCCTGTCACCCCCAATCCGCCGAAAAAGCACGCGTAAGACGACAGCGCAGACTCCAACGCCGACCAAAAGTACGTAAGAGGGGAGTTCACCGAGCAAAGGGTCCGATGGTGTCTCCACAAGGGGAGGGTCGTCATGTTCTGGTTGCGCTCCATCCTCCTCTCGATCTGTCGTCACAACCGCAGAGGGAACACTGTCCGGTTTGGAGTTGACGATGGGGTCAGGTTCCTTTCGCGTTGGACGTGGCCAGGGGATGTCAATCTTGTCTTCTCCATCTTCATCACGTCCCAAATACGGGTCGACAACGGGTGAGAGATCTATTCGTGACCTACCCTCATTCTCGCGCCGTTCCCTTTCGAGCTCGACCAACCTATTCTCACGCTCGCGCAGGACCGTCAATTCCTTTTCGCGTCGCTCATCGCGCTTCTCAAGCTCGATGACCTTGGCTTCCATCTCCGCTAGACGCAATTTGTAGTCCTCGATGAGCAAGTGTGCAGCTTCGAGTTCCTTCTGAACATCGTTTGAGGCTCCTTTGGTACCATTTGTCGTCATGGAGTCTTCTGGGCGCGGCGCGGCATGGTCAAACAAGTTATGGATATTGGGTAACTCTCCGCCGTTGATAACCCCTGGTCGAATAAATTTGGGGGTTGGTTGATAGCGCTTTGTGACTGGAATATCTGGGATCTTCTTTGCTGTCCCACCCGCCATGTCGGCGTCCTTCTCCCACATCATTGCGCCCCACGACGGTGCCTCATTCAAGCTGTCGCCTCGTCCCAGACTACCATTCGACTTGCCACGAGTAGAGTCGAGGCTAAAAGATGTTTCCTCCTGAGAGAGGAGGTCCTCCATGCTGGGCTCGTCCACCATCCTTGCGTCAATGATTCTCTCGCGAGAATATGCAGGAGGTTGAGACTCGGAGGACGAATTTCGTGAATGAAGATAGTCATCCGCCGTTTCATTGTCTGAAGCTGACGAGGAGGAAATGTCGCCACTCTGATCAAGGTCTTCCTCGGCGTCGTCATTGATCCAAAGACCAGCGGCCTTGAGCTCACTTTCCAGCTTTGAGTCGCTCATGGAAATGTCTCCAATTTGTTCGACTGGCGGGCTCCCGGATCCAGCAGAACTCGACCGACGCTCGAGCGTCTTCACCATTCCACGTACCCGTCCCGCCGATGGAGGAGGGCTCGGAATGGTTTCCTCGTGAGCTTCTTCCACGGTGCTAGGAATTCTTCGCTTCGACGGCTTGACCGGTGCATCGCTCTCTCCTTCTGTACTATGCGAGCCAAAGCCCCAGATGCGACCCTTGAGAACCTTTTTACGAAGAGTACGAGATGCAGCGAGAAGGGACTCGCGCCACAGTTGGTTAACACCCATTCTACCTCCTGATCAGCCTTGCCTCAGCAATACGAATTGAAAACACTCACGAAGCAAGGTCTCCTTCGCTCAAACGCAGGAATATCCGACCCGTGAGCCTCTGTCGAAGGGCAAACAAAGCCATGTCCTTTGCGACTGGTGCCGGAATCGCGCCACCGCCTTTGAGACGGAGAGCGGAAGAGAGGTAGAGTGCGAGCTGAGATGGAGTCCAATGCTTTGGATTGTCCTAAACAAGTGTTACTGTCAACGCCACGCAGGCAGCATGGATAAGAGTCTCGATAACGCACAGGCAACTCTGCGATAGCGCCTTCTGTGGGCGTTGGAGGCGGTTGGTAGTCCCCGGACGCAGATCCTTGACTTGCGCGTCTCTGAATTGGCGGTAGAGGCAGCGGCGTAGGTGGGTTGCTCGCATTCGAGAGGCTCCGTGAGTGCTTGTGGCCTCTGCTCTGCGATCTGCCAAGTGGCTTCGCATTTGGAGAAGATGTATAAAGTACAGGAGGTGTCTTGTGGCCCTGAAGACTGTTGGAACGGCTGAGAACGGCCGTGGAGGTCGTCTTGATGGGATAGGGATGGCCGGCAACCCCATTCTCCTTGGTCGGTGAGCGCACAGGAGCCGGAAATGCGACTGTAGACGGAGGAGGAGACTCTACAGACGCCATTGCCGCAGAAACAAGAGGCAACGGACGCTGACGGCAGAGGTCGCCGCAGAAGAGATGCGCTAACCACCGGTGCCATTACGGGTTGCATCTTGTTTTCTATAATATTACTATCATGGAAAAATCACAATGCCTTTGTAGAGAATCGCCATCTGGGCTTGCGTCTCTTCTGAGCCCGGACCCTTTCGTCGCGTCGGCTCTCTCCGGCTGACATTCATCACCGCCAAGAAGTTATTTTAGACGCGGAACTACTTGATAACTAGACTTATCGATCGGCTAATAACTGTGACTGTAACTCCGACGGCTCAGGTTCGAAACCTAGCACGATTCCACTAGGATTATGCAGACAAATCGGCGACATGCTCTCAACAGGTCAATTCGGTCTCACGATACCCAAAGAGTGAGTTTATCCGCATCTATTAGCTCAACGGCAATGCCCGATACAAGCCTGCCTCCCAGAAGTCCCTGGCACTCGCCCAAACAGAGCCTCGCCCCTCTGCAGCTTGGTCGCGTAAACTGCCAAGTGCCAGAGAGTATGGAAACCCGTACGTAAGGTCCCGTACAAACGATGCTATGGCCTTTCCAGGCAATTGACAAGATGTCAATTCTGGCGGCCAGAAACCAAAACAGCGTCATTGCAACCTGCAACAAACATGAGTGAAACGGTTCGGAATATCATCCATTCCAGGCTTACCCTATAGCCTTCATCAAGCCAAAGCCCAACGTCGCAACAACCTGAGGAGGCCGTTATTTAGTACAAACCTCCGCAAACTTCGGGCGAGAAATACGCACCACGGTAGCAATAATACTCGCAGGTACTCCATTCTTCAAAAAGTCGACATTTGTCAGATACAGTTCTCCCACGTCGTCTGTCTGCGTTGCTCTAATTTTGGGAAACCAGTCAGAACTAGCGAATTGAAGGGTGTGGATACATACGCAGTTTGATTAGGGAAACCTGAGACGGGCATGCCCATCCCTGTAGAGCAAATGAGGCCCGTCAGGAAGATGAGCAAATTTGGGTGTGGTTCCGGCAAATTCGCCCCCACTTCGGCAGCAATAGGCACAAGAAGGACGCTGGCGATCGTGTGGCTGATGAATGTGGAGATGACCTGACGGGCTGTCAGTACGGCCTCTGGTTCCTGCGGCAAGTTTACGCACGAGAACAACCGCCGAGAGCACGATCACAACCACATAGAAGGAGAGTCCAGAGATCATGTCCCGGATGACCACGTCCATGGCTTCGAGCAGCTTGCTCGCTTCGACTGCCTTGCCCAGAGCAGAGCCACCCATTGCAATGAATACAATGGACCAAAGGAACTGCTCAAAGTCGTCCTGATATATTGTCAGTACCGATTGATGAGACTGGCATGGTGCTCACCTTCTTGAGCACACCCGTGGAGAAGAAAGCAACAATGGGCAAAATGGCAATGATGCCCATATCGCCCACGTATTGCTCGATGGAGTGCTCAACGCACCATAGACCAATGGTGAGTATGCAAACAAACGACACCCAATACTGCTTCCAATTAAACTTTTCTTTGGACGCACGAATGGGCTTAATCTCCAATGGGGTGCCATCGACAGTTTTCCCCGGCCGATAGCTGAGTAGGAGGAACAGCCAGATGAGGATGATAGATACACCAGAGACAGGAAGAGCCACACTGAACCACTCGAGCCAGTCGAGGGGTGGGTCCATGTGCTGAAGTACGATCAAGTTCTGTGGAGATGAAATTGGCGAGCTTTGTCCTCCGATATTGGCCGCGAGGGCAATCGCGAGCTTGAATCTGTCAACTTGTCGTATAGAGACTATGTCGAGGAGCTTACAATCAGGCATGGCGCAAATGAAGACTTCGGAGGCAGGGTCCGAAGAATGGGCTGCAAAGATTTAGTGATACATAGACGTGTATGGGTAGATCACCCACTCTAATGAGGGTGAAGCAGAGTGTCGGCGCTGCGACATTACTGATCCACATGCTGGCAAAACACGAAACAATCATAAATGAGAGGAGGACGGTGCTTGGTCGTGTTCCTGCAAAGCTGAGAACACGAGTGATGAGAACTCGGTCAATATTGGTCTTGGAAATGGCAGATGCAATGGTGAAGCCTCCGATAAGTAGCATGATGGTGGGCGAGAACATGACGGAGAATATATACCTATGCGAGGTCAGAATCATATGTGCGACATGAACAATGATCATACTTGGTTGCTTGAGATGTCGTGAGCCGAGTATCGTATCCATCCTGCGACCGAATAACTCGGAATACCGACAGAAGGAACGGGACAAAGATTGAAGTGACAAATAGGGGTATGGCCTACAAAAGGGTAAGCTTGTAAAGGAAGCTGAATGCCTTGAACGCACCTCTGTTGCCCAAAGAATCGTGGCATAGCAGAGAATTGCAAAACAGTTAGAGGGTTCTGGTCGGTCGAGAACCGGATTGGCGAGTAAAGCAAAGAATACGATTGTCGCAATTGAGAACCAGACAAGCCTCTTGGTGATGCGTACGCGTCCCCATCGAGTTGTAAAGTCGATGAGTGCCGGCTTTTTCTCTTTGCCAGGCGATTCTCCGATTGCCTTGGGCCCGTCGCCAATCTCACCGCGTCTTTCCTGTGCGATCATCTGTCGCCAAACGGTATCACGTTCCCAAACAATCTACAAATATGGTTTGCTTAGTTGATATAAGGGCGCCAAGCATTGACACGTACGTGTTCTCTCTGCTGAATCTTGAGCTGCTTTTGCGCAGCTGCGACGTCGCCATGCGTGACACACTTGGCGTACAATGCCGTAAGATTCGAGATCCATGTGTTGAGTTTGCTCTTGGTCTCTGGGAGCCAAGGGTACGCAGTCTCGACCTTTTCGTGCAAGTAGGGTGCTTGCAGCTAAAAGCGGTCAGTCGATGGCCCGACGACTCTGACAAGAAAGACTTACCGAGCTATCCAGGACCTTGTCGTACCTACAAAGGAATGAGACCCATGTACTGTCCTCGAGAAAATACGCACTTTTTGAGTATTTTGCGGAATCCCGAGTAATTCAGCTCGACATACGACCGCAGGCCAACAGTCGTGTTGTACAGTGTCGTAATCCGTCGCTTGAACAACATGCGCACATCACGTGCATGATTCGTTTGCGCATTCCACACGCTTTGGTCCAAGATGGGAGACTGTTCGGAAAAGGAGGCTCTGCGGGCAACCTTGTCGATGATATTGGACAGCGTCGATCTTGGTATGACGGGCCTCTCTGCCTCGGAGCTCTTACGGTGACGCCTACGTGCATCGGGGGATGATCCGCTTGCTCTGCCTGCAGACAAGGTCGTGCTGAGGCCCATCTCGCCATAATCGCTGACGCTATACCTCAAATCGTTGGGACTGTGGCCTCTGGCAGGACCAGGACGTGAAAGACTGCCTAGTGCACGTAACACACGCGGCAAATGGCGTCAGGAGGCGGCCATTGTTTCGCTCGAGCTAAGTTCGGACTTACGACGGTGTAGCTTTCCATCCTCGTCGTCTTCATCATCTTCATCATCCTCGTCGTCTTCATACTCGCTCCCAGCTGGTGAGGGACCCTCTGCGTCCTTCTGCGCAACGTCGGCTTCGAGCGTTTCAATGTCCTTGGCCACGTCTGCTTCAGTCTCGGTATAAAATTTGAGAATCTTTTCAAGCTCCTTGTCCAAGAGAGTCGCAAAGAACTTGTCCGCTGTGCGGATATTCATGCTACCCTCCCCACGTTCGTTGGCCATCAGTCGTGAGCGTTCATTGGCCTCGAGGTCGTGCAGCTGCCCATTCTCATTGCTTTCGAGGACCTGTTTCTCGAGCTGGAATATGTATTTTTTCAACGCAGAGTAGCTACAATCAAGTCGCAAAGCAAGTGGTGGTGAGCGAAACGGTGTGAAAAAAAGAAGAAAAAGGGGAGGCAACGGCAGCACGACGCACGCAATGTACTCGTCCCACCACTCTGCGACCGCATTAAACTTGAGTGAAGAGCTGAATTTCATGGCTTGAGTGACCGGGCCTAGCGTGACCAGTCAAGGGTCAAGATAATCCAAAGTTATGGCCGGCTCTAAGCGACAACGTATATGGAATTCTCTGGGCATGTACCTTGAGATCACGTTGGGCAAACGAATATTTGAATCTGATCAGATTATTTGTGGACAAGAATCCAACCTCGTAGACAGCCGAAACAACCCCTGGGACCCGCGAGCGGGTCAGTTGCCTGAATTTACCCTCCAAGGCAGCCACAAGGGAGCCACGGCCCTTGCCGGTTGCTCCATCTCCCCCTTTACGACATTTCCAAACAGTCACAGCATCGTAATTTCAGCGCAAAACAACTTGCTTCTTCGATTTGGTACCATACAGCTGTGACGGATCAACCGCCACTGACAATGGGATGGATGGGAGACAGCTTAAAACTAGAGCTATGCTAGTGGGCGAGTGCACGGAAACGAACTCGTGGTGGTGGAGAGAGAGAGAGGAGATGGGTTGCTACACGTGGTTCCCCTTTTGCGAGGAAAGAGGATCATTGCAAGGAGACGCACAACAAGAACGGAAGCCAATTATCTCTGAAGTGTCCGAGCTTTCAGGAACTCTTGAATGTACCGAAAGCCAAAAAGGTGTTTAAATGCGGTCGAAGGTAGCCCAAGAAGGAAAATGAGAGTAGTCCATTCGTTGAATTCGAGGTCGGGGGTGTTTCGAGGGCATGATAAAAAGGAATCGAAAGCCCGTGCAGCTGGGGATGTAAGAGTCCGTGTTCCGTGCTTGAAGTCCGAGAGCGGAGGTTTTTGATAGGTACAGCCCTCCAGGGAAAAAAAATTATACTGAATATAGCGTCTTTTCAAGTTGTCCAAGGGGGAGTTCCCTGTAGATTAAACCGAGGTGACCAATGAACGCGACTCGTTCACCATACAGTGACTGTATGTGCCTCCGGGAGCAATACTGTTTGAGGATTATAGAGGGGTACGTGGACATCGTCGGGCGTCGAAACCTCTTGGGACTCAAACGACTCGGCGGGAGTGTGCGACGAGCGAGGCGAGGGAGTAAACTCGTGGGGCCCAACCATTGTGAGCATTTCTTGGTGCTCAAAGATGGTCTGATGAGCCGGCGGCTCACCACTGTGAATGCCACCAGCGACTGGGGCGTAAGATGGCTCGGCAAACGAGCCTGACCGTTCTCGCATCCAATAGTCCAGGTGGGGTGGAGGCAGGGGCTGATAGATCTGAGGTTGTGAATATCGATGATATGCTACTTGTGGGATCGGTGCGTCCGGTTCTGGGAAGGAGCTGGCCATTGATTCGGCCATGCTCAGGCGACGTCCGTTAAAGGATGTCGTGGACGACATGCTCGAGTAGCGATGATGTGAGGAGCGAATCGGGGGATAGTACAAGTGTTGTTCCGCAGGCGACGGTAGGCTGTAAGCGTCGTAAGACCATGCGGTCGGCGGCGAGGACAATGAGGCATCTGAATAGCTCGGGACAGACTCCCCGTAGTACTGGGGGCCGTGGTCATAATTTGCGACATAGTCGACTGGTGTCTCAGGCCATCGTGTGCCGTGTCCCACATGCCAGCTTGGGTCGAATGAAGGCGACACCCTAACAGACAGATGAAACGGTGATCAGCAAAACAGAAGTCTTCCGAGGACTGCGATTTTAAATAAGAGCACGTACTCGTAGGGCGGGGTTGGAATAGAGTCCTCAATAGAGGTAATCCCGAGATTCTCACTAGGCGCGTCTTCTAATGCTGGAGGATGGCTCTTGTCAACTGGATCCGCACCGTCAGGGCGGGCAATGGGCAGCTGTCGCTTGATCTCCCCTGTGGGCAGATGCAGATTGTTGAGCGAGAGACGTGGGACCAAGACGTGTCCACGAGCATGGTAGGCACGAAGGTTGGGATCCGAAGCGCGGTGGACGAGCGGATGTGGCTTGCCTTCATAGCCGGAATATGCGGAGAGAGACGGGGAATGGTGTCGCTTCGGAAAGGCATATGGCGAGAAGCGATGCTTACTAGAGGCGTAAGGGGCTGGCTGTCCAGACGAGTAGGAGGACGCCGAACTGGGTTCTTGCGGTGAGTACGCTACCCCGCTCACTGGCACGAGCGCAGGGACAGATGGGATAGTCGGAGGAACGAATGGCATGGCGTGGGTGTCGACAGGCGAACCAGAGAGCATTGGATTGGGCGATCTGAACATAGGGGACTCGCCATGGGGTTGAGGGCGAGCACCCAGAGCAAACTCCTTTGCCAGTGGGAGCTTTGGAGGATAAGGGACACTGTGTGGAGGGGGGATACCGACCGACTGGAGCGATCGTCTCGGCTTTCTCCTCCCAGATGGTGGGATGACGGTGCCGTACCCGGGCTGATCCGGCGCGAGACAGGTAGTAGGGAAGGTAGGCCCGAAGAGGGGAACAAGGTCGTGACGGATAGGCCAAGCGACTCTGGAAACAAAAAAAAGTCAGTCCTCTTTCTGTGGTGCTTCCACGAGATGGGCGGGGTCGGTGGAGATAAGGCAAGACTGAATCGGAAAACTACCTTCTGGCTAGACGCAATGCGACCTCGTAGGCTAACCACGTGCCTGGAAATAGAGAATTGAGGCGATGCGTTGGCTTGGACATAGACATGAACTGACCCTGGATTTTGAGATAACCTCCACGAACGCGCCTGAGTTGAGTCGCGAGTTCGGGCTGGGATTCAAGCATCTTGACAATGTCCGCTGATGTCAGAAGGAGCGCCAGCACACCCGGAAGAGAATCAAGTAATTAAGATAACGGAATGTCAGTACTGAGACGAGGCACGATCATAGAATCTTACCCTTGTGGTTCCCGAGAGCCTTCCAGATGCCGGTCCAAAGGATGTAGCCGTCGTCCATATCCATCATGATCCATTGTCCATTCAATGGATACTCATAGACCGGACTGGAGATCCGCATCAGCCATCACGGGCCTGTGAATCGTCAAGGGGAGACCGGGACGTACATGTAACCCCGTGCATCATTCGAAGTAATGTAGCGACCTTTTGTGGGACTGTGGGTCGCAGAATGGTACGGGATGAACCTGTTTGCGGGTGTCTGGACGCGGTTGATGCCGTTGTCGACGCGGTCGCCATTAGCACCGTGGAGGAGCTGTTCGCGCTTGGCCTGCTCTTGCTGATACTGAATCTGTAGAGGATGAAGCTGGACAGGTTCAGAGTGGGCGAGTTCGCTAGGAACGTCGCTCGAGACGCTTGTCACAGACGCGTCGGTAAGAGGAGGATTCTGGGGGTCAATTGGAGAGCTCGAGGGACTGCAAGAGGCCATGGAGGAGGGAGCAAAGGAGCGCACACGAGGGGACAAAGTCGAGGGCGGGTCCAAGGCGTCAACTTGGGTCGGTGAGTAAAGTCGCGCCTCTTTCTAGTGGCGATCTCTCTCAGCTAATGTCTATAGAACGACGGCCGTCCCCGTTGCCGAACCTGGAAATGTTATTTTTGGTTTATTTTTCTAGAGAAGCCATTTCCCCTCCTCCCCTGATTAGAATTTTCCCCGTCGTGTTCATTTCAATTCCGTTGACACATTCGAAGTCTGTTCTCCGGCTCAGCCAGCCACTTGCCCCGCCGGTCAGGTGAAAATTGTAAAGATTGATGCCATTCGGAAAAATCTAAAACTGCTCATGGCGGACGCTCCTGACCTCCAATGGCACTAAATCACCGCCTCCTGTCAATCCTCCCCCCCGCCTTCTTCGGCCTCCTTGTAACGACCAGCTTGTCACATCGTTGTCGTCGGCTGCAGTAGCAGGTTCTCGACCACAAACTCGTCCCCAATCGTGTACACCACCTTGGTTCTATCAAATCCGTTAAACGACGACGCTGCACAGATTGTATATGCGCCCATGTTTCGGAATCCAAGCCAGTCCCCAACCTCGAGTCCGATGGGCAACGATACATTGGCCAGCACGCAGTCAATCGAGTCGCACGTTGGGCCCCACAGGCTACTGCTAGCCATTGCACAGGTCCGTTCCTGGTTGGATGTGCTGCCCCAACTTGAGGTGTCAGTGAGCACCTTGCCAACGGTGAGCCAGATGGGATGAACAGTTTGATGATCGAACATGATGCAATTGAATGAGCCGTAGACGCCGTCGTTGAGATAGTCTGCACGAAGGTACATTGGTCAGCCGCCACCGCAAGACGCGATTACTGGACCCAAAAAAGAAATCTGAAACGCACACATGACTCTGGGGTTCCCATCATCTGTCTCTGCTTCGAGTAGCGCCCGTTCAGGCCCTCGTCGGGCAATGATATTCGCAGCTAGCGTAAACGCTTCTGAGACGTAGAAGCGCCCGGGTTCCGCAATGATTTTCACCTCTGGGCAATCACCGAAATGGGTCTGGAGGGCCTGGTCGAGGACGGCTGCTGCCTCTTCGAAGCGCTCGCCCTCGAATCCACCGCCAACGTCAAGAAGCGTAAATGTGTAACCAGCTTCACGACCCATCTCAAATGCCTTCTTCGCTCGTGCTACGGCATCCGCGAATGCCCCGGTGTCATAACAGCCACTCCCAACGTGAAAACTGATCCCAACAACGTTGAGACCAAGTTCCTTGGCTTTAGCTAGCAGCGTAGGCACTGCGATAAGCGACGCGCCAAATTTCAGGCCCAATCGACATAGGCTTTTCGAGTCGTCTGTCAAGATTCGCAGGACGAGCTTTGCTCCAGGGTGGACTCGAGCAATCTTGACAAGCTCGTCTACGTTATCAAATGTTGTCATGTCAACCCCCATCCGGGCAGCATGCTTGACAAAGGACGTGGGTTTGCAGGGGTTGGCGAAGATGACACGAGATGGGTCGACTCCGATTTCTGACACCATATTGATCTCGTTCATCGATGCGCAGTCAAATCCGCTGCCCAGCGCGGAGAGCAGTCGAAGAACCACGGGGTCAGGGTTCGCTTTGACGGCTGCGAGAAGAAGTGGTCAGTATGAGTATCACGTGGTCGTTTATTTCCAATTTGGAAATCATGAAAGCATATTCCACTCACCATAGAATGGAGTGACATTTGGAAGACACCTCGTCCAGCGCAGATGCTGCCTGTATACATGGCCCAAGTCCGCAACGAAAAACGCTGCCTCTGCATCTGGCTGATGCGCTGCCGCTGCAAGAGCGGCACTGGCGATTCCTGAACGAAGCAAGGAATCGACAGGCTCTGTATGGATCGTAGGGAGACACCCTTCTTCATCGCGTTCTGGAGGCGGCGAGGGAAGTCCCATTCCAAACACTTTTGTGTTGGGAGTGATAATATCGACTGGAGACGAGCTGACGTTCACGACACGGGCGTGGGTCGCAACCGATTGTGGCCGACCGCCATAGAGAGCGGCAGAGACTCTATCGCTGAAATTGATATTGGTAGGGAGAGATTGTACCTGTGCAGTCATCGATTGTTCGTGTCCTGCAGGCGTATAGTTTTCCGAATCGAACGTATCCAGCTCGAACGTAGAGCGCGGTTGATCTAGTGGGTTTCTGTGGAACAGAGTTACCGATTCCGAGCGGCCGCAGAGGACTCGCAAGGTCGGTAATCGGGTCCTTTCAGGCGCTGGGGGTCCTCGCTGTGAGCAGCGAGGTTGGCTACTTTTTAGGGGGTTGTGTAGGTGTAAACCTAGATCTCCGAGATTAAAAGTGGTGATAGAGTTCCTTTGCAACCAAGTTGAAAATATCTGATATCAAAGTTCGCGCGTGGGTGTAGGTCCTGTCAGGGTGGTTCGCCTGTTGAACGGGTCAATCAGAAAACGCCAAAATTTCCCTCAAGGCGCGCGATCAACTGGAAAAGACGTGTACCTCGCACAGACGACCACCTGGAACTGTGAGTCAGCGATGGAAAACGGACAGCAGAATGACGGCGGCAGTGGCAAACAAGTGCAAGACTCACTCTCTGTTCAAAAGGCGGAGGTCTGTGTTTCGAGCTTGTACGGAAATCTTGAGATTTGTTGCGGCGAGCGTTCGCTGCTGACAGTCGACAGTGGGTCCAAGAGGCGTCTGGCTATTTGTGTTTGTACGACCGGCCAAGGTTTGCGCGACGGGAAGCGAATCAAGGAATTCTCCAGAGAAGCCGAGCCCGTTGATTACCCGGATCGAAACCATTTGGGGCCATTTGCTTCACAGAGCCACAAGCGCAGCAGCGGCAATACTGTGGTACTTCAAAATTGGTGTCTGTGCTAGATGGCCTTTGACGATCACCAGCATTAACAAAAAGGGGGATGTACAGGAACAACGGCTCTATTACGCCTCCTGTCGCACAACGCCGACATTATCCAGTGCCTCATTGAACTCGCCATTGTCGATCATCTCACGCAAAATATCAAGACCTCCCATCAATTCACCTCCTATGATAAGCTGAGGGAATGTCGGCCAGTTATTGTAAGTCTTCAAGCCTGGATATCATCAATCCCTGTGGAAAGCAGCAACAGAATACTCACCTTGTCGGACGGCCTCATCTTGAAGGATGTCAAAGTGTGTGAATGGGACCTTGTGCTCTCGTAGGATGGCCACCGTCTGTCGGGAGAAACCACATCGAGGGGCATCCGGCGATCCCTTCATGAACAGGACGACCTTGTCACTGTCCATAATCTTCCTCATGCGAGCTTCTAGTTCTTCCTGCGTCTCCTTCGGCGCTGGCTTCTCTTCTGGAGCTGTAGGAGCAGCTGCAGCACTGTTGGTCTCTGGAACGCTCGCAAGTGGCGCAGCAGGAGCTTTGTCACTGGTAGCCGTTGGCTTGACGGCTGTCTTTCCATGGATTGCCAACTGCTTGGTCAGACCATCTGCGTCCGCACCAGTGACACGTCCAAGTAGTGTATGTCCCTGTAGTGAATAAAAGAGATTAGAAGCGCACAACGGTCAACTTAACACATACTCTGAGAAGGACAAATGCCGGGACCGACTCGACGTCAAAAGACTCGGAGATTTCTGGTAGCTGTTCCGCATCGACCTATGGAGCCTTTAGTCGAGCTTTTGGGCGAATTTGACGCAGTATTACCTGTAAGAAGAGTACTGATTCATACTTCTTCGCCAGTTCGGCGACGAGCTCGTTCATCTGCTTGCATGGCTCTGCCCATGGCGCCCAGAAATTGATAAGAGACACTCGTTGAAGATCTTTCGAAAGGTAATCTTGAAATTCGTCCGCGGATTTGACGTCGTGAAGATTTGTCGCCATCGTGGTTGTTATCAGATTACGCCTTGGTTTGCCATCAACTACGGCTGCGGCTCGGGCTTATATAATGGTAAGCGACGCAGTAGGCCTTTACCTATAGACAACTGATAGATTTATTCACATTAGGCTGATTCGGCGATTGGGGCACGTCTTCGAAACACGGCGCTTGCCGTTTTCATGGACCCGCCAGGCCAACAGAGTGCAGACCAAAACGAAATAAGCAGATACACAGCGAACAATGAAGAAAATAATCCACCTCCAACTGGTCACCGTGTGCCCCTTGACCACTCAACGCCATTTCCTGGGGAAGACATCACCGGCCCAGCCCCATTTCGAGACGTTGACGGATCTCCAATGTTTATAGGATCCGGATTCCTAGACGGCGGGGCTCATCCATGCAAAATTGTCCCTTCACAGAACCCTGCATGTCTCCTATCATATGACAACATTCAGATCCGTCATAATGGTCGATACGAACTTCTCCCATTTGATCCAAATACAATGGAATGGGTTCCAGCACGGGAAGGTCGTATCCCGGAAGGCAGGTAAGCCCCCCCTACTCTTCTTCTGGTGTGTTGGTGAACGCGTTTGGAGGCGAGCTGTCGAAGGTGGATACGAATATTATGGTCCAAGGCTTTATCATGCTCTTGGGATATACAACGGCTCTCTTGTTCTAGGAAAGACAGGGTGCCATTTGGTATGAGCCTCATTTGACCCTCCCGTCGCGCTGACGAGTTTCAGAGAGGGTTTTGTTTCGGATTCGAAGGGTTTGAGCACGCCATACGATCCGACTATCTCCTATTGTACGGTTGGCCCCAGCCTGGACGAAATGGAATTGATCCTTCCTTAGGTGCTGGCGATGACGCCCTTCCGGATACATTACCAACGTCGATCCAGCCTGAAGATGGGAAATTTTGGCTCAGTTTCTCTTCCGTCTTGCATACCACCCAAACTTGCTAACTGCTACAAATTCTGGAACGAGCGAGGAATGGTATTCGTGAATATGATAGTCCTTTGTTGGGCTTGTAAGCAACAGTCTATATTAGTACGATAGTCAGTCCCCTTCCGCCCCGAGCGGCATAAATGATACTACTTGAATATCGTGAAATGGTGCTTGGGTGGTGGTTATCAGAGTACACCTTTATTGCCACCGACTACGATTCACGGTTTTGCATAATGGCAAGCCACAATATAGGGTGTCACGTATAGACAACTGATAAAAATATCAACGTAGGCTCATCAAAGGATAGACACGCGTCTTCGCAGCACGGCGCTTGGCGCTTTCATGGACCCTCCAGACCAAAGGAGAGTAAGCACCAGAGAAGACAAGTCACCTCCAACTGGTCACCGTGTACCTCTTGATCATTTCACTCCATTTCCTGGGGAAGATATCACTGGGCCACCACCATTTCGCGACGTCGATGGGTCTCCAGTGTTTATAGGATCCGGATTCCTCGAGGGCAGCGTTCATCCATGCAAAATTGTCCCTTCACAGAACCCCGCGTGTCTCCTCCCATATAATGGAACCGAAATCCGCCACAATGGTCGATACGAACTTCTCCCTTTTGATCCAATTACAATGGAATGGGTTCCAGCACGTAATGGTCGTGTTCCCGAAGGCAGGTAAGTCTTTCGTACTCTCTTCTGACCTCTTGGTGAATCCGTTTGGAGGCGAGCTGTCGAAGGTGGATATGAGGACTATGGGCCGAGACTTTACCATGCTGTTGGAATACACAACGGGTTCGTAGTTCCTGGAAAGACAGGAAAGCATCTCGTACGGGCGTCTCACTCAACCTTTCCGTCGCGTTGACGAGTTTCAGAGAGGCATAAACATTGGATTTGGAGGCTTAGAGTATAATATTGCATCTGAATATCTCCTATTGTGCGGTTGCCTCCAATCTCGACGAAATGGCATTGATCTTTCCTCAGGTGCTGGCGGTGACGCCTTTGGTAGATTTCTGAATATATAATCAACTTTCTTTCTGTCCCGAAGCTGAGACCATTCGGCCTCAGTTACTCCTCAATCCGCATACCACCAAAATTTGCCGGCCACTATAGATTTTGGAACAGGCGATGAGTAGTATTCATGAAAACTGACAACCCGTTATTGTGTTTCGTCAACAACGCTTTAGAGTAGAGGGATCGTCAGTCCTCTTCAACGGCGGCTTGCAACCTCCGTCGGCACGGGCGGCCCGCTATACTCTATTCCACCATTGTATTCAGGTGAGCAGGTGATCTTCGCCTGGTATCTAGACTCTTTTGGGTGGCTTACGGTCCCCGAAAACGCTGAACTAGGTCGCCATCACGGCGGACGTCCCGTTGAGACCCCGTTTCAATCGATAGGTTGCTCGGGAAGATATCAGGGTGGGAATGGGGATCTTATTTGCAACAACTCCCAAGGTGATCGCAAATTCAATGTCATTTCGTTGTTAACCTCCGATGCCACCCATCTCGCCTGCCTCTGCCCTTCCAGCGTTCAATCACGGCAGCTCAATTGTCATTTCGGGTGCAATAGCCCTCGAAGAATATCCGTAGTATCTATTTCGACTTGGGGTTGTCGACACCTCTCGTGGAGCTCATCAGCTGTCGCCGAATTGTATCAGTTTCTAGCCAGCCACCTGGCGCGTTGCCCATGATTAGGCTCCTTCTATTTGCCTTCGAATGTGGATTGCAAAAACGTTCCAGTCCATCGGTCAACGGTGGCGTGTTTCAACGCCCCATGACGAGAGACTGCCAGTGTGCAGACCCCAAAATATCTAGAACTACGGGTCTGTATGAAGAGACGCATCTATGATACTATCACCATTGCTCCTCGTGGCCCGGTCGCGCTGCTGATCCCACTTCGGTCGTGTCCTCGAGACGGCAAACATCCGATACGCTAGAAACATCATACCAGCGCCCGATTACATACGCTTGTATCAAACATCATCGACATCTTGGCGGCCATTCGTAAAGCTAAAACGGGGCGTCGAGGGTCGCACCTGACAGCTTCTGGCTGGGAATATGAGATTCCGACGCACTACCGTTGGAACAAAAGGTGTGTCAATGTCTAATTCCTGTTACCCCTTGCAGTTCCCCGGGGCGTCCAACAGTGTGGACAGGCCTAGACTTGATTCCGTCCGGCAGGGCCATAGTCTCGATATGATCCGTCTGAACATGAATAACGGTGACGTGAATTGACTATGTCCGGTATCTAGAGACATTGAGTGATGTGGAGGAGAACGTGTGGGCGGGCTTCCCCACAGACCGACCTCTAATTCGTGCAGGGTAGCCTCGCATGAAACAATTGGAGACGAATTAGTAAATACTGGCGATACAATGGCTTCCTGAAGCAAGTGAGAACTGTGCGCCCGGGGTAGACTTGGAATCCCCTCAGACAGAGTCCTCAACCACCCCTCTTCTTGCTCGCCAGTACACTAAAGATCATCCCAAATCCTACTTTATACCTTTACAAGTCCCTCCGATGAGAGATGTCCTGAGGCTGCTGATCCAGAACTGCTAATGTTACCACCTTGGGACTTGCCATGGATAGGTCGTAAAAGGCGTACGGCTCCCCACAACTTTCATATGCGTGTCACACTGATTGAGAGAGCATGAGCCAGCCCCGCGTACAAGCCAAGTCCCGGACCATGTGATAGCCGGACATACTCTTTCTCCATCCACCACTGCTGCAAGTATGGCTCCAGCTTCCAAAGACTCGTTGACGGTCGTAGACAATCGAAACGGCAAAACATACGAGATTCCAATTGCTGTTACAGCACACGACGCGTCTGTGCCAGCTTCGGCATTCAAGGACATTATACATGTACGCACCACCGTTCACAGGACTATAGAATGTCTACTCATTCTCCAATTTTGGTGATACAGGTCAAAGAGGATCCCAGGACTGGAAACAAGGAGAAAGTCGGTCTTCGAGTTGTCGATCGAGGCTTCCTCAATACGGCCGTGATACAGTCCTATATTACTTTTATTGATGGAGACCGTGGTATACTCCGCTACCGAGGGTATCCCATTGAGCAACTCGCCGAACAGTCCAATTTTCTTGAAACCTCCTACTTGCTGATCTGGGGAGAGCTTCCTTCTAAGTCTCAATACGATCGCTTCCACGACGAGGTCATGAATCACAGCACGACACATGTGGATATTGAGCATGTCTTCAAGTCATTCCGTTATGGTATGTATCTCTCACCGCGACTTATTCGTTCAAGTTACTTACTGCGATCAGATGCCCACCCCATGTCGATTCTCACCAGTGTATTTGCGGCCCTGGGAAGTTATTATCCAGAAGCGAACCCAAGTCTTCAAGGCCAGAATCTATTCACAAAGAAGGATCTCGCCTCGGTTCAGAATATGGACAAGCAAATCTATCGTCTCATTGGAAAGGCACCAACACTTGCTGCCATGGCGTATCGTGTTCGTCAGGGACGTCACTTTATCACTCCCCCACCAGGACTCTCTTACACTGGGGCGTAAGTCGATTTCCACGGTCCTATAGCTTTGTTTGACGTCCAAAGTTTCCTGTACCAAATGGACTGCCTGGGTCAGGCAGAGTACAAACCTAACCCGGTCCTGGAACGCGCGCTCGATATCTTGTTCATCCTGCATGCAGACCACGAGATGAATGCGTCGACGACAACTGTTCTCCAGGCAGGTAGTTCGTTGACAGATCCTTATTCGGCAATTGCGTGAGTCTCGTCTTTTGCATGGGAACCCCTCGCTGACAGTTTCCTCAGAACGGGATGCGCATCGCTATAGTAAGATGATGAGGACCGAATGGTATGGATACTTACGTCTTTTTGATCAGCGGACCGCTGCACGGAGGAGCAAATGAAGCCGTGATTCGAATGCTCATTTCCATCGGCTCCCCAGACAATGTGCCCGCATTCTTGGAGCAAGTCAAGAGACGAGAGAAGCTTCTCTCGGGCTTTGGTCATCGCGTGTACAAGACGACGGATCCTCGCTCCAGAATTATTCGGAGGACCGCGGATGAAGTGTTCAAAGTGTGAGTAGATCGTCGGGCCGTTGGATGTGAACTGATGATGCCAAGTACCGGAAAGGATCCGCTGATTGAAACTGCAATGCGCCTGCATGACATGGCGCTTAAGGACGAGTATTTTGTCAAACGAAACCTATATCCTAATGTGGACTTTTGGTGAGTTTCAGTGTCGTATGGGGGGTGGTATAACCTGACAGTCTGCAGGAGGTGAGCCGTGTGAGTATGTCCAAAGGCGAGGATTGACCGTGTTCAAGCGGGCTCATATACAAGGCGATGGGTACGGCCTCGTTGGTGCACTAAAATCTCCCGAACTTATACCCAAAAAGGTTTCCCTTTGGACTTCTTCCCAGTTTTGTTTGCCGTTCCAAGGGTCGTTGGATGGATTGCGCACTGGCGGCAGGTTCGTTGCTTCTAGTTGAGACAAAAGGGAGTTAACCGCAGTGTTCTGTCTAGATGATGCTCTCCCCTGATGGCGTCAAGATATGGCGACCGCGACAGGTGAGGAGTGCCTTGGGATTCTGCGACGGAGTTTTGATTGATGGGGGCTGCGCCGCTTGCAGATTTATATAGGGCCGGAAGAGCGCGCGTATGAGCCTATTGGGCAGCGGCAGGAGCGTGAGCAACGGGCACCAACCGACGGGCCCACGGCAGTCTTCCACAGCGGGTAAGCCAGACATGTAGTTCTGTCACAATTGCTGATATAATGAGCAGACAGAGTAAGCGGAGTAAACTTGCGACATTTGTGGGCAAGAGCAAGCTGTGAGAATGAAAGGAGTAGCCGGGGCCTTGGCTTCTTAGGACAGCCGACTGCCGACACGCCGCCCATTTGGATAGCCTTTGCTTTTATTTGGCCTGTTATTTATCTCCGCCTCTTGTTCCCAACGACGACTGCACCGTTCCCCGTGTGCTCCTCTTCCTGAAAATCCGTGAATAAACACCAGACACTCGCTCTACGCTACACTCGTTCGCAACAGGACTCTTTTTTTTGCAACTCCTCCCCCTGCAAATATCTACAACAACCACCTCCCTATAGTCGCCATGTTCGCCAAATTCGCTCCATTTGCTACCGTTCTCGCTCTTGCACTCGGTGCAGCTGCAGACCTCACGCTCTCTACGCCCGCTTCAGTCCCCCAGGTCCGTTGCCGTGCGCGAGGGGCCGTGTGGCCCCTGTTCCCCATCGCCGCTGACATGACCCAAATCTAGTGCGGAAAGATTACTTTCTCCGTTGGTGGTGCTACTGGAGGCTACAGCATGTTCGGTAAGCACCCGTTGTCATCTTCCTCGTCGCTGTGAAACAAGGCCAAGCCTCCGTCCGTCCTCTTGGACGAAACACCCAATTCCCGAGCTTTGCTAGTTCAAGCTTGGCTGACACATCTTTCTCTTTCCAGTCGTCAAGCCGTCTGACCCCTGCGGCGATTCCATGTACGTATTTTTTGTATCTCCGGTCTCGCGCCGCGCCGAACTGACATGCCGTTGCCTCCGTCGATACCATCAAATCGTATTTGCCATGGGCGGAATATTCGGATTTCTCCAGTGTCGACGTTCACGGCCTGTCGGGTCCCACTTTCGAGTGGATCGCCAATGTCCCAGAGGGCACCCCTGTTCAGTTTGAGGTTGAGGATAATGATGGAAATGCTGGTTGGTCTGCCGCTGTGAGTACACTCGTCTCGTGTTTTCCTCCCCAAGCCCCGGCCGTACGCACCCTTTGTTCGCCCGTAGGCGAGGAACGGGGAGCCGGCGTCTGTCCCTCCATATGCTTCTCTTTCGACGCCGTACTAATGTATTATTCTAGCTCACGGTCGGAGCTGGTGATGCCAGCTGCCTGTCCGCTTCGTCTTCGTCTTCCGCAGCTGAGGAGACTCCCTCATCGAGCGCAGCGACGACTTCCGCGACTTCGACAAGCGCGTCGCGCTCCTCAACGTACGCACCAAACTTGTACCAAAATTCTCGTACTGATGTTTCTTTAGTGTTCGTATTGCCGCTTCGGATGTCCCAGTCAACGCAGGATCCGACACCTCGGCTGCCTTTTCGACCCGCTCCCTCTCTGGCTTTGCAGGCCTCGCGGTCGCGGCTGCAGCTGCCGTTTTGGCGCTCTAAGAAGCAAGTTTCTTTGAACACGGTCCATTCCAAAGCCTCTTGGTACCAGAGGTAGAATGGAACCCGTACGTGGATTTTTTGGACCCCGCGGTGTATCCTCTTGCAACAAGAAGCGTCATGACACTCTCCTCACGACCACACGACTGTCCAATCAACAGTCGCCTCTCCCTCTCCCCCGCCAGCCCCGCTGGTTTTCCCTCTCTTGGTTTCCGTGTTCTCGGCTTAGTTTTTTTTCACTCTTCTCTCTCGACTACTGGTCGTGGCCAACTCGACTGCAAAACACTTTGCATCAATCATCCACCTAATCTGTCCTGTCTGCGCTTGCGTCCGTCGCGGATAGCATATGGTCTAATCGCCTGCACTCTCACATCCAGGACACTGGCACTTGTGGATTGATTGCGGTCACGCTTTTTTAATAAACTACCGCTCTCATTCACCATGTCTGTGACATCTTGGAGAGTCGTCGCCCACATTTTGGCTATTCGCACCCACCTCCCCTCCTTTCTCGGCTTGATTAATTCTGCATAGAGCTTGTGCCTTTGTAGATGCAATGCCGGATACCCGTTTTACTTTATTTGAACCAACTGAATTTGTGTGCGAGAGACGGATTGCAAGGATAAATACAAAAAGTCTAGTGCTCGTCCAAGGATTCCGTTTTCGCCTGGTAGATTGTGTCAATATGTTTCGAGATATAATTTGGCAAACTCGCCTTGTTTGGCTGCCATCCGCCGAGTTCGTCGACGAGACCGTCTCGTGGAAATGTTCGCCTGGTCGCAGGCATCTCCGGGCGAGTATAGGCCAAAACAACCATTACACCACCAAGAATAGCAAACGCAAGCGATGCTTGTGTGAGTGCAGACATTGGGCTGATATTTGCATGAGGCAAGTCGGGCGAGAACATGTTCAGGGCCTCGTCTTGTTCATGAAGCTAATGACCCAAATATGAAACGTATTTCAATCCATTCAAGGGCAGACATAAACGGGTCAGCGTCGTTTTAGACTGTCGTCAATGATGAACGGACCGTTTCGCCAAAGTTTCGACGGTATTGTTGGTCCCAGAAGCCTGTAGCACTTCTTTCTTGGTTACTCCTCCCTTCTAGCCGTGGATATGACCCGATTTGAGGGTCATCTTTGGGTCCTGCACCGACCGTTGGCTCTAGTTGTCGACGTGCGGAGGAGGATATGGTGCGTGTTGCAGTTGATTGATGTTGAAGAAGCACCGAGCGTCCTCTTTGCAGTGCACAGAGCGCACGTTGTGGTCCCAGCCGCATGTCGTGGATAAAGGTCGAAATCAACGTTGGACTTGCCACTTTCTCCCAACCACATCCAGCTTCCAGTTCCTTTGTAAGAGAATGCACTTCTAAGGTTCCAAATACTCATTAAAATGCCATTAGGAATGTCTCTTCCGCCTGAATTGTGGATAGAGATTATCAAACTCGCGACGTCTGTGCCGTCCGAGTTGAACACGAATGCTGCATCCTTGTTCGAACGATGTACACATTCTGAAGCGCATCGTATGCGCTCAAAGATTCTCCCAACACGCCGAGCCCTCTCGCGCGTATCACGCAGTTTTCACGCAATGGCGAATCCATTTTTATACCAGAGCATTCTCATCCAGCGCGGAGGGTGCTTACGAAGACTTGCTCATACATTACGCGTCACCGCAGACGCGGACAAAGAGGCTGGAACTGCTCACGACCATGGGGGTCGAGGTCATGGGCGATGGGTCAAGCGATTCGACGTCGATTTCAAGAAGGTTCGACATTGGAGGAAAATTCCCCATGAAGAAATCTTTTGGATATTATCAAATATGCCCAACCTGGAAGCCTTTGTGGCGTTTGGGCGGTGGGAGCTCTCCAATGAGAGATTATTCGTTACAGGGCTCAAGATGCGCAACCTTAAAATGCTGTATCTTCCATTAGAGACGCTCCCCAGGTTCGAGGAGCCATGTTCGAGCTCATCAGCACACAACCACTCTCGGACACGCTCATCACTTATTTTCCCAATCCACTCGCTTCCGAGTATTCCTCATATGAGGAAGATATCGAGTCGACGAAGTCATATGGCTTTAAAGACCCCACACAAGCTCGCCACCTTCGTGCCATTACGGCCTCGGATTCGTGGCTCCGTCCACGCATGGCATCAGATCCTGCCTATTTTCCAAAATTAACGACTATGCACGTATATAGTTCCATCAACCCGGAGCTAGTCAAGACCCACGGGTACAAAATCACAACGCTCGATCTCGAGGGTTGTCCATGGAGGATGATTGCGCAGTATATTCATCACATGCCGAATCTCGCAAGCATCCTCATAGACCTTATTCACGCTCAACCTGTGACCACGACCGTCGCTTTTGCTCTTCCCAACGGGTTTGTCCTAGGGAGCGAGTTTCAAATCAGGACGGTACGCCGCGTTGGTTTGCTCGTGAATGCTGGACAGGCGCCTATTAGCACCTACAATAGCGCCTTTGAATTTCTGCCCAAGCTGTTTCCAAATGTCAAAATCATACGCTTGTTGGAGAGGGATATCATCGACCAGCTGGTTCGTCTCCCACAGAGAGTCAAACGCTGGCATAGTACATTAGGAGAACGGAACATCAGACTGGAGAGGGAGGATGGAGAACTATTGATCCACGATTGCCGTGACTCACAAGGTCAACGTCGAGGCAATTAGAAAGACACAAGATTCATTCTACTTGTCGCTCGCGTTATCCACAGAGCGACGGTGGTATGTCTGAGAAGACCAATAGGGCCCCAGACTCCGTTTGAACTAGTATACTGCAAGACAAATAATATCTGACCACTAGTGCGTGTGTCTATCTTTGCCTAATGTGACTATTGCCTTACGGCGTTGTACTAGACACCAAAAGCTGGATTGTGGAGGGCATAAGAATATACTGTATAACTGCTGTCTCGATATCTGCCAAGCCCAAGTAGCATATCTAGCGGCATTTCCACCAACAGGGGCCAGAACGCCAAGTCCGTCCGGACCTCGAATTCAGTGATTGTTGGTCGAGGCCTTGGGACAATTGCCATACTCCTTTGTTCTTGGCTTGTCCAAGATGGCATCGACACTCCAACCGGTCAGCACAAATTGAGTATTGTAGTTGGTCAGACTGATATGGATCAGACCGTCCTTGTCACATCGATATCAACGACCATACCTTTGACCACGTCTTTGCCACCATTTGGTACGCGAGGGCTTTTCGCATCGAGGGTCACCTAATCTAATCCATGTAGCAAGCACTTCTCAGACTGTCTATGTCGAATGCTTTTCATCTGCTAGCGGAACGTGTGCATCATCCAGCACCCTGACAGCCGTCGCCATCTTCGACTGTAAGTCACACACACGCATTCTCACTCGTTCCTATCATTACTCTAGACTTTTTCGGGCTCAATCTGACGACGACTGTGACCACTGTAATCCCGGTCACGATCACGACAGAGTATGCTGCACCCACAGCCACGACGCCGTGCTCTAAACAGCAGTTTGAAAGGTGCAACAAAGCTGGACGTACCTTAAAGTTGTCAAACCCTTCGAGCATTCTTGTCGTTCTCCTACTTGCTGTATTCGTGCTCATGTAGAAGTAAGATGAGAAGACGAACTCTCTTCCTCTCTATGGCTTTTGTATAATTATCCGGCAGAGAATGCAAATCCCATGATAGGTGTGCTATTTGAAGTTGTGATGGAGATGGAGATACCTGTGAATCTACTTTGGTAGCCCTTCGCATCTTGGACAGAGACCTCTTGGACTTGAACGGGCAGATGACATCGCGACTGGCTCGCTGGGGGCAGATGCTAGGGCGAAGTGGCGACTACGTCCGCCAGGAAATGAACAAGAGTCGGTAGAAAGCACCCACAAGGTCAAGGAATCGTTCTCAAATTTCCTCCTGCAGCACGACAAGTCTTGGATCCGACGGCAATCCAAAAAACAAAGCTCTTGCACAGATTTCGGAGCGAAAAAGACGTGGAGAAGTGGACTCATGGTTCAGATGAGTCGTTTGGCGGACTTTCGACAAGTAAACTTGAGTTGGCTATGGACGGACGCGGCATGCGCTTTCATGGGGATTTGCGTTTGGGAGTCAAACCTGAATATGAAGGAATATTTCGAGGGGGATTCGCTGGTATCAAGACTCGAGTGAGTTTGTCTTTGCCCTGTCAAAGCTTCCCTTTTACTTATTTCCAGGCGCGACCAACGTTGTTTGGAAACCTCGCCGAAAATTTATCTATGTATGAATACCTTGGGCTAAGAGTCAAGGTTGGAAAGCCGCCTTGCATACGGGACGCCTGGTATATCAATCTACGGACAAAGACCATGGACCCGAACCACGTCTGGCAGCATCGTCTCTTCCTTCGATCAACAGACGGAGAATTCGAGGACGCGGTGGTATGTCATCTCTTCGGGTTCTCGCATCCTCACTGACAACTTTAGGTACGACTCGACGACTTTGGGTACACTGCTTCTGGAAACATGGTCGAAACCATCGATGAGATGGAAATGGAGAGCATAGAGATGCTAGGGGTCTCTCTTCTCGGCGGAAATGCGGGGTTGCAGGGCCCTTACGAATTGACCATCGACGAGATTTGGGCGACGAACGATCCAACCGCTACACCCCGTAGAAACTAACATCTCTTCATCCTTGGTAATGTTCGAGATTATCTATTGTTTACATAAATCGTACTGTCCTCCGATAACGCACTATGTGCCTTTCGGTCTCGTTGATCGTCGGGGCCTTCTGGAAGCCTTCGTTTGCACTTGTTCTTCCTCCAGAGGGTGAATTTCATTGTCGACAAGCATTTGCAACCGTCGCCTTTCATCTGCATCCAAAGGATCCGCATAGTTGACCGCGATCCCTTTCACAGGCGATGTTGCAGAAGCCCAGTTGTCATCATGATGTACGCGGTGCTCATTCTCGAAATTTGGAACCAGAGGACCCAGGGCAAGCTTCTTACATGGGGATTCCTGAAGGACACGTTAACAGGGCCATGCAGAAGCTCCAAATACTCACCTCGGTCCGCTTTGATGATGGAGCACGTGGGCGTTTACGCGCTCTTCCCTGCCCGGCTGGTGCTGAGCTCGACGCTACTTCTGGATCCTCCTCTGCGCCACGTTTGGATCCAAGAAGAGCGTCGATACTCTTGGTCAGGTTTTTTGCAGACGCAGATTGCACATCAAAGAATGGAATGGTTGGAGTATTGCTGTCGTACCGCTTACTTGTAGCTATCAACTGCGTCGTGAGAGGAATTGGGGACGGAGTCACAGAGGATGGCACTCTTTGACTCTTTAGACCTGCAGCTGCCTTCTCGTTAGGCGACAGCAGTCTCTTCGGGGTTCCGGTACCGGAACCGAGCCGTTGTGCAAGCTCATGGATGTCCAACTTGGCTTGCTTCCGCGTAGGCGTAGGACTGCCAGGTGATGGAGGGCGAACCAGATGAGAACGACCAGGAGAAGTTACTCCAAAGACAGGGCTGTAGACAGGCATACTGTCGTCGACAGTATTTGCCATAGATGTGCCTATTTTCAGATCCCCGATGGATGATACGACGTTGGAGGCGGAGTCGGGTTCGTTGTAGACGTCTGGATCCGTAGCTGTGCGTGCAAGACCCGTAAGCCATTCAAAATCAACTACAGGGATCCCCCACTCCTTTGCCTTTTGGTATTTGACGCCTTCACGAGATGGACAGATCAGATGTGTGCATTGCATCGAAAATGCAGGCGAGATAGGAATCTCTATTATGTGTGAGCGGGAAAAATGAAGAAACGAGAGAGGCAACTTGCCCAATAGGCGAAGGAGTCGAGCAACCCAGGTGGCGTCGAATGTATCTAAACCAGAGAATGCTACAAGGTAAGACGAATGGTCTACGCTGGAGTTAGGATAATGAACACTTTGATTTGTTTTCAAACCTTTTATGGGTCGCCGAACCGTCAAAGGTACGCAGGTGATACTGTCCTCGACGGGGCATATCCGGTTCTCGAACAGACATCGCTCCAACCAACACTCAGTTCTAAATTTTGCGTGCTCGGAAAGCGGGAACTCTTTTTGGGCATCAGAGCCACTGAAAACAATAAGCCAAATCTCCATGGATATGTAGAATGACCCACCCAACAAGACGAACGATGTAGTAGTCCGGTGAGCCGGCTTGTAATAATGTACCTCCTGCTCTTTCGAGAGCAGAAAAGACGACGTCGCATGCCGCGTCTCCCATGGCACGAAAAGTCGCTCCGGAGAATATACCATCTCCACCTAATTCCTTGCGAGAGGCAACATCTTTGGATGGTAGATTCGTCTGGTCTTGAGAAAACGCGGGGGCTCTAGAGAATTTGCTCAGAAATGTGCTCGACGGCCCATTGGCCGTTTTCCCATTTGACTCTGTGTTCTCCGCGGCAGTTATCGGAAACGCTCTGACCCGGGTGGGAGTACTTGGATTCCCGGGAATGGTTTTTTTCTTGGGAGATCGACGTTCATATCCCTTTGGAGCAGATGCGCTGTCAAAAGATCCACTTGCCCAGGTCTTTTTGACAGGACTTGAACTTGACTCGTTTCTAGACTTGCGGTTGACGTGAGAACTTCGTAGAGTGCTGGGCGCAAAACCACTGGTCGCTGGAGCGCCTCTGGAACCAGTAATTGCATTCCACTGGGACAGGGCGGCTCCTCTGATTACTTTGGTTGGTGCGGCGGTATCCTTTGCATCAGCCAACAGACTTGAGAGGGGAAGTTGCTCTGGAAGTCCCACTGAGGGGGGAGGAGGAAGTGAGGGCCTAGCGACCTCAGGTGAGTGCATCACGCTACGCGACATGGGCTCCGGTCGTGGCTTCACTATATGATAGGGTTCAGTCTGAAGGCGACCTATGATAATCAGCACATGCACGAAGTAAAAGATCCCGGCTCACCGCCCACGTGTATACAGTCCCAGAACCATTCCTCCCACAACACCTCGATAGATGGAGGTACTTCTCCTCCGTCTGCTCGGCCTCGAGCGACTTCTCGTTCAGCGTTCACTCTATTTGCGTAGTCCACCTTGGGTGACGACTCCGCCGCGCACAAGAGGTGGGTACAGGTCTTGTCTAGACTCTTGAGATACTCTCCACCATTGGCCTTTGTGAGCTTGTGTATTCTGTTGCGAATGTCGGCCACCTCGATACCCGTGACGCAGATCCGAACTCCAATAAAAGGAAGTAGTCGGTGACTTGGTATGGTAGACTCGACTGAGAAGTTTTCCCCTAGCTTCCAGCGATCGTGCGCGCCGTATATCCAAGAAGGCGTGACAACGGGTACGCCACGTTCAAGTGCGCACTGGCATAATCTTAGCAGTTCCTCCTGGCCTTGTAATGAATGAGACAAACACGATACTTTTCACTGCCTGGTTCAGATGCAACTAAGTGCGTAGTGGCGTCCGTGAAGTCGGTGGAATGCGTCCCACCCATTCGCCTGACGAGGTCGAAAATGGTGCGCTGATTAGGAAGCTTAGAGTGCATGAAAGGATGTGCTTAAGATCTTACCTTGTCCTTGATGCCGGTAGCACAGAGGATCACACCTCTGAAGATTGCTCGTGGTCCTTGGAGTTCATATGTGTCGTCTGCCTGGTCTTCCTCATCCGAATCTGAGTAAATAAGTGTCAACGAGCATCTAGCACACTATATGTTGCGTACCGATTACATTTCTGCGTGTTGACGGCGCCTTTGACGTTTCTGCTGGTCGTAGCTTGACGTTAGGAACCTTGACGCCTCCTCTCGCACGTCCCATTAGTTTAAAATATTGAATAGTATGGTCTGGGGTATTATTTGGATAAAGTGAGACTGGAACGCCGTCGGGGCGGCAGTTTAGGTGCGTATGGGCGGAGTTTCAAATCTCACTTCGCTCCAACTCCAACTCTGCTGTCGCTGAGTACCATTCTAGAGACATAGGCGAACTCAAAACGCGTAACGACGCGATGTCTCGAGATTTAATTCCGGGCTCTGACGACGAGGCCGAGTTGCGGCTCGACTTGCCTGAATCTGTGGTAGATGGAGGGTCAGATATTGCAGTAGACACGCGTAAGACTCTCTCTGGATGCATTCTGGTACACTTAGCATATTCCACAGGCGGCCCTTCAACCGTTCCAGGTTCACCTCTAGCTGGTGCGTAAAGCCAGCCTAACGAAACGTAATTATGACACATTTATCACACAGACTCGCCTGTTCAAGAGATAGTTCCAATTGCAAGGGGCAATATAGTACCAGTGAGGGAAAAAGAACGCAAGAAGCGAAAATCGACATCAAGGGATCAAATAGTCGAACTCAGCGACGATGATGACGAATACAATGCGAAGCCAAAACCAAAATCGAGAGGAAGGAAGGCCGCAGTTGATAATAAAGGTAAGGTGCCGTTAGTTAATGTTCGTGAAGAGTAACATGTCTAGAAGGAAATGCAAAGAAGAATACAAAGCGAGCAACGAACAAAGGCCGACGCGCCTCGTCCATTCCAGAGAGCAAGACATCAGCAGAAGACGCAGCAAACTTTGAACAACTCACTCACGTTTCTGATGAAAATTCGGATCTAGGAATGGATTCAAACGAGGGATCCGTCACATATGAGCGGCGAAAATCGGAAGACCTTGGTTAGTCCCGTCCTTGCTCTTTGGTGACGACTGCTTAAAGACAAACACAAAAGGGCAACTCAAGGTACCCAAGAAGCGGAAGTCAGCCGCTAGAGAAGAGAACCCAAAAGCGACGAAGCGCAGGAAGACCATAACCATCGAATCCGACGACGAAGTTCAACCTCCTGCGCCGAGCGCCCGACGTAACAAAAGAGTAGTCAACTCTATTGTCGATCCTGATACTTCGCCGGATGAGCTCCAAATTCCTGACCGTCGTCGGAGCAGATCGTCAAAAGAGCCGAATCCGACGCAACTTACACAACCAAAACCCGCGAACCCTAGAGTACATCGAGTATCAAAGTCCACTTCCCCTTCACCGGATGCCCCCGAGCAGACAGAGGGTCATGAAGATGTTGATGATCCTCCTGTTGAAGCAAACGAGTCGACAGAGGTCATCGTGTCGGACAAAGTGAAAGTACCCAGCGATCAAGCGAAGGAACCCCCTGTCAAACCAACCCCGCGCCTCTCGAATACTTTCGACTCGGGCCACTACATCCCAAAACGAGGGTCTGTCTCCGACATTCTTCGCAAGACTGGCCTCCACTCGCGTCTCAGCTCTAGTAAACTCACGAAAGGATCCACTGTCAAGATTGCACCTTTGCATCTTAACCGGAAAACACCTCCCCCTCCACCAGTTCCGATCAAGAAACCTCAAAAGGCGAAAAATGAAGATGAGGAAGAAGAAGAACCAGACTTCACTGGCATGACAAAGAAGCAGATTGAGCGTTACTGGGAGGAGAAGAAATATCGAGCCTGGTTCAGCCCATAGAACGTCTTTGTAATTGGTGCGACGTCTACTTTGTAACTGATGATACCTTAAATATTTCATTATCCGTGAACGGACTCGCCATTAGCGGAATCTCTTGAACCCAACCGCGTTGACGTGTGATTATTTCTTTCACCATAGCTGCTAAACGTGGAGGTTCAGCGCGACGGTTACGTCGCCATATTTATTCTCAGATTGAGTACTACTTTTGGTTCCTCGTTTGCGCCACGAGAATGGTCCTAGGACTTTGGGTGAAGCTCAGGAGGCGGGGTTCTAAGCCATGTCCATTCTGCAATGTCACAGATGGACCCAATTTCAAGGTTGTCACGGAGGTATGCGAACCGAGTTCATATATTTGGATTACCAACGCCTGACATGGGTTCAATACAGGATGAAAAGTATACCATGTTCGTTGATAGGACACCGGCGGCATCTGAACACTATCTCGTGATTCCCAAAGCACATCTAGGTACGGTATTCTCCTGACGACACGAACATATCCAACTTTTTTCTGCAGAGAGTATACGCGACCTCAGGAAGAATGACGTTCATATCGGTACGTAAATCCACCTAAATGTGATTTCTTATGTACCCTTTGTCAGTCAAGGACCTCTGGGAAATGGGCGAACGTTATTTCGACACTAAGAACGTCCCAAAGGAACAGAGAAGGTAAATATGACATCTGCTATACTCTTTTACTGACGTTAATTCAGGTTCGGATTTCACATTCCTCCATTTACGTCGGTGGATCATCTGCACCTCCACTGCTTCGTCCTTCCATTCAAGGATATGATTCGAGAGCACAAGTATCGGGCTACGCGGAGGAATAACAGCGTGTACGTAAAGGGTTGGGGTTGGTTTATTGAGGTCGAGCAAACAATTCATGTGCTCGAAAGAGGAGGCAGGGTCGGGTTTGCTCCTTGCTAACACTGCTCCTTCATGGATTCTCTATCATTAGCTGACTCCATCATACTCTTTCCGTAATAGACGGCTCTTGCACTTATTCTCGGGAACCCGAATCAAGAAAAGGCAAGAATTCGATTGAAAGACAGTAGCCACAACTACTCGTCAAAAATTAAAGTACAGCGGACAAGAAATACTGAACAACATCAAACTGAGTGATGTCAAACAAGGGAATGGCGAAAGTGCCGTAAGCCCGCTACAGCAATTATTAGGTCGACTATATCGTAAGTCCACCAAGTTGGCTGGAAGCCAGACGACTCGAGCTTGGAGATGGACCCAAAATAAATGAGTGCAAGAATAGCGTTCTATTGAGGAAAGAGGGTTGCGAGTCACTTGGGCTAGCACTCAAACGTCTACCCATCCAAGGTCGCCAAGTTGGAGGGATAGTATGTGTTCATTTCCGCATAATGTGGTGCCTCAGGATAGGAATGCCGAACGGTGTACTCCGCGCCTGCGTACAAGGGCAAATATTGTCCCGAGTAGCTGGGAGTAGGTACGGGAGTAATCTTATCAGGAGCTTGAGTGTCCACCGTGGAGGTCGTAGCTGGCGTAGTGATGACTGCGTGGTGCAAAATGCCTGGGTGGTGGTAGTATTGGGGTGCATGGACGTCGATAGGTGACGTGTGTGACAGGGCTACAAGCTGTCCAAGAGATTCAAACGCACGATATTGGGGTTGTTGGGCATATTGGTAAAGACTAGGGGCGTGTTGTGGTGTGAACATCCAGGTTGACGCGACAGACGATCGTCGGGACTCGTTGAATGCCTCGGTGTTTTGAGGTGATGAGCATTCGGTGTCGGGCTCTACATTGACGGCAGGTGCCGGGACATCGGACGACGAGCTCCAGTCATGTTGAGGAACTAGGGTAGTCGAATACGAATCATCAACAGCCTGGTGGATGACCGTGGTTTCTCTTTTCTCGACACCTTCGGCTCCATGCGGCTCGTAATATAGAGGCTGAGCGTAATTGATGGGTGGGTTTGTCAATTGAACGCTATATGGGGGCATAGCAGCCCACGCATATGATGCGCCATTGTTCTCAACATAAGTTGGATGATGGACGTTGAGCGAATCGCGTCCACTACGTATGGATTGAGAGGGCCATCCATAGACGTGTCCACCTGGGCTCTCGCCTTCCTTCGGATAACCCGAAGTCGGTGTAGCCACATAAGGTGATACGGATGAAGGAGTTGGTAGCGTTGCATGGATCGAAGAGCCTGTCATGGTCTGATGGCCCACGCTCGAGTGCCGATTATTGCCGAACGTCGTCGAGACGTGGAGGTGTGGTGGGCCAGTGCATGAAGAAGATAGCGCACATGTCGGCACGGTATCCAGTGGGACCGGTCTGCTGCTGCTCTATTCTCAAGCGCCGCAGGAATGGCGGCTGGTAGCGGCGCCATTTGATGGGGTTGAACTCCCGCTGCACTCAGCGTCCGCTCCCAGAGAGTAGGTGGAGAGTTGGTTACCGTCTCATCCACATAATTGACGTGAAGAGCACGAGTATACTTCTCAGGCCGTGTGGAAGGGAGTTGGGAGGGTGGTGCAGGTGAAACAGTGGGTAACACCACCGACCGCGTAGCTTTTTCAACAATGGGTTTGGCAGCGTTTGGAGCGTCCTGGAGATCCTTGTCCACACCTGTATTTTCCCCTAAAGCACTTGGACGTTCGCTGTCGAGACCGTCGATGATCAAGGGCATCGGTGCGGGATCCTGCTCTTGATTTCCATTACCTGTGGCGACCTCTCTATCGGAAAGAGAAACCTCAGGTGACTCGACACGGGCTCCTGTTTCAGCAATAGTCGGCAAGAGTCCAGAGGATGGTGGGTCCTCTTGCACATAAGCTGCATGGGCGACTGAAGTTGAAGAACGCAGTCTTCCGTCACGTTCGTACGGAGAAAAAGGCTGGCGGCGCCGGGATCGTCTTGTCACCATATGAGTAGGCTTTGTTGGTTCGGGCTCTGTGCGTTTGAGCGACACAATGCTGCGACGCATCGTCGACTTGTCGGAACCAGATTGGATGAGCCATATCACAACAAAAGTGTCGATTTGACGGCTATCAGCCTTTCGAAGCAGAGAGACGCTATGAACGACGATGCAATCTATGGATCGAGGTATGAGCATGTAGCTATCTTTATGAGAGAAAACATACGCACAATCACCAGCACCTTTCATCGCATCGTATGCTGCGGATGGTGGACGTAGATAGAATCGGTGCTTGATATCCCCGTCAGCGCATGGCTTGAGCTCAGTCTTGACAAAGGTGGCGTTCTTGACCATGTCGGTTCCGACCCTGGTTCCCATCGAAGATTCGGGAGTATACATAAAGGAATCCTGAAGGATATGAAATCCGCTGCCCAATTTCGATTGCCGAATACTGCTTTCACCAAAGGCGTCTATCGCCGTCTGAACCGACGCCGATGAGATTTCAATCTCGATTCGGTTCTCCACTTCGACGAATGTACCTTTTGATGTGAAGGAAACATACGAACGAGGGAGGGCGTCCATAACAAGAATGGTTTTGACCTCTTGACCTCTGTCGAGCTGCTGCTGTAAATGAGCTACTGCTGCGTCTGGTAGTGACGATGGTAGCTCTTGAACTTGGACAGCTTCTCCGAGAACCCGTAGATCGGATGGGTCGATGACGGGTAGGCGGCCAGCGGGGAGACTCTGGCTATTGATCATGACAATGCATGGTATCGTCTTCTTCGTTAGGGGAAGAAGAGAGGCAGTCTCGTCTGCCACATATATTCCTTGACGGTGGGTCGGACCACGAAGGGTTTGGTCGTCAGCCTCGGATATCATGGAGGGAAGGAGCCTTTCTCTACTGTCCAAGTGCGCCTTGGGAGTTACATGGGCGGTCGGAGCGAGCAGTTGCTGTTGATTGATGACATGACGTGCTGAAAGGCTTCCGACATTGGGTGAAGCGTCCAGGTTTGTTGGAAGGGTGGTCGACTCGGCGTCATCAGCTGCTGGATTCTGATAAGATGATGGTATCAGTAGTCTCATGAGTGGACGCAGGGACTTACCGAATCTTTCAGCTTCTTCTTCTTGGTCTGACGCCCTTTCCGCGCTGGATCCGGGCTGGGTTCGCCAACTTCCGTGCTCAGAAGCTCGTGAACATCCGGGTGCGACTTGGTGGGAACGCTTGTGGCTTTGCCATCGTCCAAAGGCGGCAAATAGCCCATATCGCTCAATTCGCGGGGTTGAGCAACGAGCGCAAACTCTGCCCGTTCGCGTCAAATCTCATAACAGACAGCAGCGAGGGCGAGATACGTACGCTTAGTATCTCTCCAAGTCTCTCGAAGGACCTGAATTCGACTTGCAATTTGCTTTGGCGTACGCTCGAGACCGGTGACAGACTTGATGTACTGAGAGACTAGCTTGTTCCTGTTGAAATTGCGATAGGCAGATGGGCGTGGACGATATGTCGTCGGATGATACTTTCGAAGGCCTTGGGAGACAACCTTGTTAGCACAGGGCCAGCGGTCACTCGAGGGAGTGAAAGATGATTACCGGCAATAAGAACGGCTTCTAACTCGTGTGGCCAAACCAGCCTCCCGTGGCTATCTAGTTTCCGGAGCTGTGGACGAGTCGAGAGAGGGACCATCTCTACGTCCTCTGGATCCTGAGGAAGAGGGTTTGGGGCTATCTCTTGACCACCTTCAGCCCTAAAACCTTCCTCCAGCTCGTCTACGTCTTCTGCACCACTGTAGCTTGCCGACTTTGACCTGGAGGTGGTAATAGCGTTTGAGACTGCCCGGATGGGCATCCACCAGGCGTTTGTACCGCATCCGGTACCATAGGTGATGCCTCCAGCTGCCTGCTCTACGTTATTTGTACTAGGAGACGGGATTCTGGGATTAGGAGGCGGAGGAGCTAGATGTGTGTGGGTCGGAGAAGGAGTCTGCGGGATTCACGGTTGGTTCATCGCGGCTACTCGAATACGATTGCCCAAGGACGTACAGGTTTGCCATGGGAGATCTGCATCGAGCGGGTTGGCGGCATGACGAGAGGAGATGGTGGAGGGCAAGAGCCTCAGTGCGAGTTTATCAACCGGGTAACACGGCAAGGGGGTAGGACTTTGGCAAAACGCAAACTCCACAAGCGCAGACGCCACGCAAAGAGTACTCAGACGCCACAGTTGTACTTGATATAAACGTCATCGTAAATCCCCCTCGCTCTGTACCCAAGTAAACTGAGAGGTGACTAGCGTATGCGGACTCAGGGGCTAGAAATCACCAGAGGTCCCAGAGCTTGACATTGTGCGGTCGCTTCGCATCTTCCAATGTCATGCTCCCGCCCCGAACAATCTCCCGGTGTTTAGCATGCGGTCAGTAGAAGCAAATGGCACTTGTCTGTCGCCAGCTATGTGGGCCTTGTCCTGCGCCGTGTTGAGTACATGTATTTGGGACCGTATGCACCGACTCGTAGGCGGGGTTCGGCGTCGTATATCCCTTGCCCTCTTCTGCTACGCGGATCCGTCGCAATCTGTACGGTACATCACCGTTGGTGCCTAGCTCCCGTGACAAATGCCTCTATCATTTTTTAACCATGCCAGTGGTCGGTTCGTTTGCAAAGCTGTCGCGCGAAGAGGGAAGCTCCGACTTGCCCGCTCGATCTCCATGTCGAAATCGGTTTTATTCAGACCAGCGCTCGGTGCCGGAGTTATAGGCCCATCATCGGGAAAGTAAGACTGCGAAACTGTCGGCTTGTCCACCAGATAAGCCCTGAGCTAATCCTCGAGCTGAAAAATAAGACTTGAGCCATCCGACGTAACCAGGATGAGAGAGCGATGCTGCAGGCCTCTGATCAAATGATAGTCGCCTCCTTTATTCAGTACACCCGACACACCTGTAGATTGCAAAATCCATGAGAATGATGTGAACATGATCGGTGTTACTCACTACACGATAATTTCAAACGAGTCCTGGCATACGCAGCCCAGGTTTGAAACAAAAAACCCAAGCAATCGGCAACTTGTCCACTATGGTGGACCATTGGCTGGAATATCCAGAGATGGCTAGACCCCGACTGTGGATGGCGGGTGATAGGTGCAGAGAACGCGCTCCAGCACTTGTTACGACAACTCCAGGGCAGAATGATCTCGATAAAGGGAGAGTACTAAATCCATTATTGGAGTAGATCCTGTGCGCTCTGCGGGATAACGTTGCCTGTTCAAATGTCAAACCTCTGTCCAGTAGTCGTAGTGGGAACCACACTTCCCAGTTCGGGAATGTATGGCGGATATGTAGACGTGCTCCACCGACAATAATAACAAATGACCTCAACCTCTACGGGAGATATTGATGGAGTAGACGCCAGTTCTAGGGCTAAGCTTGGTTTGGACGGCCATGGTTGATGAGAGCCGGAAAAGCCAGTGCGAATCGAGTCTCGTCTGCGCGTGATTAGGAGAGAACGAGCACGGTTAATGGCCACAAGAAGCTGAATCCTACAGATGTCCGAGATTGGAGGGTCCGTTGCCTTTCGAGACTCGAGTGCGAACGTGCAGATGTCGACTCTGCGTACGGCTTGGAAATGTCTGCATACAATATGCATCTAAGTCAATAGTCGAGAAGAATTCCTGCGCAAGAATTCACATACGGCAACGGGCCTGCATATATGCGAAAGGTGCTTTCGGGATTGACAAGAGATGGCGTCTCGCACCAGCTCCACGCATTCCTTGATGCTAGAATTGACGACCATGTCTTGGGGTACTTCAAAGATTTGAACTTGCCCTAGGAAATAGTGTCACTTGAACGGATCCCGTCTGGCAAATGGTTGACTTTGGTCTTGGAATGCAAGAAGGTTTATCGAGAACGGAGGCGTGTCGACTCTTGGAACTACTAGAGATGGTTTACTCAGCGTCAACTGGTTCGATTTATGGACCGACCTGCGTATCACAGTGATCAAAGGATGGAGAGCCTCCACGCATACGAACAGGAAGACGGTGCTTGTTGCTTTCATCTCTTCTTGATGTGACATCAAAGGACGATATGGATAGTCTTGCTTGCCCTTGAGCACCACGATAAAGGCCAATCTTTCCCCCTCTTTCCGACAAAGAATATTCTTACAGAAAGAGCCATCCAAAGAGCAAAACTCCAGTATGTGGGATCTCCCAGAATCTGCGGGGCGTCAGGGTGCCCCTATCGGACACCGAGCTCTTTTGAGGGGGGAGAATGGATAGCAGCTCAGGTTCTGCATCTCGAGAGACTGGTGAATGCTTCGCAAAGTAAGATACAGGACCTCTTAGCTTCTCTTGCGAAAGAAAGCGACGAAGAAGAGTATGGAAGGGAGCAACTCAAGCATGCCGAGGACGTCGGGCTATAACCCCGTCCCGAGCCAGATCAATGTCTCGCAATCTGGGACGGAGTACCCGGGACTTCTATTCTGAGCCTTTGTCGAATAGAAGAGCGGACGACGTGCCAACTGGAGACTTGAGGGCCTAGACCACCGTCTGTTGCTTGTATTGTCTCGAAAGTGACAGTGCCACTCAGCGTGTTTCGGATCCGACATTCTGGTGGATTTCCTCGTGCAAAGATCGATCCAGAAAGGAATTCGAATATTCAATCGTTCATTGCAGACCCCTGGAACTCTCCCTCTCAGCTAGGACGTGTTGGGGAGGCGGGGAACCGCCGGTCAATGGCAACCTGAGGTTGGTATTCCACAGATAGAACCCTGTCTTGGAACCAGAAAATTGGCGTGCCACTCTACAAGCTGCCAACGATTATCGGGCCCAAAACTACTCGGGAGCAGCATACTAAGTCGGCATGGGGCTTTGCCAAGCTGTCAATGTCAGCAGTTATTACTATGCGTGGATTGATGTACTCAAGTGTGCTCACCCGTGCTCAAGTTTTCGGGTGGCGTATCATTGACAAACGATAGTAGGGGCCTTGACGGCTGGAAGATACCAGAATGAGTCTCTATTGGGTATCATGCACAGAATTATCCATGTAAATATACGAGCGAAATTATATCTCCGTGGTAGTGGGTGGTGGGGTCAACGATGAATAGTAAGAGCTGGGACGCGCAACACGAGCTTTCATGCGTGCATGTAATGAATCTCAATAGTTGAATACTCAGAGTACCCTGTACACATGTGCAACTGTTATGGCGGAGTTCAAGTAGACGTTGAACGCACCGTCGTGCATATTAAGATCAGATCGGCTTCATCCCTAATGATTGAACAAGTGTCTAACTCTAGCCCAGAATCTCAACCTTATTCTTTTTTCTCTTCTTCGTACCCCCGGTCGCCGTGAACGTTCTCCAACTATCGACGCGCTCTTCGCGTCTCTCTGAAGGAAGAGTATCAGTGCGGGTAAATACAATCCATTAGATGCGACGTACCTTCCCACACCTTGTCTTCTTCTGCCTTTCGCTTTCGCGTGTTGACTTCTTCCTCCTTTTGCTGAGCCTCGCGACCTTCATTGGCCATTGCTAGCTTGACGGCTCTGATAGACAGTAACATTAGGGCATATGGTATTTGTCAGAATGCCTTGTGCATACCTTCGTCGCCTCAACTCCTCATCAATCAGCATTGCCTTGGTCTTGTCCTTGAGCTGCTGCCTCCACGGCGGGGTCAGGCCCTTTAGCTTGACATGATCGTCAGGAGTACTCGTAGGCAGGTTCATGGCACGCAGTAATTCGATTCGAGCCTGCTTGACTACCGCGTCGAGGTTTTCGCGTTTGTCCTTGTCTTGCACCTCACTCTCGGCCTGCATTAGAATAAGCACTCGGAAAGAGAGCCTAAAGTGAGGGCCCTACCTTTTTCAACAAATCGAACGCATCTTGTGCCTTTGGGTGTGTAGCCTTGTCCGGATGGATCACTAGAGGACGAGATGCATAAGTGGACATGAGTGAGTCCAAATGAATCACTTACACAAGGAAAGCTTCTTGTATTGCTTCTTTATCTCTTCTGCTGTGGCGGACGACTACACACCCCACTTGTAAGTCCTTTGGCGCCCGCGGCAAGCGGGATACTCACATCTATATCGAGGATATCGTACGGATTCAGCTTAAACGCTGCAAGAATACGGTCTACCTAGATGCCGTTGCGGACGAGGGCGGCTTAGCAAGTTGCGTGCTGGCTCGGAGAAGATTACTACAGACCTCTACGTCTCTCGACACCGCTGTCGCCTCTCTGTTCAACAGTTTATCAATATCATCATTCGCTGCGGGTGCCGAGGTTGAAGTAGACGGTTTAGACATTGAAGAGGCTGGCTTCAAAGTGCGTTTACCACTGTCGGGCCAACGCACTAGTCGACTAGACATCACAGAAAGCTTTTAACAAATCGCAAATAGATGTTGAGCTCCAAGAGGTGAACGCGAGATGGCATACAAAATTATGAATACAATAAACGAGCGACTATCCTCTAAAATCATGGGCGTTTATCCAGTTTATCGATCAAATCTCGCGCCTCGTTGATTTTACTAGCCAGATATGGTGATCCTCCTCGGTCGGGATGGTTCGCCAGCATAATTTGTCGGTGCGCATCTCGCAGTTTTGCACGGCCAGCTACGGTATCCCTACAACATCCAGTTAGCATTCCAACGATACTCTTGTCCAAATAATGGTCCTCACTTGAGTCCAAGGATTTGCATCGCCTCTGCTCGGTCCATCTTGGCCTTGAAGCCGCCTTTTGCAAGCTCCTGACCAGCCTTTTTGCCAAAGTTGAGTGCTCCGGTACGCATAGCATGTCTGACAGCAACAGCAGCGGTTATTGCGCCAATTCCGACGATGAGTGGTGTAGCCATTATTTTTCGAAGGCGGAGACAAAGATGAACGTCAACATAATACCAACCGGTTTGCAAAAGCAATGTCCCCGGTTTATCTTGGAATCATTTCAACGAGATAGATAATGCTACTATTTCAAGCCCTTTTGAACCTACAAACGAATCATGGCATCGTCAAGAGGGTCGGCGTATCCTTCCCTCGCGTCGGAGGTCGCTTGCATTCCTTTCGACTACCCGCACTCCGAAGTCCAAGCCCGCTCGCGACGTCGCGCCATCCGCTCCAGCCAAACAAGCTCTTGGCCGCGATCTCTCCAAAGCCTAGCATAACACCATTGATAAACGGAAGCAGGAGATTGATCGCAAGGCTAGAGGCAAGTGCAAGGAATCGTGCTCGCTTGGAGAGCGTGCTGTCGAAAATGGAGAGCGTGACCGACGGTGGCGCAACTGGAGGAAGCGTAAATGGAGCACCTGATGGCGTCTTTGCTCCTCTTGCTTGGGTTTGCGAAGTAGATTGGTGTTGCCCGCCCGACGATGGCGCGGGGGCTCCGGAGCTGTCGAGCGGAGGAAAGCTGATGGACGGATACGAGGACGTAAGAGATTCAGGAGCAACTTTCTCCCAACCTCTCGAATCGTCTTCTCCAGATCCAGAGGCAGCGCTTCGTTTTGGTTGCTGACTCTTGGCCGACGGTGCGAGTACCTGCTATGCGACAGATAAGTAGAACCTCACAAGTAACAGGGAAGTCTAAAGGGACTTACGTTCAATGCATCAATGCCGTGACCACCCTGATGCTCTCCCGACACCAAGTCTCTCGCGTCGACATAACTGCTCGCCATGCTCGAGCCAGTCGTATTCGGAGCCGTATAGCTCTCCACATACTCTTTGCTACTCCGTCGCTGCTCCCACTCCTCGCGCGTCTTCTCGCTCTGCGCTCGTCGCTCGGCATTTTCCGCTCTCCAGCTATTCAGACGTTCATCGTATTCTCCCTTCCACGAATCATCCGCCGCTGCTAGCTTTTCTGCTTCCAACTGCCACGCAACGGGATCCGGCACGGACAATCATCAGGTGGAACATGAAATCGGCCCCAAAAGCGAGAGAATAGCAAGGAAAGATGATATCAATAACAAGTTTCGGTACCAACGGAGAATCCTCACATCGATAGACCGCGTCGGCGCATGACTCTTGGTTTCCGCAGGTTGCTCGGTCGGGTTGGCCGTGGATTCTCTCGGAACTGCTACTGGAACATTTGGTGCAGTGAAAGATGAGCCGAGTGCAGCCTAAGCGAGGACAGAGTACGACCAGCACGCAATTTCGGCAAAGTCGACGGTGCGTTAGCACGCAAACGAGCTCTGTGGACGTTGAACAAACCTCCAACGGATCCATGATCTCCTAAACACCTAGAATATGTCTTTCTGGAGACTTTTAGTTGGCCGACCCAAAGTGGTCGAAAGCAAACGTCGAAAGCAAACCCTGTCGACTCTTCACCTTCTCGGCAATCATTACATGATTCAATTCATCGCGAATAACAGGAGAAAGCGTCATATGTAATCAATGCAGGACACATGACAATGAGGATGACAAGGAATGAGTAATGCTTTCTAGACATGAGAGCGATAGAATAGTAGTCCGATGTAGAGTCCAATGCTAGAGGAGAAGGACATTGCCTCTCCAAAAATTTCAATGAGACCAAATGGTTATGATGCAAAGAGTAGGATGAACCAAGGAAAAGGAGGTGTCATGAAATCCAGTTCGTAAAAGTGTCCGGGGGAATATATATCTCACGGCTTGCGAATATATACTGTCCCTTTTCCCGTCTTCTCCCTGACGAGTTCCCATTCGTGTTCGATGCCGTTTCTTGTCTGCATGAGTACATGCTCGAGGTACTCTCGCCCCTCTTTGGTGCCCTCGACCTCGATAAACCATTCTTGGCCCCATCGTGCACACTCGACACGCACGACCCAGATGAAGCGAACCACCTTGTGCTTCTTGGGACTTTCCGCGCCTCCCGCAGACTTTTTGGTCGAGGCAGCTACAGAGCTGGTGACCCGTAGCAAGTTCCATACTGGAGGCGAACGTGGTTCTGGCAAGAGGGGAATGGCCATGCAGAATCTGGGGTTTTCCCCGGCAAGCAGCACGTGAGAGTAATAGTGCGGGCTGGTAAGGACAAAGGTCGGGTCCCTGACTGGGATAGCATGCTTTGTGGAAAGCGGATGCAGGCCAACGCCATCTGATACCATCCACCCTCGACAATCTCCACTCTCTCCCTCAGCCGCTCCACCGTTTGACGCGTCATCCGACGTGTCAGGTACATATCCCAAGTTGCAGACGAGATCCCCTGCGCGCAGATGTGGTACGAGTGAAGCTGCATGTAGCTGCTTCATACATTCTTGAAGAATACGAGGTGTGATCTGAGAGCAGGGGACAAAGACACGGAAGATGGGTGCGCGACTTTGACGAAAGGCGAGGGAGAGCGAATGGATATCATGCGACATTGGAGAAGGTTGCTCGTACCCATTTGTCGCAGCGCTCAGTAACCCAGTCGTAGATGGGCTAAGAGCTGTGCTCGACAGTAATGCAGTAGAACGGTTGGCCGGTGATGCAGCAATGGTAGGCGAATCTGTGATCATATGCGCGCTCCTGCGATTTCGACGACGAGTATGCATTGTCATAGGCGGAGTACTACGACCCCCTGTGCCATAGCCAATCGTCGGGGGAGGCGTATACCCCTGAGAAGAACCAGGTGGTGTGTAGTGACCCGTTGGTGGTGGCGAGTAGTGACCAGTGGGAGGGGGAGTATACGCAAATGAAGGCTGGGGGAGTGGGGGTAGCAAAGCGGAGTTTTGGCTGGGTGACCTAGAGTGATGAGGAAGGCTCATGGATTGGCCTGCAAACGGAGGGATTACACCAAATTGGCCCAGTCCCTGATTGCTCATGTTGGCTGCCGCAATATTAGGTAATGCTGGCATGGCAGGCGGAGGCGGCGGCGCGACAACATCTTTGCGTCCAGGTTTCAAACTTAGTCGCTTTCGAGCCTTCGACACTGACCCCAGATCGGCAGCATTCCGTGCGTCGGAACTGATATTCGACGCCGACTTTGATTTGCTGAGTCGTATTGACGCCTTCTCCTTTGAAGTTCCGGTAACGGAACGGGCCTTGGTATGCGAGGTCGTCTCTTTGGTGGTAGGAAGCGGCAGGTAAGCCGGCACGATTGGCTGTGCAACGTCGTTGAAGTAGAAGAGGGGTGTCGGAAACACGAGGGCAGGACCGTCATCTGGTGAATCCAATAGGGAGAGGATGCTGTCATCTTCATCTGTCGAAGCAATTTGAAGCGCTTGAGAGGTGGTCCGTTGTCGGAGGTAGGCAACAAAGCGCGAGTGGGTCAGCGTCAGCGTCTGGAACCTTGATGTCGTATTCTCCCTTTCAGCGGTGTCTATTGACGACATTGAGGAATGAGATTGCGGTGCAACGACGCGGAGAGCGTGCATTGGATAGACCGACAACAAGACGCTGGCTGATTCCACTAAAACGAGTTAGTGATTGGATCGAAACCGGAATGCCTCAGCACATACAAAGTAGCTCCATATCCATCAAATCAATCTTGATAGATTTGTTTAGCCAGCTTGGGTTAGGCCAGGCAGCAGGCCGATAGTCGGGAATGACGCGCCGAAGGTATGCGTCTCTGACCTCATCGTTTGTCTCGAAGAGGGTTTCAAAGATTTTCGTCATCTCTTTGCTCACGTGGCACAGATTGAGGACTTCGTATGAGCCATGGAGATGGGTAATTATCCTGGCGACGAGTCGAGGCGTTGTCCGAAAGGCGGAGACGAAGCGACCGGGCTTGAGCGTCGATTTCAAGAGCGTATCCGGTACACGTTCCACACCTTGTTCCTCTGGCCAGGATTCTCCAATGCGCAAGCGCGAGGCGGACGAGGCAAACTGGAGGTTTGAGCCAGACGAAGAGAGATCTGTGGATGGAAATCTTGGATACGGCGCAAAAATCGAGTTTGAGGAGGAGGATGCCGTCAAGGTTAGTGGACGAGATGCACGACGCGGCCGGGTGAGCGTTGAGTCTGGCGTTATTTGTGCCGACAAGCCCGGGCCTGGGCTAGACATTGGAGAGGTAGGTCTGAATGTTGGAGGGATGGACAGCGGGTTCTGCGGCTGGAGAGCAAGCATGGTCGTGGTCGTCGCGGGGTCCAAGGCGTCGTCGACCGAATGAGCGCTACGCTACAATCCGACGGGCTTGAGTAAAACAGGGGACAGGAGGGTCAGAATGAAGGAAATATAGTCAAGACACGTTGTAAATGACAGTTTTGCACTGCGTCACTAGGTTGAGAAGAGACGGGGGCGGTGAGCGGGCTCCTAAATCCGTCGTCGACAATATGAACGAGGACCTTGTGCAGTCTGGGCCTGCGTACGCGTCTTTCGGCGTCACCAAGGGCCGGTCAGAGGCTCGAGAAATCGAGAGGGAGCGAAATGTCGGTAATGGTGGAGGTCAGGGTGCAAATGGCGAAAGCGGCAGTGGGCTGTCAACGCTTGTCGACATTATTATTATTGCCCAATTCTTATTCTTAGACCTTCTACGCGCCCTTCCTCCCCGCAGGGCCGATGTTTGACGAGACAAGTCCGCGCTAATCAAGCCTCATCAGTTTCCACAGACGGTTCAGACCGCATGATGTAAATGTGCCGTCGACTCAGGCAAATGCCGACAATAAAGCGGCCTGGGCTTGCCCAGTATTTGATAGAAAACGAACTCGACCAGCACAATACAAACCCATGCAAAAGATACAGTCAGACGGACCGTCCCCCGTCTGCACTTGGCAGCATGGTCTGCGCACTGGCATCGCCTTGGGTGTCCCTTGTGGCACAAGCGGGTGGTCCTAATGGTCTGGATGCTTTATTGAGTAGTTATCGACACACCGATAATGCGTGTAATCAAGTTCTACAGTCAACTCATGCAGTCACTCGCCCTGGGTGTATTTGGAACTCTTACCTCGAAATTCAACTCGCAATTGACCCAATCCAATCAAGTATTTGTAGCCCATATCTCAGAGTGTCACCAAGCTTCTGAGTTGAAAGTACCGACGTGGCGAATAGTGTGGCGACCGCCATGTCCACTGACAACCTTGCAGACCGCGCCTCGTCTTACTCTGAGCACCAAGGCGCCATCATCATGGGCAAATGTACAGATGCTGAGCCTGGCGCTCATGCCGGGCTGGCAGCCAAGGAGATGATGGTGGTGGAGTCCAAAAGACGGGCGTCTATACAATCTAATTGCAACAAACTAATGATATATACAAGAAAGACATGCATGATAATCGCAACATATGATACAACAGCATGGTCCTATGAGGACTCTTTGTAGGCGACAAAGCCTCGGATGATTCTGCATACGAGTGGAGAGCTATCTTCACGAACAGGAAACTTTGCTGCTCGCGCTCTCCACTCTTCTAGGTCGCTCCTGCCCGACTTTTCGTACCAGCCGATGCCAGACTCAAGAGCCGCACGTGTGTCTATACGATCCAACATATCTCTGTATAGACTATATGAGATAGAGTGTTTCATATCTGGGAATACTCACAATTCAAAGTCACGGAGCAACTGCTTGAACGTGTCCCATGTCATTGCGGGGTGCATTTTGTGAACTTGCTCCCAAAGTGCCTGTTCACATCCCAGGACGACTTGCATACACTGGCGTAGGTGCATCCCCGCATCCTTTGTAACAAAGACATCGCTCATTCGTCTCGTGGTGGTGGAAGGTGCTGCTGTCATGGGAGTCAAGACGACCTTTCCCATTCCTTCGGTAGTTTTTAGTGTCGTTGAAGTACCGCAGAGGGTTGATCTTGGTGCTAGAACTTGGATAGGTTCGTGAGAGTGAACAGACGAGAAATGCAACGACAGATAGAAAGAGAGAAGTGATGTGGGGTTGGCAGCTGAAAAGCGTGTTAGTAGTGGGAAAAGGAATTGAGAGATTACTCACAAATGAATCGGTCATCAAGCATTTGCTCCCAAGCTCGGTGTAGAATAGTATGATCCCGCGGGTCCCGTAAAGTGGTATTCATCTTGTCACTATTGGTGATAATCATTTGAAACTCTTCCTGAGATGCCAAGGAGACTCGACCCGACGAGGTGGGCATGGTCGAGACCGATTGAACCACAGAGGGGATTTGGACATTATTGTATCCAAGAGAGCGACTTCGCATGCGCGGGTTTAGAGTCTTGGGGACCATGATGCTTATTGGTCGACGACCCGATGCAGCATGAGGAGCACTGCGTACAGAATGTCCGGCAGCTGAACTTCCCGAACTGTTATCCAGGTCACCATGAGCTGATACGGAGGGCGGAGTCGAGGCCATAGATTCTGGTGCGGGTCGAAATGGGAAAATGATATCCTCCTCGACGACTTCGAGAGCCCCTCCAGGCCGAAGTACTCTATAGACCTCCTGACAACATAATGAGAGACATCAAGATGTATACCGGTGTCATTCACCTCTAACACTTGGCTCCATTTATTCTCGGGGATACCCATCGCCAATCGGCAGATTCGCACATAGTCGAACGACCCCGTCTCAAACGGAAGGCCATCCAGGCTGTCAACACGGAGAGTTAGGGGAGAGCCATGGAAAGCTATGATTGAACTGACATGTTGCCTTGTACCCATCGTATGCGGTCATGAAGCAACGCAGAGGCTGGTTGAATGTTGACGAGATCAAACCCTACAAGTAGCTCCGCATTCTAAGAGCATGATCAGTTAATGAATATGATCATTCGGATGCAATACCTTCCACAATGTGGCGGCGGCCTCGATAATGAAGGACCCACTACCGCAAGCCAGGTCGAGGACAGACTTGGGTTCTTCAGGCAAATTACACAGCGTGAGACCGTTTTCGCAAAGAGATTTTAGCGTTATACGATCACAAATGTCACTGTTACCACGGATCAGGATACTCGGTGATGGAAGAGAGGAGGGGACAATACATACCTGTCGAGCACAGCACGGTCGTAGGACAAGGGGTATGGTGCATCCTTTTTGGAGTATGTGTGTATTCGGCTGCCGCGAACAGTCTTGAGATGAGGGGTGCTGTCGATTTTGGGCACCGACGGGAGTTTTGATGGATTGGGGCTCTTGAGCATCTCAACGATGCTCCCGTACGAGTCAGATGTTGACTCTGACATTGAAAGTGCGTTTGTGAGGGCGAAATGCTGGAAAATGAGGGCGCGGAGTTCGGATTGCTCCGTCGAAATGACTTGAGTGGCCATGATAAATAGAAATATGGACTAGAGAACGAGAGTAAGATGTCGAACTGTGCTCGAGGGATGTCTGCTCAGACGAGGAGGGGAACAAGAAGTGCCAACGGGGCGTCTGCCTGAGAAATTCGAATTGTGGCTTTGGTTTTGAATCCCGGCAGCTTAAACCCCGCCTCTTTGGCGTCTACGGCTCGCTGTAGGCTCAAAATTTGAAACAATAACCAGCATACGACCATGGGAGTAAAGCAACTCTGGAAGCTCCTTTCGCCAGTCGGCAGACCTGTTTTGTAAGCAGCACAGACCGGTCAGCAAACATTGGCCTCTGATGCCCTCATTCGTAAAAGACTAGAGACGATGGAGGGAAAAGCGCTCGCCATAGACTCTAGCATTTGGATATACCAGTTTCAGGCTACCATGCGCGACAAAGAAGGCAGGGGACTCGTCAATGCGCACCTCCTCGGCTTCCTGAGACGTATCTGCAAACTTTTATTCTACGGAATCAAGCCCGTCTTTGTGTTTGATGGTGGCGCTCCAGCGCTCAAGCGGTCGACGATTGTCAGTACACCTCGTCTCGCCTAATGAATTGTGTCTTACGCCATCGTCTGGGCTAGGTTGAACGAAAACGACGCAAAGCCGGAGCTGCCATCAGTCATGCAAAGGTTGCGGAGCGTCTGCTAGCCGCTCAACTGCGAAGAGAGGCGATCGGTCACGTCAAGAAGCGACAGCCGATGTACGTGTTACAGATTGAGGGGAGTTTGCAGCATCTAACACTTCGAATCGCTAGTGCATCAACGTCCAACAACGGACCTGTATCAAGTTCGACAGGCATCTTAAACGAGGACACAGTCTACATGGAGGATCTTTTACCGCCTGTCGCACCATCTCCGAAGAAAATCAAATCACTCGAAACCAACTCTGAAACGTCAGGGCCTCCAGCATCACCCAAAAAGTATGAATGGAGGGACCATGACCCGTACAAGCTGCCTGCAGTCGACATGGCCGCCAAAATTGCCGATGCGACACGAGTAATTAACGAAGACGGTGGCTTGAACAGGGTGGATCCACGGTTGGCCACGGAAGATGAGCTTCGTCAATTCATTGAGACGATGCGACCGGAGGATTTCGATGCGACATCTCCTGCATTCCGTGAACTTCCTACAGAAGTTCAATATGAGATCATCGGAGACCTTCGACTCAAGTCCCGCCAGACTTCCCATACTCGCTTGCAAAAGATGCTCCAAAACTCTAGGACTGCCATGGACTTTTCAAAAGCTCAAATACGAGGTCTCCACGACAGGAACCGACTCACTCAGCAGCTACTAATGACCACGAACTCTATGGGGAAAGAAATCGATCATCATATCATGATTCAAGTTCGTGTAGCCGCCGAAAGGAATCGAGAGTATGTCCTGATCAAAAATACTGGTCCTGAGGGGGGCTGGAGCCTCGGGATCCAGGATCAAGGCACCAAAGAAAAGCCAATCCAAGTTCAACCAGACAGCGATGATGAGGAAGACATGGAGGAGGTGCCGATCAACGAGCCTGCGTAAGTATTTTTGCTTATCCTCCAGAGAATCGCCTAAGACAGACCTAGGCTCCATTATCCGGTTGCATTTGATCAACGACGCATGGCCCTCGCCTCAATAGGCAAATCCAACGTTTCACCTTCTACGACTAGAATATATTCTCGATACTCTACCCAAGAGTCGCGTCCCAACCCGCAGCAAGAACAAAAGCCGCTATTTGCGCCTAGCGAAGAGGGTGATAGCGACCACCTTGACGATTCTGATTCTGGCCTTGACGAGGCGATTCGGGAGTCATGGAAGGAACAAGAAGAGCGCGATCTTCAGCAAGCGCTTGTCGCATCTCGTAGAATGATCGAGATGGACGAAAAACAATCTACTGGAGCTGGTTCATCTCGTGTCATTATCTCGCAGGAAAGGTTAGATTCTTCGGATACGAGGGAAGATTTCGAATCACCTATTGTGCCGGAAGACATTTTCGGTTCTAATGAACTGGTCACACCGCGACCTACAGAGGTTGATACAGCTATAAGGAACTTGGAAGCAGAAGCCACCTTGGAGCCCGAACTACCATCATCACTCGAAGTACGCTCAGCCTTTGATGTTTCCGACTTCTTTGGCGACCCGGAAGGCCCCTCGGGTTCCCTCACCATACCGAAACCTATACAACCTCCCATCAGCACACATTCAGCTACATCTGTTGCACCTCCGGTCATCCGGCCCACGGTATTGAAGACCGAGATTCATCAGACTGTCGATACTCATACGTCTCTTGTTCAACCGTCCGCACCAATGGACATTGAGGAGGATGACGATGACGACATGGTCGAGGAAGATTTAGGCTTTGAAAGGATACGCAATTCCCACAAACCTGCAGTTGCTTCTCCTAAAATGAGACGTGGGTCGGAAAGAGAGAATCCCGCTACGTCAGAGCGCGGTCACGAGGAGGAAATGGACGAGGAGCCATATATAGGGTGGTCGAGATCACCATCCCCAGCCAATCGACAGGACAGGTTTAACATGCCCTCCGTTGTGAATGGGGGTGAAGTCGATGAGCCCGCCACAAAGAATGAGGACGATGACTGGGATGCAGCACAAGAGATGAATCCCGCAGAAGAGGAAGGCGATTTTGCACAATTTTTGTCCCAAGTCAAGGGTAGAGATCTCGATACCGTGCGGGAGGAGATCGATCAGGAAATCAAGCAGCTCAACCAGGCACGCAAGGTTCTACAGAGAGACTCTGAGGAGATTACTCAGCAAATGGTATCTCAAATTATGGTTGGTATCCGCCATCAACGTCTAGTGACATACTGACAGTTCAAAGATGCTTCTACGTCTCTTCGGGATACCCTACATAACAGCACCGATGGAAGCAGAGGCACAATGCGCGAAGCTACTCTCCTTGGGACTGGTAGAAGGCGTTATTACCGACGACTCGGACGTATTTCTTTTCGGTGCGACACGAGTATTCAAGAACATGTTCAACCAGTCCAAAACCGTCGAATGCTTTCTGGCCGCGGATCTTCAACGCGAGTTGGGCCTTGATCAAGAGAAATTAATCCGCCTGGCATACCTCCTTGGCAGTGACTACGTGGACGGCTTAGAAGGGGTCGGACCCGTCGTCGCGATGGAGATACTCAACGAGTTTGAAACAGCGGGCAAACAAGAGGATAGTTTACTTCGGTTCAAGGAGTGGTGGCGCAGAGTCCAGAGCGGGCAAGATACCGAAAATGACACTGGCACAGAGTTTCGGAAGAGATTTGTAAGGCAACCAACGTCGAATATCGAAGAGTCTCATATTTTGTAGAAGAAGAAATTCAAAAATCTGCATCTCGCCGGGGACTGGCCCAATCCGGCTGTGGTTTGTTGCTCACCAATGCATTTTCTTCGCTCAATCTTTACAGAGAGATGCATATTTACATCCGACTGTTGACGAGTCTGAGGAAGCGTTCAAATGGGGCCTTCCAGATTTGGATGCTCTTCGAACGTACGTGTACTCTGGATGCTTTCGTTCCTAGCTGAAATGTTCAAGATTTCTTCATGAGGAACTACATTGGGTCCAGGCTAAGACAGACGAGCTGCTCCTTCCTATCATACGCAAGATGGGTGAGCGTGGTAGAGTACGGTAAAGGCAGTATTGATTCTTTCGTACTGATGACCTCACAGAATCCTGTAACTGGGAGACAAGGTACTTTGACTGGGTACTTTGATCAAAGCGGAGGATTTGGTTCTGGGACTCTTGCCCCTCGCAAAAGGCAGCAGTTTGCCTCGAAACGCTTGCAACAGGTCGTGAGCGACTACAGGAAGAAGCAGGATCGAAGTGTTTCAACATCTGACTCGGAAGTGGCCCTACACAAGCAGAATTTGGCCAATCTTCCAAAACCCCGGGGTGGCAAAAGAACGAAATCAGATGCCACTATAGGAAGGCCTCAAAAGAGGAGAAGGACAATCAGGGCTGAGGATCATGAAGATGTTGCGACCGAGAGTGGAGGTGACGATGGGCATATGGACAAAGGAGTGAGTGCACCCATCCCAGATCGCCCCCTTGCCGTCACTTTGAGGACAAGGAAAGGAAAGGCCAGGATTCTAGAAGATAGCGATGCCTCTTCGTAGCTCCTCGTATCGTTGGATCTCGATGCGTCTGTAGCTGGCAATCAAGGCTCCTCATGATACGTCACATGTTGCAAGAGGGATGTCGAAACTTCGCTGTTCATGAGCAGCATAGAGGAAAGCGACAAATAGGTCTGAACCCAACCTGGGCGTCGAGTTACAACAAGCGATGGATGAGTTCTAGACTTCTCCAAGGAATCAATGGAGATTGTAAATCATGTCCGATAGATCGGCCTATTTTCTCGATCTGTAACTCCAGCTTTCCGCTCGGGAGGACGATAGATTCTCCGGCAACCATGACTTGTGTTGTGCAACCAGATATACATTCTCGTGCTCGAAAATACACGTGAGAACGGCGGAAAGGACTATCTGAGCCGGGTGTTAGAATGTGTGGACCAACGCCTCAAACGTATCGCTCTGCAACCCATACTGATTTCAACCCAGGAATGCATCGATTATCCTGCTGGAGATTTCCATCCACCTATCCCTCGAAGGAGACAACCTATGCTTGTTCTTCATCTCTTGAAAATAACGCTCATGAAGACATCATATATTTACTTGATCCATACACGTGACTTTCAGATGTTCTCCAAGCTGTGCGTGCCACAAGAGTACGACGCACAGCACTTGCTCTCTTACTGCCCGAGGCAATAAAGGCTCGCATCCTTCTTTGATCATTTCAAGGTCTTTATTTCATGGTATTGTTTTTATGGCTCCCCATCAGCGGAATACTGAGGTATATATCTCTATAGCCATTACGTCCTTGACTCTTGTGCCAGGCTTCTACCAGGCTGGACCGCCGGAGCAGAATAAGGACCAGATGAACGGATCATCAGGGCACTATCCCCGACCGAGAACATCCCGTTAATGCTATAAAGACAGGTTCTCATGCGACCTGTCCTTACTCACAAGCGCCCCAACATGTCCTGTGGCGACGGAACAGCCCTTTACGGAGTACACTTACTGACGCAGAATCTCGGGTTGCACTCATATAGTTGTTAGACGAGGACGATTACAACGTCAGTGCCAACAACATATCCGACAGTTACATCGGTGAGGCCGTTTGGTAAGAAACGAAGATGCATACTATGTAAATTTATACATATTTCATGAACTACAAGTATCTGGACTCGGACCAGTTGCTTATCTATAGTGAACAATCAATGCGTTTCAAGTACGGTCGGCACTGTAGTAGTGTATGTTGATTATGAGATCTGCCCAAGGACCTTAATATCATCAGCTGAAAGGGATACATAGACTTCACTGGATTCCAGTTGACTACTACCGTCACCAGCACCGTTCCAGTGGATACAGCGGTCGTCATGTCGTTCCTACAGCTACGACGACCATCCCTTGCTCAAAGAGAGACATTTTTGACGTTACGGAAGAAGAAATTTATAAACGAGGTACCGCGGTGCCCAGTTTAAAGATCACATCAAGGCAAGCTTCGCTATATGCGCCTTGCTTACGTCCTCCGTGTTTCTTCTCTAGATAAAGGTGTACTGCTTGTTTTGATGACGCAATATGAGTGAGTGGAAAGTCTTGCGATAGACCCGAACATATCCTGGCTTGCTACAGAATAAATCAGAGAGTCTGGTATGTCGATTTTAAGGGCATTGAACCGTTGAATTCATGAATCAGGGAGATATTAACAGGGATTAAGAAGGTTTCATATAACACTTGGAATATCAAACAATGCACGCGATCTTGGAATTAAAGAGCAAGACGAGAGGCTCGCAAGGGGTAGTGGCGAGAGGCTCGAAGCCTTCGAGATCCTTGGCTACTGTTTCCTCGCCACACAGTGTCGATGGGCGGCTCACTTTTGTGTCAAGCGCAATAATTTCTAACTCAGCTCATGATCATATGTTAAAATTCACTGGTAATTCTTTCGAATATGACTGGATGAAAGGTATCATATCAATAAACCGTGAGGTTATCGACAATACATATGCGCTCAGCAGTTTGTCTGAGTGAGAAGACCGAGGCGCCAGGGGAGAGAGTTGTAGTCCCCGCTCGATCCAGGTGCAAGACCCTGGTAGAGGTAGCGTATGCAGCCACTGATGCTCATCGTCTGATCGACCTGGGTGCGAATTGCTTCACCATGTGAGATATCGTTGGTCCAGCGGCCACCAGGGAAGTTCACATTGTTCTTGCCAGCGAAGGGATTTGCCTCGGTAGCCGCAAGTGCGGTCCACGAGCCAGTAAGGCTGGAAGACCTCCAAGAGCGGAAGTAGCGACCATTGCTGCCGATGCATTCGACAATGAGCAAGTATTGATTTCCGACTTTGTAGACGTTGGATGCCTCGAACAGATCGTTTTTGTTTGGTGCCGACAGAGCAATAACGGTGTTGCCCATACCGTTGGGGAAGTTGGCCAAGGTAGTCTGCGAGCGGTACAGATGTCCATTGTCGTCGGACGAGAACAGGTAGCAGTTTGCAGAATCGCAAATGACCCACACTGAATGAAAGGATCCAGTTAGTCAGGGTCAAGGATGAGACAGAATACGCACTGTCTACCCAGTAGCCATTGCCAATGTTCTGAGTGATGATGCTTGGGGTGCCACTGTAGAAGTTCCTGCCCGCAGTCCAGCCAGATGGGTTGCTGATATCCGAGTTGGTCGAGTACGCAGCATTGCCGTTCTGGTAAATGAGGTACCACCTGTTCTGGGGTGCGAAGAAGAAGACCTGGGGAGCCGCGCGGTAACCAGAGCCGATGGGAGTCTGGTCGAGGTAGTAGAATGTGGCCGAGTTGGCCTGGTTGAAGTCGGTAAAGCTGAAGTAGACGAGATTGTAGCCGGAGGCGACGGCTGTGCTGGCGAATACGTGGTATTTTCCATTGTAATAGACGATGGAAGGGTCCTTGATACCCTTGATGTTGCGCGAGTCGTTCTTTGGGCCTACGAGGGCACCACTCGAGTTCCACCTAAAGCTGGAAGGGAGATTCGTGCCGCCAGTCTGCGTTGGAGGTTGACTGCTCGATGATGTCGGGGGGCGAGTACTCGACGTCGGTGGGTTGCCGGAGCCCTTGGACATCTTAGCATGTTGTCTCGCATTTCACTTTGAATCTACCTTTTGGCATTGGCTGTACCAGTCATTGATGTAGACGCAGGTAAGTCCAGAATCGCAGGCTGCATTCGATCAGCTATCACATTTCGACAAGCTACTAGAACCCACTTTTGCTTCCTGTGTAACCGATACCATTACACTGATCAATAACGCGTCAGGTATAAATCCAAGTGAGCTATTAGACTAGAAACGTACCTGACCCCATTCTGGTACACCGAGGACGACTGAGACTTGGGAAACGAGCGTGGCAAGGAAGGTAAGTGCGATCGAGGTCTTCATGGTTGACAGGATCACAGGTCTTTGAGGTTGCAGCTGCCCCCTCCTTTATATGAATCCAGCTGAATGTAAGGCTTTGGTATATGCGGGCGGAGATATCATGGGCTTGAGTCGCTGATGGTTCACCAATTGTTTCCCGTAGTGCTATTGAACGGTTCGGCAGTCCCGTATGGACGGTTGGAAACGCTATGATCCGCCAGGACTCGTCGTGAATGGTGAGCCAGGGCGAAATGAATTGTATGTCTAGAGGACATGCCCCCGCGGCTGACCTCCGTCGTTGAGCCTGTACCGGCCCGATACACCAGATCACTGGTTCAGACTTCGACTGGCGCGGCAACGACTTCTATTGGACACCCTGGCTTCTCTTCGGGAGTCCTGGGAATCTCGAAACCAGATTCAAATGGAAGATATGCCCCATACTTGAGACTCATAATCCTTAGAATCACGACTATGAGCACGTTTATCTAGTGAATCCGTCGATTAGAGGAGCTATCGAGGAGACAATTGGTGTGGTGCATTGATCGTTTGTTGACTGACGGCGAAATCAAAGTACGATTATCGGCAACAAACCCCTCGTTGTTGACGCCTGAAATGAATTGTCGGATGCTGTCTCAAGCTGTCAGTCCCCATCATTACTGTATTGGCCAAGTTGCCCACACTTCTCAAACATCCGTGGTGATGATAGTTTAGCCACGACGTGCATATGAGCCGTCACCTGATTGAATCTTGGTTGGTGTTGGAGCGGGCTACAGGACTCTGAACGTTCTGCCCCAATCGGAGTTCTGAGGTGCCAGGAGCATTCGTCGGTTCTTTAGGGCAAACATATAGGTGCCGTCTCGTAAGCTATCTGATGGAACTTGACAAGTCGCTCAACCGAACCAACCCTCCTAGTATCGCCGGTGAGACCGTGATCAAGCCATTGATTTAGATCAAGAAGATGGGTGCGAAACACCTAACCGAGATCATGTGGGTTATTGGCCGTTGTAAGGAATCCGACCGAATGGCCGGACGAGCGAAAGACCTCCGCACGGACTACGTGCGGTAAGATTTCGCTATCACGGTTCTGGCGGTCCATAGAGAAGTTGAGTGTTGTTGAATAATCTGCTGTTATACGGGCCGCACGCCGTCTAAAATAATCTTGGCAGAGACCCCAACCGTAGAGACACCAGATGCCGGAAAGCAGTACATAGTTCCTTCCCCTTTCCATGTGGTTATTGCCATGTGAACGTGCTGGGCGACAGGACCTCGTACGTCGTCAAAACGGTCCAAGATAATCCAAGCATAGCATGATCTAGAGCAACTAGGCGCCGTTTGAGTGCTAGTTATTTATCCATCTTGATGACACGAGACTTACGGACCATACAATATGTCCAGGATAAGTGGGGAGAAAGCCGCGAACGGGCATTGTCTAGATGTTCTTTTATGCGACTCCAATAAAAAATCAGCTCTCAAAAGGTTCGTGGATCAAGCCGGTGTAGAATGCACACATCTGAATGACACACACTGTATGCTATCGAATCCACGAGCCGGGCCGTTTTCACGAGATCCAGATCTGACTATTATCACCGCCAGGCATTGATATACGAATGAGCGAAGACGGTATCATATCAAACATTGCAAAGCTAAAGAAAGTACGCTTCCACTCAGCAGTTGGTCTGTGTAAGGAGACCGAGGCGCCAGGGGAGAGAGTTGTAATCACCACTCGATCCAGGTGCAAGACCCTGGTAGAGGTAGCGCATACCACAGCCATTAAGGCTCATGGTCTGGTCGACTTGGTCACGGATCGCTTCACCGTGTGAAATGTCGTTGGTCCAGCGACCACCAGGGAAGTCCACATTGTTCTTGCCAGCGAATGGAGTAGATTCGGTGGCTGCGAGCGTGGTCCACGAGCCAGTAAGACTGGAGGACTTCCACGAGCGGAAGTAGCGACCATTGCTGCCGATGCACTCGACAATGAGCAAGTATTGGTTTCCGACTTTGTAGACGTTGGATGCCTCGAACAGATCGTTTTTGTTTGGTGCCGACAGAGCAATAACGGTGTTGCCCATACCATTGGGGAAGTTGGCCAATGTAGTCTGCGAGCGGTACAGATGTCCATTGTCGTCGGACGAGAACAGGTAGCAGTTTGCAGAATCGCAAATGACCCACACTGAATGAAAGGATCCAGTTAGTCAGGGTCAAGGATGAGACAGAATACGCACTGTCTACCCAGTAGCCATTGCCAATGTTCTGAGTGATGATGCTTGGGGTGCCACTGTAGAAGTTCTTGCCTGCAGTCCAGCCAGATGGATTGCTGATGTCCGAGTTGGTCGAATATGCAGCATTACCGTTCTGATAAACGAGGTACCACTTGTTCTGGGGTGCGAAGAAGAAGACCTGGGGAGCCGCGCGGTAACCAGAACCGATGGGAGTCTGGTCGAGGTAGTAGAATGTGGCCGAGTTGGCCTGGCTGAAGTCGCTAAAGCTGAAGTAGACGAGATTGTAGCCGGAGGCAACGGCCGTGCTGGCAAACACATGGTACTTGCCACCATAGTAAACGATGGAAGGGTCCTTGATACCCTTGATGTTGCGCGAGTCGTTTTTCGGGCTTACGAGGGCACCACTGGAGCTCCATCTGAAACTAGATGGAAGGGTCGCAGTGGTTCCAGACGAGGTAGTCGTCGACGTGGGAGTATTCGTGCTTGAAGTCGGGGATTGGGTGGATGAAGACCTAGTGCTGGATGAAGACGACGTGGACCTCGTGCTGGATGAAGACATAGTTGTTGTGACCTTTGGGAACATCAGCATCTCTCTCTCTCTCTCGTAATGTAGCTGAAACTACCCTCTGGCACTGGCTGTACCAATCATTGATATAGACGCAGGTGAGGCCGGAGTCACAAGCTATATTCGATTAGCCATTACACTTTAACAAGTGTCGAGGACTTGCTTTTGCTTCCAGTATAGTTGATACCGTCACACTAGAGAGCATGGTCAGTGGTCGATTTACACGGCATAAAAGATTAGGAGCGCACTTGATACCATTCGGGAACACCGAGTACGACGGATATCTGGGAAACGAGTGTGGCGAGGAAAGCGAGCGCGACCGCGGTTTTCATGGCGGAATGAAGGGATCACAAGCCAAAGTTTCGAAGGCTACGACTGCCCTCTTTTATGTAACTCCTACTCCATGCAACGGGTCTTTATTAGGGCCGGAGATATTATGGGGTTGAGTCGCTGATGGTTCACCGGATGCATCGTGAAAGACCTATTGAGCAGTTGCGCAGCGCATATGGGAATCCGAGCCAAGGATAATCCGTCAGTATTCGTCTTGATACAGAAGCGAGGAGATGATGTATAGTTCGCGGAGGCCAGGGCCCCGCAGCTGACCTCCGTAGCTACGCGCATACCGGGCCGACTTGTCAGGATCCTAAATCAGCCCAAATTGGACTCATTCGAGCGTATGATTGAACCTACCGCTCGTTTCTGTCAGAGGCCCAAACCACCGTGAACCCTGAGGCAAGACAGGCCTGCCAAGTCGTTTCCATCGATCAAAGACGCTCATTGGCGTCAACAACGGGACCTATGATGGTTTGAGAAGCCTTGAGAAGATATTTGATGTCGTTTCATATTGTTTACCTACTGACGGAGAAACCGAATTGCAATTGTCGGCGGCGACCTCTTCGTCGTTCACCCCGAACATAATCATCGGATGAAGTCTCGAGCCGTCAAAATGGCGCTCAGCTGCCCATATGCGATAGGACGATATAAGTATGGCATGGATGATGTAGAACTTTCAGTCCATTTTTCGCCACAAATACCTTACATAGAGCCAACTCAGGAGTTATTGTCACCATCAAGCCGTAGATCGCTCATCTATTGAACACAGAGGTGCAGAGGGTATAGTTGCGTCTCATATCAAACCCCAGAGTGTTCTCCTTCTCTTAGTTCTTCCTGATCAATATGCATCACAAAAGTGTCTGAGAAGCGAGTGAGAGATGAATAAATAAAGGTATCTTATCATCATTTGCAGATGATAGACTACATGTGCCCTTAGCAGTTTGTCTGGGTGAGGAGACCGAGGCGCCAGGGGAGAGAGTTGTAGTCCCCGCTCGATCCAGGTGCAAGACCCTGGTAGAGATAGCGTATGCAGCCGCTGATGCTCATCGTCTGATCGACCTGGCTGCGAATTGCTTCACCATGTGAGATATCGTTGGTCCAGCGGCCACCAGGGAAGTCCACATTGTTCTTGCCAGCGAAGGGATTCGACTCGGTAGCCGCGAGTGCGGTCCACGAGCCAGTAAGGCTGGAGGACTTCCAAGAGCGGAAGTAGCGACCATTGCTGCCGATGCACTCGACAATGAGCAAGTACTGATTACCGACTTTGTAGACGTTGGATGCCTCGAACAGATCGTTTTTGTTTGGTGCCGACAGAGCAATAACGGTGTTGCCCATACCGTTGGGGAAGTTGGCCAAGGTAGTCTGCGAGCGGTACAGATGTCCATTGTCGTCGGACGAGAACAGGTAGCAGTTTGCAGAGTCGCAAATGACCCACACTTGACGTGTCATGTTAGTATATTGAATGAGCAAGAGGGACGCTACGCACTGTCTACCCAGTAGCCATTGCCAATGTTCTGAGTGATGATGCTTGGGGTGCCACTGAAGAAGTTCTTGCCCGCAGTCCAACCAGAGGGGTTGCTGATATCCGAGTTGGTCGAGTACGCAGCATTGCCGTTCTGGTAAATGAGGTACCACTTGTTCTGGGGTGCGAAGAAGAAGACCTGGGGAGCCGCGCGGTAACCAGAGCCGATGGGTGTTTGGTCTAGGTAGTAGAATGTGGCAGAGTTGGCCTGGCTGAAGTCGCTAAAGCTGAAGTAGACGAGATTGTAGCCGGAGGCGACGGCTGTGCTGGCGAATACGTGGTATTTTCCATTGTAATAGACGATGGAAGGGTCCTTGATACCCTTGATGTTGCGTGAGTCGTTCTTTGGGCTCACAAGGGCGCCGCTCGAGCTCCACTTGAAGCTGGATGGGAGGGTGGAGGTTCCGCCAGTGGAACTGCTCGTCGACGTTGGAGGTCGAGAGCTCGAGGTTGATGTAGGGGGCCTGGTGCTACTGCTTTGACCACCACCAGAGCCTGGAAGGCACTGGGAATACCAATCTATAATACGTGTTAGAGGGCCAAAAGTAACTCAGATAGTACACCGTACCATTCGAATACGTGCAAACACCCTGGTCACAGGTCGTGGAACCTGTGTAGCCAATCTAGAGCAGGCAAGGCATTAGAAGGTGCATAAAAGCAATAAGAGGCACATACACCACCGCACTGACCGTAGAGCGGTACCCCTGCTACAGCCGTGAGGGCGCAAGACGCAACAAGGAGGATAGCTGCACGAAGCATTGTGTCGCGACGGATGAGAGGACGAGGCGGTAGCGGGGTACCTTGCCTTATATGCATTCGCATGTTAAAATACACCGGTTTTTTTTTAGGACGGAAATATTGTGGAGTGGAGTCGCTAGTAGTTCACTAGGTGCGATTTGCAACGTGATTGAGCGGTTCGGCGGTACGCGTGGGTGGTTGGAAACGGGATGATTCGTGGAGGGCAACCAGTAGCGGCTGACCTCCGTAGCTATTACCGTACCGGGCCGATCGACTAGGCCCAATCCGCCTCCGATTCAAGTACCGCAGTGCCGACCATTATTGGATACTCTGGCCGTTCCTCGGAGTCTGTGAAACAAGAGACGATTCCAAGCGGCTAGCAGTGCATGGTTGAGTCGGTACAACGCTTAGGGGAGCGCGTAACCTTGTGTGTCCATGTCAACAGTAGCATACGGATTCGATTGGAGAGCCCTTGAAACGATGTTCGAGAGTATTTTGTTGTCGCTTGCTGACCAACGGAGAATTAGTGAATGATTATCGGCACCAGATTTTTGGTTGCCAACACCGGAACAGAGTATTCGGATGTTGCCCGTAACTCTACTTCGCGTCGTGAGACGTAATCATTTCAAATCGACATGCATTGCGAACTCACCGACTCCTTCCCAAACCACCGACGCAGCGATCACTTGGCCTCCACTTGTCCATGTCAGCACCCGATCGAAGCATGATTAGTGTTAGAGTCGGAAACGGAAGATGAGGCGTGCCTATCGGCAGCTAGGTTAGGTAGTTTGGTGACGCTTACAAGTCACATCTAGTAATATCCATGTGATTATAAATGGACATAACTCCTGTAGTTCATCTACAATGAAATGCAACTGGCCACGACCGGGCCGTGGGTTTGAGGTTCTCGAATGAAAAGTCAATTTCTGCACATTTCCTAAGGACCCCGACGAGGATCCGACAAGTAAAAGAATGCCGGCTCGGTTCCCCGGAAGGTATTTCGGTAGGCTCGTAAAGCAATTACGATGCTGCGGATGGATGTAAATCCAAAAGGTCATGATCTTCGTTATCAAAAAGCTCTGTGTTCAGCATCAAAGGAAGTTTCTCTTCTCCTCAAATCGGAAGTGCTGCCGTAAGAAGGGCTCGGAATGTTGTGGGCCGTCCAAGCAGTGTCCAAGCAGAGAGAGAAAAAGTCTGCCATCATTTCATGGTATCACGCCTAGTAAGTCCCAACATCAATCTGCCAATAGCCTTTCACGCGGGTTCGTGGTTGGGAGAAAGTGACAGCAAACAAACCTCTGCGGTAATGCGCGAACACGATGCAACCCACGGCTATAATGATCCTAAATCGATTACATTGCACTTACATCTGTCCTCGCTATGTATGCACCCAACAACTTGGTCCCGACTTCCACATGGACTTTCTGAGTGATGCCCGGCAGGATGTTTACCGGCCCTCCATCTTCGAACTAATCGCTCAGGAGCAACTCCGAGATCTACTCCAACCAGCTGTAAAATACGTCTTGGCAGTACGTCCTCCCCGGTTGTTGTTCCATTTGAATCACATGTAGACTGACACTGCGGCGTTTTAGCACTTTGCACAACGGTATCCGCGATATCTTATACGAATATTTAATAAGCATGAGGAACTATACGCGTTGATTATGTTGGTGGTTGAGCGACATTATTTGAAGCTGCACAGTGAGTACATTGTGTCGGGTCGCATAGAGTCTGGGAGTCTAAAATGGCCATAATATTGTAGATGCATCATTTGCGGAAAACTTTTACGGTCTTACTCGACGTCGACGCCCCAAGTACGAGACGGAGAAGGCGAACTTGGCAGTTGGCAGGGCCTCTGAGCCGTCCAAGCTCAATGACCGGGATATTATGAGATCTCTCTTATTCCTTGTATGCTACCTAACCTTTCCAAGTGTTCATTTGCTAACAGCTCCGTTAGGTTGGCATACCTTACGTGCGAGCCAAGGCTCATGACTACTTCGAGTCCATTGGCGGTGGCATATCGTCTGACATTATGGATAATTCAACTCAGTCATCGAGCACACAGGTACGGGTTGTTCTCAGGGTGCGACTATGGCTCATAGCGGATAGACAAGGCAGCAAAAGTTACAAAGCATTTTCAAGCGCTTGTATCCGATCATCAACGCAGCATTCGAGCTCTGGATTATGACATATAACGTCGCTTACCTGTTTGAAAAGACGCCATATTACCGTCCTTGGTTGGCCTGGATGGGACTTGACCTCCGGCGTGCGGGCCCCGTTCCAGTGGTGCGCTTCTGTTCTATCTCTCGTCCATAACATGAACTGACCGCATCCAAGATGGAAGCAACTGTGAAACAATATGGCTCGCTGAGAGAACGACTGAGCTCAATGCTGCGTTCGTCCCCTCGTTTCATGCTCGACTCGCTCAAGATACTACTCCCATTGAGCATATTTTTCGTCAAGTTCCTCGAATGGTGGTACTCGCCTTCCTCCCCTGCGCGTGCACTCTCCGCTGCGCCCACGGGACCAGCACTTCCCCCTCCACGCATGCTTCATCCCCATCCAAAGGGTCTTTATGTTGACCCGACGAATTACGGGCAGTGCCCCATCTGTCGGAACCAAATCACAAACCCAACAGTACTGCCGACGGGATACGTGTTTTGCTATCGATGCATTCACCCTCGGATTGAGGAGAGTGGACGATGTCCAGTGACTCTTCATCCAGTCGAACTCGAACAACTTCGCAAGATTATGGGGTAAAGAAGTGAAGGATTGTGGATAAAATACATCCTTGCATAGGTTTACGCGTGCGCTTCCCATGCTAATAACATGTCAACCCATTACAAGTCGTCCTGGGTATTAGATACCCATCATAAGCGGCGGCTTGCCCGAATTCTGCCATTCAACAAAGTCCCGTCTCGCCGAATGCATGAGTAGGACGAATGCCTGACCTTCTGGACTGTATCTACCCTTCTGATTCCAATATGTAACGTTGACGACGTTCTGGAGTGTACCGTCCCATTTGATCTGAGATTGGACATACTCGAATGCGCGGTCGGCGCGGGGGATCAACGTGAGGTTGCCACTTTGCACTGCGAAACGATATGTCGCGGACGCAAGAAGGGCTGTAAAGGAGGAATCATGGAATGTGTAATTAGCCTTGCGTGTTGGGTGATTGGAGAATGCACCATTGCGATGCTACACAGTGTCAGTTGAGATCCCAATCGGTAGCTAGGTGTCGGGGTTGTGGAGAAGCAGATCGAAGGGGAATAGGGGACAGGATGCACTCACCTGATACTTCCATGTCGCGGTGAGGAGCTCACTAGTCCATCCATAGAGTTCCCATAAATGGCTATGGAGTGCGTGTGCAAAGTCTGATTTGACTATCGTTTGCAGGACGCGAACGGCACCGGCCGCGGTCCATCCAATCCCTGTGAAGGAGTCAGGAGAGCTCACAGTGCGCTACAATATAGAAATGAAGGTGAAAATGAGGACGAAGAATACCTGTTCCCCACAGACTTGGCTCTTGCCACCTGCCTAGAACAATATGTCGCCACAACCCGGATCTTGGATCCCTCAATACATCCCTATACAGTCCAATTTGACGCTTTGCTTCGAGAAGAAGCGTGTAATTGCGCTCTATCGCGCCCATGTACGCAATGAATGGAGGACCCATATAAATAAAGTCGTTCCAGAGCTGAACTTCCTCAACGCGGTGGCTGATGGCACCACTATGGGATCGTGGTGCATGAGCAAGGAGAAAGACGAGCTGATCGGCCACAGCAGAGGCGTATGTTCGATTATTGAGGGCCCGACCAGTGAGTAACACGGCAATGCCCATGCCTATGACCATCAGATTTGAGCGATATCACGTTAGGAATCTCAAATACGCACTCGCTGGATCTCCGGTAGCGCCATCCTCCATGAGGGGCAACATCTTGGGCGGCCGCGTCGCCAAAACGTGCCTCGAAATCGCCACAATAGGGGAATTGGTCGCCAAAACCCTTCCAGGAGGAAATGGGTTATCGCCATACACGGATATGTCAGAATTCTCGAGTTCCAGGAGCGCCTGAGTGGCACAACCGAGCTCCCAGCTAAAAGGAGTTGTAATTAAATAGATCCCCTAAAGACATACTCTTACCTCTTCTTGCTAAAGTCGAGCATTCTGGCGCGCACGTTGCCAACAGTATGATCATCGAGGCCTGTAATCTTCTTTGTGCGTACGACTAGCGCCGATGTTACACTAATAATTACTAGAAGTAGAACCAGGGCCCGAATCATGGCTGCAAACATCAAGGTGCTGGCCAACAGCCAGCCCGCAGGTGCGGGGTTAGGGAGGAGAGGGAGAACGACGAGGACAAGTCAACGGGTACTTCTATAAGAGTGAAATAGGTGCCCGAGAAAAGTCTTGGAAATGACGAATGTGCCAGCGGAGTAGACGCCACATGGATCATTCTCGACTTATCCTCGTCAGCATTCTCAGCCTACAGAAGCAAATGTTACATTTCCATAATGTATATGTCAACCGAAAACAGAGGCAGATGTTGTACAATTCCAGATCCTTGGAATGAATGACGTACACGTAATGGGCAGGTACTGCTGTGAAGCGAGCCAGTTAGACCAAGGTGCCAAGGATAGGCTGTCCACCTCCAGACTCCCAGGTGCCATAGTCTCGCCTCGCGGCCTGCATGAGCAGTACAAACGCCTGGGCTTGCGCACTCTTCTCCGCTTGGGGGAAATTCCAATTGGTACCATTCACAACTTGATGAAGCTCTCCATCCCCGTCGATATGTGCCGCGACATAATCGGCTGCAGAGTCCGCGCGGGCAATGTGAGTCTTGTTTCCATCAAGCACGGCGAGGCGGTATGTGGCCGACGCGAGAAGCGCGGTCCAAGAGGAATCAATAAAGTCCTCGTTTAGAGGGTGGTTGAATAACGCCCCAGAGGGTGTCTACAGGCTCGTCAGCGTTGAATTCGGAAAGAGAAGGCCAACTAACCTGGTATTGCCAGCATGCACCAACGAGCTCACGTGTCCATTCTACCATCTCTTTGGTATCCTGTGCCAACTGGCTGGCAAATCGAGACTTTGCCATGGTTTGGGCGATCCGTACCATCCCAGCCGCTGCCAATCCCATCCCTGCAAGTACATTAACAACGGGGATGCCCGATGTGTATTTACTTGCCTGTGCCCCAAAATGATGTATCGTTCCAGCTACCAAGAACTATATGTCTCCATAATTTTGTCTCCGAGTCCCGAAGTGCATCACGGTAGAATCCTGCCTGTCGCTTCGCCTCTTGCAGCTCGGTCACGTTTTCGTTCATGGCACCGTGGAAGGCAATAAAAGGTAGAGCCATGTACACAAAGTCGCTCCACTGGATGAAATGATCAACGTCTTATCCAATCATAAGAGTCAGACGAGCGTACCAGCTGGACTTGATCTGCACGCGTGCTGATTGCCCCACTCGGCGCTCGTGGTGCCTCCTCTAGCAAGAAATGGAGCTGTGCTGCTGCTGCCTGGGCGTATTCTGGATCGTTTCGCCGCGCGCGGGAAGCTAGCATGACCGCCACTCCCAGGCCTATTTTCAGAAGCTGTCAGTTCCCAGCCTTTCCATGAAAAGCTCGCTTATATAAGAGAGAAAGACGATGGTCATGAATAGGAAACTCACTCGCTGGATCACCGGCGGATCCATCCGCTGCGAGAGGCTGTATACTCGGTGGTCTGCTCGACATGACGGCATTGGCAATCTGGACTACAGTAGAGTTTGGAGACAAGTTACGGGTCTGAGTGTGCGTGGTATTGAACGGGTCGCGGCCGAATACGGAGAGATCTGCTTCCTCGAGTTCCAGAAGGGATATCGAAGCTAACCCGAGTTCCCAGCTAGCAGAATCATCATCAGATGGATAGTTTGGCGGTGAATGTGGGAGATATGAGGAACTCAAATTTAACAGGACGTACGTGCTATTCATCAAGTCAAGCATATTCGCGCGAACCTTTGCTACAGTTATGTTGTCCAACTTGAGGTGGGGGGTATCTACATCTCGCCCTGCGAGTGCGTCGCTCTGAAATTCTCGCCTATCGAGGTGAATCGGCGACGCAAGAGTCACCAAAGTTGCCAAAGCGAGCGCAAATAAGCTGTGAAGAAGAGAAATCATTTGTTCGCAGGCACGTTTACATGTGCTGGCTTGAGCCAGATGCGTAAAGGAGGAGTCAAGGCTTGGAGGTCTTGTGATGTGTCCACCGTCTGATTATGAGTCCTCACACGCATGAATTGAATGACGTTCACAAAGTTTCTTTGAGTGATCGAGCTCTCGGCCACTTTGGCCGCAAAAAGTTGGGGCGTTGGCCGGTCGCCGAATGCGCGCTGAGTATTGCGGGCTAATGCAAACGATGCATTGTAAATGTTGAGAGTATCGAGGGGTGAGATTTCAGGTTGCACCCATTTGTTATGGAGCATCGCAACGAGAGGAATGCGGCCATCAGGAGCAAAGAGGCGCCAAGTTACAGTGACGATGTCTTCACATGGGCGTTACGACGAGTTATACTGCGTTGAAGATGGCTTGGCAAGCGGAGACTCGAAGCTGCTACGGCAGTGGTAGGAGTCAACTGTTTTCGAGTGACTGCTCCTTGTCTCTTACTACCAATGACCACATTGTTCAGATCCTATACGCCTGATTAGAAATTCTGAGCTCATTGTGATTTTGGCCAATGGTTAATATCCCAATTCCCGATATCTCACAACGACAAGTAATGTCTATCAAGCAATCATTCTGGTCCCCAGCACCAAACTTTGCTTGCTTTGATGAGGAAATTACCAAAACCTATTCAACTTGCACAATTTCCAGAGTCGTCCATCTCAAGGAGAAATCTGCTTATTACACAATTTAGCCGGAGGGGGGCCTTCTCTTCTCTGTCTGAGCCGCTCCATCCTGTACAATCCTGTCCGTCCCCAATCTCGATAGACCAAAGCCTGCTCACACATCTAGATAGGCGCGCGATGCACCGCCAAAATGCAACCCTTTATGGGCTCAAGGAATCCCAAAGGCGTGCGCGCGCACAAATATTATTTGCTCACCACGCTTCGATATAGATTTGAAATATGTGAACCTGAGACAGAGGGCCGTCCTCAAGATCTGTCACCACATGGGGCCATATCTCGCTCGGAACCGTCTTATCCACCAGTGCCCCGACGTACATCCGAAAAGGGATCATTTCGGTTGATCCTCACCGTCAGCTCAAACATCGATCAGGAAAGAGCCCAGGGTAGTATAGAGGCACTCCATCGCCCGAGCGAATGGAATGGCGTAGTATTGTAACGCAGCGTTAGATAAAACACAATCGGGCAGATGCGCAAGCGCATGGAATGTATGACACAGTATCTCGAAACATCGTCCACCATACCAATACGGGGGTCCCTTTTAGATCGTGTAGCGGAAGAAACTCGCGTTGTCACCCTTTGTCCTCTCGGCCTCGCGCATCTCGTGGGTGTACTCCTCAGCCTTCAGTGGCCAGCCATTCTCCCTTGCAACGCGGTCGCGGCGCGCGTTTTCATATCGGAGGTAGATGGTCATGAAGATGCAAAGGACAACCGACATGGCGTGCATGCCAATGAGTACGGCAAAGCCGGGCTTGTAACGTGGGGCATCCTTGCTCTGGAAGAGGTAGCTCGCAAGCACACCACCAAGGTTACCAAAGGCGACGTGCAGTCCAAGTCCGACAGCACTAGAGGAACATTATTAAGATGGCGGCACCCTTGGGATATGCTAAGTACTCACCGCTTGGTCGAACCACCGATATTGTTGCTATTCCATGCGACACCACCCGGGACGTTTGCGTAGATACCCGACGCGGCAAGGAATGTGCCAGCATATTGGACGTGAATGTTGGCCGAGGAGATGAGCATGACCATGCCGGTGAGCGCGAGCAAGCAGAATCCAATCATGAAGATACCGCGCTGTTTGTACCTGTCCGCTGCAAATCCACCCGAGATTGTGAACACACAAGCCACGACATAGGGAGGGACGGTCATGAGCTGAGCCTTGTTGTCCTTGTATCCCATAGACTTGATGATGGTCGGCAAGAAGAGGGAAATGCTGTAGAGAGCAGTGTAGATTCCAAATGTCGCAATCATGTGCACCCAGATCTTCCAGTCGGTCAATGCATCCTTGACGTACGCGTACGAGAATTCGTCGGCGAGCGAGGTGCGGTCTTCGGTGAGACGGCGCTGCACTTCGTCGCGCTCATCTTGGGCAAGGAATTTGGCCGTGTGGGGGAAGTCATGGATTTGGAAGTAGGCCCAGACAGCGACGATAAACGTGAGGATGCCCTCAAGAATCTGTCACGGGTGGTCATGAGCATGCCGAAGAGCATATTACACGGGCAAATACTCACAAAGATCCAGCTCCAGCCTTCAAGACCGCCCTTGCCATGCATTTCAGTGATACCACGAGCGAGCAAGCCACCAAAGGCACCAGCGGCGGTCGCAGCAGAGAAGAAGATGGCCCTGCACACGGGTGAGCACGAGAACTATGATGAAGATGGCGACGCACATGCGAAGACCACATTCGTGACGACGGTACCAGGTCGTAATGTAGAAATTGACACCGGGGAACCTGCCCAGACAACCAGTGAGCAAGCGGGAGTCAAAAAGAGAGGATGAACGTACAGGCCGCCCTCGAAGAAGCCAAGGATAGCGCGAAGTGCAAGAAGCTGATGATACGTCTTGACAAAGCCCATCACGACCGTTGAGAGTGCCCAGAGGACCATGATCAATGAGAACCAAAAGGCTGGGCGGGTACGCTTCAACATGATGTTGCTCGGCACTTCAGCGGCTGCAATAGGAGTTTAGCCAACCGGAGGTTCCCCACGGACGATAATGAGCACATACCGACATAGAATGGGAAGAAGATTGCCAAGGCGTTATTGTAATCAAGACCTAGAAGCCAAGATATCAGCCGGGAAAACGATGACCATCAAGCGCGATGGACGAACCTTTCATGTTGAGGGAGGTCTCGAGTTTCTGAATGCGGGGTCAGCAATGATGCGGGGGAAAGCATGTGAAAATGCGAGGTGGAGAGAGAGACTGACAGCTAGGCGAGCGTTTCCTGAATGCCAAGCAGGGGTAAGTCAAAATGCCATGATACGAGCGAACGTTGCATACCGATGTTTGTGCGATCCTGTGGAGCGCGTGATTATGTCGAGAACACGATCAGTGGCTATTGATTTGAATTTGTGGGGGTCAGACATACAAGGAAAGAGAGTCTGAGGGATTTGATGAGTTTCATGTGAATAATGAGCCAGATTATGCATGTACGCACAGGTAGAGGAGTGCAAGGAAGGGAACGATGTTCCTGTCGAGCTTCCAGAGGAGGGCCTTTGTGCGCTGTGCGTCAAAGCCCTGGCCTTCGAGGGCCCTCTCCTTGATGGACGACGACGACTTTGAAGTCGACTCTGTCACATCGACGTGGGTCATTTTTTCCTTCTCAGATGCCATGGTGGACTAGGACTAGTGGAGAGCGAGCAGGAAGACCTAGAGAAGGGAGAGAAGACCTAGAGGCAGGGGGGAGGTCAGGCAGGATGAGAAAACACGCGGACAGGAGCAGATTATATAGCTCTCTTGACGTGCCGAAATTGTTTATTTGGTCGAGTTGCTGGCGATGAAAATGCGTGCCAGGCGGACATGGGCTCCTGAACTTCTCACCATCCGAAGCAGGACCGGGCCTGCCTTCTAAGAATAGAATAAACGCTGTCCTTGGCGTCGCAGCCCTGCACAGGCGCCCTGTCTCCGCTTCTTCCGCATGCGATTTCCCCAATATGAGCCAGAGGGGCGATAACCCCGCACGGGGGCAGTAAACACGCGCAAAGTGTCTCATTACAGATGTAATGATCCCTGATTTTTGTATCTATTTCTTGGCTTTCCAAGTAATCTTGAGTAGCCTCGAGAGTGCCGGCGGAATCGGTTGGGGCGCCTTCGTGAGAAGCTAAGGTTCACCGGGGGATATGATGTTGCGACGTATGTGTCAAATTGGGAGTGCAACCGCTATCAGCACCCATTCAATTGGATATCCCCGCACAAATTTTATCTTCCCGTTTCAGCATAACGCCCAATGAATTCTCCACAAAATCCGCCACGGGTCGCGCTAATGTCAACATATAATATTGAGTATGTTCAACCCCACCATACACGGAGCAGCCTTCGTGTGCGAGAGATGCCAACCTCTTTCAAGAGCGATGCAAGGCTGAGAATGGGTGTGATATGCGACCGAACCAAAGGCTGTACATGTCCCACACCAGCACATAAACTCAAAATGAAAATGATGCACCCTCTTTTTCACAGTATTTGGCATCGATTTTGGGCTAATATCCGCCGAGGTCGCCGTTTGACTCCTCTAGCGCTATGACCGCGCGCTCCACCTGTAAGTAGGGCACCATCCACGCCTTGAATGCCCCTTTGTTGCACTTCGAAATATGATTCGGGTGTGCGGCGACGGAGTTTAGAAGTCGTGGTCGAGTTCAAGCTGTCAACAGCTCCAAAATTAGTCTCGGAGATGAATTCTTCGAATGGCTAACATCGTAATGGAAATATGATATATCCACATTAAGATTAGGCGCTAATCTAGTCCTAATGTGACCATCCAATGCTCAAGAGTGTCGGGGCAGCCCAGGTTTGCTTATATTTGCAAAAGTCCCTGTAGGCAGCCTGGAGTAGGAGGACGAAAGCCTGTCCTTCGGGACTCTGCGCGCCGAGCTCCCACCAGCTGAGTGGGTTGACGACGCTCTTGAGGGTGCCATCATCAGCAATCTGCGTCTCAACCCACTTGAACGCCTTTTCTGCGTTGTGAATCCATTGCTCGTTGCCCGTCTGTACGGCCAAACGGTACGTGGCAGAGGCAAGCAGCGCCGTCCATGCTGCGTCGGAAAAGTCGTCAGGGAGGTTGGCGTGGTTGGGAGAGATCCGTCTGGTTTCTAGAGAGAAGATTCGATTAGCTATAGTTCCAAACGAAGAGTAGCCCGGTTTTCAGGGACAGAAACGGGAAGGGGGGAGGCGATTGACCCAGGACGCTATAAGAAAAGGAAGACAAACCTGGTATTGCCATGCAGCATTGATCAATTCACCCGTCCAACCAGCTAGTTCCCACATGTCTGGAATAAGCTGGAACGCAAACTGGGATTTGGCCATTGTCTGTAGCGTCCGCGTCGCTCCGGCCGCAACCCATGCCATACCTATACTTTGTTAGTCCAATGTTCAAAGCAAACGCAATACCATTACTGACCAGTTCCCCAGAATGACGGATCTTGCCATGAGCCCATCATGACATGGTGCCACAAGCAGGTGCCATTCGTATCCTTTAAGATTTCGCGATAGAGTCCAATCTGCCTCTTGCCTTCTTTGACAAGGGTAATATTACCGGTAAGCGCTCCATAATATGAGATGAATGGAGGAGCCATGTACACAAAGTCGTTCCACGGCTGAACCTCGCTCTCTCGATGGGAAATGGCACCGTTGGGCGCGCGGGGCACGTCGTTGAGAAGGAAGTCGAGCTGATCCGCCGCGGCCCGGAAGTAGGTTGGGTCTTGTAGGGTGCTATTGGCAAGCAAGACGGCAACACCCATACTGGCAGGATCACCGGACGCTCCATCGCCATCCATGATGGGTTTCTTACCAGGAACTCTCCCGGCAAGGGCACTGAGAGTTATTGGGGTATGTTTAGCGCGTATTGAATTGGTGAGGGGAATGACATACTATTGGGCAATCTTGATCACGGGCGAGTCGGCAGACAAGACGCGGGGAGGAGGAAAGGGTTTCTTGCCATAGACGGAGACATCCGGTTCGTCGAGTTCGAGCAAGGCCTCTGTGGCGGTTCCGTTCTCCCAGCTGATGAATGTTAGAATGAGTGGATTTGATCTAGAAAATGCTTACCTGTAGTGGATAATGTTGAGCATCTTGTCCTTGACCTTGGCTACGGTATCGTCGCTGAGCCCGAGGGCTGAGACGGAGAGAGATGCAAACGAGAGTGTGATAAACGAGTGAAGGAGACGCATGTTGGCGTCGACAAAGTCTTTCAGAAAATGAGAGTGCGGGGTAACCGTTGAGAAGAATGATGCGCAAAGTTAAAGGGCTTAAGTAGCATCTTTGGAGAAGCAGCACGGAGATTCGAAATTATTGGAGCGATGTCAGAGAATTAGGCCGTGGGCAAATTCTAGCACAAGGGTCGGACATAGCATGCGTCTGTAACGCATCTGTGATTGCAAACTCCGTCCTCCCTACGGCTTCTCACAGAATAATACCATCTGCATATCAAAGTATCCTGGAGACCAGAGGTTGGCCATATTTTGTCCATTATTGTGCCAAGGGGTTTGCACCGATCCTCGCCGGACGAGATGTTTCGGAGAATCAGGGGACTCGGCCGGCCTCTGAGAGGATTCCTGATCGACCTCGTGTTCTCCGAGTGTCCCCAGGAGTTGCGCGACTGATGGGTGGGATTTGGGGATGTTGCTCTGCTAAAAGGGAACCGTCTCAGGTGGTGAACAACTCAGTCTACTGTTGGCCACGCCGAGTGCACTCGGTTTATCCCATAATTCTCTAAAATATCAAGAGTATTCCAAAACAACATGTCTGATTTTCACGAAGCAACATTTACATGGTACGTGCTCTCTTCCGTACACGCTAGGGCCGTAATGACCGCCACGCGATTTCAAACAGGCCGGCGGGTCCTTCAAAAGTCGTGGTCACGGGTCCATTCGACGGCGTATGTATGCACTATTCCCATCCATCTCTTCTCAATGCTCCTAGTGGTCTGGCTCGACCATCTTGACCAAGTCGAACGACGGCTTCTCTGTTGTGGTCAAATTGCCGTGGAACGGTGCGCCTCCCATTCATTCCGATCCCAAAACCTGTTCATTGACGACTTGATCAATAGAGAAAGTACCCTACAAATTCATCGTCGACGGCCAGTGGACCGTAGCCGCCTCGGAACCCACCGAACGCGACGGCAGTGGTAACATTAACAACATCTATACGTCTCCAACAAAGCCTATTGTACAAGAAGTCAAAGATACTGCATCGGATCTTGCAGACTCTGCCTTGGCCACCAAAGGTGCACCGACCATTACATCCTATGTCGCCTCTGGCCTTGGCGCAGCCATTGCGTCCGTGACCGGCTATGACCCTATCAATCCTCAACAGGTGCATGTGCCCTCTCTCTTTTGGTACCCCATACTCATATCCGAAAGATTCCCGTCGAAGAGGCAAAGACTGTTTCTGGTATGTTGTTCATTCACTGAAAAGCTGATTCTCATACTCTGCAGAACCTGATGCGACAAAGGCAGAACCCGCTCCAACCGTTGAAACCGTGTCGGATCCAATCCCCGTCAAGGCGGAAGCCCCCGTGGTCAGTATCAGTACTCTAGCTTCCTTTTTTCTCACAAGTTTGCAATATAGGCTACTGATGAATCGAAGCCCCTTGAAGCCGTCAGTACCTCAGCGTCAGCGGCTGTTTCGCAAACGACTGCCGCCATCTCAGATACGGTACAAAAGGTTCAAGAAACTGTCACAAGTGGCACAGAGGCCGTCACCAAATCAGAAGTCAATGGTGTAGTGGTGGACAAGGCTCCCGAACCGTACAAAGAGGCCAAGACTGACGAGCCAGTGCTCGTGGTTGATGCGCCTGAGCCGTATAAAGAGGCCAATGGCACACTCCCCGCAGAGAAACTCGAAGAGGCTCCTCCCTCGGCTACGGAGACAACCAGCGCGTCTGCCGCGTCCAAGGATGAGTCTACAACCACCGAGACGAAGAAAGACGGGCCGTCGGCAGCAGCTGAGGAGAAAAAGGAAGAAACCAAAGATGCAACTCCACGCGCGTCAACGACTTCACCACCGCGTACCTCCACTCAGGCCACGACATCTCCACCGACGACACCAAAGAAGATGCGCTTCCCCGGTCGACGAAGTTCCGAGGCACATTCGTTGACCGGTAGCGAGTCGGCGGATTCGCCAAACGCCAAACGCAAGAAACGCGAGTCGTTCTTTGGAAAGATCAAGCACGCATTCTCTGGATCGCCGGAGAAGAAGAAGGGGAGCAAAGTGGTGTCAGAGGCGTCTTAGACGCTCTTGATTGCGACAATGTGTCAATTTTGTACCCGACCAACAGCCTCCATTTCGCCATCGAAGCGGCTCTGTATCGACCAAACGACTCTATCAATGTCCTCTCATGTGCTTCTCCATCTCATTTCAACTCTGGTTCCAATAGACTGGTCGGTCGAGTCGGTTACATATCCAACGAATACGACCGACTGTGATATGTATTCAGCTGTGGCGGACGGAATTGGAGGAGGCTATATTCTTTTCCGTCAGCGTCTACGCTTTGGCTATCGGCATCGTCCATCCCCCTGCACCATGCACCAACATTTTCTCCTGTCTCCCGTCTTCTCCTCATCTTCTTGATTAAATGCTTTCCCCATGACCACGTTTTCTTCCGGCTTGGGGCTTTTATTATCACGGATAGGTTACTCCACCCAGTTGTCACATATGTGTCACGACTCTTTCCAATGCCAGTGTGTTGTTATCTCTACCTTTCTAGGGCAAACTGACTCGAGTTCGTGGATTCTGAGGTACTCATATACCCCACACACCCGGCTTTATCGACCTCATCTCATTTCGTTGATGGCTAATTCAAAGGTGGAGTCTATGTGTTGATATCTGACAGAGTTGGCCACTTTCTTCTTTTGCTGGTCGTTACGCCCTAACTGCACGACAGCTCCTCTGATAAACCAGAGAAATTCCTCTGCTGCCTAGCGTCATGTCTAATCTTCACGAGTTACCTTCAAATGGTCAGACATCCTGCTCGAAGCGCAATACTGGGTTACTCACACTCACGTCTATCAGGCCTCCTGGACCTGATAGGGTGGTCATTACTGGCTCTTTTGATAATTTAGGTGCGTCTTAATGCGATTCATATCTGATTTATTGTGCTTCAGTGGTCTAAATTCACGATGTTGGCAAAGACAAGCGAAGGACTCCTTGCGGTAGTCCGCTTGCCTTGGAACAATTAGTTGACAGGAAGCGGACCAGGAAATTTGCTGGTCGTGACGTCGATCCTAGAAAAGGTGCACTACAAGTACTATCAGCCGATGCCCTGTTTTTATGTTCCCGTCCAGACGTACCCACCCGCTTTCTGTCCCTTCCAGTTTTATAATTAGGCGCTAGAGCTCTTTGTGTCCGACAGGCTTTGTACAAATGCAATTATATTGTGTCCTCTATGAGAATCGGGCCTAACGCGACAAACAAGATATCCTACACGACGAGAATATCGGTAGATGGAAAGTATGAAGGAGCTATCAATCGTATCGGAGCGCAACCGAGTCACTCGGAGGCGGAGGACCCCGCGGCGGTGGTGGTCCTCCATTCTGTGGACCATAGGAATGACGAGGTTGCTGTCGCTGCTGCGGTGGTCCTCTGAACCCCAGGGGTGGAGGTAAACCATTGGGACCGGGTCCAGGTTGAGGTGCACCATACGACAGTGAGCCGGGAGGGCCGTGCATATGAAGTGGTGGTGGGATGCCCATAGGCGGGAATCCATTCGGCCCAGGGCCATGACCAGGATGTCCACCGTGCATGCGTCCCATGCCATGCGGTGGAGGACCTCCACGGCCTCGCATTCCACCGCGCATTCCGCCACCGTGAAAGCCATACGGCGGTCCATTCTGATTCCCTCGATACTGGTGATGATGCTGGTTTGGGGGAGGTGCGGGTATGGCCTTTTTGCGCTTGTCGAGTTCGTGCGACGCGTCAAACTTTGGAATGCTGATGGAGAATTAATCCGAGACTATGCGACAATACATTAAACTCACGTCTTTGGATCCGCAGGAAGCGGTGATGTCCAAAAGTAGTCGTGCAAAAGAGCTTGGGACGCTGAGGGGCGTTTGGATGGATCCGGTGTCAACAACGCGTCGATGAGCGAGTGAGTATCCTCCGTCATGCTATGGTTGGATCAGCTCGATGTCTCCTGTAATATGAAATCCTCGCCTTGGACATTGCCGTGAAAGGAAATTACGCAGGTCCTTGGGTCTCTCTTTGAACATCTTGATGCCGTCCAGTCCTGGAAGATTTTCAAAGTCTGGCCAAGATTCACGTGTCGGCGTTCCGCAAAGCCACCAAATCTTCTCGAGTTGGTCCATATCCGACGAGCCCTGGAAGATTGGATGGCGTAAAAACATTTCTGCGAGTATACATCTAGATGAGATGTTAGTAGGGAACATCCACATGGTACTAACTCACCCAACACCCCACATGTCAATTTCTGGCCCATAGTAGCGTTCACCCATCAAGAGCTCGGGTGGTCTGTACCAACGCGTAACGACGCAGTTTGTATACTTTTCCAATCGATTTGAGATTCGCTCTTGTTTGGATCTTTTGATGAATGGACGAGCTAGACCAAAGTCGGCTATCTGGAGGACACCTTCATTTGACACCAGAATATTAGCCGCTTTGATATCGCGATGAACGATATGGTTCTGCGGCCGGTCAGTCAAAGTGAGAGTGTAGATGTCATTGTACTGACGTCGTGCATGTACTCCACTCCCTCGAATAATTGTTTCATGTACAACTTGATGTGCGATTGACTCAGTTGGACAGAGTTGTTCTCCAAGAGGCCCGCAAGGTCATGATCCATGTAAGGAAATACGACATAGACTGAGCCTGCTTCCTTTGGCGTTCCTAATCGCGAGTAAATCCCAACCAAAAGGGACGACCATTCGACATACTTGGCATGACCACGATATCCAACACCTTGACAATATTCGGGTGGCTCAATGCTTTGAGGATCTTGATCTCTCGTAGCGCCGTAATGGGCATGCCCTCCTTTTCGCTGTGCATAATAATCCTCTTGAGTGCGACATCGCCACCGCCACCTTTTGACGCATCCTGACGCCGTGCCTGGTGGACCTCACTACACGAGTTGAGTATTTATTCATCGGGGAGAATAGCAGCCGCTACGTACCCAAATGTGCCTTCTCCCAGCTTTTGCATCATAATATACTCGCTGATCCGACCAGATCCAACAAACTCGCGACCGTATGCCAGCCTTTCTTCTTCTTTGCCGCGTACTGTGGCTACTTTGTGGCTCGCCTTTGCTGATTTGGTAGACTGTAGGTCGGTCTTTACCTCTGGTGGTGGAACCGGTTGCTCTGGACGCGAATAGGTTGCCGGTGCTGGTGGAGGGACTTGCACTGGAGGATGCGGTTGCAGCTGGGATGGTTGTGAAGAGTCAAAATGCGCTTGGTGTGACATGGAAAAGGTTGGCCTCGGAGGGAGCGCATGTACAGGTGGTGGAGGCGACCTCCTTCCATCCTCATTCTTCTTTGGAGGGGGGTCTGTATCCATTCTAGGGGGCGGTGTTTGTGGGCGACGCCCTGGAGGAGTACTTGGTCGAGGAGGTGCAACATCCGAGATGCGATCGAGAAGACTTGGACGGTGCGAAGGAGACGGATGCCGATCTCTTGATCTGTTATCGTCGTATCTCCGGCCTTCGTCGTGATACCTGATCGGTGACCGTCGTCTATACTCTGGTGTTCTAGGTCTGTACGAGTTGTAGCGCTCTGGAGGTGGGGAAGGTCTCCGAGGTAGTCTGTAATCTTCGCGTGTATCGTCTCTTGGATGGCGTGCATTGTATCCACGGTCCGGGGACCAGTTGCGGCGAGGCGAGTGAGGACGACCGTAAAAGTCACCTTTGGGAGGAGAATTATACCCTCTCCCTCCCCGGTAATCGGGAGATCGCACGGAATGGTCTCGTCGTCGCCAGTCATCACGTCCATCGTCATTCCTCCCACTGGAAACATGGGGATCCCGCCGCGGCGGCGGCGGCGTGCGGTCCCGCCTTCTGTCATCATACCCTCTCGGGCTACCCCTTCCGTGATGATGATAGGACCGTTCCCCACGAGGACTTCGATCCCTTCCAGGAACATACGAATCATGTCGACTGCGCTCATGTCCGTGTGAATGATGTCCAGAATCATACTCTCTTCTCCCCTCTGAACGCTTGTAATCTCCTTGTTTCGACCTATCGCTCGGTGGGGCACCGCTCGCAGACGAAGGCGAAGGAGAGCGTCGTCGAGGCGGGGTCGACGCCTTGCCATTGCTCAGGTCGACTTTCGGCAGCTCTTTGATCATATGCCCCTTTGTCTTGAACGGAAACGCGACTTTGGGTTTTGCAACCGGCTTGATGTCCAGACGAGCGGCCAAGCTCATTCCCTCTGTCGCAGCGTCCGCCTTGGGGCTCACTCCATCCCTATTTGGGGCAGATGACGGGATTTCTGATGAATCCTCTGCCGTCGTCTCCTCAACTTCGCCCTCTTCTGGGCTGTCAGCGCGTTTTGAAACTCGCTGGCGGACTCGCCGTGAATGATCTGGCGAGCGCGAGTGGGGGCGTTTTTGCACCAGACTCATGTTCTTTTAATGCTCTTTGGTCAATCAGTGACCGATAATCGCGTCGTAGGTGAGAGCCCATTTACCAAACACCCGTCCTGCTCCTGCTGTAATCTTGAGGGGTACCAAAATGTCAGCTCTGCTGACCACAAAAGTCACCTCTTGCGTATTTCCGACCTCCTCCGACACGCTTTGGGTCGACCAAAGCACGTCAAGTAAAATGCGGGTTAAAATGTGTGGTCGCGGTGAAGATCAAGAGGGTGTGCCATTAATGTCAAGTACAGGACGAGACCAACGCGGCCCGGGAGATGCGATGCGACAGAATACAAGAGATGCGAGAAATGTCGTTTTGGGGGAAAAAAAAACTAGAAACATTCTTTGCAAGCGTACACTCGGCGGTCACAGGGGTGGTTGGGAAGCAGAGGGCAAATATTGCAGGTGTTACGTAGGGTCAGAGAGACCCAGTAGGAGACGATGGAAATGTGAACAGATGAGATGAAGTCGGGAAATACGATGGCAATGTCGAATCTTGCCATATCACAGATGCAACAACGTACAGGCCCACCGTCAGGGTGAGAGGCAACGGGGTGAATATTGGATAGCACTGTATGCGGATGATGGAGAGGCGAAGTGTGCTGGTATAAGCTGGCGAGAGTGGGGGTGGACAAGGATTAGCAGCACCAGGAGCGCTGCGCACCATCCTTTTCCTTTGCCTCTTCTTCTTCGGGGACTGAGCCGTATGGCACGGTGAGGTGGACGCTGTCTCGTTCTCGTAGACGTCGTTCAGCCTCGATGGCTTCACGGCGCTCAATGATGGCCGATAGAATCGCGCCAAAGAGCGTTTGGATGCCTACAAGACATTTTAGAGGGCATCCGCGGTCCTAAAAAATAGAGTACTAACCACTGGCATCCTTTGACGAAACCTCGAACAACTGCATGTATCGTCCGAGCCCCCACTCTGGCTCTTCTTCCTCTTCTTCATCACTGACAGCCTCAGCCTGCAAATCTCGACTTCCATTATTCATAAAGCTCGGAAACGAGAATCCGCCAGCGGAACCGACTCCAGGGCCCCAGCTCCGCTCGCGATTGTGCTGTGCCTTGCGAGCGACTGCCAATGCCCTTTGGGGACCAGCAAGCGTCGGGAGAGCGTCAAACGATTGAAAAGAGTTGAAGCGCGCGCCCTCTCTACGCGGGGACTGCGGGGCAGCGGCGGTCGTATTTGCGCGTGTGAGGCCTACTCCCACTTTGCCCGAGGAGCCACTCGACGAACCAGAGTTGACTGTATAAGCCGAGGTGATCGACGTGAAGCGAGGACGGAGGTAGGCGTTGATCCCCTGGCCAATGCTCGTCGGCGTGTGGGGCCGCATGTCTGGATCTGGCCGGCGTGGAGGCGGGAACCATTTGTAGAGGCTCGATCGGACATGGTCTGGCGTGACCTGTCGTTGTGCTATCAGATCAGACTTTGAGCCGACAATGTAGATGAGCAAGTCTGGATCGCAGTTTTTCCTCAACTCTGATGGATATGGATTAGCCGACTTGTACTGGTTCGAGAAGGTTCGGTGGAGTGCGCACCTTCGATCCATATCCGGACGTCGTTGAACGATTCCATACGGGTTAAATCATACATAATGATGGCGGCATTTGCGCCGCGATAGTAAATGGGTGCCTATTGAAAAAAAAAGGTTAGAGAGAAATCGAGAGACGGGACCGATTCGTCCGCTCACCAGACTCCGAAACCGCTCCTGACCTGTACGCGCGTGGGGTATGGGACGAAAAGAAGTAGTCAATATCTCCGCCACATCCCGTGAGATTGGAGCAAAAACGTAAGATAAGATGACGGCAGGCGACTAGCCAACCAGGACCCGGCGCGACGCACGATCAGATGCGACACGACCTCAGGCATGGTAGAACGGCAGTTCATGGCCGTCTAGGCGCACTTGCGAGGCTTCTCCTCATCAAGAGAGTGCCGACTGGTGGCAAGAGTGGGATTGGGCCAATTTCCACTGGGTAGTGGAGGATTTGGAAGTCCAGCCCTGAAGGGTGAGGACTGATCCCGTGGCCATAGACTTGTCGATAATCCCTCGAGGGGGAGACGGGCCCACGGGGCGCAACAACGAAAAAAAGCGGGAGAAAAAAGACGCACCAGCAGTATCCCATATTTGTAGCTTGACGTGAAAGTCGTCAAAGTTGGTCTTGTGTGAGACAAAGAGCGCGCCGGTTGTGGCAGTCGTCTTTCCAAACCGATTTTCCGTGTAGCGAGCGACAAGACTAGTTTTCCCAACGCCTGTAGAGTAGAATAAGACGCGCCAATGCTCGTCAGCGGGTGCTAGGATTGCGCAAAAGCGGGACTGAAACTGACCAGTGTTTCCCATCACGACGAGTTTGGCCTCGATAGCGTCGTCGTCGCGCTGCTGAATACGCTGAGCATAGTTGCGGTATCGCGGTCGTTCATTAGAATCGTCAAAGTCGTGGTAAGCCATGGGTGAGCTTGCGGTTGTTGGTGGGCGTGTTAAGTACTGGGACGCGGACAGACGCCAGAGGACGTGCAGCACGCTTGTCCGAGTCACAACGTCGAGGACGGTGAGCTAAGAGGAGAAGAACTGCGCTGCTGTCAACGACGAGGCAGCCAGCGACAAGGCGGAGGTCCAAGTTGTGCGGCGGAGACCAAGAAGAAAGTGAAGCGGTAAACGGCCAATCGGCAGATCTAGTTTGCCCAGAATCTCCACCATTTTTATGCAAAAGACGTTATCAATACACTTTATATATCTGCCTGGCCACAGCGCTAGCCGAATCTCCCATCTCGTCTCTCTCTGCCCCTCTGCTGCAAATCCCGACTGAGGACGTCGCCAAAAGCACCGGTAGTGCGGTCATCGCGTTTGCAAGCACATTCCCAACTCACGAATACATCCCGCTATTAGCCTCGCCCGGTCTCTGGCTGGCTCTGCCGGACACTGCCGCTGCTCTCCAGCGCTCCTCCAGCTGCTCCATGACGCTCGTGAGCGATACTCCAGCCCCGTCAGTATTCCCTCCTGCTGCTCCGAGCACAGCTGCTGCATTCGAGGTCTCGGCTTGGTTCCGCGCGCTCTCTGGTAAATACGACACTCGGCAATATGGACAAGCATCATTCTGTCGCAATGATCAGTACATTACGACGTCTTCTGCATCGACGTGGGGCTTACTCCTTCCAAAATCCACTTGGAAATGCTTTGCAAATAATCAGTCAATCCGTGCCGTCCTCCATCCTGGGCCTCTCGAAGAAGACCGGTCCAACTCACTCTTTGCGACAAAAGTAGTGCCCGCACGTCTGCAGCTTGGTTACTCCAAGGTCCCTCTCTGAGACTGGCGTGTCGTTTGCTAACAGCATTTCCTCTTCGGCGATAATCGCTGCAAACGAGTTGTAGCATATCGAACAATGTTCATCTGTCAAGCACTGTCAGACGCCTGACATGCTGCCAGTGGCGTTACCGGCAGGAGAGGAGAAAGAACGCGTAATGGGTATTACGTCGACCCTGCAACTCGGGGTCCAGATACGCACTCATTAGTGATCCCAGCCTCGACTCTTCGATCCGTTCGAGCTTGTCCACTAGCTCATAACGCGCCGCAGACCTCGCCGATCGTCAGAAGTCAAACTGGACCCGGTAATTTCGTGCACGACGTACAGAGGGCCCAGCAAGTTCCGAGCTTGCATCAGTTGCTCAAACGCTGCTTCTATTTCCATTTCTGAGAGCTGTGTGTGACCTGCTGCGTCCTCGGAGCTCATCCCTATCGTAGTCGAAGCCAAGTCTTTTGGGCTCGTGATCCACCCACACATGTCAAATTGCTTAAGATCTACCCGGGTTTATATTCAGTTATATAACTTCTCATCGTTAGATGGGCAATTTGAAAACGTCTACACGACGACGCCAATGGCTCATTTAGTACATGCGCGCTGCAGCGTACCAGAGCTCTGGCGCAATAGATAAGCAACCCAACGGCGCGGTTCACTTTGACCCGTTGGTGAGACGGGGAATATCGAACCGTGGGTTTGGAGGCACGCGTGCCGGATCTCGATCGACATACTTGACCATTTCCGGTCGAAGCTGATCGAGCGATGTGACACCAAGCAGCTGCATACCAGTAATAATCTCCTCTCTCATGACTAGACAAACTATGAGCCATCTGTGACAGAAAAGGCGGCGGGATACTCACTCTGTACTGCCCGTCGTACACCCTCCTCTCCCCATAGACTGTTTGCAAACAAAAACGGCCGTCCGAGACCTACACCACGCGCACCGAGGCAGAGTGCTTTGAGTACATCTGTCCCCCGTCGCACGCCACCGTCAACAAAAACGTGAAAGTTCTTGTCGTCGAGGAGGTCTGGTCTTCGTTCTCGAAGCTCTTGGAGGACAGTGATTGGGGCTGGTGAGCTGCATGGATTACTCAGTTTATTAGTCGCCTCGCGGAAGAAGACGTACAAGTCTAGTTGTCGCCCGCCGTGATTGCTCAGTACGATTCCTTGAACCCCATGTTCGTAGGCCTTTTCTGCGTCCTATACAAGTTGAGTTTGCCGTCCCAATATCAGTACCAGACCCGTACCTCTACGCATTGAATGCCTAGCAGAATATGAGCAAGCCTTGGTCCAAGCAATCAAAATAACACACCCTTGATGATCAACGGGAGCTTTGTAATATCTTGTATCCAAGGTATATCCGCCCCTGAATGCGGTGTCAGCTCTCACATCGGAATGAGACTGCCGGGGGATGCATCAAGAACCAAAAGGTACCGAGACGACAGATGCGGGGAAGCTCGTCGTACTCGTCGAATAGGAAGGGTTGGCAAGAAGAAAAATGCTGCTTACAGCACACGTCCGGGTCTTGATATCCCGAGATGGCCTGAGCCACCCCGTTTCCGGCGCGATCTTGTCCATTTACTGCTGGGCCCTATGGCATTATCCCGTTAGTTCAAACCGGAAAGCAGGAGGATGCAAAGTGATCTGTATCGCACAGAAGTCCAGCCCAGGGCCCCTTTCGGGAACCGTAGAGGTTTCAAGTCCGAGGGAGCCTCGTCTAATGAAACAGCCGCATGCAAGACTGGACCTGGATGCCATATAGTTTGATAAAATGGGCTACGAACCGCAAAATCACCCTTGACGCGCTGATCGCGCTCACGTTTGCCAGGAACGGCCGCGTCGACCGTGAGGAAGATGGCATTGAATCCAGCCTTTTCGACCTTGCGTAACAACTCTTCGGACGCCTTTCTCGACCTGTTCATATAGAGCTACAGGGAAGATATTCGCCAACAATCACTGCGCATATTGAGTGTTACGGACCTGGAAGAAGAGGACCTGACCCTCTTCACGGGCGGAAACAATTTCTTCAATCGAACAGCTCGCATTGTTCGAGATACCCTGTATGATGCCCTCCTTTGCAGACGCGCGAGTGATATTGACCTCGCCTCCTGGGTGGCCAAGTCTTGCTAATGCAGCCGGAGCAACAAAGATGGGAAGAGATGACGGGAAAGATAGAATGTTGGTCGTAGGGGAGGCATGCGAGACTTTGTTCAACCTGTGATAGGCGATCAATACGTTGTACTCTATGTAGTAAGTAACATAAGGACGGGTCCCGATTATATTTCCCCGTAATGTCAACGGGTTGATTGGTTCAAAAGAACCTGATGCGCCCTGCAGACGACGGGGAGTGGAAAAGGAAGAATGCGGAAAAACCGGAGAGAAGGAGGATGCTGGAGAGGAGGAAATCCGCAAAGAGGAGCACTACTCACACCCGTGGTCGGAACCAAAACCTCCAATACGCGGCGGAGTTTTCCCGGTTTGCTGTTTCGTCGTATGCGCGCCGAGGAAGCCAGAGGGGAGGACAGGTGAGAGGAGACGCAGGTACATGGTATCAATTTTTACGCGTTTCGACCGCATTTGCAAAATCGAGCATATTCAAGAAGTCGAAAGAAGGCGCGAGTGAGCGGTAGCACAGAATCAAACTCGGTCAGATGGACTTGTCTCATACGCCGAAAGCACAAAGGACTCACTGAATTCGTCGTCACCTGCACTGGAGTAATATGCCCATGCAGTCTCGGTGAGCACAGTCCTGGCGAGACCTTCAATGTCGTCCAGGTTTAAGGCCGCACTCGGGAGAGGCAGGGCCTCTCTCGCAGCTGCTATTCTCTTCTCTTCTTCTGTTGGTTCGAGCACGAGTCGTGGGAGTGTCGTTTGGTCGAGCGTCCCAATGAGCTTCAGCTCTGGGTAGGCCACGCTAAGCTTATTCGGTTCAAGTGTATCTGGTGGGTGTATTGGCTTGAATACGCGTCTGTTGGGAGCTAAGAATCTCTGGGCATAGAAACTCAAACATCCACTTACGTCGCATCTTGGCCTGCCATTTTGAGAATCACTTGCTTTCCGCCAGGATGGAGGTCCAAGAATGCCGTCACATCGTACACTTGGCCGTCGATGACGAGCCAGCAATCCTCTGCAGAGTTGTGTCTCTGTACCTCTTCGTACGATACAAGATCCTTTGATTCCACTTTGGTCCCTGTGATTGATGGAGGCACGGCTTGTTGAGGTGAATCTGGGTGGACTGGTGCTTGATCTCCGTCCGGAGCTTCATGACGAGGTATGAGGAACTGGTAAAAGCCAGCCTGAAAGCGGTCGGCTATCAGTTTGGTATACTTGATTGTACACGATATACGTACCAATGCGAAACCAGAGGCGGCGCTGCCAAAAAGTAGTGCAAATTTAGAGTTTCCACTGCCGACGGCTGTCGCAGCTGCAGTAGTAGTACCGCTTGCGAAGAGCGATCTCCTGCTACCCAGGAACCATGTAGAGGACTTTGGATTGCGTTGGGTATGAACGGTGCGTGGACTGCCAACGCGATTGGGCAACGTTCTGGAAGCAGTGGGCGTCCTGATACATGATGTACGCTGCAACGCGCGCAGACTCATGATGGAGACAAGTCGGAGGAGAAGGGGAACAAGTGGAGGATGCGGAGGAGAACAAGAGTAGATGGACAAATAACAGCCGAGTGGGTGGACACTGCGAAAGCAAGTCAAAGCAAGCAGCCGAAGGGCAAGAGTCTGGGATTTTCCGGTCACACTGCCGATTGCTTACCCAAAATTCTCAGAATCCAGCAAGTCGCCGACGAGCGATGCGACAGCGAATCCGGACCGTTGAACCGTCGACACGTCTGGGGCAGCAAATGGGAGTATTTTCCGAGATATCGATCAGAAGAAGGCACAGAGTCCTCGTCGGGACTGAATCCAACTGGAGACGGAACGAGGTAGACCATCAGCGATTCAACCAGGACAACTTTGTGGCTCTGAAGAGCTTGGAAGAGCCTGTAGTGGACTTAGATCTCAGACTTGCACTTTATGGCATGCTCAGCTCAGGAGTTTGGCCAATCCAAGAGTTGGAACCGACCGTCTTCATCCATTTCGAGAAGGTGAAGCTCATAACTAGCCCTTATCTCTATCTTAACCCCGGACGGCTCACCTGACGGCTTTCTGCGGCAAAGTCGGCTGGCCGCACGAGATCTAGCTGCGTATGGACCCACATTCTCATCGGCACAAGTGAGTAGCCAACTCAAAGCCCAAGCTGTTCCGACTTCTGGCGACTCCCGTGTTTACAGATGCCATTTATGACTTTGACGCGCAATCTAATGGGGGCACAACGAAAGCAGACACGCCCCGGCAGTCGGGACGAGCATCCGTAGGGCTTGTCCCTTGTCGATTATCCTTTGCGATAGCTTTTCATGGCTCGTGGAAGATACATTAGCCAGATTAACAAGCTCTTGCGTCGGTCCGCGACTCGTCACACCACCGGCCCGGCCTGTCTGCCGATTGGCTGAACACTGGTTCTAGCGTCAACAATCTCGCTCAGTAATCACCAATCAAACGTTACAACGTACCTCCAAATCGCCTCTCCTCTCCACACAGACAACCATGAATACCGTTGGCCGTCGCTCATGACGCCGTAGATTACCAGAGGACTGGTGCCGGCAATGGAGTATCTCCACCCATCGACGTAACGCACCGTAACACGGCTATTGGGGCCCCATGCCCGGCCAACTCCGCATCAGCCGCCGGTCGTCTATGGCGAGAACGGTTCTTCCAACAACGGCCCTGCATCTACACTTATTCGCTTCTTGAATGCATCTACTCCACATAAAACGTCGTATGGTCTTCGTCACATCCAGAACCAAGGCCCTTCTCCCTGGCTTCTCCCCCTCGACTCTCACCCGTCCCCTCCCTCTCAATTGTTGAGAAATGTCAAAAGACGACGTAAACCATCTCGAAACTCGTCGTTCTACCTCACATCTTCATGGGGACGAACTCCTCGATGCAGAGTTTGGCGGTCACGAGGCGCGTAGGTCTCTCGAACGCAAACTTTTGCGAAAGATTGATGCTCGTATGAGTATCCTTGTCGCAATCTACATTCTCAACTATGTACGTGTCTTCATTCACCGTCTGACTGTATGCTCATGATTAATCCAGATTGATCGAAATAATGCTGCTGCTGCTCGTCTACGCGGGTTCGAGGCCGACCTCAACTTGCATGGACAACAGTTTGCGACGCTACTGTCCATCTTGTATGTCGGCTATATCACAATGCAAGTCCCCTCGAACATGTTCCTCGACCGTATCGGGAAACCATCCATCTATCTGCCCATCTGCATGCTCATTTGGGGTCTCATCTCGGTCCTCACTGGAATCACACACAACTTTACTGGGGCCCTCCTTACTCGCTTCTTCTTGGGATTTGTCGAGGCCGCATTCTTCCCGGGTGCACTCTACCTCTTATCCAAATGGTACACTAAAAAGGAACTCGGTCTCCGGAATGCCATCTTGTTCTGTGGCAATCTTTTGAGCAACGCCTTTGGTGGTCTTCTCGCGGCTGGCATTCTGAATGGAATGCAGGGAAAGCTTGGACACGCTGCTTGGAGATGGTGAGTTCATGCTATTCTCGCCGCCAACCTCGGTTTCTGATGATCATAGGCTCTTCTATATCGAAGGAGCTCTAACAATGGCCGTCGCTATCATAGCGATCTGGGTTCTTCCCGACTTTCCAGCGACGACTTCGTGGCTGACCCCCGAGGAACGCAAGCTCGCCGAGCTTCGCATGCAAGAAGACGCGGGGGTTGGCGATGAAGAAGACAAGCATGGCTCGCTCACCCGCGGTCTCGTTCTCGCGCTCACCGACTGGAAAGTATGGTGGCTTGCGCTTGCACTGACAGCTCAAGTGATTGGTCTCTCCTTTAATGCCGTATGTCTCCTTTCTTCTTCTCCTCTTATCTATGCGTATTGACCACTATTCTAGTACTTCCCGACTTTGACAGCCACATTGGGCTATAATCGCACTATTACTCTCTTGCTCTGCGCACCGCCGTGGTTCTTTGCCGCTGCGGTGGCATTTATTGTCGCAAGACACTCGGATGCCTCCGGTTCGCGATACTGGCATATTGTGGTACCACTCATCATTGGCATGGTCGGTTTCATCATCTCGCTCTCCACCCTCAACACGGCCGCACGGTACATCTCGCTGTTCCTCGCAGCGCAATCCTACGCAGGCTTTATCGTCTTCTTTGCTTGGATCTCCAACATTATCCCACGTCCGCCATCGAAGCGCGCTGTCGCTCTCGCCTTTATCAATGCTTTCTCGCAGTTGGGTAATGTGGCTGGATCGTACGTCTGGCCGAGCAAGTGGGGTCCTTCGTATCGCTACTCTTATGCGATTTGCATCTCCTGTTTCGGACTGGCAATCGCCATGTGTACAGTGATGAGGTGGCATCTGAAAAAGGAAAACGAGCGATTCGAAAGGGAGCAAAAGGAGGGACTGGGACAACAGGAACAGGTCGTCAAAGGGGATGGGACGGATGTCCCTGTCATTCAAGCACGTACCGGATTCAGGTATCTCTTGTGAACTCTTGTTGGACAAAGGTGGCTTTGTACGATAAACCAATGTAACGTTGTTCCTGCCGACCCCTTTTGACGCGAGTGTTCTATATCAAACCTGAATTAGCGTGCATATTGGTCGACCCTTGCCAAGCTCGGACCCTCCGCCAACTTTTGTTCAAAATTATTGCGACCACAGCACGTCTTGGCATGCCATCAATAAAGCGGTGAATGGACGGACTATTTTGAGGCACGGAGGTCGTCGAAATTTATTATCGCATATCAAGGTGGCACAATCCAATGAGCGTCGGTTCTCCCGTACTAGGGTACTCATTCGGAGGGTCAATTGGATGTCCAACAACGTCTTCATTCTACACTCAAAGCCGAAACCGCGAGAAAACGCAACCTACGCGCTATGTCCGAAACGAGCCGCTTAGAATCCACCAAATGAGTAGTGACGGTGTTAATCACGGAGGTTGTTTGCAAACGGTTCAGCGCCGCGCCGGGGAATGAGTGGTCAACTCATCCGGGGTTCAGCCTCGGCAGGATTCACTAACCAAGTACTCCATATGAATGATTGTTAGAAAGGTTCACTTGAGGGTGTCTGTTTACCGATGTCACTCCGCAATGGCATAAGAAGGCTCAAGGCTGCAACTTTGCCCACGGACGCACCCACCATGTGCTGCGGCGACGCTACAACTCTCTATGGGGTATGTGACACTCGAAGAGAAGAGTAAAGCTTAGACTAGGTAGACTCGGACCATCACCACAACCGTTCCAACGGCTTATGCCACAATCACCTCCTTGAAGCCGTTTGGTGAGACGAGCTCTGCACCCAACCATCTGCCCATACTGAATTACATACAGCTTCAACTTTCAGCAGGACATATGTAAACTGCGTGAGCTCCAGCAACGGCCAATGCGTCTCGTCAACTGTGTCCACAGTTTGGGGCATCGCAGATTGTAAGTCAGTATAGAGATGACTGTCTTGCAACTTATCTATCCCGAGAGACTTCTTCGGGCTCAACGTCACAACGACTGTGACGGGGGCCGTCCCGGTAGTAACTAGCGTAGTCGTTCCAACAGCCACTACGACCGTACCATGCTCGAAGAGAGACATCTCCGATGAAGGTGAAGAGCTGCTGAAGCGTAATGCAGCTCAACCACCCCTGAGGATTGCGACGAAGACGGGACTCGCTCTTGGCGCCCTTGTCCTCTCTGCTTTCGTCCTTGTATAAAGCAGTGAATAGCAATTCATTTAGGTCATTCTAACCATTGAGCCACACGGCCCTCGATGTTATGGATGTGTGGAACGCAATATAAATCATCGTTGATAGAGAGTACCTTGATGCACACGTAGTCCTGTATACAAATTGTGTCACATATTCAGCTTCATAAGGAATCTTTAAGCAGTCATGATTCTTAGATCCTCCACTTAGAAATCCCAGTCATCAAGTATATCGACATGGCGAACGTCTACCAAGCAATCGACCTAGAAGTGAGGACTTATGACCACAAAGAAATTTGGAATGATCATAGGATAAATTCAAATGTGACGAAGAAGTGTCCAAAGTTTAAATCAGAAGTATTATACATACAAACTGGACGCCGTCTCAGATGGTTAACAAGAGGAACAGAATTAGATCATCTTCGAATCGTGACAGGGCATGACGTCGTGTCCCAGATAAGGTGGTGGAGGATTTCCTGATTGCCCAGGATACGTCGGGCCCAGTTCCCCCACGACGGCGGTGGTAGGTGAATTAGGCCCTGTTTGACACAATTTGGTGCTTCCTTGGGCGTCTCGACTTGCGTCGGGGGAGTTTGGCATGAACTGGTGGTGGACAATTGGGAGTGGATGTCTGGACCGCATCTCGATTATCGCAAATCCAAACCTGCCTTGTCAGGCGGCCGTAAGGCTTTATGGAAATGTCCTTATCTTAGTCACTAGTGTGCCTTTCAGCCGCCTCATGAGGCGTTCTCCTGCCTTTTTGCAATGTTTGACGTTATCGTTCGGCGCACTTGTCATTATGACGGAGTTGGTAAGGCACAGCTCTGGCCTATCATCTGGCTTATAGACCTCTCCTCTGACAAGGCACTTTTGGGTTTTGCGATAATGGTGCAGTTGTCTCCTTCCCTGTAGGAGAACGGATGCGTCGTAGAGACACGTCTGGTGTGCGATATGGTGTGATGATATTCTCGAGGTTGCTGTTGATGGATGGCCTGTAGCTAGCCTGTATATACTGTTTTATGCGCCTGGCTATCCTGGAGATGCCGGAGACAGAGAATAGCCACAGAATCCCCTGGATATATGGCTCTCTGGCTTTGCTCCCGAAGCCCCAAAAGACCAACAGGTGCAGGCCGGCTATGCACCGATTTATAACGAACTGGTGAGCATACGCCTCTTGAATTTGTAAGGTGTCTGATGGCAATGGTATCTGAACAAGGACTTGTAGACCATCTCGGGACCAGGAGTATACTGTGCGTTGAATCCGCAGTACATCTGAGATTGATCGTGAGAGCACTGGAAGCGTCTCAATAATGGTAGGTAGTTCGAGCAGAAATAGGATGGGGGTCCTTGAAAGAAGAAGGGAAGCAGTTGCCACCGAGAGTATGCGCTTTAAAAGCCGAATCCTAGAAATGGGTTCATATGAACCGTGGATAAGGCCCTCAGATGAGGGCTTGAGTATAACCCATCGGTTTGAATTTCGGTGGCGCCAGAGATTGAAGATTGCCAGAGCTAAAGGCCATAAGGCATCACTCGTCATAGTCCATCACATGGACTCACCGGAATAACAAAAGGTGAAGCAAGATGGTATCACGACGATTATCAGAAAGCTAATTTTCGCAATCAGCTGGTTCTGTGCGATATTTATTGGCCCGAAACCCTCGAGGATGACCATGTCCACCCCCCCGATGAACGCTGATTCGTGAAAATGAGGTATGACGAAGAAATATGAGTAGAACTCACCATATATCAAAGAATAGACGATCGCGAGTATGACCACCGTCGCGTCGAGCTTATTTAGACGCTTTCGCTGTTCCTGACGTCAAATGCGACAAAGAGAGCAGGATGTGACATACATTGTCATGAATATAGATCATTCCTGATGGCTCTGAGTATAGCCATATCCATCTGAGGCAGCCAACGCTATTCACACGCATAACCGCTACGCAGATGAGGTCTACCAAGTATGCTAAGGACATGTGAGTTTGATTTAACAAAGGGAAAATCAGTCAACCTAGCCTTGTATAGAACCGTATTTGCTTGGCATGCCTTCGCCAGACGACCATGCCGATCAAGTCAAAGACAGTCATAACGAAAATTGATATCACGTGGCAGTTGACTGCAAATACTCGGATTTTCCAGAATAGTGGGAGCACCAAGATGCATCCGAGCAAAACCAGAAGGTTCATGAGATACACATATGGGAGGAGATTTGGTGCCGAGAAAGGAGCATAATTATCGAGAAATATGGGTTCGAAGGACATTTTGAGCCCAATCCATCGGCTACTGGCGGCGAATATATACTGTGCCCATTGTTGCGCCAGCGACAATGACCAGAGGCGATGTTCTAACAGAGACGCGTGTATCATTCTACAATCAATTAGGGACCCTTCCCAACTCGGAACTTGGGCGTAAGACCGTCAGACCCCAATTTGCACTCGTTGTGGCACCGTCGGCAAGAATTGACTACTGGAGGGACGCCTTTGCATAATTGCTCTTTGTTTGACGCACTGTAGTGGCGTCCTTTTAAACATAAAATCTATACCCACCCCGAAGACACTCAGTCAATACAAATAAGGCCAGGTCGATATTGGTATGAACCCATATCCTGTACCCGATCCGACAAGTGCGCCTAAGTTTATCCAATCCAATGTAACAAATTTTCGGAGCAGCAGGCGGCCCTCAAGGCTGGCCGCAAAGCGCTAGCCCGTACCTCACCGAAGAGAACCTTATGATGTTAACAATCCTCTTTTGAGCACCTCAAATGCCACTATTTACAGTGGATTAGTGTCATAGTCTGTCATATAATGGACATGGCAAACGTTGAGTGGGTTTCTTCCGACCTAGAACTAAGAACTTATGACTGCGAAGAAATTGAGAGTGATTATAGGATGAATTCAAATGTGATGAAGAAGTGTCCAAAGTCTCGGCTACAGAACTAGGAGTATTATACATGCAAACTGAGCACCGTCTCAGATAGATAACAAGAGGATCAGAGTTAGATCATCTTCGAATCGTGACAAGGCATGGCGTTGTGTCCCAGATACGGTGGTGGAGGAGTCTCTGAGCGCCCAGGGTATGCTGACCCAAGTTTGTCCACGACAGCGGCAGTAGGTGAAAGTGGGTAATTTTTCACAGAATATGGGGCTTTTATAGGCTTCTCAACTTTGTCAGCGGGTGTTCGGCATGAACTAGTGGCGGACGTTTGCGAGTCGATGCCCAGAGCGAGTCTCGATGGTGCAGCCGTCTCATTCCGTGTAGGAGAATGAAAGCGACATAGGGATACGTCCGGCGTACGATATGGCACGATAATGTTCTCCGAGTCGCTGTTGATGGTTGGCCTGTATATGGCCTGTATATACTGTTTCATGTGCCTAGTGATTCCAAAGATGCCAGAGGCAGAGAGTAACCAATGGATCCCCCGGATATATGGCTCTCTGGCTTTGCGCCCAAGGCCCCAAAAGACCAACAGGTGCAGGCCGGCTATATACCGAGTTATAATGATCTGGTAAGCATACTCCTGTGGGACTTGTATGATTTCTGATGGCGATGGGAGCTGAACAAGGACTTGTAGGCCATCTTGGGACCAGGAGTACACCGTGCGTTGAATGCGCAATATGTCCGAGATTGGTCGCGAGAGCACTGGAAGCATCTCAATAGTGGTAGGGAGCTCGAACAGGAATAGTATGGAAGTCCTTGAAAGAAGAAGGGCAGCAATTGCAACCGAGAGTATGCGCTTTAAAAGCCGAATCCGAGAAATAGGCTCATATGAACCGTGGATAAGACCCTCAGATGAGGGCTTGAGTATAATCCATCGGTCCGAATTTCGGTGGCGCCAGAGATTGACGACTGCCAGAGCTAAAAGTCATAAGGCATCACTCGTCACAGCCCATTACATGGACTCACCGGAATAACAAAAGGTGAAGCAAGATGGTATCACGGAGATTATCAGAATGAAAATTGTCACAGTCAGCTGGTCCTGTCCAATATTCACGGGCCCGAAGCCCTCAAGGATGAGCATATTCATCCCCCCGATGAACGCTGATTCGTGAAAATGAGATACGACGAAACCATTTGCATATCCCTCACCATGTATTAAAGAATAGACAATAGCGAGTATGACCACCGTCGCGTCGAGCTTATTGAGACGTTTTCGCTGTTCGCGGCGTCAAATACGACAAAGAGAGCAGGATGTGACATACATTGTCATGAATATAGATCATTCCTGATGGCTCTGAGTATAGCCATATCCATCTGAGGCAGCCAACGCTATTCACACGCATAACCGCTACGCAGATGAGGTCTACCAAGTATGCTAAAGACATGTAAGTTTGATTTAAAAAAGAGATAATCAGTCAACCTAGCCTTGTGTAGAACCGTATGTACCGTGCATGCCTTCGCCAGACGAACATATCGATCAAGTTGAAGACGGTCATAACGAAAATTGATATCACGTGGCAGTTGACTGCAAATACTCGGGTTTTCCAAAATAGTGGGAGCACCAAGATGCATCCGAGCAGGACCAGAGGGTTCATGAGATACACATATGGGATGAGCTTTGATGCTGAGAAAGGAGCATAATCATCGAGAAAGATGGGTTCGAAGGACATTTTGAACCCAATCCATCGGCTACTGGCGGCGAATATATACTGTGCCCATTGTTGCGCCAGCGACAATGGCCAGAGGCGATGTTCTAACAGAGACGCGTATATCATTCTACAATCAATTAGTGACCCTTCCCAACTCGGAACTTGGGCGTACGACCATCAGGGCCCAATTTGCACTCGTTGTGGCACCGTCGGCAAGAATTGACTGCTGGTGGGATGCCTTCGCAGAATTATGCCTAATTTCCCTCTTTTTTAACGCACTGCAGTGGTGTCATTCTGAACATGAAGTCTATATCCACTCCGAAGACACTCAGTCAGTACAAACGAGGCCAGTTCGATAGTGGTACAGACGGCGCTGTAGCACACGCACTGACACTCGGGATTGCAATTCTGTTGCGTTTGTTTTGGGGCGACTCCTACTCACTGGCTACACCGTATCACCTATGAACGACCACTTCACTGACGATCTGGCACCAGCGGCCAATCTATTGGGATCTAACAGCCTTTGGTCACCTACAATCATGGAAGAACTCAGAAGAAGACCTAAACGAGGGCTACCGTCAATTGAGCTGATTATTATGACCAAGCTCGAGGACAGTGGCTCCTGGGCCAAACATTTTGCCTCGGAATTGGCAGAGGAGCTCGCGCAGTGTATACTCTATGAGCCACGGCGCTCGTCACGATGGACCTTCCAAGCGAGGACCATGAGGTCAAGGTCAACCAGCTTGACTATGGTTCTGCCCGTGTACCCACTCCGAAGACCTGAACATACTCAGTCAACACGGTCCTCTCCTTTGGAGTTCATGAATGCACCGGCTGGAGGGGTGACACTTCCATCCAGCCATTGTCGAGAATCTTGTTGCGTGACACTATTCACAAGCGACGACCGTCTTGAACGACTTGGTCAAGGCATTCAATGCTTTTATGGATTTGAAGACAACTACAGACGTCCAAGAACGCGCCATAGTCAATACTCGACAATATGCCTCAGGGAATCCCTTCCCCACTTCTACGACTTCGTCCAGAAGGGGGGCCTGCTCGGCTTCGTTGCAAGTCCCGGCCAGAGACAGTTCGTAGCCGGCTTCATACAAAGAAGAATCGGATGGCACTCTCGACTCGTGATCGCCATGGTACGTTTCGCGTCTGATACTCGGATTAGACCTCGATGCACGGTCGGCAAGCGTCGTCGATTCAAGGGTACTCAATATTCAACAAGAGGAAGTAGAGGTCCCCGGAAGTTTTTGATTCTACATTTGTGGGGCCCGCTTCAAGACTCCCCAAGAATATGCCCAGCAAATGGTTGGCTTCACGCTAGTATACCCACTAGAAGCTCCCTGGGAAATCTCCGACCTCTTTAATGCCTTCAAGTCGCGACCAAAATTGGAGTGATAGTGGACATACCCCGACTTCCCCACCGTCGCAAGATCTGGAGAAATTTCGACTCCGGTCTCGGCCGGTTGTCCGCAAGGACGAATCGGAAATCATTCCAAGTTTCTTTGTGGTCATAAGTCCTCACTTCTAGGTCGATTGCTTGGTAGATGTTCGCCGTGGCGACATGCTTGATGACTGGGATTCCTAAGTGGAGGATCTAAGAATCATGACTGCTTAAAGATTCCTTATGAAGCTGAATATGTGACACAATTTGTATACAGGACTACGTGTGCATCAAGGTAACCTCTATCAACAATGATTTATATTGCATTCCTCCCATCCATAACATCGAGGGCCGTGTGGCTCAATGGCTAGAGTGCTTGACTACGATAATGTAATCAAGAGGCTGCAGGTTCGAGTCCTGCCTCGGTCACGTTCCCTTTTTGCGTCCCTGACCCGCCGCGCCATTTGCGCGGTCCTTTCTCCACCAAAATTTTTACTTATTCGCGAATCTCAATCTAGATGATCATCTATTTATGAATAATATACACTTGGGCAACAAGCACGGCGCTCGAGGTTGCCATTGCTACTGCGATTGGAAGTAGATTTAGTTTGGCGAATTGACCCATTGTAACCACAATTCCTTTTGCAAACAACAGCCTTTTCCATAGTAGTCCGGCGAGAGACGCGGGGAAAGAAAAGGTGAATGCGCCATAGTTTGATCCAAGAGCGAGCGCAAAAATGGCAGCATCTTTGATCCGTGGAGGTGGATGCGAGGCCTCGATCCACAATTGTAGCACCCTCGCAAGGAGAATGGTTGCGCCTATGTTGGTCCCAAAGAGCTATCGGAGAATTCAGTGCAAGAGTCGCAACTGTCTTGCGACATACATTACAAAGGATGCAAGAGATCAACCCCATGCCAAATACGGCTCCAACGGGTCCCGTTCGGTTCGCCCAAACCGCCCACCAACTCGACCACACCTGCACCCAGCCTGTCACGACCAATCCTTGAATGAGAATGAACATGGAAAACGAAAAGAGGACGAGTGAGAATGGCATGAGCTTCAGTACCGAGATGACGGTCGGGAACATGCGGTGAAGGCGACTGGGTGTGGCCTCTTCCTTTGGATCTCGCGGTGTGGTTGTGCCACTCTGTTCCTGTGGATTTACTCTCTCTGAAGGAAAAGGTGGTGGCGGCAGAGTTTCCGACTCTTTCTCTGGATCAATCGTCGACGATGGATCCCGCTTTCTATAATTACGCAGGTCGTAGACTAGATCTCGTAGAAATACAATTACCGCGGGTGGAACAGTGACGAGATAGACCTGTGGATGCAAGAAGCTCGTCGCGACGAGCGTGACAAGCGTGAGTACCAGGATCACGGCACCGAAGATTCCACCAAAGGGATCGACGAGAACCGATCGAGGTGAGAGCGTGATTCGTTTCATCTCTCTTGGAATCAACTCTGGACTGCGGAAAAGGAATATAAGAGTCGGGAGTGTCACCAACGCCGCGATCAGAACGGGAACGATGATTTTGGCGGTATAGGTGAAAAATGAGATAGAAAATGCGCCACTGAGCACCAAATTGGTAGGATTAGAAGAGACAAGGACAGCAGACGCTGGAACAGAGTCAGTTGCGGGCGTTGAGCCTCTGCTCGACGCACCAATGTTGGCAATCACAAATTGAGCGAATATCCAGGCCGTAGGAGGCGAAATCTCCATCTCCCGAGTAAAATATGCCAGAAAAGGAACGCCCGAAAGGATGACCGGATCATTCCCGACGACGACACCCAGGGCGAAGAAGAACGTGTAGATGGCAATATACAGCCTGATGCCAGAGGAACCGCTCCGTGTCGCGACCCAGAAAGCCAAGAAGCGAAGAAACCCGGCTTTGTCAACCGAAATAACCATGTAGGCCTGTGGGACGGTGAGATCATAGGCTATTCCAGGATCAAGAGCCGTACGAGGGAGATGAACAATGCCATCACGTTGAGGGGCTCCACACCATCCGAGCCGACGATTCCCTTTCGGACTTCTTCTCCATGTATGCACTGAGCCGCCAAGAGGATCAAGACTGCCACGACGGGGGCGGTATGAAAGTCTAGTGGTAGGGTCCAGTTATAATGCTCCTTTTCAACGTTGTTGGATCTCCTTTTAAATATCGAGGTGATCCTGGAAGAGATGGGGATATACACTGGCAGAATGACCAGATATTCTGCGAATGACATCAGGCGATCCCCAGAAAAAGCCCTGAAAACCATACCAGCCACTAGGAAGACAACAAGGGTAAATATCGACCTGAAGTTGTGGACAGACATTGGAATGCCTGCTCTGGGCCCAGAAAAAAGAATCGTCAGGATGTTGCAAGGTCAAAGCTAAGATGCAAACGTGCCATGGGGCGACCGTGGCAAAAGTTCTGAATTTGGCAAGAAACTAGAATAAGCACGTATAGTCTACACCTGGGGAACCATAAAGTTAGGCTGGCTCGCGTGAACATCCAGAATCGACAACACGCCGAGCAGACAAGATCGTGATTCGAATGCAATTGCGACGAGATGAAGGAGAGTAGCGAGTTGGATGCGGAATCGCTATGGCACAGTGCAAAATGTTGACACAAACAATGAAACGGAGAACGATACCGCAGGCATGCTATGTGTAGGATCAAAAAATGTTCGTGCGGTGAGAGGGAGAGGGTTGATGTGGGCAGGATGCAGGTGAGAAGGGGAGGGAAAGCCACTAAAAGTTGCTCCAGCTAATGACCTCTTCTCGTATTGGTGTACCCATGCGAGGGACTTTTGAGGGTCCATCGCCGCTGGGCACATGTGGAAACGAGAAGCTATCCCGGCCGGAGACGGAACCCGGGTGCGGACTCGAAGCAGCTGGCAATCGCATGGAGACGGTGACGCCAAGGGATGTGCTTCGCATTGGACGTGTAAACTCGGCATCTCGTGAGCTTGTCTCATCAAACACCCAGCATGGGCAGGTGCCCATTTCCAAGACGCGTTTGCCGCGAGACGAACTGGAGCCAGTAAGACTATTTCTATCAGCGTTTGGCGACACTAGATCATCTGGATCGAGACCGGGGGGAGTAGGAGCGCCACTGGATCCGAGGCCCTCTCTTGCAACGACGCACCACCCATCATCAAATTCTTGGAGTACGACGAGTTCTTCACCGGGACGAAGGACGAGTTCGTCCGGTAAGAGCGGTGCAAATGCGCGAACAACCGTCTTGACCCGCGGCTCAGAGGGAGGCATGCCGACGGCCTCGCCATACGAAGCTCCTGGCAGCTGCTGACCGGTCCATTGGGCATAAGGATGTGATGAAGATGAACTTGCCATCGTCCCCGGGGTTCCCCCAATCGCAAATTGAAAGTTGGCATCGCGCGGGCTTGCGAGGGCTGGAGGTCCGATAGCGACGCCCAGTGCGGCATTGTTCCATGGCAGTAAACTCGATCGTTGGCTACCGACGGAAGAACTTGCAACAGACTCTTGACCACGACGATGCGCTGGGCCAAAGAGGTTTTCCCTCAGCGCTTCCAGTGTCCAGCTTGGTGTCCGTGTGCTACGTCCCTCGTCCGCTCCCGTTGCATTAAAGGCAGTGAAAGAGGACACCGAAGCGTGACCTTCTCGGAACCGTCGTACTCGAAGCCCTCGACTGTCGAGTTCCGCCGCAGTCAGGGGTTCACCACCAAGGAGTGACAATGAATGCCGACCATCCAGGTCGGCTTCGCCGGTCCCTGCTCCGGTGGATGCGCCAGTAATGAGTGTACTCGGGTCCACTCGTCTATAGAGGTCGATGGAATTGGATGCGGAGCCCCGACCAGTATTGCCGTATCCATAGAGGTCGGTTGAGAAAGAGAATGCAGACGGCGATGACGCGCCTCCTAGCATCGGACAAACTGGGTCAGTACGCGAGAAAAACGATCAAAATGTCAACACACACCTTCGTGAGTCTCCCACGGTACCTCCATCGAATAGCCAGACTGCATCGAGTGCCGACTTTCCAGCGGACCATTTCCAAAGTTTGTAAGCGCATCGGTCGACGATCTCGGAGGAAACGCTGTGAGGCCTTCTGTCGAGGGTCGCCAAGGTGTGTTGCTGTTCAATGTATCACCGTACGCGTTGACACCAACTGGTGGTCTCCCGGCGGGAACTGGCGATGGCGATGGAGAGTTTACGGGCGAAGAGAGACCAGCAGCAGCCACGAGAGCCGCAAATCCATTCGAGTTCCCCGCACTTTCTGCCACTGGAAGGTTGGCAAAGCTTCGGCTTGGGCCACCCGTGCTCGTCGAAATGGTGGGTGAACGCCTGGGAAACTGGAATGCAAACGGTTTGAATGGCTTGGGTACGTTTCCAGCTGCCTTGTGATATGCCAACACGTCGTTCTCGAAATTGGCATTGGACTGAGATGACCACAGAAGAGCGCCAAGGTTCTGCGATTGAAGAGGCGTCGGCTGAGGACGACCCGCCGCCTGGCCATATGGCGCCCCATGCACGTTGACATTGGGCGATATGGTAGTGCCATAATTTTGCTCGTTCGACGACTGGGCCCGCGAGAGTGGGCTATTTCCGGTCGCGCCACTCGGCTCCTTTGGCGGCCGCAAGTGATTGGCATCTCCAGGCTGTCGGATACCCGAGCGTTGTCGAGTGAGGGTGTGAGGTGTGGGAGTATAAGAGTTGGGGGGAGTATCGGAGGGTGCAGGTGAGTTGGCGGGTTTGGTTTTACTTGGCACAATGGTCTTGGTGCTCTGGTCAGAGTCACTGAGGGGCTGCGTGAATGAAGGTGTATGATGCAACTGAATCTTTGGTGCATCTTGGTTGTTGTCTCCTTGACTCGTGCGAGCTGGAACGGGCGTGTCGCCAGCTTTGCTACGACGTAGAGAAGCAGAACGTCGACGCTTCTCCAGTTTTCGCGGTCTGCTTGTACTGGACCGACTTCGTACAAGCGGTTCTTGAGGTGGAAGCTCGGGCATGTCCGCAGCCTCTTGCGCATCTATGACGGAGAAGGATTTCGACAGCTGTGAGGGAGCTCTAGCTCGCATCGGTGGTCGAGGGTTGGAAGGTCCAGCAACATTCGGGGTAGACTGTTGGGGACTATCCGAGGAGGAATGGCGAAGAGGGGATGGTGTTGTGGGGATAGAAGGCGAGGTCGAATATAAGGGCGTGACGGAAGAGGGCGAGTTCCATGACGAGGATTGGGCCGTATAAGGAGATGCAGCTTGGTGCGGGTTAGGGGAAAGGGAAGGTAGGATGATAGATTGAGGCGCGTTTGAGGTACCGTGCGACTTTGATGCGAACTGTGATGCTGGTGCGAGAGGATCCCTTCCCAGTGGCATGTTCCTAGTTGACATGAGTAAAATGTCATCCCATACGCTCTGTTTCAGATAGCGCCAGACCAGAGGGCTACTCACGGGTCGAATTTGTATTCGGTGCCGTCGCTGCCGACATGAGCAAACGGACCACCAGAAGCGCCATCCTTGCGAGAGAAATCAGAGACGCCGTTTTGGACATTGTTTTGAATTTTCTGCTCGTGCTCAGTGTCCTCGTCGCCGAGCCTCCTCGCTTTCAGTCGTCCTCCGATCGGGTTCACCCGCTTGTTTCGCCTTCGTTTGCGTCGAATGAGAAGCACAATTAGCCATGTCCCCAATACGAAGAGTGCAAATGCCGCTGCGACGAGCCCAGCCAGAGTTGATACGGAGAGCGGCCCCAGCTTGGAGGCTGGCGACGACGGGACCGCATCTGGCGACGACTGCCGTCGTAGACGTATTCGAGATCGTCTCGAGCTCATGGGTGAGCCGGCCTCTGCGGTGCAGCGCCTCTAGATGGCTCGTGGTCAATTATTGCTCCTCTGAGGGTCCCAATAATCGAGAATAAATCGAAGGGCGTAAGATTTTGTAAAGAGTGTCGTTGTTACGATCCCAGAAAGCGTAGTGGCGTGCCAAAGCCAGCTGGAAAAGGTCTAAAGCGGTCGGGTCCAAGTTTATGGCATAGCCCGCTGGGTTAGCTAGCCGTCCAGGGGTGAGAAAGAATTCGAGGAAAAAACCAAATTCAGCCTTGTAGGATTCCGTGTTCTTTTGACGCGAGAGAACAGAGTCGAGACCCGCGTTACGACTAGCTGGCAGTTTGCTTATGCGCCGCTGGCCGTTTGACGACGAGGGGTCCCCCGCGTCAACAAGAGAGTTCTACTCTGGGTCATTGCGGACGCTATTATGCCACCTCATTGGCTGGACTGAACTGGCTGATTCAGTTTCCCAGCAACCCCCTAGAGAGCCTCTGTGCCGACAAACTGATAGCTGGCTCTTGATAGGGGAGCGGGGATCTTACCAGGGTCATTCTTTGCTGGTTCTCGTCGATCTAATTGTTGTCCTGGAGCGATGCATGACGGCCGAGGATGCTCCATTATACCACCAAAATATCCCGTTGAACGCGGGGTAATGCAGCTTGGACAGCGCGGCGGCTTCTTACAACTCAGAGTATCGAAGGTATAACAAGCTCGGGTCGTCAAGAGACTCAAGTGCTGAATCCCATGGTCGACTCACTGAGCGGCTGGTGTTATCGACGGGCGCACCGAACAGACCTCAGAAGGACGAAGAAAGACATTTTAGTTTGAAATAGAATCATGCTCCATCATTTGCAATACGGTTAAAGTCCACGAGGAGGCTAGCGGAGAAACTGAAGAACGTCTGGGCATGCAGTCAAGCAAGCCACGGGTGAAATATTCTGCCTTGGAATGCTTGAAATTGCGCTTGTTGATGCCTGTTTGCGTGGTAAACTCACACTGATCGTTGCCGTGAATCTTGACATACAGAAGGGAATACAGCATCCTCGATACCGAGGGATATCTTGCTCCTGGCCTGTGAATAGGAACACAAAGTCTATACATTCACAGCTCCTCCATCTTACAAGTAAGACAGCCGTGGACAAAGCCCGGAAGACCCGGAAGGCCCGCCTTATTGTTCTAAGAGTGATCCTTTGAGTCTAATTTCAGTCCTTATGGTCAAAGCTTACTCGGCGCCTACAATGTCCGAGTCGAGCTTTGAATGAGGCAGCACATACACCTCAGACCGCGCGCCCACCATCCTGTTTGCTCGTTTGCTCTCGTTTCCTCATTTTCTTCAAGAATAGTTGTTGTTATCATGTCAAAGGTCGGTTGACGCCTTCTCGCAGTCGTTACAACCGTCTTAGCGCCTTGTTGTCAGAACATTCGCGAGTATAAGCTTATTGTCGTTGGAGGTGGAGGTAAATCACCGCCAATTGAGTGTCCAAAACATTTATTAATCATGTATCTGATCAGGTGTCGGCAAATCGTGCCTCACCATTCGTTTCGTCGAGAACAAATGGTCCGCCGCCTCAATGCAGCGTCTTTTTCAACGCTGACCCAAGTTTTAATCAATGCCTCATGCGAATCATCGTTCGGCTGCTGCGGTTTGTTGTCACATGGGTTTGCAGGAACGATTACTGGGACCCGACCATCGAGTACGTGCTATTCTTGGTTTTGACAGGATTTGACAACCCCTCAGAGATGCATATGTGAAAAAATGTGTTATCGACAACGAAGAAGCCAGTGAGGAGGTCGATTCATATCTCGGAATATGCCAACCATTCGTCTAGTTTTGTCAGTTCTCGATACAGCGGGACAGGAAGAATGTAAGTGGCTCCCATTATTGCAAATACTTTGAAATTGACGACGGCCCAGATGCGGCGATGAGGGAGCAATACATGCGGCCCGGAGAGGGATTCTTGCTTGTGTATTCCATTACTGACCGGAGCTCGTTCGAAGAGCTCGAAGTGTTCTATGAACAAATCCTCCGCGTCAAAGACCGCGACTACTTCCCCATGATTGTCGTTGGTACAAAGTGCGACGCCGAATTTGACAGACAAGTCCCTTCCAGCGGTACGTCCCTTGCAAATTCCAGACAAGAGTCTCACAAACCGCCAGAGGGAAGAGCCCTCGCTGCACGCTTGCGAGGTCGTCATATCGAGACCTCTGCAAAGGAGCGAATCAATGTCGATGCTGCATTCATCGAACTCGTCAAGTTGATCAAGAGTTATCAAAAGGTTTGCCAATTTTTAAACGTCGGCTGAACGACGGCCTGACACACCTCTCAGGAGCAATATCAAGCACGTCTTCCCGGCAGACAATCGATGATGCCGGATCGCCAGCAACTCGCTCAGGACGACTATCATGGAAAGAAGCGTGGATGCGGCTGCATCGTTGCCTGAGCTCTGAAACAGGTTCAGCAACTTTGTTGTCAAAGCCAGTTCCTTGAGCTCTTAAGCACACTCACAACAGTTCACTGACGGAATCTATTGTACCATTATCTCGCTGATTGGCTTGTCGCCTGGCGGCTGCCACTCCTGCGCCTGTTTATCCTCTACTACCCAATAGAACGATGCACGTGTACCCTGTGTTAAACACCCTATACGCGTGTACAAATATTCTGTTTCCTTTCAGCCTACTGCCCGTCCGGCTCTGGCTGGGCTCGCGCGGGAACCTCCGTCGTTTGACACCTTGGAGTCGTTCCTCGTCGACGGTCGTTTCCGCAACTCCCTGTAAAAATCTTCAACAAATCTTAGATTGTCGTAAATCATGTCTCGGGTTTGTGTCTTGTTCCCCCCGAGCCTGCGCTCTTCGACAAACCCTGGTGCAGGCGCGCTGACGACCCGATAGGCACAGTTTTTGCGAGAGTACAAGCTCGTCGTCGTCGGTGGTGGTGGTCAGTCCATATTTGCATTCGAGCGCCTTGTTTTCTGCGTCTCCCAGTCGACCGCGCCGCTCACGCTGTTCCAAAAGGTGTCGGCAAGTCTGCGCTGACAATCCAGTTCATTCAATCCCACTTTGTACGTCTGGTTCATCGCATTCCCGTTGGTATACAGCACGCTGACAAGCACATTCTCGCTTTGTCGTTCTCTAGGTTGACGAGTGAGTGCTCCCCGAGTGGTTCGGCCAGACTTTTGACTGGGTGAATCCGTCTTGTATCGGCGTCTTGTCCCCTAGATATGATCCTGTAAGCCGTTTCCGCCGACGCCGTTGGCTTTCAGGCACTCAACGTCCACCCGCTTTAGACCATCGAAGACTCGTATCGCAAGCAGTGCGTGATCGACGATGAAGTGGCTCTCTTGGACGTCTTGGACACGGCAGGACAGGAGGAATACGGGTGGGTACTCTTCACCGGCCTGAGAAGCGCCTCATAATGAGATTCCATCAGAGCCATGAGAGAGCAATACATGCGCACCGGCGAGGGCTTCCTCTTGGTCTACTCGATCACATCCCGCAACTCATTTGAAGAAATCTCGACTTTCCACCAGCAGATTCTCCGAGTCAAGGACAAGGACACCTTCCCCGTTGTCATTGTCGCCAACAAGTGCGACCTCGAATTTGAGAGGCAGGTCGGCCAAAACGGTGCGTTTCTCTGGCACTGTGGTGCCTAGATTTTGTCCATACTCATTTACCCCAGAGGGCCGCGATTTGGCCAAGCACTACAACTGCAAATTTATTGAGACCTCGGCCAAGCAACGCATCAACGTTGACGAGGCATTCAGTGCTTTGGTGCGGGAAATCCGTCGCTTCAGCAAGGTAAGGAGTATTCCGAGGCAGGCCCTGAATCCCTTGTTGACTTGCTGTCTCAGGAGCAATATCAGGCGCGCTCCAACACTGCTCCTGGTGGCGGAATCGGTGGTGGTGCTCCGACGTACGACCGTGCAGATGCAGGCCATTCGGGAGGCTGCTGTGGCGGATGTGTGGTACTGTAAGCAAAAGTTCGCAAAGGGGCAATTAACGTCGCTGTCGCCACACCTGTCTTAATACCGATCCCATCACCCTATCTTGGAGCTCTGCTTCTCGCCCTACTTTGTCAGTATTGTTCTATACCTCCTTTCTATGCTATTTCCATCAGCCAGTCGTTGGTCCATTCGACGTCGAATGTGCTTCTCACTTGTACATTAACTGAGAAGCTCTCGTGAATGCACGGATTTTGCTATGAAGTCTTGGTTATTTGTGAGCCTGCGTGTTTACTTCAAAGGGGTTGTGAAACTTGAACCCGACCACGACGAGAGAGTCCGCTGGAACCGGCCATGGCGGGCGTTTTCGCGGTCTTATTATATAACCTTCAGCGCTTTGATGCGTTTCTTGTCGATGTATTATTCCAGAATGTGCAGCGGATGCACAATGCACATGGCACATCACCAGAGAGGCCAGTTCATGGCCACATTTCGAATCCTAACCAAGAACTACCGTCATGGACAGCCGATGGATTCTCCAGAATGGACTTTGCCGACGCCGACGTTGTGAGTATTTCCCCTTTGACCCCTCTGATGCACCGCTAATCTCGTCATGTTCAATCCTCTTGGACAATATGTGCTTCTAGATTGCTCTTCAAGTCGCTCCTTGGACATTCCTTACATCATCTTATGCCATATCACTCCTCTTAATGGTCAGGCCAAGCCTCTCGAGACAATTGTCGTTGACTGACATTGTACAGGCTATTGTTATCAATAGGATCCAACATATCGTCGCTCCCGTTCACGAAGTACATGCAACCGGCCTTGGGTCGTGGCGTTCCAAGTTGCTACCAATCGATCCTACGTCCACACGCACAAGGTTCCTCATTCGTTCAATATCCCTTTATCTCCTTTGGAAGTCTTTGATCTGTCAAGCCATCATTCTACTGCAGGCATTCGACCTGTACCCAAGCTCAAGCGTCTTCGCTCCCTTGGGTCAGTCGATAGGCATGTTGAGTATGGTCGACGTGTGCTGGTCCTCGTTTGTCGCAGTCTGTGCTGCCATGACGATCAATACATTTACCCGTAGTCTCGACGGCAGGTAAGTCATCCAATAGCAGGCCAGATGTCCACTGAAATCGTTTCAGCTCTTCCTCATCCAGTTTCAATCTGGTATGTGCCTCTCTCAGAGCAAATATCCTGAGCTCATCATCGTCCAAAGCCTCAATACGCCTTTCTATTACATCTCTACTCCTCCCCTCTAGGTAGCGTCTTCAACAGAGTATCAGATCCTCTGGCTGGTAAAAGACTAGCACCTCGACCAAACCGACACGTCTTGGTCACCATATTCCTTCCCCTTTTGCAATTGACAATGCTCCACACACAAGGGGTATGGAAGCGATATAGTCGTGATTCCTTGATCCCTACATCCATCTGCGGACTCTTGGGTCTGGTATGATGCTTTTATCTCTGTGGCAATTTACTAACGCATCACCTAGCTGCATTTCGCGCACACGTTCTGGACCAAACAAATCATATATTACCCACTATTGCAACTCGTGCCCTCTGGACTCGAGTTGATACTAGTTCTAATGATCGCGTTCACTATGGGATTGAATATCGTCTCACAACTGCTCACCACTGGTCGTGTAGCACGTCCTCTATTTGGACCAGGCGCTAATGCGCTCCCGAGCCGTGATGAAGAGTATGCACTCGCTCTCGTCCGACTCGGCACGAGCTGCGTTGATGCTACTAGCGTTGCTGGTTTGGGAAACGAGGTCGCGACCGTCAATTCGGCAAAAACCAAAGAAGGCACTCTGCGACTGGGGCAATCCGAAGTCGAAGCTATCGAGTTGCCAGAGTATGCTCGAAAGAGCACTAGGGGTCGTCGAAAGGTCAATCCGTTTACCGTCGAGATCAAGACGATTCGTGCAGCTTCCAACGAAGGAGAGATGTGGATCAATGTGATCTGGATCAAAGAGCTTGGCAAGTTTGGTCTCGCTCTTTGGAAGTTTGCTCGTGGTGTGTGGATGATGGTCAGAGGACGAAGACCAAGCCCTCCGAGTAACGTGGACGTACTGGAACTTATCAGGGAGGAGACACCACCTCGGCGATTATCCGAAGATCGACAGCCGGACGTTTATCGACAGTTCCTTTCCGGTGAAGCCATTGCCGATGGGGATTCCGAGTTCGAGCCCGATGACGACGATGACGACCACACGCTCGATTCTGATTCTGACGGAAGCTTGGAGTCCCGCTCGACTCGGTCCCCTAGCGTCGAACGAGAACACGCAGAAGAGTCTGGTGGGCTTTTCATCGAACACTCTGAACGAGCCTCTACGCCAATCGCACCTGTTCTTCTGGCGCATTTGACCACCTCGTCTTCGTCACCACTTACTCGCCGTCGCTACAGCTCTTTACTCAACAAGAATGATCAAACAGAGGACGGAGTTTCTTCTGCCCACGCCATATCTCGAACCGAATACTCCCACTCCTCGCCAGCGAGACCAATTGACCTAGAAATTAACCATAAGCTTTGTGTCATTTGTATGACGAGTGACAGGGCGATCATATGCTGGCCTTGCAGGTCTGTGTTATTCATCCGGTCGTATGGACCTCAACTGACTGCGGACTCTTAGATGCCTGTCCATGTGTGAGGATTGCCGCAGCAATCTCGCGTCACGAACGGGACCATCAAGGCATACTTGCCCTTGTTGCAGACAATCGTGCGTAGTTCACTGCAGCACAATGGCCATTTAATAACCCTGTCGCAGAGTTGAGGGCTTTTCTCGCATTTTATTCCTTAATGATCCATATTGGCATCGGCAGGAGACGGCCATTCCTTTTGTTTAGTCCAAACATTACACAGAATGTGAAGTCGAATTGTGCTAGCACTCTGGACCGCTACGCAGGAGTCTTGTCAGCTTGTCCGTTCCTTCTTCGTCGACTCGTCGACTCTTCAGCCGTAACAACAAAGTTCTCGACTTTGAGACCTCGCCTTTGTCGGATTCGAGCCCGAGCTTCGAGGACTGTACGGACGAGAATCGACGTACTCTCTTCATTGCTGAGCCTTTCTCCCAACTTGTAAAGCTCTTGCTCCTCTTCGTCGCTCAGAAGCTCCAGTTTTGCTCGCTTGCCTGCACGGAAGAGTAGGAGTTGTATAACAGCCTCACCAACAAGCACGTCACAAACAAACTGGCAATAGTTTTCAGCAAGAGTTCCTTCTAAGTTCGGAAAGAGTCACCAATGTCTTGTCGTTGAGTTGCAGACTCTCGTATCGTTCGCTTCCCCGAGGGCGATCTAGAGTCTTTGAGTATGTCAGTAATAGTCAAAAACATCTGTGCGACTATGCTCACAAGCGCGCGTGGTGGATTTTGTTCTTCGAGACGCGTTTGCCGATTCGAGTGGCTGTTCTTTGGTAGCGCCCATTGGTAGACGAGGCGACTAAAGACGTTCCACTCAACCTCTGCAAGGTGTCCACCCTGAACAGGGTTGTTGGTGATGATTTGACGTGTCGCAGGATCCATCCAACGATTGATCCTCTCTTGGGAAGGAGGGTAGGATTCATTGAGAATTTTCTGCAGAAATGGTATTACGTAGGCGAATTGCTCTTCGATGCCCATTTCTTCGAGAAACACGCGGGGTTTCGGAGGGGGATCGTCCGGTGGAGGGAGCGATGCCAAGTCGACATCTAGAGGTTCGTCCTCCTCGTCTGCAGTATGGCTGTTCTTTTCTATCCACGTAGCAATCTTGCGAGTATCAAGCTGACGGGTATCAGTTGTCGCTCGGGACGATAGAAGACAAGACACCTTGCAGGCTGCAAACTCAGCCTCATCTTTGTCATACTGCGTATAGAAACAATCTCTCGTCAGCTCACCCACCCTCCAGTCGAAAAAGTCGATCTTGAAACGTGGTTTGGACGATGGTTTCGTTGGCGCGATATATTCTGCCACTTTCGCGGGCCAGTATTCCTTTGCCTCTGGTCGACCTTTGCAGAGGACCGCTTGACCAACATATTCGAGATAGGGCGAGGGAGACGGTGGGGACCAATCAGGAATAGAGTCTGTCTCCTCGTCACTACCGGCGGGCTCAGAAGCGTTTAAGTCGTCTTGGGATTCGACTTCGTCGTCGTCGTCGTCGTCATCATCTCTGATGAGCTCACGCACCGCATCCTTGAACTTTTTCTTGTCCACAGCTTCGCCGGACTGGAAATTTGCGTCGGTGTAACGAGGTATAGGTGGCTTGACCCAGAAGGGTTGCAAGTAAGGAAATGAGTAATGTGCCAAAGTGATAAGACGGGATGGTCCATTCCCATCATCCCCATATAAGCGATATGTGACCTCGTCCATCCTTCCAGATTCAACCTTCTGAAAAGCTAAGCATGACGCGACCGGGTTGAGACGTTAGCGACTCTACCTGTGCTGGCCACCAGTATCCGTTGTTATTGGTCGATCTTGTTGCGACACCATGCAGATCTAGCCTCACAAATGCCTTTGATGGAGTCAACGGAGTAGGGGTGAGGGGGAGGGGTTGGCTGGACGTCATTTGAGTCTGAGACGCAGTCGGACGTTCTTCTCCATGCATTTTCGAGGGTTGGAATGCGCCAGCGCCGAAGCTCCTGCCACGGTCTTTGACTCTCTTTTTGGGCGAGTTCTCTACCAGGGTGTCGTCACGCTTTCTTTTCGAACCTGTGATTGGATTGTAGCGCATGTCGTTATCATCACTTGTATCACTCTCTGCATAGGAATGTTTAATGGTGCTCCTCTTGGGTCGTGGGTCTACTCCCTTGCGAGAGTCTTCCTGTTCGTGAATGCTTGAGACTGTCGCTGGGGGTTTTACAGATGCGATGCTATCTACGTCTGAGAGCTCGCCGTCGAATATGTCGCTCCAAGATGCCACCTCGGCCATGATTTGTGCGCCCTGTACACCTAACACGCGCAATTACCGCGAATTGTAACGTAAAAAGGATGAATTTTGTGATGACAGGCTTTGACCCGAGCTGCGTTGGTGGTCGACCGGCGTTGTAGTGGTCTGAGATTCTTGAGATTCTTGACCCCGAATTCTTCATGCCGCCGCCGACGCAGTTTGACCCATGGCTCGCTAGTCGTCGTTTTGGAATTGTAATTGATGCAGGATCCTCTGGATCTCGCATTCAGCTGTACAGTTGGCGGGACGCGAGGATTGTACAGACAGAACTCTCTCCAGCTGGCCTGGCGACATTGCCAATCGTCGAAACGGCGACAAAGGACCCTGAAGATTCAATACGCAAGATTGAGCCAGGTATGTAGAGCGTTTGGACCACATCGCTCAGCGCACCTGCTCACTTTGTGTTTGCTCTTGTAGGGCTCTCTACCTTTGGCACCGACCCAGAGGGAATCTTTGAATACCTGAAACCCCTCATTCAGCACGCAAAAGCAGAAATTCCTCCCCATCTTCATGCCGAGACTCCACTCTTCTTGCTCGCCACCGCTGGCATGCGGCTTTTGCCCAAACCACAACAAGACGCGGTCCTACGCAAAGTCTGTCAGTACTTCCGAGACTATACGACCTTTAAAGTTGAACGGACGAGCCCACTCGGACACTGTGGATCGAGCGTCCGGATAATATCTGGCGAAGAAGAGGGCTTATTTGGATGGATAGCTGTGAACTATCTAATGGAAGCATTCTCTAATGGCTCAAAGGATGCCAACACGTATGGATTTCTGGATATGGGCGGTGCATCTACGCAGATTGCCTTTGAGCCCAGAGACCAGACATCCGACCTAACAAGGGTTCGTTTGAGACTTCTCAACGGCAAAGATATTACGCACAACGTCTTCGTCGCAACGTGGCTGGGTTATGGTACCAACCAGGCCCGAGCACGCTACGTCGGAAATCTGATTGATACCGTCGAAGAAAAGGAGGGACACCACGATTCTATAATTCCGGATCCATGTCTTCCTCGAGACTTGAAGCGCGCAGAGTCCTCGACTCGAAACAAAGCCGCCAGTCCACATTCGCATAAAACCCACACTCTCGTTGGCACTGGGAACTTTACTCAGTGTCTTGAGCAAAGTGCTCCACTTCTCAACAAAAACGCTCCTTGCCAGGATATTCCATGTCTGTTTGGAGGGAAGAAGACGCCGACGATCGACTTCTCCGTTTCTCGCTTCGTCGGAGTCTCAGAGTACTGGTACTCATCGGAACAGATCTTCAATTTGGGGGGCGCATACAACTTTGTGCAGTACGAACAAGCCGCGACCAAGTTCTGCGGACAGGAGTGGCGTTCCATCCTGGCACACCACGAGTGGACAAAGAAAAAGGGAAGGCTTGGTGGCGACGGAGAAATTGAAGAGGACGGAAAAGTGGTCGGTCTCGGAGTTTGGGGCTCAACTGTCGAAACTCACCGACTGGAGCTGCAATGTTTCAAGGCTGCCTGGATTGTCAACATTCTACATGAAGGATTTGGAATGCCTCGTGTAGTTGATCCGGGAGGAAACTCTACAGATACCAGCGCGGTCAATCATGTCGACCACAGTGCTGAAGGAAAGGGGTTCAAGCGGCCACTTTTCCAGAGTGCCGATAGTATTGGGGATACTGCCATAACGTGGACCCTGGGCAAGATGGTCATCGAAGCGAGCAAAGAGATTAAATCTACGACAGGGGACGACACTCCCATCATGGATCCATTGCAGTCTCAACCCGACTTTGATCGGATGCCCACGTCACAAAGTGGTCTACTGGACTACTATGGGAGAAAATGGTCACATCGACTTCCGACATCACTACAGGGCGAAATGATGGGTGTCCCGATCATTGTGGTCCTCATCTATATCGCTATGCTCGCCATTCTGGCATTCATCTACCTCAAACTGAAGAAACGACTGCGCATGACGTTTCGACGCTTTCTTCGACAGACAGGTCTCCGGATAGAGCGGGACGATGCCATGGAAATGCAATATACAAATGGCTCGTCATATTCACCCATTTCTCCAGTCGCAGGCGGTAGTATGGCATTGTCACTGCGTCGCTTCGCAGCATCCATTATGTCAGCACTACAACCATCACAACGACATCCCAGGCCGCCTTCATATTACCCAGATGGGGATCACTCTGATGCCTACCCCCGTGCTAATGGCACAGTTTCACGGAATCCAAATACTTTTTCTGAAGCTCGCTACTCGGAGTCCTCGAGGGGCTCTTCTCCTCCACGCTCTTTGACTGGTCGTCGGCCCGCTGACGAGATTCGCGGTGCTATACCGGCCAAGGCACTCTATAATAGTCTCTCTTCACTAACTCGAACTCAAAACTCTAGCTCGTCTCTTAGTTTGTATCCCCGCTCCACAGCCTCGTCGTTACTTTCAAGAAGTGGGGCACAAACACCTGTAGGCGATAGTTGACATGTACTCGAGGAGTTGGTTATCATTATTCCTATATAGGACCTGCCGTTGATGACACTCTTGTGAGGTGAATACACAAAACGTCGAAAGTGAATCCGAGATAGATTATTTTTGTCTTTATATTGGCCATTTTATATCTTATACAACTCCTAGATGGTCCAATGGTTAGGATTTGTCGCTCTCACCGACAGGGTCAGGGTTCGATTCCCTGTCTAGGAATTCTTTTTGATTCTCTAGTATTCTGCATCTATATCTTTCTTTTTGTCCAAAATTTGGAAGGAGTGAACGTGGATTAGATTGACTGACTATATCTGCGTATAATTTTGCAAGTCTGGAGCCATGTAGACCTCTAAGACACCCTCAAAACGGTCATCCCAATGAACATCATCTCGCAGGACCTGCCAACCTTCCAGGTCTTCCTTCCACTTTAGCTCCTTCTTAAGACGTTGGCTCCGAAGCTCGACTTCGGTAGCTGGTGGGTTTGCCTTCTCGCTCCGAGTCGGCTCCCTCTCGCCGTAAGCCAACTCACGTGCGACTTTAACCTTGGCAGGGAGCTCTTTATAATACTCCTTCTTGGCATCCTCGATTCGTTTCGGTAGCTTCCTCCATGAGGTTTTGATGTATTGCTCGGATTGCTTGTCAAAGTCGAGGTCGCTCGGGTAGCCCTCCGACTCGCGATTTCTGAATGGACGCTTTTGACCCATGACGACATTGAAAGCGGCTTCTGCGCCGGAGCGAACGCGGTAGCGTTCCGTAAAGAAGTCATAGATCATATAAGGGACCTGTTTGAACCCCAAATGACTGGTATATGGAATGAGACCAAAGGCTGGTTGTGGAGGAATGGATGCTGGCGGCACGTCAAGGGCGGTGACTGGAATGGGCTTCGAGGGCTGCTGTCGCTGGAGCTGTCCAAATACTGATACCTTTTGGTTCGTATTCAGAACATTTGATGGTGGTGAGAGTGGCGAGGAAGTGTTAAATGACGAAGGCGAAGGTAGTTCACCATCCTGAGCCTGGATTGTCTGGTCCGCAAACGGCTCGTCAGAGAGAGTTTGAGCAAACTCTTCCTCGACATCTCGGGGCATCATAGATTCCGACCAGCCTCTTCGCAGCCCCTCCATATACTCTTTGAGGGTGTGTCTTCCAATGATGACGGTTCCACCCTCCAGTTCTCGCTTTTGCCGCGCTGCTGGAGCTCTGTCCCCTCGGAGAGGCTGCACCTGTTGAAGCAGCTCATCATGAGATTTTTCCAGTCCAGCCATTTCTCTCCGTCGTTTTTTGATATCATCAACAATCTTGTTTGTCAATGCGCCATAGTGATTGCCATTGATGATATCGAAATCTATTGCAGCAGCAACAAATATCGGCTAAAAACGCATGAGTTCGTTGGACGAAGAGGACCAGCCGCCAGAAGACGCATTGGTAAGACAAATACATAGAAGAGGACTTACTTTTACATATTTCTTAAAGTACTTCATAGTACGTTCATGGTCTTGGTCCTCAGGATAGCGACACGAGTAGACTTTGACTTTTCGTCCCCATTCCGCATTCCCAAGGGGCTCTTCTGCCAAATGTCTCACTTTGGAGATATATTCTTCGCGTATTTGCTTGCATTTTCGCCTGTCGTCGACGTACAAAGTCGCCAGCGAGCCGACAACTCCGATGAAAATAAGCCAATTCCGTGAAGGAAGTTTCGGTCGTTTCTCTAGCCAACTTGGAGGTATTCCCGTGAACCTGAGGGCAGCATAGAGACCTCCTTTTTGTGGCGCTGACTCTGTCATGTCGAGCTCCGACACTGGCCGGCTCGAAGTTGTGAACTTTGTATCTTGGAGCTAGCTATCACCCCCATTGTGCTAATTGCATCCAAAAAAACGCCCAGTGATATTCTACAGACATTTCGCATTACAACCTATGGGCTGAAAACGCCTCGCGTGATTCGCACGGACCAAGCCACTTCGAATCAGCAGAGCTCTAAAGCCTCGAAACCTGAATAACCACTAGGATCTTTGCAGGAATCCTCTGCTCAAGACATACTAATGGACAGGTTGAACTCCTGGCGAGAAGACTCGCTGACAAGGTCGTGGCCTGTGTGCTGAAGCTTGAGCATAGCATTATTGTCTTGTCCGTGAAGAATCAGAGTGGATCAGGAAGTTTGGACATAAAGGAGAGTTACCCATCATGGCCATATTGTGCCTTGTCGGTTCAGGTGGCATGAAACAAGTAGCTTCTCATGCCGAATTGTTTCTCTTCCAACGATTTGTAAGTAACCCATTACTTCTTATGCATGGTTAACCTACCGAGTGCAGAGAACCGGCGAGCGAATAGGCAGCAATCCCGCCGCTCATCACAGTTGATTGATTCCAGCCCTGGCTAGGGGGAACAGTTGCCGGTATCTGGTCGGTTTCACGGAGGAACGGCCCACCCACCCGTCGTTCTGAGCACAAAGTCGAGCATCTGTGACCTCTTCCCGCATCAGAAGCCATCGATTGGATCTCAGCCTGTACTGCTGACCTCCTCGAGTATATCGCTCGTAGCAGCTACATCCGAAGAGACCCCGACCTCTTAATCTCGCCCTTCTTGCTCCCTGGTCTTACTGGTTTCTTGCACCCCGACTAGCACACATGAAGGCAAATGTGTCCTAGGTTCACTGTGCGAAGAGACTGACCTATTTTCAGTTCAACGACGGATATTGGCTGCTGAAGGATGGCGTCAGACCAGCCTATGGCATCCAGGTAACCAAAAGCTCATTCAACAGCGACGTTTTGAATTTGAATGTCTCATCCAAAATCATTCGTCATCGAGGTGATACTTTGGGGGGTCTGTGGAACCTGTTCTCTGGTCCAAACCAGCTGAGCACCCGCAATAGGTCCTGTTTTCGATGTCAACTTTCACTCTCCTACCGAAAATGTGGTTGGAGTCAGGATAACTCATTTCAAGGTCAGAAGTTTTGCCGCTTGAAGCACAAAGTAACGGTTCAAAAGGGCGTTCGACCAGCCACCCCGGCAATCCCCTTATTTCCAAACGCGCAGGCAGTGCCATCGAAACCAACGGCTACTACCGGGGAGAGCCCATCTTTCTCAACGGGTGATCTGAAGGTCGTCATTCGGCCATCGCCTTACTCATTTGCCTTCACTGCTGGAGACCGTGTCATCACCACATCGCATCCAAAGTCTCAGTTTATTGCTGACGTTGCTCATCGTTGGACCACCAGCTCCGCTTCATCAACCACTTGTATGTCCAATGACATAAACTCGAACCCATATCGCGAACAGCCTTCGCCTACCGTGAGATACATAACTCAAGAGTTTAACATATCTCCTGGCGAGAAATTTTACGGATTCGGAGAGCAATTTACACCGTTCGTTAAGAATGGTATACCTTTTTTGTCTTTCCGTCCTATCGATCACTCACTCCAATATAGGGCAACATGTCGACATCTGGAACCAAGATGGTGGAACTGCGTCGGAACAGGTGCGTGCCGGATAGTTCTCGTTGACCGGCGGGACACTAATTTGTTCAAGGCGTACAAATGTGTGCCCTTCTATTTCAGCACCGCAGGGTACGGCCTTTTTGTCAACCACCCTGGAGAGGTGGAGTTTGAGGTGGGGTCCGAAAAGGCGTCACGCGTCGCTTTCGCCGTCCGCGGCGAGTCGTTGGAATATTTTTTCATCTACGGCTCCAATCCACTCGAGGTGAGGTCTCTCCGGCCAGAATCTTCTGGGCTCTGCTGACAGTTACTTTTTTGAATCATCCATAAGATTTTGTCACGATACACGCTTTTGACCGGACGACCTGCTCTTCCGCCGTTATGGACGTTCGGTCTCTGGCTGTCGACCTCCTTCCTCACTAACTATGACAGCGAAACTGTCTCCGGATTCCTAGAGGGAATGCAAAAACGCGACTGCCCCGTTCGCGTCTTCCACCTGGACTGCTTCTGGATGAAGCAATATGAATGGTAACATTTTCTCAGAGACTGACGTAACTGCTCTCTAATATTGCGCTACGAGGTGTTCGTTTACCTTTGATCCCGACCACTTTCCCGATCCCGGTCGGTATCTTGCGGACATCAAGAGTAAATATGGTGTCAAAATCTGTCTCTGGAGTATGTCAATCAGTTTGGATTTGCTTGGTCTCTTAACAAATCTTCTAGTTAACCCATATATATCTCAGTTCTCCCCACTTTTCGATGAAGGTGCAAAGGAGAACTATTTCCTCATGCGCACGAATGGCGACATATGGCAGTAAGTACTGCCCCACTGCTATGCACTCATTTTCCAGTATTGATGCTGTGTAGGTGGGACCTCTGGCAACCCGTTCGTGTCTCGCTTGTCCGAACTGGATCGACTTAACCAACTGCGACAGGGCTTAACTATTGTAGATATGACGAATCCAAAAGCACGGGAATGGTACAAGTCCAAACTCGTGGCACTCATGGATTTGGGCGTCGACTGCTTCAAGGTGGAGTAATGCGCGCCGTACTCCCCCGCGCTGATCTTTCGTTGCTCCTTCTATCAATTCAAATCCAAGCAGACAGATTTTGCAGAAAGAATCCCCCATGTCAACGTCAAGTTTCACGATGGGAGCGATCCATACGCAATGCACAATATGTATACCGTCATCTATAACCAACTTGTTTACGAGACATTGGAGGAACGATATGGCAAAGGAGAGGCTGTTCTCTTCGCTCGTAGTTCATTCGCCGGTGGTCAACGGTACGTAGAATTGGGTCATTGGGTTATTACTTATCTGCTTATACCACACAACCTCAGTTTCCCTGTGCACTGGGGTGGCGATTGTGAAAGTACCTTTGAAGGAATGGCCGAGACACTGCGAGGCGGGCTCTCACTTCTGCTTTCCGGGTTTGCATTCAGCTCCCATGATATTGGTGGCTTTGAGGTGCGCGTTCCAGTTTGCGCAAACCAGCGCGATACTAACTCGCCATTAACCCTCACGCCCACCCGACCTCCCGCTTCCTTACCACGCCTTGTCCGCGTCGCCTCACCGCCACTTATCCATTCAATAGGGTACGCCGCCGCCGCCTGTGTATATGCGGTGGCTTGCGTATGGCCTCTTTTCATCTCATTCACGCCTCCACGGGTCTGAATCGTACCGCGTTCCCTGGGTCTATGGCGAAGAGGCTGCTAGCATTCTGGCCAAATATCTCAATGAGAAGCACAGGCTTATGCCATACATCTATGCTCAGGTGCGTCACTTAACCTCGAAACAGAGGTAACAGCTCAACTCGTTCCGCGAAAAAAGGCTATCAAGGCGCATATGCGCGGGGTCCCAGTACAACGCGCAATGCTCGTGGACTTCATCGAGGATCGCACGACACATAGCCTTGATCAACAGTACATGTTTGGGCCTTCTCTTTTGTTCGCTCCGGTCTTCAATGACGACAAGGCGGATACGGAGTACTACCTCCCGCCTGGAGTGTGGACCGCCTACACACCGTTGTTGGGCGACAAGAAGCCACGAGTGATCCATGGGCCACGCTGGGTCAAGGAGTCCGTACCCATGTCTGAAATTCCATGCTTTGTGAGGGCGGGTAGTCTATTGCCGCTCGGTCCACAAAACATGAAGAGGCCAGACTACAACCTTGCGGAGAACTTGGAAGTGAGACTGTATCACCCCGAGGTCGGGACGAAGATTTCGTGTGATATTCCATCGGGACGAGGCATGGAGATTGCGGCCACAGTGGAAGTCGATTGCACGGAGCGCACGCTTTCATTCCGTGTGGTCAATGGCGCCCTCGACCAATGGTCCATTCGACTTTTCCAAGAGTCTAGTCCACAGTGGGGTGAGATTCAAGGCGCGCAAGGCTCTGACACTGAATGCGAGCAATTTGGTGGATATGTGTTCAAGGTCGCCAAGGGTGCAACAGAAGTGACAATTAGTCGATGAGAGAAAACAGAAGAACAAGTGCATAGTCTCGAAATAAAGCTGTGACCGTAATTCTAGGCATGAGCATGAGTCATATCGTGTCATAGGAGCCCAATCATAGGGAAATGCGGGGTGGCATAGAGTGAATGCGGGGTATCAAGCAGACCGTGGGTAATCAAAAATTGTGGGTATACGACTAGCGAGGATGTGAAGACCAAGATTGCCCAGGAGAATGTTGATGTGGCTTGGAATAAGGCGAATTGGAGCGTGAATGAGTTCCACCGGGAATTATGTATGCGTTTGGATCATAGTAGCCTTGATTAAGAGAGCCGCCCGAATACGTGAGCGGCGCGTGATAGGGAGATGCAGAGGGTGAATGGCTCCAGCCAGTATAGGAAGAAGAGGGTGCCATAGGTGGGATTGGGATGTGCGATGAATAGCCGGCAACTTGATGCTCCATCATGGAGCCCATGTTCATGTTCATCAGGACGGGTGAAAGGCCAGTGCTCGTGGCCCCAACAGAGTCGAGGACAAGCGCCAGAGCATGGCATCTTGGAGTCACCTTGGGCCAGACACTGCGAGATTCTGAGTATAAAGTTGCATGACATCATATATAGAAACTCACCTTCCCAAAGTCATGAGTGTATCACGACAGTCTCGCGCTTCTTGCAAATAGCGGCCGCTGTTAGGATCGGTACTTGCAGCCGCGCGATAAACGGCCACGAATACCTGACCGGCTTCGTAAAGTGCACTCTCGAGGAAAAGATTTGCAAGAATATCTTGCGGTCGCTTCTCCGAGTGACACCAACGGGAGATTTCCAGTACATTCCGAGCACTCTACTCAAACGGTCAAACAGATCAAAAAAAGAAAGAAAATAATGGATACTCACGACAAGTGCGGCGTCATTTTCAGCACTTCCATGGAATCCAGTGTTTGCCATGAAGAGCCTGAAGCCGAAAATGACTGAATAATAAAGAAGGTGAAAGGCCATGAAGAGTCCGCCCTTCCCGGAGCGAATGCAGGCTTGGAGACTTGCTTTGCGCAGATCCAGGTTGGGACAGTTCCTGCGGATGGAGATGTATGTCGTCTTCATCCCGTCGATTGCCGAGCTAGTAAAATTGATGAGCTCCCAAAACTTGGTGATTTTCTCGGCCATTACTCACCTCCTCTCGACCATCGTCGACGTAGCCGTATACAGATGTCGGCCAACCTTCCTCCTTTGCAGGCTGAGGGCTGATAGTTGCATAAAGGTGTCATCCTCGGATGCAGGGTTGAATACAAGTTGATGGTCAAAGTCATTGTCATGGATCAAGGGACTTTGGTTGTTGTCTGCAAAGAAAGGGACGGATCGTGAGCCGATGTCGAAGGGCACGGAGCCACGCTTACTCCATGCAGTGAGTTCATCGATAAGCATTAGCGACCACCACGTCGCAATCACCTCATCCCTTGGAACTCCAAACGTGTCAATCTTGCTTCTCCAGCCGAGACCCAGGGTGTTGGCAATCTTGACTGCTTCCTAGAAACCCTATGACAACGCGCCCCACCCAGATACTTCAAAGACTTACCGTGATATAGACTGTGGAGTTCGTCGTCGGCGAAGTCATTGTAAGGGGCTCGAATGGGTGGCCACCAGCTTCTGCCCAGCTAAGCAGAATAATGCCCTGAAGAGCTTGAAGGGTCATTTGACCTTTGTACTGAGTAATCAAGGGCTGCCGGTCAATCATTGTGAGCACCGTCTCAGGTTCAGAAACAGGCTCGCGAGTCTCACCTTGGCCACACTGAGATATACACTGCCGTGTTGAAACCGTGGCTCGGCGGCATGAGCCGGGTGAGTAGAAAATCTATTGCCCGGTTCAGTTAGCGGGAAAAAAGTGTCAGGGCCAGAGATTCTTACCGGGAGGCCAAAGCGGCGATCCCAAGTGCATGAATATTCCATAGACGACCGGCGGAGGCTCGCTGAGAAATGTCTGCTTGCTTGAGGTATGGGAAAAAAGCGCCAAAGTGGTCGAAAAAGGTCGGAACAAGTAGTGACATGTGGTCACGCCGGGGGAATGTGGGATGGAGGGGGTAGTCAAAGAACTGGTTGTGTGGAGGAATCTGAGCGGCAGGAAGTGGAGGAGACGCCTGCGACGGGGTGGGGGAAATACCTCCCGGATGTTGAGGAGCTGTTGAAGAGGCTGGAAATCGACCGCTTGGGCGGGGGACCCTACTAGACCCTGCAACAGCGGGCGTCCTAGAAGAGTGAAGAGAAGTTAGTTGTAGCGTTGAGAATTATATGCCTCGTGGGTGCGTGGGACAGGAAACGAGCATACATTGCGTCTGGGCCCGCTGCGGTAGACGCTCTGCGGCCCTTGGAGGACGCAGGTCGTCTAAGAGAGGAGATCAGAGCCCCGATTCTCGAGGATGATCTTTGGACGAGCGAGAAGGGGGTGATGGAGGCTCGCGCTGGCACGTACTGTGTGTCGTCGACCTTCATTCCGCTGTGCGGGTTGCTGGACGTCGATTCTGCTGATGGAGGTGCACCGTGGAACCGCTGGTCTCTAGCCTTGAAGGAGCACTCCTGGCGAGCCAAGAGGCAGGCGTCACATCGTTCAGAGCTTGCACTCTGCTCGCACTTGACTTTACGTGCACGGCTAAGTCAGGCGGGATGGAGTAAGAGGCCACGTAACAACAAAGCAGGATGAGCAAGAACTCACCATCTATCGCAAGCAGTCAGCGTACGCGGCTTCTTGCGCTGGTTGGGGAGGGTAGGATCCTCTTGAATAAAGGTTAAATGTTCATAGGTGCCTGAATCCTTGCTGCTGCTGGAGGACGAGAATCCCTTCATTCTAGGGTTCGGGGAAGGATCGAGGGCGGGGGCGGCTAGGAGCGGAACTGGCTTTGTCTCTTGGGCGATTATATGTCCCGCGCCGCACTGATCATCGAATGCATGCATAGAAAAGGATAACTTTCGGTAAAAAAACACTACCCTCCACGGCCGACTCACGTGCGGCTGGGCGACACGGCTACTGGCTGTGGGGGAGCGACCCGCTCAGTACCGATCACGAATCGAGAGCCGTCGCGGGATACTTTATTTGCATTGAGACGGCTACATCGCGGCGAGCATATCATGTGCTTGAAACGAGGCATGGGTCCAAATCGTTGACCCCCAAGGCAGTCCGAGTTAATTTCTGCGTTGATTTCACATTGAAAAATAGTATTTTTGAGGACTCAACTGGCTAAACAGCGACTTACCTCTACCCTGGCATTCGCAGCCACACCGTCGATCAGAGGACGCACTCCCTGGTATTATTCGGAGAGTCGGCGAGATGTTTTCCTACGAAATATGCCAAAAATTTATGCATTGAGTCATAGTAAGCTCGAGGTTATGGTTCACGGTGGAAATTCCGGAGATCCTGGTTCGCGTAAGCTTTGAACTCCACCCGTGTCGGCTTAATTTGCCAAAAGATCGTCAATGCTCGGGAAAATGGCCTCCATTTTCTCTGTGTTATGGACAACGCTTATAATCTCGTTTTTGACGGCCGGTGTCGCTGGTCAATCCCATATTTTGGGCGACGCAGTATGCTCGCGGGTGCGGAACAACGGGCGCAAACTCCAAAGCGCCTTCTCGGGGCAGTGAACAAGAGCTGACAACAACTTTGTAGACTATGTGTGTTCGGGCTTTCCTCAATGGCACGCAATGGACGTGTAAGTCGTCTCCGAGAGGGTCGCCAAGGACTGCCTTCGTTGCGTTTTGTGCCAGGCAAAGCGCAAACGAGCGGAAGCTAACGAATATGCAGATCAAATGCAGGCAAATCTAGGAGAGCATCGTTTTGGCTGGATGGCAATGTGCGTTTGTGTGGACCAGCTCCAAGTGGGCTCTCGACTGACGAGGCCAAACTCACAGCGGATTTGGGACAAGCATGACGGATAGTGATATGGTTATTATGTGGCCCAATCAAGACGGATTCGTCACACTCTCTCAACGGGCAGCGCGCGGTCATTCCCAGCCATACGTCGTACCAAACCCTCCACGGGTTGCCACGAAATATCTGCCTCTGAGTGCAGTGAGTCCATCTCTTATAATGCATACACAACAGGCGGCTCATGGACCGCTCAGCAAACATCGACCAACACCAGTCTGGCTTTCACTATTGCTCCTAACGGACAGACTGTCCAGAGACTTATATGGGCTATCGCGACGACACGTCCACCATCTGCGGCTGCAGATGCCAGTCTTACGCAACACGTCGCGTCCGGTGCTATTTCCCTCAATCTCACACGCGAATACAGTGGAGGAACTCTCGGGGGTGCCGTGCCAACGTCCCCGCCTGGTAGTGGAGGAACGTATCTCCCACCCTTCCCCACGCAAACATCTGGGTCAGGTTTACCCGAGTTTGAGCTTCCTGCTCTCCTTCCCTACCAAAAAGCTTTGATGGCACATGCCATTCTTTCCGGAATCGGATTCTTGATTGTCCTTCCCACCGGCGCTCTTATCGGCAGATGGGCGCGCACCTTCACGACTTCTTGGTTCAAAGCTCATTGGATCGTCCAAGCTGGGCTAGGGATTCCCATCGTATTTACCGGATGGTTTATGGCTGTCGTGGGAATCATCAAGAAAGAGGGCCGTCACTTTGACGACACCCATAAGGTTGTTGGACTAGTTCTCATCGGTGCATACACCTTGCAGCTCCTGCTTGGGGTTCATATACACATGTTCAAGCCTCCAAAGCGGCCGTCGCCCCCATCCGCAAAAGGCGACAATATTGTCCAGCTTGTATCAACCTCAAACCGGCCCTTACTTAACTATGTCCACGCGCTTCTCGGTTTGACGATCATTGCTCTATCATTCTACCAGGTATTAGCCTTCTTTCCTTTGACTTACAAACCCCATTAAACGTCCTCACAACAGGTTTGGACTGGAATCAACGTTGAATGGGAAATTGCAACGGGACGTGGTGCAGCTCCGCCGATTACAATGAAATTCTGGATTGCTTGGGCAGCTGTGCGTTTGTTCTCGAGACTGAAACCGACACGAAACTGACGCCTTGAACAGATTCTTCCTGCTTTCTATTTGTTAGGCTTGGCGTTGCTGCCGAAGCAGCTCCGGCAAGAGCGGAAGCTTACTCAAGGCAAATCTCGCAATTCAGATGCCGTCCCGCTCAAGTCGGGTCCAAATGGTCCCAAAAAGTCGATACGAGGACTCAAAATCTCCAATCCGGTCCCCGCGGAAGAAGATGAGTGGAAACGAGATGACGGAATGGATCAGCATAATGGATACGAAGTAATGAGTGAAGAGGGACATGCTGCACACTCCCTACAACCAGTGCAATTTGCTAGAGCACTGTGAGTCGCAAGAGACTCATAACGCTGAGCTCAGTGTCAATGTCGGCGACAACCGGGACGAAGCCGGTTCCGAATGGCTCCAAAAGGTTTCTATCTTTGCTTTCCCGGAACAGTTACACGATTGTACAACACAGCGCATTTTGAAGTCTATGCGCGACCGTCACGACGGACATCTGGTATATATCCTGACCTATCACTATTTGCTACTTGCTAATTGTAGATGCTCTCGTCTCTCGTGACTGTATTGGCTTTTGTTATACCGACTCAATACAGTTGGTTTTTGCCTTTCGGTGACTATAGCGAGACGTATATCATCGTGATAGGTCGATTGCATAATTCAAATGAATAGATGCATGCCTCGAGGCTGTTATGGCTCTGCTAGGTTATTCTCTGCTGCACGCATCCAGTCTGTTCGGAGCTCCTCAACAATACTTTGCAAAACGTCACTTATACGTGACCTGTCCCTGCCTTGACCTTCAAGATAATATTTGATTTTCGGCTCGGTTCCGCTGGTCCTGTTAAATTTAAGCGATTTAGGCGACGGAAAAGCCACCCCAGATGAGGTGATGTAGGCGCACCTGATAGTCAGTGTTATAGAAACGCCATCTGTCTCTGTGGATCCTGCACGGAAAGTGATCATATGTGCGCCAGAAACAGGCAATATGGGCTCGTACGGCGGGGGCCGGCTCGAGTCAAATCCGTAACCAGAGGTCAGATCTCGTATGCTCGTAATTTTTAGTGAACCAATTGCACGTGGATATGTGGCGCCCGTTGCAGGATTTCTCCACACGGCTCCCGCCGCGGTGTCGCTGGGGGTAGCATTGTATGCGCGTAGACGAGCGAAAATGGTGTCAATCGTCGGTGGATCATTGCAAATAAAGTAGGAATTGCTCGTCTCAAAGTAGCCGTACCTGAGAGAATCAACGAGGCGAATCGTGGGGTAGGTTCAATTGTCTCACCGCTCATAAAGCTCTTGCAAGTATTGAAGAGCGTTTGAGCCGCGTGCATGTAATCCGGTCACAAGCTCGATGAATGCAGCCTTAACGTAATGGATTACGCCAATGAGTTCTCGGCACGTTTGAACCAAAAAAAAAAGTGCCACTCACTGTGGCGCTAACTCCGTCCTTGTCGCGTATCCCAGACTCGAGCATGAAGCCAATGGCCTCCTCGTAGCCAAACGGAACGTCATAACCCTGCTGTTCAAGCTGTCTCGCCACGTTGCCTATGTACTTGAAGCCTGCAAAAAGTTGTGTGAGTCGGCAATCTTGGTACAGGTCAAGGCAAGACCAGTGAGGCACTCCACAAACTTGAATCCTTCGAGCTTTGCCATTGATTCGAGCATCTTGGAGCTCACGGTGGATGCCACCATCGCTAATCGATCTGAAATTGACCATGTGTGAGAAAAGGCAATTCCTTAAAGTCGCATTTACCTGAAGGTTTCTCAGTTAATACATGCTTGCTTAAAGCACGTGCTCCCAGGAGCGATCCCAGCTGGTCTCCAGAGAATTGATGCCAACCATTTGAGCTGAGGAAAGAGGCGGTGCGTCAGCAATGCCTCTTATTTTCAAGGCGAACCTGAACAACACACGTCTTTTGTGCAGCGGTGAATCTGTCTGCGTCTGGGTCTTGCGCCAACACGTAGGCAGCACCTACTGTATCCGCCTTCCGCATGGCCAAAGTCTGGGTGCGATTTAGACGAATTGAAAATTTTTGGCTCGGGTCGAACGTACGAGCGCTCCTGTCACAAAGAGGCCGGTCAGTCACAGCATTTGCTGCCGATCAGATGGAAGTTACCGTGTTCCTCTGGATTGGGAAAAGAAACCGTAGGGAATTCTGGGTCTGGATCTCGTTGCTCTTCGACCACGAAAATGCGCTCAGTTGGAAAGCCGACCTCTTGCAGTGCTCGTGTGACGATCTTGTGCCCAACGCCATGCATTGGGGTAGTTACGAAGGTGAAGCTTTGATCTTGTGGGCTATCACGAGCTATCAGTTGCGTGTGATCCAAGATTTGATACTCACATCGATGGGACCAGACCCTTCAGGATGGTAAAGTATCGGGCATACATCTCCTCCGTGCAGTCAACGATGCTCGGGTGATCGGTGACTTGCTTCGCAACTTCATCCCAGGGAGAGGGAACTGCCGGAGTGAGGTTAGATAGAATTTCTGCTGCGATCCCAGCGTCATGCGGAGATATAATCTACTCTAGGTGAGAGAGAGGCATTATCGAAAGGAGCCAATTACCTGGACACCATTTTCCCAGTATACCTTGGATATGTAAGTGAGATGAGTCAAAAGGAGCAAAAGAGGCTCACTTTGTAACCGTTATCTTGCTGCTCTTCGTGTAAGCCATGTTACCAATGATAATTAAAAGTACCTTCGGGTTATGGCTGGCTACGACAGGTAAGCCTAAATTTCAATTTCATTCCGAAAACATACCCGTTATCATTATACCGGCAACCGCTTTGGTTTCCCCAATGGTGAATGGAACACTGGCAGGCGTCAGTCACGCTAGGACGTGCTGAGAAAGTAGCTCATACAGAGGTGTGTGAACCAGACCTTTGTGCAGGTAAACCTTATACCCTCGCTGAAGGAAAACGGCAGCCGTAAGGCGAGCCCATTTCTCTGAATTATATCTGTGGTCGTGACCAATGACCACCCCGCGCTGTCTGGCATCACTAAACTGCTCCAATACGTATTCGCAGAGTCCCTGTGCACAATGAGTGGCCCAAAGAGGGAAAGGATGAAATGCAGACTTGGGACGTTTGTATAATGATCAAGTCATTTATTCTTGCGAATCCTGCTTCCATGCGACCTCGTAGCCCAGCCGTTCCGAATCCGATGCGATTTCTCAGACGCCGCTCGAGCTCGACGGTGTTCCCGCTCTCCCAAAGTGATCGGATCTCGGCGTGAGTCGTCTCATTCTACATTTTCAATCAGAAAGCAAGAAAATTGATTGGAATACAAGATAACCTTGTCCGTTTCGAGCCACGCTTGCACAAGACTTTCCAGAGCCGCCATCGTGGTTGGGGATCAAGAGGTGAAAGACCTTCAACCGTGAACTCCGCCACGACATGGTTTCACCCGTGCTTTTCGATACGATATTGGATCCTTCAAAGGAACTCAGGGAGCTTTTTGTTGATCAAGATCACAACGGCTTCGGTGCCATCGTCGAACGCCATTTCAAGCAAATCCTCTTGCCACATGAAGCCTTTTACCAGGTGCCTGGTTTAACGTGTCACTGTTATAGCCATACTCACCTCGAGGGTAGATTCCTCCACTAAATATCTCACGCCCTCCGACCGTGCATCGTCAGCGAAGTATTGTGCGTTTTGTCGCAATGGTGCAGGACACTTCGAGAGAAGGAGAAGTGTACATGGGTGTCCTAGATGACAAATCCTGTGGTGGATGGGGTTTATACGAAGAGATGGCTCGATCTCAATCACAAGACGAAGAACAGTCTGCTGTGGACTATAGCAGGCTTCAGGAGCGAGACTCTGTATGGGCAGTCACTGTACCGGGGCAGTCGATATGGTCACGCGACGTAGGTCATTTCCTCCATGCATCTAGCACCGTGCTTACGGGTCGGTAGGCAGTCTCTGGTCCAGACTTTCCGCCTCGTAAGGAATCCAATATCTCCCAATTAGCTGCCTTACAATCGAGTAGCTACCGTTCCTACGAAGTATACTTGCCCTAAACCGCTCAAGAATCCTGGCGGTGACATTGGAGCCTTTGGTGTCTCACTGAAGGTTGGTTTGATGAACACAAGTAACGGAAACTGATTCCAAATAGATCTATCACGATCAAGGGAACCTGAAGCCTGGAGAAGTTAAGACCTTTGTGGGGATTCTGGACGAGGAGCCGAGTTTTGACGATATGTGAGTGCTTCGAGTCTGAAATAAACTGGGGTTGAGCAAGAGACAGGGAAGAAGAATCTCAACCTATACCGACCCTGCATGTCCTATTTACAGTGGATGCCTTAGATACGGACCCATACAACTTCAGCTCTCTACGTGATACACTCTTCGAAGCAAACATTAGGGCTAATTTACTTCAATGGATCGCCGACGAAGCCCTCGGAGGTGACACAGAAGCAGCGACTTGGGTTTTGCTCACTGCTCTTACCAAAGTGTATGTGCGAGCTCCTTGTCTTACAGTCCAGCTGAATTGCGACGCAGCCAATCGAGAACTCCGCCCATATTACCACTATCTGTCACAATAGGGTCATTTTCCGACTCGCTAGATGGGGCATCCAATATCCCAACCTTGGTCCACGTTCTGAGGCAGTTAATTCCTACGGTATCACCTCTTCAGCTCACCCTTGATACATTGAACGGCAAGCCTTTCATGCCGACTAGCGTTGATGAAGATGTCCAAGCAGGGATCTTACAGCATCCAGCGGGGACTATGTTTATCGTCTCGGAGAGCGGCATTAAGGAAGTTAAAGTGACGGAAGCTGGTGAGTCTTGTTGTCCGAGCTCTACGACGCACTCTGAAGGGCGTATAGGAATGAAGAACCTGGCTGCCCTTCAATCCGTTATTTCTACCCAAACGCTCTCCTATGTGTTCCCTTACAGCTCCTTCTCCTTTCCTGTCGATTTTTCTTTCTTGAGCCTTACAAAGGGCCGGAAGAGCGCCTTTCTGACCACCGATGTTGTCGTCCCTTTGAAGGGTGCGAAATCGGGAGATGAACTGGCCAGGGAACTATACAAGGGAGAGACGAAGTCCACTTACCACCAAAGGCTACATTAGAGAAGTTTCGAAGCTACATATCGTCGTGCAGAACGACTACGGTCATGCTGGATGACGATGTTGGAAAGGTGCGCAGGAGTGTGGAGCCAGGTTTCAGCACACTCATCATTCATAGTTCATCGAAGACGAATTCGTGCGCACAAGACAAGATAATTCTGATGCTGTATCCTCCGACGATTTGGTGAGGCGCATGTCAATCGCCAAACTGCTTTCTGCATCCATGATGCAACCAAAGTTGACAAAAGAAACTTGGAAGTTGGCTGTTACGATGGATGAAAAGGCTAAGAGTGGACGGTGAAGACAGAAAGATTGCGATATTGTATTATTCCACGTTCACGACTGCAATACGATTGTTGTGACGGAGCTTTTGTGTCGTCTATCCACGCTTCGCACGCTTTTTGGGTCGCTCTAGATCGATTTCTTCCGCATCGCTGTCCTCATCCTCGGACGATTCCTCCTCGAGCTCTTCGTCGTCCTATACGGATAGAATCAGTACGAAGACAGCAAGGACACGTTAGACTCACATCAATCTCGCCCCTGAATAATGGGATGGGGTTGCTGAATACGTTTGCAGCAAGGTGTGGACCGAGCTATGTCGAGGTATTAGCATCGAAAAACCAAGCTGGTCCATGATCACTCACGTCACTCTCGTCGACGGCTTGCTCAAAGAAATTGAAAAAGGTGCCCATATCGGGCACTTCGTCCATCAACTCGTCCTCATCCGTTGGGCGAGGGAACATTTTGCAAAGGTTGACCTTGTCGTTTCTCCAGTTAATCTTCGTCGTGGACGCGACAAGGTCAGTGTCGGGGTTGAAGTTGAGCATGCTGTCGTATATTCCATCAACCTGCTCTCCCGACGGTGCATTCTTCAGCTTGTATTCCTTCTTCAGAACCTTGTCAGTAAAGTACGGATTTTCCTTGAAGTACTACAGGGCTTATCAGTGCCAATACACACCACAAAGCTACAGGACACACCATTTCCAAGGTGAATGCACGTGGGTCGGGCTTGTGTCGAACAACGTTCATATCCTCGAGATACTTGAGCGCCTCGAGGTCCTCGCGGTGGTTTCCATATAGCGTCACGAAGCTGGTATCGTTCTGGAGCGTTCGGAGCCAGAAATCGGGTACTTTTCTCACCGCCTCGCGGCGTTTTTGGTAAAATGGTTCATGCTTGTATATGCTGGCAAACTCGTCTGCAAGAATCAGACGTTCGTGCTCTTTTTCCAGCCCATCCAGTAGCGCCTCGAGTTCGGGAGTGAGGTCCTGGGTTTTTGCTGCATCATCACCAGGTGAAGCACGCTTCTTGCTCATGTTTGAAGTGGTTTGGATACAGAAACAGGAATAGAAAGAATGGCGGATTCGCTTGCGATGCTGCGAAGCGGCGGGGTGTTTTTTTTTCTGTCAAAGGGTGGCGAGGTGAGAGTTTGGTCGACGTCCACACCTGCCGACATCTATTCGATGAAAGACTAAATACAACAATAGAGAGCCAAGTAACTGGAGAGACACAACAGAGAGAGTATAACTTAACCACAGAGCTCGGCTCGACGCCGACATGTCTATACCGCATAGGCGGCTTTTTGAAGGGAGAGGATTGCTCCTTGAGACGAGAGACACCTCTCACATGGGTGGTTAAGAATGTTCCTCATCACGACCCCATGGTCCGGCGAGGATCTTCTCTCGGCCTCGTCTGAGAACGAGTGAAACCAGCAGTGGTCCAGCAATTGTAGTCACCACGAGTGACCACAAAGTGATAGCGAATAGATCGTCGTTGAATGGGCCTCTGCCACCATCGTAGGCGAGTTGGCAGATTAGCAGTCCAAGTTCACCACGCGCTATCAATCCAACGCCTATAAACGCACCAGGTATCAACATGCCTCTGTTTCCGGTGCTTTTGGTCGATTGTTTCTCTGCACATTCGACGTCTGCCGAGGACGACTTTCGCCGCGAGTGGAAGAGGCGACCCATTGGTTTCCACAGCGGAATCCAGGCACCCACGACCATCTTCGCAACGATCATAAGTACCGCGTAGAGAAGACCCTGCCAGACGACTGTCGGTTTCCATAGGTCGCGAAACGGGATCGCAAATCCTATGGAAGCAAAGAAGAATGGCGATAGGATCAACTCCTGTGTCTTGGATAGCGCACGTTGGTGCACGTTGAAAAAGTTTGGTGGATGCTGGCCGTGGTCTTCTCGTTGATCGGTCGAGGGCTCACCGAGGTCTGTGCGGTTGTTCTGGCCGGATCCGATGTGGCCGAGGAAGAGCCCAGCGAGGAAAGCGCCATAGATAATAGACGAACCCGAATAGGCTGCGGCGCTGCAGATTCCGGTGAGGATGCAAAGCATCACGGTGATGTTGATTCGTCGTTCGTAGTGTCGAACAATCTCTGGCTCCCAGAGTCGCTCGAGTGGGAGGCGTTCGAGGATCTTGGCGAGCACAAAGATGATCATGGCGAGCCCGACACTCGAAAGGACGGGCCGGCCGATGATCCATCCCAGGGATTGTCGGTGACCCGGGTCGTTTTCGACGCTAATGATGATGGATGCCATGATCAGGCCAACAACATCATCGATGATAGCGACAGAGAGCAGAACAGTAGAGATGGCGGTAGCAAAGATGCCCATTTCTCTCTTGTTCTGCGCACGCGCATCACTATTCTTGAGAATGGTGATTGTTGTGCCTAGGGAGGTAGCTGAGAGAGCTGCCCCTGCGGCAAAGGCCTGCATGTTCGAGTAGCCAATGTTTCGGAGAAAGAGGAAGCTAGCTCCGACGGGCACGACCACACCCGTCGTAGCCAAAACGATGCTGAGGGCTAGATGATGCACCAACAGATTCAAATTTGTTGCGAGTGCACCCTCGAAAACGAGGAGGGTGAGGCCTATGTAGCCAATGTCTACGCAGGTAAGTTGGAGTCGCATGGGAATGAGGTTGGCCAACGGAGCCCCGAAAAGGGCGCCAATAAACACTTGACCGAGTGATCCTACTTTTAAGATGCGCTGGGAGATGATTCTCGCCGCTTGAAGGAGAAATAGGAACGCGCATAAAATTATGACATCCCTCGTGGAGGGCAGCTGGAATCTGTAAAGGCCGTTAGCAGACGTCCATATGTACTCCTAGTAATTACTGGATAAATGTTGCCATTTATGCGGGTATAACCGCTTGATGGCTAAATGACGAGGGGGAGCCAAGAGCTAGAAAGTGGTGTTTGTGTGCATAAACCTTGAGCCCAGCGCTCACCCTGTTGGCTGGGCATCGTGCCGTCTTTTCGAGTCAGTTTCTTGCTCCATGCCAAGGTTCCTAATTTCTTGGAGCAGAATGCGCATAAAAGGCATCTCGTCAGAATCAACCGAAGCCATCCTAAAGGAGAGCCCCGCTCCTTAGCCACGACCAACATGAAAAACGTAGACAAGACCGCCTCCATGTCCCCGTCTCCAACAATGATTGAGAAAGGAGACGCTTCACGCACTGGTCCACCGCCCCATACACGACCAGCACACGATTTACTCAAGGAACACCAGGTAACCACATTAACAATCTCACCGAATAGTGCATCTGACCCAGATCAACATAGGTTGACCCCTCTAATGGGCTTGCAGAGGAACGAGCCACAGCTCTTCTCAATCAGAATGGCCCCAATCAACTCAGACCGCCCAAGAAGCCATCCTGGATCAAACTTCTCCTTCAGCAAATCTTTAATCCCATGACACTCGTCCTGCTCGCCGCCGTCATCGTCTCATTCGTCATTCACGATTATATTGCGGCTGGTGTAGTAGGGGTCCTGGTTATACTCAACACATCCGTTGGCTTTTCTCGTAAGTGCCAAGCCCCATCCATTTGTATACAGACACACACCTGACCTCACCTCAGAGGAATGGAAGGCCGAGAAAGTCCTTGCTGGTCTCGCTTCCGTTGGAAGCCCAGTTGCGACCGTTCTTCGTCACGAATCCGGCAAGGGCCCCAAAGCTCGCGAGGGAAGAGCGCGCGTCATCCCCTCTGAACAAGTTGTCGTTGGTGACATCGTCCTCTTGAAAATCGGCGACGTCGTGCCGGCAGATGCACGCATCATTCCAGGTTTTCTCAGTAACCTCGAATGCGACGAAGCACTGCTGACCGGCGAGTCGCTCCCAGTCGCCAAGACGGCTGAGCCACTTGGGGAGCCAGACTGCCCTGTCGGTGACCGCACGAACATGGTCCGTATCAGGCCATCCTCCACCCCAAATCATTATTAACCTTTAGTAGGTGTATTCTGGCTCTCAAGTGACCAAGGGTCGTGCTCGGGTCATTGTCACGATGACTGGAATGACAACCGAGCTCGGAAAGATTGCCGAAGCCCTCGAAAAGCGTGAAGGAACCAAAGAAGAAGGTTACAGACGGCTTTTGCACCGTGTCAAGGCGGCATTGGGACTCGCCGACACAACCCGACTTCAAATCACCCTCAATAGACTCGCCTATTGCCTACTCTTTGGCGCAATTATTCTCGCCATTATTGTCGTTTCCAGTACTGGATATCGTAACATGCCCTCGTCCATCGCCACTTATGCCGTCGCCGCTGCTGTGTCTCTCCTGCCAGAATCTCTCCCGGCCGTGACCAGCCTTACCCTTGCGGTCGCTTGCAGGGAACTTGCAGCCAGAAATGCGTTCGTTCGCCGTATGGATGCAGTGGAAACACTCGGTGGTGTGCACAACATTTGCTCTGACAAGACGGGAACGATCACTCTCGGACGAATGGTCGTGAAGAAAGTATGGGTTCCAGTTGACTCTGCGTATTCAACAGAAGGGTCCAGAGCATCGTATAATACAGAGTCTGGACAGATATATAGTGTCGAATCTGGACAAGAGTACGTGATTTCTACCAGCGCTGATTCTGAATGTTTATCGGCTTTAGTCCTTTCTATCCTCGAGGCATTATCCGAGTGGGAGATGTCCAACCATCTACTCAAGACGATGAGGATGCAGACGATGTGATGGGACACAACGTTGTACGCATCGAATCTCTCGCCAGCATTCCAGGAGATGGTCCAAAGTGCCTCTCTGAACAACATGGCCACAATTCATCGTGGAAAGGAAGACAAAGGATGGGAAGCGAACGGAGATCCGACTGAAATTGCTTTACAAGTATTCGCGCACAAGGCAGGACTCGGTAAACCTCATCTGTAGGTCTCACCTCTCGATACGCATTAATGCTAACATCTTCGCAGTACTACCGTACGCCGCCGCGCTCTTCCGGCAGCTGGAGATCCACTTGGTAGAATGACCTCTCGCACATCCATTCAAACTCGCCGCTCTGAGCATCATCCACTCGACCGAATAAAAACTGCTCAGAGTGATGCACCAGCCTTCTCTGATATCAATGGACACTTTGAAATGCTCGTGGAACATCCATTCGATTCGACCATTAAGCGAATGTCGACTGTTTGGCAATTCATTCCTGAAGATCCACGTGATGATCCGGCAAACTACGACCTCATTGTCTGTGAGTATCTCCTTGGGTACGCTGGACTTGATCTGATGAATAAGATTAGACGTTAAAGGAGCTGTGGAACGTATTCTCGATCGCTGCACTCATGTCGGCATTGGTGAAAACAAAATTCCTCTCACCGACGAAGGCAAGCAAGATATCATTGACCGCATGGACAATATTGCCGCCGAAGGACTTCGCGTCTTGTGCCTTGCAGCAAAATACATTCCAAATTCCATGAAAGACGACATCAAGAGTGTTCCTAGGGACCAGATTGAAAGTGACTGTGCAGTATTGGGCCTCGCTGGTATCTAGTAAGTTGTCTTGAGACTTCGTTTGGCCATGCTCACCTAGAGTAGTGATCCGCCTCGACCCGAGTCTCAGGGTGCTGTGATGGATGCACTTAGAGCTGGAATAGTCGTTCGAATGCTCACTGGTGACCATGCAAGTATTCCCATCCTCTCGCCTTCTCTATGCTAATATATCACAGGCTGCCACTGCTTCGAGCATCGCCCGGACAGTTGGTATCTTGAACGACACTCATGGTCCAAGCGCAGTTATGACGGGACAAGAGTTTGATCGCCTAACGGATGCCGAAATTGACGCCATTCCTGAACTTCCTGTCGTTCTCTCCCGCTGCTCGCCGGAAACGAAAACACGCATGGTCGACGCGCTACACCGAAGGGGGCAAAAGACGGTCATGACCGGAGATGGTGTTAATGACTCGCCAGCTCTCAAGCGAGCAGACGTCGGCGTGGCTATGGGCCTCAACGGTTCCGATGTTGCAAAGGGAGCGGCTTCCATCGTACTCGCTGATGACAACTTTGCCACAATTGTGCGCGCAATTCGAAAGGGTCGTTCGGTCTTTCAGAACTTGAGCAAATTCCTGGTCTACCTACTCTCCGGCAATGTTGCTGAAGTTGTGGTTCTGATGATTGGGCTTGCTTTCCGTCGGGATGGTGTCGCAGTCTATCCGGTCGCCCCTGTCGCTGCTTTGTGGATAAACACAATCTCAGCCGGTCCCCCAGCTTTGGCATTGGGTATCGAGCCTACTGCTCGTGATGCGATGGATATTGGACCTGAATCGTTCCAAACCATCTTCACCAAATCATGGTATCTTGACACAATTGGATACGGTGTCTTTATTGGTGCTCAAACTCTTGCAAACTTTGTTATGTGAGTACTCTTGTTCTCCACGATGCTCAGCTGATATTTTGTTCTCAGTGTACAGTATGGTGTTCACGAGGGTGAAGCGGACATCAACGGTTTCTGCAACGATCATATGGTCGGTCTGCAACCTGGATGTGAGGTCGTTTTCCGCGCACGAGGAACAGCGTTTGCGACAATCCAACTTATTCTTATGATCCATGCCATTACCGTGAGTAGTTCAATTATTCGATATTCGTGCACTCATGCATTGTATCAGTGTAAAAATCTTACTCGAAGTATGTTCCGGATGAACCTGCTCGACAACACTTTCCTCCTGTGGTCTGCAACTTGCCTCGCGCTCTTGACCTTCCCACTCGTTTACATTCCCGCGATAAACGATCGTGTCTTCCAGCTAACTGGGTTGACATGGCACTGGGGTTTAGTCGCAGCTCAATTGGTCCTCTATTTGGTAGCGACAGAGCTTTACAAGATGACCAAGAGACGGTACTACCACCGCCGTGCTGCACGACGTAATAATCCGATAGAGCAAATGGAGAAGAGGACTGGAAAGAAACTACACGTTGCATATACTCTCCCAGCATAGAAAGAATCGAAAATTTGTACACGTTTGTAGCCTCAAAGATGACATAATTGCCAAGTCATGGTCTAGAATTTGCCGGCTTGGAAGCCCCACTGAAGATTCAAAAACATGCTGACTCTGGCGCTTATCGATCTTCGACTGCCCCATTACTGTCCTCGGATCATCCATTTGGTCTGAGGAAAAGCGCCTTAGCAAAGTAAAGCGACAAAATTTCTCCAATTCTTGCACACAAGGAACTTCACCTGGCATGCAAAATGTTCTCGAGCTAACGCAACGTTCGCCTCCAACCAAGGAGCTCGCAAACGACGGTGCACCTTTACCACCGCCACATGTGAGGCCCTCAGAGGACGTCCTCCATGATTACGACGTCAACCCGACGTCGGGTCTCTCTACGGCGCGTGCAGCAGAATTTTTAGCGCAGAACGGTCCCAATCAGCTCAAACCACCAGAGGCGCCTTCAAGGCTGAAAATCTTTTTCCGGCAGCTTACCAATGCCATGAACATTATTCTATGCGCTGCAGTTATAGTATCCTTAGCGACAACCGACTATATCGCTGCTGGTACGATTGGCCTCCTAATCGTGCTCAATGTCTCCGTAGGGTACACGCGTATGTATCTATATGGCTGCATTTTATCATTTCTAACGTGTCACAGAGGAATGGAAGGCCGAAAAAGTACTCGCAGCTCTCTCCACAGTCGGGAGCCCTGTAGCCACAGTGGTTCGACACGATGCTCTCTCCAAATCTCGTGAAGGCAAATCTCTAACAATCCCATCACAAGAGGTTGTCGTCGGGATATTATCATCATCAAGATTGGTGATATTGTTCCTGCAGACGCCCGCATCCTCACTGGTCATATCAGCAATCTCGAATGCGACGAGTCCCTCCTCACCGGTGAATCACTCCCGGTAGCCAAGACTTCAGAACCGCTCGAGGAGGCCGACGTACCTGTAGGCGACCGCACGAACATGGTCTATTCGGGATCACAAGTTACAAAGGGACGTGCCAAGTGCGTCGTAACAATGACTGGAATGCAAACGGAGCTGGGAAAGATTGCGGAAGCACTTGAGAAGAAGCAATCTACCACCGCGGAAGGTTGGGGTTATCTACGCTACAGGATCAAGGTTTCACTCGGTTTGGCCGACACGACGCCACTCCAAATCAAGCTCAACAAACTGGCATATGGGCTCTTGGTTGTGGCAATCATTTTGGCGTTGATTGTCATCTCCAGCACCGGATTCCGCCGTATCCCACCATCCATTGCGACATATGCCGTCGCTGCCGCGGTCTCATTGCTCCCAGAGTCGCTTACAGCGGTGACAACATTAACGTTGACTGTGGCTTGCCGTGAATTGGCAAAACGAAATGCCCTTATTCGTCGCATGGATGCAGTTGAAACGCTGTGAGTATGCATTGATGTGCTGGCTCTGTATCTGACAAGGTTTCTTAGTGGAGGAGTTCACAATATTTGCTCCGACAAGACTGGGACCATTACTCTCGGTCGTATGGTGGTCAGGAAAGTCTGGGTCCCTGTCGATAGTGCCTTCGTGCGTCAAGGCTCTAGGGCATCGTATGACTCTACAAAGGGTCAGACGTATCTAGTAGAATCTGGTACCGAGTGAGTACGCAACTATCCATTTGATCAAACTAATTTCCGTCCTCAGTCCCTTTTACCCGCGTGGCACTATTCGAGCCCTCCCTACGGACGAAGTGTCCCCTTCAGCCAGTGGGGAGGAAGATGATTCGGACGATGGCTTAGGCGAGGATATTGTTCGAATCGATTCGCTCGAGCCGGCTTTTCAAGAACTCGTTCATGGAGCATCTCTGAATAATATGGCAACGCTCCACAAAGCAAATAAAGATAGTGGATGGCAGGCAAATGGAGACCCGACCGAGATTGCTCTTCAAGTATTTGCACACAAAGCTGGTCGTGGAAAGCCTCATCTGTAAGTATTGATATCTGTATCTCTGGATTACATTGATTTATTCTACAGTACGGCTCTCCGTCGTCGCCACCATCATCACGAGCCACTCGTGCGCATGGTGTCTCGTGCATCCGAAAATGTTCAGGCTCGCCGATCCGAACTTCAGCTTGCCCGTACACATACAGCTCAGAGCGACGGCACTTCTGTCCCAATCATTGACGGTCACTATGAGATGCTGGTAGAACACCCTTTTGATTCTACTGTCAAACGAATGTCAACTGTCTGGGAATTCATCCCAGAGAATGACAATGATGGGTCGGCTGATTATGATTTGGTCGTGTGTGCGTGACCGATACCACACTCTTAAATGGTCATTACTCACTCATCTGTAGATCTCAAAGGTGCAGTAGAACGGATCCTCGACCGTTGTACGCATATTGGTCTGGGTGAGAATCGACTTCCTTTGACAGAGGGAAGGAAGGAGGAAATACTGCGCAGAATGGACAGCATTGCCGCAGAGGGCCTCCGCGTCCTCTGTATCGCGGGCAAGTATATTCCGAACTCTCTTAAGGGAGAGGTCAAGGCCATGCCCCGCGATGAAATTGAGAGCAATTGCTGCGTACTTGGTCTAGTTGGCATATAGTGAGTGCATATTTTTACATCTGTACGGCTTCCTTAACCACGATAGTGATCCACCCCGCCCGGAATCCAAAGGAGCTGTGATCGAAGCTCTTCGCGCGGGCATTGTTGTGCGCATGCTTACTGGTGACCATGTAAGTCCATAACCACGGAAAGGCGACACATATCTCAATCCTCATAGGCGGCAACGGCATCCAGCATTGCCCGTTCAGTTGGCATCCTCGACGATACGCACGGTCCTACTGCAGTAATGACGGGACAAGAGTTTGATAATCTCACCGACGAGCAAATTGACGCCATTCCCGAGCTCCCCGTGGTTCTCTCGCGTTGCTCACCAGAGACCAAAACGCGAATGGTCGATGCAATCCACCGCCGTGGACAGAAGACGGTGATGACCGGTGATGGTGTCAACGATTCTCCAGCGCTCAAGCGTGCGGATGTTGGAGTTGCAATGGGCTTAAATGGCTCCGATGTCGCAAAGGGCGCAAGTGACATCGTTTTGGCGGACGACAACTTCTCTACAATTGTGCGCGCGATCCGCAAAGGACGCGCGATTTTCCAAAACTTTACAAAGGCACTGGTATATCTGCTGTCTGGAAACGTCGCCGAAATCACGGTGATTATGGTTGGCCTCGCATTCAGGCGCAATGGAGTCGCTGTGTATCCTGTTGCGCCTGTCGCAGCTTTGTGGATCAACACTATTGCCGCAGGTGAGTCGCCTCTGAGATACAAAATGGAATACTCAGCTAGCTTCTAGGACCTCCTGGGTTTGCTCTTGGTGTCGAGCCGACCGGAAAGGATGTGATGGATGTGGGCCCAGGAGCCTACCAATACATATTCACGCCATCTTGGTACATGGATACGATTGGATATGGAATCTTTATGGGCGCCCAAACACTTGCCAACTTTATCATGTAAGTTCATTGCTCGAATGTCGAGTTTTTGCTGACAATCAGTAGTGTTCAATACGGAACCGGAAATGGAACGGCAGATATCGATCCTAAATGCAATGATCACTTTGTTGGTCTTCAACCTGGCTGCGAAGTCGTCTTCCGCGCAAGGGCGACCGCCTTTGCGACTCTTCAGCTCCTTCTGATGGCCCATGCTCTTACGGTGTGTCCCTAATATACCAGCATGTGACTGTCCTCATTTATTCAACTAGTGCAAGCATTTGACGCGAAGCCTGTTCCACATGAATCTGCTCGACAACACAATGCTCCTGTGGTCTGCTGGATGTCTCGCCCTGACGACATTCCCGTATGTTTCTCCAACCCTTCTCTGACCACTTGCTCATGTCCTTCAGATTGGTATATATCCCCGCCATCAATGACCGTGTCTTCCAACTTAGCGGCGACTTGACCTGGCAGTGGGGTCTCATCGTTGCTCAGTTGGTCCTCTACTTTGCGGCCGCAGAGATGTACAAGTTGGCGAAGCGACTGTACTACCGCCGCCAGAGCAAAGCAAAGACTCGTAGGGAGCTCGAAAGGGAGGCGGCTGCGAAGCAATTCCACGTCGCATATACAATGGATCCATAGAATGGATTGATTACGATTAGCTTGTTCAACAACAAGCTCCCAAGTGTTTTGTCTGCCTAGTTTTCTTCAACAGGAACAATTATGCCTTCCCATAGCCAATGATAAAATGACATTCATTTCGGCACGTGAATATGTAAATCCAATCTTGAACTTGACTATCACATTGGCGGCATTTCGACCACCCTAGGAAAACAATCTTGAATGTCTATCTGGCTTCCTCAGGCATCTCGCAATGCTCAGCGTGTTGCGAGATGGCCTAGTGCTCGAACAAGCAAATTTTGGGCTGTCACTGCTGGCGAGGTGAACGCATATAGACTAGTATCCGCTCCGTTTAATCCAGGAAGGAATTATCATTATTATTCGACCATACATTATACTCTCCCTCATCCCTCCGTCCGTCCTCAAACGCGCCGGTCGTACGCGACATCTACACCCCCAAACGACGCACCGTCGTCAGCATCCAACGTCGAGTCGGCCTCGAAATCGTCAAATGTGCCTGTGGAGAAACAAGAGCCTTGGAGGACACGCATATGGGCAAAAGTAAAGCACGAAGCGGCACATTACTGGCACGGTTCCAAGCTGCTCGTCTCAGAAATTCGTGTATCGTTACGACTCGTGTTTGCTCTTCTGCAAGGCAAGACATTGACACGTCGTGAAAAGCGTCAGGTGCGTTTTTGTTTTGCTCGTCGGGCAGTCGTGCAAATTGTATGGTGCTGACATACTCTCGAACGCAGCTGCGAAGAACCACTACAGACCTGTTACGGCTCATACCGTTCTCTGTCTTTGTTATCGTGCCGTTCATGGAGCTGCTCCTCCCAGTGGCCATCAAGCTCTTCCCCAATATGCTGCCTTCAACATTTGAAGACAAGTTTGCAGCAGAAGAGAAACAACGGAAACTCTTGCGAGTGCGACTGGAGATGGCAAAGTTCCTACAGGAGACTCTACGAGAGACAGGACTTAAGGGAGATGAAAAGATCGTCGCATCTGAGGAGTTTAAAGAATTCTTCCGCAAAGTCCGCTCAACTGGAGAAACCCCTTCTCCTGAGGATATCCTAAAGGTCGCCAAGCTCTTTTCCGACGACCTCACCCTGGACAACTTGTCTCGACCGCAGCTGACCAGCATTTGTCGATACTTGGGTCTGAACGCATTTGGTACCGACAATTTCCTGAAGGGAACTATTCGCAGACGTCTAGAGTACATCAAGCGAGACGACGAGGTTAGCAAGCATTTATTGACTATAGAAGAATACTTAACTGTAGCAAGCTCATCGCAAACGAAGGACTCGACAACCTTTCGACAGCAGAGCTTGTGCAAGTATCTCAATCACGAGCACTGAAGACGATTGGTGTGTCCCCTGCGCGATTGCGTGAGCAGATGGAAACATGGATTCAACTCCACTATCGTGAAGGCGTCTCTGGCGTGCTTCTCATGCTCAGTCGCGCATACGGTCTTGATCGTGATTTGGGCGGCAAAGGAACTAGCCCGGATGCAGAAATCTGGCGTAGTCTTGAAGCCGTATTAAGTGGTTTGCCTGACAACTTGGTAAGCGGGTCACATAGCTTTCGCTCGGGGAAGATCTGATCGGCACGCTTTAGCTCAACGAAGCCGAGCTCGAGATGGAATCGGATACCGCGTCTTACAAGAAGAAGCTCGAGGTGCTCAAGGAGCAAGAAGAACTCATCGAAGACGAAAAGGAGCAAGAAATGAAGGAAGAGGAGGCTCGCCGAAAGAAACGAATCGCAGAGGAAAGGGCCAAGCAAGAAGCTGAAGCTCGTTTGGCCGAATCACTCTTGCCAGATTCCGAGGTACGTTCCAGCCATTGAGCTGCCACGAAACTCATTATTATATAGCTTCAAACTACTCCAGAGCCACAAGAAGCCGAAAAGGTCAAGGACGCACGCATGACGGTTGAACAGCTTGGAGAACTCGGCGAGGCTCTTATGGTTGTCAGCGCAAGGTCCAGTTGTTTGAAGGAACGAAAGGAACTCAGGGCCGTTATGGAAGAGAATCTGTCGACTGGAGAGGTGAGTGTCCAGTGCACTTACCTAGAATGTGTTAACAAGTAAAAATTATGCAGGATCCCGCGGCTCCACAGAATCCTCTCGCCAAGAAGATTCGCAACATGTTAACCAAGATCGACAAGCAACTGTCTGCTTACGATGAGAAGGTTGGATCGTCTCTGCAGCTAATTCAGCTGGATCCACATGGTGAGTTGTCAGCACCAAAACCCGGAAGCGTTTTCATAGTTGTCCAGGACGGATTTCCGTCCAGGATCTCGAACAAGCACTCAAGGTTATCAAGCATGCTCCAGAACCAGAAATTGTACAAGGTATCGTCAAGAAGCTGGACGTCGACAATGATGGCTTTGTCGTGCTTGAGCATGTCATGGACCTCATTGGCGAGGAGGGTCTCGGTTCGTACACGTCTTCCTTTTCTATTACATCTGCTTACTGGATGATAGGAGTGGTGCTGGATGCCGATGCTCAGGATCTGCTCGGCCAAGGACGAGAGATTATCAACTCCAAGGCTGCTGCAAAGCCGAGAAAGGAGGACATCGTGCAGGGATAGACTTGACAGAGACATATCGAGTGCGGATATGGCATGTATGTTGGACTCTAGCCTGTTACATGCGGTTTTTGCATACTGCCCTATCAACAATGCATCGCGGTCTAGCGAAATGATATGACAAGAAATTACTCCGCAGCCTGGGCAGGGAATTCGAACGTGACGTCCTTGCCAGTGAGCTTGCGGTACACCGACGCGAATGAGTCAAGCTTGTACTCCAAAGAGTTGGCATCCTTCGAGTCCAGTAGCCTGTAAATGAAATCAGTCGATATAAAGCAGTTCGATGGATGCAAACGTACACTCGGATGAGCTTCGAGCCATCGACTGCGATTCTTTGTCGCTTGCCAACGATATCGGTAGGATACACCAAGTCCTCGAGAATCTTCTCGTGAACGTCAGTCAAAGTTCGCGAACGAGGTCGCTTTTGCTTGACACGCGACGTCTTTGTTGGCTTTGAGAGGGTACGGCGTTGGGCGACGAAAACGACATGCTTGTCGGCAAACTTCTTCTCCAACTCACGAGTAAGCCTATTATTATTCGATTATCAGCGACTCTGGTTGTCTCCTTTGACCTATGAGGGCCTCACCTGGCGTGAACCTTTCGATACGCCTTGAGCTGAGGAACTGGGACAAAGATTACAATAGCCTTTTTTCCACCCTTTACGTCGACCTCCTTTGCAGCACTGATCTGGAGAGGACGGAGCTCGGCCTTGAGCTCTGGGACATTCGACTCGAGCTCAATGAGGGCCTGCGCGATTTTCGTCTCGAGTTCTGATGGAGGACCAGAGGGCGCGTTTGCTGTGCGCTGGACTTTGAGATTGACCGACATCGTCAAGGAGCGGCGGCGGGAGAGATTTGGTGTAAACGGGGATTAAGGTTTGACCACTCCTGGAAGCCTTGGGTCAGGAAAGTCCAGTAATATGTAGAAATAGTATTATTGGGTATAGGGCATACTTGTAATAGAATATTCATCGATTTAACAGGCCTAGCTGATGCCGAAGGCAGACAAGACCAGACTTTGCATAACGGCCTGGAGTTTCAATAAACCTTGTGACTTTCTTTGGTAGTATGACAAGGTAAAATGGTCTTCCTGTCAGGCTCGAGAGGGGTCCCACCCGTCCCACGTCACGTCGACGAGGCATAGTTGTTCGAGGACTTTTACCTCCGGTATTTTGCTTACGTGTAACCAGAGTCTAGAACTCGGTTGTGTGTTAGGTAATGAACCAGTCGCGATATACGCGGCCCAATGCATTTCATTCTCGGTAGTATCAGGACATCGCCTTTGGACGATGGCATTCACACAGTGGGAGGTGGTCCAACGCCGTGCGGTGCTATGAATAAGGGTTCATTCACGGAAGGATCCGACGATATTGGCTGGTTATGATGTGTCCCTAGTCTATCGGAGTCTCACATATTGACCTTGGGAACCTTCGTCTCGGAATATGCAAATGATATTTACAGGGACACATGATTGTTGTGGTCATCAGAATCCTCGGTGTGAGAGTGGCATGGTATTGAAGGCAAGCAGTGCGCAGGCTTAGGGGGACGGATGGGGAGCGCGCGGTAGCTGTGGTCTGGGTTACGCTGATCGAAGTCGACCAACTATATGCATTTTCCGACCCGGACGAGGACGCGGGCCCACCCGGAACACTCAAGGCAGCCAATGACCGAGCTACAGGCAGGACGGCATAAGGATCATTCAGGCCATATTAACAACTGTCAGACTCGCTTGCTTACCCCAGGGGTGGTCAAGCATCGCCTCCTAAGCAGAGGCAACAATTTTTGCCGTGGATGCAATTGAGTGATCATATATTATTAAGACTCCTTGTCCCAAAACATGACCATTTAGCCAAGTTGGTTAAGGCGATTGATTAGAAATCAATTGGGCTTCGCCCGCGTAGGTTCGAATCCTGCAGTGGTCGCATCGTTTTTTGGCTCGCCATTTAATTTCCATGGCCAGGATTGGGTAACGACCCCTTTTTTGGTCTGTTATCGGACTACATCTAGCCTCATCAGTGGAGTGAACTCGTGGGTTGCCCCGATTACTCGGCAAGTTCCTAGGTCCGAGGAGTGGCTGAACCCTGCTGCGCGTGTCGTGTCAACGTGCCCACCCTACTCGGTCCAGTTCAGTTTTAACATTTACTGGACCGTTCGCGGGCTCGAGAGAAGAGCGCCCGTGAAGGCCGGAGATCATAACCGCATTGAACGGCGTTAACGCTGGGCACATCCGAATCCAACCTGCATTTCGTTTCTGTGCAGAGGTAATGACACCCTTGAAGAGGGTCCCAGATGTAAATCTGTACAGCACCCAAAGGCTGTCCCCGGTCAATGGCAACGGGCAACGAAATGCAATAAATGAATTTCTGAAGCGATCCGAACGTGAGTAAGGAACCCTCTGGCGAAACGAACGGTGAACAGGACAGGCAGACAGGCGAACGGCACGGCTGGTAGAGAGGACGTCAATTAAGTATTATGCTGTGCTGTAGGAACAAGAGATGGGCTCGACAGAACGAATGCAATAATGTCATGTATTGCCTCCGCCGCTTGTCGGACGGTCAGAAGCGTCTGGTCTTAGCGTTGGGGAGATGGAGCCAGGAGAGGTCCGGGCGCGCAATCCAGACGACCAGTCTTGCGAGGTCGGATGCATGTTTTTCATGCTATGAATTGTGTTAGTGTCTGGCACTCGGACCTGCATACGTGAGCGACTGACTGTGTTCGCATATTGTCCAGCCGCGAAAAGGTTTTGTCACACCCCGGATATTCGCATTGAAAGCGGGTTCCTGTATGCTTAAGGGTATGCCGATTGAGGTGGCCCACTTTTTTGAACACGGACGAACAGAAGGGACACGGAAAGGTGGGCTCGTCTGCCGAGGGCTCAGGGGAACCGGAAGCCATTGCCTCGTCGGTCGTTGTTGGAGAGATTGGGGAGAGTATTAGTGGTGTTGACCCTTCGATGTCCCTTAGTTTAGTACCAACGACAAGCTTGCGCTGGAGGCGCAACGGTGGGTGTGAAGTCAACGATGGGAGTGGGATCGGTACTGAGCCGCTGGATGTGGATGCAGATGGTTGTTGTAACTGCATTTCGACATCGTCGTGGAGAGCTCGCGGCACCTTGTTGTCTGTCATAGGTCGGGGGAGGATTGATATCAGACAGCCCGGGTGAGAGTCCATCGGGAGGCTAAATAGCGCGCCAACCCAGTGTATTGGCCACAGGCAGCAAGGCTGAATGTCTGCCTCTGTACCACATATTTGTGCTCGGTTTCTATTTCCTCGAGCGCCACAGGTTACAAACTCCGAGTATGGGAAACGAACCCTATCCATATGACCGTAGACCGCGCGAGCCGACGAGAAAATGAATCAATCGTACCCAAATGACCGCATGAACTTCGCATTTCGACTGTCGTCAAAGGGTTTCCGCGTGATGAATCAACCAGGGTTCAAGTCTGCTGTGAGCCCCAATGGTCAACCCGTTCAACAACTGACACGGGGCTCGGTAGTCTGCTCTTGAAAGAGGTCGCCCTTGACGCTCCGGAAACACGGAGAAAGGAAGGCAGCCCAATTGTAGAAAAGCTCCTAAGCCCATATAACAAGGCCAGCCTCCTCGGTGACTTGCGGCCGTGCACAGGATAATAGACGTTGCCCAGGAGAGAGAATTCAAGCCCAGTTCCGTAATCGGGGAATCCCCTTTGATACCCGCGCCTACGGCTCCCTAGTCTGGTGCCACGCTGACCGACCGTCAAGCCCTTGGAACCTGACCGTGACTGCCCGCAACCTCAAGGATGCCCAGAATATGCATTATCTCTTCAGATATTTGTTGGACGGTAAATGAGGATAAGACAGGGACTAAGATTCGAACAAACCAACCTCGTATCCTCTGGACCTCAACACAACTGTCAGACTACCAAATTGCCAGACCTCGGATCTGTCTCTAATGTACATTTGGACACTCTTCGCTTCATCTATTCTCCAAGATTGCAATTGCAACTCTGAATTTGGTCATTGGTCATCGCGAGTCGGCCGTCGTTCTTTGCGCCCACCCTCGACTCCTCCTGGCCCTCTTCTCTCCTGTATTGAGCGATGAACACGCCTCCACCGGGTAATTGGACGAACACTCCATCACCTCAGCTTGGTCTAAACAGTGGACCTTTGCCGGCACCTCAAGCGCTCCTCGGTCCTCAGTTAGCGGTTACGCTGTTACAAGTTTTAAGCCAAGGCGTTCTTTTCACCCAAATCTCAACCTATTTCTCCTCTCCCCGTGTTTCTCGTCAATCTAAAGGCTCACGCGACGGCTGGCCTTGATTGCTTACGTCTTGGTCGTCAGCTCCCTGTCTCTGTAAGCCTTAAACGCCTCGAACTCCCAGTCGGCTCACCTCACTCTCTGTATAGCGTTCAAACCTGTCGTTACATCTTTACAGCCCACCTGATTCTTGTCGACCACCGCGATTTTGTGCGTCGCTCCTTGGGTTTTGCCCTCGTCGCTCATACGTTTAAGTTCTCCGATAAAACTAGATGGATTGATCCTCTACTCAATGCGCTCATTAGTTGTCTGATTCGCTTGTTCTATATTCACCGAATCTGGCGTATGACGAACAAGTGGTGGGTACCCGCCCCCCTGGTGCTCGTACAACTTGGAATCTGCGTGGCACAAGGATGGCTCGTTGCTGGTGTCTACCTGCACCATGAACGCCGCTATGTCACTGTAGAAAACGTCGCATGCAAGTCGTAGTCCATATCCCTGGGTAGACGACTTACAACTTTCTCAGTCGACCTTGCTATCATTGGATCAACCGTACTCGATCTTGTCCTTGCTAGCATTCGTATGACACTCTTCCTCGCACCTAGTTCTTGAGCTGACAGTCAACAGTTGGATATCTGGTGCTCAACTCTCGAACAGGCGTCCGCTACCTCGACAAATTTCTTGAACGAATTGCCATATTCTTCTGGAGCTGCGCAATTCCTCCTGCGCTGTTGATGATACCCGCAGTGGTGATCTATCACGTAGCGACGAGCAGACTCGCCGCGCTATGGTGCACAATCTGCATCGCCACGAGCATCAAACTCTACCACCATTCGCTCTTACGCTCTCTCAATTCACGGGACCGGCATCAGAAGCGACTCCAGCATGAACGCGAGGCTTTCAACGACGCAAACTTCCGCTCAGACATCTCACAGAGTTTGCGACAGGAGCTAGGAGGTACCGCTGCAGATACTGATCGAATGCGGACATCTGTTGCAAGCACGGCGGTCTCGCATCATACCGTGTCTGTTCCAAACTATTCATTGCCGCTTAACTCTTCAAAAACTCGGTTCTTGGTGAGACTCTGTGCAATGCCCGCTTGTTCCAGTACTAAGGGTTGTATAGAGCTCGAAGTCTCTAGTCCACAATAACTATTTGCCGCCGACACTATCATCGATTAGTCAAAGTCCGACGCCAGGAGATGGAACAGATTTTCCGGAGAGCTTTATGAAGGATTGAGTCTGATGAAACAGGCCCCTACAAAGAAAGAGAATGTATAACATTGCAAGCAGTTGAATTATATGCTTTCTATTCTGTGTCTGATCCAGAGAGTGTCCTATTACCTTGCAGCTAACCACGAGAAAAGCTTTGGTCACCATAGCACATGGGCGAAGAATGAACATTCACAGTCGCATAATCTGGCTCCGACCTCGTTGTCGAATGCTCGCGTTTGTTATGACTATCGTCATCGCCGCCCCGTGGATCGTGAACCTTTTGCGACACGCTCGCCGGTCCTTGGATTTAGCCCAGAGAAGAGAGACAATTTCACAGTCATTTGTCTGGACAACGCAGTTCAACAGTCTGTCCACTGTCGAGCCGTCAGCGACCCGATTTCTTGCCTACATCCCCCATAGTGGCTTTCACAACCAGCGTATCGAATTGGAGAATGCGATTGTACTCGCAAAGCTGCTCAACCGGACATTGGTTCTTCCTCTGGCTCGGCTCGGCTCACATCCACTGACGTACAAACCATTTGACGAGCTGTTGGAAAATTATGGCCACTCGGACAAAGCTCGGCTATCTCATTGCCGTCACGAAGATACTTCGTTTAATTCTACCGTCAAAGAGTGTCGAAAGTTTGAGCGGTACACTCATGTCTCCTGGCAGGACATCATTGATCTGCAGCGAGTGATGGGCCTTGGTGTTGGTATTGTAGAACGCTGGGATTTCACACCTCGTTACCTGCAGGATACACTCGGTGTTGGGGATGGGGACACCTTCTGGCTGAAAGATTCTTCGGCATACCACTTTCAGTTTCACGATGCACTAAAAGGAAGAAAAGGTGGAGGGAAATTCCACACATACATCAGCATACCAGACTTTGCCGTCTCATCGGAGCGATATCGTCTTGTCCACCTGGGCACGCTCTTTGGCACTTCCCGATTGAGCCTAACCAGCAGATCCAACGACCAACTATTGAGAAAAGTCAGGGCTGCCATGAGGTTGGCAAACGCGCGCCTAGACTCGCTTGCTCATACGGTCACCGCTCGCATGGGAGGTACAGACACCTATCACGCAATTCATTTCCGGAGTGGCGATGGGATATTCGCCGAGAGGGCACGCTACACAGCCCAAGTGATTCTTGCGAATGTTCTGCGCCACGCCTACGGTGTCGACATCTTCTCAAGGGACGCCTTCAAGGAACTTGGGCTCAACACGAGTGTTCAAGCGTTTCAGAGGATTGTATTGTCTGGCTCCCTTCCCTTGAGGCGCCCAAAAAAGATTTTTCCTCGCCGTTTGTGCGTGCGCTCAGGACGGACGAGGGAAGGGTGGCAAGTTTCCCTCTCGACTCCTCTCTTCATCGCGACAGATGCTTACAACCCGCGGACGCATGCTTTATTGGAGGCGTATAGAAGGATATTTCCGTGTATCGCTTTCCTCTCAGACTTTCCTGACGTCGCTGAGGAGCTAGAGGAGTTGGTCAACCCACTGGACGGGTCACCTATGGCAAGATTCTTCCTGCCGTTTCTGGATGCTACGATATTATCTCGAGCAGCATCGTTTGTTGGTACACCAGAGAGTACTTTTAGCAAGTACGTCAAGGAGGTACTGTGGCCTCTGGAACATAATTTGATTGTAGATACGTAGCCGTTTTGGTCCATAATATCAAAGACCATTTTTTCGTTATGTTTAGGCCTTTTTCTTAGAGTTTATAGCCTTATACATGTTCAGCCACTCACAACGCGACCTTTACATCTCTGACCCGGCCACATCGCACGTCGCGTGGTAACAATTATGGCCGATAAAATCACTCGAATAGCTATTGTCGACGCTAATCGATGCAAACCGAAGCGATGTGCGCAAGAGTGTAAAAAGGTGCGCAGACGCTGTCAGTGGCAGCAATGAACCATCACTTACGGTCGCGTTCCTCAGTCATGTCCCGTCGTACGAATGGGTGAGCAATCCAACCATCGACTGTGATTGCATTGGTTTCTGAGCACTTGCGTCTGGTACTTTCTGCAATTTTCAGGCAAACTTTGTATCGAAGTCAAACCATCCGACAAAATTGCATTCATCTCAGAGGTGCTTTGCATCGGATGCGGTATCTGCGTCAAAAAGTACGTGCCATTTTCTCTATGAATCAGTTCATCCGACGTGATGGCTCCCCAGATGTCCATTCGAAGCAATCACCATCATCAATCTGCCCACAAATCTTGAGTCAGAGGTCACCCATCGGTATACGGCCAATGCGTTCAAACTCCACCGTCTGCCTACACCGCGTCCAGGCCAGGTGCTCGGTCTCGTGGGGACAAATGGGATCGGGAAATCGACGGCACTCAAGATTCTAGCAAACAAGCTCAAACCCAACTTGGGCAAGTATGACAATCCGCCAGACTGGCAAGCCATCCTCAAACATTTCCGGGGGTCGGAACTACAAAATTATTTCACCAAGGTGCTCGAAGACGAGCTCAAGGCGATTATTAAGCCACAATATGTCGATCACATCCCTCGAATGTTCAAGGAACCGACGACCGTGCAGCAAATGTTGGACAAAAAGGCAGAGCTGGATAACAAGCAGGAGATGTGCGACCTTCTTGAGCTCAACGAGGTTCTACAACGCGATGTTAGTCAGTTGTCGGGTGGGGAGCTCCAACGGTTTGCCATTGCAATGTCCTGCATACAGAAAGCAGACGTGTGGGTAAAGCAATCTACATTACCACAAGGTCTAACAAGTAGGCAGATACATGTTCGACGAACCGTCTAGCTACCTTGACGTCAAACAACGGCTGCAAGCCGCGCGGGTCATTCGTAGTCTTTTGCATCCCAACTGCTACATCATCGCCGTCGAGCATGACCTTTCGGTTCTTGACTATCTATCCGACTTTGTTTGCTGTCTATACGGCAAACCTTCAGTCTATGGAGTGGTCACAATGCCCTACTCTGTTCGAGAAGGTGGATGCGAGTCCTCGTTTACAATGTCTCGACTAATGTTTCTCCAGGGATCAACATCTTCCTCGAAGGGTTTATACCCACAGAAAACTTGCGATTCCGTCAAGACGCACTAACGTTCAAAATGTCGGAGACTGCAGAAGAGATCCTGAGCGACAAGACCCGACGATACTCCTATCCTACAATGACCAAGACGCTTGGGACCTTTAAGCTCAGCGTTGAGGGTGGTGCCTTTACCGACTCTGAGATCATCGTCATGCTGGGCGAGAACGGGATGGGAAAGACGACGTTAATCAAGCTACTTGCAGGACGCGACGCGCCAGATCAAGAGGAAGAGAAGATGAGTCTGTCCGTCTCACTCAAACCGCAAAAGATTGCACCCCAGTTCACTGGGACTGTTCGTGGCTTGCTTCTCAAGCGGATAAAGCCCATGTTCATGAATCCACAATTCGAGACGGATGTTATCAAGCCGATGAATTTGGAACCCATCATCGATCAAGAGGTCAAGACGCTCTCAGGAGGAGAACTACAACGAGTGGCAATCGTGCTAGCGTTGGGTCTACAGGTACGTCGCGATAAAGGGCGCGGAGTTTGAGCTGATGTCACATCAATAGGCGGATGTTTATCTACTCGACGAGCCGTCTTCGTTCCTCGACTCGGAACAACGTATCATCGCATCCAAGGTCATCAAACGCTTCGTTCTTCATGCCAAGAGGACTGCGTTCGTGATTGAACACGACTTTATCATGGCGACCTACCTTGCAGACCGGGTCATCGTGTTTGAGGGGACACCCGCTATCAGTGCGAAAGCCACACCGTGCGTCTTCGAATTTACCTATACGACACCTCCCTGACGGACTCTGCAGGCCACAGTCACTTTTGACGGGAATGAACAAATTCCTAGCGTCGTTGGAGATTACGTTCCGACGTGATCCGACAAATTATCGCCCTCGTGTAAACAAAGCGGAGAGTGTAAAGGATAGGGAACAGAAAGGTGAGCTGCATTCCATGCATTGAACCCATGCTCACGTCTTACAGCTGCCGGGACCTATTTCTTCCTGGAGGACGACTAGTTTTGTGCAACCTTCGTGACGAGTCAGCCGTGGTAGATATGCGCCACTGTATCTTTCGGATGTAGTGACCTGCTTGGCTCGTTCAGAGCGAGATGACGATGAAGATTAGGTCCAGGAGCAACGAGAGGTGATCAAACCAAGCAGAATGAACTGATCGGGGACGCATTGATAAGTGAAACACGGGATTAAATGGCCCAACCGTTGAAAAGGGCTGGTGAAATGAAAGTTCAAGTTAACAAGGCTTGCTCTTGAGATCTCGATACCACTTCCACAGACGTTCAAATCTGAGGCGCTTGTGTACCCTCGCGAATCTCGTAGTTGAAGAAAAAACAGTTGCTTGCGCTCTGGCTAGTCATGGGCTCTGGTGTCAGTCCAGCCGATAGACGGGGAAGCCAAGTCAGCACCTTGTGGAGAGATTACGATTACTCACGCAACTCTCAAGGAGTCTCTGAACGCATAACAATGGTATGAACCATTATAGATTACAGTAGGGATGGGTAGTAGTCACTGATGAGATTAATTGCAAAGAGTGGCGCGTCTAAGGCGTCGGGTTTGTCGTCGATTATTTGCTGTCATTGTGAATAGTCGCATCAGCAGGAATTTTGATGTCGACATTGAATAGTTTGAGATCAGAGAAGGGTACACCCTTGTAACGGGGGTGCGATGATTGAATTTCCGTAGGAGAATTCCGACCTTGTCAGATTTGAAGGCGAGGACGGAAGAAACATCCTTTGGGTGATTCCTATTGTGAAGAAGAGTTCACACTGCTCCTGTTCATTCGCCATTTATACGAATGCGGGAGCGGCCAAGATGTCCAGCAGCCAAACGTAGACTTGCACATCTCAAAACGCGATGATCAACTAGGAACACAAAAGGAATCCCTGGACGAAATCCAAGGACCACAAAAAGACAATCAAGAACTGCGCTTGTAAGCGGCAAAAAGCAACCGTCACCTGCAGGATTTGAACCTACGCGGGGGAACCCCATCAGATACTACTGTAATTCGAATCTGACGCCTTAACCACTCGGCCAAAGTGACTATGTTTTGATGAAGAATTTACAATATAATAGTGTTAAACCAGAATGGGTAACAACTCTGGACGAAAGTGAGTACAAGGCTCCCACATCCAATGGATCCTATTATGCCTTTCAAGCGCTCAAATTCGATGAAACGCCCAAGTTAAGCCTATAAGTTCTCAGAGAAGAGCAGCCAATCGCGCATTGGTCCGTCCATCGGTTGAACGAGAGTAAAATCCAGTATATAAAAGTGATACGGTAACAACAAATGTCCGTCAAGATCGTAGAAGGGGCGTATAAACGTGAAACGGCGTTGCGGCGTAGCGGCGTAGCGCTGCATTTGGAAGGTCTAAGCCTTTGAGAATATGAGTATACGCATCCAGGCCAGTAAACTCGTGGGCTTACAACGATGAATAAAGCCAAGGCGCCGAGGCTGATTACACCAGCGGCGGCTGGAATTGTTTTCAAGGCTCCACCAGTCGAGCTTGTCGCCGAGGTGGTGGGAGCAACGGTTGTCGTCGTGCGTGCAGTCGTAGAGATCGAGGAGCTCCTGGTCGAGCTTGAGCTTGAGTTAGAGCCGGTAGCACTGCTACTCGATGCGCCGCTTGTGGGTACAGAGACCTCTGTATCGACTGGGGTCGCATTGTTTGCACTGATTGTCACAGAGTTACCCGAGGCCGTCTGTCCATTACATGTCGCTTCTCCAGCTGCGTTGCGTCCGCAAGTCTCGCCGGCAGCTATGACGATGTTAGGGCCGCAAAGTAGCATTTCACAGATTTGTACTTACGGCAGCAGAATGTCTCTCCTGGACATTGAACCTGGCCATTTTGAGCGCATCCAACCGCACCATCGCACTGTTGGCCAGCCTTGCAACAAATGCTAACACCGTTGACGACAGAACAAGAATCTCCGCCACTGCAGCATCCATCTCCACAGCAACCACCACCCGAGCAGCCTATGTGCGACGCCCAAAGTATGAGAAGACTGAACACCCAACTGAAAGGAGAATGACTTACACAGAGAGTTTGTGGAGCAACACTCTGTACCATCCTGACAGCAATTATCTCGATTCTGGCATTGGAAAGAACCTGGGTCGCAACCCAGTGCTTGTCGTTTTGAGAAGAGCACGCCCGGTGGAGACGCACGCCGGACGCGCTCGACGCCGCCAGGATAGAGGAGCGTAGGTGGAACAGCAACGGGAGCACGCTTATGAGGGTATGAAAACGCAAACGGTGATGGTCCATCTGAGCGCTTCAACAAGTAGCTATAATCCTTGCCGCTGAGCGAGCGCACGGCGCTGGGCGTGCCAGCAAGGACCGCAAGAGGGGCGAGAGAGGAGAAAAGGAGCGAAAAAACGAGCATTGTATATGGTAGTCGTAGGTAGTTGGGAGGCGGACGGACGTGGTTGCGGTCGAAGTTGGGGCTTTAATGTTTGGTTTAAGAGCGAGGCCATGTTCAAGCTAATACGGCCGGGAAATGTCGAAACAGTCCGATAAGGAACAGACAGTTGAATTCGAATGCATCGAAACAGGTCTAGCGCACATTGCATCTATTCGATGGACGACCGGCCACTCGACACTGGGGACAAGCCGTCTACGAGCCATGAGTACTGTTCTCACGCGGAGCTGTTACAGGTCTCCAGGCATGAATCTTGCGCGCGACAGTGTTGTACGGACGGTATGCGCCGCGAGTCCCCGTCAGATTCTCATAGTACGGCTAGTCACAAACAACACAAATTAGCTCATTCAAACGTGGTATAAGACGCAGACTTACCGCCTTCCACGGCGGCGTCATTTTGGCCATCACGCCGTCTTCCGTCGGAGGGTCTTTGCGGATGTGCGAGATCCACGAATGCCATTCTGGAGGAACCTGCGTTGCATTGTACTCGTGCTGAGCAAAGTCAACCCATCGGTGTCGTCCTAACGAAGCCAGGTAAGACATCAATGTCCCAAAAACCTCCTCTATCCTCAAAATGAAGGATATATACCTGGAATCTCTTCTTCTGCGTTCAAGTTTTCATAGTAGCGATTCCCAAAACTGCCGCAACGGTCACTTGCCTGTACAAGGTCTGCAGCTCCCACCGGAGACTTACTAGTCGGTTCCTACAAGTCTCCCAGACTTTGCATCACCAATATACTGCAGTTGTCTCCACCATTCTCGAAACCCGACCCTCCAAAAGTTCCTAACTGTCCTCGTCAACGACACCATGTATCCGTTGACCGTTCTCCGAGTTCAATTGATTTCTTCAATTATTCTGGATCGTTCAGACGATCGCAGGATGATAGCGTCGAGTCACGCTAAGATGTGGTCAAGGTCGAAATATATTGGAGCCGCAATGATCTACATGTAATCCGAATGGTCCATGCGTAAAAATAAAGACAGAAAGAATCTGGATTGGAATTCACTGCGAGATTTGTCTGAGGAATCGTTGTGCCTTCAGCGTACGCAGATAGTCTTCCCCAAGGCCTTGCTACATAGCTCCATGGTTCCCTTTATGAGTTTTATGGCTTCCTCCAGCTTACTGTGCTTGTAAAATAGTACAGAGAGAGATAATATGACGTCAAGGGTGTTTTGATGCCTTTGAGCGTCGACGTCGACCCATATTAGAGCGAGTAGCTCTCGATACAGCTTTTCCGCCTCGTCTAACTGACCGCACTTGTGTAAGGTCTTCGCGAGGTTCGCCATTGCTGTAATGGTTTCCGCATGTGGTTGTCCTTTGATCTAGCCACAGGCGATACCTCTGGCACCATCCTTTCTGCCTCGCCCAACCGACCGCACTTGTATAAGGTGATTGCGAGGTTTACCATTGCTTTACTAAATAAGGAAGCAGTTTGACCGTTGGGATTTGTTCGAAACAAGTCGTACGTCGACCAGTGTCTCGGAGTCTGCTATTTCCTTTGGAAATCAAAAGGCACCAAAGATGATCATTTGGTCGAGTGAGAAAATGATCAGCTCCAAGATGCCCTAACTCGCGTGCATACCTCCATTGATGACTACCGAGGCTCTAACTCACTCAATGCGTCCTTAAATAGAAAGAGGGTTGAAATTCGTTCGAGTATAAACCAGCTAAACTACGGGATGATCCCCAGCATCGAGCGAGGGGGTTCGCGTACAATTCCCCGCCACAATCCTAGAGAGAGTCCAGCGTCATTCTCGAGAGGGGTGAGGAGATAACGAGTATGGAAATGAGGGAATCCGTGGAGACAGAGGGAGGTGAAGGACATTATGGGACAAGAGGTTTTGCAGTAACAACTGACAAGGGGGTGGGTCGGCAAGAGAGTTCGTGGAGAGAGAGGACAAAAGCGTAACAAGATGACATCGGAGGAGTTTAATGCATCTGGACAGGTACATGCCTCCTCCGTTTGGTTGGGGTCGAATCCTCATTGGACTTTGCGGCGGCGATAGCCTTGGCAAACGCGGAGAACTAGACGAATTGTCAGATGAATATAACAAAAACCATAAAGGGGGTACGCACCACATCGGACAAAGAGTGGTGAATACCATTGGTAAACGCCGTATAGTCGCGCCACGCAGCCTGGCACATGAGGACGAAGCCCTGACCTTCGGGACTAACATCGCTGTACGGGGTAGTAAAGTCGTACGGGTTGACAACGTTCTGAAGTCTTCCATCCGCAGCGATCGAGTTTTTGACGAGCGTAAACGCCCTGTCGGCATGGGGAATGAGCGTCGACACGTCGGTGATGACACCCAGACGATAGGTCACGGCAGCCATGAACGCGGTTCCGCTCATATCCGTAAACGAGTCGTCGCGCAGGTAATTTCCGAGCGATCCATCAGCACGTTGGTGATCCCAAACGGCTCCGACAATCTCCTGTGCCCACGCTGACAAGTCAGCGAGTGCCCAGCTCAATTCATCGCGGAGAGCCGATTTGGCAATGGTCTGGTAGACACGGATCATTCCTGAGGCAGCCCATCCGTGTCCGGTCGCTACAGGGACTCGTTAGTCTCTTTTGCAAAAAGGAGAGGGGAGGGAAACGCACTCCAGTGGCCAACGTCGCTCCACGTGCCCATCACGACGTGCATCCAGAGACCGTTGGAATTGGGGTCCCGGAGATGATCACGGTAGAGGCGGAGCTGTTCATAGGCTTTGACGAGGTACTTGCGTTGAACCTCGAGGTCGGTCTGGATCGCACCCCAGTAGGCAAAGCTTGGAGGGACCATGAAGCATGAATCTATTCCGACGTTAGTATTGCACCGAATACAATATCCAAAAGCTGCGCACCAGCCCAGAGTTGGACCTAAGGGGACCCGTGAGTAAAACATCAAATACAAGCCAAGACTACAACGTACCTCGGACACTCGGTGAGAGATGGCTCCGTCTCCCGTCTGAGGAACATCGTACTCGATGAAGCCAAGCTGCGAGTAAAATGCAGACTGGAAGCGTGTGTCGGCGGGATTCGAATAGTTGGCCAAGAGCATGGTGATGGCGTTGCTCATCGGGTCTCCAGCCGCACCGTCCTCCATAATCGTCTTTGAATCTTTAGGGCGCTCGTCCATGAGCTTGGCGGCGTTCCTCATGATATACGAGTCTTGGTCGAGCGGGCGGGGGATTGGGAATGGTGCCCAGCCATAGACGGAAATGTCTGGATAGTCCATTTCGAGAACGGCAGTCGTTGCAGTGCCATATTCCCAACTGTAACACCCAAAGTCAGCAAGGCGCGCACATGCAGGGAATGTTGATATGGAGTACTGCCACAAGTCCAACGGAACTCGCTGCTTGAAGGAGTTTTGGAATCTCCGGAGAGGAAAGATGCTTACCTGACGTGAGCTCTGTCCATGAGCTGCTGACGGACACTGTTGACTTGAGCCGTCGTCAGTCCCTCTGCGAGCAAGGCCTGAGCCGCCGGAGAAAGCGCGCAGAATGCGGCAACGGCAACGGTGAGCGAGGAAGAAAACATTTTTAATGGTATAAAAACGTCTAAGTGAAGTGTTCAAGTGCTGTTTGTGTGTTTAGAAAACTCTGTAGAGACTGTGGGTTTGGGTAGTCGCTGCGGCAAGCCCTCGGAATGGTCCTAGGAGTGCACAGATGCTCCCTCTCGAGATCAAAGATAGTACTGGAGGGGCGTAGATGCTGCAGAGGGCGTCGGAAAGAGGTCCTCGAGGAGAAATAAGGATCAAGGGCGAGTACAAGGAGAAACAGCTTGGCATCGGCAACCGACCACGGGCCTCGCCTCGGCATGTCAATTGGAATAGAATAATATCCGCTTCTGAAAGGATAGCAACTGACGTGAGGGGGGGACCAGATGGAACAAGTGGTACACGAGTTGGATTGACGGCAAAGGACAAGACTACACTATTATGCTCGCATAACAGAGGAAAAAGTGCTAGGATAAGATTTTCCCAAAGAGTGGCATTCTGCGCCAGTGAGCAGCACTGGCCAGAAGAAGAGTGATGCAGAGAGTCGAGGCATGGAGAGTCCATTGTATACGAGAGAGAGTGTGTATGTGATGCAGAGACGGAGAGCGTTTTGGCGTGCCCAACCAGTCCAGTGGATTGGACAGGGATTCCGAGACAAAGAGTGAGAGTGGGAACAAGACACCGACGAGCGGGGGGCCCCTATTGAAGAGGATGGGGCGGGAAGGGAATTATCACAGACCGCGTGGATCTCCATCGTTACATCGCTTGCTTCGGGAGATACGTAGCGGGAAAAGCAGAACTAAACCGAGCCATGCCGCTTTTCACGACTCGGTCACTGGGAGCGGAGGCGTCACCCCCAGGGGAACACCACATCGCATAGAGGTCGGTGTATGCGCACCAGAAGGCGGCGTTGTCCGCCTCGTCCGCCACGACGAGCGCGCGTCGGGCGAATGCGGTTCTCGTCGTGAGACGTAGCCATTGTCTGGCGCACTCAGACGATCCTCGCTCGTACTTCGCTCATCTCCACTCGATGCGTGCGTTCCGACAATCGTCTTGATGCTAAAGTTGAGCGGGAGCGTCGGGAGGAGCATCAACGGAGGTGGCGGGCTACTGCGGTTGGCATGCCGTTTGGCGTTGCGCCGTCGTTGCGAAAACGAGCGAGAGGCATCGTCCAGAGGGAGGAAACTGCTTGCAATGTTGGTCGTTGCAGGCTCGAGGGGCTTGGCCAAAGGAGCCGGGTTGTTTGCTGCTTCGGTGGTAGCTCTACCTCGTCTGTAAGGGGAAGGAACGAGTGCAGTTTTGTTGTGGATGCAAACTGTTCCCTCTCCCGAATCATGTCGCGCACACTGCGCGCAGAGTTGGATCGGGCATGTCGAGCACGACGTATGCCTGAATTGACAGATGCACCACTGATGTTCACACCAGGACCAAACCCAAAGACAGTCTTGGTGGGAGGCGCAGAAGGTGGGGCCTTGAGACTGGTGGTGCGTGGAGGAGGAAACGGCTGAGCCGGCGCATTGTTGTTGGTTGTCGTCGTAGGCGAGTGTGGTACGGAACCAATATCCCCTCCGACTGTGGAAATGGCAACGGGAGGTTGGGAGCGTCGGGCCAGCGAGGAGATGGAGACGACTGTGCCCGAGTTGCTGACATCGACATCTCCGTCAAACGCAGATGCAACATCGACAAAACTGCCCGTTGCGCTCAGATTGTGGTTGCTACCGGTGCTAATGGCACGTCCCGCACGACGACCCACTGAAGAATAGGGCGAGACATTTTTCCGACCTTGGGTGAGCGTCGTCCTGTCGGAGGAAGGGATCGGCGGAACATTGGCGATTGTGCTGGCGCTGAAGCCTGTACTCGTCGTACGTAGGTGCGTTTGCGATTTGGTACGTTGTCCGAGTCCGCCACGCACATTGCGAGAGATGAGGAGATTGGGTTGGCCGGCACAGTGACTCTGGGGTTGAGCTGGTCGTGCAAGAGGGAGATGTGTTGGAAGGACATTTCGATCGTTATCTGCGTCGTCCATCATCTCGTCGCCGTCCTCATCCGTGCGCCGTCTCTCGTGCGGCTTTGCGGCGTCTGGTTGGCTGAAACGATGCGGTTTGACTTGAAGAGGGGCAGACATATGATGGAGTTGACGTTTGTCATGTACGAGCTCCTGAAAGTCTGTTGTCGTGCCGGGCACGGAGCCTCTTCGCGTGTAGATCTACAAGTTTGGGCGTGAGATGTCTGATTGTCTGCGGATTGCACGGAATAACTGCGCACGTACATCACGATCCTCGACTGGGGCTGAGAGCCCATAGGGTGAGTACCGGTTTGTCTTCCCATGGCTATTGCGGTGATGGTCGCGTTGGACGGGGGGCGACGAGAGCGGGGTGACGAGGGAATTGGAGGACAAGGGAGTGCCCAAGGATTGTGCATGATGAGCCTCTTCAAGAGTCGGAGTCGGAAGTTCGTGCAGCGAGTGCGTTGAACTGTTGGACATGGACCGGTACACGCTCTGCTCGTCGTTTCCAGCCAAGTCTGTGCGTTTTTCAGTGTTGAAATCGCTTGATTCTGTGAGAGAGGCGCCTCGGAGGAGCGCATGGGCGGAATGCTCGTCCTGGAGACCGAGCGAGGCCATGAGCTCGACAAACGAGGGCAGCTGAGCGTTGTGAGCGTCGTTTGCAGCGTCCATGGCGGGACTATTTAGAGGAGTGAGGCCGAGGAGGAGATGGCAGAGTCCAAGCCTTAAAGTTGTTTGCCCGGTCGTCCTTTGCTCTCGTTGTCGTTGGCGATCGTCTCCAAAGTGACCGCGCATTCAGTTGCCGACCATAGGCTTTTCCAGGATTTCTCACATTACTTCATTTCCTTTTTAGAATAATCAATTTCTCATACTAGATATTTTGCTATCTATCCTATGCGCTAATCGCCAGGCAATGGCCGGTCGTCCAGCTACTCGTCGCCGCCGCCGTGGCTCCGTCACGGTCGCTGTGATACGGTAGCTCCCGCCGCAAGTGTACTAAATAAGAATAAACCTGGGATCAGTAAAAAAATGCCACACTTACCGATCACCACGACGCCTTTTTCACACCTGGTAGCTCTCCTGCCATTGCCTTTTTCTTAAACTGAAACTGTTTCCAAAGCTTATCAGCACTAACACCATCCAAGTTTACCCAGAAACCAGCACATACCCGGCACAACCCCCATTTCGACAGCACTCCCCGGCCTCTGCCCGTCAACGTACATCGGTTCTTGATCACACTTGGTCGTGTCTTACTGTCCATTGCATTCAGTTGCAGCTGTGCCTGGTGCCGGAGATTCATGGGCAGCGTCGTGTTGCGTGCGACGGCCAAATACGACCGTCGAAGGAGCTCTGTGTCTCGAAACGCCTCTCTACGCGCCATATCGCGCAGTACGTGCGCATACGGCATCTTGTGCGAGTTTTGGTCGGGTCTAGCTACGTTTCTACCTGCCGCCTTGAACTGGCGCTTGCACTAATCTCTACTTATTCTGTATTTAATCTTCGTTGTTTTTTCTGTTCTCCAGTGTATTCGCGACCCCCCAGCGGTGGTGTTCTCCATCTTCGACCTGACCATCATGAGGCCGGTCCGACGACTAGGCCACCGTGCGTTTAGCACGAGCTGCAAACGCAAAATAGGACCTACAATCACATCTAATGCACCCTCTACATCCAACACGACTGCCCCAACATCTACAGAAAGCTTTCGACCGTACCCGTTTTCAACCAAAGTCCAAGCGCTGCCCCTCCCGGCCGAGCTCATCCCAAACGATAATCGTTTCCTCACTCCACAAAGATTAGAACATCCCTTTACCTCGCCAAGTACCACCAAACTCCGCAGAGGCGTAGGTCTCATGCCCTACCTCGCCCGCACACTTCCAAACCCAGCCGCACACGAGTTACTCTCAACGTGGTTTGCACGACGAGGTAAAGGGAGGATCACACCAGGCAGCGTCCTCACCGTCACGCTCTCCCAACCACCCTATACATTCTCGGGCGTCCTAGTCGCCATTGAGCGCAAAGGAGTCGACTCAAACATTCTACTACGAAACGTCGTGCGAAAAACAGGTGTCGAGATGCGTGTTCCCCTCGCCAGTCCAACTTTGCTTGGTATCAAGATTATTCAACGTGCCGGTCGTTCCACAATGGAGTTTGCCTCTCCGAGGCAAAAATTCAATGCAAACGCAAAGGGAGACAACAAACAGCAACAACAGACACAGGCTCCTGTGCGCATGCGAGCCACCTCCACCGAACTTTTCTCCAAGGACTGGAAACCAGGAACGCCTGGCCCAGTCCCAACACTCCGTGTGGCGAGAAAGGTTGGAATCATCCCCAATCCATCCAAAGGCGTCAAACAGGACGTCAAGCCCGTTCCCGTCAACGACAAGGACGCGCTCATTGGCAAGAAAATGGTCCGGTCAAAGCTCTACTTTTTGCGAGACTATCCGTCCAAGATGTCTGCCATCAGCGCTGGAATCACAAAGCGCGACTAGTAGACAGAGCTGTATTCTACCTCGCACTATTGATCATCGCTCAGACCACATCATTTCTTTTTGGTCCAACGCATTAGGATTCGCGATTTTCAGTTCTATCGTACGTACATACAGGTCGCGGGTGTAAGTTAAAACCAGGATAATCTAGACCAAAGAGGGGAAGGGGGGGGAATAAGCTGGTGGCAAGAACCAATGCTCGCCAGGCTTGTAAAACACTTGGACCGCACGCAGTCTATCGGGCATCAAACATGCCCAATGTCTGCATATGATACGGCGACGTGAGAGGTGTCACGCGGTCCAAAAAAGAAACGAGATGGAAACAAGCACGCGAGAACAAGATGGGCGACCCACACATGTCGTCAATAAGATAAAGAGTCTACCTGTCGTGAAGAGAGATGTAACCTTTTGGAAGATGGCGCCGGTGTCGCAAGTGAACCAAAAGGGATGTCCATTTTTTTTCACGAGTGCAAGATGGTAACGCTATTGAAAGCGCCAAACGCGTCCTCTTTGGGAAGCGGGCTCGACGGGCTCATCCGAGGACTAGCGCGACGGCTTTGCGATGGCGACGCGCCGTTGGCCAGCGGCGTCCCCGGACCTGGCCACTCTCCAGAACCCGCAGCCGAATTGATCCCATCCTGCCATGCAGAGCCTGGTGTAGGTGGAACAGACGGTGACGTCGTGTATTGGTGGGTGAGCATCTGGCGTTCCAAATCAAGCGAATGAGACTCTCGAATGTGCCGGAAATTGGTCTCTTGAGCGTTGACAATGTTGGGGATGATCTACAAAACGCATGAGAAAAGCGTGTTTTTGGGGGGGCCAAGGTTAACGTACCGGGGGCTTTTCGTTTCGTAGCAATCCCCAAGTGACTTTTGCAAACCATTTGTGTGCCTTGACTTCACTTGCACCGCTCTGGCTACCTAGCCGCTTGTCTTCGACCTTGTGAAGGAGCCGGATGATAATCTCTTTGCCGGCACTAACCAAAGTGTTAGAGGCCTCGTCGACAGACAACCCTGACGTGCGTACGCTGTAATTCGTGGCTCTGCAGGGAATGTGACCTCGCGAGTGAGCACATTGCTAAACGTTTGCTGTCGGTTCTGGCCCTTGAACGGGGTGGTCGCAAACTACAAAGGTCAGAAGAGAACCGCGACGAACAGAAGCACAAACGTACGATCATTTCGTAAATAAGAATACCAAGCGTCCACCAATCAACTGCTGACGTGTGACCAGAGCTGTTGATCACTTCTGGCGCAATGTATTCTGTCCAATCATTAGATCCCCAAAATGGCGCAATAGGCAGGATAATCTGCCGTACCTTCAGTCCCGACAAAAGAGTTTGCCCGAACACCGACGGTACACGATCGAGTATCGACAATGGGGACCTGACAAAGCGGTCAGTTTGGGCCAGGCCTGACGACAGGGGAGATGCCATCACGAACCCCGTTCTCGAATTGAACGACAGCCGCAGGTAAACCACCCGGTTCTTGCGACTGCTTGGCGAGGTCGAAATCTGATAACATGATATGACCCGATTCATGTAAGAGAATGTCTGTAAGCGGGTTGGTCAGACATCTGTATGGGTGGCTAGAGACTGTACGTACTCTCGGGTTTAAGATCTCGATAAATAAAGCCCATCAAGTGGAGGTACTCGAGTGCGGCGGTCACTTCTGCGGCGTAAAAGCGCGCATCGTCTTCGGACAGACATTTTCCGGGACGAGATTGTAGTGCACGGAAGAATTCGCCACCGAGACAGTACTCCATGCAAAAATAGAGATAATCCTCTGACTGGAAAGAATGGTAGAGGGTGACGATGAATGGATGGTTCGCAGAGGCGAGAATCTCTTGCTCTGCAAGGGCACGCTTGACTTTGTTTCGAGCAATCATCTCCTTTTTTGAGAGGACTTTGGGGAGAGGGGATCAGGACGGAATGGGACGAGGAAACATAACACACACCTTTCATAGCGAATAGCTTGTCCGTCTTTTTCTCTCGAACAAGATATACCTTGCCAACATCGCCTCTTCCAAGCATTTTAATCTTTTGGAAGCTGCTGGGGCGCACTTCGACGGCGCGGTGCTTCATGGAGTTGCTGGAATAGGTACGTCGGAAGGCTTGTCGCGTGGGCTGGTCGACTTTTTGGACAGAGGAAGCGGTTAGGGAGCGATTTGCTCTCGATCCACGTACAGACGACTGGGACGAGTTTGTTTCAATCGACCCGCCCTTGTCGGACGAAGCAGCAGGCAAAGGTGGAGGAACCTCGAGGTTGGGCGCGAGCATGCCATTCTTTGTCGTTGATGCTGTGTTCCTCGGACTGAGGAGACCTTTGGCATTCGGAGCCGACGCGACTCGGCGCAAAAAGCGAGCGGCGGAGCCAATAGAGGACTTTGGACTTGTGGGGATCGGGCCCCCGGCGATGCCGTTGCCCAGCTGGTGGGATGGGGATTGTGGATTCTGTTGAAAAGACTGCTGAGACGGTTGTGCGGTGAGCGGTGCATGCTGCTTTGCCAAAGAGACTTTGCGAGAGAGAAAGCCAGACCGCTGGCGACGTGGGGCCTGGACGGGGCTGGCAGAAGATGGCGAGTTTTGTGGATTTGGACCGGCTGGGAGTGGATGAGGGGGCTTGTAACTCGACGGAGACACTACAAAGGCGCCGCTATTGCCGTTGCGGTACGACGACGCGGAGTCGTTGGCTGCGACGGGCGAGGGTGTAAACTGATCTGATCCAGACGAGCGTGAAGAATGATACGAGCCGTGTTCCTGCGACGACGCGTGCTCGTCGTTGGGCACAGTGTCCAATGGCGGTGGGACTGCATTGAGCTTTTTCGAGCTCGGGATGCGGAAAATGCTCTTCCAGCCGCTTGTAGGCGTTGTAGAGGACGTTGGAGGAGAGCTGTGTGAGCTCAAAAGCGTCGTCGACGCTGGCTTACGGAGACTGGGCTTGGACGAGGCCGTCCCGCTTGATCCACTCGACGAGTTCATGCTATTATAAGTGTCCTTCGTTCCAGAGTTGGGCGGGAGAAGAGACGGGTCGAGTCGAGTCGAAGATTTGCTCGCTCTGGACGGGTGTAAAACCTGGTGGCTTTGGCCGACACCACTCCCGACCGCCCGTTGCCAGTCAATTCCTCGAAATTGTGTTTGATATTCTCCACGCATTTCTCCATTTTTTCAACAAATTCTTCATAACAACCTTGTTGCACTTGGCCCGCCCTGGTGTCATGAAATCCGACTAGTCTAGCTCACCGTTGGTCCCCGACGGCAATTACACCCTTTCTGGGACGCATACGCCGATTTCTCGCAACTGTTCTCAACGTTCACAGGGCTGCCGTAGCCACCGTTTCCGGCTCATCCGGTCTAACAGGCGCATTCACACACTGCTTGAGACACGGCCCATGACGTTTATCGCTTCTAAAAACAATTATTTATTGCGTACCGACATTCCTTGGATCGCGGGAGGTTGCCATAATATTCATCGGTCCGAGAATCTAAACTATTATCGTCTCTCATCAAATCAATTGTATACATGGGCTTTCTGGCTGCTTTCTGGCTGCTTTAGTGTAGTATCGAAAGCGTAGTTCAGACACCGACGTGCTGGGCCGGTTTCTGGCTGAAGCAACGCAAACTGCCACATTCAGTAGTTGAATGTACTGCACATGGGCCTCCTGGCTCGACACACAAAACCTCTGCCAGTCTACAAGAGCGTCGTCACTCTCCGCCGCTGGTCGAGATTCGATGGGCGTTGGACGTGAGCTCAATTGCTGTCTGGGAAATATAAAGGTCCATATCTTTCTTCATGAACCTCTCTTGCCCCACGACTTTACGTGCCATTCCTCACCTGGTATCCGAGCGCAATGCCTGGTATCCTGAGACTGATTATAAGGACCTCTTCTATTGATATTTGGGATGAGCGGCCGGTGTACGGAGTTGCGCTGCTGATGAACGAACCTCCAGACCGCGACCCCTCTGAATGGATCTCGGCGGCTTTCAGTCTCTCCAAACTGCAATCATGAAACAGCTGGTCAGCTCCTGTTGACTAGCAGAGAAGGGACTTGGCGCTATTTCAACCTGCCGCCCAGCGCCTTCTCTTGTAGAGGCTGCCCGGCCATAGCAGTCTTCCGTGGATCTAGACAGATTCGTCGTCGGCGGCCATTCGCAATTTTTTCAAGAGCCTTTCTACCGGTCATGATCGCGTGTTCCAATCGCATCGTTACAGGTGCCGTCTTGCACAAATGTATAAAGAATGGCGACAGAACGGGACAGAATTCTCGTTCGACTTTAAAAACGACGTTTCACGTGCAGCTTGATTGCTTTTCAACAGTCTTCCATCTAGGGGAAAGTCCATCGGTGTCACACCTTGATTGGCCAAGCACGCAGCAACCATACTCGTTGTATACTTTGATGGAAGTAGGACAGCTCATCAATCTTATTTCAGGCTGGTCTGACATACCGGAATATTAGCACTCACCGGAGAGTATGTCGGGTCCCTCTTTGCAGACTGGCCGTCGCCCCATTCGATCAGGCGTCTTTTGGCAAACGATCTTTTCCCTTGTGCATTACATGATGTCTCATCTATGCACTTCATTGTTGTTGCTGATACTCATGATCTGACCAGCAGTCAAGCCGCAGCCCGCATGAACGAATCCAACTCGCAACATGCAGACGACGCCGATCTTCCGTGCTAGTTCGCATCTAGCTGCCAAAGCATATATAGTCCCATATAATGCTTGGGGCCAGTATCAGACACACTTCGTCTGCAATCGCGGCTCAGTCTACACTCGACTTTGCTTATTCCTGTTCTTTCTGCCCAGGATGACTTCAACCGAACATCATCATAATGGAGTCCCCATGAATCAACCTTTCCCAGATGACAGCACTGAATCATCAGTCTCGCGCGCGTTGTCTAGCTTCCCAGCCACTACCCCCGACGCCGCTAACATTGGCCGCGCTCTTCGTCCTCACAATGGACACGAGGAGAACATGAAATCCAACGCCGAATGGCTCTCCCAGATCCTCCAACGCCACCCACCGGACCGCGCTCAAACGCTAGGTGCTGCTATCATGGGGATTCTGCGAAGTCACTGGTGGAACCAAAATGTATCTCGTCCTCCAGATTATCAAGGCGACGAGTTTGACCACTTGGTGGAGGGGCCTGGGTACGACAAGTGCGCCCTCTGCGGGTCCTACGACGGGATTAGCTGTGTCAAGCTTCATTTCGATTATTCTCATTGATTTGGTGCAAAAGGACACGGGATACATGCTTTGCAGATTTGGCTCGTACGTCTAAATGCATCGGTACCTACATCCAATACTGATTGAACCCCAAGTCTATCTTAGGTCGTGCCTTATTGATTCACTTTTGCGGCATGACTACACCATCGTGTTGTCTGCAGCGCGTATCGTCCGTCGTCTATCCCTTGATACCCATTCTCATGATACCCCATTTCTTTCGTCATGGGGCTCGCGATGCTCTCCAATGTTCTCATCTTCCAAAAGTCTTTCCTCATTCGCATTCACGTCTCTCTTTCAACATCTACTGCTCCAACTCATCGACTTTGTGTTCGCTTCTACATCTTCAAACATACTTCTCTTTCTCATCAATCCATTCGTGCATCGTTTAAGTCTGGTATGTCAATGTCCGTGCGTAGCCAATGGCTGGCTTCTGCCTCGACCCGTACTCCCTCGAGGTTGCGACCAAAATCCACAGCAATGATACCCCATACTCTCCGAATAAGGCGTCGACCTTTTCAGGGCGTAAGCTTGGTGGACGTTGGCGATTGCGCCATCACGAGTACTTTCACACTCGTTGGCGTCGTAACGCTTCGACCATCAAGGAGGACGGTCTTATCAGGCATGGACGGATTACCTGAACAAGTACAGGCGACCTATGCATTATGAGATTTGCTCCTCCAGAGGGTAGGTGGCTTTCCCTCTTCTAAACTTCCCTCCTCTCTGTACCCTCTCCTGATCGCTCAAGCACCAAGAGGCGGTCAAGAGTCTATGCGTGTACAGAATGTCTAGGTGGGCCTTTTTCTATATGAATTCTGACAGATTCCGAGGCCGCAGCCGCTCAAAGCATATGCTAAGAGACGTTCTCGCAGTCCGGTTAATATGCACAAATGGAAGAGACGGATCACACGATAACGAGTAGCGGCCGGTCATAAGATAATGAGAACGCCAAGCTCTGAGCATCGGCGAACGTGCATCGGGAAGGGCCATGTCGGGCTTGTATGCAAGCCCCTGATGACGAGAGATAACGATGGATCTGGTTATATACGTGTTTTAAACGACGCCAACTATGACCACTTTACCTCTCGTAGGCGATTAAGCGGACGGGTTCAAGGCGGGAAGGAATGACGGATATCCGATCACAATGGTGAACGCTGTATGGAGAAGATGGGCCGCATGTACTAGCCTATGGACCAAAAGCGAAGACTTGCATGCTCTCCGCACCTAACCAGAGTCCGTGCGGGTCGGGCGCAACATAGTCCAGGTTTACTTGTCACTTGAGAACGGCTGTGACATTAAATGAGTGTGGATCGACACCTGAAGCAGAGGGGATGCCGCCGCAGTCACCCAAACAACATAAGAGCTAACCGACTCTGACCATCGGATAAATTATTTGAAGCGGGAGTCGGGAGGATGTGTGAGAGAAAAAGAGCGGGAAAACTTCAGAATTTGTTGGAAGCAGACCAGTAGGGCTCAGTTGTCTTGGAGAGTGCTGTGAAAAGACGTATAGGTTGCACGAGACTTGTGTTCATGGACAGCGTGGTGTGGAGTGATGATGCTCGAGACAAGGCGGTCCTAAGCCACATTGGCGTCTTGTGCATGCTTGTCGTCTTGCATAAAGCTGCAGGAGAACTTCAAGTCTCACATTGCGCGTTTTGACTTTTGTACGCGTGGCTTCTCGGAAACCAAACGGGGCGACAAGAAATTTCAATTTGGCCTACTGGGCCCCACGGGTTGACCGCCTCTTGTGCCAAGCCTCACAACGTTCGATCCAGAATAAAAAGGCGAGACATCCTGAACAAAGTCTAGTTGAAATACCTCAATTCAGTCATATTCCGCTGCTAGTTGGCATCGCACGACCGAAGCGGTAACAACACACTTCGACCTTGCTCCCAACCACGACATACTCATTGCCTGTACGTCACCCTACGACTGCAGTACGCACTAGTCGTCGTTGAGAGCGACAAACCATCCATTTTCACGCAATTTTGGAGTGGTTTCAGCAGCCCCAAGAACGGCGAGCAGCTCGTCGTAGTAGACGGTACAGAGACAACTACAAGTATATTCCCTCGACGCATTCATCATGAGCTCAAAACCACAAATTCCTGCGATTACAATTGATAACTCTGCTACGCAGCCAGAGAACGACCGGGGTCACTACAACCCACAGACGTCACCCAACACGTCTGGATATACTTCTGGACATGCACGCTCTCCCTCGGATCCAAACTATCTCATCCCTGGAGGTGCCCAGCCCCGCCAGTCTCAAGACGAACCTCCGTCACCGACCGGTTCCGCCTCTTCGGTCAAGTTTGCGACCTCTGTCGCACTCCGTGATAACCAGCCAGACGCGGCCTCTGGAGCTGGCTCACTAGCCCTTCTCCAGCCTCGTAGCCATTCTTCGTCCACCGCTCACCACGGTCGCAAAAACTCTGCGGCCAGCTCGGCGAGTGCAGAAGGTACTGAACCAGATCATAACACGAGCGGGAACAACCAAGCCCTCAGCACCTCCACCTCGTATACGGCGGTGACGCCAAACGACCAGACACAATTCAAAGACTCCGATGTAAAAAAGGAGAAGAAGAAGAAAAAGAAGCATGACGAAAAAGACGAGGAGAGCGATGACAGTGACGACGCCAAGCCGACCGAGATAACAGATGTCACCGACCCTACTCCGTTTGCGTTCAGGCCCAAACAACTCGCAGAACTCGCGGAGAATAAGTCGATCAAGGAATTGGCCGACCTGGGCGGTGTCGATAAGCTCGTCGAAGGTCTCGGAACGGATCGCGAAAAGGGTCTCTCCCGTCATGCCGTCGGGCTGGCTGGCGAAGGTGGCGAGAAGTCGGGTGGTTCGGGCGCATTCGCTGCGACGAAACAGGACAGGCAGCGTGTCTACGGAATTAACCAGATGCCTGCTCCAAAGTCAAAGTCGCTGCTCCAGCTCATGTGGATCGCACTCCAGGATAAAGTCTTGGTGCGTACCAAGCCAAAAAAAAAATCGTTTGATTCTTTCTCACAAGTTATGTCAGATACTTTTGAGCATTGCTGCCGTCATCTCCCTTGCTCTTGGTTTGTATCAGGATTTCGGTGCCCACCAGTTTGAACCGTGCCCTTATGATGAGACAAAGGACTGCTCTGGTCCTCCTGTCGATTTCGTTGAAGGTGTCGCCATCATGGTGGCCATCCTCATCGTCGTCTTGGTCGGATCGCTCAACGATTGGCAAAAGGAGCGTCAGTTCCGCGCGCTCAACGACAAGAAGGAGGATCGTACAGTCAAGGTTATCCGCGATGGCAAGGAGTCCCAAATTAATATCAAGGTCCGCCTCTTTTCCGCCTTGGCATCGTGCGACATGGACTGACCCTTTGTATCAGGAAGTTATGGTTGGCGATATCGCTATTATGGAGCCTGGAGAAATTATTCCATGTGACGGTATCTTTGTTTCTGGTCACAACGTCAAGTGCGACGAATCTGGAGCAACCGGAGAATCCGACGCGATTAAAAAGTTTGCATTCGAAGAGGCGTGGAAGGACTATCAGGAAAAGGATGGAAAGACGAAAAAGGACTGCTTCATTCTTTCTGGTGCCAAAGTTCTCGAGGGTGTCGGCTCCTATGTCGTTGTCGCAGTTGGCGAACGCAGTTTCAACGGCCGTATTCTTCTCGGTACGTATGATTCGATCTCGTCGTTTGGCATATTTAACCGGCATATGCAGCTCTTCGCAAACCCGTTGCAGCCACCCCGCTCCAGGAGAAACTCAACCATCTCGCCGAGCTCATTGCCAAAGTTGGCGGTACCTGTGGTCTCATTCTGTTCACTTCTCTCATGATCAAGTTCTTTGTGCAGCTCAAGACTAAGCCCAACCGGTTCGTGACCTCATATCCAATGGCGTCGCCCAAATCTCACTCACGGGCTTTAGAACGGCGAATGAAAAGGCAATGTCATTTGTGCAGAATTTGGTCATTTCGGTTACTTTGGTCGTGGTTGCCGTTCCCGAAGGTGCGCGATATCTCGGATACGTGATAGCCGAATTCTAATGGAAAAATTCGCTGCGCAGGTCTTCCGCTTGCCGTCACGCTTGCACTCGCATTTGCGACGAAACGAATGACTGGCCAGAATCTCCTGGTTCGCGTGCTCGATTCCTGTGAAACAATGGCAAACGCCAATGTCGTCTGCACGGATAAGACTGGAACGCTCACACAAAACGTCATGCATGTCGTCGCTGGCTCCGTCGGTGTTCACGCCAAGTTCGTCAAGAATCTCAAGGAGAACCTGAACCGCTCCGACGCCAAAGAGGAGTCGAACGGCGTCCGTAGACATGCCGAGGATTTCGCCATTGAACAAGACGACTTGAACCAGGTCATTCCAGCCAACCTGCAGTTTTGTTTCAACGAGGCGATTGCGGTCAACTCCACGGCATTCGAAGACGTTGACAAGGAGACGGGTGAGGTCGATTTCGTAGGCTCAAAGACGGAAACGGCTTTGTTGCGCTTCGCCAAGGATCAAGGCTGGCCGTCGTACCGTGAAACGCGGGCTAATGCTCAAATCGAGCAGGTGTTGCCGTTTGATAGCGCGCGCAAGTACATGGCCGTCATTGTCAAGCACGGAAACAAGTACAGGGCTTATTTCAAGGGCGCCTCGGAAATCCTCACCCGCGAATGCACTCGTCATGTCGTCGTTGGTACCCCTGACCATCCTATCGAGGGCTCCAAAGACGACCCGATTGAGACAAAGGAAATTGACTCGAAGACCCAGGAGAACATTGCCAACACCATCATCTTCTACGCCAACCAGATGCTTCGCACAATTGCCATCTGCTACCGCGACGTCGAACAATGGCCTCCAGCGGGCAAGGGCATGGATGAAGTCCCCCTCTCCGAGCTACTCCACGATCTCACTCTCATCGGCATTACTGGTATTGAAGATCCCCTTCGCCCGTCTGTCCGGGACGCCATCAAGGACGCCAATCACGCTGGTGTGGCTGTCAAGATGTGCACGGGTGACAACGTCCTCACTGCGCGTTCGATTGCCGCCCAGTGCGGTATCTATACCGAAGGTGGCGTGATCATGGAGGGACCCGTCTTCCGCCGTTTGTCCGACAAGGACCGTGAAGAAGTCGTCCCGCATCTCCAGGTTTTGGCTCGTTCATCACCCGAGGACAAGAAGATTCTCGTCGAGACGCTCATGAAGCAAGGCAATGTCGTCGGTGTCACGGGTGACGGTACCAATGATGGACCTGCACTCAAAGAGGCCAATGTTGGTTTCTCGATGGGTATCGCAGGTACCGAAGTCGCCAAGGAAGCCTCGGATATTATCCTGATGGACGACAACTTTGCATCCATCGTCTCTGCCATCATCTGGGGTCGCTGTGTCAACGACTCGGTCCGCAAATTCCTCCAATTCCAGATTTCGGTTAACATCACCGCTGTGCTCATCACGTTCATCTCTTCTGTCGCCTCGGACGAGGAAGAATCTGTCCTCACCGCCGTCCAACTTCTCTGGATCAATATTATCATGGACACGTTTGCTGCTCTTGCACTCGCCACGGACCCCGCGACTAGGAGGCTCTTGGATCGCAAGCCAGACTCTCGCAACGCACCACTCTTCACCCTCGAGATGGGAAAGATGATCATCGGACAGGCCCTCTACCAGACCTTCATTGTCCTCCTCTTGCACTTTGGAGCTCCAACCTTCTTCAACGTTCCGTCCAACGACGCACAGCTGTCGGCAATGGTTTTCAACGTCTTTGTTTTCTGCCAGATCTTCAACTCGGTCAACTGCCGCACAATTGACGGCACCAAGAACGTCTTTGCTGGAATTTTGAAGAACTACTACTTCATTGTGATCACTTTGATTGGTACGTGAGACCTATCGTAATTGCACGGCTGCTGATATACGTCTTGCAGAGGTCGTCATTCAGGTCATTATCATGTACGTCGGAGGTGCTGCCTTCCAAGTCACGCGCATCTCTGGCAAGTACTGGGGCATGTCCATTGGCCTCGGCTTTGTGTCACTCCCGCTCGGCTTCCTCATCCGCTTGATCCCCAACGGACCCATCCAGCGTCTGCTCATTCATATCCATGTCATCCAAGACCCGACTTTGCCGACCAAGAATCCCAATGCGGAGCAATACAACGAGGCAATCGACACGATTCGCGAAAACTTGGGCCTCTTCTCCAACATTCGTGGTGGACGGGTTCGTGGCTCGTCCATGATTCTCCGGGCCCGCCGTCGCGCACGCAAGCAGGAGTCAGGTGTCACGCTCCCGTCGCTCATGACCATGGTCCCCGGTCTCGTCGCCTCGAGTGTTGCCGCGCGTTGGCAACCCGCTGCGTCTGGTTTGCACGACCCAGCCAATGGTGATCCATCAAAGAGCAGCGCCGCGCTGTGGGAAGGCAAGCTCCAACTCCATCCAGATACCAAACGTGACTCAGAGGCTTACCGTCGATGGGGTGCTCAGATCGAAAAGTCTCCCTCGAATGTTTCGCGCTCCAACGTTAATGAGAAACGGTAAATAATTTAATGGCTCCTTCCAAATACCAGCTCGATCCAATCAATCATGCCCAGTTTTCCTTCATACATGCCGCTACCACTCTACCATAGACCAGAAGATACGTAGATGATTGGTGGTCTTTAGTTATCCTTATTAGCTTTCACATTCGTTCCTCCGCACGGTCCTTTGAAGAAAGATTGAACATTGGATTATCACGAAAATACAGAACCGTTTCACTTGACACAGGCCAATGGTCAATGTGAGCTCGTCTACTAAAACAGTGCATTATCGAGAGGGGATACCAAAGCAACAATGGAGAGCAACCAAGGGAAACAAGAACAAACTAGACGTGTGCGATACAGGTCACAATCCGCCACTCGAGCTATATGAGCGGCCACGGACATTATAAAGGCTTCCGCTGTAGTCTTCAATAAGGTCCGTTTGTCGCTTCTTCTTTTGCTCTACGCGTTGGTCCGTCTGCATCGTGACCGACACCTCGAGGGGTGCGCCGTGTGCTCGCGACGGGCTCCGTCGTCCGCCGCCCGTTGCCTTGGTGAGTGCAGAAAGGACCTGGAGGCGCTCACGAGCTTCGTCGAGTGTAGAAGGCGGCAAGGTTCGCGTCGCCGATGGAGATTGCGAGTTAGCTCGAGATGACAAAGTCTCCACCTCGTCTCCGAGATCAACTATATGCGTTTGCGACTGTGATTGGTTTGCGCTCGAGGTTGAAGATGATGATGCTGCCGCGTGGGTTGACGACCCGGCGACCGAGACGCTTGCGCTCCGACCACGGGAGCGAGGCGGACTGTCGTTTGTGAATGACCAGGTCGAGGGCACTTTAGATGAACGCGAGAGGCGCAGGGATCCACCCCCTTCTCGCCTTACTTCGACCGAGGTCATCTCTGGAGACGGCGGACGAGGTGCGTGAATGGTTGGAGGGATCGAGCAGCTTCCAACGTCATACCCAACGTTCGTGTTTGACTCTACATGATGGTTAGCATCCGAAAGGATGTGATAGGAACCTGGACGGACCTTGCTTGGGTTGGCTAGTCGCGGAGAGGGACAGCCGGTACCTTGGAAGGATAGGGGCCGACGGGTGCTCGTTGCGGGGTTTGAGCGAATGTTTCGACGAGCGTTTGGATGACTTGCGCGACATGCTAGTCTGCAGGGGATCCGAGTCAACCAAAGTCATTTCTCCCATACCGGCTTCCAGATTGATCTCTGCCATAGAAAGACGGTCCTGGCGAGTGATTTCTGGTGGGAAATGGACGGAACGGGTGCTCGTCTTGTAATCCACGGCCCTCTTGTAGCCCTCTTCCGTCTCCAGGATCCCTCGTGTAGACGTGACGCCCACGTCAAGGTTACGTGGATATCTCCTTGATGGCAGGAATCCTCCTAGTCGTCCATGGTTGACTTCGGAAACAATACCCTTGGTGTGAGTGTCGGCTTCATTAGAAGATTCTGGCGCCTCGTCCACCGGAGCGGTGACTGCGAATATCGCCTAAGAGTGTATAAGCAATATCGTCAAATATCGTGGATTGATCAGCTCACCAGCGCGTTGACAACCGTATCAAGGCCGCAAGACCCCAGACAGAGAGCACCTGGATTGGGAATGAATTTCGCCTTGGTCTCCTGACATACCACGCACCGAGCTCCTTGCCGTGCAAAATGGTGAGTACTAGGATGTTGATGGCCGAAGTCAATAGTGCGACGATGGCTGCTCTGTAATGACCTCAGCAAGGATACAGTCGGGCGGCGATGGATGCGGCGCACATCAGCGTTCGCTTGGCTATCACCTTGAGGCGAGAGGACAAGTTCTCGACGCGGTAGATGGGGTACAAGAAAAAGCTGGGCAAATCGGTCAGGAGGATGACAGGGTGGAGGGAACCGAAATACCATGTGAAGACTACGTTGAGGAGCAGGTCGTATATCAGGAGGGTCAACGAGCTGACAGAGAGGTTAGCGGGGCTATTGGCAAATGGACGCTATAGAGTAAGGGATTTGTTACGCACGCCACACGACCCAATCCAATGAAGCATGCCCCATCCGATCGGATGAAGGATATGCGACCCACGATGCTCAGAATGATGATGATCCCATATCCAATGACAAACGCCGCACAGAAGCGGTACACGGGTGAACGAAGGCGACCGCCAGGGTGGGGATGGACAATGTAGAGCTTCTCAACTGAGGGGGATTAGAAATTGCAGACCGAGTACAGTGAGCGTATTCACCAAGAAAAGAATAGATGAGAAGCTTGGAAATCGCGTATAGGCATATGCAAAGGAAGATTCCAGCTGAACAAGCATAAGCATTGAGAGAAAGCCCAACGCCGCTGATGAGAATGCCGGCGCCGAAAACAAAGAGCCAAGAGTCGATGAAGATGCAAAGGACGAGCCACTTGATGAGCAGCGAGGCTGGAGTGTAGAGTGAGACCAATCCATTGTTTCGCGGTTTCGTGCGTCACCTACCTCGAAACGAGTTTGGTTGCGTTCGTCGTGCTATGCAGTAAGCTATTACCGATGCTCCTGTGGTATGGATTTGTCAGCCACCGAGCTGTATCGCAGTGTGGGGAGGGCCGGCGGAGGTGAGGCACTTGAACGGAGACAGAGGACGCGAAATCAGCATGTTGGACATGATTAGACTGACCGATGAGATGTACTGAAGTTGAAAGAGAGCGTAGTAGTGGCACATTGTTGCCGGGCGGAAAGATGATGCTATTCGAACCATCGACAGCGACGTGCTGGGCGGCTGTAGCGGGTGCGAATATGAAGAATAGAGTAGATAAAAGGTAAAAATGTCCACCAAACGTGCGTGGCTCCATCGACACTTCGAAAATTCGAAATCGAGCGGAGGAGCGACGGACAGTTGACGGAAGCAGATGCGCTAGTTTCGACGAGAAACCGGGGATTGTACAAATAGGTTTCTACAGTCTTCTGGCGTCGACTAGCGTACTGTGGATCCAATTCCTGGCCGTTGGAGGGCGCAGTGGCGGGGAGCAAAGAGAGATGCCGCTCTTTTGCTGACGATCCAACTTGGCCTTTACTCCTTTCCCCGCCGCCCTTGTGGATGCTCAGCAAGGCAAATTAGTAGCCGCTGTCCAACGCCAGTGTTCGCTATACAATCGGGCATTTCTAGCTTGGCCTTGTACCGGCTTGTCCGGCCCCAAATCAATCGGCAGCACCTTGGCCGGTGATACGCGATGGACAACCAACGTGCAACACTGACAATGCGATGCAAGAGTAGATATACAACGCGACTTTTATTACCGGAGCGAAATAACTACACGTAGGACCGGTCAGGAGATGAGACTACCTCTAATGCGCATGGCCACTGTAACAGCAATCTATCAGCAAAGGAGCGAAGCATCGAATCACGTCAAGCATACCGTTGGGCAATCTTGAAGAATTCACGACCCTGAATCGACGCCGTTTCGAGCTCAACTTCGCTGGGCTGCCGTGAGCCGTCACCCTTTGCGAAGGTCAGTCTCTGGACCATGGCAGTGGTTGAACATTACATACCGCAAACGTGCCTGCTCCAAACGGAGATCCTCCTCTGACTTCTGAGAAATGCGCGTTCCAGAGAGCATTGGTGTGCTTATAACCCTGGACATGCTCGTCAGTCTTCCTCTCTCTATGAAGACAATCCACTCACAAGAGGAACAAAGATAAGTCCGTGGTGGACCAGCGTCGTCAGTATCGAAAAGTAGGTCGACTCTTGACCACCTCCAGGACCTCCAGTCGAGACGAATGCTCCCGCAAATTTACCCCAGAGCTGACCAGCCTGCCAGAGCTGGCCAGACGCATCAAAAAAGGCCTTGAACTGCGCCGGGAAGCCACCATAACGGGTCGAGATTCCAAACAGATATGCGTCATATTCCAACAAGTCGGCGGGACTCGCAATTGGATATGCTGGCTTCGGAGGAGCGTGCATCTTGGCTAAAACGTCTTCCGGAAGCGTCTCTGCCACCTGGAGGATGGTCGCATGGCCTCCTTCGGATTCAATGCCTTTCTTGACTGCCTCGGCCACTATTGGAGCGAGAAAAAGGATGATGTCAGTCCAGAGTCATCGTGGCGGATGGGAGTAACAGACTCTTTGCGATGTGGCCATACATCGAGTAGATGACGATAGCGATTTTAGGTCCAGACATGATAGTGGTTACTTGTTAGAGTGAGGGCGATATGGAGTTGCTCATCGCCAGTGGGCCCTTTTATGCTCCTCGGGAAAAGCTTCTGGCTTACCTCAGAACGGTCATCATGATCACGACTAGGCTTATCCGAAACCCAATGTGCCTTCTTCTGGAACCAAATCGAATTAGTGGCAAAGAGTAAACGCGCATACGTCGTGGGACGCTCGCGACCAATTAGGCAAGTACTGGAAAATCCATGTGTCATGTTGCGATGTTACGTGTTGTCGAAATGTCAGATTAGGTAGGCAATAATCCACGAAGGTGTAAGCAAGTTTACGCTGCTGACGAAATGTCGAAGATCTCGCCATTTAGGTCGGATTCAACGTAATAGCAATCCCAAAAAACCTTTGAATCGAGTTGGAAACCGTTGCCAGTTCCGTCTCAATCAAATGATCTTACTCGAGCCTCGTAATCGAGGAGTCCGAATGGCACACCTTCAGCCTAGAAATACCAGAACCCCGTCTTTGATAAGAAGTGGGAGAATTCTGGTCGGTTTTACTCCTCAATCGATGTAAAAATGAGGTAGAAGACAGGTTTTGGATGGAGCCAGCCACTCCCACCTTATCGCAGACGTCGAGCTCGTTGAACAAAAGGAGAGGCAAATCTCGAGCTCATAGAAGAACTTTGGTACCAACATGGCTGTCATAATGCTCTAAAAGGGATTCATGCTGACGGCGTCGATAGTCGGATGAAGCGATCAACCCTTTCTCTTCTCATGTCCTCGCCGTTCTTGTCTGTGTTAGGTGAGTCGAAATAGTAACTGTTATCCAACTTCAGTAAATGGTTTACCTCCATTCTGCAGCCTTGCATCTACTTGCCCGCACTCAATCGATCGACGTACGCGATCGACAACAGCACCAAACGCTCACAGATATAATCCAAGAGTATATGTAGTGACATTCATTTGACTGGATTTCAATTTGGTTCAGCGCAAGACGACTTCTCAATTTGCATGGCTGCTACAATGCGAATCATTAAATGGTTTCAAATCGAATCATGTCAGGCGTACCGTTTAACGAGCTTGAAGAATTCACGACCTTGAATGGACGCCGTTTCAAGCTCCACCTCGCTAGGCTGGCGCGTGCCATCACCCTTATATAAAGGTCAGTCTCAAGCCACTCAAGTGAATGACATTGTATACCGCAAACGTGCCTGCTCCAAACGGAGATCCTCCTCTAATCTCTGAGAAATTCGAGTTCCAGAGATCACTGGTGTACTTATAGCCCTGGAGAAGCTCGTTAGCCTCGTCCTCTGGTGAAAGAATCGACTTACGAGAGGAACAAAGACGAGGCCATGGTGGACAAACGTCGTCAAGATGGAGAAGTAGGTCGACTCTTGACCACCTCCGGGTCCTCCAGTTGCGACGAATGCTCCTGCGAATTTACCTGCGAGGTGTCCGGACTGCCAAAGCTGGCCGGAGGCATCCCAGAAGGCCTTGAACTGTGCGGGGAAGCCGCCAAAACGGGTGGCGATTCCAAAGAGATAGCCATCATATTCCAACAAGTCGGCAGGAGCCGCAACTGGATATTCTGGCTTTGGAGGAGCGTGCATCTTGGTCAAGATATCCTCAGGAAGCGTCTCTGCTACCTGGAGGATGGTCGCATGGCCTCCCTCGGATTCGATACCTTTCTTGACTGCCTCAGCCACTGAGAACGACAATGTCAGTCGAGGACCATTCTGATGGATGGGGAGGTTACGAACTCTTTGCGATATGGCCATACATCGAGTAGATGACGATAGCGATTTTGGGTCCAGACATGGTGTTGTTTGCTTGCTTGTTTGTTTACTTGTGAGAGTAAAGGGCGATGTCGAGATCTTCCTGGCTCGTAGCCTCCTTTTATGTTCCTCCAAGCCGCGCTTCGCTGACCATGCATGGTCACGACGAGGCATTTTCCGTCTCATTTCGGAACCCAGGAGTAAGTTGAATCCATGACAAATAAAACGCGCACATTCAGTATCAGAAGATGCTTATAACCAATTAGGCATCTGCTGCATAAGCTATATGTCATTTGTGGACTGTTGAACATTGTCGAAGGTGTCAACTAAGGCGGGCCAGGCACATATCCACAGCTCGTAAGCAGCCTTACGCGCTGCTCAAGGTGTCGCCATCAGGACAGAATCAGCTGTAATGGTAATTTAAAAAAGATCTTAACTCAGTTGACTATTCCGTCTCGTGCAAAGGATCTCGAGAGGGGGTCAAACTGATGGAGGGGAGTTGCATGTTAACTCTAGTCTAAAAATGCCTAAGTTTATCTCTAATGAGAAATGTGACAATTTCAAGTATCTTTACTCCCATGGTTTAAAGTGAGGTGGAGGACCTGATTTGGAGTCGCCCACCACACCAGGTTTAGCACTCGCCGTACCAAAGGAGAGGCGAATCTCAAATTCAACTCTACAGGCTGGTCACTTCTTGCACTATTTATCTCCCCACAGCAGCTTGGATACATCCATTCAGAGTCTATGTCTTCCTCTTCGGAAAGAGATCCTCTTCTTCTTCCTCAACCAGGTGTCCCGAGCGATGAACAACCTTCTCCTCCTGCAATAAGCAATGTCGTGTCGAGAGCAAAACTTGTCTGGATCCTGGTCGCGCTGTGGACCACAGTTTTTCTTGGTGCAATGGATGGTACTTGCTATTACTATATGATTTTCTGGGGCCCTAAGCCACTGTTATTCTCTTAGGAACAATTGTCGCAACTCTTCAACAACCCATTGGTGACTACTTCGAGCAATCTCATAAAGCGAGCTACGTAGGGACGAGCTATCTACTCTCTATATGCTGCTTTACGCCTCTATACGGTGGTTTTCCTTGTTTCATTGTCAAAAGTTACTGAAGCTCGATCAGGACGTCTATCGGATATTCTAGGCCGCAAGGGAGCAATGGTACGGACATATTCAAGAAAAAAGTCAAAGCTGAACCGTACAGCTCCTTGCACTGGCATTCTTCACAACTGGAACTTTCTTTTGTGCTATAGCCCCTTCTATGGAGGCCCTCATTGCGGCGCGAGCGATAGCCGGTATGGGGGGTGGAGGGTGAGTCTATGAAACTCATTACATTCAGATACTGATGAAGCTAGTGTCATGACCGGTACGACCGTTCAGAGATGGTTGACGGCGCCTAACTCCTAGTAGTGTCCAGCATCACCGTCACGGATCTGATCCCATTGTTCGTCTACCAACATGACTGAATTACTTATACTAACATTTCTTCAGGCGAAGTCGTGGACTATTCCAAGGGCTTGCCAATATGTCTGGTCCCGTACTCCCAAGAGTGGTTCATGCTGACGACATCGATAGTCTTTTCGGTGCTGGTGCTGGGCTTGGTGGGCCGCTCGGTGGCTGGATCTCTGATAATTTTGGCTGGAGGATTGCATTTGGTTTTCAAGTCCCACTCCTCGTCCTCGCGGCGATTCTCGTCTCAATCCATGTCAATATCGTCCTTCCCAAAGCACCTTTGACCATCAAGCAAAAGCTAGCCAAGGTTGACTGGCTCGGCTCGCTGACACTCGTCGTCGCCGTGTCCTCCATCTTGATCGGGTTTAGCTTGAAGGCAACAGAAGATCTCGAATGGTCTGATATGCTCGTATGGGGACCATTGGCCCTCGGCGTTTTGGGGTTCGCATCTTTTGGGTTCGTCGAAGCGAAGGTCTCGCCCGAGCCCGTGCTACCAATGCAACTTTTACTCAGCCGAACGCCTCTGGCTGTTGCGTTAACGAACTTGTGAGTCTATTGTCTATATCATTCTATGTGCTCAGATTTGTAGCTTTGGCTCCATTGTTAGCTTCTCCATGCTGTACAATGTCCCACTGGTCGGCATATTACAATTAGGAGGTATCGCGGCTGATGTAATGATCTCTAGTACTTCATGGCAGTTCGGCTACAAACTGCGAGTCAAGCAGGACTTCATCTGCTGCCCAACTCTGTGAGCCAGAAGCATTGTTCCCTGAAGGTATTGACCATTCCCTCAGTTCGCACTGTCCATTGGATCTGTCGGTGCGGGATGGTGAATATCTGCCTGTTTGTTTCTTCCACCTAAAAGCTTTGTAGGATCATGCGTCACACTGGCAAGTACTGGAGGTTAGTCGTCGCAAGCACGGCGCTCTCCCTGTTCGCCTCCATTCGTGTTGCATCGTGGGACCAAGATAAGACGTCGGAATTTGAGTTATGGTTTGATATCGCGCCAAACGGGCTGGGTTTTGCGTCGACGTTGACTTCCACACTAATCGTTCGTACCAAGGCCTGCCATAGTTTCGATCGGCACTAATGTCTGTAGGCAATCATCGCATGTGTCTCACGAGATGACATGGCGATTGCCACCGGAAGTGAGTGATCGCCCCTCTGCCAGCCACATTATCAGCTGACAGGGAATAGTCACGTATCTTTTCCGCACCACAGGCCAGGTGCTCGGCGTCAGCTTATCGGGAACATTGTTCCAGGCCATCTTGATGAAGCAGCTACGAGAAAGGATGCCAGGACCCGATGCCAGCAACGTGATTGAGCTCATCAGGCAAGTATCTCATCATGTAATTATTGACGCTTCCTAAGCATATTATAGGCGCAATGCGGGCCTCGTTCGTTCCCTCAAAGCCTCCCAGCGACAAGCGGCTGTCGACTCCTTTGCAATCGCGTTGAGGACGGTTTTTATCTGCCAAGCTGCTCTAGCATTCATTGGGATGATATGTGCCCTACCAATTGAGGAAAGACCGCTTCCGTAAGTCTCTTCCATCGTGGACTAGTCTCTGACCTAGTTCCAGAGGCTCGCATGAAGAGCATGAAGAGTCTCATCAAAGGCGACAACAGCGGTCTGCTTAAACATTGCATAATTGACGCTAAAGGGTATGGAGGTGAATAGAAAGATATGGACCAAATTACATTAAGAAAGCGACTATTGAGTGGGTATCATACCCTTCGCTGACCTAGAAGCTGCGAAAGCAACATTGCCAGTCTCTTCTCGCACAAATGGTCCCGCGCCCTGCGAAATGATGGGAGGTGCAGCTCTATCCCAGAGTCACGGAACTCAACTCTTGGAACAGATGGCTCATATCTGGCATGCTGACGCAGAGTGGCTTTAAGTGTGGTTTGTGACTCGATGATATATGTACATAGGTGACGACAATGGGCACCCAAGAGGTTCTCACCTCTTGGACCCAGCCTCATTGTCGTCACAGGTCTGTAGTCAATCTCACCTCTTGGACCCAGCCTCATTATCGTCACAGGTTATGAGCCCTGTGAGAGGAACGTTGTGAATTTCTCAGATTTTACTTCGCACTTCCTCGCCGCCGCTGCCTTACGCGTTCTCGCCGCAAACGCACGCCAAGGAGAGCTCCCTACAGTTCTATACCACAGGAGACTATCGATCGCTCGCTAATACACGTACTCTCGGGCTTTCTAGCCCTCGCCGACTTCATACACGTAACGCCCTCGTTGTTCAGCAAGGCTTTCTAGCCTTTAATCGATCTCTTACGAAAATTAATATCATACCATATCATTTCCTGAGCGTTTCGATAGTCCCCAAAGCCTCCTTTTCTTTTGCCACTTCGATTTTCGTCACCGTCGTCCTCACCGCCGTTGAACACCATCCGCCATGTCTGGCAGCTCCAACACGCCCGAACCGTCGTCCAAGACGTCCAATACATCCGTCATTCATTCGGCTCCTCCCCATGTTGCACCAGCAGTGATCTCGAAGCCAAACGAGCGCTCGCTGACGCTGTTCCTCAAGCTGAAGGAAAAGGACAATGTCCTGACGGCACGTAACTACCAGTGGTGGTTCTCTGAGCTCGACGATGCCCTTCTGTACGGCGACGTCTGGTTTTCGCTCTTCGCCAAGGACGGAGGAGGCAATCGTCCCAACGTACCAGATCCGAGCGACCCGAACCTCGTCCTTTATCATGCAGCCAACAAAGCTGCTGCAGCGTGGATCAAGACGGCTGCTGGCTACACGCATCGCGCTATCGTCCAGAAGTTCTCCGAGAAGGGCGATGGCGTTGGAATGTACGACGCGCTGCGCAACCAATTTGGCAAGATGGCCCCCACGTCTCGCTACTTCGATGTGCAGTCTCTTTTCCGTCTCCGTGACAGTTCTCTCCCCGTCGTTGGCACCAATTGGTCGGAACGCTGCAGCGCAATCGCGAATCTGAAGAACTCGCTGCGTGACAATTGCGCGGGTATGTCCATAGAGGACTTCATCGACGAAATGGCGTTCCACACCCTCATTTTCAGTCTTCCCGACGGCGACGAGTTCCAGCAACGCCTCATTGCCAATCTTGATTCGGGCAAGACGACGTTTGAGGACGCGCGCGAGCAGCTCATTAAGCATGCTCTCGTGAAGACGACCCGCGCGGAAGCAAACGGCTCCCCTCCCGACGCCGCCCACGTCGTGACAGAGTCCCCATCGATCGCAAAGGGTAGTCAGGCTCTTCGAACGGCGCCACACTCTATTACGTATGAGGAGCTCGCCGCCGCTGTCCAAGCCAACATTCGTTGCTTCCAATGTGGAGGACCGCATTTCAAACGAGACTGCCCGCAGCTGCGCCATGGCAACGGTCCACAATCAATCCGATTCCAAGTGCGCGGAGGTCAGCAGACCGGACGGTTCATTACTGGTCGCTTCAACAGCGGCAACGGCTTCCAAGGCGGTCAAAGAGGTCACGCGTCTGGTCAAGCGCCTGCTCGCTGGCGCGACAACGCGAATGCCGCTCAAGTCGACAACTCCACCACCATTGAACTTGCTCTGGACGATCAGTCCTCGCAGTCATCTTTTCCTATCGACGCCATCATCGATGGAATTACGATTGATTTCGCTGGAAACGTTAGTTCCCTCCCATCTCTGCCCAACCACCGCTCTGATGCCATCGCCGATTCAGGGGCCTCCACCCACATGTCCTGCGTCCGCGAGCGGGTTCTAGATATGAAGCCCACTGATCGTATGGTGAAGTTGGCAGATGGAACTCTTGTTCCGGCAGAGGGCATTGGGCATAGCTTATTCCATGCGTCGATTAATGGTGTGCTGGCTTCGAAACAGACTGTTTTCCCCAACGTTCTCTATGTGCCTTCTCTCTCAAACAATCTTATCTCGACTGGGGCTCTCGTCGAGTCTGAGGGATACACACAAGAGTACGACAGAAAAGGATGAGATTTTCAAGGACGGCGTACTGCAGTTCACAGCGACTGTCGGAGACATGCGCGTCCCAGTGCTGGACGGAAAATTTGCCCTTTCGACCCATGAGAATGCTCTGGCTGCAACGTCCTCATCGGCGCCGCTTGCGGTTTGGCACAATCGCCTTGGCCACCGCAGCTACGATGCTCTGGCGAAGCTCAATTTGCCGCTCTCTGATCGAATTGTGCCAAGGACCTGTATTCCATGCATCAACGGAAAACTCACTCGCGCTCCCAGCACCCAACTCGCTCGACGTGCTACTCGCCCTCTCGAACGCATATTCTCGGACGTTCATGGGCCAATGAGAGTGCAAGGTCGTCATCAAGAGCGTTATTGGGTCACCTTTCAAGACGACTACAGTCGCTTTGTTGTGCTATACTGTGTAAAGTCGAAGTCGGACGTCTTTCGTTGCTTCAAGGAGTTCGTCGCCTGGTCCACAAATCAGATGAACACGCGAAGGATCAGCTTCGATGAAAACGACATGCGCACAGTTGTTCGTCGACTTTGAGATGACAAAGGTGGCGAGTACATATCGCGGGAGTTCGATGAGTTCTGCGCGGCTCTTGGCATTCAGCGCGAGCATACAATACGCGACACTCCTCAACAGAATGGACCAGTTGAGCGTTTCAACAGGACTCTGTCTGAAGGGGTCGCTGCACTGCTCAACCAGTCAAGGCTTCCCGCATCGACGTGGGTAGATGCCGCCAGCGCCTTTGTTCACGTGCACAATCGAATGCCTTCGTCATCCACGGATGGAAAGTCTCCATTCGAGCTTTTCAATGGTGAAGCTCCATCGTTAGATCGGATGCGGACCTTTGGATGCGAAGCATGGGTGCATCTCCAACGTGATCAGCGCTCTCCATCACTGGATCATGCTGTTCGAGCTGTCTTCCTGGGTTACCCGCCAACTTACAGTGGGTGGCGCTTCGTCAACCTGAGCACTGGGAAGGAGGTCATCTCAAACTCAGCGGTATTTGTCGAAGACGTCTTTCCCGGTCGACTGCGCGCCGATGCAAAAGGTGTCGACTACACGTTTACACCTGGCATGCTCGACAGTGACGATTCTCCTCCATCATCTCCACATCCCGCTCCCGCTCCTGCTTCCATTCCTCCTGCTCCTCCTCCTCTTTCCCCCACCCTTCCTACTTCTCCCTCCCCTACTGCAGAACCAGTTGTTCCAGCCACTGTGAACACTGGTGGTCCTAGTCTCGTCTTTGCACCGGGCAACCGTGTGGAGATCCTGCTTCCGCCACCCAATCTGGGCACCAGCCAGCCGACTGCGCCGCCGCCACCTCTCTCTCGAGAGGAGAAGAGCCTGAAGAGAGACTATGAAACGCATCCTGGTAACCATCTGAGCCGCAGTGAACGACAGAGTCGTGCCAAAGTCAACTATGCCGAGTCGTCTGACGATGAAACGGCTGACTGCGCGTTCTCTACAGGCGTGATTGACAATCACGACTGGATCCCGTTTCAAGGTGCCATGGATTATGTGTTTGCTGTCACTGAATCTCTCGATCCTCGCTCTTGGAAGGAGGCTATGTCCCGTCCTGATGCGAATAAATGGATCAAAGCGGCTCATGAGGAGCTCGAGGCTCTTCTGAAGAACGGCACATGGCAGGTCGTGCGTCTTCCCCAAGGCAAAACGGTGCTCGGGAATAAGTGGGTATTCAAGACGAAGAAGGATGCCACGGGAAATGTCGAGAGACACAAAGTCAGACTCGTCGCAAAAGGATTCCTTCAGAAGCAGGGCGTCGATTTTGACGAGACCTTCGCACCGACTGGAAGCCTGGCAGCACTTCGCACTGTCATTGCCACCGCGACCGAGCTCGATTGGGAGATTCACTCAATCGATATCTCTTCGGCTTTCCTAAACGGTGACATGGATGCTGAGGTTTACATGGAACTACCTGAAGGCGTTAAGATTCCGCTGGGCGAACTTGACGGCTTAGAGGAGGGAAGTGTGAAATGGGCTCTCCGCCTCCTCAAGGCACTCTATGGCCTGAAACAAGCCGGACGTCGATGGTCGGTGAAGCTCCATCAGGCTCTCACAAAGCTAGGCTTCGTCCGCACCGTGCTGGAACCCTCGTGTTACCTATACGAGAAAGAAGGCATAAAACTCGTCGTTCCGGTCTATGTTGACGACCTCACGTGCGCGTGTGCGTCGCAAGTGCTAATTAGGTGGTTCAAGGACGCTCTCAAGAAGGAATTCGATCTTCGATACATGAAGGAGACAAAATTTGTCCTTGGTATCGCTGTCGACCGTGACCGAAAGTTGGGCAAGACGTTCTTATCTCAAACGAGCTACATCAAAGAGATCTCATACGCCTTCTTCGGCACGCGCAACGTCCACCCACTCTCAACTCCGATTGCTCCTGGTCTAAAACTCACCAACGAAGACGCGCCACAGACTCCGAACACCGCGGACGTCAAGCGAATTCAGGAGTACACCGGCAAGCTCCTATACCTTCAACGAGCCACGAGACCCGACATCGCGTTCGCTCTTCATCAAATCTGCCGTTTCACTCAGAACCCGGGTCGCGTCGTGATGGAAGCTCTCAATGGCCTCATGCGATACGTCCATGGGTCAATGCATCTTCGTCTCACATACACGCGCAGTGGGAAGAACGAGCCACAAGCATTCGAAACATTCAGCGACTCGGACCATGGTGGCGATCCAGTCACGCATCGATCAACGGGCGGATTCGCAGTTATGATGTGCTCTGGAGCAGTTAATTGGGGCTCGAAGCTTCACAAAACTGTCTCGCTTTCGTCCACTGAGGCCGAGTACATCACTGCGTCGATCGTCGGATGCGATATCATGTGGCAACGCGGATTCCTCGAAGAACTTGGCTTCCCTTCTACCGGGCCGTCTCCTATCTATCTCGACAGCAACTCTGCTGCGCAAGTCGTTCGCAATCCTGAACATCAGAGCACGATGAAACAAGTCAATCGTCGCTACCATTGGATTCGCGAGCGCGTAGCGGAAGGAGACATCGAAGTTCGTCGCGTAGCTGGATCTGATAATCCCGCCGACATCTTCACGAAGCCACTCAACCGTATCAAGTTCCTCGAGTTTCGCTCGATGCTCGGTCTGCAGTAGACCACCCTTCATTATCTTCTCTATTCCCTTCATTGCTTTCCTTACGGACTCTGATTCGTTCATTATGGACACTGGTTACGCTCATTTGATTACACTGTATTCATCGAGTCAGGGGGGTGATGTGGTTTGTGACTCGATGATATATGTACATAGGTGACGACAATGGGCACCCAAGAGGTTCTCACCTCTTGGACCCAGCCTCATTGTCGTCACATTAAGGTTGGTCACACCTACCGAATCTCGACCCGCCTCAGCAGCCTCCCTCCTGCTGGCTGGGCAGAGAATGGAAAAACGGAAGCGGCTGGTACAGGTCTGTAGTCAATCTCACCTCTTGGACCCAGCCTCATTGTCGTCACATTAAGGTTGGTCACACCTACCGAATCTCGACCCGCCTCAGCAGCCTCCCTCCTGCTGGCTGGGCAGAGAATGGAAAAACGGAAGCAGCTGGTATGAGACTGGACACTACTCGCATTATTTAGCAACTCGAGGACTTTACCAGCAACTTGATGCCCATGATGTCTTCCTCTTCGGAAAGAGATCCTCTTCTTCTTCCTCAACCAGGTGTCCCGAGAGATGAACAACCTCCTCCTCCTCCTGCAATAAACAATGTCGTGTCGAGAGCAAAACTTGTCTGGATCCTGGTCGCGCTGTGGACCACAGTTTTTCTTGGTGCAATGGATGGTACTTGCTATTACTATATGATTTTCTGGGGCCCTAAGCCACTGTTATTCTCTTAGGAACAATTGTCGCAACTCTTCAACAACCTATTGGTGACTACTTCGAGCAATCTCATAAAGCGAGCTACGTAGGGACGAGCTATCTACTCTCTATATGCTGCTTTACGCCTCTATACGGTGGTTTTCCTTGTTTCATTGTCAAAAGTTACTGAAGCTCGATCAGGACGTCTATCGGATATTCTAGGCCGCAAGGGAGCAATGGTACGGACATATTCAAGAAAAAAGTCAAAGCTGAACTGTACAGCTCCTTGCACTGGCATTCTTCACAACTGGAACTTTCTTTTGTGCTATAGCCCCTTCTATGGAGGCCCTCATTGCGGCGCGAGCGATAGCCGGTATGGGGGGTGGAGGGTGAGTCTATGAAACTCATTACATTCAGATACTGATGAAGCTAGTGTCATGACAGGTACGACCGTTCAGAGATGGTTGACGGCGCCTAACTCCTAGTAGTGTCCAACATCACCGTCACGGATCTGATCCCATTGTTCGTCTACCAACATGACTGAATTAATCATACTAACATTTCTTCAGGCGAAGTCGTGGACTATTCCAAGGGTTTACCAATATGTCTGGTCCCGTACTCCCAAGAGTGGTTCATGCTGACGACATCGATAGTCTTTTCGGTGCTGGTGCTGGGCTTGGTGGGCCGCTCGGTGGCTGGATCTCTGATAATTTTGGCTGGAGGATTGCATTTGGTTTTCAAGTCCCACTCCTCGTCCTCGCGGCGATTCTCGTCTCATTCCATGTCAACATCGTCCTTCCCAGAGCACCTTTGACCATCAATCAAATGCTAGCCAAGATTGACTGGCTCGGCTCGCTGACACTCGTCGTCGCCGTGTCCTCCATCTTGATCGGGTTTAGCTTGAAGGCGACAGAAGATCTCGAATGGTCTGATATGCTCGTATGGGGACCATTGGCCCTCGGCGTTTTGGGCTTCGCATCTTTTGGGTTCGTCGAAGCGAAGGTCTCGCCCGAGCCCGTGCTACCAATGCAACTTTTACTCAGCCGAACGCCTCTGGCTGTTGCGTTAACGAACTTGTGAGTCTATTGTCTATATCATTCTATGTGCTCAGATTTGTAGCTTTGGCTCCATTGTTAGCTTCTCCATGCTGTACAATGTCCCACTGGTCGGCATATTACAATTAGGAGGTATCGCGGCTGATGTAATGATCTCTAGTACTTCATGGCAGTTCGGCTACAAACTGCGAGTCAAGCAGGACTTCATCTGCTGCCCAACTCTGTGAGCCAGAAGCATTGTTCCCTGAAGGTATTGACCATTCCCTCAGTTCGCACTGTCCATTGGATCTGTCGGTGCGGGATGGTAAACATCTGCCTGTTTGTTTCTTCCACCTAAAAGCTTTGTAGGATCATGCGTCACACTGGCAAGTACTGGAGGTTAGTCGTCGCAAGCACGGCGCTCTCCCTGTTCGCCTCCATTCGTGTTGCATCGTGGGACCAAGATAAGGCGTCGGAATTTGAGTTATGGTTTGATATTGCGCCAAACGGGCTGGGTTTTGCGTCGATGTTGACTTCCACACTAATCGTTCGTACCAAGGCCTGCCGTAGTTTCGATCGGCACTAATATCTGTAGGCAATTATCGCATGTGTCTCACGAGATGACATGGCGATTGCCACCGGAAGTGAGTGATCGCCCCTCTGCCAGCCACATTATCAGCTGACAGGGAATAGTCACGTATCTTTTCCGCACCACAGGCCAGGTGCTCGGCGTCAGCTTATCGGGAACATTGTTCCAGGCCATCTTGATGAAGCAGCTACGAGAAAGGATGCCAGGACCCGATGCCAGCAACGTGATTGAGCTCATCAGGCAAGTATCTCATCATGTAATTATTGACGCTTCCTAAGCATATTATAGGCGCAATGCGGGCCTCGTTCGTTCCCTCAAAGCCTCCCAGCGACAAGCGGCTGTCGACTCCTTTGCAATCGCGTTGAGGACGGTTTTTATCTGCCAAGCTGCTCTAGCATTCATTGGGATGATATGTGCCCTACCAATTGAGGAAAGACCGCTTCCGTAAGTCTCTTCCATCGTGGACTAGTCTCTGACCTAGTTCCAGAGGCTCGCATGAAGAGCATGAAGAGTCTCATCAAAGGCGACAACAGCGGTCTGCTTAAACATTGCATAATTGACGCTAAAGGGTATAGAGGTGAATAGAAAGATATGGACCAAATTAAATTAAGAAAGCGACTATTGAGTGGGGTATCATACCCTTCGCTGACCTAGAAGTTGCGAAAGCAACATTGCCAGTCTCTTCTCGCACAAATGGTCCCGGGCCCTGCGAAATGATGGGAGGTGCAGCTCTATCCCAGAGTCACGGAACTCAACTCTTGGAACAGATAGCTCATATCTGGCATGCTGACGCAGAGTGGCTTTAAGGTTGGTCACACCTACCGAATCTCGACCCGCCTCAGCAGCCTCCCTCCTGCTGGCTGGGCAGAGAATGGAAAAATGGAAGTGGCTGGTATGAGGCTGGACACTACTCGCATTATTTAGCAACTCGAGGACTTTACCAGCAACTTGATGCCCATAATGTCTTCTCCAACGGAAAGAGATCCCCTGCCACCTAATCACAATGCCATCGGATCTTCGGCTACAAACATCAATGCCGTTTCGAGACCGACCCTCATCTGGATCCGAGCTGCGATATGTATTCCGGTCTTTCTCAGTGCAATGGATGGTATTGCTACAACACACGCTTCATTCGAGTGCTAAATGGCTACAGGAACAATTGCTGCAACACTTCAACAGCCCATTGGTGAATCCCTTGAACTATCATATATATCATATATAGCGAGCTACGTAGGAGCGAGTTATCTACTGTCCACGTGCTGCTTTACGCCTCTATATGGTGATTACCTGTACTTTATCACCGTTTTTTCACTAATATCCATCAGGGCGCTTGTCAGACATTTTCGGACGCAAAGGAGCAATGGTATGAGCTTCTTATCCAAATCAAGCCCATGCTAGAATCATACAGCTCCTTGCACTCACACTCTTTACAATTGGGAGGCTTCTATGTGTTACCGCTCCGTCCATGGAAGCACTCATCGCAGGACGAGTAATTGCTGGCATGGGAGGTGGAGGGTGAGTCTATGGACTTCGCTGACCTCTACTAATGCTGGGATTAGTGTTATGACAGGTACATTCGCTCTAGAAACGACTGAAGGAAATAAATTCCAGTAGTGTCCAATATCACGGTCACGGATCTTATCCCATTGTACGTCTATCAACGTGAAGGAGACATAAAAGCGCTAATATTCCCTCAGGAGGTATCGTGGACTATTTCAGGGACTTCTCAATATGTCCGTTACCTTGCAGAGAAAATGGCTCTCGCTGACGACATCAATAGTCTTCTCGGTGCTGGTGTTGGGCTTAGTGGGCCGCTCGGTGACTGGATCTCTGATAATTTTTGCTGGAGGATTGCATTTGGCTTTCAAGTTCCACTCCTCGTCCTTGCAGCGATCCTCGTCTCAATCCATGTCAACATTATCCTTCCCAAAGCACCTTTGACACTCAAGCAGAAGCTAGCCAAGGTCGACTGGCTTGGTTCAGTGACATTGGTTGTCGCCGTGTCTTCCATCTTGATCGGGTTTAGCTTCCAGGCGACAGAAGACCTCGACTGGTCCGATCCACTCGTGTGGGGACCGTTAGTCTTCAGTATATTTACATTTGCCTCGTTCTGGCTCGTCGAGGCGAAAGTATCCCCGGAACCTGTGCTACCGATGCGACTTTTACTCAGCCGAACGCCGCTGGCTGTTGCGTTGACAAACTTGTGGGTCAATCGCCCAAAGCCTTGCCTGTGCTGAATGTCCGCAGTTTCGGTTCTGTTGTCAGCTTCTCGGTGCTGTACAACGTTCCACAGGTCAGTAGGTCGGACCGAGGAGCCACAAGTGCTGATAATGAGTAGTACTTTATGGCAGTTCGCCTTCAGACTGCCAGTCGAACGGGACTTCATCTATTACCCAATTCCTTGAGCAGGAAATATTGTTCTTTGGAGGTTACTGAGTGTTCTCCCAGCTCGCGCTATCCGTCGGATCTGTCGGTGCCGGATGGTACATTAAAATCCGCTCGAGTTTTCCCCTTTGACAACTTTGTAGGGTTATGCGCCGTCCTGGCAAGTATTGGTGGGTGATCATCGCGAGAACAGCGCTCTCTTTGTTCGCTTCTATTCGTATCGCCACCTGGGACCAGAACCAACCGTCGGAATTCGACTTCTGGTTTGATGTCATACCTAATGGGTTGGGTTTCGCGGCGATGTTGACGTCCACCCTCATTGTTCGTACCCAAACTCACTTTAATTTCGTTGATACTGATGCCAGTAGGCAATTATCGCGTGTATCTCACGAGAAAACATGGCTGTTGCCACTGGAAGTGAGCATTCATTTCTCTTCATAGTAGTTAGACGCTGAGATGGGACTAGTCACATACCTCTTTCGTACCACAGGTCAAGTGCTCGGCGTGAGCTTATCAGAAACGTTGTTTCAAGCCATATTGATGAAGCAGCTGCGAGAAAGGATGCCAGGTCCTGACGCCAGTATCATTATCAACACCGTCAGGTAACGATCTCATTATTATTGCCGACCTTTGCTGACATTACTCTTAGACACAATGCAGGACTAGTCAGTTATCTTGAAGGTGCTCAGCTACAGGCAGCTGTCGACTCATTTGCGATCGCATTGAGGGTGGTTTTCATCTGCCAAACTGCATTATCTTTGATCACGATGATGTGCGCCCTACCGATTGAGGAAAAACCGCTTCCATAGTAGTTTTATGCCCTTAACGGTTGCTTTCTACTGGCTGGCACGAGGAACATGACGAGACGGAAAGCATGTGCACGAACAATGTAATATTGGTTGCAAAGTATACAGACGCAAATAGAGCAACCCAAACAGCTGAAGAATTGCCGTTTGGACAAAGACATAAACCATTGCCAGTTCTCATCTCGTGTTATTGATAAAGGCGCATCTCCAGCCTACATACTTATAAGAGATCAGATTATTAGAATGCTTGTTGCCGAACCGAGACTAAAGTGTGGTCAAGACGCGATTTGGACCAACCCCCGCCTCTACTGCAGACCACCGGGCCTTTGGAGAATGGAGAAAATAAGCCACAAATTCATTCCATCCGATAGGCTGGACACTCATCGTGCTGCTTATTACTCTACCCATCGAGGAGACCTTTTTGCAACGAGCCATGTCTCCCACAGAAAGAGATCCTCTCCTTCCCAAAGTCGGCATTATCAGCACCAAATTATCTTCTTCACCGACGGCGAATAATGACGTATCAAGAGCAACTCTTATCCGGATCTTAGCTGTGGTTTGGATGGTCAGCCTTCTCGGCGCGATGAATGGTATTGCCATGATATACGAATGTCCGTCCCCGACTAAATCGGTTTAGTAACGACCGCAGCAACGCTCCAACAGCCCATCGGTGACGACTTCAAACAGTCACATAAAGCGAGCTACGTGGGCACGAGCTATCTACTCTCTGCATGCTGCTTTACACCTCTATACGGTGATTGGCTTTGTTCTATCATCAGTTTTTACTAACCTCTATCAGGACGCTTGTCAGATATTTTCGGACGCAAGGGAGCAATGGTATGAAAACTCCTTGGACAAAGCGAAAGCTGAATCAGTCCAGCTCCTTGCGCTGGTACTCTTCACAACCGGAACTTTCCTATGCGCTATCGCCACCTCGATGGAAGTTCTCATAGGAGCGAGAGTAATTGCTGGTATGGGAGGGGGAGGGTAAGCCTATGGAACTTCCCACGTTCAGATATTGACAAAGCTAGTATCCTTACAGGTACCATTAGCCAGATAGTATTAAATAAATCTAACTGTGGACAGTGTCAAGCGTCGTCGTCTCGGATCTCGTCCCATTGTATGTATACCAGTCTCAATGGCGCTTAAATACCCTGACACTCCTTCAGACGAAGCCGTGGGTTGTTCCAAGGATTCGCTGTTATGTCCGTGAGATTGCTTCCAAATTGATTCGTGCTGACGACATCAATAGTCTCTTTGGGGCTGGAGCGGGACTTGGAGGACTGCTTGGTGGCTGGATTCATGTCAATTTTGGCTGGAGGACCGCCTTCGGCTTTCAGGTTCCCCTCCTCATCCTGGCAGCAATTTTCGTTTCGATACACCTCAATATTACCCTCCCTCAAGTATCTCTGACCATCGAGCAAAAGCTAGCCAAGATTGACTGGCTCGGCTCACTGACACTCGTTCTGGCTGTTTCCTCTCTCGTGGTTGGGTTTGGTTTGAAGGCAACAGAAGATCTTCAGTGGTCTGATCCATTCGTTTGGATGCCGTTAATCTTCAGTGGAGTTTCATTCGCATCCTTTTGGTTTGTTGAGGCGAAGGTGTCGCCGGAGCCCGTTCTGCCAATGCGGCTTTTGCTCAGTCGAACCCCACTATGCGTTGCATTGACAAACTTGTGAGTATGCTGCTCGATCATAACCCCATGCTCAAGAACAGTAGATTTGGCTCGATCGTGGGCTTTTCCATTATCTACAACGTGCCACTAGTCAGTAAATTGGGATGAAGAGGCATAGGAATTAACGTTAACTAGTACTTTATGGCAGTTCGTCCTCAAAGCGCCAGTCGAGCGGGGCTTCACCTTTTACCCATCTCTGTAAGGCGTAACTGCTTGTTTATCTGAAGTGCTTACCGCTCACTGTAGCTTGCCCTACCTGTTGGTGCCCTCTTTTCAGGATGGTAGGTCGCTTTATGTTTGTTTTCCCCTTCTGATAGCGGTGTAGGATGATGCGTCGGACTGGCAGGTATTCATGGGTAGTTACCGCAAGTACTACAATCTCCTTGTTTGCTTCAATCAGTGTTGCAATGTGGAAGGAAGACACGACCTCAGAATTGAAGTTCTGGCTTACGATTGCCCCGAATGGACTAGGATTTGCCGCGGTTCAGACCTCGACGTTCATCGTTCGTATAAGTTCTCCGCATATTTGATGGATGTTAACGTCTGTAGGCAATCACCGCATGTGTTCCACGAGAGGACATGGCTACTGCCATTGGAGGTGGGCGACCACTATCTTCGTACCATGCATTCAGCTGAAACATGTTAGTTGTATATCTATCCCGGGCAATAGGTCAAGTTCTCGGCGTGAGCTTGTCGGGAACGCTATTCCAGACCATCCTCACGAAACAACTCCGAGCAAGGATGCCGGGTCCCGACGCCAGTATCATCGTCGACGCTGTCCGGTATTCATTTCTATTATATCATGGTCTACATATTTACCCGTATTGTAGACGTAATGCGGGGCTTGTTGGCTCTCTTGGAAGTGCCCAGCGACAAGCAGCTGTAGACTCGTTTGCGTTCGCATTGAGAACAATTTTCATCTGTCAAGCTGCTGTATCATTCATCACCATACTATGCGCCTTACCAATAGAGGAAAGGCCGCTTTCGTAGGTTGCTTCTCTCCTGGACGGTATTCTCCTAACTAATCTTCAGTGACTCGTGTGAAGAACATGAAGGATATGAAGACCGACTAAAGGAGACTGCTTGACTGATCTGTGATGGATGTCAAATGTACTGTACAAGGTAGATGCAATGGTCTAGACCAATAAAGAAGCAAGCGAATAAGCGAGAATATGAACGGTTTTCGGTAAATTTTCTTTCTCTATTCATCGGCCTTTTGTATTCTGGCCCATGATCACAACTATCGGTCGTTCGCTGAATTGTGGAGTCCTCGAACGACCAAAACCCCGGCTGAGAAGCATTACGATCAAGGAATTATCACTTCGACACAATTCACAATCACACGAGATCTCACCAGCCCCGCCTCTATTGCAGACCACTGGCTATTGGAGAATGGAGAGTCACAATTTATTCCACCCTTAGGCGGGGCCTTGCACTATATATCATCCTTTTAGTTCAGGACATCTTCTGGCAAAGAGCCATGTCTCCCACAGAAAGAGATCCTCTCCTTCCCAAAGTCGCCATTGTCAGCTCCGAACCATCTTCTTCGTCGGGGACCAAGCGATGTCCTGTCAAGAACCAAACTCATCTGGATCCTGGCTGCTCCTTGGACAGTAACATTTCTCGGCGCGATGAATGGTATTGCCATAATGCGTGACTGTCCATCCCCTAATAAATCCGTTTAGCAACAATCGTCGCAACACTCCAGCAGCCCATCGGTGACTACTTTGAACAATCACACAAAGCCAGCTATGTCGGGACGAGCTATCTACTCTCTGCATGCTGCTTTACACCCCTATATGGTGATTGTCTATGTTTTATTCTCACTCTTTGCTAATCATTATCAGGTCGTCTTTCAGACATTTTTAGACGCAAGGGAGCAATGGTAGGAAAATTCCTGGGACAGAGCGAAAGCTGAATCAGCCCAGCTCCTTGCACTGGTACTCTTCATAACTGGAACGTTCCTATGCGCTATCGCCACCTCAATGGAGGCTCTCATAGGAGCGAGGGTAATTACTGGTATGGGAGGGGGAGGGTAAGCCTATGGAGCTTCTCCAATCCAGCTATTGACGAATCCAGTCTCTCTACAGGTACCATCAATTGGCCAGCGTGCTCGCAGTAACCACCCCCGAATATCCGCCAGTGCGGCGCATGATCCTACGAAGCGGTGAGGTGTGAAAAGCAATCAAGAAGTGATTTGCCATCCCGCAGAAAGGGCTCCGATAGGTTCGGCAAGCTGTATAGACCAGTAAGCACCTCAGAGAAGAAGTACTTTTCTGCTCACGGAAATGGGCACGAGGTAACGTCCGGCTTGACTAGCGGTTTTGGAGACGGACTGCCATGAAGTACTAGTCATAGTCAGCATCGTGCTTTCATCATTCCACTGCACCCACCAATGGTATATTGTACATTACCGAGAAGCTTACGATGGAGCCAAATCTGCAGATCTTGAGCACATTAGAGTTATCATGTGGTACGCTCACAAGTTTGTCATTGCGACAGCCAGCGGGGTTCGACTGAACAAAAGTCGCGTTGGTAGAATCGGCTCTGGTGACATCTTCACCTCGACGACCCAGAATGATACGAACATGAACGCGCTGATGATTAATGGCATCCAGACAAATGGATGGGACCATTGGAGATCTTCCGTCGCCTTTAAATTGAGTCCAATTAGGGCGGAAGAAACAGCGAGGATGAGTGTCAGCGACCCGAGCCAGTCAATCTTGGCTAGCTTTTGCTCGATGGTCAGAGATACTTGAGAGAGGGTAATATTGAGGTGTATCGAAACGAAAATTGCTGCCAGGATGAGGAGGGGAACCTGAAAGCCGAAGGCGATCCTCCAGCTAAAATTGACATAAATCCAGCCACCAAGCAGTCCTCCAAGTCCTGCTCCAGCCCCAAAGAGACTATTGATGTCGTCAGCACGAACTATTTTCAAAGTAATGTGACGGACATAACCGCGAATCCTTTGAATAGCCCACGGTTTCTCCTGAAGGAGTATCAGTCTGTGTACCTGATTACAGATTCGACTGGTAGACGAACAATAGGATGAGGTCTGAGACGACGACACTTGACACTATCAACAGTTAGGATTCGTCACGAGCACGGTAATCTCTCTGCTCGTTTCGATCGGCATTTTAATGTGGGAGCAAGATACTACGGAACTCGAATTCTGGCTTACGATTGCACTTGCTGGGATGGGCATTGCGGCGGTGATAAACTCCACATTTGTCGTTCGTACCTAGGTTCTCCGTAGTTTCGATTAACACCAATTCCTGTAGGCAAACACTGCGTCTGTTCCACGAGAGGACATGGCTACTGCGGTCGGAGGTGCGCGATCGCTATCTTCGTACCCTGCGTTCACTGAACCGAGCTAGCTGTATATCTCTTTCGCACCACAGGTCAAGTCATTGGCGTGAGCTTGTCTGGAACGTTATTCCAAGCCATCCTCATCAAACAACTACGAGAAAGGATGCCGGGTTCTAACGCCAGTATCATCATCGGCGCGGTTAGGTAACCTTTCTATCATACCATTGTCTACGATTTCTGACCAAACTACAGGCGTAATGCGGGACTTGTTAGATCCCTCGAAGGTGCTCAGCGACAAGCAGCTGTCGACTCGTTTGCGATCGCATTGAGAACAGTCTTCATCTGCCAAGCTGCTCTGTCATTACTCACCGTGCTATGCACCTTACCAATAGAAGAACGGCCGCTTTTGCAGGTTTCTTCTGCCCTGGACAGAATTACCCTAACCAATGTTCAGTTCGCACGAAGAACACGATAAAGAATATCAAGAGCGACGAAAGGAGTATGTCTGACTGATGTGTGATTGTATGTCAAATGTACAATAGTAAATAGAACGACCTAGACCAAAGACGAGGCAGGCGAGTAAGCGACAATACGAATGATCTACGATGGTTTCGGTGGTATTCTCTCCTCTATCCATCGTCTTTTCGGGCGTTGTGCAATGGTCACGGCCGTTGGTCGTTCATATTCTTGTTGTCCAGAGTCTGCTAGGCCCTGCCGTCGAGGTCGCGCTGGACAGGGAAGGACATCGGATGCAGATACGGTGGCCACACTCGTGAAGAAAGTGGCGACGAAGAGGACGGAGACAAGCGTTCGTCGATTGCGACTGGTGAGGCGAAACTGAGACATTTTCTACTCGTCGATAGGGTAAATCAACATAAATCTTGCCAAATTGACAATTTCCATACCTTTTTTCGCTCAAAACGCCGCCCAAGGCATTGACCAAGAGGCCTCGACGGGTTTGGTAAACTCCAAAGTTGACTTCCACCCACACTCTTGCCTTGCATTTGCCTGTTCCGCTTCTCGTTTGCTATGGGTCTCACTTTTAGTTCATTATTCGACTCTCTTTCCTCTCTGACTGGCTGGCGCCAGCAACAAGATGTCCGTATCCTGTGCTTGGGTTTGGACGCGGCAGGGAAGACGACGCTGCTTTATCAACTCCAGGTCTGTATATTCATCTCTTTGTCACCCGTGCTCATCGTTCCTCTAGTTAGGAGAGGTCGTATCGACCGTGCCGAGTGAGCTTTGACAAATACTGAGCATAACGAAGACCTAAACCCTCGGTGCGTAGCTATTGGCTTCAATGTCGAGACATTGGTCTACAAGAACATTAAACTTGTTCTTTGGGATCTCGGAGTACGTCCCATCACTCACCGGAAAACAACTACCTGACAATCGGCGTGTCCGTAGGGCCAGTCGAGCATCCGTAGTTACTGGCGTTGCTACTTCCAACACACTTCGGCGATCATCTACGTTATAGATGCAGCAGACAAGGATCGGCTACACACGACCAAGGCGGAGTTGTTGTCAATACTAGACGAGGATGAGCTCAAGGGTGTCCCAGTCCTTGTCTTTGCGAATAAGCAAGACATTCCTGGTGCATTGCCTCCCGCAGAGATTAGTGAAGAGCTTGGTTTGGCAGGCGGCGAAACGACGAGGCCTTGGAGTGTACGAGGTTGCTGTGCGATCAAAGGGGAAGGCTTACACGATGGTCTCGATTGGTGCGCCCCGTGGTACTGGGTCCGAATGGTGTCTTACAGTTTCACAGGCTTGTATCCATGTTGACAGCTTCCAAGTGAGGCACGAGACTTTATCTATATCCATTCGGTCCATTTTTGTTATAATACGACAGATTTAATCATCATGCATGTCATTGCGGATCACGGTATCTGTCCGGGCATAAATAGCAATAAGCACATTAATGGAGGCTTAGTGCCACTTCTATGATAGAATAGAGAAAAAACGATTCTCCTAATCGTCATCACTAATGGGGCTCGTCATGCCTGAGGAATGTTGGAGGTTACGGTGGAGGAGAATAAGGAGGCCGGTGGACACGCAGAATACAGCCGTACTGTGCAGACGGTTAGGGCCATATCTGTAGGAAAGAAATGGTAATCTTACCTTGTCAACACAACCAGCGATGGATCAATAGAAACGAGGACGCCGCCGATTAGCGGCGCCAACACTCCACCACTGCCGACATTTTAAGCATAATCAACAATTTCCGGGTCCACACTCACATTCTGGACAATGCGGATGCGGTTCCGCAAGCCGTCCCTCGCACTTCAGTGACGAATAGCTCTGGCGTCATGCTGATAAAAGGATGAGGAACAGTCGTTAGAATATAGGAAGAGATGAATACCCGTATAGGATGGACCACATAATCTAGCCGCATGGTGAGATGTCTGCCTCTGGGATAAAGGGGCCACTCACCGTAGACATCAAGGACATTCCCACCGTGGTGAGAACAATGTACAAATAACCAGATACGAGCGTGAAAGCAAAGCAACAGGCACCTGTTGCAAAGGTGGCACCAGCGAGCACCAGAGCCTTGCTCCAGCGATACCGAGGGGCAATATCTACAAGGTATGCACCAATCTATGAATATTATTAGATCCGTTGCGATTTAAAGAGGAGTATCTCACGAGGGCTCCTGGACATCCGCCCAGGGTGAAGACGACTACTTCCCACAGCGGGCCAACGAGTCCACTAGTGTCATCATCCATGCTTCCTGTATTGGGTTGCGATCGATATTCCAGTAATGTAGGGAGAAAGACGTTAAATATCGTATAAGCTACTGGTGGATCAGTACGAGTGCACCGGGACAAGCGAGAGATTCGCACCCAGTGCCATTGTCATCCAGATACCCCATATAAGCAAGGTTCTCGTCCGCCATTCGCCCGCTAAAAGTCCTGATACGCGTACATACCAAGCGTGGATCGGCCTCACGATCCACCGACGTGCAAGCATATAGGCCGAAGAAGATTTGACCGATGCGATGCTTGATTGTGAAGCCGCACGAACGCGCTGTAATGGCCTTCTCTCCCGAACCGGGGAACTGAGAAGCCGCTCTTCCTCCCCATCGCGAATGGCAATGCTCCGTCGTATCGTACTCGACCCCACATCCCCACCAGCCTCTTCGTGATCGTCGTCGACATCGGCTACGGTGATGCTCAGCTCGTCGCCGTTAAACCTTGCAATCTTGGCAAGTACTATGGCGGCCTCTTCCTTTTTACCTGCATGGACGAGGTACCGGGGTGATTCGTGCAAGCTGAAGAAGAAAAAACGTGCTAGAAACATGGCGACAGTCTTGGCGTGGATCTCGTCAGGAAGAGCTCCGGTGGCCAATAGCAACAAGATTACTGACAATGACAGATAGGACGAAGAAGAGATACTTCCAACCGTTGTTGTCCTTGTGAATGTCGCATGGTGGGGCAGTCGGGAGATGGGCATGCGCGCACGAGTTGCCCGGAATCACAAAGAGAGCCACCACAGCTGCTATGACCGAACCAAAAGAAAAGAAGACAGAGAGCGAGGTAAGAAGGTGCCGCTTTCGGCGAGGAAGAGTTTCCAGCGCAAATGTGCCGTCGGTAGGCATCGAGCCCTGCCGTGTTATCCGTGAATTTCATTTCAAGAAGCAAAAAAAGAGAGAAGCGACATACACCAACGGCGGTACCCAGCAGAAAGTTGGCGAGGCAGAGCGTTGGAAAGGTGTCGACGTAAAATGACAGGAATCCAAAGAGTGCCGAGAGGCTCAGTGTTAGATTGAAGACGGAAATACGCCCAAGGATATCAGATACTGTGGTTGGTGTCAATAACGATCGCAAGGGCATTAGGGCATCGGCATACGGGTTCCCCAGAGGAGCTGTTGATCTGTGGGTCAGTGGCGTCGGGACGATAACAATCAGTACGTACAGCTCCCATCATCATCCCGAAAAAGGTTGCAGAAGAAAGATAGCCGATGGAGGCGCTCGAGACAGCAAAGCTGACCTGGATGCGCGGGAGGGCGATTGCAACGGCTTGTAACCACATCTGGAGAGGAATAAGAGTGTAAATACGGGTTTGATGAAAGCGCGGAGATGCAGACATTATCCGCCGCCCAGCCTGGAATTGGCTTGTCAGACACGGGACCGAGGGCGAAAGACGACTTGCCTAAACCGCAAAGGGCTAGGAGAGTATACTGATAGCGACCTTTTGGATGTAATTAGAACACTAGAGCGTCACGAGAGCGGGCAGAGCTCGCCTAATCCGATATGATCAATAGTGCGGTCCAGCGGCGTCCCGGACGACGAGCCGGAGGATATCTGGGCATGAAATTCGAGATTATCTGCCGTCTCGGAGTCTGCCGCCGCTGCCATGGATTTGTTGCTGGTGTGGTCGAATCCAGCTTTCTATCAACTTGGACCTTGCCCTCGCCGCTCGTCGCAGAGCCCCGCTGTGCACTTTGCCAGCTCATTTCGTCCTCAAGACGCCCGGTCCAGTGGCAAAGAAGACTGCCAATTTCCTCTCGACGCCCTCGTCGCCGCCCTCTCGTCGTCCACAATGGGCGGGTGCTCCTCAGTCCCAGACAAGGCCCAGCGCGAGCGGTCAGAGGCCATAGACCGTCAGATTGAAGAAGACTCTAGACAGTTCAAGAAGGAGTGCAAAATTCTCCTCCTCGGTGCGTCCTCGAGCCCGCCTAGCGCTAGTCGCCATCGTACCCCCCAAGGCGACCAACGCCGTTGCCACTGGCCCCGAAAAACCAGAATAGCTGACACTACAATCCTTCTCCGCAGGCTCCGGTGAATCCGGTAAATCGACGATTGTCAAACAGATGAAGATTATCCACCAGAATGGGTACACGCACAACGAGCTACTGTCCTTTCGACCCACCATATTCCGCAATCTCGTAGACTCTGCGCAGGACATTGTCCTCGCCATGCGCAAACTCGGCGTAGACCCCGCGCTGCCAGAGAATCGCCAAAATGCCGAGAAGATTATGGACTACCGAGTCGATGCCCTCCTTGGCCTTGCCCAACCGGCTGTAGGAGCTTTGCTAGGTTCAGCCATGCATGCTGCGAGGAACGGTCGCGACCGCGACGACGAAGACCCGTACGACCGACCGTCGAGGAACATGATCATCTACCCTCCTCGCGACCCAAAAGCGAGCGCGGAAGCAAGCAAAAAGATTACATTGGACGCAGAGATTGCACAGGCGATTCATGCCCTATGGGCAGACCCCATTATTTCCGATCTAATGGACCACTCGAGCGATTTCTACCTCATGGACTCTGCCCCTTAGTACGTCAAATCCCTTTCCACGAGGCCATTGTCTGACATCCTAGTAGCTTCTTCAGCGAAGTTCTTCGGATAGGCGCGCCAGACTACGTGCCGAACGAAGCAGACGTCTTGCGGGCACGTGCAAAGAGTTCTGGTATCGCTGAGACAAGGTACGCGGACAATTTCCGGGGCTTGCCGCTTTCTTTGTTCTCAACGCTCGGCCTCCATACTACAGATTTAACATGGGTCAACTTTCAATACACATGTTTGATGTGGGAGGTGAGTCTACACCTTGTTTTTGCATTCTCCTGTGCTTATCTTCCCCTCCAGGTCAGCGGTCCGAGCGCAAGAAATGGATACACTGCTTCGAGGCAGTCACGTCCATCATCTTTTGTGTCGCCCTGAGCGAGTACGATCAAATGCTTCTCGAGGCATCGGGTCAAGTGAGTCGTGGTGGCGTGGCTACTGGGCGTCTATTAACATTGTTGGCTAGAACCGAATGCTCGAGTCTCTCGTCCTTTTCGAGTCTGTCATTAATTCACGGTGGTTCGCTCGAACATCTATCATCCTCTTCTTGAACAAGATCGACGTGTTCAAAGCAAAGCTTCCCCGTGTTCCGCTGGAAAAGTACTTCTCAGACTATGCGGGCGGCTCCGACGTGAACAAGGCTGCAAAATACATTCTATGGCGGTTCATGCAAGTTAACCGCGCTCGACTGAGCATTTATCCGCAGTATGTCTCACACGTCTCGGGTTTAAAGGCCGAGTTACTGACACCCGGGCAGTCTAACCCAAGCCACGGATACTGGAAACGTCCGACTCGTGTTTGCCGCGGTCAAGGAGACTATCTTACAAAACGCTTTACGCGACTCCGGCATTCTCTGATTTTGGACGGTGCCTGTGTACCCCAAGTTTTTTTCGCGCTCCGTCACCCTCACATTCTCTCGCCTCGGCTCTTCTCGTCGTCCAAAAAATTGGACATACACCTGTATTCGAAATCAGTACAGCCAAGCTCTCTCCAAAGAGCCAAACGTCTTGTTACGGCTATGGTCCTTTTGCTCTTCTACCACCAATTTCTCTCTGCAACACTCACAATATCCCTCTCCTCGTCGCATCCTTCTCGCTCCTTTTATCTGCCGCGCTGGCTGCTGTATGACTACGTATCTCTCGGGTCCCCATCTCTCTTTTCTAGCTCTGCCACCCCAGACTCTCGGGTTTCTTGTGTTCGTACCCTTTTCTCCTTACCGTACCTTCACTCCTCTCGTCTACATTCGAATGCTTTCCCCTGCTCCGCCATTCCTCACTCGCTCTGTCAACAGAACCGATTTCCATTCCTTTTTATCTATCACCCTCCCCGAGGATCCTCAGGCATAGCGTCAATTCTGTTCATTAGGTTGCAATTCAAAGCATGACACGGTTTCACAGCTGGTATCGAATACAAATATGGTTCAAGAAAGTGTGCTGGCGATAAGACCCGGTGGGAGCGGGCTCAACTTGAGAGAATGTCCATGGCTCTTCGCTTCAATATTTCTTCTAGGCGTTCAATTGTCTTTTGTCGTTGTCTCATGAGCTCCCCCAGCACGCGCACCTCGTCTCGTTTGAATTCAATGCTCTTGCGGAGGTATGAAGCATACTCTCTGTCCAGTATCGTATCCGCAAGCGTTTTTCTCGCGGTAAGGACCTCGGTAAGGTTGAATCGTTGGTCCTCAAAGGAAGGTTGCTGCTCGTCTGAAAGCGACTCGTAACTCGTTGCATCCGTACGAGCGGCAATCGGAGTCGAGGACGAGATGGGGGATTTGTGCATTTCATTGTCTTCCAGAAGGAGCTGTGAAAGGTCAGGGATATGCGATGTCAGTGGAAACCTCTCAGCGAGCTCGTTTAGCATATGCTGCCATCTTCTGATCATTGCCGGGCTCTTCGAAGCGTGTTTGAGAGCAGCGTTGTAGGCATGGATGTTAGAAATATCCGCCAAAGAGTTGGCGATGGACAGGTCGAGCCCTTTCGTGGGAGAGTTGAAATGGGCCAATTGCGAAAAGCGAACGTGGTACCCTGGCGCATCCTGGGGTTGCATTTTCAGTGGCGATGACCATTCGTCGGCGAATGAATTCTGTGAATCGATTGGGGTGGCAAGACTTGGAGTTCTAGGGGTTATTGGACTCAAAATAGCTATAAAACACGTGAGTAGAAACCTTGGCCAATTTAGATAGGTCTTCTGACCTTCATAAAGGTTAGAAGTCGCCTGTGGAGAGACCGTAGGCTCGAGTTCAAAATCAAATGGTGGGAAGAATGGAGGCTGCAGATTTCTAGTAGTGAGCGAGGAATTTGTCTCATTGTCTTTACTAATGGTGAACTTTGGCCCGTGTTCGACAGTTCGCCCCACTTGCGCGGATATCGATCGTCGATGTGGGACGGATGGCTCAGAGCTCGAGGTGCATGGGTCTGACACGGCTCGGTGACGAAAATCCACACGTCTTTTCATCCATGGCGTGTGTCCTGGTCGCCCAACTTGATAGTGCGGCAGAGGTGTCGTCTTTTGGGCTTTGTCAGTAGGGTCGAAGGCGGAGGGGATATCATCCTGAAGCAACTTTGGCGGTGTTTTGGGGTACATATGAAGGCGCTTGAGCTGGTCAGACTTCGTCGCATTGGTGAAAGATGCAAGCCATTCCGCGAGTTGGGAATCAGCTGTGGTGTCTTCATAAGATTCGTCGTTCGAATCGTCATCTGAAGACACTTCAAGGAGTTTTGCGAGCGTATCGTGATCTGGTCTCGCAGGCGTTGGTGGAATACGGCGTGGCGGATTATTTTTGGGGACTACAGGCTCCATGGCCACATCCTCTGCTTCCTCTTCCACATAATACTCGTCAATTGTGCTGTCCGGATAGTGCAGGATACGTGCTTGGATATCGTCCTCATCAAACCGTGCGCGTAGTTGCTGCAGAAGCTCAGCGACAGAGACTTCGTTCTCGTCTTGTATTGTGACAATTTGGCGCATCTCTGCTCGTGTGCGAGATGGAATTGGCGTAAAATGCGCCATGGCCCAGGTTTGACCGAGTCCAGGGAAGTTTGACCACCTTGTCTTTTGGAGCCAGCCATAAGCTTTGTTGATTGACCAGTGTATGCGTCTTTTCAGACCAATATCTGGTCTCACAAACTCAATGCTATCAGGGGATATCGGACTGTAATCTTACCTCCACACACAATGGCAGACTACGAAGCTTGGACACGAGAACAGCTCGTTGAGCGCATTCTTCAGCTCGAATCGAAGAAAAAGCCGACAGCACAAACCGAAAACGGTCCAACATCTCATCCTAACAACCCAAGGCTCTTCAATTTTCAAGCATACGCCCAGCGCAAGATCGCTTTGAAATTTTGCTACCATGGCTGGGATTACAATGGGCTCGCATATCAAGTAACTCCAACCCCACTTCCTACCGTAGAAGGCGTCCTCTTCGATGCACTTTGCAAGGCGCGATTGATCGACAGAGAGGCAGGATTCGAAGGATGCGACTGGTCACGATGTGGGAGGACTGACCGAGGCGTTAGTTCGGCAGGACAAGTCGTCGCTCTTCGTATGCGATGCTCTCTGCGACCAGTGGAGACAGTTCAACCCTTCGAAGAGGCAGAAGTCACCCCGCCAACCCAGCCGTCCACAAAATCCGAGCCTCCTGAGCTAGAGGTAAAGTACATTCAAGTACTGAATCGTATTCTTCCTCCGAGCATACGAGTACTCGCCTGGGCGCCAGTGGACGACACCTTTTCCGCAAGATTCAACTGCCGGTATCGACATTACAAGTACTTTTTCCAGCCGTTAAATCCTCCAGCATCCCCACTAAACATTGATAAGATGCGAAACGCCGCGTCTCTACTTGTGGGCGAGCACGACTTTCGAAACTTCTGCAAGTTGGACGGCAGCAAGCAGATTGAACGATACGACCGTAGAGTCGTATCAGCAACCATTTCCCGACTCACATCACCGACAATTCAGGGTGAGAAACCGATGTACGTCTTCGACTTGGTTGGGTCAGCCTTCCTCTGGCACCAAGTCCGGCATATCATGGGGGTTCTCTTCCTGGTTGGTCAAGGACTCGAAGATGCGAGCATCGTCAATGCACTCCTCAACACAGACTCGTCGCGCCCATCATTCGACCCTTCACTCCCTTTATTAGAGTGCAGACCCCTGTACGATATGGCGGAGGGTTTGCCTCTAGTGCTCTGGGAGTGTGGCTTTGATCAGAAGGATATAAGATGGAGAACAGATGAGTGGGATGGAGACGGGGAGGTACCAGCGTTGACTGGAACGTCTTCCGTTCACTTGCTCGAGACTATGGAGTCGAGCACCGAGGCCACCGACATCAAAGGGATGATGTTGAAGCATTTTCAGCAAGTTGCCTCTCAATATCATCGTCATCCAGACGTTGGAGCAGATAGTGTTGTACGCATACAGGCCGGGGGTGGAAGGATTCGGCATGTGACTCAATACCTGCCGCTCCTGAAGCGCAAGCGTGGCCCGACTCCAGCCGATGTCAACGAAAACTGGAGGAAAGGACATGCGCATATCTTGGCGCGTCGCGGAGTCAGAATCCATGGGGACGACGAACAGCAGGGCGAGTCTGAATAGTATGTCTTATGATTCTCGCATGCGGACAAAAAGCTGATTAGAACAGGAGTATTATTGCCTATCTATAACCGGGATACAATACAGCTTATCATCTAACGATACAAGTTGGATATAGATAACTCTGGTGCAAGAGTCGGAGCTGCGGGAATTGCGATTAGACTCGGTAGACATCTCTGTCGTGCGGCTTCATTCCGAAAAGGCGACGCAAGTCAAACTACAAATTGTCAGGGTAAGAGTGGTTGAATCACAATGTACTCACATGTCCAACATCTGAGTGCGAATGGCGTCTGCGACTTGGATTCCCGTAGGTGACATGCTCACTGTCGCGTCCACGGTGCTCGTGGTGATGGCGGTCATGGTAGTGTCTGTCATGATGGTGATGTCGGTCCCTTGCGGCGTCATACGTCTCGTAGTCGTGGTGGTGGTGGCGTGGGCTCCCAGAGGATGTTGGCGCGTAGTAGTATACGGTGTTTGATCGGTGGTGAGGCGTGTTCTCCACATAGTATATGTTAGAAGGCCGGCCTGACCCACTCACAGAGGCGCGACGGCCGGTGGTGTAGTAATACGTGGGCTGTCCATGATGCGACGAGCTCGAGTGAGATCCCGAGCGACTTCGACCACTGTGACTCGTCGCGTGATACGAGCGAGACGGCATATGACTCTGTGCCGGAGCGCTGCTCGAAACCACATATGTAACGGGTTGTCTGGAGTGATAAGACATGTTAGGAGAAGGGTTGCAGCAAGTTTATCTTTAGCCGTGGGTGCGGCTTTTGCGGTCCTTTTATGTGCGAGACGACGTCAAGAGGAACCAGCCTCGGTGGGGCTCGTTGCTTCAAACTCCCGAGTGGCCTTCGCAGCTAATTCGGACAATTTATACGATTCATGGAGCAGGTTTACTTCACTCAGTGCCAGTACTTCTGAACATAGGGAGCTGTAACGCGCCACGCTTTATCCACCGCTGTGACGATAGACTCCGGGAGGGGTCCCTTTTCTAAATCTATGAGATTCTGAAAGGAAGAGTTGATAAGCAGACACAATAGATTGTCAATCCTCCTACTCACTTGCTCCAAATGTACCGTCTTGCTTGCTCCGATGATCACCGCATCGCCAAACTCCCTGCAGGAATCCATGAGGCAAGCGCTAATGTACGTGTGGAGGTAATCTTGCCTCTTCATCTGACTATGGTGGGACATCCAACGCAACGCGACCTCGGAAATCGTCAAGCTCTCGTTAGCCGCGGCATCTGCAATAATGGAGAGCGCTTTGAAGTTGTGGTCGTTCCAATAGCGTTTCCTGTAATTAACAGACTGGCTGGTTCCTTTGGAGTCATCGAAACGAGAACCTGGCTCGACCTGAGAGGTGGCATCCACATAACGACCTGAAGTGATGTCAGCACATTAAAGGCTGTATACTGCGTCACTCACCTGTAAGAAATCCGCCGGAGAGGGGATTGTAGGCGTAAAATGCGATCCCGACTGTGACGACAGTGAGCGAATGAGCATCATTACCAGGCAGATAGCGAACATTTGCGAAGTGCTGGAAATAATTCGGGCTCGACTGCACGATGAATTGCGTTGTAGATTCCCTGAGGCACGGGACGTAAGCCTACTCGTTCCGAAGATTGGGCGGTCGACCAACCTGATACACTGTAGGTTGGATCCAGCCGTTGATTCGGCACAGTGTCACTATTTCTGCAACCTCCCAGCTAAGTGATATTTGGACTTAGCGCCTTGAAACAATGCCCGGGCTTACGACATGTAGTTAGAGATACCGAGCTGCAGCCATGTCAGTGCGAACCTCGTGGACGTGACAAAGGAGCACCTTGTCGAATTTCCCCTCTTTGTACAAATCGTCTACTGCCTTGAATGTCACTTCCCATGGGACCGAACGATCTGGAGCGTGGAGGTAGAAGAGCTCGATTTTGTCAGTGCGCAGAGCATTCAAAGAAGCTTGGAGTGTCTTGCGTAGATCCTCTGGCGTATGTCGCATATTCATAGACGGAATCGGATAGAGCTTGGTGTCGACAATGAGACCCCGTTCTTTCCAACCAATCTATGTCCTTTCCATCAGAAGAATCCAGGGAGATCAAGGGACAGTACATCTCCAAGAAGGCGCTCCGAAGTGCCATTGGTGTATACCCGCGCGGTATCGACCTTCATGAGCGATGAGTACGCGCACACATAAGAGGTGAAAGCTCACTTTATTATGACCGTGTTTCTGAAAGACATCGAGGATCGCCTTGATCTCCTCCACCGAATGTGTCCGTGCAGACTCTGCTTCCTTGTCTCCGAACGTCATAGCGCCCTAGTATATTTAGTAAATTTCGTTAATATACTCGAGGGCCCGCACAAAGACTACTGCGAGTTCTGATTTCGTCGTCATTGCAACGGCCGATGTCAAGTTGATTCGACTCTTGCCACCGAGGTGACAGGGGGATTTGAGAGTACGATCACATTGCTCGAAATGATGTACAACATTTTGAAATGATCTATTTGCAGCGTTGGCTGACGATACTACGCCCATGTTCCTGTTGCATGGTCAGCGAGGCACAGTTGCACCATCTAGATCGTCGCACCTGATACTCTGCCTTGCTTATCCAGAGCTGATGGAAAGTACCCAGACTCGCAAGAATACTTCCACCTATCCAAGCGCTGTATTGGCGCTCAACTTGATTTCCAGAAGCGATAAGTTTGATTTTCTTGAACCGGGATCAGCTTTATTCGCACAAAAAGAGCAGTTCCTTACTCCTGGCCACATTTTGTTCAACTCATTGTTAAGACGTTCAGGGAAACCATTGAGCAAAGAACCACCCCCAGTCAGGATGATATTTTGAAGGAGCTGTGCCTTCAAATCTGGCTCGCATGCAGCCAAAGAGCTGTGAAGAACATGAGGGAGAGGAGGCGGAAGGTTGGGAGCGTTCTATGGCCAGTTGTGAGTCTCGATCAACCCGCAGACGAAGGACGTACGCCAAGAGCATCTTGAGAAAAGTAACATTCTCCAGGTAAAAACCGCTCTTGATAGAAGATACTCGTGAATCCGTCTGGAAACTCGTATTGCTTTCCGGCACGAGGAATTCCTTGTCTGCAGCAATGAGTAACTTACAGTTTGGACGTATACCTACTCACTGGGTCGCATAGGAAATGTCAAACACACCGCCAACAGCCATTCGCCATTCTTCCAATTCGCGAGCGTTTGACCAGGCACTCCAACTTTCGGTTGTCTTGGACATTCGATCCTCTCGGAGTGTAACCTTTGGAGGCGTGTCGAGCGGCACGGGCATTTTGCTGGCGATCAGTTGATGGGAGATCAACCTAACGCCCCGCTTCATGAGTATTTGGTTGGAACTGAGATGTTGAAGTACAGAGAGTGCAGAACGTTGAATCCCTGTAAATCTCAATAAGTATATAATGGCGAACAGAGAGGGAAAAAACCTTTTCTGAGCACGAACCCGTCGACTACGGGGACAACGCTGCTCCAGTAGCTCCCAATATCCACGACTAGTGCGGTTCCTTGGCCGGCAGCGAATCTATTATAGCCACGTTCAGTATCTGTGTGAACTATATTGCTGTACATACGAAGTGAGGACCCCAGAGTTGGCAATGTAAAACGCTGGGACCTTGAATTCTTCAAACAGAATTTCTGCCATACGTTCCCTATTTGCCTCTGTGTTCCATGCTGGTTCGGTCACCAGCACTGGGTGGTCCGCGGGGTCACAACGAAGGGTTTCATTAAAGGCATGGTTGATGAGGTTGGGTACATATGTAAAGTCTTCCACTAGAGAACTCAAATGAGCAGATTGCTTGGAGTGGAATGTATTGTAAACCTACAAACACCCTCGCGAAAGGGGCTTCCGACCTCTTGGTTTGCCTTCCAGAGCGCTGGGCCTTGATGTCCCACCCAGACCTTTCGCGTTGTCATAGAGCCATCTCCTTCGGACGATGGTTCATCCCTGTATCCGTATGAAGAGGAAAAGACGGCTTTAGGCGCGTCGTCGCCCGCGTAACCGGCACGAACGGTATGAGCACCAATGTCGAGAACAAGAGCGGACACGTCGTCTATAAGCCGAGTAAGTCAACGACACTACAATCTGGACGCGCTACACTCGCCTCCACCGAAAACTACCATGGCGCGGTCGGCTCCAAGTTTGTGATGTTTGGCACAAGCGTGTCTTGGTCTCTTTGAAAACGGCGCCACAATGCCTACGCCTGCCACTAACGGCACCACAAAAAAGCGAAAGAGGCAGCACGATGAATCTTTAGAAGTGGAAGCGCTGCCAATGGAAACCACTCTGGACATTGCGTCGGATGGCGAGGGACCAGAGGAAAGCGACGAAGAAGAGCTAGAGGACTTTCCAGAACTCGATACGGAAAGTTCAGGTGGCACTGAAGGATCCGAAGATGACAGTATCTCGACGGAGCAGCAAGACGAGGCAAAATCGCAGCCTCGACCAGGGGATTTGGTCGTCTCGTCCATTACTGGCAGGCCAAAACGAGTGTTTCCAGAGATTGAGCCAGAGTATGACTCAGACTCGTCCACAGAAGACGTGAGTGTCTACTTCATACGGTGGAAAAAAGCTACTAACTGGATGGCCCAGGCACCCAATCGAACAGGAAACATCCCATCACATTGGTACGATGACCTACCTCATGTAGGATACGATATAAATGGAAACAAGGTCCTACGGCCTGCCAAAGGGGATGAACTTGACAAGTTTTTGGAGACGGTGGAAAACCCGGAAAGTTGGTCGGTACTCCTCGAAGCCATACGTAAATTCACTCTTCACGTATTACATATAGGACCTCTGCTTTTGATCGCAATCTGCAGATGGATAAGCCGCTGTCGACCGAGGAGCTTGACATCATTCGTCGATTGTATGCTGGAGAGAACCCAGATGCGGGCTATGATCCATACGAGCCCACCGTAGAGTGGTTCACTGGCAAAGGCAAAGAAGAGATTATGCCTCTCAGCGCGGCACCGGAACCAAAGCGACGGTTCATACCGAGTAAATGGGAGAAGCAGAAAGTATGTAATCCTCCTCATTCCAAAGCCTTTGTAATCATGGTTTAGATTATGAAAATTGTCCGTGCTATACGTCAAGGTAGGATTGTGGGTAGCAAACCCAAAACAGTGGACAGCGGCCCGCAATTCTACTCCATCTGGGATACACCCGGCCCAGATCATCCACCACCGGCTCCGGCACCGAAACCGCGTTTGCCTACCAACGCAGAGTCGTATAACCCACCAGAGGAATACTTGCCAACACCCCAAGAAAGGAAGGACTGGGAAGAACAAGACAAGGAGGACAGAGAGCGAGATTTCCTTCCTGAAAAGTACTCTGCGCTCCGACTGGTCCCTGCCTACCCTCGGTTTATCAACGAGCGCTTTGATCGACTGCTCGACCTGTATCTGGCACCACGTATCCAACGCAAGCGACTCAATATTGACCCAGACTCGCTGATCCCGACTCTGCCGTCGCCGCAATCTCTCCGCCCATTCCCCACATATCTCACCCTGCACCAACAGCATCACTCGAGTTCTCGCGCTCGGTGTCTTTCGATATCCTCGGACGATGAATGGGCGATTTCCGGCGATGAAAACGGGGTTGTAAGCTTATGGGAGACATTCACCGGCCATGAAGCGGCGCGATGGAGGTTTGGTCAGAAAATTGGGAGCCTTGCGTGGTGCCCTCGGAAGGACGTGTCATATTTCGCCGTAGGACTGTACGTTTATTCGTCTTTTTCTTTATGCGCCTCCCCGCCGGTGACTATCTCGGTGGTCTACGCGGTAGAAAACGATTTCTCCTTCGATCCGGACGGCATTCTTCCGTCGATTCATTAGCCACCTTCACACACACCCTCTTTTTCTGTTCCCGGCTACTCACATCACATTCACAGAGAAGAAGAAATTGTGTTTGTTTTTCCACCTTACGTCAAGGGTACCGTCGCATCGGCGACCAAGGCGTTGTTTGATGCCGATTCCGGTGTGACAAGCGGCATCTCAGTCTCTTCAGGAGCCAGTCCTGTTTCGTGGTCAATACGAAGAGGAGGGCCCAACTCGCAGGGCCAAGACGCATCCTCCCCTTCGGCGGATATCCTCCAAAGCGTCGCTCTCCCGCGTGGATCCGGCAGAGTGACCCAAATCACGTTCCATCGCAAAGGCGACTATCTCTCCTCAGTATGTGAGTCGCCGGCTCGTTATCTCCCACGTATCCCACGCTTCGGGCTCGATTCGCGCCACTGACTTTACTCTCCAGCCGTGGCTGGCGCAGGGACCGGCCAGAGCTCAGTATGGATTCATCAAGTGAGCAAACGGCACTCGCAGGCCCCTTTCAAGTCTATCAAGGGTTCTATCCAACAAACGCAGTTTCACCCGCTCAAGCCCCACTTTTTCGTTGCCACACAGCGCTATGTGCGACTGTATGACCTGGCAGGGCAGACACTACTCAAAACGTTTTTAACGGGGATCAAATGGATCTCGAGCTTTGACGTGCACCCGTCCGGGGATCATTTTGTAGTGGGCGGGTACGACCGCAAATTGTGCTGGTTTGACCTCGAGTTGAGCGACAAGCCGTACAAGGTGCTCCGATACCACGCTCGCGCGATCAGGGCCGTGCGCTTCCACCCGACGTTCCCGCTGTTCGCATCGTGCTCGGATGATGGCTCAATCCAGGTATTCCATGCGAGAGTATACAACGACCTCATGTCCGACCCGCTCATCGTGCCGCTCAAGATCCTCCGGGCCGCGCCGAGCATGCGTGTCCATGTTGTCACGGACGGTCTGGGCGTACTTGACATTCACTGGCTCCATTCGCGTCCTTGGCTTGCGAGTGCCGGTGCGGATGGAGTCGTAGCGACATGGTGTCCATAACTAGGCTAGAACACCGCTTCTTAGAGTTATCTGGGACAAGTCAAACGAGTTATCTGTACGCGCTTAAAGTTATCTTTGTTTTGGCGCTTGGGCTGGACAAACGAGAATTGCAAGATGAATTTCATGTGATACACTGACTATAGCGTGGGCACTGAGGACGCTCTCAGACCTTGGCGAGAACAATGGCCGTCCTGGACGGGATATAAACCTGTGAGAATGGAAAGAGTCAGTCTCGGAGTAATTTGCAGGCATGCAAACGAGTCAGCCGACCAGCAAAGGCCGAATTTCAGCACAGTGCAAGCTCCAAGGGAGCCGCGAAGCGCTCCGGGAGACGGCACGAGAGACCCAAAAGCCCGAACGAGCTCCAGCCACTGGGCTAGCTCCCAAGGAAGACTCGGCGGACAAGGGTTACGTCAATCCAGTGACCAAGGGATGGACCGACTACCGAGCTCCCCCAGCCATGTCGTGAGTGCCATCGGGATAACCCATTTATGGACGACCGAAAACCCATTATCAAAGATAAGTAGACGAACCTGGATATAGTTAGCCCGGTTACACCACGGCTCCGGGGTCGTGAAGAAGCGCGACGCTTCTACGTCGATCCGCTCCCAGCCACCAAACTTCTTTTCATCCGAGCTGAGCACAATCGCGTATTCGCCGGGCACCTCGACACCAATCCGGTAATCGGTAAACGAACTCGAGTGGTGCAAGTTGAAGATGAAGACGAGTCCGGCACGTTCAAATGAGATCACCTTGTCGCCTTCGTGCTTGAGCGAGACAAAGGCCTAGTGAATGCAATGTCGATGGACAAAGAAAGAGGGTCAGCGTCTGAAGAAGCAGTGAGACAATACGTACAGGCGGCGCACTCAGCCATCCATACTTGTCCTCGCACCAATTCATCGCGATATCAAACTCGTTGAGATATTTGTAGCGCAAGAGATTGTCGTCGAGAATATTCCACTGCCGACGTGCATATTGGAACGAGTTGCCATTGCCCTCGCGGGGAAAGTCGAGCCACTATCCTCCATGAGTGTTTGTCTCGAGTAATAGAGTGTGCGTACTCACTTCTGGATGTCCAAATTCGTTTCCTTCAAAGTTGAGGTAGCCCTCGCCACCGAGAGCCTGTGTGAGCAACCTACGACCGCGTTAGCGAAACTGATGGTATATGAGCTATATACGCACCTGATGAGCTTGTGAAGCGCAAGGCCACGATCAATAATAGGTGTGCGCTCCGTAAGGTCGGACATGTTCGTATCTACCCAGATACCATCCGTCAGCCTCTGCTGTCGCTTTGAATAAAAGTACGCACACATCTCCTTGTCCATCAACCAAAACGCAATCGTCTTGTCGCCGACCAGGGCCTGATCATGGCTCTCTGCATACGCAATGCTCTTCTCGCCCCAACGACGATTCTCGAGCGTAAAGCACACGTTGCCCATATCCCAATCTTCATCCTTTTTCTCCTTGAGCATCTTGATCCACATGTCTGGGACAGCCATAGCCAATCGATAATCGAATCCGAGTCCACCAACGTCGGTTGGGATGCACAAGAGCGGCATGCCACTCACGTCTTCCGCAATGGTGATGATACCCTGACCGCCATGGTCGGGATAAATCTCTCGTAGCATCGAGTTGGCGAGCATGAGATAGACGACAGCCTCGAGATCGACGCTATCTCCAAAGTACTCGTGGTACCCACCAGAAAAGCCCGTGCCAATCCCGTGGTGTGTACAGCATGGACGTGACGCCGTCAAAGCGGAATCCATCGAAATGGTATTCCTCGATCCACCAGCGTAGATTGCTGAGCAGGAATCGGAGAACCTCGTGATGGCCGTAATTGAAGAGTCGTGAATCCCAGAGCTCGTGCCGTCCTCTGCCGCCTTCGTGGAAATAGAGATGGTCGGTGCCGTCGAACAGATTGAGACCGTCGAGCACATTCTTGCACGCGTGGGAGTGCACGACGTCGAGGAGAACGGTGAGACCCATTCCGTGTGCCGTGTCGACGAGCTCTTTCAAGTCTTCTGGCGTCCCATAGCGAGAGGAAGCGGCGAAGAAGGAGGTGACTTGGTATCCAAAGGCTACGAACATTGAGCTACGAGTTAGATGTTAAAGAGAGAGCGTACAGGCATAGTATGCATGCTCCATGATGGCCATGATCTGAATCGTATTGTACCCCAGTTTCTTGATGCGCGGGAGAGTATCGCGTGTAAACTCTTTATAGGTACCGACGCGTTTCTCTGGCGTGGAGATACCGACGTGACATTCGTAGACTTTGATCGCACGGGGCTTGACTGGCCGTGTATTCTTCCACACATGCCTCTCGTTTTCAGGTGGATTCCAAAACCGAGCGTCGTACACGGGGGAAACGTCCAAGTCTTGCGTTACGCGCTTGATCCAGGCTGGAAGTCGCTCGATGCGTTCGCCAGAGGGCAGGACCATGGAGATTTTAATCTTGAGTCGTGCGGGATAGCGGGCTTGCCGTCTGCAGTCGGTGGAATGGTAATTTCCCAAACGCCAAAGGCATCACGAGTCATGGGGTGTGAATCCCTCGACCAGTCGTCTTACATCATTGTCAATGTCCAACTCAATAACGAGACGAGAGGGATGACGTACTAAACTCGCCAATGAGACTGGCCTTGACAGCATTGGGAGCCCACTCGCGGTATACAATGCTATTATCGTGACCAACGTTGAGCCCAAAGCGGTCGTAGCCACGCGTAAAGCGTTCCATGCCGCCTTCTGTGGCTTCAATCTTTTGCTGCCAGTCGCGCATCTGACGGTAGCGAGTTGCAATAGCTGGGATGTGTGGTTTGAGGTAGCCATCAATCTTGAGCACGGGCTTTGGGTCAAAGCTCATCTGCTCGAGAAAGGGGAGGTGCGATGGGTCTGGAGAAGTGTGGTTCATGATTTGAAAGGTGTTGTAGTGTATATTCTATGGGTGGTCTATCGCCGGCGGTGTGTCTATGGGTAGGGCGTCGCCTTTGTCGAATCTGATTTCTGTGTGCGTGGGTTAAATACGGTTTGCTATCTGTTATCTGGATCCGAATCTGCTACCTTTTCGTCCTTCTAGGAAGGTCGCGGTCGGGTCCAAGATTTGGGATTGTGAGGATTTTGGGATTTGGGGCTAATTACGCCAATGGGTGCGCTTGCCCAATCAGGCGATCCCACTCGAAAACAGACAGAGGGCCCGCACGTTCACCGGAGTAATAAGTCTTATTCATTCAGCATCTCCTTTGTTTGCATTAAAGCCGCGGCCGGTAATCTTTCAAGGCAGAATCATGAGCCACATAGGCCGGAGACGTCGGACACTGTCATTTATCCCAATCGAGAAGAAAATTCAAGCAGAGTATATTAGTACGGTTTGGCAGGATAGATACGAACTAGTAAGCACGACGACAGACGACATAGCGGAACTAGGGGAACACAGATACAATCGAAGACGGCTTTGGGCGTCGACGGTGGATGATGGATTGGACAGCAAATAAATAGTAGGATGGGATTGTGGGTCATGGCAATGATGATGAAATATGCACATTATCTTTGGTATATAGCGAAGGGGGCCGAGTCGTGAGGTTGGGGAGGGTGCTGCTTTGCGTGCAACAACGCCGGGGAATAGCAATAGTCGTAGCAGTTCTGGAATTCTTGTTTTTTTCAGCAGTCATCATTCGAAAAGAGTCGTCGAAAAAAAAAAGAAGGGGGGAGCGAGTCGGCATGGGTCGAGGGTAGTGTCGATCCAACTTTTTTGTGGGAACAAAAGACCAGCTTTCTTTTGGTCGCGCTCTCTCTACCGATACTCTGCACCACAATCCCCAATCGTCGAGATGAGCTCGCGCCCACGGCTCTCGTTGAGAACGTCGGCGATCATGGCCCTCTCCTCGTCGTTTAACCGCCACCCAGCGACCGCAAGGTTATCCTCCGTGTTGTCGCTCACACCAAGTCGTGCACCAATAATGACCGCACCCACAAACTCGTCGTGATCGAGCACCCAGCGCGTGGCAACGTTTGCGATGCTGACACGACGTGCGTCGCCCGTGCTTCTTCGGTCTGCAATCGTACGCAAGACGTGCAATAGGCGTTGGAAGAGGGACCAGGTGCCCCATGCAGACAGGATAATGTCCAGATACTTTTTCTGAGACGGCGTGAGCGGGTCCCGCAGTGTAGGTTCGTCAAAATAGCGGTTCGGTTCGGGCGCATCGAGCCATTTGTCCGACAAGAATCCACCACACTACCTTTTGTGAGTCAGGTGACCTTGATTGGAATAAAAGACGTACAAGAGTTCCATAGGTGAGCAATTTGAGGCCGTGGCGTTTGCAGACATCTGCCATGCCATACAGCGGACGAACGTCGATCAACGAAAACTGAAATAAAAGGTGAGTGACGGGGGGAAAAAAACCCAAAAGTGGAATTGTGAAACACACCTGGACCTGGTTGGTGAGAATCACGCCTGGACCGAGGGACGCGCAGATTTCGTCGACCCGGATCGAGTCAAAATTAACGAGACCAATACCACCGATACGCACGCCATCCTCGATTTGCTGCAACTGTTGCTGTTGCTGCTGATGTACAACGAGTTTTTCGGCTGCTTCATGTTCGAGTAGGGCAAGCTTGGCGGGGGAAGGGGCACCGCCAAACGAGCTCGAGGGGGACGAGTCGTAGGAGCTCGAGGGGGACGGGTAGCAGTCAATCTTTGTCGTAATCGTCAATCCTCCTTCTTTTTCCTTTTTTTCATGGTGGAGAGACGAGGCGGCGCGGAGACTGCTGGTGAGGGTGGAGACGGACGAGGGCGAGCCAGAAGACGAGGTGGTCAACGTGGTCGGGCTGGTGGTAGTGGTGATGGTGGTGGTGGTGAGACGCTTTGCAGACGAGGTGTGCAAAGTGGAAGCAGGGTAGGCAAGCTGAGTGGCCGGGTGTCGGAGAGATGCGAGAATGTGAAGGGCGTGGAGGTAGCGCTTGTCAGCATAATCCTGCCAATGAAACTGTAAATGGAACCAGTTAGTTTTGGGAATAGCGGTAAGAGGAGGGAAATGAATAAAACGCCGAAAAAGATGATTGCCGGAAGAACAAAGAGGAAAACCGAAAAGTCTACTCGCCTGCAAGAAATCGACGCGTGCACAGTCTTTGGACTTTGTGGCGGCGTCGACGCGCATGCGCTTTGCTCGCTCGCGGACGGCATCGAGGACATAGTCGCGGGTGAGGGGCTCTTGTGGAGCTTTGAAAATGCACCATTTTGTCGCACCGACAACATGTTCTCCGAGGTCGTGTGGGAGCGATGAGCGAAAGTTGCCCTGGGGATTAGATTAAGTGCCAAGGCATATGCATCAAAGGCCCAAAGCACGTACAAAAAGCTGTTCAGCGCTGCCATAGTGGTCGGCTGTGATTATCGCGATAAAATCAGAGACGGAGCAAAAGGCAGCAGGCGAGACGAGAACGCACCCTAAGGTCCACGGGTCCACGGGCCCACGTTGAGATCGATGGGTTTCGTCAGTTTGATAGAGTGCGACTCGATGGGTGTACTGACCATGTCTAGAATAAGAAACGATCAGTAAGATTTGAATCCACATCATCATCACCAGCCCAAAAAAAAAAAGACGTACCAAAGGCCACAAATCCACGGTCAACGTGCTTGCGCATCTCACGACGGATGCGGGCGGCGGGCGCTGTGCCCCAAGCTGGTGAAGAAAGCTGCCAGAGACCAGTCCAGAGTCGTGGAACGTCGATGGAGAGCTGGCCGTCATGGGCTCGTACAGCAGGGTGGCCAAAGGAGGACGAGGGCGTCGGGTAGGCTGGCAGAACCTCTGAATGTGCCCGGGAGAGGGGCGGAATAGCCAGCGTAAAGGATTCCATGATCCGTACTAAACAGATGGAGAGAGAGAGGGAGAGGGGGAGAGAAGGCGTCGGTGGCAGAACCCAAAAAAACAGAGCGTCTTTGGCCGGGCGGATTATATATTCTTCGCTGGGCGGCAATAACAGGACAACCCTGCGTCGTCGTCGTCGCCATCTCTCTCCTGTCGCCCGCCGTCCGATGAGTCGCCGACACACTAGTTGCCGGTGCGGGACCTGTTTTATTTATTATTATATTTTATATATATGTAAAATATTATTGCCGAATAAAACCTTGATAGGATCCGCGCCCGACCTTCCGAATTTGTTGGGCAAGGGCTCGGTCTCTCATCCTCTGTGAGCTCTGCCCGCATTTGCGCCAGTGCACGCACGGCTCGGTCTCATGCGGGGCAAATGGATACAATCCAGAGCGGGGGCGTGCACCCACCACCCATCTCAGCTCGCTCTCCTCCTCCTCCCCGCATGACCCGATCATCTTCTTATTCACCCATTTGCGCACCTTGGGATTATCGCGGATCTGCCAACTCGGGTCTCCCGTGGCGTCGATCGTCCAATGGCTGGTTGTTTGCACGTTAAACTGTAATCGATTGATATCATAGATTATCTCTTCGTACATTTTACCCTTGCCCCCCGGCAATCTCCTCTCTCTCTCTAGTGCAATACACATTCTCGCCACTCTCCGGCCGGACCATCTCCGTCACAAGCCCAGCCAGCCAGCCAGCAGTACAGTGAGTGTGAGCCCGGACTATTCCGCATCTCTACATGCGGTCCGGCTCTCTTCCTGTAAAACTGTACATCCTTCGGGCTCTTAGCTATTATGTCAACCTCCCTTGTCTGGTTTATATCCTATGCTGGTTTATTGCCATCCTCAGTCTTGCACACACTACGGATCCAGGATCCTATATGGCATTGTTTCAAGTAGATCATTTGTGTACACAAAAGTCTAAAAGGCGTATCCAACCACACCGTCTCGATTCCACATCGGCATCCTGGTCCATATGTTCAGGACAAAGTGTATGTGGACATATACCCTGACGTACCCACAATACTATACGAAATTAATCCCGACTCCGGCCACAGGTCCCTAGGGGGTGGCTTGGCGTAATGGGAGGATCTAGCCATCCATCGCAACTCGTCACTGCCGCCAATCGCCGTACTGACATATCTAGTCCGCGCAACTCGGAGCTGACAACGATCCATCCTTCCAAAATCGTTCCAATCTCTCCCATGTCCCTCTACCGACCCATGGGAGAACCACTCCCGATCCGGAAGACTCGTCCCTCATTGGTCAATGCGTCGACACGGATAGCGTCACCATCAGCACCATAAAAGCCCAGGCATCGTCCACCAAACTTTGAGACCACACTTTGTCCCCTCTTTGCTCATCGCCCAACTTCTCGTCTTCTACCCACCCCCTGTACTCAAAATGACCAAATCTCCAAAGATCGCCGTCATCTACTATTCGATGTATGGGTGAGTACTCTGTTCATCTTCAAATTGTCTCCGATCTCATGATCAACAGCCATATCAAGCAGATGGCCCACGCCGCCGTCGAAGGCATCAAGGAACAAGGCGGAACACCAACCTTGCTCCAATTGTACGTCCCAAAAATATGACGACTCTGTATCTCTCTCACCAACACGTTCACAGCGCCGAGACGCTCCCCGGAGAAGTTCTCGCAAAAATGCACGCACCCGCCAAGGACGAGAATGTCCCAGTCGTCAAACCAGCTGATCTTACGGAATACGATGCCTTTGTATTCGCTTTCCCAACGCGTTACGGCCGCGCCGTCGCTCAAGTCTCTGCCCTCTTCGACGCGACCGGTCAGCTCTGGGCCACGCAGGCTCTCAACGGTAAAATGGCTACCATTATCGTCAGGTACGTCTATCTGTTTTGTCTCTCTTCTATGGAACTCTGACCACGTATTTAGTACCGCAACGCAGCATGGAGGTCAAGAAACGACAGTCTTGACGACCATTCCGTACTTGGCTCATCAAGGCATGTCAATGTTCAACAAACAACCTTCTTCCCTAACCTCCCCACCAGGTATCATCTACGTCCCGGTCGGCTACAAGAACCAAGACATTATGAACATGACTGAAATTCTCGGTGGATCCCCCTACGGCGCCGCCACTTTGGCTGCAGGAGACGGATGTGAGTATCTCTCCTTCTCTCGCCTATTCACCTCTTAACATTTTCAACAGCCCGTCAACCCAGCGAGCTTGAGATCAAGGGTGCCAAGTTCCATGGAATGCATTTCTCCGAAATCGTTTCCAAGTACATCAGCTAGGCATCTAGATTGTACGATAGATAGAGTATAGCAGCACTTTTTGACAGCCTTTTGATTGCTCATAACGGCCCGTACGATGTATACATCGTATACTAAGTGCGTCTATACAAGTACTGCATGGCACACGAGAGACAGAATCCAAAAGAATGTGTCCTTGATAAGTAAAAACTAGCAAATCTGCGCATTGCGCGTCGGAAACACCACGCACGAAAAAAAGGCTTCTCCAACGCTGCTGCGCCAGATTCGCTTCTATGTCGCACGGGTGACCGTCAAAGTTGGATATATAATCGACTGTGTCCTTGTCGACAATGTCGGACTCCGTGCACGAATCGTTCGCTCGCCGTCATCCATACTCGTCGGTCGCTGGTAGAACAGCTCGACTGGGTCCGGCGTCGGCCCCAGCTCTCGTCCACCAGGGTAAACCGAGCTCACGACAGACTCGTTGCCACTCGTCCCCGGACGTGCAGCAAAGGCGCTTCCAGCTGTACTAGGTCGAGGGTCTGCAAATGGATCGTGCGCTTGAGAGACTGGACGGGCCAGGCCATGGTTGGCATAAGACTCCATTGCGCTGTGATACGAGTAGTGGTCATCCGACGACACACTCGGCATCCGCGTCAGCTGAGGAGAACCAGACGGTTGATGGTGACTCGTTGCCGTGCCATATTCTGCCGACGAGAAGGATGACAAGGTCGATCGGTCAGAGACACTCTCCAGTTTAGCGTCGGATCCAAATGTCGCTTTGCGCCACAACCCAGTCTGGCGTGCCGTCTGGTTTGGGAGAGGATGCCAGTATTGATCTTGCTGCGTCTTGTTGGCAACGGTTACGGGAGCTGGATCACTAAACGGATTTTCTGCACAATGTCAGCTCATGAACCCATACTCGGAAGTAGATACTCACCTGTCATCTGATCCTCACCACGGCTCAGGCGATATTGGGCATGGAACGACTTGGCACCTTCGAGGGCAGCCGTGAGCTGCGTCGGTGACACTCCATTCTCCTCTGTATGTCCTTGGTCGCTTGGCGGGAACGCAAATGGCGTGTAAGTTCCGGCATCGGGATATTGCCCTATTTTGCGCAGTGCATTCTTGTCCTCGATGATACTATCCCTCGAGCGCTTCTGTTGCTCAAACGCGAGGTCAAATGTTTGGTTGGAAACCATCGAGTTTGGCCTTCGTCCTGGCTCGGGGCTGGCGGCAGGTGCTGGTGGTAGCGGAAAGTTTAACCGGGTACCGGCCACACTCGCACTCATGCTAGGTTGGTTTGAGCCGACGAGCGCTGTCTGACTGTTCCGTCGCGCGTCGTGTGCCCATTCGTCGGACACGGATCCAAACGAGGATGCAGAGGTTGGTCTAGCTCGCTGAGATGCCTTTCTTCGCTTGCGTAGGATGAGGAGAGCGATGGAAATCCCAAACACGATCAGGAATACGGTGACAAGCGTACCAACGACGGCAGCAATTTTTCCCCTAGCCAAGATGGGTGAGCAAATGGGAGCTACGGCCCGGAAAGGACTCACGGCGACATGCCGCTGGATCCAGAAGCTCCAACGTAATCCGTGGGAGTGATCACTTCGGTAACGGTCGAAACAACGCCGTTCGGCAGCGTTGTCAAGTATGTTCTTGTAAGAGGTGCCGTGATCGTATGGAGGTTGCCTTGATGGTCTGTTACAACCTGGGGAGGAATCGTCGTGGTGGAACCTCCGTGGGCAAGATTGATAGGAAAGACGGTCCTGATTTTGAAGATTAAAATTAGGTGAGAATAGCAAGATTTGCTGTACATACCCGCCCATGGTCGTAGATGATCGGCTGGTGGGATTCGACGAAGCTTGCGAGGGCTGCGAACCACCAGCAACGGGCGTCGTCGGTGCAGGCGCTGCTTGGCTATTACTACTTGAGCTTGGGCTCGAACCGCCGTTTGCACTGCTCGATGAGGTGGGCGCAGGCGCGGGATTGTTCACGACATTGGTGGAACTCGTTGGGAGCACTGAGGTCGGCAGCGGGGACGTGGTGACCACAGTCGTACTTCCTCCTCCAACTAGTCCAACAACAAGTGTTTGTACCAGATTTCCGACGCCGCCTACGATTTCGCCGAGGAGGCGTTTACGGTTTTGGGGAAAAACGGCAGCTAGGTCGAGATCGAGTGCGTTAGCGTCCCCCGGAGATCTCTTTTGTGATATTTCGCGGTGATTACGAGCATGGTGAATCGAGCTCGAAAGCGCTGTTGGCGCAAATGCGAGCGAGACGATGAGCAGACGTCCGAATCCATGGCGTCGGCCACTCAGAGTCTGCATAACATGCATGTACGAGCCCAGTTACTCGTTGAGGATAAGAAGTATGCCTGAAATGAGCGTGATGGCCGAGGCCGTTGGAAGATTTGAAGCAGACGTGATGGCCAAGTTTAGTTCCTCTCCGCTCGAAGTGCAGAACTCACGGCGGCTTTTGTAAAAACCTTAAGTCGTTGGCCACTTGGCACTGACGAAATCGAATCAAAGAACTTTACGGGTCATAAATACAGTTTCCCCTTGTACTAGTCTACCTTTGAACTTGGAAGCCCCAGCGGTTGCCAGGTGGAGATGATACTTCCCACTCGAGCACAAGTGCCTTGCTCGCTCGGCTCTCCAAGTCCACGCGCCATTCGAGCCGGCCCTCCTTCATCCCTCCCTTGTCCCGCGCAGATTTGCACCAGCGTATCCAGACACCTTGCTCGACCTCGAGTTCTTGTCCTTCCTCCATTTCCGCGAGGCCAGCGGGCTTGGTGAGGACAACTTTGATGGCAGCTCCTTCCGCCACTGGGATCACGTCCCGGACTATCAACCCACGAACCGGCGGATCCTTTCTATTTGTCACCGTACAAGTGACCGTATACACGACCCGTTGTTGATTCTGCCCAAACAGATTGGTTGGTACGGGCAAGCGCTTGCTCTTCTGGTCATAGGCAACCCCGATCGTATAGTCGCGACCGAGGGAACATGTGAAATAGTCTCCAGGAGAGACGTGCTACACACATGAGCTACTGTGAATATGACGTACATTTGACTCACTGGTACTTCCGACTGAGCAATGAACCCTTCATCGAGGTAGACACTCATGCTTCCAGGAAGAAGATGCGTATCTTTAGAAGAGTTTTGAATTTTTGCCTGCGAGCAAGATGAGCAGTTCTGAGGAGAGAGTATGCCAAACGTACGTGGAAATATGCCCCGTTAATACCACGAGGAACTACCACTTGATCAATGCTCGAGTTTAGAGACAGTGTCGCAATAGCCACTTTGTGCGTTGATCCATCGCTGCGGATATTGACTTGACCGACGACCTGAAAGTTGGTGGCCATGCTGTTCTTTGAGGCAATGGCGTCTGGAACCTCGATTTGAGGAAGAGCTTCTGCTACACTCTCGGCTTCTCCTTCTTCCCCATCATAGTCTGCCAGATGCGTTTGCTGGCCGAAACCACTTGGGGCGGGCGGCAAGGGGGCACCAGCTGGGGCTGCGGCAGGCAGTGTATTGGCAAAGGCACCGAAAGAATTCGTGCTTTGTGCGTTGTTGTTATTGTTCTGGCTACTACCGAATAATCTGAATCCACCGGTCTGTCCAAAGAGAGCTGCTTGGGGAGCAGCGGCAACCGGTTTGGAGCCAAATAGGCCGCCGCTACCGGCGACAATCTTGACACTATTCAGAGTTGGAATTCTCGTCGAAAGCGAATCTGGGCTGGCAGTTGAAAGATTCAGGATGGCATCCGTCCAATCCTCTCCGGTTGATTGCTGGACGGATGCCCGATAGTGCAACGCAAACTTGTTCGTTGGCATTCCATCAGGACCAGTGACTGCACGCAAATCGAACATTGGCTTCCACGACGCTTTCTTGACCACTGCAATGATAAGACAACGGTTGAGTGCACGAGTGGCATACGTACAGTAAGTGAGCGAAATTTCTGCCGCGTGATCTGTGTCAGAAGAGATGGTGAGCTTAACTCTCATGTTACGGAGATGCGAGCTATCATGCTCCTCTGCAGGATCCTCGATTTCCTTTGCACACTTTTTCTCCAATTCGCGAAGGCGCAGATCGAGAGCACTCGTCTCCTCGTTATTTGTGAGACCCATACTCTTAAAACCGTGCAGAAAAGCGAAAAAATCATCGGGACTCATGTGTTCCGCTGATAGTGTGCGAGAATAGTTGACGAGCGCCATAGCCTGGTAGTCCAGTACTTTCTTCTGACTCGTCACAAGCGACACTTCATCTTCGAGCGCGATCAATGTCTCCGACTTGCCCGTGGTAGAATGGCGACCCCCACGCTTGGGTGGGATGCAGACGACGTCCGAGAGGATTGCATTCCCTATACCCGAGACTCTGAGGGAATCTACCACCATATTATGCGGAAGATGAGTGATTTCTACGACATTATCGCCACTCTGTGAATGCAGAGTCAGTTTGTGTCACGAAGGGAGACTCAAGCCTGTGTCAACAGACGTCGCGGGTACTAGGCATACAGATCCTTTACGATGAAGTGCTTTCACAAGACCGCATGTCGACAATGTGGCAACTCACCTTGAGGTCAATCGTGAATTTCCGCACTATCTCTGCGCTATCCGACTGAAAGATCGTCACAGAGTGTACTGCACTTTTCTCTGCATCAAGCTTGTGTGTAGATGAGCGATGCATGAATGTCGAATGGTCCAAGGTTGCGAAAAGGTCGGCGCCTGTGGTGAAGACGGTACAGAAGGTACAAGATGGATGGGAGATCGATACATGGATACGATACAGTCGTGTGCGATGATGCCAAATTAATGCAAAGAATTCATGCTCATGCACTCTGAGACAAGGCTGCGACATGGGCAGTCCGCCTGCGCACTATATCATCATGATGAATCATCGAACGCAGTTCGAGTTCAATCTATATGGTGTCAATCTGCTGTTCGAGAGGCTTTTACCACACACCTTCAGAAGCCTATCCGCGTCCCACATTCTTGTCGGAAGACTTTCAAGTACAGAGTAAATCCCAGAAAGTGACTGACAACGGAGGAGATCAGACTCCCCAATCTTGAGTATTGCGAAAGAGAGGCGGAATAGTACATCCATCCCCTCTTTGTCACAGAGAAGAAGGTCCCATACTCTAAACAGGGTCTGTCCGCTGGAGTGAGCCATGGAATCTTACACAATCATAGAAACATACCTCAACTGGTAGGCAGTCGGTAAATAACGATAAGAACCAGCTGAAGCAGATTGCTGGAAGGTCTACGGACATGTCGCCTAGGTGTTTGAATAACTTTGGGAGGTGCTCCTCGACATAGTCCAATAGGACCATTGGACATGCCCTCGAGACCAGTAAAGACGGGGAGAAGAATTCCGCCGGGAGGATCCGTTCTATGATGGCCACAAAAACCCAGAACGCTTCTTCTTGATTCGCAAACACCAGTAGTAGAGTTGAGGCTACAAGATTCATCCCTTGACAATAACCGACGGATGGGTTGCGCCTGCGTTGGATGAGCACTGGGTCATTCGGTGGGTATTAGACTCACAGGCTGTAAGCACCGAGAACAGCTCTTAGTTTGTCCACACCCTGGCCATCTCCACCAAAGAAGATGTTCAAGGGCATGGTCCGCGTGACGTCTTTCTCAATCTCCTCCATGGTCAGGTGCTTCGCGACTCCTTCCTTCGTCTGTCTCTGTAGTTTTTCGGCCTCGAGCCAGAGATCGCGAAACGTTCCAGGTTCGTGATTTTCGAGTGCGCCACTGGACTCGTACCACACTTTCGCTCGGTAGGTCAGAGGAATTCCCGCCCGTATCATCCGATCAAACTCTTTCTTGTCTTCTTTGCTTGTCGAGATGTGCGCGAGCCCGAGGCCTGCAGTCCACGATTCTTCTTGGTGCTCTGGATCTGCCTCTTCGGGGGGTCGGGAGAGACCGAGTAGTGCAGCTGCTCCTGAAGACGCCTGTGCGAGGACGGCTTGGGCTGTCCCTTGCTTGGATGTAGACTCTTTGATACGTCGCTTAGCCTTCCTAACCAATGCATCCCACTCTACTTGCTGTTGCCGCTGCTTCTCGTCGTGCACCGTTGTGAGCTCCGTAAGGAGGACTCTCACTGTCGTTATACAAACGTGGTTTGGTACCACATCTTCTCGTCTGTTGGGCGGATCCTGAGGTGCTGCACTTAGGTCTGATGGCTTTGTCTCCGCAGGTGGAGATATGTCTTCACCCTCTTGCTGAGGTAGGATGCCATCTTGACAGGAGCACGGCTCTGACATGATTTTGAGTTGTTTCTTCTTCGACGGAGGTAGTTCGCCTTCGTAACTTGGCCACCACTCTTCATCCTCAGACTCTACTTCCCGATCTGCAATGCGAACACCTGTGAGGCAAGCAGGTGCAGAGTTGTGGAATTCTCGAGCCTGTGCGAGTAGGTTCACATCGTACACACAAGCATCGTAGATGAATCCAAATCTATCAGTCTGGAGTTGGGCGGGTTGTTTCAACTTGTTGGCAAACCTTGAAGGTGCAGAAGGAAATGCGGATGGTTTGAATCCGGGAACGGCAATGGAGGACGAGTATTGTCTCGACAGGTAGAGGGTAGGCGGTTTTGCTTCGACCGGAATGATCGAGTCGAGTTCAACGGTCCCTAATTTCCGAGTCGGATTGATTGCTGGGCCAGGGGGTGGTACAACAGATGACGTAGTCGTGGTCTTTGGCGGTTCGGAGGTGGCGGATGGTCGAGCAGCGAAAGGCGCGAAAAGGGGGGCAGCAAATGCTTTGGAACTTGTTCGTCGACCGATTCCAGCCAGTGTACTTGAGTTTAACGTCTTTGTCAAGTTGGATACAATGGTTTCCCTGGACTCGGTTGACTCGATATGAACCACCGCCAGAGCTGGACTCGAGACCTCCGATGTAGCGGTTGATGGTCGTTGTGGCGTGCTCCTTTGGCCACCTCGGTCTTCACGTAGCACAAAACCCTTATCGTATTTAAGATTAGCGACCAGATCGTGGGCGCGTTCTGCAATAAAAGCAGAGGTGTTGATGCCGCTATCCAGCAGGACACTACTGGGGTCGCCAGTCATGACCCGAGTGGCATAGGAGATTGCGCGAATATGATATGGATGTGGCCCCGATGGCAAAGCTGGAGCCTCCGTGCTCTTATACGACCCGTGGACCGAAGGAGTCGGCTGTTCGGGGGGTGTATGTATCTGCGTCGCAATTACAGGTGGAAGGACAGGTGTAGGAAGGGGTTGGAACCTTCCGGTTGTCGGTGATCTGTCAGGTCCGCTTGATGGTGATACGACAATAGAGAGTTTGCGTCGCGTCTGCTTCTTGCCGTCAGAGGATGTACCCGTTATGTATTGTGGCGCATTAGATGTTGCTAGCGGCGACAGCGCACTCTTCGGGTTTGAACCTTTCTGTCTCTTTTGATCACGTTCTGTCTCGTCGCCCTCGGGAGATATAGAACGTTCCCGTGTAGAATTTTCTACACCTAGAGAGCCGTCACTCTTGTTCTTGTCTCGCCACCACCCGCCCATCCACTCTCCAAGCGTAGACATGGGCCGATGTCTACTCTCCTTGCTTCGAGTACTGACCCGGCTGCGAATGCTGGCCCTGTCCGGCGTGTCTTTGTCATTTATTCTGGAAGAAGCGATTGATCTAGTATCATCATTTGCATTGGTGCTTTCGATTGGCGAGGTAAGGACTACGCTGCTCGGAAGACCCAATGGAGTGAATGCCTCTGCGATCGCCTCCGTGAGCGAGTCAGACATATCCTATAAACATTTTTAGTAGAGATGCGAATATAAATGGAACAAATACCAATTGTGGCCCGTCTATTGTTTTGAGTGCAGTTTGTTTCTGCGATTGCCGCGTCTCGTCTACTGTAGGGCTTGATGCCCCCGTGATTTGCAGAGCTCCTTCAACAGAATTCTTTGCCACAGCATCTTTGGGTTTGTCGTGTAGTTTGGCGGATAAGAGGCGAAGTGCAGCTCCATAAATATGTTCTGGAGGATGCGCTGCCCCTGCCACTTTTGTGAGGCGCGCCATGGTCGAGAATACTTCATCTTCCGTAATCTCGTGCCACATTGTGGACAGGATTAGCGATGCAGCCTCGTCTGATAGGAATGACGACTCTGAAACCAACGGAATCGGTTGGGCTCGTGGCGTAATCCCTGGAGTAGATAGATGTCGATTATGATCTACCTGATACGAAGAATGACGACTGGTACTGGCAAACGGATGAGCGGACGATGTCCTCCTGTGTACGGACTCGTCACTTGGAACGGGCGAGATAGGGCCTGTTGCGAAAGTCGGGCCAAAAGGATTGGACTTTGGTCGACGAAGAGGGGGTTTGACGGTTGCATTCATGTCCGACGTATCCGACGCCGTGACCTGGTGTAGCGAGCTGGCTGCGCGCTCATCCGACTGCGATTTGAGGGTAAAGTAGCTCGTGACGGGACGTGGGGGGTCATCATCGTTCGGTTTGGGAGGCCTCGAGCGAAGCTTCCTGGACGCTGATACCACCTCTTCTGCCGATAGAGGGTGTGAATCCAGAGGCATCTCGCAGCATCAAGTATCAACCCTGAGTGACTGCCTGTGCAGATTTGGGTGATGTCAGGAATAACCACTGATATCTGGCCACTGACGGGTATGTCAGGAGGCTTCCAAGGAGCATAAATGATCAGTACCAATTGACTTGCGTTTGCTAGATAGAGTAGTGTGAAGCAGAGAGCTCTGAGGAGTATTAGGTCGCAAGTTCGTGGTGATGGTGAGGGCGAAGTTGAACCGTAACCACAACCGGGCGAACTTACCAAACGACGAAGCTCTAGTGAATCGACTCAAAATATTATCAAGATTCTACTGATCCTATGTGGTGGCCGTTTTCCAGCCCGAGCCAAGGGAAGAAAGACCCTCAAGAGACTGCCTTGACGAGAGAGGGTCGCGCACAGTGCTGGAATGCTCGGGACGAATTCTTCGCCTGCCTAGACGCTTCGAAAATCGAGTCGCCATTTGGGCGGGGAGACAAATGTAATGCAGAAGCTCAGCGGTACGAAGAGAATTGTGCTAAAAGGTCGAGTGCATCCTTCTTTACACTTTATTGACGCTCTTAACTTTCTCTTATTAGTTGGGCAAGTATCAGTTCAAACCTGGCGCTATCGCATATTTTCTAAATCTGTGTTCAGATTAAACACTTTAACCAGAGGCGATTAATAGCTATCAAACAATCTCAGCGATATGCGGAATCAAGTTCTGGGAAGTAAGCAGTAATTTGTTGGGCCTGGAGGCTTCTTAGTCTCATTTGGAGGTATGCGATATCTAGGCGATTCTCATGAACTAATTCGGTATGTAGTGGTGTGCATTTTTCCAATATATTACGGTTCCCACCTCGTATATTGTACAGAACGGGACTAAATCATCTGAGGGAACGTACCTCATGTCTGCAGGTATATAAACACATCATTTGTTTTCGATTCGTCACTTTGTTGCCTCACCAATTCCAGCGACATGGCGGGGGGATGCAACTGGTCGGTATGCCGCAACTCAAAGCCGACACCTAACAACGACATGCAACTTAATTAACCATTGACGCGATACAAAAGTCAGCCAGCGGCTGTACCGGCTTCGCCTTCAGAGCAGCTGCTTTCGGAATCTGTTGTAAGTCTCCGGCGCCGCATACTTATAAAGAGCCGAGTCGTCGTGGGCTCTCACTTATCCTCCTTTTTATTCTGCTATTTTTCTTCTGGATTTCTTTCTTCTTCGTGAGTCCACACCCTCTGCTCGTTGCGCCCTCTCAACATTGCCCTAGTGCCTAGTGCAGTCATGGCCTCCGACGATTCCTCCATCAAAATGTACAAGAATCTTCTCTGGTTATACCTTGGGTCTACTATCATTGCAGTGCCAATGATTGTGACCATATTGTACCTCTATCTCCTCCCGTTTCAGATAGTGAAGTCGACCCAGCTCTGGCGCGACCCAAGACCGCGAGCCTTTGTCCAACTACTGCTTACGACGGCCTTATCCTTCTTCGTCGCCGGCGCACTTAACCTATTGTACTATGCCGAACGTCTCCCACAAAACCCTGGGAGCGAATCCCCAGTTACTCTGTCACTGGACGTATGGATAGTCATCATCTTCTTTGCAACGACGAGTCGACAGATATCGTTTCCCATCCTCTACTTGCTGATGGTAAACGTACTGCAGTCGCGGTGGTATGCCTTTGTGAAGCACTCCACCGGACACAAGCACGAACGCAGGACAAAAGAATCCAAGCCGCAACTACCAGAATTTCTGGGCTGGAGAGGGAAAGAGAAAGCCTCATTCTTTGTCGCGGGCCTCATGCTCCTATTGCCTATTATTTCCAACGTTTGTTTGGCAGTTGGACTCAAACAAGTCTCGCAAAGCGGGATTGCCGTCCTTCTCAGCATCGACCGAGTAGCGACGGCGCTGGATGGGGTCAGAGGAGGACTGGTTGCTTTTGCAGTGCTGGATATCGGCATCTCCTCTTTCTTCCTGTCTCGCCGATTGAAAGCATCAGACTATGGAGATACTGTGAGTTTTATGCTGATCCTGTGGCCATTCTTACATCCGCGTAGATAACGAGTATCATGCTGCATGCAGTGACTCCTTTACTGTTGCCGCTGGCACTAGAAAATGTCATTGCGGCACTTTTCCGTACTATGGCGTTATCCGAAAAGACATTAGCCGCGGTGGACTTCTCAAACTGGGTTGTTACAAACGTTATCATCGTCATTTGCATGATCACGTTTTGCGCCTTATATTCTACACCTCTGCGGTGGCTACTTACGACCCCAGATGAAGAGAACATTCATCCAACACATAACGATTACACTTACGAGACAACTCACGAGCTTTCGACATTTTCGAGTCGACAATGAAGTGCAAATGACTGGTAGCTCTTGTATTACTAGTAAAACAGTGTGTTTGGTGACATCGTATTATCCCTGACGTAAAGCATAAGGTCGTAAAAGCGCAACCCCCATGCAAGTTATCGAGTAGCCTGCGGCTTTGCAGAAACCTTGTATGCAAGCTTGTCGGTCCAGATATGACAAACCTGCGCGTAGACCAAAGGTGCAACTCCAAAAGCGAGTCCCCCAGGTACTGCCAAATAATCCAAGAGGCACCATGGGAGCTTGCGCGAAGAGGAAGGGGCAGGTCGCATTCCCAAGTCGAACTGATTGAATGGTGCGGGGGTACCCGATGTCTCGAATGTTCCGAGCTCAAGTTGGTCAGGGCTTGGGGTAATTGGGAGTGCGATAGGGCCGTTGATCTACACGCTTGCTGTCAGATATTGACGGCAATATGGCGGATGATTCGGACTTACCGGTTGACGAGTAGCGGTCAGCCATCGCTTACCTGCTTCTCGGTGATATAAGTCGTGCATTACGAACGTGATCAAGGATGCTACAGCTCCGAAGATGCCGAATTTGTTGCATATCGAGGTCACGACGGTTATAATCTCGTCATCGTGTACCCAGGGAAGAGCAAGGGTGGCCCATCCAAGTTGACCACCATCAACGGGAAGTGGGCTTCGTCCCCAAGCATTAGTTTGAAGTGCAAGCTGTTTGTGAAGGAAGGCGGAAATTGTGGGCCATATCGCGAGAACATTGATAAGGATAACGAGGTGCGCAAGCATGAGGTGCGCCTCGTAAACCCTGGTGACGAGTATCAAGAATGGGAATATTTTCACTTTTTTGTGGGATCCAGGGATCGACTTTTCGCTGGAACTCCGCCCGAGAGATGGCAACTCCTCCATCTGGTACTCGTCGTCCTCATTTGAAGTGAAAGAATACTCCGATGCCTCACGAGTCCCAAATCGTGTGACTTTTCCAGAGAAACCCATCGATTCTTCCTCGTCACTCGTCGCCGCAGACGATGCATCGCTGTCGCTGCACATGAAGCGGGTTGGTGGTCGATTCTTTGCAGCAGTAGCAGCAATTTGGTTGGTATATCCGTTGACCTTGGTAATAGCCTGTCGCATTTCGAGCCTCTGAAGACGATTTGCAAATACTCGTTCGTCCGAAACGCCAAAATCACCCGTTAGGAGACGATAGAACACGTAACCAGTGTCTATATCCAACTTATTTAGTACCTGTATTGACTTGGAGGAGTATCACTCACCAAGTGATCCCCACATGTGTCGAACAGCCTGAGCCCAACGGGCGTGACAACAGCTCCAAAAGGCCGCAAATCGACCATCCTTGCTAGCATCTACCGAGCCGACGACATTGCATTGACTCGCGGGCGAGTAGATTGTCTCGATGTGCAACTGTAGGGAGGAGTGTCAGTCGATTGGATGGGCGGAGATATCGGAATCGGAGAACAGAGAATTCAACGCACGTGTCCCTTGGTATCAAAGAGCGCCTTGCAGAACATGTGCATATCCTCCCCAATCGCAGATGGACCTGCATCCCAAAAGCCCACGTGCGTGGCGAGCGTGAGGCTCATGCTATAGGCCGACGTTGGGATCTTGATAGTCGACGAGGGATAGATGCCACTGATACCGCTGTGGAACGTTTATCGTGAGTAGAAAGCAATGTAGAAAAGGCCAAGAAACGTACGCTGTCGACCACATGATGTCGGTAACACGCGTGACGGCGGGAACTTCCCCTTGATTACGGTCGAAGAGGATGGGTGGCACGAACATCATCTGACGGCGTGTGGCTGGCGGCGCGAGCAGGTAGCGGACTGCGGCGTCCAGGAAGTAGTCTGCAGCAAACGCAGTGTCTGCATCCATGGCAGTAAGGATACCATCACACATGCCTGGCGAACATCCTTGTGATTCCAATTCCATGGAATGTTGCTCGATCGCCCATCGTGCAGCCCAACGCACATTGCTGCCCTTTCCAGGTACTTCGCCGAGGATGTTTGGAGGGTGCAACGTGACGATAATCTGCAAGAACTGGGCCGAAAATTCTTGTGCCAGCTTCTTGCCTTTGAACGCGGCGCCCGCTTCTCTTTCCTCCATAGCCAATACGACTTTGTAGCTGTATGGCGCTAACGGGTGGGAGCCAAGAATAGCGAGCGTTTGGCGAAGTGTCTCAACATCCTCCTTGTAGGATGGGATGATGATGATTTGCGGAAGCGTGAGAGGAGTATATCGAGTGTTGAGGGCCTCGGGTGATGCGGTTCGGAGCCCATTTTGATAGATTGCCCAATAGTCTTTCCTCCAGTGGTCCCGAACTCCAAAGTAGCATCTATATAGTCACGTCGAGCGATGAGCAGGTCCCTATACAGGGCAATGGTGATGGTCACTCACCGAATCATGCCGTATGCCATTCGTGCTTGACTGCAAACGAACGCAATGTTGGTGGCTAGAAATAATCCGGCCAATACGTAGGGAAAAAGCCAGCGTCCGAAGATGGCCACAAATAGCACCAAAGTATGGACAATCACGGGCGAGCGCTGCAAAATTGCTGCCAGAGCAGGCATAGTCGCAGGAAAAATGCCTGGAGAGTAATATTGGGGGGTGTCAAGAGCTAAAGGCGTGTCGGGCGGGAGCACCGTCGGATTATGTACACCGGCTGTCAGGTCTGGCCACGCTTCTTCCCGTCACACGTTTGCCTGTGCTAGCGGTTCCCAGAGCTGGCAAGACACCAAAACTTGGGCTTAAATGGGCGTGTTTACACCCTCGAGCTGCGGGGGGACCACAGACGGAGATAACTCAAATCTCGCTTTTCTAGCCTATATTGGCGGTCATTGGCGGAGGAGTAATGCGAGCAAGCATTTACCTTTTTGGTTTAATTGGGGAGATTGCGTGATATCGGAGTCTCATAACGGATCCCACTCTGCGCGAGCAGATGGAACGGCCGCGGGGATGATAGCGCGGAGCCGAGGGTTGTGTACGCAATTCTCTCGCTCCTCCAGAATTCCCATCACTAGTCTGGGGCGTCATTTGTGGGCACCGGGTGCATCATTCCGCGCCCGTGTCGTCTTTGAGAAGCACCTCGTATTCATATGTCGAACGTATGAATATTCCAGTACTAATGAGATTTGTTGCAAAACTGGCTTGGCGCTCTAATATGACTCTGCGCCAGGTGCGCAGTCGGGTGCAGGTAATAATCGTGTTGACAATGATAACAATGAGTATCTTGTCCAATATTGTCGCAATATCACGACACAAGTAACCGGCTACCAATTTGTGACATTTCCTGCCAGTAACTTGTCAAGGTCCAACCGGAAGGGGGCAAGCAAGGCCAAACACGACCAAAGCTTGGCCTATACTTTATCATGGTCAGTCTCTCCATCTCATCAAATCTACACATTTTTATGTGGTTTTGAACGGGTTTCTGACGTTTATTCACCTTTGCCGCTTCACATCGACAGCCGCCGAAAAAAGCCGCTGCAGCGACCTCATCAGGACAAGGGAAAGCCGCAAAGAAGAAGAAATGGTCAAAGGGAAAGGTCAAGGACAAGGCTCAGCATGCTGTTGTGCTCGACAAGGCGACCTATGATCGTATCCTCAAGGATGTCCCGACATTCCGCTTCATCAGCCCCGCCATTCTCATTGAACGTCTCAAAATCAACGGTAGTCTTGCTCGTGTGGCCATCAGACACCTTGAGAAAGAGGGCTCTATTCGACGGATCGTCCACCATAACGGACAACTCATCTACAGTCAGTTGACCCTTTTTGCACAACTTGTTATCTCGTTTTAGCTGACATGAGAACTACAGCCCGTGTAACTGGTGCGGAATGAATGGGTTCCCTCTCTCGCCTGTAGCCTATGCCTGCGAATATCATTCCTGAGAAGCGACCCATCGTTTAATGACTAAGGTACCCGCCCACTCGTTTGGCGCCATTTACTATATGTCGATTGACCGTTGCGAGGCTACGGCTACTGCCTCTCGACCGATACGCCCACAAACCTTACTTGGCTTTTGACCTCTTCCGCTCGTTTCCCTTTCTCTCTTTTTTACCTTTTGTCTACCTTTGACACGCTCAGCGAGCGTGATACTTGCGCATGGTCGTGCTCCTCCTCCGTATGTCGAATCCGGCCAACGCAGGCCGGCCATGGGCTGACACCAGGCAAAAGGAGACACTGCTAGCAGCGTAGGAACAACGTCGAGCAAATTGCTCGACTTTTGGTTATCGCTTCACATCATCGCAGGCCACATTCTCCTTCCAATCCTGGCCGTGGTGTTCATGTTTCTTTCCAAAAGACATGCTACTCTGGTCAACCTTTGCTTTGCTTGGATATTTACCTCCATTTGCTCCTGCCTGCTGTGAGTACTGTCCACTCCCGCTTCATCTGAAACAAACAGCTGATTGAATAGTTTATATGCCGGAAAGCACAAAGGTCCAGAACCGTCCTATGAACTGTGTCTGATACAAGCATCCTTGCTCTATGGCACGACACCGCTTACCGCCGTAGCATGCCTCGCCCTCGTCTACCAAGTGTGGGCGTCCGTTTTTCAACCAATACAGGAAAAAGAACACGTGAATCCAACAAGTCTATGGCATGCCTTTCGTCCAAAACTGGCACGTCGTTTCTCTCCTGTTGCTGTTGCCGACGTGGTCGACTGACCGTAAACAGCTGCTAGCTTCCCCCTGGATCATTTTTAGTGCCTGGGCTACTGCAGCTGCATCGGCAGGGTTCCATCACCCTGACAGAATCTCTCGTGACCGACGCTTTTTCTACTGCTCGCTCGACTTTAACCCAATGTCTGCCAATTATCACCATCGTTTCTCACTGAGCTTGACTGTTCATTAGATCTACGACCATCAGCATCTTTTGCGCCATTGTCCTCCTCATCACCATGGGCTTTGAAGGCAAGCCAAGCTAGCGGCCCCTTCATCAATCTCACGTCTTTCTAGTCTCAATAGGAGTTAGTCTTGTGCGCAACTGGAGAGCCGTACGAAGTGGCATCAGCAATGGACAAGTCGACCTCTCGCTACTCTTTCGCGTCTTTTGCTTTGGGTTCTACGTTTTCATCGGGCTCATGTGGGTAACTTGGCATCATCTATTACTCGTACTTATATCACATCGCAGACTAAGCTTCGTCTCCATCAAGGCTCCCAAATCTCCCGTTCCGGACCTATGGCTGGCTTCTGTAGGCCTCTCCGTCGCGTTAATCTTTGGTACACAAAGAAACGTTTTACAAGCGCTCCGTTTCTGGGACAAAACTCCTCGTTGGCAAGAAAAGCGCGTCGACCTTACGACTTGACCACCGTCCATCACATTCTTTGGATCCGAACCGTTCACTGTATTCTTTTGTAGCCCAATTTTGACGGTTTCTTTTGTTTCCAGACGGTTTCCATGATGTTCCATGGGTTTCCACGGGTAAGTAACAAAGCGGGCGCTACTGTGCTCAGCCAAGGTTTCTTCCTCTCCACGGTTCGACTCTGCTTCGGGACTGCGTCTGTGGCGATTCTCAGTGACCCTTCAGCCTATAGCTATCGAAATCAGCCTACACCATCCTCCCGCTCTCTGTACGACGACACTACAAGACATTTTCCTTTATTGCGACAAGATCTTCCACAATTCGATCGCCTATTCCTATTTATTCTCATTTCGACGAACGATTCCGTATGGAAGACCTCGTAATTAACAGTAGGAAGAGGATGCGGGACGGAGAGCGACGACGACGAGTCTGAACTTACACCGAAGAAATTGCGACTAAGGTAAGGCTTTGTTCCCTTCTGTTGTGAACGAAAGGCTCACTGCATGCCTTGGATAGCCATACGATGTCGTCCAGAGCCATGCATACCACCCCTGGGATTCGCCCCTCCAGCCCGAAACTCGAGTATACCGAACTTCCTGAAGAGCTCAAGCGAATAATTTTCTATTCATATCGCTCTCGAGCTAGTGATGCGGGATACATTGGCCACTGCCCAAATCACTCCTGACTCAAGCACCGGATGCGTCCTATCGGTCATTAACCATCTGTCCTTTCAAGAACATAATAAAGGTAGACGGATGAATGTCGAATATTTCCAGAAGCTATGCTGGATCTGGGAGTGGAACCCAGAGATAAAGAAACAACAACAATCTCCGAACAATGTGATTCTTGCCCAAGAGCGAATTCGCAGGGGATCTGGATTCTGCGTGAATACCACCACTCACGTGACGCTCTACTCGTCCGATTCTACACCAGCATATGGCATTGGCATTGAAGTCAATTGGTCACAAGAAGATGTGGCTGGTGGACGTGTAGGTGGTGTGAGTGCCCTTGCGAGATGGACATCCGCAGCGAACAAACGAATGAGCGCGCTCCGTGAAAAACTACTGATGTGGATGAAGGTCAGCGCTGTTTTTATGTAATAGAACGTTATATATCTTCATATAGTCGACATCGATGCCAAACGGGCCGATATCCATACCTCTGGCCGACTTGCCACCTCTGGAACCGTCGGAGCCATCACTCTTCCCGAAGGCTTTACCGATGCCTTCCACGCCCTCTTCGTGGCGCGAGGGGTGGATAGAATCTCCATCAAGACATGCCAACCGCCCGATCGCCTCGGGGGATATGCTGGTTTATCCACCCAGCCTCCGGTTTACAACACCCACCTCCTCATCTCTTCAAAACGACACGCAAGTTCCTATGACCCGGAGGCGAGCGGCCTTGCGCAAACGCCCAAAGTCCAAGAGCGAGAACGAAGGAAGCTCGGGTACGAAGACTGGCATCACCACATCTGCGCGCTCTACGAAGATTCGGCCTCAGAAAAAGGTTCCGTTGCTTGGATATGACAAAGTTCATCGCGTGCCGGACATCGCAATTTCTGTTTGGATGCTGTTCACTACTACGAGTGACAATCACACCTCGACTCTAATACAGAGACGGGCATCAGGGGTTATTCGACAGGTAAAGGGAAAGCTCTCCGAAAGTAAGCTTCTTGAGACTTTTGAGGAGCCAACCTAATCATGCCCTCCTAGCCGAAGCAACTCATGCTTTGAGGATGCTCTGCCGGTTGTGTCCATCCTTCTTGCGGTCCAGGGACATCGACGGCGAAACGTGGTTGGAAATGCCAATTCCCTGTATGGATATCCTTGATGTATATGAGAGGATCCATCAGGAGCTCCAAGATGATCCTTTTGTGTAGCCAGGGGATGCGACTTGATCATAGTACAACTACAGAGGTTTTGGTCTCCACCCCTATTTTCCCTTTGCCGCTTATCACTTCATCTCATCTTCTGCATCTAACTCGCTCAGTGAGCGCCTTACTTGGACGCGTTTGTTTCCCTCCTACATTACGTCTAATCGGCAAAAGTAACATTCTTCTTCAAGTCCTACCATAGTCTTCATGTACCCAGTATCGCTAGTCTTTGTTTTTTGCACTCGTTTAATTCTTTGTAGCTTAACATTGACATTTTCTGGCAACGAAAGAACTACTTTTCCTGTGGTGGCCAAGTGTGAGAGAGAGATATCTTAATTGCCCTCACGAGTAGGTACTACATGGAACCAAGGCGCGAAATAACAGGACATGGGGCAATTATTAGTCTGATTGTATTCGTGGGTCTTAGTACACTCTATTCTATAGGTGATGGGTGCAGGCTGGGAGGTGTCGTTCACGGTTTGCCGAGAGTACGTTACGGAAATAGGAAAGGATAAGGGAATAATACCGTCTTCTTGCTGCTGGCGTCGGCTACCGTGCTTTGTCGTCTTCGGGGCGCTTCCTGAGCCTAACGCTTGGTGAAGAGGCCAATGGCCAAGTTCGACCCCCCCGCTCCAGAGAGCGTGTCGGCAGCAATCCTTAGCGCCCTTGCAGCACCTCTGGAACTGCTTAAATAGATACATACTTCTCCTCTGCCTTCTACGACGACAACACGCGACAACCTCTCCGAGCGCAACACAATTCTCCATAGTTCGACTATATATCCCAGTTTATTTTCATCTATACAAACAAATCAACATGGAAGACCTCATATTCAGTGCTAGGAAGAAGCGAAAGGTCCCTGAAATTGACGACGACGAAACGATCCTCACACCAAAGAAAGCACGATTAAGGCAGGTCCTTCTTGCTCTATATATCACTGAAAAACTCATCACAGGCATCGTTTAGCCATGCCACGCCGGCAAAGGCTACACATGCAACGCCAGGTGTTCCGCCTTCCTCTTCCAAGTCGAAAAATACAGATCTACCCGAAGAGCTTAAGCAAATAATTTCTATCCACACCGCACTCGAGCAAGCCATGTCGGCTGCGCTAGCGACTGCGCAAATTTCTCCTGACCCAGACACTGGACGTGTTCCATCGGTCATAAACCATCTTTCTTTTCAGGAACGTGGCCTCGGTGTGCGGATGAGTGTCGAAGATCTCCAGAAACTGTGCTGGCTTTGGGAATGGGACGGAGAGACAATCCCAAAAGGCATAGCATCGCATTCTGCAACTACATCTAGCTCTTCAAAGAAGAAAAAGCAATCAGAGAGTGCACTCGATGACGACTCGGACACCGAGGGAGAAGTCATGACAGAGGACCCTCAGAGTAACCCATTCCTCACCAAACCTCCTAAAGAAGACAGGGATAATAACCCATTCTTACCTTCATCTAATACTTCAAACGAGGTCTCGAAAGAATGGATGCGCGGAGGCTTTGGATTTTGCATAAATCCCACCACTCACGTAACTCGATTAGACAAGTCCAGTCCCACAAAGCGCGTGCCAGCATATGGCATTGGGATCGAAGTGGAATGGTCACAAGAGGATGTGGCTGGTAGACGTGTGGGTGGTATGAGTGCCGTGGCAAGATGGACAGGCGCAGCCAACAGACGCAAGCATGAGCTTCGAGAAAGACTGGAGACATGGATGACGGTTGGGGCTTCCCATTGATGATTACACACTCTAAAACTCCGTACAGATAACTTCGAAGCTAAATGGGTCAAAATACGTCCCAGTGCCTTTGGCAGATCTCCCGCCTCTCGCAAAACCTCCGACGGTGTCTAAACTGGCACATCTTATTACTCCTCGGAAGCTGACCTTTCCGACTACGCTACCGACACCGTTAAAGGCACTAATGGCTACACCATCATCTTCCCGCAAAGAACCTATAGAAACGCCGTCAAAGGACTCTGGCGGCTTCATGATTCCATTCCCAGTCGTGCCTGGAGAGAGACCAGTCACACCGCACGGACCTCGACCAGGAGAGCCCTCTTCGGGATCTAGTGGCATCGTCACACCCAGCAGTGGTCGAAGTCGAGGACTGCGTACGCCATCCTTTGGAAAGGCTGCAGCCAAGCTCGCTGCAGCCTATACGCCCACCTCTGACGGTCGCACAACTCCTACTTCGGATGGCCGCACTACTCCCACAACTGGTCATCGCGGAGAATTACCCGTGCCTGTGACGCCTACTACTACCAATTCGTCCGTTCCGAACACTGTGGAGACTCCTATGAGCGCGAGGCGTGCATCCTTGTACGAACGCATGAGAGCCAAGAGCGAGAGTGAGGGAAACTCGGTGAAGAAGACTGCCATCACTGCGTCTGTGCGGTCTGCGGAGAAGCAATCTCAGGAAAAGGTTGTAATGGTCGGACCTGAAGCACTCAGACGGCGTGCGATCCTCAGTCGCTTGCCCGGCATCGCAGATGCCGTTTGGATGTTGTTCTCTGCTACAGGGAGCAGTGGAGCCTTGTTGACATCGTCCTCGAGGAAGAGGCGGGCACTGGAAAGAGGTGAAGTCATTCGCGCCGTGGTCAAGTCGTCCAAGGGACCGCTCTCCGAAGGTGAGCATCTCGATAATTTCTGGGACGCCGATTGAATCGTATTCTCATAGCCGAGGCGACTGAAAGTTTGACGATGCTTTGCGAGCTGTGTCCCTTCTTCTTACAGTCGAAAGTGATCGGCGGCGAAAATTGGTTGGAGATGCCGGCGTCTTCAGGTCCATCAACAGTAACCTCTGGAAGCCCCTCCCCTAGGTCGCCATCGAAAACCACTACTGCTGCGCATGGACCGCCTGGTTCTCCCAATCGCCGGCCGACGAGCGCAGCACGCCTGCCGGGGTCTCCATCCAAACGCCAGGTGATCGAGGAAGAGCTACTGAACAGGAGCCCGAAACGCGTGAAGAAAGAGGAGGGCGGTATCCGCGATGTGCATGAGAGGATTCGGCGAGAACTCCAAGTGTATGAAGACGACCCGTTCATCTAGCCGCCAGATTACATTGTTGACGAGTGAAATAACGAGATGTTTTATCTGCATTACCTACAAGTACATCATTCGGCCGCCTCCAAGTGGCGCTTCGGGCGCAAGACTAGACTTTGGCTTTCAACTCTTGGATCTGGACGCGGTTGGTCAGGGAATTTGCAGCGGAACTGTGAGCACTTCTTGCTGTCTGCAAGAGTTTCCTTTGGGTCTGCGGAGTCCTTCGGTGCGGCAAGATTTAGACGGCAAGCACCGATTAGCAACAACTTGGACCCTGCAATTCCTGCGGGCTCGTCGACCCTAACCCTCGAATTGCTGAGTGTGACGTATTGTACTGGTATATCGCTGTACAAGAGGTAAACACGCGAAAGGAGTGCACAGACGACCTCGCATTGGCCACGCTCGGAACGACGGCGTCCAACGTGATCGACAACGACATCATTGATAATCAGACGCGTTCCAAAGTGGATTTGTAGGTGAGACGACTCACATTAATCTCGCCTCGAGCGTCCTGGGACAATGTTAACTCCTCTCGGGATTCTCCAGGCGACTTACTGGCCAAAGCCTCTGCAACCCCAAAGCATGCTAGCAATTGCTCTTCCCGCGGACGATAACTGGAAGTCTCAAACGCCCGTAAGGCCCAGACAGTCGCATCCCAGCTCCTCCGTCCCAGCTCCAACGTCTTCGACCTCGTCAATGGCGGCCAAGGACATTTACTCGCACTCCCAACCAACATCAGCACCCATGGCGCCTGGAATGAGCAGCAATGGGACGGTCATCGGTCCCGGGACGAGCCATGGAGTTGATACAGTGCCATCGGGCAAACCGCTGGCCCGCTCAAAGTCGCGCGGAGGCTCTGTGGGTGGATTTGTACACGGAATCGTCAATGGAATGCAAGCTAGTTTGCGTAATGTCGGCCACAAGTCGTCCCAGACAGGTACGCGGTGTGGACTCTTGCTTCGCTCCCTGTGGCTAACGAAAAATGCACGTTTGTACGATTCAAATCATATCTCGGCTGGCGGTCAACAAAATTGCATGGGGTCTCGCGTACTGGGACAGCCACGAACAACGGGTATCATTCTGACCATCCCCCAACACGGTCTGCGAGCTTCAGGTCGAAATCGACCATCTCACCCACCTCTGCCGAGGGTCCGGACGGTCCTACGTCACAAAAGATGGGCGATCAACCCTCACCAGTCAAGCCCTTTCATAGAGCCTTAGCCCGAAGTCAATCCAAGTCGAGAGCGTACGAGTCGGATGGGGACAATCATACCATCGCCTCACTTCGCCACGCGCGTCCGGGGTATCCTCCAATATCCACCACGTTTCCTTCCCCATCTTCGGAGCGCGTCGCCAAAGCAAACGGCCATACACACATCCCTCTCTCGCCCCTGTCTCGAGAGAGTAGCATCACTCAGCCACTATCTGCCATTGCAACCGCGTTGCAATCTAATCCCCCCAAAAACACGAGCCCTTCTTCTTCGCCACCCCCTTCCTATACCATCAAGGGTCCGGTATCGCGAAACGCGGCACGTGCCATCCTGGAGTTGGACGCGATACCTCCTCAAGACCTTTTGAAAGCTCTTGCTCTTCTACTCGAACAGATCGCTGCCGAGAACGATGCCCTTGCGGCCGAGAGGGCTGCAAGAGGGGAGGAACCCTGGGAGGACCACCTCGCTGGCGTGAATTTGCAAGAGTCCCAGGGGAACGACCTCCCTCTTTCTCCAGAGAGCCCTCACCGAACATCCTCGACCACATCTCGATCGAGAAGCCAGCGACGGGCCGCTCCGTCGATCACTCCAATCTGGGATCATTTGACCACCGCATCCCGAGTTGCACTCTCGTCTCATTCATCCAAACTTTCCTTTCACGCCCGTCATATACCGCAAATCTCCCTAGAAGCCTACCTTATGCGCATCCTAAAATATTGCCCGACCGCAAATGCTACCTTTGTAGCCGTTCTCGTGTATTTTGATCGCATGTGCCGTATGGCAGACAATGTCGAAAACGAGCGGCATGCCGCTTCTGCCACCGAGGCCAGGGAGAACGAGATGGATTCGTCTCCTCAGAAGAAGCCCGCGTTTGCCATCGACAGCTACAATGTTCACCGGCTTGTAATTGCTGGCGTCACAGTCGCTAGCAAGTTCTTTTCAGACGTGTTCTATACCAACTCTCGCTACGCCAAGGTTAGCCTCTTGACCCCTAATCCTTATGAATAGACTTTCTGACGAGAGTATCACAGGTTGGAGGTCTGCCTCAAGCCGAACTGAATCAATTGGAACTTCAGTTCTTGCTCTTGAATGATTTCGAGCTCGTCGTTCCTCCAGAGGAGCTGGCTCGTTTTGCAGCTCTGCTCATTTCATACGCGCAAGGGCGCGGAATCACACTACGACCAGAAGGCCTCGGCAAGGGAAGGCTGGGTCTAGAAGCAAAGATTGTGCTGGGCCTCGAACCTGAGCCACTGCCAGAGCCTATGGGTCCTTACATGCGGCAGAGTCCCATCTCTCCAAGCTATTTTGGTGTCAGTTCTGGGATGATGGACAATCAGTCGAGAGGGCTCGACGCCTATAGAGCCAGACGCACGTCGTCCGAAGTAGGATCCAATACGTATGGGGCCGATTCAAACCCCAGATCGACCTACAGTTATTTTCAGGCCAACAACTCTATGAGTGATGGCATGGATATCTCCCACGACTCTGAAACCGAAGTCTCCACCGATGAGGACTCGACGATCAAAGCCCGAAGTGGGAGCGAGAGCGAGGCGAGCGAATGGGGAGTCGGCAGCACGGGAGACGAAGGGGAAGGCGATGGGGACGGCGCAGAGACGGAGACAGAAGGGGAAGAAGATGCAGATGACGACTTTTACGATAGACGAAACTCGAGGCGACTTTCCTCGAGCAGCACTGGTTCGCAAGGTCGAACGGGACGGGCCCGCGGGACACCACCTGCACTGGAGAGACGATAAACATGACCGCGACGAGATCAAGCTTTCAATGTTCCGTTCAAGGTTTTGGCATCGACCGAACAATTTGCACTTGGCATAGCTGCCGCCTTTTATTCACCTTGACTCTAACCCGTGTTCTGGAAGGGACGCCCGTGTATTATATTATTTTTGTGCTCGATGGCCCGCAGCTATTTTGACTTCCTATGACCTTCTATCAGTCCGCTGTTGCGAATGTAAGCTAGGCCAATTCAAGGTTGTATTGAACAAGTAACTCACGCGTCGTTAAACAATGAACACTCGACGCTGAAGCGATCATCGTGTGAGAAAAGCTCCTCCCACTCTACAATATTGGATGGACGAGGCTCATAGCGTAGTTTGAATTCGGTGAGAGATGGATGCCTTAGGACCGCACGTGGATGATAGTATAGGTTGCGAACAATAATATGCAGTGTTTCTAAATGCACCAGCTCTGGTAAAACAATGGATGAAGGAAGATGGGCCCCGATAAGAGTGAGCCCAAGGTATCGTAACTGAATATGCGTTTGGCCAATAAATCTGTGCATATATTCGAGTGATTCCTGGCTCAGATTGGCACAGGACAGCGTAAGGTGTGTTAACGCGGGTGTGGATATCCCTTGGAGTATCCACAATGGGCTGTGAACATGCAGCTTTATGCTCCATGTATAATCCAGGCGGATTTCTTGCAGATGGGCCCCTGTAAGTATCGACGTGTACCCGTCCTCGATGCTGAAGTCCTTGAGCACCAATCGCTGCAGGTGGCGGCATGAGAGTAGCATTCCCCTCAACCCATGGGTCGAAGCTACACACGATGAAGCCTCTAGTTCCTCTAGAGCCGGGAGATCACTAGCAGGTTTATCGAACCTACAGTGGTTGAGCTTGAGCGTGCGGAGTTGGGGTGCTTGCATAGTATTACGCAAGAAGACCGGAAATTCAATCAGTTCCAGATGTGCTTCGAACACGCTCGCATCGTCGTGCACGATAAACAGTGATCGCAACGACGGAGCTGGCCAAAGGTGATCAAGGTTCCACAGATTCCATGCACTAGGATGATGAATATGGAGCTCCCGAATGTGTTCGTGGCGTTTATGGAGGGGTGATCCAGGTAGTAAGAATGGGACAGCCGTATGATCGGTCAAACGAAGATCCAAGGTGATGAAGAGTGGGGAAATCCCGAGCGTTCTATCCAACGAGATATCACTTCAATACATGGATCTGAGGGATCTAAAGAGCATTCAATGCTCAGAGCACTAAATGCAGATGGAGTATTCAGGACAATCTCACTCCACGTCTTGCTAGTGAGCAAGAGTCTGATAGGAGGTGCAAAGTCTTCATGAGCGACAAATGTCGCTATCTCTGAGAGGATCTCTGGTGGCAGTGAAAAGATAGAGGCCATCGTAATCGGGTTCAAGTTGTGAACTGATCCGACCAGACCTCGAGTAGGCATTAATGAGAAATAGCCGGGCCAACTGTCCAAGCAATGGCACACTGAATCACTGTCTCGTATTTGTCTATGAGATACTCGAGTTACATCATACCAAGGATGGTGGCATATCCTTGCTGGAAGCCATGTTCTATTACAAACTCAGTGTCTCTTCATTTCATAAAGTTCATCGACTCACCATACTCCCAGACAAGATCGCTTGATCCCTTGGCAGAGACGTGTTCTGCGACACGCCTCTTGAGCCATTCACCCATATACCCAATTTCAGAGAGGGATGTTTCTCCAGAAAATGTGAAGAAGAGTTTCCCATCGTTCCAGCCTTGGAGGAAGCCCATCTCGAACCTCCAATGCTCATTGTTCTGCATCTTATCTTTCCAATAGTTGACATGACGATCTGAAGGAATGTGAGGCCCTCGTTGTACCAACGATCGTCGCACTTACTATATGCATCCGTCTTGACCTGGTCTCTCTTCGAATCATTTGGCATGCCTTCTCTGGCCCTCCTCTTGCCGACGTATGCGGGCATAATCTCTGCACGCGTGGCATTCTTCAGAGACCATCCGGCGTCCCAGCCTTCCTCCTTCTTGAGCGTCCAAAAGAACCACCCGCCACAGGACTCTTCAAAGACGGCGAGCTCGGCTTGTGCAAAGACGCGACGCTGACGGTCATGTTCTCCCGCATCGGTATGAGGAGGTTGTCCGCCGAGGGCGGCTGAAAACTCTCCAACTATAAAATTGCCACGAGCCTGCTTGCTCCACTGTTTGAACTGCCTCGCCGTCCCATCTCGAATCTCCGCGGCATGCTGGTCGCCCCACTTGCGGCGATCCTCTTCCGTAAAGCACCGGTAGAGATGCTGGTCGACGACGACAAAGTCTTGTCGTGCGCTCGCCCATGGGATGTACTTTTCCGAGTGCCAGGCATCGGCAATGTAGATGGGCAGGTCGGCGCTGACGGAGCGAAGGCTGTCAATGGTCGAAGCGTACCAGTTTGGGAGAAAGTCGCGGTCGTTGGGCTCGTTGAGGAGTTCGATGCCGACGACGTTTTCATACTTGGCGGCTTCTGCGATGAGAACACGTAGTGCGCGTACGGTGGCGTTGGCATTGTCGCCGTCCCAGATTTTCACTTGGGCATTCCCCACTCCCGAATGAGCGTCTGGATTTTGAGCACCAGGTGCTGCATGAAGGTCTGAAAGGTTCTCTTGGTATCTGGACCATGGCGAGTAAACGTAAACCTACCGAGGAGGACGCCAATGTGGTACTTGGCAGCCGTTTGAATGGCACGATCGATAAAGGCCCAAGCACCTTCAAATACATTTTGATAGGGGGCAAAGTCGGTGTTTTGGATCACGCTCGCGTCGACTCCGCACAAGTGGTAATACCCAACCTGCGCCACACGGGTCAAAGCGATGGCCCTTGGAGAGGACAAGACGTACGGGAATGCGCACAGAGTTGTAACCGTGGTCGATAATCCATCTCCAGTCTTCGTCGTTGATCCAGCTGCCCCAATGCTCCTCTAGATTCTTACGCGCATCTTGACCCTGCGCAATATGCAGGTCGCTTTGGCCGGGAGCAGCAGCATTACGAAATGGACTGGGCGTAATCCAGCGCTCAAGAACAAACCTTGAGAAACCCGTTGGTCAAGATTCTATCGGTCGTTTCACATTACGCACCAGGAACCTGAAGGCGGTTGTAGCTCTGATGGTTATTTACCCTGAAGGCACTTACCGAGATTTACTCCTCGCTGCTTGCGATATCGATAGACGTCTTTGGGCGTTCTGAGTGCTGCAAAGGGCGAGGACATGGTTGTGGTTGGAGGTTGAGTGGCATTGACGCAAGAGGTTCCCTAAAGCAATCGTGTACTGAGAAATTTATTCGAGATATGTTTGTACAGTATAATTATGCAAGTCATGATCGTTTACCCAGTTATTGAGACTCGACGGGTTCGACGGACCGAGTTTTCCCCCCAAGCCTTGCTCTCCTCCGCCATGACTCTCCCAAACCCTATCTTCATCGTAGCGATGGTACAGAATCTACAGGATTTATGAAGAATATATCAGCTCATGGATATTCCTAGGGAGTCAGTGGTGCAGGCAAGAGTACACTAGGAGCCGCATTGGCCAAAGCGATCCAAGTCCCGTATGTAGATGGAGATGACCTTCATCCACCAGAAAATGTCGCGAAAATGGCGAATGGAATTCCTCTAGACGACCAGGATCGCGCGCCGTGGCTGAGGAAGATCCGGCAAGAGGGCGTCGAAGCGTGCAAGCAGCACGAAGATGCAGTAGAAGGAGATGCTGGGAAGCAACGAGGATTGGTGATTGGATGTTCAGCACTCAAGCGGTCGTATCGCGACGTCCTTCGAGGACAAGAAGACGAGGACAACACCATTCAAGATGATGTTCATCCAAAACACGATCCTTTCCAGTTTCCGACACGCTTTGTGTTCATTTCTGGAACGAGGGACGAGCTGTTCAAGCGAATGGAGGCACGAAAGGGCCACTATATGAAAGCTGCAATGCTGGAAAGTCAGCTAGCAACATTGGAGACACCAGATCCCAGCACAGAAGAGGGGATTGTCGTCGTAGATTTGCTGGACACGACCGAAACTCAAGTGGAGCGGGCACTAGAGGGTCTAAAGATGTAATAAACGTCATTGAGATTAGCTTATTTACGAGTTTGCTGCAGGGGAATGGCCGAGTTCATGGCGGCGAGTCTGGACCGACCATCCTGAGTCTTCCCCATCAAATCTTGGACTTGACAATATCTGATTCCATTTTCCTAGAAATTTTGTAGATATTCTCGCATGCACGCAACAGTGCCGATGGTCAACGTCGAGTATTACGGCCGATCAGCTACCTTGACCCCCACTTACACCCGCTCAAAATGCTACGCTCGCTCATCCGCACAACTCCAAGACTCTCCGTAACGCGCATTACACCCTCTGCAACTCTTGCGAGGGGATATCACGAAAAGGTCATCTCCCACTATGAAAATCCGCGCAACGTGCGTCACATCTCCCATTTTGCCTGCCTTTCCCAATGCTAACACACTCTCCAATAGGTCGGATCTCTCCCAAAGGCAGATAGTGACGTTGGAACCGGTCTCGTTGGCGCTCCAGCGTACGTTTTTTCTCTCCTCAAAATGTTGTTGGATTCAATGTCCGCGCAGATGTGGAGACGTCATGAAACTCCAGATCAGAGTAGATGAAAACGGAATCATCAAAGAGGCAAAGTTTAAGACGTTTGGCTGTGGATCCGCAATCGCCTCGTCGTCGTACATGACCGAACTCGTCACCGGCATGTCCCTCGAGGACGCAGGCAAGATTAAGAATACCGAAATCGCAAAGGAGTTGTGTTTACCTCCCGTCAAACTTCACTGTTCGAGTGCGTTTGCCTGCATCTTGGCTTATCAGATAATTCGGTGCTGACAAATTCTGCCAATTGACAGTGCTCGCTGAAGACGCGATTCGATCCGCTATCAAAGACTACCGCACCAAGCGCAGTCGTCTTAGCTCTGCCGCCTCTGTCGACGCTGCGCAGCCCACGGCGAGTGCCTCGCCCGCTGCCTGAGCTCGGTAAAATGTGGAAAAGCTGGTCAAGTATCTGGTTTTGATCTTATGCGTATGCATGTTTCGTAGTAAACAGTAGGTTTTATCGTCACCCTCTGTACAATACAGCCCTCTTGCTCTCCGTTTGGCGCAAATGTCCAGAACTACGAGTTGGTCGATGAACCAGGTACATGCGAGAATGTACCGCCTCCAAACCATTTTTCGTTGGCGGCTTTGACACGCTGAGCCATGAGCGAGTGATTGGTGAGCTCGAATCCTGAGACATGATTAACAAAAGAGTCCGCCATCAATGCGTAAAACGAACCTTGTACAGGTGTAAAAACGAGTGAAGTCGCTGTTCCGCTTCCTTGACTCGACTGCGACGACCGGTTGAGCGCGGCTATCCTGTTCTTGTTCATCTTGCTCATCTTGGCTGTGCACACATCATCAGCACGGATCAACTGGAAAATTCAAGTAAAACCACACCTTTTGTCGCCGTCTTTCCGACTTGTGCACGAATCTTGCCCGAGTTGATCATGCCCAATCCCTCCGTCTCGTCAAACGCGCCCACTTCCTCTTCCTCGACGCCAAATTCCATCCTGTTTCGCATTTTAGCCAGCTCGCTCTGCGCATATGCCTCTTTGGCCTTTCGCGCGCGTTTGCCGCCTCGCCGCTTCTTCTTGCCCTCATCTGGGATGGGGAGTGCCTTGGTCATCTTGGACGGCGGGGGTGCGGCCAGCTGGTCTATTCTCTTTTCCACTTGTGCGCGTAGTCTGGATCCATAGCTTCCATCTCGTAGTTTCCGCTCCAAATCCATACGCGCGGCCAATGTGCATTTGCCAGCGAGTGTCCTTTGGATCCTGCGCTTATACTCTGGTGGTGTGCTCACAACGACCTCGGACTGGAACAAGAATCCAGTGTGACGGCCTTGAGTCGCGGTGGAGAAGCCAGCGGTAATCTTCTTCTGGGCTCCCAAAAGCTATGAGAGAATAAGTAGCAGGGTGACCGTGCGTGAAGGAGCTTACGTGAACATTGCAGGATGGCATGTTAGCAAACGCTTGTAGTCCGCCTGCCACTCCCAATAGTTTGGCAGCGGTGCCAGTTCCGACAATAGCTGATAGATTTGGTGCGAGAATGTTCATTCGAGAGCTGACATAGGCGAAAATCTTTTGACGATCAGTCTCCCAGCCAACGGTTTGAGAATGAGGCACACCTTTTGCTTGATTTCCTCCAGCTTTTCCGCGGTATCGCATGCCTTTTCAATACTCTTCCACTGGGCTTCTGTGAGCTGCTGACCTCGCGTGTTCGTCGCAGTCATGAGCAAGCTCATTTTGATAGCAGGCGGGAGCACGCCGTCTAGCTGAACTTTGGTTGGATCCTAGATGTATCAGGATATGAGATGTGATTCTTGTCAATGTAGAGGGTATATACCTCGTGGTTTGCCAAGGCTCGTACGGAACGGATATACATGTGAGGGTCCACGACCAAGGTCTCCAGTTCTGGAAACTTTGTCGCATAATGATCTCGAATGAACTATAGTACAATAAGCATTGGAAGATCAAAGCTTTAGTCCCTCACCTTGTTTACAAGCATGATTTCATTCTCGAGCTCGACGGAAAGATTATTTGCTGATACAATGAGGTTATACTCTGGGTTGGCATAGGCAGGTAAAGAAGCCGTGCTCATGGCGCTTGGGAGTGCAGAGTAGTGGTCGATATCCTGCGAGAACACGCGTAAATCAGCTTAATCTTACACGAAGAGAAGTAAGCGTACTCTAATGATGTCGTTGAGCTTTTTACTTCCCAAAAGACGCGCGACCTTTGTCACGTCCGCCACCTTTCCAAGTTCCATGCGCTGAACGGCCTCTGGATCGAGCTGTTCCGCAGGTTTAACACCACCGGCCATGACTCCCTGGTCGTCTATACCTGTTGGACCGTTGGCTTCTTCCTCTTCGCCGTCTGACATTTCCTCGTCTCCTTCTGCATCTTGCTTGGCCGTTGCATGGCCGCTCTGAGCACCTTCTGGAGCATCCTCCTCGTATTCTTGTTCAGCCTCGTCGATTTCCGCAAAATCTGCGGCCAAGTCGTCTGCAAGCGAAGTCATGAAGTTGTGTGGTCAGGCGTCAAGTTGTATTTTGAGCCATGACCCAACCACCGCCAGCTAATGTGGCGTCTGCAACGCCTTCGTTGACGCTGAATGCGACAGTAATGGTACATTGAAATGGATTTCCATGTTACCCCGTCTAATCCCTGATTGAAAGAGCCGCTTCAAACCTGCAAAGGTATTCAAGAATGCAGTCGACGTTCCTCCCCCAGATCCAAATAACAGAAAACCAGCGTCTCCGGTCCAAATCACTGGCTTGTCTTTTGACGACAGAGGAGAAACGTTGGTCACGGCAGGAGGAGACGAAACCTTTCGTCTATACAACATCAAGAGTGGGAAGTAAGGATGATTCTCATTGATCTTCACACATCTGAGACTCTTTGCAGATACGTCAAGACCTTCTTTTCGAAGAAATATGGCGTAGACCTCCCTCGGTTTACACATCGGAACACTACGATTATCTATGCATCTACAAAGGAGGATGATACGATTCGTTATCACTCGTTGCATGATAACAAGTACCTTCAATACTTCCGAGGGCATAAGAAGAGGTGCGTCTGTCGCGTGTTTATTCGGAGTCAGTCTGACCAAAACAGAGTCATCTCTCTCGAAGTCTCTCCAACAGATGACGGCTTCATCTCTTCCTCTTTGGACAATACTGTTCGGTTATGGGACTTGCGCACTCCGTCCACCAGGGCAAGTATCGTGTGAAACATTACTGAGCTTTAGTGACAATCTACAGGGCCTCCTAAATCTTCCATACTCCGGGGTGGCTGCCTATGATACCTCTGGTGTCGTCTTCGCCGTCGCTTTGAACCATTATTCCAAAATTCTCCTCTACGACACAGCAAACTTTGACAAGGAGCCATTTCAAACAATATCGGTCGAGGATACGGCGTTGAGCAAGATTAGCTTTCCCCCACGGCCGCTCGTCATGACCTCCCTCGAATTTTCGACAAATGGGAAATGGCTGCTTGTCGGCACATCCGGCGGCGCGCACTATATCATGGACGCATACGAGGGCCACATGCTCGCGCGTCTCACAGGTCACCGACCGCTAGATCCAAGACAGCCTCTGGGTGCACAAGCAACACGTCTAATGAGTGGAGAGGAAGTCTGCTGGACGCCCGATTCCAAATTTGTCTTGAGCGGATCCGAAGACGGCAAAATTTACATTTGGGATATTGGTGCTCGCGGGGAACTCCAGCCGCCCAAACCAGGAAGAGATGCGGATGCATTTCAGCCTAGCCAAGTCTTGGAAGGACACGTCGGTCCAACGCGATGCCTGAGATTTAACCCTCGCTTCTCGATGCTCGCGACCGCGAGCAATGATCTAGTAAGAGCCCTTCAAAGGCGGTCGTCTGACGTATGACTGATATCTATTAGGCATTTTGGCTGACCGATAATGCGAGTGCAGATGTAGATGGAAAAGATACGGATAAGGATGGGGATAGCTTCATGGCTAGCCACTGAACTGGTTTGGTGGTGTCCCCTATCGACAATCTCGACCAGTAGAATCGCATTCGCTGATGCTATGTAAGCTCTTCATGTGAATTTTAGACAGCATGGTCCCTACCTAGAGTCCGCAAAGTTCCCATTTGTTTGTCGTTGCCACGTCAAGAAGTTTGGATTTCGACCACAATGCACTTTCGGACATTCCTTGCACAGGCCTTTACGCTTTCGCTGTTTGCGTTACGTGTATCCGCTAGATGTACGTCTATGGAGTGTAGAGGGATGTTTGTGTTGAAGCTCATGGATACGCAGCGGAACTAGACGAGGTCGACGTGACGGAACAAAAGGTAGTGGAGCCCGTACTCAGTGTTTCGGCTGCATTCCCATCGGACAATGCACTTTCGCGTTCGTATATCCAACTTGTTGAGCCAACGGACTGGTCGCTAACTGTGCGTTGGCAGGCATCGTCAATGGCCAACAAAACATGATAGAAGTCTTGATGGATAACCATACGCCTAATGAGGTAGTTCTCAGATCTATTTATGGTATGTGATCTCCTTTGTTGCTCGTTTCCTTGCTGAACGCGGTCTAGGGTCTTTCCTCAATCCCAAGACGGGCGCTTTCTTGCGCAATGTACGCTGCAACTAAGAGCTTGTGAAGCGAGTTCTCACGGGGATATAGCTAACCGAGCAAACGTTTGAGCTCCCGGTCGATGCTGGCCGTGGAATGAAGATTCCATATAGATTCCACAGCGAGTGAGTAGCTCCATTCTTCCTCTATGATACAGGAGCTAATCATTGCTAGATTCAAGGTCTGTATGCTTGGATGCTTCCCGCGCTGGTGCTTACAACCTGTAGACGATGGAGGCCAGGTTCCAAGTCACGGTCACATACGAGCAAGAGGTTAGTTCCATCAATCTCACGGATCTCATGCCTAACTATATGACAGAAAGTCTCAGATAAAAAGGTTGCATTCGACGGCCTCGTCACCATCGTCGAGCCGCCATTCTCCATCTTTGACTGGAAGCTGTGAGTTTTTTCATACGCTGATGACGACCTGCTCCTGACACCCCTGCCAGTCTCTCCACATGGGGCTTTGTGTTTGGCCTGCTCGGTGTGGCCAGCTACTTTGCCTATATCAACTTTTTCCCGGCTCCCAAAAAGAAGACCAAGGCCAAGGTTGCTGCCCCAACGGGACCTGTGGACACACCAGTGACTCCCGGTTCTGGAGTGTATTCCGAGGAGTGGATCCCCGCCCACCACATCAAAAAGGGTAAAGGCAAGAAGGATGCGCTGAGCAGCGGGGACGAGTCTGATGCGCGCCGTCGCAAGCGATAAGAGAGAGGACTGTAGTCGTATTTGGCCTGCAGCCCGTGGGTTTGCCGTCCGCGGGCTCTGGAGGGATGGGGGGTTCCGGGGATGTCAAACGCTCTATGTCCTAGCATTAATCTATGTATCTGGTGAATGATTGATATTTTTTTCGCTTCATTTGGCCATGTGAGCGCGGGCAATGGGTGGTCATTGCGTACAATAGATCTCTCTCTGCGCTCGATAATCTTCCGCCTTGGCCTCGTCGCACGATGAACCGGGGGAACAACTACCGACAGTCTTTACCGGGTTCTACGACGAGCTCGATGACGCCAGCGACACCGGCGACACGCAAGAGAAAGCGCGGACCGCTGGACACGACGCCCTCGTCTGAGGTCAGGTTCCACGAGGAAGACGAAGTTGACGGCTTTACTGGACAGATTAAAAGCGTTATTGTCATCGACGACGATACTCCAGAGCCTCCTCCCTCACTCCCAGCGAGCAGCCTCCCGCTTTCGAATGGGCATAATGCCAATGGCCTCTTGCCCGCCAGACCGCTGAGAACACGCGCTCAAGTTGCTGCTGCTCATGCTGCAACGGTCACTGCGCCAGTTGCAGCCGCTCCTCCTCCTCCAAAACGACGACGGCGCGATCAACCTCAACAACCGCCATCGTCCACGACATCCTCAACGAGAAAACCTTTTCCCCAGATTACCAACAAACCGTGGCCGAGCACCAGTACAGATGTCGTACGTCGTCTTTTTTGTCGCCTCCCGCCAGCGTAAACGGCACTGACAGAGCTTTTGCCCTGCAGTCTGCCGTCTCATCCCAGGCTTCAAAGGCCGCTCCATCCTGCGACGACAAGGATGGTCATTACATTGTAAATCAGGACGATATTATTGGCAAGCGATGTAAGCCCACCCCAAGATCCGCCGCCCTGTGCTAATCATTACCCAGACCGCCTCGTCAAGCTCCTTGGCCAGGGCACATTTGGTAAAGTCGTCGAGGCTGTCGACTCGACTATGAACCGAAGAGTCGCTATCAAGATCATTCGGGCCATTCCCAAGTACAGAGAGGCGTCGACGATCGAGATTCGCGTTTTGCGATTGCTCAAGGAGCGCGACCCGCACAATATCCAGTTCGTCCTCTCCCCCTGTGTGAGACCGTCGAGAGCCCGACGCTCACCCATCCTGCAGCAAATGCATCCATCTCATCGAAACGTTTGACCACCGGAATCATGTCTGCATCGTCACAGAACTCTTGGGCATGTGTGTCTATGATTTCCTCAAAGAAAACGACTTCCGGCCGTTTCCCCGAGCTCAAATTCAGCAATTTGCCCGGCAATTGTTATCGAGCGTTGCTTGTGAGTTGTCGACGGCATGCATGCGATGCGCATTAACGCCGTGTGGGCCAGTCTTGCATGACCTCCAGTTAATACACACCGATCTCAAGCCCGAAAATATCCTTTTGGTCAACAGTGCCTCTCGTGTGGTCACAGAGGTTGCAACTGCACCTGGTCGGGTATGTATTGTATTTCCCAGCAGGCCCCATCTGCCCTCGGCCCACTAACAATCCGGATCAGAGACCACAAACAATTCACCGAAAAATTCTATATGACTGTGATATACGCCTGATCGACTTTGGAAGCGCAACGTTTGAGCGCGAATACCATTCCACTGTCGTCAGCACACGCCATTACCGCGCACCAGAAATCATTCTTGGTCTGTCCAAGTCTCTGCTCCTTTTGAAAACGCCGCTGACCCGCGAGTGATAGGTCTGGGCTGGTCATACCCATGCGACGCCTTTTCCCTCGGCTGCATCTTTGTCGAGTTTTACACTGGCGTTGCACTCTACCAGACTCACGACAATTTGGAACACTTGGCGATGATGGAAATGGTCATGGGCCGCATGCCTGAACGTTTTGCCCGCAAAGGCGCTGCTAGTAAAGCCGAATGGTTCAAAGATGGGGCTCGACTAGACTGGCCAAAGCCCAAGGTGACCAACAAGCAGAGTCGCAAGGATGTCAAGTCGCAAAAGGCTCTTCAAGTATGTCCCAGACGCGCCTTTCCTCAGGGGTTTCTAACTGGCATGCAGGACATCATTCGGCCACAGGACCAGTTTAACCGTCACTTTCTCGATCTCGTTCGACAACTGCTCGAATTCGATCCAGCACTCCGAATAAAAGTTCGAAAGGCTCTCGAACACTCTTATTTTGCGATTGGGGTTCCCCTCGAGCCTGCTCTTTAACCGCCTGGCCTCTTGTAGAGTATGCAGCTTTAAACTTCGTCGTCGCGTCTATGTAAAAGGATAATCATGCTTCCCTAACAACTTTCGTTCACTGATAGAGCCAGTCTCATGTGAATCGACGATTTTTTAAAACCCGCCTTACGCTTTCGACGTCCTCGCTCTTCCAAGGCTCTTTGACTTCGCCTCTTTGGCCCTGGCGCAACTTGCTCCGCAACCTGGATCCCAATGGCATTCAAATCGGAGAAGGACAAGCTCCTCAAAGTTCTTCGAAGTGAAATCACAACACCGGAGCTGAAGACAGGGCATGGAAATTTCTCCCTGTTCGGCATTGGTTCCAACGGCGAAGACTCGCCCATTGTGACATCGGACTCTGATGAAGAGGTTGTTGTACATACGCACGAGGTTTGTCTACACGCTCCTTGGGGCGTATAATGATTACAACACTCGCTGACTTGCCATTCTCGCTAAAGAGCATGTTGGCTTCGTTGGCGAAGCAATTGGAGATTCAGAAAGAAGTTACCGAGATATGCGAGCGAGACTTGGCCTATCGCACGGAGATTATCGAGCTGTTGAGTGCTCGAATCATCCAGCTCGAGGCCGAGTCTGAGACGTGGAAGGAGCAGCGCAAGTCGTTTGCAGCACTGAGGGAGAAAATGGTCTATCTCGAACAGTTATATGGTGGAGATGGGGCCAGAGAGCTCGAACAGGCTACACATATAGACGGCCCTGTCATTCCAGAGGACCAAACTCTCGTAGAGATTACGTATCTCGAAACCCTCAAGAGCCAGGTCGACAAAAGTCGTGTGGATATGCAAAATTGGACTATCCGCATCTCTGAACTGGAAAGTCAACTTGAAGAGGTGCGAGAGGAGTCGTCGGCGTCACGAGTTGCGTATGTAAGACTCGACGAGGAGAAGCGCGAGTGTGACAGAAACTATGAATCTCGTATTTCCTCTCTTCAAGCAGAGCTCGACACTCTTCGAGAGGCAGGGGCGAAGGCATCAGCCAGGATTGAAGAGGTGAGTCGACGACAGCATGCGAAGTCGTTCTGACAACCTTCAAGCTCTCAGGTGCACTCGAGCGTGCCGATGAGCATATGGATGCTCTTACGGTCGAGCTCAAATCAGCAGAGGCGACACGCGACGCCTCACTTGCTGCTGCATCTGCAGAGGCTGCAGATTTTGCCACTCTCAAAGGCCGTATTGCCGAGTTTGAGGCTCAACATGCCATTTGGGAGCAACAACGTGCAGAGTATATGACAAGCTTGGGGTCGAGCTCGAAACGATTGGCCGACTCGGAAGCCGCTTTCTCGACAGCATCATCTCGCATCAAGGAACTGGAGGTAGAACTAGATGCATCCAAGGCCGAGATCTCAAGTCTCCTTCAAGCTCACAAGGAGGCCTCTGAGCGCTTCGAGCAGATTCGTGCTGGATTGGAGACGAAATTGATGACCTCAGTTGAAACATCACAATCCGAAATTGCTACGCTACAAGCAGCTCTCCACCAAGCCGAGATGGCGAAAGCGGATGCAGATCAGGAGCTGTCGAAACTCCAAGCTGCTGTATCCAGCCACGAAGAAGAGGTCGCCGGCTATACTACCCTTATTCAAGAACTCCGTGATAGCTCTGATGGACTCAACCAACGCGTTGGAGAACTTCAAGCCGAGTTGGAACAGGCTAAGCAAACTCTTGTGGAGCTCGAGGCAACTAATGCCTCGAGTGAAGCCGCTGCAGAAGAGAAATATACAAGACTACATGCGGAAGAAGCTGCAGCCAAAGCGAGCGCGGAAGCCCAGGTTCGCGAACTCGAAACGCAGATCATTTACATCAAGGAGCAATGCTCTCATCATACATCCGAACTCGAGCAAGCAAAGTTGCAGCTCGAGGAGCTTGGGGCCGCCCAAGGAAAGGCGGCCGAAGCGGCGCAACGCATCACTGAGCTTGAAGATCTGCTTTCCTCCCGTGAAAGCCGTGTCAATGAGCTCGAGGCCGAACTCGGTGATATAAAGGAGCGAGTTCAGGACTATGAGCGACGTCAACAGGAAGCTACGGACGCACTCGAGGTTGCAAAGAAGGAATATGCCGCGTCTTTGGCAGAATACGACGGTCGTCTCTCAGATATGACGCTGGGAGCCTCCACCAATGCGTCTCGACACGCTGCTTTGGAGAATGAGGTTTCGTCTCTGACCGCCAAGGTTGCAGCTCTCGAAGGCGACCTTGAGGCATCAAAATTGAGTGAAGAGCAGCTCAAGAAAGACCTCGAGGAACATATAGAGGCACTCGGCCGTGACGACGTTCAAAAGCTCAATGAAGCAGAGTCACGTGTCGCTAGTCTCAGTCAGTCGCTCGCGATGGCTGAAGAAGAGAACCAAACCTACCAGTCTCGTATCGTGGAGCTCGAGCAGTCAGTCGCAACCACAGAGTCAGAGGTGACAAAGAGGTTTGAATTACAACTTCAAGACGCTGAAACGAAGATCACCAATCTCCAACTAGCGTTTGAGCACAAATCGTCCGCTCACGCCGAAGCGCAAGAGAAGTGTTCGAAATTGGAGAGCAATCTGGAAGAAAAGACTGCAGCTCAAATCGCTCTAGAACAGCGGCTATCAGAACTCCAGAAGCAGTTTGACGATAAAATGAGATCTCTGGAGCAACAATTGGGGCTCAAGGTGCTTAGCGTAACTGAGTTGGAGGAGATTATCGAAACGCTAAAGACGGAAAAGGCTGCTGTTGAAAAGAGGGCCCGCTTGGATGTTGAAGAGCTCAGGTCCCAAATGGCAGCCATTTCGGAGCAATCCGAGTCTACCGAGGTGCGAGGTACATTTCTCTACGCGACTCGTACTAATGTAGCGTAGCTTCAGACAGCTCTGGACAAGGCAAAGGCGGATATCGTGCAACGCGACAAGGAAATAGCCATGCTCAAGAAGGAAGCGAAGGAAGAGGGACGTCGGTCCTCCATCGACGAGTCTTCCCTTCAAGATCTCTATGCAGAACACGAGCGGCAAATTTCTCAGATGGAGCAGGACTATGATGACCTTCGTATCGAGAGAGACGAAATCATCGCCGAGCGAGATGCGATTGAAGCAGAGAAAGATGCTCATCAAGCGCGTTGCCACGACCTTGAACACAGAATCAAAGAGCTGGAATCCAAGCACGGCTACTCTATGACGAGTCCGGTGGAGATGACCGACCAAGAGAGGGCAACACTGGTCGAGTTACAAATTAAGCTTCGGGAGACTGAGCAAAAACTTCAAAAGACGGAGCGTGCCCTAGTCAGGCGCTCAAACTCTGCCGAGTCAAACGTTTCGGAGAGATCGCGCGACTCTCTCATCATTGTAGAGACTGTGGATGAGAAAGGGAACTCTGAAGTTCGCGAAGTGCGGAACATTGGCAGCGACGCTGGAAGCGATACGGCCTCTGACGTGACGGCTGACCGTTCCACTCTGGCAGCATCATACTCGTTGGCGTCTACAACATCCTCAGTTGCTGAACTGGAGGCGGCGAATGCACGGGCAGAGCAAGCGGAGAGAGAAGTACGCCGACTGAGCCTACTGCTACAGAGTCACCAGCCCTCCAGCTCGTCAGTCAAGTCTCAAGGATCCTCAAGTTCGCAACAATCGCAACAGTCACCACATGTAGACGAGCATGGGGTACGTATATAGAAGCATTGTTTAAACTAAAACTCACACACAAATAGTCGCTTTTCCGTCGGCTTTCGAGACATGATTCCAAGTCTTCCCATTCCAGTCACTCGAGCATGTCGATTGCAGCTGCTCTTTCTGGAGCCAGTCGTATGGTTGGAAGCATCGGGCACGGAGACGCGCCCGGCATCTTCCCAGAGAGAATCCGAAGGGTTTCAAGCCATTCCTCGCACCATGATGACGAACACCACGAGAAGCATCATCATGATATTTCCAATCCATTCTTGCTCTTTGCTGGCCGTGATCGAAAAGATTCGACCAAATCTCGCCGTTCCGTCTCAGTATCCTCCCTTCCGCCATCCGTCGCATCCCCTACCACGCCCGACACACCTCAGGGATCCAGACTGCGTGAGTCGATGCGAGGCGCTGAAAGCCCCATCTCGCCCACAAAGTCGATGGCTGCAATTGAACGCGAACGCAAAGCTCGAGAAAAGGCTGAACGCTTGGAGAAAGAAAGGCAAGAGAAGGCGGCCAAGATTGAAGCGGCCAAAGCTGAAAAGGCAGCGAAGAGGGAGGCGGAACGACTCGAACGCGAACGTAAGGAGAAGGAGAGGAGGGAACGCCTCAAGGCGGACCCCAACGGACTGGCACGGCTTACAGCGATGAGACAAGGGGCGGGCACTTACTATTCGACATGATGCATTGATCACGTTTAAACTCTCGTAGTGGACACAATTTATCCCGCTGTAATAGTCTTGCATCTGTTGTGGAACTTACTCTTTGAACCCCGACTATGTCGTCTGCACCACAGCAGACTCCAGTAGAGGAGACGAAGACGCCAGAAAACTGGCAAAAGATGATCAAAGTGGGTGCTCTTGAGGTTAAGGAGGTTTGTATTGATGGGTTGAAAGGGCAAAACACCGTCCCAGTTCACAGACCCGTGTCATGCGGCCGCCAAGGCATCTTTCCGTTGTCTAGACGAGAATAATTACGACAGAGATGCATGTTTGCAGATATTTGCAGATTACCGCGAATGCAAAGCTGCCTGGTACGTCCAACCTGGTGCTGGCAAGACCTTCTGACCCGCGTTTCTAGGATAGAACAACGCCGAGCAGATCGTCGTGCCGGTCGCGCAAATTTCTGAGTCTACACAAACGACCTGTTTGTCATTTCTGATGCAAATTGACCTCAATTACCATTATATGACGAGAGACTAGCATGCATAAAAATTATTCCAACAAGGATAATCGTACTCTGGGCTTCCCTATCATCGTCACATCGGTGACACGGACCTGCACCTCGTCTCCTAACCCCAATGCTGATTTCGTAGATGAATACAACCATCCCTTGAGACCGAGCTCTGGAAGGACTACACCGGTGACGTATTCTCTCGAGAACGTCTCTAATTCCGGCAGAGAAGATATGAGGCCCTTTTGATTCCCCAGCACGGAGTCTCCTGGTTCGTGGCGGAGTCGCCGTTGAATGAACACTGATGCCCAATAACTATTCTGGCTTCTCGAAAGGGCGGTTACAAGTCGCTCTCGTTCGTGAAGTCTAGCAGCGTAGCTCTCCATCTCGTCTTTGGAGATCTCTGGCGACGCCGGGTTGAGTAAGGCGCTCTTGATCTGCCAATGCATGACCATGTCTGAGAAGCGCCGCAAAGGGCTCGTCACGCGGACGTAGCCATGTTCTCCGTCGACGCCCAGCGCCCAATGGGCCGAGGGGTTGACAGAGTAATAGGCTGGAACGCCAGCAACCCGTTGCTTGAGCGCGATCGCCATCGGTACTACTGGCCCCAGGTTAAGGTGTTTCTCCTGTAGCCCGAGTGGCTGGGGCGATGTGCGGAAAAGAGCTGGCAATCCTCTCTCAGCGCAAAAGCGTCCAGCAGCTTGCCCGGCGAGGATCATGGCTTGTGCGACCAGTTGACGAGCAGGAGAAAGAATCCCGGGCTCTACTGTGTACTCTATGGTCGGGAAGCCTGTCCACAACTGGGGTATTTGCTCTGACGCGGGTATCGGCTTGTCTGGAAAGCGAGCATTCGCTTTTGGCACGTGCCAAGAGAACCGACCAGCATCAAATCGACGCTTCTGTTGATTTTCTGCGATTTTTTGGAGCGCTTTGAGCTCCGAAAGAATCTCCTGTGGCACTGGTCTCCCAGGATCCTCTTGTTTCACGTTTCCAAATGGTGATGTGTAGTACGGTATATCAATACCTAGACTCTTTTCTACGCCTTTGTACGTGAGTACGTGGATGTTGTGGACGATTCCGACACGAACGCAAGAGTCGATGATGCCACCCTGTTGGTCAACCCGTGTACTAAAGGTGAGAACACTTTGGCCTTTTCCTTCACCCAATGCACCTAGGCTATGTTCTGTCATAGCATAGCTGTTTGGGAGCATGGGAATGGTCTCTTGTGACCCATATATTGTACTTCCGCGTGAAGCGGCTGTTAGCGCGATGGGGTGACTTCTTGGTAGTCGTGACGTGGGGTCTGCGACGTGAACGTGAACCCATGCAGATCCATCTGGCTGCGGTTCCACCGAGATGCCGTCGTCCAACTCGTGCGCATCCGCGCTGTCGATGACAAAGACGGGCAATTGTCCCCAGTCATGTCTTTGATCATAATGTGGATCAGAAGAGAGTAGACTTGATGTATCCACAGGGGCGACAGTATACGGGCCACCCTCGGCGATTGTCCGTTCCTCCGTGAGGTTGGTACGGTCCTGCCACGGCGAGAGAGCGCCAATGTCTTGCAAGAAGCCGAATATAACGTCATCCGTAATATCTCGCTTATATATTGCCAGCCTCTTCAAGATTGTCGGCGCGAATGCGTCGTAGGGGCTGGGTTGATGTGCCGAATGACTGCGCAGAGCACACCGAAGGAAACGTATAATGTGCTGATCCGACTCGGTGAATGAGGGGAGTGCTACTGTTGCAAGGGCTGGCGGGCCGTCCTCCCCTCGACCGACCAAATTTTGCGATATAGCTACAATGTCCTTGGCTTTGTCGAGAAAGTTGTTTAATTCGGGGGAGTTTTTGCGCACCCACTGGATAACGCGGTGAATATTCTCCACTTCAGATTTTGGGCGTGCGCTAAATTCGAGTGAGGAACGGTGCAGCGCTCGTGCGACGAAATGGATTGGATCCGCCATCAGGAGCTTGTGGACAGCTACGCGAGCTGATGTGCGACTAGCATCATCCCCGATGCTAGAGTCCATGGAAACAATTTTATCCACAGAGATGCGTGACCATTCATTCTCCCTCTGGCCAATGGTTTGAGCATATATTTTTGACACACGGGGCGCGAACCGACTCTCCATCTTTGCTATATCCTGCTCAAAGGCGTTGATGCGTTTCATGATGGACAGTCGAGTCAACAAGTCCTTTTTGGTTGGGGACTCGTCCTGTATCCGTATTTGTTCTACGAGGTGCGTCGGTACAAAGTCGGGAATAGAGAACATGATATCGTTTGGATTATGTGTCCATATTTCCCCTCGTTGGGTAAGTGTGTTGATCTTGACGACGCCCGAAACCGGCTGCTCGTTGATGAGCACCCCGTGGATAACCGCGGCGTTCCTGCAGAACGTCTTGTGTCAGAAAACTCAGGATAGAACATTATGCTTACCTTCTTAGCTCCACAAATGAACCTGGAAGTGGTCTGGTCACAATCTCAACGTCTATCAAAGACGGTGTCGCATCTCCCAAATCTTGTTCCTCTCGAGACGCCTCAAACTCTAGTCTTTCTTGAGATTTGACCTTGTTTGCCCGCGAGAGTCGTCCTATTTCAGACTCCTCCCAAGCACGTCGCTGTTGGATAGATGCTTTTTCCCAATATTGCTGCTTCTTTTGTGCTCTTGCATCTATAAGATCCCTTCCGACCTGTTTCAGTCTCTCCATTTGTGCGGCATTGGGAATAGGTCGTCTGCCAACGACTGGCGTATTTTTTGCAGTCGTTGCTTCTCCACGAATAAACGTTTTCGCACAAAGCACGTTTCTTTGAAGGTGTTGCAGTCCATTAATTTGCTTCATTATGTCTATGTCGGATGGCTACTGTAGAGGAGGAGAACAAGATGGAGGTTAACAGGGTACAGGACCTCGCGTTTGGCATGTAAATCAATGCAAATTGTACATAAATGATGGTCTAATAGGGTTACGAAAAAGGGGTCATTGATCTTAGTACTCGGGCTCGGTAATCATCTCCTTGTCTCCTCCATTCAGTGAGGGGTGAATAGGGAAAGCAGGCGACTGACTCCTCGACGCTGCTGGAGATTCTGCTGCCGCGTGAAGGTTGGATGAATCGTCTGTATCGTTGGCCATGAAGGGACCTCCGGCCATCGGGAGAGGACCACGAGACGAGCGAAGCCCAGTACGTGTAGAAGTGCCTGGACCGAGCGATCGTCTCCCTCTCATAGACGCTGGCTTGCTCGAAGGAGCTACGGACGGCTCAGGAGATATGAAAATATCGCCATTCATGGATATCCCATTGAGTTGCTGTTGGCTTGCCGTAGGACCATCGGAAGGGTGTCTTTGTGCTCGTCCTTGTCGTAGGGGAGAGTCGGCGGGCTTGGGTATTCGGAGCGTGAGGCCACCCTTGGAATTGACAGTTGCGGGCTTGGAGGGCGACGGAGCCTGGTGAGGATCAAACTCTTGCAAAGCTTGTGGGGAAATGGCCCTTACATCGAGAACAGCGTCGCCTTCTGCTGTCGAAGGCGATGAACGCTGGACCTCCTCTGTCGGCTCTTCCTTTTTGACTCCCCGTTTTGGGAGTTGGCGCGAAGGAACTCGTGGAGATGAAGCACGACCTCGTCCTCTACCTCGGCCCCCACCGCGTCCCATTCCTCTACCTCGAGACGCGCGTGGACGAGTCTCCCTGGGCATCTTTTCCTTCTACAAAGCATAATCAGATGAATCCACCTTTCACGAAGAGGACTCACATCTGATTGCCCAGATTTTTTGCCCTCGCCATCAGACGAGCTCAATTCCGTCAAGGATGAGGAACTACTCTCATCTGACCCGTCGACATCCATGGAAGAGCGAGTACCAGACCGTCGCAGTCTATAAGGGGGAATATGGGTTCTCTAGACCTTCAATAAGAAAAAAAATGGCTTACGGCGCATTTGGGTCGCGCACTTTGCGCCAAAAGTTGAGAGTTACCACGGCCTCGGGAACGCGATAGCGCTTAGCACCAACCCACATGTCTTCAATCTTGCCCATTTTGACAGTATGCTTTCGCTTGCGAGGTGGGGGCGGAGGTGGCGGGGCGTCGTCAGAAATAATGTTGATCAATCCAGAGTTGCGATATCCGGCCTCGGAAACGTCGACTGGTTCGGTAGGTGGGTGTTTTGGTATTCTTGGTTTGATTGCCTGTCCGAATAATGAGTAAAATATCCATCGAAAACGTCGACAGATCCGACTTACAAAAATGTGTTCAATGTGATTGGGACACATCCATTTGCGTTCTCGGGCAGGTACGGCAGTCATAGGAGGATCCAAGCAATCCATGTGCCAATGCAGCGGGCAATAGTCGCATGAGAGAATCGGTCGACCGCCATCAGTCAAGTCGTAAACTGGAGGCCGTACGCTCAGTCCATGATTCTCGGTCCTTCTTCGCGTTCGAGGCCCATTTTGCGAGTTATTGTCGGAAACTAGGCCCATACCCGATGGTGGCGAGACCTCTCGTTTTCGCTTGCCCGTCGCTTTCGCTTTGGTCGGTTGCGTGCCCGATTCTTCCATATTAGTAGGAGCAATGGATGCTTGACTAAGACTGTGTTCGCTCTGCTCGACGACTGGGGTTACCGGCTCTTGTAGAATTGCCAATGCGGCAGCCGATAAGCTGTCCAAAGGGTTGTCGGCGGGTTGGGCAAGAGCTGTCGCCAGAGATTCCTCCATCATTTCTTGCTTCAAGCTGGTCGGCGACGGGGGTGCAAGGCTTTGCATCTGCACATCCCCACTGATGGCGCTTCGGACGGCGGAGCCTCCACATCTGAAACAGAGGACGGGTCGATTGTTGCGGTCTCGCGTCTTGTACAGATCGCGGTCCTCGAACAAGAGTTGCTTGCTGTGACATCGCCATGAGAAGCTTGGTTCCAGAACGAGACCAATGACACTCACTTTCCCTTTGCCAGCTTCCACTTGCGCCCGTCAATGTACCCACCACGTGGTCCCGTGACGACTTTATAAGGATGAGTAACAAGACCCGTAAAGATGGCAGACGAGGATGTATTCACCATTCTTATAATAGTGGCGAATCTCCTCTGGCAACTGGAATTCGGATGGATTTTTCGTCTTGAGCCGAGCGAGCAATGGACCAAACAGTTCGGTGCCAAACTGAGGACTGGGCGAAGGCATGCGCCCCGTGTCCTTGGAAAAGTGAAGAAAATTCAGTCCCATGTCCAGCAAGAATGACAAGAATGCGCTGAAGACGCCATAGCCGACCAGAGCTCCAACAGGTGGTGGGGCGACCAAGCAACATCAAAACAAACGGGGGGACTCACGAGGTAATCGTGCTCCGCGGAGCATTCCTGGCAGTACCAACCGCCTTCTGGGATCTCCTCTTTACCGCTTAGCCCGTCGATGGGTGGATTCAGGCAGAGCAGGTGAAAGCTGCGCGGACAGCTGTCACAGTAGACCAACGACCCACCGCCCTCACGATCCGATGCGGATACGGGCAGATTAGACATGGAAGGGTGACTGTAGACCGTCGTCACACACGAGGCACACGCGTCGGACATCTGTGGGGAACGGTTTAGTCAAGGTCGCGCCAAAATGTCATAAAAACATTACGACGACATGTAAAAAGAGCATGTAGACGCACCTGTTGATATTCGACACCTCCTCGCCGGCCATACCGCCGTCTTCGCTGGTCTTGTTTTTGCCCTTGTAGCGCACGGCCGAGACACCATCCGTGCCATAGAGTTCCTTGTTCTGATTGAAGACACTTGAAGAACGCTCTTCGCTGACGGGTAGAGCCGCCTGACCTTCTGGTGTTGTGGAGGGTGCGATAGACGGTAATACAGGCGCCGTCCCAACGTCTTGCGGCCCAGATATCGACTCGGAGAGTGTGAGCTTGACCTTTCTGCCACTCCTACGGATTGTAGAGGCATCTGGACCGGACATGGTGGGCGCTTGCCCGCCCAAGGGCGAAACCTGTCGACTGGCGCGAGTTGAAGCCGTTGTGGCAGGACCATTCTCTTTGGACGCTTCCTGCGAGATGGACGGAGGGAGTGTGGCATTGTTGGGCGTAGTTGTTCGTCCAGAGCTTCGCGTTGGAGGCCTTGCAGCCAGAGGACTAAGAACATAGCCAGCCGTTTTGTATCGTCGAGTCGCACGAAACAATGGTGAGCGCAGTATCAGCACAGTTTTCACAGATTCACATAGAATACGAACGGTTTCTCGTGTCTGGATCGCTTCTTCTTACGATGTTCGTCCAGCTCGCCGGCAGGGTGGATCGTGCCGCCATCACTGAGGGTCAGGCTTATAGAGTTTACATAGGTAGAGCCTGGATCCAGCATGGGAAGATAGCTTAGCACGCTCGCGGGTTTCCTGTGATGCGAATTGGACGGCGGGAACAAGCTCGACAGTGGAGGCGGCGAGGGAAGAATCTCTGTGGCCAGCCTCGGATCCGATGAAGGTAAGTGTCTTGGTTGAACGGGTACAGGAGGCTCGGCGGCGAGGATAGCCCGAGCCTCGTCTGGCAGCATGCTCTCGAGAGACGGATGTGGACGGGTCCAAGTCAAGTTTGGAGAGTGGAGGACGAACGCATTGTTGCATGGGTGGCTAGTCGTACAGGAGAAGAAAGGAAAAAGCTTTACCAACATTCGACGGACATTTGTTTGAGCTTGCGATTCCCCGTCCGCGCCAATGCTAACCGTCGACTACTCGCGGCCGAGCAGCACGCAGCCAGCCAGGCGCGGGGTTATAAATCCATTTGTAGCATCATCCTAGGGATGCTTTCATCCTTTTGAGCTACTAGAACGAGGAGATTATGCCTCTGATGGCACCACCTGGTAGCGGCGTTGCGGCGCTGTCTTCCAACGTCAGTCAACAAGAGGAACGCACAGAGCAGTACATACCTGCGTCATGGTACGAAATCGATGTGAAGATGCCGAGCATTCTTTGACATGTGCAACAGCTTGCGTCAGTCTCTAGGTGCGTGTCCCCTGCCAACAAAAGAGAATACCAAAAAAAAAAGAGGCTGTTTTGAATCAACCAAACGTCGAGACGGGCTTTGCAGAACGAGGCTTCAGAGGCTATGGCTGTTCAGTTTGTTGATAGTTTGAATGTATCGCCTAGTAGAGAGATCCGAGTGTCAACGTGATGTTGAATAAACAAGAGGTTGAGGTTGGTTTGCTTGAGACAGACAATCGAGGTCAGCGTTTGTTGGGTGTTGGTACTGAAAGAGGGAGAGAACATGATCCAGATGACAATCTACACGTAATATTGAGCATATTATGTCGATATATGGCGTCCAAGTAATTTTAGCGAATATAGCGGGGCTCAGGGCAGGAGGCAAGGACGGGCCAAATAAACCTGCTGACCAAACAAACGTGCAAGAGGCACAAAGATGAGCATCACAGGATTTTCCAGAGCAAGCACAGAGTCTCCTGGCGAGCAGCGGACGAGAGGATGGAGACGAGAACGAACCTTGACGCCGTCCACATTATTGTTGGAGAATGTCTGCGGCAGAGGACGAGCCAGCAGCGTCGACGAGCGCACCCAGGAGTGGAACTTACTATCCAGCACCCGACGAGCTTGATCCAAACGTGCCCATCAACCTGAGCTCGTTGCGTGACGCCCCAGCAGGCGGAGACGGTAAACCGTTGTATTCGTACGCGACGCTCATCAGGCAAGTAATTAGAAATACTGGCCATAGTTTGTTATCGTAGGAGACTCATCGAGAGAGAGCACAGATATGCCATCAAGGGCTCACCTGAGAACCGGCTGTTGCTGGAAGAAATTTACTATGCAATCGAGCAAAGGTGCAGAGAGAACAATAAGAAACTTCGGACCGTTGGCTCAAACGTGAGATGCACAGGTATCCATATTTCAAGACGGCACCCGCGGGTTGGAAGGTGACAAGGATTTTACCACTGGTAGCTACAACTCAAATCTCACGCGTGACACAGAACTCTGTGCGGCACAACCTGTCCCTCAATTCTTGCTTTCAAAAGGTTCCTCGACCATTGACCGACCGTGGCAAGGGTTCGTACTGGACGGTCGACGACTCTGTAGACCCCAAGCAAGGCATCCATCGCGTGCGGAGCCGTCGCAGGAAAAACAAACACGCGGGCGATCACACTGCGAGCCCGGGGCCCTATGGATTTGGATATGGAGGTGCAGATGGGTCGTACGACGCTTATGCCGCAATGTATCCGTACGGGTGAGAGTTTGTTAAAAATCAAATTTGCATGGAGACTGATGGGTCGCGTCTTCTAGATACGAAAATGCCATGTTTCCTCCGCATTTTGCACCACCGGGCGGCGAGATGACAGGTGCTCCGATGACATTCGCCGATGGACAATCGTCGCTCGGGGCGACAACATCAGCTGGTGCTTCTGCGGGAGGACAGGCAGCGACGACGACGACGACAACGACGACAACGGCCACCACAATTACCGCGCCGGGACCTGGGGCTTCTTCTTCCTCCGACCATGGACCTGAGAATGTAGATTGGAAGGGGTTGTACCTGAGTGAACTGGAGCGACTCAAGACGATTACACGTGAGCAAGACAAAGAGGAGGCACCGCAAGAATGGTACAGGATGATGAGCATGCGCCTGCGAATGGGGATGATGGGGCTGGCGCCCTTTACGGGAATCGAGCAGCAGACGAGCCATCTGCGCTCACACCATCGGCACGATCTGCATGGGGTGCTCGAGCACGAGGCAATGGATGACAGCGGAGTAATGGAGGAAGACGATGAAGAGGACGAGTAGTTCTAGGGCCGGGGTTTGTGCATTTCGGTCCAGAGCCAAAGTCCGAGCTGAAACGAGAAATAAGAAGCTGTGTATATGGTTTGCACTGATGAAGTTTCATCGAAGAAACCTCTTTTGGGATGACAGCGGATAGATAACGACCGAGTGTGCCTGCGATAGTGGGGGATTCCTCGGGGAAGCTCGGGGAAACTGGAGGCCCTTGGCCCATTCAGAGGCCTCACGAGGTGTCAACACTGTCTGAAAATTGGCTAAAGGATGTAGCAGATGGAGTGTAGAAAACTGTGTGGCCAGCTCCAAACCACCAACCTTTTAGTCACTTTTGTCATCTTCGGCCAAAGCCGTCTCCATGACTGCCGGGGAAGATGTTTGGGCGACAAACGCGGGGAATCAGGCAGTGAGAATGTGAAATGAATCTCGAGTGTGTGCCCCTGAGCAGCTGACAATTCTATATTTCTCGACGCGGAAACTGCGGCAGCACTTGCGGCCGAGGATGGCCCGGGTCCCAACGAGGGCAATACTCGTAAACCTATAAAAGCTCGCACCAGAATCGTTCACTTTGTTTCCCCAGCTCCTCCTTCGATCTCGACAAAGGACTCGCAAATGGCTCCCAACACTGGTGTCGCCTCGGCTGCTGGCCGTTCGATGGATCCCTCCATGCTCCACTCTGGTTTGTAACCCCCCCGCCGCCTTTGCTTGGCTGGCTCCTTTTCTTGTTACTCATCTTCATCACAGGAAAATGGTGGAACCACGGCCATATTGTCAAGCTCAACTTGCTGCTCATCATCCCCCTCATCACCTCGTATGCCAACGGTTTCGACGGTTCGATGATGAACGGTCTCCAGTCGGTCGAGCACTGGAAGTCTGTGAGTAAAATTGTCCACTCGGATGCAAACTTTGATCCTGATGCGCTTCTTAGTACTTTGGCTATCCAAAGCCCGAGGATCTCGGTCTCTTCAACGCCATCCAGTCCATTGGTGCCTTCTGCGCCATTCCCATCTCGCCATACATCTCTGATGGTCTTGGTCGCAAGAACGGTATTGCCATTGGTGCCGCCATTGTCCTCGTCGGTGCTATCCTCCAAACGGCTACCCAGAACCTTGGCATGTTCGTCGGTTCCCGTTTCCTCGTCGGTTTCGGAACCACCTTTGCCCAGATGGCTTCTCCTCTTCTCATCTCCGAGGTTGCCTACCCAACTCACCGTGCTCCCCTCACCTCGCTCTACAACACCCTCTGGTTCTCTGGCTCCATCGTTGCCGCCTGGTCGACTTTCGGTACCTTCCGCATCAACAGTGACTGGTCCTGGCGTATTCCCTCGGCTCTCCAGGGTCTCTCGTCGATCATCCAGCTCCTCTTCGTCTGGTTCCTTCCCGAGTCTCCTCGTTGGTTGATCAATCGCGGTCGTGATGAAGAGGCCAAGGCCATCCTTGCCCGCTTCCACGCCGATGGTGATGCGTCGCACCCACTCGTCTCGTTTGAGTACAACGAAATCAAGGAGGCCCTCGCTCTCGAATCCGAGGCTGCTCGCGTCTCTTGGCTCGATCTCTTCCGCACCCCCGGTAACCGTCGCCGCATGAGGATCATCGTGAGTGGCCCTTTTTCCCCCAAAATCTGAACTCTCTCACTTACCTATTTTATCCAGATCGGTATCGGTGTCTTCTCCCAGTGGTCCGGAAACGGTCTCATCTCCTACTACCTCACCAAGGTCCTCGACGGTATTGGAATCACGAGCTCTAACGACCAGACTCTTCTTAACGGTATCCTCGCCATCTACAACTTTATCATTGCCATCTCTGCCTCCATGTCCGTCGAGAAGGTTGGACGTCGCCCACTCTTCATCATCTCGACCGCTGGTATGCTTGTCGCCTACGCTATCATCACTGCCATGTCCGGAACGTACGAGAAGACCAAGAACGCTGATGCTGGACGTACCCTCCTCGCATTCGTCTTCATCTTCAACGGTTTCTACGCCATCGCCTATACTCCTCTCCTCGTCTCGTACACTGTCGAAATTCTTCCTTTCCTCATTCGTGCCAAGGGTCTCGCTGCGATGAACTTCTCCGTCATGGGTGCCATCATCTTCAACCAGTACACCAACCCCATCGCCCTCGACGCTCTCAAGTGGAAGTACTACCTCATCTACACGATCTGGCTCGTGTTCGAGTTGGTCTACGTCTGGCTCTGGGCCACCGAGACCAAGGGTCGTTCGCTCGAGGAGACTGCAGCCCTGTTCGATGGTGAGGATGCCGTCGCAGAGCTTGCCAACCGCACTGGCCACGATATGGCCGAGTCTCGCGGTGTCAAGCGCGCTGGCTCGGATTCGCAGGACGAGAAGCTCAACATTGAGCACTCTCACCGCGAGGTTGCCTGAGTTTCTTCTTCTTTCGTCTGAGAAAATTGTCTGGAAAAAATATCCGTTCTATTTGCTTACGGCTGGCCAAGACTGTATGATAACGTCCTCGATCATGGGTGAATGTCATCCCTTGAAAAGGCCCCTTTTGTGTGATTTTGAGCACGACTTGGTATTTCGCAATCTTACCGAGTAAATGTCGCGTTCCATTTTGAGTGGCCGTACCTATCTCGAATCCTTTGAGAAGCATCTGCATAGAGTATGTATGCGATCCTATTATGCCGTGCACTGAACGATCGCGGGCTGGGGCTGAATCTTTTGCTGTTTTCTGTGCGGCTTCTCGCACGGGCTGTGTGACATGGAAACTTGCGAACCTGGCTGTCATCAATCTCAATCCGCGTTATCGGGATGCCCCATAGTGATCACCTCGGGTGTGTCAGTTCAACCCTTGGTATTTTTCCGCGGGGCCGTACCTTCGGTGACTTGGTGATAGCCTGCATTGAGATCGAAGCACCCAGGTTCGGGAATTCTATGATCACGGGTCAGCTTGTGTATGGCTTGGTTCCCACTTGTCAGGCCGTTTGCGGAGAGTGGCGAAATGCCGAATTTCATCTTTGTATTTGCCTTGTCTGCTTGCTTCCGACGCCTTCTGAGCCATCATCTGTATTGTAGGTATATCTATTTGATTTTGATTTGCTTCCTGGGTCGCTCTGTGTGTTCTAGGCATTAGTGTACGTAAGTCATTGAGCATGCCACCTGCGTACCTCCAGGACGATTCACACGTTGCGAACAGAAGGGCCACTGCTTACACGATTTATTTCCGAGTAATATCGATCGGTAGCTGGGTCGTTTTCCTTGCCCTGGCTGCGCACGCCTGTTCATGGCTCAATCCCCCCCTATAATGTCAGACAAGGTCGTTAACCGGTTAACCAAAAAAAAAAAAGGTTGTAGTCTGTCGTCCCCTAAATGTATCATTATTAGGATTGCAGTGCGTTGCAACTGAACAGACGTAGCTTTTTGAGCAGCGATCTCACTGCACTCTTTATGCCTGAGGCTGGGAAGTAGAAGCTAAGTTCTTGGCTTAAACGCTCGTATTTGATCTGTAAAAGTGTGAGCACTCGATTATGAGATTCAAGGTAAGCATACGTACCAGTAAGCTCACTCTGAGTGCTTCTCGAGTTTGGAAGCATACTCAAAGTCCCACCAAAACGGCCTTGGAAAAAAGATGACATTCAATGCCTAGAAGGCCATTACGCACATAAAACGGAAAGGTTTCCACAGAGAGCTTTATCGGACAAGACTCAGGCAATCTCGCGCTTAGAATGCTCAATGTTGAGCTTCTCGTCCTGCGAGTCCGAGCCATCATGTTTGAGTTGGGCCATGTCGTGTCCAGTCCGATTGCTGAGCTCGGCGACTGCGTCCTCGCCGTCGAACAGGGCTGCGGTCTCCTCGAGCGAACGACCCTTGGTCTCGGTGGCCCAGAGCCAGACGTAGACCAACTCAAACACGAGCCAGATCGTATAGACGAGGTAGTACTTCCACTTGAGGGCAGCGAAGGCGATGGGGTTGGTGTACTGGTTGAAGATGATGGAACCCATGACGGAGAAGTTCATCGCAGCGAGACCCTTGGCACGGATGAGGAAAGGAAGAATTTCAACAGTGTACGAGACGAGGAGAGGTGTGTAGGCGATGTCGTAGAAACCGTTGAAGATGAATACGAAAGCGAGGAGCGTGCGACCAGCACCGACTGACTGGTTCTTCTCATATGTCCCGGCCATGGCGGTGATGTGGCATAGGAGACAAGCATACCAGCGGTCGAGATGATGAAGAATGGGCGACGACCAACCCTCTCGACGGTCATGGAGGCACCGGTAGCAACGATAAAGTTGAAGATAGCAAGGATGCCATTAACGAGGGTCTGATCGTTAGAGCTTGTGATGCCAATACCGTCGAGGACCTTGGTGAGGTAGTAGGAGATGATGCCGTTTCCAGACAATTGGGAGAAGACACCGATCCCGAGCTGTATGAATATGAGTACAAGATTAGTGTGGAAATAGGATGTGACTCACAATGATCCTCATGCGGCGACGGTTGCCTGGAGTGCGGAAGAGATCGAGCCAAGAGACGCGGGCAGCCTCAGCTTCGAGAGCGATGGCCTCCTTGATCTCATTGTACTCGAATGAGATGAGTGGATGTGACCCATCACCACCAGCATGGTAGCGGGCAAGGATAGCCTTAGCCTCCTCATCACGACCTCGGTTGATCAACCAACGAGGAGACTCGGGAAGGAACCAGACAAAGAGGAGCTGGATGATTGACGAGAGACCCTGGAGAGCCGAGGGAATGCGCCAGGACCAGTCACTGTTGATGCGGAAGGTACCGAAAGTCGTCCAAGCAGCAACAATGGAGCCAGAGAACCAGAGGGAGTTGTAGAGCGAGGTGAGAGGACAAATTCAACTTCAGAATGGCGAAAGACGAAGCCATCACGGGCAAAATGGTTCAAACCGATGAACGAACCGGGGAACTCACCAAAATTACTGAACTGTATAGCTCTGAAGATAGCACCAATGAACAATAAAGGCGCTCAACAGCATTATTCTCGCATTTCTGCGACCAGAATACGCGAAACATGTGCGACAGAAATGGCGCGAAGCTATCTTGGTCCTCTTCCGTCGGATAGTGGAAATACTAAAAGTGACTCAGTGTAAATACCACTGGATTCGAGCTCAATAAAAATCTACTCACAGCTTTCCAGCGCTCGACCGACTGGAGACCGTTCATCATCGAACCGTCGAAACCGTTGGCATACGAGGTGATGAGGGGGATGATGAGCAGCAAGTTGAGCTTGACAATATGACTGTGGTTCCACCATTTGCCTAAAATGAAGGTTGAGCGACATGTAAACCTGATCCACGCATTACTGACCAGTATGTAGCATAGCGGGGTCCAAAGACCGACCACCAGCCGACGCAATACCAGTATTAGGAGCCATTTGGGAGTCCTTATCGAGGTCGAAGCAGGGAGCTGGCAAAGGAGTCGATGAGCAATCGGGCGAGCCTTATAAATGCGGGAATTGGATTTGGCTGACTTCTGCACTCGGTGTTCCCGCAACGCATCTCCGTAAAAAATATTACACCCTCTCACCCTAATATCCTGCCATTGGATACAGACCTTCACATAACACGAGCAGTCACCGAACCGCAGACGGCCCCCCGGAGAAATACCAAGGGTAAGTGCCGAGATAATCGCTATATATAGGGTTCACGGAATTTTAGGCCGCATTTTGCGCCCGACGCCGTGGTATTAAGTAGGAGGGTTGCAATATTTCGTGCGGATATTCGCTCCGCAAAACCGAACCCAGGAGCCAGCCAAATTCAGTCCCCATTTCAACTGCTCATATCGATGCCCCGTGCAATATCACCAATAATCCGAACAATTAGACATCGGAGATCAAATAGTACGATGAAGCATCACACGATGGTCCAAAATGGTATTTGGGGATCCAGGCTTCAGGTCCTCTTCGAAGTTGAACACAAGGTGCGGTGTCCGGCCATGTTGCTGATAGTTTGGTGTTGGAGGGTCTTCACATGGGTCTGCTTGATTGGCAAGAAAGTGAATATGGGCACGGCTTTGGGCGACCGCGGGCACCCTGGTTTATTCCATGTCCCGTCTCGAAAATGAGACAGAAATTCTCGATACTGTTCACTATTCGTCAAATACAAAATGCACAATAAGGGTCAATCGTTGGCTCCGATCGATTCTTCGTTCCAGCCGTGCAAAGGTTGTGCGCGCACTTCAGCGTTACTTGTAATTTCCTGCTCACGTACTACCACACCAGACAGGTGTCAAATAGTGTAAAATTTCCGTCCGCTGACCAGTCATAGACTCATGCACTCGACTTTTAGCCTTCGATGGCCTCTGGATGGCATAATCGTCGAGACAGGTAGAGCTGTCCATCGACGAAAGTATGCGGGAGTAGGCTTATCTACTACTATGCTCACCTTGTTCGAATAGTAAAACAGTTGACTTGAAGTCACACTACAGTGGTCTGTTCAAAGGATGGCATTCAGCGCCTGAGTGACCGTTAAGCACATGGAACGGATGCGTTTCCAGGAAACTTTCTCCGACAAGACTTAGGCAACCTCGCGATGAGAATGCTCAATGTTGAGCTTCTCGTCTTGCGAATCCGACCCAGTGTGTTTGACTTGGGTCATGTCTTGTCCAGTCCGATTGCTGAGCTCGGCGACTGCGTCCTCGCCGTCGAACAGGGCTGCAGTATCCTCCTCGAGCGAACGACCCTTGGTCTCGGTCGCCCAAAGCCAGCCAACATAGACCAACTCGAACATGAGCCAGATCGTATAGACGAGATAGTACTTCCACTTGAGAGCGCTGTAGGCGATAGGGTTGGTGTACTGGTTGAAGATGATGGCACCCATGACGGAGAAGTTCATCGCGGCGAGACCTTTGGCACGAATGAGGAAAGGAAGAATCTCGATGGTGTAAGAGACGAGGAGAGGAGTATAAGCAATGGCGTAGAAACCGTTGAAAACGAAGACAAAGGCGAGGAGCGCGCGACCCGCCCCCGAGTTCTGAGTCTTCTCGTATGTTGCGGACATTGCGGCGATGATGGCATAGGAGACAAGCATACCAGCGGTCGAGATGACGAAGAGTGGACGACGTCCAACCTTCTCGACGGTCATAGAGGCTGAGATGGCAATGATGAAGTTGTAGATTGCAAGGATGCCATTAACGAGGGTCTGATCGTTAGAGCTTGTGATGCCAATACCGTCGAGGAGCTTTCCGAGATAGTAGGAGATGAGACCGTTTCCAGACCACTGGGAGAAGACACCGATACCGAGCTGTATAGATATGAATACGAAATTTATTTGGAAATGCGTAGAGACTCACGATGATCCTCATGCGGCGGCGGTTGCCTGGAGTGCGGAAGAGATCGAGCCAAGAGACGCGGGCAGCCTCAGCCTCGAGAGCGATGGCCTCCTTAATCTCATTGTACTCGAACGCAATGAGTGGATGTGACGCATCACCATCGGCGTGATAGCGGGCAAGGATAGCCTTAGCCTCCTCATCACGACCTCGGTTGATCAACCAACGAGGAGACTCGGGAAGGAACCAGACAAAGAGGAGCTGGACTGACGACGAGAGACCCTGGAGAGCCGAGGGAATACGCCAGGACCAGTCACTGTTGATGCGGAAGGTACCGAAAGTCGTCCAAGCAGCAACAATGGAGCCAGAGAACCAGAGGGAGTTGTAGAGCGAGGTGAGAGGAGCACGGTGAGTTGGGTAGGCAACCTCGGAGATGAGCAGGGGTGAAGCCATCTGGGCAAAGGTGGTTCCGAAACCGATGAGGAAACGGGAACCGACGAACATGCCAAGGTTCTGGGTAGCCGTCTGGAGGATAGCACCAATGAGGACAATAAAGGCGCCAACAGCAATACCATTTCTGCGACCAAGACCATCAGAGACGTATGGTGCGATAGGAATGGCGCAGAAGGCACCAATGGACTGGATGGCGTTAAAGAGACCGAGGTCCTCTTCCGTCGGATAGTGGAAATACTAAAAGCGACTCAGTGTAAATACCACTGGATTCGAGCTCAATAAAAATCTACTCACAGCTTTCCAGCGCTCGACCGACTGGAGACCGTTCATCATCGAACCGTCGAAGCCGTTGGCATACGAGGTGATGAGGGGTATGATGAGCAGCAAGTTGAGCTTGACAATATGACTGTGGTTCCACCATTTGCCTAAAATGAAGGTTGAGCGACATGTAAAAACTAATCCACTCATTACTGACCAGTATGTAGCATAGCGGGGTCCAAAGACCGACCACCAGCTGACGCAATACCAGTATTAGGAGCCATTTGGGAGTCCTTATCGAGGTCGAAGCAGGGAGCTGGCAAAGGAGTCGATGAGCAATCGGGCGAGCCTTATAAATGCGGGAATTGGATTTGGCTGACTTCTGCACTCGGTGTTCCCGCAACGCATCTCCGTAAAAAATATTACACCCTCTCACCCTAATATCCTGCCATTGGATACAGACCTTCACATAACACGAGCAGTCACCGAACCGCAGACGGCCCCCCGGAGAAATACCAAGGGTAAGTGCCGAGATAATCGCTATATATAGGGTTCACGGAATTTTAGGCCGCATTTTGCGCCCGACGCCGTGGTATTAAGTGGGAGGGTTGCAATATTTTGTACGGATATTCGCTCCGCAAAACCGAACCCAGGAGCCAGCCAAATTCAGTCCCCATTTCAACTGCTCATATCGATGCCCCGTGCAATATCACCAATAATCCGAACAATTAGACATCGGAGATCAAATAGTACGATGAAGCATCACACGATGGTCCAAAATGGTATTTGGGGATCCAGGCTTCAGGTCCTCTTCGAAGTTGAACACAAGGTGCGGTGTCCGGCCATGTTGCTGATAGTTTGGTGTTGGAGGGTCTTCACATGGGTCTGCTTGATTGGCAAGAAAGTGAATATGGGCACGGCTTTGGGCGACCGCGGGCACCCTGGTTTATTCCATGTCCCGTCTCGAAAATGAGACAGAAATTCTCGATACTGTTCACTATTCGTCAAATACAAAATGCACAATAAGGGTCAATCGTTGGCTCCGATCGATTCTTCGTTCCAGCCGTGCAAGGTGTGCGCGCACTTCAGCGTTACTTGTAATTTCCTGCTCACGTACTACCACACCAGACAGGTGTCAAATAGTGTAAAATTTCCGTCCGCTGACCAGTCATAGACTCATGCACTCGACTTTTACCCTTCGATGGCCTCTGGATGGCATAATCGTCGAGACAGGTAGAGCTGTCCATCGACGAAGTATGCGGGAGTAGGCTTATCTACTACTATGCTCACCTTGTTCGAATGTAAAACAGTTGACTTGAAGTCACACTACAGTGGTCTGTTCAAAGGATGGCATTCAGCGCCTGAGTGACCGTTAAGCACATGGAACGGATGCGTTTCCAGGAAACTTTCTCCGACAAGACTTAGGCAACCTCGCGATGAGAATGCTCAATGTTGAGCTTCTCGTCTTGCGAATCCGACCCAGTGTGTTTGACTTGGGTCATGTCTTGTCCAGTCCGATTGCTGAGCTCGGCGACTGCGTCCTCGCCGTCGAACAGGGCTGCAGTCTCCTCGAGCGAACGACCCTTGGTCTCGGTCGCCCAAAGCCAGACATAGACCAACTCGAACATGAGCCAGATCGTATAGACGAGATAGTACTTCCACTTGAGAGCGCTGTAGGCGATAGGGTTGGTGTACTGGTTGAAGATGATGGCACCCATGACGGAGAAGTTCATCGCGGCGAGACCTTTGGCACGAATGAGGAAAGGAAGAATCTCGATGGTGTAAGAGACGAGGAGAGGAGTATAAGCAATGGCGTAGAAACCGTTGAAAACGAAGACAAAGGCGAGGAGCGCGCGACCCGCCCCCGAGTTCTGAGTCTTCTCGTATGTTGCGGACATTGCGGCGATGATGGCATAGGAGACAAGCATACCAGCGGTCGAGATGACGAAGAGTGGACGACGTCCAACCTTCTCGACGGTCATAGAGGCTGAGATGGCAATGATGAAGTTGTAGATTGCAAGGATGCCATTAACGAGGGTCTGATCGTTAGAGCTTGTGATGCCAATACCGTCGAGGAGCTTTCCGAGATAGTAGGAGATGAGACCGTTTCCAGACCACTGGGAGAAGACACCGATACCGAGCTGTATAGATATGAATACGAAATTTATTTGGAAATGCGTAGAGACTCACGATGATCCTCATGCGGCGGCGGTTGCCTGGAGTGCGGAAGAGATCGAGCCAAGAGACGCGGGCAGCCTCAGCCTCGAGAGCGATGGCCTCCTTAATCTCATTGTACTCGAACGCAATGAGTGGATGTGACGCATCACCATCGGCGTGATAGCGAGCCAGGATGGCTTTCGCCTCTTCATCACGGCCGCGGTTGATCAACCAACGAGGAGACTCGGGAAGGAACCAGACAAAGATGAGTTGAATGACTGACGACAGGCCCTGGAGAGCCGATGGAATACGCCAGGACCAGTCACTGTTGATGCGGAAGGTACCGAAAGTCGTCCAAGCAGCAACGATGGATCCAGAGAACCAGAGGGTGTTGTAGAGCGAGGTGAGGGGAGCACGGTGAGTTGGGTAGGCAATCTCGGAGATGAGCAGGGGTGAAGCCATCTGGGCAAAGGTGGTTCCGAAGCCGATGAGGAAACGGGAACCGACGAACATGCCAAGGTTCTGGGTAGCCGTCTGGAGGATAGCACCAATGAGGACGATAAAGGCGCCAACAGCAATACCATTTCTGCGACCGAGACCATCAGAGACGTATGGTGCGATAGGAATGGCGCAGAAGGCACCAATGGACTGGATGGCGTTGAAGAGACCGAGATCCTCCTCCTTTGGATAGTGGAAGTACTACGAGCGCCTTAGTAAGATTGTTACTCTTGAGTTTCAGGAAAAGTCTACTCACAGCTTTCCAGCGCTCGACCGACTGGAGACCGTTCATCATCGAACCGTCGAAGCCGTTAGCATATGACGTGATGAGAGGAATGACGAGCAGCAAGTTGAGCTTGACAATATAACTGTGCTTCCACCATTTGCCTAAATGAAGGTTGAGGGACATGTAAAAACTAATCCACGCATTACTGACCAGTATGTAGCATAGAGGGGTCCAAAGACCGACCACCAGCTGACGCGATACCAGTGTTAGGAGCCATTTTGGAGACCTTTTCGAGATCGAAGGAGGAACTGGCAAAGGAGTCGATGAGCAACTGGACAAGCTTTATACTTGGGGGGCGTGGACTTTGCTTTCGGCGTTGCGAAGACGCACCTCCGTACAAAATATTGCACTGTCCGCGTCGAATATCCCGGATTGGATGTAAACCCTCATATCACGTAGGCAGTCGACGAGCAGCAGACGGCCTAGCGGAGAAACGGACTAGAAAGGACCGATGTGATCGTTGTAGGTAGAATTCACGAGATTCAAAACCGCAAAACCCGCATCTTGCGCGTGAATACCCGACTCTAAGTGCGAAGGACGCAATATTTCATGCGGACAGTCATTCCGCAACACCGAATGCCACTGCCAATCAAATTCAGTATTTCAGGCGCTCATACCTTAAAACCGAACAACTGGACATTCAAGATCAAATACAGTGACGAAGCATCACCTCACGGTCTAGAATGGGATTTGGCAATCCATAAGGCTGTACGTCTGTGCATTCGCGACGTTCAGCAAACAAAGGCGGCTGTTCGTCTTGCTGACAGTTTGGTTTGGGCAAAATCTCGGCATGGATCCTGCTTGATTGGCAAAAAAACTGAATATGGGCACGGCTTGGAGTCGATTCAACGAGTGTAGGAATCGTTGATGGGGCATGAACGGACTATTACGTTGAGATGTGCATTTGTGTAATGTGTATCAATACTGAGACTTGTCGTCAAAACGTAGGTTATCGTTGGGTCCAAGGTTTGCTCAGCGGCGAGCCTCTTCGCCATGTAGTTCAAGTCATGTAGGTAGTATCATTTAATCTTTTTCTCCAATCTCCAACTTCGGTCCCAGGGAGACTGACTATTCCTTGGTCCCAACGCCTCTCATCTTTCTAGACGCGCAACGCTCGTGCTCTCTACATCACAACTCAATCACACCTAAAGGAAGATAACATAAAGAAACAACTGTTCAACACCGTCTACTCGGTCTCACACATTAGAAATGCCAAAGGTGGAGTTTTCTCTGCCCGTGCACGGCGATGACTCACGCGATTCATCTGATTAGAATAAAGGAAAGGTCAATGTCTATTCCCGCGAATTATCTACAATTTTGAATGTCGCTGCTTCCACGCGCCGTGTGCTAAGACTGCGATCATAGGGTGGCAAGAACCGTCGACGAGGAAAGAACGAAAACGAGGGTGAGAGGCGAGAGTTAGTGTTTAAAGAAGATGGTCAAGGTGTGTTTTTGCGACACAGAATGCGACGCCGTGCATACGCGCTAGATGTGACGCTGACTCACACTTCGCTGCAGAATACGCACAAGTTACAAAGATGCTTGGAAATGGACGACTGGAAGCACAGTGTTTCGATGGCGAGAAACGACTAGCACACATTCGTGGCAAGATGAGGAAGAAGGTCCGTTGAGTGCGATGGATGGAGGTACTAGTACTCACAGGGTACTAGGTTTGGATCAATCAAGGAGATATCATTCTGCTTTCCCTGCGTGACTTCCAAGACGACAAGGCAGACGTTATCGTCAAGTACACTGCCGACGAGGCGCGTAACCTCAAGGTCAGAAGAGCATCTACGGTTAGTATACACCTTACTCACGAATTATGCTACAGGCCTATGGGGAGCTGCCGGAGAATGCAAAGATCAACGATACCGACACTTATGGAGAGGCGGAAGACGGAATTGTGTTCGACAACGACGACGAGGTCGATATTGATGATCTTTAGACGTCAAGACGTCTTTACCGGGTTCTCAGTCCTTGCTTTCTACTGCATGTTTCGGAACTGTTCCTCTTGTGTACAAGAGACGAACCGCCATGACGGCCGCGGGAGCTCTGTCTGTAGAAGAGATGCCCCTTCGCTTTGTACCATCAGAAAAATGAACAATGCACTGTCATCGCGACCAACTCTCCGATAAATGAGCATCTGTACAATTGATGATAATTAAAGCACCACATGAGCAGAAGAGGGGTCCAAGTCGACGAAGATTTTCCCTAAAAGCCAAAACGAGGGTGTTCACTCGTCTTCCTGATCCGTAAGTTCTTCCTCATCTCGGATGCCACCATGGCCGTGCTCGTATCCTCTTCTCCGTATCCATGCGTGACCATTTGTATATGGTACGGTCCGCAAAGGCGTTAATAACACCCACCACGGGCTGGTCATACAGTCAGCAACCTCCTGATCATTTGTGATATCTCCACTCACTGTCCTGTTTCCGTAATGTTGAAGAATAACCGGAAATTGTCCCGCACACCGAGGTTATATGCATTGACAAATGTTTCCCCTCGAGACGCAGCAACTTTACGGTACGTGCTGGCATCGTGGTTCTCGACAGATGTCTGTCCCTGAGAGACGAGATAGAGATGCCATCCGCACATTGCGCTAACCGCCAGACCTAGCGCGAAGCAGATGATATAAATCAGCATGAAGATTACTTGGGGCGTCGCATGTGGCCACTTTTGACTTGTCAATATGCACGATCAGACAATAACAGCTGAACTGACCGAGTTAGACATTTCGAACACCACCCATGCCTTTGTCCATCCCAGGACGAGAAAGCATGTGCAGCACACGATCAAGTAGACCCTACCAGTCCTCAGCAGAGTGAACGGTGCTGACGACACACGTACATGAAGAGAACGAAGTGACGTTCATTTCCAATGCCGACGCATTGGTTTATCCCTAAACTCGGTCAATTCAGAGTTACAGAAAGTGTAGATGCGTACACTAGATTACGTCAACTTGTGAGTGGTCACCAAATAGCAGACTTACAGGACAATGATGATCATACTTCAGCACACAGCGCTTGCACACGCGGCAATGATGCGTTCGCTATGATACCGTCAGTCATTCGGTCATAAATCAATCAACACAACCTACTTCTGGTTTGGTACTACCGCATTTTTGGCATCTCCCTACCTTCCCTGGCTCCAGCTCATGGCCACGCAGCGTTTCGGCACCATAACGCGGCTTTTGGACAGGTGCACTTGTCCATCTGTTCCATGCGCTATTCGAAAGGTGCCTGCGTTGGCCAGAGAACGGGAAATCGTCGTCTGCAAATCCGGGTGGGACGGTAATCGCCCAGTAATAGTTGGCGAGCGTGTTAAACGCGATGAGTGCACATATGGGTGTGCTGAGAATGCGTAATGGGAGCTCTGGTGCAATAACGTCGACTATATCCCAGCGACACGAATGTGAGCCGGCATGCTTGTCATTTCAAATGGGCAAAGCGACGTACAAAATGTGAATATGCCCATACTGATGAGAACAACTGCGATTCTAAAGGGTGGAAACGCGCATTCTGTCAGTATTTAGGTCCTTGTCATGGCTAGGTGCTGAGGCGCGGGTATTCTGTGTCGGATAGAGGGATAACTGACCCAATAAATAGTGGACCAACAGCCCCAGTTACTCTGTCGGCGGAGCGTTCGATGCATTTGAAGCATCGAAACACCCAGCGTGTGATAAACATGCTCAGACTAAACGCTAACTTGTAGTAGCGTCGGAAGGGTATTCTATTTTGATACAATGACGGCTTGCTCTCAACCTGGCTGCGGTAAGGTTGGTTGTGGTCTTGGTCCAAGCTTGCTTTAGCGGCGTCATCCTCACCTTGTACAAATTTCAAAAGATAGACATACAGAATAAATGAGGTCCGTGTTAATTCCCAATTCATGAATATACATGGAGATAAAGCGGCTTCGTAGTCATGCTTTACGGACACACGAACAAGATGAAGAGTGGACGAAAGAGAGGAGATTGCAGGATCAGAAACGAATACTATCACAAAAACCCACGATAATTCGAGATGTATGGATGTACCGAAATGGACTTGAAAACCGGAAAGGAATGTGCGAGGAGAGCATGAAAGTGGACGTGAAAAAAGGGAATGTGAGAGCAGGGCTTTGGTTGCGCCGCGCATGGTCGTAGAGACCTTCCAAGAGGATCAACCTCACCGCTTCTTGCGCGAGAACAGGCCACCAAACTTGGACCTGGTTGGCTTTGGATAATCGGATTCACGAGTGTCAACCTGCTGGAGAGCCCGAGAATTGTCGCCTCCCTTTTCCTGATTAAAACTTCTAACACTCTCGTACCCAAATTCGCTGCGTCCACTGCCTGAGAGACCGAGCCTTCGCTCCGCTGCCGAGGCTGGTGGACTGTTTCGATAGCTCCCTCCTGGTCCAATGTCGCTTGGCGTCAATTGGATAGGTGAGTGCTGAGGATCAGGAATCATCCTGGCTTCGTCCTTCACACGTTGCATTTGCAGCATATTGTGCAAGTCGACCGCAGATGGTATGGACGGCAGCGCGGGAACTGGCTCGGGTGGTGCTGACGGCGATACAGGACTTTCAGACCCCTCATGATCCGAACCAACTGAGAGGAAAGAGTTGTATGGGTCTCTCGGAGGCACGAGCGCGATAACTGGGGGCTACAGGCGGCGTCACACGAGTGATCAAGACGGAGTGTTCTGATCTCGAGCCTGAACCCGTAGGAGTCGAAGGTTTTCGCGGTCGAGATGCAGAACGTGGTCGCCCTGCCTCTTCCGATGATTCGTTCAAGTGTGACTGCTCCTGAGCGACCTTGGAATCAATCCGTAGCTGGTTCGAGTTCATCCGTCGTCTACTTTGGATAGAGTCGGGTCTTCGTCCATCCGGAGAAGGTGGGACAATGGGCGACGTATCTTCCAGCGGCGTTCGGCCATCGGTAGGTGTGGGCATAGTCTGTACGATATCGATGGTCAGTCCTCCAGGTCTCTGAGAGTCAGCAGGCTTTGCTCCTGCAGTCGAAGGCCGGGAAACGACTTGAGGGCCAATACGAGGTCGGACATCAGTCGTGGTCCAAGCTCTTTCCCGTCCCTGAAGGTCGTCCTTGTTGATATGCGAGTTGAGACCCAGGTCTGACTTGGATATAACCCTTGTTTGTTGTAGAGTAAGATGCGTGTTTGAGCGAGGTGTCTGAGCCTTTGACGGAGGGGGGAGTACCCGATTCTCACGAGGAGCGTCTAGACGCGTGCTGCTCTGAGGTGTTACACTCCTCGGAGCTGAAATGGAAATCAGAGGGGAAATCTACAAAACCCAATGAAGAGCTTACTGGTCGGTCTGGCCTCCTTTGGTGTGGTGGGCCTCCCTTCTCGTTGCTTTGGCGCTACAATACTGTTAGAACGCAACTTGGGCGAGAAAGTGTGTACTCACTGACTGGGCGGCCGAACACATCTCGCTTCGGCGTCACAGGACGCTTGACCTTCTCCGTGTCGCTAGCTTCTCCTTTCCTGAGGTACCCTTCCAACATCTCAGCGCGCATGTTCGTCGAAGGGCCCATGGAAGAGGGAACCATGCGGTCAATCGGCTCATGATCACCGCCTTCTGTGCTACCATCGTCCGCCGCAGACTCGCGGTGGAATCGTTTGGCCAGCTGCTCATTGCGAGCCAATACTCGCTCCATATGAAGCGACTCTCCCAGGGCGGCTAGTCTCTCGCGCAGCGCAGACCTATCTTCTTCTTCGAGCATGTCGTCGCCATCAGATTCGGAAGGGCCTGTACCCTTTGTGTCTGTAGTCGCTGAGCGTGATCTTGTATTCCCTAGTGGTGACGCAGTGTTTTTGTGAGACGAATTGCTAGCAAGCCGCTTCGCCTTTTGACGCTGCTCATATTCCGTCTGAATCACCCTCGCGTGCGCCTCGACGAGCTCTGCCGCTTGTGCACGAGTTGAAACTTGGCGAGGGTCGATGAAAGACATTGGTATGGAGCCATTGATGTTGTAATCTGCGATCCCAGCGTAGCCAGGGCTGGCAATCGATGGCGAGGTACCTCCTGGGCCGAGCGAAATAGGGGATGGGGCAGGGGAATGATTCGTAGACACTGTCGCAGATCTTAGTGGCCGAGAAATGTAATCAGAGGCTAGCTCTTCGCCGCCCTCGGGCGAACGCAATGCATCTGCAGAACTATTTGTGCCAGTGAGGTTGGATGATTCATGGGAAGAAATGGAGCCTCGCTCGTCACGACTGTCAGGAGCTTGCTGCGTACGGTTGAGCGATGTAAATGACGGCACCGGACGAGCTGATCGTGGCGCTGGTGACGCTTGATCCGAGCCAAAGGACAGTGGTGTGTCCGTTCTAGCGCGGTCGATATCGTCTCGTGACTCCTGATGAACTGCAGTCATAGCTAACCCGTCTCCAGGTCCCAGCTTCGCTCTATGTCGCGGCACAATACCAGAGTTGGGGGTGAGCACTGGGGATGGTTTGTTGGGGAGCGCCGAGTGTGATGGATAATGCCGGAGTCCTGAACCAGAAGACTTTCTTCCCAGACCAAATGTCGTTTGTCCAGCTGGTGCAGAATGTTTCGCGCGATCCGGGAGCGCTCCCCTGGTCTGCATATACTGTAATTCCGCGGGAGTACGGTTGAGTACCCTGGAAACCTCATCCAGATCGTCCGGCGACCGGCTAAGGGTTTGATCGTCTGTGGTGCTAGGTGCACCGTCGGCGAGATCTGGGCGAGCATACTCTGCCATGGAAGTTGATGGCTGTTGACCATTCATGATCGGACCAGAAATGGCATCGCGTGAGATTGTATGGGGATGGAGATGTCGACCATGGTCACGCTTTGATAGAGGGGGGAGATGATGTCCATGGAAGAGCCCGCCGCCTCTGTCTTTGTCAGTCACACCGCTAGCACTCGGACTTCGTGTCCGAGTGAGTGTTGGCGGCGAAGGGGAGGATGGCGAAGGGGCTATAGAGAGTGCACCAGACGCGGTAGCGGGTCGTAGATTGGGTCGCCGGAATAGTTTATTGAGACGACTAGCAGCCCCATGTGACTCTTTGCCCGAGTGATGACTGATCTGGCTCGTTGCGTCGTCATTCGGCATGCTACTCTTCCCTTCGCGACTGTTTGCAGACTTTGGTCTACGCACAGTGAAAGGAAGCCTGGATTCCTTTTCATGAGCAGATGAGGCAGTTGCAGGTCGATCCGATGGGAAACTCTGCTGCTTCTTTCCGGACGGAGGACGTGGGTACGATGTCGAGGGGGGCGATTCGTGAATAGAGGGTAGGGATGGTCGCCGTCCGGGCTGATTTGCATATCGACCCAGTGACGCCGTGCTCTGCGCTGCAGAGCCGGTGAGCGGTAGAGAGGCCGTGCTAATGTTTCCTCCTCGGAACCCAAATTCCATTTCTGGTTTCAGGCCAGAGCTGGATGGAGGCTGTTGAGGAGTCTCGATGCTTCTTCTTGGCGCCCCTTCGTGATCGATCCGCCAGTCTCTAATAAAATCGGCCACTCGTTGTCTGCCAGCGCTGCGCGCCACCATTTCTGGTGTTGCTTTCTCGATATCTCGAGCAAGGGGATTTGCACCATTCTCCAACAGGATTCGAGCAACTTCCAAGTGGCCCAGAGCAGCCGCAAAATGCAGCGGTGTGGAACCTCGCAGACCTACGGGCAGAGACGAACCTCCATTTGAACTCCCTGGCCTGGTGGTGGATGCAGAGGACGGTGGAGCCTGTAAACCAGCGCTTCCTAGTCGGCCCTTGTGCAACTTCTCGCCGGCCGTTGTGCACTGGTGACTGTCTCCGATCACCCCGCCAGGTCCCACCATCTGACCAGGACCTCCAATGTTGATGGGCGGTCCTGTAGAACTGGGGAGTCGAGGGATATTGACATCTGCGCCATTGTCGATGAGGAGCTGAACAACCTCGACTGAGCCTCCAGAAGCAGCAGCATGGATGGGAAGAAGACCCCCAAGAACTGCATTGATAGGTTGACCGTGTGTGATCGCATAAGTGACCAAGCCAATGTTGCCAGCAGCAGCCGCCCCATGGAGGTCATAATTTAAGACTAGAATTAAATGCAAAGGAAATCATGTCAGTAAAAAGAAAATAATACTTCTAGGGACGCTGGACCGGGGCATCTGGGGGGGAAGGTCGACCAGCACAGGTAACGCCCCACACACAAGGGGCCAAAAAAGCCTGAATCACAAACGACAGAGATCTGACAAGACGGGTTTGAAAGATCAAGAGTCTCGTAGAATGAGATCAATGGTCGTCGTAGAGACGCGAGAGCCATAAGGAGCTAGCGACTTATTTGAATGCTCATCGGCAACGGCTACGTGTAGGTATTTGGGAGGAATATGAGCAAAAGCGAATAAAGACGCTTACAGGTTGTGACTACATCGTATTTCTTCTTATGAACCATTAGTCAACGCCGGGGACGACGCCTCGAACGGCGTGCGAGGTGGCGAACGAGTGAAAGATGAGCGAGAGGATGCTCAAAGGATGCTTTGCGTGCAATTTGAGCGAATAATGCAGACGAGAGCGTGCTTCGGGCACGGCAGCTTCGTCGTGGTCGGGTCGAAGAAACGCCTTCAAGTCCCGATCGGCCTTTACCTGTCTCCGTTTCCCTTCTGCGGCTGGTTTCAGCGGGGAGCGGCCAGTAATCAGGACCTGTTTGGTCATCGTTTTTGTGCCTTTTTGTCATTTGCGGTCAACAATGTTCCTCCTGCCACAGCCAGCGCTCGCCTCTGAGCCTCGGACTCTACCAAGGCTTTCACGCTTCCAACGCCGTGTCAAAGTCTCAAATCTCACATTTGGTCTCCTCATTCTCGCCTTGGTACTCTCGTTGGCTGCAAATTATCACCAATCGACGCGGTTTCATCGGCTGCAGGCACCTTTGCCATCCACACTCAGAGCCGCTTCAGTAGCGCTCAGGAGCGACGCCGTCAAAAGCGCGACAAATCTTATTGTTGTTGCCGGTCATGGTATATGGCGGGTGAGCTTTCAGGCTATCTTACTCGCTCCCCCCGTCGCCCGTCCATTGCACCCGAAATCCCTCATGTTCTTCATGTTCCTCATGTTCAGGGCACTCACCGCCTCGTCTTTATGACTATCGTTTGCTTGACAGGGATGTAACACGTCTGAATGGACAGATGAACGTAATTGGGTTTTACAACAACATCAAAAGGGGACTGACAATCCTCGGGCATTTTACAGCCATATAAAAAAGGGGTGAGTATCCATCCCGCGGTTCCGATTTTCGCGTCCACCGCTGTTTCGAGTCTGCACTCAGTTCGCTTACAGAGTCGCCCTGGCGAGTCGCGATCCTGCGTCCATTCTTCTATTCAGCGGGGGATACACACGTCCGGAGCTTCCCACTCAATCCGAGGCTGAATCTTACCTCGCACTGGCACTACAATCCTTCGACTACGAAGCTTCTTGGAGAGCACGCGCGTTCACAGAAGACTATGCTCTTGATTCGTTCCAAAACCTCTTTTTCAGCATCATGCGCTTCCACGAACTGGCTATCGCAGTCGGCAAAACAGGGCGTGCCTCGTGGCCTATGAGAATCGCCGTTGTAGGTTTTGAGATGAAACGACGTCGTTTTGTTGAGCTTCATCGTCATGCACTACGCTGGCCAAACGACTCGTTTGACTATATCGGCCTCGACTTGCTGGATCCGACGGAGCGAGACAAAGGCTGGCAAGGCGAGGTGAGGTACTAACCCCAGTCGCACAACGCCACATTCATCTTTCATTAGGAGACATATGGATTTGGGCCTTACACCCGCGACCTCTACGGCTGTCATGGCCTTCTCGCCGAAAAGCGGATGTCCAGGAATCCTGCCGCACGCTTCTTTCCATACAAGACTACCAGCCCAGAGCTGGCTGCTCTCATCGACTGGTGTCCGTCCGAAACGGCCTCCCAACAGCTCTTCACAGGCCCTCTTCCGTGGGACTGAGCCAGAGGTCCGAGTTGTATCAAATTATTTCTTGTTCTAGACGCTCCAATAAACCAACCATCAAAGCAGGTCCGAAGAGGTACCATCACGTTTAGTCTCTAGGTTTGCAAATTTGACCAAATCTTAATCAAACGGAAATGGTCTTGAGTTCATATTCAAGAAACAAGACTAGAAACACAATGGGAGCGTCCGTAACAAGAAACAACAACAGGTTTAATAGCTTAGACACGAGAAAGGGATGATTTCGGTCGCGGAAATCTATGTGCCGCGACACTTGTCGGCCTCGTAGTCGCGCTGACTGGAGGGTCGACTGTGAGCGGAGGTCGGGCAAGCAATGCAGCACCTGCACTGCTCCTCCTTGGGCGAGGTAAGCCTTTTGCGGGCTTTGAGGTAGTCACAGCCGCTGTTGGTTGCGAGACGGGCGCTGGTGTATTGATGGGAATCGAGGGGGGTAGTATCATGGAACTCGGACGAGGTTTCAATGGCCCTGTACGAGGTCTCGCCGTCACCAAGGTTGATGATGGAGGTGGTGGTTGCATGTCTACTTTGGTTGCTGGAGGTTTCAAGGCTGGTGCGCTGGAGCTAATGGTAGACAATCGAGGCACACGGGCTGCAGCACTGTTGGCCCGGCCCCCAGATGCAAGAACCCCCTTTGGTGCTACTAAACTATTCGAAGTAGCTGGCGTCTGAGCCGGTGCTGCGGTGGAAGGCACTGGTCGTGATATAGCAGACTTTGCTGAAGTTGTGGCGACGCTCATCCTTGGGCGCACCCCCACAGCCGTCCGGGTGGATGATGCCGAGGGTACTGGTGGAGGAGCCATAGCACCACGCGTGCCTGACGGGCGCGGCGCTATCGAGGCACGACCCGCTAAGGCTGTCCGTTCAACGGCCAGAGAGACCCGTGGCCTAGCAAGCGAGAGTCGAGAGGTGGCACCCTTTAGCACCACTGATGGGCGGGAAGCTCGCTTGGAAGTCGAACTGGATTTGCTTGGGCTCGAAGTCGTCGAGGTCAAAGGCGAAGGACGCTTGGCTAGCGGTCGTTTATATCCTAGTCGCTTCTCCGGTGACGGTGTTGCTTGTTTGACAGTACTCGCTGAGCGATTGCTGTTTACCGAGGAAACACTTGTCATTGACATCGTCCGCGCATGAGGAATTGGTTTGCGTCCAGCCTGGACTGGCGAGATTGTTTCCTTGCCCGGGCTTGTGTCATCTATAATGGATTGACATGATGTTCTGGACGCATCAAGAACACATACCACTGGGAAACTGGAGAACGTCTTCATCTACTTTGGCCATTGAGAAGCGACGCAGGTGAGGGAACACTTTGGATGCATGAACGTTGGCATCTTCGTTGTAGCCATTCGAAGATTCTGGCGATGCTATAGTACAGTTCAGCGCTTCTCACTGCTTGTTCAAACAATAAGCATACTTGGGCAGCTATCTGGTAGCGGAATTTCTGTGTAAGGATTCAAAAGTTGAGAAGGGAAGCAAGAATGCACCATTACCATGCGCTAGCAAATTGGCTCCTTGTGTCTCCTTGGCCGGCAACAGACTCTGATCTGCATGGAGGTCCACATCGTTGCTGGTGACGCATCAGTATCAGTATACATGTGAGAGCCTCTACTCACGCCCTCATGGTCCATGGAGACTCCTCCACAGCTGTGGACGCCAGTGCCTTGGTCAGATCGTGGGCGTTGACAGACGCAAAGGAGACCTCTGCACTCCCCAGCTCCATTTCTCCTCTCAAAATATCAAAACTCGAATCAGGCTTTGATTCGTGCAATTCTTTGTCGAGGTCGATTGACGATCTTCGTCGATATGTACCCGTAGAGGAGGCACTTGATACAGCTAAAGAGCGAAGCGAAGATGCCGGAAGATATGGAAGGTTTGCTGGCACGGGTGTGAAATTGGTAGACATGTAGAGATCTGGCCTCATTGGTGTGTCTACTGGAATCAAGCGATTCCGCTTATCGTCCTCTTTTGGCAGCATGAGTTGGGGAACTTGAATGATGGACTGAAAGTGCGTCACGCCAGCGTTTGTAGGGGGAGAAAATGGATCGATTGGGAGAGCTGCTGGGCCGTGACCCCTTGGAGTGTTTACGACATCCACTAGGAGATCACTGAGGGGTGCGGGAGTAGCAAAGGTACGTTGAGAGATGGGCGCTGAACTGGTGTCCTCAACATGTTCGCGTTGCGGTGGCGGGCTTTGAAGGACACCCAAGTCGATCAAGTTTGGTTCTTTAGGCTTTTCTCGTGTCGCTAAAAAGTGTTTGGACTTGTCGACGGTCGAGAAGAAGGCCGCAACAGGCGATTGAGGGTCGCGTTCTCTTGCTCGCGGTGTTTTCGTCCGTACAGGCGATTTGACAGGTGAAGTCAGGGGATCAAACAACTGGAGGACAGACTTGTCTTCACTCTCTGTCGTTGTGGCCATTCCAGTTTGTCGCGGTTGTGGACAAGATGCGTTCACGTGACGAGGATCTCATTTTCGCTGTGAGTGATGTCAAAATCATTATAAAATGTATTCGAGTTGTGTAATGTTATATCTGCTCGATTTATGAGGTGCATACGGCTTCTCCTCGCTACTTTTGCCCGTCTCAGTCATCCCTGACTCGCTTGTCGCAGCGAGGCGAATACCAGCAAAGGGCCATTCACATGAACGCCGAGCTCGTCTAGAGATGTGTGAGAGACCACGGCACGCCTCTGGTGACCCGGGAGGAGTGAGACGCGGCGCTTCAAGAGGCGGGATTGCTTCTTTGACCTGACCGTCTTCGTATTTCCTTTCTTTCGAGCGGCATCAGCAGCAGAAAACCTATATCAGATACGCATACGCTCTTCCTTTTGCTTACAATCATCCTTTTTCTTTCCATCTATTATTCGCCATCGTCATGGACTCGTCCCCAGCTTCGTCCACGGCCTTTGAGAGGGCTCTCGCCGCGTCTGACCAGCAATCGGGAGCGTCTACAGCGTCGCAGAGCACTTCAAGGCGCAACAGCGACATGCAGCATATCGACGCGGCCGCTGGCAACGCAGGCGCGAGCAGCGGCGGCTTAGATGTGCCGTATCAGCCCCAATCTGCGTCCTGGGACACAGTCGATTTCAGCTCTGCACGCAATGCAAGTCCAGGATATGCATACACGCCGTCTTATCGGGATTCGTTTACCCCGTTTGGCTCAGACTCTGGGATCAGTTGGAATGGACGCGCAGAGCCCGGGAACCAGATATACGACGAGCCTTTGGACGGCACTCATAACGATACCGAGTACAATCCAGCAGACTTTGATGGCTCAGGATCCCATTCCAACATGGCCTCGCCCTACTTCCTCGACCAACAGCAGGACCCTCGCTCAGCCGGCATTTCTGCAGAATTCGGCGGATTTAACGGCGAACAGGCCATCGCACAATCGAATGACCCTCTTTCTCAACACATTGGCGCGTTTGGTTCCGACAATAATAAGGGCTTCAATGGCGGTATGACCCCTCATGCCCGTATGAACAGTCTCGACGTCAACTCGTTTTCACCACGTCCCTATTCCGCCCCTTCGCCCGCTTCTAGTGTTGGTGGACTCGACATTGAGCGCCCTCGCTCGCGCGCCTCGTCCATCTCCTCGGTTCACGGCCCCATGCCCTCGCTGACGGTCGGGCCGATGGGCGATGCGTTTGACAAGCTCGGTTTCGACCCTGTGGAAAACGATCTCAACTGGAGGAATAATCAACTCAATGGACAAGGGGTCGCTAAAGCTCAGTCACCGCCGTCGTTGATGATTCCTAGCGATGGGCCTACATCAACATCAACACTGCAGATCCCAAGCTTTGGACAACACGGAGCAACACTTGGTGCAGGACTGAACACGGGTGGTCTGGGTGGTCTAAGCGCTCCTGGCATCAACATCCTTCCTGCAACCCCAGTCTCTGGAGGAGCAGGTGCAGCCCATGTACCGTTCGACACGGTGCTGAAAAACCTGAACGAACGCCGTCAACAACAGCCCAGTGTGGCCGAGGAGAATAATCTAGGCTCAATGATGCCTTCCCACGGTGCGTACAGAGACGAAAGTCATTCAAGCTACTTTTGCATCGCCATTTTCCAATATCTCACGTATATTGAGCGTGCGGTGCCCGCCGGAGGCGGTGCTAGCGCCGCCCACATTCACCATGCACTGCCCCTCTGATACTAGCGGGCAGAGGCGATTCACACCTCCAGCGATATTCTCACTATTCGCGACATATAACACCATCGTGATTTTCGCGTACTGACAGTACCGTCCCCAACAGCCTCATCTCGTCCTTCCTCGCCTACACCAGCTCCCCCATCCGCCTCTGGGGGTTTTACATTCACAACCGCATCGCCAGGAGCAAACACCTTTCAATTCCCGACTGTCGCATCCTCAAGCCCTATCCCAACCCCAGTCGCAGACAACTTTCTCGCCTTTCCAGGAAGCACAAACCCAAGACCAAGAGCACTTTCAGACACATCTGTTAGACCCGTTATGGCTGCCGTCGATACTCAACCACCAATGCCCTCATTCATGGGAGGCCATCCCAGCCTAGCGTCTACTGGACACTTTTCGCCGTCGCTCTCATCTCACACGCCACCTCTTTCCTCTATGGGAAGGACACTAGCCAACCACCGCTCCAACTCGTTTGGATCCGCCGATGTCCCGCTTCACTTTAACCCTTCGCACGATGCTGCATTCAACGGTCTCGACGTCGGGCTCGGTGCTGACCTGCGACGAGGACGCTATGATGCCCGTCATCGTCCATCGCGCTCTGAGGACTACCGCTCAGCATCGCCGTTCCAGCCCCCAGAATATCTCGCCCCTTCGTCGGCATATAACCAGACCCTCTCGACCTACGGATATGTCGGCCAGGTCCGCTCACACGATCCACTAGGCACTAGCATGCCTTCCTCCGCTGGTCCAGCTCGCCATGGTCGTAGACTCTCATCGGGAAGCCCTTACCCAGACCAACGTCCGGGAAGTGTGTCATCTGCCCGTCCATCACCGTACCCAAGCCCGTCCGGCAGTCCCTCTCACATGCACCAAGGTCTTCCACCCAACGGGATGCATGAAGGGGATCTCCACTCGGACATGAATCCATGGGCAAAGGTCGAGCGTCAGCAAGTTACTACACCTGCGACCGCAAAGGCCAGCGAGGGAAGAAGAAAGGGAGAAGCCAGCTTTGTGTGCCCTGTCCCAGGCTGTGGTAGCACTTTCACCAGACACTTCAATCTCAAAGGTGAGCACTCTTCGCTAGTAATATTCACAGATTTCTTATCAGTCTTGTAGGTCACCTTCGCTCTCACAACGAGGAGCGACCATTCAAGTGCAAGTGGCCAGGTTGTGAAAAGGGCTTTGCTCGTCAGCACGACTGCAAGCGCCACGAGGCTCTTCATCTCAACCTCCGGCCATATACTTGCGAGGGATGCAAGAAGACTTTTGCGAGAATGGATGCTCTGAACCGACATTGTAAGTCTAGCATACCTTGCCATTGATCGTTCCTAACTTTGGAATCAGTGAAATCCGAGGGCGGAGTTGACTGTGCTCGAGCGCAAAGCGACGAAGGCTCTGCAAACGGCACCGTGGCGGCTGGCAATGGTCCCTATTCTATTGGCGCGACCAAAGTTGAGGATGTCCATGGCTGGCCGGTCATGAATTCGCGAGCGAACGGCACCCTCCCTATGTGATCACCGATCACTATCGACTTCTAACTTATTGCTTTGACTGTCTACAAAAACCTCAAGCACATTATTTCGCCTGCGGCGTACGAATGTCAGCATTTTCGACACGCCCTGCACCCTATTTTATTATTTATCAAATCCCACCACTGTTTTATTAGACCGACCTGATTATCATCATTTCCCGGATCATTCAAATGCCCTCTCGCTGTCCAACGGACAACGTAACGTGTCGTTGGCCTATGTCGAGACACCGCTTTGTCATTGTGTATATCGTGGTTCGCGTCCTGTGTTATCACGTCTGGTCACTTGCTTGATACACCTTTCTTATTGCTCGTTTTTGGGGCGATTCTTGTATGTAGCTTTTATTACGGCCACTTGGTCAAGCTGTGTGCGAATAACAAAAAAGGCCTTTGATTCGATCATCATACGAGAGTGTGCCACTCAGCAGATTATGCTCGGTGTCGATAAGAGGTCATGGCTCCGGGACCCAACAGCTTCTCGAGCTCGACATGCTCTTCAGTGTCAAACTCAATTCCCAGGTCGGAAGCCAGATCTTGAGACTCGGAGGGAGGAAGCTGGTCGGTGAACGAGCACCAGAGTCTGTTAAAAGGATGAGACAAAGGTTGGGCTATGAGTGATAGACATACTCTTTGAAAATCTTCTTTCTGAGGATCCATTCTGCCCTATACTTTTTCCAGCTCGTCTCCATCTCGCACAATTCTTCTTGCGTGACCATAGGTGCACCTTGGCGAAGAGGTTCCAATTGCGACAATGCCTCGTTTACCTGGGAAGAGCAGACAGGTTGGATTGCGGGCGGTGAAGGATGAACGGACGTACTTTTGTTCTAATCTGCGTAATATTTGTCAAAAGGTCTGCGTCTGTGGGCATCGAGCGGATTCTAGCGAGTTCTGTTCCAATGAGTGGCCAATCAATAGACAACATGTATAGGAACGAGCCTTGCTGTAGCGCTTTATTCTTCATGTTGAGTTCTCTATTTTGCTCTGCTAGGCTCTGTATCTCGGTCGATAGCTCCTGTCGCTTGTTCTCTGGGAGGTCCTCGAGATCTGCCTGGTGTTGTACGTGAAGATGTGTTATGCCCATAAGAGAGCCGACCTACTTGGTTTGCTACGAAGAGCTGAACCTTGCCTATCTCGCGTCAGCTCCGTGCTTGGAGTAAAGGCAATGAAAGTGGCCAACCATATGTCTTCTGGGTTATCTCCCCGCGCTCTGCTGCAGCTAGAAGAATCTTCTGTGTAGCTGGTTTAGACACTATGCCCTTGATATTGGCCGAAATATCCGCTGTTGGTCGTCAGAAATGCGAACAATGGAAGCAACAGAGAGACGTTCCTGCTCCAAAGGGACGGTTCATCTTATCTAATTAGCATGCCCTAATTCATGTTTAATGATTCTCACCTCGCGCAGATACCCAACAACGCGGTCCTCAGCTGGCCCGGTATGAACCACTGCTCGAAGGCGTATACTACACCACGAACCTTCTTTCCCCTTTAGAGTCTTCTCTGACTTGGTCGTGGTTGCAGCAGGCATCTTTACGCCAAACTCGGGATGAGGTTATGGTCGAGTTTAGATAATGAGCGACGACAAACAAGTTCTTGTCCTGAAGCTGAGTACACGAATCTAGAAGATGTACACTAATCATCGTCCTCGTCATCGCTACCGTAGGCGGCGAGACCTTTTAGACCAGGCTTAGGAACAGCAGGAGGGCCTCCCAAACGCTTGTTTCGCATCTCCGCCAGGGCCTTGATACCCTGTAGTGCCTCTGCACTTATTATCCCGTTCTGTGGCGGTGGTTGATGTATTTCCATGTTGGCGGGTTGCTCCACTTCCTCCATTTTGCGCTTTTTACTAGGGGGCTCCTCGACAGACTCCGGTAATTCCTCGTTCTCTTCCAAGTCATCACCATCCTCCAAAGCACGTACAGCTCGCATGGCATCCACCATCCGTGGGTCTAGCTTGGTGGCGATAACGGCACTCCCAATCTCCTCGAGTCTTCGCTTTTCGATGACCTTTGTGGTCGGATTCGGATCTTCAGTAGCCCATCGGACATTGAGAATTTCGTCGTTATCCATACTTTGACACGCCATTGCTTCTCGTGCAAATTGAGCATTCACCTCGTGAACATAGGTCACAAATGCAATTCCGCGATATTGAAGTACGCGCACTGAGACCCATAGTCAATACATTTGTTCGGAACCGGTTTGGGAGGGACTTACATCTGTCAATCTCCCCCCATTCTGAAAAGTGCCGCCTGACGACCTCTTCAGTGTCTGGGCCTGGACCTGTCTCCTTTATTCGGCCAATATACAGTGTCCTGTTCTCTCGCTGGAAGGATCCAACACCGCCCATGTCATCGCGATAGTCTGCAAACTTGTCACGCGCGAAACAGTCCTTCGCTGTATCCGGAAGTGTTTGCGTAGGATCTGGGAGTCGATGTCGATAGTTGCACTCGTACCCATAAGGGCAGCACCCTCGCGCAAAATAGAGGCAGCAGTATTTCATGCCAGTTTTCTCGGCTCTCGTCCATCCAGTATCCGTTCGAATGTTACATCTCGTCTGAGATTTGACTTTGCTATAGCATGAGCTTGTCAGCGCTCTTCTTGACGCGCTTTTGCATCATCACATACTTGGAATAAGCGTCCTCGCGATCTCCGCCAGCCCATTTATTATACCAGATATCTGTACCCATGCTTTAGCAATCATTTCTCGTGTGCCTGCCTTGGCAGGTTACTCACTGTACTCCTTTCCGCTCTGCACAACTTCATTCTTTGTCACTTGGCCTGGCTTGACTTGTTTACGCGCTGGTCGATCCTTTTTGGCCTGAACCATTGCATTTGAAGCTGGTGCACCTGTGTCTTCATGGTCGCTCATCGTGGTCGGGGTCGACAAGTGGCGACAAACATTTGTCTTCCATGTCTGCCTTGCGTTTCCGAGTTGGGCTGACCAGGCAGTCCATACGTACGAGAATTTCACTTCGAGGCACACTTCCTGTATGCTCTCAAGCTCGTCATGTCAAGACTCCAGCATATGACGGTCACATTCCTCTCAACTGGGCCGAGAACGCATTCATGGCTGTGGGTTCTGCCGTAATGTCCTTGCTGGATCCACGAAGAGGAGGTAAATGAAATATTCTTCCTTCTTAAACTGCCGCTCACATTCAGCCAGACATGATTGCAGCTCTCGGGGAAACAACAGCAGGCAATTCGCTCTACAAACTGCGCGAACAAATGCTCGAGAGCCCCGAAGGTCGAAGGATACTCAAAGAGAGACCAAGGGTTAATACGGATACTGTCGACATGACCAAACTCGCCCAGCTGCCAGAAGGCACTTTTGGTCGAACTTACGTTCAATGGCTCGAGCGCTGTGGTGTGACTCCGGACACGCGTGAACCGGTGAGTTTTTCTATTCTAAGGAACAATTTTCCTAACCGGAGGTCTAGGTCCACTACATCGACGACCCAGAGCTGGCATACGTTATCCAACGATACCGCGAGTGTCACGACTTTTATCACGCGCTCTGCAATCTACCTGTCAACGTCGAATCCGAACTGGCGCTCAAGTGGTTCGAGTTTGTGCACTTTGGACTCCCCATGGCTGGTCTAGGCGCAGTCTTTGGCCCACTTCGTCTCGACGCGACGAAGCGGGCACGACTATTCCGTGAGTATGTACCATGGGCGCTACGATGTGGCGCGAGTGCAAAACCCTTGATTGCTGTCTACTGGGAGGAGCGCTGGGAGATGAACGTCGCGGACATGAAGCGAGAGCTTGGTATGTGGGATCCTCCAGAGGCTATTTGGTCCAAGAAGCTCTCAGAAGCCAAAAAGGCCAAACTCAGAAAGGAGCAGGCCAATGCATCGACAACTCCCGAGGCGTAATCTTTCATATTTATGCAATATCTACGAGTTCAGAGACAAAATTGCTGGGATGAATATCGTAAAGAAGGTCGCATACCATCTTCTCCCATTCTCCGAGCCGGAATTGGAAGCTAGCAGGCGACCACCACGATTCTATCGAACTGCTTTCGGACGAAGATGACTTGCCAAAGCCGGACTCCCATATTCTAGCTCTCATCGCTCCGGAGGCTTGGCCAGTAGTTGACAAGAGCCCTATCCTTCGGAGCTTTGGGTTCCTTTGGGCTAATTGGTGCGCGTGCGACGCGGCAAAGTCACGAAACGCTATAAATGGAAGATAAATGACGACAGATACTAAATTAGTTATTCTTGAGAGGTTGGGAATAGACTAAAGAAGGTCAGTGGAAACCCTCATCCTAGGCAAATGAAATACCTGAAGGTTATCTCCATAAACGGGTCCAAGCCTTTGGAGCTGATTGAGGTTTCCACTCTCCAAATGCCAGAATATGGGTTCAGAGACCAATTTATGATCGCTAAACCCTCGGTATAGGTAGACGAGTGTGTCCAGATTTGGCGTAATCGTATTCGCTACGTATGTGTCCAGCGTCAGCACTTCGAGCGCCTTTAGGAGCATCAAAGGCTCTGCTCGTGATCCATATAATCTTTCGCATCGCACCCTCTCTATCCCGTCTATATGCGCAATAGATAATGGACGATTGGTCTCGAGGCGAGGAAGTGGATATGGAAGCTCCGCAAAGAGCTCTCTCACTGGTCGATGAATGGTAGTCTGGAGAGAAAGACAGTTGATATTAGGCAGCTTCAAGTTGCGTGTCCAAGCGGATCGTTGCCTCTCCTCGCGAGGCGCCCAGGGTGCAGACGTTGCTGAGGTTTCAAAGGGATCTGAAGTCCACAAGTATGGTAGCTCTAAGCGGGTCAAATTGCACATCCGGTTAATGGCATTGACGATTTGCAGAGTAAGGAGGGGGAACTCGATAGAGTCCCTTCCGACTCGTAGAGTCAGTTCATTAACCAACTCCACGACTCGAGATGTAGAATTGAACGTCTGAAGAGCAGCTGAAATCTGTGCGTGCCCTTCGAGATCAATCTTTGCGTAAAGCGCTCGAGATGCCTCGAGATATAAGGCCCGAGAAGTTAAGCAGAGAGACAGTAGATCTGCTTTCTCTCGGATCTCTTCAACAATTTGGCGGTACAGATCAAGTGGAAGTTCTCTAGACATGGTGGTAGGCGTCTAAATGTGAGTCTCGACCTATGGTTAGTCAAATCATAGCAATATACAAAAATGGATAAACAGCAGATTTACTCGATCACCTGTATATGCTTCGAAGAACGCTGGGAGAGGACCATAGAAGAATGAAGTCAGGGCTAATGGCATATAGGATCAATTCTACAAACGCTATTCATTGGATCCAGGAACCTCTAAGGTGCGAAAGGGCTTAACTCAAAAATCAATAACGTAGATCATTTCTCGTGTGCTTCTATTCTTCATAATGTACGACTTCGGCGTGGAACTCGCTGGGATGAATATCGTAAAGAAGGTTGGAGATTGTTGTATCCCATTCTTCAAACCGAACGCGGAAAGTTGCGGGTGACCGCCATGACCCTCCCGCACGAAGTTCCCATATTCTAGCCCCCCTGACACCAAAAGTAATATCTTCAATTGTCAGGAGTCCTATCCTTCGGAGTTTAGAGTCCCTTTGGGCTAGTTGATGTGCATGCAACGCTGCAAATCCATGAAATGCAAGTAATGGGAGATCAAAACGACAGATGTCAAGTTAGTTATCCTTGAAAGGTCAGGAATAGACTAAAGGCAGTCAGCAATGCCCTGGTGTCAAGTTACCCACATACCTGAAAGTCATTCGCACAGATGGGTCCAAGCCTTGTAAGCCGATCGAAGATCCCGGTCTGAACATGCCAATATATTGGCTCCGATTCCACTGGGGGAGCTCTAAACACACGGTAGAAATACACGAATGTATCCTAGTTCGGTGTTACTATATTCAACTTTGTGTACGTGTCCAATTCGTACACTTCGAGTGATTTCAAATGAGTAAGAAGTGTCGTCCGTGTTTCATGAAGACCCTTGCATCGAACGCTTTCTATTCCATCTATATCTGCTGCCCACAGTCGATGGGTGGTCTCGAGACGATAAAGTGGAAACGGTAGTTCTCCAAAGAACTTCCTCACCGGTCGACGAACGACACCTTGGATAGAAAGGGATTTGATTTAGGGCAGGTTGAGCTTGCACGCCTGAACCAACCAAAACGAGGCTGCCCTTTTCGAGACATCAAATGGATCAGGAATCCATAATTCCGGTAGCTCCAGGGGAGTCAGGTTGCCCATCCTATTAATGGCCCGGATCATTTGCATGGCGAGTTGAGGGAACTGAGCAATGTGCATTCTCACTCGTATATTCAGCTCGAGAGTCAATTCTAGGGCTCTAGGGGTCGATTCGAAGGTCCACACAATGGCCGAAATCTGTTCGAGGTCATCCAATCTGACCTTTGCGTATAGCGCTTGAGATGCCTCAAGATATAAGGCCCGAGAGGTTAAGCAGAGAGACAATAGATCTGCTTTCTCCCGTATTTCTTCGACTATTTGGCGGTACAGATCAAGCGGAAGTTCTCTAGACATGGTGGTCGGCGCTCAAATGTGATATTGATGCTGAGGCAAATGAGGAAACCAGAATCTAAAACTTACCTAAATCTGGTACACGGGATCATTCAGAGGGCTATTTGGCCCATTGAGAAGCCCCCGGAGCTCAAGGGAACAGGTCAATGGAACGAGATTTCCACCTGTGTAGGCTCTTCTATTTTATGCAATATCTACGACTTTGGCAAGAAACTTGCTAGGATGAACGTCATAAAGAAGGTTACATATCGTTGCCTCCCACTCTGGAAGCCCGACCCGGAAACTCGCCAACAACCGCCACGAGTCTTTCAGATCCCCCTTGGTTGGCGATGCCGCACCACAGCGGGATTCCCACAGCCTCGCTCTCTTTGAAAGATTAAAACGACTAGGAGTTGACAAGACTCCTATCCTCCGGAGCTTGGGGTTCCTTTGGGCTAATTGATGTGCATCCGAGGCTGTAAAGTCACGGAATGCCGCAAAGGGGAGATAAAATACGACAGATGTCAGTTTAGTTATTCTCGAGAGGTCAGGGATAGACTAAGTAGGTTCAGTAAGACCCTCATCCCAGGGAGACGAAAATACCTGGAGATCTTCACCATAAACAGGTCCGAGCCTTTGAAGCTGATCGAAGCATCCGCGTATCAGGTACCATAATATGGGTTCGGACGCCACTTGAGGATCCCTAAATGAGGGATATAGGTAGACAAGTGTGTCCAGGTTTGGCGTGATCATTTTGTCTACGTACGTGTCTAGCGTCAACACTTCGAGCGCCCTTAAGTGCACCAAAGGTTCCTCTCGCGATCCATATAATCTCTCGCATCGCACGCTCTCTACCCCGCCTATATACGCAACAGACAATGGACGATTTGTCTCGAGACGAGGAAGAGGGAATGGTAGCTCTCCAAAGAGCTCTCCTATCGGCATAGAAATTCCGGTTTGGAGAGAAAGGGAGTTGATATTAGGCAGCTTCAGGTTACACGTCCAAGCTAAGCAATGCTCCTCGTTCGAGGGCGCCCATGGCGCGGATGTTGCCATGTCGGAGGAACTCAAAGGCCACAAATAAGTTAGACCCAGTAAGGTTAAATTGCACATCCGATTGATGGCGTTGACAATTTGCCCAGTGAGGAAAGGAAGAGTGATATAATCCTTTCCAACTCGTAGAGTCAGCTCATTGACCAATTCGACAAACCTAGAGGCCGAATTAAATGTCCAGAAGGCAGCTGAGATTTGTCTGTAGCCTTCCAAGTCGATCTTTGCGTAAAGTGCTCGAGATGCCTCGAGATATAAAGCGCGTGAGGTTAAGCAGAGAGATAATAGGACCGCCCTTTCTCGAACACCTTCAACAACCTGGCGGTACAGATCACGCGGAAGTTCTCTAGACATTGTGGTAGGCGTCTAAGAATGGGCTCAGCATACGGGTCCTAACAGGCCCCATTGTTCAAATTGTAGAACTATGCAAAAATAAATGGGAATTTTATTTAGAGCCACTCAATTGTCTGTATATACGTCAGGGCGGCTCTTGAAGAAACCAGAGTGACTTACTCCCGGTGGCTTTGATGAAATGTCGTAAGTGACACGATTGACTCCCGCGACTTCATTGGTAATCCTCGAAGATATTTTTCGCAGCACCGCTGGGGGGAATGCAAACCTACCAGACAGTCAGCACGCCGCTATTTCTACCAACATCTTACTACATACCAATCTGCTGTCATAAAGTCTTCTGATTGAACGGCACGTAGCGCAATGACCTGCTCGTATGTCCTCTTGTCGCCCATCACACCTACGGCCTTTACGGGTAACAAGACTGCAAAGGCTTGAGCAATCTGGTCGTACAACCCAGCGGCTCTAATTTCCTCGATGTAGATGTTGTCCGCCTTTTGGAGGATCTGAACTTGTTCACGAGAGACTGGACCGAGGATGCGGATAGCCAGACCTGGCCCAGGGAAGGGATGCCGTCCGACGAGGTGTGACGGTATAGAGAGCAGTCTACCTAATGCACGGACTTCGTCTATCAAACAATTAGAAAAAATGAAGGCTACAAGGAGATGGCTAACCTTTGAATAGCTCTCGGAGAGGCTCGATCAACTTGAGCTTCATGTCTTTTAAAAGACCCCCGACGTTATGATGTGTCTTTATCGTCGCACTGGGTCCTTTGAAGCTGATACTTTCGATAACATCTGGGTAAAGTGTGCCTTGGAGAAGGAACTCTATCTTGCCACGACCTTGTTCTTCCACGCGGCTTTCGATGCGTCCTGCCTCTTCTTCGAACACGTTGATAAAGGTGTTGCCAATAATCTTTCGCTTTTGCTCCGGATCCTCGACGCCGGCTAAACGTGAGAGGAAGAGTTCAGACGCATCGACAACCTGTAGGTTGACTCCAAGGTCTTCACAGAGTGTTTTCTTGACACGGGCTGCTTCGTTCATACGCAGTACGCCGTTGTCGACGAGGATTGCATGAAAACTGAGCAGGTAAATCAGAAAATTCATATTATATCTGAGCACGTACCGGTCACCAATAGCCTCATGCATCAGCTTTGCAGCTACGCTGCTGTCCACGCCACCGCTGACGGCGCCGATAACCTGAGCGGTTTCACCGACCAGTTCCCGGATACGAGAGATTTCTTTGGAGATGAAAGATTCCTAGTGGCATGTAAGTCATGGTTCGGGGAAGAGGAAAGACGCACCATTGTCCATGAAGCGTCGCATTCACAAATGTTGAGGACGAAGCGACCGATGATATCTTTGCCCTTGGGGGTATGCGTTACTTCTGGGTGGAACTGGATACCGAAAAATGGTTTGGACTCGTGGGCAATGGCGGCGAAAGGAGCGGTCCTGGTTTTCCCTACGACGTGGAACCCGTTTGGAGCAGTAGAGATTTGATCCCCATGGGACATCCAAACTTGAAACTGTTCTCCCAGGCCATCTAAAAGCTTGTTGGCCAGCTGGAACTCGTTACCAAGCTTGATGACCTCGACGTCGGCATGACCGTATTCGCGATGCGTGCTCCCACCCACTTTCCCGCCAAAGTAAGATGCCATTTCCTATATAGAGTGGTATGTCCCGTTGTTATTGGCGTAATACAACCGACTGACCTGTAAACCATAGCATATGCCCAGCACGGGAACTCCAAACGTAAAGACATCCGGATCAACATGAGGAGCGTCGTCATCGTAAACAGAGTAGGGCGATCCTGAGAGAATGATGCCTCGACAAGGATAAGGAAATTTTCACGGGGGTGGCATTTGGACGGGTGCGCTACCTTTGGGCTTCCATGTCAACTGGGATATTTTCTGAGTGCATGGCATGAGTTCGGCATATACGTTGAGTTCTCGACATCTTCTGGTGATAAGATGGCTGTACTGTCGTTTGGAGGGTGAAAAGGCGATAACGGATCCAAACAAAGACATACCTGGGATCCAAAGTCTAGAATGAGAATTGTATCGTATGCATCGTGAATTTCAGCCATGATCTCCGAGAAAAGGAAAGACGCGGTCTCTAGCGAAAATCTGCCAGGCGTAATTACGCCAATCTGAAGTCTCTGGAAAGCGGCGCATATCGATGGGCCCAGATCCGCTTACATCTCAATACACCTCCTGGGTCAAAGTTGTCTCGCAAATCGACCAAAAAATAAATACTTTAAAATTCACAAATGACTCTGAACGGATCCGACAAATGGATCTGCGGCTGCGCTACGTCGGCCCAAGTCAGCGTCTGGAGTGGAATATAAAGCTTGACTCCCGCCACAGAGGCAATTCCCAGCGAAAAAAACAAACCACAAGCACAAACGACCCCAAAAACAGACTAATAAACGTCTAATCACCCATCATGGCTTCGTGCGTCTTGTTCGTCGTCTGTGGCTCGCCGTGTCGCTGATATACTCTTTGTCCATATTCAGCGAAGAACTCAAGGACATCCCAGAGAATGAAATCGAGAGCAACTGGGATGAAGTAGTCGACAAGTACGTTTTTACGTGCCTGTGAATGCTCCCAGCCGCTAATCTCATGTGCAATGGCAGCTTTGATAACATGGGCCTCAAGCCAGATCTCCTCCGTGGTATCTACGCATATGGGTATGATCTACTGTCATCGATAAAATGTCCAGCTTTTCATACATCCACCCAGCTTTGAACGCCCTTCTGCAATTCAGCAGCGTGCCATCATCCCAGTCGTCAAGGTGAGAAAACAGGAAGCATAGCTTGTCATACAGATCATTGACACTCGGTATTAGGGTCACGATGTGATCGCCCAAGTATGACCTCTACTTTGCCCAGGTTTCCCTCAAATCTCATCCTTCGTAGGCACAATCGGGAACCGGAAAGACTGCTACCTTCTCCATCTCGATTCTCCAACGCATTAATATCAATCCCGAGAACCATCAGACTCAGGCGCTCATTCTCGCACCCACCCGCGAGCTGGCCCAGCAAATTCAAAAGGTCGTCATCGCTTTGGGCGACTATATGAAGATTGATTGCATGGCCTGCGTCGGTGGCACAAATGTTCGTGAAGACATGGATAAACTCCGCGCAGGCGTTCACATTGTGGTCGGCACGCCAGGACGAGTCTTTGATATGATCAATCGAGGTGCCCTGAAGACTCAAAGCGTCCAGATCTTCTGTCTCGACGAGGCCGACGAGATGCTTTCTCGTGGGTTCAAGGATCAGATCTATGAGGTCTTCCAGCACCTCCCTCAGGAAACTCAGGTAGTCCTTTGTCAGCCACTATGCCGGCCGACGTCCTCGAGGTGTCCAAGAAGTTTATGAGAGACCCCGTCCGCATCTTGGTCAAGCGTGACGAGCTCACGCTTGAAGGTATCAAGCAATTCTATATTGGTGAGTATCATCTTTTGGTACGAAGATGATTGCTAACTGCGCAAAGCTGTCGAAAAGGAAGAGTGGAAGCTCGACACCTTGTCCGATCTCTACGAGACCGTCACCATCACACAGGCAGTCATCTTCTGCAACAGCAGACGCAAGGTCGATTGGCTCACGGAGAAGCTGACCGCGCGCGAGTTTACGGTGTCTGCAATGGTGAGTGATCCAAAGATTGGTGTGCGGACTTTCGGAGCTGACAGCACCTGCGCTAGCACGGAGACATGGAGCAAAAACAACGAGAACTCATCATGAAGGAATTCCGAAGCGGCTCGTCCCGTGTGCTCATCACGACCGATTTGCTTGCACGCGGCATCGACGTGCAACAAGTTTCACTCGTCATCAACTACGATCTGCCTAATAACCGCGAAAACTACATTCATCGTATCGGCCGTGGCGGTCGATTCGGTAGAAAGGGTGTCGCGATCAACTTTGCTACGAATGATGATGTGCGTATGCTCCGCGACATTGAGCAATTCTATAACACCCAAATCGAGGAGATGCCGATGAACGTCGCGTACGTGTGCCTTTATTTGCCGTGTTTTGATCGCGCGCTGATTGTTGTTAACCAGCGACCTGATCTAATGAACTCAAACGATTTCTCTCTCATTCTTGTCCGCGTCTGCATATTTCAATGTCCTGTGCACCTATCCATTCCAGGGCAGGTCATCTAAAATTACCGTTTTCATCCGTGTGGAGCGAGCGAGCGCGCGGTGGCACTCTTGTTACTCTACCCTTGTTTTTACGCAGTTTGATATCTGTACAGCAGCAGGCGCTGAGTCGTAGTGACTCTTGCAATCGATATCTCGTTCCACCACCCATTCCTTTTCACAGATTTGTCTGTGAGACGGCGCGGAGAATCTCTGCCTGCCTCTTTTGTGCGAGCTCTATGCATTCGGTGTAAAGGGATGTGGAACTCTGTCCTGATGGACTCGTTTCCCGCCCGAGACCGACTTGAGAGACGGAGATGGCTTCGGAGCCGCATAAAACGACGGTGACGGTGGATTCGAGCAGTGGCTCCTCGAATGAAGTTGGGTCAACGAGTAGATGTTTTCTGTATTACAAATTGGAGATAAGAATCATGTTTATGGGGAGGACTCACGATTCAAAGATTCCAAACGTTGTAGCTGTTGGAAGTGTCTTGAGCGCGAGGGGTGTCTTGTTCATCCTTGAGCATAAGACCATCTTTTTATCGTCATCATATCGAGCCTGCGGAAGTTGTGCTACTTTTTATTGGCTTTGGCGTGTGGTCGGGGGAGAGATCACCCACTATTGCTTAGAGCCGTGGTCATTGCGAGGAGTGTGGCATCTAGCGCATTACCATCATAATTTATGCACACTGCGTCGATGTAAATCGTCCAGACGGCTTTTCTAGGCTCGATGCAGAGTGAGTCGAGAGGGAGACATTTGGACCTTGAAGAGTGAGACGATAATAGGAGAATATAAAAGGCATCGTACTTTGCTATGATTTGATTGAGTTGTTCTGATATTATCTGGGCTTCTTCACTCGGAGGGCCTGGTTTGAATCGTGCTGCGCAAATGGCAGAAATCTCGACATTCGGGACTGTTTAGATGTGAACACTTGATAAAATAAGCTATAGATCTTACCTATGAAACCGCGTGTGGGGGCATCGAGGTCTGGCTCTGCGATTTCAGCCTTGACACCGCACACAATTGTGGTTTCGCCCAGGCGGACTAGAGCCGAGCCATCTGCAGTGGAAATAGATCCTAGTTATCGTCAGCATCTGATGCAACCGTCTGTAACTGGCATCACTTGCCGGTTGTGAGCTCGAGCGGTCTGCAGTCTAGCGGTCGACGACCGTCTGGGCGGAGATGCTCGTCTAGAAATCTTTGGAGATAGGCACGCGGATGGAGACGCTGGAAAGTTGAAATGTCGGACATCAAGATTACGCGGACGCAGACCGGAGCAACCGGGCGCTCTCCAAGGCGACCAAATTGCGACCACTTAGCGGAGATCACCTGCGCTTGCGTCTACATGCAAAATAAACTGGTATGGTTGCCATCTCTTGGCGTAGCTAGCCCTGGTACATCTCGCCTAGGCCTCCGCATTGGTCCGCAGGATGACTGGCCTCGATGCCTTTCGATGGTTACAATTCTGTCCCCTCTGGACATTTCGGACAACACTTCTTCTCTGGGCGTTTTATAAATCGCCCACTGTAGCTACTCCGACTCGTCACTTCGTTTCAGCCCCTCTACCTCCTTTTTCCAGCTTTTGACCGCTGTAGCGATCCGGATCGCACTTTCCTTTCTTTCATTCCACACTTTCACTCAATTTCTGCATCTGTTCGACAACTCTTTTCCCTCTGCATTCATTCCCCCGGCGGTCAACATGAAATTCTCCTCTCTTCTCCTTTCCCTCACGACCTTTGGTGCTGCCAGTGTCATGGCCTTCCCAGTCGCCAATGGTGCAAGGGATCTCCAGCCTGTTCGCCGATCTGAGGCCCCAACGGCCACTGCTACTCCAAGTGCCACGGCTACCTCGACGGAATCGAGTGTGTCGAGTGTGACTGAGACTGCGACATCGTCCAGTGCTGAGCCTGTATGTTCTTCCTCATCCAACGTGCTTTGATCCTCATGGCTCGTAGACTGAAACTGGGACGTACCTCTACTCGACCATCACGGATTCAGATGCTTCCGCCCCACAACCAACCACTCGCACAACGACATCATCCTCGAGCACATCTACGACTACCGAGACTCAGATGCCCCAAGAGACGGCAAGTATCTTCTTATTCGTTTAGGGCCTCCCTCTCATATTCCTCCAGGACAGCGTGTCCAGCTCTGGATCTTCGAGAAATGTCGACCTCTCGCGCGCCGTAGTCGTGCGTGTGCGAGAAACCGTAGTCATTCGTGAACGTATGTCCCACCAACTTGCATCCTCTATGACACTCATACTAACTATTCCTAAGAAATTATTGTCGAACGTCCAATCCTCGTGGCCGTGCAGCTCAATGTCCGCGTCCAACAAACCATCATCGTGAATCACATCACCAACGTCTTCCAAAGCCGCTTTGACAACTGGGACATCAACGTCGTCAACCAGCTCGCCTTGATCATCGCCCAGCAGTTTGGCGTCCTCAGCCGTGCCGGCAATCGTGGATTCGACCGCATTGACAGTCGCCAGTTTAACGCGTTTGTCGAACGATTCGTCCAGCAGTTCCAGGTGTTCCAACAGTATGTAACAGCCCGGTACCCATGCAACGATTACTCACCGGTATATAGGATTCGTCTTGTCGACGTGCAGAAGTTTATTGTTGTCGTGCAACGATTCGATATCAACCAGTTGGCAAGCTTCTTCGGAAGGTCGCAGCTCTTGTTCAGCCAGGTACGTTTCTCCCACTGGTCGTCTCGAGGACAGATACTGACACTGTCTTTCTCAGAACACATTTGATCGATTCAACGTCAACAACGACTTTGGCGTTTTCGTTCAGCAGCTCTCCAATATGCTGTTCTTGATCCAATCTGGTGCTTTCGATAGCGATGGCATCTTCAGCCTCGATGGTGTAACACTCATCGACGGAGGACTAAACTTGGGCCGATCGAGTCTCCAAGTGTAATCCGACGCGTTGGGGATATGGTCAATTGTTACTTCACGGACGCGCTTTCCCGATTGGACATTATTTTGATTACGCATACCATTTCTTCTAACACTGTCATTCACCTGTATCCTTGAGTATCTCCGGTGTACCTAGTACCACGCAAACAAAAGTGTCCGTTCAAGCGTGGATTGTCACATCTTCGAGAGTGGCGTCGCCAACAGGGGTTCTCATGTACGTATACAGGGCCATTTTGAACTTTTCAACGTTAGTATCTGTTGTGATTTCTGTATGACCTCGTACGTGATCAAGCAGAGGTGCCATCTGGCCCTCGACAGCTCTTAACGATACAGGTTGTGACTTGACGAGCTCCTGTGTCTCCTTGAGCACATTTAGCAGCTATTTCACGTGTTAATAGATCCAATTATAGAAGAAGTAGTGGCTTGCCTCGAGGAGATCGTCAGAGAGCCCCTTTAGCTCGAGAAGAACGTCTGCCTGGGTCTTTTTGAGATTCTTTGCGCTTATTTCTTTGCTGTATTCTGCATTTGTCGTTGACTGTGACATGGGCCACCGACGCGGTCAGGAGCAAACGTCGCCACTGACCAAACTTGGCCCCTTCCAACATCCCCTGGCTGCGCGTCGATTGCAGTCGTAGAAACGGCGAGGCGCAAGACGCCTACTGTGGGGAATGTCGACGCCCGTCAAGGATCTCGTGAACGTCTACGAGTCCAAGACGACATCACCAGAGCCATCGCCGTCACCCGCCCGGTTCCTCAAGCATCCTGCTGCCCGCACCTCGACAACGCCATCAAAGTTCACAAAGGCCAGCTCTTCTCGCTCTCAGGATGTTGGAAATCCGTTTCTAGGAGATGGAGAGCATGGCGGACTCGAGTTGGCAGAGTACAGACGGTCCAATACGGGCAGCAACACTCGGCGTCAATCGACTCTGCCAGCACGCTCTTCATTGGGAATGATCTCATCAAATGATTTGCGTGTTGGGAGTCCATCTAGCATGTCGCCAGTAGTCACGTCGCCAACGCGAGCGGCACACTTGCGGGAACCTCCGGCACTGCATCATCCTTCAAGCAATCCATTCGCTGATACTTTGGATTCAGTAACCTATGGTGTCTCGAAGTTTACCAAACCTGAGCCCAAATCATCGGCACGACGCACTGACGACACACGTTTCCCTTCACCCTCGGCATATTCGCCGATCCCAGATCACGACTTTAATGATTACGACTCTTTCTCTGCTACAGCTATTTCATCTCGTTCAGTCATGAAGCATCACAGTTTGGCATCCATTCCTCTAATTGACCGTTCCCTACCACCCACAACACCAAAGACCACATCTCCCGATCCATCTCTGGACCAACATGGGCACAAACCGATCCCTGCCAAAAAGGTCTTTTCTCGTAGTGCCGTCCCGTTGTACTTGCCGCATCTCGACAAGCTGCTAGGCGATATCCAGCCACCGGCCTTCACGACAGCATTGGAGGCAGGGGATATTCCACTCAATTCTAAAGGAGACAAGGCAAGCGAACAGATTGGAATGTTCCCTCCGCTCGACAGGCTAAAGGGCAAGACTTTGGATGAGCTACATCACAATTCACCTCTTCCTGCATGGTATCGTGACAAGAGTTCTCTTTTGAACTCGATCGTCACGGGCATCATTGGAATCGCGGTATGTCCTAGTATGAGATCAGCACCTCTCTAACAATCTGCAGGGTTCTAGTGCTATTGCAAGCTACTACAGCTTACAGGGTTTATACGATGGTGTCCAGATTTTCGCGCTTGTTCTCAGCTCTGTTGGTAAGTAAGCTCCCTTAGTCTGGTCAGGCCGCTTATCTTCCTCAGTTCCACGGTCATCATTCTCTGCCACTGACCGGTGGCGAGAACTCTTTTTATCGACAATGTAAGTGCATTGGATTGCATGATATTGACACTGACGAGCCCAGCCCTAACATATTGGCACTAAATATACCTACCAAGCTGACACAATCTCTCATCTTCCTTGCAATCTTCATGGTTATCTGTGGATTTTTGTTGTACCGATTCTATCAGGTTACGAACGAATACCGCCCGTCCGCATTTCGCGAAGGGCTGCAAGCGCGACAACCACCAGCGACATGGGGAATTATCGCCGTCAGCTTCGTTCTCACGGTCTTGTATCTACCACTATCGACAATAGCAATGCACGGCATTCTATGGAGCTCCGACTTTTGGGTCGTACCCAATCCGTATCAAAATGGAACAAAGGCAGCAGTCCAGTTGTTGGGTCCTCCAGAGGTATGGCGGGACCCGATGGACTTTTGCTACACCACTACCATGCGCAAAGATGAGGTCAACTACGCACCAGTCATTGTCGCAATGTCTGTGGCCACCTTTATCCTGGTGAGGCGTTTTTATTATTGCAACCAAGTACTGAAGCTCGGCAGATGACACTCTGGTTCCCTATACGGCTAATGCAAACCATTCGTCAGGCACTCCCTCGAGTGGATCCATACACTGAGCTGGGCAGGAAGCGATCACGACCAGAGATGGAGTTGGAGTATCAACGTCTCTTGGAGCGTGACCAGAATCCCTTTGCGTTTCTCTACAGAGACTTTCGTCGCTCGTGGGGAGAATACAAATCTGTCTACTTATGGGCCAAATTATCAGCGCTGCTCATCGTCGCCGTCCTCTCACCAGACAACTGCGCCTTTCGCTCCTTCAAACGCGACACTATTGATATTGTGCGGCAATCGGTACTGACGCTATCAATGTTGATCTGGTTTCTCCTTCAATGTTTCCTCGTACCCTTTTTGGATCCAGTAAGCAACGCAAGCGAATGGACTTCCCGATTGAACTACCTCCTTACGTCTGGATTGGGCCTCTTCGTGGCATTGGATGCGCCCGCCAAGGCCGCACTGAATGGTGTGGTGCTATACATGTAAGTGACAAACGGGTCCATGATGGACGACGTGTTGAAAAAATTATAGAATTTATGCGGTCACCTATGGACTCGACTTTTGTATGGATTCACAGGAGTGTGTGGTACGGAACTAATATCGTATAGATTTCGCCATTATTGGGACAGGTTTCATGCGTCGGATAATGAAGAGTGAGTAGAATCACCCAGAAAGAAATATTGGCTGACCATAGATGCAGAAATCACTCGACGAGTGGATTTCAGTGAGTTTTGCCCCTCTATATTTGACCCATGACTAAAGTCGCATAGGTATCGATATATTTTCTCCAAAGTGAGGCTCCATCGTGACGCGGAGTGACTATTAACTCCACATAGACTCGATTTGACCATCAACTCGCCTCATTTGCGCCGTCGCATATGGCAAGAGAGTATCGGAACAATCATCCTCACTGATGAGGGCTGTCGGATCCCGCTACACCATCAAATGCAATTCTCAGAAGCGATCAACTTTGAGTGGCCGCCATACTTACTAAACTTTGCGGGTTCTCCTGGTGAACGACACGTTGAGAATCTCAAGGTATTGTCGCACGGTTCAATTTCTTCCAGCTAATGATCTTTCAGATCCTCCGCGAGGAAGGTCTCAAGAAATACGCAAGAGCGGTGGCGATGATCTCCGGGCCAGACGCAAAGCTATTCGAACTCCTCAGGGATCGTATCGAGCGACACTTCATCGGTCCAGACTGCTATTGGAGACCAGATAATGATGACACTCAAAGTGAACAGCATGGATTCTTCGGCAATGCTTGGTGGATTCCTTTTCCACCGACGTTGGTTATTCGGTATGATCAAGGAGGGCAAGCCGTTCTTGAGAGCCTACATGAGCTTGAGCACTATGTTTTTCAGAACGAGGATCCGTCTGTTCGCTTCCGACGTGATCTTCGCATGGCCCTTCGGTGCCTCGACGCACAAATCGTTATCTGGCCATATAAACACATTGAAGTAGGATACTGAATCTCCTGTAGAACGATTCTGACATTTCTTAGCCCGTAGGTTCGAGAACATGGTTTTCAGGACGACGATATACAATGCAGAAAACAACACACTTTCATTCCTGCGTTTTCAGCATCAGGCGTCGCGGAATCCAGTATTGGAAAGATCTGCCAATAGGAAGTGGATTTGACGTCGAGTTGAGATATAATAAGGACGTTCATCTGGACGGCGACGCTATCGGCTTGGCCGACGAGTTCCATTTGACTCCGACTCTCGCCCACTTTCTTCATCTCAATCGACATCTCATTCAGCTACACCAAGATGGCCTTGAACGAAAGCTCAAAGCATACCGGAAGGAATGCCGCAAAGTCGCGAAGGCAAAGCAGCGTGTACTCACATACGGCTTTCTCACTCAAGTTTATAATTGGCCACTCCAGCCTAAACAGGTTGTGGATGTTGTTGAAAAAGAGCAAGCGGATCTGCGCGTTCGCGAGATGTTTGCAGCAAACGTTCGATCGTTGGAAGCTGCCGGTGAGCGGATGAAGTACGCGGGGCGCTCAGAGATTACCGTATGGTGGTTCTTGTTTTGGGTGAGTGAGTCTCCAATATACAGAATAGACGCTGAGATTTTGAAAGGATGACTTTTGGCGCCGTAATCATGACACGGTCGCTGCCCTCCAGAAATTTCCTACCGATTTCAATCCACACTTTTCGGGTTCGATAGCCTATAGACCTGTACCGAGACCAGTTCTCGAGGCGTTTCTCATCCAGCGAGGACTGCTAACCCCAAAGTCATGGAGGCGACAAGTCTTCTATCACGGCTTTCTCAACAAACTCTACTTTCGATTGAATCAAATCGCGTTCCACAATACAGACAGAGTATGTGCTTGTATTTTCGCCCAGTGTCTGTCTTCTGACCGTGTGTAGGAATTTTGATCCACGTCGGGGATGGAGAAGAAGAGATGGATCTTAACGATTTGGATCTTACCACGCATGTTCGCTCAAGCTCTATGGGAACTGGTGGAGGGACGGATCTCGACGACGCCTCGATTAGAATCCGAAACGCTTTCAAGTGGGAGGACGTCTTTGACGATACAGTCCACAAAGGACACAGACCATTGTCTCAGTATCTTCACTGGAAGAGCTGGAAGAATATGCTCGCCGTCTGGTTCGGCGTCACGCCACTGAGCCATCGTAGGCTGCGGACTAACGGTATTGCCTTGGATGTCGAAGTGGATTCATCTGGACGATACATAGTCATCGAAAGAAGACTATGAATCGCGATATGTGATACAAGGACGCTCGTGTGGAATAGAGTCAATAATATTGTATCACAGTCAGTCATAACTAGAAGTTGAGGTAAACAAGGGGAGGATGAGTGTAGTCGGAACACTCGAGCAGAGCAGCGTCTTCCTTTCAAAAGGAGAGGGATATATCATAGTGAGACGGGTCGGAGCAACTCCTGGCAGCATATCTCGTATCCGTCAAATCGTGTCATAACGTCCTACTTGGCCAAGACAGTGCCTTCACTCTCCACTGATCCCGGTGGCGACGCTTGGCCGTTGGCAGTCGGAGAGCCTGGTCCCTTTGGCGAGACGAGCATGGGCAGGGCAGTCGGTGGATCATCCTCCAACAAATCTTCAGCCGGAGCCGATTGCCGACGTTGATGGGGTAACGTGACCATATCACCATTCGTATCCGTGGTAATTGGCGTAGGGGGTTCGACAGAGACTCGCTTCAACAGACGAGTGTCTTCCTCGCTCATCCGTGGGGAGAAATTGGCAGTTTGTGGCGTCTTTCCCTGGGAGCTCCCGCTTCGTGCGTCCGGAGTGCGAAGAGGGTGGTGTATGCCCCTTTCAAGATCCCCATCTTCCCGAACGGTAACGGCAGACTCGTCAAACGTGCTATCTGCAACATCGACAGCAATGTCTGAGGGCGTTGGAAGTCCGATTGGTCGTGGTGCTGGTCGAGAAACGCTCGATTTGGTAGCCTTGTGCGTTCGTGCTCGTGGAGTTTCCGGCTCCGATGGCAACGGCTTGTCCTGGAAGGTTTGCAACGCCGACATGGGTTCATCGCCGATCAAGGGTATTGGAACCTCGATGCCGGAATCTTGTTGTATTGGTTGCATACCCGCGAGATTGGAGACTCGGCGAGGTTCGGCTTGAGGATCTGTCGAGGCGGTTGAGAAACCTAGTTGGAGACGGTCGAGCTGGATTTTAGCGACTCACACTCCTCTTCCGAGACGACACCGGCCTCTTTCCACTTTTTGATAGAACGGTCCGCCAACGCTTCAAGCACATTCCAACCCCGATACTCTCCATTCAATCGAATGCCAACAGCCCCGCCGTCCCCACCACCTTGACCGCGATTCCCCTGGGCGCTACCGTCGAAAAAGTAAGGTTCGTGTCCGATGCTGTCCTCACTCCCTTCACTATTGTTATCCTGAGCGCCAACTTCAAAGGTGTCACCATTCTCCAATTCTTCAGCAAATGCAGCGAGCCACTTGGCCCAACCGCCTTCCCCGTCGCCGCGCCACAACACGACCTTTGTGTCAAAGTCGCGGCCAAAAACGATTACTTGCCCGGGGGCGCCTTTCTCTCCGGGGTTCACGTCTACGCCGAGATAGTTGCCCACTCTATCGGTGGCGAGGGGTATCCACCCACGGTTCGAGTAATCGTTGCGGATCCACCCTGCTGGGATAGACTTCATACGTCCAAGGAGGGTTGGGTTGGCGCCTGTCGCGGGGTCGTCGTCGACTTCACGCCAAAACTTCCATTCGTCTACCACCTCTTCGAGAGAGAGTAAGCTGAGTCCAAAAAAGAGGCCCTCTGTGCAGCCTGCGGATGATTCGGCCTCCTGGCCATCGACGCGTAGATATGAGTCGCGGATGGGCTGTGGGAGTGCGAACCCGAGTTGAAGCTCTATCTCGTGCAGGTCCACGGGGAGTATGCCATAGTTGAGGGTATCACCGAGTTCTGGGTAGCGTCTGGCGAGCCAGGATTCTATGCGAGTCCAAGTCTGGTTCAACGGAGAGTAAGCACCGTGAGTAGAGTGCACGGGGAGCACAGAATTGCCTGTATAAGCGTCAGACGGGGCGTCTTGGGCAATGGAGTGCGTGCCTTCGTGACGTTGAGCCCTCGCAAACGAACCTGCAGAGTAAGGACTGGATGATTGAGCTGGAGGATACGAATAATCGGCGTTGCTGGCGCCTCCTCGGTCTGGGGACAGTGTCCGGTTTGGAAATGTTGGCGAATGGTTTGGAATCGAAAACGCGTCGTGCGTCGAGGACATGGCCTGGTCTCTCCGTGTGCTACTGCTTCCTGAACTCCCTCCAAATAAATTTGTCAGCGATCGAAAAAAGCTGGCCATCGTCTAGCGCAGTCTTGAGTGTCTCGGAGGGTGTCGACAACGCTCCAACGGGGTGAGCTCCGTCTGGTCAGTGTTAGAGAGCTCTTTCAAGTTTGGTTACTGCACTGCCGAGTCGTTTAGCGAGATCGTTGCGTGCAGCAGAAACGCGAGGTCGTGGTCCCTCCGAAGTTGATTTATTGAGCGCTACCACCTAAACCCCGCCTAGAATTGTGGCACGTACATTCAACAATCAGGATTTAGTATCAAATCTGCCTTTATCATGTACCGAGTCCACTTGGTCTAGCAGTCGAGTACAAGCCCCTGTCCACTCCACCAGTCTACACACAGCAATACCCGCCGTCGACGCGGATCTCACTTCCAGTCACATAACTGGATGCGTCTGATGCTAAAAATACTATCGCACCCTGTAAGAGGATGATTTAGTATCTCGTTGCCGCTCAAGGTGGTGGGTCACCTTGAGCTCCTCAGGTATTCCCATTCTAGGAGACAGTCATCAGCCTCTGCTCAAGGGAACCGTTGCTACGTGCCTGCCCATAGGAGTCAATGTGTGCCAACTTTCCTGTGAAAAGTGTCAGTCACAGCAACTGAAACGCATGCGGTGTACCTTGAGCTTTGGGTTCTCTTCGAGCACTTTTTCCGTCAACTTGGTCATCATATACCCAGGTGAGAGCGCATTCACTCGAATGCCACCTTTAGCCCATTCGACAGCCAGGGACGAGGCCATGTGCTTGACAGCTACAGATCTGAGTAATGTTCCTCAATCTTGACAGACTCACCGGCTTTAGAAGCATTGTATGGCGTTTGTAACTGCGAAGAATCAAAGACAGTCACTGGCCTCGAGATACCCTTTATACCTGTGGCTGGTTGACGATCTGAAGGGTATCAGTAGCGCTCAGAGACTTGAGGGGTACTGACATTAGCACTCATACTTGAGATTAATATGATACTGCCGCTCTCCCCATGCCCAAGAAGACTTTTGGCCACCTCTCTGGCGCAAAAGAAAGAGCCATGCACATTGATGTCGAACAGCTTCTGGATCTTTGGAGTAGGATACTCAGTCGCAGGAAAGTTCTCCACAATACCTAAGGCGCCATGAGAGAAAGCGCGCTTGCTTGAGAGTGTCTCTAACCTGCGGCTGTTACCAGCGCATTAACACGTCCAATTCGACTTTGCAACTGTCCAAAGGCTGACTGCACAGACTTCTCAGAGGCGACATCACAGCCGACGCCTATCACGTTGAGTTCGCCTCTTTGGACTGCGCCAGCAGTCTCTATCCCAAATATTAGTAGACTCAGAATTGTGCTGGGAGCACATACCGTACTCATGAATTAGAGCCTTTGCCGCAGTCTCTGCCTCCTGCTCATGCAAGTCGATTATTGCGATGGAGTTGCAACCTCTATCAACAGGTAAGCTCTTGCATAGGCGTTCTTAGCCTCATTACGCTTCTATGAATGCTCGACAAAACATGTTGCCTGTTCGTCATGAGCCTGAGCGTATGAGGTGCTCCAACATACCAAGTCCTCGAGCACCTCCAGTGACTGCAGCGACCTATCATATAAACCATTAGATCCCACGTGTCGGAGCTCAGGTCAGACCTTGTTCGCCATGCTAAACTCCTTCAAAGACCTCGTGTGCGAATGCAACCGCGAACTAGAAGCAATTCCTCTTATAAAGTGCGCAGATGAACTCTTAAACTTGACCCGAAACGTCCTAGAGAACACAGAAACAGTGGCCATAAGTAATCCGGGGGAACGTAGAAGATTCGAAGTTTGCGTTCCACCTCTTCCATCACCTATGAACGTTCTCGTGTATTCCGGTCCAGGAGTGTCCGAAACGTCACTTTACTGCACAATATCGACGCTAAAGGACATCCTTGGAACAAGTTTTGCAATCCAAACCGTCTCCCCAAAGGTTTTAGAGACTGAGCCTTGGGCACCGACGTGTGCCTTGCTTGTCATTCCAGGAGGACGCGATCTTCCCTATCTGTCCGCCCTAGGACCCGCGATGAAGACCATCGCCACCTATGTGCGCAAAGGAGGTTCATATCTCGGCATCTGCGCGGGGGCGTACTTCGCATCGGGACGCATAGAATGGGAGATGGGGACACCACTTGAAGTACAGGGAGAACGTCCGCTCAAATTCTTTCCTGGTCTCTCGCGAGGATGCATGTATCCTGGCTTTCAATACGAAAGCGAAAACGGCGCACGAACGGTGTCTGTGAGGATGTCCGATGGAAGAATACGAAATGGACTGTACTACAACGGTGGTGGAGAGTTCATCCTTTCGAATGATACTCCCAACGTGACGCCCCTGGCCTTTTACGACGATTCGGAAAAGCCCAATACTGTTGCTGCAGTCTCGTGTCGTGTTGAAGAGGGGAACGCGGTCCTGTGGCATGTCCATCTCGAGTATCCTACGACCAGCGAACTGGTCAAGTCAGCCGCTGCTCGCGTATTTCAAACACTATCGGAGAGCGATGTGACCAAAGTAGAATCCGAGCGAAAGGAAATCATGTTGGAGAGCTTAAGAATACTCCGCTTGAAGACCTCCAACCCGCCAGAGATACCAACGAATCCGCTCCCTCAGTATATATGTGCGACAGAAGCGTCAAAGGGATGCTGGAAGAAATACACACCACGCTCAATACATTAATTGACCAAAATCTTGGTTTGATCGACGATTCGACGGACCAATTTCTCCTGCATGATGGAGCGACTTCGAGCATTAGTCAGAACAACGACGATCGTAGACACCTCGTCTTTTGCAAAGACGGACCCCATCCCCCGAGGTGACGCCTCACTTTTCAATCTCGGCCTACTTCTCCCACTTGACACAAGCAAGGAAACAATATTCATCTTCTCCCCGTTCTCCGCTTCAATGCAACATCGGAGAGGTCCTGCAATACGGAGAAGCCGTCACTAGTACCCAAACACTCCTTGAAAGGTAAACTGTCTGATGCCCAAGAGAGTTTACTGACATCCTCGCAGAAATATCAAGACTCTGGAGGTACTCCCAGCTCCGATATTATCGCTGGCAACATACCAACTTAACGGGAGAGGAAGAGGCGGTAATGTCTGGGTCTCGCCGCTAGGGTGTCTTCAGTGGTCACTCTTACTACGCCCACCGCCACAATTTCCAAACAGCAAACTCGTCTTTATACAATATCTTGTTGGTCTCGCTGTTGTCGAGGCTTGTCGCGAAGTTCTCGGTTCAATAGGGGAACGAGTCGTCCTCAAGTGGCCAAATGACATTTATGCAAAAGCAAGAGGTGAAAAGGGCGAAGAACTTCGGAAAATAGGTGGCATCCTCGTCAATACCGTCTTCATGGCCGGTGGTGTACGCATCATTGTTGGTAGGTACTCGATCACGTCTCGTGCTAGGTTTGCTGAGTCCTGTAGGGTGTGGACTCAATGTCCTCAACGAGCCGCCTATCTTCTCGATATCTCAGCTTGATCCTAGCCTTCGAGCCTCCAATCAGCGACTGACGATGGAAAACATGCTGGCGGCTATCATGGTCAAATTTGGACGGATGTGGGATGAATTTGTCTCGGAAGGATCATTCGAACCGTTTATAGATCTCTACTTGGATCGGTGGATACATTCGTTAGTCCTCCAAAGCTCCTCACTCTTGCGATCATTGACCTGAAGCAGAGACCAATTGGTCACGCTCGACACCGTCAAACCTCCATTACGCGTGAGGATAGCAGGCATCACTCCAGAACACGGCTTGCTAAGGACAGTGCCGGAGAAGTATCAACCCGGAGGACCTCAGTTCATCGACTTACAACCGGATGGAAATAGCTTTGACATGATGGCAGGGCTGATAAAAACGAAGCAATAAATATTTAGCGGGTATCGTGTATAGGAGATGATGTACAATTACCAGGATCTCCTCACGTGTTCATGGCGGCGATACCGACTGACCAGATCCGTCGCGCTTGTTTGTCAGAAACATGGAGTCTCTCTCAACAGCAGTCGCCCCTGCGCCGTGGACGTTACGCGGCGACGCATGGTGGTTTGTCCTCTCAGTCTTTGGAAATTCTACAGACAATATCGATGCGAGCCAGTACGCCCCCCTTGAAGCGTCCTCAGCCAAAATCGCTCAAGAACCGGGAAACTTCAAAGGAGGTGTCTCTCTAGCGATGGTTCTAAGATACACCGAAAGCCCAGTTGGTCCTTGTGAGCATGTTCCTCACCAGTTTCAACGCCGTATCGACGACACGTCTTTGTAGACGACGAGTTGTTGATTATTCCCGGAGCATTCGATTCACCCCCCTTTAGTGATGACAAGGAGAATCCACGGGTAACGAGGATTTACGTCTCTACGCTTGCTTCAGTCATCAACGGTAGGCGCTCAATTACGCATGTTATGAACGACAGCTAACAGTGGCAGGGCGGAAGAACTGGAATACACCAAAGCACCTCGCACGCTTCGAGTTTACAGAGCAGAAAGATGGGACGCGGGATGTACGCGTATACCCCCTGACACCCTCTAGTCCTGGCGACAACGAGACCTATAGCGCCAAACCCTGTTTCGCAGCTCGTATCACGCCTTCGTGGTTTGTACCTGCACCAGCGATACCATTCCACACAAAGTTTTTGCCATTTACAGTCGACTTGGTTCAGCCGCCGCTCGAACAATCAGAGCATGCTGACAAGGACGGTTTGGTTGGCACAAACGTATGGCAGAAAATGTTGCCGAGTTTTTCAGGCAAGATAAAGCTCGTGCGAATGGTTGGGTTGCTAGAAGGAGAAAAGTATGGTGATGGCGTGGACTTTCCGAATATCAGGCCGTGGAAGACTGGGATTTATTGGCCCGACGTCACCATCGAATTTCCAGAATCCCAAAAGTGGAAGGACGAGCGACAGTACGGTACATTTGCCTAACCTTGGGAAGTCAAATTGTAATAATGATGACTGATCTCGATACGTACTTTTATTTCCTCGACTTTCGACCTCTTTTACTATCAAAGGCCGTGATCCCTTGTCCCTTTCGTATTTCATGCTTGCCGAGGGTCAGAATTCCCCCCTTGAATGAGCCGACACCCATTCCGATTCCCCTTTCTCGTTTTATCCGCTTATTTGGTGTGTCATCATCTTTTAATAGCTTCTTGATCATAGGGTGATAGTTGCCTGCCTCCTTTGCCTGCCAAATCGGTTAGCTCATCCTCGTTTGTTTGCCAAGCAACGAATGCCAACCTCTTGAACTCTCATCTCGTTTATTTGCCTTCTCTTTGCTTCTATCCCCTTTTGTATTATCCTCGGCGCTTTACTGTGCTCCTTTCTTCGGACAGTCGTTTCTCCCTTGCCCAGTTTGGCGGCGTTGGCTATCTCGAGCACGCGCCCTTCGAGTGATTTTTTCTTCTTGGCACCACTCATATCTGAAGATCGTTCGTCGAGGGAGGCCGTGAGCAGTTTAGTGTGAATCAGCTTGTACAGGCTACGGTCATTGGCTTGGAGTTCCCTATAGAAGTGTGAGATAAAATAAGCACAGAGGTCACACTCACACTTCTTCTTGCTTCTCCTTCCTCGATGTTTTGGATGTGGATGCCTTTGTTTCGGTCTGTCGTAGCTTTGAAATCTTCGAAGACTTGAACGTGCAGTGTCAGAGTGATTTGATTATGTAGGCAATGTATTCACCATGAAAGATTTGTCCACTTGTCTCTTTTCTCTTGCACTCTGTCTCCCGTCGAACACAATGACAGGGACTGCGCGCTTGGGGTCAATCTCTTCTTCATCGTCTTGTGTTGGAATAGAGCCTTCTTCATCTTCAATTTCGTCTAATACACGATCAATGCGAGTACAAAACGTCTACCGGGCGTACCATCGCTGTTGGAATCTGTATCGTCTTCTGAACCCGTTCCCTCGCTCAACATCTCCTCTTCACGAGATTCAGGTACATGAACCTTCTTCAAGACCGGCTTCTGGAGCTGCGTGTCTGCCTTGCGCTTTTTACTCGGTGGCAATGGGCCAAACTGGGCGAGAAAGCTTTGTCCAAATGCCTCAAAGGCAGCACGGTCCTCGTCCTGAGTAGTATTTTCAACCGTATTTCTTGATGGCTTCATCAGCGATTGACGCCGTCCGCTCCAAGGTGTTTCTCGGCAAATAAAAAAAGCAACTCAAACCTGAGCTCCGACGAGGAACATGGCAAAGATAGAGGACTATGTAGACAGCGACTCGAGCGGTCGAGAGGAAGAACAGGGAGTCCCAGAGATCACTGAAGAAGAGCAATGGCGGATTATCCAGGAGACGGGCATCCTGAACCAAGCCATGCAAGCGCAGGAGGCACAAGACAAAGATAATGACGTGCCTCAACGAGACATGGCGGACGAAATCTTCGAGTCCATCTTGTATTTAATCCCGTTTTCGTGTCTCTACATTGGGATGGATATGTAGGTCCGTGCATGCGTGTCGAGCAGCAGATTGACGTGGAGAATAGCATGATCAAGCAACAGTACGCACAACACCCATCCTTTAAAGAGGAGCTTGGACAGTTGGTTTCTGCGGTCCCTAGTACGTTTCGCTACTCGTGGTTGAGGGTTGTTGACTGACTGCCGGCTAGTTCTTGCCTTATTTATCTTTTATAGTATGTCATCTCCGTCAATGTGGGGTCGTACTGACGCATGTTGTATTCCAGCTAACCGGTTCAAGCATACCTTGATAGTCCAAGCCGGACTGTTCTTCGCATCCATCTTGGCCAGTTCGCGGTTGATTTGGATTGTCAACAAAGAGTCGTTTGGCATCGTAATACAGCAGGTGCACCAGAAGCTCATGTCGTCCGTTACGTGACTAACGTCAGTCATAGTGTCCCCCTCTTGGAGTCATTTGGGTGTACGCCATCGCACAGCTTTACCTGCCCTACGCATGCGTGACGCTGGTGCTCGAGTATTTCTTTGTCAAGTATTATAACCTAAAGATCATCTTCTAATGCGTCACTGTCTTTTGCCCACCCTTTCAACGATTGCTCAGACACACCTTGGTTTCTACCTCGTCCGCTCACCACATTCTCTACGCACCTCTGCATATCCCATGAAGCAGCGTTTCATATCTCGTTCATATACCACTCCTTCTACAGCGCAGTTTGCACTTCACGACGCCCGCCACCATGCCCAATCGTCAACTGGAAGACGAAACACTGTCCAATACGCATCCTCATCATCTTCTACTATAATAAGGCCGCCAGAACTGATTTATGAGAGCTCGTCAAACGCAGCGACGAGCACCAGCGTGGACACGGCTCGCGACCAACGACGTGGGGTCCGTTTGGGGCGACTCGCCAAACGCGCCGGGATGCGCGTCGTTCACGCATCACAGGTGCCCTATTTCTCTCCATTTTACAAATCTTATGCAATCGCATGCTAACACGCGTTGTCTGCTACTCCAGTCGAGCCTCGCAAAGATCAACCCGCTATCCAGTCTCAAAATGCGATTGTTCGATATGCTCACGACCAAAGCTGCACTCAAAGCCAGTACAAACGACGACAGGGCCTACGTCTTCGTAAATCCGCCTCGACTAATGCCCCAACTTCCCGGACCACAGAGGGGTTATGGACCAGGGGAAGGAGAGCCTGGCAACCTACGAGCGAGCTCATCGTCATTCCTACATGAGTGTACCCACCAAACCTCTGACAAAGGCCGCGGTTCATGTCACCTTGGTCAACGAAACGATGTCGAACAACCAGCAGACCACGTCCCAATCTTTCATGGATGGGCAATGTACTGCGGCACACATAGACCACCTAAATTGGTCCCCCGCACACACTGGGATGACGCTGTTGCGCAACACAAAGCACGCCGTGCCGAACTAGCTCACAACGCAGCAGTGGCAGTGGCAGAGGCGTACGAGACGAGGCTTAGGCACGCTGTCGAGGAAGTGATCAGGGAGTGTGAAGAAGAGCGAATGCAATCCAGTGTCACGATCGTACAGGAGCATGGGGCTGAGCGACTAGGATTTGGAGCTCGTCGCCGACCTAGCCACCTCAAAATCGACACACGTCCAACAGTCGAATATATACACGATGCTGACGGTCGCTCAACGTCTGCTCTCAGCACACCAGCGGACACTATTGGTTCTAGTGGTCCACCATCGAGAACGGTATCTGCCCATTTCGATACCGACGAGTAATCTATTCGAGTAGTATGATACCCATCTTTATCATGTACAGCTACCTGAAGCGCATAAACCATTCCTCTCAAACAAAACAATTCTGAGTGCATCAATCGCAATGCATTGCATAGCCAATCATCGTACATTGCGCTCGACGAGCGAACGAGTGAGAAAACACAGACACAAGAATGGGGAGAAGAAGGACAGTCGGTCAATCCGCGTCTGAGACCAAGGTACATTCGATATAATTTCGAGGCGCCGTCAGTCCATGACGAGCCCCTGTCGATACCCTGAAATTTCCGACGAAATAGAGATTAGGACAATAAGGAGACGAGGGGAGGGAGAAAGTAGAGAATAAGGCGCTGCATCAGAATGAATTGGGGTCCAACAGGATTGCAAACCAATGCGTCGCGGAAGGGAAAAAAGAGGCTGGCAGCACATGCATGCAAGCGGGAAAGCCCGATGAGAATGAAAGAGTCGACGGCGTTGCCGAGAGGGATAGGAAGGAAAAAGGAAACCGAGGACCGTGAACAGGGAGTCAAAGGAAGAACAGAGACCGACACGTGCGGTGAAGGTCGGAAAAGAGTCCATGATAGGCTCTCCAGTCATGAACCAGCGAACGGCGGCAATATTTTCTTGGGAGAAAACGGCCAGAGAGAGCGGGTAAGCAAGACGGCATAACGATACAAGCCGCAGGGATGTCGAAATGAGTGACCGAGGCGATGGATGCAGAGTGATTCTCGATGACAATGTGTGCGCTTTTTTGGTTTTCCAAGACAAGGGGAAATCGGTAACGATGCGACCTAGAGCGTAGCCGACTGCAAGATCCAAGAGGAGTGGTGCGGTCACCCACGACGCATGTATGAATGTGTTGATCAACCCTTGTTCTCGCGCCCGAGGGGATCATATGTTATGGTGGTACAGTTGGAATATGTATGCGAGACGGGAATAAACACAGGTTGCCGCTGGTCTTTGGCCGTAACGGACTTTGAGGGAATTCGCTTTAGTCGACGGGTAGTCGGGCCGACTAGGGAAAAGGGTGATATAAGTCGGAGCACGTCGGAAGCGAGGAGAACCAGGCAAGGTGGTGATTCGTCTATGGGCGGAAGGACTCGGAGGAAGGTGGCGCGTCACGGTGTGCATCCAACGCGTAGACGCTTGCGGTTGTCTGAACCTGTGGATGAGGGATGTAGACGGACGCAGACGGCAGGGGCGCCGGGGTCGCTGAGGCCGGTGGAAACGGTCCAATGTACTGGGCAGACGATCTTCGATGGTCATAGACACTGTTGTCGACGGTGGCCGACCGTGAGTCGGACCCGGCAGAACTCTGCTGCGAGGGCGACGAGCTCGTCCCTGCCCCGGATGTGAGGCCAACGGGTGGGACAATTGGCGTCAGTGTTGCAGTGATTTGTGGTCGCCTCGGAAGCGGTGTTGTTGTCGATGGATGGTATGCATCTGGCCAAGCAGACGTTGATTGGGCAAAGAGAGGGTGGGTCGGCGTGCTAAGGTGATCGGGGTGCTGGCTCGTGAGAGGATGCGACATGTAGCTCGAGGGACGATGCGCAATCGAGTAATAGGATGCCGTCTGCGATGGCTCATGGGGCTGCGCGTAGTTGGGCGGCGCGTAAACCGTCTCGCGCTTGATCAGCCGTTCCTGTGGCAGGGCAGACGCGTTTGGGTCGAAATGTTGCGCTGGTGGAGGCTGGACGGGCGGATCAAATGCGCTCTGCTCGTACAGGGGATGCGGCTTGTAGGCATGAGCATCAAAAGGAGGCTGGTATCCTGCTACTTGCGATTGCGCCGTCGGAGGTCCGTGGGCGGTCGGGGGCGGCTTGTCATAGACGTTTGGAGCACCCAGGACGCCCGGATGAAGCCCATGGCCCGTCGTCACCGTCGCAGACGCCTCTGGCTTGTGCGCGCCGTGATCGAGAACAAAGGAAGGACGCGGTTGAGCGGTATTCGGGCCCATTGCGGGCGGAGTCTGGGGCCAGTTGCGCTCGTGCGGCGAGGAATCGTCAATCTCGAGCTGGAGCTCTGGATCGTTTTCGTCTGCAATCAGTGGCTTGGTGGTGTCACACCCAGTTGGGCCGCGGCCAAGTAGATAGCGATCCGAGGGCTTTACGCCAGCCCATTGACGCAGAATGACATTCTCCCGCTCGAGTAGGCTCACTCGACGCTCCAGGTCTGGCCATCACAAGTGCGAATCGGGCGAGAAAAGGCCGGCGAAAGGTGGTCAGCGAGGAAAATAGTAGAAAAATGCACAAGAGACTTACCAGCAAGATGGGTTGTCCTACGTGCTCTAAAGAGACGCTGGACCTCTCTCTGATGGCTTTTCGGGAGCGTTTCGTCGACCTGGACGCGGTACAGCGGTCAGCGACGGGGCTCAGATGACACACACGAAGAACAGACCTTTCGTCCTCGTTTGTTGCGAACGACGAGGGGCTGGCCCATTGGATCCAGTGGGAGGGACATGGCGAAGGAAAGGTCCAAGTAAGCTAAACGGTTTAGCGACGAGCTGTCACCCTGCTTGTCGACCGGGATCGGCGCTCGGACGAGGGGAGGAGGAATGTCAGTGTGCACTGGATATTATCCCAGATTATTATATAATTTTTGGGGATTATTCAACAGATGCTCGGCGCTGGCTGTGGTTCCCGGAATAATGACACCCGAATCCATGAAAACCATGTGAGCCATCTTAGCGAAGCGAAACTAGACAACGAATGCCGCTCATGAAACGAGATTCGTATAACATAGTTTGTACATAGAGCCTCTTAGCCTTTCAGAAGAGGGACGAGCCCGTCTTGCGTGCTGCAAACGCTCGTGCACCCGCACCATGTGCTCCCTGCCATCCTACGAACCGCTCAGAACCAAGATCAAGCCCTCCGCTCGATCCCGGCTTCAGCGAAGCCCCCGTCCCAGCGCTGGTGCTCGTGCTCGTATTAAGCTTCGCGACGTTCGCAGGCGAGAAGCCGTACCCGCGCGACTTGGCCCAAATCGAGATGAACAAGACCCTCTTCAGCTTGCGATTCACAAAGAACCAGTGGTTGCTCCACAGTAGCGAACCACGCAGACGGAGGTTGCGCGACCGAGTGGGGGAACGTGAGTGCCCATTCCGTGGACGCGAACGTGCCAATAAGGAAATCGAATTTGACGTCACGTGGTTCGATGTCGTAGTAGCCATAGTCGTCGTCGGCAGAGATCCCGTGGGACGCAGTCCGGAAGAGCGCGGTCGATTATGGATCGACACACCACCCGGATAGAAGAATGGTCGCGGCCTATCGTCACTATCTTCTTCACTTTCCGTCTCTGATCCTTTCATGAAGATTTCGTCTCCACTTTCATCTCCATCCTCTTCATCCGTGCTCCCTTCCGGCCACTCATCTTCGCTGTCATCCTCGTCCCCTCCGCCATGGGGATCTGTTTCCGAATTGGGTGGCGTCCACACGTAGACTTCACATTGTCCATCCCTAAGCCCTATCGCGTCGTCCAAGACCCCAAAGAGGACAGGGTGCGTAGATGACACGACGTCAGACTCAAACTCGCCCTTGGACCTCCTTTCCATGGCACGGAGAGCATCGATACCCTCACTTCGCGTGGGGACGCTACTAGGCGAAAACGAACGACCTTCCCCCGGATAGGCAGAGTACGTCGTCGCTCTCGAAATCCCTGCCATATAGCCACCTCGACCAGCAGAGCCCGGCCGTCCTCCATTCTGAATGTCAGAGGGAGACGAAACTCCGACCGACCTAAACGTATTCGACAAGGACGCGAGGACGGCGCTGCCATTCTTCTCTCGACTAAACTGGTCGGCTCCCAGGGACGCAAAGTCATGATGAGGAAACGCCGCATTCAACGTTGATTTGAGGACAAATAGCGTCTTGCGCTCGGATTTGTCTAGCTGTCCCGGCAGCTTGTAGGCGTTCTCGTCGTTTTCGTTATCCGTGCCATTGTCGCCTGGGCTCATCTCAGACCGGCGAAGGAGAGCAGAGTCGATGGGACTATTCGAGATGCTTGGGCTCCTTCCAAAATGGGTAAACGACGACGAGCGTTGTGGCGGGGCCATGATGTCGATACTCTGGCTGCGCGCCCGGTCGCCATTCTCTTTGCCAAAGAGCGCATGTGTGACTTCAATCTGGTCTTCTTTGTATTCTCTTTCGAGGTTTCTCCACATTCGTTTGTCCTTGGTTATCGGCTTCATGCTGTAGGCCTCGATGCGGGTATGCACATTGCACTCGGACGAGTCGTAGGAGAGCAAACGCGAGAGTTGGTTGAGCTGGGGAATGTCCATGTACTTCATTGTCGATTACAAGAGACTAGACGCTTGATTTCAGCCCACAAGGAACACGACGCAGTCATGAACACGGGGAACCGACCGACCTTTGAGACGGGTACTAATACACGCGGTGGTACGATTAGAAGAACGTGTAGCTGTTGCTGAACGTTGTAATGAGCCGTTCAGAGTGCGGCCAAGCGGGAAACGTGCGCAACAAACTCCGGGCAACTGCTCACGCCCTCGGCGGTGGATTAGAGGCGACTAAGACGGGTGTGCTAGGTTGTAAACTTGTATCGCTACTGGTACAATTCGTCGAATTTGCGGGCAAAACGGTGCCTTTGGAACTGCGGTGCGGTCTAAGAGACGTGCCCAGAGCCCGTGGGCAACATGCGCCTGACACCCAAAGGGACTCGAAGCGAGAGACGGCATTCATTAGATTATTCAAACAACATCTCGTTCATGCCACGTATATTTCACAAATTACTACGTTCAACTGCCATTTGCGGTCTCGAGAAACACCTGACCGGAAAACGTCACGGACACCCTGCAGCCCCTCAAGTCCCAGCATATTAGGTATAAGGTAGTTGCTAAAATTGCCGCGATTACACACGGTCTGCGAGCCACTTGAGCAGTCCCTTTGAACCTAAAGAGGGTTAATCCCTGTGAATGAACTGCGTATCTACGTACCCTCTTTCTCCCATATCCGACGAGCAGGCACACGGAATGTATTCCCTTCCACTAGCAGAACGTCGAGCGGCAGTAATCCGAGCAGAGGAGGTAGCTTCTCATATGTCAGACAGGTTCGCTCGCTATACCTTTTACTCACTCTTCCAATTTCGTTGTCTCGTAGATCAATCTCCTCCCCTCGAAAACCTGCAATACCTGATCCTCCTCTCCAGGCCTGTCCAAGTTCCGCAAGAGGCTCGAGAGAGGAAAGCTTGTTCCCGCGGAGCCGCAAAGTTGACAATCCCTTTCTCTTCTTATCAGGATCCGGTGTCAGAAGCGCTCCGACTCCAGATAGGGATGTCAAGAGGTTGTAAGAGAGATCGAGTGTGGACAGGGATGGGAAGAGTGCAGCGATCATTTCCAACAGTGGTTCCTTTATATTGACTGATTGTCCATTTTCCTGTGAAACTGGCACCTCACTTGGCAAGTTGCAATTATCCAAACAGAGCTCCTCGAGGTGAGGAAGGACCGGGATACCGAGCCCAGATGAGGGTAAAACAAACGATATCTCCATCCTCCTGCTCGATAGAATGAGTACTTTGATAGAGTTTGCAAAGCTCTGTGAAAGAATGGTCGGTAACGGCAAAGTGGGAAGCGGCACCGCGAGCTCCGATGCACTTGCAGAGTTTACAGTTGCGACCACTGAAAAGCTGCGATTGTGCGTACGAGGTTGTGGCTGGGACTTTGGGAGGGTCAGCGTGGCATGAGGTCCATCGTAAAACTGAACCAGGGACACCACGCCACCGTTGAGGGAGAGCGATGCAACCTCGCTGACGGGTGGGGATGGTGTATCTCGTGTGGCGGCGGCGGCCAGAACACGAGCACGTCGACGACCTCCTTCGGTCGAAAGGCCTTGCTCTGCTTCAAGTTCCCAAGTCTCTTTGACTGGCTCCTCAGTGCTCGGGGAAAGTGGCTTGATGACGATCTGCCTTGGAGACTTCACTTTGGGCACTTCCGAGCTACCAATGGAGAATATGCTGTCCGGAGTGGTCGAACTCTTGCGGAGCCTCGCCCTGTTTTCTGCCTCAATCTCCCAGCTCTCCATCACAGGACCTGGCTTTCCATGGATGACATTCAGGGCGCCACGAACATTGGAGTTGGTCGGTGCGATATGTACGTCTTTCGTCTTTATGGAACGGCGTATCGCATCCTCAGTGAGTCCCTCATTCTCTCCCAAGTCTAGCACAGATAAAGATGGTGGCGGAGCAACGGATGGAGGAAATGCCGCGTCTGTGAGCCCACAAGCAGAGAACCGCAATGATTGGATCCCAGGAAGCGCCAAGAGAGCTTTGAAAAGAGGTCCGACCGCACCAAGTTCATTATTGGAGATATCAAAGTCTGCAAGTTCTTGCGGTAGTGACGAGAGGATGAGTGACTCTGTACGGATCTGGTTGTGCGAGATGTTGAGAATTCGAAGGGCGGGCATAGTGACCTTTGCACGTTCAATCGTGGCGCTAAAGAAGCCTTGTCCTCGTGATTGCGAATCATCAGAGGGAACAACTTTGAGTGGAATTGTCGATAGTTTGTTGTGGGCCAAATTCAAGGTATGAAGGTTGGGCATCGAGGCGAGGTTCCTGGGAAGCTCTTCGAGCTCGTTTTCTCTGCGAATGGTTAGTTGTGCTTGTGCGACAAAACAACTACGTACGATAGATCCAGATGAGTGAGAAATACCAAGTCTGCAAGGGAATCAGGCAAACGCCTGAGTTTATTCTTATGCAGCTGGAGGACGATCAGCGACGAGTCCGGGTGGTTCAGTAATCACTCACGTCCACAATCTTCAAAGATCCGAACAGAGATAATTCGGGCTGCAGCTCTACAATCTCATTGTCCCATAGTTTCAACGTCGTTAGATCAATCTGTTCATACCAAGCAGTATTGGAGACTTTTTTGACCTTCTTCGGAGGTCCCTCTGGCTCGATCACCTCGGGAGGAGCCTCTTTCAAGGGTTCCGGGGTCACGCTGAGGTGTGATTCAAATAGGTATGACGGGATCCTCGAAAGCTCTCGTGATGCCAAAACAATTGACCCTATACGCGTCAGACGGTGACCTCAGTGGTAATAAAATTCCTTACCGCTGCTCTTTGCTCTGTCTATGGTATCCCTTATCGACCAACGGCCTAAGATGTCATCTTCCTGGACGGGGGCAGCTGCATCGTCCAAAGCCTGTTCATCAGACGCTGACAGGCCCGTAGATTTTACAGATGCCGACTTCTTCAGCTGTTCCGCACGCCGAAGTGCAATCTGCTCTTTGATAGAGAGTGCACGCGCTGAAACGACAGGAGATGGTGTCGGAGCCTCTTTCACCGGCGATGTCGGCGTTTTACGCGGGCTATTTGGTGACAACCTTGATGCAGACGTCTTTGTCTTCAAGGTTGGTGCTGCGAGACTTGGACCGCCGCCACGAGCAGGCCGTGTGCTCGAGGTGGTCGACCCAGTAGTTGAAGAGGCTCTCGGTGTAGTCGGAGTAGATGTAGTTTTCCCTCTGGGGGTAGCAGAGGTCGTCCGGGGCCTTGGAACTCGCGAGGTAGACATTGAACGGGATCAAGAAGTTTGTTATTACGCTACCACCAAGCGGCTACTAGAACTGAAACACACTAACGAACGCGGCGAGTCAGCCACTGCAACCGACTGTGATTCACGTCACGGGAATGATAATGTGCCGCCTGAGCGTAGCATCCGCGACACCTCGTCTACCAGTCTAGGTCGACGTCCTTCTTCGCCACAGACACTTTGATGCGTTTGGAGCGACGTAGTCCCGAACTTTCTGCATTTTCCATTTCTACTTCTCTCATCTTGCGCTTTCCGGTGTTGGAGAGGGATCGCTCCGGCGTCTTTCTCAGCATATACGACTTGCCCTCGGAGCCTTGAGTACCACCAAATGCCTTTCTCTTGTTCTGATCCCGAATTGGTGAGAGCGGGAGGCGACCATCGAAAATTTCCTGTCGCACGATCGCTCAGAAGTTACCTGGCTGTCAATAGTTCCTGTACTAACCTCAGTTACAGGCGGTTCCGCCCGTTTACGGCGTGACTAAACACATGATGTGAATTAAGCTTTTGAAATATCCGCTACGCTCACCTCTTTTCCCAGACCAACTAGCTTCCTTTCGGCATTCTCGCTTGGGTCGAAGTATGGAGCCATCATGGTCGAGATTGCTGGATTCTTGGTATAGCGCGTCTTCGCTGTTTTTCGTACTTTGGCTCTCCCTCCCCCGGCTTTCATGTGAGTGGAACGTGTTTCAAATAAGCCCAGCCCGTCCTCATCCACCATTTCTGGTCCAATGAAACCTACCAGAGATCAGACACTCAAGATCAAGACCACTCCTAGTTACCGTCATTCTCTAGTCTTTTCCAGAGTTGTGAGGCCACTGCAGGAGGGGCACCTAGAATGAATGAGCAACAGCCCTGAAAGTGCCATGGATGCTTACCGACAAGTTTCCGAAACTCAGATGCGCTTGGGGGATTCTCGATTTCGATGATCTTCAGCGCGCGACTACAGCTCGTGAGGAACATGAATGAGCGGAGGAAAGACACAAACCGGAAGAGTGCCAATTCTCGATACTTCAACACATACTCTCTGATGAAACTTTCACCCGTAATCAAGCTAGCTTGAGATGCTCGCAGACGACACTCGAAGCATTTGAAGCTCCGAGGCAAGCGTGGATCCTCAGAGTCATGATACCTGACTGTCAGATAGAAGTATACCTCGATTATACGACCTTACCCATGGCACCTGAGAACCAGTCAATACTATGTGACTTGGAATTTTGAACTGACCATAGATGCACCCATCTTCCGCAAGGCCCTTCACACTGACAAACATCATAGTCTTCGGTACCTTTCTGGATCGGGCATTAGTTTCTTGTTGCGCTTCGTAGATGCCGCGTACATGAGCAGCACAGTCGCATTCAACATCGACCGCCTCAGCTAAGCGGCCTAAGTCAGACTATGGAGTTGACACTACCGTCTCGCGTACCAGTTTGACCCAAGGAAGCTTTTTCTGATGTCCAACTCGCCGATACGTGCTGCGTTTCCAAGTCTGTACACGCGTCAGTGATGCTCAGTAGTCCATTCTCTATCTCACCCATCACAGCATAAGAGTTTCCGGAAACCGTGGTGGCATTCATGTCTTCTGAGATATTGAGCTGTCCTAGTTGTTCATGGAATGGTGTGTCTGGTTCGGGGGAACGAGATTGTGGACATTCGCCCATGTCTGAGAGAGTAGAGTAGCCGTCTGTGTTATTGCCTCGGGGGGTCATTTCTTCAATTTGAGTCGCTCCTTGATCGCTTGACGCCGACTCGCCCTGTATAGCTTTCAATATAGAGAATAGGTCTTGTACCTTACTAACAAGTTGGCTGACGTGAGTGATCTCACGGGCAGCTTTGCCTACGACGAACTGGCCAAGTGGTGCAAGAGTGCCGCTCTCTGTTCGCTCGCCGAGCAACCCCGTTGTAATGTCTTCGTCTATATTAGTTGAGACAGAGATCTCTGCATCCCAAATGATGTTTCTTTTCTGGGCGTCTGCTAGTAGTTCTTCCTCGACGACTTGCTCTTGATGTGACGCTGCATAGTCGTGTCGATTACCTGATGTGGCTAATTTGATCACGTGTGCATGATCTTCGGTTGACTCCGCAGAAGGGAGCGCCCCTGCAACTGATTGAACCGAGACAGATACACTTTGAGAGAGTCAGCATCAATAATTTGTCAATCCAAGGGCTCACTTGTTGAAAAAGGTATTGATTTGACCTATTTTCATACGAAGAGGAGCTTCTGCAACATCATGGGTTGCGAAGGTCATTCTACTGGCTGTAGGGTCGCCACGAACGAAGAGAGGCGGTTCATAGTCGTCTGGCGCGTTTGGGTAATATTCTAGCTTGAAGGTGGCATAGCGCTTTCCTAGTTTTTATTCAGGACGATCGCGTAGCACTTGCGCAAAGTAACTCACGAGGCAAATCCTCCAGGGTTTGTGTAATGGCGATAAGTTTATGAATAGTACTCTAGTATCCATCAATTCTCTGAGTTCTGAAAGGATTTGGGCTTACGCGTATGCTAGCTTTGACATCCGCGAGGGTGGGAGGGCGAAGCAAATTAGTCTTTGGATCGACAGATGCCATGCTAGTCTGATATCTGCTATTATGGGTATCCGTGACATTGAGGATCGGGATACGGGTACTAGTGCCCGGAAAGACTTCATACTTCGACCTAAATGAGCATTAGGGAGCATTGTGTTTGAGAACAGACCGAGAAGTCAAATGTCCAAGCTTCTATGATACTAGATATAGGGTTAGCATGTCAAATTAAATCCGATTATCCGCGCACTTGTGCGGATCATCCTTGTTCTATAAAATGGTCAGGCCCAACATGTGCTCTTGTGGACACATACGATGTAAAGAGCGAATATCATCTTTCGAAGATACTGCTTTTCAAGTGCATGAAAAGCGCCTTTCTCCTGTTATCTCTGTGAGCGCATGTTCACCTCGGCTGGGACAACAAACACGCACAAGATAATCGAGCAATTCATCACCCTCTTGACTGAATCCACGCTTGACAGTCATGATCTTGTATCTGGATAGCTTGATGCCATCTTCGCTTGTCGACGTCTGAGACGAAGGAACGTCGGACATGGGGTTGGGCTTGGGGTCGTCGACGACTAAATGCGCTACACCGACATTCAGTCATCTTATAGATAGTTTGATTGAGACACGTACTCTGACCGAAATTGTCCTCGGGAAGGAGCGACCTGGTGTGGCTCTCAAACAAACAAACACGGTAGGGTCAACCAACTTGCCTGAGGAATAAAATACAGCCAAAAGATGCTGAAAGGAGCGTCTTAATTGCCACCTGGCTCTGAGCGAGTGTAATCTGATGTAACATAGCGCAAAGCATTAGTTTAGCTCAGACCGATGACAAATTAACGCGTTTGACGCGTTCCAAACAGAATTTAATACATACTTGGGCTTGTTCGTTGACCTTTGAGGCTACTTGAGCCTGCATGACGAGGCTTTCAAGTTGTGGTGGCGGTCGAAGTTTCTGGAGACTCCCTCCAACGACGTTCAGAGTATCTAATAAATGTGCAAAAGGTCGTTATCGTCACTCCAAATCCAGTTCACATTCACCAAATAGTTGGCGCACATCTTGGACCCGACCGATTCAGAGGGTCGGCCACGCCAGTCGTCTCCAGTACTTGCACAGGCTCCTCCTCTAAATATATGGGATCAAGCTTATAGATATCAATACGAGACGGAAGAGATCAGCTCTCAAAGGGCAAAATATGAACGAGGAAGTCCGCAAACGGATAGAAGAAATTCCAACAAACGAGTTATTCGACATTTTTGAACAGGCAATACGGACTGATTTACTGTATCGGGATCCCAACGCCGACTTGAATCGTCTGATCCAAGACATCCGCCGCAAAACGAGCCGAGAGCTCCTGCTCCAACTAGCCTATCTCCTTCCTCATATCAGAGCCTCCACGCAAGCGAATTCCGGCCTCGGCTCGAGCGAACAATCTAATAACCAAATCAAATATCCTCCCCCACATGAACATGGACCAGAAGGTCTTGTGGGGCCCAATCTACTCAAAAATGAGACGCCTTCAGCCGAAGATCGAGCTACAAGTTCATTCAAAGAAGGACGTACCGTGGATTCTCATTTAGGCGGACGCTTGACCATCCCACACGATAAATGTGTTATGCGAGGCCTCTACATCATGGGGTGCAAGAGTGATCTTACGCGACAAAGGGAGTTTGTTGTAGACAAGGATTACTCCATGGGTGATCGTGGAGCATTGGAGTAAGATGGGGTTCCTTGTCGTTCCCTACCATTTCTGATCCTATTACCAGTCATAATGTCTTTCCTGTACGGTACCACTTCAAGATTGTGCAAACTGCCGATGTCCACGATCGCATGCAAAAGCTTGAGAGCGTGGGCGTCATAAAGCCAATATTGCCACCTCCATCGGAAGATGAAAACGAGGCTGAAGGGAACATGTCACGATATAGTCAAGAAAAGGAGCAGTATGAGGAAATAGTTGCTCAAACGATCTCTTCCCTGCCGACCGTTTGGCCTGCGGCGGATGACTGTATAGTGGGGTTGAACGAAGTCGAGTTCTTCGATGGGAGAGAGGTCAGCCCGATTGATACGCTGTCACTGTATCTTATTTCTGCCTAGGTACCGAGGGAAGACCATGTTGACTTGACACAACTCGTTCGACAAGGTAATAACCAGTTGACAATCATATTCCTCTCCGACCTTGATCGCTTTTGCTTTTGCCTCTTTGAGAAAAGAGTCAGTGATACTGGTGGAATATGCAACCCGTAAAGAAGCATAAAGCTCGGGATTCTGTTTGTTTTTACTGTTTATACGTATTATTTTCTGGAATGCACATTGGTGAAAAGTTGGGACTATCTTTCCCTCCTACTCGACATGTCCCTATTTACCGTTTCAGATTGGCAAGCGCCATCAGAGCCAGTAGTATCACATACAAGTCATAAAAAGAAGCGAAAACGTACACAGAGCACCTCCGAGCAAAGCGAAATGGCGGCCAAACTTACGAGCGTGCAAAATGCGTTGGAAAGACTCAAGGCTGGCGACGACCTTCAACGTTCGGAAAAACGCGGGAAACAAGAGGAATCTCGTGGATCAAGTGCAACTGCAGAGCTGTCTAAACCACTCAAGAAAACAGCCACCTCTTATGGAAAGCAGACAACGGTGGCGAATAACGACACTCATGTACAAAAGAAAAGACGAAAAGAGCCTATTCAAAACACGGGCAGCTCAATTTCAACACCAAACCCAGCAGTCAAAGGTCTGACGGCTCTCCAAAGTAGTATGAAATCTAGCCTCGAAGGAGCCCGCTTCCGGTGAGCTGCTAGCGCTGTACATATTCACCGTATCTGACCGAGACGCAGGCATATCAACGAGTTACTCTACAAGTCGACCAGCGAGAATGCGACAGAGCTCGTGAAGCAAGACCCGACTATGATAGAGGACGTACGTGTGCACGCAAATATAAAGAAGAGTACTCATGTTCCCAGTACCATGCTGGATTCAGACGCCAAGTCAAGTCGTGGCCTGTTAACCCTGTTGACCAATATATTATCGAACTATCGAAGCTCCCAAAACCGTTGGTGGTCGCAGACCTGGGATGTGGAGATGCAGCTCTGGCTCGTGCACTCGTTCCCAAAGGTGTTTGTGTGCTTTCCTACGATCTTAAAGGTCACAAAAGCTACGTGATCGAGGCAGACATTTGTCGGCATATTCCGCTGCCTGGATCGGAAAGTAGTAATGATGAAGAAGGAGAGGGTGCAGTTGTGGACGTCGTGATTTGCGCGCTGAGCCTTATGAGTACCAATTGGCTCGGGTGTGTCCGCGAGGCCTGGCGAATACTGCGACCGGGGTCAGTCAATTGCGTCTGTTACCACGGTGTGCTAAATAACCACTAGTGGGAGACTAAAGATTGCCGAGGTCACCAGTCGTTTTAGAGATGTCACCGACTTTGAGCACCTGATCTTACAGACGGGTTTCAAGCTCGAGAGCAAGGCATGTGGGCCCCTCCTACATATTCGCAGTTCGCTAAAACAATTCAGGATACGAGTAATACCCACTTTATCAAGTTTGACTTCCGCAAGATTCGGCCAGCCAAGCCTGTAAACTGGAAAGAGCTATCACGGAGAGGAGAAGTGTTGCAGCCTTGTGAATATAAACGGCGATAATTGTTGCATGTTACTTGTCACGAGATCATTTAGATCACGTTCCTAGCGAAACTTCCACGGATCCTGAGCCAACCCTGGCATGCTGCTTCGGCTCCTCTGCCTCTTCGACCCGACCTCGTCAGTCACAGCCTCTTCACAAGCAAGAAATGCCTGGATCTGTTACCGTCGTTTCACATCCACTAGTTGGAGCGAAGCTCTCCAAGCTCCGAAAGGTTGAGACTTCGCCAAAGGAATTTCGAGAGGTCCGTGCAGTTCTTGGTATACTAGGTTGGATCTGATAGTCCCGTTGGTCACATAGGGTGTCCATCAGATCAGCATGGTGCTAGGAATTGAAGCCAGTCGCGATCTCGAGACTAAGACATTCGAAGGGGTACGATCACCAAGCACAGTGGTTTCAAGGAGTTGGATCTCTGATGTTCTCGTCTTGTAGAAATCTCCGATAACTACTTTCCAAGGAACAGAGATCGCACGACGAATCGGCCTGACCCCAATCCTACGAGCGGGCCTCGGGATGACAGAGGCGATGCTCACTCTGTTCCCAGAAGCACATGTGTACTACCTAGGTCTCTTCAGGGAGAAGGTTACCCTGCAGCCCGTAGAGTGTACGTGTTCACTGAACATCCTACCGTAATATTTACAGTTTACAGACTATTCAAAGCTTCCTTCATCTCCTACCGTTGACCTGGTTTATCTACTGGACCCATTGGTCGCAACGGGTGGTACTGCTGTGGCTGCAATCAACATGGTCAGCGAAAGATGATACTCTTTGGTGTACATTCTAACCAGTATTCTATTTCAGTTGGTGGATTGGGGCCTTGCAGTGGAGAATATTCGACTCCTCAGTGTCCTCGCCTCACAAGAGGGTATTGATCACGTTCGAGCGGAGTTCCCCACGTTGGATGTAAGTAATGTGTTCTGTGATCGCCCCATACTAATTCACGTAGATCTACGTTGCAGCCATTGATTCCGAGCTCACCGGCAAAGGATATCTGACTCCTGGTCTCGGAGATGCGGTAAGCAGCCATTCACAGGTATATGCAAATTTCTAAGCGTTCTTCTACGTTTCAGGGTGATCGTTTGAACAACACGTTTGGATTCCACTAGCATGGCTGGGAGATGATTATGATATCCGTGCAACTATGAAAGTTATGTAGTCACATCGGAGTTGAATAGACCCATTTGGATCATAATACTGATCCAATTTTTTGATTTCTCCGACTGGGTTTGCCCCGCCGGTCCGATTTCGCTTGTGGAAATGGCGTGCTTCACTGTTTGCTTGGTCACTTTTCTTAAACTCCTCCTCATCCCCAGTTTCTTGTGGGTTAATCTTTCTATCGTATTTCATCACTTCTAAACTTCTGTAAAGCCAAAAGCGGGCGCAAGAATGAGCTCGGGCCTTTCCACACCCTTATCGCAAGCTTCGACGCTCATAGGCTCGACCGAACTCAAGGACATGCTACAAGCGGACACCTCGGAGACCTTTATCTCGTCTTCCGTGATCCTTGAGTACTATGCAAGCAAAGCCAGCTCTGCTATTTTCCTCTACGACCTCGCCCGCGAGTTGGGCTTTGGCCCGACCGCAAAAGGTCTGCACCAATCATCCGAAAACAACACTTATGCAGTCACATTCGACGTTCAGAGTCGTGCAGGTGCTGGTCTCACCCTTCTTGGGAGGCTATCAGAGGGCACCAGCTCTGAGGCGGCTAGAGCCTTGACAGCCTTTACAGGGCCTCTTGGACTCGCACAAATGTCGCCGAATCTCTCACTATTCCCAAAACCGACATCGTCCTCCCGGGTTATCCTCCAGGTGCCGGCAGCCTCCCACATAGGATCCGACCTCACTCTGTCGCCAACACTCTCGAGCTTGAATCCCTTTTTTGGATCGGTCCCAGAAAGCTTTGCCGTGCTTCTGTCTGCCACACCGCAGGAAATTGCCGACTTTACTGCGATCTCCTATACGATTTCGCAGTCTCACGTCGTTCACATCTTTGACCACTGGAGCGCTGGAAGGGAGCTCTCGAGGAAGCACACAAAGTCTCTAACTCCCTCCAACCCCGTCTTTGACACCCACACCGCTTTCAGGAAAGCCGGTTACGACTTCTTCGAATACGTGGGAGATGCAGCCGCAACAAACGTGGTGATCGTTCTGAATAGCCCCCTCGCACTCTCTATCAAGAGCGTGGCGTCTGTCATTCCCTCCTTTGGAGCGGTCATCGTAAAAGTGCTTCGTCCTTGGGACGAGACGGCTCTTCGCAAGGTGGTTCCTACATCCGTCCAGAACGTCCACGTCCTCGATCACGCCACATCAAGCACCTCCTTCGCGCCACTATTCCATGATGTGCTCGGAGGACTTTCGCAGAGCAGCTCTAAGAGCGCTCCTCGAGTCTCGAGCGTACGCATCGATGTCCCGACTCTAGGTCAGCTCCTCGTCTCAGCACAGTCGCTCGTAGGGTACCTCAGCAGCATCATTCCCATTAATTGGTTTGCTCCCCCGCAAATTCCAGCACGGAACACGAAGCGCATCGTCTTCTACTCAAACCCCACGACCTCGCTGAAAGATGCTCCCACCATTTCATCCCAACTTTACCTTACCAGCCCAAAACTCGATGCACATCTGCTCCAAGAGACGGATGCATTCTCAAAGCCGGGAGGGACCACGAGAAGCACGCTCATCGTCGGCGCTGCACGGGAAGCACAGAGCAGTATCCCCATCCCATTCGAAGTTGGCCAAGGTCCAGAGGTTGATGCTCTGGTCATACTTGACGCTTCACTTCTGAAATCTCATGATCTGTTCTCAAGCGTAAAGGAAGGTGCACCTGTCCTCATCGTTTCACCTTGGAACGCGGACGAGATCATTTCCAATCTCTCCTCTACAAACAAGGAGAACATCTCACTGAAAAAGCCGCATTTACTCCTGCTGGATACAGAAGGCTTGTCAAAAGAGTTGAAAGACTTCAGCTTGGAGGCACCACTTGTTGCTTCCTCGTTCCTTCGACTCTATCTCGGCCAAACCGCCACACTGGAGACAGTAACATCCCTCTCGAAGGCGTTGTTTGGCAAAGAAATCAACACATTACCAGTCGATCAAGTCGCTCGAGCTGCATGGGACGCGCTCAAGGCAGTGAACATCCCCGTGGGTGGATTTCCTGCCGACGAGAAATTTATACCGTCCAAGGGGTTCTCCTTCAATACAATCTCGCCATCCCCTACCAACGAGTCGACTGTGACAACTATCAGGTCTTCCCCCTGGCTCGAGGCTGGCAAGCTTCTCCTCTTCAAGGAAGCCTTTGCACCGGCACCCGAGCCTGTCACAGCCGGGCAGTATGCACAGGTGTCAGCACTTCGTCCCGACATTGCAGAGCGCCGCTTCCTCGTCACTTGCACCGTCAATCGCCGCCTCACCCCTCTGGAATACAACCGCAATGTGTTCCACCTCGAGTTTGACACGAGCAATACGGGTTTGAAATACGAAATTGGAGAGGCATTGGGTGTACATGGGTGGAATGACACTCAAGAAGTGCTGGACTTTTGTGCTTGGTATGGGCTCAACCCAGGAGATGTCATTTCGATCCCTGTCGCCGGAGAGCCGGGTAAACGACACGTTCGGACCATATTCCAGGCATTCCAACAGCAAATCGATATATTTGGCAAACCACCAAAGGGTTTCTACGAGATACTCTCCGGACATGCCACGGCACGAGAGGATCGGATGGCATTGAGATTCATCTCCGCTGCCGAGGGATCGAGCACATTCAAAAAGCTCAGTGAACTCGAAACTGTCACGTTTGCAGACGTCCTGCGCAAGTTCCCGAGCGCGCGTCCACCGGTCGAAGTCCTCTGCGAAATTGTTGGGGACATAAAACCTCGTCATTACAGTATCGCGAGCGCGCAGAGCGCGGTGGGCGATCGTGTAGACTTGCTGGTCGTCACTGTCGACTGGGTCACTCCATCCGGTACGGAAAAATATCTGCGACTATTCTTTACCTAACCAAGTATACAGGTTCTCCACGCTATGGTCAATGCACCCGGTATCTCGCTGCACTCAAGCCTGGCCAAAAGGTAACAGTGTCGATCAAACCCAGCGTGATGAAGCTCCCTCCGGATAATATGCAGCCTATCATCATGGCTGGATTAGGTACTGGGTACGTTGGCCGCCTTTACCACGCGCATCTACCTAACCTTCTCCTTAGTGCTGCTCCGTTCCGCGCCTTTATGCAACACCGTGCACTCCTCGCATCGAAAAAGGTTCCTGTTGGACCAATGCTGTACTACTTTGGATCTCGCCACCGATCCGAGGAATATCTCTACGGAGAAGAGATTGAGGCATTCTTACAGGACGGCGTGATCACACATGCAGGACTCGCCTTTTCGCGTGATGAGAAGCGAAAGGTGTACATTCAGCACAAAATGCTCCAAGACGGGCAGATGCTCTCCGACATGCTCGGCGAGAAAAAGGGACAAAGGGGCGTTTTCTATCTATGCGGTCCTACATGGCCGGTTCCAGATGTCTTTGAGGCGATCGTGGGTGCACTAGTGGAATATGATGGACTGGAACGATCTGCAGCGGAGCAGTACATCGAAGACCTCAAGGAGGAAGAACGCTATGTATTGGAGGTGTACTAATCACCTTTCTCTTTGGTTGTAGATATGTTTACTCAATAGAACGGTTCATGGATGAACACGAGCATGCATTGAGAAAAGGATGCAGACTACGTACAGGATAGCCGGAATAAGTAGCAATAGACGGATGTAATAAGAAAACAGACCATGCAACCCGGAGAAACCGACTGTGCCAACCAAGATCGTTACAAGGAGATACCCCTGTAGAGCGACCGTGTGCTAGACAGCGTGATTCCCGGCATATGGAGGATCAATTGCTCTTCTGTCCATGAGAAGCCGATTGTAGTCGATGCGATACAAATCAAAGAATGGCACGACAGCCCGGATCGCCAACTCTCATCAGGAAATTCACTCATTGTCAGACATCTTCTCTCCACTTGGACCTGAGCCAGCGTCGCTCTCGGGGGTACTCCCCTTTGTCTTGCTTTCCGTCTTCTTCATGGGAGAGCTTACTGCAGTAGAGGACGCCGCCGCTCCCTTCTCAGAACCAATGCCCTCGCTGGCTCCTTTCGATTTGGCTTTTGGAGCCGGAGAGTATGATGCGCCAGGAGTGGGTGTGAAATTGATGTAGTCTGCCATATTGAAGCCACTGGGCCCCGGAGTGGAGGGTGCTAGACTACTCATTGCCATAGCAAACCCAGAGCCAAAGCCGCCGGTAGCGGAGCCAAAGTTTGTCGTGTTCGATGCAGTATGTAGGGCAAGCGTCCCACCAGGTGTGAATGGCGCTTGCAGTGTGGACGACTTGGTAATATTCGAGGACGGAGGAAGAAAAGGCATCGCATGTGGTGGTGGCTGAAAACTCATCTTGTCTTCAGGTGTCTTGTTGGTCGAAGGTTTCTTAGTCGGCGACGGAGGTGCGGGAAGGAGTAATGAAGGTGTGAGCTTGGAACCCGAGCCGCCGGCATCACTCGAGTCTTTGATGGATTCCGACATTCCCTCTTGCTTGACAGAATCAGAATTGGAGGAGCCCTCTGCAAAGAGTGCTCGCGGTTCGATGGTTCCGCTCCCGGCGAGCGTGCGGTTCACCGCAGGGGGTCCACGTCGATTACTTCTGGCAGGGGACGGAGACGTGGCCAAGAGCAATAGCAGCTCTGCAGAATCACGTTCTCTCTGTGCGGTCGAGGCCACTGGGGATCCAGGAACAGTGTCGACGCCACTCGTACTGCCCTCGGGGACTGTATCCCCACCTGTACTCAACGTTGTGTCCGCCATTGCCGCATCAATGGAGGAGACAGAGCTGGGTGCTCGGCGGATCGTTTTCCCCTTGTGCTCGTTGCCTCCCTCTGTCGTAAAGGACAGTTCTGAAGGAGCTTTGGTCGAACTTCGAGGGCTTTTTGCAACCAAGAGCGAGGCCAACGTCTTGGCTGCCAGCTGCTCCCGGTCGGACATTGAATCTTTCTTTTGGCGCTTCTTCGGACTAGAATTGGATCCCTTGGAGCGGGGTTTCCCGCTGGTCGAAGGATGACGGTGACCATTGACCTTGATATCCGGATTTGCACTCTGGGTGAAGCCGGCGGGAGAGGGGCCAATTGCCCGTGCTGAACCGACGGCGTCCGTCTTCTGTCGCTTGGTGGGCCGCGTGTCGATGTCGACATCGAGAAGCGTGGTGAATAACGAGGTAGCGGGCGCAGGCGGTGGTGGCATCAATTGCGTATCCGAGAGCGACTTGTCCAGGGAGAGTGGGTCGAGCAGCAAGACGGGGAGCGTCTGCTTGGGCGTCGCGGAATCATCTTCGAGCCGTTTTTCGAGCGTTGAAAACGGGAGAGAGGAGAGTTTGTTCTGGGCCTTGTAGCCGGCGTAACTCAGACGCAAACGTAGTTGGGCGGCAAGCTGAAAAAAAGCGCGAACGATGCGTCAGAATGAGGATAAAATGAGCTTGCGAGCATGTGGAGTGGTGTAAAGACGGGCAAAAGCGCGTAATAAACGCGCCAGACGGTCACATTGCCACCTTGGCGTGAAGGGCCCACGTCTGATAAAGACGCGGGAATGTGCAGTAAAAAGCAGCGTGATTCGCGCGTAATTGTAGTAGAAAATACAGAATAGAAGAGCTTACCTGCGATATTCTGGCCTGGGCGGCGAGTTGGTTGATGGCCGCTTGCGAGTCGAGTGTTGCAGACGCCGTTTGAGGCATGGAAGATGGTTCGAACGCCCTCGACGCTGACAATGATGTTTCTGACGAGACGGGAGACGCCATTGCGGCCTGGGCGTCGCCTCGTAGACACGCCAACAAGGTAGGAGGTCAAGCTTTGGCCGGCTCATCATTCAGCTTTTGCCACCAGATGCCCCGAGGATTTCCAGCATTATCGCGGAGAATTTCAATAACAGGAGGTAACAATTCCAGCATTTGCAAGTACAGCGCCAACTACTCCTCGCGTCAATCTTCAAATTCCAGGTCAGATTCCTCCTCTCCAGTCGCATCAGCAGGCAGTGGCGACTCGTCACGTAGCTCCGAGGTAGTCGCGCTCGCGACTGAGTGCGTCGACGGCGGACGCTTGCCTAGTCGGGCAGCCGTCGCCGGTTTCTGGAGGGATTCAAGCATATCGAGCTGTGACAACGGTAAGCTTCGGAATTCGCTGTCTACTCGGAATAACAAACTCACCTTGCGCTTCAGCTCGCCATCGCTTACCGTCTTGCGACTAGCGGTCGGGTCGAATCCTATCCGTTTCACGGCCTCGGCGGAGAATGCACTCTTGGTTGGGTTGGACTTGGTCACTTCAGGTTTGGCACTCGAACTGCTCATCACCTGTGCGAGGGCTCGAGCTCCATTACTCAACCCGCCGTCTCGTGCAAGCAACTGGTTCAGACGATCCTCCTCCGCGTCGCGATCCTTTTTCCGCTTGACGCGCTCTTCGCGCGTGCGACCCAGCTTTTCCGACACAAACTCGTCCCCTCCACTCTGTGAAGGTCGGAACACGTGCGACCCGACAATGTACATTGCCCCCGTGTCTCCAGACAAATTTCGTGCTTCAGCAGGTACAGCCTGTGCACCAACAGGTAGTAGGCCAGTCTTCTTTGAGGGGTCGAATTTCGAACCGCCAGATCTCTTGTGTGTGGCATCAATAGACATGCCTGTTGTCCTGTAAGAAATTGGTTAGGTCTCTCTCTCATTACTTTAAATGTCCCTACCCGACGGCAAACTCGGCTCGACCTGCTCTTTTCGACTTGACTGCTTGCTGCAGATGAAAGTCGCATACCGTAGCGACTCGCTTGTCACACCAGCTACCACAAGGTTTCCCATCCCGTTTCGTTGCTACACAATGACCTAAATCTTGAGATTTACCGATGACGATGATAGATTCCGCGGAAGAGGGTGTGATCCCCAAGACATTGTTCGTCGGATGAGGCTTTTCGCTGCTTCCACGTCCAGCCTGAGCAAGCTTAAATAATGTGAAGCATTCAAGGATGTACATACCTGGTATGGCCGTAACAGTCTTGGGCTACATATAGCAATGACAGAGCCTTCGCCATACTTGGATGACTGTTCAAAAGCACCCCCACTACCTCCTCTATACGTCCTCTCGACGCTTCGAGACCCAGACTCCCTCGCAGTGGTCACAGCGTCGGCCTCAAAGAGCATCATGTTCAGGTAGGCGTCTCCCCGAACCATCTTGCCCTTTCCATCCGAGGAAGCAGAACCAAAATCGACTAGTTTGATCGTAGTGTACTTCTTTGGCCCCTCACGGTGCTTTTCCTCTTCGCTTTCCTGTTTATTACTCTTCTCTGGAGTCGTAGAGCGTCCAGATCCTCCTTGGGATAGCTTTATATCACCTCTCTCCGCAACCACAGCAATCGTTACCCATTCTGCGTCGAGCGGCAAATCGTATCCTTGTCGGTTCTTCGTGGGCCGGGCCAACGAGTACACGAGAGACGGTGAGAGATAGTACCGACTACGAAGAAATTCCGAAACTTCTTCATGTGGAAGTGTTCGCTGGCTAGATACCGTAAGTCTTTGGACAATGAGGCACAGACCCATCACTTGCCTGAGGCGTATCCGCGAGTGTGGCTCCACAGTATTGAAATACGGGTCTCCTTCTGGAGGATTATGATCATACGGTCCAACTTCCAACTTTTCTATAATCGTCAATGCCTCTGCGTCCCGGACTACGCGACTGCTAGACGATTCAAAGTCTATAGATGGTGGTAAATTGCCATCAGACACCGATTTAGTGCTCGATTTGAGAGCAGGTATAAGATTAGAGTCCCGAATGGACGTGGCGGGCGGTAATTCTGGTTTCTTGAGATACAGCTTCGTAACTGATCGGTCATCTCTGTCATCTTCTAGCCTACGTCGCTTTTCTATTTTCCCGATGATACCGCGCGTTAGTACAGGCTCGGCTCTTGCGTGTAACCCACTGACATACTCGGTGATGGGGTTGCGGGGGCCAGGACGCGTTTCCTCGAGTCATCTGACGGTTTCAAGGGTGTTTCCTTGTCTCCATCCATTATACAGAAAGCGACGCGTTCTTTTCGCGTCTGATCACTGCCGAAGCGCGGTTCAAGTTGGGCAACCACATGGGCTCTCAAGCCGAGATTCTCAAATGTCGGATGGAGTAGTTAAAGTGAAACCTTTAGGTGTAATAAACCAACTTAGGGTCCCACATTTGGCTACAACATCTCAGATTAGCACTATTCGCTACACTCCTTATTGGCCACCGGGCTGGGGAGTCTGAGGACAATTCTCAAACTTTGGACCCCCTGAAGATGGTTCCGCCGCAAGCTAGATGGCAGAGTCAGTTATTATGAGCCAAGTAAAAATACTTGACGTACTTTGATGGTTTGAGCGGTGGTGTAAATCGCCGCAATCGTCCCAAATGCGATCATCAACCAATCTTGAATACGTTCCCGCCTCGTCCGTGCACATGCTTTGAGGTGAAGCATGGCTGGATAAACAAAGCACAGCGGCACACTAAAACTCGTCAACCAAAGAGAAGAAAGGAGGCAACTATGTCCTACCAAGCAAAACTGCCGACAAAGGCAACAAACTTGTCTAAATCTTGAGCACCAACCCAGCTGACGAAGTACGTCGCAATGATTAAGCAAGTTCGGAAGAAATTCTTTTGCCATTTGACCCGAACATTGACTTTCCCACTTTGGGTAAACAGCCAGTTTTCCATGATCCTCAGAGCAGGGAAGAGTTGCAAGGGAGCTGATAGAAGAATGGCGAGCGAGTACAGGAACTGCACCGCTTGAACAAACTTGTTGTCTTGTGGCAAGTTTTTGATCACGACCGTCTGAATCTCCTCACCATACGCGGCGTATGACAGGACTCCTGCGCCCCCAAACAGGAAAATGAGGAAGAACATGACTCCAGTAAGAACCGGAGGGAATTTCCGTGGCTCCCGCATCGCATCGGTAATTGGAATGACAAGTCCAATCCCTTCGAACGAGAAGACGGCAGTACTGCGACCCGTCAGTGATTGAGATCAACTTTGGCACAGGTGCCTACCCAATGAGGAGTGGGAAATCCTTTTCGTTGAACCATCGAACAGGAGCGACCCCACGCTCCATAATGACCAAGGCTTCGTTCCATCCAATGTATACGATACCAATGAGGATAAAGACATCAGCAATCAGGGCCGTCAAGCTGAGCTTGGCCAAATTCCGAATCATTGCAAGAGGCAAAAATACGATGAGTTGAGAGAAGATTAAGAGTTGGATGGGGATGAGGGTTTTACATTTGCTGACAGACATGACAAACGCCTAGAGAGGTGTGAGGATTAGAATACTCGGGTGGAGAAATCATACTTGTAAGTTCTCAGCGACAAATATTGTATAAGCGGATACGAATCCGAGTTGCGAGATGACGATAGATGTGAGAATGGCTCGTCGCATCCATTTTCCGTAGATTGCACCCCCAATGTCTAGATCAATGGTTTAGATATGCGCCATGTTTATTGAACACTTACCGCCAAAGCTTCCTGGAACGACCATCTTCGTGTCGACAAGCAGTAGAAAGGAGAACAGTGAGATTAGGGCAATAAGGACAAGTGTCACAGCCGAAAAGAGCATTCCTCCGTTGGAAAACCTGCGCAATGTAAATTTGCGTTTGAGATACTGGCTTATACGTACGCTTTGCCTAGGAAAAGAATGCCAGTGCCAATAAAGGCTTTGAGCAACTGTTTACGCTGTCAGAAAGGAAATGCAAGCCAGGTGAATTGCCTACCATAAGTATGGCTTGAGAGACGGTGGCGTCGCCATGCTGTCCAATACTCGAACGTCTACTACGTCTTGTTCGACTCAGACTGCGTCGGCTGGCCCTTCGCTGCATCGAAGATTCCCGCAAAAGAGGCGTTGACTCGGTCAACTCTTCTTCAAGAAGTCTTGAAGGCTCTTGAGTGGTTCTCACGTGCCGAGGGTGTAAACCAGTTAGAGGTGATATGATGTCTGTATCCCTTCGTAGAATACTCTGCGACCGCGAAGGTTGTATTCGACTCGGGGAGACATGCAATGACGCCTCTTCATCGATTGTCTCCAGTTCATCGTCGTCTGTGTCCTCCTCGAGGTCTTCACCGGCAAAATGGCCAAAGAGGTAGAGAAAGTCAATGAATGTCGAGGTGACTGGAGGCTCCTCTAATCCGTGTTGGTTAGCATGAAGGAGCACATAGTTTCTTCTAAACCCTCCGGGTTCGTGTATGTGTTCAAATGCGGGATCTTGTTGGATGGTGTGTGCTGGAACAATCACCGAAGCGGCTCTCGGCCTCGCATTACGATGAGCACGCTCTTGGTATTTGTATATCTCGTGTCTGGTGCCACACGTGATCAGCCTCTTGCACGAATAAGATCCGGTAGCCCGTGTACGCACGTTATGTCACCTCCGGGCGCGTTGTACGGGAGTGGAAATGGCTCTGAGTGCTCTCTCGAAGGACCTGGAGATGGTGGGCGAGATGGTCGACGTGATGTGTCCTTGTTTGAACCTTGTTCGTGTACCGAAGGAGGACGCGAAGAGGGTCGGCTATTGGTGGACCCAGTTTTGTTGTGTCCCAATCGCTGCTCTCGAGAGACGAGATGTTTTCTGAGCACTCTAACCTTTTCTTCTTCGGTCAATGCGGTTGTATCTGGAATGTCCAGCTGAGCGTTTGCGTCGGCGCTGGCGTTGGGTGCTAAAACTTGGGGGATCGGCCGTATTCTGTTGTCTACCGATGAAGATGGTCTCAAAGGAGATCCAACTGCAAGTGGCGTGGATGTTCCGGGCGTTCTGAACGGAGGAATGACAGTTCCTGCTGGTGGTGTCCCGAATTGCTGTCTTAGCTGTCGAATATCTGGTGTATTAGCCCCCGTATTTGCTTCTTGACCATCATCTAGCAGACGCTGTGGCCGTGGACTTCCAATGGAGACTGGCTTGGATGGCGAGCTCATGTCGGTGGACGTCAACCTTTGGACTTTGCCAACTTGGACGCGTCGTCGCCACAGATATTCTTCAAAAATAAGACGACTGCACAATATTCTCGAGAATTCACAGACATGCGACGAGTTTCAAGCGTGCTTAGGACGAAAGGGGACGATCGCTGGCTCCTCGGAGAAGGCGTTTCTCCCACGACGACAAGGGACCGCCGAAGGAGATCCTTCTGTTACTTGATGTGACGTTGAATTGTTCCGAATGGTCACGCAACGTCCAGTTCTAGCGGCCATATGCCGCCCCCCTAGGGGCTTCTTGCAGCTCTTGGATCCGCCCACGACAACAATCCGCTGCCTCGCTCACTCCTTGATGCGATGGAGGTCGTAGCGGACGGCGACACCGACAAGATAAAGTTTGTGTGACCGCCTGCTCCTTTGCGGGATTTTCTGATAATTTACAATAGATACTCGGGCCGATGGTCAACTGTGAATACCTCTGGAGCCACAGATGGGACCGTTCATAGCTCGAATGACCCGTCGGCGTCGATTAGTCTCCTGTTTCTGGGTATGTCGCCCAAGCCGACGCCTTTAGCCAGCTCACCGGCATTGCTACAGGGACTTTTATCCAAATAGACGCTCTTAGGTCGCCCGACGGTGGCAATTTCACGGTCTTATTGGACGGTTCCCTGTGCGTTGTATCTCGTTTAGTTATTCGCGTCTCACACCACCACTACAGATTCGGCCCCTACTCTCTGTACTCGCCCAACGCAACCGTCGGCAACGTATGGAGCCAGACCAGTCTCAGTCCCTCTGCCACCCATACGGTCGAGATGCGCAAGGTGCAAGCGACGGTGGGCCTGGATGACACGCATAGTATCAATATTGATAGTTTCCGGTACGTTGTGATTGGGATCATATGGACGCATGGCTGACCCGCGTGCAGCGTATCGGCTGTGGCGACACCTTCGCCGACTTCTACATCCACCCAGAGCACGTCTCGATCCACGAGTTCCACGAGCAGCTCAAGTACGTCAAGCCTCACGAATGTATCCTCCTCATCTACGTCCACATCATCCACGCCAACATTTACGCCCTCTTCATCCCTTGTATCATCATTTTCCTCTTCATCATCACATTTTCGTCCTTCTTCCACACCGCAGGACGGTACTCCTTCCTCATCAACCACCCTACCTTCTTCGACGTTTACCCCTTTACCCCTTTGCCGCCCTCGTTCTCACCCGAACCCGAGTCGCCTCCATCCTATGTAGACACGGGCTCGGACGAACCTTCCGTCGTCCCCGGCCCAGTACCTGTTCCAGATCCTGAACCGTCCGCCATTGTCCCTGTTCCCATCCCAGTCCCTGAACCCTCCGATACGTCCAACACGATCGCTGACCCGAGCGACGATTCCTCAGCGTCCACCTCGTCAACATCTCGCTCCTCGACATCGCGCTCCACTAGTTCTTCAACCTCGAGCACTTCACATACCAGCCACTTCCCCTCGACGATCCTTTCCACCCAACTCGCTCACCTACTTCCGCCCCTGCCACTGAAACACCGACGTCATCTGGTTCAAATCAAAACAAAACTGGAATAATCATTGGATCCATCACTGCAGTTGTCATCGTCACCTCTCTCCTGGTCATCCTCGTCGTTGCAATTCGAAGACGACTCGCGAAGCGTACAGAGGAGAGTCTACGGCCAAGCACGACACCAGCATACCAGACGACAAGTACACAGCGCATGACTGGAGCCCCACTTGCTCCTTTGGGTGTTTACAACCGCTATCCATCGCCAAACAGTACCACGTCCAACGTCATGTCGCGAGGACTGTACGACACTGCTGGATATGGATTCGGCAGTAATAGCCACAATGCCCTATCGCCCGTCTCAAGAACGCTTTCCTCGCCGAATAACATTGGAGCTGGTGGCGGTAGTGCAGACGACCGACCCATCTCGTCTGTGGAAGAATCGAGCAGCAATGCACACTACGTCTTCCAGCCGGCGTCGGGAGTGGAGGAATCGCGTGGACCGGGATACGCGGAATCTGTTGCCTCGGACTATCCTTATAGTCTCACATTCCAAAGCCCACGAGCTTACTAGTCAGTACGGTGTGCCTCCTCTTTCCAATTCCCTGTCCTTTCTCTCTACACAACCTCTGGACCTTTCACCATTATCGTGTTATCTTTACCACTGGTTGAATAAAGGGACCACCTTGCATTTCACATCGCGTAGCTGTGTCGTAAGAGATAGTATTACCCGAGCATACTCGACATCAATGTCGTGATAGGGAATATTGTCAACACACAAGAAAGCCTCTTCGGCGAGTCTATCGCTTTGTCTTCTTTTTGATATCGTCGTCCTTGACCGCATGGAGCATGACCTTGTTGGGTAATGTGGGCACCATGCCAGTGTATCCCTGATAGAAGTGAGAGGGTAACCTTTTTCCATGTGGAATGGCATACCTTTGACCAGTCATAGGAAATTGCATATGCGAATATCGTGCCCGTCTTGCTGAACGCCGTTGCCGTGATAGGGCCGGCCTGTTTTGGGAATGCTAATATCCAAGTCAGTTTCTAGGTACGTTGAGGCAGAATTTACCGACTCTTCAATCGAGTTTTACTGTCCTTGTCCCAGAAGTTGATTGTGCCGTCCGCTCCGGCGGTACTAAATGTACCGTATCCCTGATGGAAGGTAATAGCATTGACGGCGTAGACAGCTTGTTGATCCTTTGCGCCGTTTTGCTCTTGCCTGTGGCATTTAAAGGAAAAGTTGGAGCTGGCATCCTTGTCCTCGACATATCTAGACCACAGGTTAGCCAGAAAGTGTGTAAACGACGTCTACTCACTGGATTGCAACGCGTCCCTCAATACTTCCAACGGCGAATCCAGACGCGTTTGGGAAGCAAGCTACGACTCTTGTCTGCCATTTGAGAGGAGACGTGAGATTCTTTGTACAAGATTAGCCGATTCATTTAGTTTGCTAAAAAAAATTACATGCCTTGAAGATGGTCGTCGGATTATTTAGGTTGATAATTGGGATATGGCGCTCTGCCGTGCCGACGACCAACAACGGGTACTGGATATCCATGGCATATACCCGTTCTGGCATAGTCACGGTCGCGATGGGATTAGGAGACCTCAAATCCCAGTACTACAGCAGCGTTAACGCGCGTCGAGGATCGAAGAATTAAACAACATGCCTTGACGGTCTTATCCCAGCTTCCCGTAGCGAGAATACCACCCGTTGGGGCTTCAACCCAACGAACACATCGAATAGGCGCGTCGTGCACGCCAACTTGAACGCTTTGACCCGTGCCTAGGTCAAACATCTTTGCAGCCTTGTCGACGCTTCCAGAAAAGAGCTTGGAGCCATCCTTATTCCAGCATACATCCAGAACAGGCGCGTCATGTTGGTAAGCTGCCTTGCCTTGGCTCTGACCTTGGTTGTTGATTTCGTAGATGCGAACCTGCGGCCAGAAGCACGATTTTAGCATCAAATAATCAAATATCACGTAAAATTGAAGTGAAACTACACATACGTTGTTGTCCCAGCTGCCTACGGCCAGATAGTCACTTTGTTGAGCAGGCGAAAAGGCCAGAGACGAGATGGAATCCGACGGGGGATCAACCAGCTCTGCATCCTTTGGCTCTGTTGCAGATGCTGCAGCTCCTGAACCGAAAAAGGACATGACCCGTGGAAGAGGTTGTGCGAAAGACGCTGTCACCACCCCCGCAAGCCAGGATGGGAAAACAGGGCGAATGATTACCAATCTATTCTAAACAAGTACATTACATAGTGCGAAAGATGGATTTAACACACAATCCCACTGCCTAGACAATAGTATTTTTGTTTGAGGTCATTACCATCATGGAGGCGCCGGAAAATTCAGAACCGCCTGGAAGAAACCGACAAGTTTCTCCATGCTAATAAGAAGTGCGTCTGCAAGTCGCGCCCAGTCAAGGCGCTGTAACAGTCCGAGTTGCAGAGGAATGAGGGCGTGCACCTGTCTAAACACCGTCATATCAGCGTTTTCTCCCTGTGGTTGATATTGGGTGGCAGTTGCGGTGTCGACAGTATATGGGAATGTCGGCTCAGAGCCAGGAGTCTGCCCGGCTTGCGGTGGGTACTCTCCAGGCGGTGTGCGCGGTTGCGACGCCCAGTTCGATCCAAGTGGAAGATTTTGAATCAGCTGTGAGTTCTGTATGTCGTTGCGTATAGATAACGCAATCCAAATAACCACCACGGATGCAATTACAGGAGCCGTCTTCATTAGGTGTCCAAACAACCATCCTGCCATTTGGAGAGAGCGCATCGTAAAACTTGGGGCGGTTTCAGTCGATAGCTTTTCCACCTGTGCGCGGACTTGTGGATAAAAGTAGTTGGGGAGTCGGTAGTGTGACAGCTGGCCATCGTCTTGTTGGGTAAAGTTGCTTAGGAGTAGAGGTTCTTTGTAACCTGCAGCGGGTTAGCTAGGCAGTGTTTACTCAAAGGCGACGGACCTCGTGGAGTGTGTACATCAACGGTATATGTTCCAACTCCGACATGAAAGGCGGGAAGAAGGATAGAGACTTGTCCATCTGACCGCTTCTTTCCCTTTCCTTTGGTCTGAGGTTCGCGAGCCACGAGATAATGTATCTCGATATTCCCCAGTATACGCTCATCAGGCAGGAATACGCGTATCCACTTGTCCACGTTGCCAAGAGTGGTTTCTTCCACCTCACCCTTTCGAGGGGTACGAGTGAGATCGGGAACCCCAAGCAACTGCCCATCGTCCTCGAGGATATCTCGAGGTATTACTTCCCATGGTAGATTGATACCGTCTGCGGTTGCAGACACTATTTCAATCGCTGTCTCGTCATCTTGCACAAGGGTTGATGGGAGACAAACACCAAACGCAAGAACACTATCTGTTGCTGCCACAGATGGGACCGTAAAGCGAACGGCATGCGATTGTTGTTCTGATAAGGGAAGAAGGGTCACTACGGCCTTGACCCATGGAATTGGGTAGGCTCCTCCAAGCATGGGAGATGCAATCAACCCAGCCCTAGGTTTTATGGGTGTCCGAGGCGATCGATTCATCCTTGAAGCTTCTGACGCGCGCGGTGTCCGAGGTGAACGAGGAGCGGCCCAATGACGGGACAAAGGAGACTCCTTGGGGTTCTCTGCATGCGGGATAAACACTACGCTTGCTCCATCCTCGGTTCGTACAGTCATTCTCCGCTTCAGAAGTTTGCGCTTTAATGGTGGGGTTCGAAGTCCATTTGGCAAACCAGAACGTTGTTGTCTCTTTTCGCTCGGTAGAATGACTTCGACGCTCTCTTGCATCTGAGAGGAGATAATGACCTCATTGAATGATCTTTCTGCGGGTAGCACATTGAATGCAGGAAGTTCCAGTGGGTCGTCCTCATCATCGTACTCCCCCTCCCTGCGAGGCCCGACCAGTATTGTTCCACAGAGTTTGAAAGCAAATTCGTTATTCGGAGCTGGATCCATGTTGCCGATGTTCAAAAACAGTGTGACGGGTTGATTGAGTGGGTTCGAAAGAGTGGCAACAGACGAAGTTCCAGAGTGTGGCGTCCCAGTAGAGTTGATCATGGAGATTGTGGGCGATGGTGTTGTTTCGAAAGAATAATCAGGAAGGGTTGAAACATTTGGTAGTGCCGTGTGCAGCAACGATGGTGCACCATACGACGAAAGCTTGGATTGCAAAAGGCTTCCTCGCGTCGAGCGATCCATTGAGTCGTCTTCTGGTGACGCCGCCGTTGGTTGCTCTTTCGGATCCTTCCCACCCACGAACCCAACGAAGTTTGAGTCCCCGCTGAGCTCCCATTGCTCACCCTCACTCGCCCAGGCAAGCGAACGGCCTTTGCCGTTGAGCATAACGTCCATACCAAGTTGCGTGGCGACACCTTGGTACCATAAACCTCTGCAGACACCTTCGTATTCGAGCCGCATCTTCGTCCTCCCTCGCTCGTCTCTCCCCAGCAATGTACAATGGACGAGCCCGGTGACCTCGTCAACGCCAACCCGTCGCCTACCATCTGGTGTTGGGATGTAACCCATTGGGTGTGCCCATCTAACTCTGATTCGGTCGGCGGATGGAAACGAGCCTTGAAGACCTGCAGGAACTGCGGCTAATGCCCCCGCCTCGTAGGAGCCGTCGATAGAGGTTTCGTCGTCAGCGAGTCGTTCATACGAAGTTGATCTCGACCCGCGGGATTGCCCATATGCCACACTGGGATCCGATGAAACTTCCCATCGAGGTGGGTCTTGCCCCGACGGGAGTGTAGGCGCTGGGATGATTTTGAGTTTAATGAAATTTCGCAAGCAGCGGGGAAGAGGAAGTGAGAGCTGAACAAAACGGTCAGGTTATAGGTCAAGCGTCGGTAATGACATACCAAGTAGGGAGATTTCGGAGGTCGTGAGGCATATGGGACAAAGATATCGACCCCGGCCATGAAGGATATTTGCTTGCCGCTACTTTCGTTGAATGCTGATCTCGTATTACTCCGTGATAGATGGTCAAAGTCTGTATCCGCGAGCACTGCTCCCCGGGTGGGTAACACGCGTGGTAGGATGAAGCATATGTGAAAGTTGGAAACGGTGATTTCTCCAGTAAGGTTCAAAGGAAGAGGTGCTACTGCAGCGGCTCGACGCGAACTGCTGGCGTCGCCCGAGGATCCTGGGGACTCCACTGAGGGTGGGACGCCGAGAAATGTATAGTATGACTTGTTGGAGCGAGGAGGGAGGTTCAATGCACGCGCAGTACTATGCAGGAGTGGAGAGGCAGTGGTGGAAAAAGCATAAGGAGCCGATTTGCTGTCCAAAGGGTGCACTTTGGAGTCTACTATCCGCACGTTTTCCTAAGCAACGGTCAGTCCTAGGCCAGTGACGCGAGAACAATGTCCAACTTCTGGGAATAGAGGGATGGAGGCCAGAGGAGCGAGGCTCTCGAAAGGAAGAGAAAGCTATAAATTGAACCACAGTCAGCTACCATGCGTTGTACGCGAGACAAAGTGAGAAAACGCGCCTTCATGAACAGTCGCAGTGAACTTCCCTCCTGAGTCGAGTCGCAGCGACCTTCTATCACCAGCTGTTGAACTATCCTAGTCGAGAGTGGGTTGCTCTGTACCGTACCCGTCGTGGACGGCGCTCCATACGAAGTTAGAGGCGGAGAGAATGTCCGCGACGACGCAGCGGCCATTTGGGCAAGTCAAAATTGACGTGTTCCCGTTCAGAGACTTGAAATAAACGTATTAAAGAAAGTTGAAGCACTGTTTCCAATCTCTCCCGACGCGTCCACGGTCCAAGCAACTTGACCACCTGCCCCGTCTACGAGACGATCACGATGCGCGAGAAAAAGTAGGAAAATATAGAAATCAATATATCAATATAATTAAATGACATATACGTCTTCTAGAGTATTGCTGATGGGAGACGCCGCGAGTGGCAAGGTATGGGACCTCTGCTGGAATTTCTTGATCTGTCTGCTGACGAGAACACCCCAAGTCTTCCATGAGAGCCGTGATATTGTGCGCATCGATCACTGGATGACACTTTCGTTCCTCTCTGACAGCACGATGAAGCAAAAATACGATTCCTGATCTCACAAGTCGTCTCAGTACAACTCACTCTTATGAGATGGAAAACTACAAATTCTTTGGGTCTCGTTCGCTGTCGCTCGTTGATTGTGGAGGGCAGCACGGCTTCATGGAGTCGTATCTAACCGACGACGGGGAGAAGATACTCTTTGCGCATGTGAGCGCGCTGATATACGTATTCGAGGTCACGAAGCTAGACTCTGCCGGCCGTCCACCTGAGCTCAGCTTGCAATACTTCTCCCGATGCCTCAAAGCGCTAGGCAAGCGGTCACCGCAAGCACCTGTCTTTGTTCTGATCCAAAAAATGGATCTTATCCAGCCGGAAAAGCGACAGAGCGAGTTTGACATGTGGATTAAAGCTCTTAAACAGATTTGTGGTCAAGAAGATGCCTTTATAGCCTTTGGGACAAGCATCTACGAGGACACTCTCTATCGTGTACGTCATGCGGCAAGATGGATTGACTTTCAACTCACCGCACTTTAGGCGTGGTCTGCAGTTGTGCGGATTCTTGTCCCAAACCTCTCAGACTTGACTCGCAATCTGGGACTACTATCTCAAAGTTGTGGAGCACTGGAAACAGCAATGTTTGAAAAGACGACATTTCTTCTCATTGCGAGATCGTCCGTTGAGGAGCCTGTCAACCACTCGTTGGTTTCCACCCATCTTCTCCCAGATATTTACAACAAACCGGTGGAAGATGCGGGAGATGCAACCGTGGCCCTAGGTCAAGCCAATAGGTTTGAGATGATTTCCAAGCTCATCAAAGCCTTTAAACACGACGCCAGACGGTTCTCCTCGGAGCCATTTGACTCGTTGAGGATGGAAATGAGCGATTTTACGCTTGTGCTGACCTCGTTGACTCCAACATCATACGTTCTTGTGATTGCCTCTGCTAAGGAGCCACGCATCAGTTAGTGGAGCTTAATCTTCGTGTCCACAGTTACTAATCTTCTGAAGCGCCAGACGCCATCGTGCTGAACATTTCTCATGCTCGTCCTCACTTCGAGGCTCTTCAAGCTGCAGCGAAATGAGGCCACTTGTCGTCTAAGCAATGTCTCGACAGGACACTTTGAAACCCAAACTCTAAAAGTAACTCGTCGTGTATCGAGCAAATCACGCTTGTAGCCTTTCGTGAAATCTAGTTTGTTCTTGGATCTCCCCATAATAGGCGTAAATGTCTTACTCGCCGGATACCAGTAGTCGTGCTTACAAAAAGGCACTCCGCTTACACAATAAATCGAAGAAGACTCCAGCGGCTGAAGTTCTGCCCGCATTGAGAGAACAAGAGAAACAGTACAAGTCGCGCTTTCCACCGCCGTCTCTTGACGACGCTTTGGATATAAGGGCCGTTTGGCAAGATCCGGATGATGCCGCTCAAGTATGGAAGGGTTCCCCAGATGCCGTTCGTATCGAGTCCATTGGATGCCTGTCTGAAGAGCGGCCACATGCCAAAGCATATGGAATTCCAGAGTTGCCAGGTATTTAAGTATCCTCCCTCTTTCGAATTATCCATTACATTCTGGCAGGATTCCTTTTACTGCCTGGGTTTCTGCGCCCGAACGAACAGCGACGGCTCATCAAGGCCATTCTAGAAGATTATGCAAAAGCACCGAACGAGAATAACCTCGACATCCATTATATCCTGCCGGAAGATGGCATTTGGCCATCGTGGAAGGCTTACAATGACCGAAAAGCAAAGGGATATTCCGAAGAGCCCATCATTGCGACCAAAGCGAGTGCAAGTGACATGAACGTGCCTGGATCTAGTCGTGTGCTTATCGAGAATCCGCCAGCGAGTGTCGAGAATCTTGCAGAATTCCAAGCGTTGGAAAAACCGCCAGCTGCCCCATCGGCTACATTGTCTCCTTCACCTCTTTCTTCCCTAGTTCACAAACTACGCTGGTCAAACATAGGCTACTTCTATCACTGGGGCACCAAGAGCTATCAGTTTGACCGGGAATTGACGCCGATCCCCTCTTACATTCAACAAATCTGCAAGGAGTGTGTCTCATCGGTTAATTGGAGTGACGTTTGGAGAGATGGTGCAGATATGAAAGCTGGAAGATGGGATACAGAGCATCCAGATTGGTCCGAGTGGCCAAAGACTTATGGTACGGCTCTGCCTTTCAGTATCACCATACTAAGCTATGGTATCAGAACCAGATGCAGGAATCATCAATTTCTATCAGCTCAAGGTCCCAGTCGTTACAGGGCATAGTGCGAAGACTTACTCTTCGTAGGATACGTTAATGGCGCATGTGGACAGATCGGAGCTCTCGTCGACCTCACCTCTTGTCTCAATTTCGTACGTCGTCTTGAACATGCTTGGGCTTGTGTCTCTCTCATATATAGCCAGGTTGGGCTCGGCATGTGTATTCCTCATTGGGGGTCTTACGAGGGAGGAGAAAGCCATTCCCATTGTTTTGCGCTCTGGAGATGTGGTAATCATGTCTGGACCTCGCTGTCGGCGGGCGTATCATGGTGAGTGGCAGCAACCCAGGGCCGTGCAAGCTGACAAGGTGCAGGCGTGCCTCGTATCCTGGAGGGATCTCTCCCAGTCTATCTAAAGAAGAGCGAGGATCACGATGAAGACTGGGACTTGATAGCCGAGTACCTGGAGACGACCAGGCTCAATATCAATGCGAGGCAGGTCTTTCCAACCAACTTTGCGTATGAAGAGCATGGATTAGGCCATCTTAGGAATAAAATAAAATAAATGGTGTGCATACGCTGCGGTCTAGCCGTGGCCAGATTTCTGGCGAATTGCATGAATGGTCATTGGCCGTCGAAAAAGACTTGAACCCGAACTGCCTTGAAAAATGCTCGGCTGCCCGCGCTCGTCGCCGGCTATGGCGTTGAGGAGGCTTGCCTGCTCACGACCTGGACTTGCTGCTCCCGTTAGATCGTCGCTTGGGGTGTGTTTCCGCTGGCGGTGAATGCCTACGATCGCCCGTGCTGATACGCCGACTCTTTCCAGGCTCGAATGGCCTCTACATCCTCTTCACAGGCTCAGGTATGTGTATATAATCATCTTTGGCGCTGCTGTCGTTGACCTTGTCGCTCTGCGTGATTTCCAACATTCGACGCAGGCCTCTTTCCTCACGTCGCGCGCGAGCCTCGTCGCCGTCACATCCTTTACTGTCGGTACGGTCGCTTGGTACACTCATCTCTACGGAACACTGCCTTTTGTCGGCCAAGTGAGCGCAAACACTCCCGCGGAAGAGGGACTCCACCCGACCGCGTACCCATGGAGCCACAAAGGCTGGTTTGACACTTTTGATCATGCAAGGTAAATTTTTTCATTCAACTTTACTTCACTCCGGAGGGCGAGCGCACCCTGACGCATCACCAGCATTCGACGAGGATTCCAGGTGTACAAGGAAGTGTGTGCTGCATGCCATTCTCTCGACCGTATCGCATGGAGAAATTTGGTCGGTGTCTCGCACACGGCTTCAGAGGCTAGAGCTATGGCGGAGGAGGTCGAATACCCAGACGGTCCCAATGATCAAGGAGAAATGTTCCAGCGTCCCGGAAAACTCTCAGACTATCTTCCAGCACCTTATCCCAACGAAGAGGCTGCTAGAGCTAGCAATGCTGGTGCCCTTCCTCCCGACCTCAGCTTGATCATCAAGGCCCGACACGGCGGCTGCGTAAGTCGGCCACACCCACGATGTTAACCACCGTAAGACTTACGTTTCGTTGAAAGGACTACATATTTTCACTTCTTACTGGCTATGTTGATCCCCCGGCCGGTGTCGAAATTCGAGAGGGTTTGAATTATAACCCATACTTTCCTGGAGGTGCTATCGGCATGGCCCGTGTGCTTTTCGATGGGCTTGTCGAGTATGACGATGGTAAGGATTTGCGTCCTTGTTGCTTCCCTCGGCAAGCTGACCGCGTTTCACAGGCACTCCTGGCACGACGTCGCAGTATGCCAAAGACGTAGTAACTTTCTTGAACTGGGCAGCAGAGCCAGAACACGACGAAAGGAAGAAGATTGGACTGCAGGCCGTGATCCTCATGTCGTCCTTGACACTCCTCTCGCTCTATGTCAAACGCTTCAAGTGGGGCCCAATAAAGGCGCGGAAGATCGGTTCGTAAACATTAATTGGTGATCTGCAGCGAGCTTACCCCTTGCTAGTGTACACGCCTCCGAAGCCGAGACACTAGATAGACTGACTGGTAGTGGTGGAACTCTGCATTTCTTTCTTGTAATTAACGGGTGGAATGACCACTGTTCTCACCTAGGCCTCTCGCGTGCATCACGGAGGATGAATGTATGTACCCCCTGGGAGAACCCTGAATGGACCGATGTCCGTATTCTCAGGTCCAGGCGGGCGCTGTGCCATCGCTTATGGATGAGTAAAAAATGATCATTCTCGCACCGCTTATATGCGCCCAGCTCTAATCCGCCCTTTGTCCCGTCTTGCCCACCCAGACACCAGACGCGTGTTGGACATAGCGGCGCGGCCAGGACCTACAGTGTCAAAGCTTTCTGTTCGTCGATACGACCAATGAAGCTCTCCAGTGCCGTCTTTGCTGCCTGGCTCACTGCTGTAGGCTTCGCACTTGTGCGAGGATCACATAGCCCGGCGCACACCACGCGAGATGGTGGGGGATCGAAATACGTAACAGTCAATAATGGAAAGTTTACGTTGGACGGAAAGTGCGTCGTAATCCACCACCGATACCTTTGGCGCCTTTGCTCAACATTCATCGCTCAAACCACCCTGCAGGCCATTTCAGTACATTGGAACATCTGCGTACTGGCTTCAGTTGGTAAGTTTAGCCTCTATTTTTTGTCTTTTCGTCGACTTGGAGCCCTCGCGTCCAAGGCATAGGTTAGCCCAGCTCCGATGACAAGCTTACTTTGGTATTCAACCTTCCCGCCGATTTGTGTTCACGAGTCATACACATCGGGGGCGTAGCTTATACTGTTCTTTAGATTGACAATGACGACGACATGTACAAGACTTTGCATGAGATTGTGAGCCGCTTTCCTTGGGCGCTTCGGCCATTTGCTGATATTACTTCTAGGCCAGCCTCGGTGTCAAAGTCGTCAGGACTTGGGCATTCAACGACGTCTCGGAAATCCCGAGTGAGGGCGTTTGGCTGCGCGTGTTCCACAGCAATGGAACCATCGAAATCAACACGGGTGAGAATGGCATCCTACGACTCGACCGAATCGTCAGAGTTGCCAAACAAGTGGGCATTCATATTCTCTTCACTCTCACCAACAACTGGTACGCACTTTCGACCGCAGTTCGCTCTTTTCACACCCCTCCACAGGTTCCCCAATGTTTCGAACAACGGCACGACCGCAAAGGACCTGGATGGGAGAAACTTGCCCAGAAACTACCTCTCTAACGACTATGGCGGAATGGATACATATGTCAAACACTTTTCGCCTAATTCTCAAGTCAAGGACCTCTCTCACGACATTTTCTACACGGACAACAAGATGATCGACTCTTTCAAATCTTATGCCGCTACTATTGTTAAACGCTACTCTACAGAGCCTTCCGTGCTCGGTTGGGAGGTACAGATTCTCATTTCGGAATTGAGAGGTCCCCAACTAATCGCTTGTACTCTAGATTGCCAATGATCCCCGATGCAGTAGCACGCTGCCGTCCTCGCGGCTCTGCAAGACGCAGACACTCACCAAATGGACGGCAAACATTGCGCAGACTGTCAAGCAGAATGATCCCAACCATCTCGTTGCAACAGGAGATGCTGGATTCTACTGCGTAGAGTGCCCGAGGGTGTTTCCGAGGCCGCCTCCGTCGACGCCTCAGCCAAGTCCGCTCCCACCGTCGCAGCCCAATAACCGACGTCGCTCGCAACCTGATTCACGGCAACCCGTACAATACAACAACAATGTACCTTCTCAGCCTAACTCCAGCCACCAACCCCTTGCGTCGAGAAACGTAAAGGCCCTCTCACGAAGAAGGCACTAGCTGCGAGATGCTTGGAGTGGAAGAAGCGAAATTTCCCATCCCAGGACGCCCAACGCCGCGCACCACAGGACCCTCCATCCGAGGGCGGTGGAAGGCACCAGAGACAAGTCTCACGAAGAGACAATCTAACGGGTTTGGTCCACTCTATGACGGGAGTTATGGTGTTGATACAGAGGATTTGGTCAACGCGCCCAATGTCGACTTTTCCTCCTTGTAAGCTCACACCGTCTCCCAACACAGTGTCGCTGACGAGTTCATAGCCAATTCTTCCCTGACCAGAACACGTATGGTCCGTTGACGGTCGGAAATGCCATAGACTTTAATCAGGTCGTTCAAGCTGGTATCGACTGGATTGAGCAGCACGCGGCAACCGCCAACACGTGAGCACATGGAAAGATGTAACTTGAAATCGCTCATCGATAGCTCTTAGATACAACAAACCCACCACGCTCAATGGCTTTGGTTTGGTCACCTCTCAGTCTGCCAACACGTTTGCGCCGTTCAACGCTTCTGGTAGACAAATCCTCCTCGCGAGAAACTGGTACTGACACGGTAATTTAGTCCCTCAATCAAGCCCGATCGGAACTACACAAGCTCAACAAGTTAGCGCGTATAACACTTGGATTACATCGGCAGTCAAATCAGGGGTTCAAGGTATTATACAGTATCAAGTAAGGTCGGATTTGACGAGCATCTGCCTGTTGCTGACATCTCGACAGTGGGGACAAGGCAATATCACGTCCTCTTCGTCGTCGGCCATTACTCACCAGTCCGGAGTCGGCACGACGAATAGCACGACGACATCATTCTACTCTCCGAATGATGGGTACGCTGCATACGACAGCGCGGTCAAGAACACTCTTGCAGCCGGTGCCAAACTTATTGCGTCTCAAAACGGCTCAGGCTCCAACCAAGCACGTGGCTACAACGAACTTTAGTATCGATTATCTTCACGTATTTCTCACGCCTTATACATTACGGACACCATTTGCAAACCTCGTCTGGTAAGAATGTCAATACGGGCTATGAGTACCATATAATACAATGGTCTGAGAATGAAAATCATGGAGATGAAAGTGATGTGAGCGTATAGCAGCTCTACGCGGCACCAAGTGAGACTTGGCTATGATTCGATGGAGTCTTTTGTGAGTTGCTGTTTGGAAGCGGTTCTCGCCAAGACTGCTGCTGCTCGTTGGCCTGGCGAATGTACGAGTAGCGGAAGAACTGGTTTAACGACTGTAGAAACTGGAAGCCGACCTACGAAGGTGTCAGCGAGCTCCACCATTGATACTCTACGTGACGCACAGGGTAATCGCGAATGACGTTTAAAAGATCTACAGCCATATTGCGAATACTTTCCTGTTGATGAAAGAGACACATGGCTATTGGCTGTAGGCCTCCTTGTTGGGGAGGACAGTGAACGAGCATCTGTTCAAGATTCAACAGTGGTCCACATCACGCAAGAATTGCCTGCATACCTCGACGACTTGATCATAGTTTTTTATGCTCTTACACATTGTCTCCAAGATCAAGGCCACCTCTCCTTCTGGGACGTTCTTCCCGTTGCGAAGGCGAACAACTTGATGTTCCAAGTCAAACCCTTGGATAGGGTTATTTTCTTGCTCTTTCTGAAAATCCTGTAGTACGAATCATGATGGAGTCACAGAATTTCTAGACGACTCACTTGAACCCAGTACTCGTAGCTGGGGCTCTTTCTCCATCCCTCGATCCTAGCTGCATTCAAACTAAGCTCTCGTAATCCAGTGAATTCGTCTGCAAATCGAATACCACTGCCGAGAGTTGACTGGCCGGTCCGATTATTAAATGTATATTGTGCACACGGATATCCCACGTAGGTGAGACGCAGCGTGTCCTCTTCGTATCTTGATGCTAGCTGGAGAAACCTGTAAACGTACTCTGCAAAGCGGGCTCGTATGCCGCTTTCTCCGACATGATTTGCGATGGCACCCAGCAACTGCGGACTTAGTACTCAAAAATAATTGAAATTGAAGCATACCTCTTCGATAAACATTGCATCGTAGGCATCTTGTCGCCCAGCATAATCAATCTTATTCGCCTGTGACTGAGGGAGCTGATTTGTACTCCCCATTGCTCCGAACTCATCTTGCGTCGATCTAATACCTTCTGCTTGAGCTATAACCTTCCCGGGGTTGCTCAATGTAGGAGGTATAGGGAATAGTGAAGGGGCTGGTGCAGGTATCGGAATGTCTGACCGGACCTTGATAACATTAAGGTCGAGATCACAGCAAACGTCCCAGTACGAGTCTTTTTGTGCAAAAGTGGGTTCAAGGAGCCCGCAATAAAGCCATTGGTCGCTCTGAATGTGGTCAGATGTAACACTTGTGTGGATGGCGGCAACTGACTTTTCGCAGGTCTTCTCATAGGTGGCAAGATTGATGTAGGGGTATGCACGCTCTACGAAGCCACGCAGATAACATCCACCTCCAGAGACCATGGCGCAGGATGCCAGCACGCAGTTTGACACATCTGCAGCGGATTTCTGCTTTGAGACAAACATGACACGCTTTTGAGTAATAATTGCGTTGAATATGACAATTATGGGATGTGTCTGACGTCCGCTAGTGTGGATTTGAGGGTGCAGAGGCCCCTGCACTGTCACCGAATTTGAAGAGAGATATTTGATAAAGGCCGTCAAGGAGAACTGACGATATTTTAGAAAGCCGAAGCCAGGCATAACCATACTTACGTCTCCTACTTCCTCCGGGAACGTAGACACTGGGATTTTGATGGGAAGGGGGATGTTGGCATACTTGATCGTGGTCTCGTAAAAGTGAGTATCACGTTGTTGTATTCGGGATTTGGCAGGGTGACTAGAGTCGGATGGGACTGGCAGGAGGTCCTCCCGACTCTTGAGCGCGTCAAACGAGCCATTGGACTGCAAGCCAGAAAGCGCGTTGCTTGCCCTTGAACTATCATCTCCAGTCCAGATCACGCCATTACTTGAGTCATGAGACGCCTCCGATGGTTGTTCTCCACTCGCTGTACTCGTCGTTCGCCGATGGTTTTTGAGTGATGCAGCCGACTGAGAGCGGGATAGTGCTTGATTCACGACCTCTTTCGAGCCATTGAGCGCCGTGGAGAGCTCAGGCCCTGCGTCGAACACATGAAGGTCACCAGGAATCTCGCGCGACCGACGACGAGAAAACTTCTCCGAGAAGATGTCCGTGCGATCAGATAGCCGCATAACTAGTCGCTCGTGACGCGTCAATTGGGGAACCATAGAAAGATCGAGAGCGTTTAGGGTGTCATAAAACTCTTTTACACAAGCTTCTGTCGGATTTTTGTAATACTCGTCCAGTGCAATAAGCATGATTGGCTAAGCAATCTGAGAATGATGTCAAGCAGTAGAGCGTACCCACCTTGAAGATCTGGAAATAGGGGAGATGCGTGCATATTGCAATGGCCTTTACGACTGCGCCTCTATGGACAATGTCAGAGTCTGTTATAGTTCACGCATTCGTAGCCTACCTGCGTACTCCCTGATCTGCCTTGTTTCTCACGAGATTAAGGACGTGCAGAATATCCTTTCTCTTTTCTCGTGTGGGTGATCCAGAAGATTGCTCGTCTTCACCGTACGATACAACTTGCGAGTCTGGTGTTTGATTGAGGAAAAAAACGGTCCAGGCTTCGGATGTGAGGTGGACACCGTCTGGAAGCATGGATTCGGCCAGAGTTCTGTCTCGCAATGAGCCATGAGCTCGTCTAGACGTTGATAGCTCACTGTTCATCTGTTCCCGTCGGGCATGGGTACTGGTGACTGAGCACCGAGCCCGTGTCGATGTCAAAGTCGGCCACAAGCACATATGCGACGTGCGGTCTTGAGTGATTCAACGACATGATAACGCTTATTTGTGATCCAGCAATAGATCCCGTGTGTTCCTCTTGTCTAGTGTTCCTCGAGGTTCATCACCGGACAGTCAAGGGTCCAAGCTCGGCTTGTTGAACCTGACCAGCTCCACTACAAACCATGAAGTTTGAGATTGACAATCTTCCGGTACACTGTGCTCTTAGAAGCTACTTGGACACGCTCTTACGCGTCCCAGGTCGTTTTCCCTTATGACAAGATCTACCCAGGTGGACCTCCTAAACTCGCTGTGTTTTACCCCAAGGTTGATCACGAATAGAACAATACAAGTACATGTGTGACCTCAAGCGCACCTTAGACGCTTCAGTCGGTTCTCAACGTTCCCGTAAAGACGTTTGCTGATAAAGCACGAGGGCCACTGCGTTCTGGAGATGCCTTCGGGTACAGGGAAGACGGTTTCTCTGCTTTCTTTGATCGTTTCGTACCAACAGGTGCGTGAATGGTGTTAGTATTGGGATATGAATCTCACCTTGCCACAGTTCTTTCCGACAAAACGAAAGCTCATTTACTGTTCTCGCACAGTTCCGGAGATTGAAAAGGCGCTGACTGAACTCAAGCGGTTGATGAAGTATCGAATTGAGAGTGCGGAAACAGACGAACAGCGAGAAAAGGAGAGAGCATTCACGGGTCTTGGATTGACGAGTCGAAGGAACCTTTGTCTTCACCCTCAAGTCAGTACGGAGAAGAAGGGGCATGTCGTCGATGCCAAATGTCGAGATCTTACATCCGCCGCCGCTTGCGAAAAAGGACGAGCAAATCCAGGCTCTGTTCCCCTGTGCGATTGGCATGAGGTAGTTTGCGTGACCATATCCGAGCAGTACTAAGCTTTCGCATCCAGGGCTTGAATGATATGGAGCCGGGAAGTCTTGTTCCTCCCGGAATATGGACGTTGGCAGATCTCATGGAAAGAGGCCGTAGAACGACGACATGTCCGTACTTTACGATCCGGCGAATGGTGCGTTTCCACACTCTGAACAGCGCGCAGTGGTATTGATGTCATGACAGATGCCATTCGTCGATGTAATCATTTATTCTTTTCACTATCTCCTCGATCCAAAAGTTGCCGAGCAAGTCTCGAAGGATCTATCGAAGGATGCCATCGTCGTTTTCGACGAAGCGCATAACATTGGTTCGTCCTGACCACCCGTTGAGTGTCTTCATCAACCCGATGCAGACAATGTTTGTATCGAGTCGCTCAGTATTGACTTGACGAGACCAATGCTGGACTCCGCCGTCCGAAGTGTCACCAAGCTTGGCGAAAAGGTCGAAGAGTAAGGCATATGCTACAGTAATAGGAAATTTCTGAACGGGATGACAGAATCAAGCTTACTGATGCTTCCAAACTTCAAGATGAATATGCCAAACTTGTACAAGGTTTGCAGGATGCGGATGCCGATGATAATGAAGACCCTATTGTCTCGAACCCAGGTAGGAGAGTCATAGAGGCGGGAATTTCACTAATTCAGGAGCATCAAGTCTTGCCTGAGGATCTCTTGAAGGAGGCAATACCCGGAAACATACGCAAAGCAGAGCATTTCGTTGCGTTCCTCAAGCGCTTCGTAGAATATCTCAAGGTAAGCGTTCATAATATGCAGTCATATCCCGCTCAACCCCCAGACTCGAATGAGGGTTCTTCACGTTGTCGCGGAGACACCCGCATCATTTCTCCAGCATCTCAAGGACATCACGTACATTGAGAAGCGACCACTAAGGTTAGTCTTCACTACGCGACGATTCACCAACCTGAATTTCATCAATAGATTCTGCGCTGAAAGACTTCAGTCCCTCATACGCACACTGGAATTGACTGGCTTGGACGAATATTACTCTTTACAGAAGGTCGCATCCTTTGCGACGCTTGTCGCAACTTATGAAAAAGGTACGAAAGGGCGCCTTGCATAAAGTTATTTAGACTGTTATCCAGGCTTCCTACTTATTTTGGAGCCATTTGAGACAGACAATGCTACGGTCCCGAATCCGATATTCCATCTCATGTGGGCCCCACCTTGACCTAGCGAACTCCTGCTGATCATGACCAGATGCTTGGATCCCTCATTCGCGATTAAGCCAATTTTCGAGCGATTCAGTAGCGTGGTCATCACGTCAGGAACCATATCCCCCCTGGACATGTACCCGAAGATGCTTCAATTCACACCCGTTGTGCAAGAGACTTACCCCATGACGCTTACTCGGAACTGCTTCCTCCCTTTGGTAAAACGTGGTCCGCGTCTTGGTCACTCTCTGGCTGATTCCGACGTCTAGGTAATCACCCGTGGGAGTGACCAAGTCGCGATAAGCTCGCAATTTGAAGTGCGGAACGATCCCGCTGTAGTGCGAAACTTTGGAAGCATCCTCATTGAGTACAGCAAAATTGTGCCGGACGGGGTCGTGGCTTTCTTCCCGAGCTACTTGTACATGGAGTCTATTGTGGCTGCTTGGAATGACATGGTAGGCTTGTTACACCCGCTTCATTTCAAAACGGCGTTGACACGGCTAATAGGGCATCCTCGAGGACGTCTGGAAGCACAAGTTGATATTTGTGGAAACGCCCGATGCCAATGAGACAAGTATCGCATTGGAAAACTACCGACGGGTACGCGTGTCCTGTATACAGGAACGGTCTAACTCACGACCCTTAGGCGTGCAACAACGGGCGAGGAGCCGTCCTGTTATCTGTAGCTCGCGGCAAGGTGTCGGAAGGGATCGATTTTGACCACAATTATGGCCGTGCGGTCATCATGTTCGGGTGTGTCCGGCCTCTCCGCGACTAGCCTCCGTCTCATTGGGTTTTGCAGGGTTCCATACCAATACACAGAGAGCCGAATTCTTAGAGTAGGTACTCTGATCGCAGCGGCACGTGTAGGCCACTGAAAACGCAAATTAGGCTCGTTTGGAATACTTGCGTGACACTTACCGGATCCGGGAGTCCGAGTTTTTGGGATTCGACGCGATGAGAAACGCGGCACAATGTGTCGGGCGTGTTCTTAGAGGAAAGACCGATTGGGGACTAATGGTGTTCGCCGACAGGGTCAGTACATTGCTGGCACAGGTGCAAGAAGCAGCTAACCACGTAAGGCAGCGCTTTGCTCGATCCGACAAGCGGTCAAAGCTGCCGAAATGGATTAATCAATACATTACGGAGAATGCTTCCAATCTCTCAACGGACATGGCGATTGTGCTTTCCAAGAGCTTTATGCGGACGATATCGCAAAATACAAATGAAAATCTCCAAACAGGCGTATCCCTCTGGACGTTGGAGGATGTGCTGAAAGAACAGATTCGTGCCAAACAATTAGAAGCAGCTGGCCACGAGCCTCCCTCGGTTGCTCGAATGGAGATAGACGATCAGGAGGGATATGACTATGGGGACGGTGGTATTCCTGACCATGTCATTGCAGAAGCAGACCTAGAAATCTAATAGGGAACGATTGTAAGCTGGTGATAATCGAGTTGTGCACCCGAGGGGTCTGGTTATTTGTGTTCAGTCTCGACCAGGCGATTCACGGATTGATAGCAGGTCTCGCAGAGATAATCGACTTGAGCAGGAACCATTCGTTGTGTTGGCCTATGGGTCTGGGTAAGCACGGGCTAGCTAGCGGTGAGCGGCTATAAGCGAAGGGCTCTTACTCAAACATGTGTCTGCACGGTTTTCGGCGACAATCATGGCCATTGCCTGTGGCATGACTTCGAGAATTTGTGCAATGCCTCGAGCCGCAATCCACTATCGACTCGCCCACTGTGCAAAGGCGTAAGGCAGAGAGGCGACGATGACGCTATCGGCCGTACCGTGCGTATAATGTCCGCAGGGGAGGTGATGTTGGGAGAGCGTGACTCGGTAGCACATCCTAACTTGAGACTCGAAGTTAGAGGGGGTGGCCCAGCGGATGAGACGGAGTTTATAACGAGGGATACGGTGAAACGGTGCGCTTGACAAGCCCTGGATAACTCCGGAATGGACTGCCTAAAGTAGGCTAGTACGATTCGGTCCCAATAAACAACTCCAAAGGGGGGCTTCCCTGTCGTTGCACGTTGTTGGAAGCGCTGGAGAGATCGATCTTGCCCTTTGAACGCGGTCTGGTCGGCACAAAGTTGCCCGACGGACCTTGTGCGACAAGTTTTAGACGTGATCAAAATCAGATAACACCGCTACACAGGTACTCTTTACTCCGTTGCGAGTGCGCAATAAACCAGCGAGCCTGTCATCGGTAGCTGCGTCGCGGCCGGACTCGCGGTTGAACCGTGCGTTTGGATGGGCACTGACGCCCATTGTTGACGATTAATGGGTGGTTTGCGAATAAAGAGTTGAAAGGTTTAGCCGTTCTTGTGGTTAGGATTAACCAAACTTAGTTGAATTGGCGACGCACACCATGCAGCCTGTGGAGGTATTTGCTTAGCCACCGGGCATCCCAGTTCACAGCTATTGTGGTTGACCCTACTAACCAGACGGCGATTATGACCTGCTGATCCATGCGGCCGGCCGTGACAAATGGCCTCCTCAGCTCAAACGATAGCTAACCGCGCTTGACGACGGCTTCTTGGCGATGTGGCAATATTATATCGCGTGATGCCATAATACATAACTATTAGGGAGGAATGAATGATCCACATGCTCGGTGCAAGCGGAGCGAGGGCAACACAATCAAACGAGGACGGGCCACCTAAGGAAGCGCAACAACGGGCTCGCTTCTATATCGACTGAATTGTGAGAACGACATCGCGAATCTTTGCCTCCAAGTTCGAAATATCCGCTCTAGGGCGAGAGCCGATTGGGTCGCCTTCTGGGTCGGCATCCAACTTTATCGATTCCATAGTTCTCGTCATCGTGTCGGGATCCGTCTCCAGCGTTCGGAGAAGCGCTTCTAGTGATTTTGAAAGCTCCATCAAATGAGTCTTTAGAGCCTCCACCTCCATAGGTGGATCCAGACAGCCCACAATCTCATCGATCAGTGGTATCTCAACTTGCGTAGCCTCCAAGTATTGGTCATACGTGCTGGGAGTTAACCGTAGCGGGGAATTCCCGGCAAGTAACGTCTTTTGGAAATGCTTTCTGAACGCGGACAATTTCTCCAAGACAGTCGCCACCTAAATAGACTACGTTAATGAATCATGCAAATTCAAGAGAGCTGTACATACCTTTTTGACAACCATGCGGTCCTGTTCTGACAGCGATTGGTCGACCATGTCATCCGCGTCCACTAACTCGTCCCAGCCGTCCTCGGCATCCTCTTCATTATCTTGATCGAGTAAATTGTACACCTCTTTGATGGCATCTTTCAGAGACTCGCTGTCCACCTTCCAGCGCTTTAGTACGGCTTCGCGGGAATCTATGGACAAGTTTCTCGCTTTATCGCAGGCCTCGTGGACAGACGCCGTCATCTGCATGCTCTCGCCACCATTCTTAGCCGATGAATACTCCCTGAAGAGGGCAGACATGGACTGGAGAATTCCGAGCGCCCCCTGCTCAACTTCGTCTGAAAAGGCCTTTCCATGTGTGGCACCGAAGGCGAGAACACACCCATAGAGGGATGACGTATGCTTTGTGAGCTCCTCGAGCGTCGGGCCAGCTGCAGAGGGAGTTGGAGGCTGCTTTCCGAGTGCGATCCAGAGGCGGGTCGTGTACGAGTAGATGAGTGAGATGATTCCCAAATAGTCTTTGCGGAGAATATCCAATGCAGGTGTGCTGTCTAGCCCCGATTTGCCAGAGCGTTGCTGGAGAATGCTCAGGCCCTTGTCGACTTCACGCAATGCAGTCTGTAGACGAGTTTGGACTATGAAATAGATGTGAATTTGACGATCAGAGTGCCGCGTAACGCGCTCTCACCTGCCGCGTCCATGGTGGCGGAATCTTGAAATTTGACCTGGACCTCTTCGGTAATCTGTACGCGTAGGATCTGGTGGACGATGCAGGCGCTAGGACAGCTGTCTGGGCTATCTCAGGTTACTTTTAAAAGCATAAGGCAGCGCTGTAATGCTAACACTGCCTCCAAGACGTTGCAGTTACTTCCAGCCGGCGTGGTTAACAATCCAGCCAGTCCGAATTCCTCAGCCCTTGAAGCTCTCTATCAATCCAGTAGATCCTGTTTGCCGTTTCATGCTGTCTATAGCCCCTTGCTGACTGTACCCAGCTCGTCCCAACTCGAAACTACGCGGCCGAGGTTCTGCAAGCGGCACCACCGTCTTTAAACAACAGTCGGATATTGAAACTATCATACATTCCTCCTCAGACGGCCCAGACGGTCCTTTTGAGAGGTGCCCGTCGACCAGCGACCACTGCACATCCTTCGTCACATGGTCGGAGACACCTTTGGACGTCGATACAGAAGAAAATAAGGTCACTCAGACCAGAACGTGTCACAAGTCCGCTCGTGTACTCGCAGATTGTTCGGTTGGAAACAGAGGCCAATGCATTCCCCAATAACGTTGCAAAACAAGTCACTTTATGGCGGGCAATCATGGAGCTAGACACTCCGTCTGCGTATGACAAGATCATATCTCGATGGGAACGGCTATTGGAATTTGTAAGTAGTAGTATCGGTTGGATTTGGAACGACAAATGTTTATTCCAATGTAGGCACCCAATAGTCAAATCATCAAATCGGATGCAGCATTCCGTCTATATCTCATGGCTCTCCTCAAGAAAGGAGACGCCAAATCCATCTGGCTCGCTGCTGCTCGTCGCGACCAAGTTCTTCAAACCGTTGGTGCGGCTCCGACCGAACCAGCTGCTGTCGAAGAAGAACCAGCCAGCGCTTCCAAAGTGACACAGAGTCCTTCACACGACATTGCAGAGGCGGTCTTGTCTGACCCGGCGATCACGAATACTCCGACGTGGGCGATTGGTGACAGTGGTCTAGGCAAGTCGTCTGGTGGTACTGGTGTATTGGCGGGTATACAAGCTGGTAGCAAACAACAGCCGCTTCACGTCATGGTCGCTCAGCCGAAAGGAAGTGTTGCGTGGCAAATCGGCAAAACTCTGCTCATCGTTGGATTGTATGGTTTCCTTACCCTCACTATCCTCGGGTTGGTGCTGGAGAACTCTGGCGTGCTCAAGACCAATACCCAGGTCACCGAGTTTGAGCAGAGTGGTGGCGAACCGGTCAAATTTAGCGACGTTCATGGTGTCGAGGAGGCAAAGGAGGAACTTCAAGATATTGTCGAATTCCTCAAGAACCCGTCGAGCTTTTCTACATTGGGCGGTAAACTTCCAAAGGGTGTCCTGCTCGAAGGACCTCCTGGTACGGGTAAGACGCTTCTCGCCAGAGCGGTTGCAGGAGAAGCCGGAGTTGTAAGTTCGATTCCATAATCTTCGCGACGTATATTTACGCTTGTTTAGCCCTTCTTCTTCGCGTCTGGTTCGGACTTTGACGAAATCTTTGTTGGTGTTGGTGAGTTTCTCATTTACTCACTTTATACCCTTCTCACGCTAGATAGGTGCAAAGAGAATACGAGAGCTTTTTGCCGCAGCCCGAAAGAAGCAGCCGGCAATCATTTTCATCGACGAGCTCGATGCCGTTGGTGGGAAACGTAGCCCTAAGGACCAGCAATTCATGAAGCAGACGTTGAACCAGCTGCTTGTTGAGCTGGATGGCTTTAAACAATCCGGTTCGTACTCACTCGCAGTTCAGATCACACACACTCATTAAACCCGCAGAGGGAATCATCGTCATTGGTGCAACCAACTTCCCACAAAGTTTGGATAAGTACGTCAATGACCACTTAGTATTCATGAGCTGACGGTATCTAGGGCGCTGGTCCGGCCTGGTCGCTTCGACCGCAAGGTTGTGGTTCCTTTACCAGATGTCAAAGGACGTGTGCAGATTCTCAAGCATCATATGAAGAATGTGGTCAATGACCCGAGCGTAGACGTCGAGCTGTTGGCAAGAGTCACAGTGGGCTTCTCTGGAGCAGACCTTCAGAACATGGTCAAGTAAGTGTCAATAGTCCGTAGTGGGTCCATCTAATTGTTTCATAGTCAAGCAGCTGTTCAAGCATCCAAAGAGCATGCAGATGCAGTCAAGATACGACACTATGAATGGGCTAGGGTGAGTTTTAGCTATCAGGTCAATTAATACTAATTTGCAGGATAAAATCGGCATGGGTCCTGAGCGACGTAGTGCAGTCATGGAGGAAAAGGTCAAGCTCGCTGTCGCCTATCACGAGGTTCGTATTCTCTAGTCTTGTTGTGGGCACTCGAATTTCACGCCATATAGGGTGGTCACGCATTATCAGCCCTTTTCACCAAAGGTGCAATGCCACTCTACAAGGTGACCTGCATGCCACGAGGACAAGCACTCGGAGTTGTAAGCTCGACGCGACTCCCTCAACTTTCCTCACTCTTCCTTAGACGCACCAAGCTCCTGTCAATGATCGAACTAGCGTCACATTTACAGAATATCTCGCAGATATGGATGTATGCACCGGTGGAAGAGCCGCCGAGGAGTTTAGTGAGTTTCATACTTCTTTTCACTCATTCAGTTCTCACCCCCTATAAGTCTACGGCAAAGAGAACATCACGTCCGGCGCCTCGTCCGACCTCGTCAGGGCGACTGATATTGCGCGCTCCATGGTTAGGGTAAGAAATCAAAGACGCTGCAGAGTTGGTATTGATCCATCGTAGCATTGGGGATTCTCAGACAAAGTTGGACGCGTGGTTTATCGAGAGGAGGATGCTGCCATGATCAGCCCGCAGAAGAAGGATGAAATCGAGTCAGAAGTGAAAAGGTAAGCGAGGTTCTCATTGAAAGGACACATCTTCTTATCAATCAATTAGACTGGTAGAAGAGAGCTGCACCCGAAGTATGAATCTTATCAAGTCCAAGGAAACGGAACTCCATCGAGTAAGCTTTGCCTCCGTGGTCAACCTCCCACTCACAGAATCGTAGCTCGCCAAAGCCCTGGTTGAGCACGAGACTTTGGACGCAGAAGAGGTTAAAAAGGTTATCGCAGGAGAGAAAATCCGAGTTGCCGAGAAGCTGGCAGATGCGTGAACATTCGCTATATTTATTGCGATTGTCGACATTGTTCATCAAGGCGTATTGAAAGGACCCATGTGACGAGCCGGCGCACGCGCTGGGAGGTGAGCAGCATCCTGCTGCAGCAGTCCACCCAACAAGGATGTCGAGGTCCACGGTTCTCCAACAAGTGGCCAGAAATTCCATGTCAATGATCCGCCTTCTTTGTCCCTGGTTATCGTATTGTTTGTGACTTCCACCGATCTAGAATATGAATTTAATTTGGCATCCAGATAACTAAATTCGTTAATGTTTGTTCCATTGGCCGTCCGATTGAAACCAGGGTTGGGCGAGGTTATGTAGGTTCCGTCTGTTTGAAAGGTCAATCCACGATTGCATCGCAGTTGCTTGACGTACTGGCATGCTGGGCTGAACGAATATTGGTAAATACCTCCCAATGCGACGGCAGGTATTGCCGATTGTACTTGTGGTCGAAAATCGCTCTAACTGCTATGGTTGAGAGGCCCCTATACAAGCTCTAGCACACTCACACCCAGATCCCTTCTCATCCGCAACCGTTCTGAAATCGATAGATAATGGGAAGTCTAGAGAATCGACGAGCACAGGTATCAGATTGTGGGTGCTGAGACTGTGGCCCGTTGTTGTCTGTGACACTAACTAGGCACATTCAGAAGTGCATCATATTGAAGAAGAGCTTACCATCGTCGAAGCGCCGTTTAAATACGACTGTACGTTGTTGAACTGTAGGTTTTGCTTCCAAGAGACGTCGATCTTCTTTCCGGACCCGGAAACAAGTCTAGCTTCTATGGAGAGCGAGCGCCTGACGGAGACTGTGAAGTTGAATGAACTGTCGTTCAGTACCTGGACCGAACGTCTGCTATCTTCAGAGGGTGCATCATATCGGGTTATATTTCCAGTGGTCGGTTTCCCTGAAGTATCTAGAGCGACCTGACAGGGTATTTAAATCATTATCAACATAAGGATAGCGGATATACCTTGATATTGCCGCTGAGATACCAATTGCTGTTGATTTTCAGATCCGGTTCGTCTGAAACCACTGCAAGGGATATAATATGTGGTCGTCCGTCTGCTAGGAGAGGAATAAATGGACTTATATCAACCGTATAGGTGGGAGAGTCGTAGGCACCATACGCCACGATAGGCCGCCAAATCTATAAAGCAAGTCAGAAAAGCGTTCGTAGCTCCAGAGTATGCTTTACGGTCGGAACCATAGCTCCCGTGAAAAGGACCGGATAGGGGAATGCGATGCCAGCGATCACTCCGTCTACAAGGACGCGCACTTCACGGAACGAACTTTTCCCGTAGGTTGTATCCGGTGGAAGATAGGACATGTACTCGTCGGGAACATTGTAATACCAGAACTCCTCTTGAGAGTTACCACTTGCCTGAATCTCGACAACAGCAGAAACGGTGTTCGGAGGCAGGATGATCGTCGTCTGGAGGCTTTGAGTCTTAGTAACGGACTAAGGGAAGGGCCTACATTTCCTGCAGGAGGTACACTGAAGACGTTGGACTGATCAGAGACGAGAGTGCTTAGTGGAATGATCAAGTCGGGCACAGTTGCGGCAGGATGTACCCAGTCGGACTGATAGAATGTTGCCGTAAGTCGAACTAGGCTCGCATAAATATTTGGTACAGAGGGTTGCTGGCGGGCCTACCATCGAATTCGCCCGTGAGGCCAGAGCCTGAGCCATTACTTAGCGGTGATCATCACGAAATAGCGAGTGCCTACCAGGGTCGACAATATTATTTAGATCCACTATCATTTTGCCTGGTTTGGCGAATAGCGGTATATACTGTGTCACATCCTTTAGAGTCGTCCAGATGATGCCACGCGGCGTTGGCTCAGAAGTAGAGGTTCTCCAAACTGATTCTGTCAAAACAAGTGAACAAGAGATCGCTGGAACTTACTTTCGACATTGTGCAGTGTCACCCCAGCGAGGCGATCATATTGAGTCTGAGTGTCGATTATTTCGAAGATTCTTGGGAAGAGAATAGAGGCTTACTCCATTGGAAGTTGCTGTCCAGTTCAAGCTGACTCCTGCCCATGTCCCAACCTCTCCACAATCGGTCGGAGGACTATTACGTTCGTGAATTGTACCTACTGAAGAATACAACCTACGTGTATTGCACTATGGATGGTTGGTAGTAGGAATTGGCAAAGATATGGTGAATGAGTTCGACCTCGCACTTGCGAACATTCTTGGGCAGGTTCAAAGGCTGAGATACTTGGAAATTGATCAATGGAGTGGAGATATTCTGTTGAGCAATAGAAGCTGTAAAGACAGACACAAGTATGGTCAGGAAACACGCCGTTGGGAAAGGCAGCAGAGCCATTGAGGGAGGGAGATATGTTTCGCAGGGAAACATAGATGGAGCATGGCCGCCCTTACATATCAACGCTGAGAAGGTCGCTTGGTTGATTGGCGAAGCCAAGCGCATGTGGTCCACGAAGTCCAAGTTGCAGCTGTTTGTCCGAAGACCAATTCAGCCGAACGATAGAGAAGAGAAGATGGAACGAATACAATGTGGAATAATATACAAAAGGAGTGAATACGATAGTATCTAACCAAGCAGACCCTTCACGAAGCGAACCAAATCTCTTCCCTGTGTGACGAGTTTTAGAAACACAATAATGGTATGAAGTGACACTTACACCTCCGTGTCTTGATTTAACGTCCTTGAGAATGTCGTCGACCTGGCTTTCCCCACTTTGGTCTGCATCCAACCCTTCCAGACCACTCTTCGGTGATATAGGGATAGCAGAGGATGCTGTCGGTCGCAAAACACTCGCAGAACTCTTACGCCATTGAGAGCGCGAGACTACGCTCATCAGGGCCTTCCAACCCTCGACGAATGGCAGCGGCTCCAACAAATCTTGCGATTGGGAGCGAACACCGGGTAGGGTCATCAAGGGTAGATAGGTCGTCTTTACAATGTAAGGGCAATGTGGCCGGTGCTCTTTGAGGACGTCAAACTGTCGGGTGACGGAACTTCGCGCCGCTGCGGGTGGTCCACCGTTAGGACTGGGAGATTGCGGCAGAGTGCCAGAAGCAAACGACCAAAGTCCAACTTGACGCGCACAGAGTTTGCACATGACCATTGCCCTCCCAGAACCAGAGCCAGGAGTACTGAGGCCGGAGGGGGTTGCTGTCGCAGAGACATTTGTCGATCGGGAAACCGGGGAGAAAAGACTCCATCCGAAGAATGCGACGATAATTGCCGATTCTTCTGGCATCTGGGACATTGAAAGAGAAGAACTTTCTGCAGAGACTGCTTTCCGCATCAAGTCTGCCTGCGCCGAGTTTACCGCTGACAACAAGAGGCTGACCTGATGTGATGTCTGCAGAGATCAGCACACATATAAAATACAATAGGTTATCCGCACAAGTGGATGCTTGACTGAAATTTGGCTGGCAGCTGTCTGAAGTTCACTCGCGTGCTGGAGGACTGTGGCACTCAGTGCCGCGGGGGCTGGAATCTCCATGGAGTAAATCGATGCTAAAACAAATTCAGAACACGTAGAGAGTGTTGAGTGAGCGATACCGACGTTCAGCTTGTCGTACCCTCCAAGGGCAGGACAATTTATGTTGATCCACAAGCATTGCTTGATGCTTTGTTATAGTTTCGCTCACTCAAACAGGTGAGAGATAGTTATAAAACGAATGGTCATACACTTACACTGGTCTTTGCTCACGTTGTGAAGAGATGGCATTGTCCATACGACTTTACAGCTTTTGCACGTCAAGCTCTCTTTTCCACCTGGTCCACCTGTCAGATACGTGACTATCTCGCAATAGACGCACCTTCGTTGAACCAACCACAACGAGCAGCTGCCACTGCGTCAATTTCAGTGGGTTTGGGCGAATAGGTGATCAACTTGAACGTCTGCAATCGCTTCAAGAATTCTTCGCGAGAGTCGGGATCATAGGTCGCCAGCTTTTCATTTACATGTGATGAAGCATCTGTAATGGTACCGCTCCCACTCGCGACTGACTTGGCTCGTTGAATGACCCGCTGAAGGTTCGAGAGTGAGGAATTTTTGCTGCTGAAGGACTTTGATCAACAATGCAAACACAAATTCTGTGATACATACTGGTCAACCGACGTTCCAATCCCGTACTTGGCCAACGTTGAATATAGACTTGTCCGTGCGCGTTTAGGAGGCGGTAATCTTTCCACCGACGATGAGACTACGGGTCTTGTGCCAGCAGCATCGTCTAACAGCGTCAGAGCGTCTTCATATTTGCGCTATGCATCGGTAGGACGTTAACACGACGCGGTTGGCCTATATGATTCGCAATATAGGATACCTTGTTGATACCAGAAGCTTTGGAAGCACAAACTCGGCCATTGGCAGCTCTTTTGGTGGTTGAGGTGAACTAGGCGCATCTCCGGTCGGCGAAGACATAGTCAAGGTGCGTCTCACCACCGAGTAACCAGCTCTTAGACAGAAACCAATCTTTGCAGGACAAAAAGAATGTAGAAGGGCGCGATAAACGGAAAAAGACTTGTCCCCACAAAAGAACTACAACATAGAAACAGATGTGCCAACTCCAACGTACGCACAAATCTCCCTAGCCGTAGAGAGTAAATGCAGCTTAGTGACCCATAGGCGCAGGTTGAGGGGCAACTGGAGGAGGTCCTTGTGTAGCGGGGTCGTAGTGCGGTCCTGGCTGCGATGGCATCATCATGGGATAAGGCATAGCATGGGTGACTAGGGAGAGAGGTGTCAGAGTCGACCGTGAATACTTTTTCAGTGCTTACGTTGTGGACTGGGGTGATAGTAGGTGTGAGGAGGCATTTGTTGAGGAGGCATGGGGCCTGGACCTCGCGGTGTGCCAGTGGGAGGAGGAGAGGTAGCGCCGTATGGAGTATGTGGCATGTAATGGGGCGTAGCTGCCACATTCATGTTATTAATCATTCTCAGAGTTCAGAACATTACTCACGTGGGACTCCTGCCATGCCTGGCGGTGGGTGTCCATACATTGGAGCTACAATATGTCAGGAAAAAAATGGATCGACCGCATTCGTACCATTCGGGGGCATATGATGGGGATAGGCTACAGGTTGCATGTAATGGCTAGGCATATATGGCGATGCTGGGGGCATCATCATAGGCTGCTGTCCATGGGGCTAGGGCATCGTCAAAACGAGCCGGAATCGTACAGGCGAGACTACTCACCGCAGGGCTGTATGGATACTGATAATACATCATTGGGTATCCTTGCGGTGGCTGCGGCTGCTGAGCAGGGATTGGCTGTTGTGGAGGAATCGGTCGCTGTCCGTGAGCTTGCTGCTGCGCGGCAGGATCTTCCTCATGCGGTTGCGTTGGTGGACCTGAAATTTGCGGGACTGGCATATTGATACCAGGAGCTGGGTGGATACCTGGGAGAATCGGATGGAGAGCTGCAAATCGTTTCCCATTATATGGCCATATCGATGCTATTGGCAAGGTAAAACAAGGCCAATCTTGTGAATCGTAAACACGTACAAACTTGCGAGGCGTCGACGACCTTGCTATGTCGGAAAGGATTGAAGTCTTCCTTGAGATGAACTGACACGCCTTTTTTGGTTGGAGCTCGTGCTCCATAAAATGGATTGGGTGGTTCCGTCTGCGCCTAGAAACGCGTTAATCGATACCCTCACGATGACAATACATACAACGGCAGGAGCATCCTTGGCCACATTCTCCTTGCCCTTTGGAGGAGGCGGCGTTGCTCCTGGTGAGACAGGCTTGAATACAGGTGCATTCGCATTTGGTTTGAAGACTGATGCATTCGCGTTCAACCTGGCGGTTGCTTGCGCGGTAGTGGGCGAGGACGGGGTGGCTTGAATTGCCGGAGCTGCTGGTTGACCGGAAGGAGTCGTACCAGGAGCAGCAGGAGTGCCAGGCTTGCGGACCTTGTTCCTATTAAACGGCGGAATCTCCTGGATGAACATGCCTCCCTTTGGCTTTGGGGCCGCAGAGCTGTCAGCGGGAGCAGTTGCCGCTGGTTTAGCACCTGGCTTCGCGGCTTGACCTGGAGAAGAGGCAACCTTGGTGGTCGCAGCTGTGCTCGTGACTGCATTCGCAGCGGCAGCGGCTTTTGCTTGTGCCTGGGCTTGTTGTGCAGCCTGGAGCTCTGCGTTGGCCTTTTCTACGATCGCTTTCTGCTTCTCCTCGTCCTTGGCGAGGATGGGCACGAGATCCTCGGGAATAGGTCGTGGAAGCTAGTTAAATCATAAGCCCGTTAGTTCGAAGGAGTGTAGTTAAACTCGCCTTGAAGCTCTTGCTAAACTTGAGAAGGTCCGCTTTCCGCTTATCCATGTCGGTTTTAACCATGGCTTGTTTCCGTTGAGCCAGTCTGTTCTTCTCGCTCGTGACAAACTCGAGGAAGTCGCCAAGAAGCCCTTCATTAGGAGCCTACTTCGTATCAGCAAAGGGTGGGCAGCTAGAGTGATGAGCAGCTAACCCCAGTAGCAGCAGTAGCAGCAGTAGCAGCAGGGCCGTCAGTCTTTTGACCTGTGGCAGCAGGCGCTTGTACCGGACCCGAGGTGGGAGCAGGCGTAGGAGTAGGTGTGACCTTTGTGACCGGAGTAGATGTCCCACCCGAGGCGCTGGCACCGGTGGAGGCAGCGGTTGCAGGCGGGACGGCTGCACCTGCTCCATTTCGACGCGCACCAGGGGGTACATACGCTCCAGGTGCCCGTACGACTGCAGAATATCTTCAAGTAGATGTGAGTGACTCTGTATACAAGTAAGTGAATCCACCATACTTTTCTTCCTCGCCCACTCCATTCTCCGTCCCGTTGACGTTTCGCTCCTCTGCAACGTGAGGATTGTTCGTGGTCCCCTGCGCAATATAAGGCTACACCCCCAGCTGGAGTAATACGATACACGCACCGACAGAATCTCATTGGCAATCTGCTGGGCCTTTCGTTCTCTCTCTTTGAAACCAGGAGCATTGGGATCCAACTTGGTCGTATAAATGTCCTCGTCAAAGTTGGTCTTGACGCCATACAAGCGTTCGTTGACCTCGAATTGGTCCCAAGGAACGCCACTATAAGCACCAGGAGGTCCGAATGTAGCTTCATCTCCTTGCAAGGCGGCTAGACTGGCAGCAACGTCGGTCGTGCCCTCGGGCTGTTGCCACGGCTGAAGTTCTCGCTCCCTGGGCCCATTCTGTGCACCTGTCGCCGAGATATCGACATCTGTTCTGAAACCTGTGAGAGAATAGGAGGTTGAGCAAACTGAGTTTTCGAGAATTTGATGCAAGTCTCACTGTCTCTCCCATTGCTCGGTTTTGGGGACCAGGACTGAATGTTCGAGGCTGGAACGACAAAGGATGCGCGCACGGTAGCTGAGGCATCACCAAGGTCTCGGCAATCCTTGAGAGTGACACCAGCAGCGTCGCCCTCTGAAATGATGCCGGCGACAATTCCTTCATGGCGTGCGCCGTTTTTGAGCGCAAGAATGACCGATGAGCCCTGAAGAAATAGAGAATGGAGATGAGAGGCGCTTGTCAACGTAGGATGGAACAGCAAACCTTTGCAGTCGCCAGCGTCGCCAGGAGCTTGGAGTCGTAGCCAGTCTCTCTGGGAGCTGAGCCTCCCGAGAGCGGCGAGCCCTGAGAATTCTGACGAGCCGGATTGGCGTAGTTTGAGCCACCACTTGCTCGCCATGCCTGAGGACGACCTCCGCTAAGATTGGGCGTCAGCGCGTGTCTCGCAGCGTGTGTCGCGCTCGCTCGTCGACAAAAGGAGAGGAAATACAGACCGGTTTCCTTGGATGGGAGAGTTGTTGTCGTTGAAATTCTTCTTACCCTTGGGGGGTCTGGGAGCGGCCATTTGGGTTTAAATGTCGACTAGAACAAGGTCCAGAATGAAGCAACCAGCGCAATCCTACTAGTAGAGATTATTTCAAGAAAAAGGGGGGTTATCGTTGCAGAGTAAAGTGCGCAATGGCAGTGTTGACTTTTCCACCAAACATTGCGACACTTGATTCCAGCTTCTTCGATGGCGATGGACAACAAGCCAACATTGTGGAAAAATCTACGCGCTGTAGTCATAAACTATGCAGATCTCGGCTTTACTGCGTTTGGAGGCCCCCCCGTCCACTTTCACATCCTGCACGATAGATTCGTCGACAAACTCGGTTGGATATCGGAGAAGAATGTTTGTAGCAATCTCCTTTCTTCTCTAAAATGTCGACTCAACAGTCCATCCTAGTGGCAGGAACTATTTGCTGTATCGCAAGCACTGCCTGGTAGGTAGTCCGATAACTCAAGGTCATTAGCCAACGGTATGGTTTCTAGGTCCTGCATCCACCAAGATGGCCTATGCTATCGCGCTCAACCACCTCGGGTTTATACCTGCCCTGGTCGCGTTTACTCTCTGGTCTCTACCGGGCGCGCTGGGCATGTACGGTCTTGGTCTTGGTATCAGCCGCATCAACGAAAGACTTCCGGACGCGGTCTACGCGTTAATTACAGGACTCAACTGCGCTACTGTAGGCTTGATCGCACTAGCGGGGATGCAACTCAGCATCCGCACGATCACAGATAGACTCTCGCGAGCTCTACTCATCTTTAGTGCATGCGCTGGGCTGTGCTACACGGCTCTCTGGTGGTTCCCGTTCTTGATGGGTGTCTGTGCAGCCATTGCAATCCTCTGGGACTTTTGGCTTCGAAAGGCGATTCATCGACTTTCAGTTGCATCCCAGAGAGTCCTTTCCAAGTTACGCAGAGGTCGGAGTGCAAGTGCCGAGCCCCAGCCCGAAGGCCAGGATCCAGCCTCTATAGAAATGAGAGCAGCTGACGACCAAGCTTCTGTGCGCTCCAGAAGCGGCTCAGAAGAGAGCACGCCTCCTGCATTCAAACTGGATCTCACTCCAGGTCTCACCATCATCGGCGTCTTCTTTGTCGCTTTCGCCACTCTTATGGGGCTGCGTGCCCATTTTAAGAATGTAGTAGCTCTCAAGTTCTTCAGTAACATGGTTCTTGCGGGTAAGCGGGTCTATGGACCTCCTTCTCCGGTGCAGGTGACCTGGTCTAATCACACGCGACGACAGGTACAATTATATTTGGAGGAGGACCGGTCGTGATTCCTCTGCTTCGTGAATACGTCGTACAGGAAGGGTGGGTAAGCCCCAGAGACTTCTTGCTCGGGTTGGCCATCATCCAGGCGTTTCCCGGTCCCAACTTCAATTGTGCGTGCCCTAGGATTCCTTTAAATGATTGCTGAAACACTCTGGCAGTTGCCGTGTATTTGGGTGCCTTGACTGCTTCATCTGGCCGTGTCCCGTCATACGTGGGGGCAATATTAGGATTCATCGGGATATTCCTACCGGGGCTGATGTTGACGACGGGGATGGCATCGATATGGATCCGTCTTCGTCGCCGGTACTCACAACTCGTCTCGTCTTTCCTGCGTGGCATCAATGCAGGAGCTATTGGGCTTATTTGGACAGCCGTATATCGCCTTTGGGAGGCAGGAAATTTGACGCAATCTACAGAGTCCGCTCGTAGTCTTGGAGCTGACCCGTGGTGGCTGGTGATTACTTCTTTGGCGTTCTCAGCGAATGCGTGGTACAAGGTACCTGCCCCGGTTTGTATTGTTCTCGGCGGAGCTCTAGGGCTCGCGTGGTGGGGTGTTCGTTAGTGTATTGTCCCGGGCGGTGTTCTAGGACCCGCCCGTGGTCTGGGGGGTTCGATTTGGTACAACCCTGTACGCTACTCTCACGTCAAAGAAGAAATCAAGGTTGACAGCTGTTTTGAGGGGCATCCAGGTGGTGGCAGGTTCCCGGACGGCTTGAGAGTTAGCCGTGAGTAAACACTCATGTCTGCCGATCGAGGAAACGTGGTTTTACGGACGAATCTGGGAGAGATAACTCTGGAATTGTATGATGACCATGCTCCGCGGACATGCAAAAACTTTCGCGAGCTTGCAAAGCGCGGATACTACCGAAATGTGCTATGGCATCGCATTATACCCGACATGATGTGCCAGTCGGGTGATCCTACAGGATCTGGGAGGGGAGGGACTAGCATCTATGGACCATACTTGTACGTGCAAATAGTGGACACGCTCTCGCCAAGGGCATCGCCTGCCCAGTGACACTGACTGAAACGACGCTAGTGATGACGAAATCCACCCAGAGTTGCGGTTTGTAGGCGCGGGTATCCTAGCAATGGCCAACGCAGGCCCGAACACGAATAGTAAGTTTGATCGGCGGGGACGTTTATTCGACGCCAGAACCCTGTATAGTTCGCGAGAAACCGGAACGACTGACGTTTTTGTTTTGGTCGCTAGGCAGTCAATTCTTCATTACGCTTGCGCCGACGCCATACTTGGACGGCAAGAACACTATCTTTGGCCGCGTGAGCAATGGACTATCCGTCGTACGACGTCTGGGATCAGTCGCAACTGATTCACAAGACCGGTGAGTAACCATGGGCAGTTGCACCGCTGGCTGGGAGCACGTTCTGACGGTTGTGGGGGAATTCACTTCGCAGGCCCAAAGAGGATGTCAAGATATATGAAGCACTAGTGATCGATGAACCTTAATGGTGCTGGGCCCATTGGCGCCGCGGAGAGGAGGGTGTCTGGTGTGATAACCTCCGGCTACAACCGTCGAGTAGCCGGGCGAGACGTCGTCGGACAATCACTGGCATCGTAGGCAGATGTGGAGGTACCCCGCAATGGAGAACGCGATGGAACGCAATCCTGTTCGTTGTCGCCACTGTCAATATAACTCGCCAAGGGGCCATCTGTCGACAGGAGCCACATGGACAGGCAGTGCACTGAGACGAACAACTGAGCGGTTCCTAGACTTCGTTGCTTCATATCCCAGGGCTTGTTGCCCCCGGAACTCCGCGAGACGGGGCTCAGAGGCACGATTGGCGGCGTATTAATACTAGAGCGCGGGGTAGATAAAGCCGCTTCGTAAAACTTTGGACTAACTTTTTCATCACCCCGTATTTTATTTACTTGTCCGAGTATTCCTGGCTGTCCATGTTCCGACAACACCACCACCATCACATCTTGGTCCCCGCGTCCATCGCCCTGGATCCCTACAACCCGTTTAACAGCCCACACAGCGCCAGCAGCGTTGACCCGGAAGTAATGTATTATCAGGACCATTCTCAGCACGTTGGTCTTCCATTTCCTCAGGCCCACCAGGCCCCGCTCGTCCTCGCAGACTATCAGCACAACCCGCTCGACGACACTCCATCGTCCATGGATGATCATGTCTCTCCAGCAATCCACAACGAGAATGGAAAACGTGTATCCTACTCCACTCCTGCTGGCCCCAGTCGCAAGCGCGTTCGCAAAGAGTCCGATCTCGACGGCGACGGCTCTGCAGGTGCAAACAGTCCCCAGGACGTGTTCGATCCAAAAGAGGGCAAGCCAAAGGCGACCAGAGGTGCACGGTACGCTCTTTCCCCACATCCTCTTAGCTGTGCCGCTGCGGTACCGCCGAGAATTCGCACCATGTCGCTCATACACCATTTTTCAGGGCATGCACAGTCTGTAGACGCCTCAAGATGAAATGTGTAACTCTACCAGAGCTCAAAGACGGGCCTTGCAAGCGCTGCCAAGCAGGAGGTCACGAATGTATTTTTGAAGAATCTAACAGAGGCAAAAGATCATCCAAGTGAGTGACCAATCCTTACTCATCCATCTGTAATACGTTTCCACGACACGTCGTCATTTTTGCCGTAGCCGGTGAGAATAATCATGAGCTGACACCCTCGTGCCCAGGAAACACGAGCAGTTGACGAAATCGCTGCGGAAAATGGAACGTACACTCGACACAGTACTGCGTTCGATATCAAACCCCGCTCTCACCAGTCTCGCTGGCGGTATGGTCTCTCAGTCGCCTTCACCACCACCAGATGGTGGTTCCAGTGCGCCAGATGTGGCGGCAAGTCCAGATAGACCAGATTTTCATCAGGATGGTGGCATGCAACCTATACCAAATCCAGCAACTTATGGCGCAGCGGTGGCACCTGTCGGTGGATCTCCTCGCCTCCATTCACTTCCAGATAATGTTTTGAACCCTCTCGGTCTGCTTGCCGAGGCGTCGTCGTCTCTACGGCGCGGAAAACCCGGCTCTGCAAACTCTCCCGCTTCTGCCGGCCCACAAAAGGGCCAAATGTCTGCCTCTGCGCTCGACAATCCAAAGGTTGGCGTTGCCAACCTTGGTGTATATTTCAAACCTGGCCCAATGACGATTCTTCCCCTGCGTCAGCTAATTATCGAGCATCAGGTCCAGGTACGCAACCCAGTTTCAGAGTTTCACAATACTCATGTTATTGTAGCCTGAAATGCTTTCCTTTGTTTCACCTGATGTTGTTGTTGAATTATTCAGAATGTAAGGCCTTCCTCTTACGTGTCGTTCCATCTCACGACTTTGCAGTTACTTTGAACATATGAATGTAGGTATCCATATGGTGTACCATGATGTCTGCTGATTATCGTTTAGCCTCACAATAGCTTGTTGGATGTCAATTTCCACACGCCAGCCCTCATCTGCGCACGATCTCCATTCTTATTGACAACAAGTACGCACACTCGCTTGGCTTTGAACGTACTCTAATGTCGTCTAGTCTGTGCCATTAGTTCAAAGTTCTACACTGCCGATGAGGAACTGCACCCAAAATTAACCAAGCTGGTAAACAAGCTCGCCTGGTCCGTTCCGGAGCGTGGCTACAAGAGTGTCGAGATTGTTCAAGCATACCTCCTTCTCTCTCTCTGGGGTAGCCCCGTCGAGCGCTATGAGCACGATAGGACCTGGATGCTGCTCGGGATGGCTATCCGAATGGCGACCGACCTCAACCTGCACCGCAAGAATACCCGCATCAAGACGGATACCCCAGAGGGACGCGCTCGCGAAGTTGAGATCCGAAATAGGGAGCGTACCTGGCTCCTATGCTTTGTCCTCGATCGAAGTTTCAGTGCCCAGATGGGCAAACCTAATGTGATAAAAGAAGAGTGAGTCCTATCCTCGACCTCGTCACGCTCTGCTAACTTCTTTCAGCTATATTATTCGTGACGCCTCCCAATGGTGCCGTCAACCAGACGCACTTCCCCAAGACGTCGGCCTTGTCGCATACGTTGTACGTATCGTCCATACCTCTCAGGCTGGGAACTAAAGCGAAGTAGGAACTGCAACGTGTTGTATCTCGTGGTCTCGATCTGCTATATTCTGGGACGGCCACCCTCTCAGGCTTGCAGACGACGTGCGACTATCTGCAAATCATTCGTGCTATCGAATCCCAAATCGAGGCATTGCATAATCAATGGTACCCATCAATTCAAAAGGCAGATACCCACACCGCGTACCGACTGGGTATCGCTAGATTTTATTGGCATTACGCAACCCTCGTGCTCAATTCTTTTGGACTTCAAAATGCCCTTGAGCGATCCTCGGTCGACATTGGTTATTTCTTTGGTCGATGCTACACCTCGGCCACTGCGTGCTGTTACATTATGAAGGATGAGCTCGCACCCGCCGGTTTCTTGCGGTACTGTACCGACTCGCATTTTGTGCTCACATCCTACGCCGTTTTGAGCCTGTTGAAGGTATGTGTTCATCTTGTGCCCATGAAAGGTTTCTTACAACGGCACAGCTCGTTCGACCCGAATTTCGTAGCTATATGGATAACGAATCCAAGATTCTGACCCTCGTTGGAGAAATGGCCGACACTCTTCAAACCGTTGCAGTCAACAAGTACCATACGCCTTATTTGTATAGCGTGTTTCTTCGCGCACTCCTTGCATCCAAAGTTGAAGGCAGTCAACCCAACTCTCCACGACCTATGGCAACACCGGGTCCCGTCATTTCCGCTAACGACCCCGCGATGCAGACCTCCGGAATGCATTTCGCTCCCGGCCCAGAGTCACCCACACGCAATGGGTTTTCCAATAGTGGCGATCTCTTTGGGCTCGACATGTATCGCTCACTTGGCGAAAACTATGGAGACACTTCCAATTTTGTCAATCCATTCGACATGTCGACTGCCCAACCCATGAACATGGACATTTCATCTGCGTATAACGCATCTGTTCCTGCACCTAGCGCGGATCCGTATGCACCAATGTCGCTCGACTCATTGCTCAGCTCTGGATTCTGGGATTCGATGCTCGTTCCTGGTGAGCTACTTTCTCAAATCTTTCCCAAACTTTTGACTCAATTGTGTCTAGGTTTCTCGAATACCCTAGAAGGAATGAGTGGCGGGTTTATCTATGGGCCCGGAGGCAGTGGGTTTATCTCGCGGTGGCATTCGCCCGCCAGTTCTCGCCGTCAGACACCAAAGGCGGACAACCGGTCGTTGCCTGGAATGACACCGCTCGAGGTCAGCTAGAGGGGGTTCTTTTATGCCTTTGGCCGGCCAAGGCTTTTCTGTCACTACTACCGATTCACAGACAATAATCTCTCCAAATGTGTACATATCGCTATCCTTTTATCACAATGACTCACAAATCACTCTCATGTGCATAGAGTGTCCACAAGGTCTGTCAATTGGAGCGCCTACAGTCCAGACCAATCTATAAAACGAGCAACGAAGAGAGCGTCGCCTGAGCCTGAACAACCTCCAACGCCTGTTGAACCTCCAAACGCCGTCTCGCAGCCGCGAGCCAATCCGCCAACAACTCTTTCGCCGGACCTTGAAGCTGGTTGAGCTCACGAGTGGCACTGTCGAGATCCTTTTCGTTTAGGTAATACTCTGCCCGCGCCATCCTACTCAGGGCGTCGTCACCCTCGACTAATCCCGTCCGTCTAAAGCGGAAGCTCGAGATGAGACTCGAAGCGAGATGAATGAGGACGCCTCCGCCGTATTCGGGGACGAGGGATACCGAGTTGACGCGAGGGGCGACGCTGGTCGTGAACCAGGCGGTCAAATCTGCAAGGGGCTCTAGCCCGACATCTGGAGCATCCGATTTTTCCAAGGATTCAAGAGCAGCAACCATGGCATCGTCAGCGGTTCCAGCGGCACTGGCAACGCTCTTGAGAACGTGCAACTCGTCACGGAATGGCTTGCGAGTAGGAGAGTCGACGGTAGCGTTGGTCAGAGCACGAAGGGCAGACCACACGGCATGCAGCCGTAGATTCTCATCGAGATAGTTTGCATTGTCCAGTGTCAGGCGCTCCAACTTTTTCAAGCCGGTCGCCACTTCCTCGAGTTTGGCTAGTCGACCCCCTCGCTCCTCCTCGACGTGAAGCTGGACGTCGCGAATCCATCTACGTTGCAGTTCAATGCCTTGGGCGATGACCTCTTCTTTGAGACTAACAAAGTTGAGCAACAAGTGATGAACAATAACAAGAGACATACCGGGCATTGATAAGCGCCTTCTGCGCCTCAAGCTCGCTATCAAGCTTCTCTTGGTACTTCTGGAGGAGCGAAAGACGTTCTTGCTCAAAGTACTTGCGCCATTCCTCGTCTTGTGAATCCAGTTTGTCCTGGGCGCTGAGTTCGGCCTCAAGAAGCTTGAGTGAGTACTCCTTTTTCTGCTTTTCTAGATGTGCTTCCAGCTGTTCCTTTGATTCCTTTTGAATCGTCTCGATTTTCTGGCCCAAATGAGCAATGTCGTCCTTGGCAACTTCAAGTATCTTGTTCACGCTCCTCTCTGCCTTTGGATTCTCCTCGAGGTATTTGGCAAGATTGTCAACCGTTCCTGCCAATTCGCTCAAGAGCGGCTCCGAAGCAGTAAATTCTGCAACAGATGGAGCGACGAGGATCAAGCCAGCAGTCGACTTTGGCACCTTTCTTGGAGGTTTGATTGCGTATCCTGGAGGTGGCTCAAAGCCGAGTGGGAGCGGCGGGCCTTCGTACCACTGCTTGCCCTTGGGCGGTTCCGGTGGGGGCTCCATCTCTACCTGAGGAGCGGCAGGGGGATGCGGTTCTTCCTCCTTAGCGGCTGGCTTGGCCGGTTCAGGCGCCGGAGGAGGGAAGACGATTGGGTCTCCCTTGAGCACGCCCTTGACCTCTGCTACAAGGTCCTCTACACCGGGCGAGTAATGAGCAGGAGGAAGTGGTGCAGGCAGAGTTCGTGATATATGCGTCGGTGGCAATTCTCGTGGTTCTCCTTTTTCCGTATGGGTACCTAGCTGCGCTGCGACATTCTTAATACGCTCCTTTTTCTCCTTGACACGCTCCTCGACCCTAGACTTGAATGCTTCGACCTTTTCATGTTTCTTTGGAGGCTCTGGACGAGGCTCTGAAGGTGACGAAGGGGTTGGACGCTGCCGTCGGGGCGAGACTGCTTGGGTTGGAGCCGCACGAGGCAGACCGCCTACGAAGCCCTGTGACTCTGCAAAGTCGACAATCTCTTCCCCAAATGGTACATGCTCGGTGAACCAGTCGTGCGCTCGCTCGTCATTGACGGCTGCAGCCGTGCCCACAGCGTAGCCCATCAGGACCAACAGGGTGGAATAAACCAAAGTTGTTCGAATAAATCTACGCTTCTTCTTTGGTTTAACCTCTGGCGCAGCCGTCTTGGCGGCGTTCCAGCTCGTCGGACTGTTTGAAAGATACTTGCAGATGTTGTGAGCGGCCTCGCAGATATGCAACTGAGTCGACCTACTTTAACATGGGTCACTCGAATTCTTCCCGCATTTCTAACGGATATCCGGCACGCCTGCGCCACGAGTGGTCGACGCAGTCCGCTCATGGTCGTAGTCGAAGTTGGAAATCAGATGTCGAAATGCAAACTCACCACTCGGGTGTTGAAATAAAGCACCAATTCTTCTAAAAATGATATTGCCGATACCAAAGGACCGTCAAAGGGTACGAAATTCCGTGCATTCGATAAAGTTACTCAAAAGGAGAAGAGAGATGCAAAATGCGTACTTGTTTCAAGACTACAGTTACTATTACTCGTAGAAGCAAAGTGGTGGAGTTTTAAATACTCGTCCAAAATAACAGGGTGTCGTAGCACAACGTAGGGTCGTAGGGTCGTAAGGTCGTAAAGCGTGATAAAAAGCCGTCGGGTATCCTCCATGAATAAGATAGTCTATGAGGGAAACGCGATTCGACGCGTTGCAATCTCCGTCGCACCGCGTACGAGCTTTTCTACGACGAACCAGACCGCACCGACCGCATCGACAGGAGGAGCTGCTGCAGTAGCACCGAAACCTTCACCGGCACCACCCGTGAGGGCATTGAAGCTCGACCACAGCGCTCGGTCGGCGTACGTCGGTGCACCAGGGGCAACAACACGGGTGATTTCCCCTCCAGATCCGACCCAGAGCAAAAATGCAGACCATGCACCAAAGGCGATGACCCACTTTCCTGTCGAGATGGCTCCGGTACCAGAGCTGGCTCCAACACCCTCTCGCTGCGCAGAGGCAGAGGTGCTCGCACCCTCGCCGCCTAGGATGTACGTGTTGTATATGTTGTAGAAGCGACGTTTGCCTCCTTCAACGTAGCGCCTTGCGCTTTCTTTCTTGATGGGAGAAAAGGTAAAGCCAGGTGTCCGCGAACCAGTGCCCTGCTTATCGGATTGCTCAATGATCTCCTCAATGATGGGGCATTTGATTCCAAGCTCTCGCTTGAGCGCATGCCAATCATCAACCGCTTCCCTGGAGATGCCTCCGGGTAAAGGACCAAGGACCTTGACACCATGCCACTTGCGGAGGATCGACATGGTCTCCTCGCCAGATTGCTCGAGTTCAGACAGGTGGTACGACGGAGGGTCTTCAAGGGGCAGCTGTAACAGACGTGATCGAGGTGACGCAGCCTCAACCTTGACAACTGGTTTGACATCCTTTTCCTCGCCGCTCTTGAAGAGCTCCTCGTCATATTGGGTGCTGGCATCCACAAGGACACTCTCTTGAACACGTTTACCCTTGCCAACGATTTTCTTCTCGAGTCAGACGATGCGTTTTGCAATACACGAGGCACTCACCCTTTTGCGAGTAATAATTGTCTGAAACACGTCTTCTTCTCCATCGGCGTTTTCAATCTTTTCCTCAACTGTCTCCTCCACAGTTGTGTCCGACTCTTCACCCTCGTCTGGAGTCTCCTCTGTTGGATTCAGACGTCTGAGAAGCTCTGAACCCAATGAGCGACTCATGGTTGGCATTGCGCTACCAGGTGCTGATGAACCGCCCTTTGTCGAATCATTGGCATGTGCAGTTCGAAGATCATCGAGGTCATAACGAAGGCGATCGATTGTCTCTTTGAGAACCATATTCTCCTGCTTTTGTTGCAAATACTCGGCATGAACCTCGTTGGCTTTGGCTAGCTCAATTTGGAGTTGCTTCACTTGTTCTTCAGCGATTTCATGCTCTGCTCGTGCCTAAAATCATGTAAATCGACTGTGATCAGCATAGGCATTCCGACAGACCTTTTCGCACTCGTGCTCAACCGTGTCTATCCTATGCTCGAGTTCACGAATCTCACCCTCTCGTGCGCGAACCGTGACTTTGTGCTTGTCCAACTCGGCTGTTTGTTCAGCGTGCTGCTTGGAAAGGGTTTGATGTTGGGAACGAGCGACGTCTAGATTGCGCTGTAGTTTATTGAGCTCTGCTTCCAAACCGTTGATTTGGGAGACATAGTGGCGCTGCAAAAATGTGAATACGGAGGTGGTTTGTTCTGCTAGCTGAACTCGCCTCTTTGACGCGCCATTCCTTTTCGTCTTTTCTAAGGATAGAGATGGTCTCACGTGTGTTCTCCAGCTGCTTTTGTATGTCATCAATATCCGCCTCTCTGGCCAGAAGCTGTTCCTGGAGATTGCGTTCCGTATCGGCTGCACGTCGAGTAATCTCCGCCAATGCCTTCTGAAGGGCCTCTCGCTGGTCTTCCGAGTCTCCTACCGACGACGTAAATGAGATGAGAGAGAGTCGTGGGTCGGGCACGAGATGAGCCTCGTCGTCTCCTTCCTGACCATCTCCCTCTTGATCATCATCGTCACCCATCCCTGGAATAGGGATAGAGTTCTTTCGCGGTGGCGAGTATTGAACCAGCATTGCGTCGGGAGACTCGGAACGATGCGAGGACGAGCCACCTTTGCCCAGAGACGAGTGCGAGCGACTATGAGGGCGACTGTAGCGATCCATGCCACTAGAGCCTTGGCGAGAGGGTGGACGGAACATCATGCCACTTTGCTGGAAGCTCGAGCTAGGTGAGACTGGATTCGATGTTCGCCGTCGTCCACTGTTGTGGCCATATCCATACGATGACTAAAAAGTCATGAGTATTGCGTGCGATGTAAGGGTGTGGTAATGCTCACTTCATTATCACTTCCACCATAATTGCTACCGGCGTCGCTCCTTCGACGTCTAGATGCTGGGACGGGGCGCTTGCCACCCCAACTAGACGGAGGTTCTACAGGTGCGGTCCTCTGCCTCGCGCGAGCATCGAAACCTGAAGGGACAGCACGTCGCCCAAAGTGTTGGGTTTCATCAGGGTCGTCGTAATGGTTGAGCTCAAGCGAGTCGCTGCTTGAGGACCGAGAACCTCCCGACTCATTCCTTCCATAGGTACGACCACGATCCCCAAGAATATAGGCCTCGTTGGTAGGAGATGCCTTTCGAGGGACGCTCGGCAAGCGGTTCTCGGGTGGCATGTTTGCTGTAAGTTGGGCGACAAACTCGAGCAAGTTAGAAGGACTAAGTTCGAGTTCGGGATGTGTGGTCTTGATAGCCTCGAGAGACTCCTCGTCCTGCTTGTTGAACGGGGGCATGTTCGCCTGCTCGAATAAGATCTTGAGAACCTCCCGAACGCCAGCGACGGGAAGTACAAGTTGCCCATCTGGTCTTTTCTTGACCGTGGGCTGGCTTTTGAATATCTCCTCGAGCTGCTCGATCAACCCCGCGAGCGACTCGCGGTTTCTGCCATAGTGTTGGTCAGACTGCGGCATATGGTTAGCTTCCTGGTTCCAACAAACGTTATAATTCTTTTAAACACACCATAATTACGAGTTTTGGCGAGACGGGACAGCGTCGAGGGAAGAGTGAGCGACACGACAGCCAACTGGCTCTTGCAACCCAAGTTGTGGTAACGTTTGCGCGGCAAGGCTACTGAAAACGCGTAGAATGTCGTCTGCGAGTGAGATTCAAGTTGTGGTCGAATGCACTGATAGCCACTGGAAAACGTGGAGACGGTTCAACCTGCGCTACTCCGCGTTGCTGCATGAGCTTGCGCTATTTTATTCTCCAAAATTCATTAACAAATCTAAGGATACACAGAATACTATTCAGACCACAGATTGCGCGGAAAATGGCGTCCATCGCATGCGAACCGCAGAGAGCCACCGAGCTTGCGGAATCTCTGGCAGAGGTCAGACAACTCGTCAAAAATGCGAGCGAACGTCGCTCAGAGCAACAATCTTTTCCTACTCTGGTCGCAGTTTCAAAGATAAAGCCAGCCTCGGATGTCATGGGCTGCTACGATGCTGGCCATAGGGATTTTGGCGAAAACTATGTCAATGAACTCGTAGAAAAGGCTGAAATTGTGTGTTTGCTCGTAATACCAGGCCGTCATACTGATCATTGCTTTGCAGCTTCCTAGAGACATTCGTTGGCATTTCATTGGCACACTCCAATCCAACAAGGCCAAACTCCTTGCTCGTACGACCTTAAATCGTAATATAGGACGCATTACTGACTGCTGTAGATGTCCCAAACCTCTACGTCGTTCAAACGCTCACATCTGCAAAGGCGGCCACAGCGTTGGATCGTAATCTACCAGAGACCAGAGAAACACCACTCAATGTCATGCTACAAGTCAATACGTCGGGTGAGCAATCCAAGTCGGGACTTGCTCCGCTCGACGTCGACGAAGGCGGCGAACACGAGCCATCTGCATCTCTTGAGGTAGTCGATCTTGCATCCCATATTCTCTCATCATGCAAGCGGCTACATCTCCTGGGAGTTATGACGATTGGCTCTTTCGAGGCCTCGATGGACGACTCGCACCCGAACCCAGATTTCGAAACCCTGAGGAAGACGCGAGACGTACTCACAGAGAAGCTCAAGGAAAAGTATCCCGAGGCACAATGGGGCCAAGATGGAAGGCTGTTATTGAGTATGGGCATGTCGTCGGACTTTCAGGCTGCCATTTTGGCGGGGAGTGATATTGTACGCGTCGGGACGAGTATATTTGGGCAGAGACCAAAGAAAGAAGTGTAATATATCTGTCCATAGACGACTGGTCAAATGTGGAGCACCTCGTTGACCACCACGAGCACTATGGCAGATTCATCGGCTGCTGCAAACAAGGAAGTAAAGATGGATGCAGACAAGGAAAAGAAGTCGGAAGAGCCCCAGCAGCCTCAACTGGGCGTTCTCGAAGAGGACGATGAATTCGAAGAGTTTGCCGTCCAAGGTGAGCCACCGAACGCGCGTCGTCGTGCAAAACGCGTGTGCTTGGGAATATCTGGCTGAAGAGAGCTATGCTACAGAGTGGAAAGACGAAGAAACCGATGTCGCAAAGTATCTGGAACAATCGGGTGCAGCAGGCGGTGGAGGAGCCTCGTCACATTTGTGGGAGGATACATGGGACGACGATGATGTTGAAGAGGATTTCAGTGTACAGCTAAGGTATATCCAGTATTGGTCTTGTCACGCTCAAATCTGACGAGCCCATAGAGAAGAGTTGGCAAAGGCGACAAAGTCCGGCGATACTGAGATGCAGACATAGTTCCTCAATTAATATGAACTAATATCCTGCATAGAACCATACTGCATACACGAAAGCGGCCGGATCCACGCGGTGTTTTGAGAGCCTCTTCCTCAGCCATTGGCACTAATCCAGGACGTTCCATACCCTGCCCAGACAGCGCCCACTCCTTGCCAACACGTACAACTGGCATCTTCTGTCTTGCCGCATTGGTCCTCGGTCATGCATGGTGACTTGAGCAGTGTCGGTGTGAGCGTATCCTCTGTATGACCGAGACCGAGATTGCCATGTTCGTTCCAACCCCAGCCCCAGAGCTCAGTTATGCCACTTGGACAGCAGAAATCAGCTAAAGGCGTCAATACGGTTCACCTACTTACCTAGTCTCTCGCTGTGCACGAACCAGGACATGCTCACTTCCACATACTAGTTGCCTGATCTCGAGAAAGGGTGGAAGATAGACGTGACCTGCGGTCTCTTTATCTTCTCCACGCCCTGCTTGACCGTGTGCACTCTTGCCGTACGACGTGATGATAACCTCGCTCGCAGATACCCCACGCTGTACAAACGTGTTGTTCCATGTGCAGCCGATGCGTATTATCGACGAAAAGTCCATGGTGCCGGGCAGCTGCGACTTGCCGTCCGAACCGAGCTGAAGCAGTTCACCGTCACTCGTCAAAACAATCGCATGCTGGGATCCGACGGAGATATCGACCACCGACGTTGGGCGTGTCCAGGTCGTGATGCGCAGAGGGAGCGCAACCTGGCGCGGTCCACGACGCGAAGAGGTATTGTGGTTGTGTATCTCGAGCTGTCCATGTCGTGCAGCGCCCCATCCAACGAGCATTTGCATGAGTCCGACGGGCGTATCGTATTCGAGCACGGCAAATGCGTTTCGCGGGCCGGTGGCGAGATGCACCACGCGTAGTGTAGGCACTTTGTGAGAAAAGAGGTGGCTGAGAGCCACGATGCCGACGTGATGGGACAACGACGACGAAGAGTGCGTCACGTCGCCCGTTCCATGGAGCCCAAAGTCGTTTGAGCCAAAGACGAGGATCTGATCGACTTTGGATCCCCTTTGTACGACGAAAGACGTCTCCCAAGCAGCCTGGATTGAGATGATGTCGTCTATCAAATTTGTCTCTCCGAGCTGGATGGGCCTAAAGACAGTAGAAGACGATAACCCTGGTCCAAGTTGGCCCATTGAACCATCTCCAACTCCCCAGAGAGCTGGTTTTGACCCATTTTTCGCGACGAGAACGAGCGAATGGTTTGCTCCACACGCCACTTTGCTAACCATTGCCCCCGGCACCGTCTCCTGCTCCTTTTCATCAACGCTGAACCGTGCGAGACGAAAGGAATGGCTGTCTTCGTCGTCTCCCGACGCTAGTTGACCCCGAGCATTCGAGCCAGCTGCCCAGAGTTTGCACGTCGACATCGTGGCGGTCGAAAAGGCTCTGAAGCCACAAACAATAATCCACGGAACACTCATATATTTCAAAATCAAAGAAGAGTAAACGGCGCTCTAGAATGGCCACTGATACACGAAATTGATAATCGTCGCACCAGCGAGGATTATGCAGAGCGCCGTCGGTCCGTATGGGTCATAGTACCGCGCGTCGCTAGAACGTGCCCTCAAGCTCTGTGTCCGATGATAAAACATACCAGCCGCATATGCAATCGAAGCCAAGGCTGAGAAAGTAAACGCCCCAGCGCAGATCAATCCAACGCGATCCCCAGGCTTGGAGAAATTGAGGAGAGCGGTGGCGACAGTCCCAATGAGAACAGCGAAATGTAGCCATTTCTGTAGAATTATAAGTGCTTCAAAACATCTCAATGATGGTATACTCACCAAGAATGTCCTTTCCTGCGCAAAGAACACCTTGGGTTCGACACGGACGGGGACAGCGATACGTTTGCCCGGCTGTGCTACAAACTCGCGAATATAGGCCACTGTATCTCCTTCTTCATCCACGGTAGCTCCATTCGTCTCTGCTTCTTCTTCTTCTTGTTGCCTACGTTTTGCAGTACCCTTGAGTTTCTTCTGTAGCGACTTGTCGAATTCACTTGCAGGCGCAAGAGGGTTAATGGACAGTGTTTGAATCGGTTGTTGCGCATTTGAATTGCGTCTTTTCTTGAGGAATGGTTGGCGCTCATCAGCATCCTCTTCCTCTGCTTGTTGTCTCTGCTTGACTCGAGCTTCTAATTCAGCTTCTTGTCGCCTAAGCTCCTTTTCACGATAGGCAATCGCCTCCAATGCCTCGCTCAAAGGTACCCTAGCGGAGCCGACCTCGTTCATCGCGACACCAACCGCCATGTCTTCGTCCTCTTCTCCTTCTGACACAGGCTCGGTGTAGATATCCATATGGTGGGGACTGGGTAAACGATTGGGCGTAGATGTCGAATCGGTATTCTGATTCGAGAGGTTCGGTGTTGGGCGGTCAATAGTGACGTTGCCAGTGTCGGGTTTACGAATGTCAATATCCACTACGGCGCGTCAGCGATGTAAAAACACACAGACAGTGAACAGACTCTGTGGCAGCCAAAATGGAACCAAGTCAACGCGATGAGGGAGCAAGGTCGCACAACCATGAATGAATTTACTGCACAAGTAGTTAGATACTCAACCCAGAACTCCTTGAATTTATGACGCACCTAAACTTGGGGATACTCTCCACGAGATGACTCGAAACCAGCTCGCGAACCCATAGCGGCGGCTCCTGACCAAACTGAGTCTGAAGTTTGACTTCAAGCACGCCGTAACTGTGGGTATGTTAGATGATATGAGACATCAAGATATACCTTACGGGAAGAGCTCTCTATCTTCAGCGCGTAGTTGGTTAAACGGATGATCAATGCCGATATCCATGCGACGCCAGTTCGAGCCGGATCGAATATCTCCGTCCCAATTATCTTCACGAACCATAGTCAACTCGGTGTCCAGAGAGATACGAACACGAGCATCCCCTGGAAGTTGGAACGCGGTTCTATTGTAAAACGTTCTCATAACTGGTGAAGATATCAGAGGTGTACAATCACGGCCTAGTACTGACCTGGTTGCAACTTTCTTGTAATGATTGCGTATTGTACCTCTTGAGCAAGTTGGATCATCGAGTCGACTTCTGCACGAGTCTTCTTTCCCTTCTCGAACAACGCCTCAAACTCGGCATCCATGGTGTACTCTCCTCGAATGAACGCATTGACTTTGTCCTCCTTGATAGGGAACCGTGCCTTGACGGATTTCTCTCCGGTCCAGTCTTCTCTGTGAGTCTTGCGCTCGACGAAAATAGTCTTCACGTTCATATCCCCGTACCATCGTAAACGGATGGCTTCAGCACCTTCGGTCTTCTCCACCCGTCCCAAATACAGCTCCAGGTCCTCGTTGTCAAAGTAAATGGATGTAATCGCCGAGTCTGCCGGTTCAAATTCTTTGTTGGGGTTGAAAACTACGGGACAATTAGCAAGTATTTAGCTTGATCAAGGAAGTCTAAACCTAATACCGGAAGATGACGCAGGATCTGGAGCTTGAGATGGACCAAGTTGTCTGGATGGACCCAGTACTTGGTCGTCTGGCGAACGAAAGCACTCTGTGCTCCTCCTGCAGACGAGTCTCCTTGCACAGGATGACCACGTGTCCTGACAAGGTCATACAAGCGAGAAAGTTTGACGATGAGGGCATCCCAATTGTACTTGTAAAACGGACGCTTCTCCAGGTAATCGCGAACAAAGGTTGCTTTCAGGGAGAGACCAGTACGTTTCTAGTGAATGTTAGGAAGCGTCCACCAGTAGGCCGGCCACGAACATCATGTTTCTGGGCAGGATTCAGTAAATGCGCTGTGCGAATACAAACTCGCGTACCTTGACAATTTTCACAAACCCGGTAAAGTTGAGTTTGGTGTACAGTGCCAAGTCGTGTACGTCTGCGACCAGAATCGCAACCGTTTCCTATCGAAAGCTTCAGCCATCGGACTCGGATCATCGGAGTTAGACAAGGCACCTCTAGCTCGCTCCATTTCTCTTCCAGTGCATCAGCACTATGTAAATCACTGTCTCCATCGTCGTCCGAGCCTTCGTCCATGGCGCGGGCATCCCGTTCGATGTCACGGTTGTTGGGATCAGAGGGATGATCTTCTTCGTTCTCATCCTCGGGATATCCCTCTACAAGCTGCTTGACCTCGTTTTCTGCCTGACGGATGCGTGCTGCAAGCTCGGCCACCTCGTAATCAATGTTAGCAGCGCAGGAAAGCAAGTACAGGGATGTAGAGGCTACCTTTGAAGCCTGGAAGCTCTGAATCTTTTCAAGTTCCCCCTCGAGGAGTTGGATAAAGCCCTGTTCGCGGTCTTGGGTCCATGTCCCACGGCTGTTTCCCTCTTTGAGATATTTCTTGAGCTTTGCGTAGTCGATGTAGTGTTCTCTCCACTCGTTGTAGACGTCGGTCTTGATTTTGCGACCGAATTTCATGACGGGGTCAAGGCAGAGTTCAAAAACCGACGCACGTTCCTCCGACGTAACTGACCCTTTGGCTTATCGTTCGCTGTCTGATCAGAATTCTCGTTACGACATGGCGACGTAAACACATACGTTTGACGAGACTTTCAACAATCAACTCGTCTTTGATGGTTTAGACAACAGAAACAAGAAATACTCTTAGAGTCAGGCGGCGCTCGCTTCATCGGCTCTAAAGGTGGCGCATCACGAGCACCAATCAATTCGCAAACAAAAGCTAATCGTCGACACTGGAATCAGAGCCAGAATGCCTTCGGTATAACCCACGCGCGTGATCCAAAGACTGGCTTCGGTGGCTTGTTCGTATTTGAAGTGGGCAACGGCGCATCCTCCGCTGTTGGTGTCTCTTGCGCCCAAATCTCCTCCACGATAGATGTAAACCTCGTCTCAAACTCGAGAATCGCATCCTGCAGTCTCTTTCCTTCCTCTGAGTGCTCGGTCGAGAACAAACGCAAGTGCGGTAACAACTTGCCAGCTTCGGCTGCACTCTGTGAGATAAGGGCGTATGGCACTCCTCGAAATCACTCACTTTGCAGGTTCGTCAGACGAGTCGACAGCTTTCCCCAGGAGGTCAGAATATAACTCTCTTCCTCTACCGTCCCTCTCCTTCCAGCCGCGTTCTTCATATCCAGCTTACGCTTCGAACGGGATGTTCTCCTATCAAGAATGAACTTGAGCCTGACATAATCTGACCATGACCCACTTTGTAGCCCGCGAGGTGTTGGTTTGGGCGACTGTATAGCGAGTAAAGGTTGTAAACGGTGTAGAGACATCCGTCGTCACATCGACATTGTGTAAAGTCGTATCTTCCACTCCAAAGAAAGTATCTATCTCTAGTCAGTCCCTCGTCGCATAAATACTTTTGGCAGTGCTTGCCTGGATTCTGCTGCTTCGCCTCTCGAAGTTCCTTGATACGATTATATTGCTTCTGAAGCTGAGCATCCATCTCTTCCAGCTCGTCCGAAAACTGAGAACATAGATCCAATGCCCCTGGATGGACAATGTTTACGTCAAGCTCAGGCTTGGACGATTTTGCCACCTAGAGTCTCGTTGAACAACTCGCATCCGGTTAGAAATCATACCCACCAATCTGAGTGCATCTCCAAGTTCGTTTCCATATGTATACGCGCGGACAGCTTCCTCCACATCTTCTGCGTACTCTGCGTAGACAATGGCGGCGTCTGCCCACCGTTTTCGACTACATAGATCCTCTGGAGATGCATAAGTACGGGAGATATTGCAAGGAATGAGCAAGCTGACCAGCCACCCGGTAAGCTATTTCCTGAAGCTTCGAAGCATCCTTGTGGTGCTGTAGCGCCAAGTTGAAGAGTCGCCGCCAATCATGGGCCTTTTCGTACGCAAGCATGGCCTTGGAAGGCTTCTTTGCAATCTCAAATGCTAGCTCCCCGTCAGTCTCGTGAGGAAGCAATGAGCCGACGAAAACAACGTACCTAGCGCTGCATTCTCAAACTCTCGCCGGTCAAAGAGCCAATCCCCGTATAGGGCCATTACCACCTGAACGCTTAGCACCCGTTTATCAGGTTATCCAGAAGCACTAACCTGATACTCTTCTGGATGTCGTTGCCAAATCTCCAGACCTTCGGCATACAGCTGATGTTTCTCCATATAGTTTGTCGACTGCTCAAAGTACCGTAGGCCTAGAAATTCAGAGTCACAAGTGTGCAAATCAAATGTTTAAAGATATTTACCTCCCTCGGAAAGGCTCCGTAAAGCCTTTGCGTACCGACGAAGATGATCATCAATCCGGAATCGTTGAAGGGGCTTATCTAGTGATTTGAGCTCCCGCAGGAACGGAAGATACTCTCGGGGATCCTCGAAGCAACATAAGCAACTGGGTAAATAATCAACTACCGACCTACTCTTTGAGAGTGCTGTGCAATAAGCAGTACCAGTGCGAAGTCGTACATGCCTAGGGCGATATCGAACAACTTGTCCGCATCCACCAGAATATTATATAGCGGACAGCATCCTCTACAATCTGCGAATGCTCTTCTACAAAGCCGTCAGTCAAGATGCGATTCGCTGATATCACTGACCTCGCAGTTGATGCAGATGGGCCAACGCGTCTTCGTATCGCGGAGGTGCCTCAACAACATAAGATGTAAGTATGCATTGTATATATTTGACGGTGTCGATTTGCTGCAGTTTCTGTCGGATCTGGTCGCAAATGGAGGAGACCAACTCGGGAGGTTTGCCACGCCTACCAAATATGAGCATAAGCGTCGACAAGGACACAAGCTCTCTCACCCAAATGTACTAAGGAACAGATTGAGATCATCGATTTCTGGGACTTGTTCCACAAAGAGTGGGATGTCTTTGATAAATCGCTCGGAATCTTGCTCAACCAAAATACCCAGGTCGATACGGTGTTTGCGGCAAGCAGCAAAGGCCTTGCCATATTCACATCTGCGAAGACTTAGCTACGCCTGCAGGAGGAGAAGGTAAAGAGCGCACCGCTGGATATCGGACCGGATTACTTCAAGCGCAAGTGGCCGAGGGCTAATAGTCTCTAGATTGCCGCGAGGCATTTGAAGTACGACGCTCATGGCGTTCGGGACAGTCGTAACAATGCGCGAGCCACGTTCTACCCGTCGTTTCTCCCATTTGCTGCTGATCGTCGTCACTTTAGTCGCGTCTATAGCCTCTCCTTGTTCATCCGACTTGAACAGAGCGTGTAAATCCGCAAGGGGCGCGTAGACTGATTCGTGGGCTGTTGTGATATAGATCAAGAAGGATCCAGACACGGTGAGCGAGGCCACATTAGAGCCCAGAAGTGCAGCTTCTGAATGCTCGGTAGACGCAATGTATAGTTTCCCAGAGGCGAGTCCTGCCGCATGCTGGGTGTGATTGACCACAAAGGATTGAACATCGCAGCAGAAGACGGGGAATCTGGCAAGAAGATTCATAGTAGACGCTAATCGAGTTGAGAATAGAATAAAGTATTCAAATACCGTACGTACCATGATAAAGAACACCTTCTCTTGATTGCCACAGGACTGCTTCAGAACCAGACGGTGACACCAGGCGGCCATTTGGCTGGCACGTTACTGTACCCAGCTCTTGTAATTCACCTGATTCGACCCCATAGCTTGATATCTTTCCAGACCCATCTAGATCTTGAGAGAGAACTAGGAGAGTTTGCCGATTGGGAGAGCTGTCGTCGAGAACAATCTGGAGCGGGATGGGAATATTAATTTCTCGAGTCGCTAGACATTGCGGGCTCATAATGCGCCCTCTGCCTGAAATTTTGCGGGGATTCAAGTTCCACAGTCTCGCTTCCACTGTCTCTTGCGCTGTATAGGCCAGAGATGCCAACATCTCCCCTGATGATGATAGAGATAGACAGACTGGTGGAAACTTTGACTCGTGCAGGCCGAGAGTGTATGAAGCAGCGGGGGGTGGAACATTTTGAAGCCGGAATGGGGTCAATAAAGCGTTGCCTTGGAGGTGATCAGGTTATATATGCTGAAAACTTGAACGAATTTCTCACCTCTGTCAATGACAGCGACCATGCCTAGACCATCCGGAGCGTGGCTGGTGCACGTCTCGTATTCAAATTCATATTGGAAGAGTCCACCTATACAAGTGTCATTAGATGCCATGGAGCGGGTGACCACCCACTTTCTGATGAAAGGAAGAGAACTCTTGGACGCTCAGGGTGCCATGACACATTGGAAAAGCGAGTCGCTCCAACAGGTCGTATCTCGAGCTTCAAGTACCAGTGCCAATTGCCCGTTGTCCATAGTTGAACTAGATGGTGGTTAGAGGTAAATAAAGAACCTATAAAACGACGCACAGACATCGAAACCCTTTCGCGAGATCCAGATTCCGAGAATGTTCGAGTCACAAGACCATGTCATCTCTCGGATTTTATAATCCCAATCTGCTGGAGATATCGGTGCGGTGGACAATGTACTCCATTTGCCTTCATATTCGAGTCTGCGAAGTCCATTTCTTTCAAAGAAGACCACATCATGACGCCCAGGTCGACCTATGCCTCCCCCTGAGAATCCAGATTCCTGCCCAAAGAAGCGCTGAGAAGTTGCGATAAAGTTGCCCGAGGGCCTCCATGATAAGACGTGCTCAAGTCCGGCGGTTGGCTCCAAGGTTGCGCGTAGAGTGGTATCACGGTCGTACACACGCACAACTCGTCGCGCTTCCGGAGAAACCGCGCCTTCTGCTATTCACAATCTTGAGTTTGGGGGGAAAAGGCAGGGTTGAAGGGCTTACCAGCGTCGTATGCGTCTAGGGTGCTGACGACAAAGAATGCTGCATCTCCTCGCCAGCTAATGCGTACCCGACGATCATCATCGGGGCTAGATCCTACAGGAGCTTGAGGTTGGTTTGCCGATGCTGCAGCGGCCTTTCCAAGCGAGCCATGGAACTGAGTGGCCTTGGAGCCCCAATTGACGTTCACTTGAGCATCTATAGGGAATGTATGAGCCAAGTACATCATGAGCGGCAATAAAATGCTACCTTCTCCAAATTCGAGGGGCCGCAAGGTCTTTTCGTACAATGCTTCAAAATCTGTCGTCATCTGTACTAGCTTTCCATCGCCTAATCTCCATCAGTCTCGGAGAATCAAGAGTCAAGGTTGTGCATACCGGTAGCTAGCATCAGTAGAGACCCATCGGGACTCCATTCTGCAGCTTGTAGCCCTCCTTCGAACGCACCCACGACATCCCACATTGCGTTCGGGTCGTCTACAGCATATTGGGCAATCTCGCCGTTGGCAAGAGCCAAGACGAGGTTACGTGTCTCTGGGAGAAACTGAAAGGACAAGACAAGAGGCGCCTCTTGAGGATAGCCGTCTGGGAAAGCCTCGAGTGGGAGGTAGGATTCGAGTGGCTAGCCGTTTGGTGATCAGAAGATGATCTCCATCCAAGCAAAAAGAGATTACAGTAGCTTTTCCGTCTAAGATCCGCACCAACGTAATTTCTGGCGTCCACTTTGATGAACCCTCCGCCATTTGTGCTTGTGATTCGAGCGCGCAGTAAACCGCTTGTTCATCGACATCGAGCGTAATGGAGGTGGGTGTTGGTCGAATAAGCTGGTCGCTTGCAGTCTCTAAAGCCAGTTCCCAGCGCTGGGCTGACGAGATGTACAGATTCCGCATCACGACCTGAGAGGCGGGGGTTCAAGATGGCTGCGACCCAAAGGCTGGGGCTTGTTCCGAATGTAAGCTCCGGGCAAATACAGGGCTCAATCGCAGTCTAAAATCACATTCATGACGTGTTTAGGCCCGCCTCCCCGCCCAACCCTCCCACGTAATGGGCGTATACTACAGTCTATAAATCCGACCTACTTGTGCCTCTGGAATTGTCCAACAATCTCACAAACACCATGCCTCGTCTCGTCTACCCTCAACCAACTGGTTACTACCACCAACGTGGTTATAGTGACTACCATCGAGGCTCAGACTATTACCATTCCAGACACTCTCCAACATTTGTGGCAGCCCGTCCTCCCCCAGTGTATCATACACGACCACAGCATGTTCTCCCAGTCCATAGATATGGGCGACCTCTTGAATACTACCCACCAACCGCACTCAGGAGGGTGCGTCGCGGTCACCCCGAAAGGCGTGTACAGTTCAAGAAACAAGTCCACTGGGACTTGGGCCATCACCGAAACTAAGGATACTATGCATTTTCCATCGAGTCGAGTTGATTATTTCGCATGTAACATGTATACATTAATAGCTGTACTCATATATGATATTCAGAGACAACCATCGCTAACGCTGAAGCTCGATTGCAACCTAAGACTACATATCCTGATGGTACAGATGTGTTCGCGACATGATTAGAAATGGCATAGCACTCACTCCTCCCAGCCCTTTTTCTTTTGCATCCTCGACAGGCTCGACACGGTCGCCGCCCGACCAGCGCGCTGGAGCGATCCAGACAACGTGGATGTACCAACACTCTTTGTTCGCGCAATATTCTTGCCATGACCTGTCACAGCTGCCGTGCCAGTTCCGCGCACATTGCCGTCACGGGATTTCTCATTTTGCTTTGCCCACTCTGCCAATCTTGCAGCGTCGTGGACCGTCTTTACACCAGCACGAGGAACAAATACCTTGTCACAAGTGAGCATATCTAAAGAGAGGTCTATGAAACATACCGCATTCTGCGATTTTGGTGGCCCCTTGGCGAGCACTCGCGGGTGAGGCAAGTGATTGATACGTTCGTACTCATCCTCTGCTGGACCATCCGTCGAAGGCAAATGAGCTCGTAAAAATGCATCTGGATCAACCAAGCCTTGCTGTTCATCTTCTTCCCATTCAGAGTCTCTCCTGACAGCACCAAAGGGTTGTGGCTGATCCTCTTGCGACGCAATCGACATTTCTTCGTCTGACACGGCATCAGTGTCGTCTCCACCCGTAGTCACGGTATCCTGTGGCACTCTGGTCTGCGCAAACTCGTCATCTTCGTCAGGCGCAGATCCTTCGACGCCAGGCAAATCCTTGGTGTACGCAGAAAAGAACGCCTTTGTCTCCTCATTGGCAGCTACAGAAGCGTCAGAACTGTGTATCGAATGCAGAGCTAGACTGACCAATATCGTCCAAATGATCGAAGCCCTTGACACGACGCTTCTTGAACCTCTGGGGTCTTGCGCGCTCATCGTCATCAGAAGAAGAATCATTGATCATGTCATGATCTCTCTTCTTTCGCAGCTGGCCTTTGGTAATCTTCTCTGCTAGTCGCTGCCGCTCTGCGTCATCCGCGGCCAATTGTTCTCTGAAAAGACTATCAGACCGCATTCACATATCACAACGAAGATTCACTTGTGTTTTTCGATGACCTCTTTTTCGCGTAGTTCGGCTTCTGTCATCTTCTTGTCGTCCAACATTTTAGCCATCTCCTCTGGATCAATATTGGCTTCCTCTGCGTCTTCATCATACTGAGTACGCTTGAATCCCATGGCGAGCTCGTCATCGCTCTCTTCAGCTTCGCCCTCGATAAACTCATTAGTCGGCAAAGGCTTCTTTTTAGGCTTCATAAGCTCAGTGAATGCATTACGCTCTTGAAGTGGAGACGAATCCTCGCCCTCATCTGATGAATGGGTTTCGGGGGAAAGTACTTCGGCTTTCTTGATCAATCGCCGAGGTCGAGCAGGTGTCTTTGCGGGCGAACGCTGGCTAAGGAGTTGTTCAGCAGTCAGTTCCCCACTGCGCATAAAGAACGGTGTGCCCTGAGACATGAGGTTTTGCGTCAACGACCACGGGAGCTCAGTTGGTTTTGTCTGCGTAAAGAGCCTGCAAGCATATCAGCTTTCACCCTCCATCACACGAGCCATCTTACCCCTTTTCGTTGATCCAGCGGGGTTCATTGTCCGCCTGTGCCTCTTGCAGTCGGCGACGGCGTTCTTCTTCCCCATCTTGCAACACTGCATCAGCGTCGGCCTGTTCAAGTTCTCGAATCTCCCTTTGTTCCTGAGTTGAGAGCACAATTTGACCCAGTCCACCAGGCTGACTGAACAAAAAGTCGTCATCCATTGGCTTGCGCAGTGCTCCCAGAGGGTCTTTTTTGTCGAGGCTCGCCCTATTACGCTTGGATGGTGAAGCGCGTTGCGAAGGTGATGCTTGCTATGGAAATTATTTAGTCATGCCTTTAACAGCAGGATATTGCGTACTGTGAAAAAGAGTTGACTGTTGAGCTCGCCATAATTGGGCACTCTGAAGCCGATGGAAGAGCGTGTACTCCTGGTACTCTTGGTACTCTTGGTACTTTTGGTAGGAGACCGGTCATGATCCTCCTCTTCGCCACCCGGAAACAGGGTTGAGAATACAAAAGGACTGGTCGACTTTTGAGATGGTGCCTTTGTAGTAGGGCTATCAACAAAGGCAGGAAGTAGTCCTCCACCTCCGCGAATGGGACTGCTGTCGACAGATCGACTGCTCAAGCGAAGATTCCGTTGACCAGGGGCGAACGCCGGGCTAGGAGAGACATCAAGTCGGTCAAACAACGAAGAACCCTTGTCATCCGACCCCAAGTCCCCTAATGGAGTACGCGTAAATTCAGAGAGTGAACGAGAGAGGTCGAATCTTGGTACCGCCGAAGACCGTGACATTGCGGAATTTGTGAGAGGAGGAAATTCTCCGCATCCGATTCATTCGAAGCCTCTGCTTCTTCGTCGGAAAGAATGACATGAACATGTTTTGTCGCTTTCCCTACTGCTCTTGGCAGGTCGTTATCATCGCTGTCTGGTTCCGATCCCATTGGTTCAGTCCTCGCATCCGTATGTTCCATTGCTTCATCATCCTCATCGAGCTCAGACGTGAACGTGTTCGATCCCTCGATTGGGACGCTCGCTTCTGGATCTACCAGAGGGGATGTGGGTGCAGCGTTTTCATCCTGGGGTCGATAATCGGGGTCGTCTTCGTCTTCGTCTTCCTCTCCTGGCTGCTTCCCTTCGGGTTCAAGGGTTCTGGAGGCTCCTTGGTGCAGTAGTTGGACGAGGGTATTCTCTGGTTGGGCAGATTTCAGTGCCTTCGTCCGAATCCCTCCCCTCTTCTCAAAGTCTTCTACTTTAAACGCCGTCAACTTTTGGTTCTGGGCGGAGACTTGGTGAAGAATCTCCTTGTTATGATCTTGTCTCCGCTTTTCCTGATGCACTGAGCCGGCCCCAATGCCAGTCCGGAGAGTGGGTTTAGGCCTTGTAGCCGAGGGCCCTTTCTTTGCTTTTCGCATCACATTCTCGAGCTTTTGGATCGGATTCGTTGGCGCGGCTGCTTCGTCTGGGACGATTTCGAGATCGGAATCGTCACTCTCCTCTAGCTGAAGCCTAGAATGTGCCAGAATCTTTGCCTTTGTCGCGTTCAGCGCAAGAGCATTGTGAGGGCTCGAGAAATCTGATATCGGGTCCGAGGTTAGAGGATTACGACGTCCGCTGTCGTTACGAAGTGGCATGGGCACGACTGGGACAGCCGCCTGCAACGGATTACTGAACATTCAAGTCAGATGGCATATTGAGGGATGGAATGGGGGACGTGCCTAGGCAATTTTTCGGCTCTCTTCTGAAAGTAAGTTGAGAATGACATTGGAGCATACCGCGCCTTGTCCTGCACGTCCAGATCCCGCTCTGAAGAGGCACAAAAGTGGTAAGTACAATAAACGAATGACTACTTGAGGCTTACCTGCACGTATACGGGCTGTCTCTTTTGCAGCCTCTACGATGTCTTTCTTGGTTGGTTGCTGAGAGACGCTTAGCGTGAAAGTGAATGGACAGTAGAAAACCAACTTTTACACCCCCTTTGGCCCTTCTCCCTCGCCCTTTGTCACCCTTTGTACTTCCATCGGTAACCCAGCCGAGCTCGTCCTCTGGGGCAGTCACCGACGCGTTCGGACGCGTATAATCATCCATTTCAATATCTTTATCATCATCACTATCCGCACCGAGATACTTGTGCGACCGACGCGCATGTAGAGATGACGTAGCGCCAGAGAACGACTTTACGGGCGATCTGAATGGAGAAGGCTTCAAGAGGCGGCTTTCGTTTGACTTTTGAGCCTCTGGCGTGCTCGCACGGGCATTATCACGGGCTCTTCGCAAGATGGGGAGGTCGAGTTCGGATGACGCGCCCGACTCCTCATCTTCGGACAGAAAACTGTCGGCATGAGCTGGCGGTCCAGGGCGCCTAGAGTCCTTGAGAGCATGATTCGACACGGTCGGCGGGCCGTTGGGCGGCGCTGTGGGCGGAGACGATGCAGCGCCGGTCGTCCCCGAATAGATCGAGGTATCTGCGCTGTATTGAGGTTCGACGACATTGGTTACTAGTCAAATAAAGCGCATTGATGATATGAGATGCCATCATAAAGCGTCTAAACGACGGAGAAGCTCACCAGATCGCGAAGGCGACGTCGAATGTGCCTGTGAATGTTGACTGTGTGACGCAGCCGCTGGGCTCGGGAGGGAAGATTCTGCTCCAGAATCTTTGACCTCGTTTAAAACTGGTTGAAAAACAGGAGAGCGAGTGACGGTCAGCGTTGGAACGGACGCGGTGTGCCGAGGACAAGTTTGGCGGAATATCCGCTTAAAAAGAGAGCTCACCCAATGGTTCTGGACGACGTGGATTCTCTTCTTCTTCATCAGAGCTTTTATCCAGCTCTGCCAACTTATCCTTCCAATCACCGAGCTTCAACGAACTGATACCCGCCCTGGATGGTCCCGTGTGTGCTGGAATTTGGTACGAGAGATGAATATCAGACGATTTATTTTCTTCTTCGTTTGAAGTCAAAGGCTTTGCCTTGCCGTACGTCCGTCGAGCGCGTCTAGCGGGCTGGGGCACGTCGCTGGACGCGTCAACACGAGCAGCACTGTCGTCCACATCCATAATAGAGATTATTAAAAATTACTGGAGACGTCTTCGGGCTTTGCTGTGATACCAGTCGCCGTCGGCGAGCGTCAGGTTGCTCTCACTTGTCGGGTCTCGAAGCTGGGCCAGAACTCGCGATGGGGACCCCGGACACCATTTTGCAAACCGAGCTATATTGCCACGGAGAGAAAACGAAACAGAACATGAATATAGGAGCTACAGAAATCACTCGCGGGCCTTGAGCGTCCCAAGGAACGCCGCCTTCTCCTGGACAGTCTGGAACTTGCCGTGGCCAAACTTGGACGACGTGTCGATAAACTTGAGCTGCACCTTTTCGAGATCTCTTCGCGAAGTGTGCACCATCAGACTCTTTCGGATGGTAAGGACACGCTTCTTGGTTCCTGGGACGCTGCCCTTGAGCATCAAAAAGTCGTTCTTGACGATACCATAGTGCGGGAAGCCACCAAGAGGAGTAATCGTCTTGTCTGTCGCATCGGCATCAGTTGCGCCGTTCTTGCAGTCGCCACCAGTTCCGACACGATAGATCTTCTTGTTGAGCTCTGTTCGGTGATGGTAGCCATCTATGGTGGCCAGTTAGTGACTGTTCAATAAACAAGACATGGTCTACATACTTTGACCTGCACGGGCGACGCTGAACATGACCTTGCTTGGATGCCATGCTCCAATACAAGCGACCTTGCGGAGACCCTTGTGCGTCTTTCTCGGGAGCTTCTTCGTGCCCCATCGAGCGGTCACACCCTCGAAACCGTGACCCTTGGTGACACCAATGACATCGACGACTTCGTCTTGTTCAAAGATAGTCGAGACAGCAACCTCCTGTTCAAAGAGACCACGGGCAAAGGCAACCTTGTCGGGGATGCTTCCGCCGTTGACTTGGATCTCCATCAAGTGGGCCTTCTTTTGCTTGAGGCCAGTCTTGCGGATCTGGGTGTGCGCGAGGACACGAACGACGGTGCAGTACTTGCGAATGCGCTCGAGCTCACGGTCCATGCTCTTTTGGCCAGCAGCCTCCGACATCTTCACAGAGAATTTAGTTTAGAACACTGAAGAGAAACGACAGTCTGACCTTCTTGGCGTACTTGGTGAATGCCTTCTTCTTGCTGCGATACCAGTTCTTGTAGAAGCGACGCTTCAATTCCTCCGACAAGTGAGCCGCCCAGACAGTGGTGAGAGTGCGGAGACCGCGAGGAGTCTCGACGTAGCCGACGACGCCGACGACCACGAGAGGAGGGGTTTCGATAATGGTAACGGCTTCGACGACCTCTCGCTTGTGCATTTCTAGCAAATGTCAGAGCAGGAAACTGAAGCTAGCTGTAAAACGTACTTGAACCAGGTCGGTCGAGGTCACGAACGACATGGGTCATGCCGGCCTTGTAGCCAAGGGTGGCAGTCAAATGAACGGGCTTTTTGGGGTCATCCTAGTCATCGAGAATGTCAGCTACTCCAGTACAATGAAAACGCTCTGCATACGTGCCTTTGGGAACGACTTGACCTTTCCGCGGTGGCGGGCAGATCGCTTTCGTGGAAGAAAGCCGAGTGAACCGTGACGAGGGGCTTCGTACTAGATTTGATGGTGTAGACGAGTCAAGCGGATTACACGAAGAATATTCGTCAGTGCCGCTCTAACAACCGTCTGGCCAGTGGAAAAAGCATTACCTTGCGGTGACTAGAGGAGGGATAATTAGCTTCTACGGAATTTTTGTAGCAATAAATCGGCCTTACCTCATTTTGTGGGAGTGGACGGGAGGAGGCTGTTTTCCATTTGTTTGGCCAACGAGCGCTCCCTTAGGGTTCGACGAGGATAGGGGATACTGAACTCTCAAGAATGCATTATAACATATAGGAATAATATAAAAAGATCTATGAAAAGGTCAAAAAGTACACCCATGGGCTCAATAGGAAGACCAGGCAATTAGGCAGTAAGCAGCTCGTCCACATTTATTTTCAATGCTGCTTCTTGTTCTCCAAACGTACTGAGATGCGAGTCATCACCACAAGAAATAATTTGACCACGGGAGACGTCAGAGACTTGGATGGTCGTCACACCAGTATTGGGAATATGACCAATGTGACTCTTTGCTTCGAAGGAGAATCCATCTTGCGTTGTTAGGGCTTCCAGGAGCGTTCGTATAAAGCCACCATGGCTCACGACCAACAGAATGGTCGGCTTCTCCTCGAAGAGATCGTTCGAAAGATGCTCGCTCATGACCTTGGTCCACCATCCTAGTACTCTTGCTCGAAATTGTGCGACACTCTCGCCCCGATTCTTGACTTTGGTCCCTATGGGCAGGCCTTCGGCATCACCAAACGACTCCGGGGGGTGTAAGTGGAGATCTGGTTGGATGAAGATGGTCCAACCTTTTCCCTAAGCTCCTTCATAGTCACCAAATAAACCTGGTGATACTGCAGAATCGCCTCTGCCGTCTAGTCTATCGGTGAGGATCAAGTCGAGATGTTTGTGTACTCCTCACATCTTTCGCTCGGATCAAATCACTTGAATAAGCGTGTGTAAATCGTTCGTCTTTGAGCGCGAGTGCAACTGTTTGCGCCTGGCGACGGCCTAGATCGTTTAGCTGCGAATCCAGCTGTCCTTGGAGGATCTTTTGCCTATTTTCGTTCATTTAGCCACGAATCAACCTTTTCTAAGTATTTTTGCCTATTCTCGTTGGTTTCTCCATGCCTTACAATTTGGACAATCATTCCGATTAGTTGACAGGAGGGGCATTTGTTTGGTCTTTTGATTTCTTGATCCCCCTTTGATTTGGCAACTTGTCCCGTTTGATTCCTCTCCGCGTGACAATCTGCTTCAAAGGTACTGGTATTGGGAGAACGAGTGCTCTGCTATCTGTTCCCTGTCCTTTTTTTTCTGGCAGAGGAGCTCGTTTTCGGAGCGACATATTGTCGAATAAGGACTCTTTAGCCACATCTGTAATACTTATCCAATACATAATTTGGTTTTGTTGAGTTGGCCCAGTCTCCAGCTTGCGCGTCGTTTGGTACTGTCATTACTTACTCCCGTCCACAATGGTCTATAGACTGTCAGCCTCATTGAGCGGGCATTCTCAAGATGTTTGTGAATTACCACCCTCTTTACCTTTCTAAGGCCGCTTATTCCAGGTCAGAGGCGTTGCATCCCCTACTGCCGGCCTTGTTCTCTCAGCATCGCGCGATGCCACGGCAATCGTCTGGGAAAAGTCGCAATCGGAACCAAAGTTTACCATCTCGGCCACTTATAAACCTAGCGAGGGCTTCATCAACTCGATAGCTTATGTTCCACCATCAGCGGACGCACCGCAAGGTAACCTTTGTCCTCTGGTAATTTTGGCCAAATTCATTGATCACAACAGGCCATGTGGTCACTGGAGGTCAGGATGGAATCATCAATGTATTCACCTTGGGCGATCCATCCACCGAACCAGCATACTCTCTGATTGGTCACACTGCAAACGTGTGCGCACTGACATCTTCACCTACGGGTAATCTTGTTTCTGGATCCTGGGATACGTATGTTATTAAGAACCATCCATTTCGCTTTATCTGACAAGGTGGCAAAGGACCGCACGAGTTTGGCGAGATTTCAAGGAGCTCTATGTCCTAAAAGGTCATACTCAATCTGTTTGGGCCGTACTCTGTATAGACGAGAACCAGACACTCACTGCCTCTGCGGATCGGACGATCAAATTGTGGAATCAGCACAAGGAAATGCAACGCTTTCACGGTCACAACGATGCAGTCCGTGGTCTAGTGCTCGTGCCTGACATTGGCTTTGCATCATGCTCCAACGACAGCGAAATTCGCGTCTGGACCCTACAAGGAGACTTGGTTTACACACTCGTTGGTCACACCTCCTTTGTCTATTCCTTGTCCATCCTTCCATCTGGGGATCTCGTATCCAGCGGAGAAGATCGAACCGTGCGGGTGTGGAAAGATGGGGAGTGCTCTCAGACAATCGTCCATCCGGCCATCTCCGTCTGGACAGTCTCCACCATGCCGAATGGGGACATTGTCAGCGGATGTAGCGATGGTGTCGTGCGGGTCTTTAGCAGTGTTGAAGAGCGGTGGGCACCCGCAGACGAATTGAAGCTCTACGACGACACAATCGCGAACCAAGCTCTACCTTCGTACGTTATCTTTCATTTTCTTGAAACCAACTCAAGTTGCGCAGTCACCAACTTGGAAACGTGAAAAAATCTGACCTTGCGGGGCCAGAGGCGCTCTCTCAGCCAGGCAAAAAGGACGGTCAGGTAATCATGGTCAAGAATGGCAATCTTGTAGAAGCACACAAGGTATCTTTTCATGGCCGATACTCTTAGCCACAATTGACTCGATCCAGTGGGACTCAAACACCAGAACATGGCAAAGGATGGGCGAAGTCGTCGATGCCGTTGGATCTGGTCGCAAGCAGTTGCACGAAGGCAAGGAGTACGATTACGTGTTTGATGTTGACATCAAAGATGGTGCCCCACCTCTCAAGCTCCCATACAACGCCAATGGTACGCTTGGATCAGTATTGAACCAGACCTTTTTAACGGCTCGTAGAAAACCCATATCAGGCCGCTCATCGGTTCCTAACTCGAAACGACTTGCCGTTGACATATATCGACGAGGTGGCCAAGTTTATTGAAAAAAACACGTCGGCGGTAACCATTGGACAATCAAACGAGCAATATGTCGATCCATATACTGGTGTGACGAGAATTATGTATATTATCACCGCTGACATTATACAGGCGCCTCTCGTTATGTACCACGCGGGACTTCATCCCAAGCACCAGCACCGTAAGTTTCTGTGAACATTCCACTTCAAGCGATTGACGTCGTATAGATCAACTTCCTACGGCTCTGGTGCGGTAAATAGTGCAAATGTTGACCCGTTTACTGGAGCTAGCCGAGGCTCTGGGCCACAAAAGATTCTACCAGTCGTCCGTACCCTCTGAAGCCCATTGAGTGATTACTTACCTTCTATATAGCTTGCACCATTGCCATTCAAACAAGCAAATGTCACAGCTATGCAGACAAAGATCCAAGAGCTCAACGAAAGCGTCAAGGCAAGCGATGCCACACTTGCCTTTACCGCAGAAGAAGGCGCCAATTTGACAGAAATTATTGGGGCTCTATCGACCAATAACGCCAGCGTCCTCACGGGTCCGCACATTACTTTGGTTGCTGGAATCATTGCACGGTGGCCACAAGCATCCGTCTTTCCACGTGAGTGAATTCATTCTTCTGTAAATTTTGCTTATCTCCTTCTAGTTATTGATTTACTGAGAGTCGTATTGGCAAACAACCCAGCTGCCCTGAAATCTGTCAAGGACAAACAAACCATCTTATCTGCTCTATTTGGCGCGCTTGGAATAGATCAACCTTGGGAGATGCCACTTCCAAAGGCGCGCGAGACGAATGTGCTCCTAGTGAACCGGACGATCGCAAATATGTTTGTCCCTCAGGCAGGGTCCTTACCCGCCGCGTGGTCAACTACGGTGCGCGCTCTTCGGTCTATTTTGTATGAGCTCGCTCATCTCTGCCAGGCTCTCGAAAGTCTGGGGCGTATTCCAGCGGAAGCGTGGACAAAAGGACCTTGCTAGCACTCGCGACTCTCCTCTTCAAGTATGTCTTCCAGAAATCCTTTCATCGTCTTATTCATCTTTGCAGCTATAGCTGTGCGATCCACCACTCTCAAAAGGCAGCGCAGGACCAAGAGACGCACCTCGCTCTCATCGAGACGGTACGCAATGGCGAGGTTCGTATAAGAACGATATCTGATGATTTCATCAAGGTCCTCAAGAATCCCAATTCGGAACCCGAAGCGCAGTACCGTGCGCTTGTCGCATTTGGCAACGTTGTGCGTACCGACCCGCGGATCGCTTTCATATAGATCTCACGATAAACAGGTCAAGTCTAGCGCGAAGCCCAAACTCGGAAAGGCAACATCGACGTGGTTGCGACTTTCCAGCGCCGCGGCGAAGAAGAATGCAGAGAAGCGGATGCAAGATCTTGTCAACGAAGTGCAGAGTCTCATCGTCTAGCCGACTTTTCTTTACAAGAGTATGAGTAGAGACCAAGAATTGTATTTGTAGCACGTCAAGAATACAAATTTCACTGCGGGGAGCAGACGAGACTGAAAAATTTGTCCAAGGAGAGTATAGGGTCGGCTTGATATAAAAAGCTGGGGGATGGTAAAAGAGTGAAGATGACCTACAAAAGGCCGGCTCGCCGAAGCTCACGCTCGATCCTACTGGAAGTTGAGTAAAGTGCGATTGAAGAGAAAGGTTAAAACTCACTGTCTATCTAGTTGAAGAGCGGCTTCATATCTTCGTCGAGTTTCGGGATCCATAGGTGGTTCTGGGTCACGAGAGAGTGGGTGCTGAGGAGGGAGCTCAGGCTCCTGAGCCTGGGCACGAGATGAATCCTCTTGCGGCAGACGCGCAAAGAGCCTTCTGAAATCTCTCGACGCGCCCTCTCGCATCAGACTGAACCCTGGTGTCTCGAGATCGCTTGGCGAAACACGGACGGAACTCTGGCGAAGACTACGCTCCCATTTCTTCACCCTCCAGAATCCGAGCAGCGAAGTGAGGAAGAGGAGCCAGCCCACGGTCATGAGGAAAAAGCTGAGCCAGTCTGCGGCCAACGTGAGCTCTGGTGGGAGCGGATAGTCCCCATTGGCAAGTGAGGGGACTTCAGGGTAATCGCCAGGACCGTCGGGCGTCTTGGTCGCATAGAGATCATCGGTCTCTGTCGAGGATGTGAATGCGGGGCGTGGCGCCGAGCCGGTAGGCCAGCCGTTCACATCCGCTTGAGCGAGTCGAGCTTCGTTACTGCGTAGATATAGTCCGTATTGTACGAGAGTAATACCCAGACCCGCCCGCGAGCCAAACTTGGCTGCATGTGACGTTGCCATGATGGTAGTGAGCATAAAGCCTATAAATTATGTCAACTTGACCGTCATTCGAATATTGAATATTCACTTACCGATGAACTGGAAGGAAAACGAGATGAAGAAGCTGGTGACAAACGAGAAGACATGGCCAGGGGGGAAACCCTCGACGATGAGCTCGTCACCAGACCCAGCAGGAGCAAGAACTGTCGTATCCCAGTACGGAGGAACCGCATCCTGCTGAGCTTCGGCATACGTCGGCGGAGCGTCCTTCTGCTCAAACTCGGGTGCGACGTGGATGGTGCTAGTCCCTTGTTCGGCTCTACTTTGTTCATTCGCGGTACTTGGTGCGATGGGTTTGGCCGTCACGTTTGCGAAGACACCATCGTTGCCGAGCCCAGAGCCCATTGTGCGTGACTGGGACTGGCCAGTAAGGCGGGCAGGAAGTATTCCCCGGAGTCTCTGCTTCAACCATCCTCCTCGTGGATCTGGAGGACGGGCAACGGGGGTTCCTACGACGCCATTGGTATTGTTAAAGATGTTATTAGCATAAGCAAACGGGGACGGCCTCGGTGGTTCGCCTGGAGGAGGGAGCGTCCAATCTTCGAAATTATAAGTATTATTATCGTTGGCGATAGGCGGGCTGGCGGGCTCTGGCGAGGCTGCACGCGCAGCAATCATGGGCCGCGTCTCTTGCTGGGCATCGTCCTCGTCGTCGGAGAGATCAAAGGCATCCTCCATGTGTCTTTCTGCAGCTTCTACAGCGTCCTGGGGGTTGGGAATGGGCGCATACGCAGCGTTCGGCATTGCGCTGGGTATTGGCGGGGTCAAACAAGCGGGTTGCGTTGCTTACGACTTCACCAAGGCGACTGGAATCTACAACTTGGAAGATCACAACAAATAATCAGTAAAACACACAAAGTACTTTCAAATAATGTTGGGTCGAGAACCTCCTCATAGTCGCGGAGATATCCGCGGCCAGGCATCGTCACATAAAAGCATCCGCTACTTGACAACTTCGAAACTCGACCCGAATCTAGAGTACGGCATTAGTGCGACGCCGTGACAGGAGAAAACTTGGGTCATCTTGCAAGCTAGCGCAGTGCAGCGCTTATCCCCAATTTCTCAACGACGATGATAGCAAATGCACCATCTTGTGACCGAAACAAGAAGAAGCTGCATCAGTGGAAGTTGACAGTCACCTCCCGAGCTCTTCGCAGAGCAACGACACTATTGACATAGCCGGGATTACCTAGATTTTACCTTTGAAGGGCAGGCGTGCCTGAGTCCAACGAGCCTCGATGAAATTCAAGACAGCCACTCCGGAATTCTTTGTCATTTGCCTTCTTATTCTCTTCCTCGACCTCCCTTTCCGCCTTCGACCCTCCCCCGCGACAATGTCTGTTACCCAGCTCGCTGCATTCCAGGAGCTCATAAGTTCTATGCGGGACCTTCAAGTCTCCAGCTATACATGCGGCGCTGGAATGGTTGTCCTCCTTTACGACTTTATCTTGACCATACCAGAGGTCAGTCTTTCGTCCATGGCTCACCGCTGACTGACTGCTGACCGTCCGCCGCAGGAGGTCAAGTACGTCTGGAGTGGTAAGCAGCGCTTATCCATGGTCAGGGCAATGTACTTTTGGGTGCGTCGTCGGAGAAATATCAGCCGCTTGCGCTCACCAGGCCAGAACCGCTACTTTACCGTACCGTGGATCATTGTCGCCAACTATCGTATGTAGGCTTCGTGTCTATAACTGCTCATTCTGAACTCGTCTAGATATTGCAGGACTGAGGGGACCTCTATCCAATCAGGTACGTCTTCCCCCACTAGTTGACCAACCCATCTAATAATGTCACAGTTGTATGTGTCTAGACCATGCAAGAATGTCCTCGCTGATCAAATCCAGTTGCAAGGTCTTTATTCCCTCCCTCGCCATCGTGCAGGGTGTATCCATCGCTATCGGTATACAACTGGTACGCTGACCACCAATATCCCCAACTGTACCAACCCACCCTATGCAGCTTGCTCTACGCGTCCTGGCGCTGTACAAGAATAGCGAAATAGTTCGCCTCGGTCTTTATACTTACCTGGCTGCATGTCACATCACACTGCTCGTAATCACCACAATGACTATGAAGCAATTTGTTCGTGAGTAGCACACCTCTGGCGTGATTCATTCCTTATATCTTTCAGCCTTCCTCATGTATCTTCCCATCACCAAAACCTGCTATACAGTTCCGAACCCACTCATCAAATTTGTCTACATACCACCTGTACGTTCTATCTCTGAATTGTGTACAGACACTCATGAGTACTGCAGATTGCCGCAGAATGTGGTATCATGATCCTCCAGGCTGCCAATCACATTTACCGAGGGCGACAACGGACATTTTTACATACACCCTTAATCTCGACGCTTTACAGAGACGGGTATCTATGGTTTGGGTGTGTTATCAGTGTCAGATTACTTTGCCTGTTGGTCGTAAGTTTCAGCGTATCCGGTGTGGATAATTATTGATCACTTCTACAGTACCTATTTGCGCCCGTCAGTCTGTGGTCTCTCTCCAATCAGCTCGACTTTCCCCTTTCAACTGCCCTAATCTCTCGATTCTTCCTCCAACTTCGTGGGGCAGTCGATACCGACGATGAAGACGTGACACTGGCGCCGCACACCAGCGTGCGATCCAATCCACAGCACATAAACCTACGTCCTGCTGTCCACGTTGATAACGGCCGGGTAAATTCGCCCGTCCCACTACGAGAGCTACGAAGATTCAAGTCGACCCGGATAAGTCGGATATGAGTGCATATTCCTGCACGACTCGTCCATTCTCAGATCTACAACCATGTGATTCCCTATCCGACCATTATACACATCGACAATAACGCCAACGCCAGTGTGCGCCGGCGGTAGTCTAGATTCGCTGTACTTTAGCAGGTGCCGCCGGCGAGAGAGCGCAATGGTAACACCCTAGTTTCGAGATATGAAATTGTGCCCCTTGTTCACTCGATTATTTTGGTGTGTATACGGAGCGTTCAGGTGCTATTGGGCATTACGCCGGTATCGGCGAAGGGCAGGCTGGTTGCTTACGACTTCGGTGACGGGACTGAAAATCTGCGACCAGAAAATCGCAATAAATAGTCAGCAAAATACAGAAAATGTTCAAAAATAATGTTGCATCAAAAAGTCTGCCCATAGCCGCCACGAAACGGTCGTGATGTGGGATCAGCCGACCCGGTCAGCGGCACCTGTAGACGTGACGGCCTCTGTCTGACGCAAAACTCGCCTGGATCTACAGCAGCAGCATTTGAAGTGACAGAAGAACCTTGTGGATGTGCTTCCAGCCCTGCTGTGCGATGCATCATCGTGTATCCGGGGCGAGACGGAAAGACGGAAGAAGAGATGCGTCGCAACGAGACTCTTGACATGTCCGGAATTACGACGATTTACCTGGAAGGGCCGCAGACGTGCCTGACTTCAGCGACTCGATGAAATTTAAGACAGCCACTTCGCCGGGGATTTACATCACCTCCCTTCTTATTCCCGTCCTCGACCTCCCTTTCCGCCCTCGACCCTCTGCGACAATGTCTGCCGCCCAGCTCGCCGCATTCCAGGAGCTCATCCGTTCTTTACGGGACCTCAAGTTCTCTGGCTACACTTGCGGCGCTGGGATGGTTGTTCTCCTTTACGACTTTATCTTGACCATGCCAGAGGTCAGTCTCTCGTCCATGCTCACCGCTGACCCACCGTTGACAATCCGCTGCAGGAGATCAAGTATGTCTGGGCCAGTAAGCAGCGCTTATCCATGGTCAGAGCAATGTATTTTTGGGTACGTCGTCCGTGGTAGTCCGTTGCTTTGCTCACATCACCCAGAACCGTTACTTTATTCCTCCATGGATCATTGTCGCCAACTTTAGTATGCAGGTTTCATTACTATACTCACCCTCTCTAACGTTCCCCAGATCTCTCTGGACTGAGGGGTCCTCTGACCAATCAAGTACGTCTCAGCTCCAGTAAACCAGCTTCTGCTAACAAAATATCCTAGTTGTATGTGTAGATCACGCAAAATGAACCACTCTGAACAGAAACAGTTGCAAGGTCTTCGTTCCTTCGCTTGCTATCGTGCAAGGCGTCTCTATCGCCATTGGTATACAACTGGTGCGCTCACTGCCAGTGCCCTGCTAGAGTACTTATTCCACCCTACGCAGCTTGCCCTGCGCGTCCTAGCGCTGTATAAGAACAACAAAATAGTTCGGCTCGGCCTTTATACCTACTTGGCTGCATGTCACATCACGCTGCTCATAATCACCGCTTTGACTATGAAGAACTTTGTTCGCGAGTACTGTCACCTCGAGGCCAGACCCATTACTCATGACTTTCAGCCTTCCTCATGTATCTTCCTATTACCAATAGCTGCTACACAATCCCGGACCCCCTAATTAGATATGTCTACATACCTCCCGTGCGCCTTGTCGACAAATAATCGTTCCGCACACTTACAGTAATATAGATTGCCGCGGAATGCGGTATCATGATCCTTCAGGTTGCCAATCACATTTATCGACGGCGACAACGGACATTTTTACATACGCCCTTGATATCAACTCTATACAGAGACGGGTATCTATGGTTTGGATGCGTTATCAGTGTCAGATTGCTATGTCTCTTCATGGTGAGTACTCTGCACCCCTTTTTGAATCAATACTTATCGCGCCACAGTACCAATTCGGGCCCGTCAGTTTATGGCAAATCGCGAACCAGGCCGACTTTTCTCTTTCTACCGCGCTGATTTCCCGATTCTTCCTCCAACTCCGCGGAGCGATCGATAGCGACGATGAAGATATGACACTGGCGCCACGAATAAGCGCGCGGTCCAACTCCCAACACGTACAAATACATTCCACTGTTCGCGTCGATAATGGACGGATAGATTCGCCGCTCCCACTCCAAGAGCTACGGAGATTCAAGCCGACTCGAATATGAAGGCATCTCCCTGCATGACCTTTACACTTTCAGCTCTGCAACTGTACCATCATGCTTGCATGCATCAACAATGACGCCCACGCCACCGCGCCGTGGTGATCACCTATCCATCGCATTATTAGTTGTACTTTACCAGAAGCCACCAGTGAATGGAGCATAGTTGCAACCTCCTCGTTTCTGGATATGAGATTGTGGCTTTCTATGGCCCGGTGATTTTGTTGTGCCCTATTTGGACTTGCCAGACAGCAGACTTGTCCGGCTTGAGGTCTGCAAAGTTGAATTGAAGGCGATAACCCTTGACGACTGGAGCATGCCCATCAGACGAATGAGGCCACCCGCCCCTCGAGAGCAACCTCGGAACGGGTAAACGCCAATAGAGTCGTCAACCATGAGCGAAGAAGCACGTCCGAAATTATCGGTTAATCTCGTCTCATGCCAGCCAGGGTTCTTTCTGCAGGCTCGAATCCAGTTCTCGCCCGTGTGAGCAAAACTTGTAATGTGCTTGACGGAACCGAGGTGTTGGGCGTGACGTCCCCGCAACAGGCTGAATGAAGGCGGACTTTCTGAATGGATGAACAGGCACAGATCGTCGGCCTCTGTCAGTATCAAATGTACCTCGTGTGATTCCGCCTTCCTAAAACTGGGTTGTGCGGCAACTGCCTTACTATTCTGGCCGGGTGATGCCCAAAATGCATATGCGTAATATCGTCAAAGAGTCTAGTAACAACACTCATTTCTTTTGGAAGAAGGAGTCGATCGTCTTCTTACCACCTTGGGGTGCAGGCCCCGGCTTTGGTTTCGGCTTTGCGGTCGTGGACTCTTTGCTGGTGCCTGCCTTGGGAAGTTTTACCTCGGGCTCTTCCTTCTTGACCCGAGAACCCGCGGTGCCGCTATTCCCGCCCTTTTTCTTTGCTTTTGTCGGTTCCGGAGGTTGCTCCGACTCGGAGTCGACGCTCTCATACTCGGAGTAATCCTCCGTCTCTGTAAATAGCAGTCACTTCACGTGCTCAAGGGAGCAGAAGAGACGTACGGATGAAGCCCCTCTTATCTGTATACTCTCGCGTCTTTACAACTCTCCGCTTGCGTAAACCATTGGCACCCATCGGCCACGCCTTTTGCTTCTTCGTCGGTCGTTTCGTCTTGGCGTACATTGGCTCTTCTGTCTCAGACGTCTCCATTGGTTCGTCTTCCTCGATGCTGGGTTCGGCCTCTTCGTCTTCATCATTGTCCTCTCCTCCAGTGTCAAATTTGGATGAGGGTGGGCCAGGTACGTGTCTCGGAGCGAGCACGACGTTCTCATCTACGAGAAAAGGTTAGAGCAACAAATTTATAAATGGAGGGACGTGCCATCGCTCCAATCCATAGAAACTTCACTCTTTGCTTTGCGTTTGATGGCTTTAGGGGCGCGCATCTCCTCTTCCTCCTCATCATCGGAGAGTAGTACTCCTTTCTTCGCACGAATCTTGGGCTCAGTCTTTACAGGTGCAGAAGTGCGTGGTTTCGACTTTGGTGGCTTGTCGTCTTCCTTTTCGTCCGGTGGCGTAGGACGCTTGGTTCCCCGCTGTAAACAGGGATTAGAAATATAACACTGTGATGTGTATATCATGCCTTGGCCTGAGTTTCGCTCGTAGCGGATGAACTGACTGACGCCTCTCGCACAGCTGCCTTGCCCTTCTTTTGTGCACTCGTCTTATCTTGTGTCGAAGGTTTGCTCGCTTCGGTCTTTGGCGCGTCTTTTGATTTCGCTTTGCTCCAGTCTAGTCCGACCTGCTTTTTGCTCGTCTCTGCCTTGGGTGCGATGCTCTTTGCAACCGGTGCCGGTTTGACCTCTTCCTTTGATTTTGCTGCACCAGGATTCTTCTCCTCTTTGGTAGTCGGCTTGGAGCCTGCGGACGTCGAAGCGATAGTTTGATTTGGCTTCTTGGCCTTGATGTTCTTGTTTACCTTAGAGATTATCAGCAGAGATGGTATACACACGTATTCATTACCTTGCACGCATTACTAATGGGGATTCCTAGACTCTTCAGCTCGTCAATCGTTCGTGATGCATCCATCTTTCGAACAGCATCCACAGTCGTGACCAGTAGTGAGGGATCCTATAGCTTGTCAGTGAATACCTCGCTCGTGATGGTGACCTGCCATGAAATTGGATGGCTCGATGCTGTAAATGTGAACACCGCGAACGGTTTTGAACGTCGACTTGCAGCCTGTAACTCTATGATGACGAGCAACGGCTACGAATCAAAGACGTACTCTCGAGGTTCTCTTCTGGGACGATCAGAATCTTCTGTCGCACTGTCTTTTCCGCCATCGGCGAAGGCGCGTCTTGAACTTCGCCTTGCTGTTCATCAACCTCCATCGAGTCGTTAGATGTAACGTTGTCTAGATCCTCTCCCGTCACGAGGTATGTTGCATGGAGAGACGCTGTTCCGCCGTGACCATTATTCGCCTCGTAGAATGCAGCCAGTGATCTATACACGCGTAATAGACGCGTTTTAGCCGCTTGAAACGCATTTTGATGTAGTCACATACCGTTTCGCGGCATTGACATGGATCGAGAGTGCACGGCTGAGCAGCCGATAAGTGACCTGCATTTGCATGGTTATACGATGCTCTTTCGAACAACATATGTTCACCGACAATATTTTGGTTAACTTTCACCTGCTTGGTGAGGTAGTCGTTGATGGCGGCTTCGTTCGGGTCGCTCATAGTGGTGTCCAAGATGTGAAGTTGCAAAATATGACGCATGCAAACGATTACTAGTGAATTTTGTCTTTTAAACATGTAGATTGCAACACAGTGACCAATGAATTACATTCGGCTAGCCACTAGACCCTACGATGATAATCTCCTTTGCGCAAACGTACATCAGCTCCCACTCAGCCAGAACCGCATTTCTGACTGTTGGTAAAAAGCGTGCGGGCTTCATGTTTTGCAAGTGTAAATTTGCCACCCGGGAAAGGACACCGTCGGGGGGATGTCGCAACGTGCAAGACATCTAGAAGAGTCGGATCGCCTTGCCCATCGTCGACTTGATGTGCAGCGATTTGACGTTTTGCCAGTTCTTCTTCAGGAGAGAGACCAAGAAGTTGATGCCTGTCCACAATCAGAATCAAACGTTGACATGTATAATACACGATACGCACTCATCATTACATTGGCCAATACTTGGTCATCCGTCATCTGAACGTGGCCGACAGCGACGGCCAAGCAGAGCACCTTCTTCAGCTGGAACTTGATCGTCGAACGAACCTCGGTGAGCTTGTTCGTCAAGTCTTCCGAGTGCGAGACTGGGGTAGGGAACTTGCCAGCTAAGGTGGAGGAATCAGTCGTTCCGCCAAAGCAAGCGACTAATGAACACTGACCCTTTGAGAGACCCGGACCAAGTAGACGTGGGATTTGCTTCAAGAGGGCTTCAGACGACAAGAAAGCGTCGTACTTCTTAGCGAGCTTCTTAACGAGCTTTTTATTCTTGTTCAGCCTGTGTTGTGATGAGGGCTAGCGCAGTGCACAGCGAGTATTACCCACTTCTTGAGATCGTCGACAGACATGTACTCGAGCTCAATCTGCTTGGCACGATCGATGTCGTTTGCGTCTGCAAGAATGCAGATCGACATACGAGGACGGGGGATATTTGGCAGCCTGTAGTTACTTGTAAACGTCGTAGAATACGCATTGGATTGAACCCACTTGACAGTTCCAGAGAAACGCTTGTCACGTTGAGGGTCATAGTTCTTGAGACCAATCTGGAGCTCAATCGTCTCGACGAATTTTCGTTGCTTCTCCTGCGAAGCACTCAAGAGCTCTTTGATGGACGCCCGCACGCTTGACACTGAAAGTTTGCTCATTTTTCTCGATGGAGACGAGGTCTGTGGAGGATGGCCAAACACTGACAAACACCGCGAGATGTCAAGAGTGCAAAAGTGGGGATTGTATTCGCGAAATTACCAGAAATAGAACAGTAATTATGACTCCTGAATAGCACGCGCTGTCTGTCAGGCAGTAGAGGTAAGGACCGTTCGTACACATCGTCACCCGTCAATAGAGCGTTTGCTCGCGGTATTGCACCTTTTAGAGGCTTAGAAGCCCATTCCTCCCATTCCGCCCATGCCACCCATGCCGCCCATTCCGCCCATCGGTGGGGGAGTCTTCTCCTCTCCCTCGACGACGCACGCCTCCGAGGTGGTTAGGAGCGATGCAACACCACTATAGCAACGTTAGTAAGTAGCGTCTCAAGTCTGGATGCAGAAACATACCTGGCATCGATCAGGGCTGTCTTGACGACCTTTAGCGGATCGACAATTCCAGATGCAATCATGTCGGTATACTCGCTCTTCGCCGCATCGTAACCCCAGCTAAAGTTTTCGGGCTTGCTGTACTTCTCCAAGAGGTGTCCAACGACCACGGATCCTTCCTCTCCTGCGTTCTCGACAATCGTCTTGGCTGGACGAAGCAGAGCGGAACGAATGATCGAGACACCCAGTCTTTGGTCAAAGTTGAGTGGGCTCTCAGCCGAGGTGAGTGGTGCGAGTGCAAGCGACGCCTTGAGCAAAGCCGTACCACCTCCAGGAAGGATGCCCTCCTCTACAGCAGCACGAGTGGCATTGAGCGCATCGTCATATCGATCCTTCTTCTCTCCGACCTCGACCTCGCTCGAGCCACCAACCTTGATGACTGCAACACCACCCGAGAGCTTGGCAAGTCGCTCCTGTAGCTTGGACTTGTCAAACTCGCTCGTGGTGGGGTCCGCAATGGCGTCGCGAATTTGTTCGCAGCGAGCAGCAATGGTGTCCTTGGCACCGTCGCCGTTGAGGAAGATGGTATCGTCCTTTGAGACGCTCACCGAGCCCGCAGAGCCGAGCATGTCGGGGGTGAGTCGGTCGAGCTTGATGTCGAGGTCATCCGTGAACACGGTACCACCCGTAAGGATAGCAAGATCACCAAGGATTGACTTGCGGTTGTCACCGAAGCCAGGTGCCTTGACTGCGCAGACACTGAGCTGGCCGCGGAGCTTGTTGAGGATGCAGGCAGCGAGAGCCTCGCCGTCGACGTCTTCCGCAACAATGAGGAGCGGTCGGCGAGCTTGAGCGGCAGCCTCCAGGGCCGGGAGAATGTCAACGACAGCGGAGATCTTCTTCTCCGACAAAAGAATGTATGGCTTCTCCAACTCGGCCTTTTGCGACTTGGGGTTGGTAATAAAGTATGCGGATATGAATCCTCGGTCGAAGCGCATACCTTCGGTGATCTCGATCGTGTCACCAATGGTCGAACCCTCCTTGACGGTGATGACTCCTCTTTGCCGACCCTCGACATGGCGTTGGCAATCAAGTTACCAATGTGAGTGTCACCGTTGGCAGAGATGGTAGCGACCTGGTCACATGTTTAAGAATGTAGTTTCCACATGAACTATCCAACTTACTTGAGCAATCTCCTCCGAGGTGGTGATGACCTTTTTCTCCTTTTCGAGAATCTCAATGACCTTATCGACGGCCTTTTGAGAGCCTCGACGCAAATCCATGGGATTGCAGCCAGCGGCGACGTTCTTGACACCCTCTGCGTAGATTGCCCTTGCCAAAACGGTCGCCGTCGTAGTACCGTCACCGGCAATCTCGTTTGTCTTCTGAGCAACATCTTGGACAAGACTATAGGGAATAAGTCTCGAGTATTGGCGAAAGTGGGCGGCTTACCGAGCACCGAGGTTTTCAAACTTGTTTTTCAACGTGATCGACTTTGCGACGGTAACACCGTCTAGAAAGTCATTAGAAACGTGAAAAAGCATAATTGTAAAAGAAGACATACCTTTTGTGATCTTTGGGGCACCAAACGACTGCTCAATGATGACATTACGACCTGGGCAGGTTTCGTGAGCAAACTGGCCAATATGCGCGAATTGCTTCTGTTAAAACAAGCTTACCTTTGGGCCCAAGAGTTACAGAGACGGCGTTTGCAAGCACGTCGACGCCAGCGAGCATGGCTGCGCGGCCTTCGTTTGAAAACTTGATTTCCTTGTGCGCACCGCGTGCAAGGACGGCCTTTGCGACCTTTGGGCCTGTACGGCGGACAGCAGAGCTAGAACGAGACGAAATCATGGGCGAGGGGGCTGACGAGGTCGGGGGCAAGTTTGTTGCAACAAGTTTTCCAACACGTCGAAACTTCTCGAACTACAACCACATCCATGGTAAGCATCCAAACCACCTCCAACACGCTCAAATCGCTCACAAACCCTCTAAAAACAGGCAGCAACTTTCAAAAACATCAGGTCTGTGATCCCCCTCTTTGACCGTGTGCTCGTTCAGCGCTTCAAGCCGGAAACGGTACGTCTTTTTGCCTTTTCAAGACTCCCGGAAGCTCATAGTGTCTAGAAAACCGCGTCTGGTCTCTTCCTTCCCTCGTCTGCAACCTCTGGCACGCTTCCCGAGGCAACTGTGATTGCTGTCGGACCTGGCGTCCCAGACCGCAATGGAAAAATTGTCCCCCCAAGTGTTAGTGCAGGAGATCGCGTCCTGCTACCAAGCTGGGGCGGAAATTCGATCAAAGTCGGCGAGGAGGTAAGGAGACTGGCTTCTCAGACCTCCAAATGCTGAATTATTTGCCTTTTCAGGAGTATTTTATGTTCAAGGACTCTGATATCCTTGCCAAAATCAAGGAATAGACAATTTCCTGCGTGCGGCTCGCGGTGTCTAGCAGTTTCTCCACCTCTAAGGTTGTCATATTATTCTCGCAATATAATCCCCATTCATTAGTCATCAATGGCTTGGATTTCATGTGTGCTACTCTCCAAGTAACTGTCCAAAGTGTCGCCTTTTTCCCAGTCAGCTTACTTCACCTTATGGCATTCGAGCACATACCAGTGAAACCTTTGTTGGCCTTGTATCCTCTTGCACGAAAACGTGCCACGACGAGTCGGTTGTGCTCAATTGCGGCCAACTGAAGTTTCTTGATAGTTCCTGAAAAGGCATCACAGAGAGTAAAGGAATTTACTAAGACATACCTGAAGTATGAAGCACAATTGGGATGATAGCAGTCCCCTCGAGTTCAGTGAGCAAAGTGACCGCCGCTTTAGCAATGCGGACATGCTCTCTTCCAACTCGGATTATGCAAAGTGACGTCGTAGGAGAATAGTATTTGACTATAACGTCATCAGCAGTCAATCGAAAGATTGACACTGGTCCTTACCACTGAGAGAAGTACCAATAGCACCCCATCCGGCATCTCCAAAGTTTAGAATGGCGCTGTTCTTGAGGGCATGAAAGATTTTCGACGTTGTAAATGGGACTGGCCGCTCGTCAAGGTTGGGATTCAGGAATTCAACCAACAGCCATCGGTTCTACACTTCTTTGTTAGGTTTGGTCGACGGATAAAGGCGGGTTTACCTTGATGCGAACCATCAAGGCAAAGCCTTAGTTGTGAACGAGTACAAGGGGTCAGTCTGCCACCGTCAGGGGATGGTATTGGCAAGGGGTCTAGCTCGAGCAGCTACATTGGAAACCGAGCATTCCTTGCTCTCCCAGGCTACAAAACCGTCGTTCCTCTCTAGTTTCCGCATCCAGAATATCTTTCTCGTCAAGTTCCTCCGCTCCCCAAGCCTTGAATGGATTCAATGCCATCTACAGAGAATCAGAAAGAGGTTAGACTGCTCATGAGTTACGAACCTCCAAGACTTTGGCTAATACCCGCCGGCCAGATTCATGGTCCTTTTCCACTTTGGCGATGACATCTTCTAGCAGCCATTGTCGCAGGATAAACCTAGGGTTCGATTCGAGCATAGACTCTTTGCGCTTTTCGAGCCATGAAACCGATTTGCCTGCTGATTCCGTCCACTGGGCCTTCTCCTCGTTGATACGCAAAGCATACTTGCCAAACCAATCGGCCCATGGATTTGAATTGGTATTGTCTCCTCCGGGTTTTGCACATTGAGATGTAGTCTCCAGAGTTGAAAGAAAAGCTTGTAGGTCCGTTGTGCGATCACTGTCCATCATTTCAGGATCAAACCAAGCTAAGCGACGCATGGTCGATGAGTAATCGACCTCTCTTTGTTCAAAGAGCGCGAGCATTGGAGTGATCAACTCTCTGAAATCTGTCTCCTTTTCCGTCAAGAGACCCAACCGCTATGGAGAATCAGATATCACACCAGATAAATGCATACGACTCACTCTTCTCATCAAGCGGACATACTCGTCCATGAATGTGTTCATTACAAATGATTCCATATCTTCCTGGATAGACAGGCCACTCTTCGTCCATTCCGCTGTTGTCTCTGGCGGTACATCCTTCGTCCATCCCACCTGTACAGCCGCATTTGTGGACATTTCTGAGCCAATGACGGGTGCCAAGGAAGATAGTAGAGCGCGAAGAGCATATAAACTGGTAAAGTATTAGCATGGGCTGGAGCGAGAGAAGCGAGTATCATACATCATGGTTGGCTGAAGCTGTATCGAGATGTCAATGAAAATCCAGAGGGCATTGATATGCTCACCTTGAAGGAATAACGTCCGCTATCATCACTATGATTGCAAATATGTCCCGAATCATAGACGTCCATGAAAGCGTACGGTCCATAGTCGATTGTAAGGCCCATTATCGATACATTGTCCGTGTTGATAACTCCATGCATACTACAGGTGATCAGCGATATAAAGAGGCAGTGAACATACTCACAATCCGTAGGCTTGCCAACCAGCAACCATGATACTATTTCTCTTTGCACATTCCATGAGCAGAGCCTTGCCCCAAGGAGCACCCTCTGGCAAATCCAGCCGCAGGACATGTTTGCTCACGTATTCTCCGAGTATACGCAAAGCCTCGAGGTCAGCAGCTTGCTGGCCACCCCCAAAGAAGAACATTTGCTCCGGAGGGTTGAGAGCCTGGAACGACCCCACTCGTAGAAACGACGGCGCAACTCTTGTGACAATCGCAGCCTTTTCAATCCTTTCTCGCATGACCGGTAGCGTCGGTAAGAGTGTCAACGCGAGAGACCGAGTAGTGGGTACGCCTAACGCGTGCATGGCTTCGGCACAGAGGTATTCGCGAATCGAGCTACGCACGACTGCCAGCCATCTGCGCTGCGAGAGAAGGGCGTTCTCCCTGCACCCTTGAGCTGAAGCTCGTAAAGTCCGCTTGGGCTGCTTGGGTTGGTGACTTCCACTAAAGGGACGTCATGAATGATGTATCATACGGCTGACAGACGCTTACATATCGATATCGCTCTTCCATCACCGAGTTGACCTGCCCATTGACCAAATTGGTGTCCCGAATAACGCAGTGACCAAGGGGCGTAACCAGAGTCGGCCTCGTTGGCGGGATAGGAGGCCAAGACAGTGTGACCGCTGAGGATGTCCACTAACTCCTGACGGGCAGTAGATTGGGAGTCCCCAGCATGATTGCTCGGCTCGCTCAGAGATTGCGCCATCAACGATGGCTTTCCAATGAGATCAAGCGCGTCGCCGATATCCAGTTGTGGAAAGCAATCTTGTACGCAGGCTTCGGAGACTCCGATGAGTTCTCGCTCTTGCAACCTGTCCGCTGATGTATACTTTGTAAGACCGTTCGAGGGCTTGTCAGCATCTTGCTGTTCGATGGGTTCCGTAGCTTCTCTGTGACTGAGCCACGCCTCTATAAAACCTCGCTTGTCTTCAATTTCGTCTGGGAACTCGATGCGAAAGGGAAATGGGACAGGGAGCGGCGTGACATAAGAGAAGTGGGCGGATGAGTCGAGAAGTCTAGCTCGTCGAATGAGAGACGGAGACTCTTGTATGAGCTTGAGGAAGCCCGCAGGAGACTTTGCAAGGGGTCTGGGGTGAGATTACGAGTGAGGCGTCTAGAGGGCGGTGGAAGAGGAAGAGAGGACAGAGACAGTTTATTTGAATGCATTTTGAGCAATTTGCCCATAAAACGGGTTTCCGGCCGGGTTTTTGGGCGACGAGGGGGTGGCCAAAGTGCACACGACTAAGCATCATATCCCAGACATGATTTATATGTTTTTCTGAGTATCTGAATAATCATCCTGGTACTCGTTGGAAATACAGACGAGCAACGTAGAGGACCAAAGTAAACCCAAAGCCGAGGCCCATTTGTTCGCATTCTCGACCCAACGACGACTTTGATGCTCGGCCTTCGTGCTGCTCGCTCGCTGCGCTCTGCGCTCCCAAAGACGAAAAATGCAGTAGCTCTTCGTCCTGCAACTCGTGCGATTGCTTCTTCTTCTCGCCTCCGCTCAGAGAAACCGCCCGCCATCTACGGCGAGGGCGCAAAGCCTGGAGAAGTTCCAACCGACTTTCAACAAGCGACTGGTCTTGAGCGTCTTCAACTTCTTGGCCAAATGGAGGGCGTCGACGTCTTCAATACCGGCCCGCTTATCATGTCGAAAGCTGGAACTTTGGAGGACCCAACCTTGGTGCCATCTTATGTGCGTATCTCGGTTTAGTACATTTGTTTAGCTGATAGAATCCCGTTTTCAGTCCGAGGAGCGCATTGTAGGTTGCAACGGTTGGCCTAGCGAAACCCACGACATGGTTTGGCTCACTGCTAGCAACCATAGAGAAAACTCTCGGTGCCCAGAGTGTGGAAATGGTATGTTTAAGCTATTTTTGGGAGGGCCCGTTGACTGACCATGACTGCCAGTGTTCAAGCTGCAATTCCTTGGAGAGGCAGGAGGACATCATCACCACTAGAAATGCAATTGTAACTTGCTCAAATATGCTAATGGCTGGTCTTACTATGGAATATGTCTACATGTTATGACCAGCCCTTGGGCCTATATCTTGGCTTATCACCTTGTAAGAAGCTTGAAATATGTTCCCATTACTACAAAGGGATCGATCTTGCCACTATTGGGATTGTCCTCGCGTGTGACGGGTGGCGCATTCCTTGAACTCGACCTCTACCTCGTCTAGTTCGAGGGCGGCACCTCTTCACCTACGACGTGTTTATCTGACCTTGTGAGTTCTATAGCAAGCAGAAATCACAATCGCTGATTAGACTCACGTCAATGTCTCAGCAACACTTCCATGCCACTCAACAGTTATGCTCAGTTTCCCAGCACTACAGTATCAGGTCCAGTTCCATGCACGTTTATATTCCCCGGAAAACGTCGCCAGCGGTGGAAGGACAGCGACCCCAACTCGGTTCTGAGGCAAGAGTGTCAATGTAGACCTCGAGCAGCACAGAAATCAGCCGTCGAAAGTCCTATCGCTGACACACTCAGTCCTACTTGGATGGCGGGCCACTCGATTTCTACGTCAATGACAAGGGCTTCGCCGTCTACAGGCGAACGTTCAAGTTGCCTCCGAGAATCCTCTTCCGCCGGGACATTTGGCTCCAGACAAAGTCCCACAAGTATCTTTCTGGATTCCGTCTCGACTAGCCCTGTTCGACGACGACTTACTGCGATGAAGGATACCTTTCACACACCCAGAGTGGCAGACTCGACAGATCCAACGGAGATGTTTACACCACCAGATGCATTATTCTCACAAGAACTGGCACCAGTCAAGTTTTCTCATCACCAAAATGATTCTGCCTTTAGCGTCCCCGTCTCTCGACACGAAGACGATGCAGTCACTCCTTCGAAGGAGCGGGAGCTCGCGTTCGACAATCACGATGTGTATATACGGAACGCAGTCAATGTTCATGAATATCCAAACACGGATATCACGGGGTATGCATCCTCACCAACTCTGCACCGTGCACGAAGACCCTCCCCTCATAATTCCTCCACTGCAGCCTCCGGCTTTGTTCGTTGAATACGATGATATATCCCCGCAGTGTCTACCTTCTCCAGGTCCCTCCTTTATAGGTGCAACTATACCTCGCAGAGACAAGTCGCCAGTACCGGATTATGTCAAGAATCTCCAGCTGGAATTGTGGATCGATCAAGAACAACATCGCACTATCCGCGTCAAATTTGAATACAAACGATGGAGCCCACAGCCAGTCGCTTCAGTCGAAAGGGAGCCTTTCTCGGAGCATGTCACTTCTACTGGGATCATAGACATGCGTATGACAAAGACACAAACTGGTATTTTCCACTGTGGTGCAAGTAGCATTTTCCCGTGTTATAACAGCGACTTATGATGACAACAGAAACTCTCTCGAGAGGCAGTCATTCGACGGGTGATCGTCGACGGCCGAGACGATAAGGACTATTTCTCGCGTAGTGTCACCTTGCCCCTCAGAGAAAACGGAGTCTACGAAATTGATAGTACAGAGAATGTGCGAAAGCGAAAAGGTGGCCAGCAAAAACTCCCCTGGAAATTCAAATATCTCGTCGAAGAACGGCGTCATGCTCTAACAAATGAGGTGATTCCCACCGAGAAGGTGAGATAGTGACACATTTGTGCCCATTGTCTGGTTAACGAACAACAGATCCTCCGTCCAATTTGTTTCGTCTGTTCACCGGAGCTGCTCTTACCGTCGCAGGCAATAACAGTCACTATGGCCCATCTCCTCTCCAAAAGTTTTCGGCCTTCTTTGGTCGCCAAGCGTGTAACCCCTCCAGCTATGCCAACTCCAGTGACAGCTATCGCTACGCCTTTAGAGTCTACTATGGGAGGTATACTGCCAAATAACGAGCGACGCCGGAGTCGGGTTGGTAGCGTAGTCAAATCGCTTTCACGTCCGACCACGCCGGCCACCGATCGAAGACTTCGAGGAACCAGAACGCGCGGGTCATCGTTTGCAAGTGGTAGTCTACCCATTACTCCCCAAACTAGTGTGACAAGACCCGATCTTCTGGTGCCGAGCGCTGCGTACCCGACACCAGGTTCTTCCAGTCTCCAAGCACCAAGCCATCATGGATCGCATGTCAATTTGTCAACTCAATCTGCACCAGATTCTGGTCGCCCTTCTACTGCAAGGAAGGGCCTTATGCTCGATTGGGATCCTCCAGAGACGATGAAGCAACTCTTTGTCCCACGTGCCCGTCGCGCATCCGAATCGTCCTCCAAGAAGCCACGTAGTGTTGGCAATATACTCGGAAAGTCTCCTAAGCTCCTTTCGGGCGCACTGTTCACTCGCCCACGCTCCAATAGTCGGCCAGCCACCGCCGGAACAGAAAGGTCCCAGTTCTCGTTTGATCACGGCTTTTCGCAATATACGCTTACACCTGCGGCCTCTGACATACCACCCGTTCCCGTCCCGCCATTGCCTTGGTTGATCCCAACAGACGACGAAGTGTTCTCTCTTCTTGGACGGATGGCCAAGGTTGTCAACAAGGAGCAAGAGAGGCTAGAAAATCTTGCCAGAATGCATAATTCGAGGGAGGCACGGATTGAAAGAGTCGATTCTTCCGGAGATCTCAGTGTTATTTCCAGCACCCCAGGCACCCCTCGCCAACCAACTGATACACCGTTCACTCTACGACCAATTGCATCGTTTAAGACTTTAGAGAGAATAGCTCGAAACGTTCTTTGGCTTCCAAGCGACCGTCGACCGCGGGTGAAGCGTACAACCGTTTGACCGTTCGTTCAAAGAGTTTGGCAAACGTCAAGCGCCCAGGAACAGTTGACGGACATTATGGAAAGAATATGGCTACATGGAATCACCATTCACGTTCTCAAAATACCTCCAGTACCAGCATCGGACTTCCAACCCCTCCTCGTCGGTCAAGACACAATGTAGCATTCGAGTGAAGATTGCACTCCCCAAGTAACGTACATTATTGTAGTGATTTGAGGCTGTTATATTTGTGTATCGGCAGAAGATGTACTTAGTAATTATTCATAGTTTGGCGAGTCCTCTTGCATTGAGCAGAGCGGCCTCTTTCTTCTTAATCTCTGCAGTCAACTCGTGTAATCGCTTGGCGCGTTCGAGCTCTCGTCGACCAATCTGTTGGATATGGACCTCGTCCGGACCCTGGAACCGACTTAGTTCGACCTTAAAGGCCTTTGGAGAAGTACGTACGTCTGCAAAGCGAAGAGTTCGCATTCCTGCTGCAAGCTTGGCCAGCGGCGTGTCTTGGCTAATGCCTTCGGCCCCATACGATTGGATTGCTCGGTCGATCACGGTTGCAGCCATTTGCGGGACTACAAACTGATCCGGTGTTAGAGCCAATCTCGTCTGCAAGGGCACAACCCACCTTGGCGATACCAATTTCCTTCAGTGCACCTTTAGCCTGGAACTTGTCGATCTAAATGTATAATGAGACTTGCGTATGGCCTTGATCGATGACTATACCTGATGAGCAGCGCTGAGAACTAGTAGACGAGATGCCTCTATCTCAGCACGAGACTTGGCAATGTCGGAGATGATGGTTCCTAGCACAGTGAGACTACTTCTTCGTCTATAAAATCTGCTTACCATGCTGATATAGGAACTTTCCAAATGTCTTCCTGCTTGGATCCGTGACTCGTTGGATCATCAAGTCGAGGGCATACTGTGCGGCACCGATGGACCGCATGCAATGATGAATCCTTCCTGGACCAAGTCGGCCTTGAATAATCTATGGCCCGAAATGAGTTACGGTCCGCTTGTCATGAGAGCAAGATACCTCGAAACCTCTCCCCCACCCCAGGACCAGGTTGGACAGAGGAACGCGCACGTTGTCATATATAACTTCGCAATGGCCCTCTGGTGCGTCATCATACCCGAATACATGCATAGGGCGAACAATCTTGACACCTGGTGTTTCCGGCGGTACCAGGACAACGGATTGTTGCAAATACTTGTTCTTGTTGTCGGGATCTGACTTTCCCATGACGATGTGAAGTTTGCAGCGAGGATCACCAGCGCCAGATATCCACCATTTGTGTCCATTAATGACGATGGAGTCGCCATCACGGCGAATAGATGTCTGAATATTGGTTGCATCCGAGGATGCAACTAGTAAAGTTTAGCTGAGAGCATTGGCTTGTCTGTATACATACCTCCTTTCTCTGTCATGCTAAATGCTGAACGAATCTCTCCGTTCAACAGAGGAATAAGCCATTTCTTCTGCTGTTCCGGAGTTCCATATTTCGCAAGAACCTCTGTGTAAGATTATTATCGTGGTTTGATCACCATATTGTTCGCGTACCCATGTTACCAGTGTCTGGAGCAGAGCAATTCACGGATTCGGATCCAAACTGGCCGCAGCGGCCCAGTATTTCTGCCATGACAGCATACTGAAATATCGCTGAGCACGCTTGTGCAAGAGATTATGTAGCTTACCTCGAGGTTGGTGAGCGGCACTCCAAACTCTGGGTAATGTTTCTTGGAGAGGAAAAGGTTCCATAATCCACGCTGCTTGGCCTTTAATTTCAGCTCTTCTGTAATGGGAATGACTGTCTTCCATCGCTGGACAGGATCCGCTGGGAGTTGGGCTTCCCAAACCTTTCGTGCTGGCTCGAGCTCGTTCTGCGGCTGGTCAGTACACCCTAAATCGAAGCGTTGGATACATACATGCACAAAGTCGACCAGCTTTGCTAGAGTTTCCTTCGCGTACGGCGAGAACTTGTCTTCGACCTGTCGAGGTGAGAAGGCAAGCAGCACTCGCAAGGCTGAGAGCTCACCATTGCCCACGACGAGGAGGAAGTATACTGTTCGATGGGATGCGGAGCCATTGTCGGAACAAAATTGTAGGTAGAGGTGAGGGTCAAGATTCAAGGCGGCTAACTCATAGCCGTAAGTATAACCGGTGGAGCCGAATAAATGAGAATAAAACTAGTACAAGAGGTAACATCGAGTGCGTTCAATTATCACCGGTATCTATCTGTTTCTTGCTCTCGGCACGAGCCGCGAGCCTCTCGTCCATCCATCGGGGAGGTACTCCGTGAGTCGAAGGGGCCTCGAGCATGAGACTGGCCCCCGGAAGCGATTTCGTCCATTGTCTCCATCTAACTTTTTCTACCCATTCTTCCCTAGATACCAGAACTCGCGCATCTACGTCTCGGAGGTATATGTCCTTGTTGTTCCATACCCTTCGGGTCAGACGCTCCTTTGTACGCTGAGTGATGCGTGCAACAGCATCATTAGTCTTCTCGAACATAGCTCTAAAGGACTGCAGTGATGCTTCAACCAGGCTGATGTGAACTTGTAGATTCAACGGCGAGCGTTGTGCCGTCCTGGGTACAATTCCAATAAAGTCCGAATCTGAACAAAATGAGAACACGATCATGCGGGCCGTAAGGTGCTTACAAGGTTGTGTGTCATGATTCAGAGGAAGGCCCCTGGTTGACGCCTGTCCAGCCGGAAGAGCATCAAGAGCCGACTTGAGGAATGCGAGCTCACTCTCTCGCCTTTTGACTAGTTCGGCGAGGTGATACTTCATCCAACGCATAAGCTCCGTAATTCGCTGGTGATTGGCATATGCGAATACCGGCATGAACATCAAAGGAGTGATCAAGAAGCGGGGTGCAGTGAGGTCATCCGCGGTGGGTTGTTCATTTTCGTTGCCGGCCAAGGGCTGAGTTTGAGACGGCTGATAGCGTTGTATCTCACTATCCAACATGGTCTGGAGACGCAGAGCTTCTGCTTTGTCATACTCTTCTGCGAGAAGCATATAGTGCTCGCAGAGCATTCGTTGACCAGCCCACGCTAGGTGACGAAGCATATATGCAAATGTCGCGTTATTTGGACTGGCCCTTGCTGGCTCCCAGACGTAATCGCTTCGATTAGGGAGTGGCCTTTGGTTCACAGGCTGGGGAACATCGTACTCGTCCTCGCTGTCCCACCAGTCCGAAGTCGGCGAAGGAAGATTGGACGGAAGTGGGTATGGGTTTGTGAGGACTTCGAAGATCGTGATCATCTTCGGAATATCTCCTAGACTTCCATATAGATGTACCATCGAGGTGAGAATGGAAGTAGTCATCGGCATAAGTTGAGGAAGGGGGAGACCTGATTTGTCGGCTTCCTTGAGTCTGCGCTCGAATTCCTCTGGCATACGGTCGGGTCTACGTATGTCAAATGCGTAATTCTCTCGCAACAGCGCCTCGGCCGCTTCCACGTTGCCGTTCACCCTAAAGACCCTGAGGGCTAGCTCCATTATCGGTGGAGTGATCTCCTTCTCCTCCGCCTTCATCCGTTGTAGGATATCAACAGCAAATTTGTTTGCTGTTTCTCTTACGGTGCCCCGCGCAGAGTATGGAATATCCAGCTCCAGCAGGAATACGGAAGTTTGGAGAGCGTATTTGTATGAACTAGGGGATGGTGTGATTCCCTCCTTCTCCATTCTTTCCAGTATCGCAGCTGAGCCATACACATGCCCACCGGCCCACATATAGCGGAGCATATAGTCAAAGTCCTCCTTTTGGGGTACCTGATTTGCTTCTTTCATGTGAGTAATAATCTCGAAAAGTCGGTTCCCGAACGGCAACGGGTTTTCGAGCCTCTGCCAGATCGTCTGGCGATTTGCCTGGTGCGAGCAGTATTTACGTGTACTATTCCAGTCTGGTGTACACTTTCGTAGTACCTTTTGTAGGGTCTCACGCGGTATTGGCGCGCTCCGGTTGAGATTTATGATTTGTCGAAGAGCCAGGTAGGTTTCCCAGACCTGCTCATAGCGTGCTCCTGGCGTGTCCAATAGTTCTTCTAGTCGCTTTCGTGCCGATTCCATTGGGTTTATCCCCAGAAATCGGGGCAGAACAACCGCATGGTTGCCGAGGTTGGGGTTTGCAGGCTGGTCACTCTTTTCGAGGCTCAATTGCTGGTATTTTTCTCTGCTTGCACGTGCTTTGGCAAGATTTCTGAGCACTTGGGCTGAGCCGCGCGCCAAAGACGGGCGCATGGAAGAATAGTGACTTTTGGCGGCTTCCAACCTTGAGCTTGCTGCAACCGTACGAGCAAGCAACTCGATGAACGACGAGGATGATTATCTGTCCGACAAATTCTTGCAACAACTTGAAGCAAAGGAGAGGTCTAACAAATCGTACTCACAGCGAAGGAAAGATGCTCAACGCGACTCGGAAATTAGGAATCTAGCCGGTCGCACCAAGTCGAAGAAGGAGCTAGAGAAGGAGGCTATGGATAAACTCAAGGAGGGAATGTCTACAAGTTTATTCGAGCGGGAGAAGCTGGCCGTCGCTGAGGGTGGCTCGGAAAGCAAGGCCATGAGAATGATGAGCAAGATGGGTTTTAAGCCTGGACAAGCTCTAGGGAGACAGGAAGTCGCCGTTTCTCCTAGTGAATTGGTGGAAGGGTCAACGAGCAAGACTACCAGTAACAAGAAGGCTGTTCCCATCTCTATCAACCTATGGGAAGGTGAGCTCGAGTCGGGTGATCAACAAACGCGCGTGACAAGCAACCAGGTAGAAAAGGTCTCGGGGCCATGAAACGTCCTCTGTCGCCTGATTCAGTCGCACATGAGCTCGAGCGCGCAGCAAAGGCCGCCAAAACAAGGGAGGCTCTGTCTCAGGACGAATTTAGAAGCAGGAACAGAGCTGAATTCGAGGAAAAGAGGGATGAAGGTCGACTCCTCTCTGCTCAGAAGACTTGTGCCGTTCTAGACGAAAAAGCAGGTGTAACCGTAAGTATCTCCGTCTACAGACATGCATAGTACTCAGCTCCGTCTACTAGTTCAATTACCTTGTCGTCAATCCTCGTAGGGCAAAACTCATTCCACCGAACCTCCTTGATGCCCTCGGTATTGATCCGGAAGTGGATATCGACGACACGTACCAATCTGGTTCGCATAGAATGAGAAAAGATAACATGGAGAGGCTAGAAGACGATGAGACCCGCCTTGACTCTGGGCTGGCGCGTCGCCTTCGAGAAGACATGAAACGAGATGCTCTCGTATCACGCCACAACCCAGGAGAAATTGACGAGGATGAAACCCTGAGCATGGGTGCAGTGACTCGGAGAAGCAAGTCCGAACCGGAGCCAAACGAGCTTCAAATTACGTCCGAACTTGTAGAGCAAACTCAAGAGTTTCTTCAACAGCCAGTAAGATCATATAATGCATGGAAATCGGTGTACTCATCCTTTGCAGGCAAAGGTTAGGCTCGAGCGAGTTCTGGGCTACATGCGGGAGAAATATTTCTTTTGTTTTTGGTGTGGTACCGAATACAAAAGTCAGGAGGACATGAATACTTCGTGTCCTGGAGAGACGGAAGAAATGCACGACTAGAAGCAATATAATATATCGAAAGCAGATGTAGGTTATTGATCTGGGGGTTAGTGTCAGAGACATCCATCGAGGAGAATTCATCGAGCCCTCAAGACACTCACCGGAACGCTCTCCGCCTTCTGTTTCAAACTTTTTGCGATACCGAAGCGACTCTTCGACGGCTTCGACGTCTGGGTTCCCTTGGGCATCAACTCCCCATAGGGCTGCTGCCACTCGACTTGCTCGCTCCCGCTGTTCTTTACTCTCAGCGCGAGTGAAGCCCGACATGCTTGCAACGCCCTGCAGGCTCATCTCTGGTGCGTTGACCTTTTGGTCTACATTCGATTTCAGCATGTCGAAATCGAGATGACGAGGATGGACTGGATCGAGAGCAAATTCTCGCTCAATGTGCGCGTCGAGGGTTTCCGGTGTGAGAAATGTCGCACTTTGGTGATAGAGAGAGACCAATGCACGTAATTTCTTTCGTGGAAGACGTCTCTGATTCGGCTGTGCGGTCGAATCCAATATTTCGCCTTCCAACAACTCGTCCGGTGCTCGATATGTCAAAAGGTCACCACTATGTGGCTTTGGGACAGTAAATCCCACTTTTTCAAGTGGTGGTGGAGCGCTTTCCTCCTTTTCGAGTCGTTCTCGCTCACGTTCGACTGTAGCTTGGTGTCTAGCCCAGAACGCCTTGCGTATCTCCATTGATAAACGGTCTGTAGCATCATTATACCACGCTGTCTGTCCCCTGAGACTTCTGTGAGCGATCCCTTTGGCTGGTCGAGCGAGAAGTCGCGACATCGTCGAGAACAAGAATTTGGACCCGACCTTATTCGACCATGAAACATGGAGTCGCGTTCAGAAAACTCTCGAGACCAACTGCTCACAGGATGCTCATGTTAAGGTGCACAAGGCAGCGAAATAGACGCGAAAAACGATGCTGAGCTCGCGGTAGAAACATGGTGTCTTCGCTCATTGAACACGAGCAAATCCAGACGACCTTTCCAAAGGCAAAGGAGGCGGCTAGGTTGGCGGAAAAGGTATCTACGAGTCTGCAATTGTCGCGTAGATGGTTGGCTCACAAATTTCTCACATGTAGCTCATTACGCTGGGCAAGAAGGGAAAAGATAGCAATCGTTCATCCGCACAAAGCTTCTTAGCGTCGACAAGACTACTTCCCAAGGTGTTCGGCGATCTGGCTGAGCGGTACAAGGACCGGCCTGGAGGGTATACTCGCATTTACAAATATGGGCGCCGACCTGGTGACAATGCGCCTAAAGCAATTCTCGAGCTTGTTGACGGGCCGCGAGATACCAAATTTGAGATGACGGCCCGCAAAGTCGGATGGGAGGTCATGGGTTGGAAAGAGAAAGGGGAGCATACGGACCTTTATAACGGCGTTGAGAATGGCGTTGAAAGCATTGAAGTGATGGGCGGTAACGCCAGCTTTCTGAGAAAGGGGACCAGAGAAGACGTCGCCAAAGTGTTGCAGTATCGCAACGAAGCCGAACGTGCCGAGTTTGGAACCAAGGCAGCAGCATACCTGGTGAGTCTACTTCTGCTAAAAGGCGAGCTCCAGCGTTGACGGTTTCCGTAGAATACATTATTGGTCGAAAAGGACGCGCGCAACAAGACTAGGAAAGAATTCGTTAAGAAGCTCTCGGATGACGTCGAGAAGAAGAAGATTGATTTTGCCGTTCAAGTCCAAGAAGCTCGACTTTGGCGTCGTGTCTGGCACCGAGCTCCTGGGCAAGTGATGCCATCGTCCACACTGGGCAGCTTGCAGCTAGCCAAGAAGGCAATGGCAAAGAAGCGACCATGGCAACTGGAAAAATCGCCAGCCGGCTACAGCCCCTTGGAGATTTCCGCCAGCAAGCGGTTCTTGCCTCGAAAGACGATCCGGGTAAAGACGGTCGAGGTCATTGTCGACAAAGATGGCGAGAGAAAGAGCACGTCAAAGATTGAAGAGGGTCGATCAATCAAAGAGATGCCATTCCGGAAGAAGGCGCTGCCGCCAAAAGTGCAATCTGCACTCAAGATATGATTCTCGTAATCCCTTACGAAGCTGTCACTCATTTAGTCGTAATTATAATGCGTCGGGCTGTGGTATGCGTGTGCGAGTGCACGTTATTTGCTCCTGTCGGATCTTGTTTCCAGAGTGAGACATTGTGGGGGGACAACTGAGGGCCAAATGCCGACCCGCCTCGGAAATCTCAACTTTGATATCAAATTTACACACTCTTAATTGTGCTCAACGTCATTTGGTAGCTTGTTAGTCACTGAGATCAAGGGGCCCATTTCCTCTGATATATTCGGCCCGCTTCTCATACAACTCGTTGCTTCGAGCTCCTGAGAGGTATAAAGGGCCTCCTCTGACTGTTCCAGACGGTCCGACAACTTCTCCCCCTTTCCTCCCCGGTTGCTCAGAGTGCCAACCTCGGTCCAAAGGACATTGCGAGATATTCATCTGTGCAACTTCAAAGATATTGCTCTTGCACAGATCACTTGTTCGGTCTCCCCCGTCACACCAGGCTTTGCGAGTCCTCGGGAGCCTGCACGCTGGCGCATGAAGGGTACCGAATGATTGTTATTCTGCTGCAAGGATAATGATATACTGTCCCCTGTTTTCTTCATCTGTGTATCTTTTGTAGGCCCTCACCATGCATCCCCGGCCTCAGTCTTTGCTTGAATTCACTAGAGTTGATTACGGAAAATCGTACTGAAATCGGCTTATGAGATATTGGCACCGATCTTGTCGAGGTGAAATTCTGTGTAATTCTTGGTCGATGGCTGTGATGACGCTGTGCTAAGGATAGCACGCAAATAAAAGTGGGTGGCAGCGTTGGTTCGTTGGCCGCAACTTGGACTCCTCCATGGCGCCTACAAACTCGACCACAAAGAAAGGAATCAGGATTGGAAGTGCTCTCAAATCTGGCGCTTCAAAGGTTATTCCGGGCAAGCGCTTTGCCCGTCCAATCGCCACCGTCACAACGCCAGCGCCGGGCGAGCAGCCAGTCTTCATCTTGAAAGTACAGATCGTAGGCTGCAATGGGCTTCCAGGCGTAGACAGAAGTGGCAAGAGCGATCCGTGCGCACTCTCCAACTCCAGTGGCGCTTGTCGAGATTGCGCTAACTTGTCCTCGCAGCTATGTCACCGTCCGCTTGCTTCAGAAACAATTTCAAACACCCGCGATCACTGCGAATCTAGACCCCGAGTTCCCAGCAGCTCAGTCGACGTTCGAGTTTCCCGTCTTTGCTTCGCTCATCGAAGCGCTTGGCGCCCTGGAGCTTATTGTGTGGGACAAGAATATAGTCATGAAGAAGGAATACCTTGGCGAAGTGGCTATCCCAATTGGAGAATGGTTCGCCGGAACCGCGCTGACGTTCGATGATCCAAACAACACGGTCAGTAACTTTAATCTCGGAGACATCTATGTGAAACTGACTACAATTTTGATAGCCAATCGTTCGTCCGTTGTTGTCTACAAAGGCATCTCGCCCTGCGATGGGTTCCATCAGGATCAAGCTTGGTCTCGTGCCAGTTAACCCGCAGATGCCAGACGTCAAACAGCCGTACCAGGAGATGGTCCGCCGCTCTCAAGATGCGGCAGTTACACTTCAATCGGCACCTCCGGTGAGTAGGGTTCAGTCTCTGAATGCCGATTCTCACCCTTTATAGACGGAAGGAATCGGTACGGTTCGGAGCGACGATGGTCACGATCTAGAGGACGATGGGATGACAGACGATGAGACTGAGGACGAATTTGACAGTGACCAGCCCTCTGCTGCCGAAGTCATTCAAGCTGTCGCGCCTGTAGGTGCCGTTTCTGTCGCTCCAGCCACACCCCAAGTTGCCGTCAAGGCTCCAGAAATTGTCGCACCCATCCCAGAACCCATATCCTCACGACCCGGCCTACTCCCACGTCTCTTCTCTACATCTTCGCGCCGTGGTTTAACGCAACCACAGCAGCCTGCAGAGGAAAGTACCTCGACCTCGGCACCATCGTCGCGACCTTCCACTCCCGGAAAGTCCAAGCGACCCAAGTTCAGGCGTGGCCGTAGTGACAAGGGCAGCACTTACAACTTTGGAGGAGAAAAGGACGTCCTAGGTATTGTCCTTTTGGAGGTAAACAAGGCCGAAGACTTGCCCAAGCTCAAGAACAGTACAGCCTTTGCCTGCATTCGCCTTAGAGTTCTAACTAGTTTTTAGTGACAAGAACAGGGTGGGATATGGACCCGTTTGTGGTCATATCCTTCTCCAAAAAGGTGTTCCGCACTCGTGTGCTGCGCCACAACCTCAACCCCGTGTGGGACGAAAAGCTCCTCTTTCACGTCCGCCGTTTCGAGGCAAACTATAACATCCAACTTACTGTGCTTGACTGGGATAAGCTCAGTGGAAATGATCTGATTGCAGATACTACCCTTAATGTTGCCGAGCTCATCCAGGCCGCTCCGAAGCCGGACCCTACGACCGGACTCTATGCAGATCTCCAGAAGGACACGGAAATGATGCCATTCTCATTGACACTTAACGTTAACAAAGAGGCAGTTGGAGATGGGTCCCACAAACCAACCATTTCGTTCAAGTACGTCGCTCATCTTTTACTCGAATTTTTATTGAAGCAATTCCAGGGCTAAATATCAGCCCTACGATCTATTGCGCCAACGCTTCTGGGCCAACTACCTCAAACAATACGACACAGACGACACAGGCGCATTCTCTCACTTGGAGATTACAGCTATGCTTGATTCTTTGGGATCGACGCTCAGTCGTGAAACTCTGAATTCGTGGTTCACGCGTTCTGGACGTGACCCAGTTCGCGAAGAACTCACCCTGGCGGAAGTCATCCAGTATCTCGAAGAAGAGACCAGCAGACCAGATAGTCAAAAGAAGAAGCTCTCGGGCTCCCAGGACGAATCACTCAGTGCGGCCCCTAGTGGCATTGCTACTCCTTCCATGCTAAAGTCTCTCCAATCCGAGCCTCTCAACTTCGAGAAAATTGACTTTACCGGAGAAGACTTCCGACGTAGTCCTAGCCGCGAAGATTTCCCAGAGGCAAACCCCAACGAACCCAGTGGAAACACCAACGTTCTCGGCAGCATGCCCGTTCCTGCCGGTCCTCAGCTTAAGAACAAGCGAAATAGCCTCCCGACTCGTGCTGATATACCGAGTGTCGTAACCACAGAGGCCGAGACACCCAGTCGTCAGCAAAGTCAGTCTGACGAAGACGATAGCGGATCTGGATTGGAAGACCGTGTCGAGCGCGTCATCAACGTCAAGACATGCCCTCTTTGCCATCGGCCACGTCTTAACAACAAGGGTGAGATGGATATCATTACGCACTTGGCCGTTTGTGCTAGTCAGGACTGGGAGAAGGTGGATCGCATCACCGTCGGTAACTTTGTGACGGCAAGTCAGGCCCAGCGCAAGTGGTACACCAAGGCCATTGCGAAGCTGTCCACCGGTGCCTACTCGATCGGTGCAGTATGTGTTTTTCTGTCTAACATTCCAAGTTTTCATTCTCTCTATAGAATTCTGCCAACGTCATTGTTCAGAACCGTATGACTGGACAGTTGGAAGAGGAAAAGATGCAAGGCTTTGTTCGGATCGGTATTCGACTTCTTTACAAGGGTGCTCGAAGTCGCATGGAGGGTGCACAAGGTTTGTTCTTCCCCATGCTCAGGAATTTGAATCTAATGCTTGTCAAGCTCGCCGGTTACTCAAGTCAATGTCTATCAAAGAGGGAGTCAAGTTTAACAACCCAGAATCTGCCAAGGGCATTCGCGCGTTTATTGAATTCCACAACCTCAACGTGGATGAAATACTCGATCCGATTGACTCTTTCCCCAACTTCAACGAATTCTTCTACCGCAAGCTGAAGCCCGAAGCACGACCGGTCTCGGACCCAGATGATCCAAGGACAATTGTTAGCAGTGCAGATTGTCGTTTGATGGCGTTTGAAAGTGTCGGCGAGGCGACTCGTATCTGGATCAAAGGACGAGAGTTTACTGTGGGCCGTCTCCTAGGAGAGAGATACAAGGACGAGATTCACAAGTACGAGGGAGGTGCGCTGGTAATCTTCAGACTGGCTCCACAGGTGCTTTTCTTTTTTTACATCATTTTGGCACATACTAAGCGAATTCCATAGGATTATCACCGTTTCCACTCTCCCGTGGACGGAAAGATTGGCCCCATGACGTACATTTCTGGCGAATACTACACTGTCAACCCACAAGCCATTCGTACGCAACTGGACGTCTACGGTGAAAACGCTCGCAAGATTGTACCCATTGACAGCCCAGTCTTTGGACGTGTATTCTGCGCATGCATCGGCGCGATGATGGTCGGAACAATAGTAACGACTGTGAATGAAGGAGAAGAAGTGAAGCGTGGCCAAGAGTTTGGATACTTTGCCTTTGGTTCGTCTGCTAGTTTCCATCGAGTGTGCGGTGCTTATGTACTCCCCAGGTGGCTCTACCATTGTCACTATATTCCCAAAGGGAACTGCTGTATGGGACCAAGATTTGCTCGACAACAGCAAGGCACCGCTCGAAACCCTGGTCCGCGTTGGGATGCGTATCGGAAGAAAGGCCGACTAGAACATCATGGACAACAAGTTATAAACGTGTCATGCTACAAACGACGAATGTGTATATATACAAGCCTTCTGTCGATCCTGCTTCGAGTGAGGTTGTCGCTATGACTGGGCATTGCTTTCCCATTGAGTATAGGCGAACTCGCTGCTGCAGTGTACAGTTGACAGGATGGAAATTCTCAGAGGACTAACGTCGATACTTCAAGAGGGCCCCCCAGGTACATCATATATTCTTATTTGCATTCCTCAGCCTCGATCCAGTAGGAGGCCACCCAGCCACGGTGTCTATCGTTGCCGGTGAGCAGAATGCGGTCAGATGCACGTGGTTGCCAAGCGGCGTCCCCTCAGAATGTTGAGGACCACGCTGAAACTGTGAATACATCCGCTGGATACCCGGCCTACCTCTCTAAGTGTGGGTGTTGACTTGCTTGATTGCGGCTCTAAAAGTTTATGTGCTTCCAAACATCGGAGTTATTCTGCTTTCAAATTTGAGTGGAAGCGAAATTGACGACGGCATATGCTATGCAAATTTCTCGGTGCGTTTGTTACAGAAACAGATCCGCCTTCGGCACTTTCTCTCCCATTTCCTTCCCATGGAGACGCCGAGCCCTGGGCCTGGGCGCCGCTTAAGTATAAGAGTAACGGTCCATCACGGATTCGGCATGTTTCTTTTCCTCCTCCTGAACCGCTCACGATGGTAGCCAAACTGGTTTTTGGAGTCTTGGCTGCTGTCGCCTCGTCCGTTGTGGCGGCAACGAATAGCAGTCATTACCCATCACTCGATATGAACGTTACGACTCCGAGAGCTCTAGGTATTACATAGATAGTTCTGAACGGGGACGAGGTGTGCTAAATCTTACTGCAGGGGATGCGCTCCAAATTGCCTTCAGGGTCGAGGCAAACCGTTTCGCACTAGTTCGGTTACTTGCAATACCACCAAATAAGACTGTGACGCTCGCGCAGTCGATAGGCAACGTGAATGCGACGGAGAGCAGTATCACCCTGGGCCAAAACGGCTATACCCTGAACCGGAACACAACGAAGGACGCTGAACCAGGACGATCTTGCACGACCGCGCATGATACTGGGCTTTCTGGAATTCTTACATTTGTGCCGGATCAAGTCGGCACTTGGCAGTGGGCGACCGTCGTAGATTACTTCTACGGCGACAAGGGTTATGAGCAGCAAGGAAATCAAACATGTATATCTCCACCGTTTACCAGTATGTATCACAGCCCCTTGAGATTGGTGGAAGACTTACCTTTTCCGCAGAGGAAACGCTGCACATCCAGCCAATCTCAATCACCTTTACTGGCGAGGTTACTATTGTACCCGCACAAAACCAAGTCTACTCGATAGATGCGCAAACAATCTCCGTCCCCACTACCCTTTCGCGAAATCTGATCACAACTGCAACGCTCGGCCCTCAGGTCACCGGCACCGCATATGGAAAGCCTAATAACAGCGCTGCATTACTTCATTCAAAGCCAAGCAAAATACCCTTGTCATTATTGGTCGGGCTGGCTCTATACCTCTCATTATTCGCCCACTGAATCACCATATACCCAGCTGTATTCATAGATAGACAGAAAATAAATATACTTGTGGTTGCAACTGTATCCATTTCAATTCGCCTTGTCTACTTGTGGCCTCTTCCGTCCATAATACCGATCTCGGAGGGTCAAAGTAGCCAATTATTGTGCGAATATAATGTTCATATAGCCATATCTTATAAATACGCACTATATGTGCGTAGTTCGAGGGGCTATGCCGAAGTGGCGGCCAAAGGGGGTTTTCGTCGAGGATGAGCTAGCTCAAAGCTCATGCTAAGAAAGTCAATGTGCCTATTACTCTGCTCAATTTCTCTTTAATTCAATGTTCAGTGACTCCGACTATTATGAATGACCTCGCCGCTGATCTTTGATATATAATGTAGCCTATGGAGTTCCCATGCCTCGAAGTACCACCTAGTTCTTCTCGAATCTCTCATTGGATTCCGTCAGGCGGTGACGATGGTATGGTGGGGAGGCAGGCGCCCTCTCCATTCCCGCAGGTTGGAACCATCCACCTTCATAATGTCAGCCCAGAAGGCAGGAAAATCTAAGAAACAGCACAGAAGTATGAATACATTGGGATCTTTACCGTTTGCACAACACCCAAAAAGCAAGACGCGTCAAGTGATATATGAGACGGCCGCGGTCGGTCTCGACGTAGTCGCCAATATATCTGAGGGAACGGATATACTTGCTCCTCTCAAAGCGGCTTGTCGGGCAACAAGATCAATCCTCGAAGCTGCTCAGGTGAGCCGGCGAAGCTGACGGAATTCAATCTTAACGTATACACCAGGCTGTCGAGAATAGCCAAGAAGGGTGGATCAATCTAACTCAACGCTTCAAGGAATACATATATGCGCTTGAGGAACAGATCACCTTGTTTGAAGCGTACCCCCCAGAGGACAGGGTGGTAAACGAAGCGTTCAACCGATCACTCATCCGCTATGTCGAGTATGTAAGCAGTGCAACTTTGTTTCATTGGACTGAAAGATGCAGATTCCTCGAAACTATGCACGACAAGGTGGTTGATCTCAACGCAAAACGCAGACAAAGCAAACTTGGCTTCCTCAGAGCGTTTCCTAGATCGAGGATCGACGCAGAGGAGATTGTTAAACTTAATAGAGACATCGAGGATCGGCATAGGCAATTCATGGTACGAGCTTTACTAGTCCAATCCACAAGTTCACCCGGAGCACAGGAGGCATTGGGACTCTTTACCTCATTACGTATTCAAGGTATCGAACGGAATATCAAGGTTACCAAGGCAGACATGGAGGTTACCAAATCCAACGTGGAAACAATCCTGACAGACGGTAAGCTCGAAATTTGTATGAGACGTTTGGTTGACATCCCAAGTGGATGCCTCTGCTATACTCCAGCTACCGGTAGTAGCATTTGTCGCATCCTCAGTCCACAGTACCTGTTTGAAAGGAACGCGTGAGGCTGTTCTTGAAACCATCTGGCGTTGGGCCGGTGATGATGCCTCGGAGAAGCCAATATTCTGGCTCTGTGACATAGCTGGTTCGGGCAAGTCAACGGTTGCAATGTCCGCAGTGGAAACATGGAGGAAGGAAGGAGTACTAGGCGGTCGATTCTTCTTCTCCATAGCAAGCAACGAGGGATCAACTACCGAAAAGTTCTGCACCACCATAGCGAGAGACCTTGCTCACTACATTCCCGCGCTCGCCCCGCACATCGCCAGAGCCGTGAAGCGAAACCCCTCTCTTATGCGAAGCTCTCTCGACGAGCAATTCCAGTTGCTCATCACAGATACTATTCGTCATCGGCACGAGCGCGTAATTTTTGTCATCGATGGGCTGGACGAATGTAAATCTGGATCGAACAGACGAGAGCTTCTCCAACTGCTTCTCAAGGCCGCTCAAGGCAGCAAGAATCTCAAAATATTCATGACCAGCCGACCGGACCCTGTCATTGAAGCAGCCTTGGGATCGGTTGTGATCCAAAGTAAATTAGAAGACCGCCTTCACAATGTCAGCCATCATGACAATGTCGAAGACGTCGCTTTCTATATCCATAAAGCGCTAGATGGAGTACTACCTGATGACAAGAGGCAGAGGCTGATCGACAAGGCCAATGGTTTGTTCATCTGGGCAAGTACCGCATGCCGAATGCTCAATAGCGAGACTACATTGGACTCGCCTGAAAGCATATACGATCTTCTCATCTCAGTGGATCAGCGTGGAGATATAGACGATATATACAACCTCGTTTTCGAGCGGATAGACCCCAATTCCTATCCAATCATGCGTAGCATGCTCGCTCTATTGCTTGTAGCCTTCGAGCCACTCAGCATCGATGATTTGGACGACGCATTCAAGCATATTGGGGTTAAATGGAATACCAAGGCATTGATACGGAATCTAGGAAGCGTACTTAGTGTGAACCCAACTACAAACCTGATCCAATTCCGTCATCCCACCCTCGTGGAATACCTTCGACGTTGCTCCCAAACCCCAGTTGTCGACCAAAACAAGACTCTTTTCCTTGATGTCTCCAATGCGCATGGTCAAGCCTCATTGTGGTGTCTCAAATGCCTCACATCACGGACCGACGGTCTCAAGTTCAATATATGTCAACTCGAGTCATCTTTCTACCTAAATAGGGAGATCCCAGACCTTGAAGCTAGAGTATCCAAGTTCATTCCAAGAAAACTTCGATATGCCAGCTCTCATTGGTTATTCCATTTTGCGGAGACAGATGATAATCGGAGATCCACCCTCAAGAAAGAACTCCAACACATTATTCAATTGCCGAACATATTATATTGGATGGAGGTTCTGAGCTTCATTGGTGGAGTGCCGCGAGCCATAGCTGGCTTTCGAGCTGTTACAAACAAAACCGGAGTGAGTGTTTTATCGCAAGGAAATACAACCACTTACACAACAGATAGCTGGAAGAAGCAATTAGAAGCTACATGAACGAGATCCGGCAGTTCATAATATCATTCTCGGTACCGATTCAGGACAGCGCTCCACACATCTACATCTCGGCGCTTCCTTTTACTCCCACAACATCGAAATTCCACACAAATGGCCTGAAAATGTTCAATAATGTCATTGCTGTAAAGCAAGGGCTTGAGAAGACGTACGCGGGGCTACCCGGAATCCTTCGGGGTCACAAAGGCTCAGTCTTAGCTCTCGTGTTCTCAAAAGATGGCTCAAAACTGGTCTCTAGCTCATCAGAAAAGGAGATCAGAATATGGGATGCGTATACTGGTCAGCCCCTAGGGAAGCCAATCCGGGGTCATGAAGATTCGGTTTGGGCCGTCGCATTCTCGCCAGATGGGTCACAAATCATCTCTGTCTCGAGGGACAAGACGATAAGATTGTGGGATGCAGGTACTGGTCAACCTCTGGGAGAGCCCTTCCCAATTCCCGAAGTTTGGATCGCTCTTGCGTTTTCGCCAGATGGGTCACGAATCGTCTCTAGCTCATCGAAAAAGACGATTCGACTATGGGGCACGGACAATGGTCAACCTCTTGGAGAGTCGTTTCGAGGTCACGAAGGCTGGGCTACAGCCCTTGCGTTCTCGCCGGATGGGTCACGAATCGTCTCCAGCTCGGACGATGGAACGATTAGAGTATGGGATGCATACAGCGGTCACCCTCTGGGAGAGCCATTCCCAGTTCACGAAGTTTGGATTGCTCTCGCATTCTCGCCAGATGGGTCACAAATCGTCTCTGGCTCGTTGCGCAATACAATCCGCCTGTGGGATGCAGACACCGGTCAACCCCTGAGCGACTCTCTACGGGGTCATGATGGCAATGTCTGGGCCGTCGCATTCTCTCCAGATGGCTCACGAATCGTCTCCGCCTCGAGAGACGAAACCGTCCGCTTCTGGGATGTGAGTAATCGTCAACATCTGGGAAAGACATTTCGGGACCACGAAGGTTCTGTCAACGCCGTCACATTCTCGCCAGATGGTTCACAAATCGCCTCTGGCTCGGATGATGAGACAATTAGACTGTGGGATGCACAAACTGGCCAGCCTATAGGGGATTCGTTCCGAGGACACGAAGGCTGGATCAAGACCGTCGGATTCTCACCAGATGGGTCAAGAATTGTTTCTGGCTCAGGAGACGAGACTATTCGACTCTGGGATGCAACCAATGGTCAGCCCTTGGGAGACCCACTTCGAGGTCACGAAGGTCGGGTCACTACCCTTGCGTTCTCACGAGACGGGTCACGAATTGTCTCTGGCTCAGACGACAGGACCGTTAGACTCTGGGATACGCACACTGGTCAGCCCCTGGGAGAGCCACTCCGAGGCCACAACAGCACCGTCTGGGCTGTTGCATTCTCGCCGGACGGGTCACTCATTGTCTCCAGCTCTTTAGACGCAAATATTAGAGTATGGGATGTGTCTACTGGTCGATCTCAGGGAGAGCCATTGGTTTACGAAGATTCAGCTACTGCGGCGGCATTCTCCCCAGACGGCTCGTGGATTGTCTCTGGCTCAGATGATTATATGATCAAGCTATGGAATACAAGAACTGGCCAGCTTCTGGGGGAACCATTACGAGGACACGAAGGCTGGATTGAGGCGGTCGCATTCTCGCCGGACGGCTTACGTATCGTCTCTGGCTCTTCAGACAAATCGGTCCGTCTGTGGGATGCGGTCACTGGTCAGTCACTTGGACAGCCACTGCGAGGTCACAAAGGCTGGGTCAGAGCCGTGGCATTTTCACCAGACGGCTCACGAATCGCCTCTGGCTCGGAAGACTGCACGATTCGATTGTGGAATGTGGTCACTGGTCAGTTCATAGGACAATCATTTCGAGCTCATGAAGGTTGGGTCCTCGCCATCGAATTCTCCCCAGATGGCTCACAAATCGTCTCTGGATCGTCGGACGGGACGATTATGCTGTGGGACGCGAAGACAGGTGAGCACAGCTCTGGGTGTTTTTTTTTTTGGATGTGTGACGACTACAACTAGACGATTGTGAGACCGAGGAAGTTCATGGAGAGCCCACACGTCCAGCTCCTGGAGAACACCCAGGGAGTGCTGCCCTGGGAATCATCGTACCTGGATTCGGATACTGCTCGCTTTTGGACGATGGCTGGGTTGTATCCTCCGGCAAACGTCTCATATGGGTACCACCAGACAATCGGCACGGACTGCGCCATCCACGCCTTCATTTGACTTTACCAACATCAAGTCCTCTCCGTGCAACTAGACTAGATTTCACCAATTTCCAATGTGGAACCTCATGGACGAAGGTTCGATCTGACACCTGGTAGTATGATTCCATTATAATTGATGTGCCTGCCCGTATAATAAGTCGAAAATTACCAGTTTTTAACCCGCTAATCCTGCGCTGGGGACTCATATTGGGAGGGCCATCTTTCACCTTGCTATTCTCCATGAATGGAACGAAATCGCTGATTCTTGCTCCTACCAGTGCCAAAGCATCTGTTGGTTGTTCAGAGGCTGATTTTTGGCTCAATATTGATAATCTCTAGAGTCCGCCACGAATCATTTGGACGGCTATTCCAGTAGCCGCTCTCCAGGAAGAGTTTGCATCGTCTACCAAGATATCCGAGCCACTATAAGATGTTATCCCATATCCAACGGTGGCTGCACGAAGCGGATCCGCAGCACCCACTCCGCGTCTCCATGAAAGGGTTCACAGAATCAGTTCTCCGCACCATCGCTCCATACGACCAAGTCGTCACTGGGCTAGTAAGCTTCTTCAACCATGACGTTGAACCTATCGTTGGACGAAAGACTTATCGGGGCCCGCCAGAAGGCGAGTATCTGGTACTTCGAAACGATACTCTCCAGCACAAATCCCCTCTATTTCTCAACGTGGGCATCAAACAGAGCAGTGAAGTCATTATCATCATCCGCGACGAAGTCCTCCCCTCTGCTGAGGAAGTAGGCCGTCATCTCGAGCCTTACGCCAGCAAATATGTCACAGGGTGTCGAGAATCACGACAAGTGATCTTTTCTTGGGTGTTTGAACCTTCTGTGAAGCCGATCCAACTCCCTGAGCTCCCAGCGATCGATGCCGACAACGTTGCTCTCGTTCCACGCAATTTTTCTATCGGAATCAGATTCTTCCCGGAGTTTCACGCCTACCCCGGGCGTCTTCAAGTATATGTAAGGTGGTTGCAGGAGATTTGGAGGCACAGTGAGGCTTCGAAGCTGTTGGTATTTGCACCGACGCGGACCTTAGGGAGTTTTATGCGGAGAGAATGAAGTGCCTGATGCTTGCTCGTACCATGAGACGGGATATCGCAAAGATTTATGGCGCGTTTGTACGAGTAGGCTTCCAACCTCCGTTGTAAACTATACTCTCAAGGCTGGCTCGACTACCATAGCTAATATTCCACTACCAGTTTGTATCTGTGATAGAACTTTTGGCATCTCCCTGCAAGCTCAAGCGTAACTACTGGTGCCTCTGCACCTGTAACTTACGACTGAGACGTCTACCTGCATTTTAGCTGTACAATTGATTTCGATTTCTGATATTTTCGAATAACTCCCCACTGCCGCCCACGCGCGCTGTTTGTTTGAAGCTTGGACGCGTCCAAATGTCGACCTACGACGAGCGTCTCGCGTCTTTTGCTCCCCGCAAGCTAAAATCAAGCAAAAAGACGACAATCAACGCGTTACTCGCCAAAGGATGGCCACACCCAACCTCTGCCTCGACGTCAAACGGCAGACCGTACAAGGCGACACCAACCACGCTCGCCGACGCTGGTTTCTACTTTGATCCACGCGCAGACAAAGTGGATAATGTCACATGTTTTATGTGTGATCATTCCCTTGCTGAATGGACGCCAGAGGACGATCCGTTTGAGGAGCATCTCAACATGGGCTCCAAGTGCGCTTGGGCAATAGCGAGATGTAGCATTGAGCTGAATAGACAACTAGATGGAAGGTAAGAGGACGCTGGACACGATTGGAAGGCGAGATTGGCTGACTGTCCTCGTTTCCACCGCAGCTTTGTGTTCAGATCGGAGGACCGTCTGCCTACGGCAAAGTTATGGAAAAGGCTCGAGCCGAGACATTTCGGGGCCATTGGATTCATGACTCGGTCAAGGGCCACACGGCAAATTCGCGAAAGGTATTCTCAGTTCTCGAGCCTCTTTGTTCTTTGTTCTATGCTTAGCCGATGCAGATGGCCAAAGCAGGCTGGACCTTTAATCCTGGAGAGGCCGAGGATTCTGATATTGCGACGTGCTACTATTGCGGCAAAAGCTTGGACGGCTGGGAGGCCGGTGACGACCCACTGTGAGTCGGGAAACTTATTATACGAGTAATGCTGACTATGTACAAGCGCTGAACATAGAAAACGTATGCCCAAATGTCCAATGTTTACTGCCCAGCTCGTCGAGGAGGGTGGGCCTGAGCCTACCCTGCCAGATCCAGTACCGATTCCTCTTCCACCCGCTTCTTCGTCTTCATCTGCACCAAAGAAGCAAGCCAAGTCTCGTCGTATTGAGCCAGCCGCCGCCATGGAAGAGGTTACGGAGATGGAGAGCGACGCTCCCTCTCAGCCTGCAAAGAGAAGTCGATCCAAAAAGGCCGCTGCAACCGTATCTACATCTCAAACCGAAGATGCTGAGCCAGAAATGCCTCCACCAAGGAGCGCAAAACCCAACTCGTCACGTTCGACTTCGACTACACGAAAAGCCAAGGCGAAAGAGGCTGAACCAGAAGTTTCGGATGCTCCAACAAAGTCAAAGGCAAAGGGCAAGGCAAAGAAAACAGAGAGAGTACCGACGACGGATGTAGAGACAGACGCGGCCAGCGTCATTTCTCGACAGCCAAGTAGGTCGCGGTTAGCCGTTAGTGGAAGCGAAGCAGAGACCGACGTACGCGACGATGAGAGCGTCAAGACGACTGGGAAGAAGAAGGGCAAGAAAGTTGGTGCGAAGAAGAAGACGATCAAGAAAGCCAAAGCTCCTTCTGTAGCTGCAACCGACGACGAGGTTGACGTGGAAATGAGTGAAGTCACATCACGGCCAGAAGTACGCGATACTCAAGATGTGGAAATGACCCCTCTTGCACCCCCTCGAGCGACCATGGATTCGATCGGCGGATGGACAAGTCTGCAGGCTGCGAATGAAGAACTCGAGGAGATGGCAAGAGAGCTTCACATTGAGGGCGAATTCGCTGCCATCGGCAAGAGTGGATCGTCGTCTGACAAGAAGGCAAAGTCGTCGGTGGCCAAACCCGCAAAAATTGCGTCCATGACACGTACCGCGTCGTCAATGGCAACAACGATGAAGGACATCGAGGTGGAGCATGGCAACACTTGGGACTGGAGAGAGAAGAGCGTCGGTGCGAAGACTGCGACGACGGAGGCTGACGAGATGACCGAAGAAGAAGAGGTCGAAAAGTCACTCGCGGGTGATGAGGACGATGAGCGAGACGAGGATATGGACGACGATCCAATGCTTTTACCCCCGGCAAGTCGTGAGCCGTCAGTCGCCCCAACGACAACCAGTGGGACGACACGACCTAAGCCTACGGAGGCACGAGCCATGGCACTGCGTAGAGACGAAGACGGGGAACAGTCGACTCCGAAGGCACGGCGGACTGTTGAGAGTAATACCTCGACACTGGTGTCCCGACCGTTATTTGGGAGTGTGCCAGCAGGAAGCGGAAGCAAGCTGACGTTTGCGATCGAGGCAGGGTCGAATCCATTTCTTGTCAGCGCGCGGGACAAGGGCAATGAAGGCGGCAGTGGTGGCAGCGGTGGGCTGGGGGATTTGCAAGGCCAATTTGAAGCACCGACGATACCACAGGATGCGGCGTCGTACGAGATGAGCGCCGAGGAGCGAGAGATGACGCTCGAGGAATGGATCCTCGTCGACGTTGAACGGCGGAAAGAGCAAATTCGTCAAGAAGGCCGACGATGGATCGAGGGCTTTTTGGAAAATGCCGAGGCATCGCGAGAATGGATCCGTGGACTTTGATCTATCGACTTGTACAGTACGTTATTTACATACGGGTTTAGCTTTTGGCGGCTCTTTAGACTTTGAGTTTGACATGGGGAAATGCGCTGCGAATCCATCGAGCTCTGGGTTTTGGTATCGACGTACCTGACTTTCTGGCGGCGGGTCTGCATTCTACGTCGCGCCGTAATCAATGACAGCGGCAGAAATGATTAAATATTATATCTGTGTGGTTCGTGGGCCGAGTTGTTTACTTGGCTCTTACTCCCTTCTCCGTCAACAAACTCGTTGCCAGCAGATTCTACACCGGCCACTGTGGCCTCTGGAGCATTTCTGGAGCACAAGCTTAGTCCAGGATGTCTGTCGTGGGTTCAGCATTGCTCGACAGAGTCCTCAAGCTCAAGGTCAACCAGCACATCATTCGTCCGTCTTTTGTTCTTTTACATATCCTATGCTCACAATGAATCCTACTACAGACTATGTGGTGACCTACCTATGCACGCTCGTCAAAATTCCGCCAGTCAAGCTTCCTCAACACGGCATGCAAAACACGAGCTCTCTTGGGATAAACGACGAGTTTGATGACTTTCTTCCCGACCTGGATGACTTTATTCAAAATATCTCCACGCGGTCCCGGTGCACCATGTCGACCATTCTCGTCACACTCATTTACCTCCGTCGTCTCACTACCATACTCGAATTCTCCTCCACACCGTATGCACGTACGTACTTTCCACTCTTCTACTGCGCTGGCTTACGGAGCAACGTTCGCCACAGGCTCAGCTTCGTCCCGTCATTGTGTGGTCTTTTCGGCAATCATGATCGCACACAAGATTTGGAACGACTCTACCATGATTGGAAAACACTGGGCTGAAGTGTCAGACTTGTTTGATCCAGTACAAGTGGCGAACATGGAGCGAGAGTTTTTGGCACTCCTCCGCTTTGAGCTCCAAGTGTCCAATCAGGAAATCTGGGAATTTGCGCGTCCATTCATGTGTGCGCCGTATCTTCGTATCACACCGAGAGAGCAAGCGTGGCTCGATGCTCAAGACGCAGCCAATCGTCCCCTCTCATTCCAAGTACCGCCCCCAGCAAAGACAAGTCCCGTTACGCAATCCATACAGTACAAACCTTCCTTCTCACCTTCTCTGGTCGACGCAATCCCTCTGCACGACTTGGAGCGAGACGAGGTGAAGCCGGGTGTACGCGACCGAAGCGTGCCATCCATACTCTCGTATCGATCCTATAACCCCTCTTTCGGCTACATCTTTATCTTCGTTCGAATCCGAGTCGGTCAGCCCACCGAGCACGTATGACTCTCCCGTGCTCCCTCGGATGGCGCAGGTGCCAGGGAGCGCAAGGGTGTATAGCCAACGCTCATCGTCAACCAAGACGAGCTCGCTCGCAAAGAGGTCCAAGAGTGGTCCGCACGTCTTGTCACCTTCTGCGCGTCTGAAGAAGAAGCGACAGATTGACGTACAGACGGCGTACCTTGCCCCGCTTTCGATCCGGTCGCATCCTTCTCGCTCAGAGTTTCACAACGGTGCTTCGAATGGCATGTTGCTGCCTAGCTCGATTTCCGTCTCGACGTCGAATTCGGGCACAACGTGGTTGTTCAACGGACCGTTTACGGTTTATTCTTGACTCTTTGACCTTTGTTATTTCATGTGAACCCCTCCCTTTGTCGTCTTGATCGCACCCTTTTTGTCCTTACCAACTCTCGTTGTCTCTCAGTGTCGTCTCGCTCGTTCAACTCCAAGTGGACGAGCAAGGTTACACGTTCTTGATCCCTTTTCCCGTACCCAGTCGAATACAATGAGCTCTTTAATAACAAATCATGGATTTCGTCTCATGCGCCTTGGCTGATTGTCAAGGGACTGCCCTTGAAGGTCAGCCAACGACGAGCTCGGTCGCATATTGTCACTCATAGCGATCAATTTGTAGACTTGTGTGACTAAAAGAGGTTCAGAACAGGAGCGAAAACATCCGAAGAAGTCAACAATGGATTATATAAATAACCTTTCGCGTAAAGACAGGATGAGCATATAAAGTCCGTTTTCTGAGCAGTAGAGACGCGGCACCTCCTATGTTTTTCGCTTACTTGCAAATTGCGATGGGCGTACCCTCCCAGATATCGTTGCAGTTCAAGAACTCTGAAGAATAATATGAGTCGAAGACATGGAGAACTTGAATAAAGTACATACTGTTCGCATTGTAAACTTGTTCAGCCGTGATTCCAAACCGGGCACCAATTGATTTGCAAGTATCGTAGAGCTGCGAGCGATAGTTGGTCCAGCAAACCGCACCACCAATAGTCGTGGGCGTGGAAGGAGGGAGTCCTGTAACCGTGACCTGTGACTTTCCATAGATGCAGATGGGTGTTCCAGGCCCTGTTGCTCTAGTCAGATAATTTCCAGAAAGCTGATCGAAACAGACGCACAAATGTCGTTGCAGTTCAAGAATGCTACATACTAGTGAGTAAATGTTTGCAGGGATGAGTAGGAAAGAACGTACTATTGGCGTCGAAAACGTCACTGGAAGTGATACGGAAGGCTTCGGAGATGGAATTGCAATCGTCGCCCGGTTTGGAGATGTATGTCGTCCAGCACGTAGTGGGAGTTGCGCTTGGAGCGGAAGATGAAGAGGTTCGCCTCGTTGTGGTGGCATTTGTGGCTGTCCAGGTTGGGATTGGCGTCCAAGTAGCATTCGTGGCTGACCAGGTTGGGACTGGAGTCCATGTAGCATTCGAGGCGGACCAGGTTGGGACTGGAGTCCATGTAGCATTCGTCGCAGACCAGGTTGGGACTGGAGTCCAAGTAGCATTGGTAGCCGACCAAGTTGGGACTGGGGTCCATGTAGCATTTGTTGCAAATCCTGTCGTGTAATTGACCACGGTCGTTCTCGTGCGAGCGCCATCGCAGATTGTGATAGGGGTGCCATCCCAAATGTTATTGCAGTCCAGGAACTCTGATTAGAAGGGGATCTCAGCAACTATACGCATTGACGTTGGTGCAGGACGTACTGTTGGCATTCCACACTGCCTCAGGGCTCATACCGAATCGTTCGGCGATGGTCTTGCAAGTGTCTCCTGGGTGCGAACGATAGTTGGTCCAGCATGTGCCACTACCTGCGACCGTGGTTGATGCGGCGGGAGGAACAGTGACCGTGACTTGAGACTTTCCGTAGATACAAATTGGAGTTCCAGGCCCTATGAGCATGATTAGTTACTTCAGGCTTCAATCTGAAGGCGAGGAAGTATAAACGTACAGATATCATTACAGTTCAAGAATGCTAGGTTCATTTCAGTACTATCTCATAAACCTCAGGTCGTAGGGTACGTACAGTTAGCATCAAGAACATCCAAGGCGGGGATTCGGAATGCCATTGCGATTGTTTCGCAAGTGTCGCCGGGAAGGGATCGGTACGTTGTCCAGCAAGGTTGGGTATCCGCCCGGGGGACAGGGGCAGGAGCGGGATCAGCGCTGACATAGACAACTGCAGTTACAGTAAGGAATAGCGAAGCGAAGGAAAGCATCCTATTCGTTGTGATAAAGGGGACGAGACGAAACTGGCCTCAAGTCAGAGGGGATGGGCTGCCGTATTATAGTAGAGCGGTGTGGATGATGAAAAGTAGCCTATGGAGTTCCGCGAAGAATCCTTGAGTACATCGAATATCGCTGGACCCGGCCGTCGGTAATAGAGCTAATATCGCGGTGGAAAAGGGATGTCTTCCCCTGGTCCAACGTTTACTCATCGAATGAATTGCGTTCCAAAAGCCGGTGCCCTGGTCCTCAGTCTTTGTGATCGCCTGCCGAAAGGTGTTGCATGAAGGCGAGAGGACTTCGTAGTATCACAACGCGCCAGTATTAGCTTGTAATTAATCAGGTTTATCCGAAGGAGGCAAGCCGTTGGCATGCAATCTCGGTTGTTTGTAATCATCTGAGCCGATGCGCGCGCTTAAATCATATGAGAATATGCTTGGGACGTTGAATCAGGGAAATGCGATCTAATGTCTCTGAGAGTGTCCGTTTCTAGAGGTCGGACGTATTCATGGTTCAAGATGACATGCAGCCGACGAGACGAGACATCCAATATAGCGGCTGCTGAATTCGGAATGGGACTCTGCCGTATAAAAATCTAGTTTTGAATCCAGGGGACGAATACAGCAAGATGACTGATCCTGACTTGATGGTCTTATTCCACTGAGAATACTGGGTCGGTTTCTGAACATTTTTTTGGCTGTTTGGAGTAAATTTCATGCTGTTCTGTCGGCGATAACGGAGCCGGTAATGTAGTGACGGGTTTCAAGCGTGATCCGTGCAGCGGAAACCAATAATGTCGGTATATATCCAAAGTTCATAGTCTACTCTATACCTCGCCTTGGGTATAGTAGAGAGCTGATCAAAGCACACATATCCGGTCATCGTTTTTTAACGAAGCGCTAACATTTTATTCTTGACTCCAAGACTTTTGCTTCCTTGAATCCTTCCTCTGGTTCTCTTGATCACACTCTTTTCGCTTTCACCAACCGCATTCACATTGTAATATTTCGTTGTCTGGTTCCTTGGTCACTAGTGACTGAAAAGGCGATATTGCATATGATAAACCATTTCCTCGTACTATATAAGGCTCACACGCATGCAGGGAGAGCCAGCCACCCACGGACAAGCTTCGGACTGAACTCTGACAATTGTATTCTCCCGCAGTCTGCTAAGAAAGGGTACTTGAACGACAAGGATAAGCTCTGAACTCGCATAGAACGTCAAGGTCAACATTATAGATAATATTAACCAACGGTTCAAAGTAACGACAGGACGGGTATAGATATTCCGTTTTTCAAAGAATGGAGATTCCTCGCTTCGATCACTTGCAAATCGCAATGGGTGTACCCTCCCAGATATCATTGCAGTTCAAAAATGCTGAAGACTGTGTGAGTCAAATACACGGAGAACTTGGATAAGCACGTACTGTTCGCATTGTAGACTTGCTCGGCCGTGATTCCGAATCGAGCACCGATTGATTTGCACGTGTCATAGAGCTGCGAGCGATAGTTGGTCCAGCAAACCGCACCACCAATAGTCGTGGGCGTGGAAGGAGGGAGTCCTGTAACCGTGACCTGTGACTTTCCATAGATGCAGATGGGTGTTCCAGGCCCTGTTGCTCTAGTCAGATAATTTCCAGAAAGCTGATCGAAACAGACGTACAAATGTCGTTGCAGTTCAAGAATGCTACATACTAGTGAGTAAATGTTTGCAGGATGAGTAGGAAAGAACGTACTATTGGCGTCGAAAACGTCACTGGAAGTGATACGGAAGGCTTCGGAGATGGAATTGCAATCGTCGCCCGGTTTGGAGATGTATGTCGTCCAGCACGTAGTGGGAGTTGCGCTCGGAGCAGATGAAGAGGGTCGCGTGGTTGTGGCCACGGTACCACTCAACGTCTGCGGGGATGTTCCCGTCGTATAATTGACGACGGTCGTCCTCGTTCGGGCACCATCGCAGATTGTGATAGGAGTGCCATCCCAAATGTTATTGCAGTCCAGGAACTCTGATTAGAAAAGAGGTTCAGCAACCATACCTATGGATATATGTGCAGGACATACGGTTGGCATTCCACACTGCTTCAGGGCTCATACCGAATCGTTCAGCGATGGTCTTGCAGGTGTCTCCTGGATGCGAACGATAGTTGGTCCAGCATGTGCCACTACCTACGATCGTGCTTGATGGGGCGGGAGGAACAGTGACCGTGACTTGAGACTTTCCGTAGACACAAATTGGAGTTCCAGGCCCTATGAGCATGATTAGCCACTTCAGGCATCAATCTGAAGGCATGGAAGTATAAACGTACAGATATCATTACAGTTCAAGAATGCTAGGTTCATTTCAGTACTAGATCATAAACCTCAGGTCGTAGGGTACGTACAGTTAGCCTCAAGAACATCCAAGGCGGGGATTCTGAATGCCATTGCGATTGTTTCGCAGGTGTCCCCAGGAAGGGAGATATACGTCGTCCAGCAGGCTTGGGTATCCGCCCGAGGGACGGGGGCAGGTGCGGGAGCAGCGTTGACATAGACGACTGCAGTGGCGGCAAGTAGCAGGGAAGTAAAGGAGTGCATCCTGGACGTAGTGGTAAACGCGAGCGACAAGAGAGTGGGAGAACAAGTCTGAGGAGATGGTCGGAGGAAGGGGATACCGTATTATAGTAGGCAGGATGAATGACGGGAAACAGGGTTTACAATTTCTGAGAAGGTGCCTTGCAGAATCCGTCAATATATCTGGCCCGACCGTCGGTCATGGAGTCAATATTGCTGTAGAAAAGAGATCTCCTCTCTGGCGTCTTGCTTGCTTATTGATCAATCTAAAATCTAAAAATCTGGCGTCTTTGGTCCCCATCTTTTCGGCGGAACTTGTTCCGCCTGTTAACATATCTTTTGAGACGCCACGTAATTACTCCGAAGTAGCTAAGCGTCAGAGTGTTTGGTCGTTTGAGCCGTGGGTCCGCGCTTAAATCATAATGAGAATATACTGTGAGAGTGCAGTCGGGAAATGCAGCTTTAATTGTTTCTGAGAGGGGTCTCCGACTCTGTCTTCCGGAGTCGGATGTTTTAGTCGAGATTCAACGCGCAATGAGTCGAGACATACTGCCTTGACATGACGAACAAGAGAGAGAACCTCACTTCGATGAAAATACCCCACCATTTGGCATACCTATTGCCGGGTTACCCAATTCTTTCTTTAAACTGGCCGGTCAGTCTTGTTCAAGAAAGGCTCCCGTTCTGTTTGGCGCCAATGCATAATAACAACGGTATATATTCAAAGTCCGTGATCTACTCTCAGTCTCGCCTTGGGTCTAGTAAAAGGTTGACCAAGGGATGCAGATCTCTTGTCCTTCATAGGCATTGCTATTCCCAAACTCATCATCACCACACTCCAATCCAGGCGTAACAGCCATAATATCGCTTCCTCCAATCTTGTATGGGCGGCTGAGGTTGAAGCACGACTCGCCCGCCGACGCATGGATGATGTGCTTGCAGTATGGCACAGACGTGTATTGAGGGATACAGAGTTGCGTACCAGCCCAGATGTCGTCACAGTTGACGAAACTGTTGGCCGAGGCAATGTCGGCAGCGGCCAAATCGTAAGACTGGGTGCGCGAGATGGATTGGCAGGTGTCACCCGCAACGGCGGTATGCGTCTTTGCGCACGTTGGAATGGGCGTAGGTGTAGCGGTTTGGATGTATGAGTAAGCATATTGATTGATGCAGACTTGTGTCCCGGCCGCTGTAATTCAGTCAAGGTCAGCAGTTCAACTTCCTATCGAAGTCGGACAAGGGGAGGACCTACGGATATGATTGCAATCCAAGGTCGGGTTGGACAAATAGATTTGACGGCCCTCTGAGCGCGACCCCTTGACGATCGAGGTGCATGTATCTCCGGCTTGCGCAATGTAGACACTTGCGCATGGACTAGCTGTAGATCCCGACGAGGTCGTCGTAGTTGCAGTAACGGTCGTCGTAGGGAGCGTCGCAGTAACCGTGATTCCACCAGGAGGGATACAGATGGGCGTGTATTGCCAGATGTCGTTGCACGTCACAAAGTCTACCTCTGCGTGAGCCATCTGGTCTCTATTGAGGCGAAGAAGAAAACGAACCATTTGAGGCCTTGATCGCGCCAACCGGAAGTCCAAACTTTGATTCGATGGATTCACAGGTATCGCCAGCCTGGGATGTGTAAGTCGTAACGCACGTCGGTGGCGGGGGAGTGGAAGTTTGGGGAATGCAGACGGGAGTCCACGCCCAAATGTCGTTGCAATTAAGGAACCTGGAATCGAGTGAGCGACAGTGCTTTCCAGATCAGCGGAAGAACGTACGTATTAGCGGCAAGAACCTGTGCTTCTGTGAGGCCGTATTTTGCTCCAATAGAGGCGCAAGTATCCCCAGAAACAGCGGTATATGTCGCAACGCAGGTACTCGAGGGGGTACTTGCAGTAGTCGAGCTCGAAGTAGTCGCTCCAGCTGGGATACACACAGGCGTCCAAGTCCAGATATCATCGCAGTTGAGGAAGCTTTCAAAAATCAGCACGCTTTTCATTGTGTCCTGTCACGAGCCATACGTATTCGCGGACTGGATCTGGGTAGCACTAAGTCCAAATTTGGCACCAATGGAGGCACAAGTATCCCCAGCGGCAGAGGTATATGTTGAAGAACAGACACTAGGCATTGGCGTGGCGGATCCCGTTGGGTCGATTCCTTGGGGGAGCGGGGAAGCCGTGACTGTGCCCACGGCCAGAGCGAGTGCGAGAGAGACGAATGCAGTCATCATGTCAGACAAAGTGAACGAGTGGAAGTCGACGAGAGGTCGCCGTGGTGAGAAGAGACTGCAATAGGATTATATACGTACGTATTGATGGACGACGCATATAGCGGACTTAACATGATCACAGCCGTCAACGGACTGTGTCCGTTGACGCGTCGTCGGCAACCTGGCCTAGGTATCCGCCTTCCTGTACCCAAGCTGTGTCTGACGGAGCGCCCATGTGGCAAGGTGACAGAAATAAAACCAGTTGAAACGTAATTGAACAATCTACACACGCTTGCTCGGGCGGCAAAGGCAGGGTTCGACATAACCGATGGATAAGAATAACAACGGGTTCCAAGCGGGATTCAATGCAATCTGAGGATTTATATCGCACAAAGTACAACATGGAGCTAGGTCTTGTTGCCTCCCCGGATCTTGTTGCCTTCCGGGTATGGTCGCGACTGGGAAGAAGGACAGGTGTACCACCAACCGGCATTACATCGTCTGTGTACGTTTTCTGTGTATCTAGTTTAACATCATCACGCCGACACGGCAGGTGAAAATTACTCTGTACCGCCTCTCTCTACCGGATCATGATTCAGGTCCCACTCGAAATTTGGATCCACTTCTGGATACAGGACTAGGGTCTAATAAGCCGCCGCTCTCACGGTCAATCGACGAAACATTGGGCTCACACCGTCAAATCGGTAATAAGCCCTCGCGTTTCTCTTGGATTCCCCTTGCCCCTTTGTAGCTAGGCGTAGACATTCCTGTGTGGGTTTCCAGATGCCAATTTTCTCATTGGTCATGATGATAAAGGCTGAGGAAGACTCCTCGCCTGGTATATTACCTAGGGTTTGTGTGTAGGTGGGTCGCCAAGTTAGCCTGCCCAAGTAAGCTGCTGAAGTAATGTTTTCAAACATTAAAAAGTGCCAAACTGAAGGAGATGCCATCTTGTGCTCACAGCAGTAGTGAATGCCTTCCCAGCCTCTTTTCACGGAGCAAAGTTCCACTAGCTTTGCCTCTTCACCTCAATTTCTGAACTCGGTGAGATAAGACTTGTCACAGGAGGTAAGGATGTACGACCAGCCATCTTGTCCCAATTCCATGGCGTGGTTTTATCGTCATGCAATATACCTCTGTGCAGCAGACTTATTGACAATAATCATATTTGGTTGCCTCTTACTCTTATTCCATTTGAACTTATCCGAGGGTTTTTGGATCATTCCAAATGGAGATGATGTCGTAGGAGAGTGATTTGATGTCCACTGAGTCCAGATTCACCGTCTTCAGTAATGCAAGAGTGACATTGGTCATACGAATGCTGGGTTCAAGTCGTAAATTACTATCCGACTGCACGTTAGGTCGAGGCAATGCCCGTCTAACCAGGGTTATCAACACAAGAATGATTCTATCCCCTACTGGTCCAGGAATAATATAGGATACGGAGCCGTCGATCCGCCTAGTTCTATTGTGCATGAACCTGACGCAATTGTGGTGAGATGAGAGCGATGTGCGGCCGTATTTTTGACAGTGGTAGCACTCCAGTGCACTTAGAAGCTTTCGGTACTGCAGGGTATACCACGTATGCATATTCCATGGTCTATGACGTGCTGTTTGCCGCTTCTCCTGAGCTGAGTGTGAGGACGAGGCTTGAGTTGCGTTAACACTCTTTCCTCAGGTCTCTGATCTAGTATATGCTCAAGATTTCGTTCTCTGTAATTCCGTGGTAAGGGTTCTCTGCGCATAGCAGCAGCAAACATGACAAAGGTCGAGAGGAGAAGGACGAGGGATTTGGTGAGCTGCATCTGGAACTTGATTGATGAAAGGCTAGTGCTGAATTGACCAGAAAGGTCAGGAGAAGACTGCTTCAGTTTTACCCGCTTGGCATCCGCTCAGAATTCCCACATTAATATCGCCAATCAAAAGCTGCCTTAGCGAGTGATTGGCCCATTGAACGTCTTCTCAAAATGACCGTGATATATACTTAGTCGTGTTTTGGGTCATGTATCATGTTCTTGCAACTCCTTACAAGTCGTCGGCGTCGGCGTTGACGCGCAAGTTGCCCGTTGTCTTTGGGCGTGATCTCAGTTTCCTTTGTTTACGATCAAGTGTACACGCGCTTATGGAGCTTGATCTCCTGAAGCGCCGTCAGGGCACTCAAGGCAACGGGCTAACGGCGACTTGAAATGAAGCCCGTTGTCTGAAACGCATCAACAGCCCTTTCACAGTTATAAGCATCCCGGATCGCCTGATGCGTCCCACAACTTGGACTCCACGTCTACTTCCACTCGTTCAGCTCGACAAGATGATCACATTCGTTTCACTCTCCCTCGCTCTTGCCGCGAGCACAGTCATGGCCTCCCCTCTCCCCCAGGTGGATTCAAGTGCACTTGAATCCTCTACCGAGTCCCCGACGGTCGTCATAGACCCCATGCCGACCGCTCCTGTTTGCGAGGAGTTCTACACCTCTGTCGACGGTGATACCTGCGCATCCATTGGTGCCAAATATGGCCTTACCGCGAATCAGATTCATGAAGCAAACACGTGAGATTCTTCTTCATTTCATCTTGAGATTCTCGGGCTCATTTCCCAAAAGATTCCTCAATTGCGACGATATCTGGACTTGGACACCAATTTGTATCCCAGGGGGGGGAGTCACTCCCACAAGTACGAGTCCTCCTCCATCTGGAACATGCGCTTCCACATACACCTCCGTGTCGGGAGATACGTGCGCTACTATTGGGGCCAAGTACGGCCTCACCGCAGGTCAAATCCATGAGGCTAATTCGTAAGTGTCTCTTTGGTGCTTTTGGAGGATACGGTTTCTGATGGACTATAGATTCCTCAACTGTGATGATATCTGGGTCTGGACTCCCGTCTGCATTCCTCAAACCTCTACTCCCCCGCAGCCGACGTGCGCTACGACTTACACATCCCAGGCCGGCGATACCTGTGAAACGATCGAGGCCATGTTTGGGCTTCCAGCAGGATCCGTCAAAGCTGCCAACGGTACGTTTGATGCTGCAGCTATAACCACTGAATGCTCACAAAAAACAGATTTCGTCACATGCAATGACATCTGGCAGTACACGCCCATCTGTATCCCTCCAGTTGCCACATTCACAGCCACGCTTACGCTCAGTATTCCTGCACCAACAGAGACAGCGACGGAAACCGAAACGTTGACACCAACATCTGTCTCAACCTATGATGCTGACCCAACGATCATTTGAACGGCAGAATCGATGCATTGAGTTGACGCTCTACAAGGTTTAGGGAGATGGACCACATATTGCAATTATACACCGTTATTATTTTCACTTGCTGTTGATCAATGCTGCGAGACTTGTGGCCGTCATTGAGTTATTTGTCCCATTGTTAACCTCGTTGCCGTCTTTGAAAATCTGGGCCAATTCTCGGTTCGGAATTTGATGCTAGGTGTAGGGCGACTAGAGTGTGTGAATCGATCAAATGGCCGACACAATAAACTTTGTACTGGACTAGGAGGTTAGTCCCCTTCATTCAGGCCGGTTATATGCGTCTTAGACCAGCCGCCACTTTATTTGTTTGTGACATCCGACGCAGCCTTGCTTTCAGCTTCGCCAATGACTACTGCTCACCTCGCCCAAATAGATGTTTGAGTCTCGAGAATCACCTTACTTTATCAAGGGAGTAGCGCTGGTTCCGCTTCACTCGTCGCTTGGTCCGTCCTTGATGCAGACGATCGCGTGGCGAGGTCCTTCCAAATGTTCACATCGGCTTATTTACTCTGTGAACTCTTAAGAGGACAAGAAACTGTCTACCGATGCTCGGACCCTCACTCTAGGTGGCAATATACGCTCGGCACCGCCAATGCCCCGTCTGAAGCCATAACGTGAGTAGTGATATATATTTGGGCACCATGCAACATCTTTAGCTTCTCTCTTCGTCCCACAGAACAGACATCATTATTCGTCTCGGTACTAGGCTGAAGCGACGCCTTGTTTACTCACCGCGCATTCCCGAGCGCCAAGCGGCCTCGTGTTTATTGTTTTTTGAGCGCCTCTATTGCCGGTGGACGGTCTGCAGTATATTTGTGCCACTAGCGAACTCGAACCCACACAAGATGTTTACACTTGTAGACCGGGTCCTTCGCACCAGTTCAGCTTAAAAGGGTGCTCGATTTGTGGTTTTTCTTTCGCATTCGTTTCTCCTCCATCCTATCGACCTCTTGGCTCCAGTCGCAATGGCCGCACTAGTGTCTCTCCTCCTCGTTGCTCTATCCGTCAATGCCTCTCCAGCGCCGAGAGCCGTGCCTCGAGCGGACACTCAACCTTGCTGGACGACTTACCGATCCCTCCCTGGTGATACGTGTGAAACAATTGCAATGGCTTTTCGAATTCCCCCTATCGATGTTCAGTCAGCAAATTGTATGTACACTGTGACTCGACTTTCATCAACAGTGCTAATTGGTTCTCAGCGTTCTTGAACTGTACTGATATCTGTATGTCCTTATTCTATGACGTACACGAGGAGAGGCGTTGACCAAGCATCATTGCAGGGCCGAACACTCCGATTTGCATCTACGCACAATCGCAGGTTACTGTTACTGGAATTCCACCTGTTGCACCTACTACAGTCCCTGGTAGTGGGACATGCTGGAATAATTATCGTTCTCAGCCAGGTGATACGTGCAACTCTATTGCCTCACGTTTCGGAATCACGCCCGAGGCTGTTTACAATGCCAATAGTAGGTCCCGCACGATCTCCCGCACGCCAAGCTCATTGACGTCCCTCCCATTAGCACTCTTGAACTGCAACGACATTTGGGATGGAACCCCCATTGTTATTTGCGATGGCAACCGGACCAGGACTACAGTTGTGAATACGACTAGCGGATCGCACGCCACTGCAACGTCGACCTTCCCATGGGGCCATGTCACTACTTCAACCCGCGCTGCTAATGGCACCTTCAGTACTAGCGCACCCCACTCCACAGTAACGGCGACAGTTAACACCACTAGTCTCACCAGCCCCGGTCCCAGCGCGACCCCGACGGTGTGTTGGACGACCTACAACACCTTGCCCGGGGAGACTTGCGATACGATTGCCATGGCCTTCCGAATCCCACCACTGGATGTTCTCAGGGCGAACCGTGCGTGATTCCACTCGTGGCTACTATTATTCTGTTCTCATAGATCATGATTTAGCCTTCCTTGATTGCAACAATATTCGTGAGTCTACGTTTGCCTTGGGAAACATCAAACTGAGAATTCCAAAGCGGTCAACACGAGAGTCTGCATCTATGGTCAATCGCAAGTAACAGTCACTATGCCACCGGTCGCACCGACCTCTGCACCTGGCAGTGGCACCTGCTGGGCCAACTATCGTTCGCAGCCGGGAGATACCTGCAATTCTATTGCTACGCGCTTTGGTATCACCCCTCAGGATGTTTACAATGCCAATAGTGCGTTCTATTCACTTTCATGGATTTCAGGTCACTGATCATTTGGTGCCATGCAGCATTCTTGAACTGTGACGATATCTGGGACGGAACTCCTATTGCGATTTGCGATGGTAATCGTACCAGGACGACCGTGGTCAATACTACGAGCCGACCTGCAGGTTCTACAGTCACTTACACTGGCTGATTGGACATTATGCCTCCTACATGGTGTACTATTCCTGTCATCCGCAAATACCTATCAACTTCGAGCTACCTCCACGACCTGTCTTTACATCTATCTAGTTGAATCCATCATATTTATTCTCATGTTTCACGTGTCAACATCTTGGCGGAAGAAGTGATACTTTTGACCACATGAGGTGCCCGAAGGCCCGCAGTGAAAAATTCCTCCGAGGATGGATTGCCTCTTTATACCGTAGGATACATTCGAAAGAGTTTCTAGCGCAACGGGCATCATTTGTAGTCGCCAAGAAGAAACGGCGATAGGATCTGAGACAACGGATAGATTTCTTTCATTCCAAGCGATCAGTGTCACTCAAAAGCGCCTTTGTATTGGTAACGCCGTCGTAGTGGGAGAAACCATCGCCGATGGACAGGCGAGAGCATTCAGTCCGATATTGAGTATGAAGTTTGAGGGTCAAGAGTGCGCAAATAGTCTCTAAAGGCCGAGTTAGCTCGGCCTATCTCCGTGAGTCCGTCTGCAATTTACCACGGTCCAGCGTCAATCAAACAAGAGTATAAAAAGGGCCTTTGAGAGATGGCATAAAGATTTAGAAGACCTTTTCCTTCTTTCCACTCGTTCTTGTCGAATAACCTGGTGATTCACCATGGTGCCCACCCTCGTTTTCTTCCTCGTCGCCGCCGCTGCGGGAGTTGTTAATGCAACCCCTGTCCCACGCTCAGACACACAACCATGTTGGACGACTTACATTTCCCTGCCCGGCGAAACTTGCGACACAATTGCTAGGGCATTCCACATAACCACGACAGACGTCGTGGAGGCCAATAGTTTGTCATTTCACCTTCGTCGAGGTTGCTTCTGACTGGGATATAGCATTCCTCAACTGCAACGACATCTGTACGTCCACGTCCGCTCTGTCAAAGAAGTCCATCATAACGCATTCCAGGGCCCGGGACTCCAATTTGCGTGTATGGAAAATCGCAGGTGACAGTCACAGGTATCCCCCCTGTTGCACCCACGACTATTCCTGGTGGCGCGACTTGCTGGGCCAACTATCGTTCACAGCTTGGGGACACTTGTGACAGCATCGGAGCACGCTTTGGAATCACTCCCCAGGATGTCTACAACGCCAATAGTATGCAGCTCTCTCTGATGTACGGAACACCCATCGATGGCTGACTGCCCCCCCTTTTACAGCGTTCCTCAATTGCAACGATATCTGGGACGGCACGCCTATTTCCATCTGCGTCGGTGAAGGCACGAGAACGAGGACGACTGTAGTCAATGCACCGACTGCAATTCCTACTGGCCCGGTAGGCCCGGTAGACCGGTGCCCCTACACTCGCTCCCTAGAAGGCGATACCTGTGATACAATTGCAAATCGTTTCCATATCACTGCTGCCGAAGTTTACAATAGCAACAGTGCGTCATTCCATCTTCCTGTTCTCTCCTGTGACTCATGCATTTTCAGGGTTCCTGGACTGCAATAATATTTGGACAAACACTCCTGTTATTATTTGCCTTCACCCGGACCCGTCAACCCCGGCCGTAACTGTATCTACACCTTCTGTCAACTTTTGCTGGACTACATACTCTGAAGAGGGCGACACCTGCGATATTGTTGCAAACCGCCTTGGCATCAGCAGTGCCGACGTCTGGGATAAGAACCGTATGTGATCATTCTATTGGCTTTTTTTTTCACGTTGTGTGACATGATCGCAGGCTTCGTGGACTGCAATAACATCTGGACGCACACGCCTCTTGTCATCTGTGATCGTCCAGCTCCTACACTCGCACCGAGTACAACCGTGACCGCGTCCAGAGCTTGCTGGACGGTCCGTTCAAAGGCTGGCGATACCTGTAACTCGATTGGCGCGCGCTTCCGTATTAGTAGCTCTAAGATTTACAATGACAACAGTATGAGCTTTCTTTTCTTGTCTCATGCATGTATTCACCCTCTCCCAGGCTTCTTGAATTGCAACGACATCTGGACGAATACGCCGATTGCAATCTGCCCCTCAGGAATGCGCTGGCCTTTTGGCGCGATCAGTGATCTTTTCAACCACTTGTTCCCATCTCGAACATCCAGTCTGACTACGATGACCTCGACAAGTCCAATCGAAGGCACGACGTCTTCATCCTCGGCTAGTCCTACATCGTCATCGGTCTCCGCCACACCTTATTCGTCTTCTGCCGAGGATTACGTGGTCCCAACTACGACTTCCTCATCTGCAGAGGAATACATCATTCCGACTTTGTCTTCTTCATCTGCAGAGGAATATGTCATTCCAACGCCGTCTTCTTCATCGGTCGAAGAATACGTTGCCCCAGCGTCGTCCTCTTCATCCGCAGAAGAATATGTTGTCCCAATGTCGTCTTCTTCATCAGTCGAAGAATATATTGTCCCAACGTCGTCCTCTTCATCCGCAGAAGAATATATTGTTCCAACCCCGACCTCGACCTCTTCTGCTGTGGAATATGTCGTTCCGACGGAGTATGTCGTTCCGACAGAGTACATCATCCCAGCGCGCCTGTAAGCAGTTCTATTTCTAGGATCTTCAACTCGAATCCGCCAATTAGTGATTCGGTTCGTCATCCGAACGAACTCCAGGAGGCCATTCAAGTATCTTTGGACATTATCTATGTCTCAATAATTTTTCTATGCCATCCAGTCTTTACGTGAAATTATTTTGTTTACTCTTTTATTCTGAACTTGCCTTCTTGCTCCCAACCTCAACCAACCCTACGATGCGGTCATTGGAAAACACAGCGACTACTAAAACAGCCTCTCAGCATCTTTCTGATACGATACAGAAGAATTCTGGTATTTAAGAGTCAAGCCGCAAGGCAACTGTTGCCCTTTTCGCTTTAGTCTCGCCTCCGTTTTCCTCTTTAAATAAGGTATGAATAGGCTCTCTTCTATATGAAGAAGCGGGCTACATTACGGAGAACGCGCAAGCGACAAGTTGGCCAATACCAGTGTCCGGCGCTGGATCCATTCGCTCAAGATTATGCCGATGCTCGGAGAGTAATGGATTCAATAAAAGCGACCTCGGCCCCACTATTTTGTGGCCATTGGCTGTCCGTTTGTCGCGGCTTGAATATCCTTTGCTCACGACCAATCCATCTACCACTAAATCGATTCCTCGGCGCCAGGAGAAGGCTTTTGGAAAGTTATTCAATTCATTCACTCATGCACCAGATCGTCTCTTGCTGGAAGCGAGCAATCTATCCCAAAAGGTATTCAGGGCGATGGTTGGACTCGTATGAAGATGAAGGAGCAGTATGAATCTATTTAGGACGGGGATCTCCATCTAAAAGGGCATACTGGCGACCTCCGACTATCGGGCCTTGTTAATATCTGTGGCCGATGCGGCTGGCATCCTGGCCATTCTAACCATTGATTCTGGCCCCTTCCCAGGGCGCTTCGAGCTAACAGACCTCCGCGAGCGGGATTCACTATATACGCGCATCTTTCTCAAACTATTAAAAGCTTCTTGAGTATAAAGGGCAACGAAGTTGGGCCTCTTCACTGGCAAGCGCCTCTCTAGATCCCCTCATTTCGACTGTGCCCAGATGTTAGCATTCGTTGCAGCTTCTCTTGTCGCCGCCATTGGCACAGTTAATGCCTCTCCTCAAGTAGCGTCTACCACTATGTGCGTACACAACACATCGCTCAATACTCCTTGCTTGCTGATTGGGCTTACCATTCCAATCCTAGCATTTCTGGTGTGACTATGACATACAGCACAGTGAATCCTATCCAGACCGGGATTCAAACATGCGGACGAACCTACTGGTCTGTCTCCGGTGACACATGCAACTCTATCTCTTCGAAGCTTGGCATTAGTGTCTCCCAGATTCAAAAGTATAATGGTCTGTTTCTTGCTCGACACTGTCCTCGCAAAGATTACTTATGCAGGCTACAGGCTTCCTGAACTGTGATGACATTTGTACGTCCTTGCGTGTTCGATTCATCACCGAGTTCCCTTGACCGACGCCCTCTCCAGGGGTCAACACGCCAATTGCTATCTGCTGGGATACTCCAACACCCTGGAGCACTCCATCTGGTGCCATCACATTTTCATCCTCTGCAACTCCATCGCCACCAGGTTGCCTCACGTATTGGTCTGCGCCTGGCGACACATGCGATTCGATTGCCGCCAAATTTGGATTGAGTGCTACAGAAGTAAAGAATCGCAATTGTTCGTTCTCTCCTTTCCAGTTTATTAGCATCTATTGACATGTTCACCAGCCTTCCTCAACTGCGCTGATATCTGTACGTCAGCAGCAGGAAACTATTCTATTCGCTAATTTTCTCAAAGGGACCAACACTCCAATTTCAATTTGCAATGCTCCTGTCGCCACCACTTCTTCTGGCCCTGTCACATTCTCTTCCACCCTTATCACGCATTCTTCCTCTGCCACTCCTTCGCCACCAGGTTGCATCACGTACTGGTCTGCACCTGGCGACACTTGCGATTCGATTGCTGCCAAATTTGGATTGAGTGCTACAGAAGTAAAGAATCGCAATTGTTCGTTCTCCCCTTTCCAGTTTATTAGCATCCATTGACATGTTCACTAGCCTTCCTCAACTGCGCTGATATCTGTACGTCAGCAGCAGGAAATTATCCTATTTGCTAATTTCTCAAAGGGACCAACACTCCAATTTCGATTTGCAATGCTCCTGTCGCCACCACTTCTTCTGGCCCTGTCACAATTTCTTCTTCTTCCACCCGAATCCCCACAGTGACCACCTCATCGGGATCTATCACGATTAGTTCATCTTCCGCGACCGCTACAATGACCAGTATCGGGGGTTGCTTCACTTACTGGTCCGTATCAGGTGACACATGTGACTCCATCGGCGCCCAGTATGGAGTGAGTGCTTCAGAGATCAAGAACTACAATGGTCCGTCGCACATTTTTTTCAGCTTGCACAATTACTAATGTTAATATCAGACTTTGTCAACTGCAATGATATCTGTACGTATCTAGCCGCTCTCCTTATCAAGCTAACTTTGGGCAGGGCCGAATACTCCTATTTTCATCTGCAGCAGCCGACCACCCACGGCGACCTTACACTGACGGAGCCCGATCTCTCGTACTCCTGATGTCGCGGCCCCGATGCAACGCTGTAGAGACGACCGAGCTCACAGCCGTTTGTCACTACCGTCGCTTCTCTTTGAGGTAGTTCATCCTATCATTTTACTGTCGCTACGTGGAATTTCAGTCTTATTTATTGCTCATGACCCATTCACTATGGACTAAGCATCCGTTCTTGACGGAGACTCACCAGTTATATCCAGCAGCGTGTGTCCGAACCATCTTTCCACCTACCGGAGAGAATGGTCTGTCCATCGCTTCTTTCTCGAGATTTGAATGCGTACCGACCATCGGATGTGCCTACTCTCGGATGTGCTATTCATCGCGGTAGGCGACTCAAATTACCTGGAGCTAATACCGGACATTAAGGCCACTTTCTTCGCTCGACTCACGGAGATAAATCGTCCTGCAGATTTTCACTCTGGAGTTTGCTGACTTAGATCCGATCTGAAAACGAAAGAATCACTGACAAGCTGTTCAAATCTACGACTCCCTCTGCCGGCGTACGGCTCACCGCCCATCGGCTCTTTGCACCATTTTTGTTCGCCATTATGATCCATTTTTATTCATTAGACGAAGTTGTTCTCGCAGGGCCTCCAGGTATAAAGGTGCGAAGTCAGTCAGGCCAGATCTCTCATCCTCGTCTTGAGCCATCAAGAGTGATCTAATAAGGCCAAATCACGCAAATGGGAGCATTTTTATCGTTGACTCTGCTCGCTGTTCTCAGCGCTGCCAATGCCGCCCCTCTGCAGACTGGCCCAACTTGGTCAAGACCCATTCCGGCACCCTCTGTCTACACTACCTGCGACACAAACAAGTATATCTCTGGGGCAGGTGATACGTGTGCATCTATCAGCCAAAAGTTTGGTATCACTGCGGACGATGTTCTTGGATACAATCGTGAATCTTCTACGGCTTTCCAACTCTTTCATCCTGGCTGACCTGTGAACAGGGTTCTTAAACTGCAGCGACATCTGGGTTGGAACGAGTATTTGGATTTGCCGTGATTCTTCACCACCTACAGCTACCTGGTCTGGACTCATCCCGACCCCCTCTATCTACACTACCTGCGACACAAACAAGTACATCTCTGTGGCAGGCGATACGTGTGCATCTATCGGCCAAAAGTTTGGTATCACTGCGGACGAGGTTTTTGGCTACAATAGTAAGCTTTCTAGGTCTTCCCAACTCTTTCATCCGGCTTAACTGCGGGCAGGATTCTTGAACTGCAATAATATCTGGATTGGCACAAGCATTTGGATTTGCCGCACATCTTCGCCCCCTACGGTTTCTTCACCAGCGACCTGGTCTGGACCCATTCCGACGCCCTCTTCCTACTCCACTTGCGACATAAATAAGTACATTTCTGTGGCGGGCGATACGTGTGCTTCTATCGGCCAAAAGTTTGGCATCACTGCGAACGATATATTCAAAGCCAATCGTAAGCCTTCTATGTCCTCCCGGATCTTTCATTCTGGCTGATTTACGAAGAGTTCTTGGACTGTAATGACATTTGGGTTGGCACAAGCATTTGGATTTGCCGCCCATCTTCGCAACCTACAGTTTCGTCAGCTACCTGGTCTGGGCCCATTCCGACGCCAAGTTCCTGGTCCTATTGTTCGAACGACAAGTACATCTCGGTGGTTGGCGATACATGTTCATCCATCGCGCAGAAGTTCGGTATCACTGCAAACGATGTTCTTAGAGCCAATCGTAAGTCTTTCTACGCCTTCCCAACTCTTTCACCTTGGCTGATCTACGGACAGAATTCTTGAACTGCAATGACATCTGGGTTGGCACGAGGATTGACGTTTGCCGCTACTCGTCTACACCTATCGCTAATTGGACTACAGCTTTTCCTACGATGGTGACTCAAGCCCAAAAGGTTACTACACATAGTACGAGATCGTCTCGCGTGCCTATGTCCACTCGCATCTGATCGGATGCTGAGAGCACGCTCAAGATGAACGTCGGTAGCGCTTACCGTCCTGTCTTTACTCTAAATTCAGTTATACCGTCGCTCCTTTATCCGCTTCCCCCTGGGCCAGGAATAAATGAGTGATGACGGCTGTTGGCTGCCTGAAGACCTTCACACCGCCCTTGGCCAACCTCAGGCCGCAATGTTACTGTGCGGTGTTAAGTGTACTGCATCTGCTCATAAACCTGCCAACAGACCCAACCACACGGTACAAGCAGGATAGGCGGCTAGCCTTGGACACAAGTCTACGTCCGCTCGTTGCTAGAATTCAATTTTATTCGCCTTTTACGCACAAAAATAAAGTAGCTATTGGCACGACGTTGATGCGCTAGTTAAATAGTCGGAGGCCCAAGATACGACGCACGTCTGACGCGAATCGCAAGCTATCCAGCACTGGAAGTAAATGCAGAAGCGCTTCGTCGGATGGGTCGGATATCCAGCCTTCGATAGGAATTCCATTTGCTGTGGGCGGATAAGCTTCGACTGCCTCGTAGACGAAACAGACGAACCAGGGTTAATATTATAGCTGACGGGCGAATTATCAATCAAGCAGACGCGAGAAAGATCTTCCTCGATGAGGCTGAGATCCTTGGTATATCCGCCATTTGGCAACTGTGTACAAGACTACAAGAACGTCAGCAGTTGACAGAATGCGATATGAGTTTTATACCTCTCGGAAGAATCTCCGACTGAGGATACCCCTGCCAGCGTCCAACCAGTCGATGACTGGATCCGCATATTCCTGCATCGACGCGGTGAAAATGACGAGCGTGTACCACGACGATACCTAGCCGTGTTCAATACAAGCCCTGTACAGAACAAAGAACGCACTTTTCGTAGAAAGTAATCCACAAACGGTCTCTTATACACGTGGTACAGCGTGCAGCGATCGCCCAGCACAACTTCCACCATATGGCCTGCCTCCCGTCCACGCTTCTCGCCAAAACCAAAACCAAAGCCTCCCATACTGAACACACCACCTCCTGTATGCGCACGGAGAGGTCTCGACGTCGAATGGATCAACGTCTCATCCAAGTCGAGCACAAGCGTCTTTTGCATGTGCAGCCCCGTCATCTTTCTCGGAGATGGTTGGTATTGCTGCGGATGTGGTTGTTGCTGTTGTTGTAACGTAATACTCGACTGCACGCTGCTGGGGACCGTATTCGCTCGAGTCAAGAGGGAAGAGGCAATCGGATTCGGCAAAAGGGAAGAAGACGGCGTCGGTCGTTGTCGTATAGAAGGTGGTGGTGTATGTGTTCTGGGAGTCGGTGGAATCAGATCAATACGCGGCGTTTCTGTCCGAGCTTGGACCTCTTCTGGCGTCGGTGGCTCTAGCGAAAACGGCGGCTCCTCTTCCTGAATTGTCGTCGATGTAATGGACATTTGAAAGCTAGCAAGAGGTGCACCAAACGTCTCTGCCTCTTTATCTTGCTCCAGAGTGGGAATCGAACGTTTGGTCGCACGTGCAACAATACCATCGTCCTCACTCTCCTGGCCTTCATCCCCCGTCGTATCGTCGTCGGCTGTATTCTTTTCACTCTCCAATGTGGCGCCCTGACGCGGGAGGAGGGGCGGTAAGACGAGATATCCGGTTACCCCAAACCACAGCGCGCAGAGTGTGCTCCAGATAATGGTAATAATCCGAATGAGCAGAGGTCGCGTGTGTGGTGATGTGGATTCGGGCGTGGGCGTTAGCCCAAAATCATACGAAGTCGTTCGTTTGAGCACCGGCGCTGGTGTCGGCGGGCTGGACGAGTTTGGCGTTAGCGACGGCTTGCGAAACGACCAAAGGGCCGGAGAAGAAAAGGATCTCTTATTTGCGTGGGTTGGAAAGGCAGGTGAACCATCGGCGTGTTGCTGGCCATGATGTGAAGGTCGTCGGGGTACAATTCTGTTGTACGATTTTGCTCTCTGAGGACGACCAGTGTTGATAATGTGACTCGACGTGAGTGGTGTAGACGGGGGCGTCCCAGCCGTCGCAAGGACATCAATCTGACGCGACAAATAATTGAGCGAATTCATCAACGACCAATATCGAACAGATTCGTTGGTTTTTGGTTTCAAAAAAATCACGGCGTACAGCCGCCCTCGTATGTCGAGGTTGCGGTTCAAGCTTGCAAATTGCACGCGACCCCACGCGTCCTAGGCGCAACGGACCAAGCAAGAGGAAGAACCGGATTCGAGTCAAAATACCGGCCAATGTACACAGCAATAGGATTACATAACATCTACTGTCCACATCCTGTCCAGCGCGCGCTCTAGCTACTCAGAGCAAGAGACGCCTGGAGTTCGCGGAGCTGAGCCTCTTCGTCGTCCTCTGCAACAACCTTTGGTCGTTCTAAAGGACCTAGTTAGTTTCGTGATGATAAAGCTCAGATGGTTCGTACCTGCGACGCGGCTGGGTCCTGCTGGGGTGTGGACTGGAACGTGGGCAGCGCCGGCGAGTTTCTCGTCGAGAACTTCTTGTTCCAAATCCTTCAATTCTTCCTTCAAATCGTCCTGGCAACACGTAATCAGACAACAAAGCCACCTACGCCGAAAAGCCACGTACCTCGTCCAAGTCTACACCAACGTTCATAGGATTCGAAATGGCATCTGCAATCTCCTTTGTTCGTTCCATCTCCTCGCGAATCTCGTCCATCGTCGCATCGACCTTGTCGACATTGAGTTGCTTGTGAATATCCTTGAGGGCATTCGCTCCGCGCTTCATTGCCAACATGGTCTCTGCATTCATATTCGCAGACTCTATCGCATTGGCTTGTGCCTCCAACGTCAACCGTGTTCCGGAAAGCTGTTCCAGTTGTTGCTCATACGTCTTCTTCCGGCGGAGTGCAGCCAAGGCAGCTGATGAGATCCGAAATATGAGCAAATACATTGACAGAGAATGAAAGAGAAACAAGAGGCCATGTATGCAGCACCGGGCGTGATGGATGGCGAGGGGACCAGCGAGTCATGACTTACCAGACTTGTTCGTCGTGGCGTTCTCTCGAGCCTTCTTAGTCTCTTCTGCAATCTTCTTCTCCAGATGTTCTTCCTTCTTATCCAACATAGAGAGCTGCTCGCGCAGTCCAACAATGGCCTGCCTCGTCGTCGCCTTGGTATCCCTCGCACCAGTGAAATATGATATCCAGCCAGACATGTTTATGATAAATGTAGAGTAGAGGTCGTTGTTGGGAATAATACCAAGTAACGGGCAGTGTGCGTCACGGTCCAAAGTGGCCTCACCACCTTGACGCCGACCTGTATTAGCAATCGTGGCTAGAATTACATCCAACTTTCATCTCAACGAGTGGACATGATTTATTTGATCATAAATACCATCGTCTAGACCTCTATGCGACGGGACGGGCAGGCTCAATATCGGATGAACCGTGTATTGAACGACTACCCATCACGGTGATGGGGAAAGAAAACAAAAGGAGAGGATTTTCGACGCTAAATTCCCAGGGATCATACGAAATAAAGACACGTCTACCTGCTCATTACCGATTAGCAGCCACCCTGGCCTGAGTACACTACTATTAGGCAGACCATGAACGAGCCGTGATGCGTCGTTTTCTATCGTCATTATCATGTCGTGTCCTGCATACGGGAGCCTGCACCAGCACGGAAGCGACCATTGTTCGAATTGGGGGCTCTCGAACGCTCTATCACTTGTTTTTTTTCACTTGCACTTTTTCTCTTCGTGATCCTCCTCGTCGCTACTGTCTGGCAACCTATAAAGAAGATGAGGAAACAGCCAACTGGAAATTTCAGACTCACTCCTCGTCACTTCGGACGTCCTCTGCGGGCTTTCCTCGAAGGACGGACCAGGCCACGTTTATAATAGAGATGAACCAGACCATCATGAGCACCTCGAGCGCGCCCAACAATGCATTAAACGCATAGTAGTGTTTGACCGTGATCGGATCCTGGGTATTGGGAACAAAAGTGATCGGCCGCAGGATCGGGTACCTGTACCACGTCGAATAGAGGATGAGGAGAAAGCCGACGTGGCGAGTGAACAACCAGGACACGAGGAACGCGACAAACGCGGCGTCACACGCGACCAAACGTTCCATGTAGCGCAACATTTTAGCAAGGGGAGGATAATGTCGCAAAAGTCCATGAGGACCATAATTAGACATCCGACACGCGTCAGATTGAGCGAGTAGGATGCGGACACTAGGCAGACGGTGATCACATGGTGAGCCATCATCTGCACGTGGTCTTTTCGGTGTGCTTCGGCATTAAGGATGAGAACTTGGTGGATCCAGAATGCGCATTGGGTGAGGTAGTAGACTTTGAGCGGGCCGGGAAGCGGATTGTGTGGGAAACCGATCCAGAGATAGTCCAAATTCCAAGGCGAAGTAGGGAGTGAGAGATGGATGTACTGGCGGGTCCGTCAGCGCCCCGAGGGGGTTGAGTTCGGAATCGGTCTGAGAATCTTGACTTACGAGTCCAAAGCACCACCAGACAGAAGCGTAGACAATGGCCCAACCTTGTTCAGCAAAGCGAATCACGTTGCGCTCGCGGACCCGGTTCTTTGCAGAGATTTGGCGGGCGGCGTAGTGGCCGTTTCCGGCGTGATGGCCATTGGCATGGCCGTTGGTAGCATGGCCGTTGGCAGCGCTCCCGTTGGTATATCTGGATGTTTTGGAGCGCGAAATGTAGCCCCTTGTGCTGCCAAAGAGGACCTTGTTGGCAAACGGGGTCATGATATGCAGTCGAACGATTTCGCGAAGGACAGCAAAGACGGCGATGGTAGAAATGATAAAGCAACCATCGAGAATGCCTATATCGTAGTAGTTTGCGTTTGGAAAGCTGTCTGGATTGGCGGGGCGGGGGACCGGATACGAGAGCTGCACAAACGGACGAAGGAGCGTGCTCAGCGAAGGCGAAGACGTGGACGGAAAGGACATGGTGGGCTGTAATCTCGACTAGCAATAATTAATTAGAAAACACGTCGTTTTGGGACGCGATGCAGCGGGACGGGCTCGAGCGGTCAGCTCTAAGCCTTATAGCTTTGGTTTTAAAAAAAAAGGCTACAGGTTGCTTGAACCCGACCGCCACGTGCGTCGTAGCAAAGCAAATGGCGCTCGCACTCTCCATCTTGCTGCTCGTTATTCTAACAAACGTTCTTGCGTGGATAGGCCATGCCGTCCTCCTCGACGCGGTCAGCAACGCGTACCGTACAACGTCGCAGTTTGGCTGACAACAATCACGACAGGCATACGCTCTCTATGCTCGAATTGTAGATAATGCAGGTTTCAGCGAGCAAAAGCAGCTAAAGGCCTCGATCCTCGAGCTCAAGTATGACCTAGCACATACCAGCGCACAGGACGAGTTTGCAAAGTGGGCAAAGCTGCGGAGACGACACGACAAGGCAATGGCAGATCTCGAGAAACTCAGTACGTGGTCGAATACGTCGCCCTTTTAAAGACCCTAAGCACCATGCCGGGTAGATACGCGTCTCGGCGCGTCCAAATCGTCGTTTTCCTCCAATTTCAACTGGTTCCTCTGGTTTGCAACGACTGGAGCACAGTTTGTTCTCGTTTGGTGGTATCGACGAGAGCCTGTTTTCTTCTTGCCCCCAGGATGGTTGGGACCGATGGGATGGTTCCTGTCGCTTCCATCGGCTCCAAGTGGTGAGTCTGTCGGTGATGAAGGTCTTGTCAATACTCAAGGTAGTCAAGGCTCGGTGAGCGGCGCAGCCTGGCAAATGGCATGTCAGAGGGTGGTAAAGATGGGCGAGCGATTCGTCAAGGATCTTCTTGGTAGTGTACAAGTTCTGCGAGCCATAACACAACACTTATATCTGCACAGAACCTTCACCCGAGCAGGCAGGACCTGCAGATGCGAGTGCAACAAATAAAACCAAGCAATCATAGAATTAAATATGATGGGTTTTGTTTTATCCGAGCCACCGGCGCCGAGATTTAAGGAGGCCACACATGGTGGCACTGCGTTTGTCTCTTGGAGATCGACCTCTACCTCGTCTGGCACTTTTGACCGCCTTTGTCAATCCTTTAAACTCTTAAAAATATGCTCTTCCGTGCATTAGTATCCGCCTCTCTTCCTCTGCTGGCCTTTGGAGCCCAAATCCGACGTCAGGACCCTGCTGCATCGTCGTCTGCAGCGGGTACGACGCCTGCTGGGACCGGAACAGCGACTCCAGCAGCAACATCAATGACCCCACCACCAGAAGTCCCCATTACGCTCGTATCTACAAACCCAACCGCGTTCCCGCTCTCTGCGATCGTCGCAACACCAGTCACGCACACGGCGCAACCTCTTGCGTCGACCCCTTCTGCTGGCCAACAGCCATCTGCTGTAGGCTCTAATGCACCTCCGCTCCCCGCTGGTAAGTCGTCGCTGTTCTCATCATTTTTGAGAAATGTCGCGAGGGCTATTTTTAGCCACAGGCCTTCTTCCGCGCTCCGGCGCCGTGAATAGCTTGCCGATGCCGAACAGTTGGGGACTAAAGCGAGTAACTTGGAAACTAACAAAACTTTCCGTCTAGCGAACTCGATTGTCATTGCCAATTATCCCGCGCTCGACAAGACGCCTCCGACCGACTCGCCAGAAGTCAAGCAATGGATACAAGACGTTGCCAACAGCGGCATTCCCATCCCTACATTGCCCCTGCGGTTGCGGGAGGCTGCTCGGCAAACCCTGGCCGTGCAGGAAATTGTAGGTGTCTTCCGTGCCGGCCGTCTTCACACCTCTCATACATTTTGTGCCGAAAGCTTCCATCTGCTGGTGGACTTGTGGTCAATGCACTCGTGACTCTGACATTACCACCTGCCCCGACAAACTTACTTGGGGTGTTTCTTTCGATGATGGTCCGTCGCCCGATACGCCACGTCTCTTGGACTATCTTCAATCTCAGAACCTTCACTCGACCTTTTTCGTCGTCGGGTCGCGAGCACTGTCGCGCCCAGAGATCTTGCAGGCCGAGTACATGGCTGGCCACCAGGTGAGCGTGCAACTACAACACAACTCCATTTCTAAATAATTCCATTCAAGATAAGCGTGCATACTTGGTCTCACTCGGCCCTGACGACTCTCACTAATGAGCAAATCATCGCCGAGCTCGGATGGACCGCCAAAATTATTAAGGACGTGACCGGCGTAACTCCAAACACGTTCCGCGCTCCCTATGGTGATATTGATGACCGAGTCCGAGCAATTGGACGTGCTATGGGCTTTACGTCCATCATCTGGACTGGCTACACCAACCCCCAGACGAACCAGCTCGACAACTTTGATACCAACGACTGGCACATTGCCGCTGGTACCGTCAGTGCATCTGGTGTGATTGCTGCATTCGAGAACATTCTGCAGTCTGCTACCTTGCTAAACACTGGCTTCATCGTGCTTGCTCACGATTTGTACCAGCAGTCGGTCGACTTGGCCATTGGCTACATCTTACCCGATGCTCTCGCACGCAGGAATCCGCAATTCAAGATGATGTCCATCATCGAGTGCCTCGGCATGCCGCTGGCCAATGCCTACAAGGAGACGAACGACAACGCTACAAACCCGGTCCCGACTGGTATCAACCAGTCGATCAGCTACGCAGGTGCTTCTGCAGCTGCTACATCGACTGCTGGTCATACCGGAGGTGCGCTCTCGACCTCGCCCTCGACGTTATGGCACGTGGTTGGCCTGGCCGGTGCCCTGGTAGCGGCGTATACGCTCTAGACATTGGACTCGTGCTGCTCTTCATCGTGTTTGGACTGCCTTTGAGGAATGACCCCTAAAAAGCATTGGAAGACTGACGCTACAAACAATCTTACCACTTTCTACCTTCTCCGTCCCTTCCGCCTCTCCCCCCAATCCAATCCGTTTGTGCTGGTACTCCCCCTGCCTACGATTGAAGTTTTGATAGTACGGACTCGATTCCCCAATTTTATTCCTCAGAACGCTCGATTTTTTCTCTCGCATCTATCCTATACGCTAGTTCGTGAATGAAACGTATTCGAACTCTTGTGTTTTGTAAGAGAAAAATGCCATTTCAATCCAAGCGACAAGATGACGGATAGGACAAGTGCACGAAACAGGGGTTAGAGGGAGATATGAGAGTACACACACTAGCTACAGGTAGCAGAGCGCTCGGCATCGTGAGGAGAGGAAGAGCAGTGTGGAGTGTGAGAGAGAGAAATAGATAAAAAAAGGTGATCATCGTCAATCCCGGGTGATGCCAGTCATGTCCATCTATGCAAAAAGGTGGTAATAACCAAGATGAATTTCAAGCCAAAGAGAGAAGAGCTTGACCAGCACACCATGGAGAGAGAGATAGCAGGAGTGAAGAGGGAAAGATTAGAAAACGGGGGGTTTGCGAGTCGGGGCGCCGAGTGTAAACTGAGCGGGAGGACCACGGTGATAAAGAGGAAGGAAAAGGAGAAGAGAGGAGACTGAGACTGGAGGCCTTGCGTTGGCTGTGGGGATACAGAGTTGGACGACTGCCTGCAGTTGGGAGAAACCTTGTCGTGACCCAGGGGGCGATGCACGTGTACAGATGTCATAGCCTTCATCCAGAGGAGTGACAACGCGAGACAGACTCGCTAAGCTGGACGACGGAGACCTGGTGGACCCGCCTTGGAGGTTGTTTCCCGAGGCGGCTTGACGACAAACTGCGCGCTGATATGAATGTGGCTACAGAAAGTGTTAGTGGCGAATATTATCAAATGCAACGCAACATACTCGGATGGAAAGTGCGCATTCGGAAAGCCGACCACTTTGCCCAGATACTCTTCGTCCACCTCACCCAGAACATCGAGCACGGAGATGGACTGTGTCGAGTACCAAATGTAGTCGATCCCACCTCGAAAGCTGGGCGTATAATTTGTCACCGGGAGTTCGCCAATCCCCGCATAGGCGCTCCGGAGGCCCAGGCGATGCGAGACACCGCTGGTCGTAAACTTTCCATAGTTCTTGCCCATGAAATCTGGATGATCTCCTTGCACGGATCCCGTCGACAAGAGCTGGTACACTCCAGAATCCGGAACAGAGTTAAAATCACCACAGATCAACGTCGAAATCTTGGAGCCATCATCATACGCAGCACCCTTTGTCCCGTCTGCGTTTTGCATCGGAGGGAGCTTGGCAAATCGATCTGAGATGGCTTCTAGTTCGTGAACAAGGAGTGACACTTGGACGAGCTTGACGTCTCGGTACTCTGGGTCCCAGAAGATATGAGCGTTGGCGACAATAAGTCGAATACCAGTCTGCCGCTCTTCGAGCAAGCACGTCAACGCAATATCGTCTCGCTGGGCTACGCGATTAAAAATGTCGTCCGTCTTGGCGAGATCGGTGCGCTGAAGAGCATTCGCGCGGAACTCGATGACGACATTTTCTACCAGCTTGAACCTGGGGCTGTATTAGAATATGCACACTTACTTGGTTAACAACTCACTTGTCAGCCTTGAAGAAGGTAGCACTGCCATCCACCTCTTTTTGCTTTGCCCCAGTCATAGTCTTTGCACGAGACTTGGGCGAATAGCAGCTTTCATAGCCTCGCTCTAGGAGTGTCGGCTGGAAGAACGTCTGAAACTGCTCCTGGTCCACTTCCTGCAATAAGGATGAGATTGGCCAGTTGTGCAAAAGTTGCCGCACATACCTGGAGACAGACAATGTCCGACTGTAAATCAAGGATTTCAGACATGATCCTATCCTTTCTGTGGCTCCAAGCGAGAGCCCAGGTTGGCGTGTACCCATACATCTGCGACGTCGCATACTTTTCGCAGAGGATATTGTAACACAGGACACTGAATGGAACAGAACCCGTGTCCGATGGGAGTGCTTTACGCTCTGCTTCCGTACCGACCTGAACCCACTTTCGAGGCCGTGGTTCTTCGGTAGGCATAAAGTTGTCCCGCAGGTAGGCAATGACGCCAATGGTGCCCTCGTTGATGGCAATAGAACGAATCTTTTCGTCCATCTTCAGATTGCCTTCGATGCCGAGCATTTCTAGTTGATGCAGACTTCCTAATTGGTAGGGAAGCGTCGAGAGGTTGTTGTCAAACAAAAAAAGCTCTCGGAGACCAGTGAGCATGCCTAGAGCAGGTGGCACGATGGTGAGCTGGTTCCCTGTGAGGTCGAGGTGGATCAGGCCGCGTAAGCGTGAAATCTCGCTGGGAATGGTGGTGAGATTGTTGTGGTTTAGGTAGAGCGTGGTGAGAAAGTTGAAAGTGAATAATCCGGGCGAGAGGTTTTTGAGCGCCATGCCGCCCATGTCAAGGATCGTCCAGGTGCCCTCTGCTTTGCGTGGGGCAGTTGGACGTTGAATCTGCGCAATAGGAGCACTTGTAGAGGACGGATGCTCTCCATCCGCGGGTTCCTGAGTACCAGAGGACTCAGTGACCAACGAGGATTGAGAGTCATCTCTTGCGTGGCCATTCTCCTTGACTGCCAACAGGTTCTTGAGGTTTGGGTTTGTGATTGGGATGGCAGACTTTGCAGCATTACGCGTAGCAAGAGCGGATTGACGGGCTCTGTGATGTTGGGGGCTCGCCTGGCGGCACAACTGGAAAGAAAGGGGGTCAACACGTGATGCTCGCCGTTCCAGAGTTGATATACCTCTGCTTTCATCAACTGCGCGCTCCAATGAGGGTTCATTGTCGGCACCTGCGACCCATTAGTGCCATTGAGTGGAGGAGACGACTGTGGTTGACGCCGCTGTGGCTGAGCGAGCTGGTGGATAGTCGTGGGTGATGCATAAGACTGCAGGGACATTGAAGGATGGTGAACATGATGGTGAGGCGGATGTACGCCGCCGTACTGGGCCAGGAACGGCGTTGGCGAAGGAGGCGGATGCTGGGCGTGTATCGAGTAGTGCATCCGTCCAACGTCCCATTCGACGAGATTTTCTCCTGATTTTATTGAGAGCGCTTGTCGCGAGACCAACTCCTAATCGCCAATGTGGTCAGCGGCAGGATGCAAGTTGGACTCGACGGCCATGTCCGATTCTGATCTTTCAGAGCAAGAACGGCTTGATAATCTCGATCCTCTTCGTCATTTTCGCGTAGAGGATGAATCGATTCTCCCCTCTCAGCCACCGTCGACAAAGGAGCAGATCCAGTCGTTTAACTATGGCTCACTCACAGTACAGCTGCTGGTAGATGCCAGTCCAGGGTGTGGAGGTATTGCTTGGCCTGCAGGTCACGTCCTCAGCAATTATCTCGTCCATCGCGGCCCCTCCTATTTACAGGACCGCCATATACTCGAACTCGGCAGTGGAACGGGCCTTGTAGGTCTTGTTGCAGCCAAACTAGGTGCATCCAAGGTCACAGTCACCGATCAACTGTCAGCAAATGCCTCTGCCACCAATGCGTCGTCGTGTTCACGAGTAACGTAGCCCGCTGCTCGAAATCATGCAGCGAAACATCAATCTCAATTCTCTGGGTCAGATTGTGGTTTCCAAAGAACTCGACTGGTAAACCCGTCCTCCTTGAGTGTCCTTGTCTGACTATGCTTCAAGGGGAAAGGAGCTGCCAGAATTGGGACCAATCAATGTCATTCTTGCAGCTGATTGCGTCTACTTTGAGCCTTCGTTTCCTTCTCGTCAATACGCTAGAAGCCTTGTCGCGCCAGCCAGGAAGGGATTGCGAGATATTGTTTTGCTACAAACAGCGAAGAAAGGTATATAGCAAGCTTATCGATCACTGGTTGTACTGATTCGTGTTAGGCCGACAAGCGATTCTTCACCCTACTCAAGAAGAAGTTTACATGGACTGATGTAAGTCATTCCGTACTCTGCTTTATGTCTACTCACAAATGCCAGGTTGATGACGATCCTCAAAGCGAGGTTTATAGACGAGAGGGTATATCCTTGTTGAGACTACGACCCAAGCCGTAAACAAACTGTTTAGACACCTCGAAATCATTCAACGTGATGTCCCGACGTGGACTGTGTGAGGAGATCAGAGATGTACTGTTTAAGAGGCCACCCTGTAGTTTCGTCATGATAACTCGGTGATTACTCGACGGTTGTTATTACTACAGACTGTCAACTCGTTGTATCCAGAGATTGTCATTTCACCTGTGGCCAGCCGTGGCGACTAGTGGATCAACTTGATTTCGACCTCTACCAACAATGGCCGGACGGGCAGTCAGCAAGACCGTGGTCGTCAGTATTCCCTCAAATGTCCCATCTATTACACAAGAAACCTCACACCACACTCTCTAGGATTTTACCAAAATTTATTCAACTTTGGGTCTCGGAAAAGGTGGGTTCCCGACGCAGAGGCACCTTCGGAACGCTCACATGTCACTTTCCTGTCCTCTACAGAGACCGTTTCGTCTCTCCAGGCATTCCGCAAGCGCCATGGGGACGCACAACGAATCCACGGCACGCTGGCGTCGCAACCGACCACTGTCGATTTTGCGCACTACCGTTCGGTACTAAAGAACCAAGCAATCGTCGACGAAGCGGAAAAGCTGCTCAAGGACTTTAAGCCAAAGACATACGACGTCTCGTCGCATATCAAGGCCATTGATCAATTCGAGGAAAAGGCCGTCAGTCCCATTCGTTTCATGAATGAGATATGTTGCTCATTTCGAGTTGAATATCTAGGTTTCCAAGGCCGAGGCGACCGCTGCAGAGATTGACGTCGAACTCAAGGCTCTTCAAGCAACTCTTGCCAACATTGAAGAGGCCCGGCCGTTTGAGGATTTGACTGTATGTGATATCAAGCACTAAATGTTCTTTATACTGACATTCTCTTCCAGTTGGAGGACGTCCGCAAGGCTCACCCCCAAATTGCCGAAACCGTCAAGACCATGGTTTCAAAGGGCAAATGGACCGTGCCAGGTAAGACAGTAATACTCCTTTGTCACTTTTCTAACATTCGGCAGGCTACAAGGAGAAGTTTGGCGACCTCAACATCATGTAGACGTTGCTACTTCAATAGACTTACATTATGGATTGAAATACTCTTGAGAGTTGCTCAGAGCTCGCTCAATATTCATCTACAGTGGGTATCGATTAGGCACAAAGTTGAAGTACAAAAACTAGAGAAACATGTGACTACAAAGAGTATCCTATGCGGATAAAACCACGGATAAGAGCATATCTAGGTCAGCATAATCTATGCGTGTCTGGGTTATTGCGTCTTCTTCTCAATCGGCGTCGGGCGAGAATCCATCTCGAGCATAACCTCTTGTCCATCACTCTCTGCCTCCGAGTTGCTTTCAAAATCGTTTGGCACCAGTGATGGCGTCGACGCAGCTGGCGTTGCGGCTCGACTGGCGGACATCTCTGCCAACTCTTTGCGAAGAGCCTCGAGCTCCTTTTCAAACTTGCGTCCAAAGACCTATGGATCTGTGAGTATGTCTCGCATCTCACCGAGAGATGCGTACTTCGATGTAGAAACCACCACCGTTCCAGACGGAGACGCCAAAGATGATAAAGAGAAAAATGGTGCTGAGGAATGCACTATCGTACAAGAACCAGACAGCCGGGATCTCTGTAGCGATAGAATACACTGAGGCACAAGTGAGCGTAGGTCCTGAGGAGAAAACTGTGCGACATACGGAATTGGCCAAACATAAAGGATGCCACACGGTAGTCTTCTGGCACTTTGGATAATGCACGTCCAATGGCCCCTCGTCGATCTGCCAGAAGATACGAAAAAGATGTCGTTCGTTGTCCACTTTCGATTTTGACCTTGCGGTCAACGTAGACAAACTTCCAGTAGAGAATTTGCCAGACCATGTAGAGTGCGCTGCTAAAGAGCAGTGCTCGAACGGGTTGAAAGTGAGGAAGGTCATTGAGGGCTGGGAAACGCGCCGGTGCTTCTGGATAATAGTGACGAATAGTCGTAAACGTAAAAGGCGCATAGATATGGATGAAGAGGGAAGTAACTTTGTCGACGTCGTGGAATACGAGCGAGTTGCGCCACGTTATGACTGCAGAGGCGAGAGAACCGTGTGACAGGCAGTAACAGGCAGTCTGAAGAGCTTTTAGTGAACAATCTCGTGAGGCAACGTGACTTACCAGGAGTGTGGCAGAGCCAGGGAACAGCCAAATATAAACAAAATTGAGAATCGTTACATAGTAACAGAGATCAAACAAGAAGTAATGATACGCCTTTCGCTTATAGGAGAAGAAGCGCAACGGAAGCACTAGAGCCGAAGGTGAGACTTGTCACAGCGCTAATATGGAGGACGTACGATATGCGCATGCTGCAGTGTAGAAAATATGAACCCACTGTGGGTATAGGCATACCATTAGTGCTGAACCTAGTACGGTATGCACGCCCAGGAAGAATGAAATCTGTAAAGACGTGGCGTAAGGATGGGCTGAGAGCCTATATCTCTTGCTAAACAGACCTTTTCACGAGTTCTAACGACCTTTGTGGAATGCCATGCAGTATTGACCTTTTGCATACGAATCGACAGCTAGCAACAGCCATGTGCGTCAGCGGCCATTCGGTACTACGGCATTTAGAGGCCAGTATTCACCGTCTTTTTCAGTTTATCGAGTTCCCTGTCAATGTTGGGGTCGATACCACGCCGTTTGAGGACGTCTTTGGTGCCGTCCAGAACGCTCTGGCCTTGCTTGCGAAGCCTGCGCTCCCAGAGATCGATACGAGCATCAAAAAAGGTCTCAAAAGTGTCTAGATCCCCGAATAAGCTCCAAGAGGCGCGTTTGTCGCGTCAGAAAATGGCGTACCGAGCAGAGTGTAGGCGGACGACCATTCGACATTCTCCTCTTTCCAGCGCTCGAACGGAGACGAAAAGTACCCAATTGACGGGAATGAAGAGGAGCGAGAAGGTGGCCTCGAGGGCTGTTCATCGCTGTGAGTCGACATTTCGGCAGTCGTGGCTGAGTTCAAGAAGGTGAGAGAGGGCCAGCCAGCAGTGACCCGAGGCTGGAGTCAATAATCATCTCCTTGGGTATTGTGAACTTACTTTTGAACAAATTCCGGCCAGCAGGGTTTGGCAGTGCGGAGAACCAGTGAGGCAGTGAGTTTGGCCAATTACTCGCTTTTTGGAACCGGCCACAACCATCGTCTGGACGACTCGCCAGTCTGAGGGCTTGTCATTACTCTTCTTCTTAAGCAAATGGATTCAAGAACAGCTTCCGAGCGCACTTTCTCGCTCTCCCAGCTCCCCATTGGCTTCGACAACCCACACAAAGCTGCCCAGGACGGCTCACGGCGCACCTCGTCAGCATCCACTGCGTCTTCAATGCCTAGGACCCCCTCTTCGATAGCCTGGGACCGCTTCGATGTCTTCTCGCCGGTCGCAGAACCGCAGGCGTTTGAAGCGTCCGAATACGGCTCAGAAACCTCTTCTCTCCTCACAATCTCTCCAGATACCCCGTTAAAACGGGATAGTCTTCCCACCATTATTCATGATGGCCCGCAGAGAACTGGTTATGCCATGCGCGAGAATCCGCGCCGGTCGCAGTCGATAACGCTTTCCTCGATGGAAACCCAACAGAACAGACTATCTAGGGCTGCGACTATGCACACAGTTCCAGGGGTACGTCCGTGGCCCATGCCCCCACCAAGTTCCTCCACAGATACAACGGCCCCCAGGCTTTCACCGCTACAGGATCAAAACGAGGAAGATGTAGATGCGGGCGACCGCAGTCACGGTACGGATAGCGACTCGCCAGGCGAGTCCGGAGACAGTGCAAATCATCTCCAACGGCGGCGACATATACGTCGACCTACCCGTGAAAAGAAAGACCTTCCAAGACCGCTCCCTCCCCTACCAGCATCCAACCTCGCTCATTCTCAGAGTACCGCCGGTCGGTTCATGACCACACCGTTTGCAGTCTCTGCAGGAGAACAAGAGCCACCTCTTGGCGATGCAAGGAGGCGGAGTCGCACACTCAATTCGCTCTCTGGGATTCGTTCCTTGCCTGTCCCAAATGCCCAGACACAATCCAATCCCTCATCTTCCAAGTCGATACCGAATAAATCCGCAGGCAAGCTGGTTCCCGTCATCCTTCCACTCAAACTTCACACGCTTGAACTGCGTTCATCCCCGTCCGAGGCGGCGGGCGTCCTGACAAAGACTCCCAACCGACCATCGAACAATTGCGCTTTGGCGCGTTCCTTCATGGCACCTCCAATGCCGGCGGATGCGGCGGCTGCAATTGACTGGGATCTAGTCGACGATGCGCTCGGAATTGACGACGACATCGTGTCCTAGACGCGAGGTTATGTCTCTCTTGATTCCGTAAACCTGGCCACAGAACTGGACCCTCATTGGTCGAGAGAATCATATTTTTATATAATCTCAAGAGGCTTGTCTTCCTATCCTATCCAATCCATCGAGAGAAGCATTCTCACGCCAGGAGCCCGGGTCGAATACTTCTGACCGAACACTTCACCATAGTTCTCTCGCGCTACCGGACATACTCAGCGCATAAACAATGTTCGGGAAGGTATGCGACCTTCACGCGCCGCATCCGGACCTTTCAGGTTCGCCAGACGCAGATATTCGCGCGTATTTTACGCGCGCGGCCCCCTCAAAATGTCCTGCACGCGGACACCAATATCTGATCACAAGGGTGTCGGCCTGTCGCCACCGCCGCTGCGACCCGTCCTCCACCACGCCCCGTCTTCCGATATTAAGCGCCATCCTCGACTTGTTCGTCTCTCCTTCAACGTCTCGGGCATGGACTCGCGTTCAGACCTATTTTATTCTTATCCCCGATCGATGTACTGTATACCCGTTTGTGTCTTGTAGACCGTCCGGCTATCATGTTGCTGCGATTCATGTCCTGTCATAACGTAAATCTGTCCAACTCTGTACTACATACAATCCAGCCTTGCAAAGGGCCTCCAATCTGACGCAATTTCTCTTTCGCTGCATGGTAGCCTTGCGCCCTCTCCGAGTGCTTTGCATCATAATATGTAGTGCTCAAATAATTGCCGTTACTCGGAGCTATGTCTCCCGTGATGGTTTCCCGGCGTGTCATCGTAAATTGGACGGTCTTGTGGCCTGACGTTCCTCGCTCACTGTGGTCCGCGTAATCAGCCTCCATTGTATCACCAAGTGTATCCCACCCGCTAGTCGGAACGCGGTTTTGGTGATAACTCAAATCCGGAAATGAGAGGGCCAACTTCGTGGGCCCCTGTCTATCAACGGAGTTTGCGGACACTGATATAGTTTGCGTCGTTGACATCGCTTGCTTTATCGTTGACATATGAATAGCTTTTCTCGTGTCCAAATATTGTGCGAATATCGACGCTTTACAAATCCTAGGCCTGGAGGATCTGGTGAGTGTTGGCTGGGATTGGATTTGAATGCATGTACCTGAGCGACGGATTGGACCAATTCTTTGGATTCACACCTCGTCGGACTCCATTGGTGAGAATCTCTTTGCCGAGGTCGGATATCCAACAAAGAGCTATGGCCCGACGTGAGAATTTGCGCCAAGGTCGAGGCTCGACGCACATTCATTTGAGGATCTACTTTTCCCGCTCCCACGATCCCTCCCCTGCGTATATTGACAGGTAGTGAATAAGATGTGGGGGGTATGCACCTGAGAATCTGCACAAAGCAGTTCAATATATGCCATGGGTCGACTAATCTGACCATATTTGATATACCTGGTTTGTGCAGGCGACCCGAAAATGCTCTTCGACAGTCGTCTTGAATATCATTCTCCATGTCCTCGAGGATCTGTGTTCCTTTCACACCAGAAATAGTGATACTCTTGATATAGAGAGGTGTCATGCCCATCGATGACAAGAGGGCCCCTTGAATACCAACAGCACACCACAGTGCTATCTTGTCGCTACAGGACATGGCATTTGTCGGAGGAGCATCTCCTCTTCCTGGCTTTGTCCGTACTACATTGAATCGTGAGTAGGCGTTTCGACCTCGGGCAGCCACAGGGGTAAGGTCGTCCAATATATTCGGAGGACCATCGTCCTTTAACGATGCCATTTCTGGGTCATGAATAGATTGAATATGTGCAATTGCCCTGGTTGACGCTTCGCCACCTTTTCGAGATGATTACTCGTTGATATTGCATCCCAATTGGACGTACATGGCAGCTCTGAGATGTACATATGAAGAGATACGTTAGGATTGAGTTCCCAGTGATCGTCTTCCTGGTCGTATTGCAGCCATTCGCTCTTCCCAGATGTGGCCCACTTCTGCATTTCACGCAGGAGCCAATAGACGGCCCCTCTTCGCGCGAGAACCTCTGCATGAAAGTCGTGTACGACATCTCCAGTCTTTGAATACTTGTCAACTGGCAAACATTTTGTGCCTGTGGCCAACGAGATGATCGTTGACTGATTCCGGTCATTGTTGATCAAATAAAATGCTGCAAGAACTGTGTAGCATCCATTTGGCGGTTTGTAGCGCAGCGACTCGTAAACCTTGAAGATGGTCGGGGTAAAGTCCATCGTCGCCACTCGGTACGCGCGTTGACCCATCTCCTCGTCGCAGCCATGGCAAGCACTTTCATTCGAATGTCATAAACACGTATAGAATAAACTATATTCTAGTTTAGGAACACATACGATTCGGATAACACCGTCTTCTCGCCTCAGGGAAGACTGCACCAGGTCGAGTATGCGCTCGAGGCCGTCAAGCAAGGCTCTGCGGCCGTAGGACTGAGATCAAAGACTCATGCTGTTCTTCTCGCGCTCAAGGTACGTATGTCGCGTCGTGCCGGACACTAAAATGTCGACAAGGCTGACGAGTACCGATGGGATATAGCGTTCGACGGGCGAGTTGGCATCGTATCAGCAAAAGATGTTCCGGATAGATGATCATGTTGGTATTGCCATCGCGGGCCTCACATCAGATGCGCGCGTTTTGAGGTGAGTATACGCGTCGAGGGATCAAACTATCATTGACAAACGTCCGACTTAGCAACTTTATGCGACAGCAAGCAATGTCCTCACGAATGATCTTCAACAGACCGTCTCCAGTGAACAGACTGGTCTCTGCTATCGCAGATAGTATGTGTTTCTCTGCCTAATCGCTTTCTGTCTCACGAATGATCTGTAGAGGCCCAGGTCAACACACAAGAATACGGAAGACGGCCGTATGGTGTGGGATTTCTGGTCATTGGACAGGACGAGACTGGGCCACACCTCTACGAGTTTTCACCATCAGGAACTGCGTATGAATACTTTGCCATGTCGATCGGAGCTCGCTCCCAGAGTGCAAAGACGTATTTGGAGAGGCATTATGAAGAGTTTATGGACTGTATGTGTCGCGTTTCACCCTATACCGACGGTGTACTAACCAGGATGCAGGCACCGTCGAGAAACTCATCACACACGGTCTACATGCTCTACGTGAGACACTTCAACAAGACAAGGAGTTGACAATCCTCAACACATCGATTGGCATCGTCGGTCCTCCGGCTGGTTCCGAATCGTACGTCAAAGCCGGTGGTGCCTTTAGGATTCTCGAAGGCGAGCCGATACAAGTGTTCTTGGACACCATGACTCCAAAAGAAAGTGTTGCACCAGCCATTGTAGAACCCGACTCAGAAGACGAAGGCGGCGATGGAGATGTACAGATGAGCGATGCGTAGAATTGAACTATCCAACGACTCTAATATCTCCAAAATGTCAAGAATGAGTGGTGTCACATAAATCAAGTATAAAATACAACATGTCGTGTGCGTGTGTCTAGCTATTACGATGGTTTTACTTTTGGAGCTGCTCGTTGACGTGCTGCTCGCACGAGTGAAGCTAACTTGGACGGTCTTCGTAAGCTGGTTACCAGGGCTATGAGAGTTGTGAGTAGGAAAACGCTCCCCGCCTGGTGAGTTGCAGCTAGGTGAACGGGAACGAGATAGAGTAACGTTGTGATTCCGAGGGCCGCCTGAATGTTGACCATAGCAAAGGAAGCACCGATCAGGTGCCTTGTGAGTGGTGGAAGAATAGAAGAGAGAGACGTGAGCCGAGTAACTGCGTACAGTCCAGTTGTACCAAAGTAGGTCGACATTGCCTTTGAAGATTAAGTTTTCATCAGGGGCCAGAGAGACTCGGCTCACTAAGACACGGTGATCAAATTGGGCTGTAACAGGATTCTCAAGCATATTTCTCCACCAGAGATCACCTTGGTCGCTTCTTCGAGAATATGCAGGTGATAGGAGCTCATTATGGGGTGGCACTAGGCCCTCACCCATGTAGGGAAACTCGTTGTATATCAAGCCCGCATCCAATCCAGCGACAAATGCACCTGATGTATTTGTCAGTAAAAATGCCCAATCAGTTGATCCAAGCACAAACCTGAGACTGCAGTTCCGAAAGCGAGAAGAAGGAGGGCTATGGAGGCTCCTTTGAACCGCCTGACTCGTGGGTCTTGCAATAGCGAGACGAATTGATCGCCAACGCCGTTCACAGCGCCTCCACTTGCCCATTGCAGATCCTTGCGAACAGTGAGAGCCGTACGCAAAGCTCCGGAGAAGAAGAGCAATGCTGTGCCCAGATGTGCAGCCAATCTGTACTGACTGACACGCGGGACAATACCCTGAGCTGGATTAGGAGTGTTTTCCACCAAGGTCTGGTGATCGAGACCGGATTTGACCATGTACCAACCCAGTGCACCTTGTGCACCAAGTAGCAAGCCGAGTGCTCCCAAATTTCCGGCCAAAGGTGCAGGAAGGCGCCGCTTGAAGAGGTAGTATCCATACGGGACGGCAAAGGCAAGACCTATCACGCGTCCGAGGATACGGTGACCCCACTCCATATAATAAATCGACTTGAACTCGTCTACGTTCATCTTGCTATTCAATCTGACCGAGCTATCAGTCATGTGAAATACTAGAACTCTGCCAACTCACATTTTGAATTCTGGTGTCTGTCTGTATTTATCAAATTCTGCCTGCCATGCTTCGTTTCCTATTGGTGGTATGACACCCGTAACAGGCTTCCATTCCGTGATGCTGAGCCCAGACTCGGTGAGACGGGTAACAGCACCGACGACAATGACTCCAAAGGTCAAGCCACAGCATAACATCAACCACCTTACAACCCCATTCGGTGGCAAACTATCGAGGGACGCATCCGCTACGCTCCCTTGGGTTGTCGACGAGGTAGTAAATGTGACGGGCCGTATTCGAAATGTGCTCGGGTAAAAGAAATGCGGATAAGAGGGCGTAAAATGCGGGAATTCACGTGGTTTTATCATAGCTGCGGAAGTCGGTCGCTTGAACAGCGTCGAAAACGCCCTCGACGAGCTTTGGACACGTCCATTCTTGCACGAAATAGATCCAAAAGTTCTTAGACGTGCAAGTGGCCCATATCTTGCAAACATGGCCATGGCCTGCTAAGTCGTGGATGAGGTTCAGAGCAAAAAGCCAGCTGTTTGCTTCTTGGTCTCGAATGATGTTCTGGACTCGCCGGCTCGCGCTCTCGGGGAGAGCCGTCCAATCGTTTTCTAGGAATTTCGCAGTCAAAGCACCTCTAGGAATGACAGACGGCGAACGACACATTTTCAACATTCTGAATGACAAACTCGACCCAAGCTCGCTCGTCGTCCAGGACGTTTCAGGCAAGACACAAAAATAAAACTTGTTGATATAGGAGTTTGACGGTCAAAAGGGGGATGCGGGGAATTTTATCACCTTCAAGTTTCCAGCAAAGCCTTCAAGGGGCTTACCATGATTAAGCAGCATCGGCTCGTCCAAAGTTTGCTCAAAGAAGAGATCAAAAACTTTCACGGCATTCAGGTACGCAAACGATTTCCCCGTTTAAGCCATCTAATGGACATGTCCGCAGCTCCAGACGAGCGTAGACGAGACAAACTAGACATAAAACTAACTCGATAGAGTTCTATCATACATAATGCGAATAATGTATCTCGCAAGATGGTAGTACAAGTGACTTGACGTCCCCAAGAGAAAATTAAACAGGATGTAAAGAACGTGGAGTTGGATGTTTGAGGATGGAGAATTGACAAGCTGGGAGGGATATCATTGACCATAGATCTGATAGTCGTAGAGGATGCTCGAGCCCCAGACGGACGGATCACACGCTCCAAGGGGTATTGATGTCGTGCCACCCAGGTTATAAACAGGAACCGCCCCTCCTCTGGGAATTTGCGGCCAGTTGGCATATCCAGATGTATTGGGGTTACCCGTCTTGACAAACGCTCCCCAACGCGCCTGAACCTCCGCGGTAAGGGCAGCCTGTGCTGGCGTCGGCGAAGGCACAGTACCAAAGACGATTTCGAGTTCGTCCTGATGGCACACATTTCCATTCGTCGTGCAGAATGAGATGCCAGAGTTGTAAGGGATCGTCGCACCGATCGTAAACTGGCCGACCCAAACGTTTCCTCCCCGTTGAGCCCAGGTCCGTGCAAGTGTGTATGTAGGGCATCTCCAAGCGCCATCAGTACTCACGACGACTAGCTCCGGTCGGATATCATCCACGTTTTCGTTGGACACCTTGTACTGGTCGTCGATTTGCGTAGCTCGGGTTGCACCAAAGAGTCCGGTGGCCGCGTACATAAAGTACGCGGGAGGCAGAGGATAGTTGACAATGGAATAGATGGCACTACCGGCTTCATCCTTTACCGTCGTCAAGAGAATGTTCTTCAACGTAGGCGGAAAGGTGGTTGTTAGGGAATACTTGATAAGCGTGCCGTCAAGGACTGGTCGAATGGGCTGGGACATGCCAGCCGCGGGGTCGATACCGGGGGCATTGTTGATAAGGGTGGATTGTGCAGTGAGGAGGGTGGAGACGGGTGTGGTGAGACACGTTCCGCAGCTCGTAAGATTGCCATAGAACGCTGATTGGAGGGCCGTAAATGTCGAGGGTTGCAAGAAGCCATAGTTCTATACAAAATTTTAGCTCAGGCACTTGACGCTGATGAGAAGCCACTCACAATCGGGTCCGACTCTATGATCGCTTTGCTGAACAGGTTGTCCGCGGAGGGTGTAGCGAGCAAGTTGCGAATCATGTTTCCGCCAGAGCTGTGACCGACGAGAGTGACCTTGTTTTTGTCACCTCCAATGCAACCGATGATGTTCTGGATGTACTGGAGAGAAGTGATGACGTCCCGTACACCCAAGTTCTTGTTGTTGGACAGGGATTGGGGTGGGAGGTAACCGAGGATGCCCAGTCGGTATTGAACCACGACAACGATAGAGCCCGTTGATTGCGCGAGTTTGGAGCCATCAAAGATGGGATCAGACGCGGAGCCAGTGTTGTAAGACCCTCCGTGGATCCAAACGAGTACGGGGACGCCCCAAGACCATGTGGCTGGATTCACACTTGTGGGAACGTATGCCACAAAATACAAACAGTCTTCGGAATAACTTGAGGGGCTAACGTCGGCCTGAGGGCACATTGGTGGGAGATTTGTTGAGCCGGAGGAGCTAAGAATAAGAGTGTAAACGGACTCGTCTCTTGTTGAAAAATGTATGTAATCTTACTTGGAGAGTGGAGGAACAATCTGTGGAGGCTGGAAACGAGCGGCAGTGGCGTATTTGAGAGTAACTCGGATAGCACCGTTGGCGAGAGTGCCTTTACGGGCCATAGGGCGAGTTAAAAGTAACAATGTTATTTGAACACGTTACTCCTGGCCATGAGGGCAAGTTGCAGTTTTGACGAAGGCGGAGATCGCCATTTGGGCGCGCGCCGACGAGAGTGAGGCGCAGGGCGAGCAGGACGGTGACGAGAGTGACTAAAAGGGCCATTTTGCGGTATTTGTGCTTTAAAAGAGTGTCAATAGCGGGCCAGAACTATGCAGAAGCTGGCGGCGCAGAGTCAAAGGAGAACAAGGACCGACCAAAAGACGGCTAGCATCGAGCTCAGCTTTATAGGACTCGAGAAGACCCCGGGGATTCATTTAAACGTCACTCGGAAACGCTGGGAATTTCCAAGGGGTCGCGGTATGCGGTCAAGGCGCGTGGGCTCGGAGCGATTATGGCGGCCAGCCTTCTCCCGACGCCCAGAAATCGGTGACATCTCAACGCCCAAGGCAGAGCAAGGAAAGCTAACAGTTGTACACTGGAAACCCCATTCAAACCGCCAGGATACAGCACAGAAACTGGAAATACCCGTCTGATACCATCGGACAGAAAACTCTGCGAGGTGTCGCCGGTTTGTGAACCGCATGCTCCAAGAGAGGAATACCCTTATCCGGAACACCATTTCCCGTATTCTGCAAGCCGTCGGATCTGCAAGGGCAATCAATCTGTTGGGTTGCTGAGACAGGCACAAGCAATCTGCCCGTCGGTGAGAACGTAGACGCAGTGTGCCCTCGGCACGGGCACGGACAACCTCTCAGGTCGCTTTATTACTGCCATAAACGTGATCAGAACTTGTAACGCGTCGCAGCGAGCATCCCTGAGAGGACTGAACTCACTATTCTCGCACTAAATGATCATAATGAGCTCATGAAACGCAGTCAACTAGATGTACATACCCCTGAGTATAAAATTGCTCAGGACCGCAATGAAGAGAGCGGCAGAAATCAGTAATGGTCCCGCGGTCTCATCTGTCGATCAAAAGCCCCTTCAGCTTTGCGCGCATATATGGCGTGTGAACAAAACACCCACCAAAATTCCCCGGATGTCGTTGACGTATCATTGTTATCCGACGTTGGTACAACAAGTAACCATATATCTACCCGCCACAAGCGATGAGCCAACGAACGTGCACCCCAAAGGTAGTGGGACTCACGAGGACAATGACGCTGATGGCGGCGTACGTATACGCAAATCGCGTCGAAATTGGGTCCGAAGTTGCATTGAACAAGGTAATTGAGAGCATCCCCAACAGGAGTGCAATATTCAGATACGAGATCCATGCTAGGGGCCGTAGAATTGAGCGCGCTGGGTCTAATGATAGCATAGAATCTTCTTACTTCTCTCTGCTGCAAGCCATACTTTTCCTTCAACCTTGATAGGAGTGGCTAGCTTCTTTGGCACGCGCACGCCAGGCGGGAGGTCGACGGCGCCATAGTTTCGATTCTCTGGAATCCTGTCTGCTCTCGTACTTCTATCTCGAATTCCCTGAGGATTTCTAGGCAGCGACGAGAGCGCCGTTGAAGAAAAAGGCGAAAACAAGTCTGACATTGCATGCCACGATCTCCGCAAGAGCCCAGCGTCCTCTGACGGCGAACGCAACGTCCTCGCAGCATCGTTATCTGTCGGCGTTGCCATTGCTTGCTGGCGTCGTCGGTGACGTTCTAGAAAGGTCGAGAGACAACTCGAGTCGGCTTACTTAAGCATATACCTCGACTTATATTCCCGACGCCACTCGAGACAAAACTTGAACCCGACTACGTTACCATGGGCAAAAATTATTACGATATTCTCGGAGTAGACAAGAACGCAGACGACGACGCCATCAAAAAGGCCTACAAGAAGCAGGTATGTGGGGGTTTGGACGGCCGTAGCGTGTTGAATGAGCTAACAACTCCCCTTAACAGGCCCTCAAGTGGCATCCAGACAGAAATGCAGGCTCAGAAGCCGCTTCTGCAAAGTTTAAAGAGGTCAGCTTACCCTCGTTCGACGTCATGTGCGTTGCTGACAAGTGTTTCCACAGGTCTCGGAGGCATTCGAGGTTCTCTCAGACAAGAACAAACGCGCAGTTTACGACCAATTTGGTGAAGAAGGCTTGAAAGGCGCACCTCCACCAGACGCAGGAGGAACTGGCGGTTTCTCTGGCTTCCCAGGTGCTGGAGGTGCTGGTTTCGGCAGCGGTGGTTTCCCAGGAGGAGCTACATTCACCTTTACATCTGGGCCTGGCGGAGGTAGTCGGGGCGGATACCATCCCAGCGACCCGAATAGCATCTTCGAGTACGTAGAAAACTTGTTCACAACTTGACTTAATGCTGACAAATATTGCAGACAGTTCTTCAAGAGCTTCTCCATGGGAGGTGGCATGGGACCAGGAAGCCACCGTGCAGCATTTGGAGACGACGATGACGACCCGATGATGGGAAGTGGTATGCCCGGCGGATTCTTCAACATGGGAGGCGCTGGTATGGGCGGTATGCCTGGTGGGGGACCTGGAGCGCGCACAAAACGACCTACACGAAAGGCACCAACCGAACCAAGTCAACCCAATGAGGTCGTCCGGCCGCTCAAGGTCAAGCTTGAAGATCTCGCTACTGGCGTCACAAAGAAGCTAAAAGTTACTCGACGATTACTCACCGGCGAGCAAGTCGAAAAGACACTCGAAATCGTCATTCACCCCGGATACAAAGCCGGCACAAAGTTCCGCTTCAAGGGCGAAGGAAACGAACGAGAAGGAGCGGAGCCTCAAGATTTGGTGTTCGAGCTGGAGGAAATTCCTCACGACCGCTTTACCAGAGATGGAAACGACCTCATTATCACGGAAAAACTTTCCCTGCTAGAAGCCCTAGCAGGAAACGGTGGAAACCGACAAATTGTAGCGATTGATGGTCGACGGCCATCTATCGCTGTTCCTGCCTCTATCGTCAAGCCAGGTACCCAGACCAGGGTACCCGGCTATGGCATGCCGATACGCAAGGAAGGCCAAATCAAATCGTACGGGGACCTCATAGTCAAGTGGGACATTGTGTTCCCAGACAGGCTCACGTCGGGCCAGAAAGAGGGCCTCCGAAAGGTTCTTGGATGATACAAGTGCTGTACATCTCTCTTGTCACATGTCTAGTCCTCTTTGTATTTCAAACACGTTTTGTAATCAATTTAGAGCCATTGCGTCCAGACGAACGAACTAGGCTGAGCGATCGTCCCGTTTGGAAGGTGAGCCACCTCGGAAAGGTAGCCACGCGCAGGCGATACAACTTGGAACACTTTAATTCCACCACCGTTCATTCCGGCCGCAATAATGTATTCCTTGCGCGGTCCGACAAAGTTCATGCCCCGAATATAGTTAAGACCGGTGCGGACGTATTTGACGGCTTGAAGCTTGGGTCGCGTCTCGAAAATGGTGATAGCATCTCCTTGTGGATGGGGATCGTTACGATTGGACGCGTAGAGAAGCGCGCTTGGGCCGTCGGCATACAAGAGTTCTGCCGCTGCCAAGGGTGCGTCGGGTGTCGTGTCCAGAGGGCGTATGGACTGTGATGCGACGAGTTTCGGCTTTCCGAGGCCGAGTGGGGGGAATGTATGTTGAGTGAGGTTGTTTGAGAGCTCGCAGAGTGTGTAGAGAGTTGAATCTGAGACATGTAAGCGTGACACCGAACTCTTCGGACGCGCCGTACCAACAATCACCCCATGACGCGGTCCACTCCCCGGCTTCTGGTCAATGTGGTCTCTGACCACCCAATCTCCAGTACGATTCTGGACCATCCTCCAAATCTTGTCGGTCCCTAGGTCCATGACCACTGCTTCGTTTCCATTTTTTAGAACCTATCTTGTCTGTCAGCATGAATCGAACACGAGTATCGGAACTTACTTGATGAGGGTGTGACCCGTCTACCTGCTGAGGTGCAGGTCCCGAACCATTGTAAAACGTCATGTGACCAGGAGGGATAAAATGAAGATGATCTGGTTTCAAAGAGGCAGTGAAAAGTGAGCTGCCATGGTAGTTGGCGACTCCGAGCGTGTTCCCATCCAAGACGGCGCCAATGTGTGTTGGGTGAATTCCATTTGTAGAGATAGAATCGACCTTAACAAGTTTACCAGAGCGTCTATTTAAAACGAGCGAGTTCAAGTGACCATCGGGAACCTCGTCTGTGGCATAGATAATAGCGGGGTCGTATGGGCTTTGCGTAAGCCAGCTTGGTGCTTCTCCAGACGCGGTTTGAGTAACTAATTTCAACGATGGAGGGGACGTGGAAAACTTGAGAGTCGAAATATACGTCGAGAAGCTCCCAACGAGCACCAGGAATGTTGAGGCGACCATGGAGGACGATGAGGACTCGTCAAATCGTTCATGCGGAGCCTCGTGCTTGCTTTTGAGAATTTTGCATGAGAAATGGAAGAGTCGAGATGTTCGCAAGTCTAAGGCGGCCCCGCGAAGAAAGACCGACCTATAAGTGAATGCTTCTGAAGCCGTTCTTTGCCTAGAGAAAGATGTGCTTGATTGTAATCAGAAGGTTTATTTGCTCAGCAGTGGTGAATCTACTGCGAAGGCGGCACGGAGGGTTGGATCGAGCTCTTTGAGCGCCTCGAGGTGGTTCTATTCGGTGTTAGTAAAGAACATCCAGGTGAAGAAGTATACCTTGGTCGTATCCGGGCATTTGTCGAGTAAAACGTGGAGTACAGCACCTACAAGTTGTCGCAAGCTGGCGTCGGCATTACCCGACTGAACTAATGCCTTGGCGATACCAGAAATAATCTCTCCGCTCCAATAAGAGACCCGTGAGGCACCGATATCTACGACTTTGATTAAACATCGCAAAGCGGCTTCGCGCAATGTTGGTGGAACTTTCATTTCCGGTGGCGAAGAGATAGTATGGACCAATTGTGGTACGATTGCTTTGAGATATCGCACAAAGGCTACTCCGAGTGCATCCAACAGGTTGGGGAGAACGTCGTAGCTTGCTTGAATGAGTAGAGGCTCTCGATACCCAAATGACCAAGTGCCGCCTATCATACTGTCACCAAGGAGGGCGAAGAGGCGAGTATGGCGTTCGAGGCCGTCTTTCTTGGTAGTCTTGTCCACCAACTCGAGCGACGCTAACATTGCATGCTTGAAAAGTGTGGGGGACTGAGGATCACCATATCGAAGAAGGGATGTCTCGAGAGACTTAAATCTGTATCAGAACAAACTAATTGAATATGATATGGTACTCACTAGTCGCATGAGCTGGTCAATGCCTGATCTCTTCAAAAGCTCTGGTGGTGCACCCTCAATGAGTTTTCGGGCAAGGGCGATACCTTGAATCCGATGAATAGCCTGCCAATCGTCCATGTACGCTAGAATTGGGGGAATGAGAAGCGGCCATAATACTTCCCAGTCCTGAATCTATGGACGTGAGCGTGATCATAAGAAGCCACAGTAAGTACCTTGAGTGACGAGATGCACCACAAAATAACGTCGGCCATGCCGGGATTTTCTTTCCAGACATTGTCATCATCGTCCTGATAGACCACAGGAGCATTTGGTCCCCGTTGGCTCCGCGAGCCAGTGGTCATGTTGATATGCGTATGACTCGCAGTTGCTTCAAATGCTGGTCGTACCCATTCCAGGAGTACCGCTCGAATTTGGCTTTGGGTGGGCTCACCAAGTGAGTTCACGATATCTGGAGGGGGTAAAATTCGCAATCGAGCAATGATTCCACTCAACTGTGAGCTATGCTTCGACTGTCCGGCTTGGTCCATGCGCTGGAGCCTGCGAGCGGCACGGTTGTGCCAATGATTGACACGAAGTGCTCCTGGAGTTCAAAGTTGTCGCATTTTTGGACATGATCCCATAAGCGTTTCAAATGTCCATTAGATGCGTTCCTCCATGCGATCAACGTTGCACCATGTTCGCCAACTGCCCAGTCTTCGTCGTCAAATTGCTTGGGAACCTTCAATGTCGACCTTAGTGTTTCCAGTAAATCATTTAGAGTTTCTTGTTGTAAATCCTGATCATTTCCTTCATCGTCGAGCACTTCAATGGTGGGCATTGGTGGCAGGCGTATCCAAAAAAGATAGACCGCGACCATGAACACGACAACGTCGGGCGAGGTTCGCCTGGCGATTATCTGGAGCACTCCAGCAGAACGTTTGCTACATGAAACCTCGATATCATCTACAGCAACCGTGCTCGAGCTCAAGGAGCAGCTTTACAAGACACTAGTTGGCAGACCGCATGCCTCTGGCCAAATTCTGGCACATCTAGGACGAACTTTGGAGAACTCAGAGATCATTGGTCATATATGCAATGTATGCAATGCTCTATGAAGCCATGATTACACGTGCATGCTGACACTTCAATGATTTTATAGGTCCCAAAGGTGGAGGTTTATACATTATATATGACAATCCAGCCACATGCATGGGGAGAAAAACCACCGCAAGGAAGTCAACCAGCTGCATCAAATCCTCCGGCTATGGCCCTCCATCCGCACCAGCTCATTAGCCCTGGCGATGTCAGGGCCCGCGTCGAACCCAGAAACGAGCGAAATCCTCTCTCGTATATTCATTGGCTTCATTATAACGCTATCAGGGCGCTCCTGGGGTATCAAGCTTACTCCATACCAAATCCCCTCGGGCGACCAATGGAGGCTCACAAGCAGGACGCGATGAATTTCTATGCATGGTCGAACGTCAAATGGCCGATAGTATTTTCTCGCGAGCAAGAATTGTTTACTACGCCGCGAGAGTATGGGGAGGGGGTTCAGTACAGCGATTTCGACGGAAGGTGAGCTCTTCCACGAGCATCAATATCGCGTGAGCTTACTGTTATATAGCACAAGACCGATAATGCGACTACAAGCAAACTCGCCCGCCCCGACAGCACTGCAAAAGCTCGCGCTAGAGATCATGTCGTATACATACCCCTTGCTCTCCGTTGAGCTCTCACCGGCCCAACTGGAATCTTTAAACCCGCGACACAGAATACGAAAAGCGAAAATGGACGCGTATTTGCAGGCCGTCAATCATGCATGGGCGAACAACCTTCCAGTTCCCGCCCCTCCTCAGCTTGATGACCGCCCCGCTCCCGGAGCTGCAGCGAATCGGCAGGTTATTGTGAGGGTTGGAGTTGACACCGTTCTTTTGGTCGTCCGAGCTTCGCTGGTGTACTGGGTGTTCCGACCTTTTACCAGAACATTGACCGGTTGCGCTTACGTGGCTTGGATCCTATACGAACTGTGGCAATTATGGGCCCGACCAGCACCTCCGGGCAATGAAGGTGGTCGACCTCGTCAAGGTGGAGGCGCGAATGCCAATGGAGGCAACCCGGGGGGTGGAGTCGCTCCTGCTGTCGGTGGTCCTGCTGCTGCCGCTCAACCACCAAACAACGCGGGAAATGGGGGAAACAACAATAACAACCAAGCTGTTATTCCCGCTGGAGGCGCCAATGGACAACATGGTGCCAATGGACATCCTGCTCCGGCAAACGGTGCAGCCGGACAACAGGATGTCCAGAATCAAGCAAATCTATGGCAGCGTTACGCTCGACTGGGGCTGGCAAAAGAGGCAGATGCAGCCTTTGGAGTACATGTAGAGCGAACCAATGGACAGCAGGCGGAGAGACAAGACACTTCCGCAAGTGCAGCTGGCACCTCGCAATCATCATCGTCAACAACCTACGAACGACGGTTCATTCGTCTCGGATTTGCCCATCGCTGTTGGATGTTCATCACGATGCTGATCCTGACAATTCACCCACGATACTGGACAGAGCGACAACAAGTTCTTCGGGAGCGAGAAAGAGAGCTGCGTGTAAAGTACGGGCCACTCAGAGACGATGGACAAGAGGAGGGTCAGGCAAATGGCTCGGACAACGGCCCGCGGGCGCTCACAAACGGCCAAACACTGAACGGAGCGCCTGCAAATGCGGAAAAGGCGGAACCACCGCCGCGAACACCGCCAGGTTGGGTCGGCGAGTATGTGACGCGGGCACGGAGAGGTTTGCTCTGAGGGTGGAGACAACTAAATTATTGCATCTTTGATCCATCTTGTAATATCTGATCGTTGTCTCGTCCTGAACTCGGGCTGCTTTCTGCAACTTGAGCCACTAAAAATTGCGTCCACAAGGCTGCTGGTGTGAGGCATGTCGCCGGGCTTTGACAAGGGTCCCGCAGACGTTCTCCCACCACGACCCTTGCAAGCGAGAAACTCGGGCAACTCTGGTCATAAAGCAGTTGTTAAACCTCGAAGAAACACGCTGGGCGTCGTCGACGAACGTGCGTCTGTGCTTTTTGAGCAGCCGCCACCGCACCTATGAAGGCAAGTCACAGTGGACATCTGTGGACGAGATCTAACAGCATATCGCGTATAGTTTGGCAAGAGACTTCTCTCCGAGCGCATTCCAGGATGGTTCGACTACTACTTGGACTACAAGGCGCTCAAAAAGATCGTTTCCTCTGTGCACACCGCGGATCAGAGTACCGTGGATGTCTCGACTCAGTCCCAGGTTGGACTCTCCTTGAAACCGTCTGATATGCTCCAGGCCACGACCGGCGTCGTCCAGCCTCTCTGGGAGCCCTCTACGCCTTTGGACGGCATGTCCTCAACGCTCTCGACGACACTCGCAGCAAATACATCTCTCGACCTTCATCGCAGTCCAGACTTTCAAATGAAAAAGGCTGCATTCTTTTTCAAGCTTCAACGAGAGCTCGACAAGGCATGCCCTCAGACGCACCGTCATGCATATTGTCTGACGTACAGTCTAGATCAATGCATTTTACCTCCAGAAGGAAGCAGAGCTCAAGTTGAGGATGATTACGCTGCTTTCAAAGCGGCAAGCCGCCATCAACCGAATTCCCCCAGACTCTGTCGACTTGGAGTCTATCAAAGATCACGTCGAATGGAAAGCCGTCATCGAGGGATTTACTCTCCTCCAAAATGACCTGTTGAAACTTCAGGTATGCAGGCTCCCTGGGTAACTCTCTAGCTAACGTATTGACAGCAATTTGTAGATATTAACGGCATAGGATTCCGCAAGATTCTCAAGAAATGGGACAAGAGATCCAAGTCCGCGACCAAGGAACTCTATCTTGTAAGGCAGGTCGAGGTCCAGCCAGTCTTCAATAGACAGGTGAGCCCAAGCCGCTGCAAGAACGCACGTTGATCCATTTGGGGAAGCTCATTACAGAATTCTCGGACACTGTAACGGCGTGTCTACTAAACTTGACGGACGCAGATGTGCCAATCAGCGAAACTCTGCAAAGCGAACTGTCTCTCCACGATTCGGTTCTCAACGCTCAGCTTTCACGGGAGCCTCTCACCAGGAGTAGAGCCTTCGTGGATTTGGAGAACATGGTTCGGTCTGCAGTAGCCAACAACGACGTAGAGGCCACGCGGCAAGCACTGATTGCAGCGAATGACCTTGTTACCGCACCAGACGGTCAGACCTTTGTCGCGCGGATATTGTGGAAGTCGGCAATAGATGCAGAACCAGAGCTGGCCGATCTTATACTTGATTCCCCGACAACACCATGCGACTTCAAGTTTGTGGATGACATCAACGGGAGGACCTGCATGCACGAGGCGGCTTCAGCCGGTGCGCTCCGCCTCATCAACCTCTGCATCAGCAAAGGCGTAGAGGTGAACAGGCGTGATTCTTACGGGCGTACCGCGCTACATTATGGAGTGATTGGTGGCCATACCGACTGTGTGCGCCAGCTTTTAGCTGCGAAGGCGGACCCGCTGGTCCTTGACATGGATGACTACTCTCCACTATACTATGCCGTCGTCTACGGTCACTTAGACTGCGTTCGAGCACTGCTGGAATTCGGGGCAGAGGATGGGCTTCACGCCCACGATGTAAACCTACTGTCGTTTGCATGTCAGTACGGTCATGTCGAAATCGCCATCCTCCTCCTTGGAAAGGGCGCGAAACAAATCCCAAACACGAATGGGGAGTATCCCATCCACCTTGCAGCAGCAGCTGGACACGATGGAATCTGCAAACTTCTAGTAGAGAGAGCAAAGGAGACTATCGACATACCAGACAAGTTCAACGAATGGACGCCACTCTTCCATGCGGCCCATAAGGGTCGTACGGCTGTCGTAAAGACGCTGATCGATGCCGGCTGTAATCCACAAGCCGTCGACGAGACGGGTAAGACCGCCATCTTTTATGCTGGATGGTATGGACATGTAGAGAGTGTCTCCTTGCTCCTACAAACGACGCAGGAAAGCATCGTTGCCACCGCTGCCCCTTCTGTACCACAGTCTCAGCTTCCCGAAACTAGCGAGCATAAGCCTCGACTAGAAGCCGAGCTCGCGGATATGGATACCGACCTTATTCCTTCGCTTGCGCTCCCGCCACCAATCATGCCATTCCGAATCTATGGTCACAACTATCTCGATAAGCAATATCTCGTTCAGATCACCCTCGGTCAACCATATTCGCGCTTCTCTGCAGGGGCTCACGAATCTCCTGTAGAGATAACCGCCTGGTCCTGGGACCAACCTATTGGAACACCACACCCTCGGCCACAATCGCTTCTCAAGATGGTCATGACCTCGAGAGCGGAAAACACTGCTGTGCCCGTCAGTCTCACAATCCCGCTCTCAGAAGATAGAGATGTCATTACGTTCCAAGTTCAAGATTTGTCCGAACTCTCTCTCGAGTTTTCCTTCTATCCAAAGTTTGGCTCGAAGACGATCGGCCGTGCCGCCGTCTTGCCTTCGGTATTCAAGGACCTTAAAGACAGCAAGATAATCTCCCTGGCAATTCTGGACCACAGATTACATATCATTGGTCGCGTCATCTTCGAGGCATGCATAATTCGACCATTCGGCGGAGTGACGCTTCAACCCGGGGGCGCCTTGGAGACCTACTGGAAATCTTCCAGCCAATTCTCGTCGAAGGTCGACCATGTCGTATCTTCGCCTTCCGCATTGGATTCTACGCATACATCGCCTTCGAATCATTCTATTCTCAATCCTTCAGGCTCTGTTATGATCTCTTCCCTTTCTAATGACTTTATCACCTTCGTTGTACAAGGCACTCGGGATCTTGTCCCGGTCGTTCACTCCGAGTGGAATCTTCCCGTCGAGGGACTTAGCATAGGAGTGTCAGACGTGACTTCGGATCAGTTTACTGCGATCGCCAAACGCCAAGGGAGATCGCTAGATCCTTCGTCCGTCCGAACGCCTATGACCACTCAGCAGTGGGCTGACCTGGTCAGCAAGACCATGACAACACTTGAAGATGTGTTTTCCGTACGTGTTCTCAGCCGCCATTAGATCCAAGTCTGACCTAAGACAGGTGCTACCTCCGGACATTGGCGTCAATATCCATGTGGCTTACCCGAATCGCGCAATTCGTGATTCCTACAGCCTCGGGCATTGCCTCGATCTGAACTCGTATGTTGAATCGATATTGATGGTCATCTATCGCGCAGCCTCCGTTTATCCTCGACGTCGGCTCTCATTCCTATCCTTCTCGCCATCAGTATGCACCGCACTCAACTGGAAACAGCCGAACTGTAAGTAGCCTCGTTTTCGCCTGAACCTTTGTCTCATGGAGTGGCGGTCTAGATCCTGTCTTCTTTGCCTCGCATTGTGGACTTCTTGAGAAGGAGCGGGCCAAGTGGCGGCCTCCACGACCCGAACCTGAGACGGATAGGAGATGCAGCAGCGTAGCCGCGGCGGTGGAGTTTGCACACACTAATAATCTTCTCGGCGTATTCCTCAACGCGGGCTTGCTTGTGCGTTATGGTCTACTTTCTTGGATTCGGGACAGCTCACAACCGGCTTATAGACTCAGGTTCCTGCGCTCATTCAGGCTGTCAAGGATGCAAACCTTTTGTTAGGGGCATTCGGTACCGTCGAAACGGTCACGACCCTCCAAAACGCCCCCGGTCATCCTTTGGGCCGGCCAGATGCGACGTGGGCAGGTGGAGTGATTCGATTTGTGGATAATACCAACCTTGCGGTCCTGTGACCTTGTATTCACGATGGGGACGACATTTTATGTGTGACCATGCTGATAATTCGATACTATGACAACATGTAGAGTCCGTATGTACAGATGCAAGTGCCGATAACCCATGCGAGAGAGTCATTGCGAGTAATAAGTTGACAATGCAGGAAAATAACTATGCGCGAGGGGCGGGGAACTGTGCATCTGGAGCCCAAAGTCTGCGGGCCCTGTCGGCGGCGTTTGCTTCTCGACAAGATCCCAGCTGCCATCGGACATGTAGTTGCGATAGAGTTCCGCGTAGGACGAATCGGGTCGCGCCATGAGTTCATCGTGCGTCCCGACTTCGGTGACCGTCTGTATTGGGATCAGATTGGGAGAACAAGGTCGAGGCAAAACGGAAAGGGCCTTACCCCGTTCTTGAATAGGACGACTGCAAATATGAAAGGCAGGCAGGGTAGGATGCAGAAGTCCTCGGTTAGTCGAATGCTCATTGGCTGACCGAGCTGAAGTGCTTACTCTTGTCGACCCTTTTCGTAGTCGAGAGCCTGTGGGTCACGAATATGACCGTCTTCTTTCGCCGTTGGCCGTTTGGAGATGTTGTGCACCCGCGAGTGATACGTTCAAACAGCTCGTTCTGGGCCGTCGCGTCCAGGGCGCTATTTGCCTCGTCGAAGACGTACAGGTCGGCGTCTGTTCGCATGAACGCTCGCGAAATAGCAACCCTTTGCCACTATGGAGTTCGTTAGTAAGTCGATGTGATCCTGGGTTTTTTGACGCAGAGAAGCGAGAGGGACTGGCTCACCTCGCCTCCAGAGAGTGAACGCCGGTCTCCCATGCCCCCAAAGCAAAAGCTATACCCGTCGTCGAGCTCAGAATCAAGACCATCCGGTAGCTTTTGAAGGAGCTGAGAGCCACCACCGGCCTGGAGTGCCTGCTCGATCGCTACGTCGGAGTTCATGTCCCCGACGCAACCCACGCCCACATTTTCACGTAACGAGGCGTTGAATTGCGAAAAATCTTGAAATACGGCCGAAGTATGCGCGTGAAGATCTTCGGGTTCATATGACCGCACGTCGACGTCGTTTATTCGGAAAGTGCCGCCATCAAAATCGTAAAGCCTAAAGACCCGGTTGCATCAGCGCCATGTAATTTTTGTTTCCAAATACTTTGTACGTACCGCAGCAGGACATTGAGGAAAGTCGACTTGCCCGAACCATTCAAACCTGCCAACAGCTGTCATGATCTGCCCCACGACATTGGATAATGAGATACTTGCCAACAATGGCAACCACCTCGCCAGGCTCAACATGAAAATTAACATCATGCAGCGTTGGTGTTGGCATCCCCGGAAAGGTGTACGACAGCCCCCTGCAGGCGGAAAAGTGAGTGAATAGATCAGGTTAGGATAACGTCATGGGAGGGCCGTACTCGATTTCAATCTTCATCCCAGAGCCATCAGGATGTCGTATATATTCCTTTCTTTCCTCCTCGACAGGTGCGAGTTTAGGTTGGAGCTTGAGCGCGACGTTGAACGAGCCAAGCAAGAAGATTCCTTGGTAAAACTGACGCAACAGGGTCTGAAACTCCATTATAGTTGCCAGCAGTAGCTCTGCAGTTGTCCGGTACATGGTGACTGCTCCAAGCGAGGCAGAGGAGAACTGGAGTGCCAAAGGGAGCTGCCACGAGGTAAGCTGTCGGACTGGACTGTTCCGAAACGACGTACAGTCTGCACGAGCGAGAAAAATTCGAGCGACGTCGAGTGGGCAAAGGTTTGTGCCGCCGTGGTCGTGCTGTCCATAACGGAGGTGGGTCGGATGGCTAATGCACGTTTGGCTTCTGCCCAGGAGTTGAGGATCCAATCACCCATGCCAAAGAGTAAAACTTCGCGCTTGAACCGCTCAGAGTAGGCTAGATTGCGCATGCGTTCGTGTGTTTGCTCGAGCTTTGACCCCTCTGCTTCCTCGAGTGAATGGGACCAGCGGTTGGTCGAAAACGAGAGACGTGAGTTGAAGAAACCAAAGAGTGTAGGAAATGTTGCCATCGCAAGGATCATGAGCTCTGTCCAGTGCTGTGTGCTCTGAAAGGCGCGGGCGGACGAGAGGGACATGGACCATAGAACAAACAGCTGGGAGCAGATTTCGGCCAAAGTTGTGAAGATGCGAACCATGTCGAGGGGCGAGAGCAGCATACAATTTCCGCCAGAAAATGAGCGAACAAACATGTCTGCCTCGGCTAGGATGTCCGTTATCTCTGGATCCGAGAGGGCTGGCATATCGAGTTTTAGTCGAATCTTCATCTGTAGGTACTCGACATGAAGGCGTGCCGATTGTTGCACAAGGTCCTCGTTGTGTGTTCTGCGGGAAACGGATTGAGTTGAGAGAATGATCGAAGGGCCGATTGTTGATCGCGAGACTTACGCAAAGACGTCGAGGAGCATCTCGACAAACATCCGGAAGCCATCCGTAAGGAGAAGTTTCCCCAAGCGGCCAAAGGCAAAACTCTCGGTGACGAACAATCGCTGAACCTAAGGGAACCAATAAGGAATTCTCAACTGCCGGGGAGGAAAACGAGTGACGCACTTCGTCTAGGATGAGGGCCCGCGAATAGCCACGTACGGCAGGGAATACGCCCCGGGCGAGATTGAAGACGAGGAGGAGAGAAGTCCGGAAGGGGTGCAGTCTCCAGAGCAGCAGAAACATGTCCAAAAGACAGGTCTGAACAATGTAAAGCGCATGGAATAAGTTTGCTATCGACAGCTCGCGCTGGGAACCGGCTGGAAGGGGAGCTGACGAGCCTTTGGCTCTTCGGGACTGGTTCCAGGCATTGAAGATGGGCGAAGAATGATGATGAGGACGCCTTGATTTGCTCTCCTTTTCACTAAAACCATTCGGGACGTGTCCGTTTGCATGTGGGGGACCGTCTTTCACTCGACCCATCGTCTTGGAAAGGAGGAGAGCGTGCTCGTCGCAAGGGCGTGCACGGCTTGGAGAAAATAAGGATGAGAACAGGTGCAGAGGTCGGCTCCAAGCTGTGGAAAACGGCGGTTATCGTAAACCATGAAGCAATGGAGGACTTGCCCACTTCGGTAGGTTTGTCAACGTCGAGCGGATCTCGAGCAGAGGTGGATACAACAAGTCCATTTGTACGGTGCGGATTAACCTAGTTGGATTCGCTTTTGTTCTGTCCCGTCGCGCTCCCGTGGCGCCTTGGGCCACTAGCTTTGGCTTTCTTTTGCGGCCTCTGATGATTTGCAGGTGTGCTCGCTGGGCAGCGGTGAAAACCCCTGGGCGATCGTCCCTCGGCATTAGGGTCTCTGTGACGATCCTCGAGGGAGGAAATGCAGATTTTGACTTGACGTTTTTTTTTCCAGGCCACCCCGCAGGAGCGCACCACCGGCTCGGAAATGGGAGTGAGGACTGAGTGCTGGGACAACGTGATTTGAGTGGGTGTAGAGCCACCGAATGCACGGCGGATCTAGATCATATAGTCACTGGCAGGATCGTCAGAAGACGACGCCAGGACGCCTCGAGGCCATCCGTAGCGACATCCCGAATCACACCCGTCTATTCGCTGTCGGGTCTACCGAGGCCCATATGACACCGTCAAAGTTGACTATTCTCAACCCATTTTCAGCTCCCAGAAACGGAGGCACCCATGTGTACCGAGGGATAGAGAGCACAGGCTCGATCCAGTACACAGTCCAACCCCACCCTTCCTCTTCATCGACAGAGTATGAAAGAGGTGGTGGAGGAAGGCAAGTCGGATCGCAGTTTGTTGCCCCTGGCAATTGGGGCATTGGCCTTGCCGGCTCGACGGATAAACGCAGTCATTCTACGGTAATGGCGAGACTTGGGCTGCAAATGACCTCAGTCCAGATAACTTGTCCATATTTGTCGTTTAACAGAAGCGTTTTGGGCGCCTTCATCTCCCCGGCAGCCAATTGCCACTAGTCTACTCGGCAAAGCCCCTGGGAGGCAGCCCGGGATCTATGAGTGGCGCAAGAAAAATACAAGGATATGTTCAAACAAACCTCCACACCACAAAGTTGCGCATGTCTGCCGTGATTACGTCTAAAAATCCCGATGAGGGACGGACAAAGGCCACGGTGGCTCGTCGACGAGCACCGCAGATAAGAATGCGATGCATACTTGGTGTATACCGTCGCTGTGCACAATGGTAGTCCGAGTGAGCCGCCGTCTCAGGACGCACTCGACTCTGTCGGGGGGGAATTAGCTGTGCAACCGTCCTCGAGCGAGAAAAAGGCGTAAACAACCTCTACGGGAATCTCCCAATTTTACCGCAAAACTGGATGAAGCCAGCGTCGTGCGTATGGCTGTGAGATCGAGGACAGGGTTCAAAAAGCGCGAACAGGCAGCAAAGTCGCGCGCAGGCCACAAGGCAGTCGGGCGATTGCGCTCCATGGCTCCCAGGGATTTGTTTGTCGATACGACGTTGATCAACTTGGATCCAACCACGTCTCCCGCCCCCTCGTCGCCACCACGTTCAACATTATCAGACCCTCGTTTTTGCAGCCCTCTGGGCATCCGCAAAAGTTTAGCTCGAGCCCGAACAAGATGCCCAGCGACGACAACATTACGGGACTGATCCTGCTCGAGGAGAACGAACTGCGATTCCCTCGATTCACAAACGAGGTTTCGTGCTCATTGATTCGCATGTCTTCTGGCGATTGACATTCTCACTAGGATGCGTACACGCTCGGCCAGCACATTCGCAAGCGCTTCAAGGCTACAAATCGGTGGTCAAAGGGTAAAGGTGTCGCGATCGCCATCAAGAGCGTTGCAGGTCACGTTCTTTTCGCATGTAAGTCAATCTATGTTGGCGATGGAGCAGTCTCATTTCATTGGCATCATAGGTACGGTTGGCGAGAGTGGAGACGTGGATCTCGAGTCGTGGAGCTGCATAGAGGGAATGATAAATACAGTGATCAAGACTGGTCATTCCTCGTACTATGTCGAGAGAAATCTCACAATGCACGGTAAGTTGCTCTCCGTTGCAAAACCCCCAAACGGGCTCTAACTTGCTTTAGGCAGGTCTCCTGAGCAGATAGGCCTTACATTCCCAGAGTATCGCCTGGACGGCGGCGGTGAGTGGTAGACCACCACCAGTAAATTCTGACTAACACTGGCGTAGCATTTCCAATCTGGTTGACTGTAAGCTCATCATGTACCTTGTTTCAGTGGCCTAACTCCAATAGAACGCCACTCCTACTCCGATAGCTGTCGCTGCTGCCTACGGGGATTCGTCGATGGAGGACCATCAACTAGTAGCTAAGAGCATCAAGGACTATCTTATCAAACTCGGAGATCAGAACGGTGATCAGGAACCACTCGGCAGTCCACATCGAAGAGTTGGGAGCGTTGCATCCATGCGATGAACTTTGAGTTTCAATCTAACGACTAGCTTTCACGACAGAGGTCTCATTAGGGATCTGTATTATACGCCTATAAAGACAAGTTATTATACACCAGATTGCAAAAAAGGGGCCATATGCAAGATTCATGTCCTATGAGGTGGGTGGGGTAATGTCCTTGGGGATCGCAGAACGCCCACGTCCACGCGGACTTTTGGGATCTTTTCTCGCGCCAACAAGAATGACTCGTTTCCGGGGCCGAGTCAGCAGCATCAGCACGAGCGCTGCAGATGCGAGCCCAAATGCAAGAACGAAAATGCCCTTGGGGTATTGAGAGACGGTTGCGCTAGACACCAATCCGAATAGAATCGGACCAATGATGGTCTGACCGAGTGACTGGAGCGTTGCCAATGCGCCAAACAATGCCCCCACGTCCTCTTCTTCAGCCTGTTCTCCTTGTGCGGTTCTATATCGGACGTAGCCCAAGACGGTAGAGCTGTAAGATGGTACGGAAGCCGAGCCGAGCGAAGTCAGCGTTGTTGCCAGCACGAACCACGACTGCGATTGCGTTGGGGCCAGTACGACGGCTCCGTGTGAGAGGACATCGAGGAAAATGGAGAATCGGACCAATGAGAGGTCAAAAGAGAGCTCGCGACGAGGAGAGATTGAGGCACGCCCGCGCAGAGGTCGAGGGCGGAATACAAAGACCCACACTACAAAAGCGTTGAGTTACCATCAATCACATGCCACATAGACGTACTTGGTAACAAAACAAGCAACGTGATTGCGCGAGCAAAGCCCATATATGAGATGTAGTATCCGAGCTGCAAAAGTCAGAGAGGGAAGGAGATCCAAATTGGGAAAACTCACTCGTTCAGCGTCCCAGGAAAACACTTGTCAAGAGTCAGAAGGACAATAGCGAGGAGGCGGGAGGGCTTACCATGTTCGGCATATAAATATTTGACTTGATACAGTGCAAGCGACATGAGGTAAATGAAATAGGAGACAGCCATGATTGTGAGGGTGTAATCTTTGCGCATTGCGCCTGCTCGTCGAGGCCGAAGCGCGGCAAGAGGAGCAAGGAGTTTCAAGAAGGGTGCATAAGGTGCGTAGTGCGGGCTCAATGGGCGAGCAGGTATCTGGATGTCGCTTGTCGATGGTGCTTGTTTGTCGGATGATTGGAGTGACTCGGGGACAACGACGAGGATGAACAGAAAGCTGAGTAGGTAGAATAGAGATGAGAGATAGAACAGTGGGGTAAGATCCTTGGTCACAGTCTGTCGCAGGATGAACGACGCCACCGAAGGTCCGACGGCAAAGCCAATGTATAATAGGCCAAGGAATCGCGAGAACATGCGCGATCTAATCATTGATCAGCATAATAGTACGTTTGGAAGTGGAATGCCGTACGTCGACCCGTTGGGGGTGATATCCGATAGATATGCATTCATGGTCGCTTGCAGTGTGGGCCAGGATCCAAAGAGGCCCTCGAGAATCGGGGCCAGAATGAGTAATCGATGTCCATGTCGTCGCTTGAACGGAAGATGTCGCAGGGACACCAACGCGTAAATGGCTTCGCTACCCGGGAGTAAGAAACGACGACGGTCGTGGGCAACGAGCAGACGTACGCCATGACTAATCCGAGCAACGCTGCACTCATCGTCTTGGTACGACCGGATTTATCGCTGAATTTACCCCAACGACCCGCCGTGAACGCGGCTAGACCCCCTGAGAGAACAGTAAGCAGCATCTGAACTCTATATGGAAATGGGGTGAGCTGAGATCTTTCTTTAGAACGTCGAAACGCACCGGGCAGCAGAGGCCAGTACTGCAGGGTCGGTGAAACAAATGGTTGGGATTGCGAGTGCCGTGAGGTCGTCCGAGGTGATCTGCAGGTCGCCTGCAGTGACTCGGCTGGGCCGGTGCAACGCATCACAGCTGAGCCTTGTCACAATCTGGACACGGGCGGCCAGAGTAAGACCACGCTATAAGATGGAGAACAAGTGTCAGAGCTTTAAACGCAGGCCGGGAGGGTACAGACTGCTAGTGACGCCACGAGTGCCAGAGGAATAAGCCAACGGGGATGCGGTCTCCGCCATCTGCTTTGAGAGCGACGAGCTTGCGGAAGAAGGGGATCTCTGTCCGAGACTGGACCAGACATTGGCGGTTGGGGTAGAGTCCAAGGTGCTCTGTAAACGGCGCGTGGCCGCTTTGGTTAGTTCCGTAAAGCCACACCAAGCCCGCGTGTATTCTTCGGCAACGAGTGGAGAATAAATAAACTATTTCCACGAATATTGGCAAATGGGCTCCACTCAGACGACGGCGTTGGTCAGGTCCAAGTAATCTTGGACCCAACCACAAAGACGAGCCACTGCTCTAAAACATATCTCTTAAATTATATTGGAGCTTCATTACGGGAATAACACGTAGCAGGAGCACTCCATGCTATGGGCTCGCCATCTGGCTCGTCGTCGCTTCCGAGCACATCCTCTGACCGTCTCTGCAATCAGAGCAACTGTCATGGTCCTTCTTTGCATGGCCAGAGACACGTCAACGCTCCCCAGGCTGCTGTCCAAGGAGGACACGAAAGAGGGCAACATAACACGCTCCGACAGCTTGAAAACGAGTACAGAAGGAGCTTTAGAGATGAAAAATACTACTATACTCGCCGCAGTGAGTCCCGCACGTCGAATACGAGGACAGCGAGCTCATTCGACCGTGAACAATGTAGCCGCGACTAATCGAAGGACAACAAGAACCAACTGTTCTGAAGAAATTCGAGCGATTGAGAACAGACAAACCTCCCGTGACGCCGCTCGACCTCGGCAGGATCCTCTTCCACAAAGGCGCGCTCGCCGGGTGGCCAACATCACCCCCCAATTCATCTCTGCAAGTCATGGCAGAGACAAACTCTCCGGAGACAATATGGCAGGCGTACCGAGCGGCAATGCAACAAGATGTCCACATCCCCTCCGTCCTCCTCCAGCGCGTCACGCGCGTCCTCGTTCGGAAATATGCACCAACGCGAGAAACATTCATACGACTACACGATGTCCTCATCCAACTGCAGAAACAAGGCGACCCCATCGCCCTCTGGCAATGGAATATGCTCATCTACTATGTAGGCGAAGGCTTTCGAAAGCTGGACACGACGCACTACCACGCAGCACTCGACATTTACTGGGAACTAATGGCTACACAAAAGCTATCAGACCCAGAAAAGCGCATCAAGCCAAACATTTGCACCTATACGACACTTCTACACATTGCCGCCCGCACCTACAACCCACAACACGTCCAGCATGCACTTTCGCTGCTCAAAGAGTCCAAACTGGAACTCGACCGCGTCGCGCGTCTGACTCTCATCCCCTTTTACACTCATTGCCACGATTTTGCATCCCTACGCCGCATCGCGAGAACCTTTGCAGAGCGAGGCGAAGACATTGGAATCGATGGGATCAACGCCTATCTTTGGGCGTTTGGAAAGTGGGGACGGCTTGGAGTTGCCCAAGAGATTTACTCCTGTCTCCGAAATAATCTCAAGCGCAAGCTTAAAACCGAAATTCCCCCTTCTCCTAATCCTGAACCCCCTTCAGCGGCGTCGATATCAAAGACGGCGCCACCGAAAGCTCATTTACGAGATGAAGTTCTCCTCCAGAGACAAAATGAATACATCAAACGCATAGGGATCGACGATTTGGACGAGGATAGTTCACTAGAATCCATGCAATCGGTGCCATCTGTGGTGACCCGAAAGTTTAGCAAGGAGACGTTGGATTTGGCCATTGCCGAGTACCATGTGCCGGACCAAATCACCTACACACTGTGTATGCAAGTATTCGCATTTCACGGGGATTTGCGGCAAGTGCTGCAAATCTTCCGCGAAATGCTTTCTACCCCCGATCATACCCGCCCCTGGCTCAAGAAGGAGACAATGTTTGAAGCGAATCAACAAGCCTATCGGTCACTTTTCATGGCCTTTGTTAAATTCACAAATCGTAGTGCACGGCAAGCTCGAGTGCTTGTCGAGAGCCTCGGGGTGACAGCAGAAGCACAACAAGAAGAGGCAGAACAACAGGAAGAAGGGCAACTCGAAGATGATACATGGATTGAAGAAGCCCTTCGATTCGTTTTCGAATCCTTCCTAGAACTGGACCCTAACCAGTCGCGTCCAGGCAATCGCACGATTCGATATCTTATGCAAGCCTTCCAGAACGTGACTCAAAACGATACCCAGACACTCATCTGGGTATGGGCGTCACTGGAAGAGCGGTTTGGAAGGCTAAAGGTACCTCCAATCTTTACGGATATTGCTCGTGCGGCTCGAGACCTCGAACCGTAACATCACGCCCTTTTATGCCGCTATTGGTCGTGAAATTTGGTAGCATTGTGCAATTCTAGTTGTAAATTGTTTGTTGTCCGTCGTTTGATAAGATCCATAGAATCACCTCATGGATCCTCCCTGGCTGATTCTCCATTGGACGTACTCGTCCCAAAGCGCGCCCTTCTTGCTCGATTGGTACCGTCGAAGATGAATGGACCGACGTAGGTCGTCTGTGATCGTGCCGTTCCATCCAGACTTGCGAATAGCGCTGTCGATTGCCTCTTCCTTTGTCCACCCTTGATCAGGGATGACGTCTGGAAGATATGTCGCGCTATACTTGCGCTTCGCAATGCCATTGCTCCCACGACCGACCGGTGTGAGCGAAAGCGGTGTGTTGGATGAACTATTCGACGTCGCGTTGTAGAATGGGTGCTGGAACGAAATATGAATACCATGCACGCCCACTGTCCAGTCGAGATAATCCTCGGCGTCTTCAAAGTCGACCAGCAATGAGACTCTACAGCAGCGTAAGAATGATCCATCATGATATGCACACATTACTGACACGCATTGAAGCTTTTCGAGCTCGCTCCGTTGGATCGGCCCTATAAGCATGCCGTCAGTTGTGGCTCAGAGGACGCCTAGACAATCGCCAGACTCACGGAACCTCGAGTCTTCGAATGCGCTGATAAGGGCATACTCTGCAATTCCCTCGCGAATCGGCATAGGAGTGAAGTTGCCGATACATCCACGAAGCCGGTGGTCGCCTCGACGACCTACAGTGTTCCAGGTGATAAAGAGCGCACTTTCCTACATCAGAATACTCTGGTCTAGTCTATGACGGGCGCAGCTCACTACTTATCGTCCTTGAACGTGGGTGGCACCGGCTTGGCTCTGGTCAGTGAGCAGTATAGGGCATCAAAGGCATGGTAAATATGCTCCGAAAGGCACCCTTCGGCGTCGGATTTGGGCTCGACTACCTGTACGCTCATGCCAGTCGCCGACGTTGGTGCTCAGCGGACGTGGTGAGGGAAAGAGAGGTGTAATATCAGTCAGCCATTCAACGCATTAGCAATAGGTACAACAGAAAGGCAAATGAAATAAATACGACCAGAAAACGATAAGAATATAGCTAGGTCATGGTACCAAGCAACGTCTCCCAGTCTGGACCCTGCCCAGCATCAAACAGACCATTCTGACCCCGAAGATAATTGGCAACAAGATCATCCATTCCTTCGAAAACGCGAGTATCACCGACGGGCATGGCCTGGACGGGCTGGTTCCAGTTGAAGGACATAGGATCGATCGGCTGGTTGCTAGTTGGGGGCGAAGCTTCAAAAAACTTGGGGGGTGTAGCACCATCGTTCCCAAGAAGGGCTTCCAGATCGTAGTTTGTATCCACGGTCGCGGGTGTAACGAGAGGAGGAGGCTACGAGAATCATCAGCTAAAGATCTACTCAAATGGTGAGACTGACGACTGGATCCGAGTAAGCACAGTGTCCTCGATTAGTCTTCAAGACCACGGGGGTACCGCCGAGCAAGGTTTCGAGATGAGCGTCTAGCGGAGCCTTGATCGTGTGACCAGTGCGATTCAAAGTTAAAATACTTTGACCCTTGTCTCGTAAGACAAGCATGGGTACCTGCATAATGATCAGAGCTGTTTCTCGATCACCATTCTACCTACCAGACAACGTTGTGCTCGATGGCTGGACCCTGCCTTTTGGTACATTTCTATGATGGAATTCATTTCCCTCAATGCAGTCTCTGCAAATTCAGATTCTGGTCGCTTGATGAGAAGTGTGGCGAGAGTGATGCTACGCGGATGATTAGTATTTAAAAATTCTAACGCCGGTTTACGAACAAGCCTACGAGAAGATTAGACTAGAACATTATTGAATGAGCACATACCTGAGAATCCGTGCATCCAAAGAAAGAATAGGCGCGCGCACATTATAGGGTCTTTCGCGAAGAGACCTCGGAGTTGCTTGACCATAGCAAGGGATGTCTGGAATCCTGCCTGAACAGAGTACGCATACTTGTGTGTCATCATATCTGCGCAGCTTGTATCACTCGCTGCTTCGAATAAGAAACGACGGTGCAGGTAAAGAATCGCGAGCTTCTTGATCCCACCAACACAGAAAAGTTGCATACATTGCGGTGCAGTCATGGATGCGAGGTCGATGGAGATTGTAGACATGTCGAGGGTTGGAAGGTCGCGGATTTTCTTGTCGAGCCGCATGATGGTCGCATACGTCGGAGGTGGTTGAACCGAGAATGCTTCTTCGAGTACAGGAATTAGGCTTCTTTGGAGTCAGCGGTGCATGATCCAGTCGCAATCGACTTACGCATCTCTGAGGAATTGAAAGCGCCAGGTGCCGACTACCTTGCGGTGAGCACGTACACGGTTGATAATGAGAAAACGTACATCCAAGAAGATCTGGCCTGAAAGATTCATTGGGTAAAGGGCAGTCATAATGGCGTGGACTGAAGAATCTTGGGGCGACGTGAGCAAGGTAATGCACATAATCGAGTTACATACCTCGGGCGACCATATGAGAGTGCAATGACGCCGTCCATAAAGTTCAGCTGCCAGAAAAGCCATCTTCGGCGCTGGTCTAGAGCCGGATCGAGTCCCCACGCTCGGCTGTCTCTGTGGAGTCCAAGCTAGGTGGAAAGAGTGAGCGTACCAAGGGCCACTTTTAGGATCAACCCACAGATTGGGCCATGCGGAATGCAAGTGATGATAGCGTCCAGAGGCGCGATACGGCTAGAGGACGATCGGATAGTTGATGGAAGAAAAGATGTATTTGCTAGCCATCGATTAGATTTATCCCGCGTGTGGTTGCAAATCATACCAGGGCTTCCAAAGCTGTTATAGTCGGTCTATCGATAGGCTTCGCTAATGCGAGAGCCGCCGCACATAGCTTGTTCAGGCGGAACGCAAAAGGGTCATATTGTGGACGCCTTTGGTCGAACATACACCCAACTGCAAGGGATGCGAAAAAGAGAGCGAGGACATCTGGTCGTTCACTCTCCCAGCTACCCGCCGCGTAGAGGGGGACGACAATTCCCGCGAGAAATCGCTCTCTGGTGCAAGGTGTTCCAAGCCAGGCCGCATGTATGAAGAAGCAATTGCACAACTCGACAGCTTCCTCATACGATGGAGCGAAGGAACGCAATGCCTCCTTCATATTTGTCGCGGCAACGGTCGGCGCTGTGAACGGGAATGCCGCGGCGATGAGAGAGAGTTCCGGAGGCAATGATTCGTCAAAGACCTGGTCCTGAAACCCGATGACGTTGACCGGTTCTTCGGATGGCAAGAGATTGATCGCAGGGGAATGAGCACCGTGCCAGTTTGTTCGTCCAGAGTCTTCGATCGTCAGCGTTCCAAAGGACTCCACTAGGGCGTGATCATCGGGATCCTTGAGGGTGGCCTCGCTGTCTTGCGTACCAGACGAGGACGGGGATTCGGCGGTTCCTCCAGTCGCCTTTGCAAGGGCAGCTTCGAGCTCTTTGATACGTGCCGTGAGGGCTTGGTTCCTGCGTCGAAGGATATCACCCTCGCCAGCCTCTTTCCTTCGCTGACGTTCTGGGATGACGCCGTTTGGACAGACCGACTCGACACCTCGTTTTATACAGGATGTACATGGGAATGGTGCCTTGGTTGCTCCTGAGCAACGTATTTTGAGTCTTGGGGGAAGAGACCATCGACGCGTTAGGGCCCGGCATCGCAAATAATTCCTAGAAAATGAAACTCACCGTTTACACTCTGCGCAGCTTGAACTAGATGGACCTCGCTTGCCCTTTGGATGGTTAAGCGTGAGCTCTGAATTTTCTTGATTATCGTCCATGGCCTTCGGCGAAGGAGAGCTGACCAAGCTTGCGGCCGGGAAGCGCCTACACAGGTCGTAGCCAAAAAATAAACGAAACATAGAAGCAGCAACAGAGTCATTAACATCTCATAAGTACCCTAGTGACTAAGGGTCTCTCACACGATCCAATCACGGGCCCTTGGTGATCAGCAGGGGACTCTTATATTTATACAGGCGCTAACTCCGCTTGATGAGTCTTCGCGACGGCTTTGAATGGTGCGCTGAACGCTGAACGCGGACAAAGCGCCAGGGCAACATAAATCAACTTTGGGCGATTCCGTGAGCAAGTAGGGTAGTATTGCATAATATAGCATATAGATGTCATGACCTGTAAGATAAGGTACTTGTGCAGTGTCAAAGCTCACGACTCCTCTTTCGACTCGTCCCTTGGCTGCTGCTTCCTGTCCAATACGCGGAGGGCCTCTAAGGAGCGAGGTAAGCCTGGGAAGAGATCGTGTGTATGAATAAGACAAACCGTGTCTCAAAAAGACCTGGCGCATGCTGGCTGAAGAGCCCGCTGGTGCGTCTGGTTGCGGGTCGCGTACTTCCAGGTTCGCCTCGACGTAGACACGCGTCCCTCGAGTGAGAGTGCGCAAGTAGTTGTTCATATTAGGGTTGAAGCACAAAACGCGGTGCCAAGTCGTTCCGGGATCTGGGCGCGCTGTTGGAGAGGTTCTGTTGAGTTTCGGGAGTAGAAGATGAATAGGAGAACTTACTTCCATCCGCAGATGGTGGTGGGGGAGGATAGTTGGTCGTCGCAACGACGTATCTATCGCCAGACCGTCAACAATCTACTTGGACGCGAATCCTGTCGCGACACGACTGAAAAGTACTCACGAGACGTATTCTTTTTCACTCTTTGTAGTGCGAACTTCTGGCTCGCGCCCAAGGCGACCAACGAGAATAACTTTGGCAACGTCCGACGAACGGCTTGCAGAGGTCGAGAACGACTGAGAAAAGCGTCAAACGTATGCTTATAACGTGAATATATCCTACTTACGCGCATAGAAGCGCGAGAAATCATCGAACGAGAAGCAGAAAACATTTTAAGCAGTTTTCGTGGAGACCAACTTTTGGACCTGGCTCGACCACCCGTGGGTGACCTTTGACCAACAGACGAGCAGCAACATCACTGCCAATATCAAAGAATAGCTTTACATCTGTGATTTATACGGTCTATCGACATGTCAAGACACCGTTTCGTCCGTGGTATGGATCTCGCCACAGGTGACCCAACATTTATGGCGAAATGGGTGACGCTGAGACCATGAATTTGAAGCTCAGGATGACTACGAAGCACTATCTGATGGAGGGGAGGATCCGGACGACGGTACGAGCCTCATCCCCCGAGTGATGCAACGGCTCACCCCACAGGACAGAGATCACTCCAGAGCAACTTGGTAAACGCAATTATTCTGGCTCTGAGATTGATTTCTGAGACATCTCAGCCCAAATGAACTCTGTTCGGGAACATGTTAGAGCCGTCATTGGCAATCCCAAGAAGAGTGGCATCACAGACAAGGAAATAGACGATGCCTCGTGGGACTACTACTTTGATCTAGACCAAACAATGGATTACATCCTAGGTTTGTCCCTCCTTGTGCTCGATGCTTCAGCCACTCCTTACCTTGGCTCAGATGTTCAATCGAAGCGCAATGCAGCAAAAGAACGGCAAGGTACTGTCAATTCCTTGATTCATATCTTACCCTCCTCCACGTGCGGGCATCTTGGTCTCGTGAGTGATGCTGGGTGACTTTACTCTTACTCGCAATGATATCGTCCATTTACATCCATCACAGCCATAGAGCCTACTACTCCCAGTGAAACTTCTACCCTTTCAAACCTTCAGCAGCTTGCTCTTGCAAAGAAGGCGGAGTCAAAGCCGGCACCCAAATCCTTGGCCATGCTCGCAAAGGCGGGCTCAAAACCTCTCCCCTCCAAGGAACCAACCAACAACAACATGGAGGTTGGCAGTGCTCCTTCGAGTTCAGAGCGCCCTCTCTCCAAGCTGGCACAACTTTCAGCACGAAGCAAAGTGGCTGCTCCTCCAGCTGCTAAGGGGGTGCCTTCCGTTGGACCTGGACAGTCAAAGCTAGCTCTTAAAATCAGCGCAGCACGCAATAATACAACAAAGCAATCGTTGCCCGCTGAGACGGTTGTGGGTCCGCCTCCTTGGGAGATGCAGCCTTCAGGAAACTCGCGAGTACGAGCGGCCAAGGCGTCCCCATTCGGCACTACCCTTACGAACATTGCGCACCAGCAAACAAACTCATCTCCTCCCACTCTCAACACTTCCTCCTCGGCGTTCAAGTTTGATACGCCAAGCCCCGACGACACCGTTTTGCATGCTCGCCGTGGAACATCCCTTGCATCCCGCTCCGTCGTGGTGAATTGAAATGCTCACTGACACTTAACAGCGGCAAAGGAAAAGGAAAAGCAAGAGAGGATGGCGGCTGTGAGAGGTGGCGTGGCGTCTGGAGCCGCTACGCCAGTGCGGGGAAACAAGAAGAATAAGACGGCAGGCGTATTGTCTGGAACAGCAACACCTATTCATCGACCACCGACTCAATTGGATATCGATATGATCGCACTTAATCTCAAGGAGAAGGAGGATCTTCCTCCGAAAGAGATGGAAGAACCACCAAAAGCTTCATTTACCAGAGAAGCACTTTTGGAACAGGCAAAGAAGTCATTGGCCGGAGAAGGAGACGCAAAAATTAGTATCAGTCTGGTAATCATTGGTATGTCCTGTGAAGCCGTCAGTGAATGCGACTAAGAGTATCAGGACATGTCGATGCTGGCAAGTCGACACTAACCGGGCGTCTCTTGTACGACCTTGGAAGAATAGAAGCCAGGAAACGGACGCAGACCGATCGCGCTAGCCAGAAATCCGGTAAAGGCAGTTTCACATGGGCTTGGGAGCTCGACTCAGGAGAAGAGGAGAGGGATCGGTGAGTTGATTGCCTCATAGAGCTCAGCGACTGACCAGAACAGAGGAATCACGATAGATATAGCGCAGACGGTTATTCCGCTTCCGACGCGAGAGTTGGTTGTTCTCGACGCGCCTGGACACAAGGACTTCGTCCCGAATATGATATCAGGTAGAGCCTCTTCCCAACGGCTTTTATATTTGTCTGAATCCTTTAGGTGCTTCACAGGCGGATTGCGCTCTCCTCGTGGTCGACGCTACGACGGGGGAGTTCGAAGCGGGCTTCGATAAAGGGGGCCAAACACGAGAGCATTTGATTCTCGTCCGTAGTCTAGGAGTTCAACAATTAGTGGTGGCTGTCAACAAACTGGACACGGTGAGTGCGATATACCCTCTCAGCGGACTCTATTCTTACGTCTTGTAGGTGGAATGGTCAAAAGATCGATATAACGAAATTGTCGAGTCTCTCAGCCAGTTCCTTGTTCAAACGGGATTTCACCCCTCAAAGACGACGTTTGCACCCGTCGCTGGATTCCTCGGAGTCAACCTGGTGACTCGAGACATACCAGAGGCTTCGAGGCTATCCGAGTGGTACTCAGGCCCCACGCTAGTCGAGCTGTTGGGTATGTTCCTCCTTTGAGACGCGTCGATGGACGCTAATCTATTGAAGAACAACTCGAGCCACCCGGCAGAGCAGTAGAGGCGCCATTTAGATTCCCTGTCACCAATGTGTTCAGAGGACAAACTGCTGTTTCGTCTGGATACGCAGTTAGTGGCACAATTTGCTCAGGCTTGATTCAGGTCGGCGAGGTCGTGCGAGTTGTCCCTGGAGATGAGAGCGCAATCATCAAGCGTGAGCATTTGATGCCACCCTTTAGAAATTATTGATCGCGCATCGTAGTGATAGAACGCGATGGAGAAACGATGTTATGGGCTGCCGCTGGCTCCAACGTTCACCTCTACTTGACAGGTATCGACTCTACCCATTTGAGGTATGTGATCATAGTCACTCATGGCCATAACTGATTCTGGTAGCATCGGATCTGTTCTTTGTTCCCCCGCATCTCCAGTGCCATTGGCCAGCTCGATTGTGGCGCAGGTCATACTCTTTGATATTCAAACACCTCTCATCAATGGCGCCTCCGTACGGTATTCGGGTTTTTCTCTACGCTTTACTTACTTGTTTAGGTTGAACTCTTCCATCATGCTCGCAATGTCCCGGCCACCATCACTCTCCTCGAATCGCTGGATCGCGTCACTGGAGTTGTCTTAAAAGCAAAGCCTCGCGTCCTGACCAAAGGCATGTCTGGCAAGATACGCATCACGATCAGGGCAGGCAGCATATCGGAGACGGCTGGATTAGCATCCTTCTCTAGACTACCCGTTGAAACGTTCAAAACTAACAAGGATATGGGACGAGTCTTGCTGCGGAGGGATGGTGAAACCATTGCAGCTGGTGAGTGAGGTCCATATTCGAGGTTATGACTGACGTTCCACAGGCATCATCTTATCTTATGACACGTGACTTGTACAAGTATCTCACAAAAAATAGTGTATCACATCACCAGACCAAGTCTCAACATTGCGGGTTCCAACCTGTCAGCTGTCAGATTGCCGCCGACTCTATTGAAAGAATGACCTACCAGCGAATATACGAGAGAGATTGTTTGGATCGCGAGCTTGCACGATTAACTCATTGACCGTATATTCGACGCTGAGCGAGCCGTCCAGTTTTTTGGTGACAGACTTGATGGCTCGTTCGGCACCCTGAACAACTGCTTCCGGCTTCTTGAACCCCTCCAACTCTTCATTGAAAGAATCTTGCACTCGACGCAATTTGTTACGATTCGCAGTCCTGTCACCGCTATCAGCATTTCCCGCGAGGGGTCCAGGGCCGATACTCACCAACTGTGCAACGGGTCATATTTGAACACCTCGAGCACGGTATTGATGGTCTCAGAGCCCTCTCTGAGAACACGAAGAGTCTCCTGGCAACACCGACGGAAGACACCTTCGGTCCCTGCAACTCCCATCCCATCTACAACATCCGCTGTGAGCCTGAATGGAACCGTTTCCGGGATCGGCAAGAGTTTTCCCTAACGGAAGTGAGTGATGGTGTGCACACGTTTGGGTCTCTCTTACTTGATCAAATGCGATACCTAAGTCGATGTGGATCATTTCTCCTGTGTGAACGTCCATTAATAGATTGCCCATGTGTCGGTCTCCAAGTCCCAGAATATGACCGCCTGTGAATGTTAATAATACTAGATAGAACAAGTGGGCGATAATACCTATTGAACATGTCGCCACGCTGCGGGTGTACGCCAGCCGCTTCGAATACCAGACCATGGGTTGCTTTGTGGATTCGGTGAAAAAGTGTCGCAATACTGGTAGAAAGTTGTCTCGAATATGCTTGAAGACTCGAATTCTCTCATCCAATGAAGCTTTGGATGATATTTGCCTTAGCAACTTCAGTGTCTCTGTGAATGGCAAATCGGTGGGACGATATCTGTACCATATCAGCTAACAAAGAATATGTGAATAAGGGATTGAAACCGACCGGGCGTGAGCTTTGGGCAGCCATGAATTCATTGCTTCGGTGTTGAGGACGTATTGGATCAGACCACCGTGACCAGGCAAAGGGATAACCTTGTAATTACGAAGTGAGAGGTTCCTGCGCTTGCTTTCGCGGTCTTGCTTGAGTAGGATATTGATCAACTGGAATACCTGCTCCATGACTGCATCCTGCCGTAGATCATCATCACCTTCTCCTTTGAACTATAACTCGTTAGATATTGGATAAATAATCGGCAAGATCTTACCAATTGTCGATGCCTTTTACCTGCTGTATCGATGCATTCATTGATCTTGGGGACATGTAACCCGCCTGCGACAGTGAAGCTACGTTCATAGCACTTGATCGTTGGAATATTTGAATAGTCCCCATTCATAGAGACAGGAATGTCTGCCGTAGCCGGTGGGATATGCAGGACGATCTGCGGCTTCCCATTCTTGCTACTTCCCCAGCGATAGATGGCAAGGTTTGGGGGTATGTTATACCATACGCGACTCTTGCACCCCATATCCTTGATAGGCCATCGCGCCCATTCGACGTAACCTTTCAATGCTTCCTCCATCATGTTCATGAAACCCTCGGGTCGTTTGTACTGCTGGCCAGTCCCGGAGCCGAGCGTCGTTCGAACATTTTCTATTATCTTCTTCGCCTCCTCTGCTCTGTTCTGGGTGAACTCAGAAGGGATTTCTTCGCCTTTGACCTTTGGAAGGTTATCCACACCCTTGGCAGTCAAAACTTGTAGCAATGAGTGGAAAGGGTGCTGTGTGCACATTGCTTCCACGAGTTGATTCAATGCCTTGTGATTTCGTTTGCCTTCTGAAGCAGTGGGCCACTTGATACCTAGCCGAGCAGTGAGCTGATGTGCCAAAAAGAGTAGCTTATATGTTGATATGCGTTGTAGTGCATGTCGAATAGCTTCCGCCGATTTCTCCGAGTCGAATCGAGAGAACCAGAGCCCACAGAATTTAATCGCCACTTCCTCGTCAGAGTCGTCCGAGACTTCCATGTAATGAGCAAACATGGAGATAGCCTGCTCTAGGAATGTTGTAGCCGCCTTTCGATGCTGTTCGAGTGTCTTCTGGTCCTCTCGGAGCAAGAGTAACGTCTTATCTCTGCGGCGACGAAATAGGTCCTTTTCTGTGGAAGATTGGGCATTCTTGTACGCCTGATTCAATTGTTGAAGCTCTGCTTCAACCTTTATGACCCAGTCTTGTTGACGCTGGTACTCCTCTGCTTCATCCATTCGACGTAGGTGCCTATTCGCAAACTCTGCGTATTGGAGGTAAACACCCTTCGCCGAGCGTCTTGAAATCTGAGTCTGAGGGTCCAGTAGCTGAACTGCCGGGTCGAAGAATCGTCTTTGAATGTCCGATGGATCGAGCGAGCGTGCGGCGGTTGTCCACGACCCCTTATAAAGGGTCAGAATGAACCTCTTTAACCATTCCACTTACCAGTTGAGAGTGAACGATGGCCCAGGCACGACGTTCATCCATTCTGATGTTGGGTGAAGCCGAAAGCCCAGTCTCATGGAACTGCCGTGCAGCGAGCTTTTCTAAGAATTGAATTGCGGTCGAGTGTTCTCCTTGTATCCACAAGGTTTCTGCAAACTCTCTTGAGACATGAAAGCTGTCATCCGTTTGAATCTGCTGAGCTTGGGAAACAGCGTTGAATGCGACTTGAGGCTTCTTCGACCGTCGTGCACTTTCAGCGAGGCTTGTTAGACAGAGGGTCTCGAGAGTGACGAGGTCTGCGAGTGATGAGGATTCCGTGCCACCAATCTGTTCAGTGCTCAATGTATTGCGCAGAGAATGGATTAAAGAAACCCTCGTTCCAATGAGGGCTTCAGCAGCGTCAAACCTCCGTACTTGTTAGTAAAAGTGGAGTTATGAATGCATAACGTACTCGAGGTCGGGTGCAAGGCGCGAAAAGCTCTCGAACCATTCAGATGTCGAGTCAGGGAGACGGGCGTGAAGTTGGCGCCAGTCTTGGAGCCATAATTTGATTTCACGGAAGCATAGGAGGTTTTCTATACACTTCCTCATCTCGGAGACGTTTTCTGCATTCGATCTCTTGAGAATTTTCATCTCTTGTCGAATCGAGCGATCGCAAATCTTGTGGGTGGCTTCCAGATCACGGCCCCTGTGTACCGCTTGCATGGCTGCATACAGGCCAGCGCTACGAAGGGATGGGTTGGACGACGGTGGTAAGTCCCAGGATTCAGTCCTCCAGGCTAATGCATAGGTTAGGTCGGAGGAAGCACTGGCTCCATCGCTTATAGCAGTGCCTGCAAGTGACATTGCCAGATGGTTGAATCCAGAGGAATGAAGAGATTGGATGACATCTGAAAGGTGCTGGTACCGATTTCCTACGGCTCTGCTATGCTCTATCTCATATCTTGAGACGTGGGATTGAAACGCCTTGTCCCACTTTCCTTCATGATTGAACTTGTACATGAGGTGCCTTTTGACGTCCCTCCCTGGGATAGCGTAGAATCCATCCGGCTCGTCAATGTGCCGATAAATCTCATAGAGCGCTTCCTCATAAGTTGACCCAAAGTCAGCGGGAACCTTTGGGTTTTTATGCTCCTCTACCAACTCCAGAAGGAGGACTGCCGTTGCATACGCGCCACAGGATAGTGCCGTCTTCGCCAACTCGAGATAATCCATCTCAAGCCAGGTATCGTATGCTAGGGGTTCGCTTTTCCCAGGATCCAGGTGCCGAAGATGCAGAAAGACGTCGAGGATCGCTTGGCGTACGGCAACTTCGGATTCTTCGCCACGTATTGTTTGCATGAAGTAGGTCGAGAGTGAACCACGGACGCTCTTCTTCATGCGACCATGTGTGTCAAGCAACAACGCCTGATGTACCAAGACTGGCAGCATTTCCGCTGCAAATGAGGATGACCAACGTAGTAGGGGGGATAATTGTGCGAAGAAGAGGTCGTATTGTCCGATGACATTTGCCAAGAATGACCCTATCTCGCAGACCCAACTGGTGTAGTTGGTGGTCATTGCCCGAAATGAGGGTTTCTTAATGTCAGAGATGCTCGAGGAGGGTGCTCGAATGGCATCCAGGAACCCTGATCGAATGGGAGAGAGTAGGTCTTCGATTCCCGTGGTGGAATCTCCACAGTCAGGATGGCATAGTCGGCGCAAGGTTTCGTGGATCTTATGAAGCGAGGTGGGTGGAGAAATTGAAAGCGAATCAAAGAGCCATTCCACAATGATCCCCTTGATTCTATCTTCCGCAGGTCTCTCTCTCTGACGAGCGCAGAGCGTGTTCTCGGGTGGTACTTCGCTCCGTATGGATTGAATCTGCCCGGATACATGGTAGAGAAGCTCCATGAAGGCATTTATATCATCCGGGAGAAGTAGATCGTCATCTGGAATATGATCACGGAGGGTCCAGAAATGCTTGGCTGCGAAAATATGGGTGGTATACCTCTCGTGGGAGCTCAAATGGCGCACCGCACGGAAGCATCCAATTGGATACTTCCCACGGAAAAGTATGTCCACCTCGTGTTCGTGTGACAGAGATCCCAGGGCGAGGCTCGACTGAGAGAAAGCTTCAACTTTCCGAGGCCAGAGAGTAACTACTGGCCGTAGTTCCTCTTTGAACTTTTCCACTTTGCACAGAGATTGCACCTCTCTCTCAATCCACTCCAGCATCCTCATTCCGAGAGCCGAGGTCTGTTCATCAGAAGCGGATGAGTAGTGAAGTCCGAGTTCTGCAACTCGACTAATCACCGGAGCAAGGGCTAATTCGTCAGCGGAGCCAGCGGGAGCTCGGGCCTCATCAAAAGCCCAGCTCATGATGACCTGTGAAAGAGGAGCAAGGTCCTCTTGTTGGATCAAAGTCATGCAACTGGTCAGTACGAGATGTATCACCGTCTTGTCGCCCATTATCCCTGCAAAGGCACAGAGCCAGACGATGAGTGAGTGCATGTATCGAGCCTGTTCATTGAGTAGCGGTGTCGAGTTTGCCGCAACAAACAGGCGCTGGGTCGTATGGTAACAGACAGGGAGATACAGTGCATCACGCTCCTCTTCTGGTATTTGTAAGGACCAGAACCATTGCATAGCCCGTAATACGGTGATAGCCGGAGCAGAGGGACCATTTACCCCGTGCATGGTAGGTACATCATCCCGAGACAGTCGCTGTAATCGTCGGAGGGTAGGTTGGCTACACTCTTGATCCAAGAGCGACGCCTCGCGGAGAGCATCTATAATTCTACCATTCGGCTCAAAGCCATAGTCTGACAGATAGCCAAGTATAGAGGCAAGAATCTTGTCTGCCTGTCTTCGCAAGAACTCCTTGGGGTCTGTATCAGGTTCACAATCTTGTGCGCACCGAAGAATCCAAGTCCATAGTCGATGTGACTCGTTGGGATTATAAGCTTCGATTCCATCTTCGATGATTATACACCCCGCCACCAGCTCGGCAAAGCATTCCTTGATAACATCGCGCGGCGACCTATGAATCGCCTTGCAGTATCGTATAATCGAAGGGTCTTGAACGGGACTGGTTTTGTAAAAGTCAGAGGGTCGACAAGAGTAGAAGATCATGGGCACGATGGAAGCTAAGCTGGCGTCGGCACAGTCTTTGTGGGTACGGAACCCAAGCAGACGAGGGGGTACTTGGAAAAATTCGATGGACGATACGCTGGCTTGGCGTGCCAGTTGCCCAGCGTGTGCAACAAACAATTCGCGACTACTGTCAAAGCCGAGGTGTCGCGAGATGGCATCCGTCAAGGAGGACAAGTATGGGGTGTACCGTGGCGTTTCCGTACAGACCTCGATCAGGTGCCAGTACACTCCTCGCCGAAGAGGAGAAGAGACAATCATGACGTTGGAAAGCGCTATGAATCGAGAGAGCATTCCCTCCAACCTAATAAACACTGAATTAGCCTTTCAGACTGGGATATGACCAGGTTAACTTGCCAGTTGGAATTTCTGGGGAGCTTTAGTGAGAGCTCTTCGTTATACAAATTCATCGTAGTAGCTTCCGAGCCACTAAGGCGTCGAAAGATTGTGGCAAAGACCTCGCCTGCAGAAGACCGGACACGGATATCTCCATCCACCAGCAGAACTGCTAACAGTCCTAGAGGGGTACGAGTATCTTCCTCGGCAGAATCATTGTCAATGTCCATCCTCTCATCCGCTTCGTCTCCCCACCAGGAGGCGTATGGATTTGACACAAGGAAGCGATCGAGAAGGGTAGGTAGCGCTACGAGGGATTTCCAGCTCCCTCCGCTCATGATCTTCTTGTCGATCCATTTCGGAATGAGAGCCCGAACAACTTCACGCAGCTTGCCCTCGTCTTTGATCCATTGATTTGAGAGTACATCGAGCAGCTGTAGCGTCTGAAGATGCATACTCTCCGATTTCCATAACTCCCATGTCTTCCGCTTGGAGATAGTCGATTCGAGCAGGGCGCATGCGGAATTTGGGTTGAGCGGGGTGACTCTGGACATAATAGAGAGACAATATCCCTGCAAAAGGCGGAGAAATGTCTCTCCTTGGGCGTCCGCTACTAGATCGTCTAGCCACGGTATACTCCAGTATACCTTTGAGTCTTTCAGGGCTTTTGTGACCGCTAAGGCGATTGCAGTAGGGATAAAAGTATCACCTAGACCAGCTGAAGAGACAGGCTTCTCCTTCAAACTCGCCTGGGCGTCCTGGAAATCCATATCCTCGACATCGCGACTGTTGACTCTTGCTGATTCCGTGGTCCCGGGCGACCAACTTTCGACCATTGCTGGCAAAAGCACTGAGATTGCATTGCTGGCTATCTCCAGAAACTCGTTGGCCTGGCTGAATCAGTCTGGCTCTTTTTATGACTTGGATAAAAGCTTACTAGCTTATTTTGCCAGACAAGTACAAGAAGACGTTGCGAGCTGTCATCCTCTTGCTTGCGGCGCAGAGCCACTGGATCCTTCGAGAGTTGATTTGACTTTGCACGTCGTAGTCCACATTTTGGTCCAGGTCGGAGGAGAAGGCTCTTTGGGAGGTGTGACTCCCGTGACTCCTTGGGAGCAATCCACACAAGAGGACGAAGCTCATGGATGATTACGACCCATCTCTCTGCATTCCAATCTCCTGATGTCGGAGATGGTGTCGACCAGGGTGCAACCAGCTGCAGCGCTGCAAACGCTTGACGGTACAGCTCTGTATTTGTTCGTGTGCTGCTCATCTCGAGACATGCCTGGAAAGAGAGCGCGAGAGTCGAGATTTTGGTAAGAAGTCTGCTTTTATCGAGGACGGTGGATCTTTGTCGACGTTGGCTACCCTCTGGTATCGAATCCTGGGCTTGAACCACACTCGATATAGCCTCACCGAGGACCTCTTCGAGCATGGTGATTGCCTTTGAGGCCCGTGGTGAAGGGGTAAATTCGATTGCAAAGTGTTCCTCTAGTCCACCAGCAGAAGCCAATTCTTGGCCCATGCTCCCAGAACTATTATGTTCTAGGTCTACGCTTCCGACCTGGTTACCCTTTGCGAGCGGCAAACGAGGAATGACTGCGTTGATCACAAATTGACGCAGTGCGTGATCCTCCTCATAAGCAGCAAACATGCGTGCAAACTCGTCGTCTGGTAGAGGCATTTCGCATCGTAGAGTCGGACGGGCCTCTACTGCGCCAATTGCCTGAAGCAGGCGAAGGAGATCTTGAACATTGAAGCAAGAGTCGAGTTGTTGGGATGACCGGGGAGTCCTATCGACCTCTCTCGACCCTTTGCCTAGTCGAATGGTTGTTACCGACGCCTGCTCCATATTGATTAGACGGTACAATGATTCTCTGAGCCACCGCTTTGACGCGTCTTCAAGATGAAGACGGCATAGCGAGGCATCAGAGTCGGCAAGAGTGACAAACTTGGAAAGAATCGCGCAGGTTGCTTCGCTGATAATAGGAATGCTGACCGACCGACGGATAACAAGGTTTGCGGACGACACCATTGGTGCATCCTGTCCAAAAAACTCGTTCTCAGTCTGGAAGACTTGTGCAAACTCTGCAATGTGTTGCAAAGCGACGCTCGTCTCGACCCGATTGGCATGCAAGAGCGTGTACAATAAATGTGCACCGGCCCTACATAACTGAGGCGAGTTGGAGATGAGAGCTTGGTACCCACTCGCCCACATTCCTGTCCATGTGGACGGCGGAACGTCTTGACGCACGGCAGGTGCCGCTGCGATCGTAGCTAGCGTGAGCAACGCAAAGCTGGAGACGGAGTCATCCACGTTTGAAATACGTATGATAGTGCTTATGATGAGTTGTCTATGTGTCGAGTCTAGCTCCTCCCAGTGAGACGAGATGAGGAATGAAAGAACTTGTACTCGATAAAGTTGTTGCGCGATGTTGGTGACTGTTTTGATTTCGTGAAGAAGCACCTCTAGAGCATTCTCAGAGCGTCTCCTCTTGGTCTGTGGTTCGCCCGAGTCGTGGCGGAGATGAGGTGTTGTTTCCTCTTGTCGATAGAGCTAAAGTGAATGAGTCGGATTTGAGATCATACAAATTGAAACGTACATAGAAAATACAGTCACTATGAACTTCAAGAAGAGCCCACATATAAGCTTGAGATACATTGAAGGCGGGGCCATGGCGGAATACGGTTGTCGAGAAAGCAGCACGAGACGTCTCGTCGGGTAAACTCAGCTCAAGACGAAGGCTGTCAAGAGAGAGGCACTCGTTTGCGTTCTTTCCAAACGAGAGTTGATCAAACGCTAACAGTAGGTCTGTAAGCGGATTAAAGCTGTTGGAGTCAATGACAACGAGCCCGTCAGCCCGTCCGGCATCAAACGGCGAGAGGACCAGGTATGGCAATAGGACCTTGAAGATAAAGACAACTTGAGCCTGATTGACTGGCGAACGAATAGAGCGCACGATCCCGACTAGGGTGGGCCATAGACGACGGGATAGCCACATCATGTCAAGAATCCTATTGAGCTCTACTTGCTCCAAGAAATGACAAAGGGCTGGAATCAGGTCGACGTGGCTTGCGACTGCACCTCGATACATTTCAAAGTATCGACAAAACTTGACCATCAGGTACATGGCCCAATTGGTTTCTTCGTCTACTTCTTCGCTATAGTCTGCTCGACTTTTCGCATCTCGTTCGATGAAGGGGGCAAACGGCGAGGCGCAAAGATGGCGAATGATACTGGCGAAAATGAACTGGGTCGTCGATGCAGTGGCTATAGTCGCATTAGTTGAATAAAAATATAACATCCTTCACATACCTTCGGCAGATGGCGTGCTAGCTCGACCAGTCACTTTTGGATCTTCCTCGGTCCATGTATGAACATCCGAAGGCGAATCGTTGAGCAAGACTGCCCAAGCAAGTCGCGAAAGGCGCTTCCATGTCTTGACCTTGAAGGAACGAACGTGCGGACCGTGCGCAACAATGCTCTGTAACGCTCTTCCATAATTTTGGCCAGTCGTGTTGGCCAATGCCCCCGGCTGACTCAATAAGTCTAGTAAAAGTGGGACAAGAACTTCAATGGCGACGTTGTTGAGATGTGGGATGCTCGTGGCGACGACGATCCTGACGGCGACGCTGATATCCTCAATCTTTCGTTTCTTTGCATCGAGGCCCTTGGACGCTCCTCTGAGTCCGTCATGCTCTTGTCGTGCAGCGGAAGAGAGCGCGCCAAACACGTCTTTCCAATCCTCTTGGGTGATGGTTCCAAGGTTGGCGGCTTTGAGTGGGTTTTGAAAGTATCGGGTAATGTCCTCGACCGCCTGTTTACGCTCAGTGGTCTTTCCTTCTTGTAAAGCTTGCAGAATAGTGCGCAACTCGCGCTTCATCGTTTGAAACGAGTGGCGAGGACAGCGTCAACGAGCGATAGAACACTGCCACCGAGTTTGCCACTCTACAAGATGCAACAAAAAGACTATTCTTTCCACGAGTAAGATACATCAGATCTACGTCTACAGGCGCTGGATCACCAATGCGGATGCAGCTCCTCCCTACACGAACGTCAGTCCATGGTCGACAAAAGACGAAATGGGGGACGTACTCCATTGCAGACACCAGCCGCTCCATACTCTCCAGGCTTGAGTGCATGTACCAGGGACACGATGATACGGGAACCCGAGTTTCCAATCGCGTGGCCGAGGGCCACCGCACCACCGTTGACGTTGATCTTTTTAGGATCGAGGTCTAGGATTTTTTCTGCTGCACGAACGACCACCGAGAAGGCTTCGTTGATCTCGTAAAGAGCAATGTCGTCCTTGGTCAGTCCGGCCTTTTGAATCGCAGCGGGGATGGCAACGGTGGGCGCGATTGGGAAGTCAATCGGCTTGAGAGCAGCGTCAGCATACGCTAGAGAAGCGTGTTAGCACATCGGTAGCTGATATCAGCAGGAGACTTACAAACAATCTTTGCCAGTGGCTTGAGTCCGAGTTCCTCGCCCTTTGCGCGGCTGACGAGGACGACAGCGCTGGCACCATCGTTGAGGTTCGATGCATTGGCGGCAGTGACAATGCCATCCTTCGAGAAGACGGGCTTCAAGGTGGGGATCTTGTCAAACTTGACATTTTTGTATTCTTCGTCCTCTTTGACAATCGTCTCGGTCCCCTAGAGCAATTTTAGTGAATCAAGAATATAGGGAACGTTGAAAAACATACTCGTCGATCCTTGATGACAACGGGAGCAATCTCATTGTCAAAAGCACCCCGCTTCCAAGCCTCGGCAGCGCGCTTGTAGCTTTCGATGGCATGAGCATCGGCGCTTTCACGCGTAATACCATGCTGTTGGGCGGTATGCTCTGCACAGTTGCCCATTGGGAATTTGTTGTAGACCTCCCAGAGGCCATCGTTTTGCATCGAGTCGATCAACGTGCCGTTTCCAAACGCTGGGTTCTGTCGGGCAATGAGGAATCTAGAGTGAAAAGTGAGATGACGAGTTAGCGATTATGGATTCGACGCACGGTGCATTGCTCATGCTTTCCATGCCTCCCGCAACGACAACATCGCGCTGACCGAGTTGGATCTGTTGAGCACCGAGCATGATCGACTTGAGACCGCTTGCGCAGACTTTGTTGATCGTCGTCGCGTCTGCCGTCTCTGGGAGGCCTGCACCGAGCGCTGCCTGGCGTGCTGGGGACTGACCTGCACCCGCTTGGATGACCTGACCAAGAAAGACTTCTTCTACGGCGGCAGCGGGCACTTTTGAACTCTCGACGGCGTGTTTGATGGCAATCGAGCCGAGCTGTGTCGCCGGGAGCGTCTTGAGGGCACCATTGAGAGATCCAACGGGTGTCCTAGACGCACCAACGATCCAGACTTCGTTTGTGTTGACTTGGGAAGACATTTGGCGGAGAGGAAACTGGACAAGGACGCGATGGAGACGTCGAGCAGCAAACATTTATAACCCCGTGGTATGACTATTGGGCCTCACAATCGTACGACGGGCAATTGGACAGTCGTCCGACGGTGTCAATAATGGGATCCAGTCCAACGAATTCTCATCAAGACGCGGCTTATATATCCCCCCGGATAGGGCGGAGCTCATGTGAATCATGTCAAGCTCCGGAGGGTCCCACTATTCACCCAGGTCGAGCACTCCTCCAAGCACAAGAAACCACATCTCTAGCCATTGCTCATGTCCCATTGTATCCCCCGTCTCCGATTGACGAGCATGCACGAGCTCTTTCACCGCTGTTTGCGTCTCGCACGGATGCACGTACAAACACGGTGTCTGTAACACAGGGTGATCTCCCTGAGATAACAGAGGGAACACGGACGCGTCCTCGGCTTGTTCTCCAGGTCGGTCAATGTGCGTAGTGTGAACCGCTGCCTCGGGAACAACTCCTGGACGAAAAATCGTCGTCTTGACCGTCTCTTCTATCGACAATACGCGTCCATCTATGAATCAACTGTCAGTATGTATCATGAATCCAATCCGAACGCACCTCCATCAGAAACGACAAAATAAAAGGCAGGGACCTGAAATGAGGGCGAGTACACCACGTATTGCGTCGAATTCAGCTCTCTCCTGCTCCTCGTGTGAGACTTGGTTCCAATCGACGGCGCCTTCGAGGTCAGGTTCCTCAGGTAACTCTGATTCTACCAAGGGTTCCGTAGTGCTGTTTCGATACCTGAGTGTTACCTGTCGCGTCATGTATCCAAATGCTGGCCAAGTCTACTGTCTATCAGGTTTGCTGACAGGCTCCTGCTCGAAATGCCATACTGGATGAGGCTTCCAGGTCCAGCCCAGACATCCATTACGCCGTATATCCTCTCCCCACTGTCCTCTAGAGTACTTGTCTACAAATGTTGAGCAGCAAGTTGCCCACTCGGCAGGAGTCATGTCCAAGTCACCTTGCGATTGGTATTCAGCACAAGAAGTAAAACTATGTATTATATACTTGTATTATCCTCACAAATTGAACACCAGCATGGAAGTGGTCTGCACGTTGTTTGGCCTCTTTGTTTGTCACTCCTAATCTAAAGTCGACCGCTTGGACCTCGGTCGCCACCTTTTGTACGACTTGTCGGTGAACAATGGCTGTTGGAAAGGTTTGGGAACGCCGCTCAGAGCGCAGAATAATTCGCTGATGGACGCAGAACAAGCGCCTCTCCAAGGGCAAGAAAGGTCTCAAGAAGAAGGTCGTCGATCCATTCTCGCGCAAAGGTATGCATTATTTATAATGTATATTTCTAAAAGGCTTAATCTGTCTGTTTAGAATGGTATGATATCAAGGGCCCGTCGTTCTTCGAGGTGAAGAACATTGGCAAGACTCTTGTCAACAGGTCGCAGGGTCTCAGTACGTATCAATTGTCCTATTTCATCGGCATTCTGCTAATAGACATCCAGAAAACGCCAGCGACTCGCTCAAGGGACGAATCATCGAAGTCTCGCTTGCTGACCTTGTCAAGGACGAGGAACAGACCTTCCGCAAGATCAAGCTACGAGTCGACGAGGTCCAGGGCAAGAACTGCCTGACAAACTTCCATGGCATGGACTTTACCTCTGACAAACTCCGCTCCCTCGTCCGCAAGTGGCAGTCGCTCATCGAGGCACATGTCGACGTCAAGACGACAGACGGCTACATTGTCCGACTCTTTGCCATTGCCTTTACCAAGCGAAGACCTAACCAGGTCAGCAAGACGACCTATGCTCAAACTGCCCAGATCCGGGAGATTAGAAAGAAGATGTTTGAGATCATGACTCGCGAGGCGACATCGTGCGATCTCAAGGAGCTCGTGCAAAAGTTTGTCCCAGAGGCCATTGGTCGCGAAATCGAAAAGGCCGCCCGCGGCATCTACCCTATCCAAAACGTCTACATCCGAAAAGCCAAGATTGTCAAGTCGCCCAAGTTTGATATCAACAAACTTTTGGAGCTCCACGGCGAGGTGACGGATGTGAGTGCCCTCAGCTGTTTATACCGTTCACCGCTGACCACGTATATAGGAGACTGGTACAAAGATTGCAAAGGACTACAAGGAGCCGGAAGTGCAAGCAGAGGTCTAAACTTTCTTGTCGCTCTCGTTGTCTTGGGTCTTGAATGCAGCATGTTACCACTACGACTATGCAATATTAAGGCCTATGTGCGCATCATCATCTTCCGCTCCCATGGCTCTTCGTATCCGGTGGATCAAGACCCGTAACCACTTTGTATCGCATGAGGAGCAGAGACTTAGTCAACTCGACAAGTTTTCTGTCTTCCTCCCACGTAAGTCCACATTCATCCAGAGGTGCATCGAGTACTTCGTAATCCTCGTGATCGAGTTGTGTCCCTTGCACGCGCTGAACGGCTTCGCCACTCTCGTCGGTATCAACTTCAGAGACATACCAAAACACAAACTTTTGCGCGCTCTTTTTGTCAGGACGAGACATACGATCCACCTTGAGTGTGACTGCGATTGCCTCTTTGTTCATGACAGCTTCTCTGGCACCGGGCGTCAACGAGGGGTTTGGGAGTGCAATGATCGTGCTCTTGTAACCAGTTTCCTCGTATGTTTCGCGTACTGCTGTGTGAGGAGCTGCCTCGTCCATGTCCTTGCGTCCTTTGGCGATGACTGAATCCCCTCTCCTGTTGCGAATAAAGACCAACGAGTACTCGTCCGGAAGACGAGGGACTGTTATCGACTTGTCTTTCCCAAAAGGTGAGCACGCGTACAACACCAAGCTAGTGGCGCACCTCGTGGAAGCGGCTTCAAAAGGACGCAGCCCGCAGAAACAACAAATTCGTCGGCGTTGAAGATGCCTCGTTGCGGGTGAAGCATTGATATCTATGAATCGGCTGCAATCTGCCAAACGTTGCGCAAACTCGTGACAACCGAGTGTCAGTGGCGAGGATCAAGTAAAAATTCAGTGGAGGCCGGCAAAAACACACACCTTGAACTCGTCTTCCATCACGTCTGACGCCAAAACGCGTAAAAATGCCTCCAAAAGCCGCTACAGAGACTTCGAAAAGCCTGAAAAGACCCGCATCCGACGTGTCATCAGACGATCAGGAAGAGGCAGCGTCGAAAAGACCACGAAGAGGGACGACAAACTATGAAGCAGGTGCCCATAGTGAGAAAAAACACGCAAAGACGACAAAGAGTGCGGCCGCAAAGTCGTCTAGGCCCGTAAAAGAAAAAGCTGCACCGCTGAACCCGCTACGACAGCCAGCGCCCAAAGCGCGTCCTCCTCGTCAGCTTTTCGTGTTTGGAAATGGCGATTTTGGACAGTTGGGACTCGGTCCTGACGAAACCACCGAGCTCACGAAACCAAAGCTCCATGCGTGGTGTGCAGAAGCCATCGAGGAGGGTCGGTTTGGTGAACCTGGTGCCGGTATCGAAGCAGTTGCTGCTGGTGGAATGCATTCACTGATGTTGGATGAACAGGGAAAGGTGTGTGGACCAAGCGAGCTCACTCAGAATTCTTGTGCTTACCGCCATCCGCTAGGTCTGGTCATGGGGCGTCAATGACGATTCTGCGCTTGGAAGACAGACAGAAGGAGTCAAGGATGCGGATGGGAACCCAGTGGATCAAGAAGAGCTCTCTGCCACACCTCATGTCATCGATGCGCTCGTCGAGCAAAAGTTCCGCGCAGTCGTCGTGGTTGCAGGAGATTGCACTGGTGCTGCCTTGAGTGACAAGGGTGAACTGCGCATATGGGGTACTTTCAGGGTGTGTAGCCCCTTTGCCGTCCCCTGCATCCACTAACAATTTTTACAGAGTCCAGAAGGCCAGAAAGCCTTTTCTTCAACAGAAAAAGCAAAGGATGGTGCAGCGAGAGCTGCAGGAGCATCGGAAACGCTCCATCCCGTCGCGCTTCCCGGCTTCAAGAGCATTCAGATTGCGGCCATCTCTGCCGGTGCCAACCATGTCATAGCCTTGACTACAGACGGTCTCGTATATGGATGGGGCTCATCGGAGCAAGGCCAGATTGGCCGTAAGGTCGTCTCACGCCATCGCAAGAACGGCATGGAACCCGAACGTCTCGATATCCGCGAGGCAGTCGTCGTGGGGACAGGCGACTACCATTCCTTTGCTGTGGACAAGTCTGGAACCGTCTGGGCCTGGGGCTTGAACAGCTGGGGCCAACTTGGATTCAAGAGCGCCGCAAATGTTACAGATTCTGTCCACTATACCGTTGAGGATGTCCCATCCCTTCACCCTGACGTTACCGGGTCAAGGGTGGTTCAAATTGCTGGTGGCGAACACCATACCCTCTTCAGACTAGAGGACGGGCGGGTGTTCGCCGTTGGAAGAAACGACGGTGGCCAACTGGGCGTGGGACCGGATCACCCGAGTATCCTCGCGGATCCAGATGCAAAAGGGATGGCCACCTTTGAACCGGTTCAGGTGCCCATCCAGGGCTTTGTCACCGACATCCAAGCAGGCCCGCGCTACAACCTCGCCTTGACGGATACCGGTATTCTCTTTAGCTGGGGTCAAGGCAACCTGGGTATTTCGCGTGACGTATCCGAGACGTCGAGTCCTACCTTGATCGCAGGACGCGAGAGTTCAGTTTGGAAGTGCCTCGGTATGACCTGTGGAGGTCAACACAGCTTCATCATTGTCAGCAAAAAGGAGCCAGACGAGGAATTGACAGTGGCCTCTCCTGCTCCTGTCATTGCGGACGCAGCTGTTAATGGTGTTCACTAGACGGAAGCATCGCAAATTTACGTCCTTAAAAGGCCCAATGTACGAACTCACGATATTCGTTATGACCATCCTGCATAAGCTAATAGACATTTTGTGTATACCATTACATGACCGCCAGTTAAGGTGACACTCGTAGAGACTGAGTAATATTTAAAGCCTCGAATGCCAAGTATTATGCCAGCTCCTCTTGCGCCTGCTCTTCTAGCAGCTTGTTCGAGATTTTTGCACCAGGGTTTCCTCGGAATCTGTTCCTCATATCGAGCTAAATGTAATTTGAGATCCCAAAAAGACAAAGATTGATAATACGAACCATCCCTTTCTTGCATTCGTAGAGTGACTGCCGAAGCTGCTTGCATTCCGTCGGTAGCTCGTCAAAATGGTCTCGTAGGCATTCTGAGGGCAAATTATTGTGCTTAAGTACACACTCAGAACGTATGAGACACGACTTGAGAGCGACGCGAATGCCTTCACAAGAAGTCGACATTTTGGTCAGGTTCAAGAGGTCCAGATCCACCATGACTCAGGAGGCAAATGATGAATTGTAAGGTAGGTGCTGTGGTATGTAATAAACTATGAATATAGTAGATACATTTAGGCTTGGGCATCTAAGAAACTGACCATGTGTCCGCCAGTCGATGCGATCGTCTTGCCTCCATTAGTGAATATTGTATGTGTGACAGGGTGTGGAACTGAGTGCACGCATAAAGGTTCACTAGGGAATCGTACGTCCCATACCCTGACCTTGTTGCCGCCTGAAGGGCGCACGATCAGCGAGTTGCTCCAATCTCCGCGTAAGAACTGAGAGATTGACGTAGTTTCAGTGGTCCCAATCAGAGCCAAAGGGGAATTATCTGCATTTTGCAAGCTCCTCGTGTCATAAATTCGGACCTGCTTGTCCAAATCACCCGTCTGAAAATCTGTTAGCAAGAATGGTGTTAGAATCAGCAAGATATCACCTCTAGAAGGATAAGATCTCGATTCTGTTCGCTTATATGGATATTAAAGACCTCGCTGGATGCCCACTTTTGTCGCTTTGCTGGTACAATCTCCCCCTCTGATTTCAAGTCGGTGATGGCAATTTTAGATCCAGCGGCAGATATGAGCCATTTCTTCTGAGATTCGTATGCCAAAGCGCGCACAGCCGTAGAGTGTGTGATATTGAGCGGCTTGAGGGTGGAAGTTGGTGCATTCTGCGTCCTAGGTTTGCTGACCTTCCACAGTAGCACCCGTTTATCTACTCCACCAGTGACAAAGAGTGATTGATTGACAGCACATACGCTAGTAATACCACCTCGCCGCTGTAGTCCATCAGTGGGCACGAGAATGTTGGATATATTATATCTCTTTGGTATATCCTATTTTTTATTAGAATGTGCACGCCACTCGTTGGATTCCTTACCTCTGGCTGCTCAGGCAATGTAAGAATAGCAACCGGGTTTGGTCCACTCTCGTGCACAATTATAACTCGCGAGTCTCCCAGGACGCATGCATCTGAGACAACATAGTTCCTCTCCTCGGATGAACGAAGGCGCTGAGGTGCAGGCAACGACCAGGATTCAATTCGAGATCTGAAAAGTTCGAAAGCTATTCGCGTCGGAAATAGAATTCTTACCTTGAACTCGAATCGATAAACTGGACGTCTCCAGGCATCGATACCCAGACCAACGGATCGCGCGCGTCCATGATGTCCCGTTCGCTGCGCAGGATACGACGCGCACGAGCATATTCAGGCCGAGGTAACACCACAGTTTTGGCTACATCGAATCTAATATTACTCCCCTTATTGGCAGCTTTGGAGCTCTGCTGTCTTGAAGATGCGTCGAGGGCCGGTCGACTCCGAGACGGCGGTATTTCGACTTGAGCTCGAGGTTGTGGTCGGGAACCCGGAGCCAATATTCTTCGCGCTGGTCTAGTCGATGAGGTGGATGTTACCCCCGGAGTGAACTCCTCTGGCCATAGCACACCCCGCGCAACCTCTGCGTTGATCGAGGTGAGTAGTCTGCCTGCCTCGGTGAGCACATCCATGCTGTTTTCGCTTCGCCTAGGTTGGGGAATTCGCATCTCCATTTCGTCCGCTGTATCTTCGTCGCTGCCTGACGACTCTCCCTCCGGGGCGCGACTTGGGGTGGCTGCAAACAAGGGAGATACATTTGTTTCGGCACGTAGAAGCGGAGTCCTTCGAGTAAAATCACCGCCTAAATGAGAGAAGCCTGGTGCAGGAGACTCTTCTGGTGTGGCTACCTGAGGTGTCGTCCACGACGTGTCAATGAGTTCGTGGACGTCATTGATATCAATATCCTGAAGATTTTCTGGCACTTGTTGCTCAGAAGCTCGAACGAGATCGTCACGCACAACATCCAATGCGGGACTGACCAGTGCCAATGGTTCGACGCGAGAACTTTGTACATGCGAAAAGTGACGGCGGTTCCCCGAGGGCTGTGACGGTAGATCGGCGATTCTACCACGTTCGCGTAGTCCATCTACTACTCTTCGACGTTGAGGGGACGTCCGACGGGTTTGTCGGTTGGAACACTCAACAGGACGACTTTCTCGCCGGTCACGCGCTCTTGCATGTTCATTGTATCGCCGTCCTGGAGCTTTATCTTCCGGTCTTCGTACTGACCATCGGCTGGAATCACGTTCCCGAATAGGAGTCGGCCATATACTTGCCGACGATAGCGGAGGGAAATTAGATGCAAAGCCCGGTTTTTCTGGTAGCGTATGTGGTCGCATCCTACTCCTAGGGCCACCGAAGCGAGAGTCGTAGGAGTCGAAGGGTGGAGGGGGAGGTAAATTACGCATGCTTCTTGGTGCTCGTGGTGGACTTGGTCTCCGTGGGTTTGGAAACCTGGAGCGTGTATCTGTTGTTTGGTCGGGAACAAAGCCCACGTCTTCGCGGTCAGACTCCATTTCATACTCCAGTTTTGCATAGTCTGGTGTGTCTCTCTCGAGATGGGGCGAATATATTTCCTTTTCATCTTCGTCGTGAAGCGTTAGGTCGACAGGATTCATCACAGACCGTCCCACGGTCGCAATGGTGTACCTTGGAGGCCTCTCAGGGCTTCCAGAAGATATGATTCTTGGATCAAGCTCCTCCCGAGATTGATTGCGCTGGTATGGAGGCAAGCTCTCTGGGCTGCTTTGGTAGACCCTATGAGAATGGCTTAGAAATGAATCGTCATACAAAAGGGCGGAAGCTCGCCAGTCTAGGAAGACGCCATCGGAGCTGCCGTATAGCTCGTCAATCACAGACTGAGCGCGAGAGCCAAGGTCTTACAGAAACCGGTGTCTTGTAACGATCTTTCCGTCTCCCCTGAGCCTTCTTGTAAGTTCCTCAATCCATCTTTTCCTATTGATCTGAACCTGTGGATGCTCCTTTCGACATTGCGGTGGGATTTGAGACTCTCTATGCACCCCACCCTCGGCAAACACGTTGGATCTTTGGTCAGGCCAACGCTCTGAAAACCGGTGATTGGATGGTCTAAAAACATTATATATAATTAGGAAAGTGTCATGATGTGGCAAGGTGATGGACTCACAAAGTCGCCATTGACGCAGGGAATAAGCTTGAAACCCAACCTCTTTGAGCCAGCGATGAGCACAAACGCCATTCCCGCGTCTGCATCCTCATCCTCGGCGTGCACATCTCTAGATCAGCCAGGACAGTATAATAAACCGCTCCAGATTACTGCAGTAATTGTCATTTTCGCCGTCTCGTCGTCGGCCGCACTTCTCCCTGTCTTTGCCACCCGGTTTCCACGCCTAAGCATTCCTCAACGCATCCTTTTCCTCCTCAAGCACTTTGGAACAGGTGTTCTCATTGCTACCTCGTTCTGGTGCGTGCTTGGGTTACAGCATTTGCTCGTTACTCACACCGTGGAGTGTAGCCATCTATTACCCACTGCATTTGGATCGTTGTTAAGCCCTTGCCTGGATCCCAACTCTGTTTGGGGTCGCTACCCCGCAATGCCCGGTGCAATCTCTATGCTTGGACTCTTTCTCGTCGTCACCGTGCAGTTAGTCTTTGCAGAAATCCATGGGCCCGAGAATTTCCATCATCATCGCTCCGAAATAGTCGACGGCCCGCCACGGAACTCCGAAAAGGAACCAAAGCAAAAGCAGGACAAGGTCCATGTGTATACTACAAAGGATACTGCTAAAGAAAAAGGTGACTTTTTACGAGTCGCCTTGCTCGAGATGGGTATTCTCTTTCACAGCGTGTTCATCGGTAGGTGGCTTTCTCGGTCATGTGGTGCGGCGCTCACACACATCACAGGAATGGCCTTAAGTGTATCAAAGGGATCAGGCTTCGTTGTTCTTTTTATTGCTATCGTATTCCATCGTGAGTCAAAGCACACCTCAAATTGCTCCATTCCTAATCCGGTTTGTAGAAACGTTTGAGGGTTTGTCTCTTGGGACAAGGATTGCATTACTTCGCTTCGAGCCACGAGAGAATCTAGGGAAATGGTCCATCCCTCCTCCAGTCAGACCTTACATCATGGGTGCTCTCTATGGCATCACCACACCTGTCGGTCAAGCCATCGGCTTGATCCTGCTCTATTCCCCAGGCAGCTCATATGATCCTGGATCCAGTACTGCCCTCGTTCTTGTCGGCGTCATGAACGCAATTTCTGCCGGCTTGCTGCTGTGGGCATCCCTCGTCGAGCTCTTGGCGGCCGATTTTCTAGGAGAAGGACGCAATAGTGGACTAATGGGCCAGTCTCTGCGACACAGGGTTTCTGCTGCCATTGCTGTGCTCGCTGGAGCAGGGGGCATGGCACTGGTAGGTGCATGGGCATGAGGGAGTACATTCAGGACAGTCCAATGGACACAAAATACCATATAAATGTGATAATTGACCGATAGAGCGCATCTCTGTCGAGGTGTAGTATCTTCGCATGGGGATATACCGAGATCAGTCGTAGAATACAGTGATTATCAAGGTTGAACAGTCTGAATCGAAGCATGCAATTGGCAGAAGCGTGTCATGAATATCGTTACGAGGGTAAATTAGACATAGAACCTAGGGCATCTGTCAGCTTGTGTGTTCTAATTGGGGAAGGGGCGTACTTTTTGTTGATCTGATACAACAATAAGTTGAGGTTAAACTTGGCCAGTCCATTAAACAACGTCAAGGCTACGCGATTCTCATATTGTGCCTGCAGAAGATCCTCCATGCGAACGTCCGTGGTCGCAACCAACGAGTTCGAGTTGTGGATCGAGATAGTAAAGAGTCCTGGTTTGGGTGACTTGAGGATAATGTCAACCCGATCGAATTGGCGAGGAGAAAACTGGTCGATGGAAAGGAGGATTCCTTTGTGATACCACTGCTGGGCGCTGTACTTGTACGACGGTACTTCAGTATCCTGCCCTTGTCGTTGAAGGTCGCGAATGTGGAAGTACTGCTTAGAGAATGGCATAACGAAGCGCTTCTTGGGTCTGAATGCATGTAAGCGCAAGGCTCATTCGAATAGGATAGTGCTTACCCTTTGCCCTTTCCCATAGTTGCCATTGCAGTACCCACATAATCCTGATACTTCTGGATTTGCTCTTCGTAAGACTTCTTCCGTTCTCGAAGATGCTGAAGCGCCTCTCGCATAGACGCCTTTTCCTGTTGCCTCTGAAGACGTTTGCGGTGCTTGCTTCTCACATCGCTTGCAATGGCATTCAGCACGTCCTGATATCCGTCGAGACGGGTGACTTTGCCCTGTTTTTCTAGCTCGAGAAGGTAGAAGATGGCGTGGGCTTTCATGTCGCGATAGGATTGTCTGGATAAATGTGAGGCACTGGTTACAATAATAGATTATTTCTTACGATCGGATATCCTCCAGGCGGTACGACGCATCTGCTTGAGTAGTCGAGGCCATTCGACGATTCCGATGCTGCTTCATGCGCTCTGCGTTCATCTCATTGTCAATGATCTCCTCCCATAGCAGTTCGTGATCCTCTGTCACTGGCTGCATCAAGGACTCCACCAAGTCCTTTGCTGGTTGGACTCGAAGGATGGCGAGCACACCGCGCTTCGCTCGGACCCATAGGGCTTTGAGTTCTGCTTGCTCATCTACGAGTGGTTAACATAAATTGCACTCGTAGTCTAGAGACGACCTCACCTCTAACTACCGCGAAGCGGTTCGTCAATTCCAAGGTAATGGCACGATCTCTAGCATCGTGAAGATCGCTTGAACCAGTATGATCGCTAAGCATGGGAGGGCCTTCCAGCTCGGTCAAGATGGCCCTTAGCGTGTCCTCGCGTTGCGGCGCCTAGAAGCGGTCAATCGTCAGTGATGATTGAGCAAGTATACGCACAAGCCCATCCAAATTCTTTAGCAAGATATTGTGCATTGCATAGACTTCGTTTGGGGAGATGTAAATAGGTTTCGGTTGAACAGTAGCGTCGAGGAACTCGTGGGCATGGTAATGCTCCTCGGCAGTATCCACATCGGCCACTTGACTACACTGAGCAAAGACCTCGAGTATACAGAGACACGCGCACCTTGCAAGAACCACTCGCTCATTTGCTGGATAGCCAGCTCAACATACTCGTTGATAGCCATCATCGATGGATTCTCCTCTCCAAAGGGTACACCACTCGTAATTTGAGTGAGAACAGCGGATACTTCTGATAGATTCTTGCGTGCCTCTGGACTAATCATATCCGGAACAATATCAAAAGACTCCGGCGCCCTGTTTTGGTTCAGAGGGATACCAAGTCACACAAACGGATGCTTACACGAGGGCTGGATTGATGTATCGGTAATAGATGAGACGGCCAATGGCAGAGGCGTAAACAATTTCTTCTCTGTCCGGGAACTTTTCCTATCTAACGTTAGAGAGGATATAAAGATTGAGGAATATGAGTTACTTTGAGCGCTATGAGTGTCTCCCGGGCCAAATACCGAATGCTATAAGGCACCTTCCTCGTAGAGGAGGTGATGGCGGCTACAAAATCCTTTGTGACAGCAAGAAGCTTTTGGAGATCTAAAGCAGTTCGTTAGATGATGAGTGACGAGAGGCAAGAGGCCTCACGATGGATAAACTCCTTGCGCGTTTCAACGTCCTCTAATGCTCGGATATAGTCAACATTCCGAGGTTTATTGCTCGGCATCCTAGTCCTCATTTCTTCGTTATTGATCCTTGTGCGATAAATCTGAATCAGGTGAGCAACCAGACTACTTGCCTACATCTATACGTACCACCACGGGGTCGGTTTCCAGGTCGAGATCATCTTGTTCGACGATGACACGGATAACTCCTTGAAGCGTCTCTCGTAGGTAGGTGACCTGCTTTGGTCGGACGTAGCTGAAGGCGACATTGATGTACATAGGATGTGACATCGCAACCTGGACAATATCGTCGGCTGCCATGACTTCTTCGTGGATCGACTGTTGGAATAGCTTCAAGAGAAGATAATCCTCGCGTCGATCTTGACCGTACCCAAAGAGGGTGAGGACAACACGCTCGGTCATCCTCCTCGTTGTTTCTGCCACCTCCATGCGAGACATTCGGAAGAATAGACGAGCTAGGTACTCTCCTCTGGTTTGAAGGAGATAGAAAAGCTGTTGATAAAGCTCCAACTTCCGCTTCGTCGTCTGATCCAGGGTATTCGGACCCGCGAATGGATCACCGTGTGCCGCAAGAAGCGAGGCTCTGGCAGCATGGGCAGCAGCGCTGTCGGCTCCATGGCGTTTGCGAGCGCGGATGACTTCTTCAAAGCTCTTGACATTTTGCACCACGAGACCAATCTTGACATCGAGCTCACTGACATCAGTCTCCAGTTGCTGATTTTCACGAATGGCCTCGACAACCCGCTTTCGCAGCTCTTCCACCTCTATCTCCTCTTGGAAGTCCGTCTCGGAATCATCGAGAAGATGGACAAAGTTCTTGATAGTGCTGACGTTGACATTCTTCCCAAGAGTGAGCTGCTTGTATTGCTCACGCTGCTGGTTCGCGCGGAACAATGACTGGATCTTGATAACCTTGTGCAGATTGTCTCTATAGTGTTTGACCTTGCTCCGGAACTTCCTCCGCTGAAGAATGCCTCGGCACAGGGACTGAAGATAGATAGCTTCAAGCTGGCTGCGGTGAAGATGATCTCTCCATGCCCAGTATTCATTCCTCACAAGGGCAGCGCGAGCCATCGCCTGGAACCCAACTACATCCGGAGCAACAAAGTCGAGCTTCTTTTGTTGCTCTTGGTGTTGCTTTCGAACCAAAGCAGCGCGTGCTATCGTCTGGAGATTGCCAACGGCAACGATGACCTGCTTGGTCGCGAGGGCTTTGTTGAGTTCTTTGCGTGCATTCATCACCAACTTGGCACGAGCCAGCGCCTGCAAAGAGACGACACCTGGCGTAGCCCTCCGGAGGCCACGAATGAGGTTGAGAAGACGCTTTCGGGCCATGAACGCCCGTGCGGCTGCTTGGATGTGCACGACAATGTCGCGAGCGTCGTCGAGCTTGGCTAGCTGAGTGCGAAGCCTTCGACGAACCAACGCCGCTCGAATGCGCGCTTGGAGCTTGACGACGTGCGGCTCGGCACGGGTCAAGGCGCCAAGTAACTCTGCTTGCTGATTACGCACAAGGTATCCGCGCACCGTAGCTTGAAGTCCAACCACGTTCTTTATGATCACAGGATTGTGGAGAACTTTTGCAAGCTGATTGTGCTGCTTCTTGACGATACGGGCACGGGCAACACTTTGGAGTTTCAAGATCGACCTCGACATTGTCCGAAGTCCAGCCTTGAGTTTCTGTGTACGTCGTCGTACAAGAACGCCACGAGCTTGTGCTTGAACTCGAATGAAGATCTTTGACAGAGCACGTATCCGTCGAACTTGAGCAAAGATGTTCCGCCTAGCGAGTGCGCCACGGGCGCGTGCCTGCAGTGCGGTCACCCATCGAGATGATGCTCGTTGTTGCTGTCGCGTTGCCGCTACCCTTCGTCGGAGAAGCGAGCCTCTGCACTGCGCTTGTAGCTTTATTACGTATCTCTCGGCCATCTTGAGCTTTGCTTTCTGGGTTTGCAGCGCTTGAGAGGCTAAATAGCCGCGACAACGTGTTTGCAGTTTGACGATGGAATCCTCAACCTCGAGAAGCATTCTGTCTCGCCCTAAAGAGTCGTTAGAATGGAGAGCGTATCCTTGAAGTTGAGACATACTCTCGTCTTCCGTCTCTACCTCTTGTTCCATCTCTTCATTGATCTCCTTGGCAAGTTCCCGACCAATGTCTCCAAAGTTTGGCATCGGTACGCCAGCATCTTTGAGGCCGCGTTGGGTCTGTTGCAGTTGATCGTCCGTAAACTGGAGTCTCCCGACGAGATTTCCGATTCGTTGAGCCATCCCGCGACGTGCGAGCAAATGACTGAGTGCATGAATACAGTAGATGACTTTGGGTATATTCTTCTTGTCGTAGAGATCCGTCACGATGAATATGAAGCACTGAATTGTGGTGAGCGATTGATAAGGCAGCAGAACCGGCCTCGTACCTCTGGAAGTCCGACCTTGCGAACAAATACAAGAAAGTGATTAATATTGTCTGTATGTCGCCACCCGAGTTTCAGTCGGGGATCCTACGCGACGTGAGTGTACAAGGATTTCAGTCGAGTTTTGGACTCACATCAAAAATCTTGCGAACGGAAGCACCATCCCAGACCTGAGCCAGTCTAGCAAGGACTACTCCATTTCGCAGTCCTTCGTCCATTTCTACGACTCCAAAAGGAAGTTCTTCGCCCAGGCACCCCTCGATCCACTGCTGTGCTTCTCCGACGTGGCAGAGATACTCATAGGCCTGAATTAGATGACGTTGTATGTCTGCCCATAGGCCATATATCGGGCGGGCTTTAAGAGGTGTTGTTGGAGCGGACGTGGTTTTGGAGAGTCTCAAACGACCTGGTACACCAGCAACATCGTCGGCCGATGTTGGTGAAGAGAGAGCATAGTCCATAGACGGCGATGGTGCATGCCGGACCGAGGCAGGAGACGTCGGGGATTTGTGCGGCTCGAGCTGGGAAGGCAAGACTGGCGAGGTAACGCGAGTAGTCGACTTGACCTCCATACTCCTTCGCTTCTCTTCAAGAAATCTATTTGCAGAAACACGATTGGGTTCCTTTGGCGGTGGAGGTGGCGGAAGGCTTTCTTCCTGAGGCTCTTCTGGGTCGTCATTGCCATCTCCGCTGGCTATCCGCGGCATATGACGGCCTAATCGTCGACCCGTAGTCAAAGAATCGCTGTATTTCTTTGCACTTCGCCTTTGAAGCAAGTAAGAGTTCTTGTACTCTGCTTGGGAGGGTGGCTGAGCCGTCTCGTTTGATGCCCCAGAAGAACCCGTAGATGAGCCCGTGAGAGAGGGAGCAACAGTCTCTGTAGATCTCGAGGAGCTGATAGACGCAGGCGGCGTCTCTGGAGGCAGATTGTCGAGATGTGATAATACGGGCCGAGTGCTGGGGCGTGTTGAGGACGAGATTGGGTCGCGCGTCGGCGTTGTCACGCTTGTAGACGGTGTCTGAGACGATGGTGGGAGATATGTAGAAATGTCTATCGGCGTAGAGAGCGTATGCCGCTTCGAGGGTGTGTCGTTTCTGGGCGGTGGCGACGATATGTTCTCTGGACGATACCGGCTGAGATCTACAGAACGTCTGTGAGCATGAGAAGGTGTTTGCGATGTGGTAGTGCTGCCGTTTGTCGGTGTAGATTCAGCTTGACTGGCGCGGGCCTTTTCCTCCCAGAGGGCCATCCGTGACTGTACCATATCGACGCTCTGGCCTGTCCTGTGCGTTGGAACCCATTTTCTGGCCGCTCCAGAGCCTGGTGGCGGGCTGAGGATGGACGGTGGCCGCTGTGTGATGGACGCTGCCCGCGAGACGGACGGAGAGTTGGATCCAGAGCCCTCCAACAGACGTTGATGATATCCAAATGTCCCAGAAGATCTCGATCCTGTCGATGAGACCGAGTCTGAGCGCTGCATCGTGTGCGTCGTCGTCGCAGCCACAGAGGCAGCAGCCAAGTTGTCGCAGAGGCTGGGGCGCCTTGACAAAGATGGTATAAGATGTTTAAAAGTATAGATTTATGTGATTAGACTGTTCAGATTAAACATGTACGCGGGTGGTTTATTTGGCAGTAGACACTTAATCTCCTCCCAAGTTGTTCAACTCTCAACCAGGAATTCCAGCTACGCTCAGTCGTATCTCAGCTTGTTCATAATACGTCCTAGTCCATCCTAATGGCTGATTCAACCGCTCCTGCCGCTGCTCCCGCCGACGTTGGCGCCGTCCCCACGCCTGCCGACGAGCAGCCCGGTTTCAAGGCAAGTTGCCCAGCGACCTACGCGTAGTCTCCTTCTGACTGCAGTTATCTCCAGGTCTTTGCTGGCAACCTCGCATACGCGACCACCGACGAGGGCCTCAAGACTTTCTTCAGCCCGGTTGCTGATGACATGTAAGCTCGCCAGCGACCACTACTGATTTATTCCATCTCGTGCTCATTACACGTCTAGCATCTCCTGCCAGGTCATCCTCCGTGGCACTCGTCCAGCGGGCTATGGCTTTGTTGCCTTCAACACCGCCGAAGCTGCCCAAAAGGCCGTAGATCTCCTCAACAAAAAGGAGCTCGACGGTCGCACGCTCATCGTCGAGATCGCCAAACCTACAGAGGAAAAGCAAAAGGAAAAAAAGGAGAAGCGTGCTTCCAAGAAACGCACCAGCAAAAAAGCCAATGCAACCACCGATGCAGCAGAGCAGCCAACCACAAACGGCACTGCCGATGCTCCCGCGACAAAGGACGTTGCTGAGAACGGCACGAACACAGACGGCGCTTCCAAGTCCAAGAAGAAACGCAATATTGTGAGTCGCGATCCTTTTTTTGGCCTGGGCCTTTCCCCTCACGCTTTCAATGTTTGTATCATCTCGCTTACTATTCCGATCCTTCTAGCGCAAGCCCAAAAAGGCAAAGTCAGCAGACAAGGAGAAAGACGCTCCTGCTGACAACGGTGCTACTGAGACCGCCCCCGCGGCCGCTGAACCCAAAGCTAAGAAGGTCAAGGCCCCCAAAGCTCCCAGACCGCCTAAACCTACTCGTCCCGTCGGTGAAGCCCCAGAGGGAGAGCCATCCAAGACGATGCTCTTCGTCGCCAACCTCGGTTTCTCAGTCGACGACGCCGCCCTCTCCGAGCTCTTTACCTCTGCCGGAATCACTGTCATCTCTGCTCGTGTCGTCCGTCGCCGATGGGGCCAGCCTCGTCGCTCCAAGGGATACGGCTTTGTCGACGTTGGCTCTGAGGAACAGCAAAAGAAGGCCATCGAGCTCCTCCAAGGCAAGGAGATTGGAGGAAGGGAAATTGTCATCAAGATTGCCGTCAACTCTCAAGAAAGAGAGGCTGCAGAGCAAAAGTATGCTACCGGCGAGGCTGCTACCAACAATGTGCCTTCGCCCGCAGCCGCCACTGCCTAAGCATCTCCCAATCGCCCTCTAGTTGTGTCGACCATCCATCCATCGGCACGGCAACTCCTCGCCTAGCTTTTCGGCCACTCCCATATTCATCCATTCCACGTTGATCGATTGCCATTTTTGGAGCACCATTCGACTATTTTTTTTCTCTCGAAAATACTACCACGAGCCTCTATCATTGTCTGCGTCGTTTTGTCGTCGTCGCCATTCTCTCTACTCACCAACCTTCACCTGTTGAGAGAGAATCGGCGGTCGGCGACCACAGTGCCGTTTACGTGTTTCCGATCCCATCTTCTGCGAGTCTGGATAACCGCCCCCATTCTTTTCGAGTGGCTGGTTTCGCCTGTCATTCTGCCTGTACTTTTCTTCGTGCTGGGTTGAATGCCAGGTCCCTTTTCGCACAAACTGCATTCTGGTTGCTTCTGATCATCAGATAACTCCATTCTGATTGCTTCTGATTATCAGATATTTACCCAGTGCCAACGTATCGTCCATCTGTCTCGCGCACTCTTGATTGGTCCATCGGAACTCTATGGCAAGTCTCGGTCAGCTCTGACATCACTCTGACTCTGTAGATAAAAATAAACAGGGAAACTAGACGTCGCTAACTAGGCCTGTTCGACCATAACCACGATGGAGAAAACTCAGATGAAATATGGTGAGTTTGGCGATGTTTGGATGACTAAAATAACACTCTACAGTTCGTCTGGGCAAGTCTGGATTGAAAATTTCACGTATCATCCTAGGATGCATGAGTTATGTGAGCAAAATCCAGCCTTCCTCTGTCACTGCCTCACGTTTGCTAGGGCAAAAAATCAAGGGCTGACTGGGTGCTCGAGTAAGAGGAGGGGATCAGACAGATCAAGGAGGCCTATCGACTTGGTATCAACGTACGCCCTTTCAGGATCCTATAGGCAGTCACTTATCTCGCTCCAAGACATTCGACACGGCCAATATCCACAGTCTTGGAGAATCGGAGAGGATCTTGGGCAAGTCAGTCAAAGGAATTGGGGCCCCTCGATCGTCATTCGTGATCTTCACCAAGGTCTATGGCAATATCCCTCCAGAGGACGCGCCCAAGGAAGCAAACGACAACCCTGAAGAGTATGGCTATGTCAACTACCGTGGTCTCTCCAGAAAGCACATCTTTGAATCAATCAAGGCGAGCTTGGAGCGACTTCAGATGGACTATGTCGACGTGCTTCAGTGCCATCGGTTTGATCCAGATGCACCCATCGAAGAGACGATGCGTGCGCTTCATGATGTCGTTCAGGCAGGATATGCGCGGTATATCGGAATGAGTTCCTGCTATGCATGGTGATGCAAAGTAAGCTTCCTTGGTCTCTTATGCATGCTTTATCTTTGCCCTGTTCGTCAGATTATGCCATCAATAACAACCTTACGCCCCTTATTTCCATGCAGAACTACCATTCACTTCTTTATCGCCAAGAGGAAGACGAGATGTTGCCCACTTGCCGTGTAAGTCTGCTTCTCGCGTGAAAATAGAGCAGGTATAGCTTATACGGTGTATAGTTGTTCGGCGTGGGTACAATTCCCTGGTCCCCCTCACTCGTGGAATCCTTAGCAGACCGCGCAAGGACCGACACGCGACGTACCGTGCGAAGAACGATAAGTGGACTTATCTCGTTCAGAATGACGAAGGTCCAAATATGGTCATTGTCGATCGGTTGGTTGCCCACTCGCCTGCTAGCGTCTCTCTCATCTCATGCCTACAGCGTCGAAGAGATTGCAAACAAGCGAAGCATCACCATGACCCAGCTCTCTCTCGCTTGGCTGCTTACCAAGGACCCAGTGGCTGCTCCGATTGTCGGCACTACAAACCTCTCGCATTTGGAGGATATGATCAGTAGGTAGGCCGAAATTCATATTTTTGTGTCTCACTCTCTTCTAGAAGCAGTCAACGTCAAACTGGACGACGAAGAGATCAATTATTTGAAAGAGAAATATACACCAAAGGCCAAGGTTGGTTTTGATTGCAAAAGATGTAGGCCATCGGTAAAATCAATGAAAGTTGTCTCTAGCAATATCGCATCAGTTGTCTCTCACCAATGACCTTTATTCCTTGGACTTTCGAGGTTGGCTAAGATATCCATTGGTACAAGCAAGGTGCCCAAGAATGGTCCCAGCTGCGCTGAGTGGCGATTCGATGGCTGGCTTGAATTTGCTTCTCCAGTTTGCCTTAGAGTACATTACCGCTGCGTAGGTCAGTACTCCATCCAATAAGTAGACCATCTGGTCTCTCTCGATCTTTCGCAGACTTGATTGGTCCATCGGACGTGCGAGCAGGGGCACACAAACTCTATGGCAAGTATCAGTCAGCTCTTACATCATCCGGTAGATATAAAGCACGATTCGATTTCACCAAGGCTCGACCTGCCCGACCGAACCCACGATGGCTGAGAAGACACAGATGAAATATGGCAGGTTTCACGGCGGTTTCAACTATCACATTAACTCTCTACAGTCCGTCTGGGCAAGTCTGGATTGAAAGTTTCACGTATCATCCTAGGATGCATGAGTTATGTGAGCAAATCCAGTTTTCCTCTGTCAAATGCCTCACGTTTGCTAGGGCAAAAAATCATGGGCTGACTGGGTGCTCGAGGAAGAGGAGGGGATCAGGCAGATCAAGGAGGCCTATCGACTTGGTATCAACGTACGCCCTTTCAGGATCCTATAGGCAGTCACTTATCTCGCTCCAAGACATTCGACACGGCCAATGTTTACAGCCTAGGAGAATCAGAAAGAATATTGGGTAAAGCCATCAAGGAAATTGGTGCCCCACGATCGTCGTTTGTAGTCCTTACCAAGGTCTACTTCTGCGTCCCCCCAGAGGATGCTCCCTATGATGCGCGCAACGATCCAGAAGACTTTGGCTATGTCAACTACCGTGGCCTCTCCAGAAAGCACATCTTTGAATCAATCAAGGCGAGCTTGGAGCGACTCCAGATGGACTATGTCGACGTGCTTCAGTGCCATCGCTTCGACCCAGATACCCCCATCGAAGAGACGATGCGTGCACTTCATGACGTTGTACAAGCAGGGTACGTGCGGTATATTGGGATGAGCTCCTGCTACGCATGGCAATTCCACATGATGCAAAGTGAGCATCCTTGGAATATCATTCACACTGTATTCTGACCTTATTTTTTCAGATTATGCCATAAACAATAACCTCACTCCTTTCATCTCTATGCAAAACTATCATTCCCTTCTGTATCGTCAAGAGGAGGACGAGATGTTACCCACTTGCCGCGTAAGTCTGTTACTTGCATAGAAAGTAGCTCACAATCTGTATAGCTGTTCGGTGTCGGCACAATCCCTTGGTCTCCTCTCTCCCGTGGAGTTCTCAGTAGGCCGCGTAAAGACCGAAACGCAACTCATCGTGCCAAAAACGATCGATGGTTCTCTACGCTTCAGAAGGAAGAAGATCCAAACATGGTTATTGTCGATCGGTCCGTGTTCAGACGTATCACCTAACTCGTTACTCATCCCATTTACCCAGGGTCGAGGAGATTGCAAACAAGCGAGGCATCACCATGACCCAGGTCTCTCTCGCTTGGCTGCTTACCAGGATCCAGTGGCTGCTCCGATTGTCGGTACCACAAACCTCTCTCATTTGGAGGATATGATCAGTACGTATATCGTGATTTGAACCTCTCTGTGTCTCATTTGCATTTCAGAAGCAGTTAATGTCAAACTGGATGACGAAGAAATCAAGTATTTAGAAGAGAAATATGCACCAAAGGCCAAAGTCGGGTTTTGATTCAGGGGAGATGAGATGTACTTCGTCATGAAAATCAAATAGATCCATTTCTACCAACGACCTATCAGTCGCCTCGCGGCGGCAATCTCGATTTCTTGGACGCTTTGACCCAGTGTTGACGCTGGCTGAGATGTCCATCGTTCGCCAATGCCTGGAGCACCAAGACCACGCAGTATAAGTTGACTGGATACAAAGGGAAGGATATCCCCGGCCGTGTCACTTTGTGATTCAATGGCTTGGGCTTCGTAGTCTGGTTTGACCTGGGGTGCATTGCTGCTGCGTAGATCATCCAGCATAGAGGCAGCGTCGTTGCCTTGATCAGAGTAGAAGATTGCATCGCCATCAACAACTTCTTCTTCCCCACACTCGTTGTCCAGTGGCACTCCGAGGAAGGAATCTCCAGGCTCTTCTGACATCAAGCATGTTTCTCTTGCCTTATCTTCAATAGGGGAGCCAGTGTTGACACTGTTTGCGTAAACCGAATCATCGTAGCCAACTTCCTGGGGATCCGCCTGCACACCGACCAGTATGTTTCCGAGCCACTCTCTCGCCATAAGGGATTCAAGCCTGAAAGTACGATTGTATAGAACATCCTCTTCGTCGTGCTGGCGGAGCATGAGGTCGAGGGAAGTGAAAGATGGTTCTTCATCCAAGTTGGGACTTTCACGAAACGCCTGTCCCTCTTCCATTCGTCCGACTTGTTCCTGAATAGCTTTCATCGTGAGTTCTTCGTCACAACCTCGAGCTTGGCGCATCGTCTCGCCATCCCCCCCAAGGGGAGTTCCGACTTTGAGTCGAGCCGAATCTTGAATTTCTTGGTCAGATACTTCCTTTTGGAGAATACGGGCCGGAATTTGGACGAGGGGACGAACAAAGTAAGGAGACGCCGTAGTCCTTTCAAGCGTTTCGTCCTGATCCCTTTGCCCAATACCTTCGCGCGCAGTGAGTTGAGCATGAGTGAAGCTTGGGCACTCAAAAATGCCAACATTTGCAGTCTTTGATGTCAAGTTCCAATAAGTGGGGAGCTTCATAACGCCAATTGGTGAATGTGACGACTGGACTTCCGGACCCACGGATCCTCTGCTCAAATGAGAGCGCCCTGGCTCAAGTTCTTCGTCCTCATCAGGAAGCTGTGATCCCAATGCCCATGATTTGGATTGGTGACTTCGAGGTCGAGCAAGAGCACCGAGTCGATCGAACGACACATCGCAGGGGTTTGTTTCTTCTGAACATGGTGAAGTACACCTTTCTCTCTTCGTATCCTCAGAACCTTTTTTCATCTTGCGCAGTGCATTAGATGCTGTATGGAGCGTCAACCAGCGCTAGGTCCAAGCAGAATGCACGCACCGTCTTGTTTGCATGTGCGGGCATTCTCCTTGCCTGTCAAATGGATGATATTCCCGGCCTTTGAGTTCTTGAACATACGCCCAACCACGGGTGGAAGCTGTTGATAATGATAAGAAAGAGACAATTGACCCAAAAAGATACCCACGGTGAGGCGGGACGATTTCTTCACGTTCGCTGCTGTAAACGTTTCCATCAAGGTCATTCCAAGGGCGCCTTTTGCTCTTTTCTTCTTTTCCTTCTTCTTATCATTCTTCTCACTCTGTTCAGCGTCCAAATCGTCTCCAGTATTCCTCATCTTCGCATTCGGGTCCATGATGGCTTTTCTCGCTCGCTTCCGCTCACGACGCTCTTCAAGTCCTTGAGAAACAAAGTGAGTTACAATTTAAACAGCAGGTGTCAACGTACGAGCTTCATATTCTTCGTCACCGTCGCCCATACGACGCCGCTTGCGAGACGCGGTAGCTTTGGCTCCTACAACGTCACGAACTCCGTAAAGCGCTTCTTTTTGATCAAGCACATGCGTCTTCTTCGCGGGTCTCGACTCGCTTCCCACATGCGCCTCCTTTGCCGCCTCTGCTTCCCTCGCTTGGCGAATCTCGAGCCGTGATTTGAGCAGTGGACTACTCTTCTTGTTGCCGTGTATACGTTTTGATGTGACATCAGCGGAATTCGGCACGTCTAGCGCGTCGGCAGCGTATAGACGAACATTTTGTCGCTGTTCGGCCACAAACTTGGCGATAGAGGAGGCTATTCGAGGTATCGTACGCAGGTTTACTGCGGTTAATGGCAGGGTTCGAGATTCGACTGGCGGTGGAGAAGACTCCATAGTTCGACTTCACCCGCCACCGAACCAATAACTGTTTGAAGATGATTATACACGACGAAATAGGATACAAGGAACCTAATAGAGCATCTATACGAGAATGTTATGTAGAACGAAACGCGCATAGCTATTTCACATTGATTATCGCAGCTAGTACCCTAAAGGTGTCCATCTTGAAGCTCATCCAAAACGCCGAACATCCGCGGTTCGGCACTAAATACCTCTGGCATATTCTCCCATAATGCCTCGCCTTGCATCTGGCCAGTCGGGGCAAACGTCTGGATAAAGTCCATTCCAGAGAGCGACGGGTAGTCAGACGCGTCAAGTGAGGTCGGTTGAGCGTCCCCCATGTTCCAAGTCGATGTGTAGATGGACGAGCCGCCATAAATCGCATTGGCAGGAATGCCCTGGACGGGGTCGGTAGGCGAAAATGGCACCGCATAATCGGCCTGTGGCCCGTAGATGCGAGGGTCATTCAGATAGGTCGCAACAGGTGGGCTCGTATTCCGCCACGTCGACGTTGTATACGCCTCTTGCGCAAGGCGAGGATTGAACCGTTGGTCTTGCAAGTCGGACCCGCCAAACTCTGGGTTCGTCAGACGACCACCTTGCGCGCCCAACTCGGGTTGCTTTGGGTCGCGTAGGGTGAGTGGACGACCCCCAACTGTCTCCGCGCGGGGCTTGATCGGGGACAAAAAGGTCATGGGTGGGGACGGCGTTCCGGTGGAAGAGCCGTTCAGGGAATAGGCTTGGAGTGGCGTCTTCGTCCCATTTGACACCGTGGCTTGGGAAGTCACCGGCTTTGGAGAACTTTCTTGCGAAGCTGGGTTTGACAGTTGAACGGAGCCACGAGAGCTATGCCGTGAGCTCTTCGGCTTGCCAATTCGCGCAAGATTAGCCTTTGTCACCTGGGTAAGCTCGATTAAAAGTTCCTTGCACTTTGAGGCACCGGGCCAGGTGGTTTCCAGGCTCTCCAAGGCGTGGACACAATTCCCCACTTCCGACATGGCAATTTCGGCAGCATTTTTATCCGTGGCGTGCATAACCACCAGGAGGATAATAATTGCCGAAGAGAAGAGAGACTGAACAAAGACTGCGAGGTGGTGCGAAGGCGGAATAGCCGGGTTCATGGATGTCGCGAGGAAGATGCACGAGCGGCTCGCACAGACCGCCTTGGGCACCGATGAAGAGCCCACATAATGCATCATATTCTTGCGTGTTGGCAAAAAGTTGCGATGCAACGTGATGAGAACGGCATAGTAGGACGAGCATAGCACGGCGCTCATAGAAACCTTGGAGATTTAAGCAAAGGCGATCGATGCCGAGTCGATGGCTCACCATTTGCGGGGTATCCGGGGATTGTCTCAACGTCGGATGGAGTTGGTCTACCCATAGGGTTAGCTGCTGATCTAACTTGTCGACCACCTTGTGAAGCTCGGCTGCTTTGTCACTCGCAATGTTGCCCTTGAGTTTGTCCGTCGAGTACACGTGCCTCAAAACTTTGCCTACGGGACTGTGAGGGTACAAAGTAATCAGGGTCGCGAACATACCGGCAATCTTGTACAGTGCGGTTAGTGCAACAAAGCCCTGCATCAGCGTCGGCTCTTTCTTGTCGCCCAGTTTGCCCTCGAAATAGGCAGGCAGGTCCACATCGTCGTATGGGACGGGCATATCGACATCAATATCATTATCGTCGATACCAAGAGGGCGTCCAAGCTCTACAGAATATGAGAAAATCCGATATTGAGAGCTGGGGTATCCACTTACGAACTGCGAGGCATCGGTCGAGACCGTAGACGCACCACCAGACCTTTCGACGTGTCTCCTTGTCCACTTTGGATAGTTTGAGTGGTTTGGGGGAGCGATGGAGACCGAGATCCTGGGCGGTTCGTACCGCTTGACCCACGAGCAACCACGCCTGTGGGAGCCGGTTGAGACTGGCCAAAAAGGCGGAAAGAAGCGCGAAACATTGAACGTGTGCGAATTGGGTGCTAGTGTGGTCGATGATGTAGAGCATCATGGCCCTTTGGCGAGACGGGTCAGATGATGGGCGGCATCCCCACGTTCAAAAAAAAAGCTTTGGCGCACCTTTCGTAGAAAATCATGGCAGTCCCACGAGGGTCCATGTAATGTGCCGATTTGATGCGACTGTCGTCTAAAAACCTCGCTGCACATGCAAAGACGGCAAAGACGACTGCGATGAAGCCAACCTGCTCGCCCGTGCCATTATTGTCCATGAGGTGCTTGTAGCGCACCAAAAAGGAGGGCTTGTCGAGCACGGGGAGCAGAAAATGGAAGCGCTCAAAATACGCTTGGACCTACAGGAGAGGGAACGTTAGAAGGCCGGCGAGCGGGAGGCGCATCATGTGAGCGCGGGATGGAACCAAACGCTCACCAATTTGTCAGCTAAGTCTCTCTCAGGGTACTCCACTTCTTCAGCAGAGGGAAGAGCCCGTAGCTTGCCGAAACCGAGTCCGGTAGGGAAATAGAGCATATTCGGGCCGTCCGACTGATCAGAGCTTGGAGTCGCCCCAAAATCTTCATCATTTGCTGTCTCGTTACGGAATGTCTCGATGAGTGTCATTGTAGATGAGCCACCGATCCATCTGTAAGTGAATCCTATTGAGAGCTGTCCGTATGGAAAGGTACGGGAGAACATACCGAAGGTGTCCTTCTGCGTCGAGAGCCATCTGACCGAAATGATCTGTCAATGTGCTTTCATCTTCGTGCTTTACGTGGCTAAGCACGTCAAGGTCGTCCTCCTTTGTAGTGGGAGCCTGTGCTGGGCGTGTAGCCGACGTAAAGGGGACGAGGGTGGGTATGTTTTTGGCCATGTGCGGCGGTAAACCTGATCCCTCTTTGGGGAAGACTTCTACGTCTGGCGCGTGCTGCTTGAAGAGCTGTTCCATGTACAAGAGTCTAGCCTCGAGCTCTTGTACGTAGCTGCAGAGGCTGAGTGGCATATCAACAAGACGATAAGACTGACTGTCGACTGAGCGCGGCTCTGTCCTTGGTTTGTGTCCATTTGCACTCGGCGTTTGTTGCGGCGCACTGTGAACACACAGGTCTAAGATGCGAGACTCGGGGTCAGTGGCGGAGAATAAAGGGCGCAGACGACGAATGCAAGGAGCAATATACGCACTCTCTACTGTCGCATTTCACCTTTTTGCGGCGACATTCCTCGCAGGCTGGACGGCGTGGGCGGTGAGCGAATGGCCTCATACGATATTGAGGACTAACCTCTCCAGACGCGTCGACGTTGGAGTGCTATTGGCTTTGAACCATCAAAAGCTGGGGTATCGTCTTCTATTCGTGGCCGCTTGGTCATTTGAGTGCGGAGGTGGTAGAGTCCAAGTCTGCCTTTCTTTTGCCCTCTGCCATTTCCGCAGCCGCTCAGCCCACGCGCAACATTTACATGGCGGACACTGCAACATCAGCCAATGTCGCGTTGGACGACGACGACCGGGTAAGCTCGTGACGCTCAGCCGACGTCGTTTTGCTCGCTGCTCACGAAAAGCGCGTCTCCGTGTCGCGTAGGAAATTGAAGAAATGCGCCGCCAAGTCCAGGAAATGGAGAGAGATCTTGCGAGAGAAAACGAGGCTGCAGAACTCGCTGCACTCGCAAACCATCCATCGCTCGCAGGCCCGCCAAATGATACCGAGACGGCTGCAAAGACCTCGGGAGGCTCAACACCAGGCGCAAATGCAGATGCATCTGGTGCGGATTTTAGTACAGACGACGATGCGGATGCGCGCAGCATCTATGTCGGAAATGTGAGCTTGGTCGAATCCGTCTTGCAAGATTACTGAACACTGCTAGGTCGACTACGGAGCGACTCCAGAGGAGATTCAAGCTCATTTTGCATCATGTGGGACCATCAATCGGGTTACAATTCTGTTGGATAAATTCACTGGCCATCCCAAGGGGTAACGTAGCCAAACCTCAGAGTTAACCCGCTTACATTGCTACTAGCTATGCATATGTTGAATTCGCTCAGCCCGCGCACGTAGAGGCTGCCCTCGTGCTCAACGAATCGCTCTTCAGGGGACGACTCATCAAGGTTGGGAGATCTGCAATTGACAGTTATGATCAACCCTGATCGACTCGCTTATAGGTCACTGCAAAGCGAACCAACCTACCAGCGTTTATGCGGGGAATCCCCAGAGGCAGGGGACGAGGCGGGTATCGAGGTGGTCGTGGCGGTCATGCGCATGGGTATAATCCCTATGGTGGACGTCCCCGAGGCAGGTGAGACAGATTCCATGTTCTCTGTGCGTCCAGCGTTGACACCACAGCAGAGGCCGCGGGCGCGGTTTCTAAACCGCTCAAAAGAGCAGGAATCGAGTACAATTTTCTTGTTCGGTGCACTATCTTATATTGCAACAAGTTCCTCGACATCTATTCGCCGCTCGTGTACGCTATCTTTACCTGCTATTCCAGTGCACCCCTCGCGATTTGGCCCGTCTATCCCTTGGCCCACCAGCGCGGCAATCTTGAGCATTTCGTAAGACTTCGGGACATCCTTGAGCGTGACTTATCGGCACGACTCGTTGATTCCGCGCAACAAGGCGACAATAGGCCGAGTCGCGCGACATGGCAGCTAGGCATCATGTCGGCTGATGGCTGTCGTCGTTGTGAATTATCTACAGGGATTATTATTCCATAGCCCGGCCTGTGTGATTCCGCCGTGAGCATAAGCCGCGCCCTGTGATTGGCCAGCACTAGCCCCCATTAGCAGCTCATCGGCTCATTCTGTGCCAACAAAACTTGGACCCTACCCTCGCAGTCGACCACCAGCTCGCGAGTTCCCCCACATCTAAAATGCTCGATAAACTATCCTCTGTAGCTCGTTTCAAGGCTTCCTGCCCATACCTGGGCAGGACGAAAACTTCGACGCTGCGTACGCTTGCGACCAGCACCTCTGTCAGGTTTGTAGACAGTTTTCTACGTCTCTAGCTCCCATTTTACCGCCTTTTCGTCTCTCCATCGCCAATTCCTGCCGCTGACGACGTCGTCCAGATATCCGGCAATCTCGCGACTGACGGAAAAGGCGACCCATTGCCCAGTCATGGGCCCCGCACTCGTCCTGCGTTCGTCTCAAATCGTGGGCTCAACGACCCGCGCACACGGCTATGCGTCGCTTGCCGGCAAAGCTGCCGTCGAAGAGATTCACCGCAAGGAGGGCGTGTTCCCCGTCGCGTCTGGAGCTGGGGTATGCCCTCACTCTTCACCAGACACTGCAGCCGCAAAATCTGCAGAGACGATCCTCGCCGCCCAAAAGGCTGGGTGCCCCGCCCATGCCCACAAGACGACCGACCAACAAGCAGCACCAAGCAGCAGCAGCAGCGCTCACAAGGCGCACACTGCCCTCTACGAGGCTAAAAATGTATCTCCCTCTTCCTTTGATTACCAGCGCTTCTATTCTGGAGAGCTCGACAAGAAACACAAGGACCGTTCGTATCGATACTTTAACAACATTAACCGTCTCGCCGCACGGTTCCCAGTCGCTCATACGGCCTCACATGCAGAAGAAGTCGACGTATGGTGCTCCAACGACTACCTGGGAATGTCCAAGAACCCTGTCGTTCTCGAGACGATGCACCGCACGCTCAACAAGTATGGTGCTGGAGCTGGTGGAACGAGGAACATTGCAGGCAATGGACAAATGCACCTTGCATTGGAAGAGGAGCTCGCCGGTCTGCACAAAAAACCAGCCGCCCTCGTCTTTAGTTCTTGCTACGTCGCCAATGATGCTACCCTCGCGACGCTGGGGTCCAAGCTGCCTGGCTGCGTCATCTTCTCCGACAGCATGAACCATGCTTCGATGATCCAAGGAATCCGCCACTCTGGCGCTCGCAAGGTCATTTTCAAGCACAACGATACCGTCGACCTCGAACAAAAGCTCGCTCAGTTCCCCAAGGAGACACCCAAGATCATCGCATTCGAGAGTGTATACTCTATGTGCGGGTCTGTCGGTCCAATCGAAAAGATTTGCGACCTTGCCGAAGAGTATGGAGCTATTACCTTCCTCGACGAGGTGCATGCCGTAGGCATGTATGGACCCAACGGCGCTGGTGTTGCAGAGCACCTTGACTTTGACGCGCATCTTGCCGCCGGCAAGAGTGTCCAAGCCGTCAAGGGCTCTGCCATGGACAGGATCGACATTATCACAGGAACCCTCGGCAAGGCCTATGGCGTCGTCGGTGGCTACATCGCTGGCTCTACCGATCTCGTCGACATGATTCGCTCGTATGCTCCCGGTTTCATCTTTACGACTTCGCTCCCTCCCGCCAACGTCGCCGGTGCTCAGGCAAGCATTGCGTACCAAAAGGCATACATGGGCGACCGTCGTCTTCAGCACCTCAACACCCGCGAATTGAAGCGTCAATTTGATGCTCTCGATATTCCCGTCGTACCTGGCCCATCGCACATTGTCCCCGTCCTCGTTGGCGACGCAGGCCTCGCCAAGATGGCATCCGACACGCTCCTGATGGAACACGGCATCTACGTCCAATCGATCAACTACCCAACCGTCGCAGTGGGCGAAGAGCGCCTCCGGATTACACCCACCCCTGGTCACACCGTCGAACAGATGAGCCACCTCGTGCAAGCTACCAACGACGTTTTCAACAGACTCGGCATCAAGCGTCGTGCGGATTGGGTCAAAGAAGGTGGACGTGCGGGTGTTGGTATCACGGCTTCCAAGGAGGCGGAGAAGATGGACCCCGTATGGACCGACAAGCAACTTGGTTTACTCGACGGCACTGCACCAAAGGTTCTCAATTCTTCAAAGGGAGACAAGGCTGTCGTCGATCTCAAGGCGCTCGCCGAGGCTCAGAAGAGGTTTAGCACTACGCTTGATGGCGATGCTTCTGTCAATCCAGTCAAAACCGCCCTTCAAGACAGTCTCTTCCCCAACCATATCCCAACCCTTGTCGGAGCTCAGGCATAAATGAAGTGGACGCCCGTGAATAGTGTCTTCTCCGTGGAATTTACATTGTTTTACATCAATCGTCTCCATTGAGTGAGGGTTTCTCACACCTAAGATTGAGAGTAATCACTGCTATTGCTGATCGGAAATTTCGTTAGGAATAGCACTCTCTGGAGCTTCTGCTTCGGCCTCGGCTCGTCGCTTCCGTTTATATTTTTTCGCTTCGAGCTCATGCCATTCTCCTTCCAAATGTGATAGACTAGAGTATGGGTCAAACACGTAAACCGCCGCCACCTGGAAACGGCACATACTTTGGAGGCTGCGGTAAAGGCTCTTCGCTAGCAAAGTAGGGATGATTGACTGCATCTGCTGCTGTTATCCGTTTATCGGGATCAAACGTGAGCATCTGCTCGGCAATGTCGAGAGCACCCGGCGGAAGCCATCTATGCCTCGTCAGAAAGTACAAAGCAGAGCAAAATCGAATATCGTACCGTGAAAAGGTCTTTTGGAAGACATTTGTCATCACGATGGTGGGCTTGACGAGTTCGTACCATGGCAAGCTCGGGAGAGATGGCCATGATGCAACGGATGGTGTCCCCATGACTTGATAGATAACATCTAGCTGATGAATCTCGTCGTTTCCCTGAAATGTCGGCTTTTTGACGAAGAGTTCAAGAAAGATACACCCCGCACTCCATATATCCACCTCTGGCCCATAGACTGTAGCACCTAATAGGAGCTCAGGAGGCCGGTACCAGAGCGTGATCACACGATTCGTGTAATCTGCCCGTCGTCGCTTGTGGTAAAACCTTGCAAGCCCAAAGTCTGCGAGCTTGAGTTGACCTTCCGAGTTGATGAGAATATTCGAAGCTTTAAGGTCACGGTGAATGATGCCCTTGAGATGCAAGTATGAAAGACCACTAAGCATCTGCATGCTGAGTGCCTTGAGATGGGATGGTTCCAAGATGAATTGAGTTTGTTGCAGAACGCCGACAAGATCGTGGTGAGCGTATTCCAGCACCATATAGACAAGGCCTATTGTAATATGAGCATGATCGGCCACAAGTGATACAAATCCAACCTTTGGAAACCATCATCTCGTGTAGCTTGACAACATTGTCATGCTTGAGGCTTTGGAGGAGCTTGATTTCCCGCATGGCCGTTACTGGGAACCCATCCTTTTCTCCTTCCATCCTGATGCGCTTCAATGCTACATGGACACCACTGAGCTGATTACGGGCTTTATAGACCTTTCCAAAAGTACCCTCGCCAACCTGCGACACAATTTTGTACAGATCCTCTGTCTTCCGCTGTTTTGGCTGAACTGGGGTCTCTGAAGCCAGCGGCGTCGCTTGTGTCGTCTTTAATGGACTGGTTGGCGGCCCCTGCTCTGAAGGCGCCTTTGATGTGGTATCAAGAACAAGTGAAGGAGCCTCCTTGGCGCCTGTGCGGGTCGGAGGAGGCCCCATGGCGTTTTCGCGCCCTGGAGGATTGCTTCTCGTGGGTTGAGTAATAACCGATTCTGCCACCGCTACACTACTGGTTTCCATCTCGCCAGCATTGAGCGGGACCGGTAAAGGTGTAGAGTGAGGATCATCTGGCTCTCCTGGAGGTGTATGAGTGCCGTATGGGTTGGATGAAGGATGTCCCTTTGGTGCACGGGGAGCCGCATCCGGGAAAAATTGGCTCAAAGCAGACTTTTGTTCAGTCTGAGGTTGGGTGTCTGGTGCACTCAAGGTATCCGATCGAGCTTGGGATTTTGCACGAGGTGCAGTAGGCGGAGTAGGGATGACAGCACGGGATGCGGCTAAAGGAACGTCTTTGAGCAGGGGCATCTTGGGTGCAGTCTTGGTGGGCAGTCGCTAAACGAGACTCAGCAAACAGTGTGACTTTGATCATACAGACTCACGTGCTTCGAGACTGCATTCTTTGCTTTGTTACGCAATGTTTGAGGACTAGGCGGCGACCTCGAACGTGACGCGGATGCAGAACGCTTGCGCTTGTATCTGCCCTCTCGGGGACGTTTATCACGAGATTTGCTCCTTCGACTAGATCGGCTCCTCGAACGACTCCGTGGAGTGATGCTGCGGCTACGAGAGCGGCTCTGACTTCGACTCCTGCTTCGACTCCGGCTCGAGCCTTGACTTCGCGACCAAGAACGTGCTCGAATTGGTGAGCCTCTACGACCCCGACTCGTACTACGGCTCCTGCTTCGGCTGCTCGGACTCGAGCTGCGAGCTCTACCATGTTTCTTCGTGTCTCGGTCACTTCGACCTCGGTAGTCTCGTTCCTTGTTCTTGAAACTACGTTCATGGTACTGGGTTGAGGACCGACTGTATTCATGGCGATCATTATGCTCGCGTTTCGGTTTTGAATCTCTGTATTGACGATCGTGGCCGTCCTCTGACTCGCGCGATCGAGATCGTCTAGTGTAGACACCTTTTGAGACTACGGGAGGTGTCTCCCTCTTTCTTCTCTTGGGAGAAAGCGAAGTACGGTGTTCGTGCTTTGAGTCGGGAGAGGGCGATCTGGAGTGACGCCGTTTCTCTGCCTTTCGTGCGTAGCTATGCCTTCAAAAATGGGTTAGCGATGATTAATGCGCGATTCTAGATTGAAAGTGCCCACTTCATGGGAAAATCTTGACTTCGTGCGTCGTTGTAGTCGTTGGAATGGTATTGTTCGCTATTCTGCTGTTTATACTTGTTCCATTGCTTTGGCCGGGCGTATTTATGATTGTCATAATGGTTGTATTGGTTTGGGTACCGTTTTGGGTGCTGCTGGAAACCCTGGCGGTTGTCGTACTGTCGTCCTTGATGACGAGGCCACTGGTTCTGCTCCTGCCAATCCGCAGTCGAATTTTGAGACCACATGTCTTGATGAGAATGGATCTGTTGCTGGAAATGGGCCGTTGGAGCGGTCGGAGGGTGGTCTTCCCATCCTGCATGGTTGGGGCCTGCCTCCCAGTCCATGGAGCGCGCAGGGCGGCTATGATCATAATCAGAAATGACCTCACGCTCCCTTTCTCTCCAGTGAGACGTAGTTTCTACGTGTGGGTCGCGCCACTGCTGAGACGGCGCGGTATTTGTATTGTGAGATTCGTTGTGAGCATGGAAACGCCGTGAAAAGTCTCGCGTATAACCCTGATCATTTCCACGCATTGCGTGATGTCCTCCATGTTGTCTCCAGCCTTGTTGAGGACCTCGTTCGTCATAACCATAGTGTGCAGCGTTTGAAGCTGGCGCGACCCCTCGTTGCTGTACTCACGTGTCAGCGAACAAGGATCGAGTCTAAAACGTCCCACCTGGTGCCATGGATCAGTTTCTGCCTGTCCCTGGTCAATGTCTCGCTGGTAGACGTCTGCCTGGTCCTGTCGGCTTTGCCTATGACCACCGGAAACGGACGTAAAGTCTCCCGAGTAGTTGTCTTGCTGAGAAGAGTAGTTATATTGGCGATTTGGGCGCCATTTCTTGTTGGGATAATAAGGCTGTTGAGCCATTCGCGGTTGTGGCCGGGACCAAGCAAGTATTCGATCACTGGCGCGTCCACCTCTAGTTTTATGTCGATGTAATATTGGCTTTAAGCGTATAGTAGATATAATTGACGCGTCTAGTGTGTAAACAATATTGTTGTTGATCTATTTGCGAGCAAGTATGAAATGTAATCATAAGATTGCTCTAAATTCCTGCATTGTGATCGATACTCGACGTTGAATGCAATTGCTTCCGCTGTTATTTGGTCCTCGCTTCTTGGAGTCTGCTGCATCATGGCCACAATCACGCAAGGGCCACCAACATCCATTGGGCCCGTAAATAATACTAAAAAACTGCGACACAAAGCGAGCAAACCTATCATCACATGGCTCTCAAAGAAACTTGGCGGCTCTCATGCCCAACGCCCGCCCAAACCCGCCTTGAGCGTCGCCAACGTCAACACGGACAGTGCAGACCCTTCCTCGACTGTTAGGGGTCGTTCTTTATCTCTTCAGGTCCCTCCAACCAATGAGCCTGCCGCCAGGACCGTCGTTCTCAACGACGACCAGGATTTGCCTTCACCCTCGGCAGCACGCAGTATGTTCTCCGAACGCAACTCGCTGACTGCAGACTCGATGTGGACAAAGAGATCTCCAGCACTCGAAGCAGACGAAGACGCGTCTATTCGTCCACTACCCCCGACGTCTCCTCCGTCTCCGACTCCATCCCGTTCCTCCTCATCCCAAATTTCAGATCTCCGAACGTTCAGATCAGTTGCAGCCAGTACAAAACCTACTACCCTCATGTCAATCGACTCGGGCAATGGCCTGATTGCCGGAACCATGGCTCACATTGCTCAAGCCCCGAGTCCAAACTCTCCCTCATCATCAAACTCAAATAATCCACGATTCTCTGTGCCTTTGGTACATCCAGCCGTCGCCCGTGCAGCCTCTAGACACCGTTCGAGTATGCAAGCCCCCCTTCACACCACTCATCATCCTCGAAATAACCCAAATCCAACTGCCGTGCCTGCAGATAATGCCTCGACTCTCACGCTCGCTTCTTCCGCTTTTGCTCTATCTGCCAGGGGGAATGATTGGACAGACGGCATCTCCGTGTCACTAGATCAATATCATGGCGATGGAGACGTCAACTCTTCACATATTGGCATAGATGATGATGATGCAGAAGTAGCTGCCAGCGTTCGAGCGCTCCGGCCGAGAAGTTCGCGTAGAGGAAGCTGGGAGAGTGAAGAGAGTCGTTGGAGCGCTCGAGTTGGCTCTGGCCCCAATGGTGTCGGATCTCCATCCATTGGGTCCGGCCTTACAAGACCCCCGAGCATTGGCGGTCAGAGCACTGCGCCCAGTCTTAGCATCAGCAAGCTCAAGCTGGGAGTTGGCAATTCAGACCAAGAGAGTCACAAAACCGTCGGACTGGATCACCCAGCAGAGGTTGACGCAGAGCACGAAGAGCTGAAGCATGACGCCTCGTCGTCGACGATTCCGGACACTCTTTCCTACTCTCCAGCTCCAGAAGGAAGCCTGCGGGACCCAGAAGCAACTTCGACGAACAGAGCGTCTGTTCGCTTCTCGGTCGCCAGTGATGAACCAGCCGCCGCTTCTCCTGCTCGAGTAAGCTGAAGGGAATCAGAGATTCTTATCTCATTATCAACATGATGTGTAACATTTATGCCCCAGTAGTCTGTTCTCGTTTCGTCCATGTCTAATGGTATAGCCTGCTTATAGTGTCTCTCCAAATTTATTCAGAGTTTCCATTTTTGAACCCCGCGCCAACTGTGAATAAGACACAGAAATCTCCCACACTCGAGATACTAAATATAACACTTCCGAATCACTGGGCGAGGACTTTGATACCACTATGGGTCGATTTGGGCGTTAGATACGAGCAGCGGCGCGTCATGGTCACCTCCTTTCCAGCAATAACGAACAAGTATCGACTTCCCTGGTATCTCTCGATAATCTCGTTAGCATTCAAGATGCCGCTGGACGGGGCTCACGGGGGATACTGCCGAAATCGCGACCAAAATCGTTCCCTCTACTGTTGGCGATTGGAAATTGATGCCATAAGCCTCTACAGCGCCAGAAATCTGGCCAGACAGTAGAGAGCCGCAAAGCATGGCCACTGCCCGTATGCGATACCCGTACCTCTGCCGCGGTGATATCCCAACTCAGCTTGGAAAGTGCGTTTCGGATCATTCCAGAGACTGAACTTGGCAATACAGGGTCGGATGGCGGAGCAAATTTAGCCAGATACATTTGCGGCAGATTCGAATCTGCCCGTTTTCACCTCAAGCATGCCCTATCGATTCACGTCATCGTACTCATGTGGTAGGATACAGGGGACGGCAAAATACTGAGGCGTCATCGTCCTCGCGCGCTCAGGTCGAACCGCGGTAGCCTCTGTACGCATCGATCGGCAAATACCGAACTTGGAGGCCCAAAGATTTGCTGCGGCTCGATGTTTGACGCATGTTCTCGATCTGGAACGTTGAACCGGCCGCGCACCGCTTGGTGGTTCAGGAAGAGGAATGCCCGTTTGGGCATCCCGTTGAGATTCTATCTCGCTATTAACCACACTAGATTCAGCGACGCCGTCGCGTGTACCGGCTGGACGCTCACTGCAAACAACACGAGTAAGACGAGCTGTGGTTGGTGATATATCGGTGCGTCGATAGATATACGTGTACCCTACTATTAACATTTGAAGACGCCTCGAGGTTTCAAGGGTGTTTGGACCTTGCTAGTCAGAAAAGATGGTGCTGGTTGAAACCAAGTGATGTCCGGCATATTTGGAGCTGCTACAGAGAGGCACGAAAGGACGATAAGACGACTAAGGCTAGCTCAATCCCTAAAACAGACCATGGAGGCAGGCGACGCTCGGATTGGATGCCACAACCCTCGCAATACAATACAATCCCTCTTATCGCCATCTTGCCAGATCGAGGGTCACCAGGCTCACACTTTGTTCACCATCACGACTCGGAACGGCATTTGAAACGACGCAGGGCCCCAGCTTACGAACCAACGTCCAAGTTGTGATTGAAAAGCACCGAGCTACGTATTCAACCACCGCTTTTGGGCGGGCCAGAGTCGGGGTGGTTCCTTCCAAAGGAGGCAGTCGAAACAAGTGAGAGCGGTCACAACACTGTCACCGCTGGCTGCGTCGTCTGACCGGGCACCAATAGAGACTACATGGGTGAACCATGACGCGGTCCCTACGATCGAGTGAGTCTCCGAGACCACTAGAAGGTGTGTCCTAACGTGGCGCATGCCACGAGCTCTAGCCAAAACGTCTATTCGCCCAGAATGGTTCTCGTGCACTCTTCTGCTCGTTTTGTTATGATTTCGCGTCGGGCGAGGTCACCTTGCTTGTCGAGAGTCCGAGCGGGTGGTAGCACCGTCCAGAGGGCACGTAGACTGGCCCTCATTGTTCCAATAGGTCCAATATACCTTCTACTTGCTCTAGAATCTTCATGGAAAGTCTTGGTCGACGGGCATGGCTGCCAATACGGCCCTAGTCGATCTAGAGCAGAGTGAAAATGACTGAAAATCCCGGTTGCTGCCAGACCGCGAGCCGGCTGCTTTCGCCATGCGCAAAGCTGATTTGGCCAACGTGTGGCGCAGCAGATGAAACGGGCAGAACGGCGAATCATTTTATTTGAAAAACGGAACAACTGCATACATAGCTACATGTGATACGCTAGAGAGGCGAGAGACAGGGTACACGAGGAAGAGGAGAACTGGCCGCGAGTTTCCGTGAAGCGTGAGGCGAGGACTGCGAGTTTGACACGGATTGAGTATTGCTGTTTACCAGCCCCACTGAACGAGCACCCGATAGGCCATAGCCGTCATACAGATCATGTCCATCAGCGGAGGATGTAACTGGTTTTCGCCGCGAAGCACGATCAGGGTCGATGAACACGAGGCTGAGAAGCTGAAACAACTCACCAGGGTGCCAGTGCTCTGTGCGGAGCAAAAATGTAGCTCGCCGTACACATCTCCAACCGGGTAGCGTGTCGGGCGTATCGGGCGGAAGAAGGCGACTTTATTTTGGTTCGAGTCGAAGAGCTGTGGCAGATAGAGTCAGACGGAACGAAACTGCAGGAGCGCGGAAGTAACGCACGGTACATTCTCCAGTTGGCGAAGACGCCCAGTAATAGAGGCGCCCGTCAGGACCGTTGAACGATCTGTGGATACGTCTGATTAGGCTCTGCGATAACCGACCGATCAAACGGAATGCGACGTACCGTGTCGAAGAGTGGATGTCACCGTTTACTGGGCGCAAGAGTTCGGAAACAGCCATTGTCGTCTGCAGCAGGTATAAATCACATCAGTCGCAGTAGATTGGGCGCCTTGGGGCACCGGCTCTTACCCTCCCAATCGTCGCCCGTCCGAGCGACCCACTCGGCGTCCACTCAAATCTGGCAAGCCGGTCTTCACGAGACTGTCTGACGGCACGCCAGAGTGTAGTTGTAGTGACGTTGCGATTGTCGACTTCCTGTAGGGTGGCAAGTCGGGGTCAGTTGCTTGAAGACGCGCGGATGGCGAGGCAGGCAGGATGCGACGTACGGTGATGAAACGATAATTGACGGCAAAGTTTTGATTGAAGAGAACAGAGTCGCGAGGGTCGGAGGATGTCCAGGAAAGTACTTCGTCCATAGTCGTGTAGGTAAATGCGCGCAAACTCGAAAGTGGTGAGGTGGGAAGAGAGGAGAGAGTTGGAGGGGAAGAAGAGCTCAGAGAGACGCTATTTATGCTGTTTGGGGGCCGCTTGAGTACTGATCCGAGGAACTGGATGCGGTCTTGTCAGCTGGACAGCGGGTCGGATGGCTAGAAAAAGGATAAATGCAGCGTTAGATGATTATCCAATCAAAAGAGATGATAAAGAGGCAGAAATCCAGAGCCACAGGCACCGGATGTATGAAGTAGCCAGAAGAATATTATGCTGTGACAAAAGACCGAGCATCGTGGCTCACCTGAAGTCAGATAACGATCAGGAAGAGGGACACGGTTAGATTGGGGCTCCAGGAATGTCGTAAGATGCACCGCGTTCCGGATATTTGGCCGAGTGCGGAGAGTGCGAGCGGCGCTGGATAGCAAGGTGACGCGGTAGAGGACAGTGAGAGGACGAGTTGTGGTTTGAGGAAAGACTCCTTGTCAAACCCGAGCTGCTTATATGTGTCCGCCGTCGAAGTCTCTACAGCCTCTCCCCTTGGGAACATTCGAGCACAAGGGCACTGGTCCAGACATTGGCAAATTCTTCCGATGGTACGCGTTGTCACGTCAAAGAAGACATGGGTGTATGAATGGGCTACATAGGTCACGTAAATGCGGAGACCTATTGGCTTGCTCGGTGTGATGTGCAGTGATGAAAAACGTCGTCCGAAATAGGAATCTGCGACACAAAGAAAGCAATTGAGACTGTCAGAGATGTTTGCTTCTCGTGCGGCTACGGCACAACAAGCTCAGGGGTTCCATCCGAAAGCGGAGTTTCCCAAACGGCAACCTTGTCGGCCTTTGTCCTGTCGAACAAGGGCTTCCTCACCGGACCAGGAACGTCGGGAGCGTCGGTAGGACGTATTCCCGCCATTTCGTCGGTGTGAAATATCGAGTTGTGCTGGCGCTGTCGACGGCGACGGCGAAGACGACTGCGACGGAAGCTGTTGTTCTTTCGCTCGGAAGTATAAACAACTCCAAGAGCCCGAGCTTCTATTCTGTTCGCGCGAGACTGACGCTCAAACGCGAGTAGATTTCGACCATGTTCGACCACGCAGACGCAGCCCTGGGCCATCCATTTGTGTGATCAGAGTGCAAATTGTCGACGAGACGCGAAATGGCATGATCGCAATGCCTACATAAACCTCGATCCGTGGCGATTGGGACGGTACCAGTCCTTGAAGCCAGTCCTACCCGTTTTGGCGAGGTCCAACTGGGCAGGTCCAGCGCTCAACTGTGGATCCAACCCAGCCGTACAAACCGAGGCCCACCCTCGAGTAACATCAGGCTTTAACTTGTTTAATTGACAAGTCACATTTCGTCAGAGTGCTAGGCCAAGTTAGCAAAACGCTCTATTAGCGGTGGATGATGGACTCGGGGAATCCCGTATACATAGATGAGACTATGAATCGTTAATATTGTCATCTAAGAGCCAGTAACAGCATACCAGAAACAGCTATAGCACAACCTTGAGACCAAGAGTTTTCGCCGTCGCGACTATACACCGCGCCATGCTCTCCAAGCTCATATTCATGCCTTTAACGTCCTCGTGTTTGATTTTGGCAATCTCGTAGATGTGTTTGACGCTAATAGTTCCGTTGGTCTCCTGTCCGGGCTTGCCAGTCCCCTTTTCGATGCCTGCCGCCTTCTTCAGGAAGTACGTGGTCGAAGGAGACTTTGTGGTAAAAGTAAACGAGCGATCCGGAGCGACGATAATCTTTGTCGGGATCGCCAGCCCAGGCTCTATGTGCGCTGTCCGTGCATTGAACTCTTTGCAAAAGTCCATCGACTTGACTCCTTTTGCTCCCAATGCAGGTCCTACGGGTGGAGAAGGCGAAGCTTTACCCGCGGGGACAAGAAGCCTCTGTTTGAAAAACATCAAGGATCGCCCATTTCGAGGTTGAACGGGGTACGAACCACCATTGCAGCCTTTCCCAACTGCTTTCCAGCCATATTTCCGGTAGTTATACCCGCTTATCTCGCTCGCACAATGCTCAGCCGTTGCTCTTCTAGGCTTGCTCCTGACAACAACTTTGAGTTTTCGTGATGAAGGCCCAAGTCGCACTCTTGTTGACTGCTTTGCACTTTTCGTATGCTGTTCCAACCGGACAGACGATTCTTTCTCCCGTTCACGACTCGATAAACCGGGGACGGTTGGTGTTCGAGAACAAGTTGGCGTCTCTACCGCACTCCTGGCCCGGCATCGAATTGGACCTCAACCAGCGTCGTCTGGTTCAATTTGAAGACTCTGAGCCTGTCTGGATTACCGAGTTGGAAAAGGTGAGGAATGCGCAGTCGACATACGCGGCGTGCTCGTCAGCCCAGCACACGGTCCATGTGACTGACCCATGGGTAGATCTATGCCAAAGCCTCTGGTGCAAAGTTCTTTGATATGTTGGTCTCTATACTCCTATAGACAAGTTCCGGACTCATTGGGCGGACAGTACGGATACTCAGCCGAGCACCGCGTTCCATACCGTCGATTCCAAACCGTACCCAAAGCCCAACTGCTCAGATACTGTGCAAGAGGTCATTTCGTACTTGTCGACGAAAGGTCCCAAGAGCAACCTCGCAACATTTACGAGCTTCCGCACCCGATGTACGCGCTCTCCTATGCCGATGGCTTGACTAATTCCCGACCAGATTATCGAAGCGACGTATGTTTAACCTAGTGATACTCACATAGCGCTCACCTTGTGCCAAGACTGGAAAGCAGTCCCAAGAGTGGCTCCTTGGCCGGATTTACGAGGTAAAAAGGCGTCGCTTTTAGGAGTAGTCCTCATGCTTTATAGATTACGTCAGCTGCCTCGACTCGGGACGACATCGACATTGCGGAATTTGCGCACAGCTGGGGACAAAACTCAATTGTTGGTCGCGTTGACTCTTGATGGTGTATCTCACCGCGTATAGATCGCAAAGATTCCAGGGACAAATCCCAGCGGTAGCATCATCATCTCGTACGCCGTTCTATTCTCTCCTGACCATTCTAACCATCATCAACAGCGCACATCAAGACAGGTACGCTTACAGCCAACTCTGTCACATCTCTAACATCTTGTTAGTATAAATACGTGGCCATTCTTCCCGGCTCCTGGTGCGGATGACGATGTTCGTTTGCTTGTCACTCGCTCGTCGCATGCTGATGGAGTTCATCAGGGTTCTGGAACTGTGACCATTCTTGAGGCATACCGAGTTCTTCTGGAGGCTGGATTCAAGCCAAAGAATGACATCGAATTCCACTGGTGCGTTGGCAAGCCTCGATAGATCTAATGCTGAAGACGTGACAGGTATTCTGCAGAGGTAAGCAGACGAATCAGATGTAGGGCGACCTAACTTGGCTGTCTCTTTATAGGAGGGTGGTAAGTGTCTGGCTCTGTACCAGGCGTGACTCATCTGTGCTAGGTCTTCTCGGCTCTCAAGCAGTAGCAACAGACTACAGGCAGAACAAGGCAAAGGTCTTGGCTCAGATTCAGGTGAACTCCTTTGTGATCTGTCAGGACTCGTCGCTCAACGTTGCGCTATAGTTTGACATGACTGCGTTTGTCAAAAAGGGAACACGAGAGGAAGTCGGTGTGATTACAGACTATGTTGACCCAAAGTGCGTCTGCTGTGGGCTCTCATCGTTGATCTAACAGTCTGCATTCACCAGCGTTGTCAAGTTTGTCCAACAACTTATCAAGGCCTACCTGAGTATCCCATATGTCGAGACCAAGTGCGGGTATGTAACAGCTTCATAGTTGCGTGCTGTCTTGCTGAATAATTACAGATATGCGTGCTCTGACCAGTAAGGCTGCAATGGCCCAGATGGATCAAATCTGATCCTTCGTTAGCGCTTCATGGTCCAAGAATGGCTACCCATCTTCCTTTGCAATCGGTAACCTTCTGAAACCCAGAGATTGCGCAGGGACACTGATCAACGACTAACAGAGAGCTCGTTTGAGAATTCAAACCATGACATCCACTCGACACGCGAGTAAGTGTTACTCTTTCCAAAATTGTCGCTCGCTAGTCGGTCTATCCCGTTTACACGGTGTACCGACGAGCACAATGTCTCGTCTTTCTCCCTCCATTCTCGTCATCGCCCACTCACTCACTCGCTCACAGTACGATGGATCTGCCCGAGTTTTCGTTTGAGCACATGCTCGAGTTTTCCAAGCTCGCAGTGGCCTTTGCGATCGAACTTGCCGACTACAAGCCATAATCCGGCCCCTTACCTGTCCGTTTGTTATTCTACGAGCACGAGCGTGCTTGAAAGGAGAGGGCATGTGCTGCCGACTGCCGGGGCCCAGTTCTTGCATGTATGCCGATTCGTGTTAATGACATGTTTTCTATACGTCAACTTGAATCCGGTTGCCATCATCAGGCATCAAATGGGTTCGCGTGCGTGTCACTCTTGGCCCGTCAATCTTCCGCCGTCCCCGCGCACAGCATATCTCAATTTCTCTCTCACATCATTACGAAATGCGGACTCTTAAAGTTTATAATCGAGGGCCACTGATACGGCTCGCGCTTCAAAGGACAAGCGGAAGCAAGAACATGCAAGAAAGAAGGGGGGTTTAGATTGCAACACATATAATAGAACATCCAAGGAGCATTGCAAAGTCTTCCTTGCTAGAGTAAAAGATAGGCAGTCAGGGCGCGAAGACCAGGAGGCGTGATTAGGTATCGGGAGGCTAGTGGGGGAGGAGAATGAGAGAGGGATGCGTCCATCTTGCGGGAAGAGGTACACCAATGGATGATATATCTCATACAAGGTTGCTCGACACTTAGGACCAGAGGTACATCGAGCCGAGCGAGTTGGCGTTACCGCTTCCGGGGTCGATAAGGCGGACACCTTCGTTTGCTCCTCCCAAGTCATTGACGAAACCGAACGGAGCATAGATGTCAATTGCCCAGTGACTATTGAGGAAGGCGATAGCCTGAGCAGCAAACGATCCTTGGTCGATGCTGCACGGGACGTATGGGAAGAGCTATCATGCCGCATCAATAAGCGAGACGAGAAGAAGCAAAACGACGAGGCACATACCGTGCAGCCAAACTCGGTGAGCCAGATGTGACGACCGCCAAAGCGACCGGACATGTCGTTGATATAGTTCCTGAGCGAGTCGAAATCGGTTCCATACCAGTGAAGAGAGATCGCGTCTGGCTTCTCCCAATCCCCGAGCGAGTTGTAAAAGTCGACAATCCAGCGGGTGCCCTCGGGGGAAGACGTGACGGAGGGGGAGAGGAGTTTGATACCCCTGTTACGAAGGGGGAGAGCGTGCTGGCGCCAGAGAGCGACGGCCGTTCCGACGTCGACGTTGGCTTGTCCTGGTTCGTTGGCCCTAAACGATTTATAAGCATCCAATAGGCAGTAGAATGAGATGTCACGACTTACTCGTTCAAAAAGGCGATCCAGGGGTAGTTTCTGTCGGGCCTGTTGACAACGTTTGCGTAAAAGCCGTCGAGGTTGCCCAAACGGGAGACCATGGGCACATAGATCAAGCCGGGGATATCATAGGGTCCACGGTTGGATGCATCCCAGTTGTACGTGATGCACGTACGGGGGGAGACCAAGCGGGAAGCATCGACATTCCACTCGGCGGCGAGACCGAGCTTTTTATCACCGCAGACGGCACCTCCAATGGGTGGTGGCGTATAGGTATTTCCACCACCATTGTTATTGTTCCACCGTTGTTGTTATTGTTGTTATTGTTGTTGTTCCCGTCGTTGCTATTGCCGGTCGGGGCAGGAGGGCCGAGGACGAGGACGAAGAAGCTCCAGGAGCGTTTTGAGCAAGGCAACGCTTACGATGACGATGAGAGACGCGCTTGCGCAACTGGCCGTGATGGTTTGCGGACATTCCCACGTGCGGGTGTCGGGCGGAAAGGCCGTTGGCGACGAGGGGCGTCGCGTCTGCCTGCGCCGTGAGGACTGAAACGGCGAGGAGAGCGGCCGAAAGCAGAGAGTTGAAGAGCGTCATTGGGCCGTGTGAGGACAACTAGCGATAAGGCGACGAGGTTGTTGTTGTACTGTAGGGTCTGTTTTTGAGGCGACGGGAGCAGACGATTACCGACGGAAAGTCGAGTACAGAGTGCTCAGAGTGTCTTTAAACGAGTGTAGACGCTGTTAGCAGGCGGTAGAGCGAGGAAAACGAGCGCAGAGGCGAGTCGCCGGTCGTGGAAGAGAACAAGATGCGTGCTTGGCACCCATTCCCGAGATCAATCTCCGCCCGACAGGACGGCGCTTGGGCCAAGAGAAGTGCCTTTAAAAGTGAATAAAAGTCACTGAGAATACTCTTGGAGTGTTACAAGGCGCCAGGAGCCTGTCTGGCTGGTAAAACGGCCCAATATCCCCTGCAGACTGCAGTATACAGTCCAAGCTCGAGTAAAAAGTTGGTACACATCAACTTTACAACACTTTGTTCTCACTCATCACCAAGGTGGCCACCGGAGATGACATCGGCGTCGGAGCGATCTGCGCAATTAACAGTTAATCTAGTCACTAATAGCTTTTCAGTTTACACCTGAGCTCAGACCTTGGCATTGGGTCTCCTTCTGAGCCCTGACTTTCGATCCAAATTTGGCCCGCTTTCCGCGGCATCCTGATCGATCGAGTGACCATAATTAATTTCTCACAACACACACGCACACAAAAAGTAATGTGAAAGGACCTCGGTCCATCAAGTCTATTGAGCACCAAAAAAGAGAGAGAGAGAGTAAGTGTTTAAAGAGCGTGGCAGGTGCTATTCGACCCAAGGAACCGCGCAATACATGCGCAGAAAGGACATCAAAACGTAGATAAAATCAGAAATGATTAGAGGGAATAATGACTAGGTCGTCATATACCAACCGCAGCCGTTTTTGCGGCGATGAGGCGGAGGGAAGGGGGAGGAGAGAGAGAGGGGCGTGAGGAGGAAGAATGCTTGTTCAAAAACAAAGTGACTTTGATCATCTATCCAAAGGCTGACGAGCGATACGACCGCCAGCGATCACTCGAGCACTCGCGCCGTTGGAGACTGGAGACGGGAAACCCCCCGTCTCATAATCATCACGTCGCACGGTGCATGATCGCTCAGTAGCTGAGCCACATCCTGGCAAGGTCATTGGGCCATCCACCGTCGTAGATGAGACGGCTGGCATAGTTGACGCCGCTCAGTGTGTTCACAAAGCCAAATGGACAGGCAACGACGACATAGTCGAGGCTGTTGATGATGGCCTTTGCAGCCGCAGCAAACGCGAAGACGTCCATCGGGCAGCTGTTAGTGCCAAAGTCCTGTAATCGTCGTCAGTGTGGGAAAAAAGTTATGACACGATGAAGACGCACGTTGCACGCAAACTCGGTGAGCCAGATAGGCTTGCCGAAGCGGTTGTGCACCTTTTCGAGCCAGTTGCGGAGGTCATCTGGGCTCGTACCGTACCAGTGGGTGGCAATCGCATCAGGCTGCTCATGGCCGCCCAGGGTGTTCATCCAGTTTTGCATCCAGTCGAGTCCGCCATCGGTGTTGGTGGTCGAGGGCGAAACGAGACCAGTTCCCCTATACCTCAGAGGCATAAAGTTTTCTCTCCAGAGCTGTGCAGCCCATCCAATGTCCATGTAATCGCCGTCACCAGCAGCTTGGCCACGCTGGTTGACCCTGGAAGACGGTTAAGGATGTGGTAAGGGGGAGTTCGAGGATGAGACATACTCGTTGAAGCCAAGGGCCCACGGATAGTGGGTTCCGCTGTTCAAGACATTGTTTTGGAACTCGTTGACATTGTTCCAGTCTCCGCGAGCCAACATGGGCCAGTACTGAAGGTTGCCGAGCTGGTTCGGGTCCGGAGGATAGGCAGCCCAGTTGTAGACACCGCACGCGTTTCCACGGAAGGCGGCGAGGTTGTCAGCCAACATCCACTAAAAATTTTGTGTCAGTGATGACAATAAAAAAACACTGGAGGTTTTTTTGTTCTTACCTCCATGGCGATACCAATCTTGGTGTTGGTGTTACCGCACACCCAGCTGCTCACTTGGCCTCCACCGCCGTTGTTTCCGCCCGTGTTGCCAGTGTTGCCGGTGCTTCCACCATTGTTATTTCCGGTGTCGGTGGGCGTGGGGTTGGAGGCAGACGAAGTGGTGCCAGGGTTATTCTGGGCCAGGCAACGTTTGCGTTGCTTGTGCAGGTTTCGCTTGCGCTTGATGATACCTCCGTGGTTTGGTGAGATACCTGGGGCAGCGTGACGGGCAGAAAGTCCGTGTGCAGGAGCGGCCAAAGCTGCGACGGGGGTGACTGCCTGGGAGAGAATCGTAAACGCGACGGCGGACGAGGCGACGACGGCCTTGAGGAGCGTCATGGATGAAATTTTTCTGGGAATATGTACGATAAAAGCGAGCGTAGGTGGGCCGTCGGGCACTTGTAGAATCGAGGACGGAGGAAGAGGAAGGAGACAAGCTTGGAGGGCCGTGGCGGTGCTATTGCGAGGGCCCTTGAAGGGGGTTTTGGGTTGCTGCTGCCGAACCTTGGCGCCGACTAGCTCGTGTTTTGGGAAAGAAATGTTTGGAAAATTGATTCATCTGACGGTCGATGCACTTCTCATATCTGCTCTGCTAGCTGGTACGCTCCTCTTTTTCCTCGTTTTTTTACGACTTTGTTTATGTGCCGATAAAGGGATCAAGCGCAACACCGGAATAACGTAAGCCTGTTTTAGATATCAACGCTCGGGCTTCTTACATTTGTCTCCCCCCTTTGAGCCCGTCGCTTGACGTCGTGCCCAACAAAGACCTCCGAGGTGAAACAGATGCCACCGCCAAAAGTATCCGCTGACCCCCCCGTCTGGTAGCACTCCTCTCGTCCTATCTCGAGGCTGGTGAATATGCTTTCGATTTCACCGTAGTCTTTCTATCACGCTCTCGCTATTTTCGACGTCAGCGATAAATGACATGAGTTCCCGGTCTCCGGCCATGGCAACCATTGAGCTCCAATATCCAGATTTATCTCTTCCATCTGCACGCCGCAGCACCTCGACTAGCTTCTATGGTCCTTTCCCACCCTAACATGAACGCTCGCATATTCTGCAATAGAATCAACTCCATTTATTCTACCCATCGCCAGTGCCACTCGCTGTCCTTTTGGTCCTCTCTGCATGCCCGAGCTTGGTCCGCGTCTGCTCGCCATACACTGACCACTTCTTCCGAGCACAGTGCAATCTAAACAACCCAAAAGTAAGATCATGTTAGACAAGTCCAGTAGAAAACCCCCAACGTACCGTGTCTGGCATTGCCCAGCTAACGGCAGTCACCTCGGATTCAGGACGGCTACTTTCGGTTCGCACGATGACAGGTCTTCGATCAACCACGACATCGCTTTTACCCGAAATATCGAACAACGCCGCATATCCACTCCCTCCCCCGGTCGCCAGCCACCGTCCGCAGGCGCTGGTCGAGAGTTTGCAGAAAAATGAGATTCCACTCCCTTTGCTGGTAGGATCAGAGCTAAATGCACCAGGATGCGCTTCCAATGTCGACGTCAGGTACGGATAGACCATTGCGTCCGTACACAAGCCATAGATCAAACTATTGTCCGACCCTCCACAGACAATGCTCGTAATACCCCGACTTCGTTTCGAGCCGGTAAACGTCATCGTCGGGTCCGAACAAGTCTCCTCGACTGACTGTTTAGCAGAACGGAGAGAGCGGAGGTCCCATTTGAGCAACACCCTGGACGAAACCTAATGAGCAATTTCATCTCGAGAACGGGTTTCTCCTACTCACCCGTCCGAGGATCCAGAAGAGACCAGATGGCGAGGTGTATTCGGAAGATGGAGGATGGAAGTCACGCTCTTTGAGGTCGAGTACTATTTCAAACCCGGTCAGCCACATCCGCCCCACGACAAATGAAACGCGGACGAACTGGCACGTTGCGTTTCCGACGCCCTTGGGGGTTGTGCGCTTGCTTTATCACCAGGACCGGGGCGACTTTCGCTAAACCACAGGTACGCGATCAATCCTTTTTGCGCTAACGGTTACGAGGTAGGCACACATACAGTCATATGCGCCCGCATGCAACCTCGTATCCCAGACGTGAATATTCCCGTCCCGTCCCGCAGTCGTGAGCAGGGCTGCAGAGCCCGTGTCAATTGCTGGAGAGCGCGGGGGATTCAGACTGCGCACCATGATCGTTGGGGTCCCAAGCAATTGTTTTGATGGCAGCCGTGTGCCCATGAAACTGTAACAGTGCCGTTTGCGTTTCCACGTCGAAAATGCCCAGCGTTGCGTCGCATGCAGCCGCCTAAAAAGTCTCTCGTGTTAGACAGTATTGCAAATATAAAGGCATTACTCACGATATGCTTGTCGTCATTTCGCCACTGGACATCAAAGATGGCGCCAGCGGGTGCGGCTTGGATGTGCACTGGAGTGGCTAGAAATGTGTCAGCAAGGCCCAAAGTTATCATTGAGCACCTACGTGCTGTTCCCCCTTTGCGCCTTGCCGTGTCGACAAGCTCTACCGCCCCGTCGTCTGTCGTAACGGCGAGGATAGAACCTTTGCCGTGCTTTGCCGCTATCAGATTGTTAGATAGTACCAGATTGAGAACCCTTGTCGTACAATTACTATATGAGCATGAGACTACAGGGCTGATGTGACCTCGTTCGTTGCGGAATACATGACGGTCGGACGTCGTGGACGATACAAAAGATTCAAGAACCTGACGCGACGAGACTAGAGATTGAATCAAAAATGAGCAAACGATTCAGATTGACGCGTCGCCGAGCGCATACCTGGAGCAGCCTCTGGGCGCGATAAACAAAGGCTGGCCTGTCGGATTCGATGGAGCGTTCCACCGCGCGTTCTGGGTTTGACGGGCGCGTGTACTTTTTCTAGCTGAACCGTTTGGGATTTTAAACGTGGTGAGGAAGGCTGCGGGAGATTTGACGCGTCGAGGAGCGCGTCGTGTTCCTCTGTCTGGCGACGCGTGCGCTTTCTATCAGTAACAGGAGCACGACGCGGGGCATTTGTGAGATCGGAAAAGATTTGACGTGTTGTAGAGTTTGTAGACGCCATGACTGCTGGGTCCAAGCGGAGTTGACACGGTGCTCCACCCTCACCACCAAAATTCAGATCAACAGGCACTCATAAAAGTAGTTCCAATAAATGGAAATACAACACTAGATTCCGACTTTCTGGCCTGATAGGCCTAATAATCATCCAGATGTGCCTCCTTGCCCAAACTACAACTTGAATAACGAATCCTTTGCATACTCTTGATATGCCTCTCTATTGAGCGAGTTGAGTGCAACCTTGATGTCTGTTTGGATATCCTGGATCAGCGCCTCTGGAAACATGTGAGTCCACTGTCAGTATGATTAAGAAAGATCGACCTTTTGTCGTGTAATCCAACTCGGGTCGGATATACCCAAGCACTACAACGGACATCTTGTGTCCGTAGAAATCCTCGGCAAACTTGTGAATCAAGTGGACCTCCTAACAACGTGATAAGCATGATAACCTCTCTTCAGTTTCGTCAACGTACCGCAGTAAGCTTCTCATTCTTGTAGAATGGATTCCACCCGATGCTCATCACCATCGGCCAGACTTGATAGTCTTCGCTAGGGAGATGTGCAGCAGTGCCATTTGGACACTCTGGATGAACTTGAGCATATCCAAAATAGATGCCAGTCTTGACCGTCGAAGTCATTGGCTCTAACGCGTCGTCCGGCAGGTTTGCTAATCAAAGATGTCTTCAGATCAAGTGCCCAACAGTCTAGACGTAGACTCACCGGTGTGACATCCGAGCTCTCTACTTCCACGTTTGAAACCGTGTTGGACCTCGCCCGCCATCCGAATCGGAAACGGCGCCTCTGGAATGTCGGCGCCTACAATCATGGGTCTGCGCAGTCGGGGATGATCCTCTGTCACGACTTTATCTGTCTGTGTAAAGTCTACAACAAACGGCGGCAAGCCGAGGATTTTATTGTCATCCGCCATGGCAAGAGGTGCCGAGGTCGAGGAGCAAAGTGGCAGTTTTGCTTGTCTTGCACCTTGACCTTGACCATGTCTGATCCAGATAAAAGACTAGAAACATGCACAGATTGTGATCCAAGGAGCGCGTCCGAGATCAAAGTCGAGGCGAAATCTGAAAATCCGTTGGATGCGAGCACCTTTGAACCTCCGCTAGCCCCCAGATACCCGGTAGTCACTATCGAATACTGTGATAGAGTAAGTAGTGTATATATTAGACCTCGTTTGACTCCTCATATTTTGTAGTGCCGATGGTGAGCATAATATATGCAAGCAGGAAACTAAATTAACTATTGAATAGGCTTCACAGAGCTACTTGGATAGCTACAGAACTGTCTGTCACCTTTCCACCCCCTCAGATACAGACTATCAGCTTGGTGGCTGCCGCAGCTCCTCTACCTGCTGGTCGTTTTAGAATGTGGCTTGCAGAAGCTCCTAATGGCGCTCAATCTGATCCTATTATGACGCTCATCTGGGACAGAAAGGTCGAGGATGGATTCCCAGATTTGAAAGTAGTCGTAAGTCTCCTGTTTCTCCGCATTTTCAAAATGTCTAATCTTCCTGACAGAAGCAGCGAATTCGAGACAAGGTTGCACCGAACATGTCCTTGGGCCACTCGGATCGCAAGTAGCTCTTCAAACCACCAGCTGTAAATGTAGTCAGCGGATGAATAAATATCATCTTTCGACCTGAAGGGTGTCCAACCTTGACCCACACACCTTGGCCCTGACCTCGATGGCCGATAGCGATGAACGGATAGCCAAATGCCTCGAGCGGCTCAAGTCGAATGGTATATATCATCGTTAAAATAGAAGAGGATTAGTTTGTGCTCATAGCTCTTAAGATTCAGAGGTGAAGATAGATGCCCTCAACAAATTGCAAGCCGAATTCGCTGCTGGCGTCCAGGCTGGTTTCATTTCCTACATCTAATGGCTATATTGGCTTACATTGTCTTCAAAACAGCCGACAGAGATTGAAGAAGTCATCGCTGCGCTGAAAACGACGCTCCGTATCCCAAATCAGCACGTCTCTACCGCCTCTCTCTCCGCCATTTCAGCTCTCTTCCCAGTCATTGTTACCCATCGTGAATCCGAAGATCATGGACATCCAAGCTCACACGACGCCACCGTCTTTCGGCATGCGCTGCTTGCATTTCTCTCTGCTGGTGGCATCCTGGACCGTCTTGGGGACAATCGTGAACGCGCTCGTGACTGTGCGCGCGATGCATTGGTTTCAGCTGGGAACACTGCGCTCAAGTTTAATCCCAACCCGACGTCCGCATCCGCCTCCGCCGGTCCTGGTATGAAGCATTCACAAGCAACAAAGGGACCGGAGCCCCCACTCGCCATGTTTGAACGGTTCCTTAGGGAGTTGGGTTTCAGCAGCAAAGTCACGCGAGTGCGCGAGCAGGTATATCTCTCCGTACAGCCGTCCTAGTTGCGAGATGCTAATATATCTCATAACAGTCGATCTTGACATTGCTCCAGCTCCGTAGGACGAATCAACGATTTCCGTTACGACCATTCCTGACACATCTAGTGGATGTGCTAGAAGACAGTGACGGAGGTGTGCGGGACTGTGCACGAAACGCGGTGATTGAAATGTTCACGGCATCGACCGTGACCGACAGCGCAAGAGCCGATTTAAAGAAAGAAATGACCAAGAAGGGAGTGCGCAAAGGCATTGTCGATAATATCCTGAATCAACTTCTCGCCGCCCCCACACAGACGATCGAAACATCAGCTGAAGACCCGTCTCACCCGCCAGCACTTTCTACTACAGGCTCTCATCCTGGACTACCAACACAAAAGTCGTCTGCAACCTTGGCATCTTCTGTCGCAGGAACTTCGCGAACCCAAAGCTTTGCCAGTACGGCAGAGGTACAAGATGGTAAGACTGAGGAGGTGGTGACCGTCTACGTATGTTTCATTAGATTATTCTCTCTCCCACGCTTACATCAATCTATAGGTTGCTTCCGTACGCGACCTGGAGCACGAATTTGCGACTATGCAACCTCCGTTCGAGGGGAAGGAAACGGAGCATAATTGGCAACTCCGTGAACGCGCCATTCAACGGGTACGAGGAATGCTCAAAGGAGATGTTCACATTCGATATCTCGAGGCATTCATGGAGTGTTTGAAGTCTGGGTTCATGACAAACTCTTTAAAGACTGTGAGTGTATTACGACCCCGCTTGAATACCGACTTATATCCACAGTTGGCCTCGCTGCGAACTACGGTATCAACAAATACCTGCGCGTTATACGCTGAACTGGTCCTTGCTCTGCGGCATGCCTTTGAGCCATTTGTCGAGCTCACGTTGACGGCTCTCTTCAAGATGAGCTCTCTCACCAAGAAGATTGTCGCGAATCAAAGTCAAGCTACGGTTAGAGAAATTCTCCTCCATGGCCATTGTCATCCAAGGATCGTCATGCCTCTCTTGTGGAATGGCATCCAGGACAAGAATGTCAGCGCTCGACAATATACGGTGGGACACATCCGTACTGTCCTGGAGAATACCGCCGTAAGAGGAAAATCCGTCATCGAGTCGAGCGGAGGACTTGAGCTGCTGGAAAAGTCGATCAAAAAGGCACTGGGAGACGCCAACGCGGGCATCCGTGATAGCGCACGGAGCCTTTTCTGGATCTTTGACGGCATTTGGAAGGACAGAGCAGACGCCATAGCCAACACTCTCGACCCAACAGCACGAAAACAACTTGACAAGGTAGCCCCAACGGGTCAGGCATCACAGAATGGAACCGTGCCCATCGCAGAAGCGAAAAAGTCGAGTGTGGCCGCAGCCATTGCTGCCAGCCGAGCCAAGGCCAAACAAATCGCGGCTGCACCTCCCACACTACGACATGCTGCTACTTCTCATGCATCCAGCATGGCATCTCATGCACGACGTCCTGCATCCCCTGGCTCGCCATCTGGTCGAACGCCTGTTGCAAGTGGGACAACCGCAAAGAGAGCATCTGGTGCCTTCTCGAGATCATCCACTGCTCCCGCATTGACCACTGGTCCAATCGCAAAGTCACCATCACAATCTGCGTCCATCTCGACCGCTTCTGCCTCCCCTCCTCCATCCCCGACGCAGTACGCTTCACAGAAATTAAACAACAGTGTCCGAATTGCATCTGCCGTCCCCCTTCCTTCGTCTCCTCCCAATACATACCGGTCCCCTCCCAAAGGCACGGTCCCTCTGAAGTCTTCGCTCAGTGCTCGTTCAATGTCTCCGCCGTCTACATCCACCAATAGAGTCAAGCGAGCATCTGGAGTCTTTGCTTCTCCCAAGGGAACAACGCTTACACACATGCCCGCCACGAATGATACCCTCACACTATCACCTCATCCGTCCGATGATGAGTCCCTAATGCGCGTTCGAGCGCCCAATAGTGATGCAGGCTCTAGCGAGTCGCTCCCTATGGCATCTTTCTCCGACGCAGTTACATCTACTCCTCCTGGTCGCACCCTCGAAGCAGCCTCGTTGACACGGAGCACCAACCCGCTCAAAGTACCCGGCCCAGTCATCGAGGATGCACTGCGCGCACGAGCGGAACAGGCAGAGAGTGCAGCCGAGAGACTCTTAGAGGAGCTCGTGGAACCGGATGATACAGTACAGAATCTACATATTCCTCCGTCGCTTATGCCATCTGCCAGTACTGCTAAACCACCTCTCAAGGCGAGTACGAGTACCAAATCGGCGAATGGAAACACGACGAAGAAGTCGCCTCCACCTGCAACACCCGCTAACAAGCGCTCGGTGCTCTTACGTCAAGCTGCAGTGTACCAGGATAGCCCGCCATACAAGCGTGGCTCAAGCTCAATTGTCGACAGGCTAAAGGATCGACGGAATGAATCCAGTTGGTGGCTAAAGCGTGTTTCTTGTAAGTATATGGGATTTCCTGTCGTTCGGACTAACACTATCGCGTACAGTGCTGCAAGAGACCGATTTCCAGTCTGGCTCTGACCCGTCTACCCAATTGGCAGCTTGTATCGATTCCTGGAAAATGGCACTGCCGGAGTTGCTGAATTAAACCAACTCATTTTCCTCTGCAGGAAGAACCCTGCAATGGAGACTGAAGGAGACGAGGGGTTGGCAGACGATATATGGAAGGGTGGTCTAGTGTTCAACAAGCTCTCGTCGGCATTGTTTCAGTACCTCACATGCGACAAGGTATGGTCTCGCAAGTTTCATTATCGGAAGATTAAAGTCTATGCAGCCCGAAGATATTCTCGAAAGAGGCCTTATTGTGATCTGGGAAATGGTGGAGCACCAGCAATCATATCTCGAGGGACGAGAATCTGAACTTTTGGCTCTCTTGTTCCACCTTCGTTACTGCAATCTTCAAACGGTCGGTAAAACCCTAGGCGTTCATCCACCCATCTAACATGAGATGCCAGATTTCCGAAGCATCCAACACAATTCGAGATGCCCTTACAGACCGCATTGATCCGATCTACGGTCTCAGCACAATGCACACAAGCTTAAAGCGTTTCCTTGCGGAGCCCATTCCAACCGACGGTAACGCGGAGACGCGGGCTTTATCTCATGCATTTGGATTGCTGGCGATTGGAAAGTTTATTCTGCGGTTGCCGACCGAGATTCTTGAAGAGGAGCTTCCCAGACTGCAACTCACTCTGTCACAGGTACGCGCGATTCATTTGACAGATCGCATCTAATTTGCTTCTAGAGCCTTAACGACACACAGCTACTTGTCAGAGAATCGGCAGCTGCCGCTATCATCGCCGCCCAGCTTGTCCTCCGAGACGAGACGTACCTGTTCACCATGCTGGCGAGCCTTTCGGATGAGAAGAAGAACCTCCTCACCTATTTGTTTGACAAACATGGTGCACGAGGGACGGTTGAAGGCGTCAGCAAGGACAGTGGCTCGCAGGGCGGACTCGACCGCCTGGAGAAGGAGATGAAGCGGCTAGACTCGAAGACGAGCACTCCCATCCGTAAACTATAACTTTTGACATCTTCGTCGCGTCTTGCTTTCGATGTTTTATTTTTTTCGTGGATTTATTGTTTTCTAACTCGCCCCAGCCTCGCAGAGAGGTCGCTTGGTTTCCGTTGAGCCACAATGTCAGACCAAGATGTCGGCGGCACTGGCGCAAACGACGATGATCTCTCGCTCCCGAAAGCGACAGTGAACAAATACGTGTCTGGTAAGCTCGACAACGCGCTGCTCGTCGTCGCGCGCGAATGCTCATTTCCGGGTCGCAGAGATTCTAGGACCATCTCTCTCCGCCTCCAAGGAAACTCTTCAGCTCGTGTTGGACTGCTGCATAGGTCTGTGGAGACTAAGGGACGGTGTGTTGCGCGACAGGCACTGAAACCACTGCAGAGTTCATTCACCTCGTCTCGTCCGAGTCCAACGAGGTCTGTGAAAAGGAATCTCGCAAGACGATATCGCCGGATCATGTTCTTTCAGCGTTAAAGGTCCGCCTATTCATCCAACAGCGCGCCTTGGGCGGCAGCTAACGAACTGCAAAGACGTTAGGCTTTGAGAAGTACATTCCGGAGCTCGAAGAAGTCGTCAAGGATCACAAGCAGATTGTCAAATCCGTGCGTCGTTGTGTGATCCTCGCGTTGTACGTAGGTTACTAACAACATTTGCCAGGACCGCGACCGAAAGGCTGCCAAAATGCAGGATAATGACATGAGCCCAGAAGAGTTACTCGCTATGCAGCAATCTCTCTTTGCTCAGAGCGTCGCCAAGTTGAACAACGGAATCGCGGAACCGGCCACACCGTAATGTACACCAGATTCGCATCAGCTACTGGTCCAACATTCATCTTGTCCATCGTGTCCATTGCTACCCTACAACTCGTGACCTGAGTGAATGTAGTCTTCTTTCTGGCGAGTCTCCGTTCCAGAGCCCGTCCTTGAACGTTGGGAGCCCATGCTGTTCGATCACAAAGCTTGCAGAGATGCTGGCATAGATTGCCGCTGGGTATGATAAGCATTAGAAGTCGGTTTTCATTCCTCAAGATCTTACCTTGCCTCACATCTTGGTTACTATGATATAATCCGGCAGCTAGACCGCCCAGAAAGGCATTCCCAGCACCTGAATCCTGTCAATGAGATCCTCAAAGCTATTGAAACTCTACCCGTCACGTCGACCACCTTGTCGGAGTCTCTGCTTTGGAAATAGGCTTCGATCCAAAGCCGACCCGTGGAATCGTGGATGAGCACCCCAAGCTCTCCACTGCGAATCAAGACAGATCCCTGCCCATTTGGTCCAACACCGAAGTCGTAGAGCTGTGTTGCAGCCGCCTCAATGAGTTCTCGGCTGGGCTCCCTGTCGGATGCTAGGGAGAGCAATGTACACGCTTCTAACGCGTTTGGACTGAGTATATGAATGTCGGGTAATACCTCGCGAAGTGCGGGTAATTCACTTGGAACACAACGATCCTGTGCATGAATGGTCATTTCGCATTCGAATCGACAAACCAAACCCACTGGAATGGGTTCATATATGGTCACCGGATTCCAGTCTGCGATTCCATGAACCTCGCGCATGATCTCTTGGGCTCGCGTTGGAGAACAAATGAAATGAAGGTAGCGAGCTCTCTGTGCAGATGTAAAGTCTTTCGGGGTGATCCGCAGCCGTGGAGTGAGATACTCAAACCTTGAAACATTAATTGAATATAGAAAGGTGGAAGAAGCTCACCCTCTGTGCTCCCCTCGATAGAGATTCAGTGCTCGGGTTGTACCTCTGTCCGCATGTTCTCGATATATCCACATGTCTCTCCCATATTCACTCAGCTGCTCCAAAACACTTGACTGAAAGTCAAACCCCTTGTCTACTATCATCGAGATTTGGTCATCTTGAAGAAACATCCTGGCCCCGATAGATGCATACGTTCCTCCTCCACCTATCTTCGTCTATCGTCACTAGGAAAGTCTACTCGAGACCCGACGAACCTGCTCTTGAGCCTCTCGTCCAGTTGGTTGACCACTCTCGTCTAGATACTCGAACCGGTCCATGATGAACATTCCAAGGGTCATAAAAACACGATCGAGACTCATGATAATGCTCGCATAGACCTTAACAATGTGAACTCTGGGTAGCGGTGGGTTCCAAGTTTTGGACCCGACCTCGACATGGCAGCGGCAAGTTGACCTTTGTCGACAGAGATTTCTTCTCTAATACTCTTATACAGGTCGCACCTGTAAATCCCAAGCCATTTCTCCAAGATTTGACAGGAAAGGCCGTCGCCGTCAAGCTCAAATGGGGTCTTGAGTATCGAGGGTTCCTTGTTTCGACTGATGCCTTCATGAACCTCCAAGTGAGTTCTTTGGTTTGTCATACTTGTCCTTATGTCCCGTTAGCTCGCCAATACCGAGGAATATCAGGATGGCAAATCGAATGGCGCTCTTGGAGAGGTGTTCATAAGGTATGCTGCGCTTATTGTACCAGAAAGCAAGATCTAAAACAGTAGTAGATGCAACAACGTTCTCTACATTATACGTCCTTTACCTCCTCTTCGCGCCAAGTATTGACTGTATGTTTTACAGGGAAGACAAAACGAGCCAAGCAGACAAAATGGAATCATGATTCCAAATTTTAGTTGCTTAGATGTCTCCGATTGACCACTGAATATCTAATCGCTGTCACCAAATTTTTACCAATACAAAAGTGTTACAGCAAGCCTCACACGAGCACGAATCAAATTTTCATTTCTGTTCTTTGCGTCTGGTCCGCGGCTGGCGAACCGCCCGCTCCTCAAAATCAGAATCTTCGTCCAGTCCATCGCTTTCTTCTTCAGACTCCTCTACTGTCGTGTCAGCAGCCGGTTTTGACCTCTTGCTTCTTCTGGGAGGGCCAGAGGTAGACTGTCCTGCATTCTCCAATTCGGCCGCGCTGCTTGTTTGTGCGGTGGGCTTCGTCACACGAGCGCGCATGGCCATTGTCATGTACTTCTGACTTGGACTGTGTCCCTTTGAGAATGCTCCTACACGCTTCCTGAGCTGTTAGAGTGCGTTAGATTACAGTCTAAGTAAGTGCAAGTGATACCTTTTCCAGAGGTCTATTGAGGTCCTTTGCTAGCTTGGGGAGGTCCATTGTAATACCCGACGCCAATAGATCCTTAATAATTTGATCTTCGGCATCTGTCCAATCGTCTCTTCGTACAGACTTGTCCAGTGCGTCATGAAATCTGCGCGATATATCAACTGACGAAACGAGATGAGTAGAAGCTTTACCTGATACGACACTGCCTCTCGGTTCTGGTGCCCATAGCTGCAGAAATGAGTTTCCATCTTCTCTTGACGTTAGCGGGATATTCTTCCAGAAGAGCTTCCAGTTTGGCGTCCTCTTCCGGGGACCAGGTTCCAGCTTTGACTTTGCCTGAAAGGACTTGGTGGCGTGCAATACACTGCTGTCGGGTCATGCTGATTGGCATCGAAGTCGCAACTGGAACGCCTTAGATGAGTAGTATATACACAAGTAGCTCACCCTTTGCCATATTGTTCTCTCCGTGCTGAGCTACAGCCTCTAGGAGGGCAGCGTCGAGTTCTGGTGTCCATGTTAAATGTGCAGCTTTGGCGACACCCAAAGCCTGGTATGCCTTCATGCAGTCGATCGCAATCCTTCCATTCTAGATGAAGAGGTCACTCGAAGAAAGGGGATGCGGTACTCGGCGTACTCCCACCGCAGCAGCGACTGCCTCCCAGTCCACGACTCCTTCATCCATCAATTCTGTAGCAACCAGTTGCCTCGCCTGATTCACTGCTTTTATGAGTTCTGCCCGCTCCTCTTCAGACCATTCGCCGCGATTGACCCCTGGGTGCAGATGAGCCAGCCACCGGACTTTGCACATGGAAGGAATTCGCCCAGGAATCTGCAGCTAGTATGAGAGTGGGGTAAAAGAGGTGGATAGACTTACATATCTGGCGACTCTCTCCCAGTCAAGGTACGTTCTGAGTTCCCCATAGCTTGACAAGGGAACATCCTTCAACGCAATTAATGCGTTATACCCTCTCGAGAAGCATAGTAAGTACAGAGATCTGATTGCAAACTCACTCACTGTTTCTGCAGCTGTAATGCGTGATAACGCATGCCCTCTCGTTGAACGGCGTCCTTCAGAGCCGTATCCTCAGCCTCTGTCCCTAGAAGATATCAGATTGATGCCCGTGTAGATATATCCATCCCACATAGCCGATTGGAGGTGAGCTCATTGTATGTAATGTGTCTCTGACTTTCTTCGTAGAATGGCGAACGCTATAGTGCCAGTCAGTAGGAGTACATATTAAGAAGGATGCTCACCAGGTCTTCCAGTTCTGTTGCACCAAAGGGAGGAACCGCGTCCTGCGCACCGGGGACGCTCACTACAAACGCGTCTTCGTCGCTGTCAGGATCGTCGGGTACATCTATATGAGCTTCGGCTTTTGCCTAGACGATGATTTAGCGAAGAATAAACCTGATTAGATGACTGGCGTACAATGAGATTGTCCACGGTGGCTAACTGGGTTTCCAATTCGTGGATATGTTTCAAGAGAGCCTTCTTCCGTGCTTCATTCGCTTCGATTGCAGTTTCAATGCGGTTCGCCGTGCCGCTGGGATCCATTGCGTGAGCTTCGTCGGGTCGAAGCCTGATTGAGTCCAAACTTGAACCCAACCCCGACATCACGATGGTCAGCCTCTGAACATTCTTGGTTTTGTAGTATTTCATGCTCACATACGTCGCTCTACTGCAGGCAAACGCGTCTGCAAAACGGACAGCGGCTCAGAATGAAGCAGCGTTGCGAAATCTCAACATTTGGATGGTGCTCGCCCCGCTCATCTCCATTTTAATCCGCTTCTTATTCAGGTCGTCTGTTATCCCCCCACGCACGTCGAGCGTCATCCATGGCCTCACTTTTGTCCCCCTCTTCGTTCTCTACTCGCACTTGACCTCTATTGGCTCTCCACGACGTGATCCAACGACCCAGGCACTCATTGGAAGCGGCGAGGACCTGAATATGCCCGGAGTCACGGAATGGTGTTGGGATATTATTTATGTCACCTGGGCTTGCCAGGTTGGAAGCGCAGCGTTGGGTGAATGGTTCTGGTGGCTCTATCTATGCGTAAGTCACGTTTCCAGAAAGCTATTCTACCAGAGTGGTCGAGCTCACTTGTCTCCTCACATGCTCATAGATTCCCCTCTTTGCACTGTGGAAGATCTATTCGATATTCCTCAAGCCATATTTCTTCTCAGGATCAAAGGAAGAGGCCACAGATGACGACCAAGGAGCTGCAAGCATGAGCAAACGACAGCAAAAATTAAAGAAACGGAGCGAGAAGGGTGACCCTCGAGTGAAGCGCTTATAGCGACATTCTAGTCTGCTCTGTATTTCTCAATGATAATCCAGTGCTCGCATCTTCGACGTCGCTTGCGAATTACCCTTCCTTGGAGCCGACTTCATACCCCTGAGTTAAGGATGGCAGATTCTGGCAGCAATGATCAACTAAATCCTCCACCAGAGCTCCAAGCTCAGATACTAAACGCCTTTGCGGCGTCTTCGCGGCGGGTCAGGCCCATTGGCTCGTTGCTCGATTCGTTTCAGAATGATAGTGATGTTCTCGATGCAAATTTCAAGAACATCCACGATCTTCTATGCCCAAAAGTGGGCTGCGGCAGTCTCATACTTCTCAAGGGAGTGGCGTCGCAGCGCGAGGAAGCAACCATTGACCCCGTAAGTATACATCTCTCTAAAGCTCTCATTGCCTGATACGGATATCAGATTGATTCTCCTGTTCACCCGCGACCAGCGTCATTGCCGGCGCTAGATTCGAACGTTCCAACCAAATGGTGGTACATTCAAGGCAGTCCAATGTCGTTTGAGAATATTGGATTCACTAAAGACGTAGGAAATACAGGGAAGAAACTCCTGATCTGCTCGGAATGCGATCTAGGTCCCCTTGGATGGGCACAAGGAAACGAGTATTGGTTGGCCGTCGATCGCGTCGCATATAAAGCTTGAAATCAAACGTTCATTCGCACTGTTAGTCGAAAGCAGGGCTAGTCTGTAAGTTAGATAGCTAATCCCTCCATCACGTCTTCGACATGGTCCTCGATCAACTTAGCAACGAAAGATCCAGATACTGGTATGTCGCAACCTTGAAATCCTTCCGGGATGCCGATGGTAGGTAAGGACGGATACTGAAAGGCCGTATCATTCCAAACTCCATAGTACTGATGTCCCAGAGCCCCGCCGTCCATTCATAGTCATGAAGGAACCCATATGGAAAGAATATCTCCACAACCATACTCAGTTTTGTCGGCGGCATCGAAAGCAGGTGCGTGAATTACCATGCACACTGACAAGGATCTGATAGTCAATCGGGTATATTCTATAGAGGAGACCATACACACCGCTGTAAGAGCTACAACTCTCAGCTGCTCTTCTTGAGAGAGCGACTCTGCTTGTATATGGTTAAATTCCCAACCTCACCGCTTGGACAAGCTTTCTAGGGCTTCGACCAACTCTTTGTGACTCTCAGTTCGCAGACACCGTCTTCTCCTGTCACCTTGTCGGTTGACGTAGGTGATGGTCACTGGGTGTCGAGTACGTTCGTGAGGTGACTCCCCGGGGCTGCAAGTCTTTGGGTGTCCATGCCGACAAGCGGACTCCTGAATGCTACGTATCTATCGACAAGCATGGCTTTGGGGAACAGCCACGCCTTGTCGCCGGCCCGTGTCATGTACACTCTGTCGACCCAGTCGATAGAAGTCTCGACAGACACGGCACGAAAGGCTGCTCTAAGATAGAAAAATTGAATTTTGCTGGATCTCGAAGTTGTTCAGGAGTCGCCTTCATGAAGATCAGTCGAGTTGGTGCCGGGGAAATTGCCTCTCCTCGGTCAGTCACACTCCCACCGAACGTCCCGAAATGAAAATCCCAGGAGCCGAACAATGTTTCCGCGACAAAATGCTACCAATTTCATTGAGCGGTGTCGTGTCAACGCAACTAGGAGTCACTCACGTAGAAATGGGCCAAATACTGAAGACCGGAATTCTGGTAGAGCCACTAAGACACTTCAGCATGCGGAGCAAGATCCTCAATGTCCCGTACTGAATGTCCATCAGCGACTGTCAGGCGGTCACCCCACCGTGAATTGGCGTCCTCATTCGTAATAATCCTCAAGTCGTGGTCTGTCGGTTCACGTTCCTGGTAGCTTTGTGGATTGTCGAAGCCTGGAAGACCAGTCGAAATTATGAACCGCTTGATGGGGATCGTGCCGTTTCGCCAGGGCATGCTGGAGTTTTGAGATGCATTAGCCTCGTCCTGCGAGGTGACAATGAAAAATGTCCCGTTTGACATATATAAATTGCTAAACATTGTCCACCCAGGTGCGTGCCCAATCACAGTCGTCTGTTCGGAGTTGTCATCGAGAGCCTCAGCACTGAACGGCCCTTCTTCAATCGAAAACCTCTCCTTGAACAAGTCATTGGTCATATCATTTGGTGTTTTGACGATGGTAAGCGGCGATACACCTCTTGACCCGATCCCGAGATACCCCACGATGCACAGCGAGAGACAAGTAGCACAGAAAACGACGGTGAGAACTCTGCGATTAGGTTTGTTCTGCCGGTGGACAGCAACTGACAAGAACATTTCGGATGGACGGTGAGCGGGGAGTCGAAGAAGGTTGGGATGCAATTGTCGAGCCCCAGCACCGGTGTACCTTCAAGACGTTTTGGTTACTCTCAAGTGGTGGTCAACATGAAACTCAGATCTGTTACTACAAGACGACGACCAAGGCCCGTAGCCACGCATGATGGTCGTTGAAAGCAATCCCTAGATTTTAATGTGTACACCCTTCTTGCAAATAAGTTGATGGGGTATATTTTCTCGGTTAATTACCATCTGACCTCCAGTCGACATTGTGATTGACTTCGAACTCCGCGGAAGGGCTTGTAGAACTCGCCACTGACCCTCAAGTCCTGGATTTTGATGCCGGAAAAACAAACATCTGATCTGGAGAAAGAAACGACCATTGACGGTGACGGTCGTAGCGTTGACGGCCTACAACTCGTCAGGTTGGCAATCGACCGTGCTGGCGACTCACGAATAATTGAATGTTCCCCTAAGATTGCATAAAGCCGTCCCTACAGTCGCTGGAACCTGCCATTGAAGAATCTGAATGGGGAGATCAACCTCAAGGGAGAAAGGATAGAGAACTAGTGCACCCCACTGCGTGCATCAAACGTGTAGGATCCGCCATTGGTTGGAATCCAGCTCGATGAGGTAACTCCATGTCCAATATCCCATTCGACCACAATATTCTCGATTCCCTTGGACGAGCCTAGCCTTAGTTGAAAGGCCAAGTCGACGTTGGCGCTTTCATCCAAAAGATCGATAGCAGCCGTCAGATTGAACGGAACAGGGGCCACTAGCGCCGTCGATGTTCCTGTTGTAGCCATTCGGTACTCCATCAAGATGAATCGCCCGTCTGGAGGAACAAACGACAAAGTTTTATCCTTGGCCCACTTTGGAAGACTGGCATGCGGTTCAGTGGGTATCCTTTTGATATGGATGTACATACCGCACACATGGATGGAAGGAGCAGTCAGTCAAGATCTGAGTGTTCGACAGGCTCAATAGAATATCAGGTGTCCCTATAAATACTCTCAGCAAGCCCTCGAATGCAGGGGTGTGTGTGTTACCTGTCAGTCGTGCATTAGTCTTGACCTTGCCCCAGACTTCAAGATTTAAGGGCTTTCCCTCTCTATTTGATATCAGCAATGTTGTGTATTACAGCCACGGTGTCATACCTGCTGATTACACCCGTCATATCCTCTACAAAGTCGAAGAATATTTCGTTGGTGTTATATCGTAGACCCGTCGCCCTCCATGGAATAGGAGACGAAAAGGGTGTCGTCGTCGCTTTGGCAAGGCTGCATTGGGATGAGCCGCATTAAAACCCGGCTTCTGACTACCTACCCAGCTGTTCCGGCTACAGCAAGGATCTTTTTGAAGAATGAAGGCGGTATGACGATATCTCTCAGGGCGTTCGGCTCAGTAGTGAGTGGATAACCGTCGTCTAGCATCTCTTCAAGCAGCTGGACTCTATTATCAGTGTCACGAAATAGAGAGGGGAAATATTCGAACCTGATACACGATATCGAAATTTTGGCGAATAGATCCTGCAGAGACCTCGCCCAAATAGTCTTGGAGGACGTCAATCAATGTCTTGATGAATGAGAATACAAATAAAGGGTCGGCTAGGTGTACTTAGAACGGGAGATCCAAGGAAGAATGACTTGGCTTACTTTCTGAATGAACCGGACATGCTATACGCAGAGATCCGTGCTGCACGTTGCAACAAGCAGAAGTTCCGAGAGATGTCTCGACGACGACAACTGGATCGACCATTTTGCCCTCGGCCGCGGCGGTTTCGTACGCGTTATTGAGGGCATCAACATGCTGAGCGGCCACGGCAGAGCCGCCAGTCTTGAATGTCGTTTGGATGATGGGTCGTCTATTGGTTCATGAGTCTCCATCTTCTGCAGATCTGGAAACTTGCCCAGTTCTTTCAATGATGATCACACCATCAATGCCCATATCGTAATCAGGTCCAAGTTCTGAGAAAGGAAACGAGCAAAGAGGTTTATTCAAAGGCCGTTTCTAAGATTGTCGAAACAACTTCCTTTGTAGATGAGATTATTCGGAGAGCAGTCCAGGCTTCCTAGTTCCTCCTTGACAATGTGGATCAGATTGCCACCGGGTTGCTCATCTTTACCCGGTCCACGTTCCATATCGTGACGTGGAGTGCCTTTATCCCCACTTAGCTCCCAGAACATTGCTCCACCAAAACCATGATGGACAATCCAACGTGCCTTCCACGCGACTACCTTCTCATCATCATATGAAATCATCTCCCGCGTGCGATGGTCGTACGACCAGCTTGCCATGGCATGTTCATCGTGATACCTGCGCTATATCAGACCGAATTAATACAACGGCGGAAGGGTTACGAACACTGTCGCTCCAGGGAGAGGCAAAGCGCGGTAATCGTAGCTTCCACGTTCCCAACTGCCCTGTCCTACATCGTTGAACGGATGGCCAGGTCCATTCGTATTCATAAACGAACGGCCGTAAAGAGGCATTCCGATAATTAGCTTCGATGGATGGATTCCTTGGGCTTTGTACCAGTCGACTGCCATCGTGGTATTTATGGGTGGCCCACGAATGTTTGCTTGATGATTCGCCACCGTATCCCAACTACCGGCATAGTCGTACTGAGAGCAATAAGCGCTACTCGGAAACGATTTCTTATTCTTACCGCCTAACAAGAGTCATCAGACCTTATTCGGGGCGTATATGTGTATATGTGCGTAACTTACCATCAGGTTCCAGAACGAAAGGTACTGGTCCATCTCTCGAGCGAATAGTTTCTCATAGTTGGAGGAGCCACAAGGTGCTGCAATCTAGAATTCATGTTAGCAGACAAATTAGACAAGCATGTAACTTGCTGTCAAGGGATACTTGTAATCTACTCCCTGCTGATAGGCATGTCGGTCTAGGCCATGTCGTAGCTCGCGCAAGAGGTCGACATAGCCTCGAGCTTGCTCGTGATTGTTCGGATACTCGTAATCTATATCCAACCCATCGAATCCATAGTCTTCTAAGATTCTGATGGCAGAGTTGACAAAGTTTGCTCGAAGTGCCGGATTGATAACGACATTGTGGAAATTAGGAGAGTACGTCCAACCTCCTATCGATAGGAGTAGCTTGAGATGCCTGTGCTCTTTCTTGAGGAGATTAATTTGCTTGAGACAACCATAGAGATTCCGGCCTGTATCCTCCCACGAATCTCCGGGGTAATGTATATCTTCATCTGCCCACTTGTCGCTCATGATAACCGTCCCAGAGTCGGCTTGGACATTAGCGAATGCGTATAGAATGTGCCTATGCATTATTTTAGTCGAATAACATCAATTGAACGCATTGGAGAGTATTTGGGAAATACTGCTGAAGTACAGCAGGCTGATTGAGCCAAGGGGCGGGGAGCGGGACAAGAAGCCGAGCGGAGCAAGTCCGCTATACTTTCAAGTCCACTATACGGAAGCAGTAGACCGAAGTTCATGCATTGGGGCCAAATCAAGGTACTTTTACGCACGATGCGCACTGCAGGCAAAACGGCGGTACACGTACGTCAGATCCTTAGCTGGAATGTTCTGCGGTGGATATTTGCGTCCGTAGATACCCCAGTTTCTTGCAATAGTCAGACCAATGCATATTTGCTGCTCAGAACGTACACAAAGCTGGATGATGCTATCAATAGCCTGGCAGCGGAGCGCAAGGTGGAACGTACTAAGCAACATTTAGTTTACCATTCATGTCTGGATTGTCTTTGGGTATTTCTGGAAGGGCAGTTTGTTTCTGCGTGAACCAGTGGCCGAGTTCGAAGCCTAGGAGGGCGCAAACGAGTAAAGCAAGAGTCGTTAATGCCCTTTTATGCGATCTATTGTGAGTTGGAGCCTCCTGAATGTCTTCGTCTTCGTCCTCTACAGCGAGTCGGGAGTAAGGTGCAGACATAATACGGGTCCAAATTGTGGCCCATCTATTTTGGTGACTGGGGAGATTATCTCGAAAAGATCTGGATCTCATCTAGGCCATTAATCCTGGAATTTTCGACGCATGTGGGGTGCCGCGGAACCAGCCGTCGGCGTAATGTCGACTTCAGGCTTTGCCCAACTTGCCCTCGACCATCGCCGTCTGCGTCTTTCACGATGGCTCCTATTCCGCCTACAGATGCTCCACAGCCCATTAAGGATGTGCTCGATTCGATCGAGAAGCAGTTTGAGCTCTCAGACGAGCGTCTCAAGCAGATTACGGCCCATTTCGTGACTATGTACCGCAGAGGTCTCCAACACGGACACGAACCGATGGCTATGATTCCAACATATGTTACCGGGGTTCCAGACGGCTCAGAGACCGGGTCAGTCCTCCTCCCCTTTTTGCTCGCTCTTGGTTCTTACTTTCGACGCCAACAGCACATTTATGGCTGTAGATCTCGGTGGAACAAACTTGTACGCTTGCTACGTTTCCCTCGGGTATTGGCGGAACAATCTCCTCATCTCCTCGTAGCCGAGTGTGCGAAGTCCAACTGCTCGGAGATCACAAGTTTTCCCTCAAACAGAAAAAATTCAAAGTCACCGAGGAACTCAAGACGGGTCCTGCCGTTGACCTTTTCGGTAACGGCATTTAGTTTGCGGCTCTCGCTTGGCTTACCGATGATGGATAGATTACATGGCCTCTTGCATTGGCGACTTTATGAAGGAGCTCGGCAATCCTCCAGAGGACGAATGTCTCCATTTGGGTATGACCTTTTCGTTTCCTGTCGAGCAGACGGCTTTGGGCGCAGGTCGGCTCTTGACGTGGACAAAGGGTTTCTCCGCTACGGGTGCGATAGGAAACGATGTCGTTCAATTGCTCCAAGATTCCTTGGATAAAAAAAGAGTTGCTGCCAAATGTGTCGCCCTGGTCAACGATGTGTGTATGGATTCTCCGTAGCTGCCCTGGCTGATTCCGGTCAAGACTGTCGGGACACTCTTGACTCGTGGCTATCTCACAGGATCTTGCTTCCTCGGGGCCATTTTCGGCACGGGAACCAACGGAGCCTACGTGGAAGACCTTTCCTCCATCACCAAGCTGAAAAAGCTCGATGCGGCAACGAGAAAAGCAGACAAGATGATTATAAATACCGAATGGGGAGCATTTGATAACGCCGTATGCCGCTCTCTCTCTTGTCCATGGTATCTCGCTGAACCATGATAGCGACATGTCCTTCCGATCACCCGATGGGACAATGCGCTAGACCGCATCTCCATTAACCCGTCTGTATTCTTTATCTCCTTTTTGTTTACGCTCATATCACACAGCCGATACCAAGCATTTGAGAAGCTCATTTCGGGAATGTATCTCGGCGAGATCGCCCGCAACATTCTCATCTATCTCATCGATCTTCCTCCCATTCCCGGCTCCAACCCACCACAACACTACCTTTTCAGGGGACACTCGACGAAAAAGTTCAATACCCAATATGGATTCGACACCGAACTAATGTCGAGAATCAAAAATGATTCATCGCCGGAGGCCGTTCGCGAGTTACTGGTCAACGAAATGGGCTTTACCGATTATCAAATATCGGACTTGGACACTCAGGTGCGTTCGTCTCCTATCTCATGACTGGCTATGGCACTGATGATTGCTAGATTGTGGCTTGGATCTGTGATCTCGTCGCCAATAGATCGGCAGCATTGAGTGGCTGTGCAGTCGCTGCAACCCTAGTACAATGTGGGTATTGCGAGGTTGGCGGTGGCCCGGGTTCGAAAGAGGTGGATTCGGCCCTCGAACTTGGGGTCGACGGCAGGTACGTGCGCCATGAGGATTATGGCGTATACTCATCAGAGATAGTCTCGTTGAATTTTATCCGGGCTTCGAGGAGGCTCTGCGTAAATCCCTGCGAGCCATCGTGGGGGAGAAGATGGAGCAGCTCGTCAAGGTTGGTATGGCTAAAGATGGTAGTGGTGTCGGTGGTAAGTGTCTATTCCCTATCCTTCTTCTGGACTGAGTCTCAGTGCTCATTAGCTGCGTTGTGTGCGCTCGTTGCAACGAAGAACGAGCAACACTCGTAAATTCGAGTGCTTTCCCCGTTTGCCTATGCATACCCTTCCTTACTTGCTCTCTATACACCCTCGGCATTGTTGGAGGAGCTTGCCATCTGTACAGTCTGGTATATGCGATTACTTTCCAGAAAAGGTCGGCATCGAATATCCTGAGAATTCCGCCTCTACGAGGAATCTCCGATTCATTGGAGCTCCAGTGGGAAAGATGCGTGGGATGCTTGGTCCCAATGTAAGGGCACCCTTTCGCACAATCCCCATCGTCGCTTCGCCATCGACTCGTATAATAGTGATATTGCGTTTCCGGACTCATTTCAGGATGTGACTCGAATACTAACAATACATCACGCTCTTGAACCGTGACCATGATTCTACCGCTTTGCAGCTGACGCGAACGCCGCTTCAAGGGAACAAGTAATCAAGACCGGTCGTTTCAATACAGTATACGATGGGCGAATAGGGAGGTGAACCGGGCGCAACGACGATTTCCGTAGATGCAAAGACAAGCTACCGACTAGAACTACATCCAGAAGGCATGTAGATGTGAAAAGGACGTGAAGGAAGCATACTAGCTTCCTCGAGCGATATTCGGTATTTTATGGCTTCGTGAGCTTTGCTCACCGACGCCCTCTTGCTCACCATTCTTCGGAGAAAGAGAAGCCATCGGTATCACGGATATCCAGATCCGGCCCACCCCTTCGTATTACATACGATGTCCCCTTGGTCGAAACGGCCCGTTCAAGCTGCGCTATATAACGACGGCCAGCACATGTCTCGAGACTTCAGAGGCATATTATTTACCCCTACACAGTCTTTACTACCTTGGAGTTTAGATCAAATGCCGTACGTGCTTAGATAGTGTATACAAGCGAACGGACAATCTGAAGCGCCAACAGGAACCTCATTCGAAAGAAACTTCTCGTTTCCTTGCTCTCACTGGGTCTTCTCAATGCCGTAGCACAGGACGGCTATCAAGTGCCAATAGGCTCACGTATGTAGCCTCTTCTCTACTGTATTCCCTTCTAAGCACCACGATTCTCTGTTTAGCTGGGTTCTATCATGGAAACTCGACTGCAAGTGTAACCTTTGACCAGTATTCCCTCTTCCTTGACAATTCGGTAAGGCAGCTCCCGCCCTTCTTCATTCTCTGGTACTGACAGAATCCTTAGCGAACGCTTTTCCTCTCCGGCGAATTTCACCCCTTCCGCTTGCCTTCTCCCAAGCTGTGGAAGGACGTACTGCAAAAGTGAGTCGTCTTGATATTTGGTGTTCGGCTCTAACGCTCTCAAGGTACAAGGCAGCAGGGTTGAATGGCGTCTCGATCTACCGTAAGCTAGTTCGTCACCAGTCAATCTCCCTCACCGCCCACAGTTCACTGGGGACTTACGAGCCCAAGTCAAGGGGTGAACCGATGGACCGGCCACAACGATATCGTCAAATTCCTTCAACTTGCAAAAGAGGTTGGGCTCCTGGTGATCGTAAGTGACTGTACTTTAGAGTATCTTACCGAAAACTTATCTTGGAAGGCACGCCCTGGACCCTATATCAATGCTGAATCAGCTGGAGGTAGCTATTCTCCATTTTGAAATGTTTCTGGTGTTGATAATGTAGGCGGCCTTCCTGCATGGCTTGCCAACGTTCCCGCTCTGGCCAGAACCAATGCAACTGCCTATCGCGATGCTTGGCATCCTTAGTATGTTAGCCGGCTCTGCTTATATCCATTCCTTATCAATTTCTAGTATCAAGGAGTTTGCCCAGTTATCGGCACCATACCAAGTGAGCAATTCTTCGTAGCTTGTCATCGTCTCTAATCCGTTCTCAGTACCCTGATGGCCCTCTCATTGGTGAACATTGACCCAGCGTGTCTAATTGTTAAATTGAACATACTTCTAGCGGTTCAAGCAGAGAATGAGTTCAGCTCCAGCCAAGAGACCGGGATCCCAGGTTTGAACGAGTATATGCAAGATGTCCTCGATACCCTCCGCGCTGGCGGATTGAACAAAATACCTACGTACGTAGCGTCGACAAACGACCCTTCTGTATTTCCTGACATCGCGACAGCACTCACAATGCCAATTGGCCTCGGAAACTATGGGTTACAGGCACAGGAGCTGTTGACTTGTTTGGCTTTGATGGGTATCCCGCCTTATTCGACTGTGTACACCCAGAAACGTGGCCCGAGACCGATACGGGTATGGAAAGTCTTACTGCCGCTTTTATGTTAATGCGGCACAGGATTGCATGCAAATCACCTTAATACAGCGCCGGCGGTACCTCTAGCTCTGTACGAGTGGCAAGGGGGGGCATTTGACTTCTGGGGATCCGGAGCAGGTTATGACAACTGCTACGAGCTTACGAACGAGAAGTTCGCAAACGTATGCTATTCTTTAAGTGCCATTAATGTCTCACTCAACTGTTGTGGCAGGTATTCTACAAGGTTGGCTTGAGCACGCAGACTCCGAGGCGGAATTCTGACTCGGCATAGAACAACATCGCAGGAGGCATGAGGCTGCAGAACTTCTACATGGTCTATGGGAAGTCTCCGGTTTTTCGCAGTGCCTTCTCTTATCTTCTCAATAGGCGGATCCTGTTGGGGCAATCTTGGAACCGAGAGTATCTACTCTAGTACGTCGATTTCTTAACTAAGAGCTCACCATCTGATCCATAAATCAGGTTATGACTACGGAGCTGTGTGTTCAAATCGGCATCCGAAGACGGAATATGGCTAACTATGGAATGCAGGCTCTTCGAGAGGACAGGACAATCACTCCTAAGTTCAGCGAGATCAAAGTTCAATCCTACTTTTTGCATGCTAGTCCAGCGTATATGACGAGCGATTGGGTCGGCGCTGGTTCACAGACCACAGGTGCCTCATTTAGCGACTCAAGCAACGTTTATACAACGGTTTGGCGCGACCCTCAGAGCGGGACCAGCTTCTACACTGTCCGTCAGACAACCAATACAAAACTGACGACAACCGAGTTCAATCTTCACATCAACTCGACCGCTCTCGGGAACGATTTCATTGTGCCTACGTCGGGTGTGATGACACTTGAAGGACGAGAGTCCAAAGTCCTCGTCGCTGACTACAAGTTCGGTAACTCAAAACTCCTCTTTGCGACTACAGAGATTTTGACATGGCAGACATTTGATGGGGTACGTAGATGGTGTTATGGAGTTGACAGATACTCAAGGTCGTCTAGACTGACTATATCTATCTTTATACGTCTCCCTCGCAAAGCATTGAAGTGATCGTGCAGCCAAATGGTTCTGCCACGCCGAACGATTACACACCCTCTGGATTTACCGTAAAATCAGGGAAAAACGTCAGCACCCACTCACTCCTCTGGCCGCTCTGCTGATATGTTGTCAGTACACCGTGATATCTGCCCCAGCCAAACGTACTACCAGTGTTTCTGCAGTCAAACTCGGAAAGACCGTTATTCTCATTTCAGACAAGGCCAATGCTCTTGCTACTTGGGCACCACGGATTGAAGCACCAGCTTCTGGCCTTGGCCACTATACCCCAAGCTCGAACATCGCAGGAGTTTGGGTAACCGGTCCATACTTGGTCCGTACCGCGAGTCTGAAGCAGGGGACGCTTGCTCTGACTGGTGATCTTAACTCAACTGTATCGATTAATATCTGGGGCCCGTCGAGCATCCGGAGGGTCACATGGAACGGCAAACAAATGTCTACGTCCCGGAACACAAAGCTCAACTCCATTACGGCTAATCTCCAGTACTCGTTGAATGCCAATGGGATCAGCATCCCTAAGCTGTCGCAAGTTAAGTGGAAGTGCATTGATAGCACGCCAGAAAAAGCCGTCGATTTTGATGACTCAAAATGGACTGTGGCGAACAAAACAAGTACACTCCGTCCCCATCAGCCATTCGCTGGAAAATATGTGCTCTATGGCGGAGAGTAAGTATGCCGACAGAACTCTGCTGAAGTTGACATGCTCTAGGTACGGATTCTACTCAGGAGACCTAGTCTGGCGTGGATATTTTGACGGGAAGAATGCCACTGGAATTGAACTTTCGGTACAAACAGGCTTCTCCGGGGCAGCAACCGTCTTCCTCAATGGCCAATTCCTCGCATCAAAGCAAGGGTCTTCACAAGGGTGGTCTGGGGTAGATATCCAACAGATCAATAGCACATTCCCTGTCAATCTCCTCCGCTCTAAGAAGAACGGTATGCTTCTACAACGCGAAAAGACAAATGTTAATTGCATTACAGTCCTTACTGTCTATCATGATTCGACAGGTAATGTATATCAGAAGGATCTGCACGAAGGGTTCACATAATTTAGGCTTGTCTGCCGACTACAACGTGGACGACGAGTTCAAGGTGCGATATTCTCAACAGTTTGATATTTCTAATACAATGTCAGAAACCTCGAGGCATTCGAGGCTACAAGCTCCTGTCCACTAATGGAACTGACTTCTACAAATGGACAGTCGTAGGAAGTGAATCGAATTCTTTATAATCCTGCGATTAATACTCACCATTACGCAGACGTTGGTGGTGCCAATGCTCCTGACGACGTGCGAGGTCCCTATAACGAAGGTGGATGGTACTATGAGCGCATCGGCGCACATTTGGTGCGCAAAAATAACAGCCTTCTCGAGAATACTGAAAAAAAACTAGCCTGGATACGACGATTCTGCTTGGTCTACGTGCTCACCTCTGTCTGGAAGAGATTCACCTGGAGTAACGGCATATCGCACAACATTCAATCTCAATATTCCCAATGGTTCCGACGTTCCTCTCGCCTTCGACTTTGAACTCGAGCCCAGAAATTCTACCACTGCGTACCGTTCGTTGATTTGGGTAAATGGGTGGCAGTTTGGACGGTGAGTCAAATTCACAATTCGATAGGGATGGTTCTGAGGTCCCAAAAGATTCTTCTCGGATCTTGGTCCCCAGACATCTTATCCAGGTAAGCCTATTGCCGAGCAGAGGCCTATATAGATACATCCTCTCTAGTACCCGAGGGCATTCTGAACTATCAAGGGAAGAATGAGGTGGTTGTCACCCTCTGGTCACTTTGTAAGCAGCTCTGCCCCTCCTGGGTGTGACATTGATATTATGCAGATGGAGCCGCAAAGATGAAGAAACTGGAGCTGAATAAAAGGGCAGTTATCTCCTCAAGCAAGACTTCCAATTTTGGTCTGGTCGATGCTCCGGATTGGAAAGCATTGCGCGGACGTGGATCGCACTGAGCCACGAATCACGCTATCTAAAGCTAGTGAGAATTAGTTAAATCGACTGCTCTTTCTTCTCCATGAGTTCCCTCTGACCTCAAGAGTTGGGCTTGGGTGGTGCTGGGCACGTGAGTCCATTAGTCGGCGACCACATCTCCAGAGGTCCTGAGAGGTGAGACTGGCCAAGCTCCATATCGTCTGAGAGCTCGTGAAACAACTCTTTGTCTACAACTACACAACGAATGGGCGTTTGAGCCTCGCCAACAGCTTCTGAACGACCGAGATCTCTTGACAACCTCAGCATCTGGTATTCCTTCTCGCATTCAAGTGTACGGCATCTAACAGGTGGTCGTATCAACTTCTGCGGCTTCGGTAATCGTGTTCAAGCATCTTCCTAAACATCACCGGCTTCGTATCCACGAGTACCCAAAGCAATCCGGGGGTTTCTTTGGAAGAACTCAGACTATCATTCTCAGACTTCTCGCCTACCGGCTTCCTAGCGCAACATCGGCACTGTACGCTACCGTCGGCCACATATAAGATGGACGCCTTTGGCTTTTGCGCCCTGCGTGCATTCTTAATCCTCCATTTGAAGACGTTTGTCGTCCAAGTGATTGACGCGATGCCGTATGTAATCGAACACTGTGAACCCCATATCTGACATCTATCCAGAGTAGCTACCTTGAAAACAGCCCTCGTATTCATCCTGTCGATTCTTGGTCTCAGGGTGACTGCCCAAAATGGCTACGAAGTACCTGCTGGTTCTCGTACGTAGTTGCAATTACATCAGGCGTATATCAACTCAATATCGACAGCCGGATTCTACCATGGGAACTCGAGTGCCAGCGTCACGTTCGACCAATACTCTCTATTCCTTGATGACAAGGTGCGTTCTGACGAGATCTTCATGCGAATTGACGCTGATTTCGTGCTTCAGCGAACATTGTTTCTCTCAGGAGAATTCCATCCATACAGATTACCTTCCACAAAGCTCTGGAAGGACGTTTTGCAGAAGTAAGCTCTCACCAATACCTGTGGCTCTGCGACTGAAGAACGCTTAGATACAAGGTGAGCGCCGCTTGATCGGTATCTATGTCAAGCTCTCAACCATGTGCAGGCCGCAGGGCTGAATGGTGTATCGATCTATTGTGAGACACCCATCACATATTTTCTGGTCTCACAAACTCCAAGTACACTGGGGTCTCATCAGTCCGAGCCAAGGGATAAATCGCTGGACGGACCATAATGACATCGTCAAGTTCTACGAAATAGCGAAGGAGGTTGGGCTCTTAGTCATTGTACGTCTCGCCTCTACTACTCTGCCCAGTCTGACCTTGAGAAGGCACGCCCTGGCCCTTACATCAACGCCGAATCAGCTGGAGGTATACTCCCAAACGCGCCTTTTTAGAAATTCCTCAGAAATTGGATAGGTGGTCTGCCTGCTTGGCTAACAGTAGTTCCTGGTCTGGCAAGAACAAACGCGACTGCTTACCGCGAAGCTTGGCATCCATAGTGAGAATTGTACTGGCTGCTTATTTCTGACTCATTTGTGCTGCAGCATCAACGAGTTTGCGAAACTATCTGCTCCGTATCAGGTGAGGGTTATTCGAAAGATCTGGACAGTATGTTGAATCTGAATAGTATCCGGATGGTCCGCTCATAGGTACATTCATACAAATGGCATCGAGAGTTTGTTGAGCGGCCCATAGCTGTCCAAGCGGAGAACGAATTTGGCCCAAGCGAGTGGTACCATATTGCTGGTCTAAATGAGTACATGCAAGATGTGATTGATACTCTTCGCACCGGCGGTCTCAACAAAGTTCCGATGTAAGTTGATATGGACTATCATCGTCATCGACTGAGATTTTGCAGCACCCACAATGACAAAAATCCTGGTCGGGTCTAGTTAAATCACTGTGGAATCCCCTCACACTCTTGCACAGGCGGAGCATTTGTCAAAGGCGTCGGCGCTGTTGATCTCTACGGCTTTGATGGGTATCCAGCGGGATTCCAATGTGCATCGCCAGAAACCTGGCCAGAGCTGGAGACGAGTGAGTAAAGCTAAAACCCTCTTATTTTCCTCCTGAGTCATTAACTTGCTAGATATGCATGCAAATCATATGAAGCTTTCCCCAGCTGTGCCACTGGCACTCTACGAGTGGCAAGGTAAGCGATATAGTCGATAATGCGCTGTTTAACGGACCTAGGTGGTGCCTTCGACTACTGGAACTCTAATAATGGGTACGATAAGTGCTATAAACTCACAAATGAGCAATTTGCGAACGTACGCCGCTCAGATATGAAAACTGACACGAGTTGACGCATTAGTAGGTGTTTTATAAGGTTGGTCTACCTCCAACGTGCCGTCACATATTAAATTGTCCAGAACAATATTGCTGGTGGCGTGAGACTGCAGAATCTCTATATGACGTTTGGTGGTTCGAACTGGGGAAATCTGGGCACCGAGACTATCTACTCTAGTAAGCAGGCTACCTTTTATTCGATAAAACTTGCTCATATTACTCTCATAGGCTATGACTATGGAGCTGTGAGGCAACTGTGGACTCTTGACGATCCATTGGGCTGATGAGTGACAGGCAATTCGGGAAGATCGCACGGTCACTCCAAAGTTGAACGAGATCAAAGTTCAATCTTACTTCCTACATGCGAGCCCGGCATATATGACCTCAGATCGAATTGGTGACGGGTCTCAAGCCACAGGAACGCCCTTTAGTGACTCGAATGAAATCTACACAACCCTCTGGAAAGACTCGAAGAGTGGAACAGGGTTCTATATTGTTCGACAAACCACCAATACGAAATTGACGCCAACACTCTTTACCCTTCGCGTAAACTCGACAGTCCTAGGGACCGACATCGTCATGCCATCCTCCGGGGTAATGTCTCTTGATGGAAGAGAATCTAAGATTCTCGTCGCGGACTACAAGTTTGGCAATTCCAAGCTCCTGTTCTCGACAGCAGAGGTCTTGACATGGCAAACCTTCGACGGTGTAGGTTCCCCGGGTGCCAAGTATATAAAACTGATATCATGACAGGTCGACTATATATACTTATACACATCGCCGTCAGACAATTTCGAGATCATTGTCCAGGCTTCAGGTTTAGCTTCCTCGAACTCAACAACGCCACCAGGCTTCACGATCAATTCGACCGAGAAGGTGAGCCAATAGGTTATATAACTGATTAATGATAACCCATATATGTAGTACACTGTGGTTTCTGCCCAAGCAAACCGCGCTAGTGCCGTTACTGCGATCCCAGTTGGAAACGCGGTGATCATTCTGGCGGACAAAGCGAGCGCTTTGGCTACATGGGCCCCACGACTTGCGCCTTCCACTGATCCTGGTCACTATACTCCAAGTCCTGACGCCGCTGGTGTCTGGATCATGGGACCGTACCTAGTTCGAAGCGTATCTCTCAACAAAGGGACGCTCTCTTTAGAGGGAGATCTTAACTCGACGGCAAATATTGACATATGGGGCCCGTCAAGTATCAAGAAGGTGACTTGGAACGGAAATCCGGTGGCTCTGTCCCGCAACACGCTTCGCGGCTCGCTCAGTGGCACGGTCAAATATACGCTGAAGTCCAATGCCATCAAGATACCGGACATCTCGAGGTCAACGTGGAAATGCATTGACAACACACCTGAAGCATATGCGGACTTTGACGATTCAAAATGGGTTGTTGCGAACAAGACTAGCACAAATCGCCCGCAGAAGCCCTATGCGGGAAAGTATGTTCTCTATGGAGACGAGTCTGTACTTTAGTTTGATACTCTTCCATAAACTGACGTCTACCAGGTATGGCTATCATGGAGGAGATTTGGTCTGGAGAGGGCATTTCGACGGGAACGCAACAGGCGTCGAGCTGTCTGTGCAAACGGGCTACTCTGGGGCTGCAATGGCGTATTTAAACGGGAATCCTATAGGGTCAGCCCAAGGTTCCTCAACGCAATGGTCCGGCGTGGATGTGCAGATAATCAAAGCAACTTTTGACCCGAAGGTCCTCCGATCGAAGAACAATGGCGAGTCTCATGGCACCTCATCAAAAGTCACTAAATCCACATTTTAGTTGTCACTGTGTACCACGATTCTATGGGTCAATCGGCATCCCCAGCTTTCCCCATCAGGATACTGACTTACCCTAGGACTATCGCAGGATTACAACGTCGACGACGAATTCAAAGTATGTTCATCTTTCCCAGCAAACTCAGGGAGGCTCATATCAAGTTAGAAACCTCGAGGCATCCGTGGATATAAGTTACTTGGCAACGGCGTAGATTTCGTGAAATGGACGGTGGCTGGCAGTGAGTCGAACACGCTCGCTCTGCCAATGCATTGACGGCGCGGCAGATGTTGGTGGAGAAAGTGGTCCAGATCGCGTACGTGGTCCATATAACGAAGGTGGCTGGTACTATGAGCGCATTGGTGCTCATCTGGTTAGTCTCTTTGCCGATGTAGGTTGCTGCTGCTGACTATTGTCACTTTAGCCTGGGTTCAACGATACGAAGTGGTCGGCATGCTCGCCTTTGACAGGCAGGACGGCGCCGGGTATCACCGTCTACCGCACGAGCTTTGATCTCAATATCCCGAAGGGTGCAGACGTCCCTCTTGCACTCGACTTAGAACTTGACTCAATTGCATACCGATCCGTTATTTGGGTAAACGGATGGCAATTTGGCCGGTATGCCTTGATTTTTACTCCTACTCTGTAAGATTCACTCTTTGCAAGATTTGCATCTTCCCTTGGGCCCCAAACTTCCTATCCTGGTACGAAATTACTTGACTATGCCTTCCCTCTCCTAATATATTCCTAGTCCCTGAGGGTATACTGAATCACCAGGGCAAAAACGAGGTAGTCGTGACTCTCTGGGCGCTGTGTAAGTAAACAAGCTCCATTCGGCAAATTCTCATCATCATTTAGTTGACGGGGGTGCGAAAATGAAGAAATTAGAGCTCAACAAGCGAGCTGTCATCGAATCAAGCAAGGCGTCGAACATTGGTGTCGTTGCAGCGCCAGATTGGAAAGCGGCGCGAGGAAACTGACTTTCAATCCACGAGGATTGAGAGAGGAAATGTTGTATATATGGTCGCTCTGTCATAATATGTTGGATTTCATCCATCAGTTCGATAGCAACGGGGGCAGAATACAAACCAAGACGCTTTAGTTGGGTAGCTTAGCATTCATATCTCGAAAGAGGGGTGATAAAAACCATGCATAACATGACAATGCACATACTAATGGAGAACATATGATCTGGGTAGACGGACCTAGCTGACCTCCGGAGACTATAGATACTTTTTACTTGTTGGCAAACATCTTCTTGATGGCTTCGCTGGAATAACTCTTTGGTCGCTCGAGAGGAGCGCCGAGGGCACGATCCCAAATGAGCTGAGCGGCAACACCAAAGGCGCGTGAGACACCGAACAAAACAGTGTAGAACTGCATCTGGGTCAAGCTGGAAACAAGTTAGTCGTGTCTCACATGTTCTGTATTCAAACGAACCCGTAATAAGTAAGAAGGACACCAGAGTGAGCGTCGACGTTGGGCCATGGGTTCTTGGCCTTGCCGGCCTAGAAGAGAGTCAGTAAAGCAACGAATTAGGTTTCCAAGGTCGTACCTCGAGAAGAACCTCTGGGGCAATGTTGTAGATCTGGCCGACGAGCTTGAAGAGCGAATCGTTGGGGAGGTGCTTGAGGGCGAATTCTCGCTGGGCAGTGTATCTTGGGTCCTAGAAAAGTGAGGAACATGGCAATCCAACAGTAACTAAACCTACAGTCTTCCTGAGTACCGCGTGGCCATAGCCAGGGACCACTTGACCGCCGTTCAGGGTATCCCAGATGTATCCTCTGACCGCCTCGTCAGTTGGTGCATCTCCGAGCTTGCTCTTCATCTTCATCAACCATAAAAGGACTTCTTGGTTGGCCAAACCGTGTAGGGGTCCAGCAAGACCATTCAGTGAAGCACCGAATGCAAGGAAGGGATCGGAGAGAGCAGAACCAACGAGTTTTCCAGTATGGGCAGAGACGTTACCGCCTTCATGGTCCGAGTGGATCGTGATGTAGAGGCGGAGAAGCTCAACAAAAGCCTCCTTGTCACCGAAGCCAAGAAGATTGGCGAGATTGTAGGAGTAGTCCTTTGATGTATCGATGGCAGGGAGTTTTCCACTGCCAAAGACATTGCGGTAAATGCGGCCGGCGATGTTAGGGAGTTTGGCGATGCTGTATCATATTAGCAGCGGAAATTGAAGCAAGAAGAGTCCCTCACAGATCCATGCAATCCTCGAAGACGGGTCCCCAGTAATCCTTCTTGGAGATGCCTTCTTGGTAAGCCTTTGCGAATGCAGACTCATGATTGAGAGCCGTTACTGCAATGGAGAACTGAGACATTGGGTGGAGGCTAGGTGGGCATCTGTCGATAATCTCCTCGACAAACTCGGGGAGCGCTGCACGATGCGCCCATTCTTGGGAGAGCGCCTTTACTTGAGCGTCTGTGGGAACTTCACCCGTTACGAGAAGCCAGAAGAGACCCTCTGGTAACGGCTCTGAACCTCCGGGCGCCTTGGGAAGTTCAGCCTGACATTCGGGGATGGTCTTGCCTCTAAAGCGAATTCCCTCCTCTGTCAAGCCCCATAGTGTCAGCCAAACAAAAAATTCGAGCTCAACTAAAGTAGGCGTACCCGCGTCGAGCACTGAGCCGTCCCAGAGCAAGGCCGGCAAACCGCGCATACCGCTACCGAGCAAGCTGATAAGCGACCAAACAATGAGAAAAGCGTAAGAGGCGTACCCGTATACCTGGTCGACCGTAACTTGTCCAAATGCCTTCTTTCCATGCTCTGCACGGATGGCTTTTACCTGTTGCAAGCGGTTACGCTTTGATTACAGCCTTCGACCCAGAGTGACGTACATTGTCGATCTCCTTTGGGATGAGCTCGGCGAGTCTCTCCTTCAAGGTTTGAGGTTTCGAGGTCGCATAGCATCGGAATGCAGTGTGAGGGAGGCCAACCCGAGCGATTCGCAACTGTTTGACCGTGAGCAGCTCGTTTGCGAAATGCGCGCACGATAACAAACCTGGGAACGAGACAAGACACGCAAAGAGGCCATTTTAAAGGCAAAGTAGTGTCCAAAGGGATGAAGGAGCTGTAGAGGTCGGGTCGAAAAGTGAGTTGGGGTTTGGGTCGGAAAAAAAACAGCATTCAAATCTCATCGGAATCGCCTAAACTTCTCAAACGAATATTCGAAATTTTAGAATACAAAATAGGAAATATCCTCATACCAAATACAAGAACGTAGAGCCAGCTAGGAATTGTTAAAGGCCATACTATCCCGCCGGCGCAGCGACTCGAGATGAGCTTGGACCCCAGGATGGTTCAGTCCTTGCCCTTCATAAATAGACCCACGTGAGGATCCATTGCTGACGATGCTTGTCCTGCCATTGTAATTGAACATGTCGTGGAAATGCCGCATCCTCGCTACGGATTCTTCATCTGTCGCAAGAGAACGTCTCGGAGATCCAGGAGTCCTGACAGGAGATGAAGGTGGTTGGGACATATCCTCGGAGTTTGGCCGACCTAGCAAGAGTTCAGTTCGCGTCACCTGTGCTCGAGACTGATATAACTCACCCGATACTCTCGGAGTCGCCGAACTAAGGTCATCCTCGGCTTGCCGCCTTGCGAGGGCTCGTCGAATGTAACGAGTGTAGACCCCTCCGGTGCTATCAATCATGGCGTCCACCCGTGGCTTCTTTTCCGGGTGCGCCTTGATGAAATTCCAAAGCTCTGTGATTGCATCGTTGTGCATTGCCCCATTTTCGACCGAGGTCTTGAGCCAAATGGCGTTGAGTTGCTCATCCAGGTCTGCGTCATTGTGTTGTGACGCCTTGGTTGAGGCTTCTGAAGGCTCGTACGTGTTGTGAGTCGAGGCTCGGGACGCAATCGAATCCTGACGCGCTCGTGAAAATGTTGAAGACCGCGCACTCTGGGTTGGAGATGGAGGTCTGGCTTCGGCTTGGGGTTGGCCTTCGTCCTTTGGACGAGCATTGAGAATGCGGTAGACGTAAGGGTAGACTATTGTCGCAGAAGGGTCGTCGAACGCTTGAGACAGGTAATCGTAGACATCCTCTCGGAACTCAGCTACGAGAAATCAGAAAACGATCGTTTTATGAGGTCATTGACGCACCGACCACATGCTGAATGATCACTTTGACCGTGCGAAGAGGCATATCACCGCTGGGTATCTTGTTAGTCGCACGAGCTCTCCAATCATTAGGCGGTATCGATTGCAAGAACTGCTCGATGGCCGGGAACAATTCGACAGGATCCAGCACATGATTCTTCAAGTCTTCCGGTATGTTTCTGGCTAATTTCCAGATGCATTTCAGGACCAGTTCTGCTACTTTTGCAGGACGATCCTCAGTTGTCGTGCCGTTCATAGCAAACGGTTTGACGATCTGAAGAAGGAGAAGGAAAAGCGCCCTGTACGTCCAATAGTCAGCTTGTATCGAATTCAAAAGAGTTTGTAAACATACCGGAAGATGGTGATGCGGCGACCGGTAGCAAAGAGTCGGAGCAAGATCATGTTGATAAACTTGGAAAGGTCCTTGACCTTTGTCTCAGTGCTTTCATCCGTAATCAGCAATCGAAGTGTAAGCTCCTCCAATAATCCACGCAGGCTAACAACCGTTAAGGACTCGGAGAGTAGCGGATGATCGCAGAAAGCATTGAGTTTGGATAAGGTGCTTGGCAAGGCGAAAATTGGCGGGATTCATGATGTCATGCTCAAAGACGTGAGACATCTGCGAGGTGATGGTCTCGATGAGACCTTCTGTATGATCCGCCAATTCTCGATAACGAGCGTCATTTTTCCCTGCTTCGGGGCTAATCTCGAGAATCTTCTGAACCTTTTTGAGCGCATCAACGCTGCGTGATGGATCATTGCTCAGAATGTTGGATATAATTAAGCTAATGTCGTCTGTGGCGTTGAGATCGGGCAGCTGGGCGCCATGGCCATTGATGGCTTGAGATGGAAGGAACTTGCTGAGGAGGCTCTGTTCGTTGGGACAGCGAGCTGGGTCTAGGTGAGGCTGAGACGGGGCCCCCTCGTCCCCTTGGCGCAGTGAGTCGAGAAGGGAGAAGACTCTTGGGCCGATTAGAGGAGGTAGTCGGCGTCGTTGGAGTCATTCGACCACTGACGCTGACAGGAGACGCTCTGCCGTTGACAGAAACGGCGGGCGACATGGGCCTAGAGAGGCGCGATGTCAATGCTGGTGATTCTGCACGTTGAGATACCATCGACAGCCTCGATCCTGCTGCATGTGTCGCACTCGCTTGCGGAGCGGGAGAAGCAGGTGTCTTTGCGCCAGGTACACGCCTCAGACGCTCCTCCAGCTGGCCCTTGTCTTTCAGGGAAAGCGTTCCTACGTGGCTCCAGATGCGTTCGCCTTCCAGGATATACGCTTCGCTACAGGCGGTCAATATACGTACTTCAGCCTGTTCAATGAAACACCAACCTCAACACGCTTAGCGCCGATTTACGAACTGCCGCATCCTTGTCTCCTATCATAGAAGCGACAACCGGGAATGCTTTCGATGGTTCACAAGCACTGAGACCCGCACTCCTCAGTACATGTCCAAGCTCGTCTAGGGCCCCTTGACGAGTCTTCGCGTTCTTGGACCGTAAACCGTGTTCGAGGAGAGTCTGGAAAATGCGACTATACGAATAGATCTTGGGGAGCTTTTGGATGATCTGCTGTACTCGTACACGCACTGGTTCGCGAGCGTCGCCAAGCTTCAAGGCTTCAGTAAATGAAGGCATTTCGATTAGGTCGTACCTTGTGGACAAAAGTCGGAAGAAAGCAAGCAGCTTCTGCATCTGTGAGTCGATAGTCACTCGCCGCCAGGAGTGCTTGGACCGTTTCGACGACGTCCAGCGCCTTTCCAACGACATTGGACTGGTTCTCATGAACTCGAAGGCACGCATATTTGAGGGCCAAATCAGAGTTGGCGATCAATATTGCCTTCATATCCTCATTTGTGGGACCATAGCGTTCGTCCCCCGCTAGAGTGTTGGCGTAGCAATCGCTGATAATGGTCATACCCGACACCCAGTCATTGACTGCATTGTGTTCTTGACTGAAGAGGAGACCGGTTACGTCTTTCGAAGTGGAGTTGTCCATCTGTGCCTGCAAAAAATCTGCGAGGTCCTTTCGCACCGGTCCCGATTCAATGACCCAGCGATTAGCATCCTTGGCGAGCCTCCCTTTCTTGCTTTCTGGGTTTGAGTTCATGAAAGGTGCAGGAGTGGCACCACTCATGCTAGTGCGAGGCGCTGCTTTAGCAGCTGGAGCGACGACAGTACCGGGTCGCTTGAGAGCTGTAAGTTTGCTCTTTAGTGGAACTTTGGCAGCAGTAGGTGCTTCTATCTCGGATTCGGCCCTTGATTCCGGTCTCGAAGAGGCCGGATTGGATGGCGCCTTTGCGATTGGGCGACTGACTCCGGTTGCTTTGGGTTTCGGAGCAGAGGCAGAGGCAGCCTCCGCGGTTGGCTTTGGCTCTGTTACTGCTTGAGTAGTTGTGGCCGTCGAGCCAGAAGGCTTGAGCGCCTGCAGAATGGGTAGAATGGCGGAGCGAGAAGCTGGTTTGAGTGGATTTGTTTCTTTGACTATGGCATCGTATCCAACGTTCTGGATGAGATATGGAAGAAGGGCTTGGGCTGATTTGCGAACGTCTGCACTGCGATCGTCCAAGCAGAGGACAGTCGGCGCCGACAGCTCTGAAAGAGAGTTGGGCGTTGTTGGCGGATGCTCTTTGAACCAATCTACCATCCATCCTAGAAGATTGCTTCTTTGCAGTGGGTTCTGCACCTCCAGCGCCGTTGCGAGGCCATGGAGGAGAGAATCGATACTTTCGCATGCAGTAGCCATCGCTGTCAATGTGGCCATGGCAGACCCTCTAATTGGAGCCTTTTGATCGGCGAGAACAGCCGCCACTGAGACGACGAATATTCGGGTGTACTTTTCAAACGGCTTGTTCATGCCAGTAGCGATTCGGGCGATGATGTCGAGAGCTAGAGCTTGAACCGCCTTGTTTTGGTCGAGTACACGGGCCTTTAAGACCTGTCCAATGTCCCCTAGAGTAACGATAAGCGATTTCAAGCGAAGTAAAAAGTGGTCTCACCTAGGTTAGGCTTGAATCGCTTGTTGGCTTCGAGCAAACCTTGCAGTTTCTCTAGGGCCTCTTTGCGGGACTTCCATGCATCGCTCTTGGAGTCTGCCAAAATGGTAGTGCCAACGAGCAGTCGATCGATATCCACACGCGGGTAGAGCTCCTCCATCGGATCGGCACCTTTGGATGCACTACCGCCGCTGGATGTCACTGGCGATACATCTGCTTGTGTACGCGTCGGCACTGGTGCTTCTTGTCCTTCCACTTTCTCAAACTCCTTTTCGATGGTCGCCATTAGCTGAGGATTGACACCGTCTAGGAAGTCCTTGATTGCTTTGTTCGCGTAAGAGAGTATCAGACAAGCAACCAAGGTAGAACTAACCAGCGCCTGCAAAGAGTTTGAGAGTAACGAGCGTGTTAGTGGCGCTTGAACGCACAGCGGCGTTCGAGTTGGTAAGCGCATTCTTGAGATAGTCGATGAGACTTCTTAGCGAGAGCCCTGCGATTCCGAACTCTATGAGAGCATCCTTCATCCAGGTAGTCGCATCGGCAATCACTTTTGGAGCCTTTTGCTTCGAGAGCGGATCATAAGCTAGGAAGATATTAACTATGGCCGATCTAAATGGAAAAGAAAAGTACCTTGACTGAAGACGAATGACAACGATGTCTTTTCCGCAAAAAGCATCAAAGCATCACCAGCAGGCTTCTTCAATTTGAGGTCTCCGAGTTTCTCTGTCAGGTGAGGGATAGCCAAAGCAGCGGATGCTTTGCCAAACGTGGAGGCTCGCTCTGCCAGCAGGCAAAGAACCCCATAGAGCTTGGCTGACACCTCGAGTGCAAGCGTTAGAACCCTTTTCAATACCTTGTCGGAGTAACATACCTGGAAGTTCTTCTCACTCCAGCCCTTCTTTGCCAAGAATCGGACGACCAGCTCGCTTTCGACAGAATCGACTACACCGCCTTCTAACCATGCCGTCATCTCATCCAAAGCGGCCAACCTCGTCTTCCAGTTGGCGTCACCAAAGTCCGTTCGAATGTTGGCGGGTATAAGATCTGAGATGCGTTCTTCGGCATCCTCAGGAGTGAAGCGGAACTTGAACGTATCCGTCGCAGGAGGTGGTCCGGCTTTTGCAGACGCCTTTGCTGGTGCTGCAACGGCAGCTGGTTTCTTGACAGCCGGAGCCGCCGTAGCAGGGGCTGCAGGGGCTGATGCGCCGCCTCCTCCAGCATCACCTGCTGGCTTCTTCGAGGCCTTTAAAAAGTGAAATTGTATCCAAATGTAGGAACGATGTTGCTTACTGCTAGCTTTGCCGCAAGTTTTGGAGGAAGTTTAGCAGGAGTTGGTGGAGGGCCATCTTCTGAGGGCGGCTCCTCCTCGGATTTGGGCTTTGTTGGCACTGCTTTTTTCTGAGTCACGTTATTAGATGTGACAGCTGATAATACATATTCCTTACTTTTGGTGGCTCTGCCTTTGGAGGAGCTGCCGCTCGAGGAGCAGGCGCCGTACCTCCAACCTTGCACTTGACTACAGCCTTGTCAAATGCCTCTTTAACCTTGTTCTTCTTGATGTCGTCCAGCGGTTCCAAGACGGGGTTCATTGCACGCTCGCCGACAATCTTCATAAAGACACCCAACGTCTCTGCGGCTTCATTCCTGACGGGCTCTGCACCATCCGATAGAAGGGTAGCCACCGCTTCTGAAATCGACTTCACTTGTGCAGGCGCCGGTGGCGTTTTCGTTGACAGCATGCATCGATGGAGAAACTTGACCGCGCCTTCTTTGACTTGAGGATTCTTTGACGCTAGTTGTGGCAAAATATCCGGAACGATGTCAGGAAAAGTTACCTGAGGAGGCTGTTAGCAATGTAAAGTGAATAGAAACGGGAGACCCACGGTCGCAAATACGGCATCAAGCGCTTGGCCGAGGGAATCGGTTACGTTTTGCTTGCGCTCCTTGAGCCTATCAAGCATAGGAGTGACGATTATCTCCCTGTATCGGCCAAAAGGTGTCCCCAGCCCCTTTGCAAGACCTTCGACACAGGACGCAGCGGCCATAACACACATGATATTAGCATCTGACATGCGACCAGCGAGTGCCTTGGTTAGCTCGGCAAATTCTGGAGGCGAGTCTTTAATCTTCTGCATCGGCGTGAGGACTGCTGCAAGGTCGTCCAATGCGGTCTTTCGATCCTTCCACTTGGAGGACGCCAAATTCGTATAAAGGCCTTCGGGAAACTTTTTGACGACGTCAGTTTCCTCCATGAATTCAGTCGGGTCAATCTCTGCTGGGGGGGCAGCCTCTTCTTCCACAGCGGAGGCATCCATTGCCTCTCTTTCTCTGGCAGCTGCACGGGTGAATCGTTCTGGTTTGAAGGATCCGGGCCCCTTTCCCTCTGCCTTGAGCGCCTCGCATGCCTCATTGATTTCCTTGATTTGAACAGGCTTGAGCTCTGCAATGGCCGGTTGAATAGCGTCTCCAACGTAGCTATATAGTGATTGTACGAGTAACGAGCCCTCTGCGCGCACGGCCTTGTCTGTATGCCCAAAGATCTTTGGCAACGCCTTGAACACAGACTTAGGTGGGCATACGACCGGACCATATAGTCTGAAATGACATATTATTAGCTTGTAGATGCACTGACGTGTTCAGAGTTGCCCCGCACCTGACGATCTCCTTTAGGGCCGTTACTGCACCGGCCACGGTCTTTGGCTGCTTCGCGTTCAAGCCCGGAAGAACGTCTTCCTGATAAGAATATCTTGATCAGCACGTGATGTCTAACAGGCGTGGCCCAACAAGTGTCATAACGTACCACAACGGCAGCAGCACCGTTTTCCACCTCAACATACTCCAGGATGAGGTCTATGGCCTTTGTCTTCGTACCCTGACGCGTTGATCCGAGACACTTGTCGACCAAGGCAGGCACGACAGCCTCTCTCGTCTTTGCAGACGTCTCTCCAGCGAATTTGACAAATGCGATCACGGCTTCGACGCCTTTCTCCTGCGCGACGGCGTTTGCATCCGTGACCATCTTCTTGAGGAGTTCTGGATTGGATGTATATGGCTTAAAGGCGGGATCGGTCTCGGACGGCGTTGCGCCAAACGTCTTCACGAGTGCTTCATAAGCGGAGACACGCGCTTTCCAGTTTTTGTGCGCAAGTCGTTCGGATATCGGAAGAGCTGAAAAGTCTTCTTCTGGTGGAGGCGCCCCATCCATAGTGGCGACCCAGCGTGGAAGAGTTCAAGTGCTGAGACGAAGGACGGCTCACGACCCAACACCTCAGGATAAGTGTTTTGTATTAATAATCATGGATAACATTATAAATAGTAGAACTTTTATCGTCCGAACGTGAGTACACATGAAGTTTGACCGACACAAACCGACGACGCTATGAATCATATCGACCGGGATAGACGCTACGTACCACCGGAGAAGCATACGGATGATCATAGACGCGATCATTGTACCTTTCTGACTGACTGTTGATGGGCGACGACGTATTGAGAGGTGGGAGCGTCAAATGAATCTCTGGTCGCCGAGATTGAGAAGCGTTCTCCGCGAACACAGCTGGTGGAGGGTATTGGGGATCTTGGACGGCGTGCTTTTCCGCCTCCTCTCCAATGGTGGTCGATGCGGTCCCCGGTCTCACCTCACTGGCCGGTTCATTGTCCCACGTCACACCCCGCTTCGCAGGTATACGAATGAGCGGTGGTGATACAGAGGACGCACGCTTTTTGGTGGAAAGTCCCTCATCGAGTGAGGTCGTCAGCATATCATATGGCCCAAATGAGCGATGTTGACGATGGAGCTGCGACGATCTGCGCTGGGGAGAGTACGAAGAGGCAGGGGACTTCGGAACGTCGCCATCCGTCTCTCGCTCGACATTGACGAATATGTGAGGCCCTTCTCCAGTGCTGTGTAGGACTACTGGGTGCTTTGAAGCGCGTTTGCTCCTCAATTCCGCACCAAGATTGTCCCCGGTGATAGATTGGCGACGAAAAGACGGCAGTCGTATCGACGACAGCACATTTGATACAACCACACGCCTTGTAGCGAGGAATAAGACGGTGTCGACAAACCCATTGAGCATGAGCAGCGTTGCAGCTGCGATGATGACCTCTGCAGACACACGACGTCCAGAAAAGGACATGAAGCGCGTCGTGGCGACAGGTGTAACGAGAATTGTGTACGCCAATGGATAGAGCATCATGTGTCTTGCCACTCGGAGCACCTGCGGACTGGGTTGACCAGGATTACAGAAGAGCAGGGAATTGCTGTCGACACCGGCTTGATACTCTGGTGGGGAGTCCATGTCTGGTTTGGATGTACTACATCGCCGAAAGAAGAAACGCCATCCGACGACGAGGATGTTTCCACGCAGGCGTAGGATGACGAGAGAGTAGAGAATCAAGGATCCAAAAGCGGAGATGAACATATAGTCATACTGAAGGAGGTGGCGCTCAATAGGATACGTCTCCTCGATCCAACACCATGACCCTGTGATTCCCCAGAAGGGACCTCGTTCGGCTTTGGCACTGGCGAGCGGACCAAGCAGGACAAGCAGGACGACGAAGAGCCAAACACCGGCAAGAGTGATGTATAGTACCCATCGTCCAAATCTCTTCCCATAGAACAGGAGGAGAAAAGTATGGCACGCAATGATCAGCGACCACATCGCTGTGCCAAGGTGGCCAAACTGCTTGAGAGCGGCTTGCGCAGTGCATAGCGTCCCCTCCTTGACTCCACGATGGACGACCCATGATACGTTTAGGATTGAAGCCACACCTTCTATCATGTCGCTAAAGAGCAAACAACCAAAGTAGGCTGCAAGGGGAGTGCGAAAAAAATTGGCATCCGTCGCATCCTTGGTCTTGACCGCCTTGATCTATGCATTGTTAGATTGAGAGCATGTACGGCTAGACGACGTACGACGATGAAGACGAAGAGGGATCCAGCTGAAAGGAGTGAGAGAGCACCGGCTGCGACGAGGAACTACAAAATGAGCGATTGTAATGCAAGAGCGGAAACAAAGGAACACTCACGCCGACGCCGATGACTTGAGAATGCGTGTACGCCTCAAACATTGCGATGCGTCGGAGGGAGGGGGGAATGGGAGAGTATGGCTCAGGAGACCTCAGCATGCGGAGGCTGTTATACGATGCTGGATCATGACAGCAAAAGGACCTGGCGACATGATCGGCTCGTAGCACAGGCCATACCTGGGTACCTGTCAAGCTAGTATGTTACCAGTGATTGGTTGTCAATAATCATGAGAAGGAAATATGCTTAAGCTTAAATGAGTTGAAGTCCGGGAGCGTCGGTGACTGAATATGTGAGATGGGAATCAATCGTATCTGCCCATATGCTGATTCGTCGCTTGTGGAGACGCATAGGGATGGCCGTGGACCCTGTATTGGTACCCCACAGAGGCGTGTTCCAGGCCAGGCGATGATGTCGGAGAGGGCATATAGGATTCGGTTGTCTGTGGCCGAGGAGAGTCAAACTCTACCACCGCCGGACCACGGAGCCGTGCTGCACGGGCTATTTCAAAAGAACCTTTTCTCGACTCGTTACCATCCCCCACGACCGTTGTGTCAGAGATGGTACCCATCCCGGTGTCAGTCGACATATTCGGGCGATGAAGGCTGGGTCGTGCGATTTTTCTGCTCATGAGCATGTCCCCACCCTGTATTGAGCATGTAGACTCAAGTGAAGGGCGTGTATGACCTACGGATGCATCACGGCCATCTCTCAAGGTCGTTGTGAGCATATCGTATGGTCCGAGCGGTCGATGTTGGTGATGAAGATGTAATGATTCACGGTGTAGTTTCGCACGCACCGGGGATTGAGGTACGTCGCTATCGGATATCCGTTCGATGTTGACGAGGATGCCTGTACCATCGTGGATTGTCATCTGTGGTCGTGACGACGAGATATGAGCTTTCGACTCGATGTCGTCGTCTTCGGTGGTCGAAAGGCCGAGAAACGAGCGCAGTCGCCTCGGGAACAACATCTTGGCCGGGAGGACACGTCGCGTGGTCAGGAACAGGACGGTGTCAACAAATCCATTGAGCATCAGCAGGGTCGCGGTGCATATCATGGTAAGATGGGAGATGCTATGACCAGCAAAGTACATGAAGCGAGTTGTCGCATGAGGGAGGATTAGAATCATGTACGCGATCGGATAAAGCATCATGTGTTTGGCAACTTTGATAACTTGTGAGTTGGGCTGGGATAGATTGGTCACGACATGTGAGTCGTGCGTGCGCTGTCGTCGGTGGAGGGTGTAGTATGCTGGCTGGAGAGTGGACGAGTCTGGGGTCTTTGAGCGTGGCCGGCGTCGTTGAAAAGAAAACCGCCATCCATTGACGACGATATTTCCTCGTATGCGAAGGACGACGAGGGTATAGAGGATCATGGACCCAAACGCGGAGACAAACTGGTAGGTGTATTGGAGCACGTGTCTTTCGATTGGGTATCCATCCTCAATCCAGCACCATGACCCCTTAATTCCCCAGAATGGGCCATGCGCCGGTTTGGCAATAGCCAAAGGCCCAAGGAGCATAAGCAAGAGGACGAGGAGCCAAACGCCAATCAAGGTAGTGTACGTGACCCACTTCTCGCTCCTGATGCCGTAGAAGAGGACGACAAAGGTCTGGCAGGCGATGACCAGAGACCAGAACGCCGTACCCAGGTGACCCGCCTGCTTGAGTGCCGCCTGAGCTACACAGAGGCTGCTTTGTTCTATACCGCGATGGGTCACCCAAGAAGCGTTGATCACAGACGAGACGCCTTCAATCACGTCGCTGAAAAGAAGACAAGCAAAGTAGACTGCAAGAGGATTCCGGAAGAAGCTGCCATCGGCTGCGTCTCTGACTGTGCAGATTTTGAACTATTGGAATGTGAGAATGATAGAAAAACTAGGCCAAAGACACGTACGAGAATAAAGAGGAAAAGGCACCCAGCTGTAAGAAGCGATAGGGCCCCTGCTGCTACGAGAAACTGCAAAGGATTAGCCTCTCCGCATTGAAGGTATGGTCTGTTCCTTACACCAACGCCGACGACCTCGATATTCGTGTACGGTTCAAATATGACGGTAGTGTTGGGCATCGTGAAAGGGATGTTCAAGCTTGCTGAGCTGTCGAAAAGAGCCAAGATATTATACCACCCCGCAGCTAAGGGCAGTGAAAGAGGCTGGGTTACACAACTCGCTGGTTACTGATCATGCTCTGGCACTCTATTGGCTCCCCTTATTTCTGGCAGACAGATCCGATCCAGCCCAGTGGGGACGCTGTATGGGATGCACCAAACTTGAAATTACGCCCTTTTGTGCAATCTCCGAGACCAATTAGAGGGTTTCAGGTCACGTAATGCGTTTGTCGTAACGCAACTCCCAATTCGACGGTGAATCGCGTTGTTGTGCACCGCTCAAGACAGTCTCCACCTCCAGCCTCCACGAGTAAGCGACAGGGAGCAAGTAGACCAGCGCATTGACAAGTGGACAAATCCGCAGTCAACTTTGCGCCATTGATCAGTGGACAACTGAGATGGAGAACCCAGGTGGATGTGGTCGTGTATGAAAAACGTCGGGAATTCAAGCTAGGGATGTATTTTGGACATTGCAATTGGCTCCAAGGTTGTCGTAGGCAACAACCACACTGTACCCCATCTTGTCTTCAAACTCTGTCAGCTCGAGGTCAGAGGCCTTTCCTGGTAACATGCTCGTCCAAGTTTAAGATACTCTAATGATGCCTTTGTAATGGTATGCGTGCTCCTCTCTGCTGAATGACGAGTTTTTCTGCACACGTTCCACGATTCTAAGCCCCTTGGGCTGTTGTGCTGGCCAGATGAAAAAACAAGAAACAGTTTGTTGCAGGTAGGCTCGCTCTTTGTCGTTTTTCGAACCTTCCGTGTGCGACACCTCGTGAACACGCCCTAACCGCAAGTTTCGACGAGCAATGGGGCAAAGAACAAACGGAAAAGAACATCAAAGGCCTTCTTTTGGGGTTTCGGCAAGAGAATATATTCCATCCATCGATCCATCACCACTCGTGTTTCCGACTTCTCCATCCCTGAGGACTTGACGAGCGGGCCTGCGCGTCGAACAGATATCGTTTGGTCTAAAGGTCGGAATTCTTTAGGACTCGTCGAGATAACTCTTGCCCCCCGTCGCGGCAAACCGACTACCGGTACCTTCGCCCCTCGACGGATCAGCTGTCGCGCGTTCGACACCCGTATGAAGAACAATATCGTACGATAAGCTTCTAGCTCGAGAAATCCCAAATTCAAGAGCAATGGAAAATCCCTCGTAACAGCCGGGCTGCTAATGAACAGTAGGATGACTGCCGTTTTGACGGATCTAGGACTAGCCTCGTACAACTCAAATCCTGCACGCAAGCTGTGGATGAACGTTGAACAGTCGAGGCGCTAGTAGCTGCCACGCGACTGTAATTTCGAAAGACACGGATAACACGAGACTGGTCGATCAAATTCGTTGAAAAGTGCTAGGAACACTTGGGTTTCTTCACTTTCCTACCTTGGTTAATGCACCCGCGGCCATGTGGACAAGCGTATGATCGACATACGTCTAGGGGGTCAGGAGTTGTCACAAATGCCGAGTCAGAAGGTGAGGAAGCCGTTCTAATCCCGTTGCATACCTACCATATTTTGGGTTAGACTGATGACGGCCTGGACGGGCCAGACGGCTCTTTGCATTCACGACGCGGACATGTTCCACGTGGATGAGTGCTTTTCTCGTAACTCAGGGATGCCTCTGATTACGCAGGGGTGCGTAACTTTGTAGCCGTGCCTCCGCTGGTTTCACGTCGCGCATCATCCTGCAGATTATCCGACCCTGTGATTTTAGCGAAAATATTCGACCCTTTTGATCGAATATTCTAGCAGATATTCCAGCGTTGTTGCTGCACAATTTACTGTCTTTCTCTGGCGTTTGTCGCTCCTGGGCTCCGAGGCAAGTTGGCGGTGGGATCGGCAGAGGGCGGATTGGCCAATCGAGACAGAGCGACTAAACACGTCGGGTGTGATCTGCTAGTTGCGTCCTAGTTGTGACCAATGGCTAACCTCCCGTCTGTCTTCTCGCACACGTTGATTGGACTGGCACAGAAACCGAAGGCAGACGTTGCTAGCGCCAAACAAGAGGGGCAGAACGTTCCATTGGAAATCGGTGCGTGACAACCCCCCGAATGGAGGGTCATTACGGAGAGATGAATGACCCACAAATAGGCTAATGGATGAGGCAGTGTGGCGTGGCAACGGCCGTCGTTTTGCTGGCAGTAACGGACGCCATGGCTGGGCGCTGAGGTGAGTGACGGCGCTGGAGCACGTCTGAAACGGCGTGTAGCCTTTTACTCCGAATGACTCGGCAGAACAGTACAAGACTGCTTGCGTTTCTTTTTGGCAATGGGCCGTAATCGCCAGTGGTGTAATGCGGGTAAGCCAATATGTTCGCATTGACCCTGAAGGTCGTTGCTCACGCCTACTTTTCTCCAGGACTGTCCCCTCCGGTCCTTGCCTCTTCTCATTTCCAGTACAAGACGCGCAGCCCCTGAGAGCGTGACAGAGCGTCCGCTGCTCCGACAAGCCAGCGCTATCCGCGGATACGCCGTGCTATCGCGAGTTGGTTTTACTTATCATTTATTCGCGAAACTGCCGGGCTGCGTTGGTTGGCGAGCGACAGTCGTTGGATTCATAATCGGTTAGACCGCTTGTTCCCAGACACCAAGAAGTTCATTTGGCGACGTTTTATAATAGGCTTTGGGACGCCAACCGCGGCGCTGCTTGACCTGCTCCGCTCTTTCCCCCCTTGGTGAGTAAATTCATCCGAAATTCCAGGCCGTCTCTGCCGCGCGCAGGGTCATCGTTGGCAGCGAGTTTCGTCGCCATTTCTGTTGTCCTTGACGATGCCGTGACTCGCTTATGGGGGCGCTGGTCTGACGATCGCGAGAAACGCGCAGAGAGCGCGGGACGCAATGGGTTTGACCTGCGCAAGCCTAATTCCTATTCATATTTAATTCCCCTTTATTTTTCACTAATTTCCGTGTAATCACTAACCGCCTGCCGCTATAAAACCCAGACCCGCCTGCCATCCAGAGCCGCTACAAACTCCAAAGGGCCCCTTCATCTCCTTCTCTCCCGACCGCGACCATCTTCCCCGTCCTCTTCTCTTCGTTCCCAACCGTTCTCAACTATTTTTAATCTACTGTACGTCTCCTTTCGTCTTCTGCATTCCTTTGCTTGCACAACCAACGGCCTCACCGCACTCTGCCAACCTTTTTTTTGCGGCCGCGTTTTGGGCGCGCCGAGCGCGTCTTTGGCGTTGATAATAACGTCTTTCGACTTGTTTTATCATCGTCTTGCACTTCTCCGCGCCATTTGCCACACGGCCCCCCTTTTTCTCCTTGCCAGAAAGTCGCTCACACGTCGCTGGTTTCTAGATGACTTCCTCCCAAGTCCAATTCTGTACCGACGTAAAGGTTCTCGACGAGTGGGCGAAACTTACTGGCCTTTCGCTCCCGCCTTCGGGTGACGCGCTCTCGCAGTCATATGCACGGGCTCATGGATGGCTGAACCATCTCAAGTAAGTATTTCGTTTCGTTCTTCCCCCAATTTTCTACCCTCCCATTGGGGTGCTGGTTGGTTCGCTTTTGCCTTTGAAGTGTCAAAAGGCCTGCTGGTCACCGCCATGGCCTTTCTTTCTGCATCGTGGCTCTGGCCTCCCTTCCATTTGAATTTTTCACGTGGATCCGTCTGTCTTGCTGGTTACCGACGGTGTCCGAACCCGGAATTAACCGCCCATCTTCTAGGGATCAGCTCGTCCAACGTGCACAATGGCGCGAACAGCCAACCGGCGACGCAAGGATGCTCTTTGCCGTCACCTGCCCACTTCGAGGTCCCTCCAACGAGACGCTGACCATCTCTCTACCGGCTTACGCGACTTCCTTCTTCTCGCCAAACCGCACTACCTTGTTCGCCTCGTGCTTCCAGTCCGCCCTCTTTTCAAACACGCGCCATTCGACGGCTCCGGTGGCAGACATTCTCCATCTCCTCCAATGCCTCATCCCAGGCATGCTCACCGTCGTCATGGTCGAAAACGTCCCTGGTCAGGGAACTTGGACCACCAGCCGAGGCCTCCCTCCCGTCGAGTGGGTCGACGCCAACCGCGACCAGCTCACTGCCGTTGTTGGCCGTGAGCATTATGCCCGCATCCGTCACGCGGCTGCGACAAAGACTATGTCGTTCAAGACGTCTTGCAAGTAGACGCGCTTGGACAAATCCTCTCTCTATGCCGACACTCTATGCATTCTTCGAAACCAACCGTCGCGCGTTGTCAACATGGCCCACTCAAAAATCATCAAGGTCTCGTCTAAACTATCACTATTATCATATTTGGCGTCCAGTCGCCTCCAAACCTCATCTACTTTACACCCTCACCGTCGCGAGCGACTCCGTCTAATAGCATCCATATTCACCAGCATCATACAAAGGCTCGGGTCCTCTTGCATCCATCGGCATCACCACTTTCGACTCTCGTTGCATCGCATACATCCATTTTACCCCTGGCCTGGTCAGACTTCTTGCATCGTATCCAACACTCAATCAAAATCATTACAATCAACCTCATGCATTCATGCGAATGCCCTGTGTATCATGACGTCTGCCTGCATCTTACGGCCCTTTCAATCGCCCGCACGCCATACAAATGTGACCGACTCGTCTGCAAAGCAAAAGCATTCCCGGTTTCTATGATACCATTTATTACCCACCCGTTTATTTCCTTGCACTATCCTTTCCGTAATTCGTCATCCCTTCTCGCTCAAAAAAACCCCCGTTCGTTATATTATGTGAGATATTTGCTCATTGCCCTCTGTCCTTTTCCGGCCTTTCTTGTCGCTTCTTGACGGCCCTCTCTCTTGCTCCCCTCTTTGCCCGACACCGTTTCACCGTCTTCCCTTTTCCCCTTTCCCCCCTCTTCGCTTTCCCTGATAGTCGCGGGCTCGTCTCGTGCATCCAGACAATGTCCCTTTGCCCCTCTGTTCGCTCCTTTACAGTGGCGGCCGACTGTCCCTCTTTTCGACTTCGTTCCGTAACAAACCAATAGATCTGCCTTAGCGCCCCAAGCAAACTTTTGTTCCAAGTATAAGCTGTTGACCATGTTGATGTGAGCGAGCCGGAACTTTCGTATCCTCGCGTGCGCAAAGTTACACATCACATGGGACGCTGTCAATATGTTATCTGCCGTCGTATCATGATAATTTAAGCAAGCGATCGGATGTCTTGAGCCACGCGTATCTAATATGTGGATTATGAGCGCGTTTTATATACCACCAATCTTGGTGCACATGGAACCTCAAATGGACATAGTGTCGCTACAGGAATGAAAGAGTATTTGGGTTTATTCAGAACAAGAGCGATAAACCAAATGTCCATGCGTGTCCAAGAATGAAGAGGAATCAATGACCAAGAAGAAACAAAAAGGTGGGTATGAACCCAATCAATGGTATCTCTCAAACAGCATTCGGGCCACTGTGGGGTCCATGTCCTTGCGTAAAGGTCGTAGCTGGGGGTGGATGCTGAATGTGCATATCCGACATCGGTCGTATATCCCATTCCACCTTGCGCATAAGGAACCGGGGTGGAGGGCTTGTGCATCCCATCCTGTGCTGTCCATTGTCCAGAGCCCGATTTACCATGATGCCCTGCTGGGATGACAAAGGTCGACTGGGAGCTCTCTCCGTTGTGGTTGTACGTGTACGGATGGTGCACTGGATATCCGTGTGGAGGCTGATATGGTTGATCAAAGGCGTGGACCGTCTGATATCCTGCCGGTGCTAGGACTGGATTCTTGATTCCGGTCCCATCGAGGGCCCCTTCGCGCATCTCGTGAGCCTTGGTAGTTTGCGCGTCTCGACGGTTTTGAATGCGGGCCTTCATACCCCCTTTCCATCGCTGGAACCGTTCACTGGACTTGAGGCAGCAGACGTATATCATCGTGAGGATAACGATAAAAACGAAGACTAGAAATTCCAGGACGCGGCTTGAGCAGGCGAATCTCAATACGGAGGGAGAAAAAACGTACTGCTGGCGACGACAACATAGATCATCGGGATGTACAAGATGCCAATTCTCACACTACTACCACCTCCATTCCCACTACGTCCACCCCCTTTTGCAGCAGCGTGAGGAAGACTAGCGAGCAAGAAGAGGATCGCCGATGCCATGAAAATACCGGACGTAGAGGTCATATTCATCATCGTAATGGTCGTTGAGAGTAAAAAAGAGGACGAGATAAGGAGAGTGCTTCGAATGCCCGTCGATTTTATAGCTCCCAATCGACCAGAAAAGGCGCCGCGAGGTGGAAGCCCGAGGACTTTGCCGCCACCGAAAGCTGTCAGCCAACAGAATGACACGCGGAAACAGTCGTAATTGAAGTGAACAGCGAGTCACAATCCGCGATCCCATCAATGGCCTTCAGGCACTCTTTCGCTGCACCGGTCCATACACGATGCCGTGTTGAAATATTCAAATCGGGTGGACCTGGCATGCCAATCCGGTGGAACATATGGTGCTTGCTGGGCCGTTGACAGAAAGGTAAGTATCGGGGAGCCATATGGGGATAGAGCACCGACTTGTCGATAGACAGGCATAATCTATGGTATGATCTTTTTCTGTACATCTGCTGCACATTTTGCATCATCAAGTCCCATTGTGGTGGCGGGTTTGAAGCGGGAACGAAGCTGTGGTCTGAGGGTGTCGCTCGGGGATGTTCAGGAGTGGTTCTGATAAATCCGTTTAATAGGCGTGTGTACCATAATAGGAAAGACATGCGCCCAAGTCACACGAGACAGGACTACCATATCCGTTTTGTTGTGTGCGCGACGTGTCAGCAGCATATTAGGAGTGGATAGACAGATGCTGGTGAAATAGCAACAGATTCCGTTGGATGCTATACAGCATATGGATCCGACGTAGATCAGACTGATGGTATATCATTCATAAAGTACGCAATACGTGACGCAAGGACTCACCTCCATTACGGTAAAACTCCTGCAACACAAACAATTCTCCCAAGACTGCGAGTACCCAAAGCCTAGGAGGCCAGGACCCACTTGCTCTTGACGAGGCCCATGCAAGTGTCCCAGCATAAACTATGGCGATAGCAGAGCCGAGAAACGCCAGATTCCGCACCAGGCTGAGGCACAGAAATTTGGACATGGTACTCGCACGGTCGTCTTCTACGCAGAACCATCGAATCACGAGAACTTCCCATGCAAGGAGAGTGACAATTGCTGCGTGGCATCCAGGAAAGCGACGAAGGTGACGAAAGAGAGGGAGTGGCACAAGTAGGACGAGGACATAGGCGGCGAGCGTGCCCAACTGTATCGCCATTCGTGGATATGTACCTGGAGGCACAAAATTAAGTATCCAGAGTGGCGCTGTGAGGATGAATCCGCCGAGGAACATGAAGAGGCCAGTAGAAATGACTATACGTGACAAATTAATGAATGTCAGCCTGCCATAGTTGAGTATTTGTAGTTATTATTTACATACTGTGAATGGATAGGATCAGAACGAGGCCGATACTGCCTTCATTCTCCAGAAAGTCCGTAATTGGTCTATACATCTTGACAATGGAACCCCAACGGCCACTTGGAGAAGTGTCTTCGGTCTCAAAAGGTGGAAGCATTGTGATTGAGCGTAGTCGTCGAGTTCAAACGGGTGTTGGGAGACTTGAGACGCCAACCAAGCGCAAGGCGCAAGATGAATGATAGATACGTCTATAGAATCACTTTTGAGATACTTGAGATATCTCTAGACAACCTAAGATGCCTCTTCGTAGTTGCTGGGTATCGTCTGACGTGGTCAAGGAACAGGAAGACGCTGCGGAGAAATCAAAACGAATATTCTCAAGGTGACCCTTCAAAAGTGAGATACAAGGATACATTTATTACGCTGGACCTTTCGAGGTATGACTAGCATCTGCTGGGAAAGGTGGAACAGGTCCTAACGGCGTCGTCGACGGTGGCAGCGGACTATCCTGTGGAGTTTTGGATCCAGCATAGTCCAAGGATGGTGCTGCAAACCCACCATTTGAATGCTGAGAAGTAGACAATGGTTGGAAGAGAAGCGGGACGTCAATGTTGCCGGTTGGAGGTGGCTCTATGAGCTTGTATAACGATGTATCCGGCTTTCCAAAGTCGGGCTTATGGGCTCTATAGTATTGGCAGAGAATTGTGAGTGAGACTAGATTTGGAATAAGCACAGAAGATTGGGGGGCCAGACCAAGCCATACCAGCAATAGACTGTAAATCATTCTCTGATACTCCAAGTGCCCGTCTCCATTCCGATTGCGGGTCACTTATTCTGTCGGCAAGCGTTGAACCTCGTGGACCGTCAACCAGACACTGTGCAAAGAGGAAACATGCTGCGGCGATCACTTGAGGCGACTCTAGAATGCACAAGGGGGTACGATACGAGTCGTGTGCGACAGACCACAGACAACTGATCAATTTTGGATCCAATTTTGATGGGCCTCCCACCAGATCGGCAAGTTGGGCGTGAGCATGTCGTACATCAAAATCGAAGCATAGAACCTCCAGGAGGACTTCTTCGTTAGCTAGAATTGCTTGCTCCCAACGTTTGGCTTCCTGCAGTCGGTATCAATTCAGGGTACAGGTGACCAAGAGGCTCACATTGTCGTATTTCCCAGCGACCTCTGATGGATGACATGCATGCACCTTGGATAACGTGACTGTGACGAGATCATCCAACCTCACACCGCTCTCTTCGGTTTTGGAGGCCAGAAAGAGACAAGTAGCGGCAATCTCCTAAAGTCAAAAGAAAATAAGATATTTAAGGTTTCCTGGGAGGAATCCGCACCAATTCATGGTAGTCTTCAAGCATCCGACGCATATAGAATCGGTGGAGATACGTTGCCGCGGTTAAACAAGGCCCAAGCCCCCTGTCAGTATCATAAGAAAGAGATGTCAAACATTCTGGTTAACGTACATCATGAGAGTGGCACCTACTCGCATGAGCCAATCAACGCCTTTGACTCTCCGTGCGATTTCGGTCTCCAAAGGGACCATTGACGGCGTTTTCCGAAGTTGTTCAAGTGAAAACTGCCATTGAGAGGCCATATTCCAGCCTAACCGGGAATATGGATGATCGTGGGCAGACGACAAGGAGGTACAAGGGGTGCGTACCCATCGCAATCGCGTAAACGACTAGACGCACGTCAAACCTTGAACGACTTCGAAAGAGCTTGATTGAGATGTTTTAACCGTGCAGGCTAGAAGGCGCCGTAATTCTGGATAATTTGTCCGTCGGCGGGTGAGAGGAGTTTGGATTTTGATCATGGTGAGCCCACAGCTCCAAAGGTACCGAGGAGTCTTTTGATCCACTTCATTTAGCATGTCCTCTCGTGAGCGCTCGCTCGTTATTACGGGAAAATTCCGCCTGAGACAAGCGTAAAGCCCATAAACGCGTAGTCCAGATGCCCAAATTAAAATTGCAAAACCTTGCATACAAGGCCTAGAACGTCGTGTGATAATTCAGATATCGATTTGCGACGTCCCCATACCGCCGCCCCGCCGAGCATCTTAATTCGGGCTGTCACAGCTTGGAAAAAGGATTTCCGACTCGATCAAGTCATTTTCGGTATGCTCCTCCCGGCCATGCGGATCTGCGTCACGGCACACAACCCTGATATGTTGATTAGCGTCGTCGATAATGCTCCAAATACTCATCTTCGTCGCCGAGCGGGATGATCGGGCTGAGAAAACTCAAGAACCGATCCGCAGGATGCCGACTTAATTATGCACGCTTAAATAGTGAGGCCATTTCGCACTAGATTGCAAACATCGGAATAGTATAGATGATGGGAGAAGCAGAATAAATTTTGCATAGAGAAGAGAGAGAGGGAGGGTCCGTTGTCGCGTTACGAGCACGACTACTCGGGTGTCAGGAACATGCAGGGCACTTTCGCTCAAGATGCACAGCTATTGCAATTCGTCAGAGAGAGCGGCAAAAATTGCACACACGCTTGCTCGGGCTCACCATAGGTTTGAGGAAACTGCCGACTGGAGCGCGCGAAGAGATCAATGTCAATGCCACTGAACACAGAACCGAGGGACCAGCCATGACACTTACTATTGAGAGCATTTTCGCCGACAATCGTGTGGCTCCTGGGTGTGACATGAGCTGAATTTGCAATACGGCTGGAAGCAATCAATCTTTCGAAGTAAGAGTGCGTAAGAGAAACAGTGGTCAGTCGGCTAGATCAAGACAGCCCCGACTTGCATACCTGCTCCTCCAGGTCGTACTCGTGACCACAGGCGTGGTAATTTTGGTGTACACGGCGATATTTGCACATGGTCAACGTAGCGAGACGGGGTGTTCCGGTACCGAGCGACGCGGCGACGCAGGCAAGACAAGAAATTGGCTGGTTATAGAGTCGGCTGCCGCACTCGTTTCACGCCTCGTTGTACAAGCGAGTAAACCTTGAGCGCTTCAAGAAACCAGACGAGCCGGGGGCTGCGGGGACGGTGGAGCAGTGGCCTTTGTTTGGTTGCAAGGCGAGTATAAAGCGCGAGCTGTCTAATCCAACCAGACGACTACGCAGGCGACCCGTTGCCGGAAGATATCCAAGGATGACAGGGAGGTGCACGAAAGAGGACGAGGAGGAGATTGTGCTGCAGCCCTTAGGAGTTTGGCGTGGGTCTATATAGTCGCACTCGGTGTGCCTACAGACTACCGGTACCTAAGGGTTCTTCATTTATGCACTTGATCTCGCCAACAGTCCATATTCTAACACGCACAACTGCATTTGAATGCCTCATAGCGGTACCAAGCTCCCATGACCAGGCGAGAGAGAAGCCGAAGTGTCGCGAGGTGAAATTTAAACTGATAAGGAAGAATCTCTGATTGCTAGGAGGATAATTACTCATCCCCAAACAGTGGCTCAGTGCCGTCTGGCACTGCGCTTTATTCCTCATGAGCAATCCCTTGGAGCCAGTGGTGATCGAGAGTCTTTTTGCCAATCATGATCCATTGAACGCCGTCCACGTTTCGATGCTCAGCAACGGGTCGTTCCTATGGACGCGTCCCTGACTATGGACCTGCCACAGTGTGACTGACGTCGAGAATACAAATTCAGGCCCCTCCTAGTTCTATAGTCATCGGTTGTTGCGATAGAGTTGGAACAGGAGGCCGTCCAAGCTCTTGTCCATCCTCCAGCCCCGTCCGGATGACACTCCGGAGGAAGAAACCCCGGAACGATCTCCAAATGGATTGCAGGCGCATACACTCCTTGTCGGCTGGTTCATGAAGCCAATGGCGGCAATATCCGCATTGGTGAACGCGCGCGCTAGGTGAGATCACTGGACCCGAAGAGGGTGGACTTGCCAATGTACACTAAAATTAATTAGGTGGCGACGCTGTGCCCTTGGGAAGCTAACCAGCGCCTTTACCATCCGCGACGGACTTGATCAAGGAAATTCACATCCAGTAGATAATATCAAGCGCTCTGATGGTTCCCTGGAAATATAAGCATTTTATGATCGGAGGCAACCCACGCATTCAGCCAAATCTTCCGAAGGGCGGCCTCGATAGCTGCCGCGTCTCGAATGATGTACCAGGCAGCCGTCGTCCCTAACCATTACGTCAGCCCCCATCAGAATCACGAGTTTGGCGTCCGTAGAAACTGTGGAGGCGCATCATAACACCGCCGCTCAGGACCCAGGACTTGCACTCCCGAATCGGAACAGCGGTGAAACTATGCGGTCGCAGGGCCAAAAATCCCGTCAGAATGGTACCTTTTGTATGTTTTGGTCCGATTACATCCAGTGGGTTAGGGGCCTGATAAGGCAGGGATGTCCAGGCTTCGACCCTTGCTCGAAGGCATATTGTGTTCTAGTTCAGGAGTTGAATCACCCCTCAAACGTGCAAATGCGAGCGGTGGAGACAAAGAGTGGGTGCATTGATTACGTCGAACTTCCTTTGGCCCTGGCCCTACGTTCTGGTGGAACCTGTGACACTGATCTCGATCGTAATAGGCCTAAAATCAAGAAAAGGGCGTATTGAACACGCATTTGACCTCGAACATTGATGCCGACCTCGTCAGGATATCGACGTCGGGGACAAGTGAATCGTCACAAGTGATGATGAGGAAGCACAATGAACCAATTGTCTGAAAAATGGTTGCGCTTGACAAATGTCACGTCGTCTTGTGCGATAATTATCGGGGGACATCCTGTGAAAGGACCAAGATGCAGATGGGGCGGTCCAAGTACTACAACAGATTGCCAAAGAAATACTCATCTACGCTATATATGCCCAAGATTAGGACACCAGCGACACGCGGACTTAGTACTTGGCTGCTGCGATATCATTCCTGACGAGCTAAACGGTTAGTTCTCAACTCAGAGACTATTTAGGCTCGCTCTTCAAACGATAGTCGAACTAGTGGCAATCCCAGCCTTCAGTCGATTTGTATTCCAGCCGGTTATCAAACTTGAGCGGTACACACGCCATCCTCGGCCCTTGTTCGTTCTTTCCACGATCGTTCTCCCCGTGATGGTCCCTTCAGATGTCGGCGGGCGACAAATCGAGCAACCTCAACCCGCCTGCTCTGCAATCAACAAACCAGTCAATCCGGATCGGAACGCCGAATTCGACCTCGTGGATGACTCTGCGCTTTATAATGTCTGCTGATAGATCCAATGATCTTCGCAGTGGGATTTGCCACCCACCATGACTCGGTTTTGGTCCTCAGACGAGCTTGAAAGAGAACCACTGCTCTCAGTTGCCTCAAGCCAGGTTCAATCCAATGCTCTCAGTGAACCATCCACAAGGGTTGGCACTCCAAGCAGCTCAGGTTTTGCGACTCCCAAAGAGCAGCCTGTAAAACGAACACCACTACCATGGAAGCAATTAATGGTATTAGCAGCAATCCGCCTTGCTGAGCCTATCAACTATACTATCATATTTCCGTTCATCAACCAGGTATGCCCCTGCAGCCTCGTGTACTCAAGGTGTTCATAGCCATAGATGATGGAGGAGCTTCATGTCAGCGACAAACCAAGTGAAATTGGTTTCTACTCTGGTCTAGTGGTAAGGGCTTTCTTTGTCGTCTTACTTCCATTCACTGCCCACGAAGGATTCCTGTTTTGCAGTGGCCCAGTGCTGCACCATCCTACAATGGGGACGGCTGTGCGTAGTGTTTTACGGTCTATACCATGCTTCACACCCTTTAGGTCTGACCGGCTTGGTCGGAAGCCCATTCTCTATGTTGGTTTGTCGGGCTCGGTCATCAGCATATTTTTGTTTGGACTTTCGAAAAATCTAGCATGGGCTTTGACCTCTAGAAGCATAGGTAATCTCATTCTTCTCGTGAAGTCACGTTAATCAGTCTACATACAGCCGGAGCATTGTCAGGAAACATAGCGTAAGTTTATGGCCTTTATCAATACCTGACTGATAATTTCTTCGAAAGCGTAATACAGTCGATGCTAGCTGAGATTACAGACGCGACAAACGAAGCTCAGGCCATGCCCCTCCTCTCTGTCACATGGTCCGCAGGTTTGTTGGTTTATTTACAGCCTCCCGCACTGCATTGAGATGGAAGAAAAAAGGTTGTGTTCTTGGGCCTATGCTGGGAGGAAGTTTGCTGCATCCTGCAGAGCGGTGGCCGACATCCCCTTTCAACAACTTTTGGTTCAGGACCTATCCGTGAGTGAGCCGTTGATTATGCGTACACGATTGATTGAACTACAGATATGCTTTGCCATGTATGGTTGGCGCATCATTTGGACTCTGCGCTCTCCTCTTTGCATATACGAGCCTGAAGGAGACACTTGTCCGAAGACGCCTCCCACATCGTGCATCAAACTGTTCAACAAGCTCTGCTGACACCATGGTGGAGAGCATAGAGCCAATTCGGACAACAACGACGACGCGTACAATTCTCTCGCATCGACCTCTCCGTACCGTCATTCTCTCAGGCTGCCTCAACTCGGTACTTGCGACCTCTTATGACGTTCTTTTTGCCTTGATGTGCTTTTCACCCATATCCATTGGTGGGTTGTCACGCTCCCCGATCGAGATTGGTCTCGCATTTGCGTTTGGAGGTATCGTCTCTGTGGTCATGCTTCCGACTACGCTTCCGATTCTTCAACGCCGATTTGGAACATCCAAGTTCTACAATCTCCTGACAATGATATGGCCCATCACCTTTCTCACCTTTCCACTTTTGAACATGCTCGCTCGCAGGCTGTCCATTGGGGACGATCCGTCAACCATCTCACAACACGGCACCTGGGCTCTCTATATTGGCATAGGGATACTGGTCCTTCTATCTCGAGTAGTCTGTATGACCTTCTCGTAAGTCTTAACGCAGTTTCATGTTCACGACAATACTGACTATCCACCAGGCTAAACGTCATGCTCGTCAAGGCGGCAGCTCCAAATAAAGAAATGCTCGGCAGCACATACGGGGTCAGCCAAACCCTTGTCTGCGTGGCTCGAGCTATTGGACCGGCCACTGCAAGGTGAATACCCCCATTCCGTGCGCACAAACCGCCGTTGACGCTCTCCGAAGCACTCTATTTGCCTTATCGGTGGACCAGCGACTCCTTGGCGGCAATTTGGTATGGTATGTTCTGGCTTGTATCGGCGTATGGAGTATCAGAGTCTCCAGCCAGCTGAGAGCCATGGGTCTGTGATACATTCCCAATCAAAACCGAGCTTGGCAGACAGAATGACATCTGCAAGTTCACATTTATGTACCCATCTGGGGATAGGTTTTTCATTATCAGGAAATCGAATTGCATTACCCAAAGTCCAAGAAAAGAGAAGCGTGTGCGCGATGTGCGTTTATTGTGACGCAGCGTCTTCCTCTTCTTGTTGCCTATGTAATTCTTCACGATAAGATTCGAACCAAGCGTGCTGTCGCATTCTCTTTGCGGAGATGCGGCGGGCTTGGTCGTAGCTGAGGCATTGCTAAATGTAGAAATGAGCCCGAATCCGAATAGCGTAAAGCTATGACTGACGTTTATCACATCTAGTCCATCTTTGTCCACGTTCTTGATGATCGAGCTGAGGTCCTGAGGACCCCACTGAGGGAAAGACGGCTTAAAGTCTGGAAGTTCGCTGACACCTGGCCAGATTGTATCGTTCGGTGTGCCCATAATCCTATGCTAACGTTAAATAGTCCCATTGTCTGAGGAGACCAAACGTGCCTGAAGATTTTGAAGATTTGATCAATCTCAGAGTCGCCGTTGAACAGCGGGTTGCCCTTCATAATCATCTCCGCGAGGATGCATCCTACGGACCACATGTCGATTGCAGTAGAGTATTGACGCGCGCCCAGCAGAACCTCGGGAGCCCGATACCAGAGTGTGACAACCTATAGGGGGTGAGCCGAGGAACATGATCTCTCCAGAACGTTGCTGGCAAACCTCGTGCGTGTAAGTCCTCAAAGGAATACCGAACGCTCGTGCCAGCCCAAAGTCGGCAATCTTCAGATTTGCATCCTTGTCGATGAGCAAGTTTTGCGGCTTCAAGTCTCGGTGGATGATTCTGTGGGAATGACAGAAAACGAGCCCAGAGCAAAGCTGGTACGTAAATTTCTGTCACATAATTGTCAACGTCCGTGTTCAGATCTAGCAAGACCAGTGCGACTTGCCTTGATGAGATCGGTGGACAAAGGCGTGCGGGCCGCGTTCATCTTCTCCTGGTATCTCTTGAGATCATTGTCCAAGAATTCGAACACGAGGTATAGTTTGGCTTCGTAGTGTAATGTATCCAACAACCTGCGGCGCCAGAATGAAGCGCCTAGTTCAACAACCATCCATCGACGTGCTTTGAGCTCTTTCATGGACGTACTTTACAATGTTATCGTCGTCGAGCTCCTTTAGTAGGCTGATCTCGCGAATGGCCGTTGACGGCACGCCTTCGTCTTCCGACTCGAGACGGATTTTCTTCATCGCCACAATATTTCCTGTGCGATTATCTTTGCCCTTGTACACAACACCGTAGGTGCCTACGCTTTCTCTGCTCAGTTACCGGTGTTGGCGCGACAACACGACTATGTACCTTCGCCAACCTTTTCAATTTTTGTATAGTTCCCATAGTTATTGTCTCCCATGTTCACAATCTGGTTTACAAATGCTGGGTGACGGTACAGAAAAATGGACGGTGGTGGTTGTGGCCAAGATTCAACATGGTACAATAATGCAAGATGAACCAGGGAAGCAAAAGAGATTCAATTAAAAGTCTCCATCGTCCATGTCATTTGGCTGTGTTGGTATCATTCAGTCAGAGTTCTTGCACCCTATGGCAGCGCACCTCTTTTGGTTCTTCGTCTTCCCCATATTGCATCGTGTAGTCGATGTGACTTATGATTCGTTCTATTGATTCCGTCACTGTCAGGTCCAATGGCAAAAACGAGACGAGGGGGTGCTCTTCTATCTTCAGGGCTGTCAGCATTGACCTCCTGCATGGCTTGACGTACTAGTTGCGCAATCGCTCTATTCAAGGAATGAAACCGCTTATTGAGTTGCTTCTCGTCCTCTTCGACCGCAGAAGGAGCAATGAGAAGTGGGTCAGGGTCGAGGTATCTGTCCGAATGAGACCATGGAGATGATAGCGTTGAACGGCTTGCCTTGAAATGTCCTTTCGTGTACGAAACCCGTTCCGGCCACTTGCTGGATCTTTGGACCGTGTGCTGACGAGATCCATCTTTGACATGACATTGATCCAGGGAATCTCCAAATTGACCATGGCCGACATTGCAGAAAGTACCCCACTGTACTTGTTAGTAGCATATTGTGAACCATGATAATATTTATCACCTAAAGAACTTGTATTTGTCTTCCATGAACTGGGACTCGACGAAATATGCGGCCGACGTCCGTATACCCATCTGCTTAAAGTGCGCAACGAGTGTGGGAAGAATTGGGTGATGTGTATATAGCTCTATTTGGCCTTCGAGAGCTTAGTCAGGGCTTACTATCAGTAAAGCATCTCACCAGGGCAGTCGATGATTAAATAGTCATCAGTATAGTCTCCTAGTTCCTCGTCGAGCCAATCCAAGTTTTGTAAAAGATACCTGAGGAGACATTAGACTCAAAGATATGCAAAAGGGCGACGTACTCAAAGCAGTAGACCAATCCACCATTCGGACCAAAACCCAATTCGCTCATGACATCGTCTAGACTGATGAGATCCCGAATATCAATCGTTGGTGCAAACTCGTACGTCTCTGGATCCGCCGCAGGATCCAGATTAACCCAATGGACAGTGCGCTTGACTGTCTGCAAATGCTGCACGGCGTTTTTGCAAAAGGTAGTCTTGCCGGCTCCAGCAGGTCCTGTTACAAATACAGCGTATCTCATGTCTCGAGCCTTTTAGAGGTCGCGGTCAGAGACCAAAAGGTGGCGAGCCACTCTTAGCCTCTTACCACAATCCATGGCGCTGAGGAGAGGAGCCGGGTTGGCGGCTTTTGAGAGACACAAGGCGGACATACAATCCTACGCCACTCTCTCAGAATCATTGACGCGCCAGTCTCTCGACGCGCTCGAAGTCCAGCTCGACCACTTTCGAATGACGCTCCAGCGCTTTGCAAGCTCCCACAGAGAGGATATCAAGAAGGATCCCGAATTCAGAGCACAGTTTCAACAAATGTGCATCTCCATCGGGGTCGACCCGCTCGCTGGGCCGCAGAAAGGCGGGTGGTGGGCAGAGATGCTCGGAATGGGCGATTGGCAATACGAACTCGGGGTACAGATTGTCGATGTCTGCGTCGGTACACGGGACAAGAACGGTGGCATGATCGACATGCGCGAACTTCTCAGGCTGCTCAATAAACTGCGTGGAATCGCAGTTCTAGAAGGCAAGGAAAGCAGCACCCCAGGAGCAGTCACAGAGGAGGATGTACTAAGGAGTATCAAGACGCTCAAACCGCTCGGGGCAGGTTACGAGATTATCCACATTGGGAGTCGGAAAATGGTCCGCTCCATTGTCAAGGAGCTCGACATGGATCAAGCCAAAGTGCTCGAAATTGCTGAATCTGTCGGTGGCAAGGTCTGGGCAGAACTCGTCGCTGAAGCGGCTGGTTGGCCAGTCGACCGTGCAGTGGCGGCACTGGAGAACATGCTCCTCCGTGATGGTTCTTGCTGGATAGACGATCAAGATCCAGAAGCGAGCGCCGTATATTGGGTCATCTCAGTTCTGGAGTGGGAGTGAAGGTTGGTCACCACGATAGCACTCGGGTGGTGCTCGCTGACAGTAGGGACAGGGTTGACGTTAGTTCTTCATTACATTGCTACACGGGTTATATCCATAACAAGCGCAAACAGGGTGGGGTTGGATATGAGAGCTGTGATCAAGGGCATAAACGATGCTCGGAGGGGGGCAACTCTTCGAAAGAGTGCAAGATGATGTCCAGTGTCAGGCGGATACTCGCATAGCGAAAGCTATGCAGAAGCATATCAGGGTATCCTGGAACTGTTTCAGCCCGCCCGGCGTTTCAATCGTCATAGCAATGTACGTACGTTGTCAAACATGGCTTGTGCGACTGCATCAGTGTCCTCCCAATGGCAACATAAATCCGCTCTGTCGATGTAGCATCATCAAGGATGGTTCACGTGAGCAAATTCCAGACTGACCGCCCTCCTTGCCCTCGTTTCTCATAAATTTGTGTAATTACTGCAAACTTGCTAAAGATGATATGAGCATCAACCTTTCCTGTATAAGAGACACGTACAAGTTATTTGGTTCTATCTGCAGCATCCGCTCCTTGACACGTTCTCCAATCTCGCGGCCTGTGTCCACAAATCACGTTAGCAAGACTAGAGTCGGGGATGGAAGGTGCGAACGGACACCAAGCCTTGACTTTATCACGCTCCTTGAGCTCTGGAAACCTTTGGCTAGCGAGTGTCGAGCTCAACAGGTGCTTCATGTAGCCCGAGAGGCCCTCTGCGTCAAACTTTTTCGGCTTTGGACGCGTAGAGGCGACAGATGACAGTGGTGAGCGTGGCGTATGAGGTGTTGACCATGCTGGCGAAAGGACGCGGCTGTTCATGATTTGTTGTTTGATTTGTTGATTATTATTGTAAAGTGGTTTGCTGTCCTTTCAAGTCTGCAGGTTATACGGTTGGGTGCAACGTTGAATGGCCACACTTTGCCCCCGACGATGCTTGCCCGACGCGCTTTTGCGACTGCCTCGCGTAGTTCATTAAAGATTGGGCTTATTCCTGCCGATGGAATTGGCAGAGAGGTCATCCCAGCTGCTCGTCAGGCCATCGAGGCCCTCGGCTCGTCAATCCCGAAACCAGAATTCATCGACTTGGACGCTGGCTTTGAATACTTTCAGAAACATGGAAAAGCTCTACCAGAAGAGACACTTCAGTCTGTTTTTCACTCTTACATCTCGCCTGGTCGCGCTTACACCGAGGTAGAAAGCTGAAAAACGAATGTGACTGCGCCATGTTTGGTTCAGTAAGGTGAATACACTCCCATACAGCTTATTATTCTTCAAGGATTGAGCAATCTACATAGTTCGCCATCGACCAAGGTTGCTGGCTATTCGTCGCCAATCGTCGCTCTTCGTAAAGCCATGGACTTGTATGCAAACATCAGACCAGTAGTCGGAGTATGTCCACTTGATTATTCCAATATCCCTTTTCTAATGTGGACAGGTCTCGGCCTCTGGCAAACCAAGCGTCGATCTCGTCGTGGTCAGAGAGAATACGGAATGCCTGGTCGGTCTACCAGCTCAACCCTTACATCGACGTCTCATCTTGCATAGTATGTCAAGCAAGAAACTCTGGACAAGAACGAAAAAGGCGAGCAAGTCGCCAAAGCCACTCGGGTAATTACCGAGCGAGCCTCGCGGCGTATCGGCCAAATGGCATTCAAACTCGCAGCAGAGCGACCAAGAAAGGCATGTAAACTAGTATTCTTAATCGTCCAACATCTGAAACAGCCCCAGCACTTGACCATTATCCACAAATCCAACGTCCTCTCCATCACCGACGGGCTCTTCCGTGAATCCGTCCGAGCCGTTGCCAAAGAGTGGCCAGACATCACCATCGCCGAACAACTCGTCGATAGCGCCGTCTACAAACTGTTCCGAGAGCCAAAGTATGCAACAACACCCCTCTTCCCAAATAAACATTTGATGCTGAATCCTCCCCAAGTGTGTTCGACGTCATGGTCGCACCAAACCTCTACGGAGACATTCTTTCCGACGCGGCAGCCGCCCTCGTCGGATCCCTAGGCGTCGTCCCCTCCATCAATGCCGGCGACGATTTCGTAATCGGAGAACCGTGCGTAGAACCCCCCTTGTTGACACGTCCGGCATTCTTAACGATCGTTCTTTTTAGCGTTCACGGATCAGCCCCCGATATTGCTGGCCAACACAAGGCCAACCCCGTGGCGTCGATACGATCAGCCGCAATGATGTTGCGACACCTCGGATACGGAGACGCTGCTTCTCGCATCGAAAAGGCTGTAGACACCGTCCTCGTAGAGGGACACGTACTCACGCCAGACTTGGGTGGCAAGGCGACTACAGAACAGGTCACACAAGCCATTCTAAAACTCATCTAACCCTCTCATCTCACTCGAGCCCATTTTCTGTTCTGTTGGGTAGAACTATCTATTTCCATTCACTTGAGATTCCCCCAGAGGTTCGCAACCCAAGCGATCTACATGTCAAAACCTAAGACGAGCTCTCCCGTCAATAGGACAGAGGTCGATCCAGGAGGCGAGGTATCGAAGTGGAGGGCAACATCGAGCAAAGGGAGAGTGTAGTGGTGATACAGGGTTTGCTAGGCAAGGAGAACCAGTCGAGGTAAGAGACGTGAACGTTCGATGCAATGAGCGTGATAAGCCGAATATAAACAAAAAAAGCGAAAGCAAAAACAAGATTGAGAATGGCTCCGACGGCCCGACCATCAGGTAAAAAGGACTCTCGGCATGGAAAAGACGAGTTGATCACAAACACTTTGTCCGAAGAGTTGAGGGAGGGTATTGAGTGCTCGAGGACGACAATCGGTGTCGTCTATTTTGGAAGGTTGGGGCCTAGGGCTTGTGTCCCTCCAAGTCGGAGGTTTGGGACGTCGCGGTGGGAATCAAAAAGGAGAGGCAACAGAGATATGTAAAGACTGGTAAATAAATGAATGGCAGAGCCGGACGTCTCGACGCAGGGGGACAAGGTTATTTACTGAAAGTGGGAGATCGGAAAGACGAGCCATCTCGTCGAAAGCAGGGGGGGGGGTTTCTCTAGAATCAAGTGGATATGTTTTCGTTGGTGATATTTCTGCTAAGATTGAGCAGATCTAGACTTTGACGCCATTGGGATGCATGATGGTTGGGAGGGTGGAGGTTCCGCGTTGGTCTTTGAATAGGTGAAAGTTATCAGGCGAGACTATCCTTGCAAGGAAACGCAGGTCAGCAAAAAGGCAATCGTGAGGCACAAAAAAGGGAGAGGATAGAAAGCAAGGATAGCGATCGTGGGAAGAGGAAGGCTCAGAAGGCGGCGGAGAAGCACGACGAGTAGGGAAGAAGCAGCATCACTCACACCGATTAATGTCGGTCTCATGGCCAGCATACGACCCCGAGGGATCCAAGACGGGAGGGGTTTGAGTCGCACTTGCACTCGAGTGAGCTGACATGGTCGACGCCGCCGTCGACGGCCTCGGTTGGCCACTGAGCCCGCCAGCACCACCGCCGTGGGACGGTCCATGTGATGACGACGGCGGATGAGCTGCTGAACCGTTCATCCACCCAGATGTCTCCATCGAATCAAGGTTCCCGTTTGGGCCACTTCCGCCGGCGCTGTAAGCAAATTCGGCGTGCGAGCCGCTGAATCCCATGAAGGGTGGCGGATGAGCTCCCTGTGCGCCCGTCTCCTCTCCAATCGAGTCGACTTGAGGAAGATTGCCAAAGGACCGTACCCTGTGGACCGTCGAATTATCTGGCGCCGTGACAGGGCGCCCGTCGTTATGAAGGTCATAGTAGGGTGCCGGATACGGGGACACTGCCTGCGAATGTCTACGGGCTCTCCCAATGCGTAAATGACTGGGCGGGAGGGGTGGGCCATTGGGGGCAATGGCACTCCCGGGTCGGCTATGAGAAGACTGGGGGCGAGCCGTGTTCATCATCGTTGGCGTAAGAGGTCTCCCGGCACTTGATCTGGGCCGGCCGTATTCGCCATTCATGTCATCGTATGGGATCGACATGGAGGAAGCCACCGAGTAGCCTGTGGTTGGACGGCTGTCAGGCGAGGCATTTCCTGGTCCTATAGAGTGGTCAACACAATCTCAAAAAAACGCGCTTGTTTTCGTAACGCACCAGAGTTGCCCGTCTGGAGGGGTGGCAAAAATGACCAGTTTGGATGCGATCCTCCTTGTTCCGGATAAGGGTAAGCAGAATTCTGCGACGAGCCTGGGCCGCCAGACATGAACAACGGAGCGCCATCGCGGCCAGATGCGGTGTAGCCGGTTGGATGCGCCGAGTAACTTCCTGGAGCGAGATGGTGTGGGCTGTTAGGGTCGTCTGGCGTCGCGGGCGTGAGCGGATGCAGCAAGTTGCCATGTGACGAGCGGTGATGGAGCGTGTTACCGCTGGCGTGTGGACCCACATAGGAAGAATGTGGGCCGCTTGGGTACAATGGCATCTCATTCGACGTCGAAAGAGGGGCCAGAGGTGGGAGGGCTTGTCGGGCGTGCGCCTGACCAAATGGTGTCGCGCTTTGCCATGTAGGTTGTGGCTGAGTGTATGATCCGGGTGCAGAAAATCCTCGAGCGCGACCCTGAAGAGAATCTGAGACAAGGGGCCCCGGAGTGGGTAGAACGTGATAGACAACTCACGGCAATACGCGGGGCACCAGAGGTGAGGGCCGCTTCCTCTGGCCTTTTGCGCGGTTTAGGGAGTCTGGGAGGGACTCTACGCTTGAAATTTGCAATGACGTCGGCGGGAGAGTTGCGACGCAGGGTGGGATGTGCTGCAAAAAGAGGGTAGGGTGAGATAACCAACCTAGATGGGGACGCAGATGTGAGAGGGACGTACACCAAGTGCTCGCGTCTGGATCGTCAATCGTCGAGTCGATGTTTCGCAGATTGACCTTGCGCATAAAGCCATAGATCTGACATGGGAAATGAGTCCATCTGGAGATGCGGGACCGGTGGCAGCCAATGGGACGATCGGAAGATGGACAGATGGAAGAAGCATGCGGAAGGACGAGACGCGGGTTGGGATAGCGGGTGTGAGGAAGAAGCAACCAGAGGCAAGATACGCACATTGAGCTGGCGGGAAAAACTCGCAAAGCGGGATTGTCGGTAGACAGAGGGAAGAACATGAAGAGCAAGCTGCTCGGGACGTTCTACGATGATATGTTCGCCAGCGGCATCCCAACGAATCATGTGGTGATTCTCCGGACGCTCGAGCAAACTGCGGGACCCGCGGTAATTATGCGTGACAGTGGCGGGTTGGGGGGGAATTCGTGCGTTTGTGGAATTGTTGGACGAGAGCGGCCGTCGAATGCGGGTGGTTCCCACATTGAGATAAAACAGAGTTGGACAGCAGCAGGGTCGGGTTGGGAAGACGACCGGCAAGAATGGACGCAATCGGGGGAGGGATGAAGAGACGAATAGGGAAAAATAGTGAAAAAATATCAAATATCAGAATTGTACACAGAGAAGACGAGAGAAACAACGTACGCATATAGTTTTGTGAGGAACGTAGCCTGTGGGCGGCTCTCGTTTTTCGAGGGCTCCCCGAGCGCGTTTGCGAGCTGGGCGGCGCGCTGGGCGTCGTCGTTGTCCATAGCGTTTGGTAGACCGTTCTGGAGATCACCCAGAGAGGGGAGCTGGCTGCTCGGGGCCTGGTTGGGGATGAGACTGCCGTTGAACATGGGCCGCTGGAGCTAAAGGGGCAATCGCGGGAGGATACTGAGCACTTGTAGGCGACTTTGGACGCGTACTAGCGACGTAGAACTGCTGCACAAGTTGTCTAGAGCAGTCTGGGCGGTGCTGATCTTGCAGAGGCAAACGTAGTTCTGGGTCAAGAAGCAACAACGCAGCTTCTTTTTTGGCCACAACACTAAACTCGCCCACAATTTCCATGTCACAATTACTGCCACAAGTATTGCACCCGGCCTTGTTGCTGCCCGAGAGCGACTCCCAAACGACCGTCGCCAGTCGCCATAACTAGATAATGCTAACGAGCTGGTGGACTGGTGGTGATACACCGTCCATTAACATGGTTTGATAGCCAGCCTTGCACATCTCCCACGCTCCGAGCTTTCCACAAGGCGATTCCCCCCCGTGTTTTACCAGCGAAGCGCTTCGCGAACACCTCTCGAGTTTCACAACCAATCGCATGAAACAGTCACCCAGCTACTGTGCAAAATATAATCAGATTGTCAAGGAGTGTGGGGACTGAGAGCGCTGCGCTCGACGACAACGATAACGCCGTCAAGACTTCTCTCTTGTCGCTGCTAATCGACACTAAACAAGTACATAGTCACACACGCGAGAACGAGATCAAAATAAGACCGAGGCAGAGGGCAAGAAGGGGTAGAGTGGGATGGAGCGTGCCAGGTTAGCTCACGAGGGTCTCGACGACCCAAGCCAGCGTCCGCCTCGCCGACTCGTAATGTATAGGAGGATGAGAAGTATCTTCTTAGGTGTGCATAGGGAGCAAGAAAAACGATGCAGAGATGGAGGACCTTGCTGGGACCATGCGCCGGGCTGAAGGGAGAAGGATCGGTGACGGGACGGCGGAGATTGCTTACGTGGGGCGATCTCGCAAATACAACCGTCGCATCTGCTAGAATTCGTGGCGTCCCAGTCCATCATGGTTCGATATAAGCGAGAATCGCAGCCGGCTATGGTTCTCGCAGAGGAAAGCGGCGTCCGTATGCATACTGACCGAGAAGTAAAAGTCACTTCTCATCCCGAGTCGATGGATTGGAAAAAAAAAGGGGGAGAAAGGGTAGAGAGAGATAAGGCCCCAGGGTATGCGGGAGTTTGCGGAATGGTACTTGATCGTCGTCCGTTTGGTGTTGTCAGAATAAAAACCGAAGAAAGAATTTGGCGAGGTAGGAGAATGAAAGCAACCGCGCTTTGCGATAAAACAAAGGGTTTCTTGTATGAATTTTTTCCCGTATTTTCTCAATGTTTTTGGTGTTCTTTTTTGGGTGAAACTACTTCTTTGCAATTTGGCAGAACCGTCGATCAAGTCTCAGAACGCCTCGACGAGTGTCGACATTTGTCCGATAACAAGAGGCGCGCTAGCAGTCCTCTTTCCACGCGTGGCAAAGTTCTTGACCGTCAACTCTTCCGCACCAGCAGGGGGTCCACGAGGTTGGCGCAACGGCACACTCGGGCGCACGGTCACCACTGGCTTCCTGTAACTGTCTCCAGATGAATTGGACCCAGTCGGCGAAGGCGGCTTGACAATTGTCCTCGGATAACCTTGGTCAATCTCAATGTTGGACATGGCAACTTCGAGATCCTTGATACGCAGAGCCTGAGGGCGGTACTTTGGAACTGCACCATCCCTGGTCGGAGGAGAGTACCTAGCAACCTGCTCTGGGGACGCAATTTCGATGCTCGCAGGGGATTGGCGACCCAAGGACTTGGGTGGGCTGACGCTACGAGGCTGCGTCCCGGCGGCATTCGAGGGGCGTCTCCAAGAAGTTGCCGCATCAGACTTGGATGCCACGGGTGTCGATCCCGAAGTGACACCGCCGAGTGTGACACCACCAGAGATGACCACGGTCGTCGAAGGCGTTGCAGGGACTGGAGGAGCAAGCTCGGGCGTCTCGTTGGGGAGCTTGAATGTGGGAGCATTCGGATTCAAGCCCGACGACAAGGAGCGGCTTCCAAACTTGCCTCCGAGTGCAGCGGTCATTGGCATCGAGCTATATTCATTCTCCTCGATGATAGGCGACCGTTCGTGGGCATACTGAGTTGGAGGGCTCAGACCAAGATCAAACGATGTCTGGGTGGGTCCTGCAGTGGATGGGATGCGGCTGGTGTTACGGACGGAAGCCTGCCTCTGGTTGATGGCCATGGCGACTTGCTGCTGAAGAGCAATCTCGGCTTGAAGCTTTTGCGCCTGTTGTTGCTGGGCAACCTACATTGCGAATTAGATTCATTCCAAGAGATTTCATTCAGAACTCACCATAGCTTGCATGAGCTGGAGCTGAAGGAGCTGAGACTGCATGGGATCCATCGGGTTGAGCTGCATGCCCGGCATGCCTCCCATCGCAGCGAGCTGAGCCTGCTGCAAAAGGAGCTGTTGCTGCTGCTGCTGCTGCTGATGGGCCTGGTGCTGCTGCTGCTGGAACCGAGGAGCGCGCCCGTCGATTGCGGCGGTCATGGGGACGCCATACTGATACGGATTCTGGTTATCAAGAGCGTCCTCGTAGACTGTCTGGTGATGGAGGCCACTGGCAAAGCGAGGGGGCTGGAAGGAGCCTCCGATCGCAGCCGTCTGTGGGATTGGACTGGTGCGAACACCGCCCGTGCGCAGACCGGACAATAGCGAGGCGCGATTGTTGGCAGACGACATTATTGAGTAGATATTTGATGACTATCAATAGCAAATAAGTAAGCGTCACGGAAGAAATCTAGGCGGCAGCGGAGGCCACCAGTCGGGCTACGCACAAGGCGGACGGCGGGTCGGTCGGTGGTGCGCAAATAAACGCAAAAAAAGTTAATTCTGAGAAACTCGACGAGTAGAAGGAGGCTCTTGTGAATCCGAGGTCAATGGCGGTGGGCGCTGGCCGTGGAGCTGGCGAGTGCGCGAGGGATTATCAAGGATTTGGGATACTAGACGAGTGCCAAGTGGATCGATGCGAAGAAAGTTGAAGTTGATAAGTAGACAACGGCGAACGAGAAATTCCAGCGAAAACCCTATGCTCTGGTAGAGGTCCAAGGAGCAGAGGGACCAGCTTGAATTGGCGCCGCTTGCAGCTGGATGCTGTGACGATGCAGCGCCTGATCAAGTAAAATATATACATGCTCATAACCTACATGGAGATGATCCCACAGCGCCCTCAGAGCCACTTCTTAGCACTCGCCCGTACCCGTGCGTCAAAGACGGTGCTGCGTATCGTCCGGTCCGACCGGTGGAATGGATTCATTGCCGTCTAGACGTCGTCAATCAACGCTTAGTCCCGCACGAGCCGAGCACCCAGCGCGGCGTTGCCATCCGTCCACTCCGGCCACTTACCTTGACATACAGCTCCCACACCTCCATGAAGAATGACCGAATGCCTTCATCGTTCTTGGCTTCGTGTAGCAGAACAAACTTCATGTCTGTAAACCTATTAGAGAGTAATTACGCTTGGAATAAAGAGTCTGCGCACTTCCAGGAGTAACAAACGCCGAGACGGTCCATTCATTGAATTTGTCGATCGACTTGAGGTACCTGAAATACGCTTTAGGCCTCTGCCACTGACAATATCAGAAACACTCACATTGCACTATTGCTAACCATCATCTCTTCAATAACGTCAAGACTAGCATTCGCTATCATCTGGATCACATGTCGGTCCTGTCCAGCGCCGATTTTGGGTGCGCCATTCTGCGTCGAGGCCTGAAGAGAGTTGGATAAGTTGTGCTTGCCCGGCCAAATCTTAGATGATCAAACCAACGGTTCCAACAGACTGAGCACCACTGAGTGCTGTTAATGTGCCCGAAAATGGCGCGGTACTCCAAGATGGCAAGTTGGATGAGAGCGTGCTCCCGCTCGATGGCGCGGTAGATTTCGTCGACTGATGAGCCAGAGAGTATATTGGAGTGTCTGTTGGTGATAGCAGAAACAAGTGATGAGACATTGGAGCTAGGAATCGGTGGTTGTGGTCACGGTCCAAGCTTTGCCCCTGACCACTCCGCCACCATGGATCACCAGATGGTCACAGACGACAATAATCAGACGGAAAAGCAGGGAGCAAACTATGGAGGATACCAGGCAAGACCACGGAATGATGTCCAGTACCTCTGTGCCGGCAAGTTGCAAGTTTTCAAAGTCTGCGACTTGTCATCTCACTGTGTACAGATTGTGGTGTTGAAAACGACATTCGACCACGAGAACCGATACGCTGCAAGGCGTGTGGTCACCGTATCATGTACAAGAAGCGCACGAGCAAAAGTAAGCAGTCCCAAAAAACAGATGCTGTTCTTCCTAACTGCTTTTTCAGTGGTTCAATTCGAAGCACGATGATATAGATTGTATTCTTCTGGCATTGGGCTTTGAGCAGTGAACACGACTAGTTTTACGAAGAAAGGCGCGCGACAAACATGAGTGAGGTATCGAGACTGTGGGTCCCTGGAACACGACAAACAAGACAGAGGCGATCAAGAGAAACAAGAAGAGGTGCGGACAGCATAGGAGGAGCGATAAGAGGGAGCAAGTTCTCCCATTACCAACTCTTGAGATCCCTCATATAGAGGTTGACAACGCAGGATACTGGGATCTCATCGATGACATCCCCTTGGTATTGACCAGCGGGGTGGATAGTGAGGACACCGCCCTTTTCTTCGTAAAAGGCGGCACACTGGACACTGTTGTCAGGTTTGCGGCACCAGCACTGAACGCGGTTAGTTGTGAGATCACGCAAGGGAGAGAGGATTTGCATACGATCATGTCCTGCAAATGCTCGTTGCTTCGGATCCAAAAGAAGCTGCGGCCGTTGAGGGTAAACTCTCGTGCACTTAAACCCATGTAAGATGAGATTGTCATGATGAGTAACATAAACATACTCTGGCGAACCCTCGACTCTCTTTCGAAATTCGTGCAAAGGAATACCGGATCCAATACCGCGTCCATTGTAGAAAGCGTTGGCACGCAAGAATATCGAAGAGCTGTGCATCGCTGGACTCCAGCGAATATGTCCAATCTGAGACGCGGTACGATTGTGGATTTTGTAAACCATTGTAGCGCCGTTTGGACCTCTCGTAAACTGACACCAACGGTCAGAGGGGTTTCATTTTTAAGATCTATTGCGTAAATTGTGACGTACGCGATAGCGAGGGACAAAATCTCCCGTTTCGCTGTGCGTATCGAGCGTAGATTCGATGACTGGTTCGCCACTCTTAAAGCTCCAGTTCATTACAATACTTTGGGCCATGCTTGCAGAGGCTTGGGGGGACTGGCTGGAGTCGAGGACGGTTGGCGGGCGGAAATCGCGAGGAGTGCGAGGGCAGAAACGTATCCGGGGGCCCGCCAGCCTTTTAAACACCAGGTCACGCCACAACCCAACGGCAGACGCCGTGTGCTTACGCCGGGACGAGATTGAGATCTGGGGTGTGTGGCGTGGATGGAGGTCGAGCAGAGCGCTAAATCGATAAAGTGAGAGGGCTTAAGATCCAGAGCAACGGTTAAGTTACTTGTTCAGGAAAGGAAGAAACAGACAAACGAGATGGCCGCAACCCACCGCTCAAGAAAAAAACGCCGCATCCTCGTGTTACCAACAGTTTGTCTCCCGGAAGTAGAGATTCAACAGCAAGGTCACTATCAATTCATCCATGATGAGTTGACCTTCTGTGGTTATTCGGAGTCGGTTCGTCGCGCTCTCGAAGTAGCATACATCCAAATTCGGGTAGACGGTCTGTGTGCACTGTAGCGATGATCAGGGTCGCAGGGGGAGGCGTGTTGAAAAGCACATACTAAGAGATCTTCCTTTCTTCTATCCCCTGGGGACCATTTGTAGTGTGAGTCCCCAGCCGAGAAATAGCGTGCTCTATTGGCGGTGTTGGCGCAGTTTCAGAGTCTGGAAGAGGGTATTACCTGCTATTCGGTCTCTCCGGATGCTTTTGTCGAAGATCAGAGACAGTTGCTCTCGAGTCCGCGGCCAGGAACTCGACCACTGAATCCGACGAGACCTCACCCCATTTGATCTGTGCAACCTGTATCACCAAGCGTCAGACTCACGAGTAGCTGTGCGTCCAGGAGCACAACAGACGACTTCATATTGCTCTGTCACATAGTTGAGTCGAAGAACCCTTGTCAGAGGCATCTCGTTGGCCGCGTCATCCGGTGAATCGAACTAAAGTCCGATTAGACATGGACGATCAGTGAGTTCCCAGCTCCTTCGGTGGGACCCACCAAGGGGCCGTCGACGTACTCTATACATGTCAACCAGCTCTGCAGTCTTCCAGTGTAATGTGGCCACTGTCGAGTTGCGGATATCGTAGCCAGGATAGAATGTCCATTGAAGATCGAGGAAACCAGCTGGAGCGGCAGGCATTTCGATCAAACTTGGAGCCGAGGGTTTGTCAAAGTGCTCCAAGAAACCGACATTGGCCACTGCCATTTGTACCCCCAGGACATGAGGTGACCGACTCAACTGCCAGAAGGGCCGTAGAAAACGAACTGCAGTCCTATCGTGGAATCAACGGCTTCGTCGTATCCCGTGTTTCCGTCCTGCGAGGCATTGAATAGGGTTGAGTAGGATCGAGCCTTGAGGGAGCAGCGAGGCATGCATCGAAAGGCAATCTCCAGTCCGCGTCTGCCAGTTCCGCGCCGGCTGAATTACTATCCAAGTGCGGTAGCGACGTGTCCCCCCGCCTGCACCAGGCCAGGACCGTTGAGCAGCCAGTGCTCCTATATCAGCCCCACCAAGCGATCGACAGTGCGCATACTCCCCTGCCCAGGTTGACTGGCAGCTCACTCTTTACAGTACTATCAGATGGTGCAGCTGTGCATGGAGGTCAATCTCGACGCTGGTCACGCCGTACCTCTTCAATCCATAAGAGCCCGCAGCCCTGAGGGCAGCCAGCCCCGCACCTCAGGTTGAGGTTTACGTCGGCAACCGCTTCAGAGATAATCGTTCATTACCCTCTCTTTTGTCGGCCAACGCCTCGCAAGCCGCACGGAGAGTTCCGAATCCTTGTCGCTTGCAACGTGTTTCGACCCGGATGAACCAAGGCATGTTGATGGAAACGGCTAGTCACATCAGATTAAAGCTATCGTTGCTGGACCACGCGTTCTACCACACCCTTCTATCGAGAAGATGTCAGTTGCCTCTATCTTGGCCGGAGGAAGGGCGGGATGCAAACCAAGAAACAGAGGTCACGAGGGATCTATTCCCGCTCACTCATTCCATAGACAGTCCATCCTCACGGCTTTCACTTCCAAAGTCGCCGGATTGACTAGAATTACCTCCCCGTTGTCGGAGAATCTCGGCAGCAGTACCACTCTCGTCTTGCTTCCTCCACCGTGGTCGACTATTGCTGTTTCGAACCGAGGCTGATTGCCTACAAAGAAAACGTGCGGGGCTTTGGTCATTATGAATGGATCAGAGGAGAAGTATGGATAACACCCTCGATTGAATTGGTTATTATGAGTGCATATGAACAGAAATGAAACCTACAGAGTGTGTCAGGAGCCGTAGGAGCCATATGCCGCCACTTGAGCATCTCACAGGCCAACGCGAGACGGTCAGACGACTTGACATATCGAAAAACGTCATCGAGTGGCTGTCCTCCATTTCCAAGTATGCTGTAATGAGTCAATTGGAGCCGTCTCTGACGAAGAGACGCGAGCTCACTGGCAGGCCCCGGCTCCGATCCAACATGGATTCGTCTCGGTGTGGAAGCTCTCGTAGTCCTTAGCTGCACCAAACATGGCTCTAGGGAGTGGTTGCTGAGGCAGGGTTGCACTAGATGGATCATTGGCTCCTGGGACGAGGTGAACTATCATTGCTCGTGCAAGTTCTGACAGGTGACCAGATAACGACTGTGTGGGGTGCATAGAGAAGGCACTGGATTGGTACGAAAACTTCTTGGCGGCCCGTTTAGCTGCAACAGGAGCCACTTCTCCGGGAACGGTGACCGTTTCCTCCTTGGCTACCTCTTCGGAGAGGCTGACGGGCGCAAACGAGTTTCCGGCAATGACGACTCGTGTTATTGTGGATGAATCTCGCTGGTCGGATTGCTGGCCTGCCTCACTCAGGAGGTACTCAACCAGCAAGTTAACTCGCAGATCTGCGGCTGCAGAAGGGAGCCCCACATTGAGCCCGGATACGAGTGCAATCCACTCGTTGGCATTGTCCACATCCATTGTTGCTTTTGTACCATGCTGAGCGAGAGGTGTTTGCTCAGCGACTCCAGGGTAGCAGACATCGACTACATGGAACTCTCCTGCGGTAGTTTCGACCCCAAGGACAGCCAAAATAAGACCTGTGACAATATTTATAGAGTCAAGAAACTCCCCACCCAACGGGACACGACCAGACTCGTCTTCGAGTACGGCCATATCCTCTTTGGAGTGAAATTTGAGGCGAGGAGGAGGAGGTTCCACTCCATGCTAGGCGCCGTGAATACAAGGGTGCCAATTATCACCATATTAGGTACGTACCTCTTTTGCAAGATCGTTGAGGACATTGTCTTTGAGTGGCATCTCCTTGTAGACGGTACCCACGATCCAGCAGCGTTCCCCCTTCTTTATATCTAGAATACGGTTGACAAAGATGGCATTTCCTTTGCATAGTCAGTGAGAATGCACATCGCCGATGAAGAACGCAGAGACCTATAGCTGACCGCCACTGCTGTTTCGCTCTTTCGATGACTTGCTTGCGCAACAGAGAAAGACGTGAAAAGTATAGATTCGCGTATTGGTGCTTGTACGAGGCGTCGTTGGTCTCCAGTACAAACGCGTTTGCCAATTCCTTTGGGAGTGTTGAAGACAGCGCGTCTGGTCGCGTGTAAAGAATGTCCCTTTGAAATAGACTCAGAAAACTGGCTAGACGGATGGGATTGAGCTGGCTGGCTCACGTCGCAGCGGCAGCCATTGGCGTAGTCCGAGTCCTAGTCTCGTTCAAGGCTTTTGGAGTCGACCAACAACCGGCCATTCTACCAACCATCTCCACCGGCTTTTCCTAAGACATTTCAGTGGACAAACAATCATTTTCTCCTAAAAGTTCGCTGATTTGGAGCCCATGTCGTCCATATCTGTAGTCCAGCATCCGTTTGGAGCGCCCACTGCAGACCGCGACTCGCCATACTCGTTTCCATACTCGCCTGCAGACTATTCTCATCAAGAGGACTCCGCGTCGGCGACGTTCACATTGAACCCGGCGTCTACCAGACCGCCTTCGATGAGCGGGTCTGTAAACCTTCGGACAAGGACGCCCAAGACATCCATCGTCGGGAGCAATTTTGACAGGCCGAAATCGGTGCACGACGCTACAAACTTTGGGGAGTTTACAGTCCACGAAAAAGAGCCTCTCGAAACACACGAGGAGACCGTCGCTCCGGCAGCCAAGTCTGTGAGAGCAATCGAGATATGGAGAGAGATGTTCTTGACATCCAATGGGAGGGACAAGGCACTCGTAAGTCGCTTGTAAACCATTGCCGGAGGAGAGCTGCTCACGTGAATCCCAAGAAATTAATCCAGTATTCGATTCGAGTCTACCTTCTGTTTCACGTACGATCCTCGAAATATCTACGGCGACAGCCTCAGAAACCATGGGAGGCGGATATGATAGCCGGTCTTCAGAAAGGGTACGTATCGCTCTTCAAAGTGTCGTATATAAGCTAATTTATATAGTTATTCTGGATTGTCGCTCTCCCGGTACGTTTATACTGGTATCCATGGCCCAGAGTCTGACTCTGGAGTAGAAAGTGCATGATCATGTTCAATTGGCTTTCTCCTCTAGCAACCGTGTCTGCTCCGGAATCTCTACCCTCAAAAGGAGAAAAGGCGAGACCTCAACCTCTGTTGCGCAAGATACTGCATTCGCCGCCTCCCGTCCTCCTCGATCTCTTGTGTGGTATCTCCGACGACCTCGCAACATTTTATAAACTTGGACTTGTGCCACGACGTATTGGCCAGAGAGCAGAGCGCCTGGCAGACCTATGTTGGTTTGCCGGAACTTTGGTGGACCTCGTCGAAGTTGGCGTCGAACTGAGCGTCATTGGAGGTGCAATCAGCGAGAGTCAGTACTTGTTCATCTTTTATTCTCCCACACTCACAATGTAGCAGTCGAGGGTCGGCTCTATAACGAGAGCATGACAATTGCAAGCGCAACGACGACTTCTGGTCAAGCTACGGACGAAAAGGAGCTGGTCAAACTACGACGCCAGCAATATTGGTCAAAGGTTCAACGGATGAAGCTGCTCATGGACCTCATCTTTGTTTGTGCGTCTAGCATCGTGGTTCTATCCCAACTCTAACTCCTTTATAGCGTATGACGTCTTCTACATCAAGAAGTACAGCGACATTGCGAAATCCTTCACCGGACTGGCTTCGGCAGTTTTGAGGTACGATAGTGTGATTTTCATAGGCCCCTATACTGACGATATTGGTAGCTCGATGAAGCTCTATGACAAACACCATGGAACTCTCTCTCGGTCGCCTATCTAAGCGTATTCAAGTTACCCTTTACTATTGTCCTTTATTACTGCCAGATATAGTCCCTATGCTCCATTACAATAACTGGCTACCTAAAATGGCCACCAGCGAGACTTTTGAGTATTTGGGCTCTCCGCGACATTGTTCGACGACCCTTGTGTCGTAGGTGACGCGATCTTGAGGCGCTCTTGATATGACAGAATCTCTTCCTCCAATTGAGCAATACGTTTCAAATGCTCTACACTTTGTCTTTCACGTGCTAGATACGTTCGGGTTATTTCAAGTGCCTGCATGGTCTCGTGAGTCCTGGACGGAGAGGAACGATAGAACGTACTCCGTAGACAATAAAACCAAGTAGTGCAATCGGGACCATATGCGGGAATGTATCGGTATACCACGTCGCATGTCGAGAACGCTCTTTTTGGCTGGGTCTCGACGTCTCTGGCGTTGTTTGAGATTCACTTGGTGTAGAGAGTAATCTTCTCTGCATTGAAATTTGTGACATTCTCATTATAGAGCCCGGATTCGTTATTCTTTGGAGACCGGGTTTAGCATATCGTTGGAGTCGGGAAGAAGCCATGTTAACCACCGAGAGTCAAGAGTCGAGGGACAAAGTATTCCATGATCACATTTATTAAACAGGCAACTCGAACATCAAAGATCTATTCCTCGCTCCTCCCATCCAGTCACAATCTCCCTTGCCCGCTTCTCAATCCAGCTGTCGTTTCCCCAGAACCCCCAACCAGCCATGAAGCGATACCAGTCGACTATTGCAAGCTCCCAGTGTTTCCACAGCTTATCGAACGTATACTCTAGTGAGCTGGGATCTTCGAATTGACCGATAGTGCGGGTTAGGTATTATGATAGGATTGAAGGAGCTCCTTCTCTTGATCAATCCGTCGAAGGAGGTTCCCTTGGACAGATGTGCCCAGAAAGTATACCAAGTCTCTGGTAACGGCCCCGACACCTACATATTGAAAGTCGTACAAGGCGCACCTCTTAGGCGTTGATGAAGATAGCTTCGAGAACACGATATTGGCACCTTTGACGTCGCCGTGGAGTAGCGAGCCATATTGGTCGGCAGCTTTCTTGAGGGCAGAATCGACCTGTTGAACATCAATAAACCGTCGCCCAGATCAAGTTGATCATTACCTTCTCGGTCCATTTCAGCAACCAACTGTACTCTGTTGGATCGGTGCTGTCGAGCTCATCACGTCGAGTATCCAAGTACCAGTAAGTTCCTTGAGCCCATACTCCCACAGGCTGGCCGACGTTGTACTGAAGTGGTGGAGGGATCACGTTGTCTCGTATCTCCCTGCTGCGGGCAAGACTCCAAAAGGTACCGTGAAAGGTAGCTAGCCAATCGAGTACGATTACCGCATCATCTCTTCCAAGGCTTCCCCAAGCTGGATTCGGGAATTCTGTGGCGAGATCCTCTAGTATCAAGCGCACGGGTAGCTCGTCGTCCTTGCTGTGGTCGATGGGATGAACCTTGGCCACCTTTGCTCCGGCTGGAAGACTGTGTGAGAGGTGTTGATAGAAGAACCGCTCTGCTTCGTATGAGAGCAGTTTGCGCAAATGGCCTTCGTCTGCATCCCCACGAACTGGAGGAGGAGCTACCGTCTTTACAATAATCGAGGATTGAGCTGCGTTTGTAGACTTGTCATCGTCATTTGGTCCTCCTGTTCTCGTCACGTAGACACGGTCTATCGAACCGTAATTTGACCATAGCGTTGCAATCCGCGTTGATGAAGTTACCGTGAAATGACGGAGAGATGGTGCCTTTGAGATGATCTCTGCGACGCCAGGTGTTGACTTTGATCGGGACATGAAGGCTGAGAGGGTGGACGACGTCGAGGTGGGAGTGGCTTGAGGACTGGAGTAGGTAGCCACTTGCACCCAGTCTTATGGGAATTCCAGTAGCCAAATACTATAGCCTAAGCTTGCATGTTCAGAGTTTGACCTTCCATATTCCTGGCGGTCAAGAATTAAGACTGAAGGTTGCCTAAGGTCAAAATATGCATACTCGATAAACTTGTGAGATTTGAGCAATGGTTTTGTTAGAAAGAGGGGACAAGGCCAACGTGAGGCTGGAGGCCAAACCAAACCAAACTCTAATACCAACGTCGATGGCGCCGACAACCCGCAACAGTGAGGAGGCTTTGCACAAGATTTCCACAAAACTTATAACACATGATTAGATCTCCGTGTCGGTCTCAACAAGGGCCGCTCGGTCACCGCCATTCCAAAAGTCGCCCGCCCAGCACACCGCAAGGGCAAGCTCTCGGAGCGCAACAAGTTTGTCCGATCTGTCGTCAGAGAGGTCGTTGGATTCTCGCCATACGAGAGGAGAGTGCTAGAATTGCTACGAAACGGCAAGGCATGTCGAGATTCTCTCCGGCAAAACGAATCAATCAGCTAACTTGGGGCCGTTTTACAGGATAAGAAGGCACGAAAACTTACCAAGAAGAGAGTATGTCGCTCACCGTTATTTCCAATACTTGAACTAATCACTTGCGATTAGCTGGGCACGCTCCTCAGATCGAAGCGAAAGGTAGAAGAGCTGCAAACGATTATCCAAGAGACGAGGAAGCACTAAAAGATACCTCTTCTCGGACGACCCGTGTTCTCAGCATCCAATCTCTGCTTGGACACCCCGTCGATTGCCATTATGGATATGCGCACGCAGTATTTTCTTGCAGCTATTCAATGAATATGATATGCTACAAGAATGCTTGATGATCTGAGAATGTGGCTCATCCTGAACCGCCTGTATCTGGACTAACCGTCAATGTTCAGAAACTAAGTATTCCGCACGAATGTAGCAGTGGAAAGTCTAAAAATTAATAGACGTGTTTGTTATGACTGCCACAATTCTTTGTTTGCAGCCATCCTTGAACACTCCCAACGCGACCATGGACGCGTCGTTGTGCTATTTGGCTGCTGCAATCAACCGCCATTCTGACGCAGCGAGTGTATCTTCAGACTCACAATGGATTGCATTTGGGTCCCACAAGTTTGTCGCCCTCTGGAATCTAGTACGCGCCACTCGACTCGATTCCGCCCAATTGATTCGAGTAAGGGAGCCAAAAACCGGATTAAGAGTACGATAGTAGGACATAATGGACATGTTACTTGCGTTCGTTTCGTCTCTGGGAGATCAGATGCCATTTTGGTGGGGGACGATGAAGGATTTCTTTACCTCCATCACCGACAAGATCAATCAGTGCGTGGTCACTGTAGCCTGTGTAATGTTTCAACAGTCTCAACTCATCGTCAGTGGCACCTTGTGCACAAAATCAAAACCCATTCGCATGCAGTCTCTGCCCTGGTAGAACATGACGGGATTATCGTCACTGGATCGTCAGATATGAAACTCAAGCTGTGGAACCTTCCTGAACTGGACAATACCAACGAGTCGTCAGGGGGTTTGATACTCGAATTCACTCAGAAACAGGTAATTGACACTGGAAAGCGATTCCCTATCGCCCTTGCAATGTCCAAACTACCTGGAACATCTGGTTTGTATCCTTCGATTCAATACATAAAGAACTGGCTGAGACAAATTAGTCCAATTATTGGCCGTTGGGCTCACGGATACAAAGATCAGAGTTTTTGTCGCATCCGGTTCTCAGGTGAGCATATTACCTATATGATGACTAATTTTCATGGTTATAGTTTGCAGAAGCAGCCGTCCTCCAAGGACATGAGGATTGGATCAAAGCTCTTGACTTTAGTCTACTCTACACTGCCGAAGACGGTATAAGCTACATCACGCTGGCCTCTGGATCTCAAGATGGTACAATACGGCTTTGGGATATTCGACAAGCACCAGAGGCTGTCGACAAGCCGACAAAGGGAGATCTTGATGATCAGCTTCTTGACGCGTTCGAGGCATCGCTTGGGGAAGTCGGCGCAGAAGAAACTGGTCGCCAAATATCAATGAAACAGCACATTGTCAAAGTGACTGATGGCGAGAGGTTGGTCTCACGGATCATGGAACCAAAGCTGATTCGCACGCTAGAGCCTACAACTTTCATATCACTCTAGATGCCCTGCTCATTGGTCACGACGCTGGCGTGACAGACGTAACGTGGATGCCATCGCCAAACTCACGCATCTTACTATCCACCTCTGTCGACTCATCCGTTATATTGTGGTCGTCAAGTGACTCCACGTCCCAAATTTGGACCAACCGCTATCGATTTGGAGATGTTGGCGGCCAACGGCTTGGTGGCTTCGTGGGAGGTCTTTGGGTCGATGCGAATCAGGCGGTAGCCTTTGGCTGGAACGGCTCATTCCGTCGGTGGAACTATGTAAATGATCAATGGCATGAAGTACAAGCCGTCACAGGTCACTCAGCACCGGTTCATGGTATTGACTGGGAGCCATCAGGCCGATACTTTATTTCTGCCAGGTACTTGAGCCATTCGCCTTCCCTGCTTGGCTAATTTACTGTAGTCTAGACCAAACTGTTCGCATTCATGGACCGGTAGAAGACCGATGGACAGAAATAGCCAGAGCGCAAACTCATGGGTACGACTGTATCCAGGCTTGCTTTCTCTCCGATCTTCGGTTTGCCTCTATATCGGACGAAAAGGTTGCACGCGTATTTGATGCACCTGGTGCATTTGTTCGTTTGGCAAGCGTGCTTGGTTTGCGATCCACCGACGAAGATGTATCAGTGAGTGAAATGTAGATGGTAGCATTCAGCTTATAGATTCATCAGGCACGACCAGTCGCCGCAAATGTACCTCCTTTAGGGCTATCAAACAAGGCTCTATCAGAAGATAGTATGTAGTTCCCATCAAGAATAGCGACGAGGCTGACATACTGTCTATTAGATGTAGAGCAGAGTGTGAATAGTTTGGAACGTGCACCATATGAAGCAGAGCTCGCGTCTGTGACACTATGGCCAGAAATTGAGAAGATATTTGGGCATGGCTACGAGGTATGTCAAACCAGAATATTTCCGGTCTCACTCATCAATAAATAGTCGATATCACTTGCCGTCTCACGTTCAAAAGCGCTCATCGCAACAACGTGTAAAGCTACAACCGCCAAACACGCCGTAGTCCGACTCTACGATTCTCAAAGCTTCAAGCCATTTGGAACACCCTTGGAAGGCCACACACTCACGATAACGAGGGTAGCATTCAGTAAAGATGATGAATTCATCCTTGCTGGAGGTAAAGATCGTACCTGGCATCTATGGAAGCGTAACGAAGATGGAGGTATGTCGTGTAGGTTCCTCTTACTCCTCTGAGCGTCCTCAGTAGGTTACAGCAACTTTATTGCTGGAAAAGGTCATGCAAGGGTAATTTGGGATTGCTGCTGGATGCACGAGTCGAATATATTCGCCACAGCCTCGCGTGACAAGACGGCAAGTCGACAATTTCCAAACTTGATTGATATCCTGACACGTATTAGGTCAAGATATGGGATGCGACTGGCGATCAATCAAAGCTCCAGAAGCCACTTGCGAATCTCAAGATGGAGCAGCCGGCGACCGCAGCCTGTTTCTCCTCGATTCAATCAGATGGACGGTAGGACCAATCTCAGAGTAATTTACAGCGCTGATGAACAACAGGATCCTAATGGCAATCGGTCTCGAGACGGGAGAGGTTCAAATCTATGCATCAGAGTTGCCATTCGAGCAGTGGAAGCTGATGCTGAGGTTCCCGCCAAAGTAAGGATGCACGGCTTTGCAATTTCATCACTAACCTGATCCTAATAGCGTCACTCACATTGACCAGATTCGACAACTCGCATGGAGGCCATCTCCTGAAGGCTTATTTCTTGCGTCCTGTAGTGACGACGGCTCTGTTCGTGTGATGGAGATAACACAGTAATATAGAGGAAAGTGGCACTACAGGAGAACATGGGGCTAATGGCTATGAGCAAGGTGTAAAACACGGTAAGTTCCTGTTCGACTACGCGAGGCTTCAAGGTGTACAGGCTTGTGGTGATCCGTGATATGGAGACAAGGTTGAATGTGTCGAATAAGCAACGTCTTGAGTTTGATCGGTGGTATGGCACAAGAACGGAGAGCATAAAAATCAAGGGAACACCTGGCGTCGAGACGGTCGTAGAGATACAATTTGACGTTAGAGAACATCCCGCAGTGTCATTGGGACCTCCGGCTATAGTCATCGTTAGTCTGTGTCGGACAATGGGTCAAGACACGAACGCATTTGATTCTATGAAAGCGTTAGAACGAAGAAGGGGACCAAGAAGGGAGGTATGCTTACTTGTAGAAACACTCGATCGATCGCAACATCTCGACGTCTCCTCCTGTGGCTGTCACAAAGTTTACTACCACACCGGGACGCGAATGACTAGACGCCATTGCGGGAGCAACGCTAAGGGCAAGAGGTAAGCTTGGTGTATATCAAAGTGAGGGGGCTCACCGATGGGCATAATCTTCGACGACTCGCGGAAGATCTAGAGGATGTTAGCAAGAGGAGAGACACGCTCGTCTAACTTGCCATAATTTACGACGAGCGGAATTTGGAAAACATCTGGGCTCTTGACTGGTACGTCGCACACGACGAGAACCCTGGAAGATGTCTGCTGTTTTCCGAGCATGGAATTGTTGCCGCGGAACTTGGATAGAGCGGCGACCTTGTTTCCGGGGTTCATTTCCGAGTGCTAGGTTCCCATGAGCAAGATACAGAATAAGATATCAGACCACTTACCAAGGGAATTGCCTCGAGGCCGCGACTAGCAAGCTTGTAGACAACCGCGTCCAAAGTGGCTTGACTGCCGACGTGAACAATGGTTTGCGGAATTTCAACATCGTCGAACAAATCGGAAAGAGCTTCAAGCTTCCATTCCTTGGCTTGCGCCGTTTCGGCAGCGGTTGGAACCCCTCGTCCACTTCCAATAATACCCAAACCACTATTGGCAGCAAGGGTAGCATCGGCACGCCCACCAGACGCAGTGAATGCAAGATACAGATAAAACTGTTTCAAGCCTCCGCCAGTATACTTGTGCGTTTCTGAAGACGTGACATTACCGTCTCGTCGGACCAAGACACGAACTGGATCCCGAAGCTGAATTGCATTTGCCAAGTTGAGGACATCTTGGGGGACCGTGTTGGAGAACAAGGCGGTCTGCCTCTTGCTGACGAGGATCTGGCTTCCTGGTGGGTCATTTGGATTCGGTGCGTGGACAAGCGGAGGGAATCGTCGACTGCCATTGCTAAAGCTACCACTAGCGTTGTTCCCCGATCCTGGACTAGTGGACGCATCGCCAGGTGAGCCGAACGGACTGAACGCGGGACCTGACGAGGGTCCGCCGATTGGAGTGGTGTTACCGGCGCCGTTGGACGAAGGACGAGACGGAGGAAGCAACTTGACAATGTTGAATACAAAGTCATGCAGGTTCCGAGCGATGAGCTGGTCGACCTCGTCGAGGACGAGGAATCGGACTTCATTCCCTGGCAGACCACCCACAGTGGTAAACAGCGAGTGAAGCTTCTGGGGTGTGCCACATAGAATGTGGGGCATGTTTTGCTGCAATAGCCGAATCTCTTGTTGGACATCTCCGCCGGTCCCTACACCAAGCGCGGAGCGAACGCCAATAGCACCGCCCAGATCACGAATCATGCGCTGTGCCTGAGTGGCTTGATCTACTGTTGTTGAGATGATTACAACAATCGGCCCACGGTTCTGCGGTCGACCAGCAAGGCTCGATAGGGCGATATGGATGGCCGGAATAACGTATGCGGCGATACGTTCTTGAGTTGGTGGCGCCTGTGCGATAATATCGGCGCCATTGAGCAGGAAGGGCAACGCCCGTTGTTGAATCTTGTTTGGTGGACCCACTCTGAAGAGAATAAGCGCGCTGTGGAGATTGACATGACAAAATGACGTACCCATACTTTGAAATGGAGCGCAATAGCTCGGGTACGAGTTGCAAATGCTCCCATTTAGTGACTGTGGGTCCGCTATCGCGTGGGGAGTTGTTTCCCCAGTCAGAATCAATAGTCTATGAAGTGTCAGATGCGGGGCAAGGGTTAGGAATATGACACATACGGCAGAAGAGTCGCGTCGGGTGAGGTTCCCCGCAACGGAACGGCGCTTCTGGTTTAGGAGCGCATCTGGCCGCGCCAGATGTGGCTCTTGTCTCAACGGCATATCCAAACTCCCTGCAGACCACGTCCTGATCGGCGGCGGATTTCGCCCATGTGGACGGTTCGAATGGCCAAGAAGTGGACCACCTGCGGCTAAGTCATTCATCCCCGGGAATGCATTGTTGCTTCCTGGGGTATTCGGATTAAATGGCGGTGTGCTACCGGCGAGATGATTCTGTTGTTGGATCATCAATATCTGCTGAACCGACATGGTGAGGGCATCGAGCCGCTTGCTAATGTCGCCTTCCTCGCGACCACCCGATAATTGACTGGAGCCCAAGGGTGGTATTCCATTATTCCCACCGAGAAGACCGCCAGGGACGGGCGAGGACGAAAATGATCTTCGCGCATCGCCTGGGTCGAGACGTTCCACGAGAAGGTTGATCTTGCTTGCGAGTGATCCGAGTTCTCGGGCCAAATCTCTCTGAGCATACTCTGTACGTATCACTCTGTCTAGGATATCGTGAAGGAATGGCGAGTTTCTGATGTGGTTGTCGAGATTCTTTTCGACGCCTCCTGTAATCGCCGACGAAGCAGATGGGGCGGATACAGAGGACACGGGTGATGAAGCGAGTACAGCGTCGTGCATCGTGTTTACAGTTACAGGTGGGCCGGACAGACTGGAGGATACATAGTTATCTTGGCTGACGCTGTGCCGAGGAGTCAGATTACTGGAGAATGAATTATTTCGCTGGATGGCGAATGGAGGCATCCCGCTCGAAAGCGACGACTGTCTGAGGATCGTCGACGCCGGAAGTGCCGTTTGCTGATTATCGTCTATGGTGTCGAACTGAACGCTCACACTACGTTCTCTGCTCCTCGAGTGCATCTCAATCGGTGGATATTGTCGTTCTCCGTCGCTGTTTTTAAACGATGCAGATGGGAGAGAGGAAGGGGGTGAATCCACCGTGATGAACGGCTCCCGCTGGTCTGGTGCAATAGGATCCTGCGCACGCACGATTGGTCCCTGCTGTTCGTCTCCAAAAGTGGACCGGAAGACGGAGACGTTGAACCGAGGGCCATCGCTACCGGTGCTGAGGCCGCTGCTCGCGTTGTTGAGCATTCCAGCCTCTGAATTTCTCCTATCTGAAAGCGCAGGAGATGCTCTGGGAGATGCGGAGAACTGATTAGCGGCGAGATGCTTGCCGTTTGCAAAGATCAGATGAGACTCGTCCTGCTTGCTCATCGTCAATGGGAGACCGTTGGAAGGTGTAAATAATGGCTGAGACGACGTATTCATGCCGCCCAGCACGGAATTTGGGAGCGCTTGAAGGGGGCAAACTGCGAGTAGCTGCGCGTATCGGGCGTTACACACCGTCAGCGACAATTTAAGAAAGATTTTAGGCAAGAGCCAGTCTCTAAACGCTCCAAGAAGCCCGTCGAGTGCTTACCAGGCTGCAAAGCCCCGAGCCCAATGTAGCGACTGAGATGGTTGGGCGACAACCGGTGGTTTGATGCGAGTCGGCATCCTCATACACTCGCCGATGCACACTCTAAATTTCAGATCTAGCATATAAACACCAAAAAGATTCATCAAAGCTTGGGAAGAGGAGCAAACTTTGGCTGCGTTCGGGATAGAGCAGCCCTAAAGGCCTGGATAGTATCCTGAGGCAAGGTGAGCCACAGCAAGACAGAAATAAACAGAGTTCTTACATCGGACTGAAGCATGGCTTGGTTCCATGTTGCAGTATACTCCAAGCTCTCCGTCACTCTGGCAATCCGTTAACCTCTCCCCCATTGGGGCATACGGTACACGTACGAGTGGTCTTGTGCATGTAGCAATAGATGCTTTGTTCCCAAGACGGCAATGGGCGATTTGGAAGCAATGAGTTTGGCCGTTTCAATGGCAGCCGCTGCGTAAGGACGAGTGAGAGAGGTTCTCGACCATAGCGAGCACTAGACGCACCGACGACCTCATTCTGTCCACCTTGGACTACCTTGCTTACGAATCCGACTTGTAGTGCCTCGTCTGCAGAAAAGTTCTTGCGGAGAAGGCCCATTCGCGGACCAGGCTCATATTGCCCACAATCTTGGGCATCCTGGATAGAGTGCCAATGTCTGCTGCTAGTCCTACATCTACCTCCTACGAAGAGTCAGCAGCACGAAGGAATGTTGGAAATGTCCCAACTTTGATGGAAAAGGACGAGGAGGATGCCTGGAAATTGTAAGTACACGAGGCGTCTCCGTTACTTGGGACTTACAGCATATCTAACGTCTGTTGCACAGAGGATATCTATTGCAAGACCCAGACAAAGCCCGTGGCATGCTGCAATGACTGGCTTGAGGCACTTTTCGATGGAGGAAATGGCTGCCTGGAAAACCTGAGGACGCAATGTGTCAATAGGTTATCAAAATACGAAAAGTCACATACCAGAATGTGCTCGCGGAGTCGGAGAGCGTGTCTTGCGGGATCGAGATTACCGTGGTTCATTAGGACACCAGTATTCTTGACTGTTCGAGTTAGCCAATTGACATGCGTTTGCAGAAGTACACACGGTCCAAGCCCGCTGTGAAAAGCTGAGGGAGGGCAGACGCGAGGACAACCACTCGAATGTCGCCATCCTTTGACGCTGCCTCGAAGACTTTCTGCATTTCCTCCCAGAATCTTGTCACCTGTCAGTATGTAACCCATTGAAACCGTGACTGAGGACAAACGGTTGGTTGAAGGCATTCACAGGCGGCCTGGAGCTTCTCGTCAGGACGTAGGCCTACAAAATCAAACAAGACTTACCGATTCATCTCGACAAGTAGAACACCTTCACTTGGAACAGAAACCTTGAAGAACAAATACGAGGACATGGTCGGCGTCGGGTATCAACCAGGAAATATAGCCGGTCAAACCACTCGGACTCGACCAACTTGTATCATCATCCTCCGCCTATGAAAAGACCAGTAATACAAAGACTAGCTCTTTACATTCTCGCAAGGGATCAACTTTGGATTAGACATCGAACTAGTCTAGGTACCAAATTACATGACTCATAAACCCAAAGGAAAGAAAGGGGTGACTACAATATTAACTCGTAAATGCAATAAATCATGCGATACCCAGCCCGCGACGCACAAAGAAAAGAGCGATACCCGTCATGGTTCCGCCGATGTGGCCCTCAAACCCAATCTATTAAGCGCATTAGCCATGTACAGTTTGGGTTAACCCACTGACCGACGTAAGACGTCTGCTCCCACTTTCGACGCGGTAAAGGTCGTAAAGGAAGATGCCAGCCTCTGCAACCCAAAGAGACATTGGGATGCCAAATAGCGTTACAGATGATCTTGGGGTCATGCAAGCCATAAACGATTTGACTGCGTTCATTGCGCCACTGGCCCCCATCCCATGGACGGGGTGGTTCTGGTTCCAATAAGCGGACGCCAGACTACTGCCGACAGCACCTGGGGAATAGTTACAAGGTTGTCACAATCTGGTGAAGTCTTTCATACCTGCCAGGTATACCGTGAGGAAGGAATATGATCCAAGATACTGAGCGTCAGGACGCAATCGCCACAACCCTTTGATCGTCAGGGGCAGCCAGAGGGAGCATGCCAGTGACTTACCCAGTGTATTCATAAGTAAATGAATGGTAGAGTGGTGCGCAAATGCGGATGTCACGAGTGTCCAGCTGTAGTCGAGAATGTGAGTTGGTGTCACGATACTCTAATGAAATGAACAGGCATTCTTCCTTGCCGGATGTTTCCCGCCGAGAATGTAAAGTTTTCTGCCATCCATTTGAGCGACCGAGCGTCTCCGCGTTTCTGCCTCGCGTGTCAGTGACAAATAGACATTCCGAGTTTACGTACGAATGTAGATTTTGCCGCATAAAAGCAGAGGAATACCGAAATATTGATCCCGATGATTCCGTACACGAGCCAATACCCATGAAGCTTCATGGTCGGGGGTAAGTATCACGCTCGCCAAGCCACTTCTGAACTCGACCAACTTGTATCATTATTCTCTTCGTCTACAACAAAACTCATGATTACACGGAGATTAATTCGTCAAATTCGTTTTGCATCTTCGCAAGCATCCATTTCTGCTGCACCACCAAGTTCCGGTTCAGGAGGGTCTTCAAACTTTCAGCATCCACACGCCGCGCTCGAGGAAACGGCAAAGAACGACCTAGAAAGCTCACAAGCCACTCAGAGAGCCGCATCTAGCCAGGATGGCCCATCTACAGATCCCGAACATGGTCTGGTGGTCTCAAATCCCATTATTCCGCGAGATATCGATAATTCGGAACCCTATATTACACCCTTTCATACTTACAAGTTCTTTGTCGCGCTGGAGCAGACATTTCCGACACCAATAGCGCGAACATTGATGCGCTTGACGCGTGGCTTACTCGTGGATAGGATGATGAGGATCCGGAGAGATGCATTGGATGTTAAAGATCTTGATAATGTACGTGTGATGCTACCGAGCAGCGGAACATTGTGCTAATTCGAGTTTATTTCCATAGCAAGCCTACTTGTTCAAAGCTGCGCTTTCTGAACTTCGAACAGAAGCCACAATGAGGACAAAGAATCAGGCGGCAACTATCACGACGTCAATTTCGGGCTTGAGACGAGACGTGGACCGACTGGACGTCAAGATGAAGGAAGACATTGGAAATTTGAAGCACGAGTGAGTTTAAAATGCAAATGCATGGAGTTCGCTGATAATTGGGAACAGGATACAAATGGAGATGGATAACCATCGAAACGAATCACGGGCAGAGATGAAGAAACTCGATATTCGAATGGAAGACGTTGTACACCGTGCGACCGTGTCCTTGGGTGACATTCGAACAATCATTGAGCAGGCGAAATGGGATAACACGCGAAGGGGTGTCGGTACGTCGAGGCAACTGTGCACATGCGAGATACTAAACACGAGTAGCAATATTCGGATCATTTGTACTGCTGACGGTCATTATGATGGAACTGAAGCCATCCAAACCGTCGAGCTATCCGCCAAAGGTCGCAGTCGACGCTGCAAACAGCGTGGATGTGGTCGAAACTCAGGCGTAGTCCATTTTCCAGCCCACTGGGTCATCATACTTTATAGAACATTTCTTTATTACAATGAGCAACTTACAAATGCAATAGAAGGAAGTCATGGGATACCCAGCCTGCGACGCACAAGGAAAAGACCCATACCCGTTAAAGTTCCACCAATATGGCCCGCAAAGTCGGTCTAAATGATGCATTAGATTGGCATAATTTGAATAAACGAACTAACCGAGACGTGGCCTCTGCTTCTGGCGCCATAAAGATCATAGAGGAAGATGCCAGCCACGACAGCCCATAGAGGCATCGGGATGATACCATAGAGTGCCACGGATGTCCTTGGGCTCATGCATGCCGTAAACGACATGATTGCGCACAATGCACCGCTGGCTCCCATACTTCGAGTGAAGCGATTTTGGTTCCAATAGGCAGACATCAGATCACAGCCAATGGCGCCTAGAGAATGATTATAGGTTGTTCAATTTGATGTGATCTTACACACCTGTCAGGTATACCTTGAGAAAGGCATACGAGCCAAGGGATTGAGCGACAGCGGGACAGAACATCCACAGCCCTGTGATAGTCAGAGATAGAAAGAAGATGCAGTGCAGTGACATACCCAGTGTGTTCATGAATAAATGATCCGTGGCTTGATGCGCAAATGCAGATGTAACAAGCGTCCAACTACAGCCCATATATCGTCAGTTGCTTTCGCAATATTCCAAGGAAAGGAACTGACAGTCTTCCTTGTCGAATATTTTCGGCGGAAGAGGTAAAGTTTTCATACATCCATTTGAGCAACTGAGGGTCTCCGTTTTTCTGCCTTGCTTGTCAGTGACAAACAAGCATCCCGAGTCTACATACGAATGCGGTCTCTGCGACACCAAAGCAGAAGAATATCAAAACGTTGGTTCCCATGATTCCATAGACGAGCCAATCGCCAGGAATGCGGTCGAAGAAGAACCGAAAGCGGTTCATAAACGAGTATGAAGATGCATTGTTCCGCGGATAATAATTCCTGACTTTGAGGCCCTGTGAGGGGTGAAATGCTCGTGCCGGGACACGCAACACGCTCCTAGGTGTCGAGAGTGTTCTGCCTATGGGCCGAGTATGGATAAATGATGCATTTCTGGTCCAAATTGGACTCCGAGTCAACGTCCTGTGCAGCAGTGGCATTCCAAAACCCGGGTCACCAAACAAAGTCATCCCTTGGTCCTGACCATCCCCGCCCACAAAAAAAAAGGCCGGCCCCAAGCTACAGCTCCTTCAAGCTTCACTAAATGGCCAAATCTACTCGTTCAAAGACTAAGCGTTCTTTCCGTCGCAACAAGAGGGAAGACAGCGTTTACGCCGCCACGCACGCCGCTCGTCTGGAAAGATTGAGCAAGAAACTCGCAGACATCGCCCAGCCCGAAAAGGCAGACAAACAAACAACACTAGACACGATGGATGGAGAGAATGAAGTCCAAGGTTGGCCCTTTTTCGCCCTCCTTGGCCTCGTAGACCCCGATGAGATTGGCGCCTTTGGCTCACCAAACTTGAATCAACGTCCTAATTCCGGTCATGAAAGTGACTGGCTACGGGGACTTTCCACAGTCACCTGGCAAACGCTGAGTGATCCCCGCCTGATGGCGGCTGTTTCGTAACTTTTCTCTTCTCCTAGCTTCCCTCTTTCTTTATTACGCACAGACCGAGTTCTTCCTGCTTACTCTAGACGCATCGTTGCTAACACTTTAGCCGTCCTTGCAGAAGACATGCAAGGGTACTCGGACGAGGATGCACAGGTTGACTCAGGTCAGTTCCCTGCTCTATCTGTTGTCAATGGCACCCGTGTCTTACCTTTTTATCCATGTAATTTTACAAATTGCTCCCGGTATTATATGACTCTGTTTCCGAACCACAGCTATGGACGTTGACAAGAAAAAAGTGTCCACCCACGGTCGTCGCCTCTCACGAAGACAGGAATGGCGCGCCGCAAAGGGCCTTCCGGCACTGAAAAAGAGTGGCAAGATTAACCGTCAAGGTACATTGACCGCTTCTCGCCGCGCAGGACGTTCGAAGCGAAGAAGATGAATCATTTGAACCGTTAGCTCAAAAGTACGCTATTATATCCTTGAAAAAAATAATTACTTGCGATCAAAGTCCAAAGTCGCCATGAGTTGCTCGTTGATCCCCTCCACTTCATGACTCACCCCAAGCTCTCCCTTGCGCCACTCCAATTTGCCACTCTCGACACCGACCAGCTTGAACATGTATTCTCTTTTATGGACCAGACTGCCGTGGACCGTGCTCGCAGGTTCTATCATCAAGACGATGCCTGGCGTATGCCAATTTGACTTGGGATCTTGCAAACTAACGGCTTGATGTAGGATTCCTCATTGGGCGGATGCTACGAATTGTGATGTTGGGCGATATTGGCAGAGATCGAGGGCTTACAGTCCCAAATTTGGAGTTCAGCCAAACGCCTGCTGGAAAGCCCTACATAGTACTTATCTTTGCGTTCCCATCCTCAAGTCTTATATCACAGTAGGTCGCTCCGCAATCCCTTTCGTCTGTAGGATTCAATGTCTCTCATGACGGTGCCGTCGTTTTGATGGGGATCCTGGAGACTCGAGGATCCTCGGGTGCATCAGCCATTGGAGTCGATATAATGAAGGCGGAGATTCCGGTCAACGATGATCTACTATCGTTTATTGCTTCCATTGAGAGCACGGTACGATTGATGTGCACCTTATTTCACTAACGTGACGGGATACAGCTCACAAGGAGCGAATCTCGACATCTGCGCCAACTTGCCGCTGCTGAGAGCACACGTTCACAAGCCACGAAGCACTTGTTTCAGCTTTGGACACTCAAAGAGGCCTATGTCAAGGCACTAGGAGTCGGCATCACCTTTGAACTCTCTCGCATTCATTTCGATTTCGAGACCTCTGTTCTCGCAGTTGATGGGGAGCCTTTGGGCCGTTGGGGCGTCATTTCATTTGGATTATCGAGTCTCTTCAGTGGTGATGTACTGGAGGAGTACGTTGGCGCTGTCTGTTATCAGCTCGATAGTTCAGATGTAGAGACCGGAGGTATTGTCGAGTGGGTATCAGTGGCTGAAGACCACCGCTTCACGTTTGTAGACCAGCATGATCTCATTCAGAGGGTTGCTCCCGGCTCTAGTGTCGTCAATGCCTCGTAGTGGATTCCAGCTCTCCAACCCTGTAGCGAGCTCGAGAATGAACCCTTTGTCACAGACGGTACCCGAAAAATCCTGCAAAGGAATTATTCTAGGGATTTACTGCGTTTACTAAACATTGTCCTGCGTGGCTCGCGGCCGAGTATATTTACGAGGTTTCTCGACCAGGCGCGAGTCTAACAAGCTCCCAACAGGTCGGTAGCAGTGACATAGGTCTCCCATTCGTCAAATCAAGTATCATATTGGCACATGTGTCTGGTACATAGCAGGTGGTTGGAGGGTGGCATTGACAGACGCTGTCCACATCTTGGAGCCATCGACCTTACGATGTCGACCCAAAAGTCAACCAAACGCAAGAAACAGCGCGGGACTGTCAATTCATCGGGATCCCCGCCTGTACCAAGGCCAACAAACAAGAAACGTCAAGTATACGACATGGTCAACGTCGGCCTCGACATAGCGGCCAATATCGCCGAGGGATCGGACATTCTCGCTCCACTAAAGGCAGCTTGTCGAACAACAAAGTCGATTCTCGAAGTTGCGCAGGCAAGTTGGCGAAACCGACAAGGCATTTATCTGACAACAAGATAGGCGACAGAGAATAACCAAGAGGAATGGACCGAGCTAACAGCACGTGTGAACGGATACATGTCCACAATCGAGGAACAAATAGCGTTATTTGAGACATATCCTCCAGAAGACATGGCCATTAACGAGGCGTTCAAACGGCCGCTCGTCCACTATGTCAAGTATGTGCGCATTCCAAGTTTGCTTCAGTAGGCTGAGCGATGCAGATGCCTGGAAGACATGCACGATAAGGTTGTCAATCTAAAGGAGAAACGTCGCCTCGACAAGCACGCCTTTTCTAAAGCAATCATCAAAGTGAAAATTGATGCAGAGGAGATTCTTAAACTCAATCGGGATATCGAGGATCGGCATAGCCAATTCATGGTACGAGCCTTCATCCGTCTTATTCACGAGTTCACTGCATACACAGGGTGCATTGGGACTTTTTGCCGCATTGCGTATTCAAAGCGTTGAGCGGAATACCAAGGTTATCAAGGCTGACGTTGAGGCCACCAAGGCAAACGTGGAAATCGTCCTGACAGACGGTAAGACTAGAGCTTCGTATGGGACATGCTTACTTAGTATTCAAAGTTGACTCCGCCGCAATACTCCAGCTACCAACAGCAGCTTTTGTGGCATCCTCTGTCCATAGGACCTGTCTGACAGGAACGCGCGATGCTGTTCTTCAGACCATCTACCGCTGGGCCGACGATGCTACGTCGGATAAGCCAATATTCTGGCTCTGCGATATCGCTGGCTCTGGCAAATCCACAGTCGCCATGTCTGCAGCAGATGCTTGGAAGAAGGAGGGAGTGTTAGGTGGCCAATTCTTCTTCTCTCTTACAAGCAGCGAAGGATCAACCACCGACAAGTTCTGCTCCACCATAGCAAGAGACCTTGTTGACTACATACCCAAACTTGGCTCACACGTCGCCGGAGCCGTGAAGCGGCATCCCTCGCTCATACGAAGCTCTCTCCAAGAGCAGTTCCGTATGCTCGTCATTGAGCCTCTTCATCATCTCCAAAGATGTGTCATTCTCGTCATCGACGCTCTTGACGAATGTCAATCTGGATCGCAGAGAAGAGAGCTTGTTGAAATGCTTTCTACAGCTGTTAAAGAAGTGACAAACCTCAAGATATTCATGACGAGTCGACCAGACCCTGTGATCCAAGCAGTCTTGGGATCGCTTTCAATCAAGTCCAAGCTGGAAGACCGCCTGCACGATGTTCATCATCGTGATAACATCGATGATATTGCAACTTACATACACAAGGAGCTAAACGACGTACTGCCGGAGGCCAGGAGGCTGAGACTGGTCGAGAAGGCCAATGGATTGTTTATTTGGGCAAGCACGGCATGTCGAATGCTCAGTAGCGAAACTACATTAGACTTGCCGGAAAGCATCTATGATCGCCTGATCTCAGTGGACCAGACTGGAGAGATAGACGACGTTTATAAGCTCGTTTTCGAGCGTGTGGACCTGAGATCCTATCCAGCTATGTCCAATATGCTCGCTTTGCTGCTTGCTGCATTCGAGCCACTCAGTATCGATGATTTGGACGACATGTTCAAGAACCTTGGGCTCAAGTGGAGTTCTAGGGCACTGGTACAGAACCTAGGAAGTGTGCTCAGTGTAGACCCAAGTACGAACTTGATCCAATTCCGCCATCCTACCCTTGTCGAATACCTTCGACGGTGTTCCTTCGCATCAGCTCCCAACAAACCCAATACACTCCATCTCAATGTGACCAAGGCGCATGGTCAGGCCGCATCATGGTGTCTCAAACGACTCATGTCGCGGACTGATGGTCTTAAGTTTAATATATGTCAACTCGAGTCATCTTTCTACCTCAATAGAGAGATTCCAAACCTAAAGGCGAGGATATCGAGACTCATTCCAAAGGCACTTCGATATGCCAGCTCTCATTGGTTGCTCCATGTGGCGGAAACTGATGACACCTGGCGATCCATGGTCAAGAGGGAACTTGAACAGATTATTCAAGCTCCACATGTGCTATACTGGATGGAAGTGCTGAGCTTCACTGGGGGTGTGCCACGAGCAATAGCTGGCCTTCGAGCTATTGGACGCCACACAGGGGTAAGTCGCTGATCCTAACGAATTCAACGCTTACACAACAGACAGGGTGAAATGTGGGATAAAGCCAGGATGGACCAAATTCGACGGTTTATAATGACATTTTCGGTACCGATCCAAGAGAGCGCGCCACACATTTACATTTCTGCACTGCCGTTTGCCCCTATAAAGTCGATATTACATATCGAGGGTGCAAAAAGATACAGGAACCTTCTTCGCGTAACAGAAGGCCTCGAGGAGATGTATTCTGGGCTCCCAAGTAGTCTTCGAGGTCACGAATCCGGGGTCAACTCCGTCGAATTCTCGCCAGACGGCTCACAGATTGTGTCTGGCTCGGATGACAACACAATTCGATTGTGGGATGCGGCAACTGGTCAGGCTGTGGGAGAGCCACTCCGAGGTCATGAAGGTTGGGTCTTAGCCGTCGCATTCTCGCCAGATGGCTCACAGATTGTTTCTGGCTCGTACGACAAGACAATTCGATTGTGGGACGTGGCAACTGGTCAGGCTGTGGGAGAGCCACTCCGAGGTCATGAATCCGGAGTCAAGGCCGTCGGATTCTCGCCAGACGGCTCACAGATTGTGTCTGGCTCGTACGACAACACAATTCGATTGTGGGACGCGGCAACTGGTCAGGCTGTGGGAGAGCCACTCCGAGGTCATGAATCCGGGGTCAACGCCGTCGGATTCTCGCCAGACGGCTCACAGATTGTGTCTGGCTCGTCGGACAAGACAATTCGATTGTGGGACGCGGCAACTGGTCAGGCTGTGGGAGAGCCATTCCGAGGTCATGAATCCGGGTCAACGCCGTCGGATTCTCGCCAGATGGCTCACAGATTGTGTCTGGCTCGTCCGACAAGACAATTCGATTGTGGGACGCGGCAACTGGTCAGGCTGTGGGAGAGCCACTCCGAGGTCATGAATCCGCGGTCTTTGCTGTCGGATTCTCGCCAGACGGCTCACAGATTGTGTCTGGCTCGTTGGACAAGACAATTCGATTGTGGGACGCGGCAACTGGTCAGGCTGTGGGAGAGCCACTCCGAGGTCATGAATCCGGGGTCAACGCCGTCAGATTCTCGCCAGACGGCTCACAGATTGTGTCTGGCTCATACGACAAAACAATTCGATTGTGGGACGCGGCAACTGGTCAGGCGGTGGGAGAGCCACTCCGAGGTCATGAATCCGCGGTCTTGGCCATCGGATTCTCACCAGACGGCTCACAGATTGTGTCTGGCTCGCACGACAAGACAATTCGATTGTGGGATGGGACAACTGGTCGGGCTGTGGGAGAGCCACTCCGAGGTCATGAATCCGGGGTCAACGCCGTCGGATTCTCGCCAGACAGCTCACAAATTGTGTCTGGCTCGTACGACAACACAATTCGATTGTGGGACGCGACAACTGGTCAGGCTGTGGGAGAGCCACTCCGAGGTCATGAATCCGCGGTCTTGGCCGTCGGCTTCTCACCAGACAGCTCACAGATTGTATCTGGCTCGTACGACAACACAATTCGATTGTGGGATGCTGCAACTGGTCAGGCTGTGGGAGAGCCACTCCGAGGTCATGAATCCGGGGTCTTGGTCGTCGGGTTCTCGCCCGACGGCTCACAGATTGTGTCTGGCTCGTACGACAACACAATTCGATTGTGGGACGCGACAACTGGTCAGGCTGTCGGAGAGCCACTCCGAGGTCATGAATCCGCGGTCTTGGCCATCGGATTCTCGCCAGACGGCTCACAGATTGTGTCTGGCTTGTACGACAACACAATTCGATTATGGGACGCGGCAACTGGTCAGGCCGTGGGAGAGCCACTCCGAGGTCATGGATCCCTGGTCCACGCCGTCGGATTCTCGCCAGACGGCTCACAGATTGTGTCTGGCTCGTCCGACAGGACAATTCGGTTGTGGGATGCGGCAACTGGTCAGGCTGTGGGAGAGCCACTCCGAGGTCATGAATCCGTGGTCTTCGCCGTCGGATTCTCGCCCGACGGCTCACAGATTGTGTCTGGCTCGTCGGACAAGACAATTCGATTGTGGGACGCGGCAATTGGTCGGGTTGTGGGAGAGCAACTCCAAGGTCATGAAGGCGGGGTCAGCGCCGTCGGATTCTCGCCAGACGGCCCACAGATTGTTTCTGGCTCATACAGCAACACAATCCGATTATGGAATACAGAAACTGGTAAGTTTAACTCCACTCGTCTTCGAGATAGTGATGCGACCCGATAAATAGCATTAGGTGCAAAAGCAAATGCCTCCGACCAGGATGATACAGAGTTTGTATATTCAGATCTACGGGGCACTCCTCTCAGACTCGTTGTGCCTGGATTCAATCAGTGCTCACTTTCGCTCGATGGTTGGGTACATTCTTCCAGCAAACGTCTCTTCTGGGTGCCACCAGACAATCGACGGGGACTAAAGTATCCGTACCGCCTGACAATTCCGACTAGCGCCCCATTCCGTGTGACGAAACTTGATTTCACTAATTTCCAAAGTGGCTCCTCTTGGACAAAGGTTCGAACAGACGCGTGCTCGTGATTTGCTATGACGGGTATTACTGTATTTTTCCATATTTTTAGCCATAGCATAACGATTATCTCGACCATCGAATTAGCCAGTTCACCTGTATGGCCTTGCTTTGTATTTGGAGTGTTCCCATTCTGTGCAAATAAGCGTTGGGTGTCCTGTCGAAACTTGGACCTCGCCTCGTCGTCCTGAATGGTCATTTGCTTCGAGCAGCAGCCCTTCACGCTAAAATACCTCTTGATCATTCTTTAACGAGATCTCTAGACTGCTTTCTCTCTCGTCTGTTGCTCTCTGTCCTGCCGGGCACATTTCTGTATTTACGCGACGCTTACATTCTACCACGATTCTTCAACGCGTAAATTTACGGTTCTTACACCATGTCCTCTTCAGCACCACCCGTACGACCTCCAAGGCGACCCACAGGCGTGGCAGCGACCAATAGCCAACGTTCACCGCCAGCTACAACTGGAACAGCCAACGGAACCTCTGGGACGACACTTGTAGCCAAAGGTTCTGTTTCACGCGCAAGCCCGACGCCAAAAGCGCCGCCTCCCATCCGCCGTACCACGGCCAGCTCACGTCCCAACTCGATTCGATCCGATTCACGAGACGCGGCAAAGGATGGTATAACGGGCTCTACCAAGGATACAGATACACATGATTCTCCAGACGCAAGTCGGGACGAAAAGAACTACGACGAAGTGAGTGCACAAGGTGACATGCGACGCAGAATGTGAGTGCTGATGGCTATTGAAAAGCTACGTCTTCGAATTCAAGACCTTGATGGGACTGTTTCATCTCTCGCAGCGGAGAATGCAAGTCTCCAGACATCCTTGAATCAAGCAGAGACCCGCATCTCCGAGCTGTATGCCGATCAAGCCAGGATGGATGAAGAACTTTCTGTTCGAAACAATCTCGCAGAGAAGCTTCGGGCTCAGCTTCGCGAACTGGAAAAGGAGAAACGAGATTTGACGCGCAGGTATAACGAACAGGTCAGTCAACCACGGGTGTGGGGGAGAGTGTTGACGTTCTCTTAGACTTCAACGTTCGAGGCAGAGCGTCAATCGTTTTACGACAATGAACAGCACCTCAAGTCACGCATCCAAGCGCTGTCGCAAAGCCGCAAGGAAGTGGCATCACCACGCAAACAGCGTGCGGCTGAGCTCGATGATAATGCTTCTATCGTCAGCGAGATTGACGATCAACCTCAGTCGTATCCTGAACCTGCCGCTGGAAGCAAGTCGACGCCAGTAACGCGCCGTCGAGGAGAGACCATCACTCCGAGTCGCAACTTTGAGAGTGAGGAGAGCGAGCCGGCAGAAATGACAACACTCAAGCTCGAGCTATCAACTCTTTCAACATCACACGCCTCTCTTCAATCCACGGTTCATCTCCTTCAAACACAGTTGCTCGACCTGCAGCGAGTCAACGCGGAGCTACAAGAGGAAAATGAAGGGTGGAAAGTGCTGGTTCAACAGCGCACTCTGGCCGGTACATTCGACATACTCACGCTCGGAGGTGCTGCACCTCAAGCGGACAAGGCTAAAGCTGGAGAAGATGCCTCGTCTGTGTCCAACGGTCGTAATAGTACACTCGACCAAGTTTCAGAAATGGACGAAATCGCATACGAAGCTGGTATTACAGATCCTGCGACTGCAGATCCCAAGAACACACTCGATGCTTCTCTCTTTGGAAACGAGATCAAGCGCACCGACTCTCCCGCATCACGGCATTCTCGACGGCGGGGTAGCACCGTCACCAATAACGACGGCAACGCACTTCAAGGTGAAACTTTGGCAGACTTGCCGATCACTGGACCAGGACTTGATTTGGCCGCAGAGCTGGGTCGAGCACAGAATGCCGAAGGGTTCATTGACGGGCAGGGTGGTAATGTGCCGAAGAAGGCGAAGAGTGCCGAGGAAACGCGCCTCAAGAATGAGAATGACACGCTGAGAACGGAGAACAAGAATCTCAAAGACGCAAATAAGGCGCTCTCGCTGTATGCTTCGAAGATTATTGACCGCATCATTGCGACCGAAGGGTTCGAGAACGTCTTAGCCGTCGACTTTCAAGATAGAGGTGGTGGAAGTAGTGAAAAGGGAGCCCCAAAGTCCAAGGCTCGTCCTGGAAGCCTACTCTTCGGGGTTGGCGGTGTCATTCCAGATGCGCCCCGGTCAGCCGCACCTGTGGAGAAGCTGACAACATTCGAGTCGATCGGCCTCTCCAAAGCTGCTTCTAATACTCCTGCGGCAACGCCCGTCAAACCAAGCCCGGCCCCTCCAAAGGCTGCAGATGATCCTCGTAGGTCAAGGCGATCAATGTCCTTTGACTGGCGTGGCTTCTCGTTGTTTGGAGGAGCAGCAGCACAGACAGAGGCTGAGAAGAAAGCAAATGATCCCTCGCTACGACCACTCACGCTGCGACCAGGCGCTCCTCAGCTGACTGCCAACCCGTCGACAATGTCAGCCCGGAAGCTGGAGACAGCGGAAGACGACGAAGATCGCCGAGAGAGGGAGAGACTTCGAGCCACGATGCGTTTGATGGGTATTGACCCAGCCAAGGAGGGCTCAGTACCTCCAACGCCGATGGAGGGTCCCTCGATGCAGTCCTTCCGCTCAGCGACCCAAGAGCGCACCCCGACGGCCGCTACGACAAGTCAGCCCACTGCAGGAGCAGGAGCAGCCGCGCCTGGAGCAGCACCGAACAGTCGATGGTCGTTCTTTGGTCGAAAGAACACGGCTGAGGTGAACCCTTCTGCCTCGAGTTCGTCATCCTCGCTCGTACCAGGGAAATCAGTCTCCCCTGCGCTAGGAGCACCCTTAACGGCAGAGGCATTGGAACAGGCCGAAGCAGAGTCTCACTTAGCCGCACTCGACGCACGCGAAAAAGTGGTCATGGAAGAGATTGCAAAGGGAGGCTCTGGAGGTTTCACCGAGCTCACTGGTCCCAATGGGGCGCCGAGGAGACGGCTGGGCGAGGAATGGCGCAGTCGTCGGAATAGCCAAAACTTGAGTGGAGGGGCGGATATGGTGCGGTCACGTAGTTTGAGAAAGGAAGGTAGCTCTGCCGGGAGCGCATCCACCGTGTGGAGTGCAGGCAAAGACGACGACTAATGTTTCTATTCTGTATTCCTCTGACTCCTTGGTCTCTATATTATGAAGGGTCTGACACTTTAATGGGAGAACAAACTTTTCTCGCACTGTTGGGACAATGAGGGGTTCAATTACAAAGATTCAATACGCACAATAGTCTGCCGAGGTCAAGATAATGAGAAGGATGTTAAAGAGACTCCGAGATAAAGGCACAACACAACATTCGCAAGGGTCACTAAGAGGGAAAGACAGGTGCATTGCTCCTCGGTCTGATTAGGGCCTGTCGACACATGTGAGCACAAGCCTCGGACATCGATAGGAGCAAACGTACGACTCATTCCGCATAGAGCACAAGCTTGTCGCCGCTGCTCATCCATTCTCTCAGATGAGCATCATCTAAAATGTCTACAAAGTGGCCAGTGCCGCCAGAACCGGCAGCCATCCCATCTCGATATTTGACATTGGCCACGTCGTCTCCTAGCCGCTCGCGTACTTTTTCCATGAGCTGTCGCAACGACACTCGCGGGCTGACGCGAATAGCAATCAGCTCGTCTGTGCTCGAATGGAATATTTTAATCTTCACAAACGCAGCATTGTGGTTATTACTGCTGATCCTGGGACTATTTGGGTTGCCAGTCGAGATACTTGGAGTAGTGGTATGGCTGCGATACTCGCTATCGCGGCCATTCGATTGCGCATAGGTCGATCGCAGTGGAGAACTATCGCGATGCTGTTTGGGTGATCCGTACGAGGAAGAGTTGTAACGTGTTATAGGAGACTTGATAATAGAGGGTTCGCGCTGGTGGCTAGCAGCCGATTCTCGCGCATAAGGGTGCGGCTGGGAATACTTGGAGTCGGTCCATCCGCGTCCACTGTCAAGCTCTGACATCCGCCCATATCCTACTTCACCCTCTCCAGAGTCCCTCGAGTCACGGACGGGGTTAGTGGGTGCTTTTGCTTTCGCATACGGATGGCCCAACTCTTTAGAGTGATATGTCTCGGCAGTTGAGGGAGCTCGGCTGGAATAGGTGTTCGAACTTGTCGTTCTCGATTGGGCATCATGATAGTCCGAGGGTTGTCGCTGGCTTTGGGTAGAACGAGTGTGATAGTCGTCCTGAGGCTGGTGGTCGTAATAGCCCCGTGTATTGTCCTGTGGAGGATAATCTTCGTCGGGAAGCGGGACTTCATTTTCTATATCTCCATCACGAGCGGCGAAAAACTTTCGTACGAGCTCGCACCGAAGAATGTGCTCAGCCCCGACCTCGCGCAACGCCACCAGCTCTTTGAGGTAGACATCGAGATCATGTCTCCGTGTGTCTGTTACCGTCTCGTCGACGTCGTCTTGTGGGCCTGGCATGTAGGGAAGAATGCGAGTGCTCGGGCCATCCTCATCCTCGGGCGGCGCTTCGTCTGGTCGATCGGGATCCCGACCGGCTTCGACTGGGAACGACGCGAGCAGTTGTATTTGGAAGACGTAAAAGTCGTCATAGACACGGAACAGTGTCAACTCGCGTGACATGAGAGGCGCGGGATCAAAAGGATTCTTTTTCGCTGGAGGATCGGGTCTGAACGTCGCATTCACACGGAACACCCAGTCGTTGGATTCGTAATGGAAGGAGGACACCTCTGCACGGATGAGGACGCCAAACGGCAGCGGGTCAGCCAAATCGAGCCTGGAGAGGTCTGGCGGTGGCAGCGAGTCGCGCTGATCCGTGTCGTAGTCTTGCCGAGCGTCGGAAAATGTGTTGACATCCTCTGGTCGGTAGGCGTTTGAAGGGTTGGTGGGGTCATAGGTGAAACGATTCTCAGCGCCAGGGGAAGTCATTGCCATTTGCTGAAACTTGGAATTGGGAACCGGACCAGCGTTTGGACTGTCGATCACGCCCAATGCAATGCTGCTGGCTTTGTAGTTCATTGTCGCCTTTTTCCACTCTTCCACCGGTGGCAATTCTCCGCGGTCGATGAGAGCATCTATGTCGGTGATGGGCTGGCCTGTTACAGGGTCTCGGACCTCGAGGAAAGACGCGGGAATCAAACCGGGACCTCCGAGTCGTCCAATAGGCTTAGCGACGAACCACTCTCGGTTCGAGTGTGCAACGACAGAGATTGCGTCTCCGGCCTTTGCATCGAGCTCGTCTGGACGCTCGGCCTGAAAGTCGTGCTGTACGACGGCATAGAAGACGGGAGTCTGCCGTGGCGACGTTGGTGGATTGGAAAAGCGAGCGGCATCGACGGGCTGGCTTGGGCCGGAGATTCTAGCTCCAGGGCCTCCAAGAGCAATAGAACGTTGTCTAGAGGCATATCGGTCGGCAAATGTAAGCAGGAGACGCGATCGCAGACATCGCAAAGCACTCACGCGGCATTGGACTTGTCAAATCCTTCAAACAGCTCCTTTGGGACGAGCCCCCTGGCACCCGTGACTGGATTATGGGCTTCATAATACTCGTTCCATTCGCATGCACGACGTCTCGGATCACATAGAAGAAGTCGCCCTTTGCAAACGACAACTCTTGAGGCGCGGTGGGTCGGTGGCTAGCGAGGGCTCTGATGACCTTTTTGGGCGGAACTACAGCAGATACGGGCTTGCTGAGCGTTGGGAGCGTCTGGGGACTGTATCCGGGCGCGGCAGACGCTTCCTTGTTCGTCGAGCGACGTAGACCAAGCGTCTTCATCGCCAATCCGTCACTCGAGACTTGTACAAATAATCCAAGATATTGTGTAAGCTATCTGTGCACGCCGGCCAAGACGTCGAGTGGCGGGTGACTGACGAGGTGGATGAACAAGTTCCAAAAGTGGTGAACAGCGGGCGTTGTTTCCGGCGTGGCGCTCAAGGGACCTTTAATACGTAGAATTTCGTTACATTCGCAGGTACAGTGGAGAGCACGCGCAGAAAGCACTGAGTCATGGAATTCACATAGCGTCAACCTCTCGTGGCCACACCGTCCCCCTCTTGATGCACCAGCTCTCGAGAGAGCACCAAGGCATTGAGAGGGGAGAAGAGCAAGCCCCGAGTGTCAAAAGCACCGCGCCAGACCATCCAGAAGGCTCAGCGGCTCAGTTGAGCTCCTCGAGGTCGGCATCCTTCTTCGTCTCGCCTGCAGCCGTGTCTGGTACATCAAAGCTCTCCACGAGATCGGGGACATCGTCGTCGTCTTCCTCCTTTGTCGCTCCAGCAGCCGCTCGCTGGCCCTGTTGGATGGCTTGGTACGACTCGGCCAGTTTGCGCAGCGATGCCAACGAGTCGGGCCCGAGCTGGTTCAGAATGCCAGGGACGAGTTCTGTCAGTTCCTTGACTTGTCCAGTGCCATAGACCGCAAACGTATTCGCAGCCGGGGCGCCATGGACTAACGGGACAGGTACCGGAAGAGAGAGGGACACGTTGTCAGTATAATAGAGCGAAAATACAGCTGAAAGGACATTACCTTTTGGAGCGCTAAAATGCAAAACATTGCCATCTTCCCTGAACATGTTCAACTCTTCGACACCTGTAATCGGCTGCATATTCAACTTCTTGAGTGCAGCTTGAAGCTTTCGGTCATCCTGTCCACCTCCCGCCTTTGCCGTCTTGACGACTTTGCGACGTGGGGTTCCCTTGCCACCTGCACGAGCGATGCACAGTCGACATTTTCAATACGAGCATGTTCAACGTCCATCATTTATAAACGAAAAGCCCGTCGTCGATGGTCCGATGCAGAAACGAGTGGCCATGCAAAAAACAAAAGTCGTCAGCTGTTGGCAAAGGATATCGTAGAGATAGACGAGCCAGATGGAGATGTGATTATGCTACTTTGACGTACCGATTCTCGTCGAAGCAGCCTGCGCTTGCAGCTTTGCGAGTTTTGCAGCATCGACCGGCATATTCGTTGCTTAAACAAGACTACGAGACGTAACCCAGGCTACACGTGACAGATTTTGGATTTTGTGGACGTCGCCTTGCGATCCTTTGCCTTGCAGAGTCCCAGTCGATGGTTAGGGTTTGTTTGGTCCTCGTTGGCCAGAGGCTGGGCCACAGTGGACGGCAGACGTAAAAGTAATATATGTACGATAACAACCAGCTCGAGGATACATACCCAATGCGATTCTTTACACTCGTACATCAGCCAATCAGTCGTCGCTCAGATTTCGGTACTCGAACCTGAACCCACTCTTCTTCCTCACACACCAGCTCCCTTCCCAGTCAAAGTAGAGGTACTGTCCTTGCTCATACTCGTCCGTCACCTCGTCTGGCTTGGCGTGTCGTTGGAACCAGGTCAAAAACTTGACGTGGAACCGCCACGACTGCTTCTTGAGCTCCTGAGCAGCTAGCCATTGCTGATACGTCCCTGGCATGTAGTAAAACACCCAGAAAAGTGTCTCGACGTCGAGTCGTTCGAAGAATTCGGGCGACGAAAGCAGCGGCAGCATTTGCTGTGGATAATACGATGGTGTCTGTGTCGGATTGCGGGTCGTGTGGTATTTTGGACTAGGTTGATGTTAGCTATGATTCGGGTCTTTCCACAGCATGCTTACCGTTCGGCATCGCGCGGCTGCGGCATCGAGGGCGACATGGCTTCTAGCACATCCTTGACTTGTTCCGAGTCACGCATATGTTCTGGACCTAAGCAATTCAATAAGGCAGTATCGATCATAGACACGTTACACACCTTTGAGACCCACTGCACGGAAACTCGACATCAGGTCCGAGAGTGTTGCGGCAAACTTCGGTGGTTGTTGTCCGCTATGCTGCGACGCACGATCATCATTCTCATGGTTCGAGACTCCAGGGGAAAGTGGTGCTGCTCCAATAGTTCCGGTGCCGTTGTTGACGCTGAGGTTTGCTTGGTCGTCGCCTGGCGCAGCTGCCGTTGGACGCTGGAGAATTGTCCTTATTGTCGTGTTATCTGTTTTGGTGGTCATGTTGCCTGGTTCTCGCATTCCATTTACCGCGAGGCCTGGGGGTATCGAAGAGTTTGGTAGGATGCCTTGCAGAGTGTAACTGTTCTGTCCTTGGTTCAACGGAACATCCGAATACGAGTTCTAGAAGACTATAAGTACTGATGAGGGCTATAGGAGAGAACGTACCTCTGGATTAGGCATTCGTGCAACTTGCGGTGACGCTTTCTCGAGTCAGAAAGATGAAAAAGGATGAAGCGATCCAAGTACCTGATACTTCCGCCAAGGAGACGTCTGGACTCGCCAGAGACATGCTCGTAACAGACGGCGCACTGGGGGCACCATAGCTCTCCGAAAGACCCTGTGTTCCATTGTTCCCGCTCTCCGCCACCGATTCATTCCGCCGTATCGCAATAGGAGAGGCTGCAGCCGATGGAGCCACACTCGAGACGGCCCGCTCCGACGGCGACAGTGGGTCAGCCTGGTCAGATGCGGGCGTCACTTGCTGTGCGGATGCCGCTTGGTTCAGATTGGACGAGGAGACGGATGTAGAGAGGTTAACAGAGGCGTTGGCTGGAGCTGGAGGGGTCGGTACTTGTGCTGGAGGTATGGCTGTGGCTGGTGTTTGAGGGACGGCGCTCGACGGTGCTGTTGTACTACTTGTTGCTGGTGGATGTGCGGCGGTTGATGTACCAAGTGCGGCGGCGTCTGCATAGCGTAGTGTTGGCATTGGCGCCCGCGCCGCTCCTTTGACTACGCTCGACATGGGTTGTTGGACAAAGTTGGCGACAGGGACTGGTGGTTTCGATGTCTGGGTTGTAGGTACTGCGAAGGCATGAGAAAACGGGATGAAAAGGCGCATCAAATTACCATCTGTCGGCTTAGTCGAAGATTTTGCCCGCGCTGGAAGCTATTAGCATCCGAAGTCGCCAAGTAGGTATACATACGTCTTGCCGTCGATGACGAAGCATTCCCTCGTTTGGTTATCGGCTTTGGATGGTCAGAGTACTGTCAAGTAGAGGGCGCACCCGTACCTCTTCCTTTGGTTCATCCTCCTCGACAGCCTTAGACTTTCGCGGAGCAGGTTTTGGTGGCGGCGGTTCTTCTCAACTGTGAGACATAGTTGATTACATGCAGAGACTTGCATACCGTCATTTTCAGCATCTGATGCCACTGTGCTGTCGTTGTCGCCCTCGGCATCCACATAATTCTCGAGATTGAGATCCGCATAGACGCCATCATCGTACTCAAAGTCTTCTTCCTGGAACGAGGTTGAGAGATGGTGCACGGTATGAAATTGAACATACAGCATTCATAGTGACGAAAAAGTCAACGTCCTCCTTTACTGCCTCTACATCCTCCACTTGCAGATTCGAGTTTTCGACCAATCGTAGGATGATTTCGAGCTGAGTGATGTGCCAACTTCTTCGTTCGTTTTGCAGCTCGAGGAGCTCTGTCCTTGCCTGTCCAGCATCTCCACTCTTTCCCTTTTTCTTTGTGCCAGCTTGTAATGTTTCCAACTCTGCCTCTGCAGTCTCTATCTGCATCTGAAGTTCTTCGACTTTGCCCTGTAGCCACCCTATCAGGTCCATTCGTTGTTGTTCCTTTGGATCGAGCTTTGAATGCGATATGAGGCCAACGGTTGAGTATTGCTTCGTCTTCATCTCCTTTTCAATCATCTTAAACTTTTCCATTTGCTATACGAGCCCATTAGCACCGAATAGCGGGTCCACCAGAGGCCAGACGAGACGCACCACCTCGATGAGCCGCCTATGATCTATTATTGGTGTCTTGTCCTTGACGTCTGTCCCAGTTTGCCACGTCTTGAGCTGGTCTCGTAGCCGCTGCAGCTTCTTGATCTGTGTCTTGAGGTCGGCCTCTAGCTTCTCCTTCTGAGCTGCTGTCCCGGCTGCATTCATCTTGGACTCGATGTCTTCAAAGTTCTCGACGCCCTCTTGGATCTTCTTGAACGTGCGGTCCATTTCCGCTGCGTAGTTGGGTCATGTTAGCCTAAAGGGCGGTCTCTACGGCGTATATGTAGAGCAATATACGGTTGTAATACGCACCTTGAAGTTTGCGTGCCGCCATCTTGAGCGTCGTTTGGTGCTCAGTCAACGGGCGGAGTTTGTGGTAAGAGTCTGAATTCAGCAAGCTTGGTCTCCACTTGCCCACCCTTGAAAATGATTTATTTACTTATTATGCACAGAAAGCACGTTAAAATTATCCATTAATAGCTCCCGAAACTTAAACTTGGCGTCTTTCGGGGCACGCGTATGGCAGAGGTTTGCCCTCTCTTGTCGCCGACCATGCCATACGCCACGACCCTCGACGGTTCAAAGTTTCACTATACGATTCCCCCCAAGCAGATTAACGGTGCACACGAAGTACATGAAGACCCTAACAAACCATTCTTGATCATGCTGCATCCGCGGGTTCTAGACTCGACCTTTTTCGAGCCCCAGTTCCAGGACGAACGGTTGCTCGCGCATTATAACATGGTACATACGCATCTTCTACACCTCTATTAAACCACATTTACGTTTTCCAGATTGCTATAGACCACCACTTTCACGGGCTCTCCAAGATATCCCTGGACGGAGGCCCGTACGATTACTGGAAGGTCCGCGGCCTCTGACCATCCAAGCAGCACGCACTGACAAATTTCAAAGTCTGCAAGAGACCTCTTGGCAGTCCTGGACGCGTTACAAATCGGCCGATGCCATATTCTGGGAGCACAAATGGGGGCGCTCCTCGTGCTTCGCATGGCAATCCTAGACCCCAATCGGTTTCTCAGCATCATACTCAGTCCGGTCCCCCCACCTATAGATGTAGGTCGATGCGATCATTTCGGCCACCAGCGCTCGTCGGGCTGACGATGATGAATTAGTTGCTGCCCAATCTTAGGGAATACCGCGGAATGCGGGACGACTGTCGAGCGACGATGGAGAATGAAGAGAATGAAGAGGATACGTTTAGGCCCATGTTGGAAGCGGGCAGATGGGCGTACTATGGATCGTTCCGACGTAAGTGACGATGCGGCCGGGCAAAAGTCTAAAGGGCAATCGCTAATATGAATACAAAGAGGGCACGAGTAAGAATTGGCTCGAACACACGGTTCGATTGACGTACTTTTGTGTATGGGTTCATTTCGGCTGATCGACTGACAGAACTTCCGACCCTCTAATCCGGCCTATGTTGAGAAAATTTTTTCGTCGCTCATTGACCGCGATAAGATTGCGGACGAGGATTGGGAAAAGATTGATGGACACCCCGTGCTCATCCTAGAGGGAGGCCAGTACTTTTGGCCCATTGTCGCCTCTTGGTTGCTGACCTTTTGAACAGCCGACGACGAACTTCAGGCACCGAGTACATCCAACATTACCTATGACAAGCTCTCCAAGGCCCAACGAACCATCAAGTTTATAGACGGCGCACCCCATATGGTGTCGAGGACGCATGCGCACGTTGTCAACCCGATCATTGCAGACTTTTTAGACGCGCAGGAGAGCCGCAGAAAGTAGAGGGGCTAGCCTCATGGAGCGGAGTGTTTAAAGCTAAAAAGTGACTTTTATTGCATTCTTCTCTCTTCACAGTCGGCTGGTAGCCCTACTTAGAGCTTGGCACTGGTTGCGCTCTGGAGACGCCTCTCGGCCTCTTCAAAGTTGATCACGTTCCAGATGGCATTGAGGTACTGCAGGGGAGTTAGAAGAGGAGAGACGTGACGACTGTGGCTTACATCTGGCTTGACGTTCTTGTACTGGAGGTAAAAGGCGTGCTCCCAGATGTCAACGCCAATGAGGGGGACGTAGGGGCCTAGAAAGCTGCGTGAGTTGGTGACGTATGAAAAGTGTAACCACTCACTCAGAACGGGGTCCTGGTTGGGTGTGGTGGTGATGACCAGACGCTTGTTCTTTGTGTCATAGACGAGCCATCCCCAGCCAGAGCCTTGGATGCCGAGGGTGGCGGTATTAAACTCTTTGATCATTTCCTCGAGAGAGCCAAAGTCTCTATTGACCATGTCTGCGAGAGGGCCAGCCTTGAGGACGCCACCGATGGCGCTTGCGTTTTGTTTTTGAGAAGGTGCCAGGTTTTCCCAGAAGAGCGAGTGATTGATGTGACCTAGCCAAGGGTTAGATTGGGGGGGTGTTGTCTCCTCCGTGTATCGGGGGGAAATCACTGACCACCGCCATTAAACTTGATGGCAGCCTGGAGAGCAATACGTTCCTTTGGCGATGTGGCAGATGCATACTGTTTCTCTGCAGCAATGAGGCCGTTGATGTAGGCCTGATGATGCTTTTGATGATGGAGGGTCATAATCTCCTCACAAATATAAGGTTCGAGCGCATTGTACGCGTATGGAAGGTTTGGAAGTGTCTAGATGGCTGCTGTTAGTGGCGATTTCTGGGAGATTTGTGAGCCACACGTACGGCCATGGTCTTGGTCAGTCGTCAAGCCTGGGTGGACCGTCGGGCGTAATGGAGCTCACTGGCGATTGGCTGGTAAATTGGGGTGATATTGGAACCAATCAAGTCTCGAGTTCCAACGTTATCGAACCGCTTCGATTCCGTGCTCTGCTGTGCTCTGCTTCCCGCTGCGGCCGCCGCTCGAATTTTACAGCCGTAGTGTCCAAAAATTGCAGAATAAAATCGCAGAGGAGCCTCTGGTCGTTGTAATGTACAATTTCTACAAATTATGGGTCGCGGGCCGCGTGGGTCGTCTGCTTTGCTCAAATCGTACGTTTGGCCCAAAAACTATCTTCGACCCGACCACCACCATAGACTGTTTCGCAGTGCAGCTTGGAGTCTCTTCCCAGACTGCTTGCTCACCGTTCTTTATCATCTAGTATGGCTTTTGGTTCCCGTAACTCCCGTAGAGGCTCCCGCCCGTTGCTCGCTCGCTGGCGACACGGCGCGGCTGCAGCCCCCCCGCTCCTCGGTGGCGACAAAAAGACAAGTAAAAGGGTCGCTGCGGTTCTCCACAGCACTATCCAGCGTCTTCCGCTCATCTCCCACATTGTCATGCTCTTCCTCGCCCTCTACGGGCCCACCCAGGGCCAGTACTATGTCGCTTTTGTCTTTTTTACGCTCCACATCGTCCTCGTCAGCAGTCAGCTTAGAACCGCTTACGGAATGATCAGGTCCGTCCCCCCCGCCGAACACCGGCCAGCGCTGTTCTCCCACGTTTGGAACTAACCCCCAAAACTTGTTTAGATGCCTTTACTTTGTCCGCGCACATGCTGCTACTAATTGGTGGGACTATTATGTTCAACACTCGAAGAATGCCCCCGCTTCGGCTCTCGAGACGCCCTATACGCCTCGTACGCTCCCGCACCTCATCGTCATCCCGTCCTACAAAGAGTCGATGGCCACCCTTACCCAGACCCTCTCCATCCTCGCCTCGCACCCGCTCGCAAAGGCCACGTACAAGGTCTGTCTCGCCATGGAAGAACGCGAGGCTGGGTCTCGAGCCAAGGGCGAGTCTCTCAGGGCCCAATATGTGGACAAGTTCCTTGATATCTCCGTGTCCATCCACCCCTCTGGTCTTCCTGGCGAGGTGGCCGGCAAGGGTAGCAACGTCGGCTGGGGTGCACGATGGCTCGTCGAGCGCGAATTCATGGCCGCCGATTTCGACGACGACGAGGAAGAGGCCCGCTCCGCCACCATTCCAGACGGCATCCTCACTGTCATGGACGCCGATACTGCCTTTGCATCCGACTACTTCCTGGCCGCTGCTGTCAAGTATCTCCTCAGCGAGCCCGAGAAGCGGGAGCGCATGATGTTTGTTCCACCCATCATCTTTGACCGCAACCAGGCAGACGTCCCCGGAATCACTCGCGTCACTGATATTATGTGGGCCGCTGTGTACGTCTTCCTCCCCCCTCGTACCTTTTTTTTTCCCACCCGCGCAGTTCATTGACCCAGTTTCTCCGCAGTGGTATTGGAGGTATCTATCCTTCCTCTCTGGTCAAGGTCCCCACTTCTGCATACTCGGTCTCCATCGGTCTCGCTACTCATGTCGGTTTCTGGGACACTGGCCCGGAGGCGATCGGCGAAGACATGCACATGTTCTGCAAATCGCTTCTTGACACCCGCGGTCACCTCCACGTCGAGACCATTTACTCGCCCGCCAGCCAGTGCAATGTGATTGGCCCTCGCTTTAGCAACCAGACCAAGGTTCAGCGCTTTATTGGTGACAGCCACGCCCGATGGACACAAGGTGTCCGCCATTTGTGGGGCTCTCTGGGTAAGCCCAATTTCGCTTATTCCGGAACACTGCGCCGCTAACGCGTTCGCAATTCAGATACCACCTATGTTTGGACCCGCTTCTTGACGGGCGACTTCGGCGTATCACCGCAACGTGAAGCTGAACACCGCCTCGCACGCCTCGAAATGCGCAAGCACGTCCAACAGGATCGCATCAACAATGGCTACGATACCGCTGACCGCTATGCAAGTGACTCGGATGCCAACGACTACTTTTCGCGTCCTCAGACCACCAAGGCCACTCGCGTCCGCCTCCAGGTTCGCACACAGGGTGAGGAACTCGGCGATATGGAACTCTTCCGCAAAAAGGCCAATCATCATATCCCCGGCCGTCACGTCTCTCGTCTGCCTGCTTGGGCCGCAAGCCCCGGTGTGATTGACACGGAATCTTCCGCTTCTTCCTTTGTGTCCGGAGACGCCAGCCCACCGTCACCAATCGACACTCAGTCCGACTACTCGTTCTCGTCTGTTGGCGATGATGGCTCCCCGACCAACACTGATGTTCGCCCGACCATCCGCACCAAGCACAGCAGGGCCGCCACCAAGAGGCAACTCGAGTCTATTGGTCTCGTCCGCGACAGGAGCGCCGCCACCCCCGCACCTGCTCAACGCCGTCAGGATCGCACCCGTCTCTTGCCCATTCTCGTCTTGCTCATCCGCTTGTACGAGGCGCATTTGATGATTGGTCACTTCGTCATCCTCGTCTCCATCATCGTCTTCTGGCCACCCCTTCGTGATCTCTTCCAGGGTACCTATGTCTTCTCGACTCCAAAGGCCGACTTCTGGAACTGGTCCGTGATTGAAGACCGTTGGAGCTGGAAGGACAAGGACCGAGTGCTCAACACTGCGATCGAGCTCTCGTGGCGTCTTGGTGTCCTCGGCGCTCTGGCCACTGTCATAATTTGGATCTACCACGATCGTTATCACATGGAGGCTTGCTCTCGATGGACCAGGCAGCATCCCGTGAGTCGCTTCTTTTCCCATTCTCGGTGTACACGAGGTACTAATTTTTTGCCGTGTAGACCAAACAGGTCGCAGGCCAGCCGCCAATGTCGGCCACTAGCGAGAAGAACCTTGAAATCTTTGGCACGGACAATAGCGCCGGCTTTGATGCGCATGACCTTGGACTGCGCCCGAGCCCCTTCTCGGAACGCAAGCTGCCCCGCAGTCTGTACGAGTACGTGTCGATGCCCGGAGGTCTCCTCTTTGGTGCCATCCCGCTACTGTATTCGCACTTCTGGCACTTGTGGACCGACAAGCTCGCGTACACTGTCAGCGCCAAGCCGAGCGTTGCGCCGGTCACTGTCAAGGAGCTCCGCGAGTAATCGGAGGAGCTGAAGAATGACAAACGAGCACATTGTATGTGGTCGAACCTCTTGAGGTTTGTTACGGACAACTTTACGACGGATCGAACTATTTCTTTTCTCAAATTTTCTTGCAAAAAACGGGGACGGGGGATGCCTCTGAGGGGGTGTACTTGGCCAAGAACCGCTGAAAGGAAGAGGGAGATCAAGTCATGGATTCGCTTCGCTTCAGCCCACAACCAATTTACACCTGCATATATCGTTACATAATTTCCACGACATCGCGCGTGCATCCCGAGAAAACCGAAACATGACTTGTATCACCTCTTCCAACACTCAGCCTGCCTGTTTTTCCGCATACGAACGATCTTAATTCCGACAACCGACATCTTGCATCCAATCCCCCCACTCTCACAATGACACATTAACACGCAGCAAGACATCCTCACAGCCGCTTCCCCCCGTTACTCTGGATTTGCACTCGAGACTCTGTTTCATCTTCCTTCCCCCAGTCGTCTCCACGTTCCAGGCTGTTTATTCCACACACGCAACAGTGGGCCGCTCCTCTGACTCTCCATCTTTATCGTTGATCTTGACCCCGGGAGGTGTTTTTATGGGCATTTGTTTCCTCTCCGTTACTCTTCCCCTCTCCCCCCGAATATCAATACCTAGAGGACACCTACGCGTGTTGTCGCTGTCGTTACGTTATTACCTTAGATAAGCCTATCCTGATTGGGTCGAATCACAAGGCTTTTGCACTACACTTATTCGAGCGTGATCTGAGAACTGAGATGCGAGCCATGCGACTCCTTGTCGGGTACTCGAAAGAATAGCCAAACAAGTGTAAACAAGACCAAAACTTGAATCGCCCCCTTGGTCACCTTCTGGCAACTCGGGATCTCTAATACACCATGAGTGGCTACGTCGCTAAGGGAGAAAAGGATTATGATGCGGCTGGCGCGCCTTTGACCGCCAAGATTCACAAAATTCGCATCACGCTCACGAGCAGCAATGTCAAGAACCTCGAGAAGTGTACGTGGTTAATATATCTCGTTCTACTCTTATATTTATTTTGTCTATAGTCTCCAACGACCTCATCAACCGTGCAAAGGACAAGGAACTTCGAGTCAAGGGCCCCGTCCGTTTGCCTACCAAGGTTTTGAAGATTACTACCCGCAAGACTGTGAGTCTCTTGTTGAATTGCGTTGGATTACGATTGACGGTGTGCGTTTAGCCTTGCGGTGAAGGTTCCAAGACTTGGGATCGCTACGAGCTCAAGATTCACAAGCGCTTGATTGATCTCCACTCGTCGAGCGAGATTGTCAAGCAGATTGTCAGTTGTATCCTGCCTTTTTGTTATCGTTGTCGCTGACTTTTGTCTAGACGTCGATTGCCCTCGAGCCAGGAGTCGAGGTCGAGGTTACCATTGCCTCGTAGATGCTTATTTTCACTCAATACGATTTCTTTTACTTTCCACTTGTTCATTTCTGAAAGTAAACCCCTTGTATAAATTGAACATACAAGTAAGACTAGCCAGAGCAGACGAAAGTCAAGAGAAGTAGCCTACTTTCGTGGTTTCCCTCGGCCAGTGGCCCGAATCATCTGAACAAGAACAAAGAGAAAGCTATATTGTGCAGCCAGCCGCAGGAATAGACTCCGTCCCGTGACAGTCAGCAAAAGTTCTTTGCGCCAGCTCTTGCCTAGCAGTCGACAGATTTTGCGAATGCGGACCAGGTAGCGAATGAGGGCAAGATAGAGTGAAGCCGGTTCAGACATCGTTCGAGGTGGGTTGAGAGGTGTTTGGGCGAAAACGATGCGAACTGCGCTTCGGCATGCTGGACATGAAGGAGATGATGTTTGCAAAGTGGCAAGTGTTCTCCCATGTGACGAGATGCTTGGACCAGCTTCGTCTGTCTCGACAAGGAGAACTGATCTGGGCCGTGATGAGGTTCCCTCTAGCAAGTGAGAGGAACCGGGAGCAAAGGGAGGGGCACGGCTGAAAGGTTGTTCAGGTCGTGGCGTCGAGTAGATGAGTGATGGCAGGACATGCTCAAATCTTGCGGCATACAATATGGCTTTGATACGATGTCGTTCTTCTCTCGCCCATCGGAGCATTCTTGAAGTGCCTTCCTGTCTGTTTCGAAACTCCACGGTGACTGGCTCGAGAAAGACTCGCTGATGCTGTTGCCTATACGATTCAACCCACCTTTGGCAAATTAGTAATGGTTTGTAAAGCGCTCGAACCTACTCACCGTAGAAAGCATTCCCGATGAGCGAGGTGCTTACTCGGTGCCGTTGTGCAAAACATTTCCAGCGGACCAAACTGATCTGCTAGATCCGCACCATGTCTTGCGGACATCTCTGCACCCGTCTCCATAGAGGTCAAGGAGCTGACTGACTGAGCCATGGGGTCATCTGTTCCGAGACCAGAGCAAATCAGGCACTCCATTTCTTCTTCCTCGAATTCATCCAGAGGAAGTTTGACCTCTTCTCCTCTTGCTACAATCTTCCCGAGTGCCTTCTTTCGTTGGAGAGAACGCTGCTTGCGCCAGGATTGCAGCAAAGTGAGACAGGTGACTTTATTGAGCTCTTGGAGGAGCGTCAAGGCAAATACTGTGGCGGTAACCTTGGTCCACGAAACGGCTTTGAGACTCCGGGAATTGAAAGTGCTGGGAACCGGGACTGTAGCAGAGAGTGGCGTCAAGAGAAAAGGGAGTAGAGGCTTGATATTGAGCAGACGAAGAAGTCCTAATGAAGTCTAAGAACCGCCGATGAGTAGTAGGAGAAGTTGAGACGAATGAGCTCACCGCGAGTTCGAGGAGTGCCAACCCGGCTCGTTCGCTATTATCTAGCTCTCGACTTGAACGAACAAGCCACTGTATTAGATTTACTCTCCAGTCGGGCGAGTTTGGGTATTCTGTCGCTGTAGATGGCGAGAGGTCCGCCATGGCCATGAAGAAGGCGCTCCGGAGCTGCGCAGAGCCTTCGATCCATGAAGAGAGCGAGATAGATAATAATGCAAGTCTTCCAGATTCTCCCAGCCGAGCAGGCGTCTCCATGGTCGACTGCGGCAGAGTTCAAGCTTGGAGTCAACCATGATCCTCCTCGAGGTGAGCCTTGTCAAGAAACCACCAGATTGGATCAATTTATTCGTTTTATAGTCGCACAACGTTGTCATACAGAACACTCTTGCCGAAAAGTTCAACAAGTAAGTCGGCTTGTCGACCGCCACTGGCGGCTGCGTCCAGAGTATAGGGCTGACCACGGTTGTCCAATAGACCAGGCTCAATAGATGTCGTCTTTGTCGACTTTGATGGCGTGCGTTTCCGGTTATCGACACCGACGAGCAAGGAAATCATCGTGCTCTCGATGAACATTCGCTGCTGGGACGAACTCGCCAAGTACGGTGTGACCGATGTATTGCAGAGAGAATACGGATCGCGAGTCATGCCGCAGCCAGAGGCTGATTATCATGTCAGTCTAGAATACGCCATTGATTCCATCCCGCCCCCAGGAGGTCTGTCCGCATTGCTGTTTATCACTCATTATTTGCTGAATTTCGCTCGCAGAGGAGAGAGATGCCCTTATAAAAGCCGCATCGTTGCTCAAGCGAAACGCACTTGCCGCGCCATTTGAGAATGCGTTTGCGACCCAGAAGACGCTGGAAAGCTCAGAGACATCTGATCTTCCGGGACAGCTGATGGAGATTCATTATCGCGACGAAGAAGCGATTTACATCCAGGCGGCGAATGATCGTGTAACAGTCGTCTTCTCTACCATCTTCAAGGACGAAACGGATCGTACATTTGGAAAGGTCTTCCTTCAGGTAAACCTATTTGCCTCTTCACGACACCATCTTATGTTATCTATAGGAATTTGTCGACGCTAGACGGCAGAATACGGCAATGCAGCACGCGCCCCAAGTTTTGTACTCGAGTAGAGACCCTCCACTAGAAATTCGCAACGTTGCTGGTCTCAAGCGATCGGATGATGTCGGATACGTTACATTCGGTGCGCCAGATCGAAACCGTGACGCTAATGGCTGATCCCTCCCAGTTCTGTTCCCGCAGCATTTCTCAAACCCTGAGAGAATGCAGTCGACCATATCCCACATTCAGCTCTTCCGTGACTATCTTCATTATCATATCAAGTGCTCAAAGGCCTACATGCACAGCCGAATGCGAGCACGGGTGGCCGAATTCTTGAAGGTTCTCAACAGAGCAAAGATGGAGAACAAGGAAGTCGAACGAAAGACTGTAACGTCAGTGCTCAACTTCCACTTGTTCTGCGGCATCTTACATTTGATACAGTGGGCGAACCCTGGTGCAGCGATAGGTGGTATTGATCAGCATAAATTACCTGAAATACGACTATCTCCGTCATCCATTAAAGAAATACTAGTAAGGTCGAATATTCTGAATTACCATGCAAACGCGTCCGCTGGACGACGAACGACTTTGCGAGGTCGCAATCCAAGCTTATCAAAAATCTCCCCTCTGAGACCTGTTTGCGATCGCTGACTACCACGGCCACGCGATTTGGAGAATATGACAACCTTGCCCCTTTCACCAGCACGCCCTGTGCGTCCAGCTCGGTGGATAAAGTCGACCATGCTTCTCGGCTCGTCAACGATGAAGACGTGCCGAACGCTCTCGTCAAAGTCCAGACCTCGAGATAAGAGTGAGGTAGTGACTAGCACGCGCGGTGCTGCTGCGTCGCCCTTTGTTTCGCCAGATTTTCCGCCTTCAGACTGCGCGGACGTTCCTTTCATAAAGGACTCTATCTTCTTATCACTGTTCTTGCGACGTTGGCCACTTTCCACTTGACGGACGAGAGCAATAGCGGGAATGTCATGCTCCGTCAGGTATTTGGCTAGATTTTCAGCCTTGGAGCTCTTGTTGCAGAAGATCAGAACTTTTGACTGTTCTCCGGAGGGATTATACTGCATCTTATCTTCTCGGAACACTGCACGGAGGCGAGCGGCGACATCAGCAGCACGGTCGCCTCCAGTGAACGGGACATGTTCCGGAGTGATGGATCGAGGTAAATTATGCAGTTGGATACTCGTAAGACGTTCCATAGATGAATAATGGTTTGTGATGTACTGGTTCAATGAGTTGGGAATGGTCGCGGTGCACAAGACGAGATTGAAAGGGTAAGGTGCCGTAGGTGGACCCTGGCCTGGCTTGGATAACGGGAGGCGCTGCTTCGCCGCCTGGATGTCATTGAGAAGAAGCTCAGTTGAATGAACAAAGTCTGCGCCGTAGACGACGTCCGCCTCGTCCATCACGACCCAGTCGACTTGCGACAAGTCGAGCGAGGGCTTCCATCCTGGTGGGTTCATCCGACCTTGCAGCTGAGTAGCATCCACGTCGTCCTTTTCCCATGGGTTACGTGTCATCAGCTTTTCCAGTTCGTCTCTCCACTGGCGACCACGGGAAAGATCCAAAACTCTACTTGTCGTGCCGACGAGAACATCGATAGGCCGCTGGTTCGCCTGTCCTCTGGCAGCAAGCAAAGTTTCCGGGTGTATCTCAAACTCCCCCGCAGCCTTCTCCAGAGGGAGATGACTTAGGCCCATGTCGTCAAAGCTAGACGGTTTGACAGATTTATTCTCTTGCGAAAGGCAAAGCACGCGTAGCTTAATGTTATGACAAAGCCCTTTGGCGAAGCGTGATAGTTGTCGGGCCAACTCGTGTGTTGGTGCCAGAATGAGGCCTTTTGGTGCCCATAATGGTCGGTTCGCCGATGATGACCCTTCGTCCTCAGACTTGAGTTCCCGCCATTTAATCGAGTGGAGCATCGGTAGGAGATAGGCAATGCTCTTTCCGCTCCCAGTTTGGGATGCGAGGAGGGTCATCGATTGAGGTACATCCCGCTGCACGATGGGAGACCGATCAGAGCTCCCCGGATTACGTTTGAAGAAATGCGAAAGGGAGAGCTTCTGAATATCCGTAGGGGTAACGTGAGGGCCAAGGTTGTCAGCGAGTGATTCGACGAGGCCAGTGTTGAGGGGGACGGAGGAAAACTGGGTGACATTGTTGGCCATCAAACTACTTTCTGCATGGGGAAGGGATTCTCGAGACATCTCCATAGCGGGCTCTTGCTTTTGGTTACGTTTGGTGCGTCGTGATCGACTTGATGAATTGGAAGTCTCGTTCATTGTAAAGTCATCAATCCCAGCGGTGAATCCATCATCTTCTAGGAGTCAGAAGATGTAATGGACTCTCTGAGAACGTACCTTTGTATTGTAATGACCGCTCCACGTTCTCATTTCGTATCCCTCGCGCGCCCAGCTTGGATTTGCTGGCATGATTCTGGTGCCTGGAGGGTGCCTCCAAATTCCGAGGGGAGTTGAGTTGCTTTTTCTTTCCTTTGACACCTGCTGGAACAATCTGGTCCGGTTTTGCGAGTCGCACATCCGAACCATGGATAACTATGTTTGACGTGAGATTAAAGTATCATAGCCACAGATGAGAAACTGACTTGCTTGCTGCTTTCTTCTTTCCTTCTGAATCCTCTTCTTCTTGCGTGCTGCTGCCTTGTGCTCTGGATTTCTCGGCCCACCGCCGGATACCAAAGCCGAGGAATGAAATCCAGCCAATAAATATTGCTCCCTGAGTCCAGGGAGAAGAACGCTCCTCGTTTGTAGGCGGAGACAGTGTGCTACTCCGAGGCCAGCCATGGAGGCAAAGACCAAGTTTTTTGGACCTCTACCCCCGCGCCGTAGCCACAAAATATGGACGAGCGAAAGCTACCGTTGGCAGATTATCAACGATTTGGAAGGCAAATGATCCTTGATGGCTTCGGTTTGGGCGGTACCGTAGCCTTCATTGAGGCAGTTGGCTTTCTCTAAGAGCGTATTCAAGCCCAGCTCAAACTCAGGGACTCAAAGATTGTCGTAGTAGGAGCTGGAGGGCTTGGATGTCCTGCTCTACAGCATCTTGCGACCGTAGGAGTTGGTGAGCCATAGTTTGACGACTCCAACGATTCTAGAAGGGTTTAGGAACTCTCGGTGTCGTGGATCATGACAGGGTAGAACTTTCGAATCTACACCGGCAAATTCTGCATACAGAGGCAAGAATTGGCAAATATAAAGCCGAATCAGCGGCCATGGCCATCCAGGAGTGCGTCTAAAGGATAATGACTGGTTATTCACCTCACCTTCACATTTGAAGGCTCAACTCTTCAACAGTGGTCAATGTATACACTACGATGCTGACGAGTCAGAATGCCAAAGACATATTGTCGCAATATGATATTATTCTCGACTGCACAGACAACGCCCCTACGCGTTATCTCCTTTCCGACGTGTCGGTCACTCTCGGAAAACCGCTCGTTAGTGGTGCAGCTATGAAGTACGAAGGTCAAGTCTGCACATACAACCTTGGCCCGAACGGGCCATGCTACAGGTGTATCTTTCCAAAGCCACCTTCTCCAGACTTGGTCGGCACATGCGAAGAGTCGGGTGTACTTGGAGTCGTGACTGGAATCATTGGATCTCTTCAGGCACTCGAAGCCATCAAGCTCGCCATTGGTCAACACGGTAAGTCACTTCCCCCCATTGGGTAGCTGATCTGATGATACAGAGGGAAAACCATCACTTCTATTGTTCTCGGCAATGGGCTTGCCACCGTTCCGCAGCGTCAAGCTACGGGCGAAACGGCCTCAGTGTCCGGCATGTGGCACAGAGGCATCTTCTGCCAAGATTAAAGAAACTGATTATGTTGCTTTTTGTGGAGGTCTTCCGACTGACTGGGAGGCAAAGGGACTTGTGTCTGATGGGACCCAGTCACGTATGAGACCCTCTGTGGGTGGGTTTCAAGACGCTAGCGACACTTATCTTAACGCATCCTCTAGGAACTTCGCGACGCACTTGCGATGCCTGAAGCTGCTTGGAAGATCCTCGATGTACGGTCCCCAGCAGAATTCAGTATATGTCACCTCGCCAACTCTCAAAGTGAGAAGAAACATGTATCGAATTAATGCACTAATGAGCCCTAGACGTGCCACTATCACAGTTGCTGCATGACCCCTAGCCCATCTACCGGCCCAGAGCAACGTGGCAATAGTCTGCAGACTTGGAAATGACTCGCAGATTGCGGCGAAGGCATTGAACGAGATGGCTATCTCTCGCGACTCGACGCAGCGTATCACAGACATGATTGGCGGGCTTCGGGCGTGGAGTCGCGAGGTGGATCCAATGTTTCCCATCTACTGATGTATTGGGATTATTTTTCGGTCGTACGCTTCTTCTTCTTGGGTCGTCCCAGTTCTGAATTTGCAGCTGCCGCGGCCTTCATCTTCTTCCTCTTTCGCTTTTCCTTCATCTTTTCTATACGTTGTCTCTGTGTCGACGTATCAGTCAAATAGCCAATTATAACCGCATTCGACTTACCCTTTTGGCTCGATTCGACATCTCTGAGGAGTTTGCAACAGCGGCGTGTTTACCTGGTCCGGAAGATTCACGATCCATGAGCTGAACAACGAGCGACACAGAGTCGGAGTAGACGTCGAATTTTGCAGATAGTTTGGCGGCTAGCTCGCTGAATCGCTTCAACCGCCGTTTGTGAGACTGCTGATCTTAATCAAATAGTTTAATCATACGGTGGACACATACAGCCGATTCCAGGTGAGTTTTCTCCATGTGTATATTCTTGAGGAGTTTTCCAGGACATATCACGCAATTCTGCTCTTCAATAGAGTTCTTTAGAGCTTCTCTAACAGTCATACGCGATATTTCTTCATCATTGACTTCGACTTGGTCGTCCCCACTCTCTGATGCAGGCGAGCTGTGTCCTCGTTCGCTGTCTTCGTCACTACTCTCGTCTTCATCTTCATCCTTTCGTTTTCTTTTCTTTGTTGGGTGCTCATCCTCCGAATCCGAAGACGAGGCCTCTGTCTTTTCCGACTGGTCGGATTCTGATGAGGATTCGTCGCTGTCTTGCCACCCCATCATTTCTTTAACCTCCTCGGTGATTCCATTTTCTTCATCCTCTTGACGCTTCTTTTGTCGCTTCACCACACGTTTGAACATTGGATAATTGTCTGTGGCGGATGGGTTCAAGTTGTCGAAAAGGGACGTGAACATTCTCTCAAGATGACATACTTTATAGACATTCTAGATTATAATATATGCAGGAGTTCGTTTTACATATCAAACGCGTCTGGTAGCCACTCCTGAAGCATTGGCAACCCCGAGTTCTACTCGAATGATCTTCCAATTATCATCCATATCATTGACAGCACAAAGAGAAAAGCCATGAACCCCATCGTGATGGCGAAGTCTCGAATCTACTCCGAAATTGGATACGCAGTCCCATTTCGAGGGACTCTCCTATTGAGGTTTATGAGAGTGTTGAGTTTGATAGCTAGCACCACGGTCATTAGCAGATAGAAGAGAAATAGACGACTCCCGACTCGGGCAATCCAGGATCCAGAGGATCTGCTGGCATGGCCATAGGGTTTGGGTAAACCATGGCGGAGGAGAAAGAGGAGAGATGCTAGAGAGGAAGTGACTGGCACAAAGGGGAGCAGTCCTACTCCCCAGCCAACCTTGTCCAACCAGTAGAGTTCTATGAGGCTGAAGACGAGCGCGCCGAGAGTGGAGAATACAACAAGCTGTATAAGTATTTGTTGAAGGATGAAACGAACTCGTGTTGATCGGCGCTGGTCTCGGTCTACGAACTGCTTCCCTCCTTCTATATGGCCACGTCGGGCGGTCAGGAATAGCACGAGTGCGTAAATAAGAAATATTCGACATGGGAATGGGACAATATAAAGACCTGCAAAGGAGGTTGGGATGGTGATACCGCCCAGCTACGGCTGTGAGTTGTGGAATGGACGCAGTTGGGAATTCGTACATATGCATCAGGTCCTAGAAATTATCGCATGTGAGCAACTCAGACCTAGGTTATCTTCCATATGTACGATTCGAGACGAGGCCCATCCTATTCTCGACGAAATGGAGGATACATCAACTTTTTAGTTCAAATTCCCCTTTTTAGACTGCTCACGTGCATGCAAACGGCGATAAGCCAGTTCTCCCACCATCATTTTCGGCTCTTGACAGGTCGGTCAGATCTATTCCCGATCGACGGTAATATAAAGGTTTACATAAGCAAATTTATATGGCCCATCCCGTTGCATGTCAAGCTCCGTATTTCTGTTGGGCGTCCTGCCATTTCGGAATGGGTGCATGCAGAATCTTTGCTCGTGTGGTATGAGAGTTTATTAGAGGATCAAAGAGTATAGTGTCGAGTTCGGGATGTTGGGGTTCAAGTTGCGGAACAGTTTGCCACTCTTCAACTACGACTCTAATGCGAGCTCTGCATCACAACGGCTTCAAGGCATGGATTTTCTCAGAGGGACAGAAGCTTCCGGTCTATGATGTGAAGGTTACCGACGAGGACACGGTCACTTGCTGGATTGCGTCGAAACCCAACACGGTCAGTAGTACGCGTTTCAAATGCCAGTGAAATCCGCTTATATCGCGCGTATATCCGAGAAATTACCGCTCAATTCGTTTCTTATATCTCTCTTTCGTCGTTTGACGCGCTCAACTCACGCGTTTGCACAGACGTTTACTGTTGGGTGGCGGAAAGAGGACCGACGCGAGGTCGCGTCGTCTGGACACGTTTTCATAGACGGAAGAGACGTTGCGTCTGGTATTATGCGACCTAAACGCACGCGCCCCGTCTTGCGATCGTCTGCGAAAATCTCAAGTACGCGCGCTCGGCCATTTTGCTTCACAACATTGCAGTTGACAGGTGCAGTCAGGCTCTCCTGAGACTCGAGGTACAAAGCGTTTACTTATGTATGCGAGTTGGACAGATGACGAACATGCGGCTCCCGTCCACGATGATGCTGGCACGATCCGGCTCGAAATCTCCTGGGTCAGAATTGGAAGCGCGACTTCGATCGTAAAAGCAGACGTAGCGGACCATGTTACTGTGGCACATGAACGGGCTAAAAAGGGTGGTATGATGATCACAACGTATGTTGATCTCTCGGAAAACCTAGGCTACTGGATCTTATTCGGACACTTATATCGCAGGTACGCAGAGCCAGAGCGTATCGAGTGCGGAAAAGCAGTCTCCACAAGACCTTACTATCCCGACGAGCCAGGCCCATTCGTCACATTTATTTTCCGATATCATCAACTAGGTATGTTTACATTTCTCAACTCTCACCTTCTCATTGTGGCGGCCACAGCTATGCTCCAAGCGTGGGGCATCATTGCGAACCCAAACCCGCCGATGGCTGCATCAGTTCAGGGACGAGCCGCAAATGATCGGGACCAGGAATTTGCCGGGGAGTGCGAGAACTCCAACGATGAACGCGAAGAAGTATGGCTGTTTCGTTTTGCTCCAAATGTTTCTGACATAGGACTAGTCTCCGCTCCTCGAACATGATTTTACGCCATCCCAGGACTTTGAATCGTCTCAGCCAAGCTCAGAAGGACTCTACGACATGGGTGACACGGCCTCACTCTTTAATGACGAGGAAGGTGTCGGCTACTCAAATGGGGACATTGGCATCAAACACGAAGAAGACGAAGAAGACGAAGTATTGACGAGAGGAAAGCACGAACACGAGGTGGTCTCGCTCCACGCTGCGGCGGACAAGGCGGCGCATCTTGAAGAAGAATACAAGGAACCAATGGAGGGCGACGATTGAGATAGAAACACGCATGAAGCTCCATGATTCCTTCCGGTCTCTTATGGGTATATGTTAGAAGGGTACAAAAGTCCTAATTATATTGTACTGCTCGACCAGTAAATAAACGTGTGCTATACTAATCGTCTGGCTTGGATATACTTCTTGTCTTCTAATTCCTACTCATTATCTAGAGTCCAAGCGTGCCAAGCGTGAGGCCGAGAGCGAGATTGCTCAAGAGTACAGAGACATTGGAAAGACTAGAACTTGATCAGGATTTTCAGGAGGAAGATGTGGGCCCAATACTCACAGGCGGGAGAGAAGGTTCAAGACACCAGCAAGCAAGATGGAGAGGCCGAGAAGGACCTGTTTTTCTTAAATGAGACCACGCTTGTTCATACAAGATTCCGCGTACCTGGTTGAGCGCGATATCAAGTCCAGAGAGCAGGCCTCCAAGCAAAGGAAGCGTGTCGAGGAAGTTGAGCAAGCCATCGAGAGCCGTTGCGAGGTCCTGAATGAACGCAGCAAGAGCGGTGGCAGTCGGTGAGTCTTGACGCTCCATGAGGCTGCGAACAGTAATTCCAGTAGGATCCACAGTCGCGAGCGAGGCCGCAGCCGTATTGAGCGAAGCCGTGATTTGCTGGATGAGCGGGGTGACTTCGTCCTGCGTGACACTTCCACTAGCGGTGAGTGCCTCTGCAAGGTCTCCCGTCAGTACTGGGCACAAGAAACTGCTGAAACGAAGACGCACTGATGCTAGAGATGGAGGGCGCAGTGTCCGAGACAAGCTTCTGGATGATGGGCAGCGTCTGGTCCTCGATAGAGGTTTGCCTCTTTGCTGCGATGGCCTCGACGGCGCCAGATCCAGGAGACCGTGCAACGACCGGTCCAGCAGCCATGGCGCTCACGATAGTCGAGCCCGCCAAGGCGGCAGTGAAAAAGGTGAAAAGACGAGTACCAAACATGTTGATAACGATGAGTATGAGAGTGAGCTGGCGGGCTGCTGGAGAGAGCTCTCGATGAGGATCTTGGAGGTGTCGTCTGCAGGTGCTTTTATACCCGCGGGGTGTCCTAATAAGAGGAATACAAGAGCTCAAAGGCTCTAAAACGTCAGAGTGAGCGAAGATTCTTGTGGAGGTTTCGTCGTAAGGCGTCATTCGCACCACGGAGAGAAGTATATAACAACGAGTTTGTGCCTCCCAAGGCTCCATCGAAACACGAGGGCTCCGGATACTGAAGTAGTCATGAAGTAGAGGAATGGTGGAGCACGGTTTTGAGAATATCCGAGATGTTTACACTAGCCTTGGGAAGAGCGGGCGTGGGGGTCACAAGAGTTCGGGAGCAGGACAAGGGCAGAAGTGGCCTTGAAATACGTTGCCGTATTGCATTAACTTCCAACGCGATCAGTTGCGCAGCATGTTCGGCGCCGAGGGCTAAGAATGCCGACCTACAAGTGTGAAAACAACCCTCCACCCTATTTGTCGTACGTACGGTAAATCTATCGGAGGGTCGTCTCAAGTGTCCCGGTCCCGGACTCGGCCGCAGGGATCCTAGAGAACAGGGTATGCTTACCGTCATGGGAGACTTTTAGCGAGACGGGTAGGCACGCCAATACAATGACACTTTAAGGTTTAATTATTGGGTCTTGAGAAGCGGGCATTCTCCAGAACAAATGTGGTCGGAGTGATGACGATTCGGAACCCGTGCAATTACTTGAGACGTTATGGATGATAGTCAACTATGATGCTAGTACGAGAGAAGCTGGTGGTCGAGATGTAGGAAGCGTGATCCGCGTCGAGAATCGAGCAGACAGGCTCAAGTGATAGCTCCCGAAGAGAATGCGATCAATAGCAAGCTTCCATAAAGTTTTTCAGGATGTCAAGCGACCATTGACTAAATCCCGTGACGTAGTCCGCCATCCGGAGTTCCCAAGGGACGACAACAAACGGCCTTCGTTTTCTTGAGCTTCGGTGTTTGAGGCAGACTGAAACAATTAAGTGAATCAATGTTCAGGATCGTGAGGAACTCGAGTGAGTTTGGCCGTATAAACTCCATGGCGTCAGTGGGGTTCCAGGTTGCGGCAGAGATGGGGTCTAGAGCCCTGAAACGATTATTTCGGTCTAAGATAGAATTGAAATAACCCGACGACGTGAGATTGCAGGCGGCCCACCATACCAGGGTGAGGGATAAGGCCAAGTTACGGGTGAAACAGACTTTATACTTTTTTTTAGTCTGAAATTGTGGGTCGTCTCGTCGGTCACCGTGCAATGTTCTGTGGAAGTCGGGTCAAAGTCCAACTTCTGACCTCTCCTACACGTTGGCCTCGACGCTGGGCTGATTTAACACCCGAATATCCCGCTTTTGAACGTGAGGGCATGCAGGATACGCTAATCACGATCTGGATCTCCCACGCTGTTCAATATCTCCCCCCAACTGCGGGCAGCTATGCCCAGTGGAGTTGCTCCGCTAGCACCAAGGTCTTACACGGCCAGACACAGTCGGAGGGGCTGCCTCCGCCATCGCCATGAAGCCCGAGGACTGGCCACCAGCACGCGGACTATTGGGTGAACGCGGAGATAGCGGGCTGATCAGCAGATGTTGACATCTATAAAAGACTCGAGCTATTTCTGGCCAGCTAGATCTCAACTCCTCCTTACAATGCCTCTCGTCTCCAACAGTAAGTTTTCATTACACTACATCCACGCGACGCTAATCGGACGCTAGGGCCCGACTCTAACACTGTAAGCCAATAATTTGGCCCTAAGATTGTACTTACAATCGATAGCGTGTCTATCAGGGACGACACATTACGACGTACTTTGAGGATGTGTACCTCGTACCTCTGCCTTGCTGGCTCTTCCTTCTATATACAGCCCTCTTCTTCTTCTTGATTGCCCGAGGTGGAGGCCACGAAAGGGGCAAGCCCGCCGTCGACCATGACCAACATCGTCCCTCTCGCGTTCGCTCGATCATCCAAAAGGCCATAACTGCACTCATCATCTTCTTTACCTTCGGCGCACTTATCCTCACAATTCTAGAGTTGATTCGTCTCACTCAAATCAACTGGGGCGTCGGCCTACTTCCCTTTGTCCCAGTAACCATCTTTCTCGCAACCCTCTTCTTTCTTCTACGAAATCGCCCGCCAAAGGCTTATACATACCGGAGCAAGTTTGCTGGCTCGTACAGAGCCAGGGTCGGGGCATGTGTCTACATCTACTGGGTCTTTCAAATTGCCGTTCTTGCGGTCAAATTGAGCACCCTCATCAGGTTGAAGCGCGATTATCCGAGAACTGGGACCGTGTATGAGACATTCCACCAGATCAACGATGTCGCCCTGACGATTGGTTGTCTCGCGGTCATTTTCATTCTTGCAATCATCGGAATGGCGCTTGAAAGGCCATCCAAATGAGTCGTCTACATCAGCCTTTCGGTAATTCAGAGAACAAGAGCCAAGCGTATTATGTAGGAGTGGCTGTCAATATGTATATCACGCCTATTCGTGTAATAGATTTCTGTGTCGTTTATTGCTATTTTGACAAAAGGAAGTTGTATGTATTGCACGGACCGAGGACTGCGCGAAAACATGTCGCCCTTGGATCACTATCTAGGCTTCGTTGCCGACGCCAAACTTCTCGGAAAGTGTTCTTTTCAACCATGTCGACGGCTATGTAATACCGCTCCCTTTCTTTCTTTCACACACTGGCGGTCTAGGAGCTGGTGCAGACCCAAAATGCACAACAGCGAAGTTGCCACCAGTTTGCATTACACGTATTGTAGTATTGGAATTATGATGTCAAAGGGCCCTGATTAGTTTACCCCCTTACCCTCACTTCTCCTCATGATACAATACAGTTTAGTTTTGGGCGTTCTTTCTATTTTCGCTAATCCGACTTCGATTCTTTCATTTGTCAACTCGCGACTGCCGCCTGGCTGCAATTTGGATGACAAGCGCCGTCCACTGATCTTGGAACAAACCTTCACGATGTCAGTCCGAAACTCAGCCAAGAACAAGAAATGGCATGCGTCTACGGGATCATCGGGGATTTCGTCTCCTGAACAGCGTTCGACAAGCAAGAAACGTCAAGCATACGACGCGGCCAACGTCGGTTTGGATGTAGTGGCCAACATATCCGAGGGATCAGATGTACTCGCTCCTCTAAAGGCAGCTTGTCGAACCACCAAGTCAATTCTCGAAGTCGTACAGGCAAGTTGGCGAACCTGCCACAACTGCGTCTAACGGATTCAATAGGCAACAGAGATCAATCAAGAGGAATGGATTGATCTAGCCGGACGTTTGAAGGAATACATGTCTGCGCTCGAGAAACAAATCACCCTATTGGAGGCATATCCTGAGGAAGACATGGCTGTTGACGAGGCGTTTAGGCAGCCGCTCATCAATTATGTCAAGTATGTAGCACTTCAAATTTACTTAAATAGGCTGAGCGATGTAGATTTCTCGAAAATATGCACGATACAATTGTCGACCTGAAGGAGAAGCGCAACCGCAGCAAACTCAGCTTCTTTAAAGCGTTTAGCAAAATGAAAATTGACGCAGAAGAGATTCTCAAACTCAATCGAGACATCGAGGACCGGCATAGGCAGTTCATGGTGCGAGCCTCGTCAGCCTTATTCACAGTGCTCACCATCGGCAAAGGAGGCTTTGAGTCTTTTTACAGCTTTGCGTATTCAAAACGTCGAGAGGAATATCAAAGCCACCAAGACGAATGTGGAGACCATTCTTACAGGCGGTAAGCTGAAATTTGGCATGAGACGCTTACTAAACATTCGAAGTCGACACCAATGCTATACTACAGCTACCGGTGGTAGCTTTCGTCGCATCCTCAGTCCACAGAACCTGTCTGACAGGAACACGCGAAGCTGTTCTTCAGACTATCTACCGCTGGGCCGACGATGATGCGTCGGACAAGCCGATATTTTGGCTGTGTGATATCGCCGGCTCCGGCAAGTCCACAGTCGCAATGTCTGCAGCAGAGACTTGGAGGAAGGAAGGAGTGCTAGGAGGCCGGTTCTTCTTCTCCATTGCAAGCAGTGAAGGATCTACCACAGACAAGTTCTGCTCTACAATAGCAAGAGACCTGGTCGACTACATACCCAGGCTTGCGCCGCACGTCGCTGGAGCTGTGAAGCGGCACCCGTCATTCATGCGAAGCTCTCTCGAAGAGCAATTCCAGAAGCTCGTCATTGACCCAATCCATCATAGTCAAGGACGTGTCATTCTCGTCATCGACGCTCTTGACGAATGTAAATCTGGATTACAGCGAAGAGAGCTCGTCGAAATGCTTTCTACAGCTGTTCGAGGAGCAAAGAACCTCAAGATATTCATGACGAGTCGGCCAGACCCTGTGATCCAAGCGGCCTTGGGGCCGCTTTCAATCAAATCCAAGTTGGAGGACCGCCTACACGACGCCTTTCATCCCGATAATATTGACGATATCGCAGTCTACATACACAAATCGCTCGACGGAGTACTATCAGAGGACAAGAGGCTGAGGCTGGTTGCAAAGGCCAATGGATTATTCATTTGGGCGAGCACCGCATGTCGAATGCTCAATAGCGAGACTACATTAGACTTGCCCGAAAGCATCTATGATCGTCTGGTCTCAGTAGACCAGACTGGAGAGATAGACGACATTTATAAGCTCGTTTTCGAGCGTGTGGACCTGAGATCCTACCCGGCTATGTCCAACATGTTGGCTTTGCTGCTTGCGGCATTCGAGCCACTCAGTACCGATGACTTGGACGACATCTTCAAGAACCTTGGGCTAAAGTGGAGCTCCAGGGCACTGGTACAGAACCTAGGAAGTGTGCTCAGTGTAGACTCAAGTACAAACTTGATCCAATTCCGCCATCCGACCCTCGTCGAATACCTTCGACGGTGTTCCCTTGCCTCAGCTCCCGACAAACCCAATGCGCTCCATCTCGACGTGACCAAAGCGCATGGTCAAGCCGCATCATGGTGTCTCAAACGTCTCATGTCGCGGACTGATGGTCTCAAGTTTAATATATGTCAACTAGAGTCATCTTTCCGCCTCAATAGAGATATTCCAAATCTTCCGACCAGGATATTGAGGCTTATTCCGAAGGCACTTCGATATGCCAGCTCTCATTGGTTGTTCCATGTGGCGGAAACTGACGACACCTGGCGATCCATGGTCAAGAGGGAACTTGAACAAATTATTCAAGCTCCGCACGTGCTACACTGGATGGAAGTCCTAAGCTTCACTGGGGGTGTGCCACGAGCAATGGCTGGCCTTCGAGCAATTACACGCCACACAGAGGTGAGTCGCTGATTCTAACGAACTCAACACTTATACAACGGATAGGCCGAAATGTGGGATAAAGCCAGCATGGATCAAATTCGACGGTTTATAATGACATTTTCGGTACCAATCCAAGAGAGCGCCCCACATATATACATTTCGGCACTCCCATTTACCCCTAAAAAGTCGATATTACATATTGAAGGTGCAAAAAGATATAGAAATACTCTTCGTGTAACAGAAGGCCTCGAAGAGATGTATTCTGGGCTGCCAAGTAGTCTTCGAGGTCATGAATTTGGGGTCAACGCCGTCGGATTCTCGCCAGACGGCTCACAGATTGTGTCTGGCTCGCACGACAACACAATTCGATTGTGGGATGCGGTAACTGGTCAGGCTGTGGGAGAGCCACTCCGAGGTCATGAAGGACCGGTCAGCGCCGTCGGATTCTCGCCAGACGGCTCACTGATTGTGTCTGGCTCGTACGACAACACAATTCGATTGTGGGACGCGGCAACTGGTCTAGCTGTGGGAGAGCCACTCCGAGGTCATGAAGGACGGGTCTGGGCCGTCGGATTCTCACCAGACGGCTCACAGATTGTGTCCGGCTCGGAGGACAACACAATTCAATTGTGGGACGCGGCAACTGGTCAGGCTTTGGGAGAGCCACTCCGAGGTCATGAAGATTGGGTCCTAGCCGTCGGATTCTCGCCAGACGGCTCACAGATTGTGTCTGGCTCGTACGACAACACAATTCGATTGTGGGACGCGGCAACTGGTCAGGCTGTGGGAGAGCCACTCCGAGGTCATGAATCCGAGGTCTGGGCCGTCGGATTCTCGCCAGACGGCTCACAGATTGTGTCTGGCTCGGGCGACAAGACAGTTCGATTGTGGGACGCGGCAATTGGTCAGACTGTAGGAGAGCCACTCCGAGGTCATGAAGGTGGGGTCTTGGCCGTCGGATTCTCGCCAGACGGCTCACTGATTGTGTCTGGCTCTTCCGACAACATAATTCGATTGTGGGACGTGGTAACTGGTCAGTTTGTGGGAGAGCCACTCCGAGGTCATGAAGGACCGGTCAGCGCCGTCGGATTCTCGCCAGACGGCTCACAGATTGTGTCTGGCTCGTACGACAACACAATTCGATTGTGGGACGCGGCAACTGGTCAGGCTGTGGGAGAGCCACTCCGAGGTCATGAATCCGAGGTCTGGGCCGTCGGATTCTCGCCAGACGGCTCACAGATTGTGTCTGGCTCGGACGACAAGACAATTCGATTGTGGGACGCGGCAACTGGTCAGACTGTGGGAGAGCCACTCAGAGGTCATGAATCCAGGGTCAGCGCCGTCGGATTCTTGCCAGACGGCTCACAGATTGTGTCTGGCTCGCACGACAAGACAATTCGATTGTGGGACGCGGCAACTGGTCAGGCTGTGGGAGAGCCACTCCGAGGTCATGAAGGACCGGTCCTGGCCGTCGGATTGTCGCCAGACGGCTCACAGATTGTGTCTGGCTCGGACGACAAGACAATTCGATTGTGGGACACGGCAACTGGTCAGGCTGTGGGAGAGCCACTCCGAGGTCATGAATCCGGGGTCTGGGCCGTCGGATTCTTGCCAGACGGCTCACAAATTGTGTCTGGCTCGCACGACAACACAATTCGATTGTGGGATGTGGCAACTGGTCAGGCTGTGGGAGAGCCACTCCGAGGTCATGAAGGACCGGTCAGCGCTGTCGGATTCTCGCCAGACGGCTCACTGATTGTGTCTGGCTCGTACGACAACACAATTCGATTGTGGGACGCGGCAACTGGTCAGGCTGTGGGAGAGCCACTCCGAGGTCATGAAGGACCGGTCAGCGCTGTCGGATTCTTGCCAGACGGCTCACTGATTGTGTCTGGCTCGTACGACAACACAATTCGATTGTGGGACGCGGCAACTGGTCAGGCTGTGGGAGAGCCACTCCGAGGTCATGAATCCGGGGTCAGGGCCGTCGGATTCTCGCCAGACGGCTCACAGATTGTGTCTGGCTCTTCCGACAAGACAATTCGATTGTGGGATGCGGCAACTGGTCAGGCTGTGGGAGAGCCACTCCGAGGTCATGAAGGCGCAGTCAACACCATCGGATTCTCGCCAGACGGCCCACAGATTGTTTCTGGCTCAATTAACAACACGATCCAATTATGGAATACAGAAACTGGTAAGTCTAACTCGGCTCGTCATTGAGATCGTGACCCAATAATAGCATTAGGTGCAAAAGCGAGCACCTCTGACCAGGATGATACAGAGTCTGTATATTCAGATCTTAGCGAAGATCTACAAGGCACTCCGCTCAGAATCATTGTGCCTGGTTTCAACCAGTGCTCACTTTCGCTCGATGGTTGGGTACATTCTTCCGGCAAGCGTCTCTTCTGGGTGCCTCCAGACAATCGACGGGGGCTAAAGTACCCGTACCGCCTGACAATTCCAACCAGTGCTCCATTCCGTGTGACAAAACTTGATTTCACTAATTTCCAATGTGGCTCCTCTTGGACAAAGGTTCGAACAAATGTCTAGTTGTAACCTCCTATGATTGATATCACTCAAATGTATTTCATCTTCACACGCCGACAAGTTCTTAGGGTTGCGAGCCCATGGTACCCTCAGCCGCTTTATAATCACTATGAGCCCTCAGAAAAGCCGAGATCATGCATTCCCGATGCCCACCAGTCATTTGCGGTGGTTATTATTGTATCGAGGAATAGTTGTGGAGGCCGAGGTGATACCTCTAGCTGTCGTACTCCTTGGCGTCGGTGTTTGACAGAAGAGCATGCACATACAGAGTCCAATGCTGTGTTTGGGGCCATTGGGATCACCATTGATCGCCCTGCTGGTACAAATAGGGACGATGGCCATTGGCGCGCAGCATACACTTCTCGAGGCTAGGTCTGGCCTTTTACTCTCAGTAAGATGCGCAGCGACTGAATAGCCCCGCTGATGGCCGAGGCTGTCGATTCCGAGGTTCGTCCCGAAGGAGCATCCGTTGCGGATATAAGGATCGTCCACTGAGCAGGGTGATCATTAGACACACTATGCCACTCACATCAAGCAGTACGTATTCACAAGGCTCAAGTTTCAGTCTAGTATTGACGCGGTATATGTCCTAGGACCTGATGGAGGGGTAGGTTGATATCTGCATCTACACTCCAACTTAAACCGTTTATGCATAGTTTCCATCGACTGTGACTGAAGACATTTACTTTGTTCCCTTTCCATGTTGGGCTGTTCTGGTCTGGACCTTTATGTTGTACGCCACATCAAGACATGGGGGACACGAAGGAGGAAAACCACCCATCCAGCGCGACCAACGCAGGATGTCGCGTTTTCGCATCCTCGCTCAGAAGATTATCACCAGACTTGTGATCCTTTTGAATATCGGGCTACTGGTGGTCACCATCTTCGAGCTCGTGGGCCTTGGTAGAATAAACTGGGGCGTTGGCATGCTTCCCTTCCTCCCTGTTACGATGTTCGGCATTGGCGTGCTGTACCTTACGAGGAATCATCCTCCAGAGGCCTATGCGTATCGGAGCAAGTTCTCTGGCTCGTATCGTGCCAGAGTGGGCTCCCGTGTATACGTCTACTATTTCTTCCAGATGGTCGTACTCGCAGTCAAACTGTACACCCTCATCAGGCTTAAGGATCCTAGAAGCGGGACCGCCTTTCCAAAGGTGGATCAAGTCATAGCCGTGCTCCTCATGATCGTCTTTTTGGCCATTCTGCTTGTACTCACAATCATTGGGATGAAACTGGACGATAGCTGATGAAGTGAGGGTCGTACAAACGACGTGGTATATATTTCGTTTCATACTATTCACTGTGTCTTGTCCTAGTCGTCCATTTATGTGTTTGCCCGTGCATGCTCGATATCCTTGTAATGCAATATCATGAATATTGTACTATGAATAATATCAGGATTTCATATATCCGTCGTGGATCATTGCCCTGCAGTGGAAATGGCCAACGATTGCGGCTGACGCGTCGCTACGATTCTTGACCACCAACCATGGTATGTCCGCAGCCCAGCGTCGATCAAACGGCTCATTCTTTGCTCCTAGGGTAACACAGCGTCCGGATTTCCCAATGGACCCCCAAATCAAAACCAAAAAGATCAGGTGCGCGCTGCTTTGGCTTCAGACGCGTCAAGCACGTCGCTGACTGAGCGCTCTCCCTGCAATACTTTCAAATCTGCTACTCTATTATACGAATGGATTCACATTACGCGTCGCGTAGAAGGATAAAGACAAGGATAAGAAGAAGTTTGAACCTCCGCCAATGCCGCCTTCGAACCGTCGTAAGAAGAGACGTGGTCCAGCTGCATCTTCCAAACTTCCAACCATAACACCAACCGCGCGGTGTCGCCTCCGACTGCTCAAGATGGAGCGCGTCAAGGATTATCTACTCCTCGAGGAAGAATTTATCGCCAATCAGGCTGCACACAACCCTTCATCCCTCACATCCCCTACTAAACGCGATTTGCAGTCTGAAGAGGAGCGAACACGCGTGGATGATATGCGAGGTAGCCCGATGGCCGTCGGGACGCTCGAGGAGCTGATTGATGAGGACCATGCCATTGTATCGACGAGTAGTGGGCCAGAGTATTATGTTGCCGTCATGAGCTTTGTCGACAAGGATATGCTCGAGCCTGGATGCACCGTCTTGCTGCATCACAAGACACATGCCGTCGTTGGAGTTTTGCAAGATGATCAAGATCCCATGGTCAGCGTCATGAAACTCGAAAAGGCGCCGACAGAGAGCTATGCCGATATTGGTGGACTGGATGCCCAGATCCAGGAAATCAAGGTCGGTTTATCCATCTATCTCACACGACCTGAATTCATCCATATCACAGGAAGCTGTAGAGCTACCATTGACACATCCAGAACTGTACGAGGAGATGGGCATTAACCCTCCAAAGGGTGTTATCCTCTATGGCGTCCCCGGAACTGGCAAAACGCTCCTCGCCAAGGCAGTCGCGAATTCGACGTCTGCGACCTTCCTCCGTGTCACTGGTAGCGAGCTCATCCAAAAGTACTTGGGTGATGGTCCAAAACTCGTTCGAGAATTATTCCGAGTGGCAGAAGAGCATGCCCCCAGTATTGTCTTCATCGACGAAATTGACGCCATCGGTAGCAAGCGGTAAGTACCATACTCTGACATTGATTCGCCCTCGCTCATTTTACGCTCAGATACGATTCAACATCTGGCGGAGAGCGCGAGATTCAACGTACCATGTTGGAGCTTCTAAACCAGCTCGACGGTTTCGACACACGAGGAGACGTTAAAGTCATCATGGCCACCAATCGTATCGACTCCCTGGACCCGGCTCTTATCCGTCCTGGTCGTATCGACCGAAAGATTGAGTTCCCGTTACCAGACATCAAGACGAAGCGACACATCTTTAAGCTACATACGAGCCGAATGAACCTCAGCGACGACGTGGACCTCGAGGAGTACGTGGCCGCCAAAGACGATCTTAGTGGTGCAGATATCAAGGCGGTCTGCACTGAAGCCGGATTGTTGGCGCTACGTGAACGCCGAATGAGGGTCACAAAGGCAGATTTCTCAGCTGCAAGAGAGAAGGTCTTGTACCGCAAGAACGAGGGTACTCCAGAGGGATTGTATCTCTGATCTGCAGCTTTGTCTTCAGGACTCTCTCTTGCCCTCCTTTCCATCCAAGTGTATTCGTATCGAGACTAATTCCAGTGTTTGTTTCTACGACACGTATGGCTTATTCCGCAGGGGGTGCTGCCGTTCCCTGCTCCACTGCCTTGGCATCCAGCTGGACCTTTTGATTTGTGGTGTGTCGCAAATCATCACAAATAGACTTGAGAGCCATTGCCGTGTACTCAAAGTCTGAGACCTAGACGCAAGGCGGTTAATTAAGGGAGAGCAAAACCCCAGGCAAGGACGAACCTCGAGCCAAATCTGGGCACTCCCTCTCACCCACAGATATCCACCATGGCCATAAACCGAAGCAGCGCAATGCCAGTCTTTCAAAAGTCGCTGCATCATATCGTGGACAATTGCTGTCGGTAAACCAGCAGCCTCTTCCTTTGTGAAGGGCAGGCGCACGTTGACCATGCATGCCGTGAGCAAATGATCCTTGTCGAGCAACTCTGTCCCGAGGATCTCTGCCATTCTCGCGCCTCCTTTGCAAGCGAGGTCATGGCAATAGGATTGAATACGCTCTTCACCTCCAATTCGCTCTCGAAAGTCCAACGCTACGCACATATTACATCAAAAATCTACCCCAGGTTGTCATCTCACCTGCATTGATGGAAAGATAAGGGGTAAAGTCTGCTGTGCCGGTCCATTGGTATAGTTCTGCCAAGCTGAATTCTTCTGGAGGAGATTTGTATCCCCAGGAGACAGGGAATGTACAACGCAGCTTGTGGTGGTTTCTTGAATCTTGTCAGAACCTCAACCATCCAAAGCTCATCCTGTCATACCTCTGTGGTGCATACAAAATGGCGCAGGCACGATGAGCATAAAGCCACTTGTGGCAATTCTAGTTAAGCATCAGTCTCAAGCAACGCCAGTTGTGAGAGAACCGGACCGTGATAAGATAATCAGGATCCACTTTTGTACGTCCAACGGTACCTGCCCAATGACATGGGCAGCATCCACAATACTGATAATTCCATACTCGCGACAAATCTTGACAAGCTCCTCCCACGGAAGACGGACACCAGGAACGCTGATAATTCCGTCTATGATTGCGACTACTTGCTGCGTGGAATTTCCGTCCAATGATCTGCCAGGGAACGTAGCTTGCACAAACTCTTTGAACGACTTGACGATTTTGTCTGGAGTCGTGGGGAACGTGAGATTGATGGTGTGGAGAGCCGGATGAGGTGTCGCATCTGTGTAGCGACGCAGTGTGGCTGCCACTGCTCCGTACGTGGTCGTGACTGCGAATGATTAGAAAGTTAGCATCATACGAACAGCAGGACTCACATCCAATGAGAGCATCGTCCTTTGTCCATGTATCCCGAAGATTGTTCAACACAACGTTGACACCATGGGTTGTATTTGGGACTAGTACGACCTCGTCGACATCCCGCGCGTTGATCACCTTTGCGAGACGATTTCGAACATTATCCATAGCAGGTTCCAATTCAATGCGCATAAAGTGGTCTGGCCGACTCTCGATGGTGTCTTGAATCTTCCTGCAGGCTTCCACAACTGGCTTGGGGACGGATCCATATGAACCTGTAATTCGATAAGGCGACAGAGCCATCAGTATAAAGCGTACGCGCCGTTATTTAGGTTGATGTACCCTTTTTCAAAGCAGAAGTATGGCAACATGCCATGTCCAAAGTTGTACTCGGGTTCAGCCTCAGGTACAGTGGATGGAGCATACCCGACGGGAGCCCCTAATGCTCGTGCTATTGCCACTTCAGGCTCCGCAGAAATGGTATTACGCTGTTCCATTGCGGACATATTCCGCTCCCTTCGACGCTCAATCTCGCTTTTCTTATTCTGTTCCCGCCATTGATCGACCTCGAGATACGCCGTTCGGTCAACGTCGGTGGATTTGCCTTCGGCTCCGATCCAATGATGCAAATTTTCACGCACAAATGTCTCGTATGACCAGATCTCTGGCTCCAGCGTGCCCGCTGGTGGCTTGTTCCATATATATGTATGAGCCTTGATAGTTTGTGGCTGATCATCCGAGGTGATGTCCATGGATTCGAACATGACTCCTGCATCGGAGGCAGCTTCGTTTAAGAGTCGCGATGTTCCAAGAGGAACAACTGATACGAGGCATCTTTCGTATTCCTAAACGATCGTTAGGCCGTGGCATCGGAAGAGTTGAGAATATACATCGCCCTCAAAGACATCTAGCAGTTCTACGTCGAGTTTGGAGAAACCGCTGACTAGGCTCCCGCGGACACTTCGCTGTTCGGGAGTTGGTTCCTTCGATGGATCTTGTCCGCTGAAGAGAAATAGCTCTCTAGCCTTATCCCAGGGGAGCATCGCGGCTAGTGTAGAGATTAGAAACCTCCAGTTGATTAGATGCTCGCATACGGTAGGTGTCCCCCTTGACGTGATGCCTCGTATAGTTCTATCATCGTTAGAGGCAAATTTTAAAGAGGATAAGGCAGCGAACCAGGAGAATAGCGGGTCTGTGATGAAGTGTATCTCCACCATGGCCGATGACTCGTTTAAGGACGGCAGGGTGAAGCAGTGTCCCGTAGAAGAAGAGAGAATAAGTCTCTTCCTTCCACTGTGCCGCCTCTGGGCTTATTGTTGATGCCATTCGAGCTGGATCTTCAAAGTGGTAGAGGGGCTTCCTGGACCTCGACGGTGGTGGCAGACCAAGAGGCGTAATGACTGGATGGATCGGATCTTCGGCTACATGGGACCAGAATGCCGGCTTACCAAGAACTACAACAAGTGAAGATGATGTTAAGACAAGAGATGTAGAGTCAAAACTCGTAGTGAGGATCCGAAGGAGGAGGATTCATAGCTCAATCGTCTCCTTTGGCTTAAACTTCTTTCCTGCGCGCTCTCCGGCTCTGTAACGGAACTGATTTCCATACAGATCAAAGGATATTCGCGGATCACTTTCGCGCGAGTGAGGGGATGGCGCAAAGAGGGGAAGCGAAAAGCTGAAGACGGTGCCTTGCTTTGGATATACTACACGGTACTCAGAAGAATGAATTCGCTTGAGAAATAGGCGTACCTTTCAGTTCATCTTCGCGTGTGACAACTTTGAATGTGTTACTCGTTTCGTGAACGACAATGCCTTCTCCGCCAATTCTTGATGCATTCTTACAATCTTTCACTGAATTTGAACATCGTCAGAAAAAAACAAGAAGCAGCAAAGCAGACTTACCCGTGACGATACACCCATGAAAATCCGCCTTGAGCAACTTTGCCTGAATAGCACCCACACCCGCCTTGACAGAAGCCTCGATCCGCTCCTTTGCAGGCAAATGTTCCGGGCGGGGCGCAAATCCCATCACATCCGCCATATACGTCTCCCACATCCGATGCACAGGCCAAAAGATTTCCCACTTGGCGAGCCTCTTATCAAACTCCCATACACCCAACTCCATCGCTTTCCTTTTGCCCATCACGCATTCGCGCTTCTTCTCCTGCGCCTTCTTTCGTCTTGCCTTTTTCGCCTCGCGCGCAACCTTATCTGCACTCTGCTTTGGTGGATTGAAAAGCTGTAGTTGCTGGTTCTCTACGCGCGTTGAATATGTCGTCTTTGGAATGTGAGGGAGGCAAGTCTCGATCAGAGTTAGAACGAATGGTTTTGAGGAGATAAATGTTAATCGTTGCCCCTATCGAAGGTATTAGTCTTATACACGACACTTGGCAGTGCTCTACCTGAATTGGAGGAAGCGGCTGGTACACGTCCATCGTGGTCAGGAGCAAGCTCTAAACTCAACTCACGAACGAATATTTCGCAAAGCAAACGAATCCCATAAAGGCTACCAAAGCATATTACATATGTGACATCAACGTCCATTTCATTGTACAGTAAGTTACGGCCCCTACTCGGCGTGATCTGTACTGGCCGGACGGGCGGAGATGATAGGAGGAGACGACGCTCGTGCTCCTACAACCTCATCGGGAGGCATCCTCGGTTGTCTACCCTCTGGTGCCTTTTCCATCTGTCGTTTCGATGGTCGGCGGGTTACCTCTGCATTCCCGTTGCTAATTGGAGTATCCTGTCCGATACCGCCTTCTGCATCTTCAACATAGGCACCCGGAGGATCATATCTCTTCTTTTCAAGCTGGAAAGGATCAGCGACAAGCGGCAGCACCACTGACAATCAACTCACCACATAGCCGTTTGGACCCATCTCGGGGCCAAGTCCCTTTCGTACACCAGTGGATTGGTACTGGTATCCATTCTGGCTATAAGCCGGAACTGCCTCGTCATGCAGGCTATATCGACGACTGACAAAGGTAGTCCCATTGCCTTCACGACCTCGATGCTCGCTATGCGTTTCCTCCTCGATCGAACTTCCCTCTTCCGATACAGACGCTTGATCCTCGCTCGTATAGCCAGCGGCACGCACAGCAGCCTCGACAGGTCCACTACGGTCCATCGACTCGCTGGCAATAAGATACCGAGCGACAAGCATACGACAGTCATGCCACCATTCCATCATCTCCTCGTGGCTTCGCGCACGGAAACTGTATGCATGACTTCCGCCGCCAAGCTTGCCCGGCAAGATACTGTTTCGTCGCGAGCCCTGTGCATCGCTCTTGCCTTCGAGTTGGAATTTATGCGAACGGGATCGTTGCGTCGAAGGTGGACCGAGCGTGCAAAGAGGGAGGAATAACGAAAAGATGGGGCTAGTGCGCCCGTTGGGATCCGAATTGGCGTACTCGTGGAGCCATCCAGATGGTGTAAGGACGTAATACCCTTCACTCCAGCTACGACTCCATTTCTTCTTTCGCTCCAAGAGCCCAACATGCACGGCCACAACGCTGGCATCATTCTTGAACGGGTATTCGATTGTCTCTGGATTCCTCAACGGCGTCTCCGGATCGAGTAAATGATCGGTTCTGGCGGCAAATTCGATCCATTCCCTGTCCGGTGCGAGAGAAGCCATGGACTCGCCCAACGCACGCCACGTCTGTTGGACTGTGTCTGACATCCTCGACTGCCACTCGTCAAACGTCTGCCAGGTGGACTGAATGCTGCGGACGATGCCTTCCTCAAAGTGGGCTGATGACTGTTGCATAATAATGATGCTCTTCTGCAGTGCATTCTCCTCGAGCACTTGCTTTTGGAGTTGTTTTGCGACGAGAATGTTCTGTACATAGGGGTCATCCTTTGCGGTGACCGCCATTGGCGTATTCTTGAAGAGGGCAATTGCTCGGGCGAGTTCGGCAATCTGTTTTGTGCTATTTTCACGTTCTCTTGCAACCGAAGTCGCCAAACGACCCGTGTCTCTCTCGACGTTGCGGATATGACCCTTGATTTCTGAACGAAGCTTCTGTAGGTGCTGGACTATAGACGAGTCGATGGTTCGTCCAAGGTTTGCATGGGCATCTGCAATGGTCCGTGTCTTGTCCCGGATGTTGTAGAAAATGTCCTGAGTGGAATCGTAAGACAAGGGTCCACGCCGAGCATTCCGAAAGTGACGTGCAGACTCCGCACTGAGTGCGGGGAAGGGGAGAAGGAAGAGAGAATTAGGAGAGCAGAAAGATACCAACCTGAAGGCCACCTTGGCCCAAGAACTGATTCCCCGCTCTGAATGGCACTTGTATGACACCTCCAAGCTTGATGAGCTCTCTAGCAGTGTTGTTCTCAATGTCTGCAATGCCCTCAAAGTAAGCTATTTATACTAGGCATTAGCAAACTTGTTCTTCCTTACTCGGACATTCGACGAACCGATGAGTTGTTTGACGATACTCTTCCAGGCGACAAAGCGTTCTATAATGACATCCGAAGGTCGGAGGTCATGTGGAGCGATGTTCTTCTTGATGAGTGTCTGCGAGCGGGAAAGCGTGCTGCGTCTCGAGACACTCGTGGTGCGAGAGACGGCGTCTGGATCACGGTGAGCGTCGCGCATCACGAATCCGGACATTTCGACGTTCTACTTGTAGCCGTTTGGGATGCTCTGGCAGTCGTGTGTTGGTCGTCGACTGTCCAGAGTGGAGATGGTCGGTTCCAAGTTTGTTCGATGACGTGCGGCATCGAAATCCATCTTCGTCTCGTCTACAAATTGTACACAAAAATGTCTTGGACTATAGTTTACTTGCATTTTATACACGTTATTTGCCTACTTTCAAGCAGCGGCGCGTGCTCTGGATTTTCCCTATGAATCCCCGGAGACGAGCGGCTCTTTCGACGCTTACAAAACCCCCTTGACCAAATTTAGCAGCTCTAAGGGCACCCAATTAACCATCCCCTGACGTGCTTTGATCATGCCGTGAGGATGCTATGGCTTGCAATATTCGTGAGGCCAGATAGATGAAGACGCTTGCTAAAGCTCCCGAGGTGGAAGTCCAGCCAGTGAAAGTGTACATGCACACAGTGGCATTGACGAGAACGCATTCATGAGCGGTTTCGCTACAGACAAGGTACCTAATAATCCATCATTCTCACCATTCTGATATATCATACGATTGTTCAGGAAATGTTCTGTGGTCCAAAGTGAAGGACACGTTTGGTTCATTTGCAGTAGCTCCCGTCAATGACTTCTGGAGCGTTTACGGGAAGCGTATGAATATAATTGATTCGCACATTAAATAATGGCTGATACAAAGGCTGCTCGTCGGATTAGAACGGCTACAATGTTCGAGACGGATAGACATACTCTCGTGTCAGAGGTCCACCGTTCGTTTCTCTTCTTCAAAGCGAAGATCTGAACGTCTTGGTGCTGTTCGGAATCCTTTGTCAACAACCGCTGTGAGCACAGGCAACGGACAGCTGCTCACCGATGAGAGGGTGCAACTGTGCTAAATAGGTGATGGACCACATGAGGAAACAGCAAGTAAGCGTCAATATTACCATGGTCCTGATGAGACTGGATGGTGTTAGCACGGGAATTGTGAGCTACGCTGAGCCAACGGGACGCACGTCTGTTGAGGACCCTTGGGAACGGCAAACCAGCCGAGAAAGTTTAAACCAATGACAGCAGCAAAGACAAGGAGCACCAAGAAACCGCCCATGATGATCGTCTGGTTTCAATGGTGAATGTGGTCGCTTCCAAGTTGGACTGCCCTCGCCTCTTGCTCTACCCTCCTCACACCTCAAAGTCCGTTGACTATAGATCAGAAAATATAACATTAGAAGCGACAGCACGGCATAATACACACAAAAAGACTTAGCAAAGCACTCCATTGTCACCACTACTTTTCTCATTTATTCTTGTAGCCGTCCATGGCATTACGGTATGTCATGATATTCATAGCAAAAGCGCAAGACTTAGCTCTATGAAGATCTCAAATCCTCAGACACGCCGTAACGCTCGTACCCTCCCTTGGATTTACTCGGGCAGCTATTTCAGAGGCAGCTCTCAAGGCAACTGCCGGAGAAGAACTACCAGAAAGGACCATCGACGTTCTTTTCGGCCGTGGGGAGGATGCCAGAAAGACTTTGATACGGGCATGGCTCGAAGAAGGAAGAAACTCTATGGGTGCATCTAATCATCCAGGTACTGTCCGAGACGCATTGCATCGACGTTTGGAATGGAACGTTCCGGTGCTGGACAAGCTTCCAGAGGTGCGTTCCTTGAAGTTTCATGCTCTCGCGCTCATTTATATTGCAGGCATACGCGCTTCTCGCTACTCCATCTTCGCTATCACCTTTGGACGTACGAGCTATCCTCGAACATCCAGCAATGGTTGCTCATCAAGCGTGCAAAGTTGCTCAACAATCTGATTCTGGCGTACGTTAGAAGATTTATGGATTGTGTCTTACTAACTAGGCTCTCAAGATGTCCTGGTACACGAGACGCGCCGCACTCGCGTCTGCCTACGCAGCTGCAGGTCAGTCCCTCTCCTTGAAAATGCTCAAAACTTGACACCTTTCAGAATTGCATCAGCTCAACTCGCCAGCCACCGCCTCAGGATTCCTAGATGGCCTCCTCGACGCGAGCGAAGGTGCAGATAATGCGGTGTCTGAAGTCGCGACGTTTGCACAGTACATTGGAAAGAGCTGGATAGCGATTGCTCGGAGTAGAGGTTTACTATCTTAACCCGTCAGAACAGGGCACGTATATTCACTGGCTAATTTGGTTCCTCTTCTATCAAACCGTCGCCTTATTCCATGTAAGGCCGCAGAAGAAACAAACGCCTCTTCAGAGGCCTGGCTGTTGAATTTCCATCCGCGTTATAGATACAACTCTCTGCATGTCAAGTTGTGCACTGCCCAGATCCAATATGTTATAGAACCATAACTCTCAGCTAGTGGCTCTACAATTTCTTGCGATAACGACCGACACGGTGCCAAAAAAGATTTGGTGGCTCCTCGGGTACTTTGCCCTCCAATTTGCGGTCCTCCCATATATCCAGCGCGTCGATGATATGATGCGTTGGTTTATCTAATCGACAGCCTAGTATTGGTTCCCATATCGGCGTCCAAACGGCTTGCCACCAAGCAAGCGTAGGCGAGGGTCGCAGCGAACGTGCTCATAAAAGAGGAACACTCCACCAGGTTTGATAACCTTGTCCGTGAGTCCAGCCACTGATTTCTTGACGTCGGGGATGCCACAGAGACTGAGGATGGAGACGAGCGTGTCGACTTGCTCTCCCCCAAGCGCTTCTAAGATTTTATCCGTCTCTTCAGCACCGCACGCGATCATCTGGATCTGTGCGGGCTCGAACCCGGCCTTGACCGCATTGGCAGCGATGCGCTCATGCATCTCGGTATTCGGCTCGAGGGCAATGTATCTTGTGACACGAGTGGTGTCCAGGTACTTGCACGAGTGGCCGTGTCCTTTGCGGGTATTAGTCTACCTCATTCGGTGTATGGAGCTTTCGAAGACGACACACCTGCCCCTATTTCAAGAACGACGCCATAAGCAGCAGGTAAAAGTGCCTGCTTAGTTTCTGCACCCGCAGCATCCACACTGTCGCCCATGAAGGCCCAGACGTTTTGAAAGAACACGTCTTGCAATCTTCGTGGGTGGACAAGAAGCGTCGGCTGCCTGCACGTTGCTGACATTGTAGGCGGAATAGCTGCTTTTAGGATATAAAAGAGGTCTAGTAGGACTGCGAAACGGTCAAACCAGGTGACCGACGCCATGGAAGTGGTCGGCTCCATGCTGACTTCGGGTGTGTCGATGGTCCGGCTTCCAGTTCTTTACCGTAACTTCTAATTCTTTGTCTCTGGGTTGGCCCGAAATTGTCTGCTAGGTTCCATGGGTTCTGCAATGTAGACAATGGTATTTATTGGTTTCAAATTGTTCTGTACCTTCAATGATTGAACTCTGTATTTGGCCTTGTCCTTTGAGCGCCGACAATACGAAGAGTGGCATTGACAAGCGCTGCCCATATCTTGGAGCCATCCACCCTCACGATGTCGACCCAAAATTCAAAAAAGCACAAGAAACAACATCTGCCCATAGATTCATCGGGATCCTCGTCAGCACAGCGCCCAACAAGCAAGAAACGTCAAGCATACAACGCAGCTAACGTCGGTCTGGATATAGTGGCCAACATATCCGAGGGATCAGATGTACTCGCTCCTCTCAAGGCAGCTTGTCGAACCACCAAGTCAATTCTCGATGTCGTACAGGCAAGTTGGCGAACCTGCCATGGCTGCGTCTAACGGATTCAATAGGCAACAGAGATCAATCAAGAGGAATGGATTGATCTAGCCGGACGTTTGAAGGAATACATGTCTGCGCTCGAGAAACAAATCACTCTATTGGAGGCATATCCTGAGGAAGACATGGCCGTTGACGAGGCGTTTATGCAGCCGCTAATCCACTATGTCGAGTACGTAGCACTTCAAATTTGCTTCAGTAGGCTGACTGATGTAGATTTCTCGAAAATATGCACGATACAATTGTCGACCTAAAGGAGAAACGCAACCGCAGCAAACTCAGCATCTTTAAAGCGTTCGGAAAAATGAAAATTGACGCAGAAGAGATTCTCAAACTCAATCGAGACATCGAGGACCGGCATAGGCAATTCATGGTGCGAGCCTTATCGACCTTGTTCACAGTACTCACTATCGACAAAGGAGGCCTTGAGTCTTTTTACAGCCACCAAAGCGAACGTGGAGACCATTCTTAAAGACGGTAAGCTGAAATTTGGGATGAGATGCTTACTAAACATTCGAAGTCGACACCAATGCTATACTACAGCTACCGGTGGTAGCTTTCGTCGCATCCTCAGTCCACAGGCCGTGTCTGAAAGGAACACGCGAGGCTGTTCTTCAGACTATCTACCGCTGGGCCGACGATGATACGTCGGACAAGCCGATATTTTGGCTGTGTGATATCGCCGGCTCTGGAAAGTCCACAGTCGCAATGTCTGCAGCGGAGTCTTGGAGAAAGGAAAGAGTACTAGGAGGCCGATTCTTCTTCTCTATTGCAAACAGCGAAGGATCCACCACAGACAAGTTCTGCTCTACAATAGCAAGAGACCTGGTCGACTACATACCCAGGCTTGCGCCGCACGTCGCTGGAGCTGTGAAGCGACACCCGTCGTTCATGCGAAGCTCTCTCGAAGAGCAGTTCCAGAAGCTCGTCATTGATCCCATCCGTTATAGTCAAGGACGTGTCATTCTCGTCATCGACGCTCTTGATGAATGTAAATCTGGATTGCAGCGAAGAGAGCTTGTCGAAATGCTTTCTACAGCTGTTCGAGGAACAAAGAACCTCAAGATATTCATGACGAGTCGGCCAGACCCCGTAATCCAAGCCGTCTTGGGACCACTCGCAATCAAATCCAAGTTGGAGGACCGACTGCACGATGTCAAGCATCATGATAACATTGGTGATGTCGCAGTGTACATACACAAAGCACTAGACAACGTGCTGCCGGAGGGCAAAAGGCAGAGACTGATTAAAAAGGCCAACGGATTGTTCATCTGGGCGAGCACTGCATGTCGAATGCTCACCAACGAGACAAGCTTAAGCCCTCCGGAGGTCACGTATGATCACCTCATGTCCATGGACAAGGCTGGGGTCATAGACGATCTATATAACCTCATCTTTGTGCGCATGGATCCCGAGTTCCACACGATCATGTACAAGATGCTCGCCGTATTGCTTGCAGCGTTTGAACCGCTGACTGCCGACGACGTGGACGATATTCTCAAGCATTCTGGGGCATACGGAAGTGCAAAGGCACTGGTACGGAATCTCGGCAGCGTACTTGTTGAGGATGGTACCACGAGTCTAATCCAATTTCGGCACCCCACTTTCGTCGAGTACCTTCGGCGTTGCTCTGTTGCCCCACCCATCGATACGCGTAACAACGTGTATATCAGGATTCCTGACGCACACGGCCAAGCCGCAGTTTGGTGTCTCAAACATCTGACATCGCGAAGCGATGGTCTCAAATTCAATATATGTCAACTGGAGTCATCTTTCTATCTTAATAGAGAGATTCCAAACCTCGATACGAGAGTATCGAGATTCATTTCAAGACACCTTAGATATGCCAGCTCTCATTGGCTGTTCCATGTGGCTGAAGCTGGCGACAGCTGGCGGTCCATGATCAAGAAGGAAATCCAACAGATTATTCAAGTTCCATACGTGTTATACTGGATGGAGGTTCTGAGCTTGACCGGAGGAGTGCCACGAGCAATAACCGGTCTTCGAGCTATTACACGCCACGCAGGAGTAAGTTGCCGATCCGAGCCAATTCAACTCTGACGCCACAGATAGCTTGAAACATGGGATGAAGCCAACATGGACCAGATTCGACGGTTTATAATGGTATTTTCAGTACCGATTCAAGAGAGCGCCCCACACATATACATTTCCGCGCTCCCATTCACCCCTACAAATTCAATATTGCATGTTGAGGGTGCAAAAAGATATAGAAATACTCTTCGGGTAACAGAAGGCCTCGAGGAGATGTATTCTGGGCTCCCAAGTAGTCTTCGAGGTCATGAATTTGGGGTCAACGCAGTCGGATTCTCCCCAGACGGCTCACAGATTGTGTCCGGCTCTTCCGACAAGACAATTCGATTGTGGGACACGGCAACTGGTCAGGCTGTGGGCGAGCCACTCCGAGGTCATGAAGGCACGGTCAGGGCTGTCGGATTCTCGCCAGATGGCTCACAGATTGTGTCCGGCTCGTACGACAAGACAATTCGATTGTGGGACGCGGCAACTGGTCAGGCTGTGGGAGAGCCACTCCGAGGTCATGAAGGACCGGTCAGCGCCGTCGGATTCTCGCCAGACGGCTCACAGATTGTGTCTGGCTCATCCGACAACACAATTCGATTGTGGGATGCGGCAACTGGTCAGGCTGTGGGAGAGCCATTCCGAGGTCATGAATCTGGGGTCAACGCCGTCGGATTCTCGCCAGACGGCTCACAGATTGTGTCTGGCTCGTGGGATAACACAATTCGATTGTGGGACGTGGCAACTGGTCAGGCTGTGGGAGAGCCACTCCGAGGTCATGAACATTGGGTCAACGCCGTCGGATTCTCGCCAGACGGCTCGCAGATTGTGTCTGGCTCGTCCGACAAGACAATTCGATTGTGGGACGCGGCAACTGGTCAGTCTGTGGGAGAGCCACTCCGAGGTCATGAACATTGGGTCAACGCCGTCGGATTCTCGCCAGACGGCTCACAGATTGTGTCTGGCTCATCCGACAACACAATTCGATTGTGGGACGCGGCAACTGGTCAGGCTGTGGGAGAACCACTCCGAGGTCATGAAAATTGGGTCAACGCCGTCGGATTCTCGCCAGACGGCTCACAGATTGTGTCTGGCTCGGACGACAAGACAATTCGATTGTGGGACGCGGCAACTGGTCAGGCTGTGGGAGAGCCACTCCGAGGTCATGAACATTGGGTCAGGGCCGTCGGATTCTCGCCAGACGGCTCACAGATTGTGTCTGGCTCGGGCGACAAGACAATTCGATTGTGGGACGCGGCAACTGGTCAGGCTGTGGGAGAGCCACTCCGAGGTCATGAATCCGGGGTCTTGGCCGTCGGATTCTCGCCAGAAGGCTCACAGATTGTGTCTGGCTCGTCCGACAAGACAATTCGATTGTGGGACGCGGCAACTGGTCAGGCTGTGGGAGAGCCATTCCGAGGTCATGAAGATGTGGTCACCGCCGTCGGATTCTCGCCAGACGGCTCGCAGATTGTGTCTGGCTCGTCCGACAACACAATTCGATTGTGGGACGCGGCAACTGGTCAGGCTGTGGGAGAGCCACTCCGAGGTCATGAATCTGGGGTCAACACCGTCGGATTCTCGCCAGACGGCTCACAGATTGTGTCTGGCTCGTCCGACAAGACAATTCGATTGTGGGACGCGGCAACTGGTCAGGCTGTGGGAGAGCCACTCCGAGGTCATGAATCTGGGGTCAACGCCGTCGGATTCTCGCCAGACGGCTCACGGATTGTGTCTGGCTCGTGGGACAACACAATTCGATTGTGGGACGTGGCAACTGGTCAGGCTGTGGGAGAGCCACTCCTAGGTCATGAATCCGGGGTCTTGGCCGTCGGATTCTCGCCAGAAGGCTCACAGATTGTGTCTGGCTCGTCCGACAACACAATTCGATTGTGGGACGCGGCAATTGGTCGGGCTGTGGGAGAGCCATTCCGAGGTCATGAAGATGTGGTCACCGCCGTCGGATTCTCGCCAGACGGCGCACAGATTGTGTCTGGCTCGTGGGACAAGAGAATTCGATTGTGGGACGCGGTAACTGGTCAGGCTGTGGGAGAGCCACTCCGAGGTCATGAAGGCGGAGCCAGCGCCGTCGGATTCTCGCCAGGCGGGTCACAGATAGTCTCCGGCTCGTGGGACAATACGATTCGATCATGGGATGCAGAAACCGGTGGGTTCAACTCAGCTCGCCTTCGAGATTATGACACGACTCGACAAATAGCCCTAAGTGCAAACGCAAATTCTTCTGGTAAAGAGTCTGTATATTCAAGCCTCAGTGAGGGTCTTCAGGCCACTCCTCTCAGAATCCATGTACCTGGATTCCAAATTTGCTTACTCTCGGAGGACGGCTGGGTACATTCTTCCGGCAAACGTCTCTTCTGGGTACCACCAGCCAATCGACACGGACTAAAATATCCATATCTCCTGACAATTCTAAACACGGCTCCATTCCGCAAGACCAAGTTTGATTTCACCAATTTTCAATGTGGTCTCTCTTGGACAAATGTTCGAACAAATGTCCCATAATAACATATTATAACAGTGGCCACTACCATCTGTGCTTAATTCAGCGGTTTCACCATCGTGCTTGCGATGAAGGTACGTTGCCTCACGGTACTCAACTTCGTTATCAATTTCGCGCTCGAATACCTTTAATGTTTCTTTTGCACGCCCTCCCTACTGAAATACATACACGGCAATGATATGCTCGCCGACAGCTCTCCAAGATGCGAGATGTCCTGATGCGACTTTTGGTGGAAACGGACCCTAGCGGGACATCTGCGACTACAAGCCCGCGGAAGAGTAAGATGGTGTCGGATTCCTCAATCTTGGATGGAGCAAGCCCTCATGGAGTGCTTTACCAGCCACGACCTATAGTGACTGTGAGCAATATGCTGAACGGTTAGACCACACACGCTTACCATTGGATATACGTGCTCATTTTGTTCTACCAAGCACTCCATCACGATTGGTTTCGAACCATCGTACTCGAGGAACTCTTTCATCTTCTCCGGCAGCTCGTCGATAGTCGAACATCTGATAGCGTGCACGCCCATTGCTTTCGAGAGGAGCACAAAGTCTGGGTTCTTCATGACAGTATGGGAGTATCTCGCATCGTAAAAGAGATCTGCGAATAGAGTCAATTTGGGAATGAAAACCTATCCGATTGACAAACCTTGCCATTGTTGGACCATTCCTTGGAATTCATTGTTGAGGATGATCACCTTGACGCCAATGCCGTATTGAGCAGCCGTCGCAAGCTCCATTGCAGTCATGCTGAACGACGCATCACCGTCAATGTCGACCACCGTCTTTTCAGGCGCAGCAACCTTGGCTCCAATGGCAGAAGGTAAACCGAATCCCATCGTCTGGAGACATTTAGTTCAGAGCTAGGAGAAGGAGAAAGTCACTTACGCCGAGACCTCCAGAGGTGACCATAGTTCTCGGGTGTCTCCATCGGAAGTGCTGAGCCGCCCACATCTGATGTTGACCGACACCCGTGCTGACAATCACATCCTCTTTTCGCTCCGCCGTCAATTTGTCCAATTCCTCGATGACTTCTTGAGGTTTCATACGTTGACCAGACTGACTCGGTTCGTAGGTGAAGGGATATGCTTTTTTCCATTTTCGGACGTCCGCGAACCAAGCCTCACGCGGCGACGATTTGATGAGGGGAACAAGAGAGGCAAGATTGTGGACGACGTCTCCAACGACGGCGATCGAGGCGTCTACGACTTTGTTGATGTTCTTGGGTTGGATCTCAAAGTGAATAATGCCACCCTTGCCCTTGGCAGCAGCCGCACGAGCAGCGGGGGCGAATGCTAATCCGTCGTCAGGAATCGACCAATGAAAAGTACTTTAAACATACTGTTGAGCGTTCCAGTGACACGATCGTCGAAGCGTGCTCCGAGAGCGATGATCACATCGGCGTTTTGCATGGCGTAGTTGGCGTACGTCGAGCCGTGCATACCCAACATGTGCAAACTTCGGTCATCAAGTTCATCAAACGCTCCAAGCCCTTGAAGCGTTGTGGTGACGGGAATGTTTCCCTCCGAAGCAAGCTTTTTCAGCAATACGGGACCCAAAGGAGAGGAAAGGACGCCATTTCCGGCGTAGATGACGGGTTTTTGAGCTTGGTTGATGAGATCGGCGGCACTGCGAATCAATGCAATGTCCGAGGGGGTTACTAAGGGGTTTGCGGGGAGAGAAGACGAGCCAGGCGTAGTCGAGCTGTACGGGATGGGTGTCCTGAGGATGCTTGCCGTCACGTCCTTTGGCAGGTCGACCAATACAGGACCTGGTCGACCCGAAGTGGCGATTTTGAATGCCTCGTTGATTCTTCGCGGGAGTTCCGCAATGTCCTTGACCATGACGTTCCATTTTGTGCAGCTTCGCGAGATACCAATAACATCGGCTTCTTGAAACGCGTCTGAGCCAATGGCAGAAGTTGCAACCTGGCCGCAAAAAACAACGAGAGGTACACCGTCGCTGAGAGCGTCTTGCATTGGTGTGACGACATTGGTCGCCCCTGGACCGGATGTCACGAGCACGACTCCTGGCTTTCCGGACACACGAGCATACCCCTCTGCCATGTGTCCAGCGCCTTGCTCATGTCGGGGTAGAACAAAGTTGAAGTGCTTCGAGTTGTAGATGGCATCGAATACTGGAAGAATAGCACCTCCTGGGTAACCAAATACTTGCTTTACATCGTGTCGGAGCATCATTTCCTGGAAAATTTGACCACCGGACATGCCGACAAATGAGTCGTCGAGCTGAGAGCGCGAGAGTTGCCTCAGAGGCATGATCTCCTGTGCTGTGATGGGAGGTACTTGTTGAAAAGTCGACGCTGGGGTTGGCCGGCTATACTCCACAAGCGGATAATTAGCTGTAAAAACGAGACAAACGGTGGTCGACACTCACACAGCTGGGGTAGGAGATGCATTTTTTGAAGCTGAACCGCTGATAGTGCGTCGTGTGCGCTCTTGGACGCGGGCTTTTGCGTCGACGATGCTGGTAGTGGCGACATACGATCGACGAGAAACGACGGCGGGCGTCGAAGGGGCCTTAGAGAGTGGCTTTCGTGCAGCTGAGAATGCCATAGCTCGCACTTTTTGGTAGAAGGGAAGGATGAGGAGGGGTTTAAGATGCGTGAGTGAGTCAACCCAGGTCTTGACCAGAGCTAGATCTATTGCCCGAATAAGACCGAAGGCCGGAGTGCTCAACCGATTTCACGAGCCATCTCTAGCATTTTTGTTATAATTTCTGCGGGCAGTTGGATCTGCAGTCGCTGAGAAGTGTGCAATGTCGATGTGCAGCTTGACCAACGACCAAACCACGAATGATTTCAGTAAGCTAGCTCGGACGTTGTGATTCATATCTAACATCACTCAGGGGTTCTTCATCTTCAATCAAAAGGGCGAGGTGCGTCACGGCACGGCCTTTGACCGTCGAAACTCAGCATCCATAGGTCCTCATCACACGTCTGTACAGGACAGACATCAAGTAAGATCCCTATGAAGAGTATCGTGACCTCCCTAACAACTCTAGGCGGTCAATATCCGAAGTCTTTCGCATCCATGTCGTGTCCAGCGCAGATGTGAGATCACCCATCGTTACCTTGGGTTCGACAAGCTTTCTTCACGTCCGACACAACAATATCTATGTCCTCGCAATCACAAAGTTTGTACGCTTTGCAGCCATCGCACCATTCTGACCGTCCCATTAGAAATAATGCAAACGCGGCGCTGATTTTCGAGTTCCTGTACCGCTTCATCTCGATATCACGATCTTACTTTGGGAAACTGGACGAAGAGTCTGTCAAGAACAACTTTGTGCTTATTTACGAGCTGATTGATGGTCTGGTTGTTCCTCTCCTTACCATGTGCACTTATTCTGACATACCATAGAAATCCTCGACTTTGGTTACCCTCAAACGAGCGAAATTGACACGCTCAAGGCCTACATCACCACGGAGGCTGCTCGCTCAGAGGTCACAGACGTACGTCCTCCGCCAACGTATCGCCCACTGCTCACTTTTTACAGATTGGTGAAAGCTCCAAGCTGACCACGCAAATGACTGGTGCAGTCAGTTGGAGACGAGGGGATATCAAGTACAAGAAGAACGAGGCCTTTGTGGATGTCGTCGAAAATGTCAACCTGCTGATGAGTGCTAAGGGTACCGTCCTGCGAGCAGATGTCGACGGTCAGATCCTCATGCGAGCATACCTGAGTGGGATGCCAGAATGCAAGTTTGGGCTCAACGACAAGCTGGTGCTCGACAAAGCCGAGAGGGCAGCAGACAATGCCGTTCGACTTGATGATTGTCAGTTCCATCAATGTGTACAGCTGGGCGCATGGGGTTCCGATCGAACAATCAGTTTCATCCCGCCTGACGGAGAGTTTGAGCTTATGAAGTGAGTTCAGTGCTGCCCCTACGGTGTCAAGCTAACCATGTCCAGATATCGATCCACTTCTGACGTTCATTTACCGCTACGAGTCCACCCCACGGTGACAGAAATTGGAACGACTCAGGTCCAATACAGCATCACAGTAAAGGCAGGTTTCAACTCCAAACTCAGTGCTACGAACATTGTCCTTCGCATTCCTACCCCGCTGAATGCGACAATGGCCAGCTGCAAAACTGCATCTGGCAAGGCAAAATATGTGCCTGCAGAGAATGTGATCGTGTGGAAGTACGTCCTGCTACACTCTTGATCCTCCTCCCTCATCATATATAGAATACCGCGGATACAAGGAGGCTCTGAAGCTACTCTGACGGCTGCTGCAGACTTGGCGGCGACAACGACGAGACAAGCATGGGCACGACCGCCGATTGATGTCGACTTCCAAGTCCTCATGTTCACTGCGTCGGGCTTGCTCGTACGCTTCCTCAAAGTGTACGAAAAGTCGGGGTACCACAGCGTCAAATGGGTGCGGTATCTCACTCGTGCAAGTGGCACTTATCAGATTCGGGTTCGTCGCATGGCTTATCGGGCGACTTCCAAGACTGATCGTCTCTGCAGTTCTAAGCACGGCTCCTTCGGAATTGTTTGCATTACTCTGCTCTTCTTTTTGAATCATTTTTGCGCTACGTTAGAATGGATATTGATCATTTGTCGTCTCCGAATGTGGTCCACGACCCTTGAACCCTCGCGACGTCTGAGATTAGATAAACCGGCTATGGACGCGTTCTGGAAGTATGCAGCGCGCTTTCAAATTTGTCGCAAATGAGACCAATAACGCGTAGCTTAGGCTTTGCGACCGTCAAGCCTCTAGAAGTGCTCCTTACGCGGGACGATGTGACCCTCTTTGACATACTGGACGACCGGAATCTCTTCTTGGAGTGCAAGGAGAAGAACCCAAAGCTGATAGATTATCTATCAAAGCCCAATGTGCTCAAGCAGCTCCTAGGGTTCGTGTTGGACGAATTTGAGGATCGGACCGTCAATCGGGCAAAGTCAGTATCTGCCTCTGTTCGTCCCGTTGTAATGTTGAAAGTGTGAGCTGATCCCGTGGACTTCAGATTCCAGCACGTCGCCACAGAGGTCCTAAGCCAGGACCTGGACGCATTCGTGGACGGCGCATTGGCAAACGACGCAGCGCTTCTTCGTGACTTTTGGATACGTGGAATGAAGAATCCTGCTAACTCGTCCAATGGTGCACTCATGTCGCAGTTCTCCAAAGTGTTTGTGGCCTTTCTGCTGCGAAAACCCCATGAAGTCAGTCAGCGTGGATTAGAACCAATGCGACTTTCTGATACCTCTCTACACGTAGACCTTTGCATTTCTGCAAAAACAGCCGGATAGTCTTCGAGATATTCTTCGGCACCTCGAACTGCCGCAGGTCGCGGATATGCTACTGAAGATTCTCCTTTTGGACAGAGAGTCCACGAATGAACCGGTCGTAGATGTAGGTCTGTTTCCGCGTCTTCCTACTTCTCGTCACTCATAGATGCTCACCAGTGGCTCTGCGAGCAATCTCTAATGGAGCAGCTCATACGGAAGATGTCGCCGAACAACGATGCAGTCGTTCAGCAGGCTGCACTCGAGTCCATCAAAAACATTATTCTAATGTCCTCCTTTACGCCTACTCCGGGCCGTAAAGAGGCGAGCGTGCTCTCAAGCAATCGTCTCTCTCGCAACCTGGTGTCCACCTCCAACTCTGGTATCCTTATTGGTCAGCTATTTCCGTCAAAACAGGCACAAAAAATAGCCGATCCCAATACCCCGCACTCGGCATCATCATCTGGTCTCAACCTGGATGGTGATGTCGATGCAGAAGTCTCGTCATTCATGAATGCCGCGTCTACGGTGATGGAGCTTATACGAAAGAATAATTCAGACTATTTCGAGCAGTACCTCTTTCTCAGAGCACGGGAACACCTCATGGCCGTCCAAGAAGCAATGATGCAGGAGGAACACCCCGAAGGCGAGTCAACTGATTGTCGACCTGCATTGGAGGCTGCTATGGAGGAAATTATGGCAAAATGTGGTCTCGTCAACCTTGGCACCTTGATCTCTGCAATTTGCGACAACCTTCATGTCCTCCAAGCGCGATTGAAGGAGCCTCGTTCACTCGTAAGAGAATATTTATTTTTATATGCTCTATTGACACTTCTAGGCACTACCAATACCTTCGACAGTGGGACCGCTGGTACCACTAACGTTTGAACGACTACGAATATGCGAGTTGTTTGGAGAGCTCCTGCACTATTCCAACATGCTCTTACCCAACAGAATACCGGGAACAAGTCCAACCTACGACGAAGACGGTCGGCTCGTTGGTGGCCTCGACGCACTTGGGGATCTGGCTGCGGCCATGATGGCAGAGGCAGACCCAGATGCCGAAGAGGTTGAATCAGATGAAGAGGAGGAGCCAGAAGAGAAACCAGAGGAACCCGCCTTCCCTGTCTCTCAGCAGAATAGAAAGCGGAGATCGTTTGCATCCGACAGTGACTCTGACGGCGGTTCGATGCTCAACGAAGAACTGAAGGAGGTACACTCCCCTGCAGACATTGATAGTGGCTCGAGTAACGAGGCTACTTCGAAAGGGGCAGGAGTCAGCCCAGTATCGTCCATTGAGAATCTTGTGGACAGACTATCTCTTGTCGTCCCGGGCTCACCAAAGGCACGGAGACCATCCCTCTCGCCATTTACACCTGGTACACCACCTGTGCCGGTTTACTCCAAGGCAGGATCAGTGATCATGCCCCCCGTAGAACCGGATGCAATTGTCGATGATGATGTTGCTGATGTGACGGGATCAAAGGTACTCTCTCCCGGAGATGCACTCAAGAGTCGCTTTATGGAACTGCGAATATTTCCCACCTTGCTTGTATGCTGCCTTTACCTGTCACGACTGAGCTCACGCCATTTACAGGATCTCGTGTTTCAATTTCCTTGGAACAACTTTCTTCACAGCGTTGTCTATGACATCTTTCACCAAGTCCTCTTTGGCAAGATTGAAGGAACGATGAACCGGGATCTTATCATCAGCCTATTCCGTGACGTTGAATTGCCGCGAAGAATCATGGAAGCGCAGACAAAGAATGACACGTATGTATTTGGGTCATATGCCAAAGATTTGGGACTGAAGTGAAACTAGGCAACCACCTTCACAGCCCAGGCTTGGATATATGGGCCATATCACCCTGATGGCCGTTGATATTGTGAGCGCACTGGAAAAGTATCCAGATGACCTATTGGATGTCATTCAACCGATGATTCCGAATCCAGCATGGGACGACTATGTTCATGGAGTCTACGCTGAAACACAGCGACTGGAAAACACAATCCTCGGAGGTCCAAGGCCGACCCAAACTACGCGAGGGGCCACGCCGATGGGCGAAAATGGCTGGGGAGGCGATTGGCCAGACGGCGAGGACGATGGTTCGTCACCGATACAAGAATTCAGACGAACAGGAACGGCGAGCAAGCAAACGGCCGACTTTGGTCCACCGGACGAGGAAGAAGAGGATACATTTCACTTTACCCATGCGTCTGGATTCGCAAATACGACAGGCTGGGGCTCGAGTTCGAGCTCGGACTCTGGCGACGAGCACGATGAATGGCTGAGAAACTCAAACTCTGCCACAGCGTCCGCGCATCGGAGAGACGCTGAGGAAGTAGGTTTTGATAATGCATTTGACGATGACTTTGAACCATCGGGAGATGTATGTGCTTATTGTTTGACTGCTAATGTTGCCACTCACCGTTTGTCCAGGATGGGTTTGGGGCATGGACGGATGCGGGAGGAGCAGATAATCAATTTACTACCGACTTTGAGCACGATGATTTTGACTTTGGCGAGTTTGTCGAGTCTGAAGCGCCGCGGGAGAGCACTCCTGGAACCAGCAAACCGGCTTCTTCTGTACCTTAGACAGTGCTATAGACTTTGTCTTGTTCTGATTATTGCAGTGGCTGACACTGCCTGTTGCCGAGCCTTGCGGCAAATTTGTTCCAAACGCTCCTTGTCTCCTTCCACGCTGGTCGCGGGCCTCGACTCCTAATGTGAGCGGAGATCATAAACTTGGCAAATCGTAGTAGCTAACACTTTAAATCCCATCAACAGGACGAATCGAGGCCAAGAGATCAAGGTCTCTCTCAAGGATCGTATCGCCGCGCTCGGTCTGGACAATCCATCTGCGAGCACATCAAATACCCCGTCAAATGCTACTCCAGCACCATATCTCTCGTCCGGAGCGGTTTCGCTTCCCGTCGCTGGCGTCCGGGACAAGGCTGCTCGTTTCGAAAGCATTGGCGGCGTTCCAGTCCCGCGCGGAAGCTTTGGTTTAGGTGCTCCTCCTGCTTTTCAAGGTCCGTCACGGGCTGGAGAACTGTACGGAAACCGAATCCCGAGCGGAGGTCGCAGTCCTGGCAGCTCTCCAAGTCGCACCCTCGCGGACGATCCTGCAGCACCCGAGTTTACAAGAGTAAAGCTGCGTAGCATTTCATCGGCTGCGTCGCTCGACTTGCTGGACTCCACCCAGTATGGCATGACCATTGCCGTCATTCCACCGTCTCCAGCCCTTGTTCCCCCTCAAGAAGACCCTCCAGGAGAATTAAAATCTGAGGTTGAACCAAAAAATGAACCAAACGTGTCGGATGCCCTCGAGACTTCCAACTCTCCCGTCGCAGTTTCCGAGACTGCTTCACCTTTAAGTGATGATGGCCAGGAAATTGAAATCAACACTTCCCCAGCCACAGCACCGGTGATGAGTTTGGAGGCTATTCCAGAATCCCCGGCAAATCAGGCGGCTCCTACCCCATTCGTAGCAAGGCCGACCATTGCCTCCAAACGTCGATCCATCGTGCTTAGCTCGCCAATTATCCTCCCTTCTACTTTGGAAGATTCAGCCCCTAAGACTGCGGATCCCACGGCCACGGGTCATCCAAAGCGGTCGACAACCCTTTCGCCTCAATCCACTCCTCGGAGAACAAAGTCTCAGGCGTCCTCCCGGGATGGATCAATGTCCAGTACCGGTAGTGTTTTTAACTCCCCGCCGTCCGATGAGGGCGAAGTCAGCGGCGGGGGGAGCCCTCGTTCGCCCACCTTGGAGGCCATGAACGACTTCCAAGGCACCAACATCGATTTCTTACTTCCCACTTCTCCCACTAACGAACCTATCTCGCCTGCTCCCCCGACTCTACCAACCCCGACCAACCGTCAACCCTCGACCATCCCAAGTCCAGCCCGAACTGAAATACCGTGGAGTAACGGGATACTCAGTGACGACACCCTAGCTACAAATGATCTGAATCTTGAGGACGACGGATATCTTGCTGCAGCGATATCTTCTGTCGATTTCCAACCACCAGAACCGACCCAGAAACCGACGGCCCGACGGCCATCTGTGCTCAGCACCAGCGAGCTTGCATACCTTCAGCCCACGCCTCCTCAAAGCATCGAAGATGGTCTCAACGATGACCTTGAACGCAACCCCAAACGCTTGTCCGTATTCGCTTCTCGCGCCAGGACGTCGACATTGCCGGATGCTCCCCCAAGCGATGCAAACTCTTCACCGGTCGCCGTCAGTCCCCAGAGACGCCTCTCAGAGACACTCGCAGAAACGGCTTCTCCAGCTCGTGTCATGCGAGAACTTCGCCAGCTGAACATGGAGCACAGTTCGCCAATCGTCATTTCTCCACCAAAACGCGCGTCCGTACTTTCGATGATGGTTTCGAGCCCCGTCACACCAGTCGAGAGCGATGCAGTGAGTTATTTTGCCTTGTGTCTCGACACGACTGACCTAGACAGCTTCTTAGATCCAAGCCGGAGACAGAGCAGAGGAGCCCAAGTCCCCTCCGGCCAAATGCACGGGAGCGTGGTTTTGCTTCGGGTGAGACCAGGAGTCGGTCACCACTTACGGAGCCCTTAGAGGCACCAGTTCGTTCTTCATCCCTTACAACCTCGGCTGGGCCATCGCAGAGAGGCTCTATGATTGACGACGTGTCACCAACAACCGCTAGTGTCTTCAGTATACCACAAAGTTATAGTGGAACTAGCGATGCGTCTCATAGCGGTCTGTCGAGGGCCAGTTCGCCTCAAGATACAATTGCTTTCCCGACCACATTGACGACGACCCAATTTAGCCTCCAGCCCTTTACCACCCCGGTGGCCAACTCCCCGACGGCGTCGATACCAACTCATGCTGATACTGCCGACTCGATCAGGACCACGAGCCCATCACCTCCAGCCTCCTTCCGATCCTTATATTCTGCAGGAAGATTACCACCATCATCCCGTGGGCCTGGACCTCATCCTCCTACCAGCAAGGTACCACTTTTACAGAGGGCAGTGACGCTTATGAGCAGGGCTCTACCTCCCGTTCCAGTGGAAGAGCTCCCACGCCGATCAGCATCTGCGTTTCAAGCTATTCGATCACGCACATCTTCAAAGGCCAAGAAAGAACAAGCCAAGCTAGCGCTGGATGGTGGCAAACGACCTGAAACAATTTACGACGACTCGTCACCGCGACCAAGCATGTCGGGACCTAGGATGCGAACAACTAGTTCGCCATTGGTCTTGTCGAATGCGGACGATACACCCAGAAATTCTTCCTCTGTACCTCCTGTTCCTACCATACCACCGGTAGTGATCACCACCGAAGCGGACGACTCGACACCGATCGCTCGAATGTTCATGCAAAAGAAGGAACAGTCACTGAGAGGTCAGAATGCACAAGGCATGGCTCCTTCAGCCTTTCGGTCAGACTCCCCTAGCCCTTCCCTCTCTTCAACCTATGGAAGCATGTCGTCATGTGGGCCCGCACATCTCTTCAGCCCATCATTTGACCAGGGAATCTTTGACGCATTTCCCGAAGTGCCAGACCATCTCCCGACGCCTTCTGTAATTATACGACATACTAAAGGCACACGAGCTCAGTTGGGTCTGATGCCCAATCGCTCGGCGTCGGAATTGGAAGGTGCAGGACGCGAGGTGCAAGCGTCGTCGCCGTCCAAGTCGGACGATGGTTATGCATTTAATCGGGATGCAGACGCAAGCTCGACGGGGACAATCAAGACGAGCAATAAATCAAATGATGTTGACGAGTTTGGGAACCAAAGACCGCCTGGGCGACGAAAGAACTCGTCTCGCAAGGTTATCCCTGGCTGGTCTGATGAGGAGGATGAAAAGGTGGAAACCGGATGGGCGAACGTTAGTATCACACGGGCTCGAATCGCTTGAATTTATTTATGGTTGACGGGTCGCGGAACCGAGTATCATAGCTTTCACCTTTGTAATTATGGCCGGTGTATATTCCTGGTTTCAATTTCATTCACTACAATCGCACCTACTTGCGTGTGTAATATCAGGGACTCAATCTAGCGGCTGCGGTCATCTGTATCGATAGCTAATCGTGACACGACGGCAGAACTCAACCCATGCCTTTGTTCAGGGTAATGTCAGGAAGCCAACGATGTATATTCATGAGCAAGGGGATTTATACATAACTGGAGTATCGGTAAGCCTCCTACGGTTGAGAAACGTCTGATATAGCCTCCTGTTAGAGGGAGCGGATTTGATCGATGAGTGTCTGATTGTATGCGCCTGGCGGTGCAGTGCCCTCCCAAGCCTCACGGACCAGGCCAATCAAACTCTGGAGTGGTGCTGGAAGCGTGGTATAGCCAAATTTAGGCGTTAAGAGCACGCCTGTGTTTGTATTCCATCCATACACCGTTGTGGATAATCCAGTGGCAGTCCTCAGAGCGTCAACGGGATTTTCGTATTTGATACCATTATCGACCCCCCAACCTGTTTGGGGCAAAGCCTCGGCTTGCTGAATCACGTCTTGAAACGCCGCGAAGTCTGAGGCCGTAATCTCAAGGACTCTGCCGCCAGCGTCGACCGCGTAATAGGGGCTGAAAAGCGCCACGGTGAATCGGGTACCGACGTTGGTGTATTGTAGCGCACCAAAGACAAGGTCAGCCTGCTGAGGTCATAGGCCGGTGTCGGACGAGCGAGGGCACGGGAGTGCCACCCAACAGCCGAAGGAGGATTTCTTCGTTTGAGGTGATGAACATGAGCATCTCCCGTGCGCTGCGTGCCGGAATTGTTGGGTGAGCTCGAGAAGGATGACGTGCCCACGAAGAACAAGGTAGCAAGGACGAGCGTGACTGCATAAGCTGAGAATCGTCGTATAGATCTGCGCCGGTGGATATCGGTATTTGGTAGCTCCATGGTAATTGAAAGGGCTGATCCAGTTACAAAGGTAATGTCTGGGACGTCATGGTCAGTACAAGCAAATCTGGGAGATGTTGCACACCAGTGCGTTGTGAATCGAGTGCAAGGCTGGTACGGACTCATAGGTGCAGCCATGTTCACAGGCCTCTTATATACACCTTTTCGGCGCACCCTGGCTCACAAATTCATACCTGCAATATCGCCTTAGGTCCGTCGTCTACGGCTTTTACGCCATACAACCCTCAAATCCGCCACAGAAGGGACGGGTACGAAGCCCAGAAGGAGCAGTTTCTACGCTCGCTCTCGGTGATAAGGGTATATTGGAACCGTTGGTTTGACTCATTTGATCGTTTGTCTCCGAGAAGTTGATGGGCTCTGCTTCAGACCTCAGCCGAGGCCGCTCCAGGGTAGTAGCGGTCATGTCTACAAGGCACGAGAAAGCTGCTTCAAGCATTGAACCCAGATAAATTGACGGTCTTTGGTCTTGTATCCGTTCCTGTGACCAAGTGAACTCAACAAGAAATTAGTCTCGTTACCCAATACCCGGCACGGTCGCAGGTAGTAAAGTCCGGCTTGGCATTTCTGAGCTAACCAGAACATCCATATCCATACTTCAGCCGTACAAGAAGAGATCTCCTGGGCGAGGGAGTGGGCCTCCCTTGTATTCCGAGCAGCCTAGGATGGTAGAAAATGATATTTAGAGACCTTAATCTTGAAAGCGATATCTACTGACATGGTTCACTTATAGTACTGCTGGGTGGCAAATCGCCAACCAGATCCTGCAGCCATGTGAGACTGTCACGAACCTAGGCAGAGGCCTTGATCTCGAGGCCTTCTCCATCAATCAGCGTAGAAAGAACGGAAATTTACGCTTGTGAACTGGCTTTCAAGGTGACCAGTATATAGCAAGGTTCCCAGCAGATGTCCAGACGATCCATAGATCTTAGCGTCTTCGTCGATCAGCTGTGCAGCGATGCCATATTTTGTATGTAGTCCTCAACTGAGAAAAGGCGAGAATATTTTACTGGATAGAATTGCCGGGAGATGTGGGGGACGGCCAGGGCAATTGTCTCATCAGAGAGAATGATACGAGGGTAATATATCTTCGTAATGAAATTTTGAGGTCCATGGAATTGTTGATCTGTGCACAATGATAATCCAATGGACGACAGGCCAAGACCGGTAAGCGAGTAAATGCTTGCTCATTTACCACTAGACATTGACGGAAGCTTTTATTGGTTCCAAAGGCGTCATTAGAAATGTCGCCAGTAGCCGGAATTACGGACAAACCTCTATTCGTCGACTGACCTGTCTGTTCTTCCTACTCCTCCTGACAGCTTTGGATACGTTGTAGCAGTTACCTTTGGGAAAGTTCTCCGAGCAGGTAGTGTACCTCGTAAGGGCCGGATTGCTTGCTACTTGCATATTACCTGGGTCCGTTAGTTCCAGTCATAGTCGATACAAGTCTGAGAGATGCTTGTGTGTAAAATTTTCGTTTATAGGGAAGCGAACAGGGTACAGTTTCTTGTGGACGAGTTCAACCGAGATGACGGTCAAACATCACCAGTTCTCCTAACATGGCTTCATATCCCAATATCTGAATGCTGTGTAATCCACCCTTGTTAGAAAGAGAGGATCTGGTTGATGAGAGTTTGATTGCGTGCGCTGAAGTAAGTATAGCCCTCCCAAGCCTCACGGGCCAGACCAATCAAGCTCTGCAGTGATGGCGGAAGCTTTGTGTAGCCTGCAGTTGGCCCAGTGAGCACGTCTGTTGCGCTATCCCATCCATAGACCGACGCATACAATCCAGCGGGTGTCTTCAAGATATCGACGGGATAGTCGGTTCGATTATGGGCGACGGACCAGCCTACTTTGGGAAGGGTCCCGACTTGCTGAATCAAGGTTTGGAAAGCCACGAAATCTGATGCCGTTATCCGAAGAATCTTTCCACCAGCGTCGACTGCGTAATTCGGCTTGAACAGTGCCATGGTGAACTGGCTACCAATCAAGGTATTCTGTGTCGCGGTAAAGGCAAGGTCGGCCTTCTTAGGTGCGTAGTTTGGGGCAGGCCTCGCCAGGGCACGAGAGTGCCACCCAACAGCCGAGCCGGACAGAGGAACCGCTCGTTTTAAGTGATCCAGGTGAATATCCCCCGTGCCAGAGTTGCTGGGGAGGCTCGAGAACGACGTCGTGCCCACGAAGAGCAAGGCGGCAAAAACGAGCGTGACGGTAAAGAGCGAGAATCGCCGCAGAGATCTGCGTCGGTGAACATTGATGTTTGGCTGCTCCATGGTGGAAGTGGTTCGAAATGAGCGAGGGTTGAACGATTGTAATGCCTAGAACATTACAATCAGTGCAATTCACTCTGTATGATATCAAATACCAATGCGTTATGAATAGGCTGCAAAGAACCGACGGCTGCAGAGTGCTCCACAGGCCTCTTCTCTTATATACCTTCTCGGCGTCTCATGGTTTACGAGGTTATATATACGCAATATTGTCTTAAATCCGCCCTTCGCGACTTTACTCCATACGAGCTTCAGATTCGTCACCGGAGGTCGTGGGCACGAAGGCCAGAAGGGGTGCTTTTTACAGTCCCTCCCCGGTCTCAGTGTAGAGTCGGGCCGTTGTGTTGACCCGTTATGATCGTTTGTCCCGAGAAGTTGATGGGCGAGACTATGCTTAAAAACCCAGCCGAGGCTGTTCCAGAGTACCGGCGGTCAAATCTACGAGGCACGAGAAAGTTGCTTCAAGTATTGGACCCGGTGAATTTATGTTTTTATCTGTTCCTGCGACTCAGGGGAGTTGATTCACAAGGCAATAGTATCTCTTCAATACCAATCACCAGCGCAATCACAGGACATATTTGCGTACCCATAATCCGAGCTGGCGCAGCTGAAACCGCCGGTCGAATGACATTACAGTCTGGTCACTTCCTTCGCTAGATGCGACGTGACCAACACTTCCTGCTCCACCTCATGAGGATCGAGAGCAAAACACAGTTTGATTGAGCAGAAGTGGTGAGATATCAATACGTGAAGGAGAGAACTTTCTTAATGTTCTCATCCATGCGCAAGTCAGGCGAGTAGTCTTCTCTGCCCTCCCTTGCCAAGCCAATGAGGGTGTTCAGCGATGGGGGGAGTCTCTTATATCCCTTTGTCGGCTTCACGAGGACGTCCGTTTCCGTGCTCCAGCCATACACTGAAACCTCGTCGTCTCCCGGTATGATCAACTTGTCGATGGGCCAGCTGGTTGTGTTGTGCTTGACGCGCCATTGGTCGACTGTCGGCAGAGCGCCGACCTTTTTGATCAAATCAGCGAAGACATCGTACTCAGTTGTCGTCATCGTTAGGATCCGTCCGTTCGCATCGACCGCGTAGGAGGGCTTGAAGAGTGCGACCGTGAAGCCATTTGGCTCGGCAGGCGTGCTGAAGAGAACCGTGAGAGTGAGGTCTTCCTTCTTGGGCTCGTATAGTGGGCCCTTGTAGACCAGAGCACGCTGAACGGCGCGCGCGTGCCAGCCGACAGCAGGGTTCGAAGGCCCAATTGCCGACACGTCTGCTCGTCGGTTGAGACCGAATGCATTGAGAAGTCGATGCTCGGCGGTGATGGGATTGTTCTGGGTGTTGTGGCTTTGTGTGAATCCGTGGAGCATCGCTGAAAGGCACGCTGCGGATACACAGAGGAGTGTTCCCGTCACGAGTGCTGCAAGGAAAAGCACGGAAGAGAGGATGATCCTTCGATGTTTGCGTGCATCAACTGGGGTGTAGGCTTTCTCCATGGTTATCGAAGTAGTTTGTGTAGCAAAAAGAGAGAACGCCGTGATGCTTCACACGAACGAGTTTAATAGAGCTGAGAGTTCAGGTGTCAGTTTAGGTAGACCTGACAGTCGAACACTAACCAAGGAGCGAAAAGTAGACCGCTGTGAGCCAAGCCTGAGGATACGTTGTGCCATCAACGGGACCTTTATATGCACGAGCATGTTTTCTACAGTCAGGGCGAATGGCGATATAGTCGTGCCACCCTTACAGTCGTCGATGCGACGTTCTTCCATGACAGGGAAGAGTACAGCCGAAGGGGTCGTCGTAGGGCTGATTTTCTCCATCGGGTAGATTTCTGTTCCAGGGATCCCATGATCATCATTGGCGAGGCTGGCCTGGATAGACCAAAGGTCCGGATCAATAAAGTGACCGCCTTTCCTAGTGGAAGACGGTGGGTGAATGGTGCCAGTACCAAGATTGCGCAGTTGACTGTTTTCAATTTCTACGGATCATTGGGAAAGGCCGGAGCTGGGTTGGCCTCGGCGGAGAGAGATTTGTCGAGGACTGCGAGATACCCGAGTATCTGGGATCATAAAAGGAACCAACCACAAGAATTGGATCTTGAGATATCGCCACCGAGGTCTTGGACTGGTGTCTGCTGCATCGTTGCAACTAGCAGAATTGGCGCCAAGTATCCACCCAAGGATGGTAAGGAGAGACTAGACCATTATATTGACTATACTCTCATGCTGGATGGGCAATGAGACCGAGTATCAAAGTGAAAACACCACGCGGAAAACTCACCAGATTTGATTCGACTACCGTGAGGATTGTATCCCACTTGAATATGGCACCAGATGCCGGATTTGAGTGCGAAAGGAACGATGCGGACCCCCACTACGATTTCGAGAGGAGACTGCTCCTTGCCAAGATTTTGGCTGGGTTTGTGATCGTGTATTATGGAATTTCGATCAATTCGCCTTGAATGAGAGCAAAGACAATCTTGGCATTCAACGGATATCAGACGGGACAGTCGAAAGCAAAGTGCGGTCATCGGGACCATTGCAGCTTGACCACCCCCAAGTCCAGGCTTTCAGAGACTCTGATGTCTGGTAAGCCCAGATAGATTATTTATGGCTTTATTTCGCTACTTAACATCCAGCTTGCCCTTCTAGAACGTCAACCCCTTATCGCTGGCAGAGCCAACGGCAACGGCCACCACCGTGGTGGTTCATTCGCAAAACTTCGTGCGGTCCTTACAGCAGAAGGACAACCGTCCTACTTTTCTTCTTTTAAATGGATCCTCTTTGGCTCCTGGTGGAACGTCCTTCTCGTATTCATCCCCCTCTCCTTTATTGCCCATAATCTCAACTGGGATGCTGCCTACCGATTTTCTTTCAGTTTCTTCGCTATAATGCCCCTCGCAAAGGTCCGTTATTTTCCATCTTGCGCCGTGGAAAGTCGTGTTGACTCTTGCTGTGCTTTCGGTGGTATCGCGCGTACCGCGCGCATAGTTGCTCGGAGAAGCCACAGACCAACTTGCAATCGAACTCGGAGAGACATTGGGTGCTCTTCTCAACGCGTCGTTTGGTAATGCCGTCGAAATCATCGTCGGAATCGCTGCCCTTTTGCAAGGTGATTGCCTCATTGAGTTGGTCTGGACGTCACGCTCATCGATTACCTTTTACAGGTGAACTCCGGATCGTCCAAGTATGTGGCATGTACCACGTTCCCGTCGGAGCCGAGCCTGATCATTGCCGCAAACCTATAGACGTCCATGTTGGGCAGTATCCTCAGCAACATCTTGCTCGTCCTCGGATGTGCCTTCTTTGCTGGAGGCGTGAAGAGACACGAGGGAAAGTTTGACGCTACTGGTGCACAAGCGTGAGTTCACCTTATTATTTCTCTCCTTGCTTCATCTCTGACAATGGAACAGTGCAAGCTCCGTAAGCTTACAACAAAAATGAAATGACACGCTGTCTGACGATCCAATCCCTATCAGCTCATGACCCTCTCTTGCATCAGTGAGTGAACGGGTTTGTGAGCGCTGCAACGAGCTTACCTCGTTTTAGCTCTCATCATTCCCGCCGCGTATCATGCGTCCTTTGTAAAACCCCCAAAGGGAGGTGACGACCCGTCGCCTGATGATGCCACAAAGCCAGGATTGCTTTTGATCTCACGCGGCACCTCTATCATTCTCCTCGTACTCTATCTGGCATATCTCTGGTTCCAACTTCGCACACACCCAGATCTCTTCAAAGATGAGAACGAGGAGGAGCAAGAAGAGGAAGAACGCGAAGAAGTCAAGATGAATTTGCCCGCTGCTGCCCTCTCGTGAGTTCTCAGAATACTGATACCTGAATCTCATGCTCATGCATTACTAGATTGCTAGCTGTCACGCTAGTCACCTCCTTCTGTGCTGACTATCGTGAGTTTCGTTCTGTATTCTGCAAATTACTCATCCCCGTGTAGTCGTTGCATCTATTGAGGAGACGGCAGAACGTTATAACATTCCTGAGGCGTTCATTGGTTTGATTTTGCTCCCCATTGTTGTACGTCTATCCTATTCCGATGACGTGACCTCATCTCACATTCTGTAGGCCAACGCGGTGTGTATTAATATCGGACACACTTCGTGATACTGACTTCAGATCAGGCTGAGCACTTTACGGCTGTCTTGATGGCTATGAAGGTGCGCTCTCAGGTGTAGTCGTCATTCCTGAGCTGACACTTTGCAGAATAAGATGGAAGTGACCATTGGTATCGCTGTTGGCAGCTCCATCGTATGTACACTGTGCCTACTCACTTCCCTTGCTCAAGCCATGTACAGCAAATTAGTACCTTCGTCATTCCTCTTCTTGTCATAGTTGGCTGGATTACCCATAAGGATTTGACACTCTTCTTTGCCAACTTTGAGGTGAGTGACACTATCCTGTCTTCATAGTAAATTCATCTCAGCTCCAGACCGTCGCGCTGTTTGTTTCGGTTCTGCTTGTCAACATGCTCATCCAGTGCGTTCATTTCTACATCTAAGCTGTTGTTCATACTTGTCATAGGGATGGCAAATCCAATTATATGGAGGGACTGATGCTTGTTGGCTTGTACCTTGTCATTGCCCTTGCATGTGAGTAAACTTCCCCAGGACCAGAGCTGATGCTGACCGATACTAGTCTGGGCCTCCTAATTCTTCATGCTGTACCGTCGGTCCCAGATACCTGCTATGCTACTGTGTTTATTGCTATACACACGTATTGCATCTGTATATGTTGTCCACGACGATGAGGGCGAAGCTCCTTTCCCAACTGATGGTATATTATCGACAAAAAGTTGAATTTTAAGTGCTTGAGATCCCAGTTCCTTCAGGTGGAGGCTAGTGAACGGCTTGTACTTCGACCACATCTGCGAATATGCCCGGGGTCTTGATCATCACGTCGCTGCCCCGTTTCGTATCCCAAGAGGAGCATCGGGAGCTAACTTCCTCGACGCCCGCTTCCTTCTCCGAGATACCTGCAGTGCTGTATTATCAGGAGCAAAATGCATCGATCACTTTGGATCCTCCATTGGACGGCATGACCGAACAAGACTGTGCCAATGGCATTGTTTACGTTCTCTCCAGGTCAGTCAAGAGCTCAAAGGACTCGCCAGGGCGTTGACGCCTTGTAGCCACTTGATTTTCTGGTCTGCCACTGGAAAGGGTTTGCAAGTCACCTATCCAACGATATCGCTACATGCTATCTCAAGAGCAGAGCTTGGACCTTCAATCTACTGCCAGCTAGATGAAACATTGGATGGAGAAGACGAACCGACACCTGATGAAGAGGACGCGATGGAGATGAGAGAGCTACGACTAAATGTACAGTCAGAAGCCTCATGTAAGTTCCTTCCATCCCATCTTCTTTCTTCTAACGTGACCAATAGTGGAGCCACTGTTTGAGGCACTCTCCCAGTGCGCGGCGCTGCATCCCGACGAGGATAACGGTGAAGAAGACGAATTCGACGATGCATTCCTTGATGCAGACGAGATGGGCGATGGAGATTTTGTGACAGAAGAGCAAGGCGAGCTCAGTGAAGCAGGGAGGGTGCGCACCAATTTGCCCAACGCGCGCTATAACCCGTACTAGACGCGCCGCAACGCTGCGGTTATTTGATCTAGGCTACGCTTGCGCATCTCGAATCAATCCTTGCGGATCCTCATCGCCATTTGCCAGCAGACTCTGATGAAGAAGCGGATGAGAGAGACAGTAATCAAAATGCTCGAATAGCCAATGGAGCTTAATACTTGAAAAGAAGAAACAGTTCATCCACCGTGAACCGCGAGTTGTGAGTTCGACCCACTTGGTAGCGTAAACCAGAGGGTAGACCCATTGGGCCGTTTGGGCACGGTTTATTCACTGATAATGCGCCATTCTTCGTCGCCAACAGGTGCGACGTAAACGTTGACCGTTATCATGTAAGAAGCGGCATACATGCATAACGTGTGCTAGGTATTGTGGCCTAATATGTACAACTGAGTCCTGGTGCATTAGGTGATGGGTGAGGGCGTGTCTATGAAATAGACGAGTGAATATGCGAGATGCCAACATACATAATGGAACAGGGAGTGTGTACGGTGACTATAGTACAGTCATGTCGTTGTTGCAGGATATAAGTGGAGGTGAATGAGAGTTGAGAATTTGACGATGCAGGAAAATGAGATGGCCAAGTTGCGATGCGAGAGAATATGCGTTAAGTGGGGTCAGAATGCTCGTTTCCATGTAAAGTTTGCTGCATCCGTAGGTAGGCCTCGCTCGTGCGACGTACCATGGCCGACAGGGGTTCTACTTTCCAGCGGCGACATTGGCGGCTCTGTGGCTTGCGAGTCTGGAACCATGACGTCAAGGGAATTCTTGCGTGCACGCTTGACGGTGAATGTAGGGCCTTCGTCTGCATCGAGCTCGTCTTCTTCTTCTTGCGCCTTGCGCTTCTTGCCGCTACCAGATGTCTGAACAGGAATCGGTTGAGATTTGGCTGACCCGCCCAAAGAGGGGATGATGGCGGAATGCTGTCCTTCGACTTCGACCATCTCCCTGTGAGGCTCCCCTGGGAGCTTGGAGGTCGACGCTGCCGGTTGATCATCTTCGCCCTCTTCCTCTTCATCATCTGAGTCTCTGCGTTTCTGCTGACGATCTACAACTTCGAGGGCGGCGCTTGAACTGGCTGTCTGGATTGGTGGGCTTGTCCCCCAAGGATTACGAGGAATATACTGACCGCTAAGCAAGCGATCTGCAGGGATATTGGTGTAGATTCCTGGGATTTCAAATTCACCGGATGCTGCATTGACCTGGGGTTGTGGCTGAACGCCTACACCAGTCACTTGCCGGAGCGTGACAATGTCGATAGGAGGGGCACTGCCAGGGCCAACCCATTTACCCTCGTTACCCGATGCGCGGTTCCGCATTAGCTTGGCATAGTCTATAGCACGATGTCAATATCCAGATCGGGTATGAAGACCAAAGGGGACGTACGAAGGCCACACGCGTTGCACAAGGTTCGTGGGCCGTCGGGACCTTTTCTCCATTCTGGAGTTTCTTTGATCCCACACGAGGAGCACTTCTTTGGAGGCTGCGTCTTCTTCTGCGGAGGCCATCAGGCTTGTCGATTGACGCTCTGGATTACTCACATTGCGCTTCATATATTTGCTCTTGATTCCTTTCTGTGCAGAAGAACGCTTCTGGCGAATGCGCTCCATGTCCTCGAGAGCCCGCCTCTGCTCCTTTGTCAAGGGTTTCTAATCGGATCTTTCAGCCGGGGGCGTATATGAAACGGGAACAAGGTCCGTACCCTATCGACGGGTGCCTGTATTGGCAGCTGCGTTCCGAGTGACGGACGTAGTGCTGCACTTTCTTCCTTCAGCCTCTTCTTTGCCTTTGCGCGCATGGATATATCGGTCGCCATTTGGTAAATGAGTGCCGTCCTGTGAGATATCTCTTCCATTTCTTCCGCGGTTGGAGTAAGGACACCTTTATTGCGTGCTTTGAGGTTGCGTCAGGGGAGAAGAACAAGACCCAAAAGCGCGACCAGAGCTCACCACAAATCGCAGCAAATTCAGTGACGACGAGCGAAAATTCCTGTATTTTCTGGATCCCTCTGCCTTCCTGAATCGCGCGTTGCGCCTCGTTGGTCAATTCGTGAAGTGCTTGAGGTAACTGGTCTTTTGACCGGTGACGGACGAGCCTTCTGAGGGCCGCAACGGCCTGTATAGGCGACGAATGCGACGATCCTGCCTCTGCATGCGAAATTTCCATGGATTCTGACGGTCGAGGGACAGAAAGAGGTGCCGGTCCCGCGGGTGGCGCTGGTGCGTGATCCATGGCCGAGGAGCCGGCAAGCAAAAGACGAGATCCAATCTCTCTCGATGAGTCTGTCCGCCGTCGCTTGGACGCGGGATATTCCTCTCCAGGCGCCTGCGGAAGTGGCTGTCGATAACCTCCAGTGGCCGTATAACCTCCTGCGCGATCACCGGCACCCACACGGTTTGTTGCATCGGTGGAGGGTGTAGACGAGGAAACCGGTGTTCCCCAACCATGCGTGGCGGTACTTGCCGTGGGCACAAAATTGTATGCGTCTTCATACGTAAATGTCCTCTCGGGGACCGGCTCTCTTGCTGCTGGTGGAGGTGGTGGCTGCTGTTGCTGTTGCTGTTGCTGTTGCTGTTGCTGTTGCTGTTGCTGCTGTGGCTGCTGGAATGGAGGGAACGCACTGGCAGTGGATGTCTGACGAGATCGAGCACCTCCGGCATCAAAAGAGGATGAGCTCTCGCCGCGTGTCTGAAAATCTTGCCGCGTCCACGGTGGCGTTGGCGCTTGATAAGGCCCGTGCTCCTGGCGTTGAGCATGTCGATGTGTGTCTGGATAAGCTTGATGAGAAGCACCGGTCTGCTGCTGTTGGTCGAGCGCATGGGCACCCGTTCCACGCGCGGGCAACACGCGTTCAGTGGTTGGGTGTAGATAGAATGGCTGTTGAGAGCTGGGACCGGCTCGGCCGAGATCCAAATTTCTCGATTGAATGATTGAAGAGGAGGGCGCCAGGTGAGGATGTGGATCGTCGTTGATAGGCTGATGACCTCCACCTGGTGTGAGATGGTCGGCGTTGTGCTGGTGGTACCCTCTGTTCGAAGACGGACCCTCACCGCGGGACGCAGACGTGGATGGATATCTTTCATAGGGATGAAGACCAGCTCCGACGCTGCTTGGGTGAGAGTAACGCGTTGTGTGGTGATTTTCGGGAGATTGCGAACGGCGGAATTCAGTACTCGGAGATCTCCCATGGGACATTGCCATTTGAGTCTGCATCTGGACAGCTGATGGCGATGAGCGGGGAAGGATTTGTTGCTGCGATTGAGATTGGCGTCCGTGATGGTGGCGTCGATTCTGGTGCTGGTGCTGAAGCTGATGGTCCAGTCTGGAATCGACGGCCGTCTGCTGTCCGCCTCGTCCAGAGTAAGCTTGTCCGGGCGCTGAGCCATAATGCGGTCGTGGTGGCGAGGCCCCTCGCGGGCGTGACGCTGAGACAAACGCCTGAGACGGCGGGGGCGCGAAAAGCCTATTGAGCGAGCCGCCCCCCGTAGAATTGCTAGACTCGTCGGAACCTAACGGCGGCGGCGGCGGGCGTCCAGGTCGCTGATAGACATGATGCTGCTGATTGCCAGACACAAACTCGAGAGTGGCGCTCTTGACGTGTCGAGTGCCACTGGAACTGGGTGTTGGCTGGGGTCGGAAAGACGGGATCGTGTCGACAATGTTCTTGAGCGGAGGGAGATTGACACGACCAGAAGAGCTTGATGGTCCAGCTGGTGGGGGAGTGGGTTCTCTTCGGTCCTCCATTCCGTGTGATTAAGAGTGAAACGTAGTGACGGAGGTGAATTTTAATGCGCACTGGAGCTGCAGTCAAAGTAGAGGCATAAGAATGACAATTTTTTCCGATAATGGGCATCTCTGCTTACCGCTCGCGGGGTTGGCTGACCTAACGTTCCACAGAGGCGGGAGGAACCAAGGTTGGAGAGGGGGGTGGCGGATAGCAAACCTTTGCACCAGAGGGAACCCCAAATACTCCTGACACAGTGATATTACGTCGGTGACGACGTTTGGCGGATACAAGAGAACCAGGACAAGCTCCGTTTCCAAACAAGTGAGGCAAATACGCGTCCGGGAAAAAGGGGTGAGGAGCACTCGGGTCGTCGCGAGTTTAGTTTGAGCGTGAAACCAGCCTGTGGTGGTGGTCGAATAGCGACTAGAACCCGTTGACACAAGGGGCGGACTGTCCAAAAATGGTTGAGTGATTGACCGCAGCGCGCTGACGGGAGGACAAACGCGTGAAGAATGTTGCTAGACAAGTCTCAAAGTGTCCAGAGACGCGCGTATCAGGCCCTTTGGACTAGATGGAGCGCGCAACGGGCGAGTCCCGATGGGGGAAACGCGAGTTTGGACCGGCGATAGGGGCTTGGAGGAAGAGTAAGAGTAAAAAAGTAAGAAACAAACAAGTAATATGCGCCCGAGCCAGAGGGACGGCCCAGTCGAGCTCGATGGGCGGCTGCAAGATGAAAGATGGGCAACGTTCAAACGTATCACGTCCTCAGCCGCCAGCCGTCGCTTTTTAAATATTATCCCAAAGTCTCAAAATCCATTCATTCATCTCGACCCGCCCTGGTGTATCCATTCATTTCCCGTCGGCGCGTGCGAGACGCCTAAAAAAATTAGGATTTTCCAACCAATTTGTTTTACACTACTCGGTCAATATCCGCCGAAGGTGTACGAAAACCAGTTGAGAAATAGTGAACAAAAAACTCTAACGCCGCGGGAAGGGCGGATCCCAATCCACACACTAGGGCTCAGACTCGGCGCCCACGGGGGACCCCCTAAAGCCCACGAGGAAGAGAGGGGCCTGGAGATATATTCACAAAGGCAGTCGATAAGAACCTCAGGAGGATGCCTGTAAGCTCCGTCCGGCCGGTTTCATACCGCTCATAGGGTTATTCACCCCCCCTGGTACTCTATCCTCTTGGATGGCGCTTAGGCTTTAGAGTACAGTGTCAGCATCACGAATGACCTGTGAAAATCTAGACATGCCCTGCAGGTCTGACTTTGCCCCGATGCAATCGATCGACAAACTGTCCAACGCCTGCTAAACCATAGACGGCTAACCCCGCTCACCTGGCCAGATCCGCATAAAGATCCCAATCAGATGCCTGTGCATGTCCACCTTTTTCATCTTGTGACACACTTGTTATCTCGGAACTCACCGAGACGACGGGAACCTCCTAACATCTTTCCTCACTTCTCGTCAAAATTCAGTCATGCTCTATCAGAACGGGACAATTGCTGGAATACAACTGCTGCTTCATAAGACCACACCACAAGAGCAATCAAACTCCACGCCTTCTTCGCTGGCTGGCATGCAATCGAGGCCAATAGGTTCTTCGCCTCCTATTCGCATCACCCTGCACTCGTCTTTGGTCAATCAGCCGCCCATCCGAGCCATCAGAGCACGAGGACAAAGTTTTTGATCAAAGTGCGAGACACCACCACCACACCACGTTGCGAAGAACGGCGGAGTACGAGCCGATTACTATAGAGCCACATAGGAATCACAAGGGCATCATCAGTCACTCACTCAATTACACCACCAGGTTCACGCACCAAAAAGTAGTCAGGAACGCGACGAGAGACCATGGGCTCTCCGGCGCGTGGAGCAGGGTCGAATTGTAGGCTGTATGGATGCGATATTACAGTGGCAGAAACGTGATGTTGTTTTTGATCAGCCCGACATTACCGGACGGTGTGGCCAATGTTCAAGTGTGTCATTGATGGCGCGGAGGAGCGGCGACACCAGTGTTGTCCCAGATCCGTATGGGGAACAAGGCGCAATCAACATCAGAACCGCGAAATGGAGATTGAGCGTTGTGAGAGGGCGTTGAAGCAGACGTCCCGATCCGTCAGGTGTTGTTTTTGGCAACAGCACGATCATTTGCACCCGCATCGAGAACGAAAAGTTCGGACGAGCGGAATTTGCAATGAATAGTCATCGGATATCGCGATGCCATCATGACGCGGTTTCGGGATTAGGGTTTGAAGCCACAGGGTCCGGTGTTCGATGTGTGCGAAGCCATGAGTCGAAGAAAACGTAAGTTCCGAAAGACAAGTGTGTCAGTAAACGTGTTTGCGAACAGGGTAAGCGCAAAAAGGACGAAAGGGCTAGCCCGGAACTGTACCGGGCTCTTTGCAGGGCCGGTCAGTCCGCCCAGAACCAGTCAGCGCACTGTACGCAGGGCGGGGGCGTATGGCGCACGCCACGGAGGCGGGGTTACTGATCGACACCCCGACCAAGCTGCCCACCCGACAAGGCACTGCAAACAGACATGCAGTGCATATGCACGCTCAACAATGTAGGCGCGAGAGAGCTTCCGGTCGTCGGGGTTGGTGTCGACTCGTTCGATGCCGGGTCGGAGGACAACGCACACCGAGAAGAAGCGACGCGAAACGTCAACGGTACTCGGAGGCAGCGAGGATGGTAGATATAAGATAAGTGGGATAAAGTGACACGTACAAACTATAAGATAACTTCTCGTCGATTTCCATGATAGCCGCTTGGTTACCGCAGCGATAGCAGTAGTTGGGCGCGCTGAATATGGTGACAACGTTGCGGTCTTGACTCCAATTGTATCCTGTCCAATGCGATCAGTCTCTCCGATTTCCATTTCTGGATCTGGCTACTCACCTTCCATGACCAACTGATGCGCCCGCGCTACAAGCGTGAGGCCGTTATTGTGATTGAATGCCTCAGAGATATCTTGCCCAAAGGTGTATCCTGCGCCACGAGGAGAGATACCCCAGCCACTGGAGGGTATGAGCACCCTACCAACCTGGATGTAGAGAATCCGCGTACCATCGGTCATCAGGGTCTGACCATAGGAGGTCACACATTGGACCCTCGTGAGGCACTTCTTGGACACGGTCGATGGATCGAACGTGGTCAAGAGTGTCGATTGATGGCGATAGACCGCCGTGAAGGCAGAAGATCTATGGAGCGTCAGACGAGGGACTAACGGTATGAAATAACAGATTTGGTACATACTTGGTTGTCAATAAGGGCGGTCAATGGCAGAAAGTCGAAAAGATCGGTAAAGAACCTCCAGACGTTGGCGTTGCCGTATTTTCGAAGACACTCGTCGTAGAAGCCGTATACCTGACAATCAAAGCATGTAAACCACATGTCACTACTGAAGTAACCGCGATAGCGCCGAGGAGGTACATCGCCCTCTAGAGACATTGTATGCCCTGGATACAGAACGAATGCGTCTGAGAATGAAAATGAAGGCTTACTTGTGTGATTTGACGGCTCTCGTGATTGCCTCGGAGGATAGTAACTCGCTCGCGATACCTCAGCTTGAGCGCGACGAGGAGTGTGACAGTCTCGACGGAATAGTACCCTCTGTCAACGTAATCGCCCATGAAGAGGTAGTTTGTGTCGGGAGAATTGCCACCGATGCGGAATAGCTCGCTCAGATCGTGCTGTTGTGCCATCGCGCGTCCAACGATTAGCCCATCGCCGACTGGAGAATGAAGAGAGAAAGATACACATACAAATTGACCGTGTATATCACCGCACACGGTTACTGGGCACCGTACGGGCTGTACGTTGTTCTCCTCCATGAGGATCTCTCGCGTCTATGTCCGCGTCGCATCCACGGCCGATCAGGAAACGCATGGGTGTGTATAGGAAGTTATGGTCATTAGCACACGTCGTACAATATGTTCTAGACGGAGAACGGACCTTGTCGCAGAGCTTCTTGACGTCCGACTCTGTCAGTTGCTTGCATTGGGATAGCTGGCTGATCCATCCATCGACTTCGTTGTAGTCTGTCATTTGGGAATTAGTCTAGATTTTTGGTGCCGCAGAGATTTGTTTCGTGCGAGTCGTGGAAGAGTCTGAGTGGCGGCAGCGTTACTCATGCGAGCTGCAGGCGTGCTTCAGGACCCGGGCTCGCGAGCAGCTCGTGCGAGTAATTAAAAGATAGCTTGGAATATTGCCAAGTATATGTATTTATATATAGCTTTAGTCTCTTTCAATTCCCTTTCCAAATTGGCTTGCCCCTATTCTTTGTCGGGCTTTGGGGCTATTCTGAGAGTGAATTCTCCGATGATATACGCAATGCGTGATTTTCTCCTCTTGAATCGGGTTGGTTTCATCGCGGCTCTCCGAAAAGTCGACGTCATTGGATCCTCAACGAATCGTCTTTGGTCGAAAGCAAACTTGAACTCTACCACGACCATCCGTTTCTTGAAATACCTCTAAATATTCTCTCAGCGACACATCATGAGCATGCTTAGGACCACCGTCGTCGCCACTGTGCGTCGTTCAGTCGCAGCTCCAGCTTGTAGGACGCGTAGCGTGTCCCAGTCCGCCAATGTACTTGCTCCCAGGTTCTATTCTAGGTGAGTAACTTGGAAAGCCGTCCAATATGCTCCATAGGCCGAGTCTGACATTCTGTTAGTGGGTCGAGCATACACGACAATGACCCAGAGCTACTAGAAGCTGAGAAGCAAAAGAACCTCAAGGGTCTTCAAAACGACACGTCTGCTCCGCATAAACACGCACCAGGCTGGAATGAATATCTCGCCACTACGTCCGAGGCGTACACAAAGGCGGACAAGTCGGATGCACCCATCAACGAGATTCAATCTACCACGGTTGAGTGGGTCAAAAAACGCCACCCTCCAGCCGGCGGAGACGCCACGGAGACGGTGGTAGAGAAAGTCAGCGACATGGCCGAGGGAATGAAAGAGGCCGCGCTGCAAGCAAAAGACACTATCCTGGGTCCACTAGCATCTGCAGGAAAGGGGGCAGTATCTTCCTCGGAGGACCATTCACACCGTGGAGAGCGAGCAGCCAAGGCAAAACGTGAAGGAAATGACCATACAGGGAGCGAAGCAGCAGTAAGTATCACTCGAGTCGTTTCAGGAATAATCTAACTTCAAACAGGTAAAAGCGGACCGGGGTGATCTCTAAGGGGCCAATACCCCCACGTTAGAGAGAAGTCTCGGTAAAGCTATCCAGAGTTTTGACATATTGCCCAAAACATTGTATCGTAGAATGAACGCATCAGATCCGCATTTCTCTGTTTCGAATCGATCACCCCAGAATGGGCAATCGCCGGTGGACCAAGCCCTGTTTCGCATCTTGGTCATCTCCATCACCCAATTTTGAACCGCACATCCCGCAACACTATCACGGGTCCAAAGATTCTATACACAATAATACAGTAGATATGCAACGCGTCAGACAATACGAACGACCGACGGGCGATGGGTCCAGAACACTCATCATCCATGACGCCGCACCGCGCGAGGGACACCCAGCGGATCCAAACGCCATCAGCGATCCAGAAGATCGACAAGGTGAACCGGACGAACGCGAAAATGGTCCCAATGGACCAACCCACGCCTAACGCTAAACTTGCAAGGCGGCGGCGGAGTCAAGAGGACGAGAAAGAGCGGTCAACGGGTCGTGTGGAAAGAAGACGTAGTTGACAATGAGGGATGCGGGAAGAAAAAGACAAAGAGTGCGTTTTGTCCCAAGTTTCTGGATTGTAGCTTGCCAGGCTCGGAGGAAGAAATGATATTGACAATATTCGAAACAGTTTGTTGCATCTATCATCGACCTAAACGATTCGACGAATCCTCTGACGAGTCGTCTGACGGTTCAGACTGCGAAGGCCATGATCACGACCATTCGCATGGATCAAGTCAGCAGGCAGGATCCTCGTCCAACGCGACTGTCTCGACAAGTGGCACAGTCACGTCTCTACAACGACCCGAGCCCAATGCATACGAAGTCCAGCATCGTCACCACCCACGACCGAATCCACAATCATGATCACATCAGATGTTTCCAATTCCTGTAGACCTTTACGTTCACCTAATTAGACAACATGACATGAAATTTGAACCACGCCATTTATTAGAAGGAGCTTCCGTGTACAGGGGGGAGGGACTGCCACAGGTGCGCAAGAGACACGACGACGCACGCAGGGGACATAGACAGGATTAGATAAGTGGAGGGGAAAAAGCGAGTGCCAAGCGAGAGTAGGGCCAGCGCATTCAGCGGCTGTTTGGCTACTGGAGGCAGAACGAGGGTAGTAGGAGAGCGTCGATGTCGACACCGACGCACAAGTGTTAGACAGTTTGGACTAGACGCACAGTAAAAGGAAGAGAGAGGCGCTGGTAGAGCCAAGAGAGATGTAGCAAGTAAGGCTATAACGGACCGAGGGGAGCGAGCGAGGTAAGAGACGGAGAGCGCGGGGGATAAAGGATGATTTCAAGGAAAGGCGTTAAAGGCGTTAGAGTCATTTGGTGAAGACGGCTTGCGCCGAGTCGAAGTGGTTCTGTTCATCATGGTCAATCACAGCAAGACGACGAGTAGATGTCCTCGACTCACCTTATTGGTAGCCGGGACTGACTCCACCGACTCTGCCCAGCGGTACAGCCTGCATAGGCGAAAAGTCGTCCGTCTTACGACCGCCATTGACACTGACTCCATCCGCAGGCGTTTCTGGGCGAGAGGGAGTGAGGCCCATTGAACTTGTGGCAGTCATGGTCGTCATTATTTGCTGGTTTTGAGGATAGTAGGATCGCCGCTGCATCTTCTTAAAGTCGTAGGGCGTAAACTGCTCCTCCATTTGTCGCATCTCCGCGCTCAGAGTATTGATGTCTTGTTCCTTTCTCTTTCGCGCCTTGAGCGGGTTCTCCTCCAACAAAAGTTCTTCAAGCTCGTGTGTCGCATCGAAGTTTGCCTTCTTTTGCTAAACATAGATTTCAATTCCAGCACCCAAATGAAGAAGAGATAACTCACGTCTGGTTGGAAAATGGGGGTCAATTCCTTGTTCTCCAAACGGTCCCAGTCGATGCTCTTAAACCACGGATGATTCTTCACATCGTTCAAGCCCTCTCCATGCGGCTTGCAGCCCAGACGCCGATTAGTATCGCGATCTAGGAACTGGACGGACACCACTCAGCGATCAATATCACGCGGGTTCATCGCACGCTACTCACCATCTTCAGGGCCGTGAGCCCCTCGCGAGAACACCTGCCGTCTGCATCTTCAGGGAAGCGCAGGTGGTCTCGAGCAATAGCGTGCGTTAGATCCGAATTGGTCTTGCCCCGGAACGGTCTGCGTCCGAAAATCAACTCGTAGGCGCAAACTCCCAGTGACCACCAGTCGATAGTGTACGTATAGCCCTTCTTTGCGAGAACCTCCGGAGCTGGACGGAACAGTGTGAGTATTCGCTACGGAAGGTATCAGGTTCATCACGCACCCATGTACGCCATACTCCCGGCAACGCCTGTCAGCAATCTTCTCTCCGAATAATGCACTGCAATGTTGAAATCTGTCAAGTGCGCATGGCCTTTTTCGTCGAGGAGAATGTTATCCGGCTTGAGATCGCTGTCATCGAGGGAGAATGGTCAACAAACGGACAAATAGCCAGGAAAACGAGGCAGCGATGACGGCTGAGGAGAGTAGAGCGTATACTTACCGATGGATGATCCTCTTGTCGTGCAAAAAGGCGAGGGCGGTCGACAGCTCGGCAACGTAGAATCGAACGGCATCTTCAGAGAGAGAGCCGAGACGCTCCAAGTGGACTAATTGGGGAGAAGCATCCGTTAGCCGTTGTCGTTAATGAAGAGGTGCGTGATTGGAGGTGGGGGCATGAGCGCCAAGGCAGGCGAGCTCAGGCAGAAGGCGCGAGAGAACGTAAACGCACAGCGAAGGTCGCCTCCGAGCATCAGGTCGAGGACGAAAAAGCAGTTTTCATCGTCTTGGAACGCATAGCGAAGGTTGACGACAAAGGGATGGTCAATCTGAGGGGAAAATCCAGAGGAAATGGGCGAGTCGATTAGCGGAAAGTAGAAAACGGGATGAAATTAGAATATTGGATACGGACCTCTTCGAGCAATCTTCGCTCCTGGATGATATTGGCCACCGCTTTCATCTTGACGCATTTGGCCTTGTTAATGTATTTGAGAGCATAAAGTTCTCGAGACTGTTTGTGCTGGACGACCCGAACCTGCAGAGAACAGCGACGCAAGAGGCCAGCCGCGGTGAGTAGGTTGCACGGCGAGGACAGGAGACCAACGGACTTTGCCAAAGGCGCCCTTGCCTACGCTCCGGAGGAGGATAAAATGGAACAAATTGACTTCTCCCTCAAAATCAATGGGCTAAACGGGGCATTTCAGGCATTCAGTGACGGGTTGGGACTGAAATCAGAGCTGAACAGACCTCTGGACGGCAGCAGACGCCTCCCATCGTCGATGTAAATATGAATCAAACAATCTCTTCTGGAAAACGGGGTGCAAAAGGTGACCAAGGAAAGCGGCCCGTTCACGACAGGGGCGAGGGAGCGTCTGAACTTGGCCTCACCACCAAACACCCAGGAGCGCTCACTATCAGCTTAGATAATCTGCAAGTATTCCTGTTGTTTAGTGCCCATTCGACCGTCTTCTCGTCTGCCTGGATACCGCGGCCCGCTCAATCGCGGCTGCACGAGCCAAGCCAGCAATCGTCACAAATCTCCTTCTTCACTTGATTGTCGTCGCCAGACTAGTCGCGCACCGAGCCGCATACTTCGCATTGCAAGCCCAGCGGTTTCGCATTGAGGCTGCGACTCGACACATCAGCTTCTCCGTCCTAGAATCGAGGATCACGTCCACTCACAATGTGCACACCCCGCAAGCCCATTCTCTCGAAGAGCCTTCTGTGCTGCGGCCTTCAGTCTTGGTCTCCAGGGTCAGACCTCCATTCATCTCGGTACCGCTCTCCATCTCGAGCAGTCCGAGTCGGAGCACCGTCTCCACAGCATCCCCTTTTCCAATTACGTCCTCTCCCTCCTCGTCGGACAAGTCGACCAGTGGTACGCCCATCGCCGACGAAATCGGGCCCTTCTTCCAGTGGTCAGTAAGTAACGACTGACTCTTGAGATTGCTCATATCGGACATCTTGACACTTTCGTCCATTAGTCTTCGGCGATCTGCATCCGTCTCGTCGATCCGGACATAGTCCTCCTCGTCCTCCGTTTCACTGTCAGATGGCGGTTCCTGTGGTCCTTTAGGAGCAGTTATATCTAGCCAAACAAGATGAGTGACTATAACAAAGAGGTAACTGACGCACTCTTGGACTGATTCAACCTCGCCTCGATGGCTGCCGCTCGAATATCTCGTGCCTTCTTGCTATGACAATGGTAAGCGGTTGAACATATGATGATCAATATCTTACCTTCCAGCTTGCTTGCGAAATCCAGTACCCAGCTTTGCCCGAGTCTCCTCGTCTTCGTCCGCATTGAGCGCCTTGCCATCGCCTTTGAACGCGTTGTGACTACGAACACGACTCCCAGGTTTGACTTTTCTTGTCGTCTGCGTTCCAGTGTGAAGAGAAGGACCGGCCTGCTTACGTGCGACGCGTTTCCGACCTTGACCTCGACGTGGTGGCGACATTGTGTGTGCACCTCCGCACTAGACCAGGTAAGTTGAATGCACGATTCTACTCCACGAGTAAACTGACAAGATACTCTGGGAAATCGTCCGTCTCCCTCATACGGTCCTGCTCAACACCGTCTATGAGCATCTTGCCCGAAGACCAGAATCCTGTGAGAGTGTGAGGAAGAGTCGAGACAACTGCAAGGACAAACCGTCGCCAAAGTACTTTGCTCGTTGCAAAACAGCCACTTCTGCCTTGAGTTCTCTATAAAACTTCCAAAAGCTGGGTCCGTGATGCATATTCTTGATATGTGAAAGCTATACATAGTGAGTAGGGATAGATAACATTGACTCAATTCCCACCTCGTGACAAAAGACGCTGATTAAATGAGGCGTCGAATAGAATGACCCGTCTCCGCGACGCAGGACCAGCTCTTTTGGGAATGTCAGCATCTTGAAGGACACCACAAAGGAAACCCTGACCGACTGTCTCTCCGGCATTCCAATTTCGACCCAGGAAGACAGAGTTGTGTTCGTACTTTAAATCGTCAGTCAAGCAGAGAATTTCGGCATCATTAACTCTGTGTACCTCTTCAAACGAGTTTATTTCGAGTCTATGATCGCGTTATAAATGCCGTATAGCCTGCATATTGACAATTTGTCCTCACCCGTGCTTCTTCATTACCGGTCTCAGCTGTGCAGCCACTGCTCGTAGTATCTTCAATGCTACATCTGCATTTTGCTCCGTATTGAGTGCAGTGATAAAGTTGATATGCGGATTCGGATTCATCTCGGTCGCGTTGTACCGTTGGAAGACCATGGTCAGAGTCAAGAAGTGGCAACACTTGCTGACAAAGAATTTCTTGTCAGGTGCAGTCTCAACATGTTAGCGACGTCAATCTTCATTTATTCGAGGTATAGTGATCTTATAAGGTGTGCTACAACTTCTATTCCTCGCGGTTTCGCTTGCGTTTTGACCGCTCTGGTGACCGTGAGCGACTGGTACGCGGTCGATGCGCAGAGCGCTCCCTATGCTTTCTCCTGTCTCCGGACGATCGTGACCGTTCCTCTTCGGTGTAGCGTCGATGTCCTGACTGCCTCGACGAAGAGTCTTCTCGTTTACCTAAACGGCCTTCAGACACTCGTGAGTGCCCAGAATCGCTTTCTTCGTCGTTTTCTGCTTGCTTTTCCCCGTCCCTCTCTTGTCTGCGCTTCCACATAATCTTCTTCACACATCTATCACACAAAACCACCTTGACAAGAGCAGACTTGAGCGCTCCATCTTCGACGTAGCCAAATGGAAGTTCCAGCGTGTGAAGGGCCTTTTCCTTGTGACGGGATGACGACGAAGCTTTGGCGCTCTGACGTCCAAAGTCCTTGCGAGAGTCTTTGGGTGCATGATGCTTGCATCGCGTGTTGGCGCACGAAGTCTCGCCGATGCCTTCCACGACTTCGTCTTCAGTCCTCCATCGAAGAGCAAACTACGGATCTTATTAGTAGAGTCGGAGCCTGGATAAATTGAAATATTACATTTCCGGATTTGTAGTGCTTGAGGTCGCACAGTGCATATTCTTTCCAAAGATTGGAGTAAAACTTGCGAGCCAAAGCTTCATCCCACGATTTTGATCCCGCGGTCTCTACATCTTGTTCGTCTTCACGCAGAAACCTATGCGGGTTTAGTCAATCACGCCGCCGCAACTATGGTGTGAACCTTTGGTATCGCCGAGAGATGAAACGTACTTGTGGTTTCTCTTCAAGATTTCAAACTCTGATGGCCCTTCACGTGCTAGTGCATCAGATGGTCTCGGCTTTACAGAGGTCATTGAAAGGATGACAAGGTCAGAGTCAAAATGCGAGTTCCACCCATGCCCACGTTATGTCTACAAGAATGGATCAAACGAACGGAAAGCACTCTTAAACTGCTCAGCCTCTTCCTTTTCTCTCTCTTCCGACTCGACGCAACTCTTCCAGTCCACCCGGTCCGGTACTCCAAACAGACTCGCAAGCGCCATCCTGCAATTACATGAGGAATCCGTTCGTGAAATGTTGAATGAAGAGACAAACCTTACAAACTGCAATGGGAATCGAGTCCCATCGTCCATAATGTGTACCAACCGCTTTCCTCCAGGCAATTCGATTTGCATATAATTGTCCGTCGTCTCTCCAAGGTCTTCTTCTAAAAGCTCGATACGAGTTTGCTTTCCGGTTTGAACCAGTGCTTGTTCGACTTCTTCTAGCGGTATCGAGTTTGGGATGGGCAATGTGTGCAATTGCGCGTGCACTCCATGGAGCATGCGCTTAGCGACTTCAAAGAAGATAGGACTGCAGCCATAGGTCGCAAAGAACGAGGTGAGGGCAGTCTTATATCTATTCCCAGACGGTGTCAATACAGAGTTCCGTAAGCAGACGAACGTACTTTTCAACCTCGTTCAATGTACTTGTAGCCTCTGAAGGAGGTAGCGAGCGAAGTGTTGGTCTATGGCTGATTGGAATGATAAGTATGTGTCCACCGCCTGGTACAGGGAAGAGCTCTTTGATCTTTGGATCCTTCGAAGACGTAATTGGGAGCTGGCCTTTGGGAAGCGACAAGTAGCACTCTTCTCCAAGAGACACCAGCAAGTGTTTTCTGCGTCCGTTAGATAGGAAGCAATAGAGGTGAGCTGACACTCACGCAAGCTTCGGATTCATTAAACAGAACCAGCATTCATCGGCTATGGAATCTTGGTCAGCAGTGGCCGTTGGACAAGGTGGTAAACACCTGTAATTTCCTTTGCAGGTCCTTTGTGCCTCCTTTGCTCACGTTCATGCCGCCCTTTGACAACCTCCGGACAGTCATCGATCAGATGGTTTTCACTTCCGCATGCTCGACAAACGTATCCGGGAGGTGGCTTTCGCCCGCCAGTGTCGCCTTTTTCATCCTTTGTTGGGCAGTCGCGAATAAAGTGGTCAGACTGTTGGCACCGTCTGCAGATATATCCTTCTGGCGGCTTTGAACGCTCCGGGCAGTCCTTAATTGAATGCTGGACAAATTTAAAAACCTTTTAGAAACCCAATAGAACACAAACCTCTGTTGACTGGCATATTCTGCAAACATATCCTTCTGGTAAACCATTTGCCTGTAAATTCTCTAATGTAGGGGTTAGCAAGATCAGCCAACGATGGAGATAGAAGAGCCACCTTTCTTTCTTCGTTTTGGCCCTTCTCTGCCCTCATGTGACCATCGAAACTGCTCGCCAGAATCATCCAAGGCACGCTTCTGGGCCTGCGGCGACGGTGGCTTCGTCGCGATAAATCCTTCGACTGCCTGGTGTGGAATGTAGGGATTGAATGTGATATTGGGCGGAAGAGACACAGGATGCGTATTCGGAGTAACCGGTGTGATAGTGAAGGCGTAGCTCCACTAGACTTTAATCAGCACCAAGGTGAAACTCATGGACTCGCTTACCCTTGGTCGCTTCTGTCCTTCGGGAATTTGTCCTCCAAATGCACCAATTGACAAAAACCGTGTACACCGTCCGGAATCTGCAGCATCCGGCCAAGGGAATGGTTCACGTTCCCAGAACATACCAGCCCCGGAGACGAAATGATATCGTGGCATCGCAGCACGTACTATGTCGTCCAACTGGGGTGAGACGCGGTCTGGATATGATGGTGGCATGTTCGGCGTGTGCAACGTCAACGATGCGGGAGTGACGTGGGTAAGAAGAATGTCAATCTTGGTCGTAGTCGATGAGGCTTTCATTGCGGCGAGCGAATTGGGGTTTTGTTGCGATTTTGGGATTGTAATTGAAGGGTGGGAGAGCAATTTGCGGACGTCGGATGATGTAAAATGATTCGAAGGTGCCTAAGAGATGTAAGAGCTAGTTGCTATGTTCAAAGATGGACCTGCATATTTGGGTGAAGAATAACTCGCGGGATCGTAATCCCCACCGAGTGCAGCAATTCGAATGCCCTGCGACGTGGTTATCACAGTTGCTTTGTCTTTAGACGCGTTAATAGAGGGCAATTTTATGCTGTTTCATTCCTTACCTAGCAGGAGAATGTTTGGTGCGAGCTCCCCACCAGTTTGCGCGGCCTTTTCCAGTATTTTTTGGGGTAGCTTGTGTTCTCCTCCCATAATATACGTCGTTTTAGGCACTTTGAGTGCATTCGTGGTGAATTTATGTATGACGAACTATCAGGAGTAGGCGTACCATGAATGGAGCCGCCGAGGAGTTCATCGACGCTTGGGTGATCATCTGAGTTGTCAAAGAAGTCCCCAAGACAGAGTATAAATGCAAATGGTCCGTATTTCCCGTCCAGAGTCTGGACCTTGTCGACGAACCCGCGTAGCTCACCGAGCACGGACCCGATGACCAATCTGGAGAGGATATTATCAGTTTCTCACATATTTTCATGCCATGGCTTCTACGCACACTTTGACAGGCTCTCCCATCTTTGGGACGTGTTGGTGTCAGTGGTCAAGTCGACTTTGTTTGCCACCTTGCTTCTCACTCGGACTTGTCCACACAGCATCGCAGCGAGAATCATGGCTACAACTATTGCATCGACTTCTCAACCAGATTTCACCGCTGTCCCAGCAGACTCCGAGTTCGCCTCGGAACCGACGACCTCTTCAGAGCCGCTAGGGCTCCTTCTCGCTGAGACACCTGAAGAAAACTGGATCAAACTCAAGTTTACTCACTCGGGAAAAGAATATACGGTTGACTTGGCCGACTCAGATCGGTAATACGCATCTCTCCCTTGTTGTGCTTCTCGAGGATTGACCAGATGGCCAGCGTGTTTGATCTCAAGGCGTTGCTTGACAAACTCACCACAGTCCCTCCAGAGCGACAGAAGATCATCGGGCTCGTAAAGGGAAAACTCCCGCCGGACCAAGCAACGATGTATGCGCCCTCCTTTCTCCCACAATGCTCCCATCTTCTGATTCACTCGCGCTAGACGGGATCTCAACCTGACGAACGGTAAAAAATTTAGCCTGATCGGTACACCACAGGGTCACGAGCACAAGGATCCCTCGCAGCTCGATCTCCCCGACGTCTTTAATGATCTGGATATCGACTTTTCGGCTGATCCCAACTCAGAAGCCGTCAGGAAATTCAAGAACGATGCGAGAAACAAGCGTAAGATCCGCGAGGCTGTCGCAGCGCTCAATGTCAACCTCATGAACCCGCTCCGCGAAGGAAAGAAGCTGCTCGTTCTCGACCTCGACTATAGTGCCTGTCCATGTTTACCCGTCTCGTACTGGATCTAACCCTGTTCCAGCAATCTTGGACACGAAGCCTCTTACTTCTGGCGCCCTGCCACCGTCTGAATGCGCAAGACCTGGTCTTCATCGATTTCTCGAGGCCATCTATCCCTACTACGACATCTGTATCTGGAGTCAAACGAGCTGGGTGTGGCTAGAGACAAAGCTTTCAGAATTGGGAATGGTCGGTGCTGACCAAAACTACAAGGTGTGTGACCTAATTGAGAATACTAAGCGCACCATGACTCCTAGTAGATTGCATTTGTACTCGATAAGAAACCAATGTTCACCGTATTCTCCAAGAGGGATGGTAAAGACTTTACCCATCAAGTCAAGGCGCTCAAGATTATCTGGACATTGTTCCCCCAATAGTAAGGCAGCTTCAATTTCCTGCTCCTTTCACTCATCCGGTTTAGCTCTGAGCACAATACAATTCATGTGGACGATTTGGTGAGTATTTCCATTCATTGAGAACATGACTTGACGATACGTAGGGTCGTAACTTTGCTCTAGTCAGTACAAGACTTGGTTGAGAATTGAGCTAACTAGATTCAGAATCCAAACGAAGGACTCAAGATTTCACCATACCGAAACGCACATACACTGAGTGCAGGTGAAGATCGCGAGTTGGACTATTTGTCCATCTACCTAGTTCACATCGCCAATGCAGCACCAAGCTTTACCGCTTTTCGGCACAAGGATTGGAAAAAGATTGTCGCTCTAATCAACAGGCCGTGACCGGTTGTTTCCCTCGCAAATGCATGTATCATAGGCAAATACGGCAAGAAATGTATATCAAGGAATTCACACATCACTGTCACAAGTTGCATCGCAAGCGTGCATAACCTACAAGAGTAAGTGGCGCAAGTAAACCCCAACACTAGTAAAGTAGCTAAGCCCGAAAGCCGCCAAAGCACCAACGCCACCAAGGAGGAGCGCTCTTTGTCTATGTTCGGTCCAGACTTCGGGGAGGATGGTGTGAACCTCGATGTTACGTCCCTCTGGATCGAAGACGAATGCGCCATAGTAGGTGCTTGTGTATTGTGGTCGCAAGCCAGGACCACCATTGTCCTTTGCACCCAATTTCCTGTTCACCCATTAGTGCCGTTCTTGTGCTAGGTAATGAGATGGAGGAGATGACATACATGGCAAGTGCGTGAAAGTCTCTGACTTGCTGGCGAGTACTTGCTGTGAACGCGATATGAAGGGTCTGCTTGGGCATATCCTTTTGTTCAAGTCCAGTTGCGATCCAAAAGTCTGGATAGGTGGCGCCGATTCCAATGACCTGGGCGTGCGGTCGAATGTCCTTATGTAATCTGTAGCTATATACCACAGGTATCAAATTCTATACCCTCACGAGTAGTCGTCATGAGGCAGCGTACCCAAGAGGGGCGAGAACGGCGAGGTACCATTCGGTCATCTTGTCCAGATCACCTTCTTTGACATAGATGCCGAGGTGGGAAATTCCCATAGCGTCGCTGAAAGGACTTTTATGGTTATAGGCGAGCAAGAGAGCTTGGGGCGAGTCCAAGTCTAGGTTTCAACTGCAGAGACCAAGTAGGCCAGTTTTATTTCGTGTTGATGAATTGCAGACAGGTTCAGAGGCAATTAGTAATCGCTGACTAAGAAACCCCCGTGGTTTGGCGCCGCCATTGGCATCTGATTGTAGAAACAAGAAGAGCACCCTGAAATTGAATGGCGCGGTCATATGCTAATCCACGCGTCTATTTGCTGGTTGCCTTTGCCACACCTTTCAAGGATCTCGGCGAAAGAGACAATGTGTAGACTAGATAGAGCACTACGTAAGATTCATTCGACTCGAGATAAATTACCCATCCAACAGACCAAAACGGCAACAAGAATGGGCTTGTCTCACATCGCAACGCAGTCCCCCTTCTTCTTCTTCTTATCCTTTCTCGTACTAGGAGACGGTTGCGAGCCCCCGCTTTGCGCCATGGTCTGCCGCCTATAAACACCGTCTCCATTCTCTTGAGACGCGAGCTCCTGCTCACGATCTCGTTCACGCAGTCGACGCGCATACTCTTGCTCCGCCCTTTGTAGCTTCCATGCCAGTCGTGCACTGCGAGGCAGAGTCAGTACTGCAAGACATGGGTAGAAATCAAGACTCACTCTGCCTCGACCTCTGGATCCGAATGCATCCTCTCATACTGCCTTGCTATTTGCTCACTTGTATGACCAGCGAAATCACCACCGACAGGATTCGCCTTTCGAAAGTTTTCGTCGTAAAATGCCGACGAATGGCCATCGACGTCGACGAGTGATTCCCATACGACGTCTGTCTCCTTCAGGAATACACGGTCCGTGACGAGCGTATAGAGCATCGTGCTTTCTGTCCCAGGCTCTTTACGCTTATAGAGCACGCTAAGATGCGATCCTCTGAAGAAGCAGACAAGTTCGTTTGGCTCAATATATTGCGACTCGCTACGTTGCGCTCAGTAGTCAGCAGTGGTAGGAGCGCGATCACCTACTTTAGCGCAAAGAGACCGTGGTAAGTCATCTGGGTTGGATTACTGTCCAACCAGTGTCGGATTTGAAGAGCTGCCATATTGGAAGTGAGCTTGTGACGTTGTATATTGGGGAGATTGCCCACCATCGACAACCTTTTGGTGCTCCTCTTCGGAGAGCTGGGCTGGCTTGGCTGCGCTGTCCTCTACGAGCATGGCTTCGTTATCCTCTACCATAAGTTTCCCACCCATGGCTGCATCCGCAGCAACGATGAGATCCATGCATGTATCGTAATCTTCTGCTTTGGAGAGTGCGGCAAATTCCGAGCTCTGTGGGTCCGCTATCCATCCATGAACCTATTACCATCCGTTTAAAAATAAATTTGTGCAGATAGAGTCCACGTACAAGCTTGATACCCGCCAAGTCAAACAGCTTGAGCTCACCGCCCTTGCCAGCAGGTCGAAAGGAGGATATACTCGTAAAGAGTGGATTCAAATCCATTCCCTCTGTTGGACAAGATCAGTACACCTCCACCTTACGCCGAACAGATCCCGTACCCTGAGTCTTAGGCAGCACCGAAAACACGGCGTCTAGGTCGACATCCATGACGTTATTGACAAGATAATCGCCGACAAGTCCCGCCAAGTACTCATAACTCGCTGATCGTCTGTCACGCGGCCGAATGGTAATGGCACCACGCATAATGAGAATGTTGCCTTTGAATCCGTTAGATACTCTTCACACTGTTAAACTCACATAAAATACTCACATATAGCAATAAAGGAACACGGGCCATTCGTGTTCTGGGTGACGATGCGCACTCGGCGCTGCGGCTGGCCGTCCCACGGCTCGGGAGGCCATAGAATCTCTTTGAGACCCCACTCGGGGCTCTCAATCTTCTCCGGCTGTCTCATTTGCTCATTTCTACTCCTCTCTGACGGTGGGTGCTTGCCGTTGGAGGATGTCCTGCTTGCCGTTCCCTTTTCTGGTGCCGTTGATGCACTGGCGGGAGCAACCTCGTCGTGTTCGACTTCGTAACCATTTACGGGTTCATAAGGGGCTGACTTAGAACCACTTGCAACGGCATGGACTTCTGTCATAGCGTGGGGCGGAGAGTGGTTGAGTTCAAGTTGCGAAACCGACTACACTGCTCGCAGCCAAAAGCACCAAGACGCGCAGCATACTGCGCATTACTGCTAGACGCAGCTCATGATACATAACGTGTTGCTTTATAGACTAGGATTGCAGTGGTGCTACAGTACACGAGATGGTTGGCGGGAGCTGAACAGGTGAAACAAGAGAAACAATGAGAGTAAAGAGTGATTGCAACGACTATGATGGGTCCATAGCGTGCGTAAATGATGGCTGATCCAAACCCAATAAATGCCAAATGAGAGTGTGTGAGACTTCGGCACTGCGTGCCTGTCTACCCGGACTTTAGAAAAAAATGCACCTATCGCTACGAGCTCGAGCGGAGGATGTGAGCCAAATCTCGCTCGTCGGCTGCATGCATCTGCCGTGCACGCGCTTTGAGCCGCAGATTGCGATCAAAGCTCACGAGCACGACCTTGGCCACGTCCGCCTTTTCATCTGGGGCCAGGAACTGCTCGAGTGGATCGGGAATGATACCCCTGAGCAGTGCACTACGATCCGTCCAATGATCCTCCTGCCAGAGCGCGGCTCGCAGGATTAAATCATCGATACTTCGCTCCCACATGTGCTCGCTACCATCTTCTCCGTTGTTATCGTGACTGGCGTGTCGTCTTCGGTCGCGAGAGGAGAAAAAGTCGAGGTTTTCGCTGCGCACATTGAGCGTCGTAAGGTAGTTACCCCGCGAGGTTTGGACCTTGAGCGACGTCGAGTGTGTGCGGATGTTGTTGGTAATGTATTTGGATGCCTCTATGGCAGCTCGTCCAAGTTCAGAAGGGTTATTGGAGATGCCGTCCAACTCTGTGATGACTGCCAACGGAATAACGACTGTCCATTTCTCGCTTTCTACAAGCGACATGACTGTGGGGAGGGTGGAAAGGAGCACGTTGGTATCAATGACCAAAATAGTGTACCCGGCTTTGACGTTGAGTAGAGGTCGTGAGGGGCCATTTGGCCTCGCAGGGCGGCCATAATGCGACCGGCGACGGTGTTCACGTCCGATTTGAAGATTTCGAAGATAACGTCGACGCTCTTGAAGAGCCCGAATTTCTGGATCCGAATCCAGTTCTTCCTCGTCCTCGTCGACATCAATCTCCATCTCGTCATCTTCATCGTCTCCCCAATGGCGATTCCGTCGTCGCTCCTCTTCTTCACGCTCCCTACGCTCTTCTTCCTTCCACATCTCCGCCTTGCGCTCCATGGCCTCGCCAAGCCGCCAAGTAATACGTTCCGCACCACGATCAAGCTCAAAGCCTGGCACGGATTGCACAAGGCTAAGGCAGCTGCGGATGATGCGCACCCATCGTCGGCCCGTGTAATCCTTTGGCGCAGCCTCTTCGCCATTCTCGTCATCTTCAATGATGCCATCCGACTCTTGCTCAGTGCTCTCGTTGGCCAAGAGCACGTCCATCTCCCCCGTCACACCCCCGCCACCGGGCGCAGCACTGCGCGGCCAAAACCCGTGCTCGTACACGCGTCGACCCGGCCATGACATGCCACGAATGCACCAATCTTCTGGGAGTGGTGCGCAGCCACTCGTGAGCTTGGCACGTGCCTCGACCTCTTTTTGCACCTGCCGACGTGGAGCAGAGTTGATGAAAACCAACAAATCTCCCCATGGGAAGGTCCGCTCGATGATTGCGAGTACACCAGGCTGCTTGAGGATGGTTTGGACAAACGTGAGGAGGACCGTAATGTAAGGGTTGAGTTTTGGTTTGGCGAATTGAGACGTTCGTCGGAGTGGATGTCGAAGGCAGAAGGAAAGGGTCGAAAAGGCGAGTTGGAGAGCCAGCTGAAGGGAATGGGGAACGTCTACGGACATGGAGTCATTGTCAAACTCCATCGACGGGGACATTGCCGTTGGTGATGCTTCGGAGACGGCAAGGCTGTCCATTTTGACGACGAGCTCCCTCTTTTTGCCAGCCATCGTATTTCCCGAAGGTTCTGTACCTCCAGAGGACGGCTTGATGAGAGCATCTGGCTTGCCATATTGTAGAATCGCAGCAATGTTGACTACAGCCATCATGACCCATTCACGCTCCTGGGCACCATCAAGCTCGAGGCGTTCAAGATATCGGGCAAGGGTAGGTTGAAAATCGTCGAGTTGAATGTTGGTAAAGAGCATGCCGTGCAGAAGAACGAAAAGCTCTGTTGTTTTAGCATCTGCGGCTACGGTCCGTCGTTGTTGGGCAGGCTTGGAGAATAGAGAGAGAACAGATTCTCGAGATCCGGAATATGGGTGGTTGGCAGTCATACTGAATTATCTCAATCAGCCTGAGAGCTGAAGAAAGGCAAACTGCGCACCTTTTGACAAAATGATAGACCCCGCGTAGTTCCTCGTTGGGTACGTCGGTTAAAAGTAAACCGAGATTATGCTGAAGTTTTCCAGCACCGGGGGTTTCCTTGAGCACCATCGAATACCATGTCTGCGAGCTCTTGCGCCAAATTTCAGACTCGGGATCAAGGTCGAAGGCACGCGCGGCTTCGATACCGATAGATGGAGGCGGGGTGCTCTCCAGTTGCGTGGGAGAGGGCGGGAGCGCATCTACTGTCAACGCAGTAGCCCCCGAAGGGTTGGGGTCCTGGGCGGATTGGCGAGCGGCAATGTGCATTTGCCAACGTGCGAGGTCTCCGAGTGCTTCCATCCAATTGACTTTGTAGGGCGCCATGAAATCGTTTGTTGTGCTGGTCTCGTACAGAGACTCGTACAGATGATAGGACCAGTAGATGAAGCTGGTGAGATGCTCTCCAGCGCCAGGATACTTGCTCCCCAGTCGCCGAAGGCAGTCGACACAGTGAGCGATACCGCTCGTCCATATCTTGGAGTGTAGACCATACTTTGTGACGATAGCGAGCATGGAAGAGGGAATTGGTTGGAGGATGATGGAAATCATACTGTGATAGAGCTCGGCGAGTTGCTTGTGCTGCGCGACGAGCGTCAATAGTGGGTCTTGTTGCTGCTGCTGGGTTGGTTCTGGCTCGTCCGCAGCGGGAAGCGACGCGCCTGGCTTGAGCATTTTGATGGGTGCTGCGAGTGCCTCGACTTCTTCGACGTTTTCCCAGACCTTTGTACGCTTTTCCAAAGCGGAAATCTCCCTGTACATGCCCTTGAGGAGTTCTAGAAACTTGCTGCTACCGTCCTTGTCGGTGGCTTTGTCGGGAGGGGCAGAGGAATGTGATGTACCGGTGCTGGAGGTGAGTGTCCATGTAGAGGATGCATAGGAGGAAATGGACGAGTGGTCCATAGCGGACGAAGACATGATGGACGAAGGAGCTTGCTGCCGCTGGGTCTGGTTGTTTAGGACAGCAAAGCGCATAGGATCGTCTCTTCTTGGATCAAATAACTGTCTTTGCGCTTGAGGTTGCGGCATTGCGTGTACAGAAGGCGGCGAGCTCGACTCGGAGGGTTGAGGACGCAGGGGCCGCATCAGAGGGATTGGGTCCGTGTCTGGATTAAAGAGGTGTTTTGTACGCGCATTTGGCTGCTGGGGAGACGCTGGAGAGCGCCTTGGGGATGTCTCTTGCGGCCGTCTCGAACCACGGTCAGCCGCTGCGGAGGCTGATGGATCCGGCACAGGCGCAGTCGTGCGTTCACCACGGGCAACGCTGACGACTCCTCGCGTCCTTGGTGCGCTCGTCTCTGCACTGTCAGATGTATATCGGCGAGTGGGCAAAAAGCGGGCCAAATTGTTAGCCACTGGGAGAGGAAAGACGACGAGGAAGACGTACGATGCTTTTGCACGCTGCAGAGCTGTAATCCGGTCTACAAGATCCATCTCCCGGCCTCGTCACACTTGAGAAATGATTTGCGAGCTCGTCGTGGCTCAGTCCAAGTTGTACGCCAAATCCGCAGCATCTTCAGTTGCCGTCCCACCTGGCTTCGTCCGGGTTGGCCGTCCGCAGCCTTTTCATGACACGAGCTGCCAGAAATCCTTGTCAACAAGTATCACAACAAGGTATATTATATTGTCCGAGATGGCTAGCAGATCTTGCTGCAAAGCCCATATCGAGGCATTGCCAGACTTTCTATTCGCTAAGCGGCTTTGGTGAACTTTCTTCGGTGAATTCTTGCCATGGGCGCTGATAAACAAGATTCAACAGTTCTGATGCCGACAAAAGTTCCCACGGCCCGTTGCTAGTCCAAGCCTTTGACTTTTGATCAATCTAATTCATGTGGAATACTATCTCGGAATACAAAGCTCTCTGGGCGTGTCATGCGGAGCACGGTCCAGGTTTCTCTCTTGTTTACAACGCAAGCGCACAATACTAGCATGAGCGCTAATATCATGCGATGTTTAGACTACCGACAGGTCCCAAGCTCACGATAGCCACATGCTATTAGCTGGCCGGTCAAGTCTCCGCTCCTCGTGTCGCTAGGGCAAACCGACCGGACAACGAGCAATGCTACGAGGCTGAATACAACTTGAAAGCATAGAATTTAGCGCTATCCTAGCACCCTTCCCAAGTCCGATGGTACACGGGGATTGGCTGTGAACCCTCTCGAACCGCAGGATACTGAGCCTTTCTCCGGTGCCATGCTTACAATTTCGGGTATTGATTCATTGACCGCGTCGACGTCAAGTCCAAGTTTTTTTGTTCCTCACCCTCGACGCACTAAAAAATTCCACGAGGTAAATGTCTCTAGATCGCCTGGGCGTACAGCATCTAGCGCTATCCAGTCGCTATAAAACCCAGGCAACTCCAAGACCAGGTCACCAACAAGAGTTCTCGCCGGTCTGCTTCATCAGCGTCCAGATGGCGGCTGTCGTCTATCCTGACGCAGATTCCCATCCCGAAAGAATATCCTCGACGTCTCTTTCAATCTGCTCGAGGACCGAGAATGCCCGAGGCGGCTCGAGGCCCCAGAGTGCAGATCGGCGCGAGACCACGTCTGCCGTACGGCACAAATCCCTATTGATCGCCGTCAATTACGATAGTCTTGGCATCCTTCTGCGCCTGTCGGGCACAAAAAGTGGTTGGGTACTTACGCCAACTCTGGGGAATGTCGATCTGAGACATGGTAGACGGTTTCCGACTCGACGAGATGACGTCGATATAACTTCCGAGCGACAATTGCACCCGCTTCGTGCCAATAGAAATCGGAGCCGGGCACGAAGAAGAGCTGAGCATTGTCAATCGGCTCACGGAAGTTGCGGGAAAACACAAGGCGCAGAATTTGGATGCACGTTTTGACGACGTCTTCGAGCAAAACCTATAGAGGATTATATAAGACGCTTCAGACTGGCACAGAGTCGAGGGACTCACGGCATTTCCTGCAGTCATCCCATTTGCGATCTGCACCTGTCGGTGCACGAGTGCGTACCGAATAACCCTGCTTATCGCGTGGGTTCTGCCAGTGATTTGCCGACGAGTCCCTCCAAGAATCCAGGTCGGAGCGACGATGAACGCAAGAAAGGACGAGTTGGTTGACTGTTGGAGGATTCTTTCGAAAAATCAGCGCGCTGGTTTTTTTTCCCCCCAAAGAATCACCCGGCTTACTCGTTGTCGACGAGTGATGAATCTGCCACCCATCGTGCGAGGTCCATATCCTATAGGGATAGTTGCTTAGCTTTTAATCGGCCTGTAAATGATTGGATTGACACACGTCGTAGGCAGCAGTCTGGAGATGGAGCGACTGCGCTTCCTGTGCCCGAACGTTGAGCGCCGCCTGGCTGATATGCAGCAACACTGGCTTTCTCGCGCTGGTTCTCCTGTTCATGAGCCCAATGTTGATTGCTTGCGACAGAGCCACACAGTCTGATCGGGCCGCATTGACGACGATATCGGCTACCGACACCAAGTCGACAATCTGAGCCAGGTTGTCGAGATTACCATGGACGATGTTGATACCAAGATCTACATGGTCATAAGCAATCATTCAGGGCGCTATGGGGCTCGTCGTACCGCTCAGGGTGCCCACACCACCCGCGCTTCGGACAAGAGCTGTGATGCGAATATTGGGTAATGCCGACTCGATACCTCTAATGAGAGCGCTTCCAATCCGACCGGTAGCTCCAAGAAAAAGCATAGACGGAGATTTCTGCATGTTTAGGTGCGCTCTCAGATTTGGGTGGGGAACACTGAACTTGGCCTTTTTATGAACGCGCCATCTGCCCAGTACGCAGCCGAGTGAGCGAGACGACGGCCCACAAAATCATCTGCACGGCGTTTAGAAGCTTTGATACATGATCTGGCAGTATGAACGGGGGCGTCGCCGCGCCCTCGAGGCTCGATGGGTTTCCGTTTTGAGACTAGAATTGCGGCCATTCCTGCCCGTCCGTCACGGAGGACGAGAGAAGACGCTAACGGCGAGTATATACTCGAGCCTTTCACCGACGTTCCAACAATGTCTAGAACGATTTGGGACCAAGTTTTCAAAGTCGGGACTCTCCTCGGTTAGACGCCTGGCGTCCGACGTCGGAGGACATGCTGCGTTCTCCGAATCTTGACCATTCTCTTGATCCGACATTTCTGACAAACGCGGTCGTCTGTTGCCGGGACAAGGCGGCATAGAATGACCGTGACATCGGCGACAGTTCTGGACTATATGTGAAGAGGGGAAGAGGTCGACACAATGCGGAACTTTCCATTTCATTTGTTGGAGTCTAGCGTTCGCAACATATCCGATCGAAGAAACTCTATACGCTCAACTCTGTACGCGTCGCTCCAAGACTTTGCGGCAACAATTAGGCTCTAACGAGACTCATATTGCTGGCGAAGCTACTGCATCGGTTGTACTGATGCTCTATGCGAAGCTTATCTATAAAGCATAGCTAGGGGGAAGCGATGCGACTAGCGTGGCGCCGTCCTGCACAACGATGATAGTGGCCGATAAGAGCTGGTATTACTTCATTGTGACATATGTTGGCTGATTGCATGCTTGAATATTGGATGCCGGTTCTAGAAGCATATGGATTCATTGTGCTGCCGGCTTCGATGTTCATTACAGGATAATCTAAACTCCATCGAATATCACCAAGTCTGAGTGCTCATTGACTTGGACACTTTTGCTAAGAGGCTAAGACTGCGATCTGGACCCTCCGTGCGGTGCGCATTTTGTCGCTTGATTTGCAGAGGTGAGTCATTTCTGAAACTCTACTGTCATTGAGTCTAAATAAATGCGATTGTGCATATAGTCAAAGCGAGCCGTCTAGGCGGTAAGGGCTTCCGGACAGCCTTTACGTCCATTGCATCCCACTCTGCTCGCTCGGTATCTTCCTTCTCCACTTCGCGAATGTATGGAGTAAGATATCGAACATCCTAGGAGGTATCAGCGTCTGACCCTGCAATAAAATTTCGACGCACCTCCTCCGGTTTCGTCCACTGGTCCTTTGGCAGGAGACGCCTCATAAGATCGCATTGGAACGCCCTCCGCATGCGGTAGACACGGTCGTAACTCTCCTTATCTGGCAGGCGTGACAATGCCTAGGTAAAAGGCGTCAGCTCCATTCCGTCGGCATCGACGTTGAGCATCGCAAACCCACCTTTTGGACGTCCTCGCGCTCTTCAGAAACTAGAAGAGACATACCGGTTACTATCTTAACCCGATAACCAATGCTTTTGACTGCTCACTCAGATCGTCGTAGCGCAAGCCAACCTTGCGGTAGCCAGACGCATTGATGAACATGTTGGCCCATGGCTTGATGAATCTATGTAGTCCAGGATTTTTGACAATATATGGGGCGAGCGAAATGCCCAGCGGCCCACCGAGCAGCACCATTTTGCAGTCGACGGGTTCAAAAGTGTAGACAAAGCAAGCACCGACGTTGCTCTCGACCACTCATGCCATGGCTGGCCCAAACCTCGAAATCTTCAAATTTGGATTCTACTTGTTCTTTCCGCTTGCTATGATGGTCCATTACGGCAATCCAGAGTGGTATCGCCGCCATGTGATACCAGTAAGGCCCAAAGCTATTCCAGCATGTCATGCTAATCCGAGTTTCTGGCATAGTATCGTGAGAAATTGTTCCCAAGGGTTGAAACAACAAACGTACGTTCTCCGACGGCCAATGTAAACACGCTAAAGTATCCGAACCTTGCAGCAAAACCTGCCCACGAACCGTGGAGAGATTAGACAACAGCTGGAGAAACTAAAGGAAGAGAGAAATGCCCGACGACAAGCAAAGGAAGCGTCCGAGTAATTCTATGGTCAGGATCATTTCTCCAACGGCCTTGTCCTTGCTGAGCTGGTCTTAAGAATAGAATAAACCTAGTTCACACGTTGTGCCTTTCCCTGAGCAACTCGTTGAGGATCGCATGCACCGAGGTTTGACGCAAGGCGAACATTTCTCCGGTATCTCACCTTTGCATACTTCTCAATAACACGTGAAGCACAGATCGTTTTACAAAACTTCTCATCACTATCCGTTCCATGTCAAATTCCCTGCCTGGGAGCCACGCTCGTAATCATTGTACCTGGGACATTATTCCGACAAGGTGTTCTCCGATTTATAGGGACTCTTCGCCAAGTCTACGTGTTGGAGAAGGATTCGACACCCCACCCATAACCATGCTTCACACTCTCGTCTTCCTCCTTGCAACTGCAGGATCGCTTGCTCTCGGACATCCAAACGGGCCACCAGGGCCTCCAAAGGGACTACCAAAACCTGCTTCCAAAGTTGTTGTATTTGGAGACTCTTTCAGTGACGCCGCGCTGTGGCCTGGTTGGCGCGGTATGGCAATCACTTGATAACTAGTATTTGATGGCTGACCGCTCAAATAGGTATTCACATCTGGCCAGATATTCTCGGTGGCTACCTCAAGATCCCCATCAACGTTTATGCCAAGGCTGGTGCTACATGCTCTAATAGTCTGACACCACGAACATGGCCAGACGTGATTCATGACGAGATCCCCCTCTTCACGACTCAAAAGAAGAATGGTACGCTCGGTCATCTCGACCCTGCGTCAACCGTATATACGATGTGGATTGGTAAGTACCAGCACACATTGTAACTACCTGCTGATGGAGCTAGGGACAAATGATGTCGGAGCGGGATGTCTCCTCACTGGCAATCAAGCTCCAGGTGTCACACTCGTTGATGTAACCGCATGCGCCGTAAAGTCCATCAAAACTCTGTATGATGGAGGAGCGCGTAACTTTATCTTCCAAAATGTGCGGTAGTTATCGAGACCGATGGCTAGACGCTGACATGGATTTTAGATGGTACCTCTTCAAAAGAGCCCAATGTACAAAAAGGACGCTTATACCACCACCTATTGGACGGAGCCAGTAGCGAACATGACTGAGATGAGCATCTTCATGGAAACAGAAGTGACGAGTGGAAATGCGCTCTCGAAGTTGATGCTGCAAGATCTTGCACCACAATTGACCGGTGCCCATGTAGGTGAGACAGACGAACACCGATCTCTCGGCCCTTCTAAGTGGATCCCTCAGGTATCTTTGATTCATATAGTTTATTCGACGATATCATCACGCACCCTGCCAACTATTTGAACGGAACTGTTCCCTACAATACAACCGGTGCAGTTTTGGCGTGCCCATACGCCGTTCATGGTATCCAAGCGCTCTACTGCACAGAAGCCAAGGGGAGCGCTGTTGATAGCTTTGTTTGGTAAGACTCAGATTACTCTGAATATCTTATTCTAACCGCTTGTTAGGTATGACGAGCTTCATCCGTCGGTCCAGGTCCATCGTATTGTCGCAAGGGAGTTGGCGACCGTTCTCAAGGGCAAAGCGAGCAAATGGATGAACTGGCTTTCGTAGACGATCAAAAGTTGAATGGATGCCTTTTTTTCTCTACCGTGTTTGTCTGTCAGGGCTTGACATTTCTGACCTGACTACTCCCGTCGCAATATGGCGGTCGTTGAGAGAATGATCGATATCCCTACCGGGGTATCTTTAGACGTCACAATGATTACATCCAATGCCTCTTCAGAAGACCACATAAAGCTGGCAGTGTTCGCCCATCCATGGTCAATGTTGGGAGGACGAAAGGAAGACCCGTAGGTACACTCTCGTCCCATTTCCTCAGAAAGGAAGTCCCTTTAATACTCTATCAAGTGTTCTACATCGACTCGTCACCCCATTCCTTCAGAAAGGATACCGTGTAGTGGTCTTCAACTCCCGCGGCGTTGGAAAGTCGACAAAATGGCCTTCATTGAGCTCAATATCAGAGGCTGAGGATCTCAAGGCCTTTGTTAATGTCCTCGTCGCCGAAACTGCAGCTTCTACCGGCAAGTCGGTCACGTCTGTGGTCTTGCTGGTCAGTACTTCCATGAGTGCTTGATCAATTCACAGATAATCTACAGGGCTATAGTCACGGATCTATTGCGGTATCTCATCACCCCGCGTCGCTCAAAGTTGCCGTCGAGTCTGCAATACCAGTCCGGCACATCCTCTTGTCGTATCCTCTTTCACCCATGCCGTTTCTCACGGCATTCTACCACAACACACATGCAAACAAACTGAAGGAACTTATCTCCGACGTTGGCGGTCGGGTATTGGTCCTTTATGGCGACCACGACCAGTTCACGGCTGAGGCCAAGTACGATACTTGGGCTACCACACTGAAAGACGGTAGCAAAGGGGATTTAAGAGTTGTCAAGATTCCGGGAGCAGACCACTTCTGGCATGGTCAGGCAAATAGACAACTTCAGGGTGCCGTAAGCGACTGGCTCAACGAAGATTGACGGTTTATGTATTCTTCACATGAGCTAATGGAGGTTGGGATACTATTAGATCATAGTGATTTCCATTCACCGCCGCAGATGCACCTCTGAAATGAGAGTTCCCAACTATGCCAGCGAGTACCAGGAGCCGCTGGTGTCATCAAGTCGATCAATGTCTTTCCTCCACAATGCTGGCATAATTTGCTAAGAGGCGAAGGCCAGTTCCCTTCAGTAAGTCGTCTTTTCGTGATAATATCCCTTTCTTGTCGCATTCCACCTTCAGAGACGAGACTCAGTCCGCCTAGCTGCAGATGTAGGGGTAAGAGTGAGACGACCTCTGCTGTGATTACGCGAGAGAGAATATCTTCCAGCCTCTGAGCGAGGGGTCCCGGCAGCGTGTGGGACGCATATGAGCGTCTCCACTCGGAAGCTAGCACAATGTGAACAAATGAACCAGACTTGGTGGGAAACCTACGACTGATGGACGTTTCTTCGAGAGACTTGAGTTTCTCCAGGAGCAGAGAAAAGTTGACAGGTGACCGGCCAAGCATATCTTGCACATTAGTGGTAACCAGAACCTTGCTATCGGTACTGGTGCCTTTTGGGACCCCAACGTGATTCACAAAGTCTAGCGTACGGCTGATAGCGTCGGTCCATGAAGCGAGGAATGTCGGGTGCAGAAATATGAGGATGACCGGATGGATTTCTAGCGGATATCAGACATCAGCCTAGTAGGGCGACTGTTCATACCTTGAGAGGCAGACGTCACGTCGCTCTTTGCCATGTTATGATAGTCTCCGGCCGCCAAAAGAACAGACTCCGTAAACTCGACGATCCACCCACAGATCTCTGAGAGCGGCCATACGGCACCTAAATTGGACGTTGGTTTGTCGCACCATGTATCCAGCGAGGACTTACCAGTCTCGTAAGAACCTTCACAATCTTTGCCAAAGCATTCGGTAAGGGCACTCCGCGCTACCGGAACGCTCAGAAGATCAAGAGTCGTTTTAGTTCGTTGCTGGGCTGCCTGCCTTCCAACGTCGCTCTCCGAAGCTTTTAAACTACAGTGTTTCAGCGAGCGTCTCTGAATAGATTGCAACTTACTGGTCCAGGATCAGCAAAGCCTTGAGATATTCGGCCGACCAACGTGGGGCGCCACCACCACCATTTTCCTGGTCGAACTGCGACCAGATAGAGTCGACGAGTTGAAGCATTGCCACTCTATCCATTTTGGATGCAAGTCGCATGATGTCACCAATATCCCGAGAAGATCTTACACCATGGTAAATGCCATCTCGAAGCTGCTCCGATATCGTGTCAGATCCAGAAGCGTCTTTCGGTTGACTAGCTAGATTTGGATAAGAGTGATATCCGAGGCTCGAAAAGTTGTTCATCGGTTGCAGGGCTAAATGCGTTCCTTGAGGAGAAATGGCAATATGAGATGGTGCTAAGAAATATCAGCATAATAGTCTTATTCTGGAGGGAGCTCACCATCAGGGCCTAGGAGATCTAGGACTTGGTGCATTTCATCGTCCACAAGAGATGGTCTGATACACGGTTAGACTATTTCATGGTAGGCGAAATGTCACACATTTTGAGTACCCTCACAGTATGAGGTGGTTGCTTCTCCGCAAGCGAAGCTCCAGATGGGGCAGCAACGACAATCTTTGAATCGGGCGAAGGAGAAGGATAGGCGTTCACGATAGCCAATATGGCGTGTTCGTTGAACTTTCGTGTGGATTCGCGCGTCGAGGTCCACTCAGTTCTTCCAGAAGGATCATTCTTCTTTGACAGGGCAAAAGTCGAGAGGACCGTCTCTGGCAAGCCACTATCTATAGGGGAGGATAAGTCAATTTCTCGGGGATGAGATCACTTACAAGACCCAAAATCTACTGTCCCTACGAGCAAGTAACGGTCGACTTCAGTTCCGTCAACGACCATCTCATTGCGCGCCTCATCCACCTGTCGAGGGATAAAGTGCAGGTGAGAAAGTTGGCCCGAGCTGGTGATTGGAATGGAAGACAAAGGTTCGGTGCGTAGATCTTGACATGTGTCAAAAGAGAAATACGGTTTCTCAACTCAAGTGCGCACCCCAGCCCAGCTCGTTTGTGAAGGTTATCTTGACTTCACAGAGACGAATACAGGATTCAGGACCTGTCAGCTCCCAATCATGGTCCGAGGAATGAGAAAGGAAGCTGGTGCTGCCGATCGGAAGTGTACCACCTTGAGCCTCCGAGGCTGGAAGGCGAGGTGTAGGGGAGAGCGAGGCTTGGAATGCAATGATAATCGCAGATTCTATTGGTACTTTTTAGATATCGTGACGCTGGGGGAGTTATCACTCACCATTGTATGCCAATCCAAGGGCGGCTCGGGTACAATAGTGACCAGTGAATAGATTCATCCCTAAAGTTGGTTTCTTTGGCGTTGATTTGGGTGTTTTATGGAATACATTAGCCGTGAGGCGTTTGAACCCCCCAGTTCCAGCACTGCGTGTTGCATTCGTAGGCATCCCCAAGGCTGTTGGTGACTCGCATAAAAGCTGGAGAGTAAAGTCTTCAAACACAATCAATGCCATGGCGGAGTGAAATGCAATCATCGGTCCCAAAGGCGGCAATCTCCTTGTGCGACCAGATGCATCTGTTGTGATCTGTCGTGGATCCCCCAACCACCAGCACGAAACAATTGATTCACCAGGACTGACGTGCCCAAAGTCCTTGAGAACAGCGTTCTTCCAGACACAGTACGTCCCAATCACACCACTTTGCGTTGAACCCGCACTTGGACCTGCAGTGACGGCGTTTGTCGTAGAAGCAGCGGGCCCATTGCCACTATTTGTGCTGTCCACAAGATGTGGAAAGTAGGCGAAAACATATTCGCCCGAGCCTGATACTGAAAGGACTCGAGCCGGTCCTAAAGGTTCATTTTGAGGGAACAGCGGTCTATGAAGCGGGAATAAGACCCTGTCTGATGAGACGGGCGGGTGTGGATAGAGCGAGATCAGCGGCTTCGTCGGATGGGCTGTAATGATTCCCAAAGGCGTCCAATGGATTTGACTAGGTCGGTTTAGGGCATTCTGTCAGTCTTAGCTTGGAAAGATGAACTCAAATTAACAACATACGGCGTATGCGGGCCATCTTGGACGAGTGGAAGGACGTCCCACCATTCCAATCCTTGTCGTGACTTCATCTGATTACTGCGGATAATGAATCATTCGATTTCCAAGGATTGCCACTTGATGTCGTGGACGTGGGGTCCAAACTTGTTGGAATCCAACTACAACATCGTCTGCATAATTAGCTCTAGGACTTGTTTCGAAACTGAGCTCATGCTGCCTTTGTCTCCGCCGTCTCCGTTGTCTGCGATTACGTATCCGGTCGCCGCTTCTATCCGGGCGTCGTTTCAGCTGCTAGAAGTCGTCGTGGGACGGACAAGAGAAGACGCGGGGATGACCGACTTCTGATATCCCTAATTCCACAGAGAATAGGGAGATAGAAATGAATGAAGAGCTCTTATTGGATACTATCGCTTGACGAGCGTAGGGCGATTTCGTCGGCAACCCGAGGCTTGACACTCCACCACTTTGCTGGCTCGGTGATGAACCCATGTGTGACCGGGTTCTTGTCTGCCGTTCTCCTCTTCCCCTTAGCTACTTGGCTGCTTCTCAGGGCTAATTGGGAAGCAGCAACCTTGACTGCTGGGGCGTCCATACTCCTTGTTTGCAAGACCCCAATTGATCAACATAACGCCACTGGCATGATTGACAGTCTCGACGGGCGCGAACTGTCGTCCAATGGCGCCTTACGCCAAGGTTGGCGTACCGCCTTTGATGGAGACGGTGCTTCGGCTTTTCAAAACATCTTGCTGAAGTTAATTTGGTGTCCCTGAGGTATGCGCTCTATTTATTAGCTCCAAAATAGGGAGAACAGAGCCTTGCTCCGACTTTCCCCCTGTACTTTCCGAGGCCCTGCATCTCTTGTACGTCGGCGGACGACAGAGATCTGTTCAGCCACGGGCTCGAGAGTTCAGATGGCACCCGATCCGAGTAGTCTTGAGCTCGCTTCATACCTGAACTTTCTCTTGACACATCGCGTTGTCGTTGTAACCCCATGGATCATTGGCTCGACGCTGGATGTCTTTCTCGGAGGCGTCTATCTTGTATTATTGGTTCAACTCCTCGTCACTTACTTCAAGTCTCCATTCAACCGCAATCACTCCGATGGTCGACGACCACCCAGAATTCTTATTCTGGTCTGCGTAGTCACAGCATTGACAGCTTTCAAGAGTGCCCTTGCACTTTATATCCTGTTTCTGAATTCGATCATCCTCAGCAATGATCCTCTCCGCCTCACGATTGCCGTTTTCACAAATTGGGTGAGCAACAATAAGTTTTCCTCTTCGTTTCGTCAAGCTGACGTTTCTGGGTGTTATCTAGGTGATGGTTACTTCCCCGCTCATGGTTCGTGGCATCTTACTTCGCCCGGCATAATCCTGACACCCTTTGCCAGACACAGCTGGTCAACCTTGCCGTCCAGTCATGTATGTGTTAGGTGCATAGTTATTGATAACCTACGAACCAACTTCCCTCCCAGATTACATCACGCTTCTGTACAACCTTTTTCGAGTGGACGCAGGCCAGCTCTTCCACCCGCTCTTCCGGGCTGGATTGTTCGCCATGATACTCATTTGTATTGTAGCGGGTAAGTTGCGCTCGTTCTCTTTCTATATATTGCTCACCAGGATGTTAAAGCAACGACGATGGGCACGCTCGCAGTACGCTTTATGCTTATAATGTCTCCCATAATACTGATTACGAACAGGTTTACGAACTCCTTTCCTTCAAATTTCGCCATCCGGGCCTCTACTGTAGGTTTCTTTTGGTTGGTCCGTAGTTAAGCCGCTGAGATGGTCGTCTAGTGACCCTGCAACTTGGAGCTTCGTTCATAGGAGATGCCCTCATCACTGGAGGCACTGTGTACTGCCTCCTCAAATCGAATAGCTACTGCATTCGGTATGGCTGACTCTTCATCGTTTCGTTTCATCAGGCTAACAATGTCGTTCTTTGTAGTGATAAGTCGAGTTTTGCTCGCTTCGCCCGCTTCATTGCATACAGCGCTTTCATTCCAGCAGTTTTGTACGTTCACCGTCTACACAGTTCGAACCGGAGTTGAACGAGTCTGTAGGGCATTATTTAACCTATCTATTGTGGCTGCGAACGTCTATTATAACCGGTGGCACATTATCTTTGATTTTGCGTATGCTTGATCCCGACTTCTCATACGATGCATTGACACTCCTAAAGTCTTTCAAAGGTCTTCGCTATATCCTTCATCTGGACACTTCAACTTCGCCGGCGATTGGTCCTCCAAAAGTCGACCACATCAAATCGTGCAAACGTTCCACCGTCACGCTGCATCTGTGAGCCGACACAGCTCAGTAGCCCGCGTCAACGCCATGTCTCCAATTGTCCAGCGTTCGGTAGCCCAGCGTATTACGACGTCGGGAGGTATGCAGAAGCGTTGGAAGCAAGGGCACGAGTGAATGGCAAAAGGGAAACAGATGAATACCTTGCTTCGGTGAACCTTGTTTCCTCCTCCTTTTCGAGGAAAGCTAATAGTCATATAGCCCTCTATGCTTGCAGCGACCGTGCCAGCCCCACGGACCGAGATGTCGAGGGACGAGGAGGACAAGTTTGAGATGGGCGTTTACATAGAAAGAATACCCTCGCCGGATGGAATAAACGGACAGAGACATCAGCGGTTCAGTTTGGTGCAGGTTGAAGGAGCAAACCGCGGGCGAGAGGCCGCTCGAGAGGGTACAAAAGAGAAACGCGATCGGAACTCATCAGAGACGAATAGCCCGGTAGTAGGTCTCTTCACCAGGCTACAATGATTTCTCCTGATACCAGTGAACAGAAGACAACGTTTCTCAATCTCAAGTCATGAACTCATCAGTTAGCTCGGCCTTTGATGTGTACCGATGCGGCATCACTTGTCATATAGCTGGGGAAATGTCACTGTAATTCTGTAAAGCACTCGGAGCATTACCAGTAAAGTAGGAGACAACGACTTTCAAGAAACGGTTTTGGCAAGTCCAAATTGGTGTTCCTTCTTTTTCAACCTTCATACAATTCAAAGATAGGAAGAAATTGGACGCAATGGTGCGCACGATCTATGGGTTCATTTGAAGCATGGCTGGAAGCATCCCCTTATCATATTAGCCTGTATTCCTTTACTTCGATCGAAATTCCAGATTTAGGGCATGATTTATCCGCTATGACGGCTATAGAGCGTGTATATATCCTCCGAGACTGTTTCGGTGTACCTGGTGAGGATGCAGAGACCTTTGCCGCAGGGCTGCCATACGAGCTTGGCCGGATCCATCAAATTCTCCAAGGAACTGTACGCTGGGGCCAAGTTTCAAGTACACTTTCGGCTGTCGTCGGATAAGCTGGAACATCTAGGATCTCAGGAAGTCGGCGACGTTCGGTACTATAATGAAAGCAGCAGTCGTGAAGAGAATCACTGTGCGTTTCTTTAGTGAGAGTTTATGAAGAAAGTGGGTACCTACAATATCCGATTCAGGTTACCATGTATGGAAAGCTCGTAGTGAGGCATGCGAGGTGTAATATGGCCCTTTAGTAGTTTCACCAATGGAATACATATCTCATCAGGAGGCCGGCAGCCGAGTACCAGGGTGGAAACCAGCGTAACCCCTTCGAGAGCAAGAAGTATGCGCTTCTCGAGCAAGATGAAGAGAATATCCCACTCCGGTGGGCAGTCAAATTTGATCTCCTCTAAGGAGGGAAGATCTGTGGGATAGGATGCCACCATATGTGTGACAGAGGCAGCAGATGCACATCCGAGTTCTAGTCGTCGAAGCCGATGTAGGTGGAGACGACAGTGAAAGAGAGTCCCTTTGTGCATGCGCGAGTAACTGGTTTTGAGATTGAGTATTTCCACACAAGGCCAGGAACTCGAAGTGAGGATAAATGGCAAGGGGTCAGAACGAAAGTTGAGATAACACCGTAGATGACATGCCGTGGAGCCGGGCATATTGGTAAAGTCACCAGGTGATGCCATCACCACAAACCGCTGGATTTTATAGAATACGTCTTCGTGGTGAGCCTCGCAGTGAGTCGTGAGAGTAAGGAGGTTTGGGAGAGAATCGAAGTTGATCCCCTTCATGATGAGTTTCCCTCTTGCGCTAGTAATGCCTAGGCATTGCAAACCCGGAGCTATTCGACAGAAATGGTTGACAATTTCCGTCACATCGGTTGGGTATGTATATATACGGAGAGTGAGAGAGGTAATCGAAAGCTTGCTATACAATGGTAATAAAGAAGATGGTTCTGAATCCAGCGAAATAGTCAGATCCAAATTCTCCAGCTGCTTTGTCTCTTCGATTAGCCGTGTTAGCTCATGAAGCCGAATGTAATCAAGGCCAATTTGCAGATGAACGACTGTGCTGAATATACAGCCGATTATGTGATTGAATATACTCCAAGACATGGCCACGCATGTGAAATGTGTCCAAGGAAGTGACCTTATAGCTTTAATCCGTGCCATAAGCGTGCCGCCTTTCGAGCTCGGCTCGTCTATGCTCGGGTCAAAATCGAGGGGAATTGAAGCTGGCAGATGTATTGTCACACGTCGGAGATATTTTAATTGCGTTATCGCGAGCAGCTCTTCGATTGTTGATTTTCCCGCATCGAGCACTTGCAGCTCGTCTCCGAAGGCTCGAGCGCTAGCTATGGGTTTGTAGTTTGAATACGCCCATGAAAGTGGTGCCTTATATTCGGTATCATATGTCGAGTGCTCCGAAGGCCAACGGCGTTCCTGCAGATCAACGACTTCCAACATCGACGATGAATAGGCGGGATGAAGACAATTTAAAGATCGATTCAAGTCCCCTTCAGTGTTTCGTTCATCCAATACTGGATTTGGAAACCGAGCGGACCATATTAATGCTCTGACCCGACGCCGATGCGGTATGAGAAGGGGTGCAAGCACCTGGTTGGCGTCAAAATTATAGTCATAGAAGATAGAAAGTGGTAATTCGCGAGAAAGATACAAAGAGAGCGCCAGTTTTGCCTCTGCGTCTTCCATATCCTTTGCGAGCTCAATGCACATCCACAGTTTGGGGGTAGTCATAATAAGATGCTCCCAATCAGTGCAAACGAGCATCAATTCGAGCACACGATCGATGATATAAACTCTGAGCTCCGGTGCCGTTGCGTGCCACAAGACTTCGATCAGGAGCTCTGCTGGAAGCTTGCTGAACGCAGTATCACAGCGCCTTTTGGAGGTTCTGTCGATGTCATCGGCAATCTCATTATATTCTTCGATCATTTCGGGATCAGGTCGATCATTGTTTCCAGAGTAGTCGAACCGAGAGCCGAGATCACGTAAGAGTTCTGTTTTCTTTGATCTTAGTTCTTTCATTTCCTCCATTGATGCCCTTATTTCGTTGAACACGTCGGTGAAGGTCCGGTCAGGTTCAAGTTATTACCAAATCTCTCTTGAGGTAACGCTTATGTTTCCGAGAATGAGTCGAGGCGCGTAACTAATTGCCTGACTGTAAGTTTCTGAGATAGGTGGACAAGGAGCCTCGATAAGACTTTGACTGCTTTCGAAGACGCTCACGACGGTGCATGGATCAGTCTGTCCTGCCTGCCCCGTCACATATGACTATCATCAAAGGGACTTATCACAAGTATACTGCATCAGACTTGCGGACGTGCAGCTAATTGAATCTAAATAAACTTTAAGTGTTTACCACCTTGATCCCGCCCACGTCCGCAATCAAACAAGGTGCTCCTAAACGACGGATATAGCGACTAATTGACTGTAATAACAGCGACAACTAGCAACAGCACGGCCCACTTGAGCTAGTCCGACCAGTAGCAGAAATAAGTAAACAAATCTCACAAGTCATCTACAGGAACGTTCAAGATTTTCATTAAAATTCTGCAACAACTACCGTGGCACTGGCGTTCAATGAAGATGCAGCAGAACGCGGCCTCGTTTGACGCCCAGCCGGCGTCTACACCTTTACATTCTCAGAGCATATCATCCCGAGATTTAGATGCATACTCTGACTGGAATTTGAAATCGAATCACATTCTCAGCACAGGACTGTGTGGGAACGGGGTTCATACCGAGGAGAGTGGCAAGAACGGTAACCCCGCCAGCAATGGCATCCATGGAGTACTCAAAGTTCAGATTGATGCACTCGCACTCATAGGGCCGGTAGAAGAGAATACCAGCAGGCAGTTGTGGAAATGTCAGTATGCTTCTCCATTCTTGCCTCATAAAGGCTGATGCAGGAGCTTGGCTACAGTATTTACACATTGTGTTCACTTCGTCACCCACGGACGGCGGATGGAAAACCTCAGTTGGCGGACTTGGGGGCGCGAGCAATTACGGACACGCGCAGATAAAATAGCCACCCCTCGTCGCGGCTTGGCTCAATCACGTGGTCAAAAGTATTATCAGCAGCAAACGGAGGCTGCCGGCGCTCATCTACAGCCCAAAATGGTCCAACACGAAGAGGAGACAACCGAACGTGTCACGAATGGCATTGATACAGTGAAAAAATCACACGATGCGTCCATTGGAAGGAACAATCCGCCCAGGCCATTTTTCTGAACGGAGGGCGAGACACGAAGAAGGCGAACTCTCTTCCACATCCATATCTGGACCCACAATTGTCACGCCGTATAATGCAACTACAGAAATTTTGATGAGGAACACAGACATGCCGTCAAACGGGTTGGGCGACCATCCGGCCACAATTGTCGAATCGCCATTTATAATCCAGCACGCCATCACCATCCTGTCAAAAGAAGGGGGAAAGAACGATAATGAGGCAGGTATGTGTCTTTCTTTATCGTCTTTACGCACGGGCTCCTTTCTTCCTTGATCGTTGCGCACTCTGGGAGGCACCATGGGTCTCGGGATAGCTTGAAATCAACCCGTTCCGAGTGCGAGGACTTTCCATTCTTTAATCAGCCCAAATCTGTTGTTATGCTCGCCATCATACCCTGGTGCTTTAGGACGTGTATGACGACTACCGGACGACCAGTACCAAAGTTTCACACCGCCACGTTTGTGACACATGGGGACATTTTCTCGCCACAAGACCCTCTCCTGCCGACGACATAGATGCATACAAATTGCTTCTCCGATTACTATTAGATCCACTTGTCACAAGAATCACTATCATCAGATCCTGACAATCGTTCACGACAATGGCTGCTTACCTTCCATATAACACATGGAAGTATCAAAATGGAAGGCCATCGTTGTGTCACTCAGTGTGTCTTGCTGTCCCTATCCTGATAGAAATTGATTCCTTCCAATCGTGGCTTTCACCTCGTTTCTCCTCCGAAAGGCGATCTGCTAACACTCTACTTCAGTCTCTCCGGTTCACAACACTCAAACACCAAAAGGTTTGATAGGGTGTATCGAGAAATCAGCATTCTCTCAAAAGTTAGTCGAAGGATCCATGTCAAGGCAAATGCTAGTCTATGGAGAACCTGAAGCCGGTGACGCTGGAGGTCGGGCAAACTCGAGGTTCGAAGAGAGCAAAGCTACGTCTACAGTAGATATTCCTATGCACAGCTATCCTAAGGGAACACCGCTGGCTCATATCAACGATGTAGTTACGCCGGGGTCCATTTCAAATCATGCATGTATCCCTATTTTAACTATCGTGTCCCAAGCCCGACTGACGCGACAACTAGGCATTGACACAAGAACTCTGGCGACAGGAGCTGACACCAAGCATGGTAGTCGAAGATTCGACAGGTAGTGGAGAGGATACAATGAGCGGCGTGACCAGACTGGGCGTGTTAGGCAACCAAGCCTTACGTCCCCCAGGAGTGACTCCTCAATCAACTCTCAAGCCGTTCGATCTATACCCTGGAAACATTCCTGGTGATACAAGGCCAATGCGGGACACACAAAGCAGTCAACATGATAGTCAGCCTCGAGCCTCAGTATGTCTTAAGTTGAAAATGCTGCACAGAAAGCTGATCGATTAGACTTCTTTAGGACAGGCGCCGTGGATTTTTCAAAGAGCTCAGCAGAACAACAACCGTCCATACCGGGCACACACCGCGGCCCCTGGCCTGACTCGTAGTTTCCAGTACATTCAACAATCTGGTCATCCTCGGTGGCAAAATCACAGACAAATCCTCGCCAACAGACTCCAAAAGTATTCGTTAAACGCCAACTTTCTGAGTGAAGGCAAGGGACCATTGCACGACCAGCGATGGGCAGGGTCCTACTGGGTTGGTGGCACCAAGATTGGATCGTCTGGATGGTTCATGTCCAAGGATGGAGCCAAAGAGGACGCTGCAAGAGATGCCCTTCTTTGGCTGAATACCTACGGCTATCACTAGAAGGGCTTTGTGATAGTCTCATAGTTTCTCAGAGAGCCTATGAGGTGTAAAACGTTCAAGTTCCCTCTTCTTGGCCACTTTTAATCTAGTTCTGTCATTTGTAATGCGACGAAACAGTCGAAGCCTATTGGGTTCAAGAATGGCACACTGTCTATCAGTCCAGGCCTTGATCATATCAGCTGGCGCCGGTATGCCGGAGGGTTAATAGTTGACCTGGATCATTAGCCAGTGGTGCGGGGCAATCAACTGCGCAGCCACTGCAAGCTGGTGGTTATTGATGATGAAGACAAGGTAACTGACGGAAGTGTACTGCCTTGTGCGAACACAATTCATCACTGGTTAGATACACCCTCTCCTGGACAAATTACAGAGCGTGCGTACGATAAGGAGAGTTTTTGTGGGATATGGGTGGCTGCAAAAGGTTGGTCTATATGATATAGAAACCAGTGTATAGCCTAGGAGGTTCCGTTAGCTGGCCGGTGGTCGGAGAGCGAGCCGCGGATGGAGCAATATTGCAATAAGCGGGTGGCCAAATTTAGTGCTGGGTGTAACGTCTGTTAAGGCCTAATTGAGTGGCCTTGGCAAGCCGATGGTCGGTTTGCGAGTAACCTGGACGAGCGTTGTGGCGTGTATTTCTTCTTATTTGGTGGATGCGTATTCATTATTACTTCCGAGTTCTTAGCCGGCACGGATTGTGGCCGAGGGTGCTGCGGATGACAAGTGCGGAGCCTGAATCCATCCAGGGGGTTGCCTTCCTCATAAAAAATCGATATTCGTCGCTTGATGGTTTCCTTCCCGGACCCCGAGCCTCCCCAACGGCCGCTGGAAGAAAAAAAAAGGCTTGGCGGTGTTTCGCCGTTCGGCACACGATCACATTCAACCCTGTCCGCGGTTTGCATCTGCTCCTTGCACTCTACCACATTTCCCCTTTTCTCGCATCTATTCCCTAATTCCAGCACATCTTGTACCCAACCCCGTCACGCTCCAGTTGCGCGCGTCAAATCTTCGCTGGAAACGGCTTGAAACCAGCAGCTGGGCGCATCTTCGCGCCTCAAAATCTACGGCCACAACACGACTACCGTTCAAGAAATACTTTGGACATATCTCCGGGCCTACTTTACCTGCTCTCCGCGTCTTCTGAACTTTGCTTCGTCTGCGCTACGTAGGCCATGAGCGGCGACAACTACCGACTGCTGCGGACAGACAGCAACCAAGAAGATGACGACGATGTCGATGCGCTCGAATACGGCCGTCCATTTTCTCAGACCAAGGCGTCGCCATCGAGAATAAAGCCCGTAGTGGATGCTATATGGTCGAGTATGCGCAGATTACTCGAATCTTCACCCTTGTACTCTCCACTAAAGGCGACGACGACAAGTCTCCGACGCGACTCGTCCTCGTCCTCGTCCTCTACCAACAGTTATTCACTTTCCTCTGCACCGCTCTCAATATTTCAACAATTATACTTTCACTCCTTTGACGGCAAATATGCCACTCGCCGAATATACAAACGGCTTCTTGGCTCACTGGGCCTTGGGCTCGTCTGTCTCTTACTCTGGCTCTATTGGGAGACCGTCGAACGGATATACTATGTTCAGTTTATCATGAACACCCCTGGGCCCGGCTGCCTCGTCGACCGCAGCACGCCAGATAGCTACGTTCAATGGTCGCCAGACAGTCATGTCCTTTCCAGCGGTCAGGGCCCAGTCTATCATTGCATACGTCAGCGACCGCAGTCGAAAAAATCATTGGCTGCTGGTGATCAAAAGGGTGCCTCGCTCCGCACCTGGCGCCCGCTCCCAGCGGATTGTATAGATGCTTACTACTCTGCTGGCGCTTCGTGCTCGGACGGGCAGCGCACCACGCTCGACGTCGTGTGGACGTGGGTAAATGGTTCTGATCCTATGCTCATCCGTTCCAAAGCGCGCGCAAAGGCGCGCTTGGACCGACAGCGGATCCGAGAGGAGAGGCAGCGCCAGCGAGAACACGGCGCTGCTGTCGAGTATCTCCCAGAACAAGACGATGAAGAAGAGGAATTGGTCATCAAGGAAGAGGAGAATAAACATCTCTATCGCGACCACGACGAACTTCGGCATTCGTTGCGCTCGGTGCTCGAAAATTTCCGCGAGTCGGCCAACAAGTTTACGATTCTTACCTCTGATTTCGATTTCCCTACCGACTCGGGAGAGGATGCCGGCGAGGAAGAAGTCGACGTGCCATCTGCAAGGCTCGGCTTGCTTCCACAGTGGCTAAAGTTTGGTGTCTTCGTCGACGAGTCGGGTCAATTACAACAACAGCACCAACAGACGATTGGACACTGGAAGGATGGAGATATCTCGCTCGACGTTGTGCATCATGCAGAAGTCTACGATGAGTATGATGGAACAGTGTTCAACAGCAACTCGATCGAGTCTCAGATTGGAAATGTCGCTGGTGACAAGGCATTGTGCGTTGACCACCCTTTTGATCCCCCAGAAGTTGACCACTGACGACAACCTTCATAGCTTGTATTTCAACGATGACTGCTTCTTCAACGCACCTCTCAGTGGCTCTGATTTCCATTCATCCAACTATGGTCTCGTATTTCGACTCGTAGCGTATCCATGGATGCTCCTCACACCCCACCACTACCCCGTCGATTCGGGACTTGGTGAATGGCATCCAATGGAATTCACCAACTATCTCCTCTCAAAGCGCTTTGGCGCACGTCGTCGGCCGTATCCCATGCATCAAGTCAAAGTCCTCCAGGGAGCACTGATGCGCGAAATGTGGGAGATGTGGAGCGAACAAGAGAGGATCAATGAACGACACAAATTTAGAGGACTGGGCGGGCTGGATAAAATCGGTGTGAGTGAAGGGGACGAACGGGAGCCATGGATGGACGAGTTGGACCCCATTGAACTCCGTGCCGACGCAGAAGAGGAAGGAGCTGTCGATGTCGAGGAACGTAAAGTCCGACGAAGGCGGCGGTCCATCTTCCAAGACGAGCAGGGAGAGGACACAGAGACAAAACCGTGGCGTGCACCGTCGATTGAAGAAGACGAAGACGATCGACCGCGTGCACAATACAAGGGCCACAACTCTGATCCTCACACGAACGAATATCCAACCAATGATCAGTCTGAAGGGGAAGAAGTGGACGACGGAGACGCGCATGTCATGTTCCTTTTCACCCACTTTGTCATCGAACGCTCGCGTGAGGCTATGCTCTGGTCTTATGTTGTCGCTACGCTTGGAGACGACGATGATGCGTTTGGGGACGCACAGCGCTCGCGGTTGCGGGAAATGCTCAAGAGTGCCAATGCGACGGAGCGTGTTCTGGAATCTTCCGGTAGTACTGGTGACAATGTAGAGGCTGGAAGAAAGGCGTACGACGTGGTGGTAGAACGTCGCAAGACGATGGAACCCTGGCGCGTCGAGTGGACCTTGCGCGAAGTTGGCGACAAGCTCAAGGGATCAGAGTACCTCTTCTGTAAATCTTTTTACACATATGGACTGATTGGTACTGACTTTTGATTAGCGAGTCAAGACGGGGATGCGTACTCATACTACGACGACAAAGGTGGTCTTCCATGGTGGCATGACGGCTCGACAGACTGGCCCAAGCTCTGGCATGAAGCCAACTTTGACGCAAATATCACGGCCCGTCCTGACTGGACGCGCTGTACAATCGAGTGGGATACCTGCTTCGACGCTGAAATTCATTCGGCGAGCGACATGTTCAAACAGGTAGCCTTTGAGAAGAGGGAATGTGGCGATTGTCGTATGTATCGGTTTCGTCGTGACTACCGGTGATGCTGATGGCATGATAGTGTTGAAAGCCCTCGTGAGGGCTAGCGGGGACATTGGACTCTCCGCGCTCCTTCCGCCACACAATCGTACATTCGTCTCTCAACCCCTCCTCCAGCAGCCACCACAACACCAAGATGGAGATGCCGGTGTCAACGACGATGCGTCTACGGCCCCGCCTTTGAAATTCGGAGAAGAGGCCATTGCACCATTCTTGCCACTCACGACGACCTGGCAAGAAGCCGACTTTTCGCTCGAGGGAGTATTCGCGTCTGGGTTCTGGGACCCAATTGACGGGAGCGGTCGCGTGAGGTTGCGTGAGTGGACGCAACGGTTAATGGAGCGATATCGATATGTTCTCGCCGACACTGGAAATTATTTCAATGTGATTGGCAACCCCGTCGACGCCGAGCGAATGTTTGCCTATGTCGACGACCACCCGCACGTGCCGCTCGTGACGATCAATGACGTGATTTGGCAATATCCCGAGCTCACAGATGAGCGAATGCGTACCTGGTTCGACCAACGTTGGTCGGTGCCGGCTGCGTGGGAGAGGCCCGAGGGTGTCGCGGCATCTTCGTCCAGTTCAATGTTCGATGCGTTTCACTGGACAAAGAGGATGGACGAAGAAGAGATGATGGCATGATCTATGTCTTCCCTCTGTCCTTCCCCAGTGTTCATGGGTTTCCTCACTGTCCTCCAAAGACGCAACTCGTCAGCCTGGTGCTTCAATGACAATGGGGACTCTCCATCCCAGATGTCAGCGTATTATTAGCCCCGCTTTTTATGATTTAACACGGGAAGTCGACTTCCTCCCTAATGCCCTTTCGCTTCCGCGCACGACTATAGATCCTCTCCACATCCATATCTCTTGTGGATGTTATTCACCCTTTTCTACTTGACCATCTCGCTTCGTCTTGTAGGAGTCCACACCCTTCGCTGCCGCGTCTCTCATCCCTTCTGTTCGGTTCATTCCTCACGTCCTCACGTTTATCCCGCTTGTGGTGTATTAGTATTACATTGGAACAATATTTTCTTTGCGGATACCGTGCCCTGGCTTTAAGGATGGCAAATGGCTTGAAAGCTCAGCTATTACCGCCACTCGAGATTGAGACGGGATGGCATGAACAACAATGACCCAAAGCCGAGGATTTTTTCTATTTTCTATAGGAATCAACCCGGAGGCATCTTACCTGGAGTGGCCCATGGTCCCGCAAGTATGTCTCTACCAAGAGGTGAGATTCAAACCAGAGATTAGCGTAGGAGAGCGGTAGGGAATAAGTGGACAATGAATAAATGAGCGCCAAATATATCTATGGTATTATATTAGATAAATTTATTCAATGGTGATCAATGGTCCCGTAGCACAGTGGTTAGTGCTTTGTACTTATGGGTAACAATATGCAAGGGTCCCGAGTTCAAATCTCGGCGGGACCAGGGTTTTGTTGAATTTCTCTATTTTTTCTTTTTTACCCGGCGTCTTTCTGACCAGGTCCCTATAGTCCCTTGCGCAAATCGTTTTACCACATCGCAAGAAGTAGATTGGAGAGGACTGTACAAGGACGATGAACACATGGAGCAAGAAACGAGACACAGCTCTGACAAACATGCTACTGGCGATATGCCTTGACGAGGTCCGTGTAGTACTTTTGGAACCCGCGCTTGTCCATGCTCTGCATATTGCCCACGAGCTCTGCGGCCATTTGCGGTGTGAGGTTTTGTGACGGCAAAAAGACCGTCGCAAGATAATTGACCGCCTCATCTCCACGGACTTTGACGGTCGTCTGAAAGATACTCGCAATCTCATACAGTGTCTGGAGACATCCACGACGTCTGTCAGCCCTTCTCATCGACAAGCAAAATGAGACTTACGGCAGTAGATTGGCCATCCTTCATGTTAAAGTCGGGAGCGGTCGGGATATTAAATGCAGTGACAAAGATGCGTTGATAGATGTATTGTTCGATGCCGGGTACGACAATGTTGCTGTTGGGTGCAGCGCTGTCTGCCAAAGGGGCGCTCTGCCCAAAGGAGGATATGAATCGGTTAATGAATGTGAGGGCTAGCTTCTGATTAAGCGGATCAGTGGCGTCTGACGCCATCTGGAGGATAGTATCCAAGAATGCTTGTAGATTGGGTACATTGCCTATGACTTTGATTAGAAAACTGAACAGCAGATAAAGATACATACGTGGAGAGATAAATATCGTGCCAAGATTGGAGTGCATAACGGTATTGAGGAAAGTAAGGTACGCCTTTTTAGTGTCAATGTGAGCGGTCTTGTCGTCTGTCCCAGTAATCGGTTGGGCGATGAGACTAGAGACATGAGTGGTGAGAGGGATAAAAACTTCGTCCAGAACAGGCTGCATCTGAACCTAAACACAGTAAGCAACGCGACGATTGGCGACAGGAGAGAGAGACGGCCTACCTGAAGCTTGTGCGTCATATGGGCGATGAACGAAATAAAGTCGACAAACTCTGTCGTCTCGAAATGAGACAGGAGAGCCTGCATGAGCCGCGGTACGTATTCTGTAATCGTTGGACCAGCCGCAGCGATGAGCCTTCCAAATGCAAACCTCGCCTGCAACCAATGAGCACGACGACACAATGAATCCAATAAGGCATACCGCTTCTCGAATCGCCTTGAGATGGCCCATGACTCCGAGCGAAACGAGTATGGCTTCTGCCATTTGTCGAAATTCTGCAATGGGAGGTTGGATATAGTCCGGTGGAACCGGCGAGGGATATTCAGGGAACCCCTTTGGGATATTCCCCAATGCGCAGATGCTATGGTGAACCTCTAGTGCATTCTGATGATCTTCCTCTGTTCCAGTGGGTGGCTTCTGGAGGCACGCAGAGAGATGCGTGAGTAGCGGTGCGATGAGATTCTGCAAGGTGACCGCCTGCGCTTCTGGCATGCTCCATAGAATGGACACGAGAGCGCCAGCGGCTTCAAAGATGTAGAGCTGCGCGTCGAACAGTGTCGTCTCCTTGAGCAACTGTCCCAAAAAGTCTTCGCCTTCATTGTGCGAAAAGTCATCTGGAATCTTGGCGTCAATGACGAGGAGATCTTGGATGGCCGTCAAGATGGCAGGGACGTTTTGCGGGTCAATGTCGATCCGTAGCACCTGGACGAAGCGGTGAAAGAGATAAAATACCCGTCTTCGAACTGTCATCACTGGATGATGAACGCCACTAAACTCATCTTAGTCTTCACCTTGGCTTCGTAGAGCACTCACCGTGTATCGAGAAAGGCCTCGAGAGCAGGAAGCACATTCTCTTTTCGCACTTTGAAGAAATCGGCATATCTCGCAACCGTCTCGAAGAATTGCATGGCCACGGTTGGGTTCGGATAGGTGGAGATGCGCGAGCGCAACAGAGACTGCATCATTTCTCCCTGAGGAGTGAGCGGATACTCTGAATAGTCGATTGTTTTCCGCGCCTCCTTTGGAATGTTGGGTGGTGCCATGCAAAACGCGAGCCGTCCCTTGCCTTGACCTTTATTAGCATGCGACGATCGGAAATCCGGACACATACCTCTATCCTTGGCACCGAGCTCTCCAAACATAAAGACGAGGAAGATGGCGAGCTCGGCTTCTTCCCAGGGTAGCTGCGCACCCGACTCGTACGAATCAAGGGCAGATTGTGCTCGCTCCGAGATGATACTCGTCACAAGTTCGGGATTGATAGAGTAGATGGAATCCATCAACTTGCGAATATCCTAAGCCATCGTCAGAGACCTGTTAGAGATCAAAAAACCGCCATACCTTGCGCATATTCTCGAAATATGACACGTCCTCCGAGTCTGTATCCTCCGGATCATCCTCTGAATCCCATTTAAACTTTTCGATCAAAATGTTGAGAGTAGCACGGAGAAATTCTTCCCTCTGAGCCGTCATATGCGAATGTGGTGAAGCGGATCTTTCCTTCTTGTACTGAGGGAATGTCAGACAGGAGGAATTTCAAGGAGGAGAGAGACTTGCCGTGCCGAGGATATCGATCAACAAGGGAAAGACGACATAGGATGTATCATCAAACTTGTCGGCAAGGAATCGCAACACGAGAGGGACGAGCTCGATGAGCATCTCTGCCGCTGCCTGCATCTCATCGGGTGGGAGTGTAGTCTACTGCTTCGTGAGTATCATAATACAGACGGGTTGCATGTACGTACGTTGGCACAAATCTCTTTGAGCTCGATCCCGAGTGCATTGACGATCCGCGCCAACGCCTCTCGAAACGATTCAAGGTCGTCGCCTGGACTAACGGCTCGCGACGCCAACGTCTGTGCCTCCAACTGATCAATGACCGGCGTGAGAGAGAGGACCTGGAGGAGCTTGAGTTTGTCCGACGCGACTTTGAGTCCCTTGGTGACAATCTTTTGTAGGGCAGTACAAGTGGCTAATCGAATGGCCAGGTCTGGATCGGCGAGGAGGGAAAAGAGAAGAGGAATGCTGTCCGGTGTAACGGTAAGGTTGATATCGATCCATGCTACCCTATGTTGTCAGGGTAAAGGCCACACGAGGGAGGAATGCTACTCACGAACATAGCTCGCAAATGCACGAATGCCCGTATCCACCACCTCTTCATCCAATGGAGCAATAATAGCGTCTGGATTCTCTGCACGCTGCCTATCAATGGTCTGCTTGCCCTCTAGCACAATGGCAAGGACGGCAGTGTTGATTTTGGCCGCCTCGTTGGACCGTATGAGATCGCGTATACGCCCATCTCGCGCCATTCTCTCTGCACTAAACGCGCGTGCATTCTTCAAGACTTGATCCGCGACTTCTGAAGAGATTTCGAGGACGAGTCGGAAGAAGAAGATGGAGACGTGTTTATTAAAAGGTTCTGCACCCGACTCTGGTGGGGGCTTGAGGAGGGTAAAGATGTCATCGAAAAAGGTAGACCATTGTTTTTCGTACGAGACCAAGAAGAGGAGAGTGAGGGTGAGGGAAAATTTGTTACGTATATAATTGGCCGAGCCCTCTGCGGGACCATAGAGGTATTCCATCCGGAGATAGGTGAGTAATTGTTCTCGGAGGAGCGCGACATCTTCGTCGGGGAGATTTCCGCTCGAGTTGCTATCACAAAAGTGGGTTGAGCGAGTGGAGTTTGACAAGATAAAATGGAAATGGAATACGCACCGAAACTCGAGAAAGTCGTTGAGAACGTTGAGGGCAAACATACGGACGTCTGGGCCATATCTGCGCGTGCGACCGTCGTCGTTTGTGGCGACAAAGAGGGAGAGGGCGTAGCGCCATGAATGTGCGCTTTCTGCGCGTAATTTGTTGAGAAACTCGAATGCTTGTGCGTGGATGGGCTGTCCCTGGAGCGCGTAGTCGTTGAGGACGTGGATGGCCTGCACAATCTGCTCCTCGGGCGTGCTCATCTGCGGGGATAGATCTAGATTTCGATCTCTTGTCGTGATCAATCGCCGTCGTCGTCGCCGGCGTTGGTGGCTACTTGCTGGCTAACAAAGTCGTCTCCAAGCTCAGAGTCATAATCCGTCGCACCTTGGCTACGAGCAAAAAGTACAAAAAGTATAATGAAACCATGGTTTTACAAGTGTTTTGTATATATTCAGCAATTATAAAGGTGCTCGTCTCGCCACTCGCAGCGTGTCCAAACAGCCGGCCAAACACCCAACCAACCAAAATCCGACCAGACCCACGATGGGCGCGTACAAATACGTTGGAGAACTCTACAAGAAAAAGCAGTCGGATGTCCTTCGATTCTTGCTTCGTGTCAGGTTTGCAGCCACTCTTTACCGACATAATCGAAAATGCTAATGCGGCGGGGCAATTTCTAGGTGCTGGGAATATCGCCAGCTCAACGTGATCCATCGTGCATCGCGTCCATCTCGTCCAGACAAGGCCCGCCGTCTGGGTTACAAGGCAAAGCAAGGCTATCTCATCTACCGCATTCGCGTCCGCAGGGGTAACCGCAAAAAACCCGTTCCAAAGGGTATGTTACGCTCTTGTTTAATGTATTATATCGTTCTAATCGCAGTATAGGTGCTACCTATGGCAAGCCCGTTCGCCAGGGTGTAAACCACCTCAAGTTCCAGCGAGGACTTCGTTCCGTCGCAGAGGAGCGTGTGGGAAGACGTTGTGGAAATCTTCGTGTTCTCAATTCATACTGGATCAACCAAGACGGTGTCTACAAGTACTACGAGGTCATTCTCGTCGACCCGAACCACAAAGCCGTGAGTCCGACTCTTTTCTTTTTTTTTTTAAACGCAAACTCACACCAAACTAGATTCGTCGCGACGCGAGGATCAATTGGATCTGCAACCCTGTCCACAAGCGTCGCGAAGCTCGTGGTCTCACTTCGATTGGCAAACAAAACCGTGGTCTCGGCAAGGGAAATCGTTACAATCACATTCCTGCTCGCTCAACCTGGAAGCGCCACAACACGTCAGTCTTCTCATCTTCGGGCAAGGGTCCACGTAACTCACCTTTTCTTTCCGCAGCCTCTCTCTTCGTCGCTACCGATAGAGAACTCGTTGAAGCGATGCTATTCTGTATCCCCCTTTTGTCTGTTAGCGATTACACGACCCTGCCTTGAACCGAAATCGAGATTTTGCTGAATGAGTGCGATCCCACCGGAAGCCGAGTCACACGGGGTGTTGTAAAGTCCTTCGTGATCGGAGTTTCCAAAGCCGTCGAGAAATCGGACTGAATGCAGGCGTCCGGGTATGAGGGTCCCGACTGGCGATATATAGCGTCTGGATCATGCCACTCGACTTGGACCCCAACCAGACCTTTAATAATTTCCCACAATGACCACTTTTTACGATCTCAAGGTTGGTTTTAACCTGCGACTGGAATGACGTTGATATTCACCCTATTTCCAGGCAGAGCTCCCGGGTAAGCCGGAGCCCTATACGTTTGACCAGCTCAAGGGCAAGGTTGTCCTCATTGTCAACACGGCCTCTCAATGGTATGTATACTTACTCGTCGTAGGAATTTACTCACATTTTTCCCCCTCTTCTCCGATACCACCCACGTCATCTCCGACTGCAGCGGGTTTACACCGCAATACAAGGGTCTCGAGACGCTCTATGAAAAGTACAAGGACCGTGGATTCGTCATTCTTGGATTCCCATCGAATCAATTTGGCGGACAAGAGCCCGGAACGGATGAGGATATTGCCACTTTTTGCGAGCTCAACCATGGAGTCACGTTTCCATTGATGAAGAAGAGTGACGTGAATGGAGATAACACCAACGAGGTTTACCAATGGTATGTCTATCTCCCATCCAGCAAGGCCGTATACTAATGGGACGGCTGGGCAGGTTGAAAAAGGAAAAATCTGGACTGCTTGGAATGTCCCGAATCAAGGTAAGGATATTCATACATCTATATCCGATATATGCTGACGCGAGTAGTGGAACTTTGAGAAATTCCTGATCGACCAAAACGGCAAAGTAGTCCACCGATGGGCTTCGACGACGACTCCAAGCTCCATTGAGCCACATGTTGAGAAACTGCTGGCTCAGACTCCAACGGCGACGACGACCGCAGAGCCCGCGGCTCCAGCTGCCACTACCTCGTCATGAGCTGTATTCTTGGGTTTTCCGGTACATTTCCGTATGTTGAAATAGCATGAAAAGTCTATTTTTTTTCAAACGGAAATCTGATCCGATAGCTATTGAGGCCGTCGATCGGGGAGTGGCTCCACGACGTCAGAGCGGGACCCCTGCGAGCTTTGGCTCCACCATTTAAACCCAACCACATTCTGCTAATTCTCCTCACTCCTACCACAGATTCTACTACTCTTACATTCTATAATGACAACGCTACATGATCCACCAATGACAAAGGTTGCACCCGCTAGTCCAGCGGGTACGGAATACCACGACGCTCCCAGTGGATACGAGCAGCAGCAGCAGCCACGAGTCAACATTCACGAACCTACACCAACGTACGAGAAACATGCCCCCTCTTTCCCAACTCCCCATACAAACGGCTACGCACCAGAAAAGAATAATGGCATCCTCACGAGTGGCACGACGAGCTCTCGCCACAGTATCGGCTCGACAAATTCACGACGCGTCAATTACAATGAAGACGTGGTACTCGCAGACGGAAATGGTGCAGGCGTCAAGCGGGCTGGAACTTGGGCTCATGGACCTGGTACCTCTGGAATGAGAGAGGATACGACTGGTGCAAACGGTGTCAGTCGTCATGCGAGCTTGGCTGAACGTGCGACAATGGCAGCAGAGAACATTGCGCCTGAAAAGTATGCAGCCTTGACCAAAGCCGAGAGTGCGTACCATTTTTCTTTTCTCCAACAAATGCTAGAAACTAATGTGACGATAGAAAAGGACGCCAAACGTCTCTCCAAGATTATCAAGGCAGAAGGCAAGGCTGAAGACAAGCAACTCAAATCTGCACTCAAGGAACTCGCAAATCTTCAGGCCGCACAGAAAAAGGCGAGCGCAGCCGAAACGGCAGCGACGACAGCACAAACGAGAGCGGCAAAGGAGGAACAACGCGCGAGTGCGGCATATCTCGAAGCCAAGACGCGATATGAACGTGCAATTGCTGGACTCAAGACGGCAGAGGAACGTTTGACGCTTTGTCGAGAGCAAGCAGAGAAGACGACGGGAATGGTGCGCAGACAGGTGGGTAGGCTCATTCACACGTGTTCGAAAGGTGCTAATCCTGTTTTAGGCCGAAGAAGTCGAAGCTATGAGAGAGCGGAAGGCGACGGATGACCGTGAGCGAGAGGTTAAACTGGCCAACCTCAAGGCGGGCCTCATGTCGCCATAGAGTGACTGTGATGGTGTTATTCTATTCGGTGTACATTTGTGTACTATGCCATATGCTTTTGCTCCTTGTGTCGTGTGTAGTGATCCCAGTGTGTCTGTATCAATTGTGAATGAGTTTTCTGAATATCTATGGCGTTTTTTGTGAGATAATCTTGGTCGGCGTGGCGGTGGCTTTGTAATCGCTTGGTCAGCGCATAAGGGGCAAGGCATCCCCGCCCGTGACCTCAGCGAAGCGCTCGTCACTGACTCATTACGAGACCATTAAAAGTCGACTCCTCTCGCGATTTCCTTGGCTCGACCTGTCTCCTGACCCCCGAGCCCTCTCCAGAGTTTCCCCCTCTGCTAAAGCCCGTCGAGTACAGAGAGCCTTTCTCTCTGGTCCCATATCCTCCCCTCTTCTCTTCCGAAGATCACTGCTTCGTCGAAACGACATGTCTTCCCTCCACTATAACCCCCCGCCGTCGTATGCCGCCACGGTCCCGACGCCAAACTATTCGACCGTGCCGCTTCCATGCGAGGAACTCGTCGAATTGGCGCTCAATCCACCACCATATCTCACCCGCACCTCCTCCTCGTCTTCTTCATCCTCTTCATCTTTGGGCGAGTCATCGTTGCAGAGTTCTGCTGCAAGCTCGAGTCGTCCGTCTACGAGCCAGGGAGCTCGTGTAGAAGAGCCCTCGAAACATTTCATCTTTTCATCTGGCAATATTGAACTAGACCTCGGCCCCAAAGATGGCGATATCCCGTCATATGGCTTGCAAGGACGAGTGCGCGGAGTAGTGAGGATCAAGAAGATGAACCACGTTCAAGGTATCGTAATCTCAGTAAGTCCATCTTTCTTCTTAAAGAACCAATCTAATCGACATCTAGTTGGAAGGACGGGCGCAAGTCACCGCGATGCAAGGAGGACTCCCCTGTGGCCATACAGAGCGCAAACTCCTCTATGTCCCCTTGAAACTCTACACAAAGGAATCTTCGGCAAAGGAAAGGCTCGTGCCACCCCATCGTCCGAGTTTCCATTCGAGCTCGCCTTTCCGACGCACGCAGATTCGACGGACCCAACAGCTGCGCCTATCGCGCTTCCACCAACGTTTCGAAATAGCCACCCGAGCATGGAAGGGTGGATCAAATATACGGTCAAGATACAAGTCATCAAGAGTGGCCTATGGCCGCGCGACGTACTCGCCACGGTCGTCCATTATCTCCCAAAGTTTTATTCTCTCCCAGAGACACTATTATGGCCAGCCATCTCCCTCATGGATGCCAAACGGTTCGGATTAGAAACCAACGAAAAGTGGAAGACGACACGCGCCTCCCTTTCAAGCAAGACACCAGTACAAGACGAGCCGACAATGTCCGTCTCCATTCCACGTACAGCACGCGCTGTAGCCAACTATTGCTTCCCCGTAAACGTCACTCTCCGCATCCCATCCTCTTCGATCCCCCGCAAAGCACGCACACAAGAAGGCAAACCAATCACCTCGATTGACGATTTACTCGCAGACCCAACACGCGTCCAAATCACCATGATCAAAACGACGACACTCACCACACCCACCGTTGGCGCAAAATCTTCCCAAGTCACCACCCTCGCACGCGCATATCGTCAACAAATCGAAGCCGAACTCGTCAGTCGACCTCATGACGAACGAATCATTCGTGCTTGGTTCCGTGCCGGTAGGAAAGAGGGCGAGGCGAGTTGGGAGATTCAGGGCTTGGTCGACGTACGGTATGCGATTCGGGTGACGGTCAGTTTGGGAGAAGGAGAAGGGTGCATTTTCAAGCATGATGAAGAAGTCCGGATGTTTAGTCATTCGCTGGGTCAGTTTGAGTGCCCTTTTGAAGTACACGACGAACCTGCTCGAAATTTGCTTCTCGCGTCTGCTTTGGGTAACAATTTGACAAGGTTTTGATATGGACACTCTTATGTATTTTTAGTTTCGGGAAAATGTTGTGTTTTGTATGTAGTGGCCTGACAATCTACATTAAGCCCTTACTCTGTAGAGCTGAATATAAGGGGGCCCTCTTTCGAATTCATGCCGCTCGAGGAGGTACTCAGACTTACATACTATGTATCACTCACATCGGCTCCCAAAGGTGGTCTATGTAGAGATCATATCGTCCTCCAGAGGTATCTCCGTGTATTGGGTGAGTCTAGCAGGTCGGTCTTTGCAGGGTGAAAATATAAACGAATTTTTCGACAAGATACTTTCGAGGGCGGTCTTGCGTTGGCGCCAGGTGTCGAGTACACCTTGGGCCGTATGCGGATACTGAGGCAGTCGCGACAGAATCACGTCCATCCTTTCGTCATTCATTTCCTCACGTAGAACACGAGGTATATAGCCGCATGTTCGCATATGGTCGCTGCGCATGGTGATCAAGTGTCAGAAAGGGAACCGTCGATGAAGCGTCGTAGTGTATCAGAAGTATACTTACTGATGCCTCCCAAGAACCAATAGAATGTTCCCTTGTACCGAAAGCTCGTAGTTTGATAATCTTCGAGTAATATGTCCTTTGAGCAAGCTGACCAGTGGAACTCGGATCTCTTCTGGTGGGGCGCATCCAAACGTCAACTGAGATATTGGAGTGAGTCCCTTTACACTGAGAGCAAGTCGGCGCTCTATCATAATAAACAGTATATCCCACTCGGGTGGTGGTATCAATCTGATTTCCTCTAACCTAGGAACGCCTTGGGGGTGCATTGCCAATTCATGACAGATACCAGCCTCGTCTCCCGGGTATAGCATAATTTGGCGGAGATTCGAGAGATTCAAACGAACATCCAGTTGCGGGTCAGGACGGAGATGGCGATCTTCGATGGTCAATGACTCTATATTGGGCCAGCAGCACGAGTCGAGGGTAAAAAATGGCTGATCAGGCTCTTGGACGGTAATGCCGCATCGTAGGTGCAATACTGAAGCCGAACGCCAGTACCGAAACTGCCCTACGGATGCAACAACACTGAAACTTTCGACGTTGGGGATTTCAGTCACCGGCAATTCAGGAAAGTCAAGTGCGAGATCGCGAAGGCACTCGAGCGACCGCAAATCAAACTTCCACGCCGAAATTCGCGTCTTTCCGGATACAGAAAGCCACTTCAGAGGGGGTCTGTAACGGCAAAAGGAGGCAATGAGATCTGCCGTATGAATATATGTCGAATCCACCCAGAGAGTCAGCGAAATTAGTGAAGAGCCCTTGTAATCTGCATTTGGAATCACTGCAGATTTGAAGTCGTTATTGATCAAGATGTTTAATGCTTCAAGCCTTTTCATCCTTCCTACTGCATTTATTGTGTCGTCAAGATGCGTGGGACCAATATAGGTTAAAAGTCTGATCAGGGTACCGCTCAGAAGATGCAACAGGCGGGTCATGAGTGGCCACGGTAATCCGGCTATCGAAAGCTCCAACCAGGTAAGCCTGTCTATAGACTCCAGTTTGCCGCGAGTGCTTCGTCGGACGCGAGCTGGGGATCTTCGAAGTGGATCGTGACATATACAAGATTTTTTAGTAGAATCAAAGCTTCAAGGTCTCGTATAGTGCACTTTCCGAAATTAATGCACCGTAGCTTTTCTCCCAGATCGAGTAGATCGATTGATGGTCCCCATGCGGCTGAAATCACCATATTGCTGTCACTATGCAATGTTGTGCGAGGTCGAGTGCTCACTTCGGTCAGGTTTGTGCATATAACAAAGTGCTCTAATAACTTTTGTTCCTCAGCAGTCTTGCGGTGACTGCTTAGCAATCGTATGAGAGATTCGACCCGGTGAGCGTGTGGTGACAAGGCCTGAGAGAATATTCCGGTTACTGTGAGATCAGGTGTGTACAGCAATGTCAACTGGTAATTCCGGGAGAGGTGAAGGGACAGAGCGAGCTTCGCCTCCGCGTCCTCGAGTCTTGAAAGCTCTATACACGTCCAGAATTTGGCATTATTCAGGATCAAGTCTGTCCACCTTGTACACACGAGAGTGAGCTCAAGCACACGGTCGATTACATAACCCCTCAACTCTTGCGTCGACGCTTGCAGTAAGATATCTGATAATAACTCGACAGGAATATCGTTTATCGTTATTCGACGATTATTTGTCCGTATTTTCTCGATCTCTTCAACGGTTTCATTGTAAAGTTGCACGATGGTGGGATCTAGGTGATCAAGCCTCCCAGAATAGTCAAACTTGGCTCCCAGATCATAGAGAAGCTGCTTCTTTCTTGCTCCTAAACTCGCCAGGTATCCCTCGTTGTTCGACATTGGCATCCAATAGGTTGGGGGACTCCAAGTTCGAGATCCACCTTGTCACTATCACATCGAGTCAGACAACATGTCGGGTTCACGTGATAAAAATTAGTTCTCTCTATCTCTCATTCTTTAGTCATTCGCTGGGTCAGTTTGAGTGCCCTTTTGAAGTACACGACGAACCTGCTCGAAATCTGCTTCTCGCGTCTGATTTGGGTAACAATTTGACAAGGTTTTGATATGGACACTCTTATGTATTTTTAGTTTCGGGAAAATGTTGTGTTTTGTATGTACTGGCCTGACAATCTACATCGCGCGTTGTGAGGTTGAACAAACCCTTCTGTAGTTGGGTTCCACTGCTGAATGTGATCTTTGTCACTTGAATTCATGCTTGATCCCCTCCGCTCTAATGAGAAACAGGGGTTCGGTTGTTCCTTTAAATTCATGCCACTCGAGAATGGGTACGATGGGCTCAAATTACATACTGTAAATCACTCGCATCACCTTAAAAGGTGGTCTGTCCAGGGACCAGATCAGTTTCCTCGTCCTCCGAGGGTATCTCCGTGTATTTGGTGAGCGTGGCCAGCTGGGTTCGGCAGAGCGCGCCACTATACGAATGCTGCGCCATCATATTCTCAAGACCAGCCTTGCGTTCATGCCAGGTCTCCAATACACCTTGGGCGGTACTCGGATATGGAGGCAACCCGGATAGGTCTACTTCCTCAGTATTGTCATCCGTTTCCTCACGTAGAGAGCGGCCAATATAGCCGCATAATCGCATACGGTCACTGTGTACGGTTATCGCATGTCAAAAAGGGATGGTTAGGGTAGTCTTTGAAGGCAAACTCACAAATGCCTCCCGAGAACCAACAGGATGTTTCCTTGTATCGAAAGTTCATAGTTTGACGGCCTTCGGATGATACGACCTCTGAGCAAGCTGACGAGAGGGACTCGTATTTCTTCCGGTGGGGCGCAGCGAAATCTCAGCAGGGAAATTGGTGTTATCCCTTCCACGCTGAGAGCGAGTCGCCGTTCTATCAAAATGAAGAGAATATCCCACTCGGGTGGCTCTTTAAAGTGGATTTCCTCTAGTCTCGGAACGTTTTGAGGGTACATTGCCAAGGCATGGCAGATACCAAAGTCATGCGCCAGATGTAGCGTACACCGGCGGAGATTTGCGAGGTTCAGGCGAACATCGAGTTGTGCATCTGGCTGGAAATATTTTTCTTCAATGGTCAATGCCTCCACCTTGGGCCAAGAGCACGAGTCGAGGGCGAATGGCTGGTCATCAAGAACCGTGATCGTGCATCTTAGGTGCAATACACTGGCCGAATGCCAATATTGAAACTTTCCTGTTGGTGCACCAATTGTAAATGTTTCAATGTCCGGAACCTCGGTTACTGGTGAGTCTGCGCCGACAAGTGCTAGATGGCGAAGGTGCTTGAGAGACCGAAAGTCAGACTCCCACCTCGGAATTTCCGACTGACCATGGACCTCAAGTCGCTTCAAGGGAGGATTGTGACGACAAAAAGACGCGATGAGGTCCGAAATTTCAATATGGTCCCAAGAGAGGCTGAGAGTTAGCGAGGTTAATGACAAGCTCTTGTAATCAGTATCAACGATTGCTATCGATTCGGAGTGTGTTTCGTAGTTATATAGCCCGATATCTAATTCTCGGAGCCTTTCCATTCTTTCCATTGCCTTCATTACGTGTCCAAGGTGCTTCGAAGAAATAAGAATTGAAAGCTTGACAAGAGCGCCGTTCAGAAGATGAAACAAGCGGGTCATAAGCGACAGCGACAATCCATATAAGGCAACCTCCAACCAAGGAAGGCTGTCTATAGAGCCGAGTTTCCTCGCGAGTTCTTCCTCATCACGCGCAAGTTGGGTACCTTCGATATAAATTGACACGGACATGAGATTCTTCAGTGGAATCAATGCTACGAGGGCCTGTGCGCTCCATACCCCGAGGCTGATACGCCGTAACTTGTCTCCTAGGTTGAGAAGATTGATTGATGGTCCCAATATGTGAGATATCCACAGATCGCTCTCTTCAGGAACGTTTCTGCGAGGTCGGTTGCTCACTTCGATCAGATTTCCGGGTATGACAAGGCGTTCCAACAGTTTTTCTTCCTCAGTAGCTTCTTGTGGGTCGCCATTGCCCTCCCGTATAATGGATTCGACCCGATGAGCATGTGGTGATAACAAATATGAGAGTGCTCTGACAAATCCTAGGTCAGATCCATAAACCAAGGTAAGCGGAAGGTCTCGGGAGAGCTGAAGTGACAGAGCGAGCTTCGCTTCCGCGTCCTCGAGGCCTAAAAGCTCTGTCCTCACCCAAAATCTGGCAGTATTAAGAACTAAGTCTGTCCACTTCGTACACACGAGAGTGAGCTCAAGTACTCGATCAATCATATAAATCTCCCGCTCTTGCGTCGACGCTTGCAGTAAGATATCCAATAGTAACTCTAGAGGAATATCATTTATCGTTATTCGACGATTGTTTGTCCGTATTTTCTCGATCTCTTCAACGGTTTCATTGTAAAGTTGCACGATGGTGGGATCTAGGTGATCAAGCCTCCCAGAATAGTCAAACTTGGCTCCCAGATCATAGAGAAGCTGCTTCTTTCTTGCTTCTAAACTCGCCAGGTATCCCTCGTTGTTCGACATTGGCATCCAATAGGTTGGGGGAACTCCAAGTTCGAGATCCACCTTGTCACTAGCACATCGCGTCAGACAACATGTCGGGTTCACGTGGTAAAATTAGTTCTCTCTATCTCTCATTCTTTATGGAGCGCCGAGGCGCTCAGCGGGCGGTTTAGATTCCATACGTCCATTGGCCATGTTTACCACTGACATAATGAATAGACAAACGCGAAATAATATAGACTATTAGCGCAAGCGATTGTTTCCCAGAGAAGAGGCTAGTAGGATGTTATATGCAGGCGCATCTTGAGCTTCAAACGGATCCTCAAACTGCTCCCGCGAGTGTGTAAACATTTCGATGGGTTCGTCATGCTTGAAAATGGGTGGTTGCTTGTCCTCTAATGAAACTGTGATACGGACAAAATACTAAACCAATGATTAGCTTGTCTGGTTATTGACGAACAAACTGGAGCTTACCTTATTCTCAACCAGGTCACCAAACCGCCAACTCGCTTCACCTTCGGGCGTCCCCACTTTGAAGCCGCCGCGAATGATGCGCTCGTCACAACCCCGGACGAGCTCCTTCTCAACTTGCTGATAACGCGCTCTCCCCAGCGAAGTGATCTGGCTACTCTTCTGGCCGTTCACGGTCATCGTTGTTGCACGGAGAAGTTGAATACTAAGTCGCTTGGGGTCATTCACGAAAGCGTCGAGCTCGGATGAACTGTATGAGGGGAGGCGGATCGTAACATTGAATGGAAAGCAGTAGTTTGAGACGGCTTGAGCGGTGCGGGTAAGCGACAAGCTGAGCTCAGGTGAAGAAGAATTCGAAAGGCCTTTTGAGGTGAAGGGGTCATAGAGCAGTTTGGCCGTTGTCGTGCGCCAATTTGCGTTGCAGGCAAGCCCGAATCGCTTGGCGTCCATGAGCGAGATGGCTGGCCAGAGCAATGATTCTTCTGACCGCAGGTAAAACTTGGGCAAGTAGTGGACCACAGCAGAGAGTCTAGAGACATATAACCAATGATGATGAGCACATACTCCGGGGGATTTACAAAGCGAGCAAACAAATACGCACGTCTCTCGAGGCCAGAAACCCGATTTGACGACTTGCACCTTTACTGTATACTTGATCCATCCCTCTACGGCTGGGTGTACACCCCGAAACGTTGGTGGAAGGAGATCGACGCCATTGGACGCAAACTCTGGGAATGTGAGCTCAAATGGAAAGGCCGCGCCACCTCTATTTTTCACTTTGTCACCATCTGAAGCATTCTCGGCGGTATAGATCACCTTGGACAGGTCAATGATCTTGGCGGCACTGTGACCTGATGCGAGACCCCCTTGCATGATCGTATTTTGCAAGCGGCCTTCCAACTAACGGTCACATAAAGCGGGTATGAGCAGCAGGTGAGAAAGAAACAGAGGTACTCGCATTGACAATAACCCCCTGGACATGGTTGAGCTTCTTGAGCCTCACTTGCCCGCGGATCGTGGCACCCAAACCGAAGCTAGGGATAGCACTCGGAGTAGGATTGGCCTGGTCTGGCAACGGTCGTGGGCCTAGGTCTAGTTCTATGGAGCCGGAACGGTACACGAAACGCTGCTCCTCCTGCCCGGCGGAAAAGGGCTCGGCGAGGGAGAGCAGGCAGGAAGGCGGCCTCCCTCCAGTGCTGGTCGAGCCCGTGGAAGAAGAACCAGCAGTGAGAGGTCGCACATTGGTACTGCTGCTTCCAGAGTATGAAGCAGAGGGAGAGATGAGCTGCTCGTATAGGGAATCGGGGTGCCAGCTCGTCGTCGAGGACAGCGAGGAGCGATGGGTAGACGACGTCGTGACTCGATGCAAGTAAGGCGGAGGATTGAAAGACGACTCGACGACGTGTTCAGAGGGAAGAGGTGCTTGGGAGTAGTCTGGTGAAGGAATGGCTGCTGCGTACGACGGCGGTGAGCCTTCGCCCAATGCACCCGTTTGTGACTGCTCAGAGGACATGTCTGCGAATGGAGACGAAGGTAAGTCGAACGAGAGTTCGTTTAAGAGACACGGAGTTCGACTCGAAGTATCTAGTCAGAGTCATTCGAGGACAATACCCATGGTGTATTGAGCGGACATCTGCATTGAGTTATGCCGTTAACGCTCACATCGCCTCTTTGTTAGTCAGCTGTCGCCCTATTGGTAAGCAAGGTCCTACGGCCGAGAGAAGACATACACAGGAGGGTATGCATATATACGGCTGTTGGGATTGACCTCATGAATGTTGACAAAATTTTGAGCATACCTTATTATGGAGTTGAGAGTGCTTCAAAGGAGACGGACTACGACGAGCGCCAGTATCTGGCATCGGCTCGCTCGCGTGGGATAGTGGGTCGACCGCCTCGAGCACGTTTTGGATTCTAGGGTGTTCCACGTAGCTGCGTTTATTCAAGAAAGCCCCACAGACAACCATAGAACCCCTTGGAATTCGTCAGAGACAGTCGGTATGAGCTGGTCTTACGTGCCTTTTTGCAACCCTTACGCCAGGACATGGATCGATACCCTGTGACCCGAGACGCGGCGCGGTCTATTATGGGTGACAAATTCCGTCTTCATGTTCGGCGAGAAGCCGCATTCTGAGCCCGACCGGGACAAAATGAAGGCTCAGAGAGGAGATTTGCGTCTCGAGTTTGTCTCCACAGACTGACGAAAAGCGGAGAGGCGGGATTCCGCTAAGGTTGATGAGCGCGCATTGGACAGCGCTCATGCACTGCTGCCACCTTACGAGGACAAATCTTGAAAGCCATATGGAGATTTGCCGTAGAAGTCGGGCCCGGCAAAGGCAACTATCGTCCTGAGGAAATAAAAACGTTGCATCCAGTGATCAGAACGTGGCCTACTCTTCTGTTCTCCATACAGAATTGTGCATGCTGTATGCCATGGGTTCATGTGCGATTCCGACCAACTCACCTCAAAATTCCACGATTTGTCAAGTGTCCTTGAATTTGAGATTAGAATACGATTGATCACCCCTCGTTCGGCACCAATGTGTCTACTACATTAGATCGGTTGGCAAAAATCTCTCTCTTCATGCCGGTTAATTGTTTCAGAATGCGCCATTCCTGACTGGAACGGTCCACCCACCCACTTTTGCGCGCCTGACGTGAAAGAAAGGTGAGCCATTTGCGCTATTCCCTCTCTTAAGTACTTCTGTCGACAACGGATCGAAAAGGAGAACTCTCCTGGAGATCGAAATCTCATGCCCTCGCAGCACACTATTTTTGATGCGTTTTCGACATTAATCTTCGGGCCGGTCCAGCTCGCGAACTGGTCGGTCGGATGACGATGGATCATTCGAGGCACGTTGGAACCTAAAAATTTTTCATTAGGCTGTGAAAGAATGACTCACGGCATCGGATCTCAGGCCAGAGCCTATAAAGCTCCCGTTGCTCCTTCAATGTGGCTCGAAAACAGCGAAAAGCGTGTCATGTCAGTTCTTCCGCATAACTGCCCACCTTCGTACGCGTCAAGCGTTCCAGCGCCAGATTACACCTCCGTTCCAGTGGCGGGGGAGGAGCTCGTCGAGTTGGCTTTGAGACCACCGCCATACCTTACCCGTACATCCACATCCACGTCACATCTTGCATCTTCTGTGGATATTGAACAGCCTGCAAATCCACCTTCGACCATTCGTAGCGCCGAACCCATAAATGCCACACCCAAATCTTCAAACCACGAGCAACGATTTGTTTCGCGTGTAGGCTCTATTGAACTCGATTTGGGGCCACGAAATGAAAACACGACTCCTTCCTTTGGACTCAATGGACGAGTTCACGGGGATGTGAGGATCAAGAAATTGAGTCATGTCCAAAGTATCACATTGGTGGTATGTACACACCTTCAGTCGCTACTAGAGCTCTAACCAGCCTTGCAGCTCGAAGGACGTGCACAAGTCACTGCTATGCAAAGCGGGTTCCCATCTGCATACGCGGAGCAGAAGCTTCTCCATCTTCCATTGACACTCTACTCGACTCATTCAGAGAAAGGCAAAGAAAAGGCAATCTCTTCCCGCACATTCCCGTTCGAGTTTACGTTTCCGACACATTGCAATATCGACAATGTCGAAAACGAGGAGCCAGCACGGCTCCCTCCAACGTTTCATGGCAGCCATCCAGGAGCAGATGGCTCGGTCCGATACAGGATCCGGCTGCATGTCGTTAAGTCTGCGTTCTGGCCTGATGAGACACTGGTAATGACGGTCAACTATCTTCCCAAGTCTTACTCCCTTCCCGAGACCTTGCTTTGGCCAGCCATTTCGATCATGGATGCGAAACGGTTCGGCCTCGAGAACAGCAAATGGAAGACGACAACAGCATTGCTTCTACCTTCCCCTCACCGACATTCGCTCAAGGAGCCCTCGCGCTTGGTTTCTATCCCAAGCACAGCGCGCGCGGTAGCAAATTTTTGCTTCCAAGTCAACGTGACGCTGCGTTTACCGGGCTTTTCCTCGGAGGATATTGACGCTCTGATTGCGGATCCGAAACGGCTGGCAATCCAAATGTTGCGCAAGACGACTATGAACGTCAATGGCCAGAGGAGTACCAAGACGGTGGTGCTTGGTTTAGCGAGGTGCCAACAGGTAGAAAAAGAGCTCGTGCAAAGATGTGATGAGCGCATCGTTCGCGGTTGGTTTGCTGCTGGAACACCTCGAGGTGAAACGAGTTGGAGCGCTGGAGATTTGATTGAAAACAAAGTAAGTCGTGTGACTCGGTGGTGTTTGAGTTGATGACCATAATCTCCAGTATTTCATTCGTGTCGTGGTCACGCTATGGGACGACTCGACCCCCATATTCAAACACGAGGAGCCCATTACAATGTTCACACACTCTAGAACCGAGTTTGAAGATCCGTCCGAGGTTCACGATGCCCCCGCAATCAACCTATTGTTGGCGTCTTCAGTTGAAAGCCACCGACAGCGATGATTGTTTCTCTTGTCTTCCGAATGATTTTCATGTACATTTACTTCATGGTCCATAATCTAATCTCGTAAGGTTTGGCCCCACAGTGAACTCTTGTCGGGAGGGCCGCATAATTTTGGGAAGATTGTAACTTCGTAATTCATGAAAATGGGCAATATTTTCGGAGCTGCCCCCAATGTTGTTGGGAGAAGTAAGCGAAGGGGCAGTTCCAAGCTTGGACTCCTCCCATGTCCTGCCAACCGACGGAAACGCTCTACGAGACGATAACGACAACTACAGAGGATGGGACGCTGTATACACCGTATCCGACGCAAACTATCGACTCGCTCGTAGTCTCCGGTGCATTTCCAAGCTCTGTGTGCGTTCAACTAATACATTTGGACCTTGGAGTATAAAGAGCTCATATATATTTTAGATGTGCAGAGTATGCCGGTAGCCAGTGCATCCGCTCGACGCTTCAGACCCTCTCCTTTACTTATACTAGTATGTTAATAAAACCCACCATTGATCGAATCATGTTTCTTATCTACCTGATAGCTTATGCTACTTATCCCCAAACCCTTTCTGTGCATGCTGTTCGGACAATTACCACAACAGTTCCGACGCGAACCCTCTACGCACCTTGCGGCACGATCTCCACAGTCGTATCTGACGGTGTTATTGTCTCGTCCGTGTATGTGACTGTAACGCCTGGGCAGACCACAGAGTCAAGTTCGCAGCCCGCTTCGAATTCTACCAGTCATTCCTCCTCCAACGGTCCAATTATTGGCGGAGTAGTGGGTGGAGTCGTAGCATTATCTGCCCTTTTTGGCGTCATCTGGTATCTCTGGCGAAGAAATAAAAAGCTACGTGAAATGCTCAAAGAAAACGAGGAAGAGGAAAAACATACGACGGCGATCGACCCGGAGCGACTTATTCCGTCACCGTATACACAAGTAAGTATTACTCCTCTATGATTTCTCGCCCTCACATGGTCCCTGTAGTATCCGAGCCCAAGCGTGGTCGGCTCGCCTACCTCGGCTGGAGTTTACAGCCCGGATGTTTATGGATTAACACCGGAAGAGCTTGCGCTCACCGGAGGTGCAGCAGCGACGCAATACACACCAACTCATTCGCGTGCTGGTTCGACTTCGACTGGATTCCAACCACGCCCACTCTCTGCAGTCACCAGCTCGGCCGGCGGTGGCGCAGCAGGAGTTGGAGCCGCAATGTCGAGACTTCCACCTCCCTCGTCCGATGGCTACGGCTCGCGACCAGGGAGCGCCATGGCAGGCGAGTATGGCCAAGAGGGAAGTGTAGGTACAGGCATGTCCGCCGCTGCCAGTGCAAAGGCACGCGAGGCATATCAACATAGACGGAGTGCGCTCTATACACAGAACGCAGAGGACGTCGGCCCGGCTGGACAACACGATGATGGTGATATCGTGATGCCGACAAATGCGCATGCCGTGCGCTCCACGGTTCCTCCTTCGGCCTGGACTGTTCCACCCCCAGCATACACTCCAGATCAACCTTAGCATGTTCCTTTCTTGGTGTTCCCAAACTCCCCCATCATGCATGCAGTCTTATTCTTGCCTCAGATATGGACTGAACTAGTGGACTTGGCGTCCAATACCACTCTCATTGTAAATCCCATTCATTGTATGCCTCTTTGAATAGCTCTATATGCTATTGTTATACAAGGTCATTCTGAGAAGGCCTGGACCTGGAGGTTGAAGAATTCGGCATAACGTCCATTGAGGTCCATGAGTTGCTTGTGTGAGCCCAACTCGATAATTTCTCCGTGCTCCACAACAGCAATCTGGTCGGCCCTACGAACTGTCGAAAATCTGTGTGAGATGTACACTGTCGTGCGCGTGTCCCCCGAATCTCCTCTTGAAAGTGCGTATATACGTTGGAAGAGCTCATATTCCGCTCTGGCATCCAATGAAGCCGATGGTTCGCTATACGGTCGTGAGAACTCGTACCAATCGTCAAATGGAATCGCGTACTCTAATACCACCAGCATCGCTTCATCCGCTCGCATGAATGCACCTATACCTCGCGTAAGTGGAGGGGTCGAGCAAAGTGGACCACCCACGAGAAATGGCCACACGCTGCATCTGACCACCGCTAAGAGCAACTGTACGGTGCTCTAGATCAAGTGGGGAACGAGGTTTGCTAGGCAGATTTGGTTGAGGCGGTTCGAGTTCCTCGGGCTGGCCCTTCACTGGCAGAGGGCTGGCCTGAGGCTTTTCCTCTGTCGACTTTCCCTCCTCTTCAGCATTCTTCTTGACTTTCTCCTTGGGCTGATCCGGTTGGGGTGCTGGTTCCAGAGCTGGAGCTTCTGGCCATGCCATACTCGGCGCTCCCACCTAGTGGACGTCATGAGGCTATTCGAAGCTGTTGATATCACTTACCCCACTGAGGTACACATCTAATCCATGTATTCGTATCACTTCTTCTGCACCACCTCTTTTGACAGCACGCATGATGGCAGGCTTATCGTCCACTTCGGAAACTTGTCCAATACCAACGTTGTTCCCGAGGGAGAGAGGAAGAACCGCATAATCTTGTGGACACACAGTCATGTATCGATGAAGCGAATCACGCTTGTAAGTGCGTGCTTCGACTCCATCTATGAGTAGACTCCCCTCATACTCATACAGGCCCGTCAAAACTTTGGCTAGCGTGGATTTTCCACCGCCGTTGACACCAACGATTGCCAGAGTTTGACCTGGCTCGATGGTAAGATTAATGTTTCGTAGCGCCTTCGTTCGTCCAGATGGATATTTGAAGGACAAATTGCGAGCCTCGATTCGCATCCCTCGCTTCTCTCCTGCGAGTGGTGCTTGTGGTGCATACTCAACGGTCCGAATGCCCCCTTCGTTCCGTTCCTTTATCCAGGCTGGCGCCTCAATAAAGGCACTTATGCACTCAATCGACTGCAACACAGACTCTATCTGACTCCAAAAGTTGGTGACCGCCCAGTAGACACTGCCTATACTTGACTGGATGACGTGAATAGAACCAAGGGTAATGTTCTCTGAGAAGAGTCGCAGTCCGAGAAGAAGCTGGTGACTGTCAGTGTCTAATCCTGGATGCTGTGACAGACTCACATAGAGCACATCCTTTACTACGCTCTCCGGGATAGACGACACTGCCATAGAACGCACCAGCAAGTCGTTTGTAGGATCTTGATATTTGGCACCTTCTTCTTTGGCTTTGGACCACGAGTCAATGATCCAATCACGCAGACCAAAGAGCAAGACCTCTTGCTTATAGGCGAAGCTCATGGCAATATTATAAAACGTCCCGGCGTCCTTGGAGGATCTTCTCCACGCTATATAGTCTTCCGATGGATTGTAGAGCCCGGCACGACGAACAAAGTCGGAGAAGAAGGTTGGAAATGTGGCGAGAAAGATGAACAGCAGAGTCGAGAAAGAGGACGATGCGCCACTGACGGAAAAACTTCTGAGTGTCGTAATACAGAGGATCGTCGAAGAGAGTAAAGTCGCACTAGAAAACGCCTGAGAACTTGGAAGTGGAGAGCTCAAGGAACGTACATGACGTTGAAGATGTCGATAATGTTCTTGAAATGAGGAATTCCGCTCCCTGGCAAGCTATTACCTCGGCCAACGGAGCTGCAATCAGAGAGGAGTACAGAAAAGGCTGGATCAGATACAGAGGTCATATCTGCATCGAGGTTTATCTGCAAAATGACACGCCTAAACCGTCAGAATCTCGTTGACAGAGGGTATCATTGCCTACTCTGTCTCTCTTGCAATCATCTCCACCACTTTGGCGTTGTTTTTCGCCCTTGTCGGCCATTAGCATGCGAGTTTGCTATTAGTGGTCGGAAAGACATACAGAATGATATTGATGATAGGTCGCATATTCGACGCCACCAAACTCCAAATGGCACAACGGATGATTTCTTCCGCGGGAACGTCCTTTGAATAGAGCGAGCGCTGGACGGCATCGACAAGCTTGCCTTGTGCAAACGTCCCCCACGCCGGTACTATCAACCTGTCACTAAACCAAACCATGACACAAATACAAATGCACTCACAGAGGCCTAATGCGATATCCGAAACCACCTGGATAACTGCTCGCCACCCTGCGACTCTCCAGATAAACCCAAGGTAACGCGGCAGGACAAGGGGCGCCAGACGTCGCGCAATCTTCACACGCCGTCGCAGTGGCGCCTTGGGCGGAGGCATATACAGTGCCTCGACACCCATTCCACCTCCACCCATCGGCCCTCCAACACCCATCGTGTCCATGTCGGCACCAAAGCGTCCATCAGGACCACAATGCGCGATATACCACAACCGCATCACTTCGGCCTTGGAAAACGATTCAGGGACGACGACGGAATCAATGTCAACCACGTCGGACGTTTGCCAGAGCGCTGCATCTTGCTTCTCTTTTTCTTCTCGCATGGTCTTGCGCCTATTCCGATCCAATGCCCATATCATTCGGTCAGACACAGTTGGTCCTTGTCCACCGCGTCTCCGGCGCATGGTTGTGTTATGTTACGAATACTCTTTCGTACACCCAGACGCGTTCAAAGCAGGTTAGTAGCGAATTTACGCCCTTATAGCTAGTAACGACGCGTCGTTGTGGGCTTTTCGCTCCAACGAGCCTACGTGTTCAGCACGAGAGCAGGTCCAAGTTGTGAACAATTAGCGCTCAAGGTAATCCAAAACCAGAATAATCGAGTGGGTGCGTTTGACCTTTTCTTCTATTGAAACTTCTGTAGGTAACACAACTGGCAGCGAACCAGCAAGAGCCGACTGCGGGATGCGTGCAGACCCGCGGTGGAACAGGGGGACTATATATGTGAACGGGGCCGAGAGATGATAATGATGCGTAGAGACAATGGGGATGTGCAAAAATAAAGAGGTGTGTTGGATGATGGATGGCGAGAGAGAGAGAAACATGGACCTTCTATTGGGAGTAACGTGCGAGGGTGAATGGGAGATGGAGACATGCGATGGCAAGGGTAGCACTTTTTGCTATCCAGTTTTAGACAGGCCACCTTGCTGCATACGGCATAGAAGAGGTGAAAAGTCACCGCATACGGCATACCGTAGTCGAGGTGGAGAAAAAAAGAGTTGGAGCAGGTCGAGGGTGGGAAGAGGGGGTGGAGAGGAAAGGACAGTCGACAAGACAACATGCGAAGACTGGGAACGAGATACAGGGCATGTAGAGATGCTCCTTTTGGGTCAGAGAAATCAACACGACAGACGGAATAACGACGAGGGAGAATGGGGGCGATGGCAGGAAAGCGATTGAAAGTGACGAAGAGAGAAACGGAGAGCAAAGCCCCAGATAGAAAGACAGACAAAAAAAACGTCCCGACAAGAGGATATCCCAGGTGAGAAAATGCAAAGGCGATGACAAAATGGTAGGCTGGATGAGATTCCCGGAAAGGGGGGGGATCGAGGTCGGCATAGATAGGATACCCGGCTACTCGTTATGCCGTCGATTCCTCGTCTTGATCGAGATCACAACATCACCCTCTTCATCCGACTCGTCATCCTCTCCTTCAGAGGCCAAATTATTCTGGCCAATACTCCTCGTGATCATTGCCGGATGTGATGTTCGAGGTGGGGGTGGCTGGGACGCGCCAGGAATGTAAATCGTTCCCTGACGAGGAGACGATGGCGTCGAAGTGATTGTCTCTACATTGAAATCCTCCATGGATCTGTGTGTATGTTGTTGATAAGCCGGGTCGTATACGCGCTGTGGCGGTTCAGACGTCGTCGTCGACGTCCGTTTGATCACGCTATGATCAGGGTTAAACTGTCCAAACGCAGGGAAAGACCGTGAGCCATCGCTGGGCGACAGGCCATTCGAGTTTAGGTGAGAATTCTCGCCACCGTATCCGCCAAACCCGACCAGCTGCACATCATACTCGTCCTCTTCATCGTCATCGGACGAGTATGTGATGAAGAGTGGGTCGAGCTCCTCTTCGGATTCTGGTCGCACTATGCCTGGACCTCCAGGCGGAGAAGAGCAAGCGGACGAGTCGTGTGCTGGAACTCGAGGGACGATGGGGGTAATCGCCGCTGGCTTTGTCATAATGGCTTCTGCCGAACTCGACTTTTTCGATCGACGGAAGATGCTGCTCATCATGCGTGAGAGACCTCCGACGCGATTGTCAGCTTTGGGTTGGACGCGAACACCAAAGTAGGATTCACCAAAGTAGGTCGTGCCGGTCGGAGACGAGGCGGCGGACATTGCTGCATGGGCATCGACGGGTGATGCCGGTTGGTCGGCAGAGGGTCGATAGAGAGAACGAGGTTTGGGGGGAAGTGGCCGGTGCGTCGAGTTTTCTAGACTGACCATGCTGGCGCCTTTCATACTCTTGACGTCGTCGGGCTTCTTGCGGAAGCGAAATGCCTGCATAAGTCCCGAGATGCCAAAAGAGTTTTGCTTTGTCGTGACTGCCTCCTTGGGCTCATTCTCACCTATGAAGATGGCTTCTTTGGCCTCTGGGTCGGTCTCTTTCAGCCACGAGGCTGGGTCTTCCAAGTCGCTCGTGAGCCAAGGCGACGTCTGAAGAGGAGGATGGGCAGAGGTGTCAGCGTCTGTGTTCGAGCGGAAAGGATGCCGGATAGGGGGCAACGTACTTTTGCTTGCGCAAGACGCAGACGGAGATGGACGGGTTTGGTCATCATTCCCTTGAGCATCTTGATTGCTTCTCGCAGATCGTCGTCGTCTGAATCGATGGGCAGTTGCGCACAGGTGGCGGTTGGCGGGATAGTGTACTCATTTTCGATAATTTCCTTGCAGAGTGCATGGACGTTTTCACCCCAGTAGGGTACGCAACCAAAGAGGAAGCAATAGATGCTGACTCCAAACGCCCAAACGTCGAGCTCCTTTGTCATGGGAAAGATCTGATCGCTCTTAGCGCCGGGAGGACGCTGGCCAGGAGGAAACATCGGCACAGGCAAGCCGTTTTGATTGTATGCCTGTTCGGGAGCGTAAAACGCGGGTGTACCCTCGGTCTTGTGTAGGTGGTCATCACTGTCCGCGTACGGGGTGTCGTCTGCGGCCTCTGGGGCGAGCGGCTTTGAGAAATGAGCGACCCCAAAGTCGGTGAGCTTGACACGAGCACGGCCTTTGGTCCAGAGCATGTTGGCAGGCTTGATATCGCGGTGGATAATGCCCATGTAGTGGACTGCGCGCCGTGAACGGGCGCCGGTAAGTCGACGAATGGAGAAAGGGCAAGGTGGAGCACATACGATATTCGAGCCCCAACAATACATCGCGAACGATTCGACGAGTTTGTCCGAGGGTCAGGATGGGGCGATCTTGGCCACGCCACTTGATCTCTCCACCTTCTAGATATTCCATGACTGTATGCACACATTGTCAGACGACTGCACGTGGAGTGTGCATGGCCCAGAGAGGAACCCACCGAGAAAGACGTTGTGACTGCGAGGATCGTCAATGACCTCGATGAGACGAACAATGTGATCGTGGTGGCATCGTTTCATTACCGCGACCTCGTAGCGAATTCTGGCCAGGGCGGTATTGGTGCGCTCTCGGCCGTCAGCTCGAGGAAGCCGTTTTCGATTCGCCATTCGTTTGATGATCTTGATAGCCTGTAAATCGGACAAGGGAAGGGTAAAAAAAAAAAGCGTGACGATAAGCATTCCCGACTTTTCCTCGCGCAGAGGGTACGCACCACTTGATGCTCTGGGGCGTTTGGGTCCTTTGACATATCCTCACCATACTTGACGGTGCCATGGGTGCCTTTACCAAGGGTCCGGGTGATCCTATACTGGTTGAGCATCTTCCATGTTGGATTATCCTTGTCTTGTTGGGATCGGATCCGCCTCGTTTCGACAGGCACATGGGGCGTGGGCTGCCTGCGCACGGCTGAGACTGCTGTCGCAGAAGAGGTCGACGTCAAGGGCCCAGCGGGGTGCGTCACGGGCATCATATCGTGCGAGCTGCTCGTCGCAGCGGTCGATCCAGACATTGAAAGTGTGAGCGGCAGCGTCGTCGGCGTCGTGGCGAGCGTCGGGGCAGGCGCGAGGAGCTGGGGAGCGCGAGGTTGTGACGCTGACGCTGCGCCCGAGGCTGATAGAAGCGATGACGGCGATGGAAAAGACGTAGAATTATTCTTGGATGGAGAGCTCATCGCTACGGGACATAGCCCGCAGGCGGTCGATCTACCTGGACTGCAAGCCCAACGCCCACCGCTTTGGAGCGTATTGTTGAATGCAGAAAGCGTCTAAGAAATGCTTAAGAAGAGTGCAATATGGGATTACAAGCCAGGCTCGTGTTCAGACACTGGAGATGGTCGGGTCCAAGAATTATGTACAACTAAGCAGGTGGGCCAGCAACGACTAGAGACCCTTGAGCTCGTTTCTACGCCAGAATACAGCCGCTCTGCTCACTGTCTTGCTTGTTCTCTGCCGCTACTTCGTCCTCGGTTTTGCCCTCCTTGAGCTCAGTCTTGCCGCAGACGCATCGGTTCTCCTCTGGGACTTTACTCATAACCTGATACGGCGTTTCAACAGCGCTGTCCAATAGACGCCGCGATCACTCGTACGCGCCCCCGCTTACCTGTTCAGCGTGTCGGCCACACCCCTAATCGACAAAACAAGCCATTTACAATTAATCGGGGATCATCCCATAGTTTCGGTATACTCACCGCCCACGTAGTTTTACCGCACTTGTTGCACGTAGTCGCCCAGCACATGTTCTTGATTGATGTAGTTGTAGTTTGTGATGGAATGACTATATCACACCCTCCGCTGCTTTTATAGACGATGCGCGAACGAGGATTGGTAAGTGGACCCCCATCTCCGGCGGACTACCAAGTAAGCCCCTACGAGCTCCCTAAGCCTCGGATTGGCTGGGTTGCCGTCGCGAGAATGGCCACCGGAGCGCGTCAAGTACCGCACCACTAATCCGGTCCCGTACAATCCATACTGTTGCCGCTCCTTCGGAAATGCGCTCCTCGCGGATACGCTGCTCTTGGTCGACGACCGTTGCGCATGCGAGTGTAGTCGCCATGATTGCTGCCAGAGCCGTCGCGGCAGAGATGAGAAACATGATCACCACTGGGTGCTGTCAGCAATATATTCCCAGGCTGGCAAATGTACCCACTCTGCAAACGAGCTGCTTGTTCCACCGAACTACCTCCAAGAATCGCGCCCGTCATCATACCTAAATTACAGCGCATTGAGCTGCAGAGTGGCGATGGGGTCCAGACGTGACAGCAATGGATGGCCGGCAAATCCAATGATACTGATCGGAGGACGTACCAGGAATTGAAATCAGGCCAATTACGCTACATGTGGCGTCAGAGGTCGGCGAATGTCACTAAGAGGCCGCCAGGACTCACCTCATTTGGTTCAGCGTCGGCGTCAATGCGAGTCGGAGCGCCTCGGTGGCGATTGGTTTACATGCCTCGAAGCGAGAGCTGTCCGCGAAGGGAAAACGACGTGTCAGACGCCAAATGATGCGCGAACCAAAGGAGAACAGACCCCCCGAAAGCGAGGAACATTTCCACTTTATCTCGGTTGTCCCTGTACGCCGGTGATTATAAGTCGAGCGTTCGGAGATTTGCGAAAGAGAGGGAAGAGGGGTAAAGGGGACATTACTTGATATCGCGTAACACGCTCGTTGTGGAGACGACAATTGCCGAGATGGTGTTCCCACAGAGCATACCAACGACGGGGATATATGCTGCTGGCTGCCACCACGGCGTGTAACCCATGGCGAAGCGAGTGCCGAGGATAGAAACAGGGATGGCGGACGACATCATGGAGACGAGGACCGTTGGAAACTGAAAAGAGTAAAAAGAACCATCAGAGGGGTGTGAGAGATGCATACCATGTGTGTGAACCGCCGCTTCGACTTGTTGATCACTGCAGGGTGGATTGAGAACAGCGTAAAGGGAGAGGGGGACCCCCTCCCCCAAGATCAAGGAGCGAAGCGCCACATATTGACTTGAGGGGGGACAACGGTCCGAGAAAACGGAGCGACATACCAACTTCAACGGTGCCCAAAAGGATCAGAAGACCTAGCCAAGATCCGAGTAAGCGCACGTGAGGTGGGATAAACCAAAGAAGAATAAAAGGTAGCTAGTGGGAGATCTAGAAGGTTCGAATAAAATGACGCACATGTTATGCCTGCGACCGCCCACGGTGAATCCGTCTCGAACACGCGTTGAAGGACGAAGCCCTTGAAAAATATGAAACCAATTGTGTAGACGAATCTTTGAGAGTGTACCATGACAGTGAGCTGGACGACGCATCGTGCAGCGGCGACGAGAAGAGACGTGCTGAGTCCCAGAGCAAAATACCAGCTGAGAAAAGCATCGAGGAGGAGAAACAATAATCCGACACCAATGTTCGTCCAAGTCAGGTGCGCAGGCTTGGGAGTTCCGTGATCCATCTCGACGTTGCCGGATCCAAACGCTAGTGGCGACACCGGCTCAAGTTCCGGTCCAGCAAATAAAACGGACGGAACATTGCATAGCCAGTAAGACACGCGATGACTAATTAGTTTAATTTATTCGGAGCGGAACAGGCAAACTCATGTTTCGGCCGTAGAGAGACGGCTGCAAGATATAAGCCCCCCTTGGAGTCCACCAGGTCGCTGTAACACCCATCCAGCTTTGTAAAATGCCAGTAAGTCTTGTAAAGATCGTATCTACTTCTTGTAATTGACAAGCAACAGGTCGCCACTCCTGTCACCCCCGTCGAAGCCGTCCAGAGCCTCAAGGAGACTGAAAACGTCAGCATCGAGGCATATCCATCCTCATTTTATGCAGACTTTCTTTCAGAGCATGCGAAGAACAGACTGCCCAGTCCGAGTCAGTCCTGAGTCTCTCCTTCGACAACAATCCTGGCTAACGATTAGGACAGTCCGAGGCTTGTTCCATCACGAAAAGGTCCCAGGAATGATCTCCATGCTCGCTGGGAAACCCAACCCGGGTCTCTTCCCAATCACCTCGATTGCCATCACTGTCCGGTCCCCGCTCGACGGCGTAACCGAGAAGACGATCGAACTCAAGGGTGAAACACTCGAAGAAGCACTTCAATATGGTCCAACTCATGGCATACCTCGTGCGCATAAATGGTTCATGGGCCTTCAAGAGGTCGCCCATAATCGTCCACAGGCACCTGATTGGGATCTCTCCGTCGGAGCTGGTAGTCAGGATCTCATTTACAAGGTCAGCGCATTCTATAGAGTTCTTGGGTCATGTCTAATCTATTCGACAGGCCTTTCTCGCGCTCTTGAACCCAGGCGAATCTGTCCTTGTCGAAGCCCCGGTATATGCGTGCGTAAACTATGATTGACAAGTTCATGTCCTCATTGACTTTTCCAGTGGCGTCGTTCCACTGCTAGTCGGCCAACACGCGCACTGCGTAGGTATGTAGACCGTCGAGACTGGCAGACATGCACTCACGGCGAGCAGAGGTTGACACCGACGAGCACGGTGCATCCGTTGAGAGCATGCGGCACGCTCTCGAAAACTGGCCAGCCAACAAGCCGAAGCCCAAAGTCTTTTACACTGTCCCCGTATGTCCGCTTCCCTTTAGTTTACAACGTCTTACCTCGATACAGTACGGCTGCAATCCAAGCGGTGTCACAACCTCTCTCGAACGCCGTGAAGCCATCCTCCAACTCGCCCACGAACACAACTTTATCATCATGGAGGGTACGTCGACTGTGCCATTGTCACGCACACTCTCTCATCTTTCCTGTTCGTAGATGATCCATATTACTACCTCTACTTTGGCAGCGCTCCCAGGCCACCGTCATACTGGGAGCTCGAGGCGCGCTACAACGATCGCCCGCGTGGACGAGTCCTCCGCTTCGACAGCTTTTCCAAGATCTTGTCTTCCGGCTTGAGATTAGGGCTCGTCACAGGTCCTAGGGCACTCGTAGAAGCAATCAACATGCACGTGAGTATGCTCTTTACAATTATACACGAATCTCATGAAATGTAGACTGCGAGCGCAAACCTACAAGTATCTAGCACAACACAGGCTATTGCCTACACATTCCTGTCGGACTGGGGCTACGAAACATTCTTCGAGCACACCCGCAAGGTTTCCGAGTTCTACCGACGCAAGCGCGACGTGTTTGCACGAGGACTCGAAAAGCACTTGACTGGATTGGCCGAGTGGACGACCCCAGAGGCAGGCATGTTTTTCTGGTGCGTCCTCTGTTCTGCAACTCCTGCAAGGTACTAACTCGACGGTCCAGGATCAAACTTCATCTTCCATCCACACCGGTTGCACCAGAAGGTGACTCTGAGCGAGTGATCAAAGAAAAGGCGCTCGAAGCAGGCGTACTCGCGCTGCCCGGCAAGTCTTTCTTCGTCCTTGGACGTGCGACGCCATATGTGCGCGCGGCGTTTAGTCTACTCGATGAGAATGATGTAGACGAGGGGCTGAGGAGACTCGCAGAGGTCGTGAAGGCTATCCAGGCTTAGAAGAGTTATGCGATGGACCAAAAGATCAGGACGATCAAAAAACGCGGATGTACGAGCCTAGTAGTGTAGAGCACTGTAATAGTCGTGTTGTTCACCTCAATAGTACCTGTCGGTTTAAGATGACGTGTCTTATTGTGCGACAAGGGAAGGAAATAAAACGTGCGTCACTAGTGATACAGCGGGAATGATCCGCACGGCGAGTGGGGATGAAAATGGAAACAGTGTGATTATGGAGAGTGGGTGCGGTCGAGGTGACTCTCAAGCTCGCGCAGAGGATTCTCCTCGCGCGCCTGGGTGATCAACTCTTCAAGTTTGTGCTCCTTGACGGCTTTCTAGACGCTGTCATTCAGTATTTACAGATGTGAGATGGCTCTGAACATACTGTTATGCACGCATTATAAGCCTTCCAGGCTGGCCCACACTTGTCTTCGTATGCTTGGGCCATGCGCTTGGTTCGCAGCGCTTTTGCATCTTCACTTGCGTTTGCATTCGCCCCTTTTGGCAACGAAGAGGAAGATGTTCCCGTCTTTGGAGAAGGGGACGAAATCCCTAACTGTGGAGAGAGATATTCCTCGAGCCAGACGTTGAAGCAGGCATCGTATTTGAGCTTGAGCGGTGTGCACTCTGCGCTCAAACTTTGCGCCATTCGACTAGAATATAATTTATAGTTTTATTTTTTGGGTTTCGGGAAGCGGTCGGGTCAAAGTCGTGGTCTATTTGTCAGTCAACTCGCCGATCTTGTTTCCTCTCTTCGTCCTCGTCCTCTGCTTGGCGTGTCTCAGGATGGTGACCTTGTTGGCTCCAAGTAGTTGGAATGGAATATTAGCCTTGATATGGATGCCGTTTTTGGTCCACGCACATGACCACCACGACAATGGTGGTGCAAACGCAGACGGCGAACTCGACGCACTCATTATTGTACATATCGCCCTGCAATTCGTTGTTTGGTGTATAATGTTCCCCATTGGACTCATCTTTGGCTTCACCAGGTTTGCCCGTTTTCCTCGGCGTCTGCTTACCGTCACTGAACCGCCACTTATATGATGTAGAGCGAGATGGCATGTCCCATTACAGGTGAATACCTTTCCATCTACACAAGAAGAATAAACACTCAAGAACCGATGGCAGGCAACAGGATTCGTATTGACAATCGGAGGCTATATACTTGGACACACGCATGGAGGTCGCACATTTCCGGCATCTCTTCACGGGAAACTCGCCTCCTATATCGAAATTGCCATCGCCTCACAGATTCTCCTTGGCACGTATCTCAAACTCCACATTCACGAGGGTACAGCTTTCCGCAAATGGATGGTTCTTGCTCATCGTATCGTTGGGCTGAGCTACCCCGCATTTGGGTGGACTCAGGCTTTGTTTGGCGTGCTCGTACTTGGCGGCGTATGTCCATTAGATGATAAGGCGACGCGTGCAACAGTCCTTACATGTGCGGAACCGGTACGATGCATCCCATTATATTTAATCCCGTGTACTGACCGAATCAGTTTATCACTGGCTCAGCCCTGATACAATACGGATTCTACGCGTTTCTTCTGTCGCTCGCGGTACCACGCTGGAGAGATCAGAGTCCAGAGACGTGGGATAGTCTTATTTTGTGCATTTCAGTACGTGCATATTCCTGCGTTTGTTCTCATCTCACAACCAGTAGGGCATCATGTGTGGCGTCTTCAACTTTTGGCGCCTTGGGGCGATATGGATCGGATTCATATGTAGGCACCCCGTTTGGATTGACGAAGTATGCTTTCTGACAGAGTTTCAGGGTGTATAGGTGGAATCATCTCCTTCGTACTTTCGCGCAATGGTAGACGGACCACAGTTCCTGCAATTGTGTGCGTTGACCCTTCTATCGTAAATATGCGGTACCAGGCTGACCGAGAATGTGTAGGGTGATTATCACAGGACTCGTGCAAATGCTTCAGCCAAAGGAAAAAGGGGCATTTATCATCGTATGTGCCTTCTTGCCACTACTCTTTTCGTACTGAGTGATGCATCTAGTTCTTTTCATTCGGGGCGATTCTTACGGTAGCGGGTCTTGTGCGCATGCTGGAGGTATATGCCATCGGCATCATTGATAAAGGTATTATTTCAGCTGTAAGTCTTTCTCGTACGGGTACACCCAGTCGAGCTGACCGCTCGTAGATCTTTATCTCATCGGGGTAACTCGTGCCTCTGTCATTTCATCAGAGATACTGATTCTATGCAGAATCGTATATATTAGCTCGAGCAATGACTTGCGTGTGGCGTGGGGTATTGTGGAGCTATATCCACTCTTCTATTTCATCTTTATCGGCGGGTGAGTCTCGAGTTTCTAACCGCTTTTCTCCAGCTGACATCATCCGTAGGGTTACAATGGGTCTTGGCACATGTCTTGCCTTCCTCGGTCATTTATACCGTACTACTGGTCGAAACGCGCACAAGGCTGGCTATGCACCCACTCCTTATCATCCTCTCGACCGCCATGATCATCAACGTCAAGAAGGGCGTTCAGAACCGATTGATGAAAGTGTCAAGTTTGTCGTCGCAGAGTCTGATGACGAAGATGAGGCGATCCTCGGTCAAGGCCATGCAAGAGCAGTGGATGCATATCAGCTTGGAGTTGCACTGAGGGATATTGATGACGATGATGACGATGAAATAAGGAAATAGAGAGACATGATAGAGAGGAGATAGAGCCAGAGGGCGGAGACTTGAATACATCTGTTGTACTGTATGATTATGCAATGCTTGGCTGCTGCCGATTGTCCCTGCATGCTGTGCTGTCGAGAGCAGAGCTGTTCGCGCTAATTGACTGAAAGACGCCCAGCAAACTTGGACCCCGCCGCGACCTTTGATGTGGAATAGTAATTATCCAGGAAATTTCCCCGGTAACAATCAGCCTCCTCAGCAAAACTGGGGAAGCCCTCCTCCGCCATCTGGTGGCTTTGGGTGCGTCCAACCACCTCGCGATTATAAATGGAACAGATACTAACGATTACCTCAGATTCCCTGGGTATGTCGATAAGAGATTGGTTTCAGCTATGGGATTACTGATGATATTGGTTAACTGGGTGTAGCGGCCCATCGCCCGCACCTGGATATGGTGCACCAGGGGGATATGGAGCGCCCAGCGGTCCTCCACCGCCTGGTAGTGGTGGATATTTCCCTCCAGGAGCCCCTCCTATGCAGGGATATGCACCCAGTCCATCCGGATATCCAGGTGGCCCATCGCCTTCTGGATATGGGCCTCCGGGAGGCGGCTATCCTGCTCCAGGAGGTGCTCCTGGTGGAGGCTCCTCCACTTATTCGTGGAACCCACGGGATGGGCCTGCGCCAGGATATCAGCCGCCTCCGTCTGGATACATGAACGCACCACCACCAACTGTCGGCGGTCAAGCCGCATCACCCGGTGGTCAATGGGTGGGCGATCATTCAGGTGGCGCGTTTTACAGTGCGCCTATGGGTAATCCACGTGCGTTTCTCTACTGTCATATGATCACTGTAGCTGTCGCCAGAAGTCACTTATATGGTCATGTATAGATATGCCACCTGCGACGCCGCAATATGGACCTCAATACGGCCAGAACACACGCCAACAACAGTACCAATATTCGCAGTGCACGGGTCGCAAAAAGGCGTTGTGTATTGGCATCAACTACGAAGGAACGAGTGGCGAACTTCGAGGGTGCATTAATGATGCAAAGAACATGAAGCAGTTCCTGATCCGTGCGTGCACCCTCCAATTCCTTCCTGGGCTTGACTGAATAGGACCTCAGGTCGATTTGGGTTTAAGGCAGAAGATATCGTGATGCTTCTTGACGACGCAACGCATCACAGACAGCTCCCTACCCGTGCGAATATCGTAAGCCCCTTCCAATTATTTAAAATCACGTACTAAAAGTGGGTGCGAATGGATGATAGATTCAAGCTATGCAATGGCTCGTCAGAGATGCGCGTCCCAACGACTCCCTCTGGTTCCACTACTCTGGACACGGTGGACAAACCAAAGACCACGATGGCGACGAGGGCGATGGCTATGACGAGGTCATATATCCTATGGACCATGAAACGGCTGGGCATCTCGTCGATGATGACATGCACGAAATCATGGTTCGCCCTCTACCGATCGGGTGTAGGCTGACGGTGCGTTTGCAATCAACCGAATGAACCAATGTCTAATTCCGAATCCCGTAGGCTATCTTCGATGTAGGTATCCTCTCGCACCTTTCTTCTGTTTATTTCGATGCTGAGTTGCATAGTCCTGTCACTCGGGCTCGGTCCTTGACCTTCCATACATCTATTCCACTGAAGGTACGTAGACTTTGTTGCGTTCGATCGCCCTCTACGCCATAGAGTGAATATTGACATGTCGAGTAAGGTAAAATCAAGGAACCCAACCAGGCCTTGGAGGTCGGCAAGGGCGCCATGTCTGCCATACAGGCGTATGCCAAGAAGGACATGGGTGGCGTGCTCAAGGCAGGCATGGATATCTTCAAGGTTGCATCAGGTAGTCAGACGAAAGCTACCAAGAAAGCTAGGGAGGCTAAAGGAAGCGAAGCCGACGTGGTAAGCAGTGTTCACCGGGATCTTGTATCCTGAGGCTATTCTGAACTTACGTAATCATAGATCTCATGGAGTGGTTGCAAGGACTCGCAAACGAGTGCGGATGCCGTCGAAGCGGGTAAAGCAACCGGGGCAATGTCCTACGCATTCATCACTTCGATGGACGCTCAACCCAACCAGACGTACCAACAACTACTGGTTTCTATTCGGTACATACTCCTTGTCTTTGCGACTCATTCTGATGTAACTTGACTGCAGGGAGATTTTGCGCTCAAAATACTCACAGAAACCGCAGCTCTCCGCTTCTCATCCGATGGTAGGTATATTCTCCCCAATTTGGATCAAGCTAAAAGCAATTAGGATACATCTATTCTGTTCATCGCCTAAGAGAGAATGCTGGTTATAAATACATAAGCGCAAATCTACCAAATATCAGGTCGTTTCAGCTCTCGCAATGTCACATAGTGTCTTCAACATGACAGCGCTTCCAACCGCTTTAGTAGTCCACGTAAAGGCACCGGTCTGGTCGACCTACTCCCATTCTCCACGAGCCATGTCTCCATATCTCGACGAATCATGCGTAGCTCGTCCGTAATGGGCAGCGATTTCCCGAATCCGTTTGGATTGAGCAGCGCACTGAATAACCGTTCCCACAGTGTTGTCTTCCAGTACCGCTTCAGCGTCGCTGGGAGTCGTTGGATCCCATCCTTGACTACAGGCAGCTCCATATACTTGCCGTACAGCAAACAAAAAACGACTCCGGCAAGTCCGTAGTAATCTGTCTCGTACGTCCATGGTCGACCTTCCCGCATCTCAAGGCAGTCCCGTTTGTCCATCTTCCACCCCGTCACGTACGAGGTTCCACGCGGGAATAGGCTCGTATCGATCGCCCTCCCAAAGTCGATCAGCATTACACCCTTACTCGACCAACCTCCACCGCCAGATGGATCATATTGAGTGGACAAGCCCTCGTCCGATTTCTCCAGTCGTACCATGCAGTTATCAATCTTGAGATCTCCATGGATAAATCCGGCAGAGTGAAGTCCCTCGAGTGTTCGAAGAAGCTCGACGGTGAAGAACATTGCGAGCATTTCGTCCATGCCCGGAATCGTCGACGCAGCACCACCCAAGCCGGATCCGACTTTGAGATCTCCAGCCTTGTTTACGGCTTCGAGTAATGTTCCATGGTTGCTAAATTCCAAGACGTGGTACGACTCATCCTCGTAGACGTATAATGAGCGAGGAGAGATGATGGACCGTCGCGTACTCTCGTCTACCATGCTGTGTATTCGGTCAAGGGCGTATGATTCCCAGAGAATGGCGGGCTTGACCACCTTGATTGCCACAACTGCGGAACTCATATTGCTGTCCTCGTTCTCGTCGCCGAGAAGTTGCAAGTCGTCGGCTAGAAAGACGGCTCCAAAACCTCCTTCCCCTAGCTTGCGGTGGACCTCGTATTCATCGCCGTCGAGGTTCAGGATGTAAGCATCCTCTCCTCTTTTCGAGCCTGAAGACTTTCTGCCCTTCGGATCGAAGAACTTTTGTAACCTCTCCAGTTGTCCACATGTCTGAGTTCGCAGGTCATGTTGGCCTGCGGGCATGGGCAATCTCTCGATGAGTTGTGCAGTCATCGACTTTGTGTAGGGATCACAGACAAGCCCCGCATCTTCTTCCACATCTGGAGGCTCCTCCCATGCCTGTGAAGCATCAGGGTCGGCCAAATTATCCGCTGCTTGGAGCTCTGCCGCCAATCGCTCCGCTTGCTCGTACGCATCTCGTTCGGCAAACGGTGTCTCCGCTACCGTCCGATCGCGAATATGCAGTGGAGTCGTCCAGTTTCCTGTGTGCTCATACGTCCTCTCCGTGATGGGCGTGAGTGCGGGTGCCCATCGGTGCGGACCAGCCTCGTACTCGGCCTCCTCTTCCTCATTGTACTCTTCCCCCATTTCGTCATCACTTGTTTCGGGAACCTCTCTCGCATCCTCGTCGTGGAATACGGCTTCCTCGAAATCTTCTTCATCTTGGAAAGGCTGAAATGCGACCTTTGGCTTTGGTGCAGAGAATATATCTTCCTCGTCCTGGGGTCCATCATCTTCGTCACCTTGAAGCTGGGCATTCGGTCGAGGTTGGAAGACTGGTGACGACTTTGGGACCTCGTCCATGAACGGAATGATTGCCAGAGGTTTTGCCTGGCGTACTGGAGCAGGAGTCACAGGCTCATATTCTTCATCGTTTTCATCCTCCTCGGCAAATGTGCCCACCGGTTGGAGAGCCCGTTTGAGACTTAGTGTCCGCTTTCCAGTCGAAAGGCCCTTCGATGCTAGGATTGTCAGATTTGAGACGAAAATGGAACGGCTCAGTTTACCTCCTGGCGTTCGAAATGCCATGCCTGGTGTTCGCTGGTTCTCGCTTGAGATCCTGTTCGCTGCGGGGGTCGACTCCTCGAAAAATGGCTGAAACGCTGTAAAATATAAGCTTCGTAAAGAAAAGCCCTTTATACAACTCACGCGTTCTCTGTCCTGCGTTTTCATTCTTGGATACGCTCTGTGGCATTGGCGTAGGCAGGTCGGCCTGGTTGGGATCTACCAACGACCTCTGGAAAGCATTCCCAGTCATACTCTTTGTTGGCGAGTTGTACATTCCGTAGACTGCCATAAGAGCCTCCTTGGTATTGATAGTCACTGTCGGGTCTTTGGACATTCCGGTGTATGTAGTATTACCCAATGCCATAGATTTTGTTCCCTCAAAGTCAACTTTTGTATGATGATCACCGGCTCGTGGACTGAATGGATCGTCAAAAGCCCCAGGCAACGCCATTTGCTCGGGGGAAGGATCAGGCCATTTTTTATCTGCGACACCAAAGTCACGCGCTCTTCGTTCAAGAGGATGAATCTCCGTTCCATCTGAGAGTACCAGCATGGAGACGTCGATCTGCAGCCGTTCATTTGGCTTGATGCTGGGTAGACTCCTTGAAGACTTTGGCTTTGAGCTAGAGCTGGCGGCTACTTTGGATCCTGATGAGTTGGTTGTTTTCAGAGGTTGTTTTCCCTTTTCCTTGCCCACTGGCGCCGGTTCTGGAGCCGATGCAATGTGATTACGGAGTGGATCTTTCTTGAGGGTGTCCATGCCAGGTTTCTTGGCCGAGAGTGTGGATATTTCATCCCTTGTATGACGTGCCGGCGTTTTGGGTACATCCTCCTGCCGTCTCGCTCAGAAGCTGATCGGGAAGGAGAGACGACAAACCTCGTCTACATAAACCTCCACACGGGGAGTCCGCGGTGCATCCAAGATAGATTGCTTTAGGACCTCTCCTTGCGCAGGTACTGCTGAGCGGTAGTTTTCCTTGCGCTGAGCATCCCTTGTCTCGAGTTCTGGCCACGCATTCCCATCCCCCGAGGCAGCATCTCCGTCGGTAAAGATCTGAAAGTTATTCTGTCTCGTCGATGCTTGATTGTTCGAAACCGGAGCACGACTCTCCGTGGCCGGCTTCTTGCTCTTGCGTTCACCGAGAGCCGCTCTGCCAGTGCTGCGCGATGATGCCTCCGCAGGCGCCTGAATTGTAGAGGGAAGAGGGGAGTTGATCATTCGTAGACTAAAGTCGCGTTTTCTTGCTTGGAGTCGGGCGAGTGGATGGGCCCGACGAGCGATGCCAATATCATACATGTCCATCGCCTCTTCTCGCCTATTTATTGCTTAGACATGATATAACTTGGGACAATTAACATACCTCCCGCTCTTCTCGAGCGCATTGCAATATTCCTCGTAGAACAAGGAATATGCCGTACCAATCTCATTCGTATTCAGATACGAAAATATCTTGATTGGATGATCGACACACGACGCGTACTGGATCCACAACTTAAGGTAACGCATATCGTTTCTATATCGTGGGTCGGCAGAGAAGACTCTGGTCGCGCGCTCCAAAAGTTCCAGAAGGCCTGATTCAGCTGAGACGCCCTGTGGATAGTTGTCTACCGTCCAGTTGACATAGCGAATCCATGCCGCCAATGGGTCGTCGTCGTTGTCCATCGCCAGCTCGACATCCTCTTCCATTTGGGCTCTCTCTGCAGCGAGACGCGTCTCCTTTTGCTTTGGAGTTGCGAGCAGCGACCCCGCCAATGCAGCTGCACGCCGACCGCTGGCGAGTGGCTGGATGTTTTCCTTGTGTTGAAGAATCAAATCAGCATCCACAACCGTATCATGTTCATCCAGCTCTTGATAACTGGCGACTGGCGTCTTTGGCGCGTCCATTATCGGTGATGGTTGGGTCTCAACCTTGAACCGCTACGACGACTAGGCCTTTTTCTCCTTTGCAGGGCACTCAGGCTCTGGAAATTTTCGATAATGTCTGCCGATGTCACAGTAGCGGATTTCGATCCCCTCTTCGACGACGAAACGTCGCTGTCTCCTCCTCAGCCCAAGACGTTGCCTAGCTTTATGCTCGCACTCCCAACGTATGAGCAATCCGCTCTTACGAATGCTGATACACATCTTCGTCATGCGACGAATGAACCTGGAATTTTTGACATTTTTGATCAAAATGTGGGGACCATTGCACCATCCGGTTCCTGCGTATCTGAACGTCCCTCTTCCTTAGACTCTTTTACAGGTTTCAATGCCACACCAATAATACCAACGGCCTCGACTTCTTCGACTAGTCAAGGCGCCAAAGCCAGCGCTCGAAAACGACAGACTGTAGGACGCTCCCCAAGGGCTGAGCGTACGACATCATCGATATTCACGCCGAGGAATCATCGAGAGGCCGTTCTTTATCGGCTTATCCAAGATCCCAACGTCGCCGTGGTGCTCCGCGCCCTCATTGACCAAATGTACAAGTCAAAAGTACTTCCAGACCAGTTCCAGGCACATATTTCCGCACTTCTTGGCACATTTGGTCAACCGGGTACCCCCAGCCCGACCAATGTTGACCTTCCTCGTCCGACCAAACGACGGCGGATGGATCGAATTCCCGCTGGAGCTGAAGACTGGATAGTACCATATCCATTCCAACCCGACGAGGTCCCAGAGCATTTCCAGGAGATGAGGGACATTCACATTCTGGATTCGGTACTCAAGAGTTTGGAACGGAATGTCAAGAGCTGGAAAAACGCCCGCGGCGTTCTCAACGAGCCTACTCGACCTCGAGGACTACCTTCAAACAACGACCCCACACCAGCATCTCTGTCGATGACCCTCAACGAATCTACCCTTCTCAATGAGACCTGGCTCCACCAACCGGACGATGAGCTACTCCTGGCGCTGGATCGAATGCTTGGAGTCCCAGCACATCAACCAACAGAAATTCAAGTGGAGGATCCCACGATTTTTGCATCTGGGCTGTTGGAATCGCTAGGACTTACGCTACCTTCGGTAACGGAATCTACCGCTTCTACTTCAAGGCTTACGACACCAGTCGACCCCGAATTCGGTCTAGATTCGTTTGTATTCGATGGTATGGACTGGAGCGCCCTTGAGAATCCAGCCGGCCCAAAGGTACATATCACTCCACCCTCGCCAGTATCCGGTATTGATCTATTTAAGAATCCCAATACTCTGCCAAATGACTTGCCCATGTTCCTTGACGGTCTTGGATCGACTAGCAGAGCATCGATGGTGGCGTCGCCCTCGTCACTATCCAGCAGAAGCACCACGCCCATGATGGACTCCTCTCATCCGGTTCGGCTCGTTCCCGCATTGTCAAAACGTGGTCGTGGACGGTCGACAGCGGTTCTACGACGTCAATTCAGCCACAAAGTACCAAGTAGTTCGCCGGTTCCGTCAGTGGAGGCCGAGCCTATCTCTGCACGTGGCACACGAAAGACGAGAGCAAGTCAGGAGACCACGAAGAAACGCGATGAGACGCTTGCACGGGCACGAGAGTACCGCGAGGCGTTGGCGATGGAACTGGAGAGGGCTCGCACGGAGCGATGGGAGATGATGATGGAAGGTGTCGTGTTGCGAGAAGCGAGGGTTTTGATCGTGGACTGCGAGGAGGGCTCAGCATGAATCAATCCGGCGGGTCAGCAAAAAAGAGATGGCCATTGTATTTAAACACTTTGCAGAACAGTTACCATGCGCATTTGGGACCTTTTCTTTTTATTGCGTGAAATATCAGAGACAATCTGGCCGTTCGAGGTGTAGCTTGTCGTGGCGACGGACTGAGGCTGGGTCACCCCAGCTTGCCTCCAACGTCACCAAACCACTGACGCCATACCGCGTAAATAATTTTGCAAAAACTTGTGAGTATTCTACACGTCGTTTATAGTTGTTTTCAACGTTGACAATGGCCATCGCAGTGACGCAGGAGCTTTCGCGAGCGGAACGAGTGGCACTTCATGACCTCACCTACCGCCCCGACCAAGCGCTCGACTTCCCCGCCGTCGTTTGCAACGACAACGAACGGTTTAAGCCAGCCGGCACAAACGCAGCAGCTGCAGGCCGCCCAGCCGCCCAAGACGGTCCAAAGAGCTCCCAGACCGCCCCCGCGGTCAAACTTTGACCTCGAGCCGAACCCGTTTGAACACTCGTTTTCATCCACGTCTGCAGTTTCCCACTCGTCGGCCACGGACACGCCAAAGCATGACACAGACGGCTCTGCCAATGCCCTGAATCATGCCACAAAGTCTGGGATGACAAATGGAAACCAAAAGGACGCGGCAGACGATGCAAAGCCGATGCTCCCGCCGCTAGCAGCACTCGAGAGCCCTGCCGATCAAGGCTTTGGCGCATGGGGACTCGCCTCGTCGTTGCGTTCTGGCCCACTTTCGCCAGCGATGCTCGCCGGCCCCGCGTCGCAGCAGACACCTTCTCTCGGCCTGGGAGCATTCGATAGCTCGTTTGTGCGCACAGGACTCACTCCCGACGTCAGCAGGACCGGGCTTACCCCGCTGATTGGTGGCCCAGGTGGTTATCCACCCCCTTCCCCCAACACGGCTGCCCTCTTCGCGTTGGTGAACGGCGCATCTTCTGGTTCGAATGTTGCTATCACCCCTGGCACCCTTAACGCCATTACGGGAGCGCTCAATCAATCTCTTAATGCCATTCATCAACCCACTTCCATGACCCTGGAGGCACAGAACCAGCCCCTGATGGATGCCGCGCACCAGCAATCGATGAATCAACAGAATCAGTTCGTGGCGCCCCAGCAAGAGACATATTCATCCCACGATAGTGCATCACATGCCATCTCCAACGCCGCCTCGGCCCTCTATTTGCTCTCCCAACAGCAAGGCATGCAGCGTCAACAGAACCAGGTAAACCCATCGGCCGTTTCTGGCCAGCCCCAACGAACCAATACGAGTCAAAGCCCCACCTCTTCGGCTGCCCCTTTACCCACCCGACGCGCAACTAAACGCAAGACCACGGATACTCCGGTGGCCCCGGCACCTCGTGGCAAAAAGGCAAAGGGATCTTCCGGTGGTGTTGCAACTCGCGGCGCTAGCCGTCGAAGGTCAAGCAAGGTGGACGACCAAGACGACGACCAAGACGAAGACGATGAAGATGATGATGACGATGATGCGTATATGGAAGGGAATCAGCCTATCAGCATTGCTGCAAACGGTCGGACGAACAGCACTGCTGGCAAGGCCGCCAGCAAAAAGCCGGAGACGGAGGAGGAAAAGCGTCGAAACTTTTTGGAGCGCAACCGTCAAGGTCAGCCTATCCCTAATTCGACAAATAGTTTTGATGCTAACTGACTCGTAGCTGCATTGAAATGCCGTCAGCGCAAAAAGGCTTGGCTTCAGGCTTTGCAGGCCAAAGTCGAATTCTTGTCGGTAGAAAACGAGCGACTGTCCAAAGCTCTCGTCGCGTCTCGTGAAGAGATTGCTCGCTTGAGCCAGGCTGTCGTTGCTCGAGGTGGAGCACCGTCGGCGCTCCTCAATACCGATTTGGGTGTCGAGGTATCACCCAATGGCGTCGAACGTGCTCGTTCGGATTCGAGTGCTAGCACGACGGCGGGCCAGGCCATTCACGTAAATGTCTCCCTTCCCGGCACCAACAATGCCGCACCTCCCAATATGGCAACCGGCCTTGGACATGCACACTCGCATTCACAGGGTGTCTTGCAACACGGCCAAGGGCAGGTTATGGGCCACGGACGATCCCATAGTCACGGACATGTCATGCCAACTCAGAACGGCGTGACCGTTGGCGGTCGTGGATATGGATATTGATTGTTTTTTCTCTTTCCTCACTTCGGCCCCAGCTGTACACGCGCAACTTTTGGACTTCATCTTACGCCCACCGCTCTCGCCAAAAACACTTCTTGATGCCGCGCATCCCACGCATCGTAGTCGACCATACCCTACATTATTGCATCGGTAGTCGCGCGACCCCGATGATCACTCACGCATATAACACCAAACCCTCTCTCAACAGCTCGTATGGCCGGCCTCGTATCCCTGGGTAACCTTCCACGGACAAAATAGATTATCTTGTCCCAAGCTCTGCCGCCACCACCTCTATATACACTGCGGGGTGCTAACGGAGGTTCAATTCTTTCACTCCTTCGCCAGTCGGACAAGATCTCACCACATTGAGACTGTAACTCTGACTCGTGCATCCCATTTTCATCCTCCCATCATCCAGACCTTCGCCCCCCGCCACGCGCATGCTGCTCGTTGCATTGACTTCATAATCGCTTTCTCGCAGGTTATATTGTCCCTTCTCACCATGTTCCAGTAGTTTGACCCTTGTACCACGCCCTACACAAGAGAAATACGATTCTTGTGCAATAATGTTGTTGCTCATTGAGTTGGCTGCCTGCAGGTGATTTGCGCACGAGACACGCAGTATGCTTATCACTCCTCGTGCGAAAGCGAATAGTTTGGCTTGGCTAACGTATTTGAAATGTTTGCTTGGAGTTTGTCGCGTTCGTTGTCTCCTCTTAAACCCCAGGACTTGAATTTGGGTATAGCTCAGATGGCTACAGGTGCGCAACAGATAGAATAACACAGACTGAAATGCTGATCACCTCTTACTTCTGTTGTTTAGCAACTCCTGGTCGTCCATCCACAACGACGCTGGCGTCGACGAGGAGCTCGACGATCAGTTCCAGCAGACCTACACCTCTACAAGGTTCTATGGCGACACTAGGGACTAGGAGCGTCTCCTTGAGCCCCAATTCTGCTTCACGAACGTCGACTACGATACGGACAAACGCAGTCTTATCGTTCAATCCCCCTCCCTCGTCTCAAGTCGTTGAAACAGCTCATCAAGTTGTGGGTACATTATCCAGCTACGAAGCTGATGCAACGACTACCCGAGCCAAAGGGCCGTCACGCGTGGCTATCGCTGTAGGCGTCGTGCTGGCGATTCTGGCTGTCACCAGCATATTTGTTTCTCTCTTCCTCTTCTTGAAATCTCGTCGGAGACACCGGACGTATTCTGGAGACTTGCACTCCGCGAGTCCCTTTACCCATCGGAGGGTTCATCTCGATCCAGGAAAAAAGATGGCACCTGTGAAGATACATGTCAAGCGTGTACATGACTGGAGCGACGCAGAGCATGTCCCAGTCATGCCAAAGGGGGTTGGGACAAGTGGAAGTGCAGAAAGACACCGACCCTTTCGTGTCCCCAGAAAGCTCCCGCCTAGTATCTCCAGTTCCATCCAGGTTCCATCCATGCCCGAGCTGGTCAGCGAAGAACACAGTGAAGGTGCATCGACCTTCACCCTTCCTGCTACACCAACTCTTCAGAAGCCGATTCGAGAAGTTGGCAACTCCAAGCTTAATGAATCTTCATCAAAGGGAGTTGGTATACCTGTGGAGGACTCGAATGGACAGAGTCGTGCGACGAGTCCAATTCCAATCCCAGGGGTTCACGGGCAACTCCCAAGCTCTTTCGCACTCGAAGCGGAAACGAGAAATACTCCCTTACATCAACCCATACCGTCTGTTGATCATGTTCAAGCGATCACAGCCTCTACACCGACTGGTCCAGAACCTAAATCTACGACAAGTCCAAACTCTCCTTCAGCATGCCTTCACGGGCCATTTGCAGTCGATTCTCAGTCCGGCCTTACGACTTCTATTACTGGATCAATGCCATATTTTGGGAGTGTGCCAGCAGCACGCTTCAGAAGAAATGCTTGTACCCACACGATGAGTGATATCGGATCATCCCAAGGTGTCAAAATCGGGTTTGTCCCAAATAACATCCCGCTGGTAAACTATCCCAGATCTCACGAGGGCGCAGTCTCCGCCAGAGGATCCATCCATAGTGTCATGAACGCGGCACATGGAGAATCCTTGTACAAGATGAGACCCCAGGCCGTGTGGCACCCGCATTTGGGTCTGAAAAAAGCGCGTAGCGCAGAGGCTATGCCTACGCACAGAACAAGGAGCAGCGGTAGCTACGAGGCGCCAGAGTCGTCACTCCCTTCACGGTCGAGAACTCCGATTCGTCGACCCCCAAGAAAGGAGGTTCCCAGGCGGTTGATCGCCGAGTTGGAAAGGGAGATCGGCGGACCGAGTCTAGGCGACATGGCCGAACAAGGGCGCTTGGTTGCCTTGTCAGGCTCTAGTGCAGAACTGAAGGATAATCTTGTGTTGGATCGACTACCGTCTTCGACTCCTATGCCCATCGTGGACACGAAACGACGAGGCCCTCGACCGCGCTCCTCATCACACGGTCAATTTACCACGACAATGTTTTAGGTGATGCACCGTTCTCTTGAAGCCCTCTGGAACCCGCTGGACGGGAGAGCTGGGTATGGTCTTCTTGGCAGGCTCATAATCATAATGTCTAAGCGTCAATATACCCTGAGTCTTTATATCGGAGTTTGAGACTGCCCTTGGTGCCGAAGTAAGCTGCCGCGGCAGAAGGGCCATCTTGATCGTCGCCACGATATGCCTGCCGGAAATGTGGACGGTGTCAAACACATCGTTCCGTTCCTCCAGGCTTACCCGTTTCCAGGATGGATTCTGATGCCTCCTCTGGCCCTCAACTCGCTGGCCGGCTTTGCGCTCGAGCCCAGCTGGTCAAACCCAGCCTTTGGCGAGCTATTTGGCTCACGAGACGAGTTTATGACCGCCATAGGTGCGTTTTAAACGTACATTTGTAGCTCATGATGCGATTGTAGGATGTGTTAAGGTCCCGGCAACGCGCTGATGGAGTACGGAAACTGGGTCGAGACGAGTGACGCAACCACGACCCATCGACTGGTGGTCAGAGTTCCTTGGCAGGACGAGGAAGACGAGCTCCAGGACCGCCAGATCGTTGTTGAACTCGAGCTGACGAAAACAAGGATCACAGATGTGGCGAAGAACGTGTATACTGTGATAACCTCGACGGTGCAGTCACCGCTCCCCCCTCGGTTGCGTTCGAGACCGCTATCGCGCCTAACTAGGCGGAGCAAAGGGAGACGTAAACCAACTCTCAAGCTTAATGAGTTGCCAGGATTGCTAATGGGGCCAGAGGTGTCGCTCTCGACCCCGAGCAGCTCAACCGGCAGCTCCTCGACCGTTGGTCTCGGTATCAACATCGGTCTGGGTGGCACACAAAAAGTCAACGCTCTGATGGACAACTATGCTTGGGAAAACACACCGCTTGGACCAAGAGATAATTGGGACCTCTGCCTCCGGCAGGCAGTGAACCTTGTTCTTAATGCCCCGTTCCCCACTGCGATCTGGTGGGGCATGGACTTAGTGCTTATTTACAACGATGCATATGCAGGTGGGTTCTATATCATTTCATATAGCGTCTCTAATCGTCCGAAGAAATGAGTGGCCCCGCAAAGCATCCCCGCATCTTCGGCCTTAAAGGAATTGAGGCCTGGGGAGAACTATGGGACTCATTAGGGGTAAATCTCTGCCACTTTATCCTTCATATACTTACATCCGCTTAGCCGGCGTCTCACGAATGCTTGAAGGGACATCCCGTCTCCAAGCGCGACGATCTACTGTTCATGGACCGACTGGAATCAGATGAACAGCCCCTTGAAGAGACATATCACACCTGGAGCTGGGTACGCGTCCAAATCTTTGCTTAAGTTTCTCATGCCACTCAGACTCCAATGTTGGGAGTTGATGGAAACTTTGCCGGATTGTTAAATAATACCCACGAAACGTCCTCAAAAGTCGTGGCAGAGAGAAGGATTAATACCCTTCAGGTCCTAGGCAGTCGCGCAGGTAACATATACTCGTGCTCCTTTTTCCGATGGCACTTACTTCTGACACAGCTACTGCCGAGAACCGACAGTCATTTTGCCATGCAACAATCGCAACCCTGGAAGAAAATGACAAAGAGTACGTCTCGTACTGGGCCTTTATCAGATATGCTCATCCTCCCACAGTATTCCTTTTGCTGCGTTATACCTGACGGACACAGAATCTAGTAAGCTGATCAGTGCAAATACTATATATATACTGATTGAAGGCTCAGGTACTGATTTAGAGGTCGAAGGTCAACCGAAGCCAGCGGTCGACGATCGTCAGCGGCCTAGCCCCGAGGCTACTCGGCTCAGATTGAGACTGGGAGGGAGTATCGGCCTCAGAGAAGAGCACCCATTCATACCATACGAATTATTCGTCTTCGTCAAGCCCACCCACTCGTCAGTCGATTCAAATGCGCCCCAATTCGAATGGCCCTTCGAGGAAGCCATCCGAGAAAAGGAGCCAATTCGCGTCGTCCTACCACCCAAAGTCTCAAAAGACTTTGAGAATCGTGGATGGGGTGATCGTATCAGCCATGCCGTCGTCGTGGCTTTATCCTCGGAAGCCGATGGCGCTCCTCTGGGTGTCGTGATCCTTGGTCTCAATACGCGCCGTCACTACGATGCGGATTACCGCAAGTGGATCGACGTCTTGCGGTCTTCTATGAGCTCATTGCTGAACGGTAGTCTTGCCCGAGAAGAAGAGGTTCGCAGGGCAGAGTGAGCGGATGTCTTTTGATGATTCGTCGTCTGAATTGGTTCAGGGAACTCGCGGAACTTGATCGTGCCAAATCGTCTTTATTCTCTAGTGCATCTCACGAACTTCGTAGGTCCGCTCAAGTCGATGCCAAATATGTTGTTGATGAGATCAAAGGCACACCCCTCACACTGATTGGGGGTCCGCTTAATGATTGTATAGCGGAAATCAAAGACGTCCACATCAAAGCCAAGCTGTTGACTGCTTCGCGCAATGTAGATCGACTCGCGAGACTGGTCGACTCGTTAATGGACTTCTCACGGTTAGAAGCAGGCAGATTGGAAGGTGAGTGGCACATTTCCATCTGGTCTGCCCCTCTCACTCACGACAGGACGCTACTCACCTGTTCAATTTGGTCCTTACGTGGCCGATCTGGCTGCAGTATTTCGCCCTGTGATTGAAAAAGCACAGCTCACTGTGAGTAATCCTGTCACGAAGATACATGCCCTCTGACCCTTACAGTATACTATCACATACGACACCAACGAGACGAGGGCTCTCTTCATTGACCTGGATTACATGGAAAAGATCATCTTCAATCTAATCGGAAATGCATTCAAATGTTAGTGATGCACAAGTTTACTGGTCTCGAACTCACTTTGAAAAGATACCCTCGCCGGAAGCATTTCCGTGGATGTAGTTTATACGGATACACATGCGAAGCTGATCGTCAAGGATACTGGTGTTGGTATTCCTGCGGCTGGTTGGTCATCTCGAGCCAGAGTTTGCTTATGCTAATCCTTGTAGATTTGCCCAAGATATGGGAGCGTTTCCATCGAGTTGAAGCGACATCTCGCTCACACGAAGGTGAGATTGCTAGGGGCGTATCCTTGGAGCAGGCCCTCACTGCCGAATAGGAACGGGAATCGGTCTGGCATTGACAAAGGTGAGCAATTTGGGTCTCCAGGACAAGAAGTGTAATAATTTCTGCAGCAATTTATTCATCTTCATGGAGGAGATGTCACTGTGACATCCAAGGTCTATACCGACGATGGAAATGATCATGGAAGTACGTTCACCGCGTCATTCCCTCTCGGGAAGGAACATCTACCAGCCACTCGTCTTGTAAACGAGGTTTTGGAGTCGAAGAAGCCAAACTACGCTCGAACGATTGTCGCTGAAGCGGCGAGATGGAGACTCACTGGGGACGCCATGACACCGAGCGACTCGGAAGACTCATACACTAGCTTCGATGGGACAAGGACATCGGAATTCGCTTTTGATACTACCGACCTGGTCTTACTCGTCGACGATAATCAGGATATGCTAGGTAATGATGAATATGTCGTCAAAATGGGATCTGACTATCACTAGAGTATATTAGGAACATTTTTTCACGATTTTGTCATGTTCGTACTGCCTGCAATGGTGCTGTGGCACTGGAGAGTGCTCGAAAGTATCGACCAGACTTGATCATCAGTGACGTGATGATGCCTGGTGAGCTTGACATAAACGTATTAAGCTTGACTCACAGTATACAGTACTTGATGGATTTGGATTGGTCAATGCACTAAAGGACGATGCTTTGATACGTAACATCCCGATTATCCTGCTATCGGCGCGGGCTGGAGACACAAACAGAGCTGAGGGGATCGTAAGTACACCCTCCTTCAAGTAATTTCCCCACTGACTATTCAGTTATCTGGAGCGGATGACTACATTCCAAAGCCATTTAGTTCGAGAGAGTTACTCGCCCGCGCTCATTTTCAGCTTCAATTGGGAAAACGTAAACGGGAGATGGAACGACGGTTCCAGTAAGCCGTTGTCTAATCAGATGAGTGAACACTCACAGACTGATAGGGAGCAAACGAAGGAAGTGCAAATTCTGACAGATCTATCACCTGCAGCAAGTCGTCTCAATATTTGTTTCGATTTCTTTAACATTGAAATGTTGTCTTTGCAACATAGGGGCTCTTCCGTATCAATAATGATGGGAAAATGTTACTCTGCAATGACAGGTTCCGCGAAATGGCCAAGATGCCTCCGAACGTCGAGGAAAACTGGTCTGTATGCTGACAATTGTCTTTAAAGGCTGATTCAGTGCAGGATCAATTACGTACATGAGGACTACCGGAAAACAGTACAATCCTCGCTCATGGAAGCATTGAGGAAACACGAAGATGCCCAAATCGATTTTGTCTTCTCGAACGGTAACTGGGTCAAAAGTTACGTTCGATGGTGGGTAAATGGCCTCGTAGGAGTGAGTTTCCACATGGACAGGAGGAGGACATCCTACTGATGGGTGTCTAGATTGTCACAGACATGTCTCTAACACGGTAATCTTGACGCATATGCGATGTTTTATCCTCATAGCATCCAGGCTATACGAAGAGTCCCTAAAGAAGCGAGCTGAGGAAGCGGAGGAGCGTAGAAAGGAAGCAGAAGAACGACGTCGTGGCCAAGAGGTACTGCACCTTTCATCCTCCCAACCCTCACTCACTTAGTCTCTAGCTTCTTGTCGACGTGACTAGCCACGAATTGCGACAGCCTGTGTCTGCTGTAAGCCTGAGGCCGCCGTCGAGCCAAATCTGATGCCTTGGGTACCAGGTCATCAATTGCGCTAACGTTGTATTCACAAACTTGACTAAACTTCGTAAGGCACTCAAGGAGGCCCTGCAAAAGGACTCGGGCTTCCAGGTAACGAATCAGTTGCTCGCTCAAAGTAAGTTATCCCAGTAACCCAGCAATTGCAACTCATCTTCATGTCCAGTCGACGAAGACCTCGAGGTAAGTAGCATTCTGTACTTGTATATCGATGCAAACTCTGGCGTAGAGCTTAAACGCCATCGAACTATGTGGACTGGCACAAGGTACCGTCTTCTTCTCTTCATAATAAACAGCTCAAAGTTGTACAGGCCACATTGTCAACGACATCTTGACGCTTTCACGCATGCAACTCCAGTTGTTAACGTTGCAGGAGTCGACCTTCCAGTTTGTTCAAGAAGTCCGCCAGACATGTTCTATCCTCTTCAACGAGATGAAGAGCAAGGGAATCAGTTATACTCTAAATTTCGGCCCGTCCATCCAGAGATTGGGCATTGACTATGTCTCGGCGGACAAGGTCCGCTTTGGACAAGTAAGTTTACAGATGCATTTGACTTGTCACTAACCTTTGCCTAGGTAATCATCAACCTTCTCAGTAATGCTATTCGTTTTAGTCAGCTGAGCACAAAGAAGGCCATCGAGATAAACGTGAATGTTTCCCGGGGCCGTCCTGATGACGCAAGTTGCAAGCCCCCAAAGAATTATCCAGGCGATGAGGTGCGAATTGGTCCCGGAGAACGAATTTCCCTCTACGTTTATGTGAGCGTGCGAGATAGTGGCCCCGGCCTCAAACCAAAGGATCTGGAAATTCTAGTAGGCAATTTCTCCAGGCTCTGATATCTTTGTTGACAACGCTACAGTTCCAACGCTTCCAAAGAGGAACCAATAGCGAGGAGATTTTTGGCGGTTCCGGCCTTGGTCTCTTCGTATCAAGGTGCGCACATGACTACTTCGCATCGAAGGATCTGATAACATGTATAGGAAAATATGTGACCTACTTCACGGGCAAATCGAGGTATGCGATATGTTGGAGTCAACAAGCATACTTATTATTCAGGTGGATGCAAATTCCGTAGAGGAGAAGGGATCAACGTTTAGATTTTTCGTCGAAATGCATACAGAACCTGCCCCGAAGCCTTCAACTCCCCAGCACCCTCATATCGACAGGGGGTCGAGCACCAAGCTTCGGTGAGCCATCTATGTGTCAACAGATTGAACAACTTGTAACCTTGAAAGTATTCTCGTCGCCGAGGATAATCAAACCAATCGCGTAAGTAAGTTACAACCGATGACTCTAACTCATCTCCCCTTAGACCATACTTGGGTATGTTGTCACCACCTATCATCCTCATGAAATTCACCCCATCGTAGCCGCCAACTCAAAATGAATGGATGTGTACCAAGTTTGGCTGTCAATGGTGCCGAAGCTGTTGACCTCGTCATCAAAGCTGGGGAGGAGCCTTTCGACTGCATTCTTATGGACTGCGAAATGGTCTGGGTCATAAATTTATTCATCATCTCGACTTGACTTACCAATCTTAGCCTGTCATGTCCGGGCTGGAGGCCAGTAGGGAGCTAAGAAGGCTTGAAAATGCCGGCCGCATACCTCGTCAACGGTATGAATACCTCATCATTGGCAGATAATGGCGCTTAAGACTTCCAGAATCATCGCTTTGACTGGTAATGCGCGGCGTGAGCAGTTAAACAGCGCCCTCGAAGCTGGGATGAACGAAGTTATGGTACGCTTGGACCTATGACAAATGAGAGATCTCTGAAACCTTCTAGACGAAACCATACCGCATCCAAGAACTCCTGGAACGGATCCGTAACAGTAATGCATGAGGGAATGGACATGATCAATCTTCGTGTGCATATTTTTACCAGCTGTCATAAACGCCGCAGACGTACAATATTTTCTCTGGTTATACACGATAGGTTCTTTATGATGAGGCAGGAGCATACATGATTTGAGAAGGACGATGGTATTTTTAAAGGAAGGGATATTGTAAATCTACTTTAAACGAGGCATCTTGGTGACAGGGGTCATTCCCAAGCGGCGCTTTGTTCCGGCTAGCTTGGGTGCAATAGGTGGAGGTTTAACGGCCTCCGCGCTCAATGCATCCTCAATCAAGTCTAGAGAGGGATGAGTCTTCTCGCCCTTGTTCTCTTCAGGCATTCCAAGGGGTCGAGGTATCGAACTTGAGACTGGGCTAGCTTGAGGACGAAACAATAGCCCTTTTGAACGGGATTCTACAGTTTTATGGGCATTTTGAAGGACTGCGGATCCATTGGAGGATGGGGCGGGTTGGCCTTGAGAGAAATAAGAGGACACGGGCCTCTGATACGAGGTCAAAGCATGTGCTGATGGCTTTCTGACCGTTTCCAGTGGAGGAGATTTGGTCTGTGAAGCACTCTGGATTACGGAGCGGGCCGTCTGGAACGTTGCTGCTGAAGAGTTGAGATTATCCACGGTTTCCCGGTCATAGGAGCTCACCAGAAAGTGCCGTTCTCTCAGAAATGAGCCTTGTTTCAGCGTTATTGGGCCTTTGTGGCTCAGGATTGCCTTTCACCCCCTGGAAGGCGATGGGTGCAGGTTTGCTTTTAAGACTGAATGTTTTATCATCAGTGGCCGCTGTTGTATCCAAAGCAGTACGCACTAGGTGCTGACTCCTGCGTCGCATTCTTTCGGGTCTGGTGCCTTTCGTTCCAAAATCTTGCCTAGCACTCCAAACTCTTTCGCATGAAGAATGGGCTTGTTATGAGTGAAAATGGTCTATACCCATGAGTACTTGAATGGTGTTAGGGATTGGCGAACCTTGGCCGTGTCTTTGTCTATAACAGCTTTGACAAATTCTGAGAGGTCATTCGCCTTTGACTCTCCTGAAACGAGATTTTGGTACTAGTAAGGAAGTTCTTCTTGGTCACTTACCGCCAATCTTGCGTCTTCCAGCGTGAGTGAGGTAGAGCAATACTTGAGCACGAGTGCCTACTGGGCGTAAGTTTGTTGGTAGCAAACGCGGATAATGATTGACAGGCTACATAGAGCAGACGCCTATGCATGATGAGAAACGATTTGAATAAGATGTACGGCGCACCTTTCTTCTTCAGTGTCGTCGGAACGGTAGAAGGGAAAGGTTCCTTGCTCCACTGGAGAATGTCAGTTGTTGATAATTTAGAGTTGCCGTTGTTCCTACCGCTCGGAACGAACACAACTGGCCACTCGAGCCCTTTTGCTGCGTGACACGTCGAGATAATGACTTTCTGAGAAATACTGAGAGATATTCCTGTCGAATATGTATCTCTCACCTCCTGGGTATCATCCTCGTTAACTAGTGTGTCTGTAGACAAACTAGTTGCTTGAAGAAACGCTCGTAATGGTGTCATCCTGCAACAAATTGAGATACATTCTTCGCTCGTGGGCGGGCAGCTTACGTTTCTGGTAGCAGGGATGGCGCTTCTTCTTCCTCCTGATCATCCTCGAAGATGAGAATTGGCTTACTTTGGCTGCCCCAGTCCTCTTCAGGGGTGTCTTTGCCTATGAAGGGTGTCGCGAAGGATGAGGACTCACTCTCATCGTCACCCACTGCCGAGAGAGGGATAGGCTCAGTACTAGTTGGTGATGTGGGCACAGTGAGGGTTGTTTCCATTCCAGCCGTAGGAACGGTTTCCGTTGCAAAAGTGATCAATTCGCGTATGTTTTCCCAACGGGCTTCCCAATCTTGCTGCGTGGTCTTAAGGTATTCCACATAGTTGATTGCTGTCAGGAGTTCTTGGATCAAATCGACAACAGACATTCCCTGAGAAAGATTTGGTTGTTGGAAATCGTCCAACTCTGCCTCATACCTCTTGGGATAGTTTGCGCAGCCGCTGCATGGTTCTAACGAGTTCCTTCGCCTTGTTCAGCACAGGAGGATTGATATCTGGAATGCGCCCATCCACGATTTTTTCAACCACATGCATGACAGGCTTTTTCATCTTTCGTGCCTTCTTTCTCAGTTCTTCTACACTCTGCAGGGATGTGAGTTCATCATTTCCATCCGATCCAGACACACCTTGTTGCCAATATTGCGCTTCGGCACATTGATGATACGGAGGGCAGCTGGATCGAAATCAAAGTTGTCAATTATTTGAAGATAGGCGAGTAGGTCTTTGATCTACAAAAGTCAGGATTCGAAAGCTACAATACCAATTGCATACTTCTATTCTCTCAAAGAATTTATGACCTGAGAGAACACGGTTCGGTATACCCTCCCGCTGTAAAGCCGTCTCAATATTCCGTGAGAGTGCATTAAACCGAACTGGACAAGTCAGTGATGGTGCTAAGAGACAAGGGAGGACATACGCAGAATCGCAAAGTCACTCCATTTGAGCAATCCGCCTGATATTAACTTTAGCCTCTTGATCTCGTCTGCAATGCAAGCAGCCTCTTCGTGTTCATCGGCACATGAACCTAGAGTTGGCGTTGCTCCAAAAGCGTGAGATGTTCGCAATGTCTTTGGTGGACGATTCGTGTCTATGCAAAGTTAGGCAGAATCCCCTTTGGTTCGAAATGCACCTTCTGAGATGATAGCGACTGATGCGGCTAAAATGGCACCAGTACTCCGATAGTTATCCTCCAAATATATCTGTTGCGTGTTCGGAAAGCGCAAAATCATTCTCGCAAGATTTTCGACCTCTGTATTCAGTCAGACAAGATCAGGTCTGGCTAGATGAGCATCACCTGCAGACCTCCAGGCGTATACTATAGTGAAAGTTTAGCATCTGTACGCATCCAATCATACAAGACGTACTTGATTGATCCGGGTCCCCAACCACACTAACATTACCGTGCTTTGCGGCAAACAAGACCATGAGCTCGAACTGCGTTGTGTTGGTATCTTGGAACTCGTCGACGAAGACGTGTTCAATGTCGATACAGTCTGGCTTCTTCTTCAGCAATTTGACGGCCAACATTAAAAGGTCGTCAAAGTCCAGGGCGTTATGTTTCTGACACTCCTCTACATACTCCTTGTACACGGGCGAGAGTTGTAGCATTATATGAGGGCTGGTCTCGCCTTTGGAGAGCGTGGTTGTCCTTTGAAGGTCACGACGCGCTGTCGATTCCATCTCCTCGGGAGTGATGCATTTGGCTTTGGCCTTGGAAATGAGTTCGACGGCAACTATGTCCTTGATATCAAGTCTTTGTGCTCCAGTAGCATGAGCACCGGAAGCGGCAACCATATCTTTGAGAATCCCGTTTATGATCTTCTTTCTGCAAATATTATATTTGACCCACATGCAGCGATTCCAATATACTCTTACGACTCGTCTGCATCACAAATTGAGAAATTGTTCTGGATGTTGATAGCGTGACCGTGTTGTCTCAGGAGTCGTCCACAGATCGAATGAAACGTCCCTTTACATTGGTAAGTCATGTCTTTACATTCCTAGAGCAGAAGTACCGAGCACCAGTGCCGAGGCAGCTTTCTCTCCGATCAAGGCGTGCAGTCGAACACGTAGTTCGTTCGCAGCTTTGTTTGTAAAGGTTACAGCGACGATCTTGGAAGGTTCGACGTTGTGTTCCTTGATCAAATGGGCGATTCGGTATGTCAAAGTCCGCGTTTTACCGCTCCCTGGGCCAGCCAAGATTTGCAGAGGAACCTTTGGATTATGAACGACAGCAGAGTATTGCGCATTATTAAGGCCGCGAAGATGTTCAGGTCTCTCGCGTTTGTCCATTATTGTGGTTTGGGTCCAAGGTGCAAAAGTTGTAATGTTCGGTAAGTTTGGCGTACAGTAGGTCTCAAATCAACTTTCAAGTCGGATAATGTAATATTGCTTGAAGGCCTTGCCTATTTCCTGCTCCACATCCGACTTGGTGTCTTCATCCCGACCATATCGCCAGCGACACCTAGATTATCCTCCCTCACTCGCTAATGGCAGAAACAGTAAAGACAAGACGCCGCTCGTCTTCAAACAGTCGTTCCAACAGCGAAGGCCCGGCTTACACATTTGGTGCTGATTTTATCCCGTTTGACGCAGAGTTTCGTACGGGAGAAATACCGGGAAAGCGCAAAAGGGATCATTCTGTAGATGATGAGCAAGCGACTCGACAATCTCGACGAGCACGATACGAAGACGGCACTTTCACAACACCCTGGATGGCAAGAATGGACCATGAGACTCCGAAAGATCCAGCAGCATTGTATCCAACCACACTTATGCACAAGAATTTATTTGCTGATGCACAACTTAGTTTCCACAGAGAAATTAGGGCGTTCGCCGACTATATCATTCCTACCGAGACAGAGCATGCTCTGAGAGGTCTCATAGTCCGAGAAATTGAGTATTATGCAAGGAAGATATGGCCCGATGCAACTGCGACGGCGTTTGGGAGCTATGCCACTGGCCTCTATCTTCCGACAGGGTGAGTACATACTCTGTAGAGAACATCTTGAGCTAAATCGTACATAGAGACATTGATGTCGTCATTGAAACTAAATATGCGACAGCGTCTACCAAGAACGCTGCTCAACGCGCATTATCACAGCTGGCAACAATCCTGAGGAGTGCGGGCTTAGCGGAACGACGCAAGATTCAGGTCATTTCCGCTCGAGTATCTATCATCAAATTTGACTCTGTCCATGGTACGTCTTCTGGCCCCGATGTATGACCAGGAATGAAGCCAACATTCCGCAGGTGGGATCCCGGTAGATATATCCCTAAATCAAACCACCGGCGTGTCTGCAATCCCAGTCATCAATAGATATCTCGAGCACTTTCCGGCTCTGCGACCTCTCATCATGGTTGTTAAAGCATTCCTAAATCAGCGAGGCATGAACGAGGTGTACAAAGGGGGACTCGGAAGCTACAGTATCATATGTCTTGCCATCAGCTTTCTGCAGGTTAAGGTCTACCTATCGGGCTCTGATGCGTTTCTCATGTCCTTGTACAGATGCATCCGAAGGTTCGACTAGGCGAAATCGACCCATCAGACAATCTAGGAGTTTTGTTGGTTGAATTTTTCGAGTTCTACGGCTTCTATTTCAATTACAACCTCGTCGGCATCAGCTTGAACCAGGGTGGTTCCTACTTCCTCAAAATGCAAAGAGGCTGGCACGATATGTCAAAGCCTTGGCTCCTCTCGATTGCTGATCCAACTGATGAAAGTGAGATTCCATCTGCTACTTCGCATCTATGGATCATGCCTGATGAGTGTTTAGCGAATGATGTGTCACGCGGATCCTTTCAAATGCTTCGCTTGAAACAGACACTTGGTGGAGCGGCCTTGATCTTAAAAGCGAGATTAATCGAAATCAGCGAGCAGATGCGGTCGCATCAAGACGGTTACTACTTCAGCTTACGTGGCCAACCACAGCCGCAGGCTCTCGATACGGTTCTCGGCAGGTTACTCGCAATGTCACCAGAGGTGCGATCGATATGGATACCACATGTATGCTCTGACGTGAGGCACAGGCCATTTCGCGTCGTCAACGTATAGAGGATGTCTTCTACAGCGGCCGTATTCACAGGACATTGGAACTGCCTTTGCCGTCAGCTCTACCTGCCAACCATCCAAAATCTGACAGTGAGGATGAATCTGACATGCAGATATCCGATTCCAGCCCGCGCCGTAGCACAGCGCAGGTCGTCAAATATATCAAAAAGGAACCTTCTCCGCAGAAGACTTCACACGTCTCGAACATCAAAGAGACCAACTCCGGTAGCGAAGATAGCGAAGATTTCACTAAGCGCTCCGACGGGGACGAGCCCGAGGAGGAGAGTCGTTATACGCACCTAGACGTGCATAGCACTCGAAAAGGCCGACCCCGAGACCTTAATCGGTTTGAGCCTCTGGAAATCCGAAGAGTTGAATATATCATGACGGATAGCGAAGCGGATGATCCTGACGAACACGAGGACGGCAGAGCCTCTCCTGTTGCGCATGCCAATAAGAAGAGGCAAATCGAACCTGAGCCAAGAAAGCCGGACTCGACTCGCAAAGAGTCCAAACGGGCATTTTGGGCCAGCAAGGCTGGGACGGAAAAGTCGGAGGACGTCGGTTTGTAGCGTTGTTCGTGCCGGTCGAAACCCGCCATTATGGATGAACTCGTGACACATATTGTATTGCACAGTTGTGTCGTCGCAGCGCCAATTACATTCCTTATAACTATTGAGTATAATAGACAGCGCCTATGCTTCGAAGACATAGCCCCCCCCGCGGTCAACGACGTCTAGTTCAAGCGATGCCAGTGTCGTATCTGAACCCGGGAGCTGTATGCCAGCTGTGACCGTGTCTCCTGCCTTGATGGCCCCAACTCCCTCTGGTGTACCGGTGAGAATCAGATCTCCTTCCTATTTTGTGCATCAGAGTTATTTAGTAACTGAGCCAGAAGTAGTTCACCTCAAGGGTCATAATTGACGATACATGTTCGATGAGCTGCGGAATGTTGAAAATCATATCTGCAGTGGTTCCATTCTGCCTGAATTCTCCATTTATCTGCAGAATAGTCAGTACAATCACCTTTTCATGATACGACTGATCACCTTCAGCCAGAGATTGACGTTTGTCGGGTCCGAAATGGACGATTTGGGTATAAAGTCGCTATTAAAGTATCAAATGATGAATACCAATTGCTTATTCTTCCTGCCTGATAGGTGTAAATGTGTCGAATCCTTTTGCTGCTGTCCATGGCAGCCCCTTCTTTTTCGCGGCATCTTGGACATTTCGACCAGTCATATCAATTCCGAGGGCTTATAAAGAACAGCATATCAGGAATCATATCTGTATTTGCGTCTGAGCCCTCACCGTATCCCGCGACAAAGTCGGGTGCTCTTGACGCTGCAATATCACGTCCAGTCTTTCCAATGACAACTCCAAGTTCCACTTGCGGATTGTTAGATACGAAACCACATTCGCAGGCCCGACCTTACCCTCATGGTGAACAATGACGCCTCTTGGGATTTCGACTTTGCCTCCAGACGAGACGTAACTGGTTGTAGGTTTAAGGAAGAAAAACGGCTTATCTGGAACTGCATTTCCCAGCTCCTTGGCATGTTTGGCGTAGTTTCTGCCTATTGCGACAATTTTACGGCCAGTGCTTACAAAAGAGGCCATGGTGGTCAAATGCAAGATCCGGACTATGAACCACATTGCTAATAAATAACCCATTGATTCCATGCATAATTCCTGAATATGGTGATACATGTATGATATCCATCTAATATGTCATATCTAGGCGATTACTATGATGCGTCAGGTCCGTGCGATGTGAAAGGTCCCATGAGAGCAAATGCGAATAGGATGATACAGGAATTAGAATGCTGGTATGTGGTTTCTGCAATGGCGCGTATAATCATGTTTGTAACGAAAACGAGGGTGATGAGGACTATAGAAGACGTTAGATTATTGCACAAGGATGCGCGTGTACGTACCATTCCTGACATACGAAAGGCTTGTAACCGGCATGCGTGAGGAGATGCGCAATCGCATTGGGCTTTCTCCGAACCTCTTGTCCACAGTCCGGCCAGAGACAGCGATACGCTTCGCATCCTTGCCGGCTACCAGCACCTCTAGGCGCTCCAGCCTTCGGGAGTCTCTCAAGCAAACGGTCTGTAAGCGCCGCTTCCGGTTCGGCTGTTTCACGACGTCGCTCAGCGTCAGCGCAAAATTGTCTCAGCTGGTCGGCGGCTTGGCTTATGCCCGATGCAGAGTACAGCATTGAAGGCAAGGGTGTGACCATAGGGAGGCTGGTTGGAACTGGTTGAACCGAGCCCGTAGACAACTCATGTCTCGTGTAGGCATAGGGCATATAGAGGCTATTGGATCGGGATGTACTTCCTCTTCGCCTCTGCGGCTTGACATAACCCGCTTGAGTATAGGTAGGTGTAACAACGGGAGTAGGGGAAACAAGCGCCGTGCCTCCAGACCAGTAGGGTATCAATGTAGGATTATACCCTGGAGCCTGGACATATGCGGGATAGCCATTGTTGTCCTGGCGCTGAGGTTGTGGCGAAAAATTCTGGGAGAAGTCGATTGATAAATACGGGTTAAACATTTGGGGATCATCAAGTTGGGACTGGATGTCGTCAAGTGGGGGGGTACGTATCCTTAAGAACTCGTCTGAGGAAGGTTTCATTAAGAGGACGTGGAGCCTGTGGCAAAGACGCGGAAGGGGTAAAGATGGCCGTCTCCCAGCGCCCTGTAAACGATGACTAGGGTTGTAAGAGCCCTTTGGAAGCAGCTCCGCTGTCCTACGTGACGGCGGATTGGAAGGACAGGAGCGTGGTGAGCTGTCTTCGCCGATTAAATAGCGGGTTCGGTGAGTGCGTAACCGAGATGAGCAAGCTTTGCCGAAAGATCACCGTAGATCCTCGAGTCATCAAATACCGCCGTCAATCACTTACAAGCCACACGGACGCGATGGTAACGGGAATGTGGAAGCAGGCCGCGTACTCCTGTACTAAGGATCGACGAGAGGAATTATTTGAGACTCCGCGATATTCGGGATTATCCTAGCGTTTTCCGAACGGCCCACCGCGGAATTTATAGGTGCCTATTTATATGCATAGCTCTATCAGAAACACGTTTGGCTGAATGATAGAGTTTGCGGGTTATGATATCAGCTGCCTGCGCTTGCCGTTGCTGCGATGACTGGACTTGCTTGGAAGGCTTGCGCGTATGATAGCAACGACGTGTAGATCAGTCTGAACAGAACTTTATGGCCTTCCGTGTTCCCGTAAATTCGAGACTACACCCCACGAGAGTGGTCCAGAACAAGTAGCTAGAAGCCAGGCAAGCGGTTGAGAGCGCCTTGATGTAGTTAGTGATCACTTAGCTGACAAGTGGCAACTGAAACCGCCGTCTATAGGCTACTGGGCCTCCAGCTGACAGTAATGAGTAAGCCGGACTGTCGACCAGGACATTCGAGAAGTTTCGTCATAATACGCTTTTTGTTGCTATTATTTCATCCACTATGGCTTTAGATGAGAAACTCTGATCGTCATAAGAATCGGCAGAGTTGTGGTTGCAGTTCAAAATGGGTGGGCAAACTCGTGGACTCCAACGATCCTCTGACTGTCGCCGGCAAAAAGCTATATTACCAACTGATTAAATGAAGACATGCAGATCCTTTGGACGTGTTTGAGACCCTAGTATGCAGGGTTCAGAGTCTGCTGTAACAGAAGCCTATCAACAATCAGCGGATACTGGACAAGCAGGGCTCATCAAGGTGGCAATACAGGCTGAAATGTGCCTTATGCATTGTAGGGACACGATACTACGGCCAAAATACATGCATGCAAGGGAGTTATCCGCAAACCCGTTTTATTATCAGTCGATAAATCGTCCGATACCCAAAACTTCGAGTAATATGCTCTGGATCCTCTTATTTTCACTGGAGTTGATTATTTGGGCACAACTTACGACCCATTGCCCTTATCCCAGAATGGGTTCGAATGCAGGGGGCCATCATGGTCAAGAAAATGAAAGACGGATATAGGGCCCGTTTCTGGCTCACATTGGCAGTGCTAGAGCCCTTGTCCAGCGAGCATACACGCCGAAAGCTCGAGGTCGAGGTGGGCCTAGCTCACCCGACAATTAGAGTTTTTGGAATGGACCTCCTGTCTAAGATTTACCCAAGTGCAGACGTCTTCATGGGTCTGACTCGCCCCGCCTCCAAATCCATAACGGCTCCGCGAGTGATTGGCGCTTGACAAGATATCCATTCCAATGATTTCACATGACATGGACCGCTGTTCTGGATCCTCACTCGGATCACAAACGGGTCTCCAGGGCTTCCTCCAAAGACAATGACCCGCAGCCCTCATGTAGCATCACTGAACCGGTTCTTATGAGTCAACGCAGCATTTGGCGCTGGGAGACTGTGGGTTTACAGGCCACCAAATCCTTGGTACTGGTGACGTATTATCTCTAGATGATTAGAGGTTGCTTTCAGCTAACTAGTTTCTCCATTGGCGAGTTTGTTACTGCCGTTCTACCACTGATCAGACCTATTATATCTACATAGGAGCACATCAACGTCTACTGAGCGTCAGTTGTCATCTCGAGCTCAGGACTTTACCCTGCTAGAACGTCGAGGCTCGATCTTCCTGTGGGACCTAATCCTCGTAATGAAATATACGACATATTACAAGTTCTGTGCTAAAGCGTAGCCTTATGAGGCATGAGTGTCAAAAAAGTGGGCGTCAGAAACTCAAGTGCTTTTTCCATCGGCTGTCTCAAAGAAATCATAAATCGAGTCCAAAACCAAGTTCTATAGTCGCCCGAAATTCCTCGTACTCGTCTCGGAATATGCTACTCACGTCGCGCGCTCTCCTCTCTTCTCCTCTCCCTCGTCCACGTCCAGTGATCGTGACGTCATTCGGAGGAAAGTGCTCTGTCCTCCTTGATCATGCATGGAAGCTTAGGACTGCGGTCTATGGATGATGTACTATCATTCTTGAATGCCTATCCTTTCCCTGCATGGATTTGTAACAGCTTGCCGACTTCAGGAGGCCGTAAAGGCTTCGAGCTCGACCCGGAATGGTCAAACACCGCATTTGACAAACTATTGGGTCCACGAGACATGCTTCTGGCCTCACTAGACGGTGGAGAGGCCATTGTTCGGTACGGAACGTGGCTGGAAGCTAGCGACATCAATACATTCACGGTATCTCTCCAAATTTTCTGGGAGGAGGAAGACAGTACACAGGCGGGTGGCAAGATCACTGTCGAGCTGGAGCTTGCTCGCACGATCTTCACCACTCACGATGGCGGACTCTTCATCATCTGTACATCCGTCCCACGATCCAAACTACCTACTGGAATAAATACAGCCAGGTATATGGAGAAAGGCTCAAGAAAGCGCAAAAAGAAGGCGTTCAAACTCCATGACTTTCCACACCCCATTGGAGGCAGCCGCCCGATTTCAAACCCGACAAGTTCCACAAGTGGTTCTATATCCACCGGAGAGCACTTACCGAGTATGTTGGGAGGTAGATTTGGCTTAGCAGAGATGGTGGCGAGATTCCCATGGGACACCAGTCCATTAGGCCCTCAGAAAGATTGGGATCCCTGCCTCAAACAGGCAGTGCAGTTGACGTTAACGGCACCATATCCAACTGCAACGTGGTGGGGTCCAGATTTGGTACTAATCTATAATGATGCCTACGCCGAAATGTGAGTACAATGTCTTCTTCTACGAATAGCGCCTCATGAATTGCATAGAGCAGGCTCGAAGCACCCTCGGATATTTGGCCAGAAAGGACTAGAAGCCTGGGATGAACTCTGGGCTACGCTAGGCCCAGCCCTCAGGAGTTGCATGGATGGGCATCCAGTATATAAGAAGGACGACCTTCTACTGATGGATCGACTAGAATCCGAAGATCAACCTCTCGAGGAGACCTACCATAGTTGGAGTTGGACTCCAATACTCGGTGCCGATGGTAGCTTCAATGGAGTCTTCAACGGTACACATGAGACAACTTCCAAGGTCTTGGCAGAGCGGCGCCTTATCACACTTCAACTGCTCGGTAATCGCGCAGCAATCGCTCAGAATAGGGAGACTTTTTGTCAGGCCGTCCTCAGTGCAATGGAGGAAAATGACAAGGACATTCCCTTCGTCGCTCTTTATATCACTGAAGCTTCTACGAAGCTGAAAGAAAGCGATGAGTCTTCAGCAACTCCTCAGATTGCCGGAGCACCACATCTCTACCCAGTCCCTTCGCTCGTCTCCATGAAGCTTGGAGGTGCCGTTGGAGTTGGAGGGGATCATCCGGCATTTCCGCCGTATATTGAGGTTAAAATCAATGGCTACGCATCGTCCATGGCATCCGCCGACGAGGATAGCTTCATGTGGCCATTTGAGCAAGCTATTCAAGGACGTGATCCGGTTCGCGTTGTTCTCCCTCGCTCTATCTCCGACGGGATCCAACGGCGCGGGTGGGGTGATCGTGTGACCCAGGCCATGGTTATCCCTATCTCATCAGAAGGCGATGCACAACCCCTTGGTGCTTTTATCCTTGGTCTCAACACGCGACGTGCACTTGATGTGGACTATGTCAAATGGATTGACGTAATGCGTTCGTCTGTGAATGCACTCCTCACCGCTAGTATCGCGCGTGAAGAAGAAGTTCGAAGAGCTGAGTAAGTGTTCGTAATCTGCTTTGAAGCCTTTTACTTACCATTGATACACCAGTCATTTGATTGAATTGGACCGTGCAAAGTCCAGCCTACTGTCTTCAGTCAGCCATGAACTCCGTAGGTGGACGTGATTCTTGTAACCATCTAACTTTTGTACAGGGACGCCACTTACGCTCATCGGGGGACCACTTTCTGATGCAATTCTCGAGGAGCAAAATCCAACCATCAAGAATAAGCTTCAGACAGCGGCTCGCAACGTCGACCGATTGGCACGACTTGTTGATTCGTTGATGGACTTTTCGCGACTTGAAGCCGGACGGTTAGAGGGTAGGTGAGTCTGCCTGACTCGTCGAACAAAGCCTCATCACCCCAGGGAGATACTCGCCCATTCTCTTTGGGCCGTACGTAGCGGATCTCGCCTCGGTATTCCGACCAGTAATTGAGAAAGCGGGACTTGGGGTTTGTCGTCCAAGTGTGACGAGATTCAGGACTAAACCCGCGGTCAGTTTACAGTCTCCTATGACGAACAGGAGACAAGGGCTCTCTTTATCGATCAAGATTATATGGAGAAGATTATCTTCAACCTTATCGGAAATGCTTTCAAATGCGAGTAATACCTTGCGCTCCGACTACTTTGGTATTGATATTCATCATAGACACTATGAACGGGGAAATATTTGTGAGTGTTGTATATCGGGACCATGATGTTCAATTGGTGGTGCGCGACACTGGTGTCGGTATTCCAGAGTCCGGTAGGCTTCATTGCAGACTTTGGGCTCTGATTAACCCTCTTGTAGATATTGATCGGATATGGGAGCGTTTCCATCGGGTAGAAGCAACATCTCGGTCTCACGAAGGTTCGTTGGTCTGTCATGCGTATCAATTGTGTTGCTAGAGCGAGCTCATAGGGACTGGAATTGGGTTGTCCTTGACCAAGGTACGGAATTCGGACCGAATCCTTCTCGCATTTAATGGCCCTAGCAATTCGTCACCCTTCACGGAGGGACAATCACAGTCACATCGAAGATACAGAGGAAGAGCTCCTCTGACCACGGCAGTACATTCGTCGCTACATTTCCACTTGGAAGTGATCATCTCCCCGCCGCAAGATTGGTCGAGGCAGGCATGTCCGGAAATGTGCGACGATATGCGAGAGGAATCGTTGCTGAGGCCGCAAGATGGCGTCTCGCTGGGGACGCCGTGACCCCAAGTGACTCTGATGAATCTTATACCAGCTCGGATGGAACCAAAATCACGGAGTTCGCGTTTGAGCCATCTGACCTTATTATAATAGTGGATGACAACCAGGATATGCTCGGTGCGTACTCTGATTCATTGCCGAGTGTGATCTTATCTCCTTGAAGAGTATATTCGTGGGATAATTAGTCGATACTGTCACATCAGGACGGCCTCCAATGGACAGGAGGCTCTCGTCATAGCCCGAAAACACCCTCCTGCGCTGATAATAAGCGATGTGATGATGCCCAGTAAGTTAATATCCAGACCTTCAGGTGGCTGCTAATGTACCACTAGTTATGGATGGGTTTGCACTGGTGGAGGCCATTCGAGAGGACCCAATTCTTAGATTGACACCAATCATTCTGCTGACCGCGCGAGCAGCAGATACGAATCGGGCAGAAGGAGTGGTGCGTGATTGTCACCCTTGTCCACAGGCTTCCTCTGATGGCTGGTTGGGCAGCTTTCTGGAGCGGATGACTATATGCCAAAGCCATTCTCTTCCAAGGAACTTGTTGCACGAGCGAGTCTACAGATACAACTCGGAAAACGAAGAATAGAGCTGGAGACTGGCTTTCAGTAAGATTGAAACTCTTTTCATGGCATTTTCTGAAATATATGAAGGGAGAGGACAAAAGAAGTTCAGCTTTTGTCGGATCTGTCGCCTTCTGGGCTGTTCCGAATAGACAAGAGCGGTCATATGCTGCTCTGCAATAAGAGATATCTGGAGCTTTCGTCGATGCAACCTGGCGAAGAAATCGACTGGTATTCCGAAACTTTGGACATATGAACGTTTACTAATTTTGGTCTGTAGGCTTCGTTTCGTGCACGAAGACTATCGGAAAAAAGTAGAGGAAACATTCAAAGAGTCTTTGAACACTCATCAGGACACTCAAGTTGACTTTGTATTCGCCAATGGTAATTGGGTAAAAGGAATGGTCAGGTGTTGGGACTTTGGGCTCGTCGGGGTTCGTCCAGAACCTGACCCTTGGGCGTGTGCTGATGATCTACCAGACTATCACCGATATGTCTATGACGAGGTGAGCTAGCTACATGAATCCGACCAACATTTTCTAATGGAGCAAAGGTTGTACGAAGAGTCTCTGACCAAGCGAGCAGAGGAGGCAGAGGAACGGAGAATCGAGGCGGAAGAACGTCGCAGGAGCCAAGAGGTAAGTCGGTTATTTCCAAAGTGACCTGTTCTTGATCACGACAACCAGCTCTTGGTTGATGTGACTAGCCACGAGCTTCGTCAACCAGTTTCGGCGGTAAGTTGAGGAAAGGATATACTTGGGAGTATGTTCATCCTGGAGTATCAGGTGATCAACTGTGCCAGTGTTGTTGCTGCCAACCTTCAAAGGACAAGGTCGGTACTGGCCGATTGTCTCGCTCATGGTCACTCCTTCAAGGTCACGCCAGAGCTTCTCAAACAAGGTAGGTGTTCATCAGGGAAATTAATAGCTACTGATGGTCCTTAGTCGATGAGGATCTTGAGGTACGCCTTGCAAGAGATCAAACTAGATTTAGAGCACTTACCACCAGTCCAGAGTTTGAATGCCATCGAACTTTGTGGTCTTGCTCAAGGTAAAAGGTTTCAGTCGGCGCTATTGTACATTTACACTGAATAGGGCATATTGTCAATGATATTCTGACACTGTCGAGGATGCAACTGCGTATGCTCAACCTCCAAGACTCCACTTTCCCTCTTGTCAAGGAGATACACCAAGTGCTGTCTATTCTCTTCAACGAGATGAAGAGTAAGGGTATCACGCATAAACTCACGTTCGGTCCATCTTTCCAAAACTTGGCCGTCAATTATGTCACTGTGGACAAAGTCCGCTTTGGACAGGTATAATGACATAAATGACGACACTAAGGCTCTAATCAGCTGCAGGTCATCATCAATCTCCTCAGCAACGCCATACGCTTTAGTCAATCCAGTGCTGCCAAGACGATCGATATTACTGTGGATGTCTCCCGGCATCCACCAAGCGATGATAGTTGTCGCTGCCCAGTTGATTTCCCCGATGACATGATCAAGTTTTCGGACGAAGAGAAGACCATTGTATATGTCTATCTGTCAGTGCGGGACAGCGGCCCTGGGTTAAAACCTAAAGACCTCGAAATTTTGGTCAGTTAAATTGTCCTAATGAAGGAAAAGTAGACCCTGATGAATGATAGTTCCAACGGTTTCAGAAGGGTACAAACAGTGAGGAGACCTTTGGCGGCTCCGGACTAGGGTTATTTGTGTCGAGGTGCGATATTTAACTTTGAGTTGTCAGTAGGTAACACTTTCCAGGAAAATTTGTGACCTTCTCGGTGGGCGTATTGAGGTATGGTGTACATCTGTTCCCTGGCATCCCTGACAATAACCAGGTTGATGCAAGCTCTGTTGGAAATCGAGGATCAACGTTTAGATTCTACGTTCAGATGAAGACGGATAGACCACCGCTTCAGATATCAGAGACCGCTCCGGCCACTCCGATTGCCTCGCAAGTTCCCCTGCGGTACGAGCTCATTCCCCGAGTGAATTTATCGTGACATCTACGCAGAGTGCTGATTGCGGAAGATAATCTAATAAATCGAGTGAGTACTCACTTCTCGCGTGGGAAAGCCGGTTCGCTGACTGGTGACTAGCGTATACTTGAGTAAGCGCATTGCCCTTGTTCCGAAGCAATTATTTAATCAAGCAGTCGTCAGCTCAAATCAAATAATTGTGTCACCTCCCTGGCCGTCAATGGGGCTGAAGCAGTTGAGCTGGTGATCTCTGCTGGAGCCGAGGCGTTCGACTGTATCCTAATGGATTGCGAAATGGTAAATCTGTTCATATTTCTCGACATGAATATACTCACCTGCTCGATAGCCGGTTATGTCGGGTCTCGCTGCTACCAAGGAACTTCGAAGGCTAGAGCTTGAGGGCCAGATACCCTCACAACGGTAATTTATTTCACCTTTTTTGTCACGCATGCTAACTCTCTCCAAGAATCATTGCCCTCACGGGGAATGCCAGGAGGGAGCAGATCGAAAATGCCCTTCAGGCTGGTATGGATGAGGTGATGGTGAGAGGGAACCTGTACTGAAAGGATGTCTTCTCATTATTTATAGACAAAACCTTATCGACTCGAAGAGCTACTTGAGCGAATGCGGGTTCGGAGTAGCGGAGTAAATCACTCTTAGGAGGTGCCAGTAGCTTAGATGTACATATAGAACATCGCTTGCTGTAATGTGGACAAAGCCGGAGCCTGGCAATCCCTAAGCGCGACTTCACTTTGAAGCCACAACCATGAGCGAGATCAGATACACCACGAAAACCTACGCCTCCCATCTTTTCAGCACGCCTTCACTGAAGGATCGCCAGTTTAAGGCAACATTTGTCCACGAGAGGAGTTTCACCTTGGATCCGTCTCTGTTAGACGACTTCTTGGCGAAATACTCTCAGTCACAGCAATTTGGAATTTCTGGTGCCTATCTCCCTTGTTCATCTGAATTTTTGCGAAACGGGACTGCTGGTTTACTCACAAAACTCGCCATCGCGTCACCGGAGGAGGTTCTGGTAATAACGCTGCATTTCGAGAATCCAGACGATCCTGGAGATATTGTAAATCATACTCCTTTGTACCAACGGTTTTTCTCTGAGGAGAACCCTCGTCGCTTTGTGGGATTCAGTCTTGATAGGATAGCCCTGCAGCTCTGGGGAGAATATGGCTTGTCTATCACGGATGGGGTCGATGTATTGGCAATGCAAGTCGACTCTATCGATCAGCCGAGGGGTGTGAAATGGATGCCCAAGCAGACGAAGCAGATCCTCGATCTCAAGCTCTTGGATGACATGCTCTCTAATGAGAGAGACCAGGATGAACAAGGTGACCAGGACCAGGCGGATGGTCTACTCGCTAGTAGGGCATGGGTATGTTCCATGATGTAACATGTAGTACATGCTCAAAGGAACAGGTTGCAGTTGTATTAGAGCAAGCTTCCAGCTCTTTGGCAATCGCTCTGTCAAACGTTATGCCGATAGACTTGAGAAAGCGGGACCAGGATGTAGGAATCATTTCCCTTCTTTGCGAACGGTTCTGATTCTCCGCAAGGAGCTATTGGAATTACACAAGATCATGCTCGCCTCTGACAGACTGAGAGGGAGTGCTGAGGAATTCCAGAGCCACGATGTGAAACTGGAGCAGGGTAGCAATGGAAAGCTCTATGTCATCTCCAGTCAATTCAACACTCGGGTCCGAGACACTGGCTATGTACGTATTTTATGAACATGAGCACTTCGCTCACTACATGTAGGAACTGGAGCTCACTTTCGAGCACGATGTTGTGACAGCAAGAGTTATGAAAGTCAAAGGAAGAAGGGCCGAAGTAAGACCCTTACAAGATCTCGATCTTGCGGAAGCCGGTCAGTTTCAAGTGGCACGTACCCTAGGGAAGGAGGAAGCGACTTGCTTGGACCATCAAAGAAGTAATTTCATCCTATTCGCACTCCAAGGTCAAGCTTCTATCAGATCCAATCCCATCCTGAGGCAAATATGGTTTCCAAGGTTCGCATGAATTTTTGCGGAGGCCCTTCACTTCTCACTCTTTTGACCTCGACCACATCTAGCGATGAGCCCAGTTCAGAAAGTATCTCAAGTCCGGTGTTGCTGGGTCAGCAGTATACGAAACTCAACCGAGGTCAACGTGCAGCGGTACAGGAAATGATGAAGGAGTCGTCAGACAATACCCGGATTGTGCTTGTCCATGGTCCACCTGGGACAGGGAAAACCAGTGTCATTGCAGCAATGACAGAGTGTCTTCTTCATTCGGAAGATTCGCTAGAGCATGCAGGGGATTCTCAGAAAGAGCAACCTGCAATGCGGGCCGATATAATCGAGGAACAACAATATCAACCCATCAGCGCCGGACCCACGCTTTGGATCGTTGCTCAGTCCAACGTCGCCGTCAAAAACGTGGCAGAAAAGCTGGTCAAAGTCGGCATCCATAATTTCAAGCTCATCGTCTCGACCGAGTTTCATTTCGAATGGTACACCTTTGAACTGTTGACATGCCCAGTGATCAATTTCTAATAGGCATGAACATATCTATGGCAAGGAGATTCGATCTAGAATGCATACCTCCGCCGAACTTCCTCGATCGACAGGCGAGGTTCGTTCGTTCTTAGGAGATACTAGGATTATGTTATGCACCCTCAGCATGTTGACATCGCCTCGACTACGAAACCTCAACTTTTTCGAACATATTCCAGTCAAGAATGTCGTTATTGACGAAGGTACGTAGGTACGCCAGACGACATGGTTATCAATTAAGAGCTCTCCAGCGTCGCAGATTCAACTTGGGGATCTCATTCCAATGATTCATATTTTCCAGACCGACCTCAAAAGGATCTGTCTTGTAGGAGATCACAGACAGCGTGCGTTCCCTTGTTCCTTTATTATTCGAAGTTACTGACCACTGTAGTCGCTCCGTATGGTCAAGAAGAGGTCACAGACATCGAGAGCGTCTTCGAGCGAAAGCACATTGTGTCAAAGGCAACGTTGCTAAATGTCACGTGTATGTGGGCGGAAGCAAGAAAGGACGAAGAACCCGACAATCTGACAATTATTAGATCGATTACCAAAGCCCATTTGTAACCTCATTTCGGCGCAAGTTTATGATACCAAACTGCTCCCTTTTAGTTCAGAGGATCGCATCGCTTGCTGCAAATGGATCGATGTCCGAGGTGAAGAGCAAGTGGAAGGCACCTCTTATATCGTGAGTGGACCTTGGCGTGAGGTCGTGTCTAACAAAGACGCCCAGAATACCGCAGAGGTAGAGGCCGTCTTGCTTCTCATTAGGGAATTGGAGGAGAAGAAGAAGGACTATCGCATTATATCCCCGTATGCAACTCAAACAGCTCTGATCCTGAGGCGCCTGAAGGAGGAAAAGCTTCCTTGGGACGATAAGTGCTTTAACGTCGATTCGTTTCAGGGAAACGAAGCGGACTTCATCATCATCAGCCTCGTTAGAACTACTTCAATGGGATTCCTCGACAACAACCGGCGTGCAAACGTCTTACTTACCCGCTGCAAAAAGGGCATGTTTGTACTTTGTTCTCGAAATCTCATGATGAGCGAGCGCGCCCAAACAACGCTCCTCGGAAGGTTTGCTTATGCGTGGAGCTCATTACTGGTATGTTACTCTACAGGGTTCAATGGTCGCTGATATAACAATCAGGATACGGACACATGGCCGACTTTTGAGGACCTTCAGAGTGGCGTTGAGATGGTCGAGAAGGATCTAGTGGCTTCACCAAAACTAATAGGTACACAGCCCGTATCAAAGAAAGATCAAAGACGAGCACGGAAGAAAAAATAGGCGACCAGAGAACATTGATGTAACCCTCCATAGTGACAATCGACCTCCTTGCTAGGTTCCTTTGGTACCTTTGAAAGAACTCAAGGATACGAAATTCGTTGGTAGTCGAATTGTGTTAGAAGGTGGAGGCGGCCCGAAGCTAAAGTCGCTGGTGTGGGCCGGTCCATCGCGGTTGATCTGAGGTGCTTTCGAGTGATTGCGAGCCGTACTCGGCTGACCACGCCTGGCATGATCCGGTGGAGGAGGACGCACTTGCGGCGGTTGGCTTGGGACCGCTTGGGTGATGGGGTTCGCTGGAGCAGTAAACGTGGCGGGTCTATCCGCACTACTTGAAGGAGTTTGAGGAGAAGTGGAACTTGCAATCAGCTCGCGAAGGATGACTGGTTTTCCACTGAATGGTGATCGTCGTCCTCCAGTACTGAAGTTTATTGCTTCGGTTGTCTGGAGTTTCTGAACGCGATTAACGGGCGCAACGGATCGCGAATGGGCCAGTAGATCCCGCAGTTTCGTCATTCGGACTTCTCCAGCGAAGACTTCCAAGGTCATTGCAATGGCGTCTGACCCAAGGGTTGGCGTCCTCGAAATTGCCGCGCGTGTTGAAAGCTTCAACGGTGTCCTTTGAGGCTCCCCTTTGGGTTGGATAGCATCCAATCGTTCGCTTAGGGCGGCTATTCGAGTCTGTACGTCGCCGAGAAAGTAATCGGCATTCTTGATAGTGTTGTGAATAGTGTCAAGCGACGGCTTCCTATACAACCGCTCAGGAGTGAGAACAAGGTATACAATACGACATACTGTACGGTTTGCCTTCCCGACTTGAATAGCTCAACCTTGCGTTTCAGCTTTTGCATAGTCTCCTCCACTTCCTTCACTCTTGTCGTCTCTCGCTGGAGATGATCAGCTATAGAGGAGGTGGATGAGAGCTGACTGACCTGTATGGCTTTTCGAAGCTTCATCTGCGTTTCAGCTTGCTCCGGTCCTAGACCCCTAGGCTTCACTAGCTTTTCTAAGAACGCGGGATTCTGGCGAGCCTTCAGGAACCTCCCGGCTTCTTCACGCTTCATGTCAACTGCATCAACAGGTTAGATTTGCTATATGTCGTTTAGGTTCACGCACTTCTAAGAGTCGTCGACTGCACGTCCACGATTCGCTGCTGGAGTTCCACGGTCTTCTCTGCAAGCTTTGACAGTAAATCATGTGCGTCGCGCAATCCATCTTTGACATGTTGAAACATTTGCGGGTCCCATTGGGGTGGTATCTCGCCCTTTTCATCTGGTCTGAGATGCGGTCCAGTTCCCTTGAATGCGTCGAATGACGCGTGCAGTCCCTTTGCGCGCTCGGTAGTCTGCAGCAGATTAGCGAACTGCTCACAATATGATTGATGACATACCATATGCATAATAGCGCTATACTCGTAGAGTATCCTGTCGATGCCTGCTTGAACTTCGGGATGCTTTGGTTGGATGGGTTCAATGGCCACAGGTCCCCGTGGTATTGGTGCGGTAGAGGAAAGGGGTGGCGCCGCCTTTGCTTCTGGTACTTTAGACGGTACTGTGGGGATCGTTTGTAAAGATTGAGTTGCAGCCCCAGATTTTCCAAACAACATGGGCGGGGTTTTCGGTCGAACCATCTTGCTGGAATCTGGTGTTGGTGTAGGTGCTTTCGGAGGCGCAATCCATGATCCAAACGCTGCCTTTGGTGATGCAGGACGTGGTTTGGGCTTTGGTGGTTCGGTGATTGGCTGACCAACGGGGTGAGAAACAGGCTGCGGTCGTGCGGGAGCAGCTGTTGCCTTTTCTGCGCTCGTTGTAGAGGGTTGGGCGGCAGACGTAGTGTTCTTGAATGTCGAGACGTCCTTTGTTTGTTGACTCGAACTTGAGGCAGGCTCTGTCTTCTGGGCAGTGGCGGAGGGGGTAGACGCGGGTTTCCCAAATGGATTATATGGAGTTGCGGCTGGTTTTGAAGGGATGGACGACGGCGGAATTGCCGTTGATGAGCTATCCTCATTCTCGGCATCTTCGTCCCCAGATTCGTCTTCTCCACTTGGTACATCGGATCCCTCATCCTCCTCCTCGTCCGACAGCGAAACTTCTTCGTCGTCATCGTCGTCATTTTCCTCGCCTTCATCATCCTCGTATTCCTCTTCCTCTTCGTCAAATTCGTGAATCTCCAGTATCTCATCCCCTTCGCGCAAAAAGTTGTCAACATCATCGTCAAGCAAGACACTCTCCTCATCATCTCCACTTTCGTCTCCATCACTCTCTTCTTTTTCTTTGCCCTTTGGAGTCGTACTCTCTTCACTCTTCTTCGAAGCAGATGCAGAAGAGGCGCCAAACGCGGAGACGGGCGCAGATGATTTCGGTTGGCTAGTTGTCCCAACAGGCGCAGAAGTGCCAGCTTGAGGCTTGAAAGCAGCAGCCGCAGATCCCGATACGTTCTCGGTGCTTGTCTTCAGACCAAACGCAGATTTTGAAGCTCCAGCTTTCGAATCTCCCAACCCAAGGGTTCGCATATCCTGTGGTGCCTTTGCCATAGATGCAAAGAGTCCAGGTCCATCATACTTGCTGACAGGTTCGAGTTTATCCATTTCCTCCTCTGGGAATTTCTCCTTCGGCTGTGTAGATCCTTCTTCGTCGTCTTCATTCTTGGTCGACGAGTCCCGAAGCCCAGTTCCACCAAAGCCGGGCTTGGAGGCATTGGAGTTACTTCCAAAGATGGAGGTGGCTTTCACAGCAGGTTTGTCCTTTTCTGCATTTGCCGACTCGGTATCTTTCGTCTTGGTCGAGCCAAGGAAAGACGGCGCCTGATCGGCCTTACTCGCAAGAGCAGCAAAGCCACTTGACCCTCCACCACTGGCAAATGAACTGAATCCACCACCCCCTGAAGTGGTAGTAGAACCAGTTGTAGCGGTCGTCGCAGTAGCAAACGGAGACTTTGCCGCAAAGGGGCTCTGACCGAATCCGCTTTGGCCAAACGCACTTTGACCGGGTTTGCCAAAGGAGGATTGACCAAAAGCAGTGGTAGCGCCAAACGCTGGCACCTTCGTTGCTCCAGCTTGTGCAGTCGATGATGCCTGTGCGGTCCCGATTCCGGCAAACGTCGTGAGAGGTTTATTTTGCGTGTCCACCGGCTTTGGGTTCAGGAAAGCGCTCGTGCTCCCATCTGTCTTGATGCCAGAGAAGCCACCAAACCCTGCAGCGGGTTTAAACGCGGATGCCGTACTTGTGGTGGCTGAAGACGACCCAAAGGCAAACCCTGTACTTCCAAACTTGGGCGCGGTCGTATTGGTGGTTTCAGACGGTGGAGGTGATTTGGCCGAGGTGGAAGTTTCAGAGGCGGGAGGTGAAATGGCTGATTCAACAGCCGATGCCTGAGGAGCAGGCTGCTCAGCAGCCTTTTGTGCGGCAGCGGCAGCTGCTGCTGCTGCAAACGGCGACGTAGTGGACGCAGAAGAAGATAGGCCAAACGGAGAAGGGGTAGATGACGATGAGGGTAGTCCAAATGGCGACGGTGTCGATGTAGAAGGTTGTCCAAAAGTAGAAGGCTGACCAAACGCAGATTTTGCTCCAGCAAACGCTGCGAACCCTCCTCCACTGGTGGAAGATCCAAATGCACTCCCCGAAGCCGGTGGCTGAGCCGTCGTACCGGTTGGGGGTGCACCGAATGAACTCTGCCCAAATGCAGGCGTAGCAGATGCAAATGCACCAAAGCCGAGTTTGGGCCCTGTCGTGGTCGACTGGTTCGCAAATGCGCTAAATGGTCCAGCTTTGTGTGTGGTGGGTTAGCAAAATAGTTACAGAGGGGTCAAGGTATACTGACCAGGTGCAGATCCAAAGCCCGAAGAGCCAAATTTGGGTGCGGACGTTGCAGCGGCACCGAATCCAAACCCAGATTTGCCAAAGGCTGGAACTTGCGCAGATGCAGATGTAGCCGGGACAGCGGCAAACCCAAACGCTGGCGTTCCGGGATTCGTCATGTTCATCGGTGTAGCTGCCTTTGACGTTTCCATTGCAGCTTCACCCTCTCCGCCAGCACCCGTCTTTTCCGTCGCCATGTCCATCCCTTGCTCCGTACCACCGAGACTTGCTGCAGCGGTGCCGTCGGCCATGGCAGGATATGGCACTCCATCCTCGTTCACAATATGAAAGGCAACTACTACGGCGTCGTTTGTGTAGACATATAGGATTGGCGCGGGAGGAATCGCTGGTTCATCACCGTTGACTTGGCTAGATCCCAGGAGTTTGTTGGTGGCAGAGAAGTCGATGGCCATTCCAATAAGTGACGTGTCGTCCATGTCGGACGAGAGTGGGAAAGTCAACGATTCCTCTCCGAGAGATATCGTGCTCCAAACGCCCGACTCCTCTGCGCCTGCAGGATCTCCTATACAGCCAAATATGCCTACGTTGGTGGCGTGTGCATCGTTGATGAAGCATAGCTGCTTGAACCGACCCCAATGTCTCAAAGTAGCCACCTGATGACCAGGCTCCCTTGCCAAGCCGTAAGGCTCCCATGGAAGAGGTAAAGATGTATCGATGGCCTGATTCGTCTTCTTGTCGTAGGTGATGATATAGTTGAATTGGTCGGGGAGGTATTCCTCGTCCATACCACCCTCGGTCTTTGGTGGCGCATATACGACATGAAAGGTGTAATTTGACAACCACTGGAGCCGTAGAGGCACGGTATTTGTGATATCTGGTCCTTGCGCTCCAGGCACTGTAGCTTTAGCCGCAGCTGGATCGGCTGGACTGTATTGCAGTATGTCGCCGTTGGATGTCGCTATGGCTATCTGCTTGCCACGAGTCGACCAGGAGACTGGAAGGAATCAGTAAATTACCGGGTTTGTTGCTTCTTCTGCATACCTGCCATCGGCGCGTTGCCTTTGGATAATAAACCACTCCAACGAACCAGCTCCGTATTTGTTGAGCAGTTGAAAAGCACAACCATGTAAGGCTGATCTTGGGATGTTCCTGTAGTCAGGAACGCTACCAACTCTGGATTCTCTCCAGAATTTGGGTGGACGTCCACAATGACGAGGTCATTTAAAGTAAAGGAGTGGGAGGGGCTGGTCTGTTATGACACAAATCAGCATTAGATGGCTAAGTGTTTGAATTTTGCTCACTTGGCCGTTGATTATTGCGTTGACATCCCAGATACTAGCGCCAGACTTTGACGCCACCACGAGTTTCGAGTCATCAGCAGTGAGGGACAAGAACAGAGGAATGTTTGAGTCCTCTGTACTCAGTCTGGTCTGACAGAGGAATGTGACTTCCTCTTCTGTGCTATTCTGACCCAACGAGGTTCGTAATTCGGAGAGCGGGGAAGCGAGGACAGCTAAGAAACCATGATGAGAAGAATTCGAGTTATATGTTCACAGAGACTGACTGTTTCCATGGCCTGCGAAGAACCAGTTGTGTTTGTTTGATATCGCAAGCAAGGACGCTCGACTGGGGAAGCCTTCGAGGTCAATCTTTGCTCCCAGCCGTACATTCGTATGCTTTTTCAAAGGTCTCATTGTGAGACTCTGGATAAACGCGCGGCATTGTTAGCTAACACGATGTTGGACTTTTTGAGCGGACTGACAGTGGTTTCTATAGTTTCTGCGGCGACATGAGAGCGTGTAAACTGAGCCGCTGAGGCTGTTGGAACAAGCTCTATTGTCGGGGCGGTTGTATCCATAGAGGGGTGTGGTGGCCAGGTCCAACAAGTGAGGCCACTCGCTGGTGGCCATACGAGAAACAAATGCTATTAGTACATTTTGACTAGGAACTATCGTCGAGAATGGGAGAGGATACACGGTTGAAACTCCGCTTGAAACAGGAGTCTAGATGAATTCAAGATGAGACTTGTGGCTGCCCTGGATGCCTACTGCTCGCGTAATCTGGATGCTCCAATGACCGAGTCCAGACAGGCTCGCTGCGGTCGGGAGATGACATTTCAAGGTGTCTCGGCAGCCATCCCAGCCCATGTCCAGATCATCATGACCAGAATCTGCACGGGTCCCTCGTTGGCAGTTTTTCCAGCGGGATAGGGCAATCCAGAACACCCGACTCTATTCCCTGATTACGTAGGATTTCACGATTCCACCGCGAGCAATCGCCGCTTGGCAATCGCATAAAGTCTAGCCCTCCAAAACGCCGGAACCGTCATTGCAACTTGCACTCCCGGACAAAACAATTACTATGGAAAGAAGTAGACTCCTGGCTTTTATTTACTTTGAACACGACTAACTTTTTGTTCTAGGCTATTTCCCTTACAAGGCCTCCAAGCCCGCTGCAGTCCTCTTTGCAGTCCTCTACTCCGTCTCCGTCGCAGCTCATGTCTTTCAAATGATCAAGCCCCGAGCTTATTTCATGTCCGTTCTGATCGTTGGTCTCCTCGTCGAGGTCCTGGGATACGTAACTAGGTTCGTACTTCTGCCCCCCTCTCTGGAAATGTTCTGAACGTTTGCATAGAAAGCTTGCCATAGACGACGAGTAAGTTCACTACGCAGGGTAATATCGTATACTCATCATCTACAGTCCGACGCTATGGTCCTTTAGCACCTCGCAGGTCTGCATCCTCGTCGCTCCAGCGTTCCTCGCGGCGTCCGCGTACATGATTGTCGGAAGAATGTGCGTACTACCCTGTCAACCCCCCACCCCTATCTAATCAATTTAGGATGGCATACGTCGGCCCAGGCGCCAGCGTCATCTCCCATCGGCTCATCACCAAAGTCTTCGTCATCGTTGACATCCTTTGCCTAATTACACAAGCTGCCGGTATCGCCATGTTTGTCACAAATGTGGACAAGGCCGACAGAACAGTCGTACTTCGGGGAAGAAACATCCTCATGACCGGCCTTGCGCTTCAAATCATCTCCTACCTGATATTTGTCGTCATCACAATTATCTTTGACATTCGAGCACAGAGGATGAAGGGTACTCAGCTAAAGAAGCTCCGACCCCTGTTCTGGGCGTCCTACTCTGTCGCCTTTCTCATTATTGGACGATCCATCTATCGTGCAATTGGTACGTTTAACAATGGGTTGGTTGTATTCACACTAACTATCACCCAGAATTTGGTACGGTCGACTTTAAGCGAAGAACCCAAGGCTACTTGTACACGCACGAGTGGCCATTCTACGTCCTAGACGCTGTTCCCATCCTGGTGAATAACATGAACTTTGTTGGAATGAACAATACTGACGCGTACTAGGCCGCAGCAGTCATCCTGAACGTGATTCACCCCTCGAGCTATCTTCCAAGCAAAAAGGGTCTCAGAATGGACGGAACAATCGAAGTACCCGCTCGGCATTGGTGGTCCAAATCCAAGTCGACCAAAGAGCACGAGCTAGAAAACGCCACTCCATAGAAGCCATGTGACTTGTCCTATTTAATTCCAGGGGTTTTATGTCCGAACTCGATTTAATCAGAAGCGCCCAATTTCCCTCTAATACATGACACATCACTGGTTGATGGTTGACCGGAAGGGTGTCTCGAGACCAAGCCAAAATGACTCGTTGAATGGAAAGATTACTCATCCTCTCACCAACAAAGCTAAAAGTACACGTAACTTTCGGCATGCAGTTATATAATATCCCGTCGCCAGGAGTAGCGGTCAGTTCCATACCCTCACCACACTGTCAAATTTCACAAATTCCAAGAAAATTCATGTCTAATCGCTCTGTAGATGTTCTAATCATAGGTATGTATCTCTAATAAGCCAGATTACCGGCGTATTAAACCGATTCCTTCGCCGTTCGATAGGTGGAGGGCCCGCTGGCCTCAGTGCTGCCCTTGCTTTATCACGGACGCGTCGAAGAGTGGCTCTTTTCGACTCTGGACTTTACAGGAATGCGAAAACCAGAATTATGAACAATGTCCCTGGATTCGATGGCACGAGTCCACACGAATTCAGAGACAAAGTGCGCAGAGAACTTCAGTCACGGTGTGTAGAATTCTATAATGATCACCTGTGGGCGTCCCACGATCAGCTTGCAATGGCAAGACCGATTCGTTCCCCACCCCTCTCAGATAGGAGAGGGGCGATATAAATCCGGATTCGTGCCTCTCATTATCAAATTTCATATTCACATCTTTGCAGGTACAGTGATACGTTTCAATACATCCCTCGACAAGTCAAATCCTTGCGCAAGGCAGAGCTATTCCATCTAAGCGACGGTCAAGATTCCTGGACAGGTCGAAAGGTCATTTTCGCTACGGGTATCAAAGACCGTCTCCCGTCGATCCCTGGGTTCGATGCCATCTGGGGTCGTTCTGGTATGTCAAGCTTTCCCTCACGCTTGAAAGGCATTTAATTCGTGTATAGTTATCCACTGCGTGTTCTGTCACGGATTTGAAGCAAAACATCGCCCTATTGCAGTGCTGCTCAACCCGGAAGACGGGAAGGGAATATCTGGAAAGGCATTGATCATCTTTATGCAAAAATTCGATAGCATGCAGCACGAGTCGGTCACTGTATTGGCCAATGGGATCTTCGGTGAGGCAAGCGAGCCAACGCCACTTGCCGACGAGGGAATCACAGAAGATATTCTAGCACTCGCAAAGAAGAAAGGGCAAGTACAGTTTCAATTTGAACGACATTCAAGGACTTATGCTCCTACAGGTATCAATGGAACATGAAGCGCATCGTGTCCATCTCCTCTGAAGAGGACGATTCGCATGCACCTCCAGCGACGATTCACTTTGCGGACAATACCTCCCTCACAATCCCCTTTGTAGTTTACAGCCCGTACACAGAAGTCCCCGAGGCCACTCTAGAGCTTCTCTCCGACCCATCACTCAGCGCGATCAAAGAGTCTCTCAATAACCCAAATCCCATGACGAGTGTGCCTATGGGCGAGATTACGGCGACTGGCCTCTTCCAAAAGGCAAACGTGGACGGCGTGTACGCCTGCGGAAATGCATCCCTGTTCATGTCCACGGTAGTAATGGCGATGAATCAAGGACAAATGGCCGGTGCTGGGGCCGACCACGAGATTGCTATTGAGGACTACGCCGCTGGTATCGCAGCAGCCACTGCCACCTAGTCCGCACGAATTCCATGTAGATTGATCTAGCTAAGAAATATATGTGACCAACTTGTGGTCTCACGTGGAACAGACTCTTGCTCACAGCCGCAGTAGTCGATTGTTAATCCTCTGCAACAATTTCCGAAAAATGTCCTCTCCTGAAGCGTATACGATTGCGCAAGTACCTTTGGTCGCGCATTCCTTTAGCCCTGACCGCTCTGGTGCGCGAAACTTGCTCAATCTGTTGCGTGTCTTGATATGTTTCGCTTTATAGCAATTGCACTGAGCACAAATACGAATGAAGCGCAAATTTATGCTCGTCAGGGCTACGACTGGCAGCCCGTGAGCACGCTCGCAGGGGTTTGTGGCCATCCTTGTGCGCAGCAGCGAGAAATTTAACAAAGAATAGCACGACAAACTCGTTACATCCATTGACTGGGCTCCAACGACCGATCGCATCGTAACCTGTGGCCAGGACCGAAACGCCTACGTCTGGACAAAAGAGGCCGACCCTTCGAGCCCGTCCCAGCTAATCTGGAAGCCCACGCTCGTTGTTCTCAAAATAAATAGAGCTGCGACACAGGTCCGGTGGAGCCCATTGGAGAACAAATTTGCTGTCGCCAGTGGCGCACGCTCCATTTGCGTGTGTTCTTTCGACGAAGAGATGAACTGGTGGGCGTCCAAGCAACTCAAGAAACCGATTCGTAGCACTGTACTCTGCGTGGATTGGCATCCGAACAATGTATTACTTGCGGCCGGGAGCGCAGACGCCAAAGCACGTGTATTTTCCACGTTTCTGAAAGAAGTGGACAAAAAGTGCGTATGAAGCATGGCATTTAGTCACCCTTGCTTATGCTTCGTCGAGGCCACCGGCAAATGTGTGGGGAGACAAATTTCCATGGAACACGGTCTGTGGCGAGTACAGCAGCCACGCAGGAGGCTGGGTCCATTCCGTTGGATTTTCTCCTTCAGGAGACGCTATGGCTTTCACCAGTGCGCATCGCTTGCTGTCTCCTCTGTGCTCGGCGCTTACCCCCCTCCTTTTGCGTAGGCCACGATTCGACAATCACCATCGTCTATCCAAGTGGGCCGGCGGTCATTACTATCAAAGGCACAACACTTCCATACGTTACACTGACATGGACAGCGGAAGATGCGCTCATTGCTGCGGGTCATGACTGTCAACCCGTCCTCTTCTCCGGCACGGCAAGTGGATGGAAGGCGATTGGATCTCTCGACGACGCAAACGGACCGCGTTCTTCCAGTTTACCATCATCGGTCTCAAGCCCGCGTACTGCGGGCGCCGTCGGTGGAGGTGGAGGACCCCCTGTCGGTCGCTTGAATAATGCAGCGTTCAATAGGTTCAAAGATGCAGATAGTAGAGGACAAAGTTCGATACCCGGTACACCATCGAGCCCCGGAGGCGGGTTGTTCGGCGGTTCCGCGACACCTGGAGGCGTGACCGGTGGAGAGCTTATGACGCTCCATCAGAACACTATTACGAGCGTCCGTCCATACGAGTGGGGTCCAAATGGTAATGTGACCAAAGTTTCAACAACTGGTGTGGATGGTAAACTTGTTATCTGGTCTGTTTCCGCAGCGGCCGGTTTAGCGCCCAAGATTTTTGTACGTTGAAGACGGGGAAATGCTACATAAATTTCATGAAATTGCCTACTATGGGCATACTACATGTAAATTTCGTCGGACGGAGACAATTTATATATGCGAATAGTCTATGGTCTATCCACGACCGGCAACAATCAGCTGTGGCTGACAGTGGATGTATTATGCGCAGACTGTCAAAGCTTGTAAGAACCCCTTCTCCTCCTGTTGGAAGCTTGTGAGCTTACCAAAGGGACGCTAGCAGTCGTCTCACTGTCGCGGGGGCAGATAGCCATAGGCTATCAGCGTTTCTACAGCAGGTCTCGCAGAATCCTCCTTGGCACCTGCTCTAGTAGATGATTCTCCAGTCCCTATGGTCTGGTTTCCGTTGAGTATCCACTCGCCACACCAGACTGCTCTTCGTTAGCTTCAACGTCAGGACATTAATATCGATCACTGACCATGGGCTTGACTTGGGCCATGGACGGTGTCCGTATATTCTAATTGAAGATGGTACTTCTGTTTGATGAGGTTGAGGACGGCTCGGTATGACATCTTGGTTGGTAAAGCTGAAGAGCTGAAGAGTGATGGTGGAGGCGCGATAGAGACGATCATCCTTTATATCTGGCGGAAACCGGCGGCTGGTACAGCTCCTGATTGGAAGACGACGGCCGCAGAGCGTTGTCCGATTCAGCGCAGTTTGGTGCTACTGCACATCAAGGCCGGGTCAAACGCCAGAATTGACTGACTCATAATAACCATACACTCGCGTATCGTATTCATCTTCGTCTTCTCGGGTGACAGTCGCACTCTGCCACGCGCAAGGAGGGGCATCAATCGCAGAGGCGGTCCCGACGAAAACAACCCGGATATGTACGTGTAACAATCAGTCTAAAGGTGTTCTAGGAGGAAGTGTACGTCCTTGTTGTCCGTACGAGTTCCGGCGTCGGTAGGTTGCGCTCGATACGTCTTCCCAAATGCTTTGCGGTGCAACTCCAAACTCCAAGTCAGCAACCAGCAGAGATATTGAAATGCATCATAAATTGCTTCAACATTTATTTTCCGTATGATTTGTCATCCAACAGGGCTCAGTCATCGACGCCGAGCTGAAGTAACCACAACAAGTCCGAGACTACGGCCATGAAAGCCTATGTTATAGTGCTTTCTGAGAGAGGAAGCTTCAATGATGTTGATCATTCCCCGCAGAAACTGACCAAGTCGGCAGAGCGCTTTGAGGATACGGCACGCTACTCCAAAGATGGGCTATTTCCTTCCTGTGTGGTGACTATCGATCGTCGATCACTATCTTCAAACCCGGATCCGATGAGGTTAAGACTGACGAGCACGACAAGTACGAGGCGGGGTCCAACAGACGTCTTCTGTCGAAAACCTGACCAGGCGCCGACGCCATTATGAAGTACTGATCCCTCGAAATCATAATCTCAAATGACCCTATGGTTTATTACTGCACTGCTGAGCCTCGGGTGGATGGCCATATGCTTACTTGTATGCAGGAACGCTGTGAGGCTGTCTGTAAAATCCGTCATCTCACTCCACTCTGTACTAGTATTGGCTTTCTTTGTGAGTTGTCGGCCGTAATGTACCCGCCTGCTGAGTACCCGTCTTCATTGTATCAGATGCGTCGTGGGCGCCCGGTGCTGCCTTCGGGATACGTGTAGCATGTATTTGCTTGTTCTTATTCCGGTATTAAACAACAAGCGCTTGCTATCCCGCCTCTGGTTTTGCTGAAGTTACCAAAACGCCTCAAGACGATAGGCGCTTTGAAGAGTCACTAAGCGAATCTGTAGGCAGTTTCACCATCGTTCAGGTCGGTGAGTAACACAAAGAATGTCCCGGGGGTTGCCTCTATCTGAGGGCAGACGGGGACAGAGGCACACAGGCAATATGTTTGACTGGCAGCGACACAGCCTGAGCAGCCTCCTCTAGTGCCCATGATGAAGACTCCCAGAGAGTATTGAAGTACGGTCTCTTTCTGTGGGAAAGTTTCAGGCGTTTATATCCTGTTAGCGTGGCAGGGAAACCCAAGACTACTCAGTGGTTAATTGTAGGCGTTCATGCACGTAAAATTGCGGACGGTCTCGCAACTGGCCCCGCAACAGTGGCTGTTGGAATCAAGCTCCGTGTGTTGTGGCGGATGCAGCCGTTCACCGTTGTTGACCCATTATGTATGATACACGGGTCATGTCGGTAGCTTGGATCATAAAATCGAGTATCCAAACTCCTGAGTTCTTTAGATCGTTGACGTTGCATTGAGAATGGCCGGGCAGAGGTACACGTGCAGCCCTTGTTGAAGCCTAGCCCAGCAGAGCATCAGCCGGGAGACTTGAAGGGTAGGATTGAAACCGGTTGAGAGAGTTCAATTGTGCAAGCTTGATAGTGATGTCCATTGTATATTGCGCGAGGACTGGGCACTAGCCTCAGCCTTCTTCACCATGTGACTTATATCATCGGTGACTGGGCATACACCTCGCGCTTAGGCGATAATATAGTTTTAAAACTGCTTGGGTCTTGTAGTTATGAGACAAGGAAACGCCAAGTCGGCTCAGTCCCTGAGTCCTTTGCTAAGAAGACCGTAACTAACATTGTAAAGATGAGGAGAATGTCTAGATTTCGGAATCTGGTGTGCAAAAAAATAAACGGCGGGGGGCGGGCGGTGCAAGTTCTAATGGGGTGGCAGCGCGATGAACAAACTTGGACGCGGTGGCCAGCGACAAACGGCGAGAAAATGGCCCAAAATCCCAGCCAAACCCCTCCTATAAACCCCCAGATAGCAGAATTAGCACAGGGCTCGTCTGTACGACGACATCACACGATCTCTACAACCGGTAGACTCGCCAATCGCATTCCCGAGCGTCGCGACAGCGAGGAGGCAGCGACCGAAGAATACGAAGCTGAAGATCAGTGGACTGGAGGGCCCGCTCTGGCCAGTGAGAAGCAGGCGAGCCTGCAGCGTAACCTGTCGCTCCCATCCAAATATCATCGAGGTTCGTAGGACAACTGTGGTCATATTATATCCCTGTTCTATTCATGTCTTGAATTATGCTTACGCTCCCCTTATTTGCCTCTTCTCAGCTCTTCGTGAACAGTCCGAGCTGCCTGGCAGTTCGCTCGGTAACTCAGGAGGCCTCTCATCCGTAGATGCAGGCCCAGAAGAAGAAGAGTGGTCTGGAGTCGCCGCAGCCCTGTACGATGGCGACCAGGTAGGTAACCTTCGGGCCCTGTATGCGTTGATCTTACCATGACGCAGTCACCCCTGGTTGCACAGATGCGTCCCAGTCAAACGAATCCAGAAAATGCATCTTCAAACGATCCACCCAGTGCTGCAGGAGCTGTTCGACGGCATGTCAGTATGACCGACGGTCAAAGAGGTCGCAAGATAGGAGGTTTACAACGACATCCTACTATGTCTGCAAGGCCACCAGCTCGATCGAGTACCATGAATGCCACAACCGAAGCCACAGACAAAGATTTCCCGCCGTACGACGACGATAACGTAGCAGAGACAGAAGATCCAAATTCTTATCCCCCGGAATCTGCATACGGAGGGATTGGGAACGAATGGGACAACACAGGCGAAACTGATACGACTTGGGGCACGGGTAATCCACCCGGTCCACCAGATTGGAGGATGAATTCGCAGCAGGCTCATGTCGACGAGCTTACAAATTCGCTATCCAATATGGACCTGCAACGTCAGACTGCAAATTACGCCCGTGGTGGACCTCGATTTGATTCAAACCACCCCGGAATGTACCATCAAGACTACTCCCAGCAGCTGCAGCAGAGCGCAATGACTCATGCGCAACGGCTTCAACTTAACACGGAAGTTCAAGGGCCAACGGGTCCAGCGAGTGCAGGAGCCTATATTCCTCAACCTGGCCACGCTAGTTATGGATCGCTTCAACGGGAGAGTGTCGCCAGCATGGGATCTGGCGAAGAGCATCACCGTACGGCTTCAGGCTCTGACTGGGACCCAAAGTCTCGAATCCTCAAGGGTAGAGGTAGCAATCCCAGTATTGGTCAGAGCTATCAAGGTCAATATGGTGGAGCATTCGGCAATATGCCGCCTCCACCACCTATTCCCTCACAGTATCTCAGCCAAGTGCACCCGAGGTCTGGAAGTATGGGCGCCATTGGTGGATACGGGTCGCCTGGGCAGAATTTTGGACCGATTGGCTCGCCCCCTGGTCAAACCAACGTGCAGCCGCCACCTCTCCTCGACCCAGCAGCATTCTTGAGCTCACCTATCGACGTCCCAACGATGATCGCTCAAAAGGGCTACAATCCGGCCACGTTTGACACCAGACCTCCTTATGTACGTGATGTAGAGGGGAAGGCCATGGTCACCTGACGTTTCTTATAGGCCAGATACTTTGTTATCAAGTCTTATACCGAGGATGATGTCCACAAGTCGCTCAAATACGAGATCTGGAGCTCGACCGATCCGGGAAATAAGCGGTTGGACAAGGCATTCAAAGAGTGTGCTGGGCGCGGCCCAATCTACCTTTTTTTTAGCGTCAACGCCAGGTATTAAGCTTTGTCTAATCGTGAATCTGCTTCTGACTATCCTAGTGGCCACTTCTGTGGCATGGCCGAGATGCTTACTCCCGTGGATTATACTCGAAGCAGTACCGTCTGGGCTTCGGATAAATGGAAGGGAGTCTTCAAGGTCCGCTGGATTTTCGTGCGCGACATTCCCAATGCTGTTCTGCGAAACATCCGTCTGAAGTACGTAGACTCGAATGCAGTGGCATATCTGACCTGTCATCCGCAGCAACACACAAGAGAGAAAGCCCGTCACAAACTCTCGGGATACGCAAGAGCTCTTGCCAGAAGCCGGACATGAGATGCTACGAATCTTCTTCACGCACCCAGCCAAGACATCGCTTCTACAAGACTTTGCGTTCTACGAGGTGTGTCTCGTTTCATCTTGCGCCGGCCTTCCCTGACATTTGGGTAGCTCCAATCGCTCCAAAAGCAGCAGCAGCAGCAACAGCAGCAACAGCAACAGCAAGCTGGGCTAGGCTCGCCTCCGCAAGCGACATCCCCACCCATCCAAGGCACTCCTCTGCCACAGCAACATCCATATGCCATGAACAACAATCAATATAACGCGCCGTCCGCACACCAGAGCCCACAAATGGGCACAGCATCCATCACAGGCTCGTTAGCGATGCCCATGGGTGTTGGTCATACTGGAATGCCCAACTACGGAGGGCTCGGCGTTGGACCTCAGGTCGCTCAAAGCGTTCTTCGTGGGTCGAGCCCAGGCCCAATTGGATCAGGGATGCCCGGTCCCCATCATATGAGCTTCAACAATATGCAAATGGGCTCCGGAATGGCGGCTAATGGCGGCCAGGGCGGTGCTGGGGGTGGTTTCTAATCAGGCAGAGGCTCATAATGACGGCCATTTGGTCGTTCAGTCGATGAAGCCCTACTTGATGGCTGAGGTCTCACTTCACGAATTAACGTTCTTCTCATGTCCTCACGATCCGTGTTCACACATCTGCCTGACGCTATCTTCACAAGGACTTGGCTCTCGAGGTGCATGGACACTGTGTGGACTATACAAGCTCTGTCTTTTCTTCGCAATTTTTGTCTTTACCTAGCTTTCTAATATGCGCAAAGGTACTGACATTGCGCCCATGCACGTAAACTTGACCCCTTTCATCTCCACCGAATAGGCAGACTTACACCCTTTAAGCCCAGTACGGCTATCTTCTTCGAACCTAAACGTATCCCGAAAGCGGATGAACAGGATAGAATCAAGCGCCAGATGCTCAAGAGCCGCGTTTCGCTCAAGAGACGGACACTGCGTTGATTAATCAAACTGCATCTACCCCGTACCGCTCGAATACAAAGATTGCGGCCACCTGGCTAGGATCCACCCTCTCAGCAGCCCGTCCAAGGCTCCTCGTCCACACGCTTGTTTGAGGATTTGAGACGGAATCATTTCGACTCCATTGAGATGGATCGAAGGTTCGGTTTACCTAGTCCAATGCCTGGTTGGACAGCCTCTCCTCAGACAGCTCTCTCGCCACCGCACAATCCCATGTAGTCAAAAAGTAAGTTGAATATGCGTGCTGGATGTGAGTTTTACCAAATTGACCATGGCCTCGACCGCCAGACTATCGATCACGCCTGGAACCCCGAGTCAGCTGGCGTTTGACATCGTGAGCTGGGACATATTTAACAAGCCCGAAACACTGTCTTGAGGCGTTTTTGCGCTTTTTCAGCCATCACCGCCAAGAAGGCAGTACAGATCCGTTGCTGGCACGCGCGGATGACCTAGCTGGCCGACCCCTCAAAGCCCGTGCGCGAAGTCCTACTTGAGATAGTAGATTTGCCCAGATCCACCTTCCACAGAGAAGTCGTGTTCTTTGTGAATTGAATCTCTCCTTTGGGTACAGTTACCCACCAGCAGCGGCCTAGAAGCACGAGTGGACAGACTCCTGGCGTAAGTTGACATTTGAGACATGGACGTCCATGGAGAATACGCTGCGGATGTACTCACCTCTCCCAGCGATCATTCTCCTGCGGCCTATCCGTAACCACCGTTGGAGAGCCGCCAACCTGCAGCCTCGCGGCGAGAGGGACGATAATGTCCCTCTCAGGCCTACAGAAAGCTGTAGCTCGCCATGGTGGACCGCCGAGGATAAAAGAGGTGAGAAGGCGTCGCCTCACCACACCCACTTTACCCACCTCAGCTACGGTTTCCAGTCATCTATTGACCACCTATAACTCATTATAATCATAACCTAGGATCCTATGGCCCACAGGCAAGAACCGAACTGGCGTTCAAGATTGAATGACCTGAATGGCCGCTATCATCTCGATATCGCTTACTCAGAAGAATCAATAGGTCCTTCTCATGCTGAGCAGTGGATTGGACGATTCACCATGAATACCATGACCGGGTTCATCATGATTGGATTGGCGAACGCGACCAATAAAAAAGACGCAAAGGAGTTAGCCGCAGCAATAGCTGTTCAATATCTCAACAACATGGGCTACGTATAAATGTGCGTACCTATTCTTGGAGTGGTGGTTCACTTGCTAATTCTCGTTCGCTCTCTTTCGAATGCAGGCTCTTAGCTTCGCTCGAATGATACATGCTACTCGAATATCTGGACTCGTGTCCCTTTCTTTTTGGAGCTCGAATTTATTTCTATATCGCGCAAACCACACGAGCCTTCTTTCAGCCGAGAGTCTATTGTCGGCTAATCACCTTGATTTACTTTCTTAATTTACACTAGTTGTGCTTAAGCCATGGAAACACGGTTGTTCAAATGAACCTTAACTACGCTGAGAACTATCTTTTTCCGTTCCACGACAACAGCACGACAGTGATGGTACGCGTAAAGCCTCAATTCGATGGAAAATGTGAAATACGATTAGAAATCCTGCTTTTGCGAATGTAATATACGGCGGGATACACGGCCGTGAGCCCACTGGTTCGTACATCGGTCAAATGGCATTGGTTTCACAAGACACTGAGCCAATCTTTGTATAGAATTCTCATGGATACATGAGAGTACGCGCTCTCAGGCTGGGGGCGGAAGAACAAGCGAACCAGCCCGTGTCTCGGATTGATTTCTGGAGAACACTCGTCGTACGTACCATCAAAGATCGCAAACCGAGAACAGATCTAATTCAAGGTATCGCCTCCGGCGTTCTCAGACGCCATTCCATTGGTTCCCACTTTGCATTTTGGCCTTAGTCTTCAGGGGCAGGTGTTGGGGAAGGATTTCAATAGAGAAGGCAGCAGTACGTGTTACAGCTGGGCAAGGGATGCAGATGGACAGATGGCGGATGCTTTGTTGGCTGGTACGGATACTGCACCTTTGACCCTCCCACGTCTGACAATGTCCCCAGAGCTCGTTGAACCTTGTTCCTTGTAGCACTCGTATACAACAGACAAGATATCCCATCGTGCTTGCCGTTCAGCCAGGAGATTGTTCCGGTCAACCTCACCTTGGGGGTCATCTTGACCAGATCCAGCTCTTCTTTAGGGTGTTACCCCGCCACGAAGAGTGACGAAAATTTTCGGAAAAAATCATGATTTGACATTGTGTCCCCAATTAATCCATTGATATTTCCAGGGGGCCCCTTCTGGGTTTGCTTCGACCATTGCTTGTCATAGAGTCGAGAGTCACTGCCCGAGGTTCTGATGCTCATGGGACTTCTCTGGAAGCTTGTTTCCTAAGTTTGGGGCGATGGTTGCTCACTCAATCTCTCACGAGGTTTCGTCCGGCAGCAAACCTCACAGTGAACGTCCGGCTATTCCTTTTCAACGACAAAGGGGTTCAAAGTGACAAAGAAAAGTCCGATTGATATATAACTCAAGACAGGATGGGTACGGAGGTCCATTATGGTCAAGAACGAGACGGATGTAAGGCAAATTAACAGAAACAAAGCCACTTATCAGAGCAGGACCATGCTCATGATTGTTAGAAGGCGCGGATGGTTTGTGGTCTGGGCAAAAGCCGGAAAAATCTACTACCGCTCTGCTGCAAACCAAGGCTCCTAATGATACCCATAGGTGTTGAGCCAGAGCAGAGCACTCTTCGCAGCATCCTCTTTGGCAGCATCTTTTGAGGTAAACCAACCAGAAGATCCGATTTTTGTCCCACCAATCCAAAAGGATCCAGCCCATCTCTGATCGTGTAATGGTCCCGAACCCTCACTCAAATAATTGGCATTCAAGGAATACTTTTGGAGGCGCTGTGTGAGAAGCTGTCTATGATTTGGACCCTGGGTTGGTCGGACGGGCTGCTGGACCTGCTGAAAACTCCTGTTCATGCCAGGGGCAGTCGTATGTGCCCGATAAACAGGATGGTTGTTGCTCCGCTGGGTTCTTTGATTCCATGGTGCTTTCCCGGAGGAGTTCTATCGAGATCGGTCAACTCTGGTGCAGCGACCTCGTCTCAGAACATACTGGGTCCATTTTGGAGGATCACAGTCGACGAATTGAGGCGAAAACGAGAAGCGGCTACTTTAATCTTGCTCTCTTGCAGCATACAGGACAAATATGGGGCGGTCGAAGTCTGAGGCTCTTCCCAAATTCGTGTGCTTATAGAAGAAAATGCGTCTGACACTGATCTAATTAGAACTTCCATACATAGGGATTCGAGCGGATATATTCCCATCAGCCGAGCATGCCAGTAGACAGGCAACAGCATTGTGACTTGGCAACAATGTACAAGAGGCGTCAAGAATACAATCAAGCGAGAAATACGATCGGTTTCGGGTATGCACATTGTCGATCACGCACCGCATGCTCATGAAACTCGCAGTGAGCTGACGGAAGCAAGTCTCCGACCAAAGCTAGAAGCACATCTCCTACACATCATTCGGTCCGAGTAGAGTCTTTATTCATATCGTCCCGCTGCAGGTTCGCCAGATGGGAATCACCGTTAGCTGTGCGGGCACTGGACAAATATCACGGAACAATACTCACGAATCCATACCGTTGCTCTGTCTCACCTGGTACTTGATGGACACCAGTCGACAAGAACAGTGCCCAGGTTGGCGGTGGTATCGGTATTTGCCAGCGAGGCGAACACTAGCCATGGACCTTTTGTCGTCGCCAGGTCGTTGATATAGCCCTAATTGACTACAATAGGTGAGCTTTCAACTTGGGTTCCGAGTTGCCATAATACAATGGTAGCCCGAGGATCGATGATCTTGATAGCAGATTAGCTACTAGACCAAAATAAACGTGTTGCGTCATGGATGAATGGATGAATGGCAAGGGCGCTTTCTGTGCGATGAGTCGGGCGTTTCCGGCCTGCACCTCTATAGATGAAAGGATAGTGGTCAGCTGGTGGAGATAGAGGGAGGATAGGCAGCCCCGTGGATGGTCTTGAGATGGATGTGATCTCCAATCTTGATGACGAGGCCTCGAGTGATTGGTGCGTGCTGAGCCATTTCAAGTAATGGTCAGTCTCTTCCATTCATCTCTTTATGTGAGCCTTCGCTGCCAAGAGATGGCAATTAAACTACAATTTTCGTCATTGTGGAGAATGTGATCGGGTTCAAATTTATTGCTCGACTCTTTTGGACTCCACCGAGACTGTGTTGATTGCGGTCAATGTCCGAGACAAGCAAAGGTGGCGGTATCCCACGTTTGAATCAACAACAGAGACCCCAAAGTCCGCTGCAACATGCCTCATCCACACGACGACGCATTCACTCACGTCTGTCGCAGCCAAGGGCAGTTGCGAACGCTCATCCACTGCAAGATGACAGCGAGGGTCTCGACACTGTTCCAGAGCTTCCAATCAGCCCTCGTTCGTGGAAAGAGGCTGCTGAGAAGAGGTCTCAACCAGGTTAGTTGACCGGTTGGAGGGTCGTGGATCACAGAGAACTGATGTCATGCTCTAATACAATGATAACACAGAGCTATTCGACGACATACATGACGACAGTTCCGTGCATCCACCATCGTTTGCCCAGAGCGAATTTGAAACTATCGTCAGGAGGCAAAAAACGAATCCTCATGGCCTCAAGATAGTCAATATTCCATCTCGATATCCGACTCTAGACAACGATTGGGAGTTTGCTGTAAGTGTTTTGCCCCTTGTTGGCGGGTCGAAGCCGACCCTTTTCCAGGGATGGGGCTCCATGAGTTATCTCGAACTCTCGCAAAATGACATGGAAGCCGCAAGAAAAGAGTTGAAACAGGTTTCCAAAACATTGGATCCTCTGCGAGTGTCTTCCATCGCTGCGAATGCGGTCGTTGGGAGCGTATTCTACAGTTTTCCAGCTGGTACGTGCAGGTCTCAGTACTTGGCTTATATCTTATCGTTATAAAGTTGCTGCTGCATCTGGTGTTCTCTCGCCAATTGCCCTCACCGTCGCATGTCTCCTCCTGACATTGTATAAGCCCGTGATGCGAGAGTTGGGCTCTGCAGCACGTTCCAACGGATCAAACTATACCTACCTTCTACAGTTTTGTGGCAAAACCGCCGCTCTGATGGGTGCCGCGGTGACCCTTCTTGATGGCGTCGCAACGAGCGCCGTTTCAGCGGCGACAGCTAGCGAATACCTAGCAGGGGAGTTTAGCAACCTGCCTATACCTATTCCAGCAATCTCCATTTGCTTCCTGACAATCATTACCTTGATTGCCCTAGCTAAGGCACGGGACAGCACTATCGTGACACTTTCATTCTTCTTCATTCATGTACGTTTCGATCATATACCACAATATCGCTCTGACGGGAATAAAGGCGGTGACAATGATCGTTCTCATGCTAGTCTCTTGCACTGCATGGGCGAAGAGAGGATCGGCTACACTTCTAGTAAACTGGTCTCAGAGACCAACCAGTCCCTCGCAAATCATCCATGACTTGTTCTTTGGTGCGTCAATTGGCTACCTCGGTGTGAGCGGGTTCGAGACCATACCGTCCTATGTCGAAATGGTGGCGCCTCAGCATTACTCGACCGTCATCTCGACTATCATCAGTTCGGTGACCCTTTTGAATGGACCTTTGATGCTCTTGGTATATGCGCTGCTACCCTCGGACCAAATCCTACACGGCACCAATATTCTCTCAGTGCTTTCTGGTGAAGTAGGAGGTCACTGGCTCCGTACATTACTCGTCGTGGATGCAATGCTTGTGCTATGTGGTGGAATGGCTACCGGTATTTTCACCGCCTGCAATCTAATGACCACTCTCACTCACGACGGGGTACTGCCGAAGTTCGCCCTACGGCCCATGCCATTGACCGGGCAACCATTCCTCACGCCCATCTTCTTTCTCCTGGCATGTATTGTAATGTATGCCACCGCCGCCTTCAGATTAGCCACTATGTCTTCTATCTTTTCTGTCACTGTTCTGACAGTTCTCCTCATGGTGCGTCTTCAAACATAGTGCCAAAATCTTGCTCATATACAATAGTATCCTATATCGAACATACTCTTAAAGTTCAATCGCGACCGACTCCCACGCAAGTATAAAACCTCGCTCATGATGACGGCTCTAGCGTTCGTTTCGACATTAACGGTGCTGATTGGCAATCTCGTACTGAGGTGGGTGCTTGAATCTTGAAAGAAAATCGTAAACTTAGGAACTTTACCTAGTCCCATTGCGCTTGGTCTCTTTGCGTGCTACTTTGCTTTCATTCTCGGAAGTCTCCTAATCGCAAAATCACAAGCAAAGATTGCCCGTGTAGTCATCTGGCTCTACGGACAGAGCGAGGTATTCCAAAAGTTCAAGCTCACACGAGGACTGGACGTCGTCTGCGTCAAGCTTATCAAGGCCACACGCCGTCACCCAATCTGCGTTTGGGTCAAGGGAGATGACGTAAGTGACGGTTATTACTGTTCATTTGGTTCACACGTATCCACAGATTTATCATTTACTCGAGTACATTCTGTACGTTCGTCGAAACGAGCCCACGGGACGCATCATTTTTCTTCATGCGTATCACGACGTGGAAAACATTCCATCCGAGTTGGCACCGAATACCAAGATTCTCGACGAAGCACTCCCCTCGATTACTCTTGATCTAACTTTCGTCCCCGGAACATTTGGTCCAGAGGTAAGGATTTCCACCGTATATCGATTGCGGTTCTAACCTCATTTAGCTCGTACAAGCTGCAAGCAAGAAACTGAACATTCCAAAGAGCAGCATGTTTGCTTCCTGTTTCGGTTCCAATCATCCTCATAGTCTTGCTGACTACAGAGGTTTACGAGTAATTCATCATTAGCAACATCTTTCTTCGGGTCAAGAAACGTCCTTGTTCAATGTAGATACATCGTCGCACTACTAATCGGACACCGTTTCACTCTTTTAGTCGCTTCTTTTTACTGGCCTTTGACGATTCGGGATCTTTACTCCGCTCTTCTTTCTTTCTCCTCTTCCGCTCTTTCTTGTCTGAGGATATCTCCGCCACTGTAATAGCGGCTTTCTCGGCTTCCTCGTTTTGGTCGATATTCCGGTTTCCCCTCTTACGTTTCTTGTCACGTTTACGGTCCTCGACTATTTCGGTTGACTCCGGCTTAGTGATCGTAGGCTGGATGGCCGGCTGTTCGATTGTGCTATTTGTGATATGTGCACGCCGGGCTTTGAGTTTTGCCGCAAAGTAGTCCGCAACCGACGTCGAGGATGTAGTGAGCTGGTCGTCTATGATGGCAGGAGGCTTGGCGGCTTGTTCGGTCGGCTCGTTCTGTGGCGTACTAGACGAGGATGGTAGCTCGGAAGCGAAAATCGGAGTTGCGGAGACAGATGTGATTACTGGAGTAGGAGATTCCGAAGATGAAACGCCCAGGATTTCGGACAGAGCGGCGGAGGAGAGGGAAGCGAGCTGTTTGGAGGCGCGAAATTTGGCACGGTGTCTGGGGAACAATCAGTATAATAGTGTCAGAGAGTGGATGTCCAATTGCTTACGCCATATGCGGGGCAATCTTTGGCCGTGTCATCGGCGGAGCGCTCGTTGAGGCAACTCCCTCTGTGGGGTGACGGAGCTCTCACAAGCTTGGGATACTAGAGCTTTGGCTTCCCTTTTGCGTCGCCTTTCCTCTTTTCGTCGCTGCTTTTCCGACTTTCCATCGTCCACTCCCTCTGTCTCCTCTATCTTCTCGCCCAATAAATGATCCTCGGCATTTTTGGGCCTAACAAACCCATTGAAGAGGGCCTTTTCAATCTTGACGTCCTCCATCCCACCTTCTAGTGGGTTCAGTGCTGTACCATTGAGCTTTTTGAGCACGTTTTCAAAGTCACGGTTTTGCTTCCATGCGATGGCATTGGGATCTCCCGCACCGTTGGAAGATGGACCGTTTCCGATACCAAGCTGGTTCAGCTTGAGCGCCACAGCGATGTGCGACGTTCGTCCATCTCCATTTGCACCGAGGCCACTCCCAGAATCGGGTGTCCAGCCAAATTTAGCTAGATACTGCTGTCCAAAGCGCGAGTTGTCTGTAAAGTAACGTTAATCGACTCTTCCCTTAATTTTTACCAGATGAAAACGAGCCAAATTGCCAAAGGCTGCTCGAGAAAATAGTGTAAAGGAGGATAGTCTAAAGTCATGATACATACCATGTGCCCACGTAAGATTTCGAGGGTCTGTTCCTATCCTCTGTTTCTCCTTGCGACCAGCGAGACCCATGGGAATCCCGGTTGAGAGCAGAGAGTATCTATGCCCTCAATATCGTCTCAAATCGACCGTATATAAGAGTTTTCGACCGATGCAGAGCTGGCCTGATCAAAAGCTTGTCGTGGTAAAGTCGAACTCTGCCACCACAAAGTATAGTAAGGCCGCTGCTTAACAATGTCCAAATAAGCGAGTGATAGCGACTTTCTCAGTCACGCATCTATCTCTATCGTGACTGAAGGACGCATCGTGGTGTGTGTTCAGTATCCGTTCCACCGCAGAGTACAAGCATTCCATCCACGACGAGTAATTTACTGGGCCAGCGTTTTCTCATTTCGCCAGAAAGCAGTAAAAGGATATTGATGCCGTGTAGGATTTGCTCCGAGGGCGACAGCACATCTACCAAGAGTATCGACAAAGGACCATTCAGAAGGTAGCCGAGGTAATGATCGTTGACATGATGGTCGACTGGTGCGAGTGACCATTTGGACATAACTACGACGGTGTGGTCCCGACTCCGCCAGCACCGAGGTGGCCAATTGACGCACCAAAGACTGAATATCGACGAATAAGGATACGTGGGTGAGAACTCTACATGTGAGGACTATATGCTCACTGTCCATGGTCGTTCGTGTAAATCGACTGAGGTCCCACGACCAGTAGATACTTGGCCGAGGGCTAAGGATTCAATACAAGATAGTAGATTACAGTTTATTCTGACTTGTTCCATTTGCTGTAACATTTGTCTACTCAACCTGAGAGTCTCGACATAATTGGAAGTGTGCATTTATTGTTTCTACCTGAGCACGCAAATCATAAAAATTTACTCGTGAGTGCGAATTTATCTACAATTAACCATAATTTGGGTTTTAAAATGCTATGAGGACTATATAGTGGTTGGAAAGCGGAGACTGGGGAGATGAATTTGACGGCAATCCACTTTAATTTATTCTCGTCTCGATCTCTAGATCGAGGAAACACGGGTGGGCTTCTAAGGCGCAGTTGAAATATCTAATTAGAGACTGCATCACCTGTACGTACTTTTATATGCTCGATCCTGGAAGGATCTCGACTTCAACCCCCCGGATCCTACATTGCCCTCTATTACGCCTCGAGGCTGCACGAAACAAATGACTGGACTGCGTAATCCTTCAGAATAAGCACAGTTAAAGGACACGAACCCCCAACAGAATCACAACCGACCTTCTTATCATCACATCCTACGGTTTACTGTTGGTCTGGGTCACCGTCGACCCCTCACACAGCACCTCCAAAGATATTCGCTGAACGCCAATTTCATCACTACAGTATCGGGACCCCCGCATGATCAGATATGGACGGGAGCCTTTTGGATTGGCAAAACAAACATTGGATGGTCTGGAAGTCTCCCGTCCAAGAAGGCTGCGCTGCACCCGACGGCCACATAGGGTCACTCCTCGGCACCAAGAAAGGGATAGACGGCCTGGCCTCGTTCCTAAAACTCACCAAAGCATTCAGGAAGCGCCCCCAAGACGACGAAGTACGGTAACCGACGCCAGCTACAACCGGAGATGGTCCCAAATGGCTGGATACCCGCTGCAAATGAAGAAGATGGTATAATTCCCGTATCCTTTCCTATTTTCGTAACATACTCTTGGCAAACCTTGAACGACACCTCCCAGCCTACACTCATCACCTATACAATAGAGCGTACCCTAGACCCACGAACTCAATCACCCTAATAATCACCCCATGTCTTGTTAATGATCGCGCCTTGGTTCCATGTAGTACCTGCTAGCGAGGGCAAATGAGATCTCTCTCTCTCCAAGAAGGCTGCTAAAGAGGAGGCCGCGAAGAGTGCTCTGCTCTGGCTCGATACCTATGGGTATCACTAGACAAGGTGCCAGTATACGATACGTTGCTACACAGGCTGAGGATGCTCACCGTAAACCAACTCGTTCCTTTCCATAAATCAAAGAAACATGGACAGTGATACGGGAGACCGACGTAGCCAAATGGCCTGAGGCCTCTTGGGTGGAGCTGGAGTATTTCTTGTTTCGCTTCGATTCCCCGCGTTTGATCATCCAAATGGCTTGAGTATGCCCGGAGGCGAGCGTGCTGCACGCAAGAGCTGACTGAACTGCAGAATCCGTGAGGACAAACACCGCTGAATCGTCGAATATACAAGGACTGGGATCCCTCGCTGAATGCCGTGAAGGAAACTTGTGCTGCTGACCCCCTCACACTACGTCCGGCTTTTCTGTCCATACCTCCTTAGCGGCCAGGCTTAGGTGAGAGGTATCGGCTCATTTAGCCTATCATAACCTCCCTCTTCCTCTCTCATTCATCGTCTAGCCGTTGACCCCCGGCGTACCAATCCTTAGAGGGTTGGTCGACGCACCCGTACTGGATATTGATGCGAGCCTACACGTTCGTTGGTTCGATTTACACATAGCATTCCCGCTTTCCCCATTTATCTGTCCCTCGAAAGCTTTCGGCCATTAGCAGCCGCCCGGACTCTATAATCTCAAGTGAGTGCAGGTCCGAGACGATAGAACCCAAGTAAAAGGCAGCTAAAAAGCATGCAAATTAGGTAATGACCCTCGTGCTCACGGCAATGGTCAACATACTAGAATACAGACGAACATACTAAGAATCTGGCACCTCTTTGGAATATAGCCTGGTGAACGGAATTAAGCATTATGTAGAGATTATAGCCGCAAGCCGTTAGAATCTACGTTTATACACCATATTTCTGAGCGAAAGCTTTGGGTGGTCCAACTGTCGTGGAGTGGAGAGCCGCTTGCGATGCGTCTTGTCAAACAGAGCCTCGAAGCGGTCTTGTCAAAGGGAGCCAGGCGAACAATCTAGCGACGTGCGCAGATTACAAAGTGTTTGAATGGAGCGTAGAACATACTATTGCCACGTTGCTCCGGCCGAGATGGTACTGGAAGTACACCGTGTTGGTAAAAGAGAGGTAGCTCAGCCCCCGATAGAGCTGATTTAATGAACTCCTGAACGTGGACAGACAGGATGGTTTTAATAGTTTCCGCCTCATAGGGTTGGTACAGATGAGTACAAGAGGGCACGAGTTGAACGACCACCAGGCGACTGGCCAAAGTTCGTCTCCACCAACGGTCGCCCGCCATTGTACTTGGCAAATATTCGCACTGTATTCGTTAGAAATCACCAGCTACAGTCCTACCAGCTTGTCACCCCAAAATGTCTCGGTACGCCTCGAGGTCGCGTGTGTTGGTTAGGCTGAGCAGTGACACCACAGGCCACATTTTCGGCCCCAGACGACTACCTATGGCATGAACAGCGGTTTTCAGCAGGTGCAGCAGTCCGCTCGCCTGGCCCAAGGTGCAAACCATGAACAGCTCCTGATGGAGCGCCTGAATCGATATTCTATGAGAGCCAAAAACATGACTTGGGGGTGGGGGCCACATTATGATCGGAGATGGGCTGGATCATTTTGGATCGGAAGTGTGAAAATCGGAGCCTCGAGGTGGTGGCTTATGTCCAAGGATGCTGCGAAAGAGGACGCGGCGAGAGACGCGTTACTCCGCTTAGATAGGCATGGGTATCACTAGATGATAGTCGATGTTGCTCGTGGCCGACCCTCCGGCTCCCAATTTGAGGGCAAAGAACGAAAAAGTAGCTGCCACTTGTCGTGATTTGGATATTATGATCGATATTTAACCTATCGAGTTGAGCAGATGCCCTACAGACTCCCGAAGCTGAGTAGGCGAGAGTTTTGAGAAGTGAAAAGGTATCTTCCCGTTGTTACATACCATGGTGATACTGGATATATTTCTTCCAAACCAGCAACTTGAATGTCTAAGCCACGCGCGTGAACTTGACGCTCGAGATGAATCTGGACGGGCTGTTTAAGCAGTTCCAGCGTTAGTTTGAAACGCCGTATACATATTGACAAACCTTTTCCCTTTAGTATCGACAGCATATCGAGGGCCATTTCTTGTTCTTGTTCGGCCCCTTGTACAGGCGTCGCCTTGAGACTTCCGAGGTTTGTCCAATATTAAACTTGGAATATATATTTGGTCAAGTTTTGCTGTCAATCGAGACTTGCAACAAGAATAAACGGATGTCGAGAGATTTGCTGCAGGGCACGGTCTTGTGGGAGGATCAGCGACCGATTATCATCAGTAATTGGAGAAGAATCCTGTAGACAAGGCCTAAGGGTGTCAGAAGCTCCCAGGTCTACCGCAAACGAGGATTCGAGTCCGTGCAGAGACCTGTGTGGAGAGAGCAAGCGACGGCTGGGGTATAAAATGTTGCTATGATTTGTCCTAGACATTTTTATCACTTAGAGGGCGCCTGAAGAGGACCTGGGCGGAGAACCCGTCGAGCAAACCTCGAGGCGCATAGTAACAAGCTGGAAACAGTGGCAGGCGCCATACGACAGTGATCTTGTTGCAGAAAATCTTCACAGCGAAGGACAGCGGACAGCGGACATGTTATCCTGGGCGGCGGATGGGTCTCGCATAAGCACTGCCACCTCGGGCTCAGATGGGCTCAGATGGGCTCACTCGGTGGACCCTTTTGGCCTTAGCAGCCTTGCTATATTCTACCTCGCCGCAAACCCCCAAATAGCCCATGTCGACATGATCGAGCCCATTAGACGGCTGGGTATGCAAGAGCCGTCATTAGATCAGGGCTCCCAACGGCAGTCGCAATAGAACGTTCGCCTGCTGCATATGAGCTTTGCACCAAAATGGGTTCTAAACGAGTCTTAGGTCATCTTCAGAGATGCAGCGCGACCCGCAAAGGCTGCCCGACAATGAAATATGTCAACGACCACGAAGCGCGATTGCTGTTCACAGTCCACAAATACACAAGAGAAGCTGAATTAACGCATGTGATGAAGGAAAGATGTAAACTAATGAACCGAGTCCTCCAGCCCGCCACGAGATAGAATCGAAGTCAATCTCGAGAAGAGTCTCAGCTTCGCGTCCTCTGCTCCTTCCTCTCTCCTTTCAACTTGCCCAACACTCGCGTGCATAGCCGCTCGTGTGAAGAGTACGTTCTCCGCCACAGCTTGATGATACTCTGGCGAGATTCCATCCAGGGATATGTCTGCACCCCACTGTGATACCTTGCTCGAGCTTATTTCATTGCTGAGAAACTCGTTGCCTGCACCGAGAGTTGGTACAGTGTCGTAAATCGAGGCGACAGAGACGCTGCCGAAGGTCGGGGGATTGAGAATACCAAACATCCCTTTGTTGCAGTGCTGTTGAACAGAGCAGTAGAAGAATTGGGGCTTGTCTGTTTGTACGACGACATCAACTGTTCAAGGGGGAGCGCGTTAGTCTGCCTCTCTACGTATGGTAAGAGTAAACGTACAGGTTTGCTGACCGTCCTTTGCATTTCGTACACCAGAACTAAAGTTGCGCTGATCTGCAATGCCACTTTTGTTGCAAGGAGCCAATGCGGACGAAAGTGTGACGGTATGATTGGCAGGCGTAGTCCAAATGTACCGGACAGTGTCTCCCACGGGAACATTTAGAGAGAACGGAACAAAGCGAAGGCCGACTCCTTCCGGAGCCACCATGATAGTGTGCGTCGCTCCGCTCCCTCTGTTGTTGTCCATGTTTAACCCAGACGGAAATCTCGTTCTGCATTCTAACTTGGATGTTAGCATGAATCAGTCAAACCGTCTTTGCGCTCACGGGAGATGCAGTCGTCCAATGGACGATTCGACGCCGTGGCGAACACCGTTTGAACCCAAGTCAGTGCGAATGAGAGGATTAGGATCTGCATGTTTGTCTACGGTTGACGTTCAGGAGATATTTCCTATCAAAGGAAATCCTTTCGGCACAGTCAATTACAGCACGTTAAGATGGAATAACAGACTCACTGTAATCCAAAGTGTAAAGGAGAGTGAAAGAAAGGAAGGGGGGTCGACTACCTCGAATAGGTGTCCAAAGCAATCCAAGAGGCGTAAACAGCGCGTTGCGCGGACGAGATCGACGGAGCTTTATATCTTCTCCAGCAATAAGCGGGCACAGCGGCTGATTTTGTGACACTTTCATTACGTCTGTATGGGCCAAAAGGCATCACCGGAGATGGTTGCTCTCCAAGTTAGCCGACCCACTCAGTTCTCCCAGGGCGAGTCAACTCAGGGTGTGATAGTAGTGTTTGAACCGCAAATTAGATACAGATACAGATAGCTTGCCCAAACATCATCAGGCGCGCGGAGGAACCAGGGCCGTGGTCAAGGCAGTCCGTGTCTCCGACAATGTACACGCGCACGGATGTCGGAGATATGTAACAAGAAGGGCTCTTTGGCATGATGGAAGAGCCGTGATAGACAAGGACGGCGGAAGAGATAAAAATGAATGAGAGAGGTTACTCGTTTGTGACCTGGATGAGTATTTAGTCACAATACCGCACATCAGTTTATTTACTCACCCTCAGAGCATTACCACCGCGAAGGTACGTGTAGTGAGATTCGTCCACAGATCCCAACGTCCTACGATCTCGTTCGGGCTCGCTGGAATTAGCCCAGGAGTTTCCAAATAGACCACTAAACCTTGGATCGTGGGCTGGCTTCCGCGTCTCAGACAACTCGTTAGCAGAGCCTGTTCTCTGTTGCATGGGCCGGCTTGGATAACCATAGTTCTGGTTGTTAGCACCACTGGTCTCCAGCATTGACTCGCCACTGGCCGCTGCACCAGTCATGGCTCCTCGCCCGCTGTCCGACGTAGAGTCTTCGTCGTACCAGCCGCCTTCCGATAGCCCAGCGGATTCTATACGACTATGGGTCGGTGTAGTAGCATGCTCGGGTGTCATGCGAAGCGGCTCTATCGGACTCGGATGTGTGCCAGTCGACACGCCCAATGAATGGTGCGTTTGCGCAAGAGAAAGTGAACTATCGAGAGGATGCTGCTGATGAGGGGGTGATGTAATGCTAACAACGAGCTGGGGCTTGGGTTCTACGTTGGCACGCCCAATGTGGGTATCCAAACCTGGCATCGGTACGACTGGATCACGCCGGCCACTGAGACTCGACCAACCCCACCACCGTCTCCCAAACCAACCAATACATCTACTGGATACAGCTCCGATCTTCGGTTGGTTTGCGGCGACGCATACGGGTGGAAATCACCCTTGGTCGAGCTTCGAGAAAGCGGCGTCGACCGTTGACTCTCCTGTGAAGGTGAAAAAGCACCAAGGTTCTGGGGTCGGTGTTGAATCTGTGATTCCCAGCCTTCCGAAGAGGTAGGAGGAGTTCCTTCTGGAATTTGAGGGAGCGCGGGAAGCGGAATAGAAGGAGGTGGTGATCGAATAGCGTCACGCGAGATATTGGAGGTGTTGGTCGTTCCACTAATTGTGCGGTTGTGGGTGACGGGGCTTTCGGCATAGGATGCAGTAGTCAGCGATGGAGGAGCGCTGGCATAAGGATGCACGACTGTTCCGCCGGATTCCAGTCCAGAATAGGCCAAGGATACTCTAGCCGGATCGGGTACATCTGCGAGCTGATTGTTGGCGCTGCCGACCGGGTGCATGGGCATTTCATTATAGGGTATACTTGCGCCACTGGTATTCCCCCACCACGACTTTTCACTTGGCGTGATCACGTCGTTCATCTCGTCGTCGAAGAAGTTTCGACGGTCTTGTGATTTCTCCTGCTGCTCCAGCTGGCGCCTTCGTGCGGCACGCCGATGAGCCGCGCATGCTATTATGCCGGCAGCAAATGCAAAGAGTAGAATACCGATTGCAGTGAATACGCCTATTACGGCTGTTCGATGGCTGAAGAAACCACCCGATTCACCCGAGAGATTGCTGTGGACATGACCTGGGTTCCGAATGACGGTCGTAATAGCATATACAGAATCCCCTTGTGTAGTAATCAAGGTCGTCGTGATGCTCTCTGGTTCACTTGTCGAGCCGCTGGAGGTGGACAAAGGCGGAGTCGTCGAGGTCGAGTTTTGGGCTGTTGCCGACGTTGAATGTGTGAGTGTAGAAGTTGACGTCGAACGTATCGAAGAAGTCGACGGCGTATCTATCACTGTGATTGTAACAGTGACGGGAGGATCGCGGGTTTCGGTCGAGGTTGCGATATCAGGACCACTATTTTTACATCAGCATTTATGAACAAATTGTTTCCAAAGAGCGCGAGAGCTGGGAAAGTCTTTGGCATTGACAGGACGAGTGGTTGCGAGATCACCCCGAATATAATGGCGGACGAGAGAAATGGAACCGACCGGATCAGAAACTCACCCAATTATCGAGGAAATAATGTCTGGTAAATCGGGGATAGAGACCGCTGCTTGCGCGTTTCGCCAGGTTCAAGACGGCATCAGAGCCGAACGGATGTTGATTGTAAGGGGTCAAAGTTGTATAGTGATGTCGATTCGGATGCCGTAAAGTCAAGTGGTCAGCGCACGTTAGATGAACACATCGCCGATTCGGTTGGAGAGAGAATTTCAAGGAAATAGAGGTAAAAATTGATCAGCACGTTGTCCTCAAGCATTATGAGACAAATAACGACCATGCCCCTACTTACAGATGTCCGCCATTGCTGATGCGACACTTTAGTCCAAGAAGGGCCAGACGGCAGGAAAACAAAAGATTGTGGGTGCAGCACAGGCTGATATTTTACTGAGAAAGGATCGTCAATAGGGACCCGGAAGGGTTGCCCGTTTTAGCGTCGAGGTGGTCGGAGGAAAGCCGCAATCTCTTGCTGCCGCCAGAGCACTAAGTTATGATAGTCGCTATTATTCAACACACAGGATTACTAACCAATATTCTAGGCCTTGTACATGTTTCACGCCTGTGTATAGATTCATCCATGGCCCTGGGAAATCGGACTCGCTTGTACGCCACGGAAGCAGAGACTGAAGCAGAGAATAGGAGCAACTCAGGGACTAGCGTATCATCGTGTTTTATTTTGTCGGGAAATGTATTTTGTTACGCCCAGAAATCGATGTACAGCCGGATTACGAGGACGCTGAGCCAAATATCTGGTATCGACGACAGATACTAGGACCAACTTCTTCATATTGCGCTTTAGTGTGGCAATAGCCATAGAAATCTGGCTATAGAATGGCTCAGTGGATATCGAGGGTGTCAACCTGTATAACTCACCAGAGACGCCAACAAAGCACCACCATACCAAACAGCGTAACGCTGCTTCTTGTGAGAGATAACATTGACCTCTACACCAGACGACTGAACGACAATAAGCGATCGCGGAATAGCACTACAGTGAGACGCACCCTGATCAAGCTCTTGCTCGAAATCTCGCTAGCCTCAATCCTCTGATCTACGAGTCGTTTCAAGTCCCGCTTCAAACGTTGGCCAAAGTGGTCAAACATCGTCGATCCTCCAGAGAGAACAATGTTCTGCACCCGTTAGATTAGTGGAGAAAAAGAATGCAGTTCTTACCTTGTACAGCCCTCTTCTGACATCAATTGGTGACTGTTGGATGACACCGTCAACGACCTCTGGGAGTGGAGTCAAGAAGTCGGACGAGTAGATTTCTGGGTTGAAGAATATTTCTGGGGCCAAGAATCTTTCATAGCCTACATCTACGGAATATTTCTGTCGTCATGATTAGAATTGGCTCTCCGCAGGGTAGTGGAGACTTACGCGCTTCGTGACACTATGCTCTCCATCATAGCGGACGAAGTATTTGTATGGCTCTTCGTCGTATTTTCTAAACTCCTTCACGATGTCTTGACAGACATAGCTGTAATCCTCCTTGATCTTGCTGGCCACTCGCAGTTGATCTTCTGGAGGAATCGTTGCTGTTTCTCCACGTTCTCTCATCAGATTTAGTACGAACTGGCTGATGTCACGGCCGGCAATAGGGATGTGCTTGATGGCACTTCCTATCACGTATCCCTCAGCGACAGGAATAACGTGGGTGACGCCATCTCCAGAGTCGATGACGGTTCCAGTCAATGTGCGTTCTCCAGGACGAGCTTGGGCGGACTTGGACGTCCAGGACGCGGCAAGAGCGAGAACCGCCTGGACGGCAATGTAGAGACCCTGGATATTAAAGGTTTCAAAGAAGATCTCAGCCGTCATCTCTCGATTCTCCGGTGGATTCAGCGGTGGTTCAGTCTATTCAGAGTAAGTTGAGTCCGATCTTGGAGAAAGCTCGTGGCATGCTCACCAGAAGAAAGTAATGGTCCTCTGGCTCAGCTCTCAGATATTTGAAGATGCACTGCTCCCAGTATCTTTCCATGTGGTCCCAGTTGTCAATCAGTCCATGACGAATCGGATAGTGAAGGCCATAGGTTTTTGCGTTGGCGACGGCCTCATCTCCAATGTAAAAGTCAAGATCTTCTATTCCACGCTTTGAAGCGAGATTCCCTGGCTTTGCAGGGATAGGAGGTCCGCTACGCGTGCCCGTCGAGGCGACATGCTCTCTGGTGGCGATTGCGGTGGGGAACACGCTATTGATCATCAACAAGTCGAATACAATCCTCATAAATCAAGCTCACAAGGATGGATCCGAGTTTCCTGCAAACCTGGGCTGTATGAGCATCCGCATCGTTCTGTTTTCGAGTCTACGCACCCAATTTTGGAGTATCCAGTTCCATTATCGAGAATAATAGGTGCAAGAAGCGCCATCGTTGCCGTCTCGAGTCCTCTCGAGTTTCAAGATGGGCGTGGCGGCGTGTAGAGTTTGCGACTGTGCAACGTTGACGCCAACCATTTCCGACTCGAGTTCCAGATCTCGCCGTTTCGCTCGTAACGATTTGTTTATAGACTGGAATATTCAGATTCCATACTTTTCTCTCTAGGTCGGCGAGAACCTGACACACCAGTCACTTATTTGGGCTGACTATGAGCAGATTTACTGTTCTTCCCAACTTATCTTCAACCATGTCTAGCTTTGCTGCTCTTATGGCGATGAGCAAAGCCCAGTCAGCAGCCAGCACGACCGGTATTCAGGATGCTCTCGCTCAAAGAAACGCCAAACTGCGTGCAGAACAGGAAGAAGCGGAGCGGCAACGCAAAGCGGAGCAGGCTCGTGAGGCCAAACTACGAGAATTGCGCGCCGAACAGGAGCGGCGGGACAAGGAGAGAGCGGCCGCGCGTGAGGAAGCTCTCCGAGCAAGGGAAAAGGAGGCAGAAGCCCGCCAACAGGAGCAAATGCAGAAGATGTTGGGTAAAGCTAGACATACATTATTCGAGAAGCGCGACAGGGAGGGCGGTGGCAGCCCACGGCGAAAGAAAGCGAGCGACGACGACGATGATGATTCCGAAGGAGGAAAGGCTGGGGTTTTTCTCACAAGGGCCGAAAAGCGCGCCCTCAAGATGGACCCTGACGCTCGTCCTCAGTGGGCTCAGCAACTCGTTGGGACATCCCGACCTGGTTCCAGTTCCAGCGCCAGCAAAACCTCGGTTATCAGTGCGCAAGGATCTCGGTCACCAACCAAATCGAAGAGAAGCGGTCCGACTGACTTCTCCAAGACGCTCGATGCGCCGTCATCTTTGGCGGTTCAAGGGAATCCAAATCTTTCGATCAAGGAGCGCATCAAGGGATCCGACTATTTTACGCCTATAAAGCTCGCCGCTGTTCGCCGTGATACTCGTACTCAAGCCGACTATTTCCAAGAGAAGCGGCTCAAGGCATTGGCAGCGGAGAAAGGGGCGAGTATAGGAGACAAACGGGACCAAGCGGCCACAAAACCAAAGCACAAAGATATCGAACCTGGTAGACTACCGTTCGGGGCTGCGGCCAGCCGGAAACCACTCACCTCTGCGAGCACATCGAGACTGCCATCCACATCCCGTCAAGACTCGCCTGCCGGATCTCGTAAGCGCCCTCGCTCCGAGTCCATTTCTTCATCAGACATGGATCTCGATGCTCCTCGGAAGCGCTCCAAGTCGCAGCCCAAGTTTAACATCTGGCAAATCGTCACTGGCAAGGATCGTAGTCATTATCAGGAAGATGTATTCAGTGACGAAGAGGATGAGGATATGGAAGTCTCCGCTGCAGCCCTTGCAAAGGAGGAAAAGAGAGCGTATGTATGGTTTATTTGCGACGCTTGCCCACGCTGACCGGCCTTGCAGTCTCGCAGCCGCCAAACGAGAGGACCAGCTGGCATTGGAGGAAGAAATGCGTCACGAAGCTGAGAAACGCAGAAAGAAACTCGGTGCGCGATGAGACTGGAACATGTCAGCATTTCTTCCCTGTCCTTCCTCTTTCATTTGGCTTTCTCAAATTGCATGCTTCTTCGCATACTTTCTCAACAAAGACTTTGTACACGTTATATAATTGAGACTGTCGGTGGAACCTATGGTCAGTACTCAGAGGCTGGACTCCCGCCTCCACCTGGCGGGTCAGGATGTTTCCGAATCGGTCATGCAGCATTTTTTAATATAAATAATAGCCATAAGATATGGTAGCACCCTCCATAGTTCGTTAGGTACCCATCATTGTGCGACGACCTGACGAGGTGACCCAACGCTAAGGCGAAGCCAATGTATGCCTATAAACCGATGGGTTTCCTAATCTGAATCCATTTAGGGACTTCAAAAATAAAAAAAACGTGGAATCTCCTCCCAAGCGGGCTCCTCTAGCCATCAAACCGAGCGCCAAGAGAATGGAGGGTTCCCAGCGCAGACGGTCGTCCAAGTCTTCAATTGAATACCTCCTTGCCAGCTCTTGTACTCCTATTCTATCACCGACATCCGCCCTATCACTCTCCTCAAGGTCGAGCAGCTCTCTCGAATCCGTCAGTGACCCCAGCCGGATGGAGACGCCCCCCAATGTCTTCATTCTCCATGGCTCCACAAGGGATAATAGAATTGACATAAACTCTATGGCATCTACGCCAAAAGAGCTTGGGTGGAAGACATCCAGCCTACTCCTTCCAGCAAAGCAACTCTGCTTCTCACCAAACGTGGACGATCGCATGAGGGGATACACACTCATCGTCTCGATCTGCAGGGAAAACTCGCCGCTGGCTCCAATAGAGATACGATGCCTCTGGTCAGCCCTCAATAACCATCTTATCGAACGAGAAAGCCGTGCACTTGACCTTCAGCTCAGTGCTACAAAGCACCTTTTAAAGGCTGCGTCTGGGCTTCCGGAGCAGGTTCAAGTAATCAACCAGGTCATCTCATTCACCTTCAACGACTCGGTCCCAGGTTTCCACGATATTGGTAGGTGGAAATCGAGCATCCGATATGGGGAGCTCCTACTTGGGCTCCTCGACCCTCTTAATTACACATTCACCGAGGCGCAGAGTAGAAATTTATTCTCGTCCCTCGATCGTACAGTGCAGAACTCCCTGCGCAAGATACGTGTCGGAGCCATTTCCCCCAAAGAGCTTGTCTCGATAGGTGCTGTTACTACCAGGTTCCTTCGATTCCTGGATAACGGACTCAGGCACCGTATCATAAGCTCGAGCTGCGTATCTACACTAGTGCAAGCACTATGCCAGTTGCTCGAATTCTACGGCCAGGATGAGCTGAAAACCGAGGTGCAATGTCAACACTCTCGTCCGATTTATTTCGAACTCATCAAGTTAGCAACTAGCATGCTGCAGGACGACTTGTATAGGGAGTCCACATTTTCCACACTGGAAGACATATTACTTCCCAGCGTGAACAGCTTTGATCCCGACCTAGCAAAAGGGGCTTTAACGCTCATTGGCCATTATGTTTGGGACACGATATGGCCTAAAAGGGGGAATAGTAGCCCTCCTGCATCTGAGACACCACTGGAAGTCACCTTGGATGTTGAATGGCTTCTTGACCTGTTGACCAAGGTACCCCTAAAGTGGATGAATCGGACAGGTAGCAACGACATCCTAGAAGTCTTGTGTCGTCTGGTCTGGAAGATCTGTCACCATGGAGGATACGAGTTAAGCTCCACATTGGCTGTGTTCTCTGGAAAGGTCGTCACGGAGATGGGCAGAGTGCTTCAAGAGTTCAGGTCAGCCCCATCCATATACTCTCATCTCGCTCATTCGTAATTCGTCGCGTTAGGTACCCAAACGGAGAGAGACATACTATGAATATCCTGGAGAGTAAGACCGCTCCGCGAGGGGTCCTCGAGGTCCTCGAGTCAATTTTTTGTCTTCCCATGGAAAAAACTACAACAAACCCACGCCTCGACACCATTATGATCGGCTTGGGGACTCATTTCGATGATGGTAGTTTATCCAGTCTCATCACCAGCATGGAAAGGAGACACTGCTTCGATCCCAGTTCTGCCGACTGGTCAATTCACTTAGGGACCCTTCTATCATTCTACAGACACAATATGAGTGGATATTCCAAAAGCCGCAGATCAATCGCATCTTGTGTGGCTTCGCTCTACGACCATCTAGCCGAACTTGAGGATTGCTCCCATCTGGAGATTGTCAAAGATGTCATCGAGTCCTGGGAACTCACGCTTCCAGAAGAGGAGGACCAGGAGATATTAGAATCAGCATTTCACGTCATGTCCGAGGAGATCATTCTCTCCCATGATTCAGAGGGATCATACTCGGAGCGAATCCGAACACTCTGGACCAAACTGGCAATGAAGGAGCAATCTTCCTGTTTCAAACGAGTCTTGGCTATCAAATTCCTCATAATCACCTTTAATCGACTCGCATTCCCATCTCGACGGTCGTTCAAAACCGTTCTGTCGAAAACGGATCAACAACTGTCGGCAGCTGCTCTGGCCACCGCTATTTCATTGTTCCAAGATCTTCTTGCACTCGTCGAGATGACTGAGCACCATGAAGGTAGACTGGTGGCCCGCCTAAACTGCCCCCCAGCTCGAATAGCTATATTACAGTGGCTGCTGAGACTGCGGTCTGGAGCTCGACATCGTATTCATAGCGTGGACGGTGAACTCACGGAGGTTATACCTCTGGCAAAATTTGCTGGTCGATATACGGGACAAGATACGACACAAGGGGCCAATGGAGAGCAGAGACAAGAGCATCTGTCAAGGCGGAGAGATTCGACCTTCAGCCTGAAATCGTCCATCTCATCTGTCTCAAGGAGTAGCCCCGAGCTTCCCGAGGATCACCTCACAAGAAAAGGGCCATTCTGGATGCTTCCAGAGGTCCTTGATCCTCGAATATTCGAAGGGACGCTCTTTCCAACCACTTCAATGTCATCCTACGCGTCGTTCAAGGGGGAGAAGAGAGGCAAATGGCTACCCATTAGCTCATATCTAGCTACTATCATCGAAATCTTACAGTCCGATCCTGACTGGGATATTGTGTCCTTTGTCCTCTGCCATCTCCCTCTTCAACTGGCGAATCAGCACCTATTCTGTGGCCCACGAGTAGACCCTATTATTTGTCGTCTGGTCGTTGCCATTTGCGACGCCATCGACGGGGACAGCTTGTACAAAAGGGTCACCAAGGAGAGGGATATCGGAGTAGGTCAAAATGACGTCAACGCAATACTTTACTCCGCATTGGCAGTGCTATTCAGCTACAAGGAGCGGTTCGCTGCATACTCCAACAACCCTGGCTCTATGTCTCTGCAGCATCGTATCGTTGACACCTTTGTCGCCGGTGTTGGGACTGGTTTGACGACGAGTAGACCGTGTCTCGAGGCACTTTCACTTCTCATTTATGCAATGCCGGAAGCCTTGAAAAGAAGATCGGCAGATATTGTCGAAAAATTATCACGGACGATGACCATTCGTGGAATGGCCGTCCATGTCCTCGAGCTCCTTATTCTCTTGGGATACAACAGGAAGCTATACATCGGTTCTTTCCGAAAGGACGACTACCAGAGGGTATTTGGGGCAGCCTTGATCTACATTGAGGAGCACTACCGAGAACAGAAGGCCACGTATCGTACGAACGATGGCCGGGAGTTGTTCTCGCTCGCTCAACACCTTTTGAACGCATCCTACCTCGTCATTCATATCTGGTTCATGCGTATACGTGTGGAAGATCGGCCGAGTTATATTCCATTCATCACAGACCGACTCATCGCCGCGAATCGAGGCAAAACCCCATTACGAGCAACAACAAAGGTCTGCCTCGATTGGCTAGCTAGATATACGTACGGGAATGCCGACCCAAAGGTCACCCCTTCAATGTTATACCGAACTGTCGTATGCCCTCAAGTCCCGGAAGGGTGGCAATTCAGTGTTCGTCAACCATGGCGCGAAAAGGATGAAAAGGAACAAGAAAATGTCGCGAATTGCAAAGCATGGAAGTTGGGAAGCTCGATTATCACTGTTGCCACCCTCAAGTCTGGTTGGATAAGGATGGTTTGTAGGCGACCATCCTGTCTGGTGGAACTCATCTGTCGTCTGGAGGGAGAAAGGTCACTCAAAGCGGCAGCAAACCTCGTACAGTTTGCGACTCGTGAAACCAATGAGCCAACGAACGGGACTGACAAGGCCATCAAGCAAGTAGGTGTTCCTTTCAGATAAGGGTGTCTTGTCTCAATGCATACAGATACTCGCGACCGCAATTGAGGAACAAAATCATCGAGATGTTGACCTACCAGACGCAATTACTGGTCTGAGTTGGAACTCTTTTGTTGACCTTCCCCCTCGGGATACGCCGGATCCCGCCATTATTACCCCATTCCTTACATCCTATCCATACGATGAGGCTCGAAAACTACGTCGCTTCCCCGATGTGAAAAAGCTTTGGCCTAAGCTCGAGCTTATCGATTCCGCTCCCGTGATTGACACGCACAACGTCGGCGTCGTTTACATCGCACCAGGTCAACAAACAGAGGCGGAAATACTACGTAACTCTCACGGCTCTCCTTCGTACGATCAGTTCATCGAAAAGTTGGGTCGCGTTATCAAGCCAAACGACAATTTGGAAGTATACACTGGAGGTTTACAATCTGCAAAGCATGGAAATTATGCTCTCGCCTGGTGGGATGACATTGGACAGATTCTTTTCCACGTTGCAACCTTCATGCCCTATGTGGACGAAGGGCGCTGGAAAAAGGCGGAGATCGGCAACGACCCGGTCAAGATTATCTGGAACGATGGCGGCAGACCCGTTCCCTTTGGATTAATGCCCAGTCAATTCAATCTGGTCAACATTATCATCGAGCCCCATACGAAACTGCCTCGAGCAGTGTATGAAGGTGGTTGGCCTTGGCATGCCAATTCGTCTTTCAAAGTTTTGCTACAAACAGACCCTCGTCTGCCACACATTACGCCAGTTGGAGACTTCAAAATAGTGGCTTCTGAACACCTTCCTCGTCTGATTCGACACTACTCTCTACTAGCCAGCCTTTACTGTCACGCATATGTGAACACGGGCATGGATGAGGACTTTGTATATCCTCTCAATACGAACTGGCAACAGCGGCTCAGATATATCGACCAGACGGAAAGTTTGCTCGACCCAAAAGTTGACATCAACGAATATAAGCACGGTTTACCGACTACGGACGTGTAGTGTATGTATCATTAGACTTTTGTATACTCCTATGCCGTGTAAATGGTATCGTCATGCCTTCAAGGTTGACTTAGCCTGAGTGGCTGGTCAGTAAACGGCCTTTGAGAGAGTGAAATGAGCCGACCTTGACCAAAGAATGCCGGATTGACATGTCCTCCACCATTACCTCCATAATTACCTCTGCCCATTTGATTCCCGTATCCGCGCCCACCACCACGACCGCCTCGTTGGAAGTTGCCTCCACCCGCGCCCATCATACCCATACCCATGCCCATTCCCATACCACCCATCATATTCGGCATACCACCCATACCCATCATGCCTCCACCAGCGGGGAATCCAGCGGCGCTTTGGTTAAAGCCCCCTCGGTTACCTCCGCCACCCCTCATTCCGCCACCTCCCATTCCTCGGTTTGCATTACCTCTGAAGCCGCCTCGTCCTCCACCGTCGTCCTCCTTCCCCGCATGTGGATCTACCATGCGTCAGTTCTGCGCAAGACTAGACTTCTGAAGCCCCTTCTACCTTTTGGAAGCGTACGGAATGGGTTTCCGAGACTGGAACTTGTCAAGGATGCACTCGCTTTCCGGTTTTGGAACGTGCTATCCCCAGTGAGCTCTAATGAGCAGATTCAAACAGTGTCACTTACTTGTTGTCAAAGAATTCTTTGAGTATTGTCGCGTTTTCATGAGAATGACATTCAATGTAGGCGATTCTGTTCATCGGTCAGTCACCAAAGGGGCTTTGGAGCGATCCTCACCCTTTGCTCTTTCCGTTTACTTTGTGCTCTGAGAACGTGATGTCCTTCAAGCTCAACTCGATGCCGACTTGACTCGCGACGCCGCGTAGGTCTTCGTCGGTGGTCCACTAGCGAGACATATTTAGCAAAAGCACCAACTTGAGAAGCGTATGGCACACCCAATTCAGGTCTCCGAGGTAGAGTGCATCCATTCCACCTGTATTTTGGTTCATGTTCATCTGTCCACCGATATTCGGCGTGGCTTGCCATTGTTGAGGGTTCGCCGGCATAGCATTTCCTTGTCGTTGGATATTGCTACTACCTCGTAGATTTGGGGGCACATTGTTTCCATAGTCACCGTCGTTCTCCTCGTCGGCTCGAGACCGCTTTTCGCCCACCTGAGGCGCGACTGGAAGATCACTCATGGATTGTACAGGCTCCTGAATTAATATACCAGGTTCAAGAACTCATCAGCAGCAGTTCAAACTGAAAACTGTTGGTTAATGAACGCTCACCTCGTCCTGCGCACCCGGCATTTCGTATCCTTCGTCGCCATAAATGTCAAAGTCGTCTTCCGGCATCTCGGTTTTGTCCTAAAAGCTCGCATAAGATGACGGTTTGGTGTTACACTCCCCGACCCGTTGACGAAAACTGAAAAGGAGGGGGCTGGGTTTTGTTCACCCTCACAGGTGAGGCGCGCGCCTGCGTCGTGGATGGCAAGTTGAGAGATGAGATTCAAATCGTTTGCTTGCGAAGTACAAGAGCATCGCGGCCAGCCAGACGGCCGACGTGGGTTACGCAAAACCAGTTGCAACATCGCCAACGCGGACATAAAGCCATACAACAGTCGTTACAGGAATATATCACTTACAAAATTTGTATACAACAGGCAGAAAGGGGACGTGCTCTACCGAAACTCGATGTTGCGGTCGAGAACAAGTTCTGGCAATGGGACTTTGCAACCTTACATCTGACAAACAGTATGATCTGAAGTTACAGAAATAACCAGATTCCATAAACACATAAGCTAGTACATTCCGCCGTAAGCGCCACTCATGGGAGCCGCACCTCCAGGCGGCCCACGCGCAAACTGGTTCGGGTTATATCCAGGTTGCGGTGGTGGATGCCCATACCCAGGCATACCCATTCCTGGCTGACCCATGGCTGGGTTAGGCTGCATCGCGGGGTTATACGACAAACCACCAATGGGTGTATGCTGCTGCATCCCAGGGTACTGAGGCATCATCCCGGGCATCATTCCAGGTTGAGATATAGGCTGCGGGTGCATAGGATATCCTCCTGGGTTCGCCATCGGCTGTCCCATCGGCGCATGATGTCCAACGCCGTTAAGGGGTTGTCCATATTGCGGATATCCACCATGTACCATGGGTCTATTCATCGGTATCCCTCCTGGAATCCCTTGTGGTGGATACCCCCGAGTCGGGCTCGCGTCTATTGCCATTGCTGTATCGTGCGCCGGAGTCATCTGCGCGGGGAGCGGCTGAACATTTGTCTGAAGACTGAGTTGTTCCGGAGGCGGAGTTTTCGGGGGGTCCTCTAATAGCGTCGGATCAAAATACTCTTCCGTGCCAATTTGTACATGATACCTAGCCGTTTGTAGATAGTTTAGGCCCACATCAGTAGACTAGGAATGAGAATACGTACATTTGAGTCGTCACGTCCCACTGGGGCCCCCGCTCGCCTCGTGCGTTGAGTAGCAAGCCGTTCCAGTTGGACGCATCCTCCTACAGTTGCCAAACAGACAGCATAAAGGGTAAATGACTCGAACATTATCCATAATAGCGTAACCATGAGCTCACCAAACCTTGTAGGTCACTCGCAGATACTGGGTCTTGATTTTGGAACACGCGGTTTGACTTCTTTACTTCGGCAGTAACCGCTTTTATAAGAGGTTTAGGGGCAGCAGGCGTGCCATGTCTCGGTACGACTACCGTAATGTTGTGAACGCCACCTGTTCGTTTGCCCATAAGTCGAGGAGAGGTCCAAGTTTTAGATGCTACCATTGCCAACAACAAAAGGTTCGTGAAGGACGTGAAAGAGTTTGATTCTTAGCATTACATTCGAGAAAGATGCGTATACGTAGGTGCAGAAGTCAAACTATGATTGGTGCTGGGATGGACCGGCAGAGCCCGTAGCCTTTCCCTTGTCTTTGAGAGCAGACCGCAGAATCTGCAAAATGTGGTTACAATCGACTACTAACACGAAACTTCGTGTACGCACCGCTTCCATCTCATCCAAATCCGTCGTGGCAATCCGCTCGATCGGTTTCCCCAATGCAGTCTCGATGAAATGCATCTTGTTCCACGTCGCTCTATCGTGAACAAAGTTGATCGACACACCCTTGCGACCGAATCGACCCGTACGGCCTTTGGAGCAATCAGAATCAAGGCCAAATTCGCAAAGAAGAGCGACGTACCAATACGATGCAAATAAGTTTCGACGTCTGGTTCTCCACTTGCCGTCAGTGGCAAATCGTAATTGATGACGAGATTGACTTGAGTAATGTCGATACCACGCGCAATCACATTGGTAGTAATGAGAACTTTTGTCTTGCCGTCTCGGAAGTCATCAATCGTCTGATCACGATCTCCAGCCTGATGACTTCCTGTCAACGAAGTGACTTTGTGGCCTTCTGCTATCATGCGAGCAGCGACGGAATCCGCCGTGTCGCGTCGCTGAACCGAATTATTAGTACATCGCCCATCGAAGAGTGAACATACAGACCTGTACGAAGATAATACTCTGCCCTACCACAAGAAGAGAGTATAGTTGTACGAGAATCTCAAACTTGTGCTTCTCTGAATCGCAATCCAGGTAAAACTGCTTGACGCTGTCGAGAGAGAGTTCCTCCGTCTTGAGCATAATCTCGTTGGCTCTCGGAGCAAACTTGGTCGCAAACGCGCGGACATGCGGGGGAAATGTGGCAGAGAAGAGGAGCGTCTGCACCGTTTTCGGCATACGACTAAACGGTAAATGAGAATTGATACGAAATGTCTCGGAGTACATACTTTTTGACTCGTAGAGTCTGGTCACCCAATGTTCCTTTTTCCAACATGTTATCTGCCTCGTCAAGGACAAAGATTTTAATCGTCTCGGGCTTGATGACCTTTTTGCTAATGAGATCGAGCATCGTGCCCGCTGTACCAATGACAATGTGGGCATTTGGCGAGGGTGGCGTCTCCTTGATGGCGTATCCGGTCGTTACAGTAGTAAACTTGCCCATCTCAGCCACGACCGACATGATCTGTCGGGCAAGCTCTCGAGTCGGCGCAAGACATATAGCCTAGCAGAGTTTAGCAAGAGCAAGTTTTGCCTCGGAACACACACCTGCGTCTCAGCAATGGAGACGTCTACCCGGCTGAGCATGGCCAAAGTGAAAGCTGCCGTTTTTCCCGTTCCAGCTTGCGATTGTGCGATCATGTTCTGAGGTCTAGCTCGTTTAAGTATCACAAAGTTTCTACTTGATACGTTGACGCGTACGGGTTGTTTAACATGAGTGGCAGCGCACGCTCTTGAATCTTTGAGGGCCGAATAAAGCCCATGGAGCGAACGCCCTTTGCCAACTCGGGAGTTCTAAACTGCATGAGCTAGGTGACCAAAGCAATCAAACGCTTACAAGCCGAGCTCATCAAAGGATTTGACGCTGTACAGTGGGGAATTCGGGTCGGCCTGTTGATCCGCCAATGTAATCTTTTACGAGTATTTGGTCAACGTTTCATCTTTTCTGGACGGTACGACTACGCACTTCGACCTCGAATTCGGACTTGAGTAGTCCAATAGGATCCTGAGTGGCTGACTGGCATCAGCTATTGCAATTCGAGATTTTAATGCGTACAACGCACATCCTTCGCTCTCTGTAGGGAGTGCCTTTGCAAGATCGGCGGCGAGAGTCTCTACGGCGCCAGTGGATGGGCCTATTGGAGATGACGAGAGTTGGTTTTAGCGACCCAAATCATGTCTAGAGTGCTTTTTGAGCAACTTACCGACAGAAGTCACGAATCCGTCGTCATCCTTTTGCACGCTCATGGTGGTCGGGGTTCAAGGGGTGGCGGGCGCTCTCAGTGTGTCAAATGATCAATAGACGATGGGTTAAAGAGTGCTTTTGGTATACGACTGCACTACACTATATTGCAAGTAATAAACAGCGGATGCAAGTCGTCTACATGTCTCGACGACGTTAAAGAGCCGAGTATGCCGAGGCAAAGAGTCCATTCGGGACGTTTGTCAAAATGCTGTGGGGGAGACCAAGAGAAGGCAGTTGCTGGAATAGAATAATGGATAATGGTGAATTCCCTCAGTAGAGGAATGCCATGGGAGCCAAGACGGCCATTCCAGCCGCGATACCGACTGACATGGAGAGAGGAGCGCCAGAGTGTGAGCCGTTTCCACTGGTTCCGCCGTTGTTACCGCCAGAACCACCGCTGGTTGCCGTCCCACTTGAGCCGAGACGAATTTGAGCAGCTTGAGCATCGGTAGGATCCCAGAAAGGTCCTGTATAACGGGTGTGAGCGATATACTTTGGTAAACGGTGTGCTTACCTGGGAGGGGCTGGGTAGCATACGGGGGAATGTTCAATCCATTTGTATCGACCGTTGTCGCCACTGTAGCATTTCCATAGTTTGAGCATCCCGTTGCCCACGCGCTCTCCGTGACCCACGAGTCACCCACACGTCCTTTTGGCACCAGGAGCAGGCAGCCATGAGCGAGTAAGCGATACGATTGCACTGGCAATCATTTGAGGGGACTGTAGTTCCTCCTGGGGCACCATACGACGCAGATTCACCCGTAGTGGGATTGGGTGCGCCAAGCGGGGCGACGTTGAAGGTGCCACACTTTGATCCCAGATTGGCCCAGACCTGGCATGGATTCTGACTGTCGCCGTTGTTGGCCCAGTCAGCGTAGACGCACTGGACCGTCGACTGCTGGGCGCGGACAGATGCAGGGAGCGCGGCGAGACTGACGAGGACAGCCGTAACAAACATGGATTTAAAGGTCATTGCTGAAGGATAATTTTCTAGCAAATTTAGAGGGCGGAGAGGGCAGGGTCCAAGTCTTGGAAAAACAGAGTTGGCCAAGTATATAAGCTGCCGCGCTTCGATTCCGCCTAGCAGCGGCAGCTGCATCGCCGACGCCGAGAGCGCCCAATTGAAGCACTGCCATCAACAATTCCACACTGCAAGGAGCAAACACACTCTTCACATCGGGAATAGAAACACAAAAGGGGGGTGTCATCATTAGGAAAGCGGGGAAATAGACTGCAGCACAAGGACCCAAAAAACCGTAGAGAGTGGGGACTGGTCACTACCACATGTACGAGGCAGGAGGAGGCAGATCATCTGGAGACAGGACAGCGTTAGCATTCTGAGACCATGCAAGCAAGGCAGACGGATAATGGGCGGAGAGAGGACACTCGACATGGAGGGACAAATAGAACAAAAGGGGAAGGGCGGACCAACGAGCTTATTGATTACGACATTGTGTAGAATCGTCCGCAGAGTAGTCTTCTTCGTCCTCCCATGCATCTTCGTCGCCGTCACCAAACTAGAAACAAAGGTGAGTCGGCGTAAACGGTAATCACCGAAACCCCGTACCGCTGAAAGGTCACCGGCTTCAAACTTGGCTTCTTCGACCACTGCAGCGGGAATATCCGGCTTACCAGGGGGTAGCAACGCTTTCAGGGCCTGAAACCAGACGGGTCAATCTCCTCTACACGGGTAGCCTCTGAACATACCTGGACGTCGACAGTCTCGAGCCAATCCTCCGTCGGCATCTCGACCTCGAATAAAACGAACAGGTCGCCCTTTTCGACAGGCCCACTCATACTCGCCCGTCGATCCTTTTTCCAAACAGGCATCCCCTCGCCCTTGATGACGACCGTGTCCCCGCTCTTGTAAATCTTCTTTTCGTTTCCCTGTCGCCGACTATCAAACCGGATCCCTCGTCCGTCCAAATGCGTCAAGATGACGCGAGAAAAGCCCAAGAGCGCTTCGGAGAGCGTGATGCGCACATGCGCAAGCAAATCACTCCCAGAACGCTCAAACGACTCGTGTTCCTTTTGCTGGAGGACAAACACGACGTCGCCTGCAGCCATGTCTGGCTCTTGATCCCCTTCACCCACAAGGACGATCCGGTGTCCATCGGGCATACCCGCCTCGATGTTAATCTCGACGCGTTTCCGCTCCTTTCCCACTTTTTCGCCCTTGCACTTCTTACACCTGGGTAGAGAACGTGAGTTTTTGCCAAGTGACTAGGCGGACCAACTTGCCGATCCTTCTCTCGGATGGTCTTTCCAGACCCTTTACATTGTGGGCAGGTGATGCGCGAAAAGCCAACGGTCGCACCCCCTACGGCACGCGTCGACATGATCACACCCTCACCCTCACACCGCGAGCATTGCTTGGGTTTCGTACCAGGCTTCCCGCCAGATCTATGCACCAAAAGTTTAGCTTCAACGCTCAACGCTTCTCAAAACCACGCACCCGCTACACGCATTGCAGACGACGGTCTTCTCCAACTGCATCTTGACCGTCTTTCCGACATAGAGCTCCTCGAGCGTCACCTCGTACGGATTGATCGAATCCTCCCCCCGCCTCCGCCTCCGTGCGCCTCCGGGTCCAAAGCCGGCGAACCCGAACGATGGACCACCACCGCCGCCGAACAGATGCTCAAACAGATCTTCAGGCGACACTCCAGGGCCACCCATCCCACCACCACTGAGTCCGTCGAGACCAAACTGATCGTACATTTCGCGCGTCTGGTCGTCTACCAACACTTCATACCTGCACGGGTCGCCAATTGCCAATAAGTAAGAGCTTGAGAAAGATAGGCCTAGGTGATGTGTACGTACGCTGCGGCAATCTCCTGAAACTTTGCGTGCGCTTCCGGATTATTGGGGTTCTATAGCACGACAAAATGGCTTGGTCAGACCACTTCGCCGAGACGCGTTGGATGTATGCGTACCTTGTCCTGCAAACGAGACACGTATTAGAGTTGTAAAACGCGCGTCATGTCTCGAACAGACTCACCGGATGGTACTGCATGGCCTGCACGATGATTAGAAAACGCGCGCCAGGTGACTGTTGGACGGGCAAACGCGCACCTTTTTCCGATACGCAGCCTTGATTTCAGCTGTGGAAGATGAACACATGCATGAGTTTGCTGTTTTTCGTCGCGAGATAAGAGCTGACTTGTGCTGGCTGACGACTTCACGCCCAACAGTTCATAGAGCGAACCCGACTCCACTGTAGATGACATATTATTATTTAAATCTTCATTTATGGCTTGTGATCTGGACTGACTGCTGAGAATTGGCCAAGTCGCAGGTGTGGTCGGGGGAAAGAAGAGACACGACGCTTTGCGGCGGAACCTAATATTCAACACTTGCCTTTACGTATCTCCTTTCAAGTTTGGCTTTTGGATGTTTGAAGGGTCGACGGTGGCGACTGTATTCTGTCCCCATCACGTCTGCAAATATTCTCAACAGGTATGCCTTTGCCCCGTTATCACTTCGAATGATGCTCTATAACCTTTATCTACATTGTCCAACGCACTTTGTGTCGATTGACGACAATATTCACAACTCTGACCTCTCATTCCGGTCTTTACCTCCAACTTCGTTCTGATATTTCTCTTTTTAGCGCATGAAGACATAAATATGAATTTTTACAGAGACTGTGCTGGCGTATTGACGCGCCTCGCCGAGAAAAAGGGCTCAGTACAAAGTCTGATCAGCACGCTCCCTGAAAAGGATCGTAGACGGGGTGCCGCGCTCATTATCGAGACGTTAAAATGTATGCATCCTTATAATAGATCTATATCTGCATTGACACCATTCAGAAGACCACCCCGTGCTCCTTGAGATCATTCAGACTTCAGGAATTCTCCAACACGAGAAGAAGATTCTAAAGGACAGCAACCTCGTCTTACTGCTCGTGCATGATCTCCTCCTGTCCAAGGGAGGGATTCAAGCTGCCGATGGTCCGATCAAGCAAGCCGTCTTGAAACACAAGACACGCCTCAGTGCCGAGCTCGTCAAAGTCAAAGTCAAACGCGGTGTGACAAAAGTTGAAGACCTCGCTGTGTCGACTGCTGGATCATCCGGTAATGGTCGACGATGGGTCCGTCTTAATACACTCAAGTCGAGTCAGGAGGATATCCTCCGTGCACTGGAAAAGGAAGGATTCACTTACGTGGATGGTGAACATGACCTCTCGGGCAAAGCCTTCATCCTTGACCGACACATTCCGAACCTCGTTGCTATCGCACCGTCTGTTCGGATTCAAGAGTCGACCTTGTTCAATGAGGGAAAGTTGATTATACAGGACAAGGCATCATGCTTTCCGGCATTCGTCTTGGATCCACCTTCGAATCCGAACACTCACGTTATCGACGCGACAGCTGCTCCTGGAAACAAGACCTCGCATCTCAGGTCTGTATTTAACTAAACCTTACACACTCGTCTGATTGATATCCAGCGCACTCATGCAAGGACGAGGCCGGATTACTGCCTTTGAACGAGACCGAAAGCGATTTCAGACGCTGAAGACGATGCTGGAGCGTGCTGGTGCGAGCAACGTTATGCCAAAGAATCAAGATTTCTTGTCTGTGGACCCAAATGATGTCGAGTATGCCAATGTCACGCACATGTACGTTCATCTCCAACTCCACGAGTGATTACTGACGGAATGTTCAAGTCTACTCGACCCATCATGCTCCGGATCAGGAATCGTCAATCGACTGGATCACTTGGTGCAAACAGGTGAGCTCTCTGTGTCGCTCACCGGAAGCGCACTCATCTGTAACAGAGAACGAAGGGGATAGTGAGACAGACAAGCGGCTCGAGAAGCTGGCATCGTTTCAATTAACCATGATCAGACACGCCATGAAATGTAAGAGTTTCGTCGAGACTCGAGTGGAAGCTCAATCATCATCTAGTTCCTTCCCTACGTCGCCTCGTGTACTCAACGTGTAGTATACATGCAAAGGAAAATGAGGAAGTAGTGATTCAAGCACTTGAGTGCGACGAAGCCATACAAGGGGGCTTTCTTCTGGAGGACAGAAGCAAGGTTATCCCCGCCTGGCCTCGGAGGGGTATGCTACCCGAAGGAATTGCCACAGCCTTTGGTAAGTCACGTATAGGTCCCTTTGACTTACGTTGACATGTCGACCCATAGATCCGGGCTCGGTAATCAGGTGCTCTCCAGAGGACGGAACAAATGGTTTCTTCGTATCGTGCTTCATTCGCGACGGCACTGCCTCTGCACCAAGTAAGCGGAAAGCCGAGGCTATGTCAGAGGGCTCAGAAGACGAAGGTCCCAAAGAGCCAGTAGCAGCAAAGAAGAAGCGAAAGAAGCGAAAGGTCTAGTTCTTAGTTGGAGAGCCGTACTTAGGGAGCACTCGATTTGTAAGGGCAAGGAGATATATGTGAAGACACGACGATATACATCTGGACTGCATCTATGAGCCATCCATCCAAGGTCGAGTCAAGCCGAGAGAGTAGAGGAGAGAGAAGAGAGACGAGAGAAAAGGCATAGAGGTGAATCGGTTTCGGTTTCGGTTTTCGGTTTCGGAAAGGGGGTTTGAGGGCGAAGGGGAATGTGCTATGCTACAGTAATGTCAAGCCAAAGGGATCCGGAGTCGATAAAGAGGTCCCTTTGCAGGGGAATCGAAGAGGAACGAAATAGTGCGAATGTATATGTAATTCGTCGTCTGATCGTAAGGTCATGATGTGAATGTCGTTACGAGTGTGTCGCTTAGCAGCCAGGGCACTTGTGGGCTTCGCGGCTCTTCGCATCGGGCACCCAGGTCTTGCAGGCGGCGCAGAGACCACCGGTAGCGAGCTGGAAGTGCTCGAAGATGTGCTGCATGAGCGATGCCTCGGTCGGGAGGTGTGCAGTGCAGCCGTGGAAGTCGCAGGGGAGGGCCTGGCCGGAGCGCACACTGCGCTTGGTTTCCATTGCACGACGGGCCTAAAAGAAACCGAGTAAGCAACTTGACCAGATTTCGGTGCGAAAAGAGTGACTTACAGCGACGACTGCGTACTGCTCGCGGCGCATGCTCTGGTGGAAGAAGTATGGGTCCTGTGCGCTCATCTGGGCAACGGGAGGCATGACCGCGGGCATGTCAGGGTCCTCCTCTGGGCATTGTCCACCGGGACCAGGGCACATATGGCGGTCCTTTGCACTCCAGTTCTCGAACCAGTTGGAGCAAACGGGGCAGCAGGTGCCACTCGAGGCAATCTCGTGGAGGTGAAGTTCGATGACAAGATTGCCAAACGTGTTGAGGACGTTGGTGCATCCCTTTTGGCTGCAGGCGAGGACATTCTTGCGTGGCGAGGCGTTGTAGATGGCGACAGCGCGATTGTACTGGGAAAATAATGAGAAATCGCAACTCGAAGTTGTAGTCATAAGAAACCTACCGATTTCACATATTGCGCCTGGTCGCGGGTGAGAGCTTGGCCGGGCACGAATTGTGCGGGGGAAAGCATGTGTTGCTGCGCGTGCGAGACACGGCGAGGATAGTGGTCGAGGATTGCGTACTTCTGCGAACCAGCGGGGGCACCAGGGTAGGCAGTGTAGGCAGGTGGAGGAGCGTAGTAGGCCATGTCGTCCGAGTTTTGAGTCGTGAAGGAGTAGTTGATACAGAAACGCTAAGGCTACAAGCGACGAGAGGAGGAGAGGAGAGGAGGAGAGGCTCGAAAGGCTGATGAACTCTGCAAGCCTTCGTCAGTGGTTTTATAGTCACATATTTTGGATTGTCAGCCTTTGCAGAGGAACAATAGCGCGAAATTTGAATTGAACGGTCGGCGCCTGGTGATCGAAGACGAGCTTGCCTCAACCTCCATTGCTGGACAAAGAAGGCAACTCCGGGAAAAAGTCTGATAAATTCACTATAGATACAATATGATTATAAGACTCTTTCTGCATGTTTTTAAGACTACCGGACCTCATCCAAGTTCTCGGTCGACATTTCTGCAGTCCGACTGAATTGCTTGCCAGGTATCCTATTGTCCGCCACTCGTGGTAACACCCCCTGGATTCACTTGCCACGCATTCACTTCAATTCGATCCCATTATCTCGCCACGTCTTTTCTCTAACGACAAAATATTCCCTCTTGAATACTCCGATTGTCGAACAACAACCATTGTCCCACCGACGTAGCGCTTTCCTTTCCTGTTCAAGGGCCCTTGCCGCATATGGCACAGATATGGTTGGTTTCCTCTCCTCCTCGATCGACATATTCAATCTCTATTTCTTTCGCCAATCATGATGCCCGACGTCGGCCCAGCTACACCAAAGTGATACTCGTCGGTTAAAACCATGTATTCCCGTTCACACTACCCCAAACTGCAACCACACCAGAGTCCTAGGCTCCTTTCCCTATATGATTCCAGCAATATGGTGCCGAAAATATGGTGCGCAGATCTCAGATTGATCCAATATCGGCTATGCCCCACCGCGGCGCGGTCTAGGGGACCCCATTGTCGCTTGCTAGCTGCACACTAATTCATATCACATACCGGCAAATCAGTCTCCTAACCCTTGCGAACGCCGACGCTTCCTGCCGTGCAATGCACCGCTGCCCGGAATGGCAACTCGAACCCACCCAATCGAATCAATTTGGCTTTGAATAGTATATGAACTATGGCAAACATAGCGGATAATAGCCCCTGCCATGTTATGGCGCGGATAATGGTCACTTCTATACTCGGGCCGGGTCAATGGTCCCTGTCGAGTACCTCGAGTTGCTTTGTCCCATATTTGGTTTCGTTCCATGCGGTATTCACTCCCTTTTGTCGCACATGAAAGTCGGACGACCGACCCCCGTTACCTACTTCAAAGTCAAATTGAACAATGTTATTGTCTCGAGGAGCCTAATACAGACATTTATCAGCTAGTTCCTGACCAGGGCTCCGATTTATGGGCTAACCCTCGATGGCAAATGTTCGTTTTTGAGTGATGTAACATCTCGCTAGTCTGGTATTACATGTGCATATAATTAATCGCTTGCTATGAGCCACACCCGTTGAGCCGGGAATCAGTAGATGGAGCAACTCGCTACCCATTATATTCGCCACAATGTCTCGCGGGCATCCGCTCTCCAACCGTCCATACCATCTTTAGAGCCCTTGAGACGATATATCACATTGATTTCTTTATGGGTATCTCCGAGTCGACTTTGTGGCAATGGCTAGTTAAGCGAGACCAGGAGTCTGTCGCGGCTGCAAGACACACGATAACTGAGAGTCATATCTACGCAATCATCTATCTGGAGTATATATAACCAATCTAGCAGGTATAAACAGGTCATAACCTATTGTATATCGATGCCTAACGGCGGTGTTGGGTCAATTCTATTATCAATCTTCACAATATCCTTTGATAAAGCTCTTTAGTTGAAGTCCACATGTCCCCATGTCGGGTCCTGCGGACAATCAAAGGTCAGCCACGCGTTGTTTACCATAGATTGCGGGAACCTGATAGGATACAGTCTGATATGAAATAGTTTCGAATGTACAGATTGGTTCAAATCGTGAGGTGTATGAACCGGGCGCTTTGATGAGGGAGCCTGCCGGATATCTCTTCATAGCACTTCCTTCGAATCTTCAAACAGATCCCACAGGCTCCCAATCGAAATTAAAATAATTGATGATGCGACGAATATCCACAAGACCGGCTTTGCGACGACGACGTTCATTGTTTGCCTCTCTGCAAGATATCTCGGGGAGCCCCATCCTCTATCAGCCACATCAGTATTAAGTCGCGACCGGTATCTACGCATGCATCAGAAGTTGCCGCGTATCCAACTGCCTGCATTTGACAAACGCTGCCGCCCCGCCTCAGTTTGGACATTCACTCCCATACGCAAAGAACCAGCCACCCCCATTCATAACTTCAATTTCAAAAGATCTCTCGGGGTGTCAGATTCACGCGTTTTCGCATCTGTACAGCGGACCAACTTCCACTCTCCGCCGGAACTCAAGCATGGGCGAAAGTCACTCGGACTATACAATGAGCATCCAATGCTATGCAAGATGAGTGGTGACTTTGGCCTCGTGCTCTATGTTCGCCTTGATCAGATGCTGAGGGGACTCGAAGGAAAGACGCCCGACAACCAGAAGTGGCAAGTGAAACCCGATGAGCCCTGAACTGACTACACTCACCCAGACATCGCTACGTGTCAGAAGCGAAGAAAAACCGGGCACTCTCGGACCATTTTCTAGGATTCTGCGAGTCGTTATGTCGGCCTCTGGCTTGGTGCTGACAGCTGGCCGTCCTCACGACATATACCGAGTTACTCTCCTGAAGGAGTACTATCTCTTCATCAAGAAATCTCTTCATGGTACAGTAGGAGAGGTAGTCACTGGCAATGCTGCTCGATTGGGAAGAGACGATTGGACTGCATTTGGCACACCTCAACTCCTTCAACTGAAACAGCTTCCTACGTATACGAAAGTGATCCTCAAATTGATTCTCTCTGTGTGGTCAAACTCCTTTGCACCGCACTTCTCCAATAGAAAACATCATTTAGGCGACTCCTATGATGTCGATCGACGGGCCATTGAACTTGGATACTGTATTGATCATTGCAAGTTATCTCGAGCTTCAAGAGCTCGTGATGGTGTCACAGGCAAGATCTAACCACGCCTCGCCTTTATTTATTTGACCTGGATATAGACATGTAGACTCTGGTACTTCATATCTCGACAATACGGACAATTTTGGACGAACGTAGTACGGCGTTTGCCTCCTGCGCACCTACAAAAGACGTTATCGTGGTCAGACTACGCCCTAGAAGACATTCGTCGAGCATCCATAAAAACCGGCCGTGCTGCGCATACGTGGAATACGGCTAGTGTCATTCGACCTACAAGGGCAATTCGTCTAGACACTTCAAACCGTGAGCCAAGGGAGACATGCAACATTATCTTTACTGATAGCCCGGTAGGCAGCGTGCATGTGGTCCCGGGAACGAGATGGATGTTATCACTACAACCCGAGGATCGCTCTTCAGTCGGCGACTTCCTTCCCATCGAGGTCTACGATCTTCAGACCGGATGTTTAGTCGGAGCCGCAAATTCGAAGTATACCTCGCGCGAGCTCAAGGATTTGCCGGATTGGCAAGTCAGCGTCTCAATATCTCCAACGGAGATGGTGGTTTGTTTGCAAGACTACTACGCGTGCGTCAATCGTATCCTGTTGTGGGAAGCTAACATTCCCGGAAAGAAATTCGTCTGTACATCACATCTATCAAATCTCTGTCGACTCGGAGAGGCTCAGCATCACTTGTGACCTCTTACGCCGTCTGGACACCACAGATGCGACAGCCACTCTATCATCTGACGGCCGTTTCATCTGTCTGATTGATCACGGTTACGTACAAGTTCATTATCTAGCCTCGGATATAAACTCGCAAGCACTAGCGTGGCAGCAATACTTTGTGTGTGACTAATTCTTCGACCATATTTTCACTGACCCGTCCTAGGAATCCGACGATGATACGTATTCTGTCTTTTATGGCGATTGCCTACTCGTATTTGTGGACGAGAGTCGCCTCTGTGTCCTTCACCTTCCCACAATGCTACACTATTGGCCCACCAAGTTTCCAGCGCTGGACGACGCACTGCCAACACCACCTAGTCATTTAATTCACAAAATTGGTCCAGTAAATTCGGGAGAGACTGCGCGTTCATTGTACAACGGCTCGAACACCAGTCAATTTTGGCATAAAGTATCCATTCTTTGTCCCGAGAACGAGAATGACGAGTGGAAACGTTCCCCTGAACGTACTCTTGATCTGATCTACACGAAGCAAGATGCAACGTTCCTATACACGCTGAGCGGACGTGTACCCGTCCCTGGGAATCGTGAAGGTCTAACAGCTTGCTGGGGGGTGTTCAAGGCTAATCCGGAGGGTTGAACAGGTTCAAGCGATCTCGCACGTACCCACTGGGGTACAGCGGTGGACGACTCCGATAACTCACCTCCGCCGCTATACCTGAATGACCTCCATGCCATTCGTACAGAAATCCCAGTCATGACGGCACTCAGTGGCTCTCGTCTTCACGGCCTACAAACATCCCAATTCTTACTGAGTTGCCGGACAATCACCCGATCCGAGGAGAAAGATATGACAGGTATTCATCGACACTTTTTGCACGTCATAGGAATCGACAAACCTGGGGAGATGAGGCCTATTGCAGCATTAGACAGGTTCGAAGATGACATGGCCCATAGCAAGATCATTGGAATAGATGAGTCCATTGGCCTCATTCTCATGTCAGATCCGATAGACTACACACGTAGACTCGCCGTTTGGCTTTAGGCACGAATTATGTATAGGGTGTTTAGCCTGGCAATACCATAGTATTGTCGGGGTGCGTGCACCCACTGACCCCGTTTCTTTACGACATCGGTCGGGAAGGTAATGAATATACACTATTCACGGAAGTATACAGGAATGTAAATAGGCGAATGAGCGGCCGACGGTGATTATACAGGGGTTTCTATTATAATTTGGGATTTCCGGATTGCGATTAGGTATTGATTGTACCTCGGCAGGGGATCCAGCCACGAGTACTCGTACTGGTCATAAAACTCCTGCGGTTCCCTGTCTTCCTCCACCCCGGCCAAAGCAGGCGCCAGCCAACGAACATCTAAAACATCCGGTCGTCGATGCGTCTTCTCTTGCATGTTCTTCTCTTTCCAGGATTTTGTGGGTTCGTCTCGGAACGTGACGATATGTGAGCCATTGCTCAGGATTTTCTCCCTGATTACATCCTTTGGGTCGGCTTGGGCTGCGAGTTCTTCGAGAAACTCCCACTCAGGAGGCACCTCGCCCTTTTCATCCTGTGGCCAGTCGGCGTCCTTGATCTCCCAATCTTCTCGTTCAAGAATCCTCATTCGAGCTAGGGCGCCCTGTTTCCGCTTCTTGAGCCATAAGCCCGAAACGACATGGAGGATAATCAGGCGCTCCAAATTGGGGCACAAGGTGACGAGGTTGGCGCAAAACGTTGCCCAGTCGTTGCGCATAAACACCGGTTGGCAAAGAATTTCCTTGAGATGAGGTTTGAGGATGTCAATGAACGGAGGTGACCCGTTGATGTCGCCGTATGCGTATTCGCCGTTCAGTCGAAGGACTTCAGGCGCGACTAGGGGAGTGTCCGTCGTCCCTGCTGGCGGCGCGAAGAGGACACGCTTCATGGACAAGGTGGGTGCGCATGTTTCCATTGGCCAGGAAATCGTCGTCCATTGATCCATGTGGATTGACCAGTCGTCCTCGGGGAATAGGTCCGTTGGCATATCGATGTCAAAGCCGCTGTCAATTGCAATGGATATAAAGTCGAGTGAAGGGATAGAGATGAGAGTGGGAATCTCCTTGAGAACGTGGCTCTTCTCATGTTCCCCAGCTATACAGATTTGAAGTGCACGGAGGGTGGGTTTGAGGCGGGAGAAGGCGTCACGTAGTCGCTGTGTCTGATTTTTGCGAACGAAGAGCGTGTTGACCTCTGACCCAATTCGGAGGCGTAGCTCGACGAGGTATGGAGTCAAGCCCAGGAGTTTATCAAGCTTTAGGAGTGGAACACCAAGTTTACTGTTCGAGATGGACACGTCCATAACCCGAACAAATGAACGGAGTTGGAGTCCGCGAGTCTTACCGTTCAACCCAGCCTCAAAGGACCGGGCCTGGTCGTCCCAGAGGAGTAGAGCTGACCGGTAGACGTAGCGTTGAGAAGGAAGTGTCCAGTGGGAATTGATGAGGGAATACTGGGCGAAGAATCTTCTGAAGCATTCTGGACGAAATTCAGAATCCCAAGCAGTCGAATGCAGGTTCCAGAGGTGATGGAGAATGTAATGGATGATGTCTTCGTCCAGAAAGGCAGTCATTGGGCCTCTTGTCGTCGAAATGTCTACGTCTCCGTCTGTGTTTATATCCAAAGCGTCCATGACCGTCAGGAGCGTCGTCGGGAGCGTCGTCTCGCTTATCGTCGAGTCAGGAAACGCCATTATAGGTGTGAATAGGAATATGTCTAAGTGTTTGGCAACGAGTAATGGACGGCGGGAACAAGAGCGGAGTTTGAGTTGTAGTTGGTCAAGGTCAAGGTGAAACTTGCCGCCTATTGACCCCGAGAAGGCTCTATAGGAATCCATGAGCTCCAGACTATGTGGCTCAAATCAAGGTCTTCTTGACCTCCTGAGGTGGTGCCAGTCCATCTCTGCTGGTTGGAACAATTTTTCATTAACTATCAGGCGTAACTTGAAACGAATGAATCCATATATAAGATTTTCAGTCTATTTCGTTTGCGTCTTCAGATAATCCTCACTCACCGAAACATGGAGCCGACCTAGTCGACGAACCACAGCTACGGAAGCCCCAGCATTACAGTGGATGACGTAATAAGATTATGTGATCTCTATATATCCTCGTAAGGGCACAGTAGCAACCCTGCTTCCTGATCACGATGCCGACCTATGGAAGGACCACTTATTTGGACTTGGATACTGGATACATCACCCTATTCGGTTCCGAAACTATGTACCACCGTTTCAGCGTCTTGAGGAATAGTCTGCGACACCGATTACTCGATAACGGACCACATTGCTGTCTGCGTAGCCGCGAGAAATCGAACAGCAATGTTGTCAAACGCCATAGTCTTCTCCAAGTAACATGTGGCAAAAACCGAGGCGTACTAGTGTTCGAAATGGCGTCGCTGTCCACTGCAAACGGCAGCTGAACAAATTTTACGACGTTATTCCGCCGTGATTCCGCCTATTTTAGCATAGAATGCCCATCTTCGCTCTCATTTTGCACTTGTACAATCCCCACACTTCCGCCGTCACTGGTGTGGCAAAACGTATGGCGCACGCGATGAAGAGCGTGCATTCTCTCAACCGAGACGTGTTAATAATAATCGCTGAGCATCTCAGTGTGGCAGATCTGGTTGCAATGTCGCAGGTATGGGACCCTTACTCAACTCTGGGTAGTTCTAACGGCTCAAATAGACGACTCGCTCATGGCATTCTCTTTCTCGTCAAGAATCTTCATTCTGGAGATATGCACGCGAGGATATCTCAACCGTAGTATTCAAACGAATCGCTCCATTGCCCAAATACTCTGCAGAAGAAATACGGGCGGCCGCGATCGAAGCGCTGAGGGTCCAGAGTAAATGGGAAAAGTCCCCTATAATCAAAATAAAACAAGGGAGCCGTATTGATGTCACTAACAGTGAGACCTGGTTGCCGGCTTGCCTTAGACATGATGGCTAAATGAGCGACAGAAACAATCCACTTCGTCCCAGGAACGCGTTGGATGCTCTGCACCAAGTTTCTGCCCTACTCACCCTCCCTGATTACGAGTTTGTCATTCGAATTCTACGACCTCAAGAGTGGTCAGTTGTCCGGCATTGTGGATATTGAACTCGAAGACATCTACAATACCCTCGAGCTTCAGATTCTGACATCTCTTGCGCTCTCCCCTGCGGAGATTCTGCTCGCCGTACGGCGCCAAAGACAACGGCGAGTCGGTCCCTATGACCAGTGTACCATCCCTGACTGGACTTCACCAGGGAATCGGGTAGCGATGATACAGTTTACTACGTTCGAAGGATACATTTGTCGCAAGATAATCACAACCTTGACGACATTAGATTTTCAGTCGAAGAGGTTCTCACCTTCGTCAGCGAATTTCAATATGCCAGTGGTATATTCTCTCCCGATGGGAGGCTCTTCGTCATAGAGAGTAATGGTCAAATTGACATCTATGATCTTCAAACCCTTAATCGATGGATGTTCTCGTGGTATCTAGTAAGTCGGCCTATGAAAGCAGTTCTTGTTGCTTATTGTGTAGCCCAAGTATCGCGAAATCCCCTACTTCCGTCATAAGATACAGTTGGCTGCCTCTGAAGACCTCCTCGTCATGTTCAATAGGTCAACTCACGATGTAGTCGCACTACATATCCCGACGCTGACACGCGTACTGCAAAAGCAAGACACTTCGATTCGTTTCTGCTTCCAGAAGCGACATACATATCGCGTTCCAATGCGCGCAGTATGTGATTGTTTGTAAGATGAGCTAACATTGACGATTACCAGGGTCATATAGATCAATATCAGCTACTTACTGGGCGGCCTGATGAAGGGCTGACTCCATCCACTCGAAAAATAGACTTTTTGTGTTGCAAGAGAGAAACAAACGAAATTATGCTGAAAGCATTTCAAGGTTTCCTCAATATTGACAGCGAAGAAGGTATTATCTACTTCCCTCCAAACCCTCAACTCTGATCATGTAGCCAGACTTCATTGACACTGCATCGCCAGAAAAGGCCAGAAAGGTTTTGAAGAAGCCAGTGGAACACTATGATGGCCCACATTCACCATGCTACCTACAAAATATCTATCCACAAGAACCCGGGGTCATTGTGCACGCACCTCTCAAATCCCAAGATCATCTGCGGTACTGCCGAAATATGTCCATCTATGGACGTATCGTCGTGTTTTATGAAGCACAGTGCCTCAATACCGCAGATATGCGTCATCTGCATATTGTCGGAGTGGACACAGCCAAGCGTAGGCGAGGCATTCAGGTGATCGGGAAAGATGCAGACTCCTTAGTTCGCCACGGTTTCACAAGAATTGACGAAGAAACTGGCTTGGTTTTTATTTGGGATCGAAGCGGTAATTGTTCTGAGATCACAGTACTGTGGCTACAGTAAATGCTGCGAATACCGTCTAGACACCTTCCGATTCAGAATATACACCAGTTTCATTTCATCTTTGAGCTCCACGGATCATAGTGATTGCACTCTCATCCTCCTGTCCGAGCCCTCGACTGATATAACCAACGCAGATTAAGCGACTTCGCTCGCACTACTCGTTGTGGGCGATTGTGTCTTTGGGGGCGACGCCGTTTCAACCGTGATTCTCAGAGAAACTGATTTGAATGGTCGCCCTATCATTCAATCGCTTTGCTATTTCCCTTGCCACATGATGAATTAGCGCCGCGTTGGACACATACAAGAATAAGAAGACCAGAAATACGTTTTCATAGGTAATCATAATGCACTCAACCCCCAGATTATCGAAAACCGCCATTGTAATCGCCAATAGGTGGGGTTCATTGCCCATCACCAGACCATAGAAGCGAATTTTAAAGTACCGTTTATGTAACGATCTCGGGATAATGTACTTTAGGTTCAACAAAGACATATGTCCGCGCCCGCGCGCGCCTACCAAGCCACCGGCAAGGAACTAAAGGCGCGCCTACACAAGGGGATGAGCGTTCATTAATGTACTTCCGATCCACGACTTCTAGTGGCAGAGATGACCGCCACGAGCCTGTCCCGGATTCCCTTGCCACTCTCAAGCAGATATCTAGGCCAAACTCTCCAGCGCTAGTTGTCGTAGAAAACGTCGCATCATTTCAGAGAGGACATTGTACATACACATTCGTCTAAAAACATGACTTTTGCCGTTGGAGGAATAATTTAAGCCCTGGTGATTCCAGCTACACCTTTTCTTCTACCTTTTCGCTCTTTTCCTCTGGGGCTGAAACCTCTTTTGATTTGCCCTTTTCCGAGGTAGGTGAAGTAGGAGAAACCGGTACGGCCGCTGCCGCAGCTGCAGCCTCGGCAGCCTCTTCTGCCTCCATCGCCAACTTGCCACGTTCAATCATATTCCAATTGCGCACAAAGAGGGAGAATACGAGCGCAAGTCCCATTGCTGGTATCCCAAACAAAAACGTCGCGTCGAGACCCTTGATGTACGCGTCTATGACGGGTCTTTGTATCTCCGGCTGGAGGCTGAACACGACGGTCACAGAAGCACGGACGGCATCGATGACATCCGATGGGATTGGAATTTGCGAGTTATCCAACCCGTGATGGAGTTCGTTGCCAAAGAGGGCACCCGTGATCGATGTACCACAGACAGCACCAAGATACTGGAAGAAGATTTGAAGCGAGGTGGCGAGTGGGATAATGTCGGGTCGATGTCCCCACTCTGCCTGAATTGCGAGGAGAGGACATTGGAAGATGAAGCCGATTCCGAGTCCGAGGAAGATTTGATACCCTATGAGTTTGGCATTTGAAGTGTCAAACTTGATAGTATAGAGGAGTGCAGAGGCGGCGATGGCGACGAGCGGGCCGAGGATCATGAAAGGCCAATACCGTCCAGTCCGTTTGGCGACAGCGCCAGAGCCAAGACTGCCTACTACCATGGAGATGACATAGGGTAGAATGTCCACGCCGGATTGGGATGCGCTACGGCCTTTGGCTTGGTAGAAGAAGGGGAGGTGGTAAATGGCGTTGAGGTGGGTGGCCATGACGAAGAACATGGCAAATCCTGCGGCCAACTGGGTAGACAAGGTGGTGAGTAAATGATGCTAATATTGGATGGGAATCGCTGACCTGCGTGCGGTTGAACAGCATGTGAATGGGCATCAAGGCCCTTTCCTTGCCGAGCCAATGCTCCCACAGTCCAAAGATAATAAATAAAGCACCCGACTGCACATGTACGATCAGTAACCGGGTTCTCACATAAGCAAACAGCCTGCGAAAGTACGTACGAGCACGAAGAGGGCGATGACGAGTTTATCATTCCACGGCTTTAAACGGAGGGTAATTCAGTCAGACGGAATGTATAGGAATTTGATGGAGACGGATATACCTTGGTAAGACCTCCCCATTGAAGTGGCATGATAAGGGTGGTGACCATTCCCAGCGAGAGAATGCCACCAATCCAGTCGAGGCTGAGCCACTGCTTGAGCAGAGGTATCTTGGGTGCACCTTCCACGGTTCCGATTGGTGGGTGGACGGGAAGCAAGAGGAACACGCTGAGAACACTCTGCACGCAACGTTTGCCTGTCAATGAGACTGCTCGCCTCTTTTGGTCATGCAGACTCACAAATGCACCGAGTGGAAGATTGATCCAAAAACACCATCTCCAGGTGAGTTTGTCCGTGAATTCGCCTAGGGAATTGGATAACGAGTTGATGGGTGGTACGAGCAAAGGCCGAAATGAGACATACCTCCGATAACTGGTCCCAATGTTGCTGCGAAACCAAAGCAAGCACCGAATGTCGCCATTAGGATGGGCCGCACACGAAGCTCTGCAATCTCCGCGAGCAAAGTGAGCCCAGAGATGAAGCCACCACTTCCACCGACGCCTGTTATGCTCCATAAGTCTTTATCGACTAGCTCCTTTTTTCTCTCACCTTGTAACGCTCTCCCAAAGATCAGGACGGGCATCGAGGGAGCGACGGCGCAGATGAGCGAACCGATTTCAAAGACTGGAATCGAATAGAGGAAGACCCATTTGGATGGAACGATGCGCAAGACACGTCCGAAAAAGAGGAGGAGGCCGGCTTGGGTGACTGCAGGGCCGCGACGCGTATTTAATTACGCGGGATGCGACATGTCAATCGAAACAAAACCTGGGGAGAACAAACGAAAAAGAAAGGATGCGTACGAAAGTAGGATGAGACGACCCAGCTGACTTCCTTGAGCGCGTTAAACTGGCTGGCGAGTTTTGGCATGGCGGTTGCGACAATGGACTGGTCGAGTGCGACAAGGAAAACAGCCGTCATTAGACCGGAATGAACTGCGATGAGTTTTTTGCCGTGGAGGAATTTATCCGGTTTGGTCGTAGCCTCTAACACGTCCGTCATCGTACCACCGTTATCTGCCCCGTTTGCACCCTTTTCGATATCCTTGACTGAAGCTGTTTTGCTCGACTCTCTGATAGAAGGAGCAGCGGTTGGGAGGGCGTTGCTCGTTGATGCGTCGTGCTCGTCATGCGAGACCCGAGAGGCGTTGTGGCTCTTTGGTTTATCGTCAAGTTTCTCGCTCACGAGCGTGTGATGGGAGATGTTCGGTGTTTCTGCCATGGGCAAAGTGATCTCTGGGCGGGGAATATCTGGAGGAGGGAAATGAAAAGGGGGAGAGAGGAGAAGGACGGGGGGAGGAGGAGATGAACCGACGGTTGGGTGATTATAGGCCTGATCATATATATCACAAACAGCCGGCTGATGCGGGTAACAGGAAGCGGTGAGCCTGGAGTCAATCCTATACTGGGCGTGTGTATAACTTGAAAGCGGGTGAACTGGAACTCTGAACAATTTAGAGTTGGCCCAGCTGCTCCCCAACTTCTCTTCCCATCGGTCTGGATCACCGCTCCCAGGGTTAGTCCGCACGGCTGCCGACTCCTCAATGTCCCGACAACTTCAAGCCCTCGGGTCAGACCTCTTTCCGGGCCACGTTGCGCCTTTTCAGCTGTCAGGCCCCTTTGGACTGGATCGACACACCAGTTTTGGTAAAAGATGCTCTCGATTTGGAGATGGGACGACAAATTCACGAATACCAAGAGACTCTCGTGCCCAGACGATGAAGGGGGACGGGGTGCGAACAGGGAACTCGTCTCCCATCTGCGAGCACACGCCACGCCTCTACTCAATATACTTGGACACATCGCCACGCACAAAATCCAGTGGATCATAGTGAGCTTCTGGGACAACGCCGGCTTGTTTGAGTATGCTGTGTCGCGTCAGTTCCCAGCCAATTTATAGCAGTTCTATACTCTACTTGAGAGTGCGTGTGATCATGCCCAGGTCGAGCACAGCCAAGTCGCCTTCTCGTGGATAACCGACAGTGTCCATCCACTCGCGCACGTCCATCTCCTTGTAGCCAAACGTATTCATCAGATATTGAACATTCTCTTCCTCTTCTTTGCTTCCTTTGACTGTCTTTGCCTTTTCGGTCACTGCTTGGCCATTGATCTCGACACCCACGGGTGGCGCAGTGTGCAACCCTCGGGAGAACGCATGGACATGCGCACCGAGAGAAGTAAGAAATGCACCGATGGCTTCGGATTCGACACTTGCATGAGCGGCGATCATCCAACTAGGCCATGGCGTAGGTACTGAACCGATCTACGCCAGCTGTCAGCAAAACAAACACCCGGGCATATCGGGACAGATGGACGGCGAGGGTAAGACCAATTGATACAGTCGAGGACGCCAAGGAACATTGACACACACAAATCTGACAAGCCCTTTATCCGCATATGGCTTTGTCGTAAACCTCGAGGCAAAAGATAAGAGCCCTGGAACCCGAAAAGTGCGGAGTATCATACCATTCCCACATGAATGCACTCGTACTTCCATCGTTGACAGACGCAATGAGGCCGTCAATGTTATTGTTCACTAACACGTTCATTAGAGTCTATGAGTTCACAGTAAACGTACCTTGGTAATCAAAGAGTTCCACCTTGGTCTTTTCGAGATCCGTGTACCATTCTGTCGTCGGTCAGTTGAGCGGGTGTGGACGAAGAGGTCCAACCTTGTTGCATGGCCATGACAGCCGCCATCGTTTGACTTCCACTATATGCTGTCAATTCTACTCTTTGACGCGATACCACGCTTCACTCACCTCCCGACTCGCGAGATTCCAATTTTCGTCCCTCTCAACTGTGAAATCTCTGTGTATTCCGAGTCTTTGCCCACAATCACAGCCCTATCCAGATCTCAGTACGTTTCGACGTCTAAAAAGGTGCGCACCAGTTGAGCGGAGTAGTGACATAGGATCCGACTAGACGATAGTTTCCTTCGCCACGCTGGATACCCGCCAATAACGCTTCAGTGAGTGCGATTCCAATGTCGATGGAGCCGTCTTTAAAGGCAGAGATGATCTGTCCAGTGCCCCCTGAGCGTTCAATCATTCGCATCAGTAGACTGAGAACCGAGACGATATATATGAACAGACGAACCAGGACATTCGACGAGTTTGATCGTCCTTCCACCATCTGCTGCGGCAAATTGCAATAACGGCGAGGAAAAGTGTTCACGAACTTTGTCCAATGTGAGGATTGTACTATCAGGTTTAGGACGTACTGTAACCAATTCTGAGCACCATCGATGCAGTCGAGTATCAGCGGCGTAGACAAGGAGCAAAAAGTCGGCGTAATGGCCTACAAGAAAGAAGGGGGTATGCTGCCCTCAAAAAAAGCAAAAAGCAAATGTCGCAATCCGGGTTCGAACCGGAGACCTACTGTGTGTTAGACAGTTGTGATAACCAACTACACCATCGCGACTTTGTTGAAGTATTTGGTTTACTCGATAATATAAAACGTTGAATTGCTATCTCCCCACGATCGTTGATATATCGGGACCGGTAAACGCTGTGCGTGCGAGAGTAAGGATATGATCAGCCATATGCTTCACGGCTTCCTCATATTATCAGGAACAGTGCGGGATACAGGGTCTCAACAAAGCCGCAAACCGGTGTCTACCTCCCGCTTTCATGCCTGTCCCATATCGCCATCAATGCCGACTTCGGCTCCCACCCTGATATAAGTGCTGGCGCCGTCGCACGGCCCTAGTTCCCCTGCTTTGGACCCGCTCCTCCATCCAGGCCAACGAAACCCGCAATGGATCTCATCAAACAGCTCATAGATGCTCGAAAGGACGTAGCTACCTCGCGGCTCACCACTGGTACGCTTTATTTACCCATTGCCTCCTGCTCTTTCTTACTCAAAATACCCTCTACGCAAAGTCGCATCGCTCTGTCTATTCATCTACGACTGGATTCTCGTCTTGGACGACGAACGACGGTTATTCCGCACATCCAGATTCTCGCTGGGCAAATCCCTCTATTATTTCGTTCGTCCAAGCCCGTTGTCCCCTGCTGGTGCCAAGACTCTTATACGTGCCAGATCCGTCTCCTCAGCTTGTCTAGTCTGACGCTGATGATGTATCGTACGTACTTTCCGTTTGATATCAAATCCCCTCTCACATGCCAACAGAAATATCGGATCTCCGCAAGCCGCTGTCACCTAAAGTGAGTTTTTGATCCAACCCTATCAGTTGCCCTCTGACCCGCTTCCTTAGTTGTATCCACTATTTCATATACGCGATAGTCCCCGCAATTCTCACACGTCGTGCCTAGTTGCCGTGCTTACACCTGGACCTGGCCCACGCTCTTTACCATTCTCGTCTTTTCATGCTACTGTGCGGATCAGTCGCTTCTTCGATCACAAAAACTCTAATTTCATGATGCAGGGATGCTCACGCTCAGATTAATCGCGCTCTACCGTTCGCAGCTGTGGGTCGTCTGGGGCTTCTACACGCTCCTCATTACGGCGTTTGGTATCACGCTATGGCTTCAAATTAGAACGCAGCTCCCATTCAGCGGTACGTGCGGTATCGACGTCTTGCCTTCTTATTCGGCCTTTGGCGCCCCCCTCGTTTCATTTACAAGCTCCGTGGCAGTTTCAAGGCTGAAACAAGGTGACTGACGACTACTTTCATAGACTTGATCACATACATCCCCGAAGTCGGACTATGTGGCACGTTTGCGACCGGACCAGACTCGACTCCAGCGTTCTACCCTCCGTTTGTGCTCGAGACGCTGCTGACGCTCATCACGGCATACCGTGCTTGGTGTGATTACCGTCAGCAATCGGATAGACGGTGGCTGCCGCTCCTTGTCGTCTTGTACAGAGGTGCGTTTCCTCACCCTGTTCTCAACAGAGATTGATGGGTTTGCTAGACGGTGCGATATTCTATCTCATTATCGTCTCTGTAAGAGCATGGAATATCTACATTGTGCGTCGGCTCTCCTCTCTCCGAACACCACTCATATCTCTGGCATATAGTTCCTCACGCAACCCAAAATTAAAATGTTCCTCGCCATAAGGTGAGAGCATTTCAATGGTGTCGGAAAGTTTGCGTGCTAATCAGTATGGGGACAGCATCATGTGGGCCGCATTTACAACGCTCACGACGCGGATGTACCTCAACCTATGCGAAGCGGCGGGCCGGAATCGCTCAGAGCTGCCGACGGAGATGACGGGGATGAGCCGAACATGGCAAGTTGCGAGCAAGCCAAGGCGGAAATTGGTCCGTGCCTCTCCTCTCTCTCGTCTCTTTCTCTTTCTCTGATGACTTTTCCCTCCCCAGCACGACCCTACGCTCACGGATATTCTCAATGCCGACGAAGTACGCACCGTCCCCGAGGATGGCTGGCACCTCGCGTCTGCACCGACAATTAAGTTATGATTCCTTGACACATTCATGTACTACAGAGGAGGCGGGTTGTATAGACGGAAGGCTTGACGGGATCTGCGGAACGCGTCCGATGAACTCGGCGCAAAGTTGTTCAAGCCGCTGCTGACCTAGAAGACTTGGCAGGTCGGGCGTGGCGTGAGACGATACGACTCTAAAAGGTGTTGATACAAAAGAGGTCTCTGTGATACGTGAGGTAAGCAGTTGCCAGCAACGAAATGAGCACAGATCGACACAAGAAGTCGTCAACGCGCTCGTTGCCTTCCTACATCGATGCTACGAGGTAAACCTGAAATTCAAAGGGAGATCTTGATCCTCGCCATGACCTCAATTTTACCAAACTGCCTGCGCACAAGGTTCTGCCGATCAATGAATGGGCCAGAGCGCTACACAGTGGACATTTCTCAGGTCCAGGCCACGTCAAGGTTTGTATTCCTGCACTGACGACGAAACACAGAGGATATCGAAAATCCCTCGAGGAAGAGCCCTTGACAGTCACCAGGGCCGACTGGCGGCCAGTGTGGATGTGCCGGCCCCAAAGAGCCAGGCTGCTAGAACTGAAAAAACTACAATATGACAGATCGAATACGCAGGAATAGTCTACGATAATTGATTCTGAGACGCAGAACGCTGCCCCGACGGCGCACCGGCAACGAGGGAAGGCTGAACGGGTCAATTCGGTGTTGAGTCCCAGCGCGTAGCCGTAACTCTCGGACTTTTGAGTTGTCCTCCTTATAAACCACTTTGAATCTTGTGTGTTACAACTTTTTCCCTCCCACGTTTCCTCATTATCTCTCCCTCGTTGCTCTCCCCTCCCTCCCCCCACTCCCCGTCAAGCTGGCACTGGTGCCCCAGCCGGCGGACTAAGCCATGGTGTCCATCCTAGACCAACTCATCGATGCCCGCAAGGATATTCAGCTCTCGAGGTACCTCACTAGTGCGCAGCCTTCCAATTCGACTCGGCTCGTTAGCTCATGGGGCTGACCGCGGATCTACAGTCATGTCACTGGCGATCATAACTTACGATTGGGTACTCGGGTTCAGTAATGAGCTTATGCTCTTCAGCAAGTCTCGCTTCTCGTTGGGCAAAATATTGTACTACTTTGTGAGCACCCCAGTGACCGTGCAAGAGTTGCGCTGAGAGGGAATAAAGATCCGCTTTCTCAGTTTCTTTGGATTGTCGTTGATGACATATCGTTTGTCTCTCCCCATTCGTGAGGCAACCGTCGCTGACCCCGCGCAGACATTTCGAACTTTCGATCCGATTTTTCCCGCTCGGTGGGCATCTCCTCTCTTTACATGGTTGGCACTCACAGCTCGTAGATGTGTGTCATCTTCACCTGGGTCTGGCCTCTCACCCTCAGCTTCATGATGTTCCTCTGCTACTGTACGTCTCCCGTCTTTCCCCAGCAGGGTAGCTAAGTTGGCTCTAGGGCTATTAACCCTTAGACTCATTGCCTTGTATCGTTCAAAATCTCTCGTCGTCTATGGCTCGTACGCCATGCTTTGTCTCTCCTTTACTGCCACAGCCATTTGCGTCGTGCGCGTTCAGCTAACCTACACCAGTGCGTACACTTCTTTTCTTAGTCACTTGCTGACAGATTACCCGTAGAACTTGTGTTTTATATTGAGCCACTCGAGATATGCGGATTGCTCAGCCACGGACGTGATATTGCCACCGCGTTTTATCCGTCCTTAATCTTTGAAACCACTTTGACGGTGGTGACTGCTTACCGTGCATGGGGTGACGTCCGAGGGCAAGCCGGTCAACAACTCGTCCCGTTACTCGTTGTTCTCTATCGAGGTAAACCATTTTCTATACCGAGCTGTATCTGGTCTAACGATGTATAGATGGTGCAATATTCTATTTTATCATTGTCGCCGTACGCGCGTGGAACATTTACATCGTGGGTTGGCTTCTCTCACCCGTGTGCGTATTGTTGACTGTTGACGGGTGTCATCGACAGTTCCTCACACAACCTTTGACGACAATGTACCTCGCCATAAGGTACGCTCGCATTCTCACACCCCCCCCCCATCCCAACGGTCCCGCTGCATGTCCGGGATGGATGTACTCACCGGTATCACAGTGTCATGTGGGCGGCGTTCACCATCCTCACAACGAGAGCGTACCTGAACCTGTGTGAAGCTGCCATCGTCCGCCAGCCAGAGGCAGCCGCAGTCGCGACCGTCATGACCGTCCTCAGCCACAACCACAGCTACTCACAATCCCACCCGCCACAGCAGTACAGCTCACACTACAATCACGTAACCTCCTCCGCCAGCCATCACATCTCGGTAAGTCCCGTCTTTTATTTTGAGAAGGGGGATCTGGTATTGATGACATTTTGCCTTGGTTTAGGGTCACCATCAGGTGGACGAATCATTCGAATTGAATGGGGCATCTATTCCGGCTTACCACTCGACTCACCCGGCGGTTCTGCGCAAGCTGAGAAGCCTGTAAACCGGACGGGTGGGCTGATCCCGGATCCCCGTTAATCAGAACCATCCCCGAAACGTTTCAGAATCGGGATTTGTGGATGATTCTTGTCTAGTGGGCTTGGAAAATGCCCAGTCTGATTGAACCGAAATGGACACCAGTTTGTGAATCGAGCAAATGTACCAGTCTCGACACAATGTACCACGGCTGCGTGCTAGCTCCCTAGAGCAGCATACGTGTAGAACGCCACGACCAGTTGGCAATCCTATCCCTGTTAGATAGTACTCGGATTTGTAATAGATGCAGCGCCAGGCTATGCGCTAAGGATCCTAGGCTGGTTGAGATTGCAAAGGTGTCCGACTTTGTCATGATACAGTCTGTTATTCCAGGAAGATGGAGAAATAAGTTAGAGTACTCATCCTTGAAAGGCCGTCCCCGCCTTGCTGGTTTCGGCCCTTCCACCACTCGCAAACCCGGTTCCTGAGGGAACGATGAGCGAGGTACATAGGAGGAGGGTGGACCAACCTTCTCTTACCAGCTCTATGATCTCCTTTGATGCAAGCTTCTTATCACAGACAACACATTGAGACGAGGGTTTGACGAGCGAGTCAGTGCATGTCTTGCATACGACATGGTGGCACGGTTTCATTACTAGGAGGATGGATCAGTTGGATAAAGTCTCAAAAGAGCTCAGCCCCGTACGGAAGATTCTAGTCGTATTCGAGAGTTCCTTTTGGCACGAAGGGCAAATGCACGTCTGCTTGGAATTGGATTCTTTGCTAGAGGACGCAGTAAAGCTAAACGAGACGGGCGTCAAGTGTTTCATTCTGCTAAGTTGTCAGAGATGAAGGGTCGGCATATATGAAGACTGACAACAATGGATGCGCTGGATCCGACGCGTTGCACATTGTCTGCATCTTGATTTCGTTCGAGGGAGGAAGCGCGATTTGCGACTCCGGGGTCAGAGAGGGCAGCCAGAATGCCGGTAGTTTTGCTTTTCGCGCCTCGTTCTAGCAAGGCATAAGGGCTGTGCTTTTGTATAGATCTTGGGTATACCTGTTCAATCTCCAGCTGACGAACGGCTTCGTCTTCCGCCTCTTTTGCAAGCTTTTTGGCAGCCTCGGCATCGAATTCAAACTTTCGTTTCTTTGCTGCTGGCAAGTCTTTTGGTATTTAGCGGTCTGTGTACGGAGTAGAGGATCAGGTATACCTTCATCCTTTTTGGACTCTTCGCGGTCCTTGCGCTTGCCAAAGAGCGAGCTTGTACCTCCAGTGAGAATGCGTTCACGTGCCCTGAGTCGTACTTCTTCTTTAGCCTTTTCCTCTTCAGCTCTGAGGGCCTCGATTTCGTCGCGCTTTCGCTGGTGAGCCTCACGTTGGAGCAAGAGGTCCTTTACGACGCATTCTTTACAGTAGAGATGACCCTTTGAGCATGCGACGGGATTTATGGCCGTGGCGAGACAGAGGCTGCATGCGTCAAATGGCCTATGCGAATTGGAGCCTAGGAGTGCGCGCTGAGTGCCGTAGAGAGCAGTTTGTTTGAGTTTTTGGTGTTCTGCATAAGAGAATACGGACGAGGCCGTGTTATTCTTGGAATGCCTCGTCATGGCAGATTCCAAACTTGGTCCCTGCCAGACTTACAAAGTCTGGCTTTGCCATCACGCAGTCCACTCGTTCATCTCCTTCTCCGCCTCCAACGCCCATTCGTGAACAGCATCATGCGACAAGGAGCTCGACAATGAGCAGACGGCGCCGACGGTCGACTGTCCGGGGATTGTCGAGGCCCGCGGTCCAGGATTACTGGAGCACAAGCTACAACGCCAGCGCATCCTCGTCACATCACAGTCTTGTTACAGAAGACAGCAGTACGTTTGACGACAGCGCAGACGATGACAATGGTAGCCTTGTTATTGTCAATATTCCGCAAAAGCTCAGCGAATCCCCGCATGTCGTCAGGAGTGAATCCCCCGTAGTCATACAAGAGTCTCCTGTCGCTCCACATGCCGTCCAGGAGCGCAGCGCCACGCATACAAGAAGTGTGTCGACGATCCGTCACTCGCACTCGACACACGTCCATAGAAAACAAGTAAACCTCCTCCCAAAATCATTTACATTTGCACCCTCCATTCCCAGTTGGAGCGCACAGGTCGACGTCCGCAAGTTGTGCGAACACGTTATTCTATTCACCGCAGCCGCCATCACCCTCGTCAAGTTTTCTCTGTTGCCGCATGAGCACTGGATCGTGAGAGGTGCTTCCCGTTGCCGTCGGATGAATACTCGCTAATACTCTTTGCAGAGCTCGGGACACTTACCGTCGTTTCTGCGCTTTACATGATCGCCACGCGTCCCCGCTGCAAGCTCCCACAAGTGGTCCCTCATGTAGAGCAGGGCCCCCGTACAAGACATGTTTCCCCACCCCCCGTCAAGGAGGAATCGTCCCAGTCACTCCTATGGATGACGACTCCAAAAGACTATCGGTGAGCTCATCCATGACGCTCACTGCTCTAGAATTTGACCCTGTGGGTAGAAGTGATGCCGACGACGGCGTATTAACCGCCCTGCTTCTCGGACCGATCACCGCAGCCAGCATGCTGTACGCAACCATCCTTACAGACATCTCTGACGGTCCATACTATCCAGCAGGATGGCTCGTTGACCCTCCACTCTACCTCTCAAAATCCCCTCATAGACTGACGCCCCGAGAGGCGCTTCTCAATAGCCGCAGAAGCCTCGTACAATTCTCCACACTTTGTGCATTTGTACTTCTTACGCACCTGTGTACCTCGAACATTACCACGATTCGACCCAAACACGACGACCCCAAAGATGGAGAACGAAGAATGAAACGAGGTCTACGCTCCTGGGCGTTTGTCGGCTACGCCATATCAATATCTGCTATATCAGTCCTGTTCCATGTCGCTTGTGATGCTATGGAACTAGCAATTTGGAAAGGTGCGTTCCTTACTCTGCCATCTTTTTCCCGTGCTTACGTCCGTGTTAGATCTTTCTTATTTCGACGTGGCCGTGATATCTTCTTTCTATCAGTTTGCTGTCTATGTCATGATTCGACTTTCTCATGGCGGGTTTACCTTGGGTGAAGTTGGCTTGGTCGGAATTGGGACAACTGCCCTGTTTATGGAAGTAATAAATCTGACAATCGCAAAAGTACGCTCCTTCTATCCCTTGATATAGTGCTCATTCGTCTAGATATGGCCCATCGCCACTCCATACATCAAAACGACGCGCTACCCAACGCCGTTACTCATATACCAACTCTCCCTTGTTTCCGGATCCATCTCCATTGGCTTCATGCTCTCTCCCCTCCTTGTTCTTTCACGCCACATCTCCAAAGTCCCGACACATCGTCTCCAACGCACTTCGGATAAACGACATACAAAGCCAGTAGAAAGAGAGACTCAAAGAAAGGCACTCTCCATTTCGTTCTTCCTCTTTTCGCTTGTCATCATCTTTGGCCTCATTGGATTCTGGGCTCAGTGGTGCCTAGGCGGGAAGAATCCCTGGATATGGATTCTCCTGTGGCTGACCCAAGGCAAGACTAAATGGCTCCGACCAGCCATGCTCGTCTACTGGGCTGCCCTAGGCTCATTTAGCGTCGGCGCATGGGGACGACAACTCTCTCGCTCGAGACGCTACCACGCGAGCAACATGGCAATTCACGGTACTGGTATCCCACCCGACCCGGCCTTTGCATCGAGCGAACTCCCTCCTGCGCCCTCGACGCCGACAATGGCGAATGGATTCGCCCATGTCGCGACGGATCTTCTCGACGCGGCGGATCGACGCGTGCCGACACTTAGCTTGAACGCGAGGCGCAAGAGTTTTCATGCATTGGCGATCTTCATGTTTATGCCTGGGATTATTCTCGATGTATGTCGGCTATTCTCATTATATCCTACCGGAGCTGAACACCATGTAGCCTGCATTTACCCATTTCTGTCTGAGCGCAGCATTTGCGCTCTTTGTCTTTGCAGAGTACATTCGATACTTTGCGCTTTGGCCTTTTGGACGCATCCTCCACATCTTTCTCAACGAATTTATCGACTCCAAGGACAGTGGCTCGGCGATTCTCAGCCACTTTTATCTCCTGACCGGCTTTGCAAACTCGTTGTGGCTCGAAGGGTAAGTTCATGCCCTATTTGGGTACCTTGATTGACACTGTATAGGCCATGGAGATTGCTCGAGTTTACTGGTGCACTTTCCCTTGGAATCGGCGACGCCATGGCGTCCATTATCGGACGAAGACGAGGAAGGACGCGGTGGATGGACGGAAACCCCAAGACTGTCGAGGGTACACTCGCCTTTCTCGTCAGCGTCCTCGCGTCCAACATCGTCTTGCGTCTTGTCGGCGTCGTCGAACCGTTTTCGCTTTGGAGATATACACTTGTCCTCGGCGCCGGCTGTTTATTAGAGGCAGTCTCGAACCAAAATGATAACCTCACCATTCCCCTATTCATTTGGAGCATGACGGTTCTTTCAGATGTTGTACGCTAGATCCCATCCTCGCATATAGAGCTTTGATTATACAGCGTTACCATACATAGAGCACATGCTCTCGCCAAAGAACCCAGAGAAATTACTTTTTCAACCGGCAAATGCAAACGCCATTGCGCCGTAAAGTCCATCTTCTCGTCCAAGCATTCCATCGCCGTGCAGAACCTCCATTTTACGCGCGTGCCATCCAACTGCCGTGCTCACATTTCCACCGCTCTCCGAGAGTGCTTCCAAGCCCTTGCGGAGTGGGTGATCCGAGGTGAGATTGCGCTTGAAAATGGCACCCTTTCCACCAATTTCCCCATTCGCATTCGCATACTCTCCATTAGCCACAGTCGAAGAGACCTTAGAGCTCGCGTTTGTGCTCGTCATGATCGCGTCCTCGTCGCCCACCTCTGCGCACCACCCACAGCTCGTATCGACGTACCATCCTCGCGCGCCTTTACTCCTTATCACACGCCATGAGCCCGCTCCGGATCCGAGTGCGGTCAGGATGTGTGGGCTGAGCTCGATAACGCGCAGTTTAGTCGGGGCTTGGGGATACTTTGTCGGTTCCTTTGCTGGCGTTGTCGTGTTGGTGGTCGTCATGATCGTGGGGATATTGGTGGGAGACGTGGGTGGACTCGTTGGGTAAGGGAGGAGGAACGATGCCAGGACACCTTTTGCTTGTAGACTAAACGGTACCGTGGTAAGTTGACCGATGAGCATGTTGTGCACTGCGATTGTACTTTGACGAATTGGTGTTGTTGGCGATAGCTCCGGAGACGTCGAGCTGAGGGTGATAATCTCGACGTTTGGAGCCTTTTCTCTGAGGAACGTTGCAATCGATGTCAAAGGAAGTTCAGTAATGAAGGAGAGGCCAAAGGATCGTAGTGACGGTTGCGGGGGTATGGTGTCGAGGAGAGAGGGCGTGAGTGGATGAGAGGATAGGTCGAAGTAGGTCAGTCGACCATTTTGGATGCATGGTGCATTTTTCAGGATCGCTTCAAGCTCCGTCTCCGAGATAGGGAAAGGACAAGTGACATCTCCAAAGAGTGAGAGATGCTCCAGCTCCGCCACACACTTGCCGTCGAGGAGGAAATCCTTCACTGCACCCCCAGTGAGGCGCGTACACCTCCCCAAGCTGAGTGAAACTAGCCTGATAGTGTCGGATTTGGCAAGGTCGTACAACAAGTCCGATTCGCAGCGTGTGCCGGAGAGGTCGAGGTGCGTGAGCGAGGGGAACGCGAGGACAAAGCGCGAGAGGATGGGTGCCGACACGGACGAAACCGAACGTAAACAAAGTCTCTTTAGCCTAGGGAACAAGATTGCCGTGTCTTCCTCTTCCTCGAAACGAACCCGACCTCGAGTCATCTCCTCGGGTTGCAGCGTTTGGCGTGGGCGGTCGGGCGTCATGAGATACATGATGGTGAATTCTGTGAGTGCCTTGACGAATACGGCACTCACACAGCCGCATAGATCGAGCGCTACGAGAGACTGAGCATCTTGGCGTCGGTGCCAGTCGTACGGTCCAGGCTCTTGCTCTTCCGGGCTCGGATTACGTCCTCGGCTCGGTTGCCGTTGTTGCTCCCTCAAAGGTCGGCCGCGGAATAATAATTCTGCCAAGACGGGAAAGGTGAGCGCCCCATCCATGTACTCTGTTGCGCCAAATGTAACGAGGTTGGGCATTTCCTACCCTAAATTAGCAAAATAACAACTTCAGTCTTAGGAAGTCACCTTGAGGGCGAGGTGCAATCGCTCGCCAGTGACAAAACGTGAGTGGACACCTTCGCCTACGGAGCGACGAAGGCCGACTGGGAAAAGCTTAGTAGATGAAGAACAATTAGATATGTACGTACTCGTCCTAAAGTGGTTAAAGTCTAGATGAAGGATGTATCGGCCGGGCCGCGAGTCTTGCGGCATTTGTACTATTGGACGTTTACCATTCGCTCATCCTTGTTATAGAACTTGACTCACCATAGACATCAGGACGGACAGACTCAACGACACTTCTAGTTGCGTTGCTGACAGCGCGGATGACTCTCCATCTTCCGGGGCTCTTGCTGTGCCTTCGTGCATCCATGCCACCAGGTCGGGAGCTCGAGATGCTCCGATGACGGGCGTCGATACTTCGGTGACGAGGACGCATGGGGCTTGCGTCGCGAGACTCTGGAGGTGTAAGGACTTCGGGAGGAAGCGGCCCATCTCTCTCCAATCGTTCTCGAATAATGGCGCGGAGTTTCCAGAGGGCCTCTGGTGTCGTCATTGTCAGAGTCGTTACATAATAGCGAGTAAATATGCGTACCTCTGTCAAGTTCTTTTGTGGGACTGGTCGCGGCAAAGACGTAGGATGCGGCTTCGCTAAGGGACTGCTCTACCAAGTTCGCGGCTTCTTCATCGACAATCTCTTCGCCACCGGTAATCTCCTCTACGAGAGCGATCCATGTTCTTGGTAGCCTGATTTCGACGCGTCGCCAGACATATTCGCGGGTGGCTTTGTAGAATGCCCGGGAGACCCGCGAGAGATTTGTGAGGGTGAGTCTTGCGACGGGCTCTGGCCAGTTTGTTGGTGGATATGATGAAGGGAGAGTTGTAGGTGCTGGTAACGTAAATACGGTCGGATGGATTACCGGGTCGAGAGAGCTGAGGGGTGCGGGGGAGGCCGAGTGATAAACCGCGGCACAGATGGCGTTGAGGACTAGATGGCGTAGAGCGTCATTAACATTTACAAGGAGTTATTACTTGTGTGCTTGCTCACCTTCGACGGGGTATTCGGTGGGCATTTTGGAAATGTTGGGCGGGGCTGCTCAAAGTCGCCGGTCCTAAATACTCGCAGCTGAGAAGAAGTCGACCCTGAGCTCTGCTAACAACGTGGGTGACGTGAACGCGCAGTCACGCGCTCGTTCCCAGTTTGTTCGGAAGATTGGGACGGGAGCAAGAGACGGACCGGTGATCTAGAAGTGATTAGAATTCGAGATGATATTATTCTAGTTTGATCTCTGTCTTTGCCAATGGCAAGTCCGACGATGCAGGAGACAAACCCACAATCTTGATCCTTGACCACATCATGGCCACAGTCCACGAAACCCTCGAGGCTTCCACAAGGAAGAACACCATCCTCAAATCGCACGGTCGTCTGCCTTGGTAGCGCACACGTCAATCCACAACATGCCAAAGTGACCAGCTTAGACAGGTATAACGAGTCGGGAGCTCCTCTATGCGATGCATTCGTAATCGGGATTGCTGGTGGAAGTGCAAGTGGAAAAGCAAGTCTCCCCACATTCTACAAGCCTTCAACTGACTAGCCCTGGTTTGTCTCTTGTCTGGTGATCTAAAACGTGTCCAGACACACGTTGCACACGAGATTGTGCGCCAACTCGGCGCGATTCCCTCCGTGGTCATCATGTCTCAGGTGTGTACAATTCATCTCTCAGCCAAAAGGGGTGCGGCCCACTAGAACGCCGTACTCGACCCTGAGCACGACAGCGTTTTAGACAGAGACAACTCACGTGCGTGTTTCCAGGACAGCTTCTACAAGTGGAACTCACCCGAGCAAATCGCCCTCGCCTTTGCAAACGAAAAGGATTTCGATCACCCGGACTCTTTAGACCTTGACCTCTTTGCCAAAGTACGCCATTCTGCGCTCACATCACGTCAAACTCAACCATTCACTTAGTGTTTGCGTGATCTCAAACGCAATAGGCAAACCAATGTTCCCGTGTATTCATTCTCGTTGCACCAGCGCTTGGACGAAACCCAGTACCTCTATGGGGCAGCCATTATCATCGTCGAGGGTATCTTAGCATTGCACGATTCAGAACTCAGAAATCTATATGACCTCAAGGTTTGCTCTGCTCTTCACCCACCATCCCATTCTCATCGTGGTTTTTAGCTCTTCGTTCAATGCGATTCCGACTTGATGCTCGCTCGTCGCATCCGACGCGACGTCGCAGAACGTGGTCGGGACGTAAACGGTGTCATTGACCAGTACCTTCGATTCGTCAAGCCTTCATTTGACAACTTTGTCCAACCAAGTTCACGGTATGCAGACGTCATTTTGCCACCCAAGGAGAATATGGTAGGTCTGCCAACATCCCTGGACTCTACTTACAGTTGATAGGAAGGCATCAACCTCGTCGTCGAATACATTCGCCGCAAACTCGCTGAGCGAAGCTCTAATCTACGAGAAAGGATGGCCCTTACCGAACGGCTGCTGAGCCATACATCGACACCCGTCCCGGCATCTTCAGTAAAATACGATACCTCTATCGAGTCAATGCAAAGGGCTGCTGAAGGTCTTGGTGTGCAGCTACTCCCGCAGACGCCGCAAGTCAGAGGAATCTATACGCTGCTCAGAGATGAAAAGTGCAGCAAGGAAGATTTCATCTTCTACGCAGATCGACTTGCAACCATTTTGGTGGAAAAGGCAATGGAGGCACTGCCCTTTGAGAAATCTGAGACTACAACGCCGGTGGAAGAGCGTGTCGTAGGGCAGAGGTTGGCAGCAAAAGTATGTCCCCGTGTAATATACGACACTGAATAACACCTGTGTCTAGGAGGTCTGCGGAGTAACCATTATACGATGGTAAATGTGGCCCCTTCTATATCGTATGCCGGAGCTCATGCTTATTCAGGGGTGGACCGTTGGAACGTGGTCTGCAACGGGTCCTAAGAGACATTCCCCTTGGCTCTCTGCTAATACAACCGGAACCAAACACGAGTGAACCACTTTTGATGCACTGCATGCTTCCTGCCTGTGTGCGTGAACGACATCGAGCAGAGGAGGCATGGGTAATCGTATTGGGGTCTCAGGTATGTCTTCACCCCGTCATCACTTTCGTCAATCCTGCTGTCTTGTGACTCCCGCAGCGGTACCCTCGCCACCCCACTTTGCCGGGTGGGGAGACCCGTGTCGCCGTGTTTGCCCAGTCTTTTCTCCCACACTAAAATCGTCTCACATTGGTTTTGATCACCGAATTAGATTGGGACCGGTTCGACGGCATTTATGACAATTCGGATCTTGCTCGACCACGGGGTCCGTGAGGACAGGATCATTTTTTTGACCTTTCTCATTGCGCGTGTCGGTGGGATTGCCGTTGTCAGACGTGCGTTCCCAAAGGTGCGCATCATCACGGGTGCTGTGGACAACGAGGTCAAAGAGATTTGGCGAATGGACGGTGGTGGCGAAGGCGTCAAAGGGCAAGGAAAGGGTCGGAAGGATTGGAAGATTGAGCCGGGATTAGGTGATATCGGTATGTCATATCCTCGTACCGTTCCCTCTTACTGATGCGACTGTAGAGAGCCGTTATTTCTGAACTGTTATAGGTTTCCAAAATGGATATATGGAGAATACATCTATTCGTGGGGATTTCCGGTCGTATCAATCTTAGTCAGGCCTGTGATGTTCACAGCTCAAAGGGGGCCATTACCAGCACCCACCTCGTGCTCTGGCGGCGCAATCCCCTACTCCGGGAGGAGCATCCGATTGAATTATGTATCTGACGTATGAGAAGCATCTTATACCGCAGAGTAATCTTGTTGGTGGGGGAATCAGGCTCTGACAACTTGGCGAGACAACGCTTACAGGCACGGCGAACAATGTAACTATCTTTACCGAAGGTGCGTCCTTCTCGAGAGCTATGACGACCAGAGAATGGAGATTGACCTGTCCGAGCCCAAGAAGAAGAGAGTACCAAGGGTTTTCTCGGCTAGCTGTGTGTACGATGGGTTCAATTTCCAGACCTGAAGATAACGAACTTAGATCGAAGCCGCATCTAGTCTGGTGTAGGCACGTTCCGGAGCCGACGTCCCAGTTTTGTCACATTGTCGTGAAGTCGGGCCATTCTGGCGAGGAAAGATAGTGTCCTGCTGGCCTTTGGGTGTTTGGCTTACTCCGTTGTGTCCTTCTCTTGTGCCTGTAGATACTCGATGAAAGTCCAAGATATATATGTGGAACAAAGTTCACCACGCACGGGAGCAGAAGTAACTCAAGTCGGCAGGGAAGAATCTAAAGATTTCATACATAGATAATAAATATGGATACACTATTATCTCCATCGCACTCGGGTGGCGACGAGCCAAGCAACGACGACGGTCGCCATCTCGAACACCATGTAAGGAAATCTGGCTCCGAAGAGTAGTGCAGTGAGTGCCAGCAGTAAGAATGACGCATATGTCACCCTTTTCCTCCAATTTAAGCTCTCCCGCTCTAGGCAGCGGCCAGAAGCAGTCACTTCTCCCAACAGTAGCCAAGGTAGAACCACAATAACAGAGTGGTCGCCATCAAACGGTACAGTATACCCGGCAGTTTGCAACGTTCGAACCCACACGACAAGGATTGGTGCAGCAAAGGGTAGGGCCAGCCATATGAGAAGCACAAGGAGGTGAAAATTCTGAGCACGTCGTATTTCCTGTTTTCGAAGGCCTTCTGGAGTGGGTGAAGAGGTTGCCGAATCTTCCGCTTTTGGACTTGATTCAGCCGCAATTTTGGGGGGTGCGGAGCAACATATTGAGAATTGAATTATAAAGACGATCATAAACGCAATCTGGAACGGAATGATCGTTGCCACAAGGAGAGAGACAAAAAGGATGGAAGCTATCCATCGCTTCGATGTCGAACGTTCCTGTCTGCAGCCCATTAGCCTTGATTGCTTAAGATTTCAGAAAGAACGTACTCCTTGCCAGTGACACCTATCAGTCTCTGGACCTGCTCGAAGAACCCAGCAACGACTTTTAGTATATAGTTGCTTGCGCCAACGAGTCCATTAGCGAAAAGCCACATAAAGAAGGACAATGGAGCAAACACGAGGATGCCGCTGTTTCCCATGATCATCTCCTTCGGTAGAGGGAGCATAGAAAGGGCGACTAGCACGCCACCGATAGGAAGCATCTGCTTCTGCGTAAATTCGACCATAACAGCCTCAAACGGCGGGAATGTTCCTAGAGACCCATTAGATCAACTAAACTGGAGATTGTTGTAAGCCCACCATTGGCATCGTAGCCCATAATTGCAGATAGCATAAGCAATGCCACAACCGCGACACTCCACATCGCGAGGCCCATCCAGTATCGAACTCCCAGGCGACCGAGAGTTTCTTTCCAGGCGACCCGTAAAGTGATACTCTTAATCCCACATTCTCCTGAAGAGTATATAGTCAACTCTGGAGTGTGATTTGTGTTTGGTATTAGTGGGAGGAAAGGTCCGTCTCTATGTGAATGTAAATAGAACGGCCGCGTAGGTGTATGATAGTGACTCTCGATAGGAGACACCTGGTGTAAAAGTAAAGGAGGCACTCTTAGTCCTATAAGCACTATAAGCACAGGTATAAAGAAGAGCATATTAGCCTACCCAGGCAATGACCATCATATACAGCGTCTCCACGATAGACAATAAGTGCATGAGATAGCAGTTTAGGAAGCTTGAATATTGTCCGGAGCGATCGTGATCTTGCCGGCAAGGAGAAGGAGATTCCCGACGGCTTCATGGCATCTTTATGTTCAGTTAGAAAGACCCAAGCATATTTGAAATTACTCGCCAAGTAATGTCGCAGAGGATGTTGCATTCAATACAGGTTCCACAGCCGCGACCACCCAACCAGTCGAAGTAGAGCGTTCGAAGAAGAGACCGACATGCGAGTCAGTCGAATAGCTTGTCAGCTGAATATCTGCCTCGAAAAGAGATACATGGTCATTGTCCAGCACCCCTTTCTCTGACGGGAAGGCTCCCGGCCAATTTGGTCGCGGCAATAACGAGGCTCGTCCTTCAATTTCTACACATCCCGGTTCGAGAACACCAGGGGGAGGTCGAGTGCAGAAGAGAACTCGCAAAATCCCTCCACGAGTTAGGAGTTGTCCGTTTTCCCTAGCGAGATTCTGTAGTTCGATCCCGTGCGAGAATACTGTCAGGCGCACAGCCTTTTCAGTCGGTAACGGAAGGAAATGAACCCCAGCCATCGGGCTGCCGATTTCGAGCTTGGAGCTAGTTCTCTTGAAGTGAAGCGGGACACCAGTGATATTGACCAATTCTTTGGGTGGAGAGGTCTGAACGGAAGTCGAACGCATGAGTCGGTGAATATTTTTCATATCGAATGAGGGCTGTGTAATGTCGAGTGCTAGACGGGCGGTCATCATGCGTACTTGATGGCACCAGACCATCTCCCTGTGACCTACCCCGGTCCAAGCCCCATGAAGGGAGCTCGTCATGATCGTTCTACGATGAGGAGAGGTGCGTTCAGGAATTGCACATAGCTCGGATGTAATCTGAGAATCGGTTGCACCTCCGCAGATGGATATCAAAGGTGTTGTCGAGTTGATATTCCCAAGTTGAGCGTCTCGAATCGATTTATATACGCCTTCTGATCGCCTGTCGAAGCGAACTGGTGCAAGTTGACTTGGAGTAGACATAGTAATGACTGCACGAAGGACCTCATCGCTCAGGTCTTTGAGAAGTATCTGAGCAACGGTCCCTCCCATAGAATGACCTATTATGGTGATCCGTGTTCCTTTCGGGTAGAGCGAGAGAATGTAATGGACGGCTTGAGTCGAGTATCGTGCTTGAGTGAGGAGAGTTGGGGGATGGATTGCGGAAAAGTCCTCATTGAACTCGACTATGAGATTCATTAGTATTTGAAATGTACAGAGAAATGACATACCGGCATAAACGTCGAGTGGCTTGTCGAATCTCCCGCGCCTGTTTTCGTAGAACTGACGAGCAGCGGATGAGGCAATGGAGCGCACTTGTCTTGAGGACCCTGCATTCCCAGGGATGAATAGAACAGGTTCTCCGTTTCGCTACAGGGCGTTAGAACAGGCTCAGGGATCCAGGGCGGGCACCAACTTCCTTCATGTTGTCAATGCCGACCTCGCGGTAGAGCCAAAGACTATATCTCTTCGCGAATGGCGTCCAGGACTTGTCAAAGTCGGTTTGGAGGACATAATGCGGCGACATCCACGACATTTCGCAACCCTGAGGCGAGACGACGAGCGGGGTCTCATTTGCGAGGGTTGAAAAGTAGAACATGAAGAAACATGCTGCCAGAGCAAGTAAAATCAATGTCCACTGGGCCGTCCGTCGTCGCATTGCCGACCCTTGATAGTTGCGGTTGGGAACAAACAGTTTTGGTTGTGTAAACTTCGCCATGAGCAGCCGGTCAGCACCAGTCTCGCCTGCAACGCCCGAGACACCGTTCTACCCCTTTGCAAATGCCAAAGGACTTTTGACGGTCATTCGTGATGAGCACTTGGACGTGCAGGCAGAGGCAGAGTTTCTGGCAGATTTTGAAGTCGGTCGGCGAGTGGGACTGCGATTGGCCATACTGAGAGCACTCCTAGGACGATGATACCGTAGATTCAAGATCAATACCACCGTCTCGGAGATCTGTAGACACTCGTTCAGAGGCCCGCTCCGTCATAAGCCAGGAAATCTGGCTTGAAGACCAGACAAGTGGCGGGGCGTCATCGACATTTGCAAGAGACGCAATGATCACCGGGTATGTCTACGTCTCCTTTCACACCCATCTTGCTCAAAACAGACAGTTGGACCTGCGTGGGAGATCAGAAAGCTGGTGCCTACATCGGTAAGCGGCCGCTCCTCTCGGCATAGGCTCTTTCTTGACAGACAACCAGTATACGACTGCGCTATAACCACCAAAGAGGTATTTGAATGACGAAACTCGTTCCATTTCGACTCATCCGCAGCAGGGAAATACCTTTCACATTCTGAGGCGATACAATGACTTTGTCCGACTCCGGCATAGCCTCATGAGGACGTTACAGGTACGTGCGAATTGAGCTCCTGCTTCTTGGCATTGACAATCTCAGTCAAATGAACGATCCTACGTCCCAAAACTGCCGCCAAAGTCGCCTCTGGCTCGCTATCGCTCAGTCTTCCTTGACAAGCGAAGACGGGCTCTCCAGCACTGGTTCAGGACCGTCTTGCTTCATCCTGACATTGGATCCTCCCAAGCCCTTCGCCAATGGGTGATGGAGTAAACCGTCATCACTCTCGAAACTAATCTATTCCATAAATCATTGGACTACACTCTCCGGTTGTTGTACTTTATCCTCCACGCTATGTGAATCTGTTTTTAATATATTGATCAGCTGTTCACCCATGGCAGTAAACGCGCCAGAGCCCTCTTTGATCGCCGAGGTCACCTCAGGAGCGACAATTGTCACTAAACCATGCGCTTCCTGAGGCTCTTTCCATGCTGCCTTTTGGCCTTCACGTACAGCGTCCATCCACGACTGGTTGGACCGCCGCAGTTCGTCCACAATTTCGTCCTTGATTCTTCGTGGCGTGCCAGCACCACCGTACGCAAACGACGTATAGAGCTGAACCGTCGTCGCCCCTGCTCGTGCGTATTCTAAAGCATCAGCCCCTGTAGCGATTCCTCCACAACCGACGATGGGAATCGAGGCCGGGAGCAGGGGTCGCAGTGTTTTCAGTGCGCGAAGAGTCAACGGCTTCAAGGGCACCCCAGAAAGCCCTCCAGCCTCCTTCTTGTTCGCTATAGTATTTCAGTCACCGGAATGAGAAAGGGGTTTCTTGGCTCACCAGATTTGACGCCTTCGGGTCTCTGAATAGTGGTGTTTGAGACAATGACACCATCGATACCCGTCTCTCTCACTGCTTCGGCAACGTCTGTGAGCTCCTCTTCTGACAGGTCGGGCGCAATCTTCACTAGTAATTTCGGGAGAGCACGATCCATGTGAAGCGAATCCCTCTCCCGTTTCACGGCGTCCAAGAGCTCAATCAACATCCCTCGGGACTGCAGACCTCGAAGTCCAGGCGTGTTAGGCGAGGACACGTTGACTACGAGAACGTCTGCCAAGGGACCAAACGTCTGCACACCGAGAAGAAAGTCGGAGAGAGAGTCTGGTGCCGAAGATTTGTTCTTTCCAAGGTTGATGGAGAGGATTTTGTTGTCGAGAAGAGAGCCATTTGGGTGATTCTCTGCGGCGTTGCGAGTCGCATACCGTGCTTGTAGCCTACTGAGAACAAGTGTCGCTCCTTTTGATGGGAAACCATAGCGGTTGATAACGGCTTGATCTTCAGGGAGATGGAACACGCGCGGTTGCGGATTGCCTGGTTGCGGCTTTGGTGTGATGCTTCCAATCTCTACCCACGCAAACCCGAGATCAAACAGCCCTATTCTATTGTAAGTTTGATCTTGGAATCAATCCTCTCGCCAAACACACCGTTCACCGCTTCGCCGTCCTTGTCGAAACCAGCTGCCAGGCCAACCGGATTGGAAAGCACTTTATCCCAGAGCTATACTGTATATCAAACGACGTTTTAGCTCATATATGCACGTCGTACCTCTACTCGCAACAACTCATCGTCTGGTATCTGGTCCGACGGGCCCAGTCCGCTTTTCAGCACTCCTAGCGCCGCCTTGTGCGCCTTTTCTGCATCCAAAAGCACCCTCGACAACGGTGGCACCACATAACGATGTATCGCTGACCGCGAATCCGCATAATAAACCGCAAAGAGCGTAAGTCCAACTGCAAATGTCGTCGAATAGGCCACGGCTTTCACATTCCTGGCAAAGGATGATTCGCTTTGTGCATAGGTGGACGCATGCCGGCGCACTTGGACGCGGGTCAGCGTCCGGAGCGAAGAGGAGCGGCAAGCAAGTGACATTGCAAACCTGCTACCTGCGGTCACCTTCTATTCTACAAGAAGTAAAACTAACGAGAAACTACAAAACGATTATTGCAAGACAAGCTGTCTGGTTCCCTCTGGAACGCGCCATCCATGCGTGGCGGCAGCGCGATTAAAGCCTGACAAAGTAAGCATTCGAGTATGGCAAGTTTCGGTTCACGTACCGTCAAGAGCTTCTTGAGTACTATAAGCACGCTTCCAGTCCGAGCCGGAAGCCAACCTTGCGGGGCGTGGCTCTGTGCTGGAGATTGCCATGCGAATCTGGAGGAGAACCGCAGCAATATTATAGCTAGGAAGCCACCCATCTTGCACAAGAAGATCCATACAGACAGAGCCTCTATATCATAGGTCAGCCACCGTCAATATTGTTAGGAGTATGGACATGCCCTGCTGTGATATGACCACCGCCACCTTGCAAGAAGGGGAGCAAGCGTGGTTTAATCAAGCGGAAGAATGGTGGAGAATGAGGGAATGTAGGTGGGAACCGAATCTCGAACAGGAGTGAGTTGATATTGTTCTTTGCCATATCCTTGGCCAACGGAAGGTTCTTGTCAAATGAATGCAGTTCCACAATCCATTGGAAAAGGTTGTCGCCAATCAGGTCTGGAGACATGTAGTAGCCCAGCTCCTTTAAGCTCTTGGCTTTGCGCTGTTCGTCCATGATGAACTTGAGCTCCTTTTGCAAGTGCATGGCAGACATTGGAGAAGCTTGAGAGGGGGGTTGGAGCAGATGATAGTCCGTTTGTGCCACCCAATCTGGATCATGCTTCCAGTCGTCCTTTGGGAGGATACGAGGAGGCGTCGAAGGCCGCTCTTCATACTCGAACACCTCTCTATCATCGTCATCCATAGGCTTGTCTTTGAGATTCTTCCTATTCTCCTTCACTATCAGCTCGAGGTGATCAGTGAGGATGGGGATTCCGATAGCTTTGTTGTGCATAAAGATCTGGTTGCTGGGATCAAGAGATATGGTCTTGACCTTGACTCCACTTTCCGGGTCCTTGATGGTTTGCGAGACGGCCGCGCTCTGGACGAGGAGATATCGAGTCGAAATCCATGTAACGTCCGGTACTACATAGTATCTTCGAGGTGTTAGCGGCATATTATGTTGAATTTGATTGTACGTACGGATTAGTGCTCACAAACTTGGAAGTCTGATTGACAATTTCTGCGATGGCCAAGGCTGTCGTTGGGACGAGCTCCGAGTTTTTCCATCGACTAGACGATGGTCTAGCATAGCTCTAGAATTATCTTAGTGGATCCCAGACCCCGGCTTATGGAGCTTACCATGCTGATATTGGCATCTTTTGCAAAATAGACCCCATTTCCATAAGCCCGTCCGTGGGCAATGTCCTTATAGTGTAGACCTTGTCGAATAATCTGTGAATTTGAGTCTACAGCTACGACCTGTCATGTATAACTCACCGAGTGCCAGTTCAAGAGAGGTGAACCATGCCACGCCTATATATGCGTCAGTATGCGTCATGTATATAGCCCCAGCGTACGTAGATGGTAGGGTACTTCTTGGCATGGCTATCCGTCGTGATAGCATTTCGGACCGCCGCTTGGAATTTCGCCTCTGCCTGTGGTGAACCGACGCTGAATCGGAATTGATGATACATTCCGCTGGTTTCTGCTCGGCGCTATTCATTAAAGTTCACCTATATTCTGTTATAATTACCCATGTTTTGAACCCGTTCCGACGAATGAGAGAGTTCCTCGATATATGCCGTGCATGAGGCAACACACCTGCAAAAGTTAGATATCATCAAGCAAATCGATGAAGCATCCACCATCGGAGTAGAGTCCAAGCCGCAGCTGGAACGTCGTCTGCCATATTTCGTATGTTGTGTCGACCCCTCGCCTTGCCCTGCTCGGCAAGCTTGAGAAGATAGCGCCGCATCTCGGAAACCTGGACAAGTGAGCAGGGTGCCGAGAAAATGTAAATGGACTGACTCTGGGAATCTTGTTGAGCATGTCGACGATGGCTCCTCGCTGCCACGCTAAGGGCATCTTGTCAAATTCGTACAATCCGTCGTGACCAGGCTCGAGATCGAATGCGTCATAAGGTTGTTGCACAGTAGATGTATGGTGGTATTGCTGCACTACACGGCCACCGATCGCACGAGAAGGCCGGGGAACCTACAGACATCAGCTGACAGCCACCTTGAACTTGGATCACGAACCCGAAGACCAATGCCAACTGGTAACTCCTCACAGAGTTGTCCTTCAAGGGCACTGACACAGGCGAAGGATACGAGCAAATCAACCACAGCGGGGTTGTGAATGAGATCGTACTAAGATTATAAGAACGAAATCAGTAGTGTGAAATTAGTCAAACGTACCTCGATAGATGTTCCAAAACTGAGTGCATAGAACTGATATGCGCAGAGTCCCTTGTCACATACATATGGTTTGATAGCGACAAAGTCGGTTTGAATGCGCTGGTGACATACAAGGCAGAACCTTGGGCATAGCTAGGTAGAAATGCGTGAGCCTGTGGTTTACAATGTACACATAGCGCTTACCAGAACGCGGCGGACTAGATAGCTGAATGCGACAAGAGGAAAATTAATGTGCTGCACTCCAGAGCCAGTCGGTCGGAGAAGCGGGTCAATAGGGAGCAGAGCAACACTCCTCTCTTCTCTGTCCGCTGCTTCTATAAGATATTCGATATTGTTGTAGGCTTCCTCGGCGGATATCTGTTTCGCACTTTGCTCGGCCAGGAGTACTTCTGCTCCAGCCCATCCAATGCCAAACTTGAGTCTGAGCTGAATGAGTGTGATGAGGGAGTCGTTTAGCAGGGAGTTGAGGCTGGTGCTCAAGCTGAACTTGTCGAAGCGACCAGGGTCATGTGTAATTTCTGGTTCTGGAGTCGGCTCCTTTTCCGGTAGATCCCAAGTATCCGGGTCGTTTTCGTCGTACTCTGGGATTTCCGGCTCTGGCTCTGGCTCTACGAACTTCTCCTCTTCCACGAGTCCAAAATCGCGAGTGACAGTTCCAGCAACCTCTTTATCGGGTTTTCCGTCCGATAGTCCCACGTTGAAGCGAATCTTGGCGAAGCCAGAGAGGACTTGTCCTGTTTCAGTCAAAGGAGGATATGATCCTCTGAAACCCGAGATGAGTAATGTAAGATGCTGGTCTGGAAGAAGAAGACGGCGATCCCATGCAGCCAACGAATTTGCGGGTGTAGACAACTATAGTTTCATAGTCAGCGACGGGGTCCAAAGGCCACGCGCCACATACTTTGACAACCGGGCATGAAACGCACACGACTAAATGCGACTCAGTTTTGCTTCTAAATGCACAGAGTCAAGGAACGTACCAAAGTCGGAGCCGAAGCGAAATACTCCGGGCTTCCAATCTGCAGCGACCACTTCGAGAAAGTCACGCTTGAGTGCAGCCGTTTGTTGTGCAATCTCGGGAGCTTGGTAGTTATTCATTCCTCCGACTCCATCATCGAGACTGATATTGTCGTCGCTATCCGCGTCGTTCATTTCCTCGTCTTCATCGCACAATCCAAGTGCGCTGGCGATGGAGTTGACCAAACGAATGACAGTGTCCTTTAGGGGTTTTGGAGGCTCTGATGCGAGGTTCTCCAGCACTTCTGAGACTGTCTCATGTGCGTCTGCTTCTTGGTCGTATGCGACGCACATCGAACTTGGATATGCCGATGTATCTGTGGGTGAGATCCGTTACAAAGGCACTATTAACCGCCAAATCAGATACATACCAGTAAAGAGGAGAGAAGGCTTTGCAAGAGGTTCATCGTCGTAAATGAGTGAGAATTCAATAGCGCCCTCGTCGTCTCCAGCACGAAGGCCTGGAGCGCGTCAGATGAGTCTGCAAAGAGAATGATATTTACCATGATTTGAATCCCGTGAATTTCCCAGCCCTTCTTGGCGAGCGCCTTGAGCGTACTCAAGTCGTCTAAGAAACGCTTTCGACCCGACTGAGCCATTGCGTTGATTTGAGTGTAATAGGATCTATAGAGCTATTGGATCTAGTATGCGCGTGAGCGGTGTGTATTGGGCTCGACCGACGACGAACGAGCGGAAACGTGGGGACTGTGGCAAGCAACAAACGGCGAGACTGACTTTGTAGACGCGACGTTGAATGGATTTCCTGTACTTTCTCGTGTCTTATTGCTTGCTTTGACGATGGACGCGATGAAGGAGAAACCAACCTTGTCGGCGTCTTTGAGGCGCGGCGGACAGGCAAACGTTGAACCTGACCGTGCTCGTCGACCCTCTAAATACACACGATGAGCGAAAAAGAAAGAATTGCATTACGAGCAGTCGCGTATATCTCGCCCCAGGTAGCCTCAAGAACGCTCTGATGCGCCTCCATTTCTAAACATCGTGGCAAGAACTATCCAATGCTCGTGAAATCCTTTGGCACAAAGCAGGAAGACGAGCTCAAATACCATTATATTGCACATACAGCCCTAGATGTCATCGAAGAACGCAGTAAGCCCTCACCTGTGGCGTGTTGACAAGCCTTCACCAAGCGGAACAGTCAATTCCAACCCAAAGGCCGTCGAATGCTTCCTTGGTATGCTCTATGTGCTTGAGGATGTCGCTGTTTATGGGTACATCACGCGTACGTTGCGTCAAAACTCTTATTGCGCTCACACTCACTAAAGCACAGCGACCAGGGTGAAAATAGTAGCCGCCATCGATCAGACAGATGAATTTATCAAAGATGCCGACATCATACTGGTACATGCTTTCTCACCGGTTTCTTGTGGCTCACATATAGACAACTAGCTGTTCAAGGCCCTTCACGGCGCATACCATGACGCTCTTCAAGATCCCTTCTTGCAAGGACCATCGAGTCAAGGTTTACGCACTGAAGATCTCGCCCAAATGATGGGACGAGACGACAAATGGAAGGGGTTACGACGTTTGCTCGACAAAGTGGCACTTGCAGCGTCGCGACATATACCAACACCTAGTGGTTGATTGCGTATCGTTGGTCGTAGACAGACTCTCGTCGGGTCAGCGCACGTAGGCTCTCCGTCTCATCGGGACAAGCTTGCGACAGTTTTCAGGAATGGGAATATATTGTGCAGACCCAGAGTATTATGCCTTTCTAATGACCCGGCTCGCGAAAGCTTACAACAGCTCGGGACAGATACGGGGCAGACAGACCTCCATCATGAAATAAAGAATGTTAAGTGGCATTATATCGTAATGAGTAAAGCTTTATGCCCATGAATGTGTCCAACTTTATATAGGTCAGCCTAAATGTCAGTCATATGCAGAGAATTCACTGACTATGTGATAGTCCAGCTGTTCGGGAACTGAGCGTTGCATTGTTCGTCGTTGAACCATGGACTGTGCATGCGGCACAAGCACCAATTACGCTTACTAGAGTTTGCCCAGTTGAGTGGATAAATCTACCCAAACCGTCAGCACTCAATTCATATCATGCACCCGAAACTTGCGCACTTTGCCATCCTCGAGCACTTTGATTGGCGCCTTGTGGTCCTTCTCTTGCCATGTTTTCACGCAGCTCCGCAGTGCAACAGGGCCAGTCAAGCTCTCGGGCTCCTGATTATATATTTCTTCCTTCTGATGATCGCGAACAAAGGCGAGAGGTGTCAGCCAAAACGGATGGCCGGGACTCGTGGAGGCCATGAATGCATTTGGTATCGAATGCTCAAACTCGTCGTTGTCGCCCATTCGCCCTACATAAGCAACCGGTGCCGTGAGAGTATCTGTGGCGAAGTCTGTAATATGCTTTTGGAGTGGGCTAAGTGGAACCAGGTCCAGGTCGCCATATACACCTCCAAACTTGTGCATGTACATGTTGCGAACCATATCTGCTCGGTATATTTCTCGAGGTAGGTCGTTGTAGACGTCAAAATAGTCGATGTAGTACCGCTGGACTAGCTGCTTGTTGTCCTCATCTGTCCATAGTACATAGCTTGGCGCGATTAGCTTGTACTCAAGTAAGGGCCCTACAGGATGCACTTACGTCCAATTCGAGCCGTGAATCCGCCTCCAATCGTCACTCCATTTCTGAAAGTGATCTGGTAAATTGTCCCGGGTTTTCCAGCTCTGGTGAATCAGCCGTTTGGGAGGAGCCAGACCCAGGTCTATGAGGTCCATCAGCTCTGAAGGACGCATCATTTTTGCCCAATCCGACTTGTCCTCAGTATTCGTTGGCGCAACTCTGTACCGAGTCGGATTTGGTATCAAGAGGTGGGGGCATGCATCAAACTCTCCCTCCTTTGGTGGTGGCGGTGGGGGAAAAGCACGAATATATACGACATGGCTAACAGCCAAAAAGCCAAACACGACAATGGTAAGGAGAGCCCAGCGAGAAACGCGTCTGGTTGGGAGACAAGCTCCCCAAAGACAGACCCTCCGCTCGATTGATCTCCCGTGACCTGTCGCTTCGTGATGCTTGTTGTACTGAGGAAGCTGGGAATCTGAGGAAGAAAGTGGAGCGTATCTGTGTGACTCCATGAGCGGACTGGAGGGAGAGGGGAGCAAGATGGAAGAGTGTATACTGTATGGTGGGAGAAAAATCAGATTTAAGATCCTACACACAGCCCAGCCCGTGACTTCCACCCTCGGGATTTTAACACGAGAAGCCACGACCCTGTGTATCGACACACTTGAGAGAACGGCGTGTCCAAGTCCGTCGGTAAAATTCCTTAGAGACATTAGACGCAGCACCAATAGAGTGTCAGCCTGCCGATACCGGGGCGCCCGATGCCTCGAGGGCACTCATTAATAAGAATGCCTACCAAAGCGGTTACGGCAAAGTATGTCCGTAGACGGAGCAGGGCTCGCAGTGGCTATTGATTAGTAGAGAGGCTGTACAACTTTCGAAATAAGGGATGGCGGCCATCATCTACCATGAATAGGATTCCCATGAATGCGACCAGCTGTCCAATAAATGAGATACCGATGTTCGGAGGTCTTGGGACTTACTAGGTTAGAGTCCATGCATGTGGGTAGAGGGAATTGCACATCGACGGGTTGAATGTTACACTCTGCGGCCGGCAGATGCACTACAGCGGATCAAACGCCACCCTCCGTGTTTGACAACGCCACGTACCTGATCCTTGAAGGGCGCGTCCCACCAGCTGAATGGGTATATCTACAGCCTGGGTTAGAGGAAAAAAAAAGACTGAAGATACACATACTTTGCCATTCTCAAGCACGATGACTTGATCGAAATTTCCTTTTCCATTCCGTATATCTCTATCTGCAAGCCATTGATTAACACAGGTTCGCAACGCGACAGGTCCTGTAAGGGCTTCTGGTTGGTGATTATATTTTGGAGATGCTTGGTGTTGCCGAACGAAGCGAAGTGGTTCAAGCCAGAACGGATGTCCAGCCGGTATCGAAGCCATGAAAGCATTTGGAATCGAATGTTCAAATTCCTCGCTGCTCATGCGGCCTACATAGGCCAGTCGCACCGGAGGCGCAGATTTACTTTCTAGCGTTGGAAGATGTTGCGGTAGAGGCGATAGTGGTATGAGATCTAAGTCCGCGTATACACCTCCAAATCGATGGAGGTACATATTTCGCGCCTGTGGCCATCAGCCACGATGCAGACCTAATGTGCAAAGCTCTCACCATATCTGCGCGGTATATTTCCTTGGGCAATGCATCATAAGTCTTGAGATATTCCGGGTAGTACTTTTCAACAAGCTTGCGGTTATCCTTGTCCGTCCAGAGAACGTAGCTATCCAGGTTCGACTCAGTTCGGTCCGTTCCATCACTGAATCACGTACAGCCATTGAGAACCGTGCAATCTTCGCCAACGTTGACTCCACTGAGCAAATCGTTCAGGCAACTTGTCGTCCTTCCAGCTCTGGTGCAATATTCGCCAGCTAAGCTCACGCCCACCTTCCAACCGGTCCATCAACTCGTCTGCACGAACAATCCTCGCCCACGACGACTCATTCGACTCGCCCTCGGGCTCATTCGTCGCATTGCTGACCGGGTGTCGAAAATTCAGACCAGCAACAGCTTCCTTGCACTTGAGCGCCGTTGTCATGTGCGATATTTCGTCGCGACTGTTGATATAAAAGAAGATAGAGAGTAAAATTATTGGTAGAAATACGCAGGCCGTGACACGGCGGCAGCGGTTCAGCGATGGCTTGCGTCTCGCGCTGTTGGGGTCCTCTAGGCTTTCATTACTAAGCTGTTGGTATCCTCTATTGTTCATTTCGATCCCATTTTGACCAGACGAACGAAGGAAGCGCGGAAGTGATGGCATAGGGGAGGTCCAAGGTACTTATGTTCGGTATTTCGAACGGCGATGACGGAGAAATGGATTCAAACTGATGAAAAGCGAGAAAACGTGGGTACTATAGTCCATCCAGGCTAGCTACTATCATAAAGCTTGGGCCGAGCTTGGGTTGCCGATTTTACGCGTCGCGTCTAATTCCGACGGAACCAGCGGAAGATGTTACGACGGAACCAGTAGAAGAGGCACTACACAACACAAGTCAGTTTCACGCAATCATACCAGCCGTGGAGTACTCACGCCGAGGAACCGGACAAACGAAAGGCCAAAGGTCGACCACAGGATAACCTTGAAGTAGAACGATTGTCTCTCGCGGAGTTGCAATTCGATATCCTCCAGGCTGGTTCCCTTTGGCCGGGGACCATTAATGTTGGCAACGAGCACGGCGAGCATGGCATTCGTAAGCATCCAAACGACGACGAGACGTGTGCGGAACGCCCTGTTCGAGTCCTGCAAATCATAATCAACGCGAAGCCGATGGTGCACAAAGGGACGACTTACATCCATCGTAGGCTGTTCAACTTCCTCTTTGACTTCCAGTTTCTTCATCGCACGCTGAACAGTCTCTTGGAAGGCCGAGTCAAGATCCTCTTGTACCTTTTCCACATCTTCCACCGTATCAGGAGCATCACCCTTGCCTTTTTTGGAAGAGACCACAGTAAGTCCATCATCCTTGTCGCTTCCCTTGGTGCCCCAAGAGACGTCGTGTCTATCGGAACACAATCAGACGAGCTTTAGGGAAGCGCAATATCGCTTACAGGTTGCAAAACGCATAGACGTTGAGGACGTTGGTAAAACTGGGAGCAAGGCAGATGTAGGCGGGAAGACTCGTGAACATGTGCCATGGGTCGCGGTAAAGAAGCGACGACAGCAGGTAGATACCAAATGTCGCCATAAGTGCCGCCATGAGCGTCCCGTTGGTACCCGTCAACAAAACTTGTAACCGACTTGCAGCCGTATTCGAGTTTTGGAAGTCGATTGTCTGATGGAGGAATGAGTACTATAAACGCAACGATATGAGATGACCTACCGAGAATGATTTAACCGTAAGGATGATGGAGCAAGCGAATAGGTATACGGCGAGGATACCGTATACCCACAAGCTTGATACGTACATGAATCTCTCACCCTTCGGGCGATTCCCCAGAGCGATGATAAAGTTCAAACCCAAGACCGCGAGATATGTCCATCTAAAGATTGCGTTGGCCCAGGCGGTCTAAAGGGATTAACCATATGATCAAAACAGTTTCCAGATATACATACGACTGTTTCATTTCCGAACGGATAGATGTGGCTGGTTACGGGGAGGTCGATGATGATGCTGAATGTCAACCAGAGGTTTGCTAGCGCGAACCAGGAGAAGATGAGGTTCACGAGGTTGTAGAGGGCTTGAATATGGAAGAAAGAACATGCTATATTGGTGTTAAATCGCGTAACTTTTCAGACACAGAGGACGAACCGGACGATGCCATGGCTTGACTTGTAGATACTGAAGAAGTGAATGAGAGCATACTATTCCAACTATCAGTAAACTTGAATGAAATGTAGTGGGCTATACGCACAACGCTGGCAGCGAAAGAGCCATTGAGCCATCGTCGACGCTGTCCAATAAGCTAACAAGAACCGTTAATTATAAACTCTCCGCAGTCAAGAATCGAACTAACCTCGGCTGCGCTTTCGGGTACGTCCGTCTCCGCCTTGCTAGGCTTCACATACGTCAGGGTCCACTGCGCATTTGCCTTGGCGACGAGTTCGAAACAGAGGATACGATCTTCGGCCAAGAACATGTTCTTCGTGAAAATGTTCATGCCGTAGATACCCTTTTTACCCAACCTGTCGGCCACTAAAGTAATGGTCAATAAAACAAGATCCGCTAAAGGGTGCCGGGTACGTACTCGAATGATCTCCGTGGAAGTACTGATCCAAAGGCCTTCCTTGAATCGCGCGGTATCGGTACGCACTGAAAGCTCCGGGCAACACAGAGACATAACCGAAGGAGCTCTCTAGGGGCTTGTCGAGGATGTTGGACATTTTGTATTCAAAGTTTTGTGCCGCGACGAGTGGATTCAGGAGCTTCTTTCCACCCTTTAACATGGCGTGAATCTCGCCGCAAGCACCACCGAGGTTCTATTAATAGTCAGAGATGTGACAAACTGATGATCAAGGTCTTACGGGATCGTTATAAAAGGCGTCCCAAAGATGGAAGATACTCTTGTGACCGGGCTTGGTACCAGCATCGATCAGGACACAGACTTCTGGCTGCAACTGCTTGCCAATAGCGTTGAAAAGCCATCGATGAGAGTTAATCTTCTTTTGATTCTGCGCCTTGATAATGAGAATGATCTGGACTGGAACAAGATTGTTCGTGTCGTCGCCATGGGGGAGCACGAGTTGGGGCGTCGAGTCGACGCTGAGCTGGGTCGTATACTCGAAAATGTGGGCGACCGTGTCTTTTCCATCGACTTGTTGTTTCATAATGCCATCTTGATACACTCCAATAGTGGCGAGAATGTCCAGTACCGTCTTGTCCATGACCTTGAGACCATCGACAATGAGCGCGACTGTGATTCGCTGCCAACCGGGGATGCCTGTTGATCTATCAGTTTGGTTCACTATTCTTGGATCTAGGGCGACCTTCTTCCTGAGACTTGCGCCAATACTTGCTCTGCTTGGTCTTGCAGATGTCGCGGATATTGAGCATGACACCATGCAAGGTACGCGAGTAGAGAGTCTTGTCCTATATATTCCTGATGAGAATACATCCAAGAGACGCGTGCATCCACGTACCTCGTTGTAAGAAGTGACCGCAATCAACAATTCGGTTGGACGGTTATACAAGACTTGGCGGAAAGTCCAGCCATTGTCCCTTGTATACTCATCTATCGTCGATGTAAGGAATATAGATTTCTGAGCAGACAAAATTGCGCACCAGGATCACATGTGGCGGCGCTGTATCGCATGTGCGTAAATTCGGTACTGGTGGTTGCACCTTTCCACTTTGCCTCGATGGCATTGCTAACAGGAGTTGGAACAGGATATTCGGTGATAAAGTTTCCCCTTGTCAGTTTGACCTTTTTGGTCTTGCCTCGCTTGATCGTCTGGCGGTTCCGCCACGAGGCATTGACCGAGGCCGCGGTGGTGGTCGGTGAAGGCATGCCCATTCTACTCGCGGTTCAGTCGCTATGAACTGTTGATGTATACTGTACATACCCTGCACTATTCGGTGGTGGATAGAAACCACCCGTAAAGTTTGCGCCAGCATTGAGCGGCTGGTTTTCGTCTGTCTCGTCGTGCTGATATCGACTATGTCCGGTCGTACTATCATGATCGACGGGTCCAAAGTCTTGAAGTTGAACGGTCGATGTGCTCACTCCTGTATGGCTGCTGTATGGCTGCTGATGGTAGCCTTGTGAGTTTTGCGCGTAGAGACTCTGGTTGATCGAGCCGCCGTACTGCGAAGCTGGTGTATGGTATGGTGAGCTAGGAGCAGTTCCATAGTTACTCCCAGGTCCACCACCGGCGTTGGGTGCGGTGAGGGAGCCCATTGGATAGTTTGGGCCAGCAGATGGATCCATGAACGGATCGCGTCTAGACGGACTCTGATCACGAGAACGCGGTGGAGAAGGTGCATAGTGCACACCAGCTCCAGCGGCGCCTGCACCGGGCGGAAGAGGAGGAACTGGCTGCTGAGACATGGTAAATTTTCGTTAGCGAATCGAGAGCGTAATTAATATGCTTTGAAGGCTTTTCAGCGATGTTGCTGCCGACGCGAACTGCGGTCGTGGACAGGTCGAAGAAGATGCAAAGGGGTCTCCAATATTTTTGTCGCGGCAACCCACTAGCCGTCTAAGAAATGCCTTTAAGTTTGTTCTCGGCAGCTGCTGTGCGGTAGACTAAACGCCAGCGGTCGAGCCAGGCCGAGACGGCAAAGGAATCTCAACGGGAGTTTGGGCATCTCGCTCTTGTAGGAGACTCGGAGATCCCAGGAATTGATTATAATTATTGGTGGATGGGGGAGCCAAGTGACGACTGCTCTTGACCCAAACCATGACAGTCATTGGCCTGGAATAAACCGTCTATTATCGACACTTGAATATGAACGACCTCCCTTCGAAGTCTCCAGGCCTATTTAAGAGCCCCTTTGCCCAACGAAACACATTCAAGCCTTTAAATTATGGAGTCCTGGCATACGGCAAAGCCCCTCGCCAGGGTTACCACTGGCACATGCTTCGATGGTTTAGCGAAATGAGCGTTGGCGTTTGGGGCAGACTTTGTTTCTACACGTAGTCAACAATTCGCTTCGTTTGGTCGCAATTATAGTAAACACCGGAGGGTACATCTTCGGGTTTGCACCGTCAGCATAGGCCTCGGGGCCAATACTCACGCCTAGTCAAAACTCGTGCGTACACACATTTTAAAACTGTCAAACACACACGAAAAAATAACGAAGTGTACTCGAATTACTATAGGGATGGTTGCCACTCCCGCGCAGATGGACCCGCAGTTCGCTTCTCCTTTTCCGACCGCGTCCAACACGATTTAACGCCGCCTCGGATGATATAATCACGCATATCTCCGTCCTTCCAATTTGTCTTTTGCGCAGTTTCGCCATATATTACCACTCGCCGTCGACCGGGACCGCCCAAAATGTTACCACTCCCCTCCCTCCCCTCGATGGAGTCGCGCTATACGCAGATACCCGCCAACGACCTCGAAGCAGATGGTCTCAATTACAAGTACGACGACACATACCCACCCATCTCTGGGCAGCCTCCTATTCTTACTTTCCGAAACCGCCGTGGAGTTCGGTGGACTGTCCTGGCCCTGGGCATCTTTTCCATCCTATTCGGCACCCAGCTAATCTACCAACAACTCGGACCTCCGGGGGAATTTAAACGATGCCCTGCCCTCGTGGGCCCGGTAGACGACTCCCCGCAACCCAGAACGCCCAACACGGACCCGTCGCAGTGGTCAAATGTCATTCCCCCAAGCAGATTGATGCAGATGCTAGCGGAGGGCGAGACGACGCCGCGGAGACTCATCCATCAGAGCTGGAAAACGCGCGATAATCTCCCCGAACACTTTCAACGATGGAGCGACGACTGGAGGCGGATACATGGACAAAACTGGACGTACGTACTTCTCCTTCGCCTCCTATCCGCACTCACCGCCGCCACCATAGTTACGTACTATGGTCAGATGAGGACAACCGGGCGCTCGTAGAAACGTATTACCCATCCTACCTCTCCGTCTACGATAGCCTACCCAAACCCATTTACCGCGCTGACATGGTACGAAATATGTACATGCATCGTTTCGGTGGAATCTACGCCGACTTGGACCTCGTGCCCCTGGCCAATCTCGACGTGCACCTCGCCGCATTCTATGGCCCAGCGGATGCTATCCCAAAGGCCTATGTAGGACACATGGGGAAAGACAACTTTGAGCACTCGATTCCAAACGCGTTCATGGCGTCCACTGGACGATTACACCCCTTTTGGCTCCGTCCACTCGATTTTGTGGCGAAGCATGCGGAAGAGGGCCAGTATACTGCAACACCAGAGGCATTGACCGGTCCCGTTGCACTGAGGACGTGCGTCAACGAGTGGGAAAGAGGTGCGACGGCGGATGAACGGTCCAGAGGACATTTAGAAGTACTAGAGAATGGAAAGGTCAGTCGAACTGGACGACATCGAGGTATTGTGTGTGTGTGTTTATAAGATCTGATAGATTTATCCTCTCAACTGGCAAGGCGCGCCAAAGCTCAACTGGTGCCTCTGTCGGCGGCATAGTCCTTGGTTCAATGAGCACCGATGCAATGCGCTGTACCCAGAAGCATGGACGATCACCTAGTATGTGCTCAGCCACCCACATGTTCTGCTGACTTGTATTCCAGCTGGACGCACTCATGGTAATATGGACATTTATTTATATTCTAATGTATCCATAATGTCTAAGGCATTGAGATAGAATGAAATCCCATCATAATACAGGCCCGGAACAATCGATTGGAGTTCGAGAGTTCGTAAAGCTGCCTCATTGCAAGCACCAATGATTGCTCGAGTCAATCTAAGAATAGGCCGCTCCCAAGCTCGGATGGACAGATATTCACCCGAATTTCGCCCATCTCCATTTACGTACAAACGGAGTCCATGGGAACCTAACGGCTGAGAGAGTCTACGAGCGCGCAAATTTGCCCTAAGGGCCCTCATGTATTAGACGAGAAAGCGGACATATATTGATAGTTACAATATTCGCTGCAATTTACTGAGTTGCATCTCTCCGAACGTTTGTCCAGGCACGTCCACATTGGAAATGGGTAAAATCCAATCTTGTTGCTCGGTAGTGACTAATGGTCGGCATAGTCAGAAGAAGACGTCGATGTTGTAATCCATGGCGGTTGTCTGGCGGGACCCAGAACAGAAAACTACCGGAAGATTGAACCCAGCCATCGCTAAGAAGGGAGCAATGGTTAAATCCAGGTACAAGCCCTGGTAAGTAAATACCCTCTAATTCCTCTTGTGAACGTGAATGCGGGCTCCTATCATCCTGCGTGAAATTGTCCACATTGGTACCTGGGACAAATGTCAGGTCACACCGGCCAAAAGACAGGAAGTTTGAGAGAATACTGACCTGCCCCTGCATCCCACAATCGAATTGTTCGATCGTACGAGCCTGAGACAGCTCCTGAGCCATCAGGGGAGAATCCGACGGCACGAACCCGGTCTCCATGACCTCGAAGTGGCTCTCCAACTGGCTGTCCAGTGTCCACATCCCAGAGTCGAAGCGTCTTGTCGTCCGAGCCAGAGACGATTCGTGAGCCATCTGGCGAGAATCCGACGGCCCAAACGGTCTTGATGACCTCGAAGTGGCTCTCCAACTGGCTGTCCAGTGTCCACATCCCAGAGTCGAAGCGTCTTGTCGGAGGAGCCAGAGACGATTCGTGAGCCATCTGGCGAGAATCCGACGGCCCAAACGGTGCCTTGATGACCTCGAAGTGGCTCTCCAACTGGCTGTCCAGTGTCCACATCCCAGAGTCGAAGCGTCTTGTCGGAGGAGCCAGAGACGATTCGTGAGCCATCTGGCGAGAATCCGACGGCCAAAACGGTGCCTTGATGACCTCGAAGTGGCTCTCCAACTGGCTGTCCAGTGTCCACATCCCAGAGTCGAAGCGTGTTGTCGTCCGAGCCAGAGACGATTCGTGAGCCATCTGGCGAGAATCCGACGGCCAAAACGATGCCTTGATGACCTCGAAGTGGCTCTCCAACTGGCTGTCCAGTGTCCACATCCCAGAGTCGAAGCGTGTTGTCGTCCGAGCCAGAGACGATTCGTGAGCCATCTGGCGAGAATCCGACGGCCCAAACGGTGTCTTGATGACCTCGAAGTGGCTCTCCAACTGGCTGTCCAGTGTCCACATCCCAGAGTCGAAGCGTCTTGTCGGAGGAGCCAGAGACGATTCGTGAGCCATCTGGCGAGAATCCGACGGCCCAAACGGTGCCTTGATGACCTCGAAGTGGCTCTCCAACTGGCTGTCCAGTGTCCACATCCCAGAGTCGAAGCGTCTTGTCGGAGGAGCCAGAGACGATTCGTGAGCCATCTGGCGAGAATCCGACGGCACAAACCAGTCTCCATGACCTCGAAGTGGCTCTCCAACTGGCTGTCCAGTGTCCACATCCCAGAGTCGAAGCGTGTTGTCGTCGGAGCCAGAGACGATTCGTGAGCCATCTGGCGAGAATCCGACGGCCAAAACGATGCCTTGATGACCTCGAAGTGGCTCTCCAACTGGCTGTCCAGTGTCCACATCCCAGAGTCGAAGCGTCTTGTCGGAGGAGCCAGAGACGATTCGTGAGCCATCTGGCGAGAATCCGACGGCCCAAACGGTGTCTTGATGACCTCGAAGTGGCTCTCCAACTGGCTGTCCAGTGTCCACATCCCAGAGTCGAAGCGTCTTGTCGTCGAGCCAGAGACGATTCGTGAGCCATCTGGCGAGAATCCGACGGCCAAAACGCTGCCTTGATGACCTCGAAGTGGCTCTCCAACTGGCTGTCCAGTGTCCACATCCCAGAGTCGAAGCGTCTTGTCGGAGGAGCCAGAGACGATTCGTGAGCCATCTGGCGAGAATCCGACGGCAAAACGGTCTCTGATGACCTCGAAGTGGCTCTCCAACTGGCTGTCCAGTGTCCACATCCCAGAGTCGAAGCGTCTTGTCGGAGGAGCCAGAGACGATTCGTGAGCCATCTGGCGAGAATCCGACGGCACGAACCCAGTCTCCATGACCTCGAAGTGGCTCTCCAACTGGCTGTCCAGTGTCCACATCCCAGAGTCGAAGCGTCTTGTCGGAGGAGCCAGAGACGATTCGTGAGCCATCTGGCGAGAATCCGACGGCATAAACGGCGCCTTCGTGCCCCCGAAGAAAACTGGGGAGCCCAGGATACGCTTCCTCAAGCCCTTTGGTCACCCTCAGTGTGCCGCTATACTTCTTGATGCCCTGAATGTGCAATAGTGACTTCTTCGGAGCGAATGGAAGAGCAGAAACATAAATATGTGGGGCGCTGTCCTGTATTGCCACAGAAAATGTCATGATAAACCGTCGGATCTCTTCTAGATCGCCTTTTGTCTTAGCCTCAAGCTATATCATTCATAAGAGTCCATCATTTGTAGGTAGGCCACTCACTTGTGTGTGGCGTGTAATGGCCCGAAGCCCAGCTATCGCTCGTGGGATTCCGCCGGTGACACTTAGGATCTCCATCCAGTAAAACACGTATGGAACTTGGATGATGTGTCGGAGTTCGTTCTCGAGCGGGGACCACGAGTTGTTCTCAGCGTCCGCTATATGAAACAACCAATGAGAGCTCGCATATCGAAGTCGTCGTGAAATGTACTTAGATACTCGAGTCTCAAGATCAGGTATCTGCCTGTTCAGATGGAAAGATGACTCGATTTGACATATGTTGAACCTGAGACCTTCCGTTGGCGATTTGAGATATTTCAGACACCAGGACGCCGCTTGACTATGTGCATTGGCTATATTGAGACGTAGTTGATAGCGGCTATCGGCAGCTGGGCTGCCGACACAGTGCCGAAGGTACTCAACGAGAGTGGGATGGCGAAATTGGATGAGGTTTGTAGTCGAATCTGTGGTAAGTACGCTTCCCAGATTCTGGATCAACGCCTTGGCACTTCCTCGTACTTTGGAGTTCTTCAGTAGATCATCCAGATCGTCTATGGTGAGAGGTTCGAATGCAGCGAGCAGGAGCGCGAGCATTGCACACATCACCGCAGAGTATTTGGGATCCGTACGCTCGAAGACGAGAGCATATACGTCGTCTATGACTCCGCCTTCTTCCATGGACATCAAGCTGTCATATATATCCTCAGGCGGGCTCAAGCTGGTCACGCTATTGAGCATTCGGCAGGCAGTGCTTGCCCAGATGAATAATCCATTGGCCTTTTTGACCATCTTCGCTCTCCTGTCTTCCGAAAGGACTCCATCTAGTGAATGATGTACGTAGCTCGCAATGTCGTCGATATTGTCGCGATGATTGACATCGTGGAGGCGGTCCTCCAACTTGGCCTTGATTGAAAGCGGCCCTAGGACTGCTTGTATGACGGGATCTGGCCGGCTTGTAATGAATATCCTAAGGTTTCTGCTCTTTTGAACGACCGTAGAGAGAGCTTCGACGAGTTCCTTTCGCTGTGTTGCAGACTTGCATTCATCAAGAGCGTCGATGACAAAAATCACGCGCCCTTGCCGATTTCGGAGAGGACCAGTAACAAGCATCCCGAATTGCTCGTCAAGAGAACATCGCATGAAAGACGGGTTCTGCTTCACGGCCCCAGCGACATGCGGCGCGAGCTCGCGTATGTGATGCACGAGGTCTCGTGCTATGGTCGAGCAGAACTTGTCGGTGGTAGATGCTTCGTTGCTCGCTATGGAGAAGAAGAATCGACCGCCCAGCACTCCCTTACTCCGCCATGATTCGACCGCCGTCATTGCAACGGTCGACTTGCCGGAGCCGGCTATGTCACAAAGCCAAAATATCGGCTTGTCCGATGTATCGTCATCGGCCCATTGCCAAATTGTGTTGAGGACCGCCTCGCGCGTTCCTTGTAGACACGGATTGTGGACCGAAGAAGCTACGAATGCGACTGTTGGGAGCTGAAGGATTGCATGTGCATCCACTTTAAAAGGTAAGTAGCTGCCCTATATGACAGTTCTGACATACCGTCTGTCAAAAGTGTTTCAACGTCTGTTTTGGTGGCGTCGACGGTGGCCTTAGTCTCATCGACAGTCGCTTTGGTCTCATCGACAGTCACTCTGGTCGCCTCGATATTGACCTCTGCAGCCTCGACCGTAGCCTTGGTAGCTTCCACGTATGCTTTTGTGACGTCTAACTTGACTTCTGTGGCTTTGGTAGTTTTATCTACAACTTGAACGCGTAGTGCAGTGAAAATACCCAACGCCTCCTGTCTTCAAGGTGAGTTGGTGAAAAGAGCGATCAATGGAGGCCGCACCATGAGTTGCCTATGCCGATCCTCGATATCACGATTCATTTTCAAGATCTCTCCCGCATCTACTTTCACCTTTGTAAACGCCTTGAAGAGATCAAGTTTCTTGCGGCTGCGTTTGTCCTTTAGATCGATGACCATATCATGCACAGTCTCGAGGAATCTGCATCGTTCAATTGATAGAAAGGAAGTCGATCTGTTCACGTACTCGACATAATGGATGAGTGGCTGGAGGAATGCCTCGTCGACGGCCCTGTCTTCTTGGGGGTATGTCTCCAACAAGGTGATTTGTTCTTTGAGTGCAGACATGTACTCCTTGAGCCGTCGCATGAGGTCTGTCCATCCCTCTTGATTGCTGTCTATCGCCTGTTGTGACCATTGAGGAAGTCATATCACCACGATTTCGCCAACTTGCCTGTGCGACTTCGAGGATCGTTTTTGTTGTCAGACAAGCTGCCTTGAGAGGAGCCAGTATATCTGATGCCTCGGCGATATTCGCCCCTACGGTGAGACCGACATTGACCGTGTTGTACATTTGAGCCTTCTTGCTCGAGCCTTGGGCAGAAGACGAGGGTGCCAAAGAGTCGACATTTTTGCGCTGCTTCTTTGGTTTGGATGAACTTGGGCCCGACATCGCGAGGATGGATGGCTCCAAGATTGCCTCGTGTTCGTGCCAGCCTCTGTAGACGCCTGAATAGGAGAGTGGCTTGCTGTACTCGTTTGACCCGCACAAGCTCCAAGCGCAGAAGTGAGCCTATTTCAAACTGGATTGGTTTATATCGCCAGAGTATCAGCCGCTAGGAACGTGTTTCGACCCGTTTTGTACCGACCTTGGCATGCCTCTGAATCCATCGTCCTGAAAGACTATGATATTCTCGAGTAGGATTCGTCTATTAGATTTCATCCCACCCATCCACTACGCTACGCCAACTCAAACCCAACTAACACCATTAGCTGCTCGCTTGCCAACATGACTGGTAGATACCTCTGTGCATGCGTTCGCGGAAACAATTGCTTAGTCCCGGGTACACGATGCAAGGTCAAAATGGGCAATCAAACAATCTTCTCCATTAGTGCGAGCGAGCCAAGAGGTACCATAGATGCTGTAAAAATGTATCGAAATGCTGCGTCTAGCCAAAGCCTTGCCGACGGACAGGGTATCCTCAAGGAGGGCCTAGCACTGTGGTAACGAGGGCCAGTCTGGCTGACTGGATCCGGTTCCGGTCAGCGCGACTGGAATCCAGCCATCCAGACTGGATAAATCGTATAGTGAACTGGGTCAAAAAGCCCACTGGATCGACGCCTGTTAGGGGAAAACATCGAACCGGACACAACACGCTATGAAAACAACAGAAACTAGTGAAGCAAACAGCGAGAGATGACAGAACGCGGGAAAAAGTCACGCCCAGAAGGGGAACCTAGCGAGGTCGAACACAATTGCCTCGAGGAATTAGCAAGTCAAGAATTTGCTAGACAGTGCTCGACAATTCCTCGACACCTCTAGACTGACTAGTTTTTGTGAGTAGGCTAAAAGAAACATAACTGTACTTAAGAGTATGTAAATACATAATTAACTGCTGTATTTAGCATAAATGAAGTGTAAAATACAAGTCTCGGATATATCAGGTACGTGATCTTCATGTGTCTCCCTGACTGCTGACAGGTGAAGTGGCATGAAGATGTGTCAAGGTGCATGAAGATGTGCTCGATGTGATGCGGTGAAGAACACTCGACACGCTCGATGCGTCTTCACACTTCTAGATGGATGGTAGCCACGGTACATAGTCAAGCGAGGTAGAGACGTGTAGAGACGCATCGAGATGCATGAAAGGTGCTCGATGAAATGCAGTGAAGAACGCTCGATGCGTCTTCATGGTTCCAGACGGGCGGTGGACAAGTTGCATAATCAAGCGGCATAGAGACGCGTAGAGACGTGTCGAGATGCGTGAAGGCGTGCTCAGTGCGATGCGGTGAAGAACGCTCGATGCACTCTATGCATCTTCATGGTCCTAGACAGACGGTGGCCATGGATGCCTTGTCAAATGAGATAGAGACATGTAGAAAGGCGTCGAGGTGCTTGAGGGCATACTTAATGCAATGCAGTGTAGATCACTCCACGCGCTCGATGAGTTGTCACAGTCCTAGACGGGCGGTGGACAAGATGCGTTGCCAAACGAGGTAGAGACATGCAGAGACGCGTCGAGATGCGTAAAGGCGTGCTCGATACAAAGCGGTGAAGGGAACTCGACGCGCTTGATGGGTCTCCATGATCCTAGATGGATGGTAGCCAAGGTACGTGGTCAAACAAGATGGAGGCGCGTAGAGACGCATCGAGGTGCACGAGGGGGCGCTCAATGCAATGTGGTGAAGGACACTCGACGCGCTCGATGCGTCTTCATAGTTCTAGATGGGTGGTAGCCAAGGTACGTAGTCAAGCGAGTGTTACGGACCAGCCCGCAAGACCCACGTCATCTGGATGACTCGTATATGTCAGTATGAGTCACGAAGAACGAGGATAGTCACTTACCTGACTCACGATGCGCGGCCGGCCGTGGCCAGCCTTGGCCACTACGAGCGGGAGCTTGTATGTGGACGGCTGCGCACGACTCGCCCGTATCAAGAGTCATCGCTATAGGTGACTCGTTATATAGATGACATGATATAAGATGTCGGATCGCTGTCTCGTCTCGGACTCCTCTTGTCCCTCCCTCCAACTCCCGCCAACCCTATGCCCTCCAACGTAGTCCCGCTACCGACTACTGGTTCCGAAATAATGCTTACATAAGCTTATCGAAAGGTATAAAAGGACCCGATTTTCCATGTAACATTCGCTAGTCTGATATCTGACTCCCTCGCCCAGTTTACGCGTCATATTACAGTAACTAAGTACCTCACGTCGAGGAATAATCTAAAGTAAACCATTGCTAGACCTGTCCTGACCCTACTCGGGACTCCGCCAGTCAGAAAGACGTGGGTATCGTCTTTAACAGCGAGGTAGAGACACTAGAGACACATCGAGGTGCATGAAGGGCGCTCGACGAAATGCAGTGAGGAACGCTCGACGCGCTCGATGCGTCGTCACGGTTCCAGACGGGTGGTGGACAAGGTCCATAACCAAGCGAACTAGAGATAGGTAGAGATGCGTGAAGTAGTGCTTGATGCGATGCGGTGAAGGACACTCGACGCGCTCTATGCATCTTCACGGTCCTAGACGGATGGTGGCCAAGGTGCGTTGTCAAACAAGGCAGAGAGATGTAGAGAGGCGTTGAGATGTGTGAAGGTGTGCTCGATGCGATGCGGTGAAGGACACTCGATGCGCTCGATGCGTCTACACGGTCCTAGACAATGGTAGCCAAGCTATGTAGTCAAGCGAGGTAGAGACACGTGGAGACACATGAATTAGTGCTCGATGCAATGTGGTGGACACTCGACATGCCCAATGCGTCTTCATGGCCCTAGATGGATGGTAGCCAAGTTAGGTGGTCAAATGAGATGGAGGCGCGTAAAGACGCGTCGAGATGTATGAAGGGGGCTCGACGCGATTGCGCTCGATGCATCTTCACGGTCCCAGAGGAGCAGTGGCCACGGTGCATAGTCAAGCAAGCTAGAGACGCAAAGAGACACATGAACGAGCAATGTGGGGGAAGGTGAAAAAACACAACACGCCAATGCACCACCTATTCCACACGGCAGGTATAGACTTAACAAGCATGGAGAAGATCACGCCAGCACTCAGGAATCCAAACGCCGCCCATATGTTCAAATCGACCATCGACAACTCAAGGGAACAGGCTATAGAGAGGGACAAAGAGATAAGTACCCAAAGCGTAGCAATATACACGGATGGATCGGGGATGGAGGGTAAGATCGGAGCAGCAGCAGTCCTATACCGGAACGGTCGAAGGGTCAAAGCAGTACGTTACCTACTGGGAGCTGAAACAGAGCACACAGTACACGAAGGAGAACTGGTGGGCATTGCGCTAGGTATCCATCTAGCAAGGACAATGCAAGGAAACCGCGCAAAAGTCAACATCAGCCTAGATAATCAAGCGGCAATCCAGAGCATCACTCGCGCCAGACCCAACGCAGGCCAACATGTTGTGGAAAATATTCTATCGGAGATAGAAGACGAGCTAAGTGATTATAGAAGGCTACGAATGGAATTCACATGGGTACCAGGACACGAAGGTATACAAGGAAACGAAGCGGCGGACGAAGAGGCGAAGAAGGCGATCACGGAAGGCGCAAGCAGACCCAGCGAACACCCAAGGTGGCTGCGAGAACCCCTCCCATCAAATCTCTCGGCAGTGAAGCAGGAGTGCAAAAGACTGGCGAAAGAAGGGGCAAGGGAACGATGGAACAACTCCAAACGTTTTGACCGGATGTCCAAAATCGACGAGACGATGCCGTCGGGGAGATACCTGAAACTCACGGACAAACTATCGAGAAGGGACGCAGCGCTATTGATCCAGCTACGTACAGGACACACCGGTCTGAACGGGCATCTAAATCGTATCAATAGGGCAGACTCACCATGGTGTCCACACTGCGGAGAAAGGAACTACGAGAACCTAACGCACGTGCTATACATCTGCCCCAAATACGGAGAAGCCAGAGCGGAATGGGAGAGAAGCCTACGAGGAAGAACCGAAGACCTCAAAGAGGTCCTAGGAACAGAGGATGGGATCGAAGAAACGCTCAAGTTTATACGCAAAACGAGGAGATGGAGGACAGGAAGGGCAGTCGAAGGAGAATAGATGGTGGCAAACATCGGAAGACGACACAACGCGCGACGAAACAATAGAAACTAATGGAGCAAAACGCGAGAGACGACGAAGCGATAGACAAAGGTCACGCCCAGAGGGGGAACTTAGCGAGGTCGAGCATGATTTTCTGCCTGCGAGAGGTCGGCTCCACTGAGGACACTAAGGATAACCCAGTAAGCGGACCAACGATAGACCGATGTGCTATATTGGCAAAGCCACTGCACAATAATACCTACCCAAAAAAAAAAAAAAAAAAAAGACACATGAAGGTGCGCGATGCAATGCGGTAAAGATCGCTTGGTGCACTCGATGCGCCTTCACAGACCTAGACGGACAGTGGCAAAGGCGGGTAGTTAAGCAAGGTGGAGATATGTGGAGGTGCGTCAAGATACATGAGGGCATGCTTGAGGTGATGAGACCAATTGCGCAAAGCTGGGTGCATGTGGCATTAATAAGCATAGAAGCAGAAAAAAGGTAAGTGAGAGGATTTTGTTTGAGGCGAACCTGTCACCGCGTAGTGGTCGACCAGGACGAGGCCAACGTCGGGAAAGGTCACTCAGAACACACTGGATACACGTCTCTTCGACTATTCGCCTACTGTGGCGCTGTGTCAGCCTGATGACAACGGGCCTCGACCGCTCGCAAACTATGGCGACAATCGCTGCTTCATCAATACAGTTATGCAATTGTACTCGAGTGTTGGGAGCCTATCTTCAGTGGTGATCGACGGTTTGTTGTTTTCTGGGCACGCAGAAAGCTGCTGACGCCTCGGCAGCGCCTGTCCAGTGTGACTCAAAAGTTGTGCTGACCTTCGCCAATCTGCTCACAATGCCGAGTAACCTGTATCCGCTCTATATATGGACAAGGTCACGGCAATTTCGGGTATGTCTTATGGTACATACTCACTTTAGACTGATGTGAAGGGCTGTCCTAGTAAGTTGGCACTGCCATATATGCACAAATGTCAACATAGTTCAGTCATATATTTCGACTCGGCGTACGATGCCGCTCGACATCGCTTAGATGTACACCGGGGGCATTTCCAGTGTACGGTGCCAGGATGTACGAAGTGTGCGTCGTGTTGGTTCGATGGGAGGGGAGGGCTAGTGCTGACCAGTGTATAGCTTTTCCCAGTGAACAGCGGCGAGACGATCACGTGGCGAAGCACGGACAACGGGCAGAAGAAGTGGTTCGGAGTAAGTCACTGATTCAGCACGTGACAGAATCACTCACATAACCCATAGTTGCGGATGGGAGGGATGCACTGCGCAGCTCACGACAGCCATCGAGATAATCAACCACATCGAGTGGCATCTGCCCATAGCTTCGGGAGCAGCACTGATGACAGAATCATTGTTCCAAACGACGTCGCCTCATCAGAGACGTCGATGCTTGATTCTGTCGGTCACGTACCTCACCCTCGATGGTGGTGTGAACACTGGGTCCAGGTCAAGTGATCTGACTAGCAACGAGAAGGAAGGTGTCCTGTTCTTAACGCTGCAACCGCCCGCGAGGTCGAGCCACAAAGTACGCAGGTCGGGGCGATAAGCCCTACACTGACATTGTGTCAGACTGTCAATGGGCTGATTGCAACAGGCATTGCTCGATGAGCAAAGTCTCTTCAGACACATAATTGAAGACCATTTGTACCCCGACGTTGGGCAAGATGTCACCTTGTATTGCAAATGAAGAAAACTCGATGGTACGAGCTGCGGAGACACGGCTCAAAAAGAGGAGACAAGGTTGCAACATATCAATAGTGCGTACATTCCCGATATTTTTCAGTGACTGAGAATCCACAGCCCATACCAAAGCTATCCGGTTGAAATGCACCGGGTGCCTCAAGCAATTTTCAACCAAGGCTGGCAAACATGAGTGCAGAATGGACAGAACAATCGAAGATTGCATTCCCGGCCTGCAAAGAAGCCACGCAGTCGCCCCAAGGTACGTATATCCGCTCACCGGGACGTCACCAGGCTCACTGTAAATTGCTAATGCATCCCATTGTACTGTCTGATGATTTGTACATTGCCAATGATACCCCATAACGCAGTAACCAGAAGGAGCGCTCCAAGGCCACCAGCAGCCGTCCGGCCAGACCAGATCTTTGGAGACGAGCTCTATCAACGAGCTAACCGAAAGATCATGAAGGGGACGACCATGCCAAAAGCCTAATGGCATTCTTCTCCTGTAGTCTCGATGGAGTTGTATCACATACATTTTACACCAACGGGGTCGAGAATGAGGACGCGAAATACGTACGTCGAGCGACCTCTACGTCTGCGAGAACATATCCCTTGACAAAACCCAAACGTCCGCAAGGGTAGGTACGGACCATAAAACCCGCTCGACCGCGTAGATTGTGCATAACGATGCTTTTATCTTTTCTTTTGATAAGAAGATACTCGATAGCCATCTGAACAACAATCCACCACCGAAATGGGTGAAGAGAGCTCAAAACTGGACACATGGACTGCTATCCAGTTGGCCAACTCCATCACGAGACGGGGAAGGACGAATACGAGCTGACGCGGTGACGCGGCGTCTGCTATCGGGAGAGTGTATCGCCCTTTTCCCAAACTTTCTCGTACAAATGACACATCAGGGTAGGGAATCCTGTTGCAAGTGTCATTGCAACACCGTTGTCGCCGTCGACGATGCGACTACGTGCAGTAGACGTAGACACCAGAGCAAGCAAGACACTCATGCCATGTAGAGAGCCCCGCACAGCTGGTCTCAGACAGCGAGCTGTGGATAGGATCGATGGTATGGTTATCGAGGCAGGGTCCAAGGTGCGTTGGTGGCAAGTGGCCCCACCCCGCCAAACAAATAGGCCACTCGAGCACGTAATATCCACGCACCAAGTCGACTAGTGATGAATAGCTCGTATTGCAAAAGAGTAATGTACAGCGTCGCTCCCCCGAAATCGCAAACACGCACGCTCAGTGCTGGGACCAGTTGATGGTACCAATATCGATACCCTCTTGAACCATTTCCCACAGCGGGCTATGAATACCGTCAGTAAACGAGGCTACCCAATAACAAAAAGGTCGTACCTGAGTTCACGAAGGCGGTTCACGGTTTTGACCGTCTCGCGAACGACATAATCGACTTCTTCTTCCGTCGAGAACCGACCTATGCCGAATCGAATGGACGAATGTGCGATATCGTCCGTCGCACCGAGCGCACGGAGCACGTACGATGGCTCCAAAGACGCAGAAGTGCACGCGCTCCCCGACGAGAGCGCCGTATTCTACCGACGTCAGCGACGGAAAAGACCTCTTGCGATCACTTACTTTCATAGCCATGAGGAAGCTCTCGCCCTCGATATAGGCGAAACTGAGATTGACGCAGCCGGGATATCCATTGGGATCACCATTTCGGTAGACATGGTCAACCTGCGATGTGATACCATCTATGAGACGCTTGGATAGCGCAGAGATGTGGGCGTGGTCGTACTAGAAAAGGGGGTTGTCAGAGCCAGGAACAAAGAGGACGAGCTAGGGAAGGGGATCTCAGTACCCCTGCACGCAACGATCATCGCACGGCTGAACTTGAAGTTCACCATGCGTCTCTCTTGGCCGTCTTCTTGGGGAGAAGGGACCGCGTGCTACTTTTCATCGCAGACGTTTTTGGGGGGGGGGGATTGGAAATCAACGAGGGTACTTACGGCCATCTCTTGCGCGGCCACCCGACACGCTTCGCCCATGCCTACCACGAGCGTACTGGGGAGTGTACCGCTGCGAAGACCGCGCTCTTGACCGCCACCGCTAAGGATGGGCTCGAGTCGCACCCGTGGTCGTCGTCGGACGTAGGCTGCGCCGACGCCCTTGGGACCATAGATCTTGTGGCCAGAGATGCTCATGAGGTCAATGTTCATCGCGTTGACGTCGAGTGGGATTTTGCCAACGGCTTGAGCGGCGTCGGTGTGAAAGTATACGCCCCGGTGCTTCTGCGCAATACGACCAATTTCGGCCAGGGGTTGGATGACGCCTGTTTCGTTGTTGACGGCCATGATCGAGATTAGACAGGTGTCTGGCCGGATGGACGACTCGAGGAGGTCGAGATCGACGAGGCCATTTTGCTTTACGGGTAGATAGGTGATATCAAAGCCTTCCTCTGAGAGCTTTCGGCACGAATCGAGCACGCACTTGTGCTCCTGAAATAATTGATGAGTAACGCGCTTTTGATGGCTGGCTGGGTGTGCTTACTGTCTGGAGGGTGATGATATGTTTCTTTTTCTCGCGGTGGAAGCGTGCGACGCCTTTGATGATCATGTTGTTACTCTCTGTCGCTCCAGAAGTGAATAAAATATCCTTTTCTTCTGCGCCGACGAGGGTTGCGACATGCTGCCGGCAGATTGTGTCAGCGGCGGAAAGGAGGTCAGTGGATTTCATTTACCCTCCGAGCCTCGTCGACTGCCTTTTCAGCTTCCCAGCCATATGCATGCGTTCTGCTGTGTGGATTTCCATATAGATCGGTGAAATAGGGGAGCATCGCGTCGAGGACGCGTGGGTCCATGGGCGTTGTGGCCTTGTGGAGGGTGTGAGTGATGAAATTACGAGTAAAGAGGAGATATTTGTGTACCTGGGCATCCAGGTAGATTGGATTGAGGGCGGCTGCGGGGGATGGATGCTGCGACAGTTCTAGCGTGGATGTCGAGGGCTCTGTGGCCAATATTAGCGTCTGAAAATACATACTGATATCTCTAATAATCACCTGGGCCGCGTTTCAGACTCTCCAGACGCGCCGAGGGGACTTCGAGCACGCTGGCCTTTGTGGCCGTCGACGACTGGGCGAGTGCGCGTCGAGAGACGAGAGCAGGGAATTTTGTGATATTTCTTCGTTTTTGTGCGCGCAAAGCCGCGCGCAGCACCGGACTTGCCAACATTTTTGGAGAGGACCAACGAGCAACAGGGACGGGTGACAGGACTTCGCAGTTCAGCGCGGGTCAGCGCCCGGGGACAAGGCCCAGAGAACACATGAAATAGGATTAAATATGCAGATCGTTGGTGTCGATTACTCGTCATCAGTCTATAAATTCCACCAATTACGGCCACCCACAAACAAACCCAGACTTGGACCCGACCGCCACCCACCCACTCTCCAGCGCTCCCCGAAAAGCTTCACAAGCCCCCTCCAGCGCATCTCTACCATGATCCAGCTCGCTCAGATGTCTCCCCTCCCTGTTCTCGACGCCCACAGCCCGCTTGCCACCCAAGAGTCAAAGGCAGAGGACGTGCTCTCGCTCTTTGGTGCGTCGTTGACGGCTTCTAGTACTTTTAGAGCTTATTTTATCATCACAGTCTCTGATCTCGCGCCGTACGCGACAGAGGAGGACCTCCAAAACGTCTTTAGCTTCCCCATGGACCATCTCCCCGGCGACGCCCTCGGCCGCGTCTATATCTACCCCTTTGTGATCACCGACATTCGTATCGTCAGCAGCGCCGGCAGCGGCTCCAAGTATGCGTTTGTCCGCTTCCCGTCCATCGCAGAACGCACCCGTGCCCTCTACATCATGCAAGGCGTCCTCTGCCTTGGTCGCCCGAGTGCGTACATCTCCCTTTAGCTACGAGCTCCCTTCATCTCTGACACTCTTTCTAGTTCGTCTCTCCCGCGCACACGCCAAGGACCGTGCGCGCGACAAGCCCGAGCTCGTCTTGTTTGCTAATCAGCGCTCCCGTGACGAACGTCAGCGAGATAACATTGTTATCGACCAGTTCAATGCACAATGGGCTTCGGTCGATCCGAAGAACACAAAGGTCTTTGTCGGTGGCATCTCCCCACGCGTCCTCCTTCAAGAGCTCGTCAACCGGTTCGCGGCCATGGGCGTAATCACAAACGTACGCCTCGCTTCTTGATTCTTCGCCCTCCTGACTCACCGCCACCCAGGTCAATTTTGGCAAGGGATGCGCCTTCATCTCCTTTGCCCGCAAGCATGACGCAGCGCTTGCCATTGAGCGTCTCGATGGCATGATCATGGACGGAAAGTCTCTTCGCGTTACCTGGAGTCGCAGTAGTGGTACGTACTGTGTTGCGAGGCCATCCTTTCTTGCATGCTCATGTCCTCCTAGTTCAACCACTGCTCCAGCAGCAGCGCACACTCGCCAATTCTTCCCCTCCAAGCTCAGAGAGCAGTTCGCCCGACGTCAAGTTTACGGCGCATACCCCCAGCTCACCCCGTTCGCCCATTACTCCTATCACCCCGTTCGGGAACCTCTCCTTCCCCCAAGTCGCTGGAACAGGTACTCGAATCGGAAACGGTTCCAAGTCTAGGAGCGGCTCAGTCTCGTCCAAGGCGAGCATGGCTCCTCTCCCCAACTTGTACCCGCTTCGCGAGATGGACGAGTCGGCGACGGCGCTCGAACTTGCTCCCGCTTTGGCCCGGCGCCGAACGGTGGCCAACGTTGCTCGACACCGTGCTGGCTTGCTCGAATCTGATTCCTCCCCCTTCTTATCGGTCAAGACTGGTGACGCTATCGGTCTCAATACGGCAGCGCCTGGCATGGGCAGGCGCGTCTCTCTCCCGGATAACGCTCTCTGATCCCGAGGAAACAGAAACGGTACTTGTAAAAACGACCGCACGTGTGACTGTATCCTTTTCGTTCTCTCTCTTCCCCCTTCACCAGAACTCCGTCCTTGTGCACGAGCGGCTCTACTCATGGACAGTTCTCCCCATCTCCAGTCTCCACCTTTCTCTCTCTCTCTGTATCATCACCCACGGTGTCGCGGCTCGTTTAGTCTCTTTATCGCCCCTTCCGCACGCTCGCCCTGCTCTTTGCTGGGCTCCGAGCGGCTTATTGCCCATTGTATCGTACACACGTCCTCATTGTAGTTGCAATAGACATGGATGTGGCAGCCCCTCTCCCGTTGGCTAAAGGTCTGAGATAACATAGTCAAATACACGCCATGATAAATAAAATGTCCGTCAAAAGTCCATCTACCCGAGCGTCCTCAAGACACCGTCAGTAATCTCGAGGATACGATGAATGTCTGGACGCGAGGCGGGATCGACGACCATGCATGCGTCGATAAGATCCCGTAGTCCCTGAGAGTAGGCACCTGCCGCTGCCGCCGGATGCTTGTACTGTCCGTTCATGGCCGCCATTGCGATGGAGCCACCCGCTTGTTCCGCCGTTTCGAATGGCGAGCGGTTATACGCGAGCGCGTAGAGCGTGCAGCCGAGAGACTGGGGCAGGTGTGAGCTTCCCAGCGTACATTTTAAGAAAAAGCGTACCCAAATGTCCACCTTTTCGTCCAATGTTACTCCCGTTTTGACGTCGAATAGCTCTGGAGCGCGGAAAGTCATTGTGCTTTGCTCGGCTGCAATGTCCTTCATGTTCGTTAGCCGCCGCTCTAAATATAGGGTAATATGCTTACCTGTTGAGTGAGAGCTTCACTCCTCGTCGCAATGTACATCCTCGCCACGACGGTGCTCCCGAAATCCATGAGAATCGGGTTCCCCTCGTCGGAGAGCATGACGTTGCCGGGCTTGATATCCCTATGTGCATACGGCACGTGCATGCGCTTCATCCCAGGCGGCACCTCTCCATTCGCACTCCCGCTATCGTACCCTGCATCGTGCGAGGGTTGTTGCGCATTGAGTCGTTCGAGCTCTTCGTCACCGTCGAATACGACTCCTGGCTTTCCCTTTCCTTTTGCACTTGTGCCCTTTTTGTTCTTTGGTGGGACGAGCGGGACGGAGCCGCCGTATGAGTATCCACCATCCGTGTCGCCTTCGGGTTCAGGAAACGAGTGGTCATCTTCTGGTTCCTCGTCTTCATCGTCGTCTTCTGCAATGTTCGAAGGGTTGGTATACCCATCTTTGAGCTTGGATGGTTGTGGGCGGAATGTCTCGGGTCGGATCGTCGACGTCGAGGATTGGGCAGAGTGGTGCGCACGCGTGACGGGCGCGTTCGAGTCTGGCGTGTTGATGGGTACCAATACGTGGTAGTCGTGCATCGCTCGGACGGCCTCGCAGGTGCCTTTGAAGAGGACGAGCATTTCCTTTTCCGAGAAGCGGGTATTGTTGACGGTGTTGGCGTTTATAGCATCTTGGAGATTACCACGCTATAGACAAAATGCTTAGCTTCCGAAAGTGTCATTTGGAGACACGTACCTTGTAAAGCGGAAGGAAAAGGTAGACAATCTTGCCCTCTCCAGAGGGATCCTGCACCACGGAAGAGTCCTAATTTGTCTTTAGTGGATACCATTGGTTCATATTGAACCTTCATACGTATATGCGAATAATATTGGGATGCCTAGGCATTGTCGGTCAGTCGGTTCTCTTCGACTAATGAGCTATCTACCTAAATCTGCGATACGCTTCAATTTCTCTCATAGCGCCCTTGACGCCCTCCGAGTTGTGGACACGAATCTTCTTGAGTGCAAACTCTCGCTGGCCAATTGTCAGTGTCCGAGCATAGATTAGAGGTTTCTGGCCACATACTCCCGTGGATTCGTCTTGCGCGAGATAAACAAATGAGAATCCTCCCTCGCCGAGCGCCTTGACGATTTTGTCTGTGTGATGGCAAATAAGTGGGCTTAGCGACGACTGCGCGTCTCGAGGAAAATGCAAAAATATGACCACATACATGTACGACCGTTGACCTTTACCGTCGCCGATGGTTTGCAGACGCAGCTCGTCAGGGCCCATATCGCATCCTGGGCTTGTGCCTTCAAGGCGTCAAACCGTCGTAATAAGCTATCCTGATAGCTCATAATATCTTGTATAATCTGTGTGTATGCTGCAAATGAGCTGCCCTGTTGGCCCCGCAGTAAGGCGGAAGTACAAGTTGGACTCCTGCCGTGTTGGCTACATTTGACCAGCCTCGACGTCTTGGCCACCAAAAATCTGCTGCAGCAACGCGTAATGAGCACAAAACCAGCGCATCAAGTCGTCAAGGGACGACGGGCGACGCTCAGCGACGTAGACGCCAGTCAAGCACACTATATCGCGACGTAAGCCAGCCGTGCACGTCTTGTCGGCGCCGTCTCGCTAATACGCTGCTTGTTACAGTAAAACAACCGACGAAAACGTCTATCTCTTTGTGCCAAATCTCATTGGTGCGTCGTCGAAATGTTTCAGTTATGTAAGCCACAACTCGCTGACGTTCTCTTCTTCATGCGCAATTTGCATTCGTTTGAATGGTATAAATGATTGGGATATCTTTGGGCCAACAGGATACGCGCGTGTCATCTTGGCAGCGCTAGCGCTCTACTATATGCCATTCCACCCACGCTACTGCACCTTGCTATACGGTGCCTCTACTCTTTTGGATGCTGCTGATGGCTATGCTGCGCGGACCCTCAAGCAGGCCAGCCAGTTTGGTGCCGTACTCGACATGATCGTAGACAGGCAAGACTTGTTTCGTATTCACGTCGTGTATCAAAACTCATATTTACATCAGATGTACGACGAGCTGTCTGCTATGTTATCTTGCCTCTGCCTATCCAAACTATGCCTTGCTCTTCCAGGCACTAATAAGCCTCGACTTTTCGAGCCATTACATGCACATGGTCAGGTGTGTGCTATCCAGAATACCCTAAGGATGTCATTTTGATCATGCTCAGCACGCTGACAACTGGATCTCGTCATCACAAAGAAATTAAAGAGGACGTGAGCCGCATCCTCCGCTGGTACTATAAAAAGGTTAGCGGCTATTCCTATTCCAAACTACCAAAGCTCACGAAGATAGCCCGTCCTCTTCACCATGTGCGCAGGCAATGAGCTCTTCTTTGTCGCCCTCTACCTCGTCAAATGGGACAAGACTCCCCTCTACACCCTCTTGCCATATTCGCTGACGACTTCACCATTCTTCATCGAATATGTGCCAAGGTGGATGGTTCACGCTACGTTCGCTCAAACTCTTGCTACCGTCACTCTCCCCATTTGCGTTGGGAAAAACATTGTCAACGTCGTTCAGGCTTGGAAGGCGAGCAAGGTTCTTGTCGGCGTCGACCTGAGAGAGCGAGCTTTGGCACAATCCAAGTCTAGCTGACGGACGGAGGACGATTGGACGAAGCAACCACGACACGAAGGACGCTGATATTAACATTTAAACTATCCGCTGCCCTGTTTAAATAGATGATGATACTCTACAGTCATCCTGACGGATTCCCTCTCAAGAATGCACACGCGCTGCTAACACCCTTGATGAGAGCCATTCTATGCAACAGTCAGGATAGGAATAGAGATTCCACGGGAAATAGGATGCTTACTCGATCGTCCCAACGTCATCGCTCTCCGCCCGAGTCATCGACCAAGAGGGCAGCATTCCTGAATGTTGGAGCTTCGTCTTCGCGAGCTGCAGCTCTTCGGCGAATGGTTCCGACACGTCATCCCACACTTCCTTCCAGTACTTTAACGTCAACGCACCACCCAACGAGGTGGATGCTGTGTCTATGATTGTAAGGGCGCGTTTTCTTGCAATTCGAGCGTCATCCCCTTCCTCGGGCAAGACGGATAGCGCTTCCTTTGCGAGCTCGATGGCCGCGTCTCGATCTCCTGTTTCGCAGAGAAAGAGCGCGAGGTCGACAAGTTCCCCGGCAGTACACGGATGATGCCGTCCATAATGCTTCTCTAGGCCGTCGACGACCTGAAGTTGCAGGTTTCTGGCCATCTTTTGGCCGTTGAACCCTCGATAGTATTGAAATGCCACACGAGACAGCAACCGGTAAACATCGACGCTCGGTAGTTTCCCTCTCGAGGTCTCAATCTCTATAATCCTTTGGAGGATCTCGTTTGCTTCCTTTGGTTGATGTCGTCGTTCATGACCACTCGCGAGGGAAAGCATTGCTTCGAGGGTCTGATCATTGTTCTTTCCTCGATTTTTTTCAAGTAGAGTAATGATCTGAGACTTCATCTCCAGGGCATTGTTGAATCGCTTTCGTTTATCGTACGCATTGGCCAGATGTCCCATTGCAGTTATCGAGAGATCATGGGTATCTCCATATACTTCCATAATGTGCGGTAGACCCTCTTCTAAGATTTTTTCCATGTCAATCCACTTCTTGAGAGTGGCATAGATTTCAGCCAGGAGCAAAATGGCCTCGAGGACAATCTTGTGAGATGGACCAAGCGTCGCTCGACCCCTCTCGACTACTCGTTGGTTGACCGCTCGTGCTTCTTCATATTGTTCGAGTTTGAAGTGAACGAGTCCTAAGTGCTGTAGCGCATCGAGGGTGTCGTTGTGGCTCTGGCCAAGCTCAGCTTCCAGCCCCGCAGAAGCCTCACGAGCATAGACGAGTGCTCTGGTAAAGGCTTCTTCCTGAAGAAAGATCTTGGCAAGGATGCACTTTGCTTGAAGGATGACAAGCTTGGGTCGAGTCGCGAGTCTCTCAAACTTCTTCAACGTGTCTTGTAATATCTGCTTTGCCCGCGTCCTTTTCCCCAATACCTGAAGACTCTTGGCAAGTTGCACTTTTGCTCCAAGGGTCTTGATATGACTGAGACCCAGTTTCTCGGAGTAGATCTCCACAACGGATGATTCAACGATTTCTCGCTGAACATCGTCCGGCTGAAGGGTAGTTGCCAGCTCTACCGACACCGTGGCCACGTGCAGGTGAAGTCTTCCCAGCGTCGTAATAAGCTCCTCCCGCACGTTTATCCAGACACGTTGCGCTCGTTCGTGTTGACCCGCCGCCTGGAAAAGGCTCGCAAAGGCAGCACGGTCGTTGACGTGCATCAGAGCTATAGATGACCCACACAAAAGACTATCGGCGTGGGACATGAGATACGGTCGAAGAGCTTCGCTTTCAACGGCGCAAGCAACTAGACGCGTCGCGGCCTCTCTGTACAAAGCTTGATCTGAGCTGGGTGTGCGTAGTCTTGCCCATTCATGTAGCAATGGGTGAATGCGTAGCATGAGGCTGTGGCGAGACTCGGAGAAGGATACCAGAGAATGGTTCTGGATGGCCTCTACGATTCTTCCCAGCGAACGATCGGTCCATGGCCCATCCTTGCAGAAGATGGACCGAAGGAGAGAGATTGACTTTGTGAAATCCCGGTTGCGTCGCACAAAATCTTGAGTTTGCACTTCGAATTGCTTCGAGGCCGCGAGCGAAATGATGGTCATCGGAAAGTCGTTGTGATGCAAGAAGGAAAGAATGCAGATCAAGTTCCGGACGTGTTGAGGAACAATCTCCCACATCACGTCGAAGGAAGCGAAGGCACCTCGCTGATGTGCAGTCACTGAACCCTCGAGGATGTCCAGTCGGTGAACGCGATATAGCTCGAGGTATTCAGCTCCTGAGCACTTAGTACGGGCGATATAGCGTGCGGCTTGATTGAGTGCAACGGGGAGGTATCCAAGAGCTTCTCCTATGGCTCTAGCTGATTGTCGGTTCTCCTCTGTGTCTGCCCATCTTGTTACACCCATGATCATTTGAATCGCTTCATTTGGCGTCATCATGTCGAGTTCGATATGGAGATGAGCCTCGGCGCCTCTCATCTTGTTACGAGAGGTGATAATGATCAACCCTCTTGCCTTGCCTGGCCTCGGAAGTAGTTCCTGGAGATTGAGGTCAACAGAGTCGACATTGTCGTAGAAGAGTAATATTTTCTTCTTCTTCTCCCCAAAAAAGTTGAGCGCCTCCTTCCAACTGGCCTGAACCTTTCCTTTTGCTCTTGCATGGAATTCCAAGTCTTGTTTAATCGTTCGCTCAGATTTTCCGTCAATGAAGTAGACCTCATCGAACCTAGGATTCGAATGAGCTCTGAAGCAAACAAGCTAAGATGGTCACTCACGAATCCACATTCTCTTGAGCAAACTGCGTGGTTAACCAAGTCTTGCCGGCGCCTGCGAAGCCCGAAACGACAATGACTCTCATAGTTGGATAACCTTCCAACATTTCGTTGAGCAACAGGCAGTATGGTTCGTCTCGCCTAACGAAATAGCCTGTTAGAACCGGGAGTCCCCTGTCAAACTCCACAGGTCCTGGAACTTTGTCTATAGACAATCAGGTGTGATAAGAGCTGACTAAAATTACTCACTGATTGACTCCAAGGTCGTCATTCCCTCAGGTTTGACAAGCGCAGCTGCCAGTTTTTGTAAATTGCCTCGGACGTCCACTTGTTCAAGGTATGTATCCACCATAGCGCTCATCTTGTCCAATTGCGCATCATTCACGATAAGATCGGACATTCCCTGCATCCCTTGGTCTACCGAAAATCGATAGAGGACTCCGCTGTGACCCATCCGGTTTGCCATCTGCTGTGCAGTCATTTCGCAGTTTGCGAGGAGTCTCTCTCTGATTTCCGATCTCACGGCGTCTCCTCTTCCGAAGAAACCGGGGGGTTTGTGATAATCTGGATCGAGAGAGATAATCCCCGGATGGCCGCTCCCGAAACTGGCGATAACAGACACGAAACGCTCAGGTGTAAAGCGTTCTTGGGCTTCTTGGAGGAGCTGCGGCAAAGGATTAGGGTGCCCAAGGGAGGCACTAATAAAGCTGCGTGTCTGTGTAAGATCTGTAAGGTTGTTGGGGGTGATTGTCGCAGAGGGGAATAGCGGGTAGCCAGCACATGTCACACGAGCGGCATCGAGGACTGTGATGTTAGCTTGGTAAAAATGTGGGGCCATATAGGTACGAAATGTGGATACTGATCCGAGACTGCCAGCAGGGACCGCAAGGATGAACCCTTGGCATTGGCCATCCACATCTCTCTCGTTTAACAACGGATGATCGATCGCCTTGTGATGCTTCAGTAGCAAATCTTCGAAGAATGCTCTAAGCGCAGCCTCCCGCTCTGCCGATGAGGAGATGTCGTTCGTATACACCTGGGTGCAGAGAGCGCGAAAGCATTGAAGAGCCTCGAGGGCAGTCATATCAAACACGATCAAGAAGAGTACGACGAAGCTGCAAATATTGTCAGAATATTTTGTAGCAATGAACCTGAACTCACCCTCCAGCATCGCTGCCACCGATAAGATCAAAGTATGTAGCTGGGCGGATGTCTTCTCTTCCTTCGCGCTGACCAATGACATGCATCAAGTTGCAGAGGATCTTGAGCTGTGAGAGTACGCGCGCACCGCCGCCGTCTTCGACAATTGAAGATTAGAGTCTACTCTCGATCTACTATCCAATGCTCACCAAAGCTGGCTAGGCGCAATCCTCTATCGCCATCTCTGGGCATTCTTTCGTCCATTATTTCTCTTCGCACGCCGATGGCTCGAGTATTTAAGGAATACTGCGGGAGAATGGTAGGGCCCGGAGACTGGCTTTGACCAGCAGCGATGGCCCAATGCGGTGAGTGCGGGATGCTTGACTATAGATTAGTGATTGCATTCGTCCCCGCCACTTGCTGGCTGCTAAAGGAGGCGGCAATTCGTGAGATGGTCAGTATCTGTCGCATTTATCTAGCCTCTTTGAAGCCCCAGCGGCATAGCTGGACCACCTTTTTGTCACAGCCTCTGATGGTCGAGGTGGTCAGAGTGGCTTGGAGCCATTTACCACATGTCATAATCGAGGTCCTTACAAAACTCGCTGCTGCCTTACAAATGTCCCAATTCTCTGCCCCTAAAAAGACAAAAGGAAATGTTATGTGCACCTCTTTTGCTCGGTTACTGCTTTCAGCCCCTGGTCTCGATCTGGACTAACGCGACTGAATTTGCGTCAATCCTTGGCGCTGACAAACTCAGAAGGTCTCTACCGGACCCGTGGGTACTGGCAGGGTCCAAGCTAACGGCCACCACCTCGATCACGTCGACGCCGCTTGGACTGTGGACTTTCCTCGATGAACCACGCGCTATCTTTTCTTCACTTCCGCCCCACTTTCCGCGCAACAGTGAGTAGCTTTTGGACCCCGCCGTTTCTTCATGGACTCATTTGGCACCGGCTACGACAGAACAACACCCAAGATTGATCAATCGCCGTTTAATCTCACGCACTCAGAGGCGGCAACCTCATACGCTGGTTCTATGGCCGATCCAAAGGTGGCATATACCGACGACGACGGGAAATCTGGCATATCTGCTCTTTCGGAGCAATCTTCAGTGGTCGACGAGCGCCTCCTCAGGACCGTAGAAGGAAGAGTGAATCTGTTCATTGGATTGGAGACAGCACCCACTTACCAAGTACTAGAAATTTAATACACTGACCGAAACGTATTTTTTGCCTGCAGGTCAGTCTACCGCATTTTCGAGAAACGAGTTGACACCCTCATAGATGAGGATGAGTGGTCTCGCTTGTACGTTTCCATCCACATGTTTCCCACTAGCACTTATAGTCACAGAAACAAACAACATATGGCCATTGGACTAGGCCTCCAGGGGCTGTTTCCCAACGGAGACATAGTGCGCGCAATCCTACAAACCAAAGATGGGGAAGGAAAAAGTATTCTCGATCTAGGTCCGTCTGAGACTATTGTTCATGCCGTTCCTGAATGGTATCGTCAGGGTGCGGGACTGGTGTCTGGTCAGTGAATCTCCCATCCCGTATTTGGCGCAACGAATGTTTCAAGGTCTCTCGAAATGGCAAAAGCCTATCCTCGCGCTCGCGTTGTTGGCATCGACCTTGCTCCCGTTCCAATTGACCCAGAGACCAAGCCGCCAAACTGCACGTTTGAAATTGACAACATCAATAATGGTCTCACTCATTTCGACAAGCAATTCGATGTCATTAATGCGAGGTTGATTGGTTTCGGATTGCAGAATTTTCGCAAGTCAATGGTCGACGTTGCCAGGTGTTTGAAGCCTGGGGGGATCGTCATTTGGTTGGACGGGGACTATGACCTATATTGGGGTTATCCACCCAAATATATGCCTCCATACTCGGAGGCCTATCCCGAAGGTTCAGGTCTTCAACGGATCTTCTACGGTACTATCGATTCAGATACGTTCTGCGATTATTAAACGTCCTTTAGAAACTAGACGTGCGGCCACAGCCAAAGGGAGTGACATATTTGGGATGTCTCTTGCGTTGGATGAAGGTGTGGATGGACTTGCATTTTTGTCTCAATGCTTACGATCTACAGGACTATGGCAACAAAGTGACATTCTGGATCCTGCTACGTAATGCTCGCACCTACTCACGCACCCATTGCTAAATCGCTCCTCAGGTGCCAAACCGCCAGTCTACTCCTCCCTATGGGTGAGTGTCCTCTGTCTAAAGAATGAATCAAATCTCATTGGTTATAAAGGTGAATGGATGAAGAGTATGGGGATCACAAATCTTGCTGGCCGATTGACAGACAGGATATAGGTGACGATATCAACGAGGCACAGCTGTTAGGCTTTGTTGGCAAGTTGATGCGTCAAGATATTATGGTAAGTGGTACCACACAGCTGCTCTAGTTTCTGTTAATGTACCTCAGGCAGCGCACAAGGGCGCTCAGCCCGTTCTTCTCAAAGCGGGATGGCCTCAAACCGTGCTTGACGAATGGTCTTCCAAAGCTGATGATGGTGCGGACTCTTGTCCTTTCAATCCACTGCTCATACCTTACATGTAGAAATTACAAACGGCAAGGTTTCGATTCGAATGAGGTAAGCACTTAACGAGATCGCACACGCACTCTCATTTCAATAGGCTGGCTTGGGGACGTCGTCGAGGAGATTCTGGACAACCAGCTCCCGCGCTCGAACCAATTCCGGTAGACGACTCGGAAAGGCCACAGGTCAAGTATCCACACTACGAGATTTACCAAACAAAGGAGCAATCTCTCGCCGCTGTGGAGAAAAGAAAGGCCGGAAAGAACATCACCCCGCCTCCGTTCCCTCCCTCGCCCTAGCTCTGGTACAGGCACGCTTTCGTATTCTGCGTGTAATGTAGAACCGGCTCATAAGAGAGTTTTATCTGATTTCACTGAAATTCCCCAGGTCAGGTGTTGCAAAGTGTATAACAGCTGTGTTTCGCAAGATGACATGAACAACCCGGTACGCTGGGGATATCCAACGGCGCTCAGACTGTGTCAGAGTGTGCGTCGATCGATGAGGTACAATCTCGACAATGCTGATCCGCATATACGCCGAGTGCGGGGAAAGGGGTTCTCACCTCGTATAGGATATCACGCGTCGGGTTAGATAACACCTATTAAACAAACGGATACGGCCATTGGCCTCCTTGGTATCTCTCGACTCCACCCCCGATGTCGACTAATATTGCGAGTCCAACCTTTGCCGAAGTTGGAGGACGAGTATGATTCATCACATCTGCTACTCTCGTCTGCTAATCAAGTAGCTTCACAATGTCTCAGGAAGCTACCGATTGCCCATTGGTCCGTGCATGTCACGATAGTTGCTACGTTGATTCATCTGTTTCTAGATGACGACGAATGGTCAAGGCTGTAGGTGCAACAAGCGTTAACCTACTGCCGGCTTATCCGTCTCGCTGAGTAATAAGCAGCACATAGTGCTCTCCTATGCTCAAGGTGGACTCCTCCCAGCGCCGGCTCATAGCACGATAAACGCCATACTTCGTGCTGAAGATGACAAGCCGAAAGCAATACTGGATCTTGGTGAGGCTATGCATCCTGTTGATACCCTGGTTGACGTAATAGTATCTAGGGACTGGATCTGGTGTTTGGTTTGCCAGTTCTACGCAGTTGAATTGCAGCTGAAATGTCACAGGTGTATTGAAATGGCAAAAGCATTTCCACATGCCAAGGTTTTTGGCATCGACAAAACGCCTGTACCCAACGCCCATTCAGCACCGTCAAACTGCATATTTGAAGTGCACGATTTGAACCTTGGATTATCCAAATACCGAGAGCAGTTTGATATCGTACACGCGCGTGCGATTGGAATAGGTTTGAAGAACGCACTTACGACAATAGAGGAAGCTACTCGGTGCTTGAAACCCGGGGGTGCAGTGTTCTGGCTCGATGGGGACTATGATGCTTACTCGTCTTGGCCAAGCAAGTACCTAGCACCGCTGAGTGACGATAATCCCAATGGATCCGCCTTTTCGCGACTTCTATATGGTACTCGTTTCGAATTAACATTCCCTAATTTTGGGGCTGACATCGATGGTAGAAAGCCGCCGCAGTGCAATCAAATTTGGTGGAGATGTGTCAAGAATGGTCGAGGCTATGGATAGAGGCCTTTGGGATCAGTCCGAGCTCATTGACCCCGAAACGTGAGTTTGGCTCGGCTCCGACTGATCGCTTACCCTGAGAATACGTAGAGTGAAAGCAGCTAATGTGTATCTCCCTATGGGTATGTATTGCACTAGTCTACTTTGGACATGATTGACGACATCTTGAGGGACGTGGCTGAAAGGAGACACACCAGAGAAGACTTCCATGCTTCAGAGAATGGGAGAGCTCCTTCGAGAAGACTTTATCGTGTGTACTGATATAGTCTTCATCGTGGATTCACTGATGGGCTTCAGAATGCGACAAAGGGGATGGAGGCAATGCTTCTCGGCGCTGGCTGGACGGCTCAAGAGCTGGAACAGTGGGTTAAAAAGGCTTTAGAAGGTGCATTTTCAGTCATCCTCATGATCGATACTAACACGTCCTCACCAGAACTAAAAACAGATCCAATAGGCGTTCGAGCGAGGTATTCTCGCCGTTCTCTAACAATGTCTCTCTATTCATCATCCCTCAGAATGACCTGGGGTCGCCGCAGAGAAGGACCTAAGCAACCTGCCCCCAACCTAAACTTCCAGGACAGCAAGGGTCTTGGGCTTTCTCCACATCCGGTCGATTACCCGTATTTTGAGCTCTACTATAACCAGGAGCAGAGCCTGGAAGCCAAGATTGAGCGGGATATGGGCAAGGACATCAACCCACCAAGTTCTCCGGGACCAAAGCCACTGGAATCCATTTCAACGTAGTCAATCGGGTACTTTGATATCACACTCACACGATGATGATATTTTGGAGCATAAATTCGGCTCCTTGGTATCTCTGCGTCTAACGATGCTGGGAAACGATGCGAATGTATTTGACATAAGAAATGACACGAAAAGACTTGAGAATTCGTCTATCTACGACTTGGCGCGGCTTTCGATGCCTTGTTTGAGTGCCTCGCAAGTTTCACGCGCATCTCCGAGCAACATCTTGGTGTTCTTCATGTAAAACAGAGGATTGGGAACTAAGAAGCAGGATATCAGCATGGTAGCTACTGGAGACACATTGATGGCACACGTACTATCGGCATATCCACCTGCCAGAGACCGTTTCATCACTATCACATTCTTGGACTTCCACACATGAAGGACGGGCATGCCATGGATAGGCGACCCAGGCTCCAAGCTCGAAGGATTCACAGTGTCATTGGCACCAATGATCTGCGAGCAAATACGTTAGACTGCATCGTGAATAAGCTAAATGATTTACCAATGTGAGATCGGTGTCGCTAAAGTCGTCATTGATTTCCTCCATCTCGAGTACGACTATGAGACGATTAATCGAGAGCTACCACGTTACAATGCGCTGCCTACCGTCGTATGGAACACCAGCTTCGGCTAAGAGGACATTGATCTGGCCTGGCATTCTTCCAGCTACTGGATGCTGGCATCGACGTGAGCTCTGCAGATCTGGCCAAGGGTCTAGGACTTACTACTCCGAAGCGAACTTTGATTCCGCGGTCAGTAAGTGCTTTGACAATATCTGCAATAGCGTATTGTGCTTTCGCTACCGCAAGACCATAACCTGGGGTGATGATGACCGTCTCAGCATCCAGGAGCGCGTCGACTGTCTCTTCTACCGAGGTCTGTGATACTTTGAGCAATATTCGGGGACCTTTGGCCAAGAGGACATACCTTGGTGACCACACCCTCGAGTTTCTTTGTGGCTTCTGCTGGCGCTGCAATACCGCCAAACAGAACGTTGGTCAAGGACCTGTTCATTGCCTTGCACTATGGCCAGCATGAGCACCAACACGGGGTGATCAGCGTGACTTTTGACTTACCATGATGTAGCTTAGAATAGAGCCACTAACCCCTATAAGGCTACCCACTGTTGTGAGGAGATCGTTCTGCAACATTAGTCCCTCGGCAACAAGGGCGAATCCGGAGTAGGCGTTCAGAACGGTGATCACCACGGCTATATGCGGATAGTTAGCATGATCTCGACAAGGTGAAGAACGACATACGCATATCAGCACCGCCAACCGTTGCAGTAAGGGTGAATCCCTTCAAAAAGCTGAGGATGGTGCTTGCGCCGAGGAACCCGGCAGCCACCATTGGCACCGTCGGCGCAGCAGCAACAAATGCCCCCATTGTGGCCACGTTCGTGCCCAGCAGCCCAATGTTTGTCAAATGCCCACCAAGCAGCCTGATAGGCTTGCTTGAAACACGGCCGCTGAGTTTCGCAAAGGCAACCAAGCTGCCAGTAAACGTGATGCCACCGACAATGACACCAAGATAGGATAATGCCAGATGGAGCGACGTCGCATGTCCGAGGTCGGAGAGAACGCTACCAATGCAGGTGAACACGGCGGCGAGACCAACTACAGAGTGCAATGCAGCGACGGTTTGCGGAAGCTCCATGGCTGTCACGCGGCGTCCGATAAAAAGACCGGCTGAGCCGCCTACGGCAGTGAGAATGGCGAATTGAGCGAGAACGTCTGGGGTGAAGCCAACAGCCAGCAAGGAGGCGAGAATCCCAAAGGTTACACCAAGTATACCGAGGACGTTTCCTTGTCTGGCGGTCACTTGTGACGCGAGGGATGAAATGGAGCCTAAAAAAACGATGAGAGAGAAAAAAATGAAAGGATTTTCGAGCTTACTGATGCAAAGCAAGCTGCTAGCAAGATACCCCGCTTGGACAAGCCCCGTGGCACCAGTAGAAGCCGCAGCAAGGAATGCGCCGGTGAAAACCACGCCAGGAATGGCATAGAGGTAGAGGTATTCGGGTGCATCTGTCGCCCTCTTAAACATACCCAACATTCTGCGGGTGATTTCGAAGCCTCCAAAGATATTGACGTTGGCCAGAAGCACCGAGATGGCTGCAAGCCATTGTGCGGGAGTGTGCGGCATAATTCCACCTCCCATGACGAACATCCCACCAACAGCCTACAAGAATCAGGTAAATGGGATTAAAAAGATAAAAAATATCCTACCACAAGACCAGAGACGGCGTTTGTAACAGACATCTAAATAGGAGTGTCAGACAGGGAGCGATAACTTCAGAGGGCATACCAAAGGCGAATGCAATGCTGGAGCGACGCCCCACACGGCTCTATATCCAATCAAGCTCGCAAGTCCGAGAGTGAAAATGTTCGACATGAATCCTGCACCAGTAACTGCACCGATACCAACGATGCTGCCCAAGCCTCCAGTGAGAAGTGAAACATCGGTGACCGCCTTTTTATAAGGAGTGATAGCAACCACCTCTTCGACCTTTGCGGCTGCCTCTGCCGCCACAGGAGGTGCAGGAGGCGGTGGGGGAACAGGCGCAGGCCAAAGCAATTCCTTCTTGTGCGTGACAATTGACCGCCTCACGACCTCGTCTTCCAAGTCGACGCGGAACTTCTTGTCTTCAGTTCCCATGGACAAAAGATACTTGGTGACGTTGTTTGAATACAGTGTACTGGATTGAGTGGGCAGACGACTTGGAAGGTCGGTGTAGCCTACGGTCGAGTGAACCCGAAGTCTCTAGCACAGCTAATGAGGACCTACCGATAACGGAAACACCATCATGGACGATCATTTGTCCGGGCTTCGTCACCTCGCAATTGCCTCCAGCTTCAGCCGCCAAGTCGACGATCACTGAGCCCTGCTTCATCGCGGCGACCATCTCTTTCGTGATAAGCTTGGGTGCCGGTTTTCCTGGAATGAGTGCGGTAGTGATAATGATGTCGATTTCTTTGCATTGCTCCATAAAGAGCGCCATTTCAGCCTCGATGAATTCCTTGCTCATCGTCTTGGCATAACCGCCAACACCTGTTCCGTCTTCCTTGATGGAAACTTCAAGGAATTCCTATGTCTTGTCAGATCAGCTGGTTGGCGGCAAGACCTCACTTACGCCGCCTAGACTCTCGACCTGTTCACGGGCCGCAGCTATGATATACGTAAGTAGACATTCATAACGTCAAAAGTGCTTACGGCGCGTGTCAAAGCATCGCACAATTGCACCCATCCGTCGAGCGGTAGCCAAAGACGAGAGACCGGCAACTCCAGCGCCAATAATGAGAATTTTAGTCTGTAAAAATTGTGTCAGTAGGTTATTTCAGGATTCAGTCTCACTTACCGGAGGAATCTTTCCAGCAGCAGTGACCTGTCCAGTCAAAAACCGACCAAAGACGTTGCTCGCTTCAAGGACGGCTTTGTACCCAGCAATATTCGCCATAGAGCTGAAAATTATTAGTCGAATATCCGTAATATATGGATGGAAAGCATACCTCAGAGCATCAAATGTTTGCGCGCGGGTGATTCTTGGTACCTGGTCCATAGCAAAGAGGGTGACATCCTTTTCCTTGAGCGCCTTGACAAGCTCTGGGTTTTGTGCCGGATAGACGAAAGAAATCAAAGTCGATCCATTCTTGATCAAGTCGATTTCGTGAGGACCATGAGACGCCCCACCATCAAGGAGAGGAGCCCTAACTTTGAGAAGAATGTCGGACGATGAATATACTTGGTCACGGGATGCCATTGTGGCCCCAGCTGCGGCGTAATTCTCGTCAAGGAACTGAGACTGGAAGCCAGCGCCATTTTCGACCCAGACTTGCTTGAAACCCTTCTTCAAGAGGAGGGCGACATTCTGGGGCGTCAGTGCGACTCGTCGTTCGCCCGGAAACTGCTCGCAAACAACGCCAACCGAAAGCTGGCCAAATGGGATACCGGCAGCACCTAGAGAGCATCCAGAGGACTTCAAGGTCAGGTAATTGGCCAATTAATGTTCTACTAACCTGCCGTACCGGCTGGAACTGCACCATCCGCCCTAGCGCGTGCAGAAGGCGTGAAGTGTCGGATAGTCCAAGCAACGTTTTGTACCTTGAGACGTCTGAGTGTCGTTGTCGACGATCCCCAGCATCGCCAGCGGGCTACGATAGCGCTTGTCTGCGCCATCTGGACGTCGTCGAGACCAAGGAGATGGGAATATGCGGGGATCCCTCGGAAGCCGGGCGACATATGGGCCAAGTTGAACACTTTGCTATAAAAGGAAGGACATTACATTTGGGCATAAGCGACGGGCCGCTATATGGCAAGTGTCTTCAACAGGTTTCTAGATGGTTTTGATGCATCGATATTCGTAGGAATAGCAGTCGTGGTAGATTATCCAATGTTCTAATCCGTTGCCACATCTTTTCGACCTCTCTCATAGCCCATCAATGCGAGGTCCAAATGGTGTTAACTCTGTTAAAGTTTATTTTGATGATATTTCTTGGTTTTTGGCTCTTAGCAGCGGCGTCCAACGCCGCAATGTTTGGCGCAACTCACTTGGACCCGACGTCGGCCGCTGTTCTTTTCAGTGTCGCCCATTTCGCTCCTCGAATCGGATTTCAAGATATTTTGAACACTTTTTAACACCTCTTTCACCCCTTTTTGTACTGAGATCCCCACCCCTTTTCGTTTCAACCTCCGCGCCCTTCTGGACACCTGTAACATGCCCCCATTCACGCATACGCGACACTTTTCGGCCTCTTCATCCCGTAACTATCATAATCAACCCCCGTTGTATTACCAACCCCCCAGCTTCCCCCATCCAAGTCAGAATCTTGTGCCATCGTTTCAGGCGCCTCACCATCCACCCAGCCGGGACTCACGTTTCAATCTTCCAAGGGTTACACCCACGCGCAATTCCAATCGTTGGGGCAACCCTCGGTCTCAATCCTCGGACTGGCATGTCCAGTGGACGCCAACATTACCCAGTCTCCAACTGACGACCTCCCCCTCACCGACGCGCTACTCGACCGTCGAGTCTACGCCTGAACATTCAACTTTCGAGATGCCCCTTACCCCCGAATGGTTCCCCGCCGCATTGCCTGACCCAGTCCCTGATTTCGTTCTTCAACCACCGACCTCGTTCAAGCCTTGTCGCGAGCCCTCTCCATCGTCTGAGGCGCTCTTTTCTCCTAGCTTTATTCATACGGATCAATTTTACGAACGCGAAAATCCCTTCATCTCACAGGAGCGTCATTCTCCCATTGTTCGCGGAAAACTGACGCCAGAGCTCCCTGCCGAGATGCCTCTGAGTCATCGGATGGTCCATCGTGAGTACGGATTTGTCATCTTACCCAGTATATTGAACCCAACATAGATTACTCAGTCTCGAAAAAGGCAATGGAAACAAAGCTTCTTCAGCAGCCAATCTCGACGACCCCCTTGTGTGAGATTCTCAAGGAAGGACAGCTTTGCCATCTGAGACGCTACGAGCGCGACGGTGTCTATGTCCGTAACACTGTCAAACTAGAGTATGTTCTAAGTTCGTCAAATATCCGCCATCTGACTGTATTGCAGCAAAGCGTTCAAGCATCTGGGTGGCCTGCGTGACAACCTTCAACATTTGGTCATAGGCACCAAGGCGATTCCGAACATGGTCACCGTCGACCTCGTACTGGACGACGCTGTCATCTCTTTGTTCCAGAGCCTTCCCGGTCTACTGGAGGCGCGCCTTCATGGCTTCACGAAGCTCACCAAGCGGTCGTTTGACGCAGCACTCATTCACTGCCCCAAGCTGCGTGTGATCGCCATCACGGGTACGCGCCTTCCACCCGGGCCCGAGCCACGCAAGCTCGTCTATCACCATGGACATCCTGCGTATGCGGGCGGCATGGGCTCGCTCGGCGCAGATACCCTTCGTTCCCTCATTCCGAACGATGGACCGGTGCGCGATATCACGTTCATGGGGCGCCACCTTCAGTTCATCGACTTTTCTTTCCAAAATGTAGACGCTAGTCTCTCAACGCAAGTCACAGTCCTTCCAGGTCGCTTTGGGCAGCTCGTCATTATGCGCGAGCTCCAGACGACCACGGAGAGGTATTTCCGCGGCACTCTCGAAATCTCTCCCGCTGTAGACGACTCCAAGCTTCAAGGTAATAATCGTCCAATCAACCCTGTAGCCAGCACCGTTGGCTGGCCTGTAGCCTAATTCACCCGTCCGTTCGCCTGCGAGCTATACCTTGATTCGTATACCATACATACGCCTCCATCTATACAAAAGCCATCCACACCATTCATTTCAATTGCCTACAAAACGCCTACATTTCCCTACTCTTGCATCGGTATGCCATAACTTCATCCCCTCTCCGCCTTGGTCTGTTGCCTTACATACTACTCTTGTCACTCCTGTCGCTTCCTATGCCTATATGTTCCAACAACCGCTAGAGCCCTAGCGCCTGTGCTAGTAACAAGACACCATTCCTTTGTCTTTACTTGATGCGTGGCATGTAAGCAAACATGATATCTAGGACTACAGCCCCTGGAAGCTATATTGTGAGCAATAAGATACTATAATCATTTATACATTAGAGCTTGAGCTCGTCTATCATGCAGTCATATGATTGTCATCGGTACGGTGACATATTTTGATGGCTCATGTGGGCGGTTGTTCCCGACAGCCGTCGTTCTTCGTCAAAGCCATTGGGTGAACTTGGCTTTGAAAGTGGCGGCGAAGGCGATATTGACAAGTTTTTGCGAGTCTCGTCCACAGTCAATTCTGTCTCCCGACGGAAATAGACCTCTGTCGGCCGTATTGTTGTGGGGTTGGCGAGTCGTGTAGGTGACAGCGCCTTTGATGCACGGCTTCTTGACGTGAACCCGATTGTTGCCTGCAACTCCATCGACGCCGCTTCTTCTTCCTCTCGTACGAGGACGATAGAGCAGAGGTTTAGATACGCGCGTGTCGTCAAGAGCGTGCAAGCTGCCCACATCACACTGCACCGGCACCGTTGTCAGGCATTGTCAAGATAAGGAGGGGAGAGGACTGACCAAATATCAAGATACAATCGTGTAAGTGGCAAAGTCGAGAGCTGCATGATGGACGATGAATAAAGAGACAGGACAGCGATATGATATGTTACCCACCGTGTAAATGATCCAGATGCGGACGGCGAGTATGACGACGTAAAACAATGCGCCATCCCGATAGAGCACGATGAGGAGCGGAAAGGTCTGGCGTCCCGACCCCTTTCTGAAGTTTCGCCACGTATGTACACCCATGATGACAGTCAAGAGTGTCTCGTGCGCGAGCCAAGGGTAGAATGTTTTGACGACATCCCGACCTTGTGTCAGCACACCGCAGATCCCGACCGCATCGATATAATATATGACCTCTGTAATTGAGTCTTAGTCGTCCGTTGTGCCATGGGTCCTAGAGACATACTGCTATACGTGACTTGGATGTTGATGAGGAGACCAGATGTGACGAGGCCGCAAATAATTAGGCTCGCATATGTCCCACGCCATATGAGAGCATTGGAGTGATAAAGCGCGCTTATTCGCAAGGTGAGAAGCCCTAGTGACTAGTGAGCATCGAAGCGCGGAGGTGGTTGGAACCTACAGTCGGTAGAGAGCATTGTGAGACTGAACAACGAAGGCCATATCCATACAAAAATTTGGCATGCCTAAATGATCATGAGGGGAAATTGCATTCGAAAGGTGATTTCTCACTTTGCGCGAGAAACCGAGCCTGAATTCCGATATATCTAAGAGGCAGAGATTCAGGGGAAGCTGACACGCGACTAGTGAGGTACGTACGATAGGTCATAAGAGTAAGACCGATGAAAGAAACGACACGCGTCTAAGTACGGTGAGATGGGGGAAGCGTATGGACGAGAACTGGGCGGCGTACGAGATAGTAGAGAATCCTTCCCAACGAGGTTTTTGACCTCCTAAACAGCTTAATCGCATCGAATAAGGTGAGAATGCCATCGTAAGTCGTCACGGCCAGCGCGCTATCTGTGGGTTATACTCCGTCAGCAAGCGGTATTGCCAGGCGAAATGCCAGGGACGTGCAGGTCACATAGCGTGTAAGGGACGTATCCTTCTTGGCGTCGACCAGCTGCGAAAGGATTGAGGACATTGGCGGAGGAGGGGATGTCCCGCAGATTTGTCGTGAGTTGGTGGTGAAAGAGAGGTCCAAAGAGTAATGGCAGGGTGTATACAGCTCGATATCCCAGCGGAAACAATAAAGGCGCCATTCTTTCGGCGAGACTGTATTTCCAGCCGTCGCCGAGTGCGTCGCGCGCGCGTCGGGGTTCAAGATTAGGCCAAGATGTCCTGCCTGTCGTCGAGCATTTCCATTGGAATTTCAGAAGCCGAAGATAGCTGAGTGGAGACTGACGAAGATGTCATGTCAAATTCCGGATCAGATGCCCCGTAAAATAAAATTGCTGTCGCCTGAGAAGATGAAACACTGCTAAACTCTTAAATCTGTCCATTCACGCCAATTGAAACAGAGGAGAGCAGCATACGCTGTCGCCGTTCCATCTAGAATGCCTCGAGGGTTCCGTAGACCAGTTCTGACCCGTTCTTTATTCACGGTAATGACCTTTGTGCTTCGATGAAGCTGTATGGTTTCAAAATGCCCTTTAGATCTGAGGTCTAGACCGTGGGATTGACCGGCTCAGTCAAGGTTTACCGTAACCTATTGGTGTGGCTGAGTTCAAACTTTAGCTTCCGTGGCCGAGACACTCGCATCAACATATGAGGTTAAGATATGGCATTGTACAGCATAAGGCATGACAACAATCAGATGAAACGTAATCATCAAGCGACGACTGTTCGGCGGGGATGGACAGGTTCCGACAGTGAACAGCCCATAGATTGGACGATACTGTCGTCAATGGTGGACACGATTGAGATGTCTTCGAAGTTGGGGAATACGTCCTTGACCAATTGAGAAACCTGGGCGAGAGCTCGACTTCGGTCCGGTACCGAAGAAACCAGTTGGAGTTGATGGAGTTGCTTGCACTGCGGCAGAACGGCCCGCAGCTCCTGGTCATAGCTCTCATCCCCCAGTACAGCCCCAGTTCGCGACCAGCAGAGTCGACGAATCGTCGAATATGCAGCCGCTGAACGTGTAAACGCATCCTCAAATCCAAACGTAGCCAGACTAATGCATAGGTCGCGAAGGCTCGGGGCAGTGATTACGGAGAGACTGACAAGTGCGGGGCGTTCAATAAGGTAAAGGTGCTCCAGCTGGGGAAGCTCCAGCGGCTCAATCGGCATGTCTTGCGGATGCCACCCGAATCCAAGAACGAGAGACCGTAGCGAAGCGAATATGCTCAGGCGGCTGATTTCCGTGCCCGTGATATTGACGGACATGGCGTTTACGTGTCCTGGATGGATCTTCAAGGTGCGTAACGTCTCTCCCGGCGGCGCCTGTATGCGAAGATGGCGGAAGCTGGCCTCTGGCACCGCAACACCGAATTTTTGAAATGTGTGCCAATGCCAACCTCTTAGTTCTATCGAACGAAGGAACGGGGTTTCTCGTCCATCAAAGATCGGCTGGTAGCATGGCGAACCTGTGCCGCAGAATTCGTTCCCTAGAACGAGTTTGAAATTGCGTAGCCGAATGTGCTGTGAAGCGCGAGTATCTTCTCCAGTAGCACATGAAGGTGTTAGTTTCAGTGTGCTGAAAATAGCCTCGTGAAGACTGCTTGGAGAAGGAGGTGCGGGTGCGGTAGGAGGTGTAATGATAACGATAGATTTCCCTCGTCCAAATCTTTTGATCATCTTTCCGGAGTTTTTCTTCTTGGTGTCTGTCATACTCGTTTGAGTGACACCGTAGCCCCGCAAGTCGAGATGGATGTCTAGGGGTGCAGCTTGGCTACGGGATACACACGTTTCGACGAAATTTTGCATATGAAGAGGGGCTATAACTCCTTCGGTGGAGATAAGCCGCACGCTATTCCATAGCTTTGGCTCGCCCCTCACGAGTTCGGCCCAACGCCTGCACGTAAGCATCAAAGATGCATTGAGAGTCGGGTCTTTGTTGATATAGTGCTCAAATATGAGCAACAGAACTTCCACGGGGAGAGAATGGATAGTTGGAGGAATAGCCCGGGAAGTGAGGTTTACTCGACGATAACCAGAATAATTTTTGATTGATCGTGGTCGTAAACTTGTGTATTTCTGAGAAAGTCTCTCCCAGGCCTGAAGGGGCGCGAGTGTCACTTTATGCATATGAAATCTATGTCGTTAATCAGTGATCAAAATGCGTTGTTTCATCGTTAAACACACCAGTATGTCCTGGGTATGCTAGCAAACAGTCAGGTGTGGCAGGGAACAAGAGTAGAGCGGCGCCAATTCTGGCGCCTCCATGCGTGCTTGAGCGCCCGCAAGGTAGGAGCCGCATACAGATATCTTGAATAGTGCCGGGGTGAGCTGGCAAGCTGTCAGAAGACCGAGGACGGTCCGAACCAATCTGATTTCACGAATCGGTTCTACGTTACACAACTTTTCCCCCCTTTTCAGTCATCTCTCATGAGGAAGCCACGGGCATCTGTTTACATCGTATCAAACTCCGCAAACATGTCCTCCATTTGGTCCTGTTCCGCCTTTGTTTTCTCTTGGGTGAACATGAACCATTGTGGTTCAGGACGTAAAGTGTTCAATGTCTTCCCAGTCGCACTAGCCACCATAGCGACATGTCCTGCAACCAAGACACAAGGAATGTCGACGGGATCGTCGTGTATAGTGATTTCTACCTCGCATGATCCACTTGGAATCTTGTGAGTCGCGAGCACTGGGTACCGCAAGCCGTCTATCATGGTAAACGGTGGCCCAGTATAGTCATAGGCACTATAGAGCAACGTTGAGAATCAAGAGTCAAGAGAAAATACAGTACTGACCCTGGATTCGCCGTATACTTTTCTATGAACTCACGTTCCTCTGTGGTCATCTTGGAATCAATCGTCTTGGCATCATGAGCAAGCCATTTGCCGTTGCAGTTCCAAACGGTAAACGTAGTGATTCACCCGCTCACATATGATGGACCAGAGAACCCTTCCTGGTAATGGCATATTTTACCCCAGAAATCAAGATTAAACCCTTAGCCTGTCCAAACTGCGTCGAACACAGTAACAAATTCCCGCAATACTGGACGGAGCAATCGAGTAAAAATGGTCGGCTCCTCACCAAACTCGGAGAGCTTGTCGAGACGTTGGAGGATGGATGCATCGTCTTCTTGTTCACCTTCGAACGTGATGGATGGGATCCCGCAACGGACACTGATTCCATAGCTGAAATATGCCTTGAGTGTGCCCATCATGATAATCGAGCAGATGATCTTGTCGTTCGGAGTCGTGGTAGAAAAGTTCGGTGTAATAAAGTCGTGTACGCTGGGATCTTTGATCTGCATAGGTCATTACCATCTAAAGCGCTTTTTTCTAATTCACCTTTGTTTTCAGGAGATTCCCGAAAGCGTTGGCAGCGTCACCTTGATAATTCGACTTGTAGGTGTTCCTGGCCTTCATGTGCTACAAATTTTGAGCGGAGCTCTTCAGCGTGACCGTTCACACTAGCGTCCGGGTTATGATCATATATCTATCTGTCAGGAGTGCGCACTAGTAACTGAACTGCGAAATTATTGCGATCCATAGGTCGTCCGGTCTTGTATCGACGTCAGATAGAATGTAGAAATTGATTTGTGTGCGCACCGAATGATAAGGTGGTGATGCTGGTTATAGGCATCGATAACCGTTTCTACGAGACAGTTTCGCTTTGTGCTAAGATTTGGCTTGGGCGTGAATGACGATTCAATCACGCCTGCAATGCTCAGTAGAAGTCCTTATACTAAATGCATGCTTACGACCGCATTTGAAACCGTCTTTTGACCAGATACCATTTATAATCTCCGCCGAGACTGCAGATAGGAAGGGACCTCTTGTGTGTCATGGGTTGCGATCTTGAACGTAACTGGCATCTTTGGGTGGTAGAAATGGGAGAATCCATATCCTCAGAGGTCTGGGATGGCCTGTTATATCGACTCACAGGGGATAGACGCCGACCCCACGGCGATAGCCCGCTGTAAGTGCGCAGGTCTATTGTGCATCATGATCTGACATATGACAGAGCTCTTGCCTCGAACTGGACTGACTGAGTTGGATGGCAAGTCGATGGAATCCAACTCCACACGGAATCATGCTTTCCCCTTCGGTAAAACGGTATTCTTGGGTTAGAATCTCTTGGTGCTGGCTTTGCGCCGTTGGGCATCCGTCGTGGTCAGGTCCGAGTTGGTGTAGCCAATTACAGAACCACCGTAGAAACAGGATGTTAAAGGCAACACGCCACGAGTTATGAATATGCGAAAGGAACAATAAAAGAAATGGCTAATTAGATGGTGTCCAATCTGGAGTTTTTATTATGGGCAAGTCATCATAATGGTCGATAATAAACACAATTCACATTGAGCAGCAAATACATTCGTTCAAACCCATAATACAAGTATGGGCGCATCTACAACGTCCTTGCGTTCGTCTCTCATTACGATCAGCCCTGAAGCTTCGTCGATCCATTTAATCGTCGCATAATCCATCTCGTTGAAGTTTGGAGGTGAGATGAGCGATCTGACCGCTCCAGGCTTGTCCACGCCAATCACGTGTATTGAGTGCTTTCGAACCTTGGTATTTGGGTCCTCGTCGAACCAAGTAAGCGTGCGCTGGCAAGGATACCCCTCTGATCTAAGCAGCCTAGCCGTCTGAGGGACCGTCGCCACTTTCGTCTCCGCTCCTGCTACTACAACGTTTTGAAGGAGAGTGTTAGCACTCTTCTCCACCGAATCTAGAAAAAGCGTCACAAAGGAACGAATAAGTGAAACCTGGTCCACTGACCTTGAGCAGGAGGTCCCGTCATGACAGGGAGGACAAAACAACAGTCTTCCTTCATGTATGCAATTTCAAGGCGAGATGTATCAGTCGAGCTACCGTCGGTTTGATCCGAAGAGTCGAGAATAGCCGTTCTGTACAAGCTTAACATGTCGAGTTCGCGGCGGATGAGCGTATGTTTCCCTTCCGGGGTGCCAAGGTTAGAGTTCGGAAGCGTGATGGTGTTATCCTCGTCAATTTCTTCGGGCCAGTCTTTAAGTAGAGACGGGAGGTGTATGCCGACTACGTTCAATGTCTTGTCTCCCATCACCATTAGCGTGTCGCCGTGGAAGGAAACATATCTAGTCTCATCGGATTCCTAACGAATTGATTGAGAGGACTTCGCAATCAGAGATGAAATTACGCACGGTTGTAAACTCCCTTGGGACCATTGAACCATCCGTCTTGTATACGAACAGAGAGCCACCACCGCCTTGGTCAAGCGAGAGGAATCTTCCATCACGGGACAAACCCATGGAACAATCCATGTCGGATATTGCTGATATGGCCTCGGCTGTGAATGTGATTTCGTCGGTTTCCGAGGATTGTGATAACCGGATTCGTTGAAGGTAGTACACGGAGTATTGACTCCATCTGTAGAGACGAGATAAGTCAAGTAGTAAATGAATATGCCTTTCCCTTACTTGCAATACCGCTCAATACCGACAATGATCTCTGTCGAAGAAACAGCAACGCTCGTATGCCATGACGGGGCAAATGCCTGGACTGTTGTGTCCAGAGTCATGTCGACGCTTCCTGCCAAACGACCAGTCGTAAGATCGTAGCACTTGACCGATACGGTCAACTGATCCGATGGGATTTCGTCCCACTTTAACGGCAGGACCAACATCCATTTTGTCCCTTGCACAAAGTGCGCTCGCTCTATTTTGACCGTTCAGAGAATGTAGAATGGCATGCAAAGGCAACTGACTAAGATTCTCATGCAGGCGGAAGACAGACTTGGGTTGCACATTTTCGGCACTACGCCATTCGCGGCGAGAGTTTCCTGTTCGAACAGCTGCTTTGCGAATTTCGTCCAGTCCTTGCTCGGATAGAGGCGCAAGTCGTGAATAATGAGCGAATGGAATGGCTTTTGTGGCATTGGTCCAGAAACGTGCATATTGCCTTGATACATCACACCAAAGTCTACACGTCTATCCCAAGTTAGGCTGCAGACAAATACTCGTCAACAAAGGCTCACCTGCGACATGCTAGGGAGGTCTTCGACCTCTAGATACTCGGCAACCTCGAGGCTAATATCCTCGTTAAGATTTCGATTATTTGCCATAAGTTTTGAGCTAGCTTTGAAGAGGCCCGAATACCAGATCCGAGGGACTTTTGTGCGAAACTTGTTGGAGGAAGGGTCCAAGTTGTTTATAACGTCGTCAGTGAGTCGTGCACTGCAAATAATTCATGCTCATGCGCATATATAGTGCACTGTTGCGCCCGTGTGAAGTCCAGTCGATGGCAGTGAGTTCCAGAGGCAACGCGCTGTGCTGCAGATACTGCCTCTGGGAAATCTGGATGGAGAGCAGTCTGATTCTCTGAGTTGGAGAGGGTTCTTATTCAAGGGTTTGTGGCCATGAGCTTTGCTTCGTAATTCTTGTTGACGTTGCGTCGAAACCTTGACACCACGACGGCCGTGTAGGCCCTCCAATACACGAGCAAGGGACACACTAAGGAACCACAATGGCATGGAATGACAGTAAACGAGACGGGAATAGGAATTATCCCTCAAGTCGACGGCCAAACGACAGCAGACCACCGCGTTCTTTAGGTTCGAACCAGTACGTGAAACAATTGTTATCTTATCACTCCCCCATGCATTCCAGGCTTTCTCGATAGTTAATGGCTCGAGGGTTACGAGCATTTTCCATACGTCCCGGTCCTAATTTATCATTCTAGACGCAACTTTGTAAAATGCCGCAACTTTGATTCCCAAACAAGTCAAGAAATAAGAGCGTGCTCGAAATACTGCCCGTAAGTACTCACAGTCAGCCTAGTGTCACTCCCAACTGATATGACTGTGTCGGTATACTCGACAGCTTCGTTCATCCATCTGATCCAGAGTGGTATAGTGCTCCCATCTCAAGGTACGCGACATATGGACTTGTTGGACAAAGTTTGACTCGAATCGTAGATCAATGGCACCACCTCCGGTTCCAGGCTATCGCAACCATGATCGTGGTCAAGGTTCGCGATACAACTACCCAGCTTCAGCCAGTATGAATGCTCAGGACGCTCATATCGCGCCAAGCGGGAACTTTACCGCCTCGGTGGTCGCTGCAGGAGGCGGCTCGTCAGATGAGACTGCCGAGTCCACCTATTATGGCGGGGAATCCGCAAAGGCTGCCTCTTACAGGCCCACTGGCTCCTCTGCGAATGATTGGGATGATAGCTGGGGTGCTGGCCCTCCTGTAGCGACCGGCTGGGGCACTGTTTCTGATAAAAGTTCTGGATGGGGTTTGAAGGAATCCAAAGGCACCAAAGAAACCTCCAAGGAAGGATCTAGACCAAAAGAAAATAGCCCAGTGATCAATAGCTGGGGTTCATTACCACCGAGTGGTCCCAGGGGTGGCTTTGGGTGGGGAGAAGATCGACAAAGCTCTGAAGCGAGCGCATGGGATACGATCAGGGGAGGGAGTGGAAAGGGCCGCAAGGTAGAGAGAACGAACGAGTCCTCAAGTAAAGAAACGAGCGCTGGGGGGAATGGTTGGGGCTCTGTAACGGGAGAGTCATTCGTCTCTGTTGCTGGCAGCTCTGGGTCTGTAGCCCAGGACACAGTCCGCTATAGCGACATAGCAATGGTCGACGAAGGTCAGCAGGCCTCTGGGTGGGGTGGGCAAGTTACGGGGCAAACTACAAGTGCTGCTGTTACGACCACAGAATCCAACACAAGGAACGACCCCACAGCCTTCCCAGCCTCTCACCAGGAAAGACGGGACTCAGGCGGCCACAGTCGAGCAGAGGGGATCATAAAGCCCAGAATGACTGGGGAAAATGCTATGCTGCAAATAGACATTGCTTCGAGATGGGGCAAAAAGTCAAATGAGGGGACCGCTCGTCCAAAGCCAGTGCAACCCACCCTAGAAATACCGAAAGCAACAATAGAGCCGACGGCGATAGATGAATCGAACAGAGATGCGACACCAAGACAAGAGAGGTCACTTGATTCAGGGAATCCTACACTCGCATCGAATGCATCAAAGCCCGAGTTGACACTCGACCTTCCCTTCACGATATCTCCATTATCAGAGGCGGCTCGACCAGGAGGTGACAATGGGCGGAACACAGGGTCCACTTCAACCAATCCGAGACAGGGACCAATTGTTTCGCCCTCTTACCAGCCCATGTCTGCAGTCGCCCTGCATGTGACATCGCCTTTGATGTCTGCTCAGACTCACGACGGGCCGCTAGAGCCACTGTCGGCGGTCTCAAGCAGAGGTCAGAAACCTAGTTCCCTGACTCCTAGAGTTCAAGAATGGACCGCTCGTATCGAGTAAGTTCAGCTTTCTCCTATTCCACTGGGTTCTAAAGTACTTCTTAGGGTCTTGACTCGAATTATCGATGCTGACTTGGCGCGACGGCACCTACAACAGTCGGATGATTCTCGACGTCACTTGGTAGCAAGAATTAGTCGAAAGACGCAGCTAGCGCCAGCCATCCCTGTCTCGCTGAGCGGTGATATGGAGCGGAGAAAGAACCAAGCAGAGACGGAATATCGCAACGCATTTGGATTACTACGGAGTATCATCCTAAAGGATGGGGGATCCTGGTGGTCATACCCTCGTTTCGAACACCAGCAAACGGAAGAGATTTCAAAGTTGACTCGTGAAACAGACGAGCTCAAGCACTCGGTCAGCTCAGTTGAATCGACTTTCGATCATTCCATGAACGTCAATCACTCGCCACAGGAGGAGGGTGAATTGACATCCATTTTACCCAATGCAGAGAACCGGCTCGTCCAAATCCCCAACATACCCACGGAGATTCCAAGCTACCGGGAGATGAGATCCGAAATAGACCACCTCCAAGTCGACCTCCGGGCAGCTCTCGCACGCGTGGCAGACAAACGTGAAGAGCTCCCGAACATATTAGAGCAGCTACTCGACGAGGTCTACCCATCTGTCGACCTAAGCCAAGTTATATCGGAAGTCAGTTTGGATGACCGTGTCGCTGTTTTGAGCGAGCGATATCGAAATCTGGACACCAGTGCGCAGCAGCATCTCCGGACATTCAAGATGGTCCGTTCAGAGCTGCAATCTTTGGGTACGGAAGCATCGGCTCAGATATTCAGGCTCAGAGAGGTCAGACACGAATGAAATGCGATGACAAGGTCCACTCACTTTGTCTGTTTAGCTACAACAAGAACGTGAGGGAATCGAAACGGAGTATCGGGAGGTCATTAACCGCGCCAAGACTCTTCGAGAACAGTCAAACTCTCATGCGTCACTGGTGGAAAGGCTTCAAACACGACTGAGGTCGGAACAAACCAAAGCACAAATACTCAACCCGCTCATACCTCAACTTGTAAACATGGCGACCGAGAGGAATCAAGAAAGCGAGAACTTCCTCAAATCCCAAGTTGAAGCGATGAGACAGAACGCCGTAGAGGAAGAAGGTCGTCTCCAGTCCCAACGACAGGCTCGTTATCAAGAACTATTAAGCCAAGTTGCCAACAACCCGGCATTGGTGGATATGAGGCGTGTAGGGGATCGCATTGATCAGATTTGGACCGATGTCATCTCGCCTGCACCTGCAAGACCGTCTTGACCAACCTTCTCTCTACTGCAGTATCCATTCTTGTATTTTGACGTTCTCCCATCTTCCTATTCGTGAGATGTTGTATCTATAGACTAAAGTGCGATGTATGCTAATTGCAAAGAGCTCGAATTGCACGACTACTTATGATAATAACGTGATTCTCTTGCGACATAAAAGTATGCATCGGAGTTGTGGTAATGAACCGAATGTCGGACGGTGGGCATCTTCTCCATGTATGTGGCCCACAGGGCGATAGTAACTAAGGATGATAATAATAGTCGGTAGGTCGTATGTGACGTTACTCTGGTCCAGTTTCTAATGTTTCGTCCAGTACACCCGCTGTCCGTCGTCGCTGGGCGAGCGACAACATTTGTCGTAGACTTTTCTCCAAAACAGGCTTGATGAGAACATGATCGACACCTGCATTGAGGTATTCGTCCTGATCACGAATTAGCGCGTTGCCTGTTACACCCACAACAAGGTCCTCTCGTCCTGCCGCCCGTAACCGTGCGATGGCTTCGAGACCAGACATCTGCGGCATTTGATTGTCCAAGAAGACGACGTCGTAGAAGCGTGGTTGGTTGGTGATTTGGTCAGTTCCACCGCTTGATGCTCCAGGGGTTCCGGGGATCAATGTCGATGGAGTGGCCGCTTCGCTAGGTGTGAACATCGAACCCAGAAGCAGCTCCAAAGCCTTGACCCCGTTCTCGGCTGTCGTGACGATACAGCCCAGACGTGTCAACAATCTGGTCATTAACCGTCTTGTGAGAGCGTCGTCATCGACCACCAGAACTTCAAGAGGCTTCGGTGTGGGCGTTCGAGGCTCTGCCGCTCCTTGATTATCAAATGCTTCTGCGGAAGCGGTGTTGGCTTCTATAGCAGCAGGTGCGCTACTAGAGGTATCGGTACGTTGAGGAGGTTCGAGGCTATGGGCGACGGATAGAACATGAGGATCGGAATAGTGAGAAGGGATAGATGCGAGGTTTCCGGAAGAAGTCCCCTTTATAGCGTCTCCTAATGGTGACTCTTTCCGATATCGAAGTTCTGGTCGACTTGGGGTCATCTCTACCAGCCCCTCTGCAAGAAGGAATCAGCAAGCAAAGCTAAGCACATGGTTTAACGTACGTTGCTCCATGATGGTCCGATGAGATATATGGGGTGCTGGAGGTGAGTAGACAGCTGGTCGACCAAGAAGTGAATCATTGACCGTCGGGCCAGTGTTGATGGAGGATTGATCAAGCGCGAAATCTCTTGCTCGCGTTGGCGGTATCGAGCGAGAGCGGATGCTCACATCACGACTCCCAGAATCTGACTGCATCAGCGCATGTGTTCCAACTTTGAGTGGGAGTTCGACCCAGAAGCAACTTCCTAGAGTACAGATTAGCCATGTTCAACTTTTTATCACGTAAGATCGCACCCTGTTGATACTGAAGGTACAGTCAGTTAGGTGTATGTGCAAATAAGAGGCATACCTTGCTCTTGACTCCCAAGCGACCACCGCTCAGTTTCACAATGCGTCGTACAAGTGCTAGACCCAACCCGGTACCCTTCCCGCCTTGATGCCGACCGATCTCAGTCTACGGGTACTCTGTGAGTGATGTGTTCCGGACAAGAGAGGAGACACACCTGAACATAGGGAGAGAACAACTTGGCATCACGAATATCCTTCTTCTTGATACCCGTACCAGTGTCCCTCACCTCGATTCGAATGACAATCTGGTCAATTGGAACAGCGACAGATGGTTTTTCAGCAATCTCCTCTTCCATATGCTTCTCATCAATTGAATCACGAGGTTTCTGCTTGTCCCTGTCTTTGAGACTAGAGATGATCGGTATTCTCGCGCTGCTGTTGAGCTTTTGGACAGTAGGCGTGGATGTCGGATTGGCATGTCCGTTGGTGTGACCATTTTCGGAAACAACTGTACCGTTACTGCTCACTCTCTCAGAGAGCGATGGGAACCAGTCTGAATCTCCAGGCCCAACTGGAGCGACCGCACCCACGCCAGGAGGCGATGGCCATAAAAGCTTTGTAACTACTTCAATCCGGCCTCCAGGTGGGCAAAACTTGGTGGCGTTGCTGGACGGGTTGGTAAGGAACCGCTTGGGAGGATCAACTTTAGCTCACCTTGTGAAATTGGTGAAAATTTGTCGACAACGCATTTCGTCGCCGACGACGAGCGGCTCAATCTCCTCCGACTCATCATAGACGCCTTTCGCCTTCTTGGCTCGGATAAGACAGCCGAGGACAAACTCGTCAATGCGCTTTTCCAAGATCAGCCCGAGGAGAAAGATGCGGAGAAAAACCGTACGGGATCCAGGTTTTCTATCAATTGCAGGCCCTTGGCGGACGCAGCCAAACGTAATGGTACAAGCAGGGACTCGATCACTTTGTGAAACGCGTATGGCTTGCTTACAGACTGCATTGGATCAGGATCAAGTAGACACAGAGAGTCGGAATACGCACTTCAAACTTGCCGGCATCCATGCGGTTGAGATCAAGAACGTCGTTGAGCACTGGAAATGTGAGTCCACGCTTACTGATGTGTTTATCCGCTACCTTTGGACATGACCGTCAAACTCCCCATGAGCGCGTTGAACTCTAGCTCGAGTGGCTTTGAAACTGTGCCTGACGCTTCAATGTTCTGAACTGCAAGCACTAAGAGGATATGAGATCACGGCTTGACGGAGCTTGGTCAGAAACAGCTTACTTGCGGTATTGAGAGGCACCCGAACTTCGTGAAAGATATAGCCCGTTAGTCGTTGCTTGCTGTTCTGAATTTGCTTCTCTCGCATCTGGAGTCGATGCCGATACAAATATGCATCCTTGATTTGTCGACTCATGATAAAGCGATCGCGGTCCGACTGGGCAGAGACGATCAGCAAGATGCCGCAACAACAAATGCTACCAGACCATTTCTCGTGCCCAATGAACGTAGATAATGAATCCATTGAAGAGAATCATATTGACAACGAGCCTAACCCAAGCTAACGAAATGTTAAAACAAAGCTGAGAGAATAATCGTCCGCTCACACTCTCGATATGGTACTACACAAGCACCCATTACTATAATGGTGGCACTTGCGGCGAGCGCAGCGGGGAAGCGCTTCTGGCCGAGGGCGAATAGTGCCAGGCATGGGAAGCCTGTGGCATAGAAAAAAATCCCCAAGAAATCTTTGCTGTGTGTATTGTGAGCATGATAGAGTGATCGTCTGGTCGAATTCACCGTCCACAGCTGAAATAGCTCCGTTTGGAGTAAAATCCACAAAGTATGAGACTAATTATGCGTGAGCCACGGTACCAGGAGTACTTATACCGTACCTGAGGAGACTGTACCACGCCTGAGACCAGACTGCGAATACGAGGTAAATTTGGTAAATGACCGGACTGTACTCGCTTAGATGATACGAGGTAGAGCAAAACTAGGGCATACCGACGAATGGGCCACCGTAGAACGATAAGTATTGGCAACGGGAGGGTGAGGACTGGAGCGATCCCGAAGTTGAAGATGTAGTCGAAGAGAATAAATGGACGAGGGATGAACTAAAGAGAAGGTGTCAGCATTAGCGAGTATATCATGGTGGATCATACAATGCATGCAAGTACCCAGTTGGCAATCAAAAAGCAAGCGGCAATCAAGGCGAGCATCTACAAACGATTCATCAGCCAATGAGACATATTAGGAGCAGATTACCACCTGACCTTGCCTAGATACCATTCCTGGGAGACAAACTGCTTCTCGTGGTGATGGTCGTCGAATTGGGGGAAGAAGACGCCATAGACCACTTTACCAGCATATCTTAGTGTTCGTAGAAATGATTGAAGGTATGCAGACGTGATCCCAGTGTGTGTTACCGAGTTTGTGTCGTGCGCCGAGTGGGTGCTGGATTAAAGGAAAAGGATATGAGCTCGCTATCGTGATGTGCAACGCGTGTATACTTACTGGCTAGAGCTGAGATTGAGACCATTTTGCCTGTCCTTTGGATCCCAGCCAAATGCGCCGCCCTTTGCTTTGCCTTGCCCCGGCTGCATTGTCGGCTGGTGCTCAGTCACGCCTGGTCCTGCACTTGGCTCGGTCAATGACTCTTGCGGGCCCCCAATTTCAAACGAATTGTCCACAACAACCTCGTCGACGTCACCAAATTCTTCTGGATCCTCTGTTGTCTCGCTCTGCTTGCCAGGCGGTTTGGCCAATCTTCTCCGTTGTGAACGGTGTCTCCCATAGCTCTCTTCTCCTTCTCTTGACTGAGCTGATCTGTTCATTGGGAGAGCATAGTAAACTTCGCGGCGACGAGCCCCTTCTTCTGGAGGGCCCGTGACCGACGTCGAGGCTTCTGTCGAGCCCCCTCCTCCGGGCTGAAAGTCCCTATCGAACATGGAAGGACTTGATCCAGTATTCCTGCTCTGCTTAAAGCGGATCCATGTCGCTTTTACGCCGTGTAGAAACCCCCCGACTCGGTTCTTATCCGTGCTGACGGTTGCTGGAGGCGGTAAGGACTGTGACATGTCCTGTTGAGCACCAGAATCGCCGATATCTGGTGTCTCTTGAGGAATGGATGAATGTCGCCAGCTCAAAGGTTTACAAGCGATGGTCTAGTCTTACATGACGTTGTTCCAAGTGTATCAGGCACGCGTTTCCAAATTCCCCCAAATTATTTCTACACTTTTACCGCATAATTTCACTAAACTTTCAACGAGGCTCATTTTGTTTCAGGGTACACAGGCAGCCTGCGCTGAAACACGGGAATTCCTTGAGCTCACGCTCACTGCCCACGAAAATGTATTCAACAGGATGCATACAAGTTTTGTACGAGGACTTTGACACCCAAAGTTCCATTGGAGGCGGCGAAACACCACCCAGGCCATTCGGGCTCTAATGTCCTCTGAAAATCACTCTTCACGACACAAATCGCCCAATAATCCAACACGAAACAACCCCTTGAAGAGGTCGGTTTGATGGCCAGGCACTGTCTAAAGTCGTGGTAAGGAAGAAGAAGAAAAACTTTGTTTTTTCTCGTGATGGTCGTAAAAATACAGCAAGAGTACAGCTACAGCGTACTGAAACCGAGGAGAACGAATCGATAATGCTAACAGGATAAACCCTATGAATGCGTGAACGAATATGAGGGAGAGGTGGGCAAAGCATCAGGGAGTTTCTAGCAACAGGGCAACGCCAGTGCCTTGCGCTGACGTTGCGTCCAGAGCGTCTTGCGCCGTATTTGTGCCTGCTCTGCAGGTCTTTTGCGTTGGAGCAATCGTTGTCCACGAGCAATATGCTCCGACACCTCCAGCGACTCGAAAGAGTCTGATTCTGCGCACTGCGAGAACCCGGCGCTGCTCGAGCTATCTGGTCTCATCGTCCTCGAGGACGAGAGTGCCTCAGATTGCGAGCGCGGCCATACTGACCAGTGGGGCATACAAAGCTGAATTCGTAGACGTAATCAATCTTGATCTTGAGAACGGGGCGACGTGAGCGTAGCGACGGTGATGGGCTGTATAGTGTTGGCGAACGCGACGAAAAGGACTCTGTCCTCTTCGTCTCCTCGGCAAGCGCAGCCACGCTCTCGGTGCAAAGCGAGAGCTTGGCCGGCAGCTGGGGCTCGCATGTTGGAGCAGGAGGAGCATTGGATGTGACATGTGATGTAGTAGTCTTTGCAAGACTAGCTTGCGTCTCCTTGCGGAGTGATTCGAGAGCAGCATCCATCGCCTTTGTCCAGCGCTCCCATTGGCGGCGTTTGCGCCGCTGCTCGCGATCGGCGTTGATAGCTCGCGAGGATGTTGGGTTGGTGAGGAGGCGGCGTCGGGATCGGAGTCGGTCGACCTCGAGCCACGCTGGGCTGTCGACGTTTGCGGCGGCGAGGTGCATTGGGAGCTGGGCGACGAGAAGGGACATGGGGGAGAGAACGTCTAGGTTGTCGATTCGGATGTTGACGATTCGGAGAAAGCGGGATCTTTGGATGTGGATGCGCCAGGGAGGCTTGCCCTTATAACCAGAGGAGCAGAGCGAATATCTCGAGGAACCCACGAGGCGGCTCCTCTTCGACATGCGCTCGGAGAACGGCACTGCATCCTTTCTATGTAAGCACTAGAGATAAGATTCTGTTTAAATGCCAGTTTGGGGATGCACCATGCCGTTTCTGTTCGCTGACCTCCCCGGATGGGTTCGAACCATCGCCTTCGCTCTGCATGTGGATAGCTGAAAAAGACTATTCCAAAGGGGTTTTGCGCTGCGTATGTGTCATAGATCGGGTCCTGAGCCCTTGTCTCCGCGCAGCTCTGGTCTGTCGACCTCGCCAAACCGTCTCACCCCCATGACCACGTCGGAAGAAAGGAGAAATAGAACTCGGAGCCCTCCTTTTGGAACCCCATGTGCATTAGGCGATGAACTCTGCCTATGGGTCACGGGCTATTAGGGCTGGTATACTGTAAGTGCTTTCGAATTTGAGTTTAAAGTACTCTTCGGCCCGGATAGGGTTGTATTTCGCGACCTCGCCTGGCCTGATACAAGAATTGATCACTTGAACGACATAATCCGGATGTCCTTGAGAAAAGAAGGGGATTGAGTATCGATGTATGCCTTGAGGAGGAGATGTAACGCGATGCCGCGTCGACTTATACCGGTCATTCGTCCATCGTGCTAGTAAGTCTCCCAGGTTGACGACGAGTGTATTCGGACGCGCTGAGACCTACAAGAAACAATTTAACAATACTTCTCTTAAACTAATGCACAATCACCTTTATCCACCGGAGACTATCCTGGTCAAATACTTCTAGACCGCCGACAGAGTCTTGGAGGAGGATTGTAATGGCTCCCCAATCCGTGTGAGGAGCAACACCAACGGATCCTTCGTCTCCTTGAGAATGCTCTGGACGGTAGTAGTGCGCCAGCTTGATATGCGCGAGCTGGCCATGAAAGAAGTCGCCAAAAAAGTCAGGAGAGAGGTCGAGCCCCAGAGCCAAGTAGCCAGATACGACACCCGCTAGGCGATTAACTGCGGTGAAGTACTCTTCCATTGTTGCCCGAAAGCCGGGGAGTATTTGTTCGGCCGGCCAGGCTGTTGGATAGCCAGAGCTGGCAACAGAGTAGCCTTCGTTGTGACCGTAGCCAGATTTGTCTCCCGGGTCGAGATTCATGGCTTTGTAAGGTTCATATCCGCCGCATATATGATTCTCCTTGAACAGCGCGGATTTGACGTCGAGAGGCAAGTCAAAGAACGCTTTAGAGGCCGAAAGTGTGCGAGACAAGAGCTCTGAGGATAATATGTGATTGAATTCGGTTATTTGGAAGAAACCATTCCTTAGACAGGCTGCGCGCATCTCGTCCGATATTTCCTGAGACGCTCGAGCAGGAGAAAGGGATATTACGGGTACAAATGACATCCTTTTGTCTTGTCTTTGATTTTTGCTGGCGACTCTAACCTTTGCTCGGGAGTTGGTGGTGGCCAAGCTTGTGCGACTTATCTCTCTACCAGATGTCTGGCCTCTGCGTGGCATGCTGTTCTACTCTTCGAAAAGGCACTCAAGGCTCATACACGACAACATGCTGCAATAAAATAATATGCGAGTCGTGTCTCAAGGCCAACCCAAGACTCAAAGAGTATTCTCCTTGTCTCGCCTGTGGCGGCGGGGTTCAAGTCGTCGGGTCCAGCAGCAGAAACACGGGATCCTATAAGAGTCCGCGGATTGAGCAGTTTGAGCGCGAGGCGAATACGTTTGTGGTTGGAGGAGACTCCGATGATGATGACCAAGAGTCGCCTGAGCATCGGCTAGACGGTCCCAGTACAGTGACTGATGTAGAAATGCACTCAAAAGAGGAGGAAAAGGAGGAATCCCCTCCACAGACGAATCAATCGGAGCAAGGCGGTCCCAGAAAGTACTGGTTACAGAAGCAAGACACCCTTCAAGGCATCGCTCTGAAATACAAACTAAACGTGGGTTGCTACCATAGAGATTGAACACGACTCATGATATTGGTTCAGAGCCGCGAAATATGCACGCTGAATGGACTGCCTCCATCAACTCTTTCGACGACCCCTCACCTCCTACACACCCGCCCTTTCATTCTACTTCCGCAGACTGATAAGCAAATACCACCGCCGCCACCAGACGCTGAAGCGCGAGGAGAATCGAAAGCGGGAGCGTGCGGCGAAACAATTCCAGTTCGTAACCAAAGAAATAGACTGGGGCATCGCCAAGGCTTACGTTGCCATTTCGGAGGTGAACGATACGGACCACGATATGCCATGAAACGAAAGGAGATGGGGCAACCAGTTGCGGGAACATCGAGTACGGGAAAGGCCAGTGGCGCCGTCGATTTATATATGGATGATGAAGAATGGGAAAGGGAGCAGCTTAAAGCAGGGCTCAAACCCCGAATTCGACCCATTCCTTTCTTCAAGGGCTAGGCAGCCCCTTGGTGTATGTTTGTATCTTTATCATAAGAACTGCTATAGAAACACGAAGGGCATTTCGTTTTGTATGTCGCTAGATCCCGGCTGTGGGACCTTCGAAGTACAGGTAGTCCGCCACTTCGACTCTTCTCTATCATGAGTCACGTCCCTTTGGCGGCAGTTTTCAGCCAAGATGACCTTGATCAACTAGAAAAAACCGAAAAGCGTCTGGAAATTACAGCCAGCGACTCGACACCACTCCTTCGACTACTTAAAGTCTCATCTGAGGATGGCTACGACCTCATCTGTGTTCCACTGGCAAATGAGACGTGGAAATCGCGATGGAAAAAGATGTGTCTAACTGATGGAGAGAAACAGAGCGAAGAGGTTGAGCGACTGGCCGAGGACTGGCGAGCCTCTGAAGGACCTTTTCTTCGCGAAGAGATGAACATCACCCGATTAGGTACTTCAATTCTCAAAACACATGCCACCGCTTAAGAACATTATAGATGAGGCCATGGGAACCATCGGTATGGTGTCAGACTGGCTCGAGTTGGACTCGCCTGACGATGGCCTTCGCTATGACTCTGAAATTGTAAGTAACAAGAGATGATATGGGCCCAGACTTAACGTACTTCAGGCACTTAAGCAGGAGTTGTCGTATGCTGCGTACTTGAGCCTTCAAGCAGTCATACTGCCGCCCCCACGAAATCGTCAGAACGTGGCCGACTATGGAAGAGCAGTTAGTGCGTGCTTGAACTCGACGTCATCATATACGCAGATCTCTATACGAATACCCATATATGACCCACGTTCCGCATCACGAAACTCGATTGCCGAAGAGACGATCCCAGAGGACATGCCACTTAGCGTGAATGCGCGTGCCCCGGATGGCGATCTCAGTACCACATGGGAGATGTGGGACGTTATCCGCTCGATATGCGGTTATAATCCAAGGCTATCCCTTAGTGAGGTTCCAACCACGGTTACCACTGACTGGTGTTATTAAAATCATATCTAGCTCTTGATCTATCGCTTCCACTTCCTTTATCATCGGGTGTTCTTTCTCGTTGGTCCACAGAACCTTGCCATCACATCTTACTTCCATCCACGTCTTTTATATCCAATGCGAAAGGTTACCCGGTCCTCACAAAGGCGACGCAAAACTTTCTCCGAAAGTGCTTCAAGCACCACCCTACTATTCTATTGTCGCGCACTAGAACACGGGTACATCAGAGTGGCGGTCACATGGCATACGCGCAGTATGTCCGACATCTTGAACGGACAGCACCGGAACTTGTAGCCGCTGACCAACCGGGAACATTGGAAAACTTTGCAAAAGGGTATTGGGACTATCTTCAGGCCCCTCTCCAGGTTCGTTGACATGTACAGGAGAACAGCCGGACTGATTCAGGTAGCCATTGATGGACAACCTTGGAAGTGGGACATATGATACATTTGAGAGAGATCCAGTCAAGTACGAGAGATATGAAGAGGTACGAACCTTTCATGATCAACGCCATGACTGAACCGTGTAGGCGGTCTTTCTCGCTCTCTCAGATAGGAGTCCAACATCTCGAACGTGGGTGCCTATTTAGTTCGTTGCGTTGTACCTAACCAGTATCAGTGTAATCTGCGTCGTTGGGGCTGGTCGGGGTCCTATTGTTACCCGGTGTCTAGCCGCACTTGACAGAAGTAAAAGGGACGGTCTTGTCTATGCCGTGGAGAAGAATCCGAATGCATTCGTCACGTGAGTCGCGGCTCATGAGATTGGATCATATTGATGACTCCGGAAGGTTACAAGAACAGAAAGTACATTGGAAGGACAGAGTCCTACTTATCTACGGAGACATGAGACGGATTCAGGTCCCAGAGCCAGTTGATATCCTTGTCAGTGAGCTCCTCGGGTCCTTTGGTGACAACGAGGCAAGCCCAGAGTGTTTGGACGGTGCCATGAGATTTCTAGCGCGTGAGTTGCATAACATTGTCTCCTTTCACAAACTGAACCACATGTACAGCGGATGGTATATCCATTCCCTCATCCTATACCGCATATCTCTCTCCCATCTCATCGCCAAAGCTTCATAACGAGGTTTTACAAAATTCAAGCAAGAGTAGCGCGGAGACGCCGTATGTAGTCATGTTCCAGGCTGTCAACACTCTCAGCGGTGACGGCGGTGGTCTCCGTGGAGTTTGTGGGACAAAGATTCAGGAGTGTTGGACGTTCGAGCATCCAAGAAGGGAGGCAGTTCTCAATGAGCAAGGTACATCTGATGCAATGAAAACACATCCATTAATGTCACATAGGCCTTCCAATCACGAACACTCATAACACTCGGAGTGCGAAGCTCAACTTTCATATTCCTAATGCGGGGATCCTACACGGTTTAGCCGGATATTTCGAAGCTGTTTTGTACCGCGACGTCGGACTGAGCATTCATCCCGAGAGTCAGCCGTACATCTCACCGAATATGCTAAGCTGGTTTCCACTCTTCTTTCCACTCAAGGTATCCCTGTCCGTGGTGCCAACCTCATCCTTTCTGATCACGTACAGGATCCCTTGTATCTACCCAGCAACTCGGAGCTGACTGTTTCTATCTGGAGACTCACTGGGAGGTCAAAGATCTGGTACGAGTGGTACGCCGAATCATTCTTGCCTGTTCTCAGCCCACCGCCTCCCCTTCGACCGCTCACTCCACGCGAGCCGGACGGCCCGTCGCATCAAAAGACGATGAGTACACCAACTGCAAAGCTTCTCTCTGTGAATCTTCCCAGTCCTCTAGTCTCAGCGCTTGCAAGTCCGACAGGCATCCTTGGGACAATCGACACAAGCGAAGGAGGTCTCAGAATGGGTGGTGGAACGGACATTGCAGCTGGCACGGTCATTAAAATTGGGCAGACTGCGCTCCACAACCCCGAGGGACGAGGTAGCTGGACTGGGTTGTAGACTCTGGCATCCTCTGGTAACAAGACCATTCCTTGTTGCTACATTTGAACAGTATATGTGACTGCCACTTGAAATATCACGCCTCGACTTAAGTCGCCGATTTTCCCAGACTTTTGAGAATTCACCGAGGTTCGCGTCATAGGTTATTGGCGTTGCCCAAGAGTGGTGACTGCTTCTTATACCTCTATTTTGCACCACGCAGAGGAAATTCACGAAAGATGAGCGTCGAGCTCAAAGACGGAGACGAATACTCTCATCGTCCAACTGCGACCCAGCCTGCAGTGGCGCATGACCAGGCAAACGAGGCCAAGGAAGACACCGCACGTGTGCAGAAAGAGCCAACCGAGAATGGAGAGACGCAAGAAGCTTCCAGTGGATTATCAGAGGAGAATATGAATATACAGCACCCAGAAGTCGTCGAGCAGAGAGTTGCAGACGCCGAAGGGAAGGTGGTTGACAGGGATAAACCCGAGAAGGAGAATAAAAATCGTATGGTAGGCTATATCAGTGGATTTCTCAACAATCTCTGATCGGATATCTGCAGCCAGCGGCAATCGACGGGTTGACCACTAATCACTCAGATGAAGATACGAGTGACTCTCAACCAGCAATGCTGGAGGCTCAGAGTGCCGAAGTAGCTGAAGAGCCTTCAGCTCCTTTGACCACGCAGGTCGTAAGACCGCAATCGCCGGCTAAGGAGGAAGAAAGTGATACGCTTGGAGAACGATTCCATATGGGGTTAAACACCAGCATTGACGAGTCTATAGAAGCTCCCAATCATTCAGATGGAGTCATTGCTCTCGTCGGAGGCAGTCAGCTCGAGTCACCGTCCAGGGAAAGCGAAAAGCTCCTTCATGAAGTAGAAACGGAGTCAACCGAAGATAAAATCTTGGAGGAGAACGAACTTATTAACACAAGACTCGCGCTCGGCCTTGAGCACCCTCCTCACATAGAACTACCGGCAGAAGTGTTGAGCGATCCCCAAGCATCATACCTATTCCACCGTCCACCTCAGAATCCTTGGAGGATTTAAGGGAAGTATCTGATGGCGTTCAAGAATGGGATGATTCAACCCCGACAAAGGAGCAAGGCGATCCTTTACAGACGGTTGGTTCTGGAATCTCGTCAGCAGATATACCGTTAAATGAGCGAGAGCTACCAGCTGAAGAAGATGAAGCGAGTATGCTCAATGCGCGTCTTGAACTGGGATTGGAGCCCCCTGTTCATGCTCATATTCCTGCGGACTCTCTGGAGAAATCGGCTAGTGTGATCACAATTCCGGCATCCACGCCCCGGATCGATGACTTTGTCTCCGAAGATACAACACCAGAACTCGAGACTTCGGAACCAGGCAATAGTCGAGACCGTACCCCTTACTGAGGAGAGCCTTCAGATCCAGGATCAGGACAGCGAGGAGATGTTTGAGACCAGGCTCGAGATTGGACTGGATTATCCAGTACAAATTGACACGTCAAATAAGGAATTTGACCCAACAGTCAGCAACGTCACGATACCCCCATCTACACCACACAACCTGGATGACATTCAACCAGATCTAGAATTTCAAGACCAGGTACCGCTGAGCCAACCCGACATCGCTACGCCACCACTTCTCCGACGTTTCCGCGCCAATCAAGGAGTTAAAGGAGGAGAATCTTCCAATTGAAGATGACGAGGAAGCGCTCCTCGAGAGGCGGCTCGAGCTAGCTATAGGATCGCCGGAAGGTGTGGTAGAGTCCATCACTCTCCCCACGGTCACGGAGAGTGCAGTGACACTACCTTCATCGACACCACCTGCAGAGGTTTCTGAAAGCAACTTCGCGGCTGTACAGGAGTCGAGTAGAAGGGTACTATCAACATCTCTGCCCGAGGACGAGGCTGATGTAGATGCTGCGTCCTTGTGCGAGCAGACACCTGCTACAGACGAGGATGGAAACCTCATAGAAGATATTACACCTCAAGTTCGTTCCGAGGCACCCAAGGGAACATTTACTCACATCCCGTCCCTCGAAGGTGCGACCCTTGTTCCCCTTCAGTCACTCGACGACCAAGAGCTCGAACCCCAGGCGGATCCAAAAGGCATCAAATCCCAAACATCGCTTTCATCATATGACATTTCGGGACATACGGTGTCGCTGGAGGAGACCAATCTACCAGCAGAGGATACCGAACAAGAACTTCTGGCCAGGAGACTTGAGCTGGGACCAAGCGCACCAGTCGGGGCTGAAGTTGTATCTGTCCCCTTGGAAAAAACTGCTAGAGTCACAGCCCTGCCACCAACGCTGCAAGCAATAGAAGTCATCTCAGAGGGCACGGGTGTTACTTCTGCAGGCGAGGAGCGGGAAGCAATACACCAGACGTATGTCACCCAGGCTGGATATTCGGGAGACCACTCGGGCCAGAAGCTTCCTCAGACACCAGAAGAGATCCTGCGCCTCAGGGGACCCATTGCCCTCGCATCAGGATCGGATAAACGAAGATTCTGGCTCGCCCGTCAGACCCTCGCTCAACGCTCCTGGGAGCGATGCTGTCGCCGAATCAACTGCAACCGTCAAACCTTCAGCTCGGCCCGAGGTGGACAACGAGGTGGACAGGCCAGTGATACGGGTGGTGGGGTTCGAAGGGGATACAGTTGAAACATCGGGCAGGCCTGCATCACCGTTACCACTGGGACAAACCTCGCGAGAAGCATTTGTATTCGATACGCCAGATGGGTCAGATCACTACCAAGGTTTTCCGCCTGCAAACATTACTACCTCTGAGCACGTGGATACTACGGCACCGGAAATTACTGTCTTGCAGGTTGAGGACTCGCCACCTCCCCGGATCGTCAGCTCCGTGCCGAAGGATGGAATAACCCAGTTGATACCTGTCAGAATTCACAATTCTGATTCGGACACGCAGTTGCGACCAGAAGCTCAGCGAATGCTCAGTACTACACCTGAAGCGCCTACTAGTCCTCGCTCCGAGACGTTCGACGAAACGGATGAGTATAAACAACAGAACATACCGATTGTTCGACCAAAGGAGGTGGAACCTCCGCTGCCTGATACACCAGGGCCTCAAATACCCTCTGTCAATTTGGAGGTGCCGCTGGTCGAAGTGACGAGCTCGAAGGATGAGCGAATGGGTTTTGTGGATGATGCTCGGTCAGAGCGATCCGTGGCTACAAGCGTCGCACCGATAGCGCCTAACAGCCCACGATTCATCAGCCCGATACCCACTCCATCTTTGGATTCCACTCAATTCATGCTGGGAGAGGTAGGAGCCTAACTATTTTTATTCATACTCTTATTGGTTATGGCAGAGTGGCTTGAGCCAGACAGGGATATCCGACACAAACAGGAAGACAAGTCTTATGGAGGATCCTGTTCAAATGCAACGGGAAACCGAAGATCCAATCGCCGAGTTGGCGCCTAATCTCAAAGGTTAGTCCCTGTAATTCAAGCGTCCCCAGGCTTACAGGTCCATTGCAGACGCATTGAACAGTCCAATCGAGCCAAATACAACTTTCAAGCTTGATATGTCAGCGTCGTTCTTCCCCTTGAGCATTTTACTTAGTCCATATAGGCAGCCGCAGTTGGCCCCTGTAGCAGAAGATGGCATGGTTGATGCGAATGCTACAGTATCAAGTAGGCCCGCACGTCCACGACATACATCGTCACCCTCTACTTGGTCCGTCAATAGGTCATCTGGATGGTTCCAATCGGGCAGTCATGCTAAGGACGCTGGACGACCATCCCTAGAGATTGCTTCGGGAGAGTTTAGTCGTCCTCTGCGCTCAGCCCCTCCAGAATACCCGCCAGAAGTCGGCGTAGGATCCAAGGGCAAAGATGATGGCCGATGCGTTATTTTCTAACGACACCACCGTATGCGTTCGGTATATGCCAGCACTGATTTTCTTGTATCATACAATATTGAACCTAGCATTTTTGTTTCTTGCTCTGAGAGCTCCGGCAAAGCTTAGACCGGTCGAACTTGAACCCGCCCTCGTCTGCGAAGAAGACTCGGGATTCCTACAACTATCACAAATTAGCCCTTATTAAAACCTTCTAGACGCTATGTCTGTCGAAAATTTACAGGAGAAGGCTCGTTCGATTGTGGGCTCGGCGACCCAGGAGGAAAAGGAGATTATCTTTATATGGATGCAAGTTCTACAAGAGAAATTCGCAGGGGATATCCTTCGCCAAGTCGTTCCAAAGCGATTCGACGTTGAACGAAGCAAGAACGGGAGCAAGAAGGATTCCGGGACGCTTGTTTGTGAAATTACAGTAACCGAAGGTACGCTTATACTCACCTCGTATTCAATACAAGTGTTTATCCTTCTTCAGAAATGAGTAATGGATATCACAATATGCACGGCGGCTGCAGTGCTTATCTTGTCGATTTGCAAGTGCTCAACCCGGTCCGAATACGATTTACTGACTCTCCATAGATGCACCTCTCTGCTATTATCCGCCTTCATGCGGTCTCACGTTTCGTTGAATCTGAACGTGGATTACCACTTGCCTGTCCCTGTGTAAGTCCCCTCGTACACTCAAATGGCATCGCTTGAAGATTCCCCAGAGGGACAACGATTGAGATAGTTTCGACGACTCGAGCGCTGGGTAAGAGAGTGCTTTCCACGAGGTGTGAGGTGTGTACTAGTCGTTGCCATTGGAGTAAAACTGATGTGAGCTGTAGTTTATTCACAAGGAGAAGCGCACTCTTCTCGTCTCGGGGTCCCATCTCAAGATGCCTCCATCGGAAACCCCTGCTAAGCTATGAGCGTCGAGCGGTTGTAGTGTCGTCGGACAATCCTTCTCGAATTTGTCATCATATCAAGTTCTTTATCGTATTTCCATTATACCTACTGACCATTCCGCGGATGAGTGCAATGAGGTGTGAGTCTAATGAGTACACCAGCAAGCTTATAATCAAATAGTAGCCCTCAGTGTTTGCAGTCGCTGGTTGACGTTGGATTTGTAACTGTCTTAAGGGTTCGGAGTTTGCATGTCCGCAGACTTGAAAGGATCCTATATCGGCAACTCGGGTTATGCAGCACAGATAATATATCTGTACTTGTCTAGATAGCAAACACGAATGGTCGAAGTGGATGCAAGGGTGTCGAGTGGGCTTTTGCAGAATACAAACCCCTCTCCCCCAAAAAGGCCATAGGACTGACCGAAGAAACTCTACTTGAGCTTGTATCCGACAATACTCCTTCGACCAATCATTTCGCCAATATGGAAGATACCATACGCCTCGAGAGCGTAGATTCCAACTTTTTTCCATCCTCCAGAGTCGATGAGCTGTCTCCACCATTGAAGAGAAGATGCCTGTTCCCAAATGGATCGATAGACTTGGGTGATTTGCGAGAGCGAGGTAGGCGGGGCGAGCGACTCGCGAATGTAGACTTGCTTCAAAACTTCTCGAAGGACGGCAAAGTTGTAGAAGAGGGGTTCTTGGTATGCTATAAGGTAACAGATTTTTTTCAGTATTTGTCGTAGAGTGCCGTTTCGACGGAAGGTACTAACCACCGAGACGGCTCGTCACTTGACCAGTGTATTCTCCACCATATTTCTTTGCTCCCTCCAGTGCCTTTCCAGCGAGAGCAGAGCCCTGTTCAAAAGCCTTGCCTGCTACGGCAGATCCTTGCTCATAGGCCTACACGCAGCAACCACAACGTCAGCAAACAAGCCATAACAATCAATTTCGAATTTTAATAAATAATGAGGAGCAAAGACAGGCCAGCAAACCAGTGGTCGAAATTCGCTGGTCAGCGAGAATCATTCTCGTTGGCAAAAGACGAGGGAAAAGACGGAAACATCGACGGCGACATACCTTTTTCGCATACTCTGCAGCCTTCTCTGTCGCCTCGTTTGGCTTTGTAGGACCACTCGACGCAAACCGGCGGGTTGCCTGTGATTGTTGCCTGCCAATGTTCGCCTTGACGAGCTGAAGTCTTGACCGTGCGGTCGTTCTAGAGATCATGGACATGTCTTGTGCCTGCGCAGATGGAGGCTGTCCGTGGAGTGGATGTGATGGTTGGGTTCGAAAAGGTGAAATCACAAAGTCTCGACCAAAGTGGAGGTCAAGAGCACTGCTTATAAGAGGTACAAATGAAAAGTCGCAGAAGCGAAACTAGGATTAATAGTCTACTAGTTATCGTCTACAAAAGAGTACCCGTTCCTGCCCAGAGGCATAGAACGAACAAGAGTCACGAATAAAATAAAACCAAACAACCCCGAGCACAGGTGTCTACATGCTCCAGAAGGTAAGTAGATTTACTCCTCCTTTGGCTTTGGCTTGCCCTCGGCTGCGTCAATGCTAGCCTTGTCGGTGGCTGGGTTGGACGCTGCAAATGTGATGAGAATCAAATACTCTAATAGGTATAGTGGACAACTCACAGCCAAAAGACCAGGGGGCTGTTTGAACGGTCGCTTGAGGTCACCCTCGGCCGGCTTGTTGAAGATGTAGAGCGCAACTGGTTTAGCCTCGAGCAGGTTTTTGATTCCCATGAGACCCTGGATGAAGAGAGGCTGGGTGAACTTCATGTAAAAGTGCATGAATCCCATCATGGCGACTCCCATATATACTGCACGCAAAAGCTTGGATGTCTCCTCGAGATCATAATCCCGATTTGTAGTCACCACGAGTCCTCCGCTGTCTGGGTTGAGCGCATTCTTGGGCTCCACGTATTTGAGGACAGTAGTATCATTCTTCTTCTTAATCTGTCGAGGTGCAAATGAAAGGACGCGAACCACATGATTCAGAGAGATAGACAAGGCACGTCAAATGACGAGCACGAAAAACCCACGCAACGACCGCGTCAGCGATCCAACATATGCGAGGCAAACGTTTGAAGCGCACCTGAGCAGAGATATAGAGATATACAGCAATACATATCACCTGGGAGGCGATATAGCCGATGCGGACGTACATGAGGACCTGCGGGTCCTCGAAAGGAATTTTACGGGCGACTTGCATCGCACCCAGGGAGATGACGAGGTTTTGTACAGCTGGATTCATCCTGTAAGAGAGGAGAGGATTATGGCCGGGGTTTTTTTGGAGTCGTCGAGTCTGCCAACAAATTGCAGTCGGGGTCAAAGAGACGTGGCCAGCTTGGGACCCGCCTCGATACCCGAGGGCCATATGGATACACAAAATCTCACGATATCAACGGAATTACATGTAAAATTATACGTTGACTTTGTACAGAGCTAATGGGAATGTATCGGCTCGCCTATCGAAGTGTTTCTTCACGTCAGTATCGCGACTCAAGGACCCATTTCTCTATTTGTTTATTAAGCGCACTGTTTCTACAACGAGTCCACCTTGATGCCGAGGACCTCAAGGAATACTTCTACTACGAACCCGGGATCATCTGCGCTGTGCTCTGTCAATCAATCTCCAGCGCGAGCAGAACGACTGCATCTCCATCCTTAATCATCAGAACTTTGAAAAGTTTGGTAGAAATTCTACAAGTTTTTGCAAACCTGTGCCAGTTTATTGACGCGTGGGAATCAACCTCGACCTCTGGAAGAGACCTATCACCGACATGAACAAAATGCCCAAATCTTAATACCTGAACGTTGTTAAACTGTCTCTCATGTTTAGATTTCAAGAGACAAATGGTTGCACACCGATTGATTCCGAAATGACCAAAGGGGAGCAGGAGCAACGGAGCAACGTCAATGAGGAGCTGAAATGAGATGTCGGTATTGATTCATAGTATCTAGTGGGGTTTATTCATCCGTATCATGTGTTGGAACACGGAATCATCCCAAGAGTCGATGGTACCTTCGACATTGGGTCCCACCACCCGAGTGCTCAATACACCTGGATGAATGCAGTGGTAGCAATACGAATGATAACTACTTCATCTTTGCAGCAAGGCGCAATTGGTTGTTTCGTTGTAGCGCTTCTGTTTTTTTACACAATGCACAAAGGCAAGCAAGACTTGATCACCACCACGTCCACAGTTGAAGAAGCCCATCACCTTCAAGGTCGCAAAACATGATGCCGAAGAGCTTTGCTCTTCTAGGAAGCCCAAACCTATCAAAGCGGAAGAACTCGTGAGCCAGGTGTGGCGCGAAGATGGCGCCAAATGCGGCCGTCCGTTCTCATTTCTAAAAGACTACACCTAACACTTGACCAAAGGTGTCATAGAGTCTTCTTTCACCCCTGAGGGTAACTTCATTCCCCAAGGCAATGGGTTTATCGACATAGTGGCCAACGCGTACAACGAACATTACCATCTGATCATCAGGCATGCGACTCAATACTAATCTCATAAATCACATTCATGACATAAACTCAGGGCCAGACGACTTGTGGATTGCAGTCTTGTCCCTGCTCAGTTTCGTAAGTACTCTTTGAAATGGCATCCTCTCGCTGACCAAGCATTCAATACAGTGTCAATGCTCGTGCTGAAGGACTGAGGTCCCACTTCGTGTCGCACGAAGGAACGAAGCATCTGGTGGCCGGCGCAGACTATGGGTTTGGTACACCTGTGACAATAAAGGGGGAATTCTTGAAGACAAGGGTATTTAAAACCGTTCATATCATAGGGTACTAATCTCTCACTAGGTCAAAGACCCCTCACTCCACGAATTTATTGTCCCTACTTTCTCGATGACGACGTCTAACGACAAAATTACCTGCTCGGTCATCATGATAAGCACTCAAGACTTATTTCGGTTGTGGATGCAACTTTTGGTGCGGCATACCTTCTATCACACTTGAGGGCGAACAAGAAGATAATATAGCAATCCTCAGACGACTTGACAAACTTGAAGAATTTGGAAACAAGCCGAAGGTCTTTGCTCGTTTCCTGTGACTCGTTATCCGCCAGTTTGTCTCTGCGTTCGATGCGGTCAAAACCGAGAGTGGCGTCGACCTCAGATTCTGGAGCAGGATCTGTCATATTGAGCCCTTTGGGTCTGGTTCATCCCACCTCAGCGGATGGATCACTGTGTTCACTATCTGGAATCGCCGAGGCGAATGGCAGGCTCATGACCTGAAAACGATTGAGGCTGAATTGAGCGAACAGGAGCAGAAATACCTCGAGGAGTATACAAAAGACCGCTCGTAAGCACTAATCTTTCAGGCATCGCTGCAACATCTAACTTGGATGCTCTCTAATGCAGGCGATTTAAATCGTATGAATCACTACCACCTTTGAGCTTGGACGGGTTACGCTACTCTAAGTTAGATACCTCCTATATTTCAAATGGGTCTTGTGATATCGATATTACCATTAAAGGCAAGTCGAAAATACCCTGCAAGCTGGTCGCGGGACATGTTGCAGCGGCAGCGAGCGAGACCGCAGGGCTGCAGAACACGCTGCGCCCTGCCCCTCCGTGGTTCATGTTTACCAAGGAGAAGACAGAGACAGAAGCCTGAGATGCTCAAGCGTATGAAGAGGGAGTGGCGTTCGCAAAAGCCGCAAAAGCCAGAGCTTTGAACATCGTCTGCCGCTTTGGAATCAGACTCGCTTTGCAAATAAAGAAGAATATTGAAGCGGCTCTTTATGACTCTCCGGTTTCACCTCATACGTGAATCGTGCGGGATCCTAAAGCGTCACTGTGACGGCCAGTAGCAGAGAGCCACCGAGCACTCAATAGAATGAGCGAATAGTATGCACGGAAATAATTTCGTTATCGCCGGGTACCCAGATATTGTCGCTCAGCGTCTATTAATGGCCTCTCCCTATAAGACCCAAGCTTGGCCCATGACAAGCCCAGCGACTCGAAGATGCCCATCACTTTCAAGGTTGCAAACCATGATGCAGAGGAACTTCGATCTTATAGGAAACCATCGTCCATCACAGCAGAGAGATTTATATGTGAGGTCTGGAGCGAAGACGGCGCCAAATGTGACCGTGAGTTATCTGGTTGACATGAAGCTACGGCTGACACTTGGAAAGGTGTACTAGAGTCTTCGTTTACCCCCAATGGTTACCTCATTCCCAAAAGCAATGGGTTTATTAATACTGTGGTCGATGCGTACAACGAACATTATCATCTGATTATCCGGTATGCAATACATTATTAATCTGGGGTGACGCTATAACATCAAGACAAGGCCGGATGACCTGTGGATCGCGATCTTGTCCCAGTTCAATTTCTAGTGAGCACTTTCTTAGATAACGCTTCTTCAGTGACCAAGTGCACGGTCTAGTATCAACGCTCATGCCGAGGAACTAAGGTCTCACTTTGTTTCGCACGAAGGAAAGGAGAAGCTGGTGGTCGGCGCAGACTTTGGATTTGGTGCGGCCGCAAACGATATGGGAGAGCTATTAAAGACAAAGGTGTTTAAAAATATTGATATTGAGAGGCTTCTTACCTCTCTCCAGATCAAAGATCCCTCGCTCTACGAGTTTATCGTCCCAACCTTCTCCACGACAACACCGAATGACAAAATCATCTGCTCGGTCATGATGATGAGCACTCTCAAGGCATACTTCAGTTATGAATTCTGTATCGATTGTGGCATACCTTCAATCACACTCGAGGGCGAACAAGAAGATTATGCGGCAATCCTCAAACGACTGGACAAGCTTGAAGAATTTGGTAATGAACCCACCTTCTTTGCTCGTCTGTTGCGACCCATTATCCGCCAATTTATTTCTGCGTTCGATGCAGTCAAAGCCGGGAATAGTCTCGACGTCGAGTTCTGGAACAGAATCTGTCATTATCAAGCCGGTGGATCTGGTCCGTCCTATCTCAGTGGATGGATCACTGCCTTTGCCGTCTGGAACTCGGGAGGTAAATGGCAGGCTCACGACTTGAAAACAATCGAGACCGACTTGAGTGAAGAAGAGCGGAAATATAAGGAAGAGTATGCAATGAACCCGTCGTAAGCACTATCCCACTAGTCGTCGATGCGACGCCTAATTGAAGCGTTCTCCATACAGGCAGTTTAGGTATCGATTACCACCACCTTTGATCTTGGATGGGCTGCGTTTCTCTCGGCTGGATACTTCGGATATCCCAAGCGGGTCCTGTGATGTCGATGTGACCGTTGACGACGGCGGCACAGAAATTCCTTGTAAGCTGCTCGCAGGCCATGTCGCAGCAGCAGCCAGCGAAACAGCAGGGGTTCAAAATACATTGCGTCCCGCCCCCCAGTGGTTCATGTTCACGAAGGAGAAGACGGAGACAGAGGCTGAGATGATGGAGCGTATGATGCGCGAGTGGCGGTCCAAAAGCCGAGTTTAGTGAATATCTCCAATGAAATTTCGGGTTGAAACAAATGAGATCCAGTTTGAGGGATTCACATCCGTGGAGGGAAGGGTCTTACAAGCCTTTACCAGGCACAGTAATTGAATTGTCTGCACGATTTTCAACTAATATTTGGCTCCTTGTCAAACTGCGGCGGCCACTTGAAAGCCCCGCTCGAGCCTGTCCTTAAACCTTTGTTTCCCTGGCTCGAGCGTACTGGCCTCCCCTCCGACCTTGCGCTCCCAATGCATATCCGTGAAATTTGTCAGCTTATTGTACAGGCTGACCGCAACTTCTTGGCTCATCCCCCCCGGTTTCATGACTTCGGTACCGATGCCGAAAGGCGAGTCAAGCTTGCCCGCCCTTCGCTCAACAATTCTGGGTTCTATCGGTAACTTTTGACAGTTCTGCTTACTAAGGAAGCCGCAACAGCTGTTGTTTCCAGGACAGACGTTGCTCCCTTGAGTATTGTGAGTGCATCACCAGCTGAAACTTTACGTTCTTTTGTCGAACAGCTTACTCCTATGTACCTGAGCACGAGCTCCAGCAGATCAAGGGAAAGAGGACTGAAGGCTCGGACCCATAGTCTTAGTGCCCCTCACAATCTCCGTCCGCGTGCTCTGTCTCCTCCTGGATCCAGATGGTGCGATTGTTTTTGTTTGTCATTTAGATCTCTGATGAAATCTCCTATTTCGTTCACACCCTTCCTCCCTGTTCATTGCGAGCGTCTAAGGGGTCCCACGTGAGTTGTGGGTATAACGTATATTCAGCGATAAATCGTCGAGCCCAAAAGGACATAAAGGTCAGGGGTCCGCCCGGAGGGCCCTTCAGTATTCATCTCTTGGTTTGATAGGTCGAAGTATATACGAATAGGAAATAGGCCAAAGTAACGTGATACCGAAATACCAACAAACGCGACTAATAAATCCGAGGTGCCGTTGTCGAGAGGGGACGGTACTCGGAAGCGTTTGTGCCGCCAGTTGCACGCCATCTCGAATGGATTGCGCTGACCTTTCCCCAGTCGACAAAGTTCCAGAATCGTCGTAGGTACTCTTCCTTCCCAGGATGCCGTACCCTCCGCAAAGCCACATATGCTCGTGGACACTTGAGACGTGCGCATCAGTTCTGAGTGTGAAGTTGCAAGGTAGCAGACTGACCTTATGCAGAGCAAGGGGCTCAAATCATCTTGACCACCTCTGAGTCGCGACGACAGTGAAAAGGGCGGACTAGTAGGGTCACGACGGATCGTACTCAGAGCGGCGTTATCTGCCGCCACAGTCCGAGGCCTAGGCTGTCGCTCTAATGGGAGAGTATCATTGTCCAAGGGATCCAACTCGTCTGCCGGCTCCGGCCTGGGCACATCCTCGTTATATGTGCTGCTGTACCGATGAGAGCTTGTGATGGGTGATTGTGGGTAGCGATGGGAAGGCGAGAGTGGTTCTAGAGGCGCTAATCTTGCGGGGGTTTGGGAGAACCGCGGGGCCGCAAAGGATGTTGCGTACAGAGGAGAGTTGATCAAAGAAGAGGTGTGGAGCATCTTGGCCTTTGAGGCTCCACCATTGCGAGGGATCTGAGTAGTCTGACCACCAGCAGATTGGCTGCTGATTCGCTCTCCGAGAACCTGAAGCAGACTCCGCGAATTCAGGCTGACTTCGCTCAGCCCTTCGGGATACTTTTGAACCCTACTCCTGACCAACATTGTCCCGGGTCCGTAGGATGGAATGACGGCAAGATGGTCACCGGTCTCATCACAAACGAGCCATACCCAGCCAGAACCCATCATGCCGAGCGCTGCTGCGGACATTGTCGACTTTAGATTATCCAATGAACTGAACGAGTCTTCGATTGCCACCTTCAAGTCGGTTTTCATCGAGTGCTCGTGTGACTCTGCCGGCGATCCATCAATAGTAGGAGCTGCTTGAGATAATGGAAGCTATGTATGTTTGTGAGCCTGCTGATTCTGTTTCGTCTACTGCGCGCGCGTACCAGATTATCGAAGAAAAAAGAGTTGTTCAAGGCCTGAGACGCGTAATTAAAGGCGAGTACATGTTTAGGATCGTTTCCGAGGCTGACGACCGTTTGTGCGACGCTCTTGTCCTTCAATTCGGGTTCAGCTGAGAAGGATAAAGTATAAGCCGCTGGATTCATGCAGAAAGAAAGGGGACTAACTGGCAAGTTCCTCGTTTAATCTCGTCAATAGGCCCTGCTGGTATTCGACTGCAATCGTCTTCACCGCGTCTGGAGACAAGAAGTCGCCCAGTCCTTGCTCGAGATAGAACGGTGCTATGACGCTATGTTGTGCATTTGTCGAGAGGTACGCTGTAAAGACGTAGCGCAGCTCTCTCGTTCTTCGTGTTCGACAAAACGATGTCGTCGTCCTTTTGAGCGTGTACATGGCGATATTGAGTAGCTTTACGCGATATTATACTCCTTATAAACGCAAAAGCTGGCCCAACCAACGAGAAACGACGGGGTCGAGGTCGAAGAAAGTTTTGGACAAAACTGGTTGACTCTCGACCGTGACAAGTGCTGGCCATGCCACCGAAACCGAGCGCAACTCCCAAGCCATCTGCATCTACAAATGCCTTCTCGTCTCTCTGGAAGGCGTACCAGGACGAGACGCCAGCAAGACTAAAGCTCATCGACGCCTTTCTCGTGTTTCTCATGCTCAGCGGCATCATTCAATTCGTATATTGCGTCCTAATCTCGAGCTTTCCCTTCAACGCATTTCTCGCTGGGTACATATCTCATTGCCGGTGACCAGCGCGCTAACAAGCTGGGGCCCCGTTCCAGATTTGCCAGCTGTGTGGGCCAATTCGTGCTGACTGCAAGCTTGCGATCACAAGTTAATCCTCTGAATCAACAAGAGTTTAAAGACGTGTCTCCGGAACGGTGCGTCTCGCCATCCCTCTCTCCCAAGCACTGCTGACGTTTCGTAGAGCGTTTGCAGACTTCGCACTCGGATCTATCGTACTTCACTTTTTCGTATTCAACTTTCTCGGTTGAGCGTATGGTGTATCTATTGCGTGTCATATCCTATTTGCTTCGACAGGTAGCCCAGAAGTGGTATCGCCTCTGGATGTGAGTCAAACCAGTGTAATAGCGAGTTATTAGCCAAGGAAGTATTATCGAATTTACCAAACTAAGCTGTAACTCGGCGCGTGCAGAGGCTGGCACGCACACGCGGCAATCTTGGAACCATCCATCTTCAGGATGTCGGCCTCAAGTTCATCCAAACCAAGCAAGCAGCGCAAGAATGTCGATTCTCTGGCATCCTCATCTTCTGCCCAAGGCTCGAGCAAGAAGGCTCAAATGTACAACACGGTCAATGTCGGTCTCACCGTAGGGGCGAGTATCGCCGAGGTATCAGATATACTGGCACCTCTTAAAGCAGCTTGTCTAACAACAAAAACGATCCTCGAAGTCGCACAGGCAAGTTGGCAGACTTGTGGTGATATGACTTCCTCTAATAGGTATAACAGGCGATAGACAGCAATCAAGAAGAATGGACAGACCTTGTTCAACGTCTCAAGCGTTATATGTCTGCACTCGAAGAACGAACCACATTGTTTGAGACATACCCCCAAGAAGAGAGGGTCGTCGACGAGGCATTCCGCCGGCCACTCATCCACTATGTCGAGTAGGCGAATTATTCAATTTCATTTCAATGCATTGAGATATCTAGGTTTCTCGAGACTATGCATGATATGGTCGTCGATCTAAAGGAAAAACGCAGCCGCAAGAAACTTGGTCTCTTCAAAGCGTTTAGCAAAGTGAAAGCAGATGCAGGGGAGATTCTGAAAATGAGCCAAGACATTGAGGATCAACATAGGCAGTTCATGGTGCGAGCTTCATCAGTCCTTTCACAATCTCACCTCGGAGGTAGGAGGCGTTGGGCGTTTTCACCGCACTACGCGTTCAAGTCGTAGACAAAACTACGAAAGCCACAGAAGTCAAGTTGGACGTCACCAAATCATGCGTGGAGACTACCAAGACTACCGCCGATGCGACCAAAACTACCGTGGATGCGACCAAGGCCACTGTCGACGCCACCAAAACAGACGTTGAAACACTTTTGACAGACGGTATGTCAAAACTGTCATAGATGGCAGCTACTTACACTTTAAAGTGGACGCAAACGCAATACTGCAGCTCCCGACAGTCGCATTCGTCGCCTCTTCGGTCCACAATCCGTGCCTACAAGGAACGCGCGAGGCGGTCCTCAACACAATCTGGCAATGGGCCGATGGCGATACATCGGACAAGCCGATATTCTGGCTCTGCGATATAGCCGGCTCCGGCAAGTCGACTGTTGCAATGACGGCTGTCGAATCATGGCGCAGTCAAGGAGTACTCGGCGGTCGATTCTTCTTCTCCATCTCAAGCAACGAAACATCCAGTACCGACAGGCTCTGCTCGACCATAGCACGAGACCTCGCGCATCACATACGCGAACTCGCGCCGCACGTCGCTGAGGCCGTGAAGCACAACCCCTCTTTCATGCGATGCTCTCTTGAGGAGCAGTTCGAGTTGCTCGTCAGTGGTCCCCTCCATCATCGGCAAGGGCGCATGATACTTGTCATCGACGCTCTTGACGAATGTAAGTCTCCATCACAGAGAAAAGAACTCGTCGAAACCCTGTCCAAGATCGTCCAAAAGAGTGAAAAGCTCAGGATATTCATTACAAGTCGGCCAGATCCCGTCATACAAGCAGTCCTAGGGCCGCTCTCAATCAAATCCAAGTTGGAGGACCGCCTCCACGATGTCAAGCATCGCGACAATATCGATGACGTCGCGAGCTATGTACATCATTCACTACGTGAAAGACTGCCGGAGGACAAGAGACGGAAGCTTGTCCAAAAGGCCAACGGACTATTTATCTGGGCGAGTACTGCTTGTCGAATGCTCAATAACACGACAAGTATGAGCTCGCCTGAGGACATATACGACAGTTTGATGTCCATGAACGAAGCCGGAGCCATAGACGAAGTATATAGTCTCGTCTTCGAACGCACAGATCCCCAAAACTATACGGTGATGTGCACGATGCTCGCGGTGCTGCTTGCTGCATTCGAACCTCTCACCACCGATGACCTGAACGATGTACTGAAGGATTCCAAAATACGTGGAAGTGCCGAAGGGTTGGTCCAGAACCTCGGAAGCGTACTCACCACAGATCAGACGACAAATCTCATCCAATTTCGTCACCCCACATTCGTGGAGTACCTTCGGCGCTGTACTACTACCCAAGCCGCATCTAGCAGGTATAAACTAGATCTCAACCTAGCCAATGCACATGGTCAAGCAGCATATTGGTGTCTCAAACGCCTCAAATCACAGACGGAGGGTCTAAAGTTCAATATATGTCAAATCGAGACATCTTTCTGTCTGAACAGACAAATTCCGGATCTTGATACTCGAGTATCAAAGTACATTCCAAGGAGACTTCGATATGCAAGTTCTCATTGGTTGTTCCATGCTGCCGGCGCTGACGACAATTGGTGGCCCACGCTCAAGAACGAGCTCCAATATGTCATTCAAGTTCCATACGCATTTCAGTGGATGGAGATCCTCAGCGTGACTGGTGGAGTGCCACGAGCAATCGCCGGTCTTCGGGCTATTACACGGCACACAAGAGTAAGTGGTTTATCCTAACAAATGGCTGTCTCTTACGCAGTGTGTAGCTCAAAGGTCAGACTCGAGAGTGGCTAGAAGAGATTCGAAGGTTCATGACGACATTTTCGGTGCCGATACAGGACAGCGCACCGCACGTTTACGTTTCTGCGCTTCCATTCACCCCCACAAAGTCAATGCTGCATACTCATGGAATGAAGGAGTATACAGGCATACTAAATGTAACCAGAGGGCTCGAGGAAGCGTATCCTGGACTCCCTAATTTTCTTCGAGGCCATGAAGGCGGCGTTTTGGCCGTCGGATTCGCGCCAGATGGCTCACGAATCGTCTCTGGCTCCTCCGACAAGACGCTTCGACTGTGGGATGTGGAAAGTGGACAGTCAGTTGGAGAGCCACTTCGAGGTCATCAAGGCGTCGTTCGGGCCGTCGGATTCTCGCCAGATGGCTCACGAATCGTCTCCGGCTCGGAGGGCAACACGCTTCGACTGTGGGATGTGGACACTGGACAGCCAGTTGGAGAGCCACTTCAAGGTCATGGAGGCTGCGTTTGTGCCGTCGGATTCTCGCCAGATGGCTCACGCATCATCTCTGGCTCCTCCGACAAGATGCTTCGACTGTGGGATGTAGATACTGGACAGCCAATTGGAGGGCCACTTCGCGGTCACCAAGGCAGGGTCAACGCTGTTGTATTCTCGCCAGATGGCTCACGAATCATCTCTGGCTCGGACGACAAGACACTTCAACTGTGGGATGTGGACACTGGACAGCCAGTTGGAGAGCCACTTCGCGGTCATCAAGGCCCTGTTTTCGCCGTCGGATTCTCGCCAGATGGCTCACGAATTGTCTCTGGCTCGGAGGACAACACGCTTCGACTGTGGGATGTGGACACTGGACAGCCAGTTGGAGAGCCATTTCGTGGTCATGGAAACTGGGTTCGTGCCGTCGGATTCTCGCCAGATGGCTCACGAATCATCTCCGGCTCCTCCGACAAGACGCTTCGACTGTGGGATGTGGACACTGGACAGCCAATTGGAGAGCCACTTCGAGGTCACCAAGGCGGGGTCAATGCTGCCAGATTCTCGCCAGATGGCTCACGAGTCGTCTCTGGCTCCTACGACAACACGCTTCGACTTTGGGATGTGGACACTGGAAAGCCAGTTGGAGAGCCACCTCGAGGTCACCAAGGCAGGGTTTGGGCCGTCGCATTCTCACCAGATGGCTCACGAATCGTTTCTGGCTCCTCTGACAAGACGCTTCGACTATGGGATGTGGACACTGGACAGCCAGTTGGAGAGCCACTTCAAGGTCATGAAGACTATATTCGTGCCGTCGGATTCTTGCCAGATGGCTCACGAATCGTCTCTGGCTCGGACGACAAGACGCTTCGAATCTGGGATCTGAACACTGGACAGGCAGTTGGCGAGCCACTTCGAGGTCATGAAGACTGGGTTCGTGCCGTCGGATTTTCACCAGATGGCTCACGAATCGTCTCTGGCTCGGATGACAATATGCTTCGACTGTGGGATGTGGACACTGGACAGCCCGTTGGAGAGCCACTTCGAGGTCATCAAGGCACCGTTTGGGCCGTCGGATTCTCGCCAGATGGTTCTCGAATTGTTTCTGGCTCCTCCGACAACATGCTTCGACTGTGGGATGTGGACACTGGACAGCCCGTGGGAGAGCCACTTCGAGGTCATCAAGACACCGTTTGGACCGTCGGATTCTCACCAGATGGCTCACAAATTGTCTCTGGCTCGTCCGACAAGACGCTTCGACTGTGGGATGTAGACACTGGACAGCCAGTTGGAGAGCCGCTTCGAGGTCATCAAGGCATCGTTTGGGCCGTCGCATTCTCGCCAGATGGCTCACGAATCGTCTCTGGCTCCTCCGACAAGACGCTTCTACTGTGGGATGTGGACACTGGACAGCCAGTTGGAGAGCCACTTCGAGGTCATGAAGACTGGGTTCGTGCCGTCGGATTCTCACCAGATGGCTCACAAATTGTCTCTGGCTCGGACGACAAGACACTTCGACTGTGGGATGTGGAGACTGAACAGCCAGTTGGAGGGCCATTTCGTGGTCATGGAGGCCGGGTTCGTGCCGTCGGATTCTCGCCGGATGGCTTAGGAGCTTTCTCTGGCTCGGAAGATCCAACAATTCGACGGTGGGATGCAGAGAAAGGTGCCTATTCTCTCAAATTTCTTGTTTTTTGACCCGTGTGATTGACCTTCTCCAGGAGAATTAGGGAGGATTGATCTGCCAGGGCTTGTACCTGGATTTCGCCATTGCTCGCTTTTACATGATGGCTGGGTACAATCTTCTGGTAAATTTCTATTCTGGGTCCCACCAGACAATCGCCATGGACTACAAAATCCGCGTCTTCTTCTGACTATACCGACAATTAGTCACCACCGGGCAACTAAACTTGATTTCACCCATTTTCAATGTGGACCCACCTGGACAAATGTCGTTCGGAGAGTGTCGACCCAGTAAAATACAGCTACTATTTATATTTATCGATGGAATTTCTTTTTCTTGTCCAATAGATAAAGATTCTTAGGGCAAAACCTCCGCGCTTGTTGACTGTGCCAGGCATTACGTTCCTCCTAATAAGTAAAAATTGATTAAACCCGGGAGAATACATGTTGTTTACGGGTAACTATTGCTATCAATCTCCTTCGTGAAATCTGTTGAGCAATGTTTACCTCCCACTCCCATCAGTTGCCGTGAAATAAGCAGTTGTTTACTCATTATTTCGGATTACCTGCTGTGAGAGACTGGGTCAAATTCAGCGTAGTACGTGGACTAGAGTACCCCTGGCTCCCTAGTGTGATCAGTACCACAATAGACGAGGTCATGATATCCCAGTCTTCTTCAGAATAATGCGTCCAGATGTCATTTTATTCCATATAAGTGACGATCATAGTTGCTGGCATTCAAGTGCATGTATACTAGATCAAGCCCTAATGAAGAAGGACATTACAGGACGCTAGCGACCTCTAACTCAAGCATAAATACCACGCATGTGGATAACTTAGTGACCTTTATTCGATCGTCCTCTTCCTCTTTTGGCTCAGCTCGCGGAGCAAACCAGGCTGAACGTCCAATCCAGGAATAGCCTGGACCATGTGTGATCTAGAACAGGTCAGCATTCTGTGGGGAATACCAGCTCTTGTACTAACCTGGACGTGATGTACGAATTGCTACGTTGTGGAGGAGTATGGCGGAGTTCCCAAGTGGTCTCTTCCCGATAAACCGTGGTATGTTCCGTCCTAAAGTGCTGTCTCTCTACCAAAAGGCGCTCGCTAATCTCTGAGAGCGAATTCGGGGTATCAGGCCTACTGGGGGGTGGAGTATACGACCAGGGTGCATTGTAATCCATCCTAGGTAACATTGAAGACGATCCGCTTCCTCTTCTGCTTGGTGTGACAGAACGGCTGCTTCCAATCAACGCATCTTCCGAAAACTGGCGATCTGGCGGAGTCCCCTCGAACCGTTCAACCAATGCGCGTATCTTTGGTGAAGCATTGATGCGTTGTTGAGGTGCTAGGCGGTCTTGTGCACCGGGAATTGGGATGGGAGCCGTCGAGGTTCGGACGTTTTGGCGAAGTACAACCATCGGTGGAGGTAGAGGGAGGGTTGGAATAGTATTCCCTCGGGACGTGAGGGAAGGACGATTGGGCGAGCGAACAGGTCGAGGTGGTGGCGGAGAGGCGGGCGGAGTCGGGTGCTCCATCTTTGTCTGTGAGAGCTGAACCGGGGACGCTGGTGGTGTGAGATTCGCCTCGCTCGAATGCGTCAGGGTCGGTGATGTGCGGCGGACAGGGACGGGTGTCGTTGGTGGAGGGACAGTCGTCGAGACGAGTCGTTGTAACGGGTCGACGTTTTCCTTGTCTGTCGGCGATGTCGTGGCGTTGCTCCCGTTGTACGTGCTCGTGTTGGACAGAGTGCGTCTGTGAATGGACGCATTCCACGAGGCCATAGAGGTTCGAGAATGCGGCGTTTCGAGTTGACTCATCTTGGGCGACAAAATGACCTCGGACATGTCCGATAGCTCTTCGACTGGTGTACAAGGCGATGGAGGCTCCTTGAACACCTTGGTCCCGTTTGCTGCGGCCAGCGCAGTGTTAATGTGAAAGTTGGGTGGCCTGCTGAAGAGTGCAATGTCGGAATCGGCGTCTTCCAGTGCATCGAAATCGTCTTCGAATAGCCCAGGAGACTCCATGGGGGCTTCATAAGATGGTGGATCTTCATGATGGCTCCTCCTTAGGCTTTGCTCTAGAAGCTCAGCTGTGGGAGACACGTCGGAGAACGAGACTTCTGTCGCCTCTGGTATAAGAGGAATTGGCCTTGTAGGTGCGTCGACTGTAGTAGGTTGTTTTGCGGTTTCTACAATCGCTTCTGGCTCTTCTGGTACAGGGGCTGGCTCTGTGACAACCTCTAGCTCTAGAGGCGCCGGCTCAGCTACTACTACGTGCGCCTCTTGTGGAAGCTCGGCTTCCTCGAGAGCTGCGGGAGTCGCCGGAACCGTTGAGACTACTGGAGCTGTTGGAACGGTTGGAGCGGTTGGAACGGTCTCTACTGCCTTGGGTTGAATGATACTGAACAGCGATCCAAATGAAGGTGTTTCAACTGGCTCGCGAAGAGAGTCGAGCGGATCGACTGGAACGATCCCTGACAATGTCGGCTTCAGCGACAACTTTGAGATCAGTCGCTTTCTCTTGTGCTTCTGAGGTTGACTGTGCACAGGTTTCGCAGGCTTGTACCTTGTGAGTGGGACAAGAATTGGGATCAAATGGCGAGGCTTTGTAAAGCGTAAGAAACTCCATAATTTCGAACCCGAGTTACAAGATGACGATAGTGGATCCATTTACTTCGTGAATTTGCGGCGGACCGCGACCTGCATTAGCTCCCGTTCCCGGAATACTACACAATGAGCAAACGTTACGCATGCAGAAAATAGAGTTTACTCACGTCTTGATAACGTTGCCATTTTCGTCCTGGATCACCACATCGCCTCCGCCTTGGACGATGTAGGTGCCACCGGTCTGCTTCGGGGGTTGCTTCGCCAAGTTGGCGAGGTACTCTTCATATGGAATGAAGCCGTTTTCCTCGTCACCAATCTGGCCTGGTTGTCAGCTAAAAGTGCGATGGACAATGTATGGGTAAACGGACCTCGAGCGTCACACCCTCGTCAATGACAAAAGTCGGCGGATTGCTGGGATCGATCTCCATTTGGTCGCCGGGTTTGAGCATGCGGGGTGTCTCGACGTGGCCAGGCGCGAGCACCGTCTACCGCAAAAGTTAGGTCCAAGGTTCGGTAGTGCGGCTGGTAAAGAGTTTGCGGAGGTAGATATACTTACTGGCTGCCTCGATACGCCGGCGACAGAGATGTGCTCTGGTGGCTCCGCATGACCAAACTGGCCGTGGCCGAGAGCGATCACGTTCGAGTCGTGCGCTGTTTCAACGTGTTCAAGTGGTACCTCATGAACACTGGCAGGATTTATGACCGTACCGCGTGGGCTATCACTCATTGGTTGCATAAAATAATCACCGCCTTGCATTGCATGGGACGGCGGTCGAACGTGGATGGCACTTGGCTCGCGCATCATCGAGTGGCCTTCATCAAATGGTGAGTACGGGTCATCATCATGCACAGCTGTGACGGGAGCGCCTCCCATATGATGTTCCTCTTCATAATGTAAAGGTGCCTCTGATGGATGAGCACTATGGAGCGTGGGGGGATGTTCGGACATGACCGACTCCCGAATAGAAGGCTCCCTTGTAAGCTACACCAAATTGGTCAGAGACTATTCTCGCGTTATTCTGGAGCTGAATGTCGATCCACGAGCGACAGCCAGTGCTTGCAACACCGCAGCCGCACGCGTCCAACTGCAGCGGCAGCTCACCTTGCTTTTCTACAACGATTATGTCAAAAAGAGTACTTTTTACAGATACTAGAGGTGATCTCTGACCTTTCCCTTGCCCTTTTTTCCTCCTCCATCATCGTCGTCCTTGCCCTTTCCGAGCACCCGACCCAACAAGCTCTTTTTCTTGGTCGACATCGTATATTGAGCCTATAAGCGGCGACGAAGTGTCCAGAGAGCGCGATGCGTCCCAAAATGCAACAAGGTGGTGGAGATCAAGCTCGCTGTTGTCTGTGCTGCCACACGTCTGCGGCGAGGCTCGTTCTAGACGATGACGGCGACGTTTAGCCGTCTACCGATCGTATTCTTAGTCCCGCTGGCTAACAAATTCGAGAATTCTCCAAACCCGGTACTTTGGGATTCGATGACCAAGATTGTCTTTTGAACCCTTTCGCAATGGCGGCCCGTGTCGTCCATCGAGCAGTCTGCGCACGCGTACCCAACAGAGCACTCCTCGCCGTCACGGGCACAAATACTGCTCAATTTCTCAACGGTCTCGTTTCGACAACCGTTCCCTGGCCGCCAAACGGAGGATTTTATTCAACCTTTCTCGCAGCAAATGTCTGTATACCGAGTACACAGGGCTTCTTTCTAATGTATACTAGGGCAAAATGCTATATGACGTTTTTCTGTGGCCATTCCGTGACGGAACGCGCGAAGGCTACTTGATTGACTATGACCCACGGTCTACCGAGGACGCACCTCCACTCGACGCAATGCTCAAGAAACACGTCCTACGCTCTCGTGTCAAAGTTCAACCTTTACAGGACGAATACGATGTATGGACGGCTTGGGGCGGCGAATTGAACGAGCCGACTCGAAGCTGGCGATACGGTAGCCAAGGAGCGGTCGAACCCATCTTCGAAGACAAGCTTGCCGCATGGTCAACTCAAGATGATAAGCGCCTGCGCGACTTGCGCGCCGTCGGTATGGGCCACCGGATATTGACCAAGAAGGGCGAAGAACGTGAGTCTTGTGTAATGGTCAATAGCACTGACCAACTCGATCACATAGCCGAGGAGACAAAGTCCACGACAAGGGAACGGAAGAAGACTACACCGTCCATCGCATCCTGCATGGAGTCCCAGAGGGCTCTGTAGAACTCGTCAACAGCTTACCTCTCAACTCGAACGTTGATCTTATGGGAGGAGGTAGTGTTTCTTTCCTTTTCTATACTAGCTCTGAAACCCGTTTAGTCGACTTTCGAAAAGGATGCTACGTCGGACAAGAGCTGACCGTAAGAACTTACCACACTGGCGTCGTACGGCGCCGTATATACCCAGTTCAACTCTACCCGGAGAACCAGAGGTCTGTCACATGCTTGTATCCTCGGATTTTATTAACGTCTAGTCCTAGTCCGCGCGAACCAGAGACAACCGATGCCTCTATACCACCCTTCTCGAAACCAATCTCCATCACACTTACAAATGTAAAGAACGATGGTAAACCAGAGCGGGGTACGCGTCCCAAACTATTGACCAGCATCCGCGGTGTTGGCCTGGCCGCCCTACGCTCTGCACAACTCGGTGCACTCGACAAAGGCGAATTAGAGATGCGCGTCAATTCCGACTCTGGCGATACTTTCCGCGTACGGCATTGGGTGCCATCCTGGTGGCCGCAACAGGCAATCGTTTTAGATGACGGTGGAGTAACAGCCTAATATTGTGGTGGCTTTAGTGTATAATGAAGATAACAATAGGAAATAAGTATGCTCTAAAGGTCAACCACTGCATTGACAGATGATCCCTGGACGGTGGAAAAGAGTCATCTGATCATTGATGATAATCCACGGCCAGTCAATCCTGATGAGCGATCAGAGATGAAGTAAATAACGTGCAAGGCCTACCAAGATTGGGACTTGAAATCGTTTTGTCGCAACAAGAACGTCCTATCGAATCGGACAACGACAGAGCTCGGTCTCTCCACTGTGGCTCTATTGAATAGTTCTCCATGAAACGTGAGAAGCAGGCAACCAAGGTCCGCAAACGCCACGATGTGGAATTGGAACTGAGACGGAGAGTCGATAGTTGGTGAGTGCATCAGGTCGTCAAACTCCAAAAGCTTCGCAATGATAGCGTCTGATCCCGCGTTGAAAGATCGCCGGAACCGTTGCTTGTACCCAGGATGATTCGGCACTCGATCCGAGTCTGAAGCTGTGAGCCAAATTCGTATTACGCTCAAGGTCTACTTACCGAGCAGGAGATTTCTTCCGTTTTCTCGCTCGGCAAGTTCGACGATTGAATGACCCTGTCGGCGAGGATTACCAACGCGAGGACAAGTGCCTTCCGTTGGCAAGTCGTTGAATTGGAGAGTCATGATCGCATCAACAGAATATGCCTTGCGCAGCTCCTTGCGACTCTGTAGGTGGTCAAAGCATCGAGTGTATCTAATTCCAGGTTAAAGTGTCCAGACTAGAGAAGTGCTCTTACCGATCCAGAAAACAGATGGCGACCCCAGACAACGTCTCCGCTGATAACATTCGTAGGCCGGATACAGCGTCATCAATGACCATTGAGCGATTAGCATTCGCATCCCCGTTGCTCTCCAGTCGCTGGGCTTGTTGTATACTGGCGTTGGGAGCTTCAACCGTTTCTTGATGATCATGGTAGGTGAGTATTGGGGTTTGCTATGAGTAGCTTCAAGCAGCTCTTCTTTAGAAACGGACCAGTCGAAACAAACCCCGTCTGCCCTACAGAAGCGTGAGACGTTGCTTTGACCATAGACATTAACAAGTACCTCCAAAAGATATTGCCCATTTCCAGTGGAGCATGCTCGTTGCCTCTGACCCATCGAATTGCATTTGACATCTTCTCTGCCCAGGCACTTCGTTCGACGACCTGAGACCTGGAAAACTTGGGACGGGGTACCCGATGTGAACCAGATGTTCGCCCTGGTAATCCAAGTTGCTCGTATAGGCTCAGCGGCGGGGCGTCGACGTCGATAGGGGAAGGTAATCGGTCTGGAGACGGCTCTCTTTTGACTTGAGGTTCCGCATTGATGACTACCGAAGCGACAGATGTTTGCTCCGCCGATTCTGGCTTGATCGTCGTAGTAAGTGTCCCTACTTCTGACGAATCAGACTTGAGAGCGGGATCAGTTTCTGACACTCGACGGCGCTTGAATGAATCGAGCTGGTCAGGAGAAGCTGGTAGTGAGGAGAATGTGCGCTTGAGAGATGTAGAAAGTTCCGGACGGTGTCTCTCATCTGTTTCAAGTCCTGGTATGTTGGATGTCTCTTCTGACTTGATAGTTCCCAGAGGAGAATCGTATGACAAAGTTGTAGCTCCGGGATCTTGCAAAGATTCCTCATGAGGGGAACCCATCCTGAGGTCTTCGACAAGTGTCGTAACTTCCAAAGATGAAGATACGTCATTATGTGCATTATTATTCCCAGTCTTTGCATCCGTATGTAAGTCTGGTGTGGATGGTAATGACGAGAGTGATGACTGGTGTTTTGTCTCCGGGCGACCGTGGACTGCTTGAATGGTACTGGGAGATGGCATGCCGGCACCCATGCGGTACGACTGGGAGCCAGACGATTGATAAGAGTCTCTTGGAGCACCACGAGTTGGTTCCTCGCGAGGGATGACTCGTTCTCGATGGCGACTCCAAGCATCCAGGCGATATTCTCTTTCATGGTCCTCGTCAATCTGTCTCTCATAGTCGTTGCGATAGCGAGGAACATCACGTGGATCCCTTTGATACTCGACCCTTCGCCCAACCCAGTTTGAAGATCCTTCCTTCCTGGACCAAGCTGGATCAACATATCTCTGGGTAGTCTTTTGCTTCTTTGGCGAGGGTTGACGCGGTTTCGGAGGAGGCTTGGTGATTGCCACTCTAGGCGGACCCCAGGACGGTTTGACGACGTCTCGGCTAGGTTGGGATCATGATCCTCGCCATGTAGAGCCAGTACAGAATTTGCATCCGTTGTCACTCCTGGCTTTGGCTTGTCTGGCCTCCAACCTCGCCAGTTTGGAGTGCTTTGGGGTTTGTCGCGACCGTTGGAGGTTGTTCCGATCCTTGTTGAGATGTTTGGACGTTGCATATGCGTACAAAGAGCTATGGTCGATTGCAAGAATGAGCACAGTGGTTCGGTGGATGTGATGTGCAATCTGTCCACATAGTCAGCTGAATATCCTCATATGAGCATGTCAAGTCACACGTACTCGCCACTAATCTCGAGGTTTTATTTACTATTCGAGGCCACCGCCACTGTTTAGCCCGCTGTACCGAACAGCGACCAAATTCGAGCACTCTTGAATAGCACAAGAATACTCTACAATCTCAGACTGATATTTGTACACTGATGATGAGTTGATTCTGCTCGAGGTGGAAATGTCGCAGGATCCAAGTGGCGGTTTCGACACTTGAACCCGACCAACATTGTTGACGATGCTGAGCCGCACGGTTGCTCGCCAAACTGCCCTCGTGGCTCGTTCGTCTCCTCAGAAACTCATGCAGATCCGCGGTGTGCATATCGAAAACACCGTCCACAATGTGCGTGATTATCTACGTCTGCGAAATACACCTCGGAAGATGTACTCTCGACACTGTTCTACCTCTCATTATGTTTTGTTCCCCTTGTCGCTCAGAAAGGCCTCGTGGTTTCCTTTTCCTCGGTTTTCTCTGGCGCTCGACTTGACCGCGGTTGCGCTGACGGGTTTACCTGGTACAGAACATGCCCTTTAAATATCGAAACAAGACGGCGTTTGCAGTGAAGACGGTGATTTTCTTCACCGCAGGCCTTGGGATTCCCTTGGTTGCGGTCGGTTATCAGCTGTGAGTTTTGCTCTACTTGTACACTTGTTCTATCGCTTTCTTTGCGATATTTTGTGGTATCTTGACCCTCGTGGTATGGCCGACCTCTTGGTCTCGCTCGGTCTCGACCCAATTTCGACAATTGTCGATAGCGATATCCATTATCACGCACCATTTACTAACACCTTGTGCTTGTTTAGATCAAAGTCAAAGGGTGGAGGAGGAGCTGGATCTGGTAGCGAATAGACAAGTTTCTGGGCGCTGTCATGTTTGCTATTCGGCTGGCTAGTTTAATGCAAGATGACCAGCATCTTTTTCTCAGAAAGCGGAGCGGCCATGCCACGGCCATTGAGCCTGTCTGGAGGACCATTGAGGCGGGAAACTCCGCAACGACGACTGGCTAGTCAGCAGCAATGGGACAAGTATATTCTACAGCCTTTGAGCCGTTGAAGCCATTCCGGGCCAACAAAAAGGCGATCGACTCCGGAGTTATGGGCCGTGATGAATGTCTAACCACTGGACAATAAGGAAAGGAGTTGTGGCTGCAAGTCTATTTTGTCCGCCCGATTGAGGCGGCTGGACAAGGCGGGTGTATGTCTGAAATAATGTGCCAATGAGCGATTGTCAAGCTTTGGTTAGTATTTATATAACAAGCCAGCTGGGTTTCCCAAGTTGAGCGTCCCAAGAGGGGAGATGTCGCCATCTGCCATGCCGTCCGAACTCGTCGCCTTTCAAAATCCATTTTTGACGCCGCCCATGTCTGCAATATTCCGCAAAAATGCGCCAGACGCGCTTGGATTGTCTGGAGGCGCATATCCTTCACCATCATCCCTTCCTCCGCTCTCCTTGCCAGACTCTCCAGCGAGCAATAGACCCCGTCGTCGGCCGTACCACTTTTCGACCCAATGCGCGACGGTAGACAATCCAGACGAAAAGGATCAGTATGGCTCCAGCTCAGTCCCCATCTACCAGACTGCTACATTCAAGGGCTTGGACGGCAAGTTTGACTATACTCGCAGCGGAAATCCTACCAGAAGCCATCTCCGTAAGCGATCCTCGCATTCTCCCCCAGCGCCGCCCTAACACACTTTGGTTTCATAGAACACCATCTCGCAAAGATTTATTCTGCCCAGCATGCCTTTACAGTCTCGTCTGGAATGGCCGCCTTGGACGTGATCACCCGACTGCTCAAAGCAGGCGACGAGGTCATCGCAGGAGACGATCTATACGGTGGAACGAACAGACTACTCACATACCTCAAAGAACACAACGGTGTCACCGTCCACCACGTCGACACGACAAATCCAGATCTCATCGTGCCACTCGTTCAGCCCGGCAAGACGGCCATGGTCCTTCTCGAAAGCCCCACAAACCCATTACTCAAGATTGCCGATCTCGAACTCATTTGCAATTACGTCCATCGGATTGCACCCGATGCCCTCGTCGTGGTGGACAACACCATGATGAGCCCATATCTCCAGCGGCCACTCGAGCTCGGCGCGGATATTGTTTATGATAGTGGAACCAAATATCTAAGTGGACATCACGATTTGATGGCAGGCGTCGTTTGCTGTAACCGTGGCGACATTGGCAAGGTTAGTTTTTTTTAAAGACCACGTCATTTACATTTGGCGCTGACGTGCTTTTAGCAAATCGGATTTATTATCAATGCAGTTGGAAATGCTCTCTCGCCATTCGATTCGTTCCTGTTGCTTCGTGGCATCAAAACACTCGCCATTCGTATGGACCGTCAACAGCGGAGTGCAATGGCTGTAGCGACCTTTCTCGATACCCACGGTTTCAAAGTACATTATCCCGGCCTACAAAACCACCCAGGAAAGGGAATTCACGATAGACTGGCCAATGGTCCTGGCGCTGTGCTCAGCTTTGTCACAGGCGACAAAGCCCTCAGTGAGAGGATTGTTGGTGCTACTAGACTATGGGGTATCAGCGTCAGCTTTGGTGCTGTCAACTCACTTATCAGCATGCCCTGTGCCATGTCGTAAGTATCGTTTGTTCATGCAAACATAGGCTCATTCCCCTCAAGCCACGCTTCTATAGATCCTGCCGTCCGCGCAGCACGCGGACTTCCGGAAGATCTTATTCGTCTTTGCGTCGGTATTGAAGATCCTCAAGACTTGATAGACGATCTAGAAAACGCCATCATGGAAGCTGGTGTGACCCTGCCTTCCATCATGCCGTCCATTGTAGAGCCATTTAGTCCGATTCGTGGCGAGCCATGGGCACCACCGCCGCTTATTTTCGCCCCGCAACCTGTCCTCGAAGAACGTCGCAAGCCTACTCACCCACACTGGTTCATCTCGGCCCCTGGAAAGGTTATTCTATTCGGAGAACACGCTGTTGTTCACGGTGTCGTATGTCGTCTATTCCCTTTGGTTTGTTTGACCTCACACCATTCGACAGACTGCGATTGGCGCTTCGGTCGACTTGCGATGCTACGCCCTTGCCTCCCACCGAGAAGACGGTTACATTTCGCTTCATCTCCCCGATCTCAACGACTGGTACCACGAGTGGCTCATCGACGAGCTCCCATGGGACTCCGTCACACCCACACGCATTGGAGAAGACCACGGACCAACGCTGGACCCACGTCTTATGGATGCGATTAACAACAGGGCTCTACCGAAGAGTGTCAACGAGGAGCGATTCGCCCGTGCGAAAGCGGCGGTCACCGCATTCTTGTACATCTACATGATCCTACGACCAGACACTAAAGCAAAGTGAGTCTATCTTTTTGGGCATACAAAACACCTACTGATGGTGATGATCCTCAGACCGAGTTTCCGATTCACGACCCGTTCAACTCTCCCTATTGGTGCCGGTCTAGGCTCGTCTGCCTCGTACTCGGCCTGCGTTGCCGCCGTCAATCTCATCTTTGCCAAACGGACCACACTCACCGAACCTGTTCGTCGACGACTCAACTCGGAGGCGACAATCTCGTACACGATCAAGCACGACGGTCGCCGTGCGATTCCAACAGAGGTCGCAGACGAAGTCAACAAGTGGGCGTTTGTGGCTGAAAAGGTCATGCACGGTAATCCCAGTGGTGTGGATAATACCGTCTCTGTTCATGGTGGTGCCATTGCGTACAAGAGAGCCGTTAATGGCTCCAAGGGTGGCATGGACGGATTGCATGGGTACGTTTTTTTTTCCTTGTTCATTCTTTGAGCTAGTGCTCACTCGAGTTGTAGATTCCGTTCTGTCAAGTTTTTGCTCACCGACTCGCAAGTACCGCGAGATACCAAGAAGCTCGTAGCGAATGTTGCCACTCGTCTCAAGGATGTCAGTAACCTCATTTAATTCGCTGTACTCTTTGAGTCTAACGATGGTCCAGGACCCGAACCGAGGCGCAGACGTCTTGGACGCCATCCAAGCCATCTCGATCGAAGGTTTCCGTGCGTTGAGCGATCCCGAAATTCCTCGCGAGACGCTCCTTGCTGGTCTCTCGGTACGTCATATTCCACGAGAAATGGTATCGCAACGGCTAACCCACCTCTGCAGAAACTGATCAAGCAAAACCATGCGTTCCTCAAGGAACTCGGTGCCTCACACATCTCACTCGAAGAAATTTGCGAGCTCACGGACGAATTTGGTCTGTGCACCAAGTTGACGGGTGCAGGCGGCGGTGGATGTGCCGTCACGCTCATTCCTGATGGTACGCGGACCTTTGCCTCTCATTTCCTTGTCAGTTTCACTGACGATATTTCAGACTTTTACGATGATTCGTTGCGGATCCTCATGGACAAGCTCGTCGAAGCAGGGTACCAGCCATACCTCACAACCGTCGGTGGAAGTGGACTGGGTGTGTATCCAGTCACGGGAGACCCGACTCCCGAGGAGAAGGAACAACTTCACCGCGATTTTGTGGGCCAGCCACGTATGGGGTTGGCCAAGTGGGCAGAAGAGCAAGGAGGATGGCTCTACGTCTAACGATACCATCTCGTCCCATCCTGCAATCCTTTTTCCAACACAAATTTACGCCGAATCCACATCCGACATTAATCTGTTCTTTTCGTTCCTTTGTTCTCTGTATTGTATACTTCCGATCCGTAGAATTCAATGGACAACGATCTCAAGGACATGTTCGTTTCTTAAATGTCTCACGATGGATAGTGAATGTCATCAAGTTGTATTTGCTTTGAACTTCTCGCCAGCCAGCATGCAGCGCACTTGCGCCTACAGGCCCGGGTTTTGGGTTACCAATCAGATAGTTGGGCACAAGCTGTATGATTTGAGGGTTGTGGCAATTTCTTTATGACTGGTGGCTCGTCCTACGGCGACAAATCGCGTGATCGTGATCGAACGCGTCTTGGCCACGACTATATCAACGGATGCACCATGGGGACGGATCACCAGATGGTCCATATTCACCAAGGAAACATACACGGCGCGAGACCAGATGTGGACTGTTTGCTTGCAGAGTTTCGACTCTTTCTGAACAGGGATGTTTGTAACTTCTTCATGTGGATAACGAAGGCAAAAGAACAGGTTTAAGGTAATTCGAATCATAAAATTAGTTCATCTCCAGATGCGAGTGGTAACGACTCGCGCAGAAATTGAGTCGTGTGGGCGCGCATGCAGGTGGTCGAGGGCGCCCACGTAACCAAGTTGAACTCTTGCTCTACTCAGTTTGAGCAAGGGATCCCTCGGATCTCGTATTCGAGCATCTTTAAAGCCCACTCAACGTCTATGGTGATTAATCGAATCCTCAACGAAGACATTAGCCTTGAAATTGCCGAGTATCTAGAACTTGAGGACCTCCTTAGCATGTCCAAGGCGAGTTCTCGAGTATGAACATTGATTCACGGTGTAATTTTTGGGTAGACGTGTAGAGTTTGGTACGGTGTATCGCGGCAATATTCACGTTTCTGGACCAATGCTGTGAAAGCCATTCCATTCGCTCATTATCCACGACTCGCACCTCTCTCGAAGCAAGGACCGGAGGAGATTCGCAAGGTGGCTATTCGAACCGTGAATTCTCGTCACGCGTGGTGTAGTGCTGAGGAAGTGCGCCCCAAGGTTGTCTTGCGCTTACACGAGGGACTTGGTCAGTCGTTCGCATAGTCTACTATTTTCTCATACCAACACGGGGAGGGAACTTTGTGCAAGGAACAAAATGGATGCTGGTCATGGCAATGAATTGGAGCAACGTAACCCCAAATCATCTTATTGTTCCCATCAAATGCTACGACCTCACGACTGGCCTTTTAGCAGGAAGCTTTGACATGGCTCTTCACACAGAATATTCCTCACTTTCACCGTTATGGTGTACAAGTACTGCTCTGTCTCCTACGGAGATCATCGTCAGTATGTGTTCTACCTCCTCCTTAGGGCCAGTTTTCAATCTGGGTCACTAGGAGTCCGATAACGAAAAGCATATCTCCTTTCACGGCGATACACTAATGATCATGGAGGACAAGACGCTAAACGTCGCCGCCGTACACCTCCCATCTCTGCTCGAGGACTGGCCAGAGGAATACGACGAGGACAACTACACAACACTTCCAACTTGTAGCCTTGGCACTACAGAGGGAAAAAGGAAGCTCGTATGCCATCAATCTGGCACATTCAGCGTTAGTTCGTATAACACAGCTACTCTTGAGTCTCTGGATCAGCACAATGGCACAGCGACGGATTCAATCCCCTTTAGTGTTGCATACCTGAACGAAGATCGTTGCTTCGTCCTTCCCGTTACGATTGGGGGTCCTGGTAAAGGCTCGTATTCCCACCCCACCTAATTTCTTCTTGAGTGACACTATTTCTAGATCTGGCATATAAGATGTTGAGTTACACTTCCTTCAGAATGTTGTACCGGCAGGAGTGGAGACAGAAGTGGCAAGGCTCCCTCAGACGGCCAAGTCGGTTCGGATAGAGGGGTATCCTTGTCAGCGAACGCTTGCTTTGTCTGATGGGGATCCAAGTACCAAATTACGGAAGCACTCGATACATGTCATTGGCGTGGACAAACCAGGGATGGTTAGGCCGCTCGTCTCGCCTCCAGGCTTCAAAGACATGGATCATGCGACGATTAGATGGATCGACGAAACGTCGGGACTAATTGTAATGAGGGGTGAAAGAAAGGGTGCCGCGGGTGGGCCCATACTTGTATTATGGGTTTGAGATGTATATCGACCACTTCCCTCGAGATCCTGACTTGGCGGGGGCTAACAACCAGATGCCTGGACAGAGGCTACCTGGTTTGAGGATCATGGTAATATATTTATGACTTACGGCCATTCTATGGTGGTGCATTTGTGAATGGCTCATCAAACTCCGCTCGGACTTGGTCACGACCACACCAGCAGATGCACCATGGAGAAGGATCACTAGACGGCTCATTCTCATCAAAGGGAAAACATAGGCGGCAGATAGAAGATACAGCACTTGTTTGCGGAGTTTCGACGTGCTGTGCACATAGATGTCCGCGGTGATAACTGAGAAGTGGTGAAAACAGGTACAAGGAGCATTTGATTCGTGTCTGAGCCATTCGTGGAAATATACGACTCGCACAGAAGTTGAATCGTGTGGGCGCGGGCAAACAGGCCAAGGGCGCCCATATGATCAAGTTGGACTCTTCCTCCGCTGAGTGTGTGCAATAAACCTCTCGGGTCTCGTATCCTATCCTCTTTTAACCCCCACTCAAAGCCTATGGTGATTAATCAATTCCTCAACGAAGACATTAGTCTTGAGATTGCCGAGTACCTAGAACTCGAAGACCTCATTAGCATGTCCAAGGCGAGTTCTCGAGTACGAGGATTGACTCACAGTCTAACCTTTGGGTAGACCTGTAGAATTTGGTATGGTGTCTCGCGGCAGTATGGGCGTTTCTGGACCAATGCTGTGAAAGCCATTCCACGCACTCATTATCCACGACTCGTAACTCTATCGGAGCCAGGACCGGAGGAGATTCGAAAGGCGGCTATTCGAACGGCGAACTCTCGTCGCGCATGGTGTAGCGCTGAGGAAGTGCGACCCAGGGCTGTCTTCCGCTTACACGAGAAACTTGGTCAGTCTGTTGCATACTCTTTTAATTTCTTATACCGATTTGGAAAGAGGCAACACACTTTGTGCGAGGGACGAAATGGATGCTAGCCTTGCCAGCGAGGTGGAGCGAGAAAATCCCACCAAGTCATTGGATTGTGTCAGTCAAGTGCTATGATATCACGACTGGTCTTTTAGCGGGAAGCTTTAATATGGCTGTTCATACGATAGATCGGGCATACGCGCCGTCATGGCATACAAGCGTTGCCGTGTCCGCTACGGAGATCATCGTTGGCCTTGAGCGGTACTGCAAGTAAGGACATTAAGTATTTATCCTCCTTGGCTGACCTTATCTCAACAGATGGAGTCAATCCGTTGAATACTATCTACAACGGATTCGATTGTCCCACTCGTCCGAGACCGACGAGATCATATTCACAGCTGAGCCAATATTGCAAGTGACTGAGGGATATTGCGATGTGGGTATCTCCCACGATGGAAAGTTCTTCGCACTTCATCGTGGTGATGATACGATCATATACAGAACAGATGGTGCAACAGGCCAAGTGGAGTTCTGCACAGACGTGCGTATCCGATTTCGCCTTCGGAAATATTTTCTCAATACAGACCATTAGACGTCCGATAATGAGAAATATATCTCCTTCCATGGGGATACGCTAGTGGTCATGGAGGAGAAGACACTCAACATCGTCGGCTTACACCTCCCTTCCCTGCTCAAAGACTGGCCCGAAAGGCATGAGTACATTTTCTTAACGATTACAGGTTGTAGCATTGGCGCCTCTGAAGGGGATCATACTCTTGTCCGTCGCGGCCTTGACTTGGGCAGTTCTTTTGAGACGGCTATTCTCGACTCTGTGGATCACTTCAAGGAACGAGTGACTGATGCCAGTCACTTGGATGTTGCGTACATGAAGGACGACCGTTGTTTCGTCCTTCCCGTCAGGATAGGCGATCCTGGTGAAGGCTAGTGGTCCCCAGAAACCTCTACTTTAATGACACTATTTCCAGATCTCGACGCAGACACTGACGACTGGGAGCCCCTTGTCGCGTTGGGTGGTTCTAGGGGAGGCTAGTACTCCGAGAGACTTCACCTACTTTCTTCTTGACTGACACAATTTCTAGGTCTGAGAGAATATATTGACTACTCGCACTGCCTTCAGCAGATTGTGCCAGCAGGAGTGGAGACAGAAGTGGCAAGGCTCCCAAAGAAAGCTAAGCTTATTCTCCCAGAGGGACATCCTTGTCAGCGAACGCTTGCTTGGTCTGATGAGGATCCAAACACAAAATTAAAGAAGCACTCGATGCATGTCATTGGTGTAGACAAACCGGGAACGGTCAAATCGCTCATCGTGCATCCAAACTTCAAAGACATGAATCATGCGACGATTAGATGGATCGACGAAGCTTCTGGGCTAATTGTAATGTGTGACGAACGAAAGGATGTCGTGGGTGCATCCATACTTGTAGTATGGGTTTGAAGAATATCTTATACGAGGCCTGCTCTACGCTGAATACTAAGTGACTGTGTGTGTTTGCACGCTCTGTAGGCACTGTTCCTTTCCATTCTTTGTTCTTTGTATTTTATCTTACCACCTAGTATCTCAAAGACATGTCCATATATCTTATAATGCCTCGCAACGGATTATGAATGTCATCAAGTTTGATTTGAACTGCTCGTCGGTACACTCACGACCGATATTTTTGGGGGGTTAAGATACAGTGACGAATCAGGCCTGTAATGCATTCGGCGCACTCGCGCCGAAACACAGACCCAGCTTTTTAGTTTCCCGCAAGGTGATGAGGGGGGAATGTCCAAAGGATGCACGACCGGAAAACACACGACGACAACAAACCCACAATCCCAAGTCGAGGATTTTACGCACGCGTGGGCGTAGCTGTGCCGTTTGTATTGGCGCCATTGGTCAGTTCCGGACGCGGGAGAGACGAGTCTCGGTGCTTCTTGAGAAGCTTGTCGAATTGGTGGCTGTCGCCCACCTCGAGCTCGCCGCTGACGATACCAGAGTGGTAGACACGCAAGACAGTGTCGACGTCTTCCATGCTCTGTGTTCGGACGTCGGCGAGTTCCTTGATCTTGGCAGTCGCATCCTTGATCTATACATGTATGTTAGAATAGATTGAGTAGAGCGTGAGGATTGCATACCTGGTCATCGGTGAGGACGAGCTGTAGCTGCTCTACTCGGCTCTTGACGGCATTCCAGCCAGTCAATCGGTGACTATGTGACGTCAATATGGATCGGATCATACAAGAAATACATACCCAATCGAGACGTAGCGAGTGAGACCAAAGTCTTCTGGCTTGAGAATCTCATAGGTTGACGGGTTGTTGAGAATGGCCTTGGCATGAATACCAGCCTTGTGGGTGAATGCGCAGTAGCCACTTTAAACAAGTTAGCAGTGTTGAGAGACTCGCGGAATGACATACGTGATAGGGTTCATGAACGGCACTGAAACCTCGACGGCTTCGGCGACCAAGTTTTCAATCTCGCGAAGCATCGGGAGGTTGTACTTGGACTTGACGTATTCTGGGTTTGCGGCATAGAGGCATGCAACGAGACCACCGAGTGGCGTGATGCCGACACGCTCACCAATGCCCAAGACGGCTAGGCACTTGTCAGAATGAGTCTCTTTGAGAGTCGATTGTACGCACAAGTATCGATATGTGTCGCACCAGCCTCGAGAGCAGTATATGCGTTTGCAATGGCTAAAGTCATGAGAAAAAGGCTGGAAGACAGCAAAGAAACGTACCCATTCCGGTGTCGTTGTGAAGATGGATTTCAATGTCGCAGCTGACGACACCTCGCAGAGTCCTGACGAGATCGTAGACTTGACGAGGGTTGGCGCAACCAACCGTGTCGGCGATACCGACGCGGTTGACGCCAATCTTGTCGACGGTCTGATAGATGGAGAGAAGGTCGACGAGGTCTGAGCGGAAGCTATCCTCGGAGGAGAATCGGACTTCGATGCCCTTTGACTTGACAAAGTTGATGACCTCGATGGCCGTCTTGGTAATGTAGGCCATGTCCTTTCCGTGCGAAAATTCTCGGAGGAAAGATGAAGTGCCAATCACGACATCGACGCCGTCGACACCTGCCGGGAAAACGGTGAGCCACAGGACACGGATGAAGGAGATGATCACGGACCGGTTTCGACAGCGATGCGGGCATCGTCCATGTGGCATCGGATGTGAGTAAGAATCTTTGCCTTGAGACCGAGCTTGCAAATGGCCTCGCAGTCGAGTCGGGACTGCTCCGATGCGGCGGGAGAGGTGAGTTCAATGTACTCGACACCGAATGCATCAAGAGCCTTTGCGATGGCAATCTTGGTTGGTCTGTCAAAGAATGCGTTTGCAAACTGTTCTCCCTCTGCACGGAATGAGCAACAGAATCCTCCCGGGCAATCAGTAGAGAATGAACGGACCTCTGAGGGTGCTCTCGATAATCTTAAAGTTGCATACGTTACTCAGAAAGTCTGCATAGCGGGGTGCGTATGGATTTCTCTGCTGGTTCGCTGAAGCCGCTGCAGGACGGCCATTTGTGCCGTTTACCTGGCCGACCTCGACCATGTCCTGCTTGTTTGGAGTGCTCGAGGATGGTGTATTTTCTGTCTGGCACATTTTTTTTCTGTTAATTGGTTGTCCGAGTCAAGAGTGGCAGAGTCCAAGGCTTGTATTCGACTTTGACTGCCTAATAACCGAAACGCAGTCGGCCGACCGCTTCAAAGCCCCACTGCGCCATTAACACACATTGGTTTATGGCTCTTTTCATGACTCGGGAGCAAAAGGCCCGTCGCTAGTCGTCGGCCAAAAAGTTGGAGACGAAATCACATTCGAAACGGCTATTCGGAGTGCATAAGACCCTCTCTGGATGATTCACGGGGTCATGGATGGGAGTCGCGAGTGAAAACCTGATGGAAGATGACGAACAACGTATGTCGAACCAGCTCAGCCTCATTTTATCCTTCTTACGTCAGTATTTATCCCCGAAACGCACGCAAATCCCATCAATTATGGTCCTTCCAGCGACCCATGTGGTCAACCTCCAAGCGATCTCCTTCTGGCCACAATCAGCATATCTTATGCCGTATCGTCCTCGTATGCTCCCACAGCTCGCCATATGCCAGCAGACTGCCGAGATATGTCGCCGCCCTCCTCTGGTCTCATATGCGCGTTTGTGGACAGCAAACACTGAGTCAATGTTTAGTACCGTTGGGATACGGAGAAGAGACTCCGTTGGTTAATTTTCTGGTGTTGCAACTCATCCGGGCCTTGTCAATCCGCCAGGCATCAACCATCGGCACGGCCCGTCTAGTGTGCCTCCATACTCCCACTCGAGGATGTACGTTGCACATGTCTCTACCATTCCAACCAGAACACGGGTCCCGTTCTGGATAATCAACACCGTACTAGCCGGCCGTTGGGTATAGCTCTCCATGTGCTCCCCCCGTATGGCAACGGCCCTTCGCGGCTTCGAGCGCCGTTCTTGAACCTATGTCGAATGCAGTTTTACACCAAGACGCTTACGGAAAATGCACATGGCAACGTCCCTTATCGCGCCCAGCGGCCAGCAGTAGCTGAACAGCGCGTTGCCCTCCTATTCACCGCAGTAGCCAATCACTTGACACACCCTTGCTTTGTCTGAATGATATTGCGGAACCCTGGGGGACATCTTTTGCGTATAAAAGGCCCCTTGGATCATCTACAGCTCGCCATCGTTTTACCCGGTCCAAACTCCTGCCCCCCCCAGTCGAGTATTGCACACTCCCTTACGACAACGACATGCTGTTCTCTGCCGCTACTGTTGCTCTCCTTACCGCCGTCGCTGCCCAAGCCGGCCCGTCGCTCAAACTGGACATCTCTGGTATGTATTCGCTTGAGCATACAATGAAACTCTTTCTGATGAGTTGCAGGTACTCCAAATGTCCGTGACGTTGACAACTTTCACGTTACTGCCACAGTAACCAACACTGGTACCGAAGAGGTCACTCTCTTTGCGGACCCTCGCTCTGCTCTCTCCGCTTTCCCGGTAAGCCCCAGCGGTACCCTGTTTGCCTAGCTCAATCTGACTTTTATCTAGGAAGATACCTTTACCGTTTCCTCGGCCAATGGACGAGTCAACTTTGCTGGTGCAAAAGTCAAGTACTCGTTTAGGACGGCAAAGAACTTGATCACTCTTGCCCCTGGTGCCAACGTCTCTGTGACGCATGACCGTACGTCGATTCATCTCTTTTACCACTAGCGACTAATGCGCCCAACGCAGTCTCTGCCAGCTACAACTTTACAACCACTGGCGACTACGAAATCGACGCTTCCAACGTCTTCCACTACCGTGACGCATCAGGCAACGCCGTCCCAATCGTCGCCGACGTCGAGAATGCGCTGACAGCCAAGCTCACCGGGAGCACCATCTCAAGCAAGATTGCAAAGCGTAACATGAGTCTCTCTAAGCGAGCCAAGTTTGCTTCATGCTCGAGCACCCAACAGAGTCAGACGAACACGGCGTTGACGACGACGATGAGCTACTTGTCCAATGCCGTCAGTTACCTTAGCGCCCAGTCGGGTTCGACTACGCGTTATTCGACGTGGTTTGGCGCGTATACTGCTTCGCGCAAGGCGACGGTTCTCAGCCATTTTTCCAAGGTCCAATCGTCGGATCCGAGGACGTATACGTACGATTGCAGCTGCACGGAGAGTGATGTATACGCGTACGTCTATCCGAACAAGTATGTGGAATCTCTTTTGTACTGTGATGATGTGGCTGATCTTTCAAAAGCTTTGGTTACATCTACCTCTGCCCAGTCTACTTCTCGGCCCCGACGTCTGGCACCGACTCCAAGGCAGGGAGTATGTGATCTCATTTCTCTTGTGTTCACGACTGACGACTCTTTCAGCTATCGTCCACGAGGCGACTCACTTTACCGCCAACGGTGGCAGTACGTTACTTTTTGCTTTACTTCGACAGACGTTGACATCTTTCATAGCGCAAGATTATGCCTATGGCCAGACCAATGCCAAAGCACTCGCCAAGTCGAACCCATCCAACGCTGTCATGAACGCAGACAGCCACGAGTACTTTGCAGAGAACAACCCCGCCCTCTCATAAAGTGACCACGGCGTCATGTTTTTTTTGGCTTTTCTTGTGAGATAGTCATGTCGGCTGTGCAATACCACGCAGGAACGTTTTACCCCGGTGTTTTGATGTGTGCGGAAACCATGAGGCGTGTTTCGATGAGCGGAGTGTGATCATATCAGGGGATGTGGAGAACGAGGAGGACATGTGGCGTGAGAGACGGATTCATTATCGTTCAGTACAGCATTTCTACCAGAGTTTATATCGACATAGTGGGTTGGGAGAATCGTTTGCGGGGCTCGCCGCAGAGGTGGTACAAAACGACAAAGTTTAGGTGTGAGTACGGAATTTGATTGTGAGAAAGAGTGTGCGTGACGACGTATAGCGCGGTTTTGTTGTACGTCCGAGCCGCGCCTTTGAACAGGTATGGTTTCATTAAGTTGTAGGGTATGCAAGTGTCCATTGGAGCGCAAAGTGTCCGCTGTGCGTTCGTTCATTACAGAACCGAGTTCGAGTCCGAGCGGTTGATAGACAGACGTGACGTGACGTGACGCAGCGCAGAGCGCCGTTGAAAAAAATTTCTAGGTTGTGATATTTGAAACACGAGTTGGATAGATGGGTTGCATTGGCTAGGCGATGCTGGATTCCGACGGTGTCGCGGCTGGTGGTAGCTTTGATTTACGCCACGATGAAGGTGGACGGCTGACGGGACGGCTTGTCGGGTTGTTGAAGACGCTTACTCGGTGTCCTGGTAGTCGTCGTGACTGAGCGAGCTTGGCTTGCTCAAGTTGTGCCTCGTGTACGTAGGACCGCGTCACGGCTGTTTTTGGAGAGGCCTATTAGATGGAGTGGGATGCTTAGACGAGTACGCACCGATGAGTGTGACTGTGAGGGCGATTGGAACGAATAGGATGATCACTAGGTCGTTGACCCATATGCAGGTAATGATGGCTTGACCGAGAAAGACGATGGTGACGAGTATGTATATGCCCAGTCCATCTTCCACGACGAGCTTGTAGACGTCTGCTAGGGTCCTGCGAGGGAGGTGCTTTTTGGCGAATATAATGCTAAGAGTGAGGTAGAATGCAAACGCTAGACCGAGACGTCAGTTGGATATTATGCACAGTAGAACGTACTGTATAGATATTGCGCCAGGGTGATCGCCTTGTGGGTTCCTGTCCGGATGATACACCGTGTTAGAGAGCTGTCCCATGTCATGTCTGGAGTCTGCCAGGCTAAAGGTGGATTAGGACAGGTGGGGACCTGAGTGCTTGGCGTACTGAGGCAATTGATGAGCATCAGACCGGAGAGGAGGACCCCCAGAAACCCGAGTATCCGCTCAATTCTAATCCACAGTTTCAGTATTCGTAGACAGAGTAAAGCTCCGGGGAGCCAAATGGCGAGCGAGGTGGTGACTTTAGACGGACAGTTAGGATGCGCAGCGGCCGTGCCTGTACGTCTTAGCTTACCATGCATGATCCATGCCTGGACGTTGCAGGGCATAACTTGGCGTCCAAAGCCATTTGTGACGATTGTGACCAAGTAGAGCAACAACGAAAGTCTGCTGCCCGTGTAAAAAGGCTGGGGGAGAGTTCAAGCCTGTCGTCGAGACGCGGCTGTGGGACGCACAAGAGACCAATGCGGCGCCTTTTTCTCCTTTATGAATCTCCACTCGAATGGGGTCGTGACAATGACTACGAGAGGATGCGTGAGCGGGGTAAACACACGGCTGAGCGGCGCGTACGCTCCCAGGTCACCAAACCTAACAGACCAATCGCCTGCGAGTTATAGTACTCTTTGAGATACCAAATAGTCAGCTTCTGGCCCTCCAAGGGGGTAACAGTTTGCGTACTGAGGATTGTGGGCGAAGTGCCCGTCTCGAGATATTCAGACATGCCAGTATGGCCGGAGATGGCGGAGAATAAAAAGAAAACAAAGCAAGTAGCTGATGCTCCCCTCTGCTCGGCAGCTGTTATATTGGGGGGCGTGCATCATGGTTTCAAGCCGTTTAGGGCTGCCATTAACGCGGGTGTTGGTGGCTTGACAGCGGACAATGCGGCTGCCTGAGCATCATTATAACTCTAATATAATTTCCATTATACTTCTTATTGGCACCTCTGTCGGCCGTAGGTGGTTCGGCAAACGTTGCTCCTGGATGCCATTTACACAATCGACGCGCGACGAGTAAGCATCCCTTTGAATAGCTTTACAACCGACAAAAAGCTCACAAATCTAGTTATCTTTCCGACCAGATTTTTAGCTTGCTCGGTTTTTAAACGCCACTCGTCGGACTTAATCTCGACCACTCCCAAAAAACAGTCATACGCACTGTAAACATGTTCAGCAATATTCTAAAACAGAGGACGCTCATCCTCTTCACTCGCTCGACGAGTGCTCGTGGTCTCGCGACTCATGTTGGCCCATCGGTGCTCACTCCGAGGGCAACACCAGCCGTCTTACACCTTAAAACCGGTCAATCTTTCACCGGAAAGTCTTTTGGCAGCAAGAAGAGCATCTTTGGGGAAACCGTCTTTTCGACCTCTATCACTTCCTGTCAGTCTGCCCTTTTTCCAGCATGTCAAATGGGATACAATGCTAATTACACGCTTTAGACACGGAATCAATGACAGACCCGTCTTATCGAGGGCAAATTCTCGTCTTTACGACCCCAATGATAGGCAACTATGGCGTACCAGGCAACACGGCACCATTCGACAGTCAAGACGTGGGCGTCGTACTCGAATCCAAAGGAATCCAATGCGCCGCCGTCGTCGTCGCAGACCTCGCCGAACGCTATTCGCACCACGCCGCCGTCGAGTCACTTCACTCGTGGTGCAAGCGGCACGACGTCCCTGGTATCACAGGTGTCGATACGCGTGCTATCACGCGCATCCTACGTGACCAAGGTACGACTCTCGGCCGATTGGCGGTCGGTCAGGATGCAAGCCTTCCTGCGCCTGATTCATCTGAATATTGGGACCCGACGACGGAAAACTTGGTCGCCCAGGCGTCTACAAAGGAACCGTACACTCTTAACCCGTCTGGTGATGTCAAGATTGCCGTGCTCGATTTTGGTGCAAAAGCCAATATCCTCCGTTCGCTCGTCCGCCGTGGTGCGAGTTGCACCGTGTTACCGTGGAACTATGATTTCAACTCGATTAGGGATCAGTTTGATGGACTGTTCTTGTCCAATGGTCCAGGTGATCCGGCCCATTGCATGGAGAGTGCGATGATGCTCAGAAAGACGTTTGACGAGTGGGATAAGCCCATCTTTGGTATTTGCATGGGACACCAGGTCATTGGAATGGCTGCTGGTCTCGAGGCGTACCGAATGACGTTTGGCAACCGTGGCCATAACCAACCCGTGCTAGCCCTCGCCTCGTCTGGCTCTATCACGGCTGGTCGCGTCTATGTGACGAGGTATGTATCATGACCACTTCCACGACTGTTCTGACAAGGTGTAGTCAAAATCATCAATATGCCCTCAAGCTCCAGGATCCGTTCCCGAATGGCTGGGAGCCGTTTTTCATCAATTGCAACGACTCTTCGGTCGAGGGCATCAAGTCGACTCCAGATTCTGGAAAGAGGATATGGGGTGTCCAATTCCATCCGGAGAGCGCTGGCGGTCCTCTCGATACCATCGAGGTAAGCCCATTTATTCCTGGAAAGGCTTCGAATACTGATCTCTATAGATGTTTACCGACTTTTTGGCCGAGTGCAGGAGTCATAAGATTAATAGCAACGTGGATCGTCAGCATCATCAGACCAGCCAGTCGTTCCTGTAGACTCGTATCCCGAAAGTACAAAAATAGCTGTGACCACACGTGTTTGCACATCATGAATACAGGCGTGTTCAAGATTTGTGTCCAGGGAATGAAGTAAAAGCACCTCTCAAGGTTGGCTGATCGTCTCTTAAGCTCCCCTTTCCTGTTACTTTCATCTACATTTATATCGTTTCATCGGCCTTATGCGTCATTATTCCAAATTATTCTGGGACGCCGCGCCCGTTCCCTCTCACACGCACTTTCTTGCAGGAGCTGTGGCGGAGGCTGGCGACTCGTTTGAACCCCTACCACGACCATGAACACCCGCTGGCCAGAAATTGGGAGCACGCTAGAGCTGTTGAAGGCTCAAGATGCGGATCTGGCGCTCGCCCACGAGCTCATGCGCGAGCGGTACGCCTCCTTCTACCGGAATCTGTATTGAAATTGATGGGTGGACGTCTAGAGCAAGACTGGAGCAAGCTTTGTACGTCAACAATAGTGTACACGATATCTATCTATTGAACAGGGCAAAGCCTTGATGGGCTACGAGCATTGGTCAAGAAGCACAAACCAGAGTCTGAGGAGGATAACAGGGAGTACTCAAAGGTACTCATCACCGCTTTTGAACAAGGTGAGAGATATACATTATCCCTGAAAGCACACGGCGAATCTGTCTAGAAATCGAGGCCCGCTCAAAGCGGAATTCAAATATACCCGAGTGGCCTGCGAAGAAGGTTAGACAGCTCAATCAGCCAAACTTGCGATTCAAACATGATGCAGGAGCTGCCAGTTGGGTTTCAACTCGCAAAGGCGCATCATGATGCACAGATAACACATGATGACAAGTATAGCAGGCTATGGGCTTCGAAGGACGAGCTCAAGGAATGGCTCATTACACAGTTTAGGCCGAATGCACGAATGCCATTGGTCGGTGAGTATTGCATAGTCATAACTATATGGCCAGCATAACCCAAACGTCAAGAACTCGAATACCGCCTAAGCGTTCACCATCAGCGCACTTCTGCGAGGTGTCTTCGGGAGTGGTATGAAAACGAGCTACCAGTGCGTTATACTCAGTGACCTTACCCCTCTCTTAAAATGGCGCAGAGACTGATGGAGTCTCATCATTCGGCCCTGGAGGAGACGAAAGCGACCATAATCAACACAGTAAGAGACATTATGTTGGCAGCTCCTCATTTTTATGACACGGTCTCATCAATCACAGCAATTGTGCATCGACATTGTGTAGTCAGGTGTACTCCCGTGCATCTGGAAACGCATCAAATTTATCTCCATTGAGCCATCGGGCATCACTCCAAGGGAAGCTGGACGTAGAATTGGCCAGCCACGCACTCATCCCGGCGGACTACTACAACTGGTTCTTCGATGGCAAACCCTCGCCTCTGCTCTTTGGCATAGGTACTCTTCCCCTAGATTTCTCTGTGCGTTCTCTGATCAATTGTATGTCCATTTTCTCTTCATTGACAATTTGCAATGATATTTCTCCAGGGCATGCCAAATTGGGAACCGAATGAGGCGGATATACTCTTCTACGTGAATTTGGACATACCCAGACTGCTGAAGGCCGAGGAGATCAATGGTCTCGATTCTGTTCCTTCTAAACGTGTCATTCTGGTTTGTCTCTTTCTCTTGGGTGACGATTTTTTGATGATGCCTTCCCCAGTTTGAACTCGCGCAATACGGGCCACTGCTTCCCTTAAACTCACAAGAGGTTGATCGACTCTTCTTTTCCAGTTTGGTAGCCATTTCAGATAGTGAGACAAAACTAATATTTGGTATAGGGAAAATATCACGGGCTGATCTGGTTTCTCTTTTGGTGCCAGATGAACCGGTCTGGGAGCCCCTAGGATGTGTCAGGCGCAAAGAATTGCTCAAGATGGCGATCGGCAAGGTTGATCCATGGTGGCTCACATTCCGGCCAGTGAGTCTACTTCTATAATCTCGTTTATACTAGACGCATCAGCATTAGGGTTGTGCTCATATTTGGGAGGTTATCCAGCGGAAATGGGATTTCGAAACCGACAGGCCAAAGCCTAGAGAAAAGTAATCTAAAACAACATATCCAATTCTGTCGAATGGCCAAGTTAAGCGACATTTACAACTACCCGGCGGGCTGTCATGAAGATAAACCCCGGGTGCATTAACATCTAGTTACGGGCGGTCTGTTCATAATCTTTCGGAGCCAAAAACGTTGGATGATTGTACACAAGAGTATGGAATGCACTCTGTTTCCAATGCGTGGCCCTGACGGAGCTACAATACCTATATGTGTGTGGGCGATTGCGCGTGGAAAAAATTCATTGGCTCAGTGCCGAAGTCGCGATAAATCTTCCTTAGTGGAAGATGTAGTACCAATGGCGTGATGATTGGGACACAGAGCGACCAAGGTGGAAGAATCAGGTGACGATGACAATGAAGATGACCACAAAGGGGATAAAAAAAGTGACTGTAGTCAGTGCGTCCTGTGGAAAGTTGTGTTTCCAGAGTGTAAGTTTGCCTTGTATGGATGCGAGCGCGTTCAGATTTGTGTCTTGTCCTTCTCATCTGAAAGGGTTACTGCATCAAAGTCTTTCATAATCTTGGAAACATTTGCCGACGTCGGTTGCTGTTCTCCTGCAAGGTTTGATTCTGTCGCTGCTCGAAAAAAGGTGTCCAGGTGAGCACTAAATGCGGCCTCTTCCTGGACCCGCTGGACGATTCCTCGCAGGTTTGCGAGCACCTCGATCATTCGATCTGGCGTCATAGCTTTAGATACCGTCATTGTGGCATAAATAGTGGACAGGCTTACGCATCTGGCCCTCTTCGGTGTCCGGAACATGTATCAAAGGATCATAGTCTGGCTCTGGAGGAGGTGCATAGTCTTTGTCCTCTGGGTTTGCTCGCTGCGAGTATTCCGCGGCAAGGGACTCAAGTGTCTGTTCTTGGATAGTCCACGCCGAATCTTCTGCACTCATTCTCTTCTATTATTATTCAATCTCTTGAATTGCTCGACTTTTAGGGAGGGCCAGACGTAGAGCTGGGAGGCAAGAAGCGCGCCAAACAAAGCGCGTCGACTTGGACAACTCCATTCCGCCAAGGGCCATGAGCGTCCGAAAAGCGCGTCAATCGCGCGTGCTGCAGCCTTCAAAGACACAATATGAAGAATATGAAGAACCTTTGCGGCCGGAACACGTCGTTTCGGACCGACACCCAGCCGAGGACACTGTTGTCGATGGTCCAGCTACACCAGACGCGCGTACAGTCAAACCCCGCAAGTCTGCATCACTAATTTATGCACAATCCCGCTCTCTACTCCTTCACTCTCAGAGACTTATGCGTTTGATTGGGAGGCAGCCCGTGGGCACCGACCGCCCGTGTTTGCAACACCCATCCGTCATCGTGGACGACGGTCAATGGGAACTGGAACCAGCGATGAAAGACCTGAACTGGGTACACCTATGAGCAGTGGGAGCGGGGGCGTCACTGGAATGAAGAAAAAACCACGCCAGTCAAGAGTCATTCTCCGCACGACGACATGGGGTGCATGGCTGGCGGGGTTGCCTGCTCAGTGGTGGCTGAGCCTAACGATGATGCAGCATGATTTGCCATTGCCTCCCGCAAAGACAATGGGCCGTGGTCTCGGTATTTTGCTACATATGGTGCATGCCTTCACACGCTGGTGGGAGATTCGTGCAAAGGAGATTGAAGAGGATGGATGGGGTGACTTGGATCTTCGGTCAATCTTGTCTGACAATAGCGAGGAGGAATCTTCCGAGTGGCTCAGCTGGGTACGTCAATCTTCACGCCCAAAGTCTCATTAACTCATTACCTTACAGTCATTTATTCTAAACGCCACTCTATTACTGCTTGCCGCCGTGAATGCCTTGCGAATGCTGACTCGCACGCGTCTCTACGATTTTCAGCTTCGAGGCGAGCGTTCGAAGCCAATTAACTCGGTCAACGCATCGTTCATTTCTTCTCCCCTCAAGAGGCGACATAGTGACCAGTCAACACTACCGTCTGAATCGAGTGTATGGCGACATTTACTTCGCCTCTTATTCATGTTTGGACGATGGATTGCGCATGCATGGTATGTTTTCTCATCTTCGAGCTCACTTTTCTCACGAGAGCAGGAATTTTTTGATTCATCATCCAAGCAAAACGAAGGCTGTTACAACCACTCGTGGTCCTCAGATCCAACGCCTCGAGGCCTGGGATCCGTCTGAAGTAGAGCTGAGGCTCTTCGAGTAGGACACACTCCGTTTGTTACTTCGTTCGCTCATTTGCAACAGGACCTACTCACCCCTTCATGCCTTACTCTGGTATACCGTCCAGGCCAACAATTGGCCCATCATGTGCGGCGTCATGCTCTTGACTAGCTTTCAGCTCGGCTTGATCATAACCTCGTATACGCATCTCCTCAACGACCGCAAGCAGATACATGCCGAGGTGATGCGCGAATATGAAGAAAAGGTATGTTCTTGTGATTTCAGAGGTCGTCGCTTGGTTCTCAAATTTGCTAGTTTGTTTCACCTCGTCTCAACGTGATTAAAAAGGACGCATGCGTCATGACAACCGAATCAGAGATGGTGAATTACAGCCCACGTCGCTAATTATTTATTCTCCTTGGTGCTTCTATGTCATTATCATTATCTAGCAATGTAGGCATTAGGATGTCCTGGGCGTACGGTACTGAATTAGGTCAAAGTTGTAGCTTAGCCCGAGATCCTGAGTGGTTTACTTGCGCCTTTGAACCCACGCCACTCGCACGTTTTTCTCCCTTTTCTCCTTGCGTAGGCATCAGAACCATCTGATCAACGATGGGAGACGTTTTGGACTCGATGTTGGATCTCATGCGGTATGAATCCATCCCAACGCGTCTATCGACATGCTAAGATTTCCTTTCTTCGTGCGCGCAACCCGTGTATACAACCACCTCGACGTTGCCACTTGAACCTATGAATGATTTGGATGACTGTCCGTAGGCGTCTGCCACCGACGCGCATCGAGGAGAATCTCAACGCGTTGCTGGGCATGTGCCCAGAGTATGCGGACGACTTGCTTGGGAGCGTCGACCAGCCGCTCAAGCTGCTCACAGACAAGTCAACGGGACGCGAATACCTCGCATGCGACTATAATCGCGATGGAGATTCATATCGGTGCGTCCTCTCTTCGCTCTTTGAATTTCTAGCAGGCGAAATATGCTTCTAAGACGCTAATCTGGCTATTATGTATGCTCTAGGTCGCCATGGTCAAACGAGTATGACCCACCTCTGGAAGATGGAACCGTTCCATCTGCAAAACTCCGCAGGCTCGAGATTGCAGCCAATGATGCGTTCGATACATATCGCGAAATGTACGCACTTTCTTACCTAATCTTGCATCTCTCAACTTTGGCATAGGTACTACGAGGGCGGTGTGTCGTCTGTCTTTCTGTGGGATCAAGACGATGGTGGATTCGCTGGCGTAGTACTCTTCCGAAAAGGTGCCCTGTTCGATGCAAGCTAGCTGTGATACTGACATTTGGTAGTCATCTCCCCCGACGCATCTGGACAAGCACCAGACGGAACGAGCGAGGATGCGACAGGATCGTGGCAATCTATCCATGTATTCGAGGCGTCGGAGCGGGGTCGTACCGCACATTACAAACTTACGAGCACTGTTATGCTCGAGCTGGTCACCAAGAGCGCGGGTGTCGGAGATGTCAATCTCAGTGGTAGTCTGACACGACAGGTAAGCCAAATGTTCATCGTCGCCTGATATGGTTGACTAAATGTGACAATGCAGAACGAGGTGGATGCATCCATCTCGGACCAAAGTTCTCACATTGCCAATACGGGACGCATGATTGAAGACATGGAGATTAAGATGAGAAACCTATTGCAAGAGGTCTATTTTGGCAAGACAAGGGATATTGTGTACGACCTTCGTAGCGTCGAAGGACTAGAACGTGCCAAGCAGCAAAGAGCACTACAAAAGGAGCTGGTTGGATTGATCAAGCGATGACAGACAGTTTGATTTGGCTTCTAGTCCGAGACGAATAACGACCCTTTCGTATTTGCAAATGCACTCGAATCAAAGTAAATCGTCTTATAAACAATTCACCGAAGATATTCAGGCATCACTAGTTTATACAGAGGAGAATAACGAAAGAAAGTCACCAGGGAGAAGCACGCGGACGGCGCAGTGCAATAAACAGAACCTAAATGAAGAATAAAGAAGTTAAAGTCGACACATTTCAACCAAACTGCAAGTTCGCTTAGACATGCACGCAGTGCCGTGTCCTTTGAACGTTCTAGACAAGAGATGTATCTCTAAGGTATCCTCGGAAGATGGAGTCGCGAACTAGATCCGTCAGTGAGTATACAGAAAGGGCGCGATAAAGGGTCGTACCATTGGTGATAATGCTCTGCGTCGCCTTAGTATCCACGACAGATGTCATATGAGTATATAGTGCCCTTCTCTGATCAACATTGTTTTTCCGGTGAACCTGCATAAAGTGCGCCTTGAAGTATGCCGTAACTTCGTCGTATTCGTTGGGCCGGTTGGCAAACGAGGTAATATACTTCTTGACTTTGACACCTGCGGCGAGCTTCTGGCGCAGGATGTCAATCTTGTTCAAAAATAGCACCAGGTGCACATTCTTGAGAAGCGGGTTGGCGCAGATGGAGGTGAAAGTCTGGAGCGAATCATCGATTCGGTTGATCTTGTAGTCCTCTTCGAGGTATTGATCAAACGCGCTTATCGGTGCGAGGAAAATGATGGCGTTAGCGTCCTCAAAAAAGGGCACCCATGCGTGCCGCTGACCGCGAGAGCCGCCGACGTCGAAGAGTCTCCACATCACGGCCTTGCGGCCTACATTCATGGGGAAATCATACTCCGCAACCCCAAGCGTCTGAAGCCGGCAGCGCAGGATGTCGTCTGTTCCGCGGAATGAAATGAGCATTCAAAATCTCCCTTGCGTTCCTGAATGGTTTGGCTTACCGGTCGTAGGGAGATAGTCTGCATGCATCCGTTAGTTTGGGGGGTTGGTGCCAGGAGTAGTAGGGCACTCACAGGGTGATGCGATGCGGCCAATCTCGCCGAGGAAACTAGGCCGTCAGGGGTCAGAGTGGGCAAAGGGGTGGAGCGACCAGATATGGAAACGGAAACTCACAACTCTCGGGAGTCTTCTAGTCGCAGTTTGCGCCGCTTGACGAGGGTCCTGACGGCCGGATGCGTCCAGAGTTCGTCGACATGTTCGGCGGATTCAAAAAAGAGGTGAGCAACGACGGCGTCATTGTTCACACCCATAGCGGTGGGGCCATACGGGTCCCTGTCGTCTATTATATCCTCAGTGAACTCGCTTGTGCTGTTGCTACGCGAGGCCCAGCCAGGTCGCACTAGGGGACCTTGGGAGGGGGAGGACAAGCCATGCCCTGCAGACGCTAGTGAGCGCGTCAGGGTTTCTTCTACTGATAAGAGTGGTGCCAATCGCAGGCGGAGGCTGTAGATCTGGCGTTGGTAGAGTTCCGACTTTTGCGATCGTCGATAGTCTCCATTCGACTTGTCCGACATGTATGCGCTGTCTTCATCCTCATCGAGGGTATCAAGAATCTGGCGGACCGCGTGTAAGACGTTGAGGTACACGACGGGTTTCCATGAGGATCGCTGGCTCTCAAGTGTCTCTGGCGCGTAGAGGAGTTGAAACTGCTTTGTCAATGTGCTCTTGCCAGAATGAGCTTGTCCTGATGCGATAATGTGAGCAGACAAGTCGAAACGACTGAGAGATAACTGACCGAGCAACAGGAGCTTTACATCTGCGTCTGTGCCACGCTTGCGCTTTAGAGCATCTCGCTCAGCCCGTAAAAGCTCGTCGATGCGGTTTGAGCGAATCTTGGCCTCTGCCTCGTTCTTGAGTCGCTGCTGGCGGGCCTCGTTGGTCTCTCCTGGTGGCGGTCGCAGTGCAAAGCTCAGAGGATCGATTTCTGCAGATGGCATGGGGATAGGTGGGCCAGAAAGCGAGTCTAAACGAGTGCAGTGGCCGGCGAGGTCGAGGGAGTTGGTGTCCAAGGGCAGAGAGTAAACAATTTCAACACTTTGGACCCTGCGTTTGCCTCTGGATCTAGTCTCAAACCGGCAAAGTGCTCAAATTGACCGATGGTCAGTACATTTTGGACATTAGAATGCTCGTCTTTTCAGCGTTGCTAACTAAACTCTCACGGATCATTCAGGCTGTCACCCTTCATACCTCGCACGGCGAACTCAAGGTCCTTCGGCTATTCATACGCCGCAAACATGCTGTTTCTGATGATTCTGAGCAGATAGAACTCTTCTGCGAGGCTACTCCCAAAGCTGCCGAGGTGCGTGCGAATTATTCCGACACAGTTGCCTAAAACCGAGCCGAAGAGACTCACTTTTCTTCTCACATTTAGAACTTTCTAGCTCTGTGTGCTAGCAACTATTATGACGGATGCATCTTTCATCGGTCAGCCTTTGGGTCCCATCCCTTTTCGCTTTGGGCGACCTCATGAACCAACAGGAATATCAAAGGCTTTATGATTCAGACCGGTGACCCCTCGGGGACCGGAAAGGGTGGCGATTCGATATGGGGTGGTCCGTTTAGCGATGAGATTCGACCCACCATAAAGGTAAGAGCCATACACTGTGCTCATCAGCTTCTACCTGAGGCTCACACGCCCTCCAGTTCAACAGTCGAGGCATGGTCGCAATGGCCAACTCGGGACGCGATATGAACAAAAGCCAGTTCTTTATCACATACTCTAAGCAATCGCACTTGGATGGTGAGCAACTTTCTTATCACCCCACGACGCGTTTCACGCTGCCGTAGGCAAATACTCTATCTTTGGAAGGTTCGCCGGCTTCTCCATCTGGTTCACCGAATGACCTCCTTTTCTTTTCAGGGTCATTGATGGTGCGGATGACGCCTTATCGATAATGGAGAAGGTCCCTGTCAATCACAAACACCGACCTCTGGAACCAATCACACTGGAAAAGGTTTGGACATCTCCACGCTGTCTATCCCCTCTGCTTCATCTTCCCCTAGGTTACCATTCATGCCAACCCTTTTGCAAAATAATCGAATGGCACCTTTTTAGAAGGTCGCACTGCCTGCGTACCTTGACGTTGTGCCATACAAGAAAAGGACGAGGTTGAATCTTTCCCAGTACTAATAGAAAGTAGAACCAAGCTTTCTGGAGAGCGGAGCAGGCCGAAGCAGACGCTCCTTGTATGCCATCGAAACGTTGGCAACGACGACAGCAATTTAGCCTGAAAGCGGGCAACTTCGAATCATACTCATCAGTAGCTTTCTTGTGCAATGGTCAGCATGAAGAGATAGAAAAAAACATTGAGTTGTTCTAGAAGTTGTACAAGTACGTATTAAGTTGGATCTGAAACAGACAAGGAGTTGGTGACGTTGTCAGGCGAACCACACGACAAACATTGCCTCCACCTTCCTGAATAACATAACACCAGACTCTTCGTCAAAGGCAGTAAGCTCCAGTTCGTGGATAAATCTGTATTCTCTTGGAAGTTCGATTCTCCTAATAATACCTGGCTGATCGACACCTAGTACATGGATCCACTCGATATCAAAAGCGGGAATAGAGTCCGAGATCGAGTCGAATATGGTATGTTGGGTATTGGAGCGCCTGTAAGCGCTTCTGGGAAGAGGTATCAGGTCAATAATGTTTGGCGAGCGTGCGTCTTTGGTTGTTTTATCTGATCCTCTGGGCGTTTGTAAAGAGAAATCAGGATAGAACTGAGCAGCTTTTGAGGTCGTAGCTTCTCGAAGAGTCAATTGGCGAAGGGAGACCTGGATGCAGCATTGAGCTATATGCGTCTCTGTGGCCAGATACAAAGCCATGATTGAGTCATCACTGCTTTGATTCCACATAACGTCATTAATGGGCTTGATGGGCTGAGACCAGATGTCTTCGACGGGGGCCATCAGCGTCGGCGAAGACTCGAGCTCAAGTGTCGTGATGTTCAGCGCTTTTCTAGCATTTGAGCCTTCCTCCAACTCTGAAGGGATGTGTATTCCTGCCATGCTGACGGCGGTGCTGGAACAATGATAGAAAAGTAGTAGATCACGATAGAAACCAAACCGGCGGGGCCTAAGGGAATTCTAATAACGAGTTTCGTCAGAAAATAAAGCATATATCTTTCAAGGAACCCGCAACTCACGTGCTTCCAGTAGAGAGTTCTACCATTCTCCAGAATGTGAAGCTTTAGGGAACTCTCGTCGACACTGGCGACCATTCGACCGTCCCCGGAGAGCTTTGGGAAAGAACTGCGTCTATTGTAGATAATCGTGTGGGTCTGCTCCACGAGGACTGAGGATGCAACGGCTTGTGGGTCTGGATCGCAGAGTCTGAGCTTATAGACTGTAGCAATGCAGCTTTTATGGGGCGTGAGAGTAGATATAATATGAACAGTAAGACATACTCTCTCGTGTTACCGATCAACAACACACACTCGTCAGGTGCAACGGCTCGACAGTCGCCCAGGAATGTTGACGCATTATCCACAGTTGCAAATGATCCTAACTGCTGACCAGTATTCATGTCGTAAATATTGACGTCTCTACGAGCCAGCTGAATCATCCATCGCGTGTTCGGGATAATTGCTATCCGGTTCAGCCCAAAAGAGTCTCGTGGTGGCAGATAAATAGTAACAATTTTGGTTGCCTTGAGAGGGTCCGCATAATTCCAAGCCCTCAGCGCTCGAAGAGATCTAATGACCGCCTCTCGAAGTTCTATAGCCGAGTAAGAGGTCCAGGGACCTATCTTTGATAGGTATGCTTGTTTTATTTCCTTGAGAACGTGCCACCAGAATGCGACGGATTCCCGAGATCTCAAATAAGCTTGTCTACAGGTCTGTTGTGCGGTAATTTGAACAGAGTGATCGTTTTCTGGCCAAATACATACCTGAGAGAGGGCTATGAGGTCTCGCATAGACAAGAAACGAGCGATGTTGATAAGTACATCGAAATTGAGTGTATTCAAGTTGGCAACAGACATTTTGATAAGTACCGATCGAGTCGTAGGTTGTTGCTAATGTTTATTTTGCCTACGCGAGAATGGAGATACTTGGGACCCAGGCTCTTTCGATGCGTCACGGTTCAAGGTTTGGCGGTCACCTTTCACCCCCCACAGTTGAACAAAGGTTCAGGTTCTGAGGCAGAAGGTTTGTAACTATCTTGCTTCTTGTCTCTTACGGTGATAGAATGTGAAAGACATCTATGATTAGGAGACATACGTGGATAATTACAACTACAGATAGACAATAATGATTTAAATATTATTCAATACTTTTCTACGATTACTGGAGTTGTGCTCGAGAGACGATGTGTTCCCACACCTTTTTGGTCACCTCGTCGTTGATATTGTTCCCGAGAGTGAGCTTGTCCGCATTCTTCGTCAGCCAGAAGCCCCCGCGGCTATAGTCTGGGTGCAATAGGGAGTAAAGCATAGAGGAAGCGGAATCCTGTGGTGAACGGAGCAGTGGCTTTGCCAAGGTAGCCACCAGGCCGATGAGCCATGACCTATGCAGACCAGGCGTATCGGTACCTCCAGGGAAGATGTGGATAAAGGCTATGTCTGGATTGCGTTCTCCCATGACCTATACAAATCGTTAGTAAGATGTACAAAAGCGCGAAGGGTATGGTTTGCTCCTCACCTTTACAAATACGTCGTTGTACGATGCAGTCGCGGCATTGGCACCCAGCATCGAAAAGTTGTTGACATCTAGGTCCTCGAGGTTGACCTTGTTGTTCGCAGCGGCATCCAGGATCATCATCGCTCGAGCATCTTCACCGAGAGCCCTGGCGTTGGAAAGAAGAGGCTGGAGTTCGTAAATGAATTTGGCACGAGCATACGACCGGAGCGCAAGCGACTCGTCAACGCCCTCGGAAGTGAGGACCTGGGATGTGGCGAGATAGCCTGTGCTACACACGAGCATGTTGATCTTATTGTGGCGCTTCTTAATCTCCTCGACGGCGGTTCGTACATTGGACATCAGGGAAACGTCGCACTGGATAAACTCGTGCTTGACCACAACGCCATTTGTCTCTTCCAGGGAGGGTGGCTGGGGGAATGAAGCAATGATACGGTCTGCAGCGGCTCTATTGCGCCCAATGATGATAATATTCGCTCTGCCGTTGGTGTAAGTCGCCAGGAGCTCTGCCATTGCTTGGCCGACTCCAGAGGTTCCTCCGACGAATATAGCGGTGGGAATGTAGGAGAAGGTGAATGCCTCGTTAAAAGCCTTGATGGTGGAAAGCGACGGCATGGTGTCGAGTGTTGCAAGGTTGGATCACAAGTAGAGATCTCTTGAAAGTCGAGTGGTGTTGGGTTTGGAATGTTGAAGAGTCCGAGTTCCTCCATAGTATTTATACTCGAGACCAACGGCGTTATCAAGGAACTCAACCGAAAGGGTTGTGGTCAAAGTTGTAGCTGAGGCTGGGCAAGATTACCCAAGTATCCGGTTGGTGTCGGACATAGCGCGCCTGATGCTTTCTTACCTCATTCGTCCTGTTATACCTGATTATTAATCCTATATATGCGTCATCGACCTAGTATCGGACTCGTGAATAACCACCGCCGGATTATATGTACCGGCAATGTGTGCTACCATGTTATCTTGGTATCGGAATCGGATATAACAGATTGTTCATCATTATATGGCCAAGTGCAAATGTACAAAGTTTGCGGATGTTACAATCCGCCTAACTACCCCCACACATCCAGCTTCTGTGTCACAAAATCTTCAAATGACCACGGCTCTTTCTCCAATTCGCTGAGTGGCTCACTCCAGGCATAAGTCACGACTCGCACTTTGGCACGTTGCTCCCCGCCAGTCATTTTCAAGAGCCCCGGGTCGACTAGCGTCTTGATATCGAGATCCCCAAGGCTCACGAGGTCTGCGAGAGGCGTTACCTCTACGACTTCGAGTTCATAGTACTGCAGAAGCGATTGAGCGCATGGCCTGTGAAACAACTAGGACTTACACCGCTCTCGAAACGGTCTAGTCTCTTCATGTCGTCGAAAGTGAGCCCCGTCACGTACGAACCACGAACGCATTCACTCGCTGGGTCAGCTTCGGTCTTGAAAAAGTCGTGACTGTCCTTTGCGGAGATGATCGCTAGAGGGAAGATGGGAACGAGTATCTCTGATCAACCCGTAGCCGTACATACCAGGAAAGTCTGCGCCACGAACGCGATGTCGCACCCATCCCTATATGCTTTGTACAAGATTGGAGAGCAAGATATCCAAACCTACCTCGAGCAATGCTGGAGCAATTTTCAGGTTAGTGCCTGCATGCCCAAGGACTCGTCGGAGCACTCTGGGATGAATCAGAGTACCATAGAAGAATGCAGAACGAGTGGCTATTTCTACAATTTGTTGAGGCTCCGATGATCCCGAGTTGGCAGAGACAGAGTTTTGCCACGGGTTAAAGTCCATCAAGAGTCACGGAGGGGCCAAGTGATCTAACGGTGATGTGGCTGCAGAGTGAGAGTGCTGTTACTGGCGCTTATCCAAAAAGTGGCTTCTGATTGGTTTTATTAAACCTAGATGTTGGTCAATTCCATGAAGGAAGTGTAAAAAATGTACCCACATTAGATATCTACTTGCACTCCTCCGGCCCTTGCAATGGCCTTTGCAGAGACATCATACGCTTTTTGCCGTTCGACATATCCCACGTCTCCAGGACGAACCTCCAGATCCCAAGAGTGATAGACACCCATCACCAACTCACCGTACACCCTCTTTCCTCCGGCTTGCAACTTTTGTCGCAAGTTCTCGGCCTCGCGTGTCAAATGATCGTTCTCGCAGGTATAGATGACTATGTCATCTGGGAAATCCTTTGTTTCGCCATAACCAGGAGAATGCAACGGTTGTCGCATCAGCGCAATCACCCGCCTATCGTCTTCTTCAGATGTCTTTGGGTGGTTGAGCTTGGGTGTAAAGAAGTAGGAGTTACGGAAGATCGACTCCAGATCCTTAGGGAACATCCCACCTAACCACTGTCGTAGTCCTGCCGTCTCCCTTGGTGCAATTGGGGTTTCCCACCACTTTGCGACAGGGTAGAAAGCTACAACTGTTTTAATGGGATGACCAGTCGTTGGATGGGACCACGTTCCAGTTCTGACCTCTTTTCCAATTGTCACGCTCAGACCGAGGGAGATAGCACCTCCAGCGCTGAAACCGCCCAATGTGACACGAGAGATGTCGTATACTTCTGGGTGCATGAACACATACTCTAGCACATCTCTCGCGTCATCTGTAGCTGCTGGGCACACATATTCTGGTCCTTTTGCGTAGTCGCAGTCAAGGATGGCAAGTGGGTAAGATGAAAGTATGGGATGATCGAGGAGATATTTGATAAAAACACCGTTCTCGCCAAATGACTTGAAGACGAATCCAGATCCTATCACAAGTGAATAAAAAGAGTATGACGTTTTCGAGACGCACCATGCCAAGTGAGATGGACAGCTACTGGACCGGTGTGATTCAACGCTGCTTTGGTACGATAAATATTGACTTTGACTCCCCGTCTGCTCTTAGTGGACGGCACGGTGAAGGATTGGTTCGGTGTCAAACGAGCTGGCGCTTTGCCAGTGATAACGCGTAGAAGATAGTTTATACTGTACTGAAATCGAATGTACTTGGCTTTGTAAAGAAGCTTGAGATATGCGAGCAGTCCAGTAGGTGCCATAGTCAAGGAGCGAGCAACTCGGCCCAAAGACTCGGAGGCAAATTGTGCCCTTTTATGTGTCCAAGAGACCTGAGGAAGATATATTCACCCATCCGGGTATTCTCGGAAGGCATGCAGATAGAGAGTACAGCAAAAAACGCCGAATATCTACATGTGGTATGTATTGATCGTCGACCCCTAGCAACGAGCTACCGAGTAAGATTAGCACACAGCAAGAGATGGCGAAGAGTTGGGTACTGACTGCTAGCTAAATGTCGACCTTGACTCGACCGGCTCTCGCGATCACCTTGGCTGTCTCGTTGTACGCATCCTGACGTTCACCAAAACCTGGTTTACCTGGTAGCACCATAAGATCCCATGAATGTCCGACTCCGGGAATGAGTTTGCCATAGACATGCTTTCCTGGCTCTGCCTGGAGTGTCTTGCGCATTCTCTCCACATCAAAGTTCAAATGATCATACTCGCAGGTAACGAGATGAATATGCTCGGAGAAGTCCCTTGCAGCCCCGCGAGCAGGACTGATACGCGGGTCTTGCTGAAGCTTTCGAACACGGGCGTCATCCTCTTCTGCTGTCTTTGGTTCGTTGAGAGTGGGCGTGAAGAAGTAGCACGCATCAAAGAGGTCCGTGATAGATTTGTCAAGGAAGACGCCGGGCCATGTCTGCGGGCCGGGAGGGATCTGGGGATCCGCACGTGGCCCGCCTAGCTGGACTACAGGGTAATATGCGCTCACGGCTTTGAAGGGATGAGGCTTTCTTTCATTTCGTGCTCGTTCGCCAAAAACGGCGCTGAGACTTAGCGCTATCGCCGCACCAGCGCTAAACCCGCCCAGTGTCACACGGGAGGTATCGTAAACTTCAGGATGACTGAGCACAAAATTGGCAACATCTTCCGCGTCGTCTGTAGCTGCTGGAGCCGGGTGTTCTGGCGCTTTGGCGTAATCACAGTCGAATATTGCTAGAGGATATGACACCAGAATGGGATGATTTAATAAGTGTTCGATGAAGACACTATTCTCGCCAAATGAGTTAATCAAGAAGCCAGAGCCTGTAAAAGCATAAGATGGTTGTAGAACTGGGAGATAGGGGCTACAATACCATGCCAGTTGAGATGGACGGCAACGGGACCTTTGGTTTCTAGTGCTGCCTTTGTACGATAGATATTCACTTGAATATGTCTGCTACTCTTTGTAGATGGAATACTAATCGACTGGAAAGGAACAATGCGTGCGGACTGAATCTGGCCGAAGAGGATGCCCACTTTGAACTTCAAATTGTACTGTAAACGAACAATCTTAGCTATGAAAAGGAGCTTGAGGTATGCCAACAGTCCCGTTGGTGCCATTATCTGGAGGTGGTTGGGTCCAAGCTTAGACGCCGCATGCGTCTCGGATTCAAGTTAGTAGGCATCTCGAAAAATGGAATATATCGTATCAAATCTGGTGTTATGGCCCACATATATCAACGTGACTTCTGATCCTCAATAGCGATTGCTTCGTTTAAATCGTCAAGTGGCACGAGCTCCTTCTTGTCTATCAGGTCAAACTAGAAGCACGTCAGCCGTTTGAATCATTCCACAAACAGACCCGAACCTCGGTGATGAAGAGATAGAAATGTCGATAGCTTGTATTGAGATGTGCTGTGATCTGGTAAGCGTTTCTTAGAAACGTCAGAAGGATGCACTCACCTTCTATGCCTAGTGCACATATCTGATCAAAGTGGCTGCTGTAGAGGTGACCGTAGATGCGGAAGAGGCGTCTCATGATTGTTTTGACGGTGTCGCGAAAGTTGCGAGGAAAAGGAACGCCTATTTCTCGTCAAACAGTATTCTGGAAGTCAAATCTCCGTACCAATCTTGTTTGGAAAAACCTTTTCGTCGTCGAGAATTGACTGTGCCCAGTTCATCAGGACATCCACATACTCTGGAGCAGATAATTTGGTCGGGCGTTTATACTGAACACCATCTTCCCACAGGTATTCGAAGCTAGATCTGAGCTTAGACAGAGTTTCTTAGTTGACCTTCCGCCTCACCGTGGACCTGCAGACATCACCGGACACTGCGAGTGGTCAGTATGTGCCGCATCTAACTAAATTTCGTACCTCTTGGGGAGTACAAAACTCTGTGATTGTACCATAGAGCATATTAAGGTGATTGAAGAAGTCGACGGCTGCGAGACGTGCTCAGGCCTGGTGCTTCACCGTTCGGAGAGGGCCTTGCACGCACTGTGAACAGCTAGCCATTCGTTGAGATCTTCGCCATCTGGAAGGACTACGGCCATTCGCAGGTTCCCCGATCCCTGATTGTATGTGTAAGGTGCGCCTAATGTGGCTGGAGCGTAACGACGCGTACCAAGGTTGCTTCGGCATACTTTCTGAGCTGATACTGTCAAGATGCTTTGAATATGTCCTCGGTAACTTAGAAGGGAAGCACGAACCTGCTTGGTCCCCTCTGGCGCGTCCTTGCGAGGTCGGAACGTGCGTGTCTTGCCTCTAATCGATATCTAATCAGATACACGCCTAATCGGAATAGCATCTCTCACAAATAGAAGAACGACGACATAGCTCGGAATTGTGGTTCGTAGTCAACCCTGGAGCGCTGGTTTGGACCCGACACCGACAACGGCAGGGATGACGAACCCAAATCCGACGCTCTACATCAAAAACCTTAACGACAGGATTAACAAAGATGAGCTCCGAGCGCAGCTCTACGCCCTCTTTCTCCCGCATGGACCCATACTCGACGTTGTCGCGCTAAAGACGGCAAAAATGCGAGGCCAGGCCTTTGTCGTCTTTCAGGACATGATCGCTGCTACTGCAGCGTTGCGAGCGTGGCAGGGCGAAATGTTTTACGACAAACCTATGGTGTGTGGAGACCGTTTGCTTCAAAGAATACAAATTGACGTGTACACATCGCGTTTAGCATATTGAGTACGCAAAAAGCAAATCATGGGCGACACTCAAGGCTGAAGATCCAAACTTTGTACCCGGTATTGGACGTACAAACCTGCCAGCACCTCCCAGAGGCGAGAAGAGACCACGGGAAGATGGAACTGAAGGGGACAGAGCAGCAAAAAAGGTGGCTCCAGAGCCCACAGAAGAGGAAATGGACCTAGAGGATGACTCGTAGGTGCACCAAAGGGGCTTCCAACGACGCTATCTCCGGTGTATAGAGCGCCAATTTTACTGTACTATGCTCAAGTAGTCAGGCACGGCTGTTGAAAGCAAAGATAGATTCCAGAGAATAGATCGACAAATATTGCGTAGTACAGAACAGGACGAACATGGGGATGTACTATCTGAGCGTTGGGGTGGACATCAAGAGTCGGATGGACACGAGAAGACATAGTTTTACCTCGCCACATTAGAACAACAAACCGCGGTTGGTTACTTAAAAGAGGTGAAGAGCAAAGGACGCGAGAAGAAGCAATGGATAGGGATCACGAAACGGAGATGGAGCATCGGATATGAATAAAAAAAGGCGCGAATTGAAGTCTAACCGAGTCACGCTATCGCCCATGGATCCTCCCAAGGCTCCACTTTGCCGTCGTAGGGAAAGCCAGGCGACGAGACGTAAGTCGCATCTGCAAATGGTATTGGGGAGGATCCTGCGTGAGAGGTTTCCGCTTTGGTTTTCGAGGATCCTTGGTCGAGCACCACGCCTGGCTTTCCTGTACCGTTGCTTTGGGACGGTGGAGTCTTGGTTAGCATGTCATTGTGCGACTCTGGGCTAACAGTTTCATGTTTGTCGAGGTCCGGAATGGCAGGTGTATCGTGCCCCGAGTAGTAGCCTCCCCAATCGAAGAAACTGAACTCGCCAGGAGCCTCGGCTTCGGTCGTCGGGACTGAATGACTCGTCGGGTCCTCTGCTGGAGCTTGAGGAGCTGGTGTAACCGAGGTAGATGATGGAGTCCCCGATAATACCTGCGTCAACCATTGAAGGAATTCCTCTTGACTCTGCCCTTGAGCAGAGCCTTCGTCCTTGACTTCAGCTCGCTTCGAGGCGTCCGTGAGGATGCTTAGCGCCTGTTCTGGGTTTTGAATACTTGCACGATCGATGGGTGCGCTGAGTTGAGAGGGCGGCGTTGCGGGAGTTGGCGGAGGTATCGGTGCAGGGGTCGCAGCGGGCTCGACTTTGACACGTTTATTAGGCTGAACTTCTGGATGCGATGCAGGTGTTTCGGCATCGTCATGAGATCGTTTGAGCGTGCTGCTTGCAGGTGTTGTCGCAGCAGCCGGAGTCGGCGTGGATGCAGGTTCGGGAACAGGCGTAGGCGTACCGGGTGTTGCCTTTGAGGTTCGTCTCCTGGGGTTTGGCTGTGGTTTATTGCGAGTGGTCTTTTGCTGTTTCGGAGGACTGGCCGCAGCTGGAGGAGTTGGCGCAGCTGGTGTGGGGACTGCAGACGGTGTGGGATGATTTGGCGAAGAAGATGGTCCTGCACCTGCTTCTGAGAACGCATATCTCCTTTGCGCTCGGATATTCGCACCCATTTGTGGGGGCGTTGGTGCGAGGTGTGTGGGACCCGGGGTTTGCATTGGCATCGAGCTTGGAGTCGGGGTCCGATTTGGGGCTTGAGAAGAGAATTGCGGCGGGGGCGGTTGAGGTGTTTGGGACGGAAGCATGGCGGTGAGGAATCCACCGAGCGTTTTGAGATCCACATCTGTCGGACGAACCATCGAATGAAGTTCGGCTGGTGGATTGGTTATCATTAATAAGCGTTGCTTATGCCTCTCCGCAAGCGGTTGCAGGAATCCGAGCATCTGCTCAAGCTCGTGTTGACGCAAGCAAATGGCTCTTCCCCCAACTTGAGGCATCTGGCTTTGCCATACCGACATTTGCTTGACAGCCCTCATGGACTGGACAGGTGAATTAGCCTACTTTAAATTGGTTTCGGAGATAGTCCTTACCGCAGCGAGGATATCTCTGGCTTCTTTGCCGGATGGCTGCTCTCCAGCTGCTTGAGCCATGATATCGAAAGCACCCAGGCTTGGAATAAGCATCCTCACGGCAGTCAGCGTCTGCGAGAGCGTATTCTTCCACCGATCCATATTTTCCGGTTGTTCGACGGGATTCATGACTATTACAGACTCAGAATAGGGGCAAGAAGCAGGTAGATGAGGACTGACCCATCATTGGGAAATTGGTTGCCCAAACTTTCTTGTAGTACTCCTGGCGATCCCTGGCGTCTTGAGCGTGACTGACGAGATAGGCCACCACCTGTTCATTGTTGTTCGGCGTCTGAGTACGGTGATTTGGGAGAATAGATGGTTGGGTGGAAGCCATGCCACCAGTAGGCATCACAAGTGGTCCGTTGCTATTCCCCGTGAGAAGCATTTGAAGACGCTGTAAAAAGCGCTCCTTCGGAAGGTTGTTGATCATAACGTCAGTAATGCTACTAAAGTCGGTAGTCGGATGTTGTGCCTTGGCACGTTGGAGGATATTCAGGTTATGAGCACCATCGGCGCCGCCGCCGAACGGTGGAGGGCCTTCGGCAGGGCGGTTGAGTGGGTTCTCCCTCTTCATAGTGTTCAAAGCCTGCGCTATGCGGAAATACCAGTCCTGCAACACCTTGGCAGTCATGGCATCTGTTTGCGAATTTTCACTCGGGAATCCTAGTTCCGCACCGATCATTCTGAATTTCAGTGGATGACCCTGGGCACGAGATGAGCGCTTTCACATATAATGAGGACACAGGCATACCGGAGGCGCGTGTTTGTCGAAAGCCATGCTTCTATGATATAACGTCCAGAGGTCGATGGCCCTTCCGTTATACACCGGGTTCTGATCAATATTTTGGCTGGCCAAAAAGCGATAGAAGCTGTTTTTGACGTCAGGGTCTGGGTTAGCAGATGCCTGAGGGACAGCTGGGTTTAGGCGGGGCGTTGGTTGCTGTTGTTGAGCATTGCCAGGATTAGCGCCTGTTCCAACCCCAGGGTTGTGTTGGAAGCCTGGTTGGGTACCAAACTGAGCGGTGGGCCCGGGACCTAAGGGCCCATTGTTACCCGTCGCTAGCTGACCAGGGTTGGTTGCAGCTTGTCCATTCCATTGTGGCACCTGCCCTTGCTGTAGGGGAGGTTGTGCATGCATGCCCATGGATGAACCTCGACCGTCTGTTGGATAGGGAATCCTGCAAATAGCAGTCAGGCACGCGCGAGCCAGAGTAAAAGTATCATACCCTATCATGTTATTACCTGCAGTGGGATGCATCGCAGACGGTGGTCGTCCAGGTTGCTGTTGTTGGAGACGCGCTTGTGCTTGGGCCTGGCTCAAGGCATGTGACTGTTGTTGCTGTTGTTGCTGCTGATCCTTTTGTTGTTGAATCAACTTCTGCAGCTCATCGTCCAGCTTTGCGATTAGCTGCTCATAGTGGTTGCAAACTGATTGCATCCTGTTCGCGAGCTCATCCCGAAATCGATAGATTTGCGCGACGCGATCCGGGGGGAAATTGCCACTCTGTGCCAACATGGTAGTCGTCTGCGCCATGTTATTACGATCCTCCTCCGTCCTCTTCTTCTGCTCTGGGAGTGCTTGGCGGAATTGGCGCATGACGGCAACATTTTTGGTTCCTATGGCCTCTAAAACAGTGCGATTGATTTGTGGAATGCGTTCTTCGGTTGATTGGACAGTTTGTGCCCAATGCTGGAGCGGGTGGGCTTGGGTTTGCCCAGAGATGGAAGGTCGCTGCATCGTTGGAGCATTTGGAACTCCTGTACCAAGATTCTGGAGTTGACGAGCGAGGTTTGGATTCAGAGGTACTTGCGCCGGCGCGAACAGATTGGGTCGTCCCATTTGTTGGGCCCCCGGGTTGATGGCAGTGTTCGCACCAGGGAGTACAGAGTTCATCATACCATTGGCGTAATTTTGAGGAAAAGACATTTGCCCCTGCTGTTGCTGAAAGTTGTTGGGCGGGTTCGCCCCGTTGGGCTGCATCCGCGACGTCGCGTGAAGCATTTGAGCGGAGATATCTTGATTTCGCATCATTCCCATTCCCTGGGCCATCATCGGGTGCTGCTGTGGCGTCTGAGGAAAACGGCAAAGTCAGCGGGCGGTCCTGGCAGTCTCAGGCGCTGCGAAGGAGGGCGGCAGGGAGAAAATATCAGGCATAGAGTGGGGAATGGAGGATAAATAGGGGACTTTTGAAGGGCTCAACAGCCAAAATATAGCCCGATATTTGGGAGCAAACGAGGACTTACCTGGTGCCCAGCGGCGGCACCCTGGGGAGCGCCAACGGCCGCGTTCTGATTGCGAAACTGTTCAGGAGAGGTAGACCATGGACCCAGATACTGTCCTGGGACGCCAGCGGTCTGTTGCTGTCCTCCAAGGTGCTGGCCCCGATTTCCTTGCATGCCGTTGAACGGGTCCAACGGATACTGGTAGTTTGTGTTTGCCATCGAGGCTTAACACCCGGAAATCCTGTTTGTAGCAGACGTTGGCTGTGGGCCTCGGTGTACGTTGAGTCCAAGCTTGTCGCGTCTCATGGTCCAGGTGGCGTAAAACCGTAGAATATCAGGTTCATGCAGTTTATTATGCTCAATAATTCTACTATAACTTTACGGCCCACTTTATGCTCATTCTTCTGCTTCCAGACCCCCATCTGCCCCGGCAGCATGCTGCAACTCTCACCGACGATCCGCCGTAGCAAAACTTCTCCACAAGTTCGTCTACGAGGTCACGAGAACGCAGACGTAATGCTCACCGTCGTGGTCTGGTCTGCCAGACGCTGCTGGGGATGCTTGCCAGCGACCAGGACAGAAATACCACCCCCCGCGCGGGCGCACGTCTGATACAAGCCCCCCTCAAAAGTGGCTAGAATATGCTTCCAAACAATGCAGAAGATTCCCCTCCAGTCGGCGAATCATGCTTTTCTCCGAGTTCAGGCTAGTGATCAGATACCCGACGTTTCCCAATGTCCGCAGGTGCATGTTCAACGCGTCCGGCGGCGCACCATAGCCAAAATCCTTGAGCGGTGCCAACGCACGCTCCGCGGCCGAAGAACCATATCCGGACAGTGCGCCTGCAAAATCGTGTCAGGGAAGGGGAATGGGGAAAAAGGGCAGCGTGGGAGACGACGAACCGCGGTCCGTATCCTTGACTTCGAATGCGAGGACTGTACCCAATGACATGGCCCAGTTAATAGAGGGCAGAGTGGACAGTGACTTGACGAAGGAGCGGGACCAGAGGCTGGATGGGGCAGCTACGTCTACGCGTTCGGAGTCCGGCATAGACCTTAGGGATGGGGACCACTCCCTTCTCGCCTCTTCAAAGGTGTCCGACCGCAATAGGTCCTCGAGCATGGACAAGGAAGCATTGGCGACGGCACATCCAACAGGATATGCCGTATATGAATGCCCATGAAGCAATGCACTGGCTTTGTCATCGCCAATAAAGACGTCGAATATGCTCTGCGACGCGAGGGTGACTGCCAGTGGCACCAAGCCGCCTGTCAAGAGTTTGGCATAGACTGCAATGTCTGGCTTCACACCAAGGACAGATGTAGACGTGGCGAAGCCAAGGCGTCCAAGCCCTGAGAATACCTCGTCGAATATCACCGGCAGGGTCGCATCCTTGGCTGTCGGCGGCAGGAGAAGATGGCTAGACGAGCGGACCACTTCTACAAGTATTGCTTGGAAAAGCGGATCAACAAACTTCATTCCTCCTGCTCCAAGGACTAGGGGCTCGAGTACCAACGCTCCGAACCGTCTACCTGTGCTGACCAGTTCTTGAATTCGCGAGGTGATATGCTTTCGATAGCGCTCAACCAACGTCCCCTCTCGACGTTTGGAGAGATTGTAAGCATTCTCGACGTCGGAAAACCGCGGCTGTCTGTCCGACCAAGGCAAACGCAGCTGGAGATGACCGTCCTCAAACCCAATGGTTGGAGTCTCAAGCCATGCGCCACGGCCCTTGTACCACTCAACAGCAGAATTATAGACGCCACCTTCGCACGCATCCATAGCTCCGATCGTATCGCCATGGTAGGAGCCAGCCAGTCCCAACACCTCCAAGTCGGGTTTCTCCCCGGATGGATAGAGCATGGCCGTCTTCCTCAGAGCCATCTTGAGCGCCACCTCCATTCCTGTGGAGCCATTGTCTGAGAAAAAGACTCGAGACGCCCATGCTTTTCCTTGGGTCCGCAGCATGCGTTCCGCAAGCTCGATCGCTGGTTCATGAACGGCTAAAGGGAAGATGACATGCCCATACCGTCCAGCAGCATTAGCCGCGACTGCAGCAAGCTGTTGGTTACCGTGCCCGATCCCTTGCGTCCACCATGAGGCAGAGCCATCAAATGTGGGGGAGAGCAGAGATGGGTTGTTGGGTTGAGATTTTGCCGTTGTAAAGACATCTTTGTGGGCGCTATCGATGACAGTAAGATCTTGAGCCGACCTGATATTCTTATGTTGTGAAAAGGGGTACCAGAATGTTGAAGCGGCACGATCAGGAAGGGTTTCGAGGGTTTGAACTCGGTCTGTGTGGCGCATATCCAGAGTAGCAACTACGCGCCTGGCATCAGAGGTGGACGCAGTCTGGGCATAGTAGTGCTTCATGTTCATCTCGTCCTTTTCGTCTAGGTTACGAGGAGGACGTAGAGGGGGTGGGTCAAACGCAGTCAACGGAATGTTCTTTTCCTTGAACCAGCGCTCTAGGTAGGTATGGTTCTGGTAATAGTCGTCTTTGAACATGAGGACGACATCTATGTTGTATCCGCGCGTATGGAGTGTCTCGTACGCGGAGAGTGTCGTCGAGATTCCACCGAGCTTGCTGTCCGCTACCAACACGACGGGAAGGCGCAGAGGTCGATACGCGTCGGCTTGTGTTGTTCCGGACGGTGCAGGACTTAGGGTTCCTCGAGACGTCCTTCAATATGGCGAAAGATGGGCTGAAGCGGGTATCGCTCACCTCCGGCTGTTTCGACATAGACGGCTCCGAGTCCGGTCAATTTATTGTTCCTCTTCGCACATTTCTGAAAATAGTCTCTCATTCTGCCCAAGAGATTTTCATCCGAGATCACCTGTATCAAATTTCAACGAGGGGCTGTTTACAAGGAGGAGACGAACCTGACGAGCCTTTTGAGCAGCTAGATGAGGGCTTACGGGCTCATTCATTCGGATAATGCATTCTGGATCGATGGGACTACCGTGCGGTCGATACCTGGAAATATGCCTTTGACGGAGGATCAACGACGTGGATGGGCCTCCAGATGCGCGACATACGAATGGTCTGAATCCACTAGTGATCCTGTTGACACTGGTTTCAGATAAAAGACGCGATTCCCGGCCGCAGCATTGGTCAAGCATAAGATTGTTGAGAAAATGGTCTTTCCGACGTCGGTGTTTGCGCCATAAATCTGATGAATCCGCAAATGAGGGAATAGCATTGTTTCTCTGGAAATCCGCTAGGCTTGCCGCCGCCCAAATCCCGCGAGCTGTGCTCGTCGCTGCGCAGTGTGGCCGAGAAAACCAACAAGGCCAGTAAATAAACAAACTTGGACCCGACGTCGACGTCGACAGACGCGTACTATGGCCATCATCGACAACATCAAGGACGCAGTCACGAGATTTATCCCGCAGAAACGGGAATCACTGCCTGAGCCAGGTTCTGCGGGCCATGGTATGCATCGTGGTGAAGACGTGCGTTGACCAAATGCGCCCCGTTGTGCGAGCTGACAGCATTATTTGCAGCTTATACTCTCAAAGACGTTTATTGTGAGACCTCAGGAGGCACGACACCGTGGTATTAACGTCATCCATTCAGGTTGCGAGCAGTTTCCAGATCTTCCTCTCGTTTATCGCAATGTAAGCGGTGGATTTTCTAGATTCAATCTTCTTTGTTTACTCAATGACACGCTTCATAGGTGCTGCTTTGCGGGCGTTGCCAGCTTCCAAGCAAAACACAAAGTCGGACCTTGTAAGCGCCACTACCAGTCTACATAGCTTGCTACTGACACCTATTGTAGCATTCCTCTCCATCCTCGCCATCTTCGATTCATTGGTCCTCTTCTTGTAAGAGCTTCGCACGAATCCCAGCCTCCACCCTTGACACCGAGTAGTTTGGCAGCCTTTTTGCTTGCAGTTCCTGTGATCTATGATCGATATGATCGACTAGCTGGTCTATTCCGAGCTCTGAGGTACGCCATCTTCGCTTCAATGTGGGAGACACTTTTTGACCGAGATTGTAGAGTAACGCGAGTTGCCTTGATCTGCAACGGGATTGGTATCTTTTTCTCCTTGATCACGGCGTCAGTATTGCATTCGAGTGTCTGCTGGCACGCCCGCTGAACAATTTATAGCTTTGTCACGACCATTTCTGTATTCACCCAGCCGGGATGCAAAGATCCCAAGAAAGATCCCAGTGCAAAATCTGCTGGCAAGGCATTTGTTGCGGGTTTGCCAGATTGGTGTCAAACAAAGCGCGCAGGAGCCATCTTCTTTTGGCTCACTCTACGTATGTATCCATCAACGTTTATTCGCTTCCATCTCACACTCTCTATCTAGTTGCATGGCTGGTAACCACATACCTCGCCTTCCAGGAGTGGCGTACTGGAAAGACCGTATACCGACCAGAGGATCCTCCATTTAAACTCCCCCCTCAACCTGTCCAACCACACGATGAGGATGATACGGACCCATACTCTGCACCACCACGACGACAGCGTACCGAAGAAGAGGACGAATTACACGACAGTCGAAGCCCATTCGGAGATAATCGATACGCTGGCTATAATAGTCCTGCTGGGCGACCATCTATGGATGCCTATGGCGCATTTAGTGATCCCAACCCCAGTGGATATGGCCATTCTCAGTATGACCAACCTGCCGTTTCGCGAACAATGCAATACGCGGACCCATATGCTGCAGTCCGACAGAGTATCCATGGTGGAGCTAGCAGTCCAGCCCCTGGAATACCGCAAGCTGCTCCCTATAGTGGTGGTTATCAGCGCTAAGAGCTGCTGTAAGCGAGAGGGAGGAATGAGATTGTGTAGGTATAACGAAACTGGTTCTTTTCTCCTGTTTATCTACCCATTTGTTTTGTAATGGACGCTTTTGGACCTGTCTGGTGCTTAGGGGTGCTGAGCGACAAACTTTGGTGGAGACGACCAATCAAGAATTTTCCTTCAACCACGACTGTGAGCCGCAGTGGGCACTGGCTCAAACAGCGTCTACAACAAAAATATGGAAGCAAGTACAAACTTTTATCGGCATTTGCAGTATGCAGACGGCGACATTGGCAGCATCGAGTTTGCTATGGAGGCTAGAACGATGCCCGCGACGCCGTCATCGATCCTCTTTTCTCCTCAACGCTCTCCAAAGGGTCCTCGTCCTGCTCCATCGACCGTCTACGCCCTCACAGAGCCCGCGAGGATCCCCCTGCCAGACGTCCCCGACTCTGTTTTTCTGTCCACGAGTCCAAGCGCGAGCGTCTTGCAAAACAATGTAGATCCTCTTCAGCACAGTGAATATTATGACAACACAAGGTATGTGCAAGGCAGAGGTGATAATATTGCAAACTGGCTAACGATCCTCGTTTACAGCGCCTCTAGAAATGACGCAGAAGTCCTCACGACGTCTCTTTTATCTGCAGCATCCACGTCTCCACCGCCGTTTGCACGAGCCACCCAGCGGACAGCGTCGACCTCGTCTGCCACCTCGTCGCATCACTCTGCCGTTGCAGGCTCCGTGTACCAAGCGTCTACACACAGGGAACCAGATCCCTGGGTCTCTCAAGCTCAGGAATGCATCACAAAGGCCCTGGAAGACGGGAACCCTATGCCAGAGGCGCAAGCAGCACATTCGGTGTCGATCAGTGGTTACGGTCCAGTACGCTCGCCGAGCGCCATGGCCGGGTCGGAGCTTCAAACGCCTGGAGCCGGAGAAGAGAGGGGCATACAGGAGAGTCGAGTCATTGCGGAAGAAGCGGGTCGTATCACGTTCAGCACACTTTTCAGACGTTCTAGAAATCTTTCCTCGAATGAAGATAAGCAGCAGCAGCAGCAACAGCTTCCAGTGTCCCAGCATCCCGCGCCTCTCTCTGCCGCCGTACCGATATCAGACCTTTCTGCCAGCACCTCGAAATCTGAAACGCGCCCGTCACTCCCCCAAACGTCTCCAAGTGCCCCAATCACGATATCTACCACTGCAGAACCACAAATGCGTTCGTCTGGCTCGAAATCTCCCGTAATTGGCTCGGTTGAATCCTCCAATATCAATATCGGCGAGTCAGTTACATGGGAAAAGGTCGACGACTTTAATGACGAGTGGACCCAACTCGACAATCCCCGTGAAGAAGTTGTCGCCATGTCAGAGTCAGAAGACTCTGACCTCGAAGAGGATGATGAAGAGTGGGACGCATGTCGTCAACAAGCCGCGACGGGCATGGCAGATTCAATCTTTGTCCCCTCGGTCCAACGTAGACGACGCGAGGCCGGTCAGCATCAACAGGTGGATGACAAGACCAACGGAAACGCCACGCCCAAAGGAAAACGCACTCCCACAACCTCTTTTGCCCAAAACGGCGGAATGCAGACAGGAGCACATGCTTCCACCGTTTCGACTTCCACCACTACTGTACAAATGCCAAGACATCTGCCGCAGAACAGATTGACACCACGACAGGAGGAGATTGTTGCGGAAATGCAACGTGCTCGAATGGCCCGGGGAATAGGGATCGTCCCCCGTCACACGCAGAATACGCAACGCATCATGACCGTCACGTCGGATTGGTAAAACAAAAAGTTTCATAATCCTCATGATCATCATCCATGACCCGTTCTCGCTCTCGTCTTGAAATCGTCTCTCCCTCTCCCATTTTTTGCCGTCGAAATCTTGGTGTATCGCACCAATCCTCTCATCGTGTTCCTCGGGTCGGGTTTTGCAACAGAGCTGTCGCTCCTTTGGTCATCAGAGTCGAACGACGTTCGTTGTCAGCTGTATAGAAATGCAAAGCCAATGCGTTTGCTGCTCAATGTATCCCTATGACCAATTTGAGCAGAATCAAAGAGACATTTGTTCTTTTTTCCAAAGATATTGTGTATTGGTCCAAATCCATTCCACGAGTCGTACAGACAATACTCTGACAAGGGGCTCGTGTATCGGCAATGGTAGAACAGTGAGGGCACAACAAAGGGGGAATGATCGTGAGCATAACGGGTCGTGGAGAGCAAACAAAGGTTCAGAATGCCCTCCACAAGCCGTGAGAGCGGGGACAGACGCAGTCTGTAGAAAAGAGAGAGGGGGTATCCTAAGGAAAAGGTCAGTTGTACTCCAATTAGATGGTCGAGGACGTACAGTTAGTAGGTTTGTTCCTGTCCGCGTCGGAGGCTGCTGTTTCTGTTTAGACGAGCAGATTCCTCGCTTCCAGCGAGTTGCTGGGCAGGGGTGTTGGACACAGCGGATTGAGCCGACTCTAGGCACTCCTGTGGGACGACACCCTTCTCGCCCGTAGCCACCTTTTCACACAATGCCCATCCATCGTCGTACAACGACAACACGCGGACTTGCTCGCCATTGGCGATAGAAAGCTCGTCTGGTAGAGATGGGATAAACGTCCGCTTCACGACGGACAATTGTGCGCTTGCGGCGGGCACGGTGGTGGAGCCGGCGATCGGTGTCGGTGGGGTTTGTTGGATGACAACGGGTCCGGCAAGGTCGGCGGGTGAATAGGCCGACGAGGATTGGAACATGGAAGCCGTTGTAGTTGTGCCTATTACTCCATTTGGTTGCGCGACGTTGCCTGTGCCGCCAAATGGATAGGGCGCGGGGTATCCAGCAGACGATGCGGCTGCGGGGGAATAAGGTGCGGGTTGGTTCGCAAAGGTGACTGCTGCTGGAGGATACGCTGGGTAACCCGTGTAGTCTTGCGTCTCGGGCGGTGGGGGTGGTGGCAGCGCCTTTTCACGCACTAGCGGATCTTGGAAAGGCGAGACCCCACCATTCTCAGCCCAGGTAGCGCGTCTACGACGTCGTTTGGCTTGGAAAATCTTGCGAGCAATGAGGGCAATAAAGATGAGGCCAAAGATGACGGCGGCGGCTACAATGACTCCAATCACGACGCTGGGTAAACCGCTGTTGTTCTTAGATGTATCGTTAGCCGTATTGTTTGCATTGTTCGCAGTTTGGGTGATTATCGTCGTTGAGCGCGCCGAGCTCGACGATGGGGTTGGAGTAGCAACCACTGGCGGCGGCGTGGTCACGACCTCTGCGGTTGTACGAGTCGACGTAGACGTGCTTGTTGAGCGTGTGCTGCTCGTCGTCGTACTCGTGGAGCGTGTGCTTGTTGACCGCGTCGAGGATCTGGTCGATGTTGTCGTCGGCTCGTCGTCAATTCCACCAAAAATCCCCGAGAGGATCATGGAAATAATGTCTCCATCATCTTCTGGTGGATCTGCTGGCGCTACTGGCGTTGGTGGTCCTCGTCCTTGTCTGGCCTCAATATGTCGGATGGCGTCCCGCGCCTCCAAATGGCCTGGAGCTACGATCATGATCGAGTAAAAGAAAAACAAAGAGCGGAGGTTTTTATTCCTAGTAGGAATAAATTTCGTCAAAAATCGAGGCCCGTGGTGGGAGGATCCAAAGCTCAAGAGCCAAGGCGAAGCCCATCAATCGGCCTTGTGCTCGCTCCTGGAAACGCCGGCGCCCGGCTCTCAGCGGCCACTGGATCAAGCTCTATTTCTAGCAAAGGGTTCCATACGAAACATGCTCTAGTTTTTTACAATCACCTCTTTCTCTGGCAATTTACCAGCAGCCGCAAACCGTCGCACATGGACAGTGTCGCCGACCCTATACACCCCAGACTCTTGTGGAACCGCGTTGACACCGAAACAAGGCGTGTATGGATGAGCAGGGTCCACTCGCCGGTACTTGGCTAGCACCTGTAGCAGCACCAAGGCCGTCAGCTCCTCGTCATGTTACGGCGACTACACGGACCTTGTACGGAACATGCTTGTGTTGGATACCCGTCGAAGGCTCAATGTTCGGCAGCTGAATATAGAGATCAGCCGACGTCGGAATGCAAAGCACTGAATATTACCTGACAGCGTGTGCACCGTGATACCAGGAGCATTCGACCGTATTCAGATGAAGCACGACCACTCCGCTCCGTGGTGGTAAACGAAATCTCTTCCCACTCCTCTTCTGCATACGGTTTTCCCGCGCCTTCGACGACAACATTCGGGCGGAATCTGTTTGCATATATGAGCAGAAGAAAGATGCCCAGACTCACACTTCTCACCTTTCCATGACGAGTTCGCCCGTCCACTCGCCAGCGACACCGTTGATTTTCCAGCCTTCGACGCCAGCTGCGCTGAGGGAAAGCTTTGTCTGAACGTCTACAAGACTCTCTTCAGATGCGACGAGGATAGGATATCCATCCTGGAACACGGCCGACCCCTGGAGAGCGGGGAACGCGGCGGTGGGCTTGAGATGTCGTGTGGTAGGACCTTTGCGAATGAGCAGCACGTCGCGCTCAAGATACTTGGAGAGGGCTCCAGACGGATCGAGACCACCTTGCTCAAGTGACTCGCAGATGTATCCATCAGTGGTATGCGACCAAATTTGAATATCGTCTAGCCTAGACTCGTCTGAGTATGAAAAGCAATTATTGTGCTCGCTTACTTTGCCCAGCTCTTGACAACCTCTTCTGGAGGTACCAAGTATGTCCTTACAACGCCAATAGTAGTTTCGCTTGGAAAATGAATTTCGAGTATCTGTCCCTTGGGAGTCTCTTCTATTCTAGGATGAATCAAGACCATCTAGGCTACGTCGGTGAGGGGCTTCGACTGCAGACGTTGAATGTCTGACCTTTGGAATTTCGCGAGCTGTAATCGTCTTGTGCGTATTCTTGTCGACGATAACAAACGTTCTATCGTGTTTCTAAGAATACAGCAGTTGAGTTGTATACTGCGCGCTTTTGCAACTGCGGACGTACTAAACCCTCTGGAGTGTACTCCCATGCCGGAACAGAGGTTCCCCGGCACGACTATGTTATTTTTGAGTGCGTTGCTGCTGTCAGGATGCATGTAACTGACCTTGATAGGATGAACAAATATTCGCGTAATAATTGTAGAAACGGTGCTGCGGCTCCGCTGTCTCCAAAAATACACCAGCAGTGGGATGAACAGGCCAATCAGGGCGTATTCCGGATGAGTGGGTATCCTGACGTTGCGAATGAGTGGTGGCGTTGGCCACGAAACCATTTGGAGCAGTGAAACAAATCTGAAGAAATTCAGAATAGACGTTTGGCGTGAATTCAAGCTTGTTCTGATCCGCTTTCCGAATACGTCAAGTGGTCGCGGCGGCAAAGTTTGAGAAATTGCGGGGAACCCCTTACGCCTATGGCCCTCCACTTCTTGGACCTCGCCTCCACCCAGTGTTTCTTGTAATCATCATCGACAGCACGTAGAAATGTCTGATAATCCCACGACACCCAAACCGATCCCTATCCACCGCCAACGTTCTGGTTCGGTTTCGTCCGTCGACGACAACGTTCCCGAGCTCTCTCCTGGCTCGTCGCACTCGCAGTCTCCGCCCTCTGTACGTCTATTCGCGTTGATATGCTTATTCTGCGCGTCACGGTTGCTTACTGATCTACGATTGAGCAGTCTCCAACGTTACCCAGACCCGCCCTTCCCTCTTCGCCTATTCTGTCCTACTTCTTCAACAAGGACGCCGCATCAAAGTCTCCCAGTTCGCTGCGTCCAACCATCGCTAATATGCCTGGTTCTGTATTCGAAAAAGACGCGGCCAATCCACCGAAACTCTCGCCCGTGCTCGGCCATCATCGTACAATGAGCATGAACTCGGACTGGCCAAGGTTTTCTTCTACAAATCCCCCGCAGAACAACCCAGCGGCAAAGGCTGCCCAAGACCGTGGGGCCGGCATCCTCCGTCGTCTCAGTCTTAGCGGCAGCACTCCTTTCCAACGTGTACGTCTTGATTGGCTCTTTTGGTGTATCTCACTCGCACTCGTCTCCATCTCATTCGCTATCGATACGCGTCCACCTCACGCACTCATCCCCGCACGCCACCCCTAATTGCATCCCTGCATTCCCTTCATCTCATGTCATGTGGCCGCCTTCTTCAAGCTCTGACTTCTTTCTCTATAGCCTGCCGTTCCTACCGGCAATTCTGCTATTCAAGACGCGGATAATGCCCTTACAAGATCACAGACTGTCCATTCGACCGCGGCAACTCTTCCTCGATCGCGTCCCCACGGTCGTCGTGCAACTCTGGCATCCTCAGAAATGCCAAAGCCACGCGCTCCCAGTCCTATTGGTATGTGTTTGCCTATTCGCTGTTTAAAAGCCCGGCTTATAACACCACCCGCCTATAGGTGAGCGTATGCTCAAGGGCCATTTCGATGGCTTTGTGTAAACGCAGAAAGCCCGGTCAAGCACGTCTGTGGCTTATTACGTTGGTCCTCGGAGAGCGCGTGTTTCGTCACCTTTCCAGACTTAGCCGTATGTTTGTACTATTCATATACGACCCAACAATCAGTCCTTTTTTTTTTGATCTCATGGAGATTTTGAAATGAGAGGCAGCTCGCTCGCGCATCTTGACGCCGCCCCTATCCCCTGGCTCTTGTGGCTCGACGGTCTCGTGATGCTTCACTTTCGCATTCAGTTCCAGCATGAAATCAAGGCATTTCTGGTTCCATATGACGCACACTGGACGACCGTGACGGAAAAGGTTACCGAGCTCTTTGATGTTCCGCCGAGCAATGTTGCCCTGATCCACAGAGACCGTGATGGATCTCTGACGACAATTCATAACCAAGATGAGCTCAGGTCATACTTGCTTGGTCCTAAGAGTGCTCGTGCTGTCGCTGTGAGCCTCTCAACTCTGCGATAACGCCCATCTAGAACTGACACCATTCTCTTAGGGTCTCCCGCTCGATTTTGACCTCAAGGATTTGAGAGAATGGAAGTACAGTATCATATCTCACATTCCCATGTCGGAGATTGAGGACACGGAGGAACACGAGAGCATTACCGAAATATTGCAACAAGCGCATACTGGCAAGTTCACCGACGAAGACTATACGTTTATCAACCGTCCTCCAAATGACCCAACGGACGTGCAGCTCGTGATTCCAGGAGAAGAGACGCCCTACGCCGTCCCGCGCCATCTGGGCATTGGTGCGTCGCCCAACATGCAGGTAATGCAGCTCCGTCAAGAGGACGACAACTCGTGGGATAAAGTTCAAGCGCCATCTGAGAGAGACGTCGAAGACGAAGAACCAGAAGGCACCGTCCGTAGTGTCGACTATCCGCATCTCGAGGAACCGACACGACCTCAATCTGTCGCGAGTTCTGGGCCGCCACGGATTCCGTCGAGGGACAAGGGAAAGGGCCGTGCGATGTCGACCACGAGCTTGGACCCTGTTCCCCTCTACAGTACCGTCGATGTCGACGTTGCGTCGAATAGGTCGGTCATAAATAACGACACCCCCAAGAAACCGACGATACAGATCCCAGAGGCTCCCCGTGACATGGGTCCCATCCCGCTCATTTCGAATATCGTCAAAAAGATGAGCTTGGAGAGCGGCGCGGGAGAGTCTACTCGACAGCAGTCGGATGAAGGCACGTACGGGACACTGATTACCCAGCTTGTGTCTCTTGTCGATGTCGTCACGCAGTTGCTCGAGGACGATGGGGTCGCGCATCAGCTTCGTGGCACCTGGGAGGGCATGGCACTGAAATCAGCCATTACGCCCATGTCTGCTTTTCCACCTGGTCAACCAAAGCCCAAGGAGCTCGCGTTGGCTGAAGGGATTGTCAAAGTGATGAAGCGCGTGCAAACAATTGTCGAAGAGGATCCACCGTCGGATATCGAGGAGCAAGATGGCGATGTCATTTGGACACATCGCCCGACTCCGAGCTCTGCGTTTCCAAAGACTCCTATCCATACTGAAAAGAGAACTGCGGTACCAGCACCAGCATCTGTGCCAGCCGCTGCATCTGCAAAGTCGTCAAAGCAGCGCCTTGAAGAGGCAAAGGCCTTGTATAAAGCGGAAAAGGCGAGGTACAGAGCCGAGCGAGAGCAACGTCGCCGTAACAAGCTCGAATCTCGTGGTTACAAGTATCCCGACGTGGTGTAAGTGCAGCATCTCAAATAAGTGGTTGATCTAATCTTCAAATAGGAATGGAGTCCAAGAGACGGACGAACCACCCATCGAGGTCAAGCCAGCTCCTCCAGGTCATCGCGCGTCTTTGATGAGCGCACCGGACCCAGATGCGTATCGTGGTCGTGCATCTGCTGTCCCACATTCTGCCAAAGCCGCCTCTACAGTCAAGCCTGCTGCTGGATCAACGTATTCCCCGGCGCTTCTGCCGACCACCTCTCCCGTCCAAGCGTCGATCGGAAAGTCTGTGAAAAGTCCATCTGTACCATCAATGAGAGAAGCAGATGCTCCTATAGATGCTGCGGACTCGGCTCATGATGGTGGATCCGAAGGACCTGGTACACCGAAACCAGCACCCGCTCGTCCACAGCGCGCTTCGACACAATTCGATTTCGATGCATTCATGGAGGCAAATGCGTGGAATACCGCACCCAGGGCTGCTCCTGGATGGGTACACGAGCAAGCACAGCAGCAACCGCCGCAGGTACCTCCGCCTCCTGCTATCACTGCTACATCGACGAAGCGTGGTTCGCACTCACTTGTGCCGGCGAAGAAGCTCTCCGCTCCTCCACCTCCTGCGCCGCCTCCGAGGGTGTTCATGCAGACTGCTGCCATCACAGATAGTCCACATCCACTCGAGCGTCGTCCTCTTGGACATGAGCGCCGGGAGCGAGAACACGGCACCAACGCCTCCGCCTCGTCCACATGCGTTTTCACCCAGTTATTCTCCTCCGGATGCTACTCATGGATATCCTCATCATCGCCATCACGAGAGCACTGGGAGTGGAGGAGCAGGAGGAGCAGGCTTGGAGCAGACGTCTTCTGATGCCTTTCGCGCGAATCTAGCGTCTCGAGGGTCAGTCAAGGGAGCTCGATGGGGAGCCCACCGGAGGATAGATGTTGGCGGGCGAGAGGATAGTCTCCCGATCGAAGCTCATCCACCACCTGTCTATAGCACCGACGGTGAAGGCGGCGACGAGTTGATCGAGAGCGGTGGACCTCCCGCGCGTCTTGAAAAGGGCGCGCTCCCACTCAATGAAGAATTCAAGAGGAGATGTTTGGCCGTTCTGCACGAGGTACGTTCAGTTTCTCACTTTCAACCAAGCTGCTGAACCACGCGGCAGTACAATGTGACACAAGACAAGTATCCCAATCTAGATGTCATGATCACGCAAGGTATTCAGATTGTGGGGAACAATAGACAGATGATGCGACTTGCCGCGGAGAGCAACGCTCATGCGCGCGAGACGATTCTCAGCGAAGAGGTGCCAAACGTCGTCAACCGCGTCTTGGCGATGATCCAACGAGGAAGTAGCGGCAACTATGTCTGAAATAACTACCAACAGTCTTTGGACAATGGATGGAATCACAATTTATGCTCTTCATGTATTCAGTCTCTCGCTATGTGATTCCTTGTAGACAAAAAACGCTGTTTGCTGGACATTAGTGGTGCTTTACAGTGAGTACGAACAAGAATAGGTACAGGAACCGGCACAGTCCATGGAGAATAGCATTATTGGCTGCAATTCTAGCCGGACAGAGGTGGGAAAGGGAAATGAGAAGACGAAAGAGGGGTCGAGCTCCCCTTGGTATCAGTCTCGAGCAGTCGCTTGACACGATCACTCTGCTTCAAGAACACTCTGAGGAATTTCGGGGTCCCCGCGCTCGCGTCGCCATTTATTAGCTACTTCGAGGACAGAAGCTGTTGCAAGGAATCTGCCGGGCCAATGAGTCAACGAAGTGTGTGATGCATGAATCCACTCACCCATACTGTCTAAACCACTCCTCTGACATCTCCCAATTGGTGTGAACCATTGTATCTTCAGAGTGAATGCGAGATGTGCTGAGCATAAGATGCATCGCACTTGCTAGGTCAAATCGACCTTTGTAAAGTATCATCTTATCGCGGATGTCCGGGATAACAATTCCATCAATGACAAATTCGTGTGCTATGGTGCGCTGAATCTGTGTTGGACGGAGAGAGGCCGGCAGACAGTAAGCAGGGTTCCGTTTATAGTTGGAAAGATGGTGACTATGAAACATCAGAGTCTTAATGGATGAGCAGAGATTAAACGCACTGAATAAGTCTACCAGCTTCTTCTTTCTTCACTTGAAGCGGATCTTCATGTGAATTCGAAGTGCCAATAGATGGGGTCGCCGAACCATCGGAAGGTGCAGGTCTAGATGGCGCAGAATATGCTGGATACGTATTCGCAGCCGCACTATTCAGCGGGTTCGAATTGTTGATAGAGGACGGCGTGGACCCTCCACCACCTCCATAGGGGCTCAACCCAGATGGTGTCGATGTATTGATTGTTGGCTGTGGTGGAGGAAGCGTAGTCCTTGTGCTAGAGTATGCGGGACCGCTAGGCCCTGGAGCATTGGAGGCATAGTCCGCACTAAAGAGTGCCCCATTAGGGAGATTGGCGTTGGTTGAAGGCACGGGATTGGATGATTGTGCTGTGAAAATGGACGTGTTGATAAACGAATTGGGCGGGGGGAGGGTCAACTCCTCGTTATCGTTGCTCTAGAATCCTAGTGATCAGAGATATAGTCACGACGTATATTGAGAATAGCAGACCTTTGACTTTTTTCTCGCCTCAGTTGGCTCGTCAATTCTCCTTTTCTGTCCTACAAGAGTCGGCACAATTGGAGCAGGCGTGTTTGGATTCTTCTTGCGCCACGCATATGACTCTCCCATTGTATCTAACTCTCCCTTTGACTTGAAGTCCTCAAAGCTTTGAATGTCCCAGCCGAGTTTAGGCAAGAACCCTCCAATGCCTTCCCCGATGAAACCCGAGAGGTCCCGTACAAGCTGCCGCAGTGCCTGGTTTTCGCGAACCAAGTCTTGCAGCATCCCATCTAGTGCCTTCAACGAATCTTCCCTATTTGCGGAGAGAATTTCGACTTTGCGCTCCAAGTCTCGGATCTATTGCACGTTTTAGTCCTCAGCAATATGCACGTATGAAGATGAAGATGACCTTTTGTTGCTTTCTCAATCTGAAATCACGCTGGGCAATGCGATTCTGATCCCGCCTAGTGGCTTGGGACCTAGACGAGGTAACAATGCGTAAGTTATTCTCCTATAATAAGAGTATACGCAAAGAAGCGAGAAGCATACGTTGAGCCCTTCTTCCTTCCCTTTGCATCTTCTGGATAGTCTTCGTCAAAGCCAGAGTCCTATCAGGCGCCCTTGAGCACGTCCGGCAACGGGAAAGAGGTGCAGAAAACGTACCCCTTGTTCCTCTGCGTCTTGGAGCATTGAATCCTGTGCTGGAGCAGGCATTCTCTGTTGAATTCGTGAGTCCGGTCGGCGTCGAGGACAAGTAAGCGAGTATGCGTCAGCAACAAAAGGCGCCGATGTTTATAGCTATATTATATTCATTGAAATAAACAGCTTTTGTATACATCTAACTCTATGTTTTCTACCCTCCAATGAGCATCAATATGTTACAATCGGATGCATACTTTGGATCCCAATAATATGAGGTTGTGGGAGAGCAGAATAGTTACTATGTCTTTAAAATATAATCTAGGACGAACAACCACGCAAGATCGCGCCCAAAGGTTTCTCACATATTGTACATGAAGTTTGGGGAATACACATTACAAGAGATAGCAGTCAGAGTGAACTACTACAGGGAATCTTTTCGAACATCGACCCAAGAGGTGCCACATCGAAAATGGGTGAAATCGAGTTTGATTGCACGGAACTGACTCGTTGTTGGGATAGTCAAAAGAAGATGCGGGTGTTGTAGTCCATATCGATAGTTTGGCGGCACCCAGAAAAGGGATCGACCGGACGATTGTACCCAGCCATTCTTTGAAATTGAGCACTGACTAAAACCTGGAACAGAAATATTCAAAGGGACATCTGAATCTTCCCGGATATTCGAGAGTGCAGGTTGTCTGTGAGAGTGGCTCGTATCTGCATCCCAGAGTCGAATTGTCGCATCCAGCGAGCTGGAGATGATTCGTGAGCCATCTGGCGAGAATAAAACGGCAGAGACCGAGCCTTCGTGACCTTGAAGTGGCTCTCCCAGAGGCTGTCCCGTGATTACATCCCATATTCGAATAGTCTTGTCTTGTGAACCAGAAATAATTCGTGAGCCATCAGGGGAGACTTTGACAGCAAAGACTGCAGCTGTATGACCCTGAAGTGGCCCTCCCAGAGATCGTCCGGTGACTGCATCCCACACTCGAACTGTCATGTCAGATGAGCTGGAGACAATCCGTGAGCCATCTGGGGCAAACGAGACGGCAAGCACCGCAGCTGTGTGAGCTAGGAGTGGCTCTCCAAGAGCCTTCCCAGTGACCGCATTCCACAGTCGAACTGTCGCATCAGCCGAGCCAGAAACAATTCGTGAGCCATCTGGTGAAAAGCAGACGGCCAATACAGTGTCGCTGTGACCTCGAAGTGGCTCTCCCAGAAGCCGTCCAGTATCTGCATCCCAGAGTCGAATCGTTGTGTCCAGCGAGCTGGAGATAATTCGTGAGCCATCTGGCGAGAATGAAACGGCAGAGACCGAGTCTTCGTGACCTTGAAGTGGCTCTCCCAGAGGCTGACCCGTGATTACATCCCATATTCGAATAGTCTTGTCTTGTGAACCAGAAACAATTCGTGATCCATCAGGGGAAAATGCAACTGATTGGACCGAGGCTTTGTGACCTCGTAGTGGCTCTCCTATAGGCTGCCCAGTGGCCGCATCCCACAGTCGTACCGTCTTGTCGGACGAACCGGAGACAATTCGCGAGCCATCTGGAGAGGGGCTAAGAGTCAACACAGACTCCTCGTGACCATGAAGTGATTCTCCCAAAGCTTGCCCAGTGACTACATCCCAGAGTCGAATAGTCTTGTCGGATGAGCCCGAGGCAACTCGGGAACCATCTGGCGAGAATCCGATAGCCCATACACCGCCTTTATGACCCCGAAGTGGCTCTCCCAGAGGTTGGCCAGTGACCACATCCCATAATCGAACCGTCATGTCGGATGAGCTGGAGACGATTCGGGAGCCATCTGGTGAGAACCCGACAGCCGAGACAGAGCCTTCGTGTCCCCTAAGTGGTTCTCTTAGAGGCTTCCCACTGAATGAATCCCATAGTCGAACCGTCTTGTCAGACGAGCTAGAGACAATCTGAACGCCATCTGGGGAGAATCCGACGGCGAGGACATCGTCTTCGTGGCCGAAAAGTGGCTCTCCCACTGTTGCACCAGTTTCTACATCCCACACTCGAACCGTCCTGTCGCTTGAGCCAGAGGCGACTCGTGAGCCGTCTGGAGAGAATCTGACGGCCAACACGGAGCCTTCGTGACCCCAAAATGGCTCTCCGAGAGGCTGTCCAGTGTCTATGTTCCATACTCTAATTGTCTTGTCCTCTGAGCCAGAGACAATTTGTGAGCCATCTGGTGAGAATTCAACGGCGAAGACGAAGCCTTCGTGACCCCGAAGCGGTTCTCCAAGGGGCTGTCCCGTGTCTACATCCCACAGACGAATCGTCCCATCAGCCGAGCCAGAGACGATTTGTGACCCATCTGGGGATAATCCAACGGCAAAGACAGGACCTTCGTGGCCTCGAAGTGGCTCTCCCAGAGCCTGTCCGGTATCGACATCCCAAACTCGAATCGTTTTATCGAGCGACCCGGAGATAATTCGGGAGTCATCCGGCGAGAATTTGACGTCACATACCCGCTCCTGGTGGCCTTGAAGGGAATTGGAGAGCCTATGGTACATCTCTTCGATCCCATGAGTAAGAGTGAGGATATTTGGAAACTTCGTTGTAGACTCCTGGTTTATTTTGGTCGTTCTGGGAGTAAACGGAAGTGCCGAGATGTAGACGTGTGGAGCGCTGTCCTGAATTGGCACTAAAGATGCCATGAGAAACCGCCGGACCTCGGTCATAGTACTCCTAGTGTTCTCTTCAAGCTGTAGAATGCGTAAGATTAGAAACTTTCGTGATGGATGACTCACTCCTCTCTGATGTGTAACAGCTCGAAGGCCGGCTATCGCTCGTGGCACTCCTCCCGTAAAGCTCAGCACTTCCGCCCAGTATAACATGTTTGGAATCTGGGTAGCGTTCTCGAGCTCCATCTTCAGTGCACGTCTCCCGTTGTCGTCGGTTTTGGCGACATGGAACAACCAATGAGAACTGGCATATCGAAGTCTCCTTGAAATGAATTTCGATATCCTGGCATCGAGATCCGGAATCTGGCTATTCAGGTAGAAAGACGACTCGATTTGACATATATTGAACTTGGGACCTTCCGTCTCCGATCCGAGGCTTTGTAGACACCACGACGCCGCTTTGCCATGTGCATCGGGTACATTGAGATATATTCTATCGCGGTTTCCAGTAGATGGAGCGGTTGTGCAGCGCTGAAGGTACTCCACAAGAGTGGGATGGCGAAATTGGATCAGATTCGTAGTTTCATCTGAGGTGAGTACGTTTCCCAGATTTCGTACCAATGCCTTGGCACTTCCCTGTATTTTGACGCTCTTCAGAAGGTCGTCCAGGTTGTCGACGGTCAGCGGTTCGAATGCGGCGAGCAGTAATGCCAATATTTCACACAAGACCGCATAGTTTTTGCGACCTATTCGCTCAAAGACGAGATCATATACGCCGTCTATGGGGCCGGCTTGGTCCACAGACATCAGAAGATCATATAGATCCTCCTGCGACCTCGATTTGTCCTGATTATTGAGCATCTCGCATGCAGTACTCGCCCAGATGAAAAGCCCGTTAGCTCTTTCGACCAGCTTCCGTCTCTTGTCCTCCGGCAGTATGCCATCCAGTGAATAATCTACATAGCTCGTGATGTCGTCGGTATTGTCATGATGATTGGTATCGTGGAGGCGGTCTTGTAACTTGACTTTGGTCGAGAGCGACTCCAAGACGGCCTCAATGACAGGGTCCGGTCGACTCGTCATGAATATCTTGAGATTCTTGCATTCCCGAACAGCTGCAGATAAGGCCTCGACAAGTTCCTTTCGCCGTGCTCGAGACTTGCATTCATCCAGAGCGTCGATAACGAGAATTACGCGCTCTTGCCGTTCATACAGTGGACCAGTGATGAACGTCCGAAACTGCTCGTCGAGTGGCGACTGCATGACATTAGGATTCCGCTTCACGGCCTGTACGATGTATGGGACACTCTTCGGGATGTGATGCGCCAGCTCTCTAGCTATAGTGGAGCAGAAATTTTCGGTCGTCGATGCTCCGCTACTTGCCAGAGAGAAGAAGAATTTGCCACCTAACACCTCCTCACTCTGCCATCTTTCGACAGCGGTCATTGCAATGGAGGATTTGCCGGAGCCGGCTATATCACAGAGCCAAAATATCGGCTTGTCGAAAGTGTCGTCGTTGGCCCATTCCCAGATCGTCTCTAGAACAGCCTCGCGTGTTCCTTGCATACAAGGACGGTGGATCGAGGATGTAGCAAGTCCTACAGTCGGGAGCTCAAGTAGAGCGAAAACATCGACTTTAAATGATAATAAGGACGCGATAGTCAATGCATCCTGTGCTTTATGGTCAACTTGTGGATGACACCAATGAAACTCGCACCTTGAATTGTCTATACTGATCCTCGACATCTCGCTTAAGCCCCCAGACCTCGTCTTCATCTCCTTTTATTTTTCTTACGTATTTCTTTCCGCTGAGCTTCTCCTTTAGATCGACGATCCGATTAGGCAGATTTTCAAGGAATCTGCATAGCTTAGCCCGTTGAAACGAAGTTGGAATGATTACGTACTCTACATAGTTGGTGAGTGGTCGGCTGAGGGCGTCGTCCACGATACTATCCCCTGGAGGATATGTCTTGAGCAAGGTCATTCGCTCCTCGAGTGCAGAGATATAGTTCTCGAGACGCTGTATTAGATCGGACCACTCGTTTTGATTGTTGTATGCCGCCTGTCGTATCGCTTAGAGGAAGGAGTATCAGGAGTATTTGCCAACTCGCCTGCATGACTTCGAGGGTACGTTTTGTTGCTAGACATGCTGTATTAAGTGCAGCGGGTACATTCGACCCTTCGGCGATTTTGGAGGTGATAAGTATGCATCTCGTACCAAGTTGTGGCCTACCATCAGTGTCGACTTTCTGTTTTGCGGCTTGAACACGTGATGTAATGAAAGGTTGCAATACCTCCTGTGTTTGCGATGAACCTGTGAATAGGGATCATGCAGCTCGCACCATTAATCGCCAATACTGATCCTGGATGCCTTCCTTGAATTTCAGGATCTCCATTGCGTCAACCTTCACTTTTCTGGATCTTCTGAAACAGCAAATTGTGTCGTGACTATATCTCTCTCTGAGTTGGATCACATCGTAGTGCATACCCTCAAGGAATCTGCATCGCTCAGCCGATTGGAAACAAATTTTAATTATCTACTTACTGGACATAAAGGAGGAGAGGTGGACTAAGCGCCTCATCGACTATCCTATCCTTCAGGGTACAACCCTCGAACAACGCGATTCGTTCCTCGAGCGAGGCCAGGTAGTCCTCGAGACGTTGTATTAAATCGTTCCATCCTTCTTGTTTATCGTCTATCGTCTGTTGCATCTGTTAGAGGAAGCCGTGTCGGTTGTGCCTACTTGCCTGGATGACTTCGACAATCGACCTGGTTGTTCGACAAGCTACGCCGAGAGGAGGCAAGACATCTGTACCCGCGGCTATCGACGTCCAAAGGCCAACGTTCACTGTCAGCTTGTCGGAGTTTTGAGTCCTCCTGCGTGACATGACGTCGAAGATGCTTGCGATCCCACAGTTGGATGTGGTCTCCTGTGTCCTCTTGCGGCACGTGTCAAAAGCGTGGAGGATGGGATCAGGTCCAAGATGGGTTGGCGCCTGCCAGTCTCGATATGCCAAACAAGTGTGATGAGGCTAGATGGCCAAGTAATAGCTATTAATATATATCCAGTCGCTTAGCCCCATTAATTTGAGTAATAATAGCTGTATGTATCATTGAACCCATATTCAGTCATAACTTGATCTCCGCCACTGCAGCACCAAATCCAACATGGTCCGCCCTAAAGGTTTGGACAACAAGAGCTGACGAGAATATGCACAGGATGGGAAGTTCGCATGTCCAATACGCGCCGCAAGCCATATTTCTACAACCGCGACACGAATCAGTCGCTCTGGCAGGCGCCTCCAGACTTGACGCCGCAGGAGATTGAGAAACTGCCGGGAGCAAACTTGCTCAGCGCATCTCCACCATCGGGGGGTCCAGAAATCGTGCGCGCAAGTCATCTCCTCGTCAAGCACAAGGACAGTCGACGACCATCGAGCTGGCGAGAGGCACGCACACGACATCTATCGCTCAAAAAAATAAAGCTAACTGACGTTCTTATAGGCAAATATCACGCGTACAAAGCAGGAGGCTATCGATATCTTGCTGGGATACAAGGACGAGATTAATGGCGACCCGCACAAGTTTGCCTCGCTCGCCCAACAGTATTCTGACTGCTCTTCCCTCGAAAGGAGGTGATCTAGGTCACTTTAGCCGTGGCCAGATGCAAAAGCCGTTTGAAGACGCGACGTTTGCGCCCAAGTCGGCGAAATGAGCGGCATCGTCGAAACGGACTCGGGCGTTCATCTTATCTATCGCACAGAGTAAAATCTCCCGTCTCTACCTCTTACCAAAACATACTCTTGAACAATGACGAGGGAAAAGGGTTGAATAACACGACACAGTAAATACTGTACGGAATGTATGTATGCTAAAGGTCTGGATGTCCCCGTGAGTGACTGCACAGTCTACAAGCTGTTGCCTCCCGGCAGCGTTTTTCCAATCTATAGTTGTGGTGGTAGCGATGCCATCATCTCCTCGTCGTAGGAGCCGCATTGGCCTCGAGCATAATGCCCATCCTGACCTTTGCCGTATTCTTAAAATCGTCAGCGACCATAACCATTGAAAAAAGGGTATAAAGGTACGTACCTTGAAATGGTCAATCTCTCCTGTAAAGAGGAGCGCAAAGTTGGGAGCAAGCCGCTGCTCCAATAGCGCCGAGAGTTTACCTGTCGAGTCCAACTGAGCCTTGAACGAGCTCAATCGTAGATCCCACTTGGCTCCCACCGTCGCCACGGCGTCTCTCTTCATGGGCGTCGCAATGAGCTGCAAGTCGGCCGCAACCTCGACTTGAGGGCTCAACTTGTGCCAATACGACGCTTGTAAAAGCCCGAGCGTGTGGAAGCTAGCCGTGGCAATCCAGTCGTTTTGTCGGCCAGTGTATTTGGCGTGCCAAGTCGTCAGCGTATCTGAACCGTCGGGTGCGCTTTGAAAGTTGGTCTCTATGCCGAGTGCGAGACGCTTGGAGACGGATTGCAAGAGACTTGCAGAGTAGATGCCCGAGCCGTCGATTGGCGATGGGTTGATGGCTTTGAGGTTTAGGCAATAGTCGACCCCAGAGTTTTCGTGCTCGAGTTGAAGAAAGCTTCGATCTGGTGCGCTACCAAGCTATGATTTGTATAAGAGAAGGGGAATCACAGACAGAGGCGATAGGCTGACCTGCAATTGGCCCCTTGTCGTGTGGGACGGCGTCCACTGGTGGGTCAAGCGTCCTCCAAGGTTTCCTTCATGATCGACGTTTCCTTGTAGTAGATTCTGAGGCGAGTCAGCTACGGCCGAGAGAGGAAGAAAAAAGGAAGACGGACGTTGTCATCGATGAAATACGAAGAGAGCGTGTATGTCGGGTCCTGAGTCTGCGACGCGAGCGTAAAAGCATGCGAAATAGTGAACGCGGGTTTGTGAGAAAACGCTTTGGTGTAGTCGGCGCGTAGACCGTCGAACATGAAATTTGTGAGTTGCGTGGCTGCAAACGCGTCGCGGAGCACAAGATGAGCAATTTTACAAGCATTCAAAGGGACAAAAGCAGACATTTAATCTCTTTTGCAGTTCTCGACGCTCCCGGGTTGGGAGGTCGAGCGACGTGCGCCATGACCAAAATCGATTGTAAATGTTGATGGCGGGTGCAAAAGCAAAAGAAAGAGGACCAGGTGATTCGTCTGGAAGATGTTGAGAGGGTCGAAATGGGGAAACCTGGCGATGCTGGTTTGGGAGGCAAGTTGAACGACATTTTGGTAGACTGCAAGGAGAGTTTGCTTTGGTTCTATCGACTAAACATGACGATTAGGCTGAAATGCAGGATATTCGGGTGTAGCATGTAGGATAATATCTACAACCACGGCATACTTGATATTGGACAAGCTGTGTGAGTAGGCTGTCTAATAGCTTCCACTGCCTCGGTCTGGTATAATAAAGTATACCCAAATCAATTACCCGAAACTCTCAAGCTGAAATAAGAATAATCCTTGCGACTTCTCAGGGGCGCGTTATTGCCGAAGCTCGCCAATTTCCCAGCCGTCTCTTGGACCCGACTCCGACAAGCAGCTCGTTCAAGGCCTTTTGCTGTTCTCAAAAACGACAGCAGACGTCCTCTGCGACCTCTTGTTGGGCTCCCTGAAGCCCTCCAGGCCATCCCCGACCAGCTATCACCTTTATTTAGCCCTTCGCACGGCGCTGGGCCCACCGCCGGCATATCTACAGACTACAAACGATGCATATTCATCAGCCAAGACAGGATACAGTCGTCACCGTCTCTCAAACGGGCGCGACGACCCAACTCGGTGGCACATCCGTCCTCGCGGGAGAAACGCCCACAGCTTCCGTTTTTCAGACTGACCCAAACATTACGACGAGTGTCTCTTTCTCTCGTGTAAGTTTACAGTTTTCCTCGCAAGCTTGGCGTCGACGCTCATGATCGAATTTCTCGGAAAGTCTATCACTGGCTCGACCACCCCAACCAGATCCGTCGCCACTACTACGAGTTCAGCAACAACAGTCACAACTCAGCCAATTTCAGTCAGGACGCTCGTTGCAATCTGTGTAGGATGTGGGATACTACTCGCCGGCTTGGTCCTCTTCGTCATTTGGTTTGGCGCACGGTCGAGAAAGGGCAAGCAGGAGCAAGAGGGAGAAGTGGTGGCTCTCGATGTCTCCAAGGCCACCTCCGAATCGCATCTAAAGGCTGCCCCGCCACACGCGGGCTTCCAGAGCACCTATAGCGAATCGAGCTATTATTCACAAAGCACCGCCCGGAAACCTCTCCAGGGACAGCAACATTCTCGACGACCCACAATGGAGAGCTTAGATGCCGCCAAACAGGATCCGTATCACTATCGGGACGAACACAGTTTCCTACCCAAGCAAAACGTCTATACCCGCAACGACATGGCCCCGACTTCTCCGCGCAGTCCTACGGGCAATCCAGACTTTTCTAGTCCACAGCCTGCAAACTCGAGCGTTCACCAGTCGCCACGATCCACGTCCGCCCAAGCAATAACACGCCCATACGTGATTGGGTCCCATCCATTTGCCTCGCCGGGCCGGTCTACATCCCAAAGCCGACCGTCCATCGAGCACAATGGTAATTATACCGTCGCCACTGCCCCACCGTCTGCGAGTGACCGGGCGCACGACGGCAGTCAGGCCCAGCGCCACAATACGTTTGCGGGCGCCGGCACGCGACCAGGTTACAACGCGTATGGGCTCGAGTCTCGACAAGCCATCACGAGCCTCAATACCCGTCCGAGCCTCGAGAGTATTCGGAGTGCCGCACGAAAGGCGAGCATTGACCAGACGGCCGTGTCAGCGGCGACGGAATTTGCCATGGGCGGTCCGACGGCTGTCGGGGGTCGTTCGCGGAATAACTCGACATCGAGTTCGCATCGTGCTGGTGGCTATTCGTATGCCGGAGGAACGAGTTCTCTCTACGGTGGCGGTGGAGGCTCGGTCCGGTCTGGAAAGGATGGCTCCAAGGAAAAGTATACAAAGGAGGAACGAGCCAAGGAGATGGCAGCGATGAACAGCCTTATTGCTGCACTAGACGAGAGCGCGGAAAAGGAGCGTAAACGCAAACTTAGTCTAGCTGAAGCAGCCGGGTTGGGCGATCAACCCTCGTCATCAAAGTCGGGTTCGGGCTCCATGAGAAGAAAGGATGTCGCTGTCACTGGTTCGTATCCGCTTCCACCGCCTGAAGTGTTCCGAGCGGCGCTCTCGACTGGTGTCACTTCGGACGACGATGTGGATGACGAAGAGATTGAGCGGTGGCGACGACGTTGATCCCCGCCTCTTTCATTCTACCGACGCTCTATGAGCGACGCATTTTCAGCATGCGATGGATACGGCTTTGCTGGTGGGCAGCAAGCAGCGTATTCATCTTGTATATCGCGAAACTCGGTCGCGGGTTTCGCATTACTGCTTCTTTACTTCGATAATCGCAACTTATCACTAGTTACTGTATAACCAACCATACCACGCACATCCTTCTCCTCAACCTCTTCTACTTATTCGATCAATTTCTTATTTTGTTCTCGGGAGGTTCGAAATTTGTTTCTTTGCTAGTACGTGACAACCAAATCTTGTTGTGCAATCTGGGCAATCGCGTTCGAGAGACACTGGACTATACTGGCTGAGCGATTACAGAGTTCGGTTCACTATGCGTTGAGGGGAATTGTTTATTCCCCCGTGTCGTCGACCTCGATACAGGCATCGGAATCGACGACGCGAATTGATATCCTTCGGCGTGCTGGAGTTGAATTCGTAGTCACGAACCTACAGACAAGTTTCAAACGAGTGACAGTGATATATCAAAGAATCGTCTCATTCAACTACTTCTATTCTTTGAAAAATTCTGACAGATGGGCAGGTGTTTCCCGCGCCACACGCATATAGCACGTCCATTGCTGTAATGGCCCCGTTGGGTCAATGCTGAGATGATCGGGAAGTGGATCACGCATTGGGGACTGGATTCTGTGCCATTTGAATAAGTATTGCAACGGTTTTGTTCCAGACAGCCCTTGACAATTATGGCCAAGGCCGCTCTTGACCAGGGTCTGGTTAATCCTCCGTTTCTGGAACTTGTCAAGTATCTTGTCCAAGTCGTTCCGTCCCACCACTCCGCAGAATTCGGCATGTCGCTCTGGATTGCTTTTCTCGGGTTTTGGCCTGTCCGTCTCGAGATCCCATTTCCGCAAAACAGCTTCCACGATGTTTTCCGAATTCTCCTAAAGCATCTAGTAGTGAAAACTTTAGCAAGTAGACTAGCCAAGCAAAGTGTAAGCCAATGGGTCCACTCTGTCGATGGCCATCTTGAGCAGTTCTTTGCGCCTGGAAGATCCTAGGGGTTCCCAAATCGGCCCGTCTGGTACCATGAGGGCGATCAAGTCATGCCGAGAGATTTCCTCTATATTATGTCTCAGTCTTCGTCCCATTGCTGTAGTGGATACCAAACTGGCGGACTTGAGTCGTTCATACTCTTGTGAGTTTAGTGGAAGCAGTGACCATATTGGGCCAGTTCAAACTGGAAGGGTATTATCCCAAATTGCTAACTAGGAAGAAATGGGCGCACCAGAGTGACATGTCTAGGGCAACTCCCATCGAGGACATTCCACCACTCGGCTTGCATCATCTCTTGTCGATCCGGCCAAAACACCTTTTTTAGAGATGGTTAGTCAATTTGCTTCAGGCCACTTCCCAAAACGCACAGACTTCCACCTAACATCGAAGGAAAAGAGTACCTATGCCGAAGCGCAGAGGCGAGGGCTGCCCATCAAAGAACCAGTTGTAGTAGTCCACTGGAATGATTGCCTGGCTGACCAATTCTGGATCCATCTTCTCCTGAAGTGATGCGCGATGATTCAACGGAAGTAAATCTGACGCTTTGCTAAATGTACAGGAATACAATCGACTGCATGTTGATCCACGATCGCTATTGTTTCATGAAACTGAGCATAAGAATAGAGGAGTCACAAACATTATGTCATTTATTGTGGTGATCATGATTGCTTTCGTGTCCTCCAGGGACGAATGGTGAGATTCCATGAGTCGCTGTGCAGTTCTCGATCTCGGATAGAAATGGAGGCAAAGTATAACGTACGGGTAGCTCGTCTTCACAGCACTGCCGCA